TGCCTAGGGTATATAGGATCTTAAACTTATACTAGCCTAGCATTTCTAACTATCTAACTTATCTTTAGTTTAGAACCTTAGTAGTAGTAAAGTATACTAAATTCTTATAATCTATATAGATTATAAGGTCTAAATAGCTTTTAGCATATACTTGCTAATATTCTTGGGATAATATAATTGCTAAGAGTTCCTTGTTATGCATATTATAGCGTTCTTCTAGTCCTAAGAACTTATATAAGTAATAAGCAATTAGGTACTATTATCTATCTTTTTCTTGCATAATGCATGCTCCTAATACTAAATCTAAGGTATCTATTTGTATTTAAAGTAGCTTATTACTCTTAAATATAATTAGTGTTAGGGGGTTAATATATGCCTATTATAATAACTTAAATATATTATCCTATTCTTTTCCCTATAAGTAGGGTATATCCTTCTGCATAAGCTTTATAAGCAGCAAGGCCTTCTTTAAGTAATTCTTAATAAATTATCTATTAAAGTTAATAAACCTAAGGAATTCTTAAATCCCTTTAACTATTATTAGGGTAGGCTAATTCTTTACTACATTAATCTTAGTATTACTTATCTTAACTCTATATTATTTTATAACAAACCCTAGGAACTTAACTTTCTCCTTATACTATTTACACTTCTTAGGTTTTAGTTAGAGGTCTGCTTATTTTAAGTATTCTAGTACTTCTATAATGTGTTATATATACTCTTCTAGTATCTTAGAGTATACTAGGATATTATCTAGGTACGCTACTACTATCCTATTAAGGTGTGCCCTAAGGACATTATTAATTAATTCCTAGCACGTAGCTAGTGCATTTATTAGACTAAATAGCATAACTAGGTACTTATATAGTCTATATCTTATTCTAAATACTATCTTCTATTCTTTACCTTTCTTTATATAGATAAGGTTATATACTCCTCTTAAATCTAACGTAGTAAAGTACTAAGCTCCTTATAGTTAATCCTATAACTCTAATATATTAGGTAATAGGTATCAATTCTTAATAGTAATATTATTAAGCTTTCTAAAGTAAATGCAAGGTTATAGCTTGCTATCTTTCTTTAGTATAAAGAGAATAGGGTACCCTGTAGGTAATTCTAATCTTCTAATAAATCCCTTTTAAAGGTTCTCCTTAATATACTTACGTAGTATACTAAGTTTCTTTTCTAATAACTAGTATAGTAGCCTAAAAGTTAGTTACTTTCCTTCCTAGAGCTTAATCTTATAATTCTAGGGTTTATGCTTAGGCAGAGCTTTTACTATAAGCTCTTCTTTAAATATCTATATATATTATTAATATATATCTAGGATGCTAGAAGTTGCATATTTCTCCTTAACTACTACTTTATAAGGCTAGGGCTAGTTACTCTCTATATAGTTAACTACTCTATCTTAGCGCGTCTTAGTTAAAGTAATATTACTAATTGTCTTCTTATCTACTAGTTGCGTTATAGTCTATATAGGTTCTAACTATATTATACTATATTTGCAGTGCTTTAGTAAAAGCTTCTTAAGTACCTAATCTATCTATAGGTTATACTTTTATAACTAGGGAATTCCTAATATAATGTTATAAGTAGCTATCCTAAAAGCATCTAGGGTTATTTCCTTATAGTATTCTTAGATAGTTATTAGAATAGATAATACCTTATAGGTTATTTTTAATTCCTTAAGCATAGGTTCTCTATTAGCTACTTATAGTAGGTAAGGTTCTATCTTCTAAGTAGGGCGTAGTCTAGCTAGCTATATTGCTTATAAAGAGATATAGTTAGACTATAATCTATAGTCTAATAGTACCCTTATCTATACTCCTCCTAACTTAATAGAGAGTATAACTAGGCAATTAGTACTAATATTATTAATAGATTAATCTCTAGCGCATATTATTTACGCTAGTCTAAAAAAGACTTATCCTTACTATCTAATACTTCTTTATATTTAAGGAATCCTTACTACCTCTTAGCCTCTTTATAGCCTTTATAGTTATTATATAGGCATTATTACTAATATAAGTTTAAGTAGTAATTATTAATTAATAACTATTTAATATACGCATACTAAGTGTCTTTTTCTCCTAGAAAGTAGTATTATTATTGCTTATCCTATAAGTAAACTTTGCATATATTATTCTTATATTTATACTATTTATTATAGCAGTATTATTTTATACTAGAGAACTATCTACTATTTATTTTATTATTATAGTATACTATATATAGGTCTATGCTATAGGCTATCTATAAAAGGGTATAATAAAGGAGGTTCCTTATGTCTATTAGGTACTAAGGTGTTATGCTTTGTTATATAGGCATTTGCCTAATATTAGGTTTATCCTATGCTAGAATATCTTTGCTAGTGCGTTATAGCATCTTAATAGTTGCGTAGTTATTTTATTAATAGTCTATAAACTATTTATTATACTATTCTTTAGGTTTCTTTAGAAGTTTATAGATAGATACTAACATGTTCTTATAGTTCTTATAAACTTATAGGTCTAAGGCAACTATAACTAGTGTCTTACTATTATTATATCTCTATAGTAACTTCTATAACTAAATACAAGCTACTATAGGTTTATTATCTATAATATTAAGTATGTTATTATTTAGTATATAGCATCCTATGCTTTTTTTATTATTACGTGCTATATATTTGTTGCTAATATATTATACTATATTAGCCTAGTGCTTAGCTTCTAGTTATTAGTCTAGGACCTAGAGTATCTAGTTGCAATATTCTTAATATTTAGCATATCTGCGTTATTTAGTAGTATAGACTTCTTCTAACTATTAGTATAGTATAGGTGTGCTACTTTAGACATTTTATTAGTCCTTATTAGGTTTAATATACTTATTATCTATCCTAGATTCTATCTCTAGGTCTTCTATAAGACGTCCTATATTATTAGTAATTATTTCCTAATTACTAGTATTAGTAAAGCTAACTCTTTTACTAGATAACATGTTAAGCTGTTGCATAACCTTGTTCTTGCTATAATAGTCTCTAGCAAAGTAGCCTACTTTGCTATAGCTATAACAAGTTATTAGTAGCTTGTTAGTTCTAAAACTACCCTTATTCTTAATATTCTACTACTTAGGTCCTTTGTTAATGTTAGAAAGGTCTATAGCCTTAGCGCTATAGTATCCTATATTAGTTCTAGTATAGACTTATTATAACATATTAGACTAGTAGCATCTACTATACTATCCTTATTAGAGGTTATTTTTCTATTAGTTCCTAAAGGCGTGTAGTATAGAATTAGTAGCCTGCGCTTAGAGGTTATCTTGCAATTCTAGCTATAGCTTATATAGTTTAACATTAATATTAATTATAGTATTAACTAATATATTAAAGGTATTAGTGCTAGCACTAGTATATATTAGCTTCTCCTTAATCTTTAGCTTAAGTCCTTGTTTAAACATAGTTAAAAGTATAGTGTTATCCTAGTTAGTATATATAGCAAGTTATTAGAACTCTATAGTATAGTTAGTAGCTAACTTAGTTTATATAATATGTTAGATCTTATATCTTACACTAGAGACTTTGTTAAACACGCTAAATATAGGTTTAATCTATTCCTTAAAAGTATTAAAGTTCTTTATCTAGATATCTACTTTGTCTAGGGCCTTGCCTGCGTTATATTATTATATAAAGGGTTTAATCTATTTAAATGCTGCGCTACGCATATAACTACTAATAAGCACAACCCTTTTAATCTCTTTAACGCGCTTACCTTAGAACAAGAAGAACAAGTTCTATTGCATAAGCTAATTGTTAAGCTTGTTACGTTTACTATAGTAGAGATTAGGTTTGTTAACTATAATGTTACCTATGCAGGTAGCACTATTGTTAGTTATATCTATATTATTAGATGTTAAGCTAGGGGTAGCTTAGTTTCCTAAGGTAGTAGATATCTTAGAGGTGTTTAAAATATTAAGGTTATACTTTAAGCAAAGCTTATAAGCACTATTTAATTAGTTCTTAGGGATAAATACTATTAGGGAAACTAAAGGGGTCTTGCACTAAGGAGTATAGATATAATCTATCTGTCTTAAGGGCAAGGGGTAATAATAAGTAGTATAGAGTAGACTGTCTAGCTTAAAGGTTAGGTTAAGATCTAATATTATAGATTAATACTTAGGTTAAATACAAACTATAAGGGTTATGTTCCTACTAACTATATACTTAAGAGAGTATAGTGTTCTATACTTGTTCTATTATTCTATTGTTGTGCTAAACTAGAACGGCTTAGAACATTGTAGGATTCCTTGGAACAGCACGTGACTTGTTCTATAGTGGCGTTCTGCTAAGACTTTAGAACAGAAGGGGTCACGTTGTTATTAGTCCTTGAATGCTGACCTTCTTAAAGACCTTTGGGTTGTCCCCGAGTGTCATTAATCCTTCTATCTCTTATCTTCCGCCGTGCCCCTTCCTAGGTTCGTAACATTAGTTAGTACTATACTCTATACTATACTATATAAGTAATGCGTTAAGATGTTATAATAGTAGGAAACCTTATCCTAAGAGTCTTGCTATAAATATTAATATACTGCTCTACTTCTAAAGGTAGATCTCTATATCTTATGCTCTTAAATATTCTTTAGTCCTTTACTGCCTAGTCTAGCTATCTCTAGCTAAAGTTAAAGCAAGCTGTTTACGCATACAGCTATTAAGATAACAGAAGAAAGCTATAATAGACAGACTAGGTTTTTAAGTTATTAGATAAGAGTTTCCGCGCAAGGAATGCATATACCGCTAGTGCTAATCTGCCGCAAAGAAGGAACAGCAGAAGCAACGCGCTGGCACGTTAGGACTATCGTTGAAGCCGCAGGTTGATATTCGTAACAAACTGCCATTAACATTGTCTGCGATGCAGTAGGCATTAGTGGTTATAATTAGAATAGAAGATAAGAACAGAGTAGATTATAGAGTAAAGGTAACTAATAAAGTATATAACTTGCAAAGGAAGCTAGAGCATTTAGACTTGATGTTTTAAGAGGACGCATAAGCGCCAACTTTAGGAAGCACACTCGCTCTCTTTGCGTGCGTTCTCTCTACCTCCAACTTGATCCTCACTTCAGGAAAGGTTTAACTAGCTCTAACAATTTCTCCTATAACATGCGTTCTTTCTTCTTGTCATAGGCCCATGCCGCGTACCTGGGCTTATACTCTTCTGGCTTATCCTTGGCTGGCTTCGAAATCTGACAGTCTTTAAGATATCTCCCACCCTGACCTTGCAAAGCCTTCGCGGCGGCTGCCCAGACTGTGGTAGCCGCACCCTGCTCTGGACTCTTTATTACATTGGCTATATTAGGGTCTTGTCCCTACTGCGCAAGCGTCTCATCCGGCAAGAACTTCATAAGTCCGGTACCGATCAATCTGGGATGAACAGACCACGCATGGACACCCTGATCGCCGTACCGACGTTCAATTTCGGTGGCAGTGTATAAGTTGGCGGTCTTGCTTTGACTGTAAGCTATCCACGGGTTGTAATCTCCATCAAAGTTGAGGTTGTCAAAGTTGATCCCTCCGTGTCGGTGTGCGGACGACGATAGAATTACAACGCGTGAGTTGAAGTTTGCAGAACTAGACTTCAGCAGGGTGGGAAGAAGAAGCTGTATCAACAAGAAGTGTGCGAGGTGATTGGTGCCGAACTGAACCTCGAAACCGTCAACAGTCCGGCCCTCTGGAGTGGCCATGACACCAGCATTGGCAATGAGAACGTTGAGACCTGGAGACTTCGTCAAGAAGTCATCGGCGCAACGACGAACACTGGCTAGCGAGTTGAGATCGAGTTCCAAGAGGTGAACACGATCGTTGTTCAAGAGGCTACCGAGAGCTGACTTCGCTTTGGCGAGATCCCTAGCAGTCAGGTACAGGGTGGCACCAGTATCAGCGAGAGCTTTTGCGGTTTCGATGCCAATCCCAGAGGAGCATCCAGTGATCAAAATCGTCTTGTCGGACCACTGGCCATGAAGCTGGTTGTCTTTAATGATCTGGAGCGCGGTAGGGCGGGCGTCACCAGGGCCTTTAGGAGCCTGGTGAACTGATTCGTACTGTGTGGCCATTTTGATTGCTGCTGAAACTTCCGTGGTATAGAAAATGGATGTTCTGCCTCTTGTGCTTGGTCGAAGAAACGGAGACCTGGTGCAGAAGATGGCTCACTCTTGCTTTATGCCGAAACTCTTTCGTAACCACTCTTTCGTAACCGGACACTTGGTGCGACTTTGGTCCGTCATTCGACACTTTCCAGCGAGGCTCCTCTTTCCCTGCCTGATCTTGATCTCATCATCCATGCTAACACGTTTCTATCAGTCACAAGGGTGAACCTTCTAGCAAGCCAGCGGTACGCCCGGAAAAGCGTTGATTTGTCAGTTGAACCTGGAAGTGCGTCGTGTCAACTTCTCGCGTGCGGACTCGATCCCCGCGCTCGGATTCGTCCATCATCGAGCACTGACAGTGATGAGGTGCATTGCTTCAAGTCGACTCATTACTGATCTAACCCCTTTAGGCAAGTTGATTCGCCAAGACAATCCTAAGAAGCAAAACTGCACTCCTTAGCAGTTCGTGTCAGCACCTTCCACGATAAGCGGCATCTTACTGATCCTGATCAGCGGCACTTTCTTGTGACGAAGCTATGCAGAGTGGAGGTGCTTGTTCTTGACCGCCACGCGGCATCTCTTGTCAAGTCTTCTCGATTTCGTCGTTGCTCGCGCATGTAGCGGGCCTCTTGGCTTTTGTGTTTCTGCGGTCTTTGCGAACTTTGGTATCAGATTATGCTTGTTCCAATCTGCCAGGGCTATAAGGGTGCCTTCCGAGACATAGGATGAACAAGCACGCACTTGCGAAGGCCTTACCAACGACTGTTGCAGTCACCAATCATCAGTTATGCTTTGGCTAAGAGGTGGATTCGGTCGCTACATGACTTGTGATATTTGGCACTGGCTCAATTCGAACATTTGACTTGAAGATTGCGGCGGCACGACATGATATCTCAACGACAAAACTTCAGTGCAGTGATGGTGAGAGCTGAGAACATTGTTCGAACAGTAGTACACCGACTGGATCAGAAGGGAAATGGGGAATGCCTAGAACAAGGTATCGAATTATTATATAATTGTAGGACAACATGGTCTCATCAGGGTTTGAAGGGCTGCCAGTTGCTCGAATTATGTGCGTATACAAAGCACATCGAAATTGCAATGACTCAATACTGGGTGCGCTTTGCTACCCACGTTAAGCAAAGGCCACAGAGAGCCGACCAATGCAAATAGAAACTCGACGTGCCAGTTGTGACTCGCGGTCTTCTTCAACCTAGTGTAGACTCCCTGGTATCTTGGCTAAGCATCTTCAGTGGTCTTCTCGCACCTATCTTGCCTGTAGACAGAGAGGCGGACTGTCATTTGGAGTAGCCCATTGCAGCCAAATTTCAATCTAACGATCATCAGAGTGGACTGGAACCGACTCAATTTACCTCGCCTACTCTATTCTGCATGCTCTTTGCCAGCTGCTAGACTGATAGCCATCCGTGCCATATCGTTCACAGAAGTAATTCAACCCCTTCAAGTTCTCAGGGCAACTCTGAAATGCTTGCTTTACACAGCGAAGTGCGCTTTTGCGCAACTACATCCGGGCTTGCGAGATAAAGCATCAGGGCGGAAGGTGGCGATAGAAGAGCACGTGCGGTTGGCGAGGGAATGTGATCATCAACCTCAGGTCTGCGCCTCGATAGGATCGAAGTTTATGACTCTCATTGAACAAACTCGTTTCCAATTTGCAGAAGGCAGGGCCATCTCGTCATAAATCATTGCGAAAGGTAGGGACACAGAGCGACCAACCAGAACTAAGGTCGCCGAGGGCATTGAGCTTCTCACCTCTGGGCATCATGACTGCGGGACCAAGATTGGTGTCGTTGCGGCGAGGTACTCCCTGATCATGCTCTAGACAGGAACTCGCAAGACCGGAAGACTCGCAAGTGCAGTTTCATCTGAATCCGTTGTTTCGACCTCCTGACCAGTTGACGCTTGCAAATCAGTCGCAAAATGCCAATCTAGATGCTCGAGCACTTTCGACTCGTTGATTCTCTCGTGACACTGCGGACAATCGTAGCTACCCTCCAGGTGGCCTGCATCAGGCAGATCGATCTTCCTTTGCTTTTTCGGATGATCCGTGTCTCCACTCGTACGGGCAAGCAGGAGAGCAGTTTGGCGCTTCTGGCCTGTAGTCTCTCTCGAGAAGAAGGAAGTGATGCGTTCGTTCCGGACAACAAGGTCGTAGAATCCAGATATGCTCATGGACAAGCTAGCGCAAGGCCAGGTAAGGCCTTCGTCAGAGATTTCGCGAAGTAAGTCCTTTGCCCAGGTGAATAGGGCAGTCTCATCTATCACGTCAGCCGCCGGAATGATGGTTTGTTTCGACCGTGTAGGGCCAAAGCGGCCTTTGATGTGATGATGCACAGCTACAACTGTCGGCCGACGTGGATAGTCTGCATGCAGCTCATTCAAGCGACCCATGAGATCTGCAGCGAAGATTCGGATCCACTTCAGAGCTTGCTCGAAGCCAATCACGTTTGGGACAAAGGTTTTTGCAGAAAGCATGGACTGAACTGCAATTCGTGATTTGACAGCACTGGTTTCGTACCCTCGAATCGCATCATGGACCCAGAGACCGTTTTTGTTCCCAAGTGCAGCCTGCAACTTCTGGAGCGGAATCTGCAACAGATCCACAACACGATCCGAACCAAAAGTCTCCTTGATCTCGCCCCCCAGCTTTCGTCCCAAGCCACGAATCTCGGTGAACTTTTGGGAAGACAGGAATTCGCTTGCCGCTCGGTGCAGGAGAACGGTTTGCTGATTCGGCTTCCTCCATCCAGCGGCCAACTTCGCCAGCATCTTGTTGCAGCCCACACCTGCTGAGCACGTCAAGTGGAATTGCTCGAGGACTTCTGCTCGGAGTCGGCGGACGATGCCCGCCCCAATGCTGAGGGCCACATCGTCCCAATCGGGTCTGGTCGTCGTTGCGGTCTTGGCTGTGACAACATGATCTTCTTCCCAGCTCAAAGGCTCATCTAGATCGGGAAGAGGAAGTCTTAAGTCTGGGTCAATCGCTTCTTCTGCAAGATGTGGGAACTGCTGGAGCAGAGTCCGATGGACGTGAGCAGACAGGTCAAGGAAGACTTCGTCGATGCTAGCCTTCTCTACCCTTTGGAGAGGTTCCGGTGGCAACCGGCTTCGGATGAACTCGAAGCACTGTCGTGAACGCATCCGATAAGGGTCCAATGCGGCTTTGTCTTGCGACATGTGTTCCGCAAAGTCCGACCGGTAGGCCCACGTCCTCTCGTCTTCCCTCCAAGTTGCGACGTGCTGCAGAACAATTCCAGGACATATCCTGCGCGCTTCTTCAACTGAAGCGCCTCTTCGTAGCCCGGACTCGCGAGCCGGGTAATTGAGTGCGATGATTGCGTTCCATTGTTGGACGGCTAGGGGGACAGATGGCGAAAGACCGAGACGGACCATCTCGCACTGAGCGTAGAAGGCATCGAAATCGATCAGAGCTATAACCCGGAGCTGGGACGTACATGAAGAACGACCGAGAAGGCTCAGGTCGCGAAAGGTGTATTTCGAATCGTTCATTGTTGTCTACCGTGCTTACACTCTCTGTTCAGTGAAGGTCACAACGAGGCATGGAACGGAGGTAGATGGACGCGAGGCCGGACAAATGTGGGTCAGATAGCCATGCTTCAGAACGACGTGAAGCCGTGCACGCATCAGTGGTTCTCTTGCAGCTATTGATGACCGGCGCCCGAGCACACCGAGCTAGAGCGTTTCTGGCAGAAGTGGTCCGACCCACGTGTCTAGCGCAGGACAAAATCGCCGTAGATGCGAACGCCTGGATCTCTGTCGTCATGGCGAAATGGACACGATCGGGGGACGATAAATTACCGCGAGCGTGTAGAGCCCGCGCTAAATCTTTCCTTGTCCAGAGCAAGTTCTTGGTCCTGGTTTGTTTCAGTGAACGCTCCCACGAGTCCAGAGCTACGACACCTGCTAGAGGTCCACCTCCACTTGCATCGAGTGCGCAGAGCTACCATGGCACGATCGACAAGAGCGGCCGCGCGGGCGGCGCAACAGACAATGAGCAATCTTAACAAGAGAAGCGTTTCTCTATCCGCGTCTACCGATGAAGAATTCACCAAGCGTGTCAAGCGTATCGAACGCTTACCCATGAATCAAAAGGCATCGAAGAATGATACGAGTACAAAGAACAGCACAGCAGCGAATGTGGAGAGCAGCATCGAGCCAGGAGACGACACGGCGGGGAGCGACACAACCTCCAAGTCCGTGACCAAGGGCCAGCTCCAAGTCGACAAGAAGTGGAAGTCCTGGTCAGCCAATGCGGCGTCGACACCGTATCCCGACTTTGGCCACCCCACCAACCGCGAATGCCAGCTGGCATACGACATCCTCTACAAATTGCACAACGATGCTGTAAATGCCGAGTTTGAAGACACAAATACGCCGGAGACGATCCCCTTTGTGCTGGACGCCCTGATTGTTGCAGTCCTAAGCTAGGCGACGAGCTGGTCAAACGCAAAGCGTGCCATGGACAGTATGAAGCAGACGTACGGGTCCGTATTTGCCTATGACAAAATCTACGCCAGTGGAACAGAGAAGCTGCAAGAGACCATCCGATGCGGCGGGCTTCACATTAGAAAGACCAAGATCATCATGACCATCCTTGAAGAAGTGAAACGCCGTTACGGACGCTGGGATCTTGACCACCTCCTGGATGCAAGCGACGAGGACGCGATGAAAGAGCTGATCAGTTACAAGTACATCGGTCCAAAGTCGGCCTTCGTTGTCATGGGTTGGTGTTTGAAACGCAATCGATTTACGGTGGACACACACGTGTACCGTATCGCTGGTCTGTGGGGTTGGAGACCAAAGGAAGCCTCACGTGAGAAGACGCAATCGCATCTGGATGCAGTAATACCTGCCGAGTTGAAGTTTAAGTTACACTTCTTTCTGATACAGCATGGAAGAACCTGTTCTGCCTGTCGTGGCGGAAGCAAAGAGCGGCACGGATGTGAAGTGCAAGAGGAGGTGAGGAGAACCCTTAGCCAGGAAGGCTTAGCTCCTGCTTGACCAAAGCTTCATTAATGGGGGCGTTGAGCAGGTGGCACTCCGGATCTTTCACAGCTGTACAATCATTCTCTCTTCTTTGGAAACTCGTTCGCCGTCTGTCCTCCGTAGATGCAACGTCAGAGCACAAATACCATCTCCGTTAAATTTGCTGGAGTGTTGATGATTGTTTTTCCTATAACTCTGTGAACTGCGTATTGTACACGTTCTACCGACCCATCTTGGATTTGTTTGGATCACAAGCCTCACTCATGGTAGCAGGCGCGATCATGATGGCTTCTAAATTCACGCCCCTCTGGAGATCAGACCCTTCCTGTGCGGAAGTCGGATCTCTGCCTGGGAGCTTGGCCTGTATTCAACATGCGCCGTGAGCTTTTTAATTAGAAAATCGATCGTTGATCGTAGTGACCAGAATGAGGATCTTTGACGACGTTAGGTGCCCGTTCAACTTGAACACTGTGTATTCTCCACAGCCATTGGACGCATGTGATCTCGGAGGGTGGCATTCTGAAGGTGGGGTGATCGCCCAAGATTCATTACCGAGGGTTTATCACCGAGGGTTCATCACCAAGGGTTCATCACCGAGGGTTCACCGCCGAGGGTTCACCCTCGAGGCGTATAATCACCGCAACCTGAAGCTTCCGGCAATATGGATGTGGCACATCCTTCTGGTCGGTAGGTAATCAGCGACATCTCGTGGTAGCAGCTGTTGAAGCTAGCCTCATAGCCTTACCATCTCAGGTTGATGTGATTCGCTGGGTTGGCGTTTATAACAGGGTATCATGGAGCTCACGCACGGCGGTAAGGCCTAGCTAGGAAATGGATACAGTCGTTGAAGTTACATTGATTATTGTCCTGCATGAGTGCGCATTTGTCGTTCAGCACATAAAGCGATGGCACGCACATTTGAACCACCTTGACCACCTGGATCAGTCTCTAATCTTAGAAATATTGGAGACTTTGGCAAAGTTGACCCGACCTGACACGATAGAAGAATCGAAGATCGTACAACGCTCTCTTGTTGTCGACAACCAAGTGAGGGGTACATTGACGAAACGACTGACCATCGAGAGACTGCTCTGAGGTTTGATCAAAACCAAGAAAGCGCTCAGTATGCCTTTTGAGTGTTGATCTCTATACACACAGCGCTACTGACTATGTTGTACTCGACAACGGAAAGTTTCGAATGGTCTTGTCTAGGCCCTGACGAGGTTAGGTGAGGAGATTGAGGCTGGAATGTCTACCTTCTTTTGATCGCTAGCGACAAGGATGCGTTGAGCTGAGGGCTGCTTCTGTTGAAATTGGCTGGCGATAGAGAGTGCACACTCCTATGGGCCACATCGTTGATTTGGAATGTCGAGGGCCGACAGTAGTAGGTCAGTCTCGAAAAACCTCGTCATGACTGTACGCGTCGATCCCCGTGTACTTCCCATCCAGCAAGGACATACACGCCTCATTTGCCACAGCGGAAAAGAAGGACGGTGGTGACGCAACGCCCGCAAGGAGAGAAAGTTTTAGCTCACAGCGTGAGCCCGATTCACGACTTCGTCCTCAATGTTAGACCCTTATGGCAAGGAGAAAAGCAGCGAGAATGCGTGGCCAATAGAGAGCGATGGCGACTAGTCGCTGTTGTTACAAACTGGATCTAAGCTATTAGGAATGCCGAGGTTTTCTTGATGCTGTCAACGTGTACGAAGAACGTGATTCCAGTAAATTCATTCGAATCCGGCATTTGCACGGTAAAGAACGGTCTAAGCTCTTTATCACTTTAAAGCCGCACTATCTATTCTCTATCATAACACTTTAAGGCCTAGGGCCTAATCTACCCTAGGTTAAATTTTGTGTTCTAATTTTGTAAACCCTTCTCTCCCCCCCCTAGATTTTAAGACAAATTTTGCTAAGTATACTAGCAGCAGCTAATATTACTAAGTAACTAATATTACTAAGTAACTAATATTATAGAGTAACTAATATTATAGAGCAATAGTAATAATACTAATACTATAATAATTAAGCACTACTTAGGTAGCTATTTAGTAGTATTAAATATATTTATATTAATATATTATAGTTATCTACTAACTAAGTCTATTATACTATAGGTCTACTAAACACCTAGAACCTTATACCTAGCAACCTTAGACATTAAAAATTATTATAACTAAGTGCTGCCTTTTAAGCTTAATATATATAAAGTAGATACCTTTCCCTTTACCTCTTATATAAGTAGTAACCTAAGCTACTCTATATATACCTTATTTACTAGCTAATTATACTTAGGCCTAACTACTCTACCTATAGTAATCCTATTATAAATAATTTAAATTTACTAGTTTATACTTACTCTCTTCTATATAGTAAGAATAGGTATATAAGCCTATACTACCTTCTAACTAAACTAGACTAGGCCTAGTAACTTTTTTAGAGTTAAGGTAACTATTCTATAGAAATATTTAGTAGCTTAAGAAAGGTAGTTAATATTATATAACGTGAGTGCATAGCGAGTGGACTAGCTAGGCGAGTAGACCGCCCTAACAAGCTATTAGGCACTCTGCAAGCAATTGCGCAACACTATAAGGCTTTACTATAGCTAATAGTAGCAAATATTAATTATTAACTTCTACTGCATCTTTCTCACACGTGCGCAAGTTGTGCCCTGCCTTACTATAGCGCCTGCAGTGCCTTTTGTGCTGCTTGCCTGCACCTATTTAAGCTCTACCCTTAAGAGTTTCCCCCTTAAGCTGCGCCTTAACGTTGCGTTAGGCTATTAAATCCTCTGCCTGTTCCTTTAAGAGGTCTCTACCCTTCTAAATCTACTTTCTTTTGCGCAATTTGCGCTTAGAAGCAGCCCTGTTTAACGCTTCAAGCTATAGCACTTAGGCGGCTAGTAATGTCTATAAATGCAGTATTATTGCAGTGCCTTTTTATAGCTAATCTATTATCTTAACTATAGGAGAAGGTAACAATCCTTAGTGCCTCTAAATACAATCGCGAAGCAATATTAATTAAGCCTCTATCTTATTAGCGTTAGTAGGTGTCTTAGGGTTCTATTAGGGCTCCCTTATAAGAGGTGGTGTTAGCATGCAACGCTTTATATTAAGCTTTAATAGCACTACTAATAGATTATTAGGCACTAAGCTAGTTGCTTTAAAGCTTAATATAATAATTGCCTTTAAAAATGCCTTATTAAACACCTTCCTAAGGGTCGCAATAAAGGCTTTTTTATTAATCTAGCTAATATAGTCTAGCGCTAAGACTCTAATCTCTTTGCTGTACGCCTACTTTAGGGGGGCAAAACAACCTATATTAAGTAGCTATAGGATATAAGATAAGTATAGAGGCATATATAGGGTAATAATCTTGCTCTCTATACAAAGATTTTAGAAAGTAAGCAACTTGTAGCTCTTATAGCCGTTGATTATTAGCAGCACGTGGCTACCTACCCTCTAGCCCTAAATCTGCTTAACAAAGTGCCTTAACTAGGCTACTCTAATATTGTTAGTAGTCTAGCTGTTATTACTAACCCTAATGCGCTATTAGGGCTTTAAATCAGGGTACCAGGACGCGTCGTGGTTCTTTGCTTTGAAGATAAGGTAGGGCGTAATTGCCTAGCCCATCGCGTTAACTGCAGCAATTAAAGTTACCTACTCACGGTCTCCCTGCTAGACCCTAATAGGTTGAGTACGTCTCTTAGATGCAGTAACTACTCTAACGCAATTTCTAACGCTTATAGTAAAGCCAGTCTTGTTAAAGTTATAGGTATCTTTGTCCTAGATGCTATACTTAGCCTTAACATTCTATACTAGGTCAAACTAGGGCCTAATAACCCCTAGGTTGCTGCAGAGAACTCTCTGGCGATCCCTCTGTCGAGTTAATCGTGATTAGAGTCTAGGCTCGCGTTTAACAAAGTTTAAAGCCTATTAGGGGCCAATAGGCTCTATATTGCGTGCAGCGCGCAATTAATTAGCTATATCTTTAACGCAATAGAGCGTTAGGGCAAGTCCTTACTTATTAAGCCTTCTTATATACTGCACAAGCGCCTTCTCTTCTATCTTATTAAGGGCTAATAATTTAGGCTAGGTATTGCGTGTTGACTGCCTCCTAGCGCGTCGCTAAAGGAGGGTTGTTTTTGACACCTAGTAGACAACAGCAGCACGTTGCACGCTTAGTTCTTGGGGTTTCTTGATTGCTTAGAGTGCAAGCTTAATCCTATCTTCTTTTAAGAGCGATTTAAGGTTATGTAGCTAATCTATTGAGGTTTAAAGGTTAGAGGGCCTAATAGCTTGTTAGGGCGGTCCACTCGCCTAGCTAGTCTACTCGCTATGCACTCACGTTATTATATATAGTAATAGCTTATTAATATATTCTTATCTAGTACTACCTAGATTAAAGCTATAAGGCTATAAAGTTAGTATATAAATAGTACAAGCACTAGATTAATATATATTACTAGTATAGTAAGGGTAATAGTATATACACTATTAGAGTTAGCTATAACTAAGTAATATTTATATATTATTTTAGGTTAAATATTTAACTACTTATAGGGTAATAAGCCGGCCCGGGGCCTAATCCACCCCAGGTCGAATTTTGTGTTCCGATTTCGTGAACCCCCCCCCCCCCCCCCCCCTAGATTTTGAGACGAATTTTGCCAAGTACACTAGCGGCAGCTAATATTGCTGAGCAACCAATATCGCCGAGCGACTGATATTGCAGAGCGACAGTAACAATACCAACACCACAACAATCAAGCACCACTCAGGCAGCTATTTGGCAGCTTTAAACACGTTCACATTGACACATTACAGTTATCTACCAACCAAGTCCATCACACTGCAGGTCCACCAAACGCCTAGAACCTCATGCCTGGCAACCTTAGACATCGAAAATCGTCGCAACCGAGCGCTGCCTTTCAAGCTCAATATACACGCCTTTCCCTCCACCTCTCATACGAGCAGCAACCTGAGCCACTCCACGCATGCCTTGTTCACCAGCCGATCATACTTAGGCCTGACTGCCCCGCCTGTGGTAATCCTGTCGCGAATAATTCGAATTTGCCAGTTTACACTCACTCTCTCCTGTGTAGTGAGAGCAGGTGTGCAAGCCCATACCACCTCCCAACCAAACCAGACTAGGCCTAGCAACTCGTTTAAGGTCAAGGTGACTATTCCATGGGAATGTTTGGTGGCTTGAGAAAGGTGGTCAATGCCGCATATTGCGCGTAGCGACGGCTCGTTGATGTGTCCTGGTGTGTCTAATACCACCTAGATTAAAGGCATGAGGCTGCGAAGTTGGTATGTGAACAGCACTGGCACTGGATCGATGTGTGTTGCTGGTGCAGCAAGGGTGATGGTGTACATGCCGTTGGAGTCGGCCATGAGCGACATTTGTGCGTTGTTCTGGGTTGAATATTCGACCACTTGGAGGGTAATGAGTATGATGAGTCCGATGGGGATGATGGGGATGATGGGGATGATGGGGATGATGGGGATGATGGGGATGATGGGGATGATGGGGATGATGGGGATGATTGAGATGGGACTGCAGCTGCGAACAGTGCTCTTATTGTGAACGGCATGGAACACGACTGGTTCATGGTCTGCTCCTACCATGGGAACTGCTCGGAGTCACAGGTCTTCCATGGTATTGCGGTTTGAATATGGTTCAGGGACTCGAAAATTTTCAAACTCCCACAGGGCCACCCAATATATCAAACCCATGGTTGTAGACAGCTGCACTCGCGATTATTAAGTCAATTCTTCGCAGTCATACGCACAATATGGCTCGCGCAATACGTCGCGTCCCTGAAGCTCTTGGAACCGCACGTGATTCACAATGCATCCTCAGAATATACTTTGCTGCAACAAGTACGTAACGACGTTTGTGCCACAGGCAGAGGGCTTTAGCCTGTTTTGTAAGATTTTTCGCGATATACCCCTGTTTTTCGTGCTTTATCAATAAAATCATAAAATCATAGGGTAATAAGTATAATAAGTCTAATAGAGATAATAAGAATAATTAAGATAGGACTATAGCTATAAATAGTAGTAGCTCTTATTATAAATAGTATAGAATATAACTAGTTTATAGTCTACTCCTACTATAGAAACTACTTAGAGTTATAGGTCTTCTATAGTATTATAGTTTAAATATAGTTTAGAGACTTAAAAATTTTTAAACTCCTATAGGGCTACCTAATATACTAAACCTATAGTTATAGATAGCTGCACTTATAATTATTAAATTAATTCTTTATAGTTATATATATAATATAGCTTATGCAATATATTGCGTCCCTAAAGCTCTTAGAACTATATATAATTTATAATACATAAGTGTTAGTATTCTTAAAATATACTTTGCTATAATAAGTATATAATAATGTTTGTGCTATAGGTAGAGGGCTTTAGCCTATTTTGTGAGATTTTTTGCTATCTACCCCTGTTTTTTGTGCTTTATTAATAAAATTATAAAATCAAAATTATAACACTTTGAAAAGAACAAGAACAAACAAGAAAGGGCCAGATTAAACGAGACGCACCCAGAGCAAACGTGACAGAAGCAGAGCAAAAGTAGCAGAAACATACAAAACGCAGCAGAACCAGAACACACACAGCTTAGACAGCCAGAATCCAGCGCATTGAGCCCAAATGCGCGACAGAAGCCGTCCACTCATGGTCAAACTAGCGGACGAGCAGCATTTGCCGTGACAGGAGGCAGGAGGCCCATACTGACCATCTCCTGGACCGATTCAAAGGCAGCTTCGAGCGTGTCGACAAAGCCTGTCCAGCCCTGCAGCCGGGCCTTGTTCATGCTGACGGTGAGTGAGATTGAGAAGTAGATGTCGAGGAGCTGAAAGTTTTCCTTAACAACATCTTCTTCAAAGGGGTTGTTCGTGATGGCACCTCCGGAAGATTCCATGATCTCTTCCCAGGCATTTTTGTTGCACTCTTCTTTCGCCCAATCCAGCATCTTGAAGCTGGAGCCAGTGACTAGGGGTGGGCCGTACCCAAGAGGACAATCTTTCCCTCCCTTGAGCTCAGCGTTTGAGAACTTCGACAGATCTTCCGGAGGACCAACCGCACCTTTCTCGTTACCGTACCAACGCGCTAGCTCGGCTAGGAATCGCTCGTATGTCATTGAGTTGGAGTCAATCGAATTGTAGGCCTGGTTCTTGCACTCATCGCGCAACGCAGCCCATTCGCTCAGATAGCCAGTTAAGCGGGCTGTCGACATCGGGGTCGGGCCTTGCCACGTTTTCCAGTCTCCAGGGAAGTACAAGGGCTCTTTTTTGTGTGCCTGGACCGCGGAGTAGACACAGAAGAGATACAATCCGCTCATCTGTGCCTTAACGGCTGAACCTATCACTCCAAAGGGACGGATCACATTCCAGGACGTCTGTGGGTGTCGCTTGCAGTATTCCAAGAGACTGTCTTCTTGTGGGTAGTAGAAGTTGGGGCTGAGTTGTCGTGGCTGAGGGTCGGACTCGACGCAGGGCTGGGGTCCTCGACCAAGTTGAATCCCGTAGTTCTTCCCTCCAGTCTGTAGGAGTATTCTCTTCGGTGTAACATCTGCGATTTCGAGGGCTTCCAGAAACGAAGACAGCAATTTAGTGTTCAGTGCCTCCAGCTTCTCAACATTCGACCACACAGCCTCATTGTCTTTGGTCTTTGGCTGCATGTAGGCGTAGAAAAACACGTATAGATTGGGCTCTCGAACTGAACTCAGTGATTTCGCTATATCCTTAGAGTCGCTCGAGAAGTCGACGGGAAGGTGCTGTAGGCGTGATTGTTGCTCAGTTGACAGCAAGTCAGTAAGACCTTTGCTTGGAGGGCTTCGGGACATCGCGTAGATTTTCGTCCATCCGACTGGAGAATCGAGCAAGCTACGAATGGTGTTCCATCCTGAGATCCCAGTGGCACCAGGAACGATTGCCGTTAGACCTGCAGTGGCAGGATAGGTTGGCAGATTGCGATACACTCCGGACTGTCGAACAGTGAAGCTGTCGTTGCTTTGAGGGACCATGGTGATTCGTGTAAGAATGTTCAGCTGAATTATTGGTATGAAACGTGCGAGGTCGAGAATTTGCTGTGATGGTGTTTGATTTGAGTGACCTGGTGCTTTTATAGAGAAGTCCTAAATTTCTCTGCGCGCAAGGCGATCTGATCGTAGTGCCGATACTCTAGGCATCAGGTATCTGTGCTCGATCAGGGACCAAAAGGAGCATTTTTTTCCAAATAGACCGCGGATTTTGGGGCATAATTTATGTGGATCCATACCGTCATGAACTGCTAGGTCCATCAAAAGTCCGGTGGGACTTACATAAGTAGGTCGTGCTTGGCGTGGAGCTGTTTCAAGACCAGTAACTTCGAGTGCTGTTCACAACGGTCGGCGCACCTATACGTTTCGCGCAACTGCAGCTGTGGGTGCTGGATCCTGTTCAAGTGCTCCCTGTGAACACGATGTTGTGTGTCACCGTGGATGGCAAACTGCCTGGACTGGGTACTTCGCAAACAGCTTCCCCACTCCGAGTCTGAATCTGTTTCTCTAGGCTGTGGTTGTGCAGATGCTGTGGCTTGATAGGGTGACACGGAAGCATCTCTTACCTATAGGATATGGGATTTGCATCTCTGAACAACGTCATGGAGGTTTTTTGTGTATTTTGACATGGGGCGCTGTATGCAACGACAACTTTAATTCCCAGACTGTCCAATTTGGAGCTTGTCCTCGCCAAAACTAGTATCCTCTAGCATGCCTTTCAGATCTGTTATGCGGCGGTAGTTCATCTTCATTACTTTCATTCACAGTAATTCACGACTCTTGCTGATGGTCCAGGGCATGTAGCACGACCTCAGCAGGTGCCGAGACTAAGAAATCTGTTCTGGAGGATGTATTGATGGATTTTATCCATAGAGGTCTTCGGTTGCGGTTATTAACCTAGTGTAGGGACCCACGCACCGCAGATGAGGATCAGCATGTTCGTTCACATGGGGAATCTCGGATGGTCTCGAAGATTGCCACATATAGAGGACTGCTGCTACTACAGTGCTGTTGGTTTCAAAGGCCCATGCTGCTACCATGCAGCTTCTGACAGTTAAAGTTAATGCCTAAGGCAAATCGGGCTCTAACGCCTCCCTCGAGGCGCCATTTAGTTGTTTTCTTGGTAGTTATGAGATATTCTCGTTTGCTCCAACGATCCTGAAGTTCAAACAGCAGCAACGAGAGATGATGTCCTCTGAGGTCGAATCTGCTGTAGTGTCAACGAGTCGCTGATGTGGGTTCGAAGCACCCAGACCAACAAGGAAGTTCGACCTCATCGTAGTTGCCGCCTGCTTTCGGAGAACACTGCAACATCTGTTCGAAGATCAGATAAGAGTTACGCCTTGACTGCACCAAGAATCCACCGCACCGCATCCGAATTCTTGGATGGCTTACATGACATTGATCCGAACATACCAACAGCGAGCAGTAATGGCAGCAATGCTGCTCTAGCGTCAGAGATGATTTGGATGAGTAATGAGACCTTGAACGTAGAAAAGGTGAAGTTACCCACAATCAAAGTGTCGTATGTTTGCTGCTGCGAAGACAACGTCCGCGAGCGGACCTTGGAAGTTCGTGTGCATATCACTCTTGCGTTTCTGCACTAGGGTTGGCTGAACAAACAGATGAGAGACTATCTCTTATCCGCGAACCTTTACAGCGAACGTCCTTTCTAGAATCCGTGCAAGGCAACCTCGCATACAGAAAGCCTGCTCTATCTCTCAACCACCGGGCATCAGAGATGGGTGGAAGAGGGAGGCGGAAAAGCAATCATCTGCGTGGAACAGGGTTGATCTCTCAGGTTCAAGGATCCTCTTGGGGTAGTAAAGTGGGATCTGGGAGTCGACATAGTCGTCTGCTGTGTTGATCTTAGTAGCTTCAGCGGCAATCGCTGTAGATTGACGATAGCCCGAAGGATCTCCAAAGCTCAGAAGGAGATCATAGGAGGCAAACAATTTAGACACAGGCGCCCACCCGCCCGACGCGGACGCCAACGATGCTAGTCTCTCCTTGAGTGAGGCGCACGTTGCCCTCGTCGTGAAAGAGAGCATGCGATGAGGCAAGGTCCAGCAGCTTACAAGTACATCCTACACCATCAAAGCGATAGCGCAGACATGGCTTGTGGGTATCACGGGCTTGCGCTGTGAGAAGCCATTGCTGGATGTCCGCTTCCTGCCGAGCCTCAGAATGGGTAGGACAACCCCGCTCGGCCTGCTACTAGTGAGACTGAGCGCGACTCACGGCCTCGAGAACTGCGTAGTGTGTAGTAAATAGATCAGTTCTTGTCTGCAGGAGTCTAGTCATTGTGAGCCGCAAAATTATCTTCATCCCACTAGACACTCACGTTACTCTTCGTGCCGGTGCAGGTGGTGCTGGACTAAGCAGGCTTCACCACCAACAGTTGTACAGCGAGACTTGCCTAAAGCAGTCCCAAATGGGGAGTTTCATTGTCTGCGATGTCACCGTCGCACATGAATCCATAGGGCCGCGGGCTGAGTTCCGTTGGGATCACGCCTGTGACGCAGCTTCGGTCCGATTGGCTATGTGGGGAGAGTAGCTCTTCCGAAAACAAAGAGCTGTTGCCTGATGCACAGCTGTGTACGACTGGTCTCTACATAGTACAATCGCGCCGAGGGTTTTATGGTTTCATGGTTTTATGGTTAGGGCTAGTGCTTGGGACTTGTGGGCCTACCTCCTCACCCCGCGACCGACAAACACTGTTCCGCACTGACGCGAACTTACATTCGGACCGATCCGTGCATCACAACCGTCGGGTGGCGTCATCTCGGGTTTAGACCCACACGATGTTGAAGCCACGCGGCACTGAACCCATGTGGTAAGAAGGCAATGAATTTCCATGACGTAGCGATGTCTCATAGAACTTGATGATTGTTGGCGGTTAAGAGTCTGTTTCTATAGAAAGTGGTGCAGCCATTGAATGTCTATGAAAGCAAAAATATTCGGGAAGATCGTATTCATCTATGAAGGCTTCGCAGGCTGTCCTTTGCTCGACCAAGGTGGGCCAAGCCCCCTGGCAGGACATCTGGTGGCATCCTATGATGAGAAGAATGCAGATTAATCGGTCTTCAAGGAAGCCGAGAGCACATCTCATTGTGACAAGTGCATACACTAGGTTACTAGCAGAAGAAGCTTAAGTTTGCGTTAGCCTAACTTCTAAAATTTCTTCATCTTTGTCCTATGAGGCTAATCAGACGCTAGACGATTGCGACTCGGGTGTTTGAGTGCGATGGCCTCGCACTTGAACCCACAAGCACCGTGGGGTCATTACCGCTGACATCGCTGGAATGTCTCTCCCGCTCTCCACGGCTGCTTCTAGCAGGCATTGCTGCGCAATCTGCAACAAAGTGTATTCGACCAATAGCCACCTACGCCGGCATGAAGCGACACGTAAGAGCTTTGTGCAAGATTGGAGGTCCACAGCTTACGGTGCTCAGATCATGGTAGACAAGAATTGGCATGCCCCCTATGCCGTGCGCAGTTCTCACGACGGTGCTTAGCCCTCAAGTTAGATATTAGAGGAGTTCTGACAAGCAAGCAGAGATCTTGCTCAACGACACGTCCAAAAGTGTTCTGCGAGCAAGGAGGTAGTCCTGCCTATACTGAAGGGTGGCAGGAAGCGGATGTCTTGCGACATATGCTCACAGCGGAAGCTGTCATGCGATACCATGGTGCCCTGCATGCGCTGTCGGTCCGTTGGCATAGAGTGCACGTACGAACGGCTAGGCCTTCCTTCCTCGTCTGCTACCTCCCGGATTGGAGTCAATCATTCTAGCTACAGAAACGCCAGCAACACTCAGGGTAGCACTGGTGGAGATTACGGACGCCACTCCATTGATTTTCTTCTGAATTTCACGAGCCCCTTAGGCTACCGCCCATCCGCAGCCATTGCCGCTGAAGCCACCAACGTCATCACTGTGGAACACAGTGCTGAATCCTGGAACTCACAGTTCCGCACGAATGACCACTACAGTGTACAAAGTCCGCCATCTCGTGATTCTGACGACTTCCCCACTGTGTTCCTTGGCTTCCCACCTCTGATGCCCGGAGAAGAAGAGGGGAGAGACGGAAGCATGCCCGTCATCAAAGACTGTTCCCTGTCTGATCTAGAAGAAGCGTTCGCCTTGGAGGGTCGAATCAATGAGCTTATCTGCCAGCTGTCTGCCCACCAGGATTCGATGCTCGAACATGGCAGCATCGCAGAAGCTCGTTTTGATGTACAGCTCGCACGATTTGTGTTTGATAAGGCCAACGTAAGGCAGTTTATTTGGGAGTTTTTCCACTATTTCCACGATCAGTTCCCTGTCCTCCACAAGCCAACGTTTGACAGTCAAACAGTCTCGTTGCCCCTTCTACTCACAGTTGTGCTTTTTGGGTCAATGTCCTCTAATCCGTCGGACATTTCTATTGAGATACGACAGTTCTTCAATGTTGCAGAATCGTATGTGTTCGACAGAGTGGTTTCTAAACACATGCTGCAGCGCTCTTGCGGAGCACCTGCCACGAATGAGATTGAGCTTCTCCAGGCCGGATTGTTGTTGTTGGTGGTCCTAAACAACAGTAATGACCCAACAGTACGACGACGGCTAAGACTACAGAGAATCCCTTGCCTCGTTGCTGCTGTGAGGGCTTCAGGATTGTTTTCGTACAGGCGCCAACATAGTATTACTGGGGAGTACAAACCTAATTGGCAGCTCTTTATCTTAGATGAGGTACAGTTAAGGTAGTGAGGCCTAGTGTGTTCTCTTTGTCAACCTTCGCTGACAGATCCCGCAGAGTGGCTGTCTGGACATTCATAGCTGACAGCACTTTGGCAATGTTCTTCAACGGCTCCCCGCACGTGGCCATATCTGAGATGACAGGAGGTCTCCCATGTAGAGAAGATCTATTCAGGGCTGAAACGGCCGTGGAGTTCGAGCATGCAGTCTCACCGTGTCTTCTAGGGCACCCAGATCCCACATTTCCTAGACTCATGTCTACTCTTCTCTCCGTTCCGTTATTGGAGTCTCCAGCCCAGACAGTAGAGCATGTCACAGCAGCGAACATGCTGATACTCATATGCGGTATGTGGTCCTTCGTTAAAGGTGACGTGACTACTGCTAAACGTCTGCAGCGCTACAGTCTAATGTCATGACATTCAGAATGCACTATCTAGCTCCACCAACTGCTGAGGCTCTGCTCTCTACGTTAGATCGATGGAAAAGCCTGTGGGACGCCGTGCACGAAACTAGCGTAGAGGGATTCGATACGCACACAGGGTTTGAGCGGCATGCTGCAGCGTACTGGTGGCTAACAAGGACGCTCTTGAAAATCGTGCAGTCAGGAGACCAAAGCTGCCGTTACTTGCAGCCCTATCCCTCGGACTCTGTGAAAGACTTGCACGATTTTGTCCGCAAGTACAAGAACTATGTTAATTAGGCAACAAGATTGTTCTTGTTAGTGGAACCGAACAACAAGCAGCTTCTGTAGATCAGTGGTCTTATCATGGTATATGCATACGGGACAGTGTACTCTGCGCACAAACAGAGATGTGTGGCCAATGTGGCGGACGATATATCAGCTACTTTCACGAGATTCTCACGTCGCAACTTGGAGGGAAATCGCGAGGACGTGGGCCTACATGATAGTCTTCAATGCAATCAGTGTATTTGTGGTGGACACCACCAATAACGTATGCAAATTAGCTACGATCGTGTTGTAAAAAGTCCCTCCAGTGCTGTGTGCTGATCAGCTGATTGTCCTTCCAGCCATGCCTTTACGTTTGCAATTCGGTCTCGCTCGGACCACATCTCCTGACTCATCGCTGTCCAGTTGGGGCGGCTCAAACGGACGACGAGAGCTTCAAGAGCTTGCTCGACGCAGATCAGACGACGGTGTATCTCGTCGATCCTGTCTGCACTAAAACAGACAAAGACGTCAGCTCCAGGCACTGTATGGCGGCGGTCTAGGCATCGGAAGCTGCGAAATACTATGCAGGCCTCAAGCGATACGCAGGGAATGCTTCCAAAGAACAAAGGTAATGAACGAGAACTCCCTTGAACTTACTAGTCGTCTGAGACGCAAAGATGATGATTTTGGTTTGTTGGTGTGACAGATGACATCTGTCTGGAAGTCAGCGTCTTTCACGGGGAAAGCACATCAAGACAGCGCAATTCACGAACAGGAAATTCGAATTTTCGACGCGAGCGCACTTGTACCATGTAACAGGTGTACCGTTATTGAGGCAGATTTGCTCATGTAGAGCCGCACTGATGTGTGATTGCATGCCGAACACCGGACACCGGATTCCTCGAATTCCGTGCCAAGAAGTGCTACACGGGCAACGCTTGGTTAGGCCGGTCGATTTCGGCCTATGTGACTTCCTCGCGGTGCCCGTTGCTAGCGTTCGTGAGGGTCAGCCGGAAGGTACACGTGTCGATAACTTTGAGTTCAACGATTCTTTGAAGCGGAACCCATTGCTCCGAGTGCTTTCGAGCCTTCAACCAGCGTCCATGTGAACCTTTGCTCAGTCGATCGCTTTCGCACACACAAGCCTTGCCACTGATAGATTGTTGTGTGACTGGCACTTTCTACTGCTGTCCACATGGGTTTCGTCTGTCGTTCTTGCATTGAATTGGGCTCAGTAACAGCCTCCTTGATGCATGCTATCAACTCGGGCTACACGAAAGCCGCCAGTTACGGTAATCAATGCACCTATTGCACTCGCTGGAAACAAACTGCCCTCTTGATCTCGTCGACTGTTCGCATTATGCCAAGATTGTCTTTTGATAGAACCACCTACCACGGTACTTTCTGGCATTACTCCATGTCTGTGCATCGTTCATATATTCACGTGTCCAACAGGCGTTTGCAACGGAGCTTGGATCACACACCGCATGTCAGTCATGCTGCTGTCGTCAATGTTCGAGGTCCCCGCTTTAACAGCATCTGAAGAGAGCTTCGATGTGCCATAAATTTAAAACATCTATTTCACTGTAGAGTACACGTTCACCGCTGCGTCGATAGTCAACGTCAAATGATCGCTACTATGCTTCAAGCAATGTACGACCATCCATCTCTAATTACCTTTGGGACTACTGTCTTCGCCATTTTTGACTGTCCAACCATGCCTGGAAGAACCAGATGTCGATCGGTCGAGTTTGCGCTCACTGACCTTCAGACCCACTCGCCTGAGTTCTATCTCACTGGAACAATTTGTTGGTTTAGTTCTTAGTAAAGACGCACCGTAACTATCAGTTGAGTTCGTTCATTGTGAGGGCCTCTACAATCAGTTCTAGACTTGCGGGGTGCCATTCGCGGCACTGTCGATCGCGCTCATGTGCTCGTCGCTTGCACCCTATTTCGGGCGCAGTCGAATGGATGCATGATTGGTGTTGTGAACGATCACCCTCGCTGCGGTTTGTTCGAGCCCGATGTCGAGTTTTGATCTACACGCAGACCTCCATGTCGGTGCACTGTGTATTCAACTGGCTGACGCTTGTGCCGTAGTGGATTCAAACATTATAGGACCACTCTTCTTTTTCCGCCAATCCTTGTTTGGACGGTTTGGCCGTCTAGGAACTCCGCGCAGAAGACCCGCTCGGGCCGCCGGCGAATCGAACACGCAGCGGTGATGAACCCACAGCGGCAATGAACCCACAGCGGCAAAGAACCCGCTGCGATTACAGGGTGCGATTGTTGTATTTACAGATTACAGTTCGTCGCCTTTGAGATTAAGACATCTGTAATCGACCCAAATTACGGGACAGTCGAAATCCAAGAACATTCAACTCATCACTTCGAAACCCTCTCGTCTGTTGCCTTGCTTGGATGAGCGAGCCAGGCACACAGTCAAGACAGACCTGGTCAGTAGTGGTCAAACCGACGACGATCCCCCAGTATCAACGCGCATTCCGATGTGAGCAGCTTATTCATAGCGTCGGTGAATTTAATAAACTTCCTTGTAGAAAGCCTGGCGGTCGACAGTAGTTGCATTTGCAACAGATTTTCCATGTGGGCGTTCCACGTTAGCCGCGGAACCCGTCTCCAATTTGAGATATCTGCTCGTCCATGGAGATCTTGGTATCTTCAGCATTGGTTGTGACAGGTAACTTGACCACAGCAAGTGGATAGTGAACGGTGCCTCCGCCACCGCACGGCCAGGCGGCAACTTCGGCTGTCGACTTCGAGCAGGGAACAAGTAGATTCCTGTGCAGAGCGAACGCTGATTTACCAAATTGCTAAGTGCACGATTTCATTACGGCGAGAGAAGGACATGGAGGAATATGCACAGGGTATTGGGGCGCTGTGCTTTAGAGGTCGATAACACAAGGGGAAGGTTTACTGGGCGGTAGCTGGAGACGGTACAATCCCTAGACCTGGCAACACAACAATCAAGTAAGTTCCTGGCATTTACGTCTTCAACCCCATCACATCTCAGAGTCAAGCCATACTAAACAACTCCTATGGTGCCAAGTTCGATAGCCCAGATGACTTGATTGGACACCAGCAGGCCAGACCCTCTGTTCCCGCAGTCACGACTCAAAGCACACTGCTATTACCTATTTGAACCGGCGACAGAATATTCATTTTTATAGTACATTACCCCTATCGTCTTGCGCGTCTAGTGCCCCTTCAATTATTCTGATAATTGATAGCAATGGAGGGCGAATCGGGAGAAGCGCTCGAAACGTCATTGATAAACGTTTCAAGATGTTTGTTGATTATAGATGGTTCCTCGACTTGCAAGAAGTGACCCGCATCGACTGAACGTACACGAACATTTCTAGTGAATGGTAACGAGTCGTTTAGCTGGAGATGCGGCATGGAGATTGGATCTCTCTCCGCAACAACTAGGAGAACCGGTTGCGTAACGACGCCTGATAGCTTCAGATCTGGTCTCTCGCGTCAGGAAACCATCTTTCTGGGGCCCTTTGATTGCGTTCTACGTACCGTCCTCCGTTGGATTGCTGATGCCTGCCATTGTCGCCTTATACCACCGTAATGGCGCTTCCATGCCTCCGTTGGACATGATTATAGTCTTCCATTGCTCATAGTAGACTTGGCTGACGTAAACATCTGTTGCGGTCCGGTTTTCGGTCAGCCACTGGCGTACAGCACCCAGCGGCGCAAAATTCTCCCTCCAGACCGTCTGATTTCGTGTAAAAGCAAGGCTTAGGAAAGAGTCCAACTAGTTCTTGTCAGTGTAAGGCGGTCAGAATCTTGTGCATTGCCTACATTTTCTTCAACAAGCTCAGTCATGCTATCTTCATTATTCGTAAACCAATAGCCATATATTTCGTAACCATATCGATCCTTGGCGTCATTATTAAAAGCAGTTATCGATGCTGCATCTAAGCGAGCCTGGAGTGGAAGATAACCACCGCCCAGAAATGCGGCTGCTGTTACTCGAGAAGATTGGTGAGTCAGGAGTCGGGAAAGCACCGGCGCTCCGCTGCATACCCTGTCAGCCCCAGGATCTCACCTGTCTTGGAAGATTCACTCACAAATCATGGGCAACCGCAATGAATTTTTCCACGCCCTCGCACTCGAGCAGCTCATTAAGTTCGCCGGCCATGCTCGTGAAGCTATATGCTGTCAAGCTCTCTGGCTTGTCGGTTCCCCCGTAGCCGAGGAGGTCGGGGACAACAACACCGAAGCCTTGCTCGGTGAAGTAGGTAATCTGAGCTTTCCACTCGTGCGACGTCTCTGGAAACCCGTGCAAGAACAGGATGTATGGTTTGGTTGAGTCGAACGGCGGAGAGAAGACATAACGGTAGGTTCTCCCAGAAGGGATCGTCACACCTCTGATCAAATTCGAATAGGAAGTGCTGCGGATATCGGTCTGCAGTTGTCAGTTTGACAATCGCTATCCCTAAACAGAACTTTGATCATACCGTAGAGACATTATAATTGCGGTGGCATTGACCCTATTGATCGTGTAAGTCACACGAGCTGCAGGAATCGAGTTGATCCCCAGAAACCAAGACAGGCTACCAACCAGTGGGTCACTCGCCCATCCATGCTGAAACCATAGGCTTGCCACAAGGAATGCCGTACGGGGGAGCCACATATTACGATCAAGATATTCCAGTCTTTGCGTTAGAGTCAATGTGCCAGAACAACTTCAGATAGAATAACGTATGTCTTGACACTTACACTGTTAGATTCATATAGGAGTAAAGATTATTAATCAGATATTGCGAAAACTAAACGTGACTCCGAGCGCTTCCGGGACAAATAGTTAAATATGAAAGAGATTACTTTAGTGCCGTTATCTAACATAATCATCTAAAATTTACTGCGTAGTAAGTCCTTGACAACTAATCTAATATAATCTTCTATGATTACCTACGTTGAGTTGAAACAGATTCCCTTGTTCTATGAAACTTCATTTGATCCTTCAGAAGCCTGCCCATCTCGGCGATCTTTCGATGGCGTGGCAGACATGCCTCGTCCCGTTCCCCACGCGCTACTCAACAGGGACTCTGACCTTCGTGCCCTGAACCGAAGACCTCAGGAAGAAGTCCAACCATTAGAAGAGCGAGACAAGTTCTGGACCTCCGTCATAGTCATGCGTGACCAACTCGATACCAACTGGCGAGGTTCAAACGTTCAACCGTCCTTGCCAGACGCTCATTACATCTCTTGCGTGGACAATCGTCAACCCGGATAACCTCTCGTTCAGCGTATCTGTGATTGGCACTTGATATTTACCAAGACCAGCCTGGTAGTGTAGTATTGCGTAGAAAGACTCTTCGTCGACCTCAAAATCGATTTTCGGAAACTTGCGAAGCAAAGGAAATCTTGCCCGCTTTCAGCTTGTCAAGACTGTCATATGCCACATTAAATTGACAGCCTAGATGCGTTAGAATAGTCGTTGATTAATCATAGGGTACAGGCGTAATTGGACACTCACCGCGCAATTCCTCAGCCATTGCAACCAGTTCCTGCATTGTGAGGCAGTCTCCGACGATCGTGCTCACTTTCGACCATGTTTCCAGGTCCATCATATGTGCCACAAATTTGGCCATGTCTTGTGTGGTCACGAAGTTTGCCTTCGTAGAACCATCGCCTGGCACAGCTGCCCACCGGTGTTCCATGTTCAAGACATTCACCCAAGGATGTAAGTGTTATTTCTAGTGAGGCATACCGTAGTAGTCTAGAAACCATCCGTTTACGACACGAGTATATTCAAGATTGCTCTGCTCAAGCAGATCGACCGCTTCGAAGGTATATCGCGCAAGCGGGCTAATATCGATGTGACTGGTTGAATGCGTGAGTCACCTGTCTGAGATTTAATCGAGAGCCCTACTCCTGTAGTTGTAGCATGTCAAAACTGCTAATCACAAATCTTCGCGTCGATTGAGAAAGCGCGGCAGCTTTGATAAGGTTCAGCTGTGCCTGGTTGGTAGCTGGAGTTGCGACACCAATTGCGCATATGACTGTGTCTACACCAGAAGCTTCTAACGTATCGCTCGTTGCTCGGACATCGTCATAGTCAGCCTCTAGGTAGGAAATGCTTGCTTTGGAGGCACTATTGTTTGTAATTACGGTTCGGGAGAACACAAATATCTTGTGCTGTGTATGCGCCAATAGTCCATCGACAATAGTCTGTCCGACGGGACCAGATCCTCCAGCGACAACGATGATACCCATATATAGTCGGCTCCTGTAGAGAATAATATCTCAGTGTCAAACCAGTAAAGAGAATCGCGAGTCCTAAGTTATTTCAACTCGTAACTGTGCTGTGTGAGTGATCTGACAAGTGCAGTGACTGAGTGCTCTAGGTAAAGCTGTTTTCGCATTTGGTCGCTCGATTAGGAAAGATGCAGTACCAACGATGTGGCAATCCGCACTAAGCAAGGTCCAGCCTTCTCCCTCGACACTTCTGACTTTACCTTACAGGAGCCCGCCCTGAAATCATCATGCCCCGTAGCAGTCCCGGTGGTATCATCCTGCGGCCAATTTGGCCTGACAACGCCTCCAACCTCGCATCTTGTTTTAATCGCACACTACAGCAGTCCGTGCCTGCGGACTCTAACAAATTATCATTGGCAGCATACTGAGTCAATACTCTAGGGTTGCCGCTGGCTTTCGGCGGAGTGTGGCGATGATCTGTCATTATTTACTGATCTGTTCGCGTGATAAGCGCCTACGCTCTGGAAAGCCCTGACAACCATTGAAAAATCAAACACACAGCCCGATTGAACGAATGTTTAAAACCAACAGACGTACCTGAAAAGTGTGAAATAACACGTTTTCATAGAAGGTCGGGAAGCGGCCGAGAAGAAAGACCCGGACGTATAAATTCAGATCTGCAACTTTGTTAATCTCAGATCTTGTGTTGTATCCAACCTGTTTCCTGGCCGGAGTAAGGATAGGTAATCAGTCAAAAGTTCAAGACGCAGCTTGTCCTTACAAACTCCCGTAATGATAGTTCGACACTCCATTGGTAGCCACAAGAAGCGCTGCTAGAAGCAGCACACAATCTTCTTTTACCAGATAGCAAGATGTATGCTCTCTTATCTCCACAAGTCATGCCGAATATGGGATTTCAGGCGGCTAGATTCCTTCCCTTTTAGTATTAGAGAAGCCATTTGTAGCAAAGAAGATAGCTCTTCGAGGTATGGACACAAATCGTCAAGAGCGCCACAATACGTTTCTGTTCCCGTTTCCTATACTCACCGTGCGCTGTCGTTGGATGCCAAAAAGTTAGCTGCCCATCTGCCGAGAACACGATCTTTCTCGTAGGACATGACCTCGCTAGTGGGCTCCACATTTTCGGAGTGGCTCCTTCCTCTCTACCTGCATGTAATATCGGCGTAGCACTGGCCTTCGTTTGCTGTAACCGAATTCACCCTTGTCTCCGCTGATGGAAGAGGAAGGAAGAGAGCTGTGGAGCCAAGCTGCGGAGCCGGGCTGCGGAGCCGGGCTGTATTCACTTAGAAACTATAAATACGCTTTCGGCTTCACGGGCCCGATCCCGCATCTCCAGGCCCTAGCCGATCTCTTGAGGGTGATTAGCGATCAGGTGCGTGCTAAGTTTGCTTTATTGACTTGATGTAGTCTATCTTCTTGGCCCGAATAGGCGATGCTTGCGAGGAACCACCGATACTGGTGAAGAGTTGGGAAAGTATGATACTGGATCAGTCTGCTTTTATAAGAGTGTATACTCGTCTTAACTTCAAACCGAGTCTGTAGAAGCGCGGAACCCGTCTGAACAGCCCTAATAGCATGTATAGCATAACAGGACAGTCTGTTGACTACGCCTGGAGACAGGTCTCGCCCAATCGATGGCAGCGGGAGATTGATGAAGCAGAACAATTTTATGCCTGCCTCGCCAAATCCTTCGAAGCCAGCGGCCGCATGTTCTTCGCTATTACCGGTTTCGTTCCGGTCTCTATCCCCGTCCCACCCCTCTCTTCGCTCGACGAGATCTGTACCAGAGTCGACTCGGCATTTCGCGATGCATGGTTGAGGCTACGATGTGAAATTCCGACCATTGCTTCCGAGATACACTTCAATGAAGAAATGGGGCTATCCTCGAGAAGAACGTAAGTCTCAGATCAAACACAGACTTCCTTGTGATGCCATCCATCAAGCATGCAACTGTGTCCGGCAAGCATCAACGTGTTGCAATCCAGCTCTCTCATTCCGAGACTGTCGACTTACTCGGAGCCGCAAAGTCTCTACAGGCCACAGTGAAACACCTCTACCATGCAGCTATCGTCAGTTTTCTGCGTGACCTGGGCCTTCGTGGAGCTGAGCCACGCCAAGCACGATACATCAGCTACGGCATGGTGAATGAGAGACCGAAGTGGCGTGGAGAGTACGCGACGTCGAAGCATGCCGCTGCGGTGTATCACTCGGTCTCTGGAGAAAGCCTTACAATTAACATCACCGTGCCATCGATGGGGAAACAAAAGCATGCCCATACAGCACACCAAGCAAGCCAAAATCAAGACCTATTCAGAGACATCGTAGAGCAGGTGAAGCACTACTACGTGGCCATACGCAATGACAAAGATGCCTTGGCACTTTCCCCGTCTTTCTGGGCAATGGGGACGCCTCGGATTGACCATGCAGTGGAGCAAATCACGTCTGTTCCCTCTCCTAATCTTCAGCCTTCCGTCACCATCAGCAGAATGGAAGTGCTTGATAAGGCTATCGAGCCGGACCATGGCCCATTCAAGGTCAGTAATCCATGGGTCACAGGTGAGGAGCTGGGTCCAGGTCTAGGCCTGTTTCTTGGAAGCTGGGAAGGACGTCTTAGCTTGAGCGCAGCATACAATGACGCGTGGCATGATATGAAAGATGTGTACAACTACCTGGATCATATACAAAGCATTGTTTTACATAGCTTAGGATTAAGTGTCTACAATCCTACATAGAAGTACATATAGTGCAGTATACTTAGTAACTAACTACGCCCTATACTGGGTATAGAGAAATATAGTAAGTGGAACTTATAATTATAGTCACATAAATTGCTAATGAGTAAAGAAGTAAATAACTACTACTTCCGACATCATGTCGCAACGGTGATTTAGAATAGATCTGCAATGGATGTGCATAGAATTCGCCGCCGAACGCGAACACAGGTAGACAACTTCTAAGCCTTTGATGCACATTCCTGCTTCAACGAGCGTGGTTATGCTGACGTTATAGTCATTGTCTGAAGCCCCTTATGACCCATCAATCAGCATTGCAATCCACTGCTATCCTCCTTGTCCGCCTAGCAGCACTTCCATCCCTGCTCAAACCGTTAGCTAGATTCTCGTATCCATAAGCCATAAGTCGCACTTACAGGTAGACATCCCCTGTTACACAGAGACGCAGAGCAGCAAGCCCGCTTGGCAATAGGGTCCCAGTCCAACTGCATGGTAGCATCGACATCCTGAGGTGGGGCGGCAAGGACGGTGGTGGCCATAATAGCGAACGCTGAAGCGAAAAGCGAAGTGAATCTCATTGTGAGGGAACTGAATAGGCGGGGTAGAGTAGAATGGAGAATAGGGTACCGGGTGTTGAGGGTGAAACGTGATGTACAGACCTAAGAGATGGCGCGCGTAGTCGGGTTTATATGCTGAGCTCGGAACAGGATCTACTACGTAATTGGGATATTTTCTGCGCAAGCGACCTTAGGATCTTCACTACTGCAACTTACACTACGCACATGCTCTGTGTATCTGCAGGCCATACTTACCAGAAGAGGCAGGTGTATTTGTAGCAACGCAGATGTACTTCTAGAATAGGGAAATGGTCCTAATCGAGCCATAGATTGCCGCTTCGGATTGTTGATTATGTACAGTGACTTTTCCACTAGAATAAACCAGAAACTTGCTGCAAGACTCCTACTGGGCCCACCGCATCGATGCCAATTCTACAATGGCTGTTGTAATCTGCATTAAGATGTCCCATAGGCCTAGAATTCTCAAACGTGATGATGTTGTAGACTTCTATCCCGAATTAAGTATCTGTAGAGCAATATACCGGTCATAGCGTTCAGATCTAATCTAAACTCATTCTCCAACAAGCTGCCAAGTGTGCAAGTTTTCACAGGTATTGCAGGACTAATGCATTTTAGAGAACGAGCACTTACTCAGGTGGCCTTATCTTGGCAGGAAGAGCTGTGCTCAACGATAAGCCAGCCTGAAGTGAAGAGGAATGCTTGAGAATAGCCAAGTACGCTGAGCTAGGACACGGCACACATCAGAAGTCCCTCTAGTGTATGAAGTCACAGTCACCCCGCATTTTTCTTTGGTCTTATCTACGAAGGAATCAGGCCCGAATCCTGAAGGATTACGGCACAGCTGTAGCCAAGACACGGGATTTGCTGACTGCAGCAAGGGAAGTCGCACAACTCGGCTTGTCGCGGATGCTGAGTTTGACCGCGCAGAGAGAGCGAAAGTGCTAGGATACAATGCAGGAGGTTGCTGTTGTAAAGCATTTCAACTTAGTACTCGACACCTAGCAGCCGTTTCTAGTAGAAACTCACCTTTCTAGCTAACATTCAAGGTGACAAGAACTACTATCAGTGAGTACGATTAATTACAAGCTATCAAACGAGCTGTCTACACAAATTAATAGATAGGCCTCAAATATGTTCAATAAAAGCATCATGGGCTGATGTGGAGGATTTAACACCAAAACACGCGCTGGGGCGCCGTACTGCCGGGAACATTGAATGTTGGACTCATCTGATACGTCACACGCTTACTATGCCCTTCGGGAGGCAGTTATTACACCCTTACATGATTTTATTGATGAAGCACGAAAAACAGGGGTATATCGCGAAAAATCTCACAAAACAGGCCAAAGCCCTCTGCCTGTGGCACAAACGTCGTTGCGTACTTGTTGCAGCAAAGTATATTCCGAGGATACCAACACTCACGCATCGTGAATCACGTGCGGTTCCAAGAGCTTCAGGGACGCGACGTATTGCGCGAGTCATATTGTGCGTATGAAAGTTGACTCAACGATCGCGAGTGCAGCTGTCCACAACCATGGATCATTGGGTGGCTCTGTGGGAGTTCGAAAGTTTTTCGAGTCCCTGAACCATATTCAACCCGCAATACCATGGGACACCCTTACATAGTCGTAAAACGTGTTCAAATCGTATCATACCAAATGGGCTAATGTAAAAAGAGCATCGCCCTTCACATACAATGTCGTGACCTACGCCCGCGCACAGAGCATTTTCGGGTTCGCACGCGGACCAGATTCATTGGTCCGTTAGACTTATTCTGTCAGCGTGGGGGGCTCTTGTGACTTCCACGAAGTACGCTGCCAGGCGCTGTATTAATTGTCGCGAATGGTGAGCTGGCTCGGTAAGAAAAGTCTCATCAAACACTGTATTCGCCTGGTAACATGACCAAGCTGAGTGATTGACAAAGATGGCTCCGTGGGAAGTCCAGCTGTTGCAGAACGTCGCGAAAGCCAACGAACGGCATCAATTTATCTCTATGTAAGGTCTTTACAATATTCTGTACTGTGAAGAACAAAGGGAGATAAACCCATGTTGTGAAATCACTGGGTCCAGCTTCTATTCATGATCTCTGCTAGCCGCAGGCGTACTCACACGTCTATGGACCGACCGCAATAACCTAAGAGAACAGGTAGACCCTTTTCTTCAGATGCTCTTCAGAAGCAGAGATTATGCAGCAGATGAAGCTATTGTGAGCCGTATTAAGGAATTAGCCAAACAAAAGGGAGTGATGATGGTGCAGGTTGCTCCGTCATGGTTGATATCTATAAAGGTTGCATGCCAATCTGGACAAAGGAAAGAATCGACCAAGCACTAGCATCGTTAGGAGTTCAGCTAAACGACAACAAAATATCTGGTCAGAGGAGCCATATGTTGCAAAGTCGGCTATGTCCTTCTAGTTAGAAATATAAGAAAGACTGCTACTGATACAAGTTTTTCCACGACTCTCTAGAAGAAACCCTGACCCACCAGGCGGCCAGGTTCTCATGATCTGTAATCAATGCCCCCTCGTCCATAGTAAAGAGAGCATTCACTAACGGCATGTAGAAGATGTCAATCAGGGAGAAAGTCGCACCGCCCATGTAAGGCTGTTCGCTTAGAATGCAATCGAAGACTCCGAACTTGGCTGTAAGAATCTGACGATAGAGAGCGACGATCTTTTCGTCAACGGGTTGGCCTCTCATCCTGTACAGATTGTGGTCAGTAGCTTAAGCTTATAGAGGTGAGCGGGTGAACACTAACGGCATGACTCGCTTCTGGAGATAAATCTGCTGAGCCGGGGCGTCAAAGTTGCTGAGTTCGACAGAGGCCCATTGCTCAAAAGTGGCCCAGCCCTTAACGTCCCCTTCAGCAGGGATTAAGGCCGTACCCACGTTAGTAAGCTTCTTCGCAAGGTTGCGAGCAATTGGACGAGATTCTGCTTCTGTTTGGCGGTGGCTTGCGTTACGACGTTGATGCTCATCAGTACCATACTGTTCCCCACGCCGAACACCGCGAGGGCGACGGCGAAGATCCCCTTCCCGATGCGCTTATCGAGGATATTGAAGCGGCCACCGACGACGTGTTTAAGGTTCTACAGGAAAAGATAATAGGCGTAGATAGGAGGGCTATGAGTGATAAAGAGGTAAGGGCGCCTAGAGATGGCCTAAGGCCGCCAACACTAGAGGGGAGGGTAACGAATAACACTACGTAGAGCTGCAAGCCTGCCACACGGTTGACAAAAAAGAAGCGACACCTAAATGTTAACTTCGCTTGCAGCTTTATAACAAAGTGATCACAACAGGAATATAGTATCCAAACTTTAGAAACTACCAAGTACCCTTTTCTCTATAAAGTGTTCTTCTTAGATTTTAATTTAAGGTTGTTGTTATAAAGTAAAGGTGCTATAACTAAGGAGGTAGTGTATGTTTGTATTTCTGTGATTTTGGTAGATTCGTGTCGCCTCTTTTTTGTCAGCCGCGTGCCTACCTTCTTGATGGTTAGAAAGTAGATATTTGACCACTAGGTAGAAACAATGACGTAAAGTTCCTTATCAAAAAGGCGTGCGATACCTAGAGCGCTTAGGGAAGGTAAGATGGTTGCCTAACTATGACGACCATAGAATCAGGTTAATCCCGAATGCCGATCGGACTCAATGTCAGCATTGCACCTCCACCGGCATTGCATGTTTATCCAAGGAGCTCACTCATATCTAGGGCCTATTCAAATGCCAGAGGCCATTCAACATGACTGCTTAGGCCTTCTCTACTTCAGAACAATCTCTTACCTAGGGAGCTCACGTGTGTAATCTCAGCTGTCAACATGACCCGGCAAATCCTTCCAGTACCAAATCCGGTAACAAGCTATTGGCTCAGCGAACCTCACAGGTACTCGGATCTACAATCCTCACCAAGATTGCCTGAAAGATGCGATGTAGCTGTTGTGGGAGCAGGGCTTGCTGGTGTGCTGTCCGCCTACCACATCTTGAAGAACACGGAGCCGCCAGGACAGGATGTGATTGGCGGTCATAGTGGCAGCAATGATTCAAGAAACATCGAGGGGGCAAAGGTCACATTGCTGGACGCAAGACAATTGTGCTCAGGCGCTACGGGTAGGAATGGCGGACATTGCAAAGTGCAGGTCAAAACACTTCTGAATCTGCCTGATTCTGACAGCGATAGAGGGAAACGAAGGACGCAGTTCCAAGATTACGTCTTGAAAGTGAGGGACGAACTGAAGAGCATCGTCGAAGCGGAGGATCTGGATTGCGAGTTTGAGCTTCGTTACAGCTTCGACGTCTTCACAGATGCCCAAGAAGCTCGAGAACTCAACTCCCGTTACGAAGCTGCGCGTGAGAACGGGGAAGCATGGACTAGGAACGTCAGCTGGATAGGGGCAAAACGAGCCGAGCAAGTTACGAGCATCATCGGCGCGAAAGGCGCTTTCAGCGTTCCAATCGCCTCCTTTTGGCCCTATAAGTTCGTCACGCAGCTCCTCGAACGCATGGTGTCGCGCTGGCCAACACGTCTGAATGTGCAAATGAACACGCCTATCACCTCACTCACTAGTTCTGCTTCTGCATCTAACAATCTCCTGGCCACAACCCGGGGCACTACCGTAGCCCAAAAAGTTGTTCTAGCAACAAATGCATATACAGCTGGGCTTCTACCTTCATTCAAGGATAAAATAGTCCCGGTTCGTGGTATGGCGAGTCACCACCGTCCAGCACAGCCCGTCCATCCGCATCTCGACAACACGTACAACATCAACTTTGGCCGGGACAAAGGCGTAGACTACCTCAATCCGCGACCAGATGGGGGAATTGTCGTTGGAGGCGGAGGGTGGCTGTTCATTCAAGATGAAGCTTCCTGGAAGGACAACTGGGACGATGCCCATTTGTTCCCGGGACACGTCATGCGGTATTGGAGGAGATATATGCAGGACAGATTTTTAGGTTGGAGAAGCAGCGGGAGTGAAAATGACTACAACTGGACAGGTATCATGGGACGAACAGGCGATGGCCAGCCCTTGGTGGGAAAAGTACCGGGAAAGGACAGCGTGTGGGTGCTTGCCGGCTTCAATGGTGGGGGCATGGGAATCATTGCACTATGCGCGCGAGCCATAGGCAAGATGGTGGTGCAGAAGACGGACTTTGAAGATGTATGGGAAGAAGAGGGTCTGCTGGAGGGATTCCATTGTTCTGCAGAGAGGCTAGGGCGTCTGTAAAGGAAAAGGCTAATGGTGAGGCTTATAAGAGATGGTGGAGTCAGCTTCAAAAGAGGCGAACACCCATGACTCGATTTTCAAGATCTTTGTTTTCCTAGACAGACATCTTTACAAATACATGTTCATAGTCCAGAGTTCAGTCGTTTGCTTTGAAGCTCTTCTTATGGAAATTTGAAAGATCTGTTGTCAGATCTAATTCTGGCCACTCACTAGATAACAGTCAATGGTGTACGGGGGACGATCAGGGGACAAGTGGCCCAAATCAGGGAGAGTCTGTAAGGGGCCAAAGTGTCAGCTAGTGAAGGGCCTTGATTTTATAGGGCATAGCGATAAGCTAAGGCTTGTGCAGATGTAATCTTCTACAGAGGACGGAGTGCCTCTTATCGTAGATGCAGATGCGCTGAGAAAGTTGTGGGCTGGAGTTGATCCCTACTTAGCAGATAGTCTTCAATAACAAGTTTAGATACATTGCAACGGCCTGAGACACACCTTTCTTACTGAACTAAGCTCCTGAGATGATGCGCCTGCGCCAGGCAAAGTAATAACTGTCACAGCCAACACGGATGTAGCTCTAGACTTCTGGTCTCACCTTACGTTATAAAACACCTTGACAGGGTTGTGAGAGTAGTTGAAGCTATAGCCGTAAGCCGCAACACGAGGTAATGTTAGCTCTGCTAATAGGCACATAACATCAATTTAGATAATTTTGAGAGCTATAAAATTCAATTGACAGGCCGATGACCATCCGCGGGTGTCGTGGTGTGGTTTACACCGAGTTGGCGGCTGTTGCAAGTGTCATGGGTCTTGTAGGTGTCGTGAGGGTGAGTATTCCCTTGCGCGGTGCGGACAAACGCATGTGCACTCTGTGTTCCTGTGCACCTGAACACGAGTAAGTGTAGCTAACATCCAGCGTACAGTCATCGCCCAAGCTGATATGCAAGGTGGTAAAAACAACCAGCAATGAGTAGGGTTGAGCTCTCAAACGAGCTGCCTACACAGTTTGCATCCAGGCCTTTCATATGTTCGATTAAAGCATCAAAAACAGATGTGGAAAGAGCATCGCCCTTTAGATACAAGCTCACAACCTCCCGGTACCTCTCCGCAGCCGGTAAAGATAAGGTGTTTTAATCAATATGCTAATATCTAGAATCTATTGGAAATCGACCAAGGATATGCCGTGAATCTACAGTTATATTCAGGGCCTGAATTCATGTTTCTCGCCTTGGGTGCACGTACTGGCTTGGCACGGATTCCTAACAGGAGTCCAACAATCTAAAATATATAGCCCTAGCCCTACCACGTCCCATCAAAGTTACAGTGCCTGTCTCCACAAGTTTCTATGATAGTGTACCCGTGTTCACATAAATCTCCATTGGCGAACGCGTAGTCCCAGATGGTACACCAAAGGGTATGTTCAGCGCCGGAGGGCCCGGTGAAGGAGCCGCAGTCTTCCTTGTCGGGTCTCGTATCGGTGCGTTCAATAGCCAAAAAATACCCGTCACCTGCTGTGTACTCGACAACGCGACCGTTGTCCGTGACGTGCACTTTAGCCCCGTCCTCGCAGTCATAGTCCCAGTTCGTTGTGTCCGAGGCAAGTTCCTTTACGCTCCCAACGTCGCAGACATTCTTGCCGTTATCCCACACCTGAACGGAAAGGCTGGTTCCCGTAAAATATTGTCCGACATGAACGTAGTTGTGAGCCGTGATGCAGCGCTTGGGCGTCGCCGCCGTGGCCGTCGCTGTCGGCGTGCAGTTCGGCAGGTCGTCGCATTCCCTATTGTTATGACCCACTACGGAGCACACCTTACATGCTCCCGCGTCGGTCGTCTTGGGTAGCCCGCTGGGTCCCGGGATTGTTTGCGTGGGTCTAGCCGTGTATGCACAGCTGTTTTCAGGAGTCACCTACGTCGCTATCGACTGGGAGAATGTCGATCCGGAGCATACGCAATAAGCAGAATTGATGCCTTGGCCAGGATCTTCGTTTTGGTACCGACAGTCGATAAAGTCGGTAGGGAGGCTAGGAGGTTGAGTGACGATTGGGGTACGCGTGATCACGCCGCCTTCTCTTGGGCGGTGGGGGATCCAGCAGCTTCGGGTTTCCGCCGTTACTTGTGGGCAGCCCAGCGGCTGGGTTCTTGCACTGGTTACCTAGGCCTGAGCATGGATCGACTCCGTCTTCATCCTCGTCACCACTGTCGCATCCAAAGTATCGGTTGACGCTTGGATCAAGGAATCCTCCTGCTCCCAAGGCCCTGGAGCGGCTCCGGGACAACTCCAGATCACGCGGATGCGAACGGATATGATCCTTCATCGTTTCGGCATCACTGCTGCTACGGCGTCGGCGCGAGCCGGGGGGGATATTTTCACACCGTCTGTTTGAAGCGAATTTCATCATGTCGACCGACGGGACCGATTGACAAAGTGTAGCAGATTTCCTGGCTAAGAGATAACGTTGTACCGTCTCTTTGGACATCTTGTCCCCACTAGCACGTCTTGCCTGAGAATCACTATAATATATATCTAAAAAATAGACCTATCGAGATGTCAATGTTGGTCTCTGAAGCTCCAAGTAAACAACCGCGTAGAAGAGCCTCGCGTTTTCAACCTCAATGAGCGATGCCCAAACGTTCGGCCCTCTCAATCTCAGCCCGGTACTGCGCGGCGGAGGAGGATCGGATTGCTTTGCCCCACTTAATAAAGACGAGGAAGGTAAGCACCTGGGCGAGACCAGCGAATGCTGCTACCAGAAACGCGTTTTGTAATCCCATATTGGTTACCCAAGGGGTTACAGCGTACGAGATGGCGAAGCCCATTGTGTTTCTGATGCACATAACGCTGACAACAGCATCAGCTCCGAAGTCTTTGTAAGTGTCGATGCAGTACGATAGAGAGAGATGGGCTCCAAGCGCAACCACAAGGCCGGTAAGACCCATGGCGAAGACTAGGCCAAACCAATGGATGTGATTCGCAGCTCCAACACCCCAGAGTATAAGGGAGAATGGAAGAATCAAGGCAAGGATTAGGTTCAGCCACTGCCTGTACTCCGATTCCCAGATTCCCTTGTTGCGGCGTGCGATCTTGATCACAATCCAGTCGCCAAACGAACCAGCGAGAAGGCTACCGATGAGAACTCCAACAATGCAAGCAATGTAGGCTAGACCTACGGATCCTCTGAATCATATTAGTTGCTGAGATTTCTCAATTAAGGCCTTCATTACTTACGGGCTGAAGTTGTAAGGAGGTGCACTGAGAATCAGCGAGGAAGTGGCGTTGAGCACACTGTACCAGATGAGAGAGCCACCATAACTGAAGGCGCAGTAAAGGATCACTGGATATCTCATGAGTCGAAGAGGTCGTAGTACCGTAGACCAGAAGTGTGTAATCGGTCGGGCCTTGTCAAACATTTTCAATTTCTGGAGGTATGTTCTTGGGCGGTAACCTGCGGTTGGAAATTCTTGGCTATTCGAAGGTTGCTTTGTAACATCCAAGTTACGAGAATCAAGGTTTTGCCTGTCCGCGTCGACTTTCTGGCTAAAGATCTTCTCGCCGGATGTTGAGATATGAGAAACATTCTCGTCGCCTGCAGGGCCAGTTGGTATGCCGTTGATAACATTCTGCGTCTCGCTAGCAAGGACCGATGCTCGTACGTAATTTGTCTCTTCCATGAAAAAGAAGCAGAAGACAAAGGCGATGCCGAGCCAGATAGCGCCCCAGTTCTGTGTCAAAGATTAGCTGATATCTCCTAGAGTATGTGCCAGACTTACCTGAACCCAGCGCCAACCCATACCCTCTGTGATGTAGCCTGCAAGGATGGGAGCTATGAAACCAGCGGTGTATAGGGTGAACGAATAGGCCGCGAGGTAGGTTCCACGCTCATGTGAGAAGAATACATCCGCAATACTGATCTCGCCGAGGCATTCCAAAGGGGCACCAACGAGCCCACCAAGAATCTTCAGGGCAATCCACGTTCCTTGGGTGCGCGCATACGGAACTGCAACAGTAATTCCGATGGACATGAGGAGTGAAATCAGGTAGATAGGTCGTTTACCGAATTGCAGTGCTGCGGGTTGCCAGAGAAGACAACCCCAGCCAAAGGCCAAGTAATTGTACCCTGTACCTTCGTTGAGAGCTACAAACTAAGTAAGCTTTGCTATTGATAAGAGAAGCATAGAACCATACCAGCGATAGACAAGCCAGTATCCTTGGACACCGGTACGATGATGGAATACATCAGCGAGCTAGCGATCCCTGTTGCGATCATGTACATGGACATGCACACAACGGATAGTAACTTTCTTCCCTTTGACCAATTGAGAGGATCATCGGGGTCGTTGCTTGGGGCCGGCACAAGCACGATATCACGAAGATTTCCTCCGGCGTGTTTGGCCTGGAAGCTACCGTCTATGTCCACCAAGTGGACGGTGCCAGGAATTGCTTGTTGATCGGACATCTCGAGAATTGATTAATCGAACAGGGTGTATGATTCTGATTCTCATACTATGTGATCTCTAATTGTGAGGATCGCGTGCTTCAAATACGAGAACAGATAATCTTTAGGTCACCTATCAGTGCTTCTACCCCGCGTTTACAGTAGCCTCGAGAGCTGCGGTTCTCATGTAACTGTAGATACCAGATAGGTTGATTGGGCAAAGAAGCACCCTGCCAAGATAACGTGGCGCCAAAAGGACAGCGCTAGAGCCGATGAGATTGATAGAATAGCTACCCTTTTCGGCCTCGCAGCGAAGGCGATAGCGCAGCTACGTTCTAGATAAGCGAAGCCCCACATGCGGTCTTAAACAGCAGTAGGTTCTTGCCTCAACGAGAATTCACCCGAGCCGCTAGCAACGCATCTAGCACGTGCAGCGCCTATCAGCACGTTTCCACGCTTCTGGGCAACGCCTGGAGCAGCCAGGCTATGCATTCACTCTCGTTGGAAGAGGGATACCTAGCGCACCCGGGCCGTGAATTCACCCAGCTTCGCAACGGGCTATACTCGCTGCCGCTCCGACCGCCTCTCCGGTTTTCAGCCGTCTACCTGATAGACCTGCTGTGCTGGACGCTTGTAACGGCCGGCATCGGACCGACTCTGGCAAACATGGCGTCACAGGTGCTAGTCTCATCATCGACGTGATGACCAGCAGTCTCATTGATGCTGATGACGATTCCACACGCTATGCGCTCCACCATCTGCATTTTAGGACGCTGCAGGTTTCTTTCTCCTTGATTCTGCTGAGCAGCCTCTCAGCGTTGGTCGCATATGTATAGTTTGTACTAATTATCGATGACCGGCCTGGGCATCCCGTTCTCGACACGACGCCGGAAGAGCGAGCAACTGTTGTTGTGGAAATCAATCTGTAGGCTGAAAGGAACAACCACTGTCACTAATGAATACACACTACACTGCCTGATCGACCTCTGTTAGACATGTCGAACTAGAGATCGAGTGGGTACGTCCGACGTAAGAGCCTCCTTTTCTGCCAAACCAGCCCTCGTGCCAAATGGCGGTGCGTGGCTTGGTATCATAAGAAGCGTTTAGAGTATACTATTCTACAGTGACTATACCAATCAATTGGCCATGACTTTACTCACAGCTTCTGCTAGATTGACAGCCGACACATTAACTAGCGTGTCACTGCAATCGAACCGTCTGTGCTGATCTACTCTCCCAATCGACCAGCGTCCAATTTGATTACCATTGATATGATCAAAGAGCTTTGGAAGCATCTTGCGAACTTGTTTCCCAAAAAGAATGGGGCTTGATCATGGGCTGAGGCCAGGTTCGCAGGGCCGGAGCGTGTGCTTGACCAGTACAAACTTGTCCAGGCTGACGATGCGCTCTCCTTCATCTTAGTTGTTATTTGGTTACGGCGTTTTCACTGTCGTCTTGATAGATGATAAAAAGATTTAGAAAAACCCCGCATTCTTTACTGATTCGTTTGCTTTATGAGTGATGATTTGAATACACAATACAATGTGTTATAGAAAATCTAGAAATCAAAACAGGAAGAACGATGACGAGGACAATATTTACTGCAACCACAATGAAATTGTTGACCTAAATGTATGTAATGCACCAGAATCCGATGCATAATTGCTGTTCCCCTAACTCACAGCTTATGTACGCCAACAAAAGACATTACGTCCTCAGCGATCAACTCAGCAGCACGTTCCCCGATAGCCAAAACAGTCAGCATGGGATTAATGGACGTAATGACCGGAAACACCGACGCGTCAGCGACCCTCAGACCCTTGATACCCCTGACACGCAGAGCCGGGTCGACAACAGCCAAGGGATCATTCTCGACGTCTCCCATCTTAGCGGTACCGCAGGGGTGGTACACGGTGTTGTGTGCCAAGCGGTTGTACTCTGCGAGTTCGGCATCGGTCTGGAGGTGTGGGCCCGGGGCGATTTCAGCCTTGATGAGTTCCTTGAAGGGGGATCGGGCTGCGAGTTTGCGGGATGCGCGGATCGTGTAAATGAGGGTCTGTTGGTCGTAGCCGTCTGTGTCGCTAAGGTAGCAGAAGTCGATGTTGGGCTTGTCGTCTGGGTTGGCGGATTTGAGGGTTATACGGCCGCGTGAGCGAGGCCGTGGAATGTTAGGGATCATGCAGTAGGCGTTTTTTGGGGCCTGATAGCCCATGCGCGAGATGTTGGTGTCGAAAGGGATGCTGAACATGTGGAAGAGGGCGTCTGGGACGTCGCCGTCGTCTCCGTGTGCGTTGTAAGGCTCGCGACGGAGGAACATGGATGCTTCGGAGTGATTGATGCATTGGGGTGGGAGTTCGTCTTTCATCTCCCACATGACGATTGTCTCTGGGTGGTCCATCAGGTTTTCACCCACCCCAGGGACGTCTTTTACGACAGTGAGACCAACAGACTTCAACTGTTCCGCGGAGCCGATGCCGGATAGCATCAGCAGTCGGGGGGTATCGAAAGAGCCTGCAGAAAGCACAATCTCCTTGCGTGCGCAAACTGTGATTTCTTGACCAGATTTTAATCGGACATCGACTGATCTTGCAACGTCGTCGTACACGTTGATATGGTGGACCCAGGCGTCAGTGAGAATGGTGAGGTTGGATCGAGGCTCTTTCCCGTCGAGGATTGGATGGATGTAGGCAGTGCTTGCGCTACTTCGATAACCAGTTTCCGGATCGTACGTGATCTCAATAAAACCGGCCGATTCTCCCGTGTGGCCTCGCTTGATGATGTCGTCGTTGAAACTCTCCACACGTGGGATGTTGAAGGCTTTCACGCAGGCATCTATCAAGGCCACCTCAACTGGGCTTTGGTACTGCAGCATCACCTTGTTGACAGTAACGCGCGCCTTCCGTATCAGGCGAATCATTTGAGCAAAGGTCCACCCTTTTGCGCCCATTCTTTCCCATCTTTGCGTGTCGTACTCAAAGGGGTAGAAAGAGATGCCGCCATTGTGGCTGGAGCAGCCGCCAAGGACTTTGGCACGGGAATGTAGAATACTGCTGTTTCCAAAGGGTTGCTCAACCGAGGTGTAGTTGTAGTCAAACTCGCCGCCCCAGAGCTCCACTATCTTGGAAAGATCCAGGATACGGAGGTCGCCGTGATCGCTGGGTCCTCCTTCGATGATGAGAATCTGTTTGTCTGGGAGGTATTCGGCCAGCCGGCTCGCGACAACACACCCCGCGGTGCCCCCGCCCACGATTATGTAGTCATAGGTGAGCTTGTCTTGGGACAAATGAGTGATGGTAGCCATGGTTGAGGTGCTAGTTGCAAAGCCGAAACCGAAGACACATAGTAGATATAAAGTCGTTCTAATTATAAGAGCGTGCCTTAGTCTTGGCGACGTACTACGAAGGTATATGATAGCATGACATTGGAGCACTTGTCATATTCGGCATCAATGCGGAGGAATGCAGCTAGTAGCAAGTACATGATGACATGCAGACTAGGTCCACAGGCGATATCGGTGGGATCGAGGTCGGATTGGGAAGGCAGGTCGGTGGCGGCTAGAGTGGCGCTTGTAGACTTGCAATCTGCGGACACCAAGACACCTACAGCTGATCCTTATACGGCTACGTAATCTGGACAGCTTATTGGGTACTCGTATGATACTAGATTAAAATGACACTAGTGATCAACAGCTACACGTCTAGCCTTATCAAACGCCACGAGTCGGCAAAGACAACGGGAGGTATCACCAGCACAGAAGACAAGTCTCATTAATTGTCAGAGATGGGTGCAAGGCAAGCGATGTTCCTTGGGGAGGCATCTATAAATCCGCTACAAATTGGCACAAGCCTCTATAGGCTGCAGAGGGATACCTTCTACATTGATGTAACCTGTCAAAGCCATGGCCGTGTCCTCTTCCATTTCGCGTTCCCACTTTGCCATGCTCTGCTCAAACGCTGCCACATGATCCGCGTTTGACATGTCCATGGGGGATTGATCGCGAGCAATCTGCAGCATCTGCGTGCCTGCGACTGCCTCGGAGGTTCCATAGTCGTATGCAGCCACAGAGTCCCAAAGCGCGCCTGAGAGCTTGCCCTGGGCCAGTTCGCGCGGGAGAAAAGGCCGCGCGCACGTCGCTCTCGCTATGCCCACGCCATCAATGGTCCGGAGTGCATCCTCGATGCCGGGGACAGTCTTGAAGCCGCCGGTGACGTAGACTTTGGTGTTGTGAAGGCGAGGCACGATTTGATCGGCAAACTCGAGAAAGAAGGCCTCCCGTTGCTTGGTGGATTCCCTCTTGTGCTCGAATGCTAACGACTCGTAGGTGCCTCCAGAGAGCTCGATGAAGTCGAACTTCAGTTCCGTGTCAAGCATGGAGCAGAGTTGGATACACTCGTCAAGCGAGAAGCCATCCGCCTGGAACTCGACTGAATTCAGCTTGATACCCAGAGCGAATTTTGCGTCTTTGGGGAGGCGCTGGCGAATAGCGGTTGCAATGTCAGCGATGATGCGTGCACGATTGCGAAGTGAGCCCCCGTAGGCATCTGTGCGGCGATTTGTCGACTGAGAAAGGAACTGAGCCAGCAGGTAGCCGTGTGCGGCGTGAAGCTGAATGGCATCAAAGCCGGTCGAGTGCAGGAAGACGGCGGCATTAGTGAAGGCAGCAACCAGCTGGTTTATCTCGGCGAGTGAGGCAGCGTGGGGCTTCGCGAAAGTCATGCCAAAGACTTCCTTGTCGAGATGCACGTCCGAGGCCGAGACGGGGTCCTTCTGGAGACGGGCATCGACCTGCCTGCCTGGATGCGAGATCTGGCCCACGATCAGGCTGCCGTGTTGTTTGGCGGCGCGAGCCAGCTTGGACCAGGCGTCTGCGCGATGTTGCAGGTCGGGCGGGTCCAAGGGGATGACGAGGTTACCGGGGGCCTCGAGGTTGGCAACGTCGACCATGACGTTGCCCGTGAGGATCATGCCGTAGCGGCCCTCGCCCCAGCGACGGTAGAGGTTGATGAGCTCCGACGAGGGAACGCCGCGACGGGCAGGGTGTGCGGGGTCCCACGAGGCCATGCGCTCCGTCATGGCGGCCTTCATGATGCGGTTCTGGGCGGACAACGGGGCATAGGGCAGGGTCACGGGCTCGAGGATGGCAGACATGGTTGAGGATCAACGCACGGCGATGGTGACGGTGAAGGTGAAGGTGAAGGTGACGGTCCAAGATGTCGACGTGGGCGAGACGGCGGAGAGGCATCTAATGTCCGCAGCTGGTCGGCAACCGAGCTGTGCTGCCTCGAGCCCAGCTATTTCGTACGGCTGCCGTTGACGCCAACATGGTGGACAGGCGCTGACAAAGTGTCGCTGCACACGCCAACAAGGCCGATGGGGCTCGCAAACAGGCTCAAATAGGAAAGTGGGCCCAGATTGAGCCGCCGTAGTGGTAGCGCCGTGCGTGCCCTGACTCACTTCGTACACAGACCAAAGTCCGACGTAGGCGGCGGCTGACATGCACTACATACCCCGCATCGGCATCAGCGTCCGCGGCGTACCGCCCCACAGCGACATACCCGCGCACCCGCGGTCCTGACCACGACATGCTGCGCGCCTCTCCACGGCGTCCACGGCGTCCACGTTCGTCAAGATGCCTGCCACATACAGAGTGCGCTTTTCCTCGTCGCAGCCCGCCCGCTTCGCACACGTGCCCCAGCCGACGGCCACGGAGACCGAGTCGCAGCTCCACGGACGCACCAGGCGCAAGAGCCGCGGGGGCTGTCGCGAATGCAAGCGGCGCCGCGTCAAGTGCGACGAGCGCTTCCCCATCTGCGTGCGATGCCAGCGTCGGGGCAGCGTGTGCCTGATGGATCCAAAGGCGAGCACATGGCAGCTCGAGCTGCCCGGCCTGACGATGCAGCGCTCGCCCAGCAACACGGCACTGATTGGGTCGCACGTTGACGCACGCCTGCTACGACGGTGGCTCGACAGGACCAGCCAGATTATGGTCCTGAATCCAGACACCAACCCGCTGAGCTATCCACTGCTCGCCGCTCTGCAACCCTGCCCTTGGCTGGCCTCGGTCCTGCAGAGCATCAGCGCAGCCCACGAGCGCAACTTCAGCCAGTCGGCCTCGACCGCCTGCGTCGTCCACCGCGGCCATGCCCTGCGTGAGTTTTCCCGCCAGCTCAGCTCCCCCGATCCCCCACTAGCCGCCATGCTGCTCGGCGTCTTCCTGCTGGGTGTCTCGTCGTGCTGGATCGATGCCGATCCTTCTCAGTATGGCGGCGAGCATATCCTAGGAGGCCGCGCCATATTCGACATGTTGCTGGCCCGAGATGCCTCGAAACGCGAACCCCTCGACTGGCTCGCCATCAGCTGCTGGATCTACTGGGACATGGCCTGTTCCCTGTGCGTCGATCCCGCCGTCCAAACCCCGATGGACTCGCCCGCCGTCTACTCCGCCATTGCTGCCATGAAGGGCGACTATCACTGTATGATGGGCTACTCCGTTCAACTCTACCATCTGCTGGGCACTCTAGGTAGATACTGTCGAGGCGTTATATCGCTGGGGGAGAAGGACCTTGTCCTGGAATGCTTGCTGGAAGAGCAACTGCTAGAGACAAAAGGCCCCAATCCCATACCAGACAATGAGCTGGCCTGGCTTGAAGAGGCCTACCGCTTGCACGGTCTTATACTGTTGTACAGAATATGTGGCGTTCAGCCCTATCTTTTGCGCGAATGGGACGACCCCGATGACCACATCCACCAACTTGCCCTCCAAGCCGTCCATCTCCTCTCTCTCATCCCCATCGATTCTTGTTATCTGACAATGCAACCCATTCCTCTCTTGACCGCCAGTGCTGAACTCTGGGACGAAGACGTTCAAGAACGCGACGACGTTACACGGCGATTTAAGGCACTGTATTCGGCAAATCGAACCCCCGTAAATGTGTGGGCTCTGCAAATGATTCGAGAGCTGTGGGAACTGCGGAGTATTGGGATAGTTGTTTCTTGGGTTGACTTGATGATATCGAAGAATTGGTGTTTCACTCTAGGCTGACATTCGCCAGTGCAAAAAAATAAATGTAAAAGGAGTGTATAAGACTTTACCTGTGACATTGATCGCCGCCTTTGCTTAGAAAGTTTCAGTCACATGTGCTACATCTCGCAGCGACTGTGCGGCTGTGCTTGGTAGTTCCTAGTCAGGCAGGTGCGACCTTCACAACGTAGTCCAGTCATCAGCCATTCCCAGGGCTATTGTACCTTGATCCACAACTGGATTGCATCATGCATGAACAAGCATGAGCCGCTTTGCGTTTTCGGACATAACGCGAGCGATGGACTACCCAGATGTGGAGCCGTCGTGGTCATGCACGAGGTGAGCCAAAAACCTACGCTAGTCGCATGCTTTCCGAAAGAGGAAAGTAAGCTATCCCGTTTCTGGCGTCACTATACCTACAGCCTTTGCACCCACCATGCCTCGGCTTTGAAAACTACTCTGGCCCTCATCTCTAGAGCCCCTCATCGCAAGTAGATCACGCTGCTTTTCCCGTCTCTCCTCACACACAAAAGAGTTCGCAGCTTTACTTTTCTTCGTCTCTATCTTTCCAATGTCTTCCGATCTATTCCAGGAGCTCACAGCTCCAAACGGAGTCAAATACGAGCAGCCACTAGGTCTTTTTATCAACAATGAATTTGTCGCTGCTCGCAGCGGTAAAAAAATCACTACCGTAAACCCTGCGTGAGTATCGTGCAGCCTGAAGTACCGATCCTCGCTCATGTCGTGTTTGGGTAGCAACGAAGAAGACATAGCGCATGTCCACGCCGCTGGAGTCGAAGATGTTGACATTGCGGTCAAGGCGGCAAAGGCTGCATTCAAGGGACAATGGAGCACCACAAACGGTACTACTAGGGGAGCGCTGCTGCATAAAATGGCAGATCTGGTTGAGCAACATCGTCGCACACTGGCCACGATCGAGACTTGGGATAACGGTATGTGTCAACTTTTTCTTTTCGACTCTCAGCCTCTAGATTGAAGAGTCAAATTGCTTACAACATCGCTCCAGGCAAGCCTTACACGGCTGCGTTCGGGGGTGACGTTGGCGAGGTCATCTCTGTCTTCAGATACTACGCTGGCTGGGCAGACAAAGTGACAGGAGATGGTACGTAATCACCGCGCAGTCAACTTGCCGCCATATTTTAATGCGTCTCCCAGTCATCGAAACTACTCCTGGTAAGATGGCATACACAATTGCCGAACCTGTCGGCGTCTGCGCCCAGATTGTGCCTTGGAACTACCCACTCGGCATGGCATCGTGGAAGTTGGCACCTGCTCTTGCTGCTGGCTGCACAATTGTCATGAAAGCGTCAGAGCAGACACCGCTGTCTATTCTCTACCTTGCCACTCTTTTTAAGCAGGCCGGCTTCCCGGCTGGAGTTGTAAACATTATCAACGGGTATGGCGCTGAGGCCGGTGCCGCTATGGCCAGCCACCTTGATGTGGACAAGATCGCTTCCACTGGGTCAACCGCGACAGGTCAGCAGATCATGAAAGCTGCGGCGTCAAATCTCAAGAACGTCGTCCTCGAGACAGGCGGCAAAACGCCGCTTATCATCTTCGAGGACGCAAACCTCGAGACGGCTGTGAAGTGGGGCCACTACGGCATCATGGCCAACGCGGGCCAAATCTGTACTGCAAACAGCCGCATCCTGGTGCACGAGAGCATCTACGACACGTACGTCGACATGTTCAAGCAGAAGATCCAAAGCACATCGAAGCTGGGCGACCCCTTCGCCGAAGACACGTTCCAGGGCCCGCAGGTAACTAAGCAGCAGTTCGACAGGATTCTGTCGTACGTCGAGATTGGCAAGCAGGGCGGCGCGACGCTTGAATTGGGCGGCAAGCCATGGAAGGACGCAGACGGCAAAGGCTTCTACATTGAGCCAACCATTTTCACAAACGTGTCCAAAGACATGCGCATCTACCGTGAGGAGATCTTTGGTCCGTTCGTCGTTATCGCATCGTTCAGCACAGATGACGAGGCCGTTGCCATGGCAAACGACTCAGACTATGGTCTTAGCGCGGCGTTCTTCACAAAAGACGTTTCTAGGGCCCACCGTGTGGCTAAGAGGCTGGAAGCCGGCAGTAAGTCCCCCTCCATTCTGACCACTTTGAGAAGTATATATGAGTGCAACAGTTCTGACGTGTGCCTCGCAGCCGTTTGGATCAATAGCAGCAACGATACCGACTACCGTGTTCCCTTCGGCGGCGTCAAGCAGTCGGGTATCGGACGAGAGTGTGGAGAGGCGGGCATCAAGTCGTATACCAGCGTGAAGTCGGTGTACCTGACTTTAGAGTAGACAGTCTTTTTCTTCTTGTATTGAGAATCCGTAGAGTTAGATAAGATCTGAATGGATTCAAAGATTTGAAGGATGACTGGTCTTGAAGTCAATTGCAAGCATTTGTTACGTTGAACTGTCTCCAGCATGCGTTGTTGCTTATCGACTATCTGATGACCTGAAGGAATTGCAACAATGCATGGGTGCAATGAATATGTCCCGATCCTCTACATGCTCACGGATGTAGTGCTTAGCGTTGTCCAGCCGGTATGTCAGTGCCATGTATTAATTACTGTCTCTATTCATCACTTCATCTCTTCCAAGTTCCAAGTTCCAAGCAATGCTGGATCACAAAAGACAGATAAACATAAAACATTCATACGGCCCAGTCTCCAGTAAATTCATCTACACTATAGCTTACTTGCTCCCTCACCCTCCCCATCCTCATCCGGTACATACGCCTCGGCCTCGATCTCCAGCAACAACCCGGGAAGTCCGATGTACGGCGTCCCCACACACATCCACACAGGCTGGTGCGGCATACGCCTCTTGATATTCTCAACCATAGTCGGGAACTGCGCATCCATTTCCTTGTACATGTGGTACGACTTGAAGCTGATGACATGGCGCCACTCGCATTTTGGATTCGCGCTCTTCAGCGCTTGCATGACGTTTTCGAAGGCGCGTTCGACTTGCGTCGCTGAGTCTTTGGGTAGTTCGCCGTTGGGGAACCAGCCGGATTGCCCGGACGTGCGGACTATGTTGCCTGGGGGTTCTTGTAAGGTGCTGAGGTCTTTGGTTCACCGGTAATGTGACCATGTCGAGAAGACTTACCGAGGCGTAGAGCTTGAGAGTAGCCCATGCGCTCTGTGGCGCCTTCGCCATAGCCGGGGTAAGTGGTGAAAGATGGCTTCAAGGACATTGTGAGAGGCGGATTTTCAGTGGTTGCGATGTTTCAAAAAGGCAGAGAGTTCGAAGGTTGATGAAATTGGAAAGATTGGAACAGTCTGAACTAGCGATATCACAGAAGTGATAAGATACCGGGTCGCACACGACATTACTTCTTTGGACATGTTCTTTACTGTTGCGAGGTGGATCCACATCAGCGGGGAGATGCGCGTTGAGGCCCGATTGGGAAAGTGGGGCGCCAGATAGATGGTTACCCGCTATGCAGCTCAACACGGATCAGGTGAACCGTAACAAGCATTCAACAGTCATCTGATCGAACAATAGGCATTGAACAGATTGATCCTATTCATGGCTCGATGATTCATTGCGGGTAAGTCGCTCTTGCCTAAAACTACCGCATCGCGAGCGTGCGAACACTCAATGTCAATCTGCCGATATCTCGTACCTACCCATCTATCTGATCCTCAAACCACAAGACCAGCATCCACTTCAAACTCCCACCACTCTTCTTCTCCTCTGTCATCTTTCCCAAGCATTCACCACAATGCCACCATCCACTCCAAACCTGACCGGCACCGAGAACCCCGCCTCGGTCCCCTACGGAGCTTGGGACTCGTTCCCCTCAGCTCCCTTCCCCATGTACTCGGGCTCCAAATCAGTCTACTATCGCTCCAAGGACAACAAGGTGGTCATTGGCGCGATCCGCGAAACAGGCTCAGACACCCTCACCTGGCCCGAGGACGAGTTCTTGTTTGTCACCGAGGGCTGGATCAAGTGGAAGGTGCATGGTGGCGACGAGTTTACGTTGCGCAAAGGCGATGTTATGGTCATTAAGAAGGGACAGACGTTTGATTTTGAGATGAGCAGCGATTTTGCGAATATTGCGGTTTTCATTTCGGATAAGGAGGTTACGATTGCGTAATGGGGAATTGTCAACTGGCGAGTGTGAGATTCTTTGATTTCATACACTGGTCTGAGCGTGTGATACCATGTTAGTGACATAGTTGCTTAGTTACGAGAAATACAGAGTGTGTAGAGAGAGTTGTCAGCTGCTTGGACTGTGCTTATGATTGCTACCGTACTACCGTTCTAGCGCACAGCGTATTCAGTGTCGAGCTGACAGTTGCTCTCATTCGAAATGGAGGAAAAGCAGCACGGGTGGCAGACCATGAGTGTGAGGACAGAGATGATTCGTCGTGAGACATATAAGATAGGATGGACATCGGCCACCCAACAATTAAACAGCTTGTAGACTAATCAACACACTCAGCTTTGGGTGGGCATGTTCATACTACTAACAGCCGGCTCCTCCTCACCCTTCCACATGCTGGTAATCGTTTTGGTCTGCGTGTAAAACTGAAGACCGGGCTTGCCGTAGAACGTGTTGACACCTCCACCAGCGACACTCTTCTTATTACCAGTGAAGCTGAACATGGGCAGCGGTACAGGAATAGGCACGTTGATGCCGATTTGGCCAGCCTCAACGTGCTTCTGGAACCAAGAAGCCTTGCTACCTGAGTTGGTAAATAAGGCGACACCATTGCCGTACTCGTTGTCGTTGACGATCTTGGTGGCGGCCTCGAGCGTTGGGGCTGTGAGAACAACTAAGACGGGACCGAAAATCTCCTCCTTGTAGCACTTCATCGAAGTCGTGACATTGGTGATGATGGTGGGCGCAATGAAGTTGCCGTTTGGGTACTTCTCAGGCGCGTAGTTTCGTCCATCAAGGACCACAGTCGCGCCTTCTTGCTCCGCTGAAGCGATTAGTCCTTCTATACGCTCCTTGGAGTGAGGGCTTATGACTGGGCCGAGATCAGCGCCGTCCTCAAAGCCACCATCAGTCTTGAGCTGCTTAGTAGCTGCGACCAGATCGTCAACAAAGCCTTGACTATCCGCTTCCACAAGGACCAAGGTACTTAGAGCCATGCAACGCTGGCCAGCTGCGCCAAAGGCTGCGCCCGCGATGGCGCTGATAGTGCTGGCGCGATTGCAATCATCAAGCACAACAGCATGATTCTTAGCGCCAAGATTGGCCTGGACACGCTTCCCATTAGCAGACCCTCGAGTATAAATGTACTCGCCAGCTTTGTTACCACCAACAAAGCTGATAGCCTTAATAAGTGGCTCGTCGATGATGAAGTTAACGCAGCGTCTAGTGCCATGAATAACGTTAATTACGCCTTCTGGAAAGCCTGCTTCGACAGCTAATTCAGCGAGAATCATTGATGCACCAGGGTCGCGCTCTGAGGGCTTGAGTATCAGCGTATTGCCGGTGATTGTAGCAATAGGTATGGACCAAAGGGGAATCATGGCTGGGAAGTCTAGAGCACAAGTCAGTATGACGGCACGATGGCATGACGACGCATAGATGGAAGGTAACCATACTGAAGGGGCAGATGGCTGCAACAACGCCCAGCGGTTCCCTAATATTCTTGGTTTCCATATCCTTCGCCACCTCCAGCACCTCGCCTAGCAGCTGAGTCGTAACGCCACAGGCAGTTTCAGCGACTTGCAGCCCGCGCAGCACGTCACCTCTCGCATCAGCTAGCGTCTTGCCCTGTTCTAAGGTAATTGAAGCTGCCAAGCGATCCCAATTCTGGCGGATGAGGCTGACATAATTGAACATGATCTGCTGCCGCCGCAGCAGACTTGTGTTCTTCCATGCAGGGAATGCTCTTTGCGCGCTCGCAACAGCAGCACTAAGTTCTGCGTCTGTCGACTCGGGTACTCGAGTAACGACGTTGTTGGTCGCGGGGTCGTGTACGTCGATCCATACCGTCGCAGCAGATGGCTTGAAGCTGTTATCGATGAAGTTGTGTGTAGGTAGCGGCGCATCAATCTTAGCGTGCGATGTTGGCCAGCTAACCATAGCGGTGCGGGCAGAAAAGCTAAACCACCTTGGCGCCATGTGCCGAAGAGCGCGGAGCTCGCGCGGTCGTACAGCTTGCATTGTCGGGGTCTGCAAAGAAAAACAAGTTGAGCGCGGGACACTGAACATCTCCAATACAGAGGTCGCTGATGTTTATGCGAACCTCCTACTTCTCGCTTTTGATCTCAATCTTCTCGAAAAACGCCTCCGTCTTGGGTGTCTTTTCATAGCTCGCTTCAGAGAAGCTCACTTGCCCAACTCGGATCAAAAGCGACCATAGTTACAGTAGTGTGTCCCCGCCATGTCGCACAATGCCCGAGCGTGATTGTGGATCACGTTGACCTTTACACAAATCACAACATACTCTCGCATCGGAACCCGATATGGCATGCGCAATAAAATTGCACCTTTTAGACGCCGGTGTCGCGGGCAACTTTACTAGCTTCGCAAGGCCTTGATTTGGAGACAACAAAAAGGCGAAAAAGACAAAAGGAAACCGCCGCTGATCTAGAAAGATTTAGGGCAAACAATTCTCACAGGGCCTTGGGTGCAATCATTTCTTTCAAAGTTACCCGTCCATCACACACATTTCTTCACACCTTTTAGCGCTCGTTGACCCATCATACACGCTATGGCGACCTTGAGATATATTCCGGGATTCCAGAGCGGCATCACCCATACTAAGCACTTGCGATCAGTTGTTGGCTATGGTCCGAGGGCGTTCGTCTCCGCGAGGTCGCAAACGCGAGCACTTGCAACCGACTGGCAGACGTCGTCGCCCAGTGTCAAGACGGACCTTCCTGGTCCTCGGGGGAAAGAGCTTGTGCAAGTACTTGACAGTGTCTTCGACACCAGCAGTATGAAGATGATCGTGGACTACAAGAAAAGCAATGGTAATTAGTGCGTCTCTGACACCGTGTGGCAATATAACAGTGGCCAGATTGCTGACTATCAAAGCGCGTTCGACGCCGATGGCAATAAATTCTTGGATGTGTACGTAGAGCAAGGCCAGCCAGACTGTGAGTTGTGACTGAAAAACCAACAGGTTCGCGCAAATTTCCTCCATCCCTCTCGGATACAATAATCCAGCTCTTGCCAAAGCCGCACAATCCCCAGACATGGTGGACGCTCTGATCAACCGTCCGGCGTTGGGTGTTTTCCCCTCGCCACATTGGGCTGAGATTTTGAAGACTGGTCTACTCCGCGCAGCACCGCCTGGTCTTGATCAAGTCTTCACCTCGACGACCGGGTCAGATGCCAATGAAACAGCGTACAAAGCCGCTTTCATTTGGCGTTTGTCTCAGGAGCGCGGTGGCCGCGACTTCTCGACGGAGGAGCTTGAATCAGCCATGGTCAATAAAGCACCAGGTGCGCCTAATCACTCGATACTTTCCTTCCACGGGGGTTTCCATGGTCGCACCTTCGGGAGTCTTTCAACGACCCACAGTAAAGCCATTCATAAGCTTGATATTCCGGCGTTCGATTGGCCAGTTGCTCCATTCCCTAAGCTACGCTACCCACTCACCGAATTTGAGACTGAGAATCGCGCCGAGGAAGCACGTTGCCTTGAGGAGATTGAACAAATAATAACAAAGGCACGCAATCCCATCGTTGCTACTGTTGTAGAGCCCATCCAGTCGGAAGGCGGAGATAATCACGCGACGCCCTTCTTTTTTCAACGTCTGCGAGAGATCACCAAGAGAAACAACGTTCTTATGATCGTCGATGAAGTTCAAACAGGCGTTGGTGCCACCGGCAAATTCTGGGCCCATGAGCACTGGAACCTGCCTACACCACCAGACATGGTGACCTTCTCTAAGAAGGCTCAGGCTGCGGGGTTCTACTACACAGATAAGTCGCTAAGACCTGACAAGCCATACCGGCAGTTCAACACGTGGATGGGCGACCCTGCACGAGCGATTTTGTTCAAGAGTATCTTGGAGCAGATTGAAAAGCACGATCTTGTGCGCAAGACGGCAGAGGTGGGGAGATTTCTCTTCAGCGAATTAAGCAAGCTTGCTGCACGCTATCCTGGCGAGATGCTGAACCTGCGCGGAAAGGACAGGGGCACGTTCATTGCGTGGGATAGCCCGCGGCGTGACCAAATTGTGAAATTAGCCCTAAGTAAAGGCGTGATTGTGGGTGGCAGCGGCAATGACAGCATACGGCTACGACCAATGCTCATCTTTGAGAAGAAACAAGGTAAGCCCAGAGCATGACTGATCGTGTGCGGCAATGGAACACTGACTATGATCACAGCCGAAATACTGCTAGGTACTCTCGAAAACATCTACAAGGAAGTTTAAATTGGTATATAGACAGTACATCTTACAAATCTATTCTGCTGGTAGAGATGATGGAATGACTGCGCACATAACGCTGTGTACCTCGTGACTGCGTTTTCTGTTTTTCGCTATCTACCTACCTGTACGCTTGATATTACCTGTAGATTGGTAGTTCCACGATTGTTTAGTACAAAAAAAGCATTTCATCTTAACTCTGCATATGAATGGTTGTGTAAGCTATCTGTATTATAGCGTAGTCCTAAGTACACTGTATGACTTTCTCATGTTCGCGTACAAAAGACGCGCTACACGCTAGCTGCCTTCCTTATCGGGCCCCATCGCGAGCGCAGGTTGGCCCGGACTTGATCTGGCTTACACATGTGCTCTTAATGCATCCTGAAATATAGCATGAATACCGTTACTCTGCACCAGTTTCTTTATCGCCTCTGCTTCTCTGCCTCGTGCCTCACGTCCTGCACTTATTCGTTTTACAACTTCGTTCTCCTTTCTATACCACTATGTCCTCACCCCTCGAGGTAGACGCTCTGGTCGTGGGTGCTGGCGTCGGCGGAATCTATTCCACCTACTGCCTCACGCGTCTTGGTCTCAGCACGAATTGTATTGATATTGCTGGCGATGTTGGCGGCACCTGGTACTTCAATCGCTATCCAGGCGCCATGAGCGACACCGAGTCGTATTTATATCGCTACTCGTGGGACAAAGACGACCTCCAGACCTACCCTTGGCAGAAACATTATCTTTACCAGGCCGAAATTTTGGCATATCTAAAACACATTGTCAAGAAGCATGAGCTTCGCCAGTACATGCAATTCAATACCGAGATGACCTCGGCAGTATGGAATGAGTGTACACAGCGATGGCGCATTACTTGCTCTACAGGTCTGGTCGTGGATGCTCGTTATCTAGTCAACTCACTCGGGTTATTGTCCAAAGTTCATTATCCACCAATAGCCGGCATTTCGACATACAAGGGCAAGTTGGTGCACACCGCTCGGTGGGATGAAGATCTGGACGTCAAGGGCAAAACGGTAGGCATCATTGGCAACGGCTCCACCGGTGTTCAGGTTATGACTGCCCTCGCGCCCATCGCCGGAAGGCTTACCTCGTTCCAACGCCATCCGCAATACTCTGTGCCGAGTGGGCAGGGCTTGATCCCTGAAGACTACCGAGCCAAGATTAACGGCGAATATAACGATATCTGGAAGGGTGTCTTCACATCCAGTACCGGCTTCGGCGTGCCTGAATCCACACGCAAGGCAATGGAAGCCACACCTGAAGAACGAGAGAAGGCCTTTCAAGACGTGTGGGACCAAGGAAACGGATTCCGCTTCATGTTCAGTGCTTTTGGTGACATTACCACGGATCGAGCCGCCAACGAAGAAGCCTGCGCTTTCATCCGAAGGAAAATCAGCAGCATCGTCACAGATCCCCGCAAAGCCAACATTCTCAAGCCAAAAGACCTGTACGCCCGCCGACCCCTCTGCGATTCAGGCTACTATCAGATCTTCAACCGGGACAATGTCGATATCGTTGATCTTCAGGCTACACCCATCCAAGAAATTGTACCTGAAGGCGTACAGCTTGCTGACGGGACGATTCATAAGCTCGACGTTTTGATCTTCGCAACAGGCTTCGATGCCATTGAAGGCAACTACACACGCGTCAGAATCATTGGACGTGACGGCAAGAGCATCAAAGATCACTGGCAGCATGGCCCCACGGCCTACGGAGGCATTGCCTGCGCCGGATTCCCCAACATGTACGTCGTCGCGGGCCCTCAGGGACCGTTTGCCAACTTCCCACCTGTGATTGAGAGCGAAGTCAATTTCATAATATCGTGCATCGAACGCGCTGAGGCGAGCAGATGCGTGCTCGAGGTCACGCACGAGGCGGAGAGGGGCTGGGTGGCTCTCTGTGATGAGCTTGTCCAGGGTTCACTGTTCAGGACCGCCGCGAGCTGGATCTTTGGCCAGAACGTAGCAGGCCGCCAGGCAAGCACAAACTTCTTTTTTGGCGGCCTCAAGGGTTACTTGGATTGGGTGAAGACAACTGTCACCGAAGGATTTGTGGGGTTCGAGCATAGGCCTTGGAAGACGATTTCCAAGTCGCCCCAGGTTGTTGACCCATAGTTTCGGATTTTTAACGAATGAGCTTTCCATGTATGACATCTAATATGAACGAAATGTTTTTCAAATGTTTCATCGAAGAAAGGAGAATTATGCCAAAATAACTTTGATCACATTTTCTCCAACACACCATCGCCAACTTACCGCTTGTACATGCGGTGGCAACAATCTGACTACCAGGATTCTGACAGCGAGTCGACGTGTTTGTACATGCTGTACGTTTCATGGCGATCGTCGGTTTCCATGCGGGGCAATATGTAGCCTACTGCGATTATCATCGCGCCTGCCTAAACGGGATGAGACGCGAACCCCGAACACCGTCAGACGCAGGGTCGGCATAGTGCGGACACGGATGTGCGTAGTACCAGTAGACAACGATTCATCTGCAGATCAGAAATGGGGAGATGAGATGCGAACATACCATCGGAACAAACTGTCAATCCGACGTTCGACCTCCATAGTAAATTGCTAGTAACCCGCAGTTAACCCTCATTGTGATCGCTAACCTTAAGTATGGACATTTGCCGTCTATCTTAGGCTACTTACAGAAAGATACCTTACATCACATCCGCCTCCATGACCACCACCTCGTCATCACCTCATCCATCAGGGATGGATTCCTTCTGGCGAAGCCAACTGGGAGAGCTGGATCGCCACCGCACAACACCTGAGCTGCCTGCCGAAGTCGATGTCCTGGTCATTGGCGCAGGTTACTCGTCGGCGTCTTTTGTGACGCATTTTCTTGCCTCTGAAGCTGCTGCGTCGTCCGTTCTGGTGCTGGAGGCGCGCCAGCTGTGCTCAGGCGCCACAGGTCGCAATGGTATGTCACATGTGGCGTGTATACATAGCATATACTCACGATGCGTGTGAATTTGCAGGTGGACATTTGAAGCCCGATTACTACTACGGAGCGGCAGGTCACGCGGCCGAGTACGGACTGGACGCTGCGGCTGAGGTCGCGGAGTTTGAACACGCAAACCTGCAAGCTGTTTCCGACTTTATCATCGAGAACAATGTGGACTGTGATTATATTGTCACCCGCGCTGTCGATGTCCAGCTTGGGGATGACGTGTATAATAAGGCAAAGGCGGGATATGAGTTGCTGAAGAAATCACGGACTGGTAAGGATGTGTTTGCAATCCCAGACAGTCTTGCGGAAAAGGTACGCATGTGTTCATCATTTGCGATATGGTATCAACCAGTTCAGTTCTATTGTCGATCTACTCGTTCGTCTAATCGTCATTTTAGATCTCTGGTGTCAAGAAGGCCAAGAGTGCATTCTCGTTTACTTCAGGCCATCTCTGGCCGTATAAGCTGACGCACCACTTGTTCGCCGACGCTCTCAGAAAAGGCATCAACCTCCAGACGGAGACACCTGTTCAAGGGATCTCAAAGAGTCCCGACGAGAACGGAAATTGGATAGTACATACCCAGCGAGGCATGATTCGAGCTAAAAAAGTCGTAGCTACTTCCAACGCTTACACCTCGTCCTACCTACCGGAGTACAAAGACAAAATCATCCCTTACCGCGCCATCTGTTGCCGTATTACGTGTCCTGAGCAATCCCGCCCCCGCTTGAACAATACGTACGCCCTGCGGTTTGCTGACTGGGATTTTGATTACTTAATCCCGCGGCCAGACGGCAGCATTGTCGTCGGCGGAGCACGCTCTGCTTACCTCTCAAACAAAGACGTATGGTATGACTCCGTCGACGACAGCCGCGTAATCGAGCAGGCGCGGTCCTACTTTGACGGCTACATGCAGCGTCACTTCCACGGCTGGGAAGACTCGGAGGCCGCGGTCTCAGACATATGGACAGGCAGTACGTATTGTAGCCAACTCTGGCTCTTCTCTTTACATACAGATCTGCATGACTCACTGATTTACAGTAATGGGCTACTCGTCTGACCGCCTCCCGAGAGTCGGAGAGGTGCCCTCCCGGCCTGGGGTCTTCATCATGGGCGGTTTCACAGGCCATGGCATGGCACAGATATTTCTCACAGCCAAAGGCCTCGCAGGCATGATCAGAGACGGCGACACGTACGATCAAACGGGGATTCCCCGGATATTCCAGGAGTCCCCACAGAGATTGGCGAGCCCCGAGAATAAGGTGCTGAAGTTGTGGAAGACGGCGGCAGGTGCTGCTAGACTGTGAGTGGCGCACCATCTGATGGTGTCACAGATCCGATATATGCAAGCTTTGTGACTCAGATATCATCATTTGCATCATGTGATAAGTTGTGATCCGTATGCATCGCATATATGCTTTCATTATAAGCTCTTCATTTCTGTTACACCTATGTGACTAAGTTAGATGGACAAGCTGTGGTTTATAATATGAGGAAGAGAAATCTCGGTTGGACTCATGTCTACCAAACGCAGATGAAGAACAGCTTAGGAGATGTTCACGACGCGTGCATTTGTTTTAACACATAGGTATTCAGAATAATAAGGCCACCTCATTACCTACACATGCCACAACAATTCCATGATGAATTGTTAGAGCCGGTGAGACCTGGCTTCAAAGTTCTCATGGTGGCGGGTGGGAGTTCGTGGGCTGAGATTGGGGATATGTTATGTGAGGGTGCCAGAATCTGCAGAGTAGATCAGATCAAATCAAAGTTGGAGGATGTTAATGCCATCGAGGCCCAGCATTACGTTTTAGAATGAAACGCGATCGCGTGAGAATACCTATAACACTAGCATATCTTTTGCGTCGTATTTGCTGATTACGTACCCTAGCAGATGTGACTTGTGAATACCGGTATAACAGCGCTTTATTTCCACATCAGGCAACTTGCACTGAGTGCAAAACGGTTAGACGTAAATCAAATCGCATCGGATAGATCATATGACGCATCGCTGCGGGATGGGGATGTGGTGCCTCGGGGACCAGAGCGCTGCCGACACTGAAAGTGGGGCTGCGGGGCGTTCCCTTGGACTGCCAAATGCAGCAACAACGCGAGACGTGCTTCGATATCGATAAGATCTCATTCGCGCCGGGAGATCAATTCCTCCACAGCGGTACAAAGATTTGCAGTTTCTATACTGTAACGTGCATGCCGAACGAGTTTGAAGCAGAAATCTCTACAGCACCAGCTAGTCGCAGCACGGTTCTTACAAACTAAAGAAAGCGGAATCCGTTGTTCCAAAGCCTGCAGTTCTGTTCAGGTTAGACAGCTTACACTCGCCACTATTAAAAAGAACGATGCCACCGAAACACTGTCCCACAGAACTTACCAGACCAAGCAGAACTACCAAAATGGATAGGAAACAAGCAGACATTCCGTTGTGCATTCAGCAGGTTGGTTCCTTCTCTAATCATCTACGTCATTGCCTGACCTCGCTTTTCCGCTAGTTGTTCACCTATCCAATCAAATCACTTCGAGGAATATCTGTACACTCTATGCTAGCCACGTCAAATGGCTTCATGTATGATCGCCATTTCATGCTATGGGACGTTCTCAAGTCCGAGCCAATGCACATAGGACATCGTTCCCACTTGTGCTTGTTTGAAACGAACTTCGATGATTCTGACCATCCGACATGTGTACAAGTGACATATAGTCTAGCCCATACCTTCGATCGGCCCTCTGAAGCAGTCTCAGCCGGCGCCTTATCGGTTCCCCTACACCCCGAGTGTAAATTTTTGGCTAAGGTCAAGATCGATATGCACAAGAACCCTACGAGTGCATTCGACATGGGGCCCGAATACAACCAATGGTTCACGGATCGCGTAGGTTACCAAGTAAAACTGCTTTACATTGGCAACTTCCGAAGGGGAGTGTTAGGCAACTTACCTCCCAAGATACCCACAAAGGTCTTTAACATTGCCAATGCGTTGTCTGCGATCGTGGTCGTAGGTGCTGTATCGCTACTACTTCTTCATCAGCTACACGGTCTGGTGCTGCTATTACTTTCCGGCGCTACAGCACTAGTGATCAGCAAGAAACCATGCTCTCTCGCGTCGACTGGATTGGCGATCGGGGGGAAAAAGGAAGGGATCACATTCGCCGATCTAGCTCCATTTCTGGTTATTTCCACACGAAGCCACGAGAATGTTGAACAGAGACTCCCAAACGGCCAAAGCCTTGACATCACCAAGTTCCGAGCCAACATAATTATCGAGGGCGCGAACGAAGCATTTTCCGAAGACTTCTGGGCTGAGCTTCGAATTGGAGACAGTGCACAGATAAGCCTTACGCAGAATTGTGCTCGTTGCAATAGCCTGAATGTTAACTATTCCACTGGAAGAATCGCACCCGGGGAGACGGGAAAAATCCTGAAGACGTTGAGCAAGGACCGCAGAGTCGATCCAGGAACGAAATGGAGCCCTGTGTTTGGTAGATACGGTTTCTTGACCAAGGGGCAAGACTCAGCAGGTGCTATCCTCCGCTTGGGCGATAGAGTCGACATCCTTGCTTGTAATCAAGCCCGTTCAATCATGGGTGAGTTTAAAGTCCTTCTAGAGCCCCAATTGCTCAACGCATATTGGTCGTTGTGTAGGGCGTCTCAAGGAGGCGTGGTAGCGCTTCTCTAGAGCATCGGTAACATGATTCAGATTATCCAAAGTAGGGTAGCCATTGGAGGCGCGAGAATCAGAGCCCCAGCCCTCGATTTAGTGAAACAATCCGGAGACAAACTGCACATTTGTTCGCACTTATCCCATGTAGCGAGGCCGACTCTGCTGTCCTCTACACTGTAATTTAGCTAACATAGCGGCAACGGAAAAATCTATTACAATGTCGCACCCAACAAATAAAGACGAAGAATCGCGTATGGCGACAGCTTTTCGGCCTTGACACGTAGTCGTGTCAACCAGATTAACAATCAAACCTTTCTATCGGTTTTCGAGGCGGCTCTTGAGAAGACGATTGCAGAGGAGAACACCTGCACTGCCTTTGAAGGTGCTGGTCTAGTCCCATACGACCCAGAGACAGCGTTATCGAAGCCTTATGTGCGTAGGACAATTCCAACACAACTAAACGACGTTGCTTGGGGGGCGAAGGCACTGCGCAACGCCCGCGAGATAGAGGCGTTGACGAGGGTCGTCAGCAAGTTCCCTTGATGAGCAGGTTAAGCAGCTTATCAAGAGGGCTCAGCAGATTGCACATGAGACGGTGTCAATGTGGGAAGAACAAGCACGCCTTCGAAACGCAGTAGGAACGACCATAATGCGCAAGGCCCGTAAACGGCGATATCTACAAGTAGAAGAGATCCTAGCTTCGGTGAGTTAGCTGACCTGGTTGCTGAATAGGAGGGCGGTGTAGGCGAGACGCCTATGAAGAGATGCGCGCAGAGAGGCACTGTCGTTGCGGCGGAACTAGGCACAAGTCCTGCACCTGCAAGGTAGAAACCGAGGACACAGATAATTTCGACGCTCCTTGTGAATAGATTGGTTCATTGTAGTATGCAATATTCTATGTAGTGTTACGCAATGTCGTTGCGCAAGCCTGCTGGTGGTGTAGAGGACCGCTCACTTATTGTGAAACACGTTATTGAAGTGTGAAGATGATTTTATGAACCTGATCCCTGGTTAGCTAGACTCTCAAGTTGCGGGGGCAATTATGAGCCCTTACCTTTCGTTGATTGAAAAGCTCATATGCTTCAACTGCATTTTCCAGTGGCATTAGGACGCCACAGAGACTCTTTACGCTATCTTGGGTTTTCACGAGTACCTCAAGCGCCTCTTCAAACAGAGATCGAACCGGACAACACCCAAATGACATTGTCAATCCCTTATCAAACACATTCCCAATGTGCAGATTCATTTCGGAGCCAAAAACACCAATACTCGAGATCTTTCCTCCAGGGCGACAGGTGTCAATACAGAGTTGCAAAGCATCGTTGTGGCCAACAACTTCAATCACTACGTCAGCACCGCGTCCTTTGCTCGCTTTTTTGATAGTCTCTTCGGGGTTGTCATCGAGATTGAGTGGAATAGCGCCGATTTTCATCGCCTCGTCTAATCGCGCTGATATGCGGTCGATGGCAAACACTTTGGCCCGCCCTTGTGTTAGATGAATGGCAGAAGCCAAAGCACACATACCTACAGGACCACAACCAACCACCGCGACAGTCAATTCGTCCAGATCTTTTTCCGGGACGTTCTTGAGAAAGCGCGAGGCGGCATGGTATCCAGTGGGGAAGATGTCTGCCATCAGTAATAGTGTGTCCTCAGCAATACTGGACGGGGCATGGAACAGAGTGGTAGGCGCCAGCGGAACCCGAATGTATTCAGCTTGACCTCCGTTGATGCACCCATCAAATCCTTCACCGAAGAACTCGCACTGGACGCAAGACCACGACTGCCCAATAGAGCAGTAATGGCAGTTACCACAACAGGAGGAGAAGGGCAGCACAACATGATCGCCAACCTTGAAGTTTTTCACGTCTGACCCTATCTCGGAGACAAAGCCAACGACTTCATGGCCGGCGATGAAGCCAGCCCTTCGTATAGGACCGTAACCCTTGAAAAAGTGCTTTGAGGAAATCCTTAGCGGCTGTGTCTGATTCAATACGGGTAATGATGACTCACCAAGTCCGATCCACAAAGACCTGAGCGAGTAACCTTGACAATGGCGTCTGTTGGCGTTTGAATTTCAGGGACTGGGACGTCTTCTACGATGACGTGGCCTACTTCTTTGTAGACAACAGCCCTCATGTTCTTGCCTGATTCGGTAATGGCCGGCATTGATTGGTCTGACGCAGTCTGTCGAGTTTGCGATGTGGTGAGTTTGGGAGGGTACGAAGGGTTCGAAAGGTATGAAGGGTAAGGAAGGGAAATACAGCGACAGTAGGTTTATCGCTGGCAGATACTTCTACGTAATGTACCCTACTCGCGAAATGTCCAGATTAAGTAAAAAAAAAAGCCACTAGCTGTCTACACCTTGCCTCTTATCGCGTAGGGAAGTCTCGCGTACTGCGGCAATATGTGTACAGCATGTACGTTATCGCAGTGCGTGCAGACTTGCGTCTTGTCTGAACCTCGGGGAAATTTGTAACGGCATCCAAGAAGAAACTCAGGTGCGCTGAATGTCCTCTTTCCTTTCCCGGCGCTTTCGCGATCACGAACCATGGTGTTCGGGGCTAATAGGTATAAATGGAAGACGTCGGGGACTCAGCCGACGTTCTTACAGTACAACTCCAACCCGAACCTTAGCCGTGTCTCCATCCGATATGATGTCAAGCAACGGTCCATACACCAAGGTCGCTGTCATCACTGGGGGAGGTAGGTACAGCCAATCAGAAAGAACCAGATTGCAAGCGCTGACTGTTGACATTTGCGAACAGCTAGTGGATTGGGTTTAGGCGTCGCCACTCAACTAGCCCACCGGGGAGACTGGTTTGTCCATATCCTGGACCTGGACGAAAAACGCGGCCGAGCAGCATCGCAAGCACTGGGGTCAAGCAGCGAATGCCACAGGGTTAATGTTGCCGACTACGCCTCGCTAGCTACCATTTTCGACAGCATATTCGAGCAGCATAGACGAATTGATTTCGTCTTTGCAAATGCAGGCATTGTGGACAATGTCGATTTCTACGCACCACAAGAGTGCTCTGGTCCACCATCGGCACCCAACATGCTCACCATTGACATCGACCTCAACGCCGTCGTCAACTCAACATATCTTGCCATGCATTATTTCCGACGGAGCCCACAGGACACGAAGCGTAACATCGTCATGACTGCGAGTGTGGGCTCCCTATACCCATGCTTCGCGATTCCTTTGTACACGGGAGCCAAACGTATGTCTGACCCCCCATGATCCACCTCTCGTGCGACACCTCGAGAACAACAAACAGCTTACGCTAGTGAACGTATTCAGATGGGGTCCTTGGGTTTATGCGCGCTATCGCGCCGCGACTGAACAAAGAAGGTATTCGCACCAACGCGATCTGTCCGGGGGTTGTTGCTACCAATCTCATGACCGACGATGACTTCGAACATTATCCGTCTGACTATTTCACTCCCTTGGAAGCCGTGACATATACGGTCTTACAGGTGGTTGATAACCAAGATATGGAAGACGCTACTGGCGTAAAATTGTGCGGAGACGACGTTTTCGGTAAGGCGATTGAGATTAATGTTCGTAATATTTATTTCAGAGCGCAACCCGATTGGTGCGACAGTGTTATGCCACTTGTTATGGCTGCAACGGACCGGTAGAACGGGAAATACACATCCGAATGCTTCCTCACCGTCTCCCGCAGATTTCCTCGTGTGTTTATGGTTTTGTTGACTGTGGCGGGCGAGGAGGCGAGACGAGCTCGATTGCGATTACGTATTTTGATTGAGCGAAACGGACGCGGAACGCATGGTTGAAGTGTCGCGCCCTGCAGAATGTGTGTTTTCAATAAGCGAAAGGTCGTTTGTAAACGTGTCGCATTTAGTCCAAAAGCAGTAAGAATTTTAAGTTCTGGACATCGAGCGTCATCATGTACCTAGTAGAGTAGTGCGGGGACGACCGACACGACGGTCCAGCGTGGCGATAAGCCGGTAAGCTGCCAGGGCAGGTCGAAAGCGAAGACGGTCTTGCCATGCTTGAGCCACCAAGTCACTTTGACCACATTCGAATCATGTTACTATGCCTGCATGCAAGAAATTTATAACAACCACTGGTTTACAAAAGTTGCTGGTACACTACTCTACAGCGCGTCACAGCAATGGTAGCTGATTCTATGACTGCCCAACCTATTTGACCACGGTGGCTTATTCGCCAGGCGATTGCTTGGACGTCGCCGAGATCAATTGTCGGAATCTTCACGCTCGCTTTTCCCTGCCCCGGGTAGTACATAATTCTTGTGCCCGTGCAGTAACCAGTAGCCTAGTGCGTATGCAAGAACGCCAAATATCACGGCTGAGACATAATTCATATCGCTTGCGGTGACAGGCAGGAAGTAGGGGAGAGAATAAAAGACCAGGATTATTGAGAACCAGACCAGGGTAACAATATTAGCGAAAAGTCCTAGTTTCGGATACCAGAATGGGCCGTGGGCTACACTGCTACGTCCACGCCAGAGAAGGAGGCCAACAGGAAGAGCATATGTCGCATATTGCAGGATAATGCTTCCGGCAACAAAGGAGCTGAAAGCTGTTTGAGAGCCGAGATAAAGACAGCCACAGATAGCAGTCCAAGTGGCTGAAAAGAGATGAGCATAGATAGGTGTTCCAAACGGCGCTGGAGCAATGCGAGAAAGGTAGGAGTAGAATGGAAGACCGTAATCTTTGCTCAAAGCCCACGCGATGCGAGACTGCCAGGTGTGGATCCCAACGAGCGAACTATAGGCCGTGATAAAAACCAATGATTGTAACCCAAGTGCGGCTTGTCTGTTGCTGTCGATCACGCTGTAGAAGATAAGTAGCGTGTTGTTGTTGTTCTCGAGGTCGGTCGCGCACACGAAAAGGGCAATTACGATGAGGAGACCTGTAATAGCACCGATAATAATCGTCCACATAAGAGCTCTGGGTATGTTTTTGCGGGGGTTGGGAATCTCATCAGCAAGATGTGTGATCGCATCCAGGCAGGAGAAGGACCAGTTCAGCCCGTTAATCCCGATTAAGAAGGCAACACCATCGGGCCACCCTGATACGTTCCTGTAATCGAGGAAGAATTCATGAGGTGTGACGGTGGGAGAGCCGGCCGCGAACAAAGCAACAAAGATGATACCCGCTATGACAGCCGTTAAAAGCATGAAGAGCTGCGCGAGAATTGGCAACAAAGCTTCGAAGCAGTTCGCACCAAAGGCGAACGCATTTAAGACTTGGAACATCACAAATATCCGCCATGGTTTTGCCTCGATCTCTGGGTAGGTGAATGATACCATCGAAAACAGCGTGTTGCTTGAGGCTAGAGCACAAGCCGCGCTGATGCATACCGCAGATGCCCACGAAATGATGGCTGTCAGGTAGGACAGAAAACGGCGCGAGTTTTCTGGGGCCAGACGAGATACCCAAACATACTGACCGCCAGAATGTGGCCACATGGAAGCGAATTCACCCAGAGTGATCGCGACACAGAGGACGATGGGTGTGATTGCGAGGAAACCCCAGAAGAACATAGGAGCTCCCCCGAACGGTAGGGTGGCGGTGACAGTCAAGAGGATTCCTGCAGCGGTATTGGTAGTCGAGTAGCCGAGCCCGATGGCGGTAAATATGGTGAATGGTCTCCTGTGTTGCTCTGTTATGTCTGAGACCACGTCGCCTTGGGCCACCGACATAGCCTCCGCGTTGGGAGAGGTTCTCTTAGAAACACCAGCTGCATTGTTGGAGCCGGTTGTATCGCCGTAGTTTGGTGAAGATACCTTGATGTTGGTTGGATGGTACATTTTGGTAGTAAGTATGAATGGTACAAGAAAAGATGATGTCCGAGTGTAATGAACTAAGCTGGAAATTATTTCGCGAAGATATATACGACATCAAGGACGCGTGCAGGGATAAAGACCGCGTCTAGATCATTATCAGCAGCAAGTAAACTCAAAACAGCAAAAAGCCGAGCTAGCTAGAGAGTAGTTTGATCGCGTGGGCGTGGCCAGAATCAATATCACCCGGGTTTGAGATAACGCAGCTTTGCCGATGTTGCTTGATAATGGCGGGTGATCAATCTGGCGCCTTCCTCGAGCCAGAGAATGAAAGGCGGAAATAGTTCACCGTCGCCCTCGATTACTGCTATGATTGAGCCAAAGTCAGTAGCGCCCATGAGATAATAGGCAGCTGCCTTTGATATTTGCGGCTTTTTTTATTGAGCTAGCAAATGCCTAGCGATGAGATTATGATGGGTTGTTCGTCAAGCCAGGCATTTTAGCACTCAACGTCTGATCACTGTCTTCAAGGAGAGGTGGTCTGTTGTAGATCAGTGATCTATGATCTAAGGTGGCAGGCTACAAGAAGAAGCAATGGCCTCTCTATATCTTGCTTGTTACAGGGAGTTCAGCCAGATAACTATTGACAAGCTGAACTGCTTCACGGGCTAAGCCAAAGCTGAAAACATACCCGCCAGCTTCTTGTCCATATGCGTGAACAACCCTTTGAGTACCAACGTCCTTCTTTTCAACACGTACTCCGCCCTTCTTCTGTGTGATGATCGGGAACACTCCGACATGATCGCAGATGAAGTCGTAATCTTCGGGATGAGGTGAAGTAAAAATGTTTGGCTGATTCTCGTGTTGTCGACGCATGATCTGTGCGCAAAGGGATCAGCGGCTTATTGCCAATTGTGCGAATAGGGTACTTACAGTCCTGCGCTGATCCTCGTCGGCAGTGAAATCGACGACTCCTGGGGTCTTGATGCCACCAATGTAAATTGTGCCATCTCCTCGAGCAAACGCAGTGGAGTAATAACCGTTTGTTCCACGGCGAATGTACAACTCATTGTATCCATCCTTCCTGATTCTAAGATTCTGCTGACGTACAGGTTCCAGGCGGTCTTCAAGGACGTCGGTCAACTTGGTAGCACCAAAGCCGCTTGCGTTCACAAGAACGTCGTGGCCCATGCCCTTCAAATCAGCAAGTGAGTTCACATGAAGCCGCTTGAAAACCACACCTCGCTTTTCAAGCCTATCCCGAAGCCACGGCAAGAAGACCATGGGCGTAATAACCACTGTCTTGTACTTCATTCCGAACTTGGCCCCCTTTTGAAGGTTTTTGTCTGGGATCAGTCGGAATTCAGGTACTATGCTTTTGTACCAAATCGCGTCTACCGAGCCGTAATCGCAGATTTCCGTCATTTCAACATGACGCACACTAGATTCTGGATTGCTCAAAGCAATTCTCCATAGGTCCGCAAAACTGCTTTTTTGCATTTGCTGCTCTCGAGGACTAGCGTCGTGCGTGGGTAGCCAGATAGCTCCAGCCCATTGGCTGACATACGCGGGGTCCATGTCGTCTCCTGGAAGATGCTTCCCAACAACGGTAATATCATAGTCCCTCGGGAGTTGGCTGGCGATGGTCAAGCCGGTAATACTAGATTTTGAATGTTAGATTTATGTGCTCCGAGTATATCGCATGGTACTTACCCGGCTCCAAGAATCGTAATCTTAGGCATTTCGTCTAGGGGGTATGTATTGCGTGAAAAGGCCTTTGTGATGGACAGAATATACTTGTGCTTGGTTTGTGTTTCAACGGGAAACACTGGAAATGGCGAATTCTTGTCAATGATAACTTGGGAGACTGATTGCAGATTGCGCACGTGACGCAGCTCTACTAGTGGTATGCAAAGCTGTCAACTGGAATCAACTCAATCCGCACTCTCGGCTTCACGCGCTTACGCAACAGGCCGAGGATGGAGCATGTATAGGCAAGTGCTAGGCCTGTATAGGTAATCCATCATCTCAATCTGAGCCTTCTGGGCTCTGCTTTGTTGATTGTTGACAGCTATGGAGGTACGTCTTTGTGAGTAAGACTCGCGATTCATCCAATTCGGGAAATCGCTACTACATTGATACGACGTTACCAGTAGAATTCGCGATCTTTCCAATTAGAGAAAGCGCCATTGTAATGCAGATAAGACTCGCCATTTTTGCAACTGGAGAAAGCGTATTATAGCTAATGGTCGGGTAATACTCGCGATCTATCCACTTTAGGAAAGCGCCCTCGTATCCGTTCGGCGCCGATGACTATGTATCGCGTGCACGTACCGCAATAGAGTCCCTGTCTGCACTCTAAGTTTGAAGCCGAACATACCGATGTCCTACGTGTGGCTATTGTTGTGATAAGCCTTCCGTTTCGCTTGAACACTCTAACCCTCGGGTATGGGCCAGTAATGGAATCGTTTCAACGTCCCTTCGAAATCAGACAAGCCAGTCGAACACCAGCCAATTAAATAGCATTCACCTAATTATCGATCCTCATTATCTTGGCCCAGATGATTGGAAAGAAAGGAAGATTCGCGTTGACATTGCGCGTGCTTAGCTGCGCTTCCCCGGCACCTTGCGACATCGCAACGTCAAACGCTAACAAGCAAGCGATAGGATAACAGAAACCCTCTCAGCTATTTAACAGGCATGCGACTACAGTGTCACATGTCGGGCCCAAGCTTCTTCCAAAGAACCGCACATCTGAAGTAAGCAAACAATGCCTCCTTTCAAGTCGTTCGACAAGTCCTTTGCTCGGATAACGGGTCCAGATCCTGAACTCCAACTACTGCTCCAAAAAGATTATCCGTTCGCCTTTGAAGCCGGCATATACTTCCCCACCTCACGCGAACTATTTGTGACCAGCAGCCCATTCGACGATGCCCATGGCAAGACTGTACATATCTCAAAAATCACGCTCGGTAGCAAAAATGACGGAGCACACATAAACCAGCAGGTGCTACCAAATGGAAGAATTGCTATGGCAAACGGGGGAACCAAATGGGGGAAGGAAATGATCTTCTGCGCACAAGGCTCGTTGGCTTTACCGAGCGGTCTGTTTGCGGTATCTGAGTCGCCACCTCACGATCAACGACTGATTGTCTCGGATTTCTACGGAAGACCTTTCAATTCGGTCAACGACGTTGTCGTACACAGTGACGGTAGTATATGGTTTACAGACCCAGCATACGGCTTTGGAGAAGGTCACAGACCGCGACCACGTCTACCTAATCAAATATACAGATACGATCCCAAAAATGGGGCCATTCGTGTAGTAGCAGATGGTATTGCGCACCCAAATGGCCTCTGCTTCTCTCCCGATGAAACCATCATGTACATCACCGATACAGACTTCGTATGGGGAGATGGGACAGAAGACGAATCCCGGGCATCAACTATGTTAGTAGGATACGTAGTTCTGGCGACACTTCCAGAGAGTCAGAGCTAATCATGGCAGATATGCTTTTGACATAAGCCTTTACTCTGGACAACCTTTCCTTACGAACCGTCGAGTTTTTGCTATGGCTGATACTGGATACCCTGATGGTATTAAGTGCGATTCAAATGGGAACGTGTACAGTGGCTGTGGTGATGGAGTTCACGTTTGGTCACCTGGTGGTGTATTGTTAGGAAAGATCTTAGTGGATGGTGGTGTGGCCAACTTATGCTTTGGAGGGATCGGTGAACTCTTCATCTTGAACGGGACCAAACTTTGGCGAGCAAGATTAGCAGACTCGACTCAAGGTGCACTTCTCTAATCTTTTAATCCTGCATCGATATTGTATGCATGCTATTTGCTGGCACGGAGCAGTCATTGTAGATCTTGATAATGGCTAAAAGTTTGGGCCTAGTACACGAGACTAGCCATCAGTTTCAAGTTCGAAACTCGTTGCTCTTTTCCAACAGTGTTATTCAAACCGGTCGGCCCAGCAGCGAAGTAATAAATTTGCTGATCAGACTCACGGTAAGCTGGCCATTCTGGTGATGTCTCTGAAACGGGGGAGGATGAGTCAGTATCGATAACCAGTAACGCTTGAAATTGAGTGAATCGAGTACTTACGTTGGTCGTATTTTGGTACACCTGAGTTGATAAAACCAACCCACATCGCAGACATGTCACGTGCTAGATCCAATGATGGCTGCCCTAAGCCCTCGAGTGGGTTTGGGCCTTCCCAAGGAGGATGCGTTCCTTCCCAACCTGATCCGTTCACATTGTTGAACATGTAGGCGAGATCGAAACCGTGGGACGCGCCAACCCATTGCGGAACCGTGGAAAATGGTACCTCGGCGTTGTAGACGAAGACTTCGCTTTTGTTGTGTACGTTCCACTGTTCAGCTGTAAAATGCACGCCCGCTTTCCAAATGGCATCAGTCATGATGGTGCTCAGTCGCCTGTATTGGTATCCCACGGTCGCGTTTAGGTGCGTGTTCGAAAGTCCCTGGTGTCCCAAGTCGTTGTCGTTGCTACTGTAAGCCGACATAAGGGTTGTTGCTGAAGTGAAGTTCAGACCCATATAGATACCAGACAACGTATCGTGAAGTTCGCTATCACTATTGATTCCGGTGTCCACAAATAACGACGCCTCATCGGTGCAGGAACCGATGAGATATCTGATAGCTGGAAAGTTGCCTTCCTTCAGTTGCTGCGCAGATGAGCCGGTCATGAAGTCGCCATCAGGCACAGGGCCATACAGGGAACCCGCAGAAGGGATCGTCAAGGAAATTTTGATAGCGTCATCGAGAGCCTTCGTGTCAACCCGGCGTAGACATGCCAGCTGATCCTCTGCATCTGGACATAGGGTTTCTGTTATGTTCAGTGTAGCACGTCCAAGTTTTTCTGCTCCTTGTCAGCCGCAGATTCACATACAGACACACATAGCGTGGTCGGATCAGTATTCTCTAATTACCTTGGGTCCTCTCCCAAGGGCCTTGGCCTGCCGCTGGTCCGGACTGCGATATGACTTGTTGGAACAGACCATCATCGCGACCATTGAAGGCGAGGATATGTTTGTTGACAGATACAGCTCCACTACGACAGGACATTAGTCTTCAAAAACTACTAGATGGCGGGTGCTCCTTACGCGCTCTCTCCCATAATGGTTACTCGTGAGGGATCTCCTCCAAAGGCAGCAATGTTCTCTTGAACCCAGTGCAATGCCATCCTAGCATTTGTCAGTCAAGGACGATCTGCGGTACATGTTTCAAACTACCTTTGATCCCTCATTCCAACATTGGTCAAACCCTGCTCAACGATTTGATCTGACCACATAAAGCCCCAGGCCGCCAAGCGATAGTTTATGCTCACAGCAAGGATAGGCTCGCCAATTTCTTGAGAACGCTGTACAAGGAATGAAGTGTTGTAGTACGGAGTCGAACTGCTGCCTTCAGTGAAGCCGCCTCTATTAAAATGCTTAGCAAGTCGAGAGAGACCGTATGGTAGGGCATAACTGACCCATGGATCCAGACCAATACAGGCATTGTTTCATTCACCCGTGCTGGGCGGATGACAGCTAGATTGAGACAGTCTTCATCATTCTGGCTCGCCATAGATGACTCGGGGCCATATCCGATGCAAGAGAACCCGTACTGGGTAGCGTTACGGCTACTCGACCAGGACGTGTTCAAGCTCTGGGGCCTGGCCAACCTCAAGTCACCAACAGGTGCCTGGGCGTAGGGCATGCCGAGAAAGAAATCTTGGTCATATTCAGCGTTGTAGACACCGTAGTACGAGCCATTGGCAAGGACTGCGACAGGAGCTCCAGGTTGCGGGGTTGGCGAGCTTGTGACCAGGCTCGAAAGGGATAGCAACGCCAGGACCTTAGTGAGAGTGATCATTGCAAGATAATTGACCGTGCCTGTGAAACTATAATGTGAATATATCACAAATGTTGCAGCGGTGTAACTAATCTATGTACTTCTACCGTTCCTTATATTTTCTCTTTTTCCGGAGACTTTGTTATCGTACATATGCTGCTTTGGCATCCTCGGGAAACTTCCAAAACAAGAAAGTTAAGGGTGTATGTTAACTCTGAAAGCAGTATCGTGGCTTCTAGGTTATAGTTTAGTTACAAGGCCAAAGCTGATAAGACATTGTGCTGATGCTCATCTGGGCACAAATCGCTAAGTTCACTAGTATCTAAGCTACGACAGTGTTTGTACTCCTAGATACGGAGAAAGCTCCAACGGCACCGGCTTAAAGGGTGTGCCGGGCCGACTAGTGCAGCAGGTGGATCGCGATAGGTCTATCCTTTCTCGGCTTGAATTTAGTGCGGGGACGGTGCTGATCTGAGAAAACGGCCAATATGCAAGGACGATGCACTTACAAGAGTAGAGCAGAACGAGAATGAGCAGGGGTTGGCGGCTGTCTGAGAGGGAAATAGCAATTTGTGGAGTCGGCTGTTTCCTTGGGCATGTCGGGACACTGAATGTTGGAAGATCACAATGCGCTTGACGGCGTGCGATAGGTCCACAAAAGCTCCGTTAGGGACATTGGCTTACCCACCTAGCGAAGCCAGAGATTTGGACTATTATGCCGATTGTTGCCAAAAACAGATCGTTTGCGAAGGCGTCTTGTTCTAGACTGGATTCAGTCTAGGTGTCGGGCGCTATGCAGAGATCAACTACAACATACTATAGTCAATCATGGCCGTACCACAACCTTGCTTTACGATTGAACCGGCAAAGACTCTCTGCGGAAACCGCTCTTGCTTTGACGGACCACGCTCGGATAACCCTGCATATCTATCTTTTGCTACCAAAGTGTGTCCCGTTAGATTAGCCACCCATCGGATCTGTGCTGGATTAGGAAAGTTCAGAAGCCCATTGTAACCGCATAAGGTCCGAAGAGGCGTCAGCCTGCGAGGTGCTACAAGGTTGATAACATGAGATATGATGTAACGAGGCCATCACAAGGATAGCCTAGGAGTCGCTGTGATAGTGCAGGTCACAGAACGGTCCGACAGCGCCAGCCTGTCAACCTACTAGCGTGAAAACTCTCCAGTAGATATGTCAGAAGGCAGAGGTCAGCTAGAGTGGCATGAATTATATATTGTGCTTGCTCGCTGATACAAATCGCTTTTGCACACGATTACATCCCACCCAGATTCCTGTTTTGCTCAACAACATGACTTCCAAGAAAGTGCTTCTAGCACTCTCGGCTTTATGTCTGGCATGCTCAAGTTCGCCCCTGGACCAAATGCATCGAGCCTTGGACAATGTTTTCAAAGATCATGCAAACACGACTATAATTCAAGTCAGACATTTCGACGCTGGCGAGTACACGCTGCCAATAGACCCAGGTTCTGGTCAGCAGCAGATTATCCCTATCGCCTCGAATGGAGTCACCGTTGTAAAGCTGTTCGTCCGCACGACAGGCCCTGCTCCAGCAGAGCCTGATCCTTTCTCAGGCACAGACGTAGGGATTCAGATCTGGTTCCCGGATGCCGATATCTGGACCGGCCGAATCATGAACTTTGTCGATGATGCCTTCCAAGGAAGTCCATTCGTCACGCTCAAAGATATGGCTGGCCTGTCCATGTACCCTACTATCCAGTATTCGGAATGGGCAGCTGATATGGGCTTTGTGGCTGCTGTTTCCAATGGAGGCCACTTCTCGCACTATCCTTTTCCATCATGGTTTCTCCCATCGGTCAACATCTCATACCTTCTCACTGCCGACGATCAGTATAATGACGAAGGCTGGAAGAACTTCGCCTTCCAAGGTACCCACATTATGGCGGAAGTCTCCAAGCAAATTTCGAAAGAATACTACGGGAGACTGCACAACTCATCATACTTGGCGGGTTGTTCGACTGGCGGTCGCCAGGTCTACCAAATGGCTCAGCAACTACCTGAGGATTACGATGGCTACCTTGTCAGTGCCCCTTCATTCAACGGCAGCTACTTCTATGGCAGTATAGCCTACGATAACATTGTAGTGAACAATGATTTGGTCCCAATCAACGAGACTATTTCAGAAATCTCACTGGAGATTGTGTCACAGAAAGCAGTAGCTCACCATGACACATTGATCACTGGTCAACACGATGGATACATAACTGAGTGGCAACACAACGATTACGATCCAACAAAAGATCCTTCCGTTCTCCGCGTTGAAGACGGTGGAAATTGCAAGGAGAATTGGGCTATTTCACTTACTCAGGCGAAAGCGTTGAACAAGATTTGGTATGGTACTACTGTGGACGGTTCAGTCCCCGATGTTGCAGAGGACAACGGAATGAGCTTAGTCCGGCCCGCGCATCAGCTGTACTGGGGAAAGGCCCGTGGTTCACGGCTTCAGTACGTCAACACTCTATGTCAAGTGCCTGGCTTCTTGTGGCCTGTCTGCTTCTTGAACCGGACTCTTGGTGATCCGGGTTATTTTGAGGGTGGAACAAATGCTTGGAAAGATTTTTCATACAAGGAGTGGGCAAACTACATGACAAAGGCAGCCAGGGAACAGATTGATAAGAAGCACCTCTACAACATGGATATCCTGGACCCCGATCTGCGAAAGCTCCAAAGTCTCGGCAAAAAGGTTATGGTCTACCACGGTACAGCAGATTACACCTCACCTGTGGGACACGTTGCTCTCTATTACGAGCAGTCTGCTCAATACACTGGAGGCATGAACGAGACGGCAGATTTCCATAGGGTTTTCCTTGTACCCGGCATGACACACTGCCAATTAGCTTCTAATACAGCGGGGCAAACCACCATACCTGTCCCATCGCCTCAAGAGCTCATTGGGAAGCTGGTAGCCTGGGTGGAAGATGGGGAGGCGCCAGATAATCTTATGGCTCAGACAGATGATGGTAAAAAGAGTCGCCCGATTTGCCCTTACCCAAAGTTACCCAAGTACAACAACGTTGGGGATGTTAACAATGCTACAAGCTTTTCTTGCTAGATTTTACCTATCTCTATAAATGTCTAGATTAAATTTACTTAGAAGATGAAGGTAGTTCCTATAGTATGTTAAAAAACGTAAGTTATAGATAAGTTTATCTTAGAACTATGATAAACAATATGTTAGAGATTGTAAATCTACTATTTAGCGTTGAACTCCCAATTTTTGCTCTAGCAGAATAGTAGTAGTGTTGCAGTCATACTCTATACTGCTTCTAGCCTTGTGCTCCTTACCTTTTAGCATCTATATACTAAGACTAATGCTATATAGCCTACTTAACATCTTATCTTTGAGCTCTTCTCGAGCCCAGCACATCTGGATGGCACTTTCCGCAAGCTTCTGTACCTCCCAGTTCGTAAAGCTACAGTACTTCCTAACGACAAGTAAGTTTTCCCTCACCCAGGTATCTTCCATGAACGCTGGATCATCACTTGCAATGCTCAGCATAACCCCAGCGTCGAAGAGTACTCGAATACGCTGGAATACCTCGTCAAACGGTTGATGCCGGATATATGACCAAGGACAGATCGTCATCCCCAACCCTCTCTCTTTGATGAGAGTAACAAGATCTGCATCGCTAGCGGCATTGAGTCCGTGGTCGATTCGATCAGCGCCCCTGCCTGCAATGCTTGATGCCACCTGACGGATATGCTCGAGCGGGTAGGATTTCCCCACATCACAGTGCGCAGTAAGACGAAAGCCGTCTTTCCTTGCCCGAGTGAAGACTTCGTCGAACAAGGATGGTGGTCGGTCGACTTCGTTGGAGTCAAGGCCAATTCCTACAATCATGTCGCGGTAAGTCAGAGCTGCTTCGTAGTGTTCCATTGCAGACTCTGGGGATTCATCTCGGAGGAAACACATGATCCAGGTAGATTGTACCTGGTACTACTGTGAGCAGATTTACTTTGTGGAAGGGGATGGCTTACATCAAATTCCTTCTCAGCTTTTCGTTGCGCTTCTCGGAACCCTGCCATCATCGTCTTCCACTTCGTCCCAACCCGTGTGTGTCCCTGTGGATCAAAGAAGATCTCTGCGTATTTCACGTTCATTGACACAGCGTGTTCGTAGTAATCCATTGCAAGATCGAAGTAGTCTTGTTGCGTTTTGAGAACCTCAAAGCCACCGTAGTAGGCCTCGAAAAAGGAGAGAGTCTCCTCACTGTTGTCCATACGGGAACCAGTACGCGGCTTCAAGGTATCGTGAGAGTCTCGCAATTCCTCGAGTGAGCAGAAAGCTCGGCCGGTCCGAGGGTTGATGATCGCCTGCTTGTTTCGCTGCGAGAACTTCCATTTTAGATCGGCACTTATGATGCCTTCGATATGAACATGAAGCTCGACCTTGGGAATTGCGTCAATATATGGATCCTTGACAATGAAAAGAGAACGTCGTAGCTCTCCACGTCCTGCCACAGAAAGCGCGTCTTCGACATCCGTCATTCTTTTGGTGGCAAGTTCAAAGGCACTGTTGGCGGTGCCGACCAGAGGTGCAATGAATAACGAATTCAGAAGTGAGCTCTCAATCGTAAATGTATGAATGTGTTGCCGGTTACAATTACTATATGTGTACTTTCGATGACTCAGACTTGGACCCTTACTTACGGCTGATCATTGTACCGATCAACCGAGCCAGATGCTGACAAGGACGCCTAAAGTTAGGTAATGAGCAGTTGTGGACGGATTCGGTTAGGTAGCAGTGCAGTTGTAAACTTTTCATAATAGAAGCAACATTCTATGGTTCCTAAGAATAAGAATCTGGAACCTATCACTGTTCCTGGATTCCGTCTGATCGACGAGATGTCTGCCTATTTGAGTCAGCTACACTAGTATCTAGACTACTCGAGCTCTTTCTCTTAATTCATTGTGTGCTGCGATATTCAGAATGATCTTGCGCATACACTGGACAGTACTGCGCGTCGTGTCTCGTGTAATTTCATCAACAACAGCACCTTCTGCAATCTCGAGTAGCCTCTTCTGCCAGAACTCAGAGCGTGTCGATGGCTGTAATCATATCATCTCACCATAGTGTCCTTCTTGTCCCCATGCTTCAGCTCATTAAGGCCACTGTAGAGCCTATCGCCGTTATGCTCAACGCATTTGCTCGTAGCGGGCATATTGAACTGCGGCTTGAGCTGGGACTCAACGTTGGTATTGTCAGCTACATCTTGAGCGTCCTTTGCTAAGGAATGTCAACCTTGCAAGGAGGAGAAAGTTTTCAGGGCAGATGACATTCTCGCCTGTCGATGCAAGGTCTGTAAGCCCTCTGTGGCTCTGAAACCAGAATTCCGATCATAAGCTGGACTATCCTGTCCCGCACACATAGCACTCTGTGTGCACAAAGAAAAGCCCTAGTGGAAGATCAGCGAAACCCCCTCCTCATTCCAAGTTCAAGTCATCCATTTATTTGTTGATCTTTTCTCTCTGCCTCACTCTCCCTCACTCTCCCTCACCTATCATCTCCGATAATTCATCTTCGTTAATCTGGCACGGTCTCCTCGCACTCTGGAGGAATTTCGATTGCCCATTGTGTTATCATGCATGTGTATCCCGTGTTATTGCACCCTATCTCTCGTCACCTATGCCATCCCCCAATCCGATTGTCTAAGCAGGCACGATCGTTTCCTGAGCACAGTTCCACACAGAGCACAGATAGAAGGGAATACTAGAACGATGACACGACGAGAAAGATGAAGAGCTAATCTGATGTTCGCTGAGCTCTCCGTCGATGACAGAGGCCTTATACTCGTTCATGCACCAGTAGAGCGAACGCTGGGTAGCATCCGCCGAGATAGTGTAGTTAATAACGGACACATTGAGTATGGTAACGTATACGATGCTTGCATTGGAGACCCGCTCGAGATGATCTAGCTTGGCACTGGTAGTTATCGTGTTGGACCTGAGGTAAACATCATTCTGATATTTCTACTGACCAGTCATATTTCGTGTGTAACCAGACTGGCTGAGCTGTAGGCAGTTCTCTAGAAAAGGTGTACTGCGTCATCTGTATGTCATGGTGGAGGATTCCATGATGTTTTAGTGAAGCACGATTGTTCCACCTTTTGAGCTTGGTGCTGGCAGACAGAACACACGGCAAGCGATTTGAACTAGTATAATCGCAATCAGTCGTTGGACAGCTCGGTACTATGTCTAAAGATGTCTGGCTTAGTAGCATTGAACCGTAGTGAATATCTGTACAGAGAGACCCCATCATATCAGCAGGTACTACGTTGACGCCTGTAGAAGAATACCATTCTGGTGTCGACGGCAGTTGTGAGTAGGCCCGAGATCGAGAAATAGTCGCAGGTCCTTTCGTAGAAAGAGAACGAGTGTCGACGACAATAGTCTGTTGTAAGGTGGGGCCGATTCCAATAGCCAAAACGGTGAGTACCCAATGCCTCAAAGCAGGCCAGATGCTTGTGCCTGTTAATGACTGCTTGACATATCTTGAAGACGAACGTACTTAGCCCTCAAGGTCTAGAGAAGCTGTGGTACGCCCCATGGACCTCGGCTGGCGGCATCATACGCCCTCAAAATATGTAGAGGGTCTGTGACCTTTGCATGGTTAAAGCAAATCGATTGACTCATGCACGCTGCCGCTGGAACCAAGTGAAATCTTTTCGTTACAGTTGAAATAAAAGTAACTGCTGAGTTCAATGTGATACCGTACGGCCACGATGGCTGCGATCTTTCATCGAAGGCTTTCAAGAGTCCAACAGTGCCACAGAATCCGACCAGGCTGACTACGTTAGTAGTGCGCCTGAGTCTCACCCCCAAAAACGAAGAAAAGTATCGCACGACTTTGCGAAGTCAAAACTCGTGAACATTGGAGCGTAGTCGAGTTCGAGGCCTCGCCATTGGCTTGTATTTCCAAAGGCTACAACACGAGCCTGCTAAGGCGCGTGTCACGGCCCGTGTCCCAAGGGAGAGGAATCAAATGATGCGGCCGGCTTAGCTAGGGTAATGCACGCATCTACAGTTGATGTGCAAGTTGCCCAGGCTTAAGTCTGGCCTCTAGTATTGGTAGTTGCCAAGGCGGATTTGACGTGCATGCAATCAAATAACATGTACGTGCAGATTGATAGCGTTTGCAGGTGGCGACTCTAGGTACAAGATGGATGGTTGGCCAAGAATCACTATCTGCTATTAACGACGGATAAAGAGATATGTACGTAACAAGTGCGACCTTTAGCCGCCCACGCTAGAGCAGATGGTTGTCAAGTACTGCGCTCCCTGATTTCTCACACGCCCGTTCACTCCACTCCCTCAAGCTGATACCATACACCGAGCGCATCATGTCTGCCCCTCAACCATCTAGCAAGAGTACGCCTGGGTCGTCCTCCAGAGTGGAGCGTAGGAAAGCTGACACCTCCAGGTACTACAAATAGGTCAAGCGATTCAGCCTCTGAGCGCTCATCAACACCTTTACTTGAAGGGTCGAAAGAGACCATGGGCGGGAAGGCGAGGCTCTTGTGGAAGAAGCTTAAAGAAGAGAACGAACAAAGAAAAACAACAAATATTCGTCACGTGACTTCTGAAGAAGCGACAGCGATTACAGGTCATGGACCGGGTGATCCAAAGCCCAATGCTCAGGTCGGAAAGGGTGACAAAAGGCTTGCGGCAGCGTTGACTCTCTTCTAGACTCTGAACAATCATTTAGGTCGCCAACACACCTCAATTGAATCGGCTGATGCACCTTATCCACGAGTATTAGTCCTGACAAAGAACCTCACTATGAGCCTCGAGAGAAGCATGTTGAACAGAGCGGGAATGCTCCTCTACTAACGATAGCGCTGTCGCGAAGTGCGTCTTGCAGCCACTCATACGACACTAAGTGAAGTAATTAGCTGGCTATCGCTGATCTGCTCTGCGTGTAGATGTCCCAACACGAGTTCAGGCGAAAATCGAAGTCGGGATCCCGTGTGGCGCCAATCCAATTTCAAATCTTACTGTGTATGACAATCGGATCCACCCTATACGAAGTGGTCATAGCACCGGTAAGCCGCTCGCAAGATGATGCACCCCTGTGGCACAGTTGGGAGCTTTGGTGCTCGTGTAAGCCTCTCTAGGCCATCACCTGGCTATGCCATGGCCAGGTAAGAAGTCTGCGACAGTACTGTCACCTTCTGTATTCAGACGAGTTTCCAAGAGTCAAGGAAAGGAACACAAATCCTGTGACGAAACAGACTATACACATCTTTTCTTGATTTCGGGAGTGTAAGGAGCGCAAGCTGGATGGCGTAGAATCTCATTTCGATCATGTACCATGATCGACCTTCCGAAGAGGTAAGATCTCTACACATATCACACTTTCTGGATACTGCATAAAGGTGATTGGAATAGATTGACGAGAATCTCGTGAAGCAGGACCCCATAAGGGGATTCATGGCTTAGATTTACAGTCCTCGCTTAAGGTGCATATCTTCAAAAACTCATGCAAGTGTCTATTCACATCATCCGGAACTTCGGTCTGCATAAAATGCATTGCTGGAACAGTTTTAACAGTAAGGAAAGGAAGAAATGGCGTAGTAGATCCGAACTGGAGGCTTGGGATAGCAATTGGATCGTTGTCACCAACAACAATAAGTGCGGGTTTGGTGACGACGGCACTGACTGAGGTTTTGAGTACTTCGATATGTTAGCTGCAGGTTTCATGCCAAGAGTGTTTTCGACAAAGCGTCGAAGGAAGGGCGACAGTCTCACCACAACAACGATATATCCTCCACCGGGGTATGTTGAAGTGGTGAGGAGAAATGCGACTTACCTTCTTCATCGACAGTATTGTATCCCCGCATCATAGCACGGTACCATTTGTTCGCACCATCCATACCTCCCTGCGCTTGCACAATCGTTCGCCACTGTGCACGCGTGACATCAGTAAGGTACTCGGTCTCCAAAGGAATACGACCGTCGTCGAGTAGCCAGCGCTCCAACGCGCCCACGACGGTGATGTGGTGTACCCATGTACTGTCAGCGCCGTATGCAATGTCGTAAAGGGCATCAAGCTAGAGAGAAAGGGCTGTCAGCTTTATCTTCTCATGGACACGTATAGCGGGACGAATCGTCCTGCGACTCTTCCAAGGTTGCCAGGGTCAGGATCAGATGTGTTGCGCCGAAGTGCTAACTTACATGTTGGTCCATAGTTATAGCTGCGTCTTCACGCTCATTGAAGTACCAGAACCCTAGAAGAGGGTACCCGTACGCACGAACTGTAGCCTCGTTGGTTGCGTCTACAAACGCGCGGTTCATGTCCACCCCAGGGGCCACATAGCCGAGTGTCAAGTAAGCGAGAGCGCTGATACGATCAGGGTAATAGTGCTGAAGACGAGAGAGCAAAGCACAGCCACTGCAGTAGGTGGTCAGTCGTATCTCGCCGAGAACAAAATATATGACATTTGCACTGAACTCACATGTCGTGTCCCACGCCCACCACTTTATCGATTGCTTCGAATTCAAGTAGATCATTCATTTCCTCAGCCGTGCGTTTGAACGTGAACGACTCCAGATCTTCGGGGTTGTCGGTTCCACCCGTGCCTAACATGTCGGGAGCAACAACACCATAGCCTTGGCGCGTGAAATATTCAATCTGATGGACCCACGAATAAGAGGTTTCAGGCCAGCCATGTAGAAATAAGAGTGTCGGCATTGAGGCGTTGAATGCAGCTTTGAAGACATAGCGATATGTATGCCCAGAAGGGAGTCGTATGCTTCTGACGAGGTTTGCGTAGCTTGTGTATTTGACATCCGTCTGTGGAGCAAAAAGGTCTCGGTCAGCCTTCAAACAGAGCAAATGCGAGTAGTTTAACGTTACAATGTCAGGGCTCAGGTTGATTTCGCAACGTGATAACTTGTTGGTGGTTTGAGTCTATTCGTTGTCAGGAAAGTGTGGGTTTGTGCGGTGTTGAGATGGATCTACCATTGCGACAGTCAGATAATTCGGATGACGAATTTAGTTGAAAGAGTCAATAGAGAAACCAAGAACGTTCGGAAAAACCCTGGTGTAATAGCCAGAAACCTCACTGACACTTCTGCGACTTGGGGTGAGTTAAACTTTATCTCCCTTGAAGTTAGGCTTCACCATGGTACTTAAGGCGTATTACTACGGAACTCAATTTTGCTCCACTATCATATGACTTCACGGTCCAAACTCAACACCAGAAGATCTAATCGTCCCGACTCTATGCTCGCCAAGGTACGTTGGATCCAGTAGCTACCTTGGTAAGCAAGATAGCTTTCCAAGCATTAATGAAAGTAATCACTTGATGTTCGCAACAAAACTAGTGTGAATGTAACATCTTACTGGCCCAATGAGCGTCGTTTGTCAGGCCCCTCGAGCAGTTTCGCTTTTCTTGATTAATGATCGCCACACTAACGACACAGCACGGACACAGCAACACCATGTTGTGGTGCTAGCTGATCAATGGACTTCAATACCACGGATTCTAGAGACCATGGCGCTGGACAGCAGAAGATTGCGACTAATCGTCGGCAACTAATCATGTGCTGACTAATGTATCAACACCTTGAGTGAAGCCCAACGCAGAGAGCACTTAGCAGAGCTTCAGAAGTATTTGTATTCACAGGGTTGTCACTTGTACGATTTAACAGCATACTACATGCTACTTCCTCTCTAAAAATACACTTCTCCACCTCGTTACATCTAAACCAAAAATGTCCAAAGATTTGGTCCTTGTAAGTATCACACTCCCTTCGCGCATGGCCCATCTCCGTTGGCATGGGTAGAGACTCCTAAGTTTGGAGTTCCGGGACTCTCAAAACTCCATCGACCTTGCACATGTTTCTAGTCCACCGCAAGACTGATCCTCACAACCTAATTTTCTACTCCCAGATCACCGGCGTTTCTGGCCATGTCGGTTTCCGCGTACTCATTGAAGCCCTCTCTCGCAACTACCGTGTACGCGCCGTCGTTCGCAAGGCCGAACAGGGCGATCGCATCCGCGAAGTCAAATCCGTCAAACCTTTCCTTGCGGATTTGGAGATTATTGTTATCCCAGACTTGCTTAAGGAAGGCGCGTTCGACTGTGCGCTTGAAGGAGTCGTTGGTATCGTTCATGTAGCTTCCCCCTTGGCAATCGCTGTAAGTCTGATGAGTTGATTTCCGTTTGCTCAAGCTTATCAAGTGACGTTTAGACCACTGAGTTCAAGCGTGATATTATCGACCCGGCGATCGATTCCACCACTGGTATCCTGAAGTCTGCAGCAAAAACGCCGTCAGTGAGGAGGGTGGTCTTCACGTCCTCCATTGCTCCTCTATTGTCAGTGGAGTACATTATGTCGGATGACCTTAGTAAAGTCTTTACCGGTAATTTCTTCCCCTCATTTCTATATACAAGGCAAAAATGCTAACATTACATAGCACAAGACACCTACCCTCCGCCCGACCTCGAGACAGCCCAGTTCGCCTTTCCGCTTCAAGCCTACGCGGCGGCCAAGAGCCACGCGCTCGCAATCTCAGAGCAGTTTGTGGCAGATAACAAGCCGCAGTTTGAAGTAGTTAACATCATGCCTAGCATGATCATTGGCAGAAATGAGCTTAACACTACTAAAGAGGAGGTTGTCGCAGGTACAAATGCCGTTGTGCTTGGGCCTCTGTTGGGTCATCAGGCAGAAATGCCACTGATTGGAGTATCAGTACATGTGAACGATGTCGCGCGGGCCCATATTGATGCCTTAAGCCCTAAGGTGCCTGGAAACAAAAGGTTGTTGTTGTCATCTGGTGGACTGAAAGGGACGAACTGGGAAGATGCGAAGGAAATTACCCAGCGGCTTTATAGTAAGCAGGTATCTGAGGGTCTTTTCCCACTCAACGGAAACACCCCGACGAGGCCGATTCAGCTCGATGCGTCTGAGACCGATGAAGTGCTTGGGTGGAAGCTCCAAAGCTTTGAAGAGCAGGTCAAGAGTGTCATTGACCACTACGTTGAGCTAGCATCTGTATCAGCTGTTATATTTTCGTAGAAGCATTTTGTAAAGTAAAGTAGCGGTGTCATGTATGTGCAAAGTGGGTACACAATTTGATTGATAAGAATTATGACACTATTGAGATGGGCAATTATAACTCAATAATAGAGGCTCCCATATGCTAGGATGGCGGTGAAGCCCAACGTGCCAGGACTTCCATAGCTGATGGTTCATATCTCAGAAGTATACCACAAGGCCGCAAGTGGTGTGCTATCCTCACCCCTAGGTTGTTTTGCTGAGCTGCCAATGCAGATCTACGGTAAGTGCTAAGATCGACTTGACTTCCAAATCAAACGATCTACCTTGAGTATATGCATTGCCTAGATATCCCAACACATGGAACTCCTGTAGATCTGCCTTGATATCTACAGCGAGTAGGTTTGGATGTAATATGACAAGTCAAACCTTGTGTTTTCTCCAACATCTGTACATCGTGGATCGAGGATTTTGCAGTCTTGCTCACAGTCGTGCAGCAATGGACACTAGAATCGTAATTGTAAAGCTAAGAAGTTCAACCCCAGATGAACCCTACTATAAAACTCGTTGTGGGAAGCAGGGAAATTTTCCATGCTGACGGCTCGAATGCCGAGTGCGCCAACAACGCAGCGATGCCAGAAATTGCTCGGAAATCGAGAAAAGAAGGTACTTAAGAAATGCTGTACGTGAATTTACAACCTAAATCGCGCAAATATATAATGGGGGGCCTTAATCAACCATGTATCGATCGTGACTTGCATTTGAGGCGTGTCACACATGACGTCAGCCAGGTCCGGGCTAAAGCAACACTTTACCATACGTCACAACTTGGCAGAATTTCTCTCCATATGACTTGGTAATGGTTGAAAGTGACCTAGACACGAGTTATGCCAGCATCAGCGAACGATACCCGCAAGTAGGCTAACAGGCGGTCGGAACACGAGCGTTGAGCAAGGCATCTGTGGTTCGCATGTTTACGGATCAAAGGCACCTCAGGTTCGACTTTCAACTCCACTCTCACGAAATGGCCAAACTCGTGGAACTCTCTGACGAGATTGTTCTTGTCATTATCTCCTACCTCATAACTGATGAGGAATCAAAAGTTGGAGCACTACTTAGTCTATGCCGTACCTCACGACGGCTCGTCAACCTCGCACAACCGGCCCTCTACGCATGTGTCCGTATCAAAGAGCCGGAAGGAGACCCCTTGAAACCATTAAAGAGCTTCCTCTGGACTGTGTTGACGCGTCCCTTGTTGGCTAGACAGACGCGAGCCTTGGCTTTGACAAACGATCGAGCCATCTGCTACGACTGGCCGAGACTGGAACACGATGAGGTCTTTATCGATATATGTGTGTTGATTAGGGGTCGGCCCTTCGAGATTGATCCTGACTTCTGTTATCATCCGCTCGCTGTACACACTTTGGCTCAACTTCCGAATCTTCGCCACTTCGAGTTCACGGCGGAAATCGAGCATCCGCGCGCATTGCTTCAACGCATGCATACCTTGCGGTGTGAAGACGCCTTATTCTTATCAAAGTTGGAAACGTTTCATCTGTAAGTTGTCGTGGCACATGAGAATGACCGCACCTTCGGGTAGCTGAAATATTCTCGACAGATACAAACTATATGAGGATGGTCCAGTAGACATTGACGATTTCGTACCGCTCGTGCGATATCCATCATTCAAAACTTTCTCAACGCAAAGCGATGTCCCTAACAAGCTTGGTGGTCTCAGCGCAACGAACCGTTTGACACATGCATCTGCTGACCTACGCTGGTGCAACAGACCATTGATATCAATACAGCAACTCATCAACACACTTCAAAATCTCTCATCGTTCATACTGCTCATACCTGATGCTGCGCGATACAAATGGCAATGGGATGTGGGCTATCAACCACTTGTCACCCCACGGGATCTTGTCAAGGCACTGCTCCGATCGCACAAGGATACTCTGATAAGTCTTCACCTGGATTTTCATTACCACTACGATCTGCGCGATCCTGAACTCTTGCAGGAGGTTGTAGATTCTGGTATGGGTCTTGCAGATTGTGACTATGTGTACCCTTCGTTCGGCGAATTTTCGAGGCTATCGCACATAACAATCGAGTTCGAGAAACTTGTTAATTTTCATAATCTTCCAGCCTCGCTGCAGTCATTGGACCTTTACCTGTACTCGATATTGGACTTTACCGTGGATCATCTTCAGGATTTAGTCGCCCTGAGAGACAGATATTGTCCAATGCTTGATTTGGTACTCTTGAGCTTCTGGGAAGAAATTGCAGTGAGCATAATGACAGTAAGGGATTATGCAGGGAGACTGGGATTGTCCTTGAATGTTTCAAAAGACAAGGAGCTTGTGTCTTTCTTAGGGTTGGAATTTTGTCTAAGAGTTTGTAGTCCTAAATACGTGGAGGCCCTGAACTAGAGAGAAGGAAAGTTATGAATGTATAAGCTGATGATTAGATTTTATATATCTAAGTAGTAAATGATTTGTATCACAGGGAGAGTTACATCTAAGGAGCGACCAGGAAATTAGGCTTGACTGTGTCGAATTACGTCCGCACTGATGCCTACCTTTCAAGAAACACGCGGTTCTTTGCGTTTACTGCCGACAAGGCGTGAGGTACAGCCTGCTCTGTCGGCGAAGCATCTACATCGCAGGTTTCATTTGCTGCTAGTGATCAATCTGACAATAAGCCCTGGTCATGTTTGTAAGGCATGCAATAGAGAGGGCAGAGCGCCTTTAGAAGGACAATATAGGCTTTGCAGCACTGTGCCTGTTCAAACAGCAGGCACGACCCATACATATAGGGCCAGGTGCAGCACTAATAGTTTACGCAAAAGAGCTACAGGATTCCAGCCTAGCAGTGCAGACCGCTCAAGGATATACGAACCAATACAACAAACGGCACGACATCCGAGGTCGCTAGTCTGTTAGCTCGGTATAGCCGCAATATTCATGATCGTCTGTGCAGTCTTGAAGCCACTTCTTTGCTTGCTCCAACACGGGCAGAGCGTCAGTCTTGTGACACGTGAGCGCGGTCGATACGAGCGGACGATAGTAGCCCGGAAACACCCAGACTCTCGCAACAACCCCATCCCGCGGTCGTAATAATATCTCAGTTGAAGTCAGCTCTATCTCGTAAGATAACACTTCGTCGATGTTTACGGCAAGAAGAGTGGGGCACGGAGCAGAGATGACAGCCAGCCTCGGCTAACATTCTCAGTTCACGTAGCTGCTCGAAGTGTTTCGCGAAGACATGCTTCTCTTCGCTCATGCCTTGATCTTCCTCTGGCCAACGAGCATTGACGTTGAGTACGAAATCCTCGACCAAAGCTTGGCAAAGATCACACATGTGGTATAGGCCGACTGCGGCCATCTGATCCTGCGATAAGAACACTGGCTCGGCGTCCGGTGGCACAACACCATAACATTTCATCGCCCACATATCCATGCCTTCGAGCACGCGCAGGGCATCTTCCGGCACAGGTATCGGTTTGTATTGCTCGTCGTAAGGATGCCATGGACTCGGGGCGTGCGCCTTCTCAACTCGACCGGCGATATCCCTATCTCTACTGCGCATGATGCAGCCAGCGTTTTTCGCGGCGAAGCCTTGCGGATCATCTTTAGTGGTTGGAAGAAGCATCGCCGAGTAGGGGTGAAGACGACGGTAATAGCGTTTCCCGTCGTCAGACATCTTGGACAGTAGCTGCAGATTTATGTTTGGGAAGTACAATGTTGGAGGACGACTTGTTGAAGGCTCGTCTGAGGCTGAGACACATGCAAGAGCGGTGCTTGCTTCCAAATCCAGCCAGCACAGCCTCGTTCTGCCAACTACGCGGTCATGATCGTCGACTGCAGCTATCACTGTAGACTCGGATCTCGCAGCTTCAATACTGTTTTGTAGCCATGCCTTTCATGAGCAGCACTGGACTAGAAACATTCTTGTTAGCCACGTTCGAAAGTATTGCAAGATCACTGCTGCTCTTGCTCATCAAGATCTTGCTTTGACTTGCTTTGACCGCTTGCTTTTAATAGAATCTAGGCCTATATTCCGCCCCTCTTCGCATCTCTTTCGTGCAACAATTCCTTGATGTGGTCACTCAACCAGTACTCATCCAAATCGCTCAGACTGGTATCCTTTGCCCCCTTGATCACCTTCTTGCACTCGCTGCTCTTGCACAGACAATCGAACGGCTGTGCCATACTCCACTCCGTGCTCGGGTAGAAGAATGTCAACTCGTCGCCCTCCTTGAGCCCACGCTCAAGGTCGGGGTTGACACGAACTTCCCACCGCGCCATGTCGAATATCAGTGTGGGCGCGCACGAGTGGTTGATGTACACGAGGTCGCTGTTCAGCTCGATGTGCAGATTCTTGCCTGCCTGAACAGACGAGTATGCCACCTTTGCCGGTGTGGGCGTTGTTATACGTGCGAAGATGGCGCCGGCGGGGAGGTTGACGAGCGAGTATGAGGCGCTTGCGTAGTTACCGGGGCGCTTTTCGACGCGCATCAATCGTGTAAGGTCCGGGTTTACCCAGGCCGGGATCTCATCTTGGGATTTGATGGGGGCGTTCGACGAAGGCGCGATGACGGATGGGAGAGATGATCTGAGCGAGGTCTGCTTCCCGTTGGTGGGGGCGGGAACGGGCATCGCGTTCGAAACAGCGGCGGGAGACATGGTCAGAAGGACTGTAGTTTTGGAGAGAACCCAGGTGAGTTGAACAAAGAGCAATGGAGTCGATGCTTGCGAAAGTGTTTCTGGCTGGTTTTAGTACTGTATCCCGTCCTCACAGCTCCGGTCCGGCCACGTCTCGTCATCTCAGAGACGCGAGGCCCACTCCAAGCCGCATATTGAGCCTGATTGTGGGGTTGGTGGGATGTTCCATGTTGCCGATGATCGCGGTTTGTCGACTGACACGGTACATCCGAGGTACCTAGGTCTTTGGTCGGCTATGGGAATCCAACTGAAGTAACGAGTCCTCTCGAGTATCCTCACGTCGGATTGCACATGCAAGATAGACAGGTGATGAGCGTGTGAGAGGCACGGCAGAGGCTTGAACGACAGAGCTGTCACGACACAATGATGTGCAACCATGCAATGACGGAGCTGCGTCCGGTGTCGTGGGGTACTGTGGCCTCGGCACTTAGGTACGAGACACTATATCGAATCGGGTTAGCCCAGGACAAAACTATGACATGTGACAATTGGAGCAGAAGTCGTTGGATTGCATTCGGTAATTGCTGGAACCGTGGAACAAAAACGCAGAAGAAGTGTCTCGCTGGCAAAATTCATCTTATTTGATGTCCTATACTCATCTACGATTCAGAGACTGACCGGTTGTAGATACAGCAACTTAAGGTTCTCAAAAGTAGGTACCAAGGTACGCATGTGCACTCACATATATTGCGGATGATACTACCTAACATCAGGGTGCCGAACTTCGTGCGGAGGTAACAGGATGACACAAGATCCATGGTTTCCATTTTCAGCTGAGAGGTATCCTGTCAAGGTTGCTTCTGTTGCAGAGATGCTACATTCTCCTTCTCAATGCTGTGAGTACACAAAAGGACTAGCAAGTTCACGCCGTTATGCATGTTGCGGCCTGCCTTTAAAGGCGAGCGTGACTTACTTCTCCGTCTCCACCACCCTTCCGTCACCAGTAGAACCCACGCTTTCCAGCCCCATTTTGCTTGTATCATACCCATTTGATCTCAGAAACTCTCTGAACTTTACGTCTTCTTCGTCAATGGTGTCTTGTCCAATCGGAGGAAGTAATAGCACCAAGCCCGCAGCAAGGAATGCTAGCGCACTCGCAACGAAGAATGGGTTGCGTCCCTTCGCAATCTCGTCGTCGCCAGCGGCGTCACGTATCGCTTGTAGAGCATACGACCCAGCGAAGGCACCGATTTTACCCATAGCAGCTGCAATGCCGTAGTATTGACCCCTGATACCAGTAGCACACGTCTTCGATGCGATCAGTCCGATGTTGTCGCCAGGCCCAAACTCTCCGAACGCCAGAAAGACGCCGTAGACGACGACGAAGCCGGCCACATTTTGTGGCTTGCTCAACCACGGATAGCATCCTGCCATGATGAATCCAATAACACCCTGGAGAGCAACGCCGATGAAAAGCGTTTTCCTTGGCCCCATAGATGGAAGATCAGCGACAAAGGCGCCGGCCAGGGCGCCAGGCGTGTAGAAGAAGTTGAGCAGAATGTTCCATGCTAGACTCTTCCACAGTGGGTAATCATCACCCAGTAGATTGGCAAGGATTGAGCTTCCGTAGATACCGAAAGAGTAGGCGCTGAAATCGTAGATGAACCAGATGATGCTGACAATGGAAAGACGGAACCAGTAGAATCTGGCAACTAGCAGCCACGGTGTCTTTGTCTTTGCCATGGACTCGCGCTTGAAGGCCTCTGGCTCTTGCAGTTTGAGACGCAGATAGAGTAAGGACAGAGGCGGGATGATGCCTATGCCGAGACACACACGCCAGGCGACGCGGAGGTGGTTCTCGCCGGTGATGACGACGACGATTGTGGCAACGATGGCCGCGACTAGGAAAGCAAGATCAATCTGAACGTTCGTGAACAGAATGAACCATTTGTTGCGGCTCCCAGACTTGAGCTCGCCCGTTGATTCTGCGCAGCCTACGGATCCGGCTGGGTATTCGCCGCCAATCCCTTACATATTCGTCAGCTAACCAAAAACTTCACAGGACGGAACGCGCAGATGAAGAGTCCTTACCGATGCCCAAGAAAAATCGATACGCAACAAGAGCAGCCAGAAGACCCGATGGACTACCGCCTGCGCCATATGATCCTGTTCCAAGTGCAGCGAAGAGAATTATGATGATCGTGGATACGAACAGCGACCACTTTCGTGAGTAATGATCAGACGTGTAGCCGAAGAACAACATGCCCAGCACGGTGCCCGCAAAAGTAATGCTGGCTACGTTTGCCTGAGCAGAGGATGACTCGTACTCGTTGGGATAGATTCTGGCCAGCATCGTATTGACTGGACCGATGATCTGCAGAACTTGTCAGTGACGTCTCATATTGTACGTGCTGTCGCGGTGGAAGCATTGCTCGATTATCAAGTACTGCGTTCGTTTGGATGCGCAGCGTGTCGCTTTTTGGGTTGTCGTACGTTGTTAAGATAACCATCACTGAACAATCCGGCACCACATGCAATTACTGGCCACAGGCGGTCCCATCTGCCTTTCTCGACATTGGCAACGCTGGCGTACCGCTCGTTATCGTCGTTACTCGAGTCCCGTAGCTTGGGAGACGCTTCCTTTGCTGAAGCCATCGCGTGTTCGCGCGAGCCAGGACCTAAAAAGGTGGTTTGACGAGCACAATATCTGGCGCTGCGTAAGGCGATGTGTGCGCTTGATAGAAAAGGTTGGAGCAGAGCCGCAAGGAGTTCACATCAGGATTGCGATGATGGGCCCTTTATGTGAGTGGTTCCGCGCATCTGGTTCGTTGCCCCGGTCCCGCATTCGTCGAACGAAATACTGACCGTGTGATCCCCACCTCCAGCCTCTTGCAACTCCCTCAACGGGCAACGCGCAAGCTTGCTCGTCCGATGCAGCCAGTGAGAGCCCAAAGAAAGTTTCCCTAGGAGCGGCTGGTCATCAGAGCTATACTGGAAGTAGATGTGTGTCGCGTGCACAATGTCCGACGGGAATATCGAATGTCACTGCAGCATCGCCATTACCTAGGTACAAAGGGAGAAATTGTAGTTAGTAGCTTCCGCGCAGACTCTCAACGTGTAAGATAACTTGCAACATAGCTGCTGTCCAAGGGACCTCACCTTGTCCCTGTATGTCGATACCAATGTTTACGGTCAAGCTTTCAATCAAGCAGTAAGCTCCCACAAGCATCAGCGGGGTTGCAAGCTAACCGGATCCAGCGCTATCTCGGTTCCCGGCAACGCCTCCTATCGCGGAGAGAACACCTAGTTGGTGTTGATTGAGCATTGAAATGTGAGCTTTTCTGCAAAGCTTGCTCAGTCTAAGAAGGTCGCATGTTTGTACGAGAGTGAGCTTCGCTTTCAGGCAAGGCATGCCGCGTTAGGCATCCGCGACTTTCCTGTGTATGATCTGGGTCGTGTCTGCCAGGCATTCGTGATTTCGCACGGTGAACCTAACTTTGATGCAGAAGAAGCTTTTGCGACTCTGGACATCGTGGGCGATAACCGACGTGCCTTTAAAGCACGAAAGGTGCTCGGGATAACACATGAACCCAAGAGAAGCTCATTCACATGACGATTCGTGCGACCCATCAATGTGTCAGGTTTTTGCACAGTAAACAACTTGCAGCATATGATATGCGATGGTGCGAATCCTGCAATATCCTGCAACAATTTTGAGGAAGGTTTAGTAAGTGCTGCAAAATCTGAGTTGAGAAGAGCAACCCCGCCTTGGTATTGAGTTATATACTATGTACAAGAAAGGCACGGGCGGTCAATGTTGATATTGCTCTCCAAGATGTTTGCGTCATACTCTTTGTATATGACACATGTTCATCGAATTGTCGCTCGATAAGAGTGGGGTACTGATTCATCTTTTCAAATGTATCTACATAGAAGCGGTCCGTCTACGGGACGCATTGAACTCTGTCGGGCCGTGTCCGGATGAGAGCCGAGTCACCGCTTCGAGCTGCAGTTCCTGGCCTCTTCGTCATACACTGTGTTATGCGCGGCTGTTGTTGACGTTGCGCAGGGCACCTGCCGACAGTCTCCTGCGCTGATTGAGCAGCTCTTACTTTGCTGGTCGACTGCTGACCTTCCACAACCTTCATAAGACACGCATTAACTACACCAAGAGTATACCGCAGTGCACGAAGCACCTCATCTCGCGCTCCACAAAAGAGGGTCCATCATACGACGGCAGAAGTACGGTCGAAATGTGGTGCACGATTCATGCTCGCGAGACCTACCCTTGGGACGCGTGGGAGTATGCAGTGCCATGCGTCCCCGATGCGTCGCGATCAGCAGACCACGACTCACACAGCGGGTCGCCGTGGAGGATTCCCACGATGACACGATACTGTCATCATGATTCGCGATGAGCGTTGTGGATGCTGGGTCTTGCGCCGAGGCCATGCCCGTAGGATGCAAATTATTGCCCGCTCGCCGAAGGTTCAGATCTCGCGATTCAAGGAACGCATGCTGCTTGCCTAGGAAGCATAGTTCATGCTGGCTGCATGCACCCTCACGAAGCACAGCACCAACTGTCGAAGTTGATCGACGAGCTATCGCAACGGTCCCTATAATGTCAGGGCTTGTCGGCGTATCAGAGCAGAGGCCACCCGGGATCGCCACCAATACTGTATGCAGGTCTGGGGATGACAGCACAGAGATTCACCAGGTCGTTCGGCCCTTTCGAAGTCAGGGATGTTTCTTGCTCTTTATCCTGCACGTGCCAAGGGCAGGGCTGGCATTGGCAATCTACTGGGCAAGCGATGAGGCGATTTTACATGATCCACTCACAGTTGTAAACGCTGATGGAGCTATTAGGTTGCGGGAGCGATTTCGTTGAGGCTAACGTGGCCACCAACGGGAGAGCACCGCGGGGAACTGTTGTTCTGTTCGCTCGTCGCTAACGGTTAAGGCTGTCTCACCAGCAACAAGTTCCTGCACCCCAAGAACACAAGCGATTATGTTCTGACCAGTTGGGATCGCAATCCTGCCAGCCATTTCGGGTTGATGATCAAACCGTCACATATTGCCCGGACCTTCGCCTACATGTCGTTGGTACTGCTCGTTCTAAGGCCGATCAATGCGGCCAGACCGCATGGAGGTATTGCGCTGTTGCGGGTACCTGTCGGGGTCCGAAAAACGACCAACTTCGAACAATGTGGCACTCCCTTGCCCGTCACAGCCGAGTGTGGCTAGCCGACACAGGAGAGCCCTGCATCATCGCACGACTCAAGTCGTGCTCGGGGCGTTGTAATCCTTGGACATGCTGAGGCACAGCCGTTCCATGCTAATGATTAAGGTTCAGTTCGCGGTGATTGATCGTTGAGGCCCTCTATTCTTATAGCACTCCACGCTCGCTCGCTCCTTCGACTCCTATTGTCAGCCCTAAGGTCCTTATCGTCGTGTCAAGAAACAGTCCACCCTTTCGGGCTACGATGTAGGAAACCCCAAGCGCAGCAACCAACACGGACAAACATCAAGGGTCCCCGACACTCCTCCTAACTGTTATATTCCGGGGCGAATGCACCATACAGCAGGGCTGAGCGACCTTACCTGCGAGCATGACGATGGGACCAGAGGCGAGGAGTGACCCCAGAAATGCGAACCTTCCTCTAGTCAATCAACCTCAGACGATCCTGGGGACTACGATCACCTTTCTGGTATGTGTGTCCTCGGGCAGCTCATGTCGACGTTCACTGACTCGCAACTTTAGTCTCTCGCTCTCCTAACAGCAAGTCTGCGATTGATCGGTCGTTGGCGCTCTCGCTTCTGGGGCTGGGAGGATGCCTGTGTCTTTTTTGCTTGCGTTGCGAGTGCCTGCGGAGACACCATGGTCTGTTTGAGTATGTTAAGACCCATCTTGCATGTACAGTTCTGACTCGGGCTAGTGCCTTTCAACGGACTCGGCCTTCACTTCGCTACTCTAAGTGCCAGCAATGCAGAAGCCTACTACAAGGTCAGTCCTTGTGTAGACGTTCGAGTTTGGTCTGTGGCTGACGTACTTGATAGGACATATGGGCGAGCAACAGCGCTTACTGTGCTAGTACGACTTTTATCAAACTGGCAATTCTTCTACAGTACAGGCGTCTCTTTGTTGAGGCAGCGATGAGTACTGCATCCCCACGGTACCGTTTAGGGATAAGATGTGTTTGGGCTGCTATTGCCGTTTCTGCTATGTGGGGACTCTCCTTTTTCTTTCTTGCACTGTTCCCCTGCCAGCCCGTCAGGAAGAGCTGGAAAATCATGACGCCGGGCAAGTGCGTGGGATGGGGAACCAAGGATCCCAACAAGTTCTTCAACATGTGGGCATCACATGCTGCGAGCAACATGTTTCTCGACATAGTTGTTCTGCTATTGCCCGTGCCGTTTCTTGGAATACTCGACGTTCGACACAGATGCAAGAGGTCTCTTATCGCTCTCTTCTCCTTGGGAGCAGTGTAAGTGCTACCAGGCATCGTTTTGCCCAATACTAAACCATCACAGCGTCGTATTGGTGTCTATAGGCCGCTTGATAGCGCTCTGTATCTCCCGTGCCGGCACTTACCCTGTTCCCGACATGTCCTACCACGCGCCCATAGTGTTTATTTTCAGCGTCTTGGAAGTCAACATCGCAATCTGGTGCGCCTCGATCCCAATCTTCTGGCCCATGATCAGCTCGCTCGCCGCGAACAAGATCCTGGTCGTCAACGAAATCGTTGTGCGCGTCGAACAGTACCCAAAGGGTAGCCTCGATGGCGAATCCGGCATCGGTCTCTCCTCGCAACTGATATTGGAAGAACTCCCCAGCTCCCCCGCTCCATCACACCCCCGACGTCTCAGCACTCTGGCGCGCACCTTCGACCACCGGCCCAGCCGCGATTCAATCCGCAAACCAACGCACAAGAGCAAGGGCAGCATCACCTCACGCTCCGACCACGAGCGCCGCTCCAGCCAGGACAGCCAGCGCAACCTGTACCGGTCGTCGACGCACGACTCGAATAACACACCCAAGAGCGACTACGACTGGTTCACCGAGCTGGACAGGGAGTGTGTGGGCCGCCGCACAATAACGCGCATCGAGACGGGGAATGCGGGGCCGCGCCCTGATGAATCGCGGTAGCAGACGGCGGTGTGTAAACCCTTGCGCGTGGACTGTGGAGCCATTGTTGGAGTACTGGAAGCTAGATACCCCTGCTGTTAATGTAATTCGACCTGCAATCGCACATAACTACCTCTCCACGCCTAGTGTGTGTAGGGGCCTGTACAAGGTTTTCTGGCGTCCAGAAGCAGCAGGTCTGGCTCGCGGACTCACTTATTAAATACCGTGCCTCGATCTATCGTTTACGGGAACGGATCGGATCCTTCCGTGACGCTGGATCGCGCTAGACGGGAGGGGAATGGACGGCTGCGGCGATAGCGCACTCCCCGTGCCCGGTGTTCGCCCGCAGTGCACACAGACGGCTGCAGAAGGATGTGCCGCGGGTGTTCCACGTACCGGGGGTCCTTGTGCTGCGGGTATAGTGCGAACAGCATTTCTGTCCGTGTCGTGGGTATTGTGCGGGTCCGTTTGTTCGATTCTGCGATGTCTGCTGGGCAACACAGAATCAAGAGGTGTTACCTCGGCAGGTCGGCGTGGTGAGAGGGTCGCATGGCACGCGGTGGCGACACGTAGCGTGCTCACGATGACAGCGAGTCAGGCTGAGGCAAGAGTGGAGTGCGGAACAACGAAGCGGAACAACGAAGACGTGACGAATGTGGCAACGACCGTGGCGAGAGTAGAGCCGAGGCTGGAGGGAGATGCGATGGAATTGGGAACGACTGTGCTCAAACTCGGGTTCAATTCGGGTTGGAAAGTGGTGATGGTCTACAGCGAGGATCAGGACGGAGGCTAGATGTAGGCTAGTCAAGTCAAGATCGTGTGTGAGGAGTAGTTACACGCTGCAAGTAAAACACCCAAATTGATGGCTGGACTGGAGTTTGCCACGGAGTCTGACGGTTTCGATAGCACTACCGAGCGACGAGGCATCCAACGAGGTCACAAAGATACTCGAAGTCTGATCGACCTGAGAATGCTCTTCCTTGGGTCCGCCTCCTCTTAACCTTTGGCGGACATGAATAGATGTTCGATATCTACTCTCTAATAATCATCTCTTTTACCACAGCTGGGAGATCTGAGGTGCCTTTAGCCGTCTTGAAAGATTTGAGGTCTGCTTCAGGACGGCCAATAGACCCCGAAAAAGACAGCTGGATGCCTTCAGTTAACGCAACCATACTGATAAAACAGCGTACTGTTAACTATCTTGATCCTTATGTATTGTGACTTGCAGCTACGTCGGTGGCAGCTAGGCGTTCTTATAACGATGTCCAGAATGTACAAACAACCCCCAATTGTTTAGTCAGTGATGCAAAATGAACTGTGTGGAGCATTTCTACAGTACACATAGTAAGGTTGACCTTATTGCCGTCACTTCGCTTCACTCCAGATCGCCCAGATTGGCTCAAATGGGTCGGTAACTTCACGCGGAGAAGCCGAGAGACGTCTCATAGATCTTGGGATGGGACAATATTACCCGACCATCACAACCCCCGTATTGAGCCCGCAATACATCAAATGTGTTGCACTCTTGGATTACTACGATATGCCATAACCAATAGATGCTGTGGGATCACAGAAGAGTTTGGTGAGCGCTCACCCACATGCCCAGGAAGTGATGTCGACAAGACCGGTACAAGCCCGTAGGACAGTCCGAACGCAAATTGACGGAAAATGGAGGAACCAGACCCCGATTGTCACGCGATTCCGCGGCGAGCCTGCAGCAAGTCACAAGGCATTCCATCCCCACTATGCCGAACCCTTACACTTCAAGAAAGTCACCACAATCCACCCCCATTTCCTCGATCAGCAACGCCCCCCACCGCCGCTACAGCTCACTGTTTCGCACGCGGCGCGATAGCCCCGGGCAATCTGTCCCCACCCTTCAGACACACACACAGTCAAATCTCTCTCCACCCCCCAGCTCAGCCCCACAGCCGTCCACCAAGCAGGTCAGGCGGCTCTCTACAGTGAACCCGCTTCGAAAAACCGCGCGAGGCGTCTGCAGAGACCCGGACTCGCTGCGACGCTGCGCGATGCGGAAACATGCTGTGGATCTGCGCCGCGAAGCCGCGGTGATGGGCGTGGATACGCACTGCAGCGGTGGGTGTTTGGACAGAGTTTGATAGTGCTGCGTGAGTATACGTATGCACTGGTGGGAACGAGTGAAATCGACGGCATCTTGTGACGCGGGCTTTTGTGTACATGAAAGGTGACGCGCAACGGGTTGTGGATGTGGTTGACTTGGGCTCTAGGATGATCGCTGGCGATACATGCGGACCCCCTTGTTATACGAACACTATGTAGGAAACCCGGGCTCTTTTACTTGCTGGTATGCGGTGATGGTACAGATAGACTGGACCTAGAAGAGTGTGGCGAGACGCTGGAATGTACTATTCTTGTTAGCATGATGTTGCCGCTGTCGTTAATGTATAGGCAGAAGTAACGTGTAGTTCTACAGCAGCTATTATAATCCAGATCTCTAGTATTACAGTGCGGGTAAGCGGTAAAGATAAGCCCTGGGCCATTTCTTTAGCTACATACTGACCAAGCTTTCTCTTGACCTAGCCATATAGACAGGACCGAGTTTCCTCTACACCCAGCCATATAAACAGCCCACCCACCCCCAGACACCAAGTACCCAGCACAAGACCACCAGCCAGTCTCGTACCACTGTAGACCGACCCACAAGCTCCAGTACGAACACAGCGCTGTCGACACTCACTCCCGGCACACGGCACACGGCACGCGGTGAGCGTCGAGCTCGTCCACCTACACGGACACGTACCCACGGCAGCACAGCCAGACACCTTCCCGTGCCACGAACGCGCCCAGCGTCAAGCAGCACAACACCAACAGTCTAACCAGCAGTCCATCCCCACGGTCGCGCCCCAGCCCAGCAGTCCGCCAAGAACCAACACGGCATCAAGAAACCTAGCACCACGCGCCCCCCCTACCGCCCCAGTGCGCTGCAGATAGATAAGTCTCCGCGCCGCCAGCGCGCGTCCACGGCGAGAGCGCCGTTGTGCGAGATGCAGGCGGACTGCCTGATGCACTGCTTTCGCGTGCCGTTGGAGCGAGGGGGTGCAGGTGCCGGGTGAGGGGTGCGAGACGAGGGAGGAGGGAGAGAGGGAGAGCGGGGGGAATAAGAGAACGAGGAGACGAAGGCGTGGAGGTCGCGGAGACACGGGGGGCTACCGCAGTGAAGAGCGATGCAGAGGCGCGGCGGTGAGCACGGTTGCTGCTGAGCAACGCGGTGGGATAGTATTAAGAGGGGTGTGTGGGCGCGCAGAGAGAGTACCTGGGGGCTCGTACAGAACAGCACGACAGCACTGACGAGGTGATGCGACAGCACGAGCAACACAGAATCAATGGGTGTGTGTGTGTGTGGTGTGTGCGTAAATCATGCGTATATTCGTTGCGCATCTACACCCCCCATCCCCCTTTCCCATCTGCCCCCTGCCATCATCGTATAAACACCCCTCAGCATACACCCCCTAACCGAACTCCCAGCACACAACCCCCTAGCTAAACTCCCTCATAAACCCCTCATGAAACCTAACCAACCTCTCCGTCCAATCCGTCCCCGGCGCCAAAAACGTCGTGCGGAAATGGTACGTGCCCTCCTTCTGGCCGAACCCAGACCCGGCAACGGTGCACACGCCGGTGGCGTCGAGCATGCGGAAGCAGTAGAATTCGTCGGGCTTGCGGTTTTCCTTTTTCGCTTGTTCGAGGGCTTTTGGGGGGAGCGTGATGGTGGGGAAGAGGTACATGGAGCCCTGGGGGTGTTAGTTGTGGGACGTGAAGAGGGGGGTGGAGATGGATGGATGGATGGGGGGAATGCAATGGGATGGATGGATGGGAGTACGCACCTGCGGCTCGCCGCACACAACGCCCTCCATCTTCTTGAACGCCTCGTACAGCGCGTACGCGCGCTCCCGCAGGCCCTTGAAGATGGCGTCGTACTCCTGCTTGTACAGCTCGTAACTCGGCTCGCCCTCGCGCGGCGGGTTCACCATCATCTCCACCACGCACTGCCCTATCACGGGCGGACACAGCTGGATGGAAATGAACTTGTAGATCTCGGCCGCGACCTCGGGCGCGAAGCCGACGAGTTCGAAGTACCCGCCGCGGTGCCCGCACTCGCCGACCATGCCCTTGGAGATGGAGTGCAGCGAGGCGAGCTCGATGTGATCGTAGGGCCCCGGGGAGGCGGCTTGCAGGTCGCGCAGGGCTTTCTTGAAGGAGATGAACTCGCCGACGAAGACGTTGGTCTGGTAGACTTCGTCTGCGATGACCACCAATTTATTCTTGGCGGCGAACTTGAGCACGCTCTGGATGTCCTCGGCGGGCAGCGAGGCGCCGGTCGGGTTGCCCGGGTTGATGATGCAGATGGCCTTGACGTCGGTGCCCTCGGCGACGGCCTTGTCGTAGCTGTCCTGGATGGCGGCCAGGCTGGTGCCCCAGTTGGCGGCCTCGTCGAGGTAGTAAGGGACGCAGCGGGCGTCGAGCACGGACAGGGTGGCGGTGTACAGCGGGTACTGGGGGATGGGCACCATGATGCCGGTCTCGGGCGAGGCGCAGATGACGTGCAGCAAGGTGTTGACGCCGGACGAGGCGCCGTTGCTGAGGTAGATGTTGTCGACGGACGAGGGGTGGCCGTCGCGGCGCTCGATGTAGCGGGCGACGGACTCGCGGATGCCGGGGGCGCCCTGCGACTGCGAGTAGGCGCCGACGCTGTTGACCTCCTTCAGCAGGCGGCGGGCGCGGGCGACGGCGTCGGGCTTGTAGCCGAGGGTGGAGGTGAGGACGTCCTCATGCTCGAGGAGTAGCGGGTTCTCGAGCAGCGACGCGACCTGGCGGAAGAAGGTGATGGGCTTCTGGTCGAGCTGCTGCGGGTTGCCGATGTTGGCGGCGATGACGGTGTCGAAGGGCAGGTCGGCGCCGTTGCCCTTGGCCAGCTGGGCGCGGTACTGCTCCGACTTGACGGCGAGCTCGCCTCGGACGGCATACTGCGCGGAGCGGACGTGGGGGTTGATGTTGTCGAGCGTGAGCACTGTTGTGGTGGTGGAGGACATGGTGCGGGCGGGTGCGGAGAGCGACGAGACGGGCGATGTGACGGGCGATGTGACGGGACGGATGGTCGAGGAGCGAAGCGTAGGGGAGCGAAGCGTAGAGGAGCTCAGTGACGCAAAGCAACGAAGCGGCGTAGAGCGAAGCGTAAGAATCACTACGCAGTCAGCTTGTATCAGCACTCTTAGACAGCAACAAACGCGCACTCAATGGCAGACGAACAAGCAAGCAAGACGACAAGTGCGAAGTCCACGCCAAAAGCGCCCGCCACCAAAAAGCAAGCCCCAGACAAGTGATGCGTCAACACCCTGCCCCACGGAGGGGTCGCCCGCGCACGGCCCGCGGCCCAATCGGCTGCGTGCAAACCGCCGGCCTAGTCGACGAGCGGTCATGGACGAGAGATAGATGCATTGGAAGACTGATGCATTGAGAGGCACGTTGAAGACAGACACGCCAATACACGCAACACCACCGCCTAAACAGCAAAGCACAAGCAAAGAAAACACAACGCACCTCCATCCCCACGCCTCACCATCCCCCCCCGTCTACATGCAGCGCCCAGCAGCCCCGACGCCGACGCCGGCGGCATGGTGTGTCGCGGAGCTGGTCGGCCGAGCCTCGGAGGTCTACGCTCGGCGGTAGCAGGCGAGCGGGCGCGCGGGCGAGTATTCTACGGGTGGGCGCCCGGTGATGAGGGCGGAGTGGGACAGGAACGGCGAGTGGGGCGGTCGCGGCGGCGCTAAGCAGCGGTTCGAGGTCGCGTATCTTGTAGGTATCTGCGCGGATCGAATACCGCAGCCTGCGTATCGCTCGAGTGTATCGGTGTGTATCGGTGTATCAGCGTCTCGTAATCGCTCACGCACTACGCACTTTAAAGCGCGGGTCGTGGCCAGCAGCGTGGGAGGCAGTCTGCGCAATCGAGTGGTGAGTGGTGAGTGGTGCGTGGTGCGTGAGTGGGAGGGGACGGGGGATCTAGCTGATGAGGTTCGGGGGAGCTGAGGAGATGGGCCGCGTATCTGCCCGCGTCTGCGACGGGAGCGGCGGGTAGGCAAGGGGGTCCGGGTGGTGCATGGCGTGCAGGGCGGTGATGAGTGGACTGGTGACTGCGGCTTGCTTGCGTTGTCGCCATGCGGGTGTCAAGATCACGTAGTTGCTGTCGACGCACGCAGCATTGTCGGCTCTTCACATTGTCAGCTCTTCACATTGTCGGCTCTTCACATTGTCGGCTCTTCACATTGTCAGCTCTTCACGACGGCCGATATCACGTAGCATTAGCACCTCTCACGACTGACGACCTCACGTAGCTGGTGCATCCAACATGTCTGAGTATCGTATCTGCATGCTCTTGACGTAACTCGTGTCTTTTGCGCGTCCGCAGACGGCTGTCTACTCATACTCGTACTTTGCGCGCCGCAGACGACTGTCTACTCGTACCCGTACTCTGCGCACCGCAGACGGCCTACATCACACTCACACTGTCTGTCCCACGCTAACCGCGCTCGCTGCCGCGCAGCCGCACGGCCTGGCCGTACTTCTGCAGCTTGGTGATGAGCTGGTCGCCCTGCTTGACCACGTCCCCGTACTGCTTGTTCTTGTCGTCGGGCCGGTTGGTCTCGATGATGCCCTTGACGCGGTCGATGGTGCACGGGATGCGGTCGGCGGCGATGAACTTGGCGAGGTCCCTGTGCTGTTAGCATTGAACGTGTGACGTGACAAAAAAACCCACCTGTCCAGAAAGTCGACCGTGACGCCAAAGTCGTGCGCCATGCTCTGCAGCCCGACGACGCGGTACGACTGCAGCAGCTGCTGGTAGCCGCGCAGGCGCATCTCGCGCACGTACCAGCCGCGGTGCTCGTACAGGTAGCGGTCCTGGCTGAGGAAGGCCGTCTCGGTCTCGCCCAGGGCGGTGAAGAAGTTCTTGTAGTTGCCCTCGTACAGGCTCTTGACGAGCCCGGACAGCGGCGCGAAGTCGATGGCGGCCTCCTTGTCCTGCTGGCCGCCGAGCGTTGTGAGGTTGACGGGCGCGGCTGTGGACGTCGAGGCGTCGGCCATGTCCTCGTCGCCGGCGCCGGGCCCGGCCGACGTGTGCCCTGTGATGGCCGACAGCTTCTCCTCGCCGCTGCCGACGATGGCCTTGATCTCGGGGGCGTCGACGACCTTGGACTTGAAGTCGACACGCTTCAGCGAGGACGAGCCGGCGAGGATGGCGTAGATGACGAGGCTGGAGTAGCTGCAGAGCTCGTAGCTGGTGAAGGTGGACAGGCTGTCGAGCAGCAGCGGCGCGGCCTGGGCGTGGGAGCGCACAGTGAGCAGGTGCAGGCCGGTGTAGGCCTTGAGGCGGTTGCGGCGGTCCCAGTCGCCGCCACTCTCGACCAGCGCACTCGCGCGCTCGATGCTCTTCTTGGCCAGCACCTTGTCGCCGAAGAACAGGGCCAGGCGGATGATGGCCAGCACGATGTCGATCTTGGTGCCCAGGATGCCCGTCTTGTCGAAGATGGCCTCGTAGCTGGCAATGGCCTTGTCCTGCGCGGTGTCAGTATGCTGATCACTTCTGTCCGCGTCCACGCACCTTGTCGCCGATGCGGTTGTACAGCTCGGCGCGCTTGCCCCGCGCAGCCTGCACCTCGGTCTCGCCGGCCTTCTCGGCGGCCTCGTCCTCCTCCTTCTGGATGGCCTCGAGCTCGGCCTCGTTCGCGGCCTTGAGGCGCTCGTACAGCGCCTCGTCCCAGGCCAGCGGGGCGTCCAGCGCGGGCGTGCGGGTGGCGAGCATGCTGGCGATGCTGGCCGACGGGCGGCGGTGGGCGGTCGGCTGGTCGGCGGTGCCCTCGCCCGGGGCGTTCAGCACGCCGTCGGCGGGGTGGGCGAGGTAGCGGTACAGCGGGGCCATGCTGTGTGTCTCGATGGCGTCCTGCACCGTCTTCAGCGACGCCTGCTTGGCGGGCCGGGCGGCGGCGGGGTTGGTGAGCTGGAACACATGCTGGGCCAGCTGCAGGTCGGGGTACTTGGCGAATTGCGGGTCGCCCATGGTGGGAGGTGTGTGGGTGTTGGAGTGGTGGTGGAGGCGCGGTGATGCAACGTGCTTGGCAGCGCGGTGAGCTCGGTGGTAGCTAGCTCTGCGGACGACCGAAGAAAGACCCCAGCAACCGCTCACCCAGCAATCCACTCACAGCAATCCGCTCACCAACAATCGCCCAGCAACGAGATACCCCGGCAATCCGCTCACCCAGCAACCGCCCAGCAATATCGCCTCCGCTACCGCCGCCCGCACCACCGCCCGCCTTGAACCACCCACCACCACCCGCACCACCCACCACACCCCATGGCCGAGAAGCGCGGCCGCTCCCCGTCGCGCTCGCGCTCGCGCTCCAGGTCGCCGCCCCGCCAGCGCAAGCGCCCCGGCGCCGCCTCGCGCATCTCGGCCGCCGACCGCGAGGCGGCGCGCCGCCAGCAGCTGGAGCGCGAGCAGCGCGACGCCCGCACGGCCCAGCAGGAAGCAGCCTCCCGCGGCGTGCACGACGTGGTCAAGCAGCACTACAACATGGTGCCGGAGCGCGGGCGCGAGTGGCGGCAGACGGACAGCAAGATCAAGGGCCTGCGCAGCTACAACAACTGGGTCAAGTCGTCGCTGATCCACAAGTTCATCGGCGACGAGCGCAACCTCAAGATCCTCGACATCGGCTGCGGCAAGGGCGGCGACCTGCAGAAGTGGCAGGCCTCGCGCAAGGTCGAGCTGTACGTCGGCTGCGACCCTGCCGATGTCAGTATCAAGCAGGCCAAGGACCGCTACGCCCAGATGCAGAAGAAGTCGCGCCGCCTGTTCCACGCCGAGTTCTACGCAAAGGACTGCTTCGGCGAGTGGCTGGGCGACATCCCCATCATCCGCGACGTCGGCATCGACCCGGGCGTCGGCCCGGGCAACGCCCAGAGCCAGCGCTGGGGCGGCGGCGGCTGGGACATGGTCACCATGATGTTCTGCATGCACTACGCCTTTGAGAGCGAGGCCAAGGCCAAGGGCATGCTGCGCAACGTCGCCGGCGCCCTGAAGAAGGGCGGCCGCTTCATCGGCTGCATCCCGAACTCCGACCTGCTGTCCGCCAAGGTCCTGGAGCACCACAAGGCGAACGGCACCGCGCCCGCCGACGCCGACGACGACGACCGCCCCGCCTTCGCCAGCGACGACGAGGACTGGGACCCGGAGAAGAGCCTCGACAGCCCGAAGCCGGAGGACGCTGAGCCCGACACCAAAACTACCGCCGCCAAACCCGCCGCCCCCGAGTCCGCCCCCGAGGAAGGCGAGCTCGCCGACCCCAACCTCGCCTTCGGCAACGCCCTCTACCGCGTCAAATTCTCCACCCCGACACCCCCCGACGGCGTCTTCCGCCCGCCCTACGGCTGGAAGTACTTCTACCACCTGATCGAAGCCGTCGAGGCCCCCGAGTACGTCGTGCCCTGGGAGGCCTTCCGCGCGCTCGCCGAAGACTACAATCTGGAACTGCAGTACCGGCGCCCGTTCCGCGAGGTGTGGGATGAAGGGAAGGAGGACCGCGAGCTCGGGCCGTTGAGTGAAAGGATGGGGGTTAGGGAGAGGGGGGGCGGCAGGCTGCTGACGAGCGAGGAGGAGATGGAGGCGTGTGGGTTTTATCACGCGTTCTGCTTCTATAAGGTGTAGGTATGACATCACGGGGGCTGCCAAGTGACTACGAAGTGGTTTGGCAAGCAGGATGGCGCTTGGGGTGTGGCTACGGCGTTGGCTTTTCCTTCTTTTGGTGCTGCCCGGCAATGGCGGGCGTGTACACGGTGCAATACCGCAACGAAGCGACTCAGTATCAGATCAAATCTATCAGTGCAATATGTCAGTGCAAGATGTTCCACGCTTGACCCTGTAACGCGAGAGCGAGCCTTGCATTCGAAGCGAGATAATAAGCTGCACGCATGCTTGCAGGGCGACAGTATAGACTCCGAAAAGCCGGGTGACGAGCACGAGCACACGAAAACCATCATCCGGGCACATGAACAACGATATAAACACATTCGCAGAACACCTCGATGAAAACCACCGTACACCCCTGCCCCCAACCCCACCACCAAACTTATATCCAACCCTACGCCGTCTTCTTCCACTGCCCCCAAACCCCCAACAGCGAACTCGCCGTCCCCGCCAACCCCACCACCCCATCATCCAACGCGACCCACCCCAACGCAGTCGCCGGAATCGTGATATCACATAAATCACTAACAAGCTGGACCTTCACCGCGCCGAGCTCCTTATCGACCTTCTTCCGCTCGACTACTTTCTCCGGGTCGCTGCTCGCGGCCACCAGAGCGCTGCGGGCGCGCAGGGTGTACAGCGCGTAGAAGCTGTGTGCGATGCTGAAGGAAATACCGGTGGCCCAGGCTTGGTTCGCGCTCCTCAGCAAGCTCGCGCTGGACGCGCTCTTACGAATGCCCGTCGCATCCAAGATATTCGCCGTGTCCAGGAGCAGGTACAGCGCATACCCCAGCTGCCGGCCCACGGCGGTGAATTTCACCACGGGGTCGAGCGCGGCGTCGGACGCGACGGCGGCCGCTTTGAAGTGCTCGATGAATTTCCCGACGCGCAGGAGTTTGCGCGCGGTGCCGAGCTGTTTCTTTGTGGTGTCGAAGGGGGCGATGGTGCTGAGGGGGCGGTTCGTGCGGTAGAGGTACCACGCCAGGAAGCGCGCGAAGTATTGGACCGTGCGGAGGGCTTTGTCGCGGCCGACTGGGGGGCGTTAGCTGTTGATATTCATATGGGATTGGGCTAGAAGGGAAGGGGGAGGGTGGGGGACGCACCGGTCGTGGCGACGAACTTGAGGTAGTGCGACACCGTGGGGTGGTAGACGAGGGCGTCTGCGACCATTTTGGCTGTGTATCTCTAAATCTCTCGGTCCTCAGACTTGATGTGTTCAATGCAGCGCGCCGTCCGGTTGAGGGCAGGGCGTCGAGATAGAATTAATCGCGGATGTGCAGAGGTGACGGGTGGCCGAGCCGATGAGGAGATAAGGTCGGACGCGGTTGCGACATCGCGGCCGCAAGCTGGGGAACGCTTGTGACCAACCTCGGCAACCGGGCGGGTCTGGGCGCCAGGTCACGGGCGAGTCGACTGCCGGGCTGGGGTGCTTGTGGGTTTGTGAATGACATGTGACATTGCGGAGGTGGAAATTGTGGCAGAAACTATGGCAGAAATTATGGCAGGAGAGACATGTTCACTGCACAATAGACGGCTTTCGCTTCCGAGGCTTGACGTGATGGAAGACGTGCGACTCCCAGGCGGAGAATGTAAACCCTGCCCAAGGGCTTGCCACGCCATTGAGCACGACAGCGCCGTGTCCGCCAAGATATCCCTCGTGAATTGACATTCATACGATGTGTTCCGATCTACAATCACTCAACTATGTCCTCCTGCCTCACTCTGGGCATGTGATGCGGCTCCTGCTTCTAAACCCGAGGCTGGATGGCTGTGCAAATCTCACTTACCGAGCTTCGAGTGTGGTTTCTCACGGTCAGTGCGCAGCGTGGAGTAGTTGCTTTACACGAATTTCTTGTAATTGCTGTACACCAATTTCTTGCGTGGCTGCGAGAGGGATCACGTGAGACATGCCGTGATGCAGACAGTGTGAATGAGATAATGGGTATTGATGCTATGCTCATGTACATACAACTCTACTCGGGTCTCCTGCCGACGACCACAATGCTGCGCTTATTAGTCCCTGCATGACGAAAAGGAGGCTGACTTACAGTGGCCAGTAGGCATGACACCCAGGGTCCTTCAACTCGCCCCGCACCTTCGCCAGCAGCACCTGCAGTTCCTCGAGGGACCAGCCGTCGTAGAACTTCAGCAGCCGCAGGCTCAGCCCCTCGATGCCCTCGAGCATCGCGCTCAGCTGCAGCAGCCCCGCGTCGCGCAGCCGCTTCTGCTTCGGCCACGGCCCGATGGGCAGCTTGAACTCGCGCACCGTGATGTCGACGAACCCGGCTTTCTCCAGGTGGCCCTTGATGAATTCCACGCTCGTGCGCAGGCACACGCCGACCTTCATCGCCGCTTTGCCCTGCTCCACGCACCACGTGTTGAACGACGTCCCCGGCTTGCGCGACGTCGGCTGCATGATGGCCATGTAGTCCATCTCCTGCAGCTCGATGTAGCCGCCGGGCCTGGTGTGCGCGTAGGCCTGTGCGAATAGCTTGTCCCAGTTGCGTATGCAACCGGTCATGGTGCGCATGTGGACGAGATCGAAGTGGTCGAGCGGCCAGGTCCAGTCCGCTTCTGCATCGTCAATCTCAAACTTTACGTTCGGCGGGACCCTGTCGGCAATTAGCGGTCCGTCAGACATCAGACGGCGGGTGTTGATGAGAGTGGGTTCAGCGGGTACACACCATGTGGGCTGGATAGGACTTAGATCTGTCGCAGTCACAGTAGCACTAGGAAACTGCTCGCCGGCATCAATGGCCCAGATACCGGTTCCCGTCCCGATGTCGAGGATTTGTTGAGGACCTTCAAGCGGGGCGAAGGTGACCTTGTCGCTGAAGACCAGCTGTATCGATGCATACTTGATGTCCAGTCGGTCCTGCTCCTGCTCGTCGTCTGGCAGGATGTACTCCCCGCTCGCTTTCTGGTAAGCGTGGTACCGTCTCCCGTTCTCAAAATGGCCAGCCATGATGCTAGACGTCAACGAAGCCGTTTCAGACGCGAGATCTCCATACGACGAGTCAGCGTCTGAGTTAGACCAGACGTCAAGATCGCTCGCGCCATTGCCAGCGGCCTGCGATTCGATTTCACTTGCACTGGTCTCCATGGTGGTCGTCAGGCCTCGCTCGTGCTGGCTCGTTTCGTGCCACTGTCCAGTCACACGTTGACGTCCAAGCTCTTGCACGACCCTCAAATCCTGGAATGCAGACAACCACGTGCCTTTCGATCACAATGTAGAGTCACAACAGCGCTGTCGTGCTACAGCGGTACACAGCAACAATGTCGAGGCTGGTAGCGGGAATCAAGGATACAGTCTCTCGAAGACGTCGGCGAAGTAGCCCGCCGAAGACGCACGCAGCTTCCGTGGCGCCGGCAAACGTCCCACATCCGTTGATCGCTTCTTGCTAGACCCTTTGACGTTTTTGCCGCTTCAGTCCTGGCCAATAACATTTTTCGGGGAGCGCATTCGCTTATGAATGGTTTTGGGTAGCGAAGCTGGTGTTCCTCGGAGCTTGCCGCTGATGGGGTGAGGGGCAACACTGGGTGGCTGGAGCTGCAGCGCGCACCAAATGTGGCAAGAGCTGTGAAGGGCATCTACCGTAACGAGCAACTGCGATTCTGGAGGTCAGAGCGGCAGATGTGCGGAAGCTGACAACTACTGTACACATCAGGCCGTGTTGAAGCCCTCGTCTAACGCGGCTGTATGGGCCGTCCCTGCGTGATCTCGAGCCGTCAATACGCTACTGTAGCTGCTGAATTAGCTCGCCGAAAGCAGATGTAGCAGCTCATACATGATGACAGCAGACGACTCCTTCCCAGAGATCTGGTACACGTACTGCACGCGAGTCGCATCGTACAACTGTTCAGGATGACAGGCTCCACTAAGAACGACCTGCATGTCCTCATTGCCGGCGCCGGTAAGTGAAACGCATGAGAATGGCGTGAGAATGGCATGGAGGGGTAGCTTGGGCTAAGCAGAAACACAGGCACAAGTGGTCTGCTTGTAGCTCAGGGTCTGAAAAAGGTGCGTCGAGAGAACACAAAACCAGCATCACCCTGACGTCTGCCTGCAGAACGGCATTGCCTTCACCATCTTTGAATCTGAGTCAAGCACAACATATCAGACGCGGCCCCGAGAATGGGGCATGACCCTCCATTGGGGCTCGTCCCATATCGCCTCCTGCCTCCCTGACGAGCTCACTGCCCGTTTCAACGAAACCTATGCCGATCCGTCTCTGAAACCTGACGCTGTGACCGGGCTGCCCATCCACAATGGCAAGACCGGAGACCTGATCATGGAGATGGGCGCCGAAAAGCCGATGCGGGTCAGCCGAAAGAAAATGCGTAACTTGTTCAGCGAGGGCATTGACGTGCAGTACGGCAAGCAGGTTGTACGTGCCTACGTAATCGACGACGCTTCGTCGCCGGACAACGGACGAGTCAAGGTCGAGTTCAAGGACGGCGAGCATGCCGTGGGCGATGTGGCTGTTGGCACTGACGGAGCGAAGTCGCTGTTCAGGGAGTCAATCGTCGGCTACGAAGACGCGCAGCTGACGACCGTCCCCGTGAACCTTATCAATTTTCCCTACAAGTTCAACGCGGAGCTAGCCCTGCAGATACGGGCGTATAACAAGATCTTCCTCAACAGCATCCATCCTGATCACGGAACTATGTATTGGTTGTCGAGTACGTTCTACCCCTTACATGCCTACCGACCGGGCCGCTGATCCGCAGTCAGTTATGGACGTGCCCGACACTAACAAGCCCGAGACTTGGAGCTTCCAGGTCATGCAGAGCTGGAACGACAAGACGACGCCCCCTTCTGCCGACTTAACCACCAATGAGGGCCGTCTGAAGTTCTTCAAGGCACGCTGCGAGGAATATGCCGAACCCTGGCGCTCAGTTGGCCGCGCCGTCGCGGACGGTACGACAATCCCCATGGACAAACTGACCTATTGGGAGAAATCGAAGAAGTGGGATAACAGAGGAGGAAGAATGACGCTATGTGGAGATGCCGCTCATCCCATGACCCCTCGTAAGTTTTCGCGTTCCTGCGTTACCACAGTCTACGGGACCCTGGACCCCCACACCCCAGATCTTATCACTGATACAATCCATTCTGCAGATCGCGGCCAAGGCTTGAATAATGCTCTGCAGGACGCTTCCAATTTCGTTAGCACGATTGTGTCAGTATCCAAGGGCTCGGCACCACTCGCCGAGGCCGTCCAAGCATACGACGACGAGGTTCTCGAGAGAGGCCAAACAGAGATGGAGATCTCGCTGAAACAGTCTTACTTCATCCACGACTGGGAAACACTCATGCAGAGCCCGATGATAAAGATTGGTATGCGCCAAGTCAAGAAGGGCGAGGTATAGTCGAGTGCATGATGCGTCCTTCTGTGACTGATACAATTCACAAATGTAGAATTTTCACCTCAATGACGTCCAGAACTGGTTCAACATTTTCAATTTTGATTTGACGTGGAGTGGTTTAAAAAAATTCGCTGATCCAGAGCATTGTCCTTGTCCAATGAGTGGTAGCGATGTCTATCTATCCTCCCAACTTGTAAGAACAGTACCTTTTTCGGTAGCATATACAAACACCCCACTGATTCTGGTGCACAGCAACGGCTGCAATCTCGATGGCATTCCCAGTATCACCGGCTTTGGTTATGCAAGTAGATACGGATCTTGTGGGCACCTATGCTTTGATTCTTGTGGAGTAATATCTCTCATTCCGGCTGCTTCGTGGCACCCTTGTTAGGCCCACGACCATGGATGCACAGCAGCACATCTTCGCTGCCTCCCAGAGCCAGGCCTGAACCACGAATCATGTTGTGTGCCTCCCCAAGGCTGTTTCAGGGTCATTCCGAACACTGGTTCCTTTCCGTTGACTTGACGTTCCACAGAGAACGTCATGCACGGGCATCTCTATGCACACACTTAAAGGCTTACCAAGAATACTCGAGCATTCTTCGTTGTCTAGCTAGTCTTCTCCTCTCAGCACTCAGTGCACATATAGCTGAGCGCGGCTGTCTCATAGCACTTCGCCGAACGTCTCCAACATCATTTCCTTCAACATGCAGGCCTTCCCAAAGTCGACACCGTCCTCGAGACGATCGTCGATCACACAGGCCGCTTTCAATGCCAGTCAATATTCCTTCGCCGAGACAGCGGTACAGTCACCTAATGCTTCTTGTGCAACATTCGCCCCCGCCCAGTCTTCCTCCACTCTGGCTGTCAATGGCCCTCCGCCGTCAAAGCCTTCTTCACTGAAGTGTAGAGAAGGCCCGACACCTCACGTTGAACGTCAAGTCAGCTTTGGTCAACAACTGCAGCAGATTACCACCTCTGATTTCCCCTCAAACAAGGATCGGCCAATCCGGCCAACCCTTCAATCGTGCCCCTCTGAATTCTCGACAACGCCTTCAGAGAAATGGACACGAACAAAAGGCTTCTGGCGCTCTTTCATTGCGATGTGCTTGCCGTTGCTGCTGTCCGCTCTTGAAGGCAGCGTCACGAACACTGCCCTACCCACTATCTCAGACGCCCTCAATCTCGGCACCAAATTTTCATGGGTCGCTACAGCTTTCCTCCTCGCAAGCACAATCTTCCAGCCGCTGTACAGCCAGCTTGGTGATATGTGGGGGAGGAAGATTCCAATGATGACAGCCGTTACTGTCTTCGCTATTGGGAGCGCCATCTGCGGCGTTGCTAACTCAGGTGCCGTTCTTATCTTCGGAAGAATCGTACAGGGGTTCGGAACAGGAGGTATCGATTTGTTTGCTGAGATGATCCTCTGCGACATCGTCCCGCTGAGGAAGCGTGGGCCGTACCTTGCCATCAAGCACATTGTCTTCTCCATCGGCACCTGCCTCGGACCACTTCTTGGAGGCGTCTTCGCGGAGCTCAACTGGCGATGGTGCTTCTACGTCAACATCCCTGTCTGCTTCGTTGCCTTTGTCATCATCTACCTGTGGCTCGATGTCGGCGGAGGCATGAAGGCTCAAGAGTGTTCCGTGCTGGATGAGCTCAAGAGGGTCGATTACCTCGGCACTGGACTCCTCACCTTCTCCGTGGTCATGCTGCTCATCTCGCTCAGCACAGGAGGTGCACCGAACCCATGGTCTCACTGGTCTGTCATCACGCCTGGAGCATTGGGCCTTGTGGGTTTCGTCGGGCTCGCCTTTTGGGAACGCTCTGCGCGCTGCAAATACCCCATTATGCCGCCGCATGTGTTCTCGAACCGCACGACGGTCATCTCCTTCGCCCTGACAACCATCCACGGCTTCATCACCTACGGCTTCCAGTTCTATCTCCCGCCCTTCTTTCAGGCTGTGAAGGGATCTTCCCCAAGCCAATCGGGTGTCGAAGTCATGCCCACCACACTCGCCGTCGTGGTATGCGCTGCCGTCGGTGGCCCGCTCATGAGCCTCTGGGGTAAGTACAAGCCCATGCACATCATCGGTTTCGGTATTATGACCACCGGCTTGAGTCTATGCGTGCTCCTGGGTCCCTCAACCCCAATCTCAGTCTGGCTCGTGCTCCAGCTTGTCGTCGCTGGCGGTCTTGGAATAGTCATCTCCACCATGCTGCCAGCCGTGCAAGTCAAACTGCCGGAGAGCAGTACGGGCGCCGCCGCCGGCTCATGGGCTTTCCTCCGCGGCACCGGATCCCTCTTCGGTGTCGCCATCCCCGGCGCCGTGTTCAACGTGCGCTTCACCTCGCTTCTCCCCACCATCGGAAGCAAGACTGCGCAGTCGCAGCTCGCCAAGGGCCAAGCATACCAACACGCATCAGCGGCCTTTGTCAGCAGCTTCGGCGCAAAGAACCAGGTGCAGATCGTCAACGCGTTCAACGAGAGTCTGAAGAGCGTGTGGATTGTGTATGCGGTGCTGGCCGGCATCGGGTTCCTCATGACGTTCGGCGAGAAGCAGTACAAGATGCGCAAGCAGCTCAACACCAAGTACGGGCTCAAGAGCGCGTCGCAGACGCCTTCGCAGACACCGTCGCCAATCGACATGCCGAAAGGACTTCCCACGGCGATTTCCACACCCGGGTTCACGCGATGCGACGGCACGGCGGAGTACCCGATGATGGACATTCCCTTGCAGGAGCGCCCAAAGGAGACTGTTTAAGACGAGACCAGAGTGGTGCTGTGGTGTATAGTATGGTAGACGGTGTATATGGGACGGAGGATATACCCTGACGTCGATTCCGATTTCTTCAGACTTATTTCTCAGATTGCTCAACGGGTTTACTGTTTTTTTCTGTTTCTCCAGCCGCGCTTTGTAACTACGACCTACCCATGGTAGCAGCCACGTGCTGATCAGTCGTCTCTCCTTGCCTCACATACGAGCCCCCGCCCGAATGAAAACCATAATGCAACATCGCTCTCTGCACCTCCCACGTGTCTGCCCCCCTGCACTGTGCTGCAAACACTCCACATCCGCGCCTTACACCGCGTTCACTGTGTAAAACACAATCGCGTCCTGTATCGCATTGTGGATATTCGCGACCCCGTCGGCGCCCTCTTTGATCTTAGCCTCGCCCACGCCCGGATCCACCTTCGCCAGCGTCGCGGCGCTGAACGAGTCGTGGTCGCTCAGCAGCAGCGCCAGACTCGCAATCACGATGGGCACCAGCGCGCCCTCCCTGAACGCCGGCAGCTTCTCCTTCAGCCGCTGCGTCGCCGCGGGGATGCTCTTGTTGACTGCTGCGGTCAGCCCCGTACTGTCGCCGCGCGCGCATACGTACCCGTTGCCGTCACGGTGTTGATCACGTCGTTGGAGTCCGGGACTGAGAAGGGCGCGGCGGCCAGCGCGTGCCGGAAGCCGGCGCGGTTGACGCTGTGGATTTTGGCGACGCCGAGGAGCACGGGGGTCCCGGCGACGAGGGAGGTGGGGAAGGGGGCGCCGTTGTAGGCGGCTACTGTGGCGTCGAGCTCGAGGACGGCGTTGTGGATGTTGATGATGTCCTGGACTACGGTTTGGCCGGTGGGTAGAAATGATTGGGGGAGTGCGAGGGCGAGGGCGGCAGGGAGGAGGGGGAGGAACGTGAGGAGGCGCATGGTGGATGTGTGGGTGCTGGGGTGGTTGACGGGCTGGTGCGGAGGGTACACAGGTGGATGTGAGCTTCTTTACGACATTGGTGTACAGGCATTGCGCCATGAGCTAGCGCAGATACCGAGGTCGGTAGTCATGGCGTGTAAATTAGTAGATGGTAGTCTGGTGGTCTGTAGATCATGGTGTTGTTTAGGGTAACCAAGAGTCTCGATACGCTACAGATGTTACTGAGTGTGCTGATGACATTCACCACGAGCCAGCGGAAATGCCGAGGTCGGTACTCATGGCTCGAGAGCTAATAGATGGTAGTCTAGAGTTCTGTAGATCATAGTATTATTTCGGGTACGCTACAGATACGATATGTGGAGAAGGGTTCGGAGAGCGCTCCAGTGGCTGCGCTAAAGTATGGATCGACCCGCGATGATGCTAGTGACAATCTTAGGGTCTTTGTTTTTCTGGAGAAGAAGCGGGGTGGAGCGTTTGTTTGTGGTATGGATGAAGAGACACTGGGTATACGAAAGCGAACGCGACCTGTATAATTTAAGTACCTACTGTTCGATTATACTTGTTATACTCGATCTTCAGACACCACGTCAGAACCCATACGGAGGGGGTCTAGGAAAAGATGCTTGCGCACGCTGATATCATCCTGTGTAATGAAACCGTGAAGAGGTGCACGATCGTGGTGTTATTCCGGTCGGTTGTAATGTGTCTGCAGTAACCTTCATGCTTGTGAGGCAACAAGCTACAGACGACGGTAGTAACATGTCAAGCCAAGGCGATTGATATAAGCCACACGTGTCACTATCATCAATCGGGGAACTTCATCGTGCGATAAACAATTTGACCTTGGTGTTGTGTTGTAAGAGAGTGAGACCAGCCACTTCACACCCCTACCCCGCCACCCTCTTAGTCATCAGTACGGGTGGCTCCCGTCATGGCACTAAGAGAGAGCTTCACGGACAGCCCTGCGTGACGCAAAATGGCTGCAACCAACGCTGGTAACATAGCAGTACTAATCGACGGCGACAATGTCTCGCCACGGGTCATCGTTGGCCTCATGGCCGAGATCGCCAATTACGGCACTGCCAGCGTGCGACGCATCTACGGCGACTGGACCAGGCCCAACATGAACGGGTGGAAAGCATGCCTGCTGGACCACTCTATCACACCGATGCAGCAATTCGCGTACACGACCGGGAAGAATGCGACGGACGGCGCTATGATTATTGATGCTATGGATCTGTTGTACACCGGCCGCTTCTCCAGCTTTTGCATCGTGTCCAGCGACAGCGATTTCACACGTCTTGCGGCGCGCATCCGCGAGCAGGGCGTCACGGTGTATGGCTTTGGTGAGCGGAAAACGAATAACGCGTTTATTGCCGCATGCGATAAGTTTGTCTACTTTGATGTGCTACCTATGCCCGCGGCCGAGGTGGAGCTCCCTTTGATCCAACAACCAGCACCGCACCCATCTCCCAGTCGGCCTCCTCCTCCTGCAATGACGACCATCGAGCGCACTGGCCCAAGGCCGATCGACAAAGCTGCTCTAGATGCTATAAGGAAAGCAATCATCGCCAGCATGGACGAAGGGGACAATTGCGCCGATTTGGCCAATGTGGGCCACTACTTGAGACGAATTTCGCCGGATCTCAATGCGCGCAATTACGGCTATGGGCGATTGAAGGATTTCGTGGAAGCCTCCGGGATCGTGGATGTAAGGTTGAAGACCTTCGAGAACCGGACACCGGTAGCCTTGGTCCGTCTGAAGGATCAGAAGCCGGTCAAGAGAAGTTTCGACCAAATGGAATGATTGTCAAATTTGACATGGGTCTCTACGAGGTCGGTCGACGGTGTTACATGTTGGAGGTCCTGCGTGTTTCGGAGAGCGGTCGCTAGTTTCTCTTTCGCGATCGATGGAGGCCATCTTGCATCGGTCTGATGCGCCGCATTCTTTTTCCACGACTGATCAGCCAGATCTTTCGTCTTCATGGTCTGTACTTGGGACGTGCGTGGCAAGTCCTGGAGAGTTCGGGGAGTGCCCAACCACGGAGTTAACCAGCCGCTGCCTCTCATTCGTGTTACACCGGGATTGGGTGGGGTCTGGCGATCCTGCGGTGCTACAACTGCTACTATCGTGGGTCTCAGCCGGTATGCCAGCTCCAAGTCTGTAACCTCATCCACTCCTGCTCGGTAAGAGGGCGTGTGTGGCTTGGTGTGCTGACAGGTTGCAATGGAACACGGAAGTCTTCGTCGGTGACATATTCTTGGATCTTCTTTGCCGGCTGTGAGATAACGGACAGCTGCGTCTGTGTGGCTTTACGCTTGAGCGTGATGTTGAAAGTAGAATTCATCTTCTCGTTGATGCTGACGTGATGTTTGTCCGCTGAATCGAATCAACTGATTGGTGGAGAAGCTGTGGCGGTGCGATAACTCTTGCTGCAAGTGATGTGTTAAAGCGAGGCCGTAGGCTTAAGATTCTTCAAAGTATGAAGGAAGTCGCAGAAAGTAGGTGTGTTGTCCAGGAGTGTCAGCAAAAGTTTTGGTGATGCGCTCTTAGCGAGTTTCAGTCGAGCCAAACCTTATCGCGGTAGGATCCTACAGCGCGCCTGAGGTTCGTTGTCTGAGACTCGTGCACTGCCTTTGGCTAACAGAGAAGATGAAGACGATACGGTTGTGGCGTTCGAGCAGCAAGGACTCAGATCTATGCCTCAGGGATCGTGTGTCAAGAGTGTGAGTAGGGGACAGCCCATTGTCTGTTGGTTCGACCCCTGCTTGCCAAGACGGAGCTCACCGCTGCTATCTCCGTCTCTGCCCACGGCGACTGTCCGTACTCAGACAACTCAATCAAAAAGTCGGTAGCACGCCATGCGATAGGTGTGTAGTTCTCAGTTCCGCGTAATGGTGTGAAGACAAGCTTTTGTGATCGTGGGAACGCGTGTTACTCCGATGGGCCGATTGAGGAACAGCATTGCAGCCCCTAACGCACCTATCGCAGAGTCTTGCATACGGTTCTACTGTTTCAAACTTCACGAGAGTGACGACGAGGTCTCCTCCCCGGAAAAACAACTGGTCAGTATCAAATCTTCGACTTGAAAGAGACTGTCTTGCGATGTGGGGAACACTTGTGCTGTGGACGCGTAATGGTGCATGCATTGTCGTTCGTGGAGCAGGTTAATGGCGCACACAGCAATGATGCCGCTGACCGCCCCCTCTGTGCAGTCTGCCTCGCCGAGAGCATCGGCGCAAGGCGTTGACCTCCACGTACGGTACACCATCGCCTGCGGTCGGACTCGCTGAGGCTCTGGAGGGGCTGTGCACTATACCAGACATGGTGAAACTGATGTGCAAGCTTCGTCTACCTGACACAAGACTTTGTGGCGCACGTGTGCTCAGGCCGCAGACCAGTTCTTTCATGGCCGACTGCGAAGCCATGGGAAAGACAAGCACAGGTACGAGCAAGCCATGGAGAAGTGACTGGTGGCTAAGAGCGACCAGTCTGCGGCCAACTCTAAGAATAACGGCCGAACGGCAGACGATCGCCATGTCGGGGAAGGCGCGAGCAGGGGTAGCCCAGCGCTGCGCCTGCGTAAACGCGTATCAAGGTGAACATTTGAACACCACAACGCCTCCTGCCAGCCGTACTTCACTCAATCCTCCTGTCGCTTCAAACTCTCCCTAACACATCGAATCCACGTGGTACGCTTTTGAGCACGTGGAATGTCGCGATGCTAGACGAGAATCTTCCTAGTGCGCCCGCCTTGCAGTCGTCGATGACATAGTGGACGCTAATGTACCCCAGCTTTCTTCCTCAAGACCACCGACAAAGGGAGCAAGCACCTAGAATCCTTGCTCTTCACTCAGAATGGCTCCGAGCCTGAAGCCCACTATGCGCTCAGCCATGTCGACCCCGCTGCCAACGCAGCGAAGAACACCTACGCGGTCGCCCTCTTCGACTCCCACAATCCCGAGGTCCTCTATGGCGAGGTGATGGCAAAGCCGGGCTGGTCGCACCCGTCGCTGTCACAAGATGAAATACGCAAGAATGGCGGGGTTCCGCCACCTCCCGAGCCGATCTACCCCGACCAATTCGCGATTCAGCTGTACAACCCCGATACACAGATCATCGTGAAGGAGCAGAAGTCAAAGTGGAGTGGAACGCAGAGCTGGGAGTTCAGCATACCCCAAGTCACATTTCGCACGCCGAGCGCCTCGACCCTCGATCGCACTCAGAACGACCCCGCAGCTGACGCGACAACCCCACGGGTGAACTTCGTTTGGCGGAAGGAGGGCAGATATGGCAAGGACATGACATGCTACCTGACGGGCAAGTCGACAGACCTGTTGGGCAAGAAGGCCAAGAAGAGCAAAGAGCCCGACATTGCTGTGGCCCTGTTCACAATGCTAAAGGAGATGACGATCATGGAGCCGAACCTCTACCGCATCGAGATCGAAGACTACAAAGGGTTAGAGGTGGTGCTACTGCTCAGTGCCGCTGTCATCAGGGACCTGTTCATAAATAACCAGCGGGAAGCCTTCCACATCGTCGACCCAATTGGACGCAAGAACAGTGGCGGCATTCTGACACGCAAGGCATCCTCGCCACTCGTAGGGCCTGGCGTCACGCAGCCCATGATGACGCCGCAGCCTCCTCCGCCACCGCCATACACCGGCCCTTCAGAGTACCCTCCCGAAAAAGTGGCGCAGGCGTCTGCCACCAGTAATCAGCCTGTTGCGGCGCCTGTCACACCAGCGCCAGCCAGCTTCACCAATCGTTCGGCGCAACGAGCTTCCCTGCCTCCTTTACAAACACAGACCTACAACCAGCAATCGCCTCCTCGACACGAGCAGCACCGACCTACACAGCCTCACCAGCCCGCTACACGACCCCAGCAAAATTTACGACCCCAGCGAACCCAACAGAACCTTGCACAGTCGCAACGTCCGCACCAGAGGACCTCGCAGCGGCCGCAGCAGCCAACGCAAGTCCCGCCGCCGCAGCCTCCGCGACTCGACCCACGCTCACAATGGGAGATTGATGCAGAGACTGCTCGTCTAAAAGCTGCCGTGGAGGCTGAAGCACGCGAGCAGAAGAAGCAGGACGAAGCAGCTCGGAAGGCCCGCCGCAGAGTTGAGGCCGAGGAAGAGCGGAAAACAATGCTATTCCTCGAAAACGAACGCAAGGCCAAGGAGAGGGAAGAGAAGGAGCGCCGACGGAAGCAGGCTGAAGTTGACAAGGAGACCGAACGCCTGCGCAAGCAGTTTGGCGATCAATCAAATATGCTTGGCTCACAACGTCCTGCGCAGCCTCAACGTCCTGCACAACCTCAGAGACACTCCACCCCACGAGTGCAGTTTCAAACCCCGAGGCCTGGCCCATCCCGGCCACAGCAGCGCCCCGCGCCCGTACCTACACAGCCCGTATTCGCTGCCGGGCCTTACCTGCAGCCTGGGGGACATCGACCTACAGCAAGTGCTAGCAGCTTCTTCAGCAACGGGCTACCAAAGACGCAGTCTGGGCAGGCTCCCATGAAGGCCAAGAAGAGTTTCTGGGGATTGAGGTCCAACAGCGAGACCAACGCAGAGAAGCTGAAGAAAAAGAAGAGTAGCATGTTTTAGGCAATTGTGGCTGACTCGGAACCATATCCTATGCATTACCGGCGTACCTGGCGATTTTGAGCTCTCCTATAGATGACCATTCTTCCGATACCACCTTTCACGACAATAGCGATTTTGTTTATCCACTCTTCTTTCATCCATGATTGTTCGCTTACTTTTAGCGCGCATCGCTGCCAAGCTGTGGCTTGCGGCTAAGATCTTGCTACCAGCACCACCACTCACCACATACCACACTCGACCCCATCATGCATGAACTGCAGGTCGAGACCAACTCGCAGGCCGTAGGTTTACCTTGAAGCATCTTTTGAATCCCGATGAACGTGTATCGCTTCCGTTTTCTCACCGGACAGCGCCTGCCGCATGCGTTTGCCAAGCTAGAAATGTGCTCAAAAGTGAGCACGTTTCTAGGATGTAGATGCAGGGTCGCAGGTATAGCTCGCGCCACTGAGCACCGCCCTTAGCTAGTCTACATTTTATGTACTCCTCATTGACCAATTGACAGCTTTGCGCGTTCTTGAAACACGCAGTGTCCAATCGGTGCAAGGCGCAAGTGCTCTTGCAGCGGCACGTCCACGGGCTCGCGGCAACAAGAAGCGAAAACCAAAGCTACCGGGACTGCTCTAGATGCGGGACTGCTATGGTGATCATTTACGAGAAGCATGGCACGGAGTACAAAAGGCAGGTGTCCCTCGTGAGCGCAAATGGTTGTTTGTGCGCTGCTTCCAATTACCTCAGTCACACCATACCCCGCAAGCTTCATCGCGCAGTCAACTTTACTCAAGCATTGGAGCAATCTCAGACTATTCAAAATGCTCTCTAACACACTTCTTGCTCTCACTGCTCTTGCGGGTAGCGCAACCGCACATTTCAGGCTTCTCGAGCCTACGTGGCGCGGTAGCTCTTTCGAGGAGCCAGCCAGCCAGTGGATCTTCCCTTGTGAGTACCCTCATGATACAGATTGCTTGTCTCTTTCCATTCAATTCCCGTTGAGCTCGCATTGCTTTGCACAATCACTCTGGCCCTGTCCACTAACATACCGCAGGCGGCAATGTCAACGAAACCACCGACGTCGCCAACCGCACTCAGTGGCCCACAACTGGTGGTTCCGTCAGCATTAACGGATCGCACGCCTCTGCCTTGACCTACATCAACCTCGGCCTCGGCACCAACGTGACCAACTTCAACATCACGCTCGTCGACAACCTGAACCAAACCGGTGTCGGCCTCTTCTGCCTCAAGAACGGCGGCCGCTCCCACCTCGAGGAGGGCCTGAAGGCCGCAGGCTACAGCGGCTTCGAGGACGAGAGGCTCAACGGCCTGGAAGCCACCGTGCAGGTCATCCAGCTCGGCCACTCCGGCAGCGCGCTTTACAACGTAAGTCACGCGAGCTGCAGAACGCCTAATCGAATCCAAAGCTAACAATCGCAGTGTGCGGATGTCGTCTTCAACTCCACCGCCGAGCTGCTGTCCGACGACCAGTGCGTAAACGGCACCGGCGTCAGCGCGGAGCGCATCGGCAACCTTGGGCAGACTTCGACCAGCAACGGCACCGCGGCATCATCCACCCCGGCTGCGGGCGCGGGGAGCATGTTGACACCCATGGCGGGTACTGGACTGCTCACTGGGCTTTTGGTTTGGGGCCTGTTGTAGGCAGTCAGTGCCGCAGTTGAGGGAGGAGGGACGAGTAGGACCTATGATAAGATGATACCAATTTACATGCATATTGAAGTTACTGGCCGCTCCTCTGTGGAGAGTGCAAGACTTGTGTGATGTATTCCGCCGGTATCTCTTGGTTCCTTTGTTTCACTTGTCTCACTGCTTCAGGTACACTGAAAGCTCTTTTTAAGGTACCGACCATCGAATTGGTGACAACTAGCGATTGGTCTGAGGGCAGTCGTGCGAGATTTGAATCGCAGTCGAGTCTTGTTACTTGGTAACCGGGACTTGCATTCAGTTGTGGTCATCGCTCTTCATACGGGCTGACTGAACATGAGAAAGTCAAATAGCAAATTTAAACTAAATCACCTTAGCGAAGGCTCTTCCTTGAAGTCGCAGACGTCATCGCAAGAAACGTTCTTGGTATCTATTAAAACCTAGAGTGGCGCTTAAAAATCTGTGCTCAAGAGATTTGTGTGGTATCCATGCACTGCAGTTCTGTCGTTGCGAGTTGCATTCGCAGGTGCTTGGCGGGATTTAAGGACCACCCTACTCGCAGAAAAAAATTGGAATCGACCTCTAACAAACCATTTGTGTGTAGTCTATCGTGATGTTTTACTATCAGTGGCATCCGATTATCAGAGATGATAGATTGTGTGCGAATATTTAGGCATCTTCAGGCTCTATGAATTATTTCAACCGTTTGGCTTCTATTTGTCGAACCAAATAGTCACACACACTTCTCGTTTACCTGGCAGCATACGCACATTAACGCACGTCTCACATCACTGCTGGTTAATTATCACCAGCTGGTCAATAGTCTACGCAAACTATGACAAATATAAGGATTTTGAACTGTTATTCCTAAAGATTATCCTACCCTAATATTGGTCTGTAAACTTTAGGAAGTGTTATAGAAAGCAGGTGCGGAAATCTTCTATGAGTGGAGGCTACGGAAGAGATGTGTAATTTAGGCACAACAAAACAGCATGGTTGAAAATTTGAATTAGGAATAGCGATGGCAACGTAAAAGTACGCCGTAGGCGATGCTTACCACATAGATGGGAGCAGTGACAAAGTGACTCATGAGCACTGCTTCAGTGATCAGACTGTGATGTTCTTTGGCATTTATCTTGATCACTGTTCTGCACGATTGAAACTTCGCGAATATGGCATTGTGCTCTGGAAGTTCGGTCATAACTCAATATCATTCAAAATGCCATGGAAGGCCGCTATATACAACTAGAGCGAGCCCAAAGTACATTGGAGAACTCATTGCACATCACTCTCTCAACTCTTGTCGATTCACCTCCTCAATCGCTCCCCAGACTCCCGCCAACTCACCCATTGGTAATTTTGTCGGAGCAGATCGCCACCCAGTCGCTTAACCCAAGTTGGCGTTGACGAAGGAGAGGAGGGTGCTGACGCGAGAGTAGACACCGGGCTGGTTGGGCGAAGCGCAGCCGTAACCCCAAGAAACAACACCGATAAGCTGCTTGGAGGCGTTGACAAGAGGGCCACCGCTGTCACCCTGGCAAGAGTCCTTGCCACCGGCAGTAAGACCGGCGCAGACCATGTTGTCAGTGACCTCGGCGGCGCTGTAGTTGTTGCGGCAGGTGCTGCGGGCGACGATGGGAACGTCGACCCTGCGGAGGGCAGCAGGGAGGGAAGAACCACCAGAGGAGGTGGTTCCCCAGCCAGCGACGCTGACGGTGGAGCCAGCAGCCGGGTCAGAGTTGGCGGCGGGGAGAGCAACGTAGCCGATGGTGGAGCTGGTGGGGATCGCAGTGGCGAGCTTCCAGACGGCGATGTCGTTGTTGTACTGTCCACCGCTGGCGTAGTTGGGGTGAGACTTGATGGAGCTGACGCGGACGACGGTTCCTCCAGAGCTGCGTTGCTGTGATCGATTAGCACATTGTTCATCTCATAGAATCAAGGACGGCTTACCAAGCTTCCAGCACGGATGGTGAGGGAAGAAACAGACTGGCCAACAGTGCAGTGAGCGGCAGTGATGACGGTGCGAGAGTCGACCAGAGAGCCACCGCAGAAGTGGGAACCACCTGACTGGAGGCTGACAATGTAGGGGAATTCACCGGCAGCAGCGGCGGTACCACCAACGATGTCCTCCTGGGGAGTAGGAGCAGCAGTGACTGCGGAGGCCATGAGGCCAGCGATAAGTGCCTTGTACTGCATCTTGACGAGGAGTTCGGGAACGAGGAGTTCGGGAGTGAGGGTAGTGAGTGATAGAAGAGGATCAGTGAATGGATGATTCTTCTACGGAGGCGAAGTCCATCATACTTATACATTTTCCAATGAGCCTCATCGACAGCTGTATAGTCTCTGAGCCTCCCGATCGAGCATCTCTGGTGATACCAAGACTGCCAAGCTGATGTTGTTCACTTGCCTTCCAATTGCAGTCAACTCAGGCGCCGGCGAAGTCGAAACCAATCTTAGTTCAGCTTTGGTAGGGTTGTTATCTGATGCACATTCATCTGCAGGTACATGCACCGAATGCTAAAGAGGAAGCTCCCGCGGAGCACCGCGTTCACGCGACACGATTCACAACAGGTGCCATGCTTAGCGTACAGACCGGCGTGTTCGTGTCACTTCACATTCAGCCTCGTTGGGACTCCATCCATGTCTTTCAAGGATGTAGCAGTATCGAGTCGTATTGCCGATCCTCATGCTGAGAGCCTGAACTCTGTTCACTGAACACAAGGACTGGCGGGCAGACATTCTTACTCAGAGAGGAGCCCTGCTCTCAATGGACCGACTGTGAACATCTTGAAACGGCCTCATCATCCTTCGAGATCAATCTGCAGGTAAGCGATGGGATTCTCTCGCCCTCCAACGTCCGCGCGCTCCAGATGGCCTGGCGGCGCAAACAGACCTGCCACAAACGATCATGCAAGCGGATCTTCTAGATTACCTCGAAGCTTGGCAGCATATGTGGAAGGTCTTAATATCGACGTTGTCGAATCGATGATAAGCACGGGACTTGGTGGTCTGGAGTTACTTGAATTGCCGCTCGCCCTACGACCGATCAGGCAATTCACAAGCAATGCCAAGTCGACGTCAGCGATAACCTAGTGATCCATGCCGACCTCCTCCTTCTCGGGTTCTCCCTTGTGGGCTCGCACGCTAATCAATGCTTGCATGCGCGGTAGTTGTGATGTGGTTGGCTCCCTACTTACGCTGCTGCAATGTTGCATGTGACGGGGGTAATCGGTAGTGATGACGATCACCCTAGCGTACAACTACCGATCTCCCACACCAGCCATCTGCCAGCGACCGCGACTCCCACCTACCTAATGCTGATAGATTTCGAGCGTGCCTTCACTTTTCTGTTGACAGTCAGCCTCCAGCGTCTTCTGTCGTCACCCACTCTCGGAAGTATGGACGGCATCGATAAGCCTTTCACGATCGAGCTGAACGGCTCGCCTATCGCGAACGTAGGCAACAATGCAGAGGACCGTACACAGGCAAAAACAGGCTCCGAAGCAGCCGTGTTCACATTGAAGAACGGCCTTCTGCAGCACGAGGGCTGGGTGCTGGGGAGGAATAGAACAGAAAATCGAAGCTTTTTGCCAAAAGAGGTGTACTGGTACAAGTCTGACGCAGACGATGACAAGAGGGTGCAACCCGTCGCCGCTCATCAGGAGGGTGATAACATCCAGCTGACATTCGGTGGTTCTTCGTTGATGCTGAATGATGACAAGGTCTTCGCCGATCTTTCTGGAGGTATCGTATCCCACATTTGACAGCGACGCTGGTGACTAACGCGTTCAAGATCACACTACCGAGGTTGTGGTGAAGTTTCAGTCATGATAGAGCTCCGGCCTCAACAAACGGCGTTGCGGGGTATAACACTTGAGGCAGCAAGCTAAATACGGCCACAGCAATGGCAACTCGATGGCAGCTGTCTCCTGTATGGATGTAGGTACTCGGTAGGTAGTCTCATTCAGTCTGTCGTAAAGGTTTGAGATGTCCTCTCTGTCTCTTCCTGCTCTTTGCGTGAACGTCCGCCTCCTCAAAAGCCAGCGATATTGTGGACGCCTCCGTTTGATCCGCTGAGTGTGTCCTTCACGGACACATTTGTACGCTCGTCGCATTCAGTGTCTACCTAGCCGTGCATGATATCTGCCTTACAGTTGACGGGCAGGGGTGAGAGTGATTATTCGTTGTACAAGCGCATGCATTCGTTGTACAAGCGCGTGCGTCGGAGCCCCGCAAACTGCCGACAGACAGTTTTGCGTGGCGCTAATTCATTACCGGTATTTTCCCGTCAGCCTCGTTCCGCCCCGCCGCCTCCACCTCCACCATGATCCGTGCGTCAGCGTGCTCGATACGAAGTCTACACTGCCAAGCCGTCGTGGCCATTCTATGTCAGGCCTACCTCATTGTACGAGTTGTCTCGCCGCCTTTCAGCGCTGCGCGGTTGGCTCATCCCGCAGACTCATTCAAGGTACCGATGGCGCTGCACGAAGCCTCTCTATGCTGGCGTTGAAGAGAAGATGCAAATGGTCCTTACCGTTAAACGCCCGTCTTCCGGATTAAGGCCATCTTGCATGAAAAGTGCATATCGGCTCTCAGCCAAAGGTAAATTGTCGTTTGCGCAAGTAATGTTCCGGCGGCTAGGTGATAATATTCGTCGCAAGAGCGCGGTAATTCCCAACTTGGCGTGCAGTCAAAACGGATGAGGGATGAGCATTGCGTGATTCTTGGCAAGGTTTCGTGAACACCATGTGGATTCAACAAGAGCAGGAATCACGTCAGGAAAACTCTTCTTAATCAAACCAGCGAGGTATAAATATGAGAAAGAAGCATGATGTACCGCGATCTGTGCACCAGAGTCTGTCAAGATGGGCGTTGAGGTGACAAAATCGTCGAGCAATGGCCACAGAGGCCTTGGTCGGATCATTCCTTATTTCAGGAACGAAGAAAACATTCTTCGTACCAAGCTCGACTGTTTCCTGTTGCTCTGGATGTTCGTTGCGGGAATCATGAAAGAGATGGACCAGAGCGCGACGACACAAGCATATGTCAGTGGCATGAAAGAGGATCTGGCCTTGTACGGCAATGAACTAAATTGGTTCCAAACCTACTTTTCCATTGCCTATGCCATATTCATTGTGCCATCGCAGATGCTGCAGACCAAGCTACGCCCATCTTTGTGGCTACCGTTCGCCGAAATCGCCTGGGGTATTCTGACATTGTTGTAAGTAAACTAAAGGATATCGCTGGTCTATTCGCTGATCAGATTCAGTACGTACAAAGCGAAAAGCGCGACAACAATCTACATACTACGGTTTTTCCTTGGTGCACTAAGTGCGACCTCTTGGCCAGGCATAACATCGCTGATTATGACGTGGTATACCCCGTCTGAGCTTGCTTTCCGACTGGCTATTTTCAATGTGTCGGACGTAGCTGGCGCAATGTTTCTCGGCGTGGTCCAAGCAGAGCTTTACGTCAACATGAATGGAGTCAATGGCTTGGCGGGATGGCAATGGCTCTTCATCGTCTCTGGAGCTATTACTACCCTACTTGGCTTCCTTGGGCTTATCATCGTTCCAGACTCGCCCGTCAATACTCGCGCCATCTGGCTTACGAAGCGTGAAAGGGAATTGTCACGCGAACGTTTGGAACGTCACGGTATGCAAGCAGCTCGGTTGGTCCCTCTAAAGGTACTTCGCACGAAGCTGGCTTTACTCATCAAGCATCCTTTGACATATCTCTACATTGCTGCTTTCGCGCAGAATGCTTGGGCGCATCGTGCGAACTCTTACATCCTACTCTATCTCAAGGGTGTTGCAGACTCAGCTGGAGACAGGCTGTACACGACATACCAAGTCAATCTCATCCCTCTCGGCGGCTACGGGTTGCAGATTATCACGAACGTTGGCATTAATGCGCTAGGTGATTGGAAAGGCTGGCGCTGGCCAATCTTCGTTGGTTCCGGGCTGGTACACATGATTGCCTGCGGGATTCTGACAGGTTGGCCAAGCAGCCATCCCACAATCATGTTTGCCTATTTCTTGACCTACGCAACAAATGCCGGCGGTCCTGCCCTGATAGCATGGCTGGCGGAACTACTACGACTCGAGCCCGAAGCCCGTGCCATCGTCATTGGCATGAGTGTGACCATCGTATATGTGGGCCATGCCACCATACCATTGGGAGCTTGGAAAGCGGTGGACGCTCCACACTATACCATCGGGTTTCCACTTGCGTTAGCTCTTGCCGCTGGCGCAATCGGGGTGGTGCTGACCATGCGGTTCTGGTTTGTAAAGCAGAACCCGGATCTCGCCACGACTGGATACGCTGGAGGTATCGGGGTAGAAGAGTATCCTGAAGACGAAGGTGTTAATACAAAGCTCGACGCAGAATTGGGAGAGCAACCTACCAAGGACGGAACGCATGTTCGCCATCGATAGCGACCTTGTGCCACATCGATTATCTTATGGTATTTAGCCGTGTCAGGAGCACGAATTAAAGTCTTGTGCGTCACAGATAGGAGCCAGGTTTGACTCCAGGTCACATCGAAGTCAATGTAGTGAGAATCGAGGAAGTTGAACTTTGCAAAGATTAACTTTCTGTCGACAATAGTGCCGCATATTATTTCGTCATTTATCATGATTATGCCCTCTACTGAGAGATGGGTGCATAGAAGGAGAATTTTCCTTCTGGGTCGTACTTGTTCTTCAACTCCTTGAGACGATCCTGACGCCATGTCTCATAGCCAAACCAACTCTCGGTACCCTCGTCTCCGTACGCTGAATATCATGTTAGCGTAAGAGTTGTTAAGACGATTTAAAAATAACTCACCATAGTTGACATAAGTATGAAGCTCCTCGCTTCCCGTACCCTCTCTGAGGACCTCTCGGAGCTGATTGCCAAGCTGCTTAACAGCATCGTCTTCCGCCGTGCTCGATGGCGCATAGATGATGAGCGGCGCAGCCAAAATGTGCGCATCACGGAATGCAAATGCCGAAACGTCAGCAGGACGGCTGCGGAGGCCTTCGCTAGCGTAGTTTTCGAACATGAATATTGAGTTGGTGTAGGGGGAGTCGGCACCTCCGATGGCGGATGCGTAAATTTCGTATGCTTTCTTCTGTGCAGTGGTGTTGTAGGCCTTGGTGTAGATGGGGAACCTGGGGTTATTGAAGCCGAAGTCCTGGCACGGAGGAGAGTCCAATGCAATACCGGTCCAAGCAGCGAGATCGTGGTATGTTCCGGATTGCGGTGTAGATTTGAGAGGGACCAGATCATGGAAAGGTTTCGTGTATTTAGGGTCGACCGCCTTCACTCCTTCTTGGATGATGTACATTATAATAACAGGCTGTAACGGAATCTGATCAGTAAGTGTGTTACATCGCTTGAGAGTGTTCATACCTTCTCCGCGTCGAGACTTGCATCATTCTGCCAGTAAGACCAGTTGTGAATTTTCGTGCTTTGGGTGCCACTGTTGATGAACACCTCGTTGGCGGCCTCGTAGATTGCCTCGACATTGTCGCCACTGAGGACTATGGTCTCAATTGCCCAATCTGTGTCTTCAATGTCGTAAATCTTGGACGTGACAGAGGTGACGATGCCAAAATTGTGTCCAGCTCCTTGCATGGCCCACCACAAATCCGATTGAGCGTTGATTGTCTTCACATCGCCATTTGCCAGGACGACGTTCATTGACTCGAATTGATCGGAAATCAATCCGTGATGACCCTGAAGCCAACCGTGACCACCTCCCAACGCTGGTCCGAGGTAGCTGACACACTCACATGTTCCAGTGACTGAGTAATGCATTAGCTGTGGCAGAACCGCTATTATGGCTGCCAGATATTACCAGTTTGCTTGCCCGCTGTCCACAGAGCGTCCACCACCTTCTTACTGTTGGTGCCACCACCAATTGTGACAGATGATCCGTTCTCAGCGATAGAGATGGAGCTCAATTGAGGCATATAGATTTGGATGCCATATGTCATTTTGCCCAAACTGCATCTTGGTTATCAAATGTCCTGGAACTCGAGGATTACGCGAGCCCTACCTGGTCAAAGTTCCATGGTGTCCGTTGTAAGCAAGAATGGGGATATCGTGCTCAGCAGCAAATTTGACCTAGTGATGGCTTGCGTCAGATAAAGTGCTTCGATTCACACATAGGTGAATTACACTTACGATATAGGACACATCAGTCTCTGTTCCAGGTGCTATGACAACATTGGGTGTTGGGGGTGCAAGATTCGACCAGCGGACAGTATAGTCGGTGAACAACTCGCTTCCAGGATAGTAGATCTGTGCATTACTAGACAACTGTGCTGCAAGCGACTTGACGTCTATTCCAGCTGCGGGTGTTCGTGAGAAAACCTTATGAGCAGTAGGTCCACACGAGCCTACGGGCAGTACTGATGCAATTGACCAAGCAGCAATTGCTGACGAAGTGAACAATTGTGTGAGCATATTGGTGATAAAACGATACGGTCGATAAACCTAGATGCTACGTGACAGGCGTCCTAAACTGCCTTTAAAGGGCACCGGATATGATAATTCTAAAAGGGTCCACTCAAAGTGACTACGCCACCGGCGAGGATACTAGATGCGGTTCTAGATGTATCCATACAACCGAATCTGTTAAGCTCCACATTGGGGAAAATGGCCTCGAGGCCGCGGAGAACGGTCCAGGTTTGCGGATCAGTCTGCGCAATATACCATTTAGTCTAACGGAACAGAGCGATCCATGCATGCGAGTGACAAGGTACTGAGTCAAGCAAGCCGCCCAGAAAATGTGGGTACGTATCAGCCAACGTCAGACGTAGGATTGCGCATGGGTTATTGACCGAACGGTGGACCGCAACTGGCAACAAAATGCAATGCGAGAACCTCCCTTTTCACGATGAAAATTCTTCTACACACTCATTGATTGACATTCAAAGACAGATATGCCTGATAAAGCCACAGTGGAGCTCTGGACGCTGTATGCTGTCGGCGTTCTAGTCACAGTCCTCCGTACATACGCTAGGATTTCGGCTGTTGGACTCCGAGAACTTCGCCCTGACGACTATCTAATTTGGTTCGCTATTGTTAGGATTTTTCTAATCCAGCTCAAGTTCATAGTCAGCTAACAGATACATAAAGGTCCTCTATACGGCACAGAACGCACTTGGATACCAAGTAGGAGCCGCTGCTCACGGTCTCGCGAACAACGGCATGACGGATGCGGAAAGATTCAACCTTTCGAAAGACGACCCGGAGTACGCTTGGAGGTACGATTCAATACTATATTTTGCTCTCCATGAAAGCCCCAGACATGAATTGAATACAGCATTCGTCTGACTTGGGTTTTAGGGTCATTGGATCCAAGATACAATTGGCGGGTTGGACGTTGTCACCTTGCTTGTTGTGGACACTCAAGTTGTGTGTAACATTCTTCTACTTCCGGCTCACAGTGCGTCAGTCGTTGTTCTGATTATCATTGGCCGTTTACTTACATGAACGTCGCAGACCGGCCTCAAGGTATACCAAAAGCGTATCTATGCCGCATTGGTCCTTATTGCAACGTCCTTCGTGGTTGTCATAATGACTATCGCTCTCTCCTGTAGGCCCTTTCAGAAGTATTGGCAAGTGTTCCCGGATCCAGGCAACTCGTGCCAGCCCGCCATCTCTAAACCAATAGTCTGGGTTTCATTCGTGCTGAACGTCTCCACTGATGTCTTTCTCTTCTTTATACCAATTCCTATGCTGTGGAAGTCGAGTTTACGGCTCTACAAAAAGCTGGCAGCGACTTCAATACTTTCTGCAGGTCTTTTGATCATCATCTGCGCAACTCAAAAGAGTATATATGTCATCATCGTAAGTACAACCTCCATCATCGACAGCAAACTCATCGAGACTTTGCAAGACGTAATTCCCCTTTCTGTTCAGAAGGTCGCAGATCACCGCTTACCATCACCTAGGATCCCGTGAAAGGTGGACAGTTGGCAGCCGAATGGGGAACAAGAGAAACCTTCGTTGCGGTCGTCACCACGAACCTTCCTATGATCTTTCACTTAGTCAAGGTTTGGCTTGTTCCTTACCTACCGAGTACTCTCAAGTCCAGCAGCAACAACAAAGCCTACAAGTCTCCTGGAAGCGGGTTCGTGACAATAGGTGGTGGGGGAGCATCGAGTCATGCGAGAAAAGCTTCACGAAACGGAACTCTGATCACTGCGAATGCAACTTACGATAACGGGAGCGAAGAAAGAATCGTCAAAGAGCATGACGTGAGGATGCAATATCTGAACACTACATCTGGCTCGCATAAGACGCCAGGTGCGATTGTCGTATCGAAGCAGGTATCGGTGACGACGGAGGAGTTTGGCAATGAGCGCCCGGTCAGTCAGGGGTGAACTAGAAATTTTCACTGTTTCACTGAACCTTTTGGGAAGCATATACAATAGTATCATGTCAGAGTAGGAGAACTCGCGATGCACAGTTGTGGGTGAGCGAGAGACGCACTACCGTACCGCGCCGCCTTGTTATGGTTTAGCTGCGGATCTGTGGTCCAAACGAGAAAATGAGCCGACCCGTCCAGTGGCCCGTCCCTCGTACGCCAGGACGGACCTTCTGCATCCGGGATAACTAGAGCGACTCGTGAGAGGACAACTCGAGCATCACACCACTTTACGCCGCGTATGTACTCCCCCATACGATAATCAGCGAATGGGTCCCAGTTCAGCCCTATAACTCTCCAGGAAGCCTCACAGTTCATGAACATATTATATACTTTGTGACTTCGAGAGTAATAGAACTTGTCTAAAAGCTTCCTGGTCTCCCACTGATTCCTAACGGCATCGCACTTGCTACACGAGCTTAGCCCCAAACAAACTAGAAGTGAAGAGTGGAAATTTTGAAGGAGCTCCGTCTGTGCTAAGTAAGTATACACGTCCTTCTGGAGCGTGCATTCGATAGTTCTCAGAGCGGCTACAATCACTTTGTTCGAGTACGAAATAGGCTCAAAGGGTCATGAAGCACAAGAGCATCCAGCAGCTGGAAGAGCCTTGACACGTGGTCGTCTAGTTGAGGGTACTGCAGCAGGAACAGTAAGGTCGAAATTCGCCGCAAAACTTCCATCCAGTCGTAGCCCTTGAAGCCAGCTCTAGCATGATCGGATGCATCGGCATCCTGTGGGGCACATCAGACATTGTCAAGACTGTCGACCATCCAATCCGTCAAGTACTTCGGATCCCACGCCGTATCATCGTGGTTGCGCGAGGGAACGCCGAAGGAGCACCGCAAGCCTTTTCGCCCAGCATCGTCATGAGTAGCGGAATCACCAATCTTTGCTGAACGTTTCTTGAGCCTCTGCCTTCGAATATGGAAATGCAAAGACACTCGATAACACGTCAACGCGTATATTGCACATCAGAGTGAATAGAACAAATTGCGACCAACATCTCGAACATTATGCATGGATTAAGCACAGGGCCTTGCTGTTACATAGGTATGTAGGTGCACATGTGTTACGCACGGCACATGCGCCCGTCGTTTCGCACAACCCAGTTCTCGCTACCAACGCCTACTGTAGCATAGAAAAGATGAGCCGGATCCCACTTCTTCTTTATGCCAACCAACTTCTTATAATTGGTGCCCCAGAACGTCGTTTGCCAATTCTTCTGATTGAAATCCGCCTCATTAACGTAAGAACCACTGCCTGGAGTCGCAGCCTCAACAAGAGGTTGTATGACGTTAGTCATCATCTGCTGCGTCTCAATGGCTTCAGACCATGGAGCTGTAAAATTCCAGGGAAGGGTGAGCGTCGCATGCACTATGGCTTTGCGCCAAGCCGGATGGACTGAAGTCGTATCCTCAGAGCCAAACGGCTGTACGTCTGTTCCAACACCGATCCACGTCACACCCTTCTCCACAACGGCTCTCCAGGTGTCTGTGATGTTACCCACGACACTTCGTGGAATCAGGCGACTTCCGTATTGCGCGATACCGACTTGAATGTTGCCGAGGGGTAAGGGACCGAAGTATTTATCATAGTGCTCGTAATAGGTGTCGAATTCGCTGTAAGTGACAGTGTAGTTAACCTTGTTACTGTCGATTCTAGCAAGGAAGGGCGTGAGAATAGTCTTGACCTCAGCTGCAGTTTTGTTGTATGCACTAAGTGGCGCAATCATGAAGAAAGCTGACGTGAAGTAGTGCACCACCATAGTACCTGCGTCAACCATGGCGGGCAGTTCCTCGTGGAAGATCTGGATCGCATCGTAGAACGTATCTTGTACGTTATCAGTGGCGAAGAACGAGAGCGAGGCTCCGGCGAAAACAGCCTCTTTGTGTGCTTTGACGGTCATAGAAACCACGACGCCGTATGTGCTTCCGCCGCCGCCACTCAGAGCCCAGTACAGATCTGAGTTCTGCTTCTTATTGGCAACTACAAGTTTTCCACTGGCCGTAACAACTTCCCAGTCGAGGATGTTGTCGGCAGCTAGTCCAAAGCTCGTGCTGATGGCTGAGTGGCCTCCGCCTTGGGTGAGGCCACTCATGCCGACAGTTGGGCATTCACCCGTAACAACTATCAGGCCCTTGTCGCGGGCGGCAGCCAAGATCTCGAAGCCCTGCACGCCAGCCCCAAGCTTGAACGCTGCACCGTTGTATTCCGTGCTCTTGTAGGTTGGGATGTGATCGATGTCCTTGAGATGATGCGTCCATACTGCGAGTGAGCCGGCACCAGTAGATCTGCCCAGATAGTCTTGCAGTACAGTCAGTACTTGGTCTCTTCAAGTGTAATATGCTGGTATGCTTACCGTGACCGGTGTTACGAACCACAAGACGAATGTTCCTGGATGTTGCAAACTCAATCGTCCTCTGAACATCTGCAGGCCCAGAGACATTGACAGCGAATCTTGCGTAATTACCGAGCTCACATGGACGCTCTCGCGGTTGGAAGGGATCGCAGCTTTGGTTTGCGAAGAAAGGTGCCATTACGGATGAAGAAGACTCATAACTAAGAGCCGTTAGAAGCAAATCATGCAGAACAATGCTCGCACGTACTGAATTTTTTCGGTCTGCCACTGTCGTTGCAGACTTTCACAAGCAGCGTCGTCAAATGTCGAACCATGGCATGGTGCTCCTAGAGGGACCGTTTCGACGAGTCGGCCACCGACTGTCTTGTTAAAGCTGTCCCACTCGGACGCTGAAGGCCATGCTCGATCTTCGGGAAAAGTTTTGCATTGGTTAGACGCTTGATTGCCAGCAACAGCAACGCTAAGTAGGGTGATTCCGGCGAGCGTGAACAACATATCGATAACCTGCCAGCAAAAGACGGCGACGGTCTCGTTGGACTGTCTACGCGGCGTTTCGTGATTTACATATTGTAAGTCAAGAGCCCTGCCACCGCTGATCCCTGTGTGGCAAGTGACCCGATAGCGCTGTGAGATTCTAGAAGTGAGGTGCTACAAAGAGAGCTCACGCCGCGCCGCGTACCTATCAGTGCTGCTCTCGGCCGTTGTAGCGTGGTCGATTTGTTCGGCAAATTATATGGACTTAACCTGGCTCTACGTTCTGTCTCTCTGTACAAAGCATTGAACCTGATAAGCCTGTGCTCTGAAGTAGCAGTGGCTTCGAATCTATGAGGAGACTGCACTAGGATATGTTTGACGTAATAACGTGAATTTTGTTCAGTACGTGTACAGGTTGAGATTGGTGTTGCGACCCACACGGTAGACAGCTCCGCAGACCAGACCCAAATAGGCTAGATTGACAGGGCTGGCACTAGTGCTTACTCCGTATATTACTCCCGAGGCCCTCTCGCAGCAGCATCTCCGCCATCGGATTCTCACTCTGGAAAATAGAGGGCAGCTCCGAGATACGAAAGCAGTGAGAGCTGACTTAAATGCACAGGACACGAAAACCCGCCCCGAGCGCTAGCAGGCTGAGTTCACCGAGCTAAAAGTGACCGGCGGTCTGGGCTGTAAATATCTTCTTCGTGTATCTGGATGCCCCAAGGTCGCATTTGGTGAAAGCTCTTGAAGTGCTAGGTCACACAATCGGTTTGACTATCCTCTCAGTCTCATTGGACAACTCTTGCAGCAACTTGATCGATGGGGCATCGATTATCTTGAATATTTTCTGGTGAATTCAAAAGCGTGAAAATGTCGATTCGGTTTGAATTGCCAACAAGCAATAGTTTGGGTAGTACGTTCTCAACAATGACGAAGAAGCACAAAGGCAGAGTATGAATACGGCTACGACTACGAGTGGGTTGGACGAGGCGTTTGAGGGTCTGTGATGCTAGTGTATTGCGCCGGTTACTGCACCCAGACGTCGACCAGCCAATTCACAAAACGCAGCATCAAGTAAGTGTGATCAAAAGCCTCGTGGAGACTCTTTCTATTCGGAGCCACAGAGTGTATGCCCCACGACATAGTTGTGCGGCTTGATGGCTTCACTGAAGATAACTTGGATCGTCAAAAAGCTAAGGCCAAATAGGTATGGAGAAGGTTTAGTTACGGACTCTTGCTATGAATTCTCGGGTCAGAGCCTAGACAAAGAAAAGAAATCGTGGAATAAGAGATCGAGACACTGAATTAAATACGTTCTATCTTGTGCTAGATGCCTCATTTCTTTCTACTTGAGTACTAGTAGACACGTAGAATAAACCTAAGTGATAGAGCGCTGTAAGTGACCACAGAGGCAGTTGCTTTCAGTACACTGCCACTACTATCTTATCCACCCATTAGTTGCAGTATTGTTGTCCTGCGGCAGGGTTGATTATCCCAAGCTTAATAAAGGTAGCATAATCCCAGTAGTCTCCCTGGACGCCCTGTCCATCTACCGCGACATTACCAAAGAACTTTGCCGTCCAATAGGCACTACCCTGCGTAAATTTTCCAAAAGCATATAGTCCTGTGTTGAGATTCCTTGCACGATTGACAAATAGGTTGTTTGCTGCAGTCTGGATGGACCATTCCCCAACAAACACAGGGAACTTACCGTCTCCAGCGGAAGCTTTTGCGTCAGAGCAGATGTCTTTAGTGACAGTGTTGGAGTCAGCTGGACGTCCAGCAAAGTAGTAGTTGTGGACATCAAAGACTAGGTTCGTACTAGCGGGGAACTTAGGCGACCAGTATGCTTCGCCCTTGAAACTACCCTGGAACATAACCGGTATCTTAGCTTGGACAGCTTGGACTTTGGCGAGAACTCCATTGATATATTTCAGGGTCCATGCTGCCCCACTCTCAGTCAGAGCTGCCGGTGTGCCAAAGGTTGAGAAATCAGGGTTGTCGACTGGCTCATTGATGGGCTCCAGAGTGTAAGACTGAGGGCTTCCAGAGTTTTGGATAAACGCAATCGCTGCGTCCACTGCTTTGAGGGAATAGTCCAGATTGGTTTGATTATTGAACCATCCAAACCGGCCTTCCCCTTCCCCAAATCCCATGCCATTCACGCCTCCTGGGAGAGAATGAATGTCAACAATAACATGCATCTTGTGTTTGGTGATAGCGTATGTCGAAATGGATTTCAAGAAAGAAAGCTGGTTGCCCGAATAGAACTGGCTTCCAGGGACCTTGACCCACGCTGCATACGTGGTAGGTATCCTCAGAAGCGTGATTCCATTGGCAGCCAGACTGTCGATGTCTGCTGGCTGAATAAAAGTTGCATAGCGACGCTCAAGAACGGGTCCACACTGAGACCCAAGTCGGGCACAACAAGTCCATTCGTCAGTTGTGTCGCCGCAGTTCGCGGCCCAGAATGCAGGGTCAATGACTGCTTCTTGGGCAAGCCATCCGCCAAGATTGATTCCAGTGGCTTTGAAGGTCTTCCAATTTACATAGTCGGTTTGGCGCTTTTCGATTGATGAAGAGAGAGCGCTGGAAAAAAGATACGAGAGCCCAAGGAAGAGCGTAGTCAAACGCATCCCGAATGGTGGTTCTGACTCAATGTCAGAAAGCTGGGCAGTTTGTTAAGCTAAGAGGTTTGTTTGATGACTTGAAGCTTGCAATCAAAGGAATACGCTGAGATCTATAGATTTTATATCCATTTCCTGCCAGCACTTGCACTCAGTATCGTTAGTTAGTCTTGCTGCAGTACCCCAGAAATGTGGGGTAAAAGTTACCGATTTTGGTTTTCGGATCGGTCCGCCACGCCGGTACTCCAGTATGCAATCTACGAATTGCAGGGGGGTCGTATGTGCGATCGTGTAGTGGTAAAAGAGTCCCCACATCCCGAAGTCTCCAAGACTGAGAGGAAGCTCCATATCCCGACGTTTGAGAGTGAGCTGCATGGTCTCCAGCTACACGACCTCCCGTCGGCTAAAGACCCTACATGATGCATTGCTCATCTAATCCTACCAGAAAGCGGCTTGACATGTTGTGAAAGGATGGGATGGGGCCAAACAGGTTGTGTATCATTGAGGTGTTCTAATCGCTATTATTCTAGCACTGGCTCGGACTGGCGAGGCTGAGCCTCATATTCAGCTCTCGCACGATGTACAATTCCAGCCGTGAGCCAAGCAAATTCTCGGAGTTTGCTTCATCTCACAGTATCACGCACTGGTAGTGAGCAGTTACATAATCTGGTCTACGCATGTACCTCGACGATGTTACCCAAGGAAGTGGATCCTTGTATCAATTTAGTTAAAAAGCCTGATTAACAGCTGTCTCCGTCTCTCGAGGAGACAATCGTCCAGCATCGTGAAGTGGAGCACATCTCTGCGAAATTAATAAATCTTTTCAAGCCTGACATCGGCTAACGCTCTCCACCTCGGTGTCTTCGACTTGACAACATCTCCACGACGTCTCCGGACTGTACTGAGACGGTGTACAGAATTGTGATTCAACTGGATGCTGATCTTGAGGTTACGTGGTCATTTTGAGAGCTCGTCTGTATTCGTAACCCGATCAGCATTCCGACATATTTCAGCTAGAAGGACCTACGTCGACACTGCATCATTGTAAGTGGATACGAGCACACAGGCCAGTACTCGTATCTGAGAGTCTCAACTCAGATCTTGCATTTTATCTGACAAGGAGCTCTCTTCCTCCTGAAACCACATTTGAGCGTTGACTTTTCATACTAACATAAGATGTGCACCCTCTTGGGAGATAATGTGAGCATGTGGCTCCAGGAACTGTGAAGACACGAGTCATTTGTTCAGGCTGAGACAGACATGGAAGTGTAGCCCCCAACTGACAGAGAACATCTAGATCGGACGCGATCACACCGGCAAGGAAGAACGTAGCCCTGACTATCCTTGAGACCATCATGAACACAAAATATGGCAAGACGAGTGACAAGGACTGACACTGTTGCATTTTACATCGCAGATGCTCTCCTACAGGCAATCTATGCTTTGTACACATGTAGGAGATTCTCTTGTTGCGGTGCTCAAAACTTATACTGACAAGAAGAGAGAGCCTAGAAATATCACTGACACGACGACTCGAGAAAGCACTACCCCAGACGTCATTGCAGAAGACGTTGCACGGATATCAGCGACCCAACATCACATGCGGAATCGCTGTCACGATACTTACCCTAGTTCTAAAAGCTGGTATGTGGGCGTAGTATGAGATTGTATTGATACTCAGCTTACAGATACCAGGAACGTGTTTTCTATCCGATGTCCATGGAGAAGGATTTCAATTCCGAGAATTTGAATCATGTACAGCCCGTGACAAACTATATATTGAACAACACATACAGTGCTTACAGCTTAGTCACGTTCTGCAGAGCCCGCTGCTTAGTGGACCGAAGACGGTTTAGTATAGCAATATCATGTTGTATGAGCCCCACATACCAATTTTCACCGCCTTGCAAATTTTCGTTGCGGAATGAACCCCACATTAACCTTTCATTGTTGATGAGATGAGGTCGTTAACCGCTAAGATCAGTCTCGTAGTCATTTTACGTGTGATGTATTCAAGAATTTCCATTGTCCCTTCATCAAATCAAATGAAGTGTCTACTTCATCCTTCACCTCAGCTTCAGTGGTTTAGTGGTAAAATTAGCCGTTGCCATTCCAGTTTCGGCTAGCCCCGTGTTCGATTCACGGCTGATGCAGCTCCTAGTATTTTTTGTTGCCGTGGTGGTTGTGATGGTAGTGGTGGTGATGGGGAAAAGTCCTAAGCGAGTCTCAAACGAGTAGGCAACCAAGTCCAGCAAGGCATCTCACCTCTTACGTGTTGTAGCTTCTCTTCAATCAACATTGTGGGTTGTTCCAACTAGGCCCTTGTAATACAGGTGACGGTGCCTACTCCTTATAGATTAGAGGAAAAACCAAAAAGCAGCAAGCATTAACAGTGGCTTTTCTTTTTACATACTATTCGATGTTATCTCCGCTGTTCTCAAAGATTGACCACGTACGTATGTACCTACCATAGTATGCCTTGTCAAGTTGATACTGCCCTGTGCCAGTGGGGCTGTTGAAATGCCTGTCCCCCATCTCGCTCTCCCTCTCTCTGTCACAATGGAACTCGGCAGTCTTGGAAATGCTGGGCTTCTACATTATTCGATATGAATGGTCAGGCCCATCCGCCTTTTCCGTTCATTGATGCTCCAAGGTAGGACTCATTTCTGGTATCAGTTAAGGGGATATGTCGCTCGGGATTATGAGGGGTGGCTGATGAGACCTGCCAGAATGTTTGCAATCGAGAAAGCACAGCTCAGCCACGATACTAGCTAGAACTTGTTGCAGTGGCTGAGTCGTTGCTTTGCGGGAAGCAATTTCAGGGGCTAGATGATAAGCATTTGCCAAGACACCTTATTTCTTTCGGCCCGTAGTGTGGGCCTAGCGGGCCTGGAATCTTGAGGCAAGCGCTAGTAGCTGCAACACGAGCTTCATCCGAGTCACACCCCTCAATCATGCACAGTCGCACAGCGCCTCACAGTGGCTGGAGCATCCTGTTGCGTAATCACGAACCCGGGATTTGGAAGTGCACGGGCTGGTGGAGGACGTCACAGCTGAAATCGCAATGCTATTTGCGTTTGCGGAGCGGCATGCGGCGTGCTAGGTATGGGCCAACGCATGTGGATGATAAATAGCGCACCCTGACGATCTTGTTGCCGGGCAGTAATCTATCCACTTCTCTTCGCAGACTCCATCCACATCTCTACACTTCACAATGGGTTTCCTGGACAGCATTGTAGACAAACTCACGGGCGGGCAACAGGACCACGGGCAGCAGCAACAGTATGGCCAACAACAACAGTATGGCCAGCAACAACAGTATGGCCAGCAACAGTATGGCCAACAACAGCACAGTCAACAGGGTCCTCCACCAGTCTCTCCGCCTTGGTTCGCAGAGTGGGCTCCCCAAGAAAACAGGTGGCTCTTCGTGAATCAGCAAACCGGCGAACGCACATATCAATATCCGGGTCCTGGTAACCATGGCCAGGGAGGTTATGGACAGCAGCGCGCCTATGGGCAAGAGAGCTATGGTCAACCTCAAGGCTATGGGCAGCAGGGAGGCTACGGTCAGCAGGGAGGCTATGGTGGTGGCTACCCTCCACAGCAACAGCCTGAGAAGCAGAGCAGCAATGCCTGGAAGTACGCCGCTGGCGGCGCTGCTGGTCTCGTCGGCGGTGCGATCTTGATGCACGAGGCTGGAAACATCAGTATGTCATTCCAATACTACATATTCTCACCACGATACTATGCTGATTAGCCCACAGAGGACGGTTTTGACGAGTTCGGCAACAAAGTAGAAAACTTCCCCGAGAACGCTGCGAACTGGACAGGAGAACAGGTCGGCAATGTCGAGAACTTTGGTGACAGCGTTGAGAACAAGTGGGACAACGCCGTCGACGACGTCGAGAACTTCCCTGAAAACGCTGCGAACTGGACAGGTGAACAGGTCGGCCACATCGAGAATTTCGGCGACGATGTGGAGAACAAGTGGGATGGTGCTGTCGACAGCGTTGAGGACTTTGGGGATCGCATGGACAACGCATATGACGAAGGGAGGGATGAGGCGAGGTACGATGATGATGACTACTAAAAGACCAGTCAGCTCTCAAGTCAGATGTCATGAAATGCACATTTAGCAAGTTCGTTTCGCTTCGCTCTGTATTGTTCAGTTTGTTGACGCTAATGTGTTTGATGTGTTGGTTAACGGGATTGCTAGACCATGATATACGTTCCTCGCGATTACAAGTCATCGTTTGTCCTACGTCGACACAGTCAGCTAGTCCAAAAACAAAACGATCCTCAGTCTTCCCTTTCGATTCGGCGCTGTCGCAATCGAGAATCTTGGATGCTTGACAGCTTTGTATCTCATTCTCAGTTGCGTCTGCAAAGAAGCCTCACTTGCGCCATCAAGTCAATTCGGTGGGCTTTTGTGGCGATTAACGAAGAAGTAGATTGAAACATCCCAGTGGAAGGCTTCATTAGGCCGTTTTTTTGGCGACATCTTTTGTTATCCAAGATTTTGTACACCTGCTCTATCACGTTTTCGGCGCCGTCCGCGTGTAAGCTATGGTGGAATTACCACACGACCGCGTATGCCCAACCTGCTCTTGTACTTGGTATCGAGCTTTCCTGGTCTCTGTTTTACTCCAGAGACTACTTGGCCACAACACATACGACCCAGGTTGTCGCCTTGGGTATTTGCCTACTCAAGTTGTAAGCTGCTGCGCCATTGTGAGCTCGATATCACCAACAAAGCATCACGCGATGCTTTCCACTTTCATAAAGAGGCTGTTATTCACGTTGAAGAGATGACCATACGCAATGATCATAGTCGATCACTGAACAAGATTGAAATAGTGCAGTTTCACGTTCGGATTCGTAAATCCTCGGCGGAGATGGCTGCCATCAAGCGTGCTGCCTCTTGCAGTGAATTCCAAAAGGGCAGGCAACCGATTATCGAGATCTTCGGTGGAATGTAGTTCTTTTTTTCGTATTGTCCAAAGCTTAGCCGTGTGCCTCATCACACGGTACTTCAGGCCGGTCGAGGAATTCGATAACAGGCGAGATATCAACATCTTCGTTAGTATCCAAACAGTCTCATTCTTGATATCGAACCTCATGCCGATCTAGACGCTATGGTTTATCCAACACCACCAGGATCCAAAGTCGCTTTTCTAAGCTTGCAGACAGCAAGAGTGATGTTCTAGCTTCTGTGTTATCTTTGACTACATACCGAGGAGCATGACAACAAGCCATGAATCATCGCAGATATGCATCCTTGCAGTGATGTCGTCTCACCGTACTATAGAGCCACTGCAAAGTTTTGGGTGTACGTAGGATGTACGAAGCTATCCACTTGTACAGCAGACCAGCGTTTTTATAAAGACTGTTTTACGGGTTTCCTGTTCCAATTTCATTTCTTCGTCCCCTTCTCTTTCTTCGTTGCATGTATCACAGCGTAGCCTCTCGTAGTCTCTTTCCTCGGCCTCCAGTTCTCACGTTGCGTATCGATTTGCTCAAACTTGGACGTAAATGTTGCGGCAGCAGCAGCATTGATTTTGGTGCTCACCTAATCTGCTGTACATATTGGGAAGATCTGAAAAGTGAACGCGCGAGTAATCTTAAACTTGAGGACTGTGAACCATCCCCCTTTAAGTTTGAGAGGTTTACGTAGTGAATGGATATTACCGCTATGTACAGTTTGTCGTGACTGTGTTGCGTTATGCACCCAACAACGGATCGTGCCTCTAGTGCGCTTGTGTATGACGCACTCTTCGGTTCAGTCTTGGATGACGTTGGACATCCACCAAAATCGCAGTTTCCTGAACCTCATCAAAGGCGATGCTCGAATGGTTATTACCTCCAGCCAACATGTTGGTAACACATTTCACTTGAGCGCACGACGCCAAGAATTCATTGGTGTATTTTCGACCCCTCTTCCACCGCGTGGGCCCCACTTTGATCACGCCCAAATAAGACGTGACTACCGCGACAACCGCACGAGGGAAACGCAGACAGCATCTTTCACCTGATCTGTCGCCTTTCGAGTTCTGCGTCTCGGTTGAGAGACACTGTTCTAGACTACTCGATCCACGAGCATGCAAATTACGAACATAAATAGACACCACTACAAAGTCAAAGATGGATGACCACCTGAGCATTCTTGAGGTAATGGCGCGTGGTTATTATCGCACCGCTTTACTAACAAGGCCGCAGCAAGAATATTGCCCACCAATAGACCCCGCCCTTGTTGCTGCATTCTACAGCGACTTCGCAAACGCGCACGATGCCTTAGAGCAGACTAGGGAGCTACTCGACCCGATCAAAGCCTCCGCGATCGCAGAACAGGCCACTGATTTCGACGCGTCGGGCAGCAGTGGGGGTCCCGTGCGCGACAAGCCCATATCAGATTTGGATTCGAACGCGGATACGTGGGCGACGCGTACGACTTTGACGGATGCAACCCATCTCTCCGGTGACTTCGCGACACTTAGCGTAGACGGGCGATCGGCAGAAGGTTCTGAGGAGTCGTGGGAGGGAGGCTACTACAAGGACACTGAGCAGTTTGACACAAAAACTAAGGAGCAATTATTGGCAGATACGTTCCCAAACCTGCGCCCAGAACTGGTGGCATACACATTGAAGAAATGCAACGACGACTTCGGCAAAGCGACAGACGAGCTGCTGAATCACGCCTACTTTGAAGATGCAAGGATTAGCCCGAGCGAAGAGGCAGGGCCGGTCGCTAAAGGCATAGACGCCTTTTTTGAGGGCCATCACGTTCCACAGAAGAGCAAGAAGGGCAAGGGGAAGAAGAAACAGAAGCTCTCGCTGTATGATGTGAGCTCCGCCGACTCGTCTGGGACAGACATGTCAAGCCCCGCTACGCCAAATCGCTGGCAAAACAGCAGCCGCGATGTAGAATTCATCACAGCGCGCACGAAGCTCTCGGCGAAGGTTGTCTCCTCGCTGTATCACGAAAAGGCTGCGTCACTTTCAGCCACCATTTTGGCCTTTGTGAACAAAGATATGAAGGCGCACGAAGGGCAAGAGCCGGAAGCCGGCAGCGTAGTAGATGCAATGGCATTGAATGCTGACTTCCCTTCGATTGGGTTGAACCAGGCCGTTGCCCTCGTACGTTTAGCCGACGGCTCGCCGGACAAGGCGCGGGACATGGCTAAGGCTTTGACCGAACAGCCTGCGAGTGAGACTGGCGGCAAGGGCGGGATCAAGCTCGACTTCAGGTACGCGCCTGTCAACCTCGACGACGATGCTCCTGTAGCAAGCAAGCTGCCGGACCTGCCATCGTCGATTCGGCCTCACACTACCGCATCGGTAGCATTCCGGCGCAACGAAGCATTTGACAAAGCGGCAGCAGCTCATCGCCGAGGTGGTTACATGAAGGCAGCCGCGGGCTACTACGCGCAAGAGGGCAGGAATTACAATGCGAACGTAAAGGTTATGAACCAAGCTGACGCCGACGCACTCGTCGCGCAACAATCATCGTCCACGATACTCGACCTTCACGGCGTCACGGTGGCTGATGCAACAAGGATTGCCAGGCAAGGGACAAATACGTGGTGGAACTCGCTGGGCGAGAAGCGTATTGCTGAGTACGGAGGTGCACGTGGAGGGGTCGGCAGTTATAAAATTGTTGTCGGTCTGGGCAGACATAGTGCCGATGGCAGAGGCAAACTTGGACCTGCAGTCGTGAAAGCACTCGTAAAAGAAGGCTGGAAAGTTGAAGTTGGCTCTGGCGAGCTGCTCGTCACCGGCGTGAATAAGCGAAGATAGATGAGCCATTGGTTTGGACGTGAAGATACCCAATAGATAGATGACCGCACATACCGGTGCAAACTTGACGAATTGAGTATTGCTGCTACATTACAACCTTCGCACTCGGGCACGAAGTGCGGCTTTGCCTGAGGACTCTTCCGTTTCAGACACTCTCACGCTAGCGTTGCCGCTAACGATGAACCTTCTTTACACCCACCATCGATCACGTCTTTGCCCCATCCCTCCATCTCATGTAGCCCAGACCACCCTCAACAAGTCCGACATCACGTCAAAGAGAGGTTCTCACATCTCATGTAGCAGAATTGTTCGCTCCGGTGAAATATGTGGGGTTTCGAAACCAAAACGCGCGGTTTCTTCGGAGATCCTCGCCGCCGCGCTGTCGTTTCATCAGAGCTGTGACACGAGACGCTGCACTACGGTCGTGGAATTTCAAGGCTGAACATTTGTTCCGGTGGGATTGACAATAGATGACGATGAAGTGTGGCTGAAGAGGTGGACTTGAGTGGTAGATGACAGCACTTCTCTATAATCGAGTTGCCGTCGCGTGCAAGACTTGGGGAGAGATCGAAGTGAGGGAGATTTCTACGAGATCAATGCGCTTGGCAAACGTCGCTCCTGGCTGTCGTCAAAGAGTACACCCCTTCCAACATACAAAACATACTTCACAGCTTCTTCTTGCCCACCAGATCTTCACGGTCTACCCCAGGAACCTCGCCTAGTGCTGAGCCACACTGACAAGCAAACAAGCTTTCGCTTTGCTCTAACAGTGGATCCTTAGTAGTCCACTAACTTGTTTGACGATCCATAGCGGCAGGGTTACAGAGTAGACAATCCGCAACCTGTTCCGCAGCAGCAGCTTGCCTCAGCGCATCTGGATCTACATGCCCTCCAGCACGCATTGCTGCAGCCTCGCAATTGGATCGCTGCCCATCGACTGATGCTCGAGAACGCGTCAACATGCTGAGACCGGGCGGGTGCCCCGTATCGGTCCTACCCCATGGAGGCTGATATATATGGCAGACTCGACTCCAGTGTAGGTGTTCTCTCCAGTTCGATACTCATCAATCATATCCAAAGTCAAGCTCTTTGGTCCTCTCTCTTCATCTTATTTTCTTGCTGCTAGCCGGCATTCTATTATTATTCTAGATCCCACTGCAGCGCAGTTTTTTTACATTTCAAACTACAATATGAAGTTCGAGACCTCTCTTGTCCTGGCCACTCTGGCCGCATCTGCTGTCGCCGCACCGGCACAGCTCCACTCTACTAAGAGATGGGTTGTGAGTTCTTTTCTTTCTACGGCTCTTGTGCACGCTGACATCCCTTAGCAAACTGATGGCACACCAAAGATGCCCGCACACTTCGTCTCTTCCGTGCGCCAGATCGCAAATGAGAAGCTGAGGACTAAGCGCCAGCTTGATCAGCTTCTCGGAGCATTGACTGGTGGCGCTGGAGGCGCTGGAGGCGCTGCCGGCGGTGCTGGAGGTGCCGGTGGCCTCGCTGCCCTCATTGGAGGAGCTGCTGGTGGTGCTGGTGGTGCTGGCGGCGCTGGTGCTGGTGCTACTGGTGCCGGTGCTGCTGGTGCCGCTGGCGGAGCTGCCGGCGCTGGTGGTGCTACTGGTACCAAGGGTGCTGCTGGCGGAGCTGCTGGCGCTGGTGGTGCTACCGGTACCAAGGGTGCTGCGGGAGCCAAGGCCTCGCCCTCTGCTGCCGCCGGTGCCAATGGCGCTACAGGCGCGACAGGAGCTACAGGCGCTGCAGGTGCCAATGTAAGTCTTGCTCGTTCTTGGACATTCTGAACATAACTGACATGCGACGAAGGGTGCTACAGGAGCAACTGGAGCTACAGGTGCGGGTATTACCGTAAGCAACGATCCAAAACTTCTGCCCAAGCTGTACTGACTTCCCTAGGGTGGTAACAACTCAACCTCCACAGCTACAGGTCAGCAGGGAACTGGCGCTCAACGTGGAACCGGCGCTCAGCAAGGAGCTGGCAACACTCAGCAGGGTACTGGAGCTCAGCAGGGCACCGGTGCTCAGCAAGGCACCGGTGCTCAACGGGGAACTGGCGCTCAGCAAGGCACCGGCACCGGCAACGCCCAGCAGGGTACCGGAGCTCAGCAAGGTACTGGTGCTCAACAAGGTACTGGTGCTCAGCAAGGTACCGGCGCCCAGCAAGGCACTGGTGCTCAACGGGGAACTGGCGCTCAGCAAGGCACCGGCAACACTCAGCAAGGTACCGGCGCCCAACAAGGAACTGGCAACACTCAGCAGGGGACTGGCCAAATTCAGCAAGGAACTGGTGTAGCCGGCCCAGGTATGAATATCTTTGCCTCGGACTAAGGTCTTTCTAACAAACAATAGCTGGAACTGCTGGCCCAGCAGGAGCCGCCGGAACTCAAGGTACAGGTGTTGCAGGCACTCCGGGTGCCACTGGCCGTAAGCTTTCAAGTTCCGCTTCTCTCAAGGCAATTGCTGATATCTTCTAGCTGCTGGCCAGACTCCTACTGCTCAGACCCCCACTGGTCAGCAAGGAACAGGTGTTGCCGCTGGACAAGGCCAGGCTGGCTCTGCTACTGGTTCGTAATCTTCGCATTGATGCTCCAAGATTATTTGCTGACATGTCAAAAGGCACCAACTCGCAGACTGGCACTGGCGCTACTACTGGCACTGGCGCTACTACTGGCACTGGCGCTACTACTGGCACTGGCGCTACTACTGGCACTGGCGCTACCACTGGAACAGGTGCTACTAATGGAACAGGTGCTGGCAGAGCTACCGGTGCAGGTGCCGCTACTGGTGCAGGTGCCACGACCGGTACAGGTGCCACGACCGGTACAGGTGCCGCGACTGGAGCCGGCGCAGCCACCGGTGCTGGAGCTTCGCAGTCGGCCTCAGGAGGCAAGAAGAACGCGTCGTCTGCCGGCAGCGCTGATTCCGCCCTCGCCGATTCTCAGGAGGAGGATTAGATACATGGCAAAAGGCGAAGACGAGCTTGCACGATTGAGCCAATGGCTTAGCAGGCATTGCGAGGCCACAACGAACTCCAGCGGGGAATGATGATTGGCTTCGAAAAACGGGGTTGGAGCTTCTACACAAAGATAGATAATCACTAGTACATGGCACGGAATAGGACGCTCGCTTGACACTAAGATCTGGACGTTGATATGTGCGGATTTAATGTACATAATATGTGAACAGGAGACAGGACGCCAATCGCTATGCCTAACAAAGAAAAAACAAGAACATCCTGATGGCCCAGCACCAGACTCCCCCTCCATCCTCGCGCAAACCATCGCTCTCCTCCAAACCACCCTCGGAGCCCATCAACCCCCCCTCCCTCCTCCCTCAACCCCCTGACGTCCCCCCCTCCCCTCTCACCGATACCTCTCACCGATACCCCTCCCTCGCCTCTCCATGCCTCATAGTCTGACTCTGATACCCCATCCCCTCATCATGCACAGGCGCATACCCCTTATTCTCCTCGCGCCCATCACGATCCCGCCCGCTCATATCCGCGCTCCACGCGCCCTCCTCGTCGTCCTCGAGCTTCCCGTAGTTGGGCCCGCGGCGCTCGAGCCGCGGGATAAACGTCGCGGGCTTCCCCGAGCGCCGCTTCTTGATAAACAGCAGCACTAGGATCACGAGGAGTACCAGGATGCAGGCGCCTGCGATGAAGATTATCACCGCGACGGTGCCGGAGGCGGAGGTGTCGTTGCGGGGGAGGAGGGGCATTGTGGTGGCGGGCTGCGTTGGTGGCGTTCGGTGGGTGGGTGGTGTGTGGTGTGGTGTGGGCGTGTTCAGTACAAGGCGTTGTCGGTGTCGGTGTCGGTGTGGCCGCAGCAGACGCTTCGAGCGGGTCTATTGTCTCGCGGAGATGGCTACGAGCAGCAAAACTCTCCTCAGTCGCTCACGCTTCTCCAGGAGCAGAATCGGCGAAGTCAGAAGCCAGAAGTCGAAAGTCGGAAGTCGGAGCTCGAAAGTCGGATCGGAAGTCGAAATAAAAGGTAAAAAAAGCCCAGGACCAGAGACACAGAGACAGACACAGATAGCGAGACAGCGACGAAAAAGACACACCAAGACCCTACAAACCCCCCAGGCCCGGGCCCGCCGCGCCCTTATAGGCACCGCAAAGGAGCGTCTTCATCTCGTCTGGAGAAGCGCACGAGCTACCTGCTGTGCTGCCCGGTGCGTCCCCACTGTATGTCGCGCCTGCGCCCGCGTCCAAGCTCATCCCTTTCCTGGAATCATGGCCATCGGAGGCGGTGGATGGAGGTTCTGCATCTCGATGTCTTATTGCATGTCTCAACTATTAAGGAGAAAGTTGTTGGGGTTCATTCAAGTACGTCTGCTGCGGTGCGCAGGCGCGACGTTTGGCTCGATGTTGGGCTGGAGGCGGACGTTGTGTAGCGGTCTACGAGTCGGCGCCCCCGGGCTAAGATTAGCATGGCGATCGCGAAGCTGGGCTCCACTTTGGTCTCCACTGCCAGCAACCCGATGCAGCGCAGATGCGTGGCAAGGAGACTGTTGTTCACAAATTCACGGTACAAACTGATCTCAGAACGAAGAGTCGGTGATAGCAATATCCTGCCAGTCTACGTATGAACTACGAACTACGAATTTCAGTCTCGCTGGTGGGGAGAGACGCCCGAACTACCTACAATGCATAATCCCATCTGTCTTTCTTGTGATGTCGTAAGGCCGTAATTATGCACCCAGAAATGCCCAAAGAAACATTGCTAACAAATTCTGCAACCTATGCACCATGATACGCACGTACAGTGAGCTATCTATGAGAGATGGAAAGCGCCCTGGCCTTCCTTCGCCGCAACGTTCAGCTTCGCCCGCAGCACGTCCAGAGTGCTGTAATCCGGCATCTTGAGGTAGTTGACGCAGGTCATGACCGAGGGGAGGTAATCATCGGAAGTGTATGGTGGTTCTGCTGGCTTGCAGACAACGGTGAACATGGGCGTGAGACTCTTGAAGCCTGTAGTCATGTCAGTACTGGGTCTTCAAACGGATCGTCAGTGTTGCTTACCACCAATGGGGAGCTTCGGGCTACCAGTGATGAACTGGAGGAAGTCTCGGCGCTCCTCTGATGTGTACTGACTCATGGTCGTGAGGAGATTGCGGACGCTCTTACTGTCCAGGTTGAAACCGTGGTCGGCCTTGATTGAGTCCATGAGAGCTGGGTCTGGTTAGCCTTGTCTTTATTCTTGGGGGTCAGTGACTTACTCTCGAGCGACCAATCCTCGTCATTCCTACCAAACAACATGACGAGCTCATCCGGCGTGAAGGCCCTGAGCGCGGAGTATGGGAACACCTCTGAGAACCCAGCACCGAAGGCATCAATCTGGCGCTTGACTCCTGAGCCTAGAGTCAGGTCAAGCACCCGGTCGACGTATAGGCCAACATTGCCGATGTTGACTGCTATATGCGCACCATTTTCGATCAGCTCGATGGCGGGGTAACCGGGCAATGTGAAATCGAGTGCAAGGTCATCGACAGTGCAGTCATGGAACCGAATGCTCTGTGCGGCCTCGGCTCGCTGCTCCTCAGTCTTGTCTTGATCTTGATCAATCTGCTTTTTGGCGTCTGCGAACATCTTCAACAACCGCAGAGACTTGGCAAGGTCTTCGTCGACGGTCCTGATGGTTGCAAGCGAAGGAGTGATAGCTGTGCTGCTGCTGTCGCTGAGACGGAATAGTGTAGGGTTGAAGGACACATCGATAATGCGCGAGTCAAGCATTGATCGTGCAACAAACTTTCCAAGTACCTTAAACATCTCAAGCTTCTTCTCGCCGTCCTCTGAGGCAGCTTGTTGCGTGCTCATCGGGGCCGGGAAAAGCCCTCGCTTGCCGAAAGCGTACTCGTCGACGCCGTTGGAGTCGTTCTCTCGCCAGATCTTCAGCTTCTTCGTTGAGAACTCTCGGGAGACGGTGGAGTAGAACTCGAGGGTTGGCCCTAGACCTGTACCGACCTCTTCAAAGTACTCGACCTCCAAAACGCTTGGGGAGTGTCCGTAGAGCTGCATCACCTTCATGGCGGATTCTAGGATCCTAGACCTGGAGATTCTAACTTTTTGGCGCTGTAGCCTGCCGAGGAAGGGACGCTCATCGCGATGGCGGTCATTGCGGGTATCGTTCGCGTTCTGGGTGTTCTGCCAGCGCGTCATGCAGCGAGAATATCCGAAAGAGGTAGACTGAACAAAGAGATGCCGCGACTCGAAGGGAAACAAGAAAGGATAGAACCGAGCAAGATCCTCACTCCAGCTTGGTAGGCAGTTGCTTGCTACAATTAGAGGTTCTTCGAGTTGACGATTGAGCTTAGCCGTGAGCTTTGTGTTCACAAATGCCGAAAGTGGCTCAGCGTTGAGCTTGATCTGATCCTTGAAATCAGACAGAACGTCATCAAGGTGTGAGTTCAACCCATGGAGGAAGTTGAGTAGGCGAAGTATGCCCGATGTGATGGGGTGGTTGTCCAAAGACGCGGGCATGGTTTGACCTCCAGCCTTTGATTCTGGCGGAGGAGTTTGTGCAGATGCCTCGCTTGGAGGAGGGCCGGCTACGCGCTTGAACTTGATGGTGTGAACGGCGTTCCATACTGTACGCTGCGACACGTCCAATGCCTGCGCTTGGTTGAAATGCACAACACGGTAGATGGTTGTATCACTCGAGATTGGCTGGTCGTTCACGCTAAACTCGATATGCCAGTCCTGCGGCGTTGACTGTACTGCAGCAGCGTACGATAGACTATGCCGCAGAGCAGAGTCCTGCAGCAGTGCGGTCAAACGCGAGGCTGGGGTGCTCAGGCGATCGGAAGGTTTCGCTGATGGTGTACCTGGAGTTGGTGTAGCGATGCGAGTGCCGTCTTCTTTGCGCGCTGTAGCTTTGCCGGTGGACGCCACCTCGACACTAACGGCAGACGGATCGGGCTCGTCGTTGTCGAGCGCGTCCTCAAGCTCATTCTCGAGCTCTTCTTCCAGCTCATCCACAATAGCATTTAGTGCGGCATTCTCGTCCATCGAGTCCTGATCGGATAAACGCTCCTCGTCTGCGCATTCAAGTGGATCCTGGCTGCTGCTTGAACGAGCTTTTGGCGCTGGTGGTGGCGGCGGAGGAGGTGGGGGTTGCGTCTGTTGGCGTCGGCTTGAGCGACGCGTCTTCTCTCGCGACGCAGAGCTGGGACCAGCCTCAGTGTCGTCATTTGACCTCGACTTTGATTTTGAAGACTTCTTTGATGGTCGGCTGGCGGACTCGCTGGGGGTCTCTGGTGGTGGAGGTGCGCGTCCTTCCGCAAGAGCTTGCGCGTACGCAGCAAATTGGTCCCTCGTCCTGCTCCCTCGAGGTCGATCAGCGACCTGCATGCGTGGTCGGAGGTAGTCGTCCAGCGCCTTGAACGTCGCAATAGCATGTATGGAGACCATGATGTTGCGATACGATTTAGGTATGCCGGAATCATCTTCTGCGACGAGCTTCAAACGGAGCTGCTTCGCCAGCATGTTTGCTGCACTACCGCGACCATCATACGAGTTTTGGTGTACTGTGATGACTTCAAAGTGCTCGGACCTGCTTAGGAGGTCCTGCAGCTTGCTCACTAGCACGCTAAATGGTGTTGCAGGGGATGCGCTGCTAGCGGTCTTGTTTTTATTCTTGTTGCCGACACCCATGAATGCCTCGAGGAACAGTGATCGCGGATCTGTGCCTCTCGACGGGCTCTCGCTCGAGAAGACATCTAGTAGGACATCTACAATCTTGGACGACTTCAACTCGTAGCTCGTTATGCTTTCGAGAGCATCGCCTTCGAAGTATTTAGCTAATTGAGCAAACAACTTGGAGTAATTATCTGAGTCGTCTTGTGATGTGGAGTTCTCGAGAGCTTTTGCAAGCGACTTCAGGTCGTCCAAAACTGCGGATGCCTTCTCTCGAATAGGCTTGTTGCTGTCCTTCTCGTGGATTTCGACGAATTTCTTCGCACGCATGGTGATGATATCATCAACATTGGGGAGCGGTGGAGGATTTTGATCAGACGAGGAGGATGAATCAGAGTCGTCGTCATCATCCTCGTCGTCCTGATTCCCAACATTGACTTGGTGGTCATCGTCCCCGTCTTCCTCATCTTCGTCGTCGTCGTTCTCAGAATGAACTTCTACATCCATAGCGTCGACAACTTCGAGTTCTGCATCTTGGCCTGGTGTTGGCACTCTAGGCGCACTTGACTCCGGGGCAGCTTCAACATCGACCGCCGACTTGGAGTCCTTGGTACGGACTTCCAAGGCCTTGGTGGGGCGGCTGGCTAAAAGCGAAATTTCCGCGATGACGCCTTCACGGTAGAACTGGTACCTGTAGATAGACTCCAGGCGTTTCAGTAACAGTTCGGCTGCTTGGAGAGCATATGTGACCAAGGTAGGGTGATCTTGCTGTGAGAATATCGATGCGAGAAATGATGCATAAGGCACAGCACGCAATGCTTCCTCGAGAATATCGGTGTCGAGGTTCGAGAGCATCTTCAACTGAGCAGTGAGGACCTTCTGTCGCACGTTAAGGTTTACCGTGCTCGAGTATGCGTCGGTAAGAGTGGGAAGCAGTATGACTGCAAAGCGCTTAACCTCCGTCTTGCAGCCCTCGAAGAGGCCAACACGCTTCTCGTTGCTGGTCTTTTTGATATCAGAAGACAAAGGTAGATGGCTTCGCCCAGGGTAACCAGCATCAAATAGAGCATCAATGTATGACAGCCCATCGTCCGTAACGTCGGGCAGAAGCTCGCAAATGACGTTGAGTGTTTCGTACACCTGGTCTTTTGGTCGATGAATCAGCGCCTGCATGATGACAACGGAGTCTATCCTAGTAGCAACGTCCTCTGTTCCGCTGGGTGGCGAGACACCAGTCAAGATCTGGTAAAGAGTGTCGACCACATTCATCTTGAGCAGCTCGGCTGACAACTGCGGGCTTGCTTTGGCTGTGTAAGCAATGACCTGCAAGAACATGGTGTGGATGTGAGGGCCGATGAGATTAGTGGTGCCGGGCAGCAGGAGTGCCAGAATCGCCTTCAACAGACCGGGGCTGACCAGTTCTTCAAGCTTGTCTTCCTGGTGTCGAAAGCTCTGGACAATGCGTGACACACAGATGCAGCCTTGCTCCACCACCTTCTGATCGCTGTTATTCAAGATGTTCTCGAGGATTGGCATAACATCGCGGACGGTAGGGAAGGAGTCGTCAGGAATGTTGCGACAACAGTTCGCAGCCGTCGTAACCGCTGTCCTTTGAGTGCTTGTTGCGAAGAAGTCAAGGAACGTCAAACAGGCTGTCAGACCACCCTCCCTTACAATTTGTGTAGGGAACTCGACCGAGATCTTTTCCAGAGTACTCAAACACTGCTCGGCGAGATCGATGAAGTCAATCTCGAGCAATTTCGAACACAAGACCGGCACTGCACCCCCGTACACCACGTTTGCTGTAGCGGCCGGGAGAGCCTCCATGAGGTTCGCCAGGCATCTACAGGCAAGCAGCATAACTTCCGGGTTTTCCTCGCCAGTGAAGTCGTTTGGCTGCATGAGTTTGACCAGCTCTTTCACATATGCGTCCGGGGAGAAATGGCCGGCGAGCATGTCTTCAGATGCCATGAGGAGCACCTCAGACAGATCTTGTAAAGCGATCAGCTGTAAAGACACATCTGGCGACTTCAGCTGCTCCAGTATCCCCCGAAGCCGCTGTGCTGTGCCTGACATCAGGCCAGTGAGCTGTCGTAGCGCGGAGAGACTGTGGTGCGGGTCGCGTCCAAGGAAGCCGCCTGTGAAGGGATCGTGTTCGTCTTCGTCGTCGTCTTCGTCATCGTCTTCGTCGTAGCGAGTAGCGGCGGCACCGTCGTTGCCCTCGTCGCTTGTGTGCTCGTCGCCTGGCGTTGCTGGGTCGTCTTCAGACTTGGCCTCGGGTGCGTCTTCCATGTTTGCGTCTTCGTCGGTCTTTGCAGACTTTCGTGAGTTGCGGCGTGATGTGGAGGGTGTGCCTGCTGCGTGGTCAGAAAGGGGCGAAGGGCACGGATGGTGCCGCGGATTATCACCTTGACTTGAGCTCTTGCGGCCGCCTTTTCCTCGCCGCGACGACTTCTCCGCCACCGGATCGGTCGATGGTCTGCGTGCTGTCAGTGCGTGTCTCCCTGCATGCCGGTCGCGACATACCCAGATGACGACATGGCTGCTTTGCCCTTTGCCTTCCTAGAGCGGGTCGGGGCTGCAGCAGACGAGTTGTCAGGCTCGACTTTGGCGCGCTTAGCACGACCGCTACGCGTCGGCGGTGTGTCGCCTGCCTCGTTTGGCGGGTCTGGGTTCGATTCTACAGCAGGCTTCTTGCGCTTGCGAGAGGTGGCAGGCGTGGAGTGGGGTGGAGGGGCGGGAGGGTTCGGCGGATTCTCGTTGGAGGAGCCTGCTGGAGGCCTCGCAGACGAGCGTGTGACTCTGGACGACATGAGAATCTGATTGTACGGCTAGCAAACGCGATGGCGGGCGCTGCTACTGCGGCGGCAGCGTGGCAGCTCTGGGCGGCGACTGCTGCAGCAAGTTGAGTGCGGTAGAAAGTCGCAGCAATTAAACGAGGATGGTCGGAGCGGACAGTCCCGCTGCGAGCGTCGACAAACGAGCGAAATGTAATCGTACCTGCTGTTGCGCTGGTGGTCGGGGCTTTCACGAGGACGTTCCATAGGTCGCCATGGGCGGGCGTGCTCAAGCGAGTGCGGTGATGCTGCCTGCAAACGCAGTGAAGTGCGGCGGGCGGCTGGACAAGGCAGCGGCTCGAGTCGGCAGGCAAGCGAGTGTGATGCTCGGTAGTGGTCTGCGGCAGCGTAGTAATGGTAGATGTGCTCTCGTGCGATGGGCCAAGCAGCGTCGCAGCCGCGACATCGACAACTCGGGCGCTAGGTAGCTTATCGATTGTGGAAATGACGATCCAGCTCCCAGAGAGCAGTGGACAGCCTAGCGCCAACGGCCTGTCTGTGGTCCTTCTACCTCACGCGTCGTGTGCTGCGCGGGAGACTACGGCTATGGAGCACACGTGCAGCACTGGCACGAGAAAAGGTTGCTGTCTGCGGTGCGTAGAGTGAGACGCACGCCCTGCTCGCCCGGAACGGTCGACAATTCTTGCCGTTTTGGTCAGGCGTCAGCCTCATCAGCCTTGCCGTTCTCTCGCAGAGCCAAGCTGCAGAATGCACATGGAATGCAGAATGGCATTGTTCTTCGTTGAACCAGCCTGTCTTTCCACATGAAGGCTCACACAGAATCTGCATCAGAATCTACTCGACAACAGTAGGAGCGCCAAATCAGAGATCAATCAATGCCCCGGCAGCCTTGTGCAACAGTCTGGTTATGTTGAGCAGCCGCTGCATAACCGCAGCGCCCGTGACTGGAGTCATGCCAGACACGTCTACTTCTCCCTAATCTGATGAAACGCCGTACAAAGCAAGTGCACACGAAAGGACGTCCGCGGCTGCCCCGACTCTAGAACACCATGATTCATTAACAGACGTCTTACGTGACATGAATGTGGATATCAGAGAGTGGCGCTTGTGCAATTCGTCGACTCATTCCCTGCGCCGATTCTTTCGATTTCTCAGCATCCACGGGTCTAATCTCGCGCCGAAGCGCGGACGACTGCGAGGTGGGGAGAAGGCCGACTTTCGCGCTCTTCGCCGCACGTGAGGCTCCATGATCGCGCAATTCCTTGCGCCAAGGCGCGGGAAATAATACCCATGTTGGCAAGTGTTCAGATGCAGCAGAGGTTTCACCTGCAGGCGCACGATTCCGTGCAGCCAGTGGCTTTAGTGCGTTCGCAGTCCGGTAAATGCGGGCACTGGCCCTTGGATCGTCTCGAACTCAAACGACTGCCGCCTACTAATCAGCAGCGGGGATGCCTGAACCGCTGTTTACCTAGTACACCCAGCCTACAAAATGCAGCCCGCCCTCTTCCCTTCTCCCGCAATCCCTCCCTCAGCCCGCCTTGACTACTGCTATATCACTCCCACCCGCGCACCTGCTCGCTGAACTTTGCCCCCACATCCGGAAGTCGCCTAGCCCCGCGTCATACCTCAGCACTCAACCACCACCAGTGCCCTGCAGCCTGTATCCGAGGCACCCGTTTGCTGTAGGTTTGCTCAAACAAATGTCGCTGCGTCGCCCTCAATTAACTCGGCCCTTCAGACCATCTCCTCACTGCACCCCTGCGACTCTGACGCCATTTCTTGCCCCATCGCGCCGCTCACTCTGCCTTTCACCCTCTAACCGGCGAATCCCCGAGCGGAGTCTGTCCCCCGCTGTTGGACCGAGACTCCTCTCAACCATTCACACCTCACCACCCAGCACAATCATGGCTTCGACAACGAACAACGACATTGCGCTCGACGCTGGTTTCGATAATACCGATGCCATGACCCTCGAAACCTACAGATTCCCAGTCGACAGGCTAAAGAAGCAGTTGTCGGACGACAGCAAGACGCCGATTGTGCTTGTTTCCTGTGGGTCTTTCTCGCCACCGACCAACCTGCACCTTCGCATGTTCGAAGAAGCGACCGACTTTTGCGAGTTTGAGACCGACTACGAGGTCGTTGGCGGATTTTTCAGCCCTGTCGGCGATGCCTACAAGAAGGCTGGACTAGCGTCCGCGAACCACCGCATCAACATGACAAGGATCGCCGTGAAGGAGAGCTCAACCTGGATCGGCGTTGATCCGTGGGAGCCGCTCCACAAGGAGTACATGCCCACTGTCAAGGTCCTAGATCACTTCGACCACGAGCTGAACACCGTCATGGGCGGAGTCGAGACATCGACTGGCGAAAAGAAGAAAATTCACGTCGCCTTGCTCGCAGGAGCCGATCTGATCCAGACCATGAGCACTCCCGGACTCTGGGCGCAGGAAGACTTGGTGAGAATCTTGGGTGTCTACGGCGCTTTCATCCTCGAGCGCAGCGGTACCGATATCGGTAAGCCTCTTCGGAACCAGAATTTTGCGGCCACAGTACTGACTGAATCCAGATGATGCGCTTGTCAGCCTGCACCAGTGGAAGGACAACATTCGGGTCATTCCCCAACTTATCCAGAACGATGTTTCTTCGACTAAGATTCGCCTGTTCCGCAAGCGCGGAAAGAGCATTCGTTACTACATCCCTGACAAGGTGGTTGACTACATCTACGAGCACGGCCTGTACGCTTCAGACGACGAGAAGTCGAAGGCGACCGACACTGGAAAGAACAAGGCGTCAGACAGCGCAAGCTCGTCCGCAGTCGCCTCGTCGTGAGCGCCTTCGGCCGTACTACGAAGAGCGACACCGAGACACAAAAAGTCACATGACAGCCATGGACTCACCCCGCATCCCTCTTCCGATCAGGACTGCCGCGCCGATCAAAGCACTTGACGCTTAGAGCGGCCGTTGATCTCATGTAGCCGGCAGTTGGGCACGAGCTACATATTACAGGCATCTCATACAGGGCATCCGCCCGCGGATAAACCAGGATGGGATAGAGGGGCCAGGGCACGCATCGCAGCCCTATATATACGGACTCTACAGGAGTGGAGCGTGTGCATTTTCATTCTTACTTTATGATACCATACAGATGCGAAAGCGTCACCAAATAATAACGATCACGACTACAATTCGAACCCAGGTTTCAACTTGCACGTGATGTGATGTCAGGTCCACCAGCGGACCAAGGCATGGCGCAGATGTGTTCTAAGCACAGCCTCTGGCCAAACGTCTGCAGTCTGCTTGTGCTTTTTGGAGCTCAAATTTGAGCCAATCCTACGACTGGTCGAATCGCCCAGCTCCAAGCAGACAAGACCCGCAGGCCGAGCTCCGTCTCGTCGCGTTCCTGTCCAAGCGTGCCAGCGACTCGCGCTGCCTTGGAACCAGGCTCTGCGGCCAGCATCCATAGCAAGCCCCACCCTGCAAGCCTCACATCGCTCTCCCGCCAGTCGCTCTCCCAAGCCAGCCGCCGCGCAGTCGCAGCCCTCGGCCACGTCAGGCAAGCCAATCAGGAGCAATCACCACAGCAACGGCGCCTCACCCGCCGCGACCCCAGCACCCTGGGATCTCAGGGCCGTCGTACATATGCATTAATTGTCGTTTCGCACTGCATTCCAGCGTTTCTGTGTCTTTTTCCCGTGTGCAACCTCCCTGCAGCGGCACTCCCCAGCGCCACGCGCCCCCGTGCATTCCACCCCGCACCCACGCGCATTCCTCACCCCAATGGCCGACGAGCACGACCCGTCGCAGCGCCGCCCACGCGGCGACGAGCGCCGCCGCCGCCGCGAGTCCCACGGCGAGACCTCTGGCTCGGAGCGCCCGCGCCGCCGCCGCGACAGCGACGCCCGCTCGCCGTACGCGCACGACGGGCGTCGCAGGAAGGGGCACCGCGCGACGGACTCGCAGGGCGAGCTGCTGCGGCCCTCGCCGCGCACGTCGAGCCAGACGCCGCGGGACAGTCCGCGCGCGCACAGGGACAGCCGGTACCAGAGCGACTCCGAGTGGGAGAGCATAGCGCCGCCGCAGCGTCGCAGCAGGAGGCCGAGTACGGCGGAGGGCAACTCGAGGAAGTCGGGCAAGCCGCTGAGTCTGGATGCGCTGGCGAAGCTGGACAAGGAGGTGGCGAAGAAGAATGGGGGGTGGCGTGGGTATGACTACGACGAGGATTATCTCAAGGAGGTAAGGCGCAAGGAGAAGGCGCTGGAGAAGGACAGGCTGCTGGGTGCGAAAGCTGAGAAGAAGAAGGCGAAGCTGGACGAGGAGAAGAGGAAGTTTGAGGAGAGCGACAAGGAGATTCTGGGGGAGAAGGAGAGGCGGAAACGGAGAGAGGCGCGGAGGAAGACGAGGGAGAGCAGAGAGGTCAAGGGCGGGGCTGTGCTGTTGGGCGACCTGGCGGGGATGGAGAGCAGTAAGAGAGCGAGTCGGGCCGAGGATTCGAGGGAGAGGAGACGGAGAGACGAGGCCAAGTACACACCGAGTGAGATTGAAGAGAGGCGGGAGCGGAGACACCGCGAGAAGCAGCGGAACGAGCAGCGCAAGAGACGAGTCGTGAGCGGGCCGTTGGCAGAAGAAGGCGGCATTGACGACGACGAGTACCAGTACATGATGGAGAAGCGCGGTGGAGCAGGCAGCGCGCGAATGATTCTGCCCCCAGAAGGGTATGCGAAGAAGAAGAAGCGGAAGAAGATCATCATCGGCGTAGTCTCGGTCCTCATACTCCTGGCCATCATCATTCCCGTAGGCGTCATGATGTCGAGCAAGAAGAGCGACGATGCACCGCAGGGCGACACATCGGCTGGGCAGACAGGGCCGAAGACTAGCAATCTCGACGGCAAAGACCCAAACAGCGTCCCGAAGGAGGACAAGGGCGGCATCTTCGACCCATGGGCATGGTACGACACGGACGACTTCAACGTCACCTACACAAAAGAGCTGGTGGGCGGTCTCCCCATCATCGGCCTCAACTCGACATGGAACGACGACGTCCAGGCCAACTCCAAGGTCCCGAATCTGAAGGACTCCTTCCAGTACGGAAAGATGCCCATCCGTGGCGTCAACGTGGGCGGCTGGCTCAACCTCGAACCATTCATCACACCCTCCTTCTTCGAAGGCTTCGGCGCCCGCGACGGCGTAGTGGACGAGTACACGCTGATGAACAAGCTTGGCCCGGTCAAAGCGAAGCAGATGCTGGAGGAACACTACTCCTCGTTCGTCAACCGCAAGACCTTCCAAGAGATCCGTGCAGCCGGCCTCGACCACGTCCGCTTCCCCTTCGGATACTGGATGGTGCAGGTGTACGACGGCGACCCATACCTGCCGCAAGTCTCGTGGCGCTACCTCCTCCGAGGCATCGAGTACTGCCGCCAGAACGGGCTGCGCGTGAACCTCGACCTCCACGGCGCGCCCGGCAGCCAGAACGGCTGGAACCACTCCGGCCGCCAGGGCGTCATCGGCTGGCTGAACGGCACCGACGGCGACCTCAACGCCCAGCGCACCCTCGACATCCACCACAAGCTCTCCGTCTTCTTCGCCCAGCCCCGCTACAAAAACCTCGTCACCATGTACGGCCTCGTCAACGAGCCCCGCAACGTCGAACTCGACACGGCGCGCGTCGTAAACTGGACCCAAGCCGCCGTCGACCAGATCCGCGCCGACGGCATCGGCGGCATCATCGTCTTCGGCGACGGCTTCATGGGGCTGGACAACTGGCAGGGCAAGCTGCAGCAGAACAAGAACCTGCTGCTGGACGTGCACCAGTACGTCATCTTCAACGTCGACCAGCTGTCGCTCGGCCACCGCGACAAGCTCAACTTCGCCTGCTCCGCGTGGACCCAGCAGTCGCGCCGCTCCATGGACAAGACCACGGGCTTCGGACCCACCATGTGCGGCGAGTGGTCCCAGGCGGATACAGACTGCACACAGTACATCAACAACGTCAACATCGGCACGCGCTGGGAGGGCACGTACGACACCGGCAACGCCTCGACCTCGATCCTGAAGCCGCAGTGCCCGGAGCCCGCGCGCTGCTCGTGCGGCCCCGCCAACGCCGATGCCAGCGCTTACTCGGACGCGTACAAGTCGTGGCTGTACCAGTTTGCCATCGGGCAGATGGACGCGTTCGAGGCCGGCTGGGGCTGGTTCTACTGGACGTGGACTACGGAGCGGTTTTCGCAGTGGAGTTACCGGCACGGGCTGGCGGCGGGGATCATGCCCAAGCTGGCGAATGAGCGCGATTGGAGTTGTCCGAGTAATGGGCTGCAGGGGCTGGATGAGTTTGGGGGGTTGGAGGAGTTTTACTGAGGGAGATGCCTGGGGGGGGGGGGGGTGTAGATGGGGTGTGGAGGGGGTGTGTATAGATGGGAATTAGAAGGGGTGGGTGTGCATAGACATGTAGCGTTTTCGCAATTCACGATTTTTCACGATAGTCACGCGTGCGGGAGTGTGTGCATGTTTCAGTAGGCCAGTGTGCCCTGTAGAACGTGGTGGAGGGTGCGGTATATGCACTGTTACAAAGTACCGCGTAGCATGGCTTCCACACCCGTTCAACCCTACCTCCCGCCCTCTACATCTGCGCATCCACCCTCCTCTCGACCAAACCCGCCCGCCCACCGCTGGAGTTAGTGTCTGAGATACTGGGGCACGGAGAGGAAACGGGGGCTTGATAACCGAACCCGCCGTCTGCTTCCGCGCGGCTGTCTCTCCTGCCAAATGCCAGTTGGTCGTCTAGGTACACTGTGTCTTGATGGATACGTAAACCTGTATTCAGAACCTCGCTACGTGCTTTGTTAAAGTGAAGATGGGAAGGAGAGTGCACGATGGCGCTACATAAAGAGTCGGACCTGCGGGGTGGACTAGGCTGCTGGATGTTCTGGGGCTGTTCTTGTATGCGGTGTCGAAACTCTCCAGGAGTACGCTGATGGTGGAGGTGGTGATTGAATCACGGCTTTGTGGTGTACTGTTGATGAAGGGGGGGGGGGGGGGGGGGGGTCCTGCATGCTGGAGCTTCGCTGGCTTCGCTGGCATTCTGTCAGAACGCAGCAGTGCACGAACAAACACACAACACCCAGTATCTGCGTCCTCGCAGCCCAGCCCGTGAAACCCAGGAGCCGCCACCTGGCATTCCCGCCTGCTCACGCGGCGACCGAGTGGCCACCAGCAATCCCAACCCCAACCCCGAGATTGACATTTGCCCACCGCAACTCCGCTAGCGCCACGCACCACGCACCACAACCCCCCGACCCCGCGCACCCGCAGCCCGGAAAGCCAATAATCCCGCCGCAGCAGCCGTGCGCAAAACCGCCGTGCCGCAGGACGCGCACACCGCGCGGCCAGAAGCTCACCCGCCGCTGATCGCGCCCCGCAGCGTCCCGCCACCGGCCGGCGATAAGACCGCGCCGCCCGCCGCCGCAGGCATCCCGCAGCGTCCAGGAACCTCCTTGCACCGTACTGCACCTCCTCCAGCCCGCTACCGCGCGCCACACTTCGAGCCCACGATGCCGCGCTTCCTCCGCCGCATCTTCAGCGACGCGCACCTACGCTTCCGCCGCGCGCCCGCGGACACGGATATCACGCCGTCGCGGCGCGTCATCACCAAGACCACCGAAAGACCTGAGAGGAGACTCCGAGCGCGGCTGTCGCAGCTCAATCTCGCGCTGCACCCGCAGCTGGACGGGCGCGCGGAGCTCGACACTGCGGGGTCTGCGCGGCCGCTTTTTGCGCCGAGTATTGCGTCGCACGAGCTTGAACATGAATATGGTGCTGGTCGGGGGGAAGGGAAGGGCAAGCAGAAGGAGAAGGAGCCCAGGCGGCGGCTGAGCAAGAGACATCGTATGCCGGACCTGAACGCTTGAGGGCGGGCTACCGTATCGCTGGGGCTGGGGCTGGGGCTGTGGATTGGAGATGGGGGGGGGGGGGGGGGGGGGTAGCGAGCAGCGCAGCGCGGGGGTGGTACATTGTTTGTGAGCGAGAGCGCGAAGCCACAGTCGGGGGTTCGTGGGGCGGAGACGGTTCTGTGGCAGCAGCAATGAGGGGGTCGGGCTGCGGTCTGCGGTCTGCGGTCTGCGGTCTGCAGTCGCGATGCAGACGCCAGACGCCGCACACCAGCGCCCTCCCGCTGCACCACGACCCTACACACCCCGAACCCCAACGTAGACTTACCCGCGCCCGCCTCCATCCCTCTACCGCGCGGTCCCAGCCCTGCGCACGCCTCAGCCACCGCGCACCCCAGCCCAGAACCACCGCCCCCGCCCAGCGAGCTCCGACCGCACTGCGAGAAACCACGCCAGCGAGTACTGCAGCCTAGGACTGCCGTCGCGGCAAGCGGACGAGGAGGGTGGAGATAGTCTGAGGGTGGTGTGCGCCGCTCGGCGGGCGGCGGGCGGCGGGATGGTTGCTGGGCTCGTAGGATGAGGTTATGGGTGATGTATCGCTCTCGAAACATGTATCAGGACACAAAATAGATCAATGACACACACCACCCACACGTCCCATCGCGGCGACTCCATAGCTGTGTCTGCTCTACACCCCGCAGCGGGTGCGTGATCGTCTCGTCGAGATAGCTATACAACCCTGTGCTGCACTGCGTCGACAACATGGAGAGGCTGTAGATGTGCGCTCGCTAGGTGCCTGGGAGTACACGTGGTCAGGCATGCACGCTGTGGCGCTCTAATCCGTGCTGGACACTTGGCCTTGGTTCGTTGTACTTCTGAGTGTACCTACAGCGTCGAAGTTGGTTCTCGGGTGTATGAGAGATTTGGCTGTTTTGAAAACTACGTTGGGTCTGAGAACTATTGCAGATGTGGAAGCGTCGCAATGCATCGCCGTGCTGCGTGACCTAGCGCCGTGGGAGAGCGTGAGGAGAGGACGCCAGGACTTGTGTGTCTTTCTTGTGAAGTGGGCTACTGGTATACATGTTTCGATTCGGTTCGATTCAATTCAATTCAATTCATACACTGTCCTACCCAGCACCCCCGTCCCTCGAAACGCACACCCCCAACCTTCTCCCCACCGCCTAGTCATCACTATCATACTCCTCATCATCATCCCCCAACAGCGCCGGATACTGCCTGCGCCTGAGATCCTGCTCCAGCCCACCCTCGCTCTCCGGATCCACATACCCCGCGCCGCCAAACAGACTCAGCAGCACGGGGAGCAAGATGAGCGCGTGCGTCGACGCCCACAGGACGAGCGCAGCCCAGACGCGGAAGTAGTAGATTTCGAAGATCTGGATGCGCGTTAGTGGACGGGTTGAGGGGCTGGGGAGAGAGGAAGAGGAAGAGGAAGAGGAAGAGGAAGAGGGAGAGGACGTACCTTGCTGCGTGTAAACGCCAACACGCCGACGCCCAGGATCTTCGTGATCGTGATGCCGCTGATCACACTCCCAGCGACATTGACCAGCGCCGTCCAGGCACGCGCGTCGCGCCCGCGGAACGCATGGCGGGGCGCGCGTTCCATGGTCGCGCGGCTGGGGAACGTGAAGGCGCGGGCGATGTGCGCGGTGAACTCGACGCTGATGCCGACGCAGATGATGAGGTTCACGAGCGATACGGCGTTGAGCGAGACGCCGAGCAGCGCCATGGAGCCGATGATGGCGGAGACGGTCATGGCGACGACGAGGGTGACAATGAGGCCGGTGGCGAGGGAACCCAGGAGGATCGTGGTGATCAGGAGGACGGCGGCAAGGGCCGAACCTAAGAGGGTCGCTGTGAGGCGCACGATAGATGTGTACTGGTCGAAGAAGATGTAGAATTTAGAATAAGGGAAGACTTCTGTCTCGACGTCTTTGGAGATCTCCTTGGCGATGCGACGCGCGGCGGTGTAGGCGGCGATGAAGTCGCTCTGGGAGCGTACGCGGGTGTGTGAGGTGCGGAAGTGCGATGCGGGGATCGTATTGTGTTTGGCGTCGACGACGACGGCGTCCGCGTAGGCAGCCTTGCCGCCGAGGGGGCAGTCCTCGGTAGTCGGCGCCTCGAGCCAGCGTTCGAGGTAATAGGTGAACTCTTCGCCCTCTGGCATGCCATACAGTGTCATGTTCCACGCTGGCGTACGGTTGGCGAAGCAGGGTTTGCCCTTGTCGACGCAGCACTTCTCGTTCTCCGGGTTCAGCCAGAGGAAGAAGTCATCCAGCCAACTAGCGGCAGGTGCAGCCAGGTATGACACCTCTGGCCGTTTGCGCTCGGCCTCGATGATATTTGCAAGACTGCCTTGGTCGCACGTGGAGAAGCGGCCGCATAGCTCTTTCTGTGGCGCTCTCTCGGTGACGTTAAGCTCTCTGGTCACGAAGTAGACTGGCGGGCCGACCTCAAGGTAGTCGTAGAGATCGTTGAAGTACGGAATGAGGTAGGAGTCGCTCGGCATAGCGATTCGCTGATCAAGGCCAAGCTCGACGGCGGGGAAGAGGGCAACGCCAGCCGTGAAGATACCGAAGAAGATGGCAAGAATCACAACCTTGGTCTTCTTGCCTAGCAGAGCCGGGGCATAGGTCTTACGGATGAAGCGCTGCAGAGCACCCTCTTCGCCAGCACCAGGGTTGAGATAGCCAGAGTCCGCCTTAGCCACCCGAAGGAAGGGAAAGCAGTCGGCGCGATTCGTTTCAACGCGTTGCTGATTCAAAGACAGTACAGCAATGAACATTGTGACTTGGAGAATGGCGTTGATGAACACGGCGCCCGCGGCGTATGCAGCAAAGTTGCGCACAGCAGGCATTCCCACTGCGCAGCCAAGAGCAAATGCGGTCGTCTCGGTCAATGCAGACAGAAGGATTGAAGGTCCCATACGACCAAGAGCCCGGGAAACGCGTTCTGGAATTGTCCCTTCCGGATGGCTGATGTTGATGCGCTCAAACTCGTGTACAATGAGGAAGATGTTGTCGACACCAACAGCCAGCACCAGGAAGGGAATGACCTCGGCAATAATCAGGGTTACCTTGATTCCTGCGGCAGAGAAGAGACCGACAGAAGCGGCGACGGACATCAGGACAATGAGAATGCCAACGGTACCCAGCATGAACTTGGACTGCACAAGTGCGTTTGCTGGGTTTCTGAGGACAGACCGCAGGGTAAGTGTGGTTGAGCCCAGTGCAAGCGATGCGTACAAGAACATGATGATGTAGCTCACCACAACAATCTTTGCATCTGTGTTGGTGCTCTTGTTGAGCTCTTGCTCGAGACTGACCTCGGTGCTGAAGCTCAGACGTAAGCCGCGGCTTTCTGCGTCTTCTTGCACCAGCTTGAGGTAGCTCTTCATTTCGTCCTCGAAATCCATAGCGAGCTGCAGCTCAGGTGTGCCTTCAGGATGGTTCTTAACCACCCACGTAACGACCAGCGCTTGGGCGTCAAGAACGCTGTTATTCACACCACCAAACAAGAGATGCGGGTCTAGAGGCTGCTGAAATGTTGGCAAGCACTGGGTTGGGTTGTCAACGCAGTCCATGATGTCGTCGCGCCAGGTGCTAGGCGAGAGGTTTGCGAAATCGCCTTGGAAATAGCCAGTCACCGACTGGACAATGCAGGCATCTTCGACTGGCTTGAAGCAGACTTGATCGAGAGTGACACCGCTCTGGGACGACTTGAGGCGGCGAATCTGGTCTTCGACACCAAACCACCAGTCGAGGGTCTCGTAGCTCAGCACCGGGGCGCCTGGGTGGGTGTCATTGACGAGGAAGGCTTGCTCGGCTCGGAAGAATGGGCCAAACTTCTCGTCAAAGAAGGCCTTCTCTTGCGCAGCCGGCGAGTCCGGAGCGACCCACAAACGAACAGGGTCAGTCTCAATCGCGAAACGTAGCCAACCTAAGCTCATCAATCCAACGACAGCAACGCTGGTGATGATGGTGATGACGGGAAATCTTGCGCAAACGTAGCCGAGACGGCTGAAGAGGCGGTCGCACCACGTGTTTACAAAATAGTGTTTCGTGGGGCGGTCGAGCATGCTGATGTTGTGGACGATATCACCCTCGTCCTCGTCGTCGCTGGGCTCGAGATCCTGGAGCAGACGGAGTCGTTCGTTCTTCTGTTGCGAGTGCTTGCGATATGCGACGTGTCCGGCGACAGCGAGGCATAAAAGGCCGAGGAAAACAGAATAGACGAGGATGACTGCGAACGAGAGACAGGGCAGTAGGCCGACGTGGCACTGCTTGACCTCGGTCACTTCGGGCAGCTCAGTGCACGAAGCGCCGCAGTCGAGACAAGCACACCTGTACAGCTCGTCTTCGGTATCGCACGGATATGCGTGCTTGTTCATAGCCGCCATGTCGGGGAAATCGGCATCGTTGGGGCGCGGGAAGTCCATCTGAAAGGGGGATCCAAGAAACTTCTTGTCGCCGAGGAATTTCAAGAACTGAGTGTAGTTCTTCGCGCCGCCACCGATGAAGTCCATAGCCTTGCCGTTTGTCGCGCCGAACTTGACGTCCTTGCAGCTGTCGTAGAATGTGCCGGCATATTCATCCGATACGAGGTGAGTCAATTGGGTGACCAGGAACTTGTCGCCTTTCGGCGCGGTGTCTGTAATGTTGATGAACAACGACTGGTCCGGCGAGCAGGTGAAGGTGCAGAACATGTTGTAGAAGTTCTCCTTGCAAGCCGGGCAGGCGTTGATGATGGGCGTGGCGCGATCGAGGTTCGTCTTGAGGACTTCCAGCTGCTCTGCCTCACAGCAGACATCTGTGTCCGCCCATTGCGAGCCGCAGATGTCGACTAGCTGCTTCCTGACGTCGTCCGTCGGCGCCTTCGCCAGGCCGTTGTCTGGACAGGGCAGCTCGGAGCCGAAGAAGCTCTGCTTGCCGCACTGCCCTCGTATCGCGCACCGTCCCTTCTCGTGCTTGATGGTCAGATCAGGGCCGGCGAGCGCTGAGACAGTGAGCATGGAGAGCAACCCCACTGTCATCGCCCGCCATCCTGCCGAGCACCGCTGTGCCATCTTGTTGCAGCACTTCCCGACAGATGCACGTCCCAGCGCTATCAACCGAGCGTAGGGCTGCGCAAAGCTACTAGATACAGTGATAGAGGCAGTCGGGGGCGTGCGAGTGTATGCGCGATTGCTGGCGCGGTAGGAGCCGAGGTGGCGCGGAGCTCGGATCTCTGGAGCTTGGAGGTCGCCAAAGTCGAGGTCGGGAGAACGGGTGTGAAGCTGTGCACAGCTGTGGTGATGCAACCTTTCGAAGCTAACTACACCGCGACTGACAATCGTGGCGTGGTAGGGGAGCTGTGAAGGCGTGAAGCGTGAGGCAGCTGTTTGTCTCATGCGCAGACGAGACGTCACAGCGCGGCAAGCCGCTAGGAACAGGCAGGATCGACGTCACGCGGAGACGCCTCAATCCAGAACATCAGCACCAGCCACGCCTTTCCCAACAATGCCATGTTACAGTCGCTGAATCGCCATCGATCTTGCTCATGTGTTAAGGAATGCCATTTAGGCGTCTAATCTTCATTCAAGGTCCTATTTAATCATAAATCCGTGGTATCAATATACCTCGTACCACCAGTCATTATCATCATTTACAAGTGTCTCGCGACGGGGTATCCATGCTTTTGCTCCATGTCCTTCATCAACCATCTACTTGCGCAGGTACTGAACAAGCTCCGTAAGCTGCGCACGTGTCTCGTCCTCCAACTGGTCCTCGGCAGTCAACGCCTGCTCGAAGATGGGCATCAATGTGGGGGTCAGCTGCTGCACAGTGGGGTCGTTCCTCTGGTACAGCTTGACGATCATGCCGAAGATAGGCTTGTTCTCCTCGTAGTCCTCACGGAGAGGCAGGAGCTGGACCACGCGAGGCAGGACCTCGGCGACCGGGAGCCTGTCAGTGTGCTTGGAGATGAATCGGCTGACACATCCCGCGGTGTTATCCAAAAGACGGGGCTGGTCCTTGGCGTCGAGAAGGGGCTCAATCTTGGAGAAGATGGTGGGGAGGCTCTTGACAATCTCGTCGTTGTTGGAGGTCATCTCGCACAGAAGTCCCATGCCGTAGACCGCGTTGGACTTGGTGTCAGGGTCCTCGTCGGACAGGCGGTGCAGCAGAAGCTTGAGCAGACCGCTCGAGTACTGGGTGCATCCCTCGCCCATGTTACCAACGCACTCGGCGATGGTACCAACGGCTGCGCTGCGCTCGGTAGATTCCTGGCTGCTGGCATACTTTATGATGGGCTTCTCGAACATCTTCCAAAGCTCGGCGAACTGACCGCCAAGGGCGACAGCCAAGCAGGTAACAACCTCCATGGCGGTCTCAATAACCAGCCAGTCGTACTCGGAGGACTCATCGAGGTCGTCAATCTCCTCGCCTTCGTCACCAAGATCCTGCTGGCAGGGGTGGCGCTTGGTAATGACAGCGAGCAGCTGCTGGCACATCTCGGGCACAACGGTACCATTCTCGGTCATCAGTACTGCAGGACCGCAGAGCTTGAGAGTGGCAGCGACATCGCGGTTGATGTCGGTGACAGTGCCCCTATTGGTTGTCAGTCATGGTCTTAACAAGATCGACATTCATGTTTCATGTATTGGAGGGCTCAGACGTGATTTCGCTTTCACCTCAAGTGCACGTTGTGCATCGGAGTGAGCTGGGATTAACGAAGATTGTGTCATCTTTGCGAGGGAGGGTTGCATCATCGGAAAAGAGTGTACGTACCGGTCCATCTCGTCTTGCCAGGTCGCCATGGTGGCGGTCATGACGAGGTTGCCAAGCTTCTTCAGCTCCGCAGGAGGCTCAACCTTGAGGGGCAGGCCAGGCGACCACTTGGCCATACCATCGCCCTCGGCCATGCCGAAGAGGCAGGCAAAGGTGCGCCAGAGTGTGCCGAGGGCAGCCTTGCGGATACCCTCGTAAGAGTGGTCGACAAGCTCCAGGAGCTTGGTGACAGTCTGCTCGAGGTAGGGAATGAACTCGCGGCGGGTGTGGGTGATGATGTCGCCAAAGACCTCAGCAGCAATCTCCTTCTCCATAGCGACAGCTGTGACGCCCTCAAGGTCATCCCAGTCGTCGTCATCAACCATGGCATCGTTCAAGTCCTCAAAGTCGTCATCATCATCCTCGCCAGCAGCCATAACCTTGACCTTCTGGCCCTCGATGATGACCTCCTGACCAACAAGCTCGCTGGCGTGCTCGCCAAGCTCGACGTCAGTGCCAGTCTCGTCCTGCTCGAGGCACTCGTTCAGACCCTTGACAGCGCCGGGGAGGTACTTCGCAAAGCCCTCCTCGTAGACCTTGGCCATGGTGCTCCAGAGGATGTAGCTGGTCTCACGCAGACGGGGGTGATCAAGGTGAAGTGCCTCCTCGGAAGCCTCCATCAAAGGCAGAACGTAGGGCTCAAAAGGCTCAGGGCCAACAGCCGAGGCGATCTTGCCCATGGAATCACAGGTGACTCCACGGAGGTCCAACTCATCCTGGCTGTCCTTGATCCTGACGTAGGGGGACAGCTCGTTCATTGTCTGCTGGAAGAACGGCAGGAAGGCCTTCTCGGCGGCCGAAGCGATGGAGCCGACAGCGCCAATGGCAGCGCTCTTGGCCTTCAGGTCCTCGTGATGGAAGAGCTTGCTGAAGCGAGGTACCAACTCGGGGACGTACCTGCCGGCATCCTCGGGGTCAAGGCCCTCAATCAGAGAGTCAACAGCGTGGCAGGTTCCACGAACAATGGAGAGAGTGCGCTCGTCATCAGCGCTGGGCGCGTTCTGGACAGCGAGATCGAAGTTCTTGATCATAGCGGGGATGAGCGTGGCGTGCTCCTTGCCAACATCCTCAGCAAGGTCATCGGCCAAGCGGGCGACACCGTTGAGGGCAGCGGCGCGGACCTTTAGCTCAGGGTCTTCGAGAAGGTGATAGACCATGGGCAGGATCTCGTGGAGCTGAGTGGCGATGAAGTCAGGGGCACCCTCAACGCACATACCCAGAGCGAGGATACCAGCCTGGCGGTAGTCGGGGTTCTGGGAGGAGAAGTAGTTGCCAAGGTTCTTGAGAAGGGGAATGACGACCTGGCTGGGGGGAAGGCTGGAGGCCAGGATGTCGAGCAGACCGAGAGCGGAGCGGGCAGGTGTGACATCCTCGTCCTCGCTGGAGAGGTCACCGAGTTCGGTGACGATGTGAAGAGCCTTCAGTGTAAGCTCCTCGCCAATCTTGAGCGCCTGAACCTTCAGCTTCCTGTAGCGCACGCACTGCATGAGGAATGCAAGGGACTGGGAGCGGTAGTCGTCCTCAACATCGGTGGAGGAAGAGAGCTCGAGCATGAAGCGGACGAGATCGCCAAAGTGCTTCTGGAGCAGGGCAGACTCGCAGCCGAGAAGTGTCTGGAAGACCTCGAAGGCCTGCATAGCGTGGTCCTCATCACCCTCGTCGACCGACTGCTTCAAGACAGCGACCATCTGGGGGATAGCCTGCTGGAAGGCCAGCAGAGACTTGGCATCCTCCTCAGGCTCGAGCAGCATAGCCATGCGGCTCAACCCAACCATGGTGTTGATCCTGACATCGGCGCTCTCGGGGTCTTGAATGGTCTTGCTGAACAAGTTGTAGAGGTCAGCCGGCTTTCCTGGGAAGGAGTCGCCGGTCTGCTCGAGAGTTGTCCAGATGATGAAGGTGCCGACCTCCCTGTGCTGTGCGGTGCTGCTGGTGGAGGCCTGGTGGAGGAGGGCGGGCAGGTCAGCCCATTGTCCGTCCTCAAAGTCCTGCGCGGCGATGGCAGCAACAACGCGGGCGGCAGAGTGCCTTGTGAGCTTGGTCTCCTCGTTCAGGGTGAACTGCAGCAGCTGGTTGCGGAGGGACACCTTCTGGTCCTCGGGCAGCGCAATCCAGTGCTTGACGACCAGCTTGCGGGCCTCGACGGCGGCAAGCTGCTTCAAGCCCTTGTCGGGGTGCCCGCAGAGAACCTGCAGCAGGGCATTGAGCGACGCGGGGGAGTTGTAGTAACTCTTGTTCAGAGTGGCCGTAGCATTCTTGACAACATCGGTGTCAGCTGGGAGATGTTAGTCGAGCACTGGAGGTGAGGGGGAGGAATCGTACGCTGCAGCAGGCTCTGGAGCAGCTGAACAAACTGTTGCTCGTCCATGGCGCTTTTACAGTGGTAAATGTAGAAGCAGGCCTGGGAAAGATCGGTCGCACAACAGAGCGAGGAAATTTATGGCGGGGCTCTCAAATAATTTCGGACAGGGTCTCACTAGCGCCGTTGCCCCCCGCGCTCATTGGCCGCCCCAGTCGCGTGCATCGACGGACGTGACGGCGCCAGTGACACCTCTCACGTTGCAGGATAAATGGTGGACTGCGGACGTGAGCCAGGTACACCACACGACAGCGAAGTAGGGAAAACACTAAAGAACACTATATATTACTTTTTCGCCTACAAAGTAGGTAACTCTTTTTTGAATCTTTGCTTTTGGTACTACAATTGCTACAAGTGCTATATTAAAGTTGGTTGGCTTAAAAGGTCGCTCATCCGCCATTCTCCCTGGAACTCGAGAGACAGCCTTGAGATGTGGTTGAGCGTGGTGTCAAGTGCGGTCCTTGGAGTTGGTGACGTGATTTGACTGTCCAGATGTTCGTTGATGTTGTGTACCACGGTTCGTCTTTCACGGCCACACTATGCCAGTGCTGCATGTCAAACCCCGCTAAAGGGTCCAAGTACAAACCCCAACGCCCATTCGGCGGTTGAATGTCGGACCTTCATTGCAAGGTGAACTATAGGGGACAACAAATGATGTCTGCTCAGGGGTTGCTCAGGCAGTGTTTTATTCCAGCACGTGTGCGAATTGTTATTGGTCGAATGGAGGCCAGCGGGAAGATGTCCTGAATCAGGTCAATGCATTGAGAGGTTCGGAGGATAGTCTCGTGGTTGTTGGTTGCAATGGTCCAGTGTTCGGTGAGCGGCTGGTACACGATGCAGGCGAGACAAGAGCAGTCTCAAGCTCTCCAAGACGGCAGGACATGTAGTCGTGGGCCGCACTCGAAACACAAGACGGAGATGGCCATGGAGGAGCTTCGGACAGACGGGCGGGCAGACGCAACAGCCTGCCTGTGACAAAAAAGCAAGGCGTCGCGGCGACATGGCACTCTGCCGCTGATCCATGACAGAGGCCAGACGCGCTACCTCGCACGGGCCATCGCACCTCCCATGTTTGCACGAAACGAACAGCAAGCGCCCTCACCGTCGCCATCACCACCTAATAATCGCAGAGGCCCCATCATCCCTCGCCTTCACCGCACGCCCTTGAGAGCATCCCGCGCATCAGCCCCTCCCCGCCGCCCGCCCCGCTCCACCTGGCCGCTCCGCACCGCCGACTCGACTCTATGGCTTCGGTACGTCTTCAGTGCGCCGCCCCTCTGCCCCCACACACTGACGGCGACCAGCAAGCTCCCAACCAGCCGCGCCCGTACCCCGGCAACTACCTCCCCAACGGTGGCGCGCCGTCGGGCCCCGTGCCGGGCGCAGTGCCGCTGCTCCCCAACCAGGGCCGCGTGATCCAGCAGGGCAGCGCGCGCGTGCTGTGCATCGCCGACGTACGAGGTAAGCATACCGCTGCGCCTGCGGAAGAGGCCGCCCGGCCGACAGCGTGACGGACACCCAGACTGACCTGCGCAGGCAACCTGCAGTCGCTGAACCAGCTCGCGGCCGACGCCCGGGCAAACTACATCATCCACACGGGCGACTTCGGCTTCTACGACGACCGCTCGCTCGACCGCATCGCCGACAAGTACGTACACTGAGCGCACTGCCCACGTGACGAGGGCTAACCGGCGCAGGACACTGAAGCACGTTGCGCAATACTCGCCGCTGCTGTCGGACAGCGTCAAGCGCTCCATCGCCCAGGCCCCGCCGCAGCCCCCCATCAAGGAGCGCTTCCAGCGCGAGCACCTGCCGCTGTCGGAGCTGCCGCTGTTCCTCAACAAAACATACACACTCAACGTGCCCGTCTACACAGTATGGGGCGCCTGTGAAGACGTGCAGGTGCTGGAGAAGCTGCGGTCGGGCGAGTACAAGATCGACAACCTGCACATCATCGACGAGGCCCACTCGCGGCTGTTGGACGTTGGCGGCGTGAAGCTGCGCCTCCTCGGCCTGGGTGGTGCCGTGGTCATGCACAAGCTGTTCGACAACGGCGAGGGCCGGACCACCATCGCCGGCGGCCAGGGCACCATGTGGACCACGCTGCTGCAGATGGGCGAGCTGGTCGACACGGCGAACCGCGTCTACGACCCGACCGAGACGCGCATCTTCGTCACCCACGCCTCGCCCGCGCGCGAGGGTCTGCTGAACCAGCTGTCCGTCACCCTCAAGGCCGACTTCTCCGTGTCCGCCGGCCTGCACTTCCGCTACGGCAGCTCGTACAATGAGTTCAGCGTCAACCCGACTCTGGACCACTACCGCGGCAAGCTCGCCGCCTCCAAGGCCTCGTTCAACGACGTGTGGGACACAGTCAAGTCCGAGGTCGAGCCGGCCATTGCCGACAGCGACTCGCAGCAGCGCCTGCTGAACCTGGCCCTCGACATCGTCACCAAGATGCCCACCGTGGCCAACGGCGGCAACCCCTTCGGCGGGCCCACCCCCGGGCCCCAGAGCGGCGTCATCGACGAGAGCGCCTTCAAGAACATGTGGAACTTCAACCTGGCCGACGCCGCCTACGGCTGGCTGGTGCTGGACATTGACAACGGCCGCATTGGCACCGAGATGCGCGCCCAGGGCTTCAACTTCGCCCACCGCGGCGGCAAGGTTGGCCAAGCCGGCCAGCCCGCACCTGCTGCGGCCACGTCGGTCACACCGGCCGCCCCGAGCCCTGCTCCTGGCCCGTCGCCTGCCCCAGGCCGCCCAGCCAATGCACCGGCCAACGCCCAGCAGCCCCGCCCTGCCGTCCCCACGCCCGTCCAGAACAAAGCCGCTCAGCCCGCACGCACCGGACCCTCCCCCGCGCCTGCGTCCAAGGACACCAAGGCTGCCACACCCCAGCCCGCCAACGCCAACGCCCCCGCGAACGCCGCCGCCGAGAAGGCCATCCCCAGCGAAGTCAAGTCGAACGGCACAACCGCACCTGAGAAGGGCCCCGCCTCGCCTGCCCCCCGCGAGCCCGTTGAGCGCAAGGAGAGCAAGGGCCTGTTCATCACAGGCGTCAAGGACGAGGAGGAGGCCAAGGGCCTGCTGGCCGAGGAGGACCGGCCCAAGATCGAGAAGCTGGAGAAGATCAAGCACTTCTTCGTCGCCCACTTCAGCTCGCCCGCCGACATGCAGGCAGCTCTCAACCGCGTCTCGGCCGACATCAAGAACGCCCGCGGCGGCCCTGACAAGCCCAGCGTCAAGATCTACAACGAACGCGGCGGCGGCGCCCCCAGGTACGGCGCCGGCAGCTGGCAAGCAAGCAGCCGCGGCGGCGCAGCCGGCACAGGTGGCTACCGCAGCGGCGGTGCTTCTGACAGCGAGGGCGGCCGTGGCGCGCGTGGAGGTCGAGGCGCACGAGGCGGAGCCTTCCGCGGAGCCGAGCGCGGCGACAGAGGCACAGCCCGCGGCCGTGGTGCACGAGGCTCCTTCCGTGGCGCGCCTGCCGAGGGCGCTGCTCCCGCCGACGCCTAAGCTGCCCGCTTCCCCCTCACTCCCTTATCTCTGATACCCCTTCTCCGGATCCGCTGCTGCGCTGCCCCGTACTGCCCTGCACGGTGCCTCGAAGCCGCTGCATAGCTGCCGGCACTGCATTGCACGGCACTGCGCGCGCCCGCTCAGCGCCGTTTTTCGTTTTGTCACCCCGCGGAGCAATACCAACATTACCATTACCACTTCTTTTGCGTTTTTACGGCGCCGAAGGCGTGTTACTTCTCCTGTCCCCGTGTTGCCCCGTGGTTTCTGTGCTGATTTGGGTGGGTGGGGGCGTCGGGTGCGTCTGTGTTTTGCGCCTGCTGGGTTTTGTGCGTGGGGTTTCCTGGGCCGGGGGCGGTGCGTAGATGGTGGGCGTCTGCGTCTGTCTGTTATGGCTGGCGCTTTGGTATGGCTGCCACGTGGGTTTCATGGGTTCGTGTGAAGCCGCGCTGTGCTGGAGTAGTGGCGCGGTGTCGACGGTATGATATGGAATGAATGAAAAGATATGATATGCTGTGGTGTGTTTTGATATGCTGTGCTGTGCTGTGCTGTGCTGTGCTGTGCTGTGCGACTAAACGACAGGAGTGGTAGTGGCTCTGATGTAGATGTTGATTTTTGTTCTGATACTGCTATGCGATGCGATGCGATGCAATGCTGCCAATCCACCACCACCACCACTCCACTCCATTCCTCACGCCCTCTTCTCTCTCCCATCTTCCCATTCTTTTAGTCTTCCCAGCCTTTTCATCTTCCTTTTCGCCGTTTATCCCCAGTCTAGTCTCCACATGCAAGTTCCCCCCCCCCCCCCCCCCCCTTCCTCATGAGTCCACATCCCCCGCAGTCCCGACAGATCCCAGTAGTCCCCACAGAATCCCGTATTCCCGACAGACCACCCTACTCGTCGTCCGCCCAACTCTGCCCCTTCCGCATCGGCTCCAGGCCGAAAGACTCGACTTTTGCTATCGCGGGGCGCGCGGGGGGGTCCTGCTTGTCTGCGGGGTTTGAGGTCTTCTCGGCGGCGTCGTTGTTTTTCGCGGCAGTGTCTGTCTTCTTGTCGGACACCTTCACCTTCGCTGTATCCCCAGTCTCGTTGCTCGTGGCCGCCGGCGCACCGAGCTCGGCCTGCAGCGCTGGCTCGGATTTGCGGATATCCTCGTTCTTGGCCTCGCCTTTGCCTTTGATTTTGAATTCCTGGATGCGCGGGGCGTTGGGCGAGGGCGCCGCGGGGGTCGACGAGGGGAGTGTAGGGAAGTCTGCTGCTTTTGGTTGTGCCGGGGGTGCGTTGGACTTCGGCTCATGCGACCTGCCCTCGTGGGACCTTCCTTCGTGGCGCCCGTCGTGGTGCTCGCCGCGACCACCGCGCCCGCCGCGTCCGCCTCTGCCCCTCCCCCTGCCGCCCCGCGCGCCCGTCTCGCCCTCAAACAGCTCCCTCGCGCCGTCTCCACGCCCCTCGCGCGCCACGCCCCCGTGCGCGCCCCGCCCCGCACCCCGCCGCACCTCGCCCGTCCCGTCAAACCCCTCTTCCTTCTCGAGATCCCACTCCCGGCCCCCCTGCGCATTCAGCTTGCGCAGGCGATTGCGCTCGCGCTCGCCCATCAGGACCTGCCGCTCGCGCCGCTCGACCTTGACTTTCTCGGCCGCGGCTTTCTTGCGCGCGGCTTCCTGCGTCTTGAGCACGGCTTCGCGGGCCGCGGCGGCCGCGGCGTCGGCTTCGGCGCGCGCGTGTGCGGAGGCCAGGGCGTCGTTTTTGCGCCGCATGTTGGCCAGCTTGAGGCTGAGTTCGGCTTCGGTGAGGCGTGTGCGCTTCGAGCCGCCGGTGAGGGTGCGGTCGCCGCGCACCGAGGCTGTGGAGGGCGTCGCGGGGCCCGTGGGCGCGTCGGCGGGCGGCGAGGCGGTGGCCGCGGGGGCGGCGGGGGGTGTGGGTGCGGCGGCGCTGGGTGCGTCGGGCGCGGCGGCCTCTTCGAGCCGGATGTCGCCCACGGGCCCGCCGCGCGCGCGGCCGCCTCTCCCGCGGCCTCGTTGTTCGCCGCGTGCGCGTGGCTCGCCGCGGCCGCGACCTCGTCCTCTGCCTCGTTCGGCGCGGGGCTCGCGCGGGGCTTTGGGCGGCTGGGTCTGCGGTGTTGGGGCGGACTGTGGGGCGGGGACAAAGGCGGGGGCTGTGGCGCCGAGGGTGCTTTGCTCGACGACGGGCTGCGAGATGGGCGTTATGTCGTCGTCGAAGAAGAGGTCGTCTGTGCCGGCGGTTTGGGCGAAGGGGTCGACGACGGGGTCGGGGTAGGCTGCGTCATAGGTTACGTTGACGGCCTGGGGGTGTTAGTTGGGGAGGGTGACGGGTGAGGGGTGCGTATACAGGGGCCTCTGTTGCTGCTGTTTCTTGCTGTGTGGGTGTAGCCGCGGGCGCCTCATCCTCCTGTGTGGCCCATTTGGATTTAAGCATGCTGATTGAGTAATATGCTAAATGCAAGTAAACTGTATGTAAAAGCCAAACAGACGCGTAGTGATAGCCAATATGTACGGTCTTTGAGGTTTTGTGTAAGAGATGCAGTCGTCTACATCATCCATCAACGCACGTTACTAGCCCCAATTAGCCGTTGCCGAAGGCGGTGAAGACAGCTCCCCGCTGTGGAGACGATTCGCGACATCGCGGCGCTTCAGTGCACCACCTCCACGGACCTAGCGACAGATTGCTCAAGCGCTCTTCGTTGTTGATACACATCGATCGAAATCGGTCTGGCATGTCGAGGTCCTGCGCACCACTCAGCACGCGCAGCCTTGACCGTTCATGGCCTGCAAGACGCGGAGAAATCGAGCCGCCTACTGGACACTGCTTATCTAGCCTCATCATCTCACGTGCAAGACACCCACCGTGGTAGTCACAGTGTAAACACTGATTTCCCTGAAATGAGCAAGTCAAGATCGGCCACGGTGTTGACATGCGACAGCATCGAGTGGACATTCTCTACTACAGACACTACGATGTTGTGCAGGTGTCGCGTACGTACTCGAATCGACCAGATGTCAAACCAGTGGGGTGCAACAAGATTGACCCGTGCCACTTCACATCTCTTGCAAATCCAACAAAGTGAGCATATGACACAGTCGTCTTGAGCTCTTGTCAAAATACTCGCCAGGGGGACTTAGCCCTAGCACCGGTATGATGCTGTCCCGATTTCAAGATAGTGCTTAAATCCTCAGCTGTGGCGCACATAGCTACAATAACTCTCACACCCACACCAACATCCAACCTTCTAAAAACAGACAACCATTCCTTCCATACGGAAATGTAGGCTCTATCGCGAGGCGCACAGCCAAGCCCCCTCCAGTGGACCCAGCCTCGCCCGCCTCACCAATAGTAACCGTCCAAACCCTCCACCACAGCCTCGGCGCATGCACACAGCAGTGCGCCACCACCAGCCAGTCTCTCGTCATGCATCGCCTTGCTTACCTTCAAGTACATGTGCGCCCGCCGCGGTCTCGCGGCATTTCTCCGTTTCTCCATTCTTGCATCGCCTCCCGTGAGTACTCACGCCGCTTCTGATGCCTGTGTTCGCGCCGCGCGCAGCCGACGTGCAGTATGCGCCTGTCAGCGCGCAGGAGACCCTGGGAGAGACCGGGGCGCACGCAGCGAGCGGTGCAGACAGTGTGAGCGCAGAGTCCAGTGACCATGGGGCGCACAGCGAAGAACCTGCTTCGGGGGTGCGCAACGCAGGGTCCCGCGCTGCGTACAAAGGGCCCGAGATTGTTGGGTGGCCTGGGGCACCGGCGAAGCTGAGCGGGTTTTCGGTGCCGCTGTTTGTGGGGGATGTGTTGCTTGTGCTGCTTCCGATTGCGTTTCTAGGTATGTTGGTTGTGCGTTGTATATCGGGCTCTGGCTGATTGGTGATAGTGTTGGGGATAGCGGCGTGGCGGCTTGATGGCAAGGGCTTGTCGGAAATGGGAGCCACTGTTGAACGAGCGATGCAGCTTGGTCCTACTATCTATCCTCTTGCTTTTGCGGCGATTGGGAGTCGCTGTCTTAGGAATGTGGCTGTTCGACTTGCAGAGCGTGGTACTACTATAGCAGTACGTTCCACTACCTCGATTTTAGTAATGACTGACCTGCCATAGACACTCGAGAAGCTCTTGGGTAGTCAAAGCCTAGTGTCCGCAGTCGGGACAGCTTTTACTCTTCGATCTGTCAGCTTACTGTCCCTCAGCCTCTTGTCACTTTGGGCCTTGTCGCCCTTGGGTGGACAGAGTTCGCTACGACTGATTCACCAAGTAAACTCGACGATATCCGAACCAGGCACTGTCTTCTTCTCTGGCCATGATGCTCCGTTCGACCCGGACGAAACTGGGCCAACGCTACCCATCGTTCCTGCGATTCTCTCCGCGAGTCTTGCTTCATCGCAAGAGACAAAGGCCTTGCCAGTTGATCTATGGAACCACCCAAAGATTCCCAGACTCGATGCTATCGAACGTCTCGCCATGACCGGCATGACTGATACAGGCGAATGGATTGAAGTCGATGCCGCAGCAGAACAGCAGTACTCCTCATGGGCTGGAGTCAATGTGCAGAACCTACAACGGACTGGAAACGTCGACTTCCAAGTTCCCTATAACTACATCCATCTCGAATGCGAGGTGTTGTTTAGCGGAGCGGCTTACACAGTGTGGGAGGATATGTTAGACGCCAAGTTAGCAATGAGCCCTGCTATAGCTACTAAGCTGCCTGGGAACAACAGGAGCTCTCCTGAAACTGAGGCTTACGCGGCTCTAGCAACCAGAGATAACTTACCTGCATTGCCGATGTTCCTGAAGGTCGCCTACCCATCCAACACCACCCATAGGGACAGAGCCAAAACACCCGATGCCGGATTCGTGCCTGAGAATCAACCCATCAGTCTGCTCTACGGTGCAAAATATGCAAACAGTACGGGATCAAACGAAGTCACCCAGGTCTATACATGTGCGCCCCACGTAGTCACGCTGGATGCACGCATCACCTGCCAGGCCGGCAACTGCGCCGCCACCCAGCTCCGCTACGTGCCCGGGCCCTCTCGACGCGAGCTAGAAACGACCTGCCGCACGCGGTACACCATTGGCTGCCTGGCCTTCGCCACCGCCGCAACGCGCCCGTTCATCCGCTGGCTGCCCCAGATGCTCGACTCGCCCATCACCAGCAAACGCAGCCCCTTCGACGACTGGATCGGCGGCGCCAACGTCACCTACCCGGGCTACACCGACGACCTCAAGAGCGGGCCGCGCGTCGCCGACGCCATCCCCGCCGCGCGCATCGCCCGCCGCCTGACCGCCGTGCTCAACACCTTCTTCCAGGCCGTCGTGTGGGGCCCGCAGATCACGCGCGCGGGGCTGTTCGACGCCCCGCAGCCCGTCGACGACAACGCGTACTCGTATCTATACCAGGCGGCGCCGGAGCGCTACATCAACGCCACGGACGCCGTGTTCTCGCGCGCCGTGCTGGTGTACGACGCGAATGGGGGCTGGATCGCGACGCTGCTTGTCATCACCGCCGTGCTGCTCCTGCTCAGCATCGCCAACATAGTCATCTCGTTCCTGACCATTGCGCCGGATCTGTTCTACTATGCGTCGTCGCTGGCGCGCGAGAACCCGTACACGGATACGCCGACGGGGGGGACGGCGATGAATGGCGGCGAGCGGAGTCGGTTGCTGAAGGCGATGAGGGTGCAGATTGCGGACGTGAGTCCGGAGAGTCAGGTTGGATATGTGGTTCTGAAGAGTGTGGGGGAGGGCGACGACTTTGCGACTGGGCGGCTGCGGAAGGATAGACTGTACTGGTGAAAACCGGGCCTTCAAGACAGGCAGTAAATTCGAAAGCCATGCATCGCAACGCAGCAATTTCACATGACATGTCGGCTCGGCCCTCGTACGCTTTACCCACCGCCAAAATCGTCCCATACCGCCTGCCCGTCCGCCTTCCCCTCCCGCTCCTTAGCCCCCGTACATAACACTCTACACTTGCCTCGTGCGCGCTGACCGGCCACCGCTTGCGCTGGTCCACGCACCCCTGCCGCACAGTAGGTAAGTACTGAGGCTGGTGAGTGTGTACATAGTGGAGGTGATGGAGACGCGATATAGGGTAGGGCTGTTGCCGCCGGTGGGGCAACTAGGGTTCCCTTAGGGGGGGGGGCGGGGGCAGAGCGGACGAGTGGGGTGGACTAGTTAGCTATGGAAAGGTGGTTGGCGGGAGGGACTTTCCCAGTCAGTGTCAGATAGGAAAGAGAGGTATGATCGTACGGGTTGATTAATTGATTGATTGATTGATAATTGTTTACGTCAAAAGGGGCTATCCTCAATAAACCGGCCTCCCATGGGGCACTAATTGACGTGTGAACAGAGGGGAATCAGGGGTTGCAGCCCCTGGCCTCCTCTAACACAGTTCGCTGTTGATGGTGCGGTTGGAAACAACCAAGTCGTGTGTAGGATCCTCCGCCGGTGATCGTACGGGTGAGCCGTGGGTGGCTATAGAACCAGAGACAGTGAGAAGTTGAGGTCTGAAGGTAGATTAGTGGTGCATTTACTCAGAGCGGAAGTGTGCTCTGTTCCAAGAAATATGTTTGAATTGAAGATGGTGCACCATTGGCGCCTGCAGATCTACTCGTACCCGAGTTGACTGGCTCGTACTCCGGTCCGTGAAAGAAAAAGCAGTGAACTTATCAAGTAAATCTAACAACCCTCATAAAAAGCCTGAGTCCCGCAAGGAGAACCGCGCATGTAGGGTAGAAACACATTTTTGCTGAGCCTCGTAACTGTCTGCTTTCGCGAGATCGTCGAGCATGTCTTGAATGCATACCGGATAGTCCGTGAAACCGTCGTATAGCTGAGTCAATTCGAGAATGGTCCCTAATGAGCGATGACGGACAGCGGATTTCATGAGCTGGAAGCCGTCCTTTTCAAGAATCTGGATACTGAAGGATTTGTCGTACATGCGCCAGACTTTCAGAATGTTATCTATCGTCCGAAGAGTGAGCCAAGACCTGTCTTGTTGTTTGTCCAAATGTGCCACATCGGCCAGTTTTCTGACCATACCCGTGACATCGATCCACATGAGTCGTCTGATCTGTTCGTAAGCTTGCAGTGATCCAAAAGCCGACAGTTTCCAGTCACCACTAGGTTCGAAAACATATCCCTGCTGCGCCGCCGCTGGAGGTGTTCTAGGATACGGATAGTGGAAGTTGTTGGGCATCTGGAAGCCAGTGTCACCACCATGAGTGCTGTTTGGGCTTCACAATTGCCCTGACACAATATAGCTTCTTCGCTGATCCAAAGGAGTTTGTTACCAGAGTAATAACTCCCTAAGATGAACAAAAGATCTCACTGGATGCTGGAAGTCGAGAACGAGACCATGCAAGTAACCGTCAAGGATCTTGAAGCTGTTACTGGTCCGCCAGAAAGATCTGGAGCTCTGCTGCGCATCTGAACTTGACTCTTCATCCTTGCATCGTTGGTTGAGGTAACTAAAGACGGGTGCATCGCCGTTTTGCAAAGCACCGCTTAAGTTCTACACTAAGGAGCGTGAGAAAGTTCTCGGTCTGATCGGCTTTGTAGGAATTAAAGTCACGCAAGAGGCGCAATAGCAAATCGCCATTCTAGGCCAATGCGTTCCTGGTCGCCGATTTCGGAATCGAATTTGCAGATAATCGTACCTCTGGGAAGACCTCGAAAGCCTAGTTTATGTGGGCGTCAGTAACCCACTCCAGCCCTTAGGCACATTCTCGGTTCAGATCAGGCTTGAGTGTGCTTCCATGAAATCGCGGTCAAGGAGTCCAAGGATCGAGCCAACGCCTTGTTAAGGAGCCCACGCGTAGATTGACATGTGCTGTCAGAGGAGATCCGGAGCTGGAATTTGGCTCACAGAAGCCTACGCACTCAGTCAGTCTTTCAAAGACCGCATGAAGCCGACGTGGATTCTCATATGTTCTTTCAACATTACCAAAAATCAATTCCATGTCTCAGAATTGAGATTGAAAAGTTTGCATTATACTTACATTCCTCTTGCATCCACCACCAGTGCTTTGACAACCTAATCCGTCAGGGCCGTGTCAGACACTATAGAATGCGTAGCTTGAATCTGATCTACCTTACCCTTGAAGAACGATGTGATATCCTCATCCGCCGTCAAAAGAACCACTGCTTCAGTGCCTGTTTCATCCGGAACTCTTCTGTGCGACTTGTGACAAAGATTTTGACCGTCAATATGGCTTGTGAAAGTAGGGTGCTGATCAGCGACAGAGCCTCGATTTAATTAGCAGTATCAAGCTCATCGATTCCATCCAGGATGATGTACGTGGTACCAAAGGTTTTCAATAGATCGAGGAGATGATTGACCCCCTCAGGAACGTTGTGACTCGATCGGCCATTCCATGGACTAGCTGAAGTCTCCATTGAAGTGATCTAGAGGTAAAACTTCTAAGTGCCCCGCCGATCATGCTAGGCGCAAACGTTCGTGGTCTTTGAAGAGACATTCGTATAGTCGAAAACGCGGCAGTACATCACCGATTTGAGCTAACATGTCTACTAAGCTCTCTTGGGATTTTGCGGCTTTGGCAGCCTCCCAAGGCTGTGTGGGTACAGGCAAATTCGTCCGGATTGCCGACATGTAGACACCCGTTCTAGCTCAGAGAATATGGACAAATACGAAGCAACTAAGATAGAAGTTAGTAGACGCACACAGGCTATCAGTGAAGTAGGTGCGACGCGCCTTTATGAAGGTCGAGGACCCAGCCCCGCTGGTGGCTGACAGCTTCGGCTTGGCAAACCAGGTAGCCTTGCGTGTTGTCTTATAATTTGATGAGAAAGATGTGTTTAGATTGAAGAGTGTCCATCGCCGATCAACTTGGCGAAGCTCTCTTTCAGCTTCGACCATTGTTGCGAGTTCGAACTGGCCCAATCGATTACTTTACTGATGCCCGTGAAGTCGTCTTGCATGTGCTCCACGGACGTCGTTCCATTCAGTACCTCGACACCAAGATCCATGACCAGCGCATACAATGCAGTTGGTACCGAAATCTTTGCCGACTGTGCCAGCTCAAGGACAGGTTTTGACCTAGAAAGTTGAGGATGGCCTGTCAGTGTCCAGAAAGACTGGTATATGATCTTGTGCTCTCGACAGAACGCTCGCAGCATTCCATCATACTGAGTCTGTAGATAGAAGCGATTTTGTACAACAGATGGCTTGATAGTTGAAGCGTCATATATTTCACGCAGAACAGGAAGAGTGACATTTGAGATGCCGAGCGTCTTGATCTGGTGTGGCACGTATGTCTCGAGCAACTTCCAGGCTTGCAATGTCTGGTCCAGTGTTGGTAATGGCGAATGCAGAAGGAGGCAGTCAACGTAAGTACCCTCTTCTGAGTCTTCTGTCGACCGCAGGTTCTTGAGAGAAGACGCGACTGAAGTGCGAAGTTGAATTTCCAATGGTGCGTTTGGGTCGTATGGCATGTTACTCAGATCTTGGCCGGCGGGCGTAGTGTACTTTGTCTGTACGTAGACATCGTCTCGTGCCACAATGCCCTCGCTATACGCCTCGCGCAATGCCTCGCCTACTAGGTGCTCCTGATAGTGCTTGGGCTGTGCAGCTGTGTCAATGCGTCGAAACCCCTGTCTAAGTGCTTCTATGACCAGAGCCTTCGTTTGACCTTTTTTCCAGGCGGTTCCATAGGTAAAGGCCGGCTTCTCATCGCTTAAACGTGAGTGCGAAGTAAACGGTGTTGCAGATGCCATAGTACGGACAAGGGAGGGACGACCTGTCACGTTTTGACGCGAGAGGCGACAAGAACAGATGCAAGACGCAAAAATGCTTGCTCGACGCGTAACAGACATGGAAATTAGAGAGTGTATGATTTGCGATGAGTGTTGACCTGGAAAGCACGTGGTGAGGCTCAAGGAAGGAACATCCTGACGTAACCTCCGAGCCCCGAATCCAGGGTCCAATCTGCCCCACCAATCCCGCGATGCCGTGATTGAGAAAGTGCTGGAAAGCTTACTACGCAACATCACGACTCATACTATCACTTGACACGCTCACCTTTTGTCCGAAGCTTCAGGCTACCTTCATAGCCACCCTGTACTTCCATTTCCAGTCACAATGGTTCGCCCCACGGGTACTCGCGATCTTATCGCCGGCCCCGATACCCCACAGGCACCCTTCCCACTCAAGCTTCGTGGACCAGTAATCAAAGGCTTCGGACGAGGCAGCAGAGAAGTACGTGTGCACCGAATACCGCACTCTCTTTACCCGCCTCTCATCCCGCTACACCCTTTTCGAACATCATACTAACCCTCTAGCTCGGCATCCCCACAGCCAACATCCCCCTCTCCGGCCTCAGCATAAACGGGCACTCTGACCTCGACTCCGGCATCTACTACGGCTTCTGCACGCTCGACCACTCCACCATCTCCCCCAACAGCACCACGGTGCCCTCCGCCACAGACGACACTTCGCTCCCGAGCAAGAGCTCCTCGCACGCCGTCCTCGACCTTGAATACACCGCCTCGGTTCCGACCGCCGCGCGCTCCCCCGTCTACCCGACCGTGCTCAGCATCGGCTACAACCCGTACTACAAGAACACCACGCGCTCGATCGAGATCCACGTGCTTGCAAACTTCGACGCGGATTTCTACGGCGCAGAGCTGAGTCTCGTGATTTTAGGGTTCATACGGCCCGAGTATGATTATGTGAGTAAGGACGCGCTCGTTGAGGATATTAGGGAGGACATCAGAGTTGCTCAGAGGAGTTTAGCGAGGGAGGCGTATCAGGCATGTAAGGAGGATGCGTGGTTGAGGGGCGAGGGTGGCGACGGCGAGGGCCAAGTCACAGGGCGGAGTGATGCAAAGGCGGTCCAGGGGCAGAGTGTGGAGAGTGAAGAAGAGAACGTGAAGCTTGTACCTGGGGATCAGGGGCAGAAGGACGAGGTCGCAATGAGTGCAATGCCGAGCTAGGTCTCCTGTTGTTAAGCTCGGCGCCAGGGCCTGCAACTAGACGAAGACAACCCGATAGAAACGGCAATTGAAATGATGCAATACATGGTCTAAGTTCGTTGATCCAATGAAGAGGTAGTCTTGAAGAAAGCAAAACGCGATTTGGTATCCAAGGTACTCTAAAGTAATCCAACCACAAACGCCAGAGTGCATGACCATCTTTTTTCAATGCCATTAACCATTACCCAAATGATGGTGCACTAAGTGCCAAGAAGATAAATGGTATGTGCTCCAGAATTACCACGCTACCAAGCGTAAGTCGATCTTTGTCGAACCCAATCTGCGCCTTCGATACCAAAAGCTTGATGAAATAGCCTGACTTGAACAGTGTCCATGTGGCGCTAATGGAGCCCTTTGTCTAACACTGGCATGACCTGCAATATATTAGCACAAATTCTGACTCGACTTCAAGAGAAGCTGAACTTACACTCATACACACCAGCACTGGCATGTCAAAAATGTCGCGCTTGATGTGCCACCAAATCATACAGTCTACCATTCCCTTTTTGGCACCGAGTCTCTGCATCGCGCTTTCGCCTTGATGAACACCCGCACCTGCTCCCTCGCTCTTGACTTCCTTCTCGTCCCTCCTCCCCTCGCGCTCAGCCAAGCGCTCCACATCAGCTTTGGTCTGGTATCGGAGCATGTTAACTCTCTGGTGCGCAAAGCCACGAGGATCTTGGTATGCAAGTTCGGAGAATCGTTGGAGGTACTGCAGCGCGCTCTTAGGCTCCATGAGCTGAATGATGTTGATGGGTTGAGCCTCCGACTCCGATTCTGATTGCTGCGCGGCAAGCGTGGGCGTCGTGTTGGTCCGGGTACTCATTTCAGATTCGTTAGGATCCCGGTCACCGTGTTGATTGACGGTGTTATTGGGCTCCTGACCGAGGAGAACTTCGCGCTTCCAGCCGGTCAGGATTGTGAATTCTTTATTCATTCCTACGATTTCACCGCTACGGCGGCAGATGATGAAGGGTGTGCCAACCTCAGCAAAGTGCTCTTGCAGGGTAAGAAGATTTCGCTGCAGACCCTTTTCTTGATGTATGAGGTCTTCTTTTTCAAGTTTTGAATGCACATCGACGAGCACGCTGCGAAAGTTTTGTACATACTCTTGAGCCTTGGCAGCCCATGGGCGTGAGTACTTGGTCAGGATTAGCTGGAAGAGTTTGTGATAGCCCTTGACGTAGTCGTGAGGCTTGACAATGCCTTGGTAGATGCTCTTTGTGTCTCGGTAACGCTTCCGCACGCCGTTAGAGTGCATGGGTTGGAGCGGGTTCTTTGCCGGACGATTCTCTTGTTGCCGCCGACTAACTGTTGGCGATCGACTCGGTTGCGGTTGATATGGATTAGCAAAGAACGCGGCCGATGCCATAGGATTGTCAGCTTCGAATGTTGAATTGGCATCCGTAGACGCGGGGCTAGCTGTGTGATGACTAGCAGGTCCCTGTCCTATTGCGAACGCATGCGGGCCATTCAAGCTGTCCTGCCGATGGCTGCTGTGGTCTGCTGATGTAGTGGTAGGGGTGCCGTGTGGTGTCTGAACTTGCAAACTGCCATTGCGGGAATTGGCTTGCTGCCAATCTTCTGCAGGAATCCCGTTTGGGTCCATTGGCATCATTGGAGACTGCTGCGGGTGATCTACGAAGCCGCCTTGAACTTGTTGGTTGTACATATTGACAGGCTGTCGTGGGTTTATCATGCCATTGTCATTAGGAGGGGTCTCGGCAGCTCCGGACGACATGTGTCCGAGCATGCCAAATTCCAGAGCTCCATAGTGGTTGCCAAAGTTGAGGCTGGAGATGTCGAAGTTGAACAAGGCCGGGTCACTTGGATCGAACAACGGCCCGCCGAATTGTTGCAACTGCGCTGTTTGTGGTTGCGATATCGTCGTCGCCACGCTTGGGACGGAGGACTGGTGTGAGTGCTGATAGGGAGGCGATATTGGAGATTGTTGTTGGTTGTAGGCGGGGGCAGGGGCTGAATTAGGTGGGTAGAATGGCTGTTGCGGGGCTTGAGCGAAGTGATTGCCTTGCGGGGCCATCGAAACAGCCTGAGTGTCTTGGCTTGGAAGAGGGGTAGGCCGGTTGCCGTTCATGTAAGGGTAGTGACCGCCCACGCCGGGCATGAGGGCACCATCGGGAGCATCATGAAGATATTTTGCCTTCTTGCGCACACCGTCCATGCAAGTATCAGAGAGACCGCGCATTTGACATCGCTGGCACGGTCGTTCGTCGCCTGCGAGAGTCAGTACTGATTCAAACACATCAGAATCCCAGGCTTCACTCACCACATGTCAAATGTGCGCGTTGGCAGGCATAGCAAGCTCTCCTCGCCTTCTTCCTCCGCGGCCTCAGTGGGTCTTTAGCATTACTCTTGCTCGTCTGGCCATTGGAACCCTTCTTTCCCTCGCCTTTTTGCTGTTTCTGATCAAGATGTTCGGCAGCCATGTCTTCGTCGTATTCACCGCTGAATTCCGGCGAGGGAGAAGCATCGTCCTCGTCTGGGGACGACATGATATCAGCTAATGTCGGCTGTAATGGAGCCTCGCACGGATGCTGCTGTGTTCTACAGCGCGCGCTGTAGGCGCACGTTTAGTGCTGCGTGCAGCCGTCAGTGGTGCGCTTAGGGTATACCCAGCGCAACGGTTCAGCCAATGTCTCAGCAAAGGCACGGATAGCGGCGTTCCAGCGGCGTGTTTCGTGGTGAAGTCACGCGTGCGCTGGCTGCTCGAACGAGACCTGTCGTGGCACACGGGCGCGCCCAATGAATGGGCGTCACGGGGCGCTGAATGGGTAGGGGCACCGAGCGATGAAGATCTCAGCGACAGGGTATTCTAAGAGCACGCTCAATCCGGTGCGCAGGTATGGGGCAATACGGCGGTCGTACAGAGCTGGGGTCCATGTAATCGAGGGAGCATTACACAAGGCCACAAGGTCATGTTTGATGGCAGAGTGCTACCAAGACGCGCTGTCCATGCTGTTGGAAGCTAAGGCGTGCGGCTGGTGCAGGGCCCGCGTCCGCGGTGGGAGAGCCGTAGGCAGGTGCGCTGGATTGTTGGGGTGGGGCGGATTGTCGAGTAAGGCAGGAGCGCAGCGCAGCGCTGGAAGGAGCAATGGACGTTGTGGGACAGCGCTTGGGAGGGAGGGCTGTGTCGGTCGATGTGCAGCAGCCGCGATCGCAGGGCAGCAGCAGCTCGGCTGGGGGAGACCGGGCTAGAGTCCAATGCTCCAGTGCTCCAGGGCCTGGCAGTGTAATTGCGCGAGCGGGCGGCGACTCGAAGCGGCGAGCGCTGGGCGTGTGTGCGTGCGTGCGTGCGTGAGCTGGTCGTCAAGGCTGACGAGGATGTTGCGCCCAAATGCGGTTCCCCGCAATTGGCTGACGAGCTTTGCTGGAAGGTGCGACCCATTACTCCTGCCTCGGTCCCTGTCCGCCGGTTCTTAGCGAACCCCCCAACCAATGGCGTGCTGCGCTATTTGGCAGACGTTCTCTGACAGATCGAGGAATTCACGTGCAGAGCCGCTCCTTACAGCCGGCCAGTCTCAGACTACTGCACACTATCCAGCAAGCCTGAGGGAGCTCGAACTTGATTTGGCGTCTTCTTCAAGTTGTACCAGGTCCCCTTCTCAGCGCAATCTTCCTCGTGCGCGCCGAGCCCACACCACGCAGGAGAGCAGCAAGTTGCCGCCGCTACGCCTGACTGCATGCCCTCGAAGCTCGGCTACGGGCCATGTGTGCAGTTTGCGATGACGGCCTTGGCAAGTGCTCGTGACTGGCCGGTGCATAAGCCTCCGTGGGTCCTGTGCAACCTATCATCACCACCAGATGCATCATGTCACTCCTCGTCTACACCTGGCGAGACCCTGTGTGACCTCCCATGTCTCAATATTCGCGATGCTGGCTTGCTGGCCACGTTCGCGCCCTCCCTCGCTAACGGCACTGTCCGTAACCGCTGCTGTTACGTGCGCCCACCGTCCTTCGCTCAGGCGTGGCCGCCCTCGTGGCGCCCAAGTCAGGTCACACAAGGGCCCAGCCGGCCTGCTTCATGTCGTCTCACGTGGGGACGCAGCATTCAATAATGACGGCATACGTGCCGTGTCACTCCTCTATTATTAGGCCGTTTCTATTGCATTCCGCCACACCTCGCGTCGACACGGCGGGCCGTCTATGCTGATGCAAACTTACTGTTGCCCCTGAGCCGCTTGCCGAATCGAAAGAATAAGATAGGAAATCTGTGTTTCTGTGCGTTAGCGACTACCAGTTCCACTACACTGGGACGGTCTTACGGGGCCATAGCGAGGGCAAGGAACGCGAGCAAGGATGTCGCCCATTGATATCCAAGATCTTTTCCACATTAGTGACCGCTCTTTCGTCAGGCCGCACAGATGGAACTTACTGTTGTACATTTGAACACCGAACAGAGGGAAGGCCGCTGCGAAGTACGACCTCGCGAATGAGTTCGCGGCTAGGGCACTTGCGGCGTAAACTGGGTACTGGTCGGCGAGGTCAACGACTGTAACAGCGTGTGGGGCCGATCTTAGTGACACTTACTGCTTCGACCAGAAAGGTGAACACGCCTGAATAGACCCAGATGACCCTATGGAGCGAGGATGATCAGCATTTGGCTGTAGTATGTAGACGCTTGTAGTGTACGGGACAATCATAGACCTACCCAACGCCAAATATTCCAGAGAAGATAATTGGAACTGTCGTATCATGGTCAGCTATGGCTGCAGCGTGCCAGCATACCCGGTCTGTCATACCTATCCAGTGCACCCTGCAATCAAGCATATTAGCGGCGGCCCAACACGTTTTCCAGAAGAGTTTACTTACGAAGAGTACGTGGTCCACCCAAACCCTGCATGAAGCGAGATTAGAAACATATCAAAACGTCAGGACATGCAACGACTAACCAAAAAGTGCAATAGGAACGACCCAAGCGCCAAGTATTGTCGATGGAAGCCGATACTCTGGTTCTGAACCCCCAGGCTCTCCCCCTTGCGCCTCGCGCTGCCGCACGAGCCTGCCATAGATTCGCCTCCAAATTGGATCGGTAAAGACACCTGTGAGCATGCCCATGAGCAAGCCTAAGAATGCAAGACCAACCTGAGAGACGCTGAAACCATGATTGGTGCGGAAGACCAATGGGAAGGCGCCAAAGACTGTGGAGCGTAAGCGTGGGGCGTGTGGGTTTGTTGCATTACTCACAAAGGTACAGGATTCCAAGTAAGATCGCGGATAGAATGCACAGGCTGAGGCACTTGAACACGAAAGTAAGCACGCCAATCACCTTCCATGCGACATCGGGCTACTCACCATTGGTTCAAAGAAGAGTAGTTGAAATGGGCGGATGCATGACCACAGCACCGTCTTTGCAATAGATCGATCGAGTTTCTCGATAGCTGCGATCCATTCTTGATTTCCAGTTTCCTTTCGCAAACGGATAGCTTTGCGGCGGAGCAGAACGGGGTGATAGGTTTCAGGCACGAAAAACACAATCAGGAAAAGCTGATATCTGGTGTCAGGACCTCGCTCGCATAAGGTGTGTAGTACTGCCTTACCTGAAGTCCGGACCAAATGATGAGTACATAAAAGCACCTATTTAGTGTTAGTACATCGCTTCATGTCATCAGAGCACGGTGATGGGTGCCCTGGCCAGAGAAATGAACGACATAAAAAGAAATGTGAGTGGGTGGACAATTCAGCAATGACGAATCGACTTGCAGGTGGTGGAACACTGAGAAGTGGGTCTTGCGGGTCACATACCATCGCCAGGAAGTGTTCTCAACAATGAAGCCGCCAACCAGTGGCCCTATTTCCGGTCCAATGAACGGGGCTGCCGTATAGACCATCATCGGAGCAGATAGTTCCTCGCGACACGTTAGCTCAGTCCTTGTCTCAGCGTTGCGAAGCCTACATGTTTTGCAAACATGTCCCCCACAGTACCGCCCGCCACACTGAGGAACGCCGAGCCTGCCAGGCCGTCGAAGAATCTTGCGATCAACATAGTCTGCATGTTGGGAGCAACAGCACAGGGAATAAGCCAAATGAGGAAAAAGGTGAACGAGCCAATATAGATGGGTCGTCGACCAAAAAACTGGACCTCGTGAGCAAACGTTGATGCGCAGTCATGCATGCACCTGCATATTGGAAACGCACTTCAGAAAGGGGGCTCAGAATCATCGGAGCAGTCCCCAGACCCGCGACAAATAGCGAGAGGCCGAGCGTGCACACGAGCCGAGAAGATCCGAACTCGGGTTCGATCTGACCGTAGATTGACGTGTAAAGCGACGATGTGCAAGTTCTAATGTGCAGTGATGTTAGCGTAACCTTGAGTGGCTCACAGCCCAGCACCAGATGACCTGACTTACACACAGAGCGAACTAGCGGCACAGATCAACACGATAGCCCATCGTCGTAGGGTGGACATGCTCCGTGGATTCTCTGGGTCTGCATCGCCGTCGAATGTCACCAAGTACGGCTCTGGGGTCACAACACCTGCCTTGGCTCTCTTCGGTCGTTGGCTGCTCTGATCTCCGTTATGGTGCCAGGTGTACCCGTCAGCGCCTGCTCTCGAGTGATGTGACTCAGTTCTCTTTAGGCTCTTGCTGTCTTGCGATCGCCTCCCACGACTTTGTGCTCTTCCAGAGGACACGGCCTCTTCCTCTTTTGTTTCCGATCGCTGAATCCCATCAAGACCTATCGTCTTTTCCTCGTCGGCCCTCATAGAATTTTCGTCGTGGTTATCGCTGACATATGACTCGCTGATCCGAGGCTCTTCTCGTCTCGAGCTGTCACTGTCGCTCAGAGACTGCCTCATCTGTGCGAACGGACTACGCCTTGGCTGTTAGATATAACAGTTGTTCTTCAGCGTTGATGGGCTGTCAATGGCTGCAGATGAACGTCGACGTTCGTTAGGAGTCGGCGCTGTTGCGACCCACTCGGATATAACTCGCTTGCGCCGGCACGCTATCTTGGACAAAGCTTTGCCGCAAGACGTTCGTATGGCACGATTCGCGGAGTGCAAAAGCTCTGAATATCTAGTCACTTGACGAAGAGCAATTCCTGCGACGATGCGCGTCTCCCGGCTGACCAACCGACCGCTTTGCGGCAGATAGGGCATCGTCGAGTCTCGACCGTTTGGTACAAAGTGGGGGCGCTGGAGCTTGACGGAGCAATATCTGGGGTGCGTCATCAATTTGTCGGAGCGATCAGCAAGTTGCCCTGACAATCAATCGGGCCCCCTTTCCATGGCTACCGGATTTGGCTGCTTAATCCTCTGCAGCCCGACAATTGTAATTATCTTGTTCTCTTCCTTAACTTGCACCTTTCCCGTGATACCTTTCTCTGTCGCTATGGTGCATTTACCGTGCTTCATGCCGTAGACCGTGGGGCTGAAGATAAGCTTTCTCGCGCAAGTTTGTGCGACTGCAGGTCCGGTTCAGCGTTCTTCCACTGTTACAAACAACCCTTCGGCATCATAACAGGCACCGTGCAAACGTGCTGAGCGCGTCAAATGCATTGTCAGCTGTGGGCTCGAGTGTGAAAGATCAAAACGATAGTATGCGGATTCAGACCGAGACGCACACGACCAGTTGGGGGCGCGTATCTAAGAGGTGAGCCAGGACAGCGCGACAGAGTACTTATGTTGTTTGCGCTTCGTGCAGCAACCCATGCGCTACGACAGGGTAGATAACCTTCAAGAAGGCCAAGCATAGGTGGACCATATCCGCTCAGGAACATATCCGCAAGATCACGTGATCCGTCCATTCACCGACTTTGCCGACAAGCATGAGCAGTCATCGTGTCGCGTTCATGTTTGCGATCAGAAATGCCGGGCAGAGTTCAATTTACCCGTACATCCAACCGTGGGGTATCACGTTTCATTGTGGATCACTCCAGCTGTGTCGCTCTCAAGGTCATGCATCTGCATACGATGCGTGGACAAGGGCCGTCCCCGATACTCCGCGACACCCACTATACCATGTCGATCATTAATTCAGGCTGAATGCGGTGCCAATCGGCTCCCAGGCCTTGCTACCGGCGTCAGCCCCTCATTCGCGCCCCACATGCAAGCAACGGCTGTGGCGGGCAATCGAGAGGATCATTCACGCAACCCGGAAATAGTGGCATCAACGGTATAACGGCCGATGCCTACAGTCAAGTTGCGTCTGCAATAGATCGTGACGTACTGACGAGCGCGCATCACAACTCGCGCGTGTTGAAAAATCCCTTTTTACATTATCTTTGGCAACAACCTCTGGGTATTTGGACCAACAGAGAAGACATTCGTTTGGTGTGATCAAGAAAAACAGGGGTAGTATCGACGAACATGTACACCTCATACCACTTCCTCTCAATTGTCCTTTTTGGGGCAACAGGTACTTATGCACTCTTCCCAGACTGCACCAATGGCCCTTTGCGGAATGAGACAATCTGCAATCCTGCGAATTGTAAGTCTCGCCATATTCAGTACAAAGTGCATCATTAAGCTTGCATCAGCACCACTTGACCGCGCCAAATCTCTGGTCGCTTTGTATACGCTCGAAGAGAAGATCAATGCCACGTCGAGTGACTCACGTGGAGTCGAGCGTCTAGGTATCCCGCCCTATCAATGGTGGAATGAGGGTCTGCACGGCATCGCAGGGCCTGGCACAAACTTCAGCGACTCAGGCGAATACAGCTACTCCACTTCGTTTCCTCAGCCCATTCTTATGGGCGCTGCATTCGATGACGCTCTCATCACCGAGGTCGCCAAAGTCATCTCCACTGAAGCAAGAGCGTTCAATAATGCGAATCGGACTGGGTTGGACTTCTGGACTCCTGTGCGTTGCATCGACTTCATTTTGCTGGTCAGCTACTTATGAAATGACAGAACATCAATCCGTTTAGAGATCCCCGTTGGGGGCGTGGCCAAGAAACGCCTGGAGAAGACGCTTATCACCTTTCTTCGTACGTCAAAGCTCTGATCCTTGGCCTTCAAGGAGATGCGACAGACCCGTACAAGCGTGTTGTAGCTACATGCAAGCATTTCGCTGGGTATGACATCGAGGACTGGAACGGGAATTTAAGATACCAGAACGATGTAAAGATCTCGCAGCAAGAGCTTGTGGAGTATTATCTAGCTCCCTTTCAAGCTTGTGTTGAGGCAAATGTCGGCGCTTTTATGTGCTCTTACAGTAAGTTGTTGTCTCGTCAGCACAGGCTTTGCAAAGCTATAAGCTACCTCTGACAACCTTTAGATGCGCTCAATGGTGTACCTACGTGTGCCGACCCCTACCTTCTCCAGACCATTCTACGTGAGCATTGGGGATGGACCAATGAAGAGCAATGGGTCACTTCGGACTGCGACTCAATTCAGAATATCTATCTTCCGCACGCTTGGTCTGACACACGTGAACAGGCCGCAGCGGACTCGCTCATTGCCGGCACCGATCTCGACTGTGGCGTGTACATGCAAAACCATCTGCCTAAAGCTTTTGCTCGGGACCTGGTCAACGAGACTACTCTGGACCGAGCATTGGTTCGACAGTATTCTTCTCTTATCCGTCTAGGCTGGTTTGACTCAGCCGACAACCAGCCGTACAGGCGACTTGGCTGGGATGCGGTTGCAACTGATGCCTCGCAACAGTTGGCAAGAAGGGCCGCTGCGGAAGGTATCGTGTTGTTGAAGAATGATGGTGTACTGCCTTTGTCGCTCGAGTCAACGAACTCAGTGGGACTCTTCGGTGATTGGGCAAATGCTACAACACAACTACTCGGTTCGTCATAAGTTCTCTGAGTTTTCCCTATGCTTTACTGACCATTGGAGGTAACTATGCTGGTGAACCAACTTATTTGCATGGCCCGCTGTACGCACTACAAGCAGCAAATATTTCTGTCAATTATGCAGGTGGTAATCCTGGAGGTCAAGGTGACCCTACTACGAACAGATGGCTCGAGCTCGAGCCTGCAATGCATGCGAGCGACATTCTCATCTACGTTGGAGGTATCAGCAACAGCGATGAGGAGGAAGCTCATGATCGTACCTCACTGCAATGGACCGGTGCGCAGCTCGATGTCATTGGACAGCTGGCAGATACTGGCAAGCCTGTCATTGTTGTGGCAATGGGCGGAGGTCAGATCGATTCCTCGCCTATCGCTAACAATCCTGGAATCTCAGCTTTATTGTGGGCTGGCTACCCGGGCCAAGATGGTGGTTCTGCGATTGTCGATATCCTGACCGGCAAGGCTGCCCCGGCTGGTCGTCTTCCACAGACGCAGTACCCATCTTCTTACATCAACGAGGTTCCTATGACTGATATGAGCCTCCGACCAGGCGATAACAATCCAGGTCGCACATACAAGTGGTACAGCAATACTCCGGTCTACGAGTTTGGCTCTGGTCTGCATTACACCAATTTCTCCGCCAGTATCAGATCCCAACTAAACAGGAGCTACGATATCGCAGACCTGCTCTCAGCATGCCCGCACATCAACTCGACCAATCTGAATCATTGCATGTTCGCATCTGTGGCAGTGGACATCACCAACACTGGCAACACAGCATCTGATTACGTCACCCTGGGTTACATCGCTGGCAAGTTCGGGCCCTCGCCTCAGCCCAAGAAGTCCCTTGTCTCCTACCAACGCTTGTTCAACATTACCGGTGGAGCGTCAGAGACAGCAAAGTTGAACCTTACGCTTGCTAGCCTAGCAAGGGTTGATGAGCTAGGCAACAAGATTTTATACCCAGGAGACTACAGTTTCTTGATCGACAATGGACCATTGGCTCTTGCCAACTTCACTTTGACAGGTGAACAGAGGATTGTGGACGTTTGGCCACAGCCACCAGCCAACAGGACTGGTAAAGGAGTGAGTGGATTTGAAAACTATTTTGTCGCGGGCTACGGAAGTGAACAACAGGAGCTCTGAAGATATTAAAAACCATGACACGCTTAGGAAGTGAAGTCTATTGGTGGATCGGTTCATCCTGAGCTCACATCGCCGAGGCCGGAGTTCGTAGCTCACAAAGTAAACGGGAATAATCCAGTATTGGACGGTAAAGGCTCCACATGCGATTTCTAAGGAGATGAGTAACGTAGTGCGCTATCCGAAATATCTCATTCGATTGCTGTATTGCGAGCGATCGGAGGTTGACGTGATTAACATACCCACGTTGCGTGCTTGCCCCACCAAAAGTCGATTCCACGAACATGATGCTTATAAGTATGAACGATTACAATCTAGATTTGAGACCAAGTCTGGAATGAACTATCAATTTCCCGTGATAAACATCGTTTGATCTACGCAATCTATCACAATGGCATCGGACACTAAGGCCTATCCTTCACCACTGCTGAAGTCAGGTGCACTTGACGACAAGTTCCAATTCGAAGAAGCAACTCCTGTGATTGGTCGCGAGTATCCGACTGTTAACATTGTTGATGATATCCTCAACGCTTCGAATGCGGATGAGCTCATTCGTGATCTTGCTATCACCAGTAAGTGCTTTTATCGACACCACAATCTGTCATTGCTAAATCCGGTAGTCTCCGAGCGTGGTGTAGTGTTCTTCCGAGCGCAAAACAATCTCACGGACGCGCTGCAGAAGCAGCTGGTCCACCGACTCGGCCAACTGACCAACAAACCCTCCGACTCGACTCTACATATCCACCCAATTCTGAACAACACCAGCGAGTTCGGAGTAGCTGATGCAGAAATAAGTACGATAAGCTCTCTTCAACGTAAGAAGACATTTGGCAACCAACAAAACCAGCGCCATACCGGCAGCCGCCGCTACGATGCCGCTCAGTGGCACTCTGACATCCAGTTCGAGCCGGTTCCCGCCGACTACACATCACTGCGCCTCACCCAGCTCCCTCAGACTGGAGGTGACACACTATGGGCCTCTGGATACGAGATCTACGATCGATTCTCACGGGCGTATCAAGTCTTCTTCGAGAGCCTGACCGCGACGTTCGTTGGCGATGGGTTCATCAAGGCGGCAGCCGCCAACCCGGACAAAATCAAGATCTACGATCAGAAGCGTGGAAGCCCCAAAAATGTTGGTAACGAGTTGACCGCTGTGCATCCGGTCGTACGGACGAATCCTGTGACAGGCTGGAAGAGTATCTTTGCTCTGGGTCCATTTCCGAAGTACATCAACGAGTTGAACGATAAAGAGAGTGAAGAGCTTCTGAAGAAGTTCAAGGACACGATTTACGAGAACCATGATCTGCAAGTCAGGCTCAAGTGGAAGTCAGAGAATGATCTCGGTAAGTCGTATTGTTGACGTTTCTGAAACACGACATATGCTGACTGGCGCCTACCAGCTATTTGGGACAACCGTAGTGCTTTCCATACTGCTACTAATGATTATGAGGGCCTCGGTGAACGGTTTGGCAACCGGGCTGTTGGCATTGGAGAGGAGCCCTACTTGGATCCCAAGAGCAGGTCGAGGACGGAGGTACTGGAAGAGAGGCAACAGAATGTTAAGGTTGACGCTAAAGGTGGTATTGATACGTCTAACACTGTTTCGGCGTGATGAGATTATTCAAGACTGATACTTTTGGCATCAACGCGTGCACACATCGCATTCGAATGTGTTTCTGTCCTCCAAACTTCACTCGATTTTGCTTACTCCACGACCGAAGTGTCGATCTTTTTGATGCGTGGAATGAGGCTCATGTCCAATCCTTCTTGCTTCACGAACCACCTGGGGAGTGTCAGAACGATTGTGATAGGATAAAAAAAGTAGCGTGGAGTCATACCAGCAGCTCTGCTCTGGTTCAGTGTCCGGGTGCGCTAGTTCAATATCGAAGCGCATGAGTAGTGAAGGTATGAGCTTCGTCATCTCAATCCAGCTCAGATCTATAACAGAGTTAGAGATTGCCACCCAGGTAAGCTTGCGTCAATCGCCGCTGAGTCAACTTACTTCTCCCGATACACGTTCGTGAGCCACTTCCAAAAGCAAAAAAGTTGCGATCTTCGGATCAATGTCAGTTCTAAACATGAAGTCTGATGCAGGTACGTACCCATCTGACTTCGGTCGCCTTCCAACCATCTTTCTGGACGGAAGATATCGCAATCTTGACCAAAAATATGCTTTTGTCTGTGTATGACCCAAGGATTCGCACCAATTATGGTCTTTGAGATGTTAGCGACGTCACCAATAGATGTAATACAATGCTGCAAACTTACGCCTCCCGGGATGAAAGTCCCATCGACCTCGAACCCTTCCGGAGGCACTACCCTCGGTAATGACATTCCCACAGCTGGGTGCATCCTCAAAGCTTCATATATACATGCCTGTAAGTAGGGCATAGCGTGTCCGATTTTGAAGGGCATATTTTCAGAGGGGTCCAATCCCTCCTTCTGTACCACGTTCGTTATCTCCTTCAGTAACTCCTCTTTACACCTAGGGTTCTTGCACAGGTTATAGAGTACCGCACCAATACTGATACCCGTAGTGTCACTTCCAGCAAAGATGTTACTCGCGGCCATACTCAGGACACCGTTGTCGTCAAATTCTTCCGGTTTCTGTTCTCTGACATCCATAAGTGCTCGTAGCATGTCGCGGTGGTCACTTCCTCGACCTTTACGCTCGTTGCATTCCCGGGCAGCAAATTGGCGCAGCGAGCCATTGCGGTTGTTGACGCCTAAATGGTTGCCCACATATGGCATGAAGAAGTCGTGAAACCAATATAGCCAAGGAATTTGGCCGATCCAAGAAGCCGACTGTAAGGCAGCATCGATAGCAGAGAAGGAGCCGTCGTCTTTGCCAGCGGCAAGAAAGCCAAAGCGTCGCGAGAATGTGACTTCTCCGATAACATCTGAGAATGTAAGCTCGATCCGCTTTTTACTACGTGTGAGTTCCGTACCAAAGGCAAACATCTGCGCCCACTTCCCCATGTCAATCGTGCCTTTCTTCCCAACCTCACTCAACCTCTCCAGAAATAACGTCAAAGTATTATCAACGTACGATTCCATCTTCTTCAGCTGGTCTAGACTGTAGATGTTGCTAACAAGTCTCCGCTGCTTGCCATGAATCTTCTCGTCCCTCTCACCAAAAAGATCGAAAGTACGGTGGCCTTGCCAGACAGAGTACCAATCGCTCTTCCTGAACTTTGATCCGGCACCGTAAATGGCCTTGATGGACGCTGGGTCTGAAATGCTGACCTCGTTTGGTGCAGTGCGCACAAGTTTTCCGTGCTTCCTATGCAAAACAATCATTCTTGTGTGCATGTCGCCTGCGCGTGAGCGCTGGACCATCCATAGTCGCGAGAAGCGGGCGGATGACGGACCGGGGATTTTGCGGAGAGGGTCAGTAAGAAAGGTATAGGCAAGAACGATGGCACCTAAAGCGACGATGACAGGAATGAGGTTTCCCATGCTGAAGTTATGAAATCTGAGTGCGGCGTGAGGATTTCACATCTTGAAGAAGGTCAATTCAAGCCATTGCCTGAATGTTGTCATCTGCGCCCTCCACGTCCCGAGCTTGCATCCCGAGCGTGGAGAAGCGGAGCTCGGCCGAGATCATCGACCCCGCATCTTGCCGGCAACAGAGGAACACACGGAGATCACTAAATCTGTCGGTTGTTAGATTTGTGACTACAGGTTTTGGCCTTGTTGTTACGAAGTACTGCAATAGTAGTGTCGCTGACGTCACGAGCACTTCAGGGGTTTTGTACGTTCTCAAATGCTCACACGTACACAACTTACCACTTTTGGATATCCTCAAATGGAAACCCGATATCGCCGTACTCGTGTCTTTGCCTCTGTGGTGGGTAATTCCCTCGGGGGCTCAGAAACTCGAGCCCCACCCAGGGCTGGTACTACCGCATCATCTCAGGAAGCCCCGGCCATGTCAACCGTTGCAGTATCCGTGGTTCTAAAGTGATCGTCTTAACCGGAAGAACGGATGCAAATGTTAGTATCATCATTGCTGGTGATATTTGGCACCGGTCTTCGTGAATTGACTGATGTTAGTATCCACGGATATGTGTTGGGATAACAGCCGGCTTTGTAGGGCATCCGCTGAGTTTCTCTTCGATATGATGACGATTGACATATTAGTTATCATGGCTCTGAGATCTGCTCCGTATTCACACATTCTAGATAGACTGCTAAAAATGACGGACATCGGCAGTACAGCACATGTTACAGTCGACTATTCATGTTGTGTCTCTTCGGCATATTAACATTACTTGCTCTTTGTATTCTGATTACTAGCCGTTGCTGTCATGTTTTTCTTTCAAATACTTCTCCACTGCACCATTATCTAGTTCATCCATCGGTTTTGCGTGTATCCGGGGAGCCGTGTCACTCCCACTGCCAGTGCCCGATTCAGACGAACTACCAAAACCCATGGCGCCAATAGCGGCTGATATGGATTGCGCCAGAGTGTTTGCTGCCTCGTTAAGCGAATAATTACTTTCGTCGCCTCTTGTGTATGACTTCGGTGCTTTGAATCCCGATGGCTCCTGGAACGATGGTGCTCTGCTGCCTCCCAGGATCTCGCGCTGCATAGACGTTCGCCTGGAGTGTTCCACTTCCGTTTTTGTGTCCAGCTCCTGCGTAGTATCCGGTCGTGTCTCCACTGCGTGCGGTTGGCTGCTCGTGGCCTCTAGCTTCCCCTGCTCTTCGTTCTTCAGTGTATCCTCCAGCTCCTTTCCAAATAGCAGCTTAAAGAACACCACAAAAACCACATCGCCGCTCGCCCTACTCTTCAGCACAAAACGTAGGTGATGCGTTTTCTCATCAACATACTTCGCCACGCTAATTGAAAACCCTGGCAGTCTCAACGAGAAGTTGGAGAAGTCAAGATACGGATTAAAAAAATCGGCATGATACACCCTCCCCTTCTCAAAGGTGAACTTATCCAACTGCGCCTGGTCAAGGAAGAACTTCCTTCGCGCTTTCCATGCTGGTGGAATACCCAGGCCGTCACGCACCGACTCACCGGAAAGGGTTCCGCCTTCTTCAATAACGCCGTCGTTCTCTTCATCAAAAAATTTCAGCTGCTCCTCCGCACTTTGTTCGTCAACCTTGCCGCCCACTCGAAGGGTGAAACAACTACTAAGCATCGGTCCATATAGATACGGCTCATCGCTAAAGGGGTCAGCGTATAAGCCTGGATCCAGAACAGTGGTCGCAATCTTGACTGCGGTTTTGGTGCCGGGTGGTAGGCGATCGCGCACAGGGTGACTGAAGTCGAAGCCCATAACCAGATCTGTGCCAGCAATATCATGTTTCGGAACAAAAGACCATGCGACTGAGTACCGATCTGATGAATGTAGTGGATGGTTGAAGTAGGAACAAGTTTTGGGTGCATTTTTAGGCAGGCCATGGTAGTCTTTAATTCGCACACGGAGGTAGGTTGTTGCGAGGTCATTGTCTACCTTGTGAACATCTGAGCTATTGACAGATACTTGGGTATGAGTGTTGGGGTTGTAGGAAGGGCCAGCAGTCACTGTGGTAGTCTTGTCAGTATGCTGGGCTTGTGAGAGCATTGGAGTCCAACCTTGAAGTAGGTACTTGTCGCGAGCTTCAGGGTCTACCAAGCCTTGCGATCCTCCGAGAAGCCCCATGATCCGATGTTAATCGCTTGAGCGTCGGAGGGTCGAAGAAGAGATATGCAGAGAACACGTTGGTGCTGGAATGCAGATGAACGTGCTTGTTATGTGGTCAGGAGTAGAGACAAAGGTCTTAACAGGAGGTCTACAGTTGCCGGGTCTGACATAACCTGGCAACATCAATCGATCTGGGTACCGACCTAACATCGTGACGTCACCACGGTGGCCAATCAGCGGCTTCGGCGACTGGCAACCTTAGCTTGCACAGCCATGAATTCGAACATCCATGCATAACCCCTTTGGTATATACCCATGGATTTCGAGATCTATGGTAGCTATGTCTATGGTATCTAGTCTTTCGTGTGCTATCCAAACAAAGTAATGTGAGCAAATGCTCTCCGGCTCTACTTCCTAGCCAACAGTCAGTGATGCGCTAAGGTAATTTGCAAGGAATGGATTCACTTACTTTCCTCTTCCGCCGAACCCCCAGCGGATTTGGTTTGCCCATCGGCCCTCTACGCCGAGGTCGTCAGCAAATTGCCAGACTAGACCAGGATTCTTCTGAAACATGCGACCAATGAATACGACATCGAGGTTGTCGTCCTCAAGATAGCCATTGGCCTGCTTTCCATTGGTAATGGAGCCGACAGTACCGACAAGCATCTTGTCACCGACTTTGTCTTTGACGGCCTTAGCGAAAGGCTCTTGGTAGCCAGGACCGCCGTGAATGTGCTGGGCTTCATGCAGACCGCCAGATGACACATCAAGAAGGTCAACACCCTTCTCCGCGAGTTGCACGGAGAGTCTGACGGTGTCCTCAACAGTCCAGCCTTCGATTCCGGCCTCTTCCAGCCAGTCAGTGGCGCTGATGCGGAGGAAGAGGGGCATTTCCTGAGGCAGAGTTTCGCGAGCCAGTTCAACAAGCTCGAGAGTCAGACGGACGCGGTTCTCAAACGACCCGCCGTACTTATCGGTCCGCTTGTTTGATGCGGGCGACAGGAAAGAATGAAGAAGGTAGCCATGGGCATTGTGGATCTCAATGAAGTCAAATCCAACCGAGATAGCGCGTTCAATAGCAGCCTTGAAGTCTTTCTTCAACTGCTCGATGTCGTCCAGGGTCATCTCCTTAGGCTGGCAGTGGTTGTTGTTGAAAGCAATGGCAGAAGGCGCATGTACGTTATCAGGCCAGCCATTCAAGTCTTTGCCTGCAATATCTCCCTTGCTCAGCCAGGGGGCAACTGTACTAGCTTTGCGTCCAGCGTGAGCAAGCTGAATACCGATCTTTTGGTTTTGGCCGTGCGCAAACTCAACAATTCTGCGAAGGGGTTCCTTTTGAGAGTCCTTCCACAGACCAACGTCCTCAGGAGTAATGCGGCCATTGAACTGAACTGCAGTAGCTTCGACCATAGTCAAACCGGGACCGCGTTGGAGGATACCGCCCAAATGAGTGAGTTGCCAGTCTGTGGCATGGCCGTCCTGAGATGAGTATTGACACAGTGGTGATAGCGCAATGCGATTCTGGATCTGAAGACCACGGATCTTGAGTGGACTGAAGAGCTTGGGAATTTTGGAGCTACCATCCGTCATTCCAAGCGCGGTACCAGCTGGTGGGTCCTGGAGAGGTGTGAAGTATGAGATCTGCGATAGTCAGCCTGTAGCTCCAGAAATTCAGATTCGAATGCATACGCCAGGAGCTGCAACATTTCTTAGATGATCCTCGGTTGGGATCTCTTTAGGGAGAGCATGGTGAGAGTGGGGCTTATCGGTGTTTGCTTTGGTGGTCATATTTGTGGATGATTACGACTGCAGAGGGATGTGTAGAATAAACGCAGAAGGATGAGCTTCAATTGATGCAGACAAGACAGGTGGGGGTTGTTGAGAGCTTTATACAAACTCCCCACTTTCTCGAGAACACCTTCTACCCGTGTAGTGACGTTGATAGCGTAGCATAGTCGGCAAGACTTGCCCCACACACGCGTCACATCTTAAAGACGCACCTGCAGTCGTTGATTTGTAAGACCCTTCTGAAGAACGTCACACCATCATCGCGCTACTTTGTGATCGACATTGAAGTTTTGCTTTCGCAATTGCTGTCCTGCAAAAGTAGATACTGGACCTGCATGTAAGAACGGCCGAGCTGCCACCGAAGCAGCTGCAAGGCAAGAAACGAAGGATCAGTAACGTTACGGAGGCTTTCTCATTGGTGCAATTGTGCTTAATTAGAGGTATGAAATTGTGATTTAAAAGCCTATTGGCCGTCCCAAAAAAGGCTTCAGTATTTCAAACATGCCAAAGGCAGCTTGGATGTACTTGGGTGCGGTACAACCGTACAACAGGACTCAGGCTGTAGCACTGCTTACATCTGCTGACAAGCTAGCCGAATTGATACCGGAACCTCGCAATACCTACTATTACTTGTTATATGTCAGCTGTGTAACTGTTCCTTTGCTTGCCACTTCTGCTCACTCATGCTCCCTCATGAGCGGCATCAGCTCGACAATCGCCCAATCAGTCTTTGCGCGAATCTTCGAGCGTGCATTAGACACGCTAGCCACGGCTTCTGCTGCGCACTTAATTGTAGGATGCTCGTTTGTCATCTCTAAGCAGTCCACTTGGTGTGGTGGCTAACAGAGGGTGTTGAGTGTGGGTAAAATGATCGGGGCCATTACCACACAGCAGCTTTGAATCACGACAACAACCCGCTTGTGAGAGACATCGAAAATCCCAACAAACATCTGTGCTGTTTTTGCACACATTGAGACTCGGGGTTATTTAGTCAGCACTAACAGATGTGTACTTAGCCTCAAGGGAGCAACAGTATTCCCGGGAATGTCTACGCTAAATTACAGCGCGTTCGTGAAATGCTTCATTTGGAGCAAAGAGCGAACACAGTGCCTAAGGTACGGTATCGTTGCAGAACTCTTGATTCGGCGCAATGTTGCCCAGAATTTTCTCCAAGACTTTAGTGCTGCAATCGATGCCTCTATTCAAGTTCCAAATTGAGCATACCAAGAGCTGTTGTGCCGAGTCGAACCCTGCCCTGCGTTTGAAAATGTTTGCTGACATGCACCACACTCGGTCCCTATGATGGGCCGGAACAAACTTTGGACGACTCGGAAGGGTTAAAAACGCCAATCTTCTAGTGCTATGATCGACTTTTACCCCAAACATCCCGAAAGCAGTAATTGCGTGGTGTTCACAGCAAGGTTAGCCTGCCGCGCACTGTGTGAGGCGTGCGGTTTCAGAAGAGTGCTGCATGAAGTCGACGTCTCAAGGCTCAGATCAATTTGAATCCAGAACACTTCAAACCCCTACTCTAGAAAGCATTACTTAGTCGAATTTTCCGTACGGCCTCTAACGTATCTCAAGCTTGGTTCACATGCGACTGCACAGGTGGTGGCGACCACGAAGGTGTCTTTGTCAGCAGGAAATCACCTCACCGCATGTTCAACTTGAGACTACCTCATAAGAAGAATTAGATCTCATCGGGTCAGCGACATCTTGATGTTAGTTACGAGAAAGCCAGTACTTTAGGACAACAGCGTCATCCTAGCTGTCGATTGCAGAGTTGTTCGGATCATGCCAGTTCTTGGCGCTGAATAAGCAGGAATAAATCCTCACGATGCCAATATTTAGTGCCGTGATCGATACTGAGAGAAAGTTCCGCTTTCAGAACATGGAATCGATATGACAGGGTAAAGCCCGTGAACAAGCATTGCGAGTGCATGGGCGACGCTCTGCTGTACGACGCGACATAGCGGTGACCACGCAAGCATACATACAAGACTTATGTGAAGAGACAAGGAAGGTCTCGTTTTCCCCTAGAGTGAGCAAGATACATTCTCGCAAAACGAGTGATCCCACGGGTTTGTATGTTTGAACGAGGCTGCACAGCGCTGTTCTTATTGAGTTGTACTGAATGTCGGTGCATCTTCCAAGATTGACCAGCTGCCGCCATGCCAAGCATGCCAGCTAAGAACAACTGGTACCTCTGGAACCTGCCAAGCTCAGCATTGATAGACTGTAGAGTCATACTGTGTGTGATTCACGCGGCTGCCTTAGCAGATGAGGAGACGTTGCTTGTGGTAGGTTGAGCTTTCTATCATGGCTCGTTCTGATTGGCGGGGGAAGCGGCAATTGACAACTGATAATTTTCCGCATAGAGAAAACAAGGATTTAGAGAGGCCACCTTGACATCCTGACGGGTGAGGCTGAGGACTAGTGCGGCAGTGCTTAAGCAACGTACTGCTGATAGCCTGATATGGGACTTTCTTGCATACGATCTCCAGTATTCTTCTGGGAGCTGACGGGACGAAAGGCCAGCTTGCTTTGCGCTCTACTCAGGCAGCTGCGGTGGTGCACGCAACACGTGTGGACAGTATCACGGATTACGAAAGATAGTAGAAAGTTCGAGCAGCGGGTGAAACTACACGTGTCCTGTACCAACCGAGCATGAGATCGAGTGAAATTAAGGCTGATGTGCGGGCAGCTCCAAGTAACAAAGCCGAAGTGGCGCTAAATGGTTGCGCTAACGCCCAAATCGGAAGCGGTGAAGCTCTGCGAGCTCATAATACCAGCTGTTCACTTCGATCGATAGTAGAGACCCGGTCCACATATAACGCTTGCCCACCGCCAGCTCTACCTTCTTCTTCCTCCATCCCACTTCGACAGTCAACTTCCACTGGCTTGTCTTTCTTTCCTTGTTAGATACCCGGAGTCTGCTCTACTCCACAAACCCACTCAGCGAGCTCTACAAGTCTCGCGCCCCGCACACGCCTGCGTCCATTGAAGCCACTTGAAGGCCGATACACACACACCGCACATTCACGATGGCGCGCAGCTCACGGAGCGCCAGCAAGCGCTCCACATGGAGCGTTGCTTTCTACCTACTCATGGTCATTGTCGCCGGCTTGATGCTGGCGATGCCGGCCCGCGCTGCGGACCAGGAGCCCATTGTCGAAGACGACAACGCTGTCTCCGGGCCTGTCATTGGTATTGATCTGGGAACAACCTACTCTTGTGTTGGTATCATGAGGAACGGAAAGGTCGACATTTTGGTCAACGACCAGGGTGAGTTTGCCACTGTATCTCTGCGTTTGCACAGCAACTAACAAGTGTCCTCAACAGGTAACCGTATCACACCTTCATGGGTCGCTTTCACCGATGACGAGCGTCTTGTTGGTGACGCCGCCAAGAACCAGTTCGCCAGCAACCCCCACAACACCGTCTTCGATATCGTACGTTGCATATTTCGTTTTGCCAATCGCAAGCACTGACAACCTCTGCAGAAGCGTCTCATCGGTCAGAAGTTCAACGACAAGTCTGTCCAGAACGATATCAAGCACTTCCCCTTCAAGGTCATCAACAAGGGAGGCCAGCCCCGCGTCAGCGTCGAGGTCAACAAGAAGGAGACCGTCTTCACACCCGAAGAGATCTCGGCTATGGTCCTTGGCAAGATGAAGGAGGTTGCTGAGAGCTACCTCGGCGAGGAGGTCAAGAACGCTGTCGTTACTGTTCCCGCCTACTTCAACGATGCTCAGCGTGCCGCCACTAAGGACGCTGGTACCATCGCTGGTCTCAACGTTCTCCGTGTCGTCAACGAGCCCACCGCCGCCGCTCTCGCCTACGGTCTTGACAAGACTGACCAGAAGGAGCGTCAGGTTCTTGTCTACGATCTTGGTGGTGGTACCTTCGATGTTTCCATCCTCACTATTGAGGAGGGTGTCTTTGAGGTTCAGTCTACCGCTGGTGACACTCATCTCGGTGGTGAGGATTTCGACAACCGTGTTATCAGCTACCTCGCCAAGAAGTACAACAAGGAGAACAGCGTCGACATCACCAAGGATGCCAGGACCATGGGTAAGCTCAAGCGCGAGGTTGAGAAGGCCAAGCGCACTCTCTCTTCCCAGAAGACCACCAAGATCGAAATCGAGTCTTTCCACAAGGGCAACGATCTCTCTGAGACTCTTACCCGCGCCAAGTTCGAGGAGCTGAACAACGATCTCTTCAAGAAGACCCTCAAGCCTGTTGAGCAGGTTCTCAAGGACGCCAAGATGAAGAAGAGCGACATCGATGACATCGTTCTCGTTGGTGGTTCCACTCGTATCCCCAAGGTTCAGCAGATGCTCGAGGAGTTCTTCGGAAAGAAGGCTCGCAAGGACGTCAACCCCGATGAGGCTGTCGCTTTCGGTGCCGCCGTTCAGGGTGGTGTTCTCGCTGGTGACGCTGCCACTGAGGAGCTCATCCTCATGGATGTCAACCCGCTTACCCTTGGTATTGAGACCACCGGCGGTGTCATGACCCACCTCATCAAGCGTGGTACCACCATCCCCACCAAGAAGAGCCAGATCTTCTCGACGGCCGCCGACAACCAACCCGTGGTTCTCATTCAGGTATTCGAAGGAGAGCGCAGTATGACGAAGGATAATAACAACCTCGGCAAGTTCGAGCTTACCAACATTCCGTAAGTCGCAGACATACTATAAGATTTTTAAACGAGAACTAACAACATTACAGTCCTGCTCCTCGTGGCGTTCCTCAGATCGAGGTCACTTTCGAGCTTGATGCCAACGGTATCCTCAAGGTTGCCGCTGTCGACAAGGGCACTGGCAAGGGCGAGAGCATCACCATTACCAACGATAAGGGCCGCCTTACCGCTGAGGACATCGAGCGCATGGTTGAGGAGGCCGAGAAGTACGCTGAGGAGGACAAGGCCAACAAGGAGCGCATTGAGGCTCGCAACAAGCTCGAGAACTACGCCTACAGCCTCAAGAACCAGCTCAACGACGAGGAGGGTCTTGGTGGCAAGATTGAGGATGATGACAAGGAGAGCCTCCTCGAGGCCGTCAAGGAGACCCAGGACTGGATCAGCGAGAACTCTGCTGACGCCTCAGCCGAGGACTTCGACGAGCAGTTCCAGAAGCTGTCTGATGTCGCCTACCCCATCACTTCCAAGCTTTACAGCGGAGCTGGTGGCGCTGGCGAGGACGAGGAGCCCGGCCACGACGAGTTGTAAGTGGTGACGCAGAAAAGTTGAGTCGCATTATATCTGGCTGCCTTTGGCCTGCCATGTAAGAGTAACATTTCTGCCACCGACACATCGTCGACGGTCAAAATGTGTATGGAACTATTTGGAGTTTAGTTACGAAGCCATTTTCTCAATGAAATGAACATGAACCAATTACACGACCCCTTCTCGCATCGCGATGTGATGTGACATGCCATGCATGCCTGCGTAACGTTCTCAGGCATGTTCCAGCAGGTACTTGGCACCTTTGTAGGGTCCAACCCATCATTTCTGTAGCCAATAAGCCGTAGAAAAACTACCGAATAACTCCCTTTAAGCGTATGCAGTCCAATGAGTAAGACTTCCCATGAGACTCTTGATTGTTCCCTTGGTGCTGCATTTTGCCAAGTGGTTGTTCGAATTTGCTTGGGTGCAGTATGCAAGGTATTCTTCTTGGTATGGACGCGCACCCTGAACCATTGTCGACCTGACTCACACAACACGGGATGAGAGTCGCAATCTGCCCGCTTCTATACCTTTGCCAGCAATTCTATATACCATCTGGAGTCTGATTTTCGAGGCGCTTGCCCGCAGTACGAGGGCAACCCCGCGCTCTTCTCCACACGTCATGTAGATGTCTCGCTCCTTCCCCAAACGTGCACGGCTCTGCTCCATACTGCACCCAGACTTGTCCAACCAGCTACCTAGCGCTCTTGTAGGATCCAAACCATCACTATCGTGGCCGATACGTCGCAGGAATACTACCGAATGACTCCGAGGCAGACAACATACGTTTGAACGAACACCTCACGGAGACCAACTCGGCCACGACACCTTTAATGACAGCACGAAGACAAGTTCACGCGTGAGATAACAAACTTTACCAGTTATGATCCCTTGCAGACACTTGTAGAGACGCGATTCACAACAAATACGTCACAAGCAAACGAAGAGGCCGAGGTCGGGTGTTTTTTGAACTTTTCCTTTACTAACAATAGACAGTTATACAGAAAACACGTTGACCATTAAGAGTCCACATGCGAAGACCTCGTCAACATTGCGCAACTTCAGCTGACCGAAGGTCATAAGGGTATCCTGCGAGAAGCGACAATATCATAAGATTGCCAAGATGGGCCAGGAGTATCCAGAGCTAGTGTAGATGGACGGGGAATATGATGAAAGATGTGCATGAAGAAATTCGAAAGATCCAACGCCGACCGGAGATCCGCAGCGCTTAAGAGAAGGAGACCTTGACAGTCTCGCTGTTGGAGCCCATGGCGCATCCACCACCGGTACCGGCCATGATGGGGTCGTAGCCGCCACCACCGCCAGTGCCGGAGCCGCACTCGAAGAGGTCGTAGTCTTCTCCCTTCTCGCAGTTGTCGGGCTCAACACCGTTCTTCTTCTTGCACTTGAAGACACAGACATCCATGTCGGATGTGCACTTGGATCCCTTGGAGCTGATCTTGCGACCCTTCATGTTGACGTTACGGGAGACGTCGAAGGCACCCCACTGGCCGAAGGTGACCTCCCACCATGTCTGCTCGAGACCACCGAAGATGGCAAGCTTGGAGTCCTTGAAGGCAGGAGCGCAGGCGGAGGGAACACCAGGAGCGAAAGAAACAACGGTCTTCTGTCCAGGCTTGAGACCAACAGAGATCTCTGGCTGGTTGACGTTCAGGGACATGCCGTTGAAGCCATCAGCCTTCCAGCAGAAGATGACACCATCCTCGTTGGCATCGTTGGTGAATTCGGCCTTCCAGTCGCCATCATCGCCAATCCAGATACCACCGTTGTTCGACTTGTCGTTCTTGCCGGTGGAAACGATACCCAGAGACTTGACAATGGTCTGAACACCTTGCAGAAGGTCGGAAACGACGTCACCAACGGCGTCACCAATGTCATCGATAAGGTCACCGAGGTCGGGGGTAGAAGAGGAGGGAGTGGCAGCCGGAGCGCTGGAAGTAGCAACCTCCTTGGTGGAAGAGGGAGCAGCGGCCGAGGTCTTGACCTCCTGAACCTTGACAACCTCAGCGGAGCTGGTGGGTGCAGGCTTCTCAGAAGTCTTCTCCTCGGGGGCGACAGTGGGGACGACGGGAGCGGCCGGGGCAGCAGGAGTGGGAGTAGGGGAGGCGAAGACAGAGCTCCAGTTGACCTTGTCCCAGTCGACGTCGTTCAGGTCGTAGGCAACGGCCCTCCAGTTGATGTCCTTGGAAGCCTTGGTGTCACTACAGTCTGTTAGTGATGGTCTTGCGTGTCAAGCGAGCAATGACTTACGCCTGACGCCTGGCGTGGAAGCTGGCGTGGCGGTTTTGGTGGTTGGCAGCGGCGGCCTGGCCAACGGCGAGGGTGCTCAGCACCAGAGCAGAGGAGTAACGCATTCTGAAGTATGTGTGCTGGTCGCTTGCGGACGCAGTTGGGTATTGATGTACGGCAGAGAGGTCGTAACGTCGTTCAACGGCGGCTATAGGTATATGTGGTTGGTGAAGGAGAGACTGGGAGCAAACAACAATATCGGCGTGAATGAGTGAACGCGCGAAATTGCTATTCTCAAATGAGGGACAATACGGTATGATATACTCGGTGAAGGTGGAGAAGGAAGAAGAGCGGCGCCGCGCAGGAGGTGGTTCAGCCGGCCCCTGCTTGTTGGGTTGGTGGGCCCGGCGCACCGCCTGGGTCTCGAAGGGATCTCATCTCCTGTATCATTCACCCCCTACCGAATCGGGAAAGGCGAGCGCAGACAAAGGCCGTTGTTTGACTGACACGACCAATTGGGAAGCGTGCCTGAATAGTGGAGTCAGGCACACACCACCCTCATTGGTGTGCCTGTCTTAGCGACGGCTCGGCGCCTTGACGTTTCACGCCTGCAGGTGCGCACACAACAAGCCGCACGTGTTGGCTGTCTATTGCGCAGGAACTGGGACAAAGGCTAAGGATGTGAGCTGTCGCATGCGACCTGACAACAAAGCTATGCAAGTCTCCTCAATGACCTTTGTCTAGCTCGACATCATCAACGAACAAGATGACGGCCGCGCAATTGCGATCATCGCAACAACGGGCTCGGCGCTTTCTGATTGGAGACACACGCATGCGTGTCCTTCGATCCCAGTCTTGTCGCCGAGGATACAAGTGGAGCAATTGGAGCAAGTGACTCTTCCAGAACGTCCCCAAAAGCAGGCCGAGTCGCTTCACCGAATCGCGCACACCTCATTTCTCAACAACGATGGCTTCAGCAACCACTCGATGTTTGAAGGTGCAGCATAACATTCATAAGCTGGACATACAACGCTGCACACCCTTTGACTTGTAAGGCACAGCATGAATGTCCAACCTCTTTCTATTTCGGTGGTCGCACAGTGTTGGACCAGCGCAATGCCTTCGTCCACGCAATCCTCATCCAACAGTGACGCAAGCATCGGGTCGGCTCTCCATGCTCTCCACCTGCAGCTGGTATGCAGCTGAGCAGTTTGTTCTCCACTCAGCGATCGCCAAAAAGTACCGAAGCAACGTTCGTGGAGCCCCGGTGCCAGGCACGGCACGATAAGGCCCTATCGCAACGTGTCGCAGGCCGGGTATGCAGCAAGGAAAATCTGCAACCCTCATCCTGCCACTCACAGGCAGAGACCGGCTGCCAACGCGGGACCGTGGAGCTCCAGCCGTGACGGCGCGGACGCCATCGCAACGTGGTGGGTTGTCGTTCGTTGATCCTGTGTCCAGAATCTCGGAGCGCAACGGCAATCGTCAAGTCTTGAACAATGATGTCGGTGGTGTGTAGAACTTGTCGATTTTGCTGCCCTTTGTCCAATCACGGCCACGGCAGCTCTAAAAGATTTTCCTTGTTTGTTCATTTCTCCACTTGAGGCCACCGACTTTTCTCCTGTAGAGTCAGTTTACAATCCGAGGGTAGGAGTCAAGTGGCATGTGAGATCATGTTGAGATGAAAGACATCCAATTCGACTATAGGCCGAACTGGTTTGTAGACCGGCTCAACATGCACATCAACACAAACACGCAAGGCCAACAAAGAGCATGTCATGATGCGTGCATGCTGACAACACCTGTCAGCACACGGCATACCTGCACAGTAGTCTCAACGAGGTCGGTGAGCGAACTCGACAAAAGTCCGTGGAAGGATGGGATGATCTAAGCAATGTGTACATACGCCACCTCGCTTGCGCGGTAAAGCAGCACTACAGCCGTGTCAGTCGAATACTGCAGACCCGCCCACAAACATTCCGTTCGCAGTTCATTTATCGTGCATCTGCAGGATGCAGCAGCATGTCGATAAGCTTATTGATATAGGCTGAGCACGGGCATACAATACAAGCCTGTGCTGCGAAGTCGGTAGATGAGCATACGTAGTAACCCGCGCTATGCAGCGTGGCCGCGAGTCCTGAACAACGGCCAAATCCAGCCGCCAGACCACGTACGGAGCAAGTAAGAACCTCGCAATCGCGAGCCTCTCCAGAAATGCACCGAGGTCCCCCATGTTGCCCCAATCTCCGCCCGCTGCCAATCACACACGTGAACGCACTCTCCTTCCCAAGTCACGTTACCTAGTTGAGCGAGCACACGCTGTCGTGCTTCCACACGTTACTGAGAGACGGAAATAAATAATCAGCGCGCACAAGCGCCTCAGGCAGTGGTGCGAAGTGGTGCGGCGCCTGCGAAACGCGCTTTTGACCTGTCAGCGGCGGGATCGGCGGTGTTTTGGCTGTGCGAACGGCGGCGTTCGCGCGGTCATGCCTGGTGCGTTTCGAGAAGAATTGAGTTCGCTATTTCAGTTCCTGAGGACTGTAAAACTTTGTAGAGAATCTGAAGTAGCGGCGGTCTTGACGTCGGGTCTTCTGAGGGCGTGGTGGTTGCAGAACTTCGGGGGTGCTCAGCACCCGCCCAGCTGCTGAGGCGGCCTTTGTGCAACTGCGCTGAAGCAGTCTCGTGGAAAGTATGTGTGCAGATGTGTTTGAGAACCAGCCTACTGCTTGGCACGAGCAGGCTGCGCAATTGCTGAAAGCTGATCCACTGGTCACGACACGTCTTTTGCGTGAACGCCACAATGTTGTAGATACTGACTTGGACATGTGTACACAACCCCAGGCTTTGAGATAAATTTGCGCGTTTCATCTTCTATTATATGCACAGTATTTACAATATACATACATATACAGCCCCTCTCAGGCTCTCAATAGCCTTTATCTTCATCAAAATGTCATCAAATCCCACCAAGAGGGCGTTCAAGAAGAGGAAGGACGTCCGAGACCAGCGGCAAGTGGGTCGTCGCGGGGTATCTCGAAACTATGAACAGAATGCATGGGTCATCAATCCTAATCGTCTCCGTTGGTGTGGGTCGAATGCTGGGTGTCTAGCAGTGGAGAAGAAAACGCCGGTAGATGCGAACGATAGAAAAAACAAGGAAAATGATCGAGGTGCTAGATGTCAACGACTAATAGCCGTAGCCATTGTCGAAGCCTCTCTGATTCGATGGTGGGTAGCCTGTGCCTGCGGGGGTGTGGCTGCGATCTGCAGGTGTGTAGCTCCTCTCCGCAGGCGTGTAACTTCGTTCGCCCAGACTCGAGGGTGTATAATTCCTCTGCGTCTGGGTGTTCCAAGCGGGCTGTCGCAAGGGCGCCGTTGCACTACGTTGTTGAACAGCAGGCACAGAGCCAGTCATGGCCCTATTGGGTAGGGGTTGTGAAGCCTCGCGACGCTGAATAGCGGATTGTAGACTTGTAGGGACACCTGCGCGCGGTGGTGCAGTGCCGGCTCGTGGCGGAGGAGCGGTGCCGGATCGAGGAGGCACGTTGGATGTCTGCGACATCGCTGGTGAGCCAGCACGCAGCGCACCAGGAAGCTGTGGGGGCTGGTATTCGTCTGAGGCGTTCGAGTTGGTGTAATAATGTAGAGGATCATCGTCTTGAGCGGTCGTGTCAACGGGTGACAGTTCGTAAGCGGGGCCTGAAGTAGGTCCGCGATTGTTGTAAGGTGAAAATGCCGTATACGTCTGCGTAGGCTGGGCGCTGTACGTGTCGCTTAGGGGCGAAACCATGTCGTGGGGAGGCGAGTAACGGTCATTCGAATAGTTCGTGTCGACTGGTGGGAGAATCGGTCGCGGAGACGCCCTGCCTTGCGATGCAGGGGTGAACGCACGAGCAGGCGGCGCAAGGGGAGGAACCTCGTAGAAGTATGCGTTCTGGTCGATCTGAGGGACTGGTGGCATCGGAGAGACCCTGCCCATATCGCTAGCTTGGTTCAAGAGTGGCGCATTCGAGCCGTAGCTGGTCGTGGAGTACGTGGTATCGGATCGTGCTGCGCCGGGCCGTTCATTGAGCGTCGGCAGAACAGGCTTTCTAACAAAGCCAGCGGAGGTATTCGTAGCCATAGTGTTCGTGCGCGACGGGGCGGCTGACGAGTAGGGCGGCAAGGTTGCAACAGTGCTGAATGTGTCTGATCGTTGTATGCCATAAATGGAAGCACCGTCGTCCTCTTTTCCTGCAAGGCTCGGCAATGTGGGTTTCGAGCTGGATGAGTTCAGGGTGCCCTTCTTGATTGCGCGCTGTTCCTCTGCTCGTCGCTTCTGGTCTTCTTTCTCGATCGCCTTCTTCATCTTCTTGCCTACAATACGAGCAAGACGGCCCTCGACCTTACGACGGCAGTAGTTCGTCAAGCTTCCGTCCGCACGTGGGATGTAGTGCCAAAGGAAGAAGATGTAGAAGATACACGAGATTATGATACCAAGCGCGGCGATGACCCAGATGAGCAGGGAGAACAACATCGTGAAATAAACGACAGTCTCCTGCTTGTTGCCCGTTTCGATCATGGCCTTGATGTTCATGAAAAATTGCTCGAAGTTGGAGCGATCCTCAGACGCGTGCTCGCCGACCGGGAGAAGATTAGCTTGCATGACAGCGTATAGGGTCATGGCGTTGATTGCGATACGTGGTCCCTGAGCGACAATGATGATGAGTGCGCTCTTGAACTGGAAATAAACGAAGAGAGCAATGTAGTTCGCGCCCTTCTTACTCTTCGTCAGCTCGGCGAAGACCAGGAAACGTCGCCAGCCGCGGCCGCTGCTGGTGAGTCGCATACTCTGCCAGATAGCGGCCATGGGTTCAAGATAGCATTCTGTTACACTTCCAGAACGCATGACCTTGAAAGCCCTGATACCTCTGTAGACCAGAAACACATAGGAGATAATGATGGTGATCGCGAAGATCCACTTGGCGACTTCAAAAGGCACCTTGGGTTGTACCTGACTGGACCATTTGTTGAAGGCGAGTAGATTGACGGCAGTGAAGGCATCGGCGGCGTAGACGGCGCAAGAAATGAGAACGAGGATCCAGAGCCAGGCATAGGAGAACGGGGTCAGGCACGACGTTGACCTAAAGTCGGAGAGGTTCTGTGATGGTCAGTATGGTCATTACACACTTCACTATTGAACCCTACAATGTAATCCCACTTTTGGTCGGCGGCCACATTGGCCAAGCCCTTCTCGCGATCTCCGCAGCAGCCCATGTTTGACAGTGGTGGTGGTTATTAGTTGGTATATGTGTATATTGGGTCCGGTCAACGGTAGTATAGCCTGCAGTCCAGCTGGTAAAAAGAGTGACGCGAGGTGCTAAAACAGCATTGGCAGTCCTCGAAAGGCGACAGGTAGGGAGGATTGGCTGAAGGAGTGTAGTCGCAATGGTGGTGGCAGACCGGCTGTTGACCACTAGCGAGAGAACTGAGGGAGCGACAGAGTCGTTGGTTTTTGACAGCTGGGCGACGTATCCGAGCTGTCGCTGGGCACGGTGAACTTTCCGGAAGAGTTGGGGTTCAAGGTCCTAGCTGAGGTCGATGTGCATGGTTTGGAGCATGCAGTGTTTGGAGTGGACGATCCGACAGCGGAAGACCCTTCGCCGAGAAAAAACCTTGGTGACAAGGTGAACAACAGCTACAGTCGCGGGCTTGTTATTGTGGTATCGCGGTGAAAGCGACTGACAACGATTCCGAACGAGTGTCGCGCGCAATGGGTGTCGCACTGGTCCAAAAGAGGAAGTCGCGCAATGAACGGGTTAATCTTGCGATGAGCTAAAGAGCGGGAGCGACAGCGACAAGAAACGAGGCAACAAGGAACGGGACACCAGCCAGCGTCTAAGTACGTGATTGCAGACCAGCGACACAAGGACACGAGTTGTGGTGAAGAACGATCGCAACGCGCTTTCCCCAGCCGTGGAGGGCTTCCAAGTGCGCTAATCAAGACCTTGCACATCAGACGCGGGGGGTTCGCCATTGGCCGATCACGCATAGCTCAAGTTTGGCGCTAACACGCCAGATTCATTTGTGGCTGCCCTTGACCCCTTGCTACCAGCGTCTCTCCCGAACAGGCAGGCAGAAGCCATTTCTGCAATGATGTTCAATCTCTGGCGCCTCAGGCGTTGCACGAGCGGCCCGTACAAAAAGTAGATTGGCTGTGCCACATTCCGCTCTCAAGGTCCAGCGCGCTGTCTCAGCGAATCCTACGGAGGAACTGTTTGCACACGTCGTCATTCATAGCCCACCAGCCACTTTGGTAACGTCCACTGCCTCACACAAGGGAGTTTCGAAACGTCGAGGATGAAGGCGCTGTGATTGGACAGTAGTAATCTATGCTGTTCATGCTTCATGCGAGCGGGCCGAGCGGCGGGTCTGCTAATTGCTGTGTTGTCACGCGCTGTCACGCAGGGATCGATATAATCTCGTCCAGTTTGACTGATAAAGTTGTCCATTGACAAAGAGGATGGACATCAAAACCAGCTGATGCGTAACATGTGAAAAGGGTTTTGGTTTTGTGTCATACGGATTGTCACCTCTCTTTCTTCAAGCGTGCATCTGTCGCAGTGCAAAAGTCATCTCACGCATCCAACGCGGGTAGGGAAATGCCGGAACCCATGACGGCAAGATCGTTGACAGCCCCTGCAAACCTAGTCCTGCACTTCTGCGTCGAAACAAATTCTCAGAGCTCATTTTATCTGCCGTACAGAATAGCAAACATCGATGCTTATTTTGTTGATTCCATTGAAATGACATAGCCAGATATGATACACAGAGATCACGAGCACTCACAGCGGCGAGAGTCACCTCTAGTGTTCTACTGGCTACGATAGCTCTCTGCGTGAGTTGCAGATCAGGTCAAGAAGAGCATTCGGGGAGACCATCCGCAAGCTGAAACGACACTCCATCTGCGTGCAGTGTTGTAATGCTGTAGGTTTGAATTGCACCGCCCCAGCCACCTCATGATCAAGACGGAAACGATATGCGTCGTATGGGAGGGCCTCCTCGGTTCAATAGATGCGTCCACAAGGGTGGCATGTCAGACTCTGGCACCGAAGTCGATTCGTTGCACGGTGATAGCTTCACGCTACGTGGAGCAACAGAAGGCGTTTGTTGTGAAATAAGAAATCAGATGTTAGCTCGCTACTGCTGCCTCCGTACGACAAACTAAAGGATACAGACGCCGGGTGTGCACTTTGACCGAGACGCAACACACACCTAGACTCCTCGAGAGTGCTACTGGAACCGTGCTGTTTGCATAACACCTTCTGCCTATGGATCCTAAGAGGCACTGGATTTTCCTAGATCTTGCTTCACGCGGACAACGAGCTTTCCCCTTGATCGACCGGTCTTCAATTTCTCAAAAGCCCTCGGTGCATCCTCCCATTCGAAGACCTCGTCCAACACAGCCCTGACTCTTCCGTCCTTCATCCACGCTCCTAATTGCTTCAAATCATCGGTCGAGGGTTTGGGTAACAACACCTGGTACGGTCGCCTGCCACCACCTAAGAATCCTGGCACAAGGAAGTTGCTTGTAATTTGCGCAAACGAACCCAGGCTAACGGTGGCACCAACTTGTACGAATTTGCCGCCGGGGGCAAGGTATGAGGCTGATTGTTTGTAGAGATCGGCAGGTGAGCCCACGTTGTCCACAGCCAGCTGAAAGATGGGGCCCTTGGCAGCAAGGGCCTCAACGACGTTCTGAGTCTTGTAGTCGATGACCTCGTCGGCGCCGAGGCTCTCGCAGAGCTTCACGTTTCCTGTCGAACATGTTGTTGTGACATGACAGCCGAGCGCTTTCGCGATCTGGATGCCGCAAACGCCAGTCCCTCCCGAGCCGCCGTTGATGAAGACTTTGTCGCCGGGCTTAACGTTTGGCTGGATGGCCTGGATCTCTGTGATGCCTACAACCCCAACACTTGCAGCGTCTTCAGTCTCAACACCGGCGGGCAGACTCGTCAACATATTTTGCGAAACGCTAACATACTGCCCGAGAGTTCCGTTGGAGACAGCGCCGCCTTTCGTTCCAAACACCCACTCTCCAATCTGGAAGGAGTCGACCTTCCGGCCCGCTTTGGCGACTCTACCGCAAAAGTCCATGCATGGTATGCAGACTACTCCAAGGGCTGTTATAGGAGCACTCTCGCTGACTTTGTAGTCGGCAGGATTGAGAGCGATCGCGTGAACCTCAACCAGGATCTCATCGTCGCTGATAGTGGGCTGGGTGGCGGTGTCATTGATCTTGAGGTTTTTCTCTAGCCCACCGGCGACGCTGTCGTACTGCCAGGCTCTCATGGTTGGTCGTGACATGTTTGCGACGAGGTGTCACGGTTCAGGAGAGTGAAGCTACGCGTTTATTTACCTCAAGATCGAGCGCCAGGTAAGTGGTGGCTTGCGTCATCTAGCTAGAAACGGGCAAGCGCATGCCTCCGCTTTATAGATTATCAGCTGTGACCTATCTCTCGACTCTCAGTTGCAGATGCAGAGCTTCTCGGAAATCCACTCGCCATACTGAGTAATATACTAGCATCGAATGCGAAGTGCGGTAGCTACGGGATGTGCTAAAGAGATTGAGGTAAGATGGAGTGACATCCCTGCAACGTCGGCAAAACATCTGGTGCAGTGCGTAGTAAGCTTACGTCGTGGAAAAAAGTACAAGTAGAAGTGAGGTCTCGTCTTAAACGAAACTCTGACAGTAAATTGTAGATGACCCAAGTCCTGCGCAAAGCATATTGGTATGTGCTTCTCATGCCTTGGAGACCCTCTGTATGAACCTTTCTTCTCCTTGCGCGACCTCTAGCGCCAGGTCAGGTTGTTCCTACTGCTCGACAACACGACCAGGATTCTCGAGAATCGATACTGCACACAAGGCTCATGATCACATTTTGAAACACGACTCACTGCCGAGGCTCAACGCAAAGTGCAACCAATACATTCCAAGGTGTTGATTTATCACTCTACGGCCACGCCTAGATAATTCTGTATACCAGTTTCTGTCCTGACACAGTCCCGGCTTTCAAATCGTTCAGACCTTGGGGCACACCCTCCAGCCCATCCCTCACTAGCGTAGGGTGGGCCTTGAGCTCTCCGCTGTTGAACAGAGCCTCGGCTGCCTTCCAGAACTTGACGCCGAACTCATAATCATCGGGCTTAGCAGGCACCCTGTCGTTATACTTCTCACCAAGCGCCGTGTACCCAAACGTCCATCCGTGCTTCACGTCCTTGCGGGGGAAGTTCTGCAGCGGTCCGGGTAAGAGGCCGGAGTAGTGACCACCAGATGAGCTGATTGCTGCTGCGCAGATATGCTCAGAGCCGTGCTCAGCGATGCAGTCGAACGCGATCTTAAGCTTATCGTTGCTGGCTTTGCGGATCTTATCGCCACACTCTGGATCCTTGTAGTCGAAGACGTGGTCAGCGCCGAGTCTCTTCAAGAGGTCAAAGTTCTGCGGTGATGCAGTCGCAAAGACTTCGGCGCCTGAGATTTTGGCAAACTGAACCGCGAGCGTTCCTGTCGCTGTTGAGGCGCCGTAGATCAAGACTGGTGTTGGCTCGGAGACTTTGGTAGGAGGAAGTGGCAGCCCGAGGACCTGGTATAAACCCTGGCCTACTGTGGTAATACCGACACCGAGGGTGGACGCATCCTCCCATGAGATGCGCTCGGAGACTTTGAGGTGAATACCAGCTTTTGCTTTGATGTGCTCGGCAAAAGCGCCGTTGGAGTGGTCCGCTGGATCGCCTTGGAGCTGTCAACAGCTACAATGATCGCCTTGCAGACGCAGACTTACCTCCTCGACAGAATCCGGCCACCCTGTCACCAACCTTGAGGTCCTTCACGTCATTGCCAACTTCTTCAACGATACCGGCGTAATCGCAACCAGCAACGGCACCCTTGGACGGTGTGTTTTCAATACTCTTCCAGTCTGTGGGGTTAAGAGCGACAGCCTTGGTTTTGACAATAATGAAGTTGTCCTGGACTTTGGGGATGGGAACATCGGAACGAACCTCCGAGACGCCCTGTCCGACGTGGACGACTGCTTTTTGAGTAGACATGTTGAGTATGAGGATTAGAAGATGTCACGGCGATTATTGTTGGTGTAGAGAGCGTTGTGCTAACGATACCATTACCTAGATATCTACGTCAAAGCTTTATAGCTTCCTACCCAATGATGCCAATGTGGGTTTTAGCGGACCTAGCAAGCATCATCATTGGATTTGTCATCGTCCGAGGAAGGTTGTGAGACAAAGTCTTCTTGCATCACAAATTGAATATAGTGGAGTAAGTCCTGCGTGAATATAAGCGTAAAGGCATATGATCGTAAGCATACAGACAGGTAGGAGGCGCGGCCTCTCCCATTTTAGGATAGACAGCGGAGAAGTGATCTTCAAGCTGACAAACTCCACGCAACCTACATCAAGAAAAAAGCTTGTTCATATGGCCGATCGCTGGGCCGCCATTGGCAGAGACACTTGCTAAACTCAGCCTGCTGCGCAGACAACAATAATTGCACAATACGCGGATAATTGCACAATCTGTGTTGGAAGATAGGGAGTTGCCTGTGCCAAAGGTTTATATAAGCGAGGGTAATCTGCTTGGTAGTAGGTAGTGTTCGACAGTATTTTGGAGGTAGATGTCAAGGATCGTTTTCGTGTATTCCTATAAAACGAGCGATAATGGAAACTTGGCTTTTGTAGAAGCATCTGTGCTGTAAGAAAACCATGCCTTGTTGCTTTGGTGTGGGGTTATCTGACGTCCTCACCTAGCCGTCGTTTATTCTGGGTCTGTGCGGCGTGACGGTGCCGAGCCAGGGTCCAGCTCTCCAACGCGTCAGGCGACTGAGCCTTGAACGCGACAGGGCATTGTCAACTTTTTACGCTTCCAACAGCATTCTGCACTTGTCTTCAAGTACAATCGCCTACTATGGCAGAAGATGGGCCACTGCTCAATTTCTTCCCTGACCCGCCGCCCTTCTTCAAGCACTTCACGACCGAGAATCTTGACCGCCTCAGAGACATAGAGAATGAAGCCAGCAATGGCGCCGAAGCTTCCACGAACACCGCACACTCCTCTTCGAAACTATCTGCCGAGCAGATCCTCGCTCTGCCAACCGAGCTCCGTTATCTCATCCCACCCCCACCACCAAGCGACGATGAGCCCTTTCACGTTTTTGGCGAACCAGCCAAAAGCTCTGGCACGAACAATTTCACACAGATGATGGAGTTCGTCTCGAAAACGCTGGGCTCACAGTTCATCTTAAGCGACTGGACCTACACGCAACTTTACCCCTCTGCCGTCTCGCCCTCTGCCGAGCCGAGCTCGAGCTCGCACTCCACCGACGCAAACATCGACCGCCAGCAGTACCTTAATCGCTTCAACCGCTCTATACTGCTCGAATACTTGTCACTACTAGGCATCTTGGCACTGGATCCGAAGAGTGATCATAAGGACAGGAAAATGAAGCACATCCTCACACTGGTGTGCAATATGCATGCACTCATCAACGAGTACAGGCCGCATCAGGCGAGAGAGACGTTGATTAAGATCATGGAGGGACAAGTCAGACGAAAAAAGGCAGAGATCGAGGGCGTTAAGACGATGGAGGAGAAAGTTAGGGGTGTCCTCGAAGGATTTGGAAGGGTGGCGGAGTCAGATGGCGAGAAGGGTGGCGATGAGGAGCTCAAAGACATGGTACACAAGGAAGTCGAGCAGGATAGGAGGAGAGACACACAGAAGGGGATGTGGGATGCTATGGAAGAGATATTGGGCCACTGAACATGGTTCAGCGAGGCGAATCATCGTTAACGGGGCCCTGCTCAACCAGAGCATATCCTCAGTCTATTCAAGGCAACAGTATGGGCGGTGAGGGTTACCTCAGCCTATGCACGCATTAGCACAAGTGTGCCCAACAGCTAGGTTCGAGCGTTCTATCGCTAGGACTTCATGATCCCAAATCTTTGGCCTAGCGCGGATAGTGTAAGTCAGCAATATCGATACAGATCCGGGCATGGGATCATGGTACCTATAGTGAGCCTGAGCTCGCATAGCTGGGCTATGTAGCCAGTCTTTACACTCCAGTGTTGCTCTCTTGGTAGCCATGGTCCTTTGGCATGTGAAGTCAGCAATGACAATGAAACCACAACTCTGGACTCTGCAGAGCCAGACGTTGGGTAATTCGGACTGCGCTCAGCCTGGGAATGGCATGGATAGGCTGGTCTTGTTACGCGACTTCAGCCGCAAGAACACCGTTCGCAGATGCGTTGGAGCCGAAGCCCTGAGAGGAATACACACCTACGTTTCTTCCCACTCGTAGCAAATGCTATGCTATCTGACTTCTCATGTTTGGTGTGCGGCAACTGCGATCTACACGCGCATATTGTATATAACATGACGTCATCAGTATAAGGACCTTGGTGACCTTGGTAACTTCGCCTGTCTCAAACCTCCCTCGTATCTATCACGGAGCATCCATCATTACGCGATCTTCGGCGCTTTGACTTCGGCACATTCCGTTGAGGATGTGTGACACAAAACTAGCGGTATGTGCGTGTGCGCAAACGTAACACGGGGCAGCCGCAGCTGATCGGGTACCCATCACCCAGCTCACTTGCTGCGACTAAAAACAAAGAAGGCAGGAGCAGGCAACTACACGTGATTATACGATTGAAGACAAGGTACATACCATAAAAAAGGTATCTGTCGATCTGGTTCACCTTCTTGTCCAAACCTTATTGCACCTATCGATCTCCTATCAACAAAACATACACCATGCCAGGCCCAGTACTGAAGAAACCGTCGAAACGACTTGTCGTCTTCTGCGATGGAACCTGGGTAAGAAGCAACCCTTATCTTTTACTCTTAGTCGACGTTGAACTAACACCAATGTTTAGGTAGGTCGCGAGACCGCTGTGGATGGTGCGCCTCGAAGCAACATCCGAATGCTAGCAGATATGGTTGGCGATGTCCAATTCAGTGACCTAGACCCTCGCGAGCAGCCTGCCGCAGTGCATTTGATCAAACCTCGCTCTCCGAACGTCATTGCCGGCTATCAAGAGGGTGTCGGTCTTGGGGCGACATTTCTTGAATACATATGGAATGGTGCGACTGCGTCTTCTATCGGCGACGAGTGCGTGTCCGTCTATCGATTTATTGTTGAGCACTTCACCGATGACCACGAAATTTGGCTGTTCGGATTCAGCCGTGGCGCATTCACTGTACGATCCGTTGCAGGCATGATCAACAACTGCGGCATCATCCGCCGGCAAGAAGCAAAATTGGACTCAGAGCAAGTCGACCGGCTATGTTACGAAGTATTTCGGATGTATCGTTCCACCTTGCCTATTGATGCCCCACAAAGCGAACAAAGTAAGAGGCGACGACACAACGCAGAAAAGGTATGGCAAGTGAAGCAGCCCATCCGCTGTATGAGCGTTATCGACACAGTCGGCTCCCTTGGGATTCCTCGCCTCAATGCTGGCATTGGCATCGACTGGGCACCCTTCGAGTTCTTTGATCAGCATGTTTCCACTGTTGTGCAACATGTCCGCCATGCTCCGGCTCTCCACGATCGACTATGGGCTTTCCAGCCTTGCCTCGCGTTCCCTAGCGAAAAGGCACCTAACACCATCGTCGAGCAAGTGTGGTTTCCTGGTGTGCACTATGATCTCGGACGTCAGACATTCCGTTTTGTGCGTCAACACCCGACAAACTACCTTGAAGAGGCACTTGGCTGGCTACCGAACCTGCTCAGTCGAACTATATTCCCGAACGAGGTGCTTGCAGATAATGTGCTGAAGTGGATTCTGGAAGGTATCCGAGATATCAATGAAGGCAGCACCTTGATCATTCCCAATGTGAATGATCAGATCACAGATATCAGCGCGCGAATCGCTAGTCCTCGGCCGAACAGTACAGGTAGTGGCGACATCTACGGCGACATCTTGAAGTATGCCCCTGCGGGCACTGTTATCAGTACTGTCCAGAAGGTCTCTCACTTCGGAATCTCGTTGGCGAACAAGGTCCTGCCAAAGTTAGGCGACAACATTCAGGATCTGCTAGGCATTCGCACTATTATGGGCGTTATCACAGCGACAGCAGATCGCAGGATTCCAGGCACTGCAGCTGACGTGAATGGGTACAAGAACGCGATTACTACCAGATCGGGTCAGTTGTTTAGCATCGAAGAGAACGCGCAGATGCAAGTGAGGAATGAGACGGGAGAGGTGCGATATCCCAGTCAGACTCTAGAAACGCACCAACTCTGGAAGGAAGTGTTTGGTGACGATGAGTGAGGAAATGGCCTGCGCAATCAAATGACTTGCATTGTAGTTAGAGATTAAGACCAATGTCACAGGTGCTCCATTTTACTTTACATCAACTCTCCTTTCACGCAATAGGACGAGCAGGTATTTATACGCATTCGGTGGAGTTGTCACCCAACGACTGTCTTGGCTGAAAGTCGAGTGGGATACTCAAGAGACCTACGAGGGACAAGCAATAAAATCAATTCTTGTTGGAAAGAACTTGGGGCTGGTCAACGTTCCATGTGGGGATGCCAGGAGCGTACGTCCAGCATGTGAAAGAAAATGCCCCCGTACTTCCATTTGCTTATACTGAAGGTTTCCGACACTTTCCGAAAGCAACTCTATCCTTTTTAGAGCACCTGTTATACCCTAGCGAGAAGTCCATGCTCACTTGAGTTGGCATGTTACCTCCAGCATCTTTTGCCGGCGCAGCAGGTGGCGATGGGTCCTGACCTTGTGTTGGCAAAATCGGCATCCGTACTTAACCCTGCATCTCGATTGGTGTCCCTATCTAGGTTGTCGATCTCATCAAGGTCGGTTGTGATGCTACCCACTTCTCGATGTGCATCCTTTCGGGGTTCTGAGTCTCCGGTGCGGAAGACTTCTTCGTCTGATCCGTACGTCCGAGTGCTAGAACCGGTCTGGCTGTTCTGTACATTGCAGATATGCTTGATGGCAACTTGCCATGGCCACTGCCTGAATACTTCAAAAAGCACGGGTATAAGAACCCGGGCGATCACTGTACAGTATGCCTATGACAGACGGCTCGCTGATAGCGGTCAGGTGCACGGATTAATCACATGAAGTTCATCCTGCACGACTGGAACAACGAGCTGCCCTTGTAGCTGCTTCATAACGTGACGACGGGAATGAAGAGCGACCATTCAACGATTCATAGTTGAAATCTTCATTGTTACTGTTAAGGACGCATCTCTGCTACCAGTAATGTGGGATTCGGAGATGATGTCTCTTCTTTCGGCGATGGAAATTGCATTATCGTGCTACGACCTCCCGAAGAAGTCAAGACGCCTCAACTGGTAGAATGAAAGGTACTGCGATCGTAGAATCGCCGTTGTTGCACTACCTCGGTTAAATATGTGGCGAGCTGGGGTGGAAGCGTTTCAGAAGTCCATTGGGATGAAACACGGACTGCTACACTATCTCACTGTAGACGCATGTGTTCGTTGAACTTCAGACGTACCTAGCTTCTGCTCATCATTTCCTCTGTATTCATGTCTTCAATGTGCGCTGATCAGTATGGCGATACCAAGGCGCCTTGTTCTCCTTCTCACAGGTACTTTTCTACTCTTGATTGTCGCGACGCTGCTGGGGACCACGATTGAGATTCGCGCCCCGCCGCCGAAGATGATGGCAGTAAAGCTTGCGCAAGCCGCGAAATACGGAGAATCCGAGCGTGAGGTTGCTGCAAAAGCGCTGCTGAACGGCACCGACTTCGATCGCGGAGACATCCTGAACGGAACCGCCATTGCATCAGTAGCGTACACGCCCACAATGACCCGAACCGATGAGGGTATGATTGGAGACCAGAAGACGCCAGCACCGACAACTAGTTCGGTGGACGAAGGCTATATCGAGCCAGACTCGAGCTCATTGCCAGCCGCGATCCCGACTCCACCACCCGCCGCACAAATTCCAATTCTCGCTCTTTCGTACTCTGGTTCTGGCGGTCCGAAGCACTGTCGCGGCAGCCTGCTGCAGAAGATGGCTTTTGCGCGACCTGCAGCGCAATGGAAGGGCGGCGCGTGCATCAATCTCCCCAGCGAAGCGCGCTGCGGCGTCTTCTATTCAGAGAAGGGCGATAATTGCGAAGCACAGCTGTTCAACGAACTGGAATGCTATAACACAACGATGACGTACGTCAATACAGTTGTGTTTATGCCGGAAGAGCGAGCTGTTGGTGCGCTGTGGAAGAGCATGTTCGTGAGGTGCGGTGTTGATGTACCGGAGGCCAAGATGCTGGATCCTGCTATTCTTGGTGGAGCACTGGGGCCGAAGAAGCCTCCTGCTGGATGAAGTGCCGCGAGAACAGGCGGCAGAGGGTCTAAAAGAGATACAGGGCCATGGCGAAATGCGTCATCCAACGGTTGTCACAACGAGCGAGCGTGGTCATTGCGGTGCCATGCGGTCAGCATTGAGATGAACGGAAAGTTCAAGATTTCTAGGGGAACTTTGTTGCGGTCTAAAGCGTCAGCTGTGGGCGCTCAACGCCCCACTTTGACCTCAGCGCAAAATTCTCCCCGGTCTGCACGAGCGAACAATTGAATTCGCTCTAGCTGAACAGTGGATGATTCTTGTAAGGGATAATAGACGACGTAAATTTGACGATCGTCATCAACATCATCCGTTATGGTCTAGGTAAGCTCAATTCATTCCTCTCTCAACAACACCATCTAACAACCAGAAGTGGCTAGGATACATCGCTCTCATAGCAAGCGCCGATGTGGCCGGGGTTCGATTCCCCGTGACGGAAGCATTATCTTTTGCCATTTCTTTTTGCTGCACGGGCAAGATTTGTAGCAGTGTAGGTGGGTCTTGAAGGAAAAGGATTGCCCGATGTTACGAAAGCCTGCTTTTTGTACGCAACAGGAAGCTGTATCAGAGGAGAACGCTACGGAAGTATATCCTGTTGAGCAGATATACTTTCAGTCACAAGAGGACTTTGTACCTGTGTATGCACTGTATCCTTTAACTTTTTGACAGCGGCCTTTGCATACATAGTCCATGCATTACATTTTGTGGAATGAAACCCTGCTTATCGCCATTGATTGGTAAAATGCAAGACGGCAGCGTCATCTTCCAGCACCGCAGTTCTCACTTGGCGCTGTCTTGGATGTTGATAAGAAGAGGGGTAAAACGCGCCACGAACAGCCAATACCCATGTGCTGAAGCTTGTCGAACTCTTGATCAAAGGTCGAGCCCCGTTGTTGCCAGTCCTCGATTACTTTGTTAGCATGTCCATGCACTTGTTTCATTGCCCAGCTGTGGGCAGATAAGTACAATCCACGGCGTTTGGGCAAGCCAGCAAACACTGCCAGGTCTGCCGATATCGCAAATCGTCCAACCCGTTGCATCGACGGATGACAGCACTTTACATGGAGATGTGGTGGTTGCAACATGCACCCTAGTGATGATGTGCTTCGCCCCTCCAAGAATTACCCATCTTGGGAATAAGACCGCTTATTGCCACGACAAGGAAGCGTGTTTCCGTGAACAAGTCTTGATTGCAGAAGAATAGTGCGTATCACGATAGACAATCTGCTATCGTGCAGGCCGTGTCATAACAATACCTATGTGTATAAGAGGCAGATTCTCCCTGTTCGCAGATGTGGTTGCCAGCCCAACCTCACTGATTGCTCAGGATATCCAAGATGGTTGCCAAATTCATTAAGAATGTAGGTTCCAGGGTCCCTTGCTCTATGCAGAACGTTCCGTCTCTTAACATCGTATAGTTCCGCTCCTTCATATGGGACTCGGATACCCACCTGAAATCCCGCGAAGAACGTCGACTTCTCCGCAAACTTGATTTCTCAATCTTAACCATCGGTTGTGTGGGGTTTTTTCTCAAATACCTTGACCAAGGCAACCTCTCCAATGCCTACGTCTCAGGCATGCAGGAAGACCTGCACATGTACGGGAACGAATACACCTACGCCGTGACCTGCTATACAGTTGCTTACGCCGTCATGCAAATACCTAGCAACATCATCATTCAGTATATTCGCCCGAGTTACTGGCTTGCTGCTATGGAGATTGCATGGGGCACGTTTACGTTTGCGCAGGCGGGGGTCAAGAACGTACCGGAACTATACGCGTTCAGATTTCTGGTCGGGTTCTTCGAAAGTTCTTTCTTCCCAAGTTTATTGTATGTGCTTGGGAGCTGGTACACAAAGACTGAGCTGGCGAAACGCATCGCGATTTTCCATATGACGGCGCCCGTCGGCAGTGCTTTTGGCGGATATCTGCAAGCTGCAGTGTACAAAAGTCTGGACGGTCATCACGGTTTGGAAGGCTGGCGTTGGCTCTACATTGTCTGTGGCGTGAGTTACCTCACCTATTATTTCCATACGGAGCTTGAGCTGATCAGATATAGTGCATGACCGTTCCAGTTGGGTTCGTTACTTGGTGGGTGCTTCCAGACACACCGTACACAACAAACGCTTGGTTTCTTAGCGACGAAGACAAACGACTCGCTATCGATCGGGTCCAAAAAGCCGGTAAAGCTGCACCAGCCAAGATAACTCTAGCAACATTCAAACGTGTTCTGACCGGATGGCGCTGGTATGCGTTTGTGGTTGGCTATGTGCTCTACGGCAGCGCGTGTGGTGCAAGTGACTATTTCGGTATCTGGCTGAAATCTGAAGGCTTCTCTGTTGTCGACAGAAACATCATCCCTACAGGAACAAAGCTAATTTCCGGGTTCTGCATTGTGTTATGGGGCTTTCTGTCCGATTACACTGGAAGCAGATTTGTATTCGTGTTTGGACCCCTCGCCTATGGTTTGATTCCAAATGGTATCCTAGCGTTCTGGCCATCGAGCCTAAATGCGAAGCTTTTCGCATTCCTGACTTGTGGCGTACAGCTCATGACTGCTATCTTGTAAGTCTCCCCTACCAGTTGCAGGCCCTAGACTGATGATGTATCGTAGCTACACTTGGGCAAATGAACTTTGTGCTGGCGATAACGAAGAACGAGCCATTGTTATCAGCAGTATGAACGGTTTCCAGTATGCGGTCGCAGCCTGGCTTCCCATCGTCATCTTCCCACAGACTATGGCTCCCACTTTCCGCTACGGTTTTCCAGGTACCTTTGGTCTAGTAATTGCTGCGTTGATTGCAATCGTCGCCATACAGCTTCTGCAGATGCGCTCAGCCAAGCAAGGTAGTGGAGAACAGAGTTCGATTGGTGAAGAAAGCGACGTGGAGGCTGGTATTGACGAGGAGTACGCACCGGACTCCAAAAACATTCGTACAACGAACAAAACAAGAGAGTTAGATAGCGCGTCCTGAACGCTGCAAAGCCGTACTAAGGTATACTGTAATTAGTTACGTGCGATCAGCTACTTGGCGGAATGCAGCATTATGCAGGATGGCACTTTCTCGTCGGGATGTATGCACTTGACCAGAGATATTTAGTCGTAGTTTCGCAGCCTGTTGGCTCAATGACTGTTTGGACGTGTCTGAGCGTGATATGGGTATCTTAGGTTAGACCCCACTTCACGCTTGTCCACAATAACAATTTCGATGCTAGCTACCGATGGGAAAGTGCCATACAGGATCCATGCTTGCAGTCAATACTAAGACCTTGAGTTAGTCGAGTACGATAGAGGTCGTGGAGATACTGAATCGCTTGCATTCTGGCACAAATGTCCGACCAGCCTGCATCCAAGCACTTTCCTATCTTTTCCGACCGCAGAGTAGTGTCCAATGATAATAATGATAGTGAAGATATTAAAAGCCCACTATCACAGCATGGTGAGGTTGGTGCGAAGGCTAGATCTTCGATGGGCGACTCCTTTTTCTGATCCTACAGTTGATTATAATTAGATTGTCACACAGCCCATATCGGTTACTACTCTGTTTAGCTCACATAGGCGACCATAAGGCCATACTTGAAGTACGCTACCTTGGCATGTGGACCTCCGGCTGACGCCATGGGATCCTTTTGCAGGGTTCAGTGCGTATTGTTTCCTAGTCATCGATGAACAGCAACGAGCGTCCATTTGAGCTCTCCGAACCCTACTTGCAATTGGAAGATTTCATGGCGCGTGCTGGCTGCGACCATGGATCTCATCACTGCGTTGCAGAGGCTTGAAGAGACACTGGCGAAAGAGATCTTTTGGGTATATATACAAACTGAACGCTTCCGACAACTGACCGACTCTGTTCAGGTGGGAATTCATGGCTCTGTGTGTGTTGCAAGATCTGAGCATTTTCGACCAATGGGCTAGTAACATCGGGGGGTCAGCTGAAGCTTCAAAGCCCGACGAAACGGAACAGAGCTATTCGTGAGAGTGATGGCAGCGACCGGCTAAGTAGTCGAGCTCGATAGATCGATAGATGGCTCCAACCAGCTGACTAGATCCTTGACCAACAGGCAGACGAGGGGGATGACTGAGTGCACGTAAGTTTTGTCTGCCGCTTCTCGCATATAGTTCATGAAATTCTTTCCCCGTGGCTAGTCAAATAATTAGTGTCAGGCGATCTCAAGCAGAGTCGTAGGGAACATGAAGCGTGGCTACCCACAGCTTATCATTGAGAACTTCGTTCTACCTCATGCCTACACTTTTCGACATGCAGATGGTTACTTTCATGGCCGCGATGGAGCGAACAGAGAAACATTGGCATTGACCTTTGGATAGGATGTAATTGGTCGTTGAGTAGAGACTTCAGATGACAGAATTCAGCTGTACGCTGTGGTACGGTGAACTAAATGCATCGAGGACATCTTGTGTGTGGTTGAGACTACTTATTCGAAGGTAGGCAACCAGAGCTCATGCTAGGGAGCAGGCAATCTTATCAGCCAAGTGGAGCGGACGTCCACGGGGTGGACCGACAGCCCCCTGGGGTTGGAACTCTCCAGACTCATGAATTTTTCCCACCTACATCTACTGTGTGTGTGGAGTGGGGTGGGATGAAGACCCACGTTTGACATCGGGAGGGGCCTTCGCGGCCGAGCCAGAGAGAAGTCATGCACGTACCGTGAAGGAGTAGAGACGAGTCAGAGTCAGCGTTCCAACTATGTGGAGGGGAAAGGGGAGTCAGTCTTGTTGTTCTCGCCTAAGCGCGAGACATGACGTAGAGGCGGTGGATAGGTCCTTCCGCTTGCGGATGGCCCCTAACCACCTCCGATGCAATGACATCGTCGTTTGGAGGTACTGCAATTATTTCGCACAACTGGGTACGGGTATTGAGCCACTATGGACACGCGTCTTCATGAGACGCGAATATTTGTTGAAGTGTCCGTGGTGTTGAGTGCTGTTTTTGGCAACACAGTGTCGACGAAGCACGGCATGCCTCGCAGTCCAACCATCAGGAACATGTGATGGAAGCGCCGAAACAGCCGCGTCAAGAGTCAGCTCGTGTTGCAACTGTTGGGATCTGCGCGGTGCAGGGGAGGCACGGTATGCACGGCTTTCATCCGGCTAGACGGGTTTGGCCGAATACATAAGCTTTTCCGGGTTTTCAAAGTTTTTCAGCCTCCTGTTCGCCACAAGGCGAACCACAACAGAGTCCAAGCGGCTGTCATCTGACTAATGAACCCATCACGATTCTGTCCGCCTCGAGAAATAGCATTCATCATTACCGCAGCCTGCCGTGGGTCGCGACATATCACGACAGCGATGTGGCGCTGAAGGTTTTCGATCATGTCGTACACTGCTCTGCCAACCACGACCGCATCACCCGCTCGATGGCCTTGGAGTTTGCGACCATTGGAAGTCGCGCATTGTGAGGCTTGGGGGCCCAGTTATACCCACAATGCTCTTATCTCGGATTCCCTCATCCAGTGCACCAAGAATTTGGCACGACCCGTCCACTTTTCCAACGCATGGGCTGCCGTGCTTGGAATGGGCGAATGCAAATCCCAACCAACAATGGAAGTGTAGCTCCTGAGACTGTCGTCAGTCAAGAACGTCAAGTCTCGGTGGAATGATGATATTCTCGTGTCTGTTTTGGAGCGCTGCATTTCCTCACCTTGACTTCACAATTCCTTACCGGCCAGCTACGGCCAGCTTATCTCGCCATAGCTTCGGTACACTTGCGAAGCGTTGACGTCGGAATCCGCGACGAGAACTTTAAGAATATTCGGCGCCGACATCTGCAGCCACCCGCAGGTGCAGCGTCGAGAAGTTCGGCTCACTTTTGGTGCGGCTACGATTTCGATGGTCCCTGGCCTCCCACTACCACGTTCCCTGTCGCTATACTCCACCGACTGTCTGCTTTGAGCGACGAAGGCCACGCCGAACATTCTGGCCATTTATATTCGCAAACGAAAAAAACGGGCCCTGTAACGCCACGACAGGATTTGTGAGGGTTCTGCTCAATCGCTTGTCGCTCGGAAGCACTTGGAACAACATCCGCGTTGGTGGGCCCTTATCTATACCACCAAACCCTGCTGAGAGAGTGCTACACTACGACCTCCTGTTTCTAATAACCGTTGGTTCCGTCATCAATTCCACCACACTGGTATCTCCTGAAATATCCAGTCATTACTTCTGCTGCATTAAATTCTTATCACCACCGGAGATTCTTGTCTGTGCCACTGCGCCAGCGCGCCCAAAGCCCCATATATACCCGAACGTAGAGCACTGATTGCTCCTTGCATTCGACACTACGGATGGGAGATCTACCACTAGGTGCATTACACAGCTACGATTCAAACCATCCTGAGCCTTTCAGCCGCTTTCGGCTGTGAAATATCACCCCCACGTGCACCGTTTCCACGTCCTGAGTCAAGGAGGCCAACGTTCTAGAGGCACGTATCGACCGACGACTTACGGGGTTTCGGTTCGCTGCCAAGAGAGTCACTCTCCCACAATCCCCGCTCCTCGGTCATAGGCCGACAGTATAACATCAGGATGGATCCCTTCCAGGATCCTGGTCCATCGCACACTCACCTCAGTTCTGAAGACCAAATGTCTTCAACCCCAGGACGCAAGCGCGTCGTATGGAGGGAAGATACTACCGCTAATGTACCTACGTCTTCAGTCACGCCAGAAGACAATAACACTGGTTCTGGTGGCCACAATACCCCGCTACAAAGAGCGGATCTCTCACAAGATGATCTTAGAAAAATGCGAGAATCTATCAAGATAGCTCTTTCAGAAGAATATCCTCAAGAAGCAGGAGCTACGCCACCTGCTCGCGATGTTCAGAAACCACGCCCAGCGATACGGAAAGCTGCTCGTACGCCTCCAGAGTTCTTCCTCAATGATGAGCCCAACCCTTTCGAAGATGAAATCGAGCGAATTGATCGACAAAATTCGCTCCGATCCAAAGCCAAGGAGCGGTCGGGTCTCGAGGCCCAGCGACGAGCTGCAAAGCTTTCTCAGTCAATGGGTACCTACTCTGCTCCTATATCTCGTCGTGGCTCCGAAGGCCAGCTGAGCCCACCCTCAATGGAGCTCCAAAGCATGGTCAGCTCGTATAACAATACTGCTGAAAACAGTGAAGAGGACGACGACAATGACCCGCAATTTATGAAGCGAGCCTCTAGGCTCCTACGCAACCATACTGTCCGGAATGGTGGTGCCGGGCCTGCCATTAGCATGGAAGATTTGTACCATGCGGAACCTCCCCTCCAGTCTGGTCAGGTCACTCCCACAAACGGTGTCGAAATTGAAGCCGAGCACGTCGCACGTCCAAGAAAATATCGAACGGGTGTTTTAGGAACGCTACTGCAAGCGTCAACCGCTGCTGCTCAAGCTCCTGTTACTGCCGGCCGATCAGGTCGGGCTTCTCACTCCAGGAACACCAGCGCAGGCTTCACATTCAGTGGGGCCTCGACGGCAGCCAACTCACCAAACACATCGCCTCCCCGCTCAGGAACCACAACTCCTCGTAGCAAACATTGGTACACCCGCCATGGTACTAATCAGTCCACCAACTCTATCTCCACGCTCGTTGGGAGCTCTGCTCGTAGCTTTGCTGCACCCTCCCAGCAAGACCTGGGCAATGAGTTTGCCGAGCAAGTCAAGAAGACCCGCCCTGGTATGGGCAAGCGATCGAAATCAGATGAATCTGTCAAGAAGCCTAAGCAACGTCGTGACAAAGACATGAAAATCAAGATCCACATCGCTGGGACATTGGCGCGACAGAGCTACCTTCGTAAGCTTTGCAAAGCTTTGATGATGTACGGTGCGCCGACGCACCGCCTGGAAGAATATCTCAGCATGTCCGCACGTGTTCTGGAGATAGAAGCTCAATTCTTGTACATGCCCGGGTGTATGATTTGCGCCTTCGATGACAGTTCTATTCATACTTCGGAGGTCAAGCTTGTCCGCACTGCACAAGGCGTTGATCTTGGGAAACTTCGCGACGTGCACGAAATTTATAAGGACGTCGTACACGACCGTGTCGGTGTTGATGAAGCAACTCCTCGCTTAGAAGCAATCATGGGACGAAAGAATAAGTTCGGCCGTTGGCCCAGGGTGCCCGTCTACGGCCTTGCCTCCGCCACAGTCGCTCCTTTTGCTTTCAGTGCCCGACCCATCGATCTTCCCTTCTGTTTTCTGTTGGGCTGCATTATTGGTTGGTTGCAGTTGATCGTCGCGCCTGGAAACGAGCTCATCAGCAACGTCTTCGAGATTGGCGCCGCTGTCATTACAAGCTTCCTCGCGCGCGCCCTTGGTTCCATTCGTGGAAAGGACGGCAACGAGATCTTCTGCTTCAGTGCCATGGCTCAGTCCAGTATTGCTCTCATCCTACCCGGTTTTATGGTGCTTTGCGCCTCGCTGGAACTCCAAAGCAAACACATTGTCGCCGGGTCGGTTCGCATGGTTTACGCTATTATTTACTCGCTCTTCTTGGGTTTTGGAATCACCATCGGCACCGTTCTATATGGTATGATGGACAAGAACGCCACATCGAAGAGGACATGCGACAATCCCATGTCTTCCCATTTCTACTACCTCTTTGTGCTAGCATTTGCGATCTGCCTCATGATCGTTAACCAGGCAAAGTACAAGCAGATGCCCTCCATGGCAGTCATCGCCCTCATTGGCTATGTTGTCAATTTCCACAGCTCGTCATACTTCAAGGCCAATGCGCAGGTCTCCAACACTCTCGGCGCCCTGGCAATCGGCATTGCCGCCAACGTGCACGCTCGTTTCGGCCGCCATGTCGAGAATTGGGGCTTGGATACCTGGGAAAACAAGCTCCGTCCTCGTTTCATGGCATTACGCAAGAAATACCTGCGCAATCGTCATGGTGCTGTCCGCACACTACCCAAAGTCGAGCGCTCAGAGTACAGCACTGCGCACAACGACAGCGCCGTTCAGTCGTGCGCCAGCTCTGTCAGTGATTTTGTCCCGCATACCCGTAAGATCGGATATGGCCTTGCTGCTGCTGCTATGCTGCCTGCTATCTTCGTACAAGTCCCGTCTGGCCTCAGTGTGCAGGGTTCGCTCGTCTCTGGCCTCAGCTCCGCTGATCAGATCACAAGGAATACGTCGGACGCGACCACGCTCAGTGCAGCAGATGTCACGGCCGGCGTTTCGTTGAACAGCATTGCGCTCAATGTCGGATTTTCGGTCGTGCAGATTGCAATCGGTATCACCGTTGGTCTTTTTTTGGCTGCGCTCATTGTCTATCCTCTCGGCAAGCGCAGGTCGGGTTTGTTTAGTTTCTAAGTCTGGCACTTTTTGTTTTCAAAGCGCACTGTTTCTTTATAGTCTCTCTTTAGCGTTTTTGAAGCGAAAGACATGATAGAGATGCATTATCGGCGTTGGTAGTCAAGCATTTGAAGGAGTTTAGAAGCTCTGGTAGCTATGAATAGTTGGATCTTGGTGCTGCTGGATTTACGTAGAGACAGGCTCTGGATGGTTAGAAACACGTTTCTGTACAGTCACATTATCTGTATCTGTCCTGAGACATTGTAATATGCATGTTTGCTTCATATCCGCGTATAAGTTCTGCATACTTTCTCGCTCGACCACATGCCTGATCAATTCCGCTTCACCCTCCTCATCGACCTCTCACCAGAGCTGCTGTAAGAACTCGGCGTGCTTGTGGGAGGCAAAGCAACGAAGGACTCTGTATGTGTGGCCTTGGCTGTCCCGTTTGTGCTATAATCATCCGTAACAATCTTGCTCCCGTCCGCGATGATGACATGATCTAAGACACGCTTGAAGTGTTCCAGACTAGCCGCAGGCTGATAGTACGGTACCTCGTGACCTGCTTCGTAAATTCTTGTGAAGCTGAAGTTGCCGTACTCGCGCACCTCGCCATACTCTACACCATCGACAAGGAACGGTGTGTAGCCGGCGGCGTTGAACGCAGCTTTGTCGGTGTGATTCACAGCTAGAGATACAGCTTCGCCGCCAAACCAGTTACAGATGTAGTCTGCGTCACCGTAGAGTAGAGCAACGCGGACACCGTAACCAAGGATCTCGGAGAGATCTTCAATGAAGGAGTAGACGAAGTCGCCTGTGGAGGAAAACCCGGAGAATACCTGAGATGAGCTAGCAGATGTGTAGTTGATATTGACTCCCAGGGCCTCCTGTGTAGAAGCAAGGTTGAGGAAATCCATGAAATAGTTAGGGGGCGTAGGGTCGTCTGTGTTCCATTAATTAATTATCGTCACCCAACCCGAAGTCTGATCACGTACCGTAAGGATGGCGTATATCGTACACACCGCGATCACCAAAGTTATAGTAAGGTTCCTCTACGAGAGATCGGCAGAGAGTCATTGCAGTCGAGCATGTGAGCTGGCCATCTTCTGTACTGCGATTTGACTGCTTGCAGTATTCAATCTGATCGTTGCATCCTCCTGGAAAGTAGAATGCTTGCTTGGCGAAGGTGCTTTTGATATTAGTACATTACTTAAAGCTCTATGGTCCACTCACTAAACTGTATCGTTGTAAGCCTTAATACCGTAGGTATTGTTGACGGCAAACTCAGGATAGTAGGGTGCTTGGACTGGAATACATTAGTAAAAAGTGGCCGCTGTTCAATAGGAAACGTACTCTGCTCATCAATGATGCCGTTTATAACGCCTAGTGTGTCCATGTGTAGTTCCACACCTTGAGTAGTACCGTTTCGAATGGCCTCGTTCTGCTGATAGAAGTAGTTGTAAAAGCCTGGTCCATAGTGGCCTCCGTAGCTTTCAGTCCACAGATTGAAAGTCATGTTCTTGATGTCCGCATCGAGCTGTGGAGAAAGCTCCAAGAACGCCTGTAGAATGTGCCATGCTCCAATAGCTGCGGCTGCTGTAGTGTTCGCTTTGTCGGGATCAACAAGCGAGTATCTGCCCTTATCGTCTACTTCCGTAGTTTCATAAGAGAATCCCACACCAACTGGCTGGCTCAGATAGAGCATGTTGCTTTGTTCATTCCAGGAATAAGGATTGAGCTGAGTCTTGAGGTCCTCCGTGACGTTGCAAGGGCCATGTTCCTGAAACAAACCGATGAGGCTGTCGGAGCCCGGGCCACCGTTGAGCCAGAGAGTAAGTGGCTTGTCCTGGGGGTTCTCACGTGCTTCAAAGAACCAGAAGAACATATTGGTTTTCTCATTTAGGCTGATGTATCCAGAATAGTCATCAACGCCTTCGGTGGTTTCGCAAATACCCTGCTTGCCGGGCTGCTTGTAGCGGATTTGTGCCCCTTGAGGTGATGTAATAGTCTTGACACCTGTAGCATTGGCGGGAACTTGACGCTCGACGAAGGCATTTGCATGAGCGCCTCCGAAAGAAGCAGCCGCCAAGATGCTAGCTATCTGTGTCAATCGTGCCATGTTGAAGGTAGGTATGTTGACAATGAGAGCGATCGTAGCCTAGGAGATCCAAGTCCAGACTGACTTTATAGTTACTCTAAAAGTGCTGAAAGCGACGTCATTTCCAGGACCCGTATCACTGCTGACGCTGATTGCTTGGATTTTACCATGATGTGAGGCAAGGTAGCGTGGGGCAGGATTTTGTCTTACGACAATTAAACTCAGAAAGGCAACAACGTCGAAACGGTCCGATGCTAATGGTTGGATAACACGGTGGAGATCGCAGGGCAGTGCAGCACCGTTGCTATTGTCCCTCAGGCCCGGTTCGTATGTCAATACGTCTCTCAGTGCGACCATATTCGTTTGTCGTCAGAGCCTGCAAAACACTGCAGTCTTAAAATCTCCAATGTCGATGCATTGCAATAACTTTCCATCACTTGTCACCTGTGTACATAGATCGCTCAGATCCCGAATCTGTAGTCAAGCGGCCCGGCTATTCAAGCTTCGAGTGCTTACTGTATCAGGAAGGTACGATGCATGCCTGCGAAATAAGAGCTAATGCCAAGTAAGATTGAGCTTATCACGCTGGCTGGTAAAGCTTGAACACGTCATGAATATGCGGATCTTCAGTGCGACTTGCATGGGTAGAAGTAAGCCGCAGAAGAGAAAGAGGGGAACGGCCTTGCGAAACCCATGATTAGCGTAAAACGCTAACCAGAAGTAGAAGGTCGTGAAAGCTGGTGCTCATCATACGTAGCAATTTCGGGGAATCGTCAGAAAGACTCTTTAAGTTTATCAACATTGCTAATGCTTTCCATGGACTCTTGGCCTTGAGCACCTTGATTACTTCACCTCTTATCACCATACAAACTTCCAACCCGCCTGCTCTTCGCCTCTTGGCACAAATTCAACATCTATGTCTTGGTCCGGCTTTGGCATCGCGTTCCACATGTCTGCATTTCGTTTCGTAGGCTCTTGCCACTCTCCATCAGAAGGAGAGACGTCGAACTTGAGCAAAACCATAGTCGCCAAGCTCAGGATAACATTGGTGGAGAAGTGTCGTCCGGGACACATCGTTGCACCGGCTCCAAAGGGACGGAAGGCCGAGGTGCTTGAAAGATTTTTCCTGGAGTTTGAAGAGAGGAAGCGTTGGTGGTCAAAAGTATCGGCAGTAGCTCCCCAGATGTCTTGATTGTGATGTACGCTCTGACCCGGGATCATAACAATCCCATTCTTCTTGAGTAGGTACTGACCATCCAGAGTTGTATCGTGCTGGACTTGTTTGATGTTGATCACAGTGCTGTGATAACGAAGAGTCTCATTCAGTACCGCGACAAGGGTAGGGCAGCGATCTCTAACAGTGCTGAGGTTGACAATCTTGACTTTCTCGAGACTTGATATTTCCGTCACTGAGCTTAGCTCTTCTCGAACGCTCACGGTAAGGCTCTTGTCCGAAAAGAGGTGGAACAGCAGCCAGAAGGCTGTCACAGCGCCACTACTAAGCATCGCCAAGGATGTGGCCATCTCCATCTTGGCAGCCTCCTCAGTGCTGAGTCCGTGGCCTTTGTTAATTTCGTGCATCTCTGGGATCATGGGAAACGCCTGGAGATGACCGCCCGTCTCGAAGTACTTCTTGAAGGCGCAGACAATACGACTACGCGCACGCAGAGCCTTGCGTGCAGTCAAAGATGGTACTGGACTGTATAGTAGATGACTGATGCCTGGAACGAACGTTCTGTGTTGGGATCAGCTAGGAGTCCATGTATTGAGTCTAGAAAACTTACCCCCAGCTTTCCTCGATCACTGGATCGTCGTATGGGTTTTCAGGTCCATATATAGCTCCAGTCATTGCCAAAGTAAGCTCATGGCGCACAATCTCTTGTAGACCTCCTCTGATGCTGTGAGTACTGTTAGGCAGGCCGGAAGTGAGTCTTTCTACGGCAGCCTTCGTGGCAATCTTCAGAGAGTCGCCCGAGAGGAGATATTTGTGTACGCTCATAGTGAAGCCATTGCCATGAGATCCAAATCCTCTTCTAAGTGTGCTTTGAGATTCTGTGTTCAAACCACTAAAGAGCATCCCGAAGTCCAGTAGATTCGGCACAAACGTTTGAGCACTAGCCTTACTCTGGATTTTTTGAATCAAGTATGGTTCATGTACGACATACAGGCGCTGGAAAGGCATTCGTAAGGTCTGGATTGGTAGATGGAATCGATTACTGTATACAGGATCAGCCACTCACGTCTTGTAAGCTGTCTTTTGCGACATACCTGAGACCGACCAAGTACCCAGCTCTTTGTTTTGCGATGCCAATGATGGAATCACAAAATGGAAGTTTGCTCTCAACAAGACGAGGCTCCCGTGCATCCTGCGTAGTATGTAATATGAGTTGGAGTAAAAGATATGCAATGATAGCAATTGCGGCACCGATGGAAAGAATGAAAGGCATCTTGTTCGCTTTCTCTGCAGCGAAACTTCTGAACGGCAGATTGTAATCGAATCATTGCCCATGTACATCTCGAGTATTTATATTCCGCCTTCCGAGAAGCATCCTCGTATCCAGTGCAGTGCTACTCATACTTCGAGTTACGGACGGCGACTGCCATCGCACTTCTTACCAAGAACATCTTCTCCAAGCAACTTCGTGCGTGTGACAAACTGCTGGGGTTCTTCATCACACCGCATGCGTGACGATTGGTGTCCAAGCGAGCTCAGAAGATCATGAATAGTATCATCCCCTGGCCAAGTTAAGCCACGAGCACGAAGCACAGTTCCAAAATGAGAGTAGACAATGATTGATATCAGTGGCAATATTCCGCCAACCTGGATCTTCGGTATGAGATCGCAGTGCTCAAGGGGCGTGGTAGCCGGAGCAAATCGAATCGAGCAACGCAATCATTGAAGTGAGACGCATAATGGCTAGGTATCTGAACCTCGCCGACCTCCTAGCGCAAAATGGTCGGTGGCCGACAATTCCGAATCCCAGAGATACGGTTCTGCGTTAGGCCGGTGGTGCAAACAAAGGGATACACAAGTGCTGGAAACTCTGAGGAACATTGCTGGAAGTAAAGACATGTGCGAACCCGTTGTTCTGAATGAAGTTAACACCGGACCATATTTCCGCAAAAAGATATCTCTATCTCCCGCGACCAGGTCATGGGTACGGTAACTTGCCTGCCGAGATCCACTGAGGCTATAATTTGCCACGTGCTGGCACCGAATCGGGACAGCCGAGGTTTTCACTCGAGAGGAATGTCAGTGACAGATGCAAGCGAGGTAGCACTAGCGTAGATAGACTGGATACAATGATATGACGAGAGCGAGACCAAAAGAAGAGGGGACGGGCCGTGGCTACTACCTATCGACGGGTCGGCCGTGGCGTCATTCATCAGAACCTTGAATTGAGGCCGCATCTTGCAGAGCTGTTAGCGTTTCGAGTGAGCATTACAGCGTTTGTGGCATGCAGAAGAACGGCATGTATGCACGAGACCCGAAAAACAAAGAAATAATCACAGCGCCCTTACATACTCACAAGCCACAATGTCAAAGGTCCTTTCCGTAAAGAGAGCCTCGCGTAGACCTTGTTTTCACAGCAAACTAATTTGCCCAATCATCAAGTTGGTGAATTCTTATCGCTGAAAGAATGTTCCTACCCAGGTACAGTAAACGAAGATCGTTCTCCAGTAAGTAGCTGACCACTGGACGTACTGAACACGTTCTAGTGAACCACCTTCACCATTCTGGCTATAGAGCTGCATTTCAATAAGTGATCGCAGAGTCGCCAGCCTAATATGTGGTAGTCGGTGCAGATGGCGCAGTCGCGATGGCGTAAATCGTTGACTGCAGCCCTGAGACAGGAATTGTAACCTCATCTGTCACAACAAAAGTTTGGGTGACAACTAGCGTTTTCTTCGTGGTCGACTGCAGGTTAGTCGGCGCTGCTATTGTAGAAGATGCTGCAAAAAGTGCAGCTTGACCCTGAGTGATGCGTTGCATTCCTTGGCTGATGAAAATGGCAGCAGCTACCGTACCGCCAATCATGGCGAAGAAGCAGATTGCACAGATCATGATTCGAAGCTTGTTGTTGTAAAGAACGGTCGAGATATGAGACTTTGACTTTTCGGGACAACTAGGAAGGTGTTTTGGGAAGTCGTTGAGTTCGAAAGTATCGGGGTGTGGAAGGTCAGAGCAAGCCATGTCTTCCACAATTTGGGTGAACGACTTGTTTGACCTGCAGTTGCAATACTGTATAGAAAAGTGATTGTTATTTTTTGAGCTTATACGTTCATAATTGTGGAACACTTCTCGTTCACAGAGCGAGCAGCGCCGTTCATGCACAATGTCAAGCATCGAGAAGCGTCGTAAGAATTTTAACAGTCACGTCTAGCGGCGTCATGCTACCCGTTTGGAAAAACATCACATTAAAATAAATGTAGACGAAAAGATCGTTCACAATTCACTTTCGTGTCACTGAATGCTGGATAACGCCCAAATAAGTGAAGCACTCGTGCATTGAAAGGCCAGTTCCGCTGATACCTGAAGACAATACCTCAGGGAATTACAGGACAGTGTACAAATACCCACGTAGTCTGTTCGCTAGCCATGCAGTGCGCTTCGTAGCCATCCCATGGAGGGCAGTGATTCTCGCACTGATACTTCAATCCCCACGCCCCAGAGAAGAAGCAATCACTAGACGGTAAATCGGCTGAGGACGCAGGCATTTCCGAAAGCGCATTTCCAGAAGTGACATAGGCTGTAGTTGAGTGAAGTGGTGCTTCTAGCGAACGGGGTGTTGACGACAGGACGATTTGGAAGTGGCCAGCGATGGAGCGACGAGTAGCGGTACGCGAGTAGTGGTGTAGACGAAGGTAGTAACATTCTCGTAGACCGTCTGGACTTCGATAAGAGGCATAGTGGAGCTATCTACCGAAAAGGAGACTTCCGGAGCTTCGATACCGTTGTAGTCAGTTTTGCGTGACAGAGCAACACCCCAGATGACAGCGCCGATGATGAAAAGGATGGTCGCAAGAAGGCCACCTACAGCTAAAAGAGGCTTCATGCTAGAAGCTGAGCGATGAGTTCTTGACTGGCGTTCCAGGTCGCGTGGATCTTGATGATCGGCTGGGTCGGAAACTGGCTGCAGCGGAATTGGCTCCACGATTCGCGGTGGATGAGATGTGTCAAATATCTCTTTCCAGTCTACAGGGCAATCGTTGATGTGAATGGACTCTTTCTCAAGTAGACAGTAGCTTTACTTTCGACACGTCATTTGACAACGGGGAGCAACTATTTGCACAACACAAATGGCACACAAGCAAACGCGGCACTGTAGATTCACGTGCATGGTGCCACATCTGAAGCCATTTGTGTGTGTGTGTGTGTGTGTGTGTGTGTGTGTGGTTGCTACGCCATTCTAGACTGTTGCATTGAATGTTCCGTGCATCGACTTCGTGGTAAGTGCAAATGCGGCAATGAATCACGCGAATATGGCCACCGTCAATGCAAACCAATGCTTCGGTCCGTAACTCTCGGAGGCGACTTGTATTTGAGTGTCCTGCCATCATCCTGTCTTCGTTAGCTTCGTTTACACCACTCTGTTCGCAAATAACGTACCTTCATGAATTTATCAACAAAGCCCTCACAGGAGAACTGCGCATTGCTTGGCGTAATCAGATTCTTCAGCTCGTAACGCCAGATTTGTTGGCCATCCTGAAATCGTACATTTGAGCCAGGATCTATCGATATGGCAATAGAGTAGCCAGACTGTCGCAACCGCTGCAATGTCGAGAAGATGATATTCAGCACGCGAGTGAGAAATTGAGCCTGTCGCTCCTGCAGGTTCTTGGACTCTGAAAACCATGGAAGTGGCGATTCGAGAATGACATAGATATTTGCGCCAGGTCGTAATAGAAACAGATACTCCATGTTTTTCAGCAGCAAGCTCTGCGGGGAGAGGATGCCATTTGCGTCCGCTGCTGGCCACCTATCCAAGTCGCATTGCAAGATCTTGAAGCTTGCTCTTCCAATGAGTTCCTGGCGCGTGCAATGTAGAGTAGTATCTATTTGAGCCAGTAGATGAGGGAGAAAGTCAAGGCTCCTGTCGAAGTCGAAACGGACTGAACGATACCAGGATTCTGTCAGCTCGCGGAGAGTCGCGTCCCCAGTAAATGCTCTATTCCAATAATGTCTCGGTGCTTTCGGATCAAGCGTGTTGTAGTAGTGAAATAATCGAGCATGGACCCCATCTTCAAGCAGCAGATACGCAAATATCATGTCCCTGAGCTCCCTGGGTAGGCGATCTTGGACGGCCAGACATACGCTCAGACATGCGCTTTTGAAATGTTGATCTTCCAATCTCTTCATCATTGTTCTTTGATTTCTGAGGTCTATGGCCCGGGTTCTAACACAAGCCATGGTAGGAAGGGCGTTATATTGGGTGAAAGTCGCGTAACAAGAAAAAGGAGACTTGTCCATGTGTTTACACGACTCGAACCAGACACCGGGCAAACCCGGTCGTGCCAACAAGAATCTTCGCCGATGGCGGCGCTTTCGAATTGAGCCCGTCATGGTGTTGTCAAAGGCAAGTGGCGCGAGGCGGTGTAGCCGCGTCAAAGAATGGGAACAGCGTCTAGTTACGGCAGAAGAGGAATAAAAACATTCGGACACAAGGCCATGCGCGGAAGCAACAGGACTGAACATTCCTGATGCATGTGTTATCTTTGTTGAGCATTCGACATTATCGCTAAGCGTGACATCGAAGTAACGCCGACCCCCTCACCTACAAGTGCAGAGAACTCCGCTTTCCATCATGACATCGTAACAAGGGAAGCGAGGCTATGTTATAATCTTCGGGTGTCTCCTCACTTTGGAGAATGCGCGCTGCCGACGGTTGGACCCGATAGCATATTCGTAACCTTTCGCGGCGTCGTACCGAGGTTATGATTACGGAACAGATACATCAACATGGCGTAAAAAGAAGCACCGAGATGGCCAAATAGCCAGGCAGCTGAGAACATAGATTGCATACGATGGATGACGGATGGTTGAGTGAGGAGTGAGTCCGATGAAAGTGGAGGCTCGCGTGAGGGGTCTCGCTAGCGTGCCTGCTCTGGGAGAGGGGATTTCCGCGTCGCTGTGACCCATTGAATAACAACTTCGGTCAAACATTCATTTCCCCGCATTAACAGCCTCCTGTTGCGCTTCCGCCGACGCAAACTGGCCCCGTACACTCCCAGCCTCTGTTGCCAACAACATTACCGCACAAATAGTTTGGCACTGTGGTGCCATTGCCAGCATACCTGACATCAACGCCACTCAAGGCAATGTCGGTACATGGCGCAACAGCACTGCACTGCAGACTTACGACTCTGCGGTCTTTTGTTGTACCCTGTAAACCTTGAATGTTGACATCCTTGACTTGAAACTGGCTGTTGGTGCAGTTCCCAACGCCGGGTGCGCCACTGAATCTGGTACACTGACTGACTGTGAACAAGCCTCCACGGGCATTCTTTACCGTCAGGTTCTTCAGCTGCATGTTCCGAGCAAAGCCAAGCCCACCGCCACCACCGTTTGGAGGATAGCCGACTCGGTCATCGGTCCAGGTCTTAACGTAGAAAGCGTGCAATGTGTCTTCGAAATACACGTTCTCAGCGCGGATGTTTTCAATTGTTTCGAACTGGTCATTGTATTGTCCAATCGAGCCAATAGCGATCCCAAGCCCATGGTAGAATTTCGAGTCAAGAAGCGTAATGTTGGTGCTGTTTGCCTTGGCAGAGAACGAGTCATCGCCATTGTAGACAGTCCAGTTCTTGAATAGAAGGTTGGACGAGAAGAATGTGTCAGCACCGTCCGTGTTGGCTACAATGATTGTAAGAATGATGCAACACGGTTATTGATGTTCGAGTGACTCACAACTTGATACTACGTTTCCGGTGTTGTTAATGAAAATGTCCTGCCAGACGCTATCGTAACTGTGGATGATGGACATGGTCCACATCTGGCTTCGCAAGAACCTCAGACCCTTCACGACCGAGTTTGTCAGCCCATTGAAGGTGATTTGATGTGGCCGACCAGGGTAATTCGATGTGTTAGGCTGCTGCCTGATCCATTGATACCAGTAGTCTCCGTTTCCGTTGAATGTACCCACGCCATGGCCGTCGATACGAACATTGTTCCCGCCAAGGATGAAGGCTGTGGACTGATTTTGGTAACCCACAGGCAAGGAAGCATTGAGCCAGTACTGGATGTTGGTACTCCACTGATCGCTGTTAGATGTATTCCGGCACAGATATTGCAACAATACTTACAAGCAACTGGCCTTGGATATCGATTTCAACATCTTCGAGGTTGGTGATGTTCAGTACCGAGTTGACGTGGTACGTTGTGGGCTGAAACACAACCTTGGCATGTCTACCACATTCTTTGAAAGCTGCCCTGATTGCAGGCCCATCATCTGTCAAGTTGGTGCCGCTCGCTTCGATTGTGCACGTCTTCCGGCCTTGAGTCGGACTTGCACTACCCTGCAAGGCGAATAACGCGACGGGGAGGTATTGTTCAACCCGCATTTTTACCGATCTTGCCAGGTATCTCTGAACTTATTCGACCTACATATAGACTCTCGTATGTGGCAAAGCTCACAGGCGGCTCTGGTGCTGCTTTTGGTCACATCCCATCGACCGGTCGGAACTTCTGCCTCTTAGAGTGGCGTATTGTCAATGATATGCTTGGAAGCGGGATGCAATATGCGGGATGAAATATGCGGGGGTTTCATACCCCACAATCTCTCAGGAGCAACAGGGATCGGTGGTTCATTGAGCTTGATTTAGCCATTGACCGTGCAGATTACCTAGATGATCCGTCGTGATTCGGTTGTCATTCACCCGAGATTCGACCTTAGCCTCAGGGATATGCTTTGGCAGGAGAACTTCCGGAATAATTAGCTGAATCTCGCGCATCCTTGTCATCAATTACTAGTTCATACATACGTTAGTGCGTTCTGTATGCGAAAAAAGCTCTGCTGCACGGCACATCTTTACTACCAATTTAAGATCTCTAAGCTATAATAGGTGACATCAGCATGGTGTGAGCTGAGTGCACACCCTGGAGGGCTCTGCTTGAAGTCCTTCGCGACCTTTCGCAAGCCAGATATGACCCATTTCATAGATCAAGCACAATTCGTCCAACGCCTCTGGACACACAAGACAGCATTGCTCCACATTTCTCTTCATCCAACAACCCAGTACCCTGGTGCTCCACTCTCCCGTCACAAACGTCGACCTTGCAAGTACCGCAGTTTCCCACTTCGCACGAACTGTCGATGTCCATACCTACGCTCCTCAAGACGTCGAGCAACGTCTGGGTTGCGCCAACCTCTACAACACTCTTATTCTGCTTGAGCTCAACGGTGAACGGATCGCCGGAAGTTGCGACGGTGAATTGTTCCATGTGAATGAGGGTGTCAGGGATATTGAGAGCATTCGCTACGGCTGTGACAGCGTCCATTAGACGTGCAGGACCACAAGCGTAGATGTGCGTGCGGTTGTCGGCGTGGGAGAGTATGTCTTTGAGGTCCATTCGTGTGCCTTCTGCGCTATTGTAGAACGTGATGTTGCGACCGAGTGAAGAGAGACGTTCCTTGAAAGGTATCTCGCTGGAAACGGCGTAATGAAGATGGAAGTTCTGTTTAGTGTCTTGGAGGTGAGGCAGTGCAGCCAAGAAAGCAGTAATTCCGATTCCGCCCGCAAGAATGATATGTTTGTCTGCGTCGGTAGCTAGTGGGAAGGAGGCGGTGATGCGTCCTGCAGTGATGGTGTCTCCGACATGGACCTTCTCATGCAGAAATTTTGATCCACCCCGGCTGTTCGCATCAAGAGCAATTCCCAGCTCGAAGCGTTTTGTGGTACCACCAGTGACCGAATATGCACGAACAATTTTGCCACCCAGCTTGAGTCGAACGTGACTGCCAGGCTCAATGCGGCTAGGATTCGGATTGTCCTCAATGGCTTCAAGCACCAACGAGGTGACTCTAGTGGTCTCCTTGCGCTTCTCGGCGACACGACACTCGTACCATGCATCCATCTTATCTTCTGCATCCCCATACATCCGGCCTTGTTGATCTTCAGTCACACCCTTGGCCAGTCGGGTATGCAACTTTTTCTTGGTCTCTTCGCCGAGCTGTGGAACTTGTAGTATTTGCTTCATCATTTCCATGTTATTGGTTTCAATGAACAAGTAGTACATGACCCTTGCCACAGTCCAGTTGGGGTTGGGTCGCTCGAGCAGACGTACCATGTCTCCAGCGGCAATGGATCCAGTCTTGATGACACGATATAGCCAGCCGGTTCTAAAGAGAGTTTGCGTACGCTTAGCCATGTCCCTAACCTCGAAACGATGGTTTAGCTTGTAGCATGGGCTTCGCGGCTCAGAAACCTCAACAATGATGTTGCCAATGGCAATGCGGTCGCCAACGCATACGCTCTTCTCACTTACTTCAGAACTGAAGATGTTCTCACCAAAAGCGCCAGGCTTGAAGTGTGCCTCTGATGTTGGGATCTCATTGATCCAGTCATCGTAGTGTGTAGTGCAATAATGCAAGAGTGCATTATCCGGGCTGCGGTGTGGCTCGTAGGCATGTTCGTCGCTGACAATTCCGTTCTTGCTGACCTCCACGGGGCCGGAGACGGGACTCTTGAAGATCGCGGTTTCGATGCGGCCATTTCCGAGAGACTTTTTGATCTTGCCGCTGCGCACTTGGATCAGGGGAAAAGGTTTAAAGGGTGGAGGATTAAGCAGTGTGTCAGGATCCGGGGGTGGGGGAGGAATCCAGCTGGAGACGGCCATAATTCCGTTGCGAATGTAGCGGACTTAGATGTTGTGTTGGCTGGTTGGAGTGCGAGATAGCAGCTAAAAGAAAGTGGTCGGGTCCGCCCGAGCGCGACAAGTGAAGAAGCCTGCGTGAAGGAGCCTGGCACAGCGGAACAGCGTGAGCACATCCGCTTAACAATGCCTCGACCTTTTAGTGAAAGTGTTTGCTTACCATGGATTTCTTCTGCCAAAGGTACAATATCAACTGTGATGGAGTCTCGAAGGTCTTCAAATAGACCAGCTCGTATGCCTTGGGGCGATAACAAAGTCTTTATACTACTTACTTATCGACGATTGTAGCCTGAAAGGCATGACTATCTCACTAGGCTTACTTCAGCATGGCGCGCGGGCGCCTGAAGGGCACAGTGGCTCAGTATCTAGCCGAGGCTTGAGGCGGAGAAGAGACTTGCTCCCCGAATGTCAGCATACATACCATGCACAAGTCGCAGCACAGAGGATTGACAGCGTAAGCTTCCTATGGAATGGGTAACTAATTGCAGTGCTGTAATAGCTTGAGGTTTTGAATTGAAGCGCGTTGAGGGTTATTGCTGCACTTATGCAATGACGTCAGAAAGTCGTAGAGCTCTTTAGCTAGGTACATAACTTTAGACGTCAACTCTTGCACACAGTACACTTCTCCTCAAACTTCAATTGTCTCTATTAAACAATCAAGAAATCAAAGTGTAAGTCTAGCATGCGAAGACAGCACGATAACATTATCTAAACCGGCCAACAGTACAATCTCGGCCCTCTACACACAGCACGCAACAACTCTCAACGGTAGCCATGTTTCGCGTTCAGCCCACCCGCTCATTTGCACGCGCCGCCCGCATCCAATTTCCTGCGCCCCGCTTGATTTCGACATCGCGCCCATGTTTCGCGAAGAAGGGTGCAGAGGCCAGGGACTCGATTGATACTACCTCAACCGAGTACTCCAAGTCTGGCTCGGACGATGCAGCAGCACATACAGATGCCGCATTCGATCCCAATCAGACGAGCCCTGAAGCAGCAGAGGCTTCTGCTGAGAAGGAGGCTGGAGGCAAGGACAATTCCCTCAACGCGAGCCCTGGCAACCATGAGATCAGCCACGCCAATGACCCCCAGGTCGGCGGGGCAAGCCAGGGGACAAATGACAAGCCGAGCGGCGCTGGAAGCCCGAACAAGCAGGGTGGAAAGTCGAGCGGTTAGAGGATTCGCGGCTGAGGATGTGAAGTGAAGCAAAGAGAACAGTCTGCGACACGCGCGAGGCGACGAGCATGCATGATGACACTGCACCAACAAAATATTTTCTTTAGGTTCCAATGACAGACAAGATTTCTGCACGAATAATCCTACCATCTTTTTGCACTGATCCCTAAAAGCATGCCGCCGGCGACTGGTCATGCTGATGCATCGAAAGGCATGGAGCATACAAGAACAGACATCGAACGCCGGCAACTCAATGTTTTCAACCCGAGTACTGCGTGATCGGATCTACCTCCCCTTATCAACGTATTGCAGTTATCACAAAAACATATGAAGGTGTGAAACTGTTGAACTCAAAAAAATACATTGTCTGGTATCTACTTTCGAAACTCCAAATTGCCTCCTAACTCCATGTATGCAATGCAATGCAATGCAAAGCTAAACTTGGGGACAGAATACCAAGATTCTAGTCGTCCCACCGCATATTCAAGATAAGCTCCTTAACCTCCGCAGCATCGAGGTTCCTCACACGCTCCTGCTTGTGCTCGACAGGCTTGCTCTGCTCTCCCTCCGCGAGGGAAAGTCACATGATGCCGTTGTAGGCCCACTTGGCAGCGAGCGGCCACCCGAGTACTACGGCGTACATGGGGAAGAAGCTATGTGGGGAATTAGTAGGTGTTGGGAGTATGATGTGGTAGGGCAGACTTACACAGCACCTGTCCGCCCGACCTTGCGGAACATGACGCCGTATTGTGCTGGGTAGGGTTTGGCGGTGACGGGGTTGCGAGCGAAGGGGTGAGGCTCAGTCATTTGGCGGGCCCACGAGCGGATCATGGTGCGGACTGGTGTTGCGGAAGGCATTTTGAGTGTTGATCTGAAGTCTTGGGACTTGTTGGGCTAAGGATGTCGATTGAGCGAGGCTTGTCGAGGTTTGGTGAGTTGGATGACTGTTGTCTATGACTATTGTCTATCCGCTGAGTGTTGTTGATGCTTGTAAGGCTGAGTTGAGATACTGTGATGGATATGTGTAACGAAACAATGCCTTGTATTTATTAAATCTATCCTACGCTCACTGGTTCCTGCTTGTTCCGCTGTGTCAACTGTTCAGTCGAACCACCACCATCACCTGAGATTCTGTGGCTCACTGCGTTGCGGCAATCCTTCGGGCTGCTGCCGCTGAGCAAACACACGCAGCCAGCCTTACGAGCCGGCGGGCTTACATTTCCTGGCGCTTACCGAGTCGGCATCCAAATTAAGACATAGCAACGTCGGATTGGTAGACTGCGCCCAGATCTAGTCAGTTTGAGCCACTCACAGCGACCGTAAATCAGCAATTGTTAGGGATGAGCGTGGCATGGGCGTTGCGTCGCGAGAGAGTGGTGTGATCGTTGCACGGAATCCTTCGGCGCGGCGGCCTGGAGCGAGCGGCACCCACCGACGACAGCCACAGCCAATGACGGCTGCCAAGCGATGCATCGCGTGAGATGGGTGGTGTGAGAAAATGATGACTGATGAAGTGAGTAGGTACGTATGTAGGTAGCAAGTTGTCAATTTCTCTGGATTCGAGTGAAGTGTGCGCAGAGGAGGTACTCTGGGAAGCGCAGAATGTGGTACAAGGCTTCCGCGTCTATTGGCTGTCGCGCCGGTTTCCCTACCTACCTACCAACGTTGTGGTCACTAGCTGCAGGTTTGTGATACAAAGTACCAGGCTTGTTCCAGCATCCTGGTGGTCGGCTACTCGACATTTCAGGTACGTCAAGCTGGAAACACTTCGATGGAGGGTATCACATGGTAATAGTCAATCTCTCGTACGGACATGAGTGCAGCTCGCACAAAGCATTTCGTAACATCCCTATGGCTTGCCTAGAGCGGTAATATCAGCCTGCCCCAACTCCCAAACACCCTCCTCCTTCTTGCCCTCCACACATTGAACGCCTGCATTGACCGCCGCTCTGGCAATAGTCGCCGCGTCTTGCGCCCAGGAGTCTGTGAGTTTCGGCGTCAGACCCTTCAACAGTTTTGCAACGCTTTGGAACGCAAATTCCACAGGCCGACTGTCCGTCCTTCCTCCTAAGATTAGACCGGGGCGCACAAGGATCGTGTGCTTGAACCCTAGCGCCTTCACATCATCCTCCAGCTGACCCTTCATCTGGACGTATGCGAAATTGCTCTTCGCGTTCGCGTTGCCAGAGCTGATCAGCACATATGTATCTACACCGGCCTCCTTCGCGGCTTTTGCAAGCTCTAGGTTGAGATCATAGTCGATCTTGCGCTGCGCTTCAATACTGCCTGCCTGCGCTTTTGTGGTGCCCAGACCGGAGAAGAATATCTTGGGATGCGATTCGCGCGGGAACATGCCCGACCATGTCGATGTGTCACTCGATGTGAGAGGGTTCAACTTGGTTGTGGCAGTAGGGTTTGGGAGGTCGCGGCGCGCGTAGGCGTAGACGGAGGAGAAGGACGAGTGTGCGAGTAGTTGGCTAAGAATGTGGGAGCCCTAATCTATCGTGAGCCGGATTCAAGCGGATGCAGTTTTGAAGTTGTCACTTACCACGAGGCCAGTACTTCCGGCAAGCGCTGCGGTCGTCATGATGTCTAGCTAGGCTGTTTACTCCTCTGGTATCTCACACAGAATTACTAGTATATATGCTTAATGTGCGAGCCTTTGTGGGTTGTGAGTTGGCAAATGCATTCGGCTTCTTATCGCAAGACTTTGTCCGTCTCGGCCGTTTGGTATTGGTCCGGACGGATGATCCTAACTCCGACTGATCGCGACATTGCGAAGATGCTAACATGAAGTTTTTTAGTAGGAATTTCTCGTGTGCCGTTGCGATGAAGTTTTCTATACACAACCTTGAAGCCGTGATAGTGAGTGGAGCTGTCACTGGCAAGCTGACGATCATGGGTGATCCACATGTGCCACCGTCAGCACCAGGAGCCAATCAGCAGCAACAGTACCGTCGGTCCTTGCATCAAGTCTGGACAACCATTACTTCGTCCTGGTGCCATTGAAACGTCAACACCACAACCCGGCGCTCATTGCTATGTTGGCACTAATCGACCAACGTGTAGGTCTGCGGCCGTTTACGCGCTGCGTAAGTTACCGAGCATATCGGCTACTCAGACCCTGGATCTGTCAGCTGTGAATCACAACAGTGATTCTAGAAGTCCAACTGGCACACCACCCCGCCTTCCACACCCCGCAATACGTCAGTCAAGTACCGTGTTCAGCCTCCACCACTCCACTTGGTTGCACACCGGCTTTGGCACAGCGAATCGTCCTTTCCGGCTCACACATCCGAATGATTATCAATGGCCTTATTCACATCGACCTGGATTTGTGTACATCATTGCCTGTACACACATGAGGACTATGACCTGGTCTAGCCCCAATTTTCGTTTGATATAAATGAGCATAGCCGATCACTGGCAAGAGAGCTGGAGTTCTTGTGATAAATACCCTTGTGATCGAACGCCTTCTGGCAATACCTGATTGCACACATCCAGGGAAAGACATCAAGTCGACATCATGTCTGTACAAACACTGAACATCAACGGTCGGGAAGTCAAGTTCAACACAGGCTTGTTCATCGGTGGCGAGTTCGTCAAACCCAAGGATGGCAAGACGTTTCCAGTCGAAGATCCTAGGACAGGAAAGACCATCATCGAAGTGTCAGAAGGCTCGGCTGACGATGTTGACATCGCCGTCAAGGCCGCTCGCAAGACTATGAACGATCCAGCATGGACTGACTTGAATCCTGCAGCTCGTGGCCAATTCTTGCTGAAGCTTGCGGATCTTATGGACAAACACTTCGATGATATCCTTGCGATTGAAATGCTCGATACTGGAAAGACAAAAAAGCAAGCCGCAAATCTTGACCTACCCGGCTCAACTGGCACTCTTAGATACTATGCCGGCTGGGCCGACAAGGTTCTTGGTGTTGCGTCGTCCAACGTCCCTGGCACATTCGCATATACCAGAAGAGAGCCAGTCGGTGTCTGCGGACAGATCATTCCCTGGAAGTAAGTGGCACAACTGTGCATGACTGAGATACTTTGCTAACATATGAGTAGCTTCCCGCTGTTGATGTTTATCTGGAAGATTGCACCAGCGATCGTAACAGGGAATTGCGTTGTCATCAAGTCAGCCGAAACAACACCTCTGAACGCCTTATACATTTGTGGTCTGATCAAGGAGGCCGGCTTTCCGCCTGGTACCATCAACCTTGTGTCTGGCTATGGCAAGACCGTCGGCGCCGCAATCGCAAAGCACATGGACATCGACAAGGTCGCCTTCACGGGATCAACAGCCACTGGCCGTGCTGTTCTTCGTGCAGCAGCAGACTCCAATCTTAAAAAAGTCACACTCGAACTTGGCGGCAAGAGCCCCAATATCGTCTTTGCGGACGCCGACCTTGAGAAGGCTGTCAAGTGGAGTGCATGGGGCATCAACATGAATTATGGTCAGACCTGTCATGCTGGTACTCGCATCTATGTGCACGAAGACATCTACGACAAGTTCACTGAAATGTTCACCGCACGGATGAAGGAGGTAGTCATAGGAGACAACTTCGATGAGAGCACAGACCAAGGCCCACAGAATTCAAAACTCCAGCATGACAAGATCATTGGATATCTGGAAGCTGGACAGAAAGAAGGCGCTACTGTAGCTCTGGGCGGCAAGGCGCACGAAGCTCCAGGCGGTGGATACTTCATCCAACCCACCATCTTCACAAACGTGACGCCTGAGATGAAGATTGTGAAGGAAGAGATTTTCGGTCCTGTGGTTACCGTGACAAAGTTCAAGACTGAGGAAGAGGTGCTTGAGCTGGCGAACGATACCACATATGGTCTGGCAGCGGGTATCCATACTAACGACTACCAGCGTGCGATCAGGGTGACTAACAAGCTGAAGGCGGGCACAGCGTGGGTCAATATGTTCAACTTTGTCCACTGGAGCATCCCGTTCGGTGGGTATAAGCAGAGCGGCCTCGGGCGCGAGTGCGGTGAGGCGGCATTGGAGAACTATACCGAGACGAAAGCAGTGTTCTTCAACATGGGTGTTGATGCACCGCAGTAGCGGGTGGCAGTAGCTTCAGTCGCAATGCAAAGTGGTAACCTAATCATCGAGCCTGTCGTGGACGGCTACTGTGTGATAATATTAATATGTATTGTTCTTTTGAGGCTCACTGTCGATGTGGTGTTTCACCAAGTACCTAGGTACCCGTGAGCACGAGCTATCACGCACGTGACAGAGCCGCAATGCTGCATAACCTTCCAAGGTTGTGCTCTGCAACCAATGTGCAGAGAAATTAGAGGCAGGAAGCGGCTGAATCTGCATTGCAGTCATCCGTGTATCTCTTCAGAGGGCTGACCCACTTCCGAGGTAATTCCTACTATGCCAGGGTTTACATTGGTGATGAGACTTTCGCAAGCGTGACGTCACTGCAATGACGATGGGGGCTCCTTCAAGCTCGACTGATTGCACAGCTACTTCTTTCCACTCATACCGCACCGCATAACCAGCACAACACCATTACTTTCAGAATTCGTCTTTGATATATCACACTCTCACAAATCCTCAAAATGGCACCACGCGCTCTCATCTCCGCATTCCGTCCCTTCACATCCTCCATCTCGCCAATCACACGTCGCGCTCTTTCCACAACGCCGCGCATGGCAATCAAGGAAGATGGCAACCGGACACCGGAGGAGCTCGAGCAGAAGAAGCAGGAGCAATTGAAGGAGCAGCAGGAGGGCAAGGGCCGATGGCGTGAGGACCTTGCTAGCTCAGGCGAGAGCAACATTGCGGCCGACAAGCAGAAGGTCAACGACCACGACAGTCATATCAAGGAATTGCAGCAGGAGGGCAAGGAGAAAGGCGAAAAGGGCCAGTTGTAGAAGCGTCAGCGCACACAGAGAAGCAACGCAGGAAGCAACTTAGTCATAGATGAATCAGCATAAGCAAGCGTCTCAGCGCAGCGTCCATTCCCAATCAATCCATCATTGTTCAAATGCGTCTTAAACCCCCCCTGCATTACTCTTTTCGCATGCAGTGCAGGCTACATGCAGCCGAGTTCTCGGACTCGGCGCAACTTCGTGTTGATGATCTGCGACATAGCCGACCAGGCCCGACCTGCATTACACAGTACACCTCGTTGCGCAAGACAAGCTCGAGAATTGCCTCGTTGACAGTGTAAAGTGCTCGGAACGTACCTGCCGTAGCTTACCGCAGCTCACCGCACACCAATCTAGTACACTATAACATCCAAATCTACTCCAAACGTTGTAGCCAGTTGCGGAACGATCGCAGCGTCTTAGCAGACCGTCCCAAGCCCGTTAGGCTGCGGCAGTTAGCGGGTGCTATGATGACACTTGCATGTTCCTTCCACCAATTCACCACTCCGGCCCACCCGCGTCGCTGGGATTCCCGTTTTCACTCTCGCTCCACCGTTTCCACGTGCAGTGACACATTGCCAACAATACACTCATGCCCAAAGCCCAAAGGAGCAGAGCGTGCACCCAATGCCGTGAGCGTCGCGTTAAGGTTCGTCAACAGCCCTGTGGAGATCGACCGGGAACTAAGAGTGCTACCATAGTGCGATGAGACGCCAGAGTTTTGCAACCAGTGTCGGCGCCTGGGGCTGCCATGCTCGGGTCCCATCATCGGCTCGGTCATCATTGATATGACTGACCGAGTCACAAAGCCACGAGCCAGGAAGAAGAAAACCGTGACCAAATCCAACGTCGTGCCCATACGTGAAGACACCGCCCTGGCCCCGACGTCGCCCGTTAGAAGGGACTCGGCCTTGACCACGAAGTCAGAGCCCTCGGATTCAGACTCATCACTGCACAGTGTGCCCTTATCGGCAACTTCTAGCGAGGTCGACTTGATGTCACAACAAGCAGAGAAAGCCATTGCGACAATACGATATCAGTATAGCGCACCCCAGCTATATCAGCCTTCTAAGATACAGGGTGATGCGCTCGACACGGCCTTTCTTCTGCACTTTGTCGAACTCAACCAGACCAGTCGAAGTTATAGCCCCGAAATACCATGGCTTACTCATTTACCAATGATACACAGCAGGGCCATCAAACCTGCAGTGAAGCTGTCCATACGTGCAGCCTCTATGGCCTTCTTCGCCAAGATTCACAAAGATCCCACCATATTGGTAGATTCATATCGCTGGTACACCGTGTCCCTCAACGCACAGAGGATGTCACTAGACCGTTTGACCCAAGCGGGTCGAATACCAGACGATGAGGAGATATTAGTGCCTATAATATTAGGACTGTACGAGGTGTATGCTGGGACTACGTCGGACAGTGTGCTACACCATGTCTCTGCAGCATGCGAGATTATCAGGTTGCGGGGGCCTGAGAACTGCAAATCTGGCGTTGTGTGGCCTTTGTTCAAGGCTATGCGGGTGTCTGATGTAAGTCACCTAAGAAGAACAGCAGCGGTATGCTCACCCTTCATTAGGCACAAAAAGCTCTCATCCTCAATAAACCCTCCATATTTTCGTCGCCAGACTGGATGACGATTCCGTTTACCAACATGCCACGGAATGCACACCACGACCTTGCCGATATCATGTTAATGATTCCCGACTGCATCAAACTGTGCCGAAGCAACGGCAGCCTACGAACCTTCTTCCAATCTGCTTTCCCGCCGGGCGTAGATCTCGAGCCTTGCCGCAAGAGAACAAATGAACTCATCGCCACCCTCGATGCATGGGCGACAGCGTACCCATATCTCGCAAAGCCATCATCGGGTCTCCAGATCGTGGAGGCAAACATGGCAAACCTCGCCGTCAGCGGCGCGAGACCGGCGTTCGAGGGCTCCAAGAACGTCATACTCCCAGAGTCTTTTATCGCTCTCACAATCGCAACTTATGAGTCTGTACAGCTGACTCTCACAATGCTCCAGCGCAAGCTCAGTGCCCACTACCCACAGTCATCTGGGAGCTCTCCACAGTCAGCATACTCATCGCCATCCCCGTCTCCGTCTTCCACGTCGGCGCTCTTCGACCAGGCTGTGCAATCCGCGCAGGTCATCATGAAGACAGCAGGTCATCTGGAAGGCACCAAGACCGTCGGCTTCGATTTCATCCGGAGCGTAACCCCCGTCGTCGTCGTCGCCATCCTCGGCCCAACGCAAGAACTGACCGACGGCGCAATGGCAATGCTGAAGCGCTGGGGAGACAACAGGGGCATGAACGGCCTCGTCAGGGCGTGGATGTACCTATAAGCCCTGCAGCCTCCCGCCGCAACCCGCGACGTTATCGCGCAAGTCGTGCAGATCCAAGCTGCGCCAGCCGCGGTCTGCCAGCCAGTCGTTGAGCAGCGCCGTGCATCAAGGAGTGTCAGCGTGGACGAGGCGGCTAGGCGCCGGTCGCAACGGTCGAAAGTTTAGATCGATCGACACTTTTCGGAACGAGGCGCCCGTATCCGTCTAGGCACTCCCGCACACCAACTGCCGAACACCGGCTCCGCAACCGCCGGGCCAACGCACAACGCACAACGCGTACGCACCTGTCCTGAGCGGGCTTTTCTTCGGCCTGATGCGTTCGACGCACCTTGCATCCGCCAGTGCGCACCGCCACGTCCCCGACACCCAGCCCTCCTTTACCACGGATACCTTTGCCGACCACCACCACCGCCACCAACCCAAACCCGCCCTGCACTCCCACCCCCAGTCCAACTCAGCCCCACATCCTCACCCCTCCAACCCCATCCCTGCACCCGCCCACTTCTCCTACCATAACCCACCCCCGGCCTCCGCACTCTCCATGCACCACCCATGCACACCGCGCTACCACACCCGCCCCTCGTCCCCTTCAGGCAAGTCTGCAACCAGCGTGGATCGCAGGCGCGGATAGCGTACCCGCGGGCGCGGGGCGGGGCCGGGATACGAGGGGCGCGGGGTAGGTCCCGGACGGTGGGTCGGTGAAGTATTCCATGTCACGAGTTTCGAGTTTCGAGTTTCGTGTCTCATGTTTTGGTGTCTGTGTTTGGGGTTGGGGTTGGGGTTGGGTTTGGAGGTGGGGATCGTGGACAGGATTTGGGGTCTGAGCGCTGGGATTGCCGGGGACGGCGGGAGCGGGATGCTTTGTGTCGGGCTTTGTTTGTCTCAAACTGGGGGGGTCTCAAATCGTGGGGGAAGCAGTGCGGTGCGATGCGGTGCCTTGCACCTCCAGCAGCCGGTGGACGCGCATGTGTACTTCGCAGTGCGTGTCTTGTCCGCTTGCGAACAGGATTCTTCTGCTTACACGTCTACACATCTACATATATACACACATACATATTATATATACACACACATATATACATACATATATACATACACACGCTCCCCCCGCCATTCCCCACACCACACCACGCCATCCACGCCATCCCACCCAACCCCCCTCCTTCACAGCAGCAATCCACTGTCCCCATCGCGTCCACGCTCCAAAGCCACTGGGACAGTGAGTCCTGAAGGACTGGCCATCCGATTCGGCCGCTAGACCACGAGACATTGAACACCGCACTACGAATTATTGGGGCATCGAATCTCACGTCGCAGGGGAACGGGGTGAGTGCGCTGCAAGGGATGAGGGTCTGGGGTACACGGCCTATGGGGTGGAAGGGACAGGGGTGTGAAGTGTGGAGTGTGGAGTGGGATAGCATATGTGCATCAGAAGAGACTGACTCGGGCACAAGATAGACAGGTACGTGAATGCATAGAATCAATAACATTTCAATATCCAAGACGCGTCGCACTTTTACCGCGCATCTTATCGCATCGCATCGCATCGCATCGCATCTCATTGCATCACACCGCATCACACCGCATCGCCACCTCTCGCCCCCCATCGCCGCTCCTCAGTGGGGTATCAAGACGAAAACAACATTTGCGCAGGGAAACGACATGCACCACCCAACCACACCTCTCCATCGGCCTACACGCCTCGTGCAAGCCACACCTCCCAGCGCTTCATCTCCATCCACGGGCCGGCCATCGAGTCCCTCCGGGCGAGCGGGGGGTGCTTGGGCTGCGGCGCCGCGGCGGGGACCAGGGCGCACGTGCGCTCCTTCTACGAAGCGTTTTGCTGCTGGGGCTGCTGTTCGTTTTTCTGCTGCAGGTGCAGCGTGAGGACCTGCATGTTGTGGCGGGCCTCGGGGACCTTGTCGAAGATGGCGCGGAGACTGGACATCTGGGCTTGCGCGACCTCCTCGATCTGCGAGAAGCTGGGCAGCATGGTGCTGACGACGGGGGAGTCGATGTAGGGACCCAGGATCTCGAGAGCGTTGGGGATGCGGTGGTGGGCGGGGACGGCGGGCTGGGGTTGTTGGGCGGCGGTCATGGGAGGGGCGGCATAGGGGTTACCGTAGGGCGCGGGAGGGAAGTTGTTGGCCATGGGGGAGTACTGGGGGCCGTGGGGGTTGGGGACCGGCGATGGACTTGGGCCGTTCTGAGGCGCAACCATTGGTGCTGTGGGCTGAGCGATCTGGCCCACGGTGTTGTCTTGTCCTGAGTAGTGCTCAAAGTGCTCTGCTAGGGGAAGCTGGGGCTTGACCTCGGGCAGTTTGGCAATGAGGGTAAGCAGCAGCATGTGGTCCTTGCGAGGTGTCTCAATGGTGCAGTGTTCGAGCATGTCTATGAATGGAGACAAATTGCTGCCGCCGGCTTCCACGGGAATGAAGTAGAGGTCCCGCATGATCTCGTTGCTCGCGTCGATGGGAACGACACCCCAGCGGCGCCGGGAGTGGAAGTATTCGTACAGATGGTCGAACACTGCCCGGCCCTCAGCGTTGACTGGGCTAATAGCCAGAACAGCCACCTCATGGCTTTCCGACCTCGCGATGCCACGGATGTACTCATCGCCTTTGGCGTTTTCTATACGGCCTTGAATGGATACTTGCTTGGTCAGCAGCTTCTCCCAGGGTACAACCTGCCCGAAGTCGCCACCGGCAACGAATCGAGCGACAGCCTCAAACGGCTCCGTTCCTTGCATCGTGATGGAGCCTTGCCAGCACACGGAAGGATCAGACGAGTAGCCGGACATTTCGACATCGTTGTCTTCATCCTTGAGCAAGCGATCGACGTCTGCATCGTCGACTGATTGTTGCGGCTTCTCCTGCATAGAACTCTGCCTACGAGGAACGAAAGCTTGCTGGTTGTGTTGCGGTGACCGGACCTTGTCGAAGACAGAGTTGATGTCGAAGTTGGTCGAGGGTCGTCGTGCGCTGTCCGTATCAACCGAAAGCGGGTGTCCTGCGTCGACTGGTGTTTGAGGTGGGCGATCATGACCGGGCGAGTTTGGTCGCACGCCTTGTTCCTCATCCTCGGTTTCTCGCTCCCGCAGCTGCGGGGCCCGGAATTCAGTGTTGTTGTCGTTGGCGTTCTCATCATCCACGAGCTCGTCACCCTTGTGTGTCTTACGCATCCGGGGGCCAGTCTCCTCGGTCAAGACCGTCTGCTTCTCTGCAGCTTCTCTCATCGCGGCATACTCGCGTTGCTTGTCCTCGCTCGCCATCTCCTCGGCCGCCATGATGGTAAGCTCATCGGCTTTCAGACTGCCAGACAGAAGTCGGTCGATGAGGAAGGAGTTTTTCTTGATGTTGAACATGATGGTGCGCAAGCGTTCGGCGAAAGGTGATGTTGGGCCGGACGGCTCGCCATGGTGCTCGACGGCAGCGTGGCAGATCTGCAAGACGAAGCGTGTAGCAAGTGACTTTGCTGTCTGACCATCAGGAATCCGAAAGCCTCTAGCATCGGAAGCCTCTGTGATCAGGGGGGCCATGATGTCTTGCAGCTTCTCTGCAATGCCTCTCTGCTTCTCGGGAAGAGACGCGACATCGGTGATCTTGGTGGCTGCCTTTTCTTGGTGTTGGCTCGACTTGCGGCGCTTCTTGGTCTTGGTGTCTTTTTCGGCGATGGACTCGTGGCGGCGCTTCTCTCCGACCGGAGACTGAGGCTGGCTCTTTGGTGCTTCTTCAACCTGTGGGTAATCAGCATGAGCGCACGCCAGGGCGGAAGCTGGCGGATCGCGTACCTTTGGCGCGTCACCGTTGGAGCTTTCCTCGACGACTGGCGCAGGAGAGGGAGACGCTTCGACGGCCTTGGGCTCAGCCTGCTTGGGAGCGCTGCTGGGCTGGGGCGTCTGGGACTCGGCCTTGACGTCGCTGGCGCGCGGCTTGTTCTTGGAGCCCTTCTTGCGCGCCCACGGCTTCTCACCGCGCGCCATGGCAGCCAGCAGCTCCTGGTGCTGGTCAGGCCGGCACACTTCGCAGTAGTAGGGCTTGTCGCCCCAGGCGTCGCTGGTGGGCAGACCGAGGCAGATGTTGTGTTGCCACGCGTCGCACTCGTCGCAGCAGATCATGTCGCGGCCGCCAATCTCGCGCTGGACGCCGCAGACGCAGCGGTAGATGGCCTCTTCGTCTTCGCCTCCATCCTCGGGCTCGACGGACTGTGTTGGTGTCTCGACTGGGGTTGTGGCCTTCTTGCCTTTGCCGGCCTTGCCCTTCGTTTTCTGTGTGGCCGGGTCGTCGAGGTCTCGATTCCTGTGATGGCCCTTGTTGGCACGGCCAGAGCGGCGCGTCTCGTCTACAGGCAGAGCGTTAGCCACAATGTCCAGTGCTGGGACGCGGTGCGCGTCGCGGCGGCTCGCGGCACGCGATGACCTCGACGTTCGGTCGCGTGCCACTGGGTGTTGCTTACCGGCCATGGTGTCTGACGCGGGTGAAATGGGCTCAATGCAGACGCGATAACGGGTGCAGCAGCTTAAAGATGGGGTCAAGCAGGTTCACAATCTCTCTATGGAGGTCCAGGCCGTCTCGCAAGCAGCGTGCGGGCAAACAGAGCGTCTAAAGCTAGGGGACAAGCGCAAACACGCGCAGCTGGCTCTCTCAGAAGCAGAAGGCGCGACGGGAAATGCGCCTGCTGTTTTCGAGATCGTGCCTTCCGTGGCAGCCTCCACCAAGCTCGAGCTGTTGTCGCGCAGTGTGAGGACGCGTCGCGTAGGGCGATTTCGCGCAAAGAGATAGCAGTAAGTACGCGCCGCAGTGAGTGCAGCGTGGGGAGGCAATGGGCGTGGCGGGGGACGGTCGGTGGGAGGGTCGTGTGGTGGGCGTGAGGAGATCCTGAGCTTTGACTGCCGGAGAGTTGGCCGCAGCGTCCGCGCTAGATGGCTTTGGGTCTAGTGCACCAGCGTTCCGGCGCAATGTTCAAGCTCCGAAGCAAGCAGTAGAATGTACGAAGACACTCGCCGAACACTCCCACGCTGATTACAAATCGTTGCGATACCGATCTTGTGATATCGACTTTCCGCCGCTGGAACCGCCCAATCACTATGGCAGACGCCCGCACGTTACTGCGACAGCAACGAGCTGCGCGAGACCAGGCCAAGAAGGCGCAGAAGCAGGCCGCGGCGCCAGTCTCGAGGAAACGGAAAGCCGCAGACGACGGCCCAGAGGAGAAGAAAAGGTCGCGCACAGAGGAGGAGGCTGGCGTTCCAGCAGGATTCTTCGACGTCGGCGCACAGCCAGAAGAACCACAGCCCGACGATGCGCTCGAGGAACTGCTCGAGACACCGCCAGAACCGCCGCTCGCCGAACCTGTGAAGCTCACTCCTACACCGCTCGATCCCACAGCCGAGGCAGAGCTCGATGCCTTCTTGACCGAACTCAACAAGGAGCCGGCACCACAGCCGCAACACACATACGCTTCCGGCGCGGTGATAGAGGCGGCGCCAATGACAGCGGCCGAACTGGCTGCACAGGCCCGAGAAGAGCAGAGCGCGCAGCGCGCACGGAAGGACGAGGACATGGAGGCGGAGAAGGAGGAGGCAGCCAGAGCGCTGGAGGACGAGTTTGAGGAAATGGAAGGCCTGGACGAGAGGGTCAAGAGGCTGCGAGAACAGCGCGAGGCACTGCGCAGTCAGTCTGCGCAGCTGCCGGCGCCAACAGTGACATTACCGGTGCAACCGCAGTCCGAGGACGGGGAGAGCGAGTCTGAAGATGACGAAGACTGGGACGACTGGCGATTTCGTCCCGCGTGAAGTGCTCATAGGCGGCGAATGATGTGCCTATAAATTAGCGTTGTACAACAAAAGCATTAGACTATGATACCCGAGGCGGCTGTAGCAAGCCAGGCCTCCATGTTGCGTAGATGTTTGGCCCAGCAGGGCGCCCCCTGCAGCAACACGAAGTATCCAACACGAAGTACACTTCTGCAGACCGCGCTCATATATAAAGTGAGACATGCAATCCTGCACACTGCACCATCACCGTGCCCGAAACAAACCAAACACGCCGAACATGGCCAATCATGCTATTGTGGTGCTGCCAAGAAACGTCAATGGTTTCGGGCAGCCAAAGGCAGACGGTGAGCCCGCGCAACTTTCCCCCCACCACCTGTCCTGTGGCATACAGACGAGCGCCGACGACACCGCTACCTCGACGCCGAACAGTGGCAATCGCACACACGGCAGGCCCTCGACCCGCACACGCATACGCCCTCCGCTCGCAACATGTCGCGGCGGCCCAATCCCGCGGCCGATCGCGCCGAGCAGAACCGCGCAACGCTCAAGAACCTGGTGAAGCTCGAGGGGAACAAGACATGCTCCGACTGCAAGAGGAATAAGCGTATGGCGCCTCCGCATGCGTGCAGCGTCGCCGACTGACCGCTGACCACCCCGCAGACCCGCGCTGGGCCAGCTGGAACCTCGGCGTCTTCATCTGCATCCGCTGCTCGGGCATCCACCGCGGCATGGGCACGCACATCTCCAAGGTCAAGTCGGTCGACCTCGACACGTGGACGGACGAGCAGCTGCAGAGCGTGCTGAAGTGGGGCAACGCCCGCGCGAACAAGTACTGGGAGGCGAAGCTGGCGCCCGGCCATGTGCCGTCCGAGGCCAAGATCGAGAACTTCATCCGCACAAAGTACGAGTCGAAGCGCTGGGTCATGGACGGGCCGCTGCCGGACCCCGCGACCCTGGGCGAGGACGACGACGACATGGTGCGTACGGGCATGCGGGGGGATACAGCAGGGAACACGGCTAACAAGTGCAGCCACTGTCCAAGGTGCAGGAGAAGATCCAGGTCGAGCGGTCGGCCTCGCAGCGCCTGGCCGGCAACGCCGCCGCTTCGCGACCCCCTCCGCAGGCCAAGCCGGCGCCCGTCATCGACCTCTTCGGCGACGCCACGCCTGCCCCGCCGCGGTCGAGCACGGGGCCGCCGCCTGCGACAAGAGCGCCGCCGCCGAAGGCTGAGCCTGCCCCGCCGAAGCAGACCAAGGCCGGTGATTCATTGCTGGGGCTCGACTTCCTCGGCAGCAGCTCGACACCCCCCGCCAGGCCCTCGAGCACAGGGCCGGCCGGTGCTGCAGCGGCCCCGTCGCGACCTGACCTCAAGCAGTCCATTCTGTCGCTGTACGCCTCGGCCCCGAAGGCAGCAGCACAGCCCCAGCCCCAGCAGCAGCAGCAACAACAACATGCGCGGCAGACATCGTTCGGCGGGCTCGCGACGCCTCAATCGCAGCTGTCGCCCACAAATTCAGCCTTTGGCGGCATGAACGACGCCTTCGGCAGCCTCTCCTTCAACGCCGCGCCCGCGCCCGCCCCCAAGCCCTCGCCCTTCTCCGGCCTGGACGCCTTCTCCAGCGCAAAGTCCCCCTCAGCGTCCTCCAACATGTTCGGCGGCGGCGGCAACTTCTTCGACTCGAAGCCCAAATCGCCGCCCGTCCAGAACCGCACCACCAGCCCCTCGGCCGGCTTCAGCAACTTCTCCTCCTTCAACACCCCCGCCGCCTCCAAGCCCGCCGCCCCGTCGTCCGGCATGGGCGGCATGGGCGACCTGCTCGACCTCTCCATGCCGTCTGCACCCGCCCAGCAATCCTTCTCCCAGCAATCCTTCTCCCAGCAATCCTTCTCCCCCGCGCCCCCCGCAGCCTCTGCCTTCAGCCTCGCCCCCGCCGCCCCGAAACCCAGCCAGTCCGTCAACTACGGCAACATGGATGCCTGGGGGAGCAACGACGCCTGGGGCAGCGCCCCGAGCCAGCCCGCCGCGCCCGCACAAGCGCCCGCACCGTCGGCCCCCGCGAAGAGCCCCGCGTGGGGCGGCGACGACGACTTCGGCGGCTGGAGCAGCGCGGCGCCCGCGGCGAGCAATGCGCCCGCGCCCGGTGCCGCGCCGGCGACCACGGGGAAGCAGGGCGGGTTCGGCGGCAACGACGACTTGTTCTCGAACGTGTGGGAGTGAGGGTGCTAGAGTTGGTCACGGCGGGGCGGGTGGGATGGCCGTGGCGCCGTATATAGCACGAGCAATCGAAAAGCAGGGTCCTGCTCGACACGCTGTTCGTGGTGCTGTTGTGAAGCTGAAGCTGAAGCTGAAGCTGAAGCTGAAGTAACCGTGCTGTGCTGTGCTGTGCTATCTCGCATACGGCAAATGCCAATCCCAGTGATGATACATGTGTGTACACCGCAGCCAAACCCACGCCGCCCAACGCCGTCCCAAACGCCGATAATGCACCCTTGAATCATTGCTTTACAGCCCTTGAATCCCCCCTCCACAGCCCTTGAATCCCCCCTCCCCATCCCTCCTCCACAGCCCTCCCTGATCTCTCTCCCCCAGCACCCCCTAAAAAGCAAGCCTCAGCAAAAACCACAGCACCAACCCCACGCCGCTCAGAATCCCCGCGAGCTTGAGCACCGCCACCCGGTTGCCCGACGCTGCCATGCGCGTCAGCCGGCCCGCGCTGGTGGTCAGCGAGGTGCTGAAGGTGGAGAAGGTTTCTGTCTGGGGGGTGTTAGTTAAGGATCACGTGGAGAGAGGGGGGGGGGGGTAGTGGCACTGGGAGAATCGGGGGAGGGACAGGGACGGGACAGGGAAACGACGAGTGCAGCGCAGGCCACAGCGCAGGCCACAGCACCCATCTCCCCTCCCTTGCCCACTTCCCGGCCCCCCAGCCCCCCATCCATCACGCCGTACTCAATGAGCCGTAGTAACGCACCGTCGAATCAATAACCCCCTGATCCCGCGCATTGTCATAGATATCAATCGTCACGCCCCGCAGCGCAGACACCTTGGCGCTCAGCTCGTCGAGCCGCGAGTTGTTCTGGCGCTCGCGCTCGTACGCGTCGGACATTGCGGTCGGTGCGGCAAGGGCTGGGGTTTGGGTGCGCGAGCAGCGAGCGTGCTGGGAAGCTGCCTCAGACACGAGTAGCGAGGCGCGTGGCGAGCGATGAGGCGGACTCGGCGAGCGAGAAGCGTGCGCAACGGGATCCCGGAGTATACGTTTATAGGCGCTGTTTCGTCCAGGTGCGTGCGTTGCGAGTTGCGATGTTGCGGCTCCGTGTGGGCTTGCGGGTGACGTTGTGGTGAGTGGACCCTGGGTTTTGGATTGGGCTAGGGGTGTGGGGGTGTGGGGATGTGTCTATCGTGCTGCACACCTGCGTGTTTAGATAGACTGCAGCTGTGAGGGATTCGGCTGTGGTGCAGACTATTGGGTATTTCGGGGGCTTTAGTCAGATCTGTTTTGTGCTGCAGTGTGTCTTGGTTCTTTTTGTAACTAACGCTGCTGAGGCTTCTTGGGTACGTGCATGGTCGACGAGACTTTCGTTGGAGTGGACTCACTCTGCTTGTTTGCAGACAACTGTGACTATCGTATATAAATAAGGCAGCGCGATGAGAGTATTTGCTACAAGATGCTTTCGTGCCTTCGGACTCAGGACTGCACCCATACAAACGACAGTAACCTCAAAGCAGAGCAGGCCATCACCCCAGAGATGTAGTGCTTAAGCATCACATCTACTCAGAATCGTCGAACCACCGCCGTCTATAAGATGTGCAGGGTTTATGTTCAGTTCCGGCGCCTGATCATTGTGGCTGGACAAGTAGTAGATGTCAGCACTCTGCGTAAGTTTTATGCGACCAAATTCAATAAGATCAACACACTAATGGCGCTGGGACACTCGTTGCATTGACTATGGAACTCCCGGTCATGTCAAGACAGTGCACTCTCCTTCGATCATAGACATTTGCCATACAGAAACGCAATTGTCCGGTCCATCACGCTCTGGGTCGGCCCTGGTGTGGAACCAAAAAGCCTGTTGATACGCAGCTGATGCATGATTGCTTTCTGCAGTCTGACTTGGGCCTGCTGCATCTGCTGCTCTGCCAGGGGTCTTCTCTTTATCGAAGAGTCGGCTGTGGGATTACCCATATACGTCAAGGACCCCGGTCGAGGGGTGGGCAGCTTGCATCGGACCGCGTTTCGCGGCGTGTACAGGGCCAGGTTCACGTGTATTTTCGACTAGGATACATGGTGGTGCGAGGCCGAATCGTTTGGCGTGAGGACGTCAATCGCAGAGTCTTGGGACGGGGAGGTATTGTCCTTCCTCTTGTCAACCACAGGCCCGTCTGTCTGTGCACAGGAGAGATCCAGCCCGTTTCCCGTAACGACCGACGTGTCTGTACCCTCATTCTCACATGTTGTCTTATTTCCGTTTCCAAGCGTGTCTACAGAACACGCAATTTCGGTCGTAGTAGCTTTGCCTTTGCCCTTGGTATCGTGAACTAGCCCAAAATTGAGGCCAGAAGTATTCAGACCGTGGCGTGAAGAGCTGACAAGCTTAACACTAGAGCCACTCATGGCTACAGCTTCATCCGTCCCATCTTGCATCGGCATATCGTCAACTGTAGACTCGTGGAGAGGGTTATTTCCGCCCATGCTGAAGTCGTCTGCAAGAGCACCTGCGCGCCTGCATTTGCCGAGGTCTGTGCACTGACTTGTAGCTTTGATCAGACCCTCGGGTTCTGGACCTGTCGAACGTACAAGAAACATGCCGGTCTTCAACAAGGAAGTCAGATTGGACGCAGAAGTGACGTCGTCCTTTGAAGGAGATTGAAGCGGGCTATCAAATACGGATTCACTTTCCAGTATGGGTTCTTTTTGGGATTGGAGGCCCACAGGCCTGCCAATCAATCCCGACTGTGACTGTGATGACCCTGAAGCGCTTTCGGCGGGCTCACATCCGACCTGTCTCTTGAACGCGCGTTGGTCGAGGTCAAGCTGCTCGCTTGTCTCCTCATGGATCGTGGACAGAGTCGGAGACGGAGCATCACGGGAAGCAAACGACTTCCGAACTGGAACGTTACGACGTTTTCTCGGAGAACGCTTTAGAGGCAAATTGGAGGCTGGAGGTTTTCGACTCTTTTTCTGTGGCGAAGTCTTGATGAAGGTGCTCACTATATCCTTGAACCAGACAAGCACACTTTTATGGTCATGTTCCAACTCGTTTTCTTCTTGCAGCGAGGGCCCACATTCTGTCTGGCATGACCCTGGAGGCGTACAATCATGTGTAAGTACACTCCCATTTCCATTCCATGTTGGCCCGACTTCAGTATGAGAATTATTCTCGGAATCATGCGATTTGCTGTTTAGAGCATCTTCTGACTCATGATGTGTCAACGAGGTGCCGAATAATGGCTCTGGCAGAGAGTCCGATATCGTCCAGGGCTACTGGAGCGCCCAGTCTGCCGGCATGATAAAGCCGCTTTCCTTGAAATCACGTTGAATGTAGTCGGTTAAGGCGTCGAGTCTCTTACGTTGTACGTGCAATACCCCGAGCTTGATATCTGACTCCCGCTGGCTCATTGTGCTGCGTATCGAGGGAGCCTTGAGCTTGCTAGTAGCGTTCTGTGCACTTCTCGATGCATTTGGTTGTGCTTCAGAACCTTCCAGTGCAGGGTATCGCAGATCGCCGTGGCCTTCGGCGGTTATCTTGAAACGCTGGGTTTTGTTCGGTGGCAGCTCGCCAACCAAGACAAAGAGTAGTTCTGGTTGTAGACATCGAACAAGAATATTGCTGTTCTCAGCTTCAATTGTTAGTGTCTCAAGCGCTGGCTTCAAACCGCTCTGGTGCGTGGCGTCGGCATCTTCTCGTGACGAGTCCCGTCTTGGATCCGGCGCCGACTGCGTTTGCCGGCTGACACTATGCTCTTTCCATGCCGCGGAGATCAGTGCTGCTTGATCGCGAAGTTCCTTGATGTTGACTGGCGTTGAGTAGGCTAGCAGATTGCCATTAGGTGACATCAAGCTGCGCATATTAGCTAGTTCCAGGTACCAAATTCAGGTGGACCTACAATAGCCGCGGATATAGCCTCTCATTGATATTTTTAGTGAGCCATTCGCTCACCTTGATGATGTCTATCATCGGGCCGAGCTGTGCTTGCATAGTCAGGAGCTGTAGATGCACGGACACGCGCGTTCCGGTTTATCGATGTGCAGAAATGATCAAGCGATTGCAGATGTGTTATGATGAGTGTAGTAATATGAACGCTCTGAAGATGTTGCGGCGACCGCGATGTGGTACCGACGACTGTCGTAGTGTAGCGAATGAGGTCACGTACCTGATTACGAAATCTACCCTCTGAGCTACAGAGATCGACACTCACGCGACAGGTGTCAAGCCCGAGTGGCAGTTTCTGCAATGTACGAGATCAAGCAAGTGGACAGCTGCATATGCGGTGAGAGAGGTGCATCAAGTAGAAGGCATGGTCGCGTTCAAGATACCGGCCCACAATCTTGGAAAGAGCTATGACCAAGCTGCTAATCTCCCGTGTCACGTGGCGTTTGCGGAACAGATGGTAGTCAATTCCACACCTTTCTCCCCCGGTTGTTGCAAGTTTCCTGTTGTCTATCAGCAACGTGATGCATGCGTGCAATATGTGGCCTTATTCGAGAGCGCTGCTTATGTCGCAATGACCCGTTCGGACTAGCGCACGATGCTGTCATAGCTGCTCGGTGGGGGCATTTATTTGTGTTCAGTGATTGGGTGACGACATCAACCTTTTCGGATATTTGGAGCTCTCAGTTCCCCTCCATTGCCGGCTTATTTGCGATTGATGCTGTTCTTACGACGAACGCTTTACAATTCACCTAGAGTATCTCTGCCTTTCGCAGCGCAACCTATTCGAGTTACCAGCAGACCGCATACGATTTTCCGAGCACTTGCAACGATGGCTACCGATCCAACTAGCTACAAGCTCAACCACTCGATGTGAGCACCTCTATGGCTGTCAATCTGCACATGCCATTGGATGTTGTGACACATACTAACCCACTTTACAGGCTTCGCATCAAGGACCCCAAGCGCAGCTTAGAGTTCTACGAGTTTCTAGGCATGAAGCTTATCAACAAGCTACCCAACCCAGACGCCAAGTTCGACCTCTACTTCCTCGCATACGACAGCCCCAAGGCCGTATCTCACGGCAACCACTGGTCTGATCGCGAGGGTATTGTCGAACTTACACACAACTACGGCACCGAAGACGACGCGAACTACAAGATCACCAATGGCAACACAGAGCCTTACAAGGGGTTTGGTCACCTCTGCATCTCAGTCGATAACCTTCAGGCTGCCTGCCAGCGTCTCGAAGATGCGGGGTACAAGTTTCAGAAGAAGCTCACTGATGGGCGAATGAGGCACATCGCGTTTGTGCTCGACCCTGACAACTACTGGGTGGAGGTCATTGGGCAGAAGCCCCTAGAGGAGACTGAGAACGTGAAGGAGACCGATACTGCTTCATACCGCATGGTATGTTCTGACGGGTTCTGCTAATATCGAATGCTGACGTTCTCAGAACCACACCATGATCCGTGTCAAGGACAAGGATGTCTCACTCAACTTCTACAAGGATATCATGGGTATGAAGCTCAAACGTACCTCTGAGAGTCCCAACGCTGGATTCAACCTCTATTTCCTTGGATACGGTGCAGACGCCCCAGAGCAGACAGCAAACGGGGTAAACCCGTTGGCAAGCAGTGAGGGTTTGCTGGAGCTTACGTGGAACTATGGCACGGAGAAAGACGCCAACTTCAAGTACCACAACGGCAATGACGAGCCTCAAGGCTTTGGTCACATCTGCATTACGGTCGATGATCTAGATGCTGCATGTGCTCGTTTCGAGGAAAAGGGCGTCAACTGGAAGAAGAAGCTCACCGACGGCAGGATGAAGAACATTGCCTTCGTGCTTGGTATGTACCGCTGGCTGCACCCGTGGACCCAGACTAATAGCGTTTGCAGATCCCGACAACTACTGGATTGAGGTTGTGCAGAACGAGAAGCTCAAGACACGAAGCAATTGGTAAGAAGCATTGTAAATTACCCGCATAGGCTGCACGAATCCCACTCAATAAGCGATCGGCTCCAATGGTGCAGGTCACGCTGTGTACAGCTTGGCGCATCGCACGAGATCTGCACATCAGTGTGATGATGAATTGGTGAATATGGCACGTTGAACCTTTCTTAAAATCATCCTCCGACACCAGAATTTGGTGTAGTGAGTTAGATGTCATCGGTTGCCCCTCGTCACTATCGTGGCCCAAGGGCGCCATACCTATTGTTGAACATGTGGGCGCGGCCATGCACCCCACGAATACGGGGGCGGGGTAGCTTCCTTCTAGACCGCATCAGGTTACCCTTCATCTTACAAGCCAACAGCTGAGACAGCGCACAATAAGGTCACCGCGGGCAGTGTCCGGTAGCGGTGCTTCAATCTTCCGTGTAGCTTGGGGCAGCTAAAAGGAGAGGTCTCCCTTGGTACCAGTCTTCAATGCAACTACCTTTCCCAAATCAACACTTCACGACAACTTCCCAGATTTCACTATGGCCATCCTGCCTGTCCTCACAAGACCTAAGATCCTCATACCAGAAAAGGTATCAGCTGACGGTCTAGCACTGTTGCAAGATCAATTCGAGGTACATGAGAAGAAAGGGCTGAGTGCTGATGAGTTACGCAATATCATTGGCGATTACGAGGCTCTCATTGTCCGTTCTGAGACTCAGGTGACAGCAGACCTACTCAATGCAGCAAAAAAGCTCAAAGTTGTTGCTCGTGCCGGTGTCGGTGTTGACAATGTCGATGTCCAAAGCGCAACTAGCCACGGCATCATTGTGGTGAACTCAGCTTCCGGCAATATCAATGCTGCCGCAGAACACACTATAGCTCGTGCGTGCCCAATGCAGCCAATATCTGACATGCACTGACCTCCATAGTTCTGATGGCTGTCGCTCGCAACATAGGCGATGCCTCACAGAGCATCAAAAATGGCAAATGGGAACGCAGTCGATTGACTGGTGTCGAAGCAAAAGGCAAGACACTCGCGATTGTTGGCTTGGGAAAAGGTGAGAAACACCCAACTCTCACTGGTCAAACGCTACTAAGAATGGACATAGTCGGTCTCACTGTAGCTAGAATCGCCAATGGCCTTGGCATGCGACTCATCGCATATGATCCGTATGCTAACCCTAATTTGGCGGCAGCGGCAACGGTCGCTCTACGCTCAAGCCTCGCAGAGCTATTGCAAGAGGCGGACTTCTTGACACTACACACGCCACTCATCGCGTCCACTAAAGGCATGATTGGCAAAGCCGAGCTGGCTACCATGAAGCCCACAGCTCGGATTCTCAACGTGGCTCGAGGTGGTATGATCGATGAGGACGCTCTTGTAGAAGCACTTGATGCAGGTATCATTGCAGGAGCAGGCATAGATGTCTTCACTTCGGAACCTCCCCAGCCTGACTCCTCCGCAAGCCGACTCATCTCTCACCCAAAGGTCGTAGCAACACCTCATCTGGGTGCATCGACCAAAGAAGCTCAGGAGAACGTCTCTATCGACGTTTGCGAGCAAGTTGTGCTCATTCTCTCCGGCGAACTTCCCCGTTCCGCTGTCAACGCACCTCTGATTCTACCAGACGAATATCGCACGCTCCAACCCTTCGTCAGCTTAGTCGAGAAGATGGGCTCTTTATATACCCAACACTACTCTTCCACTAACACGAAATCATTCCGTACGACTTTTGATCTAACCTACGAAGGCAAGCTGGCAAGTCTAAACACTACGAAGCCTCTCTTCGCCGCCCTCGTCAAAGGGCTCTTGACCCCGATCACAAGCAGCGATGGCTTAAACATCAACATCGTCAACGCCGAGCTGCTCGCTAAAGAGCGTGGTATCTTGATCAACGAGCAGCGATCCCGCGAGAATGTAGAAGACAAGCCATACTCCTCGTTCATCACCCTGCGCGCTCGCGCAAGCCGTTCGACGTCCGCTGCCCGCTCTGGCTCCCGCGCTACAAGTCCAGCTGCGAGCCGCAACTCAAATCTGTCGAGGGTAGATACGCACCAAGGCACGTCGCAACCTCCACCAGAACAAGACCAAGTGATTCAAGGTTTCGTGAGTGGGAACAAGCCTTTCATTTCAAGGCTTGATCGGTTCAAGGGCGAGTTCGTGCCTAAGGGTACGTTACTCATCTGCAGGAACTATGATTCGTGTGGAAAGATCGGGTTTGTGGGGAATCTGCTTGGGAAAGCAGGGGTCAACATCAACTTCATGAATGTTGCGCCGCTGGATGATGAGTTTGAGGAAGAGAGCAACTCTGAGGCTGGAATGAAGAAGAGTACCGAGGCACTCATGATCCTTGGTGTTGACAGGCCTGTAGGGGAAGATGTTGCGAAGGCTCTGATTGGTCCCGAGGGCGTGTTAGAAGCGTCGGTTGTTACGCTGTGAGCGGTTGCGGGGATATGGCATGACGTTTTGGTCGCTGGCGATGGTGAGACGACAGTGTGTCATGGATTGGGTTGTCATCAAGAATAGCGTAGTATCAAGATCATCGAGCGAGCAGATGCTTCAATGGATCTATGAACTCACACCACCCTCGAGGTTTATGAGACCATTTTCGTCTGTTAATAGCGATTCGCCATCCTCGTCCGACTTTTGATTGCTGCTTAACTCAAAGTACTCGCGTTCGCTTGTGGATTGGTCTGTATCTCCGTCTATTTCAGACTCATCGCTAGGTTTTGAGTAAGAGACAACATGTCCTTGCTCGCGGTATTCTTCTGTTGGGAAGGCGCCCGGAATCAGTCTCTGCTGCGTAGGTTGAGACACGATGAGAGATGAATCTAGCGGAATGACACTGTCCAGTAACTCCTGGAAGGCCTTTCGTTCATCTTCTATGGGTTCTCTGAAACCACAGAAGAGTGCGTCTCTTTTGTCGAATTTAGACCAATATGCTTTGATCACATGATCATCCATGTGGACGCCTTGTATGCGTGCATCCCGCAGTATTGCCATCGTGCGAATGTCGGCCCATATGGCTGCGTTAATTACGGTTTTGGTTCCGTTCCCAGTTGCAACAGTGTTCCATATAGCCCCGTGCTCGATATACAGCTCAAGGAGGCCGTGATTGTTGTTTTGAATCGCGATTACAACCGGACTCCAACCATAACAGGTTATTCGGTTTAGCACGGCGCCGCGTTCCAAGAGCGTGCGGCAACTCTCGACTATCCCATCACCTGGTGTGGAAGATACCATCTCTAATGCTGTCACATGGTAATCTGATATGTGGTGGATGTCGGTTCCCGCATCTAACAGAAGGGCTACAGTATCTGGTGTGGGCGTATGGCTTAACAACCACATAAGAGCATTGTAGCCTTGTAAATCAGTCATGTTGACATCCGCTCCTGCGCGGATTAGGATCTTCCAGATGCCAATTTCATGAAGTGTACAAACTGCCCACATCAACGGCGTTCGACCTCGTTTGCACACTGCATTTACATCAGCTCCCGCCTGAAGGAGAGCGTCAAGGCTTTCCATAGACCCGCGTGCTGCCGCCCAATGAAACAAGGTGAATCCATTGTCGTCTCGAAGCGTGATGGCCGCAGGAAAGTTTCTGAGATGAGTACCAACGTCCTCGAATCGATTCTCGACTACCAGACTGTGGCCTGGTGTTATGTTCAACGTATCGAAGGCTTCAACTAGTACTGTAGGGACTGAGATATCGCTAGATGCGTTGAAAGCGTGACACTTCTGCCAATAACAACCGGCCATCGATCTTCGTATGTTAGTAATGTAGAAGAAGGATTGGGAGACATGCACCTACACCCCACACGCGTCACGATACGAAACATCGACCCCGTTCTCGAGAAGCATGTTGCATATGTCAAAGCGCATGTTATTTACGGCCAGCTTAAAAACGTCAAAAAATGCTCAAGAAGAGGACAATCAACTTACAGCAAAGAGTGTCGAATTGATGCTAAGAGATGTGTCAAAGGCATCAAACGCCCTCATGCCGGACACCGACATCAACTTCTGAAAGTCCTCCACAGTACCACGAGTTGCCATCCAGAGGAATTTCGAGTAAAGGTTGTTAGTATTCATAAATCGTGGTATCCTGAGAGTCCAGGTGCCGCCGACTCCACCTAGCGTACGCCACGTAGCTGTAGTCTCAATGGCGTAGGGAAGTGCCCATGTGGGCATCACATACTGAAGACGTGCTGCTCCATTCGCCGCACCTTTGCCACTACAGCCTTTGAAATCGCAGACTCGTCGATTGATCAGGGGTACACCGGATAAGCTAAGGAAAACAGTGCCCATCAGACCCTGAAGCCAGCGGGGAGTGCTTCCTCGAAGCGCTATATGGCACTGGCAGGGACACTGCTGCCTACACTCTTGCGATGCTCGTTGCATCTTGAAGACAACGTAGTCCTCTTTCAGTGCTACAGCGCTTGGGCTGATTGGCTGTACGCTTGGACGTCCTGAAGCGATTGCGGTGCTAGTGCTAGACACCACCGCTTTCTCCAGGTGCGTTGCTGTCACTTCGTTATCTCCTGCTTTGACTATCGTGGTGATTCCTGCTTGCACGATAGATACACTTTGCAAGTGCAACGACCCTCCATGAGAGTGGAAGTGTAAAGCCTGGAGCACCAGTTGCATATTCTGTTTGATAGACACAAGCTGTTGATGAAAGTCAACGAACTCGGACTGCGCTTCGCCAAACACCTCTTTGACCTTCGCTCTTCGTCGCAATTTGAATGTACCGTCGCCATCAGGTGTGTCGTGAATCACCTTCAGCTTAAGGAAGTCGTCAAATTCCTGTAGCGCATTTATCGCTTGCTTGTGCAGTCTTGTAAGTTCTAACTTGACTTTATCCGACGGAGCAGTAGGCCTGCTGTTAAGGATGTCTTGAATCAGATCCAAAGCTGCCGTGAAACGCTCGATCTCGTTTTGCGCAGCCAGAATATAACGCGGCGGAGATGACTGTAACTTTCGTATGCGAGATATGGTGCGTCCTGTTTTTCCAGCGACTTCAATAAGTGTAGCAATACTAGCTATTAAGCCAACAACCTCAGCCATCGTGTTGTGGCGGGTCCAGAAGCTTCCTCAACGGCTGACTGGTCGATAAATGATGCCAGGAGAAATGAAAATGAAGACGCTGTCAAGATGTTGACGAAATGAAAAGGAAAGGTGGTCGAAGACTAACGTTGTTGAAATTGCGCAGGCGAGGCTGAGCATGGTTGTCAGCTGTGCATACACAGGTATGCCAGCGCTGCTAACCTATTTAAGCATGATGCCCAATGGCCATGCTTGAGGGTATGGTGGGCGCAGCTCAACTCGTGTGCACAGATCTGAGCGCACTGCCCCCGTTGCCTACATACTAGGTAATAGTACTGAAGGATCGTCGCATACGCTAAACTTATCTAAACAAGAGTGAGAGGTAGTACCAGTTCAGTGGCCAAACAAGAGTGAAGTTTGTCGAATTCACTCAGGCTCACACTTGGTTGATTTGGCAAGATTAAACTCAGTGTCTTCTATGTCGAATACAGAGGACGTTTCGAACACGACGGCGTTTCCTTTCGTGAAGTGCTGCAAGTAGGGGGAAGTGATTAGTCAGCAGCGTTGACGACTCGAATCCACGTGACATGTTTGTAGGCCGACCTGCTGGCACACTGTAGTCTGGTAGGAGAAGCGGAGTAATTCTTGAAGAGACTGTCGAAGACGTAAATTTCAGATGTGAAACGTTACAACTTTCCCACATCAGCCACACTATGTGCACGCCAACGCGAAACCATGACTTCATGAACTAAAAATATAGACATGTGAGTAGAAAATCGTGTACCTGACCTCTGGTCTCAATTCGTCCACTCAATACAACTGCTTTCGATATATGGTTGCAGGTGCTGGGTTTTTGCTGTCATCCTTCTCCAAAAGCGCAGGCCGGAAAAGCGCCTGGTACCTGTGGCATCTCAGTGACTTCTAACATTGCCTCGTCAGTATCCGTGTGCATAACACTGTCTAGTAGTGCTTTAAAAGCCACTCTTATCCCCTGAATATCTTGATCAACTCCACCTATGACCTTGGGGCGTGCATCAAACATCTCCCAGTACATCCGAGTCAGTCGTGGATGCGGAGAGATGTTACAATTGCAAATATGCTGCTGGAGTATTATCATGGTATACGTATCGCCCCAAGTTGCTGCTGCGCTGATAGTATAAGATAGATCTCTCAACTGCATACTGTCATCGATTGTCATGCGCTTCAAAAGCAGCTTCATTGTTTCGTGGTTTTGTGCCTCTATCGCCAAAACGAGAGGTGAACGGTATTTGGCCGATTTTGGATTTAAATCCGCCCCGTAGTCGAGGAGTAGAGTGCACAATTCAAGTGAGAGGTGGGGTATTGCAGCTGCCAACATGAGTGCAGTGAAACCGCGGGAGTATTGTCGTTCCACATCAGGTTTTGCTCCCAAGACCATTTCCATGAGTTCCTGCGAAGGTTCTCCTATCACGATCAACGACAAAACGTCGTTCCCGCGTTCATCGATGATGTTCACATCAGCTCCTGCATCCAGCAGAACCTGACATACAGGAATGCAGTCTTTTATAGCCGCAAGCATGAAAGGCGTCCGTCCATCCCTTCCTGTGGCATTGACGTCGGCACCAGCCGCCAGTATCAAGCGGACAGCTTTGACGTTGCAACAAAGAGCAGCCCAGCAAAGCAGTGATTGTCCGCATAGCTCCCGCTCTGTGATGGCTGTCGCATTACGACTCAAGTAGGACACAATCTCAGTGTCGCGCCCACGCGATATGTGGTAATACGCTATGGGTATGTCGAGGTTTCTTCCTGCAGCAATCATGACGGGATGGTTCATCAGACGGCTGAATCCATTCCTAGGAAGGTTTTCAATATATAGTTCTTGCGCAAAAGTGCTGGAAAGAATCAATACAGAGCCTATGTGGATGTGTGACGACGTACAGTTGTGGATCCCGAAAGTTGAAGTCTAATGTGGCTCCATTGTCCAGTAGCATCAAGCAGATATCAATTCTTCCGCAACTTAATGCAAGCTCATGAAATCAGTGTGAGCACATATTGAACACGGGTTGAAGACTCACCACGATCAGGGGCACTTCGAAGTCGTGAGAGAAAATATCGAAAGGACCTACACCAAATTCGACCAATGCACGGCAGAACTGGGTAGCCGAGCCACCTGTCGCGACTTTCACAAGAGTTCGATGCACAGAGTCATCATGGAAAACGCGGGGTATTCGTATCGACCAGGTTGCGTTTCTGCCACTGGTGGTGCACCAAGACCCGGTAAGCTGAATCACGTAAGGTAGTATCCACGTAGGAAAGCTATACTCCAGTCGAAGTGAGCCTTCTCGATTTGAACCTGCAAGACATCGTTCAGCGTCGCAAGATCGTCGACTCAGGAGGGGGGCCCCTGTAAATCGGTAGAAACCAGATCCAATCAGCCCCTGGAGCCAACGTGGAGATCCGCCTTGAGTCGGTACATGACATCGACAAGGGCAGGATGAATGGCAATCCGAGGGCCTCGCCTGCAATTCTAACCGGACATACTCGTCGTTCATTGCAAGGTGGTCATGAGTATCTAGCGCAGATGGTGAGCATTGTTGACTCACGAGGGCTGCGCCAGACGCGGCTGCTTGCTCTAGAATGGTGGTTGCACTATGTGGACCATCCACCTCTACCGATTGAGATGATTCATTCCGTATGATGGATATGCGTTGAATATCTAGTAACAGACGAGCACTTGTGCGGATCTGCACAGCGACGAGAGCCGTTGTGAGACCAAGTTTGATCGATGCCAGTTCTTGCTGCAAGACACCGAGTTCGGATTGCGCTTCTCCAAATATCTCTTTAAGTTTCGCTCGACGGCGCAACTTGATCTCGCTTGTATGAGTAGGTCCATCTCGAAGAACCTTCTCTTTCATGTACGTATTGAACGCTGTGAGTCGTTCGTCGGCACGAGCAATTAAACGTACGACCTCCGCATCGAAGGAGTCAGATGGAACTGCTTTGAGGCTGCTATGAGCATCGCGAACAAGCATTAGCGTTGCTTTGAAGTCGTTGATTTCATTCAAGGCTGCCTGAATATACAGAGGAAGTCCGCGGAGGCCCCACACTCGGATAACAGCTGATCCAGCAAGAGTTGTCGCGCTGATGAGAGTTATAATACTTGCGGTTAGACCAGCGACCTCCATGGTTAGACGCTGCTGGCGGCGATGAATACTGCGATGTGGGCGATGTATGTTACCTGAAGTTGATTGAGGGCCTTACAGCTCAGCAGCGAGGCTTAGCAGATGCAAGTAAGCTGCCTGCCATCCAGGATTTGACAGCCTGTCAGCAACAGATGAGGGACGTTTGCAGAAGCAGAATCTTGCGTAAGACTCTCATCATAAAAAATCTGCGAGTTACTTGTTTGCGCAACGCTTTGCAGCAGTGAGCCTTGATCCGAAAGTACAAGTGAAGCCACACGGTGCAATGATGTAGGAGCACATAGCGTGTAGGTGGTGTACGGGAGGCGTAGCATGTGTTGATATGGAGATGCACCGTTTCCTGCACATTTTATTTGAACAGGTATGTAGCAATGTTCAGAACTCTACAGTCTTTTGTCGACCGTACGGAAGGTTGGAGGCGTTTCCTGTTCTGGCGATGCATTGAGGACGCTTGCGAAGCTTATCAGATCTCCGAGGGATGTGCGTTCCCCGCAACCCCCGAGGAGGCGTGCGATGGCGTGCTAGACGCTAATATAATTTCTGGTCGCAACAACGCGACAGGCCGCGCTTGGAAAGGTCTATCGCCCGACCGACTGTGGCAGAGCCGCCAATCATGCTGCTAGAGATCAATTACGCATTCATAATCTGCTTCGGCTGGACATCTGCCGATGTCGCTGGAATTTGGCGCGTCTGAATATAGAGGGTGGGTTCGACACTCTTCCATCACCCACATTTCCCCACGGTGAAACGTCGAGGAGAGATTGCGCCAGCTTCTCTCATACCATTGGAAGGCGTCTCATAGGTCTTTTGACGGATCAATTCGCTGAGGCGTACACACAACCTCAAGATGCATTTCCAACAGACACAGTCCGCTGGTCCTGGGGCGGAGCAGAAAGAGTCGCCAAAGGTCTTCACCAAGCAGTCTTCAAGTCTGCCTTTTGGCGAGCAACTGCCTCTCGGCTCGATCAGTGGGCCTACCTACCTGACCGCGCAGACACTCGTCCAGCAGGTTGCATACGCCTTGTCTGACAAGATCTTTGCCTACTCCGCCGAGTCGTTCGACTTGGATGTGGCGATCAAGAGCTGGCAGCAGCAGGGCGAGAAGAATGCCTTTGGCTACCAGACTGGTGTCTCCTCGCTGGAGACAAGAACTGGTGCTGGCGCAATCGCGCTTGGGTACCTTTTCTCCAAGGACTTCGACCTCGCCAAGCGCCACATTCCTCAGTCGATCGTCGCCTCCTCCTCGACCTTGAACTACCTGCGCCCGGCGCTCGACCAGCTGTCGCTTCTCTACTCGGTCGCCAACCCAGTCACCGCGCACGTCGCCGCCGTCGACTACTCCGCGAACTCGAGTGCGGGCCTTGTCACCGACTATGTTTCGTCCCTCACCCTCGCTGAGGACCTCGGCCTCGGCCTCGTGTGCAGCCCGTCTGTTTTCGAGGCTCAGCACATGGCGCTCTTTGCCACCCTCCTCTCGAGCGTCATCCCTACAATCCACACATACGATGGCATCAGCGTTGGTCGCGAGACTGCCCGGCTGGTGGACACTCTGGACCAAAGCAGGCTGCACAACAGCTACCAAGCTGTCCTGAAGGCTGTTTCTGAGGTCGACAAGAAGCACTCCGACAATGCTGGCCGCCTAGTCCGCCTGCTCCAAGCCTTCAACGACGAGTTCGGTGAGGATTACAGGCTATTCGACTACTACGGTCATGAGGAGCCCGAGAGCGTCCTTGTTGTCTTCGGCACTGTCGAGGCATCCCTGACTGCTCAGGTTGCCAACGCTCTGTCCAAGGATGGTGACAAGGTTGGTGTCATCAACGTCCGTGTCTACAGACCCTTCGTTGAAGAGGCTTTCCTTGAGGTGCTTCCCAAGAGCGCTCAGCGCATTGCTGTTCTTGGCCAGGTCAAGGACGAGGCTGCTGTGCTTGACGCTGCAGAGTACTCTCGCCTGTACTCGGACGTTTTGGCCGCTACCCAGTTTGCCTTCGACCGAAACATTGAGGTCTCTGACATCAAGTACTCTCGCGAGCAGGTCTGGACTCCCAGCAACGTTCTCGATGTTTTCCGTCAGATCTACTCTGAGAAGAAGGCGGGCGAGGAGTCGCGCTCATACGTCAACATTCTCAACACTGCCGATGTCAAGCAGTACACCTTCTGGGACCTGGACGAGTCACCAGCTGCCACAGCCCCTGCAGTCGTCGGCAAGCTTCTGTCATCCGACTCGTCCAAGAACGTCTTCGTACGTGAGGGCCACGACAACCTTGTCTGTGGTGGTGTTACTCGCGTTGATATTCGCAATGCGGACTACACTATTGAGGCCCCGTACGCCATCGAGGAAGCCGATGTTGCAGCTGTTGGCGATATCTCGATCCTTAGCGCCTTTGACGTTATCAACAGCATCAAGGCTGATGGCTCCATCATTATTCAGCTTCCTGGTGTCAAGGACGAAGACCTTGAGAAGAAGCTGTCTCCCGCGTTCCGCAAGGCACTGTTCGAGAAGGACATTTCTTTGTTCATCATGGATCCCACTGAATCGGAGACCGTTGTCGAGGAGGCTACTCTTACGACCTGCCTTTGTCAGCTGGGTTTCTTGAAGGTTGCTCGCCCAGACCTGCTCAGCTCGCACATCTCCAAGTTGGCTGCTATCAACGGTACCGAGCAGGTCTGCGAGAAGATCGTCCAGCAGCTGGAGACCGCTCTCCGTGAGGTCGAGGTCCCCGCTGCTTGGGGCACTGTCGAGGAAGACGTGCAGCCCATTCGTCTGCCCGCAGACATCAACGTCAACAGCTTCGCTCCCTTTGACCGCACTGAGATTGAGCCACCAACACTGCTCAAGGACTGGAAGATCGCTGCCCAGGGCCTTGCGTTCAAGGAAGCCTTCGGCACTGAAACAGTGCTTCGTCCTGAGCTGGGTGTCAAGACTTCAGTGGTCACTGTCAAGGAGAAGCGCCGCCTCACTCCTGAGAACTACGATCGTAACATCTTCCACATTGAGTTCGATCTCGGCAACACAGGCGTCACCTATGCCATTGGTGAGGCTCTCGGTATCCACGCTGAGAACGACAAGGCCGAGGTTGAAGAGTTCATCAAGTGGTATGGTCTCAACCCCAACGAGATTGTTGAGGTACCTTCTCGCGAAGACCCCGACGTCTTGGTCAACCGCACTGTCTACCAGTCCCTGATTCAAAACATTGACATCTTCGGCCGCCCTGGCAAGAAGTTCTACGAGGATCTTGGCAACTTCGCCAGCGACGAGCAGGAGAAGCTGGCTCTCCAGACTCTCTGCACCGGTGACGGTGCTACAGAGTTCAAGCGTCGCGCTGAGGTCGACACAATCACCTACGCCGACCTTTTGCTCGAGTTCAAGTCTGCTCACCCGTCATTCCACGACATCGTTCGCATCGTCGCCCCCATGAAGCGTCGCGAGTACTCCATTGCCTCTTCGCAACACGTCACCCCCAACTCCGTCAGCCTGTGCATTGTCACCGTCAACTGGGTCGACCCCCAGGGTCGCGACCGCTTCGGCCAGGCCACCCGCTACCTCAATGGCCTCCGCGTCGGCAGCCCCGTCACCGTCTCCGTCAAGCCCTCCGTCATGAAGCTCCCCGCCAAGTCCACCGCGCCCATCATCATGGCAGGTCTCGGCACCGGTCTCGCGCCCTTCCGCGCCTTCGTCCAGGAGCGCGCGTACCAGAAGCAGCGCGGCGAGGAAATCGGCGAGGTCCTGCTGTACATGGGCTCCCGCCACCAGCGCGAAGAGTACCTGTACGGCGAGGAGTGGGAGGCGTACCAAGACGCCGGCATCATCACCCTGCTCGGCCGCGCCTTCTCGCGTGATCAGCCCCAGAAGATCTACATCCAGGACCGCATGAGGCAGACGCTGACTGATATCCGCCGCGCGTACCTCGAGAAGGAAGGTAGCTTCTACCTCTGTGGACCTACGTGGCCCGTGCCGGATGTTACGGAGGTGCTGCAGGAGGCTGTCGAGGTTGATCACAAGCTGAAGAACCCCGATGCGAAGAAGATCAACAGCAGGAGGGAGATCGAGACGCTCAAGGATGAGGGCCGTTACGTGCTTGAGGTTTACTAGATGTGCGTGTTGGGATAGTGTAGATCGTTTGCTTCGTAGCGGATATCAATACTTAGACTTTCGGACTTCTGAACGCTGTTCTTTACTGTACCGTGTGCTGATCATCGAGACAATGTTTCGGGATCCTCCTGCCCTAATTGACTGCCCGAAATGTTCCGAACCCAGTGTTGTCCACTGTCAAGCTCGACGGCTCCTGCACTCCATCACAGCGGGGCCCACCTCACACAAACGCAACGACAAGACCACACGGTGTTTATCCTCTCATTCAATACAAGAGATACGCATAACACGCCAAAGCCCCGCGCCCCAGACACCAGCCACTTCGAACGACCATATTCGCCCCCAACTCCACGCCCAACCCGCTAAGTCCAGCAGCACCAGATATAAACATCAAATAACCCTCATTCAAAACACCCTCCCCCAGTCCCAAACCCCCCCATTCCCAACGCCTCCACCCCCCGCACCCACCTACGTCGCCCGCGACGCCTCCCGCCTCGCCTGCAGCCGCGCAACCTTAAGCTCGAGCTCCGTCGCCCTGAGCTCGGCCTCCAGCGCCGCCGCACAACTGTCCTCGCCGACACCGTGCGCGGCGGCGTCGGCGTTGGGCGTCGGGGTGCGGGACGGTTCCTGTTTGACAGCGAATGAGGCGTCCTGGCCCTGGCAGTTCTGAAGAAGGGGTTGCGGGTAGCCTTGCGCGGGGTCCCGGGGCCACTGGGCGTGGGGCGGCGGGTAGTAGGTGTGGAAACCAGGGCGGGGGGTGTGCGGCGCGACGTCGTAGTCGTAGTCGGTGCGCGGGCGCTTGGTGTCGGCTGGGGGAAGCGTTGGGGAGCGCGGGTCGGTGTCGTAGGGGCTGCGCGGTGGGTTCGGGGCGTGGCTGCCGTGGCGGGGGTACCGGGGCATGCTGGGGTATCCGCCGGGCTGGGATGGTGGGCGGCTGTCGCTGGAGGGGGGTGGGCCGTGGGCGTAGCTGCCGTAGCTGCCGTACATGCCGTACCCCCCGTAGCCACCGTACGCTTCAGGACCGCCGTAGGGCATTGGGCGGCCCCAGGGATCCATTGGTGCGCCGTAGGGGTAGGGGTAGGGGTAGCTTGAGTGGTCGTCTCGTTTGCGGCGCGGTGGCTGGGGGCGTGACGGTGGTTCTGAATCGCGCTTGGAGCTGTTCTCGTCTTTGACTTTGTGCTTCTGTGGTGGCAGGCCAGGCAGACGGAATGGAGGGGGTGGACGGGGCGAGCTGGTATAGCCGCTCCTGTGGAAATACTGGCCCGTCAGGCCGCCGCGATCGGTCTCTGCGTCGCTGTCATCCGCATCTTCGTCTTTGATGAATTCATCCTGGTCGCGGGCGTTGTCGTCCTCAACATCATCACTTTCATCGCCGCTGACGGCTTCGTTGTCAGACCCCACGCCGAGGATGTGGTCAATGTCCTTGTCGGTCTCTTGCTGGCCCTGGCGATTAACAAGCAGATGCTTGTACCGGATGCTGAAGCTGTACGGCACATCCCAGTCCTTGATGAGCATGTCCTCCAGAACATCGAAGTCGGTCGTCACCAGCTGCGGCTTGCGATTGCCTACACCAGCATTAGCAAACCCTTCCATGCAGCGGCACGCAAAACGTACCCGTGTTCTTGATGCGGTAGCGAACCACATCGTTCATCGCCTTCTTCAGCCACTCCTTGCTCTGCGTCAGCTTCGCAATCGACAGAATCGACTTGAGCACCGACGGCAGCCACTTCTTCGGATCCGCCTCGTGGTCGCGGTACATGGTGCGCTTTCCGCCCTTGTCGCCGCGCTTCATGAGCGGGCGATGGCACTTGGGGACGTATGCGCGGATGAAGCCTTTGCCCCAGTACTGCTCGATCTCGCGGATGACTTCCTTCTTGGCCTCCATGTCGTTTTTCTTGATGGGCTTGCTGGCCCAGGGGCGCGGACCGGGCTTCTTGTGCGGCTTGCTGATTGCTGTCACGGGGGCTTTTGCCGGCTGGCGCAAGGTGGCTTGGTGCGCGGCGCGGCGCTGGGAGAGGGCTGATGTATCGCTGCTCTCGCGCGCGTGGCGTTGGAGGTGGCAGCGGCTGGAAGTGCTCTCGCGCTCATGTGTGGATGGGCGGACTGGGCGCTGTTGGCGGAGGGGGATGTCATCGCTGCTTGATTCGGGGTCGGGTTGCTGCTCTTGGGACTGAATCATGGATGGGGGCTCTTCTTCGTCGGCTTTAGAGACGCCATGTCTCTCGAGAGGAGACGAGGATCTCAGATTCATGTTTGTCTGTTGCAATCTGTGAGTGAGCGGCAGTGATTCGTGGCAGGAGAACGGACCTCTTGCAGATCGATCTGCTTAGTGGTGCACGAGCTGCGAGTGAAGGGTGGGTAGTTCTCAGTGCGAGTGCGTGACGCGGGTTGCTGTCCGCCTGGTGAAGGTCGGCTTCAGCCTGCTGATGAAGTACTGCTGCGCGCCAGGGGAGGATGTTCCTCGACTATATCGCGCCCGTACCAGCACCCAAAGGCGTCCGAAGGGTGCTGCTCAGCAAGATACAGCGACAGAAGATCTCGTGAGACCCCACAGCTCGCAGCTGCCAATGCGTACTATTGTAGTCTCGAGTCAGTATCAGAAAGCCTTACCCTATCCAAGGAGAGCGCTGGAATTGAGAAAGTAGCTGTTGTCAGTCAAGCAGCAGAGTAAGAGATACCCACCGGGATGTGGCGTTATATACACCCTAGGCCGACCGCTGCCCGTTGGTTGCCGCCTGGCTAGGCGAGGGTGCGGTGAGGTAAAGGTAGCCGATCGGCGCTTAGCGCCTGCAGAGAGCGATCTCGGGGCTGGCAGCCAGGTGGTGCTGGTCAGTGATGACCATAAAGCGGGATCTGCTTAAAAACAGAGAGCGGTGGCCCAGAGAGATGTTCTCAAGGTCTCTGCTCGATGTGTATGGAGTTTTGGAGCTGCAGACAGCACTGAGGGTAGGTAACGCGCTGGCAAGATGTAGGAATAGGGGATATCCTACACCTTTGTCGTTGAACTGGACCCGGCTGTGTTGCATTTGAGAAAAACGCCGTGAATCACACCATCCAAGTGTGGCTCATATAACCAACCCCTGTTACATGCGGCTCCGCCAGCACCCGCTGGAGTAGTAAATTCATTTGCAAGAAAGTCCGCGGGCCGCTACACAACCGCTCTAGAACGGCGGCTACGTACACGCGGCAAACAAGCGCATTCTATGTACATCACAATCTATACGCACCCCCCAATCAACACATCCAAAGAATGTGTCGTAGGGCTGAAATGGAAGATAGGGGATTCGCGCTTTTGGGAAGGGAGGGTAGTGTGTTTGCTGGGACCAGATGGCATGTCGAGAAGGGGCTAAACGGACGATTATGAGAGAGGACAGAAAAGGAGGTAGGAAGGATAGACGTCAAGACGTGTATCGAAAGACAGACAGGAAACGTTCTTGGAAGCAGAGTATTCGACAGACGCAAGAGGGAGGGTACATCGCACACAAGGAACAGGAGATACAAACACGTATGTTGCTAGATATAATCCCTAGTTTGTCAGCGCCTCGACCAGATTATCCCAGAACCCCAGATCATACACGTTCTCCACCGCGGCTAGACTCCACACGCGCTCAAATGAGTCGGGCTCAGCAACGCGCTGGACGCGAGCCGGCAGCGACTTGGGCGCCTGGCCGTCACGCGTGCGCACAAGGATATGTCTGCTCTCCAGCGGCCACGTGGTGAGCGGTTCTTCCAGCGCGACATCGACCTCATCTTCTCCGGGCGTCAGGATCGGCTCATCAGACGAACTGCCGCTGTGCGCACGACGGGGCGCCGCAGGCCGCACCGCGTTCTCCGCCATCGAGTCTGCCCTGCGCGTGCCCAGAAACACGACGCCCTCGGCCATGTCCTCGCGCCAGTCGGCCCACTTCGAGCTCTCGTTGGTCGTCATGCCCGCCCAGATCAGGTACACGTGGTACGCGAGCAGGCCCAGCGGCAGCGGCCAGGTGAGCAGGGCGAGGAGCCCGACGCCGGCGGCGCTGAGGCCGCCGACGTCCAGATACAAGCTCAGGTAGATTGCGAAGTAGTGGGCTTTTGCGCCGAACCAGTTCAGCCAGCTCGCTGCGTCGGATCCCCGTGCCGGCTTGTAGCGGTAGAAGGACTCGTAGCTTTTGTAGTGGGCGGCGACGGGCGGGGTCAGGGCGTAGTAGGCGAGGTAGGCGCCGTAGGCGATCAGGAGGCCAGTGGAGAGCAGCAGGAAGAGGAAGTACTTGTAGTTGCCGCGGCCAAGGCAGTTGTTCACCCAGATGCAGTGGTGGTCCATGCGGGAGACGCATGTCTTGCAGATGCTGCAGTGCTTGCTGCGTGCCGGCTTTAGCAAATGGCATGTCGAGCATGGGTTGCCGGGATGGTACAGGACGCGGTCGTACGGGTAGTGTCGCATCTGCGCGGCATGATTCTGGGGCGTGATGTAGGTGGTGCTGTTCGACTTGGCGCTGAGCCAGAGCCAGAAGTAAGGCTGAGGCAGGAGGACCAGAACGGTCAGCTTGTGGTGGAAGCGGAGCCCTTGCCATACGGCGGGCAGGATCAGTATGGCGCATGCAGTCACGAGGCCAAGGAAGAAGACGACGATTACGGGGTGCTTGTCGTGCATGAGATGACGGCCAAGCCGTGAACTGCCGGACGTGATGCGGCCCTTGGTGAGCTTGACATCGATACGGCGCAGAAATGACGGTATATGGTGCACAAAGAGCCGGTTGAGGAAGCCTATGGGAGTGTTTCTGGCTTGGTCAGGTTGGGCCGGGAGAGAAGTAGTGGGGGAAATACCTGAAGGCTGGCAGGCGGCCGAAGAAGGCCACGAATGTGAAGAATGAGACAGTCAGGGCTACAATTATAAGGGTGCGCGCGAGCGCCATTATATTTACTCTAACGCGTGCATGTTGCTGTGGAGGTGTTGTTGGTGAGCGCCGCGGCAATGCGACCCCACAACGGTCAACATGTGAGCACGCGTTTCCCCGACGCGTCGTCACACTAACTCCACACCACCATGGCCCCGGGCATCGTGTATGAAAACGTTGCCGAGGGCGCCGACCTCGAAACTGGCGCGCTGTTTGAGGGCAGGAAATTCTATGTAGTGCAGCGTGTGCCCAACCGCGCGGCGCTGCTAGACGCGATCAAAGCGAATGGCGGGTTCATTGTGCAGCTGGAGAAGCAGGCCGACTGGATGATCGCAGACCACTTCCGCAGAGACTGTCCGCCCGGGTCGATCAGCTATGACTTTGTCCAGAAATCCATCGCGAAGGGCGAGGTCCTCGACCCGGACAATTTTCCCGCAGGACCACAATTAGGCACAGCGCGCGACCCGGGCTCGTTGGTGAGGCCCGCGAAGAGCACCAGGGCGCATTTCACCGCGGATGAGGACCGCATACTGTACAAGTGGGCCAAGGATGCGCAGGTGTCCGGTGTCCGTGTCGGAGGGAACGAGATATACAAGCAGTTCGAGACGCAGGTACTTTGACGCGCGCGAGTTGCTATGCACCGCTGACTGTACATAGCATCCGCAACACCCATGGCAATCATGGCGCGACCGCTACCTCAAGAAACTCCAACATATGCCTGCCTCCGCATTCACGACCCCGGAGAATGCGCCGCCATCTCCGCCTGCAGACCACTCTCGAGTCGTGGAGCCGCCTGTAGGGAGGGGGGCAGGTCTTGTGAAGAACAAAGACAAAGCCAGAGCAGCCGCGAGTGAAAAACAGACAGCCAGCGTGGGTGCGTCCACCAGCAAGCGTCCGACCACCAAGGTTGAGAAGATTGCCGGCAGGGAACAATTCACAGTCGACCAGCTAAAGGCAACATTCACAAAAGAGGATTGGGAAGATCTGTATGCCTTTGTTGAAGACATCGACAGCCACTCAAAGGAGGATGAATCCTATGACGCAGCATGGGCAGACTTTGCCGCGAGCAAGGACAACCAGACACCAGAGCAGTGGCGCCAATACTATGAGAAAGTGGTCCGGCCACAGTGGCTGTCGGATCCGGTATCTAAGAGGCAGCAAATCAGAGAAAAGGTCGAGGCGAGACATCAAGACACTAGCTCCAGTCCTGTCAAAAGTCAGAGCTGGAGCCAGGTGCAGGACGACGATGTCAAGTCTCAGACAATAGCGTCACCGGCGCCATCACCTAAGCGCACAGTATCAAATATATTACCATCAGATTCAAGACTGGCATCCGAGTCGACAGCGCAACAGGAGACGCCGAAGTACATTCGAGATGGGTACGAGAGGGCGCTGAAGCGGATCAGGGGCGAGGCAGATAACGTCCCAGAAGCCGACGTGTCGTCGCGACCGGTCAAGACTCGCAGGAAGATGAGTTTCTCGCCGACTCTCATTGATCCCGAAGAGCCAATGGGTCTCGTTGGCACTCACGAGCAGCCGTTGGAGGTCTCCTCTGTGGGCTCTCAATCGGAATTCTCGGAGCAAGACGAGTCAGATGAGCAGTCGCAGTCACAGAGCCGGGCACAGGCTGACGGGGAAGAGACAGAGGACGAGGAAGAGGAAGAAGTCGCAAGTGACACATCCTATGACGACTACGTCAAGTCGATTGGCCCGCTTCCTCCGCCTGCCTACGCCACCGACGACGACAACGACGACGACGATGAAAGTACAACCTCATCCACCGACTTTGTCCGCATCGCGCCCATTCCACGACCACCCCGAATCCCTGAAGACGATGACGATGAAGAAGACAACGACAACGAAGAAGACGAAGACGAATCCCTCCCCTCCAACGACCCCACCCCCCGCGCCCCCAGACACACCGCCTTCGACACCCAAGCCATCCTAACCACCTCCTCGCACCACCTGACCGCCCTCCCTCTCCCCCCCACCTCCTCCTCGCCCCCGCACCACCCCGACTCCGACGTCTCCACCACCCAGTCCCTGCAAGAATTCAGCAGCTACCTGCGCGCCGCCGACGACCTGTCCACGCCCCTCCACCCCCGGCCCTCCTCCCCAACACCCTCCACAGCCTCCCACTCCTCGTCCTCAACAGCGGCGTCCACGCCCTCCAACGCGCCCGACCCCGATCCCCCGCTCACCGCCCGCGCACTGGATGCCTTCTACTCGACGCAGTCACGCGCAGGGTTCACCCCGGCGTTCACGACCGCCGCGCTGAAGCGCACGCGCTGCCGTCCGCGCCTCGCGCAGGCTGTGCTGGCGGCGTGGCGCGAGGGCGCGGCGCTGCCTGTTCGGAGGGGCGTGTGGAGTGCCGAGGAGGACGAGGTGGTGGTCAGGGGCGATGGGGCGGCGCTGGTGGCGCTGCGGGAGAGGCATACGATGGATGGGTGGGGGGGGATTACGGAGCGGGTGAGGTTTCTGGAGGCGTGGGGTGGGCAGTGAGTAGTGAGAGAGAGGGGGGGGGGGGAGAGAGATGGGCGGCGATGAAGTTATTGGGCTGTCCGCGGCGGGGAAGCGCGTAACACCCAGCCCTGCGAGACGGCTTAAGACCGCGCTCGCGCGTCTCGAGACCCGGTACGATAGTGTACGCCTATGGCATACACATGCGTCACGTGCCTGCACTTCTCCCTCGCCTCGTCCCCACACAAACGGTGTCCTGCTCATCCACTCCACTAGCCACAACACACACCGTGTAGCTAGTCACAAACCCACTTCCCCCCTTCTCTCCGGCGTCCACCCCGAGCGGGTATAATACACACCGTCGTACCCTAGGAAGTATTGCAACCACACCTAACTCCAATCTTACATCATCGCCTGCCTTCTGTGTACAACAGTATTGTATATATGGGTACTCGCGCATCTTCCGCGCTGGCCCCTCTCCCCCTCTCCACACCGATCCATATCCCTATCTCCCGCTATCCCTATCCACCGAGCCCATATTGTATCCACCGCTCCCATGCACACCGCTCCCCCGCTCTCACACCCCATCCCGATCTGCACCCCCGCCGCGACATTCCATTCTGCATCGCAACCCTCCGACTCCCCGACGTTCCTTCCGTATTGTATTGTCCAAGACTCTCGGCTCCCGGAACGGAGCTAGTCCGGCGCTGCTCGCTTCCGGGCGCGTCCGGACAGGGGGCGTGTGGGTGGGTGCGTGCGTGCTGCGGGAGGAAGGGAGGGACGGGATCGGGGACGGGAGGGGCGTTTGGGGTATGATTTGGGGAATGGGTTGGGGCGTTCAGAGCGTTTTGTGGATGGGGGCTGTGGGAGGGTTTTGGTACGGGGTTGGGATTGTTGGGGTGGGAGGGGGAGGGTGTGGAGCTTGTGGAAGGGCGCGGGTGTGGAGTTTGTGATGTGGGTGGTGTGGACGTGCTGTGATGAGATGTGGATGTAATGTGATATAGGTGAGGTGTGGTGTGGATGTACCTAGCGTGACACGGAGGTGATGCAAAGTGTGTGTAGACGAGCCTGAACACGCTGACATGGTGCGATGTTGGTTTGTGAGATTCATCCGTCTATACGCCTCTCCCGCAACGCCCACAAGCCGTGCGGGGCCGGCGCCTGTACTGCGTGCTACGTGTCTTCCCCTCGCGCCGCCGGTATCTAGATCTACGCTCCTCGCTTCTCCTCAGTGAACGCCGAGCGCCGCGTCAGGGCTGTGTGCTTCTCCGCTTCCGGTCCCCGTCTACTGCTGCTCGCTCTGCGCCTGCAGGTACTTGTACGCGCCGAAGGCGAGCGCGCCGCCGATCAGGATGATGGCGTACAGCCCGACGCCGGTGGAGGCGCCGTCGGCGGCGGCGGTGGTGGCGCTGCTGTGTGCGTAGCTCTTGGGCTTGGGGTCGCCTTCCTGCGGGGGGGTCAGCTTATGTGGGGTGGGTGGGCGGTGTGACGGTCAGATGGTCGGGATATTCGGAGGCCGGTGGATTTTGGAATATCGGAATATAGGAATGTAAGAATATAGGATCGGGGAGGGGAAATCGAAGGGAGAGATGCGGAGGCGTACCTGGCGCTTCAGCGAGCCGACGAGCAGGCCGTCGAGGATCTCGCGCGCTTCGTCCGAGTGGCCGACATCCTCGAATGCCTCGGTCGAGTCCTGGCCGCCGACGTCGAGCAGGACTTCTTCGCCGCCGCTGTGCAGGGTTAGCATTGCGTCTGGCGGGCGTGTTGCGATCCCCAATTCAAACACGGCTGCACGCGGCGTCCGGGACAACGTACGGGTGCTCGTCAACAAAGCTTGTGCAGTCGTAGACCTTGTCGTGGACGACAATGTACAGGTCCTTCTTGGAGGCGTGCTCGGAGACGTCCGAGTAGGTGAATTCCTTGGTTTCAGACATTGTGGGGTGTGGAATGTTCGTGCGTGGTTCGAAGGCGTCTTTAAGGGGCGGGCAGCGACTGACGACGGTGTTGAGAGGGCGGATGCGGGGAGCTAACGATCCGGGTTGCGTGGAGGAAACTCGGTGTAGCCCATCGAAGATTATCTGGAGTCAAGCCGCTCCGAGCGGTTTATGGAGTCAGACCAATCAAATTGCAGCCATGCCATTGGCTGCGCGTTGTCGCTCTTCTCAGGCAAGAGTTCCGGTCGGCATTTTGCGGTCAAGATTTCCGTTCTGTCCACGTCGCGCACCACCGCATTCATAACGTTGTCTATCAGGTGATACAGTCTGAGCCATCCAAGACTCCAAGATACCTCACTTATGTGAATTTCGCTCTTGTCGCTTCTCGCCGGCCCGAAAAGGTTAGGCCCGATCATGCTGTACTTATACACCTCACTGCCGTGATTGACTGCCAGATTGGTCAGCGCCGAACCTGCTCCGAGACCCTGTCTATGCAATGCTCGATTGAACGCCTACGCTATGCTATGCTAATCCCAATACCAATACCAATACCCAAACCATGTCAGCCCTGCACGCTTTTAGGAACCTAGAGTCTTGACCCTCATCCACTCGCTGGTCCCGACACCAAGATTCAGCCCGTTCTCGGCCCACCACCTGCGGACGCTCTCGCCAGCGTCTCCCTCAACGCCGTCTTCCAGCGCTTCTTCAATGTCACAAGTCTTGTACTCGACCTTCAGTCCGCTCTTCTTCCACCACTCAAGCACGTGCGCCTTGCCCATCTTTGTCGGGCCAACCAGCACCTGATTGTCGAAGAGCATCTTCTCGCCGCGCATCGATCGCCAGTAGTCTAGAATCTTGGTGTGGCCGTGTGTCGAGGCTATCTTGGTGACGGTGTCTTCGTGCGAGAAGGGCACGCCACTGGCGACCCACCACTTGATCGCGTCCAGCTTGTTCGATTGTGTGGCATATGTTATCGACTTTCCGACTTTCAGCTTGAGCGGATCACGGAGCTTAGCAGGCGGTGCCTCTTCGCCAGGGGTTGGCGGTGTGCGGTGCCGCGAGTGCTCCTTCCACCACTGCAAGACGGGTATGTGGCACTGTGACGAAGCCTGTTCAAGCGCCGCTTCGGTGTATTTCAGAGGTAGGCCAGAGTTGTACCACCAATCGAGGGCGTTGGTCGAGTTGTTGCGAGACGCGGCGTCCATGGCTTCGGACGAGTACTCTTTTGTCAGGAAGGTCGGAGAAGTGCGCCAGTAATCGAGAATTTCCGTCTTGCTGAACAGTGACGCCTTGTGGGGCAGGAAGGTGTGCCCAAAGTGCTGCCAGAAGAGATCTTTGTGATAGTACTCGAGGTGCTTAAGAACGGGGACCATTGCAAATCGCATGATCAGATCCAGACATGGCCGGGTGATACGAGTCGGTCTCTCTGTGTCGAAGGTCTTTGCGATGTCAGTGTAGCTGCATGTGAGCAGCGTCCAGCCCAGCTTTTGCATCTGTGTCTTTGGCCCGGCCTCGCTAGCAGCCTGCTGCCAGTCGCGAGGCACCGGGAGATTCGTGTGCACGTTGAGCGTGGTGGCCAGCTCCCAGTCCTCGGTAAACTCCAATATGATAGACCAGAGCTCGGGCGGAAGCCGGGGCCCTTTGTTCTTTAGCAGCTTCAGGGCCGGTAGATGGGCGATTGATAGCGCGACACTCCGTTCCCCGACTGCCATCAGGTCGATCTGCGTTTGCACAGACTCGCTGAGCTCCTTGTATCCTCCCCATGGCACAACCTTCCTTCCAGCCTGATCGAAGTTCCACAGCAGCGGGGGCAAGACACGGATCCAGTTCATCTTTTTCTTAATTTTGCTCATCTGCTTCTTCGACATGGGATGCTCCCACTGCAGCGTTGACATGCCGGGTATCAGGAAGATCTTCTTCAAGACATCCCAGCTACGCAGGATTTTCAGATGGAGGTTGTTTGTATGGCCATGCAGCATTTGCGCTATGTCTTCAGCGTCGAGCGGCGCGAGAACAAGCAGGTCTGCCCACACGCAGAATTCAGCCACCTGCGTTTCGACAAAGTCATGGTGCTGCCACCCGGGGGGCTGCTTGTCGGCATTGTACGTGTGCCAGACAGGCTCGAGGGCGGGCGACACGGCGGCGAAGGGCGAGGTGGGAAACGGCGTGCGTGCTACAATGCGCAGGGAGACATTTTCGAGTCGCTGCAGACGCGCAAGGACGGTGAGGCCGAATTTCGAGGCGACGGGATCGGTCAGTGCGACAAGGACCTTGAGTGGACGTGCAGCGGGTGACGAGGTCATGAAGTCGGGGTGGCGTATTGTGCAGTGTGGTGGGAGTGGGCGAGCGGTCTGAAGCATGGGAGGGTGGTGCGCGGTTAGACCGCCATTGGCCGCCGCCCCACAATCCTCCGCTGGGACCCTGATCTATTGACGGTGCTGGCGTCGACAGGCGAGCATGGTGGCATGGTGACATGACATGGCAAGCCGCAAACGCGACTCCCTCAGCCTCGACAAACTCGGTTCGCCTGGGTGGGGGCCTGCGTATGTGGGTTATCTGACCACATAGCTACAGCTGCCACAGACAGGGCTGGGCGCCTCTCCGATCCATGAACGATCGCCTAAGAACAGCCCGGAAGCGTCTGCGCTCCGCGGGCCCTGGCGCCACTGGTGGGGCTGACATTTCTGAGCCAGCACGAGCACGTGACATGGTGGACGCAGGGCTTGCGTGCCTAGATGTGCATCTGTGATTGACGATAAGAGATCTGCGATTCCACCGCTACGTAGGCGGCACTTCTGGCGAGTACGAGACGCCGCAAGTCTGAAACAGTGAGGCAGATGATGGGGTAGGCCCGGTAGGGCAGCGCACCGTTTCATGCTATGATCTTCGCCCGAATGGATGGCCAGATGGCAGCTCCACCGCCAGGAGCGCCAATGGAGATCAGACTTTTCGTCCCCGACCGCAGCCCTGAATCGCTGTGATGCTGCCACACGAACTGCTGCCGTGTCCCGGTGCATGGGCTCTCAGGGAACCGGCTCCCTCACCTGCGTGGCGAATGAGTGAGTCGGAGTCGGCAGGCGTTTCGCCGCTTTCACGAGACGACTCAGGTGCGTTGGGTGTGTGCAGGAGCCCTCTTGGCTGCACATCGCCCTACCCTTGGCCCATGACGTACTCGAGCAGCCCCTGGAGGCCCACGATGTCAGCAGGCACAATTGCATCTTAGTCCAACTTTCCCATCTTCCCTGTCGCCAGCGACCGTGGCCAACCCTGTTCCGCACGGCCAATCTTGCTCGGCCAGACCTGCCTAACTGCTAGCGGTCAAGCTGGCCGCCGATCTCTGGAGTCTTGCTTCTTGAGATCGACATCTCTGAGCCCATCAAGCGGAGCAAGCCACACGACGCAAACAAGCGCGCCCGTACCTTTAGGCTTTTCCCTTCGCAGGTGGTCGTCCACGCCAACATCAGCGGCTCGTGGTCGTGCCTTCCTGCTGGCTACCTCTGTTGTTCCCAAGATGCGTGCTGGCTGTTCCTGATCCTGTTCCTGACGCACGTACAACTTCCTCACGTCCACGGCGCAACTGCCTCTTGCATGCCGGTCCCGCCCACCACGACGTCGATGCCCCCAGGACGCTTTTAGGCTCCGCTTCCGCCACCACGCCCGCCAACCCACCCAGTATTCTCCGTGCCCTGCATACCGCCAAGCCAGAGGGCATTGCATCAAAACCTGCGTGCCCGGCCAGCATATGCGCCTCCTGCCGCACTCGTAGCGCACCGTCGTCCATGGACGCCTGAGCAGAGTGCGCAGTGTCCTTGTGTGCGCGCCTCCACCCCCTCGTCTACCCAGACTCCCTGCGCAGCTCGCCACGGAGTCGCGCCCCCATGTCTCAACCACCACACCCGCCCCAGGACGCCGAACACTCTGCTCCCCCCGGCGATGCGGACCAGGCGCCCCCCGCTGCCCCCGTCTCCGACCACACCCCTTTGCCGCTCGCCGAGGCACATACCCAGACAACCGATTTTGCCGTCGACGGCTCCAAGTCTGACCGCGTCCCACAGCATGGCACTCGTGCGAGCGCCATCGGCCCATGCTCGCCCTCGGCTGCGGGGCTGAGCCCGGCCGCCCATGATCGTGTATTCCCCATACGGAGCGTTGTGTCCATGGATCCTACTTCTGCAACCACGCCGAAGCCGACGGGGCAGTACAGCGGCGACTACTTCTCCCAGTTCTCCCGATCGGCAGACTCACGTAGAGCCTCAAGCTCCACGGCCTCGAATGCGTCCCACGCCTCTCAGCGAGCCTATGGCCAAGCTTCACGGCAGCCGCCGCCATCTACAATCACCCCGCGAGCAGAAGCAGCGCCGCAGGCACAGCAGCAATCAAAATCAAAACTTCAGTTACCTGCGTCCTTATTCAACGACATTTCATCTGCTAGTCCCGGAAACAGTGTAGAAGGAGGGAACAGCCCATCATCACTCAAGGCCGACGATCGACCGCCATCCCCGGGGGCTACGTCGGTACGCAGTACACTGAGTAGTGTAGGCGACGTCGGTACTTTGATAACACCTCGATTTAAGCACGTCGCCGCCGAAGGAGGACATATGGTCATAACGGGCCGAGACGGCGAGACATTACAGCGCTGCGAGGACGAGCCGATTCACATTCCGGGCGCCGTGCAAGGATTCGGTCTCTTGGTCGTACTTCAAGACGAAGTGGATGGCAACGGAGGCCTCCTTGTCCGCGTTGTTTCCGAAAATTCAAAGAGATTTCTGGGCCGTACACCTAAGGAGCTGTTCGCTCTGGAGAGCTTCACAGACATCCTATCCGAAGAACAGGCTGACAATCTCCTCGACCATATTGACTTCATCAAGGACGAGGATTCGGATGTTTTGACAAACGGGCCCGAGGTTTTCACAATATCAATCAAGGTACCTGGGGTATCGAGAACTCGCAAACTTTGGTGCGCCATCCACATTAACGACGCCAATCCTGGGGTTGTTGTCTGCGAATTTGAACTCGAAGACGATCCTGATTTCCCTCTGGTACCGCCGAACGAAATCACACCCGAGCCGCCGGAAGATACCCTATCTAGCAACCCTACAGAGGCGGAGCTTTTGGAGAGCACCGAGATTAAGAGTCGGCCTCTCAGGGTACTGCGGAGCGCAAGAAAGAGGAAGGGTGAAGCTGCTGCAATGGAGGTTTTCAACATCATGTCACAAGTGCAAGAGCAACTTGCTGCGGCACCGAACCTCGACAAATTCCTCAAGGTCTTGGTTGGCGTTGTCAAAGAGCTGACCGGATTCCACCGCGTCATGATTTACCAATTCGACCAAGCGTTCAACGGACGAGTCGTTACCGAGCTTGTCGACCCTCGAGCCACGAAGGATCTTTACAAAGGATTGAATTTCCCTGCCTCAGATATTCCTAAGCAGGCCAGAGAGTTGTACAAGCTCAACAAAGTCCGCATGTTGTACGACCGCGACCAGGAAACAGCCCGTCTCGTCTGCCGTACCATCGAAGACCTCGAGAAACCTCTCGACCTCACACACTCCTACCTTCGCGCCATGTCACCAATCCATCTGAAGTACTTGGCTAACATGGCGGTTCGTTCTTCCATGTCAATATCCATCAACGCTTTCAGTGAGCTATGGGGCCTCATCGCTTGTCATACATACGGCGCTCGGGGCATGCGAGTCTCTTTCCCCATTAGAAAAATGTGTCGCATGGTCGGCGATTCCGCGTCAAGAAATATTGAGCGACTTTCATATGCCTCGCGCTTGCAAGCCAGAAAGCTCATCAACACCGTACCATCGCAACACAATCCATCTGGCTACATCATTGCTTCTTCGGACGATCTGTTAAAACTGTTCGACGCGGATTTTGGATTATTGTCGATCAGAGATGAGACAAAGATACTGGGCGCCATGGAAAACTCGCAGGAAGCACTGGCCATGTTGGAATACTTGAGGATGCGCAAGATTCAGTCTGTGATGACGTCGACTGATATCACGGAAGATTTCCCAGACCTTCGGTATCAGCCTGGATTCCATACCGTCGCCGGAATGTTGGTCGTTCCTTTGACGGTTGGTGGCCATGACTTCATCGTCTTTTTCAGGAAAGGCCAGCTGCGTGAAGTCAAGTGGGCAGGTAATCCTTATGAAAAGTTCGTTAAGGAGGGCACTGAAGGTTATCTCGAGCCTCGAAAGAGTTTCAAGACATGGTCAGAGACGGTAGTCGGCAAATGTCGAGAATGGACAGAAGAAGAGATAGAGACCGCTTCGGTGCTTTGCCTAGTCTATGGCAAGTTCATTGAGGTCTGGCGACAGAAAGAGGCAGCCCTGCAAAATAGTCAGTTGACTCGGTTGTTGCTTGCAAATTCCGCCCATGAAGTCAGGACGCCGCTGAATGCCATCATCAACTATCTCGAGATAGCTTTGGAAGGATCTCTGGATTCAGAGACTCGCGAGAACCTTTCACGATCGCATTCGGCCTCCAAATCGCTCATCTACGTCATCAACGACTTGCTGGACTTGACGAAGACAGAGGAAGGTGGACCGCTAGTCAAAGGAGAGTCGTTCGATCTAAGCGGAACTATTAAAGAGGCGACAGACATGTTCCGGGGAGACGCCAGGCGAAAGAATATCGAATATGAAGTAGTCGAGCATGACGGCTTGCCAAAGATGTGCATTGGCGACCAGCGTCGCGTCAGGCAAGCCATCTCGAATATTGCGGCAAACGCTATTCAACACACTAGTCAGGGAGGTGTCAAGATCGAGGCGTACGTTGCGTCAAGGCCCAGGAAAGATCATGCCGAGGTCGAGGTCGCAGTTACAGATACTGGTGCCGGCATAAACCCGAAAAGGCTGGACCAGCTGTTCTATGACCTTGAACAAGTTCAGTCTGAACCAAGTAGTGGTTTGGAGGAGGCAATCGCGCCGGATCCCAAGCAAATCAAGCAGCGCGATGATAAGACTGCACTTGGTCTCGGGCTTGCTCTCGTCGCGCGGATCATCAGGAACATGAACGGACAACTCAGGATCAGATCGGAAGAAGGCAAAGGCACTAGATTTGTTATCCAATTTCCCTTCGATCTTCCAGATAACGATGAGTCAGCAAACTCGTCTATGTCGGATCCTTCGCAGTCTGGAACCGTTACACCGCACCCTGAGCGACCAAAATCGCTTACCAGCTCGATTGAAGCTGGGGGCGAACGCATGTTGGTATCACCATCCTTGTCACGGCACGAGTCGACTGATACTACTGTGAACGGCACCATAATCAATCACCCGATAGCAAGCCGAAGACAGAGCGCAGACAGTTTGAAGAGCAAGGCCAGCTTACGGAGCTATAGGAGCTCTTCGACACAAGAAAGTGCGAGGAGTGACGTGGATAGGCTTATCGACGATTTGTCCGCACCACATCTAGTTGAGAGACGACGAGGCGGGGAAGGCGCTCAAAGTCCCGGCGTGCGATCAATGAGGCCCAATCTTACCAAACGCAGTAGCATGGATGCATCACCTCCACGCACGCGATCTAAGAGTCTAGAGGCCACAGATGGGAGAATAGTGGTGCCGCCCCACCAAAGAAGTCTGAATACCAGGATACCTGGCGAGGAGTCTGTCAGATTCTCTTCGCAGCCTCTCAAAGCTGTGCGCGTGCCAGACGAGGCTTCGTCGCCCGAACCGCGAACTCATGGCTCCATATTGGGAGAAATCTCCAATGAACCTCTGCAACAATCACCTGCGCAGACGCCCATGCCTGAGAAGCTGACCTCAGATCGTATGCGTGTTCTTGTAGCAGAAGATGACCCTGTCAACAGCCGAATTGTAAAGAAACGACTGGAAAAGATGCAACACGTTGTTCATCTAACCGTCAACGGCGAAGAATGCGCATCTGCATTTGGCGAGTCTCCAAAGGACTTTGATGTTGTCCTGATGGATATGCAGGCAAGCAACCCAATCTTTGTGAACAAACAACTTACGTGTTACTAACGTGGATCCAGATGCCAATTGTCGACGGCCTGACTTCCACGAAAATGATACGTTCGTACGAGAAGACGCACACCAACATTTATTCGCCTCGCGCGGCTCTCTGTGGCCGCATCCCCATCGTCGCCGTCTCTGCCTCGCTTCTTGAGAGAGACCGCCAGCAGTACATCGACGCCGGCTTCGATGCCTGGATTCTGAAGCCCATTTCGTTCGACCGCCTGAATAAGCTACTGGCTGCGATCGTTGACAAAGACATTCGTAGACAGTGCCTGTACGAGCCAGGCGAGTGGGAAAAGGGTGGTTGGCTCCACGAAGGCAAAGCAAGTGTCGAGGAGGTCGACACGAAACCTAGCAGTGCCCCGCCGATCAGCAACCCAAGCGACGTGATGAAGGAGGCAGCCCAGGACGCCGAGAACCCCATGGCAGGTGAAGGCAACGAGGATGGCAAACAGCCCGAGGAACAGGAGCGACTGCTGAAGAAGCAGGAAGAAGAACGGACTGAAGAGGACGATAAGCACAACGAGGAGGTTAGACATGCGGATCCCAAGGATGCTGCCGGGTGAGCGCTGGCAAGACGTCCACGATGTTTGAAAGAGGATTCGATGCAACGGCAGACTGCATTCTGTAAGGAGTATTGTTTGGTACTGGTCGACGCATTATTCCAGGAGTTTCTTATGACCCTCATGTTTACCTGGCCGCCGGCGATGCGCATGGGAGCAAAGCGAGTGAATCGAGCATAGCGGGCTGGGCCACGGACGCAGCGCGCTGGAAGCAAACGCGAGCGCAGTCTCACCGCGTTGCATGGAGCCGCAGAGGACCGCCAGGCGGAGGCTCAGGTGCGGAACTGCGCTGTGCGCTCGCCAGCATCCGTTGTCGTCAATTATAGTCATAGTCATAGTCCTAGTCAGAGTCGGAGTCGCAGATCGCAGATCGTAGTTTGTCGATGCGAGATGACGCGACGACGGGCTCAGCAGGAGAGAAATAGTAACGTCTTCTCTCTCCCTTTGTGGTTTTTCTGCATGATGTGTGGCGCGCGGATTGTAGTCTGGGGCTCGAGGTTTGCGGGTGTGGCACAGGCACAGGCGCGATGGAGTGGAGTTGCGGATTCACGGCTGCTGGGGCAGTGTACTTCACTCTCGTCTCGTCTCGTCTCGTCTCGTCTCACCTCATCCCATCTCATCCCATCTCACATGATCTACTATCTCGGCCCGCAGACACAAGCACGCACCCAGCTTGTCAGCCACAGCCATAGCCATGGCTATGTGCATGCGCTTAGCATCCCCGCCAGCTCCCTACTGCAGTGAGTACACTCCCCGAACACAAGCCACAGTGCGTGTATACGGGTCTGAGTGGGGTGCTGCTACGCACGACTAAGTATCCTACCATCCACAAATCACTGCATGGGGAAACGGCCAGACCACCATAGGTTGCGACTCGAGGGTGCTTTTTTGATGTGTGATACCATCAGTGCAATCACAACGGCACATTTTTAGGGTGGTGGAGAGAAGAGATTGAGCCATGGCTGCCTTTGCTGAATCGAATAAGTACCTACATTTCAGAACAAACAGCGTGATCAAACAAGAAGATGGAAAGACCAAACACCAAGACGGCAGAGAAGGGAGCGTTGGCATTAGGAATAACAACAACCTGAAGCCAACAACAGACGCCAACAGAAGAGCCTGAGGATAGTTGAGCAGGGACAGGAGAGATTTTCGCGCATCAGTGTGACGAAGGCGATTCATCGTCTGAAGAATCGGGCCATGTGTCGTCCTCCCAATAGTGGCTGTCAAGCACTTCAGCGCGCCCGCACGACTCATAGCCGTACCTGTGCACTTTGTGGAAATCGCCGTGGGTCCTGAAGCACCAGAGACACAGAGCGTGGCGGATTGGCCCGTCGTCGTGCACATTCTTGTAGATAGACCTACCGCCGGTGTCGATGAGATGTAACGGTCGCATCCATGCGGGAGTGTCACGAACTGGACCGGTTGATGCACGCGTTAGATTAGGTATTGGGGTTCCCAGTCTTGACTGGCGCTGTGGACCCGCGTCAATTGGCCGGAAAGATGACAGCTCCGGAGGTGCATCATTCGTGGGCATATCCAACACACTTGCCGTACATGCACGCTCGACAAAGGCCTCACCCCAGAGCAGACATTGACTGTCTCCACCCACAACAGGGAACGCACGAGGCGCCTCGACTTTCACATCAAAATACCCTGCGCCTCCGATTTCGGGTAGGGTTACTGTTCGCCTCTTGTGAATGGAACCTTCGGGCGCTATATCATCGAGAGAGTGCACTCGTTTGCATGCTATATCAGGTTAGTCGCAGTCAAGGGACGAATGGGGAGTGTAGGAGATGCATACTGCGAACATCCTCGGGGGTGTGCGACAAATCAGCAGTATACACGGTTGCAGCTGAGGTAGGCGCCTCGGTTGGTGAAGCAGTTTCCTCGGTCAGCGATGACATTGAGGACGAGTCATCAAGGAAAACACCACTGAATATGAGTGGCGACAAGGGCTCATGATTGAAGCTGCCGAAGGGAGCTGCTTGCGGATGTGACGGAGTGTTGTTGTGGCGTTGCATAGCTGGCAGAACTTCAGCAGGCGTCGATAGCGGACTGCTCTCCATCATGTGCTGGGCATAGTTATGAGGCTGGCCGACCGGGTCGAGTGATTGGTGAAGTTCAGCACCACGCCGTTCTTTGTGCTCCGCAGCTGTTGAAATATGCAGCTCGGACCTCGAGGTATCCAATCGTTGCGTAGGCGTTGAGCAGTCGGGACTGCCGTCAATGGTATTCGCTGCTGTCATCTGCCGGCGTGCTTCATCGGCGGCTCGAAGCTTTTCCCGGGCATCTAGGGCGAGCGCGGATCCACCGATCCAAACAGAAGACGACTGGAGCTGAGAAGATGACCGAGATCTGGTCTGTGTTAAGCTTCGCGAAGCCCTCTTGCTGCTGACTTCTCGAGGAGATGTCCCTCGGTTGATTTCTTCTAGAAGCTGCTGCAGTACCCGACACGATGGCCCGGTGTTGAGAGCTTTGCTACTGTCTGGTCTGTAGGGAGTAGACATGCTGAGGTAAACAAATGCAATAGCAACTCGTAACGGTATTCATAAAAGATGCGACAGAGTAATTGGGTGTATCAGTCGAAGGCGAGGTGAGGAGGAGGTGCGTGGAAGATAGTCGTGGAGAGTCACTTGGACTCTGGCTCACACGGCAGGCACGCTAGGAGTGAGTGGGCAGAGGATAACAAAGGCAGCGTCGAGTCATGTTAGTAAAGGAAAGAGCAGACTTGCAGCAAAAACAGATCGTGACGTGTTCATCATGAGGTAGAATTGGCTACGGATGCTACTGGCTCTCACCTATATTGGTATACTGCAAGCCTCATGCTTCATATCGAGACTTATCCATTGCGCCAGAATGTGTCGTCTAGTGTCGTGATTCTCATTGCTCGGACATCTCGGTATCCTCGGGCTTTGCAAGGCCGTGCTCCTTGAGGAGAGCGTCGATCTCGTCAGCGCCCCAGAGGTGGTGGTAGATCTTTCCTGTCTTCGTCTTCCCTACTGTCGCGAATTCAACTGTAGTCTGTCAGTACTGCCGGACGCTGTGGTACATTGTGATACGCACTCTTCTCGCTGCTGAGCTTGGTGGAGTCCATGGTCTTGCTGAGCACCTTGACGGCGAGCCCACAGGCCTCCTTGAGGTCGCACTCCTCCTTGTAGTCCTGCTTCAACAAGCTCTGGGCAGAGGCGTTGTTCGCGCCCACACTCGTTGCCTTCCAGCCACCGTAGTTGCCACTGGGGTTGCTCTGGTACAGCTGGAACTCGCGCTGCGGGTCCCAACCGGCGTAGATGAAGGAGACACCAAACGGTCGCAGACCACCGTGCTGCGTGTAACCCTGCTTCAGATCGCAAAGACGTCGTACGAGCTGCTCGCAGGGGATGTCTTCGTTGTAGGTGAGCAGGTAGCGCTGTGCGGCCTGACGGGCGTAGTTGATGAGGATGTTGGCGTCGGCGGTCATGCCTGCTACGGCGCAGATCATGTTGCTGTTACTGCGTCAGCACGTTGAGCGTCATTGCGGCAATTGCGGCACGCACTCGTTCAAGATGTACAGCTTCTCGGCGGATGTGTCCTGCTCCAGAAGCTTGCTGGTGACTTTCCTCTCAGCGGCGAGCACGATGCCATCTTTCGCTAATATGCCCAGAGCAGTACCGGCGTGCGAGATGGCCTCGAGCGCGTATTCAACCTGATACAGACGCCCTTCAGGCGAGAAGATGGTCGTCTACCGGTGCTGTTAGCTATGATGTCGCCGGCGGCTATGGCGGGGCACTGACCCTCGAATCGTATCTCCGCGACATAACGGCGGTCTCTCCAAAGGGTTCTCGGTGGTGTTGGAAGTTGTATGCAGAGTCGAGACCGAGATCCGGTGGGGAAGCTGGGGTGGTGGGTGGTGTTGGTGAGAGCTCCAGGCAGCTCGTAACGCGTCGGCGATTCACCACGCCAAGGCCGACCACTTTTCCGCATCGCCATCACCATCTTTGCATCAGCTTTCAATTCGCGTGTTCCCGTAAGCTCTTTAGGCTCTGTTAAGCTTCACTGCTTGAAGAGATGGCGGATATACCTACGCGACCTCCTGCGCCAGCACCACCGCTCGCCGCCGGATGGACAGAGCACAAGGCGCCCTCAGGTAGCCATGTCTCTCACTGCGTCATGGGTGAATGCTAACATGTCTAGGGCACACGTACTATTTCAACAGGGAGACTAAGAAGTCAACATATACCCGCCCAGTCGCCGAAATTCAGTCGTTCCATGTCGCTCCCACTGCCCCGTCGTCGTTTACTCCTCCACCGCAGGATGATAGCTACAACATCCGACCTGCCCAAAATGCATACAATCCGCAGCAGCAGATGCAGAACCTCATCTTTGGCGGCGCACCCAGGCAAGCTCTCCAGCATAGCGGGCAGCAACGAGGTGGGCATCGTGGTGGGCATCGAGGAGGGCAAAACAACTTTTCGGAGAGAAGACGCGAAAAGGACGACAAGCCTAAGCACCGCAATGACATTCCACACTGCGCACCATGGGTACTTGTCAAAACAAAATTCGGCAGACGATTTGTGTGGAACAAGGAGACGAACGAGAGCTTTTGGAAGTTTCCACCGCACGTAATGAAGGCTGTTGTAGAGTTTGATCGCAAACAGCGTGAGAAGAAGGAGCGCAGGGAGCGTGGGGAGCCCAGCGACGTCGAAGATGAAGAGGACACCGCGATGGCAGACATCGAGGCAGAATTGGCTGCAGGCGAAGAAGAGGTGGAGATCGTCGAGGTTGACGGCGAGGAAGGCATGGAGAATGACGAAGAGTACGAGGAGGTCGAAGTGACTGATGACGAGGGAGAGGGAGCCGAGAGCGCACCTAAACGTCAACGGACAGACGAACCGATCAGTAATGAACCGCAAGCTGCAGAAGACGATGATCTGGCATGGCAGCTGGCGCAGATGGAAGAGATGGAGATGGGCGGAGGGTACGAGGACGAATATGTTGAAGAATACGAGGGCGAGGAGCCTGTATTGACGGAAGAAGACTGCAAAGCACTGTTCAAGGAGCTGTTGGACGACACACGCAAAAGCCCCTACACACCATGGGAAAAGATCCTCGAGGAGGGCGTGCTCTACGATGACGAACGCTACAAAGCTCTTCCCAATATGAAGGCACGAAAAGATTGTTTCGACGAGTGGGCGCGCGAAAAGATGCAATATCTCAAGGAAGAGAAGGCAAAGCAACAAAAACGCGATCCTCGGATCCCCTACCTCGCCTTCCTCGACCGCTATGCAACGCCAAAGCTCTACTGGCCAGAGTTCAGACGGAAATACAAAAAAGAGTCCGAGATGAAGGACACCAAGCTCTCCGACAAGGACAAGGAGAAGCTGTACCGCGACCACATCAAGCGCCTCGGTATGCGTCCTTCCGAGCTGAAGTCCGACCTCTCAGCTCTCCTGCGCACACAACCACTTGCCTCGCTAAACCGCTCCACAACAATCGACACGCTTCCCTCCGCCATCCTCACCGACCTGAAGTACATCTCCCTCCCATCATCGACACGTGACTCTCTTATCGACGCGTACATTTCCACGCTCCCAGAGGCACCCGAAGGCGCCGCGGCCTCTGCCGAAGAGGACGCCGAGCGCGCAAAGAAGCGCGCCGAGAAAGAGCGGAGAGAGAACGCGCTCGCCGAGCGTGAAAGAAGGGTACTGGCTGACAAGCGAAAGCAAGAGCGCGATCTGGCATACGGAAAGGGGAGATTGAGAGAGGAAGAGGAGGAGATCCAGCGAGCTATGAACGTCGGGAAGGAGGGGCTGAAGAAGCATTTAGACGAGTAGTTTGGCCAGTCAATAAGATACCCATAGCGAGACGACGACTTGTCGTTTACACTTTTTTTTCTTGCTCATCGAGCAATGCACGATATATTATTTGTGTGACTGGAATTAGCTCTGACATTCTGCTACAAGTGAATGCAGTTACAAACAATTGTACCGAAAGCAGGATCAGGACACTAAGACTATCTAACACCAACAAAGCACGATCTGGTAATTTGCAACATATACAAGGAGTGAGACACCGCAGTCTCAGGCGACAAAGGACATCGAATGTCTTTGTTACTCTAATGGCAAGCCAGGCTCTACCTCGTGATATCCTCCCGGCGTAACTGGAACCGGAACTGCCAATGAGGGAGAAGAAGAGACATCTTGAGCGAAGCATCAAAACAGCGGCACTGAGGTAGTAGCATCATGATAGTAGCATTGAAACAGCAGTATTAAGACAGCAGCCTTGAGACAACATTAGTGTTACCTGTTTCTGTGAGAATAGCAGACAGGAACCTGTAGCCCTACAAACTCGCCTGAGTCGTATCTTGCAGCATCATCCTGTCTGTCTTTCACCGCACACGTACGACAAACATATCCATCTTATGCATATAAACCCCCTGCCGCTGCTACCTCTTACCCCTAACCAACTCAGACCACACGCACATACTACACATACCACACGCACACACTACACAAAAAACACACACCTCACCCACACAACCCCATTCAACATGTCCCTCTTCCGTGCAGCAGACTGGCCCGCCGCCAACCACACCATCACCATGACACACATCAGTAACCCCCACACCGTCTCCCAGATCCTCACTTCCACTACCATATCCTCCGATGGCACCATAGTCGTGACCGTGGTCGTGCCCGGGACGGGCATGATCTCGACCACGATGGTGACTTCTGCTCCTGTTTCCTATCCTTCCGCACCTCGCAGCCTCTTCGGTGGTACCTTATATCGTTGAGGTCGCAGGTCGAGCTCTAGAGCAAGTGTCGTCAGGAGCTGCGGGGGTGGGGGGGAGTCGTGTGCGGTGATGTGGACGGGTTTTCTGCGCCTGCTGGACGGGTTTTATGCGCCTGCAGGAAGAGGAGGAGGAGGAGGAGGAGGAGGGGGCGAAGGGGGGGGGGGGGGGGGGGGGAATGGAGAAGGGTACCATAACACCTGGTCAGGTTATCGGGAGATAGTCACGGTATCATACAATCATAATCATAAAGCCGTGAGATGTGTTTGCAGTGACATCGCGAAACAATATTGATGTGCGGTGTTGATCAGATATTAAAGGCGTCTTCGATCTCAAATCATTTCCCAGATCTCGAGAAGACCGATAAAGGAGTAACCTGTGCTACCACACAGTCAGAGGTACACCTGGGTAGGTAGATGCATTGTCATAGCCCCCCACAGCAGTAGTATAGGCAGAGAGGTACTCTACAGGTGGAACTTCTGTCTCCGCGGTCCATCAATGCGTGCAGGCACCCATTATCGAGATCTAGCAACCTGTTGATGAGCTTGCGTTTTGAAAGCCCGAAAAGATACAGCGAGAGACGTGCAGATCGAGCTGTGCTGAACGCGGTGGGCTGGTGGCAGTTCGTCTGCTATGGTGTGTAGGCGTGAGTCTGAGTCGGTAGCTGGTTATGGGGGATTAGGAGATGTAGAAGGGGAGTGGTAGGGTGTGGGTTGCGTGTTAGGACTGCATAATGGTGTTCTGGGGTTGGATGTCTTCATAATCTCTGCTTAACCTTTTCCCCCTCCCCTCAACCTCTTCCCAACCTCTCTTCAATTTCCCTAACCTCTCCCAGCTCACCCCTCAAGCCCCAAATGATCAACTCGCGTACTCGCACCCACGGCTTTCCCCGCCGCCGCAGACTGTCCCGCTTCCAGCGCCCGCGTCTTCGAGCTCCCTTGCTCGGCGGCCGCGGCAGCGTGCGCGTTGGCGCGGGCGCCGGCGTTGGCGGATGCTGATGCTGGGGGTGTTAGCTGGGGACTGTGGATGCGGATGTGGATGTGGATGTGGATGTGGATGGGTGGATGAGTGGATGAGTGGATGAGTGGACGAGTGGACGAGTGGACGAGTGGACGAGTGGACGAGTGGACGAGTGGATGAGTGGACGGTGGATAGTGGTTGAGGGGAAGAGAAGGGGGGAGAGAGAGAGAGGCGGGGGTGAATACAGCGGCGCAAGGCTCGGGCAAAAGGGTCGAAGTGGGAAGTCAGGAGGCAGAAGATGCAGAAGACGCCCGTGGAAGCAGAAGCAAAGAACGCAGAACGTGGAGTACGGCCGTGCGGGTCAGACACAGAACAAGGGCACAAGGGGCCGTCGCGCCGAGCAGAGCGACAAGCAGAAGGCCAAGCAGAAACCCCCCACCCAGCACTCAGCACCAAAAGCACACGCTTCCGCGTCCGCGTCCAGCACCCAAGAGACCCCCAACCCGCATCAAACCCAACCACGCAACAGAAAATCAACTCACCCGCGTCCTGCCGCTCCTCAACACTAACCTCCCCCCCCTCGGCGTCCCGCGCCGTCGTCTTCCGACTTGCGCTCGACAGCGCGCCCGACAGCGCCCCGAACAGATTCAGATTCAGACCCCCCGACGCGCTGGCCTTGGCGTGGTGCTCCTGCGTCTCCGTGGCGCGCGCGGCCTGGGAGGTGGAGGCGTGGGTGCGTTGGGCCGCGGTGTTTTCTTGGGTTGTTAGGGAGGACGGCATGGTGGGTGGGTATTATGAGGTGGTATTGTTGACTGAGAGGGTGGATGGGGTTGTTGTATGGATTTAAGGATAGGATGGGATAGTATGGAAGGCGGGGGGTGTTCTAAGTAAGGTGGGTTGTGTGTGGGGGTCGCGGGGCTATGTAGCGCGCTGGGAGGTCGGGGTGAAGTGTGGTTGCGGTGACGTCATAGCTGGCTTCTTCCCGGCGACATATCGCAGCAAGTTTTCAGCGTTGTGCTGCTACGGAGTACAAGCGGTGGGATTGAACGCAGTATCTCTGGCATCCAGGATGTCACCTGTGTGCTGTAATGGGGGTTCGTTTTGCTGGGTGCGAGCGCGTTAGTCAGCATTCCACGGGTGCGCTCAGCCCTGCACCTTGTTTCGACCTCACTTGCACGCGATAGGGAGATCGTACGGGGATCTTGCGCTTTGACGATTGCGACCGGTCAACGGTCGTTGCGCGTGATGCGGTACTTTCGTCTGTCTCTCACGCTGGGAGAAACGGCGGATACTCAGAAGGCGGCCGAGAACTTACCACGCAACGACAAAGAGACTATACCTCTAACCTTGAGTGAATGCTTTGTTCACACTATAAAAAACGCTTTACTTTGCTCACACTATAGAAACGCCTTACTATGCTCTGCTTGTCAGCTCCAAAGTTGCTTGGATTTGACTATTCATCCAGAAACGGAAGGGCATTGGACGCCCGACTCGTTGCGTTGCCGCTGAAGGATGCGCTCATCTCTGGAAACGAGCGCGGCTGTAGATGAACAGGTGAAGAGTTGGGAAACGGCAGGTGCGAATGATAACGGCTGTCTGTACCTCGGTATCCGACGCAGCAACACTCTCGCCAAATGCATCAAGCACTTCGGATTGCTTGCAAGGAAGGTAACAAGCAATACATGCATCCAGAGCTGGACGTCTTCCAACACCTTGCACTGCGAGATGGAGATGGTCTGTGGATGGTCTGTGATCAGTGCTGGGTACGTTATCGCAAGATCTGGCTCTCGTTCTTCCCCGGACAAGGATTCGTCTCGTATCTGCACATAAGCTTACCAAGCCTTGAGGTAATTTGCTTTCGTCTTACAACCGGTCAGGCATCCCAATGTTCATTTTCAATTCCATGAACTTGCATGGCAGACGAGAACTCAACCGACTCAACACCACAAACTGCCTGCCTCCAAATCGCATGAATCAGCCAGCACGCCGGACACTCCGAATCCAAAGCATCATCTCCACATCAGCCGCACCAGATGTACTTTTCATCGCCTCAGATCGGTTCCTGGAGCGTTTCTTTTTCTGGACACCGGTCTGGGCCAGGGGTGACGCCACGGGAGCGCTAGCGCCAGATCCACGGACTCGCCCGTGAAAACGCACCACTCAACACCACGATTCTGCATCGCGACTCCAAGCCACGCGCGGTTCGGACAGCTGCGCCGCGCCCATGGCTGCTCCAGCGATTCAATCCTCGGCCATGTGGACCCCGTTCGCGTTGTCCATTCAAGATGTGCAGCTGCTAGACCGCATCGGGGCAGATGGTGTGAAATGCATGCGCAAAGCACGCGTTCCTGCAGTGGTGGCTGCGAGCTCCATACCCAAAGCTTCATGACATGGCCCGGCGTGGTATAGCGTGACATTTGAGTTGATTTGACGTGCACGTGGTGGAAGCCTGGCCAGCGCAGTGATACAGCCAGCTAAACGCAGGCAGTTCGAAGCCACGGTGCCAGGGGCGAACTGATATACCTTTGGGCATCGCCCACTTCTCTCTCTAACGACTTCCCTAGTTTGTTCCTGCGCGGTCTTGTAGAACCTCACCTACAGCCTCTCGTTTCATTGTACCTAATATAGTCGCTCTTTACACTAATATCTACAATGCCCTCTCTGTCAGCCCTTCTTGGGTTCGGCGCTGCCACTCTTTTGTCGGTCGCTTCGGCTACCAAGTACACGCCTGCGGATACGTTCCCCGGCTCCTCCTTCTTCGATCACTTCGACTTTGTCACTCAGGAGAAGACTAATGGCTTCGTCAAGTATGTATATTGTCTTCTGTCAAGGGCTCACTAACTCCAGCAGGTATGTGGACCACGCGAGAGCTCTGGACAAGGACTACATCCGCTACGAGGGTGGCGATGCAATCTTCGGTGTGGACTACAAATCCAAACTGAACAGTGCCGACGGAGGCGACATCGGCCGCGAAAGTGTCCGTCTGGAGGGTAAGAAGGACTACAACAAGGGCCTGTTCGTGCTCGACGTCAAGCACATGCCCGGCGGCATCTGCGGCACGTGGCCCGCCTTCTGGTCTCTCGGCCGCGAACCCTGGCCCGTGAAGGGCGAGATCGACATCATCGAGGGCGTCAACCGCAACTCCGCCAACACCTTCGTGCTGCACACCGACACCAAGTGCAAGGTCAACGGCCTCGGCCAGACTGGCACGCAAACCACCAACGACTGTGCCTACGACACCGCCGGCGCCACCGGTTGCGGCGTGGCCGAATCGCGCCCCAGCTCCTTCGGCGCCGGCTTCAACGCCAACAATGGCGGCTTCTACGTCACCGAATGGCAAGCCGACGGCATCAAGATCTGGTTCTTCCCGCGCGGCTCCGAGCCCAAGAGCCTGACGTCCAGCGAGCCCGACACGACCGAGTTCGGCGTCCCGGCCGCCAGCTTCCAGGGCGACTGCGACGTCGAGAAGCGCTTCATGGACCAGCGCTTCATCTTCACCAACACCTTCTGCGGCGACTGGGGCGGCAACGTGTACGCCGACTCCGGATGCCCCATGTATCCGGGCCTGAGCGGTATGGCGTCGTGCAAGAAATATGTGGCCGAGCACCCGGAGGTGTTCAAGGATGCGTACTGGCGCATCAGCTCGTTCAAGACTTTTAACAAGCGCGGGCTTACGAGCTCGTCATCGGTGGCGCCGAGCAGCACGTCTCGTGTGTTGAGCAGTTCGTCTAGCTCCGTTCGTGTGTCGTCTACGTCTGCGCCGGTGTCGAGCAGCTCGGTTCATGTGTCCAGCAGCTCTACTCGCGTTTCTAGCAGCTCTGCCGTTTCCAGCAGCTCCGCCCACGTTTCTAGTAGCTCTGTTGTCTCTAGCAGCTCTGCCCGCGTTTCCAGCAGCTCTGTCGCCCCCAGCAGCTCTGTCGTTTCTAGCAGCTCTGTCGTTTCCAGCAGCTCTGCCCACGTCTCTAGTAGCTCTGTTGTCTCTAGCAGCTCTGCCCACGCTTCCAGCAGCTCTGCCCACGCTTCCAGCAGCTCTGCTGGCGTCTCCAGCTCTTCTGTCCATGCGTCTTCGTCGGTTGTACCCAGCAGCTCCGTTGTCTCCAGCTCTGTCTACCCCTCGTCAACACCCGACGTTTCGTCCTCGACGCCTGTTGCTTCGTCCTCAACACCTGTTGTCTCTTCATCAGCGTATGATGTTTCTTCGTCAACATACGATATTTCTTCTTCAACGCCCGTCTACTCGTCCACGGTCGTTCCAGACACCTCAAGCAGCGCTGTGTACGACTACTCGTCGTCCGTCCCTGCTTCTGCCTCTGAGACCTCCTCCGACTACTCGTCTGGTGTCAGTTCGTCCGCCTCATCGACTTCGGATGACCACATTTCCTCCACGGCTGTCACTTATTCTGCATCCGAGACCTTGTCCTACGATGTCTCCTCGACGTTGTCGTATGACGTCTCTTCGACATTGTCCAGCGCTTCTGTTTCTGAGACACATGTCTCGTACGACAGCTCCAGCGTTTACCCTTCGGCTAGCTCTTCTGATGTTTCGAGCGTGTACCCTTCATCGAGCTCTTCTCCTGTAATTGTTTCCAGTATTTACCCATCTGAGACACTCTCTGCTAGCTCGTACTCCATTTACCCCTCGGAAACACCCTCCGAGAGCACTGCCATCTACTCATCGGGAACTTCGAGCTCCGCACACCCAGATGTTACCTCTTCTTACCCATCTGATGGCGAGTCTTCCAGCAGCATGCCAGTCTACTCGACCTCTGTGCCTGTCTATTCTGTCTATCCTGAGGGCGACGGGTACGGACATGGCAGTGTCTCCTCCAAGACCCCTGATGCTTCCGAGTACCAGACTGCTTCCACGAAGACCCCTGAGTACGATGGCTATTCTATAGCTCCCTCAAGCTCTTCAGTATACGGAAGTGGCTACTCTCAGTCCACACCTGTCTATTCTGATTACCCCGAGCTTCCCAGCTTCACGCCGCTGTCCAGCACATACGCAACTATCTCGAGCAAGCCTTCGTACGGAGACGATCAGAAGTCCACCGACTCTCACAAGACCACCACCGCCTATGAGACCACCTACGTCGACGTCTGCCCTACCGGCTACACAACCGTCACCACCAAGGTCACAGCTATCCAGACTCCCGCGCCATACCCAACAGGCGACGCACACTACGCGCCTCCCGGCTTCGAGGTCACAACCAAGTACTGCGCCCAGGGCTGCGGCGAGGGACCCAAGACCGTCACCGTCACCGTGCCATGCTCCAAGTGCCAGGCCCCGACCCCCGTGCCCAACAAGCCCACATATGTCCCCAACAAGCCAACCGACATCCCCAGCAACCCCAGCAAGCCCGCGGCTCCTGAACACTTGAGCACCAAGATCACAGCCACCACGATCATAACCCTGACCAAGATCCCCGTCCCAGCCAGCGAGTACCCCGCAACACACAGCCCCGTCGCGAGCTCACTCAAGCACCCCGACTCCGCATCCAAGAGCCCCGAGCCCGCGAAGCCCGTTGCTCCCACCCACGCGGCTGACGCTGGCGGTGACAAGCCGTACCCCACCAGCGAAGCGCCGAAGCCCGCGTCTCCCTCCGGCACTGGCACCTCCGGCACTGGCAGCGACAAGCCCGTCTACCCCACCGCCATCGGGCACCCGGGCTCCAACGGCACCGCCGGCCACGGCACCGCGACAGGTGCGGTTCCCACGCCGAGCCAGGCGGGGTACAAGACGCCCGAGTTCACGGGCGCGGCGGGGCGGAAGCGTGTTGGCGGTGTTGTTGCGTGCGCGGCTGGGGTGTTTGCTGTGCTTTTGATGTAAGCTGTTAGAGCGAAGGATGGGTGCGAGGCATGGTGGATAGGTGATGTTATATGGAGTGGTTGTTTAACTTCTAATGTATACTTTTGACGACGCGCTCGATGGTTACTCGTGGCGTAACGAGAAGTTTGTTTCTGCACGGCAGTGCTCTCTCTGCGGCGCTCACACTCCGGAAAGCAGGCCCCGTGCATCCAGAAACACAAACTACACTGTGACCATACAATCCCAACAAACCCCCCACACACCCCGCCTAAAATCCCCAACCCACCACACCACCCTCCCCTCTCCTACTTCACCACCCAATACTCCGTCCAACCCCTCCAAATCCACTCCAGAGTGCACCCTCTTACACCTCCCTCCTCCAAACTTCTCCCCTCCCCTCCCTCTCTTGCTCCCCTCATCCGGGGAACCCAAACCCCCTAGCAAACGCCGCCCACTCCGCCGGCCTCCCGTGCGCCCACAGATCCAGCAGCTCCGCATGCATCATCGCGTGCCAGTCTTCCAACCACGTCAACCGCTCCAGGCAGCAGGCCAGGGCCTTGTAGTCGGGCGGTGTGGAAGAGGGAGGGGGGGGGAAGGGGAGGCGCGGCAGCGGTGGTGGTTACGGTCACGGTTGCGGTGGTGGTGGCGGTGGTGCTGGTGCTGACGAAGGTGTTGTATTGGGTGATGTGCGCGTCGCGGATGTGCGTCGTGGGGGCGATGGTGGTGTGGTGGGCGGCACACCAGGTCACTGGGTTGCTGGGCGCCGGGGCTGGCGGGGCGGGCAGGGTGTTGATGGGGAGGAGGCTCATGATATTTTATGTGTGTGTGTGTGTGTATGTGTGAGTGTATGTATGTGTGTGTGTGTGTGAGTGAGTGTATGTGAGTAAGTTGATGTGTGAGCTATGTGGGAGTTGGATACAATCAAGTAGCCCGGCGGCGAGGGCTTTATATACCTAGGTACACAAGACAGATATTCTGGCTATGCGTGTATGGCGAAAGGCAACATCAGCGTGTCAGTGCGGGTCATGAAATGTTTGCTTCAGAGGGGAGGCTTGCATGTTGTGTCCACCGGACCGTTTGGTTGAGCTGCGGGTTCCCGTCTGCTGCCCCTGCAGGGATTGGAGAGACCGCTGCTGTCTTGATGCTCTGCTCAAGAGCCCCCTTCTTCCTTTGCCCCATTGGGAGCATCCTAATTACGCTCGGGAGATGCTGCGAGGCACTGTTTGATCCGCTATAGATGTGAAAAGGGCACTTTATGTCCCCCTATACTACATCTACATCTAGATCCACTCTAGAATGTGTAGTAACAGTATCTTAGCTATTATGCCTTAGTACATTCTTTTACAAGGCATGGGTAGTTGTTAGGGGTTTAGTATGCGTGTGCTGGGAGTAGATGGGGGGTTGGTTGGGTGTTGGAGCTTGGGTCTTGTAGCTAATAGCATATCTCTAACAGCACATCTCCACCAGCACATCCACGTCTCATACTTAGTCCTTGTAGCCTGCTTGTAGCCTGCTTGTAGCCTGCTTGTAGCCTGCTTGTAGCCTGCTTGTAGCCTGCTTGCTTAGACTCACCTCCCAGCTCCCAGCTCCCAGCTTCCGGGTCTCTAGCGTTTGGGGCCTGAAGAGCCGCAACGGGGTAACGAGCTGAGGAGGCAGTAAACGTACAGGGCCTATGCACACAGACTCGCTGCGGAGACTGGCGATGACGGGTTGGGTAGTGTGTGACGTACATTGGTTCTGATTCTTCCAGTGAGGGGCTTGGAAGGCGCTGGGAAGCGGTGCGGTGCGGTGCGATGGGTATCATTAACGCCTACTCCTGCTCTATCTATATATCCACAAAACTCCACAATACACTTTTACTTCCCCACATCCCCAGTCCAGTATTTTATTTACATCCCTACATCCCCCTAAAAGCATTCCCACTCGCACTCCGAATCTTATTCTCCTTCCGGCGATCATGCCTCGTCCCCTTATCCTCAACCCTCTTCTTCTTGCCCTCAGGCGCAAACGTGATCTCGCGCTCGCCGACGACGGTGGTGGAGGTCTTGGCGGGCGCGCGCGTCTGCAGCTTGGAGACGCGCGAGCCGAAGGATTTATCGGCTTTGGGCGCGCGCTTGGGGGTTGTCGAGGTCGAGATCTGCATCTGCATGGGGTTGTTGTGGCCGGCTTTGCGGTACGAGGCGGAGGAGATGCGGTCCGTGGCTGGGGCCTTGCGGACGGGGCGGGCGGGGGCGTCGGCGGAGGCGTCCGAGTCGGCGTCCGAGTCCGAGTTGGAGGCGGCGGAGTCGAGGGCCTCGGCTTCGGCGGCGGTGAGGCCCTTGGGGATGGTGGTCGTGGTAGTACTCGGGTTGATGGCGCGGAACTCGTGCGAGGTCTCGTCGACCTGGAAGTCCTCGTCTTCGAAGAGGCGGGCGAAACGCGAGTCGGCGAGGAGGCCGGCGGGTTTGTCGGGGGCGGCGGCCGGGGCGACGGCGGGGGCGGGCATGGCGTCGTCGCCGCCGTTCTTGAGGACGCGTTTGGCGCGGCGGCGCTCTTTCTCGTCCTCCTTGGCCTGCATCTTGGCGGCCAGGGCCTGGTTGACCTTGACGGCGACCTTTTTGTTGCCGCGGATGCGCGACTCGCGCTCCTTGTTGATCTTGTCGGCGATGGACTTTTGGCGCTGCTCCTGCCACATGTCGGGGTTGGAGATGAGCTTGGCCTCTTCGTACAGCTTCTGGGCGACAAAGTATCCGTGCATGTAGGGGCGCAGCAGGTTGGTGGTGCCGATGAGGTGGTCGAGGCTGAGGGTCTTGAGCTGGGCGGGGGTGAGGAACTTGAAGTTGTCGTAGACGTCGCCGGAGGAGCCAGTCCCAAAGGCGCTGGGGTCGGTGGGGTCCTCGGCCATCTCCTCGACGATGTTGTCGAGGAAGGCGCACCACTTGGGGGCCGGGCCGAGCTGGGGGATGAAGAACGAGTGCTGCTGCTTGCCCTCGTTGGCGGTCAGCAGCATGCCGCTGTCCTTGACCCACTCGACGTGGTTCAGGTCGACGGCGGGCTCGACCGAGGTCCACGGGGTGCCGGTCTGCGGGTCCCAGATCTTGATGATGCGCTTGTCAGCGGTGAGGATCTTGGGCTCGGAGACCTGGGCGCGCGAGGAGGCGCTGTTCTCGAGGTAGATGATGTTCTTGATGGCAAAGCCGTAGCCCTGGTCCTTCTTCAGCAGCGGGGTGGGCGAGCGCAGGTCGTACAGGTGAATCAGGCCGTTGGAGTTGCCGACGGCGAGGTTCAGGCCGGAGCGCGGGAAGGTGAGGGCGGTGACGTCGGCGCGGCCCTCGAAGGCGTCCTGCGGGGCGGACAGGATGCCGACGCGGTTGCGCGAGCGCGAGTCCCAGAACTCGACGGTGCCCAGCGACGTGCCAAAGGCGAGCAGGTTGTGGCTGTCCTCGGCGAGGGCGGCCGTGTTGACGGCGCCGGCCTCGATGCCGCCCTGCAGCGAGCCGGGGGCGGCCAGGGCGTCGTCGCCGCCCACGTCGATCTCGTAGCTGCGCATGAAGCGGCCGACCTCGAGGTTCAGGCGGAAGGCCTCGCCCATGCCGGCCGTGTTGACGCCCACGGCGGGCACCAGGCACTCGGCGGCGCGGGCATCGTAGACCAGGTCGCGGCCGTAGCGCGGGATGCGGGTGGTGTGGTGCACGCCGCCGCCCGTGTGGAACTCGATGACGCGGTCGGCCTGCAGGTGCACGCTCTTGGTGTAGTCGGCGGACAGGATGCGGAAGGTCTCGTTGAGGGTGTTGGTGTGGCGGGCGAAGGACAGCGACAGGTGCGGCAGGTAGTGGGCGTGGATCTGCGGCTTGTACGTGCCCGTGGACATGACCCAGTCGCCGTCGGGGCTCACGCGCACGCACTGGCTGGCCTCCTCGAAGCCAAAGTCCTGCAGCAGCTCGACGCGGTTGGCGAACTCGGCGTCGTTCTTGAGGCTGCGCTTGCGCCGGCGCACCAGCCATTCGGGCAGCGGGCGCGCCTCGCTGCCGCTGATGGTGTACACGGGCACCGCGCCGTTGGTGATCTTCATCGTGGCAGTCGGGCGGGCGGTCGAGGCAGAGCAGACGTCGGGTTGAAGACAAAAAGTTGTGTTATCGATAACGCCCGTTGGCCCAGCAGGACCCAGCAGCAATCCCAGCAGCCGGGAGGGCCCACACTTGCCGAACGAGGCTGGCTGCCGTAGCGGCGACGACCACCTGGGCCAGCACCAACACCACGCCCGCCCGCTCGCGTTGTCCCAGACCCCGGCCAGAGACAGCCTGCAGCCGTCGCGTCCTGCTGCTCGCTCTCCCGCACCGCTGTCGTGACTGCGCCGAGCTGCCTCCGCGCTCTCCGCCCGTATTGCACCATCGGCCGCGGCTGCGCGTGCTCCGACATGCAGCCATCGACGACGCGGCCATAGCATGCAGCTGTTAGCCCTCGCACCTCTCGCACCTCTCGCACCCACCCCGCCCCGTCCACCGCCCGCGGCCATGCGCCGTTGACCCAGCCTGCGCCGTCCCGCCCGTCTGCGCCGTCCCGAAGCCGTGGAGTTGATGAAGCTGCACGCCGTCCTGCGCCATCCCCGACGCGATCATCACCGGAGAGTTCCATAGGACCTGCCAACCGTCTAATGGAATTTCTCAAGACCTGCTCCACCAATGCGCAAGTCATCGTGCGTGCCCTGCGCCGCCCGCCTGCCCCGCCGCCTGCTGACAGCACTCAGGGAGACTTTGAAGCCGTCGCATACCAAGCCGTCTCCGTCGCCCGCAACCCCCAGTCCGCCCCGCCGCGCGACGGGAGCTCCGATGAGGACACGCGCGCCGTCGAGGCTGCCCTGCGCGACCGCCAGCTGTTCGTCGCACGTGACGCCGCCCGCCCGTGGCTGTGGCTGTTTGCCCCGACCACCGCCGACCAGGCTGGCGCGCCGCCGCCCGACCTGCCCGCCGTCGACGGCTATCTGATCCAGCGTGAGTGCTGACATGGCTGTGAGACGCCAGCGCTGACCAACCAGGCGAGCAAGCAGGCTTCACCAAGGCCCTCGAATTCGCCCGTCCGCCGCTATCCGCCCGCTACCCCACCGCCGCCTCCTACGCCGCCCTGACCGCCGCCCAGAACAAAGCTGCCGCCGCGAATGGACGCTCGCCGCCGGGCCAGCCCAGCGCGCCCGAGCAGCCGACCCTGGACTGCTTTGCCGTCTATGACCTATTCATCTCGTCCGTCATCGCCCTCGTCACCCGGGAGCTCGTCAAAACCTGCGCCGTGACCTCGCTCAACTACCGCACCTTCGTCTCCAAGCCCGTCTCCCAGCCCCGCGACCGCCTCGACTCTCCCAGCCCCCACTGGCTCACCAGCATCGACGTGCACTGGGCCAGCTCCGGCACCCTTGTCGTGTCGACCTTCACCGAGCCCAGCAACGACATACACAGTCTCGACGACGTCGCGTCTGATGTCGACCTCAAGCAGCTCGTCGGCAGCATTGTGCGAGTTGCCCCGAACGGCGCCCTCGGCAGGATCATGACCTTTGACGACCCCTTGCACTTTCTGCTAGACGACACTGGCCTCCGTCGACGGAAACGATCCAGGAGAAGCAACCTGGAGCAGAGCGTAGAAAAATGGAAGAGCACTGTCAAACGGTGGTTGGCGTGGAAGGGCTACCATCTGCCCAATCTTGCTGATGCCAGTGCCTGGGTCAGGCTCCGGACCGCGCTCAACACCCAGCCAGCAGCAGCCAGCTCATTCCTCGTGTGCTCAGAGCAGGACGTGCTATGGCCCCGCGCGTTGTGCTACTACCACAAAACCTCGGATGTAGCTGCGCCTGGAGATGCGTCCAGCAAAATTGGCACCCCCGAGAGTGTTCTGCAGTGGTTCGAGGGCAACGACTCGGCCGGCTTCAGAGATCCCTATGACGTCGCTCAGGACTGGTTCGCGGGAAAGACGGAGCGGGACAGAGCCGCAGACAACCTCCGCAAAGCCAAAAAGGCAAAGGAAGATGCTCTGCACCGCAAAGAAGAGGTCCCGGGTCTCTTTCCCTCCTCGCCGCTGAACACGCGCATAGGCACCTACGGCGAGTTGCAGCCAGTCAGCGGCGTCTACCCAACCCCTCCAGACGGCGTTGCACCCGGCGCCTCCATCTTCACCAGCGACACCACAGGCGTCACGTGCGCGCCTTCCAACGTCATCCTCGCGCCCGGCGGTACCAACCCTGCCATCAACCTGTCCGCACCAGCAGAGACGCCGCAGCAGCCTGCAACCTCCCCAGCGCACGCGACCGACAGCGAAAACTTCGCCGCATCCAACAACGATGATTTGTTTGGAGACGACATGGACGATGGATACGAAGAGAACGCTGTTGGAGAAGACGACTTTGACTTTTTCGACGGGCCAAACGACGGAGACGTGGACATGGCCGACGCTCCGCCTCCCGCTGACACAAAGATGGAAGCGCCCCCAATCGTGGAAAAGGAGGAACCAGCTGTCAAGGCAGACGATCAGGAAGACGGCCTTGACCATTTAGCCGCGCTGGAGAAGATGCTTTCTGCATCCAGCCAGCCGCCTATAGAAACGCCGCAAAAGACAGAAGAAGAAGTATCGTCTGTTATTGATCACGACGTCAAGCCACACGCCGACCCGGACACTCAAGTCCACGAGCAGCCGTTGGAGAAAGCGCCCACACCTCCACTAAGTCCGGTCACAATACGACAGGCCCTCAAAGCTTCGCCAAAAAAGGCTCTGACCGTTGACATACCACAAGCACAGACCGAACTCCGACGAAGCAGCGCCTTTGGCCCGTTGTCGTTCAGCCGCAAGATGAGCGCCGCCGACGCCAAGTATCAAGATGGACGCTACGGTGTGCATGCAGACGAAGCAGGCCAAGCCCCCTCCGCAGCGGGACCGACCCGGCCAAAGAGCTTGCGAGACGTCCCCCTGCTGACCAAGCTCCGGTACGCGGCTGCAGTTGCGTCTGCCAACAATCTCCCCAGGATTACACCCTCCATTCAAGGTGTCGATGATTCGGACTCGGAATCAGAGTCTGAGTGCGTGAGCTCTGATGTGTCTGATGAAGACGACGAGCAGGCTTCACCTCCAGTCTCAACACCCTTCACCGGCGGCCCCCTCGTTCCGGCAAAGAGGAAGCTACCAACGGATGGGAATGCCACACCTATGTCTGTGACCTCGTTTGCCGAGTCGTTTGGCGGGGACCTGCTCGAGCTTCAGAACCTGCAGCTCGACGACAGCTCGCTCCTCACGTTCGAGTCCAGCAGCTGGGACTGGTCTTTGGTGAAGCTCTCTCCACCCATAGAACGGCCGTCGGCTGGCGCACGCTACAGCATGCCGCTCTTCCCGCACCCTGTCGGCCAGGTTCCCGACACACCCACCTCTCAGCCCGACCAGACGTTCGACATGCCCGAGGACAAGCATATGAGCGGGTCGGACAACGTCAATGTCGCGCAAATGGTTACCGAGCAGGTCATTTCGGCGACCCTCGATATTCTAGGCGAGGACGCGCTAAAAACATCACAACATGCTCGCAGTTCAACGGAGCTGCGCTGGGCGGCGGTCATCAAGAGCGTGTTTCCAAAAGCTGTCGATTGCACGCTGCCCGCCTTGGCCGCAGTGAACGATGTATTCCCCGACATATCAGCGCACGCAAAGGGACAGAGGGCGCCCGCCCGGAAGCCGAACGAGCCACCGCCCGTGCCTGGCAGCCAGATGTACCTCATCAACCCGCCATTCATCCGAGTCCGGCGCGGAGAAACCCCCTGGGATCTGTTGCCCCCTGCCATTGCGTTTTGGGAACCGCTCGGGCTGGCCCCCGTCAACGGGCCGAAGAATGTCGTCGCATTCTGTGTCTACCCCCACAGTGACTCGCTCAGGCCGTGCTTGGAAAGCTTCCTTCTCCACATGCAGCTCGCCTACGACAGCTGCAAGCTCGGAACCCACACGCGAGTGGAGACTGTGAGCGAGTACGAGAACGGGCTGGTGCCTTGTAAGATCCCCTCGCCTGCGGCTCCTCGTGCTGTGTACAAGGCGCTGCGTAATACCTGCATCCAACTCGGAAAGGTCCTGTCCGCACGGCACGCCAACATCCGCGAGCAGCACGAGTCCAAGGTCGACGCCTTCATCATCTACATGATCAACCCCTTCGACGATCCGTCCGCCCTGTGGGAGCTGTGCGCCTCGTTTTGGACGCTGTTCCAGACCTACGGCCAGGGGTCGGTCCATCCCAGCCAGCCACAGAAGCCGGACCTCGTCTTGCAGATCATTCCCATCAAGTACATCGCCTCCTTCGACCACCCCGTCATACTCTCAAGCAACACCTACATCGACCTCGCGCGCGAGGTCTACAACCGCAGCCCGCCCAGCGCGGAGCCCGAGGACAAGACGCCGCTGCCAATCGCCTCGGCTCCGGCGTTCCAGCTCGAAGAGCCCATTCCGCGCAATGTCCCGTTCAAGCTGCAGTCCGATCCGCCACAGGATCTGCTGAGGGAAAACTCATACATGCACCTCGCCTACGCGATAAGTCTGGATGGCACGTGGCTGACTGCGGCGTGGACGGACAGCTGCGGGAAGAGCCAGGCCACGAGCACGTACCACCTCGGGACACGCCCGTTCAACGAGCTGGCAAAGGAGATATGGACGACAACCGTCTCGATCCTGCAGGCGAGGAAAGTGCACTGGCGGGTGTGCATCGCGCGCGCCGGGGTCATGGACCGGGACGAACTCGAGACATGGGTGTATTTGATTTCGTGCCCGACGTCCCTCAATCTCTTCATCACGCTCCTCACCGTCGACACCCAGCCCCCCTACAAACTCATCCCCACACCCCCGGCCTCGGCCCAAGCCAACCCCGACACCCCCACCGCCACCCCCGGCGTCTCCCCCGACCCCTCCCTCGGCCTCACCCCCGCCGCCACCCCCTCCGCCGAGCCCCCCACCGACCCAACCCAGGACCCGGACGCGCGCCTCGTCGACATCACCGACGAGACCTGGGGCGTCATCCTCGCGCACCGCCTGCACAACTCGCACTCTACCAACCACTTCAGCCCGGCCCTCATCTCCGGGCTGCTTGTAAAACGCGGCCCCGCGCCGCACACCCGCGCCCCCGGGCCCCGCGCCCTCGCAGTCAATATCCTCTGGATCGGCGCCGTCGGCTCGTCGCGTCCGCCCTCCAGTCCCTTCCCGCCCACCCCCGGCGCCGCGGACACGCTCCCCGGCGCTACACCGCAATCCCAGGGTAACCCCCAGGGTACCCCGCAGGCCAATCCGCAGGCCCACCACACGAGTAGTCTCATGTGGACGCCCACGCCGCAGACGCGCGCGACGGCGGAGAATCTCCTGAAGGAGATTCTGCAGCAGTTTAGGGGCTTGGGGTTGCTGGGGCGGCTGAGGGGGGTGAGGGGGGGTTGGGGGGTGCCGTGGCATGTTGGGGTGTGTGAGAGGGGGGTTGAGGGGCTGGGGAGGGTTTGTGGGGGGAGGGTGTGAATTTGCAGGGAGAGCGTGGATTTGCAGGGAGAGCTTGGATTTGGAAGGAGAATTTGAAGTTGGAGGGAGAGCTTGGATTTGGAGGGAGAGCTTGAATTCAGAGGGAGAGAGAGGTGCAGAGTGAGTGTTCATGGCATGGTGTTGGAAGGTTTGTCGGCGTGGGCGTGGGCGTGGGCGGTGTGGATGGGAGAAGAGTGGGTTTTTCGGTTTTTGATTTTTCGGTTATTCGGTTTTTCTGTGCAATGGGCGTTTTCGAGGGTAATGGCGTTTCAGAGTGTAAATTGTTGAGGTTGAGATACCAGGTCTGCTATATTTTTTTCTTTCTGTTTTTTTCGGCGTTTGGGGGCTTAAGGGGGGAGTCGAATGAGTGTTTCGTTCTTTCGTCGCTGTAGGTAGTGTAGGCAGGCGTAGGCAGGCGTGGGCGTAGGCGTAGGCGTAGGCGTAGTCGTAGGTGTAGGCGTAGGCGTAACTGTAAGCGCAGGCCGGACGCAAGGCCGACGGCACTGTACTTCCATAGTCGTAGCCGTAGTCCACATATACACATATACCATATCCCGTCTTCGCAATGTACATCTCTAACTGCACGGTCTTACACAGGCGCCACGGCAGTTGCTGCTCGATGGCCATGGCTTATAATTGATGATGGGTCGTAGCTGCCGCTCGTCGGTTGGTGGTTCTGCATAGACGGGTGTTCGGTGTTCGGTGGTGGATGATTGAGGCTTGTGCTCCACGGTGGGAGGGTGCGTTTTGAAGGGTAGGGAGAGGGAGGAGATGGAGGTGGGCTGGGGCATGTCGAGTCGAATCAAGTCGAGTCAAGTCAAGTCAAGTCAAGTCAACTCAACTCAACTCAGCTCAACGCCACACCAAACCAGAGCATATACACATCCACAGCGCTCAGGTCGACCGATGCCCTAATAGTTCTTAGACGTTTTGTTAGCTCTTGACAGGCTGATCGGTAGGGACAGTATTGTGGGCCCATGGAAATGATTGAAGGTTGAGCATCGACATCTTATGTACACCGTGTCTCGCTTCTATCAAGTACCCTGGGTTGCGCAGCCCGTAGAACCCACTCGATCCAGTCTCGCCCCCACCCCGCCAACACACCACTCCCCTACCCCAGCATCAAGAAATCGGCGCATACCACCCAAACCTCCCCTCGGGATCCACCTCCCTCTTCAACGCCCTCAGCCGCTCAACCCGCCACCCCGCCCCATACACATCCTCCACACTCTCATCCCCGCGCGCGTAGTTCACATACGCCACCAGCGGCGCCCCGCTGCCCGTGACCAGGACGTCGCGGATGCGCGTCATCGCCTGCGCCGCCACGGCCTTAAGCTCCTCATGCGCGGCTCCCTCGCCTACCGCATAGCCCAGCAGCGGCGAGACCAGCAGCGCGCCCGCGCGGTCCGGGTACGCGGTGCTGTTCTCGGGCACCGCGCGGACGGCGCCCGTCGGGTACGATTCGAAGAAGAACACGGATCCGGCGTGGAGGGCGGCGGGTAGGGCGCCGAAGATGGTGAATGCGGCGCGGAGGGCGGGGATGTTGTATTTGAGCAGCGACACGGGGGAGAGGGCGCGCGCGAAGCCTTTGCTGCATGCGGGTCCGTCGCGGGTTGCGCCTAGGTGGATGTTGAGGTTGGCGAGGGAGGAGGTTGTTGTTTTTACGCTGATGGGGTGGAGGGCGTGCAGGGGGGCGGTGTAGGCATCGGGGATCGAGCGGCCTTCGTACATCACCCAGGCTGTGAGGATGGGCTGGGAGTGTTAGCGGGGTATATGTCTGGTGTCTGGGGGACGTACGTGGTGTTCATCGACAGTGGGGTCGAACATGGCGACGAAGTAATACGTCAGTGTGTCCGGTCTCTTTGGATCGTCGAGAAGCCCGTTCGCAACGGCAAACAGCGCCTCGAGCCTGTCTTGTGTGAAGACGAAGCCGCTGGCCGTCCACTCCCCGCCTTCAGGCCCGGTATCGTAGATCCTGAGCTGCGCCTTGGTTACGACACCGAAGTTGTGCCCCGCGCCCCGAAGCGCCCAGAGCAGGTCCGGATTTTCGTCTTCCGACACATTCACCGCGGTCCCGTTCGCAAGCACCATCCGCGCCGCCAGCAGCTGGTCTGCCAAAAGCCCGTACCGGCCCTGCAGCCACCCGTGCCCGCCGCCGAGCACTGGTGCAATAATTCCCACGCAATCGCATCCTGTGGTTACTGTTTGCTTGCCGCGCGCCGCCAGCGCAGCGATCAAGTCGTCGTTCTGGACGCCGCCGCCGATGGTAACAGAGTGACCGTCGATGGCGATGGAGATGCGGTCAAGCTGCGCGAGCGAGATTCCAATGCCGTCCCGCATGCCCCCAACACTAGTAGTCTGTCCATGGCCCCCGGAGATGGCGAGGAAGGGCTTGTTCGCGCGGTTCGCGTGCTTGATCTACCCACGCGTATTAGCAGCGCGGATCCTCGGTACTAGTCAGGCGCTCACGGTCTTCTGCACATCGGCCTCGGTCGCAACTTGCACGATGACGCTATACGAGGGCGCGTCGACGGCGCTCCAGCGTTGGGTCGCGGCGGCGAAGGCGGGCGTATTGGGATGGAGGAGTGTTGCATTCTTGCTAAGCGTGGACTGAAAGCTGGTGTCATTTCTGATCCACATGGCTGGAAGTACGGGGACAAGGAGCGCGAGAAGCCATCGAGGGCTTGGGGAAGGCATGGTGGGTTTTGCGCGACGATAACCGGTGGGAGGACATGGGGGGTGCTTTATGGAGGCACCTTTGTGCATGAGCGAATCATTGTCGTCGCACTGCCATGTCCTGCAGTCAGCTTGATATGCAGGGCGCCCAAGGTGGGGGGTCCGGAAATCCGCAGTTGGCGATACAGCTCTGGAGATGTGGTGTCCTGCTGTGGTGGTCCATGTTTTAATCGGTTGTTGGCAGGGCTGATAATCCATAGTTGTAACCCAGTTTAGATTTACCTTTCAGCTGCCTGTATAACGCTGTTGACACTCGCGAGACATTCGAGCTGCTTATTTGGTGTTCCTGGCTTGTACATTACCAAGGGTGGAACTCCGCATTGGCGAAGTACGAGCATCGCACAGCAAGCACTGAATATTGATCTACAGTCAGCACTATAACCGCACTCGAATAAGAGGCCTTGGCATCGCCGCGGAGACTTCAGATGGGTAAGCAGACCTGACGATCTTGGACGTCAGTTGCGGCGCGGCCAGCACAAACCCCTATACAGGCCCAGCGCAGTCTACTGCCACCACACTAGGGCCGGATTGCGGAGGCGCTGTAGAGTGCAGGTTGTGTGTGACGCACAGAACGCACGGTAATCCTAGGTGTAGATGGATGTTGTCTACGCTCGTTTCGTGTCTTTGCGGCAGATATGGGGCTGTGGTTGTACGTGAGATGTAGTGTGAACGTGGTTGACAATATGTAGCGCCTTGCCGCGTGTCTTTGATCAATGACGATAGTAGAATTATCAAGACATGGCTGCATGCGAAGAGTGTCGTTATCAGTCTGCTTCTCACCTCTCACCCTTGAGTCGCGGCGCCGTGATGTGGTGACGGTGCTGTTGAGAACGGTAGTGCATGATAAACTGCTATTCAGTGCCCGTGTCGTAACGTCTCGCGTTACAACTGGGTAGATCGCAGCGCACGTCGTTAATTAGCTCTTCAATGTCGTTTCTTTGAACTAAGTCGGCATGTAGACTACAGCATGGCCGAATACTGATGTGCGTCGCGTTGAGTGTTTAACAGCGAATTGTCCATTCTAGGTAAGTGTGCTTATTGCGGAGCCCGAGAGTGCCGTGCATGCATGATCGGCTACAGTCCTGAAGGCATGTGCATTGAATGTACTGCTGCTGGTGTTGTGAGTCCGGTGGTACTGTTTTGAAGATGTTCAGTGGCGTGAGGGCGGCACTCGTGTTGGAGGCAAGGTGCTTCCCGGCCATCTCGGTTGGTACTACTAGCGTGTTCACTCTTCTAGGCCCATCGACAGTCAAATCATCCAATTTCTTCAACAACTTATAGGATAATGCATCTGCCCTGTCGTATTCTGCAGGTTTGGGTAAACAGTCCATCCTCCATCAATCACTCAAACAGACCTCGCTCTCACAACCGACTCTGGATCTTCTCCAGCGTGTCGCCGAGTGCATACTCGCTCCGCACCGTCTTGGACCTGACCTTCTCCCCTTCCTCCTTCGTGACATACCGCGCCTCAACAGCAGGATTGTAATCGAACTGGCTTACTCGCTTCACCTCCTCGTCGCTCATCGAAACCGCCTTTTGCCCGTCAGCACGCTTGTACACTGTGACGACTACCGCTCCGCCCAGCCCCAGATTGTGCTGCAGCGCCACGTCGGGTGCATCAGCGAGTCTGTTGTTTGCCCAGCCTCGCAGCTGCCAGGTCAGCTCTGCGCACTGCGCCAGCCCCGTCGCGCCGAGGGGATGCCCCTTGCTGATCAGACCGCCAGAGGGATTCACAACAGGCCCTTTGCCGCCGAACGTAATGTCACCATTACGCACCATCAGATGCGCCTTGCCCGGCTCACTAAAACCCAGGCCTTCGAGCAGAATGAGCTCGTTCGCGGAGAAGCAGTCATGCAATTCTGACACCTTGACGTCTTTAGGGCTCACTCCAGCTTCTGCCAAGGCGGCTTGTGCGGCGCGCTTGGTCATGTCGTAGCCAACAAGATCCATGGACGACTTGGAGTAGAGTTGGGGCGAGTCGGTGAGAAGACTCTGACCTGCCATCAGAATAGCCTGACTCTTTAGGTGCGGACGCGCATCTAGGAACTTCTGGCTGACAATCACAGCCGCGCCCGCACCATCGCTGGTCGGGCTGCATTGAAGTTTTGTCAGGGGGTAGTGGATCATCGGCGAGTTCTCGATCTGCTCCAACGTGTACACGTCTCTGAACTGCGCGTACGGGTTCTTCTGGCTGTGCAAATGCGATATCCGTGCAATCTCGGCGAAGTCGCGCGCCTCAGCGCCGTGTTTCTCCATGTACTCTTTTCCGGCGTTGGCGAAGTACTGGGCGTTGGGGGGAGACTTATCAACGCCACGCGTGTCTGCCATCATTCGCATGGACAGGCCCATGGGCGAGGGTCGATCACTCCACGCTGACTTGATCGAGCCGGGCTGCATCTGCTCGAATCCAACCACTAGTGCGCAATCGATCGCGCCATTCTTGATGAGTGTGCGAGCAAGTTGCAAACCGGTTGAGCCTGTGGCGCAGGCGTTGTTGGTATTGTAGATGGGTATGCTACGCGTTGTCAGCTGATGTTTGTCTCAGTCAAGCCAACGACCTACGTGCTCATGCCGAACTGGTAGAAGATTCTCTGTCCGCTTGTCGTGTCTCCGTAGCAATAACATGCCACGCCCGTCTCTACATCGTCATAATTGATCTGGGCATCTAGCATTGCCTTCACGCCTGCTTCGTATCCCATCTCTGGGTAAGCACGCGTCTGGCGTGGCTTGATGAACTTGGTGAGTCCAACACCAAGCACGTATGCTGGTACATTGTTCTTGGGTGCCATTTTGAGATATTAGTCGTCGCCGCTTGGATATATTTACAGAGGAAGCAATTGTCGCTCGTCTGACCTTGATATGCACTCCATGTCGTGGAGCTCCAGGTCAACTTGACGGGCCGAGGTTGGCAACTTCCCCACCTTTTGGCTCCTCGCCTGTCGCAACCGAATGCTCGACTCGACCGCCAACATCGTTATATGGTAACAACTTCACGCTGTCCGTCAGCCTTCTATCAGTAATCCTTTTGGTGAGAGACCAAGGGGTCCGCTCATACCTAGGCATGATCATGCCTCTGCACGTGCACACACTCCCGCGAGAGCCACGTGAATTCGGCCCTTCCGTTGACTTTTTATCATCCTCCGTTCTCTTATACTGAGTCAAGCAGCAGTTCAATACATCTAAGTCATGACGATACCCACCTCATATTTGCATGTCATGACCATCGCTGCCTGCACAGTTCGCTGTTCAGACGAACACAATGAAGTGTCATCTCAACCTATTGAGCACCTACTCTTGTGGCCCGCTGTCATCTTCCATCGCCAGGAGATTATAGTAGCCGCGCGCTTTGCAATGCGCTGTTGTGGACCTTGACTGGGGCGACGGGACCTGTCTTATCTCTTCTTGAGAATCCTGACAGTGGTCTACCTTCAACTCATCTCTTCAGCCCCCTTGCGTGTACTCGAGTTCCGCCTTGCCGTTTCCAGGGGGCTGCGTACATCGACTATCGAGTGCATTGCAGCACTCCACTCTCAAGACGCCGGACATGGCCTGGGATAGGTGAAGCGTTGAGGTCATGGATGTTTCAATCAGTGTTTTCGCAGCTCACGAGATTGCCAGGGTGAATCTCTCCTGCGGCGCGTGACTCGCCTGTGCGCATCAAACGAAACGAGTCAAAACGGACAGGATCCGCATTGACATCCGAAACACTTTGCCGACCCGAACAACTGCCGAGCACGAATTACAGGAACCACATTCAGCATTACGGGGCTAAGCATTTCCCATCCCCATAAAAGTTTCAGCCGCGTGCGTGGCTGTTAATTAATTTCCCGCGCTGGTGTCGGCTCCGTTGAACGGTTTTGACATCCGTAGCGTCACTGCAGAACCACGTTCCTGGATTGCATTGTCTAGAAGCCGGGATGCCGTCCTCACGAGCCTGCACCGTGAGCTTGTCCTTGGGACATCGTTGGCGGAAGGATTCAATCCTTGGAACAGTAGATTGAGGGCCCGCCATGGCGTGGATTCTGTCGATACATAACACCTCGTTGCGCCCTTGGAGGTTACTCACCAACTTGACCTTCGTTCATTCTTTCATTGATTCCTTTTTACAGCCTTGACGGCTTTGTCATTCTTTTGTAGGCCGTGCCTTCACAACACACTCTTTTCTTCAACTCACACCAAGTCATCAAAATGGCACGTTCTTTCATCATCTCCACAGCGCTGTTTGCGCTACAAACCGTTGCGCAGGTTTCGGTTCCCTACACTGACCCCAAGACCGGTATCGATTTCCGCGGTTACATTGATGCCCGTACCGGCTACCACCTCGGTATTGCTCTTCCTGAGAACCCTACCACCGACTTCATTGCTCAGATCCAGGCACCCATCACCAATGATGGCGGTTGGGCTGGTTTCAGCATGGGTCAGTCCATGACCGGCAACTTGCTCGTCGTTGCATACCCCAACGCGGGCGAGGTCGTCTCGTCTTTCAGGCTGGCGACTGGCTACTCCAACCCTGCAGTTGCCACCGGCGACTTCACCATGAACCCCATCCCCGACGGCACATACGTCAACGACACAGCCTTCTCGTACACCTTCCTCTGCAAGAACTGCATCAGCACTGATCCCAAGACTGGCCTGGTCATCTACGATGCCCCCAGCACCAACGTTGTCGGGTGGGCTTTCTCGTCCACCCCTCTCACTGACTCCACATCAGCTTCTGCTGCCTTGAACTTGCACACTGGTTTCGGTGCCTTTGGTCTGCCCATGACCAACGCCACCAGCGCCAAGTACGACACCTGGGCGGCCATGGCCGTCGAGGGAAGCACTGGCTCCGGATCCGCACCCATTGGTGGCGGTAACTCAACTGCGCCTGCTACACCTATCGCTGGAAACACCACAGCCACTGTTGCCAACGCAACTTACGACTACATCGTTGCCGGTGCCGGTCCTGCCGGTATCATTGCTGCCCAGAGGATTGCCGAGAGCGGCGCTTCTGTCCTTCTCATCGAGCGTGGTGGCCCCTCTTATGGATTCACTGGCTACACCGAGAACATGCCCTGGAACGAGACTGTCTCCATGTACGATGTTCCTGGCTACGGTTACTACCTCAAAGATGTCGGCACTCCCGCTTACTGCGATGACACCGCCGACATGGCTGGCTGCCTGCTCGGTGGCGGTACCAGTGTCAACGCTATGATGTTCGTCAAGCCCCGCGACCAGGATTGGGATGACAAGTGGCCCACAGGCTGGAAGTCTTCCGATGTTTCCGCTGCTGCTGACCGCGTTTGGGAACGCAACCCTGGACAGACCTACGGCAGTGAGGACGGCAAGCGCTACAACGACGAGGCCTATGATGTTCTCTCCAAGTTCTTCGCCGCTCAGGGCTGGGCTGACACCGACTTCATCAAGGACCCCAACTCCAAGACCGATGTTTTCGGCCACCCTCCCTGGAACGTCGCCAACGGTCTCCGCTCTGGACCCGTCAGGACTTACCTGCCCCTTGCCGAGAAGCTTGATAACTTCAAGCTGATGCTGAACACCAAGGTCATTCGTGCTGTCCGTGAGGGCTCATCCATCTCTGGTATGGAGGTCGAGACTGCTGATGGCAAGCGCGTTATCTACAACGTCAACGCTGGTGGCAGCGTTCTCCTCGCTGCCGGTGCCATGTCCACTCCTCGCCTCCTGTTCAACTCCGGCATCGGCCCTGCTGATCAGCTCAAGACTGTTCAGTCCGGAACGAGCGGTGTGACTCTCCCTGCCGAGGCCGACTGGATTGACCTTCCGGTCGGTGCTGAGATCAAGGATCACCCCATCTTCACCGTCAAGTTCACGACCAGCACCAACATGTCCTCCACCGCATCGACTGTCCTTACTGAGCCTGACCAGACCGATATGGATCTTTTCGCCAAGGGCTCCGGTATCCTCGCTCAGTCTGGCCAGCGTCTCAACTGGTGGACTTCCGTCACCACCTCCAAGGGCAACGAGGTGTTCTTCCAGGGTACCTGCAACGGACCTTCCGACAACACTATCCAGATGAAGATCTACATCACCCACGGCTCTCAGTCTGTCGGTTCGCTCGGTATCAACGCTGCCGGAGCCACTGAGTTCATCACCAACCCCCACATGACCTCTGAGGAGGACACCGAGGCCGTTACCATGATGATGGACCGTCTTATCAAGATGACCAGCGCTGCCAACTCCACCCTCAGCATCATCGCCCCCACTGGCGTCACCAACGTCACCGCCGCTGATCTGATCAAGGACTACAAGACCGGCAGCCACTACGTCGGAACCGCCAAGGTCGGCACCAAGGGTGACGCTGGTGTCGTTGTCGACACCAACACCAAGGTTTACGGTACTGACAACCTCTTCGTTGTCGATGCTTCCTTCCACGCCGATCTGCCTACCGGCAACACCCAGGCCATCGTCATGGTCGCCGCTGAGGCCGCTGCTGAGCGCATCCTTGCTCTTGGTGGCAGCAACGCAACCGCGCCCGCCACACCTGCCACACCCGCATCCAGCACCGTCGCTCAGGCTACCAGCGCCGTTGCATCCGTCGAGGCCACCCCCGCTGTTCCCGTCGGTACTGGCTCTCCCGCTGCGCCTTCCGCTGCTCCCATCGGCACCGGTTCGCCCGCCGTCCCCAGCGCCGCCCCCGTCGAGTCCGCTGCGCCTTCCGCCCCTGCTGCCTCCGCCCCTGCCTCGCCTGCCGAGACTGCCCCGGCAACCCCTCCTACCGCTTCGTCCCCCGCTGCCGCTACCGTAGAGGCCTACGGTCGCTGCGGCGGCATTGGCTACGACGGCCCGACGACGTGTGTCCAGGGCTTTACCTGCACCAAGCAGAACGACTACTACAGCCAGTGCACAGCGGGCAGCGCGCGTCGTGCTGCTTTCCCGGTTGTCCGCCGCGACGCGAAGAACGCCAACCGCGCTGCGAAGAGGGCTAGCTTTCTCGAGTCGTACTAGACGGTGGTTCGTGTAGATAGAGTGGGTTGCACTCTGGAGATTTCCTGTATATACTCAATTTCAACTGTGTTCAATTATTTGCTACGTCTTGCTTGTGACCTATGCTGGTACGAGTCTCCTCCATTCGTAACTGCTTCTCGGGGGTCCCGCCCTGACAATGTGTGAGGATCTGTGGATCTCATGAATATATGTATAAGTATGAAGAGCTATCTCTCGGCTACGTGGGGTGCCATCAAGTAACCCGTAAGCACGAGTCACCAAGCACGTGACACAATGTGTGGTCTGTACTTGAAAAAAGCAAAGGTCCACATTCCGGCGGTCCCGTAGAGCGCTACCTATCCTCTGGCCTGGCCATGTCTGTCAAACTCTGGGCAAGGAACGAATTTAGCAATCGCCAGCTTAAAACTCCAAGGCTGCACCTTCAGATCCGACATTGTGCATCGCCTACCTCAAACTTCCCACAATACTCGCCCCGCCCTTCACCTTCCCTTAATATGCACGTAGGTAGTCGCACGGCAGCGGCGCAGCCATGAAGACCGCCCCCACTAGCGCCCAGCACCGACCCTCACCGACCTGGCGCACTAGCGTTCTCGGAGGAAAAGCCCTCAACCAATCAGCGTCATCTTAAAGTACCGGCAATCTCCAGTGCTCACGCTAGGGTTGGGCAAAGCACATGGGCTGTTGTTTGGCAGAGGGCGTTGGGCGTTTACGGGGGCGACTCGGATGTGATGTGTCGATGACGGGTGTTGCACTGCCGTGGGCGAGTCATGTTGCTGTCTGTATAGGCTGAGGCTGTCAGTCAGTCGGGCGTGATTGCCGCAGGCTCATGGTGGCGACATTTGTTTTCGATGACGGCGCAAGTGTGAGATTTTTCTTCTTTTGCTTGTCGAAGTGTATCATCTATTGCTGTTCGATCTGTTATGTTCGATATGTTATGCTTGATCTGTCATACGTGATGCATTGTCTACTGTAAACTACTCTCGCAGGGTATTGTTGAATGTACTCAAATTATTCGCTCGACCATGTATTGCTCGTTTCCTTGTAATATGTTGGCAACCGTGAAAGTATCTCGGCTTCGTGTTTGCTTCTTGTGCCACGTACACTCCTTCTGCTCGCGTGCTTTGATCAAGCTGGTGCGGCACAGCCCTCACCTTGCATGTAGCATTTCCGTCGATCTCAACCGTGTTGGGTCGTCTCGGCTGAGATCCCGATCGCTGGGATCGGTTTTTAAAATTCCTCCACTCTGATACGAACGTATGAATCGGCGTTACTGACATAACCTCGAAAAGAGGGTCCGACGGACCAGTTCGATAGGTCGCGCATAGATTCCTGAGTAGCTATCAGCGTTGAAGTCTTCCCAATGCAAGATGGTTGTGATGGGATCTTGCGCATCTTGAAGCAACACGATAACCCTGCACATCCATCAATTCTACAAACGTACCTTTCCAGTTGCGCAGAGGTCTAAGAACCCGGTCTCATCGTTAATCTGATAGGGCTCTTGGCCAGGGAAAGACCAGTCGCAGCGCAGCGTATTGGTCATGTCCATGAGCCATTCCATACGCTCCTGCATGGCCGGTATCTGGACAGCAAGCTCACGGAAAGCAGGCCATGGGATGTAATCGAGCGTGTTGATATGCGGCATGAACAATTGGTTGGGTCTGTGTCGGCGATGATGAGCAGATTCCGCAATTCAGTAGAAGGTATCTTACGTCGGTCGTAGCCATTCTGGTATCATCTCGTACGTCTCCGGGGATGGGGAGATCATCCAACGCGTTAGGTACCAGAAGACATGCATGTATGCAAAGCAGGTGAACGTGTTTCCTATCACAAGGTTAAAAAGACCTCATGAACTCCATATATGTAGGTTCAAATACCTTTGAGCATCATACTATGAACCATTCCAGCCGCCCATCTCGAAAGTTTGCCAGATCTGTTAAATTCCGCCTCATCGAACAGCGCTCCTATACTCGGATGTACTTCAATAACGTACTCCAACGGGGCTCCCGACTCGATCATAGCGGCCCCTTCTTGGAGTACATCTGGAAAGGCGAACCTCACTGATCCTGGATCTGGTCTTGTATTGACAGTCATCATTGCCCAGGTCGGCAAGAAGAGATTATTGACCTGTGTGTCCTGTACATTTTCGGGGTAGTTGTTGGCCCGAACACCGCTAGAGAAAGGCAGGTTGCCGAAAAGGTTGCGCAGGTTAAGGTTTGGATGTATCCGGACGGTGTTGACAATAGGCTGGCGACTGCGAATATGGGTAACATGGATAGACCTCATCGTTTCTCCTTTTTCTGGTGAGGGGAACCGGCTCCTACTAGTATCCGCTGGCGATCCAGCTGGCCCCTGACCTCCTTCAACTAACAGTCTTGGGTCGAGCATCCCGTCCATATCGCTGTAGATATCGTCCTCATCTTCACTCTCGCTAATAGCGAGGAGATAGTCTTGTCGGTCGAACAATAGTGACAAGAACTGACGGCCATCGACTGGTTCGTTACTCAGAGCTGTTGACTGTTTTCTCTTTCCAGTAGATCGTGAGGATATGGCAGCCGAGTTTGGTGTCGCCGCCCAACTTGGAGGTTGCTCTGAAGACGAAGTATGCGATGTATTAGAATCGTGTCGTGGTTTTAGGCTCCCGGTAGCGTCGGTCAATGGATACATCGAATCCTGGCTCACGCCACTAGTAGAAGTACCGCTAGAATCCTGAGCCTGTAAGCTAATGGGGTAGGTCATTAGGTGCACGAAGTGATATGAAAGGAAAGCGATCCTAGGCGTACCTTGGTGGAGTACTCACAAGCATCATGGAAGCAGTCGGAGGCAAAGACCTTGCGATATTGTCCACGCGCTCGCCAAGTCTAAGCCGTGCGAGTAGCGTTGAGGCCTCGATGTCGCTGCCAGAACGTAGGACACTCATGACGCGCTCAACCTCCTCAAACCTGCTGGACATGCCCTCCCTCTTCAGCAGCTTCATACGCTCGGCTCGAGACACGCCCTCTGCCACATCGTATTGACAAATAAGATCGCCATCTGTACAGCGCGTGCACCTGGGGCGTATGCCATCACACTGAGGAGAGGTAAGTGTTTACCTCTTTCTAGGGGCCATTTCGGTCGTGATCTTACTTTAGCCTTACCGCTGCGACATTGCACACACGCGACAGCGACCGTTTGCCGTCTCTTCTTACTTCCAGGTGCAAAGCGCTGCTCGCCTGGCTCACCTGAAGCGGGAGCGATAGCTTTCCATCGCTCTGGATGCTCCATTGGCTTCGTTGTGTGCTCAAAAGATAGGTATCCCCGCTTAAGTGGATCGGCGATAGAGTCGTCATGGGTTGACATAAGGCAAGAAGTGGTCTGGGCGGTTCCCGAGGTCGCCTTGGGGCTTGGGTTGTTAACGGAAAGCTGGCCGCGTCGCGCGCAAACTTAAGGACTTCAATACAGCCAAAGCCACAACTTGTGACATAGTTGATCAATGAAAATGGGAGGTCTCGGTAGAGATTTTTGAAAGATTGCTCGGTAAGAAGAACCGACTGAGCTGGTTTGCCGGAGGAGATCGCCTAGCCAATAGGAAAGTGTTGTAGTTTTCAGTACGTGTTTACTTGAATTTCAGGTCCGCAAGTATGCTTACATGTCAATACAAAGAGAAGAGGGTCGGAACCTTGCCAGAGGCTAGAACCTACGAGAAAACACGCCACAACCTAGTGCAGGAAGGATTCTGCCACCAAGGAGAGTCGCTCGCTGCCCAGGTACCATGTCTTCAACGGGACTTCAACAAACAAGCTTGCGAAAGCTGTACGTATGCCTTGACGATACCCAATAGATCTTCTTGATAGCTCTCGGCCACGTCCGATCCATGCAGCGCGATGAGGCATGATCTCCACGGAGTGTTGAAGGACTAGCTTGGCCAGTCTGGTCCTTGCAGCACGTTTTGAGTAATCGGACCCTGATTTCCAATGGGGGTGCCCTTCACCGAGGCTTCCACTTTTAGAAAACTTGGGGTAGTTGCCATGGCTCACTGCTAGCGTTTGCGATGATCTCCAAGGAGAGGAATGAGAAAAGATATCACAACGAGGCATAATGGAAACGCATAGTACTTGATACCAAGACCCGGGTCTGGTTATCCATATTGAAAGCGCAGGTTGAGGACGTTGGACATGAGAGCATGTTATACCCCACGACAGCTGACGTCATCCCCCCGCCACTACAGATCTGGGCTTCCATACGGCCTACTTTGTATACAGATCTACCACGGATTCTCAGATCGGATCGCGCGTCAAATGAGTGTTTGTGTTCAGTACCGGGACTTGAAGGTATCATGTCGTTGGCGACCAGCTTAGAGAGCAGATCGGCTTCGAATCGTCTGCATCTGAAGTTTCGTACATCGTGATTGGTACCTATCGCCATATAATCATTATGAGGGTTTAGACATATCCTTACTTCAGTGCGAGGTCAAATCACAGCACTTGATGTCCATCTCTACAACACAGGCTGTTACCCAAGGCGAGATTGGCATCCTGATTCGCCAAAAGCTCAGTACTTCGACGTACCTCTCCACAATCATATTTGGACAGACTGAATATTCGAATGCCCTAGTCTTCGTTGAGCCCATCGATGTTCTTATACAGCGATGGCGCCTATCGCGAACGTCCTTCACGCCGATGTCAGAATGTACACAGCGGATGCGTATGTCGATGTTCTTTGTTCAAAGCGCTCGCTGACTTGTACAACGAGTGATTCATCGGGTTTGAGCATGACTCCAGCTATGGCAGATGGCCGATGGCGTCTGCGCTTTGAGTTGTTCTGATATCGACATCTAATAAACCTGGAGCCTTGATGACTCTGGAAACAGGTGGGAAGCTCAAGGGGACTTGAATTAGCTGTTGGATTTCGAAGTGTGTATTAAAAACAACTCCGAGGTTCTAAATGTTTGCTGCTTGCCACGGGAGAGTGGTGGAGAGGTATCAGGGGGTTTCCAAGGGGTCAGCAAACACTGGGTAGCTACATCGTGACACTTAGGTATGCCACCGCAATCTTCGCTCTCACAGCGAACGATGCGGTTATTTTTAGCGAGACATACGACGTACCTTATTTCGATGCATGCAATACGGATTCTCGTGCATAGCGGCGGGTGCCTGATGAAGCGCCAGCGCCGGGAGCGGGCCGCCGTCGTCCTAGAGCCATTGGAGTTAAGACCATGCTCGCCTTTCGACCCAAATTAGGTTCGCCCAAGTTTCGAGAAAAGCAATAGTGGTATGAAGGGAGTGACCAACGATTCAAGTAGTAGTTGCGAAGCTTCTCCGGTGACCAGGCGTTGCAAGAAGAATCACGCATACCTACCTAGGTAGGTTGCTGGTGACTATTCAGGTGGCTGGGTTGACGATCACGCAAGATCGTAGGATTGCAGTCTCCTATTAGGTCTCCATATTTGGTCGTGACAGGGGTTATTCAGTGGTAAGAGAAACGGCATGTGTGGCTTTTGAACTGTGATGGTTCGATGATGCAGTAAACCCTTTTCGATCAATCAACGATTCACCATTCCAGAGTTCCGGTTCGAGAAGACCTGCTAAGCATGTAAGGGAAATAAGGCAAAAGCTGTTCTTCTTGCACTTCTAGTCTTGAGATAGAGAAGCAACCAAGACCATCCTCGAAATATAGTTCCACGTGTGAGTAAAATACTCATACATGGGCGTAGCTTTAGTACTGCATGCGTATATCTTAGATCTTAGCCCCTCTCAGCCCCACAGCACGGGACCCGCAAAAACTCCAATTTCACTCAACTGCACCCGAGTGAGCGCACACTCACCCCACTCTCTGACACTTGTTGGGCCCGCGCTTGGCTTGAAGTTGCAGCGCGCTGAGCATCATAGGAACCCAATTGGACGATGGATGACATGTAAGGCCTCCTCGAGCTACGAGCGTACATCAAAGCTGCTCACACATTTCCCCAGCTTTATCTGCAACCAGCTAGAATCGCCCTTCCTGCGTCTGCCTGGTGAGGTTCGTAACCGTATCTACGAATACGCGCTTGGAGGCAAAGTCATATCGTACAATCAGCATCACTCACACAGTATCGATGCCGACTATTATCGGCAGCATGGCTACGGCACTCCTGAGCCTCACACAGTCTCGACGCTACTTCATTTGACAGCGACGTGTCGTCAAATACATGCTGAGACTGACCTGCATATCTTCAAATATAACGAGTTTCTGATCAATACAAGCACGGTGCTCCAATCTTTCGTTGAAGCTTTATCGCAGAGACAACTGAGCGCGATCAGAACCTATATCTGGCCGCAGAGGAGTGGTTACGTCACGGATGAGATGATGGAACAGCTGGTGGGGATGCGGAAGATCTTAGTAGCAATGCAAGGCGACGGCCAGATCGCGAGCGACTTTTGGATTCCGGGCGAGGATGCAACCCCAAGAGTGCATTTGTGGTACGAGAGAAAGCGTCAAGTTGCTCTCGCAAGAATTGATGCGTGGAGAACAAAGGGAATCGAAATCGAGATCTACGAGTAATGACGCTGGATTTGACTGTGGGATCTTTGCGTCCAGCTTAGGGCACCCACAACGACACTCTTCAGATCCCTACTTGCGTCGAGTTCGGGCGCACATCAAGCTTTAGCATATCAAACGGAGCACGGGACACATAATCTGCAAATACCCCTTCAAGCGTTCAGCCAAAATGCAGCTAGTTTCAAACCATCAAATATCAAATCTACGGTGTGAACCGATATATCTATCATCCACGCACTACTTTACAAACAACGCCCAAATACAAAGTGAATCTCTAGATGTACTATCCCAGATAGCTCAACGGCCAGCAACCATCTCCATGTCCGAGCCATCGTCCATGCTCTTGCCACGAGCTGCCTTCTTGTTCTTGCCAATGGTGTTGCCGAGCGCAGGGAAGCAGTATCCAGGGTGGAAGACGGTGAGCACTCCGACAGCGATGACGATCATCGCACCTTCCAGGATGATGAACTCAATCTCGTTGCGCATCAGCTCACTCCTCCAGCCGCCGGAAAGCTCAGGGATACGGTAGACGCATCGAATGAGAATGACCAGGTATGCAGTAGCAATAGCGAACATGAAGCAGCGGAACGCCCTCGAGTTGAACAACTGCATCGACTCAAACGAGAGCTGGTCGCGGCGGCGGTGCGTGCGGATAGCATACTCAGCAAGGAAGTACCCGAAGAAAATGAGCACGACAACCTGGAAGATGACACCCGCAATCATGAGGTTGGTACCGAGATCCTGTGTGGAGGAACCTGGGTCACCGGCTGAGGCGAGACCACCTCCTGCTCCCTGAAGCACAAGCGAGATCAGGTCGCCGCAGATGAAGATGTATGTGTACCACGCTGGGCGCAGCCTTGACCAAGACTCTCCGAAGTTGATGACGACGTGCTTGAGCGTGATGTAGATACCGGCCGCGATGAAAGCGGGACTAATGATCAGGCAGCAGATCTGGCTCATGAAGCCGGCATCAGCAAATGGGTCGTTGTACCTGTGTCACTCAGTCAGCCACTATTACTTCCAGGTTGGGGAACAGAAGAAAACTGTAACTTACATGATGACTCTGCCGGCGTAGCCGACACCCTCACCGATGCATCCAAGACAAAGTGCGATCATGTACGTCCATGTCTTGTATCGGATACCCTGGACGAGTTGGACGATCAAACAAAGCCCGAAAAAGGCGGCGAAGAATGCGTTTGCGCCGAGCGATGGAGCATAGCCGTAGAGAGTACCCTCAATCGTACACTCCACGTCAACCCCCTTCCAGTTAACTACTTCACCGATAGCGGTACAGTTGCTTGGGTTGGGAGGTGGGATAGTCATGGTGGCGGTTGCCTAAGATGTAAGGGTCGGATTCAGAGTGGTGACGATGTTGTAGAGAAGCTTTTGAGCTCTTAGATGCTGTTTGGTTTGGATTGCGATGGAGTGACACTGATATGGGGCAATCTAGATACCTTATAACTATCGATGTGTTTGGCAGTGCAGTCCCAGCACAGCGCTCTCTACTGGTTTCAATGCGCAGTGCTTAAATTGTGGGGACATCGTACAGGCTGACGACAGTCCTTCTAGTTTCCCAAAAGAGCTCAAAGTGCGATACGATTCGTACGCTCGCACTTCAAGTCGGATATCTTGGCGAGTCGTCGGGGCAGTTCAATCCCCGACTCTTCGCGCCTCGAGCCACGACAGGCTTAGTGCCTACCGTAAAGGCCGGTGTGGCGCTGAGGCCGTTCAGTCATTGGCTCGTTCGCATCCGGAACGCCTTGCGTCACGGTGGAGCGGCGGAGCAGCACTGGGGGAGGCATTGGTTGTCAGCTTGAATCAAGGAGCGGACAGTGGTGTTGGATGGGAATGTTTCGACGGAGCGGAGTTCGACCGGCGAGCGCCTTACGGCCGGGTTTCGTGGGCTTAGCTTCACCGGAATGTGCTGCTGGCCAATAAGACACAGGTGTACAAGCCGTGTACGAAAGCAGACCACTCGCATCAAAGTAAGACTTGCATGTTTGGAAGCTTAAGCGTGGCTTCGTGGTGCTGACCCTGACGTGGCCTGAGGCTGAATTGCACTGCCTCGTGTGCCTGACAGGTCGGAGTCGGTAGATCTGTGCTACTGTGCAACGTCAACTTCGCAATACCAAACGGGAAGAAAATGCGCATGTATGACCATGTCATCTTTACCTGCAGAAGTGTTCACCGCTTTACTACCTCAGTGTTCCTGGAAATAGTATTGACGGAGATGCCAAAGTCTCATCCACAGTGTTGGTAACGTTATTGCGCAGAGTAACTTAGCGGGATCCGCTGAAACCTGCACTTCGTCAGCAGTCTCATGAAGGCTCCGCTCCGTCTTTGTTCGCTTCCGCTCCCATCTCAAGGAGATTTAATGAGCCTTAGCCCCGTAGGCCCGCATGCGGCAGCTCCTTGAACGACTGTAATTTGAGGTTTTGGCACCTACTCATTTTTGCTATCATCGGCCTTCAAACGGTGTGTATCAAGGCCACTGGAAATACCATGGGACGCCTCCAAGCTAATGAACCCTTCACCTGTGCCTAGATCTGGGTTGATGGTTATTTCCGCATGCAAGGAGACCATCAGGCTCGTCAAATCTCTCAGGAATCTCTCGTTCGATCACTTACATGCTGACACTTTAAATCTCCGCAGTAGCAGTTCACTATCGTCGTTTCCTGTGGCCCGTAACTACGATAATCACATTCCATTGCGTCCTGCAGTGTGCTCCTAGAAGTCGCACTACAGTCTCTCCGGTCCAGGGTTGTGTTATCAGAGCGAGGACGTGTCTGTGTTGGATCCCACCCGAGTCTTTGATGCGAGGTCGAAAGATCATGATCCTCCGAGGACGTCTCAATATTGCCAAGAATGCATGCGATAGCGTTCAGCCTGTATCTCAGACAGCTCTTTGGCTATCACAGCGATTGATGTACGAGTCTCGGATGCAAACGCCAATAGCCAGAGCCTACGTGGGTCACACTCGAGGCTCTGATGCCCAAGCCGATAACTACGAACCGGCATAACAGTATGAGCCGTGCAACCGATAATGGGAGGAAAATCCGAGCTCGAGGCAGAATAGTAACGGCGTGGCTGGACTAGTCAATCCTCACGTAGATGACGTCAGGAACAGCCATCGTTACGGTCAGCAGTGGGCCGAACATGAGTTCACGTCGAAGAAGAGCAAGTGACGAACTGTTGTAGATGGTAACCGCCTCGATGACACTGTAAAGTTATTGTGCGGCTACTCGACGGAGACATCGTGTGTGGCAACAGAACGGCGATCCAGCTGACGAGCGCGGGGCAACAAGCCATTCGAAGCATTCGTCAGCCACAATCTAGAAACTCAGTTCCGGTATTCGCTCCCTCTCAGCTGCGAGGTGTGTGTGGACGAAGTTTCGGCTCTCCGCAACGAGTCCGTTATTGGCTTGTTGAGATTGGGTGGTCTAGTCGTGACAGCCGCAGGTGGCGGTGATCTACATTTCCGCGTCTCCTACCCCGCCCAGACGCGGCCTGCCAGGCACAGACTTCAACGACAGCCTTGCAACATGGTTCGCAACATGACTTGCAACATAGCTCGCAACATGACTTACAACATGACTTGCGATACTCAGATGGGTGTCCTGAACAACGCATTCCCAGGTACCTTGGTATGTTACTTCGTAGCAGTTTGAACCAGGCCTGGGTGGTATCAAATCCAAGACCATTAATTTGGTTTACCGATGAACGACAGCCGTACGCTACAGTTCGGTCCCTTAATCCCCGGGTGCAGATCACTACATGAACACTCGAGGTACCTTGGTTTCTGGCATGCTCCGCACCAATAGAAGATCTCCGGGTGCATATTGTCCCACGCCACAACATGCAGGTAAACATTGAGGCTCAAGAGCAATGCCCCTCCCAGTCTAGCTTCTATTTATACTCCTGATCGGAGCATTATCTGGCATAGATCGACACGAACAAGCAATGGACACCCGGAACATCGTAAAGCTTGTCCAGGAGATGTAGTCATAGCCCAAATGAGGCTTTATGGGGCGTCCGGATCATCGGCAGCTGTACGATTTAGACTACCGTGCTCAACAGTATTTTATGGCATGTACGTCTCCTTCGTTCGACCCCAGAATACCCCCAACCTTGCATATCACAATGCTCGCTTCTTTCACACTTTTGCTGGCAGCATGCACGGCCTTGGCGTCTGCAAAGGTGGTCACCTATGACTTCGACATTGGTTGGGTTACGGTAAGTCTATATCAAGATAACGATAGATAAGTGGGTGCTCATCAAGATAGGCCGCCCCAGATGGCTACTCTAGACAGGTCATTGGTATCAATGGCAAGTGGCCGTAAGCATCACCTGCCAACTTCGTCACTCACGCTCACAAAACGATAGTGTGCCTATGATTGAAGCAGATGTAGGCGACACTATTATCGTAAATGCCAAAAACTCTCTTGGTAATCAAGCCACATCGCTTCATTTCCATGGGATGTTCCAGCAAGGATCAGCTCAGTCTGACGGCCCTGTGTCGCTCACACAATGTGCCATTCAACCTGGGGGCTCGTACACATACACTTTTATCGCCAACCCGGCAGGAACACACTGGTATCACTCGCACAACAAAGGACAGTATCCCGATGGTCTCCGTGGCAAGATGGTCATTCACGATAAGGCATGGGAGTCTAGCCTAAACATAAACTCACAAATGACATACTCTATGTCTGACTGGTACGTGTGCCGAACTTGTCGCGCAACAATTTGACCAACAAGTTTAGGTATCACCGACAGATGCCTGATATTATCAACGACTACATGAGCCCGAGTAATACGAATGGCGATCTACCGTCTCCGGACTCGATCCTGTTTGACGACAAGAAGCAAGGTCAAAACATTCAGATCGCTGCTGGCAAGCGATACCTACTCAGAATCGTCAACGTTGGTGCTTTGGCATGCGGTCAGTTCCATATCGAAGGCTATAAACTTAATGTTGTCGAAACAGATGGTGTGCAGGTTCAATCTACACAAGCAGATACCATTCTCATCTGCGCAGGACAAAGTTACGGTGTGGTCGTGGAAGGAAAGTCCGCCTCGCTGGGTCTCTCAGCCAACGCAAACTATATTGTCAAGCTCACAACGGATATGCTTACTAGTAACATTCCACCGGCAAGTCAGATCACCATCATTGGCAACATTGTGCAAAGTCTTCTGGGAAGTTTGCTCAGTATCGTCCAAAATCTCCTTGATTTGAACTGGGCTCCAGCTGCTACTTTTGACGACTTCAACTTGAAGCCTCTAGATGGCCAAAAGCTTCTTTCGCCGGTTGACAACAAGATTGAGCTTGCGACAAATCAGACCTTCTACCCTGGCATCGGCACACGCACAGGCCTCGGGCCTCAACCTTGGGTGCCTGCGAAGGTCCCTTCGCTGTTCACTGCACTCACAACTGGCAACGCAGCTCTTGACCCTGCGACTTACGGCCCCGGTGTCAATCCGTGGGTGGTCAGGTCAGGTCAAGTCGTCCAGATCCATCTACAAAACACCCACCCATATCCACATCCCATGCATCTTCATGGTCACGGTCAGTAATCCTCCAAGGTCGCAGTACCTTTTAATCTCTGTATGATTCCTTTGTGCAGGCACTGACTCGCAACAGTTTTCCAGATTGTAGCAAAAGGAGTTGGATCTTGGAACGGCAACGAAGGATCATTGCCCGCTGTGCCCTCCAAGCGTGACGGCGCTGTGGTACCGGCTGAAGGCTATATTGTCCTCCGCTTCAAGGCTGACAACCCTGGTGTGTGGTTCTTCCACTGTCACATCGACCTGCATCTTGTTGGCGGCATGGCTGCGACGATCATAGAAGCACCAGATGTCCTGCAGAGTCAGCAATCGATCTCATCGGCATCACAAGGACTGTGCAGTGCCAGCAATTCACCGTCAAGTGGTAATTGCAATGGTGGTCAGGGTGCTATCTCCGCAAGCGACGCCGCGAGCAAGTGCAACAATGTGTACAACTTCAAGGGGCCGAATTCCGCTGTTGTTAGCTGAGGTCTAGATTTACCTGAGTCCAGAATTAGAACCATATCTACTGTTGCAGCGTTCCCATGTCAAACGCGTTTGCGGGACAAAGTACTCCTGGTGAGATCTATTGGGTCAAGTGCCTAGGTAACATTATTTGCCTGGTCGGTTAGACTTGCTTCGGTCGCCGGAGTCGGGAGCCGACGGCACTGTTTTAGTTTCGTGTTTGATCTTCACACTCTTTACACCTCACATCAGCCACACTAGCATCTGCGATATTTTCTTGGATTGGCAGAGCGATTATCGCTTGCTTTGACGCATGTATCTACATTGAAGCTAGTGGGCGCGTTAGGACGCGGATATTCAGGTCGGGACGCGGATGTTCAGGTCGGGATGCGGATAGACGGCTGAAGAGCAGGAACGGAACGTCTCGACACTTTCTGGCTCCCAGAAATGTTGTTATCACAACAGCAATGTTTTTTCAAGTGACCTCGGTGTCCAAGAGTGTTTGATGGCCTGATACACTCATCATGTTTCTAATGTAAGCTCCAAGCTACCCTTTCTGGAGATAGGAGACGGCTTCCCGCGCAGATGTGTTTCACCCCGCGCTTCACCAGAATCTCGCGTTTCATATCTACCTTTCAAAGTTCTTGCGTCCCTTGTGGCCTCTGACTTCTTTATAACTTCCAATCTGCGATATCTGCAACAGACATGACCTCTCTCACACCTCTCTACATCCTCATTATCTATAGCATTGTTGTATTAGCTTTCAACATGAAAGGCGCAGTCAGCTTCGGTCTCTTTAGCTCAGCGGTAGCTCTCAACCATGACAAACTGAACCAAGTTCCACAACAAGCACTACTACAAGATGCATGCCCGTCGGATTCGATTCTCCGTGATGGCGAATGCCTCCTTGCTGCCACAGCACCTTCAGAGATTACATACAAATCCAACATTACAACCTCGCTTGCCGAGGCACGACTCACAGCATCGCAACAACCAAACTTCCCATGGACTTTCTGGCCTGAATGCTTCTCAAACGAAAACATTGCGGATGCGTACTGCTTGTTCAGCGATCAAAGCTTCGCAAATGGTCGCGGTATCTTCATAGTCACAACAGAGCCGTTGGCATATAGTTTGCTTCAAAAACAGGCTTTCCAGAATCCAGATTCGTTGTACCGTTCGAATCAACACGCGAATCCGCCTTTTGTACAGCACGATTTCCCGATCAAAGGTCGTGGCCTGGTCGCAAACACAACGTTATTCCGTGGCGACCAAATTTTTGCGTCAACACCACTGTTGATCACCAATTCAGGCGCCTACGACTTGATTGAGTCCGAGCGTCTTGATCTACTCTATCGCGGTGTGGAGACTTTGCCCGAGGCCTCTCAAAAGCTGTTCTGGGGACTTTTGGACCATTTCAAGGGCGACCCCGTCGACGATAGGATTTCAACCAACAACTTCGAAGTCACATTGGATGATACCTCGCACGCCGCGTTGATGCCAGAAATTGCTATGATGAACCATGACTGTCGGCCGAATTCCGCTTATTTCTGGGACGAGGAAACTCTGACACACCATGTGCATGCGATGCGCACGATTCAGCCTGGCGAAGAGATTACCATTTCATATGTCGACAGCGAAAGGAATCGAGAACACCGTATGAGGCGACTCGAGAACAGCTGGGGTTTCAAGTGCAGCTGCTCGGCTTGCACAGCACACCCGTCCCTGACTGCCGAATCGGATGCCAGGCTGGAACAGATCGCCGAGCTCGTTGGAAAACTCAATGACTGGACTCCATCATCTTCTGCCACACCTGAGATGGCCGAGGCCGTTGTCAGCATGTATGATCAGGAGCGTCTTTGGGCTTATCAAGCCACGGCGTACAAACATGCAGCAGAGGTGTACAGCAGCTTCGGTAACAAGTTCATGGCTATTAAGTACGCGAGGTTGAGCGTGGAATTCAGCATACTCGACAAGGGTTTCAGCGACGGCGATGTCCAGGAGATGAAGAAGATGGCGCAAGACCCCGGAATGACCTGGAGCTGGAACAAGAGGGTGGGTCTCAAGAAGGCTGGATGCGGATGCGGCAAGGCACATTAAACAATGAGTGTTGTTTAAGAAGATTGTTTGTTTGTTTTGCATTGCACCGGCGTCCACTACAGCGTACATAGCCTAGACGGCTTTTTCTCCAATGACAACATCTCCATCGCCCTTCTCCATGTCTTGCTTGTTACTGCATTGTCTAATCCACCTCCGTATAGCCAAACCGCCCTCTACGATCAGAACCATTGCCACCATGCTAGTTCTAGTGCCCAAGATCCGTACATAAACCACAGAGAACATGCCCATCGATACCCTGAACGCAGTGCGTGCCCTCCTTGCACTCATCCTAATTGGGTGACATCCCTTTCTCAAACATGCAAGCCAAACTGTCTTCGCGCTGAGCCATCCAAATGGGAGCGCAATAATGACGCTTTCAGATTGCGTGAGTCCAACCCATGACCCTCCCAGCAAGCACCCGATCATCCACAGCACAGTAAGAGCAGCCGAGAGATCGGTTCCAAACGGCATCATACGCCCTATCGACATGAATTGGAACATAGTGCAAGCAGTTGAGCTCACGATGAAGGTGGTGGTGATTAAGGGACTCCATTTGACATAGAATGGCTCGAGCTGGGTGTGTTAGTCATCATCGGTCGATACGGTACAGGCATCTGGATAGAAGAAACTCACGATGTAGAACCCACCATAAGGCCAGTGGTCGATGTGTTGAGTAAATATGTATCGCACGATAGGGCTTTCGATGAACCATGCGCGCGGAAAGAATTGGGTTCGCACTGAAAGGAAGATTTTTGAGATGACAGAGACCAACCAGGCTAGCCAGTAGGCAAGCATGAAAAGAGCAATGCTTCGGCCTGGTTTCTCTGTTTCTTCCTCGACCTCGGCCTCTTTCTGGAGCTTGGGATCAAGGTGAGGTTCCTGATTCACTACTTTGGCGTCAGACATGGTGATGGGTACGTGTAGCGGTGGTTTGAGATGTTGGAAAAGTTACTTCAGAGGCTAGATATAGCAATGAGTAGGAGGCGCGTATCATGACCAACAATTTGCCTAATCATTGATCATGTTGTTGATTTTGCTTACTCACCTTCATTTTGATCTAGCCTTCCCGTTTCCGATGCCACCAGGCCCGAATGAGATTGAATACGGTCCATCATTGGCTAATAATAGAACAGCCTCGCCTGTTCCGACTGCTACAATCTTGCTTTGCCAAATCCATGAGGCCGTCGTCGGTCGAGATTTGAGTGCATGAAATGCAGATATTCCATTCTGCCTAAAGCTAGGAGGGTATCAAAACACAAAGCAGACGCTACATGCTAAGCTGAGATTGCCAAAAAGAAGAAAGGTCAATGGTTCAGAGATCCTCAGCAGGGCCTATGCCGCTATATAATACATCAAGCTTCAGATCTTCGACTTCGGACTTCCAGCTCTTGATCTTGGGTATCGTGATTCGCCAGCCATGGTCTTCCGTAACTTCTAGTAGCTCCGTGGACTTAAGCTCCGCATCCTCTGCACCTGTCGCGCAAATGATGAAGGTAGAGAGATAGAAATAGACGAATGTATGTTTGTTGTTGATGTGGTGTTGGATGTAGTACTGCCAGGCGTGGGCAGACCAGGGTCGATCGAACGCTATGACCTATAGTTAGAATATGGACCAATCAGGTTGATAAATTTACTTACGCATCGCGTTCCAGTGATAGATGTGCCCTTCTGGAGTAGCAAAGTTCGACCCTATGTTACCAAGACTTCGCATCGTAGGCATAGGCCATGCACAATAATGCGTTTGAATGGAGCCCTTTGCCATGATGCCATCTGGATGTTGTTGTTTCCATGACCTCGCAAAGTCTTCCAGCGAGTTGTTAGGTGGAAAAGGCAACGAAGCCGCTCTCTGACCGTCGACAGTCGTTTCAGCGTGTTCGTAAGGGAAGTATAAGTCGAGCGCGCCATCTGAGCCTTGCACGATCACCGGTTGAGACTGCGGCTCCTCCCAGTCTTGAGCGAGCGAAATAATGCCCAGTCGCTCCATGTCCTCGACAAGTCGTCGGATGAAACGGTTCTCGTTACGCGTAAGCTTCTCAGATGCAAGCTCCCTTTGACGGTGTGCGATCAGGTTCGGGTCCGGGTTGTAACATCTGAAACGATTACCATCGTACTGAACGTCATGAGGCGGTGAGTAACGAAGCTCGGGTGAGCATTCAATGATCATCTCTTCCAAGAAGATCTCTTGAACGGAAGGCGGAATGACACTCCGGATGACACGTTTCGCAATGGATCGAGGGGAAGGATCCCCAACCAGCATCAGTAGGGTGTCTTGAACAATGTCCAGAAGTTCGAACGGTTGACCGACTTCACGGTCGATGATGATAAACTGCCAGGAATCAACAACAATAGGGTCGTACATCGAAGTCTTTCGCAGTCGCAATTGGTTTTTGATGTCCTCCAGAGTCATGAGGGTGGTCCATGTCGCATCATGAAGGCCTTCGCGCGTTGAAGCAGACCTATAACGATTGATGAACAATTCAGGCTCCGTAGGGTGCACAGTAGCTTCCGCACTGGTGCCCTCATAGACGACGAGATGCAGCCGATTGGTCCGTTTGCGCAACTCTTCTAGGAAATCTCGCGTGAAAGGGTCACCCATCGCCATCTGACCACAGAGGTAGTTCCTTGACTCGACGTGGACGTAAGCTTTTGTCTCTTCCTTCAACTGGAGACTCGACGAAAAGTCTCCCTTGCTTGTCGGCACGAAGCCGAGATAAACGCCGACAGAACACTCATTCAGTATACTCCCTGGGTCGGACCAGTGCTCGTTGTACATACCAAGCATCAAGAGCTTGCAAATGGTAGTGTAGTCTTCGAAGTTAGAGCAGATGCTTGCGACGGTCCAGGGTGTAAGAAGAGTAGGAAACCACCGGTAACTACGGTCTGATTAGATCGATGCATTGCAGTAGGGCGGTAATACATACAGTATGTCCCAGGCAGGCTTGGTCATACGGAGACCTTCTGTGGAGCTGGGGATCACGCCGCCAAGAAGACGAATCGATTTGATGTCGCCTCCAGCCAATGTCTGTGCACAAATGGCTACACGCAGATATTGTACCGCCTGAGGTCGCCATGCATTTTCGAAATAGTCGCAGTACATCTCAAGATGGCTAGCCTGGCAGCCAGCGAGGAATTCATCGATGCATCTCGACCTGCTCGCATGCTCGAGCACTTCTGCTTCGCTATCGTTCAGAACCATAATTCGGAACCATGCCCTTACAATTTCCACTCCAAGATCGATTTGATCACCATTGGGTGTGTCATTTCTACGCAGCGGCCGATCATCGAGATCCGGAACGATACTGTAGAGGCGATTGATAGCGTCGTTACACAAGTCCGTTTGAAATTGTTTGAGAATTCTGATGCTCCCATCGTCGGGCATACTTTGGAGCGAGCTCATGGGTATTCTGGGGCTAAGTGGGGATTGAAGCACCAAGATCTTCTCAAACTGCGCAGTGTCTGGGTATGGCGTAGCTGACTTAGGGGTCTCAGGCGTTGGACGTCGGTCCTTCATGTTCGACACTGCAGCGCGTTAGTAACAAATCGAGTTCTAAGCTCATAGGTAGCCGTGCTGCGTCGCAAACACATCCCTCCATACGCTGGCTATGAAAGCGTTTGCAGTGGGGCTTCGAGTATTCAGAACGATGCAACATACTCAACAATGCATCAGCGAGCTGTCTAGTGTCGCTCTCGACCTTGGCAATCCATTTGGTGTAGTCCGGTGTATCCACACCGCGGGTATGGAATCTTTCCCGTAATCGTCGGCGCAAGTTCATGGCTAACTGCAGCTTCTGCATCTTTTGTTTCGCCGTTGAAGGATCTTTGACCTCTATCTTCTCTGCCTCTTTCTGGAATTTGTCCCATGCCATGTTCATATCCTTAAGATCCTGCGCATGCCTTAGACACCACACATCGTCCTCGGACTGCAGTGGCTTGTGACATGGTCGCCCATCTGATTCGATAGCCTCGCATATGTCTCCTTGTAGAGCAGGGGACCGCGGTGGTGATGAAGCCCTGATCAGGCTACGCGACTTGCTTTGAAAGGTTGGCCGACGTTCCTGTAGCGACGGTATGCGTAGCTGGATGCTCATGGCCGCTGCAATCGTAACTAATACTCAAAAGACAGAAAGTGAGTTAAAGGCAGGAACGACGAGAACTTCGAGGAAGTAAGCACACAGAGCGTACCAACGCCAAAAGCATTCCGGGTCAACAAGGCTTAGAAAGTAAAGACGGGAGCGCGCTGGTCTTCAATGGAGGGGCGGGCTCAGCCGACCCACCCCTAGGACTCTCAATGCGGCGTAGTCTGACGGGTGATCAGTTCAAGTCATCTCAGCCGCGGTGCATTCCAGTGCCTTCATACATAGCCGCGAGGGCGCTTAGTTGCAAGAGCAAGTGGCCCGTTCGCAACGCCTGCACCATCTTCAGGCGCCGAGAAAATGAACAACACACGTCCTTGTTGCCTCTCAGTTGCGGTCGGCATCAGGATGACACCGAGCCGAATGCGAATGAACAAGGGTGTTTGTCGTGTTGTTGTTGTCGCTACCGTTGTCCTGGTTCTCATCACGCGTTCTTCAAATCCGCGTCTCAGTTTCGGGCCTACTTGCATGGGGCTGCGAGCGCGGAAGACTGCCAATCAGAGGGCAGTCGTGTAAACTTGAGCGCGGCCAAGTGTGGGGTGGGTTGTGAGCCAAGGGTGATGACGATAAAGTAAAGAACAGATCCGCCAGTCACTATCCTGGATATGGGCACCGCTCGCAAGTGTCAGGGGTCGGAGGCGCGCCTGATTTCCGGTTAGCCTAATGTGCTCCGCTGCTATTGCGCGCGCGCGCTGTCAATGCCCAGCGCGTAAACTCAATCTCTGATTCGCGCGCCGCAAGCCTGGTATTATGTTGCCGGGAACGGTAGGGTATTAGGCCAAAAGGCTCATGCATCCTAGCCCGAAGGGCGAGAGGTTATGCCGTGATTCTTGATCTCTGCAAGAAGATTGGTGGTTAGTCGAACTGGCGCGTATGCATTGCATGTCACGAGCTATCGTCGGTTCAGAGCCCGAACGGCCCGCGCATTCGGCGGCTGAGTGGGTCGTCTATATTTCAGCTGGCGATTCCGCGATGCGTCAATGTGAGTGCACCCTCTTTTTGAGCCTTGTTGCCTTGCTGTCGTACTTGAAAGAGAAGGGCCGTTGTGGATCAGCTGCGCCTCAACGCTGCAGCTTGGGTTTGACCAAGTCACGTACCTACTGGTAGTTGGCAATCTGCGCGGCCTGCTCCAAGACTGGTGCGTTAATATTTACACTGGTAGCGACACTGCAGCTTAGGGCTAGACCAAGACCACCCTCAAACAGGTGCCGTAATATTCGCGTTGGTAGCCTACCATATTTACTGAAGTGGACAGCCCTATGAGTGGTTGTTCACGAAGTTAATTCCCTGCGGCTTGTTCTTATTGTAAAACTAAACAACTAGTTGGAAGCCTTCAGCGCTTCACAACGTGAATACTGTGCAGTAAAGCAAGGAGGCTCGCGCTATTGTCAGCGATCATAGCTCCGCCCCCTCTGGCAAGATCGATAGGCTGTGGTAGCTGGGCAACGCATAAGACCGAGCAGAAGGATGCAGTGAGGCAGTCAACGGCAGGAAACGGAAAGAACGTCCGCGGTAAGAACAGAGCTAGTGAAGCTAAGCGTCAAGCGCTACGGCTGTACCAATAAGTAACCTTTGTCCCAACCTTGTCAGCAATATCGCTCCTTCGTTACGTGGCGGTTCTAGAGCGGCTTTAGCGATTCGTCGATACTAAATGTTGGCAGTGTTGTACGCTATACGAAGCATGCACTGGTGTACCCAAACTATCATGCGATCACGAACAGTTTATTACGGGTTATTTTCAAGTTGATCAGCCTAATGAAGTGATCAGTACTCCAATGCCTCCTCAAACAACCCTCGCAACTGCTCCCTCTGATGATCCAATTCAGTCTCCAGATGCGGCGCCAGCATCAGTACTCTCTGCTGCGGAATCGTGCCTTCCACCAGCCCATCGATGTGCTCCTTCTTGAACCCTAGATCCTTCAGACCACGTGGCTGATCACCCAACTTGAGCAAGAACTCCGCCAACGCCTCACCAAGCACCTCACCAGCACTTTCCTTCTTCACATTCGAGATGTCCACACCGAACGCCTCCGCAGCAGCCAAATGCCGCTCAGGGTTCGACGCGCCCGTGAACTTGAACACAGCTGGCGCGGTAACGGCGACCGAGACGCCGTGCGGGATGATGGTATGGTCGACTTCGTAGCCCGCGTGCTTGTAGCCCGGATTCTGGCCTGAGATGGGGTACGACATGCCGTGGCACAGATGCACGCCTGCGTTACCGAAGCCTACACCCGCGAGTGTCGCCGCAAGCAGCATCTGGCTTTGTGCCTCGTGGTCATCTGGGTCTTTGACGGCGCGAGGTAGGTACTTGACTGTGTCGCGCAGGGCTTGCAGCGAGAAAATGTCGGAGATGGGGTTGGCACCTTGGTATGCAGGGCGCTGTAGTGGGTTCTGTGGGCGCGGTGTACGTTCGTAGTATGGAATGGCGGTCCATGATTCGAGCGAGTGGCAGAGCACATCGAGGCCTGAAGATGCGTGGACTGCGCTAGGCATTGTGCGTGTGTTCAGGGGATCGACTATGCCGAGGGTAGGCTTGAGATTGCGGTGAGCAATACCAGTCTTTGCCCGCTTTGAGACGAGATCGAAGATGGCAGTACCAGTAGTTTCGGAGCCTGTTCCTGCAGTCGTGGGTACTGCAACAAGGGGAAACAGCTTAGATGGGATGGGAAGACCCTTGCCGAGAGGAGCGTTGACAAAATCAAGGAAGTCAGCCTCTGAGGTAGGTTAGTACATTGCTTAACGTATCGTGTCGGTTAGAGGCTATCTTACCAGGGAACGTAGTGTAGAGATTCATCAACTTCGCCGTGTCAATCACACTTCCGCCGCCTACCGCCAGGAAAGCGTCCGGCTTCCAGGGTTTCGCAAACTCAATAGCCTCCTTGATACTGCTGTCCTTCGGCTCAACCCTGACTTTATCGTAGACCTCGAACTCCACCCCCTCTCTTGTCAAGCCCTCAACGACCTGCTTCATGGCGTCCAGCTTCCGTACATTTTGGTCTGTTACGACCATGACACGCTTTGATCCCATGTTCTTGAAGTCCATGCCCACCTCTTTCGTGCACCCGGGGCCGAAGCGTATACTCGAAGCGGCCATCTCGAAGGCATATTCTTTCTGCTGCGAGTAGTCAACAGGCGTTGCGAGGTGCCGGCGAGCCTGGTGGATGGTTGAGGGTGTCTGGTTGTGGTAGTTTGGGTTGGCGTGGCATGGACACGACGACGGATGAGTGAATTGAACGGTTCGAAGCAGATTTACAGCACGCGCAGCGCGTGAGGGTGCTATGCGGATAGCGGTTGATAGCGTCATCTTGTCTTGGTGGAGCTGGAGACAATGCGGGGTGTTTATGAGGGAGAGCTGCGTATGAGCTCAATTGGAGGATGTTCAGCTATATTGTTGAAGATCTAACAACTTCCGAGCCCCGTGAATGTTATGAGAGCTCTCTTCCGACGAGACGTGCGAAGTGCAAGGGAGAACAGCTTGTATGCGGAGAAGCGCCACCGGCGTGTATCACCGCGACCTCGGCACAATCGACAGATGGCGCTATCCCGAAGTGGTATACCGGATTGTGGGGAAACTTTACATTTTGATCGAGAACACTTCCCCATCCCATTATCAATCGCGGGGACCGCTGAGTAGAACAGCAAGAGCGTGCTCATCATGGATATGTCAGGGGCTAAGCAGTGCTTTACACGATCCCATACCTCTTCTCAATCCTCACTTCCACCCCTCTGCCAATCACGTCTTCAGTACACTACTGATGGCGTCCCACTTGTTCACTTCCTCAAAGATTCTCCCTCCAAACTAGACAGCCACCCGCCTCCCTTCACTTTGTAACGAAATCAAGCAGCTTCGCATCATCATTAACGTCATTCTCCACCAAGCTCCCCACCTTCCTCACCTCGCCTCCAACCCTCTGATACCTAACCAACTGCGGCAGCGCCTTAACATTCCACTTCTTCCTGTACACATTCTCTAGGTCTTTCCATCTTCAATAAGTCAGCAACTCTGTCACTTGCCTTCCCACGCACGCGATCATAGCACATACTCAGGTTTCTGTCCAACATGCACGTACGCCAGCCCCGGGGCATCAGCGCCCGCAAATACCTTCTCCAGGCGCGGCAGCGCGGCGCGCACGTCAGGACACCATGGCTGGTTTGTTGTGGGGTCTGTGGAGGAGATGAAGCAGAGGAAGAGTTCCGAGGTTGCGTCGTTGGCGAGCGGGAGGTCTTGCGCGGCGGCAGGCAGTTGGAAGTCGTGTTGGATTGGCATGGTGGTGTGCTTGGGTGTGGCGTAAGTCGAGCTTTGGGGGTGGGATGTGTACAGTGCTGCCATGGCTATGGCGCCATGTGCAAGAGGAAGAAATGTGGGGCGGATAATTTAGATCGTTTAATGCGCACGTGGCACACTTCTATCTTGCATGTTGGACGGTGTTTGGGACCTGCCTATTCTATCCTGCTTCGGCAGGCCCTTCTACCCATTCCACGTTCTCGTTCACCACTTCTACGCCCCACCTGATAACACCTCTCTTGTCCCTGAACCAGCCGAGTCTTGTCTTGATCCCAGCTTTCTCCATGCCCTCCACTCCAATCTCATTTACCAGTCTGACCAACTCGTCACTCCCAGCTACCATTGCAAGGACATCTGCCAGGCACTCTACATGCCGCCTCATTGATGTGCGCGGATAGACAGTCTGAAGCGCTACAATTAGTACAACTAGTATGACCGTGAGCAGGAACAAGATGGACAGTGAGAGCCATGTTGCCACTTTGTTCATGCTGAGGGCTTCGATTCGTTGCGTAATGGTACCATTGAACTCCTCGGTTGAGCCATCAACCTCGTATGCGGCTCTCGATAACGAGTACGAGTTATAAGTCCAGTTTGCAGAGGCAGCAAAATGTTTGAAGAAAGTTTGGAACGTCTGCTCGGAGTACTTTTGCAGCGCAGTAGTGTTGAGGAGTGCCGTGGCGTCTTTGTTCGCAAGAACGTAATTGGCATAGGACATGTAATCCATGTTTGTTCCCTTGTCGGTGTCGCGCAAAGTAAATCGCTCCGCACCGAGGTTTTCGATGGTTTGATTGTAGACCATCGTGCTTGTTGAGTAGGCAGGCTGGATGATGCTGGGCGCTGTCAACAGCTGAGAGATGAAATAAGCTCCAAAGCTGGGAATTGTCAGTCTCATTCATTAATCCGTTCAGATCAGGTAGGGTGCTTACCTAACGTTGCCCTCTGAATCATTCGACCTAGGAGTTCGATACATAACATCGTATGCGTAGTCCCATGCACCGGTTGCTTGATACGGAGGCTCAAGAAGCTCGTAATGGAGGATCTGAGCCGAGTCTCGCGCCAACGTGATGCTAGCATTGGCCTGCTCAATGACAGGATTGCACTTCAAAGTCGACATTTGCGGTTCCTCGGGAAAGTACAGAACGCTTTCGTTTCCATTTCCATAGGTAGCTGAGACGTGGTTCGGATCGCTTCCAGGTATCAGGGTAGACGCTGCTAGGCCAACGATCCATTTGATAGCAAAAGTCCTGGACCATCCGCTAGGCACCACAATATCAGCAGCGTCGTCGGGATTGATGGCTTGGTCGCCGACACCGATAGGCCGCGTGTCGTGGATAGAGTTATTACTAGACCAGTAAGCAATGATAGATGGAGATTCTTTGCTACCGTCGTTTGTGCAGCATGCCATTCGCCGTGGTACGCTGAAAACGGGTGCAGCGAACTGTGAGCCGGCGGAAAGCGTCAGAGGAAGAACATGACCAGTCACAGATTTGTTGAATCTGTTTGGGTATACATCTTTCACATCATCCAACCAATCAAGTCCAGCCATGTTGACTGCTTCGCATTCGAGTCTGCCTCGTAATGCTGAGGTGGTGAGGGACACATTCAAGGCCGACGTGACGTACCCATCAATAGCCTCGCTTTGTGTGCTAGACGCGATATATAGCATCTTCCGATCGTCTTGATTTGTAACGTTCACAGGCGTAAACACCCATTCATCCTTGGCCCACGAGAGTGGAGTTGTGCCGAGAGTGATGTCATCCAGCGCATTGTACAGCCAATCTGTTTCGGAGGTTCCAAGCAGCCCGTCATTCAAATAGAATGGACGACTACCAAGACCAGAACTGAATTCGAAAGGCTCCTGTCTTGCCCTGACTAGACGGGTTGTCATAAGGCTATTGGAGTCTGTGGACAGCTTGTGTATGACTGTGTGTCGTTCGAAGATCGCCGCCATAGCAATGACCACTATCAAGTTAGCTTTGTCAACCTGAAACCCGTAGGACACACTTACGAATCTGTGACAAGGTGGATCCGACCGTGACAAGACACAGCAACCAGTGTTTGACTCTTGCAGATCTGACCGCCGCCCACAACCAGTACGAAGACTGATATGACACTGAAAGGCCATGAGAAGGCTCCAAAGGTCCTTTCGACAGCGCCAGATAGGGCTGGAGGGTCCGCATTGACTTGTCGATACTGTCCCAGCATAGCCCCACTATAACAGCGATGAGAGTGGCAACGATGGCATGTGGTGAGAAAGTAGCATGGAAAGCATTGAAGCTGATTTGCTGAACGAATGCTGTCTGGAAAAGGGCGTCTTTGCTGGCAAAATCGTTCAAGATTAGCAAAGCTATCGCAATAGCTACGATGCTAAGAAGTAGGCATGCAAGCCATACTTTGTGAAGCATCGAGGGTCTCCAGTCGGTTTTTGGATGTTTTCCGACTTGGCTTTTGGGCTGCCAGAATCTTCGTTCTGCGATGGAAGCGGAGGGAGTGCTGCTTATCCCGTGTCCATGGTCTAATCCCTGTTGTCGGAGTGTGCCATCGTACACAGCGACTACCTGAGTTCCGACCTTGGCCTGTATCTCTGTGCGATCGTAAGCCGTCCAGGTTCTCAGGCAAGCCGTAAGCGAGGACGAAACGTCCGTAAGCGGCACAATACCAGCTAAAGCGCCAGGATCTGAGTCAAGATCGAGAGGTCTGCGGTGTCCTGAAACAAACCAGAGCATAGCAAAGGAGTAGCACGCCGCCAAGAATAACAGTATCGCAAGCGTGATGCTCACTCCCGGAACAACGACAATGCGAGTCTCTGCTCTGATGCTTTTCGCAGAAATGTCCTTCAAGACTGGAATGTCTGCATCTAGTACCGAAGAGGATATGAGCTCAGTGAAGAAGCGAGATCTCAATCTGCTGGCACGCTCTGGTAGCGTAGCGTTGTGCAACAAGTTTTCCAGCACGAGAGAGTAGGTCTTAGCAAGCAGCACTGATGGGCCCTCGAACCCTTGTATCCCACTGACTCCTCCTGGCACTGAAAGGTACTTTTGCCATGTTTTACCAAATGCGAGCTCATTCAAACGGTCTAAATCGATCATGCCTGTTGGCAAAGGCTGCTGGTTTCGTAAGAATTCTGCTTCATCGAAGAACACCCGCGACGTGGCATTGCCGATGACTGCTGTCACTGGGATAGTGGCCATCGAGTATGTCGGAGTACAGAGTTCTGCACGGACGGTAAGATTCTTCCAGTAGTCGGCTAGCGAGGGCTTGTATCTGACTGTAAGATCACCGAACCATGCAGGTGAGACAAATAGGAGGTCTCGCCCTAGACACTGCTGTGAAATTCCGTATATGAATGTTCGCCTCCATTGATCTTGGACTGACTTCCCTCCGGAATCAATTGGTGGGCTTCGGCCGTGCTCTTCTATCAGACTCTGCCATGAGATGTATGATGAGGACAGATTTGTCCATATCATCCCTCCATCCAAAGTCAAACTGTCACTGAAGAATGGCCCAATGGGTTGGTCAATTATGATGGCCCCATTTTCTCTAGAGGAAGGAGCAATAGGAGTCTGAAGCTGCACCTCACAACCATCCTCAGATCGAAGCTTGAGACCTCTGGACTCTTTCTGGAAAGTAGCGTTGCGTCCTGTCGAGGAATCGTCTTCGGCTACGAAAGTAATGTTGAGGTCAGCCTTCTCGGCCAGTGCCATTGGTGTGCATGTAGATCCGAACTTAAGCACTATTGTTTCCGCTTCCCACGTCCCATCTTGGGGAGGTTGACGAGCAGTGCCTTGGCCTGGTGTCAAGAATGGAAGAATGACGTGCGAGTCCGATATCCACAAAGATGTGGATGCATTATATAGAAAACCACTTATTGTACGCGTATAGGTGTCGCGTCTCGGAAGAAGGGGAATTGAGCCGTCTTGATGACTTGTGTGTTGTTGAAGCTGGCTTTCCGTGCGGAGCAGTACCTCTTTTGTGACAAAGACCGAAGAAGAGAGAGTAGAGATCACAAGAACGCTGATGCCTGCTGCTAGAGAGGACATGCTCAAGACCCAGCGTCTGTGACCGCCACTCCTTTTTCGTGAAAGTCCTTGGAACACACTCTTCCACCACACTTGGGGTAAATAGAATAGAGTGTGGCTTGCTGTGACCGGCTGGGGACTGGCCATGCGTGCGAACGCCTCGGTTCTTTTGACATCCTCAGCTATCATAGTAAGAGCCAAGGTGAACAGAACCGCGATGATGGTCGGTATGTAACGTCTCGCAACGAAAAGACCCACAGAGCCGTCTTCTTTCCCGATGCCATCGTGACGTAAAGAGTAGACACATAGTATCGCTAAAGTTATAGCCAGAATGAGCGCTGAGAGACCCAATGGAGCCAGATAAGATCGCCGTAACGTGTATGGTAGCCACTTGGTGAGCACATGGCTTTTGCTTGTGTCGAAGGTTACTTGCAAAGAGTCAGCCCAGTTTGATCAGCATCTACACGAGAGACGGTCAGCGAAACCTACAAGGTGTTGGCTTTCCTGGAACCGCACCTTCGCCTGAATAGCTAGCAGATGATCGGCTCGATATCGATGACACGGATTGACGGCGCGACGCGGCGGCGCTCACGCCTAAGAGACCTTCGCGTTCTTCTTCATCTCGCAGGGTCGCCGCACGACGCGTGTCCAGCGTTGATCTCCCAGATCCATCGAGCGCGACTGAGACCTCATTACGCGTGCCCTCGATCTCGACCTCATCACCGGGAACCGGCACCCAAGGGCCCCCCACGCCCTCAGGCAGCAACGCGTTGGCCGTTAAATGCGACATTCCAGCTCTTGTTCGTGGCACCTACACCGCAGTCCGATAGAGCATGTTAAGCAGTATTCAAAACCGCAGCTCAGTTGACCGCCCGACTCCGTGCGAGACAGCATAAACCTTCGACCAGGTACTGTAGTACCAGGGGTTGCCTCAGTCAGCGCTACCTAGACCAGCCTACATCACACCTTAAGGCTGAGCAGCGAAACGCACCGCACAGCCTCTGCGCAGCATTCCCGCTTCAGCCCAGCCCGCTTTGCCTCATTGGCGCGCCTCAACACCACGAGCAATGGATACCCCGGCATGATGGTCGTTGCGTTGCGGCTCTCTGCCTGGCGCCGCGGAGCGTTGATTGGTGCGGCGGGTGTGTCAGCCTCCTAAATATCGACCCGCACTGGGCGCCTTACCGCAGGCCGTTTGGAAGTATCTGGACTGCAGCGACCACTGTGCGAAAGTGTGTAGGTGTACGACGATCTGACGGAGTGCCTGCTTTCTTACTTTTGCGGTCGGTCGGTCGGTCGGTCGGCTGTCAGACGGAAGGAATATGCGGCGAACGAGGTCAGAGTCTAAGCACGAGCAGCGTCTGAGCTATAGTCGCTTGCGGCGAGGATTGCGAAGTGTCTAGGTGTACGACAGTCTGCCTACTTTCTTACTTTCGAGGTCGGTCGGTCAGCCGTCAGACGGAAGGAAGATGCAACGAACGAGGTCAGGCTCTGCGCACGAGCACCCTTCAAAAGCTCCAAAAGCAACTGTGCTCCAAGCACTCACCCAGAAAACGCAGTTAAGCAAGTAGTGTGAGTGGATTCATGACTTCAATTCATAGCAACAAGAGAGTATACCCCCCAACCCTCAAAACGCCAAATCTAAGGATATCTCGCCCAAACCCAACCCAACCCAATTAACCCGTCTACAGCTCGGGGGCAGCGCACGCCCGGCCGGCCCCCACCCAAAACCCTAATCCAAACGCCATGTATATGCAAAAAGTCCCATGCAGCCACGCTTCTAGTGCTGCTGCAGCAGCTCGTCGCTGTGCCGCGGCGACTCCCTCCTGCTGTTGATCTGAGTGTTCCTAAACGTCTCCTCGTTGAGTGTCGCCAGACTGCGCGCGGGGCTGGGCGTCGTGCCCCTGCTGCCGCGGCTGCGCACGGGACTGCTCGGTCTCGAGGTCGCGATGTCGTAGCTGGGGAGGGCGACCTCCATGGGGGTGTAGGCGGCGGGCGTGCGCACTGCGGTGTTGTAGCTGGGCGTGCGCGCGAGCGCCGACATGTCGTATTCATAGTCGGTGGTGGGGATGTCGAAGTACGAGGGCTCGGCGCCGTTCTGCGGTGTGCGGTGGTGCGGGGTGCTTTGGCCCGAGGAGTGGTTGGAGGATTGCTGGCCGGAGCCGGAGTGGTCGCCGGTGGAGTCCTGGCGCGAGGGGTGGAAGCGCGAGTGCCGGTCGGAGCTGGACATGTTGAGGTTTGCGAGGCGGTGCTGCAGCGCGACGGTGGAGACACCTGGGCCATCTTGGTGTGCGACTGCGTCTAGAGAAAGGTCTTCTGTAGAGCCGCGTCGGCTCTGGGCAAAGAAGGGGGTATTTGCGCCGCTGTTCATTGTGCTGCGCCAGCCACCGGGGGTCATGAAACCGGAGGGATCGATGTCGTTGTAAAGCTCATCGAGCTGGTGGAGACCGTACGTCGGCGGCGCGTTCTGGTTGACCTCGTCCGCAATTGCCTGCTGCGACAGCAGGTTGGGATCTACTACTACACTCTGATCTTCGTTCGGGGGGAGATTGGGCGAAATGAACAAGTGAACGTGGTTCTTAACCAGGAGCTGACTGGTATGACCTTCTGGGTTCTTGAGATTGACATATAATCTCAGCTTGTGCGACAAGCGGATGTTCTCAGTGTCAACCGACTGCCTGCAGTTCTTCAGCGACCTGGGCAGATCCAGTGTCATCGAGAAACGATGCGACTCATCGAATAGCGCGTCGGCCTCGTCAACCTCGGCGGGGACGAGATGTGCGGAGTCAGTGGGCATTTCAGCCTCTCGAACGGCAACCTGAACATCAGTCTGATGGCTAATCCGCCTACCAGCGTAGTCTGCGAACAGTTGCCGCGATTCTATCAGCTCCATTTTGATAGTCGTGATCTCGACGCCCTTCCTCAGTGGTATTAATACGAAGTCGGCGGTAACCGAGGTGCCGATGATATAGTTCTTCTGGGGGACCGTGATCTTGTAGGCCACCTTGTTCGCCCAGATGTCCTCATTGATCTGAGTTCTGTCAGTCATGCTTCACAGCAGTTCTGCGCGCAACTAACCTGCTCCATGGGCATGGACTCGAGCATGTCGCGACCCAGTGTGCGAATGACACGGATATGCGACGAGGCAGAGAGCTGCTTGCTCATGTACCCTCGGTCCACCGTAGCCTTCAGATTGTAGACGACCCAGTTTGTCGGCAGCCCCTCCACGCTCTGGTCGAGGTTGCTCGGCATCTTGAACTTGAAGTCCCACTCATGGTATCCAGCGTTGATTTTGTGCGCCTTTGTGTTCTTGTCCGAGCAAGAGACGGGGTACAGCGTCAGAGTGTCGACGAGGAAGTTGGTCTTTTGCGTGATCGGCTGCGGGCTCACGGTGTTGGTCAAATGCCATCTGTCGCGGGGTGTCAGTCGTGCAATTCGCAGCACTGAGGTTTGGGGCGGCCATACGAGACTTTGCGCGTCGCCGTCAGCGTTATGCGAACGCTGCGCACTGAGATTGACTCAGGGTTGTTCAGCACCAGCTTGCCCTTGAGCTCTGCATCGTGCGACTCCGAGGGCTCGCCGTAGAACACCACGAAAGGAGAATCTGGCCTACGAACAAAGTCAGTTCCATTGGTCCCTATTTCTGTGCGCAAGGCGACTGCTGCGGCACGTACTTGATCTCCAGCACAGGTGCATGGTCTCTCCCACCAAAGATTCCGGCGCCGGGACGAGGCATGATGTAACGAGGGACAAGACCAGGAAAATCAAGAGGAGTCCGGGACCATAACACTCGCTCTTTCGAGGTCAAGTATTGTGAATATGAAGAAGAGTATTCAAGTTATGCGCGATAAGATATGCGGCGCAACGAGAGTAGAATGCCGTAAGGATGACTGTTATGGTACTTTCAAAGGCGATGGTCTGCAGTAGTGAGTGGTGGCTGAGCGTTTGCGTCTTGCGATCGGGGCGGATTCCCAGACGATACCAAAAACCCGTGATGACGATCAAATCGACTTTTGCGAGCCAGCCGCGTTCCGTCCTACATATACAGCAACCAGCGTGGGATGCTCGTCGCCGCTGCGGGCAAGGGCGGCCTGCATGGGCCTCGCGACCACCCCTGTTCAACCTCCCTCAGCGCGCCCGATCCACTGCGCAGGTAGACTACCAGAGTGGGTACTGTTGCTCGCATCATGGTCTTTGCTAGCGGCGTCTGTAATCTGCACTCTGCGCGTCCTGCTTGTCTTGGATCTTGATTTTTTCTGGTCCACCGAAAGAAGGTGCAAGTGGGCCGATAGCTCCCGTGAACGGCGTGATACCTGACACATGCTTGCTGCAGCTGCTTCGCCAGACAGCTGAGACGTCTCGACTTGATGCGGTTCGCCGAGCTGTAATTCGGGCTTGGTGAGGGTTGACGGTCATGACAGCTGAGTCCCGGCTGGGCATCAACGCATCCGCATGTGCAAAGAGCCTTTGCTCAACTGTTTACGAACATCTGAGGCCGTTTCACGATGTCCCGGCGATGATCTACCCGGCTGGTTTCTGGGACAAAACCTCCCGAAGCAAGAATGATGGCTTGAGCCTTGCATTTTGCTTGTCCATCAGCCACACACGTAGTAATGTCCGTATCGTTATCGTGTGTATCATCTCAGCAAGAGTCCCGAGTGATGTTCCAGATCACACCATCTAGCTTCGATACAAGACGCAGTCAGCACCGCCTCGTCTTTGTTCCCCGTCGTGAGCTGCGCACTTTCATAACTTCACCGCGTTCCGTCTTTGTACAGTCATGATAAGTACGCAACGTACGGCCGCGGTACGGAAGATCTCAGCACTGATCGACGTGCGGCACACTGGTATCAGTCCAGCCTCACATCACGCACGGCAGCGGAAAGCCGCAGTGGGTACCTTTTCCAGTGTGCCACTGCGGTGCCCAAGATGGCGCAATCAGATTTCCGGCCTTCTCGCCGAGCAGCAGCACCACGGCGGCGAGTGTCGCACAGCCATTGCGAAAATCATTCGAGCATCAGGCTTTGACGATGTGTGACGCCATGCAGTCGTGAGAGATAGATAAGAGTGATGTAGGTACTGCATACTGCATGCGCCATTTCCCCTGCATAATGCTGGTCTTCTGTACAATCGAACGCTTGTGACAATGCCACGCGCATGCAACACGCGTGTGGCGCGACGAGTCTTGGTGGTGGGTGGCGTGCGATTCCAGAACGCGAGGAAGACACGGCCGTCGGGCCATCCCGGGAAAGACTTAAATCAGCCACCCCTGCCAAAACGCATGCAGGTGCTCGCAGAGCCTCATCGTAGCGCCCCAACGTCCTGACGAGCCTGCCAATCGCGACCATCTCTACACGTGTTGTATATCTACGGAATGCCAGCGCTGGAACCCCTCTGCGAGCGCGTATGCCCGCTGTCGTCCGTCGACGAGCCCTCCTTCGGACGATCCCATGTCTTGATGTGTCCTGCAAAACGCTCTGGTCAGCACAGTCCTGACACTGATCCACTTCGAGGATCCTTATCAGTTCGTATGAAGTTTTGCAACTCCCAACAGAAACACAACGCACTCGGCGAGCGGGTCCTACACGATGGCGGGTGTACCTGCCCTAGCGCGTGGCTGCGGCGCAGGCCTTATCGCACGATTTTAGGGCAGAAACGTGCTTGAGAGGTTGGTAGGGAAAATTTCAAGACGATGAGCGGCAACTGACGAAAGGGTACGTACCGTTCTTGCACGATGTTATTATGCAATCTTCTTCAAAGGCCAACCATGTAAGAGGGTGCTCGTCGACGGACTTGGTCTGCGCACAGTTAGCGATTTCTTTGTGACGTTGTTTTTGATCATCGACTCACCAATACCGGAGGCAGCATTGCGGTGCGCGCTCGAGGCTCAACCGGGTGCACAACCTCGTCGTCATCGAGCGTGCTTCCCGTCGTCAGGTTGGAATTCGATCGCATGCGGCTGGCAGAACTCTCCGTCCGTGTGCGCTGGATATTGACGGCCGATGAGGCTATGCTGCTCCGTGGTCGCAGTGATGCCGCTCGGGGTCGATGCAGCATGCCCACACTGAAATCCCACAACAATAACCTGGTGTCTTCGCCAACACTTCCTATCCGATAGTTGCGCTCATCACACCTCCAGGGATCGAACTGCACAGCTGTGACCCAGGAGTTGTGACCCTGACAGCGCGCGACCAGCATGCGGTCCTCCAGAGACCAGATCGAGACCAGATCGTCTTGGCCGCCTGTAACAATGTATCTGCCGTCAGGCGACCAGCACACGCACATCATGCCGCCGTAGTAGCTTGTGTAATGGTGTAGAAGCTTTTCCTGCAAGAAGTCGATGATTCTGAACGAACCGTCTTCCGAGACAACAGCAAAGTGGCGGCGATCGGGCGAGAACTCGAAAGCGTTGATCTTGGAACTGGACACCTGCCAGTAGGATACTGGGTTGGCTTTCTGGTTCTTCGACTGAACAGACTTCTTGACCGTCAGCCTGGATTTGCGCTCCATGTCAGACATGCCCTCGTCAGGCGTCTGGTCTTCGGCAACAAAAGCCAGATCCTCCTTCTCCTTATCGTATACAATAAGACTGCCGTCCATGTGCGCAGCCATAAACAGGGTTTCGCTGTTTGGTATCCACCGGATGTCAGACACTGCGGTTGGGTTGATGATGCCGTTCTTGTTCAGGCGCGAGTACTTTTGCGACATAGGCTCGTACCAGATAATGTCGCCTGTCGAAAAGCCCATGACAATGTCAAGGTGGTTAGATCCCTTTGTGACCTGGTTGATGTCATGACATAACGCGTGAGCCTTTGTGAACAAGATCTTGGTCAGATGATCCTCCTTGTTGGGAGACGTCAAGTCCAGCCATTGCAGCGCGCGGTTGATGTTAGCAAATGCATAGATGCCGTTGGCGTTGTGCTCTTGCAATCGCTTGGTCAGGCCCTCGTGCGGGATGACTCTGGATACGAACGAGGAGTTGCTCTTGACGATGTTGTTCTTCGGCTTATTCCTCTTGCTTGGATCCTTGGAGACCTTGCCGTTCACTACACTCAGGGCTGCATTGTCTGCGCCGAATACCGGCGTGCGGAGACCATCCAGCGGCGAAGATACGAAGCCATTCGTACCCTCTTTCGAATCAGCATCACTGGTGTGGCTGTTCGACTCGTGTTCGGCGATCGGGAAGACCTGCGACCGTGCGCTCGTTTTGGTGTCGAGTCGTGACAGCAGCGTTGTGGAGGGGCGACGGGGCGCAAGGGCGACTATCGACAGCTTCGTGCCTTGCGTGGGCGGCGAGACTGTAGTCGCGAGCGGATTGGGATTGTGAACAGGCGCTTCCGACGGGTGCGGCGGCGGGGTGGCTAGATGGAGGTCATCGCGCAATAGATAGGTGCCTGCCATGTCCGCGGTCAGCTTGGGGTCCAGCATGCGCACGAACTGGTTGACATACCTTCTCCAACCACCAATTGGTGCTCAGGCCCCGTGGGGTGGGTGATAGTGTTGTTGGTCTCGATAAGCTGTCCTGGCGGCGCACCGGGATAGCCGCCAACAGGGTACCGAGGTGGTGGAGGTAGCACGCTGTCCAGGCGGTCAGTCAAGCTTCCTGCGCGCAGGTGGTGGCATGATAGCGGTAGTGCCGCTATTGGTGGACGTCCAGGGTATCACTTACAACATGGCTGCGGTGCAATGTACTATTAGTTAATCACAATGCAGCGCGAACAGACACAGGCATGACGAGGAGGGTGGGGCGATTATGTATATGTCGGAGTAAGTGGCCCCGTGTGCGTTTGGGACGGAGGATCGAGTCGCGGCGCAGACGACCGAACCGTGGAGAATGCGGAGAGGAACAGCCTAGCATCGCATTAGGATGTGGCTTGCGGTGGATGCTTGGGTGGGTGGACCCGTGCGCAAGCTTTCACGGTATCGCTGCTAGCACTCGTGGTGGACAGGCCACTCTGTGAGGAGTCGCCAGCAACTGACCCCAAGCAAGCATGTCCGTTTACTTTCCGGTAGTCTGGCAGCTGGCGCGAATGCGGGGGCAGCTTTAAGGTTGTGATCGCCAAGACAACGTGGACGCGCTCGGTACTCAGCTGTTGATCGAATCATTGCCCAAAGCTTCACCGATAGTCGTCTCAGCGCTGTACCTGCATCAGTCGCCTTTATTTAGCTGCCTATTCCGCTCTTCGTGCTCTGCAGTCAAGCCTTGAGATGCAGTGAGCAGTGAACATGCTGAAGGATGGCAACCGGTATGCAAACCCCCGGTCGATTTGTTGATGTTGCCTATGGCTGTTGACTAATGGCGACCCCAGTCCGAATCTGTGTCTGCGGTGACGAGGGAGTTGGCAAGAGCTCTATCATCACCTCGCTCGTCAAAGATGTCTTTGTCACCGCCAAAATCCAGCCTGTCCTTCCCCAGGTAACACTGCCGCCCACGCTCGGAACGCCTGACAATGTCACCACCACCATTGTCGACACCTCCGCCCTGCCCCACGAACGACATGCTCTACGTAAGGAGCTGCGCAAATCGAACGTCATATTGCTCGTCTACTCGGACCACTATAGCTATGAGAGGGTCGCGCTGTTCTGGATGCCCTACTTCCGCTCGCTGGGCGTGAACGTACCAGTGGTGCTGTGCGCAAACAAGGCCGACGTAGCCGCGAATGGCACAACGTCGCAAGTGGTGGCGGAGGAGATGCTGCCGGTCATGAACGAGTTCAAAGAGATTGACTCGTGCATACGAACGAGCGCAAAAGAGCACGCAAATATTAACGAGGTCTTCTTCCTCTGCCAGAAGGCCGTCACACACCCAATAGCGCCGCTCTACGATTCCAAGGAGAACGCACTGAAGCCTGCTGCAGTCTCTGCGCTTCGACGCGTGTTCCATCTTTGCGACTCGGACAAGGACGGGTACTGGAATGACCAAGAGATCCACGATTTCCAAATCAAGTGCTTCGAAAAGCCGCTTGGTGAGGACGATCTAGCCAATATCAAGAAGTCGATGGAGAGATTTGCGCCTGGCGCTACGGATGAGAATGGAATGGACGAGAAAGGCTTCTTGCTGCTCAACAAGATCTTTGCTGAGAAAGGCCGCCACGAGACAATATGGATCATCTTGCGCAAGTTCCACTACACTGATAGTCTCAGTTTGCAGGATGCGTACCTACGGCCAAAGTTTGAGGTCGCACAGTTCTCCTCTGCGGAACTCAGCCCAGCTGGGTACCGATTCTTCGCCGACCTTTTCTTGAAGTTTGACAAGGACAACGACGGTGGTCTGAACGACCGAGAACTCGCCAATCTGTTTGCGACTACGCCCGGAGTCCCCACTTCCTGGACCGACTCGGCATTCCCGTCGTGCACAGTGCGCAATGACGCCGGCCATATCACACTACAGGGCTGGCTGGCGCAGTGGAGCATGACTACATTCGAGGAGCCGAAAGTGACACTCGAGTACCTAGCATACCTTGGATTTGAGAGCAACGACCGGAGTGGTACGACCAGCGCGTTGAAGCAGACGAAAGCCAGGAAGCGGAGGAACAGGCCTGCGCGGGTCGAGCGCAACGTCTTTCTATGCTATGTGCTAGGGTCGAGCGGCAGTGGAAAGAGCACGCTGCTGTCGTCGTTCCTGCAACGCCCCTTTTCACAGACATACCACCCCACTATCAAACCGCAGTCGGCTGTCAACAGTGTCGAGCTCAAGGGCGGAAAGCAATGCTACCTGATCATCGAGGAGCTGGGCGAGCTGGAGCCGGCGATCCTCGAGAACCAGGCCAAGCTCGACGCGTGTGACTTGCTGTGCTACACGTACGACTCGTCTGACCCCGACAGCTTTGCGCACATTGTCGATCTGCGCAAGAAGTACCCGCAGCTCGACGCGCTGCCTGCGGTGTATACAGCGCTGAAGGCAGACCAAGACAAGACGATGCAGCGATGCGAGCAGCAGCCTGACGGATACACGAGCGCGCTGCGCATGGCGCCGCCGCTGCATGTCAGTGCAACGTGGAGCAGCATCTCGGAGCTGTTCGTCCATGTAAGTCACGCACGGTACCACGTGATGAGCAAGCTGACCACCACTAGCTGGCTGAGTGTGCGACGCATCCGTCGACCGCGTTCCCGAAGAACGAAGACGAGGGCGGCTACGATAACATGAACCTGTATCTGGCGCTGGGCGCCGCGACGTGCGTGGTTGCGTCGGCCGTCTTCGTCTGGAAGCGAAACAGCGCGTCCTCGTGATAGAGGCGAGAGACGACCCGTGGACCTCAGGCGGCGGGAGACCGGGAACTGGGACTCGGGCCGTAGTAGATAATCAATAATGCACTCGTCGCTCTGCGCGAAGGTCACGACAACGCTGCGTTTCTGTACCACGGCGTGCTGGCGAGCGCGGAGGCACGAGCGAGCGGGTTCTGCAGGGGTGCGTTGGCGCTTCGGCTGGCGACATTATGGCGGACAGGTGGAGGCGCTAACAGCACCATTCACAGTGGCACGCCGCTGGGCAGCGACAGAGTAGTGACAGCAGCGACAGCAGCAGGCTCGGCGCGGGGCGCTGCTGGGCCGACAGCGCGCCAGAGGCCCACGGCGCACCCGTCTCGCGCGCTCAGGGGCCGTGGCTGGCAGGCTCGCGGTGCCGGTGAGGGTGCGGTGCGGGCGTGGTGCAGCTCAGGCTAGTGCTGGCTCCTCCGGGGCGGACCCTTCAGGCCTAGCACTGGCTAGCAGGCGCTGCGAGCTGGGACCTGGACATGCGCGAGGGCTGCAGGCTCACACTTTCTTGTCTGCCCACGCACCTCTGCCCGCCAGCGATGGTGCCCACGACCGTCGTATTCTTCCCTCGCACGCCCGCCGCCTAACGCTCTCGGCCTGCCCCGTCGCCTGCGGATGCCCTCGGTGCCCTCGGTGCGCCCGCACTGTCCCCGGCCCCCCGTGGTCCCAGTCGGAACGTCGCCGCATTCTTCGCGCAGCCATCATGGTGAGTTGCGCCCTCACGTCCCGCCCGCAGCCAGTGGGCGTGCCGCGGCGGGCGGTGAAACGCGTCGGCCGCTCTGTCGCGGCTGTCCCCCTTGCCGCTGCAGCCCCGGCCGCCGGCGCCGTGTCTTGGACCCCGACTGACTGTGCCAGGCGACCGACCGCGCACGAGAGCTCGAGCGCGTGTACCAGATGCGCCGCGGCCACGTCCCCCACATCTCCATTAGCGATGACAACCACCACGTCACCGAGGCCATAGGCGACCTGTACGGCGGCGACAGCGACACCGACTCGCCCAAGCGCAGCTCGCGCCCGCTGAGCTTCCTGCCCGACTCCCTGAGCGAGAGCATCCACACCCCCTTCAATCCCTTCCCCGACATGGCCCCGCCCGCCCGCTCGCCCCTACGTCCGCAGCTGCACCCCGACAGCCCGCCGCACATGGCCGCCAGCCCCAATGGCGCCTCTGCCACGCCCGCCCACCGCAACGGCCAGCTCTCGCCGCCGCTGTCCCGCACCCCGTCCGACACCGCCACCCAGCAGTTCCCCCTCAACGACCTCGACTACGAGTCGAGCCCCGCCGGCCTCGCCCAGGAGCTGAGCAACCTGCAGGCCATCCGCCGCATGTCCATGGACGTCCACAATGCCGACCCGGACCTGCCCTCGTTCCAGTCCTACAGCTCCGGCCCCGTCTCGCCGCCTGCCGTGTCCGACGACGAGGGCGAGCAGCTGTTCTGGGTGCCCGCCCGCCTGCACCCCGAGCTGGCCCCCAAGGAGTTTAAGACGTTCATCGAGGAGAAGGTCCACACCATCCGCCGCCGCTCTGGTGACCTGAGCTCCTCGCTGTCCCCCGACGGCTCGCTCGGGCGGCAGGACTCGGCCGGGGGGCTGCGCCGGAAGAAGTCTATGCTCTCGCGCCAGATCGACACCGGCTCTGGCTACAAGGACGGTGCTGAGCGGCTGGAGAGGAAGCGCTCAGGAACTCGCCATGACGACGACCTGTCGAACAACCTGCAGCAGCTGGAGAACATCGTGGAGGACCCATCCGGCATCGTCAGACGTATGAGCATGTCCAGAAGCCCCACCCCGGAGTCCATCGAAGGAGCTGTACCCGTCATTCCTGGTGCTATGGGTCCCGGCTTGGGTTCGCTGAAACGATCGACTCGCACCACATATAGGCGAGGCAGTCTGCGGAGCCAGGGTCGAGGGGTGCCGCTCTCGAGACGCCTGGTGAGCCGTAACGCCGAAACAGACACAGAAGAGTCACCATCTACTTCACCGACGCAGCCCGACGTGCCTGAGCTGCCTAAGCTTCCACAGATAAACCGAGTACAATCAGAGCCCATCAATGGCGCCTTTGAGCCCTCGAACTTCTCTCGACCGAACAGGAAGAAGTCGTCAGTGGATGAAGAGCAGCGGCCTGGCTCTGCTGAGCCCCGACCAGGCTCTGCTGAATCTCAGCCCCGGCCTGGATCAGCGGGAGCTGAAGAGGAGCGGAAAGGGCCGAAGCCACGAGCGTTCCACTCGAGGATTGCGTCCAATGGTCGAACAAGCGCCCACCTGCCGGGCTACAACGCGCCTGCCCCCACACTATCATCTCCAGTACCGCAGATCATCGAGACCCCTCCGCCCCAAGAGCCAGAGCGCATACAGCAATACCAGCTTCCTGAGCGTACAACCTCACGCCAGCCGCCCCCACAGCAACAGCCTCCTAGACAGCCGCAGCAGCAGCCACCCAGCCAGCAGCAACCTAACGGACCCCGGGTCCAAGCTCAACCTCAACCTCCACCTCAGCAGCAACGTCAGTCTCCTGTTAGCCGCCAGAACAAGCATGCTCAGGCGGCTCAAAACTCTCCAATCAAACCGCAGCAGTCGCTTGACGATTTGACGCAGCACCCCTCGCCCATTCCCGGCAATCACAGCACAAGGGTCGATAACCTTTCCATAATCCCAAGTCTTCCTGAAGAGAAAAAAGATAACAAGAAACTGAAAGAGAAGAAAGACGATCCTCCCAGGAAGACAAGTTGGGGCTGGCTGGTCGGCAACGACAAGAAGGAGAAGGAGAAGGAGGAACGCGAGAAGGAAATGGCGAAGAAAGTCAAGAACAAGCTCAGCAAGCCACAGGAGAAGGCTGATGACACACGACTCGACCTGTTGCAGTCCTCCATGCAAAATGGCCAACGTGGGCGGGAGAGTGTTGTCCTCGACCGCGAGAGCGTCAAGCTGGAGGAGGAGCGCAAGAAGGAAAGTAACAGGAAGGCGTCCAGCGACAAGAAAGAAAAGGAGCCTGGACTGCTCTCCTCCATCTTCGGCGGCGGTAAGAAGAAGAGCGAGAAGGAGTCGAGTCACAAGAAGAACGCTTCGCGTGGATTGTCTCCCGAGCCACCGCCACGCATCCTCAAACCCGATATCGACTACAACTGGACTCGTTTCTCTATCCTCGAGGAACGTGCAATCTACCGAATGGCTCACATCAAGCTGGCAAACCCTCGTCGAGAACTCTACTCCCAGGTCTTGCTCAGTAATTTCATGTACTCGTACCTTGCCAAGGTACAGCAGATGCACCCGCAGATACAAATCGGCAACTCGAAACAGGCCAAGCTCGCTGTAGCGCAGCAAAAGAAAGAGCAGCAACAGCAGCAGCAACAACAGCAGCAGCCACAAGCTCAACAGCAGCAGCAGCAGCAGCCACAACAACAACACCAACAGCAGCAGCAGCAACAGCAACAGCCTGACGAGTTTTCACAGTATCAGCGATACCAGCAGGTAGGCGAGACCTCAGGCACGTGATCTGTGAACTCGGCTGACCGACCTAGCAACAGCAACAGCAGGAACAGTCCGAGAAGTCGAACGAGTGGCCCAGCGCCCACGGCCAACAGGAGCACGCCCAGCAGCAAGTCAACGGACAGCAACAGCAGAAGTACGGACAGAGTCCTCGTGACAGCCATCACTCGCAGCACAGCATGAACGGCGGAGGCTACAGCGTCTCAAACAGCTCAAACTACCTCGGACAGCCTGTTAAGCAGGGCCAGTCGGACTCTGATAGGAGCGGAGACGATGACATGTGGTAGATATCAAGCATGACCCATCCATCTCGCTGCGTTTGCTGAGCATCACCTACTTTCTCGGCGGAGCGGACAGCATGGGGATTATGTCCGCAGATCGCACCTTTCCCTTAACCTGTATCATATCAATCTTCTTCTATTTGGCGCGCTAATTTTTATTACAACACTTGCATTTGCTTCTGTTTTCATACCAGGAGTATAGTAGGGCTGTAGCGGGGCGCACACGGATGTATAGAAGGGGAGGAATAAACGAACTGTACGGTTGTTCATGTAGGATGCACGTACGATCAGGACCGGCGTAGTTGTAGGACTTACGAGCTGCGTGGGCGTACCTGCACAGAGGCATATACGACGAATAGTACCGAATCTTGGAACATCCTATTCAACCACAACCTTGACCTCAAGCTCGCCTTGGTGGTGCGTCCAACACGCTCCTGCCCCGCCGACTGATTCGATAAGAGCTTATCGGCCATACTTACCCCACATCGGTCTGACAACAACGCGCAATGACATAGCTTACACCGACATTTCTCACACCAGACCCGCAGCATTCATGCACGTGCACCGCAAACAAACAACACATCGATTCTTTTCACACACGCGCAAAAAAATAGACTCACGGCCTCTTTCGCTTTCCCTCTAGAATAATCCTCAAAAATGACATCCTGCATCATCCCCCCCGAGCCCCCCCTCTCCCCAACCTTCGAAGCCCACACAACCCCCTACGAAACAATCTCAACCCAGACCATCATCGACACGCTGAAACTGACAAAACACCCCGAGGGCGGCTACTACACCGAGCTCGACCGCGACCCCCGCACCGTCCCGAATCCCTTCCAGAACCATCCCTACGCCACCACCGCCCAGGCGCCGCTGAGCGGCGACAACGCCGTCCGCAACGCGAGCACCAGTATCTTGTACCTGCTCACTCCGCACTCGCCCCAGGGCCACTTCCACCGCAACGCGGGCCGCACGGTGCACACGCTCATCCAGGGGCGCGGGCGCTACGTGCTGATCCACGCCGACGAGGGCGAGGCGGGGGCGCGGAAGCGCGTGGAGACGTTTGTGGTGGGGCGGGATGTCGAGGCCGGCGAGCGGGTGGTGTGGATTGTCGAGGGCGGCAAGTACAAGGCGAGTTTCCTGCTGGCGGAGGACGGGGTCGATGAGTGGGAGTCGCGGCTGCTGATTAGCGAGGTGAGTGGTGGCGTGTGCAGGGAGGGACTGGGCTGACTTGTGCGAAGACGGTGGTGCCTGGGTTTGAGTATGCGGATCATGATTTCATGAGGGAGGGGGTGCTGGAGGAGTTGGTTGGGGGGGAACAGGCAGAGGAGTTGAAGTGGCTTATGAGGAGAGGGGAGTGAGGGGGTGTCAGGGGCGCGGTGGGATGGGATGGGGAGGAAATACGGTGCAAAATCGCTTGATACACGGACTGAACGCTCATGACGCTGGACACACATCTACGGCCTTACTCACTGCGGGTAATGCTCAAACAGGAACCCCGCAGCCATCTCCACGTTCCCATCCGTGGCGTTGAGCGCTGCCAGCGCCTCCTGCCGCGCAAACCCCAGCACCACCAGCTTCTGCACCTCGTCCTCGGGCCAGCTCGCCTGCGCCTGCGGCAGCCGCGTCACCATCTGCCTGATCTGCTCCGCCGTGACGCCCAGCGGCGGCCTGCTCGTGTGCGGATGACTCGGGACCTCGGTCCTCAGCACGCGGCCCAGCGCCTTGACCCAGCCAGCCTGCACCGTCTCATTGTCCAGCTGCAGCTCGGCGACATGCACGATATCCTCCTCGTGGTCGCCGCAATTGAAGTACTCCCAGCCCATAACCCCGCCGAACCCTAGCCCCACGCTCTTGTACTTCTCGCGCAGCACCGCGCACACCTCGCGCAGCTTCCGCACCGGCACGTGGCCCGCGCCGTTCCCCGGGTTCGTCACGACGCCCAGCACCACGCGCTCGGGCTTCCAGCCCGCGGCGACGATGGCGTCGTACCACGCGGTCGTCGCGGCGTCGCCCCAGCCGCAGTAGAACTGGGTATTGTACCACGCGACCTCGCGGCCGTAGACGCTGCACTCGAGCTCCGGGTACGAGAAGCCGCTCAGGTGGGGCAGGGTGGGGTGGAGGGGGTTGGGGCTTGGGCCGCTGGCGAGCATGGGCCGCGGGGGCCGCAGATGGGCGGGGATGTCTGGGTTGGGGATGAGGGCGGTCGCGACGGGGGCGAGGGTGATGAGGAACTGGGACCCGAAGTCTGCGCGCAGGCGGGCGATGAGGCGGGTTACTGTTGCGAGGGGGACTTCCTCCTCGACATCGAGGTCGAGGCCGTCGAGCTTGTAGACGGAGATGATGGCGTGCAAGGGGGTGTAGTACGCTTCGAACTGCGGTGGTTTAGTTGTGGGTGTTGGTATGTCGGGGGACACGCACGCTCTCGTCGTCGCCGCTGAGCCGTTCGAAGGAGCCTTTTGCTGCGCCGCCTAGCATGCCCAACACCTTCACACCACTGCCCTGCAGCCACCCGACCTCGCCCCATAGCTGGTCATACCGCTTGTCGTCTGGACGGTGATCGTTGAGTGTGATGTTGCCCGGTCCGTCGTTCAGGTGTATCGCAGCGACAATCACATGCGTGACGCCGGTGTTGTTGGTCAGCAATGGCAACAGCGAATTGCAGCTGCCATGTGGGTCATGTATCGTCTGATGGTAGACGATCAAGCGGGGGCCTGTCGACGGCGGGAGGAGCTTTGTCGCAGATGAAGTCATGTCGACCACATCCGACGACTGTCGAAGGAGACCGCAACGGCGTGTGGTTAGACGGGCCGTCCCCTTGACCCCCGCGTAGGGCTGAAGTGTGGGGGTGCATAACGTCATAGCTCGTGCAACACCAAGAAATCTCACGATGGGTGACCATCCTTTACAGAAAGTGGGAGTCGCCTGAGTGGCTCACTCACTTAAACAAGTGTTTGCGCAACTATTCGTTTTTGTGCTGTCCGTGATCTGCAACCCCATGATGCAGTCTAGAAAATATAACGACCCAAACGCCAACACTGTCGCCTTCGCAGCATTATCCTCGTATTCAAGACATATCATAATTACACACTGGTGCGAGGTACTGCCTCTGCCTAACGCCAAGTATGTTTCCGTCGAATTGCGTAACCGTCATAGCATCCTCCAGGGATGTCAACCACCTCAGTGGTAGCCATTGCTGTAGCCGGCTGCCCCTGCGAAGTAAGGGTGAATCACGCACTGCTTCGCCGAGATGCGGCCAGCAGGGTCGTATACAAGAAGAGCGTCGAGCAGGTCAAGGCCGACGTCGTCGAGGGTGGTAACAATCGATGCGATGTCTGTTCGGTTCCACTTGGGGAACGAAGGCTTGAAGTCGGGGAAGGATGTGACGCCGGGCCAGTCTTGCTCGCTGGGTGTGCCGAGAATGCTGCAACATGTCAGAAGGTGTGTGTAGGGCTGCAGGGCACGATCACATACCGGAAGATCTTGAAGATCTCGTCAATCTCAGAGTCACCGGGGAACAATGGCTTGCGCGTGCACATCTCGGCAAAAATGCAGCCTACCGACCACATGTCAACGCCTGTCGAGTACTGTCGACCACCGAGCAGAATCTCTGGCGAGCGGTACCAGAGCGTTACAACCTGATATAGTGTCAGCCAAGGCTCCTTCAACCGACAATATCCTTACCTCGTGGGTATATGTCCTCAACGGCACACCAAAAGCGCGAGCAAGACCGAAATCTGCCAGCTTGAGATTGCGATCCTTGTCGACCAGCAGGTTCTGCGGCTTCAGATCACGATGCAGAACGCGGTGTGAATGGCAGTAGCGCACACCCTGGCAGAGCTGCATCATGAACTTCTTGACCATGTTGGAGTCCATGGTCAATTTCTGACCTGCCAGCCCAGAGCCCTCGGGCAGGGCCTTACCGCGTCCGCCCTCGCTGACTGGCAGCGCCTCCATGTACTTCTTCAGGTCGAGGTCGATGAACTCGAAGACGAGGTAGAGCTTGTGGCCGTCGGCGTGCACGATGTTGAACAGGCGGACGATGTTCGGGTCGTTCATCTCCTTGAGCAGCGAAATCTCGCGAATGGCAGTCGAAGGGACGCCCTCATCCTCGGCTTCGAGACGGATCTTCTTGAGCGCGACGATGCGCTGGTCCTTGGTTGTGAGATCGCGGGCCTTGTATACAACTCCATAAGTTCCTGGTTGCTGTCAGCGGCGTAGTTCCAGACTCAAGAGCGTCGCAGTCGCAACTCACCTTCTCCCACCTTCTCCAGCTTCTGGTAGTTCTCCATAGCAACGGTAACGCGCAGAGGCTTTGGGACGGTAGGCGGTTACGCTCGTTTCGCCTTCAATGAGTGTCGAGTGTCGTGTATGAGGCCGAGGCGAACGCGAGTCAAGGCCGCGGAGAGATCCAGACGATATTCAGGCCTGCAGGTTAGTAGATTGTCGTGCGTCGAGGTGGACAAGGCGGGGACAATGTTCAGATGTTATGCACGGGAGGAAAAGGGTGTAAACAGACACTAGACCGAGCAAGGGAAGGCGCTACAAGCCACCAACGCGACCCAGGGAAAACTGACACTTTCGCGTCGCTCCCTTTGTCATTTCAAAGCCAGACAGGCTAAACATTAACAACAAAGCTAAGGTCTAGTATAAGATCGAAATAGGGTCCGACTGCGTGGCATACCCTGTCGATCTACCGCGCCAGATGGAGCACCTGGACCCTCATCAACGGCCCCCAGACGGTGTCAGGGATGTCTACAAAAGGTACCAGAAGATGAAGCCCAAACAATTGGACCAAGACCCCGACATTGTGGACCTACCAAACAGCCTGCATACGTCAGCCAAGGAACAAGTTCGCATCGTCGAGGAGTGGAGTGGTCACGACTTGACCGCTGCTTTCCGGGCATTTAGCGGTCAAGACGAGCAGTACGCAGTCTTGCCTGCAAGGATACCAGTGTACGAGCACGTAAACATGCCAGGTAAGAATGGTCACACGATCTGGATGTCTTGTTTCGTATGCCTAATCCCGGCGGTCAATTATTACCATACTTCACTTCAACTCCAGTCTTCATCTCCTCCCTAGATCAAGAACTGTGGTTCATACACACACAATTTGACCTCTGGCCTGACGGTAAGCAGGCCTCCATATCGTCCCCGACCTCCTCCCCCCCTCAATCCAGATTCTCCTTCTCTCACGCCTTCTCCACCGCGACCTGTCTAACCCAGCACACCTCACCAACATCCACACACACTACACCCTCTCCTACCCACCCTCCCAATCCTCCTTCTTCTCGCACCCTCCCACAAGCACATCCCCCATCGCTACCCCTCTGGACCCTACAGTCCACAAACCGCTCTCCGTCCCGCAGCTCCTGAACAAGAAAATGCGCTGGACCACCCTCGGCGGCCAGTACGATTGGACTGAGAAGCGGTACCCGCCGACCGCGCCGCCGCCGTTCCCCGCGGATATCAAGGCCTTGTTGGAAAGTATCTGGACGCGCACCCGCGCCGAGGCGGCGATCGTGAATCTCTACTCGCCAGGGGACACGCTGAGTGTGCATCGCGACGTCGCGGAGGCGAGTCCGCACGGGCTGGTGTCCGTCTCTCTGGGGTGCGACGCTGTGTTCGTGATCGGCACGTCCTCGCAAGCACCGGGAGACGGGGTGGAGGAGAAGATTGTCACGCTCCGGCTGCGCAGTGGCAGCGCGGTGTACATGTCAGGTCCGAGTCGGTTTGCGTGGCACGGCGTGCCGCAGATTGTCAGGGGGACGTGTCCGGAGTATCTGGCTGGGTGGCCGGCTGGAGAGGGGGGGTTCGAGGAGTGGGGAGGTTGGATGTGTGGGAAGAGGGTGAATCTGAATGTGCGGCAGATGTGGGATTGAGGTATTGTAGATCGAACAGACAGCGCATGTCCGCTGCATCGGCATGCAGAAGAGAATATCTTCACCTCTTCTATCATGCCTTGTTGTACCATCACTACATCCACACAACCCCGTGACGTCACCGCGTCCAACGAATACAAACCACACCTCACCACCTAACAGACATCGACAGTCTGCATCCCGAGGCCCCCAAATACTCTCCCCCAAATATGAATACTCTATCTGAAACACTATAGTCCTTCCCGAACGGGCAACTCAAATAAGGTTGCCATCCAACGCAGCACTAAAAGGCTTGTCTCAAAGCACAAATCCGCGCGGGAATAACGGTGCGCCTGATGAAACACCACCAACACCGGTGCTTGAGTTCTCCGTAACACCATTCGAAACGCGTCGTTAGCTGTACGTGCGAGTGTGCGGAATATGGGCATGCGATTTCACTTTTAGTCTATGGTGTAATCCGGCAACAGATGCACTCCCTACATAGCCAGCCAACCCCCTCGACCCCCGTGACTGTCCGTGTGCGGACCTTTTTTGGTGATTTAAGCAGCAGTGTCGGTGATGAGTTTGGTGATCTTGCCGATGGCGATGGTCTGACCCTGATCTCTGTTTGCTTGTCAGCTGCTGCTTGTCCGTTATATGTGTTAACGCGACGACGTACCTTAGTGTGAAGCGACCCAGCTGGGGGTAATCCTCGAAGCGCTCGACACAAATCGAGCCTGCTGTGCCCGTTACCTCGACCCTGGCGATGATGCTCATGCCCTTTGTGGCGAAACCAGGCGCCTTCTTGGACTTGCGGCCAGTGCCCTTCTCGAGCTTGTGCAGCAGCGCCGAGATGGTGACTTCTTCCTGTGCGGCGTGGACGTGCAGCACGCAGTTGAAACCGGCTGTGAAGATGGACTTAATGTCCAACAGCACGATCTGCGCCTCGAATGTGGAGACGCAGTTGACGGGTCGCTTTGGCGAGCAGAGAACGTAGCCGGGCAGGATGTCTTCTTCTTCAACACCGCGGAGACGGATGCGGACCTGGTCACCGCATGTGGCACCGGGGATCTCGTCTTCCTGCTCTCCGTACAGGGCGGAGATGTGGATGAGATCCTTGTTGGGCATCATGAGGTACTTCTGCTCCTTCTTGATGATTCCGGACTCGATCTTGCCTTCGATCATGGTACCCATGTCCTTGTACTTGGCTGCGATGGGCATCATGAAGGGAGCGTTGATCTTACGCTCCAATGCTTGCATGTCGTCCAGGTACTCGAGGAGAGACGGGCCATCGTACCAGGGAGCCTTCTCCTTTGGTACACGGTCCTTGATACCAGTGAAGGTCTGCGCGCTCACGGGCATCATGGAGATGTCCGTCTTGGGGTTGTACCCAAGACCCTTGAGGAAGAGAACAACCTTGCTGGTGCACTCCTTGAAGCGGGCCTCGGACCACTCGACAGTGGGGTCGTCCATCTTGTTGACCACGATAATAAGCTTGTTTACACCTTGTGTCTTGGCCAACATGGCGTGCTCTCGTGTCTGACCGCCCTTCTCGAAACCAGTCTCGTACTCGCCCTTACGCGCTGAAATGACAAGGAGACCAACGTCTGCTTGCGATGCGCCACCAATCATGTTGGGAACGTATGTCTTGTGGCCAGGTGCGTCCAAGATAGAGTAGCGGCGCTTCTCGGTCTCGAAGAACCCACGACCAACCTCGATGGTCTTACCCTGCTGTCGCTCCTCCTTGTTCAGGTCGAGCGCCCACGAAATGTACCATGTCTCACGACCGGCATCCTTGGCTTCGCGCTTGTACTTGTCGAGTGTTCGCTCGTCGACCATGCCGGTAGAAATAAGGATACTGCCTCCGAGTGTAGACTTTCCAGCATCGACGTGACCCAAGAAGATGATGTTGACGTGCTCTTTTCCGTAAATCTCAGCAAGTGTGGCCTCGTCGACGACCTCCTCCACCTCCTTCTCGATATCGGCGGCCTTCTGAATAACCTTGTCCTTCGCTGTGGGGGTGGGGCTGCTGCGTCCGGATGCGGGTGTTGGTGATGTGCGGCCAGAGCTAGCGGGTGTGGCCTTGGTGGGTTCGCCAGTCTTCTCGATTGCCTGCTTAGCAGCAACCTTAGCACCAGCCTCTGGTGCGGTCTTGTCCTGGGTCTCCTTGATCGACTTCTCAGCGGCGGGGGCGCCTCCGAGAGAAAGCACCTTGGTACCACCAACCTTCTCGGTCTTGGGCGCAGCGGTATCTGCTGCGCTGAGGGAGAGGGTCTTGGGCTTGGGCGCATCGCCACCGATGGAGAGGACCTTGGCCTTGGGCGCTGCCTCCTTCTTTGGCTCATCAACCTCGCCACGCTTGGCGATCTTTACGGGTGCCTGCTGCTGCTGCGGCTGCTGGTAGTTTTGCTGGTATCCCTGCTGCTGCCCGTATCCACCCTGCTGTCCATAGTTAGGGTAGCCACCCTGCTGCCCCTGGTTGTAGTTGGGATAACCGCCCTGTTGCTGCTGCTGGTAGCCGCCGTACTGGCCGCCGTACTGCTGCTGCTGGTTGTATCCTCCATACTGCTGGTATTGCCCGTAGCCCTGCTGCTGGTACTGGTTGTAGGCCTGGCCGGGGACGAACGAGTTTGCGCCGGGGGTGAAGGAGGCTGCGCCGGGAACAAAGGCCTGGGGCTGCTGGGCCTGCTGGTTAAGGTTCATGCCGCCTGTCTGCTGCGCGAGCCGCTCCTCCTCCTCTTCCCAGTTCTCAGCCATGATGTGTGCGGGACGCTGTGCGATCGCTAGGCGAATCGGGATTTCGAGGTTCGAATTGTTTGAGATGCGTCCGTACGGTTGGCGCAGACCCTAAAGAACGGCTTGGGTCTTTATGTGTGAGACCGCTGGGGCGTCGTGGTAGCGAAAAGTAGAAAAGTGCAAGCGGGCCGCTGCTGCCCATTCGACTGTGGCGGGGCACTTCACCCAAAATCCACCAAAGATCGCTGCCTGACGCCCATTGGCCGGGGGTCCCCCAGCAACAGTCAAGCAGACTCACGCGCAAACATGCTCCAACGTCACTCTCGCTCTCTCCTGCAACCTGACTTGATTTTTGCTACTCTTCATTTGGCTGCGATCTTCCCTACCATGACGTGGGCCGTTCTTTGCTTCTGAGCGCTCGATACCCTGCACTGCATACACAGCCCAACATGGAGGTGCTACTAGCAAAGGTGAGTCCCCTTGACTCTAACCACAGTCACGAGCAGTCATATGTCTACTTTGCACGAATCAGAGACCAGGTCTGACGGCATACAAGGTCACCCAGCAGGCTATGAGCTATGCCATCCGCAGTGGCATTGCAATCACAAGCACATACGCCATCAAACAATGCGGTCGATTAATGAAAACGGTCGATGGCCAAGAAAAGCAAGAGCTCGCCGCGTTGCAGTTGCGGCTCGACTCGAAGATCCAGGTGAGTCTCCAGGCTCCAGAAGGGCGCATTGTGCTGACGGCAGCAGATTATTTCACCAGCGATTGACATGATTGAGCTTATCTCAGCACGGGGAAACACTACACTAGAATCCGCAGTCACGTTAACCAAGTCTCTGAGATGGGACATCCAATCTCTCGGCAGTCGTGTAGAGAAGGCTGTGGTTGAAGAGCAGCTTTCTAGGAGAGGCAGCTCAAGAGCAAAGTCGCGAGCTCAGAACGACTTCGAGTTGAAGATGATCATTGCAGACATGAAGCAGCTCCTCAACCGAATCGAAGATGCGGTGCCGCTGATCAATCTTGCCATCACAACGTCAGGCGTGAGCTTGTCGACTAATCTGCCTCCGACCGTCTCTCCATCACGACTGCTGCAAGCCAGCACTTTCCTGACCGCTGGAGACTCGCACTACTGCATGTCGAAGCCCAGGGCTCAGCAAATTGGCCCAACCTTCACACTCTCCATGTACATGTTGTTCTCCGGCTATGCGGTCCCTACTCACGAGGATCTGCTTCGCCAACGCGACACGACATGGAAAGAAGTCATGCACAAAGCGCGAGTGACAATGTTGAGGGTTCCGCTGAACAACGTCTACGATTACCCGGTTCCATTTGGTACCAGAGTCAGCAAGGGTGATGAAGGCAATCACCGCCACATCCCATCAGAAAGTGCGTTGCACGAGTACGCATACCAGCTGTTGATAGTCGAAGACTTGGACGACGGCCGCCTGCACACCTTTGAAGATGACGAACCTCAGCCTGGACCATACGACGGTATTGCACAGGCTGGTGTTCGAGAGATCATACCCATCCACGAGATATCGAAGATCTTCTATGCCGACACAGGCAAGATTCTCAACATTGGCGGCGACGGCGAGTCAAACAACCCAATACTGTTGCTGAAACGAGACATCGACGCGCCACCTCCACGCCGAATGATGGAGTCAGAGCCCACCGACGCAGGATTTGAGTCCGACGACTCGCACACAGTAGGCGAAGACGACGAGGACCAGTCCGAGTTAGACGCCCAATTTCGCCGCGAGTCAACCGCCGATCTCGCAGCGAAAGAGGAGGAGCAAGCAGAGACTCCAATATACCCGTGGCGTCTCCCACCGACCCTAGACCTAGAGTGGATGGCGTTCGAAGTCTACCAAGAGGAGCCAGATTCAGACTCCGACCTCGATGATACCGAAGACACCGCCCTCGCCACTCCATCCGCAGACTCCAGCCTCATCTCAAGCCTCTCCAGCCTCAGCATCGCCCCCCCAACACCACCTCCTCAATCCCGCCAACTCATCCCTTCACCAGAGAAATCAACTATACCGACTCAATCAACCCACCAACCAACACCCCCCTCCACTCTTCCCCCAATCAAAACCTCCCTCTCCATGCTCGAAATGCTGATCCGCCTCACGGCCCTCCAGCAATTCCAGCAATCCTCCCACCTCGCCATCCCCGACGAATTCCTGACCTTCTTCCTCTCGGAGAGCAGCACCGTGGGCGCCGGCGGTGACGCCGATGTACGCCGCCGCGTGCGCCGCGATGCGCGCGAGCGCGTCGGGTTCGATCCGTATGATGAGAGTCCCGTCAAGCGGAGGGGCGAGGCGTATCAGGCGCAGGCGCGGCATGCGGCGCGCGAGGGCTGGAGTGAGGAAGGTGAGGGGAGTGCGTCGGCGTATGAGTATGATTACGTTGGGTATCCGACGGGGAGCTCGCCGGCGTCGAGGGGTGCGGGGTCGCCGGTGAGCAGGGCGGGTGCGTCGGAGTCTGCGAGGTCGGAGTCGAGGACGGAGTCGGCGCGTAGCAGGTCCGTGGTCGATGTGTCGTCGTTGAGCAGGATGGGTGAGGCGCTGAGCAGTCCCAGTCCGTTGCTTAGAAGGGCGACGACGCAGACGCAGATCCAGACTGGAGCGCGGTTGAGACAGCCCAGGTTTGCGCCGCCGCGGACGCCGCCTGGTAATTAGGCGGGGATACGTGGAGAGGGACAGTAGATGTGGTGATGGGAATAGAGGAAGAGGGGTGGAGGGACAGATCAGCATTTCGGGTGGGAATCCGTTTTCACATCGGCATTAGCGCAGCATAGCATGGCATACACAGCGAGCGAGCAAGCAAACAGCACACCATAATTGACCACAAGATTGATTCCCCAGCCAATACAAGTGCCAGCTCTGATATGATAGCCTACAGCTACCAGCCAATACGCCAATACGCCCCTCCATCCATCCCAAACCCACCGCCTACTCCCAGTCGTCATCATCGCTCTCCTCCTCCACCTTCTTCGCCTCCGCCGCCTTCGCCTTCGGACTCCCCGGCGCCCTACTCGGCGCCCGACTTGTCGCTCCACTAACTACATCGTACGAGGCGTCGCTGTCGGCCACGCTCTTCTCGTCGTTTGAGCGGCGCGGTTGCGCGGGCTTCAGCGAGTCGGAGTCGGCGTCGGCGGGTTTGATGGTGGTCTGGCTCTTGGCGAGGTCAGGGGTGGAGGCGGGTTTCGGGGCTGTGGCGGCGGGGACAGGGGTGGCAGCGGAGGCAGGATTGGTCGCTGTCTTCGCGGGAGCCTCGTCGTCGTCGTCGTCGGAGCCGGAGGACCAGCCTACCTCTTCGTCAGCGGCGGCGGGGGCAGACGCTGTGTTTTGTTAGCGGGTGTGGGAGTGGGAGACAACAGGGTGAGCCGCACCTTTCAGCAGTTCGCGGCGGCGCTGCTCCTCGCTCTCGATGATGTGGCGCAGGAAGTAGTATCTGCACCAGAAGGTCGGGTAGTCGACTTTCTCGGGGACAACCTTCTCCATGGCGCTGCGCAGCTCGTCGTGCTTCTCGAGATCCTTTGCGATGGCATCTGTCTTCTTCTCGGCGTCGAACGTCTTCTTCCATTCGTCCCACTGCGGGCTCGCCGGGTCCTTGAGGAACGAGTCCAGCGTCGAGTGGATGACGTGCAGCTGGGCGTCGAAGCGGGTGGCGTGGACGACCTTCTTGCCGCTGCTGTCCTTGGACTCGAAGAGCACGGTGCCGTCCTTCTCGGCCTGCGAGCCGGACGCCGGGGGCGCGATGCTGACGGCCTCGCTGAGGAAGTTGCGCATGTTGGCGCCGAACTTGAGGAGGGCTTCGTCGGCGGCGTCTTCGGCCTTTTGCAGCTCTTTGAGGCGCTTTGTGGCGTTGAAGCGGAAGAGCGAGACGATGCCCTGCGCTTCCTTGACAATGTCGGCGGTGAGCGACTCCGGGCGGTCTGGGTGGGGGGTCATGTCCTCCTTGTCTGCATCCTGCTCTACCGGTGTGTCTTTCGCTGTGGCGGGGGCAGTAGCGTCGCCTGCCTGCACGGATAGGTTGCGCGCATGGCTGATGAGGTTCGAGACGCCCGTGGTGGCTTCCTTGTATTGTTTGCTGGTTGTCGCTGTGTCGTAGTATTGCTCGCCCTAGTGCTGCAGTTAGAGACAGTATGACAACATACGAACAGCAGAGGTTTACCTGCTTCTTCGCCGTCTGCCAGAAGCCGCCTATCCGCGCCGCCCACGGGCTGCTCGATATGGCCTTGTAGGCTTCCTGGACCTCGGAGTTGAAGTTGCCGGGCGGCGCGTCGGAGCTGCTCTCGCCAGCCGGCTTCTTGGCCTGATCCTGGGGGTAGCTCTCTTCCTGGATGTGGTCGTACGCAGAATCCATGCTGTGTGCAGTGTGTCAGGCGTGCGAGGGGTGGTGCGAGAGCTAGCATTGCCTGCTGAGGTCCCGCATTGACGCGGACCCTGCATGAGCTCCGCAACCAGCAATTTAGCGTGAGGCATGCGCGCAAGTCATGTCACACAAACTGGACAGACGGCCATCTTGAATTTGTTGACCTAAAGTGACACTCCTGCTTGTATGTAGGGCTATTTGCGCTCCTAGCACAGTATTGGGCGATTGCACTGAGCTTGCCTGCGCCGTGCTCCTGCCATCAGTGTTGCTCTTGCTCCATTGCGCCGGACGTGCCTGCCGTGACAAGCCACGCCGAGGAAACATCTCTAGCTCTTGTCTTCCTATTTTTCGTTTCGTCCTAACTTCCTCAGTACTCTCACCTCCTCTTCTTGCCCACCACTGTCTCGAACCCATCCTCGTCGATCTCCGGCTCGGGCTTTGGCTCCCTCGGCCGTGCAGCTACCAGCGCCGGCGCATCGTCCATATCGACATCCTCGTCGTCGCTCTCCTCATCCACACTATCCCAGTCTGCCTCCTGATTGCTCTCCCTCACATTGACATCCCCCGTTGCCACCTCCTTGCCCTGCCTGCTCTCCCACTTCTTCTGCAGCGCATCCACCGTCGCTGTGTTGCCCTCGGCGATCTCCAATCGTATGGCCATGATGTTGCGTGCAACCTCAACCTCGGTCTCGTCCTCGACGCGGCACCCGTACTCGTCTTCCAGGACTTGAAGCAGCATGACTTCAACATCCTCGACGTCGGTGAGCGGCTCGTTGGCGAAGAGTTCGCTGATTTGGCCAGCGAGCCAGTCGCGCTTGTCAGATGAGTCGGGACCGCCCCACTGGTTCTTCACCGCGACGGTGAGCGTGGCCCAGTTGAAAAGGCATTGCCAGATTCCAAGGTCGAACTTGTCCTGCAACTCGGCTGAAAATGGTTAGTAAGTCGGCGGATAGGTGAGCACATAGACATACCCGGGATTGCTGTTGCTACTGTGGGCGCAGACATCTTGTGGAGTGCGGTATGTGATATTTGGAGTTTTTGACTTCTCGGCGCCTGCGTCACAAAAGTTCGTGGAGGGGAGGGATCGTATCGATAAGGACAACGCGCTAATGACTCGACGCGACAGTCCCCGCGGGCAATCGCGCTACAGCTCGTGTCGTGGTAACGGTTCCTCACAACATGGACAACTTGCCTCATGCTGCATTCATCATGCTGCTCATTGCACACGATAGATGTCCTAGCAGGAGCTGTCATGATCAGACTTCAACGCTCAGCGGAGGTGCAGCGACGACTCTACTATCTCACTGATACTACGAATAATACTCACGGACTGGCTAGGCTCGCCGCAACGTTTGGTATTATGTCTCGTGCGTAAGATCTGCCAGCAGCGACGAAAAGGTCATAACTTTCTGGCTACCGAGGTCATACATGATTGGTGTGAGAAGTGCAATCATGCATGCACGCCTGACGGGGCTGAGGTGAACAACGACAGCAGCCTTCTCGGTCTCTACACCCCAACTCCTCTTTTTCTCTACCACCGACAAGGTTATGGGATTTTGAATATTTTCGCTTGCTTACTCTCTCTAGCACAGTATGTCCCCATTTTGAGCCGTGTTCGAGTGCGCAACGCTGACGTCTGGCAGCCTGGTCTGGAAGATGCCCCTGGAAGATGCTCTTGTTGACAGTGACATGCTGGCTCATGCCGACCTTGACAATGGCTATGGTGGCCCGTCCGAGCTTGTGTTATTTCCATATTTTCCAACCACTAACGACATGTATCATGGCCAGGTGCCAGATGTGTTAGCACCGTCAGACCCATTTGCAACTGGATTCGATTGGTATGATCATGCAGCAAGAGTAATGGAACGCTCACAGTTCAAGTACAAGTGGGAGAAGACCCTGGAACGGGTCTTGACCAAACCGCGACTGACCGAGAGCGGTGTTGCTTTTATTACAAAATGCTTGGGCCACCTGGAGAAACCACCATCCTGGTGTTCGAACCCGAAATTATTCTATGTTATGCAAAACATATCTCTTGAGCATCGGCTCTCTGAGCTGTTGGATATTGGTGTGACTGATTTGTGGTTGCCCGTCCCTAGACGCCTTCTCCGCAAATGGTTGAGTGATTACGAGACAGGAAAATTCATCACATGTCAGGAGAGGGTTCTCGACGAAAAAATTGCTGTCGATCTGCAAGGAAAACACTTCACACTTGACAGTATTGATCAGCTTGATCTTCCCAGCATGCGGGTCCTTGGCGCTGGAGGCTTCGGCGAAGTTCACCAGGTCCAGAATCAACAGAACGGCCAAGTGTATGCTTGCAAGACCATGACAAGGCCAGTCAGATATGACGCTCATACTTCCTTGATGCACAACTTCAAGCGAGAGGTCATGGGCATGCGTCGAGTTCGCCATCACCACTGTGTCGATCTAGTGGCTTCATGTACCGACATGGATTCTGTGGCCATACTGTCTTCCCCGGTCGCTGATCTGGACCTATCCGAATTCCTGAACTTGGATCTCAACGCAGTTCAGCTAGGTTTGCTGACGCAGGCAATTGGATGCATTACATCTGCGCTTGCGTATTTGCACAGTCTCAATATCAGGTCAGAGACTACTCGCGCGTACTTTGGCGCTCATTAGCTCACATGCACAAGACACGACGACCTGAAGCCAAACAACATCCTCATACATGGAGCCAATATCCTTTTGACCGACTTTGGATTTTGGTGCGTCATCTGATCTCATGCTCTTGAATTTACTGTCAACAAACACTAATGTGGCACATTATAGCCTAGATTCATCGGATAGTGGTATTAGTACCACAGTAGGGCCGCCATCGCACTCTACTAGAAGATACTCCGCGCCGGAGGTCTTTGACCACGACCCGAGGAGTCGATTGACAGACATCTGGAGCCTGGGTTGTGTCCTCGCTGACATCGTCTCTCGTCTATTTGGCTACAAGCTCGATGGGATGAAGGCATACTGGCTCTCGTGTGGGTCCAAATTCGATAGTTACGCTGAAAATCGCGTTGCTACAACAGCCTGGTATTCAGGGCTTCTGCAAAATACAATAGACCCCAGTTGGCGCTTGGTACTTTCTATAATCTGGACCGAACTTCTTGAAAGAGACCGAGTAAAGAGGCCGAGCGCAGAACAGGTACTAACTACTCTCCTTATGATGAGATCACCATCTCAAGATGCGCTCTGGGTCGGTCCATGTTGTCGAGCATCCCGGACAGCTAATCCCCAGGCACCTCCATTGTTGAACACCTCGTTGGGGTCGTTGTTTCCGATGTCCAGCCCGATGGCAAGGGATAATCCGGTTGATCACGCCGCTCGAAGCAACCAACAGCCAGATACGCATGACGAATCTGCACTGGAATACCGGCAACCGCAAGATCGCGGGTTTCGAATGTACCGACGTCCGCACTATACGAGCAGGCGTCTTTAGATCTCTCACCTTGAGACCGCCACCAGAAAAATGTACATCATAAGAGACTCCGACGTATTCGGCACCAGGAATTCCTCGACCTATCCCGCAACATCGCTGACGACAGTGATACGTAGTCGCGACGGAAACTGGTACTGTGCTGTCACATACCACGAGTTGTAGGATAAGGCTAGACATGGCGTCTGAGGCTTACCGTTGACAGGTGGGGGGGGGGGGGGGCTGGCCCGTCATTTGGATATGTATCTACCGCTATCTGGGGGATACATGTTGTTCTCGGGCGCTGTTATGGATGTGCTATCCTCAGCTGGCCCACCAGTCTAAGCCCAGTATGGACCTGCGTAACGAACCAAGCATGAATATCACCAAGACAACGCAAGGCCAGACTTTCTCTATCCAAAACATGCATTCATTTTCATATCCATATCGTAACTATCGTAAGATGCTAGAAAAGCGTGGGTCAAGACTGTGCTAACGATGTACCGAAAGCTCAAGCAGTAGCAAACGTGTACTGTGGAGCGAAATCAAAACGCCACCCCACCTTGTCGAACCAATTTCTATCCCAAGTCCATCTCGGACCCATCCCCATTCTTTTCCTCCTCTTATGATCATCGTGCTCAATCAGGCCAACATTTACTCAGCAATCACGCTGACGGCTCCAATCTCACCGACCATGTAACCCTCGGCATCAGCGCCGACTGCCGCGCCGGCGAATCCAGCACAGCTCAGCACCAGCGTCAGGTCCTGGCTGGCGCCCTCGGGTCCGGAGCCAGCAGTGAATTGCTCACTGCGCTCGACCCAGGTAGTCTCGGGCCTGGCGGTGAAGACGGCGTTGTTGCCGATCGTGAACTGCACAGTGCATCCGCTCCTGGTGTTCGCTTGACGCGTCAAGCCGCTGAGCTCGTACTGTGTGCCTGGGCAGAGCGTGAGGGGCTGGGAGATCTGGACGGTCTGGCCCGGGAACGCAGAGCGGAAGCGCGCGATGGTTGTGCCGGGGGTGACCTCGACCGAGTCCACGGAGATGGTAGGGTCGAATTGGCTGATGAACCAGCCCTCGGTGCTGGAGTCTGGCTGAATATTCAGGGTGGGCGAGAGGACAAGGTTGTTTCTGTCGCTGCAGGCGGCGTCAATCTGGTCCTGCGTCGCGAGAGTGCCAGAACGGCGGAAGCGGGAGAGTGGCGTGGCAGTGGCGCCGCTGTCAACGTCGGAGGTGGAAGATGCGGCGACAGACGCGATGCTCGACACAGCACTCAGAATCTCAGAGACAACAGGTGCTACTTCAGTCGAGGTCGGACTGACTTCAGTAGAGGTCGCAGCGGCATCGGTAGCAGTCAAGCTCTCAATAGCCGATGCGAGGCTCTCTACGACGGAAGGCAGCGCGACTACTTCTGTGGGCAAGGTTACGTTACCACTCGTCGGCAGGGTTCCATTGAGGCCAGTTGGGGCTGCCTCAGAAGAGATACAGGTAGACGCTACAATTGGGATTGTCTCAACAGAGTAGGTGGTAATGATGATCTCCCTCGTAATGAAGGAGAACTCGGTCGGACTGGGACAGGCTTCTGTGATCGGCGCTGTTGGTCCCGAAGGAAGTGTAGAGTTACCTGTAGGGAACGGAGGCGGAGTAGTCGTCCCGTTTGATGAAGTGAAGACGCTTGTAGAGCGAGAGAAGGTTCCAGTACGTTCACCTTCAGTCGTCGTCAAAGTGTATGTAGATGACGTGGAATTTAGCGAACTTGGGGGGATAGTGACTGATGCCGAAGGCGCTGTCGTGGAGTTCGTGGGTGTCTGGACTGGAAGTGATGTATTTCCAGTGGATGAAGGGGGAAGGATAGTGGACAGATTGCCCACCCAGAAAGATGAGACGGTTGAGTAATCAATCGATACGAGCGACTCGCTGGTAGTGCTACCAGTAGGAGTTGGGAGCGATGTTGTCGAGTTGTCGAAGGGGCGAGTTGTGGGTGGGATCAGCGTAACATTGCCACTAGGAACGATAAGGGTAGTGTTTGAGGTTATCGTGAGAGTAAGTGCAGAAAATGATTCAGAAGCGTCAGGTGTTGGGGTTGTTTCAGGAACCACGACTGTAGAGCTTAATACAGAAGATTCCGTGCTCAGAGGGAGTGTCAGAGTAAGGGTGGTGTTTACTGCAACGGAGCTGGAGGGTGTGAAACCGCCAGTGCGACTGCCCTCGCCAGTGGTGCCGGAAAATAATGAAGTTTCGTTTGCCGGGGCAGTAGGAGTAGGGCCGGTGGAAAGCGGCACAGTAAGCGTCAACGTGGTGTTCGTAGTAGGGGTCTCGATGGCGGTGGACGAGTTGGACGAGGGTGTGATGAATCCAGTAGATGCTACTGTTGAATTTGTTGTACGTGTGCGGCTGAAGCTACCAGTGCGCTCACCGGTGTTGGTTGTGCCAGTGAAGCCAGGTGTGGTAGAGTTGGCAGATGCCGGCGGGATAACACCAAACGAACCAGTAGAGGTCGTGAACGCTGTTCCAGACGCGGCAGTGAAGTTACCACCACCTCCGGTCTCAAAGGCCGAGAAACCGTCGGTTGGCTCGGTCGGCTCGGGGCCAGTCAGCGTAGAGTTCACGGTCAAGGTAGTCACGGGTGGAATGACACCGCTCAGTCCAGTGCTGTTTGCTGTTGCAGTGCCAGAACCGACTGTGAAATTTCCGGTTCCAGCTGTAGACGTGACAACTTCAGTGATAATCGTAGGTGGGACTATGCCTTGGCTGCCGGTTGAGTTGAGGGTAACAATCGACGTGAAAGTGGCAGTAGAGCCATTGCCAGAAAACGTGCTGTTCGGGATTTCGACCACAAGGGTCTCAGATGAAACGGCAGTAATCACAGTCGGTGTCTCGACGCCACTGGCCCCAGTCGATGTGATGGTCAGGATCTCGCTCGAGACGACAACAATGGTGCTAGTCTTGGGAGGACCGTAGACCCCTGAGGTATCCCACTCCTCTTCAGAAGGAGTAGATACGGTTGATGACGATGGGGGAATGACTCCGTCGCCGCCGTTTGACGATGCAGTGGCTTCCGAACCGCTGACAGTGAAAGTAACTGCGCCGGAAGATACTATTGTCTCTAAGATAGGAGTCTCGATTGGGGAAACGACACCATTAGTTCCGGTCGAAAGGATAGTAGAGTTTGCGCCAGAAATTGTCAGCGTCGTAGCAGTGGAAGACACAATGACCTCCTCATCAGAAGAGCCGCTCAGCGATGGAGAGGCGCTCGGAGAGACAACGCCCTCGGCTTCTGTAGAGAAGAAAGTTGTAAATACTTCAATAACGGTCACGTTGCCCTGGCCTCCAGAGATTGGAGGAAGAGATGGAGCAGGAGTCGGAGTGACGATGCCATCAGTGCCAGTCGAGGCCTGGACGGCAGTGGAGAAGAATGTGGTAACGCCTGCATCGCCACCGGTAGTAGACGCAGGCACGAACGTGGCGCCTTCAGAACCGCCTCCACCCCTGATAGTGGTCGTTGTATCTCCAGAGATGATTGTAGTATAGCCATTCCCGATGATCGTAGTCACAATTACCGTGGTGATAGCTGAGCCTTCGATTATAGTGGTTGCGGGCTGTTCGATAGTACGGGTAATGGTGGCGGAGCAGGCCCATGACGTCTCGTACACAGCCCACCAGCTTGCTGAAGATGCATACATCTCGAACCAGCTCCAGTGGACGAAACCTGCGGCATCAGTGGAGTTTGCTGAGACAAAAGTGCGTGACACGCCGCCACCGGAACTCTGGGTGACAAGACCGGGCGTGGAGAGGACTATGCCGCCGGAGGTGATGGACGCAACCACGGCAGATGTGTCAATTGAGACAGAAGTGCCATTCAGAGCAGCGCACTCATCGCCATTCGCGAACGTACCAGTGTGCACAATCGCAATTGATCCCGGTGCCGGCGTCGTTTCTACAGTCTCGCCCTCTTCAGATGAGTACAGGGTGCAAGAACCACTGCTGCCATCTCCAGAAGGCGTGAATAGAGCGTTTTGGCAGGCATCGGATACACCCTGCGAATTGAGAATCGAACACTGAGCGGCACAAGCGGTGACGTCCTCAACGGAGGTGTTTGAGGAGATAGGCCTTCCCACGCGGTCCTCAGAGAATCCTGTGTTGCAGTAGACGTTATAGCCGAGACGTAGTCCGCCGACAACCTGGTCAACACTCTTGTTGATATCATCCTCGTCGCAAGAGAACGGGATCGCAGTGACCACTGCAGGTCCCTCGGAAGCGGTGGCAGTGGAGTTTCCGGAGACGGAAGTAGCCACAACAGGCGCAGTCGTGACTGCTGGAGAGCTTGACGCCTCGTCAGCATCGGTCGAGGCGGAGGCGCTGCTGTCTGTTGCTGATTCGGCGGCACTTGTGCTCTCTGCAGTCGAGCTTGAACTAGCTGCGGTTGAGCTGGCACCGGCGGAAGCTCCATCGGTAGCAGTCTCGCGCACTGTGCTCGTTGAAGTGTAGGTTCTGGTCTCAGTCTGGCGGACAATGCGAAGATACCTAACACCAACGGTGGTGGTCTAATCGTTAGTAGGGTTGACATAAGTTAAAAATTGGCCGACTTACAGTAGGATTTGGGACAGTGAATGTTTCCGTTACAGTAGACGTAGGCTGGACCAATCTGCAGGAGCAAGCAGTGGCCAAACCCTGTTCAGCGGCGATCCTGTTTGGCGCTTTAGAAGTGGCTACTTCGGCCGAAGTAGGTGTTCCGCTCGCGATGACAGAGTCGACGATGTCGGAGGCGATTGACTCGATCTGCTGCGCGGCAGCAACCATTCTGCGGCGCACGGTCGGCGAGGCGGTGATTGTCGTAATTTCGAGGACAGTCGTTGTCGACATAATGCGCTCCGTAGTCGTCTGAGTTGTAGTCTCGGATGCGCTGGTAGTGACTGTTCTGCAATGATGTTAGCGGTGCCATTGACCTCTGGGAAATATCCTTGCATTGTGGGCGTAATCTCGGCGTATATGGTTGTTGGCGGGATATTGAGCCAGTCATTGCAGAAGCTCTCAACACTGTTATCGGGGTTGTTGCTGAGCAAGGCTGCGAACTGATCGTTGGGGCAGTCTAAGATCTGATCCTGTCGCTTTCTAAAGATGTCCCTCCAAGACCACTGATTTTCAGCCGCATCGGCGCCAATTCTCTTGACTTCCACATGTTCTTCTGTGTTGCGATGCAAAACCCGGCCTTCGGTAGTCGCAGAAAAGGAAAGAAGGGCGGCCGAAGCCAGTACTGAGCGAGTGAAGAACATGATCGAGCACTCGAGTGAGTGAGAGTTGCTCTGATCAATTGTTCAAGTGGTTCCAAGAAAGGTTCGGTGGACTACAAGCCAATACCTCCCGCCATGAGCACTTATAAGAACAAGTGGTGCAGCTCCAGGCCGTGAGCCGTGCAGCCAGCCATCCAAGATTACCACCATATCGAGAATGTGCCTTGCAGGGAGCACTGGAGTACTGATCCGAATCAGGTTTTGCGGGCTGGATCAGTTTCGCGTGAAGCATGATGGACGGTGGTGACCTTGCGTGGAACATGTCGTTGAGAATGTTGGATCAACGGGTAGCGAAGCTGGTGGCTTGCCCCCATTGACGATGGCTTCGTGGTGCTTGGCAGAGACCATGCTCTTCGTGGTGGATTGGAATGGAAGGGATACCGCCGAGCCGAGTCCTGGAGGCGCGTGGACGCATTTCACACCCCACTATCAACCAGAGTTCGGGTCAACATCATGTGAAGGGAGAGCGCGTTTCAGAATCCAGCAACGCGTCTCGGTGTTGCACGGTAGTCAGAACAAGAGAAGCGACAGACGGGATAGACGAGACAGAAGGGCAGATGGGATGACAGAGGGCGGCGCAGCAGGAGAGGGAGGGAGTATTGGTGCGATGCGCTTGACATTGACTATGGCAGGAGAAAGGGCGCCCTGGCGCAGCGAGTTGGATGCTGCGCGGCCTGCTGTAGCTACGAAGCAAACTGGTGGAGGCCATGCTGAAGCTCCCCCGCAGCGCAGCGAGCGTGGTGGTGCCTGGAATGAGGATGGTGCAAGACCGCGATGAGCGATATGTTTCAGACGTCGATTCCCAAAGCGGGGCGCGGCTGTCAAGTGAGTGTCAGGCGTCCGCACGGCGCGGCGATGCGAGGATGCGAGGCGGTGCGGCTCCTGCTGCGGGCGCTCCCTCGCGGCGCCAAGACCAGCGGAGATTTCCAGCGCCGCCTCACAGGGAAGCGACGCTCGGCAGCAGCACCAGCCTCTCCAGTCTCCACTGAGCTCTGCGGCATGCCTCCCACGGGTGCGCGCGCATTCACCCCCGCCGTATACCAGTGAAACATCCGCATCGCCGGCACCTTCCCCGCACATCGCAATTCTTGATATCACGACTCCTCATCCGCATTCCATGGGCATCTGCTCGTCTTGCCTAGGCGGGCGCTCCGACGAAGACGTAAGTGGTACCGCTGGCCGTATACGTGCGCTGTCTCTCTGCTGACGCGCCCTTGCAGCAGTCGGACGCATCACAGCTACTCGGGGACGGCTACCAGCCGCAGTACGGCACCCTCGAGGCCCGCCCGCAACACCCTCCACAGCCCGATCCAGAAGAGATCCGCCGCGCTCGCGAGGAGCTCGAGCAGATCTGTGCCGACACGTCCAGGTGAGCGCCCCCTCCCCGCGGTGCTGCTACCCCCTCCCAACTGGGCCCTGACGCTCATCCCTTGCAGCCAGCTCATCACCGTCGTACACCCAACGGCGCAGTTCGATGCAGACCAGCCACAGGTCTCCGAGACCACCGACTATGCCCAGCATTTCAGCAAGCGCTTTCCCTCGATCCGCGGCCTGAAGAAGGACTCCAGTGCGCCCGCCGACGCCGACATGGACGAGGCAGCCTGGCTCGACAGCGTGCTCGGCGGCGACGAGGACGGCGAAGCGCCTGTCAAGGCCGTTCAGGGAGGTCTCACGCGCCAATTTGGCAAGTGAATCTAGCGAGGCAGACGTTACGTCGTTGGGCAAAGGCTTGTTGCGCCCTTTTCATTGCTTGTCTTATTCCTTTCCGGATACCCATAATTATTTCCACCCTCAATTCCCTTTGTCGTAGTCTCGCATGGGCAGGAGTCTGTCGCACCACCAGGTACAATGCTACACCGATAAACTTGTCTGATCACCTGTTTTTCCCAACAAGGAAGTCAAACAATACGAGGTACTTCATGCTGATGACATCTAGGCCTGTGCGGCTCCCTGAGCTGCACAAGCTAATGGAACTCGAAGACCGTTGAGCCGCGTAGTACATGATCGCCACCAATCCTGACCCATCGAGTCCAATGCGCTTGTAGGGCCGAGAATCCCTGTCTTGGACATGCAGTGAACGACCGTCCCCCAGGCATCTTTCTAGTCTTCGCTCACCGTCTGACCTCCTTTCACTTGTCGTTCTGTCACCCACTACGGTCCGTCCAACTTGGGCAGACCCAGTTTTTCCCTCACTGTATCCTGTATGTTCTTCTGGATCTCCTTAGCAGTTGGTCGCGGCTTGAACCCTCGCTTCACCACCTCTGGCATCCTGATGACTGGATTAGAGACCACAGGTTCGTCTCGGCTCAAGAAATGAGACTTGTACGGGTTCGTGGGTGTGTTTACACCGTGGAGTGCCAGTAGCTCGTCTGTGGTCATGTTGCGGTGGGACTTACCAGTAAGCGTGGAGTCGCCAAGGCTAGGCTGCCTCGTGGAGTCCTTGGCCTTGCCGGTGGGCGTAAGAAAAGGTGAGGGAATGCCAGCGGGCGTGAGGACAGGCGAGGGGATATCGGAGGTGCCGTCTGTCTTCGAGGTAAGCTCAGTTCGGCGTCGCTTGTTGGCCGTTGGCGACGCAGGATCTGGCGCAAAATCGTCGTCTGACGAGTCGTCAATCGAGCCCTCCAAAAGAACCGCTTGCTTGATCATACGTTTCGACTTGAGCTTTGATTTGGGTGTTGGCTTCGTCGCACGCTTCTTCTCCTTCGTCTCCTCAAGCTTTTCTTTTTCTGCCTGTGCGCTTCCCTCCTCACCAACGCTTTTCGCTGCATCGGTTTCATGCTGCTTCTCCGCGCTGTTTACTGCTGAAGCCGGCCTCTTTCTCATCACGCTCCCACCCGATCCGGGCGTAGCGACCTGCGGAGTCAACATATTGCCATGCGCCATACTCCTTCCCCCCTTCTCCCTTTTGTCCTGGCATGGCTTGCAAATCTGGAACGTGCATCCAGGGCACCGCAGCATGGTTCCCTTGTTGCGCAAGTCGCACTCAGAACACTTCGATGTATGCACGGTGACCTGCGCGAAGGCATCTGGAGACGAAGAGCATAGAAGTGTGCTGGACCCAGGCGTGCGGGGAATGGAAGCTATGCGCCGGTGGTGGCCGCCTGGCGTAGAGGGATTGGGAGTGTGGCGCTGGACGCGCATAGTGGTGCTACCGCCGGGTGTAGCGTTGCCGCCAGGCGTGCTAGGCGTAGCAGAGTCGCCGGACGCTGAGGTTGGGGTTGGAGTTGTTGGACGCTCCATGGCTAGGATCTTGCCGTTGAGTCTTCGCGTGGTGAGGGTGAGATCGATGGGACTGTGAAAAGTTTGGAATATGTATGTCCTAGTGCCAACCGAGAGGGTGAGTGAAGAGGGACATTTTGTTGACTTCTGTGGGGCCGTGCAAACGGATGAAGTGAAACGTGAATGTGCGATTTCTCAATTCTCACCACTTATGAACCGGCTGTCCATGTATTTTGATCATGAATCAGTAAGGATACCTTGTAAATGTCGATAAAGCTCAGGCGCTGGAGTGTAGTCGACTGCTAAGAATTCGAGGTCACAGGCATTGTACTCATGCGGCAACAATACTGTAGAAGCAGCTACGTCGGTTTCGTGCTTGGCACTCGAAGAGGTAAAGTAGGAGCGATTGCCTTCGGGAAAACACCGCTGTTTCCATACTCATCCGCTTATTTGCGAGTCTTCCTCTACCAAGCAACGCTGCATAGCAGCCTCTTACTGGTTCACCGCCCAGTATCACAGGTTGCCACAACACGTGGACGTCACAGGCAGCACCGCGTCCCTGGAGTCGGGAGATTACTGCTACACCAAGTAGGCATCGATACGTGGATTCGCCTGTGATATGGTCTTGCAAAGAGCACGACAATCTTTCTCCAACTGTGCGCCCTTCTCGATCGACTGCCTGAAATGCCAAACGATGACTCGCAGTAGCACGTGCAAGAGTCATGTCTCACTCCGCACCATTGTCAGAATTTAGTAAAAAGGTCACGTGTGCGCTGTAGAAGGGCGTAAACCTCGAGGTCGAAGACGGGCAATGCATCAGCTTTAATGTCAGGGTGTTGACGACGCTGCGCAAAAAGGGTTGACCAGCGGTGAGCCCTCCCCGCAAGGCTGCGGCACTAGCCACACGGGTATGCAACCATCCTTCAGCTAGCGATGGTTTGCAGAGCCTTCGGCGGAGAAGCGCGCCGGTAGCGTCGTATCATCGAGGTGCTCGCGGCCCCCCGTTCACCGCAGCGTTGTTTCTTCGTCTGCTACACAGGCCGCAAATCCATTCGTGAACAAAGTTTTCATTTGTCAAGCGCCCAGGCAGCAACGCCCTCACGCAATCGTCACATCTCTGCCTAACGCACCTTTCAGCTACTTCAATCCACGCCATCGCGACTATCGCGCTTCTCTCGTTGGAAGCCACCGCGTCCGTACGTGTCCACTCAGATTGTGGAGACATTTGTAGTTTGTGGCGGTGCTCTACAGCCCTACGTCAGCTGCTCCAGGATTAGATCTTTCCATCGCGAACGCCGCACACAACGCATAACATCATAGAGTCACCGACATAATCCCGATCGAGCCTTTCACCGACTCAGATCTGCTGCACGTAAGGGTCGGCCTCCCCTTGTGGTAATCAACGCCTTGTGGTTGCGTCAGGCCTCACGGGAGTCCGTTCGGTCTGGAGCTGGAGCATCCATCTCCATATATAAGCTTGGGGACCAAAGTCTAGCCCACCCCTTTTTCTATCGTCTTTCCTGATCATATCGTCGATCATGGAGTCCTCACCACCCGCTTCGCTGTATCCAGCTATGGCGCTCCTGCATTACATGCATGCGCCCACTGTTGGGTTCTTCTTCCTGGGAGCAACAGCATTCAGCCTGTGCATATTACAGAAACCCGTTCCGATCTCATATCGAAGGAGGAGAGGCGTCTTTGCCATCACGACACTCATTTTGATTACATACGTGACGGAAGTGCTATACTACTTCAGCCGATCACTTGCAGATGCACAGTATACGCCTCCAGAGCCTGCAGCGATCCGGTGTTTAGGCTCCATCCTGGTCTGGGGGCCCCTATCTTACGCCATATGGACATCAACACTGCTGAGATGGCACCCTTACTTCGGCGCATTCGTTCTTCAATTCGCATTCGAGACGACAACATGCCTCATGAGCGCTGCTTCTATACCCAGCAACGACCGATCAACCAATGCACCCTTCGCTCTCGGCTGCATCAGAGCTAGCATCTCATTAGTCCTTTTAATCGACAGTTTCGCCATCACAGTCACGAAGCACGCAGAAAAGAGCACCGATGAAGAGAACCAGTCACTCCTGCCAAAACCAGCGAATGGTGCTGCAGCTCAGAACGGCGACGCAGGATACGGGAGTATCGAGCAGAATGCATCTGAAGATGAGGAAGAGACTCCAACAGATAAAGACAAGGAGCTGAAAGAGCAGCAAGCGAAGCGCCTGGAGGAAGAAGGCGGCTGGTACGGCTACCTCAAGTCATTTGCTATCTTCTTGCCATATGTGTTTCCACGCGACGACTGGATGGTCATGGGAGCACTGGGAGTCCGCCTTGTTCACATGCTTGCTGAGCGCGCCCTCAATCTTTTGACGCCTAGACAGCTTGGTATCATCACCAACGAACTGAGTCGTAACACGGGCGTAATGCCTTGGAAAGATGTTGGACTATGGGTTTTCTTCCAGTGGATCAGCAGCTACGCGGGACTCGGCTTCATTGACGGTATTGCCAGCATGGTCATCTCGAACTCAGCTTATCGACGGATTACTTTGTTGGCATACGAGCATGTTCTGAGTCTTTCTATGGACTTCCACACGTCGAAAGACTCGGGCGAGGTATTGAAGGCAGTCGAGCAAGCCTCGTCTCTAAATTCGCTAGTTGAGATGGTTCTGTTTGATATTTCGCCCATTCTTCTGGATCTGGTTGTCGCCATGTGGTACGTCACGCATCTCTTCGATGCTTACATGGCCTTCATCATTCTTTTCATGGGCTTCGCATACACCTGTATCGGATGGTACTTCACAACACTGTCACAGCCAAAGAGACGCGATTACGTCGAGAAACAGCGCACTGAAAGCTCGACCGTGAACGAAACGGTGCACAACTGGCAGACAGTCGCATACTTCAACCGCTTGAACTACGAGCATGCACGCTACGCAGCCAACATCATGAACACAATCAAAGCCCAATACGCATACTACTTCCGATCCATGGGCGGCCACGCTGCGCAGGATATGCTTACGACTTTCGGCTTTGCAGCCTGCTGTGTCTTTGGCATGACGCAGATCGTCGCTGGCCGCAAGCAAGTCGGCGATCTCGTCACTCTGATCATGTACTGGCATACGATGACAAGCCCTCTGTATGTCTTGTCGTATAGCTACAGGCATATCTCCAGTTCTCTGATCGACGCAGAGCGGTTGCTCCAGATGCTCAAGACCAATCCCTCTGTGGCTGACAAAGAGGGCGCCAGGGATCTGACCGTTGACAATGGAGTGGTGGAGTTTACTGGCGTTGAGTTTGCGTACGACGAGCGCAAGCCCATCATCCGAGGTGTCGATCTGCGAGCCGAGGGTGGGCAAACGATTGCTTTTGTCGGCGAGACAGGCGGTGGCAAGTCAACTATGCTCAAGCTACTCTTCCGCTTCTACGACGTCACTGGGGGGTCCATCATGATCGATGGCCAAGACCTTCGCTCAGTCACCCAGTCCAGTCTCCGTGATGCGCTCGGCCTTGTTCCTCAAGACCCAGTTCTCTTCAACCAGACCATTCGCCAGAATGTGCGCTACGCTCGTCTCGATGCCACAGACACTGAGATTGAAGATGCATGCCGTGCGGCAGCTATTCACGATGACATCGTCGGCTTCCCAGATGGTTACAACTCGAAAGTCGGCGAGCGCGGAGTAAGGCTCAGCGGCGGTCAGCTCCAAAGAATAGCCATCGCACGTGTGTTGCTCAAGAACCCCAAAATCGTACTCCTCGACGAGGCCACGTCAGCAATCGACTCTGGTATCGAGGCTCTCATCCAAGAAGCCTTCCGCAAGCTTAGCAAAGGACGTACTACATTCGTCATTGCCCATCGTCTCAGTACCATTGTTGATGCGGACCAGATTCTTGTCATTGAAAAGGGTGCGATTTTGGAGAGAGGGACGCACCAGGAGCTGCTCGAGAAGAGCGGCAAGTACAACGAGTTATGGACCAAGCAGACTGCAGGACACTTGTCGAATGTGGGCAGTAAAGTGCCGTCCAAAGCGAATTCGACGAGTGGCGAGGTTGATGCAAGTACGCCGTTGATTGATATAACGCCTGCCGTGGAGGACGAGGCGACCGCGACTGGCAGGAGTGACGGCGAAAGCCAGGACAAGGTGGAGAGGCGGAAGTGATGTGTTACATTCTATCAAAAGTTGAAGCCTGCGACAATATCCAAAGTTGACGGACAGTTTACAGTGTTATACGTTACTAGGATGCGATCTTCTCCATATTGCCATTAATAAGTTTGCAGCTCTCAATCCACACTACTCGAATGCAATCGCACAGCGTGTTATATGACAATTTGACGTCTCAACAGCCTCATGCCAAGTCGGGCACCGCGTACCAAGCTTTCGGATCATTTGTATGAGTGTATGAGTGAAGGATCACTGAATCTAGCGTGATGAAGATCCACCAACATGTCTAAGCAGTGGTCTGCTTATCGGTGCCGAAATCCGTTTTGACGATGGCTGCTGACGGCTGACGGCCACGCAGTTTTTCGAGACGAGCGATGGCCACAAGCATCCACACCAGCTGCCTCATCTCGCGTAAAGACCCAAAAGGAGGTGCGAGCTCGTCCGCGGACGAGCCCGAGATCCTTCGACATTGTCCCGAGATGCTGGGAAATGTAACGGTTCGCGCAACGCGGGGCAACATTGCGACCGACCGTGCGCACTGACCACACGGATTAGCTGCTCACCGGCGGCATCCACTCCGCATCATAGAGAAACGCGAGGCGTCAGGAGCTATGTTAGGAGCGCTTGCCTCACGCGAGGCTTACTTCCACTTCTCCTCAACTCTCGTCTTTCCCGTCAGCCATTCTCCGCGCTGACTCTGTCGCAGCAGCTCTAAGTGCACTGTGCGCTGCTCTTTGCGACCCTTGTCCCTTGACTTGCGCTACGTGGTGAGATCGACGAGCTATTCCCGCGCCACACCATGGCAATCCGCAAGAGGGCGCTTCTGCTGTCCTCATGTGCACTCACGTTCTTCAGCAAGAAGTATGCGCCTGACAGCCCGTTCACGCAGGGGAGTTATCCCAAGACTATTATCGCACTCTTTGCGATACAGTACTTTGCGCGAGCTTTCTACAATATCTTGATCTACCCGTTCTTCCTGAGCCCGCTACGGCATTTGCCTCAAGCACCTGTATGTGTCCCTTGCTTCCCTTCTCTGCCTGATTTGTGTGCTCATGCCAACAGAACGGCCACCCGGTTCTCGGTCATTTCCCGCGCATCTTCCGTGACCCCTCTGGAGAGCCGCAACGGGAATGGGTCGATACTATACCTAATGAGGGCGTGCTGTACTACCGCTGGCTTTTCAACGAAAGCAGAGTCCTTGTCACAAATCCGAAGGCGCTCGCCGAGGTGCTGGTCCAAAGAAATTATGAGTTTGTCAAGCCTGGGCGACTGAGGGCAGGATTGGGAAGGTTGTTGGGTGTGGGGATCCTACTGGCGGAAGGAGACGAGCACAAGGTATTTTCGAGGATTCGTGAGACTGGCCACGCACTGACGATTGCCAGCGCCAAAGAAAGCTGCTTATGCCTGCGTTTGCGTTTCGTCACGTGAAGGACCTGTATCCGATCTTCTGGGGAAAGAGCCAAGAGATGACAGATCGCATCGTCAACACGACAGATCGAGCTCCAGATGGCTCTGTAGTGATTGAAGTCCGCGACTGGGCCTCTCGTGCTACCCTCGACATCATCGGTTCTGCAGGCATGGGCAAAGATTTCGACTCGCTGATGAATCCCGAGAACGAGCTCTTCCTAACCTACAAAAAGATCTTCTCAAGCAACCGTGGTGCTCAGATTGTCCAAGTTCTGCTCGGCTTCCTCCCTCATTGGGTTGCTGTCAATCTTCCCTTGAAGCGTAATGATGAAATTGGTCAGGCGATTGGCACCATCAAGAAGGTGTCTCGCGAACTCATCGCCACAAAACGCGCTCAGATTGAGCGAGGCGAGAAGCCATCTCATGACATTCTGTCCGTGGCCATGGAGTCAGGCGGATTCACTGATGAGGACCTTGTGAACCAACTCATGACGTTCCTTGCTGCCGGTCATGAAACAACCGCCAGCGCGATGTCGTGGGCGATCTACTGCTTGTGTCAACACCCCGAAACTCAACGCCGTCTCCGCGAGGAACTTCGGTCCCAGCTCCCCGCCGTCTTGGAGTCCAATACGCAAATTTCGAGCACCGACATCGACCGCCTTCCTTACCTCAACGCCGTCCTCAACGAAACCATGCGCATCTTCCCACCAGTACCACTAACCCTGCGCGAAACGGCAAACGACACCACCATCTGCGGCGCCTTCGTCCCCCGTGGCACCACCGTTGTCATCTGCCCCTGGGCCATCAACACGTCCACGCACCTCTGGGGCCCGGACGCGCGCACCTTCAATCCAGATCGCTGGCTCGGTAACAACGCCAACTCAGGCGGATCCGAGAGCAACTACGCAATTACAACGTTCTTGCACGGCCCGAGGAGTTGCATTGGTAAGGAGTTCGCGAAGGCCGAGTTTGCGTGCTTGGTCGCGAGTCTGATTGGCAGGTTCGAGGTCGAGTTTGAGGAGGGCGCGTGGGAGTTGAAGATTCAGGGTGGTATCACGGCGAGACCTAAGGGTGGGCTTAGAGTCAGGCTGAGGGAGATCGGGGAGAAAGCGTGAAGACTGGCGTGTACAATGTAGCTGGGGTGGTAATCGCGAAATGCGATCAACGAATCTTTCCAAGGATGTATGTGCAACTGCGTGATGTTTGCACGGAGTCCAAGTTTTCCCATCGACTTATAAAAGGTCTGATGGACGAAGATGCTCTCGTTGAGTTGACGTCAATGCTACTTGCACCACAGGCCCATCATCATCGAATCGTGTTGAGATATACAGCACACCCAGAACGAACCAATCTGGGAAATGCCGGACCCATGAGAGCTTCCCCACCGAGCACCGAAGCATCGGAGACCATAGCTCAAGCTCAAGCCCAGCGACCCACCCACTCACCCTCCATGGGCCCATCACCGAGCCTGGCCGCGGAAGGATCCCAGATCCCGGCTTCTATAAATGCTATAGCCTCACCGCATTTATAACGACGTCACAGCGTTGGTAGTCAGTGACATGTCAGCAACCAACCGCTCCAGCTACTCCATCACCGCAAAACTGCCCGCGTCCTTCGTTGTTGACATATTCACGTGGCCCATGTCAACAGCAGGGGAGACTGGAGCACGGGGTCTGGGGTATCCTGGTCTGATCTGCAGGATGGAGCGAGGTATGGCTCCTGCCGTCTGTGCTTTAAATCCTGACGTCTATGCTCTCACCGTTCTACCCGCTCTAGCTATAGCGAATGGGCCCTCCGGGAGGATTGGTGGTGTTCCAAGTGTGGGCTGATACGAGAGTCGGTGAAGATGGGGCAGGGGATGGCCGTGGGTTTTGATGTGCTGCAGGGTCCACATTTGGCATTTGGCAGGTGCCAATTGTACGGCTCTTTCAAGCTACGGGGTATTTCGCTGTGGGGCATAGGAGAGGTAGACAGGGTATGAGGTCCAGAAGATGTCTAACCGTTCTTGGCGTGTGGTGCTCGAGTACCGTGGTTTCAGCTGGAGGGCTATTTCCTTGGTCATGATGTTTTATGCGTACTAGAGGTAGGCCAGCTCAGCGAAAGCCTCATTCACTTGCCAATCAATACGCAATTGCCTACGCGTTCTTAATCTTGGAGTGTTAGTTCATTACTATATTATAGCAGCTCACCGGTGTGATTTATGCTACTAGTTGGAAACTGTGAGGACATATGGATGGGGTCAAATTAATTGATCACGCTGGGCTCTCGTTCGATACTTCTGGGGGTGTTGCTAGAATTGCAGGGTACTCAATGTTAATGGGGATGTCGGAACGATGGAGCTGCCGTGGCAATTGTGAAGGGAAGCTTAGTCAGCAGAGCTCGGACGCGAGCCAGGTTATCGACGCGCTCGCAACGTCCGTCCATCTCCGTCCACGTGTCTTGTGATCAACCTGACGCATGAATGAGAGCCTGCTGATATTGCAACACGCTCGGCGAGCACGATATACTGCAGTCTTCTGGCGCCGATGCCTAGGAGATCGTTCAATGAGCACACCTCCCAACAAGGCTGCGCGTAGCTGATATGATTGACATCCAGCACTATCCCTGGAGTCAATGCTGCTGACATCAAAGTCCCAGGAGGCTGCATTCTCGTTTCTTGCAGCATCGCAGCACGATATATGGAAGCATTTGCCTGGTCGTTTTTGCAATGGACCAGCGTGCATGCTGGCCTGAACACAGCAATGCTTCTTCCAAACACCTGCTCCTGTGGCTCTCCGGCGGCTTTTCCGGATCCAGATGGCCTCGAACTCTTCGGTACCCGCGAGATGTGCGTTGGCTTCCGGTTTGCATCCAGGAGATAGTCTTTCGAATGTGGTATTCCAGGCAGCACAGAAGACATGCCAACCAGCATCCCTCGCTCACCGCTTGGTATCTGGACGAGTTTCCTTCAAAGCAGGATGCTCCCTGATCGGTTTCGGGGCGTGTTGTGCATATTCAACGGCCGCGGTCGGACTGGGATAATTGCCATCCTCGCTTAAACAGGTCGACACTAAAGACGCACGCTGCTGCACGTGTGAACAATCTAAGGCGGACTCGCTTCCGACCAGAATGCCCAACAGCCTTGAGAGTTAGTTGCAATTTCGTTACCCTGCGCAGGAGGGGATCCATCGGGTCAATGTTACAGCCTGCTATGGGGCTCGTTAAGCGCCCACGCTCGCGCCGACCGAACATCAGGATGTTTCATATAACACGGGCGTCTACACAACGTAACCTTCTACGGGGGTTCCAAACTTCTACCCCACCATCGCTCCTACGACGACCTGCTAGTGGAGCATGGCGTATCGGTCCTATTGCAACTAAGCCGACTGACACCGCTCATTGATACACAGTACTGAGCGGCGCGCCTTTCCGAATTGCTGCAAGTCAGCTCGGCAATTGGGTCAATGATGTCTTTTGCTTCCGTCCTTCGGACATTACTGCCACAAGCCGTATCTAGAGTATTGTCGTACACATGCTAACTGCAGAGCTTCACAGATACGCAGGCAGCTGTATACCTGCATGTCGGACCTTGAGTCCAGGCGCCTGGGACCGAGCAGCTGATGCAGACGCCGGGAGCACCGAGTTGCAGGTGGCACTGCAGCAATGAAGGCATACCTGCTATTCCAAGCATGACGACGTCTCGGCGCTTCGATGGGGGTTCTACCTCCGTGCGATACCTTGCACCTGTACCCCTCAAGTTGCGTCATATGCCGAAAGGCGGGCTTGTCAAGTCCCTGTTGTTTCCTCAAAAGTATCGCCGCTTGTAATGTAACCTCTCAATTTACGGAGTGTCTGGCGGTATCGGGTTGTTATGAGTACGCTGGTAACACAGAGTCCTTCGCAACCCGGTCTATGATCAAACCACTTCAGCACTCGAGCAGAGTGGATCATTGTCACCAATGAGTTGATTTTCAACGACCGCAAGAGGGTAAGCTTGTTGTCCGCTTGTCAGCCCGACGTTGATCGAGGTAACGACCGATTCAGGTTGGTCCACTCTGCTACTGCCTTGCATATGCAGCTAGATGATAGGTGCATATTCAGAGCGTTCCGCCATCGAGCCAACGCCCTCAGCTCCTTGCACATGTTGGGTGAGGGCATGGTCAGTCAGAAATTTCAGCCTGAGACCCCGCCTCCTGCCCGCCTCGTCTTTGTGAGTGAGACGATGAGAATTGCAGCTCTCGCGAACCGTCCATCTGCATCAGCATCGTGAATAGTAAGTTGTGTCTGCTACAATCAACCTCGCCAGGTAATATATTCCGGTTGTATATCTTTGTCAATCTCTCGCCTCAATCCTCCCAATATCTCAGATCTCGGCGTACATGTAACATGCGTCAACCCATCTGGCCAACCAACTCATTTCTGACCGCGGGGACATGCACATAGCCAGGCCAGGCCGACTTCGACCCACCTCACAAGCCGTAGCCCACCAATCCAGCAGCTCCTCCATACCCACCACTCACAGCGCAAGGTCCGGGGACCGTGTTTCCGACCCACACACGCACAGCTTGAGCTCGTCCACTGATCAAAATTGCGTGCGACCATGCTCCCTTACCCTCCGCAGTGTATGCGCGAGCACCGTACCCAGCGCGAACTTCTCGTCATGTGAGTTGGTAGCGATGCGGACTGCCTTGTAGCGAAAATCAACGTCAGGTCGTCACGAGAACTACAGTCGCTGGCTCAAAGAGGAGCCCACGACCGCTTTTCCGGCGAAGCTCGCTGTTAACATGACGACAGACAGCACCAAAAGGTCATTGAGACGCAATAAGCAAAAATCAGCAAGAAATTGATAGGTCGACAAGCTACTTGCAAGGTTTGTGTACGGCCGCATGAAGGTCGCAGTTCTGGTGTTTGTTATGATGGCTGGTGTGGCTCTGTGCACGACGCGAGACCGCTTTGAGACGACACGACAACACTCACTCCGAGCATCTCAAGCTGCAGACCGTCAAGACCACAATCACAGTGATTTGAATGCGTGGTGTCAGAGCGACGACTTGAGATGTAATCTCAATCTACAGAAGAGTAGTGATTGGTGTATTCGCATGGAGATGTTTCTCTTTCAGACAATGTGGCAGCCTCCCGGGCTGGGAAAGCTGCATCAAATTGCCACCATATTGGCAATGTCGGCAGCCATTGGCACATCCTGCGTGCAGACTTGAGTTCTGGCCTGATTACCGGTGAGAGTGGCCCAACAGTAGACTGAGCCTGACTAAATGTGACGCGTTCTCTGCGGGCTGTGGATACGCGGTGCTCACAGAAAGTACTATAACAGATGCAGGGGCCAATACGGATTGATTTGTGACACCCATGACTGATGGCGAGGTGAAGGTTCGGGATATGCTCTCCTCATCGATCAACCAAACCGCGCTCGCCACGTCAGAGGATCTCCGATGGGGCATGATTTGGCCGGTTCTAGTGTCTGTCCGGGGTCCAGATGATTGATTCGACATGCAATGACGGGCTAGGTGCCGCATAAACTTCACGCCATCTTGTTATCTAAAAGAAGCATGCCTGTCAGCGTGCATGGCCTAGCACGTCAACAATAGGCCGGACGCGGGACGACCGAGCCGTTGAGTGGGGAGACTGATCAGCTGAATGAAAGGCTGCCGACGGTGCAATGCAACATGCATGCGGTCATTGCTAGCGTGCCGTACGAGTGGAGGCGTGGAAGGACCGGATGTGATATCCAGGACCGGTCGCTGCAGCACAGTCTGATAAGGTGACTGGCCGGCTTGCCTTGAGCTCGTGCTTGGAGGATTGGCGAATTTCGTGTCAGCCAAGGAAAACCGCTTGACTACTCCGTGGACGCGAGGGTCGATCGAGGGCTATTGGTGAATGGATATGAGACTACACACGTGGGTTAGCGGAATTGAGTGTGCAAGACTAGGGCCAACCTCAAGAGACCGCAGATGGGGAATTGCCGGAACACAAAACAACAGGGGAGTCTGAAAACGAGCAGATGCAGGAAAAGAGAGAAAGTATTCCGCACGCGAAGCCTGACCAATGGCCGGGAAACAGCCTACTAGGACTCCATGTTTGGAATACGTGGAAAAGATCGTAGCTTGAACTTGCCCGTAAAACCCGTTCGCTTCCGGAACGTTGAATTTGCAAGCCAAAGGATCCCAATTGGCCAATGATTGTTTTGCTCGCCAGAGTCCGTGGGTCGGTCCATCGCTCAGCATGGTTTTCGCGGCACGTGACCGTTCTCGCTTCACGAATACCCGCCTTCCTACACATTCGATGGTTTCAACTGCAAGTATACAGTCCATTCGAGGTCGGACGCGGGCGCCGTCTGATACACAGGGACAGGGAAGTTGAGGGATTTTCGCGTTTACTGGACCAGAACGCGCGGTTCTTGGAGCCACAATGCGGTGATCTCTTAGCAAATGTGATATCTTTCTGCAGCTGGAAACGCCGGCACGGCCTAGGGTATCATTGCAGCCCGTCTCCGCAGTGCTTTAGCGGCAGAATGAGCGGTATCCGTTGATCGTGGCGATATCGTTGGTCGCAGCCAGGTGGGGTACCACCATGTTCGGTGGAAGGATAGGCCATGCTATCATTCTCTGGTTTGACAGCGGCAAAGGCCCGTAACGAAGTGCGTCGACGATTGGGCGAGAACCTCCACCTGAGAGCATAAATAGCGGCGTAGTCTCCCTGAGAATTGAATCATCCAGCTCGCAGTCAACAGAACCTCCAGTCAAAGACAGAGAACTCTGAGCATCTTCCATCTCTTGATACTCCATCATCCTTGTGCCTACTCTTTCTGCCACATCCTACCGAGGACTTGTAAAAGAGATCTTCCCTCGTCCAACCATCTTGTGTGTGTATTCGACATTCGAGTTGGCAAAAGCCCCTGAGCTGACCCTATCAGCAACCCAACAGACCATCTGTCGAGACCAAGTGTCTAAACGACGAGACGCTAGGTAAGTCAACAGGCATTGTCAACCAAACATCCATGGGACAAGGCTAACGATAGGCAAGCTCGAAACAATCCAGCTCTTCCATTTGAAACATGTGCTTCTACGACCAACATCGGTTCGGGTGCGGCGACTGGAAGTGGGGTCACTTCCGCCAGCACTGCGCCAAGGAGTACCGAATCGGTGAAACGTGTGGCATGAAGCTCATCATGCAAACGATTCCTACAGGAACCAAGTGCAAGCTCTGCGAGAAAATCGACACCAAGATGCGCCGCCGGGCCGCCGAGGTCGAACGCGTCAATCGCTGGCAGCGCGACGGCAACAAGTTCCGTGCTTCGATCGACAAATCGCTGGAGATGATTCGAGGGCTGGATTACGAAATCTACGAGCTTGGCTGTGAGCGCAACCGCAGATTGCAGCAAGTCGGACATTGATGTGGCGGGTCGAAGCGTGGCGTCTAAGTTTCATGTTTGGCCTGGAGTTGTTTCTTTTTCGGATTGAGTCCGTTCATTTTCGGCGTCTGGGTTGGTTCGACACAGTGAAAATTGATACTGGCTGGTGGAAAGTACGAAGGGGCTTGCCGGGCGGTACCGCTTACGATCGCTATTCTCAGTATCTCCACTTCATACTTCAATGATTGATGAACGAAAAGTTTCGAAACTACGTGATTGGTTGCATTCCTGCAATTAGCAACGATAGCCGCTGTGCCATTGATGGGGGGCCAAAACCGTCCAATCCGTGAACGTCGCGTAGCCGCGAATGGAGGAAAAGAGTGGTCGTGCACGGCCCAGCGGGTAAGGGACGGCGTCCCGCTTTCGGTTCCTCGAAGCTCGGTTGCCAGCAATATGTGAAGAAGCGATCGCTAACATCCGGAACAGTAGCGGCTGATATGTGTTGGCGGACTTGGAGGGTCGATGAGGTGTTGTCGTGACGCGAGGGGTAATTTTCTGGCTCGCAGATGCACGTGATAACACTAGTCAGCTTTGGTCAGCTCTTGCATCGGAGGCCGAGAAAACACCATTGGCCCGTGCTCACGCTCACCCAGCCTTCTGCTCCAGGTAACAGCACCGCGCTTGACCACACGTCTGAGCCTGCAGCTGCACTGCACTACAACTCTATCAGTTCACCTGTTTTCTATCGCTGCTCAGCAACATGAGTTGCATTCCATCATTCCGCGTGCCTCAACGAGAGACGCAAGCGCCTTGCGAGCCCGCGCTGCCTTCCCCGGTCTGCATCTGATCTGTATAAAGGAATTCGAGTTCTTTGTTGACGATGCCCCTCGCTTTTATAGATAGTCCGCCTCGTGGTAGGTTTCCCTTCGCTTCATCGATTATCGCAGCGCTCGTTATTGTCGCAGGTGTCGTGCTCCTCGTATCGTACCATGATTCTCGTGGCAGTCGCAGATCTTTCTATGATGAACAAGAGGCGGATGGACCTAGCAGAGTGCCTGGGACTGAGTGAATGTCATGTCAGTGTTTCGATCCAGCTCCAAGGTCGAACAGCTCTTACCCCACGTGGCGGTCTCTGAGTGGCCTGAAATGCGGCCGATCACCGACGATAATTCCTCCTGCGCTCTGCTCCGGTACCATCCCAGTTATACACTGGATTGTCTGAGAAGTTTAGTGTCGAAGCATTTGCTGTGCACCGCCATTTCTGTGTGTTGCTGGGGGCAGGACGCTAGAGCTTGGAAGAGATGGAAATTCGAGGGTGAAGGCGACCTGCAGATTTTGAGGCTTTCGAGCTACCGTCATGGTCTTGTGGCGAGTAGATCTGGCGCTTATCTTCCAAAGCTCTTAGACATTTGTACCACCTTCTCTCTGAGCGAGACGACAACCTTGGGGCTTGTGAACAGTTGGAGGTCACGATCCAATGAAGAGGATGGGCATCCATCAACAGGACAACATCTTGCGTAGAATACGCCACGATGTTCCTTACCAATACTGTCAATAGTATGTACTGGACAACAGCTAGCAGTCCTGTACATGACCTGGTACACAGCTCCGTAGGCCGCGAACCAATCAACGACCAAGTTACGGAGTCTTGGTTTCTTGGGCGTGTGCGTAAACCTCACGTCAGTTCCGGATCAACGAAGGCAAATCGAGATAGGTAGAGCGTGCTATGATTTCTCCAGCCGCAGACCTGTTGATACAGACTTTGCGTTGTTACCAATCGTGCCGATTGTCGTTCTTGTTCATGGCCCTCTTGCATAATAAGCTTTGCCCGTTTAGGAACATCATACTTCTCATAGCGCTCCCGTAAATTGTTTGCATGTCGGAACGGGCGTGACGCATCCGCTCTGCCAATGGACTATCGGAGCCGATGTCTGCAATGATCCTTCTGCTTGGCTCCTACTGTTTGTGACATTTCGAGTAAGCGTCGAGTCCGCACAGGATGTCTATGTACGAACACAAACGTTCGTGGCGAGACGCCAACGCTCCATTTCAACATTCAACTCATGATCGGCTTCGAAATAGCCGCGTTGACGTCTCAGTCAACTGTTGTCGAACATCAATTGATGTTGTAAGACGTCAATTAGGTTACAGCGTCGACAAGGGTCGCCAGCCAATGAGGGTGCAGAAGTCCATTCTCGACTCAGCACGAAGCCGCCGACAACACCCAACGAAACATTACGAGACATCCAGATTGCCAATCAATACATCAAGCGCTAACTTTGCCGAAGTATCAAAGATTGAATGGCATGAAGTAAGTCACTTTAATCTCAGGCACAAAGTAGCAATATTTCACAGCAACTTCAATGCTACCTATGTTTTGTAAAAACTCTCGACGAGTCCTCTATTCTTTTACGACGCATCTCGAGGCGGTAATATTTCCCGCCATAGGGGTTAGACAAAACTTGTGTCGTCGATATCGTGGTCGTTGTACTTGTTGTCCTCAGGTCTAGTGACTTTGCTCCAAGAGAATGTGCTAGGAGTTGTTCGCGGTAGAAAAGCTATGTGTGTAGGCTTCGGCCTCTTGAAGTTCGACCTCGTGAAACGGATCGAACTTTGCCCACTGTTCCCCGCTGGCCTTGACGTTAGCTTTGATCTCGACCAGCTCGCCCGATGCAACCAGAAGACCCAGCACATTCGGGGCCTTGCTTGAGCCATCCTTTGAGTGCCATCTCATGGCAATAGCAGATGTCCTATAAGAGAAAGCGTGATCGAACCCAAGCGCCCTCAAGAAAAGAAAGAGGACACCAGATTTCTGGACACTGGTGTGTCCCACTCTGGGCTTGACCGCTTTCTGACTGTGGCCGAGGGGTAGAGGTAGCCTGGAGCCATACGCGAAGGGTGTCTGCTCGTGCGGCTCCAAAACCGAGAGAATCCACGCCAACTTGCGACCAGGCGGCAGGTCCCACGCCATGGCTTTGGCGGTGGCGCTCTTCTTCTCTCCGCAATAGCCACACCAGTTTGAACTTGACCGATTGTAGATATGGCCGGCAATTCTGCACTTGCATAGCCAGGCGTGTCCTCCGGATGTCACCGCGCACGTGGGACGGCCATTGTCAAAGAGCTGGTACCTGTTGTCCATGACTTTCACGTCGGGCAGTCTGTCGTCAATCACCGAGAGCTGAATGATGTAATCTTCTCCAACTTGTACAGGTAGTACTGTGTCCTTTGATATCTTGCCTTTATAGTTAAGTCAGTATAATGTAGTCTCTAATTCGCTTAACACGAACACACACCGACGTTTGCAAAGACCTTTGTCGCCATTCTAATAGATGTTGTAGCAGGTCTAGAGCTGAGGAACACGCAGTATTAGTTCGCTTACTATAGAAAATAAGGAAGCAGGTTGCTACAAAAGAGAAAGAAGAGTAGAGATAGATCTTTGCGCTAAGCAAAAGGCGCCTTCACCTCTGCTTAGCGAAAATCTCTCTAGAAAAGCTTTACACCGCCCTGAGCGTTTGCCCTTTAACAAACTCTAACCTTTTTCAATTTTACTCTTCTAAACATGTCCTCTGTTATAGGACAAATCCTTAAGGCTAGATACAAGGAAGTTGTATTCTGCTACAAGGAGCGCCGAGGACACATTCAGAACCTGAACCAAACAATCACTGGAGCAAAGCCTAATGCCGAACACTTGTCACACAATTACAGCGACAACAGAATTCTGATTGAGACTTTGCGCGACAAGCTGGGAGACATAGCTAAGACACCAGAGATATCTCGACTACTCAAACAGCTAATCAGCAAAGACGATGCTCTTTGCGCAGCGCTGAATCTAGAGGTTGCTGAGAAGAAGGACATTAAAGATGCAATCTTTAAGGCTTGTGACGCTGTCGCTCAGGTATGAACTTAGCTAGTTTGACATAACATTCGCTGATGGTGACAGGACACAACAATGCAGGTGGATATTGCAAACACCCCAGGCAAGCGGGCTCGACAAGCATCTGCTGACAGTGATGACGAAAACACCCTGCTGGCAAAGCGCAGAAAAAACGTCAGCTCGACCACCAATGCCGTCATCCAGAACCCTCTCCCCGAAACTACGGCACGTGAGGACGAAGACGCGGCACATGAAGCGATATTGAGGCTGGAAGCACTACTGACCTCACATCGGAGGCGAATGAATGAAATGAGGATTGGTGAAGGTCGGAAACCGCTTGGAATTGATGGGGAGTGAGCCAGTGTTCTGCACATGGCTCTATCTCCGTCGTACTGAGCCCGGAAAGGGTTTCGATCCAATTGGGCACGGCTGCATCGAGTCTGACAATTTCGAGGACGTTGGACCGGCTGCCGTGGCTATGGATTGGCAGTGACATCTACAGCATGCTTTCGCTGGATCAGAGCATAACACTATAGCGAAGGGGGAGGACATTTCCATCATTGCGAATTATACAGACAACAAGGACATGTAGGATTCAAAGAAGAGGTAGAACACGCTTTCGTGGGTAAGGCGGGAAGTACAGAGCGTACGAGTTAATGCAACTTCACAGTGTAGAAGCCAGCTATACTACCTTTCAAGATCTATGCTCTGTTGTCTTCTTTCGTTTGTCTAAGCCTGCATCGATACAACCGGAATGGTGGGTTGCCAGGGTTACTTCCAACACCAACGGGAGCGTAAGCCATACCAAACCTTGGGAGCTCACGATAGCATCTGGTTATGAACTTGTATACATGTAGGGCACTAGGGTCTCGCTTTGAATTGCGCTGACTGGGGAAAGATGATGTTTGGCACCGAGACAGAAAAGGTCTCGAATGTCTATGATATTGCTGGCTACCTCCTTGCTGCAATATGCTTGGATTCGTTTGTAGAATTAACAACCAGCTGCACTACGCGGGCTGCTCCCATCCGACAACAACTTGATCGATCTCGGTACACCTTCGAAAATAAGATTCTCGTATGGATATTGACTCGACATCATATGCTCTACATCTCGCGAATCAAGTTCCACTCCGCCACCGTCCCACCATCAGTCGCTTCCTCGCTGTATTGGTTGCCTCTAACTCCCAAATGCGCAAAGCGACCGCTCCACACACTACTGCTCAACGTGATATTCGTCTGATTACCGACGTACGTCCTTATCTCGTAGGCTGTCACAGGGTCCCACGGCGCGCTAATTTCTACCTGGCCAGCCGTAACGTTCCTGATGTCATCGCCGATCGCTCGCGCAGAGAACGGAGGCAAAGAAGAGTTGGTGAAGAAGACCTCGAAATGCGCCGGTGGCTGTTCGCCCCAGTCCATTGCGATCTTATTGACCGGATAGAAGTGTGAGTTACCCAGGTCTACGGTGAGATAACTGGTGATGTTGGAGAGCTCAGGCTGCCACTTTGTACTTGCTGCGCCATCAATTGCGGCGATAGGGAACTGGCCAGGTTTGTTTTCTTGCGGCGGTGGGAGGATGGCTCCGCACTGCAAGAGATTACCAGCTACGGTGAGGGTTTCGCCCATCAGACGATTGGGAATAACGAGAGGTTTGTCGCCAAGTTCAAGAAAGGAACCATTACGGCCGCTGCGAGTACCGACTGTTACCGGAATAGGTTTGTCAAAGTAGGTCGCGTTTGCAGTGGGGAGTGCGAACCCTTGAGGTAGGCGAGCCAGAGTTGTGTGGGTCGCGTTCGAGGTCGCATTGATACCGTGTCCCATCCAGTAGAATGTGCGGTAGTCTAGATACTCAATCTGCGGAGGCAGCGATGGGTCCACATCCAATCTGTCATAGTAAAGGCCCAGGCCTAGATAGCCGAAGATTGCGACACGATTGGTGCCACCCATACCGGTGAGGAAAGGGAACGCAGGATGAGTGCCACCATTCTCTTCCACATTGTCTATCAGCTGCTCCGAGTATTGATACCAAGGGGCCCGCACATACGGTGCAGCAGAGTAGAGGTTGTAAGTGAAACTCGAACACCCAGAGGGAGAAACTTCGTTTGCAACAACTGCGAAGGAGGAGTAGGTCATAGCAGGTCCGTCAAGTGATTGCTTCGCGGCGTAGTAGTCGAGATTGGACAAACTGTAGGGATTCGGGTAATGGAGCAAATCGTCGACCAGAACAACATCCGCTTGTTTGACCTGTACTGAACCATTCATACCTGAGTACTCCACGATGATGCCAGCGTTCTCGTTGACAGGAAGTCGCATCATGGCAGCCATATCCGCCCAGCTGGCATTGGTATCCCTCCCGAACCAGGCATTGAACTCGTTCGTCTCAAGAAGATGCCGTTGAATTAGTGCAGTCGTATAACCAGCATTGTTGACTTGGTTGGCGTACTCGTCAGGATCGGTAGCATTCCAGAGTTCAAAAGCAGCGGAGGTCTCGTTGAAATCTAATACCTGCCCAAAGAAATGCGCAATGGCGTTCGAAATTGGCAGCAGGGTGTCGTTGAAGTACTCCTGGTCACCAGTGATGATCATGTGGTTGTTAAAAGCCAAGCTGATATCACCGTTGAGATGGTACTCATAGTCGAAACACGCCCCGGTGCCTGTACAGTTGCCGAACCGGCCACTCGTCCACGGGTACACTGCACCGCCAAGAGTAAATCTTCCCGTCTGGTTTTTGCTGGATGTGAATGCAGTCTCAACGTTCCTTTGCGCTTGTTCGAAATGCTCGACTCTGTAATTGATGATGTTCTGCGCATGGAGCGGGTGAGAAACTTGAACGCCTGGTGCCATCCAGACATCTGCGTCCCAAAAGATCATGCCTCCATAACAATCGGAGCCGAACCCACAGACAGGGATGCTGTATACATTCAGCTTGGTGTTGTTACCAGCTGCAGCGACAGCATTGGGCCCGACCATGTTCGATAGCAGATAGAACGGGTTCGTACGGGCCAAGATGTGGAGTTCCTGGATATTTGGGTCATCTGGAAGTGAACCGTTCTGCAGATAGTAACTGTCGACTGTCTCGGGGCTCAGTATAGACTCCCACTCTTCGATGTGAGTGTGTAACAGCGAGTAGTAGCCCTCATCAGCACCGGTCTTGGAGGCACTTTCCGCAACATCTTGGGGATCAGGGAAGGCATCCGTCGATGCAATACCGACGAACTTGTTCACCTCAGTTGGCCTCCATGCTATCAGCTCGACCTGTATAGATTGTGCGATACTCGAATCATTGCTGCTACTGAAGAAACCTACCTCGACCTGCTCGCGGGTGCTGAAGTCCACCCAATCGCTACCGCCCAGTGTCGAGTAGACGTAGGCCGTTACATTGGTAATGTTCCCGGGTTGAACAGCGGACCAGATCGTCAGTGAATCTTCCTCGTATTTCTTGTCAACGAATTGCGATCGGACGGCACAGTCACCGTCTAGTACATCGTACACCGTCACGTTGACATCGTGAGTTGCTGCAAGCCGCAGCCTCACAGCCGCCTTATTGACGTGGAGTTTATGGACAAAAAGCTGATAGTCCACGTCGATGACAGCTTCTCCGGAGCCACCAGGTCTCCAATTGTACCGCCAGCTTGCGATACCGGCCTTAACATCAAGACTAGAAACATAATCTGAGATGTGCTCTGGATCGACTGAGGCGTTCAACAACTGTCCATTCGCTTCAACCTGGAGCCCGCTCCAATGTGGGATGCCTGCAACAAAGCTCTCCCAGCCATATTGGTACAGCCAGGGGTAGTTGGTGCCATTTGTTCGAGGTTGACTATTCCAGAAGCCTGCAATTGTTGAGAAAGTTTGTCGTCGGCTGAAAAGCGGCCACCCAGAGATAACATTGCCGTCTACAGGCTCATCGACTTCGAAGAACGGCCCTGCGGAAGCAACATTGATGCCGAAATATCCGTTCGCAAGAGTCAAGCGCGACTGGTAGTGGCCTGGATCTAGGGTGTGTGTGCGAATCGTCCAGTTGTCATCGTCCCACTGTACATCCTTAAATTGATCCTGCTCGCTGCTGCTTGAGCCCAAGACCGGGGGTGTAATTGCCAATAAAGCAAGAACCGTATGGGCTAATGACGCGAGCATGTGATGTCGGATGTGAGGTGGGAGTCGAGGAGGAGAGCGATATTTGAAAGCAAGCGCGGATGCGCGTTCTTATTGCTTCGCGACGACAGTGCATAGTGTCACGACGATCCGTTCACAATCTGTGACCCATTGCTTGTCACACGACCAGCGTCCGTTCGCTGTCCTTGCCGTTCTCTTTTCACCGCTCAGCCGCTAAGTCGACGGGCTGGCTGGTCCGGTCTCTCTAACAGCCGCTTATCTGTCCGCCGTGTCCGGACTCCTCGGCTCCACTTTTACCATCTTTACTCCGGTGGCGGCAGGTCTAGCGCGCAAGCCACATTCCACATGCTGTATGTGTACGTTGATATTGGCGGGAGGCATGGTCGAAACCAAAAGCAAAAGTTACATCGATCACCGAATGCGCAAGGTAGAAGCGAAGGGGTGCACAATCGCAGGGGCCCTGGATTTACGGGAGCAGCGACATCAGCTAGCCGCTTGCGGGAACGCCCCTTCCTTGTAGCGATCTCCATGCAACATGAACATCGTCATTTCACGACGCACTCAGCCAGCCTCGCCACGACTACCGTGATGCTCTCGTTCTGAGTATGCGTATTCCGACTCTGGGAATCTCGGCTACAAGATCAGTTCGTGACGCCCAGATCGAAATGAGGGCCTCCCATCTTTGCCTTTCTCATGAGGCTCATTGCAGCTCATCATCCCACTTTTTGTCACATAGAAAGTCATCCAAGATCATCACAGTATTGAGATTGAGGGTGGGGCAGTATGCTTGTCTTCGCAACAGCGCTGAATTGGAAACTGCCAATCGATATGCTGCTCATAGACGTAGCGAAAATGCTCATGTTACTGCACGCATGCAGAAGGAAAAGAACATCTTTCTCTTTCGTCCACGATAGACTCAAGGGATAGAGTAGAGATGACATCTGTCGAGTTCGGCAATCGATGAAGCTGAACAGAATGCCTACGTGTGAATACTGATACATTTCCAATTTTCTCAACGAAGCGATGGATACGCCGATAACGCGGGCGTTCCGCCAGTATGCACGAACAAGACATTCTTCGCCTCGCCGAACGCGCCTTCTCTTGCAAGTCCGAGGAGCCCAGCAACCGCTTTGCCGGTGTAGACAGGGTCGGTCAGAATCCCTTCTGTACTTGCCAGCATTCTGATGGCGTTTGCTGTACCTTCATTAAGACGACCGTATGCCCCGCCGTTGAAACGTGCGTCGAGTACAAAATCCTGTTCTGTGATATCCTCGTCCTGCAAGCCCACAAGCTTCGCCGTGTTCTTAGCGGATGTCATAACGAGTCTTGAAGTTTCTGTGACATCGCAGCTTGTTGCCTGGATTCCGACTAGCTGCCGCCGTTTTGTGCTGGGGCTGAGCAGCTTGAAGCCAGCCACCATGCCGCCCAGCGTGCTGCCGCTTGCCGTAGAGACAACGATGGCATCGAACATGACATCCAGCTCCTTCTCCTGCTCGTACAGTTCATACACCCACCGTGCGAACCCCAAGCCGCCCAGTGCATGCAAGCTTGCGCCCGAGGGGATGAAGTATGGTGTCCCGCCTTCGCTCTTAATCTTTTCCATCTCCCTCCGAGCCGCAACTTCGTACGCCAACCCATCTCCGCCCTGTGCGTTCGCCTCTTCCTTGTCCTCGGGTGTTGAAGGCTTCCACTGGGCGCCCAGCACGTTGTTGATCTGCACGTTTCCCGCACTATCGTATGCCCCTCGGTCCTTCGCCGACGGGTTTCCGATCTTCGGATCTGGCGTGAGTACTGTCTTCATGCCAAGTTTGTTCCCTGCTGCGGTCACCTGGCGCTGGCTATTACTCTGCACGCCGCCCACGGTCACGAGGTGGGTTGCGTTCCTGGCGACAGCATCGGCAAGCACATATTCGAGTTTGCGCACCTTGTTACCGCCATAAGCCAGCGCACTATTGGTATCTTCGTGCTTGACCCATATGGTTGGGAGAGAGCGCGGAGCATTAGATTCGGCTTGAAGATGAGTGGTAAGGTTCTTGAGTGGCTGGATGGGCGTTGCATGCGGGTACATCAAGGAGACTCGCGGTATGTCGACGAATGGCCGGGGTAGTCGGACAGTGAAGGATCCCATCTTGGCAAAGCTCTCTTGATTTCCTGGCAAACAGAGCAGAACGTTGATAACATGAGTTATGGGGATGTCGTGCTCGATTCGTGGTTTGTCAGATGACGTCATTTTCAGCTATTGAAGAAGTAGCACACTGTTGCAGCTCCAATGTACTACGGTGTGAGCAGACCTAGCTCTCGAAATGGCTTGAACGGGTTTAGCCATACGCGTTGATGCTTGAGCTGCGGATACTCAGCAAAGGTACCAAGTTCACCATGGTCCTCGCCGCTTAAAACCAGGATATCGACCTCAATGTCTAGATATTCGAGGTATTCTTTCTGCTTATCGAGTGTCCCTTTTAATTCTTGTAAGTCCTCCGGAGTCGAGAGTCGCAGCAACGCAAGGTTGAAGCTCACGAAGCTGAAGCACCGCAGCGTCTTGCATGGCGCCATTATCCAGGCCACGGACTTCCAATTCAAGCGACAGGATCGGAAACTCAAGTCATTAACGTTGGAGAACGGTTGTGGAGGTATCCCAAGGCCTAGGGACCGCACTTCGGGCTCAACTAAGTTGCATAGTTGGAGGCGCCTGAGGGAAGGCAAACGCATCAAGATGACGACATCGTCGAACTGCATACATGTCATCGTGACATTCGCTGACTTGAGGTGGTGGAAGCCATGAGGTACTCTCATCCGAATGGGATCGAGACATCGCCGTGTACTCCTAATATCGTTGCCGTACCATTTGTCGATGATTTCAATCTCTTGCAGATTCGGTGTGTATAGAAGTGCTGTCGTGAGGAAAGCATCTGTGAATTCGCCATTGCCACGAGCCTCTTCTATTGCGTCTGCGCATCCACCTGCAATAGTCGAGACGGGGTATTCGAACGCACGAAGAGAGTGTTTGATGTCGTTGAGGTCGGAGTTGGACATCCGGTGTTTTGCAAGCGTACCATAGTCCCATCGCAGTGACTTAACATGACGTGCTAAATCTGGACGTTGGAGGAGTGTTGATAGATACCGGCTAGGTAGACTTCCGTAGCCAGTCTGATACTGGGCGTATAGAACGGGAGTGGCGATACGGTTCAGGCATCGATTCGTGCGGCAAAGCCCTGCCAAGCCGTGCTGTTGACTAACGTGTGACACAATCTGTGCAAGCAGTTCCTCAGGTAGGTCCTCCATGTCGGGAAACACAGCATTGCTGCGGGTAGTCGAAGTATCGAATCCTTGAGGGTGCAGGGTGCGCTAGGTAGTGTTCGGACTAGCGTTGACCATCAAAGTCTCAATGAGATCATCACGGACATACCTACTTATAGCTATCAGTGGGTAACATGTGTATTCTGATGCAGCAGTGTTACTTTCCAGAAACCCGTATCACCAATAACACACGAGGAGTAATGCACTACACCCAGACACGTGCAACCTGCTACTTGGCAGAACGCAGCATCACCTGGGAAAGCAAGCAGGGTGAATGACCTCAAAGTCATTGAAACTCTCTCTTTTAAGATTCATGCACTTGAACGGAGTTATATATGATATGTAGCTCTGCATCTTATTGGTTGCGTTGAACATGGATTGTATTGAATTCCACAAAGTTCCCAAATGGCTGGTGGACCGTGGCATGGTCACTGGGTACAACAGTCTCTTTTCCTTTCTCCTTCACGGTCGACCAAAACGCAGCGTCTAATCTTCATAAGAACACGTTAATTAGTACGGAGCCCTGCTATTGGGATCGGGCAGACTGGTTCAGTCACTCATATACTCAGACTGTTTATTATCCGTGGATCCGTCTGTTGCACCTCATATAGGTGTACAAGATTCATAAGATAATTCAACCTTCCTTCGCTTGGAATATCTGTACAGAGATCAGACCAGGACGATTGTAATGCAAACAAGTCATTGTCATGGACATGGTTGGCGAATGGGTTTACCAGCTTGATAAAGCCCGTCTTTGTCGCCTCATCAGGCTCTATGCAGGCTTCGTGTTGCCCAAGGATTTTTCCTGGGCGTCGCTATCATCTTGCGATGCACAGCTCAGAATACAGTGCTCTTCCAGGAAAATCTGATCGTGTTTCCGGTTTCACTCATTGCTGGCTTCCGCGCTTCTGTCTTTCACCCGCAGTCTTTGGCCTTTCATGGAGTTTTGTTTGCAGTTGTGGTTTGTACAAAGGTCGCCCAACCCAAGCTTTGTCAGTGACAGCACACTCAACACTATTTGAATACCACTGCTTAACCACTACTACTCAACTACTACTTTTCAACAACTGCTCCTCAGCTATCGCTATTCAACTAGCCACTCATCAACCACTTTCCCTCCACAATGCCTATTCTCAACTACCTCAGCTACCTCAGCTACCACGACTATCACGACTTTCACAACCTCCTCGTCACCTTCCACAAACAGTTCTGCACCACGACCCTCCACTCATCGCTCATATCTCGCACATCGAAGAATACTATCTCTATCTTCGCAATCGTCACAGCAGTGCTCTACCATTTAGCCTGCTAGTGGCTATCGTCCTCCACATTCTCTACCTCCAGATCACAAACTCTGTACTCGAGGCAAAGTTACAGCGCCGGCTCTATGTGCCACTGAACAACGCTGTGGATGCTGTGAACGACGCTGTTCATGCCGACCCCATCAACGAGCACGCAGTGCTCACGGCGCTCCTACTATTGGGGGTGAAATACTTCTTTGGCGTGGGGGTAGTGCTGCCGGTGCTGATGTACGCGTACTAGTGGTGTGAGTCGGGTTCTGGTGCATGAGAATTGTGTCCAGCGGAAGGCTTGGTTGCGTTCAGTCTGAAGTGACTATCGGTTTCCTACGTGGATCCTCGAATTACTGTCAGTGCTTGTGGAGATTTGTGTTTTGTACTGGCTTGCTCTTGGAATGTTTGGTGAATAAGACAATTGTCTTTTTGGAACAGTGTGGTGTTGGAGGGGTTTGCTCCTGGGATCCAATGCATGATGAAGTTTGTTTCGGTCAGGTATTTGCAATTCACAGGTATGCATTGGCGATTTTCAGGACTGTAGGTGTTACACAGTGCCTTGGAATATGATCTATGTGTGGATATCTCAACAAGTCAATCAGTGGTGAATCCACTTCTTCTTCGTGCCATCCGCATTCCTCTTGCGCTTCTTTTCCTTCCTCGCCTTCTTGTCTTTAGGTTTCTGCGTCGCCTTCGGTGTTTCAGACGCATCATTGACCTCATTCTTTTCGTCTTCTTCGTCTGACTCCTCTTCCACCGGCGCCGGCGCAGGCTTGACGTCCTCATCATCGTCGAAACCCAGCCCGTCAACCGCACCCAAGAACCCAGTGTTCCCCTCGCCCTTCATCAATGCTTCGACATCGATGCCGCCGCTTGTGAGATATCTAGCACTGACACCAGTGTTGATGCGCTCTGCCAGCAGACCCTTGAGCTCGTGCCTGATTGAAGCAAACTCTGCTCTTGTCATCTCACTCGCACTCTTCTCCTTCTTCTTTCTTCCAGCGCCTCGCCCCTTTTTGCCCTTGGCCTCCTTCTCGAACTCATCTGAGTCGTAGTCGATGCCCAGATCCTCGGCAGCCTGCATGAACAAATCATCAGTGCTGTTCTTTTTCTCTTTCGCGATAACTGTGTCAGCAAGTTTCTTTGACAGCGTTGCACGCGGCTTGAGTCGGCCCACAATGCGGCGATCGATGTCCAATGTGCGAATGAAGAATGCGCGTTTCTTGTTGGTCTGCTCCTTGGCTGACTCAGCACGCGCGTGCACCTTCGCGACAAGTCGGCGCACACCAGCGACTTCTTCAGGCCCGCAGATGATGATACTAGAGCCGGAAGCATCAGCACGTGCCGTACGGCCAGAGCGATGCACGTAGGTGTCTGCGGCGCGCGGCAGGTGGTAGTGAATGACAAGGTCGACCTTGGGGATATCAAGACCACGAGCAGCGACGTCAGTAGCTACAAGAATGGAGCCTGGGCGTTCTTTGAAGCGCTCGATAGAGCGGAGACGCGCTTTTTGAATCATACTGGAGTGTAAGGGAAGTGCAGGGAGATTGAGGTTCGTGAGGAAGGGCGTTAGCCGGCGGACGGCCGCAATGGAGTTTGTGAAGATAAGGGCGCGCTTGTTCGGATGGAAGAGTAAGAGAGAGTAGAGATAGAGATCCTTCTCAGGACCGGCGCACTCAATCAGACCCTCGCGCAGCTTGCTGGCCATCTGCGATTCGGGATTGACGTCGACGTAGCGTGGCTGCTCCTCACGGAAGTTGAGCTTCTTGAGAAGGTATTCCATGGAATCGGCCTTGTTCAGGATGTCGCCGGTACCGTTTCCATGCTTGACTTTGCCAGCAAGCTTTTGCTGCAGGCCCTTGGAGAAAGTAGCGGAGAACACGAGTGTTTGGCGTTCGACTTCGACTATCGGTTCCGTCTCGTCATCTGCTTCGTCGTCTTCTCGGTCCAAAACCTTGAGAATCTCACCAAGCTCTTGATAATGACCCTGACTCAGCAGACGATCAGCTTCGTCCAAGACCAAAAACTTGACCTGCTTAAGAGAGCGCAGAAGACCTTGGCCGCTGCTGATAACTTCCCACAATCGGCCGGGTGTGCCAACAACAACGTCGGCTTTCTCAAGCTGGCGGCGCTGCTTCTGCACGGACAGCCCACCCGTGATTGTCGCAATATGCGGCGCAACAAAGTCACCCTTGACGCACAGTTCGTTCAGATGGGCGGTGATCTGGTGGGCAAGCTCTCGGGTTGGCGCCACAATCAACGCAGTAGGCACATTCGGTGTCTTCGAGTCCTTGTCTTTCGGCGAAGAATGAGTGGCCAGGTAGCGCTCAATAATAGGGATTCCAAAAGCAAGGGTCTTTCCAGAACCAGTCGAAGCTTTACCGATCAAATCCCTGCCTGCCATGATCTCGGGGATGGTCGAAGCTTGAATGTTGCTAGGCTTGGAAAACTTGAGCCCTGCCAGTGCGCCGATGACCTTGTCAGACAAGCCGAGCTCCTCCCACGCAGACGTATCAACCTCGTCGTCGTCGATTGGCTGATTCAGCAGAATGTCGAAGGCTCCTTCGCCAGAAATCTCGAAGTCCTCAGTCGCCTCGACGCCCTCTTCCTCGACGTAGTCTGGATTTGTTTCAGCGGACTCCCCAGCGTTAGCCGCAGTATTGTCCTTGAGCTTTCGCTCCGCTTCCCTCTTTGCCTTCGCCTCTGCCTTCTTTTCCTTTTTCGTCTTTGGCTTCTCTACCTGCTTTTCGGGGCGGTCCTTTTTCAGCAACCGCCCATCTTCCACCGCGCTGTTCGGGTCGAGGTCTTCGATTTCGATGCCGCCGTTCGTGGCTGGCTGCTCGTCGTCGCTGAAACCTGCAAAAGACTCGTTGTCGCTTTGCGCCTCACTCTGCTCAGGTGCAGTTTTCTTGGCTTCGGGCTCTTCGTCTGCTGCTTCTTCGTCTTCGACTGGAAGCTCTACCCCTTCCTGGCCAATCATCTTCTCGAGGCGCGCAGCTTCCTCTTCCTCGCGCTTCCAGGCAGCTTCAACATCCTCTGCAACTTGTTCTTCGGTCTTGGTTGTCTGGAAGGTTATGTTGCCAGTCGTCGCATCTTTGAGAACTTCGACGTCGTCGATTTCTTCTAGGCCATAGAAGCCTTCGGTGTCCTCCAAACGATCTGGCATGCCGACGGTCTTCCATCCTAGGTCGTTCAACTGAACTCGGCGTCTCTGCTTGCTCTCGGCAAATTTCGTGGCCTTCTCGAGCTTCTGGCGCTTGTGCACCTTGTGCGCGGCTTTCGGGGGGTTGTGCGCGCGCTTCATGTTGGATTTGGCGTGAACGCTGATGTTCAGGCGTTGATTGCTGCTCCCAGAAATTTTTGGGAAGGGTCGGCGCTTGCTCGGCCACTTTCCTCACCGCGGAGGTGCCCCTCACGTGGGCCAACATTCACACCTCGAATCTTAATATCTCGATATTACCGCATGACGACCAGGTCTTCGCGACAGAAAAGTGGCCTACGCCTTGTATGACAAAGTATACGTGACATTTTTGGCCTTTGGTCAGACTTTGCTGCTTCATTGCAGGCGAGAAGCTCACAGAAAAAAATTGGTCTTTGTCAATCCTCAATCACAAAAACTGGACAAATCTAAGCAGACAGAGAACCGAGAAGAGGGTTTGAAGCATGGGCAAGTCATCGAAGGATAAGCGGGATGCATACTACCGCCTTGCCAAAGAAGAAGGCTGGCGCGCACGGTCAGCGTACAAACTGCTGCAGATCGATGAGGAATTCAACCTGTTCGAAGGGGTCACAAGAGTTGTCGATCTCTGCGCTGCACCCGGGAGCTGGAGTCAAGTGCTCTCACGAGTTTTGATCAAGGGCGAGACGTTTGGACGAGCGGGGTGGGAGCAGAAGCAGGAAGCAACACGGCGACATGTCCTTGGACTGAATAAGGAAGAGAAGGAAGACGGCGCTGCCCCGGCTGTGCAACAACCAACGCCTAGGGAAAATGTACGGATCGTTGCTATCGATCTGCAGCCCATGAGTCCGCTCGACGGCGTCACGACAATGCGCGCCGACATCACACATCCGTCCACCATTCCACTCATGTTGAAGGCCCTCGACCCGGACACATATGACCCCAACTCCGCATCTTCATCTTCCCCCGTGGATCTGGTAATCTCAGACGGCGCGCCAGACGTTACCGGTCTTCACGATCTCGACATCTACGTACAGAGCCAGCTGCTCTGGGCAGCGCTCAACCTGGCGCTGTGCGTACTCAAGCCCGGCGGCAAATTCGTCGCAAAGATCTTCCGCGGAAAAGACGTCGACCTGCTCTTCGCGCAGCTCAAGATCGTCTTCAAGAGAGTCCGTGTCGCAAAGCCGAGGAGTAGTCGCGCAAGCAGTATCGAGGCCTTCGTCGTATGCGAAGGATTCTGCCCGCCTGAGGGGTTCAAAGCAAGTTTGGACAAACCACTGGGCGCGGGTACACAACTACCCACCGACACCTCAGCACCAAAGGAAGAGAAGACTGTCTCTCGCACAGTGAGGGCAGATGGTGCGGTCGAACTGGACTTTGGCACAGATGACGAGGATGAGGACGATTTGGAGGAAGGCGGACAGCGGTGGATAGCGCCATTCCTGGCGTGCGGCGATCTATCAGCGTATGACTCCGATGCCACTTACAAGCTTCCCAAAGATAGGGTCAGTCTGGATCCGGTACAGCCGCCTACAGCACCACCCTACAAGCGGGCGTTGGAGATGCGAAAGATCGCCGGTGGCGCTTATGGGAAGACAAAGGGCAAGGCCATAAAAGAGGCAGCGTGATTTACGTTGCAAGGACGACAAGCCTTCAGTAATACACGAGCTTCATTGGGAGCAGCATCTCTGCATTCATATGTAGTCAAATCTGATTTCTCGAAGGAAAAACGACGCGCTAAGGTATTCAAAAACCGCACCTCTGTTGTATCAAGCTTTACACACACTCAAACTCCCTTTCTGTGTACGTTTTAATGATGATATATGATCAAAACAGCCGTGTTCATCAGCCGTGCAGCCTGTGCACTGTCTTCTCTATGTATATACAGTCTTTCTGTACGCCTTATTCTTTTCGCAACTTCAAACCACTCTCCCCATGCTGGGGCAGCTGCATCTTAGCCACCATTCGTTCTGACTTCTTCTCGAATTCTCCCATACTATGCGCCCCCCAATCGTCATCTGCGTCATACTCCTCCCGCTTCCAGCCATGCAGCTCAAATGCAATTGCCGCGAGAATCTTATTTTTGAACAGATACACTCTGTTACTGCTGTCCCAGATACTAAGTGCCAGGATCAGTGTTGACGCTGCGGTGAGAAACAAAGGAAAGAAGAACCATGGCCAGCGGACCTGTATGTATATCTCACTCCCATAAGCAGTTCCTTCCAAGGTTTGAATTTGGTTGTTTGACGGACTCTTGATGAGCGTTGACAGCTGCTCGGCAATGCGTTCATAGAGTGAAGGGGTATCGTCCCCGCCACCCGAGATCGTCTTCATGTGGGCGAACAAGAACACTATGTTATCTAATTCTTCCCGAATATAAGCTTCCAGGAATATGAAAGCTCTGTACTGCCAGCTGTAGGTGAGTTCTTCTCCATCGTCGGTTTTGTGGGAAAAGCTTCGAGTTTCTGGCCCCAAGACAGTCGGTTTTGTTGTGATATTAGCAGAGAAACGGTTGCCCAACATTTTCGCCTCAGTAAAGTGCTTAACACACGGCTTTAAGGAGCATTTCGTCACTGTTCCATTGAACATTCCGAATTGCGGGGTCGTCTTGTTTCCAGCAAAGTAGCTGCTCAGGTCTGTGGTGGAGTCTACACAGGTAGCATTGAGTAAGACGCTAACATTCCTGTTCTCCACAACGGCATGCCCTGGCTCGTACTTGCAGGACTTCATGCTAAAGTTCGTGAGTGCGGTGGAGCCCACGAACTTGTTGTGAATCTCCAGCGTTGAATTGACAAAGGATCCCTTGTCCCAGGAAGTGCGTTGGCGAGGTAAATAGCCTACTGGGTCGAACACATGGAGTGTGAGATTGAGGTCTGGGGACATTCTCCTGTTGTAATCGATTGATAGCGTGATAGGAGAGATCTGAGGAATCTTGCATGTGATCGTGGAGTTGAATGATCCTTTAGATGATTTTTCCCCAATCCGTGAGTCAACATACTCCAGAATGGCAGACTTTCCAACTCTGTCTGGCGTTCCTGCCAAGGTACAGTTCTCAAAGAGATCGAAAATTGAGCCACTTAGCGATTGCTCTTCGCAGGCCGAGCAAAATGCAAGAGTATAATGGTCGGGGTAATCGCACAATGCGGTGGAGCACTTTGCATTCTTGGAATCATCCGCAGCCTCTTTGAAAGCTGCTTTGTACAGGCCCAAGGTTACCGCTGGATAGACTGCATACCGTGTTAGGCACATATTATACGATTGAATGAGACCTTTACGTTCTCATCTGCAATCATATGGATTGGCTTACATGGGTCAGATCCTGGAGAATGTTCCGTGTACTTGTCCGTGGAGAAGTCGCGAGTCAGAAGCGTATGGGCTGTTTCATTTGCCATTGGTGCGGATCTCGAAGCAAACTGAATTGTTTGCTGTGCAAAAGGCTGGAAAAGCAGAAGAAGGATGGTGACAAGAGCCGCTCCAGAAGCGAGAGGCAAGTGCATTCGCTCCCTCCACAAGAATGTCAGAGCACCCATAGGGCCTCTACTGGCTGAGTCAAATAGATGGAGGGAGATAAGCGCTCTTGGCTTCTCGAAATAAGTCCACTTGAGATGTCCAATGCATTCGGCAAGCGGAAAAATCAGCGCGGCTCGTGCCAAGGTGGCGAGAGATGCAATCAATGTGTTAGGCTGAACAGGCAAGTTCCACTCATGCGCGGAGCGGTTGTCCACGTATAACAATACCGCTACCGAAAGGATTGTACAGATGATCGCCAGACTGATTGAAAAGATCTCTCGCCACCAGTCGCGAAATATGGACCGGTTTGTGTTGGGTTTTCTCATCGAGTCCTCGAGCACTGTCACTTCGGCATCAATATCTTTTTTTGGATTGGTCGTGAAGCGGGTTGATGTTGAAATGTCGCCCGTAGAGTCTGCAGAGATATTCGATGCATACTGCTGGTCATTCTCGTGCAGTATCAGCCGGGATGAAGAGTGCTCTCTGTCGATCGATTCGAGTGACGGCCGGGTATAATCACCGAGAGTGGAAGTAGATCTTTGATGGAGCTCGTAACCATGCATGTTGTTGATTGACAGTTACAAGGAACAAAGCAGGTGCGAAGTTGAAGATCTTGAGACAACATTCTGCGAGATTGGGTCGAGCAAGGCTGATGCTTTGTCGTGCAGGATGCGGTGGCTTAGCTGGGTAAGGCCGGCAGCCCGACCCGCTCGCTGTTGATTTTATGATTGGGTCGAAGAAGAAGGCGCATTAAACGATGGCTCAATTTTAGGTCTACACCTTTTAGGCGATGCATGCCGTACCCCTAAATAGTTTTGGAACAACAGGCGCAGTCCTCTTAAATCTTCCGTGCGACCCACACCTGCGCCTTGTACGCATTTCTCGTCAACGCCTTCCCATTGAACCCATATTCCGCCTCCGTCCATCTAACCTTCTTGTCTTCAAATGTCAACGCACCACACTCATCCCCCACATCCTCAAACTCAAACCCCATCTCCTCGACCACAGCAACAATCTCGTCCAAGCTGAGCTGCACGAACGGCCCCGTTCCATACAGCAGCGGCCCGAGGTTCATCCACTTGCCGCCTGGCTTGAGCAGTCTGTGGATTGTATCAAAGTAGCTCATAAGATTCCTCGCAGTGTCAATGAAGAAGTGCGTAACAATGATGTCGTAGTGTCCGTTCTGACCATTGAACGCTGTGTTGAAATCGCCTTCAACCAGCAGCACATCCTCGCTGGGCTTGACATTCGGAAACTGCACGGCGCGCAGCAGATCCGCCGTTGTTGCGTGGTGACTCAACCCGTCGATGAACGGATGCATGCTGGCCGGCGTCGAGGTAGAGACGCCGGGAGCGAACAGGAATCGGTAGCCGATGTTCATGTACATGCTCCACTCGTTCAGCGTGACCTCAAAGGCACCCAGGTTCGCGATTTCGGTACCGAGACGGCCGACGCCGGAGCCGGGGAGCAGGATCTTGAGGGGTGCGGGAGCAGAGGTGGAGGCTTGCAGGTGGTTAAGGGTGCTGAGGATGCAGGGGAACGCGTCGGCGCGCTCTTTAGAGCCTTCGTCTGCCCAGTCACGGACGAAGTGCTTGAGCGTCTGGGAGGGCGAGACGCGATCGGCTACACGGCCTGCAGTCTCGGCTTCTTTAATGTGTGCATCAAGTTCCTTCTGTTCGATTCCGTAGAATGTCATTGCGTTTGCAATAATGGCTTTGCAGAGAACCTCATTGGCATAGATCAGCTCTTCAATGTCTTTAAGCTTCTTCGTGTAGTTCGCAGCTTTCTCCAATACCTAACTTGGGTCAGCCGTGTGATTTGAAGCATCTTGCTCATGAAGACTCGTCGATCGAAGCTGGGTTGGAAGAACGTACTTTCTTCTGCGACTTCCCAACATTCCCATACATCGACCGCCACCTATCCAACTCCGCCATGTTACGTTCCCGGTACTTCGTAAATCCATAAAGCGCTTCAAGGAGTCGATACCGTGGATGCACCGTATTCCATTTCCCAGTCTTGCGATTCATTCTCTTCATAAGATGTACTTTCTCATGCCTATGCCTGGGCGACTCGCTAGCACCCATGGAGCCTATTTTCAATGGATCTTGTGCCGCATCATCTTTGTTTCCAATATAAACCGAATCAACGCTGCCATCTGGTGATGATGGCGTGGAATCTGTAGAACCTGCAAGAGAGGTAAACCCGGCCGCGAGAAGTAGTGTTGAGACAACTGGTAGCCTCATTTCCGCGGATGCTGAAACACTTGATATTAGATTTGAGTTGTATGCGACTTCTGTGCATGCGACAGGGTGCTCGAGTTTGTTGAGCACCGTGATGGACGCTAAGCAGCATTCGTGGGTATCCAGGCGTCCTCTCCAGTTTCAGAAAAAACGGCGGATACGACCCTAAGCGTACCAACTTCACAGAATACTTAATTTGTAGCTATTATAATACCTAAAGCTAGAATTTTATCAAGAGTTACCTATATTGCAGGCAAAAAAGTATTATATAGAATTTTTAAGCATTTCCCCCACTTTACTGTCGTGTGGTGTACTTGGCTTGTATTCTCAGATCGCTGGTTATTCTGCAACGTGAGAGGCGTAGTAGAGAACCTCCCTCCAGATCCAACAAAAGTCGTGTTGAAGTCATTGTTGCTGGCCTCTCGAGTTTCAGGGAAAACGGCGGATAAGCGACCATTTAAGCGAACTAACTTTCATACAGAACTTGTAGCTATTATAATACCTAAAGCAGAAATCTACTTAAAAATTACCTGCATTTTAGGCAAAACAGTGTTTGATAGTGTTCATTTGAATGTTCCCTACTTTGCTATCGTGTGGTGGTGTACTTGGCTCACATCCTCAGTCCGCCGTTCACTCTGCAACGTGAGAGCTGGCTTAATGTGAACCATCCACGGGTGTTTGATTACATAGCACACGATCGTGCCCTACAAACTACCATGCTCCCTCTTCTCAGTCCCAACTTCCTTAGTCTCACTATGCCTACTCCCCACACTCCCCGATTCAAGCACACCGCCATCCGGTTGCACGCCCTCAGCAGACTCCCACCCTAACTTCGCAACCCTCCTCGACCTCTTTACAACATCGCCTTCGTAGAACAACCAGTCAACTTCCTCGAGCGTGAGGTTAGCCGTCTCGGGGTAGCAGAAGTACACCAGTGGGATGAAACTGAAGTTCAAGCACATGAAGATCAGATAGCCCTTCCAGGCCAGCGAATTGAGGAGCGTTGGCGTGATCATAACTACAACAAAATTCCAAAGCCAGTTGGCTGAGATGCCGATTGCGGTGCCTTTGGCGCGGACATGCAGGGGCAAAATCTCAGGCACTATGACCCATGGGATACAGTTCATGGTCGCGCCGAATGAAAGCATATACTGCGATGCGTTAGTGTATACCGAGGGTAGTGTGGGTAGGAGGGGGCTTACGGTGAAGAAGAAAGCTACACTCGCGCTGGCTGTGGCTTTTGCGATTGGGTCTTCTTGGCCGCGGGCCTGGAACGACAGCAGGACGGCAATCATCAGCATGCTGAAGCCGCAGCCGAAAGACCCCCACATCATGGGTTTGCGGCGCCCAGTCTTGTCGAGTGTGAATGTTGGGTATAAGGAGCCGAAGAAGAACATCATGTTGATGACTCCACCGAGTAGAAGAGAAAGATTGCGGTCAAGACCGACGTTGATTTGTAGGACGGAAGTGATGTAATAAACGACGCTGACATGTGTTAGAAAAGGACGTAGTCGTAACGTCGTCGCACTTACAGGTTGATACCTCCCATCTGGTTCATGAATTGGGCCCCATAAGCGAGGAGCACGCGACGACCAGTTTGGACCTTATCGCGCTTGAGAAGCTGTGACCATCTGTATTCGCCCGTCTCTTCCTCGACTTTAAGCGCCTCAAGTACCTCGCGGTTCTCCTTTGCAATCTTTGCATCCTCGGGCGTGCCGTCGTACACATCGCAGAGAATCTGTAGAGCCTCTTCGTGTCTACCGTGCTTATACAAGTAGCGAGGCGATTCGGGAAGACCAAAGACAAGAACGATAACGATCTGTGATCTGTCAGCTAGGTATCGAATCGTAGTGGCTGGAGGAATACGTACAACTGCAAAGATGATCTGGCAACCGATCGGCAAGCGCCATGCAATAGACCCAGGCACGAACGACATGCCGTAATCGAACCAGTATGCAATTACAATACCGACGCCAACAAAGAGTGGCTCTGACGCGACGAGGCGACCGCGCTTGTTCGCCTCGCAGAGCTCGGACTGGTACATGGGAACGGTCGAAGTCTCGATACCTGTCCCGATGCCAGTCAGGAAACGTGCGATCATGATGTGCGGCACAGAGTAGGCCGAAGTTTGGAGGACAGCGCCAACCTATACTTGTCAGTCGCGCTTCTTGACGAGGTTCTTGGACAACCTACAATGATCCAGACCATGGCGATCCACATTGCCAACTTCCTGCCAGTGGTCTCTGCATACATGAATGTAAGGATACAACCGCTGAAGCATCCCAGATTGTAGATGGAGACGATGATGCCCTCGAGGGCTGGACTCGGGTGATTGAAGGTATCGAGGAAGTTTGGATTTCCCACAATTCCACTGAACACACCCTGATCGTAACCGAACAGGACGAACGCCATCTGACATGCGACGGTGATCATGGCTCTGAGCTTGAAACCCCTTCCATACCAGTTGAGATACGGTGTTCTGATCATGATGGCGGTATCAGCGCGACAAGCAGCACCAAGCGTGCGAAGAAGTCGATGAATGATCCGACCAAGAGTCGAGGCGCTTGGTGTCAAATGGCGAGTGCCCTCGCGGTTATATGAAGGGATTCCTGAACTGCACCACTGTTAGCCGGTGTGAGTTCCGAGACTATGTACTCTCCCGTGTCGCCAATATCGTCGCGTGCATCATTAGGTTCAAAGCCGCAGCGAAACTGCATGTTGACCGTTCATCCCACACGGGACCAAATTCCATTGGTGCAACGAAGCCTCATTAGTGCATGCCTAGCTGTGAAACCAAGTCGTCGAGCGGCTTGGTCGTCGGGAATAGGCGTCTGGGGAACGTGGAGTGGATTGCGGGGAGAGCAATGACGTAGCTAGAGCGCATCGGCTTACCCGAATGAGCCAGCCCGGTGGTTGGCGAAGCATAAGGCACGACGCGCCAGTAGGTCGGCAACGTCCCGACGAATAATTTCAGGGTCGGACTGGCGCCGATTGGAGTGATGTCCGCGTGTGGTAACTATAGGCATCTTGCCTTGCAACGGAAGTCAGCATGTCGATCATTCACCACATCCAAACTTCAACAAAGAGGCGGCCTACGAAAATGTGACTCTAGGGGCATAAAATTTTAATTATTCGGATTGCAACGCCACGCCAGTCGTCGCTTTGAACGACACATGCTATAAGGGTATACTAAAAAACACAAGGCTTGCTTCCAACGCCACATATGCTGAATACTGCAGACTGCTAAAGGGATGTGTATCGAAGAGCCGCCGTAGGAAGACAGGAAGTAGAGCTGACGATGGCGAATGCTTAAGCCTGACGTAAAACTCGTTGCACACCGCGTTGCAATTACAGGTTGCCGATGACCACCATGAACCGTAACTTGCCGTCCCCTCTCTTGGGAGGTACTGATCCTGGCGCTGGTGGTGAGTCGTCTGCAGTCCCATTAATCATGACTTCGTCGAGCATGAGAGTGCTACTCTTCCACCCCCAACTCTGACTGAAGTTGAATTTGTCGGGGGCGCTTTCGTAAATGCTGAGCATGCGACCACCTTTAGACGGACTGTAGATCTTGAAGTAGGTTCTGATAGTAGGCCTGGCGTCCACGAATGACGGCAGAGTCGGCATGCTCAAACGTGTTTGGCGTAAAAGAGGATTAAGGGGAGCATTCAGGTATGCCGAGTCCAGTTCATCTTCCTCATCTGTGTCGTCGTCTTCGTGGTATACGTGACTGAAAGCTGATGAAAGGGGTGTTGAGTCAGGCCCGCCTGCATGAGAAGGTGATGCCAATGTATGGACACCGTGACTGGAAAGTCGAGGGATAGGCATATTCCGATGGCGACCTAGACTGCTGGAAAACAGAGGGTTTCGAATGCCTGTAGAGACAAGTGTAGACTCTGGATCGCCGCCGCTTCCACTCGTGTCGTCGTCTCCTGTATTATCCTGTAGAGTTACCCGAGTGCTGCGGCGACGCTCCCTTCGCTCGCTACGCAAGAGCATCTCACGCTCGAGTTGTCCGATACGAGAGTCGACTGTAGCGTTCGTTTGCTGACTCAAGCCACTGTCTTGAGTAGTCTCGTCCACCTCGCGGTCTTTTGCACGGTGGAGGTAAACACCGAGTTGGACGTTCTTAGCGGAGCGTACTTTTTGAATATAGATATTCCACAGCGAACCAGCATAGGATACGGTTCTTGAATAAACGCGCTTCTTCTCTTTGAGAAAACGTGGGTTGGGGAACTCGGCTGCGAAGCGAAATGGAGGGAATTCGCTGTAGGCGAGTGATTTTGGCTGGCCAGCATTACTTCCACCTGCCGAAACAGGTCTTGGTGGATAATCACGAGTGTTTGGATTGGCTAAGGTGGATGGCGTAGAGGCGAAGTCCGTCGCCCACTGCGCATCTTCTGGCTGGATTGTGGCAGACAAGCGAGTAGCATGGCGCTGGAAGGTGTTTGACGTAGTCACAACAGGGTCAGCGCCATTGCCGAGGACAATGTTGCAGTCTGTGCTGGGTATCCAGAACTTGCGGGGCTTGCCGTTACCGTCCCAACTTTCAGACTCGATCTCAGGTTCGGTTTCTGGCTCGCCTGCCTTTTGCTTGCCCTTAGCAGAGGGCGTCGCCACATCATTGGGAGGGATATCAGTAGTCTCCGGTTCTTGTGGTGCCTGACATAGGCCAAGTTCCAGAGATGACTCGTCTGCGTTGAGTACTTTCTGACGCAGAGCAAGTTGTTGCCACAAAGCATTCGAAATGACTCGTTCAGGCAGGACTGGAAGACCAAACGCATCGCGAGCAGTGCGAATATACTCGAGCTGCTCGTATTCCATATGGATATAATGAATACCTTCGTCAAGCAAGACCAGAAGACGCTCAACATCAGGGTTTGTGTATACGGTGAGCCACTGCGCCTGTGAGTCCGAGGAAAATGCTTGCGGTGCGGTCAGGGCATTCTGTCGGTAGACACCATCGAAACGCACCGCCATGAAGCGCATCGACTGGGGGGCTTTGGGTATAGGTCTTTGTCCACGCTGCATGAGGCCTGCTTCCACGGCTACTTGTCTGAGACGGCGATCGAGGAGACGTTTGGCGAGCACCCATCTGTCCCACTCACTGTCAACGAAGAAGCCGTCTGACCCGACGAGTTCACGGATGATGTCTCCTGGCATGTCGTCCCAGTTTTTGAGTGGCATTTCCCATCCATTCCTGCTGAGCATAGCTTTGGCTGACTCAAGGATGCGCTCTCCTGATCGACCATAGTAGTTCGCGGTGACTAACCGAATCAGAGGCGCAAGAGTCTCCGGAACCATTTGACGTAGGATGGACTCAATGGCCAAGTCGACTAGATGCTGCATCTCCAGCCAGCAGCCTGTTGCGAAGAGACCGATGGCTTCTGCATCAATCTCCTTTGAAATATCAACGCCATAGATCTTCCGTATGGCCAGTTCGAATGCAGCTTGTGTAATACCATGGTCGATCTTTTCAGGGTATAAGGTCACTTCCTTTGCTTGGCTCTCGATCCAGGGTTCGGAAAGCGCGGTGGTGAAGAACGGGGCTTGGTCGAGGATCAGACGATGCAGGTCGTATCGTTTGCCGAACGCGATGACGGATATATCCGAGTATCGTCCTTCAAGCAAACCGCGAGTATAGAGGTGATCGGGTAGAGGGACCACATCATTCGACGCTGCAGAGGGTCAGCTTACGTTCATTGTAACAGTAGCACAGGTAGGCTGGTGTACCTCGTAGGTATAACGGACCGGTGGCTTGGTTGTATGAGGGTGCTCGGCTGTTCATGCTGGAGCCTCCGGCGAAGAGACCGCTCAAAGAGTTGATGGTAGCGTATTCGCTGCCGACAAGATCAATAGTAGTCCGCTTCCTGCCAGGCGTGTCGAGGGGAGTAGACGGATCATCGCCGCTCTTTTGGGCACTCGGGATCTGCGTTTGGAGTTGCACAATCGGCTTGTAGTCGTCACCTAGTTTAAGCCGCGATGTGCGCTTTGTCATGCTGGTCATGGCTGCGAGTGAAGACAGTGGACGAGAAGAACCTGTGGGTGTCGGGCTGCCCTCAGGTGTTGCCCGGGCATATCCGATACCAGCGTCTGGAGAGGCCATGGGTGACATAGCAGGTACACCTGGTGAGAAGAGACTCACACGTGGTAAGCGCGCTATCGCAGCGCTGCCGGCTGCCTGCGCCGCAGAAAGCGGCCATGTCTCGTCGCCGTTGTGTGCGTGCTGCTCGCTGACCTGAGCCGGGTGACGCTCGTGATCGTTGCCATCAACCTCGTGACCCACAGAGGTGTCGTCGGTGAAGTGCATACCGGCCATGTTACTCGGTGCACGAGCTGGGGGAGGCCCAGGTGGGGTTATCTATAGCGAGTGCTTCCGTGGCGGCAATGACGGCGGCCTGCATCAACTCACGCGCACGCTTATGGGGGTATACGGTTCCATCCACAATGTGCAGGCGAGGGATGTGTGGGAGCCGGATTCTGGCTGCGACACAAGCGCGTCACGCAGCCAGTCCAGCTGGCGCAAAGCCCTGTTCGATGGCGATCTCCTTCCGCGTCCTCGTGCTTCGTCGTCGCTTCTTTCCGCCGCCTGTCGCAACGTCGCGCAGCCACGCCATGTGGGGGCACCTAAATGCAGGGTCCGCGGAGCGCCCCTTCCTCTTGCGACCATAGCGCCGTCGAACCACCGGCAATGGAAATGTCATAGACTCAGAGTTCGACGTCGGACGGCCGCGAGCGATTGCTCTTCACCCACACCTGCCGCCATGGCATCCATATTCCAGGCATTACCGCAGCTGCGGACGGCTGCACCACGCCTCTCGAGACGGCTGTTCGTTGCCAAACCGTGCATCAATTCGCCCATTCGCCCCGCCGTGTTCGTCTCGCGATGCACTACACCCCGGCCGGCCATTCTGCAGGCGGTGCGCTGGAAGTCCACGCAGCCGCTGCAGAACACTGCGACCATCGAGGCTGCAGGCCGAGCAGCGATCGTGGAGGCAGCCGCTAAAGCCGACACCCACAGCAACGCCCAATCGAGTAGTTATCCCAAGACAACATCGAAGAGCGTGGCATACTGGTTACTGGGGAGCGCTGCAAGCGTTTTTGGCATTGTCATCTTTGGAGGCCTTACACGACTCACCGAATCTGGACTGAGTATCACCGAATGGAAGCCTGTCACTGGTTCACTGTGGCCTGGGAGCCCGGAAGCTTGGGAAGAGGAGTACACGAAGTACAAGTCGTCGCCCGAGTTCGCCATGCTCAACTCCAGCATGACTCTCTCCGAATTCAAGCAGATCTATTTCATGGAATGGGCCCACCGTCTGTGGGGCCGTGTCATCGGTGTTACCTTCCTCGTTCCTACCATCTACTTCATCGCCCGCAAACGGGTCAACGTTCCCACAGCCTTCAAGCTCGTTGGTATCTGCGGTATGATCGGCTTCCAAGGCTTCATCGGCTGGTGGATGGTCAAGAGCGGACTCAAGGACGATCTCTTCGAGCCTGGTAGCCACCCTCGTGTGAGCCAGTACCGTCTGACTACCCATCTCGGTGCTGCGTTCCTCGTCTACTGCTCCATGGTCTTGACTGGTCTCAACATTCTGAGGGATCACCGCATGCTTGCCAACCCCGCTGCAGCTGCAGAGTCCATCAAGGCTTTGCAGTCGCCTGTGCTGAAAGTGTTCCGTCGCTCTGTTGTCGGCCTCACCTTACTTGTCTTCACCACCGCCATGTCAGGTGCCCTTGTTGCTGGTCTCGATGCCGGTCTGATCTACAACGAGTTTCCTTGGATGGGCCTTGGCCTCACACCACCCAAGAAGGAGCTCTTTGACCCCTGGTACAGCCACGTTCCGGACCAGTCCGACCTCTACTGGCGCAATGCGCTTGAAAACCCTTCGCTGGTTCAGCTCGACCACCGCATTCTCGCGACTAGTACTTTCACGGCCATCATGGCACTCGTGGCATATACTCGTTTCTCCAAGGGCGTTCGCGCCACCATTCCCAAAGACGCCAAGAAAGGCGTTCTCGGTATGGTTCACCTCGTCACCCTGCAAGTCACCCTCGGTATTAGCACCCTGATCTACATGGTTCCCACTTGGTTGGCATCTGCTCATCAGGCCGGTGCTTTGGCTCTGCTCACTGGCGCTGTTGTGCTTTACAGCAGGATCTCAATGCCACGCCGTGCCATCCTCAACCAGGTCATGAAGCAGGGCGTCCCGAGAACGCACCCTGTACCACACATCAACGCTCGCGTTGAAGCCGCGAAGTCTGCCCAGAAAAACTTGTAACAATACTCGTCTAACGATCTCCTATCATATCCTGTACTTTTATGTGTCAAGCATCGGGCGGCGAATCCCATGCACATCATCCGAATCTTTTAGAGCATATGTCAATATATCACCGTCTCGCTCAAATGCGAACTGTTCAGTTTTGTATGTTGCTGCGTCCATATCAAGACCAGCACTTCGACCCGGGTTTGTCTGTTTGTCTCCCTGCTAATCCTTTTCTTACTGTCTCAAGCGAGCACCATGTACAAATCTGGGCAATTTTGACGGGGGATCGCAGCGATTCGTGCACAGTGTGCTTGCATTGCTACCCCTTGCACGTACCGAAGTGCGGCTGAACATTGTGATTGCTCTCTAGGTACGAGCGGAAACCCTCTCGCGGCCGGCAGATCTTTAGGACCGCAATGCAGTCCGTGTACGTCGTTTAAGGTAACCGCTGTCAAATTATAGAGGCTGAACATTGCGGCTACCTTTCCTATGGTGGTTAGCTGCAAGGCCGCCGATCTTGGAGACCCCTTTTCAAGGCTGTCGACTGATCTGGACGCCGATTCACGAACATCACGACTCAGAGCACTCTTCACTTTGTCATAGTCTAGACATTGCAGAGATGCTATGCTGTATTGCTCTAATCTGTGAGGCTTTGAAATCAATTGAAAGGGTATTACACCGACGTTGTTGACATTGCATCACAGGCCATTGCCAGGTTCACGGTTTAAACCATTTCGTAGATACCCGAGATTCGAAATGAGCAACCTGACCCCTGCTCATGCGGCTCCACATGCGTAGACGCCTCCATCTAGCAGACCATACGCGCTCCCGGTCTGATGTCGCCTATTCAAGCGATATGGTCGAAGACCAAGACTCGCGAGTCAACATTAATGTATCGAGGCGTTCGAAGCCTCAGCTGGATCGCGCCCACCGAGAAGTTCGCGTGACTGAACGAAGCAGCCTTATGCTTGCAAGAGAAACCGTGAGTACAAAAGGTATAGAATGGGGCATCAGTCTGGAAGCAAGTCAACGCTCTCTTGTCAACTTCGATTGTGGTCGATTTTGAGGACTCGCTCTCGCGTTCCGTCCAGTCTCTTCCCGGTCAATCACGACCTTCACACTCGTTCACCATGCCTTCCATGAAGCTGCTGGTTGGCGCTTCTGCCCTGCTTTTGTCCTCCACCACTATCGCCCAAAGCGTAACGCCGGTACTGGATCCTAGTTCATCAGTTGAACAGATTGTCAGCACTGCCACCCCGTCTGTCTCATCGAGTCCGTCTGCCTCGTTGAGCTCGTCGATCTCACCAAGTCCTTCAACCGTCTTACAGCCCCTCTCCTGTGCTGAGAAGGACCTTGGCTACACTTTCTCCCATACCACCTCGGAGGGGACGTACGACATCACTTGCGGAGCAGATTATCCCGGTGGTGACCTGAAGTTCCTCTGGGCCGATTCTTTCGACTCGTGTGTGGCCGCCTGCGATACGGAGAGTGCATGCCTGACGGTAGCCTTCCGGTCTGGCGCCTGTTACCTGAAGAGCGATTTGACCAGCGCAGTCACCGATGGTAGCGTTTGGGCAGCGAAGAAGCATGGTGCTAAGGCGCCTGACGTTGGTCCTACATGTGTAGGCAAGGCAAGCGATACCGCAACATACGAGTCCTCCACAGGCAGCAAGTTTAAGATTGTGTGTGGCAAGGAGTACTGGGGCGGTGATCTCACCGCTACCAGCACAACCTCCTTCAAAGAATGCATCGAGACATGCGCAACAACTTCTGAGTGTGTTGATGTATCGTAAGTTGGTATCATCTCACATTGATACGCGCACTGACAAAACTCTACAGATACGTTGATGGTGCTTGCTACCTCAAGCGCTCCAAGTTGACCCTTGCGGATGCCGGTCACGTCTGGACTGCAGAGCTCATCGACCTGACCCCGACTGCTTCGACCTCCTCCACAGTCCCCACTAGCTCAGCTAATCCGGGCAAAGATCTCACATGTCAGGAAGGCAAAGACGACAAGAAGCCCTACACTGCAGTCAACGGTGGCAAATACATCGTTGAGTGTGGCGTAGACTACTTCGGCAATGATTTGACTGCGGTGGACTCGTCAAGCTTTGCTGCCTGTATGGATGCTTGCGACGCGACCGACGGGTGCGTTGACGTATCTTACGTTTGGGGGCGTTGCTATTTGAAGGCTTCGGTAACGTCCAGCTCGCCGGCTGGTCATGTTTGGACAGGTCGCAAGACTAGCGCTGCCTCTGACCCCGAGATTCTCACTTCTCTGCAGGAAGACGGAGGCAGCTTCTGCACATCCTACATCAGCTACAAAGCACCTGTCACTACCACGATCACAACCACAACACCAGCTGCCTCGACCGTCGCCTCTGTCAAGACAGAGATTTCGACATCCACTAACCTCCTCACCTCGTACGCAACTGCTACCGCAATTCAAACCCTTCCTTGGCTTGAACCTCGACAAGCCATCCCAACGCCCTCCATTGTATCTGGATTGCCAGCGTCTCGAATCTCTAGCATCTGTTCTCTGGTTGCTACAGGAACTTCGACGGTTACTTCGACTGCTACAGCATCTGTTGCGCCCACCACACTAGTCTCCACCTTTACAAGCGTTGTTCCGGTCACGAGGGTGACCAGACTCACCACGTTCGTCACCAGCTCAACACGACTGTGAGTCTTACTCTCGATAGTACTCTGTTCGATACTGACTCCTCTATAGCCCTAATCCTACCGCAGCGGTAAATCTCGACTTCGAGACTGGCGATATGTACGCTTGGTCGCCGATCAACTATCGAGAGGGCTTTTCTAATGCCATATCTTCGCCTGGGCATTCGCGAAATGGCGTGACCTCCAAATTTGCGGCTTCTATGTCCAAGGAAGCTGGTTCGCTCGGCGGATACGGTTGGACCGGAATTGCACAAGCAACCCCAGATCTCAAGGCGGGACAGACCTACCGCATCGAGTTCAGCTGGAAGTACACGGTTGACGTTGACGCGGACGATCAATGCCGCACTTTCGTCAACTTCTGGGGCATCGGACTTGCAAATGTACGTCGGACGTATTCCATACATTATGTGACCTTGCTAATGGCCTGCTACAGCTCATGCCTTCAACAACCTCCCCGTACCTGAAAGACCGACAGAGGCATTACCTCGTCACCATGTCGCAGTGTGGCACCAGTCTCGCCTGGATGCCGACACTCCAGCAGCCGCAGCCCCCAAATGAATGGCGCAGATACAGCACCTACTTCAGGGCTCCATACCCGGACTCTTACAAGGGGCTATCGTTTGGTCTCCACTGCGATGGCGGTGTGCAAAAGGCCAAGCAGACTGTGTTCTTCGACGACTGGTCCTTCACACCTGTGGCAGCTTGCTAAAGACCCACCGGTCGGTGCATGTAGAATGGTCATGAGGCCAAGACTAGATACATAATGTATAATCTTAGATGAGAGAGTTCCTCCGGTTTTGTCTTGATAGATCAGTGATGTGCTAAGTGTTGATGGTAGTAAGGGGCCTCTAAGATCAGTAAGTCTCGGATGCGATCCGATGGTCAGGTCTTTAGATCGACGCCACCAGATGCCACACAAGGTTTCGGAGGGTTTCCCTAGCCATGTTTCATCGGCGAATTGACAGGCGGAGCATGCAGGTACCTGGCCATGAAGAGAGGTTGTTGGAGAAGCACAGCCACGCCCAATTCTGTGACTTTGGATTGCGAGACTTGAGGTGTGGTGGTGGTGCGCATTGAAAATGATAGACTCAGGGTCCAGCACCTTCAAAGCCAGAAGAATCAGGTCTGGGCTCTTCAGGCATCATGTACATTGCTACCTAAGTCGCTTTGCTCTTGTCCCGCGAACCCGGTCCTCGGATGGCAAGGTTCCACGCATCTTGTGACAAATTGATGACCTGCTATTGCTTGTCGCTGTTCATAGTGGCTGCATCCCTCTCTGCGGTCCCCAATCCATGCTCGTAACAAAGACCCAATCGAGCAGAGTTCAGAAAACTTGATGGTGGCGCAGCAGGGAACGGTAGCATTTCTGTATGTCGATCTGCATGAGTTGGTGTGGTGGTCGACCGACGGGCAATACAAAGTAATTTGGATCATGACATCACACAACGCTAGCGCGGATTGAACCCTGAATGATCGACGCCATGCACGTCGGTCTCAAGCTCACGATGGCTAACAACCTTGCTGGGGATCTATCACGATCGCGGTGGTCTAGACTGGCGTCACAGCCTTAGAATTGTATATATTTGCCCTCAGGCAGCCATATTTGTACATCTCCCATTTTGGACTCATCGTCTTCGACTTTTATCTTGCGGGACTGTTCCTACGCGCCCCTGCCACGAGCCCCGCAACTGCCTTAAGATAGCTAGCAACCTCTTGCCCTAATTTACCGCCAACCTCCCCTCATACGCCAGATCACGACATAACTTCCGACTCTTCGTGACAGCTACAGATACCCAGCAAAATGAGCGTCCCACAGTCTGCCACCAGCGAGGTGCCTACGCGCTCGTTCACAAACTCGTCGGACGCCGAGGCCATCCCTGGAGAGGACACATCAGAGGTCAGAGAAGCGGTCGTCTAGGGGAGCGCTATTGCTAATGCAACTGCAGGTCACAAAGCTCTTCGCTGAGCGCCTCCAGGCATGGAAGCACGCCACATCCTACCTTGAAGACTACATCACAGCAACGGAGAAGACACACCATGCCCATGGAAAGGAGTATGAGCGGGTGTTGAAGGTACAAAACATTGGCGAAGCTGTCAGACCACTATACTGACCGCGACAGACCGTCAAAGACCCCCTGAAGGAGGGCCACCACTTCGATCAGTCCCTCGGCGGTATCGCAGGCATGTTCGAGAACATCAGGTCAAACACACAGGTGGGCAACAGCATGCGCAATGAACGCAGCGCGAGGGAATCTAACAGTCGCGATAGGGCATGTCTAACCAGCACTACGAGACCGAGAAGCAGCTGAAGACCGTTATTCTTCCTGTCTTCGAGCGCCTGCACGTCGAAATCAAGAACAAGAGCAAGGAGCTCACAAAAGGTGCTGGTAAGGGAAGCAAACAGGTCGATAAGGCACGCGCCAGCACACAGAAGCACATCGAACTGCTTGGGCAGCACACGGCTACCTTCGAGTCGCATGGCGGCAAGATGACCGCGACGGATGACCCGTACATTCTACAGCGCGGTGTTCTACATCGCCTAAACAAGCAGGTCCAGGAGGAAAACAACAACCGACAGGATCTTATCAGTGTGCAGAACTCGTTCGCCCAGTTCGAGGCTCACATCATCCAGACAATTCAGCAGGGCATGGGCCAATTCATGCAGATTGTGAACAATCAGGCCGAGCAGACCAAGAACGCCTATGGTGACATCGTCGGAACCTCACAGCGCATTCCGCTGGACTTTGAGTGGAACGGCTTCATTGAGCGTAACAACCACATCCTGATCGATCCCTCCGCCCCTGCTCGTACGGTGCAAGACATCAAGTTCCCGAACCAGGGGCACCGCTCGACCCAGCCATTGATCTCCGGCTCTCTCGAGAAGAAGGGCAAGATCATGCGCTCCTATGACACAAACTACTACGTCGTCACCCCTTCTAAGTTCCTGCACGAGTTCAAGTCCGACGACGACTTCGCAAAGGACCCAGTGCCTGAGCTCTCCCTCTACCTCCCCGACTGCATCGTCGGCGCTGTCAACGGCCAGAAGTTCAACGTTAAGGGCAAGGACGTCTCCAAGGGCAAGCTAGGCAACACTTTCTCCATGAACCATGAAGTTGCGTTCAAGGCCCACACCGCTCAAGCTGCACAGCAGTGGTGGGAGGTCATCAGCCAGGCTGCAGGCAAGGTCACCAACGAGGTTCCTGTCAGCCCCACCAGCCCCACGGGCCACAACAGCCTGGAGGGCGCGCTCGCAGACCAGAAGTCTCCCTCGCCCATCCAGACTCAGGGCCTTACACAGTCACCTACTGGTAGCGTTCCCGGAAGTGCGGCGCCTGCTAGCGCTGGTGTCGCTCCGGCGAGCGGTGTTCCTGGTGATGCTAAGTATTAAACATTGACGTTTGGTGACGCGACGAAATTGAAGGAGAGCAATACTTATTGGCAGGTTGAACAGTTTCATACCCTAATATTGAAGATACCACGAGATAGCACGTAATACAAGCCATCAGTACATTTCAAGCCCGGCCCTGCTAACGTCTACATACTCCATTGCTCACTACTTTAAAGACAGTCCTTATATCGCCGGCCTTACAAAACACGAACCACCGCTCTCCGCATCACTACATCGGCACGCGCGCCGCCACACTACGCCAGAACTCACATCGCGCGCCTCGCCCACCCTCCCACGCATTCCCATCTACAACACTGAAATCCGTCTCCAGCCCGGGCTCCACAGACCACGTCGCATTCAGTCCCTCCAGCGCCGGAATCAGCACCGTGTCGGCCGGCCCCAGCACGCCCCCCGACTGATTCCAATTCGCCATCACCGGATCTCCATAAGTGAACGCGCCCCACCCCTCCAGCTCCCCATTCGCACTCAGCGCTGGAGATCCCGACGTAACGAACGCGCCCCACAGCCGCTGCACGGCGCGCACATACGCGCGCCCATAGATCGGCGAGGGCTTATTGTCGAACACCGCGGTATCGTCGACGCCGTGCAGCGCTACCGGCGTCGAGACCTGGAACTTGTAGCCGCCGGCGCGGTAAGTGGTGTAGGCGTGCGCGAGCCAGTGGCTGGAGCAGATGAACGTTGACTCGGCGTAGATTAGATTCGCGGTTTGCTGATGCCCGGAGGCGGTGGCGCTTGTGTCGAGGGCCGTGGGATGAGAGGTGCCTGGGGTGGGGTATCTTGAGATCGGCGGGGAGGTGGGGTAGTGCTGGGCTAGCAGGGCGAGGTCGGTGGGGGTGAAGAGCGGAAAGACGAGGGATTTCCAGGCGTCGAGGGAGGTCTGAGTGGTGATACTTTGGGGGACGTATGCGGGACCCTCTTCGGCAGCGTTGCTGGTTAGGTGAGTGAGGCCATTAAGCTTTCCGGCGTGCAGTGCGGAGCTGGGTGTGGATTGGATGTAGATGCCATCTGTGACTGGGAGGAAGGCCCAGGTGCCATGTCTTCCTGACTTGGAGATGGTTCCTGAAGCGTCCTGCAAGGTCTTTGTGTCTTTCGATACGAGGCATTGGAATATGGATTGCGAATTGTTACCGTATGCTGACGGAGTGAAGCAGCCAGCTTGTGCAGCGAAGGCGTAGTACGACTGTGATGGTATCCAATCTGCGTAGCCATACTGCTGGGGCAGAAACGGGGACACAGATATTGACTGTCGGCTGTCAGATTATGTTGAGAGGCTATTTTGGCATGAGCGACTAACGTTGGTGAAGAGTGAGGTGCCCTGAGTGCCTCCATAGGCGATGTTATGCAACATGACAGAGCCACCTACGCCAAATCAGTAAAACTACAGCCTTCCTTCTTGAACGTGTATGCCCACTTACCTCCTGCCGATGTACCCCATATTGTGACATTCCTCGCATCTCCACCGAAGCCATGAATGTGCTGCTGTATCCATTGAAGGGCGAACTGCTGGTCCAGGAGGCCAGCATTAACGACTCCATGGCGAAAAACTTCATCTCCAGCAAGGAAGCCAAAAGCACCAAGCTAAACAACGATCATCAGTAGTGCACAGCAGCCATATGTGAGGCACTCACACGGTATTGTATGCTCACACCAACGAAGCTGTTGTTGTTAGCATTGATGAGCTTGCTCATATCCTCTCGACCATCTCCGACCCCGTAGCCACCGCCATGTATCCAAACGAGCACCGGAAGATCACTCGCATTCGTCGGTGCATACACGTTGAGAAAAAGGCAGTCTTCGTCGATAGGTGAGGGTGTTACGCGAAATCGCAGTCCAGACCTCAGACTCTGAGGGCATGCAGCACCAAAAGATGTTGCTGGGACGGTGGACGTGCGGTTCACGTCGGGTGTTCGGGGTGGCTGCCAGCGCAGTGAGCCTGTGGGTGGAGCGGCGAAACGGATGCTGTGAAGTTCAGCAAGCGATGCGGATTACTCCACAGCCACAAACCCTTTGAATGTGTTAAGACCCGTTAATTCGTTCTTAACGCCTTTGTATACATCATAGCCAAGATCCACTTGGGGTTGTTCAGTAGCGGCGAGTGCCGTAGTAAGCGCTGTGAGAAATGTAGGAAACTTCATGTTGGGTGTGTGATGGAGTCGGTTGAGCCCCCACTTCGACTACGTTTACTGATATATTGCATGTTTGTGGGCTAGAGCTCTTGTACACTGGAGGTGATCATGCTGTGTACCCTCGCGTGGTGATGTTAGACCAATTGCTCGCGTGACTGTACTACATGTTTACTGTGCATAAGTATCGTGACTGGCCCATTGCTGTACCGCTAGCGTTGTGGAACGGGCATACTCGGCTTTTGAGCGAACATACTTCTCACGCGAATGCGTACGGTCGATACGAGTGCTCGTGGTCGTGTACAAGGCGGATTGGACCCTGGAAATCAAAGGGGCATCAATGACGTCGCCTGGTGTGGGTCTTGACGATCCTCGTTCGCGGGCAGTCCCCTGCGCCGATGAGATCCGCGATCTGGGGAAATACACACGTTTCTTCGTCGCGATACTGCACCTCATTGCGTTGTGACATCGATTCTCCTTTTGTTTTCCTTGAACGCGTGCGCATAGCAGCACTTCCACTCCTTCTTATTTCACCATCTGTCGCAGCCCAACCGTCGCGCAGTTTAATCCCGTTACTTCCGTAACCGAGCCCCTAATTGGGTCACGCAACCTCGCGATGCCGATGAACACGCTCTCTGTCAGCGCTGCTGTCACACCGACTGTGATAGAGACATACATCCTCCACTATTTGAATCGCAGTCCCTTGCGCCAGAAGCCTACCGCCCACATCTCGTACCACGAAGGAATCGAACTCATCCGACGTTTCTTGCACTATGCCTCGCTCCATCCAGTTGAAGAGTTGCAGGCCTTCACGGCACAGTGGGTTCCCGTGCCTCACTGGGTGCACAATGAAAGGGTCGAAATACCGGAAGGGCAGCTACAGCGCTCCGCTCAGTACATCAATTCGCAGCTGGGCCCCAAGGGCATCGAGGCTGTGGGTGGAGAAACTTGGTGGAAGTGGAGGCGCGAAGGGACAAAATTGGAAGCTGAGTGGATTGAGATGAAGAAGGATCGCGACGCCCGTGAAGCATCGAGCATGCCAAAGGGGCAGCGTATCATGCTGTATGTCCACGGCGGTGCCTACTTCTTCGGCAGCGTGGATGAGCATCGCTACCAGATGCAGAGACATGCACGCAAACTCCAGGCTCGTGTATTTGCTCCGCGTTATAGGCTCGCGCCGCAGTTTCCATTCCCCTGTGGTCTCCAAGATTGTCTGGCAGCCTACCTATACCTGCTGGCAGAAGGGCATGACCCAAACACCATTGTCCTGGCTGGCGATTCCGCAGGCGGTGGTATGGTGCTAACCATGCTTGTGACCATGCGGGACCAGGGTGTACCTTTGCCTGCCGGTGCCATTCTAATTAGTCCTTGGGTGGACCTTACGCACAGCTTCCCAAGTCTGAACGGAGATGATAAGATGGACTACATTCCGGCACATGGCTTCCTGCACAAGCCCAGCATCAATTGGCGTAAGTAAGCTCTCATTGATTAAACGTGGCGTGCTGACTATCACAGCACCTCCTAATGCCGACGACCTCATGAAACTCGAAACCCCTACTCCAAGTGCAAACCAAAAAGGGGAATCGTCTCCTCCAGTGTCGCTCTCAGGCGATGGTAAAGAAGGTCGTGCGGCAGAGAAAGAAGCAAAGGCTGAGCGCGTGCGCGGCTATTCGGTCACGGAGAAACCAGACATGGCTGCAATCATGGATGCAGGCCAAGCACCGGATACATGGCTGTCGCCGGACGGCATGTACGGTTTTGGCCCAAAGGGCATTCTATCTTTGCAATTGGACGACAAAACGAGGATTGAGATCAAGGACCAGATCCAGCTGTACGCAGCAAATCATCTCCTGACGCATCCCTTGGTTTCACCTGCTTTGCAGCCTTCGCTCGGCGGTCTACCGCCTCTCTTGATTCTCACTGGTGGTGGAGAGTTGCTCCGCGATGAGCAGATATATGTTGCTCACAAAGCTGCACATCCTGAAGCATACCTGCCACCCCCATCAAACAACCAAACTGCCGAGGAAATTGAGGCGCAGGCATCTAAGTACAAGCCGACAAATGTACAGCTTCAAGTCTGGGACGATCTCTGTCATGTTGCGCCAACACTCAGCTTCACGCGACCGGCGAAGCACATGTACCGCAGCATTGCTCAGTTCGGCGCGTGGGCATTGGCCAGAGCTCAAAAGACATCCATTGATATCCTCGATGATGACGATATCTCCTTCGTCAGTACCGACTCTGAGAGCGCCGCCGATAGCGCGAAGCAATCAAAGAAGAACAAGAAGTCTGGGACAGAGGCCGAGTCTCATATAGGGACAGATGGAGTCATCAACCCAGGCCAGCATGAGGCTAGAGTGGGCAAGGCCGGTGATTCTCTACCTCCATTCGAGCAACACATGATTCGACAACGCATCGATCGACACGGATACATTTATGCTCTTGCGCCAAAGGAGCAACTTGTGGCTCTCAATCTTGTTCGCACAGAAGTTGGAGTGCCGAAGTCAGGCCCAGTCAATAAGTGGATGAAAGCATCCCAGCAATGGAACGGCAAGTTCTCAAAACAGAAGATCAAGATCCAGCAGCAGCGCATGAAAGAGATGCAGGCTGGTTTTGAGAGGTTCGAGGGTGAGAATCCACCACCAACCGCTTTGGCTGGTAGGAGAGTCAAGAATATGAAGAAGGAGAAGGCAGCGAAGAAGAGTTGGGGAATGATGATGTGGAGCTCCTGGGGCAGTAAGCACGACGAAGCTACCGTATGTTCTCTCGCACGCTATAGAGCTGCAGTTAGATTCTAACCATAACAGATCGATCGAGAAAACGTAGCAGACCAGACAACGGCCCCGCCTTCAAAATCAGTGGTCACAAATGATCAGCTTGAAGCGGCCAGTCAAGCCGACACCGCAAATGGCACTGAGCGCAGTCGAGATGCAGGTCTGGCCCCAACTAAATCCTCACGTCTGCGTTCGCGGTCCAGACACTCAACGGTGACCGATCGTGGTCAAATCAACAAGTCGGAGGATGACCTCCAGAAGCTGTCGAGAGAGTTCTCGAGAGTCGCGCCTCCTGCCTCGGGCTTGGCTGAGGCCACAGTCATTGCGCCCGAACGCTCACACTCTGGACTTCCTCCGCAGATAAGCGAAACGCCAGGCGTCATTGTCTCAGCAGAGCCAACTTCTCCGCCAACTATTGTGCCAGAGACTGACGGAACGAGCACTCGCCCGAGCAAGGGTGGCATCGCCTATCCGTTTTCGCTCAAAGTTGACGGCCAAGGCCACCGTGCAAATGCGAGCACAGTCACACTGCAGAGTGTGGAGCTTCTGACACCGCCGATAGTGGATGATTCCATGCAGCTTGAGGAGTCGACCGTCTTGACACCAGCAGCAGTACACGAATCGAAGCAGCTTGGCGATGCACTACCCACACCACATGTGGCAGCAGACCCGATCCTCCCAAATAACAGACAATACTTCACCACCGATGCACCTGGTGCAGGACTATTCAGCGGCCAGTGGGTCCCGGTCACGCCAGGTGCTGAGCAAGCAAACACACCCACTCTCGAAAGACCTGGATACGAGAGATTCGAGACAGCACAGGAGGATCTGAGCACTCTCGCTGCTGGTGACAAGAAAGCTTGATGAGATCAACATAGTATAATTGATACCCTTTCCGTTTGGACACTTCCATAGAGTAATATAGCCTTTATACAATGTAAACTAGAGATAGAATGGTTAGAGTCGGAGATAATGGAGATACCACCTGGAATACCTTACAAAACGTCACCAGCCCCACACCAAGATACCCATCATAAACAGCTCTCCAGTCTCGAAACTTATAAGCAGTAATCGTACCAGAACTTCAACCAAGCCCACAACACAATTCTCCTTTTTCCCACCTCAATTGACCACACCATGTCTGTCTTCCGCGCAAATGCCCGCGCTCTGATCACCGGCGGTGCGTCAGGCATCGGCTACGCCGTCGCCGAGCTCTGCCTCAAAGCGAGCATGAAAGTCACCATCGCCGACTCCAACCAAGCGACCCTCGACCTCGCGCAGAAGAATCTCAAGGGCGACGTGCAATGCATTCAGACCGACGTCAGCGATCTGCGAGCCTGGGCCAGTCTGAAGGAGAAGATCGGGGACGTCGACTTCCTGATGCTGAACGCGGGGCGCATGGTTAGGGGCAGCTGGGGCGACAGCGAGTACTTCGAGAAGGTGCGGCTTTCCCACGAATCCAGCGTCGAAGCCGTTGTGAGACTGCATGGCTAATGCATAGCTAGATTCTCGATACTAACCTCTACGGCGTGATCAACGGCCTGAACACATATGTGCCATCCTTCCAGGCACGCACTTCTGACTCCCCGAGCGCGATCGTCGTGACGGGGAGTAAGCAGGGTATCACCAACCCGCCGGGCAACGCGGCGTATAATGCGTCGAAGGCGGCTGTCAAGGCGTTGACGGAGCATCTGAGCTTTGATCTCAAGGACACGAGTACCAACGTGCATCTCCTCGTCCCGGGATGGACGTTCACTGGCTTGGTAAGTTTTTTTCTAGTTCATCAAACGACTGGCGACTGATGCTGACACCCACAGTCCGGTAATCACCCTGGTCAGGCAGCTCAGAAGCCCGATGGAGCGTGGAGTTCCGAGCAGGTCGCGCAGTACATGGTGGAGAAGATGAAGGCGAATAAGTTTTATATCATATGTCCGGACAATGATGTCAGCGAGGAGACGGACAAGAAGAGGATGCTGTGGAGTGTGGGTGATATCGTAAACGAAAGGCCACCATTGACGAGGTGGAGGCCGGAGTTCAAAGAGGAGGCTGCGGAGTGGATGGAAAAGCAGAAGGTTTGAAGTGCGGTTGAAACAAATGACATTCGTGGGTATCTTGGATAGAATATCTATAGGGTATCATAAAAGTAAAACGCCGTATGTGCGACCGCCCATTTCGGGATGTAGGCTTCTTCAATCCGAGTCATAACCGACCAATGCTGCGAGGCTGTGAGCGGGCGCGGCAATGTCATCCCCTGGGCTGGGTTTCAAAAGCGTAGTTTGAGCAGTTGGTGCAGCCTCCACGCTTCGCTTTCTCTTCAACAAGCCAAGATTGGGCCTACTCTTCGAGGTGGCTTCTCTAGAAACAAATGGATCAACAACAGCGCGAGTGTTGCCAACAAGCTTCTGCTGTAGATCGTTTCGACTCTTCTCTGCCGCCAGCTCCGCCTTGAGCTTCTTCGTTCTAGGTTTGCTGCTCACGTCGCCCGTACGCTCCGCATGCGCCGAGGCAAAAAGGGGTTTCCAGCTCTCCACTACGTCTTCAGCACCACCAAACTCAATCAGTCCAGCCTTCTGTCTGTCTGCATCCGTCTCGTCCTCAATATCCAGCCCCAAGCTGAACTTCTCTTGCATTCCTTCCTTATGCCTCTCCTCTTTCTTCCACACCTTCCTCTTCTCCCTCATATCCCTCCTCAAGCGCGCATTAACATCATAAGGGTCCCTCCAGGTCTCCGCCTGCTCATACAACTCCTCGACTCTCTCTTTATTCCCCTTGTCCCGCGCCTTATCTTCCAACTTGCCCTCCAGTCCCGCAAACGCATCGTCTCTCCTCTTCGCCCTCTCCGCCTCACCCATCATCCCCAACTCGCCCTCACGCTCCACGTCCTCCGGCCCATAATCCCTCTTCCTACACCCCTCGACACACAAATACTGCGTCGTCTTAGGATCGGTCCTGATCTCCCACTCGCCGCCACACGCCGTGTGCTTGACGCGGAAACTCCATATTGGCGTGCTGTAGAAGTTGCCGACCTTCTTCTTGGCGGCGTTGAAGCGCACACCCTGGCCCACGATCGCTTCGGGTTTGCAGTGCTGACACCACACCGCGAAGGGTAGCTCGAAGCGCACGGTCAAGATGCCTTGCGATATCTTGTTGGCGCGGGCGCCGAGCGGGTGCGATTTGTTGAAGGTCGGGGCGTTCGAGGCGTCGGGCGGGTAGTACCGCCCCATGTTGAAGCCTTGCATCGCGGCGGTGGGTGCGCGGTGCGCGGTCTTCGAGTGGGGGGTTTGGAAGTATCGTACGTGCGAGGTGTAAAATCGCAAGATTCTAGTTGGAGGCGGAACTCGTGCGATACAAGATGTGGAGGGCGCTATGCGCCAGTGCGCCACGCGAGCGAGTCAGGGTTCAGGTTTGAATCCTGCGGAGTTCGGCCGGAGGTGTACTGTATGGAAGGTTCATGAACTGCACGGAAGCTACCCCGCATTGCACAGGAAGTTCATGAACTGCACGTAAGGTTTGTCCCTGCACGAAGGGTTCAGCCGGAAGCTCATGGTCCTCACGTGACGCGTCAGCGTCGTTCCTACCTGCAGCTGCCTCCAGGACACGCCATCCATCCTCCATCACATCCCACTATCACAATTTGTGATTGCCAGCTACGGCCATGCAAGTCAACGCGTCAACTTACATGGATTGCCCTGCAAATCCGCAGCCAACGACTGCATGAAGCACCACGAACTCTAATTGCGTGGCTTGTTGTCTGGTTTCCAGTAGCGAGGTCATCACACGCTTACGCGTACCAGTCGTGTTTCTCTGGCTGTGAGCGACAAGTCGAACGCTGTCAATGCCTACGTGCAAATAGAGTACCATGAATCCTGGGCGCCAATCGAGAGGATCTTCATCCATGGCCGAATCACGCTCACATGAACAAGCCACCATCAGACCATAATTTCGTCGGAACAGCGTCGGCAACTCATGCAGAAGGCATGTTCAAGACGCCGATAGGATCGGAGCCATTGTGTGAGCTGCAGACACAGCAGCGATCATAGAACAGGTACAAGCGAGTGCCAATGGCTATGACGATCAAGAGTCTTGACCAATTGCCATGTACAGCGATCAACGACTGAACAACGCGAGCCGGCCCGGACGGGATGGGCTCAGACACTTGAAAGCTTAGCTATTAACCTGCCGTTGGTGGCTTGTTAGGTTGCTCGTGCCAATGGATTGCCTACTAACTGTAGCATCATCAGCACTCTCAAACACAAATTGCTTTTTGCTCGCGCATCTTCAAATTTTACCCCGATCAACAGTATCGATTGATGAGACCATAGTTCCTGGGATTAGATTGGGCCTGCTGACACCCAACGGGAAAGAATCGCAGACAAATTATCGTTTCTGCTTGGGATTATCGCCGCACAGCATGCTGGTACTACAGAACTTCCCTGCAAATCACGCAGGTAGGCATTGAACGGCAGTAACGCGCGGTGACGCGCGGTAACGCGCAGCAACATCATCTCAATCCGTTCAACATCAGGTTCACTGAGAACGTATTGTAGGGATTCATTGGAAGAAGCATGTCGAAGACCTCAGGCCAAGAATGTCGCGAGAATTGTCCAATACGACTGTCGGAGCCGGTGGTAGCTGCAGATCTGCTTGTCCGTGGTTGCACAGTCAGCTCGGCAGCGCTTCTTTTGGCTGTCTTTACGGGACGTGGCTCAAACACTTTAATGTCTGAACAGACGCGCCTTGCATACGCAGCCAAAGTGTCGTCGTACCCAGGGAAATCGACGTGTCCGCCTCGCAATAGTCACTCGCCAACCTCCTGCCTACATGTTCCTACCGCAAACATGTCACCGCACTTGGACCAGGTCATCGTATCGGACTCGAATCGAACGCCTATCGTACAGATCATCATTTGGTTCACTCTTGTGACGAGTTTCTTAGCCTTTGTCACTCATGCTGGTATCAAGCTTTACGTCTTCCGGGCCCTGAGGGCGGAGTCTGCATTCCTCCTTGCATCTTTGGTCAGCCTAAGCCAACGTCGTACCATGAATCATGCGGTTGACCATCACTTAGATTTTTTGCATCGTGCAATCCATCGCTGCATTAGTGCAGTGTGCGTATGGGTTCGGCAAACCAGCTGCGACCTTGAGCAGCGACGACATCCAGTCGAGCTTCAAGGTATCCTGCTCGCTCTCACGGTCATCGAGAGTACTGACATGTGCCGCAGGCTGGATATGCGGCAACGATCTTGTTGTTCGTGTCGCTCGGCTTCTCAAAGCTGGCTATCGTGGCATTTGTGCATAACCTAACCCCCTCAAAGCTGCACCGCAAAATCAATTACGGTATCGGAGCGCTTGTATGCGTTTGGCTGGTGAGCGCGATCCTCGTCGCGGGCTTCGAATGTCAAGTGCCCCGTACATGGGACAGGGCACTTGGTCGATGTCTGGATAGGGTAAGTACAGTGCGACTGCTTTATATCAAGATCCTGACGGTCAACAGACTACTTGGTGGACTGTGATGTCAATCCTCAATATCCTCACAGAAGTCGCCATAATTGCACTGGAGCTGGGGATTGTCGCGCAGCTCCGCGTTACACGGCAAAAGAAAGCCTCGATCATGAGCTTGTTTGCTTGCCGATTCTTGTATGTCTGATTCTATGGTACAGCGTGACATCTAACAGTAGCAGGGTTCTGATAGCAGCTGCTGTTCAGCTGGCCTTCTTTCACCAGGAAAGCAACAGTCTAGTAACGAGCAAAGACCTGATGCTAGGCTTTTGGCGATCAGCTCTCTGCAATCAGATCGTGCAATGCTTTGCGATTGTCACAACGTGCTTGCCCTACACCAAGATATTCATGGAGGGATTTGAGTCTGGCCTTATCCGGATTGACGACAGCCGTAGACGCAGAGAGTATGCTTCGAAAGGGTATAGCGGACGAGAGTACCAACTAATGGATGTCTCGCGGTCGTCACAAGCGCAACGATCTGCGCAGAGCAGGTCGATCAATGTGTCAAAAGGTTGGGCGGTTTCATCGGATTCAGCTGAGCGTACGCAAAAACCATAGCTTTGAGTCACACCGGCCTATTATCTTCGAGATGAAGTGTACGCAGCAAATTAGGTCGCGATCACGATCTCTTATCAGACCACTCGTATGTGCAGAGTATTCAATGATACAGTCAGCACCAGACGCGCAATGGTCGGAGGAGATGCTTAGTCGAGAACAATTTTGCAACGAATCCAAAGTACGCGATTCTGGAACGGTACAGTCATGCATTCCCTGTGCCGCCCACCCCTGCGTATAGCGCATCGTGTAACATGCACCTAAGACGATCCGGCAGGTGATCCAGCCGGCCGGGACGGGACGGGCTGCCCTCCTCCATAATAACGTCGCGCTGTGCAAGCGAGGCACAACACACAAGGTTTAGATGATCACTTGCTGACCCGCCAGCTGCACTCACACCCTTCGTGCTACCCACGCTCACTACCTCCCCACGTTCTCCTGTTCCCCTTCGCACAGCTTCACTGGCCCTCGCGTTTTAGCAGCCCTGCGCTAACGGGTGCACAATGGCGTCCACACCCTCTGTCAAGGGTGCCGATGTTGAGATGACAGCTTTTCCTAGCACCTCGTCTACAGAACAGAAAGATGAGCTCGCGCTTGCTAGACTGGGAAAGAAAGCAGTGTTGAAGGTAAATCGACTCAAATGCAAGCATTGCTTTGCTGATCCGTTTTTGGCAGAGACGATTTGGGTTTCTCTCTATCCTGGGCTTCAGCTGCACCGTATTGATCACATGGGAAGCTTCTTTAGTGTGAGCATCATCAACACCATCTTGCAATGTGTGTTGACTCGAACAGACTATTCCTCGTTGGTTTCCAGAATGGCGGCCCAGCTGGAGTCATCTACGGCTATCTCGTCGTCTGGTTCGGTACAGTATCCGTATTCACGGTCCTCTCGGAGCTGGTCTCAATCGCACCCACTTCAGGTGGTCAGTATCACTGGGTTGCGATGCTGTCACCGCCACGCCTGTCCCGGCTTCTCAGCTACATATCCGGGTGGCTCACACTGTGCGGCTGGCTGGCTTCGCTCGGCTCCGGCTGCTTCCTGACAGGCGGCTTGATCCAGGGACTGCTGATCCTATGTCAACCTGACACCTACGTTCCACAGAACTGGCACGTGACGATGCTGTATTGGGCGGTTATCTTGTTCTGCGTCTTCATCAATGTAGCTGCAGGATGGCTTCTGCCGAAGTTTGAAGGTGCCTTACTGGTCTTGCATATCCTCGGGTTCTTCGCCATTCTCATTCCTCTTTTGATACTGGGTCCGCAGGGCGACGCTAGATCGATCTTCACTACGTTCGTGAATATGGGCGGTTGGGACTCTCAGGGGCTGTCGTTCTGCATCGGGATTATGGGGAGCGTATTTGCCTTCGTTGGAGGAGACGGGCCGATCCATGTAAGTCCGCTACATCGTCTTCTGACTACACTGCTTACCATATTAGCTGTCAGAAGAGATTCACAACGCTCAAGTGGTCGTTCCCCGATCAATCATGACAGGTATTGCGATCAACGGATCTCTGGGGTTCGTTATGGTGGTCACTGTCCTCCTCCGTTTGGGCGACATGGATACCGTCCTAGCAGAAAACCCAGCATTCCCATTCATGGCCATCTTCCACCAGGCCGTGCAGTCGCGCGCCGGTGCTGCAGTGATGGCATCTATCGTCATGGTACTTACCATCAGCGCCAACGTCGGCTTCTCGGCTTCAACCTCGCGCATCTGCTGGGCCTTTGCACGAGACAAGGGCCTCCCCGGATGGCGCCAGCTCAGCAAAGTAAGCCCCCTCCCCCGACTCAAGCGCCCCACTAACCCCAGCAGATCAGTGACAGAACCTCCATCCCCGTCAATGCCGTCGCCTTCACCAGCCTCATCGCCAGCATCCTCGCCCTTGTCAACATCGGCTCCACCACCGCCTTCAACGGCATCATCTCCGTCTCTATCGCCGGCCTCTTCGCCTCCTACCTACTCACTGCTTGTCTACTACTCTACCGCCGCTGCACTGGCGCGATTCTACCCAACGCCACGCTCGACGCCTCGCCCTCCGTCACACCCGACGGTATGGTGCGCGCCGTGTGGGGCCCGTGGCGGATCCCCGGCGCGCTGGGCGTCGCAAACAACGCGTTTGCGTGCGCGTATCTGGCGTTCGTTTTCTTCTTTAGCTTTTGGCCATCGTTCAAAGATGTCACGCCCGCTACGATGAATTGGTCGGTGTTGGTTACAGGGACTGTGGCGCTGTTGAGCGCGGTGTATTACCTGGTGTGGGCACGGAAGACGTATCATGGACCTGTTGTGGACGTGAGTCTGTGAGCGGGCGGGCGTGTGTTTGTCAGGCTGTTCTTGGGCGTGGGGAAAAATGTATAGCTAGATTGCGGATTGTAAACTCAAAAGTAGGCTCCTTCACGAAGCACCACTCGACCCCGCACGTCTGCATCGTGACCTCAAGCATGTCGACGGGGCTTTACGTAAATCACGGCCTGCAGCAAGCGCTTATCACAGTTGCTGATGGCGTTGAAATCTCTTCGCCGGGATACCTTTGGAGGTGTGGTGTTGTGGACTTGCATCAAGCCTTTGGAGGCGAAGATGGCCGCCGCGAAACCTCCAAAGGAAAGCGTAGACGACGGGTCGCTCCGAGGCAGACGCCAGCCAATCAGAATGCGGCCTGTGGACGACCACCAAGACCCGTGTATCAGAAGTATAAAGACGACACAATTCCTCGCGTTCGTTGAAAGGGCAACTTCATGCTTTCGACGTTTTCAATTAGCTAAGTTGATATTATACAGCCATGCCGTCCGCACCGCACCCCCTCGATCCCCTGACTCCAGACGAGATAACACAGGTGCCACATCCATCTAAGCAAAAGTAACCCGACTAACAACACAAGGCTGCAGACATAGTACGCCCTCTATTCCCCGCCCAGCACCTCAATTTCCGCGTCATCACACTGCTTGAACCGCCCAAAGACAAACTCACCACATACCTCGACGCCGAGCACCTCGGCTCCGCTCCTCCAGTGCTCGCCCGCTGTGCCCGCGTCGAGGTCCTAGTCAAGAGCGGACCAGACAGCAATGATCTGTTTGAACTCGTTATCGATGTGCAGAGCAAATCCGTGGTGAAGCAGCAGCGGCTCGAGGGAAAGCACTCGTACATCGACGCCGCGTACATGCAGGACGTGGAGCGCGCATGCATCGCAGACGCACGCGTGCAGAGCGAAATCGCAAAGCTGGCGCTTCCGGAGGGTGCAAGCGTGATTGTCGAGGCATGGGCGTATGCCACGGACGGCGCGAGCGACATGGCGCGCCGGATTACGATGGTAGTGTTCTTGATGCTTGTGTATGATGGGTGCTGATGCATGCAGTGCTGGTTCTACGCTCGTCTGGTAGATCACCCGGATGCAAATTATTACGCGTATCCGCTGTCGCTTTGCGCTGAGGTTGAGGAGACACTGAAGGTTATCGGGGTGTATCACCTCCCCTGCCGCGCTGGCGAGACAGTGCATAACGACGCCCAGCCCTTCGACGCCCGCGCGAAGCAGCCACTGGAGATGAGTGAGTATCATCCCGATCTGCGGCCCTCTCCGCGCACAACCACGAAACCGCTGCAGGTCGTGCAGCCAGATGGTGCGTCGTTCAGCATCACCGGGCAGCACGTCTCGTGGGAGAAGTGGCAGTTTCGCGTCGGCTTCAATTACCGCGAGGGCCTGACGCTGCACGATATCCGGTACGACGGGCGACAGGTTCTGCACCGGGTATCGCTGGCAGAGATGTTCGTGCCGTACGCAGACCCACGGTCGCCGTATCCACGCAAGGGCGCGTTTGACCTGGGGAACGACGGAGCAGGCGTGAACGCAAATAATCTACGGTTGGGTTGCGATTGTCTCGGTACAATTGCGTACTTCGACGGCTGGCACAATACGGCGTCTGGACTGCCGCTTCGATTGCCCAACGTGGTTTGTGTGCACGAGCAGGACGACGGGATTCTCTGGAAGCATACGAATTTCCGTACAGGGCATGCGGTAGTGACGCGGTCGCGCGTGCTCGTCCTGCAGACCATCATTACGGTAAGTAATTATGAGTATATATTCGCATTCCACTTCGGACAGGATGCGTCCATCAACTACGAAGTCCGGGCGACGGGCATTCTCTCGACCGTCCCCATTGCAGTGGGTGAGCCAAAGCCACCCTACGGCACTATTGTTGCTCCAGGCGTGCTCGCACCGTACCACCAGCATCTGTTCTGCCTGCGCATCGACGCTGCCATTGACGGACACAAGAACTCCGTTGTGATCGAAGAATCGCATGCAATGCCCCTTGACGACGCAGAAGTGCACAATCCATTTGGAATCGGGTACGAGACACGGACGCGCTACGTCGAGCGCGAAGGCGGTTTCGATCTCGACTTCACTAAGAACCGCGTCTTCAAGATCGTCAACGAAACGGTTATCAACCCCACGACGCAGACTCCCGTCAGCTTCAAACTACTCCCCTCCTATAGCCAGATGCTACTCGCCCACCCGTCGTCGTTCCACGCCAGGCGCTCCGAGTACGGGCAGCACGCTGTTTGGGTTACCAAGTATCGTGAGGACGAGATGTTCCCGTCGGGGCGGTACACCATGCAGTCCATGGGCGGTGAAGGCATTGCGACTGCGATTAAGAAGAGAGCTGGGGATGAGATGGAAGCGAGCGTGCGAAACGAGGACGTCGTGGTGTGGCACACGTTTGGGTCGACGCACAACCCGAGAATTGAGGATTGGCCAGTCATGCCGTGCGAAAAGATGTCGGTGGGACTGAAACCAGTGAACTTCTTTAGCGGAAACCCAGGACTGGACGTTGCCCCTAGCACCCAGGAGGTGAATAAGAGCGTGTTGCATAAAGCAATCGTGGACGGTGACAAAGTATGCTGTCAGACCTCAGAAGGGTGATTTAGCTTCGAATGTTTGTTGGTCGACCTAGAAGGTTGGGTCTGGAGGCTTTCTTTCAAGCGTATAATTGACCTCGTTTTGGGGTGTGAACTGGAAAGCTTGAGAATGTACAATGACCGACAGGTGGCTTGCCATCAACACCCTTCTCCCCGTGTGTGACGGCGCCCCATTGTACGGGTAGCACAGCAGCATCAGTGTCCTCCGGCAGCGGATGGCACGCAGCGCTGATCGCAGCTGAGCAACTGCCTGCCACAGGCATGCCCGGCGCGTATCGGAACCGTCCAAGGGCGAAGCCCCCGATCGCTATAATAGTACCGAGCACGGTGCACAAGATGATCGCTACGGGAGAAAATCCACAAGTTGAGATCTTCTTGTATGCTTCGCGGGTGTACGCATTCAGAACCGTGATCTGGACCAGGAAGATACTCTGAGATGCGAGCCAATGAAACAGACCTGACATCACTGTCATGGGAATCGCGTAGCGAAATGGGACATTGAGCCAGTATGTATCGCGTTGCTGGCCGATAGGCGAGGTGACACGGAGTGGCTTTCGGTTCTCCATGTAGGTACTCCATTCCTAGACGTTCATAAGCGTATGATCCTTCAACCGTTATTGACACGTACTTGTGCAACGAACATATTCGTATACAGAGCGTTGAAGGCAAGATACAAGTATGACAGCACGGCCTGTGGCAGATTGGCAAGTAAAATGCCACCCACAAGAGTAGTGCTGATATTCAGTAGATTGTTGCCCGTAATCGTCCCAAACCCGATTTTCCACAATTTGGCAACATCTTTAGGCATCGCCGACACCGTACGCGCCATACATACGATGGCAAATATGATCGCCGCAACAAATCTAGTACAAATTAGTAGAGTTGATGTTGTGTCTCCGCAATACACTCACAATATGTAGGTAGCCAGCCATCGATAGCCACTTGGAGCGGTCTGCCACGCTCGGCGTTTGGGATCAAATCGCTCAGGAGGCACACCAAGCTCGTCCTTCTTTGCGCCGTGAGTGAACTCCCATGTCCACTGGGCCTCCATGAGATGTCTCGAGAACAGACATCGACCCTTTGTCTCTGGATCGGGGCAGTCGAGGAAATGAGCTATAGTATCTCCTACAGTGACGAGCGGCAGATGTCTCCGGTACATCAGAAGCGTCAGAGCCATACATACAGCTTTGACGAAGTTCGATACTACAACAAGAGCAGCAATGATCAAACTGAACTGCAGTCTGCAGCTTTCTTGCACTTCTTCGACCATACAGTAAGCGATTGGTGCCTCGAACGGCTGCCATTTCGAGCGATCACCAGGCACCTCATGCTCGTTGTCAACGTCACACATTTTCAACGTATGCGAAGGACAGCGCCACCCATTAGATAGGTAAAAATCCGGTGTACTGAGAAACGGTATCGTGGCATCCAAGGTGGTGTTACGGTCTATCTCCGTGATCGGAGACTCAGGCTTTGAGTCTCTGGTCCATGTAAAGCTGTTGTTGAGATGAAACAAGGGCCACCAGACTGTATGGTTTCGCCAAACTATGGGGTCGCTGTGAACGAGATAGACGTTTCCTGCGTCGGACATATACTGATTGTTAAATTTATCGAAGCAGGCCGCAGTATCAAGCTTCTGGTAAGTAGCCTTAGCGTTGTTGGTGTTGATGAAAGTTTCTCCAACAAAAGTCACATTCAATTCTTTGGCGTTGATATTGGCAACGATCTCGTCCGTCTTCGCATCAGATACCTCCACGAAGCGGGAAGTATCAAAAGAGCCCCCTGCGAGCCAATCCTCCGTGACCGGATTGACGAAGTACTCGTTGGCTTGCAGATTGGTGAAAACGACCGAATTGAATAACAGATGAAGCGGCATAGATGACAGGAACAAGATCACCCACAGAGCGGCTCGGGGTCGTCCAATGTGTTTGAGGTTTCGTAGACTCGGCACTCCGATGTGAAGCCAGACTCTTTTTCCGTGCGCGCGTACAAGCTCTTCCCGGTTGGGGGCGCTTAGAACCTGCATGCAGTAGTTGCTTGCGCCGAGAAGCAGGGTACTGAGAACATTTACGATCAGGTGGATCCAGACGTTCAGCCCTCTGGCTCTAGCGCAACTACCTTCGAACAAGGTCCCGATAAAGTCTTCAGCTTGTTCGTACGGACCTGTCCAAACGTATATCGTAACGACGAGGTTGAAGATACAAACGACAGAGGCACCGACGAGTGAGACAAGCGCTCCGACGCGCCAACCGGAAAGAAATGGACGCTGTCGAAAGGTCTGTGTTGTAGTACCCATGTGTCTCGGCGGAGCATGGGAGTCCTCGTTGTCTGTCATGAAAGATTCGAATGTTGACGACTGTCGGGGATCTCCAGTAGAAACATGCTTGTCAGATTCATTGTTGAGAAGCTGGTAATCGCTTGAGTTCCTGTTATGGTTTCAGAACTCGTTCAGAGGGGTTGAGTTTTGTTTCCACCTACCTTCCAGACTGCAGCAGCTCGACATTGTCTCCTATATCCCCCTCATCGGAAATCTTCCGATAACCTGTGAGCGATCGATGCACCACCATGTTGATTCTTCATTTGTAGTTGAGATGATGAGAGCGATGGTGAGGGAAAGCGGCTATTATACTAAGCATATGTTTACGCCCCATATCTTTAGTGATTACCTTCAGGCCACCCATGCGGGTCTTCAGCTGAGGCTCAACCAATGCGTGCTGGCTGTGGTGGCTGAAACGGCCCGCGGGAGTAGCGAGGGGTAGCAGCGAATGGTGATTGGGAAGAGGCCGCTTCCGACCCCTGCTCGCTTGTGTCAGCCCTAGCCGTGAACTCTGGCGGGTGCGGCCCAGCTGTAGTTGGGGTTTCTAAAATAATCGTATCGCTGATGAGGTATGGCATACCAACACCCGATAGAATCTCAACTTCAGACGAGAATTATTCACACTTTGATATGGCTCAATGCTGATCGTTTCTTTTATGCGTGGTGAATCATGTCACTTTGTCAGCCCTACAGCAGCTTCGACCTGGCGAGCGATATCTAGAAAGGCTGCCGCTCTGTCGCCATCCGGCTCTGCAACGACAGTCGGCTTGCCCCGATCTGCATCATCGCTAATGCTGGCATGGAGCGGGATCTCGCCCAGCATCTTCAAGTCGTACTTTCCGCACATGTCACGGATCTTGTTCATGTTACCAAATACCTCATGGACCGAGCCACAGCCCGGACACTTGAACCCAGCCATGTTGCAGACGAGGCCAAGCAGGTTGACGTTGACCTTCTTGAACAGCTCCACGCCTTTTACGGCGTCCTTAAGTGACAGATCCTGTGGTGTCGACACGATCAACGCACCGTCCAAGTTGAGCTGTTGGGTAATTGTGAGCTGCACGTCGCCAGTTCCAGGCGGCATGTCGAGCACCAGCACGTCCAGACCACCCCATTCAACTTCGTGGAGCAGCTGCTGCAGTGCCTTCATGACCATGAGCCCGCGCCATGCTACCGGCGAGGACTCTGGGATGAGATAGCCCATTGACATGGACTTGAGGCCATAATTCGAGAGGGGGATGAGCTGATTGTCTGCCTCGTCATCAGAAGCGTGGCCGTGGAGTGGCGTAGTGTGACTGACTGCTCGACAAGCGCGGTTCGCCAGAGAGATTGAGAAGAGTGGGTATCGAAGGGCCGAAGATGTCGGTATCGAGTATACCAGCGCGGTAGCCACGGCGGGCGAAGCTGAGGGCGAGGTTGACTATGACGATGACGTGAGTGACGATGCTGTGGTCGAACGCAGGTTGTGACATACCAGCAATCGTGCTTTTGCCAACGCCGCCTTTTGCTGACGACACTGCAATCACTTTCTTGACGTCTTTTATGCTTCGCCTTTGCGGCAGACCTCGCTGCATGCGCGGTAGCTGTGGAGGCGCGCCGGAGCGCGGGAGGCCCTGTTGGAATATTTAGCTACGTGTTGCTGCAATTGGAACGGAACTGACGCACGAGGGGATTCTCATGCTGCAGACAGCGCAGCGTAGAGAACAGCCGTGACTTCAGCATTGCGAGTTGTCGACATGTTTGCGGCCACCAGTGCGGCCTTCGCGGAGGTGACGCGCCTCGCCGCGGTGGGGAAAGCGCGCCCGTGCGCTGTGCGCGAACTTTTTTGTAGCAACGAACTCTGCTCTGACACGCAACGCAACAACTGCCACAACTTCGCGCAAGATGGCCAAGTCAAAGATCAGAGGTTGGTCGCCGATACATTTCTAGGAACGACAAATTAACAAACGTCAGATTTCGACCCTGAGTCCCTTCTCGATCCTGCGCCGAGCTCAAGCGAGGACGAGCGCTCAGATGCTGAATCCTCCGAAGTCGAAGAGGACCAAAATGCGGGGCGCGAACACTACGAGACTGTTGGCAAGAGCAAGCTGAGGAAGCCAGAGACGAAGGCACTCGGCAAGCAGTACGCAGGGAAAAGCGTCAGCCGTGACGATTTGGAGAACAGCGACAGCGACGACCCATTCGCCAAAGGCTTTGACGAGATCGACAGTGAGGCCGACAGTGAGGTTGAAAGCGACGACGGTGACGAAGAGGAAGAATTTTCAGAAGGTCTTAACGCGCTGATTGACGGAGAAGTTGACTCGGACGAGGACGACAGCGAGGACGTGGACATGGAGGGCGAAGAGGAAGACGAGAGCGAGGAGGACGGCTCAGACGACGGCTCAGACGATGACAGCGAATCTGGCGACGACTCCAAGTCAGGCGCAGCGGCTGTCCGCGACCTCATGAAGGATGCTAAGTCCATGACCTCCACACTTGCCGCCGGCGCAGAGTCGGATGTCGCAAAGGGCCAGGCTGTCAAGACCCAACGCAAGACCTTCGACACTCTCCTCAACACGCGCATTCGTCTGCAGAAAGCACTTATCTCGACAAACTCGATGGCTACTGAGCAGCACAAGGAGGCGACTGCGCCAGATGCGTCTGTTTCGGCCGCTGAGGCTGCAGCACTCACGTTGCTGAACAACCTCGCCGACCTCCGCATCTCGCTCGAGGAGTCGCGGACGGGCGAGAAGCGTAAGCGCACGACGTTCGACGCCAACACGTCTTCTGCCGACATCTGGTCGTCGATTCGCAGCACGGACAAGGTAGCACTGCCGCACAGAAAGGCTGTCCTCGAGCGCTGGTCCAACAAGACCAAGGCCACGACCGTTGCCAACAACAAGGCACGCCTCAATGCATCTGCACAGCAGACGCTTACTGAGGTCCTCGACTCTCAGCTCACATCATCGCACCTGGTCACTCGCACACAGACACCGCGGTCCTGCGCGCCACTGCAGTCCGCCCACAAGGGTGCGCAGCCTGACGCTGCCATTTACGACGATGCCGACTTCTACGGACTACTCCTCAAGGAACTGCTCGAGCAGCGCTCCGCCGACGTCAATGCCAACGGCACATCTGAGTTCGTTGTTCAGGCGCCATGGCAGGTAGCGAGGGAGGCCAAGACGAAGAAGGTAGTCGACACCAAAGCGAGCAAGGGCAGAAGGTTACGGTACACCGTGCAGGAGAAGTTACAGAACTTTATGGCGCCTGAAGACCGGGGAGAGTGGGAGGAGAGGCAGCGAGACGAGCTATTTGGAAGCTTGTTTGGCAAGCGATTGCGGCTGGGTGAAGACGACGTGGAGAGCGAGGCTGAAAGTGAAGGCGATGCCGCAGAAGCAGGCCTCATGTTGTTCAGAAGCTAGAAGCTGCCAATTACATATTACACGTGGTTCTGAGACTGAATGGATGGTTCTGCTGGTGATGTCGGTGTTTGCTCAGTCGCCGACTCGCTTCGGCTGGTTCGAAATTTATATCCCGAACGGCTTCAACGTTGCAAGCCGGCTGAGCTCACGACAGCGTTTGAGAACAGCGGAATTCCACCTATCTAGGGGCGTGCAGTGGGGCATTCGATACGAAAAAGTCATTTCTACTAATGCTTACCATTTCGCACGGGTGTCTGAACCGATCTCGCTCCAACCTCCGACCGAACGGCCCAAGCTCCACCAGGGTCCACCAAACTTCACCACCAGAGCTCGATGCGAGCCAGCGATAAACACCGCTCGCGCCGCTCCCTCCCCATTGCTTGACATCCTGCCAAAATGAACACCATCTCGCCCCCACCACAGTTCAAGCGCATCAGCGGCACAAAACGCCTGTTTGGCGTTGTCCTGGGCCTCGCCGGCGCTGCAGGCGCAAATGCCCTGCTCGGCTACTCCGTGTTCAGCTTCTACACACGCAACACAACCTTTGTCCCCTACGATACCTCATCGCCGGACCTGCTCACACCGACCTTCACCGCTCACAACCCGCTTAAGAATGCGCCCGCGTGCATTGACCACGCGGTCAAGACGCTGCCGCTGCAGAAGTTCCGCGAGCGCTATGGACTGCAGCCGGGCGCAAAGGTGCCCGTAGAACGCCTGACGACAGACTTCTGCAGAGGCATCTGGAGCGGCATTGGCTATCGCATACAGCGCCGCGTTCTCGAGCGCAAGTACCGCGCGCTGCCAGGCCGCGAGGATCAGCTGTGGGACGTGAAGGCGCTGGAGAAGAGCGAGTACCCTGTGAACACGGTTATTACGGATCACTTCGAGGTGGTGGAACACGATGCGAACAAGGTGCGTGGCGCTCAATGCATTGCGGGGATAATTGATTGCTAACGCCGCACAGGTCATTGTGCGCTGTGGGGACTCTCCGCTGGTCAAGGAGCACCGCGCGAGCGATGGGCTGTTCTCGATGGAGGTCACCACCGACGAGAAGGCGGATACGGCGACGTTCCACCTCAAGAGCGTTTTCGTCAACACCACGCCCGAAGGCACGGGTTCCGAGCCACAGCCGGCGGCCCTCCAGCTGGCGCATAGGATGTACACGAAGTTCTGGATGGAGGGAGCGACGAGGAAGATGCTGAAGCAGTAATGCAAAGGTGAATCCGGCTTAGCGCGGATCAGACAGCATGCTAATATGTACTGTAACACCATCTCCTCTCAATGGTGGAACTCGCATTCGCGAAATTTGCGGTCGTTTGCAAGAGTCAAACACGACGATAGTTTGCCACCTGACTTTCCAACAACCCCGCAACCCACGACGTTACTTCCATATGTCCGGCGCCACGTCGTTGCGTAGTCCTCGAAGAAACCCCTTCTGGCCAAGTCAAGGCTCTCCGGTCCGTACATGACAATAGTGTGTATATCGTAGTTCAAACTAGCCGGATCGCTTCCTCCTTCATACCGGGGCCAATCTACCGCAGCCAATGAGCGGACTGCCCTGCCGCACTAGCGCCTTTCTTATATATTAATCGGCATTGCGCGGCTGGGCGCTGGCGTGAACTTCAACATGATCTTCAATGTGCCCATAGTGCTCATCTCAATGCCGACTTCAAAATGGAGCGACTCCTCGAGATCTTGGAAACCAAGACATCCTCGACTTCGCCCAGGAACCGCTTGTTGACACAAGCCACTTGATCTTCGTCCAGCTTTCAAAATGCTTGTCTCGATTCTCTTCCTCGCCAGCCTGGTGTCTGCAATCCCCGCACCCGCTGCTACTGCTTCAGCTGCTGGTGCTGGATTCCGATTCCTCGGTCGCGTCAACCCGGCGAACAAGGAACTCACCTGGCCCGGAACAGGCGTTTCGTTCACATTCAAAGGCACCACCGCCAGCGTCAACCTTGCCAACATCGTCGGCGACAACAGTTTCGACCTCATTATCGATGGCAAGGCTCCCACGGTGATCAGCAAGGTCACCGCCACCACCATCTCTACCCCCAAGCTAGCACAGGGCACACACACCGTCGTGCTGCGCCGCCGCTCCGAAACCGCGCTCGGTACCGTCGCCATCAGCACCGTGACCACTGACGGATCCTTTGTCGCCGAGAAGCCCCTCACCCGCCAGATCGAAATCATCGGCGACTCCATCAGCGTCGGTTACGGCCTCGATGGTACCAACCCGTGCACCAACAACGCCGCCCTAACCAACAACCCCAAAACCTACGGCGTACTAGCCGCCAATGCCCTCAAAGCAGACTACAGCGTCATCGCCTGGAGCGGCAAGGGCCTCGTCCGCAACATCGCCACCGGCTCCACCGACACCAGCCCCATCATGCCCGAGCTGTGGACCCGCTACGGCGCCAACGACGCCTCAAACTCGTACACCTTCCCCGCGTCCTGGAAACCCAGCGCCGTCGTCATCAACCTCGGCACGAACGACTGGTCCTACCTCGCCTACACCGCGACGGGGCAGTCCTACGCCGCGCGCGAGACCCTGAAGGCCGCCGACTTCACCGCCGCGCTCGTCAAGTTTGTCAAGTCCATCCAGACCCGCTACCCCGCGGCGCAGTTCTTCCTGCTCAGCAGCCCCATGCTGGGCGATTCGTTCCCGACCGCCGCAGACGCGCAGCGCACCAACCAGATCAAGGCGGTGCAGGATGCGGTTAAGCAGATTGGTGCCAAGGCGCAGTATGTGGATTGGCCGCAGCAGGGGAGCGATGTCGGGTGTGATTATCATCCCAATGCGGCGACGCATGCGGCGGAGGGGAAGGTGCTGGCTGCGGCTATTAAGGCGACGTTGAAGTGGTGAGTGGAGACTTGGTAGAGGGCCTAAAGGAATCTTTGGTTGCCGAAAAAGTAGATGCGTTCACGCAAAGAAATGGGAAGCATTCGATGTCAGTTTGAGTGTTGTATGCTGTGTGATGGGTCTTTTGGTGACTACGAAGTACTGTACAGCGATGTACTGATGGGTACACGGATGTTGCCCCCTACGTCTTCCCATACCCAGTGAACCCCACAGACTGAATGTTATAACGAGTCCAGCGACCCAGCTTCCCGTTGTGCTGCTTAGCGGGAGGAGCCCTAAGCATAACCCTCGCCCTCCTCGTCTGAGAGGGTACCAGAGATTTTCACTGCTGCTTAGTCGGCGTCCTCCTCGACTTGGCGCTTCATGCGTTTGTGAGGCTTGGGCTTGAATGATGTCGAACTGCTCATCATCTTGACAGCCTGCGCGGCGGCCTTCTTGGCGTCCAGGTGACTCGTAATACCATACGTGCTGTTCTGGGTCCCCAGTTGCTGCTTGGCTCGTGTCGCCTTGCGGTTGGTGTCGGACAGTTGTCTTTGATACCTTGTACGCTGCTCCAGAAGGGACCATGCCCAAATGGTCTTTGACATGACCCATAAGGTCCCCGTGATAGCTCCTGGCGAACGAATGCCGGCGGATTTCAATAGAGAGCCCTCTGGCTCATAATACATGCGCGGATGACGTGTAAGAACTTCACCCAGGATCTGACAGGTCCCCAGCCATATGTATCTTCTAGAAGTGTGGCACTGGTTGAATTTTCGGCTTCCAGTGCCTCTCTGACGGTCTTCAACAGAGCGGAGCGACCGCTGGCTCGGACCTTCGCCACTTTCATCGGGCGCATCACCTCTTGGGTGGTCGGGATGTTCAACATCAACTCTATGAAGTTGGTGTGCGGTGTTCAAGATTTTTGCGGCGAAATCTTTGTGGTTCTTCACCCAGTTTTGAAAAGGATGGTCGCGCAGGCTGTTGTTGTCTCCGACGATGCGATGCTCATCGAACCCGACTTCCTGCTCGAGGTCCTGTCCGTCTAGATGAGGAGATAGCTCAGCCACCGCCTCGAACTCATCCTCCAAGGGCGCCTCATCTTTGGGGCTGTACAGAGAGGTTAGAATACTGCTTCCTACGTCTTCCCATATCCGCTGAATTACTTGTAAGGCAGGTGAGTTTGAGACACAAACATATGCATTGTGTTGTACATAACCAGCCTACAGACTAAGTGTTTCCGCGAATCTAGCGACCCAGCTCCCCGTTGAGCTGCTCGACGAGAGGTTGTCCACCTCTTCTATTGATCTGGTGTCCTTCCAAGCTTGGCCATTGTCCTTGACATTGTTGCGGCGGTGGTGTTATCTAAATTGCTCCGTCTGCCGACTAATGCTCAGAGTAAGAGGTTAAAGTTGTCCTTCCTGACTACTTTCCGGTGGCTGGCCAATGTCCTCGAGCTCGTTTCTCGCATGGACGCGTTGACTGCCAGGGATGTTGATATTCGGCCGGGCGCCGAAATCTGCATTCTCTCCACGTTGTTCTGCTAAATGGTCGATCTGAAGTGGCCCAACTTGTCCTCCGAGTCCAGAAAGGTCTGACTCGGTGACAGCATGACGCTGGTGTTCGCCACGACAATTGCTGGCCTCTAGCGCGGTGATTTGTCCTCGGAGCTTGACAATCTCTGCAGATTGGGTGGTGTTAACTTGATAGAGCTCGTCGTTGGCCTCGGTTAGGCTATCGATCCTAATAGAATGTCAGCTGTTGATCTTATCTTGATTTGCCTTCACTAACATCTCTCGAAGAGAGCGTATAAGTCCAGCTTGCTCTTTTAAGGCGCCCTCGTGCTGAGAAGTCATGGTTGACTTCTCTGTCCTCAGTGTATCTACCACGCTCACTGCCTGCTCTAATTCTGACGAAAGCCTTTCTATAGTGTTGCGTGTGTCCTTTTCAGCGATAAGTAACAACTTGCACTGGTCCATGGCCTCCTGGATTATCGGAGGAGGTTCAATAGGTCGTGGGACTAGTGGGGGCATGTAGTCGAAGTCATCGAGCTCTTTCTGGTGTTGTTGCTCCGGTGTAAGGACAGTGTTCTGTGTTGTTTTGTCGTCCATGATGTGTTTGGTTTCCATTGGCTGTAGGCGAGGTGTAGGTAAGGTGTAGGTGAGGTGCAGGTGAGTTATTGCGGTAGGGTAGCGCTAAACGTACCTCACCTGCAGCAGGCGCGCTTTCCTTTCCAGGTGGGCAATCCCTGCAGGCATACATCGTATGAGCCTAGCGCTAGAAAGAATTTCAGACGTGCTAAAGATGGCAACGTGCGTAAGACTAGCGCTATCAATACAGGTAAATAAAGAGCGTGGGGGAAAGGCTGCGAGAGATATAGCTAGGGAGGCCTTCGAGCTGTAAACTGCATACCATAGTATCATGCTCTCCGCAATATTCCAACACAAATTGGCTGCTTTTTGACAGTATAATTCACAAAACAACCACAGTACTCACATATGCAACTAGAAATCTACTGCGCTACGGACGCCCACTCGCTGCGGCCAGATAGTCCGCACACCCATCCCCCGCAATCCGCCCAAACACAACACACTCCAGCAGCGACGAGCCCCCCAGCCTGTTTCCGCCGTGTATCCCGCCCGTGATCTCGCCCGCGCCCCACAGCCCTGCGATTGGCGCGCCGTGCTCCGTCACCACTTCGCTCTGCGCGTTGATCAGCACCCCGCCCATCGTGTAGTGCACGATCGGCGTCACCTGGCCCACATACACAACCGACTCGGGCGTGGGATCCTTCAGCGCCCAAGCGCCGAACGCGGTGCGGCCGAACGGGTCAGCGGTGGCGTGGGACACGGTGGCGGCGTATGTTTCGATGGTTTTGAGTGCGTCAGCGCCGAGGTCCGCGACGGTGGTTTTCCGCATGAGGTTCTTGAAGATGTAGAAGTCGACGTGGGACTTCGCGGCGCTGTACGTCGCTTCGTCGAGCACGAGCTGAACGGCCCACTGGCGTGCGGTCTCAGATGGTGCAGGCGTGGAGGTGATTGCGTTCGCAACGTGCTCGCGCGTGTCCAGTTCGTTCACGAACCGCGCACCGTTCAGCAGCAAGATGCCGCCCTCACCTCTGAGGAGTTCAGCAGCAAGGAACTTGAGCGGTGATTCTGGGTCCGCGGGATCGACGAAGCCGGTGGGATGGACTTGCACGGAGTCCATGTCGACTAGCTGGGCTCCAGCTGCCGCGAGGAGCGGCTGGGTGCCTGGACGCGGGTCGTTTGTGGACGGGAAGCCTGCGAGGTCGGGACGGTATTGGGCGAGGAGGCCTTTCGCATCGCCGCCGAAGCCGCCTGAGGCGAAGATGACAGGGCCGTGTAGTTCCTCGTAGTTTCCGTTGGAGTCGATGTACTCTACGCCTATGACGCGTTTCCGCTCCTGCAGCACTTTCGTCACAGTGCATGAGGTCTGCAGGTGAAAGAGGGGAGACTCTTTCAAGCTCTTCAGCAGCGCGCTGATGATTGCAAATCCTGGTGGCGGTCCGGGTCCTCTGTGTGTTCTGGCGTAGGAATGACCACCGAGTCGCGCGACTTTGCTCAGATCGACTCCCTTCTCTTCAACTAGCCAATGCACCGCACCCGCAGATCCTTCGGTCAGAGTTTTGATGAGATTCTCCCTCTCAGTAGTATGAGAAAACATCCGCTTGCCAGCTGAAGATACGGTGTCAGCGTAGAAAGCATCTTCAGGCTCTAACGCTGGCTGAAATCGTGTTGGTGCGCCGTTGATGCCGGACGATGCTTTGATACTGTTGCCTCCTGGCTTTGCGGCTTGTTCCAAAACGCGTACTGGAACGTTGCGCTTCACCAACTGCGATGCAGCGCTCAGGCCGGCGAGGCCAGAGCCCACTACAATGGCGCATTTCGTGGACATGTCGTCGTCCAGGATGGTGGAAAACATGTGGGGCTTGCTGTGATAGACGACTGCTGTAAGTATCACGACAAACGAGGTCAGGATAACTACGAGCTTCCGGGGAGTATACATGGCACCGGCAAACAGACTTCCTGTCGTTCCGTCATGGCTGCGGTCAGTCGATGCAATATCGCAGGGCTCGCCAGGTAATCAGGCCATCATCACGCCGCCGCGCGAAGCAGATCGCTCACGCCAACTCAGCTCAACTCACAGCGTCAGCACCGCCATATGCTCCCACCTCACACTGCGTATCTGCAGTGATAACGGCAGCCATGAACAACCGTTCCGTCGATGGTGTTTGAAGCTCGCAGCCAGTCGCGAGACGACGTAGCCCTGCCCCGCAGCCCGTCTGCACGCGCCACACCTCGAAACCCTTCTCGAACGCCTCGTGCCTCCTCGCACCGCCAACGGCAACAATAGACGTGTGTTCAAAACGCCAGCCCGCTATTCGTACGTACCGTCGCCGCCATTAAACGCTCGCCCGCGTCCGCTCCACAATAGCGCACGTGTAATGCTCACAGACCGGTGATCTCCTCGGATCCTGAGGCTTCCAGGCGCTAAGGAGCTTTGTGCAGACTTCGCGGCGCTGGGACGGACGCAGCGCGCGCATTCGCAGGGTTGAACGGTGTTAGTCGACCGCTATGTGCTCGGGTCGTTTGGTCCCGCGCGTGCGGTGTACGGGTTGGGCGACGTGTTGGGGTGAGGGCGATCAGACGCGCATCTGAGGCGCGGCAGGACGTGTTCCGGATTCTGAGATGGAAGGAGGAGCCGACAGGCTTCTTCATATGTAGGGAACCGTGGAGCCGGTTTTGCTGGGCATTCACTGTAATTTCTGGCTCGTTCTTTTGTTGGAGCGCCGCGATGCTGTTCCCCATGCAAGACCTCTCCTGGCTCGACCTCGCGCTGCTGTGCCACCCCGTTCTGGCCCTACTACCACCACGTGTGTACTCGAAGTCACAGCCCGCCGCCAGACGAAGCTGGCTTGCGCTTTCGTTCCTGGCGCTGCTGGCGTACCGCTACTACGCCACACCAAGCCCACTACCGCCCTTCACCACCACCACGGAACCCCTTTGCAAAACCCACGACCTCCCCAACCCAATCGCCCACTTGCACCCCTCAAACGCAACCGGTACTCTTAACGGCACCATAACCCTCCTCCCTATCCCATTGACCGTGGCCCGTTCCCTCATTCCCCCCAGCTACACAATCCTCACGCACGCCTACCGGGCCCTCCTGCCCAGCTTCCCGGCTGACATGTACCCCGCGATCCTGCAAGCCGTCCACGACCACGATGTCCAGGCGTTCGGCTACATCATCCCGGACTTCTCGCGCGCCGGCATTGAGTTCCCCTTCCTCGATATCCTGGGCGACGGACACACGAGTTTCCGGTGGGCGCCTGCGCTACTGCTGAGCGCGGGGCACAGCATCGCGGTGGGCGGCGCGCGCGAGTACGGGACTGAAGTGCTGGAGTCCGAATTTGCGCCAGCGTGCGACGCATATGCCTCCGTCGCGGGGGCTCCGGGGGCCACCACCTTCGAGGCCGTGGCCGAGGCCGGGGCAGCGTATGTACGCACGCGGTTCGAGAAAGCTGAGGGCGGGGTCGGGCTGGAGTTTTTCAGGAATGTGACGAATCAGCCGTCGTTTGCGGACGGGCGGAGTTGCGACAACATGGTGCGGTTGTTCAATACGAGCGTGACGCAGGAGATTGAGGTTGTAAGGGGGAGCGTAAGTGCCAAGATGCCGCCGTTTGGGGGGGAGGAAGTGTGGGAGGGAGTTGAAGGGATCAGGCTGGATTCGGCGTTCATTGAGAATAACTATTTGCCGTGCGAGGGGCTTGCGGGTTACGGGGAGCCGTAGGGGATGGGAAATGGGATAGACTGGGGTAGGAATACGTTGTCTTTACGATACCCAATAGAATATTGAAATTAGTCGCTGGCGACAGCGTCCCAGGTCTGATCGAATATACGCCTTTGCCGTCAGTCCGATTGTCTGTTTCTGGGCCTTGATATTGCTTTCAATCTTGAGGGTATAATGCTTGCTGAAATGTGCAGACCACCCCTAGTTTGGTACATCATACGGGAAGCCCCGCTGTCAGAGAGCGTCCTATATACCTAGGTGCCTGTAACATCCTACGTAAAGGTGCCAGGCATCTTCTAGGTATCTATAGATAGGCAAGCCTCTTCTTATCTCTACCTAGCCTAAGTTTAGTGACGGTGTAACTATTCCGTGGCCTCTGTGAGTGGCTGCCTAGGTAGGTACCTGATAGAGTAGTACTGTAGGTATAAAGGAGTTTGGTCGTTGTACCCGTTATAGGTACCCTGCACTACTATTGTATATAGAGTCTAGCCCTCACCTATATCCTACACACGCATCCTATAGCTATCTAGCCAATTAGGGTGCATAGGTACCTGGCTCATGACCGTGACAGTATACTGTACCAAGGTAGGAGGTGGTCAGCACATATCGACAAGCACCGATATCTACGTGCTTTCAATCGCCTCACAAAGTCTAACAACGTCTGCTCTCGGCTTCATTAAAAATCGGGGACTGCCCCCAACAAGACCAATCCGATGTCAACTGTGGGCCCTTTGCTATCTTTATAGCATTGAGACTATCGGTGCTTGTAAGTATGTGCGGACTCCCCCTTCATATGGTACTGTACACATTGCCAGTGACGTGCTAGTTGCATGCTAGGCACATAAGCTCTCTCGTTGGCTAGAAAATCTGTATGCCTAGATATAGGGGAAGGCTCAGTCTATGCAGGTAAGGGAAAGGGCTAGGCCTTCCCTTATCCCTTATCTATACCGTGGTACTATAGACCTAGACTACAACAGCCACTGAGAGAACACAACGTTACTTATCATAACTTCAGAAGTATCGTCATACATAGTAACTGTATATCAGGGGCTTGCCTGCTCCCTACCCCTAATCTACCTTCATTGACACCTGCATGCCTACACGTGGGAGGGCCTAGGCCTTCCCACATGGTATTCCATGTATAGGGGGGGTCTGCACATATCGCCAACGACTATACTATATGGCTTATGTGTCTCGAATCCAGACGTGCAGGCTTGGGACGAGGATCAGCGCAGGTCATTCGGTACCAAAGTTCGCCAGGGTTGCATACGAAGTAGCGTACTTGTGGAGACTCTGCCGAAACTCCGGTCCGATCCCAGACCTCGTTATAAGCCTGAGTCGGTTCTTCGAGCCGACAGATCAGGTATAGTTCAAGATTGGCAGGACATCTAGTATAACGAGCGAGTATTAAGAGAGGACATCATGAATGAGATTGAGTTATACTGTTCGTTGAACTAAGTAATTCATTGCGTATATCCCTAACTTGGACATCAGATTTGGTGATGAAATTGCCAGACCTCCTAGGCCTCCCATTGGCCGGGCCTTGTTAATAAAGAGCCTCGGGCTGAACGAGTTGACCGTGGGGCAGCGATACATATGTCGGGTGGCATTAAATGGGCGGCTGCGCCGAGATGGATGATGACCAGCATTGTCACTGTGCAGAGTTGTTGGCACGGGATAGAACCAGTAAGGACTCGGCACTGTCTCTTTGCGCTTTTCTTATTTCAATCCGTTGCTTTCTTTTAGCCCAGCTGATAGTAACTCTGCGGTTAGACTCGCGTTGTGTTCGGCTTCTCTAGCTTCTAAGAGTTCCTTGCTGTTGTTGATTGGGGATCACGAACAACCGAATTGACCGATAGAAACGGAACAAGTAATTGAGTGAATTGATCAGGTTCTCTACCTTCTCTAAGGCGTTGCAACTACTCAAATATATACCTTGTTTCAGAGCTTGATCAGGCCGAAATACCGAGCCGATCGGAGGTTACTGTAGCTTGGACTCGTCGTGCACTCAAGGTGAGCAAGATCATGTGATCTGAGCCTTCTCTGTGATCCCAGAGGGTCACCGATCAGTGACTTGCTGCGACACTTGCGTATTGCAAGAGCCCTCTCTTTCCAATTCGTGGAGCAATTCTGTAGGTGTTGGATTCTCTTGTTGATAAGAGCATGAGCTGCAGAAGAGTAGGCATTCATAGCCTCGCTGATGTTTTCTGCAGAGTTGTGTTCAGCACACGGGCGTGGAGCCAACATGTTGGCAGTTCTTGCGAGCCTGGCCATCGCCCAATCTATCATGTCCATATGAAGTTCAACTTCGAACTCTGCCTCCTCTTGCTCGTTTCTAACGACGGCCAGATCTTCATTTAGCTGTGTTTTTTTGGCGTCCACGGATGTCCTAGCATTCTGGCTCTGCAACTCTAGCGATGCTAATTGCTTTTGGAGCTCCTCGAGTGCAGACTTCTGAGTGTTAACCTTCTCTTGAAGGTCCTTGGTTTCCGTATGGTGTTCGTCGGCTTCCTTTCTAACTCTTTCGTACAGATTTGTCAGTTCGCAGTTAGTCTTGTTGGAAGCGTCTCTGTGAAATGTAACGAGACCTTTACACGCTTGAAGCTCATCCTGAACCTCTTTAACTGTACTGTCAGACGCTGTTCGAAGTGTTAAGAGTGTTTCTTCGTTCTTGGCGATTATTTCCTCCAGTTCTGAGATCTTGTTCTTAGACGTCAGTTCCTGAGCTAAAGAGCTTCCACCTTCTCGGCAATGGTTGCGTCTTTCTCAGCGATGGTGTTCTCTTTCTCAGCCATTGCTGCATCCTTCTCGAGGATAGTATCCTCTTTCTTGGCAATAGTTGCGTCCTTTTCAGTGATGATACCGTCTTTCTGAGTGATCGTGTTCTCCATTTCAGCAATTATTTCCCCCTTCTCAGTAAGGGTGTTCTCCATTCTAGCAATGGTGTTATCCTTCTTGGCGATTGATTTCTCCTTCTTGGCGATTGATTTCTCCTTCTTAGCGATTGATTTCTCCTTCTCGGCGATCATATCCTCCTGCTCGGTGATCATGCCCTCCTGCTTGGCGATGATGCCCTCCTTCTCGGCGAGTAGTTCCTCCTTCTCAGCGATTGTGCCCTCCTGCTGGGTGAGCATGCCCTCATGCTTGGCGATCATGGCCTTCATCTCCGAAATTTCTTTGTTCAACGATAATAGTGTTGCCTCTTTCTTAGCAACGGTTTCCTGGTGCGATTGGACAGTGTTTTTTAGCCTGGCAATCTCGCTGTCGGATGAAAATCCAAGATTCGAAGCTGCTATGTCTTTTTGAATAACAGTCTTCTGGTGTTGTTCCAATTCGGCCTCCATCTCTCGGATCTTGGTGTTAGAGGACTGTTTTAGTGATGAATACTTGTTCTCGGTGTCAACAAGATCTTTGTTGCATTTCTCTATGGTGTTCAGGGCTGCTTGAAGGTCACTGGTCTTCGTAGCAAGCTGTTTCTCGGTATCCTCTAGAGTATCCACAGTAGCGTTAATGCGTTTTCGCGGTGACTTTTGCTGCCGATCGCTTTGCTCTCGGTACCCCTGCATGTTTTTAATGACATTTGAGGCCTGTTGGATGTCTTCCTCGAGCGAGCTCTTCTCTTGCTTTATGCGCGTGTTTGATAGCTCCAAGTTAGCTATCATGTCCTTCTGTGTAGTGTTCTCGGTTCGGAATTGGGAATTCGTAGATGTGATTTCGTCCAGCTCTTTTTGCAGCCTTATGAGCCGTTCATCTTTGTAGGCCATAGAGTGTTGGTTCTCTGTCTACATCAGCATGTAGAACACATTGTAGCAGTATCTGGATATATCGCACCTAAGTACTCGTTTAGAGCACTGCCTCCCTGATCCAGTCCGTAGTCTTTGGTACATGGATAGAGACGTAATCTATGCCCTCCGTTCGGCCTTTGTTGTGTTTTGACAAGTCTTGTATCCTTTGCTCGATTGCGATGATGTGGCCCTCATGACTATCGAGCCTACTCAGGAGATAGTTGACCTCGATGCCCTTGCGGTAAGCTGCTGCTTCGTCCATTTCGTTGTCGGCTCGCACTTGCTATCAGTGAGCGAGGTGTAAGAGAGGTGAAGTAGCGTCGAAGGAGCAGCTCCCTAGCTGCTGCTCTTGCTGCAGTCAACGAGGAGATTAGGCACCTACGTGCACAGAGGTAGGACGTGCGCGACGCAGATAGGTTCTTGTGGCTGCCGACGGGCTAAGTGCTGCCTTGGGTGGTGACGGCGCGGTGTGTGTAGAAGACTACGACATTGGGAGGTGAGACTGCTTTTGGGTGCAATGTTGCCCCTGGCGTCGTAGGTAACAGCAACCATCTAGTGGTAAGAGGCAGGCTGGAAGGATGGCGTGAAAAATAGACGCTAGTGTTCACACAAGTGTTACAGGAAAGCGCGCTTCAAGTGCAACGATCGCCAGACCACACTCACACTCTCTACTTACGGTGAAGAGCAAAAACCGAAAATCACACGCTCCAATTCTTACTACAAAGTACGTCATCTCCCCAGCTTCGCTCTGAGCCCTGCAATCCTCGCCGCCAGAACCTCCTTGAGACCCCTAGGCGCCGGCACCTCCTCCGCGCCGACAAACCTTCTCACCAGCAAATTAAATATATTACCAAATCCGAGCGCCATCACCGTGCTCGTGAGAATAATCACGTTGTACGGCATACTGAAGTCGGGCGTGGGCAGCGGCAGCAGCAGCGATGTGGTGCGGATGTACACGCCCTTTGCATCCTGTGCGGGGGGCGAGAGGACGCGAATGACCGCCGGAGCAACGTCGAAGCCGCGGTTGGCGTCGGGAGGGTATTCGGTGTAGCGCAGAATGGCCTTCTCGAAGTCGTAGGTGAGGGTGAGTGTTGAGCTCGGGGGTATCACCAGGCGCAGTTCGAGGTGCGTGCCGCGCTGGCGGTCAAGGGCGGGGCGGTAGTAAGTCTCTTTGATGGGGCTGGTGGGAGAGGTGTCGACATGGGCGCGCAGGGTGTGCAGGTAGGGCTTCATGAACCACGGGAGCGACTCCAGGTAGACGAATTCGACGGGCTCGGTGGGTGATGGGTTCTTGATGATTGCTTGGATGCTGCCGCGTTCCTGGCCGTGGCCGTTGATTGATCGGGCAGCGAAGAGTTGGGGGTCGGCACGGACTAACCCAGTTGTCATCTTCTGTTCTGGCAGGACTAGATCGAAGTTTATTCCGGCTGCGGGCTTGTAGCAGCGGAGGGAACCCGAAGCAAGCCGCGACTCGCTGAACTGGCCTTCAGACTTGACATCAATGGTACGCTCTGGCGGTGTGTTGATGCAGACAGTGCTGGAGTCTTCACTCTCCTCAACCAACGGGCACGATCCTTTCAGAGGTTTGCCAAAGACGTCTTCCAGCGTCCAGGCTGGCTCGGTGCCCTTGTTGAGGGGAAAGCAGGTGTCGGGCGCATTGTAGCTCTTGGAGGTGTCGCACTCAATCTGGTCGATAGGCAGAGGGCGGGGAATTGGATTGTCGTGCGGGCGCTTCGATCGAGCAATGTCCAAGACCATATCCACGGACTGCTCCATCTCCAGCGAGCAAGTGCCGTCTTCGAGGGCGCACACGGGGCGCACGTCAATGGCCATGGTCTGGAAAGACGCGTCGAAGAGCTTGTGTCCGTCCAGCAAGCTCGAGATGCCGGCCTTACCTTTGCAGGGGAGCAGCTTGAGGAAGGGTGTCAAGTTCTCGGTGCAGACGACTTCGTGCGGCAGCGTGCCATGCAGTAGATGCAGGTTGGGGGCATTACGGTGGTCGCCCTCTGGCGAGAAGGCCATGACCGGGCGCGTCGTCTTGGTGGCATCGATGAAGTTCAGGGAGGCGCAGAAGAGGCCAGACAAGGCGTTAGTGAGGGTCAGCCAGCGTGCGAAGGCCCTGTCGCAGGTTAGACGGCGCTTCACAGCAGGCGGGCAGTCTTACTGCTCCTCGCTCTCGGCCTCAATCCACGCCCATAGCTCCACGCCGGTCCCTCCCTCCCGCGAGCCCTGCCACGGACGCTGGCCCCAGCTCTCGGCGTCCCATCTCCCCACGCTGAATCTCAGATGCAGCTCGCGTGCATGGGCGTGCTGCAGGATCTGACCCAGCGACCTTGGCACATATCGGAAGTTCTGCTGCTCGAAAGCCGCCTGGCTCTCGTTGCCGCGGAAGTTGAAGGACGCGAGGAGCGTGTCCTGGGGGAGCGGGCGCAGAAGCAGCTGCTCGTGGTAGTCCGACGCCGCCGAGACGACGGCCGTGGACGCGCTCAGCAATAACAGCAGCACGGAAGAGAGCATTGCAGCATTGCAGCGACCTGTACACTGATGTAGAGACACGCAGTGCACTGTGAGGTTCGGGGTGGAGCGACCTGCGGGCTTCAATGGCAGCTGATTGGTCAAAGCGCTCTGAAGCCAAGCCTTGAGACGGCGGAAACCTCACGATTCGACATCACGACCGCCGTCGCCAGCATCACAGCCAGTCACCGCCGCGATGGCCAAGAAAGGTACGCAGCTACGTCCAATTTCTGTCGCAGGGATCTGCAGGTGTTGTGGAGATGCCGGAAACGTGCAGGGCTCCCTGCGCACACGCGCCTCAGCCAATGCGCTTTCATCCGGACTATGAGAACTGCGCTGACGAGCTGGCTATAGCAAAGTCTCGTACCATCATGGTACGCCTCATATCGATGGCCATGACTGGTTACTACCGGACAATGCAACGGCCGCGTGCGCATCAACCGCTGAGCATGCTCAAATACGATCCCATTGGTACGCCCTCCTGTTCTACGCCCGAGCCATGAGTTGGAATACACGCGCTTCCATGTGATTCGAGATTTTGCGTGTCATTGAGAGGAGACGAGAAGATGTTGGACTGGCCACGACGGTGTAGACGCAGACAGTGCGGTGTATGGCTGACATTATCGCAGTGCGGAAGCAAGTCCTCTTCCTTGAAGCCAAGCGTGGAAAGAAGTAGAGTGGCTACACGGTACCACACTACCTACCTTCACGACACGATGGATATGGAGGGCTCTGGTTGAGTGGAAGGGTGTAGACGGGAGGGTGCTACACGCACACAGCGGGCGGGGCGCCATGTTGGAACGCCATCGCACACCGTACGCAAATGATACCACAACGTCGAAGATATGTACGCCTATTGTACGTACACTGTACCATACACAGCATGGCCTGGCGTTATAGATGGATTCGGCAGATATCGGGCAAGAGCCCTTGAAATGCACGATTATACAACCATTCAGAGACTCATTGTCACCTTGAATGTCCGTCCACGCTGTACGCAGCAATGACTGCTTCTTCAATGATTTTACCCTCGTGTACGAGGTGTTCGACCACGACCCGGAGTTCGGCACCGGCACTCAGCTTTACGAGTACGCTAGTTGCCAAGTTAGCGGACTGCTGAGGCGCTCGTCATCGCTCTTGGCTGTGCCCTTACAATGTCGATTTCCTATCAACACAGGCCATCTCCAAGATAACGCAGCTTCAATGCCCAGAGTCATGTTGCCATTGATATGTGGCGCGTCCTGACCGGTGGGCGTCAGCGGCACTTCGCCCTCACCACCCTAAGCTGCATGATGACAACAGGGGCCTCGTCTACACTCAACCTCGTCGATGCTAAGGTCCAAAGGTATTCATAACATTCTCACGCACTACGTAGATTGGTAATCCTCATGCTGCCAATGCTATAGAATTCATTACGTTCATTACAAAAGTCTGCACCCTCCATCGAATCTTGTTCGCATCGAGGCTGAGTGGATCCACTCCAAGAACAGGGTTGCTTGAGCCGCATCAGGACTTGCGTCTCTCTTCCTCTTTCTCCACAAACATACCGGAGTACTCAAAGCGGCAAGCCGGCCAGGCCCAATCTCTGTTTCTCTGGGGGTGGAAACCGTAAGGTGGGGCTAAGAATCCCGTCTGGAGAAGGACAAGACAGTAGTGTGAGATTGCTTGGCTCAGAGCGGATCACACCCGATCACTATCGTCACTCTCAATTCACTGAGCCGAAGCTACGGTGACGTATATAAGATGGCGCCGACGCCTGAGTCTGTCCACAGTGTTTTACGCTTAGCCAAGGGCCTTACAGTCGCCTCTTTCAACGCGACCATGGACTCCAGGAGGAACTCAGAGAAGTCTGAGAAGACCCAAGATGACCGTTTTGAGAACACTCTTTTCTCACACAATGAGGCACCTTACGACACGTCAACAACACACCATGAAGAAAGGGTTGCTAGAGAGAAAGCCTCCGGCCGCAAAGGCGGCATCACGGGCATGTTCCAAGGACTAGGCGACCTACCGGAGTGGGATGTTCCTGGGCTCGGTCGACTTCGCGGCAAAGCCCTCAACAACGGCATTGCGTGGGCGTCCTGGCTGGCCTTCCTTATGTTCGGTCCGTTTCTACAAGTTCCCACGGCCAATCTGTTGTTAATGTGCAACAGGGTATGACCAAGGTGTCATGTCCGGTCTTCTGACCCTGAACGACTTCCAGCGACACTTCCCACTCATGACGCCGCTGTCGCGCGCGAATGACATTTGCTGGCTCGATTCGCCAGACAATTCCATCAGAGATGAGCGTATGTGTACTGGCGACGCGAACACCCAGGCCGCGGCTGTTGCTTTGTACCAAGTCGGATGCTTTCTCGGTGCAGTACTCATCCTCTTCTATGGTGAGGTTTGGGGTCGCAAAAGTTCCACTTTCTGGGGGAGTTTCATCATGATCGTTGGCACAATCTTCCAGGTAGCTGCAGGCGGCACCAATGGCGGAGACGTCGGCGCCTACGCAGTTTTGATCGTGGGCAGAATTGTCGGTGGAGTCGGCAATGGCATGGTGACTTCGAGTAAGCTATTTCGCCTTGTGTAGATAGGCTAGACTGACTTTTGCAGCAATTCCGACGTGGCAATCCGAATGTGCCAAACCAGAGAAACGAGGACGACTTATCATCACATCAGGCGCCATCATTACAGCTGGTATCATGATTTCGTATTGGGTCGGCTATGGTTTCTACTTCCTCCCTGCAGGCGCAAGCTACAGCTCCGTTCGATGGAGATTCCCTGTCGCCTTCCAGTCCTTCTTCACAATCATTGTCATGTACTGGCCCCCAGACCCCAAAGACTTTCTCGAATACTGACCTTCGACAGGTACATGCTGCTGTATCTCCCGGACAGCCCCCGTTGGCTGATCATGCGTGGTCGCGAACAAGAAGCAAAAGAGCTCCTCTCGCGTCTCGCCGACGAAGACATCAACTCGGACGTCGTCGCCCTGGAACTGTCCAATATTAATGAAGCCCTTGCGGCCCAGAGCTTGCTGGGCGAATTTAAGATGCGCGAGCTCCTGACCAACGGCCCTTCACAGAACCTGCGCCGCACGCTCCTCGGTATCGCATCACAATTCTTCCAACAGATCTGCGGCATCAACCTCATCGTAAGTCTTTCTAAGCCGACGAAGAAGTCACCCCTAACCCACCCCAGACCTACTACGCCACCTTCGTATTCGAAAACTCCCTCGGCTTCGGGCCCTCCATGTCCCGCCTCCTCGCCGCCGCCAACGGCACTGAATACTTCCTCGCGTCCCTCCTCGCCATTCCGCTGATCGAACGCGCCGGCCGGCGCCGCCTGATGCTGTTCGGCGCCTTCGGGCAAATGGCATCAATGGCGATCCTCGCGGGCTCATCGTCCACCGCTGTCATCGACGAACTAGGTGCCCCGCGCCTATCCACGCGCTACGGCGTGGTAGCCACAGTCTTCCTGTTCGGCTTCAACACCTTCTTCGCTATCGGCTGGCTGGGCATGTCCTGGTTGTACCCCGCCGAGATCACCAGTCTGCGCATCCGCATCCAGGCCAACGCGCTGTCAACTTGTTCCAATTGGCTTAGCAATTTTCTCATTGTGATGATAACTCCTCCAGCGTTTGCGAATTTGCAGTACAATACGTACACCATGTTTGCGGTGTTCAATGCGGCGCTGCTGCCGGCGGTGTACTTTCTCTTTCCGGAGCCCAAGGGAAGGAGCCTTGAGGAATTAGATGTTATTTTCGCGAAGGCGCATGCTAAGGGTATCAGTCCGGTGGGGGTGGCGAGAGGGATGCCAAAGCTGGAGGGGAGGGTGCTGGCGGGGGAGATTGCGAGGTATTGGGGTGGGGATGTGGAAGGGGCGGGTCGGTGGAGTGTCACGGGTTTGCAGGAGGATGGGCGTGGGAGGTCGATTGAGAGGGCATAAGGTGCAAGAGTGACAGGAAATAGGAGAGGTTGTGTACAAGAGTACTGCACCCAGACATGTCCGAGTTGCTTCTTGGCAGTTTTGTAGGATCGAAGTATCCTTTAGCACAACCAATAGGCTTCCAAATCACAACTGAATGCCTCCACTTAAGCGCGATTATATCAACTAGAAAGCTGCCTATCGATGCTATTATTACTTCGTTTCTTGCATTGCAGCTACGTCGGTGGCAACTCGGACGTGCCTGAGTGAAGTAATGAGATCGTAGGTTCGTTTGCGATTCAGTAGCGGATTGATACCTAGTATATATGCATTGATTATTATCTCACAGCTTTCGAGCCTTCGTGATGTTCAGGATATGGTTTCAAGGTTGTGTTCGATGCCGGAACCTGTCTCCTGGTCATACTGTAGATCACGTGACTCTAAAATATCTCATTCCATCTCACTGTTGGCACACAGATTTTTACTCAATCAACTTCACCTGAGCTTTGGCTTGCCTACTTCTTTTGAATACGTTGTCTGGTGTGACAACATACGGATCAGCGCCACCAGTCAGCCTTGCGGGGTTAGGTACCTAATGCTCCGCCTTCTGGGGCCTCCCGCACATCCTTGCTGCGCCTTCTGCAAGTCTCCGAAACAACCGAAATGTGTAAAGATCAACACCCCGCCGTCCACTAAAATACCAGTCAAGTAGGACCGCGTACTTTGTTTAACCTCACATGTGGGTCTCTTCAGCATCAGCCTCAGCGACACCTTCCGCGCCGTGAGGCACGGGGGGCCTGAGATTTTAGGTCCCCGACAGCATAATGCATATATGGGCAACAGCAAAGCACCTCCTCTCTATTCATACTTCGTGACTTCAAACAGACCAGCATCAACCGTCCATCCACAATGATGAACCTCACCATCTTCACCAAGTCCACCCCCCACGCCCTCCGCGCCCTCTCCCTCGCCACCTTCGCCCCCGCCTTCACCATCCTCCTGATCTCAGGCATCATGCTCGAGCAAGTCAACCCCGCCATCGGAATCCTCCCGCTGTTCTTCTCCGCCGCCTTCGCCGCGCTACTGCTCGCCAACGAGCGGCGCTGCGGCTGCCAGGCCAGCGGACTCGCAGGCACGCCGCTGCACTTCATCGCGGATTTCGTGCTTGGGGTGGGGCTGGCGGTGTGTCTGGTGCTGGCGTGGGTGTTTGTAGGGTCGCGGAGGCGGCACGGGATTGTGCTGGCGGTGTATGGGACGAACTTCTTGATCTGCAATCTGTGAGTTGCGCGTGGACTGACCTGCGTGCATGTGGACACTAATGGAATCAGGCTCATTCATGGGTACTTCGTCTGGACGTTTCTGCGCGATGCGGTGCAAGGGGGTCAGACGTATCCGGCGAGTTGTCCGCAGTGTCAGGGTGGGAGTTTCTCGTTCACGGTCGGAGGGTACCGGATCGGGCGAGACTACAGTTTTGGTGGTGGACTGAACGGTGGGATGAAGAATGGGTATGCGCCACTTTTGGATGGGGATGGAGAGCCGAGAGTCAGCACTGATGAGGGAGCGGATGGAGCGGCGAGTATGGTGTAAGCGTGGTGGTGGGTGTATTGGGTCGAGGAGTTTGGGCCTGGCGTTAATGGAAACTTGATATCTACGACTTAATTAGATCACGCTGCATTGAACTTATTTTGGCACACAAACAGAACTTCCAAGCTATTCGAATGTACCTCTGCAGAAAGTGCAACAGGTACGTGCTGAAGCGTCGTTTGGTACGACTTCATTTGCTGGACGTTTCACGGCTCACCACAGTGCAGAGACCTCCTCGAACTGCGGCAGATCCAACGCTCTCGACTTCTCGGAGGAGTGTTTCAAGGTCTGAAGCTACAAATAACCTGAAATGATCCTGACTTTGATCATCGGCTACGGACCACTCGCACTGTGTCGTCAGCGGTAGTCCCAAACGCGAATCCTCAATGCAAACCTCAAGCCACATCTGGCAGAAAACCCGTCTTCCATTCGTCGCTCGACCCAGATGAGAACGAGCTCCTGCCATGACCCTTCAAACAGCCGATCTCCCATAGCGTCCGTCTCTATTTCCAGCAGCCACGTGATCCCGGCCCCCAACTCTCACCACTCGATCGAGCGCGCACACCAAGCAGCACCAGTCCGGCCTTCGGATGCCCATGGCCAGACCTCAAACCGGACCCCAAGCAACGTCACCTGCGACGGGCGCGGCGATCCTGAGCCACCACCAATTTCCACACTCACGTGCGTTTGCGAACCTGAACGGGCGTTCACTCAGCCCTGCTGCGCCCCGGCACGCCTCAGCACCACCGATCGCGACGCCAAACAATGCAATCACCGGCCGTCCAATCGCGAACACATTTTCTGCCCGTCCCAATGCGAGCATAGCCCTGCGTCCGGTAATGATGGAACAGCGTTGTCCCGTGGACGTTGATGAAGAGCAGAGCGTCGTTAGCAGCGTGCCAGGGTAGAGCCGGAAGCAATTGCACACGTCGACGCGCTGTGCCAAAGCGCGCCGTTGAAATCCGGTGCGGCACCAACCTACCCCACGACAACTGGCAGTCCCGGACGCTCAAGGCGCGTTTCAGCGCAAGCGCGTTGGGTGCGAGCGTGGCTGCGGGCGCGCCCGTGGTCCACTTCCTCACTCGAGTCTCAACACACGTCGTTCACAGACGCGCAGAGCCGGGCGCCAGCCTCACCGGTGGCCCACATGAGTGCATGCGCGCGGGAGCGTGCAGAGGGACCGGTGGGCAGAAGTCGGTGAGGGTGGGAGGAAGAGATCCACTGCTGCGGCGAGATCCTTGTCGCTATCGCGGCTAGCAGAGGGAGCGGGGTGGAATGGGTGCGTGCGAGGATGTTCCTGAATCGAGCGGTTGACACGACTGGATGGCGGGTACTTGTTGCGTTTGCCATGCACGATGGAGGATGGGTATCCACCGGTGCCGCTGTCAAGTGCGGTGGGTTTTTGTTTTGGGCATCGCAGACGTGTTCTGGGCTCTTCAGGTACGGTTGCATTATGGCGTGCATATTGTCAACATCACGATGAAGCGCGTGCAAGATAGAGGAAGATGCAATTGTGCGATTCCATGTACATCATCGCTTCAACTCGAGTCTGAGCATCCAAGTATCTCGTACGAAGTACATGTCTCGCCTCACTCCAGGTGCAGATCCCGTGCCGTGCACCACGCGTTCCCACGCGTACTCGGTCTTATTCCGAATGCCACTTCACCACGCCCTCCATATCGAGCAACGATGCGCAAACACGGCCAACAAGTTCTGCTGTTTCAGATCTGCTCTGCAGAGATGTTGGGCATCGTGAGGCTTCAAAGTGGATTCCGGTGCTCAGAATTCTGCCCGCAACGGTATCCTGGACTGGTAAGCGACGTGTCCCTCCTCGAATCACACCCTTTGGGCAACGATGTGAGGATGGCCGGCGAACGGAGAGCACGCCGTGGAAGCTTTGAGTGGCTCTGCTGCCCTGCCGCGTCGTGGGTGTTCAGGTGCACGGGATGTGGTATTGAGAGGCATGGGGTGGTGGGCGCTGGACCCTGATTGCCCCGCGTTCCACCCTCGCGACCCTGCTTGCAGACAAGCCTTCGACATCATCTCCCACGATAGTGGTGGGAGAGTGTGCATGCAGTCAGCGCGTGCCTTGCAAGTTCTTCGTCATCCTGGGCGCAGACGTCGTGCGAAGAGCGCAGCAGGTTTGCTCGCTTCCTGCAGCCACAAGATTGATCATGAAGGTGGAGGGTCGCGGGACGGCCCTCGAGATGCCATGAGGGTGTGCATCTCCATGGAGCTGACGCGCCTGTTGAGAGAGGCTTGAACCGGCTGATAGCAGTCGCAGATGGCTTATCAGGGTAAGTATTGGCACTTATCTGGCACATGAGCGTTGCGGGCGCGGCTGCGCCCTCGCTTCGTGTTGCACCGCAGGAACAAGAACCAGGTTGGGGTCAGAGGGTGTGTGACTGTCTCAGTGCAACACCACATCAACGTGGACATGCCGGGTTCTGGATTCTGCCTTGCTCAAGACCATTGTTTCCAATATGTGTCGATGAGAATAAATCGTTTCATCGTACCAAGCTGTTTGTCGTTTTGGCACTGTTTGCTACCGTGCTATCTCAAGCAAGACAATGGAGGTCACGGCTCTTGATCACAAAGCACAGAACAGGAAATGCGTGATGGCACAGTGATGAGATTTCAAGTGTTGAAATTTGTCAAACGTATAACTAGTAGTCTCCTCCAGACTAAGTTGCTTCTTGCCTCCTTGCATCATATCGTGCGTCATCCGTCCTCCCCTCAACACCTCGAAGGTGGAGTGTACCATGTGGTCGCGAAGCTTTGTCATCCTTTTCAGGGTAAACGCCATGCCTGCGCCAAATTATGTTCCAAATAGCAGCAAAGCCTATTCCGAAATGCAAAGCAAAATCGTGAAACAGTGTGCATGTGCAGCGACCATCGCGGACTGGCGCGGAACCTTCGCAGAGCCGTTGCTATGCGGATCGCCGTTGCGATGGCAAACAGTTGCGTGTGTTTGTGTACCAGACTTGCGTCATGGTTTAAATTATAGCGTATTCATTCCGTTCAGGTGATCGTTCAGCGGTAGTAGCCAGAGAGACGGTGCTCGCGCAGGTCACGAGCAGATGGCTCGCGGACTTCGACATTGTACTTTGCGCTGCGTCGCTTCTTTGCTTGGTCCTCCTCGTACAGAGAACCACGCCTCACGCTGGCAGTGTTGATCTCGACCTTGTCGGGCCAGTCGACAACCTCGCCAGATCGTGGTCGTGAAGACTTGGTCTTTGTCTTATCGTGCTCGACCTTGACTGACTTCTGTCGTACGGGCAGAGCGGATGTGCGAGGAGCGACGTGGTAGGTGCGGTCCATGGAGACGAATGGTCGGCGTGACCTGTGACGCAAGCTGCGCTCGATAGCCTTCAAGAGGCTGCTGACTTCGACATAGCCGGATGGGATCTCGACTTGGACGATCTTGTTCTCCTCCTCCTTGGTAGAGTAGATTCTCCCCTCCTTGTTGTAGATGTAGGAGGCGACGTCTTGAGCGAGACGGTGGCCGAGTTCGCAAAGCTTCTCATGGTTGCGGTGAACCTCATAGGGGTCATGGCAGTATGCGCACTTGTGAGCGTGCATCTCGAAGTCGTACAGTGCCCAGCTTTCGGTGACGGTCACTGGGCGCATCACAGACTGGACGGGATCTTTGTTGAATTCAACTGCCCGCCCCTTCTTGGAGGGGACGGGCTTGGAGTGGACGACGGTAGGCATGGCGTGGCGGGAAATGGAGGGCATGGTTGTGGTCTTTGACTTCTTCAAGATGGAGTGTAGCCGGGAAGCCGTGGTGACGTTGATGTCAAGTGGAGCCAGAGAGGCGTTGATGAAGTCACTCCCGGACGAGAGTACCTCGTTTGATTTTTGGATGGTTAGATCCGATGCTCGATATGGTGTGTCGAGCTGTTGGTGATGTTGGTTTGTGATAGTTCATGGTGGGCGCGGGATCTTTCAATATATGTCCTGTCGAGTCTTGGTAACCGCAGCTGGGCATGTGTGGATGGCAGCCTGAAGCTAGAGGCGCATCCTTAGGCGGCAGGGGTGCACCACCCTTGTCTGGCGCGCCCATCAGCAGGGCTAAGCTTGTGGGTCGGCTAGCGAGGGCGGTCAACTTCCTCTACCCATGACGACGATTCTTTGGGGTGCTAGAGACATTTGGCGTGCCCGAAGGTCAGAAGGCCGGCCAACGGTTGCCGCCAGAGTGCGCTATTGTTGGCAGCGGAAATGCTGAGTGCTTGCTTCATGAAACAAAGGAACGGATGTCAGTTCGAGGAGTGCGCCAGCAGCCGCCCGGTTCGACTCCTGAGCGAGATGCGCAAACATGTTCAAGGTGCATGTATCAGCGTGTCCGCTGCGCAAGCAGAGAGGTCAGTTGCCATGTCCGCAGCATCGTGATTCGACAATCTGGCCCAAGTTGGCATCCGTTCACGCATGTCGAGGGTTGTTGGCGTGGTTACGGCCTTTGCCCGCCTGGCGCCTTGAGGCATCAGCCACAGGTGCTATCGATATTTGGGCATAGTGCCACTCTCAACCCCACCTTTCTCATCACTCACTTTGCGCAGCCTCTCTTGTCTCACCGCAACGCACTGCCACAGCAGGGCAGGCATTGTGCATTGCCTCTATACTCTATTGCATGTGTGACGCAGTATCAAGCTCGAACGCATCAATTCTTCGCGTTGCGGAGTGCACTTCGTGCCGTGTCACCCAACACCTGCCAGTCTGCCCCACCACCACGTCTCCTGCGCCCTTCATGGCCATCCAAGTCTTGGCTACTAACTGGGAGGGCGCGGGCATGACTGGACGATCGTGGGTCACCTCAAGACTCATCAATCGTTTCTTGAGCCTGGGCCTGCCGACGGCAGCTATCTGCCCTGCTGCATACGCCCTGCAGGCTATCGCTTGACACACCAGACGTAGCGTTCTTCTCTCGTCTGACCGGAAAATGCTACCATCTGATTCGTCAATTGAGCTTTGTTCCGGTAAAGCCTTCAGACACAATGGCTGCAACAGCAGTTCGCGAACCCTTGCCTAGCTGAAGAATTGCTGGTCGCTACGTCGGCTCTGGTGACAAAGCACAATCACCCGATCGAACCTTGCAAGCAATATGACGGATGTCAGACGGGAGTCGATCTACCTCCTATCGATAGTGTTGGATTGTGGCCGTGAACCCTGTGCGCCACAGACGGGTGAGTCAAAGCCCCGTGTTCCCAGCTGACTACACTTTCGAAGTACTGTATGACTCTAACCTTTGGTTGATCGGCCCGCCCCGCACGTTGCACGAAAGATTGACGAGTAGCGTTGCTATCGACCCTATCCTCAAACAGCTGACACCAATCGTCACGACTGCTTGGCCGAACACTTCGCACCTTCTAGCGCGGCTCTGCAGACGTCACTAGGGCTGTGATGTTGCGAACCAGCGGATGGCCGGAAGATCTAACACTTTTGCCTTCATGCGGCTAGTTGGACGATTCAACTCTCCGCCCACTGTTGACCCCGCCAAACCCTGGCTCAAGGATGCCGAGCAGGCTTGGAGGCTTTCGAGCTGACGAATTCCACTCCATCTATGTCGCTTCCACTTGCCGAGCTCCGGCAGAACAGACAAATATCACTGGACGGACCAGTCGTACCATGCCCTACCAAGATACAATGGAGTGTGGATACTCCTGTCAGTGTCTGTCTCAGTTGCCTTGCATTGTGCCGAGTACCATGTTCGTTGCCACGTTGCGGCAATGAAACGAACCAGACTTCTGGAGAGCGTTGCAACGTTACCAAAAGACGCATTCGTTGCGCAGGTTTCCTCCAGTCTTCGTCGTGTGTGGATGTCGACAGATCTTGCTACACTATGATGAGGGTAAGTATTCGATGTAGCGATATGCAAACTTGTAGTCGGTGTAGATCAATCAGAGCCTTATGTGACTCTGTGTAGGTATCGAACAACCGCGATTGGACATGGGCTGCTTCGCAGTAATTCTGTGTCTGATTGTTCGTTACAACAGCACGGACTGTACATGGTATGGAAACTTACAGTGTATACATAAACAATCCTAACAAACGCCAAGAGAACAGCACATGACCTAATCCAAATAATGTCCAGCAGGCTGCACCCGCTCATGCAAACTATCATGTCGTTCAAGAGCGAGCTGACTACTTTCTTAGTGTAAATGAGGATGGTTCGCTGAACAAATAATAAAGTTCAAGACTCCCTTTCCATGTGGCTTCTTGTTTACGATTACCTTTCAAAGATCGATGATGAGAATCTTACCGAAGCTTCCGCATCGACTGACCGAGTTTTCTATGGCCTTGCTGACAATAGGTTCACCGGAGTCTTATGTCTCTCTCAGCAGATGTAAGTCTGTCTGCATGACAGCTGAAGAGCGACCGGATACGGGCTTTAAGTGCCGGCGGGGCTCGCACATGACAACGAATGTCAGGGTCGAAGAATGTAAGCCCCGATGCTTCGACATCGACCGGCTTACCCAAAACTCACATGCGTACAGCGCCTTTTGCATCGTGCTGTGTGATCTGCGGATGTCATGCATCGAAGCCTTGCCTGTCAGGCAGGTCACTGCCTTTCTCGTAGCATGGGCTTACTCACTGGCCAAACAACCGCCTGCCCTCAGCTCTTATGCTGACAGACGCGTGGTGCTCACGATGCTGTCAGCTGCACCCCACGATCTCCTCTCTGTTCAGACGCTTGATCTGTCAATGTCGGTCAAGAAGTTGCACCCCCGTTTTGCTTCTGCAACACAAGCGGCTCTAGTCCGAACTAGGTGATCGGAAACCCGCATTGCTTTTCTCCGATCTGGCGCTTGGGTTGCGCTTGCGGTGTAGACTAACGAATAGCTGCACGCAACGATCCTCTACAGACTCCACTTTGCAATTAATATCTTTGTCGAATCCTACAATTCACAAGATACGTGTAGTCGTCTTGTCTTTACCGCACAATTACCTGAGACACATGACCGCGCGTTCTGCGCTTTGGTCAGCCATTAACCCCTTTCCCCCTTAGCGCGGATCCGTGTGCTGGCTTCACCGCAACTTCAGGAATCTTATTTTGCGACCTGCGGAGCGCGAACTTCCTTTAAACCCCCAGTCTCCCCTCAAATCGCACTCAAACTCATTACCTCGAACCAGCAAGAGCAAGGAATATTGAACCAGAAAGAGATTGGAAATGCCGCCCCGAAGTGTCTGCTTGAATGTTTTCACCACAAGTCTTGGTGAAGCTGGTACAGCGGTGAGGGAAGGACGAGAGGTCAACCCACACGAACTCACCTTTGGAAGGAGAGACTCTGCTCAGAGCCTACCAGACGATCGTACGCACCTCTCTTTCTCTGGAACTTTGTCCTAGAGGTCGTTATGCTGTCGCAGTACTGACATGAAACGCAGATAGCGCTCGCCGCTCGTCCTCAGCGTCCCCTTCCTCAGCAGCAACATCACCACCCCCAGCATTCAATCGCGCAGACCTGTTCAACTCTCTGCGCCCAGCAGCTTCGACTGAGAGCCTAAGCTCCGCTTTTGCTTTCGGTTCCAAAGGTACGTTATGCAACCTTCTGCAGGAACCCGATCTGTTACCCCTTTCGGCACTAGCGTGTTAGAGTTGCAAGGCAACCCACCCAACCGCTGGATACCTATAACACCGGGCATATTTCAGCCTTATCAACGTCAAAAGAGAGTTGTGCTAACATGTCTCCAGCCTGCTCGACCTGCTCGGGCCAGAGTGCCAGGCTCCGTTGCTCGCGCTGCAAGAACGCGTACTATTGCGACAAGGCCTGCCAAAAATCTTCCTGGAAGGCACACCGACAAACCTGCGAGCCGGCCTCGCAGATGCAGGGCTACTCCGCACCTGCAACTCCTGATTGCTCGAATCCTGCCAGTCCTACCAACGCCTGATTATGTTATATATCCCAGCCCAAAATTCGCATGCTGTTGTACAAAGAAAACGGTCCGAAGAAGCATGCGGACCGAAAAGAATGACGATGGATGAGCGGTGAAGATGAGCACGGGCTTTCACGACAACTCGCATAGCATGATGTGGCACTTTTGCATCCAAGCGTTTATACACGGTGTTCTGGAGTTATACTAGACCGATCAAGCATTCAATTGCTAAGACGAATGAACCTTACGACCATACCACAAACACTCGTTCTTTGCCACTGCGGCGTTGTGACAGGCTTTCGACCAATGGGCTCGACGTGAACACTGCATGCTCGTGGCACCAATCGCGTCAGAGGCGGATGAACGTTGGAAGCATCGGTGAACGCCACAGTCACGTGATTTAATGCGGTTGGCGATCAGGCAATCATCCGGTCCGTGGACATGACTCGTTCGGTTCATGACTCTCACAACTACCGAGTCTTGTTCTACAACTCGTCCTTGCCGCCATTCCACCCATCTCCAACGCCCCTCATCCACTGTACACCCACGAGCTCCAGCCCATGCTTCTCCACGAACTCCTTCGCCCCAAAGCTCCTCCTGTCTACAAACTCCTCACCGCCAACATCGCTCTTCTCGAGACTGAAACCCTGCGGCTCCTTGAAAAGCAAGAATAGATACCGATGCGGTCCGCTCTCGTCCTTCGGCCCCGGCGCAAGGTACTGGGTCAGTGTGTTGCCCTCGCTGATCTCCTTCGCGGAAGAGGGGACGTTGGTGATGACCCAGTGGCGCCAGTAAGCGAACTTGGGGTCGTCAGGCGTGGGCGCATCGGGGTCGATGAGGAAGAATGTGAAGGACTGCGCGCTTGCTGAGTCCGAGGCTGCTGAGAAGGTGATGCTGGGCTTCTCCTTAGCTTCGCTGACGCGGACTAGCGATCCGTTTGATGGCGACTTTGCAGGGAATGAGACATTGAGGTTGTAGCTGGGTGTGAAAGTGGCCGGGATGATGGGGGAAGGGAGGAGAGAGGCGGTTTTGAGAGTATCGATGAGTGATGTGGACGCCATTTTGGATTCGATGGTTGTCGTTGATGCTGGGTAGGTATCTTAGGGAGGATTGAGCTCCCGGGCTTGAGGTATTCAAGTACTCAGACGTTCGGACTGTGTTGTTGCGTGTTCATACATCGGTAGCGCTGATTGGTGGATAATATGAGAGTTGAGGTCTTGGAGACCCATCTTTGCTTGGCTTTCTCCATAAATACCTCGTTGGTTTCCCCTCTCGCGCATGGTGTTTACAAATTCGGGCCATGTGTAGATGGAGTGTTCTTGAGCCTACAATCAATGTGAGTCCTTGTGGATGCTAGAGTCTTCGACTGCGGTCACACTCGAACCGGTCTACTTATGGTTCTGCCAATGTCACCACATCGATTTGAAACGCCATTTCACCATCTCGCCATCTAGTAAACGCTATTGGTCGTCTATGTTCACACTCCTAGCTGCTCGAATTGCTCTATACGCCTTCAGCTTCCGTCCGCCGACTACAGTGAAGCGGGCGATGATGTAATATTGCGTTGCGATTCCATGGATTTAGTCAGCTGTTCTGGAAACTCGTTAGAGTTCAACCCAAAGTTAGTTTTTAGGGTTCAACGCCTTATGGTTTCACAAATTCTCCGACCTTCCGCTTCATGGGCTCGAAATGTGTTAAATACTTCAAATCTCAGTTCCGTATACGTTCATGGTAATGCGCTCGCTTCCTAAAGAATTGATCGAAGACGCCGAGGGAAATGAAACAAAGCATGTCGCTCTATCTTTGTTCGCTTGCCCGCATCTTTGACAAAGCCCAGTCAATCTTAAACGGCACTCTCCGCTCCTGGATCTTCGCACTTCCATCCAATGCATTGATCTAGCGCAAAAACAGAGTTCCTGCAACTATGGCACAGGCATACCCATGTTCACCCACGCTGACCCAACTCGAATTTTGGGCTTGGACCACAGATCGCGAGAGAGAGATTGAATGGAGCAAAGGAGCACCCCAAATTATAGGAACGTCTAATAGCGACCAGCAAGTTCCTTGCCTGACATTAACATATCCACTGGCATCGGCTATCACCAGGGCTCTCTATCTGGGTCGAGAGCACACAGCGCACGAGGCACACGAGCGGAACTGGAAGGCGAAGCTTGAGACGAGAAGAACAAAGACGACCGCTAAATCAAAGTCTGTTGTATTTGGGATCGCCATGAAGGAACTAGAGATCGAGAAGAACGGAAAATCAACTACAGAGCAAACGAGAGAGCTCGAGCATTTGTTCAGAGCGCAAGCCCGCAACGACATCGAGATAAGTTTTATCAAGGAAACTGAAGATGGTTTTAGGCGTGTCCATGAGCAGTCCCTAGAAAGGCGGACTGCTGCGTGGCTTAGAGTCGACAGTATATTGAAACATGTATGGTGGGATGCAGGTCTTCAACGACAAGAGAAAGGCGGTACTCAAAGAGACCTTGGAGTTAGCAGTGAAAGTAGAAACGAGGCTAACCTTAAATCAACTTGAATAGCGCTGCTAGCTAGAGATGTAAACCTCAAAACAGCAAGAGGTATAATCTAAAGTCTAGACATAACCTAGAAGTAGAGGCCATATGCTAAAGATTTACGTATACTAGACTTTCTCTAGATTATCTAACTAAAAGCAAAGTAGGATCTTAGGGGCACAACTAAAAAGGTGGTTTCAAAGTAGCACAGCCATAGTCACGCTGTGCTAAGAGCCTAGACACTGATTAGCCCTTTAAGCGCGCCTCGATTAATGGGTGGGCATGGGCAACGGTCAGCGGGGGTAGCAAGCCTCGATCAACACACTGGTCTGCCCGACAACCAACTAGGCTCACCGCAAGCGTCCGAACAAGTGAGGAGAACAACCCTTTCGATCTCGTTCTGAATCTCAGCGTCTTTCTGTTGAGCGCTTATAAGTCTGTCAATGACGGAAACATCATAATTTCGACGTGTGTATAATAACTTAACGAGTGTCTTCAGTGTGTTTTATCACAACAAAGCTTCTTTTCTATCGACAGTCTCTTTTCCATTCAGCCGTAAGCATGAGTTCGTCTGAACCACCTCTCCGCAAATCGGAAATCTATCGGGATCTAGTACTTAATTATCAAAGGTCGGCATCAAAAATTGCAGACAAGTTTCCCTCGTCGAACAGAACAGATGGTTGAATGCCTGCAAGCTTCCAAGCCCCATCCAAATCAAGGCCATATGTATGCTTAACAATAGCATGGCTGTTTGCTGAGACAACAACACTGCTTGACCGAAGTCCCTCGTTGTCGGCTGCGTAACGAACATGTGCAGCTCTCATCTGGTATGACCCAATGATTGTCGTGTTATTCACTCGTTGCCACGACGAACCGCCTAACAGGTGTTGAGTAGCGATGAGAGGATTTCCAAGCTGTCCTGGCGCGCTCATCATTGCGACGAACTCTGCTGCAGTCATGTTCGGCCATGCTGCTTCAGGGCCCATGACAGCTCTATAGTCGACATTGAGATTGGGAAGCAGAATTGACTCCAGTTGTGTCCAGTTCTAGCATGGATCACGTTCGTTAGCGGTCGCTTTGAGTGACTGACAAGAGATCACGAACCTTTGTGTCATAGCTACAGGCCCACTCAAAGGATATCTGGGAGCATGCGTTATAGTCTTGGTCTGTCAGTGTGTTGCAGTAGTATGAGTTGGGGCCATAGTCCGCAACAGAATACCCATACCAGTGAAAGAAACATCTGTCAGCCTGGGAGTCGCGACACCAAAGAACAAGGAGCTGACGCCATGAGCCAGAGAAGCCATCGTTGAAGGCGTTAGAGAATAATTCCACACGGAAGCCATTACGCACATTTTGATATGCTCATCGGGAAGTGGAGCCATGACCCCCCACAATCCCGCCGACGTCGCTAGAGGTGGTTGGGTTGGAGCTGCCTACCTTTGTCTGCTCGCACTCCTTTGCAATGAAAAAATGCCTCATAACACCCTGTCAATCACAGAATGTGCAGCGACAGCAAATTATGTCATAGTCAATACCATGAAGCGCAGCGCTTCCGGGCCGTATTCACGCTGGGTCGCTAAAGTACTGCGGCATGTCACGCGGTGCAACATTGCACACTCGGGCCAATTCTAGCAGAGATGTCCGAGGTCTCTTCTGTTACTGTTTGAAAGAGTCAGAGAAGCCAGTTCTGAGCTTTGCTTTGCTACACTGTGAACGGAGCACCTTTTTAGGGTAGCATCGGTATCAAATCCCAAGAATGACATGCCAGGTAGCGTCGAACGGTCTGATTCATATAGAGGTTTTATTGAATATATCCCACCAAACGAGCAACCATACGCCCCAAAGCCGATGCGACAGACACCCTCCTAAAGCCACAGTAGCAACAAACCCAGCGCAAACCCGCAATCCTCAAAAAGCATACCCAATCTAGACCTTCCAAATTTCCCCATGACCCTTCCGATCACTCCCCGCAAGCAAGCCCGCAGCAAACACGGAAAGAGCCAAGAAGTTCGAGACACACAGAATGGCGAGGGCTGCTGCAGCGACGTTGAAGACTCCCGTATCGGCGCCGAGAAGGAGTAGCATGGCGATGTAGACCACAGTCGAAACGAAGATGTACGCGCCGACGATGAGGGAGGCGTGGAGGGAGGACATGGTGGCTGAATGTTCCGGCGGAAAGTAGATGATTGTTGAGTCTCGTGAGATAGACGCGCGATGAATTGCACAAACGATTGAACCGATGAACTGTGCCAAGATTGAAGTGATTTATTGCGAATCAGAGAAGTAATGAATTGCGTGAGCAGTGCAATAAACAAACAGCACTCATCTTATATGCACTGTGCGCACGTCTAGTGAAAGCCTACCCTGCAACAGTGAAGCTCTGACACCAAAATCACACCCCCATAACCATAAACAGCTCAGATAATCACTCACGCGGTGCAGTAACAGTAATCGCCGGCACCTTACGCCCAGCGTACACCCTATGGCCGTCCTCATCTACATCCATGTCTCCCTCTCCATCCATATCGATGTCATGTGGAAGACAGAGGAGCACGATGAACTCGTAGATCCGGCCCATGGAGTAGGCGAGGAGGATGCCGAGGAGAATGGGGTGTAGCATGGCTGTGGTTGGGTGGTGAGTGATGACTGTGGAGTGATTAGCAAGACAGTAATAGGTGTCTGAAGAGTGGGGTTATGGGCTGCTGGTTGTGAGTTTGAGATATGAGAAGAGGATGTACGGGGTATGTTTATAGACCGAGGATGGGACCAGATGGGGAGGGGGGCATTGTGCGAGCTCAACGTGCTGAGTGTTGTTTGGGTACGGTGGACGCACATGATGTCGTGATAGATTGCGCTCGTTTGCATGCTTGTTTTGTTGTGCAAAGTTTTGTGCTGTAACTGCTTCTTTAGTGTTTAATTAGTTGGGAAAAATCAAGCAAGATGTCGTAGAGTTAGGCAGTGAGATGGCGGCAGGGGAGTTGTGATAAATTGCGACAACAAATGTGTAGGAAAATATGCCACAGAGGCTTCCGCAACTGAAATGAGATTAAGGATACTTCTAAGTAGCGATAAGAAACTGAGTACCTACGACTCCTTCATACAAGTACCCCGACACGGTCTCCAGGGCCAGCTGCCCGCCGACCCAGTCCGTGCCTCACCGCACAACCCACCCCCTTCATCACTACTCAATACACCTCCCGCGCCGCGACCCTAACCTTATTCCCCCCCAAATCAAACACCACCAGCACGTTCTTTAGCCAACTATCCCCCAGCACCGCCGCGCCCCCCATCGTCGGCTGAATGGCCAGCACACACTGCCCGGTACCCGCGCCTGTCCCCGGCCCGCTCACCGCCCCAGATCCACGGTTCATCAGATCATCATCACTCACGAAGTATGTCACGCCCGCGATCGTAACACCCACACGCGGCGCCACTGCCGAACAACTCACAATGTACAGCCCCGACTGCGCATTGAAAACCGCGCGCGGCACGAACAGCGACGCGATGTAGTCCGCGACGCGATCGGGGAGATAAATAAGAGTGGTGCCGGAGTCGACGATGATGCTCTGGGGGCTCGCGGAGAAGTTCTTGGGCACGATGGGGGATCCGGCAGGCGCAGTGATGCTGTAGCCGTCGATACGGATGCTGTAGTAGGTGTAGACGCTGGCGGAGACGGGGAGGATGCTTGTTTCGGACCAAGAGCTGGGGTCATGGTCGACATCCGGGATGCCGCCAATGGCGAGGAGGCCGCCGGGGGCTTTAGAGGGAGCACCTCGGGCCGAGGAGGTGCGGTTTAAGGCGAGAGAGAATACGGGTGGGTAGTAGGCTTGGTCGAAGCTGGGGTGGTTAGATGTGTTGTGATGAAAGCTCGAATGTCGCGATATGACAGGGCGACTTACAGAGAGAACATGACAGCCTCGTAGCCGATGCTGCTACTTCCACTTGCAAGCCTTGAATAGGCCAGACCCATGAGCCCACTGCTAGAAGCGTCGCCATTCCAATACCCCTGCTCCACAATGCCGATAGTCTGGTTGACGATCTGATGTGGAGCATAACCAGCGCCTACATCGCCGATACCAAACAGTTCGGTGGCAAGATAGCCTTGCAGATACTCGCCGCTAGTGTAATTGACACCGAACGACTGGCGTGGAGCGTAGGCTTTGTAGCTCTGTGACGCTGCTGGGCTGTACAGCGGACCAAACCTGCATACGGCAATTGGGATAGGGTTGCCATTTGGGTCCTTGCATGTGAAGCTCGCTTGTGCAACCCAGGTGTCTGAGCTTCCAGTGTCAAGCACAAGAGAGTAGACACGACTACCAAGGGTGATTCTCGTCATGTATACTCTGCCGCCAAGGGTGATGAGATCCTCGTAAACGTCGGCGTCGGCGTCTTTCTGGCGTTTGACTCTTCTGACCGCATTTTGGCGTAGACTGGCGAGGTATTCGGACGATGGGGTTGAACCCGTGTAAGCGTCGTCGATCTCAAGGTTGAGTACATTGTTGGTCACTTTTGGGTTCAGCTGCGTCGCTCTAGCCTTCCATGCACCTTACCTGCTACACCCGCGGTGAGCCTGCGGTCCAAAGTGGATGCGTGCTGAGCAAACACAACTAGACCGAGGAGAAGAGAGATTGAGTACATGGTGCTTGCGGGCCGAAGGGATGCGTGGGAGTAACAAAGGGTCTATACATATCGACGGCTATATACCATTGTCTCGGGGTGCTGAGCTTGGACTGCCGCGCATTTCTCGCCCGGGTAGGGAGCAGCAGCTCCTTTTGACGCAACGAAAACGCACCCACGCTACATTCCTGAGCGCGGGGACTCGGAAGCGAGATTGTGTTACAGACTTGCATCAACGGCTGACTTCTGCTCGGGCTTGTTCATTCCTACAAGATCATTCACACTTACTTGAGACGAACATGCATGTACGAGTGGGCCTAGGCTTATGAATGCTGAGGACTAGAGGGTTGCCACGCAATCGAGATGGCAAGACCTTGGCATTGGAGCCAGGAGGTCGCGACAGGCCGCATGACCGACAGACGGCTAGAAATGAAAGCGTCTGTGAAGGACCAGTGAGTGGCCTCGGAGACGGTCTACAACTAAAGAAATGCCAACTCACCAGTATCCCTGGACTCGATGGTTTAACTAATTCAGGACTCCTGCCGAGCGGCACGCAATCCCTTGATCAAGGTCAGACAAGTCAACGGGGCCATGGTGTAGGCGTACGTAGTTTGATTGGGACTAGGTCGCAGCTCCATGCTCCAAATGGATCTGTGATGGCCTGTTGTACAAGAACTGCTGGAAAGAAGTCGCAGCGAGGTCGCTAGCAAGTGCTGGAGTAAGCTGGACCGTTTGGGAATCATCATGACACACCTTGAACGCCGGAGAAAACTATTACCATCCACCCCTTCTGCCACCCCGACCGCGTCGGCCGCCGCGGCCACCGAATCCTCCACCCCCACCATAGCCACCTCCGCCCCAGCCTCGGTCGTCGCCTTGCGATGGATACGCGTCGCGGGGAGGAGCGCGGCCTTTGAGCTCTTTCTGCAGGGATTCGTATGACTTGCGCATTTGTGCGTAACCAAGATGCATCTTTCCGTAGAAATGGTCTGCTAGACGGCGATCATTGTCCAGGCGACTGAGATACGCACCGCACACATCGCAGACCTGCAGCTTTTGATGTCCCGAGGGACCTCCAGTGTCTGACAGAGCACGAAGCTCCCTCTCCTTCTCCTCCTTTGCCACCTTCTTCTCGCGAACATTTTTGTACTCCCACACCGCCATGTTAACCAGACCCTCTTCGCCCATGATTTGAACCTCGAGGATACCAGCTTCGATGGATTTCGAATACTCGTTGATGGCTTTCAACTAACAACAGTGAGTAGCAGCACAGTAGACAAGCAACACAAACTTACATGAGCGTTGGTCTGTCGAATCTCCTCGGGTGTCTTCTCCAAACGGCGCTGAGCCTGGTCGATTTTGCGGTTGCAGCCATCGATGTGATGCTGCATGTCTCTAAGATAGTCGAAATCGAACCCCCACCTGCGCTTCTGCTCGGCGTCGGCCTCCTGGTACTCGGTCTTGAGGGCCTCGTTATGAACCTTGGGGCAGGGGCCCAGCTCGTTCTTGGTATTGGTGAAGAGGTCGTGAGGGCAGTTGCCGACGAGGTAGGAGCGGCAGACCTTTGGGTCGGTGATGCTGAGCTGCGGCGCGCGCTGGTCGGAGCCGCTCATGAGCTGCTCGCCCATGAGCTGTTCTGCAGAGGGTTAGCGTGACTCAGCAGAGGAGGGAGCGCGACGCACCAAGCAGCCTGCGCGTCTCTGCGGCAGCCATGGTGTTGAGGTGGGTGCGCGCTGCTGGTGTTGAAATGGCCGGCGCGCTGCTGAGGTGAGAGAGCTCGTAGGCAGCGTACAGAAATCACGTCGCGCCTGGTGACGCCAAGCTTGGCACGTCAGCCAATTACGTGCGGCGAAGGCTTCACTTCCGCAACACCTCACGACCTCGCGCATCATGTTGATGTCGATAAAATCCATTCGTCTATCTGTGATGTTGGAGCTCGACCTGCGCCGTGACCCATTGATGTAGGGTTGTCCTCCTCTACATCAGGCCCGTAGTATGGATCGCGGCGGCGTCCTGCACAGCAACGACCAAGGTTGTGCTGTGTTTGCTCTTGGCACAATGTGATCACTGCAGCATCTATAAGATGAGCGTGTCACTCACGGGCCTGGGAAGATCTGAAGTTGGGAAGACCTGAAGTTGGGAAGACCTGAAGTCGGGAAGACCTGAAGTCGGGAAGATCTGAAGTCTGGAAGATCTGAAGTTGGGAAGAGTTGGAGCTGGAAGGAGTTGTGGCTGGAAAGAGTTGGAGCTGGGAGATGTTGAGGCAGATGCGAAGCTGCAGTCGTCAGTATGTGTATGATGAAATTCTCGGGGCCGGTTAAAGGACTTATCTTGGAAACAACGAAGGAGCGGTCATGTGGTATGCATGTACGCTTCTTCGCACCGCTTGACGACCGACTCGTCAAGTGACGGTGGCTGTAGAGCGGTGCAGCAGTAAGACAGGATAGGTGGCCTGAGATACTTGAAAGAAGCGACTTCGATCTCGGCGAACGTAGTACGACCCACAGTATTGCCCAGAGGCACTGAGCTCGTAATCTGATCCGCCATGTACCAATCTACCATTCCTTGTCTCATGGCCGCAGCTCGAACAAGGAATCGGGTGCCATCGCGTGTCAGCAACTTAAGACTTACCAAGCGCCATTTGAGACAGTCAGACACAGACAGAAGGAAGACTGGGCCTGCTGCAGTTCAGTGAACCAGCGACAGGTCTGTGGCATGGAGATGTGAGGGCGTTGCTGACACTGAGTTTGTCAATCTCGGCAGGGCTCTCTCGAGTGATTGTACGAGAACCGACGCTTGGCTTTATCCGCCTGGGTCATAACGGAGCAGAGCCAGTTCATGATCATCATCACTGAGGATATGTTAGCAAGCGAAAATGTCTGTGACTGTTGGACTTACCAAGATGTAGTTGCATTAGAGGCAATATGTCTGAGCTGTTCAACACGAGACGCCAGCATGGAAAGGCCAGGCACCTCGAATGTGAAACTGTCATCGCCTGCGTTCAGGTACCCTGGCGTCTTCCACGCAAAGCCTGTGAAGACTTCGGAACCCCCAAGTGAACACGGGAACAAGGTTGCATCTGAAAAAGGGAAACCGAAGTACATCCAAAGACAGTGAACTCGAGTGCGTCCGAGGAACCAAGGTCATACAGGGAGGGGTCATTCTACCTTCATGACTCCTACCAAAGTAGGAGCTGTACAGCGTGAGGAAGACACAAGGGTAGTCTTACTCACGAAGCCGAAGGCTCTCGCGTTGAAGGTGTGCACGACGTGTTAGTGTCTGAATCTCTCCAAATGAGTTCCACTTACTGACCTTAGAAGCCCAGAACCTGTGGTGGCAATGAGCCAGCTGAGGTACAATACACTCGAGCAAGCTGTGTCATGCTGCGGTTGGTGTCGAGTGACACATCACCCAGTGAATGTCAGAGGTTGTTGTCTTCATGATACATGTCGAAGGTGGGGCAGTGTTTGCTTAGCCTTTGATGGTAGCTTGTGTGGTGAAGCCAGCAGCCAGCCAGCCCAGCAGAGCGACTCTCCGACGGCTGTTATGAAGTCAGAAGAAGAGTATGAGCTAGGAGAGGGTAGTGAGCTCACCACTGGATGAAGCTCGACCTTGGCTCGGTGAGCGAAGAGCGACGCTGCGCGAAGGTGGGGTAACGGGAGGCAGGAAGAGGGAAGAAGGCGCTGCGTAGCGGAGTGGGAGGGAGCAAAGAAAGGCTCTGGGTGGAGTGGAGCTACTGATGGTCCAGCGATGACCAATATAGAAGAAGGGGAGGCAAAGGAAGAGCGGAAGAGTTGCTGGTTGGTGAGGGGAGAGTGGTGTTGGGGAGAGGAAGCTGGGCGAGCAGAGGGGAGGCTTTTATTTAGGACTTGTGTAGAGCCTGTTGTAGGTTCAGTCACCGTAAGAGACGAGAATGCAGAGCATAGAGACGCAATCACTGTGCAGGGACGCATCCTTGCTGCGAGACTACAAGGCGCTGCAGGAGGATAGTTGATAGCATGAAGATTGATTTCCTAAGAGCTAGGGGCTGGATAACCTGATGCTGGCCTGAGAGACAGGAGTTCGTTTCGTTGTTGACATTTCGGGAGCCTCTTTGAGCGGTTTGATATCGTGCCTCCGCCAAGACTCCGCAGCACAGAGCTGCTGCTGCAACACAGATAACTGACCCCAAGAGCTAGGCGATGGCGTTTGATAGGCTCTTGGAGATTGACCACACGAGCCTGCGTACAGCTACTGATCATCAGCTACTGATCATCTTGCGGGTTTCCTCGTGCCTCGTGCCAGCAGCTCAAGGACGACGGGCTTCGATGGCACGGCACAGGCACGCACTGCAAGTGCACCGTACGGCAGGTGCGTCAGGTAGCATAGAGCTACCAGCAGGGTTTGGCTTTCTGTTGTGGTCAGTTCTACTCAAGCGCATCACCCCCTCGGCGACGTACAAACCTGCGACCCTAGCAAACACCTCCTAGTACTCCCCGCGCCCCGAACCAGTTTGACAGATAGGCAGGCATTTCTGTGGTAGCTCATACGCAAGGCCAGTCTTTACAGCCGTCGACGAACACCGAGCGCCGTACTGGATGAGGCACACAGCAGTTGCGAAGCGACATTGCCCTGGAGGCGCCACAACACCATCCCCGCCCTCGCCCACCGAGGTTGACGACGCGCCGTCGAACGATATCACCAGCTTGAACAACGGCTCGCCAGACTTATCTTCCATCGGTCGGCAATGGTACCACAGTCTTTGAACTCCATCTCTTAGGGCTGGCTGCGCGGACATGCCCAGGCGCAAGAACGACCGACAGAACGATGACACAACGAGAATGGCCAGACATCAACGGAAACACATACCTCTTAACAACCAACAAGACTGTCCGGCATGCAGGTGCGGCACCTCCGTGTGTCAGGGCTGACCCGTGAGCTGTACGACCTTGCAGCACAGCGTGAGCACTGATAGCAGATGTGCATCTTCTCCAGATAAGCAGGGACGGTGTACATCCAGACTTATGGCTGTGGAGAAAGCTTGGAACACAATCTCGAAAGTGAGTATGATGCTTTGGGGATGTTTGATCAGAGTTGAGGCTAACCGTGCTTGACCAAGGTTCTTTCCTTTCCCACCTACCACGCGCACGATCGAGTCTTCCCAAACATACGCATAGCACCCTGAGTTGTATAGTCAGCATCTGATAACATGACGTACAGCGATGGCTGTTGAAGAGTTATAGCATCAAGGGCAAGCAATCTGGTGCGCGGGCTGAGTCTCTCGTTTGACAAAACGCTCTCACAGAACCTCTCGGTGTCGGCATCTCTCGGATTTGATAAGATACTTATGATAATTTTAGTGATTGATGTGCGTACCTACCCGTGGGAGCATCATGACGTACCGACAGTCTCTTGGCCACGCGCCTTCAAGAGACATATATACCCCTTCCCGAAAGGACAGCATGCCCAGGACGGTGCACATAACCAGAAGAGTCAACATTAACTTACTGGTGAGGGATCCTATCCTTATGGACGATGCTGAGTAGTGGATCGCAGCCACGAGCTTGATCGTCATCCCTTGTCAAAAGGACAAACACGCGCCGATCCAGCACTCATCTACGCCGTGTAATTGATGAGCGTGGACGAATTGCAACTGTTGGTGGAGTGGCAGTGATACACTGATGCAGATTGATGAGCTCCATTCGACATCTAGTCGGCAGTGCAGGTGTACATCGACAATACAGCGACGAGAGGAAGAGATGACCTAATGAAGCTCAGTTAAAGCCTCTCATCAGAAAAGAACAAGCCTCTTAGACATATTGTGTCAGGTTGTTCATGCACACCGTCGACCGACGTTTGACTACGGAGAGACATGAGATGCTGCGGAATCTCTGTTTCACACAAGCGCCACGTAGATCTACTCGTACGAGTATGACCATCTATCTCATTACTTGGGATGTTGCAAGGTTGTATCTGGATGAGTATTACTACATTTCTGATCCTGTGCGATAGGTATGGATGCCGGGCACCAAAACAACGGAGGACCCAATCTTGCAAATGGAGTAGTGGAACAGACTTGCCTGCCAAATTCCAACCCCACTCTGGTCTTCCAATAAGCCGGTGTTTCCGTAACATCGCCAGTTCTTGATCAGAAAACAAGGCTGACTTACGGACGACATTCATTCGACTCTCATGAACGTATATCCTGGACTCAGATCGTCAGCTGATGATAAATCAGGTTGGGTTAACTGTCACCGGAACAATTCAATCAGAAACTTCAATCGTCATGGACCTCAGACCCGGAAAGAGAAGATAAAGAAGAGCTTATCATCATCCTACATGAGCTCTGCCAGAAGCAGTACTGCTGAGTGCTGACGTACCTTATGTAACATCCCCACGATCAGTTCCTTGACCTGTGAAGGTTCAGCGCATTGACTTCCAGTCTATAGCTGATGCCGAAATGAGGTTGAACACTTTCGATCCAGCGGATCTTCCAGCTACATCTGCAGACGGGTGTAGTCGCTGTGTTGCTCTATCCTTTGTCGAAGATGTCAAGCCGTCACGTTGTTCGCCTTCGGACGCCTGAGGCTGGGTCGCCCTAATTCCACTCAACCATACGGTTATTCCTTGGTATAGGCCTTGGGACTTGAGAGGTGTGATAGGGAAGGTTGCGCTCTTCGTCTTGAGCCAGAACTCGGCGAGGCGTAAATACCTTGCCATGCTAAGGCATCAAGACATCGGTTTCATCCGATGCTTAGCTTCTTTGATCGTCAGCTAACCTTCAAGTAGGTGACCTAGAGATATCCTATATGGAGTCAGCGAAGCCTTGATATTGGCCCATTGGTTTGTCAGCAAAAGAGCATATGTACGAGCGAGCCATCCTACTGAAATGGCATTTGCGGACGGGCGCAGCCACCAGGGAATCTGACCTGCGTCGACTGCGAGCTTAGATATAATCGTTATTGGCCCCTTTACCGCCCGGGCGAAGGAAATATACTACATTTGTGCTAACATCCCATTCGGGATGTTGCTTTTTCCAACCCCCAGATCCCACAAAGCTCTACAGCGTGCGATTGTTATAGGCTCGTTGGTATGGGAGCAGAGATATGAAGGATCTCGCTCCGTATCCTGAGCCAAAATGGAAGAATGGGGTAGGACTTACTAGGAAGGGTTCACATCAACACCATAAACTGTTCTTGGTGGGTATCATCATCACCCTGGAGTGTCAAGAGCAAAGAACATGTACGACCGAAGCAAACAGTGTGTGGCCCGTAACAACTTCGTCAGAGTCGTGACTCTACACCGTGGACTACTTTTGCGTCGCCGCCAAGTATGAGACCAAAAGTTGGAATTTTGACGAAAAGAAGGATGAAAAAGGGAGCGAGATCTCATACTCGGCGTTGAGAAAGTTGCTGTAGGCCTCATTCAGGAACGGATGTGGGACATGGGTACAGAGATGGAAGCCCGTGTACCCGACACGTCAGAAACTAAATGATACCACCGAGGTGACGAGGGGCTTAGGATGCAAGCCGAGAATATTCGAGTTTCTTGGAAGGGCTGTCGTCGGCGACAAAGTCTTGGATTCGATATCTGACTACGAGAAGTATTGCCTGAGAGATGGTAAGTAAGCTGACAGCAAGGCAGAAACCAACCTCGGCTCACTACGGAGGGCCTGTTGCTATACTTAGGCTTTTCTTCTATGTGAACAGTGTCATTTGTCTTGTTCACTATGGGAGGCACACGTCCGCGGTAGCGGTGCCGACCCTTTGTTCCATTCGAAAATCGTCGATAATGCGATGCTCATGAACGACAGGAAGCCGGGTAACTGCTTTTCAAGCTGTTAGAATTCGTTGGTCTTAAATCGGTACTCTCTCGACTCGAGCTGGGGGTGTTTGCTTCACTGAGCTCATCACCGCCGCCGCCGCCTTGTAGAAAGGCGCCACGACCAGCAAGCTCGACGCTCGATGCGAAAAGGCTGCCCCCGGACATGAATAGGAATTTGAGACAACTGGAATAAGAAGGATACAAACTCACTCGTCTCGAGGCGCGTTTCTGGTTGCTTTACGGGTACGTCCTTCGGAGGAACGGTTGGTGGCTGCGAGCTCTCACCGTCGCTCACCACACGGCGGTGGCAACAGGGAAGGCATGACAAGCAGTTTCCAATTCCTTGTAACCAGCTCATGGTGATGCTGAGGTTTTGGTCAGCGTGGGCTGGTGCGACTGGTGGTCATAGGACGTGAAGGGCGCGTTCTGTACTATGCTGCAACGCGTATCGAGAGCGAGGAAAAATTGGTGTCAGCATACCTGATGTAAGAGCTGGCGAAGCCTGAGCAAGTCTTTGCGCTGTTGCTTGATGCGAGGTGGATGATGTTGGGTGGTGAGTGGTTGCAGGCGAAGAGAAAGTGAGCGCAAGGTACTCGAGCATAACATCACGCCCAAGCGGGGCGAACCACAACAAACAGCCCCTGCGGCAATTCTGACGCACAGTCCCACCCGACCGCTCAGATTCGGACACTCGTCCCGTCCTAACGGAGTGGCAGAGTGCTCAAGTTAAGTCTAACATTTGGTTTCTCATATGGCTGATGTTTCGCTGCTAGACATACATACGCTGATCATACACATACTTTCTGTAAATCCCCAGCGGACCCTCACCTGAAACGATCCTCAGATCTACAAGTAGCAGCATGGAGCACTCGATCCACCACCTGGTGCCCATAGTCGATTGCTCGATGACATGGCTGAATGGGGCTGCAGGTCCGGCGTGAGCTGCAGGTACCCTGTACCAGTACTTTCAGCACGTAATGCTGGTTCAATATAATCAGTAAGCATCTAGTCACGACAATGGAAAGACTTGCCAATATTCACCCGTCCACTCGGGTCTCACTTGTTGGTTGAATATCTCGCATGCTCTCATGATAATCTTGTCAACAGCTTCACCTCCCATGATGTTGTCTCGGCCCCTCGACTATGCCTATCCCAGGCGCTCAGCGACTGTCGAGCTCCTGTCCAAAACGATCCGCATATCGATTTGCTGCTGCAATTTCAGTAAATATACAAATGTAGACAGGTCGACAAACGCACTCTTACTCCGTGTGTTGCGTGCAGTAGACAGACGACGGTCACCGCTCTGGGCACCCGAAGTTGCTGATGTTGCATTGCTCGAACGGCGTCCTGCGGCACTGGCAGAAGCAGGATATACAGCGCTACGATCAGTTTTGCCTGTCGGTGCTGGCGTGAATGGCCCATAATTTATGGGTGTGGATTGCGGGTGCTGTGCTGTGAGGCGCCGTTTCTTCGAAGAGACTTCTTCGTTAGCACTGCTGGCAAACTCCCCAACATCAGACTCTAGTGTAGCATTTAGTACAGACAAATGATCTGCATATGTCCGCTTTGACATTTCGTTTTGCACATGCATGAGGTCCCGAGAATCGTTGTTGTCCTGGTCGAAGTTTCTCTCGGGATTTCGCTCAGAGAGCACCATCATCACACGTTGGGAATTTTCGTTATTCTGGATGCGCTGCCGCTGCGCGCCGCGAGCAGGCAGCGGCATCATTCGCGATGCTGTGTTTGCTCGGGACTTTGGACGACCTTGTGAACTCGTCGACGATGTCTCCCAATTATCCTGCTGAACCGATCGATCGGGGGTCCGCACCATGAGCTTAGAGGGAGCTGGGCATGTAGCTTTGGCTCGTCCTCGTTCGGAGGTTGGTCGAGTATCGAGCAGCATCTCCGACAGGTCCTCTGATGGTATATTAGATAGTTCGGAGTCAGTCTCCTCGTGCTCAACATCGCCATCAACACATAGCTGTGATTCCACATTCTCAAATTGCGTGACAGCTTCATTAGTACGCTCCAGGCTCTGTGTTTCAGGTATCACCTCGGCTTCAGATCCGATGACCGGAATATGTGTCGCCTGGCTATGAGGCAGCGCTTGAGACCCAAAGGTGTTCTCATACTCCTCCGCGAAGTAGTTGGCTGATTCCAAGATGCGCTTGTGGTGACTGGGGGCAGACCTTGCTTTATCAGTATCAGACGTTTTATCACCACAATCGAGCCGAGAGGTACCCGAAGGAACCCCGATCGGTGTTGTGGTTTGTCTGTCAACCTTCTTGCGGTTTCTTCCTTGCGATGAACTAGCGGGTCTGTCGAGCTCGTTTGGTTGTTGTGTATTGGGGACAAGGATGCTAGACTCTGTAGCATTGGCTGGCTTTGAACGGTATCTCTCTACCGTCTTGTCGCTGATAGTGGCATTCCGTCGACACTCGTCCATTTCTCGTGAATGCTTACCTATAAGCTTTTCTTTTTCCCGCTCAGTCTCAGACACGAGATATTTGAACTTCGCGTCGGTCTTCTCCATATGATATTGGAGCTGAAGTTTATGCGCTGCTTCAGTATCTCGTAGTTTGGATTGTAACTCTTTCCGGGCATGCTCCGAAAGGTTAAGGCGGGCCTCCAAACCCGAGAGTTCAGTGGTGTGATCGGTTCTCATCTGCTGTGATCGGACTGCTGCGTCCTGTTGTGCTTGCTGCAATTGGGCGTTCATGTTGTTACGAAGCTTATCAAGCTGTCGCTGCAAGTCGGCACGTTCTGCAAGGAGAGTCGTCTCAATGCCCTTCGACTCAAGTATCTTTGTACAGAATCCATCGATCTCGACTTGTAAAAGTTGGTTTTTCTCCTCGCACCGGAGCTCTGCCTCTTCTTTCGATTTTAACAAGGCCCGAGCATGCCCCTCTTTCTCAATTGCACTATGATTATCTTGACGGAGTGTCTCCACAGTGGCTTTGTACTCAGAGATTTCGATATCCAGCTGGCTGTTCTTTGTCCTGGCGAGTTCCAATTCAACCTCAAGGTTTGCTGCGTTCCGCCGTAACTCATCGCACTCGACCCCCTTGGCCCGAACCTGAAGCGTCATCTGGTCAATGTGCCCATTCAGATCGTTGAAGTAGGCAATGGCGTTTGCCCTGTACTTGCAAAACTCTTGCTCTTTTTCGAGACGCCCGCGTGCCTGCTGTTTGGTGGCTTCTTGTACTGAATGCAGATCACTCTGGCAACACAAGAGACGATCCTCGTTTGCTTTCGTCGATTGAGTAAGCTTTGTCTCTGAACGTCTAAGCGTATCAATATCCTCCTCCAGCTTTTGCAAATCTTTCGTCTGGGTGTCTAATTCCAGCCTGAGCGACTGGATAGTCTCCTGAGCTTGCTGATCGTCCGCTATCGTCTGTTCATGTCGCAAATTTCGCGCATACAGATCCTTGAGTTGATCCTGCAGGATCCGTTGGATTATATCGATCGGAAATAGTTTGGCCTCAGATATCTTCGCAAGCAGTTCATGACCTGCATCACTTCTATACAAATGTCAGCCTATGAGCAAGAAGCTATAGCCAGAGTTCGATTCTTACCGCTCGTGAAGAAAGCGCAACATGCCTTCCGCTTTTCGTACATCATTGGACGTCAACAGGGGCAATGAATCCAGCCTCTTGAGAATCAGTAAACATTCCTCAACGCATTGGTCGGTGTTAGTCTCAGCCGCACGGCCTTCTAGATCAGCACGCAGACCTTCCAGTTTGTCCAAATGTGAAGCCGAGCTTTCGTTTAACTGACGCTGCACATTCTGGATAGATGGTAGAAGCTGTTTTTCGAGTTCAACGCGCCTGGCCCTTTCTTCGTTGTACATGCTTGTTCGCTCATCGAGCTGGGTTTTCAATTGCTCCTCTCTTAATAGAGCCTTGCAGTACTGCAGCTGACTCTCTTGCATTGTTGCCCGCATTGCCTTTTGTGCTTGGGCAGATAAAGCAAGTGTTTTTTCGAGTTCGCTTTGCAACACTTCCCATTCTGTGGCGGCTCCTGCAACCTTGTCTTGCAGATCTTGCGCGTTTCGCTCTTGAAATTCCACCACGGACTTCTTCATTCTCTCGTGATCTTTCTGCAGGCCAGCAACGTATCTTTGATCCGAGATTGCTTTCTCCCTTATTCGCATAAGGCGATGCTCTGCTGCTTGAAGCTTGAAGTGTAGCTCGGTATTGGTGATTAATTGTTCCGATATTGTACGCTGGAGCTGTGCCTTCTCTTCCTTCAACTCTTTGGTGACAGATGCCATACGGTCTTCCATCCTATGTTGATCGGCGAGGAAGATGTTCCGAAGAGTCTTCAGCGAGGTGTCTAGAGCAGTAACTCTGGAAGCCGCTGAACTTTCTGCAGCCCATCCCAGTGTCAATGGTTGGTGATCATGTGCTTTTCGTGCTTCCTTTGGACTTTTAGCGACTCGTATGGTTCCAGAGCGATCAGAGACTCTATGCAGCACATCTTGTGTATCGACCGATTGAGATAGCGGATTGTGTGTCGGAACAAGATGATCTGCCACCTCGCCTAATGATATCGCTTGACCACATGGCTCTTCTCGGTCCCGTGAGCTGAGGTTCAACTTTTCACGTCGCGTTTTAACCTGGTCAAGAGATGTTGCAGTAGGTTGAGATACCAGGAGAGAGCAATCAGAACCTCGCCGCATCGAGTCGTGACCTACATGGAAACTCTGGGAAGAACCTTCTTCTGAAGTACCTGCCGAGTCCGCGACATCAATGGATTCTACTGTAGGCTCATCCATCTGGGTGTGGTATCGAGGTGCTGAATCTTGGCTAGGACAAGCAGAATCGGTGACACAGTGTTTGGTAGACGCCTCGGCCTCGGCGACTGTGTTATCTGCCACGACTGCCTCCCTATTGAACGCAGGTACTTCGTCATTACACGGCCCATCTGGTAGTCTGGGAATGGCTTCGAATTGAGACTTCACGGCCAAATCCCCACAAAGGGGACTTGCCCGGCCAATCTTCCTTTTGTGGTCGGCTGTTTCAGTCATAGACGTTGCGTTGGAACCGCCGTGTGCTGGATCTTGTCGAGGTGGCCATGGTCTGAGACTTCCAGAAAGGAGTATTCTTCTACCTCTCTTCGCTTTGTTCGCGTTACGCTCCCTTTTTGTAATGGGAGCACATTTCAAGGTAGACTGTCCGGCGATTCCATTCGAGAGGACATGCTTCGAAAAGATATGGCTAGTCAGGTTGTCAGCATTGCCTCCACTTGCTGAAAGAATCACTCACTCGGTAGGTGCAGAGCCTTGATCACCGGCTGTTGCAATTTCTGCAGGTGATGATTCCTGGGATTCTCCCCTGGTAGAACCAACTCCTACTTCGCTGACCAGGTCGGCATCTGGTCCAGGAATCTCAGGCGAGGGTAGGGTAGGCGGCGTCACGGATGCGGCGTGAAAGAGCCCGACTGGATGATCTTGGGCGCCAGTTGGCTTTGCGCTGACGTCTTGCTTGAACTCACCATTGCCAGTAGTCTCGATGGAGAGTATGGCAGTGTCCTCGTGAACAACATGGTCTGGCTTTGATTCCACTGTCTTTCGTGGGAGCTTGTTCGTAGCCCATCTGGCACAGCTAAAAACAGACGGAGGCACCACGTCTACTGCTGATGTGGGCTTGGTTATACCAAATGCTGGCAGTGGCGGCGTTGTAATGCTTTCCAATCGTCTGGCTGCACTACGCTTTAGAAGGGCGATATCATCAGGCAGCATATCTACATCTGACGAATGATCGATGGCCTCCAGTTGCGTCTCAGGGACCACGGTATCGCTATCGGGCACCTGTTGCACATTTCTAAGTGGCGACGGTTTGGACAGCTGTGCACGCTGCTTCCCTTTCGAATGCTCCCCCATAATAGGAGAGATGGACGCAATGAGAGTGGTCAGTAACAAGATCAATGGCAACAAGGTGGTTGCAACGCGGAACTGTGTGGGAATCGAAACGAGTGGGACAAGATGGGTTCCTGGTGACGAGATCTGAGGGGTGAGAGGTACGAGAGAGGCGAGAGAAGAAGGTCTGCAGCTACGCTCTTTCCCACCTGGTGGTGAGGCAATCGCAGACCCTCCACATCTTGACTTGAGATGTGTATTAACCGTGTCGTCCAGAACTGATATAAAGATAAATCACAAACGATTCTGATGATGATTCGAGTCTGTCAGACACTACCTGCGCAGAACGTTCACGCACCTAAAGCTTGCGACGATCGCATCATCCTATCATCCTAAAACCCACGATCGTACATATCAGCACAAAGATCTAGTCTTCGAGCGCACTACAGTCCAGGGGCATGCACCCCTAATCTGAAAGACGAAGAGCCTAACGATACCCATCTCTTCACGGTATTGTCACATCTGGTCATGGTTAAACACGGAGCTGTGCAGCCCCTTCGCTCAATATCTCCACCGGTCCAGATGACGTTTGACAAGTCGACGAGCAGCTCTTCCACAACTGAGGTGTTCCGAAATTGTTTGTGCTGTGTACTATCAGCTTAGTGCTAGAACACTCGTTTGCTAGGCCTTGCTACCGATGACGGCCTACTATGTGGCCTACACCTCCTTATATTTTACTAGACATTATCGTAGCTCAAGTTGTGGTGATATCGACTCTGAAACACGATCGGTGCAGGGCATGCACAAGTTCGAGCGCTTGCATAAGCCACCGACCAATCACCGCTCACAGCGCCCCTGTCCAGCTGCAAGGTGATCTCCCGTCAACACCTTACGCGCCGACATGCACAACGCCTCACCAATCCGCTTCGCTTGTCCGTCCAAGACATGGCATTTCGACGCCGATACCTCTATAATAAGTGGCAAGCATGAGAAAATCGCCGGCCACGACCCCAGTACCTTGTAAAATCGCACCATGTTAGCCGCCCGCAACGCTCATCCCAGCGGGGTACTGGACTGAAATAGCCTCTGCCAACGAGGGCGCGAATATAGAGATGGGCATCCTACCTAACTTGCTAAGGATTGTGCCGTCCGATCGAGTTGATCTCGCAACTTTCACGCGACCCTCGCACTACCTGCTCGAATCCTCCCGACGTACCACTGCCTCCCTACCGCACACCTGTTGTCAACATGAGCCGTGCTCTATTCTTCTCGTTGTTGCTTCCTTTGCTCGCATTTGCCCAGGACTCGAGCTCGGGTAGTGAGCTACCTCCTCCAGGATACAACGGCGGTTCAGACAACCCTCAGGATTCGGACGATGCGGGTGCAGCTGGGTCATCAAAGGGTGCCTTCGAGCTGTCATCTGGTGGGCTCATCGCCATCATCGTGGTAGCCGTGATTGTGGTTATCGGAGGCAGTACGTTCTTCGCAGGTTCGAGTTGACAACATCGTACTGACTTCTTCTCAGTCGGCTCGGCCACTCTGTGGTGGCTCGCAAAGAAACGTCAGTGGGACGTCCGACAGTCCATTCGTCGCGCCTCGCGTCGTATCACCGGTCGCTCGACTGTAGATGTCGGCAAACAGAACCGCCAGAACCGTCGCACGGGTATCCGTCTAAACTCGCCTCCGCCAGGCAAGAACGCAAAGCCTAAGCAGGAACACGACCTTGAGAAAGGACTTCCGATGTCAAGCAAAGAGGGTCGCACAACTACGACTATATCAAGCACGATCAGATAGACGCAACATTGGTCGGCTGCCAAGCGCTTGTTAGTTGCCCACAGTGCCCATCTGAAACCAACAGCATAAGGCCAGTCAACATAAATGTTGAGCTAAGCTCCGTTTACCTGTCGCCAAGGAGATGCTGTCGACCATCGGCCCTCAAGCCGAAGTGGCGTTCGCCGCATGGCATATGAGTGTACGACTATGGATGGGATGGATAGATGTAAGAAGTGGCTTCGTGTGTTCTTACATCTTAGGGAGGGCGTTTTCGTTTCTTGTCGATTGTATCTTTTAGCAACTATGATATCCACGCCCATTTCAGACCTCTGGCGGCGTATTCGCAATAGAATCAAGTACTTTTCACAAATTACAACCATTTATTTCTCGATATGAAAATCTTCGAATCGTCGTGTGAATACCTAAACACAGCTTACACGTAGTCGCAATCATGGTTGTAATACATAGTCATCCATAACCCCCAAGCATGTGATCTGGCGACGCGCTAAGGATTCGACGCGTTTCGCGCCGCCTCGGTATCCCCACCTTTCGGTCACCATATCTCTACATTTTCGATTTCATCGAGATGCACTCACGCAGTCGACAATCACGCGCCGGAGCAACGCCAAGCAGCAGCCGCCGTTCTGTCGCAGGAACGCCAGCTCGAGCTACCCAAGATGTACTACCGCCGTACAAGAAGCCTGCGCACCCGCTCGATGGCGAGGCACAGCGAGCACTACGAGAATTGAACGGCACTACATTGTCGAATGTCAAGAAGTACAACAAGGACGCGATAGCCAAGATCCGGACATCGGCTGAAGGTGTCAATGACATGTTGAGCGAGCACCAGCGATTCTTCAACGCACGCAGCAAGAAATGGGACGCCGGCAAGAAGCTAGATGAAAGGGAAGACGAGGAGGCGATAATGGCAGACCTTGAAAAGAAAGTCTATGAGGCGACTGCGAAGTTAGAAGAGAGCATGAGAGCGGTCATCGACTCCAGCGTTGGCGCAGAGCGTATCGAGGAAATTCTTGAGTGGTTGCGCCAGGCCGCTCCCAGGCAACTCGAGGAAGAGTACGAAACACAAATGACGCAACGTCAAACCCAGAGACGAGAGATACAACGCCTAGAAGGTAGCGACGCAGAGTCAGATGTTGACATGCAAATGGACGAGGGCCCAACGCCTGGGCCGACCCCACTCGATGGCTCACGCGTAGCCCTTACCGGCTGCGTTGACATGTTCATCGACCGCATGAAGCGTGATACGGATGCATATACATCTCACTCGCTCACTGCGCGCTATGCAAGACACAACGAATACCGAGACTTCAAGCGGGTGGTCCACGATGCGCGATATGGCGACGATGGGCCCGTTCTTGGCCACGAAGATACTTGGTTCACAGAGGCTGGCGAGCCACAGCTAGGAGTCACGCAGACTCGAGGCGGTGCCTACGATGACGACGAAGATGATCTCGTCATGGACAGAGCGACAATCAGCACCAAATGTCCGATCACATTCCAGCAATTGAAGGAACCATACTCAAGCACCAAGTGCCCACACACATTTGAGAAGACCGCCATTCTAGGCATGATCAGAACGAGTAGTAGCCGTTTCGGTCCCGGTGGGGCACGATCAGTCGCGTGTCCTATCGTAGGATGTGATCAGGTAAGTTTGGAATACAAAGTCTGTTGTTCGCGGTTGCATAGTCCTAACGTTCCTTTGTAGCAACTCTCCGCCGAAGACCTTCGCGTTGATCCGATTCTCGTGAGGAAGATTCAACGTGTGCAGCGCGCCGAACTGGAAGAATCCCAAATCGATTCTGACGGCGAGGACGACGAAGAGGACGATGACGAAATACAAGCACCCCGAGGTCCTTAGCCTAACGGTAGGGGTGGTCGAACGAGGTAGGGTTCGTTGAGATAGCAGCCACCGCAGCGCTTCCACCTCAAGACTCCGGGGCTTCCCGTAATGACGAACATGATCAGCAGAGATGGAGGAGAGGGCTTGTGCGGCTTGAGCGACGAAGGAAGCATTTGATACCCACGATTACATCGTTATGAAGCTCACGCATCATTTTCTGCAATCGAGCTAGACCAACAAACAGGCAATACCTGAGCTACTGCATGTTCCAGCTGCATCTGCAGCGAAATTTGTCAGTGCCACAAGCTGCACATAGCCTGATGATTACATAAGGCTGCAGTGAAGCCATCTGACACGTGCTGACGGTCGGAGGGAGAACCCGCGGCCTAACGGAACTGCCGCGGGTCCGCACAGCGCAAATCTCAAGTACGCTCTGTACCTCAACAACGGACCAGGATCAACAAAGTCAGCTACCAGTAGAACGTGATCATCATTTCATGGCATTACGTCTCCGTACACACGCGCTTTCTGCGCAGAACTCCTGAACTAAGCTACAGTTCTCAGACAACACCGAACGCCTTCGTAGATCCTTCTGCACTCGACGGTGCAGGTGGGCCAGGTATGGGTATGAGCAGCTCTCCCGTGGATTGCTTCTATGGCTCCCTTCTCTTCCTCGTTTCTTCTCGACTCATCGCTGTTGTTTACTTCTTTGCACAAGGTTCGAAGCTTCATTTACTTAGTAATGAAGCCGAGGTAGTCGGCAACGATTAGTGTAACCATTCTGTCGTTTTGTTAGTCACTGTTCAAATCTCTTATTTGCACCAATATTGACTTACGCATGCGGCGCGATGCGGATGTAGTATGTGCCGAACCCGCGGTAGAATCTCAGCAGGCCCTCCTCCTTCGCAACCTTCTTGAAGCAGTCAAACATGCCCTTGTATGGGAGGCTACCGTCAGGAGCGCGTGTCTGTTTCTGCAGCCTTGTCTTCATGAAGTCGAATGGCAACGACAGGAATGAGGCGAAGAACCCGGCGACGGCGGACGCTGTCAATGTCTGCGAACGAGAGGAGAGGCTTGTGTTCTTGAGTTGCGACTTTGCTTCACTGAAGAAAGCGAGCTGACCGAAGTTGAGCGCCATAGCACGGACGACAGTGGGATAGCATCCCGCCCAGAGGCGCAACACGCCCTCGTTCTTGCTGATGCGCGTCAGGGCGTCAATGACAGATGTGTAGTTTGCGCGCTGTGCCAAGGGCTTCATGCCATCGGATTGCATGCGAATAAGCGCCAGATCTGCCGGGTTGCCAACAACAGCGGCGAGTCCACCAGCTGCGAGACCGGCGCCAGCGCGCTCCTTAAAGCCGATGGTTGTGCCATTCTCCTTCGCACGGGCGGAAAGGTTCTTCATGAACGTGTCGAAGAAGCCGAGACGTGCAGTAGTGTAGACTGCTTGTCTGAGCAGGCCGGCGCTGAGGCCGGTATACAAGTCCATGACCTTTCCGGCAGCAACGATGTCTTTGAGGACTCCGATGGGAGTGGGCTTGGGTCCAGTCTTGACGCCCTCTCCGGCGAGTTGAAGACGGACTTTCACCATATCAACGGGCTGGATGACGCTTGTTGCAGTCATGCCTGCCAGTCCACCATTTATGAAGGGTAGCGCTGCGCGCATAAATGGTGTGTGGAGGAAGTCAGCTGTTGCCTTCTTCGGGTTCTCTGCTGCTTTCGACATTGTCTCAGATGCGTCCTTGAGGATGGTCTCAGAGCTTTGCTTTGCGTTCTCGAGGGCGCGGGAGGCAGGCATTTTCAACGTTTGGGTGGAGGCTGTTGTTGACATGTTGTTAGTGTCGATCACTAACACCCAGTCGTGAATATGCGAGTGACAAATGACAGGCAATTGACAGAAGAGGAACTGATAAGCAAAATGCTCGAGTATGTGTTGGGCAGATGTGAATCGCCGAAGACCAATGGAGAGATGCAGGACATTCAACAACGGATAACACCAGTATATATCGACTACCCGCGGGAACGCTGAGCTGCGCACAAGATATTCCGGATCGTCATACCGGCAAGCTTCAGCGCCAGGCAGAGCCTCACGGCATCTGGCAGTGCGGTGCTGCGGTCGTCGCGGTCGTGTAACGGCCGCGGCCGTGGAAGCTAGCCGGCTACATTGTACGGCGGAGCGCGAACCTCAGAGGCTCGGGCTTAAAAGTGCGTGACGCGCTTCCACGTGCGCGCGTCCCTTCTCTTTTCCGATACTACCCGCAGTCCGTCGCAGTGCGCAAGGAGAACAAGTGTTGAGAATTGCTGCGTACCTATGTTCGGTATGTGGAGAGCTCGATCCGCGCTAACAACGGAGGTGTGGGGCGCAGAGTGAGATGCGGTTAGATTGAGTGGTGGTAGGTATGCACTTTAACAACTTGGACGAAAGAGCAATCAAGCAACAGAGCGATTGCGAGAAAAACAACGGACGAGGCTGTCAGGGAAGAGATGTCAGGAGAAATGGAAGCTCTGTCGCGGTACGCGTTATGCCATCCGACCAAGCGGTGCCTGGATGAGGGGTCTTGTTGCTGTTGAAATGCGGGGAAGGCTGGATGGTACCATGAGCTACAGGAGCTTCAGCGCACTGTGACCAGTAAAGATGTGAGATTGACCGCGGATTCGTGGATTCGACCAATCGGATGGCACGTATTCGATTCGTCACGCATTGTGTTGTCACTCTTGTTGTTGGAACATGAAGCCCTGGCTTGTGACAGGCCATGCTGTCGCGTGTCACTGGGCAACTCGACTTGAACAAAGCCCTGTTTCTGAGACCACGACTGTTCGGTGATACGGAGCTGGCGTTCAGTCGATCTGCAGGCACACGGCTATCCTGGCTGATGGCCCGTCCACTGTGCTGCAAGTGTGGGTGGTTTAGGTTTGGAGCTGGTGAGTTGGAACAGGTAAAAGTGACGTAGGCCCTGCCCAATCAGGAGTGACTGATGCTCAACACCAACCAACGAGCCTCAGGCAAGGCTGCCTCTCTACATCCATATGGCAGTAAGACCTACATAACAGTAGCTTGCTGGGCCTCCTCGTCCGAGCCTTCACAGCTCGGGTCTGGCATCAGGTCTGTCTGTGCATCATGTCCAAGCTTGCGATGACCTCCCTTGGTGAGCATAGCCAGCCGCGCACCAAGTTCACCGAATCTCATCGTCGAGCCTCTACCGGCTGAGAATCATTCTTTCGACGACAACGCAACTCGGCTCAAGGAACACTGATATCATCGCGCATTCATCCACGCTCCGGCCACGGTTTTAATTTCTCCGTCGATCCGTGAGAATACAGCCTGAGAGACGTGCATGCAGACACCACCACTGATTCGCGGAGACAGGAACGCCTTTGTATAAATGCTCAATGCAGAGGGCCTCGAAACGTGATGAGGCGGTGTCAGTGTTGGTGCGCGGGAGTCTGGTGGGCGATAACAGTACCCGCAACCACCCGCGGCCGAGATGTGCTCACCGATCGACATCGACACCTAGGAACTTTGCTCACCATAAATCAAAAAATATAAGGCCGAGAATTGAGACAGAGCCACATCTGCTGCCGAGATGAGGGCCGTTGTGTTTTAATTCTGGCAGTGTACTTATCCGGCGAAATGTTCGGGGCTGGTTGATACCTCGCACTCTGTTCAAAACGTTTCCAATACATTCCTGCGAGCCTCAACGCCTTTGTGTCTATAGATGCTATGCTTGAGCTCTCGATGATAACAGTCCCTTCCTCGATTCTCGCCAGCTCGCATAGTACCTGCTGATGTCTTCTCCCAGACCAAAACTCTCACCGCACTTCTCATCTGTATTATTCTCACCGGCAAGTACATCGTTCCTTTCCCAGCCACTACTTGCGTCTGCACCTTTTTTCCACTTTTTCCACGCTCTCATGCTCCATCCGCTGCCGACAAAAAGAAGTCCTCCGACTCCAACTATGAACGGTATCAACTGTCCTACGCTCATGAACGAGCCGCTGGATCCTCTAACGTTATTCCAATCCAACGTCAACTCCACTTGAAGTATGACAATGATGTGTATTACAAGATCTAGAGACATGTAGTACCACCTACTCCCGACTCTCTTCGGTACATTCGCCTCAGCAAGCAGCAATGATGAGGCAAGTGACACCGACGACCAGTTCGGCAAGTCTCTACCACCCGCTGGCTTGTATGTTACTGCCGCGTATAGTTGGAATGGCCCGTTGAGCGGATCTAGTAGCCGACTTTGTCGAAGATGCGAATAAACAGCGAGAGCTTGCGGCGGGAAGCGACATGTGAGAAGAAGCATACATATCTTGAAGTAGCACTGGAACCACGATGGTAACCCGTTGGTGCAGGCTCCGATTCGATATCTCGCAGGAAATAGGATTGACTTGATGATGACTGCGAAGCCGGTCGGTCTACCATCTGCATTCACCTGGTATGGACTTGCTGATATACAGTGTTGGATGTAGACCTCGCTTTCGTAAACCTCTAGGAGAATCGTAGGCTCAGCTGTGCTCCCGTCCGCTTCCTGTTCGAAAGACAATTTTATGGACTTCGCGGAATCTATCTCGTCGGTCGAGATGGGCAGTGGCGCATTGAAATGGCTTGTCGGCTCAGTTCCACGATCGAAGCCGAAATGAGATTCAATCGGTGAGCAAAGCACACAGGAACGCCTGGAGCAGGCATCATCCATATTGTCGCATCCACAGCCACATCCCGTGTCCTCAGCTTTCGGTTCCAGGGTGATGACATGATCCAGTGTCTTGGAGTCCAGAGTTTCCCAGATCCTGACAGCCTCAGCAAACTCTTGTCGTGCCGTGCTTATTCTCCACATGGCCCATGACCGTGGTAATCCGACGCTAGTCCAGTAGACTGTGCAGAGAAGGAACAGCAAGCTCATTGTCATCATGGCCTTCCTTGCCCACCCAAACATGTCAGTCTTGAGTACATATAACAAGACATGTGTTCCACAAGGCATCGTCTTCATGTGATCAATACCCACCCACCAGAACCACACATGTAGTATGATGTTCACTAGATTAACGATTTCACAAACGCCCTTTCTGAACAAGCTTCCATTGCTGAGAATGCCCTTGGCGTGACTTGAATTTGCGCGCACGCCCATCAAGCAGCTCCAAGCTAACATCTGCAGAAGTATAAAACCTTCGATGGCGTAAACATCTTGTGGGTTGGCTGCAGATATCAACGCGATAATGAGCAGCGCAACGCTGAAGATGCTGACAGAGTCACGCAGGACTTGCGCCTTGGAGAAGAGGAAGTAGTTGGCGAACCACACGGCAAGAATCTGAGCGTAGAGGCCAACTCTGATCCCAACGCCGTATATGTCGTTGTTGCCTTGGAATCCACACTGTGTTCCGTCGATGGAGCGAGGGGCGATGGTTGCTGGGGAGGCGAGCGCATGGGATGCAGGGGGAAAAGGCCACACGAGGTACATGCCGAAATACGGACGTAACGAAACCAACGCGAGAAGCGATTAAAAGAATGATGAGGATAAAGACAGAACATCTGGAGTTGGGACGACGTATATCTGCTCGCACATATTGGAGGTATTGATAGTGGATAATGAGGCTGCGCCGCAATTCTGCATGGAATTACTGGCTCGAGATTGTCGATTATAAGCGCCCAGTCGCGCGCGTATCAAATCCTACAGATGCCAAAACGGAGGCGCATAACCAAACACTTAAGTTGCGATGGGGCCATGGATTGGCTTGGCGAAAGGGTAGGGCTCCATGGTGATGTTACGACAGCACAAGTGGCGGCAATGCTTTGAATTACAGTATGGGCGCGATAAGACTAAGCAACGGGCCAAAGCTCGTTCGAAAATTCTGCTCAGATTACTGCTTGCGAGCCGCAACTATGCTACAACCCAGCCCAGCATGAACTACTCGCAATTGTGCGCCCAAGCCAAACTCCAGAAAACTCAAAACAGTGTGGTGTGCTTGCTCGCGATTCGCGTGTGATTGTTTCGTATCGTCGTAATTATGCGGTGCATGTTGTTGAATTAGCTGGTTTACATGACAGTGCATGGGATGCAGCAGCACGAGCAGTCGTCGGTCGAGAGGCAGCTGCACTTGCCGGGCTGAGGCTTGACGATAGAGCCGGCAGATGAGGAGATAGTGGAGGCGGCGGGCATTTTGGTGTATCGAAGATAAAGCTTGGTGACACTAATTGTACAGGTAATATAGAAGTATGCGTGAGATCGAACGGTTTCGAGTTGGTAGCTGCTGACGTAGTACTATGACGCGGTTAGCTGTCTTTGTTGAGATCGGACTTCGAGAGATCTCGTACTAGATGTAGGCGAAGAGAAGCGAAAGAGGTCGAGCTATCAAGTAGAGTTGGAGTGAACTTCAGGAGAGTGGGCGATTTATGCTTGAGCACCAACTTCGAGCCCTGCTTATGCCTGACAACGCTAACCCTGTGTCGGTTTGGTGTGAATTGCGGATGACGTCTCACATGAAGGCGGTGCATCGCATCGTGGCGCAACGTCGCAATTACCGACAACTTATGCGCATGGGCCTACGAACATCGAAGAAACACTCGTACTGATGTCAAGCTTAGAGTATGCATTTGTTTGAGCGTCATGACTCAAGTCTAATTGATCGGAGTACATGGTATTTCACGATGCTAAGGCTGCAAAAATAATTCCTTAGATTTCCTCGGTATCATACATCCCTCCAGTTGGGTTCCTTCTTCTCAGCCCAGGGTGTTGCAACAGCTGCGTACATCGTCAGTTTGAAATTCAGTAGATAATTGAATATATTTACCATTACTGTCTCCGAACGGATCGTCGTCTTCTTCAGGCTCGCTGTCCGGATCGGGTCGCTGATTTGCTGCCGCATGAACGGGTACGGGAGCAGGGGGCATAGGAATGCTCGTTGGTCGGGGTGGCTTCGCAGGCGGTGTTTCTTCCTGCATTCTCAAGCTAGCCATCTTAGCCCGAGCCATGTCTGAATCATCTTCGCTGTCGCTGTCATCATCGTCTATGCTCTTGTCCATAATCTCGAAGGCCATGAGAGCCTTCACAAGTTCATCGTTGGCGCTCAGCAGACCACCAATGTACTGCTCAGACTCGACCAAGTGAATGTAGCGTAGGATCTGGCGGCGAAGCTGCTTGCAGGTTTCGAAGCGGTTCATAACTTCCGAGTTATCGCTGACACGCTGTTGTTCACGATTGATGAGTTGTAGCCCATTCAGGAGGTTTGTGCTTGCAACATTTGCTGAGGCCATCGTTTCCAACATCTGACCCTTCTCCTTCTCAAGGTTGAATCGCTGTCCCTTGGGAGTCTTCTTGTCTTTCTTACTTCTACTGAAAAGAGAAGACCCACCGGAGGATAAGGTAGAACCCAATTGCACTGGCCTACTTGATGATGAAGACGTTTGCGGAGGATCGGGTCGCCGAGGTTGAGGCGTGGGCGGCGGTGAGTTCTCTTCGCGCTCACGAGCTGCTTCGGCATCTTGCTCACGGATAATTCGGGATTGCTGTGGCTGAGGTCTACTCTTACGAGGAAGCTCCTTGTGTAGAGCAGCGATGCGCTCGAGTCCAGGCGTGCCCTTGTACGCAACGGCCCACTGGCGAAATAAGAGGTTTACTCGTTTGCGAACATCAACATCAGCTGTCTCATCGCGAGCCAATATGCGCAAGCGCTCCAAAAGAGGCTCGTCCGCGAATGCTTTCTGAAATCTCGAGCCTGCGTTCTGGATCAAGGCGTCGAGTATCACCAACGCGCGGATCTGGCGGTGGGCATTTCCATATTTCCTGGGCTCACGTTAGTTTCCATTGTGCACGCACTTTGGAGAACATACAGCTTCTTGCGTAGTGCACGTGCTGCTTCAGTAGGGCCAGTCGACTGGATTCGGATGACCTCAATGAGATCCACGACACCCCCAATATCCTGTATATGTCAGTATTGAGCCTGGAAGATGAACGAAGGTCTTGCTCACGTTTTCTTCATATTGCTCGCTAGTCAAGCGATCTACTTGGACCGTGACAGCTGAGAAAGGCTTTGTCTATTGTTGATCCACGTCTTTAGCACTTTGTGGCAGTGTTTGAAGAAACAAAGCGGGCATGGATTTTCGAAGATAGGAAGATCTGCGTAGGTATTGGGTGTCTTATGATGATGAAGAGGTTTGCGGGTAGGTTTAAACCTGTGAACATCCCAAGCAAGGGTACTCTGATGATATCCAGACAACCCTTGGAGGTCGCAGGAACTCGATGAGTCGACCGAAGTCACGCGGCATAGCGCCTTGCCCTCCAAGAGTGGCTCGCAATCAAGGATGAGAAAGCCAGAGTCCATGATAAGGGAATTGACGCTAGATGATGCAGTAGAAACGAGGTAGGTTTGGTTTTTGATTGTAATTAGGGTCTGAAAAGGATCTTATACATTGACAAAGCAAAGCATCGACTTACCGGCATATTGACCTAGTGGTTGAACGAAACGCTGCCCACCTACGTCGGCTATATTTGGGTATCGGGGCTATATGTGAGCTGTCCGGTACCAACAATACTTTTTCGTTTGGCCAAGTGGGGATGTGTGGTCGAGCAGTACACGCCTTGCGCTCAAAGATCTAAATCAGGGCCGGTGCTGAGGATAACTGGTGGAGGCCGGCGTTACAGAAGACAAGGTAGCGCCCGCACGAGTCCCAGGTTGTCGACTGTGTCAATAATAATCACCAACTGCTCCAACGCGATGTCAGTGGTTGAGGAAGAAGCTTAGACAGGTCGGACTCACATGGCCTGAAAGACACCGTAGATGTAGTTGCCTTGATCTGGTGGTGCTCCGTAATGCCCCGCGCTAGTGGTGGGGGCATTGGGCTGACGGCACGCTCAGCCTCACACATCGGGTCACGTCCCTTTCGCCCAAACGTGACTGACGATCCTTTCTCCGGCTCATGAATGCAGCAAACATTTCGCACTCAAGCTGCCATTTGAGGGCAATGAGGGAAGCTGGAGATGTCGCGTGAGGATCCTACGCGCCTACTCACCAGCATCCAGCATCGATCGCCCCTGCCATTGTGTGCACTAACATTTACCAGTGCGCATACACTGCCATCCCCAGGCTTCACTGCCATTAACAAACTTCCACCACAATTGAGCTCACTTCATCGCCCATCAGTGACATGTCAGAAAGCGCGCACGGCAGCTAAACCAAATAAACGCAGAAACCCGGCTGTAGCAGCATACCTTGGCCTAGGAGATGTGACAGGCTCGGCTCATCTGGTGAAGCAGTTCTCAATACCGGCAAGTGAATCCCCGCCACCACGGCCGACACGGAAGCGTCGAGTGGCGCGGAATGGCGATAAAACGTCGTCAACAAAGGAGGCCAAAACACACACGAATGTGCCAGCCCAAACGCGAGTACTCGAAAGTACATCTATGATCAAGACCCTTCCCGAACCGTTCATTAGCAAGTTAGACGAGTCTGCTGAAGCATCGTTGCTCCCGCCTACTCCAACCTCCTTAACGACCGAAAGTCCCTTTAGTCGTCAGGAACAGCTTCCACGCAACATCACCATGCAAACCAGCACTGCGCCACGGCTACAGCCACCTCACATTCATGCCGTTATCTCACCTGAAGACGACGATGATGACGACTTTGGTCAACTTTGCTTTGACTTCGAGCCGAACGTCGAGATTGCTAATAAACTAGCATGCCCACTACAATCGCCAGAGCTTACGCAGCATGGTGTTGCGGATCTCGAGGAGGATGACTTTGGTGATGACCTTATGGATGACGATCTCATCGATTTAACTCCAGATGTGCTGGACGTATCCAGTTGCCCCAGCTTCGAGTCAGGTCTACCCATCAAGAATGTATCCGTCCAACAGACGCAGACACCAGTCACGTCTTTGAACAGCACTCCGATACTCAGTGGAAGAGCAGGCAGCTCAATATCTTCCCAGAGAGGGTTTACTTCACCAGTCACATTGACGACCCGACTACTTGCAGCAACTGGCGACGAGGCTCGGAAGCCGATTGTCAGACCAGCATTCCCTACAGCCATTCGCGACCGCTCGCCTATAATCGGCATGTCGTCGAATACCTTATTGAGAACGTGTTTCCGCGTCGGCGAAGCGATCAATCAGAGCTGTCAAGCGGCGAAGACTGGTAATAACATCTTTCTCGAGTTGTACGCCAGGGTGCTCAACTCCGACCGGGACGACTTACAGCAGCGTTTCACTTTTTGCGATCTATTCCATGCTAAACCACCATATATCCAAGCGACTTATGCTGCCGCAATTTGGAAAACAGTCTGCCTGTTCGAGTATGACAGCGCACGTCTGTTGCAGCAAGGCAGGATTTGCCGCTGCATGGGCACTATGAAACGCAATGGTAAGGAGTGGACCATGACTGTGCTCAACATCTGGGAGGCGACCTGGGATGATGTTGAATGGGTGAAAGGAATCATTGAATCCTGATGGTGAGAGGTCATCAGCGTAACGTCGAGATAGCCAAACATGAAGCGGTTCTGGAGGATCCGTAAGGTGACAGCAGAGTATGTGTCAAGCTCATTTAGCGAAACCTGCTTGATACACGAGACACCTGTCTCTGCGATTGGCGGCAACCAATTTATATGAGACGGTGCAGTGTCGTTGTTCACGCAGTTAATGTAAGGGCGGTGATTGTGACATAATCGCGCTTGCCACGTGAGATTGAGTACCCGCCCCGCTTCATCCACCCCGTCCATCTCTCAAGGCCCATGGTTTATCATGAATGCCGATTTTGCGAAACACACAGTCTTCTTGAAGCCTCTGGCTGATATGTTGACACCCAACGACTACCTCTTCCACATTAACAACCGACATCATGTTGACTGATAGCATGCGGCGCGAAGAAGGCGCGGTTCGTGAACCGCAGCCAATGCATACACCACAGAAATCCAGGGCGCGTTCCTTCTCCGACAGTACCCCAAAATTGGAACCGTCACCCAAATTCTTGGAGCCAACCAGGTCATCCAAGGATGACCACAACGTTGTCGCCAGCCCTAGTACCCCGCGTCGGCCTGACTTCCTCGCGAGAGGGCTTTCACTGCAGATGCCACAGCGGGAGCTGCCCATGTCCAGTCCTGCACACTTCGCGGCACGGGTCCCTCTGTCACCGCAACTCGACGCTCATAACACGTACGCTTCGCCGGCGTCGCTGCTGCCGCGGCGTTCACGGGGTGCTGAATTCTCGAGAGCCTGCACCCACCTCCACCACTCGACGCTACCTGACCAGTCATCGCCTGACTCCTCGCCCACAATCACACAGAAGGGGATTAAAATCCCCTCGAGAAAGCCTCGCGCCAATTCCATGATCATGGAGTCTCCCAACATTGGCGCGCACGGCGGCTGGAGCAACAGCGGTAGAACTGCTCCATCGAGCTCAGTGGGCAGCATCAATATGTTGGGGTCCGAGGACTCAAGCAGTTCTTCCGATGAGCTCGATCCTTTGGACCCTGATGACACCGACGATCCCATGATCATGACCCCGCAGGCTGCGAAGACACACAACATCTTTAACAATGTCAATAACAGCCCTTTCGCAAACATGTTTTCCACGAATGGCATACCCAACTTCATGAGCATACAGAGAGCCAGGCTGCGCAAAGGAAGAAGTCGGAAGAGTTCGAGCTCAGCAAGTGGTCACAGCTCCCTCGCAAGCCCTGGCGGACCAGCGTCGCCGCCGAACGGCAAAAGTGAAGGCTACTTCTCAAGAGAGTCCGTCCTACGCCGCGAAGGGACTCGACGGGAGAGTCTTTCACTCTTCACTAACGATCTACACATCTCTTCTGGCAACGACAGTGGAGACGAAGCTAGCACAATGCCACAGACACCTGGCGTCATTCGCAGGGCCGTAACGCGCAGGGGAAACCTCCTGGTGAGTGAGAGAAGTGCAACCATCTTGATCACATGCTGACAAGCTGCAGCCGAAGTCGAGGCAATTCGGTCGCATCAAGGCGGAGCTGTTCGATGAGTCAGCACCAGTCGACAGTGAGACCCGACGCGAAGCTGAGATCATTCGACAAGTACGAGAAAGCGACACAGACATCGAGCGGTCGTCTATGACGGCTCAGTCGTCACCCAGTCTACTACCTGCGGTGCCGGGCTTAGATGGTCCGCTGGAGGGCGTACCTGAAGAAGAGAGCGAAGAGAGCATGAGCCTGGATGGATCTACGACGAAGGGCTTATTTGGCATATTTGGCTCGCTCAATACTGGCCGAAGTTCAATTAGCACCGACTTTTGGAATCATCGCCTGGCTCAAACCCCACCACCACCATCGGTCCGCCGCGCGGAGTCCTCAGCGATGAGCGAGGATATGAACATGGACTCTCCTATTATTTCAGCAAATAACGGCAATGGCATGCCGGCACCCGATCAAAGCGTCAACCTTGGCTGGACCTCTCGAGCATCAACACCACAGTCCATGAATCCTCCCACCGCCGCAGACGGATTAAAGAAGTCTAATAAGCGTCGACGCGATGACGATTTCGACGAGCAATCTCTAAAGCGACGTGCCGTCTCACCTGGCTTGAGTGTGCACAACAGTCCTGTGATCTCGCAATCACCAAGTCAGCGCGACGGTAGCCTTTGGGGCACATCGACAAAAGCAAGCCGAGAGACATCGATCAGTGGACAATCAAACGGCGAGCGATCGAACAGTGGAGGAAGTATGAGCATGACACCTACGTTGGGCCCTAAGCGCGTCGGGTTGCAGGGCATGACGGACACCAGCGATGGCCTCATGAAGATGAGCATCGAGTAGGTTGTCGTTGCACGACTTTCCACAATCTTTGTAGATACCCTTTTTGAGCATCGGGGTTCAGCGCGGCGTTCAGGGTGGGACATTGCTCATGCATCGTGCAGTGCTTCAAGGCAGCAACTCATTGTTCCAAATATACCCTTTTACTGTATCGAATGACATTCAATCATCAACCACGAATATAAGCACTGTAAGTCTGAGTGATGAGTGCCATGTGAGATTGCCTTTGCGGTACGTGCTCGTGTCTCGGTCGTTTGGACCCCTCCATCGCCAACTTGGTCCCCGGCTTCGTTAGTTCCTACTCAGCAACCACGCCAAACATCGCGCAAACAATCCCATTGCGCCACCAGACTCGCACCGGCGAATCCTCCCAAGACAGCAGCACAATGTCTAGGTCATCGGCCCTCGGCTCCTTCGTGGAGTCTGCACCTCCTGGCGAGGTAGGCTCTCCTGCGCGCGCCACCCCCGTGCGGTGATGCTAACGCGGCGCAGCTTGCGGACGTCACCAAAGCAATCAAGTCGATTCTCGGAGACAACAATGTCGAATCTGAGCTTGCGCCCGCATATCAGACGTACAACGAAGAGCAGTTCACGACGACGAAGCTCCCCGGCGGCAGCACCGAGGTCCTGATCAGCCCCTACAACTCGCTGGGCGACGGGCGCTACTACGATGTCGAGACACAAAGCTCGTTTGATTTCGACCATGCAACACAGAAGGCTAGCGCAGTCCAAAGCTACGTGGTTGAGTCGCAGCACGAAGACCTGGTGTAAGGAACACTGCAAGCCAGCAACTGCGACAGAGGCGCTGACACCACATAGCAAGAGCCTCGTCAAGAGCCTCGGATCCCACACGGCCGAGCACTACCCCAAGTCTTCGTACGGCGTGTTTCCCGTCGAGGACGACTCCCAGCTCGCTCTCGTGACCGTCGCAAACAAGTACTCGCCCACGAACTACTGGAACGGCCGCTGGCGCTCGTCCTACTCGTACAACCCCTCGTCCGGCAGCTTGACCGGCACGGTCAAGGTCGACGTCCACTACTACGAGGACGGCAACGTCCGCCTGCTTACGAACAAGGATGTCAGCCTGAACGTCAGCTCTGGCGCCAGTGCGAGTGAGATTATAAGGCAGATTGCAACGGTCGAGCGCAAGTACCAGGAGGACCTCAACAAGGCGTTTGGCAGCTTGAGCGAAGGCGCTTTCAAGAGCCTGAGGAGACAACTGCCAATTACAAGGCAGAAGATCGAATGGGAGAAGATCAGCGGATACAGGCTGGGTCAGGACATTGGTGGTGGTGGCAGGCGGTGAGCAAGAGCGGGACGCAGCAGCCTGATGGCCGCTTGATCTTCTTTACCACATGCGGCTGCGTACGGCTAGATGATAGGAGTCAAACAAACTCATGCAGATTCGGCTGTCCTGTACGAGGTCCGCTTTGGACTTGACACGACTATAGAGCATGAAGATTCTGGAGCCACAAGGGAAGGTGCACTGCCATTTGATGTGTCCATTGTGGAAGCGTGATCGAAGTCGTCCGAATAATCTCGAGGGCGAGGGAAGGCCGCCCACAGCTGGAGAAGGTTCCACGGCGCGGGTACGCGAGTCAGGGCCTTACTCTTCGCGCTCTAGGCCGACAGGGTCTCCACTCCGAGGGACGGCCACCTTTACCGTCTCCCCATATTCTCACCTGTTAACCAACATCCGTGGTTGAAGGAGAGTTTCTGTGTGCAATTGCTCCCATTTCAATGTAAGCACCCATCCTGCTGTACCCCCGACCCTGTGCCGCCCGATCTACCGGTGAAAGCGTATAATGGTTCAGCATTGGCTGTCCACGGTAGCTGTCTGCTGGATCCTTGGGTCGCTGCACCCTTCACTACCTTGCGGATCCACGCCAATACTTCTCCCCTCGATTGAATATTTCAGCCTCCCTACTTGCTCCTAACAACCACCACAGACCCAAACCTCCCGACAAATCCGCACCGACCGTCACAGTGGCTTCGCACAGCTAAGCTACTCCACCCACCGTCTACGCATAACCTTTGGTCAACTCGAAACGGTTTCTTCTACAACATGGCTTCCGAAGCAGCTGCCAGCTCTGCCCCCGAGGGACTTACCCCCGCGCAGCAGCTGATGGAGCAGCATGCCACCAACGACCACCACGTCACCGTCGAGGACGTCGTCGACGAAGAGGACGTTGCACACCCTGCCCCCTCGGCCAGCAAGGCTGACGCTCCACTGAGCGAGAAGGCTGCCGGCAAGCAGAAGGCCGAGGAGCCCGCTGCTGCTCCCAAGAAGCCTGCACTGAACACGCAGTCCGAGGAGGCCTTCCCAGCTCTCGGACCCGTCAAGCCGCGCGCCGCGGCCCCGGTCCCAACCTGGGGCAAGAAGCCCGCTGCTGTGTCTTCCGCCAATGGCAGCAACGCCAACTCTGGCACCTCCACCCCCTCCGGCCCTGCCATCCGCGGCCCTGCCGTCGCCAGCATGAACCTCCCCGGCAAGCACACCGAGCGCATCTCCTTCTCGACTGCGCAGTTGACGCCGCGCCAGCAGCTCAAGAAGCCCGTCGGCGAGATCATCCGCGATATCAACAGGCGCTCCAAGGCCAGGCTCGAGCAGAAGACCGGCCTCCACGGACAGATCATCTTCGAGTCCACCGGTCCTGTTGACGCCGTAAGGGAGTCTCTCAAGGAGATTGCCAACGAGGTTGGAAGCAAGGTATGTAGTCGAGATGCCCAACATTCGATCATCACTAACAAGCTGCAGCAATCCGTCGACGTCCCCGTCCCTGCATCCGTCCGCGCCCACATCATCGGCCGTCAAGGATCCAAGATCCAGGAAATCAGCAAGCGCACCGGTGCCCGCATCCAAGTCCCCAAGGCCGAGGCCGGTGAGGATGAGGATACCGTTGTCAACGTCCACATCGAGGGCAATGCCCTGACCGCCGAGATGGCCCGCCGCGAGATTGACGCCATCGTCAACGAGCGCACCTCAACTGTCAACTTGCGCCTGAAGGACATTCCCGCCGAATTCTACCCCTTCCTTGCGGGTCCCCAGAACAAGTACGTGGACAACCTGACACGGGGCAAGGACATCGACATGAAGATTCCCGAGTACTATATGTGGCAGACTCAGGCACCTCCTCAGAACGCCCGCAATCAGCCCGGAAACTTTGTGCCCCAGGCCAACTTCCCCATTCAGATCTCTGGAGAGCGCGTCGCTGCCCAGCAGCTGCAGGCTGAGCTTGAGCGCCGCGTCCAGCAGCTTCGACAGCAGCTGGCTGTTGATCAGCGCTCCATCGAGCGCGGTCGCCACCAGTTCCTTGTTGGAGACCGCGGCGGCTCCCTCCACGACTTCTTGGAGGAGACTGGCTGCAGTCTTGTTCTGCCTCCCAGCTCCGACGACAGCGAGGAAGTCTACATTGTCGGACCTCCTGGCAAGATTGAGCAGGGTATCAACAAGCTTGAGGATCTTGCTGCTGCCATGACCATGGCAACTGCTGATGCTACCCGTGAGCACCGTGGCCCTGGCTCGCAGGCACATGCCCACAACTTGACACGCTACTTGCGCCAGCGCAAGGCTCTCGCCGAGCTCGAACGCCTTCACGAGGCGAGCATTGTCGCTCCCAAGGGCAGCGACGGCCCGACCGCCTACGAGATCTATGCTCGTGATGGCAAGAACAGCATGAAGGCTCGTGGTGACATCATGAGCATCTTCGGTGCTCATCCTCCCAGCAGATTCTCAACTGTCAACGTTGACCCCTTCTACCACGAGTACTTGCGCGAGAAGGCTGCACCTCAGATCCGCCAGGACACTGGTGTACACATTGTCTTCCCCGACGAGGAGGAGGAGTCTCCCGAGCTCGTATTCGTTTACGAGAGCCGCGACCCCTACGAGCAGTACTCTGTTCCCCGCGGCAAGCCCCAGAACGATGAGATCAACGCCTACAAGAAAGCTCTTCAGGAGGCCTCTGAGCTGATCCAGCGTCTCACCAAGAACCAGCCTTCAATTGCTTCTCGTGACCTCGAGGCCAGCCAGAAGTTCCACAGGAAGATCCAGCAGTACGTCAAGGAGGAGCAGGAGAGCCTTGCACATGACCAGGTGCCTGTTCAGCTCCTGTTCGGTGGACGACGACCCGATGCTGCCAACCGCTCTGGCGACAGCTTCTCCATTCGCGGTCCTTCAAACGCTGTTGACGACCTGAACTCTAAGATTCTGGCCTTCATCGAGCAGGCCGAGAAGGATGAGCTCGAGCGTGGCCACATTACCACCTTCGACTTCCCCCAGAAGTACGCCAGCCACCTCGTCGGAAAGGGTGGTGAGAATATCCAGAAGCTTCGCCAGAAGTTCGATGTCGACGTGCAGATCGACGATGGCAAGGTCACACTCAAGGGGCCCCCGCACAAGGCTGAGGCTGCCAAGAAGGATATCCTGAGCCAGGCCAAGAAGCTTGAGGACGAGGCAACTCACATCCTGAAGATCAAGCCCGACTACCACCGTGAGCTCATTGGTGCTCAGGGCAAGCAGGTCGAGCGTCTGCAGACACGCTACGGAGTTCGTGTCAACTTCCCCCGGAGGGCGAAGAACGACGACGATGCCACATCTCAGCAGAACTCCAAGGGTGGCCAGAAGCCTGACGAGGTCATTGTCCGAGGACCCAAGAAGGGTGCTGATGAGGCTCGTGATGAGATTCTCAGCCTTCTCCAGTACATTGTGGACAACTCCAACACTGCCACAATCTCGGTCGCCGTCAGCCAGATCCCTCAGCTGATCGGGTCTGGCGGCCGCGAGATGGAGAACCTGCGCCTCGCTACTGGCGCTCACATTGACGTTCCTGGTGCTCGCGAGGGTACTGATGCCTCTGGTCGCGCTGATATCAAGATCAAGGGCACCAAGCAGCAGGTCCAGGAGGCCAAGAAGATCCTCCAGGAGCGTGTCAAGGTCTTTGACGACACCGTCACTGACACTCTCGAGGTTGATCGCAAGCTCCACCGCAACCTCATCGGTGGTCAGGGTGCCAACATCCGCCAGATCGTCACCTCGGCTGGTGGCCCCGACAACTCTCGTGACCTTGCTCGCATGGTCCGCTTCCCCAAGCAGGATACTGACGGTGACTCCAACACCATCCGCATCGAGGGTCCTAAGAGCGTTGTCGAGAAGATTGTCGCTGCCATCAAGGCTCAGGTTTCGTCGCTCGAGAACCAGACTACCGAGGTCCTTGAGGTCTCCCCTGACAAGCACCGTCTGTTGATCGGCCGTGGTGGCGAGACTCGCCGCTCTCTCGAGTCGCAGTTCAGCGTCCAGCTGGACATCCCCAAGCAGACCACACAAGGCGCTGCCCGCAGCCAGGTCAAGATCACCGGCGAGCCCTCGGCCGTCGAGAAGGCCAAGGAGCACATCCTGGAGCTCGTCAAGGGCCAGGAAGGCGAGACCGTCGAGGTGCCCCGCCACCTGCACCACATCATCTCCGACAACGGCCAGTACTTCCGCCGCCTCCGCAACAACCAGAAGATCACCGTCGACCACGGCAACCAGCAGCCGCCGCCCAAGCCCCAGCAGTCCGAAGCCGGCAAGAGCCGCAAGGGCGCCAACGGCGCCCTCCCCCTCATCACCGACGACGCCACCTCTGGCGCCGACGAGCACTCGTGGGAACTCGTCGACAACAACGCCGTCCCCGACGGCACCGACACCTCCGCCACCATCCCCTGGATCCTGCGCGGCCCCGCCGACGCGCTCCCCAAGGCGCGCGCCCAGCTCGAAGACGCCATCAAAGCCGCCGCCAAGCCCTCGGCCACGGGCTACCTCATCCTGCCGGACCCGCGCAGCTACCGCCTCGTCGTGGGTAGCGGCGGCAGCACCATCAACAGCCTGCGCAAGGAGACCGGCACCAAGATCCAGGTCCCGAGAGATCAGGCCAAGGACGAGGCGATTGAGATTGTCGGGTCGCGCGAGGGGTGCGAGAAGGCCCGGCAGCTGATCTTGGAGATTATTTCAAAGGGCGCGAATGGGCGCAGGCGCGAGGAGTAAGTCGATCGTGATCGTGACTGAAGCCGTGGTTGAGGTTCAGCTTCAGGTTCAGGTTCAGGGCAACGCCGAGGCGCAAAGTGAGAGGGAGAGAGAAGGGGGATATATATCATGACTTGCCACGAGGTGTCTATTTTCTTAGCTTGGGCGGAGTGGTGTGCTTCTGCCTTCGATTCGAGACTGGGGGCGGGGCCGTGGGCGGACATAAAACGTGTGTTTATGACGAATTCAAAAGTTTGCCTGTCTCGTACGATATCTGTCTGCGTATATATTGCATCTCGTGGTGTGCCTCGTGTCGCGCTGCTCTCATGATCACGTCTGCATATTCGCATTCGCGACATCCCAGCTCCTAACCTCATGTATTGTATCACATCTGCAGTCTCTCCAGTCAGAATCTCGGATTATCAACCATGCTATATACACTCCCCTCCCCTTCCCTTCGCTGCCCTCCCATCACTTCACTTCACTACACTACACTTCTCTACCGATAAAACCCCTCCTCCCCCCCTGCCCCCGGAGCCCCCGCCCCTCCACCCTGCCCACCCGGCCGATACGGCAAATACCCCTGCCCCTGCTGCGGCGCCTGGCCCTGCCCCTGCGGCGCCGGACTACCCACTGCACCCGGCGGCGCGGGCGGCGCATAGCCCGGCTGGCTCGGCGGCTGCTGCTGCTGCTGCTGTTGCTGCTGTTGCTGTTGCTGCTGCTGGGGAGGGTACCCAAAGGCCTGCGGCGGCGCGTAGGCGTCCTGGTGCGCGTCGTGCTGGTCGAAGGACTGCGGGGGCGCCGAGGGCTGGGGCTGGGGCGGGTAGCCTGGTGGCTGTGTCTGCTGCTGTTGCTGGGGCGGTTGTTGGGGTTGGGGTTGTTGTTGCTGCTGCTGCTGCTGCTGCTGCTGCTGAGGGGGGTACGCGTACTCCTGGGCTGCCGGGAGAGCGCCGGGCGGCGCGCCGTGGAACGAGTGGCGCGCGTCGACGGGCGAGTCGTAGTGGCCTGTGGCGAGTTCCTGGGGCGCGTAGCTCTGCGGGCGACCGACGGGGACGCGGGCCAGGGCAGGGTCGGTGTATGCGTTTGATGGGGGCGCGGCTTGGGGGGCGGGGGTTTGTTGTTGGCGCTGGTCGGGTGGGACCATGAAGAAGGCGGGGGTTGAGGAGGGGGGGTATGGCGGGGCGTTGGAGCCGGTTGGGGGGTATTGTGGGTGTGCTTGGGACGGGGGGGCGCCGGCGCCGTAGAAGCGGGTTGGGTCCTGCTGCGGTGTGGCGGAGGCGGGGGGGTAGCCACCGTATTGCGATGGAGGGGGCGCGTTGTATGCGCCGTATGCGGGGCGGCTGCCGTATGCTGGCTGTGCTGCTTGGGTCATAGAGGCCTCGAGTAGAGACTCGTAGTCGCGGCGTCCTTTGATGAACTTCTCGTTCAGCTGTGTGAAGTCGTCTGGAACCTGTCAGCGATTGTCCATGCATTTGTGTCAGCATACATACCTTTCTTTTGCGAGTACTTGCCGATGAGCTCAATCAGCTTCGGCCTTATGGCCAGTGTGGAGTGGTAGAGCTCGGTGATCTCATCGTTGTCGCGAACATCGCCTCCGCCTTGTGAGCTTGTGCTGAGCAGTGCAAGCAACTTCTCCACGTTCCGAATCTGGGCAAAGACCTCGGCCTCCATCTGTGCTTCCTTCTCAAGCTCTTCGCGTGTGGGATCCTGCAGCTTCTCAACGTAGTTGAGCGGGAAAATGCCAGTCTGGCCTCGTAACGAGCCTTTCCACCAGTCCTTGAACACCGACTCGAGCACAGCAATAATGTCGCCCTTCTTGAACTGCAGCTCACCGGGCTCAGATGGCTGGAAATCATACAATGCGCGTACTCGCGAAACCGTTGCAGCAGTGGTTCCTTGTGGCGCCGGTGCTGGGGTTGGTGCAGGCTGCGAGCTCGAGCTGGCGCCTGCACTCGTGTCCTGAGGAGCATTTGACTTTGCGGCCGCGGGGGCAGCGCCCTTGGACTCCCGTATCGACATGGCGAGCGCCATCTGTAGCTCTTCCTCCTCCTTCTGGCGTTCGGTATCGGAGATTTGTGTCTTCTGCGGTTTCGATGGGGCGCGAAGGCCGGGGTCTGTCACTTGTCAGTTGGGTCACGCACGACGCGCAGGAGACGTACTCTGCGACTTCAGCTTGTTGTAGGCGCCCTCCATGATGCCAAGATCTGGGTCACGGGAGAACATCTCAGACCATTCACCCATGCGCTCAAGGATCTTGGCCTTTACTTGCTGGTGCGTGTTCCTGTCGTTGGCCAGCCGCAGCAGCGCGTCGGTGAAGCTTCGTGACGCCAGCTCCTTGTGCATCTTTATGCCGCAGTTCTGGCTGACGGCGTTGGCGAGCTCGAGGGTGTATAGCTGTACGTTCGCATTGCGATGCGCCAGCCGCTTGATCATGGCCGCGACGGCCTGCTGTGCGCCGGTGTCTGCCGAGCCGACTTTGTCACATACATCCTAGGAGATCGTGTCAGTATGTGTGTCGTCATGTGGTATGTGGTGCGCTTCAGCGATCGTGACGCTGCACGAGGCCAGCTGCCAGCAGCGCCACGCGACATTCCAGCGGAGGCAGCCATACCAGTATGTATTCCCAGTTCTCGCTCGTCAGATTCTCGTCCGTGGCCTTGACGACCACATCGTCGAAGATGTTCGACTGCGCGCGAAACATGATGCCTGTGCTGCCTGCTGTGTGGTCGGAACACAGTCACCACAGCTTAGTTAGGTACTCGATGCAGCCGTGGTAGTGCGAGGTGACAGCAAGAGAGGTGCTATCTGTGTACGGTACGGCGTTCGAGTGGCGGTCGAGGTCTCTTGAGTGAGGGCGAGATCGCAGAGGTGTCGTATGTGGGAGGCTTGGGGAGCTCCTGTCCCGGTCTAGCGGGGACGAGATGACGACGGCGTGGCGGCAGCATGCGAACCTTTGCTGCGCCACAACCGCGAGGCTGCTCCAGCGTTGGGCTGTGACCGAGCACTGCCTTGTCATTCGAGGCCCGTACTCGAATGTATCCACAAATTGTTGGGTTCCTGTTGGCTGCACCTTGCATAAGCACAAGACACTTCAAGACAAGACACATGGCATTTTTTTGTGTATCTTAGATTCGACTTCTCTGCCGACCTGTAGCCAATCCTGGTGACCATGACGCCCGCCTAGGTAGTATAGACACTATAGATTGAAGAGTGGTGTATAAAGCACAAACATTTCGGAATAGGATGAATCGTGAAAAACGTGCTGCATCACAGCACGCTCGGTCTCCGCGACGCCGAAACCCTACCCAAGCCAAAAAGCCAAAAAGGTGGTCGGCGCGCGCTGAGCCGTTTGGACCTTCAACTGCGCGCGTACAAGCAATGCACTCGCAATGTGCTCCTTCGATCGCTGGCCAATGCTGTCTAGAGAAAAACATCAAAGTCTACGAGCGCCTCGGACTCGTCGATACGTGCTGTGCGGTACGCTAAATGTTTTGTCGCTTGAACGCGTGAACCTAAATCGAAAAGCTTGCCTGTCAACGCACATTGGTCCTGCAAAACCAACGCAAAGTCTCGACGACCGGCCAGAACAGCGCAACCGTCGTGTCAAAACGCCTCCGTTTGCCATGCCATTTGGCATACGGTTCCGTGGTGTTCACGAAATCGACGGTCGTTGTGTGCATCGTAACATTTCCTAGGTTCCTGGATAAGACACCCAGGCCTAGAAAGAAACAGATCACATGCCGCCCTTCTTCTTCCTCTCGTCGGCTCGTGCTTTCCGTGCGGCCAAAACAAGAGGTGAGAGGGTGTTGAGCGGTTCGGAAGTCTGAATGAAGGGGTGCTGGGCGTGTCAGTTGGATTTTACATGACAAAGCAGGGTGTACGTACCACAAGAAGATCGTGGGCACTCGCGCGCTTGTCGGGATCAACCTTCAGCGAAAACCCGAGGAAGTCGCGGAAGACTGGAGAAAGTGCATGCTCTTCCTTGATCTGAGGCGTGCCATTGGTGGCGATGAGCCACAGCGCTCGCAGGGGGCTTTCGTTGAGGTACGGTGGCTCTCCCTCAATCATCTCAATTGCCATGATACCCAACGACCAGATATCGACCTTTCGGCCGTATTCTTTGCGAGTGACGACCTCCGGTGCCATCCAGTAGGGTGTTCCGACCATGGTCGTGCGCTTGTTGTGGTGCTCGTTGATCTGCGCGCAGAAACCAAAATCGGCTACGATATGTTAGCGTTGTCATCAGACATGTACTGCATCACTTACTCAGCTTGATGTTACCCTCTAGAGACAAAAGGATGTTGTCAGACTTGATGTCTCGGTGGATGACGCCCTTGGAGTGCAGGTGCTGCAGACCGTGAAGAACTTCTCTGCACACAGCCGCAATCTGGCCTTCCGACATGATGTTGAAGGTCACTACGTCCGTCAAGCTGCCGCCCTCCATATACTCCATGACGACCCACAGATCACCTCGCACCAGGAAGCTGTCCATGAAGTTGACAATGTTCTTGTGCTTGCTGTCTTTCATGACCAGGATCTCGTTGATGATCAGGTCCTTCTTGGGCTGCTGTTCCAGGTTCATCTGCTTGATCGCCACGCACTTGTTGGTGGCATTCTCGTACGCCGAGTACACGCCACCGGAGGCGCCTTGGCCAATCTTGTTCAGCTGGCGGTACATTGTGGTAGGATCGGCCTTGGTGCAGATGGCGTTGAGCTTGGTGATGATGTCAGGGCCCTGACTTTGCCTGGGTCGTTGCCGTGGTCGAGGCGCTGGGCCCACGCGTGGCTGCTGTGGCTGCTGCGGCTGCTGCGTCTGCTGCGAGGGGAGAGGGATGTTCTGCGGGTCCATCTGCTGGGCGAGCTGCTGCTGGGGCGAGGGCTGGACCTGTGCGGGAGGGCCGTGGTTGAAGGGCTGCGACTGCGGCACCTTCTGACTGACACTGCGGCCGAGGTGGGGCGGTTGCTGCTGCGGCTGCTGCTTGTGGCTGCTCATGGAGTGCTGGACGGCCGCCATGGCTTGTGCCTGCTGGTGTTGGTATTGCTGAGCAGGCGAGATGGCCGTCTGGCTGTTGTTGGGTGACTCGAATCGCGGAGGTGAGCCGCCTGTGGTGTTTGCGCGGCTACGCGGTGCGGATGCGGTGCCGTAGCCGCTGTCGGTGACCTGTGGCGAGGCGTAGACGACAGGCGGCATGTCACCATCCTGGCGGCGCTGAGAGACGGGCACGGGCGGGGCAGCGCGCGAGGGCACCAGGTTCGCGCCCTGCGAGGAGCCCGGCGGGCGCGGGGCAGGGCGGTGGGGGACGATGGAGCCGCCGTTGGGCTGGGGCGTGTGCGGCATGGGCGAGGTCTGGCTGCGGGGCAGCGGCACCGGGGGCGGGGCGCGCGGGTTCTCGAAGCTGTCGTGCTCGTTGCGCGGGAAGCGCGGGCTCTGCGGCGGGCTCTGCGGCGGGGCGCCGTAGGCATACGAGGCGGACTGGTGGTGGGGGTGGGCGGCGCCCATCTTCTCCCACACCTCGTCGTCGCCGTTGCGCTCGGCGTTGTTCTTGTAGAAGTTGACGACGTCCATGGCGGCCTGCGGGTGCTGCTTCTGCTCCTGCTCGGTGATGCCGTTCTGCTGCAGCATGCGCTGCCATTCCTTGGGCAGCCCCTGGGCGCGTTAGCTGGCGGCCGTGGTGCGGCGGGTCTCTCACATACCGTGAACTCGCCCGTCTCATTGTCGATGCTGACGTGGGTCACGTGCATGGGGTTGGTCGGGGTGGAGATGGTCGGGCGGCGGGGCGAGCCCAGCATGTTGCTGACGAAGGTGCTGAAGGTGCTCTTCTTCTTGCTGTCGGGTTTGCGGGCCTTGGCGTCGCCGTCGGCGCTGTAGCGGTTGCGCGGGCTGCGGGTGCCGGGCGGGGCGTCCATCTTGCGGGCCAGCTGCTGGAACGACGTCGACTGGCGCAGGCGCGGGCTCTTCTTGAAGCGCGGCGGGTTGCCGTCGCTCGTCTGCGAGTGGGCGGGGCCCGGCGGGCGCAGCTGGCGGGGCGCGTGCGAGGGAGCCCCCGCGACGATGCTGGTGAACGAGTCGCCGACAAGCTCGTGGCTGGACGGCAGGCGGTTCGCGGGGTGGTCGTGGAAGCCGTAGGCGCCGTTCGCGTCGACGGTGCGCGTCTCGGTCACGGGCGTGAGCAGCGACGGCGAGCGCCTGAGCGACTGGTCGGCGGGCGAGGCGCCAAGGCCACCCGAAGAGAACGCGGAGCTGCCAGAGCGCTCGAAGTAGCTGGCGGCCGACGGGGCGCGCTTGAGCTGGCCGGCAGTGCTGTACTTGTTATTGTAGCTGACAGGCGGCGGCGCGCGCGTCTTCTTGGACAGCCGCCGCTGGGCCGCCTTGCTGTCGCGCTCGTCCATGGCGGGCTGGGCCGGGTGCCAGCGTTGCACAGGGAGCGGCAGTCAGCGTCGCGGAGCGAGCGAATGGCGAATGGGGGGCAGAGCGAGGGCAGGGCGGGCGGGCGATATGCGATGGCTCTATGGCTCGCAAAGGGAAGCGCTCGAGGGCGAGGAGCCGCAGAAAACATGTGCTGCACAGACAGCGCCGCCGTCCTGCCATCCTGGCTGCTAGCCCTCGCGCCGAACGGGGCAGCGCTCGAGTGTGGCCGCGCTCATCTCCACACGCGCTGGGCTGCCGCGCTCATTTCACGCCCACAGCCCTGCCGGCTCAACGGCCTGCCAGCATGCGAGGGCGCCGCTGCGTGCGTCACTGCGTGCACAGCACACCCACGGCACTGCGCTGCCAGGCCGCCCGGCCATGCGCTGCCAGTGCTGCACTGCGTCCTCCCGACGGGTGTCTACGAGGGTTTACGACCTGCCTGTCTGTCTGCCGTCTGCATATCCACCTGCCTGCCCACCACTGCCCTGCTATCCACGCTATCATGCTATCAATGCCTTCCACCGTCGTCATAGCCCCTCGAAACACGCTTCCACCAGAGCGGTCTGCGCTGGCCCTGGCCCGGCTGCTGGCGCTTCCCCACCTGCGACTCGCAGTGCCACGGCCGGCGCCACACCGACTCTGCAGACACTCAACGTCGCTCCCGTCTCGCCTTGCGTCGCACTAGCACTGCCGGCCATCTGTCAGATCCCACGCGTCCAGGCATCGAGACATGCCATCGACTGCCTCCACCACCACCCCTAAACACGTGCCCCGCCGCTTGCAGTCAAACACGCCCGCCGCCGCACCCACAGCCCTTGTCTCACCTCGCCAACCACAGTCGCACATGGCCACCTCACCTCGCCCTACGTCTCCTGCCGCAAGGCACAGCGTCAAAAGAAACGCGTCCTCAGCATTCTGAGCCCATGAAACGCGCCATGCAGACACTCACACTCGCCAGCGCAGCAGCACGTCGCACACGCTCCTGCTCTGCAGACTGTCAAACCGTCCGCTCAAGACATCAGGTCACCTGCCAGGCACCGCGCCCAAACTCCGCGCCCGCAGCCCCCAGCCTGCAAGACACTGCACCAACAACCCTATCGGCGACAGCACCGTCGTACATACATACGCCTCCCAAACTGCACTGGCGCCCGCTCACCTGAACTCTAACCCCCCAGCGCCAACCTTCCGCCGCGGCCACGGCCCCCGAGCCGCCGCAACCTGCACACCAAACGCAAACGCCCAGCGAGCGTCATGGCCGCTGCACCGGAGCCGCTGATCAGCACCGCACGCCGCGCGAGTGGCCCCGCACCGCGCCGATCGCAGGGCCTCTCTCGTTCTGGACAGCCCGCTCGAGCGACTCTGAGACGACTAACCTACCATTTCATTTCGGCGCGAGCCGATTCAGGCCTCGGGCGCACACCACTACGATCGGCCCGCCTGCGCGAACGCCGACGCAGGTACGCACCACGCCTGCGAGGCTGCAACCCGCGCGGCCTGCACACTGGTGCGCGCCCGCGCGCTCCCAACAGTGCGACCGCAGAAGCTGTTGAGCGTGCTGACTGCGTCGTGTGGTGGTCGTCAGACGCCGGCCGCTAGTCGCTAAGCGAGGCGAGCATCCCGACTAGGTCCTCCGTGTATTGTAGGTAAGCACGACAGGCCCGGCATTTTGCACAGGAAAAAACCCGCGCCGCAAAAAACCGTTATGGTTAGGTAAACCTAGGTTTTCGAACCACCGCGCACGGTGCAAACAGTAGGTAATTACCTCTAGCTCCCCCGTAAAGTGTAAGTATGTAGTAGGCGAATATGTACACATACAGACACCCCAATCTGATAAACCTTTGCCCATGACCTCAGTGTCCCCGTTTGTACCAGCACCGCGAGTCCCGTTCCCGCAAGGCCTCCCGCGCCACCGCCGCTGCTGCTGCTCCGTTCCTTCACCGCACCGTGCGCGATACGTAGGCCCCGACTGACCGCCCACTGCTGTGTACACTGTGTACACTGTGCCCTAGCCCAGCCCAGCGCGACTCACCGCTCCCCACGCCAAAACAGATTCTCGTCGTGCTGGATGGAAGGTGTCCTGTCCACTGTCTATCTATGGCTACTGTGCATGTCCGCTGTTCACGTTCATTGCTCACTTTCACTGTCCATGTTCACTGTCCGTCTCACTGTCCATCTCACTGTCCATGCCCACTGTTTATGTCCACTGTGCACCCACCATCCATCTCCTCCCCCGCCGATGCAGCAAGAAACTAGGAGCGAGCGGGCCTGTCCAGCGCTCTCTTGAAGTCGGAGCGTGATGTCTTGGGCGCCAGAGCTGGGTGTGCGGAGCGAGGAAGTAGGCGGTGGTAGGTGCGGGCGGATACAACACGTAGTCCCGACAGCGGACGACTTTCCCCCGCGCCTACGAGCACGAGTGACGCCAGAGGAGAGCGCGAGACTGCATGGGTGAACAGATGAACAGGTAGGAGAAGATGACGCGTCGGAGTAGCATTTGTAGGATGCTGTCAGTATATCAGCGGCCACATCAGTCACGCCGCCCAAACACGCATTACGAGTTGGTACAGGAAACAACGTTGAAATTGAACCCGTCGTGCGGGTGAACATAGCGCGGACAGGACTAAGAACCGATACGAAACCCCCCTGACAAAATGCCCAAATGCGCCCTTGAGGCGCTTTTGTATAGTACAGAAACCCAAAATCGAAGAAGAGACGCGAACACTACCGCCGCGATTATGTATACGAAACGCCCCTTATGCGGCGCTCAACTTGACAGTACCCTTGTATTCGCCGGCGGGGCGCTCCTCAGCCATGCGACGCACGATGCCGTTCTTGAGCTTGCCGAGAATGGACGGGCCGTCGGGTTTGGTATTCTCGCTGCTGCGCGCGCTCGCGGGGACCGCCTCGCTGGACGCTATAGAATGCAAATCAATACAACGTCAGAAGAAGAACGCGGTTTACCGGTTGCCGAGCAGGGGCTGCGACTCGGCTGTGTTTCCACCCTTGTTCTTCTTCTTACCTCGCTTCTTGCGCTTCTTTTTCCCGTCGGCCTTGCTGGCGTGCGCCGACTCGTCTTCCGATTGTTGTCTCGAGTCTTGGGCACCGTCAGCTTGGCTGCTTGCGAGCTTGTCTTCGGAGTCACTAGAACTTGTGGTTTCCAGGACAATCTTCTTCACGCCGTTGACGTCGATGATGTTCTCCGATATGCTGCCACTGCGGGCGGTGTGGCGTTTCTTGGGGGGGCTGCGGGAGCGAGACTTCTCAGAGCGCAGAGATCCGATCGTGCTGTGGGAGTTGCGACGCCCCTTTGATTGCCCACCGTTCTGGCCGTCAGTGTTCTCCGATACAATGTCGGCGTATGTCGGTTGAGCACCGGGAGAGATGCCATCGTCACCAACGTTCTTAGCACTGGTTCGGCCAGACTTCCAAGACATGCGGTCGCCACTAGGAGCGGCCATTGTACCATATCCAACGGCCAGACTGTGCACGCCGTCGCTGGCCTCGCCAGCGGCAGATGAGAGGAGACCTTCGCCAATGCCTCCCTCGGGAGCATGCGATGCTTGAGCAAGGACACCTTGCGATCCTGGCCGAGAATGCTCGGGGATCGTAGTGGGAATTTCGGGTTGCGGGAGGGCTATGTTGCCAGGCTTGATCTTCACGGTGTTGATGCGTGTAGACTTGGGTCGGTTGGCGGCGTTCGATGGTCCGAGATGCTTCAGGTGCTTCATGACTTCGGGGTCGTCAGCACGGAGAGGATCCGCAGTCTTGTTGCCCGTGCTACGGCGACGAAGGGTAAACATAGCCGGGCGGAGGACTTCGCTTTGCTCAGGCATGGACATCTTGCGTGGACCACCATTCTGCTCGGTATCAGTCTCGTCGTCCACAACTGGCGCCTCAGATGTTCGGCGTGAGACGTCCACGACCACAGCGCCCTTCGGTACGCGGCTTCGCGGGGCAGGCGCCATGCGGCGGATAGCTTTGTGAACATCAATGAATACGTCAGACTCGTCAATGATTTCCCTGTGATTGTTAGCAAGAAACTGCATTGCATGCAGCGAGGTGACTTACTCTCCAATGAGCTCCTCGATGACGTCTTCCAGCGTAACAACACCGACAGCGCCGTGGGAGTCGCCGGGGAAGTCCGAAACAAGCACCATGTGGGACTTGCCCTCCTGGAAGAAATTGATGATGTCTAGACAGCTAGTCTCGGGTCGGGTCTCGGGCAGCGTAGCCAGGGCAAAGTCGCGGACGCGGAGGGCGTCTTCAGGGTCATAAGTGATCAGCATCTTGACGAGCAGCATGCCAACAAAGTCGTTCTTGTTCTCCGGAGTGTGGATAGGAATGCGAGAGTAGCCAGCGGAGAGAATGTTCTCCATCATCTTCTCGTCGAGTACGGTGTCGGACGGCATGGTGAAGACATCCTTCATGGGCGTCATGATGCCGCCGACAGCCTTGGCCTTGAGGTCGAGGACGGCCGAGATGATGGTGACTTCGTCCTCGTTGAGGCGCTCTTCGGCGTGGCCGAGCGACTTGTGCAGCGTGACCAGGCTCTTCAGGCCGGCCTTCTTGTAGGTGGTGCCGTGGTCCTCACCGAGGAGGTAGTCGAGCAGCTTCGCCGTGGGCCAGGCAATGGGCGACATGATCCACATGAGACCGAGAACGATGGGCGCACACCAGGCGCCAATGGGCAGTCCATAGCGGACGCAGATAGACTGGGGCACGACTTCGCCAAAGATAACTAGATGGTCAGCGACACGCGGTGCAGGCGGATGGAGATGCGGTACCAATGAGGACGGTGGAGCTGAGCACGGCGGGCCAGCCTCCTCCCAGCGAGCGGTCGAGTACGATGGGCAGGGTCTCGTTGGTGATGACATTGCTAAGCAGCAGCGTGACAAGGACCCAGTGCTTGCCGTACTTGAGCAGGCGCAGCACCTTGGTCGACGTCCTGCGCTCGTGCGGCTCGCCCGAGGTGGCAAGTACCTGAAGGTAGATCTCATCCTGGCCCATCAACCTGCGATCGTCAGCGGTCGGACAACGGCGGGAGGGTCGCGTAGACGTACGCAATAGTGAGGCCGGCGAAGACGCCGCCAGCGAGCACCAGCCCGACAGCGATGCCCAGGTACAGCCAGAGGCTCGCGTCGTCAGGCGACTTGGGCAGCTCCTCGTCGGCCAGTACGCTCACAACGCCGCCGAGCGGAAGAGCCTTGACCAATGGTGCAAAGGCGTGGAAGATGCAGACGACAAGCATGTGGACGCGCCCGGCGCGAGGGCCAGCAGCGCCGCCCATGGCGCTGGCGCGGGGAGCGCGGATGGCGGAGGCCATGACAGGTGCAGCACCCGGTGCAGAGGGGGTCGGGGGCAGGGAGCGTCTCGCGCAAGTGTGCGAGATGCAGAGGAGTCGCGGCGGGCGCAATGGCTCTGGTGTTGGCAGCGCGCAAAAAGCGGCTGCAACGGCGTCTTCTGTCCCGTGCGGCCCGTCTGCAAACGCAAACACCTGGGCAATCTCTCAACGCAGCCTGTGCCGCGTTGCGCAGAGCACGCCATGGTATTGCCTCGCTGCAGTGCGCAAGTACACCTGCACACTTTCTACAGCCCAGACAGCCAAATGCGTCTCGTCAGCCAGTCCTCTGCCGCTGCATCAGAAACATTTTGGTGGCCCCGCCGTTCGAACACCTCACTAGCGCCCAGAACGTCATCGAGCGCTCACGTTCTCGACGTGAAGCTGCTGAATCAGCCCTTATGTCAGCGACGCTCGGTCGCTCTTGCTCCAACGCGGGTGGAATCCGGGGTAGCGGGCGCTGATTGGCAGCCATTCGGAAACCACCATAAGCCGACATGAAGCGAGCAGCGTGAGCCGAACGTCCGCACCCACTCCTTCCATGGGGTAACGAATTGTTCTGCTCTCATGTAGAACATACTTCCAGCTCGCACCTCTCTGATCACACCCAGGACCATGGCTGCCAAAACACCCTCAATGCGCGTCTTGTCGCGCTACCTGCTCAAGCCGCAAGCACCGCTTCACCCTGCGCGTCGTTCCAGGCCTCACAGCCGACAGTACTCTGCTGCGGCTGCCGGTGCAAGACTGAATGTGCCCCTTGAGTACGACTCGACCCCTCTCCTCCATCACACTTCCAAAGCCGCCCTTGCGAATCCTGAGCTGCCAGAGCACATACGGAAAGGACAGACAAAGCGCATAAACCTCTACACCGCCGTGAACGAGGCACTCCGCCATGCGCTGCAGACAGACGAAAGGGTCCTTGTTTTTGGAGAGGACATCCAGTTCGGAGGTGTCTTTCGCTGCACAATGAATCTTGCCGCCGACTTTGGCACAGACCGAGTGTTCAACACACCATTGAGCGAGCAGGGACTTGTCGGATTCGCGATAGGAGCAGCAGCTGAAGGACTGAGGCCCGTCGCTGAAGTCCAGTTTGCCGACTATGTCTTTCCAGCGTTTGATCAGATTCACAACGAAGCAGCAAAGTACAGATACCGGTCAGGAAGCACAGGAGTGAACTGTGGTGGGCTCACGATACGCATGCCCAGCGGCAGCGTGGGCCACGGTGCCTTGTACGTCAATGTCTGAGAAGTTTACAACCTCATACTTATCTCGAGCAGATACCACACACAGTCTCCCGAGGCTCTTTTCACTCACACCCCAGGACTTCGCGTCGTCGTACCTCGGTCCCCCGTTCAAGCAAAGGGTCTTCTCCTCGCCTCCATCAAGACTGCCGATCCTGTCATCTTTATGGAGCCTAAAATCCTGTACCGCGCCGCCGTCGAGCAGGTCCCTGTCGATGCGTACGAGTTGCCTCTTGACAAGGCTGAGGTGTTGAAGTCCGGCAAAGATGTCACCATCATTTCCTACGGTACACCACTTTATACATGCTCAGCTGCCATAGCCGCCGCAGAGAAAGACTTTGGCTGCAGCGTGGAGTTGATCGATTTGCGGACCATCTACCCTTGGGACCGAGAGACAGTCTTGAACAGCGTGAAGAAGACTGGCAGAGCAATCGTTGTCCATGAAAGTATGATGAATGCTGGAGTTGGCGCAGAAGTGGCAGCAACTATCCAAGAACAAGCATTCCTGCGGTTGGAGGCACCGGTCAAGCGTGTAGCTGGCTGGGCGACACATACAGGGCTGGTGTTCGAAAAAATAATCATCCCTGATGTTACAAGTAAGTCAAGATCCTTCTATTCGAATATCGAGCATGTACTGACATTTGCGTAGGAGTATACGATGCAATCAAAAAGACAATAGACTACTAGATATCACCATCTTGCACGTAGATGCAGAGGCTCAGCTCCGTCTGGCCAAGATCACAAATGAGAACAAAAACACTCTGATACCTTCACTGTATGCATCTGAAACCCAAAAGTAAATCTGACGTTCCTTACAGTGATGTGCGGAGTTTGAGACGCCTGACGTCACAGATCGTCAACTATAAGCATTGGAGGTCTTGTGCAGCACAATTCCTCATTACCGGACTACAGCCATGAGATGTAGACTGAATATAACTGAGATTTCCTCTTCTCTCCAACCTGAATGATAAGATGGCGTTTCTCGAAGACAATTCCATCACACGATACACCACACCACCAAACAACTACATTGGCTCAACTTTATTCATCTCCTATATTGTGGCCGCATTATATCTTACAGCAACAATCAGCTACTCGCTCTATACAAAATACACAAATGTATTCCACTCCGGTTCCTCCTCGTCACCGAGCAACTCCAAGCAGAAAGCCACTGAGGCAGTAAAAAATGCGCGTGCCCGCCACATCAAGATATACACAGCCCTGGCACTCATCAGCTTCACCAGCATCTCATGGCACATGCTCAGCTTCCTGATCACCTCGTTCCTCGACTGGAACAACTACCTGCCCCGCAACATCTTCACCGCACTCAGCGACCACGCCCCCCAAAAGCTGAAGACCTGGATGCTCGAAACAAGCCTCTTCAACTCCTTCGCCGTCCAGCTCGTCGCCGACGGCGAAAGCGCTATATGGACCCAACTCGCGCTGCTCGCAACCTGGGCCTGGAACCTCTGGCTCGCGCACAAAGGTGCGTCTCCGCGCTCACTCTCTCGCATGACTAACCCGCAAAAGCTCGCCAGTACAACTTCACCCCCACACAGATACTCCCGTTCATAGTGCTAGGTCAAACACTGCCTATAAGCTTCACCGCCGCGCTGTTTATAATCCACCTGCACCTCTCCGCACCCGATCTCGTCGGCCAGAAGCAGCAACACCCCGAACAGCCCAACCGCCCCATAGCCTCCCCCCTCATCCCGTCGATCCTCCTCAATGCGCTCCTCCTCGCCCAGCCACCCCTGCGCTCGCATCCCAACTTCTCCTTCCTCGTGCTCGCCGAACGCGTTCTCCTCACGCTGCCGCACACCGGACTATTGCGGCTGGGCGGCGCAGAGGCGAAGAAAAGCGCGGCGGTTTCGGGGGGCTTTGTGGTGGCGCACTGGGCGGGGTTGAGGAAGGGCGTGAGTGTTTGGGGTGTGTGCAGGGCGCTGGTGGGAGGGGGAGGGGCGGTGAAGGCGTTGGGGTGGGATGCTGTGATGGGGGTGGTTGTGTGGGGGGTTCTGAGTTGGGGTGGTGGTGTGTAAGCGATGGGTGTGCTGTGAAGGCTGGATGGGATTGGATTAAGAAAGTAGAGTTTTCTGGGGAGGTTACTTTGGCTCGTGAGCATGTGCAAAAGTTGCGTATAGCAAGATGATGGGGAAGTTGTGAACATCGTATGTTGGGCTGTGACATTCTATGACTATTAGATTACTGGCTGAGACACAGTACTATCAGGATATACACCTAAGGCTGTGAAGATGTAGGTCCTGTGTTAGATCTAGCGTGGCGGAAATACTGTCAAGTATTGGTGCAGTGTAGCATATCACAGTAGCAGTTCCCCGGTATACTCTGATGTGAAAGGAGATGTGTTGGCCTTCGAAAAAGAAGTCGTCAAGTCCATACCGTTCCAGTGGAAGATAATTCATGCCTCTGGCCACAATTTACACACGTAATCCTACCGAGAGACTCTGGATCATGTCGTAATCAGTTTGGAACTTTGGTGTCTGTGTTGGCCAAGGGGTTGTGGCATTGTACTCGTCAAGGTGCAAAGCGAAGATGTTGGCTAGAGGCGGGCGGCCTAGAGCTATGACTACCGTGTTACTAATATCAAAGTAGGCCTCCCACGCATTCGCAAATATTTTACTTACACGCAAATTCTCTGATATTCGCGTTCTACTCGTTTCCCGTGAACAGTAGAGACAGACAGCTGCAGGTTCCGATGTAGGAAGACTAAGAGCCTCCGCCTCCAAGTAGGCCGAGCGCCGTAGTTGTAGGTATCTAGGGGACTTGGACGAGACTTGTTAGCCGCATCTGGGGAGCAGAGGATTCAGGTCCCAATATGGCCGGCTCAATTGGCGGCCTGCCTGAATTGTCGGGTTGTTGTAATTGGGAAGGAGCAGGGACGTGTTGCTGCGGTGTAGCTGGATCAGGCTGTATGATGTACGTGAAATTAGAGTTAACATTACCCGGATGCAATTGTTGTCGAACAACACGTGGAGCTGGTTTGAGAACTCTTGCTAACGAGCCCCCTTTTTGCAGTCTGTATCGCCGTTCGAGGATATAACCTTTGTAGGTAGTTTTAGACATGTCTCGGAAGAGGTAACTCCGGTTGGGAAGAGGTTTGCTAGTCAGGTTTGAAGTGGAGTGATGGCAGGAGTCTCGAGCAGGTCCAGAACGGACAGCTCCGCAGAAATCGGCTCGATAATGGGATGGGGCAGAATACCAACTGGGTTGGAAGTGTTTGCTGCAATCCTTGGCAAGATAGGTACCAGTCTGGACGGAAGTGTTTGTATCTGGCGGTCATCTCGGTAGTGATCGAAGTCGTCGGTCACGGTGTGGGTGGTGTGCTCACCCACCAGTAGTGTTGCAGCATCTGATTGACGTACTGAGTTTGGTGATGGTGCAACTAGTGCTTATGGTGTATTAAAGCGCTGAGCTGCTTTGTGCTTGGCTGCGCGCTGCTGTCTATGTGCATCGATACGGTGGAAACAACTGGCCCACAGATACTGTTGGAAGGAATCGGTTGACTGAACTATTGAGGGAAGCCCGGAGATAGGCTTATAGTAAACACCGCTTGAGATACCGGAGGCACTCGCGCTCTAACAGATGTCAGACACTAGCGAACTTCCCTTCCGCTTGTGTACTAACATTCGTGCTTCTTGGTGAAGTGCCATGTGGCCTACTTGGTTCTCTTTCAGACAGCCCAATTTGGGTGTTTCTGCTGATAAACGAAACCCCCAGGTTTTCTCGCATGAAGTCGATATATGGAACACACATTACCGAGACAACAAGATAAGGTCTTGGACCTGGCCATTGTCTCTCAAGCTTCAGAGAAAACGGCGGAGAAGACCTTGAAGCTTACCAACTTTACGATAAACATATTTTGTAGCTATTGTAATACCCAAAGCTAGAGTTTAGTTGAGAATTACCCACATTGTAGGCAAAACAGCATTCTGCAGCGTTTTTAGTAGTTTCCCTACTTTGCTGTCGTGTGGTGTACTTGCAATTGGCTTACATCCTCAGTCCGCCGTTTGCTCTGCAATGTGAGAAATTGTGCTGCCGTGGTATTCGCTGAATGATCTTTGAAAATCTCGGGTATATCTCATTGGTTGTTGGAGGTGGTTTCAGCTAATGTGGAATCAACCTAAGCTTCAGCAACTGTTCTAACAGTTGGCTCAGTAGATGTATTAGGTAAAAGCTTGGGCTGCTCTACCCCAGATCTCGGTTCGATCCGGTGGAGATGTCGCGAGCGATCCGCGTTCCACACCAACCACATCGAGTCTAAGTAAGGGAAGATACACACGTCATTGACTCGAAACGTCACGAAGCTGTCACCAAAGGTACGCATAGCTCCCTACCAGTTAGGAAAAGAGCTCAGAGCTCCTCCCAATTCCACCGTCGTACAACCTCCAATTGACATCCGACAACTACCAAATCCTCGAACACCTCCATCACTCACAATGACATCCCGAGCATTCACACCCGCGCTACGCAGCGTCCTCCGTGTCTCAACCCGCGCCACCCCCCGCCGCTTCCTAAACACCGAAACCGCACCCAGCCTATACACCGCACGCGCAAAAGTCGTCGGCGCACGCGTCGGGTAAGCCAGCTTGACCTTACCCGGAACACAACTAACCACTCCCTTAGCCACGTCGATGGCGAGAACCTCAAAGTTGACCTCACCATGGCGAAAGCTCTAGGCGGCAAAGGCGACGCCGGCAAGACCAACCCGGAGGAGCTCTTCGCTGCTGGCTACGGTACGTCTTCCCCTTACCCATCTACCTACCTGTGTGTAGCGTTCTAACAGCCCCAGGTGCGTGTTTTCAGTCCGCGATGAACGCCGTGGCGCCCAGCGTTAATGTGAAGATGCCAACAACGCCCGAGGATTCGGTGGTCGAGACCAAGGTGCATTTGGTCGGCAGCATGAAGGATCTCGATATGGGGCTGCGGGTGGAGATGCACGTCAAGGTTAAGGGACTGTCGAAGGAGGAGCTGGAGAAGGTGGTGTACAAGGCTAGGCAGGTTTGCCCGTACTCGAGGGCGACGAAGGATAATGTGTATACTACGGTGACTTGTGAGACTATGTAAGAAGGAGACGAATACGAAATTTGTATATTAGAGCGTGGCGTGTTTGCTGTCAGCGTGGGTTAGGTAGCTTGAGTTTCTGGTTATTGGTCGATGGTGTTGTAGGTCATTTTACTACCAAAACACCAAGAACCGAGCTTCGGCTCTACAGCAAAGGATTATCACCGAAGCTTGGAGAAGTGGGTTTGATCTCGCATGAAGTGATTGATATAAAGACAGCATAGAGAACGTACGTTGCCCAATCGAAAAGCAGGACTCTTCTCATTCGGGCCTGGCTCGATTTACAGGGGTCGACATCGGGCTAATGAATGCCACCGGCGCGGCATATATTCAGCAAGTCAGAGATTCCAGGAGAGCATTTTAGCTGTTTTGGATTACCAAACTCTCATTACCTAAATACCCGTGAGCTATTACTTGGTCCATCTGCCCTTCTGTAAGTCTGAAGACGTTCGACCAATTGATTTGAAGGGGCTTCATGCATCAGTCTGTTAACTTAACATTATATCATGATACCGATTTGTAATATCGAGATTTCCTGAGTCGTCAATCACGCCTTCTGCATTGTCGCGTTGGATGGATATCCTCAGTTTCCCGACTTAGTCATAGATCACTCATTGAAGGCCAGTGGATAATGTTTGCCAGAACTCTTTAATACATAGCTCAACGGTCTGCGAATATTTATAAACACTCCTTCCACTACTCACACTGGGAGTTTGTGAGGAGATTACTAGAACCAGCCCATGCCCTCCTTCCTGCGTACCGCAACATGCATAAAGATGTACACACACATACCAAACCCAAGCATACCCGATATAACACCAAAACCCATAAGATACTTGGGTTTATCAGCCGCAGGGAACAGATAAGCTCCGTAAATCTGAGCAAGATTTCCCATGGCATTGACGAGGGCGAGAGCGATTGCCCGAACTTCCGGCTCCATGTCTCCGAACGTGGAACTGGCGAAACTCAAGGCGAGCGCGTTTCCGGACCACAGGCCAGCAGCCATGAGTACTAGCAGCGCATAGCGTGCAGTAAAGTCGTAGATAGTGCAGACGCAAATCGCGGTTATGAGCGCGAAAGCAAGCCAGGAGGCGATTAGTACGCCGCGGTGGTTGGGTACGCGATCCGCGAAGTAGGTTGTGACGGCCGTGCAGAAGAATGCAACAGCGTAGATCGGTGCGGTCATGTATTGCGCCTGGACGCGGTCGGTGTAGCCTAAGCCGGTAACCAGGGTGGGGTAGAAGTAGCTGAGGGTGCTGGAGCCGACGATGACCTGTTTGAATGATCAGTGATGATTCAGTTGAGAAGCTAGGAAACTCACCATATAGCCCAAGACAAAGCCAATGGTGCGCCAGTCAAGAACGGCGAGCTTGAAGGACTTAGCCTTGCCCATGCGCTCATCACCAGCGTTGTAAGACTTGACTCCGCCTTCGCGGAGACGAGCAACGGCAATCGCACGCTCGCGTTCAGTGAGCCGCGAGCTGGTAGCTGGGAAGTCAAGCAAGATGAAGGATGCAATGACGGCCCAAACGATTGTTGCGATTCCTTCGATGATGAACAGCCTGATATTTGTCAGCTGTGGTCGTTGATCCTTCAATGTTAATAAGACGTACCATCGCCAGCCGCGTAGTCCTCCTGTACCTTCCATGCCGCCGGTAATAGCGCCAGCCAGAAGACCGCCGAAGCACCCTGATAAGATGGCAGCGGACATGTAGACACCAAAGCGCTTAGACTGCTCGTCGCGCTTGTACCAGGACGAGATGATGAGCAAGACACCTGGAGCTACGGACTAGTCAGCCTGTGATATCCCAGTGGTAGTTGGAAGAATCATACCAAAGCCGGCTTCAAACACACCAACGAAGATGCGGAGAATGACAAGGTGGTGGAAGTGGTTGATTGCGGCCATGATGCATGTGAGTCCGCCCCAAATAACCATGATGGTTGGGAGATACTTGGAGGGCTTCCACCTCACAAGAATCATATTGGACGGGGGTTCGAAGGCCACATATGTAACGAAGAACACCACCAGGGCAATCGAGTATTGATTCGAAGTGAGCTTAAGATCGTCTGCCATGCCGGCAATCCTAGCGTTTCCGATGCTGGTGGTGCATGTGATCAGCGCATGTCAACGACTGCCTCTAGAGTATGCAACACTTACTTCGTACGATCCATGTAGCTGAGAAGGTACATGAGCCAGATCGTTGGCAAGAGATACAGGTCAATTTTCCGGACCAGCTTCCTCTCTTCCTCGGGCGTCCAGGTCAGCTCTTCGGATACCTCGACATGATCCTTAGAGGAAGCCATCACTTTCAGATCAGCAGCTTCGTAGGAGCGCGGCGTCTCCATAATGGCCTGTGCAATATGCAGAGGAAGAAGGCGTAATAATGTATGAGAAGTCTCTGTATGTGATGTCTTATCGACAGATGAAGATGGCCGGGAGTGGCCCTTCCGATGGCGAAGTCCTGCCTGAGCTTTATAGAGAAGCAACTGCAATTCCAACTTCTTAACAGTGTTCTGAACGAGCTTAGTTCAACCCCAGATTCACGGTGACGCTGTACCCCAGACGCGGACAGATGTCAGGGGAGTTGCTGTGAGGAGACCAGGACTGCGGGTTAGCGACACCCATTCATTGGTTCCTGAGACGATCGTAACAAAATGATGTCGAAACCAGCATGTCTGAGCCACTTGTTTGTCTCGAGACGGGGACTAGTCGGAAGTGTGGCGCCAAGATGCGGAGAAGGCACTGGAGAAGATGCGCTAGGCCAGGGCCTAGTCAACGAGCTCGTTGCGAGCTACTTCGACGCGCAAATCGGCACTGTGCGGCGGGGGCCTTGAAGCGTGGGCTGGATTATCTTTTCGTTGGAAAGGCGGTAATATCCGACCGGTCTTGATCGCCACACTGCAGATGGATTTGGGAGTCGAGCGATTGTACTTAAAACGTTGCACTGCCTGAAGGGTGCCGTCTCCGTCCATAAAATAGTTCCAGCTTTCCCCTCTTTTCGCTTGACCTTCCACTCTCTCGTCAGAGTTCCTTGACTTCACACCCACAATATGTCTCCTTCAGCTATTGTTTCCGAGGCCGCGTCCGTGCTCGCCAATGGTTCGACGGCTGGGAAGCCCGAAGTTATCGAGCAGACAGGCATCCCGCCGTACTTATCGACGATGCCCGGAGAGGATTTCGATTGGAAAGTTTCGCTGAAAAACAAAGTCATAGCCATCACTGGAGCCAATCGCGGTATTGGTCTTGGTCTTGCCACCGTATTCCTGGCGAATGATGCCGCCCACATTTACTCTCTGGATCTGTTCGAACCTGGCGAGGAGTTTGAAGCGCTTCAGAAAGCCCATCCGAAGCGCGTTCATTACTTGAGCTGCGATGTCACCTCGGAAGAGAGTGTCACCAAGGCTGTTGATCAAATTGTAGCACAGTCTGGCGCCATTCACGGCATGGTTGCGAACGCCGGTATGACGAAGCACCAGCCAGCCTTGGACTTCGACCAAGCCCAGCTTGAACAAATGTTCAACCTCAATGTCTTTGGCGCGTACTATTGTGCCACTGCTGCCGCGAAGAAATTCATTGAGTTGGGCATCAAAGGCAGCGTTGTGTTCACTGCCTCAATGACCTCCTATCGCCCCAACCGAGCTGGACCTTCGGCACCCTACGGCGGTACCAAGGCGGCCGTTCGCAACATGGCACACACCCTCTCGATGGAATGGTCAAAGCACGGCATCCGTGTGAACAGCATCTCTCCAGGATTTGTCAGGACACAGATGACTTACAAGATCGAGCGCGCACCGGATTTCGCAGAGAAAATGCACTACTATGGCGGCATGCCCAGGTTGGCTGACCCCAGGGAGCTCGGTGGGGGTTATGTTTATCTGCTGAGCGACTCTGCGTCATACACAACCGGAATCGACATTCCTATTGCGGGTATCGTTGGCGCTTGGTAGGGCCGACAGCTGTTCCAAGTTGCTGCTGCATTGGGAGGAGTTTGGGTAAAAGGCTGGCGGTCTCGACTTTTCGATTCCCATATTATAAACGTCTATAATGAATGTTACGAATGATCTGAAAACATATGGATACTGATCGTCGTGATGTGACACTCGGCTTACAGGAATGTGCGTTGTGAATCGAACCTACCTAGGCAGGTAGTTCATCGAACATCATGCAGGCCTAGTGACATAGCATCGCAAAATGCATATACAAAGCAGGTGAGGGCATGTTCTAAGCGCGTACGAGTAGTGCAAGAAGTATATGTCAGCAGTAAAATCTCCGCGGCGGAAAGGTCAAGAGTTTCAAGACTGGCTGGCCAAGAGCCGCTCGTAAGATACCGGGTGCGCTTACCGGTAGGTATTGATTCCAGCCAAGCCGTCCCCTTAGAGACCTGGTTTGTACCAAATGCGAGTTTAAGACAAAGTTGGCAGACTCATTCCCAAAGCTGCGGCTCCAGGCCTTACGTATTAAGTTTGAGCGCATCACGTGTCCGCCGACTGCCTGCTTCCGCAGAGCTGAACTGCCGGGATCAAAATCGTTCCTGCGTCCCCACAGAACACGGAAACCCGCTTGTCAGTCCAATCCAGTGAACTGAGAGCTCGATCTCGACCTCGAAGCGAAGTCACCTCAGCATGCGCAAACTTATTTGAGATGCCGATTACATCATCAGGCGCTCCGAAATCGCGAAAGCCGCGTCCTTCCAGAGCAAGGGGCTTAAGGACAACAACAGGTTGGTGAGTAAACCTTGCACGAACCTTGGCTGGACCGCTGCATATCTCCCATTCAGTCCAGAAGTTCCTTGTGACACAATATAGCTGGATTTGCCTTAGTCTTCTCGTTCTGTACTGATCAGAACTTCAGTTTGACCTGCAGAGGGCGCCGCATCAAATGTGATGAGCAGAGACCACGCTGCGCGACCTGCATCAAATCAGACAGAGAATGTCGATATGCATCGCTCAACGACGTTCCTACGAGCACGGCAACAAATGGATCGACGCCACCGGCTCATGCAATTGCATCGCCGGCACTGGCCAGGAGGTCGATCACCAGCGAATCTCCATTCAATAACTCGCCGGAGCTACATTTTGACTCGCCGTTGACTACTGGAAGTATAGCGTCAATGCCTTCACCAAACTCAGCCCCCTATGAGTGGTACGACTTGCTTGCTGAAGATGCGATCCAAAATGTTGCAAAATACAATCTCAACTTGGATGTTGAGAAGCCACGAAGAGAGAGCCCCGAAGAGGAATCGCCCTCGCTTGACCCCCAGCTACGATCACCAGATCAAGATCATGATCACCAGCTGGGGTCACCACTCGACCAGATGTCATCGCCAGACCAAGTTCACAGGCTACCATCCATCATGGAAGATCAGTGGAACTCTGTCGAGAACATACCTTTAACGCAAGACGAGTTGGTACTATTTCAACACTATGTCGCCGTGGTCGGCCCTATCCTGGATCTCTGTGACCCCACCCAACAATTCTCAACAGCCGTGCCCCGTCTTGCTGTACATAATCTGGGTTTGCTGAAGTCACTACTGGCAGTAGCAGCGCGTCATCTCGCGGCGCTCAACCAGCCACCACTCCCGCAACCTACCAACGACTCCAACATAGTAAACCCGCTTATCAATGTTGCTACGCAATACTACTACGAGACGTTATCATACCTATCCCAGAACCTAAACCAAGGCAGTTACTCGAAGTCCAGGGAGATAATCTCAACGTCACTTCTGATCAGCACTTATGAGATGTTCGATGCCGAGGGCCAGTACAACAACGGTGCGTGGGAACGCCATTTGCGTGGTATTTTCTGGATCCAGCGGTCACAGAACAACAACGGGTAAGTGTTTGTTACAGAGCCGCGATACAAGTACTGAATGTCACCAATGATGCGTCTTGATCATGCAGCAAACAGAACTGCGACAACAGCTGACAACCTGCAGTGAATGCAAGGATCCGCTCAGAAGAGCGGCATGGTGGGCTTGGATACGTCAAGATACCTGGGTCGCTTTTCGAGAGGGCCGTAGGGTGTTGACGATCTGGAGACCGCTGCGACGGCTCGACGATCTAACACCCGATGAGCTGTGCCTCAGGATCATCTACATCTGCGGGCGATGCGTAGACTTTGCGTCCGGCGAGTCCCTTAAGAAATACGATGTGGATACTCGTATAGACCAGGGTAAGAAGCTTACTCAAGCTCTCACGGATTGGTACAACATATTGGGGTCTTCGTTCCAGCCGATCTACAAACCTGCACTGCCGACGCAAGACACTTTCTTCTCGCCAATATGGATTCACCCTCCGTCACACGCGGCTGCAATACAGACATACCAATTCTCTCGTATTATTGTTGCTATCAACGAACCTTCGATGGGCGGCATGGAAGACATGCGCAACCGGCGACGAGTCCTCGACGATTGCGTTGAGACTATCTGTGGCATTGCGAGTACACATCAAGGCAGGGAAATACCCAGTGCCATGATCAACGTGAGAGCTCTGTATGCCGGTAAGTGTTCAGAAACTCATCGATTATTCTCACTTGACTGATTTTGACGCAGCCGGTCTTGCTGTACGGGATCCTGTCAAGCAGGCTGGTGTTCTTCACCTGCTGGAGAAAACACTCGAGGTCACCAGATTTCCTCCGAAGAGCCTTTTGCAAGATCTCACAACCCATTGGCAAGCAGAGCAATGATAACAGTAGGCTCTGTATTATGAGCTTGCTATCTCCGACATTCTGCGATCCGACCCCTCCCTTTGTCGGCGCTTTACCGCGATGCGAGGCACACATGATACGAGCGCACTCGTTGCACAGCTCCACATGTGGGGTGACAGCGCGGGGTAAGCGACCAGCTGCAAGGCGATGATCAGCCTCCACACTTCGAGCAGTTCGTGCCTCGAGACGGGGCACCCGGCCCAACAGCGTCTTCGGGTGCAGCCGTGGAGCTGGAGCTAACTAGGCCGCTTCTGTCACGCTCCCTGCTTCTGATGCTCGACTCGAGCACCAATAGTACTGCATCAATTCCGCAGGACCTCCGCAGCCTGTATCTGGGCGGTTGGCTTCGGTTTCGACAATCTGAAGCTATGAACGAGTGAGCGCAGGACCATGCTCAAACTTCAACAGCTTCTGTACACACAATCTATCTCAAAAATTACTCGTGCAACATGATGGATCTTAAAGATAACCGTACTTTGCGCATCCTCAATGCTGCAGCTACAGGCAAATATGGTATTCTGTCAGCCATTGCGTAGGGTTCCATGTACCAATTGCCCGGCAAGAGTACTCACCTGTTCCAGTTACAATGTCGAGCAACTCACGGCTCTTGTTCGCGCTGCTGAGGCAAAGCGGTCGCCCCTCATTATTCAACTTTTCCCATCAACACTTATACAGCTTCCGCTGCTAGCGCACGCCGCTGCACATGCAGTCAAAACTGCTACTGTCCCGCTGTCGCTGCATATCGATCATGCACAGAACGAAGCGCATATCCGCGAAATCATTGCAACTTTACCGGTGGATTCAGTCATGGTCGATATGTCACATTACGACGAGGCCGAGAATCTTGAGAAGACGCAGCGTCTAACAATAGAATGCCATGCAAAGGGAATTGCTGTGGAGGCTGAGAGTGGGAGAATCAACGGGGGTGAAGACGGTATCGCAGACACCGGAGATTTGGAAGGTGAGAAGGCAGCTCTTCAGCCCGAGATATCATACACAGCACTGACATCGTTAATTAGCACTATTCACATCTCCCGAAGACGTCGACAATTTCATCGCCGCGGGCGTCGACATCCTCGCGCCCTCCATCGGCAATGTGCATGGCGACTACGGGCCCTCTGGCCCCGCAGAGGGACAAATTCACTTCGACCGTCTCGAGGCCATTGACAGACAGATCAACCAGCGAGTGCTAGTAGCGCTGCACGGCACCAACGATTTCCCGGCAGAGGTCATGCAGAGATGTATACGCGCTGGTGCAATCAAGCTGAACGTCAACAAATTGTTGTTGGAAGTTGGCAATGAGGTGCTTAGACAGAACGCGGCAAGCACGCCGCTGGTGAAGTTGATTGATCAGCAGATGGATGCCATACAGGCGGAGACCGAGCGGTGGATGGATATCTGTGGGAGTAGCGGGAAAGCATGAGATGACATGTTTCGGACAAGAAGATCATCAGTGGGCCTGCAGATTCGTTTACTGCGGCAGTGGAGCTCGAGATATCTAATGCCTAGATACTCGATGGTACTTCATTTGTACTCGAATGGATGATGCCCACAGACGAGATTAGCGACGTCCCCTGAATTTTCCTGTCTTCCAAAGCTGACACTACACGGGAGGGAGTGAGTGCTCGTTAGGATATGCGTATTTTAGCCTCAACCAAACACGAAAAAGCTTGGTGAGCAATACGCAGTCTTCGGATGCGAAAAGAAAGGCGGTAACGCACCTGTGGGAAGCCAGGAGGTTTGAATGATTGTACAAATCGTGAGAACCAGAGATCAAATTCACCTGTCGGAGCATCCTGCTCCTTAATCTACTACTTATACTATCAAATGTCCGCGTGCTAGTCTCTCCTCAAGTTGATCTGCTCTCACGGGTCCAATCAGTGCCACTCCTCCAACCCAACATCTTCATGCTCGACGTGCTCCGTGCTATACTCAGAGACTCAAACAGAGGCCATACGTAGATCTCGTTTCTTCAGTACCGCCTCATTGGGCTCTTCCCTGCCCAGACTACGGCTTCCAAAGACTTGATGCACAAGCATGCTTGTTGCTGATGACATATACATGTCGCTAATGATGACCTGATTCCAAGATCTGGATTCACATAGTGGCGGGAAAGTGTGGGGAAGGGCGATTATTCCGCATACTACTGGCTCGCAGTAACGCCATTCTATAAACGTCGGAAGCGTTTGTCGTGTTGGTCTTTTTCTTTGAATTCGCTTTCTATTGTTTAACAACATGTAGGCAACCTAACTAGTCGACAAGCCGATGTGAAAGATAAGTGCCCTTTCCGTACAACACTCACGCTACTACAGTAAAATAGGTGCTCATCTACCAATACAAGAGTCCAATCAGCATTTTCAAAGACGGCTGCAATGATGTTTAGCGTTGGTCATACAGTTCTAAACAGAGTCAGAGAATGCCCGTTAGTAGCAAGATCTCATCCCAACTAGCTAGCCACATATTTGACCCAGTGAAAACGGTGCTTGACATAAAGCAATTCCAAGCAGGATGGGAAATGTGTATGCAGTGCTTTAGGTCGCAAGACGAACTGAGCAGCTACTTGGACTTGCAGACCTGGGGTTAGGGGCTATTAGCTGTGAGGAGAATGAGTTTAATGCTACGGAAGTGCTGCAGGCTGGTCGTACATGTCCGGAGTTGGAGAAGCACATACAGAACAGAGTACGTCTGGTGCATGCCGCTGCTGATCGATGTGTAGAAAAGGTGACAAAAACCAGCCAATAGGAGAACAGGGACTACTCAGCGACCGAGCCTTACCAAAGCAAGGTACCCATGTCGACTACCCAGAGCAAAAGCTTATCGATAACACCTCCAAAAACTTTCCTCCAAGTCCACCCCAAACACTCCAACGTAAAGCAAACCCACCAAGTCCCCACAACCACCACCAGACCCCCAAAATGGCAAAACGAAAACGCACCTCCACCTCCCCAGAGCTCTCCACCACCACCCCCGCCGCGCAGAAACTGCTCAAGCACCAAACCCGCGCCCTGACTGCGCGCCTCGCCGCTGCGCAGAAACCGCTCGTCGCCGCCCTCCGCCTCGCCGCCACCTTCGAGCGCCAGAAGCACAGCCGCCGCAAGAAGACGGCGGTGCAGAAGCGCGACAACGCGGCGCTGACGCGGCTCGACGACGAGTACCGCGTGCTCAAGGGGCTGGATTTCGAGGCTGTTGCGAAGGAGTATGTGGGGCGGACGGTGGGGCGGGTGCGGTGTTTGAGGGAGTGTGCGGCGCTGGCGGGGGTTGTGGAGGGGATTGGGGGGGAGAAGGAGAAGGAGAAGGAGAAGGGCGGGGTGGATGCGGCGCGGTTGAATGTGCTGGCGCGGTTGTATAAGGTGCAGGCTGTGAAGAAGGAGATGGATGCGCTGATTGAGGATTTGAAGGAGATTGTTGGGGCGGGGAAGGCAGAGGTGGTGGTGCCGGACGTGCGGCAGGGGGAGAAGAAGAGACGTGCGGTGGAGGTGGCGGATGTGGATGAGGTGGTGGACGTGGATATGATGGATGTCAGCGACGAAGACGGCGTTGCGGCGCGGCTGTTCAATGCGCGGATAGCAGCGCCGTCGTCGGGTGAGGAAAGCAGCGGCGAATTGTCCGACCAAGAGCGGCCGCCGAGTGTCGAGGACAGTGAGAGCGATAGCGGGTCATTCGGTGGTTTCAGCGACGCCGATTCGGATTCAGACGCGGCAATCAGCCGCTCTGTAGCACCGCCCTCCGACTCGGATGACTCGGACTCCAGCTCGTCGCCAGCTCTCGCGTCAGCGAAATCCAGACCTACCAAGGAAGCAGCCAAGCCCACCACGTCGACCTTCCTCCCCGGCCTCAGTCATGCAAACTACGTTTCCGGCGACGAATCTGCTTCCGATCTCGACGAGAAACCGCGCAAGAACCGCCGCGGCCAGCGCGCGCGCCAGAAGCTTGCCGAGTTGAAGTTCGGCGCAAAGGCAAAGCACATTGAAAAGAACGAGCAGAAGAACGGGTGGGACGCTAAGCGGGGTGCTGTCGGCAGTGACGCAAAGCCAGGGAACAGGAAGGACCGCAGGGCTGCGATGAAGGCGTCAGGGGGACGAGGACCAGTGATCAGCGGAGAGAACGCCGCGCCGCTGGGCAATAAAAGGATTGAAGGTGCTGCAGCGAAGCCGGCGCCCAAGCCAGCGCCCAAGCCTAAGAAAGACGATACAGGGCCTTTGCATCCCTCGTGGGCGGCGGCAAAGGCAGCAAAGGAGAGCAAGAAGCTGAAGATCGATCTGGGCGGCGCAAAGAGCGCGAAGAAGATCACCTTCGACTAGACACGATACCCAGTCACGCAACAAAGTTAATATACCTGTATCTACGTGAACACCGGATTCAGCTTCCCAGCAACCCTTTCCATCACCCGCTGCGGCAGCAGACTCTCATACACATGCGCCACCCACTCACAGCACACCCTCCGCGTAACCGCCGGATCGATAATCTCCTCAATGCCAAACGCATTCGCCGTCCGCACCGGATTCATCAGCCGCTTATACTCGTCCTCGAGCTCCTTGTACCGCGCCTCGCGCTTCTCCCGCCCCTCCTTGCGCTCAATCTCCTTCAGCTCAAACGAATGCCCGACCTCGATCCCGCCCTCCAGCGGCAGCGACCCCCACTCGCCCGACGGCCACGCCACGCGCATCCGCGGCTCGCGGCAGTCCAGCATCACCCCGCCCGCAACCCCGTACACGCGCCGCACCACCACGCTGAAGATGGGCATCGACGTCGCGTAGTACGCGGTCGCGAGCGCGATCCCGTGCCGCATCGTCGCCGTGCGCTCCGCCACGGTGCCGATCGCGTAGCCCGGGATGTCGACGAACTGCACGAGCGGGAGGTTGAAGACGTCCAGGAACTTCAGCATGCGCGTTATCTTCTGCGAGCCCAGCGCGTCGAGCGCGCCCGCGTTGACTTCGCAGTTCAGCGACACGATGCCCACGGGTTTGCCGCCCAGGCGCGCGAGCCCGACGATCGCGGTGGTGCCCCACAGCGCGCCGATTTCGAAGAAGGAGGAGTGGTCGACGACGGAGGTGATGATGGTGCGGGGGTTGTACATTCTGTTCTTCGCGCGCGGGATGACGGAGCGGAGGGCTTCTGAGACGCGGTCTATGGGGTCGTCGGCGTCGATGACGGGCGGCAGTTTCGTGCCGCAGTCGGGCAGGTAGCTGAGCACAGTGCGCAGCTGCTCGAAACAGCCCGCCTCGTCGGGCGCCAGGTTGTCGATCGTGCCATTCGTGCAGTGGACCGCGGGCCCGCCGAGCTCCGTGAACGACAGCCCTTCCTCGAACGTCGCGTTCGCAACCACGCTCGGCCCCGCGTTGAACAACGACCCAATGTCCGCCGCCATGACAGAGAAGTGGCACGCCACCACCCGCGCAGCGCCGAGCCCAATCGCCGGCCCCACGACGGCGCCCAGATTCGGAATCCCCAGGTTGAGCTGCTGCACGACCTGCGCAAACGACGGCAGCGGCGGCACGTACGAGAAGCCCGTGGTGCGGATCGTGGTCACGCTGCCGCCGCCGCTCGACCCATCAACGAGCTTGACAATCGGCAGCTTGAGCGCAATCGCCAGTTTCTCCATATAAATCTAGCTCCGTCAGCCCTGCCTCCCCTCCCCCCTGTCCACTAACTTAGACTTACTGTCTTCTCCATAAGCGCCCCATCCGCATGCCCCGCGCGAATCGAAAAGTCATCCGCAGTGAACACTATCTTCCTGCCCCGCAGCCGCCCAAAGCCCTGCACGTTATTCGACGGCACATACGCCTCGGGCGCCTCACTGCGCGGCCCCGTCGTCTTCCACGCCACGGTCCCGCTCACGCTCCCGACTTCCTGGAAACTGCCGGCGTCGAGCAGTTGCTGCACGCGCTCGCGCACCCACAGCTTGCCCGCTTGCTTCTGCCGCGCGTACCCCCGGTTGTGCGGGTCCGGCGTGGCCGCGAGCGTGCGCAGGGTGCTGATGTGGCCCAGGATGTCGGAGTAGTCGGCGGGGAGGTCGGAGGCTGGTGGTTTGCGTCGGCGGCGGGTGGGCGCGCCGGGGGGGAGGTGCGCGGAGAGTTGGCTGAGGCGGGAGGTTGCTGTGGTCGCTGTGGTGGAGGCGGAGGGGGGAGGGGGTTTGTCAGCCGCCATTGTCGCGGCGATGGAGGCGTGGATGGGTGGGCTCTTGTCGTGCAGCTGGTAGGCAGCGCATGGTTGAAGGTCAGTTGCGATGCCGAGATGGTGGAGTCTGGGGTACGGCTGGGGTACCGAGGCTCAGTGGTGCTCCCCGCGCGGCTAGCCGGATTTATCGACACCACTACTTCGCGAGTAAGTCACGGCTTTCAAGATGCTTTCTAGATGTAACGCTCTGCGGTCTCGAGACAGTCGTTTAAAGTGAACCGATTATCAACTCGACGACAGGCAAACTTGAGTCTTAACTGATACGCGCCTACAATTGACGACCTGTACATACTTCGCCATGTCGAGACCACCACAACGGCCTATCAAGCGTCTGCTCGTCGCAAACAGGTTTGACCACCACGTCCACTCACAGCTCAATTCTAATGTAACATGTACAGAGGCGAAATTGCAACCAGAATCATATCCTCAGCCCGGGAACTCAACATCGAGACCTTCAGTGTATACAACTCAAACGACCATTCCCACGCCGCCACAGCCACCCACGCCATTGAGCTATCCTCACCAGCAGCATTCATGAACATCGACGAACTGATAGCAATCGCCCAAAAGCACAACATCGACGCCGTCCACCCCGGCTACGGCTTCCTCTCCGAGTCCGATGTGTTCGCGCAGCGCATGTGGGAGGAAGCCGGCGTCGCCGTCGTCGGGCCCGGGTGGGCCGTGCTGGCCAGCACCGGCGACAAGCTCAAGGCGAGACAGCTGGCCGAGCAATGTAGGCGCGTCTGTTCTCTCGAGTCCGCCTGCTGACATGCGCAGGCCACGTCCCCGTGTCGCCGGCGCTGCAAACGCCGACTAGTAATGTGGACGACGTGCGCCGGTTCGCGGCGGAGATCGGGTACCCGGTTATGATTAAAGCCGTGGATGGCGGCGGTGGGCGCGGTATCAGGCTGGTTCAGAGCGAGGGGCTGCTTGCGGCGAACTTCAGGCGCGCGGTCGAGGAGAGTCCGTCGAAGCAGGTGTTTGCGGAGAAAGCGGCGGTTGATGGCTTTCGGCATGTCGAGGTGCAGATTATCGGTGATGGGACCAACGTAACGCATCTGTGGGAGAGGGAGTGCAGTATCCAGCGCAGGTACCAGAAGGTGGTGGAGTTTGCGCCGAGTGTGATTGAGGACCGGGCGTTGGTTGCGCGGGTGATTGGGGATGCGCTGAAGATGGCTCGTCATGTAGGCGTCAAGATGGGAAGAGGAGATGCATATGCTGACGATCTGCAGATTCACTACTTCTCCCTGGGCACCTTCGAGTTCCTGGTCAACCCGAGGACGAAAGAGTACTACTTCCTGGAGGTCAACCCCCGTCTCCAGGTCGAGCACACAATCACCGAGTCCATCTCCATGACCGACATCGTCACAGCCCAACTCCTCCTCGCACAAGGAGCATCGTTGGAGACCTGCGGCCTGCCCACCACCCCTCGCCCCCCCGAAACCCCTCCCCTGGCACACTCGATCCAGCTGCGCATCACCGCCGAAGACGTCGAAAACAACTGGACTCTCTCCATCGGCAAAATCACCAGCTTCCGCTTCCCCACCGGCAACGGGATACGCATCGACACGCACCTCACCGGCGGCCGCCCCGCCGTCGTGTCCGCCGACTACGACAGCCTCATCGCCAAGGTAATCGTCACTGCATCGTCCTGGCCCGCCGCGGTCCGGAAAGCCCAGCGCGCGCTGCAGGACACCGACATCCGCGGCGTAAAAACTAATATCTCGGTGCTGCGTGCCATCGTATCGCACCCCGCCTTCCTCGCCGGCGAGTGCGACACGCAATGGCTGGAGCGCAACCACGCGGCCCTGCTGCACACCTCGCACCGCCTCGCAGCCCCGATATCCCACTTCCCAGAACCCCCAACCGCACTCCCGTCCCTGGCCGCAGCCGCAACTACGATCCCCCCCTTCCGCCCCGGCGACTCCTGGACCCTGACCCTCACCCCGACCACCCCCAACGCCGCCCCGCAAACCCACCACCTCACCCTCACCACCCTCCTCCAAAACAACTTCCCCGCCGCCCTACGCGCCCGCATCGCATACACAACCCCCACCGCCACAACCCCCTACACGCTCAGCCTAACCTCCACATCCGCCTCTGCCTCCGCCGCAACCAGCGCCCAGCGCCGCGCCGACCCGGGCAACGCGGGCCACGTGGCGATTCCGTTCCCAGGCCGGCTGGTGGAGGTGTGTGTTGACGAGGGGGATTTGGTCAGGGAGGGCGATGTGGTGTGTGTGGTGCAGCAGATGAAGATGGAGCTTGAGGTGCGGGCGGGGAGGGGCGGGAGGGTGGGGTGGGTGTTTGGGGTGGAGGAGGGGGCGGAGGTGGATGTTGGGTGGCTTGCGGCGGTGGTGGAGGCCGAGGGGGGGGCGAGGCTGTGAAAGGGGCCGCTGGGGTGGGGGGGGGGGGGGGGGGGGGCGTTGGCGGAGGTGCGGAGTTGGGGTGCGTTTGTGATGAGGTATATACATATCCTACATCCTACGAGCCTGTCCGCACTACTGCATTATCGTCCGTGTCATCTACATACATCTCTGCTGTCTCCATTCCTTCTCACTGTGTTAGGTAGTCAAAAAGAAACAGCTCATGCACCCACCCCACACCATCTGCTTCAAAGACGAGTGAGTGAACAAGCACCCCAAAAGCGCAAAAAGAAGGTCTTGCCCGGAATCGAACCGGGGTTGCCGGAAGATACTGAGGTGATCAGAATCCGGAGTGATAACCGCTACCTGAGAGGGAATTAGCGATTGCTTCGGAGTAAAGTTGATCGGGTGAGACGTACACTACAAAACCGTGTTTTGTTCGTTGCGCAACTGATGTGCTGATGGAGATTTTGCAAATAATAATAAAAATAATCAGAGTCAATCCGGGGCTCACCGATTTTCTCCATTTGGTACGTTCATTGACAATTTGATGGCGTCACGCTAATCTCGCGTTCGCTGGAAAAATCTTGCGCCTGGTGGGGTAAGTGGGTGTGGCACGCCGCAGGACGGAACCGGCGAACTTTTCCACGTCGAATCTTCGCACCCACGATGTTTGCGTGACGTCGCTTCAGGTCCATCATCGTAGGTAATTAATTGGGCTTGGATCACATTGCATCCAATAGTCTATTCATTCTTCCAAGTCCAACACCGCTGTCACGAAAAGATGTCTTGCAATTCCAAACAAGGAATCAAGGCAGTACTACCGCCCAGCACATACCGACAGCACGAGGCGAGGCCTGTCGCCCCCAGACTATCGAGATATCTTCCCTAGAGACGCACTGTTCATGGGGCGAGAGGTATCAGGACTAGTCGGGCGCAGCTGCTTCTCTGCTGTCACAACTAAACAAGTCATTTGACAACCATCCTCCTCCAACGCAAGACAAACGGTTCGACATGGGACGACTAAGCTACGACGAGCGCGTGTGTGTGCAATTCCTCAACAAGCTCAAAGACTGGACCGACTCAACCTGGGGTTTCCGCGTTTATGGCACCTACTCACACGTGCAGGCACGAGCAGACAGTCAAAACACACAGGACGCAGCAGGTGAGTAGTCGAACTCAAGTCTAGGAAAGTATTGCTTACACAGCAACAGACACTGCCCGCTTCCAAGAAGTCCTAGCAAGACTGCGCGCTCACGCTGAAGACACCCTGCGCTACCGCCATCCAGCGCCGTACAACCAGCAACTCATCGACACACTACGCCTCCAGCCTGCTGCTTACCTTCCCGGTGCATCGCTTGCCGAAGTCTGCACGCATTTCCGCCAACACCACGCTGTGATGGTCGACTTCGAACAACAACAGAACGGTGCCCTCCTTGATGCTGAAATGTCCAGTCCAAAGTACAGCTGGTGCCTTGTCATCGACGACGAGGCGCTGCAGAGCATCGAAGCCGCGCCGCGCCCAATCGGTCGCTCACCACAAGCTGGAGTGCACGCCTCTCACCTAGCGCTCCAAGCCGAAGACGCGTTCGTGAAGTTGCTAAGCGCATCCTACGTCACTATGGAAAAACCGTTGGTTCTTGCAGCAAAGGGTTGTAATCCGCGTTGGAGCAATGCGTGGACGGGCTGGCTGAAGTGTTCACCCGTGGTGCTTATGGACGTCTTTGATGAGACGCTCTCGGGCGACATCGAGGTGCATTTCCGCGGCCACGACAAACTTCTCGAATTTCCGTAGTTACTGTCCTTGGTCCCGGATCTTGTTGTTTCGGTCCCTGCTTGCAGCCTCGCAGCCTTGAGCTTCACAGGGTCCGGGTTGGTGCGTGCACGCGCCCCTCCTGACGACCATCGATCCCCCGCCCCGGTATGCGGAAGCGCTGCGTCCCGTGTGGGGGCGGGAACTGGTGAGGCTGTCGGTCCGTTGGCATTTCACCGCCTCGCCTCGCCTGCAACCACGAAAGCTACGGCCTTGCACCCTGTATCTCCACCACCGGCCACGATAAGCGCAGGCTCCGACGGGGCGACCAGAAGTCGGTGCCACCGGCCACTACAAGAATGCGATCCAAAAGGCAAATGCTACAGGAATCTCGCTGCTCACGCGCGCCGTTGTACTTCGCGCGCTCTTCCGGTGTCCACAACGGGCAATGATGTCGCACGGGATGCTGACAGCCGCCACCAATGCACCACGCTCCCGCTTCCAGACACGCCCGCGCAGCCTCAACTTCGTGGCCGCCGGCCTATTGGCCGCCTACTCGCGCAGGCTGCCGCTGTGTAGTCGCACCCCTGCAGGCGGCCGCTGCATCTAAAGCCGAGGCGTGCCCGCGCAATGCTCTACTCTGGAATACTCCCCGCCGCGACTTGTATGGTTATCTGCAGTGGCCATGGGCAAGATCAGTTTCGCCGCATGCGCGCAGAAGTACAGAGACAACGCCACGCTGCAGGCGACCTGGGGCTGGGACAAGCCGCTCGTCGGCCTGGACCGCAACCCCACGACCCAGATCTCGCGCGCGGGCTGCATTGCCGTCTGCGGGCCCGGCACCGACTACTACCCCTGGGCCGAAGTCTCCGGCACCATCACCACCTGGATTCTGCCCGTCGTCGGCACGCTGCTGCAGGCGCCGTTTGAGAGCAACAGCGCCGCGCGCACCGCCTTGGCTATCTCGCGGTGGGTCGGGTCGCCGATCGCGTCGCTGAGCTATGTGCTGTGGAATATCAAAGTGAGCGCAAAGGCGGCGCTGATGGTCGATATGGCGGTGAGGTACGACGAGGCGCCCGGGCTGGAGTCGGATTTTGGGAGTATGAGGGATTCCATGTATCTGCTGCTCGCGATGAACCAGTATACGCTGAAGGATGAGGTGGTGTCGAGCTCGAAGGAGGCCGAGGGGCTGCTCAGAATTGTGCTGTTCAGCAAGGACCTCAGGTTGACGGATACGAAGAAGACGCTGCGGCAGATGCGCCGCATTCTGGCGCGGGAGCTGAGAGAGATGCGGCGCCGCGGCGCGGTTCCTGGTACGTCGACTCCATTTCCACGGGGAAGCTCAGCAGCTGAGTAAACAGTATTTGTGTCGACCATGTGGTTCCTGTTCGCCTTCGCGCTCTCCATCCAAGCCGCGTTCGGCGACCTGGGCCAAAACACCACCGCCCACGACCTCGCGCTCGGCTGTCTGCTCGCCTGGTTCCCCGTCCTCATCATGGGCTCCATCGTCGACCGCAACCCCATCGCCGCCGACGCGATCCGCAAGAAACTCAACACCCTCGTCGACCACGTGCGCCACGCCCTGCGCGACCGCGCCCACCGCGCCGCCTTCCTCGCCTCCTTTGAAGACGCCCCCAACTTCGCCGAGCTGAGCAAAGAAGTCGAGCGCCTCGCCAGCCTGTCCGTCGGCGAAGACATGAAGGATTTCTTCCAGGAGTTCGCGGGCCAGGCGCGCGTCCGCTGGCACTACGGCGCCGCGCACCCCATCCTCTCCGACATCGAGACCTGCTACATCGCCGCCAAGGGCCGCAACTGGCTCGCCGACGAGGCCGAGGCGCGCGCCAGCCTCGTCACGGGCCGCAGCAACGACGAAGGCCTGGTGTGGTTCGACGTGCGCGAGTTCTGGCAGATTGCGAGCGCCGTGGTGATTGTGGGGGGCAGCTGCGGCGGCGCGTTTGTGCTCAGCTACTTCACGCCGACCGTCGGGCTCGGGTGCCGGTCCGGCGGGTACACGATCTTCTTCAGCATCGCGCTGGGGCTGCTGATCATGGAGATGGTCGTGTGGCTGGTCCTGTCGCCCTACAAGATCGATAAGTGGGTGTGGCTGGCGCGCGCCGAGGGGCGGTTGAACAGCAGCGCAACGATTAGCGATTGGGGGACCGGGGCGCAGGCGCGCTGGACGAGGGTCAGACGGCGCGCGTCTAGCATGGTGTTGGGCGCCGAGGACTGGGCGATCAAGACGCTGGTGCGCGCCGTGATGCTGGTGAGGTGGACAGAGCGGCAGCGCGTCAAGGCCGACGTGGAGGAGTGGCTCGAGGCGCTCGCGCGGCGCCGCCGCAATATGGGGTCTCAGCGGCGGTGGGAGGTGTTTTTCTTCCGTCCTGTTGAGATCGGGAATACGGTGTGGCTGGTGTACATTGTGTTCGCGCAGACCTTTGGCTGGTATGTACAACAGATCCCCCGTCCACTACCACACCCCCCCTTCTAACCCCCCAGGTACAAAACCTGCGCCTGCGTAACCAGCACCTGGGGCGGCGCCGGCGGCTACCTCGACTTCAGCGTGCAAGACACATCGAACAGCATCTGGGTGCTGTACTACTGGAGCGCCGGAACCACCCTCACCGCGACCGTCATGTTCCTCAGCATGTTCTACATCTCCGTCGAGTGGTGCCAGCAGTCCTTCCTGTCGACGGAAGACTACGACGCCGCGATGCGCGGGCTACGGCGTACGCGGGCGTACCGCAAGTTCACGTTCGCCGCGCGCGTGCTCGCACGCGGTGTCGCGCGGTACACGCTCACGCCGCTCGAGGGCGTGGCGTTAAAGGTAGGGCTGATCAAGGCCAAGCAGCACACGATTGTGTGGACACACAAACACACGTGGGACCCCGTGCCGCGCGGCCCAGCAGGCGAAGCAGCAGACCCGCCGTACAGTCCCCCGCCGCACGACACGCCCGCGCTCGCGCACTCGCCCTTCCCGCCCACCATCTCCGTCAGCGCCCCGGCCCGCGAGCGCCACACGCAAGACGCGTATGCCCGCGGCAGCGACGATGCGGGCGTGCCGCTCATGGCGCCTGCGGAGGCGCATCGCGCGCGCTCAGTGTCTGTGTCCAGCGATGAGCGCCCCAGCCACGAGCGCCACAGTCGCGAGCTCGAAATGAGGTCTGTGCCGGCCGGCGACGAGACGTTTGGTGGCTGGCTGGGGCTCAATCCGTCGCTGCAGCCGAGGCATGCGTATCGGCGCGCCGGGTCGGATCCGCCGCCGTATGTGGGGGGTGCGTTGGGGTTGGTGGATGTGGATCTGGAGCGGGGGGTGTGATGTCGAGCATTCACGCGGGGAGACTTTGGACGGTTTGAACACCGGGGGTCGTGGTGTCGACCCTTTGCTTGAGAACATCATGGACGATTCGCACGACACGACCTTGGAATTGAAGAGACCGGTTCTGATTCATCCGAGAAGACTACGTACTTTCATCACACCTCCGCCAGCACGCGCCCCGCCTTGTTCACAATACGTACTGGAGCACTGCGCCCCTCCACCGTCGCCTCCGTCACCAGTCCCGCGTCATCCCATCCGAAATTGACTGTTCCACCCCCTCTCAGCACCAGCCCGCGCACACTCCCCCCCGCCCAGGCCGCTGGGATCGCAGGCCCGAGGACCACCGTCCGTGTCCCGGTATCCCCAAATGCATTCGGCAGATCCACAACCAGCATGCTCAGCACCACGCCTCCGAAGCCGTAGTTGGCGTCGATCTGGAACGGCGTGTTGAGCCCGGAGTACATACTAAAGCCATTACCGACAAAGTTCTCCGCAATCGCGTACCGCAGCTCGAAGTGCGCGCGCTCCGTGTTGTTCAGGCGCGCCCAGCACGCGGACCGCCACACTTTGGCCCAGCCGGCATTCGCGTCGGGCGCGTTCCCTTCGCCGCGGCTGTAGAGCTTCTGGGCCACGGCGTCTTGGATCGTGGCGTTGCTGTATCCGCCCGCGAGCCCCGACACGCTGTAACCCGGGTGCCAGCCCACTAGCTCCGACAGGTGGCGGTGCGTGTCGTTCATGGGCTCGTAGCCGAGCGTGTCGGGCATCTTCCACTCCTTGAGCTGGCCCCAGGCGCCGATGTGCACGCCCTTGTCGAGGCGCGCCAGCGCGGCTGTGACGTTCGCCGTAAACGCGTCGTCGGCTTCCGCGGCGGGCGATGCGAGCGCCAGCGTGTTGTCGAAGACCTGGTGGATCAGCTGCTGGAAGTGCGCACACCCGAAGCTGGTCGGCCCGTGCTCAGGGCTGTTACACGGGTTGACGACCAGACTGCCGTCGTTGGTGTAATCATCCACCTGCAGCTGGTGCAGCCAGAACTCGGCGACCCCCTTGAGCAGCGGGTAGCCCTGGTCCCGCAGCCACGCGGCGTCCTGCGAGTACTCCCAGTGGTCGAACACGTGCTGCATCATCCACGCCGCCGCGGCCGCGTAGTTCGCCCACGAGGCCCCGCTCTTCATGCCCGTGTGCCCGAAGATGTTCATCTCGTTGTGGACCACCCACCCGGGCGCGCCGTACAGCAGTCTCGCCGTCTCGCGCCCCCGCGGTACCCAGTTGTCCGCCATGTAGTCCCACAGCGGCGTCTGCAGGTCCGTCAGCCCCGTCTGGTCCGGCGTCCAGTGGTTCATCTGCAAGTTGATGTTCGCGTGGTAGTCGCCCGACCACGCCGCCCAGAGGCCCTCGCTCCACCGGCCCTGTAGGTTGGGCGGCAGGCTGCCCGGCCGCGACGACGAGACGAAGAGGTACGTCGCGTAGTCGAACAACAGGCCCTCGAGCCACGGGTCGCCCGCGGCGTCGTCCTCGCTGTACCGCGCAATCACCTCCTCCGTCGGCGTGTCCGCAGAGCCCAGCGGATCCGGGAGCGAGAGTGCGAACCGCCCCGTCAGCGCCGCAAAGTCCGCCACATGCGCGTCCTCCAGCTGCTCCCCCGTCTTCGCAGCCGCCGCCCGCGTCCCCGCCTCAACCCCCGGCCCCGGATCCGCCCCGCGGTACGAGAACTCGTACTCCGCCGTCCCCTTCTTGGCGTCGTAGTCGCTCCCCGCGCCCACCACCACCGTCACGCTCGTCGTCCCGTTCGCAGGCACCACCCGCAGCGCGCCCGCCTCGCACGACGCCGTGACGCGCCCGCCCGCCGCGACCCGCGCGATCGCATCGTACCGCATGCCTGTCGGCGGGCCGAGCTGCGTCACGCCGCGCAGACGGACGTGCGCGGTGCCGTTCCCGCTGCTGCCGTCGACGCACGTCGCGCTCTGCAGCTCCGGGCCCGCGAGCGTGTTGTCGAGCCGTATCTCCAGCGGCGGCACGCCGCGGGGCGAGGAGAGGGTGTACACGCACACCTGGTCTGGGTGCGAGCAGAACGCGCGCGTCTGGATGTCGTGGGCCTGGGTGGAGAAAGCGGTGCTGTGGACCCCCGTCGCCAGGTCCAGCGCTCTCTTATACCCCTCGACCGACGCATTCCCCGCCACCTCCGGCACCGCAACACTCAAATTTCCCAGCACCCGGTAACTCCCAAACTCCCCATCCCCGCCCAACAAGCCCGTCACATTCCCCGTCGCGTTCTGGAAAATCCAGTCCCGGATCCCCGGCAACACGTCCGCGACAGAGGAATTCGGGTTCCCCCCGCTGTAGGTCGCGGACTCGAACGGCCCGCCTGACCACAGCGTGTCGAGGTTCAGCGTCAGCACCTCGGCGCCGGGGCGGCCGTGGATGAGGGCGGCGAGGCGGGCGTTGCCGAGGGGGTAGGCGGTGCGGATGACATCGCTGCTGGGGGCGGGGGAGGGGGACCAGAGGGATTTCGCGTGGAGGGGGGAGGGGAGGGCGAGGAGGGTGGTGAGGGCGAGGGACAGCATAGTGTGCGGCGCCATGTTGTACGCCGTCGATCAATCCAGCGCAGTGCAGTGCAACCACACAGATAAACAAAGCCTTCGCAAACACTCCAGCCAAGCTCAGAAGAGCGTACAGACTGATTCGATACACGTCTCTTGTTTCAAGCGGGACCCCACGGCCTTTTAATCAGTTCCTAACTGCACTCCCCCTCCCCCGAAAACGCAAACGTGTATTTACTCCGGCACCTCCGGATCAATTTCCCCATCAACCCCCTGCCTTCAATCTCCCGCCGCCACCCCCCAAGCCCAACGTCCCCCGCAAACGCACACCCGCTTCGCCGTATTGTAGCCGCTCCGGCTCCTCCGGGTCATTTCCCACACTCCACAGACCATGGTATGGCATGGCGGGGCACGGCACGGCACGGCATGGCGAAGGTATACATGGCATCGGTACAGGGGGGTTCGCTGTACAAGGGGGTAGTCTGTGCGGAGTGGGTTGGGATTAGAATCTAGGGGTCCCGCGGAAGGATCTGGGGGGGGGGGGTTCTGAGTGGCCGGTGGCTACATCTGAGGGACTCTATTGGTGTATTGGGTGTTCGGTGGTGGACACGCGTGGTCGTGTTCGCATCTGCTTAGGCTAGGTATCCGCTTGTGCAGTACCAATACCAGGGCGGCGCGGGGTTCCTGCGGCGGGAGCGCGGTGGCGACTGGGGGGGGGGGGGGTTGCGGGGCATCCCTGTATCGCCGCCGCTCCATCGCATGGCCATCGCTCTCCATCGCCTCTCACTTGCCGCTTCGGGATGGTGTGCAGGGGTTGTAGATGAGGTGTGGGGCCGTGGGTAAATACAATACCCCGGATCGAACAGGTACCTAGGTATACATACAGCTAGTTGCCCGGATGATAATATAGATTGTAGATGGAGAAAAGGGTAATTGGGGGAGTATTATGCTGTTAGGATGTTAGGATAACTGTTTGATGCTATTATGCTATTATGCTATTATCCGATCCGCGGTCTCTGCCTTTGTGGCTCCAGAACTGGTGGTCAAGGGTGGTCGAGGGTGGTTGAGGGTGGGCGCCCGAGTTGGTGGCAGGATGTAGATCTGCGGATACCTCGGGATCTTAGGATCTTGGATTCGCTGTCTGGCGACGTGGAGTCGGGTGTGGAGTTGATAATCGTCGAGAAAGGGCTCATGCTGCTGTGCGCAGCTCTATCTGCCTACAGTAAGACAGGGCTCCTTTTCTCCTCTTGTCGTGTACAGTACGATGGGATACCGTTTGCGCGTCGAACCCCCGATTCGCAGGCTGTCCATCGCTACCGCTTGCTTCTGGTTCGAAGCGCTTAGATAATTGCGTGGCCGCAAGTCGTAGCCTCCGTCTTACAATCCCCATGCGTCAGGACGCGCCGGCCCTCGGATTCTTGGTGCACGGTACGGTGACTGAGCAGACACTCAACGCATGCGCCGCGGTAAATGCTCCTGGTCATCGTGTCACAGCAGCGGTGTTAGGAAGACGACACAGGAAGGAAAGATACCAGACAGCTTCGGAAAGAAGCACTGGGGTTCTCTGAGAGCGCGCTGCAGACGCACGGCATCACCTCCGTCCGTCCGTTAGGAACCCATCGCCTAGATAGTTCAAGGAGCGGCTTGTGGTTGTGGTTGTGGTAAAGCGACCGACCAGCGTCTACTTATACCTATAGGAGACTGCACCGCGGCCAGACACCACGGTGGGCGGGTGAGAAACGGAAGGATTGTGGTTGTGGTTGTAGTTGTAGCGATAGCAATAGCGTGCACAGCTGGGTCGAAACGGGCACGCTCTAAACGGGCACGCGAGTACTTATAATATACACACGTCTCAGCTGGCATATTCTTGTCCTGTGATGCTTACTGCAATATGCAGACCACCACTGTAGCACCACTGGTTTGGGAGATTGGATGGGAGGCCCTGCTGTCAAAGTGTCAGCGAGCCTGCTGCGTGTGATAGCCTAGATGAATCCGGCACCAGCGAGGCGGAAGGGGAGGGGGGGAGGGGCTTGAAGAACCAAAATGCATTTGAGTAAGTACCCAGGGTATACGCAGCCCTACGCCTAAACAATGCGTGTCCGTGTCGTGTCGTGTCGTCGTGTACTAGAAATGCGCCCTTCTCCTAACAACGCAACGCGCCAGCCTACTCTGCTCCACGGCGATATGCACCAGCACGACGACGCACGACTGTCCCCTCTCCCCCCTCTTCCCCCTCACCCTTCCCCCCTCCCTTTTGCTCACCACGCTCCCCTCCCCCTTGCTCACCACGCTCCCCCCCCTCCCCCTTCCTCCCCCCCAACCTCCTTCCCCCAGACCATCATCTCCCACCACAGCAAAAACTGCTAGTCGCGCTGCGTAAGGCGGTCAGCGGTGCGCTCGCTCTCGCCCAGCGCCTCGGCGTTGAGCGCATCGAGCTGCGCGAGCGTCTGCTGCATGGCGGCCAACTGCTGGGTCTTGATTAGCTTGTGATCTTTTGCGATAGCTGGACAGTGTCGACGGGGGGAACGACTCACAGTACCAAGCACATCCTTCTCCGCACCGACGCGGTACGGCGGCGGCGGCGCACCCTCGCGCTCGCCCTCGCCCGCAGACGCCGAGCTATCCGCGCCCGACTCGTCCTCCTCCGCCAGCGGGGGCATCTCGCGCTTCTCGCCCAAACTAGCAGCGGCGCGCGCGATCCGATCCCCAGCCGCGAGCATATCCTGCAGACGGTCGATTTTCGCAAGCAGCGCGGCGTTTTGCTTCTGCAAGGGCTCGACGCGGGCGAGGTGTTTCCGAACCACCTCGCCCTTGAAGGACTCGACGCGGTCCTCGGCCTCGACGGCGGCGGTGTAGGCGGCGTCGCGGTCGCGCTCGAGGGTGTGGATGGTGTCTTGGAGGCGGTGCAGGTCGGAGGCGGCGGTGTCGAGGTCGGCGGTGGCTTTGTCGAGGCGGGATTGGAGGGCGGTGTGCAGGGTGTGTTGCTCGGCGCTGTCGCGTTCGACGGTCGACATTTCGCGGTCGTGGCGGGCGTGGGCGTCCTCCAGCTGCGCTTGCAGGGCGTCGTGCTTGCGCTGTAGTTGCTGCACGGCGTCGGCAGTGCTGTTCTGCATGCCGATCATGAGTTCGGAGATGGCGTCCTCGTGCTCCTTGACCATCTGCTCCGTGGCGTCCTCGTGCTCCTTAGCCATCTGCTCTGTAGCATCTGCATGCTCCTTCCTTGCCCGCTCCAGCTGCTGCCGCAGCGTATCCGCACTAGACGAGTATTTAGAATCGAGCTCCTTCTCCAGCTGCACTAGCGTCTGATGATGCTCCTCGTCCATCTCGGAGAGCTTGTCTTGCAGCGCACGGTTCTGCGCCTGGAGTCCCGCAACAGCGCGCTCGAGCTCGCCCTCGAGCGACTGCTTGACGCTGGACAGTGTGCTCTCGTGTGCCTCCTCTGCAGCAGTCTTGTCTGCGAGAAGAGCGTCGTACTTCTCGGTGGCTTTGGCGGCCGAGTCTTCCCTGCTCGCCAGCTCGCGCCGGAGGCTGTCGATCTCAGTGTGAGCCTCGTCCTTTGCGCGCTCGAACTCGTGCTTTAGTGACTCCTTCTCCGCCAGGAGCGCCTCGTACCGCTCTCTCGTCTCGTTGAGATCAGTGTCAGCCGCGTCCTTGTACAGCGCCAGCGTGGCCTCGTGGTCCCGCTTATCAGCAGCAGACTGCTCGGCCAAGAGCGCTTCATACTTGTCTGTGACTTCAGCTAAGCCCGCCGCGTCAGCGTTTTCTTTCGAAGCCAGCGCTTCCCTGAGGGTTTCGAGCTCGACATGGTATTCGTCTTCCAGATGATTGCGAAGACTGTCCAGCGCCGCGTCGCGTTCCTCCCTGTCCATCGCAGCCTGCTCGGTGAGGAGAGTTTCGTACTTCTTACTGACCTCCGCCAGGCCTGCCGAGTCCAGCTCCTCCTTCTCAGCCAGCTCGTGTTCGAGGTCGTCAAGTTTGACGTGCAAGTCCTTGTTAAGGGCCTCCAGCTCGTCAAGTGCGGACTGTTTCTCGGCGAGCGTTGTGTCCTGTTGCTCCAGCTTGGCGCGATCGCCTTGGAGTTCTTCGATTAGCGCCACGTACTTTTGTTCGATATCCTGCCGCTGCGAGTCCAGTGCCTTCTCGAGCGCTTCGGCCTGGGCTTTGGCCGCAGTCTCCTGGGTTTTGGTGCTTTCTTCGAGCTTGGCCTCAGCGTCTGCGAGCTGCTTGACAAGAGTGTCGTGTTTTGCTTGGATATCTCCAAGCTCGCTGGTGTGTGAAGTTTCAACGTGCCTCTTCTCTTCCAGCAGGCTGTCGTACTTGGACTGCAGGTCGGTGAGCGCCAGCGTCGAAGCGCTCTCAGAGTCCTGTTTCAACGTCTCGAGCGTGCGAGCATGCTCCTCCTGCATTCTCTCCTTATCCGCCTCAAGCTTAGCATGCTGAGCCTGGAGGTCATCATACTTGGCCTGCAGCTCAGCAACCACCTCCTTCGACGCACCCTCCGAATCCTGCTTCAGCGCCTCCACAGCACGAGCATGCTCCTCCTCCATCTTCGACTTGTCTTCCTTGAGCGCAGCATGTTGAGTTTCGAGGTCCGAGACCGTCTTTTCCAGCGCCTCAAGCTTGGCCTCGAGATCCTGCTTGCCCTGTTGTGAGATCTGCAGCTCGTCACCTGCCTTCTCGAGGGCGTGTTCGTGCGTGGTACATTTGTCTGCCAGGGACTGTTTTTGTTGTGTCGCGGCATCGAGCTCGGTTTTGAGATTCGCGAGCGACTTTTCAGAGTCCGCGAGCGCTGACTGCGCGATCCGAGTCTCTTGTGTCGCGGCATCAAGCTCATCTTTGAGAGCATCTCTTGCCTTCTCCACCTCTTCCCTTATCTCCTCAGACTCCTTAAGCTGAGCTCGCAGGTGCTCGCGCCTCCCCTCCGCCTCCCCCAGCTTCTCCTCCGCCTCTCCCCACTTCTCCTCCGCGGCCTCCACCTCCCGCGTCTTCAACTCGGCAATCTCTTTATTCTCTGCAGTCAGCGCCTCAACCCTCCCTTCGAGCTCGGCAATCTGTTTCTGCGCGGTATAATGCGCCTCGGCCAACCTCTCCTTCTCGTCCAGCACCAGCTTGTGCTTGGCGAGCGCCTCGTCGCGGCCGAGCTGCGTCGACCCGGAGCTTTCTTTCAAAGTGCTAATCTCGTCCTTCAACCCCTGACTCTCCTCCTTCAACCCGCCAATCTCCTCCTGAAAGCCCTGGATCCGCTTCTCCTTATCCTGCAGCTCCTGCGCGCGGTCCTTGAGACTCTGTTCGTGCCCCTCGAGCGCGGCGTTCTTCTCGGCGACCAGCGCGTCGTATTTCGCCTGCAGCTCGTGCAGGCGCTTCTTCGCGTCGCCCTCGAGATCGGCGCGCAGCGAGTCGATCTCGGCGTCGTGGTCTTCGCCGAGGACGCGCAGGTCCTGGCGGTGGCGGGTCAGGGCGGCGTCGAGGTCGGATTTGGCGGCGTCGGCTTTCTTCTTTGCTTCACTCAATTGCTCCTGTATGGTGGCGAGGGCGGCGGTGTCCTGCTTGGAAGTCTGTTCGAGCGCGTCGACGGTGGCGCGTAGGCTATCAGCCTCCGCCCGCAGATGGGTGATCTCGGTGCTGTCGGAGGTGAGTTGGTCGTTGACGGCTTCCAGGCGCTGGACGAGCTCGTCGTTCTGCTCCGTCTTGAGCCGGATCGCGTCCTCGTGTGCGGTCTTGAGGTCGTCAATCTGCTTGGACAGCTCCTGCGAGACGCGGGCGCCGTCGGTTTCACCCTGTTCCAGCGCGGCGATCTGGTTCTGCAGGTCCTCGATGGACTTGAGGTGGCTGGAGACGGCGGCCTCCTTGGCGCTCAGCTCGCTCCGGCTGCTCTCTTGCAGCTCCGCAATCTTCGACTTGAGGTCGTCGGCGCGCGCGGTGCGTTCGCTCTCGAGATCGGCGGTGACGTGGTCGGCCCGCTGCTGCAGCTTTTCGAGGTCGTCCTGCAGCTCCTTCTCGGTCTGGATGTGCGCCGCGATCGCCTCGTCCTTGCCGCGCAGCTCGTCTGTGTGCTGTTGCTGCATCGACGTCACCTTGGCCTGCAGCTCCTCGACGAGCTTTGTCGACTCTGACGTCTTGGACTTGGCCTCCCCCGATGCGTCGTTGAGGCGCTGTTCGGTAGCTGTGACTTCGGACCGCAGACTCTCCACCGTCTTGGACAGCGAGTCGATCTTCTCATCGCGGTCGCGCACGTCATCCGAATGGCCCTGTTCCAGATCCGCCAACTTGGTCTGCAGACCGTCGAGCGTGTCGTTGGCGGCAGCCAGGTCGGCCGTGAGGGTATCGCGCTCCTCCCGCAGTGCCGTCATCTCTTTGGCAAGGGCCTCGATCTTGGCGCCCTGCTCGACCAGCTGCAGCTTCTCGGCGTCCCACTCGCGGCCCTGGCGCTCCAGCTCGACATTGAGGTCGTCGAGGACCTGCTGCAGCTCCGCCGCTTTCGCAGCCTCGGCGGCCTCCTTCTCCTGGGCCACGCGCTTCTCCTCGCGCAGCCTCTGCTTCTGCTCCTCCAGCAGCTGCGTCTCCCGCGCGAACTGCTTCTCCATGCCATCAACAATCGTATTGTGCTTGTGCTCGTCCCAGCCCGACGCGTCGGCCGCAGCGCCGGGCTTGTCCTGGTCGGCAATGGCGCTCTGGGCGTCGCCGAGCTGCTTCTTCAGCTTCGCGTTGGTCGCCTGCAGGCGGTCGACTTCGCGGTTCAGGTCGTCGCGCTGCTGCTGCAGCTTCTCGCGCAGACTCGTCTCCTTGAAGAAATCCTGCATGACCGCCAGGCTGCGGCGGCTGTTCTCGTCGAGCGGCGCAGGGCCGCCGGGGGCAGTGCCGGGCCGTCTGTCGTCCTCGCCGACGCGCGGCAGGCTCTCCTTGAGCGGCCCAAACGGCACCGTCTTCTTGACTTCGACTTCGGCGTCCGACGCCGCTTTGTCCTTGAGAGGGCCATAGCTCCTCGGGGGAACGTCAATCGGGCTGTATCTGCAGCCGGTCAGCAACGCGCGGGGAGAGACTTTGAAATGGGAATAGTTTGGATATCACGCACGCGGGGATTTCAGCCGTGGCCTTGGTGGGCGACGACGCAGCGCTGAGCGACAGCTTCTTCGCGTGGGCGACGGGCGTGCGGGGCGTGATAGTCGACACAGGCGCCTTGGGGATCGTGTGGTGCGGGGTGCGCGACGCAGCAGGCTTCGCGGCCGCGGGCAGCGACACGCGGGGCGCCCGCACCGGCGTGTGCTCGCTGCTGGGACGCGACGTCGCCGCCGGGCGCTTTGCAGGCGGCGTGGCGGCCGTGGGCGTCGTGGCCGCCGCGTTCAGGGCGGTGCGGCGCGCGGTCGTGCCGGCGGGTGCGCGCGTCGGCGGCTTGTTCAGGGTCGAGGCGGCGCCGGCGAGGCGCGCGGTCGAGCTCGCGAGCGGGCGCGCAGCGGTGCTGGACGGGCGGGACGTCGTGCTGGCGGGCGCGGGAGCGCGGCGGGCGCCCGTCGCGGTGGAGCTGGCAGCGGGGCGACGCGGCGGCACGGGATCCTTCTTCGCGGCAGCGGGCGCGTGCGAGGCCATCTTGCGGCGGACGACCGACGAGGGCGACGACGGGGCGGGCAGCGCAGGCTGGGGCTGGGGCTGCTGGGGACTGGCGGGCTCTGAGGCCGTCGCAGCGTGGGTGCTGCCAGCGTCGCTAGCGGAGGTGCTCGAACCCTCCGCCATTTCGGCACCAGTCAGGGGTCTGCCGCGGCCCGTAGCGATCGCTCGCCGTCTCTGTTATAGACCCTCTGCGGGAGCCAGCGCATGCACAGTCGACAGCAGATGGCGCAGCAATGATTGCACGCGGGCGCCGACGTGGTTCAATGGCAATGGCCGCCTCCGTCGCGCGTCTGCGGAAGGCTAGGCTGACGTCGCACCGCGTCGCGCCCGCCACGACACGCTGCGTCACTGCACGTCCGGCACGACTGATCCCCCACACCGGCCATTGAGCACGCCGCACGTCGCCATGTCTGCAGTCTCTGACAGCCTGGCGTGCACCTCTAGTACGAGTTCACATACTCTCAGATTCAAGTCTTCATGAGAGTTGTCCGGTTCATCTGGTCAATCACCGGCACGTTCCATGGCAGTCTTCAAAGACAGGTAGGTGATTGGCAGTCTCCAAAAACACGTGATTTACACATCTACATACATGCCCTGACCCCAACCATGCCCCCATCATCAATGCACTCAGATCCAGCGCCATCTCCCGCGGAGAGCGAGCTCGTCCCATGGCAGTGTCAGCCCTCAAACAAGCGTAGCACAGTGACTTACCTGACCACATCTCATGCGTGAAACAACGCCCTTCATCCACCACCCCGTGACCGCGCCTCGACAGGCTGGGGCCAGAGAACACGAGCTCTGGCGCCAGAGAGTGGTCGAGTGGCATCGGGGTCGCGAGAGAACACGGGCTCTGGCTGACTGTTGATGGCTGTGGTGGACACCCACACCGACGCTGAAGCCGACACTGACGCTGGAGAGCACGAGCTCCAGCCCCAGTGCGCCGGCGCTCTCGAGCAAGAGAGTAGCAGGGGCGAGCACATGCATCACGATACTTACCGCCGAGCAGAGCAACACACCTACCTTCCTCGCTTCCCGCGAGCACAGAGCACATCACAGAGCACACGTCAAACAACAAGGAAAAGGGGACACTCACAACCGCCAGCCCCGACACGCCAGTCGAAGCCGCACTATACAAGTTCCCAAACAACCCCCTATCGGGCCTGAGCCGGGAGCCCTGCCCACCACACCTCTCCGCGAAGTTACCGGGACACGCGATATTACAATCCGACTCGCTCGGCGTGCGCAGCGTCGGCGCCTCCGCGCCACAGTAACACATCGCCGCGTTCGTCAGCGCATACGGCAGATTCACCGCCTTGCACTCGGCGTAGCAGCGCGCGCCGACATCCGCAATGGGGCCCTCGCGGCTGAACGAGAACGACGCGCCGACCGCGATCGCGTTGATCACGAACAGGTCTGCGCTGTAGCAGCCGTTGCTGACGACGTCGGAGCCGGGCGCGGACACGGAGTTGACGGCGGGGGGCGGCGTGGACGGCGGCGGCGGGCCGACCGAGTACAGCGTGATGAGCGAGTTTGCGGGGGGCGCGCGGCGCAGGAAGCGCATGCGCGGCAGGATCGCGTTGTTGGCGTCGGCGACGGTGCCGCCGCACGCGGACGCCGGGTTGTCGGGGCACGGCGTCGAGCACAGGCCCAGGCCGGCTTCGAGCGAGGGGTCGGGCGGGGTGTCGGACATGTAGCAGGTGTTGCCCTCGACGGCGGCGTGTTTGGCGCCGATCAGAGCCGCGTTGGACACACAGTCGGCGATGCCTTGGGACACCTTGAACTCGCGCGCGTTGGCGATGAAGTCGTTGGCGAAGAAGCAGCCGGCGTACTGGAAGTTGTCGGGGAGATCGCGCTCGGGCTGGGGGAGTTGGATGCCAGACGTGAAGATGCGCTTGAAGATGCTGTAGCCTTGGTCTGTGGGGTTACCGCAGAAGCGGGCCGGGGCTCCAGGGCAGGTGGTTTTGCACTTCGTCGAGCCCGTGCCAGCCGTGGGAGGAGCTGAGCTGCAGAAGCAGAGCCCGCCGCTGACAGCCGCGTAATCGGCGCTCTGGCTGGCACAGTTGTTGATGCAGACTTCAGGCGTCATTGACCATGCTGCGCTCACTACTTGCGCTGGAGTGAAGCCGCCGTCGAAGAGGTTGTCGCTTGTGAAGCAGCCGAATTCCTGCCATCCGCGCACCGACGGCTCGTTGAGTGAGAGATGCTGCGACGCGTCGTTGATTGCCTGCGCGAAGCTGCCAGGATCGCTGGCAAGAATAGCAACATCGTCCGTCTTGAGCACCTGCAATGGAGGGAGGTTCAATGTAGCACCCCCACCCAGATTAATGCTGAGGATGGGCGTGTCGATTGTAATACCTCCACTGATGCCTGCGCCGATGCCTATTGGGATCGCGCTTGGGTTGATTAGCGTGATACTCGGCGGCGAAACTGATCTTGTGGGGGTGGAAGACACGGAAGGCGTCGAAACAGGCGTCTGTACAGGCGTGGAGGGTGACACCACAGGAGTTGACGATGGCTGCACAGGTGTTGAGACCGTTCCTCCAGGCACTGAAGATCCTCCGCCGGACGGGGACGGTAGCTGAGGGAGTCCAGTTGGAAGACCTGGAAGCTCAGGAAGTCCAGTTGGGAAACCAGGCAGGCCAAGACCAGTTGGAAGCCCAGTAGGAAACTCAGGAAGTCCGGTTGGGAAACCAGGCAGGCCAAGGCCAGTTGGAAGCCCAGTAGGAAGCTCAAGACCAGTGGGAAGCTCAAGACCAGTAGGTAGATCAAGACCCGTTGGAAGCGACAACCCCGGGAACCCAGTTGGAAGCTCCAGCCCCGACGGATTCAGTAAGTCGGTCGGAAGAGACAGTCCAGGGATCTGAGGCAGACCAGTTGGGAGGTCCAGTCCAGGTAAGCCAGTTGGAAGAGGCAGCCCAGTTGGGAGAGACAGCTCAGGCAGGCCGGTCGGGAGCGACAGGTCAGTTGGGAGAGATAGGTCAGGAAACCGAGTTGGAAAGTCAGGGAGCCCAAGGCCGGTTGGCAGCCCTGTCGGCAGCTCAAGACCACTCGGGAACCCGAGACCTGTTGGTAGGCCGGTCGGAAGCTCGAGACCTGTTGGTAGGCCGGTCGGAAGGTCAAGGCCGGTAGGGAGGTCAAGACCAGTAGGGAGCTCGAGACCAGTCGGGAGATCAAGACCGGTAGGAAGCCCAGTAGGAAGCCCAGTGGGTAGCTCGAGACCTGTAGGTAGCTCAAGACCGGTAGGGAGCTCAAGACCAGTAGGTAGGTCGAGGCCAGTGGGAAGCCCAGTGGGTAGTTCGAGACCAGTAGGAAGGTCAAGGCCAGTGGGGAGCCCAAGACCTGTAGGTAGCTCAAGACCGGTAGGAATGAGCCCACTCGGGAGCTCAAGACCGGTAGGAAGCCCAGTAGGAAGCCCGGTAGGAAGCTCGAGACCAGTAGGGAGCTCGAGACCGGTAGGTAGTTCAAGACCAGTCGGCAGCTCAAGACCAGTTGGAAGCCCAAGACCTGTTGGCAGTCCAGTAGGAAGCTCGAGGCCAGTAGGAAGATCAAGACCAGTAGGGAGCCCGGTTGGAAGCCCAGGGAATCCAGTGGGGAGCTCAAGACCAGAAGGTAGCTCAAGGCCAGTAGGGAGATCAAGACCAGTCGGGAGACCAGGACCGGTAGGTAGCTCGGAGTCGGTAGGCAGCTCAGGGCCGGTAGGCAACCCAGTTGGGAGGTCAAGGCCAGTTGGCAAGTCAAGGCCGGTGGGGATGAGTCCGCTTGGGAGCTCAAGGCCAGTAGGAAGCCCGAGACCTGTTGGTAGCCCAGTTGGGAGCTCAAGGCCGGTGGGAAGCCCGGTAGGAAGCTCGAGGCCAGTAGGTAGATCAAGACCCGTTGGAAGAGATAGCCCAGGGAGTCCAGTTGGAAGCCCGGTCGGGAGGTCAAGACCAGTCGGAAGAGACAGCCCAGGGAGCCCGGTCGGAAGCTCAGGGAACCCGGTTGGGAGCTCAAGACCCGTTGGTAGACCTAGTGTAGGAAGGCCAGTCGGGATCTCAAACGGAAGGGACAGCTCTGGAAGGCCAGTTGGAGCCCCGGAGGGGTCACTCGGCGTAGGGGCGCCAGTTGGAGGCCCTGGCAACCCAAGATCTGTTGGCAGAGACAGACCAGGGAGACCAGTCGGAAGTCCTAGATCTATTGGGAGGGATAGATCAGGGAGCCCAGTTGGGAGTCCAAAATCTGTTGGAAGAGACAGATCAGGGAATCCAGTTGGGAGCTGGATCGGGAGAGACGGGAACCCAGTTGGAAGCCCAAGATCTGTTGGAAGAGACAGATCGGGAAAGCCAGTTGGAAGCCCGAGATCTGTGGGAAGTGACAATCCAGGCAACCCGGTTGGGAGCGGAAATGGGAGGCCAGTAGGTAACTCAAGACCTGTTGGAAAGAGCCCTGTAGGCAACTCAAGTCCTGTTGGCAAGCCTGTGGGCAGCTCAAGACCAGTAGGCAGCTCAAGCCCTGTAGGAAAGAGCCCTGTAGGCAGCTCAAGACCTGTGGGCAACTCAAGGCCTGATGGAAGGAGGCCTGACGGCAGCTCAAGCCCTGTAGGCAAGCCTGTTGGAAAGAGGCCTGATGGTAATTCAAGACCTGTGGGCAAAAGACCAGTAGGCAGCTCAAGACCTGTGGGCAACTCAAGGCCTGATGGAAGGAGGCCTGACGGCAGCTCAAGACCAGTAGGCAGGCCAAGTCCTGTTGGAAAGAGCCCTGTAGGCAAGCCTGTGGGCAACTCAAGACCTGTTGGCAACTCAAGACCACTTGGAAGAAGTCCTGTAGGCAGCTCAAGCCCTGTAGGCAAGCCTGTTGGAAAGAGGCCTGATGGTAATTCAAGACCCGTGGGCAAAAGACCAGTAGGCAACTCAAGGCCTGTTGGAAGTAGGCCTGATGGCAGCTCAAGCCCTGTAGGGAGCTCAAGACCTGTTGGAAGGAGGCCCGATGGCAGCTCAAGTCCTGTGGGCAAGCCTGTTGGAAGGAGGCCTGATGGCAACTCGAGACCTGTTGGAAAGAGCCCTGTAGGCAGCTCAAGTCCTGTGGGCAAACCTGTTGGCAACCCTGTAGGCAGCTCAAGACCTGTTGGAAGGAGACCTGATGGCAGCTCAAGCCCTGTAGGCAAGCCTGTTGGAAAGAGCCCTGTAGGTAGCTCAAGTCCTGTGGGCAAGCCTGTTGGAAGGAGGCCTGATGGTAACTCAAGACCAGTGGGCAAAAGACCAGTAGGCAGCTCAAGTCCTGTGGGCAAGCCAAGACCTGTTGGCAGTTCGAGGCTTGGGAAGCCAGTTGGCAACTCAAGACCTGGAAGCCCTGTTGGGAGGCCTGTTGGCAACTCGAGTCCGGGGAGACCTGTTGGCAACTCGAGTCCTGGGAGACCCGTTGGGAGCCCTGTTGGGAGCCCTGTTGGCAACTCAAGGCCGGGGAGGCTCGGGAAACCGGTTGGCAACTCGAGTCCTGGGAGGCTCGGGAGACCTGTTGGCAACTCGAGGCCGGGGAGACCCGTTGGGAGCCCTGTTGGGAGCCCTGTTGGCAACTCAAGGCCGGGGAGGCTCGGGAAACCGGTTGGCAACTCGAGTCCTGGGAGGCTCGGGAGACCTGTTGGCAACTCGAGGCCGGGGAGACCCGTTGGGAGCCCTGTTGGGAGCCCTGTTGGCAACTCAAGGCCGGGGAGGCTCGGGAAACCGGTTGGCAACTCGAGTCCTGGGAGGCTCGGGAGACCTGTTGGCAACTCGAGGCCGGGGAGACCCGTTGGGAGCCCTGTTGGGAGCCCTGTTGGCAACTCAAGGCCGGGGAGGCTCGGGAAACCGGTTGGCAACTCGAGTCCTGGGAGGCTCGGGAGACCTGTTGGCAACTCGAGGCCGGGGAGACCCGTTGGGAGCCCTGTTGGGAGCCCTGTTGGCAACTCAAGGCCGGGGAGGCTCGGGAAACCGGTTGGCAACTCGAGTCCTGGGAGGCTCGGGAGACCAGTTGGCAACTCGAGTCCTGGGAGGCTCGGGAGACCAGTTGGCAACTCGAGTCCTGGGAGGCTCGGGAGACCAGTTGGCAAACCTAGGCCAGTTGGGATGAGACCTGTCGGCAACTCAAGCCCTGTTGGCAACCCGAGGCCTGTTGGGAGGCCTGTCGGCAGGCCAGTTGGGAGGCCTGTTGGGATGAGGCCTGTCGGCAACTCAAGCCCTGTTGGAAGAGAAGGTAGCCCTGGAAGCGAAGGTAGCCCTGGAAGAGAAGGTAGTCCATTTGTTGGAAGAGGTAGTCCAGGATTTGGGACACCACTTATGACAACCTCAATCAAGGTTGACGGAAGTGGAAGCTGAAATCCGAGTGATGGAATCGGTGCTCCAGGAAGCTCAAGCCCGAGGCCTATTGATGGAAGCGGAATCCCGATGCCGAGGGAGAGGGCGGGAACGTTACCGCCAACGGTGGGAACTGGAATTCCGGTCGGAAGTGCGAGAGTCGGCAGAACGGCGGGTGGCAGACCGATGGACGGAAGTGCGAGGGTTGGCAGACCGATGGACGGCAGACCGACGGACGGCAGAACAGCTGGGAGGGCCGCTGGCAGAGCAGACGGGAGCACGGCTGGCAGAGCAGCTGGTAGAGACGGGAGCACCGCTGGTAGAGCAGCTGGTAGAGACGGGAGCACCGCTGGCAGAGCAGCTGGTAGAGACGGGAGCACGGCTGGTAGAGCAGCTGGTAGAGACGGGAGCACCGCTGGTAGAGCAGCTGGTAGAGACGGGAGCGCGGCTGGTAGAGCAGCTGGTAGAGACGGGAGCACCGCTGGTAGAGCAGCTGGTAGAGACGGGAGCACCGCTGGCAGAGCAGCTGGTAGAGACGGGAGCACCGCTGGCAGAGCAGCTGGTAGAGACGGGAGCACCGCTGGTAGAGCAGCTGGTAGAGACGGGAGCACCGCTGGCAGAGCAGCTGGTAGAGACGGGAGCACCGCTGGCAGAGCAGCTGGTAGAGCAGCCGGCGCTACAGAAGGTAGAATGGTCGGTAGCACGGCTGGTAAAACAGCTGGTAGAACAGCCGGCGCTACGGAAGGCAGAACAGTTGGTAGCACAGCTGGAAGAATAGCTGGAAGAACTGCTGGCGCCACAGAAGGTAGAGTGGTCGGTAGCACGGCTGGCAGAACAGCTGGCGCTACTGACGGCCGGACAGATGGCAGCACGGTTGGAAGAGCGGCGGGAAGAACGGCTGGAACGACTGGTAACTTGAGTTGAGGCACCGGAGCGGGCAGCGCATCTGCAACATTCAAGATCGAAAGGACGAAGCTCATAGTGAGCACATGTCGATAGACACGCCCCATGTTGAGGGACGGTGCAGCTGAGAGCTGTGGCCAATAGGTAGTGACAAGTAGAGACTGTACCTAGTCCAAATAGGGAGAGAGACCTAGTCTCCGGACGGTCAGTCCTTCGTGCAGTGTAGTGAGCGTGGTCAAACGAATGACAGTGGGCGTAAAGAAGGAGGTGGCTGCATTGGCGAGGAGCTCAGTTAGCAGAGGGTGCTACCAAGCCAATATACCTCTGAAAGCCCAGTACGACTGTTTACAATATTACAAAATACTCCGTGCCGATCGTTGGGCAAGTTAGTGCGCAATAGCCTCCATGCTGTAACCCACATCGCGTCCGGTCATGTTCATTCTTGCTGCAGGTCCAAACGGGGGCAAGCTGACGTACTCAGCATTGATATCCCTCAGCCATAGGCATGCGGCGAAGGCCGTTCTTCGGTCGTTCCCAAGGTCGTTCTTCGGCGATTCACAGAGTCCAGAGATCAACACATCCATCCGTGGAGCAATGTGCAGAGCATGTGGCCAAACGCCAAGACAAAATCTTTGCTACCTTCTTGAGCGGTCTACGGCGAAGGGCGTGAAAAGTATTTCCTGGAATGGTGGTAGCTTCTCATGGTGTAGTTACCTTCGCTATTTAGTATAGAAAGAATGCAAGTTCGGTGGTAATGGCCATGCAGCAATGCGAAAACTCGAGCACTTGCTCATGCGGAACCCCGCGTCGAGGCTGTGACACACCGACGACTCCGCATCGACTTAAATCTCCTCGGGTCTCAAGTATAGTTGTTTCCTACTCAACTGCACTTGCTGTCCTCCTGCTTGGGGTGGACGGCGACCATGAACAAAGAGATCCACTTGAGCACTCACAGAAAGCTGTTCAGATATCGGTAGCGTCCTGGGCATTCCTCGGGTGCTGTCAAGCGGACCCACGCATGTACGGTCATATACAAACGGAAGGAATGCAGTGCGGGAGGAGCCGTTCGATAGGGCGAGAACCAAATGTCGCTCGCTACAGACACGAAGAAATATAATTGATGCCCGGCAACGGCCTCTGCTTGAGAAATGCCATGGTGCAGAGGACTGGTTGAGTCTAGGCAAGTGCAAAGACTGTGAACGCAGCAAGTCTATAAACTGTCAACACCTGGACGGTAGAGGTATGGAATGTTGTCGATTTCTTTGCCCAAGCTACCAAGCAGATTAGGAGCGTCGTCCAGTCTGATCTCAGATTGCAACCAACATCAGGATTAGAGATGCAGTAGCTTCATGAATGCACACACATTCAATTGTGCGTACGCAGGCGATGACGGACTTTGTATGAGAGAGTAACGAGTCTACAATCGCTCAGACAGGAACAGCCTATTAACGGAATTAAATCTCGATAGGAACATCTCATTGACGGAGATGGGAAAATGGTATGAGAGCGGTTCCCAGGCGTGAAGATGCAGGTGGATAAAAGTACGCGCCAAAAGCATGACGCGTGATTGGCTTGGCAGCGCTCTGACCATCTCAGTGCATCAGTTCCGAGCGCTCGTCACTCGACAGTCTCACTGATCATCCATTGCATCACGTTATGAACAGCCAGCCGTCGACCTCGGACCGCAATGACAATGAACAGTCGTCTTCGCCTAAGCGGAAGAAGGTACGGCAAAAGTACGCGCCGAAAGCATGTATGTCGCGTCTATAGTTCATCCACAAGACCCATGTTTGTTTCTCGAATCCGTTCCGATCATTCCGCGGTTGCTGTTGTGAGCATTGCAGCGTTTCAAGATGCTTCCGAAGCTGCATTGTAGCTGACATGGCACCCTAGGCGTGTCCTGTAGGAGATCAAAGTTGAAAGTAGGCTACAGTCTGCCTCTCCCGTGCACATGTGTGCTAATGTGTCACAGTGCTCCGGCCACAACCCCTGCCAGCGCTGTCGGGATCACGGCAAGCGCTGCTTCTTTTCAGAGGACCAGACGGCAGCTGAAGCCTTGCAAAATCTTAGTCGGCCTTCGCTTCCACAGCAAGCGGCCAACCCCGTGTCAGAGAGCAACGGTAGCAGCCTTACACGACGTAACCTTATGCCCCGACATCGGGACAATGAGCGAACAGCCAGTGATGCGAGCGATCTTGGCCTGTCAATGGAGGCACGCATGTCTCGTATCGAGGTCATGATGGAGGCTCTACTACAAGAACGAGCTATGTACGCAGCGTCCAATGGGAATCCTGAGCGTGACGACACTGGCAGTGACATTCCAATGTCGTTACCCTTAGTAGACCCCATTAACCCAGCTCTATCCTTCCTGAGCCAGCCACCACACGACAGTCAGCCTCAAGATGCCATAGACCCACTGCTGGGCACCGATACTACTACTATACGGTTCGGCGGTCAGAGCTTCGTCTTTCCTGTTCCGACCGTGTATCAGAATCACATTGACACCTTTTTCCGTGAACTACAGGTTTGTCATCCTTGTATCGACGAACATCTTTTTCGAACCCGAAGCGTTAAGATGCTAGCAGAAGCAAAAGTGCACCCAGACAATGCATGCTTCCTGGCTTTGAATTACATCATATTCGCCCTACATGCCGCTTCGACAGAGGGTACAAGGCCTGGCTCTGATGATAAACTTGCAGGGTGGCATTGGCTTCAGCTCGCTGATGACGTGATTGGCAAGAGACAGTTTTACGGACAAGGAGATATCAGCCTAGCGCAATTCTTATTCTTGAAGGTTCGCAATGTTCCCGCTCTGGCGGCTATTGATTGACACCAGCAGGCAATCTACTGCACCCTGGTCGACCAGCCCGGTCTTGCTTATAGCTCGATAGGATCTGCCAGCAGTTACGTGCTTCAACAAGGTCTCAACCGTCAAGCCTCTCTTCACGAAGCCGGGGTCTGGGAGTCTTTCGAGCGCTTACGCGTATTCTGGAACATCCTCATCGCAGATCGTCGCATATCTTTGTCCTGCGGTCGTCCCTACACCATACGAGATACAGATATTGATGTGGAAAGGCCGAGCAATTTTTACCAGCGGGTAGGTTTCTGAGACATGTAAAGAGCACCTGCATCTGACATGCATCATAGGGCATAGCTCCAAACTTGCAGCTCTCGCAAGAGCACGCCCAGATCCACAAAGTTGACAGCGAAAGCAAGTTCTTGGGCTGCATGGTTGACTGGTCCCGTTTCGCTGGCTCGCTGTGGGACGGCGTCCTCGCCGCCCATGTATCTGCGGACACTCTTGCTGATAACGTCGCCACGTTTGATGCCGCTGTGGCTGATTTCCTCGACAACACGTTGCAGGCGCTGAAAACTGACTTTCACCCATCGCAGCGCCACCCCTATGTCTGTATGAGCTTCGACAATCTCCGAGTCATTGCTCGGCGTACGGTGGTGACTTCTCTGGATTTTGAACGTGCTACCGTGCTCGACTGCAGCAGACTCGCTGTTGACACGCTCGCACATGTTCAAGCGTACGATGCTGATATCAGATACCCGTTGACGTGCATTCTGCGACACCATATCGTACCCTCTTTGGCAAGCAGTCTCCTTCTGCTCTGCAGCATCCTTGTCAGCGACCTAGACGCTTTCGGTCTTCCCCTAGACGAGTGGCTCCCGTTGGTTCACGCGACCTTTGACAGCACCGTTGCTCTTCTTCTCGATCTAGCAGACGAGCTCTCATCTGCTCGCCGTGTGCTCAGGGATTTCGAAAAGATTCTTCCAGTGGTACAAGCGGTGCTTGCAAGATGGTCTGCCCAGACCCAGCTCCTCCAAGGCCCATTGGAGTGGGGCATAGTGAGAGATATCATCCCGCCAAACGTCACAGAGCTTCTTCCCTACACCGAACAGGTCCCCGACATCCGCTCAAAGGCGCTCCAGGGGATGTGGGCCGGCAACGGAGGGCACCTGGAGACAGACCGCAGCTGGGATGAGAGCTACGGAGTACGCGGCGCACGAAGTGGTGTACTCTGGATATGAAACACATGAAGCAGAATGTAGCGGGCGTTTGTCATAGTTTGATTGTTTATGTACCCGTATCGCTGTGCTTGGCTCATATAGATACCCATTTTCTTGCCGTAGATGTAGCGGGCGTTAGTTACATTACAGTCAATGTCAGACAGTTGTGGCTGCATCACCGTTGTTCACTGTTCACTTGCGGCATCAGCTTTCACACTCCGTGCATTGCTATTTGTCGTGATATACCTACCTACCTTCTCTATGAGTAAGAGGCGTCTCTTGTTCCGCAATACTATCTTTCGTTTCTTTCTCTACACCCTCTTGTATATATGAGACAGTTTCGCATTGATACTGATGTGCTCAAGTGCACTGTGTTTGAGAGACTATGGCCCGTCTGACCACCCCATACCTTCTCTCTTAGCCTGGGCATCCTTAAGAGAGTCAAATAGCAGCAATACCCGATGCCGCAGAGGTAGTGATACATCGCCTCAACCATTTGAAACCATCAATCGAAGGGTGGGTTGTAGTAGCACACTGACGCCGTATTCCAGATCCGGCCCAGACACATCTACAACGGCCCCATGGTAATCTTCGTGGTATACACATCACATGCACTGAATGAACGACACGGCACCCGCTGGTTCCCAGCACCATCCCGTCCCCATCCGGCTGATCACGATCACTGCGCATGTGCCCGTGGGCGAGGGTTCAAGGGACACGTGGAGCAGGGCACTGCGATCCCGCGCCTCCAGGACGCAAAGCAACAACGCCATCCACACTATCAGACACCAACTGCATCCAAGAAGCCACGCATCACGCACCCCCGAGTCACCACACTCACAGCCGAGACGCCGCGTCCAACACACCCACCGCTTACCGCTACTCCCCACGCTCGATTCCCACGCTCGATTCTCACCCCCGATCCACGCACCCAGACGCACACCTCGCTCACCGCGACACACGCACGCAGCATCTCGCCGTCCAGACAGCGCCCGTGCGCATGCCCGCCGATGATACGGAGAGGTGTTCGGATGCTACAGCCGCAGCGTTGCTGGAGTGACGCAGGTACAGCGCATCGACGAGACCCGTGCGGCGGTGTGGACGGTGGTCACAGCGCGTGGGCTCTGGGACTGCGGGATGGCACTGTGGCGAGTATACAGGACATGCGGTGGTGGTTGGGTTGGGTGCGAAGGAGCGTTCTTGATACAGCCGGGGCAGGGCATGGGCGATTCAGGGGTGTCGGTTTGGACGCACAGTTGCTGTTGGGCTTACTGGGGGGGTTGCTGCGGTGGTGGGCGGTTTGGGAGGACATTGGCATCGAGATCGGATGGCATGTATACGAAATGAACGCGCGTGTTCAGGTGCAGAGTCGCGGTGTCCCCTAACCGTGCAGTGCTTCCGAGCGCATGCGATATCTCGCGTCGGGCAGCGTTGACCGCTTCGCGCTGACAGAGTCCTCATGGCAACCATCGCGACGGCGAGCTCGAGGCAGCTGTCGCTCCTCGAACGACACCTCATCTCCGAGCACAGCAGAGACATGCATCGCGCGACTCGCCCTCGAGCTCCGCACGGCACGCTCAGACTACCCACCCACACCTACTGTGCCTCTGGCCATCGGCCCCCATTATCAGGCACCAGTCCCCCCCCTCGCTTGATAGCGGTGTTCTAACCGCCGCCGACACCGTGCCCACACAACTCCACTTGTATCGTTACGCTGTATCAATACCGCACCCCACTTTTGTCCGTTACAGAGGGAAGGTGGTACCTTGGGGCGACGTCTCTGCCCTACGCTGGGCATCCCAGCCCAAGAGCGTCGTGGACGATGTGAGACGACCCACTACCCGCAAGTCAGGTGCGACTAACCCGCACGTTCACCAGAAGCATTATCCTCAACCAACGCGGCGCCCTGGTTCACCGGCACACTTGCACTGATCCTGGGCAAAGGCGTGGCGTAGAAGGCGCGGGCGACGAGCTAGAAACGCGCTTTGCGCTGTAGCTGCATGCGCTGCACGACACGAAGGCAGCCAGCAGAATCTGCAGTCTGCAAGATGGGCAAACGTGGGCGTTAGTGCCGTGTTGCAATGCGCATGGAACGCATTTGGAAGCCCGTTGCTCAGGCGTGACGCGCGCGCTCATCCAGCGCATCGCGCTTCGGATGGGTCGCGGATGGGCGCGTCTGGGCGCTGCAGCCACGCAACGACAGTTCCGAGCAGTGTCACTCGTGCAGCGCGCTCAGGTAGAGGCTCAAGAGACGCAATAGGAAGGGCACTAGCAAGCGCTGCAGATGAGGCTCTGCGGGAAGCCCAGGCTCAAACAGGGCATCATGGTTGCGCTGACCGGCTGCGAGCGTGGCTCAGCGACACGCAAAGCGCGAAAATTGTGTGGAGCCGGCGTGCAAAATAGAGTCGTGCCTTGCGGTCTTAAGAGAGTCTGGATGCGTGGCTGGAACGCGGGTGTGCTCGCTGTGCGTTGCAATTTGCAGCACGCGCCCGGGTCATTTCGGAACAAAGCGTTGTCGGGCGCGGAGAGGCGATGAGTTGCACGTGAAACCGTCTGGGAACGTGAAAAACTATGGGTTCGTGCGTGTTGAGAGTGGCCCTTTGTCGTGACGTGACCCACACAAGGGATAGCTGGCATGAGCTTATCCCTTTGCCGAGGGCAGACTTCTCTGGTTCGGGTTTGGCAGATGGAACGCTGTGCGGTTGCTTTGTCGGAAGGATTCAGGGCAGTGAAAACAGCAGAAATTCTCGATGGTGCTGACGAGTGGGAGAAGGATTGGATGGGAAGGCGCGGCGACTGACGAAAAGAGTGAGTACGTCGGCGAAGACCCGGCAAAAGACGTTTGAGGCTCTGCGGCTGTTGCCTTGTTGCACGCTGCATCGAAGCTCTGCAGAACATCAGCATTTTCCACGACTCAACAAAAGAAGACGCACTATTGACGGACGCTACGACCTCGTAGATAGGTATCATAGAGATCTGTCGAAAGGGTGCGATCCGCCTTTAGCCTTCCGCGGGCATGCGGGCCCCTGTACATACTGCAGCATGCGTGCCTTGAGGTCGACAGCGTCAACCAACTGTGTAACACGAGCTTGCGTGGTGTTGATCGTCCAAAGAGCGGTGTCGAGCAGTTGAGCGATTTGTTGTTGTGAGCCCTGACCGGAAGGCCTCACAGCCGCCACAATCTAGGACCAAAGTCTAAGCAGAGCGAGTGTTTTCAACCATTGCCCCTGCACGCGAGCGCATCGTCTGCAAAAGATGCAGTCTGCCGAGTCGATGCGCAGATCGACTCGCACCTTGTCGAGCTGAGGCTGGGGCCTGCTGTGCTTCAGCTCACAATGACGTATGCACCCTCCGCGATGCTTTTCGCGAGAACATGGGTCTTGATGTCCAAATGATCCTGTTTCAAACACACGAGGCTGCAAGATGCATCCGTAGATCCGGTCACATCACGATGGGTTTGGATACGTTGGATGCAGTTAATGATCGACAGCGCGTACCTGCGTATTGGACGAAAGGTACGTCATGGCAGCGCCCCGCGGCTGCGTCCCCACGGTAATGCGGAGCCCCGGTCTTCCAGAAGCCCACGACACCATGGACGGCCCTTCTTAGCCTTGGGACGGCGAGACCCTCAGCACCACCGACGCAAAGCGCGCCAGCATTATACCCACATCTCAAGGGTCTCAGGCCCTGGATCGTCCTGAGACCTCGAGTCGAGGTTCAGACACGCTGTTTGCGGGGATCAGGATCGTCGGAAATCTGGGAAGTTGATGCGAAAAGAAGAATTGCCTCCTGCCGCATGCAACACAGTCGCAACATACGAGTCAGGAATGCGCTGTCTCTAGCCTGTCAGGCGCTCTTGGACGGTGTTTCGATGTGTAACATCTTCGTTTGGTCTGGGGTTGCCGGTTAGGGAAAGCCTTGGTGTTGCGCCAGCAGACGGGGAAGCGAATTAGTCTTCCGGTGGCTGTAATTGATCGGTACAGCAGCGGAAACATCCCCCTGTGACCTGAATTTAGGAAGTTTATCAATTGGTTGCTGATCAGTGGCTGGGGGCTCATTGTCGCCCTGGCTGCAATGGCGAAACGCGAGGGCCGAGCTGCGCAACGCTATCGCAAATCAAGATGAGGCAATGTCTGAAGAACAGACATGTGCAAGGTGAATATCGCCATACGTTGTTATTGCGCAGGTTGGCGATGCACCAGGATGTGTCGCGTGGAGTGTATCCCAAAGCGGCAGTTGAACCCCACGGCGCTCCGCTTTTGCGGGGAAGCAGATGAGCCTTGAGGTGCAAATTCAACCAGCGCAGGTGACCGTTGGATAACCGTTTTGCCCTACCAGGAACAGCGAATCCCAGCACCAGGGTTTGTCTGCGGTTGCAGAGATCAAGACACGTAACAAAACATGAAAAGAAACGTACCGAACACGCGCCTGCCTCATTTGCCCAGCTTGGTAGCGGCACCCGATTTGCTACGTCAGTCTCAAGAGCCAGCGCTGAGTAGTGTACTCACTAGTTAAGCTGCCGAGCAGGACAGTTTGTGCACATGAACAGTTCGCATCATACCTTCGATCTCGTCAGAACAGTCTGATGTGTTGTCAATTTGGCTATCAGGTGGTCATCTCGCCCAGACCCAATTGGGATGCCTGAGGATGAACGACTCCATATTGACGTTAGAGTTCATCGTCAAAGCGCTGATGTCGGACCGTGAATGATGTTAGTGCCTTCGTATCGACGACTTTACCTCGCTGGAATGACGTTCGCACAAGGAACGTGCGACGGCAGTGTGATCAGATCAATGTGACGACCGAGGCTGCCTGGAACCGTCACTCGTACATTGATTCTACAGAGATCAGTTCATGGGGTATCAAATGTTACCGGAATTCTCTCCGTTCGGCGAATCGTTGAAATCGGGACCAATGCTTATGAGCTGATGGCGATGGTGCTAGGCGGAATGTAGCCAGCCACACCGTGCCTCGGCAGCTGCATACGGCAACTTTGTAGCGCCTTCTTCCTCAATGCAACCGAGCTATCGACTTGTGAAGTTGTGAAAGTCGACGGCACGTGGGACTTGCGGAGATTGCATCAGCAGGGTTGGAGTGAGGAGCAGGATCGAAATGCGGAGTGTAGGGCTGCATGATGGGCGAACGCATTAGCAGAGACATCCATGTAGAAGGTTGGTCCTCGTGTTATTGCTGGTATCTCTCATGTGCCTCGGTAGGTCGTAATGTTTGTCGGCTTCGCACTCTTACATGTCAGATGCTTGAACGTCCTCGTTGTTACATCACGCCTAATCGCTGAGGGTCTGAAATTGGTTTTGACCGCCATGAACGCGGGGCGCTGAGACATGCCAGCGAGATCTGGGGTGACAACGCACGTTTGCTCAGCCTTGTCGCGGTGGAGGGTGGGGAGGTTTCATATTTGTCTCTCGAATCTTACAATCCCACTGATCTACAAAGATCGCGATTGACATCAAGCCATCAAAGATCAGGCACCACACAGTGGCTGCAACGGTCAGATGCTCGAGTCCGCTTCTCAACAGGGTACTGCAGCAAATTCTCGGCTGCTGTAGGCTTTGGAGAATATGTCCGCTTTGTATTCACCGCTTCGATTCAGATCTTGGTATTGTAGATCATTTCGTCTCGACCATGAGATGCTTGCTTGTGGCAGATTTGGTTGGCTACTGTAGTACATCCAGGAGTTCGGGATGTGGGGCCTGGAGTAACAAGAAACCTCACAGCATATCCATATTAAGACGGAGACGTGCTTCTTACCGTTTAACCCTTTCACGAAGGGACATGGGGCCTGCAGGAGCGCAAATCCACCAAGCTCTAGACAAGCAACAGACTGGAGGCATTACGAGGAGTAGGAAGGATGGAGCTGACGTCGACGCGCGTCAAGCTGATAGGGTACAACTCTCGGAACCGTTTCGCTGATACGCAGAGTGTGGCTGAAGATGGTCGCCAGCGGACGCAGGGAAGTATTGATGAAATGCTGGCGTCTCACAGCGCCGTGCGGTACCGTAAATCTCCCACGAGCATTTCCGAATTGAGTATCCAAGCTCTCGATATAAGGGATCCGCAGTACATTGCAGCCGCCGTACGCTGCATTTGACCGATATCCGACCTTTGAGCAGTTGAGTTTGTCGAAGGATTGCAGATAAATTGGACGCCGAGTCTGCATACAGCAGTTCCGGCGAGAGGCGCACATCACCATTAAGCGGGACCTGTAGTGTGACAGTGCAGAGCATGTGATGAGCCCCCACGAGTGCGACGAATGGAAGTCGTGATATGCGAAATAAGGTGACCGTAGGTCTATCACAGTCGCAGGACGTGGGCTGAGAGCGTACTACCGAAGAGACGGGAAAGTGCTATCTGAAGCCTCCCGTGGTGGCGGAGACTCCCTGTACATGAGGCTGAAGGGGCGACAAGTAAGAGGATGAGCATGTCTCGAGCAGTTCAGATGACCTCTCTGCAGGCGCTAAGTTGCCAGCGCATCGACACCCTGACCGGCTGTGTCGCGGGGTAGTGCAGCGGGTGCCTGTTAAGGCAGTACCGCTCATCTTGTTTCTCATGATGACTGTTGTTTTTAGATGCCGGCTGATCGATGGTATCGCGAATAGCAGCGTGAAGAGCAATGTGAGCGGGGGCGCGGCTGCGGATGACGCGCACGCGAATGCAGGTTGCTCGCAAACCTGCGAACGATTTTGTGGGAACACGTTAGGTAAACAGTCTTCGCCAGTGTGGGAGGATAAGACTTGACCATACGTGGTGTTGATGTACGGCGGGGACGCGAGAAAAGATGGTGTTGTGGTGTCAACAGTCAAGTCATGACGTGTTAAACCTCCGAACGCCCCCTCGCTACAACAGTCGCGGCCCGCAGACAGTCAGGTGGCAGCGAAGAAATTGTGGGTGGGAGAAGGTTTGCAAAGGTGCACTGCGGTCGACACCTGATCCGTAAGGCTGAAGCACGGCGGGACCGCCGTCGAGATTGAGGCGCACGGCTCACAAGCCATACTCACCTATTTTGGATTCTAATTGCGCAAGGAGGGTCTCACGAGGTCTTCGAGTACAGCATGCAGCGACCTGTGATGGGACTGTTGTTGTTGGCTCTGAAGGCAGGCACGCACCTCAGTCACGGTGACAGGAGGGCGGCCCGAGGAAGAGCCAAAAGGCAATAGTAGTCGTCACGAGGAGAGAACTCCATGTCTCAGAGGTTGTTGTCAACAAACACTGATCATGGTGACACGCATGCCGTTCAAGCAATCTGCCACAAGAGGCAGACATAGCGCTCAGTGGGGAAGAGTAAGCGAGTTCCGCCATTGGGTGGCATCTGTGCTGCATTGCAGAGTCTGCATAAGCGCTTGCTGGGCGCACAGCTTTGCAGATGAATCAGAAGAGCGGTAAGAAACCTACCGAACAGGTCAGTCTTCCGTATCAGACTTGCATCTTGTTGAGTTCAGACGACCATGACAGCTGCGGAGATGGCATCAGCCTGTCGTGTCCAATGCTCAGACAGTCATCATGGCGCACAATCAATGCAGAGTGTTTGTAATAGTGAACAATCGCTTTTTCGATTAAGTACCTGACTAATTGCCTGCCACCTCGTGTGAGGTAATGCTGTTGCAGAACGACTTTGGGAGTCGACCCGTACTGGGGTATAATGGCTTTGTCAAGCCTAGATAGAAGTACAGTGCAGGTAGAAGTACAGACCAATGGACGAGATGCTGCCATGTGCAAGCCAACTCGACCAGGCGTGAGCCGTGAACCTGTTATAAAAGCCAGCCGGCACGCCTCAGTCCGCTGAAGGAGACTCGTAGCCTCGTAGGGCATATACGATGCCTTCAAAGCATCGAAGATTTTGGAAGGTCATTACCCATCATCACCGCTCGAAATGCTGAACGGGTACAAAGAATCAAACGCCATGAGCCCATTGCTCGCTTGTGAATGCCGCTAGAAGTGCAAGTGGAAAACATTAAAGATCAACTACCACCCCTTGGTGTGGTAGCTACCCAGACCTTGGTCAAAGTAGCTGTTGGGGTTCTTTGCGCTCGTATGCATTGGCTGGGGCTGGATCTTGGTGGCCATGCCCTGAAGGTCGGTTGTGGTGGCAGCTCGTCGCATAGCTGCGTTTGTCGTCGCATTCTTCTGCTGTCGTTCCCACAGCAGGTTTTGACGGAGAGAGCCGCTCAGTTCGTTCTGGAGCATGAGTCGGCGGGTGGTCCGCGGGGATAGGGCGGGAGGGTGCACGTTGGAAGTCGTCATGATGATTGGCTTGGCTCTGGAAGCCTGCTGACGCATCATCAAGCCACTGTCTTCCTGCGGCGAGTTGCCGATGGAGGGGCCGTTCGGTGTCGTTGTTCGAGATCGACGGATTTGGGGAGGCTGCTGGCGCTGGCGCTGGGCCGCGTTTTGCATGGCTTGCGCACGGTCGCCTTCGTGCATCATGGTTGTGAGCAGCGAACGGTGCGATGTGAGGTTGGGCTTGGAGTCGACTCGGGGAAACATGGCGGTGGTCTGCATGCTCGACTGGTGGCTCTCGTCGGCCGCCTCTTCGTCGTCGTCTTCCCAGTCATCACCAGAGTCCTCCTCCTCGATGGCACTCTCGTCTGGCTCGTCGCTGTCGCTCTCGATGGCGCCTTCGCTCTCGGAGATGGCCTCCTGGTACTGGCGCAGGCTGATCTGGTTCGCGAAGGACGTTGTCTTCTTCATGGAGCCGGCCTTGCGGAGGTTCTCAGAGAGTGAGCTGCGCTGGACCATTGAGTAGGCCTCGAAAGAGCTGGCGTCCTCGTCGGACGAGCCGCCGAGAGTGAAGACGGGCTGCTTCTTCTTTGTCATCGGCTCTGCCTTGCACGGCAGGGGCTTGACAATGAAGCTGGACGTCTTCTTGAGGATGGAGGGAGTGGTGGCCAGGTTGGTGCTGGACCGCATCGAGGTGGAGATCAGGCCAGGCTCAAAGCCGCGTACGACGCTGTGCTGGCTCATATCGGTAGAGGTGCTGACATCAGAGCCGGCGGCGCTCATGTCGTCGCTGCCACGGGTTGTGGCAAAGGTCGACGTCGACAGGTCGGGTGCACAGCGGCGTGCCGTCATGGGTGGCGATGCAGACAGGGCAGCTGCGGCTGCTTCGGCTGCAGCAATGCGGCGGGCGTCGGTGGCCTGGGCAGAGAGCTGCGGGGGCAGCGGCGAGAGCGGCTCAATGGCGCGCTTCTCCTGGATCGAGTTGACGACCTTCTCCAGGTCGATGGGCGTCATGTGCTTGCCGCGGGCGTTGCTGGTGGCCGAGTCGTGGCGGCGCAGATCTGGGCGCGACGCTGACGAGTCGGAGCGGTGCTGGCTGGTGGTGAGGGGGTCGAGCGAGTCGTCCGAGGCCACGCTGGTGGACAGCTCGGGCACGTCGGGCGCGCTGGCGGCGAGGGCCTGGTCGAACGACCACTGCGGCGGCACGACAGGGTCGGGCTGGCAGCAGAACGTCTCGCGCGCCCACAGGCGCCAGGCCATGTTCTCGTAGCGCTTGCCGTCCTCCATGGCGGGCGAGCATTTGGAAAAGACTGGGCAGGGTTAGCGGGCGCGCGGGCGGCGGCGGTGGTCGGCACTCACCACTCCACAGGCCAAACAGGTTCTCGGGATTGCGGGTCTCAATGGTGTGCATCGAGCCGTGCTCGACGCGCACAATGGGGAGGTCGGCTCTCAGCGGCATGGCGGGCGCTGTCGAGGCCGGGGCGGGGCGAGCGGGGAGCGGGCGGGGCGCGGGCACGACGGTGGACAGTGGACAGTGGACAGTGGCCGAACAGAGGGAATGCGCGTCGTTACTGACGTCGCGAAGGCATGTGGCGGCTGGATGCGGGGGTCGGCGGCGGTGGTGGTGCAGTGCTGGCGCAGTGCGGACGGTGCAGAGCAAGCGGTGCAGTGCAGGGCGGCAGTCGACAGTGCAGGGCGGCAGGCGGCGGAGAGTGTGGTGATGTAGGGAGTGCTAGGTGTGCAGGTGTTGTATAGCAGTGGGTGCGAGGCAGGCGTGCATGCGAGGGAACCACCGCTGCGCCGAGGGGAGTGGATCGCTATGTATAAAGGCCGGGCCAGTGCAAAGCTGCGCGGACAGGGATGGCCAGGAGCGACCGCCGACACGGAAGGAGCGACCTGGACGCCCACGCCCGCCGGCCCTGGCCACGCCCCCTGCTCTGCATAGGCCTCACGCCTTCAAGCCCTTCCGGAGAGTCCCCGGCATTGCAGTCCTGGCGTGCCAGACATGGCCTACCGCTCTTTCACGAGACGCCCGCTATTGACCGTGAGAGCTGCCGGTGCGCGTGCGGTGCGTCGCCGTCGTCTGCTGCCCTGCTGCCTCTCTGCTGCCTCGCCAGCGCATCTCATTCTTGCCGCGACCCCATGAGCCCCAGCCGCCGTGCCACTGCGGTCACTGCGGCCACTGCGGCCAATGCGCTCTGGCCGAAAGCATCGGCGCCCACGCGTGGCCGCTGGGCTTGCTCCCCCACGATGGCGCCGTGCAGGGGCGCGCTCTTGCGCGCATGGCACATGATTGCTACCTGGACCGTGCCTGCCGCAAGGTTCCTCTTCCAGCGCCCCCGGTCCAAGAGGCTGACTCGCTGCCCGGCGAGGCGCTGCGCTCCACGACTTGTCCAAGCCCTCACCGTCCGCTGGCAACCTCCAGCGCGCGACGAGTCGAGCCGCTCCTGTCCTCAGCACTGTCGCCGCTGGCGTTGCTGCACGCTGCCTTGACTCACAGCCGTCTGCACTGGCAAAACAAATGGGTCGCCGCCACTAGCAACCGCACCACCTGAGCATCGGCCCACGCCCAATATTACAGAACGCACGACTCAGCCGTATTGAAAATTCGTAACCATCTCGCCTGATCGTCATCCCTGCTTGCGTCTAGCCCCAACCCCACTGGCAAAGCTCTGCCGGCACCCTGCCGACGATGCGGACGCAGTCCTGATGTGCCTGGCCTTCACACTGACAGCTTGCTTATTGCTCGCCTTGCTTGACGTCTCACCCCATGGACAGGTAGCATGTTCGAAGCGAGCCAGGCAGCCTCACTTTCGTGTCGCAGTCGCGCTGTGGCAGTGACAGTGGCAGTGACAACAAGTATCCACTCGAGCATGCATCACGAGGCAGTTGACTTTTTCCGCTGCCGGTCAATATCCTCTGAGATGCCGTTCTAGGACGACCCTCTCCGCCACCATCTCAAGTGGAGATTCTCCATCTACCGCGAACAGAAGCCAGCTCACTCGAGTCGCTCACGGGGCGCTGACACGATGCATGTAGCCTCGGTGTGCCATTGTTCGCTGGGTTTCGCTGCGTGCAGGTTGATCCCAGAGGCATCCAGCACGAGACCTCAGCCTAAAGCGCACAAAGCTTAGTGGCGAGGCCGTTACGAGTCCTTGCAACGAGGAATCCTTAGCTGTTCGCGCACTGAAAGTCGGGGTAAAGGTACCCCGCCTAAAGTGTGCATAGGCCTCAGCGCAACCGTCGAGTGACTACAAGAGCGGCAAAGATGCGACGTCGACCGACTACCTGGCAAATTCTCGTGGTCATCTGGAGTATCCTGTCGAATCATACGGCCGCACAAACCATCATGTGCGACACTCTCGCTCCGTTCCATGCAGCGTGATTCTGGTTTCATGAGTTGTACAGCAAAATGATCCGTCTGGGTAATTGCGTGGCACCTCACAACGAAAGAGCAACACTCCAAATATGGCTTCTGGTATGTCGCTACCACCGCTGAGGTCCGTTCCTGAATCCCACGCCCCAAGGTATGCTCAATAGCCGCCCTGGCTCCGTCACGAGCCCATTTCCTACCACCTTGCACGTGAACCACATGAGCTGGCCCTTTGTCTAGTCAGGAACACCAAACGCCACTTGCGGTCCTCTGTCCCGACCTCCCGTTAGTTATAGTCCCCCTTGGACGGGATCAGACATCCTGGGGCCGTCTTTCGCGGCACTTCCACCAAGGGATCTGGCAATCCGAAGGTCAAATTCAGGCCAGCGCCAGCTATCGAACAAGGCCCTATTGCGGTTACTTACAGCATGCAAACGACATAAGCCTGTCGTACGACTGCCGAATGGAGTGCAGTCAGACGCAACAGCGACAGCAATGACACAGCGCAATAGCGGGTGCCATCCCAGCTTCCCCGGAGTAAGTACATGTACCAATAAAGTGTACTGGATTTGTTTACACCAGGCCCATCGCAGCGACCCCTTACTTTTGTCTCACGAAGATTGCAAACTAGATCGTCGCGAGATCGATCGTAGCCAATTTGGATCTTCGGACCTGGTTGTTGTAGTCTTGGCCAGCGCTTGTTGTACGAAGGCAGTCGGAATGTTCACGACATCTACACATACCATTGGCCAGACTAGATGTGTGTCCCTTGTGCCTCTGCGACCCTTCACATCCTTTACACCAGGCCAGGTAAGCAACACCTTCTCATCTGCTTTGTGCGTTCAGTATATCATTACACCATCTCAAGAGAGTGTAATCAATACGGCTCTCGCATCAGCTCCGTGACTATCAATACGCTTCGCATGTTACAAGTTCCGGAGCTCTCAAGCCACAGCATCATTCTTGCGTTCCAGGTTGGTGCAGGTAATATATTGCTGTATGAAAAGGCACCCCGCAAACGGGGGGCCACAAGCATGGTGCACGATTACATCCACGATGGCGGCGTGACAGTGCCACATTCCCGGACAGTTGACTGGGGCTGAAAGGCCCGACAGCCTGGTTCAAGCGGCTGTCTAAGCCGAATCTGGACCGGGGCTTGCACAATTCGCGTGGCTGACATCCACCAATCCCGCAGTGATGAGGCCGGTGGCTGTTCTTGCAGGCCAGTTGCAGTACCTTTAGGTTTGTATACAGCAAGGTTTCAAGAACCTAAATCTGCAGCTCTTTGGGCGAGTCGGAACAATCCAGGCCCTGTCGTTTCTTCTTCGTCCTTGGGCTCCAAGGAATCAGTATGCATGGCACGATGCAGGGCACAATGTACCGCGAATCTTATGCTGCGACTAGCCAATACCAATCCACAACGTGCTCACACCTTGGTTAGAGACGATCCTTTGGCGAATTGTAGCAAATAGATCAGCGTTTCGCGACACATCAGACCGAGGTCTCGGCTGCCATTCGCGGTCCTCCCCGTAATTGACTGCGCGCCGCAAGGGAGCGCTGGAACATCATCTCCTGAACAAGTTGTTCACGATCCCCACACCCCTAGCGCACGGGGGGAAGTGTTTGCTAGCCTCCGCTTCACGACTCAATTTGCGCGATTTACATTACCATCGTATCATGTCGGCAAAGCCCTGCGACAGTACAATCTCGTCGGTTATGGGACAGATGCCGGGAAAAGCACGTTTTGCCCAACGCGCTGGAAGTGCACTGTATCAGATGGGCTACATGCGTAGCCGCCATGTATCGCAGTCTGCAAGCGAGTGTTCCTGGATCAGCGTGACGATAATGCAGCGGAGCACCCCACCCATCACACTGCTCTGCCCACGATGACTCGAGGCAGCGACAAACGCACGCCATCAGATTGGGCAGCAACTCGCAATCTCGTCTCGCAAAAAAAAGACAGATCAGGTCACACGCAGGCCTCGAAACTGCCCTGACCCGCGCACAGAACTCGCAGACTCGGAGCCACCAACAAGAGCGAGGAAGTGACTGGCACCCCGGCAGATCTGAGGTTCACATGAACACTCCCCGACTTGGCAAGTGGTGTGCTCTCCCCACGTGCTTATCGAGTGCACATGGGTGGCTAGACGCGCTGCATCCGGAACCGCACTCCGCGCGGTATCTGCCATCCTTGATTCGAGCCCTTTGTCACTGTATTTGACATTGTCTACTAGACTCCTGGCATGCAAGTGTCTACTCGCGTTGCCATTTACCCACGGTACCCCGCCGGAAGTATGTAGTTGCCAGCTGACAAGACATTGGGGACCACAGTGGTGCTTTGCCCCACGGGCTTGTGAGTTCTTCCGCCAACGATGGGGTATTTTCACCTTCCTGCTTCGGAGCGTGGTGCGCCAGCATCAGATCCTGCGGAAAGCTGTCGAGATATCCCGGCATTTCGGGGCCAGTTCTAGAAGCTTGGGTGCTGGCGGATGGCTTCCTGTTTTGGTTATCCGCCTCCGTGCTGGTAGTCGATGCTTTAGGCCCATGAGTGGTGTCAGATGGACTCTGCTTTGAAGGATTCTTATGTAAGTCTTGTAGCGGTAGGATGCTCTAATGGATGTTTTGAGACATCCGGGCAGAGCGAGGTCTGCAGTAGGCTCGCGCTCCCAACTTTACAGGTGACAAGGTGTGGTGACATTGCACGATAATTTCAGACATCTGCTTTTGATTGTGGAAAGGCTAAGTAAGCTTCTAGCGTGTCTGTGGTTTCTGTGATACTAATATCGAGCGCTTAGGTGTTGCTCAGCATGCTTGTAGCTATCCCAATATAGACGGCTGAGCCACGCAGGCAGCTTTGGTCATTTGCAAGCCTCGAGTCTTGCGGATCAGGAGCAAATCAGCTCTGAATAGTCCTTGCATGTCTTGGTGATCAACTCTTATCGCGCCAGCAATAGTTAACAGTACGTTCGTAGTCAAGACACGCTACATCCCGATACAACACGGAGCCTCAGATTGGTCTACCCTCACCGCTACACGCCTCCTTCCTCCGACTACCAGGACTGCCTATACCAGCTCAACTATACCTGAAGCTCTATAGCCTCGTCTCGAGATCGTCACGAATTATACTTCCGCCTCACACCACCGCAACCCGAACCATCTATCATCTCGGACCGCAGCTCCAAGTCATCCTGTGCGCTTACGGGCCGAGATTGGCTACCTCGCGCCTCGCAGGCCCATGTCGTTAGCGATCTCTGATGAAATGCAGCCCCGACCGCCAAGTTCCTCGCACCTTCCTCCGGCGCTCCCACCACCCACGCGGCTGGTAATTACCGACCAACGGTTCATCTGCAGCGGCTCAGACCCCAGGCGGCGCAAGCACGAGCGTGATCCAGCGCGTGCGCTTTGGGTGCCCGCGGAGCTGATCATCCACACCGCCTGTGTCACAAGGCGACCGCCCCGGTGAAACGGCTCAGTCAATACCCACCGCGTCAATAACCGTTGCTGAGACAGCCCGCGCGAGACTTCCCGCGGCTGGCTTGCAGTCGCCGCCCGCGCTGTCTCACGCGCCGAGGCGCAAGCACGCCGGGTAATACTGGAGGCGAGCTCGGGAGCCGGGACGCGGAGGCTGTCTTTTACCCCGGACTTTCACGCGCGCATGCGACGAGGGGAGCTGTTGTTGGGGATCACCAGCATGGAGCGGGAGAGCGATTAGCAGATGTCAGCAGCGCGAACGGTGAGGGCCGGAGCGAGGAGGCACGGAGCGAGAACGGCGTGCACACGTCAGATGCGCCCGTGGGCGGCGCGGTGCGGTCTCGGAGGCCGTGCTGCTCGTGATGCGCAAGAAAGGGTTTCTGTGAGACGGGCATGTGTCAGCGCGTGTCAGCCTCTTCGTTGTGCCACTGTGGCGAACGCGTGTGCGATACTCGTACGAACAGTGAGATTCTGGGCGCGCGCGCTCCGAGGCTGTCTTCACATGCCCCGGAGCTGTGGGGTTCTGGCCGGTGAAAGGACTACTGCGGCTCCGCTGCAATAACCGAATAGGTAGCCTCGCATGCGCTTGAGACCGAGGTGTGTTGTGCAGACACATGATTGCGTGCTTGTTTGAGCAATTGCTGCGTCATGATCACTCCGTAACATACCTGACAATACCGAAAAACAGTCAGCGCATGGCAGCAAAGCGATGTCATGCTCGTCATAAGCACCGATGACGAACTCGCCGGGTGTTTACTTGAAACACTACAAGCAGTCAGACATCTCCCTTGACAAGACACATCACTGCAGCACAGCAAAACAATAGCCGTGTTCATACACGTAGCGTCAGACTCTTCTATGAACATCACCTCGAAGAGACATGAGCCAGCACTCAAACGGGACGCTCGCTCACGCCTAGTCTTCTTCGCCGTTCGCACAGCGAGTATGGACACTAGACGACAGCGCCGAGACTGCCGGAGAGGTAAAATGTGTAAAGCTTGGTAACGTCCGGAGCTGGGTTTAAGCTCAAGCTTTATGCCGACGATGCGGTGTGGCTGCTAAAGTATGCACATCACAACGGATTCGTCGGATAGCAATGATACGACACATCACATTCCTGGATGAAAACCCATTGGCCGTGATACGCCTTGGTCACAGCGCGTAATAGTCCGAGATCCGCAGTTATTACGATTCACGCCATTTGTCAATGGACATGGCGTCTCTACTCCAAACGCTGGACACGAACTATCTTGAAAGCGGTGAATGGAACGCATCGATAACGCCCATTCTCACGGATGATATACCGTGGGGGTGCTTTCAGTGGAAACGGGGAGTGTTTCTTGAGCAACCTGAAAGCGTGTAGGGAATCAGTTGCCATGGCTTTTACTTCAGATTGGCAGTGACAGACATGCTGGGCAGCCCGGGAGAGACCAGGACAATACTCTCATCTCTCTGTGATAGTTTGGTTCTATCAGGTCACATGTAATCGCAGACTGCGACATAGGTGAGAGTACTTTCATCCAGCGCTTGGCAGCTCCAATTGCATCACTCTATCACCCGACTGCGTATATCTCGGTTCACCTGCTAAATGCAACTCCAGAACCCAATCTGCAAACAACGAATGGCGTTAAGACATGCTCTACTCACAAGACTATTTTAGAAGACTCCTGGGAAGCGGTGAGATGTGTAAAGACTTTACAGGCAAGAGTACTCTAGGTGACTTCCGTTCTGCTCCGTCACCCATACCTATACCCATACCCATACCCATACCCAAGCCGAGCTATTGCGGCCAGTAAAAGAAGAGAAACTTACACAGACAGCTCGCTCCAAGTGGGCAAACACCTTCCACCCCGGTCTGTGACACGCCTACCCGCCAGCACGCAGCCCCCTTCTCACTCTACCCACCAGCACACCCGCAGAACCGCAAGACATCCTCACGAGCACACGAACACCATGTTGTGAAAAACGACACGGACCGAAAAAGATCTGTACATCCACAGCTACACCCCAACACACCCCACCAGCCCCAGCACCACATACAAGCCCATTATGCACCACATCCCCCGCCCAAAAAACTCACAACCCTATCACACCCTCTAAACCCTCCAAACCCTCCAACCCTTCGCCCCGCAACCACCCCACACAACCAACAAACCCAAAGACCGCCGCCATCCAGAACTCCAGACCCAGCAGTCTAGCGGCGGTGGATACACACAGCGCCGCGGAAACACGCAGTATCGCCGGCAACGAAGCCGTCACCCGCCCTGTGCGCGCTCACGCTGTCACAACGTCACGCTGTCACGCTCATGGCGGGCGAGGAATTACGGGTCTTTGTACGTGGGCTGTGAGGGGTGGGGTCGCGGAGGAGAGGGCGGTAAGGAGATGCAGAGGAGACGATTACTTAGTATAGAGAGATGGGGAGAGGGAGGGGGAGGGGGAGGGGGGAGATGGATGCATACTGCCTGGATGTTGTGGCAATGAGCAACGAGCAGCGAGCAACGAGCAACGAGCAACGAGCAACGAGCAACGAGCAACGAGCAACGAGCTACAAGGGCAAGATGGGGTATTCGGTGGACGCTCGCATACCGCTGGCGTCCTGCAGGCACCGCTGCGGTGTGTCGTAGTCGCAGTGTGTTCAGGTCGTCTGTGTGCGCTTGGGGACGACACTTGCGCACTTCAGAGCGTTGCGTGACGGCCAGGTACGGCGCGTGTGTACACCGTGTTTCAACACCGATAAAGGCGGACCTGCGACACCGGAGGGACGCAGTGGGCGCTCCTTGCCTGACTATTGAATCTACCATTGAATCAACAATTGAACTATGAGATTGAGATCGGCCTAAAGACGTAACAATCAGCATGCCGCATTGTGAGGTATAGCCAGCAACGCGGCGATCCAATGTATTGTGAGTTTCTTTCATTCCTTCGTCTATGTGGTATCGCTGGCCTAGCTTTTGATCGTCACATCATTCCATCCGCAGTCGACTCGCTTCAGATCACCCTTACTGGCCTCGACGAGAGGCGCTCAGGTCGCCCATGGCCTTTGTAACGTCGCAGTCAGGTTTGGAGCGATGCATTTCACATGTGACACCGCGTGGTCATCGGTAATCATCCATTATCGACAAGTCTAGTACTCCTGGTCGTCGCCACCGGCAATGATCACGTTGTTGATCTAGAGTCTGGTCAGCGAGAGTCCGGAGGAACGCGCAAGAGAATGATTGACAGCGACGCAAGATCGTCGCGGTAAGGCACAGTGTCGAGCATGTGACCATCCGCGCGGCTCATGTTGGCCACGTAGAGCGCGTTCGTCGCGCTGGTTGTGTGACGTGACATCCGATTCGGCAGGACGTCGCTTCCCCTCTTCCCCGAGATGAGGGTCCAGACGAGCAAGGGATGCAGCTGGTCGAGTAGGACCAACAGAAAAGGGCGACGAGATGTGACGGCGTATTGAATTGAAATGTGTAACAATTGAAACATTGGGATGTGCTTACCTTGAGAACCATTCTGCACAACTGGGTAGCGAGCAACAGTTGTTGCCTCTTTGAGATCAAGGGGTCGATAACGAAGTGCTCCTTCATGTCTGTAACGTTCGAGTTAGCACAATGTTCACATGTTTCAATCAAATAAAATGACTGCACGCCGTGTACTCCGTCAGAGTATCGTCTTGGGATCATGTGGTCCAAATGCTGACACGACGTGGGGGCTCGCGCTACACCCCGCGGAGGTCATCCCAGACTGCGTATGTGCACCGCAGCACCATGCAGTCGCCAACATGCTCGGGCTATTCTTTACGACGGCGGTGCAGAAAAAGGAAAGTGCTGTTCAACAATCGCGATAACACCGTGTTGAGGGTGGGTGAGGGTACGGCTAGATTCAATTCCGAGGAGATGTGCTTACCGTTGCTTCCTGTCTGCATGCAGTCGACACCTAACCTTGTGTTCTTCTCCTTGGCCTGTCGCGACTTGATGTTGGCGAGAGTTTCGATGGGGCTAAGACCAGAGTTCTCGGCAAGGGCCATGGGAACCTGGTCGAGGGCATCGGCAAAGGCGCGCATGGCGTATTGCTCGAGACCAGGGCTCTTGACGGCTGCGTCCTCGACTGCCAGCGAGCAGGCAATCTCAGCCGCACCGCCACCGTACACGATGCGGCTGTCGCGCACCAGGTTACGGACAACGCAAAGAGCGTCGTGCAGCGATCGCTTGGCCTCGTCGATGATCATCTTGTTGGAACCACGGACGAAGACTGTGACGGCCCTGGTGTTGGCACACTCCTCGATGACCAGCATCTTGTCTCTTGTTGTGCCGAATGTGAGTTCCCTGACAATGCCAGCCTTTCCGAGCTTCTCAGCGCTGAGGTCCTCGAATCGTGGTACAATGCGTCCGTTGGTTGCAATGGCAATCAGCTCGATTTCAGGCCCTCCAACCCATCGTACGGCGGGTAGCTTGTTTGTAAGCAGAAGGTGGTTGGCCTCGTCGTCGAAACCCCACTGGCAGATGACAACGTTGGCGCCTGTGTTCTTAATCTGGTCGATCATCTCGGTGAACTTGTTGGACTCGTAGCTCTGTAGCTTCTTGAACTCCTCGACCGAGGTGATGTCGAGCTTGTGCTTGGTCTTGGGCTTCGGGGGCTCGAAGGCACATGTGAGGATGGCGAGTTTGGCGTCCTTGACCTCGGAGGGCATCTGAGGATGCGAGAAGTCCTTGTCTATTATGACACCCTTGACCAGCAGTGTGTCCTCCAGCGATCCACCGACCTTGCCGTCGACCTTGATCAGCTCAAAGTCAACATCCTTGCGCTCCAAGTCGGCGACGGAGAGAACGGCGTCGACGGCAATTTTGGCGAATTGGTCGTGAGCCTTGGAGACAATCTTGGAGCCCAGACTCGTCTTGGCAACCTTGAACAGCTCCTCGGTGTTGTCCTTGGTGAAGTGGATCTCGTCGCTGATCTCGTCGAGGCGGGCAACGGCAGCCTCGCAGGCCTGGTCGTAGCCGTCTGCTATCCTGATGGGGTGGATGCCCTTGTCAATCAGATCTGCGGCCTGTCCGAGCAGCGCGCCGGCCAGGACCACGACGCCGGTTGTGCCGTCACCAATCTCGTCGTCCTGCGACTTGGAGAGCTCAACAAGCAGCTTGGCGACGTGGTTTGAGATTTCCATCTGCGAGAGGATGGTGGCGCCATCGTTTGTCACGGTGATGTCGCCATCGGGGGAGATGAGGATCTTGTCGAGTCCTCGGGGGCCCTGTTGCGGTCAGCCGAGCGTCTGGCGCTGTCCTCCTGGGCCGCTGCGTACGAGAGAGGTCTTGACGAGGTTGGCGACTGTCTGGGCGGCCAGAATGTGCGACTTGACCGCCTCGTTGCCGTGTTGGCGCTTCTTCCTGCCCTGGCTGCGCCGTGTCAGCGCTCCTGCCGTCTATGATGTGCGGATCCAGAGGCACCTACTCTCGCACGATGATGAACGGCCGGCCGGACTCGTCCTTCATCACCTGGGCTGTGTGGTCTCGTCAGCTGCGGTCTCGCGTGCATTGGCGGGGTCGGCCGATGCGACTTCGGGGCGGCGCAGCAGCGTACCTTGCGACATGTCGATATCTGCACACAGTAGGTCAGCATACATGTAATCAGTGCAGCCGTGTGCCGGCGACTGCGAGCTCTGTGACCTTTGCAGGCCCCGCAGGCAGACGCAGTGACTTACTCATCGCCATTTTGGCAGACTGTGGATTGCAGCAAACAAGAGCAGAAACAGAAGACGCGTGCCGCTATGCTGTGCTCGGGCAGGCTCTGCTGGACTGCGCGTGGATGATGGCGAGGGGTGGTGGGGTCCGCGTACCAACAGCAACAGCTCATCCAAAACTTTCCCTGCCAAGGCCGGGGTTGTGTTTAACTAGCGGCGGCGGGCAAGCTGCGCGTTGCGAGCTCAGCGCGTCCAACCACCACCGGCGCGCGCAACCGATTGAGCTCCCACGCGCACCACAACCGCCGCCCGCCTCTGCACCGCGTCTCGCGCCTGCCGTCTGCGCCCGGCTGCGCCCGTCTGCACCCGCCTACACCATGCCACGTGAGCACTCACGTCCCCATTGCGCCCATAGTGCCTGTCCTGACGCGCGCCGCAGCCGCTCTGAGTGATTTGGAGTCTTCGGACAGCGAGATCCCGGCCGCTGTTGCCCCCAATTCCTCCAAGAAGCAGCCCAAGAAGCAGCCCAAGAAGCCTGCGCCCGTAGAACCCGCCGTCGAGGAGGAGGAGGAGGAGGAGGAGGAGGAGGAGGAGGAGGACGCTGGCGAGGACGAGTACGCGCACCCACCGCGCCACCACACCCGTCGCGCGCGCTGACAGTGCCGCAGATACATTGTCGAGAAGATTCTCGGGCACCGCTTCAACAAGGGTGTGCTAGAATTCGATGTCAAGTGGCAGGGCTATGAAGACCCCAAGGACCGCACCTGGGAGCCCGAGGCGAACATGTACGGCGCGCTGCCCGCCCGCCAGCCTGCGACCGCGCTGACCAGAGCAGGGAGACAGCCGCCGACGTGCTGAGCGAGTACTTCGAGGACCTCGGCGGGCGTCCTGAGAAGCCTGAGAAGGGCGCCAAGCGCAAGGGCCGCGCCTCGATGGCCAAGAGCGAGACGTCCACGCCCGCCACGGCCTCCAAACGCGCAAAGAAGACACAGGAAGAGCCCGTCGAGAAGGCGTGGAGTCCGCCGCCAGGCTCGTGGGAGCACGACGTCTCGCACATTGACACAGTTGAGCAGAACACAGACCCGAAGACTGGCAAGGACGCCAAGTTCGCGTACATTGTTTGGAACAACCAGAAGAAGACGCAGCACCCGCTGAAGCACATCTACACCAAATGTCCACAGAAGGTCCGTCGCCTCACAAGACAGCACGCGCAGAGCTGACCACATCCACAGATGCTACTATACTACGAAAGCCACTTGGTCTTCACCCCGAGCGAAACAAACGGCGAACCCACGGACGAGAAATACTAGCACAGACACAAGAACACGAGACCTCGCATGAGCGTCTGGCTCTCTGATTCACCGCAGTTGCATTTGTGCTGCATCTAGCAGGTCGAACAGAGCCTTGTGTTTTCCGACTCCCTTTGGCGAACCTTTTCTCGCGCTCCTCCTCCCAGGTTCATGTTGGCCCATAACGGCGCTGAACGGCACGGAGCTCGACATCTTTGGCACGGCGTTTGGATCAGCGGTTTTGCAGATGACGACTATGTAGTATATCAATACTTTCACGCAAAATACAACAGATTCTCCCCCCAAATAGCTGTCACAGGAAGACCGTCATCTCTGCAACAACCCATCTGAAGAGAACGACAAGCAAAGTCTGTTCACAGCAGTCACGTCAACAGACCATAGTGCAAGTCGATTCAACTCTTCATTCTCGTCGTAATAGTGATAAGCCAGCCCTTGGCGGCGGCGCAGCGGGTATCCAAAAGCCGGTCCTCGATCAAATCAAATCAGCACAACAAACCCCCAGGCCTCGCATCTCGCAATCCCAGTCCCAAACGCCGTCCCATGCAACGCCAAAGTGCCAAACCATCATCCCATATATACCGTCACATCGTAAAAATCATCTTCGTAGTCGAAACACCTTGCCGGCGAATGTGGGCGTAGCCCAGAGCACCGTGCAGTCGAGCACACCCTGCCGTCGCGTGTCTTGCCAAACGCATTGCAGTCGCATCCGACTACGCAACGCTCGTCATGTCGCTCCCGCTGCTCGTCGCTGTCCCGCCGACTGCCATCCGCGTCTGCAGGTAGTAGATCAGGTACCCGATCAGCGCGATCAGGATGAACAGGATCAGGATGATCAGGAAGATGACGATGTTGCGCTTCATGATTACTCCGGAGGTATCGAGATAGACGGGAGTTGGTAGTGTAGGTCTGCGGATCTAGTCGGCGTTAGAAAAAGCGCGCGTGAGGTTGGGGTAGAAGGACGTACGTAGTCCTGCTAGGCGCTTGGTGTTGTAGTTGGACGGGTGTGTTCAGGTGTTCAGGTGTTGATGTGGTGATTAGGGCAAGAGGTCAATCGTGGACTATGTGGGTATGTGCAGAGTCTTGGTGTTCAGTGCGGTGCGTGTGCGTCCACCGCTCCACAGGGAGCGACAACTTTTGTACACTCGACATGGCTGGCGGGGTGCGTGCGGGGGTGGTTGGGAGATGGCTGGCATGGCGCGCGCTGATTGGCGGCGCGCGAGAGGCTGGACGTGAGACACGTCAGGCACACCCGTTGTGTGCATGAATCTGTGCATGCAGGGTGCAGTGTTGTCTAGTGGAACGAGCAGGTTTGTTGGGGGCGGTGCCCGGTTCTGGGCTGTGAGGGCTGACGACGTGCGTGGTTATTTGGTTGTTTGCGAGGCGGGCGTTGCTGGGGGGCTAGCGCGGCGCGGTTGGGACGCGTGCAGCCTTGCGGTGCTCTGGGCACTTTCTGGGCATCTACTGTTCGGAGAGCATTGACGACATCGCATGTGCGTCTTGAAAAGTGGGCGTCATGTTCGTGTACAGTACATCCTTAATACACTCGACCACATTGTAGACTCCAACGCCTTCAATCCCTAGCCCTGCTATGCACCCAGAAGACCGTCGCCCTCCTCGTCTTCGTCGGCCAGGTTCTGATCTGATATCTTCCAGAAGGCTGTCGGCCCTGCTGGACCATGCGGATCAAAGTCTTTGTCAAACCAGGTCCCAATCACACCGCGCTCAGATCGCAGTCCACCAACTTGAATACCATCACTGCGCCATCTCTCTTCTCCGCTGTCACACGTCAGTAATATACGGTCCCATCGGGAGTATGTCAGGTTGTAAACCTACCCGTGAAATACCGAGATGGTCTGCCACCGCACTTCCCCTTCGTGTGTAAGACGCACAGTTCCTCGGAGACCAGAGTTCGCATTAGGATCCCAGGACGCTTCGACTGACCGCGACACACCGGCGAAATGCACCACTGGTAGCGCGTCGTTGTCAAACTGGCCAGCGGGCTTGACGTCGGTGACTTTGATGTCCATCATAATGTGTCGAATCGCTTCCTCGGTAACTATTGGGTCTCGTGGCTCGTCGGACGGCCAGCGTACAGCATCCTCGTCGAAGTTGAAATGGTAGAGGTCGTTGTAGTCGAGAAAGCAGACGATGCGTGACCAGACACCAGAGACATTGTAAGGATCCCTGAGTTTCAACGGGATATCGATCTCCTTAGGCAGTGACGCTGGGTACTGTGGCAGAATCTGCGCTCGCTCTGGAACGACGCCTTCAAAGGGGTTAGTCCATGGTGGTCTGAATCTGGTGAGAAAGCGACGGCAACAAAGCCCAGAGCTGTATCCTAGGACGATCATGAGGCTTTCGATCATCTCCCAGTTGACTCTTAAGCTTCCGTCGTCTCGGAAGGGACCCCACTGTGTTTTGTCAGTGTAGTTGCGCAGATCGTATACGTTAGATCTTGCAAAAGGATGTGTCGATAGGGATCTCCGTCCTCCGGTGGTCGATGTGATGCCGAACAAGCATTGCAGCTTCGCACTCAACTGGCGACTTTCTTCGTCTTCTGCGGGCTTCTGATTATTGGTTCCAGCACGCGCATACAGTGATGACCGACACATGAATGCATCTCGATTTTGTGTGATTGAGTCAAAGAGCTCCGAAAGCAGCTGCTGGTTGAAGGATACGCCAAGCTTGTCAATAGAGGCAGTGGCTACCAGCGACAGGGTAGTTTTTGTCACGAATTCAAACTCATCTCGCTACTGTGCATCAGCACTATGCATGGATCTTGGCTGTATAGCCTACCTTGAGGTCATTGTCGGCTGACTCAAGGATCTTTTGGCATCGAATAGCTCTCTGGAGCTCCAGCACCCAATCCGGCTCCGGGTCAGCCGGTCTTCGACGAGGATCGTCCTAGACGAATGTCAGACCCAAGACTCAACTTGAACACCCTTCTAAACTCGTACAAAGGTTTTCAGATAATGCGCCTTGTATAGCCTGGTGTTCTTCTTTATAAACTCATTGAACCCCACAGAAGCTTGAGCACAGGTGGCAAGGTCAGGTGGGTCAATCTCCTCAAGTATACGGATTAGAACATCATAGCAAAGATCAAGAAGCTCCGTCATATTGAAATAGTGTATAGTCGGATGTACAAGAGATAGTACAAGCTGGAGTCGATGTCTCAGCTCGACGACGTCTTGACGTCCCAGTTCGGCAATCAGAGTGGGGCGCGGAGATAGCTGCTTACCAAGCCTCAGACGTGACTGCGCAAGTGTTGGTCAGAGGTCGCCCTCGGTTTTTACACTCCGTTTGACGACCATAACCATCTCCAAGAACGAGCCCCGGCATTAACGGACGTATAATGCACGGCAAGATCTGTACGGCACCCAATCACGTCCGACCAGCCACTCGGCACGTTTGCGGGATCCATCCCATTCTTGTCGCAGCCAATAAGCCGCAGAACTACTACTGAATAACTCGTTCAGATGCGTGCACCCTGTCAAGAAAGAGTCCTGACTAATCCTTCTTACCTGCTGCCGTTTAGCAAGTGGCTGGTCAGTTGTGCCGTGCGGCACGCCGAACACTCAATTTGTCTTCACACAAAAGGCATGACCAATGCTACCACATAACCTCACAGAAATGAAGCAAACCGATTCGACTACATAAAGAAACGATCTTGATTTCTGCCGTCATATCGAGATGGCAAGACGCATCGCCCATAGGCACAGCACCTGACCAGGATCAGTAAAGCGACATTTATAGGTCAAGACCGATATACAAGCACACAAGAATACCAAACAAGGTTGAACGCAGGTACTTGACAATGGCTAAATTCTGTGTATCCTTAGATCATGTCAGCAACGCGGAATGCGAATCATGCTGACAAAGTGCTTGCAAAGACATGACTAGATCTTCGTACCCGCGTGTCAAAGACGTGCGAGAGCGATTTACCGAAAATCGAGCAACTCGGCGTCTTTTCGTCGTCGGTTGCCGCGGATGCATCCACGAGCATACCATACGGACGGAACAGTGAAAACCCAAAGATCGCTTCTGCAGACCCCACACCTCCACCGCACGATCGCCGTCGCCACCTGTTCGCAGACACTGCTCACCAGGTCTCTAACGATGTGGACTTTCTTGGCGATTGTACACGCTCCCGTCATTCTGGAAGTGAGAAAAGTCTTGCTTTCTTGGCGCGTGATGTCCTAAAGCTTACTTGAATACGAGAGACTAACCTACGTCAAGGCTGGATTGTCTATGTGGATAACTGGGCTCAGATGCATGGCCTACCACTGCGCGGAAGCTAGGGTCGGGTAAGTGGCGAGATGCTTGTAGAGCCTTTGCAACAGAGAGAGCAACATCCGAAGTCGCTGGGCATAGGAGCCGTGTCATGTAGAGCTTTAAGCATCAGCAGCCAGTCCTCGACCACGCTGACGGGATAGTCATGCCCACGGCATACGCAAGAGGCTTCGTCGCTCGCCCACTCCGACAGCTATTGGTACCTTGAGGCGCTTCTAGGCTACGTGGACGAGTCTTTGTGAAAGTGTATGCAGCGTCTCAATGCGTTAGGCGGGCGGTACGTGTGGAGACGTGGGGCCTTGCGATGAGTTCCAGGAACCCAGCTTCAACATTGATGCCAGGGACCCGGCCGAAGTCAAACCACATCTGTCTATAGTACAGGAAGACCCTGAACATTTGGGGCCGCCAGGGCTCGGATTGGCTACCCGAAGCAGCGAGCCGAATCTGCCATTTCCGATCCGCCATCCTCAGCACGCCCAGAAAGGTGGCGGCGGTACGTGGGGATCAAGCAATTTTTTCCATGCAATACCAAGACCACCAAGACCTCTTGGGGTGTCGAAGGATTCGATGTGTTCGGGAACACCGTAGCGGAACGCAATTGTAAAGCCCTCGGTCATCGCAACACGAACTGCAGGCCTGCCCGGCTTGACAAATCCACATCAATGGACCAGGTTGGCCGATGCAACACACCCTTGGTTTCCATCAGATAATAGATTAGATCGAGACAAAAATCTGATAACTTTGATCACGCCAGCCTCAGCTGTGATTGGCCGGTAAACGCCGCTGATGCCGGGTGATTATCGAGATAAGATTTTTCTCAGCACCTGAGCCGAGCTTCGGTGAGCTTATTACCGGGGGTTTTGCCGCAAGCAGGAAAGAAGCTTCGCTTAGCCGCCGCTTGCTAGGTTTGAGGGCCCAACTCCATGCAACCTCGAAAGGCGTTGCCGCATCCTCACGCGCGGCCTTGTCCACTAGAGCAAGCGGTGCCAGAAGTACTATCCACTCCTGCAATGTGAGCCCGCCGACCGCTGTCGGTGGAGCTGCCGGCGTGTGCGGATCATCTCCCAGCATGCTTTAAGAGCGCACGCCATCGCCCTCTTGATCTTATCAATCTCCTTTCCATCACTTCGAGCTTGACATCCTTGTGCCAACAAGCACATCCAGCCTCGAAATGGGTTTCTCTTTCAAGGGTTTGACCACCAGTGCATTGGTAAACGGCGCCGTGCCAAACCACCAGGCCAACGAGAAGGACATCGCAGACATTCCTGCTGCCGTCGATGCCCATGGCAGCATGGACGTTTCCCGTCGTAACGACGAGAAGATCGGCGCGCCTCGTTCCCCGTCTTCCATGTCGGACGGATCCTCCGATGAGGAGCTGAACAAGGTCGACACCCACGCTGAGCAGGGTGTTCAGGCCATTCAGGCCGCTACTCTTGTGTGGTCCAAAAGGGATCTCATCATGGCTTACATCTTGTAAGTGATTAAGACAAGAATGCATCACGATCAATGCTAACAGCAACAGCATGTGGCTTATCCAGTTCATGATGACCTTCTTCTCTGGCTGCGTCGGTACCATGACACCTTATATGACCAGTCTCTGGGGAGAACACTCGCTCACCGCATTGACCGGTGTCATCTCGGGTCTCGTCTCTGGTCTGTGGAAGCTCCCTTACGCAAAGATCATGAACATCTGGGGAAGGCCCTGGGCGTTGGTCATTGGTGTTATTTGCTACGTTATGGGCCTCATCCTGATGGCTGCTTGCGAAAACGTTCAGACCTACTGTGCGGCCTACACCTTCTACTACATGGGTTACAACAGTATCGATTTCTCGATGACTGTCTTCATCGCGGACACATCCAAGCTGAAGAACCGAGGCCTGTTCATCGGTTATGCTTCCTCGCCCTGGCTGATCACCACCTGGGTGTACGGATACGCTGTCACGAGCATCCGTGCCCCAGGCGGTATCGGTATGAAGTGGGCCTTTGGCATGTTTGCCATCATTGCTCCATTCGTATGCGCCCCCTTGATCACCATGTTCTTCATCGCCCAGAACAAAGCGAGGAAGCAGGGTCTCATCACGCCCAACCCGAGCCGTGGCAGCTTCGGCCAGACAGTCCTGTACTACGTCAAGGAGTTCGATGTTGTCGGTATCCTTATCCTCGCTCTTGGTCTTGCGCTCTTCCTGCTCAGCTTCAACCTCTATGCTTACCAGAAGGACCAGTGGAGGTCTCCTTTGATCATCTGCTTCATCATCATCGGCTTCCTTCTCTGCGTCTTCTTTGGTCTGTATGAAAAGTACCTCGCTCCCGTCTCTTTCATCCCATGGTACCTACTGAAGAACCGCACTGTCATCTTCACCTACACCATGGCCGCATCGATCTACATTGCCTGGTACATCTGGGACTCTTACTTCTACTCTCTGTTGATCGTCGTCTTCAACCAGCCCATCCTATACGCTACCTACATCACCAACACCTACACCATGGGCTCTTGCACCATGGCCATCATCTTCGGTCTTATGCTCCGCAAGTACGGAAAGCTCAAGATGTACGCCCTCTTCTTCGGCGCGCCCATCACCATCCTCGGCTGCGGTCTTATGATCAAGTTCCGCCAGCCCGACGTCAACATCGGCTACATCGTCATGTGCCAGGTCTTCATCGCCTTTGGCGGCGGCGTCCTCGTCGTTGCCGAGCAGACAACCCTGATGGCCGTTTCCAAGCAGCAGGACTTCCCCGCCCTGCTCGCCGTCGAGTCCATGCTGATCTCCATCGGCGGCGCCATTGGCTCCACCATCGCCGGCGCCATCTGGACCGGTGTCTTCCCCCAGCGTCTCGCCGTCAACCTGGCTGGTACTGCCGCTGCCGACAACATCGCTTCTATCTACGGTGACATCACTGTCCAGTCTGGTTACGCTGTGGGCACGCCTGAGCGCGACGGCATCAACCTGTCCTATGGCCAGACTCAGCGCTACATGCTCATTGGCGGTACTTGTGTCTACACCACCATGCTTTTCAGCATTGCTATGTGGCAGAATGTCGACGTCAAGAAGATGAAGCAGAGGACCGTTGGTCTGTTGTAAGCGTTTCGCAATATTTACATTCGGGCTCTGGAGCCAGGTGAATGTTGTATGCTGTGGGATATAAAAGTTATATGAGATGATGATCTCGTAATTACGAATTAATTGTATTGTTCTAAATGATATATGCTTCGCTTGTAATTGTGATGTTTATATCGATGCTTCTTCCTGGTCTGGTCTGGCCTCAGATCGCGCTTTCCAATCCGTCTCAAGATAGTTGTGTCTGTACATCTGTGTTATCTAGCTGATGGCCAGGCGGAATTCCACGGTGACCGATCGATATTTGTGCACGCACATACGTGTAGCACATCTGGAGTCTCGAAAAGCGACAAATGGATCAATCACCAAAACAATGTCAACAGCAAAAACCGCTGGATCTACAAAAGCACAATCGAGAACAACGTGGCACCTAGCACCACTGCAAAAGACGCAACGAACGTCCCGGCAGAGACAACGCTTCCCGCACCAGTACTGTCAGTGCTACCGCTGGTACCACTAGCACTGGCCGTTTGCGATGCCTCAACATTGCCGATGCTCGTCGGAGTCGGAGTTCCCGTCGTAGCCTTCGCCGGCGACACGCTCGTCGAACTCGACTGTGCGCTGCCGGGAACACTGACAGCCTTCCCCTTAGCCTTGCCGACAACCCACTGCGCCACTTCCGGGTTGTGCTCGAAGAAGTAGTCCAGATGAGAAGTGACGTTCACGGGCTCGCTGCCGACCGCGCAGATGGGGTCGCCGTAGTGGCAGTAGTCGAGCAGCACGCTGGAGTACTTCTGCAGGGCCTTGAGTTGCTCGGGAGTGCGAGCGCGTGTGCCGTCGAATTTTACGCCCTCGCCGACGGTGAAGTTCTGGTCTTTGTTGCGGGCGACGGCTCCGAAGGTTACTGCAGCCACGACTACGGGTTGTTAGCGTCACGATGCGCGACGGGCTAGATTGATATGCGTACTCTGCGAGCCAGGCGATGTGGAGGGATCGATGGCCTCGTTGATGTCTTGAGTGCACTCGAAAACGTCTCCGCCTCCACCTCCCAGGATATCTTGTGCGACTGAAGCGCCTTGGGAGAGACCCAAAAGGATCAACTTGCTGTCGGAGCACTTCTCCGCGTACGCCTTGACCTGCGCCTGTCCATTCACTGCGCCCTTTGACGCCGATTTGCACCACTCGTCCTGACCCCACGCTGTGCTCTTCGCAGGGTATTCCACGTCCTCATAGGTGCAATCGTCTTTTCCGATCTGCTTACAGATCTCGCTGGTGAGGTTTCCGACACGTCCGGGATATGGTTCGTCCGAGCCACGGACAATGAAGACGTGGTAGGGGCTGCAGTCGTCTGATTTGAGGGCTAGAATTTCGGTCGTGTTGCAGAATACGGTCGGGTATGGAGCATCGCAGCGTTCCTGGGCAAAGGCCACCGCAGCGAGTACTGCCACGGAAGATAACGCGAGATTGAGCATTTCTCCAGATAACGAGTGTAAAGAAGGTAGTGAAAGAAAGCACGCGGACCGATAATAGGTACCTCGAATTACAAAATACGCCTAGTGAATGGCTTGTCAGAAAGAGATGCAATAGAAGCAGAAGTGCGCTTGCAGAAGGAGAAAATGCCTATGATGCACATGCCGCTACCTTGTTTTCTCATTTATCGCGATTCACAAAGCATTGCGCCTCCCGGTGCACATCCTAGTCCTGCTAACGCAGTTCGGTAAGGATACATGCGCTAGGGATGCCGACAGCCGCAGCCAAGAAGAGCGCCTCGCGGCTGTGGAGCCACAAGGGAAGTCCAGGCACACTCAGATCCTGGGGATGCAGGAACAAACGGCACGCAGTGCTGGAAGTGACGCGGTTCTCAGGTCAAGAAAGGGGCTGGTCCTTCAGGAGTGATTACACTGTTGTCGTTGGGGTCGTCGTGTTAGAGAAAACAGTCTCTGGGACGCGGCGCCACATGGCGACTCGGAAGTTTACAGTTCCCCGGGTCGATTGACAGCGGGCGGGCGGGTACCAAATCGAATACGAACACGGGGATCTGCCTGCGCAACGGCATTCTAACTTCGACTCAAGGTGTCGCATGCACGTCTTCTGTCGGTATGCGAAGTGCTCGGAGACTTGTTCGGGCTTGCCAGGTGGCAGGGATCAGTAAGACGCTGAACAGTCCTGCGTTACCCCTGTGCATGTATGCGCTCGCTCCGTGCGACTCAAGTTGTCTCTTACAGAGTGCAAACAAACGATCTACATATTGAGTTCAGGCCATCTTCCTGGCATTGTTGTAGTCTTGTGCCATCATCCATTGATTTACAGGACCAGAGCAGGTCAGCTGACGGCCTTGGTACCTCAAGTTGATTACGAATTTGCATCTCTTTCCAACAAGGCAGATCAGTCGCATACCGGACATCTCATGCCAGCTGCTCAACGCTGTATCCATCCCACGAGTTCTCGTGCCATGTCAAGTGCACCGTGGTCAACGTGCAGGTCTTCAAAGATCGAGAAATCTGCCTCTTGCGCTGCTGTCGCTGCGTCGTTCAGCTCCTCGCCGTTGCGATCCTGCGCTCTCGGTTCCTGCATCACAGCCATAGTAGCTTCTACCATAACGTCAAATGTATCTCGGAATCGCCGGATCCAAGGGGCACGTTCACCCATGATCGAAAGCACGCAGCTAGCAGCGCGAATGTCGTTGCTGATAGCGAACGACCATGTCTTCTCCTTCCCGCGCCAAAGCGCATACAGTAACGTGATACCAGACAGGAACACTGTATGGACTGCGACGAAACTGTGTCCATATTCAGGTGTTCTATGCATTTGCTTGTGTATCTGGCAAACTTGTCCAGCGGCATGCGTACATTTGCGAAAGAGATCTGACATGGGGTCCAGAAGTGAGAGGAATGGCTGTAGCAGTATCCTTATGTTGCGATAGTAATGCAGCATGACTCGGTCGTGCTCGCTTTTCTTCAAAGACGCTGGTAGACTGTGATGCCACAGCTCAAGATCAGCAATAAGACGGTGCATTTTGGGCTGTAAGGTATCGATGGCCCGGTCTACACGATAGACGGTACGTTGGATTCGAGCTTCGAATATGTGCAACTGGGACAGAAGCACGAACTGGCTGAGGTTGTTTGTTGAACGATGGTCTTCTCTGTGTGCCTGAGAGACGTGCTCAGTGTCGTGAGAATCTGGGCTCATGCATTCGTCCTCATCGATAGCAAGTGGTAATGGTTGATCTATGTCACAATCTGATAGACTAACCGGTCTTCCTAGGGTACCCGCGAGAATACTCTCAAGAGCGTACACAGACCAAAACAATCGGCGTCGAAGCTGCGCCTCGAAAGGATGAAGAAGGCAAGTCGATGCCTTACGATGGAGGCCGATGTCGGTGACTGTTCGCATAGCAAGTCCTGTTAAATGCCAAAGACCATTCCGCGATTCCGAGCGTAGGTGGTACAACACTAAGAGAACTGTCGCTTCCAGGTTGTGCACTGGATCTGCTTCTCTCACGCCTGCAACATGCTGCATAGCAGAGACGTAGAACTGCTCAGGCGAAGTCTCTTTGTAATCCTCTGTAAGTCGGAGGTTCAAAGCGCCAATCGCATAAACCATATACAAGACGAAAAGAGCGAAGCCACGATTGTCATATGCTGGCGATGTGAACTGCGGCGCGGGCCGACTTTGCTGGCTGTCAGGTTCTTTGCTGAGTATGTGACGACAACGGTGGGCTTCCCAGATGTCTGCTCGTAAAAGAAATGGGAAGCGCGGGTGTATACGGGTCAAGTATGTATTGATCAACTTTTCACCCAAGCCATCTGCTGGAGGCTCCCCAGGGTTTGACCGTAGCTCTTGCAGAGTAATTCTTCTGGTCTGATTCTCGGTCGGAGATGGCTGCTCGCCACAACCCGTTGGAGTTGCTGGAAGCCACAGGGCCTTATTCCAGACAGTCGCTTGTACCATCTGACCAAGGTCGGTGGCTAATGCATAACCTGATGAGGAGCCGATGTATGACTGAGCTCCTGCATTTCCGGTGCCCAGTGAAAGCATACCGACAACGTCGGCAACACTATGTTGAAATTGAGCTGTTGGGTTCAATGAACTCCCCATGGCGACGGACGCGTGATCGTGCGCTGTAGTTGGCCTGTCACTGGGAGATGGCAATTGCTCCTCACACGACCGTGACTGCGGTCGAACCTGTTGCTGTTGCTCTACTGCTAAGAGCCGCGTTTCCAGATAGGCGACCTGGTCTTCAAGTGCACGCGTGTATGATTGATTGTGACCTTCCCACTCGGGTGGCCTCCTACACATTGCTGTCGCTCGTGCGCAGTTGCTACACTGTGGGTAGGCACCATCACACTGCCATAAGAACCTTATGTTAGTCGCAATATCTAGACTTCGCACTGACATGATGGCGCCATACCCGCTGCTTTCTCGATTTACACCTGTCGCAAGCTGTTCGTTGGCGCTTCCTTGGATTCGTAGCTGTATCCAGGGGTGAACTGGGCGAGTGTGGGGAAGTGAAATTCATGGCGCCCAACGAGACATGAGCTGGAGACAGTCGACATTTTGAGTGGGACAGCCATACTGAAGTCGTATCTGCATGAGTCTTCCAATCAATCGAGTGTGTTATCGCAAGAGGAAAGCAAGGCGCCAACGATAACGAACTGCGGGGCGCGAGAGCACTAAAATAATTAGCGTTTGTGGCTTGAATTCAGGAGTGAGGGTTCAATCAACTTCATCACAGTCGATGGATATCAACAACACGAGCTACGACCTCGCAACTTCGATACTTGCACGCATTCATCATCGTTCATTCGTATGCTTATAAATGCTATAACTTTCTACTTAGCCCCGGTTTTCGAGCCCGGTTTGTAGGGGAAGGTCGTTCGGTAGTGGTTTGCGATGTCCCTGCGACTTGCTACCCACACACCTTCTTTTTCTGCTATATACAGCATGAATCTCCTCAGACTTTCCGACCGTCCTGGCTTACCGGCGATTCGAGAGTGAAGTGGAATGGTCATCATTTTCCCTCCTTCCCGATAGAGACAGTCGAAAGTGTCCTTCAGATATTGCTCGTATGTCGCCCCGTTAGAGCTGACAAACCCAGGAAGCATGTGGAATTTCCCATCGTTACCTATCGAAATGTGAGTTTCAGCACGGAATCTCGTTGCAAGGACAATTTACAGTCATAATTGTATGGTAGCAGCAGAAGCCCTTCCTTCTCTTCATCAGGTAGCTTGGCTTCCCATGGTAGATCGATCCAGTAAGGACTGTCTTCATTGTACGCTTCTGACGAGTATAGCATCGTGTGCCCCATCTCCTTCCACATGATAGGGAGCAGACTGGCTGTATTCGGCGTTCCTCGCCCGAAGTATGCACCAACGGGAAATTCACCTGTAGACTGTTACTTCGTAGAACGTTCAGCGATAACGTTCTCTCATACCAGTCGCAGCCTCCAAAGCTTTACAGGTCTTCTTGATGTAGGCCTTGTCATCCTCCAGGGAGTAGTCCCAAATGTCCAGCCATCTGTAGCCGTGCGCACCAATCTCATGGCCATCACGTACACAGGCTTTGGCGAAAGTGGGGTTACGTTCCATGGCTACTGCGATTGCCCAGAGAGTCATGTTCCAACCGAATTCTTTCATGAGCCTCAAGATACGCCAAGCTCCACAGCGACTACCATACTCGTAGTCCTGCTCACCGTTCAAGTGGCGCTGATCTCTTCCGCCTCCTGAAGGCCCTTTTTCCCATAGGTATGGCTCGCTTGTGCCGTCACCGTCAAGCGGATTTCGTTCTCCGCCTTCTTCGTAATTCAGCACAAACGAGACAGCAATGCGGGCGCCATTGGGCCACTGTGGGTCATGGCTCTCCTCACCAAACCCTCGAGCGTGTCAGCATACGGGTGGCTAAAAGATGAGGTTGCTTACCTTCAAAATCACGAGGCAACTGCAACGATTCTTCTACATGAACCATGGCGAATGTCCAGTGCAACTCAACTCTGGAACGAGGCAATGGCGACGGGAAGTTTTATGGAATGCAAGATGTGCGGGAATGGAGCAGATATACAGTGATATATCAATACCCAATGTTGTTGAGTATCAGGTTATCCGGTCCACTCTTGGGTAGGTAACATCTCGACTCGACCTAGCGCCAAATGTAGTCTACATGACTCGTTATCGCTGCGATACAGTTCCCCGCACCCTCTACGAAGCTTGATTGGAACATGTATCGTCACTCCCGTTTGTAACATTTCCGGGTGGTATTATCCGAATATGCTTATCGGAAAGCCGATCATGCCGCGCTTAGTCCGACACAGTCTTATCATTCCTTCGGACGTCCGCTTGCATGCTTCTACATCGAAAGTCCACTAGGTATCCGTAAAAGTTCGCGTATCAAGGTCATGGATACATGGCAGACCGGCAGATAGACAACGATACTGTCAGGTAGTTCGGAAGCCGGTAGCTCACTAGCGGATCTCATGCCTTTGGTGAAAGTCCGACTGCAGCTCACACGTTGCACTTGCTTCCAAATCAAAGTTATTGATCTCACTCTACGCCGTTTTTTCACATCATTGATCGAACCATGTCAGTATTCTCTCTCGACGTCAGCAACACAAATCCTGTCACGACCGAGACTGTGGATCAACTATGCTCCCAGCTCGGCGTGACCATCAAGGAACAAGAGAAGGAGGATTATCGACGCTTATTGGCTATATTCCACGATGCTAGCGAGCAGTTGATGGCGATGGATGGTACTTGTTCCCCAGCAGTGTTTGGTTACCAAGCTGTTAACCACACAAAGACTATATCCCCACCGTGGATGAAGAGCGTTTCCCTAGAAGGTCAGTCCATTTTCCCAGTAGGGAAGAGAATTCGCATGGGGCATGGGCCTGGAAGTGCGATATCGTAGACCAGCAAGAGAACGACGGCAAGTTGAAAAACATGACATTCGCGCTCAAGGACAATGTTGCTGTCAAGAACGTGCCAATGCTTCTCGGGACCAATTTCGTAAAAGGATATGTACCAGACTGCGATGCAACTGTCACTAAACGCATCCTGGAAGCTGGAGGCCGGATTCTCGGCAAAGCTGTCTGCGAAAACTTGTGTCACTCTGCTACCAGCCATTCGTCTGGTACAGGTGTGGTCGAGAATCCCTTCGCCAAAGGTTACAGCTCAGGGGGAAGTTCCAGTGGATCGGGAGTTCTTGTCGCGCTCGGAGAGGTTGACGGCGCCATCGGTGCGGACCAGGGTGGAAGTATCAGAGTGCCAGCGGCCAACTGTGGTATCGTTGGACTGAAGCCTACTTTTGGTCTCATTCCCTATACCGGCAGTGGTAGCAATGAGCCGACGAACGACCATCTCGGGCCCATGACTCGTACAGTACTCGAAAATGCCCTTATGCTGGAGGTCGTCGCAGGATACGATAACATCGACGATCGATCAATGGCAGCTCCACGCCCATCCGAGGTTCCTATCTACAGCTCGATTGAGTCTATGTCCACTGTCAAGCCGCTTGCTGGGAAAAAGTTCGCAGTCATTGCACAATCTCTCGTCACACCCGCAACCGACCCTCGGGTTCTGAAAACCTTTGGTGCAGCGGTGCGTCAGTTTATCGAACTTGGTGCAACAGTAGAGGAAGTGTCGATACCAATCCACTCGAAAGGTGCGGCGATCTGGACCGGCATCTCGAAAGTGGGTGGCTTTCTCGCAAAGACATCTGGCTCCTTTGGGCGAAGAGGCCATGAAATGCTGGGATTGAATGCCCTTTTCAACAACATAGGCCAGGAGAACTGGGATGAAGCGTATGCATCAACCAAGAACATATACCTGAATGGTCTGTACGCGGTCGACAAATTCCCTCTTCTCCAATCCAAGGCAACAAATCTATCGCGACAACTACGAGATGCTTACGATGCGGCGCTGGAGAAGTACGACATTCTGTTGACTCCAACACTTCCATATGTTGCGACTAGTCATGCGTCACCGGATGCTACACCACTCCAACAGATCACAAAGCAGATAGGGCTGACCTCCAACACTGCGCCTTTCAACCAGAGTGGGCACCCAGTGCTTGCTTTACCGATAGGAATGCTGGAGGTTCTCGAGGGTCCTGGTGTTGTGGACGGGGTGAAGCTGCCAGTCAGTATGCAAATCATTGGTAAGTGGTGGGACGAGATGACAGTTTTCGAAACTGCATACGCTTGGGAGAGGGCAAATGATTGGAAAGCAATGTGAAATGCTGGAGGTTGACATAGCATTCTACTAGTCCTGCAGTGTACTCTTGATCAGATGTAACGGATACTGAGGATTCTTGATTAAACCCCTGGTGTCAAACAGGACTCATAATGCATCCAAGATTTGTAGCGTGTATAGTTCAGTGCCCATAACAGGATTTGTAGTCCTCAAAGATCTTTTCATTAAACAAAAGAACCTGTGACTTTCATTGTACAGCCCTATCGTGATGAATTCATGAGCTATCTAGTTTTGACTATGTTCTCAACCGAAGCGACAGCGCGGTCGTCTCGAGCGATAGTATCTCGTGAGCTTTTGAGACTGTCGTCGACGTAACGTCTAAGTCCAACCTCAGTTGTTTGGACGGGTGTGTTTGCCTGTTCTACTTCATCTGCGCGACGCAAGCCTCGGTCCCGGATGAGCAAGCATCCCAGAAGGCATGCTCCCATGAACGGTACATTCATGATGAATACGGTTCTACTAGCCCGTGCGTATGCTTCGAGAATACTCCGTACCTCAGCAGGAGTAGCGCCCAGCACATCCAAGTTGGGAGTACTATAGGACGATGTGGCGAGTGCTGCGAACTTCGGAGGTATAGCTTTGGTGAGCGCATTCTGCAAGGCGGCACCAGAGATCGCAAGACCGACAGCTCCGCCGAGACTGCGCAAGAAGTTTCGATTTGAGATGACCACGGCTCTTTGCGCCTTTGTGCAATGTGCCTGTAAAGCCACTAATGTGGGTTGGAAAATGAACCCAACACCAACGCCTTGGACGAGCAGGATTAAGGCCATGGTGTGAATTGGAGTTTCGAGGTTGAATGAGCAGGTCAGACCAACACCCAACGTCCAGAGGGTGAAGCCTGACCAAATCACCTCTCCATACCGTTCTGTCCGAGAAATATATTGGCCTCCAAGAATTGAGGCCACCATTTGGGCGCCAGTTAACGGCAGTAAAAGTGTGGCCGATGTTAAGGCCGATAGTCGGCGGGCATTTTGGAAGAACAGAGGCAGATAATACAGTTGGGAGTAGTATACGACGCCAAAAAGGAAGTTTTGGACCAACATGACGCATACTGGTACATTCCTGAATAGTGATACTGTTTGTATGAGCCTTGTATCAAGAGTTATAGCTAGAAGAACTTACGAGGCATCATTGGCAAAAGCGCAACACTGTATTCTACAAACAGAAATGCCAATAAACAGCCGCCGCCTACAGCAAGCATGGATATAACCATAGGTGATTCCCATCTGAAATACGTGCCACCTCCAGATATCGGAATCAGCAGCAGTATGATCGCGGCAGCTCCTGTCATTATTCCTAGGTAATCGATTTGTCGTGAAACAGCTTTGAGCTTCAATCGAGGAGCGTCTTTCGGAGTCGGCAGAATGAAGAAACAGAGAATGCCACAAGAAGCGGCAAGTGGGCTCACAAGCCAGAAGAGCCCTCTCCACGTAGACTTTTCAATGAAAGCTGCGGCGATAAACGGCCCAGCCATATTGCCTCCTCCAACGCAGGAGCCAAGAATGCCTTGGTATTTGCCTCGTTCTTTCAGTGTGATTATATCAGAGACGATCATCATCGACAAGGAAGTCACTCCGCCGTTTGCGACACCGGCAAAACCTCGAAAGATGTAAAGCATGGTGGCATTCTGGGCGAACCCACAGAGCAATTCACTAACTGCGAGTAGCGCCAACGCTGACAAAAAAACAGCTTTTCTACCTTTGAGAAAAGTGTCAGAACAAGCTTTTGAAATCTGAACCTGACAACACTCACCAAATAAGTCCGAGAGGCGTCCATAAAGCACTTGGAAGATGGTGTTTGCAATCAAGGCGCTCGTACCTGCCCAGCTGATCGTGGCCTGAGCATGGAGCTCCTCTCCTATCGTCGGCAGAGCCACTCCAATGCCATTTTGGTCAACGAAAGATATGAATAGCGAGACTGCCAGAGCACCGAAGACTGTCAGCATCTGCTTTTTAGGTAAGATGTTGGTTTGGTCAAAGACAGCCGCCTCTGCGGCATCCTGGCGTTCTTTCATGGAGTGGATAGGATGGAAAAGAAGATCGAACACTGCCGTGGTCTCATAGATGGCGGCATGACACAAGAGCGAAGCCAAAGCTCTACGTATGTGTGCAGTCGTCAAGCACAGATGCAGTCCCACTCAATCCAGCGTGGGTCATCGGCAGCGCAATGGGCATTGCCGATACCAAGAACGTGCACTTTCACACTTAGCGGTCGCAATTGCCGATTGCACAATTCTGGAAGCAAAGATTGAGGCGTTTATCGTCGCACCTTCCGAAATCAATCAAAGTGGGGTCCGGAGCTCCGACAGGCCAATCGGCAAGCCATGGAAAGCCCCTCTAGACTCTACTGAACACGCTTCACTATCTTCCATTTGCAATCGTGTAGACTTGGCTGCGTTACGACAAGACTGTCTTATCGAATTCGGCGTTGGACATGCATATATGTCTGCCTTCGTCTTCGTTACTGAATGCACTCCACACTCGCATTGACCGTAAGCGAGGATCAGCACGTTGATCAAGATGTCGCGTTACTTGAAGCAGGCTGGGAAGGTATTCGGTTCTCCTAGCGCACCCAAGCAGTCTATGCAGAGATCCAAAGATGATGGTTCGAAAGTGCGACACAATGCGGATTTACTCCCAAGTCCGCCAGGTCAGTCTTTACGTTTCTGTGTTACGAACATTGTAACTAATACGGTCTAGCGGATCGAAAATGGGGATGGGAGCACTACTTCGCTTACTACTTGACTGTAACGTTCAGTCCAAGTAGCTATAACCTTGGTGCCTCTCTTATCTCCATTGGGCTTCTGTGGTGGCATGGCATGATTGCCGCGGTCATCGGATCTGCTATCTGCACTGCGATGGTCCTGCTCAACAGTAGAGGCGCAGTCAAATACTTCGTCGGCTTTCCAGTCTACGTTCGTGCTGCAGCAGGTGTAAGAGGAGCCAGTTTGTACATCCTGGTCCGTGCCGTGGTTGCTATCATATATTTTGCGGTCCAGACATACTATGGAGGCCGCATCACATCAGTGTTCATGCGAGGTATCTTCGGCAATGGTTACAAGAACATACCAAACCATCTTCCAGCAAGCGCCGGTATCACTTCAAGGGACTTGCTCAGCTTCTTCCTCTTCTGGATTGTACGTAATTCACTCACCTTACTGCTGCTCAACTGACCATAACAGGTACAAATGCCCGTAATGTTCATCCATCCAAGGGTTCTGCGCCACCTGCTCGTAGTCAAAGCAGTGTATACTACAACTGCTTTGTTCGGCGTCCTTGGATGGGCAATCAGTGCTAATGGTGGAAAGATTGGCAGTTTTAGCTACACCACGAAGCAAGCTCAGCTGTCAGGATCAGACCTGGTTTGGCCTATGATTCAAGCGATTAACTCTGTCATGGGTGCACTTGCCCCAGTACTCATCAATCAGCCTGACATCGCGCGATACGGCAAGTCTTATAACGATGTTACATGGAGCCAGGGGACCGGCATCTTAGTAGGCAAGGTCGTGGTCATGTTCTTAGGCACTGCCACAACTGCCGCAGCCACCAACGTACTAGGAAAGAGTTACTGGAACGTGTGGGACCTATATGACGCCATCCTTGACCATTACTGGTCACCAGGAGCACGCGCTGGCATGGTCTTTGCGTCTTTCGGCATGATGCTGGCCGTTCTCATCACAAACGCTGGCAGCAACTCCCTGCCCGTGGGTGCCGATCTCACTGGCATTTTCCCACGTTGGCTCACGATTGTTCGAGGACAAGTCATCTGCGCCGTGCTAGCGCCTCTGCTTGTTCCATGGAAGATCATCGCATCCGCAAGCTCCTTCCTCACCTTCCTCGGATCCTACACCGTTTTCCTGATGCCAATCTGCGCATGCATGGTTGTAGACTACTGGCTCGTTCGCAAGGGCAACTTCCACGTCCCGTCTCTGTACGTACTCACACCTGAGAGCCCTTACACATACTACAAAGGCTGGAACTTGAGGATGCTCGCCGCATGGCTGGCTGGTGTTGCTTTCACTGTCCACGGTGTGGCTGGCTCGCTGGACCCGGATGCAGTTGCTGTCGCCAGCAAGAACATGTACAAGCTTGGGTTCTTGCTGTCATTCTTCATGGGCGGAGTAGTATACTATGTTTTGTGTTTGATCTGGCCTGTGCCAATTTTGCCTACAGGTGCGGAGCAGTCATTGGCTTTCGAGCAAATGGCGGCGAACGAAGGTTTCTTCGAACACGAAGACCTCAGCGCCATTACCGGGGTTCTGGATGGAGAAGAGATCGGCACTGAACATTATGTAGCGGAGGGCAAGGAAAATAAGGTCTAGGCCAAGTGGCACGTCTAGGCACATGCTTGAGATCCAACTCATTCCCTTCGTAGCCAATAAACTACATGAATTTAACCGAATTGTACTGTGTGAATGCATGGGCTACAATAAGGAAGCATCCGAACAAAACGATTGATCCTTCTTACCTGCTACACATTTGGCCACGCGGCGGTTCGGACGCACCTAGGGACTGGATTTTCGAATGCTAGTCACTCAATCAGATGTTGGAGTACTTGAAGACTGAAAAAACTGCATTGGGGTATCATGAGCGCAATATCTACTCTAATCGATCCTCTACCACTCCAGTCGGTCATCACATGTCAACCTGACGTCCCATCTCTCTTCGCCCTTCCAAACCTCTCCACCCTTGTTCACACCAGCAATGATTGTGCGCAGATCGCTGATCATTCCGCCGGGTCCAGACGCAAAAATGTCTGTGCGGCCTCTTACTGTAGAAGCAACGAAGTCCTCTACCGTAAGCCTCAGATCAGGACGTGCCTGGATGTGGTCAAGGTTAAGCTCAGACTTCGACACGCCGTGAACAGACAGCGCCGAGGAGACAGATACGGCGGAAGAATCGGTCGAGTTTGAGATGGTCTGGATTTCTTTGTCCTGGCAGCAGCTCTTGGGCTGAATTGTGATGTTGTTGGGCGCGCAACAGCTACCGCCCTGGCCAGACGCGCAACAACTGCCCTTTTCGGGCGAGCAGTCGGATGTCGTCACTTTCTCAGCCGCAGTAGGCACATTAGGTTCGTGGTAGTGGTCTTCAGCTGCGCGAGTGACGTAAATGTGAAGCCCGGTGCGCAGGTTGCGGCATTTGCGCTTGAGGATGGCAAGCTCGGGCGCTACCCAATCGATGTCTGAACGATGGCGGATGACCCATACGAGGGAGAGTTTGCGGTCGCGATTTTGGGGACGGGAGGCGATGTCAAGGAGGACGGGAAGGACGTATGTGATGCCTGTACCACCGGCGACACAGAGGATGTTGGAATCGGAAGCGAGGTCGCGCATGGTTTGCTCGCCATACGGTCCCTGCAAGACGACAGAGAGGCGAGCGTTGCCCATAAGACCTTCGTTGGCTTCTTGCGGATCCGAAGAGCGAGCAATGCGTTTCGCTGAGAGCTCGGCAATCTTACGGGTTTCACCCTTCTTTGCACGGAATATGTATGAATGGCGCTGGGTGTCGGCACCAAAGACCGGACGGCTGAGCGGGGTGAAGGGGTGCGCTTGCCAGATGCTAGACTCAGGGAACATGAGGTAGAAATGCTGGCCGACGGCCCAGGCATCTTGAGGGTGGTCAAAGTCCAGACGAACGACGTCGCCGCTGGTCTCATCCTTGAAGAAGGTGATGTCTGCAGGCGCAGCACGGAAACCCATGTGGCCTGAGGGAAGAAAGTTGTAATGGAGCAACGCGGACCTGCCGAGGCGGATAGCGCGGTCGATGAGCCAAACGACTAAACCAGGAATGAGGAAAACCTTCAGTTGCTCCCAGTGGCCCCAGCATGCACCAATGTAGACCATGGCCAAAATGTAGTGCATCTTGCGGAAAGCCTCATACCCGGTCATGCGGATACCCCAGGGCGTGGACAGAATGACAAGTAAAGTGAGAAGGATCATAGCCACTAAGCCCCAAATCATGTACAGCTGGCGGATCCAATTCAGTCCAGTGGAGGGCTGCGGGTTGTACAGCCTGATTTCAATGATGCACCAACCAATAGTGTGAAGTGAGGACTGTGCGAAGATGAGGTATCCCAACCAGCGGTGGAGGAAGTTGAAGCTTTGGTATGGCAACCCAGTGACCAGAGACAGAATCGACTCGCGACTCGATAGCATGACGGAAAGCGGAGTCAAAGCATAAGCAATAACACCCACGCGATCAGACCACGGTCCTAGACTTGTTCGAGTGTTGTAAAGACCGGGCTTGCTCTTGACAGGCGTGATCCATGTCCCATAGACGATACCAACGAAGGACCAGATGGTGAGGTAGCCAGTCAATACCACGAGCGTCAAAACCTGAGTACGAGTGACACGGCCGAAGATGAAGCGGTTGGCATCCGGAAGTAGGTAGGACCGGGCGTAGGACGGAACTGCGGTTGCGAACCTCTGAACTGCATTCTTTCTCTTGTTCACGCCTTCTCCTGCGAGCTCTGCTGGCAGTACAACGCCTGATGGATGAGTGCGCATGAAATGCCGGCCGATTCCCCAGATGATGAGAATGCCACCGATGGTCGCCCAGATGATACCGGTATAGTACATACCAATGTCGTGAGCGGCGTACACGACATCGAGATACTTGCAGGATCCGGCATCGTTGACACACGGTACCACGCGGTCTGCGTATCCCCAGTGCGGTTGCACTTCTGAGGCAGCGCTGATGTTCTGAATGTGCTGACGTGCAGTCAACATCTTCAATGTGGTGGCCATGGCTACCCAGATAACAAACTCGTGAGCGAAGATTGGTTGCGGCTACTGAGACTGCAGGTCCCCAGGGTTCTACATATACACATGTATAATTCGGCAGTCGAATCAGGTCTGCCGCGTTTCAGAATATGGATTGACAAAGTGCGAAATGCCAAGTGCCTGGCCGGTCCGCTCAGTGGTGAGGGTGGGCCTTCCCCAGCGCGCAAACGGGCAAGCGCGAGTGTGTTTGAGCAAGTTCCCCCACAATTCACGGAGTTTTGCCGGGAACAGACGAGGCCGCGAGCGTCCCGCCATATTGGCGTGAGGCAGTTGGGTCGTCAGGTATTCTTCGGTTGAGCACGTTTCGGAGGGTTGATATAGCGGCAAGGCCCATGGGTCGTCGATTCTCTACAGCTGTCGAGCCTCAATTGAAATCTTGCGTTCACAGTCTCTTCGTGCGCATCTCGTCTGTCAAAGTCCCAACACCGCGGCGTACCAGCGACTACACCACAGCGCACATCTCATCATGTCCCACGGCCACAGTTCAAATGCCACAGTTCTGGGTGCTGGCGAGTGCCAGATGGAGGTATGTTTGTCTTGATAGTATTTAATCGCAATCACTGACAATTGCAGATGCTCTGGAACTGGCGCATCGTCGACTCCTGCTTTCTCTCTGGTTCCTGGCACGTAAAGAACAACGCGATGTTCGCTGCTACCTGCATTGGTGCTGCCATGCTGGTCGTAACCCTCGAGTTTCTCCGTCGCGCCAGCACTGAATGGGACGCATACCTCCTGCGATCATTTCAACGTCAATTGCGCATCCAACAAGCGGCACTTGCTGCAACACCACTGTCCAACTGTTGCGATGGCCCCTCGTCAACGCTAGGCACCCAGTATGCTACGTTTCGCGCCACCTCGTTGCAGCAGCTCGCGCGGGCCATCATTCACGGAATCACTTTGGGCGTCGCATATCTCCTTATGCTGATCATCATGTCCTTCAATGGCTGGGTGTTCATCTCTGTTGTTTTTGGTGCTATCCTTGGCAAATTCTTGTGCGACTGGATGGTTGTCAGGATCCCGTTCGAGGCTGTATTCCGTCAGGAGAAGGATGTACGAAGATCTTCGGTTGACGCTACTGGACCGACAGGATGCTGTTCCTGAAACGGAGGCTCGGTTTGGAAGGACACTTAGCAGATATGATACCCAATTTACGAATGAACCACAGCTTTTATCTTGACGACTGCACCCAAGCTCTATGATTGATTGCGGGTTTCTGGGCAAAATCACCATCAATATGCGATCCCATCAATCAAGACTGGGCTTCGCCTTGCCGCATCCGATTATTCCAGCAGCACTATGGAACGTTGATTAGATGATTGGTTGCATACCTGCGGCATGTGCTTTCACAGCAGTGTCGCAAATGAAATGGATTTAGCATTACGTTATTCGCACGCCATTGACGTTGAGCGAAAGCCTACGCCACCTAAGCAGATCATGACATAGTCTACTTATGCAGGTCAGCCACACATGCATCAAAAGCCGAAACGCAGAACGTCCTTGACAAGTTGCTCAATCGAAGAGCACCATGATGGCTCTGGTGTGCGTGTGTTTGAGCAGATAAACCCCCACTTAGAAGTACTGGTGGCGTTCCTTGAAGGCTCGGCCTGCTCGCACGGCACGATCTCGAACATGTAGGTTTCAAAGCGTTTCAATTTTGGCTACTTGGCGTTGTGGCAAACCTGACACCTGCGCGATCTAGTCGCCGGGAGTTTGTCGGAATGCACATAGCACATCAACGCAAACATCCTTTCTCCGCCGAGAGTCAGAATCAATAGACCACGTACAATGCTGCGATGTAGACTACGTGTCACTCTTTTTGTATAGGAGGTGCAAGCCGCCGCTCCGAAGACTTCCTGTCTGACCACAAGGTGAGAGAATCGCACGCGACATTGGAAACTGATCAAAGTGCACACCCAATCCAGCAGAGATGATGCTTGAATCTTACACATACACGCCTGGACTATTTTGATGTCATGTGCATACAATCCAGTGCATCTCATCTCTTGCAGCCCTGCTCACGCGCTCCCGCAGCGCCCGACAGTATTGCGTTTTCTCGAACGATAGCCCTCGACCGCTATCGAAAGGCGAGTGAAAGGAAACATTAGGTCTTAGATTCACTTCATTCATTTGAGCCCTCCATTGCGCCGAACGGGCTTGAAACGCGCCTCTCCGTATCAGCCTTCCAACTTGTCTGCTAAGAGACTGCACAAAACATTTCGACAAGCACGAACCAACTCAGTTCACTAGCAAACACCAAGATATATCCATGAGCGCCGGGAACCAAATGGTCGGCTCCGGCAGCTTCTCGAGCAAGCCGCGATTGGAGGTAACGAGTAGATGGAGACCATCTACAAAGAAGTCGTGAAGCCAATCGACAGCGCGATCTTGGACCTAGGAAATCTGTTCAGGGAAGAGACGCATCGAAGGTCTGGTTGTAAAAGTAAATTCCACTTGGTTTTCTTGTCCATCTCCAGCTGGTTGTTGGCAAATTCGCACTCGCAGGTCCTTTCGCCGCTTTCGCAGCTCAGAGAAGCAGCCTGTATCAGAGGGATTGCAGAAATCCGCTGCGGTAGGCTTCCCATGAAAGAATGGAGCTGAGCAAGCGATCTGACCAGATGCGCAAACCGGGTGTCGGCTATTGCACCTGCGATTACCCTGCGAACCTTGGAAAGGCGCGGCATATGGGACTCCAGATGGAAGAGCAGTCGGTCGGATAGACCATCTCTAGGAGTGGACAGATTCGCATTTTCATAATTGTTATACATACAAGATGTCTTGCTGTCAGATGAGAGCATTCGGCGTTTGATTAGGCGGCGGGAGCTCATCCGAGTTGCCGACGCTTCCCCCACAATGCTGCCGCCACCTAAGGGTCCACTCTTCCGCATGCAGGAAAGGATGTGCGCTCCTTCCAGTGCGGAAGAAATGTTTGTCAGCTCCATGACGAGCTAGGAAGCGGTAAGTCTTCAAGTGTGTGTCATACGCTTTCAACACCTCATCTTTCCCAAAATACAGTCCTCTGTCCTGCGGTTTTTGCCATGCACTGCGACCTGTCGCTTCGATACACATATTAACGACACATACGGACGATGGCACCCACAGCCACTGCGGAACGCAGTCTCGAGGAAGTGGAGAACAACGATGCGGAAAATCGTCAAAAGACCTCGAGTGCATGGCCAAGCATGCGAGATGATGAGATAGAACGGGGAATCAAAGACCCTGAGCTGCAACAGCAAGAGAAGGCATCGCCAGGCCCAGTCCTGGCGAGAGTATTATCGCGGAGATCCGCAGCCTCGTTCGATCCTGGGCCTGCACCAGATGGAGGATTACAAGCCTGGATCCAAGTCTTGTGCACTCATTTGACGATATTCACGACTTTCGGCTTTTTTACATCATTTGGAGTATACCAGACTTACTATGAGAACACTCTCGGCATCAAACCTTCCACCATCTCATGGATTGGTTCGATTCAAGTTTTCTTCCTCTTTGGTATTGGCGCATTCTCAGGGCGAGCAACCGACGCAGGCCTCTTCCGACCCGTTTACATTGCAGGCACGGTCTTCCAGCTTGTTGGAGTCTTCACTATGGCCGAATCTACAAAGCTCTGGCAGCTATTCTTGTCGCAAGGAGTCTGTCTCGGTATTGCAAATGGCCTGCAGTTCTGTCCTTCAATGGCGTTGGTCTCGACCTATTTCGTAAAAAGGCGTGCTTTTGCACTGGGATTTACGGCTTTAGGATCCTGCACTGGAGGTGTCGTCTTCCCCATTGTTGTACAACAGTGCTTGCCAAAATTTGGGTTTCCTTGGACTATACGAATTATCGGTTTCATAATGTTAGTACTCAACATCGTCACAATATCGTTATTTCGGACGCGGCTACCCCCACGGAGAACTGGACCTATCGTCGATTGGGCATCTTTCAAAGAAGCTCCATATACGTTGTATTGCGCAGGCATGTTCTTTTGCTTCTGGGGCTTGTATTTTGCCTTCTTCTACGTTGGTTCGTACGGCCGCAACGTCCTCGGTATGACCTATGAGCAGTCTATCAATCTGCTGCTCGTACAGATCTGTATGGGGTTCGTCTTTCGTCTTCTACCAACCTATTATGCGGACAAGATCGGTAGCCTGAACACCCTAATCCCATTTGCCTTCATCTGCGGCATCATGATGTACGGCTGGATTGGTGTTCACTCAGTTGGAAGCTTGTACGCATTTGCCGTCATTTATGGGTCCGCCAGTGCTGTCATTCAGGCTCTGTGGCCCGCAGTCATCGGATCGCTGAGCCGTACGCCGGATTTGAAGAAGACAGGCATCAGGATGGGGATGGCATTTACGATCGTCTCATTTTCGAGTTTCACTGGGCCGCCACTGGCGGGAGCGCTCATTCAACAGCATGGCGGTAGCTATACTTATGCTAGTGTCTGGGCCGGGACTTCTTTCTTCATCGGCGGTTCTCTGCTTATTGCGGCTCGCTTCGCCATAGCAGGGTGGGACTGGAGAGCAAGGGTGTGAAATTGTGGCACTCAACGATTGAAATCAGTTTACCACTAGGATAGCTGTTCCGCAAATCTGACCACTTTTTAGAAATTATGCCTGAGTCAAGGTTGCCCGTCCCAGGGCTAGAGGTCCTCTTGGGTGCAGTATGGTAAGCTACAGCATCTCGTCGAAAGTTCTGGGGTCGGACTTACTGAACACAAACAATGTTCGCAAGGACTGATATCTTTTGAGGATGCGGCTGCCATATATTATCAACTGATATTTGACACTGTCCTCCGAATGGAAAGCAAAATGGGTCAGTTGATGTGCAGAAACAAATTTGAAGCGAGTGAAAAGTTCGCAAACACTGTAGAACAAAGACCACGCAAACCAACGACGCCGTTAACAGGGTACGAGCAAAAGCCACGGATTCGTACGTAAGCCGACAATCTGATCCTCGTGATCCCCAATTAATCGTGCCAACGCTACTCTGTGGTAGATCGCCATGCTGATATTGGTGCGGTGCGAAGCCAAGTATTGTCTCGTTTGTTTCGTTCAACAGTACCTGTATCAAGGGTTATTAACAGTGAAGCAAGACTTTTCAGGTGGTTAAAGTACTACAATCATATGTCAGCAAGGGTATGAAGCCGGCATCGAATGGCTTACCATATTGACCCTTCGTCCAGATCGGCTCTACGTGGTCCAAGGAAGTTTCGCGTTCCTGTGATAGGCCCTGCGACGCTTGCTATCCAGAAGGACCTCCTTTGCAGCGTTCACAGTTTGCATAAGCTGTGTAGCATCTTCCCTTTGCTCCTCAGGGACCTTGTCTGGGTGGTTGTTCCTGGCGAGCTTCTTGTAGGCTGCCTTGATCTCTTCCTCAGTCGCCCTCCAGTTCTCCAGCTCAAGGACGTTGTACAAGGTCATGTCGACGGGCGGCAACAGCGGTCTGGTGTAGAGAGGTCGGCGAGACTGGACTGTGCGAGGTGAGCGACGTGGAAGACTCGGCGGAGGTGGTGGAGCGGTCGCGGAGTTCTCAGGAGCAGGAGATCGGCGAACAGGTGTAGGAGGCGGTGTCATGAGGTAGGGACGAGGATCGTAGTTTTCGACATTTTCCCACAATGGATCTGATGGTAAGAGTGGGAAAGGTGTACTGGAGCAACGCGGAGAGGGGACTGGCGTGACGTTTGCAGAATCCGTCCTGATGGCAAGTGGAACGCGTTCGTTTGTTTTAGGTTTCTTTGGCGATTGAACGGGCGTAGATTGAACAATGTTAGTGTCGATAAGAATCTCGAACTCGGGCTTGCGGGTACGCTTCTTGTTGGCTGTCGGAGTACGGAAAAGCGGACATTGTAGACTTTCTGTCTGCTGTTCAGATCTTGCTTGTGCGCGGGTGTACGGCTTTGCGGTGGAAGCCTTGTCTGCCCTCCGACCCTGGATGGTGCTACGAGGGAGCGGTTGCTCGCATGCTAGCCTGAAGAAAAGTCCATCAACGAAGTCAGACATTGTTGTTGTAAGTTTCACTCTCCGTACGTCTCAAGAGTAATCGTGACAGGTACAGTGAAAATTCCGCAGTCATAGGCAGACAAGATGGCGAATAACCGAGCGATCGGCGAAAGACAAAATGAATGGAGAGCGATGATCAAAAGAGTCAAACTTGGCGAGGAGCGACAACAAAGGTCTTCAGAATTTAACCAAAAGAGCGTGTGCAATTGAAGGTTAGGTGTCTAGGTGACGGCAGGTTTTGTAGGTGTCCAATCGCAGCCAAGACTGGGACCCTGCACTGCAGAGCTGGACCCTGCAAAGTCTCTGGTACTGCTACAGTCGCGCTTCTAGAAGCGGGTAGAGTCGGAAAGCCCGGTTGCGAGCATGTGAAGTTGAATACTCTATAGTGAAGGGAAGCCGCCCCGGAGTCCGACAATGAAGTAGGTCATCAGATCGGCACGCAGTCAGACAGCATACAGCGTACCTGCAGAGGTGCTCTGCGCATGTATCAAAAACATAGCTCACATATGGTTCAATTGCGGTAGAAAATGAGTTTGGCCTTTTCGTCTCCTTGGAGCTCGAAGTTCTAACCGGGACGAAGTAATGGACGGACTAGGTCTGTTGTAAAAACCACCGCCGAGTTGTGGAGTTGGGCAATGGGCCATATACGCTAATAGTAGGCTGCAGGAAGCGGTAACTGCTGTGGATACGCGGCAATACTCATGAGGCCCTCCGATCGATTTGGCATGTTACGATTTTGCTGTCGGCAGGTTGTGCCCATCTCTTACAGTGGCTTGGACGAGACATCCATGCTACGCGAGCTAGATAGACATCTACTCCAAACAACAGGCTCTTTGAAAAGTACCGCAGTGACAACGTCATATAGTCTGGAGATGTTGACGCTGTAGACAAGCATCAAGTCTGCAAAGAGATGTATCGAGTCCTCCAAGAAGAGACGATGACCTTAGATTCTGCCGGCCAGTAGGCTTGCGAGATCCCCCAATCTATAACAGCATAGTCATAGCAAGACATATGCGCTCAGATGGGACATATCCAGGAATGTGTGCTACATGAGGCTCGCAAGTGCGTTAAACGATGACGGCTGCGGGCAAAGGTGAAGTTGCCGTACCGCACGAAATGGCCAGTGCGGCACTAACTAGAACCGGACTAGCTCTGTTGGTATCGACACATCGACACATCGACACCGTGCGTCACGTTTGAACGAATCAATACATATGCATTTCTGGGCATCAAATGACTGTCACCTGCTTGTATCTAACGTTAAGATATGCGCCGCAGTTAATGGCTGTAGGTAGGTTGACGGGCAGCAGATGCGGGGAAGTACGAGACCGAGGTTGAGGACACAACAGCCCGAGTCAGCCTCGCAACATGTCTCTCGATCATGCAGGAGATGCCTCTCATCAGCAGGCTTCTTGAGACACCATGAAAGCTTCGACAAGTGGAGTATCAGCTCCAAATGTAGGTCCAGCGCCTACGCGGCTACGCCAGATTGCCCTGGTAGCAAGGGACATTGATCGAGCAAGACAGTTGCTGGTATGGAGCTCTTCAAGTCTGTCCTACACTCTTGCTGATAACCAGCTTCAGACACACGTCATCGGTACGGACGTTATTTATGAGGATCCTGCTGTCAGTCAATGGGGATTGAAGAACTTTTTGAGTACATCTTGTTTCCTCGGCTTCTTGCCCTACGCTAACACCAACAGTTCCACTTGGCGGTGATATCATTGAGGTTGTTTCTCCCTTCAAAGATGGTACCACGGCAGGTCGCTTGCTTGATAAACGCGGCGATGGTGGGTATATGATCATCATGCAGACCGAGGATGCGAAGACGCGACGCCAGTACATTGAGTCGCAAGGGTTGACCAAGGTCATAGCCAACCACGAGCATGGTGATACTGTATTTGTGCAGTATCATCCTAAGGGCATCAAGGGTACGAAGTCCTCCTGATAGACTTAGCGGTTACTGACTACCACAGGCGGCATGATGCCTGAGCTCGACAGCCACACCCCAAGTCCGAATAATCCTACCCCTCTCAAATCGCGATTCTCACCGTGGCACGCTTGTGGCACAGATCACAAGACATACTATCCTGGTATGAGACGATCCGCGCACCTTTCGCTCGAAGGTTGTATACTACGATTGCAGCCTGGCGACTATGGGCACGAGGCCGCTGCAAGACAGTGGGAAGAGATATTTGGGGTTACGAGGAGCCGGGATCTATTGGCATTCACAAATGCCAGGATGGGCTTCATTCCTGGGAGGGAGGGATATACAGAGGGTCTGGCCTCGATCACCGTGGGTGTGAGAGGCCAGGATCAACTAGACGCCATACTGAAAAGAGCAAAGGGAGCAGATGTTTGCAAAGACGGTCGTGTGCAGATGTGCGGTCTGCAATGGTTGTTTGTTCTAACAGGGCATGAAGAGCCCAAGCTTTAAGTGAACGAGATCTGTATCCTAGGATCCGAATGTGGCGTGTGGCGCAGTAAACGTCTCAGATGCCACAAAATACAACGCTTACATGCCAACAAGAACACCTCGTTCACAACTGAACGGTCTTTCACAGCTGGTTGTCTCAAACTCGATCTGTCCCCGAGGTCCATGTTTCGATCAGGCGCATCATCGTTAGTTCCGCGGTCTTGAACCTTCTCATCGGTCGCAAACACACGTTATACAATGATGCGCGACGTTTGTTCGGGTTGGTGCCAAGGAGGAAGCAGCGCCCTACACGTCAAATTTGCCACCTCTGGGGGTCGTTCGGTACTGCGCCCTGTCCTGGTACGCCTTGTATGAGCCTCTCCGACAACCTCGCGCGAATTTTGATGTCCAGGCTCGGTCGCGAAAGTGACGACGCACATACATCAATTAGGCAGAACGATTTGTGACGGTGGCTTGCTGAGGCGTGTATCTGGATTGAGAGCCCCAATAGCTGCCTGAAGGCTGAGGCCTGCACAGCCACTCGGTCCCAAGCCTCGGAGGACCCGCATCCCTGCACATCTTCTGCTCAACACATACACAGCACCCACGATCGCGGTCTGTGCGGAACACTTGCACGTTTGTGAGATACCATGGTGCGCTTAACGTTGTCGCTGACGTCGTTCCCTTTCGATGTGACCCAACCACACCCCAGGATTAGCAGCTCTTGCCCTGTATTTGAGCGTTCCGTTGCTTCCCCGACACGGATGCATCTGATCAGCCGGTCTGGACGCATACCTTGCCATGTAGCTACCTCATCGCATTCGCCTTGCAATTGCACACTTGCGGAAGATATCAAGCTAGCTACCGTTGTGCTGGGCCATTCAATTGTACGCTTTCTCTGTGCTCATAACTAATGCGTCTGCCTCACTGACTGCATGTAACAGCGATCATATATCAAGCATCGGATCTTGCAAAGCGCTTTCTAAGCAACACAGCTAGATGCACCAAACCTTACCTTATCCATCCTAACTCTTTGTGTACCTACCTACGTGACGAAAATGTCACAACGCGATCGATTCGATAGCGCGCTGAGTCTGGCTATGGATCAACAACTGTCGCTGGCGACCCGTACAGAATCGCATGGTTCGACTTCTTTGCAGCCATGGTCGTCGTATAATGTTCGGGTAAGATAGACAAGCCCGATATCGACAGTAAGCTAATCAACGCTTAGCAAGACTCCTTGACAGAGACGGAATCCACGAACGAAACGCGTGCTTCATCACTATACGAATGCGATCCCGCTCCAATACCGTGGCAAACATCACCGAAGGTGCTAGTGTCGATCCCGCGTTCTTCTTCCCCACTCGCGTCGCTGCCAGCCTCGAGAATAGCTACCCCAGGTGTCATCTCATGTGCGCAGTGTGGAACTGATTTCAGTGGAATTTATCGCCGAGGCAATCTTGCTCGCCATGTACGTCACAAGCATGACCAGGGAAGCGGGAAGCTGTTCTCCTGTCGTGCCGCGAACTGTCTCCATGATTTCCGCCGGCCGGATGCGAGGCTGAAGCACGAACGAAAACTGCACCCTGAACTTCAAATCGCGCCGATTGAATCGCGGTCAGGGCCTAGCGAGACCTTTTCCGAACCACCTTCGTCTCAAGTGGACTCAAAATATGCGCTCAGTACGACTTCCAGATCGGAGCCGCTGGGCTATAGAGAGGGCGGGCATCAAAGTGTCGTCTCAGCTGTAGAACACGACACATCGACGGACGAATACATCTCTCCCAATATGCGTGCGGCATGGCACACTTTCGCTCAGCTCCACGCTGCACTTGATGAGGAGGATTACTCGCAAGCATGCGATAAGCTCTTCTTACGATGGGAAGCTATTGCTCAAGAATTGAAAGATAAAGGGTATGTATGCATGATGGTATTCGCCCTGTGCCATCTGCTAACTTTATATAGATCTAACGCATACGATGTCTATGCACAAGCCTTGGACGATATTCACTCAGTGATTGCCGCAATCGATTGCACAGCTGTTGTGGACCATTCAGAGCAAATTCCAAACCAAAGCGAGCATCTACGTCAACAAAAACCATACCAGGAGACAGGCCGTCATGGGCAAGGAGCCGCTCCTTCTTCTGGGAGTGCTCCAACAGCCGATTACAATATCGTTCCTCAGAACCATACATGGTACCCGGCGAATGTGAACAGTGGTAAGATTACAACTGGGCGGAAAGGCAAAGGAAAGAAGAACCCTGCGCCACGGGTGGACTGTCCCATGTACAAGCATTGGCTACTTTACCGCACTGCAGGTGCTCCACCACCTTGCCGTGGATGTAGTGCGACCAGCATGAACCAGGTTCGAAATCACATCAAGCAAAGTCACGTGGGAGAGCGTGTTGGCATGCTTCCTTACTACCATCATTGCACCCGCTGCAAAGGTAACTTCGTCGATTTGACTTCCGGAAGCTTCCACATAGCCGCTCGAGATTGCGCACATACACCGCAGCTAAGAAACAACATCACAACACCCTGGGCGCAACTGTATCTTTCGATCTACCCAAGCGCTACGCAAGTCCCACGACCTTGTAAGTCACCGATCTCGTCCATCATTAGGTTGCAAACTAATCAATTGCATAGTTACCGGTGAAGCTGGGTTTTTGCCGCGTGGTGTTATTACACAATGTCAGTCGTCGCGCCCTTTTTTAGGCGAACGGACCCCTGGGAATTCTCGGGAATCTCCTCGCCCAACGAATATGAACGCGTTGTCGACTGAACGGCCAATATACAATGCAGTAATGCAAACGATGTTGCGAGAAGCCGGTAGCCACCTCCCATCCAGTGAGTCGCAAGCCATCGCCGGTGTGCACTTCGGTGCCATGGACCTGAACATACCTGTGGGGTCCGGACACGCAGCATTCGAAGAGCAACTATATAATGCCCAGTCGCATCTTCTTAATGTGCTCCTCACCGCCCCTCTACACATGACGCAGGAACAGATTGCAGCAGCAGCTCATTATCTTCAGCAAATCGTTGACGTTGTCAATGCTTTCTACACAGTCTCGACAGTACCCGCAGCCTCGACCGTGGATACTCATGTCAGTGGCGAGAACCCCAACAATGTCTTCAGTGATGTCCCGTTATCACCACAGACCGATCAGACAACTCTTTCCAACATCCTGCCAGGTAGTCCTCCGGCATTTTGTGGACCCGGTGGTTCTCCTCCGGACCACCTCGCTGGTAGTAACGAAGCTCAGTCAATGGATCATGGTCAGAATGACCTAGCACACATCTTTATTCCTCCCATCCTCGACCTGGGATCTGACATCGACGGTAGTGGCTTCGACCAAGATTTCGATCTTGAAGAGGAAGCTCTATGGCAGTAGCCTGACGTCGAAAATGAGATACTTTTGGATCGATTTGTATACGCTTGTCTTCTTTTCGGTTACATTTTGACCGCTTTGTGTTGTACATACTTGCTCCTTCAGCAAACCAATCTACCTTATCAGTCCTTCCACCCCTGATCAGAAACCATTATGAGAGGACCACTTGACCCGTCTCTGCGCAAGACCGACACGACAAAGCTGGCTCAACAGCGCGGATTCGAGAACTTCACTACGAAGTGCACTTGCGTTCATGCTGCCGAGTCTACGCTTCTTATATACCTCAACAGACCGAGATGGGAATCCCATACATGATTGATGAAGGGCGGACTAAGTCGTCAGCTACTGTCTTACTAAGGGTGAGCCTCAAAGGCTGAATGGCAAGGGTACTAGATGAATGCTCCAAATAACGATAGATGATTGAAACTATGTGTTATCGAGATGATACTGCTGTGTAAGTCGAAGGCGAGTGGCAGATCAGCAGGGTAGTGCTAACCATACTTGCTTAGTACAATCGCTCTTGATTCGTCACAAACACAAACGGCAATACGGGCGTGTCTGGCGTTTGAAGTCCATCAGCTCGTTGAGTCAACCAGCTCGTTGAGTCAATCAGCTGAGGGTCGTAGAGCAATGTTTTCCCCACGATCTGCTCCACGCACGTGATAGACGTGGAGCAGATATATTGTGGAACGCGCCCTACCAATGACACGTCATTGGAACCAGATCAAAGGCATTCTGAAGGTAGCCACACAACGACTGCAACTATCCACTCACAACTTACAACACCACAATGGATAAGAAGGTCTGGGGATGGAAGCGCAACGTCGGCTCTCAGGAGTACCTTATCTCTACAGCCAAAGAGCTCCTGCCGCATTCGTTCGTCCAGGAAGCCTTCGCTGACAATGCCATGTTTTGGGCCACGCCGATGTCAGCGGAAAACCTTAAGACCATGCTCGACAACTCCTGCACCCTTGGCCTTTACAGGGTAGAAAGTGGAGGGGGATTGACACCTGTCGGGATGGCGCGCCTTGTCACGGACTTTGTGACGCTTGCGTATCTGACCGATGTCTACCTGAGGGACGAAACACGCGGCCTTGGTTTGGGAAAGTGGATCATTCACTGTTCCAGAGGGATTGCGCTTGACGTTCCCGAGCTTCGATTTATGCTGCTGTTGACCGGCTCAGAGCAGGCGCAACAATTGTACCGACGTGAGTGTGGGATGGAAAGATTCGGAGACGAGCACGCACTGGCCGCCATGGGCGCTCGGAGGACGAAACTGGCCGAAGCTGCTACTGCGTCGAAACACTTAAGCACCGACAACGCCGCGTAAAATTACGCGCAGGATCGACTTTGCACACAGATCGCAGTATCCGCTGGAGCAACAACGTGCACTGATGGTTGGGTTCGATGCATGACATTGCGTTTTGTTGTTTCTGGTTAGTGCGGGGCTCTTGCGCAAGCCACTAAGCATTCAAGGAAGGCGCAAGTCCGTGCGCTAGCGTCGATGCCGCCATCTATCGCATCAAGGGTTCGCCGGAGGTTCTCTGACAACCACCGAATCAGGTAGACTAGGCCAGAACATCTACTTGAAGCCGACATGTGGGCTCGAGACGCTTTAATAATGGATACGGTTCCCCTCTGCTCGTGTCCAGTCGTTCTACAGTCTTGCTTCTCAGTGTCTCATCGCCTATCCAGCAGCCTGTCACAACAATTGTCAGCGTCATCGACTATCCCAGATTATCTGCTTGATAATTTGACATCCGCCTCCGACGCGTCCCGGTAGCGCCTCAGCATTTGGAGGGCAGCCTGTTATTTGGAGCTCCTGTGTCGTGCAGTTGTTCATTGTTGTCACAGTCCCCCTCCTCCAGATCCACTAGATATCGAGACTCTCAGGAACAATGGCAGCTATCATCGATAACACACAGCTTGCGCCAGCGTCGCCTACATCTCAAAAGCGAAAACGTGCCGACTCGGACACTCAGCCATTAACTCCCCCACTTTCCGACTGCTCTCGCGCGCCCGAAGGAACGCGTCTTCTTTCACGCGCTGTCAACGTCTTGTCAACCGCCGCAACCGCGCTTTCGCAAGTCAGCATCCTGTATGAAACGGACCCTGTTGCCAGGGAAGGTTTACTCCAAGCCGTCGAACTGATTACCAGCATCAATGAGGCCGGTGGCAAGCTGATCATCTGTGGTGTGGGCAAGAGCGGGCTAGTGGGGCAGAAGATGGTAGCGACCATGAAGAGCCTGGGGATAGGCTGCTCTTTCATGCACGCAGCCGAGGCAATTCACGGCGACCTCGGTGACATCAGAAAGGTACTTTTCGCTTTGCTAGGTTGTCACAAGTCGGGCCGACATGTATACTGACACGACATAGGATGATGCCATCATGTTTATTTCCTACTCTGGCAAGACAGGCGAGCTCATGGCTCTACTCGACCACATCCCCTCGCATACGCCCATTATCGCCGTCACATCGCACACGCACCCTTCGAAATGCCCATTGCTCAGCGAGCGTCCCGACGCTATCCTGCTTCCTGCACCGATCCACGAACTGGAGGAAGTTTCCTTTGGCGTTTGTGCACCTACAACCTCTACAACCGTTACAATCGCTGTCGGCGACATGCTGGCGCTAACTGTAGCGGAGGCATTGTACCAGGAAGAGACAAAGAGCGTCTTCAAGAAGAACCACCCAGGAGGAGCCATCGGCGCGAAGGCGAGGCGTCTGAACAGCGACACAATCGACATCACTGTGAGCACGCACGATGGCTTGATCACACCGCCAGCGGTCTGAAGCAGTTTTGACATCTCTTACATTTGGAAATGTACTGTCTCGTGGACCAGCTCATGGAGCATGCCACACTAAAGAGACACTGTACACGTGTGCTAACACAGATATTCTCACAGCGATATTTCGCACTCGTGTGCTTTCAGCTACTCAGTTGCACAGCTGAGTCGATTCCAGCTTCTGGACAAGAGATACCCCAGGTTCGAGCAAGTGCAGTGCTTGACACGCATCCTTGTTCCCCACAACAACGACATGTAACGACTTTTGAATAATTATACCGGAGTACAGGCGAGGCGCAGGATGATTTTCACAGTTAGATCTATCTCAATCAGATGGACCTCGTTTCCAGAACTTGTGCCCTTCTCGTGTGGGTGCTTTTGTCGTTTACCTCGTACACAGAGCGCTTCCTCACAAACTAAATACATGGATCTTGATCCCACCTACTGACTCGCATCAAAGACAGGGTACGGCACAACCTATGTTCTATGATGAAACCTTATCTTTCGTTACAGTGTTCAGCACTGGCCATCAATGAACCAGTAGGGCATTGTTGCGTACGCGGTCTCTTTCGCTTAGCACAACACAGACGTCAATGTCGGTACTTATCTGCTTAGCTCAATCGGCAACTTTCTGGACGTGCTCAACATCTAATCTCGGATCCTACACAGCAAGATTCATCTATATTATCCACGGACCGCGCGGCTGCGCTTGCATCGTTGTTGTATTCCTGATCCAGCTGTCTCCCGAATCATATAATATCACAATGAGGCTCCAAACAACCATGTACCGCTACGCCGAAGTGCATGCCTTGCCACATGGTAAATCTGATAAACAAATGATTTGCCTCGACAGGTCAATGATTACTTTACCGCGCTTGGCGCAGCATTGAAACAAGTATTACCAAGCTCTTGTTTCTTCTTGGCAGGCAAGATCTAGGCCCTGGAACACCTCTCACAAGTGACATGTCGCAAGTAGCTATAGGTGTCTGAAGATCATACCCTGTTCATGGCATAAAAGCCGCTCTTGTATCTAGATTGTTGGTCTCGAAATGATGATCGCCCGAGGCATATGAGTAGGATGAGGTATGCCTTTCGTCTCCGGGGACCAGTAGCGGATCTCCACTGTTTGCTTTTGACCTGGCTGTCGTTTGTTTCAGCTTCGGCGATGATTGTGTTCATTCGTATATTGAAACAGCCTGCCGCGTTTGTCGGTCATTAGCTGACACCGTGGAAAGTATTGTTGTCCATCGAGCGCCTCATCCTGATCGGTGCAGGGAGAACGCGTAATACTCGGAAAGCTTGAACATGCCTTTCTAGCGGGAGCGGCGGCTTAATGGAGTGGGTAGTTGAGAAAGATACCGTGGGACTTTCTGGTCTGGACTGTTGTTGCGTGCGTCAAGATCCCCTATCCAGAACAACGGATGGTAGACCAGCGGGGAGTTCTCCAAAGACACGCACAGTCGCGTGCGATACTCCCTGGAAATGCGATGTGATGAGAGTCTGGAGTCGCAAACCCGGCCCGACATGACTTTACTCATTCAAAATGCCCCATAGAAGGCTTGGCTGTGTGACTGTAGTGCCCCTCCCCCGGTCTCTCTCTCTCTGTTGATGTATCTGTGGCAATTGAAGCAAGGGACATCTTCTCGATGATACGAATGATAAGTACGTCTGAGGAATATGAGAAGAATCAAGTGACGATAATGCAGACAGTCCGAGAGATAGATTAAGGGCGATGGACGAATGATCAAGGGCTGCTACCTATCCTTCACCGCTATGATGTAGCTCAACTCTCGAGTCTCGGGAAAAGCGGCGGATAAGCGACCTTTTAAGCTGATCAACTGTAACGCAGAGCTTGTAGCCGTTATAATACCTAAGGCAAATATTTAGTTTAGGATTACTTGTACTGTAAGCAGAAAAGTATTTTGTAGTGTTCTTTTGGATATTCCCTACTTTGCTGTCGTGTGGTGTACTTGGCTCGTATCCTCAGCCCGCCGTTTATTTTGCAACGTGAGAGCTCAACAGGAATCAGAAGTTCCTTGCTATCGATTAGTATATCCAATAAAACACCAGCATTATTGAACCTCTTAAAGATGTCCCACAGGCTTAAGTGTATGCAACACATCGAAGGCAACATCGAAGGGAAGGGGTTTAGCCAAGTTGTCTCACTATGCTATGCATGCTCAACGACGTACTGCAGGTGTGCGAGAGATGTTCGTAGAATTTTTATATATGACTCAATGCGGTGTAACCCAGCTCGACGCATGCTTGGCGAGCTGCGCATAATTCGATGTCGTCTCATGCTAGTCCTACGAGTCCGGAATGGCAGCAATCGCTTCAATCTCAATGAGGAAGTTGCCAGGAAGCTTTCCGACCTCAACGGCAGTGCGGGCGGGCTTGGGGGACGGAAGCATTGCGCCATACACAGCGTTCATTGCTGTGTAGTCGCTCATGTTGGCCAGGAATACAGTTGTCTTCATGACATAGTCCCAAGATGTACCGGCTTCCTCGAGGACTGCGCCAATGTTCTTGATGACTTGTGCCTGAATAGTGTTAGCCATGCTTTGCGATCCACAGTGTTCAGTCTTGCGTTCGCCGGGGAATGGCAATACTTACCGTCTGCTCTTCAATGCCACCAGTGATGATGCTTCCGTTGAAGGAGGGCACAGTCCCTGATGTGTAAACAACACCCTTTGATGTCCATGCGCCGCTTGACAGGATAGGGCCTTGAGTGCCCAAATATGTGACAACGGGTTGGGCAGCGCTCTTTGGTACTGGCTTTGCACTGGCAATGCCAGCAACTACCAAAACGGTGGCGAGGAAAGATGTGATAGAAACCATTTTGACGAGGTGTGAGAACTGAAGAATATTGCAAGTCGTCAAGATGCTGCTCTTATTGCTGATGCATATCGTTCTAAGACGCACCTGCTACTTTATAGAAGTCACTCCCTTGATCTTACCAAATTGCTAATGGTTTGGCTATCTTTGACCTGATCATTACGTTCGGCCCGCCAGGACGACTTCCAAGAGCTTCGAATGTTGGACTTGAGGCAAGGCCTTCTGTGCAGCTGCACGACAAGACCAGAGGCGTTCGTATAATGCAACCCTAAGCCGATGATCCCACTCTTGATACTGTCTGTAAGTTCATGGCCGTCGGCCCAAGGCACCGGTAACGCTTTCAAAGCCCGTGGATACTCGATGATTCCTCGTCCCCACGAATACTAAGCCTAAGGTGGAAGGGCTATGCTGCACCTGGATATCCTATCGTGCCGGACGGAGCTGCGTCAAATGTTCTGGAGAAGCCGAAACCGGCAGAAGTGGAACAAAGCGAGTCAAGAACAGACCGGACAACAGTGTTAGAGGTTGTTGAAACTTGGCGCCGAGACTGCTTGTACTTGTAGGGCGCCGTTGACGCGGTAAGATGTCTACAAGACTTGATGGTCTTGACGTAAGTCGAGATAAGAGACTCTTTTTGTGGGGCACAACGTTATCGATACGGATAGCCCCACCTTTGGATATCGTGATTCGTCCAATCATGAGAACAGTCACGCATGCATCGAGACAATATTGGAATATCGATTTCGTCCTTCCCTCTTGGTGCTTGTCGGATGCCGCAGTTACGTCGGCAAATCGGGCTGAAGTACGGCAATAGCCCGCACCCACATGTAGAGGCCCACAGTACCGGATATTGTGGGGTTCTTGGATGCTTCAAGATTATGACAACTCTAGCTGGCGGGCTCCCTCAATGAATAGGATAAGATCAAATGTAGAGGGCGCGGCAGCAAAGAGCGAAGGCGAACATGCAGATGAAATTTTTGCTGTGTCCCCGCAGTTCATACTCAACGGTAGGCGGGTTGGAGCGCTAACATGGGCCGTCGATCGTAAATTCTCCGAGTGGTCTTTCTGGTGGAGAGAAGGCTGGCTTATCCTATCGTCGTTATCTTGAGCTCTTCTTGTCAGCGTTGAACTACCACTGCTAGCTCTCTGTAGGAGCCGCCTCCACGCCCTACGTGACATCGCTTACCGCCACTACAACTAACAGCGGACGTAGGAACCTCAGTCACCTAGGAACGGGTCGGCTACACATGGCTAAGCCAGTAGGTATCGTGTGTCAGGTCTTTTGGAAAGTCGCGCATGAAGGACAATGGCGTCCTTATCGCAGCCGCGTGTCGAACATGTTGGTCCGTAGGCGGCGGCATTACGATGCCTAAATGCGTCTGATGTGTTATGAGTATCATTGTATCGATGATAGCTCAAGTCAGTGACCAACAGAAACAAGAACAAAGATATCGACGTCCGAACGCCGTTCAGCATCAAGCTGTATATGAAGGGAAGAGTCTGCCTTTGGTACAGGCTACTCAAGTCATAAACATTGTTCAGCTCAACATGAGGGGCCTTTTTACAGCTTCTTCAGCAGCGTTGACTGTGGCCAGTGGTGTCCTTGCTGGTCCAGTCGTATCTCACTCCAACCACCTCATCTTTAAGCCTTTGGTCGTTACATCTGATTCGGTACACAATGTACACATCGACTACAGCGATGAAGCCTTCGAAGGAGACGTACGCGTTGTTTACGGTCATTGCGACATGGCGAGCCTTGACAGCAGGCATCATGAGCTTGGATCAACACGAGTGACGCGTTCAGCCCGACCTGAGCGTATTGTATGGATCGTACCTGACAATACTGCTCATGGAGGTTGCTTACACGCCTACTCGGGATCTGCATTGATTGGTCGTTCGGCGCCGATCACTGTCAAGCAGCGAACTCGGAAGCGAGAGGACATCTCGGATGTCGCCGACGTGACAGGCCCTTGGTTCGACGGCGTTGCTTATATGCAGGCAAAATCGAACAATGCTTCGTTTGTCGCTGTTTCGAAGAGCAAGAAGATCGCCATCCTCGGTGGTGGAATGTCAGGATTGATGACCAGTCTCCTACTCGACTCCGTCGGCATTCACGACTGGCATATCACCGAGTCCTCGCAGCGTATTGGTGGTCGCATTCGCACCAAGTACCTTGCTGGCAGTACACCCGATCAGTACCAGTACCAAGAGATGGGTCCCATGCGCTTCCCTGTTTCGGCCAAATACGCCGACACCAACGAAACTGTTGATATTGAGGATCATAAGATGGTATTCCAGCTTGCCGATGTCTTGAACCAGATGAACGGTAACGATAGCGCACTCGGAGTGAACTTCATTCCTTGGATCCAAAGCAGCCCCAACGTTCCTGCCAATTCAAACGGCTACCGTCTGCCTAATGGTCGTATTCCGAGTGCCGCTCAGATCAGAGCGAACAGCTCTCTTGTTCTACCGGCTGCAGCAGGCCCAGATCCCGAAGCTCAGGAACATGCTGAGGAGGCACTCGAAGAGTTTAAGGGTATCACTCCAGACGTCATGCGCAATATTTCGACCAATATCTTCAGCGCTCACAAAGCGGCTGTGGAGAAGGGTCTTTTCCAATTCTCTGAGGCTGCGTACCTCAAGTACGCTCTGAACATGAGTGCCGATGTCGTCGATTTTGTCGCAGGTGCCGCCAACAGCCCTATGTGGGAGTACGATACAGTGTACTTTTCGGCCACCACGTGGAGAACCATTGACAAAGGTCTCGAGTCTCTCCCGCGCGCTTTTCTTCCGCATGTCCAAGACCGCTTGACTCTTGGTCGTAAGATTACCGGGTTGAAGTACAACAACGACACCGGCAGGGTGGCTGTCCAATGGCGCAATGATCCATTCGCTATGGAGCCTGAGAGCGAGGAGTATGATTATGCGGTCGTCAGTGTACCATTCTCCAAGGTCAGGCTCTGGGAGCTTCCCAAGTACTCTTCGCTCTTATCGCGCGCTATCTCTTCCCTGAACTACCAGCAGTCCTGCAAAGTCTCTCTGCACTACAAGACTCGATTCTGGGAGAAGCTCTCCCCACCCATCATTGGTGGCTGTGGTGCGGTTGATATTCCCGGTATCGGTTCGGTCTGCTATCCTGCATACAAAATCAATTCGACCGGACCCGGTGTCATCCTCGGATCCTACACTTCCGGCACCCTTGCTCGTTCTGTTGGTGCGCTTAGCACCGCTGACCACGTAGCTTACGTACAGCGTGCCATGGTTCAGGTCCACGGAGAGGTTGCTACAGAACAGTTCACAGGCGCTTATGACCGCCAATGCTGGGAGGTCGATGAGCATCAGGCAGGTGCTTGGGCGGCGCCAACAGTCGGTCAGCAGGAGCTGTACATTCCAGCGTATTACAAGACTGAGATGTCTACAATCTTTGTTGGGGAGCATACATCGTACACACACGCCTGGATCTTCAGCGCTCTTGACTCAGCTGTTCGCGGTACGACTCAATTGCTGTTGGATATGGGTCTGGTAGACGAGGCAAAACAGATTGTTGACACGTGGATGGGTAGATGGATCCATGTTTAAGGCGGCGTTCGTCTGGAAAGGCGCGTAAAGGTAGAAACATGACAGTTACGCAGTAGATTATGATTCATTAATGAGAACACGATCCAAAAAGACTCTGATGGCTGGGTGATGAAGTGCGACTGCCATGCAATGACGCGATACGTGCGCTAGCCCAATGGAGGTCACGCGTGGGCGCTCCAGCACACGGAGTGTTCTTCCTATCGTGCCTCGCTATCTATCACATCTATACCCCATTCCATCTTCAGTTTTTTATTGACCAAGCTAAACGTAGAAGTCTTGGCCGGAACGTTGTGCAGGCTGTCGTTTTACCAAAGCCTGACACTTTCGTATAGCCGACTAAAGCACCGGCCCTTTCCCACGTACCAAAACCAGGCAGATTGGGCAAAGGGTATCGACGTATATTTGAAGTTTGACCAGAACCGGATAATCATTTACAGCCTGGAGCGGACCGTCGTCCCAACAGCCTACCGATGCGACAGAAAACAAGGGCACTCTGAGATGCATGCTAGATTCTGCTTGCTGTGTTTCTTGAATGTGCCTTCCACCGTGGCAGCTTGAAAGTCTCTACAAACTCACGTATGGACGGAGCCAATTCCGATCTAAAAAAATTCCAGAAGTAGCGATGACGTTATTCGTATGTGGGGTAGCTTCGCAAACGTGTAGCCGACCCACATTCTGCAGTACGTACTGTACATTTAGAACTCACATATGTAACTGACTTCCTCATTAATCTCACAGCATTTTAATTGCGAGGTAATACTGCATCATTCTACCTTGGATCGATTCTCTATACTACAATATGCCAGAGCTATTCGACCACAATGGCAAGCCAGCTGCTCATCATATGGCACGGGTAAACGGGATCCGAATGCACTATATCACCGCAGGCTCAGGGCCACCACTCCTTCTTCTTCACGGAACACCAAAGAACCACTACTACTGGTATCGAATCCTACCGTACTTGACGCCGCATTTCAGTATCGTCGCGCCAGATCTGCGAGGCTTTGGCGCGACCGACAAACCTCCCGCAAGCGATGGCTATGATGGCCGCGTCAACGCCCAGGACATGGCTGATCTCATGAGTCAGCTCGGCGAAGATAAATTTGCAATCCATTGCGAAGATCGTGGTGCTACATTTGGGTTCTGCACTGCTGGGCTGTACAGGGATCGTGTCACACATCTGAGCTTCTGTGAGATGATGCTATCACAGCAGTTGACCGAGCAATCATTCTTCACACGCGAAAACATCAAAGCGCAGTACAACCAAACCGGTGTATGGAATTGGCACATCCCATTTCTGTGGATGCCACACATGGCTGAGATGCTGATTACAGGCAAGGAAAGGGAGTTCTGGACACATTTTATGAAAGCGGAATGCTACAATCCAAGTGCGCTAGATCAGGAAGCAGTTGACGAGTGGATACGCTGCTCGCAGAGCCCAGGTGGACTGAGAGGTATCTTAGAAACGTATCGCGCGCATTGGGCGAACGTGGACGTGGAGGAAGAGATTATCAAGAAAGGGAAGTTGGATTGTAAAGTAATGACTGTTGGGGCTCCAGAGTAAGTCTCAGTATCCATGACAAAGTTGACTGCTAACACTCAGAAGATTCTTTGGGCCACTTGTAGAGGAGCAAATGAAGGGCACGGCTAACAAGGTCATCATTTCGGAGGTTTTTGAGAACTGCGGGCACAGTCTGGCCCTCGAACAGCCTGAGCGGCTCGCAAATCTGCTGAAGAAATTCATATTGTAAGCATCTTCGTTGGAGTGTCGTCACACAACGACAGAAGATAAAAGTTCAGATATACATTCTTGAATCTCTCAAATTTGCTTTATCTCCTTGAAAGTTTGTACTGAAAGGGGAAGATCCAATCATGCTCAACATTTGTCTGTACGTCCTGGATATGTGAGCGATCATGCTGTAGAACCTGTTTTCTCGCGAATGATAACCCGAGACGCCTGGCATTTCCTCAATGGTCTTGGCATTGAACCAAGCTTATGCACTCTGCTGGGAGGAGTAACTGCAGATACGAGCTATAGTTTCATGTTACCCGGCAGGAGAATATTGGAGCAACGATATACTATCAATTATCAATGAGGCGTGCACGGTACCAAGGTACATAACCCCAAGCAAAAGGTCGCACTGGTGAGGCAAGTGAAGGGAACATTGATAAAGTGAACAATATTAGATTTATTGTAGTGTTCTGCTCAAACGCTAACTCGGATTTTTTTATATTACATTATTCGTTTCAGCACGTCTACAGCATTAAGAGACCAGCGATGGTAGCGAGGATGGTAGCACCAACAAGGCCAGATCCAAGTTGCTGGACAGCCGCACCTGTAGCCGCAGGGGCGGGACTTCCGGTACCAGAGGGGCTTGTCCCATTCGCTGTTCCGTTGCCTCCAGCAGTGGAGTTGCGTTGACGGTCAACAGCCTCGATACGATTGCCCAGCTCGATCTTGACAGGGCTTTGAGCAAGGATGTACTGTGTGAGAACCTGATCTTGAGTGTCAAGACTGACGAAATCAGTTGTAGGTGTGAAGAAGTTATCGCCACCGCCAGCAATGAAATCGAGGGTGACGACTTGGTAGGTTGTGCTGTTGTCGAGAGGCTGGTCGCCAATAGTGACAGCAATAAGCTTTGTGCCGTTATTGTTCTCGGGGTTGTACTCAACCTTGATGCCGGATGAGACCTGGAGGAACGAGGTGACCGCCTTTCCGTTGGCAACGTTGACACCTGTCACAATTCCCTCGAGAACTTCCCAGAGGTACTTCCCGTCAACCTCGATCTGGACAATTGAATTTCCGAAGGGAAATGAAGTCAAGACCTCACCACGAGTGATGTCGCCCTGGTCGATGGTTGCGCGAATACCGCCAGCGTTAATGATAGCAAAATCGACATCGTCGGTGTTGTTCTTGCGGTAGGCGAGCATGGCATCTGCCATAAAGTCACCGAGTAAGCACTCCTGGCGTCTGCAGGCAGTCTGATCCAGCTCAACTTCGCTTGTGCCGAGGACTTCTGCAGCAAACTCCTCAAAGGGTCCACGCCAAGATTCAATCTGAGCCTGGAGTTCGGTATCCTGCGCGGTCGTGTTGGTGATATGAATGGGTGCGCCTTGGTAAGAGATAATCTTGCCCTGAGCATCATATGTAACCTCGATATCACCAATGTACTCGCCCCAGCGGTATGCGGTGACAATGAAAACCTCATCGCCATCGGCGTTGTCGACAATGGTGGGGTACTTGCCCTCAGCCTTCTCCATATCGCCGAGAAGAGTGTGGCTGTGACCTCCCATGATTAGCTGTAGACCCTTAGTGGCTTTTGCAAGTTCCTGATCCTTTTCGTAGCCAATGTGAGTGATGGCAGCAATCCTGGTGATGTTGGTTGTGGCCTTGATCTCATCGATAGCACCCTGTACAGCCTCAACGACGTCTGAAAAGACAGTCGTTTCATCTGGGTTCGCGATGCTGGGGGTCTCGTCGGTAGTGACACCGATCAGGGCAAGATCATGCTCCTGGAAGATGTGGTAAGGCTTGACCGTCTTGTTGACCTTCTCATTCTGCGAGTTAATGTTGGCAGAGATGACCGGGAATGTCAGGTTGACCAAAAACTGTCCGAGGGCCTCATCGCCACCATCAAACTGTTCACCCATTAGTATAGTTCTCACTAGTTTGCACCGCATTTGTCAACATACCTCGTGGTTGCCCAGAGTCATGGCCGAGAAGTTCATCTGGTTCAAGGTTTCGGCGATCTTCTCGCCTCCGTAGAATGAGTAGAAGAGGGTACCCTGGAACTCATCACCAACGTTTAGCCAGAGACTGTTGTTGTAGTTGGGTCGCTGCTGTTCAACAACGGTCTTGATGCGAGCATAACCTCCGAAGCAGCCTCTCTCAGGACGGGTGCAGTCTGTTCCAGAGGACGAGAACTCGTCCAAATGGGCGTGGACATCGTTGACGTGGAAGAAAGCTGGGCGTCTGTCAACAGGACTGACCAAGAAGAATTCATCAAGCTACTGACTGATGTTGTAGTTTCCATCAGCACTGACATCACGCTTTCCAAGATGCCTGCTGTGGAGCACATCCTGTGCCCTCACGAGGGCGGCCGCCGACAGCGCGATTGCGCCCGATGCTGCGGAGAACCTCATTTCTGCACTGTAGAGATCTGAACAAGGAACGATGATTTGCGAGATGTGGAGACACTGGGGAAAGACCGGTGTTCACGACCCTTCTTCTTATGTCGTCGAGGTTGCGGTGGAGACCTCCGCTGCGAGTGCCAAGTGAATGTCTGGGCGCACAACGTTGGCGCCTTGGTATGACTGCCCACATTCCTTTTCAGGGAAGATGCGTTTTGTACCTGATAACAAAAGGCCAATCATATTGTACACGTGCGATACTCACATTCGACACGCATGGATCAAGGACGAACCTGGAAATCGGACCTTGGACGCGACCTTGCCGTTACCCAGCCACGTGGTCTTGGACGCGCTACAGACCAATGGCCGTTCCTCGGAGCGCACATTTGTGGCCAGAAACCGCAGAATTCCGGACGCGACCGCCTTGTGGAAATGATTCCTACAAGGTCATTGCGGAGGAGCGGCACGAGTCCATAAGAAGACATCCTCCGAGCGACTTGAGGTGATGGATCGGTTCACCTGACTGTGTGATAGGAAAGGTCCGATGTCGCGCAGGTTCTGTTCTTTCTGGTCGTGCTGAAGCACTTCCACTGCTATAAGAGGTTCCACTACAACAAGAAGGGCCGTTGTACGAAAGATAACTGGATGCGGTCAGAGCACAAGCACAGCGACGCTACCTCATCATAGTAACCTCGTCGAAATTCATAACGATCTGTGTTACAGATATGATCGTCGTCAACAGTGGTACTCTCAAGAACTCGAGTGGTGATTAGTGGGAGTTGAGGTCCTCCCATATCCCGCTTGTTCGAAAAGGATGTCTGAACTTGCCATTGAGCGGCTTATAGTTGTTCCAGAAATATTGAGGTAACACCTTACACATCAGCGTCGCACGAGCAGATTATCGGCAGCTCCTTCTGGGTGATTACACAGTATCTCTCTGTCCCAGTTCGAGTCTCGCTGATTGTAGAGATTAGCGGCCACCCCTCGATTCTTACTCCGTTCATATTCGATCTATCGTCAGACTATTCGTGGTTGACATGTGAATGTCGGAGCTGTTCATATCTTCCCACGCTCCAAGTGAACTCTGAACTCTGTCTAGATTTACATTCATTCAAAAAGTTGGGTACTTCTAGCTTAGTTTCCTACACTTGAAATGCCTTCCGTTTGTACATCTAGCGATCACAGTGAAGCAAACTTTGCAGCGAATACTCCATATCCGATACAAGATAGCAGCTATAGACTTCGAAACAGTATGACGTGCGTTGACATATCACATCTGTGCGCATTAACCGCTCTCGTACCCCAATCCTTTCAACCCAGTTTAACGGCTTTTTGGGCCCGTCTACGATGTACAGCCACAGTGACGTCTCTATCGGAGACTGCATTCAATCCGTGTATGGGCTGAACGGACTCGCGTTTGATGCCGCACGGAAGGACGACCCATCGGTGTTGTAATAATCCGGCATCTGAGCGAGTCAACATGTGTTCTTCCCTGCTGAGGGCCACACTTACGTCCCAGGCGCTCTGCTCAAGATCTCCTAGCATACTTTCTTCCAGTCGAAACTCGTACTTCTGATCCAGCACAAATCTTACGCGATGTCCTGCCAGTGCGGCTATTTGCATCTTTGGAAACAGTACTGGTAGCGCACCAACGAACAACTCTCTCCTCTCCTCTGCCGCCTTCGCTTCAGTCGAGAATCGAATGCACACATTGGAACCGGACTTGAGCTCCATCAATCCTTCAAGCGCAGCCTGCAGTCTCTCTGGTGGTTTCGGCACACCAAAGATGTACGCTCTAAAAGAGCCACGGTCGTGTGTTATCGCGCTTAGTCGAACCTCAATATTCGATGCCAAATCCTTAGGTGGAAACCCGAGACCCAGTTGATCAGTGTTGAGAAATTTCGCGATTAGACCTTGCCCATCGCCAAAAATGAACGTCGAGGTGCGGTAGTAGTTCTCACTCAACTCTCGCAGAAATTGCGACTCTACGTACTCGATGCCCCAAAAGTGCTCGGGAAAATGTGCGCTTTTCCAGCGCGCCTGGTCGTATGAGAAGCACTGTGTAACCGGATCTTTCGTTGAGCGGAAGTAGTCGCTGTCAATACGCTCCTCTTTAGTGCTGAGATGACAGTAAACCATGTCGCGCAATTCCCTTGGGAGCTTTAGCATGAAAAGGTCTATCAGAGAGCGGCATTCTGATCTCGCGAAGGCATCGAGGTTGAGTTGAGTTTCTGCTGCTTCTATAGCGAGATTGTGTTCCAGAGCGTTGAGACGCTGTTGAAGTGCGTTTATTTGAGCTCTGCGTTCAGCCTCAACGGTAAGTGCTCTGTAAACCCTGATCAGTACCTATGCCTTACATCTGCTGCACCTGGGCACGTCCAACCAGTCACCTGGCAAGATGCAGCATCAGGGAAGAGGGTGCCCTTTTGGTAGGATGAATAGAGTCATTTGGTGGTAGTTCTGTACCTTATTGGCTGCGATGAAGGTAGGTTGAATACTATAGAAGTGCCGAGTGGCTGATCAAACATGCTGGGGTGCAAAGTATCCAGAAACATTGAACTTACTCAAACGCACGGCTACGCAGCAAACGTTGCGAGTCTGGGGTGATCATTTGTGGCATTATTCGGTAAATGTAGATAAAAAAGAAATGCAGGTCGTCTTCATACGAGACCTGCGATCCATCTGAGTACTGTCACGTAGCTCACTCAGGTACTCACAGTGGCGAATCAACCCGACTGAAGCCATCCGATCAGCCAATCAGCACGATTAGCTTGCCTGCAAACAGCATCCGTGGAATACGAAGTCCTTTGTTCTCCTTCTCTCCATCCCTAACTCTAAACTTGTCCTAGTTCAGATCGATTCTGTATCGGTATAGTCGGAGTCTGCGTCGGAGTCGGTAGCGGCATCGAGCTCTGTATCTTCTCTCTTTTTGCGGACTCCCGCCTCGTACTGAAGAGTTTAGTACCTGTAACTACTGTACGCTTGTGAGCTTCGAACTTACCTTCTCGTACTCAGTCCTGCACAGTTCTAAAGAGAGTTCACCTTCGTAGACAAAGTCGGGTAGCGCCTCGATCCATGAGCAGTCAAGACTATACACAATGACAATGCGAGAGCGACAACCAGAAGCTCGAAGTCGATCTAGGACTGGTAGAACAAGAGGAAAGAAATCGTTGAACGCCCGCTCTCGCACTTCAATGGAAGCATAGTCCCAGCCCGATGATAATGGTACAACTCGAATGGTCAGCCTGGTACCAGCACAAAAGCCGAAGAGCATTTCTAGCTCCGACAATAGCTCCGAACGAGTCTTTCTGGTCGAATCTGTGGTGTCCCATGCGTTACTGCCCCATCCGTTGCTGCCCCATCCGTGGTTCCCTTCACGATCTTTAGATTCAACACGTTTGTTGTCTTTCTTATTAAGATCGTAGTCCCCATAACGGAAATCGATTCGGATATCTGTAGGAAGCACTGCAGGCGTGTATCCTATACCCCATCGATCTATGGCCCTGAATTCGGGCATGAAGGAGGCCTTGTAGAAGCAATATTTGTTGGAGCGAAAGAAATGCTCACATAATTCCCGGTGCAAGGCTTCACCGGCCGCACTTGGTTTCCACATGTGTGCGGGGGCGCAGTACTTTGTAGGTACGGCGTCGAGATCGAAGTATGCATCTGTCACATCCCAAGATTGTTCCTCATAAAGATAGCCATAGATCATATCGCGCACCTCACGAGGTAATGAATTGTAGACTGCATCGCAGAGCTCCCGGCAGACGGTGTTTGCGTAGTCTTGGAAGGCTTGTTCGGCACTGGTGTCAGCGTCGGCCGCAACTTGTTGAAGCTTTTTACGCTCCCGGCGCAGAGCCTTTAGCTTTGTTTCGGTGGCATCGACCTTTGCCTTCGCAATAGCCTGGCTCTTGAAGGTGCTACATGCTGTCAGCAAAGGCTTCTTCGACCATCGGGTTGGTGGTAGCTTACTGAACGAGCTTAACGCAAGCTCGGTCGCGCTCGGTCGAAGGTGCAGGCGTACCCATGCTGTAGCTACTAAGGTTATTGGTGGATTGAGGTTGCGTTTCGAAGGTGTGCAACAAGCGTCGCTAAAGTGGGGCAATTGCTGCCTGCGCTTGCGCCGCCAAAGACATGGTCACGTGCATTGTGCCTTCACATCACCTGGGCATGCTCTAGCTGACCGTTTTCGTGCTGTGATACTGCATTATGATTACGCTGAATCGCACGACATGCATCTCGATTAGTGTCTCGTAGAATCAACTGATGATGCATGTGCCCTCCAACTGTTGTACTTCATTGTTCGTCGCTCCAGTTTGCGATATGCATATCCCAACCTTGGCGCTGACAGTTGACTGCAGATTGCAACCTCACATTTTATAGCTCTGATCGGCGTATACAAGCTCAAGGACCATCGATCTTAATGAATGGAAGAAGGCTTTGAATATCAACAGTAAATTTATCTTTCAAATATGTACATAGTAAGGAGTGAAAAGGAGTGAAATCTGGCGGAACGCCAAAGAAGTATCGTTTGGCTTCCGTCGTATGCCTCGTCTAGCATTTGGTAACGCTGGGAACGTTGGTGCAGCTGCCGTAAGACTTTCCACCGGTGATGGACACGTTCGACCAGGTCCAGCCAGTGCAAGACTTGCTGCTGCCGCAAGTGACAACAACGTTATAGCCTGAGCTAGAGACAGCACCAGTACCGGTGATGTTCTCAACGACAAGACCAGTGATGGGGATGCCAGTGCCAGCAGTACCCTTTAGGTCACCACCGTCGTAGTTCTGCTCGATCAGAGCACCATACCTAAGTGGAAGTATCAGAAACATGCTTGACAGGATCGTGGCCGGATTGAACTTACTTAGAGATGTTCTTAAGAGTGATCTTGTTGTAGGTCACCTTGTTGATGCTGCCAGTGTCGCCAACGGAGGCCTTGACTCGGATGCCGTTGACCGAGTTCTGGACCACGTTGTTGTAGAAGGTGACAGTATCGACGACATTAGATGTCCGTCCACCAACAGATCCAATGGAAAGACCGTGACCGCCAGAGCAAAGGCCGTTCTGGAACGTGATTCCCTGCATGAAAAGTCAGTAATGGCCACAAGGCTGCCCGCGTGAAGAAAAACTCACCGTTCCGGAATTTACAGCAACACAATCGTCTTGATTATACACCTTCGCACCGTCTATGTTCACGTTGGAGCTCGTGCCGATGTCAAAGCCATCAGTGTTGTGGCCAAGACTACCGGTATCACCGGCGGCATCATCGATAGTCATGCCGGTGATAGTCAGTCCATCGCAGCTCGCAATGCTTACAGCCTGAACCGGGGTGTTCTTGATGTAAAGGTTGGTGACGGTGGAGCCACCTGTCAGACTGTGCAGTGCGAGAAACTGCAAATCGTTAGTGGTGAAGGAGACAGGTTTGTGACGATCTCACCTTGGGCTTCGTCTTTCCACCATTACCACCCTGGCCGTCCCACCAACGTGCGCCATCGGCATTCAGAATCGCGCCAGTGTCACCCTTGACAGTGATTTTCTTGCCACCAATGGATACAAGTGGGCCAGCCCACTCCTTGTAGCCCCAAGTGGTAGTGCCTTGGAAGATAACAGTCGTGCCGTCTGCAAGCCCGGAGAGATCCAGAGTTGTGCCAGCAGGAACAGCGACATTATTCAGGGTGATAGTAGGGCAAGTAGTCTGCGCCTTGTGGGCGTCTGCAGCACCGGTAGCGCCTGTGAAGGTGCAGCTGGCTCGCTTAGCGATAGCGTCAGCTGGGGCCGCCACAGCAGACGCTGCGAACGATGCGGTCAACGCAACAACAGAGGAGAGATGCATATTGGTAAAGATAAGCGATAATAGAGTGCTGGATGCTTGGTGCTTGTGTAAGGCTGCTTGGCTGCTTGGCCAAAATGCTTGGTCTTTTGTCGTCCTTAAGTACGACGATTGAGGAGCAATCTTATTCGCTGTTCCGGACGCGTCTTTGCAATCTATCTGCGGGCTTTCCTGGTCAGAACGCAAAATGGGCGGACCAAAGACGTCCTCCAATTATCGATGTCTGCGATATTCGCAGTCCCCCTTGGACGCATGTTCGGTCGAACTATCCCAGGCACCCAACCCACACATGACTCTCCAAATGAAGAGGTGAGAGGAAAGGGAACAAGTGCCAGCGCTACTGAAGCTGGCTTCATAGCTTTTATGATCCCACCAATCATGAATTCTCCTGAAATGCCGGGAATACGAGTGTGGGGAAAACCTGGGGAATCGCTGATAGCTCCAGTGTGATCCGATAAACCCCTATTGTGCAATGGCTCAGACAGACGTTGCGCAATCATCGGCCCTTGTGCATACAAGAGCTACAGTGCTCGCAAGAGATTGGCGCAAAAACTCAGTCTCACAGAAAATCGTGATCTTGTGTTGGTGTGTTTCGAAATTCAATTACGGCCGAAGTATTGGCACAGGATGTCAATGCTTGTGGGAATGCGATGCGGTCCAGCCTTAAAACGCCGATAGTGGCCAAGTGCCAGAATGCGATGCGGTCCAGCCCCTAACCGCCGATAGAGTTTGTTTTACGATCAAACATGCTAACCCATAACGCCATAATATGCTATGAAGATAATAAACTGAGAAACATCCCTCACTCATTCGCAATCCAGGGGTAAAGGTTTTGGAGGCGCTGCGTGTAGGCGTGGAGTTGTGCTGAACTTTGGATGCGACCGTGAACTCGCTGATCTCGCGGGATGCGCAGAATCGTCGAAATCGTACGAAAACGCAGGATTGGGCAGAGTTCGCCGTGCTAAAAGGCGCGCCGCGTCATCATCAGCTGCCATAGGCTGCATCCTGTTGAGGCTCTGTGCCGGTGCTGACGCCGACGCCGACGTTAGCTGCGATGCAGTGTAGTGCCGAGTATGCTGAGGAAACAATGAGAACCTCGGGGTGGGTTCTGATCTGGTCGGCGTTGAGACACGGCTAGAATAGCACGAGCTTGAGTTCGATGGATTGGGGCTACCTAGCAAAGCCATATGTTCGAAGGGCCCGGATACGTCTGCCATAGCAGTGTTCGACAGGCGCGCCTGTGTTGGTGGCTCGACTGGAGATGGGACGAAGCACATAGCGCTCTGCAAACTGACTATGTCAAAAACCCCGTCCGAGTCGCTGTCATAGAGTGTTCCTGATACACTCATAGCTCTGGTGTGGCTCGACTCTATCACGCTGGGTGTATTTTGAAGGAGTTGAAGGGTCGCGACAGGTGGCGGCAGAAATGGGCTGATCGGTGTAGGGCTCGGAATACGTGGCGACACTATCGAAACCCGCTCAGGCTCCCTGATAAGACTATTGAAAGATTTCGGTGACTCAAATCGGATGTTCGCTTCTCTTTTGCGCAGCCGATTTGGCGACCGGCGAGGTGGAGGACTACGTCTGGATCTCGCAGTCCAGCTCCGCGTCGAGTACGACCGCCAGATATTTCCCTGCATGCTCTTGAAGAAGGGTACCATATACGGGATGCAGGCAGTGCAGATACTGACACTCACGTGCACTTGGGTGCATATGGTAGAAATCCAGAGGTCGTACTCGGGGGTCCCGTGAGGTGTGACTCGATATAGGTAGATTGCGCGGACCAAAGCAGCTGATACCACTAGCAGTCGCGGCGCAAAACAAGCTACAACTGCGAGCTTCCTGGACATGCGGACTCGGAGGTGTGCCACCAAGTCTACGGAGAGCATGACGATGAATAGCTCTGTAGACATGTCAATCGCGCAATAGGCAACCCAAAAGATTCGCTAGAGCTATTAGCAGGCTACATATGACGAAGGAGATATATTGCGTACTGTGTTGAAGCAATTTAGTGTCATCATCTCCCAAGGTCTTGGGAGTTTACACTGAAGTGCGACGGCTGTGACTGATGCCACGCTCCAAGCGATGATGCAAACACCGAAGCCGCAGACAAAGAAGCGATGGGTGCGCACTACAACCACATTATAAAACAGTACGATGATAGAAAGCTTTGAAAAGCATAGTGAAAGGATGTAGAGAAGCTCGGAAGCATAGTGCCCTTTCATGATATTGTTGGCTCGATCGACGGACAGGAAGTCAAGTACACCAAGGCCTTTAGATGTGAGGATTAGTGTGGTGACTGACAGACCGATCGCGAATATCTGTCAAAATTAGATAAACCTCAGTATCTTAGAGAAGTTACTTACAGTCGCTAAAAGAATGAATAAATCGTCAAGCGCCACCTTGCGAAAGACAATAGCTTTCATGATCTGACGAGCAATGAAGAAAACAACAAATGCTCCAGTGAGAACGTATGTCACCATCTCAATCTTGCCCGATCGATCCTCTCGTGAGCCCGCGGTACGAGGACCCATCTTACAGAGGTGTTATGCTGAGTCAAGGAAAGAACAGTCTTTCAAGAGCTTGGTGGGGTCTGAGGAAAGCGATCGCTTTCTCGAGTACTATCGTGAAGTGCATAGTAGAGAGAAAGGGCGAGCAACGTGGGGATCTGCGGGTAACTTGTCAGCAGCAACAGAGTAAGCAGATCTACTGTGCTAATACAAGTAGATCTATCGTTAGAAACATTCGGCAGCCTGACTATGGTCAACTTTGGCCATGCAATCCCGATCGCCGTCTAAGCAAAAAGCTGCGCTTTCCTTCCCGAAAGTAGTTTTATGGTGGTGCCTGACGCCGAAAAACCCCATATAGAAGACGCCTCGGGATCTAAATTCGGGGCAGTGAGCATCCGGGGCAAAGCTTAGTACTGAGCCGGCGTTGGAAATGACGGTTCCAAATGTTTTCGCAGCATCACACTACAGTCGCAGAAACCCGCGCACACCAAACATTTACCTGAATCTATCATAGTATTCAGGATTCCATCAGAATCACGTCTCTAGAGTTATTTCGTGAAGAGGATGCTCTATCATAGCCAGTCCGTGAAGCGCGGCGTTCAAAGCTGGTCAGACGCATGTTCGGAGACCGAATAAAGAGGCTGAGCAGCTGCCGAGGCTCGACGTCTACAAATGCTCCTCATACTAAGCAGACGTGACACACGAACAAAGTACACTCCGATCGTGTCGTATCTTGATGGTGAACCGCAGTTATGTGTGGATGTTGGAGCAGTGCTTGCATTGCTCGTGTACCTATGTGTCGCGGTGGGGGTGCCAAGGGCTTCGGTTGTGTGCCCCTCATGGTAAGTTACCGAGCTCCACCTCGGAACTTTGTGCGCCTTGGCATCCGGGTAGCAATATCTTCGCGGCTTAAACTCTATTTGTTCATCTTTCTGACTATGCGTTGCACGCGCAATTGGTTTACGTTGTGGCCGTTTCTCGCCTGGACGGTCTCCACGGCGGACTCGCCCAGTGATGGTCAATCATTGCCTGCATGTGAAGCATCTGCCTTATTGAAGGGACTTCAAGAACATGTGGCTGCGTCTGGGATTGAAATCCTCTCAGCGACAGCGGCGCCGCAGCACGATTTTACAAGCATCAAAGGCGGTCCCCTCCAGCCAGCTTTGACAGGGTTGAACTTCTGCCAAGTCAAAGTACACATCACGCATCAAGGTACCAACGACACAGTCTTGATCGAGGTATGGCTTCCATTGACCCACGATGAATGGAACGAGCGGTTTCAGGCCACGGGAGGCGCAGGCTTCGAAACAGGCATGTTTGGCGGACACCTTGGACAAGCTGTCCAAGATGGCTGGGCAGCTGCATCAACAGACGGCGGTTCTGGCAGCGATGACCTTTCCAGAGTAAAAGATGGAAGATGGGCATTGAAAGACAGTGTCACCGGTTCCCTTGATTGGAACTTGCTACACAATTTCGCTTCACGCAGCCTTGTTGATCAAATCGACATTGGCAAAGTCATCACCAAACTCTACTACGGCAAAGCACCTCATCACTCTTACTGGAACGGGTGTTCTACAGGCGGAAGACAAGGACACATGCTCGCACAAAAGTATCCACACCTCGTCGACGGGATCCTTGCCAATGCGCCTGCGCTCAACTTTGTCAATCTTGTCACCGGCGAGTTCTGGCCTCAGCTTGTGATGAAGCAGCAACAAACATACCTATCGAACTGCGAATTTGAACACTTCAGAAACAGGGCGATGGAACAGTGCGATGAGCTGGATGGTGTGTGGAACGGCATAATCGAAGATCCTGAAGAGTGTGAATTTGATCCGTTTGCCGTAGTGGGCGACGAGATTCAGTGCGACGGCAAACACGCTGACATCACCCTGGAGATGGCAACGGTAGTCGAGCACATTATCAAAGGGCCGAAACAAGTGCCATGGGGCCCAATTTTTCACGGCGTCAGCCCTGGCATTCAGCTCCAGCACCTGGCGAACATCACCACATCAAAAGATGGTACCAGGTTGCAAAATCCACATGGCATTTGTGAAAGCTGGATGAAAAACATTGTACTAAGGAACCCTTCTGCCCAACTTGAACACCTCGACATCACTTCGTACTTTGGACATTGGGCTCAGGCAAACTATGAGCTCGGCGGCCTCCTCAACTCTGCTGATCCGGACTTGTCTTTGCTCAAAGCGTCAGGTACCAAGATGCTTACATGGCATGGCATCGATGATCCTGTTATTCCTTTTCAGAACACCGTGGACTACCGAAGAAGGGTAGAAGGCACCATGGGAGGTGCGCATGCAGTTGATCAGTTTTATCGCCTATTTCTTGCATCAGGCGTCGGACACTGTGGTAACGGAATAGGTCCTATTCCTACTTCTGCTCTTACGACTCTTGTCGATTGGGTCGAGAAAGGCGATGTGCCTGAGACACTTGCAGCCGAGACATCAAATGCTAGAGGAGAGCCAATCACTAGGGATCTCTGTATATTCCCTGGCAAGGCAAAGTATATGGGTATTGGCGACCCCGAGAGAGCTTCGAGCTGGAGTTGTGTAGGTGGAACCGAAAGACCCGAGTTGTTGCAACAAGAAGACCAAGCTAGTGAGCGTGTTGACCGCATATTAGGTGGGCTTGTAGATCGCTTTCAAGGCTTGGGATTGGGATTGAATTTTGGCTGACGATCCTACATCCTCCAACAACAACCTCGTTCAACACAACCTCGAATTTCTAACTCTCAAACCAATTCCATATTGGTTTCCACTTCAATCTTGACTTTTACGCCTCTACTTGGCTTCTATCGCATTATCGCGTCTCCACGGCCGATCTTCTTGATACCTACCATCGCGAGCATATCGGTCCTTAAGCATACTCACAATATCTAACAACTTCGCTGATTGACTGATTGACACAAGCTCAGCTGTGCTGTCGAGCCAGGAGTCGTGAAACATTGGGCTACCTAGGTAGGATTTGGTAGTGTTTCAGCTTTCGGCCCGCACGGTGGCTCCCGAACTCCGAGAGCCTCACAACCAATTGCGCCATGTGGAACGGATGAGCCTCTTTCCAGGTCGCTCCTCTTTTTAGACACGCGAACCTCAACAGCGCTGATGAGGATACGTTGACCGCCAGACCGCCAGATCGTCGTCAGCAATGGTCAGCAACCTGTCCGCACGCCGACAGCGGTATGCACACTGCTTACGACGCATTGCGCAGCGCAAACCGGCCTTCATGCAGATCAGAGGTTCAAACTCATTCAGCAGCCACAGCTTCTCTGGAACGGTTGCATCCGTGAAACATCGCCAGAGGCGGTGCAGATTCAGCCAGATCGACTCCTAGATCATCGCCTTCCTGTCTCCACCCAAAACTTTATCATCGCTAGCGCACGACCTGTGAAAAGCTTGTGTGAGCTTAGCTATTCAGATCTTGCGCCGCATTGGGCAAAATGGTGACGAGGCTTGTGGGTCAGACTTCTCCAGTCACAGTATCCACATGTTTCTCGATTTGACAACACTTGGTACGTCTTGGTACATGTGTACTCACATCACGGGTATATGAATAGCCATGGACATGCATGCTGTTAGAAGGCAGGCAGTTTGAACTCCGCTGCTCCTGTCACCTTGCTGGCTCAAGGTCCGAACCAAGACCAGTCTTTACCTTGGCCCAGCTGTTGTTTCCAAGCTCTTGGTTCCTTTCTGCGATACGAAGTCTTAATTCACGATTTACGACATGAACGCCTCAGCAACGATCCGTGCCTCCTACGTACGAGCCACGAGGATGAGCATGATGCCCCCAGCTCGTAATATTCCCGTTCTCAACCCTGTCGCGGACCTCGAATCGCGTCCAGCAATTAGCGAGAAACTTGCCAACTTCGTGCCTGTCGACCATCTTGAGCACCGTGAGAAATGCGATATCGAACGTGCCAAAGTTTACGTCTACGACGAGCCGTCATACCTAGACTGGGGCGATGAAGATGAATCTTTTGCCACACGCGTCAAGAAGATGTACACAGTTTTCCCGTACCGGGATCCCATTTGGCTGGTCGCAGTCGTCTTTGCAGTCGGAAGTGTCGATCTCGTCATCAACGCGTTTTTCGATTTACTCCCGCAACTTGATCCCAAGTTGCAATTCGAAACCAACGAGACTATTGCCATACCAACCACTGTCCTAATTGGATCTGTATTCTTCTTCGTAGCAGGCATATTCGACACCTTCGGAGCTTTGAACGCTGACCGCGGCACTCTCGACACCAATAAGGAGACCCAGAAAGTCACATACAGACCCGCACTCTTGGGGTCGCCGGAATTCAAATGGATTCCCTCATGGATCAAGCTTTGGGATCTGACTATGACAAATCTGGCCTTTCAAGCCGGCCTTATCGTGCTCTTTGGTGGTGTCATCTTCATGTTCGCGGGTATCGTTGATTTCCCGGAACTGATTTCGGAAGAAGCGCCTCTTTTCGCAACAATTGTGTTCGGCCCTCAAGTAATCCATGGCGCGCTGTTCATGGTTGCAAACGCAATGCTGGCATACTCGGAACAGGAAAGATGGTACAAGCCCATGTGGCAGGATGCGGACTGGCAAGGTGCTTTCTTAAACACGATTGGGGGCTTTGGTTTTATGATGGCGGGATTGTTTCTGTTCCAGGAGGACAAGCTCGCCGCAGCTATTTCAGCGTTGTTGGGGAGCTGGGCTTTCTTGTTTGGGAGCATGATCAGGTGGTATGTAGTGATGGAGATTTTTTAGGCACTGGTGCAGTATACGCATGACTGCTTGTCACTCACAAGATTGATGTTCGCATGGTGCAGGGAGCGGTAATGTTAATATGTAAGCAAATGTCTCTGTAAGGTCCAAAGCGACCACAATGCCATCCTGCCCCGTTCGAGAGTTGCCTAGGTAACTTTCTGTGACTGCTTGATGAAGACCTTACAGCATGGTGTATGTTATTTAGTTCAAAATTATCATACACTTTCTTGGAACACCCACACAAAAACGCGTCAAAGCTCAATTGTCGCAACAGGCCGCTAGAGCTGAGCTCAATCCTCCAAACACATGTCCTGATGTAACTCTTTTACACTCTCGATGTCCTTACATCTAAGTAACTCCTCGATGACTGATCGCCCAAAGTGCGTGTTCTCGCCGCCTTTGACCATGCCTTCAATGATCGGATCAGCTTTGAATGCTATGTCCTCAGCAAGCTCAACGGGAATATCCTTCTTAGCGAGTGCCTTCCGTATCAGAACGTCGGCGAGGTTACTCTTTCCTTGCTTTACAGCACACCAGATTTGTTCCGCTGCTGATAGTCCTCCCAAATATCGGCTCGCATTCGATGCGAGGTATGCAAACATCAGCTCGGGATCCTTGGATCTCGTTACGATATTCAACGCATCTATTGCAAAGAGACGCGCGTACTCTAGACCTTTCGGAGGTTCCTCTAGGATACTGATGACTAACCAGTGCGACCTGTGCTCCTCGTCCCCCTGTTCTGGCTCGTCACCCAACTCACAGTTCTTCCACCGGTCTTCGCCCATTTGGGCGAGTCGCAACAGATAGAACAGTCGAAGAGAGTGCTCGGGGTTTGGATAAATAGTCAAATGAGCGTCTTTGTAGAAAGGCATCCAGTAGTCGAGTCCATGGGAGTCGAACAGAGTTGAGAAAACCTCGGTCGCGAACAGTGGTTCGATGAGCTTCGTATCAAAGGCGGCGACCATGTCCTTGAACAACTCTCGACGTGACAGAACATCAGTTCCAGTACATTCTCCCATCAATAGACTAACAGAATTGTCTATCAGTGCTGAGAGAAGACATGGACTCTGCTCGGCGCTTTCCATTCGAGCTATCAGGTAAGGTTGTAGAAGATCCACTGGTAAGGGCCGTACCTCCACGTTGACTGTCCTAAATGTGAATCCCACATACCCACCAATAATACAGGTTCGTCCCCTCTTTGGATACGGCAGACCTGTATCATCATCACTCGGAGCGTGACGTTTACGCCAATGAACCACTTGATGAGTCGCCAGCTGTAGACGCAATTCTACTCTGTTCAACTCCAGAAGCTTTCGAGTATTGGCTGGATAGATTTCTTTGGAGCTCATGAGAACTCTCAGCACTTCCTCATTCATCATGCCTAAGACACGTAAGCAATCCATCTGTGAAACGCAATAGACTGGAAGGCTGGCTTACGGGAAACGAAACGCAACGCTAAAGTATCTTTGAGGTCACCAAGAAGGTCGACTTGCTCGACCATTTGGGCAACGATCTCGAGTGGGAAGCGCATGTTTGCTTTGGTAGGTAGCAATCGTGCTGGCAACTACGCATGGAACTAAGAACTTCTGAGACCGGATTTGGACAAAATAAGCCAATAGGCTGAGCGGTGTCGCAGAGTCACGGGACTGAGTTTATTGTGTTGTGAGCGATAGTAAAGTACTGTTGGGGGTGCAGCGTGTTATATACATATGAGCCGTATGACCACGTGATTCACTCCTCGGATGATGTGCCAGAAGATACTGACCGGGATGAGATATACGCAATAGTCTGCTCGTTGCGACACTCAACAGCTCGCATTGCCCATTAGTACAATTTCATTCCATGTTCCTGGAAAGTAACTAAGCTCAGACTTAGCCGACAAGTTTCCAACAAATCAGGTAGGCGCTCGTCCACGCTTACACTCGCCTGGTGTCAGACCGACGGCCAAGGTAGAGAGAGATGTGATGACTCTACCTAGATCCCATTATGACGAATATCCTGATACTTTTGTTATTGATAATCTGAATGCTTCCTTGGCTTCACGAACATCGCTCGTGATCTATCTGTCTGCGCTGACCTGATCTCATGATAGAGTGACCGGCCCGATGTCAAAGCACCTATCTCACCTCTTGATAGAGTACCCTTGAGCTGAGATACCTGAAAGAGAAGATAGCACATGGCCAGGAATAATACACATTGGAGGAAAAGAGGGAAAGAGAGTGCTCTGATTCATGTCGCAGAGGAGGTGTCAAGTCGTGTGTTCGCAAATCGACGAAGCATCATATCGACGCCCAATCTTGATTCTCTTTGCTGAAGTTGATACTGACATGGATAAATATACCTTGAAAGACCTGATCATCCTCATGATCTCTCCTTCACCCCCTCACAGCGAGCATCAGACTAACTCCATATTCGATCTGGAGGCGAGCCTACCGTACAGAGGCTTGTGTGTGTGTCCAAATGATTTGATGTTCGCGATGAGAATGTAGCAGATGCTTATACTAACGAAAAAAAATATGGGAGACAGGATACACCGGCAAGTATGGGGTCAGTCACTAAGGTCCAGTGCCTTAGTTCCTTGCTTTTTCTCAACGTATGTGAACACTGCCAGCATTACGACAAACAACTCTATTAGGTCGATAATGAAAACTTCATTCCAGTTTCACTCAGCCGGTGCCAGGTGCTTAGATGCTGGGCATGTTCTACCCTGATATCGATAGGTCGGCGGGAACGTGTTTGCGTGCACACTGGTAAGGTAGCGAAAGTGCATGCTGGGGCGAGCTCTGAAGTATCGACTTGATTGCGATGGCTATCACGAGTTATATCTCCTTTACAGCATCGTGAACAAACGTAGCAGCCGCTTCTGTGGTGTTGAGTCGTCAAAATCTTTGCTCCCCTGTCGTAGTGCAGGAAGTGGCAACGACGCCCACGTGGCAATTACGCTGCAAGACTATCGGAGATCCGAGATCAATCGTAGCCGTACGCGCCAGAGTTTTGCGCCATCGAGCAAGTCTAATGCTGCTGTGAGTAGGACTGTTCACCGGTTGTTGCATCAAGGGTCGAATGGAAAGCTAGGCTCAAAGGGGCATGGCTGTCTCGCTTCGCACGTCATCCCTGTCTGCGCAAAATCGTGAGGGTCACCAGCTGAAACAACATGAGCACCTAGGACGCGCACTCACGTGAATTAAAGTACGAATTCGAGCATCGAAGTGATCAACAGCCTCCACCTCTCCCGCCGAAGTTCATCCAAACCACTCCCAACCATGGCCTCTCCGACTAGCGTCCCGACCGGTACAGCACCGCAAGATCCCAAACACCGACCCCCCTAACTAAATCCACCAGAACTCCAACCCGAAGCTTCGTCTTCGAGCAAAGCGCCTGAGCCCTGCGCACAATGCAGCAAAACCGACGCCTCGCTCAAGCCATGCAACAAATGTCACACCACAGCCTACTGCAGCAAAGACTGCCAAAAGGCGCACTTCAAGACGCACAAGAAAGTGTGCGCCGCGCTGGCACAGGAGTACGTCAAGAACAACGAGCCCAAAATGGCGAGCAGAGCGGCGTCGAAATCTAACGACAGAAACACCGGGTTCAAGAAATGGGAGGTATGTTGCGGTGACTGTGCATTTGTGGGTGATGCGGGTGCTGACGAAGACAGTTTGACACGTGAGCGTGCGACAGGCGTGGAGGCAAGGAGCATGGATCAAGAGTCTCTGTGGGCTCAAAATTCTATGGTCGAGAGTTCTTATGGTTTGGAGTTCCGCTCCGCTCCGCTGCGCTGCGGTATTGCGACATGGGGCGCAAGCACAGAGCCTCACTCGGCAAAACGGCACGATGCATGAGCATGCATGCGGCAGAGACGGCAGGTGGGCGGCGTTTCGCATCGCGAATCTGTTCTCCGCCGTCAGGAAGCATGCCTGTCCTGGAATGAGAGAAATAAAGATCGCCGCCGCGAGGCTGGCCATTCAGTGATCCGAATGCTGTGTCCTGATGCCCGACACGTGAGGTTGGTCCGAACAATGTAGGATCAGATATGTGTTATATCTGACTGTTCACACGCTGAACACTGTTTGAAGAGCATGATGCACTCCAAGGCCTGAGTAAATATGGCTGTCGACGCAGTTGTTCTGGAGCTGAACAATACGCCAGCCATTGCAACAACCGCCCGTCGACGAAGTATTGCGATAACCCTGCAAAAGAAAACATCCATGCATATCCCGCCACAAGCACACCGCAACGCCACCCTCTCCGCTCCGCCCTCATCCTCCCCTCACCTGCCCCACCCGTCCCAACCGTACGCCTAGATACCACAAACACCCCAGCACCGATCAAAAACCCTGTCCCGGCCGCCTCAACCCCACCGTCGTTTTCCGCTGCCCGTACGAGCGGAGCTTGCGAGTCGTTCAGTCGGAACCCGGCTCTGAATTGGCCCCCAGGTTCCACATACGGGTGGAGCGGGAAGGTTATCTCAACGACACCTCGCGAGATGTTGATCTGCACTACACAAATAGCGCGTGCTTACACTGACGATACCTTAACCCCAATTCCTCACCAGTACCTGGGTATGTAGCTCTTAGTGCACTGCTCTTGTCAAATCAGGCTTGCGGTGCGCCGTGCAATTAGGAGAGGTCCAGGCACACGCATCTCGCCACGTTGTAACGATTTCGAAATATTAATACAGTAAGTATGTCTCAATTAATATAGCAGAGGGGAGGTGCCAAGAGGTGAGGTGAAGGGATGCACTGTCCACATTTGTGCTTCATCAGCCACTGTGGCTCAGGCGCGGATCGAGTGGCGTGAACGGCTCGGGTCAGCAGAAATTTGCTATTGAGCGTATGTAGTGGCGACACATGAAGGGTTTGAGCGGATATCTGGAAAAGCCAAGTTCTGTCACGCCGGGATAAAAGGTGCGACGTGCAATAGTAGTGTAACAATCCCTGCAGAAGGATCGAGTTTTGCTGAAGCGTTGTGCAAACGAAAACACTTGCACATTTCACACGAAAGCTCACGTACAAAGTGTGAGAAGATGGCTGCAAGAAGTGAATTACATGCACGGCATGTGCTTTGCATTTAGTTCGGTGGTAAATATATAACAAGAATCCGCTTTCAAAGCTTCCAATGTATCGAATGCATCAAATCGTGCCAAGTTGCATCTAGCGTCTGTGATCCCATTGCGCGTTACTCTTGACGAATGTGTCGAGAGATTTCAAGAGCCATCTAGCAGGACTTGATGGCGGAGGCAGTGTATTTGCACTGAGCGGAGGGACCCTTGCTGATGGACTTGGGCTCGCTGCCGGGCTTGGTGCCCTGGAACTCCTCGCAGATGGCCTTGACAGAGGTGGCGCAGGTGCCGGAGATGGTGGCAGTTCCGCCGAAGTTGCGGTTGATACCGGCGAGAAGCTTTCCGTTCTGGGCCTGTACGAGTGTTAGATGTGGTCCTCAACTTGAAGAGAGATTGGAGGTGGCTTACCTTGACGTTCTTGATGACGACGCTGCGAGCAACAGAGTTCTTGCAGTTACCGCAAGCACGGTAGAGCTTGCCGAAGTCGTTGACCTGGAAACCGTCGATGGTGACAGTTCCCTTACCGTTGTGCTGGATGACCTTGTCGGAGGCAGACTGAGCACCGCCACCCTTGATCATGGCGTTGCCGTCACCCTTGAGGGAAAGAGCGTCCTCGCAGACGTCGACCCACCAGACGTTCTCGATAGTGCAGGATCCCTTGCAGTGGACACCCTCGACCTGGTCCTTTCCGATGATGGCGTTCTTGAGGGTACCGCCGTTCTCAATGATGAAGACGGCGTCAGCATCGCCACCCTCAGCCTGGCCAGTGCAGGACTTGCCACGGCCGTAGGTCTTCAGACCACCGTCGAAGGTGCCAGAGACAGTCTGGGCCTTCTTGAGGGTGACAGAGCCCTTGGAAGAGGGGATAGGGATGGAAGCACGCTTCTGCATGGCGAAAGCCTCAGCAGGGGCGGCAACGGCAGGGCCGGCGGCGATGGGGGCCGCGAAGGCAGCGATAGCGGCAATGATGGTGAACTTCATGTTGACGGTTGGTTGGTGGTACTTTGAAAGTTGAAAGTGGGACTTGTTGATAAGTATTTAGCGAGAATGGAAGTAGTGAGTGTGTAAAGAGAGTGGGTTGCTTCAAGCAAACGAAAGACTGTGGTAAGAGAATGAACTGCTCTTCCAATGTTGCGGGCGTCGCGACCTTTATACGCAGCCTTGCTGCCACAGTACCACGATCTGTGTAGGATTGTATCGGTGGTGGACTAGGGCCTCATGCAGGATTACAGCCCGGCGCTATGCTCCGGCATGGGACAGCTGGCCAGGGCTGAAACCAGGAAACGCTCGTATCTGGTGGAAACGTGCAGCCGAGAGCAATGTGGATCACCCGCTCCTCTCGCTACCCAAGGCCTGGCCGGGACATCTCTCCTGGGTCATTTCCTCACCGGTTGCCAAGAGCGTAATGTTGGTGGACGCTCCCGATGTTATGCTGTCTTCGTGTATCGATCCAATACAGCATCTCCATGGTACCAGGGCATACGGTCGTTTCAAACAGGCGTTTCGAGATTCTCCTCCAATCGAACCGAATCGCGGAAAATCTCCAGCATACCGCACTAATCCGCAGGCCATGTCAAGACATCTTGGCATGTTTCGGACGAAGGCTTGGCCAAGATCGTATTAAACGGCTTCCTTGACAGCTGTCAGGCTGCAGTGTCCGCATTGAGCGTGCTTGAGAGCTAAGCCCTAGATAGACACGGCTCATGTTACGATACTCGATGCGTAGATTGAAACAGTGGAGTCGAAAACGTCCATATTCTCCTAGCTCTTGCGGCGATTATTGACCCGGCCCACAAGCCTGAGTACCGCAGCAGTGTTTAAAATGGATCACCTGAGTCGAGGACTCGAGGCGAAGCACGATCGGCAAAGGGGGAGCTGGATCAAGGAGATTCGGTGAACGCTGCCAGGGTGTATTTTAAGCTTTTTGGGACAGAAGCGTCTTGTCGTCGCAGTACCGCGCAAGAAGTTGTTTACACATCACACTGTCGAGATGTCTACTTTTGAGACGATGCGAGGCCATAGTGCATCTGAAAATGCATGAGTTGACTTGGCCGCTACAGAGTTGCATGGAATCGTGGGATGATAAGCTATGACAAGCTTGATGGGGGTGGAGATTACTCTGTCGGTGAAAAGTCCAGACGTATCTGCCAAGGAGCTTTACATCTTGGCAGGTACGCGAGTCATCAAGCCCGCTTCATGAGCTGCCCCCTTCATCTTATTGCTGTACCGGTAGGTACTGCGATTTTGAATGAACGCTTCGGCGCGATTCTGGAGATTCGGCTCTCTTCTTGGACGTCATGAGAAGAGCGTGCATAGCTCTCCTGATCGCTCCGCGGGTATCGCGTCTCTCCCGAGGTCAGCAAAGGATAGGTTGGTATCATCTCGAACGGCGGTGAAGATGTACTCCACACAAAGTAGAGGCCACAGGCAGCTGGCTCAGGCTTGGGCGAATGCATTTTTACATGGTCAACAGCCCTGGCATTGAAAAGCGAGGCTCGGTCAGCTGAGTACCCCATCATCTCATCTCCACGCAAAGAGCATCCTGGTAGTATCGAAAGTACACAGCCTGTTTGAGAACTGATATGGCAATCTCAGTTCCACATCTGGCTAGCTAGGCGCAGTCTCGAATCCGTCGACTCTGCCTGCAAGCGCAGGCGGGTGATGAAATGCAGAACGTACCTTTCACTGCACAGATGATGGCAATCAACATGCTACATGTATGAACAAATTCAGCTGATCTATGTATAGCTCCCGTTATCAGTGTAACGGCGCGTACTGCCTTCGTTCTCTTTATTCCACCACACAGCAGCTGGCTTCAGGCTTGGTGTTCCACCTTCATGTATGTAATACCTGCTTGTATTGCTGGGGTGTTCGTTGCGCTGGGTTTTCTATTCTCTTCGCAGTGCGACAAGCCTTTCCTAGATTCTCGTCCATGTGCGAGTATCTGAGCGAGACGAAAGTCTTTGGATGCGCTGCGCTCGATTGTGCAATAATTCAGTTCGAGTTTAATAATCGACGACTTGCTCGGATGTGAGAAGCCGTGGATGCGCGTATCGAGTGGTGACGCAATGCCGGCCGAATGTCAAAGCTCGCTCCCGCCACTGGTAATATGCGCCACCAGAGCGTCAGCATCATCTAGTTCTACAACGCGACTGCGCTGATGCTCGATCATTGACTCTACAACAAAAAGCCTGACCTTATGCGCTTCCCCTCCTTTCCACAGTTCGTCCGCGCCTTTCACACAATCAGCAACACCACCAGCGCCTTCCTCCGTACTAACCCCGCCGGCACTCTCGGTCGCACTTTCTACAACAGCCCGCAGCGCGCTTCGATCCAGCGGTCCATGCCCAACATCCCCTTTTTAGGCGCACTCTTCGGCTCCTCCGGCAGCATGGCAGACACCACAAACTACGCCGTCTCGAAGCCAGAGGGCGAGTGGCAGGCGCAACTGTCACCCGGTACGCAGTTGCCAGTTGCACACAGAGTGACCTTGTACTAACTCGCGACAGAGCAATTTCGCGTTCTACGCAAGAAGGGCACCGAAGCTCCCGGCTCCAGCAAGCTAGACAAGCACTATCCCGATGCCGGCGTCTACTCGTGTGCGGGGTGCGACGCTCCTCTGTACAAGGCCAACCACAAGTTCGACTCGGGTTGCGGGTGGCCCGCGTTCTGGGATGCGTTCCCTAATGCTGTGGGACAAAAGCCGGACCCGGGCCTGGGTATGATGAGGACCGAGATCGTGTGCAATAATTGCGGAGGGCATCTCGGCCATATTTTTAAGGGTGAGCGCTTTGGCAACCCGAAGGATGAACGGCACTGCGTAAATGGCGTGAGCATCAACTTCTCGCCCGAGGAGTCGAAGTAAATGAGAAGACGGGATGTGGCAATAGTTTGTATACCTGATGACGAAATGAATGAATGAACGAGATGATTTGAAGAGCTTGCGAAATCGATGCAGACCAGTATATCTCATTGCTACCTGCACACTCACGGCTGCCTCTTCATGCTGCTGCTATCTGTTCTATGCCGATACCCTGCGATGTCTCCCCGACTCATCAACACAGCTCTATCGTGCAACCATCGTTGCAATCCTCATGCACATTCGCCACCGATGCAGAAATACGGGCACCTGTAACCTGAGTGTTCACAAACTCAGCTGGGAAGTTCAGCCAGGAAGTGTTTGGCAGGCTGCTGTACTTTTGTAGTAAAATAATTTGGAGTCGACCATTCTTACGTAGAATCATGCATCATTCTACGAGCTACTCTCGACCGATTAAATGCGCATTACAAAGCGTTGTACACCAGTTCTTTCTTATCAATCACTTTATAACTTACTTCCGATTTGATGGTATGCTGTAAGGTGCAACAACCCACGGAAATACTTATGTATACCTATATGCGTGACGATTGAGAGGGAGGCAAGATACACGTGCATTTCACCTCTGAGTGGGTCCTTTAAGTATACATTATTCAACTATGACAACATGCGCATGGAAACTGCTGGAAGAGCCTACGTTAGAGCCAGGTGTTGACTGACGACTTGTTGGGTGGACGGAATTTGATGATTTGTTAGGCTTCCCTCAGACGGCGACCCTGGGAAGGTGCATTAGTCGATAACGGTAGTGCTTTTCCGCGAATACCGGAGTCATACTTTTCGCCAACCACTCTATCGTTGTTCCACTCATTCTTCACTCGCAAAGCTCTCGGCGAGACCAATTCAGCTTCGTATCGGGAGCGCAGAACGCTGCAGGTGATGAGCCCAAGCTTGGACCTCGAACCCAGGGTCATTGCCTCCGGAAACAACTCCGGCTACCTTCCGCGAAATCGGGTTGTCAACACTGAGAACAGTCAAACCTCGAATGACAATGAGAGCGATGAGGGCCCCAGTCACAGCCTTCTGCCTTCGGAACTATCTCAAAAACCGCGGCAACTCCCCATAGAGACCAACGTTCGAGCCGGTACATCTCTATCGCAAATCGATGATATGGAACAAACGGAACCTGCCAAAGAGCAGCCAATAACGTGGCGCTCCCTCCCTCGCAAGGACCAGCTCTTCGTTATTACTTTGGCACGGCTGTCAGAGCCGTTGACCCAGACTTCGCTCGGATCTTATCTTTTCTACCAACTCCAGTCATTCGACAAGACATTGCCTGATGCTACTATCGCTTACCAAGCTGGCATAATCAACGCCGCATTTCCATTTGCGCAATTCCTTACTGCCATGATATGGGGTCGCGTCGCCGATTCCGAATATGGCGGTCGAAAGAGAGTGATTTACTTTGGGCTGTTGGGAACCATGTGCAGTATCATTGGCTTCGGATTCTCGCAGAGCTTCCCGATGGCGGTAGCTTGTCGATGTATCGGCGGCGTATTGAACGGCAATATCGGCGTTATGAGAACTATGATCAGCGAGATCATCAAGGAGAAAAAGTACCAGAGCAGAGCGTTCCTTATTCTGCCGATAACGTTCAATATTGGTGTCATAATTGGGCCGATACTTGGTATGTACCGATTGTATACAAACTTGACATTGATTAACACTCTAGAAGGTGGCATTCTCGCAGACCCGGTTAATACGTATCCTTCCTTGTTCGGACCTGACTCTTTTATCGGCGGCAATGATGGTGTCTCATGGATGAAGCGATGGCCATATGCGCTGCCAAACATCATGAGTGCATGTTTTCTGTTGTTCTCGGCCTTGGCTGTGATATTCTTTCTAGAAGAGACAAACGAACTTTGCACGGACAAACCGGATCTTGGCTTGCGCATTGGTAGGGTGATACGCCGCTACATTTGTTGTCAGAACACCGCGACCGAATCCGGCTACACGGCCATTCCAAATGACGACTTTGATGCTTCCAACAGCCTCGAGCTTCAGCCAACGCCGACGTCGACCCGTCCTCCATCAAGCGACAAGACTAGCAAGGTTCTCCGTCAGAAACTACCCTTCCGTCGTATCTGGACGCGGAATCTCATTCTTACCCTCCTCGCTCACGGTATAATGGCCATGCATGTGGGCGGTTTCAACACACTCTGGTTCATCTACCTCTCTGCACCACGCTTCGACCCTGCGCACCCGCATCCTCCGGCTTACAAACCACACGGCTTTGTACATTTCACTGGCGGTCTAGCGTTACCTCCAAGGCACATAGGTATTGCGTTGGCTATTCTTGGAGTTATCGGTATCTCTCTGCAGCTTTTCTTGTATCCGAAACTCTCGCACCGACTCGGTACTGCGAAGAGCTATCGTATTTTCCTAGCACTCTTCCCAGTGGCTCACACACTGGCCCCGTTCCTGAGTCGTGTACCGAGCTGGAGCGCGCCGCCAGCTGGAGTTAACGGACCATTTGTCTGGATAGCCATCATTGGAGTTCTTTTCATTCAGGTTCTTGCTCGCACATTTGCACTGCCATGCACCACAATTTTGGTCAACAACGTCAGCCCACACCCCTCGGTGCTGGGTACTGTGCATGGAATTGGGCAGTCGGTTTCAAGCCTGACAAGGACTGTTGGACCAATCATGTTCTCTTGGGCTTTTGGCAAGGGTCTGAACGTAGGGATCGTGGGCCTTGGCTGGTGGCTCATGGCAGCTGTTGCCTCGGTTGGTTTCATTGCTGCGCAGTGGGTGAGAGAAGGCGATGGGCACGAGATTCTCCTTGAAGGAGAGGTTAAGGGGAAAGATGGGGAGGTTAGCAGGATTGATTGATCGTTCTCACACCCTCAAAGTGTACGCTCGAGTCTTGCATGGCTAAGGGGCGCAAATGACTATATCTGCCTGTCGCACCCACGTGTGCGCTCAGGCTGCGAACCATTCGTTCAGACGAGCCGTGGAGGATGCAGCCAAGCCAGCCAAGAGCTGCTCGTCACGCTTGACCTCACCACCATATGGACCAAAGCGGAAGCTCGTGAATCTCATAGACGGAAAGTCGGGACCTCGCGAACAAGTCGTCCACAAAAAACCAACGTAGCGAACACGTTGGCACAAACCAATCTTGCAATGCGGGTCGCGCAAGGTTATCACTAGAAACGAACATGTTCATGCGCATTGGCATGCATGGAGAAGTTGGTGTAAAAGGCAGATATCCATTTGTAGTGTATACAAGGACCTTATAAAGGTGTCTTACGCATCAATTGGGAGCAGGAGTATTCACATGCTCACTTTTGGAAGCATTACAGCAAGATGAAGTACGCTCTCTCGATCAGCCTTGCCGGGACGCTCCTCACGCAGGGTTGCTCGGCGCTCTGGCTCTTGCCCACAGCACGTAACTTCATCTACATCGTTCCTGATGGCTATGGTCCAGCCTCTCAGACCATGGCACGAGACTACGTCTCGCTGCTGCAGAACGGTGAAAACCCCAAGGCACCAGTCTCCATCCAGCTCGCTGCAGACGGCATGGTTATTGGGAACGTCAGGACACAGGCAAGCAACAACCTGATCACAGATTCTGCGGCCAGTGCGACAGCATTTGGCTGTGGTGTCAAGACTTACAACAATGGTATGTTTATATGCCCATGGCCAGTTCCAGCATGTTGCGCCTAACATACGCTTGTAGCAATTGCTGTAGATGACGACGGTCAGCCCGTAGGCTCTATTCTCGAAGCTGCCAAGATGGAGGGCTTCAAGACCGGTCTTGTGGTGACTTCGACCATCAACCACGCCACTCCAGCTTGCTATGCTGCCCATGTCGCTGACCGCAACTCATACGAGAAGATTGCAGAGCATGAGATTGGGTACTCACACCCGCTTGGTCCACAGGTCGATATTCTTTTGGGCGGCGGACGCTGTTACTTCAAGCCCAAGTCCGACCCTACCTCGTGCCGAAAAGACGACATCGATCTCTTCGGCTACGCCAAAGGAAAAGGTTACCACATTATGCAGGACCGAAAGGCGTTCGATGAGCTGAAGAAGGGGACGGCCAAGTCGGCTGATCTACCTTACATCGGTCTCTTCAACGATGGTAAGTGCACTTGATTACATGACTCCGCGCGAAGCTGACAGACTCCAGACCAGATGATGTACGAAATCGATCGCAAGCAGGACCCTACGCAGGAACCAAGTCTACTGGAGATGGTTGAGACGGCACTGACCTCGCTCGACCGCGCCACCAAATGGAGTCTTAGGGGCTACCTACTTGTTATCGAAGCCAGCCGAATAGATCATGCTGGTCATGCCAACGACCCCGTGGGCCACCTCCACGAAACCATCATGTACAACGACGTCATGAAATATGTGCGCGAGTGGATCGACAAGCATCCCGATACCCTGATGCTCTCGGCTGCAGATCACGAATGTGGCGGTCTGACTCTCAATGGCTTCAACCCGCTCCCCCTCAAATCCGCCACCATGACCACCGAGCGCGCCGCCGCCCTCTGGAAAGCAAACAACGCCACAGATAAACGTGCATATCTGACCTCGACCATCCTTCCCGGCTATGGTCTCGCCGATCTGCCCACAACCGCCATCGACGCTCTCCTGACGTCGCGCAACTTTGCGTCTGATCTCGCCGCCCGCCTAAGCAGCAAGGCAGGCGTGAATTGGAGCACGGGCGGCCACACTGCAAGTGATGTCACGCTGTTCGGGTACGGCGCTGGCTGGCGCGGCGGGAATCTCAAAGCGGACATGGCGGGTAACTGGGACAACACGCAATTGCCGGGCTACATTGAGGGCGTGCTGAAAGTCAAGATGAGTAAGGTCACGGAGAAGTTGAGGAAAGCGGGGAGTGCGTGGGTCGGGAAGAGGGATCTGAATAGCCATGGGCATGTGCACGAGCACTGATTCGGGGATGGTGGGTGTAGTCTATTTGCAGATTCTTGTGTGCGTGTAATGGACGTGGTTTTTACGATATTCCAAACACTCGTTCTACATGCACCCTTCCGCAACCTAACTTTTGCAAGATCCTGTAAGGTCTTACAAAACCTTTATCACTGAGGAGTAGGCAGGTTTACGTCTCCCGTACGCCATCCGTGCTCCTCTGTGCCGACTTGTAAATCAACTGTGGTACAACACGGTATGTCTTTGCAACACATCTTCAACCCAATCAACAGCCAGTAAACGACCATTAGTGCCGTATTGCAAATACCAGTGGATATCATGCCCTAAACTACAAAGTGATAGCACAAATGTGGATAGTGTAACGAATTATTGACTACAATTGATGTGACGAACTCATGGTGAATGTCACTTGTCTATCATCTGTTCACAAACACGACTGCACATGGAAAAACACGCCGCGCTACAAGATCATATTTCTCGTTACAATTTGCACAAGAAATAGGTTCTATCACACTTCAATCTGTCCAGCGCTGTCAGTCCATTGCTATTCACGATTACTTGCACCGCCACTGCACCGCCACAGTATCGCCACCGCTCTCCCGGCCTACCCGGCAGCTGCAAACCCGATCTTCACTTCCCGCGAGCCATTCCACACCGTCGCGCACCATCAAAACACCGTTCCATGCAGGGCGCCCTGCATACACTCGGTACAGCGCCAGCGGTGCTCATGCCACAATTATGGACCGCAATCGTCGAATCTGCGTTCTGCGTTCCGTGGTACAATCACATGAACTCTAATCAGATGCAGCGCCAGTGGCGGAATAAGGCCAGCACGCTGACATCAGCGCACTGGGAATGGCTAGTGGCTCTTGGCGTCACGCGGGCTTGCTGAGACGAAACGTAACGTTGGTGGCCTTGTGGTATACTTTGGTTGAACTTTGGCTTTGCTAGGCTTGATCAGGTAGACGTTTGGCACACAAGTAAGACGAAGACTGTAATGTACGAAGAATTAGAGCTTTGTACGCTCTATGTAATAATGTGAATATTTGTGTGGAATAGAAGGGAGACGAGAAGATATCCAGCTACCACTGCGCCTTGGCGATACTTAGTTTCGTGTTCCTTGGGCTAATCAATGTGCTTTCCTAGCACTGCACGGTGATGATGCTTTATACAGCCTAGCATGTTCGAAGATCGCCGGTATACGGAATGCAATGCATGCAGGTACAGTAGTGCTGGGGCCCTAGAGGGGCGCGGTTGTGCCGGACGGGTGCGCGCACAACGGCGATGCAGCACGTTGCCCGGAGACGCTGACAAGCGTCGCACAGGAGTGAGCGAGGTAGCACGATGGCGCGGCGGATGGCGCCTGAAGCATCAATCGAAGACTCGTATTGGGGGTATCAACGCGACGGAGAACCCAGACCCAGAAGGGTCAAACCATGCCAAAAAAATACAGTATCGTATCGCGGAACGCCGTGCCTATGCAACGCTATGCTATGCTCCAAAATGTCGGTCTAGCACCAAATTACGACCGTATACAAATTGCACTTCGGAAATTCATTATGCGTGTAGGGGATCGTGCTCAGTGGATAACGTTTTCTTCTTGGTTGAAGACAACGCCATTCTTCTCCGCAAACAGCTTCTGAATCGGGTAGGTGATGGCGTTCATGATGTTCTCGCGATAATCGAGCTTGACAAGAGATTTCTCGAACCAGTAGTGGCGAATGAATTTGCCCTGGCAGTTGCTGACCTCGACGCCGGGGAAGCCGTTGGCCTGGCCGCATTCGAGCTCCTTGATGTACTCCTCGTAGTCATAGCGGATGTACTCGCCAAAGGCTGACTGCTCGTGGAACTTGGGTTCCTTCCACTGCGAGCAGTTGGGATAGCGCACGTCATCTGGGCATTCGTGCCATGCCTTCAGTATTGGCAAAACCTGGTCGTTGTTCTGAATGATCATGAAACCGGTGTTTGTGTAGGTGCGATTGAATCGATCGGAGTTGTACTGCGGCTCTTCAGGACTCCACGGATCTTTCGCCATGACAAAGGAGTGGTGAGGTTCCACATTCCAGTAGTTCATCATCCACTCCATGGGTAGCTGCATGAAGCGGAAAGTGGCGTCGGCGTCGAGGAAAACAATGAACTTATAGTCCTTGATCAAGTTGGCCAAAGCAGACGGCTTGATCCAGGTTGCGTGTCGATCTTCGAATTCGCTTGCGTGAACGAATTTGTAGTCATAACCGTGGATCTGAGCGTATGCGTAGTGCGCGAAAACGCCCCCAGACACGTGGTTGATATTGCGCCAGTCGTATTCGCCCTTCTCAAACATCTCAGTAGACTGTAGCGGTCTTGTGTCGAGATCGAGAATCAAAATGTCGCGACCCATTTTCTTCGTATAGCGCGGGTGCTCCGGAAGCAGAATCTTAGTGCCATTGGGCTCGCGGATGAAGGGGTCAGATGGCGCTACTTTGAGCGGCTCGTACAGAATGCGCAGGATCTCGTTGATGTCTGGTGTTTTCGCGTCGCTGGAGGTCCTGTCAGCGCTGGTCAGCAGCTACCTCTCACGCGCGAGGTTTGTCTGGAGAAGGCAGAAACGAGGCAATCGCCCCAAGAGACAGGAATCGGCAGGAGTCTGGCAAGGGCACGTACATCCCATGGAAGGGCATCCGCTCCGGCGCGGACCACGACATGAAGCCGAAAATAAAAATCACAACCATGCCGGCGCCACATGCCAGCACAAACATCGGGCTGCGGGCCCCCGTCGATGATAGCATCATCTTGGAGTCGTGTGTCCAGGTTCCTCTTCGGAGAGCTGAGAGCAGAGGAGTGACAGGAGGAAGCAGCGACGAAAGGCTGGGTGCGCAAGGGGCGGACTAAAGTCTAGTAGGCGACCCGTCGGGATTGGGACATTTTAACCCTGCTACCATACCAGTCAGCCCTAGCGGCCAAGACGTACAGCTCGTCTTGCACGACCGAAGACCCGTCGTTAAGCTCCGTTGGCTTCCCAGGGCGCCGTCTAGCGCCTGCAGCGAATGAGAGGCGCCGCCATGGCGCGACTTGTAATGAGCGACGTGGGTCCTGGATCGCACGGAATCAGCGCGGGCAGACCCATTTCATGCGCAATCGAAGAAACGGGCTCGGAAACGCTGCGTGCAATCCACAAGTTCTGCCACCAGTGCCCGTAGCCGAAGAGGCGACCCTGCAGCACCAAATGTACGCTCGCCGACGGCGCTGATGCTGGGGCTGTGCCTTTTTGGGCTGCATGGCAAAGGTCCGGGGCTTTCCAGAACTTGTGCATGACCTCGCCTGGAGAGGGGTCGGATCTAATTTCCCCGGCCATTTCGCGCCTCCTGAGTCCCTTTGATCGTCCCCACCAGCTTTGTGTCAACAAATTTGCAACTCGATCGCTGAACGGCTGCCACACTGCCACACTGCCACAGTCGGCTACTTACACCCTGTGTTTGCTGCAACATGGTAATGATAGATTGCCTCCGTAACTGCATGCCTGATCGGCAGCTAACGGCAATACCTGCCCCGTCCCGACTTGCCGCATGTAGAGCGCAGTCTGTTTGGTTTGAAGCCAGAATGTGGCGTTCTAGAATCATGTCCGCACCCGTGGAACGAGTCACGCCGCGAACTACCTGCTATCTAACAACAACAGCTGAAGAACGTCACTGTTCGCCGACACATGTCTTCGAGATCATTGACACCAGAGCCATAGGCGGCGCGTCCCTTGCGTGCTGGTCGCAGATCCCTTGCGTTGTGTTAGCGAGGTGGCAGGTGCATGGTAAGCATGTGTCTTGATGGCGTGCATCAGCAATAAACACGGTGGTACCATCTCATCCAATACACCATGAACAGACCAGTTCTACAGCTAGATATACAATACAAGCGAAAGCTTCATCTCTATCGAGACACGCACCGCGCTGTAAAAACACGCATACAAGACATGCAAGCCAAATTGGGTATCTCATCGTCTCCCTGCCGTCGCAACCCCATCACTCTTCAACCTGTCCCCTCAATCCATCTCCCCAACATCTCCGGCGCGAAGTTCGTCATGTAGCTGATGTCTGCCTCGTTCGCTCTTTGCTGCGCAATCTCTCCTAACCCACCAAGAATCGCTTCAAAGTTATCAATGTCCTCCATTTCCTCGTCCGCAACATCATCTTCCTCCGTCAATTCCTCTTCGTGCCCTTCTTCATTATCATGCGCGTCGAACATAGGCTCGTCGATCAGCAAGTCCGCTTCGGCATCAACTTCGACCTCCTCGGTATACTCGTCGAAAAACTCCATAGGCGAGAACTGATCTAGCTCCGATAACGCCGTGCTCAGGTCAGATGGCGATGGCGAGGCAGGCGGGGAAGGCAGGCGGTCTGTAGCCGCTTCGGTATCGATGTCGAGCGCGCGTAGATGCGTCTGTGTCTTCTGACCTACCAGCGCGCGCTCGAGTGAGGATAGGGTTGTGAGGACCTCCAGCGTGCCCTCGAATTCGTTGAGGAGCTTTGTGGCAAGACCGGGCGCGAACCAGACTCCCTCTAGGTTGACGCGCATTGATTGGGCGACGCTGGAGGAGAGCAGGTGATGTAGGGCGAGCGCGATTGGATGGTCCTCGCTCAGCACATTGTCGTCGACCCTGTTCGACAGCACCCTGGAGGTCCTCGATATGAGGTTGATAGTGAGGCTGGCGAGTGTGGCGCCCGTATTGGCGAGGGCCTCGATCCGCCGTGCAGAATCATGCACCCTGGAGGAGGTCAGGCACACGTTGATCGTGAGCCGCCTGAGGTACTTCAGGTACCTGTCAGGAATGGGTGGTAGAAGAGTCTCGCTCTGTGACATGAGCGAGACTTCGAAGGCGTTGTTCTGGTAGTAGTATGATGCTGCTTCGCCATGTATTAGCCTGGAGGTACCCAGGACACCGAGACTTGGCGCTGGCCCGATGAGCAGCATGTCGTAGATGCTGTTGCGCATCTCAGAAGGAAGGTCAGTGAATACGGCCATTGTGTTATGACTACAGTCGCTGAAATACTGCAGTTGTTGGAGTATTGCAGCTGTCCAAGTTTTGCAGCTGTGAGACTATTGCAGTCATCGGAATATTTCAGTTGTCGGAATATTTCAGTCGGTGTAATATCGTAGTCGGCAAATAGGTGTAGTCGCTTACAAGGGTTGCAGGTAGGTTTGAACAGAAGTTGTTGTGATCTACAGTAGGAGGCGCGAGGCATATGTACCTTCCTGCCAGGCAGTCGCTAAAAACCACACCTCAGATCCTTCGACATCGTTAACACACTCCGGTTCCTACAAGCGAACCACGATTGAAGGACTAACCTACGCCGCACAGCTATGACTCACCTGATTGGCGCAGCTTCCACCCCAGCTCCCAAAGCAGTCACGCACGCCCGTGATGTCGCGTCGTGTTCGCGGGCCGCACATCAGATGCCTACGTGTTGGCAAGGCTAAGTGGTTGCCTGGTGTCTCAGGCAGACGTTGAGCGCGTGTCTCTTGACTAGTCGCCAATAGGTGACGATGATTAGGAGTAGAGGGTCTGAAGTAAAAACGATTGAGAGTCATTTGCATGGTACCGCAGTCTTTAAAAGTGCCATTGGCCGCCAATGCGCAACGCTGCGCATGACATTCGTGATAAATTGACCTAGTTGATTCCTTACACGCTGTGCTGCAAGAGATTCAGCGTTTTGAGAACACTGTTGCGCATGAAAGGTGCTGTGGATGTGTATGGTGGGTCAGTGGCACAACCGGCGCTAGCCATATTCGTAGGTAGTCCTTCACACCTCTAAGAGATGGAAGTACGCTTCGTACTGTTTCAGAGGCAGATAGATGATTCCCACGGGATAGTGTGACTCATCCTCCACAATAGGCGGCCTCGTGCGTTGCCCTGCGCGCGTCACACTTGCATGACTCATGACCAATCAGATCACATTATCCATTTGATATCTGAACTATCAAGTTCCCCATTTTCACAGCTTGTTGGTCTTGCTCCTGACGACATCGACGAGCTCAATAGTTGGCTGCATGTATGGCTTCACCTTAGTCCTCACGTTGCTACGCTGCTCGTATGCGTACGCAAACCCGATCAGGCTCTCTTCGCTCCAATACTTGCCAGCGAAAGCAATACCGAAAGGAACGTTGGGCGCAGTGGCATTAAGATTCCCACGCGCGTTCTGGATCACTGTGGTATTTGACGGGTATGCACCCAAGGGAACGGTGATTAGTGGAGCGCCAATGATAGCGCTGATACTGGATGATGTTCGGGTAGGAAGTACGACAGCATCCAAATTGTATGTTTCAAGGGCACCGAGGATACCACCAGGGCCGCCGAGGAACAGGTCTTCCTGATACGCGGCCCAGAACTGAGCATCTGTGTTGGTGAAGTTCAGAGCCAGGGAGGAATCAAAGACAGCGGTGTCGCGACTGGGGTACTCTTCCGCCGGGAATGTCTGCGTAAAGTTCCGTACTTCTTTGAGATCACTGACATTATTGGGGTTGTATGTCAGCTGTGCAAGGTATGCAGCAAGATTGGGTCCGAAGTCGCCAGAGAGGACCGTATCCTCTGCAGTGGAGTTCAAGTATTGGGCGTAGGCGGTGTAGTTCGTGTTGTCTACAATGATTGCGCCAGCTTCCTGCAATATAGCAACGGCAGATTCGAACGCATCAAATACTGGTGCGGAAACAACAGTACGTCTACCGAGTGCGTTACGAGGAATGCCAATGCGCTTGCCAACGAGTGCATCTAGCTTACAGGCTGCAACATAGTCCGGCTTGGTGGTATTGGTAGCGTTCAAGGCCCATGGAATAGCGGATGTGTAGTTATCGTACGGATCAGGTCCAGCAATTGCTTGTAGGATGTACGCGGCGTCTTTGACGGTGCGTGCCATGGGTCCAACGGAATCTTGGTGTTCTGAAATGGGGATGACCAGAGCTCTGCTCGTAAGACCGACCTAAAGTAGCATTAGTCTTGATCTGCTACTTTGTGAAGATCGTCTTACAGTAGGCTTAATGCCAACAATGTTGTTCAGCTGACTTGGCGATACAATACTGCCATCAGTCTCAGTGCCCAGAGTGCCGAAAGCCAACCCCAGACTGGCCGCTACACCACTACCGCTGCTGCTGCCACTAGGATCTTGGCCAGGATAGTAAGCAGCATACGTCTGACCACCGTAGGCAGACCAGCCATTGGAAGAGTTTGCAGATCGATAGTTAGCCCACTGGGACAGGTTGGTTTTGCCGAGAATGATTGCGCCAGCAGCGCGAAGTTTGGAAGCAACGGTAGCATCACGAGGGACCTTGGCTCCGAGCAAAGAGAACGATCCAGCGGTGTTGTTCATCTCGTCTGCAGTCGCGATGTTGTTCTTGATAAGGATTGGGAGGCCGTGAAGAGGACTAGATACGGGTTAGTACTGCGTTCAAATACACAGAAAGTTCCACTTACCCCCGGATCTTGCCACACGAGCGCTCTTCGTCAAGTTCCTTCGCAATTGTCCAAGCATCCGGATTGATCTCAGTGACCATGTGTAGGGTTGCATTGACTTCGAGAATGCGCCCGACATACGCCTTGCGAAGTCAGTACACTGCACCAGGAAGAATTGCAGGGACATTGGCTTACATCGACCAGATCCAGGCTTGTGAAACCACCTGTCTCGAGTCCAGAGATCAACTCGTCTGCAGTCGCGTCCAAAAGCTTGGGGAAGACTGGATCTGTGGTATACTGTGCAACGATACTAGTCAGAGGTGTGAAGGCCACTAAGAGCTTCACGATAAACCAAGCTGAGACCATGATGCCGACCGTGAAATACGCCGTTTGCTTCAGGGGAAAGGCGTTTAGTGGTTGAATAGCCAAAACCCTTTTGTTGCGGTCTGTGCAAAGACTCTTATAGCTGCGCTCGTTGTCACTGCGAGTACCATCCGCGGGAGGTTGCCGGCCTGTATGCGTCATACAAGGATGATGTAGGTTTGTCTTCCCGCGATGGCGGAGATGCGTAGATCTGCGCGATAAGGAAGGCTAGAGCTGCTGTTCACCTTTCGTCTTTGGCGTTCAACCTTGGTACATATGCATGCAATACTATAAGAGTTTATGCCGGTCGGCTTGTCACTCGTACAACATCAAGTTCTTGTTGTGAGATGCACCGAAACATCTGCGTAACATGCGCATCTTGACAGGATACACGACAGCATCATGACACTATTAGTCGACCAAACGAGTCTCAGTTGCCGTGGTGTTAGTCAACATTCAAGCACCCGGTCGTTCATCGAGGTCGAGATGCATGTCGCGCTAAGAAAGAATAGGAAGGTGCGATGAGCGCACATCTGAGATCAGTCCGCAGCACGTCGGACATTGGTCGATAGCTGCGGGCACATATCGACATCTTGGCGCGCATTTCGATGATGTCGATACCCGCTGTTTGATGCGATAGTGACCTGCCGCATGGGGTCGTAATATTGACAAGGTAGTAGAACTGAGAGTAAGGCTGCGGTGTGTACCAGAAAGTTCTTGTTAGTATATTTGTAATGCTTTGAAGTTCTGATGCTTCAAGTCTATCAGTCTATGTTGTGACACTTGTTGCCAAAGATCGTGTCACTTGCTCAGTCGAAGTAGCCGGGGAACAGCCATTGCAGCTTCTTCTGAGTTTCCTGCCCACGGGCTTCCTTCTTGGTCATGGACCCAGCAAATTTGGTCTGGTTCACGAGGTGCTTGCCCTGGACCAATTGGGTGTGCTCTTCCTTGCTGAGTTCATCCAGGACTGCACCAACAAAGCGCTTCGCATTGTCGGCGTTAGCCTTCATGTGGCCCATAACCATCTCAACGTTGACGTCCTCGCCCTCAGTGCCCCTCCAGCAGTCGTAGTCAGTCGCCATGCAGATCATCTGGTAGGCAATTTCAGCCTCTCGCGCCAGCTTAGCCTCGGGCAGCGCAGACATATTAATGACGGTGCCGCCCCAGCTGCGGTACATGTGGGACTCTGCGCGGGTGCTGAACTGTGGGCCCTCCATGCAGATGACGGTGCCCTTGTCGTGCAGCGTGACGCCCTCGCCCTCCAAGCTGTGGCCACATTTGCGAACGATCTCGGCCAACTTGGTATCGAAGGGGTCGCCAAAGCCAACGTGGCCAACCATGCCCTTCTCGAAGTATGTGAACGGGCGAATACCCTTGGTGCGGTCGATGACTTGGTCAGGGACTACGAAGTCACGCGGGTGGACTTCCTCCTGCAGCGAGCCGACGGCGGAGAAGGCAATGATGGTGCGCACACCGAGATGGCGCAGCGCAGCGATATTGGCCTGGTTCTTGACCTCATGGGGCGCAAGCTCGTGAGAGAGACCGTGGCGTGAGAGGAAGGCGACGGGGACGTTCTTGCCGGTCGACGGGGAGGGGTGGTGCAGGATGCTGATGGGCGACGACGGCTTGCCCCATGGTGTCTCAACGTCGAGAGTGGCAGCGAGCGTGAAGCCGGGCAGTGACTGAATGCCAGTGCCGCCAATCACGGCGATGTGAACGGGCGCTGAGGTTGTGTCAGCTTGGTGGACGCGGGGCGCAGTGGGGAAGCAGCGCACCATCGTAGGTGCTGGGAACGCCGGCCATTTTGCGGTATGGTATGGAGATGCTGCGAAAGAAGGTACGAGGAAGGCTACGGAGAGAAGGAACACTGAATAGAGGCCTGACGCGCTGCAACATCTACTATCGCGCAAAGAGACGCGCGATAAACATTTTCTCTGCCGAGGAGGGGCTCCCCGCCGAGATGCTGAACCCTGATGACGATGGCGTCAGTCGTCCAATCAAGCGCGTGCTTGAGCGCGATGCCACCACGCTCTACACTCTCAGCACTAATTGGCAGCATGCATGCATTACAACTATCGGCCACTTAAGCATTGAGAATTGCTTAATCAGGCTCATTAACGTCTTCCGCATTATACATCAGAGCATCACATACAATCATAGGTATTGTAAATGACCTCTCTTGCATTTTATGAACGGTTGATCTGCAGAGAGCCAATAGTTCCTCCAGAATATTGCGGGTCATGCGCCGAATATATACAAGAACCCCCGGACCGCCAAGAGAGTGACTAAATACACAGACTCCCCTTACCTTCCAAGTCAAAGTTGCGACCCCTCATTCAAAAGTCGTCTAGCAGGCCTTGGTGAAGCCAGTGGTCGTGCAGTAAGTGCCATCGGGTCCGGAACCGATCTTGCTGCTGCTACCGTTGCCCTTGATCACACCCTTGTAACGATCACAGCTCTTGTTGTTGCTTTGGCATGAGTTGATGATCTTGCATGTGTCGCCGTAGTTGGTGTTGATGCCGCAGAGCACGCCGCCATCCCGCGCAGTCACACCCTCGATGATGATGTTGCGAGGTCCGCCGTTGGCGGTGCAGTCGCCGCAGCTGCGGATGACCTTGCCGTAGTCCTCAGCGTAGAAGTTCTTGATGCTGACTGTGCCGCGGCCGTTGAACTGGAAGATCTTGTCGGCGGCGCCTGGGTAGAGTTAGTGTGCGTAGTGGGAACGATAACGTGTAGGCTTACCCTTTGCTCCACCGCCGATGACATAGCTAGTCTTGCCTGCGGGCTGCTTGAATGTAGCTGCGTCCTCGCAGACATCCTCCCACCATACGTTCTCGAGCGTGCATGCCCCACGGCAATGAATACCCTCAGCCTGTGCCTTGGAGAGGATTACGTTCTTGATTGTTGCGCCATCTTCAGCAATGAACATGGCAGCGGCTTCGTCTGTTTCGGTCTGGTCCTGGCAGGTATCAGGGGAGCGACTATAGCGAACCATCTTGCCATCGAAGGTAGTGCCGGCAGGAATGATCTTTGCTGAGGGGAGGCCGGTTGAGGAAGCCGGTGTGGGGAAAGCAGTCGCGGTGGGCGCCGCGAGGGTGGTACCCAGGAAGATGGCAAGAGCTGCGAGCGTGGCCTTCATATTGAGGTTGTTCTGGTGCTGGAGAGGCTGTGGAAGTTGCTGGAGCTGATGATGAGAACGCACTTTGGAATGGCGCAATGGTCATTCTTATACTGTTCATCCCCACTGTCGTTCATACCATCTTGTTACCTCTTCTCTTGGCTGGTGTTTTGTGAAGATGATGATTACCATTTCCCCATTCGTGGAACGAAGGGCATCGTTCGTCAAGCCTAATTTCCTCCAATCGTGGGTCTCTTTGCGGTTGTTACCTGGCTCCCTACGCGTTGTTCTACCATCGCAACGTTCGTATATATCACAGTGGCTCTCTGTCAGTGATTTATGTCTTTTGTGTTGTTCCTCCAATGGCAGTCTCACGGCTTTTAGTGCGACGACCCGTAAAGTCAAGCTGGATTTGGTTACGCCCAGATCGGTTTATTGTTGGTGAGGCTGAAGCTTTCGGAGCAAATCAAGCGTTTGCAGGATCGCCACACATCGTGGCGAAGGATGAATCGCATGACCCGCAGAAGCCATTCGAATGCGCTCAGCTCGATTGGGAAATGATTCAATCATGTTCGAAGCTCTGGTTGGCCGGCAAAGTACATGCCAAGATATTTTGATGTAGCAGAGGGTCAGGCCCGCTCTTCAAGGATGGTCGGGGCAATTTATGATTGTTAGACTTCCAAGACGGTACCCCGCAAAGATTTTCCGGGGTTTATAGAGTGCAGGTGCTTGAGGGAAGGCACATGACCAGTGTTGGTAGCGCATCTGGTGAAGACAACGGCGCACACAGACTGTGCTACCAACGCTCTCTTGTCGTTTCTGATTTTCTGGGCAAGATGTGGGGTTCTTCTCTTAGCTAGCAGGTGGCTGGACTTGGGGGCGTATCTCAGCAACTCACTTGTGTCTTGCCAGAGTAGCTGCGAAGCACTGTGATGAATATGACTCTGATTGTGCTGTGTTCCAACAAATGTTAAAGAAGATGAGTGCTGGTATGTACCTAAATAAACAAAGTGTTGTTAAAGACAGACGACGGTGACTGTCCGACGTAGCAACGATTAGTCAGCTAAACACAGCCGCTAGTGCCGCCCAACGCGGTCTTTCCTTCTCCTTTTATCAACGCCTATACCCACGTTGGGTTTCATCGTTCGTTTTGCCATCATCTCTGTATCTGTTCTCGCAATATCACGTGGGATGCCTTTGTTTCAATATCAGCCATGTTACTGACGTCTAGGTACGGGCAGCTATCTCTGGGCCCTAGGTATGATGAGGCAGAGTCGGCGGTTTTCGTAACGCGGGTCAGGTGCATCAGAATGTTTGGTCAACAGATGATCACAACACCTAAAGCTGCCACTGGAAGCTCGCTTACAAGCTTACCTGCACTCAACGGCGGCGGACGTCCTCCGATTTGAGTGCCTAGATCCCTTGTGTCGGTCTTCAAAACGATCAGCAACCGTTCCGCGCTTCGTGTTTGCTGCATGTCAACCTTGGGGATCTACCTTCTAATCTCGTGTTTCCTTCGCTTCTCGTGCGTCATATCGAACTTTGCGTGGCTTGGCTCCGAGTGCCAAAGTCGTCGGCAGACCAATGATTGCATGCGCATTGGCGGCTCGAGTACCAGCGACAGGATGCCACGCGACCACCAAAGCATCGCCAACACATTCGATACAGCTCCGCAGAAGGCTGTCCTCTGTCTAAGCCTGTATAAGAATGTAAATGTCTTGGCAGCGCATTCAGTTTTCAGCCCTGTGTGAACACCTGTTCTGACTTAGACCTAGGCAGGCAGTTGAAGGATTATCGCTGAAAAGTCTCTTACTCAAAATCACCGAGAAGACACATTACTAGATACATCGACAGGCATATGACTGAACCTTGGCATCGGACCTGAGCAAACGGACCTCAGCACAGTCGTTGCGAACGCGCCATCCAGCTACCGGGTTATTGCACTCGTGTCGAAACGTGCGGAACAGGGGTCTTCCGCACCGTCTAGTGCCGCCACCCTGGTCTCGGTCTACCTGGACCATGTCCAACTGTTTGTTCCTGGTCAGAACTCCGATCGATTCTAGGATCAGTACTTGCAACTGCTTGTTTTGCGCCCTCAATATGTGCGCCTGCTTCTTTCCAATACTTGCATGTGAATGTCCCTATCCACACGAAGGATCCGACGATTGTTTCGAGTCGGACATCCGCCTCTCGAATGCAGTAAAGCCTCTTGGCGCATCTTCCGAAATAACTTCCGACTTCTTGTAATAACGCTGGACTATAGGGAGGGATGTCCTTACAATTCACCATCTCGTGTTTGTTCGGGTCGTGAAGCGGACGATGGCACACTAGCCTTGCCCAAGGACCCCCTTTTCGGTAGTAAAAATGAAGAGAGCTCGGTTAGTCGAAACGTAGCCAATAGGCCAAGCCGGGGAAACTTAACGGTAGCATGGTTTAGGCCCATCGTGCACACGAGGCTAGTAAAGTCGTACACCGTAGGCCTTGACCTGATAGAGCAGATCGCAGCAAGGCTTTAGCCTGATAACGTCTGGTTGCCCATCCAGTTCTCCACTCAGGCAGGTGAAAGCTTCTTGTCGATGGCATTCGGAGCCACACTGCGAACTGCATCTGCAGCGCAGATACGAATTATGGGTCGTGTGAACAGCTGCTAAACCTAGTCGTCGATCCAGAGAATGCTGTGTCGTCAATCTCATGGGGAGTTAAACTTCATATAAGCTCAGGCTGCCTGCCATGAGGCTTCGGTTTGCAGTCATCGCGCTCCTCTCTTTCTCTCAAGATGTTATCTTCTCATACTTTCGTTCTTATTTCCACTTTCATTCTTTTCAATACATCGGCTGCTCTCAATGCATGCCCTGCCACTGATACAGTGTTTACCGGAACTCAGGGCATCAGGTACCGTGTTTGTCCGGACACTGATCTCATTGGGGATTCACAATCAATCACACGTAATGTTGCTTCTACCACAGCATGTGCACAGCTCTGCGATAGAGCCATGAACTGTTTCAAGGCTGTCTACGACACTCAAAACAGAGACTGCCATTTCAAGGCCAATGCTGGTCTCAACTGGCAACCCAATGGGCGTTTCGATGTCATCCAGGCTGAACAGGTTAACATTGCAAGGTGTCCATACAGCGAGACGACATTCACTCGCAACGGCGTATGTATTGCGCCACCTAATGAGATCCAATGTTGACTGACGCTGTACAGAAAACTTACAAAATCTGCCGCGATACCGATCTACGTGGCGGCAGTGCCCAGATGATCAAAGGAGTTACATCAACTAACGACTGTGCTCAACGTTGCTCAACGATCGATACATGCGTACAAGCAGTATTTGATTCTACGGATTCTGTGTGCCACATCAAGGTGGATGCAAACACCAACACTCTCATCTGGTCGACCGACAAGCGCTTTGACGTGATCCGTCAAGATATTGCTGCCTCTCCTGCCACCATTGGTGCCTGGTCCGATCTAGTCAGACTCCCAGTCATCCCCGTGGCCGCCTATGTTGTGCCTGAGTTCCCATCATCGAGTCGGTTGATGTTCTTTTCCAGTTGGGGTGCGGATGCTTTCGGTGGTGAAGGTGGACGAACACAATTCGGGGACTACAACTTCAACTCGTAAGTCAAAAGGAGCACTCTGGAGATTTACTTACTGATCATGCTCTATAGTGGCGCTGTATCTGCTCGTACTGTGGCCAATACCAGGCACGACATGTTCTGTCCAGGTATTAGTGCTCTGGAAGACGGCCGCATTCTTATCCAAGGTGGCTCTGATGCAAAGAAGAACAGCTTCTACAACCCTGCTTCCAACACCTTTTCCGCGGCTCCAGACCTATTAGTCGCTCGTGGTTATCAGACTTCCGCGACTTTGAGTGATAATCGTGTCTTTACCATTGGAGGTGCATACTCTGGCCCACGACAAGGAAAAGACGGCGAGGTATACTCCCCAAAAAGCAATTCTTGGAAGGCGCTCCCTGGTGCCAAAGTCGGACCCATGCTCACCGTCGATCGCGAGGGTATCTGGAGAGAAGACAACCATGCCTGGCTCTTCTCTTGGAAGAACGGATCCATCTTCCAGGCTGGTCCAAGTATGGCTATGAACTGGTACAGCGCGAATGGAAACGGCGCTCAGATCGCAGCTGGCACACGTGATACCGTCAATGCCATGTGCGGTATCTTTGTCATGTACGAGCCTGGAAAAATTCTCACTGCCGGTGGATCGCCTGATTACACCAACTCGGAGGCCAACAACCATGCCCACATGATCAGCATCGGTGATTACGGTCAGCCTGCTACTGTCGAGCGTGCTCCTGACATGGCATACCCTCGCGGTTTTTCCAACGCGGTGGTCCTTCCTGATGGCACTGTTCTGGTCACCGGTGGCCAGCGTCGATCCATGGTCTTCACAGACGACGACGGTATTCTACAAGCCGAGCTCTTCAACCCTGCTACCAAGTCTTGGAAGACTCTTGCTGCCGAAGCAGTTCCCCGCAACTATCACGCGGTCAGCATTCTCCTCCCGGACGGCCGTGTTTTCAGTGGCGGTGGCGGTCTCTGCTACATTGGCCAGATTGGCACAAGCTCGGTCAACTGCAACAAGCTTGTGGATCACGCCGACGGACAGACTTTCTCACCACCTTATCTTTTCAACACAGATGGCTCAGCCGCGGCTCGTCCTACTATCACAAACTTGAGCGGTACGAGTGTCAAGGTTGGTGCTCAATTGAGGATCACCACCTCGACTGCTAACCCCAAGTTTGTCCTTGTTCGCATCGGCACTGTAACACACTCAGTCAACACTGACCAAAGGCGTGTACCATTGACCACAGTCACTCGTAGGGGCACACAGTACACTGCTACACTTCCGAACGATAGCGGTATCTTGATCCCTGGACACTACTACCTCTTTGTCCTCAACCCTGCCGGCGTTCCCAGTGTTGCGAGGACAGTCAAAGTCACTCTTTGATAATTTCTTTACCCATATTATACCATCTCATATGTTACGCATGAGTTCAGCTCTAATTCGTAATGTATACAGTAACCGTATGTCCTTAGATGTGTTCAGAGTCGACACAATCAAATATTACTGTTCGCATTTTCTTCCCATTTGACAGATACCACTCAGTGAATGCCTGCCCCATTCGCGACCATCTCCACCGCCCTCTTCGTTGCCTCATCTAAGTCTTCCTTTGACAACCCTAACGTTTCATTATCCAATGTATATCCTGTCTCGTAATCCCCACCTTCACCTGGAAAGAATAGCCGTGCATACATAGCTTTCGCAAAGCCCAATCTATCTCCTCCTTGCAGCTGCTGCAGTCCTTGCAGGTGTCTCTCCCTAGCCGCCTGCTTCGTAATAGACCAATCAGCATCTGAAGTCCCAAGTACGCGGTTCAAACTATCCAACATATCCCTTTGGCTGACCAAAAAGCTGGAAATAGTCACGCCATCATTCCTGAATCGATCCAGCGCCAACTTCCCATCTTCATTCCCAGCAACAGGCAGCGAAAGCAGCGACGCAACAGCACGCCCACACAAGTCCCACGTACTCGTATTAATCTTGACAGTCCCTTCGTCGTACAGCGTGACCTTGCGATTCTTAATGTCGAAACCAAACCACGGCTCGCCCATTGACAGGCTGAACTCGTACCAGAATCCGTTGCAAAGCGCGACGAAATTCGGCTTCACGCCGCCCTCCGGCGCAGATACATTACGCACGTCGTCGATGCTCTTGCCGAAGCTGCTGAACAACGGGTCTGCGGCAAGAGCCCCTCCGCGCGGGCCTAGCGCGAAGGCCCAGTAGTTCGGCATAATCCATTGGATGCCAGCTTCTGCAGCTGCTTGAACGATTTGAGCATGTAGGTTGGGAGGCGCCCTGGCAGAGAGGGTGATAATAAGGAAGTCGTGGCTGCGAAGAGCTTTTGTTATGGCGGTTGCAGAGGCATAGTCGACTTGGACAACAGTCAAGTTGGGGGAGGGAGAGAAACTGGAATTGCTGTCTGGTCTGGTGAGGACAGTCACTTCATGTTTGGTGGTGTTCAGGAGCGATTGTAGAATCACCGAGCCGATTTGTCCAGAGCCCTGATTCGTCAGTGTCTATATCTTCGGAACATGGAGATGTATCGTACGCCAACCAGTGCAACTTTGTGGATACGGTTTGCTTGATGGGAAGACATGGATGCTGGAGATTTTGAGACTTCTCGAGTTCGCAGAATTGCCACTGCTCCAACCTGTGTTTATACCCCATCAAAACTTGAACGCTGGGTTCCTTTTTATACGTATCGATGATTGCATACGCGGAATCATTACATCGCGAGATTCTAGTGTTGGTATCCCAAAAGGAACAGGTGCTAGCCTTACGTCGTATACATACAGGAAGACAGTTCAGTCAAACCAAGGAGTTACCAGGTATCTAACGGAGTTTACGGTCATTGATCAGCCACAACTCCAACGTCAACAACAGTCGGTTTCACTATTACCCCGATTCTTATCCCCACGTACCCCATACAGGAGTGCATTATCCAGGAAGTCGAACATGTACTCTGTCTTGAGCAATACTGTGTTTGTGTTGCGAAGCGATACATCGCAGCCCACCTTAGTGTTTGGCAACAGCTTGGTATGGTTTGATCAACAACACCGAAGTTGCGAGTTAGGTGGTCGGAAAGCTCGCACCCCAGCGTGTAAAGAGACCTCGCAAAAGTATGTCCCAATTTTCGAGCCTTTGATAATCAGAACCCGGGGCCTCCGGGCGACTGCAGCTGCTGAGTCGGGCGTGCAGTGCACGCAGCCGTACATGAGGTTCCAAGCCCAGGCAGACCGGTGAGCATCTGACACAGTGCACACAGCGGCTAAATATCATCGGGGGCATTACCAAATGGTATCTCGGTCGGATATGCTGGTTGTTGGCGACGCATCTAAATGCTGCAATCTCAGTCGTGTGGTTTCGTAAACGGAGGTAGGCGGACCTATGCAAGGGCCTCCATGCCTGTAATTGCAGCACCGGGCGCGGTCCCGGTTCCACCGCGCACCAACGCGGCGATGTTTGCGATGCGCTTCACGACGCCGCAGCCAAGCGGTTTCGGGTTGGCTTCTGTTTGACAGCCCGCTGGAGCACGATGGAGCCTGATGGAACACTGATGTGGATCTTCATGTTGTTGGGGTACGCCATGACGCAGAGTGGGGCGTACACCGACTTTGCGAGATAGCAGGTGATAGCGATAACAATGACGTCACCAGCTTCACATGTTGCAACACGTCTAGAGAATGATACTGGCGAATCCGCGAGAAAATTTGGTCGACTTAGTTGCTTTCAAATATGGACTTCACAATGAATGAGAATTGAGAGTTGATTGAAGAGTTCAAATGTGTGAAATTGTAAATCTAGCGTGGTGCAGCGCTTTCTATCGCTAATTGTTCATGACTTTTCCATACGCCTGTCGCCGTCTAATGCTTTGTATCCGAATATTAGGTGGTATCATCTCGAAAATCTAGGTTCCCAAACCTCATCAATCGCTCAATCGCTAATAACACATGTCTATGCGGTCTTCTCAAGAGTCTTCATGGCACCATCTCGCTCGAGGCTGTTGTAGGCCTCGGTCAGCTCCTTGACGAAGCGCTCATCACCACGGAGGTCATCACCGAAGAGGTCTCCGATGCTGAGAAGCTTCATTGGGTTGCCCTCATCGCGGGCAATGCGCTGCAGCTCATCGTTCCTGGGGTCGAAGGACAGCTGGAAGTCGCGTCCTTGCTCATCGATACCGCGGAGATAGCGGAACCAGGCAGCAGTGGCGAGGGTAAGGCGGCGGAGGGGTCCGCCAGCGACAATCTGCTCGGCGATGGAAGGCATGATGAACTGGGGCAGCTTGCCGGAACCACCAAGGCAGATACGAGTAATCTCATCCTTGAGTGTAGGGTTGGAGAAACGGCCGATGAGAGTCTGGATGTACTCATCGACGTCAACGCCGGGGATCTTAGGAAGCAGGGGCTTGACTTCCTCGTTCATCATGTTCCTGATGTACTTGCCGAAGATGGGGTGGCCGATGGTCTCGTGAATGTACTGGAAGCCACCGAGGTATCCTGCGTAACCCATGGCAGAGTGGGAGGCATTGAGCAGACGAAGCTTCATCAGCTCGAACTCCTCAACGTTCTTCACATCCTTGACGACTTGGACGCCAACCTTCTCGAAGGCGGGGCGGCCGTCGCAGAACTTGTCCTCAACAACCCATTGGCTGAAAGGTTCGGTAACAACGGGCCATGCATCCTCGACGCCAAACTCCTCGCGGAGGTTGACAACATCCTCCTCAGCAGTCCTTGGAGTGATGCGGTCGACCATGGAGTTGGGGAATGCACCGTTCTGAGCAAGCCATGCGGCGACATCAGGGTCACGGTGCTTAGCGAATGCAAGCAGCATGTCGCGGGTGATGTGACCGTTCTTCTGCATGTTGTCGCAAGACAGCACGGTGAAGGGCTTCAAGCCGGCTTCGTAGCGCCGCGCCAGCGCAGCATAGACGAAACCGAAGAATGTGCGGGGAGGAGAGGCGCCAGCAAGATCGGCGGCGATGTCAGGGTGGTCTGTTACAAGCTGGTGGGTGTTCTCGTTGTAGAAGTAACCACTTTCTGTGATAGTCATGGAGACGATGTGGGTGTCGGGGTGGGCCATCTTGGCGATGACAGCCTCAGCATTATCGGGAGCAAACAGGTAATCTGTGATACTGCCGATGACGCGGGCCTTGGATCCAGGTGCCGAACGCTCGATGACTGTGTAAAGGTTGTCCTGGGGGACGAGAGCGTTTCTCATCTCGGCGTCGAAAGGCTGCAGACCAACACCACAGATAGCCCAGTCCTTGAGCTTAAGCTGCTCAAGGAGGCTGTCGACGTAGACGGCCAAATGGGCGCGGTGGAATCCACCAACACCGACGTGGACGATGCCGTGCTTGATGTTGGCTCGGTCATAGGTGGGGACTGTGCAGTGCTCCAACTCAGACAAGTTGGCGCTGTTGAGCTTCAGCGACTGGGGCTCGGTAGCGTGAGGCATAGCAGCGGCTGCCTGTGAATATTGGCGAGATTGGGGGAGTGGTGTGGCAACAATCTGTTGCTTTTGCTGTGTGTTCTGTGCGGCAGAAACTTTGGAGGAAGTTGTGGTTGTGGAGTGCGACCTTGTTGCGATTGCTCGAGGGAAAGGACGGAGGGAGGATCGGAGGGTTGAAGTAGACTGCTTCTGTGCCAGCGACACGGCGAACTTCGCCTGCTTTGCAAGGTTGAGAGAAGCCATTGTGAAAAGATTGTACGTTGACCGCTTCAAAGTGGATGGGACTGAACAGCTTTTTGTCTTTTTCAGAGGGGCCGTAGTGGGTCTGACGCACGGTCGTGGATGAATCCTCAGGCGTGATGTATTTTTGATGGAACGTGTGGAGAAGACCTGGAACGCGGGTGGCTTTACTTTCGTGTTGACACTCTTCCCCGACACAGAAGGTGCACGGTAATGGCGACCAGACTGGCGGTCAACAAATTCGGAAATTTAGCTATAGGGGGAGTCCAGGTGACCATCTTCCTTGGTTCAGATCTGCTAAATTTGGACAAAGTGCCAGTTGTGAACGCACAACGTTGCCATTCCGACACAACTCCGCCCACGTGGATGGAGAATCCATTACCAATCTACTTTTCAGCTACTTCTTTTTCTCAGGGCTGACGACGCCCACCTCCGAGCACTGCCCGCTCAGGAAAGGGGCCGAGGGTCTTTGCGCGGTCAGAGTCGTAAAACATCGATAGCGCAGGCATCACAGCGCCGCCACATCAGGGAAGCCGGTACCGTGCATGCAGTTTCGATGGGGAACTGGAAGGCGCATCCGCCGCCTCAGATCCATCCCTCTGCAAGGAAGGTTCGAAAAACTTTTCAGCCTTGAAAGAATCCACTAGCGGCTTATCGTGGGGCTTCAATTGGGTGGCAAGCTTCTGGCAGCTCGGAGGCGCGACCGGCCAGACTCGCCGAGCTAGGTTGAGGCTCCTGGCGCGTGGCGGTTAGCTCCACTCAGGAACATCGCTTCCATGCATGGTTAATCTTGCCCACTTGCCTGCAGCCGGGAGCGGAGCCGTGGGGGCTGGATCCATGATAAGAGTTTTCGGGGGTATGGCGAAAGAGCACGGATGTATGTCGCAGACGGAGTACCTTGAAGGACATCACACTAAGAAGCGGTGTCTGTAGGTTTGGCAGAATCGTAACAAAGTTTTCGAATAGTATCAACTCGATTTATTGAGTCACTTGTGGCGCCATTCTTTGAACAGATAGGCCATGGTGTCTCCTGGATCCCTTGCTGTCGAACCCACGCTCGGACTTAACTCACGCTCGGACTTGACCAAGGGAAGTGGTACATCGAGGTCAGGCGGGTGCACAAACACAACAACACGACTCAACGTGCGCCGAGCCGGAGACTGCATTGGACCATGTGTGTCCATCGCTTGTGGGGGTATTGGCCGCCTCATATTGAATCCCACGCGGTGAGCATAGTTGACACGTCTCCGTATCATTTACCCACGCAGACATGTCCACCGAGCTCGTGGTGTTGCTCGCACATCTAGAACGCATTGATCGACCTGGGCACCGGGATGCCTTACCTAGTGGCGAACGTTGCTGCACCACAAGCGGAACGAGGTCTGCCACTGTGGGGCCCATCGTCGGCTGACCAGCTTCTCCGCCGTTGCAGATTTTGCCGCAAGTCAAGTCCCACTTGCCGTAGACCCAGATCCCTGGGATTGTCGCTTTTGCCAGCCTCGGGCTTTGGCCGTGAATGCCTTCTCCGTCGCGGGTCGTCTAACAACGAGCCGTGCCGTTGCACTCTGACACTAGGCATCGTGTGAGGCGAGTATGTTCGTTTGGCCGAGCCTTGCTTGGAAGTCTAGCTTATCCACGTTCAGCCCTTGCTCTCGAGATTCGTCTCATACTCCAGAATCTGAGTCGCCACAAGCGTTAGATATGTGTATGCGCCTTGCATGACAGACTCATCGTTTGAACGGGCCGTTAAGTTTTGCAGTTAGAAGTGCAAACTCGCGGGATTCCCATCAGTCGCATTCGTTCTCCGGCTCTGCACATCTTACTTCCTACAAGTCTTACATCAGCAAGCCAGAAGATCTGTTGTCTGACTAGCCGATAGTCTCGCAGATTCAACAAGGGTTGATCTTATCATGCTAATGTTCAAATGCCATGATGTCCAGCATAGGGAAGTGAAGCAGACGGGTCCAGAACAGGTGGCAACACACGGACAGTGGAGATGAGATCTTCCACCCTTGCAGAGACTTCCCCCGGACAATACAGCGGACCGTACCCGCCCGAGCATCTCGCTGGTGCAAGCAGGGTGGGTCCTCTGTGGTGGCGATTCTTCGTGTATCGCGAGCCATTGACGTGGGCAAGACGGTGGTCGGTAGAGCTTCAAATATTACTAGGAAGTCCAGCAACCTCTAGTGTCTGGGTTTGGAAGTTGGCCGAATCGAGAGCGTGCGAAGAATCGACTGTCCGAAGGTACTGGTGCTTGTATCGTCGAACTGATATATCGAGGGACTTCTCGACAAGGTCAGGAGAGATGGATAAGGCTGAGAAATGAACACAGAAGGCATCTGCGGCGTCTGAGATATTTGGGTATAATTCATGCCTGTGGACGATCGAACTGAGACATGCATATGAGATCTTTCGAATGAGATGTCGCCTGTGGTGTTGTCAGTTTCGAAGCCATGATGAAAAGGTGAAGATGCAAGACCAACAAATATTGGCGAGCGCTGCACGCGAATGCGATGCGTGCATTGGATGTTGATACTGCCAGAGCAGCTATTTTGGTTGCAACAGACATCCATTGTCAGCGACTTCTAGATACAGACGTCAACGGAGTGATGGAGTTATGCAAAACGCGTCGCGGTTCCCCTCTGTCAGATCTGGCAGTGATCGGCGGCGTAGCTGGCCCAAGCGCATGCGCTAGTCACCATGCGTGTCGGTCGGCAGGAGCTGCCCCAATTGCCAACATCCACCTCGGAATCTGTCCTTGCCTCTGGGAATCTATCGCCCCTAATACATTCTAGGAGTATGAGTTACTCCTGAGTGTTCACGACACACCTCCTCAAACCCTAGGCGCTTCTACCAGACCACTGGCGTCTTCTGCCAGACATGAGCTTTTCACAATAGCGGCCACCCCGTGTGACCTGGCAGCTTGACCCGGTTCAAGTGTTCAACTCACTAGAGACTGTTTCTTCCTCTAAATCTACAGATAGGGTATGTTGTGAGGGTTCTACTCAAATTTACACTAAAGAAAGGCTATGCAGCCTCTCCTCCAGCATGATGCTATCGTACCTTCAACACCTATGCATCCCTCCTGTGTTGTAACAGAGGAGATATTGTTTGTATACTGGGTCAAGCTGATTGGTGTACAATGCTCAGGTCGCGATAACGATCGCTCTTTCTCAAAAATTTTCGTGTTCGATGATTGACCAACTCTGCAAATAAAGGATTGGAATGAAAGAAACCACATGAAGTATATCAGAAAAATGACATGATCGCAAATCTTGATCTCTCCATTACTAAGTTGGCAAAATGGTCAGTAGGTATGCTACGAGCGTAGAAGCGACAACATGCCTGCGCACTACATGGGGAACAATTTATTTTAATGCGAAAGAGACATCGCTTTCACCAGAAACTCTTTGATAATGCGTGGGTCCTCTTGATGTTCTCCCTACGATCCATTCACTTCACTGTTCCATACCATTTTACGAGTGAAGTATTCCCGATCCGTTTGCTCTTGCCTTAGTTGGCCACACCCGCAGACCTCGCTCCATATATCAACATCAACTCAGGCCAACCCACAATTACTCTCTCCCACTCAACTACACATCATGATTCGCGGTACTCAGCTCGCGATCGGCGACACCGGACGCCCTGAAGACCGCGTGATCCGCATAGTCAACCTCCATTATGATGCAAACAGCGAACACGTTCGAAATTTCTTCGGCGACAGCTTCAGCGTCATCGACCTCGTTCGCGGAGTGAACTTAAAAACCAACAAGAACACTGTTGGCTATGTACTTCTTGGGACCGAGCAGGAGCGTATCGATGCACAGGCACTATCCGGTCGCCAAATTCTCAACCGTACGGTCAAGATTCTTCCTGCTCAGAGCGGCTTTCGTGGTCAGTAGCTATATGCCACGTGCAGTTCTAGAATATTAACTAATAATTTGACAGTCTCGCCAGCGGGCAACAAGCTTCTGTGTGCTGTCGAAAGCGAAGATGATGGGGCTTCTGATAAAACTGAACATGTTCCAGCTATCAGTGATATTGAAGCCTTCCCCCATCTGCGCGTGGCTACGACTTCTCTCCTTGCGAGCCGTACCACTGTCTTCACTCGGAAGCGTTCGCAGCACCGAGGTTTGCAGAACCGTATTTTGTTCATGAACAACGTCGGTCAGGGTCCGGAAGTCAACCAGGCATCGTTTCGCCTGTTCTTCGGCGCGTGTAGGATTGTAGATGTGAAGCGTCTCATTGACCCGAAGACCAAGATACCCAATCCTACAGCGTTTGTGATGTTCGCATCAGTCCGCGAGCGTGATGATTCCCTTCATCACCTACGAAACACGCTGATGCAGGGTCGAAAGGTCACTTTAGAGGTACCCAAGATTATCCAGAACGGTAAGCCAACTGGAGTCAAAACAATGGCTTTCTTTGGATGACGCTAACAAATTTCAAGTCGATGAGCTTGGTTTTCTGCCTTCAGCTCACGAGAGCATGGTCACGTTTTCTCCTCCTCGCGTTGCCACTGTAGCTGCCACGGTTCCACGCTCCACCTCTACGATAAATGCGAGCTTGCCTGACAGCTCCCAGCAAACAGCGACATATATGCCCATAGGTTTGAACCAGCCAAGCTGCACTGATAACGATACCGAATTTCAGTCACTGCTTGGTCAACATGCAACGGGGTGCGGTATACCACAACAAATGTCATCTAAGACACATGTCCGAATTCAGCAGGAGTTTGGAGATGTCTGCGAAACCGGAGACGTGGGCTATCTGAATAGCGCTGAATTCAAGTGGGGTCTGTCGCGGGATGAACTGTTCAACCGCTATATGCGTCAGCAACGCACTTTGCTGCCTATGCCTTCTGGTATTGAGGGTCCTGGTCAAATCATCAATGGCCCTCCCATGGCTCCTCCAGTCGGCAGGTTCTCTCCCTTCGCTTGTCCCTTTGGCTTAGCGCGTCAGGAGCCACCACCTGATGTCGATACCAGCTGTAAGTGACTTGAATATATGGTCGCGAAAGTAGCTAACTACCACAGTTCATCCGCGCGAGTATAGCTGGGGCCTGAGCGGTAATCAAGATTCGGAGTGCCATGTTATCTCTGAAGAGTCTTGGTACGGTGGATTTCCAGCCTCCCGGTAAACCAAGAATGAAAAGCAGGAGACATCCTTTCTCACTGTTTATTACTGTGTGATAGGAAGTGGAAGTCTTGATAGTTCCGGCGAAAGTTCAGAACTTGCACCGAACAAGCCTGTGCGCTCATCGGTGTCTGGTGTCTGTTTCCTGGCGTTTGTGTCGTCTTTATCTCAGTTTTTTGAGTACACGACGTCGTTTTGAGCACATAGAGTGTTTCTTCAATTCACCATGCACCTCCCGAAATCGGTGTTACCTAGGTGGTTGGCACCAAAATGTCTCATTGACGAGTCGAGCTGTCTTCAGCAATCTCGAAACCAATAATCTTCATCCCCAATAGATTCTACTGGCCACGAGCTCCGATGATTCCTCTGAATTGCACCACTGAACGCTTCTAATTGCCTTTGTGAAGAAGAATCTCTAGTCACACATGAAGCGGATACTGTCAGTCTTCCAAAAGTTGACAACGAAGAGCTTTTCGGCTCTCTAAACGAGTGGCCACTTGAATGCAACTGGACAGCCCTGTCAAAATCAATCTATCAAACGGTCACTCCCTTGAAGTTTTTTGGGAAATTTTAGACGAGGAAAATAGGCGGAAAGGTAATAAGTAACGTATATATTCGCATACGACTTCGTTCCTATTACCTAGCTTTCAGCAGAAGAAGCAGCACTTCGGCATGCATCTCGGAAATGAAAATGATCCGCCACAATATCAATCCTTTCACGCTAAGCCTCTCTGTCGCTACACCTCTTTACACGCTAAATTCGTCCCTTTCCACCCCGACCCGCCAAGCCCACGTGCCCTATCATCCGCCCTCTCACTCGTTCTTCTCATTTACCACCACCCCAGAATCACACCATGTAGCACATCCCGTTTCTTGCTACCTATATTGTGTAGTGGATCAACAAGCATCGTTCTTCTGCACCCAAGGATAATTTACCAACGCTTCGCACCTGGGTGCCGGGTTGAGGATCTGATTTACGTACATCCTGCACGGGAACTGAGGCGGGACGGGAGTAGGGCTGAAGATCATACATATGCTAATGAGTGAGAGATCTACGAATGCCAAGAGAATGTGACGGTGGTGGACTGAGAGACGTTCTCATAACGTTTGAGTGAGGGATTTATGATGCTGTTGTATATGTAGTGTATCGGAAACTGTATTCTAACGAGATCGGAGATCTGATCGGCGTTGTTCGGTGCGTGTGACTCGTATCGTAAGTGCCACGGTTGTAGCGAAGACTGAAGAATAGTCACTGACTGATGGTTTGCAAACATCCGATCAGCGATATGTTGTGGGGAATTGGATTTGGCACATATTCCGAAACGTGGTCATGCGATCTTCCGCTTCTACGGAACTTCAGAGCCTACGATAGGTTTGTGCTTAACCAGATCTAGAACATGTTGGGCTTGTTGATCATGTCGGGCATGAAAAACGAATCAATAGGTATCACGTGAGTATATCACACGATCGCAGTGTCAGTATTTTGCCGCCAATCAACACATGCCATGGACCGCCGAGTCCGTGCCACTTGCCTGGCAGTGTACTGTAGGCAGAGTTTCGAACAAGCCCACGTAGCTTCAGAATGGCGCTGTTCTTCTAATTACATCATGGAATGGGGTTGAGCACGTAAGGGAGAAGGGACATTGGCGGAGAAGAACGAAGTTCAGAGAATGGCATGTATTTTGGCGTATTGAACCATTATTTACTACGAGCCATACTGTATCATTACAGTGAAGAAGTCTATTCCATGCCGCAAAACGATCGACAGTCGCTAAAGAAAGAGGGTATTCGTAAACCAGGAGACAATTTTGGTTCGCACAACAATTCAACGCTTAACCAAAGTGGGGAGCGTTAAGGACGATACCCATGGCAAGACCACCAATGGTACCGGCAATGGGGATGGTCATGATCCACGAGAAGACAAGGAGACCAACACGCTGCCAGTTGACAGCCTTGATGGTACCGTTGCAGAGACCGACACCAACGGTAGCACCAGTGATGCACATAGATGTCGAGACGGGAAGGGAGTACTGGGAGAAGATGAGGACAGTGAGAGCAGCACCCATCTCCATCGAGCAACCACGCGAAGGCGAGTGGTAGGTGATCTTGTTACCCATGACCTTCATGATGTTGTATCCGTAGGTGACCAGACCGAGAGAAAGAGTGGCGGAGAGAACAGCAAGCTGCCAAATGGGGACGGGAGCCTTCGACTGAGCGGCGTTACCGGTGTTCCAGGCGGAGTAGATGACAGCCCAGGGACCGACAGCGTTACCAATATCGTTGGCACCGTGAGCGAAAGAAGCAGTGCAGGCGGTGAGAACTTGGACGAATGAGTAGGTGTGCTCGACCTCGTTGGAGTACTTAGGGGCGTGGGAGTAGACGCGCTCCATGCGGCGGCCCTCAGGAGTGCCGTGAATACCAGTCTGGGCAGCGTGGATGTCGTAGTTGACACCGTAGAGAGCACCGACAACGATCATGGCGGGGATACGCTTGAGAGTGATGACCATGTTCTTCTTCTCGTAGATTTCACCGGTCTGGATCTTGTTCTCGTGAAGGTAACGCATGGCCCAGCCGAGAGGACCCTTCTTTGCCCTGAGCTTGCCGTGGAAGCGATCCTCACCCTGCTGCATAAGCTCCTTATAGCTGAGCTGGCGCTCCTCGGAAACAACGACACCCTTCTCGTGGTCGGCAGGAGTGATATCATCGTCAGAGCTGTCGGACTTCTTGAGCTCAGGCTTGACCTCCTCATCCTCGTGCTGGACAACAGCGTAGTCGGGCACGATAGCAGCCTCAGCACCCTCGGGAGATGGGCGGCGGAAGAGGAGAGGGCCTTGGAACATGTGGTACCAGCGAACAGTGTGATCGCGCTTGACGACCTTGGCGTGAAGGTAAGGGACGAAGAAGAGGAAGGACAACAGCGCAAGGCCAACACCGCAGGAGACGGTGACGGTAGCGACATACCACGCAGGCTTCTTGTTAAGACCGAGGTTGGGAGATCCCTTGTAGACGATGGAAAGAGTGCAGATGGTACCAGCGATCAGGAAGAAGAAGGGGGCGGTCCAGATGGCAACGGGAACGGGGTTCTTGCGGAGGTGGACGGTCAACTTGATGAGCATGAAGATAATGGCACCGAAGCAGGCAGAGGCAGCAGGAGCCATACCCAGACCAGCGAAGATGGCACCAAGACCCTTGCCCTTGTTCCATCCCCACTGGACCTTGCTAGCACCAGCGACGGCGACACCAACACCAGCGACCGAGGAAATGAGCGAGTATGACGAGGAGACGTGAGCAGAGTGCCTGGTGCACCACATGACCCAGATGGAGGCACCGGCCAGAGCGCAAGTGAAGGCAAGCATCTGAACACCAGCGTCGCCACGGAAAGCGCTACCGGGAATGATTCCGTTCTTGATGGTATCGGCGGTACGAGCACCGACAGTGATGGCACCGACCATCTCGAAGATGGTACCTAAGACCATAGCCTGGCGATAGGTGACGGAGCGGGAGGAGACGGAGGTAGCCCAAGCGTTGGCAACATCGTCTAAGGCAACAGTTAGTGACTATTCGCATGATGGTAAGGTGACAGTGAGGCAACATACTAGCACCGTTGTTGTAGGCATCGAGCATGGCAAAGAATGTGCCAATGGCGAAGACATAGTTGTACTGTGTGAGGCGCGGCATTGTGTTGGCTCGTCTGCAGGCACGCAGGTGTGTATGGTTGTACTGAGCTGTAGTGAAAACTGCTGGCTGGAGAAGGGAACCAGGGGATTCTGTGAGACCCTATATATGTATGCAAAGTGTCTGCTGCGGCTTAGGCTGCTCGTGTCGGCACTGCTCGTGGTACCGCCTGCTGTAAAATCCTAGTGATCCGGCCCTGGTAACACGGGCTAGAGGCGCACATGGGGCGGCCATCAGCATGAAATCCGCCGTGTCTATCTGTTTGCAGGCGTTCAGCCAGTCACAGCGTTGATTTCGAGGGTGGAAAGCGCACACGTTGTTACATGGTTGACTTTCATTGGCCGGGGCGTCCGCTCGGGATGGCTGAGACTTGGCATAGATGTATACTACTCTACCTGCACTAGTGTCCAACACTCAAGCTTCGGAGTGGAATCTTGAAGTTCTGTGGAGTGTCTCGAGCTCACAATCAGGAAGATGGACCGACGCTGAGCCTCGGCGCCCAGCCTGGAGGCGTTTGGGATGCGCTAGTGAACTTGGCAATTGTTGATGCGGAGAACCAATCAGCGACCCCACGTGGGCCACGTTCATACTTCAACCCATCAGTTCCCCAATGCTGCGCAGCTTCCATGGCTGACCGCGCCCCGGTTTTGCGACCTGCTGCTCGACGCGTATTGGCAGTCCGCTTGCTGGGTTTTACCTTCCGGAAGCGACACAGCATGGCCCTCGATGGCCCTCGGATCGACAGGCAATGGCTGCGCCGCTGCGGACAGCACCCGCACTATTGGAAGAGGCGAATGGGAAGGGTGCCATCAGTACGAAATTCAATGCGAAGCGGGTGTTTGAATGCAACGGGACTCGCCGACGCCGAATTTGCATTCCACCCTCCAATTCCACGCGCCGACTAGAAACTGCAGCCGAGGTGTCAGATCAACCAACAGCAGTCGCGTATCCGACCACCTGGTCTCTGTCGCAAATTCAGCATACGGATCTGGTACAAACAATTCTGAACTAGACTTTCCTGGCCATGGACCCTGGCGTCATGGAACGCCCTGTAGGTATCGGTCGAGGATGCGTCGACCGAGTGTCCCAAGGAGCTGGGTTTGTCAGGGAGGAGTATCGACGCTTTCCTTTTCGAGGTTGCGTGCAGCACGTACAAAGCACCCGTCTCAGTACCATGCGCAATTGATTGCTATGCTGGGCATGGCCGCCGTACATGCGGGGAGACCAAGCGACGGGAGCGACTTGATAGAAGCCTGAAGCAATGTTTTCATCCAGTCCCGTCCAGCCGCGGCCAGGCAGACCCAACACTAGCAGCTGTACATTACTACCAAAGCATCGCAGCTAGCACAAAGACTTTTGATCTGTCTCTGCCATGTCGTGACGAACATGTTCGCCACAGACTGCAAACTCTCTCGAAGAAGGCGTGAGCATACTCGCAATATTCACGCCATGGGGCCCAATTTGGGCGATGGCCTGACTTGGCGCATCATAGTCCAGACGAAAAGCCCTCATCTACGCAAACGAAGCGCGTGATGGGCCATGCAAGGTTGCCGAAGCTGGTGTCAATTTCCGGACTCGATTGGAACAGTGGGCTCGGACGTAATAGAGGGCATCGCTCAGGGCCAGATGCTGCGCATCTCAACCTGCAACGAGCAAAAAGCCACACGTGCGGCGACAATAGTGGAATGCTGGGAGCGCAATACCCCTGACTGCGCACCCGAAGTCTCTGATGGAACGGCAGCAGTCTTCACGCATCGAGTTGCAGAGCATTGTGTCTCTGTCATCCCGTTTTCTGTACTGGACAGGTCATATCTCGAAGGATCGTTTTGCTCAAAGTGCCACTGTATTGGAGGGCGCCTTGTCTGCGAGAGTCACCAGACAGCGTCGACTTACCGTCACACAGCATGAACAAGCTGCACCAGGCTGACTGGTGGTTTACATCGCGCAACGATAAGCTGACCACTTCCTACAGGCCGCCCAAGGATCGGTTTCGCTGCGATCGGATGGTGGTGACCGGATGCACGCAAACGGTGATGAGCTTGATGATGATAGCGAGCTTCCACCTGTCGAAGTCATCTGTTGGCGCTAATTCTCAAAACGTCTTAGGTTGAATTCGAGCTCGAAGGACCGACTGCGCGAAAACCAACAACACAACAATCACAGCTTTCACTCAACAGTACAGTCAAGCTGATTCCTCATGCAAATTTGCAACACCGTCAAAAACTTCGATGCCTACCATGATCTACCGCACGTCGTCGACACAAGCTCTCAACCCCGGATCATGTTGTCTTGACGGTTCTTGACCCAAGACCCAGCTCTGCCGACTTCCGTCTTCGCCCTCCACAACCTTCCCAACTTACAACACGACCTTGGCTACACTTCTAAGCTTCTGATCTGAGCCTTGGAGGCGCGCCTGAGGATCTACTGTCAAACATGGGTCCTCGTTGGTGCTCGTCGTGCTTCCTGCCGCCGCGTGGGCCCAGGTTCCCGTAGGACTGGGTCTGGCAGGGATGATAAGCTTTGATGACAGCTGGGTAGTTAGTGGTCATGGATAGTGTCTGTGAACTGACCTGCCACATGGGAGGCAAGGTGCAAGGTAACGATCTGAGTCCAGTGTCTGCCCTCGCTCCAACCTGCGACCTTCCACATGACTCAATGCAAGTATTCGAACACAACACTGTCGAGCCGACCGTTCTAGCAAGCGCTGGTTGTGTGCATTGAATTTGCAATTTACGACAGCTGTCTCCGCCTCTGAGGTCGCCGCTACCTTACAGATCACGTGCCTCTTCTGCTTACTCCGCTCTGCTGGTACCAAGACCTGGACTCATGACTTTACAAGCTGCATACCATCTCCCATCTCCACGTTTTGGAGCAATGACTCTGTAACTTCGCACACACATCGTTCCTGTGCACCGTTCGTGCATTACGGCGCGATCTACGCGCTTTGAACAATGAATCCTCCTTCGCCAACACTCTCAGCCTTGTCCACGTCGACCACGCGAGCTTTCAAATGTTGCACCATTTTCAAACACACACCACTGGACCAAAACAAGGCTAGCATACGCCTTCTTAAGATCGCATCAGACCTTTCGCCGGATGGATTGATACAATGCGCCGTCTCCCACACAACCATCGAACAAGCCTCGTACGCCTGCCTGTCGTATATGTGGGGACTGCCGTTGCCATCTCACGACATAATCATTGATGGCAGAAGATACAGTGTAGGGCAGAATCTCTTCGAATTCCTTGACGTCTTTCGCAAGAGACCGGACACATTGGAGTTGTGGATAGATGCGATATGCATAGCACAAGGAAATGTCTCAGAACGCAATCACCAAGTCACAGAGATGGGACAGATATATGCCACTGCTCAGGTCGTCTACGTATGGCTCGGAAGACAGCCGTCTATCGCTCACGTCGTTCGCAGCGTCAAAAACTGGCAAAACCCCACCTACGAGGACCTCGGTTCGGTCCAGTCCGCTGTGTTCAAGCAGTATTTGTACGACAACGAGTACTGGAACCGAGCGTGGATAACTCAAGAGTTCCTACTAGCACATGATATCATCATTTTCCTGGACGATGAAGCTCTGGACATGATGACGCTCTCCTCCGCCTTGCGGTCATTCTATTTGCTTGCCGATAAAGATGCAAAGTCGAGTGTCTTCAATCGACACATCTCATCCAAATACATGAATGCCAAAGTTACTACGGGACAACCTCTTATTTCACTTCTAAGTCGATTTCGTGATAAGAATTGCTCTGTCCCACGAGATCGCATTTTTTCGTTGCTATCGCTATGCTCGCCCTCCTCTAGGATCAAGGTCAACTACGAGCAGAGATCAATTGACCTGCTAAAGAGTATTCTTGCGCGTCACAAAGATTCCTTGTGTTTGTGTGACATCAAGTTGATCTTACGCAGTCTCGATTTCGGAGGGATCCCCCACCTGAGCTAGAATTCGGAAAATGAGTCAAGACAGGAACTAGACTTGATGTATATTGAGATAAACATGCTTGGTATCCAAATAAAGCACATACCACAGCACTGGTGGGCGAACGATTCTCTGTACGACTGTCTCTACCCCTATGGAGGGATCATCTGCCCCGTCGTAGAAGAGGTTATCGCGCACGCTGCAAGGAACGCTGTTCAGCCACGCAGCGGTTTACAGCATGCACAGAACACAACCGAAGGAGCTCATCACAAAACACCACTTTTCCCATATCAGAAGCTGTCGGAGAAGTACGCAGGCATGTTAGCCCTAACACGCGCCGAGGACCTGGCCGTGATAATGTCAAACCACGACCCAAGAGCATATGCCTTCCGGTTACCTATAAGCTCCGTAGCACGTATGCCCCTGCAGTCGAGACCCGTGTGCCCCGTTGCCGAGCGCTGCACAACATGGATCTATGCGTCGCCCGACACGAAGCCATATAGCTACTTTGGAACGCACAATTTCACAAACGCGTGGAACCAATGGCACGCGAAGCTGTGTATTGTAGGCTCGAGCTTCAAATTGCCGCGAGACATGCCAATGCAGGTTTGCAACGACGCATGTAGGATCCTGCTGCAGAGCGGAGACATGCCCGCAGAGATGATGATGTGGCGCCAGGACAGTGCCTACTACCGGTTTCTGAACGAGCTGAGACAATACAAGCTGGGAATTCCAACGAGGATCCCGGCGGCGAAGCTAGCGGACGCGGTTGCGAGGGGCATAGCTATGGGGTGGACGTGTGGATGGGGGCCCTGTAGATTAGTGGTCCAACCTCAAACGCGTTGAAGCACACATTTTGATTAGTGACAGCACCAGCGTGGTAGTTGAGGATTTTCAAGCTACTTATAGAGCGTCAGGAATACCAGATGTACTTTTTGTAGCAGTAGTACGGAGTTGTATTGTTTTAGCACCGCCCCAGCTAGACCACACATTCACTCTCACGAGATGAACATACGCCGCAACCCTACCTCCACGTATCTACGACTCTCGACTTCATCACTACTAGCTCAAGCTCTCCCACCACTAACCGACGCCAACGTAAGAACACATCACAACACTGCGCACAGACTATGGTTCTATCACACATACCCCCACACTCCCACAGTCACGTACTCACGTACTCACGTACTCTCACATCCACATGCAGCGTATAATGTGCAAACCGTCTGCCCTCCAGACAAGGGGGAAGAAGAATGCACGGATGTTACCACATCATTGCTCAGACAGAAAAACCAATTTCGAACGGGCCGGCGGCGGGGACGTGGGACTTCGAGTACAGGACATGCTGATCATGACGAGGATATGGAGAAAGACACAGCAGTAACGCCGTAGCGCTGAGTCCGAGCTTAGATTCATCTGACCATGTATGTCTAGACACCGCAGTATCTGGACCCTTCACTAACACTCCAAACACTCCATGCTCTCCCATATCTACCAACGCCCCACCCCTTCCATACCTCTATTTCCTTGGCAACTCCCAAAACACCCTCTTAAAGATCTTCTTACTATTGAACAGATTCACCAACCTCAGTCTCTCATTATCCAAATGCGCACTATCACTCGCCTGCCCGCACGGCAAATGCGCTGCCGGCGCCCCGAACTGCTTCTCCAGGAAGCGGATACTGGGAATGCTGCCGCCCTCGCGGATATACAGGGGCTTTACAACAGATGGCGCCTCCGTTGTCGGCGACGGGTCGGGGCTGTTAGCGAGCGTGTTAGACGTGGGCAGGAACGGCTTTGGGGGGGAAGCATGAGAGGCGGAACTTGTAGCGGGGCGCTGCAGGGTCGGCGCCCAGACGGCGGTGATAGCGCGCTCGAGGGTCTGGAAGATCTGGTTTGAGTGGTCGCCAAGCCATGGTTCGGCGACGTGGTCGATGGTGGTGGAGAGGTGGTTCTTGGAGTCGAGGGCGGCAAATTCGGTGGCGAGGAAGTTTTGCAGCGAGGAGGCCACGTCAGCGGCTTCTTGGTTGGGAACCAGACGGATTGAGAGGGCGGCTTTGGCAAGACGTGGGATGATGGTGGAATTCTCCGGGCCGGAGGTTTGGAAGCGGTGGATGGTTAGGGAGGCTTCGCGCCATCTGCGCATCAGAGACTGAGCGAGCTCTTCTGGGTCGCCAAGGTCGGGGTTGTTGCGTAGTAGGGTCTGGGTGATCTCGGTGTAAAGCTCCTTCTCACCTGCTGCAAGGGGAAGGATGGGGTCGTAGAAGCCAGGGATCTGGACCTTACCATGGCGGCCAGTAAGTTTGGCCAGGAGCATGACAAGATCTTTCAGCGGCTCGTCGAGCAGCGCACTACCGTCGACACCGCTATGCAGATCTGGATGTTCACTCTCGACCTGGACCGTGGCGTGAATGACACCACGCAGGCCATATGTGATACACGGTACGTGATCGTCGAGCCAGTAGCTGTTGGCCAACAGAATCCAGTCTACATCGCCAATCAGGTCTTTCCTCGCCTGCACGGCTTTCTCAAACCCACGAGAGCCGCTTTCTTCCTCACCCTCAATCAGGAAGATGATGTCAGCATCAAGACTTTGCTCGTTCGCTAGCTCGTGTGCGGCATATATGGCGGCCATAATTGGGCCTTTGTTGTCAGACACGCCTCTGCCATACAAGTAGCCACCCTCGCCAGTGAGCGTGAAAGGATCATGCTTCCATTTTCCGTGCTCGTTCTCGGCAGGTATGACATCGTAGTGACCGTAGAAGAGAATCTTCTTCCGCGACGCAGCTGTTGCAGGGTTGCCTCTAAACTTGGCAAATACGATCGGATTGTATGGCTCGCTCGTGTTGATCATCTCAGTGACGGCACCAAAGTTCTGGAACACCGAGCGCAAGTAAGATGCGCCTCGCCGGCAGTCGGCTCGATACTTGGGCAGCGATGAGACTGTCCGGAAGTTGACAAATTGGCTGAGTGATTCTACCATGAGATCTGCCAAGCATTAGCGCAGCCAGTCATCGTCAGATGCGTGTACGTACCGTTATTGCTTCTTCGTGTGGCGGCCGTAGGCTCTGCGCAATCCCGCACTTCCCATATGACGATTGTGTTGTCATTGCCACCAGTCACCAACGTGGGTTTGTCGTTGTACGTTGTGTATGCAGATGCTAGGATCACTCCGTTGTGCGCTTTGAACGTTGACATGGTTTCGTAATGCTCGTTGAATTTCTGAACCTGTCAGTAGGTGTTCTGGAACAACATAGATAGCTTGACTTACATGTACGACGCCAGACTTGCCGCCGGCGAAAAGAACGCCTGCCCCCAGTGTGAGAGTGTGGACGTCGCCGGTATTGGCTTTCAGACTTCTGACCAGCTGGCGCGTTTCCAGGTCCCAGACATTGACCTCGCCATCGAATCGTCCGCTGTAGAGGAAAGAGCCTTCACGGGCCAAGGACAAGATTGACTCGCCCTCTTCTCTGCCGTCCTCGAGTGCACAAATGTTGGAGATGGAGCCTCCTCTCGCTGAATCTATACGCCAAAGCAGAATGCGCCCGTCGCCTCCTCCAGAGACCAACACCTCTTCTGAAGGAGCTTCCGGCAAAATGCCGGTGCCCAAGAGCATGCAGTGGACGTAGCCAAAATGTGCAAACTGGCAGATGTCCTGGCTGTCGATCTGGAGCTCCTGCCCGCCCACGGCATCTCGTGGCTTCGTATCTGCACCCAACGGTTTTGGTGTCTGCGCGCCGCCGGGGCCTAGCGAATCGAAAAAGCGGTTCTTGCGTTGTGAGGGGTGTGACGCGAGTTCAGGTCGCGGGCGGGTGTCCTTCTCCTTCAGATCATACCATTGTATACTGGTGTTTTGTGCACCGAGATAGACGGTACGGTGAATAGACGAGTACGCGACGCAGAAGATGTCGCCGACATCGTAGGGCGACCAGAGGGCGTAGAGATGGCGGAAGGTGGAGGTGCACCAGACCTGGCAGGTTAGCACGTGAATGTGTTGCGAGGCAAGTAGCTGCGTACATTGATGATGGGGTCTGTAGCACTGGAGAAGAGAAATTGCTGGTCTTGCGACAGACACAGACCGAGTACGCTGCCCTTGTGTGCCTGAATGACGCGCCGGCGCTCGTACGTGTCGAGGCTGTAGACCTGCGGTCTGTCAATGCTGGCCGCTCACGTGCCTCCATCACCTACGAGTAGCTCGCCTCCCTGTGTGCCGGCAAAAATATACTGCGAGGACACGGCAAGCGCGAGAATCGACTTGTCGTGCTTCATGCGGTGCGACAGGGCCGGTGTGCGTGTGTCTCCAGGCGCGCCCTCGCCAATGCCATTGCTACTCGACGCGCTTCTCGCATGGCTCGACGGTCCTGTCACGGGCATGGTCAGCCAGGCCTCACCCGAATGTGGTGGTGGTGCATTTTGCAAGCACGGCGGACCTCCTGCAGACGAGTGCTGCGATGACGGAGTTCAGGGTCCAGTCGCGTGGGCACCCCACCGCGCTAGAGAGCCGCCAACAGCTGGCTTTCCAGTGCCCGCTTCTTTACTCACCTCTCAGTCTGGTCCTGCTCTTAACGCTGCTCGCCGTGTCCTGTGCGGCCATGGAGCGCGCGTACTGACACATGGTGACAGCTCGCCCTTGGGCACTGCAGGCCGACAGCAGCGAGAACGGGAAGATGGGTCCGACGTCGGCAGCTGATCGTGGTCGTGGCGGTGTCCAAGGGGCCTTCAGGTGGAGATATGGTGTGGAGAGCTCGCCATCGTCGTCAATGGAGGTGACAGACGCAGACTCATGTTCACTCGACGTCTCCTCAGGGGAGCTTGAGCCATGATGCTCGGACATGGTAACATTTCACCGTGCGTATGGCGAGCGAGGTCCCTTGAATGGTGTGATCACGTCCAGATAAGTAGTGCATAGTACAAGCAGATGGATATCCCTTGGTTGCTGCATGTTGCTTTATCGTGCTTGCCTTTCGCTGCTTGTGCCGGGACAGCGCATGCGTTCGCGAATGCGGTGCCTATCACGGGTGTGTAGTCGCTGCTACAGCTGCTTCTGCATCTGCATTGGCTGGCAGTGAGAGAACGAGACACAGGTCATGCCGACACGTGTCGAGGCTGCAGACATGTTCGGCGCCAGAGGACATGTTCGGGGTATGTTGGCCTCTATAAGTAGCTCGCCTTCTCGTGAACATGTTCCTGGTGTTGCTCGCGAGGCTGCCGTTGACCAGCGGCCCGCTGTGCATGCAGCTTGTTGTTTGAGGACTGATCGTCAAAATGAAGGCCCCTCAACGGACACTTCTCGGTAGTGCGTGGATTGCCCATGAATGCCGTGAGTCAGGTCAGGCACCATTGCGACAATGAATGTCTCCCGCAGCAGCAAACCTCTCGCCCCCAAACTGGACGTGTGCCTGCATGCTCTACATCATCAAGCATTCAGGTTCTAGAGTCAGCTCTTTCGCACCGCCACAGTGGCTGACCACTGTGGACCAGCTGGTACGGGCTCAGCTGGCATGGACCCAAGGCGTTGGCGAGCCCCAGCGGCCCAGCCACCTTTTGCAACCCTGCGGCCGATCTGTGCCAGCGCTCACCGAAAGTACCTCATGATAGCATTTTGGGCAGCAATGACAGTCGCCGCACGCGCAATATCCGACGCGCCTGCATGCTTTCATCAGCGTGCGTGAGAGGCCTCCCCGCCAACCACTCCCATGGGCGACACGTCTGCAGGAGTTTTCTAGGGCTGCAGGCGCACGCTTCGTTGCCGCCTGCGATTCGCAGCGTCTCGCTGGCCGCATGGTCGGCCAGGCTAAATGGGGCCGAGCTCCATGTGCCGTGAGCTGGCGACACGCCAGCACCGACGCTGCACCCGCCTTCCCCGGCCTCATCTGTCGCAGACGAACGAATACCTGCGCGCGACGTCGCATAGTCACGATAGAGCACCTGCCGCAGCCGTGACTGGAGCCGTCTCGGCCGTGCTCTCTGCCTCCGTGCTCTTGCTGTGCCCCTCTCCCACTGGCTACTTTGACCGACGCCTCACTCCGCGTGTACCCTCTTCTGCCCCTCTGCCTGCGCTGCCCCAGTGTGAACTTGAATAAAGACCCTCTTCCGCCGGACTGGCATTCCATGTGGAGCTGTGGAGTGCGCAAGCAAGGTTACCGCTTCCGAAGCATTGATGATTTCTGACCGCCTCGTCCTTGGGTAGATCAAGTACTGTGCGCCGCCGTTGCACGTTAGACGCTGTACCACACCACTCTTTGCAGCTGCAGCCTCCACATCCAGTCGCAATGGGCGTCGGCGAAACTATCACCGTCATCAACAAGTCGGGCAAGGTCGTGAGCAGTGTAGGTACCACGGCCGATGAGAGGCCGCCTCACTGACAGTTGACAGAGCAAGCACATTGTCAGCGTTTTCAAGGAGGCCAAGGCCGCCTACCGCGAGCGCAAGGCTGAGATCAAGGCCGAGCGCGATGCAGCCGTGCGCGAGAAGCAGGCCCTGAGCCGCGGCGTTGAGGCTCTGCGCATTGAGGACGACGTGCAGTCGCGCGCATCCTCGCATCGCTCGTCGCACTCAAAGGCATCCCACCGGTCCAAGTCGCACAGGTCGCCACGCGCAGATGGCCGCCCAACACTGGAGCGCGGCTACACTGACAGCTTCTATGCCAACGACAGCCCGCGCGGCAACCGCCACCGCTTCGAGGACGACCTTGCTGGCGGTGCCCGCGAGGGGCACATGAGGGAGCTTGCCCGGCGAAACTCGGACCAGGTTCCGGTCCAGCGCCAGGCTAGGCGTAACTCTGTCGACATGGATCTAGCATACGGCGACATCCCTCCCCCACTGCCTGACAAGAAGTACGATGATGTCGAGCTCAAAGACAAGGCTTCCAAGATCACCATGCTGCTGGACGAGGCCAACTGCCTGCAGCACTCCGCCACAGCCATGATCGAGAACCTGCAGAAGAATCCAGATGCCCTCGCCGCTGTGTCCCTCACCCTTGCCGAGATCAGTGCCATTGTCAGCAAGATGGGCCCTGGCGTCCTCACCACCCTCAAGGGTTCCTTCCCCGCCGTGGCTGCGCTGCTCATGAGCCCGCAATTCATGATTGCTGGTGGTGTCGCAGTCGGCGTCACCATCGTCGCGCTCGGCGGCTACAAGATCATCAAGAAGATTCAGCAGCAGAAGGAAGATGAGATGCCCATGTTGGAGATGCCTATGGGCGGTCCCGTACAGATGCCCATCCCCATGCAAGCACGTGCAGACGAACCCTACCAACTCGACGAGCTCGAGACTAAAGAGCTTGGCCGTATCGACATGTGGCGGCGCGGCATTGCCGACGTCGAGGCTGAGAGCTCCGGCTGCAGTGTCGATGGTGAGTTCATCACTCCCGGTGCCACGCGCCAGCTCGTCGATGCCGGCGTTCTTGACGAAGACGACATCAAGTCCCGTCGCAGCGTCAAGGCCCGCTCCGAGCGCCCCAAGTCGCACCGTGCCCGCTCCGACGTCCAGTCTGTCCACTCGGTCCGCTCCGAAGCCCGTTCCGAGGCCCGCTCTGAGCGCTCTGCTCACACGAGCAAGACCTCCGGCACACATCGAAGCAAGACCACCAAAGAGGGCAGCAAGCGCAAGGAAAAGGAGCCCTCACTCATGAAGCAGCTCTTCCGCTCCAAGACCACGGCGTACTAGATACGACCAGTGACACTACGAACACCGACGTCACGAACCCTGAACATACGAACACTCCAAGAACACACGAACTCTAAGACATATACGAAATCTCAAACCACGAACATCCTAAACGACAAACACTCTAAAGAACACACGAACCCACAAAACCACATCTGTTTCCTTTCCTGCAGCGTTCCGCGAGCATCGCCTGCATCCAGTCAGTATCTCGTCTTGTTTGTCCTTATATACCATAGACGCTGCGCTCCAATGCACACCGGCTGTTGTCTGTCTACTGCGTATCTTCATTTTCCTTCTCATCCGTCATTTCTTGCTTCATGTACTTAGGCTTGGGCATTGGGGGGCGTAATTTGGGATTCTTTACAGATCTGCTTGGGTTTGCTTGGGTTTGCTCAGGTTTGATTCAGACCTTGATGCTTGACGCTTGGAATGGCGCTTTGTATACGTATCTCCACATAGTCAATACGTCAAATCGTCAATACGTTGATATAATGATGGCATCTATCGTGTAGTGCGCGTGTGTCATGCTCTACTCTGCTATACTCTACTCTTCTTTGCTCTTCTGTCCTGCTCTACCCTCACGCATCACAACAAATCAACGAGATATTAAAACGCCACAACACTGCCCAGAGGAGAGCACACCGTCTCCATGCAAGACAAAAACAATCGCGAGCAGTGCGCTGTACTGCGAAGATCCATGGTGTGGTAGTTCGCAGTGCAGTGAAGCAACCGTCAGCCCTAAACCCTCATACAACCCCTGTCCTTGCTACTGTAGAATATGCAGACCCACAGAGACGCGGCGAAATCCTCTGACTCGTTGCACATATTGGATTTGGCATCTGGCACGGACGATTGTGGATCGCGAACCTACTGCAGAACGACAGGCCGATGGTGTGCAGCTGCAGCTGCATCTGCATCTGCATCTGCATCTGCGTCATGCAGATTGGTCTATGCGCGAAGGAGTTGGGCTTGGGTTTGACAGCTGTTGATCGGATGCAGGTACGTGGGCTTGTGCGGTTTCTCGGTTCCTGGTTCTTGGATATTGCATCGATGGTATTTTGATGTAACGTCTCTTACGGCTGGGGAAACGATGATGTCGGCAAGGCTCTTATTCATCGTTCTCGTGGTGCCACGGTAGAGAGTGGGTGAGCTGGATGGGTGTGTCTTGTATACCGTAGATCGCATGGTGTCTTTGCAGTCTGCATTCTCTAGATGTACTGTTCGAAATGTCGCAGACGCAGCCACTCTACTTCTTGCCCTCGTTTCGCCGTCGTGGATAGGCTGCTACTAGTACGCTTTGTGTGCGTCTCTTCTCCGACGTCTTCTCCTCCTGTATGTGCGTGGGAGACTGATAGGTCTCTGAGTGTGCTTGATATGTGTCTCTGCTCCTATGTCCTCTACTCCTGAGTGTCTTTGAATCCGTCCCCGTCAATGGTCACCATCCTCCAGTATCAGCCCAACACGAAGATCCTCCCCTTCTCAAGTGAATACGCGAGTCCCACAAGAGCCGCAAGGCAGCAGCAAGCGTAAGCGGCGGCACGGCATGCGGGTGCTGGACTCGTTTGCTAGTTTCCTGTTTTGGTAGGAGGAAGATTCCCTTCACTTCGAGCCACGGTGTGGCGGTGACGCAGCGCGGGCGCGGGCGCGGACGCCGGCGTATATAATCACTTTTTGCCTGCGCCTGTTTACTCTGCACCACTTACTACCACCACTGGCCCCAAGTACAGTTCAGGACTTCCTCTCGTCAACGTCGCGGCTAGACAGCTTCACAACGTCGTAGCTTCCCCTCCAGACTCCTTGCTCTACCTTCCGTGAATGTCCTAGCTGTGTAGCTTTACAACCACGCGGCTTCGCAACCTCGTAGACGACCCACGTAAGTACTCAATGCCGTGTGGTGAAGAAGTGGGCTTACGCGTCGTTAGTCTAGCAGCTCTATTGACTGCCTCAAGTATCGCCTCCACCGAGATCTCACCTGATTCTCACTCTAGCTCCCTGTAGTCGTCTTCAGTAAGCACTGTGATACGCACCGAGTGACCTGATTTACTGACTTCGTCAGTTTCCTGCGACAGCAAACTTATTTGCTAGTCAGATCTGGGTTGACATATACATCCAGGTGAGTGCGATACCTCGATAAGCTGACCGTGGCTAACACCACTTCAGTGTAGCAACTCAACGCCCCTACTTCATTACTTCTTCTTGCCCTTTCGCCATGCCTAAAACCTGGGCCTCCGTAGTCAGAGATGCTCATAAGATGCCGACGCCAGATGAGAGGCTCAAGGCACTAGCAGCCTACTACCGGACGCTGTCACCCAAGACTATCCTTGAAGAAGCTCTAGGGAAGCAGCAGCCATACCTTCCACGTACGCCTAGAATCGCCCGTCCACTTGTGGAGCACACGATCGTGATCTGTATGGACACCGAGTCGCATACTCTCAATACCGATCAGATGACGGAGATTGGATTGAACTTCATTTCCCGCAAGACGGCGAGTGACCTTGGTACACCGGGTCCTCACGGTTGTAGACTTCAGGAAGGGCTGAAGTTCCTGCACTTCCGTGTGGTCGAGCACGCGCACCTGAAGTCCAATCGTGAGGATTCGAAGGGACCTCTTGGCAATCGTTTTGGTCACACGCGCTTCGCGACCTTTGCAGAGCTGCGTATCATCTTGCACCACCTTTTCAACCAGAACATCAAGTCAGATAGGCCTGATCTCAAAGGCTGCAAGAGCCCAATCATTCTTGTTGGCCATGCTCTTAGACACGACACTGAGAACACAACCAAGAAGGGTCTCGAGTACAAGATCGACGATAATCTCACCGTCGTCGCCAAAGTTGACACCCAAGCTTTGGCACGAGAGGTTGGCGTCTGGATACCACAACCTGGCATGTACACTAACGAGATTGGTCTGCGTGTGATGATTGAGAAGCTGGGATTCCAGCATCTGGATGATCACACGGCTTGCAACGACGCCGCCCGCACCATGATGTGTGCCATCCATATGGTGCTGCCTGACAGCCTTCGCCAGCCGTTCGGCATCCCCTCAATGCAGGAAATTGCCGACCGCATTGAGGCGTCGAGCAAGACCACGTCGCCGGCGCCCTACGGTACTATCGAGTGCTGCACCCGCTGCGGCGCTCGCGACCACTCTCTCGCCGCCTGCAAGACCTCCGTGGTGTGTGAAGCATGTCGCCGCTTTGCTAGGGACTCTGGTTGTGCGTGCAACATGAGAAGCCACATTGAGATGTACTGCCCGCATGTGGCGCTCTTCAAGGCATGGGCACGCCGGTATCGCGATGCGCGCACAAAAAACAGACTGTTGACGCCAGAGGTCGCAGCGGGCCCTGGCGCCGACGCGCACCCGTGGTCGACGTGGCCTAGAAAGATCGAATGGCCGCTGGATGAACTGGATAATGTCCTTGAAGGCCTGGACCTGGTCGAAAAGCACAAGGAGTTCGAGCAGTTGACGGCGGTTGAGGGTATCTTGAAGGCAGCGCTTGGTGGACTCGCGGTTCCCAAAGATCCACTGGGAAACAGCAAGTCAACGGTGAAGGCAACCCCTGCCCATCCGTCAACGAAGGGTGCTTCAAGTGTAGCACGCCCTCCAAATCCTCCTCGCTCGAAAGCTGCTGCTGCTTCGAAGGCTTACCCCCCTACTACGTCTCGATCTCGCGCTCACTCTACTTCGAATGTAGTACATCCTCCTAAGTCTTCTCGCTCGACAGCTGCTGGCACTTCGAAGCCTCGCGCCAACAATACTCCTCGATCTCGCGCCCACACTACTACAAATGTAGCTCACCCTCCACCATCGTCTCGCTCGTATGCCGGCGCTGCTTCCCGGTATCACGCCCCTGTCACTCCAGCCCAATCCCCCCAAGCTGCGGCACCAGCCAGGAGGGAGATAACCATGTCTGAGGAGCGTGCTCGTCACAAGGCTAATGGGAAGAAGCACTGTGGGAGGTACGGCGTAGGTGGCCGCAACGAGTGTTTGCGAGGCGCTGCCGCTCACGGTAGTCCCACGGCAGCTTGTGTTCAATGGTGGGGGGACGATGAGAAGTGCCGGCCCTGATGTTGATTCTTCATTGGATGCCACTGCAGTGTTCGAGTGTGTGTGGATACCTTAAAAGCTGTTTCGGTGTGCTTGCACTGGCTGTGTAGGCCCCAAAAAGCGTCATCTTTCTTACATCTTTCATAGCAATCAAAGGTGACTTTCTTGCAAATCCCTATCGTGAGTTTCTCAGCGCTTTGACGTCATGCGACGGACTCCGAGATCAGGTGTTGATGCTGCCGCCGCCTAGGACACGATTTAAGTTTTCTTCTCTGTGGAGCGAAGTACTGATAATACTGCATGTCATACCAGAGAGGGCGCTCGTCTTACTCAGAGTGAGCGTGCCGGAACATTATAGACCTACCTCATCGCTAGGAAACAAAGGCTGTTGAGGAATATGTCGTACTTGAGCTGGAATGGCAGCTTACCTAACACTGCCAGCTTATTGCTCGGGAGGCAGGATGTGGACAGCCGGCAGTGATTAGCAAATGTATCAAGCTCCCGCACCAGTTTACATGGAGTGGCACAAACCCCTAAGCATCGATCAGCTTCGGCGAGATGCAAGGCCTATCCGATCAGACCATAAGCTCACTCCCGTGTTGTTGAGACCACAAGATCACCCCGCTACGTGGCCTCAATGTGCACATTGTGGAGTGCAATTGACGTTTATACGCATAAGATGGAGGTCGCGGATGCTGAGACCAATGGCTGTCGCCAAAACCCCACCTAGGACGATGTCGTGATCGGGCACCTCACCACATTTGTAAGCCTCGGTGTAGACGTCGAACCCTTGATCCGCGATTAGTATAAAGACCATAAAGAAGTGAGAGGCTCGATTAACGCACCAAAACTGCAGAAAAAATGGCATCGCAAAAGCAACTCCACTTGACAGCGTTCATGCGCCCGGTCTCCTTGCACACCGGTGCGTGGCGGTATCCCGGAGCGTACCCGGATGCGAACTTCAACTTAAAGCATCTGAAGACGTTCATTCAGGAGTTAGAACGGGCGAAGTTCGATGCGTTCTTCATGGCCGATCACCTCGCCGTGCTTAATCTCCCCGACGACGCACTGCGCCGCAGCCACACAGTGACTTCCTTCGAACCCTTCACGCTGCTCTCCGCACTGTCGCAGGTCACAGACAGGATTGGTCTTGCAGCCACAGCGACAACGACATATGACGAGCCGTACCATGTTGCGCGCCGCTTCGCGTCGCTGGACCACCTGAGTGAGGGACGTGCCGCGTGGAACATCGTCACGACGGGGAATCCGGAAACGAGCAAGAACTTCGGGCTCGACGAGCACGTCCAGCACGCAGATCGGTACAAGCGGGCGCGCGAGTTCTACGACGTGGTGACCGGGCTGTGGGACTCGTTCGCCGACGATGCTTTCGTGCGCGATCAGGAGAGTGGGCTGTTCTTTGAGCCCAGTAAGATGCACGTTCTGAACCATGTCGGCGACGATCTCAAGGTCAGGGGGCCGCTGAACATTGCACGTCCTGTGCAGGGCTGGCCCGTTATTGTGCAGGCTGGGCAGAGCGAGCCCGGGCGCCAGCTCGCAGCTGAAACGGCAGAGGTCGTGTTCTGTTCGCCGAAGGACCTTGATGCTGCAAAGGTGTTGTACGCGGATATCAAGGGGCGGACGAAGAGTGCAGGGAGAAATCCAGAGCATCTTAAGATTCTACCTGCGGCGTTGATCATCGTTGGCGACACGAAGGAAGACGCGCAGGAGAAGAGGCTCAGGCTTGACAGCCTGGCACACTCGGACTCCGCGGTAGCAAGCCTGAGTGTAGCATTGGGCGCTGATGTATCGCAGTACGATCCTGATGGATTCTTACCCAAAGACCTGCCGGAGACGAATGCGAGTCATACATCGAGGGCTTCGGTGCTGGCGCTTGCGGAGAAGGAGGGACTGACTATCAGACAACTAGCAAGTCGCTATGGAGGATTTGCTGGTCTTGCGTTTGTGGGCACGGTGGAGAGCATCGCGGACGACTTTGAGGTGTGGCTCAAGGAGGAGGCAGCGGATGGATTTACCGTTTGCTTCCCATTCTTACCGGAGGGGCTGAACAACATAACGCAGAAGCTGATTCCGGAGCTTCAGAAGCGAGGTTTGTTCAGGAAGGACTATGAAGGGACGACATTGAGGGAACATCTGGGGCTGCCTAGGCCGAAGAACCAGTTCTTTGAGTAGTGAGCTACGATAGGAGAGCTGCAAGATTGAATGACGAAGATGCAAGCAATACGAGTATCAGTTCGCGTGTATCTACACGTCTCTCAGCGCATATGCAGTGATTTGGCCTTTCGTTCCAAGGAGCAGTGATGACGCTTGAAGGGCGACGCGTGTGGTCTGAGGGCGCTAGCTTAGTCACCCACATTCGGCAGTGCGGCGGCAGGCACGGGGCCAGCGTCATTGGCACTGTGGGCACCTGCATGACGGCACGCGCAATCACGCCAGGCTCGCAACACAGCGATGCCGTAGCTTCCACACAACGCTCCCACACTCATGAACCCGCCGTTTGCCAACGACTTTGGCTGAAGCCACGGATTCCTGCATTCAGTCGTACATCTCCGCCGTTGCGTGACCGGCGCCATGATAGGCACGTCGATACCGCATCTTATCTTCATTCGGCTCTGCATCTTCGCGTTGCGCCTGATCACGCCTCTAAGCATATTCTACGTATCTTTTAGCTTGGCTGAACACCCAACATCTGCCGGAGGGAGGTTTCTGCTCACGTGGAGCATCATTGAGGCTGCATTTTGGCTATTTGTTTATATACCCCGCAAACGATCCCTGCAGGCTTCTGCGCAGCACCCTCCGCTGCTCGGGAAGGATGATAGGAAGGCATTGTTTTGGAAATGCTGGGATAAGATCCCGCATCCAGAGTACTATGTCAGCCGATGGTTCTTGGGCGCACGAGCTGGTGAGGTTAGGAGGGAGAATGTGAAGGAGTTCTATGAGTGGGCGCTTCTGAATCGGGGGACCGAGAACGAGGATGAACTGGTGCGTAGAGCGCAAGAAGATCCTGAGGCGAAGATCGAGGAAGAAGAGGAGTTGAAGGAGTACGTGGATGGCACAGAGACTCTGTTGGGCCGGCCGATACCGCCTGGTCGTGGGCCTGCGAAGGGCTTGCGGTTGACTATCGACGAAGTCAACATGCGCCACCGACCGGTCGTGTGGTACCTGGTAAGTTCAGTATGCGAGACTGTTGGGTAGTAGACTAACGCGTCCAGATTGTCATGCTCGTGGACACCCTCACAGCAACATATCTCCGGTACAGCGGCTTTGCCCTCTACCGCACCCACCTCCGCTCCGCGCTCGCCATATTCCCCCCTCGGCCTGCATCGCTCTTTACAAGACAAATCTCAAGCGCCCCTGACTTGAACTATTGGTATCGCCCGCACACGTCCAAGACCCGCCTGCCGATTCTGTTCATCCACGGTATCGGCATTGGTCTCCTGCCATACTGCCAGTGGTTCAACGAGATCAACAAACACGACCCGCTCGCAGCTACGGATGGCGAAATTGGCATACTCGCGATTGAGCTGCTGCCTATCAGCTTCCGCATTACTGGCCCCATCATCAGCTCTGACGAAATTTGCCGCCAAATCGACATGATTCTCGAGCGTCACGGCTTCGACAAGGTTGTGCTCGCCAGTCACTCGTACGGCTCGGTCGTGAGCACGCACCTGCTCAAAAACACGTCGACAGCCTCCAAGATTGGCCCTACACTGTTTATCGACCCAGTCACGTTCCTCCTGCACTTGCCTGATGTAGCATACAACTTCACTGCGCGCCGCCCGCGCCACGCTAATGAGCACCAACTCTGGTACTTCGCGTCGACCGACATGATGGTCGCGCACACGCTGGCTCGCAACTTCTTCTGGGCTCACAACATCTTGTGGAAGGATGACTTACGAGGCCACGACGTGACAGTCAGCCTGGGGGGTCGCGATTTGATTGTCGACACGACCGTGGTCGGAAAGTATCTCTCAGGCGTCAGTTTGAAGAGCGAGGACCGTACATGGAAAGACGCCGAGTGGAGTGGCACGGGTATCGAAACGATTTGGTGGCCCACGGCAGACCATGCGCAGGTTTTCGAGCGCAAGGAAGGGAGGACAAAGCTCGCGCATGTTTTGAGGGAGTACGCCAAGCATAAGGAGCCAGCTGAGGACGAGGAGTGGCAATGAGGCTCGGGCAGTGCGGATCTATAATTGTCATGTCGAACTCACGTCGCATTACCTCACCACGACTGTTTTGGCCAAGATGCTGTGCCCACTTCGCCTTGTGCATGTGGGGTCCCGTCGGATCTCATGTTTCGACGCGGATCCCCGAGCCGGCCCCGCTAAAAGGACGACCTATATACCGCGACTTGGAAAGCGACAGATCAATAACCAAAGAATTGCACAAGTGGTGAACAATATCACAAAAAAACCTTCAGCTTTAGCGGATTAATCTAATACGATCCATCGCTGCCAACATGCCTAACGGAAACTGGATCCTCGGCGACCTCTTCACCAAAGACTATGGCCACAATGGCAGCATTGCCAAGTTGTGGGAAAACAGGTGGAAAATGCCGTGCCAGCGGTCCGTGTATCCTTTTCACGACGGCAGCTTCGCAGACTTCGAGCCCATCTTCGCACACCTGATCGCCGCCGACATCAACGACCCGTACACAGACGCCTACACCAACGCCTTCCTCCCCACAGCGCGTGCACTAGTGCAGAAAGCACAAGAATTGTCGCACCTAGGCGCAAGCTCGAAGATCGAGCACAAGGAGGAGGCGAAGTTGCTGTTCTTCCGCGCCAACGCCCTTTTCAGACTTGCGCGGTTCCCGTACATCGGTACCGAGCTGAAGTGCCGTGTCTTCGAGGAACAAAAGTCGGCGTACCTGCAGGGCGCCCAGCTGTGGGACGTGCCAATCGAGGAAGTCATCATCCCACACGTTCACGCCGCGAACGGCGACGGCGAGCGTATTCCACTGTACGTCCGGCACCCAAAGGGCGACGGGCCGTTCCCCACCGTCCTGCTGATCACCGGGCTTGACGGGCATCGCCCTGATAACACGGAGCGTACCGAAGAGCATCTACGCCGGGGCTGGGCCACTGTGATCTGCGACATCCCTGGCACCACCGTTGACTGCCCTGCAAACAAGCTTGATCCGCTGTCCCCCGATCGGCTCTTCACTTCGATCCTGGAGTACATTAAGCAGGCCCCACAGCTCGACGAGACGCATGTCATTGCATGGGGCTTGAGTGCGGGCGGCTACTACGCCATCCGACTCGCGCACACGCACAGAAGTAAGCTAATAGGCAGTGTTGGCCACGGCGCAGGGACACATCATTACATTGGCCGCGAGTGGCTGGGCCAGATTGCGAAGCACGAGTACCCGTTCGGGTTGGAGCGCGCCTACTGCCAGAAGTACGGGTATGACGACTTCGAGACCATGAAAGAGCGGTGTCAAGACGAGTTCAGCCTTGTCAGTGGCAAGGGCGAGGGCGTTGCGGTGGTGGGTCAGGGGCTCCCAAGTTGCAGGCTATTGCTGGTCAATGGCACGCTTGATGGGTGTATGCCGGTCGAGGACAGCATGTTGCTAGCGGAGTACGGGAGTCCGAAGGAGATGCGGTTCATAAAGGATAGACTGCACATGGGGTATCCTGAGGCGAATGCGACGGTATTTCCATGGCTGGAGGAGGTTATGGCAACCACGGTTGGTTGATGGACTCAGTACACGCGCGGAACGCAAGGAAGCAACGGGAGTATACGGCTACTACTTGTAGCCTAGTAACAACACATGAAAAGAAGCTCGCTCGCTGGCCCGTACCCACCACCTCCACCCTCCCTTTCCTTGCGACGGGTGCATCGATCTCATACTGTGTCGTTGTGACGCATTGTGAAAGCTATCTCGGAACGCTCTGCTGGGCGCATCGTAAGATATGCCAAGGCCTTCGACTGCAAAGCACGCCATACTACAGTGTACTACGGGGTTTGGCACGGAGGTCAAGTCCGGCGTACAGCGTGTACAATCATGGAAGTCATCGCGTCAGGCACATTCCGACATTGCTATCACGCATTGCACAAGCACACTATCCGCTCCGAGGTGTTTGTTTGTGTTCGCTGTTTCTGATGATCGACGTGTATAGGTAGTATCTCCTGTGGCATCTCCTAGCGAAGATGGCTGATGCTGCGTGCTACCAGCGCCGACGGGAGGCCGAGCAAACACACCAATATCGACCGGGTCGTCCAACCTCGGCTGCTCATTGGTCTCGCTTATCAATGTTCCTTGCAAACAGGTGCCGCGAGCAAATTGTAGATACCTCTTCGCCGCGCCGAGTCCGCGAAAAAGCTCGTCCACGCAGTAAGATCCAATCACGATTGAATGTTCTGGTTTGCGGGTGGATGCTCGGAGTCTGGCGAATGCCCCTGATTTGCCGTACGGTAGTGCGCGCCGCGCCGGCACGTGTTGGCGAGTCTTTCTCCTCCGTTGTCTCCCTGGATATGCTCGCTTTTTGCAATAGTATCGGCACGCGAAATTGCTTCCATTATGATCGAGTGGGTCTCTTCGAAAGCACCATCATGAAGACGGTTCAGTCCTGCAGCGAATCTCCTGGACATGCAGAAATCAAGTTGCTTTGCACCGCGATGTGGGGATATTCAGGACCAAAGGGCTAGGCTGACCTCAACCTCGGTGGCACTGTCTGGTCATTGTATGCCAATCGATCAGGGCGAGTCCAAAACAAGTGTCGCCTTCAGCTCTGAAGTTTCTCAGCTGTATTGACTGAATTCATCATAAATTATAGACGCAGTGGACTTACCTTTGTCTTGTTGTCGCGTCGCAAGTATAAACCGACCATTCGTAGGGGTGGTGGGTGACGTGCTCAAGCCGGCGGATAGCAACATCATGCCCAGGACTACCGAAGCCTGGGTACTGCCCAGGCCAAGAACAGTAATGCTGCACTACGACAACAAAAGACATGTTGACAGGAAGGAAGAAAACAAATTATTGCACGCTAAAAAGCGCAGGAAAGGTTGCATTTTACTCCATGGGAACAGTTTCAAGCTTGGTGTCGATGTAAGAGAGTCAACATGAACAAAGCGTTGGCAAGAGCTTGTTACTGACGGTCCGCAGCGCCGCGCGACTTGGAAAGACAGACTTCTTCACTCCGACGTCAAGACTTCCAGACCAGCGCCCGGAGTTGTCGAATCCTTGGACAAAGTGAGGAATCCTCCGCTAACTGTCAGCGGCTTGACAAAATTTCGGAATATCGCCAAATTACAGCGCGCCGAGCCGTCAAGATATCACGAACATGTGAGCCCAGCACGCCGAGCGATGCTCAGCCAAAGGCTGCCATGCTTCGACCGTACTTGGCGGCGCATTGTGGGTGATCTCAGGTGTTAAGCGGCAGTGTCGGAGCTATGATACTCCAGACGCGTGGGATGATTCTTCTGTATAAGTATTGCGTGCCCAGCTTGTACTTTGTGCCTCCGACAGGCAGTGACTTGTGTTGCGGTTGACAACCATTTGACAAGATGGGCACTGATACCAAAGACGTCGACTACACGAAGGCGGACTATGGAGATGTTGCCGAGCCAGTGCTCGTCCGTGACTGGACGGTGGCAGAAGAGAAGAAGGCCAAGCGCAAGTAAGTTGAGGCAACATGCGGAGCCGACTCGGACTGACCATGAACTTCCAGGCTGGACCTGACGATTATGCCGCTGCTCACTTTGGGCTTTTTCTGTTTGCAAGTAAGATCAACAGAGGCGCTCTCTTTGTGCGATGCTAATCTAGACAGCTTGACCGCGGCAATATTGCCAACGCCCTTACGGATAATTTCATGGAAGACATTGGCATCAACCAGGATCAGTTCAACATCGGTCAGCAGATGCTCTCCCTCGGTATCGTGCTCTTCGAGATCCCCGCCAACATGGCTCTCTACCGTGTTGGTCCTGGCAAGTGGCTCACGCTCCAGCTCTTTCTCTTCGGCACCGTCAGCACCTTCCAGGCCTGGCAGTCCAACTACGCCTCCTTCATCGCAACCCGGTTTCTGCTCGGAATTACGGAATCTGGTTTCATACCCGGCGGTTTGTGGACACTATCAACATGGTACACACGTTCCGAGACGGCCAAGCGTGTTATGATCTTCTACTTCGGAAATCAATTCGGGCAAGCATCCGCCAAACTTCTCGCTTTCGGCATCCTGCACATGCGCGATGTTGGCGGCAAGTCGGGCTGGTTCTGGCTGTTCGTGCTGATGGGCGGCTTCACGATCCTCAGCGGTTTCGTGCTGGGCTTCTTCCTGCCCGACTCTTTCAAGAAGCCACACTCGACTTTCGCCCCTAAGTGGCAGATCTTCACCGATCGCGAGATCCATATTCTGCGTACGCGTGTTCATCTCGATGAGCCGGCAAAGAGCCAGAAGAAGAAGAAGATCGGTCTCCCGGCGTTTAAGAAGGCGTTCTCCAACTGGCGCATGTGGGCCCATTTCGCCATCACAATGTGTAACAACGGCCCCCAGCGTGCCTTCGATACCTATGCCCCCTCTATCGTGACATCCTTTGGATTCGGCCAGCTGCGATCCAACGCTATGGCCGCGGTCGGTCTCTTCATCCAGATCCCCGTCTCGTTCTCCTTCAGTTGGTTCTCAGACCACTTCGACCGCCGCGGCGAGACGGTGATGGCGGGTTTCAGCTGCCATCTGCTGGGCTACATTTTCAACCGCATCTTCACCGAGACCAACAATTCGGGCGTGAAATACTTCGGCGTCGTGTGGACCCAGACCTTCGGCACCTTCTCACATCCCCTCAATATCACCTGGATGTCGCTGACCTGCACTGACTCTGAGGAGCGCGCTCTCGCCATGGCCCTGTAAGTCACCTTTCATTCCCACTCTGTCTCTGGACAGGTCACTAACGCTTGACAGGGTCATCATGGGCGCCAACATCGCCGGTATCTACGGCGCGCAGATTTTCCGCCGCGACGACCGTCCGAGATACCGCCGCGGCTTCGCGGTTGCGTGCGCTGTTTTGGCCGTGGGTCTGAGCATCGCCATCGGACGATACATCAGTGAGAAAGTGCAGCGGCGCAGGAAGGCCCGGCAGGTCGATGACGCTTCGTCTTCTGATGGCGAGGTACCGACGTTCTTGCCCACTGATGATCAGCCGGCGCCCATTGTTGATGGAAGGCGACCGTCAGTCACCACGGGCAAACTCTAAATGCTGGTTGAAACCTTGGAGGCGATCTCGGTCTCAGTGCGTAGTGTGTATGTATTGTGGATGATGCACGCTTCACACATTTTAGCTTTCATACTTAATCAATCGTGGGATCTGTTAGGATGCCCACGTCAACTCATACCTGGGCATCTTCTCTTTCTCTTGTCGCCATGATGTCAGTATGGCTTCTTTGTTGAATAGTGGAACAGTGAGCTTTCATCACCCATTTCGGCCAGTTGCTCGTCTGTGTATGTATCCCTTCCCTGCTCATGCGGCAGTGCTGCTCTCTTCGCATTTTTGCTTTTCAAGATGGAGCAGTAGTATTTTGGTCAAATAATTCCAATGGGCCGTTCAAAGAGGGAGAAATGCTGTGGCAGCAGAAGTTGCCGGAGTGCCTCTCGACATAGAGCGACGCGTCACCAAGCAAAGCTCTCAGCACTTGGGATGACTGCCCTTCGGACAATCTCACGCATACAAGTAACGCACAAATAGACACCCGATTTGCATACGACATGTGGAACGTCATGTTTGACACACAAATGGGCGAGGCCAGCTTATTTTCATTAGGTACCACCTGCGACACAATCGGTACCGCAGCCTTTCAGCTGAGGGATGAAACATCGCCATTCCGCCCTCCTCCTCTAGCACTCTACAAGTTAATCTGCAGTCCCAGAGTAGCCTTGACAGTGGCCTTGCCGTAGAAAGGCTCTGTACCCGCATTTCCAACGTTGACATACGTGCTATCCTTGAACACGCCGACCTTCACAAGCGCATTCAACCACTCCTTGATGTCGCCCTTGAACGTGCCCGTGAACTGCTTATCGGGCAACAGACTGCTCACAGTGATGCCTGTGTCCTCGTTCTTGCCCTGGTACAGCTTCCAGCTTGTGCCGAACAGGCTGGGGATTGTCGCCTTCGGGCCCGCGACCCACCCGATCGGCAGCTGGCCGCCGGTGTACTCGAGCCACAGCATGAGTTCCTGGGCGTTGGAGGAGGTCGAGTCGCCCTTGGTGTCCGAGGTCATGAAGTCGAAGCAGATGTTGCCCTTGTAGGCGGTGGTGTTGGTGCGGGTCCAGTCGTAGGTGGTGGGGATGGATTTGATGGCTGAGAGCTTGGTCTCGAGGTTCTGGGTCAGGCCAACGAAAGAGTAGCCCTTGGGGATGTTGTCGCTGGGGCAAGTTAGTTTCTGGGTCATTCAAGACTTGAAGCTTGTGCGTGAACTTACGTTGCCTTGACATAGTCAATGGTGGATACGGCGCTCCAGCTGATCTTCTTGTTTCCATCGGAGCCTGTGGTCACGCGGTCGTAGTTGGTGCACTGCTTGCCGACGGTAAGGGCCTGGTTGTACATCATGTTGAAGACAATCCAGGGTGTGTCGGTCAGCACAACACTGTCGGAGACGCCGCAGAGCGATGTCGCCTTCTGCTTGGTGGTGTCCGAGATGACCATTCCTGGCTCTGGCGCTGGCAGTGCCAGGATGGGGGCGACCAGCGCCAGCGAAAGAAGAGTCTTGGTAAGCATCATGGCGAGAAGCAATGTAAACGAATGTGTGAAACGAATGTGATAGTATTGAACAAGAAGAACTTGATCGAGGAGCAAGCCTTTGATAGGGCTCGGAACGGGTGGATCGCACGGGTAGTGACCGGGGGGTGGCCGGTAAGCGAGATGTGAATCATTTCCCCGAATGTGGGTTGCGGGTATGTGAAACGCGCTGCAATCAGACCAAAACTCGCCCATGGAGATCCAGAACAATGTCATCTCCGATACAGAGCCGCATCAGCCGTTTTTTAGCGGCATTTCCCTCCGCGCGTGCTTGAGTGGTGGTCGGCCATTGCAGTCATGTCCTCGACTTGTTCGCCTCTAATCCCCGCTTCAGAGCATCCCTCACATCCGTCCACACAGCGTCATCTTCCCACGCAAGCTTATGAGTCCTCCACTCCAACCAGTCCTCTACCCTGGTATCATTAGTATCAATCAATGCCGCAGCTACATCGACTATATGCGGCCTGTCATCACAGACATAGGTCGCTGCAGCCCCGCACTTGCCACAGAACGTTCTGTCCACTCCGGCGGAGCTACTGTATGCTTTCGCAGTACCGAAGATGCCGTCTGCCGGATACGGTGAGCCATCAGCAAGGGTGATGTGATTGCGCGACGGGAAGAACCAGGATATAACCCAAGTCGAGACCGTCAGGCGACAAGAGTTGCACACATCGTGAATGGCAAGCCACTTCTCCTTGTGTTTGCGGACGTTGTCTTCGTCGACCTCGGTGAACGTCTCGTCACCCGTCGGCCGGGAGACGTAGAACTCGAGACCTTTGCAGTCGCAATGCACGTGCAAGCGGTCCTGAACAGAACCCTTGGTAGCGACAGTCTCTTCATGTTCTGCTGAGTGCCATGGAGCGCTCTTGCCCGACCAAGTCTCCCATAGCGGCACCTCCTTCCCACCTATGTTTGGCAGCAGCGTCGCGAGCCCCCCATCCCCCGTACTTCCGACGAACACGTGACCAGCAAAGTCCCAGATCGCCTGTTCTGCATCAACCGAGGGCGCGGAGACGAACCACTTCCTTACATCGCCCAGCTGGATGGTGCCGAGCATGTGCGCCCCACATGTCGAGCAGAACCAGCGCGTGAGGTGCTCAGAGGTTTTGTGTCCCGTGAAGGTGGAAAAGTCGATGACTGGCTCTAGAATGATGGAGCCTGCAGTACATAGCGCGCCGGTCGAGCGACGGCAGACGCCGCAGTGGCAGAAGTGGACTGGCAGCGGCAGACTGGAGACGGGAATGGTGAACGACAGCGTTGATGCGCGGCAGTGGCATGCCGCATGGAGGGTTCGCGTCGCAACGCCGGCTTCTTCGACAGACGACATTAGTGGGTTTCGGTGGGGGTTTAGAAGTCGTGGAGTATTCGTGCGGTAGGCATCGTGGACTCGATGTTGCCCCGCACGTCAGCAAGGCGAGTCATCTTCGCATCCACCGTATCGACGCCTTCGCGTAGCTGGAGTGGCGCTTCGTGACTCGTGATCCCGTGACTTCGTGATTTCGTTGCAGACCTTGGTATTGAGAGTCAAGCCTCTATGTATGCGGTGGCTTCGCGAGGCTGACGAACTGACTCGGCTGGCGGAGATACGTCATCAGGACACCGCAACATTGTTCGACGTCAACACTACATTCCGCGATAGAGCTCGGCGAGGGGGGAAGTCCAACATGAGGCACCGGCACATAATGGGTACTTCATTTCATTTCTTTGGTCAACTCCCGTTTCCTTCTGTATGCACCGTTTTCGTCTTGGTTACTAATTCGCTTCTTGCCTGCTCGCTGGCACTCCCATCTGAAGCACTCGGGGGCCTGCTGCGACAGTCTCTGGCACAATGGTAGGCACTCGAAGAATTGTCGTCTTGGTTCGCAGCGGGGATAGCGGGTTGCAAAATATCCAGACGTTGCTATCTTACCTACGCAGTGGCCTGGAAGTCACAGAAGGTAGTCTTGGCCTTCTGCCCCATCTCCTAAGATCTGTTGGCCTGGGCTCGCGCGAGGTACATGGTGACGCCTACCTCTCGCTTCGCGCGGATCATCGAGGCCCAGAACTTTAGTGACAGCTCTTGGCCGCCGTTGTGTTTAAGCAGCGTCATGCGAATCGCTACATAGCCAAGGAATATGCGCGGTCTGACTTTCTGCGCTATGTGTCTGACACACAGTGGCAAGCTCAGAAATCGTGAAGAGAAGCCTACTCCATTCCATCCCCGACCGCTAGAAGAATATGGTGTCTTTAGACGTAGCGCCATGACAGTGGGGGTGGTCCGCATGTTTTGACAACGACTATACGTGTTTGTCCCATCAGTAAAGCAAGCATACCACCGGGTCAATCATGATGGGTGTCCACGATACCGTGTCTGTCTATACCGAGCATCAGAAGCTGCCCTCGTCATCTCCGTCGTCGTCGCTAATGCTCTGTCGCTCAACTGCAAGCGCCACAGGAGTCGCACGACGTGCCCAGCCATCCGGCGCTGCATACCGTATTAGCGCAACATCTCTCATGTTAGAATCGGGCAGAAGTACCTCCTCTTATCCTTCCAATCTCGCAGCCCAGATATCCACATACCCCAAGGAAGCTGCAGGTCGTGTTTGTGCAGCGTGGTAGTGATGGATCCGTCATGGTGCGTAATGAGTACGCGCGGGCCTGAAAGCTCGAGGGTCTGGAGCGCAGCACCGAAGTCTTCAAGGCTTCTCATGAATTGATTCACTTGTATTACGGTCCATGGGGGTCGACAGCCGTGCGGGCCTCCGGAAGGCGCTGGAGCGGCGCCATGCCAGAGCGACCACGGACAAGGCGGTGTGATGATATGAATGTGCAGAATCTGCCGTGTGTTGAGACGCCGAAAAGCCCCTAGTTTGGCCCGGATTGACAGGTTGGAGATGAGTGTATCGGTGAGCGTGATGTGAACATGGCGGATGACCTTGGAAGGCTCGAAATCCAAGCCCCATCTATCCCGACTTAGATAGTCGTCCAAGTTGATAGCAGGGAATCTATCAGGCTTGAAGGTAACGTATGTGTACCGAGACTCTGCTATCTCTCGTGCTACAGCCGCGCCAACAAGGTTTTGATTGAAATATGCTCTTTGGAAGTCGCCAGCATCCTCGTCAGGATGGAAAACGGTGCCCGTCTGGGCGCGAGTATCATGGTGGAGCTCATTATAGATCATATCCCGTATCTCCCGAGGAAAGGTGTTGTATACTTTTCCGCAGATGGCTGGTACCCAAAGCCGCTCGAAGCATGATTGTAAGAGGTCGATGTTCTGGGTCAGCTCGTTTCGGCGCTCCTCAAGCCTACGACAGTCGGCAAAGCTGTTGTTCTCGCTTACTGCCAAGGTGAGTATAGCTTGTTCATCAGAATCTGGTTGCCGTCCACGGTGAGCGCGATAGGCGTCCCAGTCTGGAAGGGTGACTGCACGCAATACGGTGAGTTCTTTGTCCGCACTAAGAAGATGTCGGTAGAGGTTAGAAGAAGAAGGTTGCTGTAACATACCTGTCAAGTTCCGTCCACACAGATTTGATTGCCGCTGCTGTCACAACGCCGTAGCTCGTTGCTAGACACTCCATGCTGATAGGACGAAGCTAGTACGAGAATGGTATACGCCGCTAGTACGGAGAAGGTCAGAAGGAAAACTTAGTGTCAGCGATGATCCACTCACGTTTGGAGAGTTGTGAGCTTCAAAGTTTATACGTAACCTCGGCATTCAGGCTGACGCAGCACGTGATGGACAGGCGCCGAAGCAAGTGCTTGGCCGCAATGCCCGGCGTCGCACGGGAGGGTAGCGGCAGCAGCGGCAGCAGTGCGACGGCATCCACCCCCTCGACCTGTCGCGTCTGATCGCGTGCATCGCTGCTCTCGATGCGGAATCCTGTGGCGTGTGTTTCGTGCCGCAGCGCGAAGCAGAAGTGCATCCACAACGACGCACCGCCGTGTGACCGCTGCCGGCAGAGCGGACGCGCCGCGCTCTGCGAATTTCCTGCACCAGGCACGTCAGCAATTCACCGCAGACCAAAACGCCCGCGGCCCTCAGAGGAGACTCAAGGCGCAACTCCCCCGGGCGCCCCAGCAGCTGCTACGCCCCTCTCTCGCCGTGGTGACGCACACTTGCCGAGTCCCACAGAAGCCGCGCCGCTGAGCCCGAGAGCGGCATGTTCGCTGCTCGACGGGCTAGACCCCTTCGACCTCTTGACAGACGAGGTCAAGAACAGCTACCTGCGCTGCTCGTACAAATGGAGCTTCCACCACACGCCAACGCTGCTGCTGCGCATCCGCGACCACACTCTTGAGCTGTACCTGGTGTGGGCCCTGCTGGCCCTGGCCGTGCGGTAGGCGCCCCGCGACGCGATGCCCGCTGGCACTGACACGCCGCAGCTTCGTCAAAGACCCGCCCGCGGGCTTTACCTCACAGACCGAGGCCAGCAATGCCTACGCCGCGCGCGCGCGTCAGCTGCTGCAGGCCGACCTGGAGACGCCGAGCATCAGCCGCGTGCAGGCGCTGCTCATGCTTACCGGCCACGACTGGGGCGCCGGCAATGGTCGCCGCGCGTGGATCTACCTAGGCATGGCTATCCGCCTGGTTGAGGTCATGGACCTGACGCAGGAGCTGAAGACGCCGCGCAACCGCATGCCGACGCGTGAGGAGTTCATCGAGGCCGAGGTGCGCCGCCGCACTGCTTGGACTTGCTTCCTGATGGACTCGCTGCTAAGCGGCGGCAAGGGCCGCAAGCGCTCGCTGAATGCCGCCGACATGGCCATCCAGCTGCCCTGTGAGAAGGAGGCTTTTGTCTTCGGCGAGCCCACGTGTACCCCGCGCCTCGATGGCAACATGCACATGCCGCCCATTGCCCTGCCCGTCGGCGACATTGGCATCATCGGCCACAGCATGCGCGTCGCCAACATTTGGGGCAAGGTTGCGCGCTGGGCGTGTACCGAGGACTTCAAGACGGAGTTGCCGTGGTCGCCCTCGTCGCAGTTCCAGCAGCTGATCTACGAGCTCGAACGCTGGAAGAACAACCTGCCCCAGCGCACGCGCTACGACCTCTTCGCGCTGCACAGCCACAACGCCGTCGAGCAGGGCCAGGCCTATTGCTACATGCACAGCATCTACTTCATGAGCTACATGTTCCTGCATCGCGCCTATCTCCCCGTGCTCGGGCCCCAGCAGAACGGTGCAGTAGGCGAAGAGACACCAAATTCGTACAACGAGCACACCGACTTGTGGAAGAATTGGCAAAAGACCTCGCGCAAGGAGCTGTTCAAAGAGGCAACCATGGTGTTGGAGATGCTGGAGGAGATGCGCACGTTCGGCGTCTTCTTCCTCCGCGGTCTGGTGCCATGGATTGGCTTCACCATCTACACAGCAGTCGGTGTCATGCTGTACTCCTTCAATTTTCCCAGCGACGAAGATGACCCAAGGATAGTCGAGAAGGCGCGTGAGAGGGTCATACAGGGCTGCACGTTCTTAAAAGAGATGAAAACGCAGTGGCCCATGGCAGCGACATGGGTGAGTGTCTTGATCATGTGGACCAGCATTCCCACTAACAATCGCTAGTTCGAGACCATCAAGCGCATGCAGGTCTATTATCGCTCCTTCTCCGGCCAGGACGGACCGGCTTCTCCAGAAGAGCGCAAAGCGCTGCGACGAGCTATGATCGACTACGGAGCTCTGCAGCCCTCACCGGTGCAGAAGCCTTCGGAGGCGAATAAGGGGCCAGACACCACTATCGTTCAGACAGTCATATCTCCGCCACCACAAGAGGTACGTTTGCCCACCACACTTTCAAATTCAAAATCTAACTCGTGCCAGAATAAGTTTCTCAGTGTCACGCTGGGACCAAGCCAGCCGCTCGCCACACCGCCGACGGCAGCGCCGACGCCAACAAACTTCAACAACACGTACTCGTGGAATACACCGAACCCCATACCGCCGCTGGAGCTTGACGAGGCTTTCAGTTTCGAAGGGTTCGATCTAAGCAATGCGGATTTGGAAGAAATCATGATGAACGCTACGCAGGACTTCTGGGCCAGCTTTCCTGGCGAGGTGGGCGTTGGGTATGGAAATGAATACGCGGGCAGTTAGGAAGCTATTTCTGAGCTCCCCGATTCCAAAGTGTATATTTAGTATTCCTAAAAGGCGTTGCAGTACAGAATGTGGACTTGGACTATCGGCAGCCAGCGTTCTTGATATTTGAAAAGTGACGAATCAGCATCCGCGGGACCCCCATCCTCGGCTACCTCCCCCGCGAACCCCAGCGTTCACCCCACTGCACTACGAACATTGAATAACTTTGCATCTGAACCTGGTCACAGCAGCCCTCCGAACTCGATTTTTTATCACTGCACAGTGGCACAATCCATTGCAACGTGCGGAGATAGCCAGCGAACACCGGTATCGGCCGCGGACGACTACTGACAGCACTGTGAATCATACCTCCAAAGATCATCGCTACGCCCTAGCGCTTAGCCCCACGCCCTGCGTACATACTGGTATCAAAACCTAAGATCCTACATCTACCCTCGCGTCTGCCTCTGTGTCGCACCACCACACGCCCCTACAACCTCCAACCCCCCACCGCCACCATGGGCGTCTACTATGAAACCATCCCCACCAGCCTCATTCCCTGGATCCAAAAACAGCAAATGCTGCTCGTCGGCACCGCACCCCTCTCCTCCAGCGGCCACATCAACATCTCCCCCAAAGGCGGCCCCGACTTCTTCGGCGTCCTCTCGCCCACCACCTTCTGGTACCTCGACCTCACCGGCTCTGGCATCGAGACACATGCACACCTGCATGAGCCCGGTAACGGGCGCATCTGCGTCATGTTCATGGCGTTCGACGGCGCGCCGCAGATCGTGCGCATCTGGGGCACTGGGCGGGCAGTCGAGGCCGGGACCGCCGAGTACGAGGCGTTCGTGGCCGAGCACAAGGTCAAGACGATTGTGGGGAGTCGCGCGATCGTGCTGGTCGATGTGCACCAGTGCGGCACGTCGTGTGGGTTCTCGGTGCCAAAGTATGATTTCGTTCAGTATCGCACGGTGCTGAATGATCACTTTGAGAAGAAGGAGCAGAAGTTCAAGAACGGCGATGAGAAGGAGTCAATGGATAGGTATTGGGCCTGGAAGAGTGCGAGGAGTGTGGATGGGATGCCGGGGATGAAGAGGGGCGTGGAGTATGCGGAGAAGCATGGGGTGGCGCCACTGAAGAAGTGGAAGGGGGAGTATGCGCCGGGGGGTGCAAAGGCATGGGGGGCGAGGGAGGGGCAGCGAGGCAGTGATAGGGCGTTGGTGTTTTTGGTGCTGTTGCTTGGGATTGTAATTGGGGGGGTGTTGAGTTTGAGTGTTGTTACGCCGGAAAGGTTGGGGATGCTGCAGAGGAAGGAAAAGTTGTGGTGATGGATTGAGTTAGTGTGTATCTCTCTCGGAGTTCTGAAAGGAGGCATCCGATGCCTGCCTCAATCTGCATTTACTGGATAACACCACTCGTCAACGGATATAGCAGATATCCGCAGTTCTATATAAAAATGCGGATCCACCTCCCCCCCCCCCCTGGCGAAGTGTGGTGTCTCTGCTTTTCGGGAGGGGGGTCTTGAGAATGTCATGGTTGGTGTCGATAGTAAGGGTTTGTTCGTGCTAAGTTTCGGCTTCTTTTCCATGGAACTATCGTCCTGGGTCAGATATAGTCGTATGCTCCAAATGGTCACGTCTGAACTATAGGTCCGGAAAGAGATAACACATTACCGAAGAGAACCCCTGAAGTAAAGTCGTCACGCGAGAGATGCACATCGATTACGTTGAATTTCTGATCCTTGTTCGGGAATTCGGTATACATGAGATTGTTCAACTGAACAGACGCATGGCCTTGTTACCGACATGCACACTTCAGACGCATCGCGCCCGATATTCACCACAAACACAAAAGGAGGAAGCCGGAGGTCCCCATAGAAGCAGTGTTCAAGAAGGAATAACGCATCTATCATAGAGGGTGGGTCCCGGTACTTCACCGTTGTGCGGAACATCTCACTCAGCGCTACCAAGCCGCGGAACGGCTAATAACCTTACCCGTCTGTTTCAGCCAATGAGCCATCGAGATTGTATTCCGCACGAGACCTCTGAGAAGATCCCGTTGAGCTGTCATTTGACGTGCCAGTGGCCACGAACCTCGGGAAGCGCTACCCCGCAAAGTCCCCGCGCAACGCTAGGGTTAGTCCTTCGACAAACCTGGCCGTGAAACGTGAACAGTGAGATCCAGAAAAAACATAGTCGTAATGTATCGGGGTTTGGAGCGATGACATCAATGCTCTCGCGGAATTCGAGTCAGTCTTTTCAGGATGGATACAGCCGAGCTGACGCACTGTTGTATCCTTCCTTATAAACATCAACTGATGTACAGTACTCCGACTTAATATCTAGGGTTCCATTAGCCTAGGTCTCATCAGGCGGTGACACCTGCAGACGCAGTGAGATTTCCTGTGCGTATTTTCGGAATTTCCGAGAAGACTTGTATAAGTTCGCAAGGGTTGGCAGAGAAGACGTCACCACCACACAATGGCTCCGGATCTCAATTCGCTTGGAAAGGACGAGCGCTGGGACTACTCTACTCCTGGATCAACGGGCTATGATATCCCAAACACAGTCTACAATGTGAGTGTGTGTTCGATGTGAGAGCAGCAGTTGACACAGCGTCAGGACCCGTCGACGAGAAAACTGAAGATTCTGACAATTGGAGCGGGTGTATCTGGTATACAGCTGGCGTATCATATCCAGAAGCATTGCGAGAACGTGGAGCATGTCATCTACGAAAAGAACTCCGATATTGGTGGGACATGGCTGGAGAATCGATACCCAGGTGAGACGACTTCGATAACGTGCTATGCATTAGTATTACGCTCAGAGACTGACTTATCGGAGGTTGCGCATGCGACATTCCATCCCACGCCTACACGCTCAACTTCGCCCTGAATCCAGACTGGCCCCGCTTCTTCTCGTATGCACCAGATATCCACAAGTATCTCTCAAAGGTAGTCGAAGTCTTCGACCTGCGCAAGTACATGACCTTCGAAACCGAAGTCGTGCGTTCCGAGTGGCAAGATGACAAAGGCAAGTGGAAAGTCTCACTGCGGCAGAAGTCGCCGTCTGGCGAGACTAAAGAATGGGACGAGGAGTGCGACCTGCTACTCTACGCAACAGGCATCTTGAACAACTACAAGTGGCCGAAGATCAAGGGCATCGAGAAGTTCAAGGGCCGTATCGTGCACACCGCAGACTGGCCGAATGAGTACCAGGAGAAAGAGTGGGAGAACGACCGCGTTGGAGTGATCGGCTCGGGTGCATCCTCAATCCAGACAGTGCCCAAAATGCAGCCGCACACGAAACACCTCGACGTATTCGTACGCACTGGCGTGTGGTTCGTGCAGATTGCGAACAACTACGGGCAGAACAAGGAGTACTCGCAGGAGGAACGAGACGAGTTCCGCCACGACCCAAGAAAGCTGGTTGCCCATGCGAAAGACATCGAAGGACAAGTCAACGGCCTCTGGGGCGCGTTTTACTCCAACAGCGAGGCGCAGAAGGCGGCTCAGCAGTTGTTTAGAGAGCGGATGAAGGAGTTCATTAAGGACGAGAGACTCCTGCAAGGTTTCACACCCAAATTTGAAGTTGGCTGTAGGTTCCCCGTTAGTAATCGTATGAAAAGCGGTACTAATACAACAAAGGCCGTCGTATTACCCCTGGAGATCCATACATGCAAGCCATTCAGAAAGAGAATGTGGACGTGCACTTCACAGCGGTCGAAGAGATCACCGAGGACGGCATCATCGGCAGCGATGGTGTTGAGCGCAAGGTCGACACCATCGTCTGTGCCACCGGTTTCGACGTAACATACAGACCACGATTCCCCGTGATTGGCAAAAACGGAGTAGACCTGTACAAGAAGTGGGAGAAAGCGCCGGAATCGTACCTTGGTCTCGCCTGCCCTGACATGCCGAACTGGCTCATGTTCATTGGACCCACATGGTAGGCCATTCGTGAATGAAATGAAAGTTATGCTGACAACGACCAGGCCCGTTGAAAACGGATCTGTAACCGGACCGCTGCTCAGCGTCAGCGAATACGCCATCCAGATCATCAAGAAGATGCAGCGCGACCACATCAAGTCCTGGGTCCCGCGCCAAGAGATCACAGACCAGTTCAACGAGCACGCTCAGGAATGGATCAAGCACACCGTCTGGAAAGGCGAGTGCAGATCGTGGTACCGCAACAACGACACCGGCCGCGTCAATGGTACACTCCCCCCTACTTCCTGCTTTCTCAACTGACAGATATGTAGCCGTTTGGCCCGGATCGTCGAACATGTACATCGAAGTTATCGCGACGCCTCGCTATGAGGACTTCGATATCGAGTACCAGCACAAGAATCCATGGGCGCACCTGGGCATGGGCCACGCGGTTTGCAACATAAAATACCCGAATTCAGACGTGTCGCCGTACATTCAGGTGGAGAATATAGATCCCAAATGGCTGAAGGCTATTGGGTACGAGGGACCGGCATTGCAGGTGCAGCAGGAGAAGGAGAAGAAGAATCACGTCGGGACTGATGGGTCGACGAGTGTTGCTTGATTGGATCGACAGACGGGACGAGCATTAGGACTGCAGCATGATGCCTGCTAGGATTACCAAATCGATGGAATTGCAAACCTATACAAGAACTGTTTCGGTGAATGTGACATGTAGACGCCCTGACAACTTCAAGCTCATCTCTCCTTCAAGAAGCCGCGTCCACTGGGGAAAGTCCAGGCTGAACTAGGTCCTGACCTCACGACTACAGCTGTGCTAGCCTTTGAAAGCTTGCGATGGTGTCAGTTGGGTCGATCGTCATGAACTGGACTGAGATCCTTCAGAATCTAGATCGGCATTGTCGAGCGCAGCTTTCGTAGTTTCGGAAGCGCCTGTTGCGTGGAACGATCCGACTGGGCGTATACCACGAAGAGGCGAATCGAAAACGAAACTGTTCGACTGTCGACGGCTCATCCCAGGCTGCTGAAATACACTGCTCGATCGTACATGGAGTTCTGGATCGTCCGAATAGATGGGCTTTTCGGCAAATGGCTTCATTGGCTGGCTTGCTTCTGGGGAAAGAGAACTAGCTCCCGCTGCTTGCCCTAGCCTTGAGGCTGCTAGCACCGTTGATCGTGAAATGATAGGCGTCCGCGTAGAGCCTTGGCGCGAACCGTCGTCTGTCGCTGCTATAACTGACTCTCCCGTGTCTTTTGAGTGCGGCAACCGGTGATGTCGTTTTGGTCTCGACTGACCTCCGGTAGTATTCGTGCCACTTGTTGCAACCTGCGTTGCGGATAACGCATTTGAATCTTCTTCAGCAGCAGAAGTGGGGTTCCGACGCACATGTAAATCGCTTCTTTCAGTGTCATTCGGATGATCTCGACTTGACCTGTTGAGGATTCCGAGGAATGTTGCCAATGATTTGATTGATAATGGACCCGTTCTCTGGCTTCTGGATGACTCTGTACCACTCTTCTTGCTTGAAGAGCCATCATATTTCAACCTCTTCCTCTTGACCACGCAAACAAGCTCTTTGCTTTCCTCTGTTGCAGGTTCATTGGGCAAGGGACGATAGGTGTGTGCTACATCTCCATCCTCTCGCACGTCCGAGACCACCACACGCATCGATCTGCGCACCTAGCCGCTCGGTCGATGTTGACGCACATGCACATACTGACGCCGCGTAATGCTATCACCAGAGCTGAAGCACATGTTTGAACGAATGTGTTAAATGAATGATATGATCGTGGGTGAAATCGAGAATTCCAAGGTTGGAGCAGCAAGATCGCAGAAACGCCGCGACGTGGCCGCGACCAGCATCAGGAAGGTGGGGTCCTGCCCAAACTCAGACGTAGCTTTGAGACGGAAATTTCTAGGAAGATATCCAGAGCGGCGCAGCAGTCGTGGATACATTAGAGGAAGCAGCTCCCGATGTTGTCGCTCTTTCTCCAGCAATGGTTGCAGTGGTTCCGAGACACCACCTAGGCAGGCGCTCTGCAGCCAAAACTGATACCTCAAAACTGGATTGAGGCTGATGCGGCAAACGAGATGGCTTTCTTTACTTGCCATGTGTAGTTGTTGATGGCAGCGGCTCCCTAGTCACGTGCTGGCAGCCGAGACCGCCGATCGGCAAGCGCTAAGTGTGCCGTTGAGATGGGATCTGTCTGCCGAGATCTTCTCCAGCCAAACAACATTACCACAGCTCTTGGCTGAACGCCATTTCGTGTGTACCGAGCTGGCCCTCTGAACTTTGTACCCTGCGAAGCTTAGCTTGACGTTGATCTTTTGCTGAATTCTACACAACCCGGCCTGAAGCGTTCTTTTTCGCTTATCAAGGTTTGCAGCCTGCGTCCGACGGCACACGCATCTGCGCTATGGGAGATCTGCAGCATCTGGGTTTACCTGCAGGACGGATCCTCGTGCGTTCCATGGTACACAATTACAGCGAGATGGTCTTCGCCGCTGTGGCTGCAATGAACGCCCTGTAAGGCCATCACAGGCCCGCGGAGGCGACACTCTCAAGGGGTACCTCCTCTGTCTTGTTGAAGCACCAGTCCTCATGTATCCTTCACAGAGAATCGGGCTGCAATTGCTTGTTTCGCATATCTGTGGAATAAAAGCCATAGTGACGACCTAAAGTCCTTCACAACTCAACGGCTGAAAGGAGAAGAGGCATTACCATAAGGGGTATGCACCAGGCGCTTTGACCCTAGTGCATTATTGCACCGTCCAGTACCAGCCTAGCATCGCAGCCTACACTACATCTGGCCTGGTCTAGCATAGTCCAGAGTGTGAATAGCTACGACTTCATTTCCTCCTCCAGCGTCGATCTCGTGGCTGAAAATCTTGGCCTTGACTATGGGAGTGGAAACTTGCCAAAGAGGGCATGCTAAGCATGACAAGACATTTTGTCAAGATAAAGCTCCTGAGCAATCCAGACCGTGCTCTCGCTCTTGCAATATCGCGATTCTGGATGGCGGTAGTGGCGCACTGATTATAAGTACACTCCTGCTGTGCGTAGCCTCAAGGAGCAGCCTGTCCAGCTCCTCTGTCGTCCCTCAATATCTCCAAGATGCAGTTCTTCACTCATGTCATTGCTCTTGTGGCAGTAACAACACCACTATTTGCCAGTGCTGCTCCAGTCACTTCTACTGATGGGATTATCCCTGGCAAATACATCGTCCGATTGAAACCAGATGCCGACATTGCGTCCATAACTGCTCACCACAATACTGTTCGCAATATACAGGCACGCAATATTGCTAAGCGCCATCGCCGTCCAACCGCTACTGAGAAAGAGGCGGGGGTCGAACGTGAGTATGGCTTCGGGAAATTCAAAGGCTACGCTGGAGCTTTCGATGCGGCGACTGTTGAGGAATTAAAGGCTCTACCGGAGGTAAACAGCACCCATTTGTAGCCGATATAGAGCACTGACATGTCTGCAAGGTTATGGATGTTGTTGAAGATTACATCATGTCCACCAATGCGCTCGTCACTCAGAGCAGAGCGCCCTGGGGACTTGGAAGTATTTCATCACGCACCAATGGTGCCTCCAGCTACATCTACGACAACACTGGTGGGAAAGGGACATTCTCTTATGTCGTTGACACCGGTATCAGGCTTACTCACCAGGATTTTGGCGGCCGAGCTCAATTCGGCTACAACGCAGTCGGTGGTGATAACAACGACAACCAGGGCCACGGAACTCATGTCGCCGGTACTGTCGGCGGCACAACATATGGCGTCGCTAAGCAGACTACTCTCATCGCTGTTAAGGTCTTTGAAAGTTCCCAGGGCTCTGCGTCCTCTGTCATTGCTGGTTTCGACTGGGCAGTCAACGACATCGTGTCTAAGGGTCGACAGAACGCGTCTGTCATCAACATGTCTCTTGGTGGCCCTGGCTCGCCGATCTGGGACCAGGCCGTCACGGCCGCGTGGAACCGCGGCGTCCTCGCCGTCGTCGCATCAGGCAATGAGAACCAGCTTGCCTCCAACCGCTCACCCGCCCGCTCGCCCGAGGTTCTCTGCGTCGGAAATGTTCAGAGCAACGATGCGCGTCGCGGCGGCACTACTGGATCTAACTATGGTCCCGCAGTCGATATTTTTGCTGCAGGCACAGGTATCACGTCAGCTTATTTCACCTCTGATACTGCGACTGCTTCCATGAGTGGTACTTCGATGGCCTCGCCTCACGTCGCTGGCCTCGTAAGCTACCTGCGGGGTCTTGAGGGCTTGTTAAGCGCGGCTGATATCAAGGCGAGAGTACTGGAACTAGCGACCCCGGGTAGGGTGACTGATACTATGGGCTCGGCGAACTTATTGGCTTATAACGGCAACGGCAGGTAGCGTTACGAGAAATGTCAAGTGAGGAACTGAGCAAGAGTAGATGACTCAGATGAAAACGTTATGTCATATGATACTAAATGCTACCAAGATTAAAGTGGATTTCGTCGACCTTCGATCCTAGCAGTGACTATTCTTCAGGATCGCGACCGTCACGTCTGGACATCTCCCTGAGGTACTCCTCGTCCGACTCAAGGTCGAAAGGCACAGGGCGCGTAAGCGGCAAGAAAGGCAAGCCTCGATCCTCGAACTGCTTCAGTCGCTTAGCAGTCATCGGCTTCGACTTATTGACGCTGTACAACTTGACGCGATGGCACGAAGACGTAACGTGAAGATCCCAGTTCCATGCGCTGCGGACATATGTGGGTTGGGTCTGGGCATATTAGTATCGCGGTTCGGTAAGAGATTCTGGCAGAACCTACATTCAATGCATCGTCCCAACATCTGACGCAGAACTCTAACCATCCTTCTGCATCGACTGGACATTCGAAGGACCATGTTCTCCAGGCGTGGAAGTACTTCTTACTCAACTTCTCATTGGGTACTTCGTACCATACGCCTCCGCCGTCATTACTGACTTCGACACGCTCCGGCCATCCACTGCCACTGTAAGCCCAGCCGGTGAATGTGATTTTGCCGTCATGAATGATGACGTCGTTGTTCACTGGCGTCATGATTGCAGACGAGACAGGCATGGTCTGGATACTGAAACCGTTGCTGTATGTCACGTTCTGCTTGCCCATCTGGGGGTTGTAGTAGAGGTACTCTTTCATCTGCACAGGGGCCATCGAAGGCGCATCGATGACATTGATGCGCGTGAGCCACTTGCAGGAACGAGCGCCAATGTAGCCCATAACCACAACACGAAGCGGTGCGCCGTGAATCGCAGGGAGGGGCTCGCCGTTCATCTCCCACGCCAGTAATATCTCGTTGATCTTCATCTTTCGGACAGGCGCAGAGACCGCGTAGTTGTACACCTCGCCCTTCTTGAAGTACGTATCTGCACCGAAGAACTCAAGATGCGAACCACCCTCCTTCAGTCCACCGCAGTACTTGATGACCTTCTTGAGGGACACACCGGTCCAGCGGGCGGTACCGATGGCGCCTTCACCCCAGGGTGCATTGATGAGCTCGTCGCCGTCACCAGGGTATTCGTGAATTTGCTCAATACGGCGGGTGCCAGAACATTGCAGTGTAGCAACTGTAGATTGACGGGGGAAGATGGATTCGTCTTTGAGCATATCGAGAGTGATCTTCTTGGGGTTGTTGACCAGACCTTCGACCTCGAAGAAGTATTTGCTGGGGTCGATCTCTGGGATACCGCCATGGTTACGGACGAAGAAATCGGGGTTATTGGTGATCTCAGTCTATACAAATTAGCTGGAAGCTTGAAGGTGGCATCGCAGAATGCGTACCTCAACTAGCCGTTTCTATAGATGGGTCAGTGATTGTCTGAGCCGTCATGATCCGATTACTTGCCCTTGGTGGTTCACCGTTATAGGGGAACTGTAAGACATGGATCATGTCCTCGCTTTTTTCCTTCTTGACATACTCCCATGAAATATCCGGCACGTTGCTTAGGGTTGGCCCCATGGCATAATGATAGTGTCTATTTGTGTAAGCGTCTGTTCAGACATGGAGCGAATATATGGAAACTCACTTCCAACGTACTCCTTCCAAGATAGGGTTAGTCTTGGGCAACGGTTCCATCTGAAACTCCGGAGGCTGCCAAACATCAGAATGTCACTCAATTTTTCCCCGGGTAGCGCAAGAGTACTGACCACAGGGAAATCATATTTCGCCATGATCTCTGCTGCTCTCTTCTTTTTCTCTGGATATCTTTCCCACTCGATGTAGCCCTTCCATCCTTCAAGCTCCTCTTCAAATACTGGCAACTCGCCTTGTACCTCGAAAGGCTTGTGGTTGGGCTCTGCGGGTGCCATTTTAGGATCTGGACTTCACTTTTGTGATGGGGGTCTACTGCTGAACGCGAACAATGCCTGCACTGTGGACACTCCGCTGCTTTTCTACTTACATTCTCGTAGTCGTCCAGATCGAGCCCGTCATGACCTCAGCGGCTCGGACTTACTGATAGTAAAACGGGGTCGTGCTCGCAAGCGACGAAGCTTGCTAAAGCTTGCTGCGGGTGATCCATGACCTATTACAGCTTTGTATACTTTGACTGGCGAATAGGATGCGTTGGATAGATATAGTTTCACGAAGGGTGCAGGGCATTTGGTCAATAGATGCGTCATTGTCGCACCGTTGTCCTACAGGGGTGTCCACTTTAAGATTGTATTTTGTTAATCCCGGGACTCCCGAGGGATTATGGAATCCACCGGATGAACTTCGAGACTGGCGCGAGCGCTGCATCAAAGACTGATACGCAGCGGGCAATGGTACAACCAATGTTGAGAGTCGCCAGCCCCTGTGCCATGTAATGCTTACACATGCTGAGGACATGCGGGGTACATGCGCCTCTCCTGGCGGACCGAATTGTCGTGATAGCCAGTTGTTTACGTTGTGTTCACTGGTCGATTGCCGCAAAAAAGAATGGTAGGGGCAGGGATGAGCTCGGTGTGTGGTGGTAGTGATCGAGAATGGCGCGCATTAAAGACGGCAATTGCTCGGCCACGTGCAGACCGCACTTTGACGAAAGATGATTGGTGAGGAAAAATGTAAGGGCACAAGCGGAAAAACCACCCATTGCGTCGCTCAAGTTTGCGGCGTTTTGTTCAATGTCCAGATTGCGATTACATCCGTAGAAGGTCACGACTATATTACTAGGCAAGTATGTCGACAGGTCGCATGGAACAACAGGGTTTCTTAGGTCTCCCAATCAAAGTTCCTTCCTGGACGATCGACCAACGCGTTTGAACCAGGGAGGAACATGTGGGCTGTCTGGTCGGACAGTACATAGCCTTCATCGAGAGGAGGCGTCAAGCAGCGCCATAATAATTGACTGTGATCTCTACAAAATAGTGGCATTCAAGCACGTCGAACTGCTCACCATAATTCGCCTCGTCCTCACGGCGTTTCGGCCAAGCTTTCGACTCGGTGTAAGACAGCAGGCCACGATGCGCGTCGCGTCGCGCGGGGAGACGGCCGTGCCGGACTTAGCAGCCGAACTTTGATCATGGATATCACTCACATGTCGGTCACGATTTTCAGGCTTTGGGGTCGTACATACGCCAATATTCTCAGACTGTGGTTGCAATTGCGGTTTTGATGCTCGGCTCTGGTGGTGGGACCTAAGTTGTCGGCCACGCCACAATCAAGGGGCCGCCGGGCCGCCACGCACCGCCTCCTCTGTACCTTCCTCTCATGCTCCACGACGTTCGCCGCAGCCTCAAGCGCGATCATGACAACAAAACGGATGCGCTGATGTAGTCACTTAATACTTCGATCATAATCGACTTTCTGACTCGGAGTACCAGGCGACTGCTGCCTGCAATCGCCGCAATGCGCTCGGTTTTCACCCCGTCCCGCCTCGTTGTGATGCTCTTCACCTTCTCTTTAATCAGCTTCCTCTGGACTTATGGCCTCCCACGTCAGCTTGCTGAGCCTTCGTTACCCATAATAGAGCACCCTGCCGACGAAGCAAAGCTTCACGACCCGATTGCGCCCGCGCCCGTCATTCGCACCTCTCACGCGACCCCCGCCATTTCTACTGCCACACCGACGTTGCGAGGAGAGCGGCCGAAGGAAGATGGCGATCACAGATGGGACGACAAGACGAAGAGACCAGATCGTGTGGAAGAGCAGACGCCACTGCATGGGCCAAAGGAGACAGGTCCTGCTGGGCATGACGGAGGCAGGTGGAGTGACAAGGAGAAGGCAGAGAAGAGTGGAAAGTCTGCGACTCAGATGACAGTTAGTGCAACTCCAGAACTTGTCACAGAGACGAAATCAAGCCTCAATACAACCACTGCGACTGCTTCGCCCACCTCGTTCACACCGTACGAGCATACAGCTGCTCCAGTCAAGGGATTCTGCAAGGATGTTCGTCATGCCCAAGACGTCATGGTAGTCGTCAAGACCTCGAAAGCCGAGATCTTCGACAAGCTTTCGGGGCACCTCTCTGGCCTCCTCTCCTGCGTTCCCAACTTCGCCATCTTCAGCGACCACGCAGGCACGATCGACGGCATACCAGTATACGACGCATTGCGTGACATCAGCTCAGAGACGCTTGATCTTCACGACGAATTCCGCGAGTACAGGATCATTAAGGCAGACCCCGAGTACAAGCCAGATCCAAAAAAGACAAAGGAACTAGACAAGTGGAAGATGCTGACTATGGTATACGAAGCATACCAGATGAACCCGCACGCCAAGTTTTATGCTTTCATAGAGGCAGATACAGGACTGAGCTGGACAAATCTCTTGCAGTGGGTGGACAGGCTGGACTACAGGATTGCATACTACAGCGGCGCGCAGTCGTTCATCAACCACGTCCAATTTGCACAACGCGGTCCTGGTATCTTGCTCTCGCAAGGTGCGCTGCGACAATATGCTAGGTCATACAAGGAACGATGGGCAAACCAATGGGAGAAGCGAATCAGCAAGGAATGCTGTGGCGACTACATCCTTGCAACTGCCCTTAATGACGCGCATGTCGAGCTGTATACGTCGTGGCCTCTCATGCAGGGCGAGCAACCGAACACCCTCGACTACACACGGAAGCATTGGTGCGCACCAGCCGTGACATGGCACAATATGGATCACGAGGCGCTGAACAAGAGCTGGGACCTGCAAAAACAGTGGACAGACAAGAATGGCTGGGAGAAGCCGTACCTTCACAGAGATGCATTCGAAGAGTACGTGCAGCCACACCTGAAAACGCAAGTAGAGGACTGGGACAATCTGGGATCGGACACGAAGATCGTCGCACCAGAGGGCCGGCAGAAGCAGCTCAAACTCAACGGCGAGAAACTCAACGGCGAGAAAGGTGATGATGCGCGCACCGCAAAAGAAAAGCTGGAGAAAGCCGCTGCTTCGCCGCCGCATCGACGAGGTGAGAAGAAAGACGAAAAGAAAGGTGACAAGAAAGACGAGAAGAAGGAAGAAGAAACCAAAGAGATGGTCGACTGGAACGTCATCGGCACCATGGTCAAAGACGGCGCCGACAACGCCGAGTCATGCAAGAAGGTCTGCATCGAAGTTGAAGATTGTCTGCAGTGGCGATACACTACGCACGGTGATGGCGAGTGCCATATGAGCAAGGTAATCAGAGCAGGCAAGCCCGTTGAGAAGAAAGAAGGCGCGCAGCAATGGACCAGTGGGTGGATGACGGACAGAATCAAGGAGACAACCAAGAAGTGGGTCTGCAAAGAAGTGAGCTGGAAATTCTATCAATAGATCTAGGGGTTTTGTTTGGCGTTATAAAGCATCTTACAGGGATCTCACAGCACAGCGTGTTGGTTGTACATAATTGCATTGTATACCCTCTTCCTCTGTCTACTGTTTACCGGAACACGTTGATCTCATCCAGACACTCCCTTTATCCCGTACCCTTCTCCGCTCTCGCCTCACACCTTCCGCTTGTGCACCTTTCTCTCGTGGTCGTCTCGCTTGTCTCTTCGTGGGAACCCTCGCTGTGAGCGCTCGCATGCAGCAATTCGACATTTGTACCGCTGATCATGGAGATGTGCGCCTCGGTAGTGGCGCACGAGATCCGGTTTGCGTGAGTACTTCTTGTTGCAGTTCGCTTCGATGCAGGCGTAGGTCGTCTCGATGCGGAATGGGATGGTCGAGGGGATGTCTCCGTCCGGCTCCGGGTTGTTGGTGGAGGTATGGGGGTGGGTCCGGCTGGTCGGGGGTGCACAGGCTGTGACGGGCTCGATGGTGTGAGGCCAGGTTCCATCCAGAAAGCTGCTTAGGTGTGATTGGGGGTGTTGGTGTAAAATTGTTCCTGCAGTCATGTGCGGGAGTCCGTCCGGCGGGTACGGCCGGCAATTGTCCTTCCGGCTATCCTTTGGGCTTGGTATACATGACAAAGGAAATGAGTTGAAGCGCGCGTCTGATTGGTCTGAGAATGTGTTTAACCTGAATACCTAGATAGGGGCTCAATCGTGACTGCGGTGGCAATAGATTTGGAGATGCAGGGCTGGATATAATAAAGGGGTGCCAGGTTCAGGGCATGTGTGGCTCCAAGCTAGCTCACTGGAGAACCTAATATGGCAACTCAACAGACCGTGGACGGGTCTGTGTCTGCTGCAGTACATGGAACAAAGTATAAGGAGACTGGGGGAGGTGGTATGGATTATAACGGGCTGAGCGAAACGTCGACAGATTTTGCCCCCACCCCTCAATGTTAGCATCGCTTCGACAATCGACCGTCGTTCACATCTAGTATATACGTACGGAAGTACAGGGCAGCTGCTTTCTCCCCTGATCCCAAAGATGTCATGCTGCTCGAATCCAGATGGCTGGAACAAGTCTTCGGAGATGAGCTGCTCAGATGTGAAGGTAAGGTCGTCGGCAAAGAGATCACCGTTCCCATACGGACAAGTAACGAAGTGTTCCAGATTCCAAGTCACATTTTTAAAGAGGAGAGACTCGTTCGCTTCTGTGACAAGAGAGGAATCGTTCATAATGTAGGAAACCTGGGAAATTTTTGCTCACGGATGAACGACAAGACGTGGGAGCACCAGGTTCAAATACCATGGTAGGCAGCCTAGGGACCCATGAGTATACGTCCAGGCCCAACAGGCCAGCGCCCCTCCATGCACGCGCCCTTCGAGACTCATCGCTCATTGGACACAGCATAAGCGAGTGCCTGGGGTGTGCTGCCCTCTCAGTCCACGTGTAATCACCATTTAGACAAACAGCTGTACAACAGAGTGAGGCGAACGAAATGCTATGTTAAGGACACGGAGGTGGGGGCATTGTCAACGAGAAGCGCTAAGCCACACTGGCTACCACTACTGACGCACTTCCCTTACACTACCATACCTTTTTCTTTACGTCAACATCATCTCTTCCGTCTCAAACTTTTTTCTCGTGAAACTATGTCGAGGACTGTAACAGAACACGGCAAATCCCTTTCCTGAACATACTTGACCTAGAGCTGTACCATCACCTCTGCTGACAAACCCGCTGCGCCACTGACGATGCCTCTGACGAAACGACAACAAGAAGTTTGCTTTTGTCTAGTAAAAGCCTTCAGATACTAGATCACTGCAAAAGTCTGATGAGATAAGATGCGCTGTACTTTTGACCGCAAAGGCGATGAGGGAGGGAAGACTAGCGTTCCTAGATGAAAAGTGATGTTCGCTTCACTGTACTCCGCTTTCAAAGTTCAAGTCGGCGTGACCTGGACTAGGAGGTACGTCGCCCGACTCCCAGATCGTTTGTTCGCTACCAAGCGTAAAAACAATCTCACCACCTTCAGTCATAATGCCTCCCGCGTCTTCGTGCTCGAACCAGTTTTTGTTCCACTCTTCTCCGTTGATCGTGACACCCTGGACGTAAAAGCCCTGTTTGCCATCTCCATCATTTAGACCCTCTGCCCTGATCCTCAGCGTTTTGTCGTGATTGATCGTGATATTGATGTCCGAGAACCATGGACTTTCAAGAAGATAGACGGGTGTCGTGACGATTGGGTACAGGCCCAGCATCTGCCACACCAGCCAACAGTTCAACGCTCCGGCATCGGAATTCCCAGGTATACCATTACTCGTGTTGAAGTAGAAATCGTTCGCCAACTGTCGCGAACGCTCAACGCTCTTCCATTGCTTATTGAGGTAGTTGTAAAGATATGGCGTTTGGAAATCAGGCTCGTTTGCAACATTGTTGATCGTGGTGATACCGAGACCATTCACGCCTAGATCGACACCCGAGGTGTTAGGTTGGAACACATAATCAAGTCGTGATTCAAAGAGCGTTGGACCGCCCATAAGATCGATGACTCGCTCGATGTCGTGCGGGACGACGAAAGAGTATTCAAATGCAGTGCCTTCGTAGCTCTCGTCGGACCAGTTGCAATCTCCACAGTTCGTGATGTTGTAGTTCTTATCGAAGCTGCCGTTTGCGAAACGCGGCATTACGAAGCCAGTAAAGTTACGGGAGGATGCTTCGGCGTCCCAGCTAAGTTGCCAACCAGCTGATCTCCGCAAGTATAGGTCACGGTCTTCAGGAGCCTCGCCAGCGGCAATTTGGCTCACGGCAAAGTCATTGAGGGCATATTCGACTGTCTTCGAGACAGCGCGGGAGTTGCGGTCCGTCGACACGTAACCCAGCAGAATCCAGTCATCAAGGGCTGACCGGCCTTCTTTAAGCGAGCCTTGAGGGTCGACTGGGTTCTCATCGAAGTAAGGCAGGACTTCTGCGTTCTTTTTGACAGCGGCATAACCTTCGGTCCAGTTAATGTTGCTTCTCAATCCTTTGACATACGCATCGGCGAGTACGTTGTCTGCGTTCGAACCACCTTGCACTAGACCGTTGTAGTTACCCGAGCGACCGTCCGGGATCCAACCTTCGTTTCTGAACATATCAATGAGTGACCTAAGCATAGACTCATAGTAAGACGGCTGTATGAGGTGCCACAGCGAGACTTGATTGCGGAAAAGATCCCACATCGTATAGAAATCGTCCCAATACGGCTCGTCGCTTTCCCACAAAGGATTCTCGCCAATGCGCTCACTTGGTATAAGATGCATAAAGTACAAGCTTGAATATAAGAGCGCCAGCCTTGTCTGGTTCGCTGATTTTGTAGTGTCGACGCGGACCTTCGAGAAGACGTCTCGGTTCCATTCATCCCGTGCTGCCTGCACAGTGTTTTCAATGGTCCAGCTGGGTATCTCGGCATTTTTGTAATGGCATGCTTTGTCGACAGACATGAACGAGATGCCGACTCTTGACTTTACCTCTGTGACGTTGTTCCATGTAAATATGGCACCCACGCGATCGTTCAGAGGTCCAGAGCGGGCACTGTTTCCGGTGAACGTCGGCGATGGTGTCGTGGCGTTGTTGAAGCCTCGGAAGTGGCGGCTGACTGGGAAGGTATTCTTGCCCTTGAAAGCCCGAGCTTCGTTGGGAGGTGTCTCAAACTCCCCACAAACGTACACAGTGACTGGAGCGCCGATGCACCAACCTCCTGCGATTGAGGTATATCCAGTATAGATACTTGAATTGGACTGTATCTCGATCTCACCGCCTGTGTAGAATTGGGTGTCCCAGGATCTGGTGGGGTGCGGCAGGTAGTGCGAGAAGTCGACCAACACATGACTCTCCGATGTTGTTGGGTACGTGTATTGGTGTATCCCAGCATGACGCGACGCCGACAGTGTAACTGTTATGTCGGATTCGAGCTTTGTTTGGAAAAAGCCCACAGTCGCCACATCTTCACCTTCCTGTCCAAGAATCAGTATCGACTGCTGTTTGGAGATTACTTTATTTACCCTCTTCTGCCAATACGTTCTGTTATCTAGCAGGTTGACGTCGCCATCAATCGATGTCAAGGGCATTTGCGCGGGAAAGCCATACTTGGGTCCGCCTCCGGTTCCGGACTCATGCATCAAACTGATGGCAGTGACATATCCTTGTGGAGTCCATCCACCATTCAAGGCACTCTGGTTTACAGGCTCCTCGTAAGTGTCCAAGCCGATCTTGATCATGCCAAAGGGTACTGCTCCACCGACGAAGGCATTACCCCCGCCATCTATGAACGTCAGTATGTATCGGTTGAGTAGATTAGACGACATACATGCATAACCTGTGATGGCACCCTCAGATCCAATAAATGGGTTCACAAATTCGGTGTAATCTATGTCTTGAGCAGCGGCACGAATCAGGCTCGTCAGTATCGAAGCGCAGGTTAGCAAACGCATGGTGTGGTCACAGTCTGGAACTTCGAAATCTGGCTGTTTTTGCGTACGACAATGCTAGTTACACCAGACCCTTATCATACATGAAACGATGGACACGGAGCTGAACGCCCGACCCCGCATCTGCAGCACATCTACAATCGAAGAAGGTGCGATGTTACATTGTAGTAGCACGGTGAACATAGCGAAGGATCAGTGACGTCATATGACGCTGCCAAGATGCGGAGGAGCCGTTGCGGCAGGCTTCGGCGTGAACATTGTTACGTTCCTGGTCACAAACGGTTATAGAACTCTACATTATGCACCCGAGAGACACAGCTCACTCAATCCCTGTTCATTCAAAAAAGATGTGAAGCGTACAAACCGGATGAGTTCGGGAGCAAACGTGCTGAATTGAATTAATTAGCGGGCCGCGCTTCGGCCTGACTCATTTAGATTTACCTGTCTTCTCCTTGAACAACACTCTCACAGATACAGCACTGCAGCTAGCAGAACCACATCTAGAAAGGACTGTTCCGGCCAGCGAAATACCTAACCGATCCTCACTTGACAATCGAATTGAGGTCGTTCTCCTTTCCATACATATGGCTTCAAAAATGGAGGTGCTTGAGCTCTCAAGACTCGATCAAACAGTGCTTCGAGTTTATGTTCGACAGCTGCTGATATTCCCATTCGCCGAAGCTACATCTACAATGAGAAGAGAAGCACAAACAGTGTTGACTGCCGGTCTGCTTGCGACGCTGAGACAGTTTCCTTTCCTTGCTGGCACCGTCGAGATACTTGATTCCGAGACTGGAGCCTTGACCGTGCGATACCCGAAGAGCATAGATGTGGACCTAGTCTCGCGGATGCTTACCGTTAACGATTCCGACCTGGACAGCCTGGAATACCAATCCTTAATTGAAGCTGGCGTACCGCCTTCCGCCTTACCTGCTGACGTCCTTTGTCCGTTTGCTCTGAGATCGCATCCTGGGATTGACGATCCTTACGCCGAGATTCTGACCACCTTCGCGAAGCGAAAGCCAATTCCTGTCTTTGCTGTGCAAATCAACTTCGTCTCCGGAGGTCTGGTCTTGAGCGCGTACACTCACCACAGTGTTGTCGATGGTACCGGTATCGCGAAGATATACGAAACGTGGAGTAAGTGTACTCGTGATTATAGTGATTCGGAAAGAATCCCAGCTCAGATCAAAGCCGCCGATCTCAACAAGGCACGAAATGCGCTCGATTCTCTAGCTGAAGGCGCAATATCGATGAAGCTCCCTGAGTTTCGTTATCCAGGCGATAGAGTCGATCCACCATTACGCAACTCTCCCTACAATCTCAGCGCTAAACTGCTCGTCTTTTCGGCGGCAACTATATGTCAGTTGGCTAATTCGCTCTCACATAGCACTAATGTGCGCATCTCAAACTTCACAGCGCTCTGTTCGCTGGTTTGGTGTCAGGTCACAAATGCTCGCCGCGAAGCTATGCTTGAGAAGGGCGTCAAGGATACCACACTTGGCATCGCGGTCGACCATCGCAAGCACGTTGGCTCACTTCTACCGGACGACTACCTTGGCAACTGCGCCAACGGAATGATCGTTCCCATAGCACTCGCATCGATGCCAACAGCCGAAAACATGAACGCTGAGAATATCGCGCCAGTTGCTCTAGCACTATCAAGCGGTTTGGGCGATGTCGACCTCGAATGGTTCAAAACACGTCTGTTGGAGCTGTCTAAAAGGGATATATCTTCCGAATGGATGCTTAACCTCGAAACGCGAAATGGGCCTGATATCTTCATTACGAGCTGGCAGCACATCGGCGCTGATACTATCTGGGCTATTCCCGGGACTTCAAAGACTGGGGACGGAGAGAGATGGCGGTGTAAGCCTACCGCAATCCGCAAGCCGCACAACATGTGGGAAGGTGGCATGCAGATTCTACCAAGACAAAGGGGAGACCAAGCACCATTCGAGATACCACTGTGCCTGGAGGAAGGAGAGATGGAAAGGACCTTGCACGGTCTAAAAGCTGGAAACTGGGTGGAGAGGGTCATAGATGCATAGACGTGGGTTTGTCAGGGTTTATTTTATGAGCATAGGAGCTATGCCGATATTTGTCTTCAAGCGTCATCTTTAGATAGATTCATTCTTCATTCAACTCTTGCTATCAGATCACAACATTTCCTTTGTCTTGCTTGTGTTAACCGGTCACCTCCATTGTTCAAAGCAGCTATGTCTGTGCTACTTTTCCAAGAGTAGTACCCGCGCTGAAAGCCCTTTGTAAACGTGCCTGTGGCTCGAAAACCTCGTCACGTCCAAACCCCAGTATTTGTGTACCTGCACTCCAGTCCAATTTGTCCGATTTGCACCTCCTGGGATCATGCAGCATTACTGTTTAGGGTCCAAGATGGCGAAGGGCTTGGGCATGACCTTCGCGCTGAAGCGAACACTGAACAGGAACTTCTGTACATGACCCGCAACGTAGAGTCCTGGTGCTAGAAGGAAGTCCTGTCGCGTCTCGACGTTGTACCCGAGGAACCGTCCGAGCATAGCGTAGCAAATCAGCGAAACCGACAGCCTCCAAACCGTGAGGAACATAGTCTTGGGGCCTATTATTGCTGAAAATAAGATAATGAGCGTGTATACGCCGATGATGCCCAGTTGAACGTGGTATGTGTTGGAGGACGGTGGCAAGACGAATGGTCCAACACGCTTCGGACCAAAGAAAATATTGGTATCGATAGGGAAGCGCTTCAAAGATGAAGTTGGCATTTCGCCGACGCTTTCAAGCCCGAACTTGACTACTAAGTTAAGTGGGGTGCGAGAAGGGCAGTTGCATGGGGGTTCATGCAAAGCTTTGGTGGTCTTGCTGTCGACATACTCGCGTACGCTGACGTCGAGCGAATCATGGCGAGTACGAGAATCGCTCTTAGCCGATGCAGTCTCTGCAAAGCAAAGTTCAGTCTCGGATGCAGAATCACAGATGGGGGGCGAAATACCATTGATAGGACTGTAAGCTTTCCCATCAGCTTGGAGGCCAGCCCCGATTCCCATGTCGACTTTGCTAGGCATACTGCCTGCAGCTGACTTGATACTATAGCTAGAGACGATAGCAATCTCGTCATCCATTGCAATGGGTATCGGCTCAACAGCGGTCAGGCGAGACTTTCTGAGCGTTCTACGAGAAACCGGATACCTGCTTGGACTGCGACATGGTTTGAACATGTCGCGCATTCGACGAGGGATACTTTGAGACCTTGAAGTAGGCATGGTGAGAGTTTTGCAGTTGTTTATTCAGCTGAGGTGGAAGCGTCGAATAGGTATACTGGTTTGTAGAGGGGCAGGAGCGAAAAAGTGGTTACTCAACTCTTTGCGCGAGGTTGTACGTGAGGTAGATATTCAAAGTGAAGGTGATAGCTTTATAATGAATGCATTGCTTTCCGCGTATATCAGATTGCCCATTACTGGTTCGCAAGTTGTGGTTCATAATTTCTGGCGAATTTTTGGGGTGTCCCAGACATCAGATTTTTACACGGAGCCGACACTCCATGCGGTAGAACGACTCGTTTATATGCCGGAGTTGGCAGATGCGTCTAAGTAAGTAGTAAAGTACGAGGAAAATCAAATACATCGTGCGAGAGAAGACAACAAAAGAGCGCAGAATCGAGACGTCTCGTTCCCGTACCCGGATGAGTTGTGATTCAAGCGAGGTGGACACGCCCGGTTCTCAGCGCAGGAACAACACGGGCGCTCAAAGGTTTGGCAAACTTCCTTTGTAGTGAAAAATCGATCGTTATTTAGAGGAATGCTACGAATGTAAAGACAGATACATCGTCTACAACGCCATACGCGCCCAAAACCTATAGAACCAGTGAAACAAAACGAGTGCCCGCCCTATGAAAGAAATATTCCGAGAAACTTTGCGAAATATCTTAGGAAAGTGTGCCCTGGCGATTCAACTCATTACCGGCAGGCGCAGTTCCGACCTGGCTGACCAAATTAGCCTCAGCAGTCCTCCTCTCTGCACTGCTGAGGGCCTCGTCGACGTTAATCTTGGTACGCATTGGCGAGGTCGCGTCAGCCGCGCTATCATCCACGTCAAGTTCTGTGTGGCGCCTGCGGATAGTGCTGACGCTCGCGACGCTTTCAGCATCTCCTTCACGCTTTCTGTCTGGCTCACTGTGTTGCGCCTCAATGGAAACGCCTGCGTTTCTAGAGAAGACACGAAGACCAATGACACAGACTGCGTTCCAAGGGTCGCGTTCAAACTCATCCTCGTCCTCAACGATGTAATATGTTCGCCCATATTGGTCAACTCGGCGAATCTGGTCATGCGAAATGTGACGCGGCGAGCTCAATTCGTTATCTGAAGCATCAGAATCGATCGAGTCCGCAAGATCAGAGTCCCAAGACGAGTCGTCAGAGATCTCATTAGGAGAGTATGTGCCGTGTCGGGCTCGCAGCGAGCTTACACTTGTTCCACGACCGCGAGTGATGTGAATGGCGGGTCTGACAACAGGAATAGGCGAAATAGTAGCACGGCGCGAAGGTGCTGGAGAGATCCTGGTTCTCCTGTCAGGTTGGGGACTGTTAGGAAGTTCAGCCGGTGTGCCAGGGCGGAATTCTTCTGTGTGGGGGGTAGGCAGAGGCGTTGGTATCGGTGAGTCTGTAGTTTGGCCCTCGTTGTATCCGCCTCTACCATTGTACCCGTCACGACCATTGTACCCGTCGCGGCCGTTGTACCCATCACGACCGTTATATCCGTCACGGCCCTGATAGGAGCCGGGAAGCTCAGAGTTATAGCCACCCCGGCCCTGGAATTCTCCAGGCATGTTTTGATTGTAGCCTCCGCGGCCTTGGAATCCTGAGTTTGCAGCGTTATAACCACCACGACCTTGGAGAGCAAGACCTTCTACAGCAGCTGAACTGTGCTGTTCGTTACGATTGTAGCCCCCACGACCCTGAAGTGCTCCCGGGAGGGCTGCATTATAGCCATCACGACCGCGATTGTATCCACCGCGGCCATGGAAGCCACTTGGGCTCGAAGAACGTTCACCGACGACACTGGCGCTTGCAGCACGTTGGTGCCGCGTGACGGCAGGATGATTGGGCTTCGGCTCTTCCTCACTGGCTGTATGGTTTTCTTCTTCGACGGCAATGCCCAAACCACTTAGGTCCTGCAGCCTTTTCTCGACCTCTCTCATCTCGCCAGAGGGGTTCATTCTTCGCGTCTCCTTAGCCGCTTTCTTCTGTTCGCGAAGCTTCTGCTTCTTGCGCAATTTCTTTTCGCGCTCGTACACTCGCTTTGCCTCGGCTTTGTTCCTTTCGCTCTTCTGTTCGCGCCGTCGGTGGGCCTTTTCCTTTTCATGTTCTCGAAATTGACCCTTGGCATGAGCTAAATCATAAGACAAGCCGGTCGCTAATAGCTTCTCACGTCGCTTGGTGCAAGTCGCCCTGATGACCTCGTCGGGAGTCTGGCCTTCAGATCTTGTAGCTTTGATCTTGAGAAGTACTGTGTAGCTTCCAGCCTCCAGATCCAGCTCGGTAGACACCGATCGTTTCATGTAATAGGTACCATTGCTACGCACAATGTACTCGTCTTCGTCGTCCTTGTGAAGGCGGAACTGCAAATGAAACTCGTACTGTCCTTCCAGCCCTTGGTAATAGCGGTCATCCAACTGACTGAGCACAATGACAACTGGACCGGGTTTGTCCAGCTGGATTTTGAATTTGGTGTCGAGATAGTCCACGCTCCACGGGACGTTGACGCTGGTCCACTGTTGAGACACCGTCCATTCCGGTCCAAAGAGTCTGGTACGATCAAAATGTTGGTAATTCCGAAGCAGGTCCCGGTAAGAAATCCAGAACACCCCGTCGTCACCGAACTTGTGGTCAAGCTTCTGCATCCATTCGGGTGTCCACTCTTCGGACCCATCGCTCCAGCGGCCCGTCCACTCGGACCGGCCCCACGGGTTGCGCAGCTTGAGTAGGCGTTGACCGTCAATCTCCCGGGCTTCCATAATCGAGTATGCATGTTTCTCCTGAATGCCTTTTCGCTCTCCATATATGCCGCCCATCTGGCCACAGCCGAAGAGAAATGTCTTGTTGACTTTCATGAGTTCTTCTCGCCAAAATTTGTCCTTGTCCAGAATGTCAGTTGCAAATACCTCCGAGGTTACTCCGCCAGTCAGATCTTCGATCCCTTCGCCCACAAATCCACCTTCGATTGCCGAGTAGTCACCGTGCGCTTTCGCGAAGGCTTTTTCGAGTAGCGGCAGCCAAGTCTCATTGGAGTCGCTACATTGCGCGAAGTATAGAGCCCTCGAGCCAGTTTGCATGACTGTACGGTATTCTTCTTCAGGCATCTTGCGGTTCTGTAGCTCCAACCAATGATAGCGCTCGATCTTGGCCTCATCAAAGTCCTCCTTGATGAGGTATAGCTTGTCATCGATGACCTCCGAGATCCATTCGCCATCTGCGCCACATAAGTGCATGATCTACCGGGAGTTGGGTGCCAAACCTACCTCGGTGGAAAACAAATCCATAAACTCCAACCTGCTCGTCACGAGCAATACATACTCGCTGTATCAGTCCCTCTTTATTGCTGATGGTCGCCAAAGCTGACATAAACCAGCAATCGCCATCATTGCCTTGTCGCACGTCGTTCGCGGTCGCGCCCTCTATGAAGAATTGAGGCTTTTCGAAAATGTCCTATCAATGGCGTCAGCTGTGTCTACGCTGTCTATGGGTGTGATCTCTTTGTACCTCTACTCTCTTGACTGACATGGGTTGAAACTCAGATATCTCCTTGTCAAGAGTCGTCAAGCAGTCGGGTGGTATCTCTGGAGAGGCCTGCGACCGCTTGAAGTCGGCTTCGATGTCGAAATGTGGATCGCGATACTTCTGGTTCAGCCTCCTACATTCCTTGACAATCTTAGCTACCTTTGCCTTGCACGCCTGGACAGCTTCTTCGTAAGATGCAAGAGCACTCTTGCCGGGGATAGATCCCCTTGGCGCATGCGCAGCGGCGCGTTTCGCGTATAGGTTATCGGGTAGTATCGTGAAGATCTTCCCGGGATGCTTTGTTGTGAACTTATCCCAGAACTCGTCGATGCTCTTCTGGGGTGCTTGCTTTTTGACAGGCAGCCTCTGCCGCGGCGCCGCAGCGAAAGCTTCGCCGTTCATGCTTAGGGCTTGTGATTGAGGTCTGGTAATGTTGATGAAATCGTTGGGGGATGTCTGAGATGCCATGGTCATTACCAAGCCGAAGCCGAGGGGCTTAGGGGCCTCAGTTGCCTTGGATTGCGTTTGGGGTCCATTGTGGGCTTGAGATTCATTAATAAATATTCCTCGAAGGATGATGGGACTTTCAGCCCCCAGCCGTGACCTCACATGGAGTGGTATTTTGAGCGCGCTGTAAGAAAACAAGTGGGGCCGTCAGACAGACTCTCGGCACAGCCGCTGGGCCCCCGCTCTGCGCGAGTCACGAATCAAACCACTGCGGAGCGCCCGAACGCTTCGGAGCATGGACTCGCAAGGTGGGAAAAGGCGGCCAGGCAGACGTGATCCCAGTCGGGTCCAGCTGCCGTGACCTCCAGCATCTGCAGCACCATCTGTCGCGTCACTCTGCGAACGAATCAAATGGCGTGCCCACGTTGCGATGCTCTTGTCGTTCGTCTTGAGCGGCATGAGTGATCCCAGCACCCTGCTAGATTGGTTGATTGGCGTTGCGCTAGCTCATTTAGGTAGACTACTGCTGCCATGCTGACCGACTTCTCGTGCAGCAGCCAGCCAGACTCATAACGACGTGGAGGTGAGAGTCTTTATTGCGTCGACGTTGCTGTGCATCTTGTGATGTGACGCTGCTGCACTCACCGACGTTTTGGGGCAGTGACAAAGATGACAGCCCTCCGAGTCGATACTACTGACACCATCAGACACTGCGGATCGTGGTGACAAAGCCGCTTGATCGGTGCTGAGGCTGACACTGGCTAGTCATTTAGGCCTGTAAAACAGAACGCTGGGCGATGCATCATCAGATTGAGATTGACCTGAATTGAGGAGCTCAGATCGTTGATTGAGAGCAGCCTTGAGTTGAGTGTCTGCATCTTTGTGCGCCCTGATCTGCTCCTTTCGAACCAGCCTTACCAAGATCTCCCAAGACAAGAGGACGATGCGAACGCATGCAGGTTGTCCGGAGAGCCCCCATCCACAGGTCTTATCGATAGGCAGGGTATGTTTTGCTCGCCAACCACAAGCGCGAACGTTTCTCGCATCAGCCGCCATCTCCCCGAAGATTGGAAATGTCTCAGTCCATCCAGAGTGCTGGATCCAGGGCTGCATCCGACGAAGTCGGCTTAAGGCTGTATCTGGATTGGCTTGCGGTTCGTCCACCGTTGAGGACCCCCCGTTGAGCCAAGTAGCGGTAACGACTTCATGTAGTCCGCTGCTGTCATCGTACAGGATTCTGAATAGGATCGTGCCCGTGCTATCCGGACCTGTTCGCCGTGGGATGCTCAGCCCTATGAGTTGCTTTGTGCATGATCCCTTGGCTGAAATCTCACCGCACTTCTACAGCGTTGGACCAATTGGGTCTCGCCGTTTTACAGGCTTCGAGAAGGATCTTCGAATAGTCGAGGAATCGAGACATGATTGGGAATCGATAAAAGGGCGGTTCGTTGTGCAATTTGAGGTTGCAATACGTGTACGCCGAGGCTTACTGTGTACTGACGGCGTACAGGGGAGATACGGTAAGAACCGCTGGAATGCACAGACACGGCAGGGAAACAGCGGTGCGGAAGAGGCCAGCTAACCTCTCGGCACGTTTGTGCTTCCGAGTGAATGCGCGAGGCTGTTGTGCAAGGCTGTGTGGAGACTGCGTGTGGCAGGGAACGGCATAATTTTAGCCTAGCGCGAAAGCCAGTTACGTCAGGTCCCATACAGCGTGTGGCGTCACCTGCGTACAAACATCTTCTGAGCAACACCTACAGTGGAGCTGAAAGATGCATGTACGTATTGCACTGCAAGGCTTGAAGTCACCTCAGTGATGAGCACAATCTCAAAAAATGGACGGAAAGTAAGATGGGTAACGTCACAGCACTACCCTTCCTTTCATTACAGGAGTTGATGGATACCGTTTTCCTAATCTCTGCCATTCATTGTCTGTTCATCACAATATTTTACACAGTAAGCCCTACCGATAGGCTCTTTTTGCAGGCCTGTATGACGGTACATCTGCGTGAGATTCTCTCGTTGAATCGTGAAGTTGATTTCTCTTACCTCGAAACATTTTGAGGGTTGTTCACCATTTCCCCGTAAACTAACCGAACATCTAGGCTCTCGTGCTGTTTATCTTGTTGGAGAATGAAGTCTTGACATCCGGCCAATATGACTTGCACAACTCAAATCTGAGCGCACGAACTATTGCAGTGGGGTGGATATCTATCACCCCAGTGGCAGGTAGGATGCATGATTAGAGCTGTTCCATAAAATTATCTAGGGTCCAGTTGTCGACCTCGTCGCCCCATTGAGTGAGGAGTCCCTGCAAATTTGGTCATGATCATTTATTGACTGAGAATGGCCAGTATCTGTGCAAGGCAGCTTTTTAGGGCTTTTGAAAACAATTCCTTCGAAACTTGAGAGCCACAGAATTTTGGCAGCTGCGATACTTCAAAGCTTACCCAGGTGGTGTTGACTTTGAAGGCCTCTATAGGCAGACTGGTGACAATGCGCTCCTAGTTTGTTCAATAAACGCTGCGCAATAACGCTCCTATTGTTCAGCTTTCACCTTACCAGGTCGCTGCAATCGGTTGTTTGCTGCACCCCACCTGCGCCTTCCCGCTAATGCGACACCACACCGGTTGCCACTTCGTACCACGACCTCTGCACTACTATCGCAACTTTTTTCTTAACTACATCGATAATTTGATTTCCTAAACAGAAATGATGTCGCGAAAAGTCGGTGACGGTGACCGCGAAGTGCGCATCTTTCACGCGTTATGCCCCGAACGGTGTCTGAGCCAGCACATTCCATCTTTGAGCCCAGAGTTAACTGAAGAGCCGCAAACAGCTTCACGCAAATACCAAAACACCGGTGTTCAAACTCTGCCGCCCCCGAATGGCGACATTTTCAAGCTTGTTCACGGCCGCGCCCCCTCGGAATCCGACTACGTGCGCAACGTAGGTACGGCCGCTATTGGACGTTTCACGGAGGACCTTTGTTCAAACCCGTACGAGTTGGTATATGGCACAACATACAACGCTCCACTGGCGGCGCAAAGAAGTATCTATACGGACACGGGATTCCAGACGGCGAGCCGCGGCGTGACCACAATGGCGTTGTCCAGAGCAAAAGCCAGAGCATCTGTGATGGTCAATAGGCATCGCGAAGCTGCTATCCAAGCAGGGTACATCATATGTGCAGAGTCTCAGGATGAGATGATCATCCACTCTGAACAACACCCAACAGCTGTGCGAATCGACGCCAATGGCAACCTACTGGAAGGAACCATCGAGGAGTTTTATCTCCCCAACATACATGGGACACCCTTACAGACGCATCGACTTGCACCAAATGATAGGCTATCATTGATCGGTAGGAAGGTCTCACTTGTTGCAGAAGGAGACAGCCAGGTTGCGATGACCGGATCGACATCACACTCTTCTATTGCCAAAGTTCCGAGGGTTGAAGTCACCGCAAGGATATCAGCGCATGCTCCATCTTCAACAAACCAGACTTCTGGGTTGACACCAGTCATTGATGACGAATACGGGAACGTAGGGTCTTGCGCACATGAATATGTTGTTTACGATGCTGGAGCGACGACCTCATTGCCTTTACAAAAACCCAGCTCCGGTAAGTTGAAACACACTGATACCCCGACAAAGAAAGCCAGACGCAGCAAAGCAACCACCCCAAAGAGGTCGTTCGCCTTCGACCCATCTTTGCCTGAATCGTCTAGTCAGCATGAAAACACACTGCATACAGTTTCCAGTCCAAGACCAAAAGATGTGTTGCTGTCGACGCAAGATTTCCCTTCGCAGCCTTGCAAAGCGGGTAGTGAGCACACTTTACCTGCTAGCCAGTCCACGAGCACAGACTATTGGGAACTTGGCATGGTACAGCCCGCCTATGGCTATAGATCTTCTGCAGATACCTCCTGTCATGATGCATCTGTTGCTCATGATATCAGCTACAAGAATGAAACACCGCCTGAAGAAGATGATCTACAATCAGCGAGTCACCGAGCATGCGAACATGACATCAAGACCGCGCAATCAAAGGCGCCCGTCGTGGCGCGTAGACGGATGATACCCTCGGCAACACAGACAGTTGACGATAAAGAAGGTATGTTGCTGCCTCGAAACCTGATGCAAAGAAGCTCTGCGAGCATTTATGAAATTCCAGCCAAGAGGAAGCGGTCACGTAGTCAAACACGCGTCCACGACAGAGACAGCGTACCAGAGGCAAAGAAGGTCAAAATAAGCCCCGATGCCCAATCAAAGCGAAAAGGCGTCACGAAAAGCGAATGCGGAACCGGAAATGGTGCTGCCTCACAACGACAGACTACGACACCAGACGAAGACACTCAGCAGCTACCATCTCAGATCACTCCTGATAATTTCACGGCAGTTAATCGTATCAAGAATAAGCCTAAAACCAGATCTTTGAGAACGCCTAGGTGCTCATTTGAGCCATACGTGCCTCCTGCAATGCGGGCGAACCGCAAATAGAATTCCGATGCTGAGAAGTCCCGGACGAGAAATCGTGTCGACTACACTACAAGACGAAAATCAAAGTCTTTGCTCTTCTCTGTTTTGCACTAAAGTACGTGCGCCTTGCTTACTCAAACAACAAAGACACTGTCAGGGACATTGTGCGTTGTACGTAGATGGGACAAAGAACGTTGGGCTCTGCTCTGTCTTAGATCGAAGCGAGCTACTGATTGCAACAAAGAACGTGTTCATGACATTGGCTTCGGGTCTTACAGCTTTACGACGAGCACGACATGAATTCTGCTCCAATGTTTTATTTCTCTTTTCACCACACAACGACGTGCAAGGTACAACGACACGGCACTTCTCCGCAGCAAATACCAGAGACAAGGCTCGCCAAGATCATTTATCACTATTGAGTGCAATGGACCTCACATTTCGATCGAATCGCGATCACGCAGACATTAGTGTTGATGCAGCCCGATCTGTGCCAACGCAACTAATGGCCGGCCTCTATCAAACGCAAGACACTATATCCTCGTCGTTGAGGCCTAACCATCACCCCGGGTCTAACTCTAGAGAAATGACGCAGCTATTGCATCGGCTCAAGAATTACAGGGTTCACATGGAAGAGGCACGCAAGCAGCGCTCTACGATCGATGAAATATTGCACGAGGGCTATACCACGACATTACCTTCAGCAAACTCGAGCACCATGCCATCACATCGAGACCAGGCATCACATGATGCAGTGCCACTTGGTGAAACACCTGAGATTACTGCTTTCGAAACGGTAAGTCAAACCAATGACGGAGTTTCAAGACCTCAGGGAACAGATTATCTCATTTCGAGTATACTCCGTTCGTCAGAGCAGGAGAGCTTTGACTCTTTAAATCAAGGGGCAGATGATCTCACCAGCTCTATCCGGAGTCGCACCATTCATTCTCACCCTCAGACATGCAATGATCCACCGACAATTAGAAATCAGCATGAACAGCAGCATGAACAGAACTGTATCCTCACCGAGCCGTATGGTGATGGCAACTTCGGCTCTTCGAAACGTCTGGATCTTGCATCATCGGATGATCTAGTACCAGACTATGAAGAAAGAGAGTTTGGTGATGATGGAATCTTTGAGTCTGCGACCATACTGTCCCAAGAAGATGAAGCAGAAGCTGTCAATCAACTGCTTAGCGGTATCCGTAATCAATATCTAGGTGCAGATGCACCGGTTCGTCCGCATACAATGACTCCCTACGAGCACAATGATGTAGGCGTCGGCGATGCTACTTCTGTCTCCTCTTTCGAAGATTTGAGGTCACCTGTAACCCTAAATGGAGGAACGAGTAAATCAGAGAGCTTCCCTTCAACTAAGAACCAAGGGGATATTTTGGATAGCCCATGTTCTACTTGGGCTCAAGGTACAAAATACGAGATCGATCCATTTGAATTCAAGCTGCTTGGCCGAGAACATCTTCCTGATTCAAAGGCAGACTTGGAAGATTCGGTATCAGACTTAAAAAACTCAACATCACACGTGGACGGTTCGATACCAGACCTGATAATCTCAACAACAGACCCGGAAGAACCATCAGATAAACCACTTAAGTTACCAACAGAGTTGCATCTAGCGGCTGCTTCACAACTTGCTCCGACTGAGTGCATGCGCTTGTTGAATGAATTTTTGCAGCAGAACGCTGACAGGCTCGACGTATTTCGCGCACGACTGCAACCATACAGGACTAGGGATACGTCTAGTGATGACCTGAAAATCATTGAGACCATCTTCAGCTATGCCTGGGATAGTCAGCGCGAGCTTGACTTTCTCACACGTGCTGTTCTGTGGATCGATGCACTATTATCGCCATTTCGAGCCGACATTCTTTTCGAGGACTTATATGTACTGAAATCACGCCTGCAAGATGCCGTTGGCGAGCTAGAATCAAACGGTAAGGCAGTTGTCACAGAACGGCTCTTCAATCGCATAGCAAATATCCAGGGCTCAAACCTCACACGCAAATTTCTTCTGGAACATACAAACATCAATGTAGCTAGATTTGAAGATCTACTTCAGTCTGCTGAAATCATCAAATATCGGCGCGATCTTGGCAGGGAGTATGGCAAAAAAGATGACCTGGTCGATGGCTTGCGACGAATCTACAGCACGGTTGTTTGCACCATTCCAGTAGCCATGCCAGAAGTCGACCGAATTCATCAACCACAACCACCCGGGAGTATACAGTACTCATTCGGTCCATTTGACCCATACGAGTTACCCGGTCGCCCAGAACTTTTTGACCACAACTCAATAACCGCGGTAAGCACAAGTACTCAAGGCTACACTGGTATACAACTCAGCGAGAAACAAAGTCCTTTGAGCACTGAACACTGGCGCAATATGCACGAAGAGATGAATCAGGTCGTCACAGCACAGAAAGAAGATGAGGTTGGACAAGCAAAGCTCAAGAGAAACCCGACCTGCATGAATAGGGACTTCAACGCATTTTACGGTGCGATATATGGGCGTGGTATGGCTAACTACGCTGATGCCGCCACACGGATTCTTGACGAGGAGATCGACGAGAGACTCTCAGCCGAGCAAGAAGAGCATGCGGCCGATAGAACACGTAATTTGAGCGATTGCACAGATTCAAGCGATTCAAGTGTTCAGATAGTACTTGGAAATCAGATCAATGAAACGCCGGTCATCAAGAGTCGTTTATGTCTCAAAGTCAACAAAGCCGGTGGATGTCCAGATCGGAGCAGATGCGGCGCTGAGTCCCACGATCATGAGAGAAAGCTCTGCCGTCAGGGAGACAGGTGTACCTTTGGGGAGAGGTGTGCCTTTGTCCATGACTCGTATTCGAATACGACTCGAGGCCGGTCTCCTATATCACCCGTCAGTAGTGTAAAGTCTTATTCAGACGCTAGAACACGAGACTTGAGCGTGATGCTAGATCAGGTTTTGGCGGATCCGAAGAAATACAAAGTCTGCACCTACGTCAACAAGGCTCGGGGATGCAAGACTGAAAATGATGGTGGATTATGCGCTTTCAATCATACATTGAAAGGCCTAGTGTGCAGAGAGTATCGAAGCGGGAACTGTCCGCTGGGATACCTTGAATGCCCGTTGCGGCATTTCGACAATACTGCCTCTACGCCTACCCTGCCAGTACATATCGGTGACCGCATGGGTTTTGACCATTCTGAGGTTTACGTGTCACCGCGTTCTTCGACCTCAGCCTTCCAGCAGACCTCCCATGGGAACTATCCCATGGCCACTAGTCAGCGATCTCAAGTAGCAACAGGCAGACCTGCACACACAGCCTCAACACCACTCATCTCAACATGCTCCCAACACCAGCCTCTCAAGACCCGCGGCTTGCCACTGAACATCCCAACAGGGCCAAGAGCCAAGCATGCGCAATCCATCACCAAGCGTCCTCCCTCTTACACTAGCAACAACGACCATTACGACAACAAACGCAAGCGCGTTAATAACCAACGGCCAGCTTCCGCCCCTCCGCGTTCGCTGGCGTCACGTATGACTCGCGACGCGCCCATGGAGATCCAGCACGAATCTAAGAACCAGTTTGCTCAGGATTATGTAGATGAGCATGATGAAATGGATGTAGACGGAGTGGTAGATTCGGCACATGAGCGGAGTCGTCGTCACAAAAAGATGAAGATGGGACGAGGGACTAGACGAGAGGGGATAACAGTGGGGGCCGGCAGGGTAGAAGGTAGTCTGGTTTCAGCGAAGATTGGTAATATGTGAATGTATCTCAATTAAAATGGAACTTTTCGACTTATGGCTACACATGCAGTTCGGAGAACGAAGATCTGGGACTTGACTTTCGAGTACGGACTGGTCACTTCTCCTCCACAAGCAATTATTTACTTAAATCTTAAGCTGTTCATAGCCCTCCAAGTCACACTGAGACCTGCATGTAATTCGCCATCTGCTTCGTTATTGACGGAAAACGTACACAGTACCAGCTGACATCTAGCTCTCCGCACAAGCATATGTCACACTCATAATTTCAGTCACTCTCTCGATATGAACATTTTAGATTCCAACCCCAACTCATTAGCTCCCTGTTATTATCGTGACACTACCAATTCCAAGCCTTGACTGAAAAAGAAACCCATGCCCGCAACGCTCTGCAACCAGAACAGGACTCCTCGTTCGCAATACAAAAATGCTCCGAAAATACTCCAATAACGCTCAAGAAATACTAACCAAGAAAGTTCCCAAATGCACGCTCGCTTTAAGAACACGCTCCAAGACTACAATTCAAAAGCATGCCTCGAAAAGCACTAAAAAACACGTGTCCTCCAACTTACCTACTCACTGACGCACTTACCTTCTTCCCTGTCAAGACGCCCCTCCAAGCATCGCTTCTGCCCTCATCGGCGCCGCCTGCCCTGATTATTCCGACGAGGATTCTGCTGCAGGTTGGGCCGCGCCGCCTGCTGCGCAGTCGCGGTGAAGTTGTTAGGTGCCTGCGTGTGGCTGTATGGGCAGTTGTTGCCGAGGCGGCAGTTGCCTGCGGCGAAGAAGCGGCAGCGAGCAACGGGCGCGGGGGCTGGGAGTTGAGCGGGCTGCTGGGCAGGTTGCTGGGCGGGAGGGTTTGGGGTCGGGGTGGGTTGGAAGTGGCTGTGGAAGCGGTGACAGGCCGAACTGTTGCATCTGCCTTTAGCCCAGTTGTTGCAGTAGTTTTTGCGGTCGTGGGGGTCTAGTTGCGCCTGTCCTACGCCGGTGCTTGTGTCCATTGCATCGACGCTTGCTTGGCCTTGTTGGTCTTGTTTGGGCGCGTTTGCTGGTTGGGGTGTTTTCTGCTTGATGAAGACTCGTTTTACCACCATCTCTCCCGGCTGTCTGTCATCCTCGAACTTGAGCTCATCTTTGTTGGCCTCGGTGGCAACGAGTGGCTTGTCATTGGTAGCCTCGGCTTCATCAGTCATCTGGATATCATTCGCAGGCTTTTTGTCATCGGTGGGTGCAGCAGGTTGGCTAGCACCCATCAGCCTCGCAAACGATACGTTCCCTGCGTTCACAGTCTGAGCCTTGACATCATAGACGTGCTGCAACAGGGAACAGATTGCGTCCACGTCGTTCTTTGACTGTTTCAACGGATCCTCGTGGACAAAGTCCACGATAGCATTCTGTATCCAGCGTACACCCCGTAGGTCCCAGCCCGTCGCGAGCACATCATCACATTCACCTCCATAGTAGTATACGACGCGAAACAGACAGTGGGCTTCGCGCATGCATATCGCGAACTTGGACTGCTTGTCGAAATTGTTGCACAGCTCTGTTACGCAGGATGTATTGCACATGAGGTTCTCGAGCCGGGCCCATAGCTCACGGAGGCGGTAGTAGCAGGCGTTCACGTCGGGCATCTTGAGTTCCTTCAAGTGCATGGGCGGCGCGCCACCGTTTGCGGTGTCGATTAACTCGTCGATGATGATCTCATAGGCACGCCCATGCCTTTCCATGCGGGCGAAATCGTCTATTCTCTTTTGTGTCTGGTTCTTGGCGCTTTCATCTGCTACCCGTTGCGGTTCTGCTCGGGCTTGTGCTACGGCATCCCGCATCATGTCCGCCTGTTCTTCTGGGGTCCCTGCGCTGCCTTCCGGTGTTTTGTCGACATGCGGTGCGGTAGTGTTGCCGGTCTTGGAAGCTTTCCGCGTCTGAGCCGCCGGGATCTGGCCAGAAGATTTCTTTGACAACTGTGATTTTATGGAGTCCAATGTGTCTCTTAGCTGATCAATCTTCAGTGCGTTAAGGATGTCCACGCTGTTGATGGATTGCTGTCCATGTCGCGGCAACTCATCACGGTATGTAGGTAGCTCGGTGCGCCATAGGTCTCTGGGATAAACCCCAGCCCCCATTGCTGGATCGTGCTCGCTTCGAATCGACGTGCCGTTGTATCCAATTTGAGAAGCGGGATACGTCTTTTGGGGCTGACCAAGCCAACGTAGGAGATCGTTGATAGCAATCACCTGATTTGCATCCCTGCTGTTGGCCTTACACCTCCTGAGACCATCAAGGGGTAGGTCGAGCCTATGAAGGACGGATTGCATGTGAGTGTTGCCTACGAGGTGCGGGTGAAGCATGATCAGGATTTCGCAATTGAAGAATGCAAGCACGGCATCGAGGATGACCTCTGAGACCTGCTTGTAAACGTCACCGCGGAATTTGTCCCCAAACCTTTCCTTCTGAGTGGCCCAATAGATACGAGCAGCTTCCACTTGGTCAAAACGTTTATTGTAGGTAAAGAGACTGACACTTTTCAAGACAGATAGGTAATTCTTGAGTACAAAGAGGTCCAGATCTTTCGAGTACTCGGGGCCTCCGAAGTGCCCGATCTGTGCCTGATGTCGCTCGAGTCTGTTCGAGCACGTGCGCATGAAAACCTGTGAAGGTCAGTAAGCGTTTGGTTGTATTTCAGACGCCAGCTTACAAGTTTGACTTCATTTCCATGATCGACTCGTGTCTTTTTGCTGAGTGGCTCACCTGGAGCATTTCTAATAGAAGACTTCAGTGGGGTAATAGGCTACAAAAGAATCAGCTTTGCTAGGGAACAGTTGATCATACATACCGAGTCTGTTGTAATGGCGTCGTGGGACCGTTTTTTGTTTCCTGCGCTAGCAGTTGGTAGAGCGTTTGCTTTTCTGTGTGAGGCCGTCCCGGAGACATTCTTGGGTGACAAGCTATCCCCCATGATGGCGGTCTTGATGCGAGACACAGCTTGCGTTAACATGAGAGTAGTTGGACGATTGTGTCTAATTTGGTAAGTAGCGATTACGTGAGGAAACTGTATCGGTAGTGAGTGTGTGTATGCGTCAGAAAGGCGCAATGGTTTTATAAGGCTGGTGCTAAGAAATTTTGCTGTGAAATTTGAATTAAATGGGCTGAACACAGGCACGCGGAGGTATATGGATGGCGTCCTGAACAAAGGACCACCGCAGGACTTGGAGTGGCGACTAGTCTTTGTGGGCTTTTGAGACAATGTGCTTGTATGGCGGACAACGTCTTTGACGCCACGTGTGAATTCGACTACAACCGACGCACAGCAGTTTCGAGGATAAAGCTGCACTGTTGGCGTAAGTTACACTGTTGGCGTAGCCTGCACTGTTGGTATGGCTAACACTGTTGGAGCGTTGAGTCTGTGAACAGTGTAGTTGACGTGACGGTCGTGACGATAATGACGGCAAGTGGCTGAGATGCATATTCAAGCAACAAAGGGACACTCGACCACACAACCTGCGACTAGCGTGTCACTGATGATGGAAAAAGAGAAGTTGGGAAAACATAAGTGCTCGAATATCATCCGTATAGCACATAGCGAACTGTAGGTACATGGACATGCAAACCTGACCCGCAACCAGGTGACCCTTGACGCCTTACTGTGCCCAAAGGAATCGATACGAATGTCGGTGAAGTTACTGAGGAGAGGTATGTAGCAGTCTAGGTATACGAAGAAGGTATCTTTTGATGCAAAAGCGGAAGATTTGAAGTAAAACATGAGAAGAAGAAGTGATGCGGTCGCGGGCCGGCGTTAAATGGTCTCGACATAGTTGCTGTGTCTAGTTAGTTCATGACCATGATTCAATGAAGAAGGTGACTTACCTGGGGAAAATGCCCTCTCTGTCGCCTACCCGTCCTGTCCACCAATCTGTCTCGTTGTCGGTCCTCTTCAAAATTGTGATGACCTCGCCCTTCTTGAAGCCAAGATCGCCAGGCTGATCGGGGTCGAAAGTGAACTTTGCAATGGCCTGATCGGCGGCTAGACTCGCCTTCTTCTGGCCAAACACAGGCTTCGGTGCGGATGGTCGGCCGGGCGCGCGGTCGCTGTAAGAGTAGTCGTCGCCAACGGTGGACGAACGGCTGCGGCCATTCATAGTGTCGAATGTCTCGTTGGGATTGGCGCGTGTGGAGAAGGAGCGGTTGATGCCACCGCCGGAGTTGGGCTGGCGATCGTATACGTCGTCTGCCCATGTGGATGAGCGCTGTGGACGGTCGCGGTATTCGTAGTCGTCGTTGGTGTGCTGACTGCCCTGGCCGATCGAGCCTGTGCGATCCCTACGCACACCCTCGCCCATGGCAGAGCCGCGGCGTCCTTGCCAGACGACGTTATCGTGCGAGTCGTCGTAGACCGGAATGTCGTTGTACATGCGTTCATCCGCTGCCGCTGCCATGGCACCGCCGGCGCCGGCGAAGACTCTCGAGTTGAGGACGCGCAGCAGCGGCTCAGCAGCGGGTGGGGGCGGAACCTGGCCACTCAGCAACTCGCGCGCCGTCCACCTCCGCCCATAGAGCTTCTCGTTCGCGTCGCGTCGCTCAATCAGCCCGCTGCCCTCCAGACTGACACCAGCGAACAGTCCCTTTGTCTTGCTGTAGCTGAAGACTCCGGCGACACCCTTCAAACTTGCGACTCCGGCAGCTTCCGCATTGCGACCAACGGGCCCGGCTGCGATAGACACATTGCCGCCCAGCGTCAGCGAGCCAGCCTGCGCAAAGGTGCGCACAGCCGATGCGTCATTCAGGATGAACACGAAATCGGTCAGCTCGAAGCCAATTTGCCCGCCGAAGCCGCCGCCGATGGTTCCGATGGCTGAGGGCGCCGACCACGATCCGTCGGCGAGGCGCGCAACCACGACGCCGGAGCCAAAACGCGCGGTTCCGAGGAAGCCGGCTTTGAATACGGTGAGAATGGCGAGGCCCTATTGCGCGCGCGTCAGCATGTGGTGACTCTCGATATTGGAGCGCAGGCGCGCTGGGCGGACTGGGCGCATTGCGGGGAGCCCGGAAGCGTGGGAGAAAGCAAATACCTTCGCATTTGCGAGGACCGACGGCGGAATGATCTTGTCAGGCCCAAACGATTGTCGCGGATCAACAAACGACGCCAGAATCTTGCCCGTTTTCCGGCACTCGCCTGCGGGCAGAATGTCAGCGACGTCACAGCACCACCAGCTTCACGTGAGGCAAGCCAATCGTGGTCCGGGGCCAGCACTTACTCCTCATGGACGAGGGCAGCGGATTGTTGAGAGTGAAGCCCATCGTGATCCTCGAGCGTCGGTCGTGTCTGTTTGCGGGGACCGGAAGGCTGGCGGCAGTTGCAGTTCTGTTAAAGCAGTAGAGAGCAAGTGTGACGACAGCAGCTGTGGCTGAGTGAACGCGCAGCCCCACCACGCTAATTCACCCATCACCTGAACACCTGAACGCGTGCCGAGCTAAGCCCTCGCTTGGCTACTGCATCGCGGTCCGACTATACCTAACGCTCAGCATACGACGACTGTGGCGCACCATTGTAAGTTGCACCACAGAAGGAGGGACTGCTCACCCAGCGAACTCAAAGACTGCCCCAGCCCGAACCGTGGTTCGTAAAGACCAGCGCAAGCGTAGACTACTTGGCCATCATGACGAGTCTTGGCATACGAACGAAGAACGCTGCTTTGAAATGTTTTTTCAGTGACGCTCAGAATTCGCCTCCTAATCTCTCCTCTTGAGCCATCTCTTTGCGACGCAAGACTTCGCTCATCATGATCGACCGTGCTTGATCTAGTCAGACCCCGACCATACCCAAGCAGCTACCATCTGTCCCAAAACCCTATCAAGAGGTAAAAGCCCATCAAACGAGTACCTAATCTATGTGCCAAGCATTACCGCACACCTAGCAATTGAGGCCAGGGCTCGCCTTACACGCTTTCTCTATCTCGACCTACCGCTGCTGATCGAGCTGGATGAATACGAGTACATAGAGAAGTTCCTACAAAGCTACAAATGGAAGTCTCTCTTTGTGTATTGGAAAGAGCCAGGGACTGAAGTAGGATGTGGGGCTGCAGGGCACATAGGCAGACGAAAAGTCCAGTAGAAGCGATAGGTTTTCCAAACAAGTCAACACAGCCTACCAGTGCACTGTTTATCACCACGAGGGTCTGACAAGCCTGGCAGGCGCATGCTTGCAACATCGCACGTGCCGCTGCTCTCGACTAAACAGCTGGCTGCGCCTGACCGGAAGGCACGATGAACATGTTGATATATTCACGGTACGACATGTCCTCTCCACTCATCTCAACCTTTCTATCGTTAAAACTAGAGATCATAGTATGGAGGTTTCTCTATTTCCACGATACGCCGTTGCCAAAGGCTTTCAGTCTTTTGTTCAACGTCCAGACTACTCCATTGTTAACTTGTGTAATGACCAACGTGAGTTCCCCTCGCAGTTCTATCTAATATACCAACCGGCTCATTCGCAGCACGCACATCACGCAGACCTCGGCGTGAAAATCAGATCACACCTATCATGCTGTGACCGATACCCATTCGCCTCAAACGGCGCCATCTTCTCCGGCGTCGTCTCCGGCGCCAACGTGGTCCTAAATGCGCGGAATGTCGCTGCCAGAATCAACCGCATCTGGTACGTCGCCATGTTTCCTCCCGGACAACGCCTCGCCCCGATCCCAAACGGCACCAACAGACGCCGCTTCTCGGCGCTGAATTCTTCCTCCAACCATCGCCGCGGGTTGTAGCTGTCGAAATCTGGAAATAGGTCTGGGCGCTGGCGGCTCATTGAGAGGGACTGCGTTGTTACCACTGTGCCGGCGGGGAGGTAGTGGCCGAGAACATTCAGGCCACCTTCAGGCACCAGACGGCTCCCGGTCAGGGCAACGGGTGGACGGAAGCGAAGGCCTTCTTTGATACAGGCGTCGAGCAGCTTCAGTGAGTCGAGTTCCTCGTATCCCTCGTGGGCAGACACCTCCTCGTACAGATCTTGCTGCAGACTCTGGTTGCGTGCCAGCTCGTAGTAGATGAATGCGAGCGCCGATGATGTTGTTTCTGTCGCTGCAAGAACTGAAACGTGGTTAGCATGCATGTATATCTCGTACTTTCTATAACCAACCTTGTCCAGCCATTTCCGCTCCGAGTTCTGCGTCAGTCCATGATTGCGTTGGATATTTTGCCTCGCGGTCTGTGAAGAGTTTGTAGATGCTCGGGTCTTCATCGAAGCTCGTCTCGTTTTGCGCAGCTTGGCGACACAGTTCCTCGCCTAGATCGAAGAGCTTGTCGCTTGAGCGTACGCGAAACCGGGCGTGTGCGAAGGGGCCGTGTTGGAGCCATTCGAATAGCCACTCAGGAAGGCATAGGCGCCATACGACGAGGAAATTGTATTCGCCGACGACCTTGGGGAAGTCAGTGGTGTCGATATCGACCGCTGAGCCGCCCATGATGACCTGGGAGTTCTTCAGAGTGCAGATGCGCAGGTGGTGAACGATGTCTTCTGACTTCTTTCCATCGGACTTGGCCATGTCTCGGACCATGGCTTCTATGTTATCCACAAAGACCTGGTGGCGGAGCTTGAGGTTCTTGGTCGTCGTGGCGATCATAACCGGGTGTCGTCGTGACCGAGCGATGGGGTGCTGTGGGTATGTGACTGTCCAGTCATGGCCACCAACGCGTAGAGCACGGATGGATTTTGGCGAGGTGTCGAGGTCTTTTCTGATGAAAATCTTCTCCACAGCCTCCGCATCGTTCAAGATCACCAGATTGGGACTGATCCGAACGATAGGACCGTATTTTGCCATGAGCCGATCGGCTTCAAATGACAGTCTACCGTTCCACCGCTGCCACCGGATCCAGAGAGAGGTCACTGAGCTAATCCAAGGTCCGGGGATCGATCTTAAGGGGTGTATGTGTGCGCGGTATACCATGGTGATGGCACGTACAACCACCCAAAGCACAAAGAAGGCCGCGATGACCCTCCAATAAATCTCATGGCGGTCCAGCTGCACTGCACCGGCGCCAAAGAAATATTCTAACATATTGACTGAAACAACAAACGAATAAATGAAGCAGCCAGAAGCTATGCTACGGGAGTCTTCAAGTGTAGTCGCATCTCTTATACCTACAACGGCCCGTTTTGAGCATCAACTATCACCACGACTCAGTGGCGTCCGTGCACAACGTACTCGGTCTAATCTACTAATCATCATGCACTAAGAGGACTAAAAATGCGCCGTTCGCACAACTGGCGTGGTGATCGCTGGCCGTTTGGCCGCACGAGCAACGCCTTGCACAATGATCGTCCGCAGCCGGTCGTCCGCGTCCGTGAGTACGACAGTGTAGCGGAAATAGCTTACAGCATTTTTGGCACCTGTGAATGAGATTACTGGGTTGTTATGTGGAAGTGTATGTACCTGTACAGGTCAAGTAACATAGCAAATAAAGTGTATGAACCTTATGTTACGACTTGGTGCGGGACGGGACGAGTATTACACAGCCAGAGCCTCATTTCGTGAGAGACGGGCTGTGCCGCGTGGAGGGTTCCCGGTCGTTTCCCATCGGGCCGGTATGCAGCGATCATGGGTTACAGTGAGGTTGCGGGCTGTCTTGAAAGGTGTGTAGCGTCGACGGTTTTGACGGCAGCCCGACTCGAGCCCTGGGTCCTAGGCCTCTTGTCCAATACCGAGGCGTGGCTCATAGCCCGGTAGTCGGGGCGAACTGAACTGATTTGCGTCCGGGTCAACGGCTTTGGGCGCTGCTCAACATTGCTAATCAGTTCCCCGGGTCTTCTGCTTGTATCCAGTAGTGCGGCAGTTGTTTCCTCCGTTGATGCACCGGCCGGGGGTCTTTCCGATCACTGCTCTGTACGTCGAGATGTCCGTACGGCACTTGATCAAGGCATCTGAAGTACGAAAGCTTATTGCTGATGCTCATCATGGTGTGCAATGTTCCTAGATCAGGGCGACTTGCTGGATCGAATTGCCTAAGTGGTCTTGGTGGCGGTGCCACTATGCGTCCCCTCTAATCTGATCTGCCGTAGCCGTAAGTCAGTAGTCTCCCCAGATTTGCAGCTGGCAAGATCCACCTCATGACCTATGTCCTCCAGAAGACGACAGGTGTCATCAGTAAGTGGGGCTGAGGTTCTGTCTGCATTAGTTCCCGCCAGCTAGTCGCATGAGCCCAGGTCGATTCACCCTGAGGAAAGATTGGAAAGATCGTTTGGATTTGACTTGGACTACTACAGGATGATTGCGATGGCTGAGTGGATGCAATTCCAGTACAAGATCCATCGTCCAAGGTGTAAATATACCTTCAGCTGGCTTTTCGTGTCTTGCGAACTGCACCCCCTCCCCAAATTGAAAATTGTATAGATGAAAATGATGCCGAAACTTGCGTAAAAGAAGTAAGCAGGTATGCCCACTATCCACCGTATGAGACGGATGTGCAGGACTATCACTAAGGCCATCCAAGGAACCGGATTTGACGACTCCACAAGATGATGCCCTGGAGGCAGTCGTAAAACACTGTGTAACCCACCAAACCCACAAAGTACCAGCACCCCGATGGTCAAGATATATATCTCAAATCCAGAATTTACCAACTTTAAGATCTTCGCGCCGGGAAGTGCATCAGCCACAGCATAGGGATCCCAGAACACTTGGTCAGGGATTCTATCGATCAAGATCTCGCCAGATTGAAAAGTGACATATATAGCCAAGCCCCTCGATACATAGCTACCAAGGGAAGACGGATCTTCATCTGTCAGCATTTTTACCTGATTGATGCTCGTCACATACCTGTACACCAATGAAAAAACTTCGCCATTCTCTCGAAAGTCTTTGTCTTCGTATGCGCACTATCGTGCTGTCCCATGTTGATAACAAGCTGTTGTTGGGTCTCGATCTGGCCTTCTTTGTGGGGATATGATGCTGGAGTAGTTGTATACTGTGGCACCTCTGGGTTGATTGTTGACTCGCTAATCACTTGACTGGCCGCATCTACGCTTGATGTAATGTGATTGTGTCCATCAGACAAGTCTGTGTGCTGTTTTGCTACAGTTCCAGACACTACTGGCCCAGGGTCCATCGATATATCATCGATGCTTTCAGAAGACAGCTGCAAACCAGCATCCGGGTGTGATGCGTCATTCAAAGATGATGTGCTCCGCATCTGAGCTTTCGGTAATCCAGCCGTTGTCGAAGGGCCAAATCTTTCTTGCGTAGCTTGCGGTCGTCTCGTCCCAATGAAAGCGTCGCTGCGAACAGAGTACACTGCGACACCCACTACGAGGAAGGCTAGAACTGCAAACGAGCTGATTGAATTTCTGCTCATGGGTATCAGGCGCCGACTTCTCCGTACACGTATGATTGTTTTAATGGGGGTTGATTCTGAGTCTTCCTTGTCCAGAAGGGGTGTTGCTACTTCGTCGTCATTCAACGAGGTCGTTCTTTGTTCAGTATTGTTGAGCAGATCTGATTCTACTTCTGCGCCATTGAGGGATGCTGTCTCAGCATCCGAAACAACATCAGGAAAACAGCAAGTTCCACAAAATAGTGAGGGAACCTCGTCCGGCTTTGTTGCAGTTGTAAGGATTTCCAAGACTCGAGTAGCCGAGGGTCGATCTCGCCGCTCCTGTATCAACATATCCGAAATAGATTGTAACAAAGGCCTTCGAGATGGACTCCAGGACTGGTGCCAAGTTTCAATCAGCGTTTCCGTTGCTTTCGGATTTGAGTGGAAACTCTCGATTTGAGAAGCGTGCACTGAATAGTAGTTGCGAATCGACTCAATGGTCTGGCCGTGAAGCGCTGCTGCCATTTCAAGGAAGACGCAGCCCAGAGACCATATGTCGGCAGATTCGTTTCGTTTCTCTCCCCAAGTGACCTCTGGGGCACTGTAGCGTGGGGTGTGGACAGTGACACCTGATGTGGTATCCAGGGAGTCGTGTGAGATTCCGAAATCTGTGATAAGCACATGACTGCGATGAACCAGTATATTAGCTGGCTTAATGTCTCTGTGTTTGATTGACTGGGTATGGAGATAGCCCAATGCGGTGGCAAGGCAGCCGAAGAATGTTTGAAGTGTCGCGCGGTCTCTGGGTCCAGCATCCGAACAGATGATATCCATGTACTCAGCAAGATTGCAGTCAGCAACCGGAGCCATAACTAGACCCAAGTGCCTCGCATCAGTGTAGCTGCCGATGTACTGGACAATGTGCAGGTGTTTTAGCTTTTGTAGCCGGCTCTTTTCGGCGATGAAGCTTTTGATTAGCCCTCTAGAGTTCCCGAATAGCTCTTTGCGTCGAATTCTTTTCAGCGCATACTTGTCAAAGTCGACCTTACTGGTAATTATATTGACCTGACCATACTTGCCGCTGCCAATAACAGGCCCAAGGGTGAATAGTCGATTCTCTGCCACGTTCACGGTCAAATGCGATCCGTGTGAGAATTTGAGCACTTCCGTCTCAATAATGGATTGCGCATCTAGTATGTCGTTCGCGACTTTCTGCTCCAGGAAACTGGGTAGTGAAGACGCTTTGGCCAAGGGAAACCAATGATCGCCAAAATCCTCTCTCAACAACCCTTCCAAACAATCCAAACGACCGATCGTTCGAAGCACGATGTAAGTGCGAGGACATTTAGCTGCAAGGGGGTTGCATTGTTGCAGAAGTCCGGCTATCTTGTCGATCTCGGCATCTAGGTACTTTGTCGTCGATTGGGAATCCGAGGATCGATTGAAATATGCATCGAGCCGTTCTTCAACACACATAGTTTTGACTTACGCATTACCGTAGAGGTAATGTCATATCGAATATAGGAGGTGGCAGGAGTGAGGGCACTCAAACTCTGGTCGTGCGGCTGAAGACGCGCCATGCACACACACGCTACTTAGCGCCAGCCCTGTCTAGGCATTCCTTAGATTGGACCTTCCCAGCATGCTAGGGCATTTCACACGTGTGGCTATGATCCTGTTATAGAGTTGGACATCAGAAAGAGCGAACATATTCAGGCGAGAATCGTGACGTCGAGTGTATTGTGGGGCTGGCCCACGCACAGGAACGACGCACAAAGGCCCTGTCGTTCTTACCCCGCGCCAAGAGCTGGCAACAAACAGACATTTGATGGCCAATGTACCACGGTGAACTCCGTGACAGCCTCAACGGGCTTTTTACCATTCTATTGCTATATAGTTTACAGGACTACCCTAGTTTACGACTAGGGTATATTTCTTGAGAACAAAGCCAAAGTACTCGAAACTATCCCCATCACCCATCACCTCCATACTCAGGTCCCACTCATTTGCCCGATTCAAGATCGGTTTGATGAAATGCGGTTGCCGGTATGTGATATAAAGAAACACGCCGTCGTCTTTTAGGACCCTCAAAACCTCGTCGAAATCAGCATTTGCTCTCTACCCGTTCCTCTTCTCCAAGACTTACCTCGTTAATATATCTCCCAGTGTTTTCTAAGACTTCCTCAGGCGGACTCCACGGACTGCCGTGTATCATAGCATCCAGCGTGCCTTTGTCGAAAGCAACATCCACAGATTTGGTATTGATACCATTCATGTCCCGCACGTCACCAACTGTCCATTCTACTTGCGGCTTGTCAGGGTGTCGTGACTTCATGCAATCTACTACTACTGTAGAGAAGTCGATGCAGACTTGGTTTGTGTAGCCCCGCTCTAGGAGGTCGTATGGAACGGTCTGGTGATGGGTTAATCCTGCTAGAGTCCTAGAACCTCAGAGAACGCATAAAGGAAACCTACACTATCCCCACTCCCCAAATGCAGCACTCTCTGGCCTTTCCCCTCAGCTCCCCTTGCGTTGAAAAGATGCTTCTCGAAAAACGGCTCTAGCGCGTCAAAAGCGCGAAACCACTCATGCGTGGGCTTATCCCCATCTGCCTTCGCATACCGTTCATCCCAGAACTCTGAGTGTGCCAGGGCCTGCGCCTCCTTTGACGACATCATGTTGTAAACGATTGAAGTGTGGTATTTCGTGGCTGAATCAGGACAATTTGAGAGTTTGCTGTCGAAATACGGAACTAGGACGCAAGCGGTCTAGGTAGCAATGCCCTCTTGGCGCGACGTTCCGACTGACATGCCTGGGACGCCACAAGGTAAACACCACAAACATCGAGGACTCGGTCTTGGGAATCCATCCAATGTATCGCAACCAAACGATTACTTTTGGCCAGCCAACGATGCAGCACACACCCGCAGCGCCATGGCGGCTTGGTGATGCGGCTCGTTCGCAGAGCCTCAAGACGCTGGAACCACCCAGCTTACATTCTACCACAAGCAAGGTGCACACTTACTATCAGTGACTCAGAACGTCCTTTGAAGCGAACGTTTTGAATCGCGCCCCGTTAGAGTGTTCAGGGCTGAACCCGCTGAGGCGGGCTCCATAATAAGCTCTGGAGAAACGTTCCACGCTCAACTGTTCCTGTTCTAGTAAAGGTATATACCGTGGTTGCAGGCATTTATTCCACATACGACCATAGGACGTTGAAAACAAGGCTTCCCGTTCGCTCAGCCCTATTTAAGCAACGTACCGGTGGATTAGTACTCAGGTGGGTGACCACTGGGGAATCCCCACTGTTGTATGTCACGATTCCTTTTTGCATCGATTCACTGCATTGTGACAGCTGGGGAGAGGACTAGTGATCGAATAGACGGGTGCTATGCACCTGCCGTAGGTGCCCCGAGAGCTGGGTAATGGTTGCTAGGCTCAGACTAGTGTTTATTCAATCTGTTTTTGTTATCTGACTCGGACTGCCTGTTCGTTCAACTTCTGGCTATACAGTACAAGCGTATTCGGCGAGAGGGCCCACTTCTACAACTCAAGCTAATAGTGATCACCAGGTAGAGCCATGCTCAACGCTGGGGATTCTTTGATACTGCAATCGGCCGTGTACGTTGAGTCTCCCTTCCCCCAGGTCTGCGCCGTCCACGACTTCTTCATTCAGCGTCTCATCAGCCAGAACACTGCTATGTGAAGTCAAGCTCTTAGTCCCTGTTTGTGGAAGCTCCAGACGAGCATGTTTCTTATCCGTAATGTTGAATACACCCAAGACCGCATCTTTTGTGGTCGTTACGGGGACCGACCCGTCGGTTCTCTTCCAGAAGTCCAGTCCGAGATTTTCATGAGCTATGCGTTGAAGCTGCAGCGTCGATCCCGCTTTCCACTCGGCATGGCCGCGCTTTAGTTGCTCGTTTTTACCCAGAGGAGTGCGATCCAGCAACAGGTCGAAAAGTTCTTCTAGATATAGCACAGCAATCATAAAAATGACCCCAGATAACAGGAATATGACCAGTACCCACGTACTGATAGAGTGAAAGCTGGCTGACCGAATCCGCTGGGGGCGATCAGTATACTTGTCACTGGGCCAGGGCTGGGTAATCGGGCTTACTTGGCTGTGACACATTCTCTCACATTGAAACTCTGAATTGCAACTCAGGTGTCCCCACCAACCACCTCTTGCATAGGCTACCATACTAGATTGCCACGCAGCCAGAGTGACTTTGAAGATGTGCTCTCGCTCTAACTGCCATTGGTTGGAGGGCAGTAGAGCTGTTTGTTCATTTCCCACCATTGTATTCCGAGCCAGCAGAATGGGCGCGCTGACAAGATCATAGAATGCGTCAGGTTGTCCTTTTGCGACGGCATGCTGGTATGTTGCCACAAGGAACGGATATACTTGATACTGGTCCCGAGGGTTTGGCCATGCTTTTTCAATGGCATAGACCGACTTGTTGCGCCCAAATGTGTTGATGCAGTCAAGGTCTGGTCGAGCTGGATTGCAAAAGAAGCGCTCCGTGGCGCATCCAAGTACCTGCACGTCATCCGCGAAATACATGCCGTTTTTTGCGGCCTCTTCGGCTTCGGTAGCGTTAAGTGCTGTATTGTGACTAGATATAGGAGTCGTGGCGGAAAACCATGGATCGTGAGTTTTGTAGTAGTACTTGATCTCAGCAGCCTCAAGAAAAATCAGGGATACCAGTCCGTTCGCTTCGGCAAGCTGGGGGATGAAGTTGTAGTCATACTCGTCGACGTGTCTGCACACAAGTTAAAAATTCGTATACTCACGAGTTGTTATGACATGAGCTTAGATATGGGCACGCTTACCGTAGTTTGTACGCTCCAGTATAAGTCATGACGCTTCTATCATTACGTTCGACCCAGTGCGTTGCGCCGCCATAATCCCTATTCTCACCATAATTGTACATCACAAAGGTTCTGGTCGTATTCTGGATTCGCGACACCGTTGTGAAGTTCCGAGTGACCACAGGTGCGCAGTGAGTGCGATATCGCAACGTGAACCGCGGGCCTTTGTTTATACCTAAGTGTTCAAGTGAATCGATCTCACCGGTGTCGAGCAGGAGATTGCCATAACCGAGTTTACACAACTCGGGGGCGAACGGGCATGGCGCATTGCTGTCAGAAGTGTAAGGTAACGCAGGTGTGGCGAATATATCGCATCCAGCAGCACTTGCGTTCGTGTAGCATCTGGTCGCATACGAGTAGTCTTCCCAGGACTTCTGCGAGTTGTACTCCATGGTTCGCCCGACCTGCGAGGTCATGTTGATCGGATACCCGAATGGCAATGTGCCGCAGTGTCGCCCTGAGATCAGTACCTCGCTTGTGGTCCTTTCAAATAGCTTGGATGAGAAGAAACCTGATCATGGTCAATTTCAACTCAAGGTGGAGAAGGACTCTCCTTACTTGCGGCCGTTGTCAGTAATGAAATAGCAACAGCTATTCCGAGAAGAGTGAGAGCTCTTAGTCTGCCTCCAAAGCGACCTTTCGCTCGATGGCGCCAGACATGGCTGATCTCCAGTGCTTGCACAGCCGCGTCTGTCGCCAGAGACGTGTTGCGCAGCACCGCCTGTCGCTGATTGTGAATACCATCACTAGCGATACCAGTTGAGTGTGCGTGGTGAAATGTAAAGCGCACAAGTTTCCAGAGGCTCCGCGCAGTCGCTCCGACGAACAAAGCAACGAACGCGATGAACAAATTCCAGGCGCTCTGATCGAGTGTGATTGTGGCGGCGCGAAATCCCCCTAGCGATCGATTGACCCAGAAGCCCGTGTAGATATCTTTGTCGATCGGCCAATCAGGCAGCACAGGGTAGACCGGCTTCGGGTCCATGGTGTCTTGCGATGGTCAATCGCGGGGGTTTTCACTGATGGACGTTCAAGATCAATCGTGAAAGAGATTGTCGAGGCTGAGATGAAAGCTACACAAAATAGAGTCTCCCCGTTCAACGAGACGAGTTTTCCCTTCAAGGTCTGCAGTGGCGCAGACTTGCCAGCTTATATGGTATCGGACAGTCAGGAGGTATAGCAATCAGGCTGAGCTTTATGCCTCAGCCTTGTGCTCTATGTTCAACTCTTCTACATTGAGAAGCCTCAACCAGGCTACACCTTGTTCGCCAAGCAACTCCGCCGTGTTGGAAGTTGGGGGCCATACAGATAAAGTTCAGCGGAGGTCCGCTGAAATCTACCATCGTACTATCATACTACTCGTGAGTATGTGGGGCAATGGAATTGAACTCAATCGATATTTGATCGACACAAATGGGATTGTGAGTGTCAAGGTGATGCGGGCACCGAGTGTCGTGCCTGCTACGTACCACTAAACGCATTCCACCAGCGGCTGTGGAAAGGCTGAAACAAGTCTCAGCCTTGTTATCTCGTTGTCAAATGCTTCGCAGAGTCTCCTAGCCGTAGCTAGCAGTGCAGCGGGCCAGGCTGAGCTAGTATTGTTGTATGTGCTCTCTTCTCTTCGTTGCTTGTTTTGCTATTCTCGGAAAGGGGAATGTTGCGTACCCGCGCTTGCCTGATTGAGAGTAGTGTGTATTTGCGTCAGGCAAGAGGGCACTTTCTTATTGGGATGAATGAATTCATTCAGTTGTAGCTCATTAGCTGCAACAAAGGTAAGGTGGATTGAATTTGCAGAAAGGCCAAGCGGCTGGTCGGGCGTGCCTGGGTGCAGTATGTCGGATTGAAGCCCTCGTCATCTACCTGTGTTTTGCACATCACCTGGGATTAAACCAGCATGATATCTCTTTTCTTCATCCAGCCCCTGCTAACAGCTTGTTCGATCTCACCATCCATGATACCATGCACGTACGCAACACAGATGAACTTATACAGCTCTTCAGATCCGCCAAATTCTCTGGAGCCGTGTTCTTTGCTTGGTCGCGTTCGTCGGAGAATAACAGGAACCTTACCACCGTCCAATACCGCGACTACGTCGTTGTGGTGAACATAGCGACGTGTGAGAACAAAGAGGCCCTCCAGGGTAGTCGCAAATGTGTACTCTTTCTCCACTTCAGGCAACTCAGTGTATCCCCTGTGTGCATGTCCGTGAGATGACATTGTTGAAGAGTATTTATGTTTGTCGAACTTATTGTGTAGACGTAGGGTCTGGACCTGAGTTTGAGATTCAACGCGGAGTGTATTTCGAATGTCCAGCCTCTCGATCTCTCTGGCTTTCAAACGCCGCATCATAGGAGGAGCTGTGCAGTCTCTGATCATTGTGCGCCAGAAAGCACGAATCGCGCTTTCGGGCTGCAGAGTATCTCCTTTGGCGTCTGGTTCTTCTGATAGATCAACTGCATTCTCCTGAGAACAATGGATTTTCGCGCGGTGTATTCTTTGCAGGACACTCCAGGCGGAGTAATTTTCTGGGGCGTCCGTGGGCATAACGAGATTTGGAGCTGCTTCCAGTGTCTCGTGCCCCCTTCGGTTGGGAAGGTTAATGCTGTCGATGACAATACCCGAAAGTATCAGAACTTCCTTTCCATCCCTGACAGTTCTACCGATTTCTCTAAATTCGCGTATACCAGCATTGAATATGTCGCGCTGAGCGAATAGAATAGAAGGGCTCTCACGGCTTGGCAAGCCAAAATCTGCAGTCCAGGAGCCTTTGGCCTCACTAGATACTGTTCCGAAGGATGACTCCCTTGTCTCGAATGGATTTTGACATATTATGTCTAAGTTTCTTGACCTTCTCATCAGAGCTTCTGTCGTTTCTCTGTACAGGGGCACCAATGGGCTGGCGTAGTCAATCTCGATGTATGGCTTGTTGCGCAATAGTCCCATCAATGCGTAGATCTTGTCTCGAGGATCGGTGGCTTGCTTGTCTCGAAAGCGAGCTAGAACATCGAACAGCTCATCGGAGGAGCTCCCCAATTGGCCATCTCGGAAGGCCCTGCGTTGATCTTCTATTTGTTTGACTTCTGTCAAGGTCGCACCAAAGTCGGTGAGACTGTGGGGGCTGACGTTTTCTGCGGTCTTCATCGTGTGGAAGGCATCAAAATAGGGCTCATCCTTCAGAAAACTCGAGACGCATGTCCACTCCAACTCTTGCTCTCCACAAATCATGGTTATTCGCGGTGCGCAGACAAGTTCTTGGACGATCCAGACACGTCGCCAATAAGGTGAATGCTTCAATAGTTCGCTAAGTAGTGGTACCTCGTTTTCGGACGATATTTGCAGGAATTGACTTGGCTTGTCTTTCTGCTGCACTAAACTCGCCTCATAGGTTCTGAGATCATGCAATCGCCTTTCCACGATCTCCTGCAACAACTTCATGCCGCTGATGATGCTGTGTTGCTTGGAACTAAAATCGGTCGTACCTAGCGATGGACCCATCCAAGCAAGGACGCGTTGACATGAGGAATATATCTTGTGCATCAATCGAACCTGCTTGGCGCGCTCTTCTAGGTCTGCTTGGTTGATACAGACTGCATCGACCCAGATCGTGCGTGGGTTGACGCTATCCCTGAGACTGTACAATATGTTTGCTAAGCTGGGTGTGACGTGCACTTCTCGCCCATCAATGAGAATGGGGCGGGAAAAGTCGGGTTTTCCCCACACATAAGATAGTGCCTCGTATGCTGGAACAGAATCTCCCGTATTTGAGAGAAGCGCGACGGAACGGAGGGCACATTGGAGAGTTGATCCGTCTGCTGTCGTGAGTGCGGGGTGTAAGGTGAGCAGTCTTATCTCTTCCGTATCTTGATCGAGTGGGCCGTAGACAGATTCCATGAGATCAGGCGATAGACTCTTGAAGGTGCTTTCTGGTTTGATCGTGCTCAAAGTGTCGGAATGGTATTCTGTAAGGGCAAGTGGTGTAGATGGCTGGTCTGAGACGGTGTTAGTTGGTGTTGCGCAGCAGTGCTGCACAGCCCTGCTGCGCATGTAAGCCCACCGGACCGAATAAGAAGATCATCGTATCAATTGTAGCCAAAGTTCTGTCGATGCTTGAACAGGTGGAGTACACCAGTGATGTGGTTTGCCTGATGTCGAAGGGGCGGGGCAGGATTGATAAGCATTGGTATTTTTGCGTCTACATACGTGGTCATGCTCCGATTCTTTTGGGTTGTGGCTACGGAGGTATCAATGTATAATGTTTCCCTTTTACTTGCGAGTCTTTCTTTTCCGTGGGTTGTAAGAGCGTGTTGATGACGAAGGCGCCTTCCGCAGTTGGCGGCAGCTGTGTACCCCACAGTTGTGGAAGCTGCGCTGCTAGGGCGCCTCCAACTACCCCACCTCTCCAACTGATAGCCACATCAAGCGCCGGTTATCTGTCTCCAACTCGTACTACTTACCTCTGGCTTTCTCGTTGCCCATGCGACATTTCTACTTACCCTTCCTACTATTCTGAATTGTCAAGCACCTGTTGTTGTCACTCAAAAAATCAAGCGCGCCACCATGACGACATCTTGGCGTGATGCCGCGGCTAGGAAGCGCGAAGCTACCTCCGCGTTAATTCCGGTCGAGTGGCGAGTGGAGAACTTGCCATCTGTAAAAGAACAAGTTGATGTGACAGACTACATCAAGCAGTATCTATCTGAGGAAGAGTTGGAAATCACCGAAAGCGATGCAGATCAGATTGTTGAAAAGACCACATCGGGAGCATGGACTGCCGAAAAGGTCACACGTGCTTTCTGTCACAGAGCAGCGCTGGCACACCAATTGGTACCCACAACATGGTACATTCGACAATTGATCACACCTGCTGACCATCGCAGCTGAACTGTCTTCATGAAATCTTCTTCGATGCAGCCATAGATGATGCAAAGAAGCTTGATGCATACTTTGCCGAATACAAGCGACCAGCTGGTCCACTTCATGGTCTTCCCATCTCGCTCAAGGATCAATTCCATGTCAAAGATGTCGAGACAACTATGGGATACGTGGGGTGGATTGGTACCTTCGAGGGTAAGAAGGGTACCGGCAAGGAGAAGGTCTATGAAAGTGAGATGGTCCGAGAGTTGAGAGCGAGCGGTGCGGTGCTGTACTGCAAGACTAGTGTGCCACATACACTCATGTCTGGTGAGACTGTCAACAACATCATCGGCTATACACTCAATCCGAAGAACCGCAATCTGAGTAGCGGAGGCAGCTCAGGGGGTGAAGGAGCACTCGTTGGCATTCGCGGCTCACCAGTCGGGTTCGGGACTGACATAGGGGGCAGCATTAGGATCCCAGCCGCGTTCAACGGCCTTTATGGCCTACGTCCATCCACTGGGCGCCTACCATACCACGGTATGTCGAACTCGATGGATGGTCAGAACACCGTGCTGTCTGTCGTCGGTCCGCTCGGTACCACTGCAGCATCATTGCGTTTGGTCACAAAAGCTCTGCTCTCACAGCAGCCATGGTTGCACGATCCGATGGTACACGAGATTCCATGGCGGAGTGAAGAGGAAGAGAGTGTCCAGCAATTACTACAATTTGTTGGCGAAGCCGTACCAAAGGAGAAGAAACTGTCGTTTGGTATCCTTCACACCGATGGCGTTGTCAGCCCAACAGCGCCAATCCATCGTGCCATCGAAATTGTCTCCAAGGCTCTCAAATCTGCAGGCCACGAAGTCGTTGCCTGGGCACCACCCTCCCATAAGGTCTTGAACGATGCAGGCTTCAGGTCCTGGGTCTTTGATGGCGGCCGTGATGTGCGTGAGGCTTTCGCGCTGTCAGGTGAGCCGATGGCACCACAAGTATCTCTGTACCAGAATGAGATGAAGGAGTTTACTGCAACCGAGATCGCCGAAACGAACGTTCGAATGCGAGAGCTGAAGAAGGAGTACATGGAGTACTGGAACAGCACCGCAAAGGAGACGAGCACTGGCAGGCCTGTCGATGCTGTCATCTCGCCACTAGCACCGTGGCCTGCTGCCAGGCGGGAGAAGTACAAGTACTACGGCTACTCAACCTGGATCAATGCGCTCGACTATACGACTGTCGCGTTCCCCGTCACCAATGTTGATAAGTCTGTCGATGTCAAGAGCAGTGATTTCAAGCCACTGGATAATCAAGACCAGGAGATCCAAGACGACTGTATGTACCTCGCTGAAGGATTTAACTGTTCATATACTCACAATACTACAGATGACCCTGAGATCTATGATGGTGCACATGTTAGTCTACAGGTTGTGGGCAGGCGTTTACAGGAAGAGAAAATCCTAGCAATCGCCGAATACTTAGGCAAGTTAATCGGTAAATAGAATCTGGCTGCAAGCCCGTGAATGGATGTATCGACCTTGTTAGTTGCTGGCACTAGATCCATCAGCGAAGACTCGTGACACCCAGCAGCCTTGTTTTCGGCCAGCATTAAGCCGATATTCGGCAACCGCCACATTCTCGGCTAGATCGATCAAGGTTTACCCCATATTCCCCGGTTCTCCGCAGAAAAGAGCCTCCGCCCGGCGCACGACTTCAACACCCACTTCGGCGTTGTCGCCGATAGCATATCCCCCGCAATGTTTTCAGTGCGTGCGCCGAGGATCTGCGTCATCAGCAGACCAGATCAACAAAAACGTTTCTGCATTTGTGAACGTGTGTTCGTAAGTCTCGTGAAATGCTGTAAACTTAGATTGAATGTCTGGTCAGTTTCCTGTTCAGGTAGTCGTTCCTGGTGTCTGTCGGCACGAAGGATCACTTGTGCCCAGGAACAGACTCGGCATCTGGTATATGATGAGCGGGTTGTACGTGCAGGCTTCTTTTTTGCCAGGAACTGCTATCGGATCTTACTGCAGCCATGCGTGTAGTCGCTACTCTCTTTTCTGCCTGTGCAGCGGCTCTTGTGGCCAACGCCAGCCCCATCGAGATTCCTCGGAGTCAGGCAGCACAGCTTGATCCTTTTGAAGGCTATGTATTCGCCTACTTCACCAACAACACCAGGGCCGGCGAAAACATCTACTTGGCAGCCAGTAATGGCAACAACGCGCTGAGCTGGAGAGAGCTGAACAACGGCCAGCCCATCCTCAGATCAACACAGGGCACAAAGGGACTACGTGATCCCTTCCTTATCCGGTCACCCGATGGTGGCAAGTTCTTCCTCATTGCCACAGACTTGAGCATTGGGTCGGGTACATCTTGGGGAGCTGCCGTCTCCCAAGGTAGCTTGTACTTGGAGATCTGGGAGTCAACCGACCTCAAGACATGGTCCGCACAGCGACACGTCAAGGTCTCACCCAACACCGCCGGTAACACATGGGCACCTGAGGCATACTATGACCCTACGATCAATGCGTACGTTGTCTTCTGGGCTTCCTCGCTGTACGCAGAGAGCGATACAGCCCACACAGGACCCACCTACCACCGCATGTTGTACGCGACAACAACGGACTTTGTCACTTTCAGCGAGACCACGGTTTGGCAGGACGCCAGTATGTCGCGCATCGACTCGACCGTTATCCAGGAGGGAAGCAACTTCTATCGCTTCACCAAGGACGAGGGCGCCTCTGGAACAGGGTGCTCTGACATCATCCAAGAGCACTCTTCCTCGCTGCGCGCAACGCTCGAGTCGTGGACGCAGGACGCTGCCTGCATCGGCAAGGGCGCCGGAACCAGCGCCGTGGAGGGCCCGACTGTCTTCAAATCCAACCCTGGTGATGTCAATGGCGAGAAGTTCTACCTCTTTGTTGATGAGTACACTGGCCGTGGCTACATCCCCCTTGAGACAGCCGACATCTCCAAGCCGGCCTGGAAAGTATCGAGCTCGTACAGTCTCCCCAAGAGCCCTCGCCACGGAACTGTTATCCCTGTGACTGCAGCTGAGCTTAATTCGCTGACCTCGACGAGCGCAACTTCGGCAAAGAAGACACGCAACAGCAACAACATTGTCGCAAGGGACAGTCCTGTCCTGCCTGGCTACTACGCAGACCCCAACATTGCCGTCTTTGGCGACACCTACTACATCTACGCCACCACCGATGGAACTCCCGGCTGGGGCGGAAACACATTCTACGTCTGGTCCTCCCCCGATCTTGTTACCTGGACACGTGCTGAGACGCCTTTCCTCACACTCGACGGTGCAGCGGGCAACGTACCCTGGGCTGTCGGCAACGCATGGGCACCCACCGTCATCGAGCGCGATGGCAAGTACTACTTCTACTTCAGCGGACACAACGCGGAGTACAACAGAAAGACCATCGGCGTTGCCGTCGCAGACTCGCCGCTTGGTCCCTTCACAGCACAGCCCCAGGCTTTCATCTTGAACAACGAGGCACTCAAGACCGGCCAGGCCATTGATCCCGCGGCTTTCCAGGACCCCACGACCGGAAAGTACTACATCTTCTGGGGTAACGGAACACCCGCACTTTACGCCGAGCTTTCGGATGACATGCTGTCGCTCAAGATTGATACACTGCGCGAGATCCCTGGGCTTGTGGACTTCCGTGAAGGCATCTTCGTCAACTACCGCGACGGCATCTTCCACCTCACCTACTCGATCGACGACACGAGGTCTGAGAACTACCGCGTGGGATACGCCACGAGCGCCAGTGTTAAGGGGCCGTGGACCTACCAGGGAGTCATCCTGCAGAAGGATGTGGCGCAGGGCATTCTGGCTACCGGCCACAGCTCGATCATCCAAGTGCCTGGCACTGATGATTGGTACATTGCGTACCACCGCTTCGGCATTCCCGGTGGAAACGGGACGATGAGGGAGACGACGATCGACAGGGTGTACTTCGATGAGGCGGGGCTGATCAAGCCTGTTGTGCCGACACTGGAGAGTGTTGCGCCTGCTCCTGTTCCTGTATACTAGGTAGTATGATTGACGACGAATGACAATGATCGAGTTCAGACTTTCACACGCCGTTGCGTGTTTGCCATGGCTGAAGTGAAGTGAAGAGATAAGTGGGGCATAGCGTGCCTGCCTTTCAGCAGCTGCGCAAGTTCACCTTGCCCAGCAACTCCCAAGTTCACTCTCAACTCACCTTCGCTCTTTCAGGTGACGACTGCAAGGCTGTCGTTCTCCAACATTGCTCAACGCGTCTCCTTCTGTACAATTTCCTCACAACACCTTTACAAACAAACATACGTCAACACCATCTCAAGAGAGCAACAGCCGCAATGCTAGCAGGCAATAGTAGCACCACAATTTCCGCGCCAAGCAAGCATGACACAGCGAAGAAGTGGTTGCACAACCGGCTATGGAAGCCAGCATCGCGGCAGTTCCTGAGGAGTGATGGTGATGGCGGAGTGAGGGGAAAGTTCTCGGTGGAGCGGCCACAGACAGCGCCATCAAGCGGAAGGGAAGCTCCGAATACCGTACCTCCAGTACCGCAGATACCCATCATGGAGCTGCCCTCGCCGCGTCTCGCCGTCTACCCACCAGCTCGCCCACCACGGCCAGACTCTGGTATGATCAGGGATGTCAACGCATGGCTAGATGCAAGCAGCAACGCACCACCACCACAACTTATGAGCGGGCTGCCATACTGGCGATCCACTTCTACACTCGCTCCTACCACAGCGCCGGGAATGCAGTTCGCTATCCCTATCGTGCGGGAGCCAGAACCCAGTCGACCCTTGACACCTTCAGGTCAGCAAATGAAGTCGATGTGTCGTCGTGGCGCGAAGAAAGTGCAAGCCAAGATGCCGTCCCTCCTACGCACAACATCCCAACGGGCTGCCGCTTGTAAGCACGTCAACCGCCGCTCGGCCTCGATGCCCCTGCTGGCGATCGCGTACGAACAGACACGACAAGCTGCTCCACCCAAGAACCTGACGAGATCCAGATCGTCCCTGCTTGCGTCGGCGCGGACGTCGGGTTCTAAATCGCCTACAGAGGAACAAGCGCTGCTGTCAACCGGCCAGCCCTCAGGTGAGCTCCCGGTGCTGGGCAGCACGAGGATGGGCGTAGCTTTCAGCGGTGGTGAGAGACGGACAGATCGACGCAGGAATGCTACGCTCAGACAGATGACCCGTAGCGGAGAGAGCACACGTCCGTCGACTGCGGGTGCGTACCTCAGTCAAGACGGTTCCATGAACGACTTGTCTTTGTCTGAAGTACCGACCTACTCCTCGGGCCCTGCCCCGCCATCATACTGCTCACGCACTGTTTCAGTCAGGACGACCTCCTCGTTTGGCTGTGTGGACGGGATCAGCGCTTCGCAGAGGCAAATCAGCCAGCAGCGCGCCGCCATGAGGAACCGCGGCGTCAGAGGTCGGGTGAGGGAACTGCGTAAGATTTTCCAGGGCGAATAGACATTGTCTCTCAAGCGAGAACAAAGGCAGAGGGATGTGACACGCGCAGAGAAGCCACGATGACGCGCGATTTCACATGTAAGATTTACACTGCATGCTTCCTCGTCGGTTACGTTAGGCGATGGCACTAGCTGGGCGGCTATGCGGCACACGGAGGGTAGCAATCAGCGCAGTAAAGTCACGTAGATTCGCAAATGCATAGCAATCAGACCAGATGTTTGTGCATGGATGAAGTCGGTGAAGTGAGAGACGCAGCGACGTTGCCCAGGCGGGCGTGACGTTGCACGGCCCGCTCACCGAGAGCCGGATTCAGCATAGCCGAGCGGCCGACGACGGCGGTGCGGTTGCTGATTTGGCGACGCCCATGTTGCAGCAGCCTCGCACCATTGGCCCTCAACGTGGCAGACGCTGTACCACCGGCATCGCACCAACGCAGCAATTGAGCCCCATGGGCGTCCGCTGAAGAGCCCGCTGAAGTGTCACTCAAGTGCCCGCTGAAGTGCCCGCTCCGTCAGCGCCGGCCTCAGACACGCAGCGCGACGCGCACCCTCGAGCCGCCGCCCTTCATATCCCCACGACGGCCTCCCGCGCGACATGGCCGAATCCAGCATGGCCTCGCCCGAGCAGGCTACGGCTTCACGGCCCAAGCGACCGGCACCGATGACGAGGCAGTCGAGCAGCCAGTCGCACATTTCGCAGAGCCCGTCGGAGAAGGGGCACCACCGGCCGCAGCAGCACAAGGTGACGCACCGCCATGTCGCGGGCGGGCGCATGCAGCGCACCATGTCGGCGGGCAAGAACCTGGGCAAGTTCAACAAAGCCGCGCAGCAGCAGCCGCCGCCGCAGTCGCAGCCGCAGACACCACAAGCCGAGGAGGGCCGTCACCACCGCCGCTCGCAGTCGGGCGCCTCGCTGTCCGCGCCCAGCAGCCCGCGGCCCGGCTTCAAGCGCAATGCCTCGTCGGGCGCCATCATGCGCCATAACCCGCAGGCCCACGCCGGCGGCCTGCGCAAGAACCACTCGAGCGGCCACCTGGTCGGCAAGGCCAAGGGCGGCAAGTCGTCCAAGGACCTCGCCCTGATGAAGGCCAAGCTGGGCAATCCCGCCCGCTCGCGCCAGGCCTCGCCCGAGGAGCGGCCCATTGTGCACTTTGACGTCGGGGACGAGGCGGGCGAGGAGGAGGAGGAGGAGGGCGGGTGGACCGAGGAGAGCGCGTCGCAGTCGCCCAACACGACCCGCTCCAACACGCGCTCCAACTCGGTGGCCGCCGAGGCCCAGCGCGTGGTGGACGATGCGACCGAGAGCAATACGCGCGCGAACGCCGGAGACACGTCGCCCGCGCTGCCCCCGCAGGCACAGGCACTGCCCGACCGCACGCGCGCGCCCCCGCCCGCGAGCAGAGCTGCCTCGTCCACACACTCGCGGCCGCCGGACGCCGACCTGATCACCTCGCGCCTGCTCCAGCGCAGCGCCTCGCACACGGTCGTCGCCCCGCAGTCGTCGTCTGTCTCGGCCACCGTCGCCTCGACCGCCGGCCGCGGGCACCAGCTCAGCACCAGCGTGGGCAGCACCCTCGTCGACACGCCCGGCCGCGACCTCGTGTCGCGCTTCATGGACGGCGACGGCTCGGCCGGCACCCCGCACGACGGCAGCTACATGCCCGGCCGCCGCGTGTCCAAGGAGAACGAGGGCGCTCTCGACAAGAGCAAGCGCAACCGCTCCATGCCCAACTTCGGCGACACCGACGACGCCGACGGCGCAGACACACCCACGCGCCCGCAGTCTGTCAAGTCCGGCGCCACCACCCCCAACCTCTTTCCCCCCATCAACAACCGCACCCAGAACAAACTGCTCCTGCAGCGCGCCGCCTCCGCCATCGAGCCCCACGCCCCCGTCCCCGCCATCCTCCGCACCGGCGGCCCCTCCTTCCACAACATTGGCCTGTCCTACCCCGGCGAAGGCCGCCTCGACCCTCGCCTGCAGCAGCAGTTCAACCACGTCGCCATCGAGTACAAAGTTATCCAGCGCTACCGCAATCCGCTCGCCGACAGCATCCTGCGCGTCCAGCAGATGCCCGGTATGCTGCGCAAGCTGCGCGCCACCCGGCCCACCAGCACAAACGGCGCCAGCGGGCTCGGCTTCAGCACGCTGAGCTCGAGTATCAACGAGGCGCCCGACACGGACGGCGCGGGGAGCCGCCGCAGTAGATCGAGTTTCGAGCACGACGAGGGCGCGGCGAGTGCAGAGGAGAGGCCGCGGAACGAGGCCGAGGAGCTGTGCAGGCGCATGTGGGACAGCGCGGAGATAGTCGGCGGCGATTGAGATGCATTGGCCCGTACTCTCACTGGACATTGGAGCTTGGCGTTGGAGACTCGCGCTGGCCCGGCGCCAGATTGGCAGGAGCTTGCCCTCACGGAGAAGGCCTCGACACCGTCGCACCCGCGCTGTTCCCGCACCCTCGCTGCACCGCCGCGACGACGCACCCGCACTGCCGCCTCTACACTCGATACTCGACGCAACGCGACGCCGTCCGTTATCCATCGCTCACTCTTCTTCACCACCCTCCACCGCGCCCGCCCTGCTTCTTCCCAGCACAGCGAGCGAGCGAGCGAGCGTCCCTCCACACTTTCATCATCTTGTACACTACTTATCGCGCGATACCACGGCATCTGAGCGGGCGGGACGGGAACCTCACAGCCGCGAGTGCTTGGAGCCCGGGTGGTCTAGCAGGCGCACCTGGCGTTGGGATTGGAGCGGCGTTGACACGGCTCCTTGGTGGGTTTCGCAGTCGTTTTCACGGTCGGCTTTGGGGCGAGGTTACGGCGGTTTATGGGCGGTTTATGGGCGGTTTTTCACAGGTGGGGTTTTTTGGGGGAGGTAGGAAAGGGCTGCGCAGGTTGGTGACTGGGGGCGTAATGACGACGAGTGTGGTTCGTGAGAATTCATTGCAATTTCTAGTTTGCTCGCTTGTGCTGCTGGTTTCTTCGTTGAGGGGGTTGTGGGGGGGCGGCGTGTGTGCGTGTAAGGACCCGACTTCGACTGCGGCGCTGAGTCTGGCTCTGGTTCTGCTTCTGATTCTGATTCGAACTACATCTTTGCACTGCGACTACGGTTCTCAGTCTGCTTGCCAGCCGGATTCTGGGTTTGCTTCTGGGTTTGCTTCCGCTTCTGCTTCCAACACCGACACCGACACCGACACTGACACCACTACCGCCAACAAACACCGTCCAACCCGCCGCCCCCAGCCTACGCACACACACGCCATATCCGCATACCCACAGCACACTAGTCCGGAGATCTGTGCTTACGTACGCGCGAGTCTGCAGCTCTGCCTAGTATCAGATCAGTATCAGTACTAGTATCAGAATCTCGTGTGTACCGCAGACGACGGGGTTTGCTGGGGACGGGCGGGCGAGCTTTGTGTCCGTACCGTACTGCTTCGACGGCCTTGTGGTGTCGCTGTGGGGGTGTGGTGCTGCTGTGGGTTTGAGTTGGCAGTGCGGTGTTGTGATACCACGCCTTTGCGCAGCTCGTGATGATGCCACGGCGTTCTCACGCTTTGGGTCTTGCTGTTGTGCAGCGCTGGTTATCTTGTATGCACTGTTGGCGATTGTGCCTCTCTGTGCTGTTGCTGCGTTGTGTAGGTCGAGTACTTGGGTGTTTGGGTGTTTGCTGGTTTAGTGTTCAGCGTTCATTTCTCAATACATGGATGTCTCGCATATCCTATCTGGATGGTGTCCTATTATATCTTAGGTGTTTATTGTGTTCTGTCGTACACATGTGTTCTGGTGCATGTTCAGTGTGCGATCCTCCGAACTGTCTTCTATTCTGGAGCTTGTCCCCCGATCTGTCCCTGTATCTTCCTCGGTGAAGGGGGAGCAAGGAAAGAGGGGAACAAGTACGGCAGATCGAAGGAGAGCAGTGCAACGTGTGTCAGAATATCTCTACACTCCTCCCTCTCGCGATCCAGGTCGGCTGCACATCGCACGCATCACCATTCTAATATACTGCCGTCGATTGTTGTCAACGAGTGACTGATTAGGAATGAGAATGACTAAACTTATTGCAGCAGTGGCCATTGATCAGCGTAGATTGTTGATATTCCTTGTAGAAAGATGGGCGAGCAGACTGGGACAACCCTCCAACCATCCTAAATCTTTTCCATCACTCGATTGCCCGTCGGTGATGGTAGGATGCAGTACCGCCCAGTCAGGCTCAGATAACATCACAAAGAATCCGCTACTCACGCTCCTTCGACACTGCACCAAACACCCAGAGCGTGGGGCTACGCTGTGTCCTTGTGCCTCCAAGTCTCCATGTCCATGATCTCGTGATCTTCACGTATCGGGTGGGGACTGCGCTCGTGACCAGGACTTGCTTTTGCTTCTCGATTTGCTTTTGTCCTGGCTCTCGTGCCAACATCTAGTGTTACCTACATTCGCTGTTAAACGTGCCTTTGCTTTTGCTCTAGGCTTGCTTTTGACGTGGATACGAGCCATTGGTTACATGTCTTTATTTCGAGGCACTTCGGTATCGCGGATCTACTCCAGGAGATGTGACAGGAAAGGCAGTCTACGATGCCGTTTGTTGGCTACTTGCCACTTCTGGACTCATTTACCCACCCACCCAACATAGGGAAAGTCGTTGCAATACACATAGTGGCAAGAACATCTTGCGCCTTTCTCAGATAGGATTGTCTCATATCCGTAGTCTCTCGGCATGAGGATTTAGAGCCTCGGGTAGGAAATTCGAGATGCTGCTGCAGTGATAATTACAACTGGTCTGCTTGGCAAGGGCACCAAGGAATGAATGAAGGAGTGAACGGTAGCAGTGCACAAAGCGTCTCGGCCTCATTGTACAAATGGAAATTCGCACGAGCAAAGGATTTACCAGCACCTCCCTAGTACGTAGATTCTCCGCGCGCGTCCAGAGATGACACAAGAGTAAAACAATGAGCAGGTACGAGGCAAGGGCCAATCGCAGCGCTGGAATTTGCTTCATTTCTTCAAGATCATGCCGGACGCGCTCATTCGCCGGTCCGCCTTACTTTACGAGATTCGATGCTCTGCGCTGACACAAACGGATTGTAAGTCTGGCACCCAATGAGCGTCGTGCCATTCAAGTCGCCAGCACTTTTCGCGCCGAGGTTAAGCTCGCAAACCACCGCATCACAACGATGTCGCTGCCCAGACACCAGAGTCATTCGCAGGTGCCTGATGATGCTGCAGCGCGCTACTGCAGTCGATCACCTCGAAGCGAGACCTACTGCAGACGTTGAGGATCTCACACCGAACCCACACGCAGAGTTTGCGAACAAAGTCTTTGCAGGATTTGATGGCACACGCGGTTCTTTGCGCCTTGCTTGCCACAGCGAGGTGGTTCTCGTGGGCGGGGGCGGGAACGGGAGAACACTTCGACGACCGGTAAGGGCCTTCACTCGGGGAGTGGGCGGCCAATCAGCGCGCGATCGCAAAGCTTTTACAGATTCTGCTGCGCGTGCCGGATACGTCCTTGCTGGCCCTCAACGCTCTGCGAGAGTCGCTGCAAGGGCTGGAAACCTTCGCATGGCGGTCAGCCTGGAGATGACCACGTCAGTCAAAGCCCTTCCTTGCACTCGTGTATGCGCACGCGAGCTGTTGCTGACCGGATACGCTGGTTGTCACTGGGTCCACGTTGCCGGCGGGCCTACTACTGCAGAGACATCACGGTAAGGGCCTTCTAGTCACCGGCAAATCCACAATTCCAACTCACCAATCGCACACTGAGCGCATGTTCTAGCGTCGACTGGAGGGTTGTCCTTTCCTCGGCGACGTTGGGGCTGCTGCGTATTGTTGAGACGTAGTAGCCTAGCCAGCGCGTTGTAAGACCCTGGTGTACCTGATGAACTGCTGGAGTACGTACTCTATACTCTTGGTCGCAGCGCCGCAATAGCATTGTAAATCTGCCGACAAAGCAGCGCTGGCATGGCGGCATCACGTCAATCTTCAAGGGCGCAGTCGATGAAAATTGACGTGATGCCGCCGAGGTTTGTCGGTCTGGCCATCGGCTTCTCGAAAAGCAGCGCACTCCACGCAATGGGGTCTGAAAAGCAGCGGGTCGGCAACTCTACCGCGAGCCTACCACGTAGTCTGGTGTGGAGATCCGGCACTCAACGCCAGTCCAAGGTCAACTCTCCCGAGCCTTTACTCATCCGCCTACGTATCGATTGCGGAGTGGCTGCTGCAAGACCAGTAGGAACAGGCTTTTGGTCAAACGACGCAAAACCTTCAGTGCACTCGCCGTGACGATGATCCAATGTTGGAAGTGTAGCCGGCGTACCTGAGTGGCTGAGACAGGGAGTGCGACAAAACCACGTTGGTTGCCGCTTCAACTCAGGCACCGCGCTCTGATTGGCCAATATCCATGTTGTGCCCGCGGCTATACTGAGCCAGTGCGAACAGGGCCAGACACCGCGACGGACAGCGTTCCACGATGCCACGTCGAGCGAGAAGCACTGGGCTTGGGTCGCAGTCCCACGATGTTGGCGAGGTCGTGGCCGCCGCCGTGTCTGAGGCCGCCTGGTCACGATTCGCGCACCCATGTTTCATTGCCTGAACACAACGGTCATGGTGCAACGGGGGGTGATAGCTGAGTCTGGACGAGAGCGTTGATGAGCGACAAGGATGCAACAGGGTCGCAGTGATTGCCGTTGGTGAGGAGATGCGGCGCATTCCAGCGTTGCCTGGGAACAGCTCGCAGAATGCGCGAGATGAGGTCAGCGACGCAAGAGCAGCGCAAGGTTGGGCCGGGAAGATTCCAGCGTGCAGCGTGCAGAAGATTTGCCGTGCGCCGTCGCCCGCAGCAGATCGGGTGGCTAGACTGGTTCTTGTCAGGCACAGCCGGTGTTTGCTTGGCCCCTCGAGCCATCCTGGTAAGCGTTAGCGTACGCCGCTGTGTGAAATGAGATTCTGGCGCGGGCGGGTCGCAATTTCCTTTAAACTTGAGCACGATTCCTCGCACCTGCGTTTTACTCCAAACGCCTCCACTCTCTCAAAACACTTAACTTTACCGTCAAGCTGTGCCTTGCACCCACGCTCATTGCTAGCACCACTGTCTCTACGACTCCACATATCACTGCTGCCGCATCCTCCTTTTGCGCAACATCACCAGCCAACTTACCAAGACACTATACAACACATACGAGACCTGTCTCTATCACTTTCACTTGAAAGCATTCCAGTCAACGACTTGATATCCACCAACTTCCAACCAATCCAACACATCAAGCACCATGCGTTCCTTCCAGGCCGTCATCGTCTTCCTCTTTGCGCTCGTCGCCGGCGTCTTCGCTGCCGAGACTGAGTCCTACGACGCCACCGTCTACATCACCTCAACTGTCTACCGCGTCAACACCGTCACCATGTCTGGCTCCGCTCCCAGCAGTGCCGCCAACTCGACCACCACCATCACTGCGCCCAGCTACGCCGCCCCCTCTGTCACCAGCGCCTACGGCACCGGCAACAGCACTGGCACTGGCGCCATCATCAAGCCCACTGGTAACGCGACCACGCCCGCCACTCCCGAGTTCACCGGCGCCGCATCCAGCCTGAATGCGCCCGCGCTCGTCGCTGCGCTCGCCGCTGGTCTTGGCTTCCTCGTCCTGTAAAGTTGACTCTGCTGCTTAATCCACCACTTGGCATTGTCAACACTCCAAGTGCTGGTCAGGCAACGCCGAGTGCTTTCACGAGTTACGACCTTCTCTTCTTCTTGCAACTTACCCACTATTACCTTCACTTCTGTTGCACACACATTCCCAACTTGGGCCCAAATCACTACCGCCATTGTAATCACATTCTCATTGTTTGAAACGATTGACGAACGCGATATCCTTGGTTTTCGTTGAGGTCTATACATACTTTCCTTTCATACCCCCGGTCTAGTGTAGACCACCCTTTTACATTACGCGCGCAACAAAGACGCTGCTCGCATCTGCGAAGAAGCATTCTTTCTAAGATTGGAGGCGATGAAACACGGTCTGCCAGCCAGACACCTCCTTCACTTCCCGCAGTCTGTCACTGACGCGCCTTTCTCTGGTGGAGCTGGAGTTTGGAGATACCCTTTTGGACGGAATACCCCCTTGTTCTCCAGTATCTATTGGATTGCATTTGTTTTGCTTGGAGGAATTAGTAGGATTAGTGTAAACGCTTGATCTCATCAAGCAGCCCGAGACAACCAGCTATCAACCCCCTGGTCATAGGCCGAGAAATACAGACGTTCACTACAAACATTGCCCCTTTTGCAGCCCGTTTCCCCCACCATGAAATTCTCACGATCCCCGCTCAGCAACTCATGCCCGCGGCTCTAAGCGCCGCACACCACCACCCACCTTCCCCAAGCAGCCCATCTCATTTCCCAAGCAAGGCTGGAGACAAAGCCAGAAGCCCGCACTGCCTCGCCCTGCCCCGAGCTCTCTTACACGCAAATCTTTTCCCTTGTCAGCAGCGCGCTGACCACACTTTCTTTGTGACCCCTGGAACGCCCTTACTCGCTTTCTTCCGCGACTGTCGTGGGCTCAGGCTGGCCTGCGCACGGCGATTCAAACACCTCGCGTGCTGCGGCGCAGAATCGCGTGTGGTTTCGCCGGTCTTGGTATGTTTGACGCGGGTGCCTTATTTCGTTTGGACACAGTCCCAAAAAGCACCCAGTTGCACGTGACACGCTGTGCTGTCAGTCGACATGCAGTGAAGTATTGGTGTACACCCACAGTCGCGCCGCTCGGCACGACAACAAACACCGCAAGTCCGCACCCGACACCCCAATCCAGCCTTCCACTCACCGCATCGCAGCGCACCGCCGCACCGCATCCCCGACCCCACTCTTGCACGCTGTCGCGGTGTAGGAAGCCACCCGACCGTCCCTGCGCGTTTCCGAGCCCACACAAACAACGCCCAGAGGTTGCTACAACACAACCTGCGTGCCGGTGCCGTGCATGGCCGTCTGTGCGGACTCCACTGTGGGCCGGCATCGGCCGAGTACGACGGGAGTTCGCACGTGCACGCGCCTGCGTGTGCTCACGACAAGGTCACGGGCGATGTTGAGTGAGGGTTTGGGTTACCTACTTTGGATTGCACTTATTTTTGACGCCACGGAGAATTCAAATCTGCTGTCATGCGGCGAGGTTGAGATTGCGAGTCGGACGAGGGTGGCGGATTGGGGAAGTGCAATGCGCAATGGGGTCTGGAATTGCCAATTCGGTGGATTTGCGAATGCGAATTACGGCTGAAATTAGGAGCGCGTAGAATTCCGCTCTGAGATGGACGACGACTCACAATGTCCATGGCATGAACGACATCGACGATGGCGATGTCGGCATCGTGTCGGAAGCAGGGTTCCGGCTCATCGATTCAGCGCGTGTGAGCACGTCTTAAGCTCTGAATCGAGCGGATGACCCGGAGGGGGGGGGGGGGGGGGGGGGGGATTATGGAATGTTCTTGTCAATGACAGGCAATTACATATCGATGTTTTCGCTATTGCACTACATCCACTGGTAGGTCAGTCATGGTATAGTCAGCACGTGCGGTAAGATCGCTGTATCGAGGGATGTCAAGGGTGAGGTTGAGGTTGAGGTCCCATTCACATTTCAAAACACCGAATCACCTCAACCTGACTGAAACCAATGGTCCCTTCAAGCCCAGCTAAAACTAACAAGTAGCCGCACTAGTTGGAGGAAAGTGAGACAATCATGAATGGGATTGTGTTGAAGTCCCCTTGTTGAACTGCGACATCCCTTAGAAAGGGGGCGCAGCGCGGCATGAAAGAACCCTTTGTCTCCCCCCATCGCCCTAAATTCCCCAGAATACACGCGTGACACAGCCCCTCCCTCATCCCCGGTCTCGGGCTCGTGCGACCAGGGCCTGGGGACCCGGTGTTTACGCGTGCATTGTTGTTGCGGTGTTGTTGGGGGTCTGTATGGAATGCAACTGAGATCGATATCAATATCGATGTTGAGTATTGAAAGTCTACCTGATTTGTATGCGTGGGGGATGGAGTATTGACGGCGATGAGAGTGGGAATTGGATGGGGTGGTGAGGGTGCTTGGGATTGGACGCACTGTTGGGATGGGACTTGTGGCAGTGGAATTAGGCTTGTTTGTGAGACCTGGCTGGTAGTACCAATGCACGTGTATTTTGCCTCTGTTTTGTTTGATACACAAGCACTGTTAGACTGAACATGCTGTCAGACCAGAACACTGTCTAGAAGCTTACCGTCGGCACTACTTACACACGTGAAGCCGAACCAGGCTTCTCACTCGAGGTTCACGACTTGCATTCGAATAGTGCAGCGGTAAGATCATACAGCAAATGCAGACGGCATGTTTGGGATGCCCTTCGATCATGAACAGATCGCCCATCTCCCACCCCTCCTTGTTCTTGTGTTGCATCTCGCATAAAGTCTTGCACTTTACGCTCGTGTCTATCGGTGCTTGTAAGAATATGCAGATCCCCCAACCATAGAGCAGAGGTGTACCTATAGGTAGTAAAGGCCTCTGACTGGCTATAGGAGTCTGGTTGGATGTCCTGCAGGGCAACAACGTGAGATTTGACCAACGATAGGATAGTTTATGAATTGCTACCATGGTACGTAACTACACCGTGCAATCTATTTCATGGTTGTAGGGGTTTATAAAAATCGCCAACAATTCGAGTCCCATCCAATTGTTAAGAAAGACGAGCTGTAGAAGAAATTGATAATGCCGATGCTATTGCTGTTCGTGTCTTGTAGTGACTGTCTCAGTAGACATAACGATTGCCAGAATGTGTGGACTGCCTACTTCTGGGACTCTACTGCAAGCCATCCGTGGAACGCCTGCATACTTAACTCTAGGTTGATATCAGATACTGGTTTAACAGGCTGTATGCGAACCTAAGGCAGAAACCACTTACAACGCTGCCCGCTATGTATACACTGGTAGACTACCGGTGCTTGTAAGAATGTGCAGACCCTCCCAACCATGGAACAGAGACGTGCTACAGGAAGTAAAGGACTCTAACTGGCTATAGGAATCTGGTTTGACGTCCTGCAGGTTAACGACTTGGGAGTCAACCACTAGTAGATCTAGAGCGATTTATCATTGCTACCATGGTACGTACGTGCATCGTGCAATCTGACCCATGGCTGTAGGGGTCTGTACAAATTGCCAACGACCATACCACTGTAAATCCCTTGTACCGGTCTCAGGGTGGTCCACACATTTTGGCCATCACCGATACTGTAACGACATGGACAAGCTTGGCATGTATCGGTGCTTGTAAGAATATGCGACCCCCCATGACATGGAACAGAGATGTAACTACAGGAAGTAGGGGCCTCTGACTGGCTATATAAGTCTGGTTAGACGTCCTGCAGGACAAAAACGTAGGAATTGACCAACAGTACAATAATTTGACAATTGCTACTATGGTACGTACCTACATCGTGTGATCTGTTCCACGGTTGTACAGGTCAGCATAAATCGCCAACGATTGTAGTCCTCATAAAAAAAGATCAGACCGAATCAGAGCAAGTTGAAGAATCGCATAATATCTGGCACACTGTCCCATCATACGTGCAAGTCGCAGTGCACAGCAGTCCCCGCGCCCAATAATTTATCAACGAATCGTGAATGAACTGCCGATGAAATACTCTCAATTCTCTGATAGAGCGCCTCGAAACTCTCTCAAGACATCTGCCAAGAGCTTGATCAGGATGCACGATACAGCAGCTTCTTTTCCAGATGACATACAAAGCAGCTCAGCAAGTATATAAGCTACAGGACAACACTATGGTCACGTCTGAACAACGATACACGACTACAGCTCCATCGCACGCATGCCTAGATATACAGTATTGCGCACGACCAAGCAAGTTATTCTTGCATCCAACTCCACTCCAACTCTTCCTTAAACTCTGAGGTCGCAAGAGCCATCTCTGCAGCATCTACGACCTTACTCCGTCCATCTACCCAAGCCCCCAGACCAAAGTACCGTCTACACGAGTACTACAGTACCATGTCATGTCGAGATAGTGTGCCAGCATTCAAGTGTTCCGGTCGATTTCGCGATACGAATACACGGCCAGAAGCTAACCACCAGCCACCACCATTCGAACGCCGGACACTTGCCTGAGTATTGACGGACACTAGCGACAGACACTCTTGGGCACACACTCTTCTTTTGCACGCGCACAACATTTCATGGCCACCGGTATAACCACCGGTATAACCACCGATTACCCCCCCCCCCCCCCCCCTGACGCCACAAGCCAAACAATCCTCCCCGCCCTCCCAGCGTAGGTCCAGAACACCCAACCCGCAGCTAGAAACACGCACGTGGGTGTCTCGCGCTCATCGGGAAATACATACCACGCCATCAATTCGAAACCGCCGCCCCCCACACCCGCCACACCTTCACCGACGCCACCCCCACCTCTCCGCCAGCCACCAGCAAGGCCACACACCGCTCCCCAGCCCCCCCTCGCACGCAAACACTACTGTTATACATAGTACTACCTATGTTAGGTAGGTAAACGACACACCACCCGCCTCGACCAGGATCCCACGCACACCGCCATCCACACCCGTGTCGTACATATATTGCACCCGGGCCCCCGCGGCAACCCCACACGCGGAGATATTGTACAGGGCGCTTCCTTGCGAGGCCCTGTGGATGCCCTGCGGGTGCCCTGTGGGTGACGTCACCTGCCGACCGGGGCGGGCTACAGGCTACAGGCTACAGGCTCTGGGGAGAAGGTCCGGTTGCGCGAGGTTATGTGGACGACACGCATGCAGGCATGCGTGCACACCGCACACGTCCGACGATTGCGCGGGCGCGGCGGTTTGAAGCGGGGGAGGGAGATGTGGGAAAGAGTGGAATTAAGATGGATGTATTTCGGTATTTCGGGTGAGTGTATGTGATGTGGTGAGATAGGTATGCATTCCACCGTTCGATCTCTCCCGCTGCGCCTGAATGCGGTGCAGTACAGGCCAGTCCAACACGAGCCAAACACAAGCCAGCAGTACAAGCGGGGAAAGCCGACTCCAGCAATTCCTCCAGCGGTGCCCGTACGCTCCAGCCGAACAGCCCAGACAAAAGAAACCCGCTCATAAGTATACGTATACGTATACGTATACATATACGTATAAGTATAAGTATAAGTATAAGTATAAGTATAAGTATAAGTATAAGTATAATCTTCCTCCAAAAGACAAGGTCCTCCCGATCCCCCCTTCTTGCGGTACAACCAAGAAACAAGAAGAAAAAGAAAAACGGCTCCGAGCCTCAGAATCTACGGAAACGCAGCCGCGGGGCCTGGGTATAATAAAGTGTATCTGTAAAAAAGGTGAAAACATACAAAGGAGGAATAGGAGAGTTTTTTAGAGGAGAGCGTCGACGTCGACTTTACACGAGTCCAGTGACTTTACGAGTCTGGCGACTGTTACATGCATGGCAGACGGCCGACGGGATATAACAAAGTAAAAAGAGTAATAAAAATTAGATAATAAGGGTTGTAATGACATGTAGATAAGTAAAACGCATAGGAAAGAAGCCGGGTCGCAGCGCCGGCAGAAAGGTCGCGTCAGCATCTGCTTCGGCTGGGGTATATGGGGTATCCATTTGGGGTGTGCGCGCAGACAAAGAACGAAAAAAAAAAAAAAAAAAGGGAACGAGAGCGAGAGCGAAGAGGAAGTTTAAAAAACTGCGCCAGACCGGGAACCACGGCGGCCGTTGGAATATGTTTTGTGTGTAAGTTGGTTTCGATAATTCTTCTTTTTTTTGTGCCTTGTTTTGATACGTTTCTAGGTGCCCATGGACACGCCGTCGTTGGACCCGACGAAGCCCGTCAGCGGGCCCATGTCCATGCGCAGGTACTGGTCGGGGTGGGCTTCCATGCCCTCCATGCCAGACGGCATGCCCATGGGGCCAGCCATGCCGTTGGCGTTCATGACGTGCGGATCCAGCATGACGACGGAGGGGCGGCGGCTGTTGGTGGCGGAGCCCATGTGCTGTGTGTGCTGCAGGTGCGGCGAGATCTGCGGCTGGTGGTGCGGGCTGTAGTTTTGGTTGCGCGACTGGTTCATGTGCTGGCGTGCGGCGGCCCAGGCCTGGGCTTGAGCGTGGGCTTGAGCTTGGGCCTGGGCGTGTGCGTGGGCCTGTATTGAGACCTGGGCTTGCGCCTGCGTGACGTGCATCGGCGCTTGCATGTGTGTGTGGAGCTGTTGTGAGGGGTGGATGGGGGTGGGTTGGAGGGGCAGGCTGTGGTGCTGCGGCATGGAGAGGGCGGGGGCCTGCGAGTACTTTGCGTCGTCGTCTTGGAGGGCGCTGGAATCGAGGTCGAGGTCGTCGTCGTCGTCGTCGCCCTCGGCGTCTACCTGGTCGCTCTCGCCGTTGACGGTGGCGGGCGCGGAGAAGGGCAGGCCAGAGTCCAGCTTGATGGGGCTGCTCTGGGCCGGGCGGCCGACAAAGGGCTGGGCCGGCAGACTGGCCATGGAGCAGCTGCGCGACTCGGGCAGCTGCTTCTGGGCGGCCAGACCGGCGGTGGAGTGGCGGTTCTCGCGCACGACGGCGCGCCACTTGTCGACCAGGCGGTCAAAGTCCCAGTTGCGGTAGTCCATGCCCTGCTTGCTCAGCTCCTTGGCCGTGTCCGGGCCCAGGGTGATGGTGACGGGCGACAGGTCGGGGGCGCCGGCGGCCCAGCGGTTGGCCTTGAGGTACTCGATCTCGCGGCGGGCGTGCTCCAGCTGCAGTTCGGCGTCGCGGCGGGCCTCGTGGGCGCGGGCATAGCAGCGCAGGATCTCCAGCTGCCAGTGCTCCTGGCGGGTCTGGTCGGACTGGTGCTGCCAGTGGTTGTAGGCGTCGGCAATGTGGTTGAACAGCTTCTGCGGGTCGGGGTCGAACAGCGGCGGGGTGGGCAGCGGCGGGTGGGCGTCGGAGCCGGCGGGGTAGACCTGGTTGATCTGGCGCTGGCGCTGGTGGGCCAGCAGGCGCTCGCGCACGCAGCGGTTGAGGGCGTCGAGCTGCTTCTGGGCGGGCGGGGCGATGGACCACGACTCGGCGGCGGGGAAGGGCTGCGAGGCGAAGAGGGTGGCGGGGGCGGGCAGGATGTGCAGGCACAGGGCGGGGAAGCTGAGGGCGTAGGGGTCGAAGTCGAAGAGGCCGTAGGCGGTTGCTTTGGCGCTGGTATGCGTTAGCAGGGCATGGTACGGGTGTGGGACTGCCGCAGGCCACGGGGGCCGTCACGCGCAGTAGGGACAGGACTACCTCGCATCGCGCACGCTCTTCAGCAGCTCGCGCAGGGCCAGCTCGGCCGCCCGCGCCGTCTCCAGGTCGTCGCCGTGGCGCTGGCGGGCGCCCAGCTCGTGCTTGCGCACCCGCCGCGTCGCGTCGCGCAGGTCCGGCACCCGCGAGCCCCGCGACAGCTGGCGCTGGCGAGCACCCCAAGCGACGTCTGCAAACTGCGCGCGCTCGCGGCCCGGCGGGCCCAGCTGGCCCAAATCAATACCCAGGCCCTCGTCGTCGTCGGGCTCCGGGCTCTGCACCAGCGTCGACCCCTCGCTGGCCGCGTGCTTGCCCGCCGGCGTGCTCTCGCCGCTGCTGTCCTTGCGCTTCGAGATGCTGCCCTTGGCCTGGCGCCGTGTGATGCCGCCGCGCAGCTTGCGGATGTCGTCGACGACGTGCACGCCGTCGGGGGCCTTGGGGTTCTTGGGCCGGATGTACAGGTCGAGATGCCGCCCCAGCGAGCTCGAGGTAAAGGCCTGCCCGCAGAACGGGCAGCTCTTGTCCTTGGCCGCCTTCAGCAGCGGCGCGTCGCCCGTCGAGCGCGGCGTGTCCGTGTCGGCGTCGCCCATGCCAGCCAGGTTCCGGGGTCGTGTGGTTTCAGCCCTGCATATGCGGTGCTGCTACCGCATGCTGCAAATCAAGCAGGTTCAGAAGAGGAGAGAGTGGGATTAAAGCGCCAGCCTCCTCGAAAGGAGCGCCGTGCTGAGATTGTCCAGCTTGGCACCAAATTGCACCCCCCTAAAGCTGCGCGCCCGCGTCCAGAGCTTGCGAGATGTGCGCGCTCGTACCGCGACCTCATCCGTGCTGCCCGCGGGAGCGCTAGCCCCCCAACGCCTGAGCCCGGCCAGACGGCCACGCGCCGCACCTCGACCGACCGCCTGCCGTGTTGCCAGCCTATCGTTTGCCCGTGCCCGCCGTCTGCTGCAGCCGCGCCGCCGCCCGCCCTGCCAGCGCAGCATACGCAGACATGCCGCCCGCCACCAGCTGCAGCTGGCCCCTGGCGAGCCGGTACACCGTCCCCGCCAAACCCTCAGCCTCCGAGTCGCTGGACGACTCGTCGCCACGAACCCCTGGCGCTAGCTTGTGCGGCGACGCGCCCTCCACTACGGTCCTGCCACTGTTAGCCCGCGAACGCCAATCATGCCTGTTCGGCCGCGCCTGCCCACGCCGATCTGACCGCTGCTGCTCATGCCGCTTCTGACCACCCGCGCATGCCTCTTCTGACCGCGCTCATGCCTCATTAGACCACCCCGACTCGTGACAACGTACCTCATGAAGAACCGGTCGTGTGTAATAACCAGCAGCGCCCCGTCGTATTCCCGCAGCGCCAGAATCAACCCCAGGATCGTGTCCGCGTCCAAGTGCGTAGTCACCTCGTCCAGGATTAGCAGCTGCGGCGGCGGCCACAGCAGCTTCGCCAGCGCGACCCGGACCTTCTGACCGCCTGACAGCAGAGCAAGCGGCACGTCAGACACGGTCTGGCCGTGCAGCCCCAGCCCGCCGAGAATCTGCCGCGCTTCTTTCTCCTCCATCTCAGCCCCCGCGTGCTCCATGATATGCTGCAGCGCCGTGAGTCTGGGGTCCGCCGCCGCTATCGCTGTCACCTCTTCGACCGACTGCTGCGAGAAGCGGCCGAGCCTAGCCCGTGGGTGCTTCGTTATCGATCCCGACGTTGGCACGAGGCTGCCCGCGATCAACGACACGAGCGTTGTCTTTCCGGAACCGTTGAGCCCCGCGAGGCCCGTTCGCGTCCCAGGATGTATTGTCAGTGACACGTCGATCAGCGTCGGGGCCCGCTTCGCGCCTGGATACGCAAACGTCACCTTGTCCATGCTCACCAGCGCTCCCGGGAACCTCAGATCTGGGGGCTGCCGCGGGAACGTCAGCTTCACAGGTGGCTCAAAGTCTGGTATCTCGACCTCCGCTCTGGACGTGAGGTGGTAGCCCCCGAGGTCGCGGTTGATCTTGAACCGCCCGCCCTTGAGACCCACCTCCACGCCCCAGCGCTCGTCGAGCTTCTTCTGCCTCGACGCCGCCTGCTTCAGCTTCTTGTCGTCGCCCTTGTCTTTGGCCGCCTTGATGTTGCCCGCGATTGACTTCTCAATGTGCTTCTTCTGCTTGTCCTTGGCGTCCTTCATCCTCGTCATGTGTCTGATCTTCTTGTGCTTCTCCCTTTCATAGAGGCTAAGGTTGCCGCGAAACGTCTCAAGCACCTGGTTGCGCAGTAGAAGCAACTCTTCTGCCACAGCGTCGCCGAAGTCGCGGTCGTGCGTGGTGATGAGGATTGTCGTATTCGTCATGTCGTTGATGTAGTCCTGCAGCCAGATGATCGAAGGTAGGTCCAGAAAGTTGGTCGGCTCATCCAGCAACAGCACGTCCGCATACTGCGTCAGCGCACATGCAAGATCGCACCGCGTCTGCCACCCGCCTGACAACTGCGACATGGGCTGGTCGATGCGGTCCTCCTTGAACCCCAGCCCAAGCAGTACCCGCCTCGCCTTCGCCTCCGCTGCCGCCGCGTCCATCAGCTCGAGCGCACCCTGCACCCCCGCCAGCAGATCCGCTGCCGCCTGCGTATCCTCGGCCATACGCGTGGCATCGACTTCAGCCTCGCCTTCCTCCACCGCCAGCTTTGCCTCCTCCCAGAGCTCCTCCAGCCGAATCAGCTCCTTCCGCGCCAGTTTGCCCCTGGCCCCACTGCGCCTCTCCGCAATCCGATGTCCCTCCTTCAATCGCTCCTTCATGCGCTCCGCTCTGATCCTTCGCACCCCCCGCACCGCCGCCATCCCATCCCCCGCCTCCAACGCCTCGGCCAGCATCCGGGCCTCGCGCGTATACCGCTCGCGCACGCGGTCACTCCTTACGACATGCTGGAGCACCGTCTCCGCCTCGCGCTTCTCGATCACGCCCTCGTCCCCGATCTCTTGTTCCTCGTCTCGCGTCTGGCCCAGCAGCAGGATCCGTGTGCTCCACGGGATCCCGGGCACCAGCCCGTCGGCGATAGCTTTGCACAGGGTAGATTTCCCGGTGCCGTTGCGGCCGACGAGGACGTAGTGGCGTGCTTCGACGAGGTGGAGGGTCGTGCGTGACAGGAGTTCGCGGTTGGCGACGGAGATTGTTAGGTCTTTGATAAGGATCTGGGGGGTCAGCGGAGTTAACAGTGGTAAGTAGGCGGCGGATATGGAGGTAAGAGAGCGGGAGATTTTGGACGTGAGTGGTGATGCAGTGTAGAATCTCAAGTGTAAGTGTAGGCCAACATACCTCCTTCGAAGCAGGTGCATCCAACGCATCCAACGCATACCGAGACTGCTGCGCCGTGACCACAATGTGGCCGCCGCCTGGATGTTCCTCCGGCGTCTCGGTTCCTTTCTCCTTGCCTCTGCGCACCATAGCTGCTACTGACCTTTCTCTTGCCTTTGCTCTTTGTCTTACGCTCTTGCTTTCGCTTTCGCTTTCGCCTAATCTTAATCTTAATCTTAATCTCGATCTTGAACTCACTCGTCAGACTCAGCCTCAACCTCAGAAGCAACCCGACCACCGTACCTTCAATCGCAGCACCGTATCCCGCGTGCGTCAAATATCGTTGTCCGCACCCGCAACCCCCTTCTCGCGCGCTTTATATACCCACTCCCCATACACCCTTCCTCGCCTACACACCGCGCCGATCGCAAAAAGTTAGCGTGCTGTGGCGCCGCCAAGACGCGCTCAGGATGAGTCGAGAGCGGCGCGTGTGATTGGCTGGGAGGTGGGGGCGGGATGACGCAGGGTGGGTGTGGCGCGGGGTGTGGCGCGGGGTGTGGCGCGGGTGGGACTGCGACTGCGATTGTTGGGACGTTGGAGGTGCTGGGAGGGGTGGGGAGGGTTGGATGGGTGGTTGGGGTTGGGGTGTGGGTGCAGACGCCGGAGTGCTTGTGTTGCCTCCTTCTTCCTTTCGGTGTCAGTGTTGGTGTCAGGTGCTTCCTGCTGCCTCGCTTCTTCCATGTACAAGATATTCAAACACCGGCACTATTGATATTCACTGCATTTTTCTCCCCGCTGATCACTCTCGATACTTTAAATCACGCTCTTTTACATTAGCCTACTCTACAACAACTCTAAGCTATGACCCACGTGTCTGGCTGGCTCAATTTGCATCTCAACTCTCTGTGAAAATCTCCATCTCCCACACCATCTCTATCTCTACTCACCAAGTTACTCGAGACTCATACTCTAGCTTTGAACACGCATCTCGCACACCCACCCCATACCTACGTTCCCCCCATACACACATCCCGATACTCAAACCCCTCCCCCCCAGCGTCCCCCACCGCAAACCACGCCCTCAACGCCCCCAACACCTCCCGACTCAGCGGCGTATGCCCGAGCTCCAACCGCGCGCGCGCCGCGCGCGGCGACTCTATCGACGGGCTCAGCGGGCGGTGCGAGCAGGACAGCGCAGCGCCGGCTTTGGAGGGGTAGGATGTCGGATTTGGGGTCGGGGGTGTGAGGACTAGGGAAGGGGGTTTGGGGGCGGGACGGTGGGGAGAGGGCGGGAGGTAGGGGTATGTGGGGCGAGTGGAGGCGGGGGTCGCCGTGAAGGGGTTTCTGAATAAGGGCTTTTTGAGGGCGGATTTTAGGACGGCGGGGTTCGTGACGGCGGGGGTCTCCGTAAAGGGAATTTTGAACACGGGCTTTTTAAGGGCGGATTTGAAGACGGCAGGTTTTGTGACGGTGGGTGTCTCCGTGAAGGGGTTTCTGAACGCGGGCTTTTTAAGGGCGGGTTTCAAGACGGCGGGTTTCGTGTAGTCCGGGGTCGTGAACTTAACCTTCGCACGAGGACGCGGCGCTTCGCCTTGGAGTTTGGGCAGCTGCGCGGCGCTGAAGCACATCGCCTCCAAGCTGGGAGCTCGCCACTGCTCCACGGTCGCCACAGGACTATCCGGGGAAGCAAGGAGTACCTGCAGTTCCGCCTCGCGATCGCTGTCTGAGTCAAACAGCGGTCTGTCAACCAGCGGCGCCCACGACGGTCTTGCGCGCCACCCTGGCCCAGGCAACGTAGGCAGATGCCGCATACCTGCCCTACGGGCAGGCGCGGCTTCGACACCAGCTGCTTCTTTCCGCCGAGACATATGCTGCCACAAATCGTCGTCGTCAGTCCCCGTGAGAGACGTTTCCCACTGCCCATCAACATGCTGGGGATACTTTGCCGCAGCGCCGTGTACCACATGCTCTCCCGTTTGTCCGGATGGGATTATCTTGTAGCCCGCCCGCTGGGTTGCGGCTGTGGCGCGCTTTTCGCCGGCGGTGTCGAGGGCGAGGTGGTAGTCGCACCATTGGGAGCGGGTCTCAGCGACAGAGGGGTTGCGGGAGGGACCTGTGGGGAGAAGGGGGGACGGGGGACGGGAGGGCATGAGAAAGGTTGGGGTGAGGGGTTTGATAGGGGATTGAGGGTTTTGTAGAGGTGGGTGAGAGACGTTTTTGGGCAGTGTGGGCGTTGGTGCGCTGGTAGCGTGTTCTGAAGCAGGCTGCAGAAGTGGTTCGTGGTCCTGCAAAGGCTTTGTGCGGTGTGGTGCGTTGGCATCCTCGTCTTCGCTACAATTTTCTACAGTAGGCTGCCTAGACTTTTGAGGTCGGGCTACTGAAGCTGCGAGAGTCACTGAGATGTCGCCTGAGCCTTCGTCTGAGTCGGAGTCTGGGAAGGCGCCTGGCACATGGGTTGTCTTGACCCTTTTCGCGGGCGGTGCCATCTCCATTTTGGATCGCAAATTGCTTTGTACAGCGCTTGGAGCTGGTACTGCATTCCGAGGCACTTCATGAGTCACGTCTTGTGCTGCGCGTTTGGAAGTGTTCTCAGCCGCTTGCTGATGTCCGTTCTGATTTGCAGCTTTCCTAACTGTACGTAGTCTTCCTTTTCTTATCTGGTCTTCGATAACATATCGGGGGCGCTTAGATGAACTAATTACATCGAAGCGACGCGGCAGAATCTCATCTGTGTTCTCATCGTCGGAGCTCGTTGGTGACAGAGGATCGTAATTGACAGGCGGGCCACGGCCCAACGGATATGGTAAGTGAATATCTGACTTACGAATATACATGACTGCGATTACTATGTTACTGTTTCGAAGTCAATCTGAGTGTGAACAGCGTGGATGGACATATACCCATGAAGTTGCTGAACGAATCTAAGGATCATGAGACAAAGACGTTTGGCGTAGATGGCACAAAGCTTCGTCTTGCACAATGATGTTGGTTACGTTTGTACTTATTCTCTTTGTCTTAGACTTGCAGAAGCCATTCAAACATTGTGCGCCGCGCGTGTAGACGGATACACGCACCCCCTGGCGCCATCATTAGCCTTGAGCGTAAAAAGGCTATGCGGGTCTTTTGATTCTGAATGAAAAGCCAGCTGCTAGAGTGATGATGACGATGGTATTGGTTGAAGGACGGTCGACGGTCCAACACCATTCACCGATGATCATCGATCGGAAGCGACCACCAATCGGGGTCCGCGCTAACATAGAAACCATCCTAGTGCTGAGCTTAAGTCCAGCGACCTTAAGTCCGCATGGTAATTGCAACGCGGGGTGATATAAAGCTGCGAGCAAGCCATGGGCCAAGAGTCGCACGCTGCTCAAAATGCCGGACTTGCACACCATTCGCGCTGGCATCGCAGAACTGCCCCGAGGGCTTCCACTCGTGATTGCGCTGGTTGGAGCAACCACAGGCATTGGATCTTACGTCGCAAAGGCATGGGCGGTAACCTTCGCGGAGCATGGGTCGAAGCTCCGTGTGTACATTGTTGGCCGGAATGCCGCCCGCGCAGAGGCTCTCCTCAAGTTTGGTCGCGAGACCAGCCCCGGGTCAGACTGGCGTTTCGTACAGGCAAAGGATCTTTCTGTTATGCGCGAAGTAGATGAGATTTCTAGAGCCATCATTCAGCTGGAGGAGACGTCGCCATTCGCTGGCGGCCCGGCAAGGCTGGACGTCTTGTATCTGAGCCAAGCTCAATCTCCACTACAGGAGTCGAGAGGTAGACGAACCGTCCGCAGGCCCTATGCAGGTGCTAATACATCGCTTGTAGTCACCCCAGAAGGTCTAGACACCCAGATGTCCCTTCTCTACTACTCTCGCGTCCGATTTATCCAGAATCTGACGCCACTTCTGATCGCCTCTCCGGTTAGCGCGCATGTAGTCTCTATCTTCGCAGGGAACACAGAGGACAGCGTCAGGCCAGGCGAACTTCCAATCGGAACGCCACTGCCAGACACGTACGGCATTACGACTGTGCGGCGAAACGTAACTTTTATGAAAACTTTCCTTTTTGAAGAGCTAGCCAAGGTGCATGCTGGCAAGATTAGTTTCATCCACATCTACCCCGGACTAGTCGATGGACCTGTCTTCTACATCGATGCGAATCCGTTGTGGTTCCGCGTTGCCTGGCAGGTCATCAAGCGATTGATGAGTTGGTACATGACGAGCCCGGAGGTTTGTGGGCAAGTGATGGTGTTCCTTGCCACGAAGAGGTATCCTGCCAAGGGCGCTGTATCTGAGGGGGTCGAAGCCGCTCTTAGCTCGCAGCACGAATTGGGAGGGGGCGCTTATGCAGTTGGCCAGAGATGTGATGAGAGCAAGGTTGTCAGTTGGGCAGCGCTACGAAAGGAAAACACCGGAAAGAAAGTGTGGGAACACACGATGGAACAGCTTGAGCAGCTTGAAGCGCATCAGGTAACTGATCAGCACTGATGCTGCTATCAAATAGATTTTAAATTTCGCGAAGATCATTGTACACAACGTGATGCTGCAAGCAGGGTGCGAAGGATGCGTCGTCATCGCTGGCGTAAAGTTCGTAGCGAATCGGTTATTCGGCTCGTGATTGGACCGGCATGCGCTTGCCGCTGTACAGTACAGCATCCTTTGTCATCAAAGTAGAACAGGTTCGCCACTGCCCTGGACCTCTTGCCATCTTCATGTGAAATCCTCATGTCGGACCTGCCCCAAAGCTCATCACGTCCATTACGTCCACTCCTACCAGCCACTTCCCCTGGCCGACCTGCGGGGCAAACAAAGCCAAGGGACAGTGATCGGGAGACGGCTGTCCGCGCGCACGCTCGTGCAGCGTGCGAACCCTGCCGCAAACGTAGGACTAAGGTACGTCCGACGCTTAAGCTACTGGTTCGACACCAACTCCTCTTCGCTAGTGTACCCAAGAGCGCCCTGCGTGCACCGCCTGTTCTCGACGACAGACCCGATGCACCTACGTAGGGGACGTAGGAGAGAGCCAAGTTCAAGCTATTAAAAGGAAGTACAGTGAGATGCAATGTGCAAATGCGGTCTACGAGGAACTCTTTGACGCGCTTCGAACGAGGGACCGCTGCGATGTAGGCGCAATAGTGCAGCAAGTCAGGAGTGGCGCAGACGCCGATACTATACTTAAACGCATCCGGACCGGCGACCTCTTGTTACAGCTCGCTCTCGCTCCAGAAACCAGGTATCGATACGAGTTTCCGTATCTGCGTGAGATCCCCGCGTTCTTGCTGACCCCAGACAATCCGTATTCAAACACTGTCATACACGAATACACACCCAGGCGGAGCGACTCCGATGATCAGACGTCTATGACCCCAATCAATGTCAGCAGATATGGAAGTGCGTATTGGACTCCTCACCACGCGGCACGATATGTAGACGCGAACTTGGAACGGGTCAAGCCATCCATGTGGACCTCAGTCAGCTCCGATGATTCCCTGATGCGAGAAATGCTCGGATTGTACTTTGGCAATGAGTATCAAGGCGCCCCCTTCTTCCAGAAAGACTATTTCCTCGAGGACATGGCTGCAGGGCGCCGTCAATACTGCTCGCCCTTGCTTGTCAATGCAATACTGGCAGTGGCGTGTGTAGGCCGGCTTTCTTCCGCAAAGACGATACTCTTCCTGACCACATTTGCAGCACTCTTATACCAGTCACAAGGACCGCGTTGAGTTTTGGAACTGCGATACTCTTTGCTACCGCTTCCTTGCTGAGAGTCGTCGCTTCCTAGAATTGGAGTTGCTGAAACCTACGCTCACGACTGTCCAAGCCTTACTTCTGCTTCAGATCGTGGCTTGCTTCAATGGGGCAGACGGAGTCGGGTACCACGTTTATATGACGCAAGCTGTAAAAATGGCCATAAAGCTGCGACTACTCGAGGATCTCACCAACGCAGGTCGGAAGGAGCAGAATGCCCGAAATTTCACAGCTTGGGTTCTGTATGCGTGGCAAGGGTAAGAAGAAGGCCGAACTACATGAGCTTATCTGACTAGTGTGTAGGCTCCTGGCATACCAGCACCACCTTCCGCCATTGATCACCGCTCCTCCCGTGAAACCATTGCCACATCCAGTAGACGACCGAGGATGGTACGGCGAGATTGCGTACAAGTTTCCAGCTTCTCCCACCCTACATGTCGCTCATTTTGGACCTTTGTTTAAAGCGTTGGTAGAAATCTGGACCATTTCATTAGATATTGCAGCCCGTTACTGTACCGAGAGTTCTAGTATGTCAGAACTCTCGATTCCGGACGTCTGTCATTACTACACCAAGCTGATGCAGTGGGAGAGCGCTCTTCCCGAGTTTCTAAAACCGCATCGAATTGTTACGCCATACCAACTGCAGCTTCAGTGAGTCCCCATCTCAGATTGAGTTCACTATTAACCCATGGTAGTATGTGGTTCAAGAACACCGTCATCAAGCTGCTGGAAGAACCCATGACAACACGCCTGGAGGGCCCTGATCACTTGACTGACGTACTAAACTACCTGGGGAGTCATCCCCGAGCGATCTTGGCTGAAACAAAGAGACACTTTGAGACAATCATTCGCATATTCTACCTAAGACATGGCTTCGAGGCGATGAACATGAACAACTGCCACTTTCTCAGCCTATTCGCATTCGTGGTACATGCTGCCATCCAGTCTCGGACTTCAGACTCGCAACTACAATCTTTCCAGTCGAGTGTTGTTTTGGCAGCAACAGGCTTGCGCAACCAATGCCATTCGACCTACGTCGCTCGGATGGTTTTTCATGCCGTACGGGGTGCGATGGGACCAGAATTGGCCTCACTGATCGACAAATATACAGAACAGGGGAGTATCAAGGAGACCGAGCCACCGGAGGGCTGGGAGCCGTTCACGACCTGGACATTTGACTCGGGTAGTATTGCAGATGACAAGGAGACTTTAAATCTTGGTAAGCTCTTTGATGCGGCGAGGCTGAGCGATGTGCCAAAATCTGTAGCTTAGGGATGCATCTTAAAGGAGCGATCGCAGCCATCATTCAACTGGGAGCTGCGATTGAAGCCGTTTCTTTCGCCAGCATGTCGTCACCAACAAGTCAGCAGACAGCCTCAACATTCTGTGGTACTGTCATGTGTCTGCATGAATCAGCACAATCCCTACATTTTACCCCGTTAGGGATCTCAAACCGAGCATGTTGGTCGCTAGATTAGCTCTAGAGAGGTCCCTACGTTGTAATTTGGAGTTCAGACCACGCTTCGCAGCAATACGAAGTCAGTTTAAAGGAGCTGGAAGAGAAAGGACATCATTATGATTAACGATTCATCAAGCATCTCTACGTAATCCACAACACCTACTATATGACCGACCTACGGCGACCCACTCTTTGGCGCACCGTTCAACTTGAAATACCCTGGCTGCAGCTTCTCGAAAACGCCCGTAGGATCGTACTTCTTGCTGATCTTCTGCAACCGCGCCTTATTCGCCGCACCGTAGCTAGCGACAGGATCTTGCCATGGGCTGGCGTAGTTCATGTACAAATATGGGACATCTTTGCCCTTGGCCTTCGCAGCAGCGACAGCGCGGTCCTTGACCTTTGCGGCAAAGGCGTTGAGACGCGCGTCGTCAGCGGGATTGGACCACTTCAGTGCGACCAGGACGTTCATGAGGGGCCCATCGGCGGCATCGAGGCCAAGCGCGTTGCCACCACGTGTCTTCGTCTTCTCGAGGATGGGCTCAGTGAGGACTTGCAGAGAGAGTGAAGGGATGACATCGGCGGCATCGGTGATGGCGACGACCTCCTCAAGGAATATGGCTGAGGTAGTGGTAGCTAGGTCTTTGTCCAGCTTGAAGGTGAACGTCCAGAATGCTTGTCGGAGGCCTGCACCACTAGCGGGACCCTCAAGAGCTTTAGTGAGCTCGGCAAGGCTTTGGACTCGGGTTCCGTCTTGAATGGCGCCGGGGATCGAGTTGTATTCGGCCAGGACGGTGGCGTTGGGTGTGGGGTCAGAGTATTCAAGCTCGAGCGAAGCAATAGCAATGCCCTGCCAAGCAAACGATAGAATTTGGTGTGCTTTGCCATCCTTGGTTGCGCTCATGCCGAGATTGTAATAGGCCTCGATCAGAGCTGGGAAAGATGGCTCGAGGTAGACTCGTGAGCCTCCCCACATCTGCCCCTGTGAAATGGCTTGGACGTTGAATTGAGTGACGATACCAAAGTTGTTGCCACCGCCACGCAAAGCCCAGTAGAGATCAGGGAATGATGTCTGGCTGACGTTGATAATGAGGCCAGATGCTGTGACAACTTCGTAACTTAAGACATTGTCGCATGCAAGACCATATGTGCTGGAGAAATACGAGATACCCCCACCAAGGGTCAGACCTCCGACACCGACGCTGGCGACGCGGCCTCCAATGACAGCGACCTGATCTTTCTCCAACGCAGTGTAAATGTCAAACCAAGTATTGCCGGGTCGGAAAGAAGCAGTCTTTTTGTCAGCCGCCAAAGATATTTTGTTGAGGTTCTCAAAGCTGATGGTAATCCCGCCGTCGATGTTAGAACCTCCAGGCACAGCGGAGTGACCACCACTCTTGACAGCAAAAGGACATTGTGTCAATCGCGAGATTAGAACAGCGGAGGATACATCACGTGGCTCAGCGGGTTTGAAGACACACTGAGGGGTGATCTCGCGTTGTTGGGCGGACCAGTAAGAGCTGACGAACGCTGTGTACGCTGTCTCTTCCTGAAGTTCGACCTTGCTGTCGCCAAAGATGAGACGGAGAGAGTTGCACTGAGACTCAGTTAGCGTAGCTCATCACTTTATAGTACACATCGTGTCGGCTTACAGCAGCAGAGCAGCCACCGGTAAATGACCTGTCCACAAGTGGTGCCAAGTCGGGGAGTTCTGAGACATTGATGCCATTATCCAGGAGTGCTTTCGTGATGTTGAAGTCCGCTGGTTCGAACGTGCTTTGAGCTGTTGCGCCGGCAACCAAGATCGTCAAAGGTACAGTCGTCTTCATCTTGGCGGGTAATTGCTGGTATTATAACCGCAAGGTCAAATGAGACAGGAACTGCCGTGTGAGATGGAGGTCACTGATTCCGGAGTTGTGCGGCAGTTCCTGCTTCTTCTATAGGCGTTCAATTTGCCATGCTTGCCAAATAGGCAGGGGTAATCTTGTGGCCTGGAGTACTTGGGGCTGACCTTTGCTAAGGAGTGCAATGGCCCGCTTGCTTGTGCGCTTGACCAGTCATCGTGAACTACCGGGTTCGGGGCACAAGCGTGCTGCATCCGAATTGTGGACTACATGTCTGGAAGCGCGGCTCAGGTGGGAGCAGCATCCTGGCACGTCGATTCGTGTGGGTGTATGTAGATTAGTACCACCGCTTCGTTTAGACTCGAGGGTGTCAGTAATAAGCCTTAAGGCCAGCATGGTACAGCAAAGAGAAATCGGAGTCTAGTACATTCAAGACTCTTCCCGTGCAGAGGAGATTACCCCAAATAGTGCCAGCTGCAAGGCTACGCTGCATCCTGCGGAGTTCCAAGAACCGAATAGTAATACCGAACGCCACCAGATCACTACATGAACTTAAAGCATGCGCTGACATTGGCCGCACAATTGCAAATGAAGCAGAAAAGCGCTCGAAGATGTTCATTGTAGAAGTTGTTGCGGAAGGTTCAACAACGGTGGAAAGTGGTCTAATTTGGTTACAACTGTATGTGGCACCCTTTCCTAAGTTTGCCGGCGAGCCGCACCTTTCCGTCTTGAGATCTTGCATCAGGCCGTGGGCACGCCGTGGCTTCCAGCCGCACTCAAGGAGATTACCCCGACAAAATCCGTTGGCCAGCAACACACTTTTGCTGGTGGACGCGGCACGATGGGGAAGCTGCATGATTGCCTATCCACGATGCTATTGATTTGGTCGCACACCACGAATTTAAGACCTACATATGTAGTAATCGACGCGCAATCCAGTTGCAGGCTTTCCTTTTCGGCGAAACTGCTGGCCCACAGGGACAAATAATACGTTCTCATTATGCAGGGGAATATTGTCGTGTACGTTCGTGATCATTCCGACCACGCTCTTGTTCTGGCTGGTCAAGCGTTCTCTGCTGTCACTATCCAAGGAACTGGTCGTAGGTCCCCAACATTGTGACTACAGTCAGCTATACTTAGTCTCAATTCTACCGCAGCCGGTGAGTTGTGCAAGTGGTGTGGGTGATGCAAGAGTTGCTGTTCCCATCTTGAAGACGTTCATGTACAGACTGATGCCCAGGCCTCCCTACAGCTTCTTACGGCTCAACCACTCCCCAGCTCTCGTCGCACACGCACGCGCCTCTTTATCAAAACCGACGATGTTACCGATTAGCAGCACGTCGTGTGGCACGTTCTTCTCTATATCCAGCGTGACATCATTGCCCGCCTCCTTCATCTTCGTAGCCCACTCGCAGTCGTCGAAGTAGAGGATCTCGCCACCGCCCGTGTTCACGAACATTGGGACCGGGGTTGTGAATGTGCGATTCTTGTGCGTCGCGTATGGGTTCGACAGCGTTTCCTTGCCACCGAGGCCTCCATACGCGCCCGAGCCCCACAACGTGAAGGGCAATGACAGGTAATCGGTGGTGTAGTTGGGGTTGTCGTGCACGAACGAGCCGGACGTGTCTGACGGATCGAGCCACGGGCTCCACAGCAGCGCAGCGGAGGGGTTTGGCAGACGTAGGTCTGCGCCGAACTCGGTGATGTAGCGCAGCAGCGAGATGGCAGCGTTGCCGCCCGCGCTATCGCCTGAGAGGATGATGTCGGCGGGCGCGATGTGAAGGTCGTTCAGCAGGTAGAGGTACGCGGTCAGGCTGTCCTGCAGCGCGGCGGGGAACGGGTTTGAGGTCTTGGATGCGGGCAGCGTGGATATACGGTATTGGGGCATCAGTACGTGGGTTGCGCCGGTGTGCTTCTCGAGGAGCTTCGCGAAGTAGCCGCTTGCTTGCGTTCGGCCGTCACCGGAGACGAACGCGCCGCCGTGGATGTGCAAGATGACCTTGAGATTGGTCTTGTCTGCTGACGCAGACAGCGGCGTCGGGTACCAAGTGGCACCGATCTCGACAGGCTGGACATCATTGCTGATGCGAAGCGGGCCCTTGTATTGGTCACCACCCGCCGGCTGGATACGCACAAAACGCTCCTTCTCACTGCCCGGCGTGAGCAGCGTTGGCGTCTTGACTTCGATGTTCGCAATATGATAGATGAAGTTGAAGAGAATACGCGTAGTCAGCGCCTGGCGGAAGGTCCATTCTGGGTGCTGTCGGCCGTAGCTCGTGAGGTACTTGACGATAAAGAGGGGAAGGCGGAGAAGCTCGAAACCCAGTGCGGCGAGCACGTAGGCGCCTTTGATGGGTTGGTAGGTCAAGAGGGCCATTGCTGAGGGCGATTTGAAGGTGAGGGGGCCTCCAAGACGGAATCTATGGTGGCTTTTAGCATTATACTGGCTGGTCAGCAGCTGAGACTCGAGTTTGGGAGCTCTTTGGATCGATGACGATCTGAGCCGAGGCAACTCTGCTAGCGCCGTTTGTCTCCCACGACGCGTGTCAGCACCATTATGGAGCAACTCGTCCAAGTTTAGTGCTTCTGTTCTTGATTTAGGTTGAATCTGATCACCCAATCTCTGCCTCTATTTTCATACCTTGAGTTACCACTGTCCGCTCTTGTTGGGCGAGGTTATTGGCGTATCGATTAAGATCTCTCTTGAACAACCACTACTACGGGTTGTATGATTGGCAGTGTGTCAATCAGCCAATTGTACTTTCCCACTTGAAGTTAATTTGTACCAGGCTGTGAAGCAAACAGAATGATAAGTAGATCATAGAGGCCGCGAGATTCATAGCAGGGCATGGAAACTACAAGATCTTTACAAGGTGTGAAACAGGATACTATGTTGCTAGCTTGTGAAGAACGGATGGCATTCGACGTGGTCTTACGAGGGCCATGCAGACCAATGTCCGGTTCTCCCATACTAAACAGTGCTCACAAACCCCCCTCTATTTTCATGCGCTCCTCAATCTCTGTGACACATCTTTCATACGCCCCAATATCCCTCCGCAACAGTAAAATTCGATCCTCCAGCATTTTTCTCTCCTCCGCCGTCGCACCACCCGGTATCCGAGGAAGTATCTGCATCAAAGCCTCGATCCCCACTCCATCCACACCATCCATCGTGTCCACCCACTTGGAAGTAAGAGGCGTCTCCGGCGCAAGCATATCCTGACTCCACGCCACTTCCGCCTCCTCCTCTCCCTCCCCCACAACACCGCGCTTCAACACACTCAACACAGATGGCTCCTGCTTCCCCACCTCCCCAACATCAATCTCAGACAGGAACCCCGTCGCATCAATATCACGCGGATCCGGATCGACCTGCACTTCAGTTGGCCGTTCCTCCGGGGCGCGAGCGCGGGCACGCTTGCGCGTTGTACGGGCGCGCTGGGGCGATTGCAGTGGCACGGTAGACTCGGCTGTGAGCTGGGTGGGCGAGGGGAACGCAAGAGTTGTGCGCGGGAGGAGGGCGCCGTAGATGTGGCGGCCGCTGATGGGTGCTGGGGGTGTATTCTCTTGATCTTCATCTTCCGAGGCGGCGGAGTCTGAGGGCGGGTTGGCGGGGGTCGTGGGGGGTAGGGGGACTTTTGATTTTGGAGATTTGAGCTTGGCGGTGCGGGATCTGCGCGCTGTGCGGATGGGGAGGTCGGACGGTTGGCGCTTCGGTGCTGGTCGAGCTGTGTTTTGGGTGTTTGACTCCGAGACTGGTGGGTTGCGTCTACGTTGGTGGGTGGTGGGTTTCTTTTCTAGAGCATTCTGAGTGTCTGTTGCGTTTTGGCCGTTTTTGAGTTGAGCTTTCTCCTGAGGTTTTGCATTCGACCTGCCTCGCCGTACTGGTCTGTTCTCGGCTTCTTCCTGTTCTCCTTTCTCTTCCGTCTCTTCTATGTTTTTTAAGTTCTCCAAACGCTTGCAAACTTTTCTCAAATCAGCTGCGGTTAAGCAGTCCGCCTTACCTTTAACGCTCCGATTTCTTCTCTGCCGAGAAACAACCTCTGTGTTCAATTCTATTTGGAAGAGATTGTTATTCCCTTTCGAAAGTTTTGATGCTTCATGGAGCAGATGGACGATATCGACATGCCACTTCTCTGCATCAGACTCGTTAAGAGGCCAACGCTCAGGTGCAACGCAAGCGTTGATCTTGCCCGAGGGCAGAGACCAATTGGCGATGATGTCTGCTCTGATATCGGCCGGGATCGAATTCGCGGTCTCGGCCATTTTAGGTGGCTTCCCTCTCAATTGCATGCCCCCTACCTTTGAACTAGGAACTGGATCCGGCGGGGGCTGGGTGTCTCGTCTCGAAGAATATCTCGTCATTCTGTGAACTGCAACTTGACGTCCTCTTAGTTGCAGATTTTGATCGTCGAGCTGTGTCAACTTTGTGATGATATCTGGTACGGATACAGGCGTTGATCGAGAACAATATTCATCAAGTTGAGTAGTGATTCCATCGAAGCGGCATCATTGGACCCGTCTCACACCACAAGGAGATGTCGAGATGCGGTGTGCCGACCAGTCTAGCCACCTGGCGATGTGTGAGGTGCTGCCGCGTGACGTCAGCAGAAACTTTTGATGCTAACCGTGCATCGCCGGGCGACATTTCAACTTTCGAACTGCTTCGACGAAGTGTTACAAAACCAACCCCGTACAAGCTAACACACCTCAAGTACAGGATCAACTACATTTTGTTCTCTTGGCACGGTATTACTTGGTCAGTAGGTTTGCGGTTACTTGAAAGTTGCTTCAAGAACCGAGACTAAAAGCCGTATTTCTGAGCATTGCGTGTCAAAAGTGATTATTCCGGACAAAAACACTTGATAATAATTGGACTTCCATGTCATTGTCGATGCCGTTGGTGGATCCCTTTTGGAGTCGCTCTTCAATTGTCGAGTGGCAAGTCCTACCCCGGCAGAACGGGTGGCTTTGTCATCGAACACTTTGTAATTCACCGAAGTGATTATCATACGACAATTGGCATTCAAGGAGTCCTCGGTATATGCCCGCTGGGCTTGGGTTCGGAGGCAAGGCGATCGGACAGTCTGCGAGTAGGACTCTTGGCGTTCGGCACAAACTCCGCGATGCTTCCCCAAAGTTCTCCACAATCTCCGCGAAAGCATCGAGCCGAACCCCAGTGCGGGATGGCGCGACTGTGCTGCGAGGTCCGCGGTCCTGAATTGACGAATGCCCGGTATAAACCCCCGTCGTGTCTAGTCGGTCTTACAAGCATCACGTCACTATAAGAGGGGTTTGCTCCGATCGGCACGAATCCTCAGGAACGGCGCGCAAGGATTGAAACAGTTACATTTCCCCGCCCGGGAGAGGCGCTCTACTTCCTCCAATGGCTGAAGCTTAACATAGCGCGAGAGGCTGACATACTTGTGTACCTGCGGGAACCACTATCCCGAGCATCCTGTTCAGGCATGGTGGTGATGGCAGATTTCGAAGGATCACCACAGCAAGTTGAGAGCGCTGCCAAGTTCCGGGTGAATGGACATGGCAGATCTGTAAAGCTACAAAAGCCAGGGACCTGGACGTCTGTTTGATCTTCACTTTGTGAGCAACGATCTCCACAGTCGTCAACATGGGACTCTTCGCAAAGGCGTTCCTTGCAGCTACTGCTGCAGCATCTGTTAGTGCTATGAACGTTGCCGTCCAATCTTCTGGAGGCAACCAGACAGGCAAGTTTGGCCACTCATACGGCTATGGCTTCCTTCATGAGGTAATTACACCTATCTAGATTTCACCGAATTCTACTGACGTAGCCAGGATATCAACAACTCTGGTGACGGCGGTATCTACGCTGAGTTGATCCAGAACCGTGCTTTCCAGTACAGCAAGGCTTTCCCGGTCTCTACAGCTCACTACTTTCCCATCAATGGTGCTAGCCTTACCATCAACAATGCCACCGAGCCACTGTCTGCGGCCCTCCCTGCCTCCATGAAAGTCTCCGCTGGCAACGGCACTGTTGGCAGAATTGGCTTTGAGAACGAGGGCTACTGGGGCATGGATGTCAGAACCCATAAGTACACCGGATCTTTCTGGGTCAAGGGTGCCTACACCGGCTCCTTCACAGCTTCGCTGCAGTCGAACCTGACAGATGATGTCTTTGGATCTGTTGATATTGAGTCCAAATCTGTTGATTCGGAATGGACCGAGCACACTTTCGAGCTTATCCCCGAGAAGGATGCTCCCAACTCGAACAATACTTTCGCCGTCACGTTCGACCCCAAGGGTACTCAGGGATCTCTCGATTTCAACCTTATCAGCTTGTTCCCTCCCACCTACAAGAACCGCAAGAATGGTCTCCGCGTTGATATCGCCGAGGCCCTGGCTGAAATGAACCCTCATTTCCTTCGCTTTCCCGGTGGTAACATGCTCGAAGGACTCGAGAACGATACCTACTGGGACTGGAAGGATACCCTTGGCCCTCTTAATGAGCGTCCTGGTTTCCAAGGTGTTTGGGGTTACCAGCAGACTCACGGCCTTGGCATGATGGAGTATCTTGAATGGGCTGAGGATATGGATCTCCAGATCGTGATCGGTGTCTGGGCTGGTCTCGCTCTCAACGGCGACGTCACTCCTAAGGAGGATCTCCAGCCCTTCATCGACGATGCTCTGAAGGAAATCGAATTTGTCCGCGGCTCGGTAGACACTGAGTGGGGTGCCAAGCGTGCTGCTCTCGGACATCCCGAGCCTTTTGAACTGAACTACGTCGAGATTGGCAACGAGGATTGGCTTGCCGGCTACCCCGGAGGCTGGGACTCTTACAAGGAGTACCGCTTCATCATGTTCCACGATGCCATCAAGGCCGCGTACCCCGATATTCAGATCATTGGCTCGTCTGCCACCAGCGATCCCGCCCCCGAAGGTGCCACTACTGGTCCCAACCTCGTAAATGGTATCAAATACCCTGCTGATGCTATCGGTGACTACCACCCTTACCGCGAGCCTGATGAGCTTGTTGAGGAATTCGACCGCTTCGATAACGACATCGGTCACATTATTGGAGAGGTCGCTGCCACCCACGTCAACGGTGCCACTCCTCCTCGCTGGAACGGCCCTCTCTACAAGTACCCTTGGTGGATTGGCGCTGTTGGAGAGGCAGTGTCTCTTATCGGCTATGAGCGCAACTCTGACCGCATTCCTGGTACCTTTTACGCTCCTGTTCTGAAGAACGAGAACCGCTTCCAGTGGCCCATCACCCTGATTCAATTCACTGCCGATGCCAAGCAGACCACCCGTGCCGTCACCTGGTACTGCTGGAGTCTGTTCTCTAACCACCCCATCTCTCACACTCTCCCGACCACGTCCAACTCCAGCTACGGACCGGTCTACTGGGGTGCCGGTATTGACGAGGCCCGCAACGGTGCGCTCGTCTGGAAGGGCGCTGTTTACAACACTACCGACAACGCCTCAGTCCCCATCACCGTCCAATTTGAAGGTGTTGAGGCTGGCACTAAGGCGCAGCTGACCTACCTCACCAACTCTGTTGGCGACCCATACGCCTACAACGACCCTCGCACTGGCATTCAGATCGTTGATACTACCACTAAGGAGCTGACCGCTGGTGCCAATGGAGCTTTTGAGTTCAGCTTGCCCCAGTTGAGTGTTGCCGTCCTCGATACCGAGGTTATTGGCAACTCCACTGGAAGCTACAAGAAGGCGAAGAGGACTCCAATTCCTAGGTACCAGAGGCGTTGGTAGTCGTATTCATCGAGATGAAAAAATTAACCAGATAAATAAATCAAATCAAATTTTGAAAACACACCATGAAAGCCTTTGAACCTCAATACCTAATTGTGAAGCCAAATCAAATTGAACATGCGTTGTTACGTGTATGCAGCGAACTCGGAATTATAGTCTCCACATAATCGCAACACGCGCCTACAAACACGTAGATATGTACAGCTGTATACCAACCATCACAAACTCGGTCGCCTAACGGTGGCTAGGCGCGGCGGTCGGCAATTGTGGATCCTCCGCACTGCAGTGCTGACAGCAGATTTCTTCGAACCTGCGAATACGAAACTCACCTTAAATTCCCTCCATCCAGGCGGCAGTGGCGACTGCACACGCCCGATCCCCAGAGCACAAAGATGGCCTACGGTACAACAAGCACCACGCCCACCCCGTCGGTGCAGGACGACGATCTGCAGGAAATCGCCCCGGAGCCGATCCCGGAAGCCGAGCAGGAGCAACTCCAGAAAGACAGCCCGGCGTGCACGCACCACCACCGCGGAGTCAAACACGCACTGAAGTCTTTCTACGACAGGAATTTTGGCCTCGTTCTTGTGTTTCTGGCGCAGACATGCGGGTCCATTATGAATACGGCGGCGAAGCTGCTGGCGACGGGGTACGAGACGAAGTTTCACGCCATGCAGGTCATCTTTATTCGGATGCTGTGCACGACTGTGCTGGGGATGGCGTACATGGCGTGGAACAGAACGCCTGATTTTCCGCTGGGACAGAAAGGGATCAGGGGGTTGTTGCTCCTCCGAGGGTTCTGTGGGTTTGTTGGGCTATTCGGTCTATACTGTAAGTCTGCGTGTATTGCTTGATGCATTGCGAAAGAGGCACACATGCTTATTAACCCAGATTCACTCACGTGGCTGAATATCTCGGACGCCACGGTCATAACCTTTATCATCCCAACTGTCACGGCACTGGTCTGCTTCGTTTGGTTGCGCGAGCCCTTCACCGTCCGCGAAGCGCTTGCGGCCCTCATCGCATTCAGCGGCGTTCTGCTCGTTGCGCGGCCGTCATGGCTCTTCCCCAGCCCGCCAGTAGACCCGATCACTGGCGAGCCTGCGCCAAATGTACTGTCTTTCGTGTTTGATGTTAGTTCTGCGCCGGCCACGACGCCCACTGCTATCTCTCCTAACCAACGAACGCTCGCCGTCCTCGCAGCTATTCTAGGCGCGTTTTCCGCCTCGACGGCATACGCGACGATTCGCGTTATCGGAAAGCGTGCACACTCGCTAATTTCCGTGAACTACTTCGCCGGAATCGCAACGCTGGGTTCCGCGCTCGTTCTGCTCATCCACCCGGATCTACATTTCGTGATGCCCACAAGTGGCGGACAGTGGGGCTTGATCACTGTTATCGGACTGACAGGCTTCCTTCTGCAGTTTCTGCTTACCGAAGGTTTGCAGAGGGAGAAAGCGGGGCGGGCGACAAACTTGATGTACTTGCAGCTTGTCCTTACATTGGTCATTGAGCGTGTTATTTGGGGCACTACGCCTCCCATCGAGAGTTTCGGCGGTGCAGTGCTCATCATCGGGGCGGCGATTTGGGTCACACTGCAGAAAAACAGAACAGTAAAGCATGACGAGGGAAAACAGAAAGTCGTGGACGAGGAAAGCAGTCTGCTTGGCAACAATGGAGAGAGGCAAAGCGAATGAAACAAGAAGTCCGTCAGGACTGTCGTACAACAGAAGCAATATATTTGGCGGCGCGGCGGATATTCCTTTCTGGTCTCTCGTTACTCCCTTGAAGTAAGATACGATGCCAGAAATAACGAGAAATCGGGTTTCATCCACCACTATCTTCGTCTTTCCTCGTTCCTCTCCTTTCATGTCCATGATCTTGCATGATACTAGACTGACTGATCGGGAGGAAATCAATGATTCTTCAAAAAGCAATGACCTGTCCGCACAATTGTCCCCGTTGTACGCCCAAGCTTGTCCAGCTTTCTGTCCAATGTTGTGTGCAGTTCTGTCGAGAACCTGTGCAAAGTGAAGAGGGAGATAGCTAGAAGGTACAGAGACGTAAAAATACATGATGCTTCGATCCAGTAATATTCCCTATCGATGCGAAGACACAACGCTGTCGCGTCGCAAAAAGCACTCAAGTATCTGGTAGCCGATCGTAAGCTAACCCGTACTGAAGTGTGTTGATGGAAGTGGAATATAGCCTGAAAGCCGGCTCAACGGGATCCCAGCAGTAACTCAGGCAAGCGTATCATGATGTTGACTCGAGAGGCCCACTCCCTCAGCATGCCGCCTCTACGAAGTGGTGCCGTTGTTAGTACACTAGATCACGCCCTTGAGTATAGAAATTGGTGTGGGTGCTCGCATGTGTTAGGAAAATTAATGCGTGGAGACGTGTAAAAAGACTGGTGTTGGATTATGAAACAGTAGACCTTGTGTGGTAGTATATGGGCACCTAGGGAGAAGGTAGGTGTGTGATCTGTGCTATTTTGGAGAGAACTTGGGTTTGGGAGAAGAAAATGAATGGGCGATGGCGTGCGCAGACCATTGCTGTAGAGACTAGTAGGATACTCTAGTAAGTGGACGTAATTGGAGCATTGAGAAGAGTAATGTGCGTTGATAAGCTGAGAAGTGGGACTGAGATTGAGCTATACTATAGTGAACTCCTTGATAGGGAGGGATGCTATGTAGCGATTCCGGAGATCAGTCATATGCTTGTAGAAACTGGTATTAAAGTGCACTAGTCCTACTCTGCGGTACTGCTCATGGCCGATGTCCCTTAACACAAGACCGATAATACTCCCAAAATTGATGTTCTCATACAAGAGAAGAAAGATTAGAACTTCCCCAGGTTGTATGAGGGGCTCTTCAGAAGCCCAGTCGAAGTCTCGATACCCAGAAACAAATATTTGAATATCATGATATCTTTCAGGAAGTTCCAAAAGTTCTGGTTTGAATTCGGGCTCGTTACTATCAATGCTGTCTAGGATCTTAGCCTGACAGCTAGCACCTTGGAGCGTAATGCTGGCGTTGGTAGTAGAGCCAAAATGAGAAGGTCCCGTCATTTGAAAGTCGGTTCTGACCAGTGTGGTGGATTCCAGTACGGCGACCACGCTCCAGAAACAGCCACCAAGAACAGAGATCCAAGACCAAGTTGGGCGATTCTCATCAGGACGTCGTGCATGATTGTCGTTCGGAAACCAAGACAAATCTTCCAGAAGACTGTCTAGCCACATGCCTGCGGCGTATGTATCGCCCTTGCGCAGAGGCTGCATACGTTTCACGAGGGCGCTTATGGCTGGTAAACGATCGCTCTCGTAAGTCAGCTTGAGAGCCGAGTACTGAGTCACTACTGATCTCCAAGCTTCGACTGGATCCGGTACAATTGATCTCAGGGTGGGTACGAGGTATTCTCGGGTGTCCTCACGGCCATCTTCCGACATTAGAGCAGAATCACATTCCCAATAGAGTTGCTCTTTCCCAAAATGAACCATTCTAGCCGACAGTCTTCGTTCTTGAAAGACCCAGGCTCGTGTTAATAGAGGCCATGGCCAGAGGTTGGAGTAATTCCTCGCTGAATAACCCTGTGAAATGTGCGGAAATACAGGGGCTACGGGCCGCACATAGAGCCCCGGCTCTTGCAATGGTTTAGGTTTGTATTTATCCTGCATTTGTGAGAAACATCCACGATCGCTGCTATCAGACCAGGTTGCAGCTAAAGTGACAGTTGCTCCTGCATAGATATCTGCCATTGAGGCCGCGGCTGTATGCCAATCTTCTTCATCACCTTGGATAATACCTATAGATTGATGGTCAGTTGAAGGTAAACGAATAGTGATATTGAAGGCAGCACTAAACTTACACAACGCATCTACCCAAAGGAAGTGAATGCCTATGTTCAGACAGACTTCTACTGCATCCCGGAATGTTTTTGGCAAACGCTGGACTAAGACACCCGCCTCCATCGATTGGATGTTCGCAGATGTTAGTTTCAGTGATGGTCCTGCATCTCCCCAGCAGTGGCTTAAGCAAGCGTATGGATACGTCGAAGCCACATTCTCGCACAATTGAACATGCTCTTCTGTCAATCTAAGGATCCGCTGAGGCATCTTGAAAGTTCGCGGTTGTCCTCTACATGCTTCGTGGCCATGCTGACAAGCCTTGATCCAGCGTTTGATTGTCGTCGCTGCTTGAGTGGATGAAGTATCTCCAGAAGGGTGTCTCATTGGAATCAAATTCCAGCCCGACTCGCTACCTATACTTGAATTCGATTCAATAGCCCCCATAAATTCGATAAAATGTAAGAAATTAATACTGACCTTCTGTTGGAAAGACCGCATCATCTTCACGAAGAAGATCTTTGTTATCAAAGTACGAAAGTGCAAGTTTGCATTTCCCTTCCCAAGTGTCTATATCTATAAAGAGAACGAATTTCTGCGCTGCATTCACTACATCCACTAAGTTCTGCGCTGTAAACGCATCTAGAACCAGGGTGCAAAAGTTGCAACCAGATGCAGCTCCGTTCTGAATATCGTCGAGTCTTTCGCTCAAAGACCCCCAGGATGAACGCTTTTTCGACCAACCCACATGAAGCCTCGACTCAGCCAGGACCTTAGGGATCTTGCAGAAAGCACAACATGGCTCGCCCGCCCAATCACCGCTCTCGACCACCGATGTGAAGCTCGACGACATCGCTGCAAAAACCAGTTGTCTCAGCAACGTCTCAACGCGCAGCTCAAGGTCGTGAACGTGATGGATCGAAGATCCTCTCCAAAACTTGCGAGGCTTGGAAGTCGTGACCTGATCGTCTTAGGCGGCAAGGCTGAGCGGAGTCGACAGCGTATACGAAGGATCTTGTTCGTGAGATATGAATTAGCGAGCGAGCGAGTTTAGAAATGAAGGAATGCCGGATGTGAGGTGAGAGATTGAGGACGGGAAGACGCTGCAGGAAATGAGGGGCGAGGGGAGAAGGCGCAGGGAAGGCGCAGCAAGGTGATCTGTTTACAGCCGCGCACGTGGGATGACGAGGCTGACGAATGAGGCAGCAACAATTGCACCCATCGCAGGACGCGTTGCACACGGAGGGGTATAGTTTTTATTCCTTTTTGTATCTCGCATCATGTCGTATCACGTCTCATCAGAAGTCTAAGTATCTATGCCCGGCTGAGGTTGGCACCCTCCTCCTGCTTCTGCAGACCGTACTTCTTCAGCCTGATGCTCTGGATGGCGATGAAGCCGGTGGTATCCATGGGGCTGAAGTTGTCGAGTGTGTCCATGGAAGCCTCCTCCTCGGAGTACAGCTTCTCGGTCTGCGAGCTGCGGCCGAGGACATACGCGTTACCCTTGTACAGAGTGAGGCGGACCTCGCCGTTGACACGGCGCTGGGAGAACAGCAAGCTGTTCTCGACGAACTCGCGCTCAGGCGAGAAGTACATGCCGTTGTACAGCTGGTAGCTCCAGTTGTGCGAGACGAACTGGTCGCGCAGGTTGCGGACCTGTGTGTCCATGACCAGACCCTCGAGATCCAAATGGGCGAGGCGGAGAACGGTCATGGCAGGCGAATCGTAGCAGCCACGGGACTTGAGACCGATGAAGCGGTTCTCGACGATGTCAATGCGGCCGATTCCGTGCATGTGACCGAGCTTGTTGAGCGCAACAAAGAGCTCGACAGACTCGGTGTAGGTCTTGTCGGGGGTGACGAGCTTGACAGGAATACCCTTCTCGAAGTGGATGGTAATGTCGGTGGGCTTGTCGGGGGCGACGAGGGGCGACTGGGTCATGGTCCACATGTCATCGGGGGGAGAGACATTGGGGTCCTCAAGGATACCTGGGGTTGTCAGTAATGGGACGATCAGACTGCTTAAAGGACGAACGTACCAGCTTCATAAGAGCAGTGAGCCAAGTTGGCATCCATACTCCATGGCTTAGCCTTGGTAGATGTGACAGGGATGCCGTGCTTCTCGGCGTAGTCGAGCAGATCCTGCCTGCCCTTGAAGCGGTCGCAGAACTCAGGCAGCCTCCAGGGTGCGATGACCTTGATGGTGGGCTGAAGTGTGTAGAATGCGAGCTCGAAGCGGACCTGATCGTTGCCCTTGCCGGTGCAGCCGTGGGAGACGAAGTCGCAGCCTTCTTGCTGAGCAACCCGGATTTGTGCGCGGGCGATGACTGGGCGGGCCAGCGATGTGCCGAGGAGGTAGCGGCCCTCGTAGGTAGCGTTGCACTGAACAGCGCGGAAGCAGAGCTCCTCAACGAACTCCTTCTGGAGGTCGGTGATGATCATCTTCTTTGCGCCGATCTTGAGCGCCTTCTTCTCGACCTCGTCCCATGGCTCCTCCTGGCCGACGTTGGCGAGGAAGCACACGACCTCATAACCCTCCTCTGATGTGTTGTCAATACATGCTCATACAATCGGAAATGAGACACCACATACCGATCAGCCATTGCAGAATGGTGGAGGTGTCGAGACCACCTGTGAGTCAAGTTAGTCGACAAATGCTCGTCATAGTGGGCATCCCTCAATAAGCTTGATTGAAGCATCCAGAGAATGTAACCATACCAGAGTAAGCCAAACAGACGCGTCCCTTAGACATGATGTGAGATGTGAAGTGTGAAGTGTGAGGAAGAAGGTTTGAAGAGTCAATGGCTTAAAGAATGGTTCGTCTGGGGCTCAAATGCGGGCACTCACCGATAAGATAGGCAACGCGAATAAAATTAGCGCCTGTTCAGCTTGCGGGCCGATGTCGCATTAGCGCTGTGACCCTCTGACGATGCGAGGAAAATCTTGGAGACGTGCGGGTTCTGAATGGCTAGTATCGGGATGACATAATCCTCGTATCAATAGAATGCTGTTATAATCATGGTATCACCAATGTCTCTATCCAAACACACGCAACGCTTGTTAAAGGCCCTCGAAGGGTACAAAATCCCCACCCCCTCGTGACTCAAAGGTATCAAGACGCAAAACAAATGATCGTAACGCTAATCTCAAAGGCAAACGCCGCCGCAATGCGGAATGATACTCCCATATCCAGGGCGTGCACGTGTGTGCAATATGTGACAGAGAATTGAACTTGGTCGTGATGGGCTGTAGCGCCGAAGCCTAGAAGGCGCCGCCCGCAACCCTCTCACGCTCGTAGAAGACGATATAGGCGCGCTCGTTCTGCAAGCGATCTTTCGGCTGCAGGTTTCCAGGCTCGAAGTCCACCAGACGGTCATCATTGAACGATCGCCAGACGCCCCTAGCTTTGTCTTTGACGAACGCAGTGTAATGACCACTCCCAAGCGTCGCGCCGATGTGGTGAATGACAGCGTATGCGTTGTAAACGTAAGGTCCGTTCATGGTAGGATCTGCTTTCAAGCCGGCTAACTGCGTCAGGCCATCAGGGGCATTTTTCGCAATGTACTGTTCCTGCTCAGGTAACATGGGCTTCTCCATGAACGGGCTCATGTCGAGACCTTGGAGTGGGAAATTGATAGGTGTCCGTACTTTGCGAGCACTCTCATTATGCGAGGCACTGAAGCGCTTGAAATGAACGACTAGTGTGTCGGGTGCTCGCGTGATTGTGATCTTCTTGACGGCCTCACGGTCTTTCTTGCATCTGGGACAACGCCAGAGCTCGTCTCCTGCCAGGCGCTCGGCAGAGCAATACGACCGTAAGCAGTCACGCACATCGCAGGCTTGATCGTGTGGAATCTCCAAACTCAGACTCCAGAAGGCTTCGTAGGTCGTGCTTGTGATGCCACAAGCTTGACATGTGAGCTGTGAAGCGTGCTGGCCAGCGAACATGCCACCAATGACTGACATGTCACGATGCTGGTATCTTGCCCATTCGATCTTCGCAGCGTATTGTCGAGGGAACTGCTCTCTTTGCAACTCTTGTTTCTCTGTCAGAGGCTGAAGAGGGGCCTTGTTCCATGTCACGTTGAGATCCTCATGCATGAAGTCGAGGACGAATTCAAGGAATTCTTTGGCGTCTTGCTGTTGGTCGACACCCCATTGCGAGTTGAAGTGGCCACACACCCTCTGTTCCGTGTTAGCAATGAATCTAGTGAAATGAGAGTGTGCGTACGCGGAATGTACTTGGTCGTACGGATGAGATGTCACCCTTGAACAAGTTCGATATCAGGGTCGCATAGGCTTCAGGCAGGATGCCTTTTGTTCCTTTCCAGTTCTCTCTTTGCAAGTCTCGGTTGTACCGCCCGGTCAAATACAAATCAGAAAGCGCCAAGTGCCCGCTAAGGCACTGCACTACCGAATTCATATAGCAAGTCACACCAAAGTTGATCAGACCAGTTTTGTGTAAGCGAACATTGGTGAAGTGGGGTTGCGAAATGTACACCGGTGGCTGGTTGTTACGGCCTTGAGGAGCAACTGACCGCTCATGAACACCGCTGTAGCTAACTCGAGGAACTGAAGGTGGTGGTCGAGATGGCGCGATGGGAATAGCCGGCTGCACATACTGAGGTATCGGTGGCGGTCGCGGAGCTGCTTGGACCATGGACTGTCCTCCTTCAACATCTGGAAATCTCCGTAGAAAATCCTCGGTTGTACGGTAGAACGATGACTCGGGCTCCTCACTCTCCTCATCTATGGCCGGTTGCTCGACAACAGCTCTTCCCTTACGAGCCTCCTCCAGCCATTGCTGCTCCTCTTCAGGATCCATAGGAACGTACTCTCGTCTTCGGCGTTGTAGATTCAGCTTTGCAGCATTTGTTGCAGCAGGTGCTCGACGAACTCCTCGAGATCTCGTCTGGCCAGTAGCGAGGAGCGCAGCGGTCGTTGACGTTTTCAAGGCTTGGGGCCCGACCAGATCGACCCACGCATCGAGGCCACCCTTCAATAGTATTGGCGGTCGCTTCAAAGGTTTATCAGCATTGAACTCGGTCAATGTGTCGTAAAGATGCTTCAACGCTGCTTCGTCTTCAGCTCGGTTGTGATTCGTCATGAAGTCAATGTTCATAGTAGAGTCGTTGTAGTAGACGACTATATCGTATTCGTGCCGTCGTTCGAACATGGCTTGCTCCTCATCCGGAGAAATGACTAGGCGATCTGAGAGTTGCTCGGCAGAGTCGCCGTCTTGTAGAGTTGATGGCTCCAGACACATGACTGTGCGATGGTAGAGGTGCCCCCTATCGAAAGTCGATCGCTCTCGAACATCAATCACCAGCACATTGAACATGCGAAGATAGTCGTAGAGTTTTGCGGCGTCTATCTCCAGTTCTATAGCGGCACTAACAGATCGAGTGCGGCTGGCGGGTGCGCGAGTCAGCTGTTGCGTCGGAAAGTACGAATCTGGTGTGCCGTTGGTGTTCGGCGCTTGATTCGATGCGCTCGATGCTGCCGCCAATGAGTTACTGCGCCCACCGGTACCGTTCATGCTTCGTGGTGTGCTTCGTGGGGGCGCAATGTGTGGCGGCAGGGCAATGTTGCGTGCTGGACTGTAGGTTGGACTCGGCTCTTTTGGAAATGACGCTGCCATGGCTGTATCCAGTGGAAGTTTTGGTGGTAGTCGTGAAGGTGGTGGCATGTCTCTAGGGCCAACAGGTCGATTCGAAGACTGAAAGTCTGCAGGAGATGGCATTTTGACAGAAAGATCCTGACTCGAGCGGGCTGAGGTCGTATCTATGGATGGACCAGGCCCTCGTAGTTTGGCAAAACGATCGGCAAGATCCCCGTTGACGGACGTTGAGTTTTGGTGCACAGCTCGGCCATGTAATGACTGTGGCTTTGGCTGCGGCACTGGCTTCCTCCGCCCAGAACTGACGGAGCTTGAAGCCTCGCTACTTGGTGCTGACGAAGGCACGCTTGGCAACATCAGCTCGTCATCCCTCTTGATCGCAATTTTCCCGTTGCGCGACTCTGGCCTCATAGCGAACGAAGCAGACCCAGTCCTGCTATGGGTGCCATTTCGGAGGTTGTCGTTCTTGATGATGTTCTTGATGTACACAAATTGTTCTTCCGCGGAAGAAATCTCTTTCAGTAAAGTGTTGTAGTCGCGGTGCGTCTGGTTGCGGCTGCCGGCGATCTTGTCGTGATAGTCTGCATGCTGAGGGATCAGGACAGCAACGATCTGGTAGGCGACCAGATACTCCCAGTACGAACCAGCTACGGGAGAGCGATTGCCAAGCATGGTCCTGGCCGAGGTAAAGTGCTGCTTTGCATGCTCGAGCAAGTTCTTGATCTGTGCCAAGTCAGCTCCTGCCACATGCGCTAGTTGACAGTGCAGCATACCGAGTGGTGTCTCAGTCCGTCCACTGTCTCCGTAGCCGAGCCCACGATCTCAGCGATGGTCGGTTTGGAGCCGCCAGAGCCTCTCGACTGGCCGGACGCATCGCTGCCGTGGGCGCCATTGGTGTGGCCGTTCATTTGGTGGGGTGGCGGGGAATCCGGGGGCGGCAAGGGAGCAGCTGCACTCTTTACCGCACTCTATATTCTGGGCAGCCCGCGCATGTCGGACGCAGAGGGCCGCGATATGTAAGACGTCCGCGTGTTCGTGGAGTGTGCGTATGTACCGTGTTGTACAGGCGGTAGAGGCCCAACTAGTGGGGCTTCGACCTGACCGAGGCAACGTTTGGTTCGTACGAGCGGGAGACGTGCTGGAGAAGCACGCAGAAGGGGCGAGGAGGTCCGGCGAAGGCGAGCACGGTGGGCGTGGGTGAAGTGTGGCGCAGGTCGAGTTGATGGCCTCGGTGGTGCACGTCGCGGCTCCGACAAGCGTCATCGCGTGGGCCAAGGCCGCAGCGTAGCTACCTCAGTAAGCATCCATCACACCTCACCATACCACAATTCGCCATACTGCACACTGGACCACTCTCCGAGCAGGAGAAGCTGCACGTTATATTGTACACGCCCACAGATTGACGCAGCGGCTAGAGACGCCACAATCGACGCACACATTCAGACACCATGGCGGGCTGGTTCGGGTCGTCGACCAACGGCGCGCTCGATGAGCAGATTGAGCGCGCCACCACCTCGAGCCTGTACGTGGAGGAGCAATGCAGGAGTAGCTGGAGGAGCCTGTGCTAACGCAGCGCAGGGAGGATATGCCGCTCAACCTCGAGATATCCGACGTAATTCGCTCCAAGACAGTGCAGCCTAAAGACGCCATGCGCTCGTTGAAGAAGCGCATAGGGCACAAGAACCCCAACGTCCAGCTGGCAGCTCTGAATGTATGATAGTCCACACCTACAGCTGGTATGCAGCCGACTAATGCTCATCGCAGCTCACGGATACCTGCGTTAAGAACGGCGGCGCCCACTTCATCCAAGAGATAGCTTCGCGCGAGTTCCTAGACAACATGACCTCCCTGATGAAAGCGCCCGGTGGTGCCGCAGCAAACCACGATGTAAGAAGTAAGATGCTGGAGCTCATACAGTCCTGGGCGACAGCAGCGGAGGGGCGCAGCAATCTGAGCTACATCAACGAGGTCTACCGCAGCCTGCAGCGAGAAGGGTATCACTTTCCACCAAAAGAGAACATATCTAGCAGCATGCTCGACAGTAGTGCAGTAGGCCAACCCCCTGTGATTGACCGACGCTTGCTTACAAAGTGCAGCCTCCAGAGTGGTCCGACTCGGACGTGTGCATGCGCTGTCGCACAGCCTTTACCTTCACGAACCGCAAGCATCACTGCCGAAACTGTGGCAACGTCTTCTGTGGCGCCTGCTCGAGTAACAACATCCCTCTGCCACATCTCGGTATCCTGGATCCAGTACGAGTTGACGACGGCTGCCATGCGAAGCTCACCGATCGATCACGGGCAGCCCCTGCACCTCCCAGATTCGATGCACCCAAGCCGACTAAGACGCTATACCAGGGCTCAATGGAGCCACGCAACCCGCGTGTAGAAGACAGCTTCGATGCAGACCTGAAGAGAGCACTAGAGATGAGCCTGGAAGAGACCAAGGGCAACAGCTCGTCTGGGTTCGTGTCGCAAGCGCAGCTGCAGTCACAATCGAAGCCGAATGGTACAACAAAGAAACCAGAGCCGGAAGATGAGGAGGATGATGACCTGAAAGCCGCTATTGCAGCATCCCTTGCTGATATGGAGGAGCAGAAGAAAAAATATGCAACAGACTTTCGCCAGCAAACGACAAATGTCTCGAATGGAACGCCCTTTGTTGCGCCGAAGAACGACTTCGAGCTTACACCAGTGGAGGCGGAGAACATAAACCTTTTCTCAACATTAGTGGACAGACTACAGCATCAACCCCCAGGCGCCATCTTGCGCGAACCTCAGATACAGGAGCTGTATGAAAGCATTGGCAAACTGCGACCCAAGCTCGCTCGGACATATGGCGAGACGATGAGCAAGCACGGTAGGTCATCCGTCTCTCCGCCTTAGGCGTCGCCAACTAACATGTGTAGAAACACTGCTGGATCTTCATGCCAAGCTCTCCACGGTCGTGCGTTACTACGACCGCATGCTCGAGGAACGTCTGTCTAGCACATACAACCAGGCCGGTGCCATGTACGGCATGCCTCGTCCCACCTCAAACGTCTACCCACAGATCCCGTCAGGCGCACCAGCATATTCAGGCAGCGAAAACTACTACTCGAGCAATGCTGCCCCCTCAGATCCATACGGCCGACCGCAGCCCAGCTATCAGTCACAACCACAGCAGCCATACCCTCAATTCGACCAGCGAGCAGCGCCACCCCAGTCATACGCATCGCCTGACCCTTACCAGCAGCCTCAACAACCATCACAGCCATATCCCAACCTCGCCTCATACAGCAGCGGCCCAGCGTCCCAGCAACGACCGCCCAGCGCGTCTTACCAGCAACCTCCCTCGCCACAACTTCAACGCCAGATGTCAAACCAATACCCACCGCAATCCTCCGGCTACCCGCCTCAGGCACCACCCTCCAACGTCTCTGATGCTGAGAGCGCAAATTACTACTACAACGACAGCGCGCCAGCTCCCATCCAGCGCACATACAGCCACGCCTCACAACCACCCCAACCCTCCTCGCCGCAGATGTACAACCGCGGCCCGCCTCAACAACAGCAAGCGCCGATCTCACCTCCTGCCCAGCCGGCGACAGCGTGGCAGAACCCACCGTATCCAAGGGAGAACGCGCCGCCGCAACACCAAGCACCTGCGCCCCAGCAGCAACAGCAGGCGCCGCCTCAACAACAGTGGCAGCCGCCCCAGCAACAGCAGCCACCACCCCAGCAGCAACCCCCACAGCAGCAGCCTCCTCAGCAACAGCAGCAGAGTTACTGGAATCCCGCGACGCCCTACGCAATGGGCGGCTACGGCCCCGAGAGTTTCCCGTCTGCGCCCCAGGCTGCGCCGGCGCAGAAGGTGGATGAGCCGTTGATTGATTTGTGAGTAGATCAGACGGCGTGGATGAGTGCAGGGAAGTGTGGGTAATAGTGGTGTTGATGAGATGATGACGCGGGGAAGGAGCGAACGGGGAAAAGGAGGGGAGAGGAGGGAGCCATAAATGCTTGAATATATACCCTGCACCGTCATGTCTCGATCTACTCTGATACACTGGTAATATTGGTGGTGTGCGCTCTATCATGCAAGTGCTCAGTGCTTGACGCAAGAGATATGCGGTCTGTCACACAGACACATCATCTACAACCCGAACCGCGTCGCCACAAGAACCACACTCCACAGCACCACAGCACGACACAACACAACTCACCACAGGCAACCGAACAATATACAAGAATAGCCTAGCATAAACAACATAAAACGTCCTCAAGCTCAACAAGCGAGGGTGTGGTATATACAACGAACGACCCCGACCCCGACCCCCGAATTCACATCCGAACACCAAATCGCTGCCCTTGGAAACTCAAAGCCCTGGAAAACCGAGGGACCCGCCGGAATATATAAACAAGCGTCGCCGCAGCGATCGCGTGGTGTGGTATGTACGTGTGTGTATGTACGCTGAAACGGCTTCTCGGCAACCGCGCGGCACCGCCACGCCCCCGCGGCGCTGAACGCTTCGCACGGGTGAGTGCGCCGCGACGCGGGGTTTGTGCAGACCGGATCAGACCAGATCGGGTGATCGAGGGGGTGTGCGGGCACGCGGAGAAGGAGCAGCACGCGCCACGCGCCGCGGTCCGTCACCGCGTCAGACTCGACGTCCCTCCCGTGCGCGACGCGGCGCGGCACGGCGCAGCGTGCTCCTGTAGCCTTGCGACCCGGTGCGCGCGAGGCAGCAAGCAGACCGACTGCTTCCTCAGACGAACTCGGGCCAGTAGTTGTAGGGCGCGAGATTGGGACCGGTCCAGTGCTCGGCGTAAGGGTTTGAGCGGGTGCGGGCGAAGAAGCCGTCTTGGGCGTGCTCGAGGATGGAGATCCAGGAGGAGGGCTCAGGGTGCTTTAGCCACTGTTTGGTGTTAGCATCATGTGTTCGAGAATTCTGACCGGACAGAAGAAAGGGATATTGAGTCGGGGTGAGGTGAGATGAGATGGAGGGGGCTTACCTGGTTGTGGATGTGGTAGGTCCAGGCGCCACGGAAGAAGTTCTCGAGCGTGCGGTTGTTGGGGGGAAATTTGTCTTCGTCGAAGTTGTATGCTGCAACGACGCCAGCGTTGCGCAGGGCGGCTTCTTCGTCGAGCGTGGCTTGGAAGGAGTCTGCGTGCTCGCCCTTCGCTGGTGTTGCGGCGGCGGATGCAGGGACGTGCTCTTCGTCTTCGCGGGCACGTGCCTTGAGGTCCTTGCGTGCCGCTTTGGTGAGGTCGATGTGCTTGAGCTGGGGGCCGTCGTAGCTCTCCCACTCGTCTCTGAGCGAGCCCTTCTTACCCTTGAACGCTGCGCCGTAGTCGCGGAGACAGGGGACAGTGCAGCGGCCTTCGCGATCCCAGTTGAATTCTGTCCAGATGGGGTCGAAGGCGCCGGTCTCGAGCATTAGAAACTCCTGGTCACGGCCGTCCTTCCAGGCCATGCGGCCGAGAACTCGGGGGTGGAAGTTGACGCCCATACGGATGCCGCCGTAGAGGAGGTAGGATGACAGCGACGAGTTGGCTGTGAGAGACATGATGGCCGTGTTGTAGTCGCCGGGGTGCGGGTGCGCAGCCCATCGCTCGGCAAAGGCATGCTCCTTGGGCAAGAGCAGCGGCCGCATGTCCCTGAGCATCAAAACATCCATGTCGAAGTATGCGCCGCCGTGGATGTGCAAGACAATGAATCTGACCGCATCTGAGACAGCGACGGGCAGGAATGTCATCTGTTTTGGTGTGAGGACCAGCCACTGCTGGCCTGTCTTGTCTTCAATGATGTTCTCGGCCAAGACCTTCTCGCCTTCTGCATTGGGCCGGCCAGGAGTGCTGTAGTATCCGAAGCCATTCTTGTCCTCCTCGTCCTTGGGCAGCGGAATGCGCTTGGGGAAGTTCCAGGCCTTGAGAACGATGTCGCCGCGCTCGACCAGAGGCAGAAAGCGAGCGAAGAGGGCATCCCTAGTCATCATGTTCTGGACGGCGTTGGGGTTCTTGTCGCTGTCCAGCCACAGCCACAGGCGGGAGCATGCCAGGTTCTGGGTGTACAGATAGCTCTTGATGAAGACCTCGACTCGCCAGGTTGCAGGGCCAGTCCAATAAACGTGGTATGGGATGATGGGGCCTGGGCAGGTGCCGATGCTCGAGCCGTTCGCGGCGATTGCCTCTTTGACGGGCAGGTAGCTCTTGAGTGTGTTGCCGTGGCCGTCTGCGTCGACGTACTCGGCCTTGCGGGGATCCTGGGCACTCGCGCGGGCAGGCTCCTCGGGCAGCTTGTAGTAACGCGACTCATCGTCGGCGAAGAACTTCAGGCAGTCAAAGACGTTCCTCATCTTCTCGATACCAGCGTATGTGCCCCTACACTCCTCAACCAACATATGCAGATCGGCCTCGGTGTCGACGTGGGGGCGGGGGCCCATGTAGTCGTCCTTGATCTCGACAGCAGTGACGGGCCGGTTGAAGACATTGGCGTGCGGGTTGATGGTGACAGTCTTGGTGGTGCCGGCGAACTTGACCTGGACGCCGGCCTTGGTGGTCTTGATCAGCTCCGTTGGACCGGCTTTGTCCAGAAAGGCGGGAATGCCCAGTTTCCCCTTAGTCGCGACGCTGGGGTCGCTTACTATGTTTATGATTCCATAGATAGTCGCGTACAGCAGCGCTGCTAGTACAAGATTCTTCAGCAGGGCAAGGGTCGCCCGCACTTTCGATTGCTCGGCCATGGTGAGAGCTGCTCCGGGGTGCGCCCGTCGCTACCAGTTCGAGTGCTACCGAAGACGCGCCAGACTCGCCGCTGGGTGTATTTTTTCGCGAAAGTTCGTGGTGGGTCGTGGGATTCTGCAGAGGCTGGGCGCCGTACGGGGCAGAGGGCTTGGAGCTGTTGAGGGGGTCGCAGTGCTGTGGCGTTGGGCAGTCTGGCGGGTGCGGCGCGGGGTTCGGGGGTCGCAGAGCGAGGGGAGTCGGCGATTATAAACGGTTGAGGGCTGAGTGCTCAGGCGCTCCAGACGAGTAAGCCGAAAGACTTGGTGTGCAGCGTCGCGAGGCGGTGCACCGTTCGCAGAGCGGAGTGACGATCGTCGAACCTCGGCGTCAGGGGTCCACCGCCAACTTTCCAGGCGTCCAAAGCAAGAACAGTTGCAGCAACAAGAGAAACGCAGCACGCACGCAGTAAGGAGAGATAAGAGAAAAACAAGAACACAGGCAGCGCCGCGGCGGAGAATTGTAGTTCTAGCCGGCGGGAGCTGCGCAGCTAACGGTGGTGTCCCATGTAATTTCCTGGGACCACCCGCCCCTGACGACCTGTACCACAAAAACACGCTTTCTAGCCCAGTTCGAGACTTTTCGCTCGTTTAGTGACCGTATCTCGTGTCGCATCCTGTCACTCCCTGCTCGGACGCTCCCGAAAAGGACCAGACTGTTCTGTCGGTCGCGTCTGGTGTGCTTTCGTCAGATCGCGCTTGCCTTCGTCGTTTTTGGGTACGACAGGTCCAACAGCGCAGGAGCCACTACGTCAACGTTCCGTCTCATCATTTTTGTCAACCCTTCAATGTTTTCTCGTTCTCTCTGCAGAGCCTGCACATCTCTCAAGACGAGTGCACCATCATCACGGCTGCCACAATCTAGTTCGCTCAACACGCGTCTGAGCCGTGCCTACTCGGCTGTCACAGCTCCACCGCGAGAGGAGCACTTCGACGTTCCATGTCGGTCAAATGGCTCCATCAGACTTGACGTCTATCATGCTCTCGACGCATCATCACCTGTGCTCATCTATCTGCCCCCCGGGCCTGTAGTCCCCGCAAATGCTGAGGCAGAAGAAGGTATCATTGCCGCGCTGCGTGCGTCGAGCGCAGCGACCATCGTGCGCATCAACTACCGTGCATCTTCACAGCATCAGTTCCCAACACCATATCATGACGTGCTCTACGGTTACGACTGGATTCAAGAGAACATGCTCATCGATGGCGCCCAACAGCCCTATGCGGCACGTTTGGGCATCTGTGGAGAGCTGATGGGGGGCTCCATCGCCACTATGCTTGCTTTGACAGAGTGTCGAGTCGGCGAGAGCCGTATCACTGCTGCTGCCGTGAACAACCCGATTGTGGATTGGGTCTTCCCTGACGACCTGCCCAATGTCAGTGCATCAGAGTTACCAGAGCCGTCCGGCGCCGAAGAAACTGCATTCCCAGCAGACGAAGACTTGATGGCTTCATTTAAAGCGCTCAAAGTGGGAGAGCTGCCCAAAACGAAAGCCAAGCGTAAACGCAAGCCAAAAGCAGTGCCTCTGACCTCGTGGCAAGCTTGGGCAGACAGCTCCCTCATTCCTACTCTCCCTCTCTCTGAGATGCGCAACGTGCTTTTTCGTCGACAGGAGGATATGTTTGATCGATTCACCTCCCCAGCCCACTTCTTCCGCTCGCCACATGCACAGCTCGTTCTACCACAAGCCGTAGACTCAGCCCTTGACCAGCCCGATTACGCACTCGACATTGAAACTCAGATGAGCCTGAACCATTTCAACTCGTTCAACCGAGAATCCCCGGAGCCGTTGGGACACCCTGAATTGACAAGGTGTCGATCATATGCCCGTGTCTACCCCCAAGCAGGTGCCGGCAAGGTCAGCCTACCGGCCTGGAACATCACTACTGGAGCGCAGAGTCCACTTCACGACCAAGCCGCAGAATTGTCGAAGCTTCTCAGGCGAAGCATTGCCCGCCATGCTGTGAAGTCTCAGACTGGCCGCACAAAAGCGCACGATCCTACTGAGAAGCAGTACTATGAGGAGTACGCGGAAGAAAGAGTCCAATTCGACTCGTTCGCAGACGCGGGGCTTTGGTCAGAGCAACAACTTAGTGCAGAAGGCTCAAAGCACATCGAAAGTATCGGAAGCTGGATGAAACACAACATGTCTCCAGAAAACGCATAGGTATTTGCATGCAGACTACCATTCACACCCTTCTCAAATGCAAGCCTGGAGGCGATGTGCTGCAATACACGACCAGGTTCTCTCAACCACAAAACGGTGTCGTCAAAAAGAGCGACTCCAGTACGATCAACGACAAAGCACGCAAGACACATAGAGACGACGTCATTGTCATCATGATTCAACTCTGTTAAACAAATCGCTTGTCGTTCGCGCTTTACTATCAGCACGGGGTTTGAAAGCCAACACCATCAAGGGACAGCAAATCGCCAGATGAAAGAGGCAATGCGTCCAAAGCTATGCTTGCGTATCGAGCAATACACCTCGGCGTCGACCGCCTTGCTCGCTCCATCATTCCTTATCCTCTTCCTCCTCAAAACCCCGCTGCACCTCTTCCAATAGCCCTATCGCAGCCCATTCCTTGAACTCCTTCTCCTTGCGAAACGCGCTTCGTAGCCTTTTCTTCACCTCGCTCTCTCGGCCCCGCGTTGCCTGTGCCAGATTGTAGATCGCGCCGAGCAGCTCGGGCGTGTACTTGAAGGGTTGGTTCAGATTGCGCGTTGCAGGATCGAAGGAGTGTTGGGGGAGAACGGAGAAGGGGTGAGCGTGGGGTGGATTGATATTCCAGGCGGTGCGAATTGAAGATAGTGCTCTTTCGGAGGGACCAAAATTCATACGGGGAGAAGGCGTCCGCGATGCTGCAGGTTCGTCACCATCGTCACCCCCGTCATCTTCACCACCGTGCGCAACATCCTCTTCGTCGCTACGCAAGCTCTCAGTCTCAGCATCCGAAGCGCTCTCCTGCTGCTCTTCCACCGCCGCCGCTCTCGCTACTCCCCGCGTCAGCACACTCCTCGCACCCTCTCCACTCGCAACACACACCTTTAAACTCCCCAATAAACTCCCCCAAATCCACCCTCAGACTCTCGTTCTTCCCCGCCCACCCCTCCCCACACCGCAGCTGCGCAAGCCCCCACACCCCGTCCTTCCCCCCTTTACTCCGCGCCCGCCACCGCTTGCGCAGCCGCTGCTTGACTTCCTCCCGCGCGTGCGGCGCCACCGCTGCCAGCTGCTCCAGCAGCGCTAGCGTCGCGTCCTCGAAGAAGTCGTCCGTGTGCGAGGCCGCGCCGCGCGAACCGGGTTTTAACGTCGGGGGGAGAGGCAGCTGGTACAGTTTTTTCTGGACGAGAGGGCTGCAGGCGCTGAAGAGGGACGCGAGGGTGGTGAGGGACCAGTGGGTTTTTATGGCGTGGATTGAGGCGAGGCGGGAGGGGGTTTGCGGCTTCTTTGGGGGTGGGGGGTGAGGCATTGTTACTATTGTTGCCGGTGGCGGTGGTGGTGGTGGCGGGATGAGAGGGTGGTGGCAGATGTGTGGTTAGTAAGTGGTGAATGCGCGGGTTGGTGGTGATGCGTGGGGTGGTGAGCGTTTGTATAAGAATCGGGGGGCTGGGAGCAAGCATTTCGTTTGCTGCCTAGAGCAAATAGCAAATGTGAAAGCGAAGGGCGCACATGGCATAGTGGGATCAATGTATGCGGGGTTAGAGGCCCTTGTCACCGTCGCCTGACCATGTCTAACGGCTGGAGTATTCACGGAGAGATTGAGGGCTTGTCAACGACGTCTGCAGAACACGTTATGCAATTGCACAGACACATACGCAACTTGCAACAGAGTGACTATAATGCTTTTGATTTGACCCGACCGACACACCCCAAAACTATGCTACGTTCTCCATCAACCCAGCGCCCACTGTCCTCCCGCGCTCACGCACAACAACCCGCATGCCCTCTTCGATCGGCAGCTCCCGCTCCAACTGCACCACGACTCTCGCAACCTCGCCCGGCTTGACGATTCTCGGCTTCTTCTTCGTGACCTCGCCGGTGAACTTGTTCAGCTTCGCGCTCAACACCCTGATACTGCCAGGGCTGTTCAGCGTGCTGCGGAACACCTCAACGGGCATAGGCAGCACGTGTTCGAAAGCGAGAAGCTTGGAGGTAAAAGCCTTGACGAGCTTGACGGGGGCCTTGGGCGAGCAGACGATGTCGCCCTGGCGCAGGTGGACGGGGTCGATGTCAGCGAGGTGCAGCGTGGGGATCTGGCCTGCGACAGCCCAGTCGACGGGTGTGTCTTGGACTTCGATGGATTTGATGGTTGCAGTTTCGTTGGCGGGCAGGGCGAGGATGACGTCGCCGACTTGCAGCGTGCCGACGTCGATGCGGCCAGATATGCTGAGGGGAGAGCGCAGGTCGCCGCGGAAGACGTCTGCGACGGAGAGGCGGAGAGGCTTCTCGAGGTGGCGTTGGGGAAGCTCGATGCGCTCGAGGGCTTCCAGTAAGGTTTCGCCTGTGTACCAATCTGCTGCTGGGTTTGAGATTTTGTTGACAACGTTCTCGCCTGTAAGACCCGCCAGTGGAATGAATGTGATGCGCTTCTCAACGAAGCTGGCTTCCGTGAGGAAAGTCGTCATCTTCTTCGTGATCTCGTCGAATCGTGTTTTCGACCAAGCCACAGTATCCATCTTGTTTATGGCGACGATAATGTGCTGCATTCCCATACTTCGGGCGATTAGGATGTGCTCTTTTGTTTGACCTTTCAAGCCTGCTTCGAAGCTGTTCGTACTTGAGTCGATTACCAACACGGGGAAGTCTGCTTGTGACGCTCCTGAGATCATGTTGGGGATGAAGTCTTTGTGTCCGGGAGCATCTAAGATAGTGAAGCGCGACTTCTCAGTCTCGAAGTAATTTGTTGCGATATCGACAGTGACACCGCGACTGCGCTCTTCGCTCGTTTCATCCATCACCCACGCTAGAGCGAATGACGACTTCCCTATCGTTTCAGCTTCTTTCCTGAGCTTATCAATTGATCTTTGATCAATGACTTTGAGGTCGTACAGCAAACGCCCCATAAGTGTGCTCTTGCCGTGATCAACGTGACCTGTAGAAGTCAGCACACAACTGTGCACAATTGCGCATTAAGGTTACCCACCCACGACTACGAAGTTAGCCATCCGCTTCATGCCGCTCTTTTGCAGCTCGTCCAGGACATTCAGATTTCTGCTATTAACCTTTGGCTCGTCGACCGCCAGCTTCTCCACAGAGTCTGCAAGTTTGTCTCCGTTTGCTGCGGCGGCTGGTTTCTTCTTCTTCGGTGTAGTCCCTGTATGCCTTAGAAAAGCGCGCTTCAAGTGCTGCCACAGCTTCAACGCCGCCCCGTGCCTGTGCCTTTGTTCGCCTGAGCCGCTCGTACGATGTCGTCTGGACTGGGCCCGTCAAATGGCTTTGCGTCCTGGTAGTCTTTGTAGCGACTGTATGGCACAGGAAATTCTTGGATGATGGTGGATGGCTGCGAAGTGCGAGAGGTACCGCAAAGTGTGGAGGCGAACATGGAAGCTGTGGCTCGTTGTGCTGGGTGCTCGACTTCGATCGCTGGCTTTGGAGCTTCAGGCTCGGCCTCAACGACCTCGACCGGAACCTCTGGCTTTGGAGATGGAGAGCGCTTTCGGGATGTGTATTTGGCAATGCGCGAGGGACGGTCGACGCCATCAGCTGATGTAGCGTTCTCCTTGCTCTTTACTGTGAGCTTGTCGAGCATGGCGACTGCAGCATCGGTCTCGCCATTGGCATTTGACGCAGCTTGAGCCTCTTCCCTCTCCTTCCTACGCTTAGCCGCAAGCGCTGCCAGCTTCGAGGAGCCACCAAGGAGTCTGCCCTTGAAGTGAGGCTCATCGATGGTAATTTTACCCAGCCTGTGAGCTGGGACGTTGCCCCAGGGAACGTCGGCAAAGAAGTCTTGGGCATTCGACGGCATCGTAGCGGGCGGCAGCGGGAAACTCGATGCAACAGGGTAGACCGACTGCGCGTAGCTATACGGTTCATAAAAGTGCTTACCGACAGGAACGGGCGCTTTTTCAATGGCGGCGCTTGCGGCCTGATCGAAGCGCGACGTAGCCTTCTCCTTCTTAGGCAGTGCTTCCTTCTTCGGTTCCGGCGTGGAGAACTTGTTCTTCAAATAGCTCACACTCTTGCCAACATCGAAGTAGTAGTGCCACAGCGCCTCCTGTATCTGCGCGTCGCTGATACTGGATCCTGCGGCTCCTAACGCCTCTCGCGCGCTGAGTGTGCTTGTTCGCATCTGCTCCTTATCGTCTGCTGACATGACATCTGCCTCCTCTTCTTCGTAGTAGTCATCGTACAGTTCGTCATCGTCGTAGTCAACGTTCCGCGTGCGCTGCATGGTGCAGTTGTGTGGGGCTCGAAGATATCACTGTAGCACAAGTAGTGGATGAATAAGCACAAACGTGAACCTAGGTATAACTTGTGCAGTGTTGGGAAGTCGGTGTGGAGGGTAAAAGGATTGAATAGGTTGCTCACAAACAAATGTTGGTGGGGGATCGTTGACGTGGTTCAGGGTGCCTGCCCCACTGCCGCGCAATGACATCAACACGCGATGTGTACCTGGAAGCGCGTCGACCGTAATGCATTGCCATCAGCGAGATCAGAAATGCAAGACGAAGACAATGACACCAATAACTTAAATTCGCTACTTTAACGCCGGCTTACTTCCGCGCAAATCATCTCCACGAGTATTTCGCTGACATGGAATTGGGGTATAGTATTAGGGAATGAAAAAAACAAGAAACAATCCTCGGGTCAGCACCCTCCTACAACTCCGTCTCCTCTTGGATTGGAAATGTCGGCAGAGCAAACCTATTTCTCTGCAGGCGCAGTGGCTGTAGGCGCAGGAGCACTGGCTGCAGGAGCAGCATCAGTCGCTGAAGCGGCGGTGGGCGCTGGCTTCTCAGTGCTGAAGTCGGGCTCATCCAAAGGGCCACTGGTGGCCGACATACCAGGAGCAGGCTGTGAAGCAGGAATTGCAGGAAGTTCTGCCGAGGGCGCAGGGGCTGGTTCTTGAGCAGCTGGAACCGGTGCTTCGGTAGCCTTCGCCTCGGTGGCTGCAGGAGCATCGGTCGCGGGTGTCTGCGCGGAAACAGCAGTCGGTGGGGCCGGTGCAACGGCACCAGCAGGCTCAGGGGCTGAAAAGCAAAATGTCGTTAGTCATGGGTATCTTGGAAATCTTTGGGTATCGTCGAAAGGAGAAAAGAAATGGCTGTCTGTTCGACAGCAAGTTCAACGAAAATGCGTCGATGCGAGAGCGCATGTCAGTATGGCGGGAATGGCGAGCGGAACGTGGGACAGGCGGGGGCAGAGGCAGCCTAGACAGGGCCGTCCCAGTTGCTATCCCGGGCGACCTTTTGTCGTCGCCTAGAACCGTCCCAGCAGTCGTCGTCGCCGTAGTAACGGATCTGAGAAGGGTGAAGAGAATTTGACCTACTCTGCGTAGCTTGCTTGATCTGAGCCAAAGCAGCTGCCTCGTCCTTCTTAGGCTCGCTCTGCGCAGAAGCAACAGCGGGCTCAGGAACCGGGGCAGCGGCTGGGGCAGCGGCCGGAGCAGCTGGTGCATCAACAGGAGCAGCAGCTGGCACAGGAGCTGGAGCGCTGCCAGTTGAGGCCGGAGCGTTATCGCTCTCGACGGGCTCAGGAGCAGTAGCGGGAGCTGGTGCTGCGGGCGTCGTCTCGGTGGGCTTAGTGGTGCTGGCGGTGGGCTCTTCGGTGGTGGCAGTCGGGGTAGACTCCTCCTTCTTGGCCTTCTTCTTGCCAAAGAGACCCTTGAAGGTCTTCTTCAGCTGGTCTATCGCATCGGGAGCTGTTGGTGGCATGTTAGAGAAGTACGTACTGTTTGCGATAAATGGTGGGTTTAGTTTTGGTCAAGAACTTAGCTCGTTGGGAAGAACAGCTTAAAACAAAGTATTAAGCTGTCTGTTGACGAACAAAGGCTATCGCGGTGAAAGCGCGTTGTACCATAACAACGCTTTCAAGATGACGAGCAAACAGGCTGGTACTTACGGACTCCAGGCATGTTGGCGGATCGAACTTTTGAGGCGTGCAAATACGTGCGGAGAAAGCAGAAACGCTCAGTGACCGAAGTAAGCAAGTCGTGTCAAGGAGGGAGTGAAGTCGTAAAGACGAGGGATGTTGCAGCTGTGTTCTCGACCTCGTGCTTCGACCAAGAGCCAATCACAATTAAACGCTAAGGCGGACCCACTAAAGTATTACTCGCACGGCCGACGAATTTGACGCGCTCCACCCACGCCCGACCAGGAAAGGTGTCCCGCTGCGGACATTAGCTGCCGCTTGTCGTTCACCGACTCAAAGAGTGGACCGAACAACCCACCTTGGATCTAACATTTGGCCTGTGAAGTTCAACACATTGTGTAGGAACAATGGAGCACTCGGCAGCTCCCGCTGCTCGTAGCTCTCTCTACACTCTGCTTGCCCAGCACAATGCGTTCGTTCATGTTTGCATCGCGGTGGCCGTAATTTGCGTCTGCACCAGGCTCATTTCGGGACATCGTTTCAGCAAGATCAAGAACGGCCGAAGTTCTGGGATTGCGCCCCCAACGCTGCCACATTGGCTTCCTGGGCTTCGTCATGCCCTGAACATGGCCTACAGCGTTAGCAGCTTCTTGGCAAGAGAACTGTAAGATCAATTCCATTCGTTCCATGCCCGATGCTTGAAGTCACTTGTATTGGTATGAGCGGGAAGACTTCAGCTCCCTTATGGGAAACCGAACGATATGTTGTTCCCAGCCAAGAGGGATGGATTCCCCGTGTTCAGGAACTAGAGGTCGTGCGAGCAGGTTGACCGTCTCAGTATCGACACCACAAATAGCTACCATACTGATGTAAGTTGATAGGGAAAAATACGGAGATGGCACACCTTTCTTGATCGATGCAGCAGGGGAGAAGGTACTCGTCGTTCTGAGTCCTAAGCATGTGAAGAGAGCCCTTGGATCACCTGAGCTTGATTCTAATACTGTAATTCACAAGAGAATCATGCCTCACCTGATGGGCAGTCCACAAGCAGCAGTCGATTATTACACATCACCGGATCAAAACATAGACGACCTCACATTTCTGCAAATCAGGACACGGACAACAGGACCGGGTTTGGTAATCATGAACGAAAAATTGCTGGAGATACTCGACCGCGACATTTCAAATATCGCTTCTGGGGGAGATTGGGTAGAAATAGAAGATTTTTACACCTTCTTCAGAGACGAAGCCACGACTGCTATTGGCGAATCGCTTCTCGGCTCTGCCATATTCGAAAGCCACCCTCGGTTAGCTCAGGACCTGTGGACGTTCATCGAAGGTACAGACCTTCTTCTTTTGGGGCTTCCTCGTTGGCTCGTCCCAGCGTCGCATGGCGCACGCGAACGTCTACTCGAGCACTTAAAGACCTGGGGTCGTAAATCAGACGCTCTCCGAGAGAAGAATGAGGTTGACGGTACCAGCTGGCACCCAACGGCCGGCTCCGCGCTGATGCAAGAACGCGAGCAGATGTATGCTCCTCTACCTGGCCATGGCGAAGATGCAAGAGCTTCCCAGTCTCTGGCTCTACTCTACGGTGGCACAAGTCTCGCCATCCCCGTGATGTTCTGGTCTCTATACGAAGTCCTCCGTGACCAGACTCTACACAAGAAAGTCATGGATGAACTCCACCAGTACACTAGCGGCACGTCATCCGCAGCCGATATTACGCAGCTCGCCACCTCGCCTTTCATGCAATCGCTGCACTCCGAAGCCACCCGATTCTACGCCCGCAACGCATCCGTCCGCGAAGTCGTAGCCCCCCTGTTCCATCTCGACGACCGCTTCGTCGTTGAAAAAGGCACCCAAGTCATCATTGTCAACGCGCCAATCGCTCGCTTCACTTCAGAGTGGGCTCAGGCACGGCCTCAGGCAGTCAAAGAACCACTGACCAGCTTCTGGGCCGAGCGATTCCTCATCCCCGAGGGAACAGGTGTGCGGTACAGCGAGACCGGGCTGAGCGGGAACTGGACGTCCTTTGGGGGTGGCGAGCATAGGTGCCCTGGACGCTTCTTTGCGAGGGACATGGCGTTTGTGACGCTAGTCCTCTTCCTCCAGAAGTATGAAGTTGAACTTGTTGATCCCGAGGGTGCAAGACGGTTTGACCCGGTGTGGAACGAGATCGCCTTTGGGACTATGGTGCCAAAGGGTAAGATTGCTGCTCGGTTGCGCCGGCGGAAAGTGTGAAAAAGATGGGTTTCTTAGGTCGTGTTGTGTGCTCTGCATCAAAACGAAAAAATATGAGGAGGACAAATATTTGTTTCCTCCTACAGGTTTATGTTGGTACTATACATAGGCTATACTACGCGTCTGGTTTCCATCATACTTGATTATCTATGTGTCATCGTTGCCGTCCACAGTTCCAGCTCCAATTAGATTAAGAACGAGACTCAAACAGGCTCTTAGGTAGCAGAATCTCCTCGCACCAAACATTTCACCAGAACCTGTTTCCGCCCACCCTAGGCTCGCTATGTACCACTCAAGTATCACACTGCAACTCCAGTAGAGCAATGTATAAACACACATATGAGATTCAATTCTCTTGAATCGCAGCTAATGAACGAAACCTCAAAACCAAACCGGGTATCATTGAATTTACAACACTCAAAAAGCTCTCGGCGGATTCTTCAATATCCGCGGCGTCGGCAACGGCGGCACAAACCCATTCCACTCCCTCCCTATCTCGAACATATTGCTATCCTCCGGCACCGAAATCACCTTCGACCTCTGGAACACGTAGTCCGAAGTCGGCCTGCGATCAGGGCTTTCTCGCCCCGACTCCACGTCGTCCTCGTCATCCCAGTCGGGAGCGGGGAGGCACCCGAGCTCGTCGAGATTCTTGGGAGTGCCGAGCGGATCCAGATCCAGCGACGATGAGCTGCGGATCAGGCGGTTGAAGACGTTGACTGGCGGCTGGAGTGTCGAGAGCGGCGGCGCAATATTTGAGGGCATGCGGGGGAAGGTGTAGGAATCGCTACTGGGCGACGAGCGTACGAGGCCGTGGGTTGCGAGGGGACGGCAGTAGGACGATATCACAGGCTCGAGCGTCGCCTTGGAATCGACGCTGGGATGCGACCTGTGGGACGACAAGGAGCCAAATTTCTGCGAGTCCCAGTGAGATGAGGCTCTATTCTGTGTAGTTTCGATCGAAGCGGAGTCGTTCATCTCTTTAGCGACGAGTGGGTGCAGGCCGGGCAGGCATGCGCTGATGACGGAAAGGGTTTGGGCGGTCTGCATGCAGAGAGTCGTGGCCCAGGTATCCTTGGTCGAGGAAGTAGATGTGGAAGGATTGAAGAAGTAGAGCTGCGCGCCAACTGCTGCGATAACACTAAGTATGTCAGAAATGTACTGAGTGCCGGGGTGAGAGAATGACAAACCTCAATCGAAACCAGAATACAGCAGAGACATATAGACGGTTTCCGACTGGCGTATTCTGTGTCCAGACTGCAAGGGGTACCAATACAAGTAACATTTCAGTTACAATGTTCGTGGAAGCAAGGTAGTTGCCAAACGCAACAATGTCGATGCACTCATTTGTCTGCAAGAGGTCCCACGGTGTCGGTATCTTACACTGGAACACAGTAACGAAGATACCGCTCACGGTCCAGCCTGCAGTAAAGAGCACAAGTACATAGGATGTGTACTCAAAAAGACGTCCGCTAAACAGTCTCCGTAGAACAAGGCCCATGGATATCTTGGCACAGCCCATGTTCGCGACAAAGAGGATGCTTGACACGTAGGCAGCCTATTTCGTCAATATTGAGTCTCAATCTGAATACGTTGCAGCATACCTTCTGGTACACGACCTCATCACTTCTTGACAAGTCCGTTATTTGCTGGCTAGCTACCTTCTTCCACTGCAGTGATACAGCTACTGTCTGCCCGAAACTGAACAGCTAATTTTTGTCAGCAACTTTCTTGGTCACTTCAGCTTGTAGTCTCACAGCTGCTAGTATCAAAAATCCATCATCTAGCTTCAGTATCCTCCGTGTCGTTCTTCTCGAGAGCTTTACTGCAAAACGAGCAATGAGTGTGATGATGACCAATGCGAGAGAAACCCAGGAGACAATGTTAATCGTGGTCTCCCGGCTAACAGTAGAACCTGCAGCTTGCCGCCGAAGAAACCCAGTGGCCGTTGTTGGGGATGGAAATGTGAGTTCCATCGTGGACGAGAAACACGAGAAGTGTGAGGCTGCAAGCCGGACGGAGAACTGACGCGCTGCAGCTGGTGCCTCCGGCTGAAGATGTACACATGTCGGCTTTGTTCGATTCCGATAATTGTAATCATGCCTATGTCTAAATTTGTCGCATGGCCAAGGGCAGCCCCGATGCGCACAAAGGCAGATATGATAGCCTGCTATTTCCGGTCCTCAGCCCCACAAGAGGCACACCAAGCCGACTCATCCGGGCGATACCACAGTGTCACGATTGAGCATAAGTAAATCGTGCCCCAGATGCTCGCAGGTTAAGACGGGTTGAGGTGCTGTCGGTGAGCGAAGGAAGGAGGCGCAGTGTCGGGGAGCGAAGATAGGTCCCGGCGCTAGCCGAATGGAGTAACCTCCTTCATTGCACCATCTCCAGCATTCGTCCATCATTGTCCTTTGCTACCCAGCAAGCATCTTTCGAAACAATACTACTCCCACAGGAGCACGAAAATTTGATGTTAACGTGTTGACGATTCAGAAATGAGCACAAACTCACAGCACTTCCAAGGTTGCGAATCTGGGCGCGTAAATTATTGCACAGCATCAGAAGCGACTTGTGAGTTATTCTGATATCACAGTCTCAAACTCCAGAGATAAAGCCGAAAGTGTCCGGCTGTGTAAGAGCAGCAGCCTTGTAGAACGCCCCGTTCTCCACGGAACCGAGTCACGATTCAATTGAAGGACTTCTCCCCAAAATCAGTCGCCAAATAAAAGTCTTCACCGTCTTGCTAATAATTTCCAGGCCTAGATTTTTGAAATCGAGATGTATAAAACGCACGTGCTTCGATGTAGTACGTACTGCCGAGGCCGATGCCTGTGAAAGGCGGGGCCCCGCAATATCCCTTGTCGAACTATAGCGGCCTTCGACTTAAGGTTTGCAAGGCTACTATACATTACGCTGGATTGGATAGATTTTTCAAAAGTACCAGCTAGCTTCCGTATGTTATATTGAAGATCAGCATGAGTCTCTGCAGGAATGATTGTAGACCGAGAGTGATTGGTAGAACCGCGCAACACCTCCATGTATCTTGCTAATATAGACAACAGTCCCTGACAGATCTTCAACTGAAGAGGCCTCGGCGTTCTCTGTGTCGAAGGCGTGTCATGTGAAATTTGGTGTAGTAATAAATACTGCGTATGTCTTCTCATTTGATTAAATATCAGCTGCAGCCTGGTTCTTGTGGTACCATTGAACCTCAACAAAATTGAGTGAATCTCGAAATGCAATTCAGTATTCTCTTTGCCTCGCTACTGGCGATCAGCTCAGCGCTTCCGGTTGAGCCTCGTCAAGAACAGAGCCTTGCACCTCAACTCCTCACTACCATCAACGATCTCAACACTGCCGTCACCGGTCTAACCACAGCCGTTAACAAATTCGATGGATCACTGTTTGGGCTGCTGCCACAGGCTCTTGCTGTTGTCAAAGCCGAGGCAAAGCTTGATGTCACCATCTTGAAGGCAACCTACATCACAGGGAAGAGTGCCAATTTTACAGCAGAGGAAAGCACAAACATCGTGAATACGTTAGCTGGTGGAATTGGACCCATTCAAACGTCTCTTGATGCACTGAAGGGAAAGGTATGCAGAACTGTGGTGCGTTTGAGACATCCAAGTTGACACCATGCAGTACCCAGCGTTCAAGAAGACGTTTACCGCTCCAATCGTCTTACTGGATCTCAAGATTCTGAAGAAACATACTGACGACTTGATTGCTGCCTTAACACTGAAAGTCACTGCAGAGAATGCAGGACTCTTGGGTCTAGGAAAAGGGATTTTGGACCAATCTTTCGACGACGCCATTGCTGTTTATAGTGCGTGAGGTCTCAGCTCGTGTTACTTCCAAACAAAGTGGAGATGAACTTGCTGTGTATCCCATGCTGGCCAAAGCTTCTTTCTTGTTTCTCAATTACATTCGGAAAGAACAAACAGTCAACTGCACCTCCTGTAACACGATGGAACATCTTGCAATAAGAGAAACCAAACACGAGACCATCTACATCTTATCTCATTTCTATCCCAGCGTCAGTGCATGACGTAGTATCGCTTCAACGTGTCTCACAACTCACATTCACTCAAACATTTTTGCAATGGGCGATCACACCCCACAACAACAGGCTTCCAACAGCTCTTCCACACGCCAACAACCAAACTTTCGTTCCACATACGATTTGGATCCATTCTTCACACACGATACATTCTTTCAGATGCCGCAGCCCAAGTACAATCCGCGACAGATAATATTCGTCAAGAATGTCCCGCAAGAAGCCGCGCCGCGTATCGTCAGCCTCTACGCACAGTACGAGCCGGTTGAGACCAAGAACCTTTACCCAAATTCGCGCATAACCACATTCATGATCGCTCTCCCGAGTCTGGGCGCGACAGAGGCAGCTGTACGTAGCACGGATGGCTTGAAGATCGGGAATATAATCATAAGCGTCGAGCGCTATAATGCAAACCAGTCAACAGTCGCTAGACGCGACGCGCGTAAGAAGCCACCTCACGTAACGAGTGAATCTGGACAACGTGTGAATAGCTATAACAGTAACGGCGATGAGTACGACGAGGACCTTGACGAATACGACTATTGCGACGATGTACCAGAGGCGCCAGCTGAGAACGCGACGCCAGTGAAGGCGCACAGCGAGGCATCACGAAGAATCGGCTTGCCTTCTACACCGGCGCGAAAGGTAGACAAGGATAGTACTTTCAGTTGGGCAAACATCGCTTCCGGCGTGTCGACTTCATCCTCACCAGCGCCATCTAGCAGTGACACCAAACAGCCACCTCCGCCCGCACCCGAGTCTTTCCTGCGCTTCCGGCACTCGGCTGCACCTTCACCAGTGCCACCAAGCAGCAAGGCCAGACAGCCAGCTCCGCCCACGGTTGAGCCGTTTCCACCCCTCCAGCACATAACGCGCGAAGAGTCAAATACTCTGCTCCGTTCCAATGGCACCGCCCAAGACACTCGCCTTCCCCCACCGCTGAAAGGCACGTTCACCAGCGCAATCATAAAACCCGTCCCATTTAATCCCGAGCGTTTCCCATTAACAATACGTACCACCCCACTAACAAGACGCTCACCGGCAGTCACCTCAGTAGTTCCTCGCGTGTCTCTACCGCGCCCAACGTCTCCCCACACACCACCCCCCTCACCACCCCGCCCTGCTCCAGCAGCACCGATACTAGCACCTGCTGCGCCGCAGCAAACACAAAGCAGCGAGGGCTCACAAGTCGAGGAGGATTCTAGTCAGCAGACGCAGGTTCCGAATGCGCACCAACACCACCATGGAGGTCTAGGCATGCTGTCGGATACGGATCGCTATATCCAAGAGCGACACTGCAGGGACTGCTCGCTTTGTCGGGGCCGCATGGGACGGCGGTCATAGGTCATGAACAGGTATGTTGTTGTCTTTTGAGATTTGAGAAGCGCGTCTGAAACGCGGTTGTTCGCAGGAGTGGTGGGATACTGGAGTAATGTCGCATACGAGTCAGTATGTCCAGGAGCGACACTGCAGGGACTGCTTATTTTGTCGGGCCGGCACAGGACGGCGGTGGTGAATCGCAAACAGGTACGTTGTTGTCTTTTGATATTTGAGAAGCGCGTCTGAAACATGGTTGTTCGCAGGAGCGGTGGGATACTCTGGAGTACTGTCAGTTTCGCTGCTCTACATGACTGGATAACTGGCTTCATCAGCTGGGTGCTGCGATTAGATCGTTCTGGGTTAAGGTTGCATTTCTTGCATTCGCATCGGGTGGAAGGGATGACTGTCGGTCTAATGTAATCGGACTGGCAGCTCAGGTCACTTGCTGGTTCTTTCTTGTACTTGGTTCATCGCTATCAGCTACGGAGTCGCCAGCATAGATCTCGCATAGATTTCTTAGCTCGACGTTTAATATCCAATCTTTTTGCTTTTCCAATCCATATCTTATGACCTGAGGCAGTTGTTTGTGTCGATCGAAGTATATCGGCGCGTTGTTAGCATTTGACGTCTTCAATGGTTGCAATGTCCGTGCTGCCGTGCGCAGTCAAGCTCGGTCGAGTGGATGGAAAAAACGGCCTCGTACTGCAACTTTGGTTGGAGCAGTTCAGAACAAAATCGAGTGCACGCTTGCATAGGTTGGACATCTTTCCATAAGCTCATGTCTCCATCTCGAGACTCCGCCGCTAGTTGTACAGATCATGTCGGTGTATGATACAAGGTATAGCACAGAAGCTGAGGAGAGTGCGAACGCCGACCGCTACCAAATCTGGCCCACGGTAAATGCAAACCATCCAAATAACATCCTCTCATCCGGAACCCATGCTGAACGTCTTGAAATTATAAAACCCACTTTTGGGACATTATATTGAGAAGGGAAGTTTACGCGGCCATGGCGAGACCGCCGCTAGGCGATGCGCCGGCGTCTGTGGGTGGTGGCGGGGGCGCCTCGAGCTTGGTGTTGTCGGCCATCATGCGATTGAAGCCAATTGACACACCCTCGATGACGGCCAGCAGGATGGCGCACGATATCGCGCCGTTGCGCATCGACTTGTAGCCTCCTCGTACCGCGAGCGAGCCGCCGGTGAAGAACCCAGCAATGATGGCGTTCCACGGGTCCTCCTTCTTCCGCAGGCCTTTTACGGCACAGTCGTATGTGTTGAACAGGCCTCCCCAGACACCGAAGTTACCGCCGAGTACGGGCGCGCGCGCCTTGATGGCTGTGATGGCGCCGATGCGTCGCTCGCCGTAGGGCGAGTTGCGGAACTGTTGCTACCGTCAGAATGGTGGGGGTGCCGCGGATCCGGCCATACGTACACCCTTCACGCCGTGCCATACTGCACCACCGACAGCCTGGGTTGTGTTAGCTAATGCGAATTGCTGATGCGTGGGTGCACGTACACCCATAGCAAAGGCACCACCGAAGTCATTGAGAATGACCCAGGGACAGGGATCGCGGGAGTGATCCATCGTAGATTATGGTGGGACGGAAGAGACGGTTTGGGCGACGACAGAGGGTGGACGAGATGGGCGAGAGCGTGGCGCTGGGCGGCTGTGAGACGGAGTGACGATGATGCGCTCCAATCTTTTCTCAATGTTGCGCTATTCGGCTAAACCTCGGCTCGGCGCGACTTCCTTCGTCTTCGACGACCATCCACTGCCATCAACAGCGATTTCGTATCATCACCTTTGATTCTTTAAGACTGGTTACTTGTGTTGTTCAGAAGCGTCGCATAATGAAAATGACGGTTCTTGCGGCAGCTTTGGTAAGCAGGGTGTCCGACTCACAACATCACGTGTATATGTATGCCCAAATCCATGTCATGTAGACAGGATTCTATTAACGCGATACGATTTGGAGCTGGTGATTCATCTGGAGTGTGATAGCTCTCTAGGAATGGATTGTCGCATCCACAAGATGACAAGTCAGGTAGGGTTGCTGAAATCCTTCACTTCACCCTCACCACCCCATCATCAGCATGTGCATTTGCACGGCTTGACTTTATGCTGCTCGGATATACGGCTGCTCGTCTGAATGTAAATCACGCGTCTGAGGCTTTTCGTCTCACGTCTCCGCTATACTCTGTCCGCTTCACAAGTCTTCAAGTGTTCATCTGGCTGTCTCTCATCGTTTGTCACATATGTTTATTATCCGCGACCTGGCCCGCTCTCTCAGCCACGGGAGAATCGCAAGAATTCGCTACAAGGAAAGCGGGGCAGCTCACTGCGCTCCCAATACTCTTTCACTTTGACTTCCGCCGGCACGTTAGTGAAGAACTCACCGTTTGCTCTGATTTGGTCATAGCGCGGTTGCCTGGTTCCTATTTGGACCCTTCACCCGCCGACCTGCTTCCCATACCCCCACAAAAACTACCCTACCACATCAACTCGATTTTGATAACTTCACCACGCAGATTGCAACATGGCGGGCGCGTCTCAGCGTCGCAGCCACGGCACTCTTGTCAAGACACTGTCGACGGCTAGTGACGACGGTACACTGGCCGATGCCCCACTTGACGTCACACCTGTTGGTGTTGTCGACCTTGAAGAGCGGGATAACAGTGTCCAACCTGGTAAGCTGTCTTACATCATTCACTGAGCAGCTACTGACACGAACTTATAGCCTCCGCGCAAGAAGGCGGCACTGCTCACGATGAGATTGCTCCCTTAGGTAAAAACGTCGCCGAGGCTCTCCAGATTGTTGGTAAGCTGGAGCAGCTTGGTCTGGACAAACAAGAGATCTCGCTGCCCAAGTGCATTGTGTTAGGTATGTGACTGACCATGCAGTCTAGAAACAAACTAACAAGCTGTAGGACAGCAATCCACGGGCAAGTCTTCTGTGATCGAGGCGATTTCAGGCATTAAGACTCCTCGAGACACCGGCACATGCACCCGCTGCCCGTTATTTATCGAGCTTCAGCCGTCCGCCGATCCGCGAGGCACTTGGCACGCAGAAATCCATCTGATGCGCCAGTATGAGGTCGATCTTGACCCCCGCAGGCCCTATGCAGAGATTGAATTCCAGGGTTGGGTTCCAGCTGCTGTCCAGACTACCACACCATTTGCCCAGACCAACGACCCAGACCAGCTCGAATATCTGATTCGCTGTGCGCAGCGTGCAACATTGAGCCCCCTTGAGAATCCGGCGTCATTCCTCGACCCAACCTTCGATCACCGCGATATCCACAAAACCCTTTTCAGTCCAAACGTGGTCTGCATTTCCATCTCGAAACCCGGTCTGCCGCCACTGAGTTTCTATGACTTGCCCGGAATCATCTCCTTCGCAGATGATGATGAGGCATTCACTGTAACCTTGGTAAAGAGGCTTGTGACCAAGTATATCAGAGATCCGGAGGCGCTGATCCTTCTCACTTCTCCTCTGGAGACAGACGTCGAGAACTCGGTTGCTGCGGGCATTGCATCAAGGGAAAATGTGAAAAACCGCTGTTTGGGTAGGTCGAATGGCTAAATGGTGAAGCCACAGCTAATATCGTTTAGGAGTCCTTACCAAACCGGATCGTCTTCCCGTAGGCGAGTCTCCCACACGTCTGGCGAACATCCTCAAAGGTCAACATTTCGCGATGGGACATGGGTACTTCGTGGTCAAGAACCTGAACTCCGATCAGATACAACAAGGACTCACTCACCTCGATGCGCGCAGACTGGAGCAAGAGTTCTTCGAGTCAGTGGCGCCTTGGTCGACTGACCTACAAGACTACCGGTCACGCTTTGGTACGATCAACTTGCAGCAGTATCTGTCTTTGCAGCTTGGCAACCAGGTCCTATCCGAACTTCCAGTCATTCGTCGCCAGATCGAAGACCACCTGGCCGTGGTTGAGGCGGAGCTGAGCCGCATCCCTGAAATACCCCTGCATACTGCCACCCGTACGGTCGATGATGTGCTGTACGCATTCGCTAGCACTGTGCGGAGTGAAATTGCCGGTGACCACGGCTTCATGACATGGAGCAATACCTGGGAAGAAATCCAGCGGACCATGTGGGACATGTTGTTGCAACTGAAGCCAACCATGGCAACAACTGGAGCACTTGACGAGGGCTTGTACTTGTCCACACTGTCAGGGCGTTCATCTGAAGACTCAATTGTGATCGACTCGGACGACGACGAGGAGTCGTCTGGTGGCCCGGAGACACCAAGCAAAAAGAGGAAGCATATTCCTCAGCCTAAGCGAGAAGGACAGACTCCAGCACCGGCACCATCTCCATTTCGAACACCAAAGAAGCCAATCAGAAAGGGAATGTCCCATCAGCCTCCCGGTACGCCATCTTTGACCCAGCCAGACAATATCGCGGCGCTGAAGAGAACGTACAACCTGGACGAAGTGGCCTTGTACATCAGCCAGAACTCTAAGAGCAGGGTTCCGGGCCAGATCAATCCAAAGGTCCGCGAGGAGATGATGCTGGCTGCGCTAGAACATTGGCCTCGCGTTATTACAAAGTTCTTCGATGACCTCGAGCAGCACTTGAAGCAACGTATGAAGGTTCTCTTCGATTAGCACTTCAGCTCATGGAAGGGCTCAGAATTATACACGGCGTCGTTTACAATTATTGCAGGCCTGCTACACAACCACATATCCCAGCAGCGGACGACGATGGTTAGCGAGAGCTTGGAGGATGAGCTGGAAGGCCCCCATATCTTCCACAAGGACATCTTCAAGACCGACAAGGCGGCCATGATGGAGCGCTATGCTCAGGCACGTGCAAACGCTCGCTTCAAGATGTATGTCAAGGACGCTGCTGCACGTCTTGGCCGAGACATGACCCAAAATGAGAAGGACAAGATCCGCAAAGACGAGAAGCGGATGTCGCGAATCCAGCAGGAGCCCTACCCAGACGAGGTCGAGCTCGTCGCCGACATCACGACATACTATCTGATCGCCGCCCGCCGCTTCCACGACTCCGTCACGATGCGCATCGAATCAAAGTTCTTCAAGCAGCTGCGCGAAAAGCTGCGTGACCAGCTGCAGGACGAGCTCGGCATCCACGACGGGTCTGCGGGTAAGTTCTAGAACGTTATGTCGTTTCACTCGCATTCTAACAACCCTGTAGGACCGTACAACGCCCAGCGTCTGCTGGCAGAGTCGCCCGAGCGCCTGGCTCGACGCAACATCCTCGTCGCGAAGCGCAAGGCGTTGCTCGAGGGCCTGCAGTGCTTCAGCGAGCACTTCCAGCGGTTCCAGGCTAATAACGCGAATGGCTCAGCTCACGGCCTATCAAATGGCCAGCGCCCTGCCGTGCATGATGATGAGATGGAAGACGTGCGCGCGCCGGGCCTTGCGATTCGTGGCGCGAGCCGTCCTGCAGTGTGAGATGAATGTCGGCTCTCTGGAGCTGTACATTTGAAGGTGTTCCCGAGTATGCTCAACTGGCCTTACATCGCTTTTGACGTGGACTACTTGTGTAAACACTTGGGTACGCAGTACTCTTGGCACGTGTTCTTGTTGCACTGCTTGTTTGTTTTGCATACCGCATCCAGAACGAAGGAATGGTAGTGTTTTACAGTATCAGGATAGCAAGTTCGCACTCGCATCTGCTGCTCAACGCTGGGCACGCCGACGTTGTTCCGCTGAGGCACCGTTTGTATCGAACTTACATAGTTCTCTTGAATAGAGCTCGAAATTTCACTTCAGTGTGCATGGGTCTGTGATGCTTTCTCTCGGCCTGTAGGGTTTGAATTGTCTATCGCAGTTACTTGTCTCATCTATATCGAGCTATCTGACTTTGATTCGGTACTGAAGATCCTGCTGCTACTCCCGCCGTCCCACGCGAACGACGTCAGGGAGAAGAGAGCAAGATCCTGAGCACGTCACCATCGAACTAAATCAAAGCAAGGATAGATAGTACAGCAAGCGTTTAAACAACGACTACAATTTAACTGACATCACCATCCCGCGCGCCACAAAACCCGCGAACCGACACCCCCGCGCAGACCCAGACCACGCAACCCCCAGCGCCAGAAAAGCGTTGAGACAACGCAACCTAAAACCCAAAATCCTCAACCACCACCTCCCGCCCCTCCAACCACCCCCCCGCCTCCCTCCTCAACCCCCCCCCAGCGCACAAATACCACCTCCCCGCCTGCACACCTTCCACATCCGCCCCCCGCATGCGGCGGAACCACACCCTAGCCCCCAAGCCCGCGACCTCGGTCCACGCGTCCTCGTCCCCTGGCCCAGGAGTCCCGGAGACGAATATGTCTGTGACGTGCGCGAGACGCGGGTGCCGTGCGAATGTGTCGAGTGCGAAGCCCGCGTCGTCCGCGCGCAGCGCCCAGAAGAGATGGAAGGTCTGCGGTGTCAGTGTGAGAGCGGGTAGGAAGGCGAGGAGCGGGGTGATGCCGACGCCGCCTGCGATGAAGGGCGTGAGGCCTGCTTCTGGGGCGATGTGGAACGAGCCGCCGAAGCCGCGGAGGGCGATGGCGGGGGGCGAGGAGGGGGAGACGGTGGTTAGGTAGCGGGTTATGCGGCCGGAGGTGCGGAGGGTGATGGTGAATGGTGTTTCGTCTTTGTGTAGCCGGGCGTCGGAGACGTCAGAGGCGCAGACGGAGGTGGAAGAGGAGGCGGAGAACGACGGCGCCGCCGACACAGTAAACGTGCGCACAAAGTCATCGTTCAGCGCCCGCGGATCCCCAGGCCGCATGTGCGAGTACCCCTCGTCCAGCTCTGCGGCGAAGCTCAGCGCGGCCCACTGGCCGGGCGCGGGCGGGGCGGCCTGGACCGCGAACTCGTAGCGGGTGATTGTCGGCGCGAGGCGGGTTTTGGATAGCAGCCGGGCGGCGGGCGCAGCGTGGTCGGGCTGCTCGACTACCGACGCGTTGGTGCGCTCCGACGCCAGCGGGCGCGGGCGCGGGTTGTACGGCGAGTAGCCGTCCAGGGCGAGAGCGCCGCGGAACGGCAGGCCGCGGGCGACGAGGCGGGTGTGCTCGAGCTGAATCTTGACGACGAGCGGGGACCCGGGGAGCAGGGCCTGGGCGGCGGGGCCGGCGAGCACGGTGGCGGTGCCGGTTGTGTAGAGCACGGTGCCGGCGGCGTAGTCGGGGATGGTGATGCCGATGCGCGGGTTGAGCAGCAGGTTGCCCAGCGACTGGTACAGGCGGTTGCCCGAGTACTCCGGGTAGACGATGCACGAGGGCGAGACGGTGCGGATGAAGCCCGGCGGGCCGCCGCGGTGGTTGGTGTCCATGTCGGTGTCGGTGGCGGTGGAGAGGAAGAACATGTCTGCTCTGTCGATGAGCGCGCGGCCTTCGGGGGAGAGGCTGGGGCCCTCGTGGACGAGTTCGGGCGTGACGAGCGCGGGCGTGAGCGAGTACTGGTTGAGGTACTTGGGGCAGTTTCCAAGGCTCTCGTCGATCTTGGTGACGAGCTGGATTTCGTTTTGTGTTTTGGGCACGTCATCGAGCAGTGAGGTGTCGCCCTCGACGTTGACATCGACTTCTCGCACAGTCCCAGCGGCCATCTTGCCCGCGATCTTCACACGCTTCCTGGTGACTAGGTCGATTGCCAGCGCCGAGAGCATCTTCCCGCCGTCTGTCGGCTGCAGCAACTGTCCCTTCTCCGCATTGCCGACCAGCGCCTGCACGACGGGATCGAACTTGCTGTCGACCAGCGTCTTGGTGCCTACGAACCCCGCTCCAAGGGGTTCGGAAAAGCCCGGCGTTCCTCCCCACAGCGTCGTCCACGGCCAGTCCTTCGCGTCGAGGGTCCCGATTGCCAGCAGCGGAGCGCGCTGAAGCATATATGAAGCCTGAGGGGTGAGCATGGCGGACGACGGGTTGTCTTCGACGGGCACCTGCATGAGCTTGTGCATCTGCTCCTCGCCCTTGTGGAAGCCCATTGCTATGGAGAACGCCATGCTGACGGTGTCGATGTGTGGTGAAGGTGCAGCTTCCGTCCTCCTTATACAGTCCCCAGCTCTTGCGTTGTTGAGGGCTCTGCAGACGGCGTTGTCAAGTGCTCTGCAGACAGCGCTGTCGATGCACTCCTAAGCGGTAGTATTTATGCAGCCATCACATGTTGGCAACGCAATTCCCACGGCGACTGACGACGCTGCGATGCCGACGAGTTGCCATCGGCATGACTAATTGAGCGCCCTTTGTCCGCGCACCGGTCGAGTGCGTAGGCAACATGCGGGGAGATTAGTCGGGATCTGTCAGCAGTCCAGTGCAGCGGGGAGTGCAGCGGGGCACGGTGCGGGAGAGCCCGACTAGCGCGGAATTTATGCGTTCATGCACGGGTCTGGCAGAGCGGCGATTCGGCGTTTACAGCTCCCAAGACAGGGATGATTGTTAGCTGTGGGGTTCAGCAGTATCACACAGGCCTAATTGTGTTCGCACAACAACCACCGAACTACTCGATGCTTGGCGTCCATTGCGGCTGAACTGTGCGCCGTCAGCGCACCACGTCTGAGACACGCCATCCCTCGCCGACGCCCTTCCTCGCCGACGCCCTTGACCTCTCGACGACGAAGAACCCTCCACGCCCATGATTCCACGCCCATAAACCCACACCCACGATGCCGTTCAAGAACCCCCGCGCAAACCCCTCCCCCTACCCCCCGCTCCCCTTCTACGCCCTACGCAGCACCCAGCTCCTCGCCTCCCTCGTCGTCGCCATCATCGCCGCCTACTTCCTGCACGAACTCGCCGCCTCCAACTACACACTCCCATGGACCTTCATCCTCGTAACCCCCCCTCCCCCCTCTTCGTTGTCGCTCCCCTACTAACACCTCCAGCTCCTCTCCGTCTCACTATTAACGCTCCTCGCGCTCGCCGCCACGCTGGCGCTGCACACCCGCCACACCCTCGCGCCCGCGCTGAATCTGGCCGCCAACGCCGCGCTCAGCGCGCTGTGGTGCGTGGCCACGGCGCTGTTGGGGTGGTGGGGCGCGCCAGCGCTGGGGGCGCGGTGTGGGGAGGGCGCGTGGGGCGGCGCGACGGGCGCGCGGGTGTGCTGGGCGTACAAGGTGTTGTGCGCGTTTGCGGTTGTGGCGGTGGTTGGGGCGCTGGGGGGCGTGTGGTTGGATGTCAGGGCGCTGCGGCGGGGGGCGGGGCGGGGGCGGTTTGGGCGGTTGGCGGGGGTGGAGGGGGAGGGGGAGGGGGAGTTTGGGGGCGTCAGGCCGGGGGCGAGGAGAGGCGAGGGGTATGAGTTGCCTGCGGAGCAGTTTGGGCATGTGGACACGGGGTATGGCGGGCGGGGGAGTGTGGAGCGCTTGTGATGGATTGCAATGCTATGGATTGTACGCCGCCCAATGCTGCTGGCTTGCGCCGGGTATCTCTACTCAAACAGTCATGTGCACGTCTTCCCCCTCGGCGGCGGCCGCGGCCTCGAACGAGACGTCCCGCGCGCGGATCTCCTCGTCGATGAAGACGGCCAGCCCGCCAAACGCGTCCTGCAGCGCGCGGTCGTAGAAGTCGGGCCACTGGAAGCCGCCGACGCGCTGCGCCACCTCGTGCTTGTGCTGCGTCAGCCAGTCCGCGTCGTAGTCGGCCTGCAGCGTGTAGTACTGCGGCGCGATGCTCCAGCCGTCGAACGGGTCGAACGGCGCTTCCGGCGGCGGGATCACGCGCTTTTTCAGCCCGTGGAAGCGGAAGCCCTTGTCCTTGACGTTCGCGTCGGACGCGGTGCCGGCTGCCGACTCGAGGGCCCGGCGCTGGGTGCCGCCTTTCTTCAACACGACGCCGGCCGCGGTCGGTATCGACGGGTCGGGCTCGTAGGTGCGGCGCGTGGCGCCCGTCTCGGCGGCCTGCGCGGCGGCCCAGCGCTGCAGGCGGTGGTTCGTCTCGTCGACGTCGACCTTGAGGATCAGGTTCCACGTGATCTCCTCGACCTGCTCGAGGTAGTCGTTGTAGTCCTTGAGCGTCTCGAAGTCGGGCTCCTCCTTGTTCATGCTGCTCGCGTCAGCGCACGCCTTCACTGCAACAGCCCACGCACATGGACGCCACGCGCCGCCGGATATCCACCTCGCGCTCGACCTTGAGGTCCTCGAACGTCGCCTCGCGGAAGCGGCCCTTGCGCAGCGTGCGCGCGCAGCCGGCGATCGGACACGGCGCGGGCCCGTGGCTGAAGATGCGGTCGACGCACGACTCGCACATCTTGTGGTAGCACTCCGGGTTGACCAGGAACTTCATGTTCGGGTTCAGGTACCGGCTGGACTTGCATACCGGGCACACGTCTGAGGCGGCGTCAGTACGGGCCGCCGGCCGCTGCAGCGACAGGCTGTAGAGCGACTTGGAGAGAGGAGACGCACCGCCGGCTTCGCCCTGGCGCACCGCGCGCGCGCTGGCGGACATGGCTGGCGATGGGGGGCGAGTGCACGGCGCGGACGAAGAGAAGTAGTGGCTGGTATTAGTAAGCCAGTCGTTGATCTAGTAAAATGCAAGAAGAGTCAGTGCAACAAGAGTCAGTCGACACCCAAGCCTACATCTCCAGAGCTGTCAGAGGTGAGCGCGACGTTGCGCGCATGTCATGGATCCCTTGTCAGCTAGCGGATAGCGCGCTTTAAAATCCCACCTCGCAAAATCCTGCCCTTCTCCACCACCACTGCAATGGCCGCGTCTGTGCAGGACACCCTAGAGGGCATCGAGCGCCGCCGCGCCCAGCTCGAGGAGAGCGTGGAGAAGCTGCAGCGCGCCCTCAGCCACTGGACGTCATGGGAGGCCGAGTACACGCTGTTCAAAGAGGAGCTCGCCACGGCCGCCGACCCCTCGCCGGCGCAGATGCGCGCCCTCGCGCAGGACCTCGGCGCGTCGCTGCTGACCGAGAAGGAGGTGGGCGAGCTCCTCGGCAAAGACCGCACTGCTAACCAAGTCGCTGACCTTGTGCAACGGCGCATTGACTACGTGCAGCAGAACAGCGCCACCGTCGAGAAGCAGCTCGACACGGCCGAGAAGCAGCTGGCCGGCGTCAACGTCCTGCTGGACCCTGGCGTCGACAATGAAGACGGCCTGCCGATGATGGATATTGAGGAAGAGCTGGATGACGAGGGGAATGCAATCTCGAGCTCCGTCAACCAGACGGGCAAGAACACGGCTGAGATTGTCGAGGTGCTGCGAAAAGCCGGCCTGCAGAAGGCGGATCTTGAGAAGATGATGCAGGGGGGTGGAGAGAAGCAGACACCAGCTGCAGTAGTCTCGACGCCTGTGGTCGCAGCATCGCCCGCTCCAGCTCAAGCAGCCTCGGCGCCTGCAGTACAGCCTGCTCCAGCTCAAGCAGTCTCGACACCTGCAACATCGCCCGCTTCAGTTCAAGCAGTCTCGACACCTGTGGCTGCAGCACAGCCTGCTCCAGCTGAACCTGTTGCCCCGCCCGAGGTACCGGAGAGCACGGCAAAGTCTGTATCATTTGCGGACGAAGTTGATATCGCGCCGTCACATGCACGAGCTGCACTGGAGAAGCACGGCTATAACGAGGACCTGGACGCCCTGAACTTCACGCACGGTTCCAAGGTGTACGAGCTGGACGACGACGAAAACATCGTCGCATCCTATCCGATCATTCCTCAGGGCGAGTCACCAGAAGACGCCGAGCTACGGCGGCAGATGCTGCAGTACGGCCTGTCGGAGGTCGGGCAGGTTGTCGCGGAACTTGATCTCGACAACCCCACTGCAGATTACTCAGACTTTGACGACGACTACAACGACGATGACTACGACGAGGACGAAGACGAAGACCAGTACGGACGCAGCACCAAGCCTGTTGTTTCTGACGACTACCGGCAGCAGATGCTGGATCTGGAGAAGAAGCTCAACGCCCGTATGCTCGAAAACGTGGGGCCTCAGCTTGAAGACGACACGGCCGAGCAGGTGGAGAGTGTTCGCTTGATGAAAGTGCAGAGGGACGACAAATTCGACGAGACAATCAGCGCAGCGACACCAAAGACAAATCCACAGCCGTCCGGGAAGAAGGGCGTTCGCTTTGCTGACGAACTCGACGTCTCTGAAGCCCCGAAGCCAGTCCAAGCACCAGAGCCCGTTCTACCATCAAAGCCGGTACCGACCATGTCAGACGTCGTCGAGCGACCCGCCCAGCCATTCGTCGCGCCCACAGCTCCCTCCAAGCCGGGCAAGGTATCGCGCTTCAAGAGCGCGCGCTCCAACCAGCCCGCCGACCCCCTCCCAAACCCCCAACCCTACCTCCCCCAGCCCGTCCCTAGCGGCCCAGCCGGCCGCACGCTCGCCAACACCGTCATCGAGCACGTCCCGTCACCCTCGGAGCCCACGGCCCCCGACGAATTCGACCCCGCAGTGCTCAACCGCGAGATCCAAGCCGAGTACCACAAAGCGCGCAACAAGTTCATCCAGCAACAGGGCGGCTTCCAGCCCACGCCCGAAGACGTCGCCAGCCCGATTGTCGAGGAGCGCAACGGCACGACCAAGAAGGTGAGCCGCTTCATGGCGGCCAAGCTAAGGGCCGAGGGTATGTAATAGCTATGCACGGCGAGCGACAATTTTGTGTCTCCGTGCTGTAGTGATGGAGTGATGTCGTGATGTGCATATTTCTCTATCTCTCTATCCATCTCTCATCTCTCTACCTACCCCCCTCTCTACCGATCTACCGATCCACCGATCCACCGATCTACTCATCTCCATGTCGAGGAGACGAGTTTCAGGAACCATTCATGCCTGTGGGGGACACTTTCCCATGTGTCGAATCCCACATTACATGGGTCCGAGAGCAAACACCCAACGAAGCACTATAACACGGTTGTGCCGGTCGTGGCCTTGCGTGGTTGCTACTTCATCGCAGCGTACATTTAGAATTATTCTGCATTCTCAATGATAGATGGTTCTCCCTTGTTCTTTTGTTGTGCCGTTATACACCCGGTTGGATGTGAACGTCTCTGTAGGGCTGGCTGCCGCCCGAAGTCGTACCGAAGCTGCAGCTTTGAGGCGGGAGTAACCGCTTGATGGTACACCACTAACGAGCATGTCCACTGGCGCCAAGCAGTTTAGACGCCGGTGAAGGCGCTTCGATCAGGTGATTAGGTGATATACGGACACGTCGAATTGATAAAACGTGCAAGACGGCACGAATTTGCTGGCGCAATCACACCACCCGGGCATCCATATCCTTAGCCTGGTCGGCTACGCGAACCGCTTCTTTGGCGCGATTGTTCCCGGGGGTGGATATGAGTCCCGTGATACAGATGCTCTCGCACCCACAACACCTGCTGCGAAATCCAGCTGCCGACGTCTTCGCACGCTGCTCCACGGCGCTAAAAGAATCAGCGCCATGGGCGATAGTCGCAGCCATCTTCCACTGGCTCACTAGCACCATCCAAGCCATCCTCCACGGCGCACTCGTGGCCGCCACGATTGTACTAGCAGCGCTGCTGCTCTCCGCCACCGCACGCACACTCCTCAAGCTGCACCGTCTCCACCAGCCCGTCCGGCAGCAACGCGCACTGCGCGCACAGCGCCAGGGGCTCGCAGCCGAAAACAGAGCGCGCTGCGTCGCCGCCGCACGCCGCGAGCAGACCTACCAAGCGGTCCTCGAGCGCGAGCGTGAAATCCAGCGCCAGCAGGCCGCTCAGCAAGCCCGCCACCGCGCCGCCGCTCAAGAACTCCAGCGCCAACGCCAGCACGCAGCGCAGCAGGCCCGCCACCGCGCCGCCGCCGACCACCTCGCGTACATGCAGTGGCGGGCGCGTACCGAAGCGCTGCTCAGCGCCCGCGAGACAATGACGCGCTTCCCCGCGCCGCCGTTCTGGCCGTGCGCACGCGCATGTCGGCCGCTCGGTGCGCTGGGCGCGTGTCCGCACTCGCTTGAGCGCCTGTACCGGGCGGCGGGCGGGAGCTTCGAGGAGCTGCTGAAAGCTGAGAAGCGCAGATGGCATCCGGATCGTTTCGAGAGGTGTCCGGTGGCGGGGCGGGAGGGCATCAAGGAGATGGCGCAGGGCATGTTTGTGCTTGTTCAGGGGCTGTTGGGGGAGTAGGGGGGTGGGGGTGGGGGTTGGTGAATAGTCGTTTTACCGTCCTGCTATGAGGTACAAAAGGATTTGAAAACTGCATCTTTGTCGAATTGGTCTGATGCTCGCTGGTGTGCGTGACTACGTGTTTCTGGGCTCGTTGGCGTGCGGTGGTGTTCAAGACGGGCGTGTTGGGAAGACAGTCTACGTGTGTCCGCCATTGGTGCGGTTGAAGGGTCTAAAACCCCACCGTACACGTCGTAACTCAACACATAGTGAGCCCGACACCAGGTAGTCGAGGTATGCATGTCGTCAAGCCCGCACATGTACGCCCCTGCAATCGATAAGCTAGCGCGCGTGGCGGGGGTGGGGCTTATGACGCCGCCGCGACGCAAATTCTGGCGTCAATGTCCTTCCCCTCCGATTCGACGCGCGCGCCTCACAGCATCGACGCCGCTGCGCGCGACCCGAGGGACCGTGGACCACGTGCTGAAGCGGGAAACATTATAGAATCGTCGGTTCAAGGCTCGGCAGAGTACATGCTACGCGCACAGAAGAGCGCGGTATCGCAAGAGTCGCTGCCGGAGCACGATTTGTCACTGCAAGAATCGTTGCCGGAGCACGTTTCCTCACCACAAGAGTCCAGTGTGGAGCCCACGCACCCCGACGACGTTGACGACCCTGACAACATTGACCACCCTGACGCCTACGACGCGGACGACCTCGACGACCTCGACGCCTACGACCCCCACGCAGACGACCCGGCCTTCGCACTCACCCGCGACCCCCTCGCCTTTGCGTCCGTGGCCGTAGCCCAGTTCCACCTCGTCGGACAGCGACTGGTCGAGAACAAAGTCTTCCGCCTGCTGAAGAGCCCCGCGCCGCTCCGCGTCTGGGCATACTGCAGTCTATTTGCCGAGACGAGGCAGTGGGAGCGCTGGGACCGCAGTGAGCGAGTGCCTGCGCGGGAGCGAAGGAGGATGGCTGCTGCACAGACTGATGGCGCGCAGCCGGCTCGTGGCGACGGCGACAGCGACGCCTACAACGACGTCTACGAGGACAGCGTCGCCGACTCCGACTACGACCCGCCCCAGGCCCGCCCCTACCTCACGCGGCTGCGCCTCGCCCTCGCCCCCTACACCGTTCACTTCCGCAATCCGGGCTATATCCGCGACGAGACCCTGCGCATGCTGGAGCGCGATGTCGTCAAGAAGACGCTCGAGGAGTCGCGCAAGCGCCTGGAGCTGCGCGAGGAGCTCGGCCTGGCCTGGGAGTTCTGGGACGACCTGGCTGCCGTGCTCAAAGCCGCGATACCATCCCTTGAGAAGCGGTGTTTCGCGCAGCCGGACCCTGCTGCGCCTGAATACGAGGGCCTGAGCGGCCCGCTGATTGCGAGTCACTCGCCGTCGCTGCTGCGCGATCTGGAGAGGCTCAACCAGCTCGTGTGCATATCGCGCAACGTGCTGGTGCATGGCGAGCGCGTGCAGAACCTCAGCGCCGAGCGCCTGTTCGACAAGGACATTTTCAACCTGGTGAACGTGTGTGTTAGGGTCACTGCGCGAGGGTATGATGGCGAGGCAGGGACACAAGACGAGGACAAGTGGCAGGGCGTGATTAACGCCTACAAGAAACTGCTCATCACGTGCCTCCAGTTCCTCAACAACCTGATCGCGCGCAACGAGCAGCGGAAGCTGATGCTGTGGATCGAGCTGTTCGACAGCCACCTCGACAACGAGCTGCCCAACTTCGCCGACATGAAGTACAAGATGGACGAGTTCCCGCCGCAGGATCAGGGCGCGGAGGAGGAGGCCCCGCCCGACCTCCAGCCGGCGAGGAGCCTGGACACCTTCAAGATCCCGCAGCAGCCTGCGTCGTCGCCGTTCCTGCTGTACATCGGGGAGACCGGGAATGAGGTCAAGAAGGCTTTGATGCAGCACGGCGACAAGGCTGGCGCGAATGAGATCGCGGCCGAGTGCAGACGCCGGTGGCAGACCATGGGCGAAGAGGAGAAGAATGTCAGTATATCGCAACATCTGCAGACCACGACTAACACCCCCAGAAATGGAACATGCTCTACGCCGACGTCGTCGCAAAGTACCGCGACCAGATCGCCCAGTCCAGCACCTACAAAAAGGTCGTCGACCAGCACGCCAAGAACGAGGAGAGCGTGCAGGCCCTCGCCAAAAGCATCAACCTGCTCCAGGTCGAAGTGGACCGGATGCGCAACTCCATCGCCATGAACCCCGACGGATCCGCCCTCGACGACGCGCCCCGACCAGTATATGAAATGGAGCTAGACCCCACCATCAAGCGGTCGCCCCCGGCAGGTGAGATCGATTTCCGCGTTACCTACCCACCGTCTTTCGGCGCCGAGATCCTGCAGAACGGCAAGGACGATCTCCTCAAGCGTCTGGAGCCTGACCCCGACCGTCCTGGGCTAATCAGCGATGTAGCCTCTCCCACCTCGCCGCCGCCGGAAGACGACGATGATGCCGACGACGACTACGACGACATCCCGGGAGACGAGGGGCGGGGCCTGCTGACTGACGTGCCGCTGATCCTGGGGCCGACGGAGATCGAGGTCCTGCCGATGATCATCATGGGCGGCATTGTTGAGCCGGCCGAGGGGCAGCCAGGGCATCACTCTGATCCCACCGTCTTCAGCAGCGTGCGGAGCATGCACGGCGTGAGGTGCCATCTGCTGCTCGCGCAGGACAACGGGAGGAATCTGCTCAGAGAGCTGTTGATCTTTGTGGCGGCCTGGGACTTGCGGGAGGAGGAGCTCTACTTCAAGTTCATGGTCAAGATTATGGAGGCGATTCTCGCGAACCAGCTGCTGCCGTTCGCGTACCACGCTTTTAGGGAGTCAGAGTAGGTCTCTCTACATCATTCTCGGACCCACTAACATCCGCAGATCCAAGGATATCATATCCCCAGCGCAGGCGGTTATCATGAAGCTGCTCACGAACATCTTCCGAGCAAGACAGGCGCGGTCACAGCCGGCCAAGGGCATGACCAAGACGGCGCCACCGCAGGTCGCCCAGGGCGATGTGCACATGGTCAACTTCCTGCTCACCGAGTTCCGCCGACACATCATCCCGCAGACGTGCGCGCTGATCTTCCTGCAAGGCCAGATCCGCGCCGGCCACGCGCAGCCGGAAGACTTCCCGCTCAACCTCTGGGACATGGAGCGCATGTACGAGGGCGTGTACCAGTACCTGGAGTTCTTCGCGATCCTGACCGAGCACGAGACGTGGAAGCGGATGCTGTCGAACTGGGAGATCGCCAACGAGCTCGTCACGCTGCTGAAAGAGCTCGACGCCGCCATCCCCAAAGGCGTACTCAGCGTGCCCCCGCTGCGACACTCCGCCGCACCGCCCCCCGCCCCCGTCGACGTCGACATCCCCGCGCCCCACCCGCAAACCCCGCCCCCCGTCGCCGTCGAGCGCCCCTACGACCCCGTCCCCGCCCACCCCGAATCCTACATCCCGCCGCCCTCCTCGCCCTCGCCGCGCCCTTACATGGACGAAGCGGCCGACGAGCCGTCGGACTTCGAGTGGCGCAACCTGAAAAAGCTGGCCGTCCTCGTGCTCTCCTCACTAGTGTGGAAAAACACACTCGTGCAGAACCAGATCCGGCCGCTCGGCGGCATCGAAGCCGTCCTCAACTGCTGCTCCTACGACGAGCACAACCCGTACATCCGCGAGCACGCCATCATGTGCTTACGGTTCTTGATGGAGGGGAACCGCGAGAACCAGGAGCGGATTCGCGCGCTCGAGCAGTATAGTCAGGCGCGCGATGGGCCGCGGGGCGCGACGCCCGTCGAGGTGAGTTTGAGGCGTAAGATGGAAGAGGGTGCTGCAGCGGTTAATGTTAGGGTTCCGGATGAGGTGCTCGATCAGCAGGGGTATGAAACGTATATGGATGGTAAGGGGCAGGTTATGCTCAGGAAGAGGCAGGGGGGGGCGCAGGGCGCGGGGCTGGGGCTGCAGCAGCCGCTGCCGGCGTTTTCGGCGGGCGGGGCGGGCGGTGCGAGTGCAGCGAGCGGAGCAACCACAGCGAGCACAGCTATCCCGGCCATCCCAACCGCACCCGTCACCCCAGACCAACCGACCCCAGGCCAACCGGCCGCGAGCCTCCCAACCGCAGCCCCGCACACCCCCAAAGCGCTCGACCAGCTCGTCCAGCAGGTCATGCGCGAGCTGCCCTCGTCGGCGGCGGGACGCGCGGGCGAGGGGCGCGCGAGCGAGGAGCGGGCGGATGGGGAGGCGCTTATGAAGCTTGATCGGGGGTTTGACGGGGGTGGGGGCGGGGGAGAGAAGAGATAAGAGATGCTTGCGCTGCAGTACCGCGCGGGAAGGCTTTAAGGCGCCAAAGGGGCGGGTGGGGTTACGGATGGGGTTATGGATGGGGTTACGGATTGGGATGTCACGGTGGTGTTGTGAAGACGAACGAGGAAAGGCGTGGTATCAGCGCAGCGATGTGTATAGAGAGAGAGAGAGTTAGCGCTGCAGTCGGAATCAGACACGGGCAGCGATGTGAAGAGATATTCGAATATCAATGTTAAGAGAAAGAGGAACCATCGTCATTGACATCAGCATCGACATCGGCAGCGACAGCGGCTGAAATAGTAGAATTACAAGGAGAAGATACAAGCGCCGTCGTCGGTATACATACTAGTATCTCGTCCTCGTCCTCGTTCTCGTCCTCGTCCTCGTCCTTGGTCCGCGCATCCGCACCCGCACTCGCCCGCCGCGATTCCACGATGCTACGAGCGCTTCGATGCTTCGATACTTCGATGCCACGACACGCATACTTCAATCTGCCCACCGCGCTTCGACCCAGCCACCGCCGTCAACCCAGTGCCTATGCCCATGCACATACCCATGCACATGCTCATGCACATACCCATGCACATGCTCATGCACATACACATGCACATGCCCATGCCCATGCAGCGCACAGTACTCGTAACCCCAAACCCCCAAACCGCTAGAGCGGGTCCCACGGCGTCGGAGTCCGTCAGAATCCGTCGGAATGGCTGAACTACAAAGGCGGCAGACTAGACGGGGAGAGCAAGACCAGGCGGGGAGAGTCAGACCAGGCGGGGAGAGCTAGACTAGATGGGGAGACGATACTCAGGCAGACAGGGAGACGAAGCGAAGCGCGCAGGCTGCTTGTTGGTTGTTGGTTGTTCGTTGTTGCTTGCTGCTTGTTGCTTGGCGGTGGAATAGATTGGGGATGGATTGGCGAGGGAGTGGATGACGGCGGGATGGATTGGAATGGATTGGAATGGATTGGATTGGATATCTGCTTTTTCCATCATCTTTATTCTCGGTCTGGGCTGGTGTTTTTTTTTAACCATCAATCTAGGTTCGTTTGGTGCGGTTTCTTGCGGTCTGCTTTCTCTACTCTTCTTGACTCTACTTTCTTTACTCTACCTTCTTTACTCTACTTTCTTTACTCTACTTTCTCTACTCTACTTTCTCTACTCTGCTTCCTCTACTCTTCCTTCTCGCGGTTTGCTTTCTTGCGCTTCGCACCGGTGCTGGTGGTGGTGTACGGTCCCTCGCATCTCCTCTCTCCTAGTATATGGCGTGGCGTGGCGTAGCGTGGCGTGGCCACCGGGTGCAGACGCAGAAGCGGGTGATAGATGACGGGACGGCATTGGAGGAGGATGTCATAGTGGTTAGGGTGGTGAGAGTGGTCAGAGTGGTGAGAGTAGTCAAGGTAGGGTAAGGTATAGTAGACGAGACGAGAGACGACGGCCGCAAACGGGGCGGGGTGCGAAGGTGTGTGCTCTGTGTTCGCGCGTGCGCGGTGGAGAAGGCGACGTCGTCTGCAGAGACGTGGGTTCTGTGTCTATGAGTCTGTGCTTCTGTGATGCTGTGAGTCTGTGGTGCTGGGACCCCATATACCGACGCCACGCAACGTAACGCAACGCAACCACTCCACAGAACACAGTATGCGCGACCGCCCAATTCTATGATCTCGTGATTCCGTGATTTCGTGAGCTCGTGATTCTATAGTTCCATGACCCCGTGACTCCAAGGTCTGCGTAGAGACGCAGTCCGTCTATATACCTCCCCATCCCCCTCCCCCTCCCCTCCCCCCTCTCTTTTTTACATCACCCCCTCATCCCCTAAGCCCCACCCCTACCCCTTCCGCTCCGCCCACGGCGCCCGCGTGCCCGCCCCCGCCCCCGCCCCCGGCTCGGGCTCAGGCTCGAGCTGGGTACTCCCCGCACCCGCTGCACCTGTACTCGCACCCCCCCGTGCCCACGGCGCCACCGTGCCTGCGCCGGGGGGCGGCATGCGTGTTGATGGCGGTGGCGGGGCTCGAGAGGCTGTTGCCCACGGGGCTGCTGTTGTTGGCATCGCGCTCCCTGCTCCCGCCGCCCACGGGGCTGCTGTCATCGGTGCCGCACTCGCTCCCACCCCACCCACCCCCGCCCCCGCCTTGCCCTCCCTCGGCCCCGTCTGCCTCACCGTCAACGGCGCCATCGCCTCCGCCACCGCCTTCGGCTGCGCCGCGGTATGCACGCTCTCCCTGATCCCCACCGCGGCCGGATCGCGCGCCCACTCGAACAGCGAGCCAAACGGGAAGTGCTGCACGACGGGGAACTTGGCCAGCACCTCCGCATTATACATCTTGATCATGCCCTTGTTGATCTTGGCCCACCCGGCCTTGACGCCCGACACGTCGTACAGGATCGGGCTGTGCTCCCAGAACGGGCCCGTTTTGACGTCGTAGATGAAGCCCAGCGCGCTGAAGTACATGTTGCGCGCGCGCTCGCGCTGGGTGGCTGCGCGGCTGACGTCTGCGGGGGGCGGGGCGGAGGCGAGGGATCCCTCGGCGGCGATGTCGGCGGGCGATGTGATGGGTGGGCAGAGTTGCGCGGAGCCGAAGATGTAGGGTGCGAAGGAGTGGTCGTCGAGGCCCCAGACGCCGTGCGAGCCCGCGGGTTCCAGAGTGTAGGTTAGGATCAGGCGGCGGATGAGCGCGAGGTAGGGCTCGACGACGCCGAGGACGAGGGCGCGCTCGGTGGCGCCGTCGGACGATGCAGGGAAGGCCGCGAGCTTCCACAGGCAGCCCAGGAAGGCCAGGAAGCTGAGTTCGTGGCCCGTGCCGTAGTCCAGGCGCTGCGCGCTGCCGAAGCTGCCGGTGAAGTAGGCTTCGAGCTCGCTCTGGGCGGGGGTGCCGGAGGAGGATTTCCACGCCAAGACGGCGGGGGGGAGATGAGCGGCGAGCAGCGCGGGGGTGCGTGCGCGCACGATCTCGTGCCAGGTCCTGAAGCTCACGTTGCCGAAGCGGCGGGGGCCGGGGTCGGGGGGCGCCTCGTCGATGATGGCTGTCAGTGCCTCGAGCAGCTTCACCAGACCCTGCACCACGGGCGGCAGCACCACGTCCGGGTCCTGCAGCGTCCACTCCTTGACTGACGTCCCTTGCTCTTGCTCGACCACGGCTGTTCCTTGCTCTTGCTTCACTCTCCGCGGGATCATGGCCGTGTTGAGCTGGAAGATGAAGGTCATGATGTCGGCGTAGGCGCGTGACGCCAAGAAAAACGTGACATCGTCGCCGTCGTGGATGCACTTCTTCGGGGCCTGGAAGTCATGGCCGACGGCTGGGTCCAGGACCGCGAGGGCGGGCGTTGTTGAGGGTTGTGTCATTGCGGTGGTGTGGTGGTGCAGCTGACGGCGCGCTTCGCGGCTCGCGCTCGGCTGGTCCCGCGTCCAAGTCGCGTGCGGACGCACCTTCACCACATGCAGACACGGGACGTGCCGGCCGAGTCCACGGCGATGCAACAGCCCCGACAGCCTCACTGTGCCAGTATCCAGCATGGCGCACAGCCCTAGAGGTACACTCACACACATTGACTGATTCGTTTGTTTAATGCTTGACCCAGCCGATGTGAACTCGTCGCCCTCGTACCACGACACCCAAGCCGCGTCGCAGCAGCTCCTCGCCGAAGCCAGCAGTCCTCGGCGCTCGCCGGCCGCCGCCATAACTGCCAGTGCCGTGCTCGGCGCAAGCCTGCTCAACCATGCGCGCACGCTCGAGCGGCCGCCAGCCATGGCCCGGCCCGGACAATTGAAGCCCGCGCAGGCGAGGCTGGAAAAGCCGGGGAAGCTCGCGCGCGCCAGTCTGTCGAGCTTTGTCCCCGAGGGTCGCAGGAAGGTCCGCGGCGAAAAGCTGTACGAGATTGAGCCGAGTCCGGAGAAGAAGCGGCCGCAGTCGCTGCCTGCAGGTGCAAGTCTCGAAGAGGATACTGTGCCAGAGACGAGCCAGGCGAATGAGGGGGACGAGCTGCTGGCGATTGGAGACGCAGCGGCTGTTCAGCAGGTCGAGACGGAGGATATGGAGATTGAGAATGCTGCACTATCGCCAGCTGCGCCTCTACAGAAACAGCCAGTCTCCCTCTCAAAGAAATCGCGGGGGCGGCCGCGAAAGAGTGGTGAGAGTGTGGTGTCAGCTGTATCGAGCGAGGTCAACACGGCTATGACAGTTCCTCTGGACGAGCCCTTCCGCAACGGCGACATCCCCTCTTCTCCACCGGTAGTATCCTCGCACGAACCTTCAACAACCAAGAAGCCGCGAGGCCGACCACGCAAGAGCGGCGAATACGCGCCCTCCCCCGTCTCCGACGCCGAAAAACCCACCACGCACGACACCACCGCCGGCAGCAACCCAAAACGCCGTCCCCGCCCCGGACCAGACCAGCTCGAACTCCACCCCGCCCCGCCCGCAAAAAAGCAACGCCGCCTCAACGGCCCCACAATGGTCAGCCCCGAGGAAGGCTGGTTCGAAGAAGACCTCCGCGCCCCGCGACCGCCAGCCCAGATTGTTGCGCGCCCCGGCACGCCCCCGCCCGAAGTCCGCATCCCCATCCGCGCCTCGCGCTCGCGCACCAGCCGCGCCCACGCCGATGCGCAGGCGCAGGAGCAGGAGCACTCGGCCACCGCGCTCATCGCTGCCGAGGGGGGCCGGCGCGCGAAGCGGGCGGCGCGGCTGCGCGCGGCGAGGCGGGGTGGGGATGCGGGGGAAGGGTCGCGGCGCAGGGTGGCTGCGGGGGAGGACGGGGAGGAGGTTGTGAGGGTTGTGCTGCCTAGGGGGCTGCGTGAGCCTGGGCCTGAGGACACGGGGGCTGTGTCTAAGAGCGAGTTGAGGAGGAGGAAGATGGCGGCGAGAGAGGATGTGGATGATATTATCGAGGAGGTTGTGAGGCCTGTGGGGCTGCCTGAGCCGCAGTCTGGGGGTGTGGGGACTGCGTCGAAGCGCGAGAGGCCGAGGCGGCAGCTGGCTGCGAGAGACGATGTTGATGATATTGTTGAGGAGGCTGATCCTGAGTCTGAGGCCACCGACGGCGATCATGCAGACGCGGGCGCCGAGGATCGGCGTAGGCTAGAGCGTATTGAAGAAGGTAGAGAGCGAGATGGCGCTGAGAGGGGCGACGACCCAGACGGAGACCAAGAGGCAGATTCAGCAGAGCAATCTGGAGAACAAAGCGACGAGGGATCGAACGGCGACCCCGGGACTGATCTCGCCGTGCAAACAACAAACAGCCTCATCGACCGCCTGCCTCTGCCCGACGCCCGCCCCGGGAGGTGCTCAACCAGACTAGGCAGAGCCATCCAACGCCTCTGCGACAGCTCCCAGACCATCCTCCACCAACCCACCACAACATGCCCCCTCGCCACCATCACGCAGTGCAGCACCGACCTCCTCGCCGCCCTCCGCAGCATCGACACCCAGATCCGCCCCGAGCGCCGCGTCGTCTTCAAACGCGACGTCTACGCACACCTCTTCCGCTCCCTCACCCTCGTCCTCAAAGCCATGGCGACTGCGCTGCGCGCGCTCACCGGCGACATCGCCCGCTCGCTGCCCGCCATGCAGATAATATGCGACTATACCGCCGCGCTGCTGCGCCTCAAAGACACACTCGACGAGTGGAAAGTCTCCGTCCCCGCCGCCCCGGGCGACCGCCTCATCCGCGGCGTCGAAATCGCGCCCCTGCGGCTCCTCGAGAAGACGCTCCGCGCCCGCCTCGCCGCCCTGCAGCACGACGAGTCCCAGCGCCGCGCCCGCGCCGCGCGGATGCAGGACCAGCAGCGCCGCGACCAGCAGCGCGACGAGCAGCGCAAAGCGGCGCAGGACCGCGCACTCCGCCGCCGCCGCTGGCTCGCCCTCCACGTCGCCCGCATGCTCGCCGAGCCCGATCCCGCGCGCCGGCCCGCGCTGCGCTTCGTCGAGCCCCCCGATGCGGCGGCGGCGGAGACGGATGCGAACGGCGCGGTGTTCGAGCGCGTTGCGCTGCTGCGCGAGCGGTGCGGGCCGCCTCCTGCACCCCCGGGGTTGGTGGGGGGGCGGGAAGCGCGTGTGTGGACCGAGGTGCAGGAGACGGTGTTGTTGGATGCGCTGCTGGGTGGTGTTTGTACGTCCACCCCTGGTTGTTTGCCAAACTGCTTTCCGTACTGTGCTAATCCGTCCCCAGCGCTCGAAGACATCTTCAAAACCCACTGCGGCGCCCGCGGCGCGCTGCGCGCCTTCTCGGTCACTGATTTCGCGGAGAAACTGGCGTGGGTCAGGGCGGGCTGGGGGATGTTGGCGCAGAGGCATGGGTGGGAGGTGCCGGAGTGGGTTCGGGCTATTCCTGTGCTGCCGTGAGGTGTTGTTGTTGGATGGATGGGTAGGGTTTGTTGTTTGGTGGGATGTCGCATATATCTGCGGGGGGTGTTTGGGCGGTGTTTGTGGTATGTGGTCGCATTTTTTTATATATTTCGGCGGGTGGGATGGGTTTGGGAGGACTTGGTGCTAGGGGGGGGGTGGGTGTGACTACGACTGCTCGTGGAGTACAGTTGTAGTCGGGACTTTCGAGTGTGCCGTGCGCTATATATCTGAGTTGACGTGCTGCAGGGCAGAACGTAGAGGCTGATCAATTGCAGGTCTATGTCTATCTAGCATCAATCTGGTTTGCGTGTTTCCATGGCCAGCCACCGGTTATACGGCAGGACTCATATACCCCGTCTCGATACTCCTTCGATCTCATTACTGACCCATATACATTACTTTCCACACCTCATTCTGCGCCCTCGAGCACGAAAGCGCCAGCCGTGTTGGGGCGTCCGACATCGAGAGTCTATATGCTCTTCCAAGTGCTTGACTGAATCGCCGTCGTTGTAGCCATTTATCTTCATACCATATCGGCGTTTTCACTTCAAGGTTTTCGGCTCCGGGCCAGCGGCGCTCGCTTTCACTATGCGGGCTGCGAGCGCGGCGGGTGGTGTGTATCGACAGACTTGCGCTCTCGTTGACACGAACACCTTCGTCCTCACACTCATCTGTTTTCTATATACAACTGTCTTTCGCGATGTCCTGCTCCAACCGCTTTGAAATGCTCAGCAGCCTTGACGACTCGACGCCGCCGGTTTTCCCCACGCCTCCTGCTCCAGAACCTGAGTTTGTGTTCTGGCTACCTCGTACCCGTGAGCAGTCATGGGCGGACGAGAAACAGGACGAGGTCGATGCGGAAGAAGCTGCGTGGCAGGCCATCTTGGCTGAGTCGGGGCTGCCGTTCCGCGTGGAGGTTGACGATAGCGATGGTTCAGAGGAGGAGGTAGAGCTCAGAATCGATGGCTCTGATGCTGGCGACGAGGCAGAGAAGGGGATTCATGATGGCGTTGACGAGGGCCATGTGGTCCATGATGACACGGCGGAGACGGTATCCACTGACGAGTATCCAGCCACCTCGACAGACTCCTGGGATGACTACATCGACAGTATCTCAGGTGGCTTCGACCGTGTCCGAGTGACGCCCGAGACACGATTTCTTAGCGGTGCTTCTGCAGGTCGGCTGTCGTACTCTCAGGTGGCCTCGGCGGTCGACGAGATGCCAGTCATTCCTGCCGTTTCACAAACCTCGCCCAAGACACCGGAGAAGTCAAACAAGAGTTCTGATTCACAGTTCAGAACGGAAAAGAAGGCGTTGAAAGAGGCAGAACCCGCTGCTGCTCATCGCTCATCGGAAGTTTCGACTCAGTCATCATCTGGTGCCGCGGACCATGCAGGTCATGAGCAAGAGCCTCCCACGCCTGCTGCAGTGATATCACCAACAGACGAAGCCCTCGAGTCTGCTGCAACAACGAAGACCAGAATCGACACGCAGTCTGAGGAGCTTTCGCAGGCTGTAGCCGCAGTTAAGGGTGTTCAGACAACACTGTCATCACCTCTAGAGTCTGATGTAGAGTCGACTGCAGCCGGCACCGACTCACCTGGTGTCCTCGCCGATCCTCATACCGAGACCCAGTCTGCCGTCAGCGACCTTGCGAAGGAGACCGTAAAGGTCATGGAGAAGCTGGTGGCGTCCGCGAAAGAGGAACATGCGGGAGTCCAGCTCGCAGACGGTTCTACACTTCACACAGATCTATATGCGTCTACCAAGAACGCCCCAAGTCCTGCACTGGACGGAGAGGCTACGAGACCCACGGCAGTAGCTGGTAATACCATAGCTGCACGCCAATCCAACGACCTGGAGACTGGCGCCCAGGGGCCGAAGCCATCTCCGTCTGCCACTCGTGAGATCATCGCCGACCTCATCGCCGATGATGCGTCTATTACAACTTCCCAGAGCGACCGTGGGGAGTCTTTGGTGCCAGAGCCTCTTCTTGAGCCTGTTCCTGTGCGCGAGAAGAAACACAAGCTATCTGGTGCGCAGCGCCGCAAGGCGGCGAAGGCTGCTGCTGCAGCTGCTTCAAAGACTCCGCGTATGTCTACATGGGTGGGCAGTTTAAGGCGCTTTCGAATTGACAGGTACGATGCTGTTTGGCTCTTCCTGTTTACTGAGTTCACGGTGTTCTTGGTGGATCTATACATTCTGGTTTAAGAGGCTATGAATGCGTCACCTTACCTAGGTAGTGTGCGTGGTGGTAGTCCGAGCTAGGAGGAAACGGCGTTATGCTAGTCAGTCATACTGTCAAGCGAGGATTTGGAAGTTGTTGACAGTATTGAGCCAGAGAGCCGTGCGCGGAGCGGTTGTTGAGCATCGGTCGTATCTACAAAATTCATTTTTCCACAGATGAGCTCTCCATTGCAGTGTATTCTCCAACGACCGAAGGGTTGTGATCGTATCATGGAAACATTTCACTGTAGCTATTCACTTCAGGCAAGATGCGCGGTGCATTTACGTCAGATGCATTCACTTCGGATGAGCTGCGTGTTACCTTCACTCGGTGGGTCTCCGTGCGGTATATACCATTACACACGCCCCGTACCGAGCACCATCAACTACCCCCATACACTCATTTGCCTACAACTATATACTTGCTTCTTCCAACTATACTCCAAATCACTGTTCACAATGTCCTCCAGTAACCGCTTCGAAGTCCTCACCGATTACCCCGACTCACCACCGGCTAGTCCTTCACTTAGCTCTCCGACGCTGGATGTATTTTGTCTATCGCCTCGCATGATCTCGTGGGCCGACGAAAGGCAGAACGAAGTTGATGCCGAGGAGGCTGCGCGTGGTATTCTTGGTGTGGTCGACGATGTTCAGCGTGGATGGCGGTCTGTCCTGACTGAGCCGGTTCGCGAGCGAGCCGCGGCTCCTGACGTTGTTACTTTCAAAAACGAACTGTGTGATGGAGCAGACTCCGGCTCTGTTGTCAGGGGAGAGGAGACTGCCGACGAGTCTATTGACGACGGCTTTGTTGTCGATGGCGATATCTTCGATGAAGATGTCTTCGGTGGCCATATCTTCGGCGGCATTTTCGGCGGCATTTTCGACGACGACGTTGTTGATGGCAGTATCGTTGAGGGCAATGTGCATGTTGGTGTTGGCATTCTCGATGGCGACGATATCCCCGCCGAGACAACACACGCGTCAGCCACCAACTCCAAGCATGTGGTTCCCGTGCCTGACTCCTGGAACGAGTATATGGACAGTATTTCAGGGGGATTCAAGCCTCTTCACCTGGTGGCTGAGACGCAGGCTCCTAAGAACACATTGACGGATGGGCTGTCGTATGCCAAAGCAGCTTCGGCTGGACTCAACACCAACACCAACGGATTCCTTGTTTTGCAAGAGACCAATGGTGTGGCAGCTCCGCAATTCGAAGACTCGCCTTCTTCCGATACCTCTTTTGAACGACTGACGAAGCCGAAGAAGAAGTCTGGCGCCCAGCGTCGGAAAGAGAAGAAGATGGAGGATGCGACATCCTTTGAGCCTGCCATTGCGCCGGACGACAGAGCTGAGACGCAAAACAAGGAGATTCTGGAGACCATCACCGTGCTAGAAGATGTTGAGTCAACACCGCTGTTACCTCCTTTGAAGTCTGATGTCGAACCTACTACCACTGGTAGAGTCGAGTTCTTGAAGATAACCACTTCAGCGAAGTGTGGTAATGATCAGTCCTCTGTCACCGAAATCTCCAACAAGACGGCGAACGACCTGGTGGTATCCATTAACGAGGAAGAGGAGGTCGTACAGACCACAGAGTATCAGGACTCGAAACAGTGCGCTGATAGCGTTTCCGAGACTAACTCTGAGGTAGCCATCGACATTGCCAATGTCGTCGACAAGATCTTCGAAGAAGTCGTCGACAAGTTTGCCAAAGAAGTCGTCCGCGAGCAAGCAGAGATTGGTGAAGAGAAGATTATCGCCGAGCCTGTCACGGTGTGTATCAAGAAGCACAAGCTTTCTGGAGCCCAGCGCCGTAAGGCGGCGAAGGCTTCTCATGCTTCCAAGGCTTCAGGTGACATCCCTGTCTGAATTCAAGCCGTTACGCCTGTTTATATCGGCGTTGTCAATGCTCTTTGGGTCATTCCGCCTGTCATGTTCTTGGTGTTTGCGATGGGCTTGTACTTTCTGGTTTGAGAAGTTTTGGGATATATGATCTTAGTATTCATGCTGGTGGGCCGAACTTAGATGTAGGAGCGCTTCGGGTTGTTAGGCATTCTACCTACATAGCGCAGTTTCTCACACACGAACCATTCGATGCAGTGTTCTCCTCAATGCCCATAGGTTTACAATCGCGATCGTGTTATGACACTTTTCACTACAATGGTTTATTTCGGGCAGTTTGCGCGGTGGTTCCGCGTCAGATGCTTTCACTCCAGGTGCTTTCACTTCGGATAGGCGATGCGAGACTTTCACTAAGAGCGCTGCGAGCCGGTTTCCGTGCGGTATATCTACGAACGTTTACGCGCCCTTCCCAACACACTCAACTACCTCACTACATTCATTTGCTTTCAACTATATAACAAACACTTACTTGTTTTACTATATACCAATCTCTCGCGATGACTTCCTCGAATCGCTTCGCGGCACTCAGTGACTGCTGCGACGTGCCAGATGCCAGCTCGTCGGTCTCTACACCTATTGCTTCGCAGACGTATGGTACGCCGCTGTCGCTGCTCTCACCATTTTCGCCTCGTACGCTATCGTGGGCAGACGAAAAGCAGGAGGAGATTGATGCCGAAGAAGCGGCACGTGCGAGTGTCAATGATGGGAATGAGATTGAGCAGCAGACCGTTGCTAAGCCTGAGCATCCATCTCGTTTGAACGTTGAGGATGTTGATCATATCCCAGAAGGAGCAGAAGTCGACACTGCCAGTTGTTGTTCTGTTGCGTACACAGAGGAGGTTATCGAAGAATTTATTGTTGATGGCGATGCAGACACAGCTGATGATGATGGCGAGGAAGAAGAAGTTTTCGACACAAGTTGTTGTTCGATTGTCGATACGGACGAGATCGACGATAAATCTAATGTCAGTGGTGGCACAGACACAGCTGATGATGTTGTGCTTGACCCTGCTGTTTGTCATTCCGATGATCAGGCAGAAAAAGCTACCGAAGTGTTTGGTTTTGATGACAACAAAAACACAGCAGTCGACGACATTAAGTATGCAGTCCCCTCTTCCTCGGACTCTTGGGACGACTACATCGATAGCATTTCAGGTGGCTTCGAGTCTCTTCGCTCAGCCGCTACGACGCTGGACCCGAGCAACACGCTATCCTATGCCAAGGTGGTCTCGTCAGTTCATGTTCAGCCCAAGACCAACGATGTCGCTAAGTCTGAACATCCAACATCACCGGAGATTGTTGGTGTGAAGGAAGCGATGACACTCACTACTCCCCCACAAGTCCAGAGCTCTGATGATTCACAAGCTTCACCTGAAACGTCAGTGAAGTTGAAGAAAAACGCGGGAGCGCAGCAACGGAAGGAGATTAACGCGCAGAAGACCGCTGCTGAGCGTTCGGTGGACACCACAACTGAGCCATCATCTGCTGATACTGTGGACTTCAGTCAAGCTCCGCCTGTTTTCGACACGATCTTACAGTCAACAGCGATGGTCTCTGAGCCTGATGTCAAATCGGATGACGCAACCGAGATGCAGACTGAGAAGCTCTTGGAGGCCGATGGCGTAACAAAGAGTTTTGAACCAACACAGCCGTCTACTCCTGGGTTTGTTGTAGCATCCATTACTACTGAGGCCGATCTCTTCAATACCCCTGCCAACTTTGCCATCGGGACGAAGACTCAAGTAACGTCCGATAACGCTTACTCGAACAAGACTGCCGAGAGCCTGCCAACATCCACGGCGCAGTACGACTCCCAGAGCACATTTGTGTCCGTTGAGGATATTCATATCGCTGCAACAGACGAGGAGGTTGTAGCATCTCCATCTGTTGTTGACGATCTCCCGGCTTACACTCAGTCTGCCAACACGACTGCCGCCTTGGAGTTGCAGCAATCTCCTCCCACCATTCGTGAGATCACGGTCACCGCCAATGTCATTGACGTCTCCACTACAGCCTCTTCAGATGAAGACGAGGTGCACTCCGACTCTCTTGAGCCTATTATGGTTCGTAGAAAGACCCATAACAAGGCAGAGCGCCAGGTGGCGAGGCAGCGCGCGACCGGTTCGGATTACAGCCTCACCACCCCCATGCGTGAGAAGAAGTTCAAACTCTCCGGAGCACAGCGCCGAAAGGCAGTAAAGGCTGCTGCTGCTTACAGGACTCCACGCGCCATCTTCACCCTCGCTATTTCTTCCAGGTTAGTTGGTGTTGCGGGCGTGCATATCAGCGGCCATAACGTTCCGTGGTTCACTTCGCTTGCGGTGTTTCTGGTGATGGCGGCAGCTATCGCAGGAAGTCTGTACTGTCTCATCTGAGGAGACTCTGGGCGCATGTTTTCGGTTTCTGTGTTAGCTTTCATTACCCCGCCTACACTGCGCGCATCTTTACGTGTTAGCCACCCAGTACGCTGTGCTATCCAATGTCCGAAAGTTTACTAGTGTTTCGTAAAAATTCAATCATTGATATCAATACAACTCTAATGTCCACGTCAGTTCTATCCACACCATGGATAATCGCGCACAGTCAACTCACCCTCACAGACCGTACAGTCTCCTGCTAGGTAATTCCACGTACATTTCAATCCTGCATCCCTCATCGCCACCACCCCTTCCTCTCCTGCCTCAATCCCTCCAGCTGCTCCCGGATTCTCCTCAACTCGAGTCCATGCTGCTTGTGCGTCTCATCCAGCAGTCTTGCATGCTCTTTTCGCAGCTCCTTGAATTCCTCGTCGAGCTGCTCGTGCCATGGGTAGAGCACGAAGACCTGGAACGATAGCGCTGATGATCCAATCACGAAGTTCGTCAGCGAGAAGCCACGGCTGAACCACATTCTGGCGGGGGGTAAGGTGTTGGTGGCGTTGCGAGGCGCGGTAGTGCTTGGATGAATCCGGCTTGGCGACTAAGAAGGTGCGTGGTTGATGTACTTGAGACGTATAGTAGTCGCTTTTGCTTGCGTTCAGGACTATGTATATGTGTCTTGCTGCGAGTGATAAAAGGAGGGAATTTGCACGCGAATAGACCACTATAAGACCCTTTAAACGCAGTTTCGGCCGGATGTACAGGGAAGGGCGAACAGCAAAATCGCTCAGTCGAAGGGAGTGGAAGTACCTAAGTAGCCGGCACGCGACCAGCGCGACGCCCCAGCCTATGTACTACGGAGTCACATGCCTCTACACAGCCTCTGCTGCTGTCCTTCCGACTAGTTCTGACAACACTCTAAGAACCCAAGACTAAAGTGGCATGATTCTATTGCCGCATTGGGCCGATTTGGCGGTTCTACCGAGGAACATCAGACCACTTGCGCAGCGACCGAGAAAAGCGGCCCACAAGTCGAAACGAGCGGCAATAACAACATTGCACGGCGTGTTGGTGTGTAGCGATCGCGGACAAGGCGAATATCGTAGTGATGTTGCGCAGCGCGAGTGAACACGATCGCGATGCCAGGCTGGACCCAACACAAGAACACGACCACTTAGAAGCCTCGATTTGAGGCTAAGCTACGCCATGCGGTTCTACAGATAAATCACTCTTTGCTGATCTTGATCACAATCTTCCCGACCTCGCTCTGGTTCTGCAGCGCCTCAAATGCCGCAATCGCATCGCCAAACTCGAACGTCTTCGCAATGACCGGCTTGATGCCGTGCTGCTCAGCGAACCTGGCAAACTCGGCCGTTGCATCCCGACTGAACGCACAACAGCCCTTCACTAGCTGAGTGTTAGCACTGACAAGCTGGAGATGGGATTGCACTCACCCGTCTTGCCGCCAAACAGCAGACTTGGGACAACCTCAGCTGGGAGGTCTTGAGGCGCGCTCAGAATGCCAATCAGGCTGACCAAACCGCCTGCGCGCACGCTGTTGATGGACTTTAGTAGTGTTTGAGCACCTCCTAGTTCGATGACGTGGTCGACGCCCTTGCCCTCTGTCAGCCGTAGCACCTCTTCGTGCCAGTCCGGGGTGGTAGCATAGTTGATGCCGTGCGTCGCGCCGAGGCCTTTCGCAAATGTAAGTTTGGCGTCGGAGGAAGACGTCACAATGACAGTCGCGCCGAGCGCTGCTGCGATCTGAGTGTTCAGGTCAGCCATGTTACGATATCAACTCGTGTAGACGAACTTGGATCGCGAAACAGCTCACGCCTCCGGTTCCTTGCGTCAGGACGGTCTTCCCATCCAGTCTCTTTCCGCCGTGCCAATCTCGCAGCTCTCCACTCAGGGAGGCATCGAGACCCTCTCTAATCGCGCTCCAAGCCGTGACTCCAGCGGTAGGTAAACTTGCGTTTTCCGTGCCGGTGAAGTGCTTCGGTGCCTCGACGACGAGCTCATCGGACACAACGGCCCATTGTTGCAGTACTCCTAGTCGAATCAGCGATGTTTCAGCATCAGCAAGACATTATCAAAGCACACACCGTTCGCGCCCGAAGCACCAAACACTTTCGAAACTTCCAGATTCCGCACATCTCCAGACAGCCACTCATTGGGATGCAAAAGCACACTCTTTCCCTCATGGCCAGCCCACTTAGAGTCAGATCCTGCAGTGTGGATCACACCTGCCCCATCAGAGCATGGGACGAGGTCAGGCTTGTGGTTTCCAGGAAGCCCGTCAATACCTGGGTAATCAGGCGAACGTGTTGCTACGAGAAGGTCGCGGTAGTTGAGCGAGACGGCGGTTAGCCGGACGAGGACTTGGTGCGGTCCTGCAGTTGGCACGGAGAGGGAGCGCTGTGTGAGATGGGTAGGTGAGGATGCGGAGCTGGGAATGGTCCACGCCAGATTGGTAGTAGAGTCCGTCATGACTGTTGAGGTTGGTCTACAAGGCGGTTTGGATCATTTACATCGGCCTGTGTTATCGAGCCGCACGGTGCGACTTTTGAACTATGAAGCTCAGTTCAGGCGCCCTATCATTGGATCTGGTCTTGTAACTTGTCGTTGGTTAGGCATGTCGTGCTCGAGTTTGGATTTCTAAGCTCGCTGATTCCTAAGCTGTGTGCGCGGCGTTAGGTCCTACCATGGCTTTGCTATTGCTACAGACATGGCCACATAATTTCGAGTACATTTTGTCAGTAATACTCAGGCGGTAAACATGGTTGAGCAGTGTTTAATGTGTTAGCCGCCCAGCATGTGAAGCGGCGATATCCAACACGTCTGCTGATCACTTTCATCGTGGGGATGAGGCAGTCCATCACAGTGACAATCCGTACAACAAGTACAGATGGTTTCGGACGTAAGACGTAGGTAGTCTGGTAAAGCCGGGGGGGATTTGTGGCCAAGGTCCATGCTGGTGAGTTCAAGCGCTGCAGCCTGATGGCGATGCCCCACTTGTGATTGGCGCTAACTACTTTCGCTTTAGGTATCACTGCGTCGTTGGCTACCCACTCATCCCCTCCACGCGTCGGCAACTGCATTTCACTATCTTCATCATTTTCCTTGCTATTCGATCGAAAGGAAGAACAGGTGGGACTCAAACAAGCTACTTGTCAACCCAGCGCGGGTCATCTTCATCTCTCACGATCGCAGGCGCACAGCGCTTGGCTTGAGATTCCGAGGACTCTTATCCTCGAATGATTCAACTGTCATTGAAAGGTTGGACGTACAGCCTCCATCATGGTCAAATTTTTGGAGCCGAGATTTCGGAGATGCCCACCCTTGCACAAGCACTGCATCTCAAACGAACCTCTAGAGACGAGGCTGGTGGCCTTACACGAAGCGATAGCAGCAGGGGAGGATCCGAATGAACTTGGCGGCTGGAAAGATCCCGGCATCGCTCGTCCTCTACATTATGCTATAGATGATTCGGTACAGCATGATCTTAGACAGCTCAAACAGAATCTGCCCGTCGTGCAATTGCTACTGCAAGCAGGTGCGGATCCAAGGCTACCTTGCATAACGCTACCTCGCAGGTCTCCAATCGAGGAACTTGAAGTTTGGATAGGAGTATACAAGAAATCTGGTCATTCCACATGGGAGAAAGAGTTTGTTGAGCTGTATCCGTTTTACGAGGATGCATTACTTGCTATGAAGAAGGTGGCAGCTGAGCTCGATGGTAAGCTTGTCTGTCCGCTTTCATGCTACAATACTATGCTAATTCTACATTCGCAAAAGCAAAGGACGCTGCATTGGAACGGCAGATTCGTAACGGGGGCAGGTCCTGGCTTAGTTGGCTTGATAAGGCAAGATTTTGGTGAATGCCGACTTCCATATGAAGGCGATTTGCCCACGTCTATATGCGTTATGCAATGCATCAACGAAGACCAGCGACGGTTTCTCCTTACTGCTCCATGGCGGGGAGCGGGAATTCTTCAAGTTCTTTCAGGAAGAGTAACCTGCCCAAGTGAGGGGTCATCCCATCTGAGATCGACATATACTCGCTTGTCAGCTGAGTAAACTCCTGGGAAACATTACAAACCCCACAGGCCCACTCTTGAGCTCCACCTCCAACGTTATACGCGCGATGACAATCTCGATTAATTCGCGATTGCTAGACGGGCATCTTCCATCCATCAGCCAAATCATGTCGTTTTTCTATGGCTTTGTCTTGAGCTTGCTGATCGCCTACTTCGTTCATATGTGGCATGAATGGCGCCGCCTCTCACATGTTCCTGGACCTGCTTGGGCAGCTTTCACAAGGTTGTGGATGGTTCGCCAAACTTTAAAGCAGCGACAGCCCTATGCGTTTAAGAAGGTGAATGAGATATATGGTAATGAGACTCAGACTTCCTTTTGAAAATGTGATCAACTTTAGCAGGCTCACTCGTCCGCGTCGGACCCAACGAGGTTGTCACCAATGACCCAGAAGTTATGCGTAGGATGATGGGCGTGCGGTCAAACTATACACGTGGTAACTGTGAGTTCAGAGAAGATCTCAGTTGAGCTTTTATTGATGCCCAGATAGTCTACAAGGCCGCGAAATTCGACCCTGCGCGCGATAATCTGCTATCTATGCGCGACGAACTCGCTCACTCACAATTACGCGCAAAGATGGCCGCAGGTGTACGACTTGATTAGTTTTTCGTAGATGCGTTTTGCTGACATTTTGGCAGTACTCCGGAAAAGAGAACGAATCGATGGAGAGCACCATTGCTATACATATAGCGAATTTCATTCATCTGATCGAAACAAAGTATCTATCAACGACTCAAATCTACAGGCCTGTGGACTTTGGTGAAAAGGCGTCATTTTTCACCCTGGATGTGATTAGCGACCTAGCTTTTGGCCAGGCTTTTGGATATCTCGACACGGACGAAGACAAGTACGACTACTTAGAGATAACGAAGGCATCGATCCCATTCATGATGACAGTAGCCGATATACCCGCTCTGGCGGATGTACTGCAGTCACGGGTTCTGAGAAAACTTTTCCCTTCCGAAACTGACAAACTCGGCTTCGGCGCTTTCATTGGGTGTGTGCCACGAATTCTGTTCTTGAAATTCACATCACTGATAAGATCAGGGTTGCCAAGGACATCGTGGCGGAGCGCTTTCAACCAGACGCAGAAACTCGCTTTGACATGCTTGGATCATTCATTCGTCATGGTTTGACCCAAGATGAAGCCGCAGGAGAGGCACTCCTCCAGATAATCGCCGGAAGTGACACTTCAGCCAATACCGTTCGAGCATTCATGCTGCACGTACTTACTAACCCTACCTCATACATGAAGCTCCAGTCTGAGATCGACGAAGGAATTCGTACAGGAGGGATATCGTCTCCGGTTACTGACGCTGAGGCGCGCAGTATGCCCTATCTGCAAGCAGCGATCAAAGAGGCGCTTCGAATGATGCCACCCGCAACAGGGGCTATGTTCAAGCAAGTGCCGCCAGGTGGAGACGTTATTGATGGCAAGTATCTTCCCGAAGGCACACAAATTGCAGGGTCAATCCTCGCTATCCAGCACTCCAAGCGAATTTACGGCCCAGATGCAGATATCTTTCGACCAGAGCGTTGGATCGAGGCGAGCACCGAGAAAGCTGCTGAGATGAGTCACACGGTCGATTTGTGCTTTCATTACGGGAAATATCAATGTCTCGGCAGAGCAGTTGCATATATGGAATTCAACAAGCTGTTTGTAGAGGTGAGAAGCGACTCTCCATTTGCCTACTCTAGCTTACTCAGGGGTAGCTCTTTCGGAGGTTTGATTTTAGCATCTGCCAGGCAGACAGGCCGACGAAGTTATCAGTCGCTGTGAGTAGTCGCTAAAAGATCCAACCTGACCTTTACACGCGGAAACTTACCAAAATAGGGACTTTGGATAATGGAAGACTTTTGGATACGTACCCAGCATCGCGAAAGCGCTAAGTAGCGTTGGTGTGAAGGACTAAACTTCATGTTGAAGGTGATTTCAATTTTTGAAGATGTCACGCGTCTTTTTGTTGCTACACAAGAAGTGGCACTGAGCAGTGACTGGCTAGTTATCTCCCTCAAAAATGGTCCTTTTCTTTCGCTGACAAAGAGTCGGTGAGTGAACGACTCATACGCCTTGCAAGTCGAAATGAAGTCTAGGGAAGATTTCATTCACATCCGCATATACCTCGGTATGATACAGGCTCGTTGCTTCGTGCAACTAAATCCCATGCATACCATGACGCGTTTTTTAACGTCACAATAGCACGGCATGATCTCTTACCTATGGAGATGGCGCTCAAGTTGAGTGCTCCAAAACCCAGTACCAGCTTGCCGGGATTTCAACCAAAATCCTTTCGGATCACAAGTCCAACGATATTGACGCAGCCGCCCGCACATAATCCTTCGCTGCGATGGCTAATAGCCATTGTCACTCTAGTGGCAGGCGTGTGCTATGCGCGCGCAGCCTATAACATGAATGAGTTCTTCAACTCTTCAAGCGTAGTATGCTGAAGCTAAAGCGACGTTATTTAGCCTTGTCAAAGTGCTTACCGACTTAGCATATACGACTGATTTCCAGACGTTTGCAGTTGGCTTTCTACAAGCACGTAGAGTGGGGTATCTATTAATCTTTTGAGCTCAAACGGGCGTAGCCTAGGCGGCTTTCTATCCGACGAACCGATTCAACTGCAGCATCTTCAGGCAGTAGGATCGACTTGCGTACTTGTTTACACTGCTAGTAAGGCAGACAACGCAGATCTGCGGGGTCGTTCCAAGTTCCACGAATTAGACTGGGGCGTTCGAACATGAAAGTTCACAGATACGACACGGCGATCCATCACCGGTCCAAGAAGAGACTCGTCTCCTGATATTTCATCTTCGAAGACAGCAGACCGCTGAACGCTGCAGGGTACATCAAAACGTTGGAACGTCATTCTGTTTTGACGACAATTTAAATCTTGCACGTCGCCTCGTGCGCTGAGGTTCCCATCGGTTCAAACGCAGCGCCTGCGATTTGTAGACTCGGGAAACGCGCCATGTTTAAAATCCGATTCGTAACGTTTAATTTGTTGGTCGTTGGTACAGTGGCATTGAAGAATGGCGTGGGAAAGTTACCCAAGATGGGCTACAACAGTACGGAGCAAGATTCTATTGTGGTTGGAATCAGGTGCTAAATTTGATTTAGCCTTCAATGCCTTTGGATGCGACTATAACGAAGAAAAGCTCTTTGCTATGGCCCAAGCAATGGTAGATGAAGGTCTAGTTGAAGCCGGTTACAACTCCATCATCTTCGATGACTGCTTTACTAAGAAGGAGCGAGGCGATGACGGTCTGTTGCTTGAAGGTATGCAGTCTAAGCTATTATCTCTAGTCTTCCGCTGACTGATTTATAGATCCCGAGAGATTCCCATCAGGTATGAAGAGCTTGACAGACAAACTCAAAAGCATCGGTATATCTGCCTCAGCGTACTCGGACGCTGGCTACAAAACATGCGCTGGTTATCCTGGATCCTACGGACACGAAGAGCAAGACCTCCAAACGTTCAGTGACTGGGGCTTCGACTATCTCAAGTACGACAATTGCTACATACCATTCGACAACATTACGAATGAGAATGTTCTCGGTCGCTATCAACGAATGGCGGATGCTATCGCTGCCAGGGCGGAGGAGAAAGATGAACCGCCATTCTGGTTCTCGATTTGTGAGTGGGGATGGCAACAACCCTGGATCTGGGGAAAACGACTTGGTCACAGCTGGCGCATCAATGGTGACATCAAACCATGGTGGAACTCGCTTGCCGCGATCATCGACAATGCGAGTTTCCAGTACTGGGCAACTGACTTTTACGGCCATAACGACATGGATATGCTTGAAGTCGGAAACACAGGCCAGGGAGACCCCATCGGTAATTTGACTTACGATGAGGCAAAAAGCCACTTCACAGCATGGGCCCTTCTAAAGAGTCCATTGTTCATTTCCACCAATCTGCCCAATGCCACCGAAGAGGCTCGGAATATCTTGAAGAACAAAGACATCATCAAGATAAATCAAGATCCTAACGTCGGGGAGTCTATTGCACCTTTCAGATGGGGTAATAATCAGCCTGACTATGTTTCCAATGCTTCTTACCCCGCACAGTACTGGTCAGGCAACAGCAGCTACGGCGTCGTTTTCATGCTCCTGAATACCCTCGACATAACGCAGGACCTTTCCTTCAACCTCACCGAAAGCTGGGCTATTCGTGCAGGTCGCCTCTACGATGTGTACGACATGTGGACGCATACGCAGAACGGGACTGCGTTGCGAAATCTCACTGTTACCCTGCCGCCACATGGTGTTGCAGCACTACTGTTGAACGATGCAGGTCCAGAGCCGGAGCCCACTGCCTTGGGTCTACCGTATTGCGGAATCTACTGGCAGTGCACATGGCCGAATGGAACCTACTATAGCAATTGACTCCCGGATGAAGGCGATGCCCTGGACATTGCTGGAGAGGGGTTGTTCGACGGGTTCGAATTTGTTCAAAACAGGACTCAACCTCATCATGAAAACGAAGTGATCGAGTAGCGGAGTGGCTTTGCTACAGGATCCTCCTCCTGTTGATCTGGCACATCGAGCTTTCAGCTTATCAAAACCCCGAGGTCTCCAATCATCTACAAGAGTCAACAGAAAAATTCGCAGTCGCCGTTAATTGACGGAGGTCTCTTTTGTAAGCCTGCGAACCATGTCATTGGATATCTGGAAGCGGAAGCCTCGTTGAGAGCTGTTCACGAATCGCATTCCGACAATGCAGCGATACAAATTCGATCTCTCCAAATGAAATAAAATTACTCGGTAGAGGGTCTTACGGACGACGTTTCTCTACGTTCTACATTTGGAATAACTCTTCTCAGCCAAGCTTGTTTTGTAGTAAACGCTACTGCTACCAGGGGTATGTCAGGGTTCTTGACAGCATCAAACAAATGTACACCTCCCGGCCACACGTGCAACTCACAGGTTGACCCGCAACGCCACATCTTCGTTGCATATGCTACTGCAGGATCGCGAAAAACTTCACATTCTGCAACGTCAATGTATGTCGGTGGGAGGTCTGACAAATCAACAGCTCTTGATGGCGACTGATAGGAACTCACGTTTCCCGTCCCAGCGGAATCACCAAGTACATGGTTCCAAGCACACCGATTTGTGACTCCACTCCATGGAACGCCGTACTCGTATTGCTTATCCGAAACGCTCTCACAGCGGTCATCCAACATTGGCGACAAAAGCATTTGAGCTTTGACCGGAATGGCTGGAAGCTTCTTGTCGCGGGCCATGAGGCATGTGGCTGCAGCCAATGCTGCACCACCAGACACCGCACATATGGTAATTGCGCCAGGGTCGATTCCAAGGCTGACAGCATTATCAGATACCCACACGAGGCCAGCGTGACAATCCTCGGCTGCCCCGGGGGCACGAGTCTCGGGTGCAAGACGGTACTCTACCGACACAATGATACAGGCAATACCTTCTAGTAGGTCTAGAAGCGACGGAACTTCCGCAAAACGATTGCCAGATACCATACCACCGCCATGAACATAATACACAGCAGGCAAGGGCACCGTAGACGGCGATTCGGGTGAAAAGATTGACAGAGTGATCGGGATCCCATACAGGCCGCTGATAACGTGTTCCGTGTGCTGTAGTCCGGGCCTAGCCTTGGAAATGGAGTCGAGGAAAGCGTCGTCACCGTCGCCTGCTGCCAAGTCCCGGAGGAACTCTGGTTCAATTTTCTCCGGCAGCAGGAACGAATCGATCAGGGGTGCCAACGCAGAATCTATGATGGGGCGAGGGCTTGTGATACGGGGGTCCAACCTCACGGCTTGCGAATAGGGATACGCGTACGGCTTTGACGTGTCTGACATGGTGAGAGTGGAGGACGGAAAGTCTTGCTAATTGAGAGTTAGCAGCAATCTCATGTGCGATGAACCGCCACGTTTAAATCATGAGCAGAAATGCGGTAGTTATGTGGTGAGCACATTTTAGCTAACAGAGGGTTAAAGCATGGCGCTAATGAAGGAGCGGCCCCGCCCGAACCCCTGCCGCAAGCGCTAGTATCGTGACCCGCGATTGCGCAGACCGGGGTCAGCCCGCAATGGGGAAGCTGCCTGTTAGCCCAGTGTTGGTGGACCTGCGGTTTGCCGCGTCCACTGGCATGTGCGGCCAGAGTTGCGTCGCAGATAGTAGAGCCGAGAGTTCAGACATTGTTCTGCTTGAAGCCTCATACACCAGTCGGTCATCATGAAGGAAGCAGAAAGTCTCGAAAAGCTCCGACCGTTGGGTATGCAACACTGCAATTGAAGCTTCATTCTGTTGTTGCTAATTGAGGCATTGCAGGGAAACTTGAACAACTTTCGGGCGCCTGCCACCACTTAGGCTTCTATCATAATGTTGGGTTGTCAGCTCGATATTCCGCACCGACGACAACTCAGATTCAAAATCTACGTAACTTGATTTTTGTCGCACTGCAAGACGTCATTCGTCAACATGGCATCCTCTCCGCTATACCAGTCAAGGAGCACTCTCCCGAGGCATATTTTGCACGTCTACCTTCAATCGATCTCACTCGAAGTGTTACTTTCATCACTCGTTCAAAGCCGGAGACTGTTGACGGGCAAGACTCTGAGCTTGATGCGATACTGGAGGAACAGCACAACCTCAACTTCAAAGACAACTACGGCAGCCTTCCTTTCTGGCGACTTCTGATCCTACAAGAAGCTGGCCGAGAAGACCGCTTCTCAGCCTCGTTCATTTTCCACCACTCTATTGGTGATGGTATGGCGGGTTTAATCTTCCACAAGTATTTTGAGCGCGCCCTCAGGGCTGCTAGAGCAGCCTCTGAACCAATCAGTGCAAGCATCACAACGGTCAATGTGAAAGACAACATTGAGCTCCTACCTCCTCTGGAGGAACTACACCCTCTGCCAATCCAAAACGAGGCGACTCCAGCACCGTCTGCAGAAAAGGCCAAGGAATGGACAGGAGGTCGCATCCAGACTCCCTGCGTGACTCGCTACCGGACATTGTACCTATCACCCATCTCTACAAATGCATTGATACAAAAGGGCAAACAGAACGGTCTTTCACTGACCTCTCTTCTCTCTGCTATCATTGCTGCAGCTCTTTTCGATGTTCTTCCTCCACCGATCGATGTGCTGACAGGCATTATACCAGTAAATCTGCGCCCCTGGCTTGACTTGCCTCGGGAATTAGCACACGATGCAATGGGAACATTTATTGATGCTTTTCGAGTACAAATCAATCAATCTGAGTTGTACACGGACGGTTCAGCGGAGTTCTCCATGCTGTCAGTAGCTCAGAAAGTCTCTAAGGAGATTACGAGACGCCTGAGGGACAACTTATCTCCGTCAGGAGAACCTTACACAAATGTCGCGATTTTCAAGACAGTTCCGGATGTGGCGCAAGTCTTCAGCTCTGCTATAGGCAAAGAACGTGATGCTGGTTTTGAGGTGTCCAATCTAGGACAATTTTCAGGCTTTGATAAGGAGCCGGTCAAGACGAGCTGGCGCGTGGGAAGGATGACATTCAGTCGCAGCTCAGTTGTTTCAGGAAGTGCAGTCACCATGAGTGCTGTTTCTGGAGGGGACAACGCTTTGACTGTGGGATTCAGTTGGCAAGACAATGTCGTTGAGGACGGTCTGGTGCGAAATCTCGTTGTCCGTGTCAAGGAACTTGCAGAACACCTGAGCGGTTGAAAACTCGGGCAAGACCATGGATTTTTTTGCTTGTAGTAAGCAAAAAATTATACGAGGATCAAATACGCAGGATTCGATGATTTGTAAGTCCGATTGGCTGTTGCAGATTAGCACTCACAGACGATTCAAAGAAACACTGAAGCTATCCTCATAGATGTGCTCACGAAGAAGGCACAACTGCTCTTTCCGGAAATTTTTAACGAGGTAGAGATACGAAGGAGAAGCTATAGCCTCTGCAAGCTCGGAATGACTTGGCCATATGGCCACACAGCCAAGGGTAATGAGATATACGCAGGCTAGTGACCGTGATTATTAGCGCCTATACAGCCCACTTCATGGTAACGACTGTAATGGCACGCCTAGTGAGCGGGAGCTAAACTAGGTATCTTATTCTTTGGCCAAGTTCGCGTGTTTGACGCCCGAGCCGTAATCGCGTGACACTATCTTCGTGTGAGGCTAGGTCTTACATCTTTTGCAACAATCAGGGAGTCACGCTGGTATTCTCACTAGACGACTCGTGAAAACTTGCTCTTAGCCACCGCCCAGCCTTCCAAGAAGTCCTCACCTGCCATTAGTGGATAAAGGCCGAGCTGGCCTGTGCCTAGTGTGTAGGCGCCGGGCACCGCGCTAGTGTCCTACTTAGGTATGTAACAGAATTGAACGTTCGTTGTCATGTGTATCTCAGTTGAAGTTGCACCTATTATGACAACCCGTTCCCCTGTGTGGAACTGTTTTTATCCCAAGATGAGCCACGATCACAGTCGCTATACGAAAGTTTAGGGAATGTCGAAAGATTGAGAGTCTACATTCTTCGAAAGCACAAGCCATGGCTGAACACATATTCTCGACCAATTCCAACAAGGGCCTTGGCCTATCTTTTGGTGACAAGACCTCGTCTTCACTCTTGTCTTCACAATCACCAGCACCGAGTCTCTCCTGTCAAATCCTGGACATTTTCCTCGAGCGTGCTCTCAACAAATTCAATGACTCCGAGGAAAGAGTCGCAGCAGGTATCGAGAACTTTTTGTCCACTATCAACCGATACGTCTCAGCAGGCCGACAGATCGAAGCTTGTCTACCAGCATTTCCGTTCAAATCCGCCAATCACGTGTACAAGGTACTCGGTAATCTGCCCGACAAAGCAGAAGAGTTGGCCCTCGATGGACTAAACAACATATGTCTGCGAATCAAAGCAATATACAGTCCAGGCGCAAGAATCACGATCATTTCAGATGGAATAACATACAATGGTATGCTGAATATACCCTCAACGCCACGCATTTGAACTAATTTTACGGATTAAGACCTGTTGTCGATCTCGGACCGCGACACTTGGGCTTACGGTGAGGCCCTTCGCAAGATGGCAACCGATAGAGGGTTCAAGCACCTTATCTTTTCCCGAATGAAAGACCTGTTGGACTTCCCGCTGCCAGATAAGCTCCGAGAGATCACTTACGTCGCAAACTGTACACAATTTCGAAGACTACTCCTCAACAAATACGGCGACGATACCCTGGATGTCGATAAACTGATCGCTAATGATCAAGACACGAAGTTGACGTATTTGGGATATCGCAAGTTTCTTGAATCCGACCTGAAGCACATCTTCCCACTTTCACAAAATTTGAGCAGCAATGGTTACAAAAGAGACGTGAAGTATCTTGCCAAGCAAATGCTTCTTCGTGGATACGTAAGTCTTAATGGTTGTGTCAAATATAAGAGACTAGCTGATTTTGGATAGGCATTTGCTGCAGCTGTAAAGAACGCCTACCCCGACTACTTGAGGCTATCTATCCACGAGTCCTTGGGTGAGCACAAGGTATCCATCAGCCTGCTCAATACAAAGACTGGCTACACCACTCCATGGCATTGTAGTGTTGCCCTACTGGCTAATGGAGAGTGGGTTAGTGCCCCAAAAGGAGAATTCCAGAAAGACGAGCGATTGACGCTGGCGTATCAAGATGATCGCCCCAGTCATTTTGTGGAGAGAGCACCTGAGCCCGGAACAAAAGGGATCATCGAATCTTCAGCAATCTATCTTCAGCCGAAGAAACGCTTCAATGGCACTGGAAGCGGATATTCTTCGCCAAGAACACCTCTACTACAAAGCGGGTCTTCGACACCATACGAGCGGTCCCCGAGGTCAAGTTCTATGACCCCACCCTCTCCTTCGTCTATGGATGATGAAAGCCCAAAAGACTTCCCGGGTACGAGTCATGACCCGGACACCGGTGAGAGCTTTGGCAAAAGACTCATTCCCTGCATCCTGGATAGCTTAGCAAAGGCCCAGCCAGACCGGATTCTGTTCTCACTCGCGCAGACCTCGGGTCAGTCACTCAAATTTCGAACGGTCTCCGCAAGGCAGTTTGTAAAGGCAATCGACAAAACAGCATGGTGGCTCCATCGTCAGGTCGGACAATCGGCTGTCATTCGACCAGTCGGGTACATTGGCCCACATGATCTCCGGCACATTCTGTTGACTCACGCTTGTGTCAAAGTTGGCTACGCTGCACTATATCTGTCTCCGAAGAATAGTACAGCTGGCGCTTTGGCTGTCTTGGAGGCGACTGAGTGTGACACATGGGTGAAAGCTGGAGAGACACCAACCGTACCTCTTGTCAAGGATCTGTTGCAAGCGCGGTCGATGAAGCTGTTGGAACTTCCGCTGTTGGACGAGCTTCTTGATGCTGAAGACGCCGATCCTTATCCGTACACTAAACCTTTCGAAGAAGCCGTCAACGACCCATTTTGTTTTCTACATACGTCTGGATCTACTGGTGTGCCAAAACCTATTCCGTGGTCACATGGCTTGATTGGTACCATGGATGCAATACGCTCTCTGCCACCAACAGAAGGTGACGGGGGTCTTTTGCCTTGGACGACAAATTGGAACTCTGGGGACAGGATTTATTCATCCTTCCCAATGTGTCATGTAAGTAACGTTTATCTTCTTAAACGTCCAACCGTTGGCCCTACTCCTACTATTCACAGGGAAAAAAGCTAACATTTCCAAATAGGGGGCCGGGATCATCATGAATATCCTCCTCCCTGCATTATTTGATCTCCACTGCATACTAGGCCCACCCGATGTTGTTCCAAACGTAAATCTCATAGAGACTCTTGCATTGAACGCGAAGATAGATATCTGGAGCATGATACCGTCTCTTGTTGACGAGCTGGGCGACACTCCTGAAGTCTTGGAGACTCTCAGACCTTCGAAATTCATATGTGCTTCTGGAGGTAAGAACTCAATCCCTTCGTTTGTAATACATGTTAACAGTACTCAGGCCCTGTGTCCCCAATTAGCTCCGGAAGAGTGAACGATGTAATACGAGTTCTGAATCTCACAGGCACAACCGAAGGCTTGTTCATCGGCAACCTTCTCGTTCCACGAGAAGACTGGTTCTGGTTTGCATTCCATCCATACTCTGGATTCGAATTCAAAGAGCTGGACAGTGATACCTACGAACACTGGGTTCACCGCAACGAGCACGCATCGTTGTTCCAGGGCATATTCCACACTTTTCCCAACGAGGACTCGATCAACTTCAAAGATCTCTACACGCGACACCCTACCAAGCCAAACCTCTGGGCGTTCAAAGGGAGAAACGATGATCTCATTGTTCTATCCAATGGATACAAAATTCTGCCTCTGGAAACCGAGGCGTTCATCTCCCAGCACCCAGCAATTAAAGGCTGCCTGGTGTACGGCAGCAACCGACCCCAAGCAGGCCTACTAATTGAACTGAAAGAGCCTTCTCAGAAATCTGACGAGTTGTTCGAAAGTATCTGGGCTGTCGTGGAGAAGGCGAATTCAATGTCCCGCCACACAAATCAGCTTCTGAGAGACTTTATAACTTTCGCAGAAGTGGAAAGGCCTTTCGTGCGAACTGATAAGGGAACTGTGAAACGACATGCCACCATGAAGCTGTACGCTGAGTTCATCGACCGTTTCTACAGTTCGCGAAACGATGAGACAGAATTCACCGTGGATGTTAGTTCGAGAGCTTCCATTGTGGAGTCAATTCGTAACATCTTGGAGTTCTCAACACCAGGCATTCAGCGTGCTTCGTTCGATGACGATCTTTTCTCGTTTGGACTAGACTCACTTGGTGTCTTCGCAGTCGTCAAGGCACTGCGTGCAGCGATCAAGGGATTAGATCAACTCGCTCCGCGTCATCTCTATGCGAATCCTACGCTTCACAAATTTTCTGCCCTTCTTACGACCTTTATATCAAAGACGAAGGAAAACGACCAAGTTTCCCAAACGAGTAGTGATTCGAAGATGCAACAACTGATTGCACGACATAGAGCACATCAATCATTCAGACTCAATGCCTTCGACTATGTCAATCCAAACCATTACATGGGGCTAGTGTTCTACATCCCACTCCAAGAGGGAGTAACGTTTGAAGCGGCATTTGAAAACCTGCAAGGGGGCCTCAGACTAACGATGGACCTCATACCAGCCCTTGGAGGCAAGATGATGGCTTGTTCCAAGGATGAGGTAGAAAATTTCGAAGGCGAGCTATGCGTAGCTATTCCCCCCATATCAGCACCAAAGCGCGACATACTGGGTTTTAAGGATCTCTCGAAAGATCTTCCTTCGTTTGACACGTTGCGAGAGGGTGGGTTTGTTCCCTCTGCCTTCAAAGACGAGATGGTCCTACGACAAGATACCTTCCCTCAACTCCCAGCAGACATCCTTGTCGCACAAGCAAATTTTGTCAAAGGAGGCTGCATCCTTGCAGTAGACCTCAACCATTGCTGCTTGGACGGTGTTGGAGCCATCCTTGCCCTCAAGGTTTGGGGTGAGAAGTGCAGGTTCTTGCAAGGGGACACTTCCGCGAACTGTGACTGGTACGACACTGAGAGTTTCAATCATAGCTTGCCTGAGATATTGCATGATCTCGAGGGCTATGCAAAGCCGGTGCAAGAGGTTGACCCGGATATCTGGGGCTTCTTACCGTTCGTCCCTACCGACGACCAGAAAGAGGCAGGATCACACGAGAAGCGATCGGATCATCGAAGCCTTGGGAAGCCGCCAGTGTACCAACTACACCCTGTCTGGCCATTGCCCCCAACTCAGAGGAGACTAGACACTACCTTATTCTTGATCCCACCAGAGAAGGTGCAGCGGCTGAAACGGGACGTCATGACTGATCCGGAAACAAACGGCACGATAACATCAGTGAGCGACATCGTGCAAGCATTCTTTTGGCGAGCAGCAGTGAAAGCACGCTATGATGTTGCCACGAAGTTGAACGAGGAAACATTCGAGTCGAACGAAATGTCTATCCTCGAGCTGCCGACAGATGGCCGGCCTTTCTTCTCTTCGTCATTGCCATCGACGTACATGGGCAGCATGCTCATCCTAAACCGTGCGAGTATGCCGGTGAAAGAGCTGAGCTCTTCTGAAACTAGTATTGGGCGCGTCGCTCTCATGTTGCGAGAGGCCGCTTCACGAATCACGCCGTCCGTCGTACATGATGCCTTTACAGTACTCAAATCCTTGCCGGACTATAGCAGATTTTCGACAGCCAACATGGGCATTGCGCACATGCATACCATGATATCGAACATGATCATGTTTCAGACAACCGAGATCAACTTCGGTAACGGTATTTTTGGCAATGGAGGGTCTCCAGTCACGATGAGGCCGCAGCTTGAGCGAGCAAGTGGTCGATTCCGTTTCTTAGTCATCTTTCCGATGAAGGAAGATGGGGGAGTCGAGTTGGTCTTGGGTACCTTCCCCGAAGAGCGGGAGATGCTCATGGAGGACTCAGAGTTTATGAGCTATGCAGAGCTCATTGACGTTGATATATGCACATAGTCATAAGGAAACTAGGGTACACTAGCTGTCCACTTGCAATTGGCGGCAGGCTCTCAATACTGAACCCAGATATGCCAGGTAGAGCTATATTTCATTCTATATTCTAGCACAAACGTTTGTAGGTACTCTGCGATTGAATGATACAAAACATCTATGTGTCGCATCCGCAGCCCAAAGTCGAACCTGAGTGTTTTGGGAGATGGTTATCAGCTAGGTATCGTCAAAGAGAGACTCATGTCAAGAAGTGGCACGGGATGTGAGCGCGGCTGTAAGTCTCACCTATACAAGTAGTTCCTCCGCAAGCGGCGGTGATTAGGTATTCGACGTTTCCGTTTGTTAGGGGCTTGCGCAGCGACGTATTCCAAGACGAGGCCGTGTTCTGAGCCGTTACATCTTGACCAGTCTGAGCGTGACTCTTGACCTTACTGTCCCTATCTACACGACGTCCTACGAGTACAAGCCTCCCGCTCATGGGGGTCTGGGTCGCTTAAACAACTCCCGCAAAAGGCCTCATCCCTACAGCATCACTTGACCCGATTTGGATGTGCCACTGAAGCTAGTCGGCTTGGCTGGCATGAAGGAACGCCTTATTCACAACTAGACAAACGTGAGTACGAAATCCTAATCACGTTGCCTAAACCGGTAGTCATACCGGTACACAATTGTTGGCAGGAATCAACCCCGATACTCTAACCCGTGGGTGCTGCCGATGAGCAAGTTATGGCGCTACAACATCGCATTCGCGTCGCACCTTCCCTTATTGTGCCGCCAGATCAAACGAGGCACAGTCTCATGTTATGATAGCGCAGCATCTTTTAAGTCTCTCAGCTCAAATCTGCGCTACTGTCTCCACCTCGCTCTTTTCATTCCCGACCCTTCCACCAGTAGCCGCGATCGCCAAGGTCACCAATGTAGGCCAGTGGCAACCCAGAAACTTTGTACTTCTAATAGCACGCAGTGAGCATCTCTTTGCAGCTCTCAGATTCACAATCCCCGACTCCTCAATCTTTACACTTTCACCTCGCCATGCTTGCGAACGCCCGGTCGGAGCCAAAAAGCGGCAATGAGACCAGCATTGCGGTCTCCGAGAGTTCCATACAGCCGCTATCAGACGAGAACCTCCCAAACGCCAATGCTCAAGCAGGAATCCAGAATATCGAAGCCACTACCGTCGCATGGACCAAGAACGCCCTCATTGTGGCCTACGTGCTACTATGGGTCATTTATTTCGTCGAGACACTGCTTGGTGGTGTAGTGGGCGCCTTGTTGCCATACATCACATCTGCTTTTGCCCTTCACTCTCTCACGCCGACCGTCAGCATCATGAGTAGTGTCATTGGAGGCGTTACGAATCTTACTCTCGCTAAGATTCTGGATGTCTTTGGTCGTCCCCAGGGCTACTTGTTCTGTATCTGTATTGCTGTCATCGGTCTCATCATGATGGCTGCCTGTAATGGAGTCGAAGCGTACGCAGCTGCCATGGTCTTCTACACTGTCGGCAACAACGGTGTCCAGTACACCATATCCGTCTTCGTGGCTGATACATCCTCACTCCGGAGTCGAGGTCTGATGCAGGCAATTGTTACCTCATCCAGCCTCATCACCTGCTGGCTAGCAGGACCTGTAGCTCAGGGTTTCCTCAGCGGTCCTGGCTGGCGATGGTGCTTCGGCATGTTCACCATACTTGTGCCTGCCGTAACCCTTCCGCTTTTCGGCTTGCTACTGAACAACTACTTGAAGGCCCGGAGACTTGGCCTGATTCCTAAACGCGAAAGCAATCGCACTGCCCTCCAATCCTTGTCGCACTACTGCCGCGAGTTCGATGCGGTCGGTCTCCTCCTCATATCTGCTGGCGTTGCCCTCTTTCTCTTGCCCTTCAACCTTTATACGTTGCAAGCACGAGGGTGGAACTCGCCTCTTGTCATCAGCATGCTTGTTGTGGGCATCGTATTGATCATCGCCTTCGTCTTTTGGGAGAAGTATTTCGCCCGCATTACCTTCATGCCGTATACACTGCTTCTGGATCGGACCGCTTTTGGCGCGTGCCTTCTCTCCGCAACGCTGTTTCTGAGCTACGTGCTATGGTTCAGCTACCTCAGTTCTTTCCTGCAGGTCGTAAAGAACTTGTCCGTGGAGCAGGCAAGCTACGTGGTTCAGAGCTATACTGTCGTGGGAGTGTTGTGCGCAATCTCCGTCGGATTCGTCATCCACAAGACTGGACTGTTCAAGCCAGTCTGTCTTTACTTCGGTATTCCAATCAGTGTCTTCGGCTTGGGTCTTATGATTCATTTCCGTCATGCGGATGGAAATGTAGGTTACATCGTTATGTGCCTGATTTTCATTGCGATGGGCCAAGGAGTAGTCGTCATCTGTGCAGAAATTGCAATCTTGGCTGCCGCGTCGCATGTACATGTCGCAGTCTCCATCGCGGTTCTCGGCGTTTTCAGCAGTATCGGCTCTGCGATCGGATCTACAATCGCCGCTGCGATCTGGCAAGACATGATGCCTGCGAAACTGATGCAGTATCTGCCTGTTGAGGATCTCGAAAACTTCGTCATGATTTACGCAGACATTACAACCCAATTGTCGTATCCAGTCGGCTCTCCAACTCGCATTGCAATTCAAAATGCCTATGAGGATACGCAATTGAGATTGTTGACGGTTGCTGTTGCAGTCTGGGCTGTTGCGTTTGTCGCTGTTCTTATGTGGCGTAACATCAATGTCACAAATATCAAACAAACTAAGGGACACGTGTGGTAGCAGAAGAACATAAATCAGCGTTGCTATAGATATGTGGCTTATGCAACCAGTAATGAGGTTCTACGTTAGACTACACGCGTGTCAAGAGTCTGCTCTATCTCTCAAGCAATTTACCTAGAAGTTACTTTCACCGTAACTTCACCAAGAATTACAGTACAAATAAACGCCTTCGTGCACACAGACCATGCGTCCTGCTTGACCTCATATTTCATTTCAAGACTATAAATACCATTGACATAGAGCACGAATATGTTTTCCTGATGTCCGGGGCTTTGTCTTTGCCGTCTTAACAGGACCAGCTGTTGCCTTCATGTTTGCATGCTTCAGAAGTGTGGGACTGGTACAACAACAATGTACTAATCGAGAAAAGACGATCCTGTCGCGAACAAGAATTCCGTTCCTTCATCAATCATGCGGTTCAGTACGGGATCATGTACGTCTCTGGGTCCGCTGGCGCCGCTTTCAACGTACCGGGAAGTCAATATGATATTTGAAGTCTTGATGCTCGATATGATGGGCCCTACCTAGACTCAGCGAGCAACGTCGACTTGCTCATTATGCCCAGACATGGTACTAGTAGGACTGTGACGGTCCGCAAGGAGAGGCATCTATTCTTTGCTGCCCTGACGTCTGTTCTTCGTGAAGGCAGGTTCCAGTGCTTGAATTGTTATAGATATCGTTATCGGTCTCCAGCTATCAGCATGTCTACTAGCGTTACAGCTGTCATCACAATTTTCGCCGATGTCAGAGGCCATACAACTATCGCAAACAGTGATCAAGAGGATGGACAGCATCTCAACCTTATACACTAATTAACAGCTTGGCAAAACGCATGTTGTCATTGGGAGCCTACCGCATGTATGCTGTATAGCTAGAGCTTCACTCGGATGCTTATGGTTTGAGACAATGATGTGACGATTGGAGATGAATGGAAACATGTCAACCACGGTGAGTGACGAACACGTGGTGTCCTACGACGTTTATACGGTTCTGGGGAAAATGTTGCGTGAAGTTGTTGTTTCGCGCCTGCTATTGATGACCAATTCGGCGGTTTTACACGTCTGGGGCTGTATGAAGACTTTCGCATGGACTTGAATGCTATCCTTACCCAGCGTCCGCCGCGTTGAAGAGGCCGAGCGCGGAAAGCTGGAAACTGAAAAGTTCCAAGGTTCGCTCTAAGGCCCACCACGAGGGTAAATGTTCAGTAGACCTGTCTGTGCAACTAGTGGATCTCCACTGTCACTCTCGGATGAACGCTCACCCAACGTTCTCAAGGATGCTGAGCGTCCACAGCAGTCGTTCGCAGAGTCGTAGGTCTCTCGTCGGGTCGATGTTCTTCAAGTGCCAGCTAAATACCCAATGTTTTGACGACATGTGTCGCAAGACCTGCCGACCAATACCTCCGGGTCAGTATTGCAACTCGCAATTCTCGTCACCGCCTCGTTGATAGTTCTGCGCAAGTCTGGTGCACTGACATGCACCGACCACGGCCATCCACAGCACAAGATTCAGCCAAGGATATCCCAAGACATTCAAGGTTCATTGTAAGCATTGATCCAGGAGCGTTTGAGTCGTTGAGATGTTTAAATGCGTCATCGTCATTGCCGTTATCGCTCCCCGAAGTTCTCCCGCTCGTACGAAGGCCAATCCAGACAAGTGAGGCTCTGCTGTGACCACTAGCGCCCGCCCAAGAGTTTACCCGGGAGCGCCACGAAGCTTAAATCCTTTCCCTTTTGAGATCCACAACGTCGTCACCCCCGTTGACAAATTTGCGAGCGTGGTTGGATGCTCCACGCATGCGGGAATTTGGGCGCCGCAAGGATTGCAGATGCTTCCGCAGCCTCCGCATGGAGACCTCCACATGCACAGAATGTTCACCCAGATGCTGCACTCGGGGTAACAGGGCACCGTGGGGGAAGTATGGAGTCTCCAAGAGATTCAACAATTTGGATGGGGCAATGTGGAGCCCCGTAAAAATCGGTGCGCGGCGGTCGGACTCATAACAAGAAGCCTTTTCATCCCATCTTCTCGCTGCATCTTCTGCTCATCCTTTCCGTTGTCACTGAACAGGTCTCGTCAAGATGGGTATCCTCACTATGATCGAAGATCGGCCTACGCCAAAGAGCGTGTACAATTGGCGTGTATACGTCTCGGCGATGACAGCGTCGTTCGCGTCCTGCATGATTGGCTACACGACGTCCTTCATCGGAACAACAGTGTCGCTGGAATCATTCCAGGATGAGTTCGGCTTGTCTTCAATGGGTGCCTCACAGCGCAGCTTGATCCAGGCAAACGTCGTTTCATTGTTCCAAGCAGGCGCTTTCTTCGGGTCTATCTTCTCCTACGGCACTGCCTATTACTTCGGACGAAGAATTACGCTCTGGACTTTTGTTACTCTCTTCATTGTTGGTGCCTGCGTCACTTTCGCCGCCATTGGTGGACATCTGGGTCCCATGTATGCCGGACGGTTCATCTCTGGATTTGGTGTTGGTGGCTGCACAATGATCGTAAGTCCATGAAACAACCCGCCAAAACTCAAGCTCACCAGCCAGGTCCCGATCTTTATCTCAGAAATCGCACCTCCAGCCATTCGTGGCCGTCTTGTCGGCACTTACGAACTTGGTTGGCAAATTGGTGGCCTCGTTGGCTTCTGGATCAACTACGGCATGACTCAGAGCGTCGCCTATGGTCGCAACCAGTGGCTTATTCCTTTTGCTGTTCAGCTCGTCCCGGCTGGCATGGTCCTCATCGGTAGTCTGATCTTCCTGAGAGAGACTCCGCGCTGGCTGTGGACCAAGGGCCGACGCGAGCAGGGCATTGCCAACCTTTGCTGGTACAGGCAGCTCGAGCCTCAGGACACCTACATCATTGAGGAGATCGAGATGATGGATCTTCAGATCAATGACCTTCCCACTGGATTCATAAAGCCCATTCGTCTGGCATTGTCGAACAACACTGTGCTGTGGCGCTTGTTCTTGGGCCACATGCTCTTCCTGCTCCAGAACTTCTCGGGCATCAACGCAATCGTAAGTTGACAATGAATAAGCAAACTGTTGATACTAATATTATTCAGAACTACTACTCGCCAACCATCTTCCGTACCATGGGCGTGCACAACACCCAAACCATCGAACTCATGACCGGACTCTTCGGCGTCGTGAAATGCATCATGACCATTCTCTGGCTCACTGTCATGATCGACAAGCTCGGCCGGCGTACTCTCTTCTTGTTCGGTGGCGCCTTTGGTGCAGCGTGCATGATCACCATCGGCGCACTCATCATCACCGAGCCCATCGCTGCCGCGGACGCTGGTCTCTCCGGCCAGGGCATCGCCACCATATTCATGATCTACCTCTGGACCTGCGTATACATCACCTCGTGGAACGGCACGCCCTGGGTCGTCAACGCCGAGATGTTCAACCAGGCGACGCGAAATGTCGGCCAGGTAGGCGCGTCAATGGCAAACTGGCTTTGGACGTTCGTCATCGCGCGGATCACGCCGAACATGGTTGCTGGCATGGGCAAGAATGGATCAGGCATGTACTTCTTCTTCGGCGCGGTGAGCGCCTGCGCAGTCGTGTTTGTGTGGTTTCTGGTGCCGGAGACGAAGAGCGTGCCGCTTGATCAGATGGATCGGCTGTTTGAGATTCGGCCGGTGCGCGGCGCGCAGCCCAAGCTCATGGAGGAGCTGGCGCAGAACAGTGCTGAGTTTGCGAAGCTGGATCGCAAGGATGAGGATGTGTCGGAGCAGGTTGAGAAGCGCTGAGCCATTGTTATTGGGAAGTGTTTAACAAATTTAATTATCATATTTACTACAAACCAGTTCTCAAGTGCAAATGACTGTGAATTTCGAACCCTAAATGGAGTTCGACCAAGGACACAGTTTGTCTGCCCGGCAGCAACTTCAGACCTTCCGATGAATGGTCTCACTCCGTGATCAAGAAACTCTTCGCTCAGGTCTGCGCTCTCCCTCTGGCCTTCGCCAGGTAAGTACGTACATCTTCCATTACAGACGCTTGAAGAACTTTGTCGCTTCTTCCTTCAGCCATTTTCGGCTGCCCTGTGTAACACCGACCATGCAAGTCCCTCTTGAAATCAAATTGTCACACAGCAACTTGGTGACACTGCATCTCAGGACCCCACAATTATCGAATATAACTGGATAAAGCGCCATACCGCTACAATGCATGAAAACTATGTTTCTCCAGGCTCTCTGTCCCGTCTGAAATGACTTGCAAGCTGTTGTCTGTCAAACATTCAAAAAGTGGTAAAATCGATATTGTAGTGCACTGGCAAGTGAACGTGTCGATTCAGCACTCCCTACAAGTGGGAGAGCTCTCCAACCACCATATCCAGCAACGATATATTGCCGTAAGTCTGCTGCATGTCCATCAACCAACACACAACCGACTGAAACACCAACCCGGAAGTGAGTCAGCAGACAGTGAATCAAGAGCACCATTGCAGAGTGCGTGCAAACGGCCAAAAGCCCAATCAAGCAGACACAGAAAGAAACATCCCCGCTGCACAGAAGTGGCGGTCTGCAGCTATCCGGCACAAACACCTGCCAGCGCTGTTCTCCGGTGAGCGTGTTTGGTGCTTTCACCGCCCCGGGGTTGGGAAGCAAACAAACGGCTGCATAAAGAGGCTCGCAATTTTGTCTCTTTGACTCTCCACGGACATCTTCCATTGACTTTCACTGTGCTCTAAATCGAAATTCCGGGCAGTTGACGTTTCCTACTCCACTCTTCTCACGCCATGTCTCTCGAACCAGCTCAGATGGCTGGGCCCGACCACTCCGCCGCCACCCACAAGACCACATTCGCCCTGGTTTGTATGGCCATTACTCTCGCACTCCTAGCCTTTCGGATACACGCTGCATACTCGACACTGCGCGAGCACCACGCCGCTATTCAGACGCTGCAAGCTGAGATTCTCAAGGCCCGCGAGACCGAGGGGGACCGCGTTGCAATCCTGCTCCACATGTCCGAGATTCATGTTCTAATGGGGGCCGAGAGGAAGGCCTTCATGGCAGAGACGAGAGCGCGGTTTGAGAGTTTGGCGAACAAGACGGAGAGCATCGCTGCTCTGTACGATCGTGCTGTTCAGCATGAGTTGCAACGAAGGCCTCTTGCGGGGCAGGGAGTGGTAGCAGATAGGGAAGGGGTGTGGGCATGAGGGGCTAGAAGAGGCGGGTGGGGTGGGTTGCTCTGGTCAGTGGCGGCTGAGTCGAAGCTGAGAGAATGTCTGAGATGCGTTGGTTGCTGAGATCTCTCAGTCTGTCGAATGTGGTTGGAGCTAGTGTTGCAAAAGTAGGCTCGCATTTGGGTCTTGGACGCACGGCACAGCTCGAAGCAAGTAAGCAGTTTCGCACAATCTCATCGCTGCCATTATTTCGCTCAATCGTAATGTTGCCACAATTTTATGTTCCACGCTTGGTCCTTGTATAAATGATGACGAAGCCGCTGCATATCACTCAACTGCAACCTCGACTCTCAGTCCACCTACCTGCCAAACACTGGAAAATCCGGCATTGTCGCGACAAAACTGACGCCCACAGAGCTAGCGATCCAGACAGCCGTAAGAAGCCCGAGACTAGGAGGGCAGTATCTGACAGGGTTAGTTCGATACGTACAACACGTCCGCGCTGCGGCACTTACTCTTCCGAGCTGAGATTGATAAAGCCGACCCAGAACAGCCACTGCGCGATCCAAAGCGGGAGCATGCTAGCAAGCCCGACGAGTGTCAGTCGCACAGTCGCTATTTCGGTGTCGGTGGTGTGGGTGGCGCGGTGCTTGATGGGTAGCGTGCCGTAGCCGACGGGCTGCTGGTCGTCGCGTGTCAGTGGTTTTTGCTCCGGATCGCAGGTCGCGTCGAACCAATACCGCGCCAGGTTTTCTTCGAAGCCGAACCACTGATGGTTGAATGAAGTCATAAGATCCCTCGCGAGGGTCGGCGTTGGTGGTAAGCTCGTCTGTATTTCTGGGCGGGCGAGGAGTCGACGTGCAGCTTGCAGTAGCAGGACTGAGGCCACGATAACAACAACGAGCCACATCATCGCTCCGGCGTACATGTATTGTGCTGCTGGCGATGCTTCAAGTCTTGCCATTCCGCGGCTGTAGAAGTTGTGGGCTAGACCGTAGTTGATAGTCTGCATCATTGGAAAGGCTGATAGAGCTTGCAAGATCGCTTCTGCAAACATACAAGACGCAATCGTGTTCAGCGTGGTCGCTTTGAAGGGACGAGAAATTGCGGACAGGATTATTGGCCAGGTGAGCCGCGGCATCGAACTCCACAGGAACGTGAGCTGCGTGATGGGAATGCTTTCGTAACCAATGGTTGCTTGGACCAGGACTGCATTGATCAGATTCGCAGAGGTGTGTAGAGCGGCAATGGTCAGTCCAGGTACGACCCATGACTTCGGGAACGTGTACTGATGTGTGAGGCTCCGAGTGTACAGACCTGCGACCAGAGTGGCTACATTGATCAGAAAGACGGATCCAAGCTTGCTGTCGATAGTAGCACACGAGCTCGGGCTTTTCGAATGGTGATGGCTCGAAGCAGACTTCTTAGAGGGTGTGATATTCCATTGCCATGGGATCATGTCAGTTGACGTGGGAGCTGCCAGATGACGCCAATGCTTCGGCAGGCCATGCCATCCAGCCACTTCACCACAAAGACCATGGAGCCATTTCACATAGTCCTCTCGAGCCTCGAAAACATGACATGGCCCTTTGCAGCTGTCGTAGTTTATGTTGCGGCAGAAGCAGGCTCTATCAACGGCGCGTGTGATGTCGCAGTAACCGTCGTGGTCAAGCTCGCAAGCATCAGTTGTACACTGATCAACGAGTCCGATCACTTTCCTGGGCACATCAGCGACGCATTTAGGCCAGCGCCAGTTTTCCGTCGGTATATAAGCGAACGTTGTTGTCTGGAGTCCGTTTGTCCAGCCAGCCGGCAGGGATTCCGCTCCACACGTAGCGTTCAGCCATAGTCGCTCCCTCGTGGAGGCCAACCCGGGCCCTGGACAAGGTTCCGTCTTCATGTATGTGCTGAACACCTCGCAAAAGCACCGCTTGTCGAAATAGTCGCCGTACGCTAGTCTGCGCAGAGTGAGGTCATAGCCTGCCGTTTCGTAGTCCAGAGCGATCATGCTCCCTTGCGATTCCATGTACTCCCACGGACGAGCGGCATTTCCGGTGTGTCGAGTATCAGACGTGAAGCTACACGATGCCATAACGTGGTTGAACGACTCTTTGGTCAATGCAACGTCCGATTCTACCAGGCACGTTGGCGCTTTGGCGGTGACTCCAACAGCCGTATAGCCTCTCGTCATAGAATTCGGAGACGGTGTCTGCAATCCGTTGGCATCGCCAATTTCGACCAGCCATGTTCGTTCGGTGACAGCGCGTATCCAGTGATATAGCTGGGATTTGGCGAACACCGTTCGACTGCAAAACGGGAGGTATTGACTGACAAGATCAGGGGAAAACTCGATGCCGAGACAACTGAGCTGAGTGAGCCACTGATGATGGGTACAGATCACACCGAAGTGTCGGGTGCACCGCCGCTCGGTGCAACTGGTCATGGCGTTCAGCCATGTAGCGTGGTCTTGCTGAGCGATGCACTGTGGCATTGAAGCCAGATCCTCCGGGTTTACCCAGCCTCCGCGGTTTTCTAAGGGAGCTATTGTGTACTTCTCATCCGTAACACCGATCTGAGCGGGACGAAGCGCTCCCGCTAACGTACTTGTCTTAGCGCTGATGTCCCGAAGACTGTTTGTGACAGCATACATACCTTGTGCCGCACCGATCATTAGTAGCACGGACCACGTGCCGAATAACTTCATGATGCTCCGGTTTTACCTCTACTCGAGTGCAGAAATGTAGAGATACAGAGTTGGAGACCTGGTGTCTGCCTGATTGACTGCGCCCTCGCTTGACGGCCGTCAGCTGCGGGGTCGCGGCGCGTAAAAGGAATGCCTTGTACGCATCAGCAAGGCTGAAACAGTTATCGATACGACGCGTTCCATGAGAAGCGGCTAGAGTTGCATGAACAAGTCAATTGAAATCAGACGTCTGTATCTTGGTAGCGTGGTAGAGTGAAGGTAAAGAGCTCCATAGTGGATCTGCACTGGAGCACCACCAATCACAGGCTCGACACCACAAGGACAAACGCGAAGCTTCGTAATGTAATCCGAGACACTACAAGTAGTAAATCCTCCTCGGCCACGATACTCAATCCAGAATCGCTACTTTGAATACTCATCTGAGTACGACATGGCTGTTTTAACCGTCGTCGCCTGACACTTACCCTCTCCGTACCTTCCGTTTTAGTGCGCCAAACGCAGAACCCCGTTAGCATAGCCGTAGATCCTGTTCTGTTCATAGAATCTTGTGCGCTATTCCAGCCTCCCGCACCTTCGCAGGGCGCGCATACTTCACGGCGACTCCGTTACTCGACCACAAGCATATACTCATGAGAGAACACTACTTTTCGAGAGAAAAGCGATGGAGGGGGCGTGATATTCGTGCAATTCATATCCCTACCCGTAGCCAATCTACTCAGCAAGCTTACTCAACTTCTCCCCCTCGACCCTCAAGCCAACCCACTCCGCCTTCTTACTCGCGCCAATCTTCTCGCTCTGATAGAACAGCAAGCTCGGCTCATTCCAGTCTAGACAGCTCCACTCGAGTCTCTTGCCGCCGACCTTCAACACCTCCCTGGCCAGGCTCTTGAGCAGCAACACGCCGTAGCCCTTCTTGCGGTACGCGTCTTTGACGAACAGGTCTTCGAGGTAGATGCCAGGCACGCCGGTCCAGGTGCTGTAGTTGTAGAAGTACAGGGCCATGCCGGCGACGGTGCCATCGGGGTCGGTGACGAGCAGGGTCTTTGCGTAGCCTTTGGAGAATTTGTCGGGGTTCTCGGGGTCCGAAGGGTCGGCGTGCGAGAGGGTGCGGGTGAGGGACTCGGTGGTGGCGTGCACCGAGGACGAGGCTTTCTCGTAGTCGGCGAGCTCTTGGATGAGTGACAGAATTGTGGGGACGTCTGGGGTTGTTAGTCTGAGTGGAATCTGGGGGTGGAAGACGGACCTTCGCGCGTGGCGTGGCGGATGGTAGCGTCTGTGGAAGCCATTGTGAGTGTACGGATACGTGTGTGTTGCACTTTGACAATTGGTATGCGACAGCAGTTTTGACGTTCAGGCGCGCCCTTTGGATGTCGCGAAGTGGCAGAATCACGGCCATGTGGGGCACTCCGGTCGTCATATGGATACGTCACCGCCCGCGTCTAATTTTGAGAACAAGCTCACGCCCACTCTTCGTGCCAGACTCGGTTCGCGTGGGGTGGCTGACTGCAAGGCGTTATTTGGATGAGCGACCTGGCGTGACATGCTGCTCGGCCTTGGTGACGCGACCTCTTACATCAACACCGCTGAAAAGCGCGTCGTCGACCGGAGCAGCGTGGCTTGCAGGTCTGCTCGCCTTGGGCTGTCCCCAAACAGCGGTCCATTGCTTGCGTACCTCGTCATACTCGAGCTTGCACGAAAGTGCCAGGAGCCGTGAGTACAGCCGCTGCATGTAGCGGGCGGAAAAGGCGCGCGGCCGATCCATGCCCTGCCGCCTATCTGCTTTGCTGGGCTTGCCCATTGCAAGACTGTGCCGCACCATCTGCTCGAGACTGCGCTCCTCGGATACGGAACCGACCGTCCTACGTCGCGGTACGAATGCAATCCGCTGCCGGCCGGTGCTCATGGCGTCGATGCTGTCCCACTCGTCGGCGGGCAGTGCTGGGAGCAGGCGCGTCATGGTCTCGGCGTACCAGCGGCGCACGTTGTTCGCTGCGCGCTTGAGGGGCATTGGCCGCTCCCAGATGTTCAACACGGGCGTCCTAAGGTGCGGGCGCTTGATCTCTCGGCCCAGGGCCCGCTCATTCTGCACTTGGGAGGTGACGATAGCGCGCAGACGAGGGTACTGGCGCGAGATGTTGATGGTGTTGATGCCGTCGCGGGCGACGGGGGCTTCGAAGTACTGCAGACATTGCAGGCTGCTGCGGTAGAGCTGCTGCAGCGGCGGCGTGCCCTCGGGCCACAGCGGGTCGGGCTTCAGCAGGTCGCCCAGCAGAGCATGCTTGCGCCGGCCGAGACGGCCATAGGCAGCCCACAGCACCCTCTGAATGCAAGGGCCCTCGCCCTGGTTGGCGCGCCTCAAGAAATTCAGCCCCTTGTGCGCGACGCGCTGCTGCTGGGCCACTCGCGCATTGATGATGCCCGTATGGCGGCGCTTGAAGGCGCGGTGGCGGTACTTCGCAACGGCGTGCACGTCGAAGGCGGCGGTCCCGTTGGCGGAGGGCTGATAGGCCTTGAAACGGGCGACGATGTAACGGCGGAAGTAGTCGCGGGCGGCGGCGTCGGGCAGGTACGAGGCCTCGCGCAGCAGCGAGCGCAGCAGGTGCAGTGACCGGATCGCAGGCGGGCCCCCTCGCGCATCCATGGCAGCTGGCAGCGCCGTGAGAAGTGGTGTTGGTGCGCCGCCGCGTGATTGGCCCTGAGCTCGACGCGTGCTCTGGCGCTGGACGCGAACCGCTGCGCTCCACAGCCACGGCTCGCAATTCACCCCCCGCATCCAGCAGCGAGGGCCGACGCCGCCGACGCCGACGACGAACGCCTGCAGCCACCCCAGCACGCAGCCGCGACACCGCCCGCGACCACGTCCCGCGACCACACCCTGCCACCACGCCCACGCGCACCCCGACCCGACCGCCTCACCGCCTCTCCGCCCATGCGCCGCGAGTAGCGCACCCCCATTGCGCCTCCGCTTGCGATGCAGCAGGTCGCCCGCTCGTTCCCGTCCGCCGGCTCGCCCTCGCACGCGCCGCCCATGTACCAGCAGTCGCCGTCGCACTCGCACAGCGGCCTGATGGCCGCGCCGGGCTTCAGCCGCTCGTTCAGCGACGTCAGCGCCTACGCCCAGCCGCCCATGGAGAAGCCCCAGATCTACACGGCCGTCTACTCGGGCGTGTCCGTCTACGAGATGGAGGTCAACCGCGTCGCCGTCATGCGCCGCCGCTCCGACGGCTGGCTCAATGCGACCCAGATCCTCAAGGTTGCCGGCGTCGACAAGGGCAAGCGCACCAAGGTGCTCGAGAAAGAGATCCTGACGGGCGAGCATGAGAAGGTGCAGGGCGGCTACGGCAAGTACCAGGGCACGTGGATCAACTACCGCCGTGGCCGCGAGTTCTGCCGCCAGTACGGCGTCGAGGACATCCTGCGCCCGCTGCTCGACTACGACATCAGCGCCGAGGGCGGCCAGGGCCACGGCATCGAGACCCCCACCAAGGAGCAGGCCATGGCCGCGAACCGCAAGCGCTTCTACACCCAGAGCATCGACGGCCGCCCGCAGAGCCAGAGCGTAGGCGGCACCTTCTTCAGCAACATCTCCTCAACTGCCACCAGCGCCCTCGCCGCCATGAACAAGGTCGCTCGTCTCAACTCGCCTGCGCCGCCGCGCCCTGCCAGCTCGTCGCAGGGCCGCCGCTCCATAGCGCGCCCGCCGCAAGGACCAGGCCCGATGGCGAGCCAGGACTCGTTCCGCACCAGTAGCCAGCAGAGTGTCCACAGTCTGGCCTCCGAGCGCAGCTTCAGCGGCCAGAACGGGCACACCGACTCGGCCTACGGCACCGGCATGGACGACTCGCATGAGCCGCCCAGGAAACGGATGCGCCCGTCGCAGGAGGAGTCCTTCTCACAGCGCGAAGAAATCCTGCGCGACCACGGCTCGCCTACAGAACCCAGCGAGTCGTTCTACCAGAACCAGCACCAGACTGGCCACACCATCAGCCTCCCAGATGGCGAGGTCCCTACGGCTTTACCGCCTTTGCCGTACCCAGACAATAAGATCAACGAGGAGAAGCAGGCCATGTTGACAGATCTCTTCGCAGATCAGACTCGCACAGACTTCACAAACCACCCAGCAATACTGCATCTCTCTGGTGCAGACCTCGACATGCCTATCGACAACAGCTCTAACACGGCGCTCCATTGGGCTGCAACCCTTGCGCGGGTGTCTCTGATGCGCCTGCTGGTGTCGAAAGGCGCAAATATGTTCAGAGGTAGCGCGACGGGCCAAACGCCGCTGATGAGCGCAGTCTCTGTCAATAACAGCCTCGACCATAGTTGCTTTCCGGAGACGCTCGAGATTCTTGCGCCGCTGATCGAACTCCGCGACTCTCAAGGACGCACCATTCTGCACCACATTGCCGTCACATGCGCCATCAAAGGGCGCGCGGCATCCAGCAAGTACTACCTTGAAGCGCTGCTGGAGTATCTTGTCCGCAGCAATATCGGCGCCACCCAAATCCCATCCTTCCTCGAGAACAGCAACTACCCCAAACCAATAGGACTGATGAGGTTTATGCAGGAGATGGTCAACGCCCGGGATAAGGCTGGCAATACAGCTCTCAATCTTGCAGCCAGGATAGGGAACCGAAACATCATTTCACAGCTCCTTGAAGTGCAGGCCGACCCCACAATCCCCAATCACAAAGGGACGCGGCCGGTCGATTTCGGTGTAGGCAGTGACTTGCAGGGCGACGCAGACACTGTAGCATCTGCTGCCAGCCCGTCGAAAGGGAAAGCGCCGTTGAGCAAGGTGGAGGAAACAGCGCGCGAGATCCAACCGTGTACGTTCTGATATCCTCCTACGTCGTTTTAACTAACGAACCAAGTGATGAACGGCATCCTGCAGTCAGCATCGATGCAGTTCACGCAAGAAGCGCGTTTGAAGCAGGACTTGATCGATCAGACAAATTCCACAATCAGCACCCTCTCGTCTTTACAGAAATCCGAACAACACCGACTGGAAACCCTCCGCACCCGTCTTCGTCAGCGCCAGGACCGCGCTAAGAGAATCGCAAATCTGCAGCGCTGGCTGGAACCTCAACGGCATATGCTCGCTGCGACCAACGCCGCCACAGACCTCGATCAAAAGCGCGAAGTCGGCTACGCTGATGCAGAAGGCGCCGGCTTGCTCGTTCAAGAGTCTGATCTGCCCGAAGATGTCCGCAACGAAGGCGAGCATCTCATCCGGCAAGCCTCAGGCGGCGCGTCCTACCTCAGCACCCCGCTGTCCATCCCCCCAACCGCTACGCTGTCACCCAATCTTTCGTCCATACCCACCAATGTCCTTCGGCAGAGAATTGAAGTGTACTGCCAGTCCAATGCCGCGCTGCTGCAGAGGAGCAGACAACTGAAGGATAAAGACGGTCAGCTTGAGGCTATGTTCAGACAGGTCGTATGTCTGTGTACGAACGTGCAGGAGGATCGGATCGACGAAGTACTTCCTAGTCTTGTCGCGGCGCTTGACAGCGACCCTCTGGACGGCGTGGAGGTGGGGCGGGTGCGTGAATTCCTGCGGAAGGTGGAGGGCGTGGAGGCGTGAGGAAGTTCATGAGATGCCTCAATTATATTCCTTACTTATTTCCGTGGACTGGCAAGCGGTGCCTCGGCAAACGGTGTTCGGCGCGTGTAAATCAGCAGGCAGGCTGTTTGATGCTTTCTGGCATATCGATATCAATACCAGTACCTGTTATGAACTTCCTTCTGGCCAAACAGGGATTGTTGCTTCTTCCCGCTCAAAAAGCGTGTCGGTGTGTTTGCCGCCTTTTGCAAGCATCCTACATTCTCTACATTGACCGACTTTGGAAGTATCGCCCATGGGCTGTGCAAAAGGGCGGCTCGACTAGGCTCAAAGAGGCGCACGTATACACAAACCGTGTCTTGGCTACACTAGTCACATAATCATATGATCCCATCCATCCCTTCACGCAGATGTCGAAGCCGAAAACGCTTCACAAACATGACGACAACCACTCCCGCTTTCACTAGGCTCCCTGCCGAGATTCTCGTCCAGATCCTCGACCTGCCCCAAGAGCAAGCGTGGCGCGGCCCCATGTTCGTCACACCTCCACTCATTTCCTCTAAATCTAACTGAGCCAGCATCGACTTCTCAACCCTCAAATCCTTCCGCTTCTCCTGCAGAGCGTATGCCTACGCCCCCTGTGTCCTGGAGAGACTGTTCACCAGGATCCGCTTCTTGGCGTCGCCGGACCACGTGCGTTCTGCTGAGACCCTCGATGTGGGACTGATCAGGCCCTGGGTCAAGAGCATTGTAATGCAGCCGGCAAAGTACGTCTGGGACATGACACGACTTGTGTATGAGCAGAATGTATTCAATCAGCCGCTGAAAACGCTTCGTCACTGGAATGATTCGTGCCACGTATGGGATAGTCCGCTGGATTATACGGCCCCTGACTTTGAGGCATGGAATGTGCTAGGAAGGCCGCAGTTCGAAGAGTTGGGTGTCAGAGGGTTCGTGGACAAGTATTTGGAGGGTAAAATGCCGTTCTCTGAGGCCCAGATCCAGGTCGGGTTTGAGCAGTACATGCAACAGGCAAACTGCATGAAGGCGATGTATGAGGAACGCCGCGTCGAACAGGCATGGGCCAAGGTGCTGTCCCAACTCCCCGATGTCCGCGTGTTCAGCATAGGCAAGTGGGACCCCGCGTCGTGTAGTAACTACACAGACATGTGGAGCGACCGCGGCGACGACATCGACACGCACGCGCACGATCAGTACGACGGCACAGAGCACTGCAGAGACGTGTGCCGCCAACTCCAAGAACCCGTCGCGAACGCGCTCTTCGGCGCCGCATTCGCGAGCCTCGCCGCCGCAGGCTCGCTCGTCGAGGACCTCACCATCGAAGCCATCGTCGACGGCGGCTACGCCTGGGCCACGAACCCCTCCCTCGCCGCGCTCAACCTCTCCCGTCTGCACTCCCTCACGCTCCTCGCCGTCAGCACACACGAAGAACTCTACGGCTACTGTGAGCCGCGTACCCCCGCCCCCTCCTCCCGCTGCGCCGCCGCCCTCAGCACGCTCCTGCACAAAAGCAGCGCCACCCTGAGGTCCCTCTCGCTGTTCCCCAAACTCCACCCGGACAGCGATCTCTACTTCCCGCTCCCGTCCACGCGCACCTGCGCCGGCACCCCGCCGCTCCCCGCGCTCGCGCGCCTCGCCACCAGCCTGCCCCTCGACGTCCCGGCCTTCGCGCGCCTCGTCGCCGCCAGCCCGCTCGTCCACCTCGCGCTCGACACCTGCGCCCCGAGCTCCCACGCCGAGTGGCGCCCGGTCTGGGACGCTATCCGGCACCACCGCAATCGCATGGTGCTGGACTTCAATCACTTGTGCTGCGGGAACTCCGGGGGGCTGTGTTTGACGCTGCATACGGGGAATGAGCCGCCTTGGGAGATGGATGGGGTGTCGTCGAGTTTGGAGAAGTATCTGACGGGGGAGGGGGGGTGGGATGAGGAGTGTAGGGCTCAGTTCGAGAGGGGGGAGGAGGCGGGGAGGGGCGGGAGGGGAGGGAGGGGACGTGGGAGGGGAAGGGGGGGATGAAGGGAGGTGGTGAGGGGTGGGGCGGGTAGGTAGTAGTATCCTGAGTCGGCGAGGCGGTGGTTGAAAGCATTCGCGAAGTCCATGCTATCATGTCTATAGAGCACGGAGCAGGGCGATACTGCCCCCACAAATGAGTTTCCACGCGAAAGCCCCGGACGCCATGTCTGGGATTACTATCAGGGATATGTAACATATTCCAGCTCTAATATTCCACATACGACCATAGGACGTTGAAAACAAGGCTTCCCGTTCGCTCAGCCCTATTTAAGCAACGTACCGGTGGATTAGTACTCAGGTGGGTGACCACTGGGGAATCCCCACTGTTGTATGTCAGTCATTTCTTTTTGCCGGGTTGGAACTTCTACCTAATGTAAGTCTGTAATTTTTGGCCTGTTTGAGTTTGGGTCTTCCCATCGTCCTACGGAGCGGAGACTGAGGAGAAGCAGTTTGACGACTGCTATGCATCTGCTGCGTGCGCCTGTATACGTAACTACAGGCTAGACGTTGAATCCCTGTCCAGCACGTTCTTGAGCTGCACGTTGTCTATCCCGTCTATAACAATCTCCCTAGGCAGTGTTCCATAATCCCCGATCAACCACAGTTACACCCCAAACACCGTCCCTCACAACTCGCGTGTCCACACATCCCCCCCCCCCCCCCCCGCCGTCCATCATACCCAACCACCCAAGCACTCAACCCCTCCCACCCCCTACCGCCCCCCCTTAACGCCCACACCCTCCCCCCCACCCCCGAAATCCCCACCCAACACCCCTCCCCCGCCGCCCGCCCACGGCCCCCCCGGCCCGCCGCCGATGCCTGCGATGTCGTTGTTGTACAGCGAGACGCCGCCGTTGTGGGTTTTCCGTTTCTCGCGGAGGGCGCGGCGGGTGGCTTTGCGGTCTTCGGAGGTGGGACTGGAGGGGGAAGGGGAGGGGGAGGAGGGTTTGGTGGGGGTGTTTCCCATGGTTTCGTGGCGAGTGGGTGGGTGTGGTAGCACTAGAATGGCGGGTTCGAGGTGTTGCGAGCTCTGGGGTTGGTTGTTGTTGGATCTGGCGATAGGTTGGAGCTGGTTGTTGTTGGAGGGACTGGGATGGAAGGTGGAGGAATTGGGTGGTAGGACTTCTTCCTAGACTCGGTCGTTGGAATCAGATCTTGAAGTTGATTGTTGCGATTGCTTGTTTGATGTGGGTGTTCGAGTTGGTTGGTGATGTGGAGGTTGGTGTGCGTTCCATGTGTTATGGGGCTGGAAATAGACTGTTCCTCGCGCCCTTTGTACACCACTCGTGTCCCCATATATTATCTCATGCTTTCTTCCTCGTTCGTCGAGATCTGCTCACTGGTTGGGATAAGGCCTCCAACGGGCACTGCAGGTGACGTCATTGTGCCACTAAGTTTTTCCCGATACTGGGGTTTTGTGGGACATTGTGGCGGGTACGTGATGAGGCGGCCGGGTGATCCGTTTTAGCGTTTTTCGAGGAGGTCGTGTGTTGATGGAGGGATAACTGCATGCCTAAAATTGTGTATGAGAACATGTCATCATGATGTGTCTTAGGGGAGGTAGTAGACTTTTTGGTTCGGTGGGCGGAAAGCGAGAGTCATCATCTGCTCTGCTTTCGAGAAAGGTCCTGGAATTCTTGTAGGAATTGAGATATCTGTTGGCTCAGATGGAGATTTTAGTACCTGGCAGTGTGAATTGCAAGCGGTGCAACTTTCAAGGACAGAGCATCTGATTGTTCTATAATTTGCCGTATGAAGAGTGCCACAGTGTGTGAGAATCTACACACTCATGAAGAGCATGATCGCATCGGTGTAGACAGTTTTAGCTTTTGTCTCTCCACGATCATCAGTGACTAAAGCCTCCTGCCTCGAGCAACTCAAACCAACGTACTCCACTTGATCGACCAGCCACAATATGCCGCAGAACGGAGTGATCCACCCTGCGCATGCTCTCACCGTTCCTTGCTCACTGAGTAGAGTACTCCATCACCTCGACGGACTCCTAGAGGCGCTGACAGTACGCACTCTCGACCCGTCCCGCCCAACTACCCAACCACCTCCTATCATCCTTCTTTCCCCGAAAGCCAACCTCCAGTACCTGTCCGCCTCCCATCACATTGTTCATACCGCAGCCAGGCTCCCTATTGTTGTTAGCAAAGATCGTCCCTTGCCCTTGCGCACGTTCATCTTAGCAATGCATCTGCTTAGGCCACACTCGTATACCTGAGAGGCGAAGTGAAAGGAAAGACTCACTGATAGAATGAACACACGACGCCAGTCTCCACGCTCAGACTCCGCACCTGGCCGTCGAAGCCACCGAAGATGTTGCGCATGTCCGTGCAGTAGCTGTTCGCGGGGACGAAGGTCGAGGCGCCAGAGAGGTTGGCGAGCTTGAAGAGCGTGGCTACGCCGGCGTCAGCGCGGGGAGCGAGGGAGATGTCGGTGGACTCCAGCGTGAGTGGAGTGGGAAACGCGGTAGCGAGGCCGGCGACGAGGGCGATAAGAATAGAAGACTTCATGGTTATTTTTGTGGTCCGGATAGCGTTTTGTTAAAGCGCAAATCGACGGTATTGGGTAGCGGGGCAAGGTGGCTTTTATACCAAGGGAGTGAGTGAAGGTGAAGTTGAACATGGGGCGCCTTTCCTTGCTTCTTTGTGCTACTTGTGACAGGTATCGCAGCTCGAGGACGGATGTTCAAGGGATGTGTCTGTGTCTGCTTGATTCGAGCGATTATATTAGGCGTAACATGCCGACTCTATTGCCAATCTACTTGTACCTCTCGTCAGAACTGAATCTACGATCTCTACACAGAACCCACACACATGAAACATTACTCTTATTACGCGTCAACATGAAAACCAGCGCGTCGCTTGAACGCTGCAAGACTCACACTCTGTCCAGACCTTCCTCTCCCTTCTTTACGAGGCCATCTTCACTCGAACTACTATCGCCATCTAGAACTGCAACGGGCGCTTCAGATGCGGGCTTCGCAGCTTCGACACCCCCATCTGCGACACTCTCGTTTGGCTGAGCAGGCTCCTTTGGAGGCTCCTCCACAGTAATAACAGGCGATAACGCAGGCACAGGCACTGGCGCAGACGCACATTCTTTCGCAGGTTCCGGCTTGGCAGGTTCGTCTGTTGACTCTGGTGGAGGGCTGGAGGGCTGGCTCTTCTGCTTCGGTGGTGCCGTCGCAGGGCTGGCATCCGGATCTGCTGCTGGGGGCGGTGCCGCACTGTTCGCGGGCGCAGACGTATTGCCGTTGGCACCGGGCGATACTTCCGGCGCGGAGATGATTTGCGTCTGGGGTGGGCGGGCGCGCAGCGCGGCGTTTGCGCCTTCGCCCACGGCATTCATATACATGTCCGCTGGTGTCGTCAGTAAGCTATCGACATGGGCTGAAAAGCTTCAAGCAATCTGTGTCACGAGCTCAACTTACGGTCGTTCATGGTATTACTCCTCACAGCCTTGTCCAGCAATCTTGTTAACCGTGCCACTTCGCTCCTCACACTGACGCTGTCATCAATGGCAATCTCATCATACCCATGAACGCCATGCTGGATCCCCAACCACATCACCTCGCTATTCTCCATCTCATCGACTACGCGATCAAGATCATCCCTGTACATCCTTGCGCGCATCGGCTGGCCTCTGCTCTTCAGATAAGCGACCAGACCTGCAATGACAGTATTCAGCGCGCCAAAAACCGTGATCAGAATATGCGAAGACTCGCTCGCACCCAGCCCAGTTAGAGCAGCGCCCAGAACGACCTGTGTAAGCAACAGCGTGTTGGACAACGCCGCCGTGAACATGTACGTCCTGTTCTGCGCATCGCGTGTGTGGATCGCGCGGCCATACAAGCTTCTCTTGAAACTCGCCGGCCTGGGTGCGTCTATCGGTTTGTTGGATGGCGGCACGCCGACAAGTAGGCAGAATTGCTCATGGATGTCCTGCTTGTGGCTGCTACCATTGCCGATGAAGTCCGAACTCAAGAAAGGGAGGGGGTTCCCGCCGAGCAAAGGCGACCGCTCGTTGGGCGACATGGTAGGCTTGTTACACTGCGACAATGTCGAACTGAGTAGTTCAAGTCAGGGAAGTCAAAATTTGCACGGCAATCCAGCGGTTGCGCGATTCGAGCTTGAAGTTGACCTGAGATGAGGAAGCTACAAGCGGCGTAGCGTGAACACTAGTGTCCAGATTCGTGTTGGTGGATGAAAGCTCCGCGGTCTAGTTCGAGCGGTTTGCACAATTTATGCAGTGGCGTTGATAACGTGCGGTCACCCATGTATCGTTCAGTCGACGCATGATGGCCTTCATAGTGTGAGTGTTCTGAAAAGCAAGGGAGGCACCCCGTCTGTTGCCTCTCGCAGATGACTATGAGGCAGGTCATTCGGTCGCACAAGGCTGCAACAATAGGTCATATTGAGAAGTATCCAACCTAGGTGCAGTGAAACCATATCAACACGCCTTCGCAGCCCATGACAGGCAATTCCATCTAAAAACATATAAACAAGGGGTGGCGAGAGCCAGGGGTATTATGTACTCAATGCGCAATTGCTGTGTGTAAGGATAGAATGTTAACAAATGGACAGGCAGATAAACGCGTGCAGCTGTTACCCAAGCTCTTCGTCCGGCTGCACCTCCAGCCCACGCAGCCGTTGCGCTAAGAGGCCAGCAGCGGGCGGCGAAGCTGGGCTCCCGAGGGGAGAGAAGGCGTTGCCACCATAACCTAGATCGCCCTTGTTGAGTTTTCCAAAGGTCGCTTCCTGGTAGATGGAAACAATCAGACCTGGCGGCGGCGACGCGAGCGGCGACCGAAAGGGGCTCTTGGGGTCAACATCCATCTGTTCGCGAGAGACGGGACGTGACTCGATTGCAGCTAGACGTGTAAGATGGAAAGGTATGGGCTGCATGAGTGGGATGCTCGAGCCATAGTCTCCATTTGCCGAAGAGCTCAAGGGGCCGCCAGTAAAACGCACGGCAGGCGGTGGCAACTGCGGGTTCTGCGAGAGACCGTCCATCTGGTCGTACATTTGCTGAGACCGAGAGAGTGGCCATGCTGTGCTTTGACGCCTACGAGCTCTTTCGGTAACAAATGACGCGCTCGGTGAAGAGGGAGGTTGTATAGTTGAATCCCGTGAAGGTTTATAGGTGCTGTACTTCGGCTCGGGCTGTTGAATCTCGTTGCGAAGCTTCTCCTTTCCGTCCGGCACTCTATTAGCGAAGACGACTCGGATGCTCTTGTACAAATAATAACGCCCCTTTCCAGTGCAACAAATATGTAGGTGAATGAGATATCGCAAAATGGGTCGGTCTCTTGGATCATCAGAGTGACTTAAGGCGGCTTCGGGTCGATCTGTTCCGTAATTCTTCCGCGAAGCCAAAGGCATGTCGATGATGGGCCCAGCGGAGTAGCTACGCTGGCGGACGAATGTCTTTTGGCCAGGTTCCATATCTGAGACATCGTATGGTACAAGAAAAAGCTTGACTGCAGTCCTGTTCGGGTTCTTGAGAACGATCTGTAGCTGGCCTTCGGCTGGTATGCGATAACAGCCCCCTGGCGGCGCTTTAGGAGACGTTGGTCTACGCTTCCTCTTTTCCTTGCGTCGCAGCTCAGCCGTCGCAGTCTCGCCAACATGCTCGTCATCGAACTGAAGTCGAGAGTCGAGACTATTGTGATCCAGCTCTGGCGCAGTCGGGCGCCGTTTGCGCTTACTAGGCTCGCTATCTGCTGGTGGGACCAGCGAGTGCTCCAGATCGATAAGGCCAACGTAAGGACTTGGCTCGTTGTCAGATATTCGACCGTTCCCTGTGTTGTAGCTGTAAAATACAGCTGGAAAGGGAACTGTCACGTGTGGTGGGCACTTGAGGCTTGATTTGCACTGCCCCCTTCCAAGCACGCCAATTTTAGCGACGAAGTCAAGAGGCCGAGAAGGAGTTGTAGACATTCGACCGCGCAATATCGACTCTTCATACGAACCAACCATAGGAGCATGTTGCAAAGGAGAAGCATCTGAGATGGAAGGCCTTCGAACAGCAGATGGCGTCCGCGGGATGGAGTGTGGCTCGAGCTGACTGAAAGAGGTCACCGATCGCCTGGGCTGATGGGCCTGGTAGGGCATGGCCCCGTTGCGTCGTAAGTGCCGTGCTGCAGGCGTACCAGACGCGGATCTTGCCATTTGTGTCGTTTGGTAGTGCTGGGAAGAGTCGGGCGAAAAGGTGTGACGCCGATTGCTGCGATCCGGGCTTCTTGAGCCGTTTCTGGAGCTCGGCCGGGATGTGAAGTCCAAGTCAGTATTATTCAGCTGTTGCACCAACGGACTTGTGGGCGGCATGAATGCGAATGAGGTCGAAGGCGACTGCGATATCGCTCGCGCGCACGAGACTGGGGGAGAGTCATAATTGACAGTGTCGCTGGGTGAGTAGTGTGGAGCAAGTTGGGATGCAGGGATCGCAGCTGCAGGAAAGGAACGGTCCCACGGCACGACGGGAGACGTTGCTAACAGGGCAGACAAAGGTGCGCCACCTGCACCGGGGCCCCTCTCTCGCTCACGGAAATCTCCAGAATGTAGAGCTGAGCGGGGGCGCGCAATCTCCAACCCAGCTGACGCATGATCGGACAGCTGATCAGGTGTCGCTGTGCGCAACACTTTGGAATCGCTAGAAAGGGTGGGCGTCTTCGCACGGTCGCGAGAAGAGGGTCGTGAAGATTCCAGGGTACGTTCGTGGCGGCTGCTGTTCTGAAGTCATAGTCAGCTTCAAAGCTCCAAGCTCAACCTCCCGCGACCATTCACGGGCCTATTAGGTGCGACATTTACTCACGTCCTGGCGAAATTGCCACAAAGGACTCTTCACTCGCTTGATGCGCTCGATCAGGCCATTACGATCCCGCGAAGTTGGTCGTATGTCGTGGCCGACTGGTTCGTCTGCACTACCGAGTCTCAGAATGCTCTCCAAAGACAGGCCGCTCATGGGTGTCACGTCGTCGAGGTTTGGCATGATTTCCTTTGGAGGTTCAGCTGACGACATCTGGCGTGATGCAGTCCGCCCGGGCGGACTGCCTTGCGGATCATGAAATATCGGCATGTTTGAATCGACTTATGGCTGGAGAAAACATGGGCACAATATTGGACAGACTTCAAAGTGGTGAGTGGTGGGAGGTAGTGAGGTGCGACAGCGTGACGAGCACTGAGATGGCAGGGCAGGCTCAAACGGTTGGAGCACCTGCTGGCCCGGCAAATGACAGGAAGGAAAACTCAATTCGATTTAAAGGATGCGCTGGCTCCAGTGGCCGCCTCACCGTGCACAAGCCGCCGACTTGGAGACGAAACGCTGTGGAGCTGGCAGGCAAGGTGCGGAGGTGATGGCGACAGGGTCTTGACAGATGACGCGCTGTGATGCTTGACAAAGGCGAGCTCGGCCGCGACGATGAGTCTTATCGGGCGCAGATAGAGAGCGTAGCTGCGGCCAGACCGGTTTTGGCCGGCGGCTGGCTGCTCGGGAAGGTCACACGACGACGAACGGCCTTTCCGTCTCCTCTGCAAAGACTGGAGCTCCCGCGCTGCAGAAGCGCCCGCCTAGCCGGCGCGTCTCCGCTGGTCGTGCGCGATGTCTTATCGATTGTGGCGCCAAGACCCAAAGAATTACGCTTGTGCCCTCCTCGTGCACTGACGCGTGCAAGAAAATTATTGAACACCACTCGCAAGAATGGCAGAAAAACGAGCACACGACGGCGAGGCAAGCAGATCGGTGAAGAAGCAGAAGAAGGGGTTCCAGATCGGACCGGCCAACCTGCCTGATGGCACGCACAGGCGCAAAGGTGTGTTCTCATCGCTTTTGGTAGGGTCTGGTGTTGACTATTTGCAGTGAAAAAGATCAAGGAGGACATCATCTACAAATCCAAGCTCAAGAAGCAGTATGCCAAGCTCAAAGCACGGGAGGCAGACGAAGCGGATGCGCCGCGCAAGTCTGTTTACGAGCGTGAAGCTGAAGCCAACCCCGACAACGATGAGCCCGTCGAGATTATTCCAGAACCCACGCTCGAACCGCACCCCGAGCGGGTGAAGATGCTCGAAGAGCCTGAGAAGGAGACTCCGAATTTCGAGCGGCGGCAAAGGCGGGCGCGCCCGCAGCCCTATGAGAAGGAGGCTGAGATGGCACGCAAAAAGCAAGAACAGACGGAGGCACGGGAGAAAGCACGGGCAGAGGCAGACAAAGAACGTACGAAGAAGATAGCGGAGCGTGAGCGCTTCAGGAAGGCCATGGCCAAGGCGAGGGGAGGCCCGAACGGGCAGAGAAAGCTGGGACGAGAGAGCCAGGTTCTGCTGGAGAAGGCACAGAGGCTCATGGGCAAATCGTGATGAGCAATATCGGACGCGCCAATCTGGGATCTAGCAACATACGACGCAAGTTGCCCCAGTAGGAAGCCACACGCGTGTGCAGTTGCACCAAGGCTGTGCCCCGCTTTCATGAACTGAAGACGATAGTATGCGTCTTCACGTCTCCAGCACTATCGTGCGGGGCCTAGAACGAACGCATGGACGGAGCCAAATTTGGTGTGCGAGCATGGTAGCACGACCGTCACCGCTCTGTCCTGCGCCTCGGCAGCTCCTGCCTCCGTTCAACATCACCTGCGCGTCTTGCAGTGAACTGCATACACCAGAGAATAGAGAGACACTAAGCCGCCACCAGCAATGCGACTCTTGTGGTAGCAACACGAGTTTCGAATATACTCTAGGATTGACCTCGGCTTCCAGCTGTGAGCCATTCGTACCTGCAGCCCGTCGACCGTTCCAAACTTGACTTTCCTTGGCGCGCTAAACAGCTCACTGTCCAGCTTAGGGGCTCGCTCTTTCTCTCTCTCGCGCACATGCACGAACGCAGTCTGGTTTCATCCCACAGGCGTCCCACCTGTTCGCTTACTCGACGCACTTATGTCACAGCTTACGTGTGCGGCTCTGCTGGGTCGCACAGTTTCCGTCTACACCGACCTTTTTCGTACGCCTTGAACCTTAGCCCTACGGGCAAACAAAGGATGGCTGTTTGATTCAGGCGTGGAGCGCTACAGTTGTCTGCGATGACTCATCAGCCCTGTTTCGTCGATCTTTCTGTGTCACGATAAGCTGACGATCCTCTGGGACAGACCGCCTCCAGCCTTGCGGTGTTCTGTACCGGTCAATGGTCTACGCAGGTCTTCTCTCATTGTGAGGGGCCACTTGCAGGCTTCTCGGGTCAAGATCTGTGGCCGTAAGTCTGTCCCTCGCACCTCTCTAGCCAAGATTGTGTATGCCCGTCGCAACGCACCAGTGCGGTGTCCAATGGTGATACAGCAAATTCCACAATCAATGCTCGAACAAAGACTATACACCTACTGCATTAGCGGTCGAGTATACCACAGCATACAGGACAGTTCACCGGCGGGCTGCACGATCTTGAAAGGTCGACTTGCAGCGGCCATGATTTGGAAATATGACCCACTGTCTGGGTACTTCTACCTCCGGAAAATCGCTTCATCGAGCTTACGCTTTACTGGGCGCCTTAGCTAGTCACTACAAAGCAAAGTTTCCTCCACATCAGAAACATAGTTGTACTCACACGAAACTCACATAGCACTTCTTTCCAACGGTGTCCTTGCTTTCCCTGAATCACCCATCACCCCGAGACTCTACAGAACGTCTTCGACGATCCACCATGTCCAGCAGCGAGCGGAAACCCCGTCGATGGACACCGGCAGAGGATGAGACGCTGCGCGAGCAAGTCGATGCCCAACAGGTACAAGGCGGTAGCAGAGACTGGTGTCAGATTGCTCTGGCTCTGCCCGGGCGATCTAATAAGGACTGTCGAAAGAGGTGGCACAATTCAGTCACCGAGGGCTTGAAGAAGGGTCAGTGGTCAAAATCCGAGGATCAGCTTCTCATCCACGGCGTGCAAAGCTATAGCTTCCAGTGGACAAAAGTCGCTACGTGCGTGTCCTCACGCAGTGCAGATCAATGTGCGAAACGATGGCAGCAGTCGCTCGACCCTCGTCTTGATCGTAGCGAGTGGCGCGAGAGCGAAGACAAGGCTCTTCTCGCAGCAGTAGAGAGTCTAGGGCGACACTGGAAAGACATACAAGAGCAGTACCTTCCCCATCGATCAAAGAACTGCGTCAAGAACCGCTTCTCAGTTCTCTCACGCCGAAACGCCATTCATTTGGCGCCTTATGACGATAGTCTCGGGAGCTCGTCCTCGGATCCAGGTACACCACTTCAGCTGGAAGGCGATCTGCCACTAGACTTCATGACAACTTCACTCATGCACAACACAACACATGGCCTGTACCAGCAAGACCAAATATCACGGACCCGCAGCGTGGAAATGTCTTGGTTGTGGTCAGGAAGCAGCGACCCGAGTGTATCACTGCCCGCAAGCCACTTCGACTCTTTCGACGCCAACTTGTGGCCCGCGTGTCCCAATGTAATTCCAAGTCAGACGCTGTCGAGTAACGCAGGTCAGTGGAATGGCATACACACAAATACGGGCACACCACCTTCAGTACAGTACCTCAGTACTTCAAACCCACAGATGCATGCGTATTCATATCCAACACACCATCCTGCTGACTCACGAGGGACTCAGTATGTGGCCCCATCCACAAGCTCATCTGAGTTGTACGCACCAGCTGCTGGGTCATCTCGCTTGCCTACACACAGGGGAGCGTACGGTCATTCGTATAGAGGCAGCTAACCATGGGTCGCGCAATTTCATATTCACAGCAACATATACTCCACTGCGACGGGACAGAACTAAAACGGATTTAGTTCTTGTATGTATTCAATGCTATTTACGCTCTCTACGCCATTGCATCGTCGTCCTCCGGTCGACGGGATTGTTTGCTTTCACTTGTACAAAAGTAGTTTCGAAGCAGAATACAAGTCACAAGCAGACTCCAACTTTTTGGGGTGCCTGCGGCCTATCGGGATTGCTTTTTACCGCCATGCGATCATCGGCGAAGACAGACGTCAAATAGGTAACCGAGTGCCCGAGATGTTCCACGAAAGTAAGCAACATTCAGTCTAAAACCCTCCACACCCGCCGTTTCCATGCTTCCACACCTCGCAACTATCGCCTTCATCAACCACAATGCAAGAGCCATCCTACAATCCCGAGTATGCCCTCCCTTCTCCACTACAATAGCCAACTCACGCCCTCACAGAAGCCCCATGGGCACCTACACAATGGCTTACCAACATCCCCTTACCAGCAGTCCCACCCACACCGCTGTCGGTATGCTCGTCGAGTACCCACCCAACGGCGCCACACCACCACACCGCCACGGTGGTGCCTGCGTCTCCGCGTTCGTGCTGCAAGGCTCCGTCCTGATCAAGATGAATGACGAGCCGGCGCGCGTCGTGCCCCAGGGCGGCTCGTGGTATGAGGCACCCGGCTGCCATCATCGGATCAGTACGAATGCGAGTGCGACGGAGCCAGCGTCGTTTTTTGTGAATTTCGTGGTCGAGTCGGAGGTTTTGAAGAGGGAGGGGGTGGCGGCGCTGTTGCAGTATGATGCTGAGTGGGTTGATATTGTGGCGCAGAAGACGCGGGGTTAGCTCGGCTGCTGGTTGGGTGAAGCGATGCTTGTTCGCTTTTAGAGTACCGTACCTCTTCCACTGACATCTTCCAGGATGTCTACATGGATGCTTGGCTTCTAGCTATGCACAGCCTTTCAGTTCCTATTTTTGACACGCAAGCAATGTCGTGCATATTTCAAGGTTTCCGAATGGGGTTACTATCCAGAGTTCTGTTGATTGCTCAGATGACAGAAGATTGCCTTTGCGGGTACTGTATCCTGCGCGTGAAAGTCTTGTGGCGAGGTGCCAGTCGAGATATCTGGCAGATCCGGGTATACTGCAACTACTAGCTGTATCAATTGGAGAAACCCCATTTTCCATCGACATTGTACAGTCCACAGCCACGCGGCTAATGCTCTCAATACTGACAGTCACAAGCACTCTTCGATCCGGTTATGTTCAGTTCCCGGCGTCCGGCAACCGGCAACCACTTGCAGCTCCAGTAATTTCGACTCAAGTACCGCACAGTATGCCGCCTTCACGATGATCACAAATTATTATGGAAACAACATCCTCCGCAAAGATTTAGTTGTATTAAACTCGAAAGATAATAGTACCACGTAACGTCGTCATTTCTTATGGATCTCGTCCATCATACAGTATCTATTACTCGCTCCCTCAGCGCAGGCCCATGGTCCTCACCAATCTAAAGGTACTGGTCGATGAAGTCCCTCCCAGTAGACACGCGAGCATACACGCCTGGGAAGTTCGGCAACGCACACCCAGTACCCCAGCTAACAATACCAATCACTGCACCCGTGCTGGCGTCAGTGAGCGGGCCGCCACTGTCACCCTGGCACGAGTCCTTACCGCCGCCAATGACCGCGGCGCAGACCATGTTATCGGTCACGGTCTTGGGCGGTGTGTCTGCCAGGTAGTTGGCGATGCACTCCTCGCGGCTCACAATCGGAACCTCGACCTTGCGCAGAAGAACATTTGACTCCGTTGCATTGCGAGTGTTACCCCTGTATACTGGTCAGTCGTGGACGTTGGGTAAGTAAGGATAAACGCACCATCCAGCGGTGGTGGCAACGATACCAGCTTCAGGGTCGGTTCCTGCAGCTGCAATCGTGGCATAGCCGATAGTCGAGCTTGTTTCGATGGGTGCTGCAAGCTTGATGATAGCATAATCGTTGTCCGTGATGCTAGGGTTGTACTCGGGATGCATGTGGAGCGAAAGAGCTGGGACTACGACACCGCCCGAGGTACGGTTCTAGCGGGCATCAGTCGAGTACAAATGAAGTGACGGTAACAACTCACAAGAGAACCAGCGCGGACTGTTGTCTCTTCGGGAGACTGGTATTCGACGCAGTGAGCTGCGGTCAAGACAGTGGTCGAGTCCAGTAAACTACCGCCGCAGAAGTGGAAACCGTCGATTTGCATGCTGACCATAAATGGGTAATCTCCAGCTTTGGCAACAGTGCCTCCAACGATCTGGGGGGTGTTGGTCTCCTCCCATTGAGGTACAGGTGAGGCGGAGACCGCGGACAAAGCGGCAAGGCCGAAGATGAGGGACTTGGTGGTCATGATGGGTGGTCCGGTCGGGCCTGCGGAAGCTTGGTAGTGAGTGAGAGTAAGGAGCTGCGAGAACTGGTTGTCTAAAACCCCAGAGTTATTTGGTACTTATAGCATCTTGAAGATAGCGATGGTGACCTTCCTTTCGTGGATATTAAAGATACGATGCGATCCATTGAACTCACGATTCATCTTTCCAGTTAGAGCTACCCAAGGCTTGGTGACATGTTGTCGTCGTTCTCTAATTGCGGATTGCGGCAAAGATCGCTCCCAAGGCCCGTAAAAGCTCCGTAACTTAGCTGGTTCTGGAGATACAGTAGTACCCTGTTCTGCTTTACTGGCTACTAGCGTCTAATCCGCACCAGGGACGGCTGCTACGTTGGCAAAAAAACGTTACAACAGCATTGTGATCAGCAGCTCCACCATACAAGGTGATTGTAGGAGCATGATCATTTTGTGATCCAAGTCGACGTTGAATCTTGCCTAACGAGTGCGCAGTAGGTATTCTCCGATGCATGTCTGCGAATTGCGATTGGGTGGATGGTTTAGAATACGAGCCTAGCAAACAAATCTGCGCCCATCATTGGTCAGATAACACTTTGCTGAAAACCCCTGCAATGTACTTCGTGGTAACGCTATCAAGCTCTGGTCTGTTTGGGTACCTACCACTTGGTCACCAGTCTTATGCTCGATGCTCCTGCCAAGCTCACAACGCAGGCAGCTCGATGGCTGGTTACGAACCTTGGCATATCGATTGCGGGAAAATTAAATTGCCTTTCGCTTATCATAAGCGGGTTTCCGGGAAACTAGTAGGTCTCTGGCAATTGACAGGGTATGGAGCCGCTGACGCTAGGTCTCAAAAGGCAGTCTGTAAGTGAGCCTATCGATTGTCATGCACGAATGACAATGCAGGTACTCTTGAAACATCAAAACATGGGGTGAGATCCTTTTTTCGTGGATACATGACGCTGAAATAAGGAGGTCGCCTGAGTACCCACGAGATCCTGATCATGCCTTCGCTGCGACGGATTCTAATGTCCCAGCTCGACAAGTACGTGCGCGAGTATTAAGCGTTTCTCAAAAACCGGGAACGAACTTAACATAAAGAGCCCGTCTATTCCATCGACTCGGTCATCTGCACGTTTCGCTAAACTAGAGATTTAGCATAATCGAATGTCTAAATCGCTACCGGTGGTACAGTAATTCCCCTACTAGACTAAAACAGCAGAGCAATAGATGAAATCGTGCTCTAATTTGGCGCACAGATTAAGTCACCCGTAAGTTTCATGTTAGTATAGTCATATCGTGTCGTCGGATCCAGTAAAGGCGTTTGGGAAGCACTCAAGGCAAGATCACGCTTTTGCAATGCAAAATCGTCATCAGATTCGCAGGAGTTGAGACCTACAGATTTACCAGGAGGTTTGAAAGAGTGTTTTGGAGTGATAAGAGGATAGTAAAGTATGTACACATATGAGTAGAGAAACGCTGATTGCAGGTTTCACCGATTTTGATGAGTACAGCCAGGCGTCACATCGAACGACCCTCTAGGTTTACCCTCTAGGTTTACCCCCTAGGTTTAACCTCATACAGTTGTTATTTATTGTGCCGAAAGAGGAGCTGATGATTTCAAGAATCGGCTGGCGGCGGTAGTGAGCATCGTCACGGTGAACTCTGGTACGTGTTGTTAGGTGTTCTGATGTGAAGCTCACTTTAGTTTCAGTGAACGATGGAACTCCTACGTGACCCCGCGCACGACTTTGACTCTGAGTTCAGCATTTTCCCTCGCTCTAGGCTCATACTATCAGCTGTTTCTCTCGACATGGCTTTTTTCGCGCCTCAATTCCAGATCGTTTCTGATCTCCACCTTGCAACACCCGTGCCAAAACCAGAGAACGCCTATTTCAAACTTGGGATAAGAGCTGATAACCTACTGCTACTTGGCGACATTGGCCTTATTACCGACAAGACCTCTTTGATCGGCTGCGCAGGACGCTGGAGGAGAACAGAGGGTGCCGCATTCTCTTTGTGCCGAGCAACCATCAGCCCTACCGTAGCACCTACAACAAAGCAGTCGCAAAGCTACGTAGCTCTGAACACGAAGCGACCAGATGGTCTGGTGGACGCTTCAAACGTCTTTGCCGCGACCGATACAATGTGGACGAGAATGTCACTATACTGGGATGCACACTATGGTCAGTTGTCCACCCGGAGCAAGAGGTAGAGGTGGAGAATCGCTCGACCGACTTGAACGCCGAAAGATCCGCAACTGGTCACTCGAGAGACATCGGCAGGAGCACAAAAGACAACGATCCTCAGCGCCGCATTCTGATCGCGACCCATCACAGCCCGACAATCGATCCCCGCGCTACTGGCCTAAAGCACCGAGAGAGCGCAGTATCAAGTAGATTATGAGAGAACTGTCTGGTACTTTCTGCGGAAAGATCAGAAAAATGATCCGCTTCTGAGAGAAGGGAATACATAAATTCTCTCAGGCGGTATCCTAACACTGGACCATAGAGACACCGGTTTTTTTTTCATTGGTCTTGGATCCAAGGAAAACACTGACTTAATCTTGAAGCCTAGCGCAATTGGAAGGAGAGCCGTTATTTGGGCTTCGGGGAATTCTCAGCAGTAAAAGAGAAGAAAAGCCAATATCACACGCTACCATCGCCTCACATTTTCAGAAAAGAAATTCCGCAAGAAAAAAAATTGTTCACAGACTCATGAAGTAGTATTGTTAGTCCTTAAAGTAGGTAAAACAGGAGCCGAAGACACATACTTTGTGTTCTTTGGAAGCGAAATGCTGAAACATGGATCGGAGTTGATATATCTTACTTAAGCTTGGTTTAAAAAGCAAGTGTACTATACTCTCCCCAAGTGAGCGCACTCTTAGTTCACATTCACATCTTTGTAGAGCTGACGAGGTTGTCAATCAATTCTTTCAACATGCAAGTTCTTTACTGTCTTTGAATACGCTGATTACATACCGCTCGTAGGCATTGTAATTGCTCCTCTCTATGACCAACCTGCCAAAGACAGTCACATATGAAAAGTGCACGAATACAAGACCAAATCTTCCTGGTGAGCTCGGATTGAAGCTCAGTCATCCTGAACGCCAACGAATTTGCACGAGTCCTTCCATAGCTGTTCTGCTTTCTCCTGGTCAAACGCCCACTTAGCGTGTCCAGGCTTCGTGTCAAGCCCATTCGAGTCGTCGCCCTCCACCGGGCCCCACTCTCCAGCATCTTCTAGATACTTGCCCCCGACACCCTCGTACTCTTTGCCGATTGCAGCCAGTACGGTCGTCGCCGCGCCCTGGGGGATGGACTTCAGATTCGCCGCAAGCTCCTTGTTTTGGGAAAAGTTTTCCAGAAAATCAGACGACAGGTGTCGGGTCAACTCCGTCATGATCCCACCAGGATGGACGGCAAGGCTGTGGAGGCCCTTTGCTCCGTAGCGCCGTTCGATTTCGTTGGACATATAGAGATTGGCAGTTTTGGCCTGGCCATACGCGATGAAGTCGTTGTAGGGTGTGTTTTCAAAGTTGTAGTCGTCGGGCAGAATGCTGGAGAGGCGGTGAGCGGAAGAACTGAGCACAACGACGCGAGATTGGAAGTCTGGTGTAGACGAGCGAAGGAGGGCCGACTTGAGGAGCTGGAAGAGGAGGAAATGGCCTATTCAGGTGTCAGCGAGAAAGTCTTGAGAATCATGGGGGGATGCAGAAGCTACTGGTCTTACCTAGGTGGTTTGTGCCGAACTGAGCTTCGAATCCATCGGTAGTGAGAGTGCGCGATGCAATCGCCATGACTCCAGCATTGTTTACAAGGATGTTGAGCTTGCCGCCAGTGCGCTTCAAGACATCATCCGCGGCCTTTCGCACGCTGGCCAACGATGCGAGATCCAAAGTAACCAACTCAATCTTGCCTTCGATTCCAGACAAGGCCTTTTCTGCCTTCTTCAGATCTCGGGCAGCTGCATATACAGTTGCACCGGTCTTAGCGAGGATCTTTACTGTCTCCACGCCAATGCCGGCTGAGGCGCCAGTGACGAGGAAGACTTTGTCGGAGAGCTTGCCTTCGAGGCCTTCATCTTTGAGAATATCGTATGCGGTAGGACGAGCATCACCTGGTCCCTTGGTGGACAAATGGGATGCTGCGTACTTGTTGGTTGACATTTTGACAGTGATGGTAAGCTGATGTTGAGTGATGGTGAACTGATGTTGAGTGATGGTAAGCTAATGTTGAGTGGTAGATAGAAATAGATCCTGTGCTGCTACGTCTGCCTTATATCCTCATTCTCCAAACATCTGGTCAGTGATGTTTGGATTGTGTGATCCATTGATAGTGCACAAGAGGCACATAAAGCTTGGCGACATCGATCACCGCGTTCGTCCGCGTTGGATTAAGTCCATATCAGCCGAGCAAGGTTGTGAAGCCATGGAGCTTAGAAGCACACCCCGTTCACCATTAATCAGCGAGAAGATGCAGATCGAATTAACCTTAGCGCAAGCTTAATAGGGGACAGGGTTCCTTGAATATACGGCCCGAGAAGCATCGACGCAGGTTTTGGCACTAGCAGCTTAGGGCACTTATCTGAGATCGGCATTGCGAGACTTGTGTTTCGGCTATGTAATTTGCCTTGGCTCTTGACACTTTGCTTCGTCCGTGTATTTTCGATTCTGCCACGTCGCTAGCCATGGAGATAGGTAGTACACCGCTACGGAGTTTATTCAATTAACACCGGAGAATGCAAGCTGCGGCAATTTGCACTAGGTACTCTAGACATGGGGTCTGAATTTGGGCGTTGCGAAATACCGGTAACAGTGGAGTTCTCTAGTGCAATTCTCTACCACTGCAATTCATTTCTAAATTTCTCAAAGCTTTCATCTTTCCCTACTCACTTCTCTACTACCATCTGTTGACAAGTCAAGAATGGCTACTCGTTCGCCCGTCTGGTTTGTTACAACAGCTTCATCTGGCTTGAGGAAGTACATGGTACTCGAGCACTTATCCCGTGGACACAGAGTTATCGCTACCGCTCAAAGTGCATCAAAAATTACTAACCTAGCCGGCCATTGTCACTCTTGACGTGACCGCCCCTTCACCAGAGATGGAAAAGGTCGCGACTTAGGCAAACGATAAGTATGGGTACATATTTCACCTCGCGAACGTTGCGGGTGCCTCCTCGTCGGCGCTGTGAAAGAGCTCTCTGGAGCAATGTGAAGATTTGGGACTGACTGCGAAAAGTCCGAAAGAAGACTTTGGTCACTTTAACACGAACGTGTTTGGCATGCTCAACGTGAGCAAGGCATTTATCCTGTACTTGCCTGGTTTTGCGGTTTAGGCTACGCCCTCTACACCGGTACTAAGTGGGCTTGCTCGGGATTATCTGAAGCAATGCGCGCAGAGCTTGAGCCATTCAATATCAATGTCATTGTGGTGGAGCCTGGATACTTTCGAATCGGCGCCTTAAATGATGAGGCCCTAGTTTTCTCTATTGTCCGAATGAAAAAGTACGATAATGCGCAGGTAGGGCGACTGCGTGCTAGTTTGAAGTCAATGGATAACAAACAACTCGGTAATGTGGTTAAGAGTAGGGGAAGCTGCAGGCGACAGAAGAGCTGCTCAATGAGTGGATTCCAATCGCAACAACGACGGATCATGCGTAGAAGGTATGGTGTGTGATTCAAGACCTCCTGCTATAAAGTACCTGGGTAGTAAGATTGCGATACCTAAAAACCGTCGTCCAACGATTAGCAGCTTTGTAACTCAACGAGAACTCCCTGCAAGAACAGATTATACGCACCATTGTTCGTGGAGAAGTACATGTGAGAGACATCGGACGAAGGACTATTTCGTCATTTCGAGACAATCACCAAGCAATCTTAGCGTCCATTTACGGAACCGCTAAGGACCAATTTTCGTCCGCCTGTTCGTCTTCAATCGAATGATGAGTAATCATTCGCTAGTGTACCCCGGGACGTGGGGAACGTAACGCACTGTTGATCGCTCGATTCAATTTCAAAACTAAGGCTTGTTTGTTATGGGTGATTGGATATGTTCCAGAAATTATAGATCTTGGCAAGAAGCTCTAATACCTAGATCTAAACAACATCTAGGTATGAGCTTGCTCAGTAGTTGCTGTATTCAACGAATCTCCCACTCATACGATGTTCTTTCTATATGGTTGCCGAAGTGGGACCCCTCCTCGCACAGCAGCACGGCGTACCTTGTCATTACGACGCAAAGCACGGGTCCACCGAAGCCTCAACGCGGAATCCGTTGTATGCAACCAGGCTTCCCGAGTACGGTCGCAAATTTAGAATACCTGCCGTTGTGTTCTTTGTCACAATAAATCGGGTTGAGATACCTATACAATTAGCACCTGGATGCATCGCGACATAAGCCGGCCTTGAAGACAAGCTGTGGACATCGTATACGTGGGGACAAAGTAACAACTTCCTATCTTCTAGTATGGTTGTCTCTATGCCAATCCGTAGTGAAATCAGTGTAGCTTAGCAGGCGACATTCAAGACGACGCATTTACCAAGCCACCAAGATGAAATCGGTCTTCAATTGTGTCATCAGTCCACACGGTTCGACTTTCACATCCCAGAAACGACTTGGCAAACACCAGGATTGGGTAACCGCTTCCGAGGGTCCAGCTCCGAAAAACTTTGGCGTGGGCGTGGTGCCCCTAAGGCCATCTACGGCACAGAGCGTGTGGCAACGGTAAAGCAGTTATTTGCAGGAGGGCAAAGGGCGATGAGTATAGAGCGTTCATTCACACTGTTATCTACATATACACACTCCTCTCAATCACCCAACTCAACTTACATTCACTTCGTCTACCTCTTCGCGATGCCCGCCGCAAGCGCCTTCTCCTCGGCCTCCTTATTCTTCTTCTCCTGTGCCTCGATCTCCTCTACCTTCTTCCGTTCCTCCTCACGCTTGAGCTGATCTGGTCTGCGCAGCGCAATATCCTTCGGTTTGTTATCGCTGAAGAAGAACTTCAGACCCTTCTCGATGACATAGCACGCAATGAAATCGCCCGCCATGACTGTCGTAATCATGAACTTGAAGTCCGATGTGAACGGCACAAGCTTCAGTTTCTCGTTGATCTCGGGAACGAACTCGGTCGCGCAGGAGAAGGCGACCGCGGACACGGAGACAAGACCCCAGTACATCGCCTTGTTCTCGCGGATAGACTCGCGGAACGGTCGACCTTGGTAGTTGATTGCGAAGGTAGAGATTTGCTGGATGAGCTGAAGGAGGTAGATTGCGGAGTTGAGGAGGGAGGGTTCGAAATCCTTCTCGAGGTCTGGGTTGGGGTCCTTGGGCTCGACGCGCTGAACGTACTGGGAAACGTAGATCAGGGTGATGATGTGCACGGCGAATTGGCCGAGCACGGAGCCGATGATGTAGATGTTGAAGATGTTGTGTTGGGGTCGCTCTTTAGAAAGGGCTTCGACGGTCTATATCGTTAGCACAGATGCATTCAATCGTGAGGAGATACTAACCTTCGCGCGCGAAATGGACAAGAAGCATACGCTCATCATCATTCCTGAAATCGTGACCTGACCATCACCAAACTTGATGCCATCGAGGTACAACACCGACAGCGAGTAGGCAGAGATCAAACAGTTCAGGGCAAGAATCTTGTACATCTGGATTGTCGCAACAAGTGTGCAGCGACCCTGGCGGATAATGTTGGGAATGGCAACGACATTGGCGAGTTTCGAAGTGAAGGGGGCCGCGACAGAGGCGTCACCGAGTTTGATGGTCGGCGGCTCATTGTTCAACTCATCAAGCTCAGACTCCATCATCTTCTGCGAGAGCTGCTCCTGGATGCCCATCGGCTTCTTCTCGGCAACAGCGACGTCGGTTGAGCCGTTTGCAGCGCCGTTGGTAAGACCCTTCTTCTGGGCCTGCTGAAGCATTGCCTTCTCGTGGTGCGGGTTGGTCGGACCGGGAGGGTATAAGTGAGCAATGTGAATAGGAACCGGGGGTTGGGGCTGGTTGAAGCGGGTCATCATCTGGCACTGCTTCTCGTAGATCTCCTTCATCTTGGTGTTGCGATAGTGCTCGCCAATCTTGTCGAGATCGTCACGGGTACCGTTGAGCAATGCAACACCAATGTGAGCCTGCTTGAGCGCACCGACGTCATTGGTACCATCGCCAGCCATCAGAGTAGTGTAACCGCAGTCCTTCAGGCCAAGCAGAATCTCCTCCTTCTGCTTCGGCGACACACGAGCGTAGACCCAGGTGTAGCGGAGAATCTGCTTCCATCCAGGCTGACCAACAAACTTGGCAAGCGCGTAACCAGTGATACAAATGTCTTTCGAGTTCAGGATGTCGACAGGCAGAGGCTGTGTAGGGTCGACAGGGATGTTGATCTTGTCATCTACACTCTTCCAGACAAGCGCCTCACCAGACTCATCATGCTCAGGCGCATCGAGGATGTAGGTTTCGCGATCGACGATCTCGCACTGCTTGGCGACGTGGACAGCAGTCAGCGGGTTGTCGCCAGTGATCATAACAACGCGGTGACTGGACTCATTGAGCGAGCGGCATGCCTCGATGGCGTCAGGCTTGAGCGGGCACTGTAGGACGAGGAAACCAGCGAAATGAAGGTCCGACTCGACGTGTTCGCGCTTGAGGTCGTTGATGCGATTCTGGCCCCACTCGCCCTCCTCAGCGAGGAACTTGTAGGCTAGGGCGAGCACACGGCCACCATTACGGGTGAAGTGCTTGAACGTCTCTTCGTAATTCGGCGGGGCGTTGACCAGCATCTTGCGGATCGTCTCAGGTGCGCCCTTGACACCAACAAACGTGCTGCGAACCTTCTTTCCGTTGTTGTTGTTAACAAGGACAGTGGCAACGGAGCTCTGGCGCTTGAGGGCAGACGAGAACTGGAAGCGGCGGCGGATCTGAACGAGTTCGGCGTGCGATTTGGCTGTGGTAGTCGAAGCGCTCAACATGTCCTTGACGCCTACCTTCCAGCCAAGAGCCTCAATGGTAGCCTTCTCCATGGGCTCACCTACGATGTCTCCTTCGTCGAGTTTGACAAGGGCGTGTGCAGTAGCGAGGACGAGAGTAGTGTGCGTGCCGACTTGGTTGACCTTGGAGAGCTCGGTGTGGGCGCCATCGGGGCTGGTCTTGACGCCAGGCTGGCCTAGGGAAAGACCTGCGATGCCCTCGACAATCAGATCCTCGCCAGTCAGGGTACCAGTCTTGTCGAAGCAAGTGACGTCGACGCGTCCAGCGAACGGAATGCGGAAGGGCTCAGTACAGAAGATGGCGTACTTGCTCAGTGCGGCGAGGGATGTGTTGACGGCCAAGCTCAGCTCCATGGGCAGCTCAGGCGGCACAACGCTGGTGACGATCAAGACGCAGTCGAGAAGGAGCTTGTTGCGCTGGCGGTCGAGGCGGACACCCTCCTGCCAGACGTACCACGAGGCGGCGATGGCGAAGACGGTAAGGAACAGGATGAAGAGCAGTGCCTCGACATTGTTGGCAGAGACGCGCTCAGTGGCGTAGATCATGGTGCGCACGAGGCTGCCCTGGTTGGTTTCGAAGCCCGTTTTGATGACGACGGCCACGGCGCCCTTGTCCGGCGGTGGAGGCACGCCTGAAGACAGGCGCGAGACCGTGTTTGCATCATCTTCAGCGCTGTTGCCGTGCGAGACCTGCAGCACCTTGGTGCCACCCCACAGGAACGCGTTCTTGTCCAGCCCCTCAGGCTCGATGTGCGCGTCGCCGGGGCGCAGCTGCACCGACTCCTTGAGCACAGGAGTGCTCTCGCCGGACAACATGGCCTCGTTGACAATTGCAGAGCCCTCCAGCAGCACCATGTCGCAGGCCACGCCAGAGTCCTCTTTGGTGCGGCCCACGCTGACGACGTCGCCGGGCAGCAATTTGTCACTCATCAGCGACTGCCACTTCTTCTGTCGGTACACCAGCATGTCGTAGGGCTTGATGCTCATGCCACGGAACTCGGTCAGAGTGCGCTGGCGCTGCCACACGACGGTGCTCTCGAACATGACGAGCATGAACAGCGTGAACAGCGAGTAGTACCAGTAGTCGTCCAGCATCCACAGCCCAACACAGAAAATCTGGAAGACGAAGAAGGGCGCGACGGCGTGCTCCTTGAAGAGCTCGGTGAAGGTCGGGACGGGAATATCGAAAGCGTTGTCGCCGTAATGCTGCTGGATGCGCTCGATCTCGGCGGGCGACACAAGGCCCTGCGTCTGCTGCAGCGTTTTCAGCTGCGGCTTCGGTTCGCTGTCGAGGGCGTAGGCGAGCGGGGCGAAGGTGCCCTTGGTCGCATCGTAGAGAAAGCGGCGCTTTTGAAAGAGGAACGACATGTTCGGTTTGCCGCCCACGGTGTCGCGTTGCAGCGTACAGATCTCAGCGGCCCCCGCGTTCTCGATAGGCTGCACCTTGATGAGCTGTGCCGTGCGCACGTCGCTCGCCTTAGTCGTCGTGAAGGCCGTCTTGAGATTGATATTCCATTGCGTCAGCAGCCACACAAGGGACTGCAGCGTGACGATACTCGCCACCCACACGAACGTCCATTCCTGCGACTGAATGTACTGCTCGTAGCGCGCCGCGGGGAGGTAGATGGACGTGAACGCCGGCCAGATGATGAGAAATGGCCAGACATAGAGGTGGAGTTGAAATGGGAGCGGATTGTGCAGTGAACTTTGCCGGATCTGCGGCGAGTCCACGAGTCCGCCTGCCATGTTGAAAGCTCGTCGAGGCTCAGTGGAGGTGGTGGAGGGGACAGATCTGGTCTAAACTTTTGGTTGCGCCATCAATCGCCGCTGCAGGGTCGGCTCTTGTTGCTCCGATCCCGCGTGGCCCGAGCTCGGGAACCTTCACGAAGACTACCGAGTGGGGCTAGCGCGTTCGACATGGAACATCATTTTGCAGAGCAGACGTGCCTTGGATGCTCCAGAGTCTCAAGTCGCAACATTGCAGGGTAGTCAGTATACCAGTTCGTCATAATCTATCATAAAACCACCCTTAAACGCCAATTATCCACTCTATTTCCCCTTGTCCTCCCTCAAGCTTACAATCTGGTTAAGCACAATTTTATCCTCAGTACTCTCCACATCAACGCAGAAATACGCTGTGCGAAGCGCCTGGAACCGGACGAGTGCGTCACTGGAATCGCTGGGGTTGAGGCTGTTCTGCTTGATAAGGTCGTTGAGGCCGCGTTCGATAACCGCATCGTTGAAAATAACTTCTGAGTCCGGGCGCAGGTCGTCAGCCCAGCTGCCATCCTTCCAGTTCAGCGTATTGGGCGACTCGGTCTTGAAAAGGGAATTGTACTGGCGCGCGGTAACCTTGATGCCCGTTGTCGCGTCGACCCACTGGATGTACGCTTTGGGCTTCTCGCTTGAAGGCACCTTGACGGCCTTGATTTCTGTGACTGTACCGCTAGCATCCTTGGAGAAAGACGTCGCGCGGATGGCGAAGGGGACGTTGTACAGGCCTACGGCCTTGTTGGGCGCGAGACGGAAGTAGTCTGGATCATCCTCCTCGCGGAAATCGCTGCGGTCGATGTAGAGCGAGCTACCAACCTTGACTTTGCGTTCGCCGGGAATGCCACCCTTGGGATCGTATGGAACAGTGATTTCCTGCTCGTCCTCGGCCGCGAAGTCTTCGATCACAACCTTGACAGGGTTGAGCACCATCATCTGGCGCGGCACAGTGCGCTCGAGGTGCTTTCGGATTGAGGCCTCAAAGCGAGGCGCTTCGATGTCGGTATACGAGTCTGTGACGCCGAGCTCGTCGACAAAGCTGAGCATAGCCTTTGCAGGGATACCGCGACGGCGCAGAGCAACCATGGTGTACAGACGAGGGTCGTCCCAGCCGCGGACTGACGGCGGGATCTCTCTGTCACCAACCTTGGCCCCCTCGACGAGCATGAGAATACGGCGCTTCGACAAGATAGTACCGTTGACGCTCAAACGTCCGTACTCCCTCTGCATCGGCCCCTGCTCCTCCGACTTGGGCACCTTCATACCGAGCTGTTCCAGCAGCCAGTCGTACGAGATTCGGCTCTGGCGGAACTCGACCGTGCACATAGAATGGGTGATACCCTCAAGCGCATCACAGATGCAGTGTGTAAAGTCGTAGGTGGGGTAGATCTTCCATCGGTCGCCCGTCCTGTGGTGGTGATTCTTCTCGACGACGCGGTATGCGGGCAGGTCCCACATCTGAGGGTTACCCTCGTTAGGGTCCGTCAGGCTCTGCTTCATACGCAGATATGCCTCACCCGCCTTGTACTTGCCGTCGCGCATGGCACGGAACTCGGCGATGGACTCTTCGATGGGCCTTGTGCGGTGCTCGCAGGCGTAGCGCTTGCCGCGGTTGTCAGGGCCACCGCGCTGCATGTTGACCTCCTCCCCTGCTTGCGTTAGCTTATATCTGTGATGGCAGCTTTGGCGACTAACTCGAGCAGTGGCACACGTATGCGCCATCCTTCTTGATCAGCTCCTCGGCCAGCTCATACAACTTGTCGAAGTTGTCGCTGCTGTACGTGACTTTCCATGGCTCGAAGCCCAGCCACTTGATGATATCCAAGATGCTCGTGAAGTATTTTTCTTCTTCTTTCTCGGGGTTCGTATCGTCGTAGCGCAGGTAGCACTGTCCCCGGTGATGCTTCGCGAATCCGAAGTTCACGGCGATGGCCTTGCAGTGACCGATGTGCAGGTAACCGTTGGGTTCGGGTGGAAATCGCGTGTACACGTCCTTGGCAGGTTTCTCTTCATACACGCGCTTCAGCCAGCCCTCAGCAAAGACGCTCGCGGGCTCAGCTTTGGTGGCGGGCTTTGCCTGCTCCTTCGGCCGGAGAGCATGCTCTGCCTTCTTTGCTTTGGCGGCAGCTTTCTTTGCGGCCTTCTCGAGCGCGCGCTTGGACGGGCCCTTCTCCTCTTCTGCTGCAGGTGCCGCTGGGGGCGGTTGTGCTGTTGGTTCTGCCATGGCCTGCTTGCTATTGTTAGCAGAGCTCCAAATTAGATAGCTGGAATTATTGTGCAGCTACTGTTGCACATATTGAACAATTGATTAAGAAATGACGTGTGCAAGTCCGCCCTCGGAAAGTCTTACCTCGGATTTTGCCAGCAAGGAAGTTCAAAGGAGAGTTTGCTTTGTTACGCAACTCGCGTGCAGCAGCTGGAGGGGTTTTGGAGGGGAACATTTGACTCGAAAACGCGCTAAGAGTCATTGTGGCTGGAATGTGGCGCGGTCGGCATTAATAACACTTGCTGTGATTCATCATGAACTCTCCTCCATCTCGCACTCATACTGCATCATGCGCTGGCTTGATATCGCAACGGCCTCCAGTCATGGATGACTCAACTCACGGCATATATTGCCAAGGTACGGTCATCGTATGGAAACAATGATATGATTACAAGCAACCACACGGACCTTCTCATTACTGAACACGGTGTTTTACTACCTCAAGCGTGCATCATCCGAGGCATCGGAGATTCTTGTCTGATTACGCTGCAGTCTTCACCTGCACCCCAGCCGTGTCGTCTCTCAGCTTCGTAATCTTGTCCTTGCTCGCAGCTTCTCCGTCTCTCCTCTATCTCTCCTCGGTTTTAACTACATCCGCGCCCTTCTCCTTCATCTCATAAACTTTGTCTGCTATCAAGCACTTGGCTCTGTTTCATGTGCAACGAGCTTTGTGATCTTCGTGTTCAGACTTTCCCTCTCTTGCATTTAATTTCTTACCTTAGACCAAAGAGTGCGCATAGCTTTTCAGCTCTCACCTATGCAGTCTTATTGTTTGCCGACTGGAGTTGGGTGCTATGGGCAGCCAACTTCATGTCCTCGGCGTTGAGCTGTGGCCGGAGGCATACAGTACATACTGCGCATTGGGGGTCGAACCTTCACGCTCGAAGAGAGACTACAGAGATCGTCAGGCAAGCCCTCGGTCGCGGGACTGAGATCCAAGAGGTCAACAGGGGCTCGTGGCATTTCATGTGCCATTTCATTACTGAACCGTCTGCTAGTCACACCTTCTACTCTTGAGGCACTATTTGCTGAGCACTGATTCTTTTATCGATTGTCCATAGCGCATCGCCTTGCCTCACTGCCCGCTTCCGTCGATCGCGGCAAGTGGGCCAACAGTGCGCAGTCGGAGAACTCCAGACGGGCCGTTGCGATGACATTCTCGCAAACCATCTCGCACGGAGGCGTCCGCGAATCTGCATAACTGTGTAGTTCAGGTCCAAGCGGTCGTGTTTCGACTATAGAGTGAGCGTCTCGCGTGTTTGGTGTCGCGTCCAATACGAACTCCGCGTTATGATCTCCGCCGTATAGCTCTCTCTCATAAACTTCGGCTCCTACACCCTAGCGACCCTATCCCGCGGGGTGTTTCAAACCTAACCGTTGCGCAGGAAATTCCATCCAAAAATCGTATCAAATGCACTGAATTCTCAGCAAGCATGGGACACAATTGCATGATGGGTCACAGACTCACAACTGAGTGTCAGCAACATAGGTACTACAATAGGACTGGCTGTTCCCCCTGTTTATATCGCACGGCTCATATCGTTCGCCTCTCGAGTGCGCATGTCAAGTTATGGCTTCTCTGCAGGATCCCTATCCCGAAGTTGAATTGGCTGCACCGCCGCTGGCACGGCCTCTTCACGAACCCAGTCCACTACTTTCGCGGCGATCCGACACACAAGATGCTGATGATGTTTCCGAAAGCTCGAGTTACAGGACGAGCCACAGTCGTAGTGGAAGTAAACGCGAGTCGTTCAATATGTCTGGAAGTACATTCTTGGTAACGTCGTCTGGCACGACTTTGAGGCTACCAATCCCTTCGGACAGTAAATCAGACCCTCTCAACTGGACTCCATGGAAGAGAGCAGGTGCAATGTTTGCACTCGCTTGGTTTTTCGTCATGTCTTCAACGGCAGTGCAAGCACCAAGCGTATTTCTGCCTGGAATCGCCGTAGAGTTTGGACAGCAAGTACGAGCTTCTACATTTTCATGTCATGGTGCATCATTCTTACGCGCTCTTAGGACGTCAGACCATGGGCCATGGAGTCCATCATTACAGCTCCTACCTTGTTCATCGGCATCGGCGCGCTGCTGTGGGTACCGCTTTCATTAGCAATGGGCCGGCGACCTGTGTTCCTGATCGTAGCACTTATGCAACCTCTAGCTACACTTGGGGCTGGACTTTCGCCAAATTTCCACACTCTATTTGCTTGTGCCTGTATCATCGGCTTGGGACAGGGATTCTCGGTCACTGCTGTAAGTCGTCTCGAGATCGGAGGTTCACTTTACTGACACGGGTAGGCTTTCTTGATGGTCGTAGACCTGACCTTCATTCACCAGAGAACGCGCGCAGTTGCATCTATCTGGTCGGTGCTCGCAGGCGCTGGAACTGGCTTTCTTGCCATCGTGCCGTATCTCTCACCACCGGGCACCTGGCGGCCATTTTACTACTACTGGTCGATTCCAATGGCGCTGTCCTTCCCGCTGGCACTGCTACTATACCCAGAGACGTACTTCAAACGACCTACGGTTGCTTTTGATGGCCTGATACTTTTACAGTCAGCAACTGAAAAGCTCACGATATACAAGGATCTTGATATCGGATCCGACATCTATCGAGACTTACCGGACCTGCCGTCAGACTATAGTCAGGAGAGGACACTGTTCCGCAGGTTTTGCTCTTATTTCCAGTTTCGTTGTTCTCCAGTCACTTCATGGAAATCCATGGGCTACTGCTACATTCAGATGGCCCATTGTGCCATCAACCCTCTGATTTTTTGGGTTCTGCTCGCCTCCGCAATCCACTGGGCCAGCATCTTGTTTGTTGGATCGACATATACGAACATCCTTCGCTCCCCACCATACACCTTGCGCCCCTCGATCATCATCAACATAAATATCTCATCAGCCGTTGGCGCTTTTCTCGCGTACCCAGTTGGAGGGTGGCTCATAGACAGAGTGCTAAAGCGTATGGCTCAGCGCAATGGTGGAGTTCGTGAAGCAGAACACTTTCTTATCGGCTACATCCCACCAGCTCTCATTGGTGCTTGCGGTTCCGTACTGTATGGCTTTGCTGTGCACCGCCAATGGCACTATTCGCTGTTCTTTGTCTCGACTGGACTCACCGCATTCGCATGGATCACTCTTTGTATAACAAACATCATGTGGCTTACAGAAGCCTTTCCCCGCTGGGCTGCACCTGCTGTTGCTGTATCAGGCGGAGCGTGTTATATCATTAGTTTTGCTATCGGTTTCGGGCTGTTACCTTGGATTTCTGCGCACGGCTTCAAATTGGTGGGCATCGAGTTGGCTTTCTTGCAATTAGCTGCCGGTCTTGTCGCCGTACCTGTTGCTTTCTGGGGCAAGGGTGCGCGCCAAGCGATCAATGGGCGGTGGTCTGAAGAGCGATCAGGAGCATTGCGGCCGTTGTGATTGTTCTCGAAGATACATGAGGTCAAAATTCAACTCAGTAGCCAATCGTAGTTGATAAACATGAGCATTGTCATGTTACAGCTTTCTCGCATCGATACGAAGTAACCCAACACCCGTCTACAAGTACATACTGTCCATGCTACATCTCCGTTGCCGTGATGGTTCTCATTTTTCGGTGGACTCGCCTCTCATTGCTGCACCATCTCTCGCTCTTCCATCAGCATATTGCTGGAAGTGTCTGACCGGAATCTTCTGCGAGTACAGCCAGTCGACCTCATCGGTGGTGAATCCGTGTAGGTCCGGAACCAAGAACCAGGAGCCTATCATGAGAAGTACCGAACTGCCCATAAATACGAACCCAGTGCGAGCACCAAGGTTGCCAGAGTCGGTGTTGTACATATAAGGGACCGTAAATGAGAACAGCCACGTTGTCGCGGCGTTTGATATAACTCCAATCGATTGTGTCTTGGCGCGTAAGCGGTATGATGAAATTTCTGAAGTGATTACCCATCCAATGGAGGTCATGGTAAGGAGTTGCCACGCGATCAATACGTTCCTGAACCTAGTTAGTCACTATGAGCTAAGAGAGAGTTGACGACTTACATGAGAACCGCAACAGCCCATAGACTGGTTTTAGAGGTGGAGTAATAGAGGCCTCCAATCACTGCCATAATGGTGATGTTGACAGCCACTCCAGCGAGCCAGATGGAGCGGCGGCCAAATTTCTCCATATAGAACCAGCTGAAAATGATTGCGACGATGGCCAGACCAAAGCCACCAATGCCGACATCAAATGCATGCACAGCAGGAAGCCCAGCAATGATGAGGAAGTATGTGTTCTGGGACAGTAGAGATGCGCCATTGAGCCCGGCAGCAAGGAAGAGCCACATGACGGTGAGAGTTCGCTTGATGTTTGTGCTGCGGAACAACTCCAGGTAGCTGGGGCTACCATGTGATTCAGCCTGTGTGAGCTCCTGCTCGATTTGCCGGCGTAGCACTGCAATACGAGCATCAATGTGATTACTTGATCCGTAGAGACGAGATAAGGCCTTTTTGGCCCCATCGATATTGCCTCTCTGCACAAGGAAGGTTGGCGACTCGGGCATGGCGATAAAAGCCAGACCAGCAGCCGCAGGCCAGATCCATTGCAGTGCGAAGACGGTGCGGAAAGCTGACGGCGATATGTTCGTGATGTACACGCGGATTGTAACCAGCCCAATTGCCTGCATCAAGACCATAAACAAAACGATGCCGGATTGAATGGGACCACGAAGGCGTAGAGGAGATATTTCGGATGCCCATGACGTGGCGGAGGCAAAAATGCAACCAATGGCGAGGCCGTTAATCATCTTTCCACCGAGTAGCATGCCTCGGTTTGTGGCTGCGAATTGAACACCGACACCTAGGATGGAGACGCAAGCGGCAGCCACACAAGCCCACTTGCGACCAATACGGTCAGAAACAAATCCGATGCTGAATCCGCCGATGGCTTGAAGCAAATACGACATCGCAGTCCACATCGACGCCCAGATGGAAGGGACAAACAACGACCCATCTGCGGTGTGCTCGCCAAAGTAAAGAAGGAAAGCAGGCATGGAAATCGAGGCTCCGTTGATGACGCTGTCGTAGCCGAAGACTCCTCCAGCCAGGAACGCAGCAATTGAATGGAGCAGGATCAGCTTGTGTGACCTGGCTGAGGCCCACAAAGAACTGTTACGGTCTTTCTCGATTAGACTTTCACCGAGCTGAAGGTCATTGTCGGTGGCCACGTGCTCGATCATTGTCGCGCTTGAGGCCTCTTGCTTTTCCAATCTGTCTGTCATGGCGAAGATATAATGACTGGAGGACAGGTTGTCGGACTTGTGACCTGCAGATGAGGGGTTATCGAATAAAGCCTTGATCGAAGGGCAGAATATGTTTGTGAAGCCGCACTGCAGCCATCCCAAAGAAGCCCCGGGGGGCTTCAATATAAGCACGACGACATCTTTACGCGAGACTACTTTTGCGGGGACGTAGATCTGGGGTATTGTGAGGTGGAGGCGGAGGTGGCATCTGGAGTAAGTTCTAACACCGAGTGACACAGCCGAGCGGCGGAGCTAGTCACTCGGGTGGACGTAGTGGACTATTGGGTGGACGGACATGAGTTTTCGCCACACTTCGACACAGGCCTCGAACACGTGTACCGTGATTGATTTACCTATGACATGGATATACCCGGATGCAGATGCAGTAGCAACGCCAGGTTCGATGATGCACCCCAATCTCCTAGCTGTACCAATGCCTGAATTGCGTGTCTGAAGATCAACTGTGGTGCATCGACTCCATTTGTGGCTTCGGAATTGTTAGACGCAAATCCAGCTTCGATGACATCCAGCACGGAACCTGAAATGGCAGAGTTCGCACGTAAAAGTCGAAGGGTGGACTCCTTCTGTGGTGCAGATGCTACGTGCGCAAACGACCAGATGATAACGTGACACAGAAAGAGTCCAATTATGTCGTAAGGGTCACTTTCGCCTTGGTTCGACATGACAATGCTAATGCAATGAGAAGCGTCTTCCATTACGTGGCTTGCCTTTTCCGGATACTGAGCGATCCAGGACTTCAGTCTGCTCATCGCCGCCTTGGCACTCGTGAGCCCAGATCTCCCAAGACAATCCTGTATGTCAGAGACAGGAAAATATAAGTAAACTCGAGCCAAGTGATACATGATAGTGGAACAGCGACATAGATGAGCCGATGTTGCATCCCGACGAGGAGGCTGCAGCTGTTGGTACGAACAGCTCCAGGCTTCTAACATAGCGATCAAGCGCACTGCGCGAAAATCTTCGCGAGAAGATCCTTCTGACAAGGCATATTCTTCGTCGTATGTACGTAAAACCACGAGCATGTCTTGATAGTGATAGACTTCCGCCATGATGGCAGTCAAGAGAAGACTTGCGCTCCACGAGTTGAGACTGGGGAGTATTGCTACAACTGCTTGCTGGATTGCTGGTCCTGATGTCGAATATACTGAGGCGACAAGTGGGCCAAACACAGAGCAGGCAGGCTCAGAAGCAGATCCAAGTCGATGTTTCCAGGATCTTGCAGTTGCCACGTTCCAGAAGTCTTCGTCACAAGGGCATTCCCACCTCCTGATATCCGCTGTAGTCAACATACTGCTCATACCAAGAATGGCAGGAAATTGTGAATCCATCATGTACACGAACCAACGTAATCTCTTCCGTCTCTCCTTGGATACCCAATCCAGCCATTGCGACTCCAGGGTAGATGGCGATCTCGAACTTGTCGCCGAGTATGTCTCCCCATCTGCGTTGTTCGATTGAGCGTGGTAAAGGTCATGTTCTTGGCGATCGTGAATATCCGGCAAACGTCTGATGTATGTCACTGCTACAGCGCGGAGAGCCTCGGAAAGTTCAAACGCGCGTTTGTTACCGCACCAAAGACCCATGTAGCATGCCAGTGCAACAGCATAGATGATTGATGGTTCTCGCATGAGACTGTTGTCTTGCTCTATCATGGCCAGAAGATTTTGCCGCGTACGATCTAGAACGATGATACCAAATCTTCTAGTGTGACGTAGACGGCTATAGCATGAGCCGACGACCATTATTATTGATAGAAGGGATGGTGGAAGAGTCTCTATTCGTAAAGTCGACCGGTGCAGGACTGGTGCTTGAGGCAAGAATTTATTGAAGAAGAGACTAATGAAAACATTGACGAGAGATAATGCAGGCAACGTGAAGGAATCTTCGCTGCCAGATTGCTGTCTTGGGCGTAGAAAGTGTTGAACTTGAGACAGGGTTACTTGTGTGATCCGAACATTCTCATCGATGCTCGCGAAGATTGGGTCATTGGCCGCAAGTACAATAGGCTTCGCCTTCGTAATCGGTTTTGATCGCGGATTCCATGCAAAGGGGTGACGATCCTCACGTGAACTTTCGTTTGGGGGAGAAGAACCTCGAGATGTTTGTCCTGAAGGACCCTCAAGGTCTGCATCTATGTGTGAATCGGGTGCTGTACTACGTGACAGCTCACCACCGCTTGGCAAGTCTATGCCTTCTTTCAGCAAGTAAGCTGATGAAATACCATCGTGATATCCCAATGTACCTAGGTTATTCGTGTTGGTTGGGGCGTAGTTGTTGTTGCTCCACGTCTCGATGGGTGGACTATATGCAAGATCGGTCTCCCGGAGTGCCGCGAAGAACTGCGACGAGAACCAGTCGGAACTTTCGACAGTCTGGCTTGATTGATAGTTCCAAGGTCTTGCGAAGGTTGTATAATCAAAGTAGGGATCAAAATCCACTTGCTCGGCCCATGGGATGTTGACGGGGTCCGCGTCAAGTGATGCCGCCAGTGATTGCGCTTCCATAGTTGCATTTACTTCACCCCCATCCACGGAAATGACGACGCTTGGGTCACCATAGTAAGGGGGAACCGACGTCCCGCTCTGCATGTGCAGCGGTGACGTGTCATTACGGTTCGATGCAGTTATGGAAGCTCGCCGTGACTTCGACGCAACCCTAGAAGGTGTGGCTCGTCCATGAAGCAGTTCGTGCTTCCTCCGCAGATCGCTCCTAGTGAATTGCCTCCCACACACCTGGCAGCAATGCTTTCGAACTGTGTCATCTTATGGTCCGCGATTAGAATCAGCGATGGCTGAGTTGTGGGCGCACAGGTGCGAAACTCACGTGTCTTCATGTGCCGCGCCAAGTTTTCGGGACGTGTGAAGCTCTTGCTGCATTGCTGGCAAGCCAGTAGTCTCGAACTGGCTGCAATGCTACCTTCATCAGACATGAGTCACACTCTGTCGAGGACGAGATTGTGAGGCTGGTGTTGAAGGGTGGACGGACGAATGTCCACCAAGGTGATCCAAAAGCGGGGCAGATTCCACGCTAGTCATTTCGGACCTCCGTCCACCGTCAATGTCCACCTCGTACAACGTGTTGCCCGAGGCCTTGCTTCTCCACATGCTGCACTGAACTACCGTCTGGGAAGTAGCTTATGCCGGCGCTACGAAGATGGAGACAATAGTTCAAAGATCACTTGCGCGTCGTTCGCTGAGCCTATCTATGAAAATCCTCCCCTTCTTGACGCGTCTCTCCCCATAATGGCTGACAACCCTCTCATTGAACCCGTATGCGTCTCGCGTTACTCTGGTTGCGTGAATCTCGGCCCTCATGCGTCTGAATTCACCTTGACGACCGATGAAGCCGAATCCACAATCGTGTTGGACTACAAGCAATGTGAAGGGGGCCTACCAGTGTTCGAGATTGCGTCAGCTTCCGGGCAAGATTCCATCGATATAGCCGTCATATACAGCGAGGGCATTGAGGGAATCGATCATGCTTCAGGTAGGTCTCCGCCTGCATAACATGACGGGGTAGTCTCGGAATCACTGATACTAAGCAGGCGATGGGCCCTTCTTCCTGTTCTCAAATGCAATGGACACCTACCGAAGTACCACCTTCAAAGTTCCAGCGTCCGCAACAAGCCAAACCATCAGGGCTGTGTATTCTCAACGATCGCAAAGATACCAGAAAATCACACTAGCCTCCCCACACTCCTCGATCACGTTCTCAAGGATTGCATTCGAGCGAATTCGACCTAGTTACCCGATCAAGTCTTCGTTTACATGTTCAAGCCCACTCCTGAACCAAATATGGCAAGACGGTGTGAGAACTGTGGACAGATGTACGGTTATGAAGGGAGAGACGTCCTCCGCATGGCAGGCCACAGCAGAGGGGACTAGGGTCCGCGGTCAACACTGGGCTCCTTGTCGACTTGGCACACGGTGGGCGGATAAGATCATTCGATTTCAAGTCAGTATCGAAGAAGGTGGCGCGAGCTGGGCTGTCCACATGGTCGCTAACGGTCTGATATTTTGTCTCGACATCTCAAAGAAGGTACTTTACGCCTGTGAGGGTCTCTCTACTGAATCGACAATCTTTCCTGTCGCTGAAAAAGGACGATGGTCGATCGTTGACCTAGACTTGAGCATATGGCTCGACGTGGAGGTAGTTACAAAAGGCAAAACAGTGACTGTCTCCGTACAAGGACGCCAACTTGCTGTCATCGAAGACTTAGACATCAGGCCCATCCTTGGCGGGAGTGCCAATAACACCGGCTCTGTCGCATTTGGCGGTCCTTGTCAATGGATCGCTCTATATCGGAACCTCAGCGTACACGACTCAGATGGACGAGCATTGTACGAGAACGCACTATTGCTGGAAGACGAAGAGCGAACCCTAGCCGACTTCCAAGTTGGAACCAATGCGCTAGCTTGTACCATCGATGGTGCGAAGAGAGATCGGGCATGCTTCGGCGGGGACCTATACGTGATGGGACGCTCAATTGCTTACTCCACCATGGCATTTGATGCAATCGCGGGTAGTATCAAGCTGTTGACCAGCCATCAAACTAAGGACGGCTACCTTGGCAATCTCTGTCCTATCCAGGCGCCCGTTCACGACAGCAACGAGGAGCCTCCTACTTACGCTTTCTACTCCTTATCATACGCATTGCTACTTGTTGTAGCGATCAAAGACTACTGGCTTCACACAGGCGATGAAAGAGTGAGGTCACAATGTCTTCGGCCGATAGGGAAGCTGATGACGTATATCGAGGGATATGTGGATCAAGGAGTCGTAGTTGCGCCTCCGCCTCTATCAAGTTGGTCTCGAAAAACGAGTTGTATACCTCCAGGCTAACGATCTGCAGTGCACTGGTTTCCGCTTGGTGGACCCGTTTTTGGAGCTTCAAGCGCGCTGAACAATGCATATTACGAAGCACTGCAGGCCATGTCCGTCCTCGCCATCGACACACTTACAAGAGACAGGTATCTGCTACAAGTTCAAAAACTCAAGACCAGCATGCTCCGCCACTTCTACGAACCTTCTACGAGCACCTACCGCCTGGATAAAAGCCTGCCAGTGGACGGTATCTGTCAAGACGTTAAGGCACACGCTATGACGTTGGATCTGCTTCCATATCACGCCAACGACCTCGAACACCTGATCGACTCAGGTTCGCCCCTACCTCGTGCCTTCCGGGGTCTGGGTCACTGGGATACTGCGAATGTCGTCAGTCCATATGCAAGTGGCTACGCAGTTGAGGCTCTCTTCACGCGAGACAAAGGTGCGGAGGCTATCAAACTCATCGAGCGTGTCTGGGGCCCTATGGCCGATAGCGCAGGTCCCAACTACTCTGGTGGCCACTGGGAAGCAATGAAGCCGGACGGTACACCTCACGGACATGATACGTCGCTCATTCACGGTTGGTCGACATGGCCAGTATCGCTCCTGCCTCGATATCTGGCTGGTCTACAGCCTCTCGAGCCAGGCTGGAAATCCTTTAGCGTCGCACCAGTTCTTGCCGGCTTAACAGAGATCAAGTGCACTCTAGCTACTGTTGCTGGTCGCATCGGTGTGGAGATCGACCTTGACCAGCCGAATGGCCATGGTGCGCTGAAGGTCCTGGCACCATATGGGGTACGCGTGAAATTACAGTCGCCTCAAGGATGGGTTATTCAAGGGCCGGAGTCTGTCGAGGGAACGGGCGTGTGGCAACATTTCTTCCTGTCTGAGATTCATGGGGATCTGAATCTGAACGACCAACAGCCAGTGTCCCAAGCTTTCCCCGTTCCGGAACCACCATCTAACACACACGTACGACAGCATATTGCTCTGCCTGGCAGGATTCGATCGCTACTTTCCCGATTCACAGCAATTCGCACATGAGGATTCGCGCTTCTTCACATTAGTTCACCATATCAAACACAGGAATGAAGGAGTTGAGAGTATGCTCGGGTGATCAACTTCTTTTTTTTGGACTACTGGCCTTCGATAAGATCAGATGGAGCCTTACTATACACGGAGCTTCCGGAGACCAGCTCCCCTGAAGCCTGTTGGATAATAGTCACGTGACTCGGAGAACGAGAAACCTCCACGAGGTCCCTATCGAAGTGTGAGAAGCTTTATGTGCTCTACCCCGACAGATGAGCGTTATCAGCCACAAAATGACACAGTCTCTCTACTTACGATACAAATCCGCCATCGTCTTCCCACTTCCCCAAGTAAACGACATCGGATCGATCGCCAGATTCAACGAATCCTTTGCCCCAGAAGCATTGGATGGCTTTTGCGGCCCTTCTTGCGCCTGTCTCTCTGATTCCAAATCAACTGGTTCAGGACGCCTAGGCGGCGAACTACCGACCAGTGTGTTCGCAGCAAACAAGCCCTCCAACTGTACCTCCGCCTGCTTCATCTGCACAGCCTGTTCAGCAACACGCTCAGCGTGTGTAGCCGATTCCGCGATCTCTACATCTTGGACTTGTCTCTTTGCTTTACGGCGCTCGCGATGCCCACGTAGAATTTCAGAAAGGCCGCCGTGGATGTAAATATATACCCAGGCGATGAGAAGAAGGGTGATGAACACACCGACTCCGGCTAGAGCGCCGATGACTTCGGGGGAGTAAGGAGATTGGGAGGCGGAGTGGGATACTAATGCTTCCATTGTTGGTCGTTGATGTCGGGGGCTCCGAAGGATTTGTGGGGTATCTTGTTGAGGGTCAGGTTGTTGAACTTTGAAGTGACAGGTCTGAATGTTTGGGAGAAATTGTGAGAATAGTTGTCTCTCTTGTAGGTAGACCAAGGGCCGACACTGTTGCGTCGGCGTTGTGTAATCTTAAGCTGAGTAGTTGGCGCAGTCGATGAATAATGCCATGGCTGTCAAAAGATACACAGTGCCACCAACCGAAGAAACAGCAATGGATATCGTCCTAACTATGCATCCATCACCTGATAATTTGTCTATGCCAATCAAAACACGCATCGTGGAAACGTTGTATTAGGGATCTAGCTATAGCGTCTCGTCCTTACTGTATCTCCCGGCCCACTACCATACCCCCGGAATGCATCACTACTAGGCCTCCGTCCCTCGTTAAAAGGCCTTGAATAGCTACTCGTCACACTCTTAGCGGTCAGTTGCATCTGCGCATCCATCGGCGGCGGAGGTGGTGGTGGAAACAGATCCGCTAGCGTGACACCCTCCGTCTTAGGTGGCGACCCGTAGACTCGGGGAGGGTCTGGGTAACCATTTTGCGCTGCCCGTAACCCAGGAGGTAGAGGCGAGCGTAGTGGGTCGATGAGCTCTGACGATGGACGGCCTGAGCTGACCTCGGGTCGCGGTTGGTACCCAGCGGGGACATTGTAGTAGTCTGTGGCGTCGTCTATCGCGGACGCGTAGGTGTATTGATATTCAGCCGTCTTGGGATAGACTCTTTCTTCGAGGTCACGCTGCTCGGCTGGCGACAGGAAGGGATTATTTCTCCCCGAGGGCTGCCGAGTTAGTTGACGCGGGTTTTCGAAGTCCTTAGATTCGGTGACGCCTTCGTTACGAACGTTGAATGGCGTACTGATCGTCCCATCCGCGAAGCCTTGCAGGTCCTCGGTGTTACGCTGGGTAAATGCGGGACGCTCAAGGTTGAGAGGAGGCGGCGCTTTGGAACGAGTGCCACCGAAACCAAATGTTGCAGTCGACTCCTTTTGCGTCATTCCGCCAGCCTCGATGATGGTAGTGCGTTGCACGCCGGCTCTTTCGCGCTTGGCAATGTGTTGCTCGAGCCATGTGCGAATGCCGACCATGCCTGCAGCAGTGACCTGCACCATCAATAAGAGCCCCATAAGACCCGCAACAGTGTTTGACGTCAGAACCGCATCAACTACGCAGAGCGATATTGACCTTAGTGTGGAGAAGCCATTGATGAATGTGAGCTGGCCGACCGCGAAAGAGAGTTGGACGAATATGCCACTGATGATGTATATTTTCTGGTCAGGCGACTTCAGCAGCGCGAACGGTGCTTTGAGGCCAACGAAAGCGGCAGATAAGGGGTAGAGAGCCTCAGAACGGAGGCGAGCGATAGTCAGGCCGACCGTGGGGAAGACTAATATCAGAGCCACCAGACCGAAGATCTGAAGAAGGTCAGCTTGAATACCGTCGTCGGAGAAGTTGACATTACGCCGTGTGGATCTCTGAAATGACGAGAGTTCCCCATGCCAACGATCCCAAGTGTAATGCCAGTGACAGCTGAAATTCCGAACGTGATCAGTAAACCCAGTCGCCATTTCTTGTTCTTGACTTCGTTGACAGGGTGGCCAGCCAGAATCGAGAGGCGCCAGACAACGCCAAGAATGAGGTACAAAGGTAGTGTAAGTAGAAATGCCAGCATGATGAACAGTACTATAGGAGAATTAGCTGGAATTGCGAATTTGTGAAAGGGTGCTTACCATGTAATGCCGTGAGGATACCGAAGGGGATGAGTGCCAGTCCATTCACCGAGATTGTTGCGTCCTTAAGCACGATTCTGAATGTGTTCCCTTCCGATGTAAATTCAACTGGGCCCTGCGGCAAGGAGCCTAGAACTTGCGGATCGAGAGGAATACTGGTTGCATTCACCGCGTTTTTGTTGTTCTTGCTAGCATTCATCGCTCCTAGGACTGCAGAAGCAAGCCCGCCTATACCCTGGCACGTAAGTTTGTCTATAGCCAACTGACCACCCATCATGAGTGTTGCCTCATTGATCGCTCGTGGGAGAGACGACATCGGACTGTTATTATCTGGAGCTTGGCGCACGCTGAGGGCATTGTATGGTACTGTACATCGTCAGTGCTCATGTATGTAAATATCAGTAAAGCACCCACCGATTGCCGCTTCCTCGGGGGACACAGCCACGTCTCGACTTGCCAGTGCCGACCCTGTGGTGTTCGCGTTTCTGTTCATCTTTCTCAAAATATCACCAATGAGGATTGTGCCTTCGCCCATGAAGCCTCTAGCAAAAGATACAGCAGAGCCATTTATCGAATCGTTGAACTTTGTTGCGCTCAACACAGGGACATTCATCAACGCATTATCTGAGAAATCACCACTCAAAAGATTCTGTAGACCCCCAACGGAGGACAAAGCAGTAGAGATTCCCTCGATGGCTCCTCGAGCGAATCCCTCAGCAGTTTTGGCTGCATCAGCATCCTTGAGAATCTGTGGTGTGCTGTTCGAGATCATGGAGCCGAAGGATTTCAAAATGGTGCTGTTGAACAGGAAGTTAGAGACGAGGTTCTGCGTAAAGGTTTCGGCTATGGTGGCCGCCTGCATGTCATCGCGGCTCGCGTTGCCGCTTTGCGCAATGAGAGACGGGGCGTTTGGCGGCTTGAATTGAAGTCCAATTGCAAGGCCCATTCCAATTCCAGATCCAGCGCCTGATGCTACTGCTGGAAACATGCTGGGGTCGACCATGCTTCCAAGGCTGCCGGTGAGATTGAGTTTGCTCGCTAGGTTTGTGATATCGACACCAGTAAGAAGCGACTGGCCCAGACCTTTGGTAAATTGGGTGACAGTTCCAGGAACGTCGATTCCTTGGAGCGGGTTTGTGGACTGGCGTTTTTGCACTAGGCTCATAGGCTGAGCTTGGCTCGATCCGAGTCGCAGTCCATTCTTCGCACCTTCCCCTAGACCGTTGCCGGCGGCAGCTGCAATTTGAGGCAGCTGTTGTAGAAGAGAGGCCCCGAGTCCGCTGTCTACCGCACTTCTCATCACCGCTTGGAAGTCGATATTCGAGACGATTGGTGTGCTCAAACCTAGGCCAAGATTGCCTGCAACCGCTTGGAATCCTGAATCAGTAGACGGGAGAAATACCTGGGATGTCAGGTTTAGAGCTTTCGCTGTCGAGTTTCCAATGCCAGCAGCAAAGGCAAACGCAGCAGGTCCAAGAGACGTGTCCATTGCACCAAGCGCTGGTGCAATTTGTCCGGCTATTCCAGTTCCTACGTTCTGGGCGGCTAGATTGATGCCTGTCGCACTAGCATTGAAAGTACTTGCCACCCTTGAGGCTTGTGCTGCGGCTGCTTTCATGTCTGTGATATTGAGCCCGGTCGATGCACCAACACTGATCACGTTAGTCGAGTAAGGAGTTGACTGGTATTACATACCCGACGCCGATGCCCAGGAATAGCGCAGGAGTCGCCAGGCCTTCTGTAAAGGCGGCGCTGAGGTTCCCTATGAAGCAACTCAGGCCTCCGGTGGTATTTAATCCTAAGACCCTCCCCATGGCTTGGTTCATATCTTCCAGCATCCCGCGCTTCTGGTGTATGCCATCATCTCTCTTACGGAGCTCTGAAATGCTCTCTGTCAATGTCGTTCCGAAGTTCCTCATGCTTCCGATGCCGTATCTCTGTCCGATATCGCTCGAGGTCTGCGCAATCGTTTCGGTGAGACCAAGAATGGCATGGTGAAGTCTTGCGTCCTCTCTTAATGCAGCAATGGTATCTGCCGATAGAAAACTGGTGAAGCTCTCGAGGTAGTGGTCCCGACTGTGGGCGAAGATGTATCGATCGTAGCCAAGTACAAGGGCGAACAGAAGTGCCGCTGAGAACGTGACCGCAAGCGGAAGGTACCAGACCGGCTTACCAGCAGCAAACATTATTAAAAATGGTAATGGGTATCTCAAGAGTCGTTAATACATGAAGTGAAGGAATTAGAGGCGTTTGCCTGTGGCCTGCCACGGCGACAGCATTACAGAACGTGCTTGGGTGCGTGACCCTGTGCACAGGGACTCATCTGATACTATATCCCAAGCGACGGTCGACCAGGTGGCAAAGATACGATCGGCCGAAACATACCAAGCCTCATGCTTAGCTGTGTTGCGCAGAAGAGTGGAAGTGCTAAGACCGGAAGACGCGAACTAGGCCGACGTTCACCCTTGGGGCCTGTCAGCAGATCATTATGTGGTTAAGAGGCGGAAAGTGTCAAGTTTGTCACGAATCACAGTGCTGCATACCGCCAAGGGGTGTTGTGAGTGGAGGGGCTCAAGAAACGACATGTGTGCAATAGGTAGGAATTAGGAAACCCCAAACCTTTAAGGAGTGGGACTGACGGACTGAAACGAATTGACTGGATGTTTGGGGTATACCTGGTGTTTTGACGAGTTGCGCGGCGTACCGTTGGGTGATGCGACGACGTTGAAACGCGCACGTTGACTAAACCACCACGACGTGTTTGAGCGCCGAGCGACAACCGCAAAACCACAAAACAGCTTGGCAACGAGAGGCAAGTCGCAGGCGGTAGAATCGAACGGCCACGATTAACTGAATTCGGCGTGGTCGCACATTGTCGTGAAGTATTAATGTGTAGTCGTGGGACGCCATCACACACTACTTGGTACAAGACTCGGAACAGCAGTACTCCGCAAAGATGTAGGTGTGACTTACGCACCCGTGTTTCGTTCAGTCCATAGAGTACCAGGCAAGCTTGTCTGGGGCCATTAACATGTTTGTTAGTAGGGTCGGTCCTCGTTCGCATTCGCACTCGCACTCGCCAAACGATAAAGATCAAGAAAGTGTCAACAAGCTGTGGGACGACATGTGGTAAAGTTTTATCAGATTCGCAACTTATCCTTGGCCTTCTCCCACCATGACTTGCGTGCTTCCATCTCGTCTGTGACCCTCTTCCAGTATTCTGGACCCCTGATGCCAGTGCCCGTCGGTCTGAAGTCGTGCATAGGATTGGGTCTCACCACGGCGCTACGCTGGCGTTCTTGCCAGACCTGGAATGTCATACGAGGTGTTCGAATAGGATATTCTGACTTTGCCGAGTAAAGCGGTAACGGGGGTTGCGGTTCGGTCGGCTTCTGCCAGGCACGCAGCATCCCGATGTGGGACTCGATAAATGCTGGCTGGGGCTCGACTTGTGATGGCTTCTCGTTTGATTTTGTGCTGCCAAACCAGGATCGCGTACTGGCAGTGTCTTTGCGCTTCTTCTTAGAAACCAGGTTTAAGAAGAAACCCTTTGGCATCAGGAGTACGGCCACGATGAGCACGATCGCAACAACGATGGGTACAACGATCGGTAAGGCCAAATCACTGGAGCGGATGTGCGGAGATGTTTGTAGCGTTGTAACCTGCCCTGGAGCGGCTGCATCTGTAAAGTTTTCTGCATCAAGGCTGCGTGTGGTGTATCGCGACATCGGTGACGGCGGCATGTTGTGAGAGTGAGCAACTGGTTGAGAGCAGCTCGGTGTATGGAATGAGATGGTATAAGAGGATCGGAGAGATTCTCCTTAGCTACAATTAAGGTGGACACCTATATCGAACAATGGAAGATGCGTTGTGGCCGAAAGTGAAGTCGCTGCACATTGCGCAAACAGATCCAAACAAGGACGAGCACAAAGGAGGACAACATTGTGAGCACACGCATTTAGTGAGTCACGGTGAGAAAATACTGGGGTTGGCATGTCGCGATGTAGAACGACACGGTGTGGTGTGGTGTTGTGGCAAAGCTGGTTCAGAAGTGACGGCAGGCGGCATGACGATAGGTGAGGAGAAGCGGAAAATCTACGTCACGAGTCACGACGCGTCTTTCGACCGTCACCCCATCTGCGTTTGTATACCAATCTGCGTTTGTATATCGTCGTGGCATAATCGCAGCACCCCCACATTCTATCTTGTTTGCCACAGAATCTCCTTCTCCAACAATGGCCAGCCAACAGCTCGAGCAGGCTTACGAAAAGTACCGATACGAAGCCCTCTTCGGCGTCTGGCTTGTCGTGACCGGCGCAACCTTCATGCGCATCAAACGCCAGCCCTACTCCATGCGTCTCAAGGTCGAGCAGTACGAAAGCATTTTCAAAGGAACGTCTCTAGGTGCCATCGTGCTTGGAATTGGCATGACCCCGAAGCGTGGAATGAGGCGTGTTGCGTAGCCCACAAGCGCCAAAACATCGAAAAGACCCTTAGCACCTCCCAGCTACCCTCCCCACTGCACCAAAGTCACCGACGAGGTGGAGTCTCGATTTCCGAGGCAGTGGTGAGTTAATGCTGGTTGTTGGCACGAACGCTGGGTGACAGGCTTGGCGTCTCCGCAACTTCACATGCCAGCCCCATCTTCCTTCAACGTCTTTCATCGCCGAGCGACAAGAGCACGACACACCATGTTGTTTCGCTTGGGCAAAGTGAGCGTCGAGCTCAATCCGTGGAATCCACTCTATGCAGTGGCTCCTTTCATCATCGTGACGGTGTCTGTTCCGTTAGCCATCTTCGCCGTGGCCACGACCTCCATCGCGCTTTCCTTGTTGGCCTTTCGTGGCTTCATAGTTTATACGCAGCTGGGTACTGCACTATTAGGTGCCTGGCTTTCACCAACACCGTCGAAGCCTGTCCCTGTTCAGCGTCCGTACCTGTCCGAACGATCGTCTCCGCCTCGCAACCGCAACCGCCGCAACAGTAGCAATGGCAGTGGAACGTCTCTTCAAGACTCCATGGTGTCAGCTTCACGCCTCGGCCCGAAGTCCGGCTCGTTTACTGCGCTGCTCGGTGAAGGAAGCCCGACTCGCGACTACGAGGGTGTCGGCGGCTGGAGAGATACTGGTAATGAGGACGAGGAAGCGTTGTGGATGGGCATGAACTCGAGACTACAGCTCCCTGCTGCAACATCTGGTCGACGCCACCAGCGACGCCACACCGGCGGACAGAGTCCCACGCAGCGCTGGAGCTGGAGCCCAGAAGTCTTCCGCATGAGCCCTGTGCAGAGCCGCGCCAGAACACCGATCCGAGTTGCCGCAAACGAGGGGTACGATCTCAGCGAATACTTTCCTAGGCAACCTGTAATAGGAGATCGTCCGATTGGCATTGCACCGGACCCATCGAAGCGACACAGTCGGAGGCTCAGTGGCAGTGGCAGTAGTATCGCCAGCGTGACTTCGAGCATGATGACCCCCGTCAAAGAAGCCGGAGAGTGAACAGGCAGTGAAGGAGTTCTTGAATCGGGTATTCGTACATCGATACTACGTCACAGCGCACACCCAACGCAGCCCCACTTCACAGCGCATGTCAACACCTCGCCAACAACTACACAGCGAAGATATCTCTAGACCCCGCAAGTACCCCATACACGCGCACAAACACACCAAACCGTCGCACACAGCCATGAACCCCCTCAGCGCCCCATCGCGACACAACACCGACTGGAAACCCGTAGCTATCTTCGCAGCCGTTCTCATCTCCCTCAGCATCGTCATCGGGGCAGTAGGCTACTACCTCAAGATCCAGCTGAGGCGGGCGCAAGCTGAGGCGGGCGCAAGTTCAAGGCGCCGCACTACGTGCTCCTCCACTGCCTCCGGCTGCTAGATGAAGCCGCTGTGCCTCGACGTTGCCAAACGCTGGTTCGACCTGCTGGTTGGTGGAGAAGTGGGATTTGAGTGCGTGTGGGTTCTTAGCTAATGGATTGTGACGGGCTGGGGCTCTCGACGGGGGTGCGGTGTACTGACGGGCGTTTGGTGGCGTATAGGATAGCGTGTACAACTGAACTCATTGCGTTTCTGTATTGCGGCTGGTGTCGAATGTGCACTTCGAGCGTTTCATGCACCCATTTCGTGGGCTGGACGGGAGACGGTAGTTGAAAGCGAGTATCAATCAAGGTATAACGAAGGTCTAGCGTGCACATTCAATCATCGATTTTGAACATGCACCACGTTCCTAATGTGAAGTGTTCAGATGTCGGACCTTGCAGGAACAGCACCTAGCGCAGGTATACTGCTGTAAGCCATAGTTTTTGAGTTGTCGAGCACGACGTCAGTAAGTAGTCTTCATTATCGTACAGCATTTCTTGCATAAACGAAACCCCTGTTTCACAGAGTCCATCACCTCGGCTCGCAAACAACCAAAAATGGCGCGACCACACTCCCAAGGAAAAGCTTTCCGCTCTTGACATCGTGCAACACCGTCGTCGAGCCGTCAAGAACCCGCGCCTCCTTATCCTCGAGCACTTTCGTGACCTCGTACTCTAGCTTCTCCTCTACATCCCCGCCGCCCACCCTCCGAATCTGAAACACGCTCACCGGCGCCCCCTCCGCGTCGGGATCCACCATGCCCTTCATCGTCTTCCGCGCATCCGGAAATCCAGGGACCCACAGATCACCGCGCGCATCCGGGGTGATGTTGTCGAGCGGCATGCCGACGCGTATCGTGTGCAGTAATGTTAGTGTCTTATTCTGCTGCAACTCAAACACCTTCACAGTGCCGTCTGCCGAGCTGGGGCGATCAATGGGCGGTGGTCTGAAGAGCGATCAGGAGCATTGCGGGCGTTGTGATCGTTCTCGAAGTGGTCTGCGTTAGTACTGCGTGTAGTGCGGGAAGGGTAAGCATGATCGCATGCAAGAGGAACGTTCCGGCAATGAATCACGAGCAAGATGGCTTGCGGTTTGATTGAGCTACTTGATTTACTCAGTCATTGGACGCTTATAGCTGACATTACTTGGCTTGCGAGTCCACTGTAGCAGCCAATACACTTGGTTACGTACAGGTCTGGCTGCGTGAAGATCTGACTGTGTGTCTGGCTGCATACAGTGCCCTCAGAAGGCCCCTATCAGTGCATACTTCGTCAACGTAGTGTCAATTCTGGTGATCTGACTGCCTGCTTGTCGATGAACTTCACCGTGAGACAGCGTTAGCGGGCTTGAGGCAGGACGCCTGACGCGACGCGCCATAATTTTCTGTCTTTCTTCATACCAACACTACAGCTCACTCGAAGTAGGCTCATAGCCAACGAACGCTCTCAAGTCGAACATTTCTCTCTCTCCTTTTTGTAATGTCATACAATCTTCATATCAATGTGTCAAAAAGTTCAAGCTAATACCGTGTAGACTAATCCAACAGCATGCCTCCACGCCAGCTCAGGCACAAGAAGGTGGTCGAAGACAAAAAGCTCGATACAATGGGCTATTTTTACTCCATCGCAGCGCCTCCCGCTGCGGGCTCAGGTCAAGGGCCTTCGAGGTTGTTCGCGGCTCCGGGTGAAACCGTCCGCTCTTCCTCTGGACTTGAGGAGCAGGCCACGGCCGACCGCTCCAGTTCAATATCGAGACAGTTTGCGGCTCTGGGTGAAACCACCCGCATCTCCTCTGGGCTTAAAGGACAGGCTACGGTCGAACGTCCTAGCTCCACATCGAGGATGAACTCGGTTTTGGATAACACCACCGAACCTTCCTCAGAACTCGGGGGGCAGGCTACGGCCGAGCATCCCAGTTCTCCAAAGGCCAACCTGAAAAGGGAGGCCTCTTCTCCAATCAAGGCCCAGCGCCCGGGCCGGAAATTGATGATGTCTGCTTCGCTCGCGCGTACAGAGTCGAAGTTCTTTGCCACGGCAAAGCCTGTCGCCGAGTCGTCGGCTGCTGGTGCTGCGTCACAGTCGCGCTTGCATTTGGGTTCTGACGACTACGGTGGTTCAGATCTTGAAGACGACCTGCGCGCAATTTCCGTAATGGAAGAGCGCACGGGGAAAGAAAAGTTGCCCCAGCGCGACCAGTATGAAGACGTCGGTCACGACCAGTCCGACGACTTCGGCTATACAGCCGATGACGATGATGCTTTCATGTCATTGTTCGATGAGGATGCTGGGCCTTCGGCTGTTGCTGCGCCGGTGCCAGCGCCTGCACTTGTGTCCGAGCCAGCGCGAGCGCGTATACCTGGGCCTGAGCGTTCTCGCGCTCGAAAAGGTGTTGGCGCTCCAAGTGGTCAAGACAACCATAACTGGAGGGGTGGTCGCAAGGCCGAGGGAAAGAAGGCCACAGTCGAAGACATTGTTGGCAATGGACCTTCCGGTGTGCATCCTCCGTTGGAGGATGTCACATTATCCTATGAACCAACTTCCAGACTTGGAAAGTGGATGGAAGTGCGCAACAAGGCATTCACGAGTCTAAAGAGGGTCGTCACACCTACCTTCATCGACTGTAGCCTTTTCCGCCTTGATGAAGAATGGGATGAGCAGCCCGTTCTTCATGGTCGCAACTATGAAGTCGCCTCTGCCGGTGAACACACGCCCCGCCGTGGCAGTAGCTTGCAGCTGCTCAGTTTCACCAGTCATCCTGGTGCAGATCCTATTGTTGCCGTTATTGATCCGAAGTGGCTCCCAAAGAATACCCGGGAGAACGCATTGCGATTTGGCCAGGCTGCATGCAAACTCTTCGATCGAGTTCCCAACAGCTACCCACCATCGCTGCTGCCTCTTCTGGCTGACAACTGGGGTCTAGCCATGACTAGGAACTCGCACATTATTCTTGCCCGCCATATCTGCAGACGTGCTTTCAAGACGTTCCTGCCTGATAAGAAGCCATCCGTTCAAATCGTTACGAGAACGATAAACAACCAACTGTATTTCCAAGGCCGGATACAGGCTATTGAATGCGTTGTAAAGCTTACGATTCGGCCGAATCTCCTGAACATGTCTGTTCCTGCGCCAGATGCCCCCGAGGATATCGACTTTGAGGTCAAGTATCCGGGTAAAGATTCGGATGCGGATCGCCCGGCGTGGGAACACACTGCCGCGGTCTTTAAATTCGCCATGACGCGCGCTTTCTGCGCTTCCGCTTGCAAGCTCCGAAGCTATTCTGTCTCAGAATTCTGGGCTGACAGCATTCGCCCTTGGCGAAAGAGTTTTCGTGACAAGTCTAAGAGCAGTATTGGCCGTACTTATAACGGCGACTACGTTCTCACATTGGGGAGGCATTTGAATTTCACTAGCCTCGCTCTGACAACTACAGTTAAGAGGGATATTGTTGGAAAATATATCCCTACATTTTACCTCTCAGGCGTCTCTAAGAACCGTGCGGCATATGTCCGCGAGTCGGTGACTCAGGCTTTCAATGCGGGTAGAGGCATTTTGAATGCCATACAGCATGGTCTCGTTATTTGTGAGCTATTGAGCAGCGATATGGGCTTTGTTCCGGACTCTGCAGCTCTTTGTACCTGCACTGTTGTCTCTGGTCGTTTCCTTGTCCACTTCTGTCAATCTTGCAACTGGCCTGTGCGATGCTGCGAGCTCAAGCAAACCCCGACAGGACGTCGGCTGTGTGGTTTGTGCGTCCGGACTCACGGCATGTTCTTAGAAGAGCAAATTGACCTTAACCTGGGTGGGTTGGTCGCGGGTGACAAGATGAAGTCGAAGGCTTCAGCATCGAGTATGACCAGGGATGAAATCCGAGCTTTTATCTCTGCTTCCTTCAATAGGGAGGACATGAAGGCAGACGACGCATACGTCCCAAACACAACCCGCGGGTTAGAACCAGGTCCGTTCGGAGCATCCGCTGATGCAAAGTTCCCGTACGTTCGCCTGAACGGGAAGACAGCTCTCCACACGTTTGATAACGTGGCTGTTACGGCACTGTGGATTAACTTCTGCAAGAATCGGTTCTTGCCTGGTATTCTTGGAGTTCTGAGTGAAGCTCAGTCCTTGCGAGATCGCTCCCGAGAAGACCCTGAGTGGCGCAACTTAATGCTTCGGTTTGATCATCAATTTGGTCTGATCGCGGCTGTGCCCAAGAACAAGAGCCTTAGACTGGACAAAGCCGTGTCTTCCGTACACCATAGGCTGACTAAAGAGAACTGGAAGAGTGGTCGATGTCCAGATCGTTCCGTGCTATCTCGTTCAGGCCAAACCTTTTATGGTGCAAACCAGGGATCTTACGATGGTCCCTTCGTCCGGACCGCAGAAAAGATCATCCGCGAGATGGAGAACCACTACGCACGTAGTGTTCCTCGCTCATCTTCTGGGGCACCGTGGCCTTTCATGAGCCATCATATGCCTAAGATATGGTCATGGGGCAACGTTATTGCACTTTTCAAGTATCGTTCTTACCGCATGCGATTTGATTGCAACAGCAAGCATGCTACCATTGATACGCCACTCTCTTTACTACTAGAGTGCATCCGTCAGTACCTCCAGTACGAGGGTCGAGATCATATCTTTGGCCTAGAGATGACTATCTGGGAGCACCACCCTCTGTGTTTTGCTGTTGCACATGATCGTCACGGCGAGCAGATGAGGAGCGGATTTTTGAATCCTAGCAACATCCAAAGCTTTGCTGAGGAGTATGATCAGGGCTTTTGCAACATTGCATTCCAGCCGCAAGTTGTCAACTTTGCTGTCCACAATTTTTCACAGAAGCATTACGCTCGCATGGTCACGGAGCTGGCGACAATTCCTTGGAACTGTGAGCTCTACAAGCGCCTTGACAACCCTCCGGCGCTCACCATCCAATTGGTAACTATCGAACAATCCAAGAAAACCCTTGATGAGTTTGGTGAAGTGGAAGCGGTGTCAGACAGTGACATTGGCGAGGACGACAATGGTGATGATGAGTAGACAATGTCCACGAATCTGAACGCTTCGTTCTTTGCAGATATCTGCAGATGCTTATAGGCATATCTACAACGGTAGAAATACCTTTTGGGGTTCTTGCCCTTCCCTTTCGTTAGTTTTTGAGGGGAAAAACCTTCCGTTGGCTTAATTACCTTTGTGTATTGGTCGAAGGAGGGGTTCACGCACGCAGGCGATGGTCGCCGTGAGTGAATTGATGCTGAGGGTTGTTCCATAATCACTGTAAGATGGCTTTCACAACGCCATGTCGGCTGTGTTTCCGCTGCCGTTCTCGTTTTTTTTTTTGGCAATAGATGCGCACTCGAGAGGCAAACAATGTGAGTCGTGTGATATGAGCAGGGACGACAGTTAGAGCTGTTGAAGTATGTTCCTGATCCTCAATTGTTGATGCAGCTCAGACAATATGTATTTGAACAGATGGGGGTTGGATCATTTCGCATCAATGCGAGACAGCGCTCTATGTAACGTGACAAACACGCAAAAATGTCAACGAAGATTCGCTCCTGAGCTGAGAATTGACCTTCTACATCTTTGGTCCTTGCACAGAGACAGTTTGTGGTGAACCAGATGCGTCGCGTGCGCCTTCACCTCTCACCTCACCACAGTCAATGGGGCGAAAAACTTTTCCTGCTTCTACCTCGTCTTCCTCATACATACTCACAACGCACCACATTCCCCAGCACAGCACCACTCCACTTCTAAACGCTTTTTAAAACAAACCCCAACGCCGCGCATTCTCACACAATGTCTTTCCTCCCCCCCAACAACAATGACAACAACAACACCTCCGGTTACGCTCCTCCGGGAGCCATTGACCTCTCTGGCGGCGTTCCTGAGCAGGACGTCGCCATGGGCGGTGTCCCCCTCGATGGAGACACCGGTCCAGTCGCTCCGGCGACCGCTCCTACCGGAGCTTCGGCGTCACCTGGAAACGGTGATAGCCTGACCGCACCTGAGAATGGTGCGGATCAAACCGAGACCTCCCACGGCACCCCCGATGGCGAGGACTCTGACAAGGAGGGGGCCGATGAGGGCTCCCAGTCAGACTCGACCGACTCCGATGCAATGGAGGTCGAGGTCGATGTCGCCGTGTACGTTCCCTGGGATGTACAGTGTGACGCCTCGCTCGAGGAGCGAGTGGAGGGGTTCGAGCGCTGGCGAAGCTGGTACTTGAACAACTTCAAGACAAACAAGGTCAACTGCCAGACCTGCGGCAAGGAGCACGGCGGTGTCTGCATCCGCCCCGACGTGCTCAAGCGCGCCTTCGACTCCGGCAAAGCTCTCGTTAGAGAGCTTCGCGGCGAGAACAAGAACGCTGCTGCGAAGAAGCAGCAAGATCAGCAGCAGGCAGCTACCACGCGCTGGAAAGCCAAGGCCAAGGCCGCTGAGGCGAAGTTGGGTGCCTCCAACTCCAACAAGACCGGCCAGGCCGAGAGCTCTTCGGCTGGTGCCAATCGTCCCCGTGGTCCTACTACCAAGATCACTCCTTGCCGCTTCTGCGGCCGCAACCACGTCCCAATTGTTGACAATGGGAAGCCCAACTGCAAAGCTCCCAAATGCAGGTGGAAGGGTTGCGGCCTGCATCACTACCAGGCAGAGGGCTGCGACGCTGCGCAGAATCGTTTACTGCAGGCAGGCGTGTCTAAGACAAACCTGGGTCACCGCCCCGCAGCAGCTCCTTCGGCGGCAGCTGTTGGAACCACCGCCTACGTGAGGGGCATGCTCGGCTCTGGTGGTTTCCAGGGATTCATGGATCCTGCCGCGATCCATGCTGAGGCTGCCAGACAACTCGCTGAGATGGCGTCCCCGGGCTCTTCACGTACATCTAAACCCAATGGTAAGGGTAAGGGTAAGAAGCGGGAACTGTCCGACGACGAGGACAAGGACAAGTCGAACAAGAAGCCAAAGGAGCAGTAGCGCTCTTCTCTGAGCCTTCTTCGCTTTGCTTGACACCATCGTCCTCGAAACAAAAAAATACAAAAAATACCCATGAACATCAGCGCTTTAGCGCTTCACGGAGGAGACAACCTCCCTAAAAAACGAGCCCTGGATTGCTCGTCCTCCACGTTGGTCAGGGTGGGAACTTCATGAGTCTGTTGACCATGATGCTAAACCGAGCAAGCATACAAACACATGCCTTCCCAGTAAGTCGTACCCACGTCAATCTTCCTCCACTGACTTCACTTCACAAGTACTGCATCTTCGCCCACAGAGACGCCCTTTGGCTACCACGCTCGGCTTCTGCCATCTCAAGGTCCTTGTCCTACTCTTCCAAGCCGTTACCGACAGTAACTTCGCCCTCCTACACATCTGCGTGGCTGGATATGGTCATCGAGCACGCTGCATAGGCCTGGCCTTTCAGCAGCGCCGAAAGTGCATACTGGAACGAGCTTTCGCCTCTCGGCAGTGTGATGACGGGATGTGGCTTGATATACACGAACTTTTGAGCCTCGCGGTTGAAATAGTCAGAAGTCAATCCGAGATGGACGATCAGCAGTGCCGTGCATCATGTGATGAAACTCTAACTTTGTGTCGTGTGCATGCGATATGCATTCATTATGATGATAAGCTAGATGAACGAACCACTGCCGTCGTTGCCTCGCTTGAATTCGAAGACCTCGACGGAAGCGTTGGCGCCCATTTCGGAGGCGGCGAACAGTGTGCCGTGATAAGGGGGCACGTTGGGGAAGTAGAAGTGGATGGTGGAGGCGTCGATGGATTCGCCGGTGAAGCCGACAGTGTCAAGAACTGCGTCTCCGCGCGCGCCGAAGGAGCCTTGGGGGACGATGGAGCGGTGGGAGAAGAATCGGTTGGTGCCGAAGGAGTCGATGTCGATTGCTATGAGTTCACTGCCAGTGGGTCTGCGGCCTGATGCGTCCAGACGGGAGATGACGGGGCTCCAGGCCATCCGGCTTTTGGTGCCTGCACATGCTGCATACAAAACCCGCTCTATATCATCGAGCCAAAGATCCTCACAGGCCTCCAGGTGGGGATGCTCGATGCGCTGACATGAGTAAGGAAACTCATCAATGGACTGAATCACGCGACCCAAGCCGAGAGTGACTGTGAGAATGTCTTTGACGAGGAATTGGTAAACGGCAGCGGACCAGGCCACGACCGCGCTGTAGTACACAAGACTCCCTATCGACGGCATCATGGCAGTAATGTAGAAGAAGAAGCTTGGAGTCCAGAAAATGTGTATGGTCGTGGATAGGACTAGACCGGAGTGAGGTACACTAGAGGCTTGGTATGGAGAAGGCCAGCCAGCATCAGCTCTTTACGCGAGCACGTGGGCGCAGGGGGTCATCTTCCCGCATTCCCTACTCCGGGATGTCGGAGACCAGGTCGCACAAGGTGTTTTCCGCATTCGTAGTTGAGAGACTATCGCAATGAACGAAGCGACCGAGGTTTGCAGGGTCCAGAATGTCTGACGTCAACCCTTGTCGGTGTCACCCCCCGCACTACCATTGGTCCACCATGTATGCAGCTGAGCACTTCGTATCATACACCATCATACAACCCCCTCGCAATCAATTCTACCTTATCAAAACATACCAAAATGCCACTATCAGCTTCCTTCGACGTAATTGGGACATGTTTCGACTTCGGCGTGCCCATCGCCGCCATCCACGAGCGTCTGGGCCCCAAGCTATCCACCGCGCAGTGTGACCCGAAAACGCTGTTCTTCGCGTGGTTCTACGCAGCGCAGCGCGACTTCACCTACGTCTCGATGGCTGGATCCTACAAGCCAATTGCCGAAGTGCTGCGGCTGACGTTCAAGCGCGCGTGTCTGGTTGTCGATCTGCCGGCGGATGCTGTGAGCGAGGAAGATGTGGCGTATGTCATGAAAGCGTTCAAGAGCATGAAGCCGCGCGAGGGGTTGAAGAAGTGCTTTGATGGCTTGAGAGAAGCGGGGTGGGATGTCTACGGTGTGACGAATGGCGGTGTGGAGACGTCGCTTGCGTACTATCGCAGTGCGAGTATCGAGCTGGACGAGAAGCATTTGCTGTCTTGCGACGACCTGAAAGTTGCGAAGCCGGATGTCAGAGTATATGAGCGTGCGCAGGACCATTTGACGAAGCAAGGCTTGGGCGAGAAGGAGGATGGTAAGAGGTGGTTTGTGGCAGCGCACGCGTGGGACCTTATTTCTGCGAGAGCTGCGGGCTTCAAAACGGCATATCTTGACTTCGAGGAGCATGACCCCGTGACGGAGATCTTTGGCGAGTTTGATATATATGCAGGGAGTATGGACGAACTATTGCGGAAACTGAAAGGCGTGGCATGAAGTTCGTGATTCTACACGAACGCCAGTTGCAAGTCTGTAATATTGTCTTAAACTCCTACTGATTGAAAACCAAACACGTGAGATGAACTTGTTGTCTTCAGAATGTAGGCGATGATAAATGTTGGATTAATGATGAGCCCCTGCCCTCAAGGCCTCGGGGGAATGACACAGCCCTACTTCACGCGACTACAGCGCCGGACTGCCAATGTCGCGTTGATAGGCGCCCGCAAAGTCGAGCTGTCCAAGCTGCCCATTCACCTGGTCGATCTCCTGATTGAGATCCGCGAGATTCTGCGCGAGACTGGTCTGCTCATCGAAGCGGCGGTGCTTGGCCGCGTCGGCTACCATCTCGCTGACCATGAACTTCTGCTCTTCGAGCACGATGAGCCGCTCGCGCAGTTCCTTCTCCTCGCTCTCCATGGCCGACACTTCGCTGCTGCTGACGCCACTGCCGCCGGCGGTATGGCCCGCTTTGATGGCGGCGAGAGCGCCGCGTTTTGCGGGCTGGCCTTGGGGCGCAGCGTGCTTGAGGATCTTGGGGAGGGAGCGCAGGGGCAGCATGTGCAGGCTCAGGAAGCTGTAGGCTTGTTGGTGTACGGCCTTTTGGAGCTTCTTTTGTGTAGGCGAGTCTGTGGGCAGGTCGCGTATTCGTTTTGCGGCTGCGTCGAACTGGGCGAACGCATCCATCAGTCGTTTTCGGACCTTTGTCGCGTCTGTGAGCTGCTGTGGCGTTGGTGGTTTCTCGGGATCCTGTAGGGCTACTAAAAGCTTTTGGAATCGCGGCAACAGCAGCCGGATGCCTCTTTCGAACTGCACCAGGTTTTCATACGATCGTTGGTCTTTTGGTCTTTCGGCCATCTCTCGCTTAAAGTCGTTTCTACTGAACAGAGTGTGATTACAGTCCTTGCACATACGTATGTCGACGCTCATTTGGTCCGTCGCCTTTTCTGATTTCTTCGGGTTCACATTCAGTCCAATCTCCGTCGAACATGCGGTGGTTGGATCGCCGCAGACCACTCGCCCGCACATGCGACAGTGATGTCTCCGGAATGTGTACGTCGAGAACTCTTGCTGGCAGAACGGGCAGTGCGAGACTGTTGTATCTTCCTCCCAGGTGATGATGGACTGCTCAAGAGCTTTACGCTGGCTTTTGGCTGTATTGATACCGACTGTGGACAGCCCAAACCAGCCTCCAGCGCTCGGCGCCTCCTCAATAGGCGGCGGGTTGGTAAGCAGTTGAGTCAGTTTTGTGAGGCGCTTTTCCAGCCTGCTGACCTCCATGTACTCTCTGTCCACCCTCCGTCGCCGAATTTTGGCAAACTCGTCGAAGTGATTTCGCTCAAATCCATGATGGTCGTTGTAGCCTTCTCTTGATTTGTAGCACGTCTCGCAGACTCGACACCAGATGCCTCTGACGGGATCGTGTTTTGCGGCCCTCGACAGCCGCATCTGGTACAATGTGTGGTCTTCACAGAACAGCTGCCCGCACTGTCGGCAGTTGACAGCGGTCTGGCTATTGCCCAGGGCCATCCCAGATGCTGTGATCGGCCGGCCGCAAACCGGGTCCGAGCACACGTCGCGGTAGCTCGGCCTCTGCCAGTGCGCCCTTGTGACCTCCTCCTCAGGATCTCTGCGGACAACGGCAGGCGGTGTCTCGTGACCAAGGCGCGAGCTCGAGGCGCTGCGGGCGTGGGCAGCGGGCGGGGGGGTCGGCGCGCTGTTCGATTCGAAGACGTCGAGTCCCTTGAGCTTCTGGTTCAGCACGGCGAGCGGCTGGAACTTCTTGGCCTTGACCATCTGCTCCTCGAACCAGTTCTTGACCTCATCCTGCTCTTCCTCGACGAGGTTCTGGTGGTTGTCGTCGAGATGTCTGGAGGGGTTAGGCTGGCGCAGAGGCTCACGTGGAAGGGCAGTACCGGTTCAGTTGGAGGAGCGTCATCTGGCGCAGTTAGTGCACTGCACGCATGCTGGGAGGCAGGAGCGGCGGCGTACCATCTCCTCGCTGCATATCGGACACGCCAGACGGCTGCTGGCACGGGCGGCGGCATTCTCGCTCGGCCCCAGCAGGACCTTGCTGCCAATATCCTCCCTCGTCTCGGCGGTGCTGGCGGGGCTGTTGGACGTCTGGCTGCTCAGCGACAGCGAGCTCTCCGACGGCGACAGCAGACTGGTATTGCGGCCATGCTGCGCCTGGGGCGCCTGCAGAGCGTGCGGGGCGGGCGACGCGGCGGGCGTCACGGCGGGCGACAGATTCCTCCCGCTCCCCAGCACGCGACCGCCGCCCAGGGACCTGCGGGAGGCCATGGTGGAAGTATGAGATAGATCGGGGGTGCAGCGGCGGGCGCGCTCGGAGTTACGGGAGAGCGCTAGCAGTGGGCGGAGCGCCAGGATTCCTGTGCAGCATCGTGCATGCTGGGCACGCAGTACGCCTGATGTCGTGCAACTGCGCTTCGTAGAGGGCGTCTGGAGGATGCTGCGAGCCTGCGACAGCGTCTACCGCGGCTGTTCGATGGCACTGCCGTCTCGTTGTCGGCGCAATCGCCAGCCTTGGCCGACGCCATCGACTTGAGGCATCTCCGCGCGCGCTGCGCCGTCGCTCCCCACGCACTCCCACCATGGCGCACGAGCACGAATTCCCCGAGATCCAGGGCGGCGGGTCGCTGATCCTGGCCTGGCAGATTCGCAACAAGCGCGTGTTGGTCGTGGGCGGTGGCGAAGTGAGTCCGCTGCAGCGCAATGCCGTAGTAGACGATTGACCATAATTTAGGTCGCTGCCGGGCGCATCGTGAACGTCCTCAACGCCGACGCCAAAGTCACCGTCGTCTCCCCGCGCGATGGTCTGAACCCAGAAGTTGCCTACCGAATTGAGCAGAAGCAGGTGGACTATGTCGACCGCAAGTTCGAGCCCTCGGACTTGGACGGTGCCGACATGGTCATGACCGCCGTGGACGATCCCGAGGCCTCAACTCAGATCTGGAAGCTGTGCAAGGAGCGGAGGATAGCAGCCAACATTGCCGACGTGCCGCCCGAGTGCGACTTCTACTTTGGCAGCGTGCATCGCGACGGGCCGCTCCAGATCATGGTCAGCACAAACGGAAGAGGGCCCCGGCTGGCGAACATTGTTAGGCGGCAGATTGCTGCAAACCTGCCTCCGAACATCGGCCAGGCTATCACGAGAGTCGGTATGCTGCGCAAGAAGCTGCGGCAGGTGGCGCCCGACATCTCAGAGGGTCCAAAGCGAATGGCCTGGTACGTATGATATCCTCTGTCGCGGTGCTGTACTAAGAATATGCAGGATGATCAAAGTCAGTGACTCGTACTCGCTCGAGGACCTCTGCTCCATGTCTGAGACCGATATGGAGCAGCTCTTGGGCTACTACAAGCCCAACACTGTACCTAGTCTAGACCTGCTCCGGCTGCAAGAGCCAGACGGTGCTTTTGATGGGCCATTCCTTATATAAAAGCTCACATGGGCGGCGTTCTACACAAGCAATAGATGGGCTAGTATTTTCCTATTCATTCAACAGACATTCATGTTGTATTTCGTCCTGGACCCATCTTCAAGTCACGTCCAATCAACGTGCAGTGGCCCGTGCACTTGAATGCAACTTCTAGGCTTCTTGTATTCATACTCTACTCAATCACTGCCAGCAACAGTCCTGGGAAATCTGTCGCTCGTACTTGATTACGTGTCCGAGCACATCATGGATCTGGCGCAGCGCCCACCCTACAGCACAATTGATTTCAAAGCACTTACCAAGGCCGATCCGGACTTCAAGCGAATATGGCAAGCGTGCACTGGCAAGCTTGACTTCCAGGACCCGACTACTCTTCAGACTCTTTCCACTGCTATTCTGAGGGTCCACTTCAATCTCGAGCTTTCTTTGCCACATAACCGGCTCTGCCCGCCAATACCAAACCGTTGGAACTATGTTTCCTGGATGCAAGGACTGCTTGACTCTACATCACCCTCCTACTCCAACAAGTATGAGTCCGAGAGAGAAGTCACTGGCTTGGATATCGGCACGGGCGCCTCGGGTATTTACGCAATGTTGTGCATGAGGAGCAGGCCAAACTGGATTATGTGCGCAACCGACATCGACAAGACCTCCTTCGAGTCGGCAGCTGCGAACTTTGCTAAAAACAACCTTCTTAGCAGGACGAAGATGCTGCAAACCACTCCGTCAATGCCGCTTATCCCCCTCGAGGGACTAGGCACAAAGCAGCTTGACTTCACACTCTGTAATCCTCCCTTCTTCGTTGACTCTGCCGAGATGGAGATATCTCTGAGCGGCGAGGGAAAGGCTACAGGACCGAACGCCATCTGTACCGGCTCTAACAATGAGATGGTCTGCCCCGGCGGCGATCTTGGCTTCGTCACACGCATAGTCGAGGAGTCGCTCATTCTTCGAGACAAGGTGACCTGGTACAGCAGCATGCTCGGCAAACTCTCAAGTGCCAAGGCGATTATCGAGCTCCTCAAATCGCACAATATCACAAATTGGGCTGTGGGTGTACTTGAGCCCGGCACGAAGACGGGGACGAAGAGGTGGATCGTGGCATGGAGCTTTGGCAACCTGCGACCGCGTAACAGCATTGCTCGTCCGCCTGGCGGCAGCTTTCCACACGAGCTCTTACCCTTTCCGACGACGTACAGCATTCCGCTGCCTTCCTCAATCACGGGCTCTGCTGCATGTGACAAGGTGGATGATCAGATATCTGCCCTAGACCTAAGCTGGAAGTGGGATACAACAACATCGAGTGGCGTCGGCGTCGCGTCAGAGAATGTCTGGGGCAGGGCGTATAGAAGGGCTTACGAACGACGGAAGCGAGAGGGTCTGGCCGAAGTGGGGAATGACACTCTGAGCAAACAGACAAAACTCGCCTTCCGCATCACAGTCGTGCCCTTAGCTGGCGAGATCACTCTAGAGTGGCTGAGAGGGAACGACCAAGTTCTGTGGGAGAGTTTGTGTGGGTGTGTGCACCGATGGTTCAAGGCTTGACTCTGGATGATGTCACAGAGCAAACAGAGAGAGAAGGCACCCATTATTCGAGCCGTCTTTCACCTCACTTCCGTTTATCAACCTCACCGCTTCTAAGAGCTTCTGCCCACCTCAACGTTGTTTCTCTCTCTTACACAACTCTACTTGTTCACATTACACCGGAAAATCGTGCTCATTCAATCAACACAGCCTCACCTCTCACCACCATGTCTTCTGAAAACCAGCCCGTCTACTTCGCGTCGTCCACTGAGCTCGCTGACCTAGGCGCCACGCGTTTTGACCACGAAACCGCGGCTGCAGGCGACAGAGACTCATCTCTCGACCCTTACCGTGCACCCGTGACCGTGCAAGCCGGCCGTGCCCCGAAGGGTCTCGAAGGTCAGGTGTTTGCCTGGAACACGTTTCAGTTTACCACAACCGACCGCAACGAGAAGGAAGAGAAGAAGGACGACTTGCACGAGGGTCAGTTGCACCGCGAGAACCGCGCCGCGAGGGGAGAGCTGCCTATGGCGCACGACAACAGGCCTGCTTCCTACGGTAGGGGTGGGGCACGCGGCGGTCGTGGTGGACGCGGTGGGCGCGGTGGTGGAACTTCCGGCCGGGGCGGGGATAGTGGGCAGTTGGATGCGCTTTGCGCGGGCAGAAAGCCTGAGGGCAATGCGCCGCCGCTGGCGAAGGGGTTTGCGGAGGAGCTGGACAAGGATATGTTCTGGGACACGCCGATCTGCTAGGCATATTGAGACGTCTCGTGTGAACACCCGCATTTGACAGCAGCTGAACTTAAAAGCTCATGGTAACACCACCGAATTGTTTCTACTACTCTCACTGACCCCCGTAGAATGCATCATCCGCACGCGCGTACCATCATGATCTTGCTGCTACCTGCCTAAGATAACTCTGGTATCACTCGCATACTCTGCAAGCGCGAAGCTCCAATATCTTCGATAGCGCAGCGAAGGCAGTACATAATGTACCTTTTACTATAAAAAGTATGCCCAGTACACGTTCACATTGACCTCTTGATACTAGTACATGTCTTTCCCACTCGAGCATCAAACAGTGATGCCCCAAAGCGTGTTAGAATACACGTTCTTCGCTACCAGGTGCAGGAATAGCAAGCACATCGACCTTTACGAGCCCCAACTCCGCCGCCCGTCACGATCTATAATACCTTTCTTCAAGTAGCGCGATGGTCGCGGTGAAGTGGTTTCTGTCGATCACAATATAAAATAGGTATGTGGGGCGGTGTGGCAAAGCAGGATGCAGGCCAGCTCGACGGAGCTAAAGCGTGCATGACTACCAGGTTAAAGTCTCGCCCAATACTCCGATTACTCCAACGCGACATTCCCGCCTATCAGACAAACATCGTACGAGTATCCTGGAGGATCTAATGCTCTACCGGCTGTCTCTTCGCGCATCAGCGATTGGCCGTCGGAGCCATAAAGCCTTTCCCTTGTACCGTTGTGGCCGCCTGATGAGGCTAGCATTTTCCATGGACCAGAACAAGTCTCCCCTCGACTCGAAGCATAGAACTGGATCACAATTTTGCGCCGCATCCAATTCTTTCCAGTGCAGTAAGTCCACAGCTGGCTTCGCGAGGCATCGAAGCTGGGCCTCCACGGGGGTTGTGTACTTGATCCCTGTCAGCAAAGACCCTACCGTGCCGTTGCATGTTGCCACATTCCCCGCCCCACTTGCTGCACGATGTAAGCTCTAATTTTCGCTCCGATAGACTGGCTGAGTTACCCGGGTAATCTGACTCTATCTGCTACTAGATGGCTGTTCTCTGCTTTTCTACCTTCCAGTTCCTGGGCTCGGCAATTGTATAGTCCCGGGCTCGCTGCCGTGTTCATCTACACTATTTAAACCAGAGCTGACTACACATCAATTGGCTTATACTCCTCTCTGACTGTAAAGCAATCCTGGTGTTCACAGTAGCAGCAACAGTCGATTGAAACCAGCCGCGTGATGAGGATCTTCCACTTTATTAATACTGCCTTGGTCTGCAGCGCCAATGCTTTGAAGTTCATGGGAAACGACGCGCTGGCTGCTGAAGGTGCTATCAAACTTGGACTGCATCTCGCAGGAAATGGATTTCCGAGCCCGGGCGCTTGCACACTAGAAAGACTATCCATCCGCAGAGAATGGTAAGCTACTTTTGCAACTTACTGCTCGAAACGACTAACACTGTGATAGGGCGACACTGTCCCCCAAAGAAAGAATAGCGTTCACTGATGCCGTCAATTGCCTCCATGAGCTGCCAGCAAAGACCCCCGCTTCCGTTGCACCTGGCGCAAAGAGCCGTTTCGACGACCTTGTAGTAACACACATCCAGCAGTCATACATGATCCATGGTACTGGCAGGTTCCTGACATGGCACCGATACTTTACCTGGACATTTGAACAAATGCTAAGAGAGGAGTGCGGCTATAAGGGGACATTTCCTTACTACAACTGGGCTCACTACGCCGAAGACCCGAAAAGCGGTCCATACTTTGATGGCAGTGCCTCCAGCATGTCTGGTGATGGCGTGTATATTCCAGGCCGAAACTCTTCTTGCTTTCCATGGGATGGCATTACTGGCCCGTGCTACATGCACCTCCAGCCCGGCACAGGTGGTGGATGTGTCACCTCTGGTCCTTTCAGAGAGCAAGTACTGCTTCTCAGATAAAATGTGATCGATAATCTGACTATCCACAGCTTCAAGGTCAACATGGGACCACTCCAAAGTATGCTTCAAATCCCAGGCGGTCTCCCAAAGAACCCCCAAGCCGACGGTCTCGGCTACAACCCACGGTGTCTGTCCCGCGACATCTCCCTGCAAGCCGCCAATGCTACCTCTGACTACGAAGTCGTGAGCTTGATAAAAAATCACAACGACATCGCATCGTTCCAAACAGTGTATCAGGGCGAATTCGCCAAGGGCGTCATGGGTGTACACACAGGCGGCCACTACACCATAGGCGGCGATGCCGGATCTGATTTTTTCAACTCACCCGCCGACCCAGCCTTCTACCCTCATCACGTGAGCACATATCTACTGCACGCTTCGGCTTATACACTAACTATTCCCAGGGAATGATCGATCGCGTCTGGTGGACGTGGCAGAACCTGGATCTCAAAACCCGCGGAAGGGCGTTTGCAGGTTCTGCTGGCTCGCTCCTGGACGTGAACCCCAGAAACATTACACTGGATGATGTGCTAGTTATGGGACCCTATGTTGGGTACCCGAATCTGACGATCGGTGACGCTTTGAGCACGGTTGGAGGCCCTTTCTGCTATATTTACGCGTAGGTCCTATGATGGAGCAAAATTGTTCGAGTCATCAAAATTCTGCGAGCTAATCGTAGCAAATGAAACGCAATCACACGCAAAGCTTCTACTAGCGCTTGATTTTGGTCCTTCAGTGACCCTATTGCTGAGCCCAGGAACCATGGGATCTGAAGCAGGGTGACTCCCACAAACTTACTGGACCCTTTGGGTGGTATGTGCAAACATTATCCCTATACGTTCTCGATTAGCTGACGAATCAAGTCACAGATTCCGGGTAGTACTTATGACGTCTTTTGATCTTACACAGGTACATCTTCGTTACCACACCGTGCGATAAATTACCCGGTTCATTCTAGTCAAGACTAGCTCCTTGTACCCTGAGCCCCATCCGTTTTCAACTCATCCCAATATTCCTTTCTTTCTGTAGACTCTTCCTCAGAAATTACAGCACGTTTCCTTGCTTTCTCATGCACCCTCACCAAAGCGACTTCGATTTTAGTATCCATCTGCGAGTCCGGGCATTCTTGCAAAAGTAGACCATCGAAATGGCGACCAACGTTCCTCACGAGCCCGAGACATCCGGCAAGCCTGAGTATGGCAAGCCTGAAAAGTTTACTACATTATCAGATATTCTCCGCTACCGCTCTATCACAGTCTTACTAGCCATGACGAATTTTGTCGACCAGCGATTTCCTGGCGAGGTCATTCCAGGCGGCATGCGACGGGACTATGCCCACAACATCAACGACAGCTCAGCCTTGAGTTGGAAGAAGCATATGTATCAGAAGCTCGCTGCAAGTGCTGATGTCGTTTGCCGCGATTCTGAGATCGTTACAATGACTCTCGGTCAAGACAACGTCGTTCTAGGTAGTGTTGACGAAGACTTCGATGATGACGACCAAGTAGTTCTCGACATGCACAATTCAGACATCAGCGAAAGAGATAGATTGAGTAAGGCTCCTCCTACCCAGAGTAGCCTTCAACCCTTGTACCCGTCCAATTGGACCCCTGACAATGCCATCATCGAGTCGCCAGGCCTCTTCTTTTTGCAGAAGACAGTGGGATCGGAGTCTGGGAAGAAGAGGGATATGATTTCGAAGACCGATTTCAGCTTCGGCGAACACGGAGACATGTTTCTCAAGTTGCTGAAGCAGACATACTCACTCGATGACTCCAAGAGAAATCGGTACAACTTGGCTCTAGAGATTTATGTTTTTGTGAACTCCAGTGCCGCGATCCTAGGGCGCCTGCACAATAGCACCGCCGACCGGCGCAAGTTCGCTGAGTACATGACGCTCTCGAAGGAGACAATTCTCGACACACTCGCAAGATCTCGGAATACTTCAGCTCAGCTCAGCAATCACTCCAGCAACATCCCACTCAATGCAAAAGAGTGTCGGGCCATTCAAATGCAGCTGGAGTTATTCAGTCTCCTTAACACCGACATTGGTCCATTGAAAGAGTGGGAAAGCGCCTTCGATACAAATCAACCTATCATGTACGACGCTGATGGTATATTTCTGTACCAACATTTACTGGCACTTGTTATGAAGGCTGTCTTCGATAGCATGCATGCACTACATGAGTGCAAGACTAAGCACCAGACAAGATACGTCGAGGACGTCGAAGTACGCCACAAGCCATTACTAGTTAAGGAAATGGGTAGAGAAATTGACAAGGCTGCTCGAAAAGCTGCTATGAGCATGCGAATGATGACTTTCATGAAAGACCGCAATCGACTCGGAAATGTTCTGGAGAAACATCTCAACTGGCTCTCTCAGCTATTCTCCGAAAGAGAAACAACTTCAGACCTTCATAACACGCCCCAACGAGCAGCAGAAATGAACTTTTCCAACGACAGCTTACGTGCAGAAGATAAGTACAATAATGGGATTGGCACAGATTTAGCTCAACTTAATTGGGGGGCTGCAGCCATCGAGTTCCTCGATCTTTCCTGTCTACACATATGCGGCATCTCCGAGTTGGCTCGCGGGTTTGGCAATAACTTCGATCCCAGCGTGCGAGCCTTTGTCAATACAGCTAAGTTTAAATGGGTCCGGCACCAACAGGAGCACACTGACACCAAACTCACTCCACTATCTGCAGTTCTGAAGTCTTTGAAGCAGACAAACCACAATGGCACAAAGACGTCGTTCGACCCAAACGACATTGAAGACACCATAAAGCCAGTCATCGAGAATCACAACCCGGCTTGTTTCAACACTTGCAAAGACTACTGGGATGCTGAAGACATCTTCTCCGGCAAATCACATAGCGAAGCCCTGATGATGAGCTATGCAGACCTGAAAAAGAACCGTGATCACGTCGCCATTCCTTCCGAAGAAGGCACCAAGCCCAAGCAGGATTATATCCGCCCGCCAGACCGTGCTATCACAGATCAGTTCAACGACACCATCAAATTTCTGCCTGTCACCAAGCGCTGCTGCCCGACCTGCACCGCCTTCATTGAGTACATGGAAAACAAGCAGAGATACGAGATCATGCAACGTTTCAGCGGTCGAAACACTGGGCCCAAAGCGGTCAGCCTTGTAGATTGAACACAGCCAACATAAGAATAAGAGCTGAGACCGTGTATAAAAGAGATGGCCATACTAGATATGGAGAGACATGAAAAAGGCCGTCGTTGACCTAGCATGGCCAGCGACAAGGGCCATGGCATTTCCAAGACTTCAGTTTGAAAACACGAAGATACATCGATGAATTATGTAGGGCATTACGAACACACATCAAACTCTTGTAGCGTAGTTTTCGAACTCAGATATAGGCGTCGTTGAGTACTTTCGAGAGAGTCAGAACGAAGGTCTGATCCAGCGTCAGGATCAGAGACCCTGGAAGTCTGTATACCCCAAAGGTCAAGTCATTCGCACAATCCATTGGCCGGGGCAGGGTATGGTCCCTGTGACGTTTGGTTTACATCAAAAACACCCGCTCTATGGTCTTCCAAGGTTGAATTAGACATGACGTCTAGACACATGGATCTTGACTTTGGTTACTTATACCAAACCATGACGATATCGTGTGCAAAGAGGAGGGGCACTTAGCTGTATGTGTTGTTGTTTTATTTCAGTCGTTGTTCAAAGACTCAGAATGGACACAGCATATGGAGGGGATTGCAGTCTGTTTCTCAGAGTGCTGCTCAAGAACACATCCAGGTCATTCTCGTCGTTTCAAGGTAGAGGATTTGAGAAGATAATGATGATTACATTTCCAGGCTGAGGGACTCATTGACAGGGGCTGAGACCGTGTGGCCATGCGTGGGTACCGCAATGAAAGATAGTGGAGGGCCAGATTCGGGACTTCAGAGAGTAGAAAGACGCCAGATGTGGCAAGAAAGGAGGAGTAGCTGAAATATATACCATATAGTTGTTCTTAACTGACACATACGACCATAGGACGTTGAAAACAAGGCTTCCCGTTCGCTCAGCCCTATTTAAGCAACGTACCGGTGGATTAGTACTCAGGTGGGTGACCACTGGGGAATCCCCACTGTTGTATGTAGAGTTTCTTTTTGCTGCTGTCCCCGACCTGCTGTAAGGTAGTCTCATTGTCTCGGTGCTGGCTGGAGGCACTCTAAACCTACTCCATGCAGGTGCGCCACACAGGCGTGACTGCTGAATAGGGATCATTTTTGTACACGTCTTAGCCTTCAAGAGGACCAGTAGAAGCTCAGAAACATTGCATTTTGAGAAAGAGACAGACGCACGTGCAGATTGCGTGGGTTGAGAACATGAGGTCTACTGCTCGTTCGTCGTTTAGGCGGACGTACGTGTGGGGGTCGAGATATCAACCTGAGCTTTGACTTCTATTTCATCACACATAAAACGTACAACTTGGTTCATCGCAAACAAGATTTTGAAATGAGTACTTCGTTAAGCTGGGTACGCTTAGCGCCGAAGAAAGTAGCAAGAAAACATCTGAGGATTTTCGATTTACAGACAAGGCGTCCGACACATCCATGCGGCGTTTTTTTCTTCTTCATAGAGTTACAGGCCATGTAAGATAGTACAGAACGGCCATATCATAATCGATAAAGCAGTTACTTTACTTTCCGTGAAGGTTTTGGACCTGACATGAGATCAGCTTCAAGTGGCTTTCTCTGATGTACATTCTGAGTGGATGTAGAAGAGAAACAAGGGACGTGGAAGCTGATATATACAGCAACCTCAACCAACTACATTGAACTCATTTGACATACAGAAAGCCATATGGTCCACACTCATGTTTCGAGAGCGCGCCCGCTTTACATGTTCCAGCCGCTCGAGTGCAGCACATGAAAATACAGTGCTAGGTTTTTCGGTGCAACATTTCATATATTTCGGGTCACATATACGCGGCCAGATCATTTAGACAGAAATATGTACCGGGAAGTAGGGTTGAGAAGAGAGGGGAACCTGGTAAAAGATGTGAGCGCCTGCGCACACGCACATCGATCTTTTATTGTGGGCTTTCATCTTCTCCAGTTTCCATAATTCCCATGATTCCATGTCCTCATGAACACGTGGTTTGCTCGATTGTGGTTTCTATCTGCCGCTCTTTGATGACGCTAACTTCCACTCGCTGCGTAGCGAGACATGGCAGCATGTGAGCATATAGTTCGAATTTTGAAGATGAGGGAGAACATATCATCCCATTCCACATTTTCTAAGGAGGCAGTGGTAGCAGGGAGAGAGGGAAAAGAACGTTAGGGCGGTTGCGGTTGATAGAAGGAGGAAACAGAACGCGACATCGCCAGACTATCTTCTCGTTTGGGGACGCAGAACATATCCTAGGGCTCGCATCATTCTAATAAGCGGTGTAGTGCGGGCAGAGAGAACACACATCTGAGTTTGGCTCGCAGACTTCGAAGAGTCGCAGGCAGACGCACAAGAACCGTGCTTGCATTTTTAGCGAACAGAGAAGGTGAGGCGAGGAAGAGAAGACATAAGTGCCGACGACTCTTCTTTAGAGGAGTCGCAGGCAGATCCATGTACTGGAATCTGAGGGCTTTGGGGAACAGAGAAGAGGCGACTAAGGGAGGAAGATATAGGCCTTGGTGAGATGCATTTCGAGGAGTCGCCGACAGACAGACAGACGCATGAAGTTTCCTGCTTCTTACTTTGAGGCCCAGAGACTCAGGGTCAGGGAGCGGACAGCAAGACGCAGCATGGCGTTTCGGAACTCGTCTTTCAAATCATCTCTGGAGAAGGATATGACATACTCTCTCAATCTCTTGAGGCGGGGGAGAGGCGGAGAAGGCAAGACATGCAGATGTAGAACCGTGCATTCGAAGAGCCGCACACACACATGTTATTATCGTGTGCGTTTTTTTGAGGATCAGATAAGAGAAGGAGAGGGAAAGACAGCGACTTGTTGTGAAATGCATTTCGAGCACTCGCGCAGGCAGACGCTTCGAGAGGGCCTTGCTGCCTTTTCAAGCATGTACACATGTGTGGCGGCGAAAAGACATTACTCCGAATGCCGCGAATTCTAGGAGCTCGCACAAGCATGTGCCGTTTCTCCGCAGCTTCTTTGGAGATCAGGTATGTAACGAAGGTGGTGATGGAACGATACTGGCTAGTTAAGTGGAGACTTATAGGTGACCGTACCGTTCACACGTGACCCACGATTCTACCAATGGAGGACTGAGAGAGCGTGATCATGATAACAGTGTACATATTGCTTTTCGCTAAACTACAATCTACAACTGCTCGTTGACGAACAGACCAGCCATGCCCATACCAGTACCAATGCACATACTTGTGAGCAGGATCTTCTTCTTCTGCCTCCGGCACTCGCTCAGGCCGGTGACAATCTGGCGCGCGCCTGTGCAACCCAGCGGGTGACCCAGCGCAATCGCTCCACCCCTGACGTTGAGCTTGTTGTGATCAATCTTCAGTGTCTCGAGGCAGTATACGGCCATGGAGGCGAAGGCCTCGTTGAGCTCGATCAGGTCGATGTCGTCGATGGTAAGCTTGAACTGCGAGAGCAGCTTGGGAATGGCGACCGTGGGGCCGATACCCATGATCCTGGGAGGCAGACCAGCGACGGTGGCGCCGACATACTTGGCAAGAATGGGCTGGCCCAGGGCCTCGGCCTTGGAGCGCTTCATCAGCAGCACGGCGGCGGCGCCGTCGGTCAGCTGTGACGAGTTACCAGCGTGCGACCGGTCGCCGTGGGGCAGGAAGGCGGGCTTGACTTTTGACAACGACTCGAATGTGGTGCCGTAGCGGATGCCCTCATCCTTTGTGAGTGTGACCTCCTTCTCCTCGCCGGTCTTGGGGTCCTTGACGGTGGTCTTGATGGGGGCAATCTCGTCGTCGAACCAGCCAGCCTTCTGTGCAACTTCGGCGCGGCGGTACGACTCAGCAGCGTACCTGTCCTGGCGCTCGCGGGAGATGTTGAAGTCTTTGCCGACATTCTCGGAGGTCTGGCCCATAGGCTGCATGCAGTCGCAGGCCTCGGGGTTCTTCAGGATCTCATCGACAAAGGGGCGCTCGAGGCGGTCGCCGCCGGCTGTCATGCTCTCGGCGCCCATGGCGACACCGCACTCGATAGCGCCAACGGCAATCTGGTTGGCAATGTCCTGCACGGCCTTCAGGCCAGACGAGCAGAAGCGGTTGAGCGAGGAACCGGCGGTGGTGTTGGGGAAGCCGGCAGCGAGCATAGCGGCGCGGACGTAGTATGCCGCCTTGGAGTCGGAGACATTGCCGCAGCAGATGTCTTCGACCACGGCAGGGTCAAGCTTCGACTGCGCTACGACTTGCTTGAGCGTCTTGACGAGGATGCCGTCGAGCGTGGTATCCTTGAAGCCGCCCTTGTGGGCCTTTGTGAGCGGTGTGCGGATGGCGAGGGTGATGACTACATCGTCGGGGTTCTTTGTGGTGCTGCGTGCTATTAGCGGTGTTATGTCGGGAAGACATTGAGACATACATGGCGGACAGGCCGCTGGTTGCGGGCGAGATCTGCGCAACGATGGACTTGAGGCGTTCTGTCATTTTGGCTATGTGAATGTGATGTGGATTGAAGTGGTGCAGGAAGAAAAGGCCCAAGAACTGATCAGCAAAGAAGACGTTGAGCGTTGCGGAGGCGGAAAGCGGAGAGCTTTAACGCGGATGGGGTTGCTCTGTATGGAGCCAGATGCCTCGGCCCATCGGACTGATGTCACGGGGTTCTCGGCAGTTCTCTGACCGCCCAGCCCAGCCCTCGGAACTTGCATCAGCTCACCTCTATCGTGCCGAATGCAAGGCTGGTGTGGATGTGGGGGGCGGTGTAGCGGTTTGGCCATGGCCCAGTTCTGCTCGAGTTGCCCTGGCAAGAGCGACTTTCCCGAATAGGCAAAATTCGTCAATCATTTGCTGAGAGACGATAACTGCCAACGTCAAGCTCACTCTGCGAGCGCACGCATCTCAGGCGCTTGAGCAGAAAGCAGAAGTCACAAAGAAGATTTTCATGAGTAATCATACTGGGAGAATGTTGCGCTTTAGGTTTAGGTTGGTAAGCTCATTTTCTAATCATATAATAAACAGTTGATTTGCAGCCAACCAGTTGCTTCATTTGTACCCTTCGATTGCTGTACCGCTCCCACAAAGCGACCAAAACACGTCTTATCTCGGACCGCATGGCAACGACTTTGGGAAACGCCGAGGTGGTTGTTTGATCCGTCGTAAGTCGGTGTAGATTCAAAGTGAAGATGTCGATATAGTTTCGGCTTTTTGGCAGGTAGAGCCGCATCGGATCTGCAACACCAGGGTTCAAGCAGTACAGATCTCGAAGTTTACCGCCAATAGGCTGCATTTTTAGCTGGGTGACAAGGTTGCGAACATGCCTTCAGCATCACAGATTCATTCTGACAGCGTCAAGTTTACAGTACGCACATTATGCGACTGTTTCCGAGTGCGAGCTGTAATGATGTACTCAGTCAACTACAATGACCGGTACAGTAAGTCGCTATCCGGACGGCTGCGGGTTTAGAGTAACATCTCAAATCTAGTACACAACATACTGCAGGTAGATAGCCATGGCTCAATGGAAGGTGTTCGGTCCATCAGACAGACGTCTCATCTGGTGCGATTCACCGAAGATATACACTAGCCTTCTTTTGAAAAAACCGACTATCGACATGGATCTCGGCGTCGAACCACAACAGTCCGGAGAGCCTCAATAAAGGCTGGCTATGAATGCGAGTTATCTATATGGGCCGGGTAAGACGGCAAGCTTCGACACAGTAAACTGCTGGCTCTCGGGATTACGGCACTTTTAGCCTGGTTTCTGCGAACATGAGATAGTCCTCGAGATCAGAGCAGAGACAGAGAATTCCAGAATTGAAGCGTAGAGAGCGACCGATTGCAGTGGCTCTGAAGACTTGCGTGTGGCCGATGAGAGGCAGGTGGGGTTTTGGTGGGGGGGAATGCAGGGTTCGCGCTTCTGAAAGCTTGTTGCCACGCTATACAGAGATGACGTCGTGGCAAGCCCGAGCTTCGAACCAGGAACAGGAGGGCGCATACCACACACATGCACGTCAGGACTCGACTCGATATGTTGCGCGACGCCATCCTGAAGAGCTAACACCCACACACCACACTCCACAATGGTAAGCAGCGATCGCGGCATGCGCCCGCCCCGCAAGGCTGACAGTGGTAGGCTTCGATATTGCGGCAGATTGTAGCTGGCCCACGTGCGCGGCACGCTGAAGCCGGGCTCGACCTGTGCTATGTCACAGACAACAGTACAGAGACCCGCCGAATGCACTCAAGACTGCCCTAACCGCCCTTAGTCATCGCTACGTCCGGCCCCAGTGGCACCTACCCACAGCGCGCATATCGGAACCCTCTCGACTCGCTCGTAAAGTTCCTCGACTCGAAGCATGGCGAAGACTGGGCGATATGGGAGTTTCGCGCGGAGGGCACCGGCTACCCCGACAGCGAAGTCTACAACCGCGTTTACCACTACCCCTTCCCCGACCACCACCCGCCGCCTTTCGCGCTTATACCAAACATCATGGCCAGCATGCGCAACTGGCTGAAGGCGAAAGAGGGGCGTGTGGTTGTCGTGCACTGCAAAGCCGGGAAAGGACGATCAGGCACGGCCAGCTGCAGCTACCTAATGAGTGAAGAAGGCTGGCCCATGGAAAAGGCTCTCCAACGCTTCACGGAGCGGCGCATGCGCCCCGGCATGGGATACAAAGGGGTTAGCATCCCCAGTCAGCTGCGCTGGCTGACGTATGTCGATCGGTGGGCAAAGCACGGCAAACTGTACGTAGAGAGGCAGGTCGAAATACTCGAAGTACACTGCTGGGGCCTGAGAGACGGCGTCAAGATCCAGATCGAGGGCTTTGTCGAGGACGGCAAACTCATCAAAAACTTCCACACATTCACAAAGGACGAACGAGAGGTAGTTAGAGGAGAGGTCAAGACAACGGGCATGGCTCAGGCAGTGCATGAGGTCATGTACAAGAATGGTCTCAGCGGATCGTCCGGCAAGGCTAATGCACAGCAAGATGGTAGTAAAGCTAACTCGAAGGAGGGCAGTAAGAGCAATTCCAAGAATGCTAGCAGGTCTTCACTGGAAGTGCCCCGAAACGCAGACGGCACTGCCACCCCCCAGGCCAGTTCTAAAGAAAGTCTCCTTCCGGGCACCGGCGACGTCGTTTTCCGGCCCGCGAAACGCGTCGTGCTACCCACGAACGATATCAACATCGACGTCGAGCGCCGTAACAAAGCCGCCTTTGACCTGACCATGGTCACGGCAGTCGCACACGTTTGGTTCAACACATTCTTCGAGGGCAATGGTGCGGAAAAGGACGGCACGGCAGACGATTCAGGTGTTTTTGAGATTGCCTGGGATGCCATGGACGGCATCAAGGGCTCTTCGCGGAAAGGCACACAAGCGTTCGAGCGTATCGCTGTAGTATGGCGTGCGCTCAGCGCCGAGGAGGGGCGGCCTGGCGTTGTCATCACAGAGCCGAAAGAAGGCGAAGAGGTTTTGCAATCAGGTCCATCGGACTGGAAAGGCACCAAAGGTGTTGAACCGAGCGAGGGGAAGGACCTTGGGCTGCGGTCCTCAAGTCCAGACGACTCAGAGCTCGATGTGACTCAGACGGACGCCATCAAGAGCGCGAATGAACAGAACAAGACCAAAATCCCGATGCCTGGTCGCAGGGATAGTGAACAAAGCGATGACAGCGACACCAGGGATGTTCGGTCACACGGTCCAAACGGCGAGAAGATCCTTCAGTATCCAATGCCAGCAGGAAGCTCCGCGCAAGCTGGTGAGAACAAGAGCGAACCGCTAGCGACCGTTTCACAGTCTACGCCATTAAGCCAGGTTGATGGTGCCGCAACTGAAACATCGAGACCGCCGTCCAGAGAATCACACAGAGGCACACACCATGTTGAAAAGCTAATTGACAATGTCAAATACCACGTCTCTGGCGCAGTCTCCACAAGCGAGCTGCCCGATGGGAAACCAGAGAGCGAAATGAAGAACGCTAAGGAACATCAACTCGGACATTTGGGAAAGAGCAAAGCGTCAAATTGAAGTGCGCAGGCGGACCAAATGGATCCGTGACACTGTGTAGCAGGCCGTAGGACAAGGCTATGGTCGTCAAGAATGAGGCAACAATGTATGGATTCGTGATGCAGCGTATCACGTTGACGCACGAAGCATCTGCGTATCTGCATGGACATCTTGCAGCTCGTAGAGTGCATGCAGGCGGCGTCGAGTATCGGGGTGCATTTGGCCAGGTTCAGTTGCTTTGCTTCGGGTCGGTCCGTTCCCATTGACTTAGATATACCAGACCAGCAATGAACTTTTATAATTTCGATCTCTACGTCCTGTGTACTTGTCTTCTACGGCCTCAGATTGAAACTTGTACCGATGTTGTTAACACCTACCCCAAAGTGAGGCGAGCTCGTGTCGCCCCGCCTGAACGGTACTCCAGCTCCATGCGCTTCCGGGGTTGGCCGCGGTTGTGCGGTGCGACCCCAACTGCATCGGCTCCCATCTCGAATCGGCACACCGTCATCCACGATAATTCCACACACGTATACATGTGCAAGACCTCGAGGCCACGCATGTGACAACTCCGCTGCCTCACCAGCGCATCGCAAGCCTTCGCCTCGCCTTCCAGACGAACAAATCAGCATTCATAGAGTCAACGAATTTCACCAGAATGGACCCCAGGAATTCTGATGTTCGACGGCCCAGGTGCTCACTGTTTTCACCGGTCGGTCGGATCCCCCGAGCGTCTGTTTTGCAAGCGCGCATCCGGCAAGGCTGCACGCTGACGACCACGCGACTTCACCAGATTCGCCAGTTTGATCTGACCGGTCGCCCTGTATGTCAAGTTTCATGCAGCGACCTGTAACCAAGAACCAATCTAATCTGGAGACACGCCTAGCTGCGCTTTGTTGCCTAGGTGGTGGTGACGTGTAGCTCTTGCCCGGAGCCTCAATTGTCTGGATATAATGGCCTCCCAGAGGCGGGTAGGGAGGCCGCCCGAGCTCATCATTACCGTTCAGCTTCGTTGTTTCGTGTCGTTCGAGTGCCTGATCTCTTGTAAAGGCAAACGGTCTATGTACTGGTAGTCTGTGAAAAGGGCTGTGCTTCTGCCTACCATTACCTTGGAATCCGCTGGCGCCTTGATCGAACGGAGATCGTCCAATAAGATCAATCCGGCGCCCTCTTGCATGAAGCAAGTGAGGTAGGAGCCTACAGCGTTTGCCATCAGAAGGATTTGGCGCGTTTGTATCTCTCTCACTACACGCGGTGAGCGCTCGCCGATTCCACTACAACCTTGCGCAGTTTACTTAAAGACCGCAACATACACAACAATTGATTGTCGACTTAACTATCACATTGTTTGTCGATGAGTAACTCGGGAAGCACGGAGTCAACTCCTAAGATTCCTCCTCATCCTCCGCCTGCGATCAACAAGTTATCAGATACTTCGACTTCGTCACCAGTGATGCTTCCGACTCCATCAGTGTCTTCAGAACCTGAGCATATTTCTCTGGAGAGCGAATCGAGGATGGGCTCAAGCCAGGACCAGATCGACGTCCAGAAAGTCGAAGCGGCGCCAGAGGTCGAGCCTGAGACAAAGGCCATGACAACACCACCTTCAGAAGCAGTCGAGGAAGAATCAAACAGCACGACCGCGGAGAAAGTGAAGTCTGAGAAGGACAAGAAAGGCAAGAAGCAGGCCAAGAAGAGCAAAACTAAAGCCAAGACCAAGGTCGTGTCCGATTCTGAGAGCAGCGATGCAGACAGTGAGTCCGAAGACAGCACTGACGATGCGAAAGAGAAGCGCAAACCAAGACGGAAGAAAGCAGCCAAGAAAGTAGCAGCTAAGAGGAAAGCAGCGAAAGAGAAGGCTAAGAAGAGGAGAAGCAAGAAGAAAAGCAAAGAGGTGGTCTCGAGTGATGACTCCAGTGAGGCTTCTGCGATCGATTCTGGAGACTCGAGCTCACAATCGTCCTCCGACTCCGACTCAGAAGACGCGAAGAAGAAGACTCGACGTAAGACTGCAAAAGCCAAGGCTAAAGCCAAGTCAAAGAGCAAGAATAGCAAGAAGGTCGAGAGTTCCAGTGACGACAGTGACTCTGATTCGTCTTCTAGCTCTTCCAGCTCCTCCAGCAGTGATTCCAACTCTGACTCCGACGACGCAAAGTCAAAGCGCAAACGCAGGAAGGCCAAGCGTAAGGCCAAGAAGGCAGTGGACGACGATAGCTCTACATCTGATGGTCCTGCGGTTGCTACCACAGACGGAAGTACGATACCGGTCTCTGGCGATAGCCTCGACACGCAAGTGACAAAGGTGACGGCCGTTCTTCAGAACCTCAAGATGCAACAGCTTGCTATCGCCACCGCCACATCAGCTGGCATCCCTCCTCCGATACCACCAGCACCAGTGAAGAAGAACGCACACGAGTTCAAGCGCGTCGACCAAGTATGGGACACAAAGCTTCGTGACTACAAACTCGTTGAAAGTACTGCGGACCAGAAAGACGAATTCGAATGTGTGTTCACTGTGCGACGACGATTCAACTGGGAAGGCAAGCTTCGTGAGACACTCGTTGACATCAAGTCCAAAGCACTGCGAGGCGTGCTCCAAGTAGTCTTGAAGGAGTGCAAGTGCATCAGCCTTGTGGAGGATATCCCGGAGATTGACCCTCATGTTTTGTACCACTACTATGACGAGATCAAAAAGTACGTGAGGAAGACTCTGAAGTCCAAGCTTAAGCGTGCGAAGAAATCCAAGGACCGGAAGCAACTCACCCAGGAGATTGCCCAGTGCAAACTGCTGCTCGGCTACATTGACGAAGACTTTGCTGCAACTCGAAAGGCATTGAAGCCACTACTGAAGGCAGGCACGATTACATACGAGCTTTGCTGGGCGCTGTTCAAGCCAAACACAATTGTCTATACCCCGACTTATGGTAACAAGGAGGATCCTCGATGTTTCAAAGTTGAGCAATGTTTCGAGTATGAGAGTTGGCTTAGCGGCGCCAAATCCTGTTGCATTGACGGGAAGTATCTCGAGTACGACGGCCAAGTCTTTGGACTCGGCGACCATGAAGCCGAGATCAAATCGTTCAAGGGTCACAAGAAGATTACGAGTCTAGTGGCGTATCCGTTGAAATATCACAAAGATCCAAAGGTCAGTACAAATCTAATGTTGCTACATCAATGCGTTACTGACGTGCTATAGGGTATCCAGAAACTGCTCATCGAGCGAGGCAAGAAGTTTATCGCACTGCAGGGCATGAACTATCGCCTTCAGAAAGGTATAGCTTATCAGAAGATCAAGAACACGATTGCCAAGTATAATATAAATGGCCGTGTAATGGTCGATCCTGCGATTTTCCGTCGGGTACAGCCGAACTACCCACTGTCATACATCAGGCCAGATGAGCTTAACCGAGAAGATGAGGAGATTGAACAGGAGCTGAGCGACGACTGTGGCTGCTCAAGCGATGATGAGGACGCATCAGAGAGTGAGAAGCCTGAAAAGGATCCAGTGCGGGTCGTGTTGTGGAAAGACAGCACAGGCAAGAAACACCCCATCCACGTGTTTCAGAGCGCGATCGATGCTGAGAATGGAGTTGGGGGTAACGAGACAACTCAGCTCGATACAGACACTGACACCAACATGGCCAACCATGTCTTCACCGAAGAGGAGCTCATCATCGCCTCCCCTGTGGTTCTCGGCTTTGCCTTCTCCGAGAAACTCTGGCTTGAGTTCTCACTTTCCGGTATTGAGGAGATCCAATGGAATGCCGAGGCTTTTGACTCGCTCGTTCTGCCGGATAAGATCAAGTCCAATCTGAAGGGCCTGGTATCCTCGCATCGCTTCAATGCTGCCCGCACCATTGACGACGTCATCCAGGGCAAGGGCAAAGGCCTCAACGTCGTGCTTCACGGCCCTCCAGGTGTCGGGAAGACACTTACCGGCGAGTCAATCGCCGAATATCTGAAGTGTCCACTGTACGCAGTATCCGCTGGCGAACTCGGCACCAACTCCGGGAGTCTCGAGCGCGATCTGAACCGTATAATGGACATCACGCACTCGTGGGGCGCAATCTTGCTGCTCGACGAAGCCGACGTATTCCTCGAGGCCCGCCAGCCGCATGATATCCACCGCAACAGTCTCGTCTCCGTCTTCCTGCGCCTGACGGAGTACTACCAGGGAATCCTATTCTTAACCACAAATCGTGTCGAGACATTTGACGAGGCGTTCCAGAGCAGAATCCACATGGGTATTCGCTACGAGAATCTGATGCCTGCTGCTCGCAAGAAGATCTGGCAGCACCACGTGAACAAGGTCGAGAAGATGGCGGTCGAGGAGGGAGCCAATGGTAAGGGGAAACAGAAGATCAAACTGTTTTCCGAAGCCGACTTTAACGAACTGAGTAAGAAAAACATGAACGGTCGACAGGTGAGTACTCTTGATACATTTTGACTAAGACTTTGATTTGCTGACAATATGGTAGATCAAGAATACGGTCAAGACAGGCCAGTCAATTGCACTGTCGGAGAAGGCGCCGTTCAGTATGGAGCATCTCAAGCGTGTGCTTGAGGTTGCTCAGGCTTTCGAGGACGACATGCGGGGCGGCAAGGGGTACCGTGATGCTATGCAGCACTACACCTAGAGTGGCCATGTCTCGAACCATGCTTACAAGATTGACCTTTTTTGACCTTTTCTTGGGGAAGAAGAGCATACAGAGAGTGGATTTCGGAACAACAGTAAGGGATGAGGAGCTAGATTGAAAGAATGTGCTGGTTAGCGCCTACGTTCAAGTGCAAGACACACGGGCATTTCACTATTCACTTCGATAAACTCAACTCAATATTTGATTAAATACGTCAGAAGAAGCCTTGGAAAGGCATGCACTGGTCATCGAATAATGCCCCTGTGGATGTGTCCACTTACCAACAGCAAACTTGGTCCCTCCGCAGCACAGTCCCCTGGACCATGGATTTGACTTTCGGTTTTTGAGCCCCTTGTTTGAGATTGCATTAGTGCGAACTGCTGTTATCAACACTGTGCCTGTAGGTCGCCTTGGCAATGGCTGGATCTCCCCGCGAAATTCCCCGCTCGCGGCCGCCCTCGGAAACCTTCTGGGGCGTGGAAACCTCACTTATTCCCGTCACATCGCACAACGCCCTCGCGTCACATCCATGCAGCATCAGCCAGATCGTCATTGTCATCCCATCTGACAGTATTTCCGCTGCACCAGTCGTAAAAGAAGAGCGAATGCGCCCAGCGCATCATGAAGGAGGAGGTTGGCTATGCCTCAACAAGTCCCGAGGCTTCATCCAACTCGCTCACAACAGGTGACCTGCCACCAAAGAAGAAGCAGAGGAGGAACAAGCCGACCCTGAGCTGCGAAGAATGTGTCGAGCGCAAGACCAAGGTACGTGCGTGTTCCCGTTGAGCGTTGGCCGTCTTGCTGTCGTGGACACACCTGTGTCATGACTTCGCACAAATACAAATCTAACGCGACGCGCAGTGTGATCGCACTCGGCCTGATTGTCTGGCGTGCATCAAGCGACAATCAGTGTGCAAGTACTCCGAAATTGCGAATTTAATCGCATCAGGAACAGATGGGTAAGTCGCAGTCCTGCCCTTCGTACAACAGTGTGCGCCCACCGTTGCTAAGCACTGCCCACAGCGTTGGCGCCGCGCGAGGCTCGGGTCGATCAAGGAAGCAGCAGCAGAAACCCACCCAACTTCAGCTCGGCAGCAATACGGAGTCAAATCCACTTCCTGTTCAGGTAATTGCCCGCTCCCGTTATTCCCGTCGCACCTGTCAAACCTGCATGAACGGGTGTTCGTCTATTTCGGCTCCGCGCGGATGGGTGTCCACGCGCTGTGTGCACGGACCTGTACACTGACCCACATGACAGGTACATACTCAAGTACCAACGCCGGTCAGGACGCATTATCGTAGTGCCTCTCTGTCTTCATCTGGATCTTCGCCATTCTTGCTGTCCAATGTGCCGTTCTCGAGCAGAGCACCCCAGCCGTTCTTCGGCTTGGGCTCTGAACATCCCTTTGCCAACTATTGGACTAGTCGGGGAGGGCTTGCTGAAGTCGTAGGTGTACTGCCGGCGAAAGAGCAGGCCGACATTCTTGTCGATAAGTACTTCGATGCTGTCGACCCTGTGTATCCCATGATACACCGGCGCAACTTCTATGCCGATTATGAGCGTTTCTGGGCCATGACCCCCGCGGAGAGGCAGGTGGCTGACCCAGTGATGGTCGCTCTGCATTTTGTGGTTTACGCCATGGGAACACAATTCATACACATACCATCGAACTCGGAAAGGGCACAGATAGCCGAGTTTTACGTCTCGGCGGCACAACAGGCACTCAGGTTGTCATCGTACCTAAGTAGAGCTTCGGTCAGGACCCTGCAGGCTATGGTGCTGATTGGCTATTTCCTGATGAACGATAACCATGCTTCTGATGCCTGGGCATTTGGTGGTGTTCTAGTACGGCAAGCCTATGCGATGGGTCTGCATCGTGACCCAGATGTCATAGCATCACGCTGTTCACGAAGCGACAAGCAACAGCGGCGCAAGCTGTGGCAAGCCATCTTCTTCCAAGACACCTTCCTCACCGTCCTTTTGAAGCTGCCACCAACAACAACATTCTCTGACGTCCGCCCAGAATCCCTCGATGACTCCCTCGACGACTACGCCATGCCTAATGGCTCTTCAAATGGTAGCACTGACCCCGTACTGAACCCAATGAGCATCACTCACATCGCCCAACTCAAAGACGTCTACCCATCCTACGAACTCTCCGACCGCCGATACATCCGTTCAATGTGGCACATGGCCAATCTCGTCTCACGCACCGTCTGCACGCCGCGCTCCCTCTCCACACCTCTGACCACCTCTCTATCCCACAAAACCGCGCTCGTCGAAGAGTACTTCGCTCTGCACAGATCGTTTCCCCAAGAACTTACCGTCTCTGACCCAGCCGCGATCGCACGGCTTGCCGAGACAAATCCACGCTCCTTACGGCAGAACCTCTTCTTTCGCAGCAACTTTTGGCACTGCGTCATGGTGATCCAGTCAGATGAGAACCTGAGCGAGGGCTATGCATGCGAGGTCAGGGGGTGTCTGGAGGCTGCGCGTATGGCGGTGCAGAGTTTCTTCCATTTCTGGGAGCATCTGAGGATCGACGCAAGCGTCTGGTGGGTGTTCCAGCACCGGGCTTTCGAGGAGGCCGTAAGTTTCTGCTACCCTCACGTCTGCATTCAGAGTTTGCTAACGCGATCATAGCTGCTCATGGCACGTATCTTGGGGCAACAAGAACAGCCTATCAGCCCGGGCCATAATGGGCCGCCGTCTACAGATCCCCTGCTGATGGCAGCGAAGGAGGATGCGCGCAAGTGTCTTGAGATTCTGGATGTTGTGGGAATTGCGCCCGAGATGCAGAAAACGAGGACCGAGGTGCTGAGGACTGCGTTTGCGGATATCCTATGGTGAGCACAGGGTAAGCTTGGTGAGCGAGCATTTATTGATTATCGATACCTCTGTTGTAATGTTTGTTAGTGTACGCAATCTACATAATAATGTGACAAGAACACAATGACAATCGTCTCAAGATGAGGTATAGGAGTTAATATACCCACTGCAAAGACTGACACTATACCGCATCAGGCAGACGTGATACTTGCTCGGTGCTAGATCATCGCCGAAACAGCGCTAGCGCCTCCTTCCTTCCAGAACTTCCGGAGCGCAGCATCTACATCCCCATCCTCCATCATCGATATCATCTCTGTTCGCGTTGCGCCCTTATTGTTTTCCTAATGTTTTGAGTAATATTATACTGTCATCGTGTTGTGTAGAGTACCGCCAGCGACTGTGGGACGCGCTGTGCAACAATTTGATTGCATTGTGCAATGTCGTCCAACAACAACCTTTACGACCCAGATCAAGCTGCTTTGAACACACGTTGGATTCAGCCCTGGAGCGAGGCGTTTAGAGTGAGTTGATTCCCGAACATATTCGTACCTTGGAACGTACAATTGATGACTATAGGCGCAACGTGATGTCGGCCTACGCGTCCCTATCAACTTCCACACCTTGGCAGCAGTCTCGCTAACACAAGCTTGCTTTGTTGACAATCAGTTTGAGCACAATGCGTTTATGAAATGCTTTTCAAACCTTCTTGGCGTTGGTTTCCCTCGATTCGAAGTCGATGTGTACTGGGATGCACTCCGCGCAGTATGGAGTTTGTGTCCAGTCCAGCTTCCTGGAGATGATGATAACGTGGAAGATCACGCACCTGTGAGCTCTGGGCCAACAATATCGGTATCTACAGGCACTGCGAACGCCAGGGTGCCGGAGAGCACAGCGATACGGCCGTCAGCGTTGAAGGTTCGTCAGGATTCCTCTCTGTCTAGTCAAGCCACATCGACATCATCTACGGCAACTGATCAGAGCTCGACAAGTGCCTCTGCACAACCGACTGTTGTTAGATTTCCCACTGTAGATGGTCCACCACTCTTGCAGATTGGACGATACAATTGCACGTCACAGATGACACTTGGTCTGTTGACCGGCTTGCTAGAGGATTTCCTCGATGAGACAGCGACTACCACGGGCGCAACCATCACATTTCTCAATCTCAACGTCCATAATGCAGCATCACTATCGGATCCCAATGCACCAGCGCCCCAGCTTACTCAGGAACTGGCGCCAGCATCTAGCGCTTCCTTGAGTGGGGTCATAAATGGAAACCTATCAAGTTTGTTGTATTCTCCGGAGACCTTGGGCAATCAGCGCGCAGATCTGAATAGCAGCTGGTACGATGTTGAATGGGATAACCTCCCGGCACAAGGGTACTATCAAACGTCAAACAACTCTGAGGGTCGCATCTTCACCGAGAGTGGGTGGCCAACTGAAGCTCTGATGGAGTTCCAGGAGTTCAAGAGAGTTATTATCGGCTTTGGCGAAGTGGACAGCCAGATGGCGGCGTATGATATCAACGTTGACTTCGACGACATATTTCCTCCAGGTGCCATCACCCAGCAGCGACAACTTTCCTTTGCCTCTACCGGACAGATCAGCTCTGGGTGCTACTTTCCATCCTTGGAAAGTTCAGTGACAACACAGTCAAATTCTTCGTTTGCTCAAGCGTCTCCACCAACCATAAGCATAGACGCAAGCCCTGACTCCACAAGCTCGCTTCCGTCCGTATCCAATTTGACTGGGTGTGGCATCATACCTTTCCTCAACCAGAGCCTTGCGGGTACAACAGCAGACAAGAACCCCCTGCCCTATGCTTCTTACGTTCAATCGACATTGTGGTCCTGGGCGCCAGGTCAACCTCTCAACATCACAAAGGGGAGCTCGACCGCCCAACGCTGTACAGTCATGACGAGCTCGCCTTATCCTGGTCGATGGGAGGTAGCAGACTGTGGCCAACGTTACCGCGCAGCCTGTCAGGACCCACGACAACCATATCTTTGGGAGGTGTCAGAAGGCACCTCCGACTTCAACTCTGCCAGAGACCTATGCCGCTCGCCGCTGCAATTTGCCGTTCCGCACACTGCTCTTGAGAACGCACACCTCTTTGCTGCTCTGCAAAGATCGCGCGAGCCCAACCAGCCTCTTTACGTTGATCTCAACCAGCTCGGGACAGCAGACTGCTGGGTCATTGGCATCAACGGCACGTGTCCATACTTACAATCGACTGACACAAACCGAACGCGGGTCGTTGTTGTTCCTACCGTTGCTGCTGTTATCATATTTGTCTGCGCGGCATTGACATTCTTTATCAAATGTGCATCAAATAGACGAGAGGATAGAAGAGGAAGGGGAAGAAAGATGTTAGACGGTTGGGAATATGAGGGTGTCCCTAGTTAATTTCATTGGCTACAGTGAGTCACTTACCTTGCAAATGTGAAGTGTGGAACCTGATGTTCACCGATGCCTAATATTCAATACTTACCAAGAGTTCCAGCCAATTATTCCAGACGGGCTGACTGTGGGAACTAATGTACCGCGTTATGGAAAACTCGATACTTATCATTAATTCTAGTATAGGCCGGCTGTACTAAACATCGTAGGGCAAGAAGAAATCGTCCTCGCCGTTGATGTTTTGGTCGAACGCATCATAGTCGAACGTATCCTCGTCATCAGACTCAAGTTCGTGTTCATCACCGACGCTGACCTGGTCGGAGCCGACATCTATACCGTAAGCACACCGGGCATCATAACCGTTGTCGAGACGGCAGCGCTCGATTATGTGTCCGATTATCTCAAAGACTCGAACCTTCGCTTCGCACGATACGGTCAAACCTGAGGTTTGGAGAAGGTTGATAGCCCAAGTGGGCACATCCCATTGCTCACCCTGTGCAGGCCCCTGGAGCAGGACGATAATCCTTTGGTGAATGTCTGCCTCGAGCTTTGCCCATTTGGCTTCGGATTCTCTCTCTGCGCGAAGTAGCTCGCGCCAATGCTGGATCTGCTCCGCAGTCATGGGCTTCTCCCAGCTGACTCCATCCGTCGTATCGCCCGCGATACGCTTCAGTGCCATAGTTTCTGCACCTCGCTTGGCAATCTCCTGGACAAGGCCAGCATACCGCTTCATATAAGCGACACGAAGCTGTTGCTCATCCTGTTCGTGCAGATATTTAGCAATCAAGTTAGGATATGGCACGCCCCGCGGCCAGGTTTCTCTAGGAAAGGCATTTGAGAGCAGCGCCTGGACTTTGTGCTCTCGGCCTGCTGCAACTGCATCCCAGTCAGCTGGGCCCATGTCGTCTGAGACATTGAACTCTTGCATCAGTGCTCGCAGCTCGGCAGCAAGAGCCCGCATTTCTGCTTTCCACTTATTAATCTTTAGATGGAACGCTCGTTGCGCGATCATTTCGTCAACGCGGCGGTTGTAAGCGTCTGCCCACTGGTTAAATTTCAATTCGCAGAGATACTCCCATCGCGCACCGATATATTGGAAACGCATTGCAGGTCCGCCAGAGACGCATGTATATAGTTCATCGCGACAAGTCATGGTGGCTTTCGTTCGAGTTGTGGAAATGGATGCTGAGCGCAAGGTTGCGTGAGCGTTGCTGAAGTGCTTGATGATTGTTGAAATGCTGGTTGATCTGAAGCACTGCTCTCCTGTCAAGAAGGTCTTTTATGTCCAGCAGGGTCATCTCATCGTTCTCATACAATGTGGATGCTGTGCAATACAGTAAGCAACATTGTTCGTGAAGATGGACAAGAAATTTGAGATCTCGCAACGGTCGACATTGCCATCGAACAGTGCTACATCAGCTAGCACGACGTGAGTGAGATCCTGGGCTGCATCAGGTCCATCGTTCTCTTCTGAAAATCCATGCGATTTGCAATGAGCTCGATGCGGACACTACTTTTCCCAGGTCGCATCAGTCGTTGACTTTCTTCTTCCTGTGCTCTACCATCCCAATTTTACTGAGGCAGCTAAAGATCAAATACTTCCACTTGATCCGTTGACACTTCCAAGAACAAGGCGTTTTCCGGACGCATTCTGAAAAGTCTTGGGCGCATGTCCATAACCTTGCTCATCGTCCGGGAAGGCCTTAACCGCAGGCATGTTGCTGTCTGTGCTTATCTGAACGTGTGCGTTGTCGGAGAATTGGTGGCAAGCTTCTACTGGGTAGCTTCCCAACTAAAATGAAGCGACGGCTAACAGATCCGACTTGGTCGATAACGCCATCTCGTGGCAAGCGCATGTAGCGCGGAACTGGTCACTGAGAAGTTAGAACATCGCCGAGATCATCAGTCATGATCGCCTCAAGAACTCGTGTAAGGCTCAACGCCGGCAGATCATTTTCAATCTTTTCACCAACAATGTCTTGCCCTATCACGTTTTGCCCTGCCGGTGCAGAACGAACGCACAACCAGATTGGGTACATTCGGCCCGCTTTAGAAGGGCCGAAATCGCACACCGCTATCTTACACCGTTCACAGGTCTTGCAAACATCACATGTACGACAACATAATCGAGAAACCAAAGCCAACACTTACAAGAAGGGCTGTCAATTCTCTCCAAACCGGGAGGTAACGAACGCATGGCCCACGAGTAAGTTTAGGTCCCGTTACACAGCGACTGTTCACACCACTGCTCTGCAGGTACACGACTCGTGTGCTCCTCCACATCCCCACATGTCGATCAACTCTATACTCAACAAGGCCTAGATCATCGACTTGTAACCTTTTCTCCAGCCCAAAGGTTGCTTGAGGCGAATCAAATGCCAACCAGTGCATCCATCAAACCAGTTACGGTATGATGGCCGCGAGCCTCGTCAGCTGATGCCCTGCATATGCAAGTGATGCAAGAGCAGGCCCGATGCAAATCAAACGTGAAAACATGGGTACACAGTACTTGTAGGAAAGATGAGCGCGCAAAGCTCTATTTCCGATCACTATCGCGACATACCGACTTCGACGAATATCCACCTTCCACAACAAAGTTCCGACCGTATCACCGGTAGACTTGATGTATCGAACTCACACGGAATAACCTCTGACCACTACTACTAAGATGGCCGGCGTCTTATGCACGTGGGCGGCCAACATCTCCGAGACCGCGGAGAAGTATTATGAAGATGAATACATTCCTTTGATGACCTCAAAACTTGCTCTACACTCGCTTCACTGTGAGTTGGTTGAGGTTGGGCTGGACGCAGAAGTGGACGGTGTTGGGGAGCGAGAGGCGCCCTGGAAATGGCTCACAGTCTACGAGATGGAAGACGCAGACAAAGCGACGGCGGCAGTGTACGATAAGAGCAACCACATTGAGATGGCCGGAGACATGGCACAAGCAAGATTCGACGTGCGGACATACAAAGAACACAAAAGATGGCAGCAGGGTGACTGGCAGGGCGGTACGCGAACGATACTGCACCGCCATCAACACAAGGAAGCTAATCAAGAAACAGACCACGCAGACATAGTTAGTGTAGCTGTGATGGAGTGGCAAATCCGTGCGGGCAGTGAACAGGAGGTTCTGGATTTCTACAAGTCTGAAGCTGCGCCTACAATCGCATCGTCACCCGACGTCCTTAGATTCCGCATGTTCCAGGTCCAGAATGCGACTGTGCTGAAGGCGGGCTCATACGATACACTCGAACAGGAAAAACTGCACACATATCTCACATTGGTAGAGCTTGAGACCGAGGAATGGCCGTGGGATGCAGTCGTTGCACTGGGCGAGAAGCCAAAGTGGAGAGAGTATTTTGACAAGCAAAATGTCGTGGTAAGTACATCTGTTTTACGAACTCGTTTTCGATTACTAATAACAAAAGAAGTGGCAGAGTAGTCATTATCTGGTCAAGAGAAGTTATCCTGACTCAGACGAGGGAAGTGACAAGCAGTAGCATGAACGAATCTGCGCTTGAACTAAGCGGGTTCTACGTATCCTACATTCGGCTTATTTCACGATACCTGGCTTACGAAGCTAAAGACTGTTTTCTGTTGTCTATTATCATCTGTTGTTACGACCTTACCTGGCCCTGGCCCAGGAAACTAGCTGGGCACGTAATCCTATATCTCTCGTAAGACACCTATTTCCGCCCAACTCTTCCTTCCGGGCGCTTTGCCCCATCACACTTACTGAACTACGACGGGTTGCTCAATTGCCATCATGATGTGAGCCATACAGCTGACCTGCGGCTTCCCACGAACATTCGTAGCCAACTTGACGTGTCAGAAGATGATATTGGAGGCAGAGAGGCAGAGAGGCTTAAAGAAGGGCCCGAATAAGAAATTATAGCTGAGTTCGCTACGACAGAGATGCAAGTTTCTATTGGGAAAGAGCTCAAAACGGAGTGGAGCAAGCGCTAAAGACGTACATGTGATCAATCTGGAAGCACGATGCATGGGGACGCACAACGACTGGTCTCATGAAACCTGCCGAAGCAAATGATTTTGGAATTTGGAGTGCCGTTGTTTGGAGCTGGCTCGAGTCCATTCGACAGTCAATTCCCCTTCTACATAAACTAATGATTACTATGAACAATGGCGCTAAGATACTTTACCGAAAAGCGACGGGCGCTCAACAATAATCCCACTAGGGCTGAGCAGACACAAGCATCAGCTGTTCACTCACATCACTCTCATAAAACTTCTCTCTCGCACCTCGTACAACTTCACCCCAGACCTTCTCATGGACCTCCCCCTTCGGCGTTTTCTGCAAATCCCTTTCCAGACCCTCTTCAAATCCCGACACGCACTTGCGAAACATTGATCTCCCGCGTTCCGCTTGCATGCAAAACCTATACAGCGTCACCAGTCGCCACATCCCACACTCCGCCCGTCCTTTGAGCAATACAGTCATGTAACCGACAAGGCTATCTTTGATGCCGTACTCATGTAGAACCTCTATCATAGCATCAACGCAGGTATTTCTGAATCGGTTGTCATTGCTGGCAGGATTGGAGTAGCTGCGTGCGTATAGGTCGAGCAGCCATTCCGCTTCGTCAGCGCGAAAGTGCGGTGCGCCTACCACGCGGCATGTTGCAAGCTTATGGGTCGATAACCATTGATGATAAATGTGGTGCATTTGGAGCGGGTGTTCCTTCAGGTAAATGTACAGCTCTGCTGTGGTGCTGAGAGGGAGGGACAGGACGCTTCGGACACTACTGGGTTGGACAGAGGGGATGATTGTGTAATGGCTGCTCTGATAGGCAAGTGCGTGACTTTCAAACAATTCGACAGGCTCAAAGCCATCCGACGAAACGTGTTTGGTAATGCGAGACATGTTGTCTTTATATGGTGGTAGTAGTTCAATGTGTTTGGGTGGCTATGAAGGAGACGGGAGCGTTGCAGGAACATGAAGTATGGAATACTATGGATTGACTCTGGTACCGAGTACCAATCGCTCGTTCATGGTTCAGGGACGGTTGAACTCTCTGTACTTCAGGGTTGTCCGCACTGTAACCTTGAAACTCCACGGTCGATTCTCGTATTGGTACTTGGGACGCCGCCTAACTCTTACTGGCCGTACACTCGTTGTAGCTTTCAGGTACTGGACCCTTAGTTCGTCACCCATCTTAGCATCAATTATCTTAACTCTTCTATGCCAGGTACCATGGGCCCTACGCGCATATCACTAGAGCTTCGCCTTTGGTGCAAAGCTCTTCTCAATGGCGTTCTTGCCAGCCGTGCTTACATCCTCGTCCTGTGCCGGTGTCCCTGTACTGCACCCGATCGCGCCGACGACAACACCGTCAAGTTTAATTGGTAGGCCACCACCAATTGTATTAAATCTACCTCCATTCGTGTGGTTGATGCCATACGCTGGTCCGCCAGGCCATACGTTCTCCTTGTAGACCGATGTGGGGACCTTGTGGCCCGCAGCAGTAAACGCCTTATCAATAGCAATATTGATGGATGTGATTTTTGCGCCTTCCATGCGAGTGAAGCTGAGTAGGTGTGTTGCGTGGTCGACGATTGCGATGTTCATCGGTACACCAATCTCTTTAGCGCGTTGTTCAGCGGCGGCCAGGGCGATGCGCGCACCTTCGAGGGTGAGCGTGGGTACGGTCTTCGTCGTCATCGTGGATTCAGTGAGTGCGATTTCTGGTGGATGTGCTGTGAACACAGCACTACATGGTTCATAGGTAGTTGGTCTCACCGGATACTGCAGGATGCGGAGATCGGCCTCGGCAACATCGGTCGACAGGGATGACGTGACGGTTCTTCGGCAGCACGGCCGCGTCGATATCGCGTGTACGCGCTACGGGCATCTTCCCGTCTTAACATATGTCGAGTACTATGCCAGTGATTGTTTCTGTTGACGGACAAGATGTGGTACCTTTATCTAGAATCCTTGCGCCGGCGACGTGCGACCAGCGACGCAACAGGAACTGCTCTTCAGCGCGTCTACGTTGCGCCATTCCACCATTCTGGATCAAAACGGAGGTTCGAAGACATGTGCATCTGCATGTCAGGTAATGTGAAGGCAAGAGTCAAAATGATACAGAGTTATTGACGACGACCAACGATCTACCAGTCATTGAACCTAGGAGGAGCGCAGCCATGCTGCATACTGGGTCCTGAAACCCTGTGCAACCCATGCAGATTCCTCCCACTTGCAAGAAACACTCGAAAAGATGACTAGTCGAATCCTCGCGTAATTGTCGCCATTTTCATGCACTTTCCATATCTTTTCGTGTACTTGCCATTGCAATGCGCAGTTTGTGGGATTTGACTGCTCCTTTCGTTTGTGCCTGTTTGCAATCTGGCACTGCGCCTTCACCTCGAGCTGCCTATCGCGTTCTCGTTGCCATCGTAATCACCAATCACGCTATGGTTTAGTCTTTCTTTTGAACAGTCGACTCAAGCTGTCACCTTGTGTTGCCTCGCCTCCCAATATCGTTGTTCTTATATCGTGCGTCACCGAGGGAAACTGCAATAGCGACACGTGCCGGCCTCCAATGACATGACAGCACGTCCTTCTCACGCTCAGTCACAATCGGCGTATTGTCTTTCTATCCGGAGGATTGCGGAAAATAAAGCTGGATTGCTCAGTATGCTGCATTCGTCATCTGTCACTTACAACCCGCTGACCAAAACACGGCCAGTGGCAGCATCGTTTCTAGGCATTGAGTTAAATATATCCCCGAAGACACGATCGCGCCAGACACGACCACCGGCAATTACGCGCTCAGCATTGCACAGCTTCCGTACTACTTCGCCTCACTACTAATAACATCATCATCATGGACTTGGTTACGGCAGACGACACGCTCCCTTCTCCACCGTCATCACCTGACGGGAAGCCGTCATTGAAAATGTCACGGAAACAAAAGGATTCACTTGGAAATGGCTTGAAGCCAACCGTACCAGCCCCATGGGCCGATAACACCCACGATTTCAGCATGATGGTAGTTCGTGCCACACTTCGAGACATACATGAGAAGCCAGACGGACTTGTGAAAAGCTACAACTGGTATCCAGATTCAGTTACCATTGACTCTCTATTCCCACCTGGTATACCACTCACAGCCAAGGAAATCTGTGTCTACTATCCGCATCATATTCGTTGGCAGGACGTTATGATACGCCTTTCACAGAACGATTACCGCGGACCTGATATACTTGGTATTCAAGTAAGTATCATAGTCTCTCCGCTGATCCTCGATACCAGCTTCTGATCCTTGCTGATAGGCGTTTTTCCGTGGCAATCCCCAGAATCACATGTTACCTGCAGCCTTGAATCAGATTCAGCGCGACGCCGTGCAGCGCCTCTTACCAGCTTTCAGAACGGCTGGCTATGAAGGCGAGGGAGACACAGATACGTACACCGATCACCTGAAGCCAGGCACGTATCTCGAGAAGAAGTCTAAAGGCTATGTCGTGCCAAAGTTTGATGACCTGCTCCGCGGCTTGTCGTCCCTGCCTTACGGAGAGGATACGCGAGAGCTCACCCAGTGTCTCTTGTGGTATTCCGGCATCCGTAGCACTTTCGAACCAAGATTGGAGCTCAATGTGCTGCACGCACAAGCTCTGATCCGTGCTTTGAGACAGCCACTGGAGCATCCTACTTCGCAGAACCTAAATCGGCTGGCACTCGACCAATGGCGAAAGGACGGAAAATTCCCAAAGGTCAGCTTCACGGCTGCTTCAGAAGGCTTTGAAGACAAAACACAGAAGGAGTATGGCAAGGAACAGCGTCTGCAGCCACGAACACGGGCTGTCTTCAACATCGACGCCGGTCTTGTGGACCTGAAGATGGAGATCCAAATTCCTATTCGTCACGTTTTGACCTTCCCTTTCATTGCGCTTCATAGCGTCGTTGCAGACGCATTCCAACTGGGCATCAATAATGCCATACGCCGAAGCACAGCCCGCGCTGATTGTGAGAAGACGAAGCGCGAAGATGCACCGCAACATTTACTAAAGCGCTTGAACAAAGGTCGACCTGACCATTCTTTCTCATCGAACCAGGTACAGACGCCAAAACGCTGACGAATGATGGTTGATGATGATGTCAGTGCCACAACGGTGCAGCCTCCAAAACAGCCTACAGCGTCACCTATCACCCCGCGCAAGTCGAGAACCATTCCCTTCAACTAGGGAATGGGTCTGCAAGACCGCAAGTCGACACGGGGCCTAGCATACTGAGCTAGGTAAGCGCCGAAAAGCTCTGATCTAGGTTAGTGTCTTTTAAAGCGATTCGATCTACGTTTCGAGTTTGCTTAGATAAACTTTATCATAGCCTTGAAGCTTAGGTGCGTTTGGTAGAAGTTTGAACGGTAGTCGTTGTGAACCACACGGTTCACAAGGGGAAGCTGCTTCGACGATAATATCGCGAGTCGGACATGGCACCAGGCGTTCACTCGCCAGACCATCATTCTGAGTCACTTCTTGCTTACTGTCGAATACTACTCGCAATCATTCTACAATTAAGATCATATGTCTCTTTATTAATATATGTGCTTTATCGCACGCAAAGTTGCTCATTGTAGCGAGCAGGCCGAAGTTTGTCAAACCCCAATGGCTTTGTCAGGTACAATCCGTTTGCTCGCATCAGCTACCCATCCCATCGAATAGGTGTGTTGCTCTTAGCTAGCTGCTTGAAACTGCACCTATGTAGCGACTGGTCTGCATTCGCACCGAGTCTTTCTTGTGCCCACCGCCGGTTCATGAAACATTGACATCCCCTTCGCCTTTTCTGGCTGAATCAACTGCCAGCTTGAAAGCTTCATGAGAAGCGACATCCGGATGCTTTGTATACGTGCTCATGTCCGGCAGATCTTCACCGGTGCGGTACACTTTGACATAGAATGGAACCTGACTCAAGAGAAGGTCATCCCCCTGCTCTCGCGCGCGTTCGATGGCCATTGTAAGATGACGCCTTCCAGGACCCTGGGGAAGATGTTTGACACCTTTGACTAGAGCGGACAGCTGGCAGTCATCGATGAGTGAGTTCTTCATGCCTTCGGTGGTTCTCGCACTGCCGCCACCCAGTTTGATCTCCCAGGAACTCACGGTGAAGTCTTTGGTGGGGCTTCCCTTCTCTGAAATGTTCTCCAGTTGCTTCTGCACTCTATTTCGTAGAGCTCCGAGCTGCACTTTATCTGTGTAGTCTCGATAGTATGCCTGCGCGGTGTCAGCAGACCCTTCGATAGGCGCTCCAGTGTGCACTTACCATGAGCCGTGCAATGAAGATAGGTGTCCATTCGCCGTTCTGCAGACGTTCAAGGTAGGGATGCCACGTGTAGTGGAGAGGGAAGAACTAAGGTGGGTTAGCAAGTCATGAACGTCAGTTCGAGAGGCGCAGACTAACCGCACATAGCTCGTCGACCGACAGCTGTAAAGAGCCTAACAATCGAATGTCAAGCTTCTTAGACTGAGCATCGCCGTGGAGATCTTTCACGGAGCCGGAATCGCCGTAGCCGCGATGACCCACTTGTGGTGCGCCAAGATGGAAACCAGTTATGTAGACCAAGTGAGGGTAGGAGTTCGACATTCTGGAGCCCACTCTGGAAGTTATGTTGCTGCTCTCGGATGTAGTGTGGTAGAACGGAGCTTTCTCTGAAGGCAGTGAAGCCACAGGATATGCGGGTGCGTTTGTCTGCGCAACCTCGTGCTTCGAGATTGCAACGTCACGATGTCGGTCTGACATGCTCATGTCAACTCCAAGCTCTATTAGCCACTCGTAGCAAGCTGCACACTCGCTCATGAAAGCCCGTAGATTGAAACCGGCAGGTAGCAGCTCGAAGCGCTGGATGTAACTGAGCCAGTCGACAGAGATTGCATCGGCATTATGAATGCGTGCAGTATTGAGGTCTATTCTAGCGTCAGCACTTGGCTTACTCTCACTCGTATCTTCTATGTGGACTTACTATTGTTGTTCACGCACTTTTCAAAACTTGCGACAGCAGGGAAGTAATGACGATACTCAAGATCTGCTGGGAAGAGACGAAATTCTTGGTCAGGCTTCCCTAAATCGGCATGCTCATTATGATGTGCTGTAGTGTTGCAGCAAAAGTAATCTTTCTCGCTGGTACTTCGCGTAGTCGTGGCTGTATAGTCTGTCAGCAATCGATGCGCCTGTACGCACCGCAGTTACATGCCTTCGAGTGTATATTGCTTGTTAGAAGCCTCTGCAACTTTGTGTTGTACAATGACCAATTTGTCTGCTGATGTTTGTGAGGAGTGTTGAATGAAGTCTTGCTGGGAGGCATCGCGCCTGCCCTTCACTGTTCCACTTTCGGTGCCAGGCTGTGATGGAGCTTCTGACATAATGATGTCTGGCCCGAGACTAGGATGCTGGATATACTGTGAGAAGAGATTTAAGATTTACCGCTGATGGAGATAATTGGACACTGTCATGAGGAGGGGGCCAGATTGGTTTCCAGGCTAAGTAGGTAGGCCTAGCAGCCTACTGCAGTGAAAGCAGGGTCTTCGACGAACGAGACAACAGGACCTATATGGTTCAATCAATCGCTACTCTGTAGGCGCACGAGTCCATTTCAATTTGTCACGGTAGTTGCCATGCGTTCTCACACCACCTTTATGAGCAGCTGAAGGTCACGAATCTTCAGGGATGGCACATGCCTTGACCTCAATGTTGCGGACGCCATTGGAATCTTCTTTGTTGTATGCATAGTCGATGAAATTAGCCTTATGTGTTACAGCAGTTGTATCATTTATGTACCACTCCCCAAGAAAACATGTTCCTATGCTGCAGACGATTTATTCCAGCGAGAATGTGTCTATATATGGACCGATCAATTTACAGCGTTTTTAGAGAGATGGGTAAAGCTCATGCAGTAATAAATCGCAGACTTAGCATGTTCGTGTTTTCTCAAGAATTCTGTTCCCGACCGGAAGCAACCCCAACGGGGAAAAAGGTGACAACGTGACGCATTTATCTGCCCATCGAAGACGATTCCCATGATAAATTCACTTCTTTGTTTGTTTTATGTGATCTTTGGGCCGCTGGGAGATCGAGACGGCTTCCATGCTCTTCCTCTCACAGGTATTCATTTCCTCACTGAGTGATGCCAACATTTTGATGGAAACCCCTTTTCTGCCTCCAATCCAGATGGCATCTTCTAGCCCATACTCCCGTTTGCTCGGGTGTAACGCTCAGCTAGAAACTTGAGATCTGCAGCCCATCGCAACTGGGGCAATCTCATCAGATCCCTGGTTGCCAAGTACTCGTTCTGCTCCCGAACGGACTTCTCCAGCATCTTATCCGGATTGCAGTCAAAGTAGAGAACCCAGTTTTCGTCCATGATCCGGAGTCTGTTCTGTCGTGTCGCACCTATCCACATCCGGCCAGGATCCAATCCGATGCCCATGATATATCGAACGTTAAAATGCGCCATCTCCGCTGCGGCAATGCTGGCGATAGTCGCATTTGTGTCCTCGCCAATAAGGTATGGATTGAGCCGATAGTCGTCGGTCAGCACGATGCTAACGATGCCGTCTATATTTGCGTCAGTAAGTTCTCACTACACCACTTGCGCACCATACCTGTGATCACGGGCGACATCCTCGGTGCGATTAAACGGACACTGCGCACGCCTAGAGGGCGATCAGGTAGCGTGCTTTGTTGATTCATTGTATGGTGGTCTGGTCAGGAGGAGAAAGATAATGAGAGTTGCACGTTAATGAAATAGGTGAGGCTACCAGCAGTAAAAGTGAGGAAGGGTCCATTCTCAAGGCACCGCCCGGTGCGCTTTGCCTTCACTTGCCGTCCTTGGTTTCTATCTCGAACACCATGTGAGAACACTGCAAGGGCATAAAGTAAATCACGAGCGTACTGCTGCAGTGTGAACTTCCAGACACCGTCTTCTCAAGTGAAAGGCACGAACGGCGTATTCAGTCTGAACAAATCTTGAATAGGTTGATTTCAAAATACAGGATAAGAACCCAAGGATCTCTAGAATTGCGAACTCGGATTGCATCGGCCGCGCTCCTCAATGCCAAACCGGCGACAGACCCGAGCCCCACGACAAATCTCAGTTGAAATCAACCTCGTACCCATCCGACACTCCTACTAAGTGGACACAGATGGAATGATCCTCCTCGTAACAACCGTAGGAAGACAGCTCGGGGTACCATAGATCGTGCTCGTCGTGACCGTCAGGTAAGTCGACATAGTGCAGATCTGCTGCGCCGTGGACACCGTGTAGGTTGTTGGGGTGGGCTCGCCTAGGTAGCACACGGTTTCAGTTGCAACGGTGAGAGATGCGGCCGACGCGGTGCTGGTTGACATGGAGCTAGTCGCCAGTGTTGTGCTAGTCGTCGAAATGGTGCTTGTCTTCGACGTGGACTTGGTCGTGCTGGTGAAGCATTTTGCGTCCCACCTCTCAGGTTTGCCTGGGTCGCAGTCGGATGCGCTGACAAGAGCGTTTACGCACAGGTAGGGGATGATGAGAGTAAGCTTCATGGTTGCGGGCCTTCGAAGTAGTCGGCTTTCTCGAACTGAAGGGGAGTGGGATGACGGGGCACTTCAGACTGAGGTTGTTTATTCAAAGAGAGTGCTGTAAAGCTTTCTGATATATGATGGTCGGAGGGTCTCTCTGAGACTCGCATGATCCGGAAGTCGATCTAGGCGTCCACAAGTTCCAGCGCCTTAAAGCCTCGTGTGACTTGGGCAATCGCCACTAAATCTCTTAAAAGCATTTGCCATCAAGGCGCCCTGCGCATAGAGTCTTATTGTCGGGCCTGGAACTGTTCCCACGGTTCCTTTGTACTAAAGATGGGGCGATGGTAAAGAATGCTGGGAGTTTGCACCACTATGCGAGCACTGGTGTAACCACAATGATTCGGATGGTTGCGAGCATCCTTTGTTTAAAGAATAGCGCACTGGAAAACACATCTCGTGGTATCGAGGTGTCATACAGATAACGGTGCACAGCATTGGACTTCGGAGACCATTTCCACTTGTGGTGATGTTTGTTCAAACAGCTTCCACCCAAATCAACACTAGATTCAGACTGTATTTTTCGGGCTGTTACTCATCTTCGTTGATTTCTCGTCATCATTTTCCGAAATTTACTAATTCGGAGGGTTTACATACTCCTCTATTTTGTCAAATGCCCTAAACCATGACTAAAGAAAGCGACCCCAGCAATGCAGTAAAATGTGGTATAATTGGCTTTCAGCACTTTTCTCTCTATGCACTCTTCAACTCTTCCATACGCTCAGTCAGCAGCTCCCACCCCTTGCTATCCTCCCACATCTCCTTGCCCTTGCCCATTACGCTACGAATCGCGCTGCGCGCCTTAAACTTCCAGTCCTTTGCGACCAACTCGCCACTTCCCGCCGCGAGCCCCTCAGTCCTGTCTCGCGGCCCAAGCGTCTCGTACGCATCAACAAGGTCGATCGTCTGCTGCGCAACTGCGGTCCACACTTTCTCATCCTGGTCCTCCCACTTCGGCTGGCTTGTTACTGCGCGCCACGCTTTCTCGTGGCACTCGAGTGCGCTTGTCGGGCGACCGCTGTGCATATACAGTGTCGCCAGCACGGCCCAAAGTTTGGGGCTGAATGTGATGAGTGGCTTGATGTGTTTCTCGATAAGCTCGCTGGTGAGGCGGGGCACGCCGGGGGTGCTCAGGTCCAGACCAGTGTCTGGCTTAGTTTGCACAAGGTGTTTGATGAGCAGGTCCAGGATCTCATCGTCGACGCATTTCTCGCCGTCGGTGGAACCGCGGAGCTCACAGATGCGGCGCTGCGCGGTGACGATGTCGGCGAAGCTGGGTGGGTCTGTAGATGCGGCGACAGCAAGAACGTTGGACCAGATCCGGTAGTTGTCGTGCTTGAGTGTTGCAGCACGTTTGAAGGCTTTCAGGGCGTCGGTACGAGGCTGAGATGTGACCTTACCTTCTGCCGCCTCCTCTTCTGGTGTTCGCGTCTTGGGACGCAAGTGAAGAAGTGACGCAGCCAAGTTGGACCATGCTTCAGCATCTGTCTCGTCCAGTTGGACACAGCGGCTGAATGCTTCCACAGCGTTCTTGAACTGCTTCAACTCAAGATATGCGCATCCCAAGGCAAACCACGCCGGGTGATTGAGGGCGTTACACTTGATCGCCAACTGATATGCTTCTGCGGCCTTCTCATAATCTCGTTGCGTGATATAACGTTGACCAAGGGAGCGTTGGGCACGGGCATAACGCTTGCCAGACACTTCCCATGCCTTCTCGTACATAGCGAGGTCGCTATCGAGATCGCCGAGAATGCAGTAATAACGGGGGGCTTCGGTAGGCGGTGGGCTTCGTGCCGCGCCCTCCCATGTATCTGAGTCAAGATCTGCAGTTGTGTCGTCGCCGGAGGTAGCATGGAAGAGCTGTCTCCGAATCATACGGCGTGCTTTTTCCTCCTTGTCTGTAGCAGCGTAGCAGAGTGATGCCTCGGCCCACATCTCCAATCGCTCATAGATATCGAGAGCAGAGCGTAAACCACCGATATGAACCCAGCGAGCAGCAAGTTCAGCCTCAAGCTCCCATCTTGACGGCGAGCAGAGAGCAAAGACGTACTTCAGACGGTCTTCTACTGGTGCCGATTCCCCTTCTTTTGCGCCTGGCAAGAAGGCGGTCACTTTCTCGCCTGTCTCTGCATCCGAAGTCGCCTCTCCAGAAGTCTCAGCAATGACTTGGTCTACAAGCGCCTGAAGTTGAAGAAGTCCACGTTCCATCGTCCTAGTTTTGTAACCCTCGATCCTACTGCGCACAAGCAAGGCATGTGTATAGACCTGCCAGTTTGAGGAACCGCCTTCAAGAACACGTTCGGCGTAGGGAACTGTCTGCTCTCTTGTAATGCCGTCGACCGGGTTGGTGTTCTTAATGCTCTCAGCCAGCGAAAGTAAGATCACGGAATCCAACGGCTCTAGAAGCGGCTGATTGGCAGGCTCCAAGTTTGCAAGGCCGGGTGGCAGCTTGGATTCATCCTGGATATCCATAGACGCAACCTTTTCTGTGAACTGGATCGTCTCGTGTAGCGTGTCATCGTTCAGATCCAGCGCTTTCGGTCCTGACGCTTCTGTACTTGAAGCTTTTACTTCTGTTCCTGCGCTTCTGGCCAGCACAAGCAATTGGCTGGTGTCTTTCTGCTGGAACTTTGTCCTCTTTCCCATCAAACCAGTCAACGCAAACTCAAACTTGCGCTCCGCGGTCGCCTGGTCCAAATCGGCTCTTGCTTGCTTGTCCAGGCCGTGATGCGTGTGTACAGCTGCTCTCTCTAACAGGAAGCTTGGAAGCAGATCCGGAATTGTTTGGTCTTCGCCAGAGTTTTTGACCAACTTTTCAACGTCTTGCAAATCGTCGTAAATTGTGGTTTGCAAGCTTGGGGCAGGCTCACTGAGCAACCTTTGATACGTGAAGCTTACCCTCAAGCGCGCCCATGTTGATAGCGGGATGAACTTCTGGAAGATCGGGTTGATTAGGATGGTGTCTGCCAAACACAATAACTCAATGTTCGGGGTAAGCTTGTATGCAGCGATTCCATCCAAGCTGAGTGACGCGATCAATTCTTGCTGAAGCTTACGGACTGCGATGGCGTCTCCAGACACATCTTTGGTAAACAGAACATCAGAAGGCTTATACGACAGCGGCGGTCCAGTCACGGTCGACTGCACAAAGGCATTCAGTGATGCGACAGCTACTGCCCATAGCAGATGAACGCGGTACTGCAATGTTTCTTTGATTGGTGTCCCCTCCTCTTCAGTCCGAAATGGGAATAACAAGCCTAGTCGGTGGAAAATGTAATCGCTCCATAATGCGAAGTTTTCTTTCTTGACATTCCTGGTTGCATCGTTGTCTTGGTGACCCAATAGGATCTGAACGTCTGGTAGTTGACTCAGTGTAACAAGGTCGGCGCTTTCTGTCGCTTTCAGAACATCTTGGAGTACTGCAGCGAGCTCATCGGGCAAAGTCGTGCGAAGGAATCGCAGCAGAATATCTCCCATCTTGGCCTTCTATCGATTGTGTGGTGTTGTTGCGGGGTGTGCTCGAAATTTGTTCAGATGCCCAAAATGAGTAATGCTAGCGCTAGCGCTATTTAACTCGTCGAAGGTGCTAGCAAATGGACCCTGATCACAGCCCTACGCGGCCACGCTACACTCATGACCGCCCAGCCGCCCTTTTTGGAGGTCGCTCGGAGGATGGTGTTCACCGACTACCACACGCCGCGGGTGCATTCCTATAGCAAAAGAATACTGTAATCACAACGCAAAGATCAAGGACCACATACAGTACAGAAACGATATCATTACGCAAAAGGCCAAGCATCTCGGGTATGAGGCATGCATCGGCATCTATGCTCATTACGAAAGGTCTCACAATAGACCGACGTCCCAGAACGACGCCACTCAAGATGCATCGCCAGCTCAATCCGAGTCGCTGCTAGAAGAGCTGCTACCTCCACGGCTGCGGCTCCTATGCTTCTTGTGCTTCTTGTGCCCATGGCCGTGAGAGCTGCCTGCATACAGGCCAGTCATTCCAGCGGACGACCCGGCGTACGACGAGCCGTGGTGCGAAGATCCATGGTGAGAGCCGTGGCTACTGTGCTTTTTATGCTTTTTGTCCTTCTTGTCCTTCTTATCGTCATGCCTGGCTTAGTGTTAGCGGTGCTACTCAGAAACGTGGATTTCAGGGAAACCTACTTGTCACTCAACATGTTCGCGCCGACAGCGCCTGCGATCAGCCCACCAATGGTACCGAGCGCTCCACCACCCATCTTGTTGCCGAGGAACGCGCCACCAGCGCCTCCTATAAGCGTAGAACCAAGACCACGCTCGCCATCTGCTGGGCCGCCTGGTGCACCGGGTTGACCATACTGGCCGGGTTGCTGACCGTAGCCTTGCTGGTGTTGCTGGTCGCCGTAGCCCTGCTGTTGACCATACTGTTGCTGGCCATATTGCTGGCTGGGGTCCTGGTACTGCTGGTGCTGCCCTGCAGGTGGATATGGGGAGTGGCTCCGGTCGGCATCGTAGCCTTGGTTGTACTGGCCCTGAGGAGCGCCGTAGCCCTGCTGCTGGGGAGCGTACTGGTCATGCGCTGGTGGAGGATACTGGCCCTGTGCAGTTGTTAGGATGCGCGTGAAACGCGAACTGCGCTTGCACTCACCTGCTGCTGAGGGTAAGGGCTGTGTCCCTGGCCGTACTGGTCGTGTTGCGGCTGACCGTACGCCGGCGCTGAAGGGTACTGCTGCTGGTTGTAGCCGCCCTGACCTTGCTGCTGTGCGCCGTCGTAGCCGTGACCTTGGCCGCCGTAGTAGTCGTTGCTCGACATGGGTGTTGTATGTAGTGATGTGGATAGGTTGGGTAGGTGTTGTAGGGCAGAGAGGGAGCTCAGCTGCTGTGAGCTATGCTTATGTTTATGGCGGGGGAGGGGCGGCAGGAAGCGCGATTTGTTGGTTGGGCGTTTGGGGGATCACACGCGCTCTTAAATGCGACACGCCTGCTTCGGTCAGCGAAGGCGCGGCTTCGCCGGAAAGCGATGACACGGATGCCATCGCGGCTGAGCTGAGCGCAATCTGGTGGAGTGGAGACGAGTGATCATGGCAACTGCGACTGAGAGGGGCTGAAGGAGTGGCGGTGCAACCGAGGGAGCGTTGTAATTGGCTAAATGGTCTGGCTCGTACCTCCGTTGCGACAATACTTACAGCTGCAGCATGGATTGCTGGAGTTCGCAGACGCATTCCAGCGCACATGAACTGCGGTTCATGGCTAGCTACGTCATGGGGCTAAGTCACTGGTGACTGCCTGACCGTTTCTCGGCCACTAAGGGCGCGTGGTGTACGACACTCCTTACAAACAGATGTGTTGGCAGTGTCATTTGCTTGATATCGACCACCTCAGGCGATTTGGCTGTCGGCAAAAGGTCTTGCTGCAATTTTTGGGACTTTAGAAGCCGCCTGCACACATACTCGAGTCATCCTGCGTTGTACAGCAGCGTCGTCAACCCTGTCTAATCCAGCGCATTAGCCCGAAGCAATCTACACCAGTGTCAAGAGTCCTCACGAAGAAGATGGTTTCTTATAGCTAGCCACAAATGAGAATACCAACTATCCTTGTCCTGCTGTACAAGCTACAGAAAAAGCATCATTGAATACGTAAGGGTAGACGAACCAAGCTTGATCTCAGATGCAAATGCAGTCAAGTGACGGATGTGTGTCTCCCAAGCCAGATGTATCAGACTTCTGTTCACAAAGTAGACCACATTCCATACTATCTTGTTCGATCAACATTGATTTGTACTAGCCTTGAGTTGCCAGTGTGAATTTGCACTCTTTCTCATACTTTGAAAGTCGTCTCTCACGCTTACGTGGGAACGATCTACATCCTGGGACATCCGTGAGCTTGCACTAACAGCTCGAGCCCGCCCAGCGATAATCAAACGCAGAGCCTACAGCACTACTACGGGACACTACTCAGACCTCCGGCCGCTGCCATCCCTAGCTGTGGTGTCGCCGAGTCGCCTGCTAGACGTATGGCTGCGAGAAGGGTGCGCATAACCTGACGTCCCCTGCTCAAGTCTTGAGTGGTTACTCTCAGGGGTATAGAACGTCTCCATGGCTATTGCTATATTGCTCCGAGGTAATCTCTCGAGCGTGCTTGTGCAAACTTGAGCCTTGCGCAACAAGATCTTTTTGACCGTCTGATTCACTATAGTCTCCTTGTACAATGGAGGTGAAACGACAAGCCGCACGTATCCCTTCCCGGTCTGCTCAAGCTTATCTTCCATGTCTCTTGAGTCAAATGCCGACCTTATTCGTAAGTTTTTGCTAGTAAACCATAAGTCTGTTGAATGTTTCTTGACGTCGAGATCCAAGTAAAAGGCAGCGGAAATGATTTCACGGAGCCACCGCTTCGCTTCGCTTCTGTGTTCTTTAGAAAATCCTCTCTCTGCATAGTTCCAAAGCGGGCGCCATAAGTCTTTCATCACGTCCGTCACATGTTCGTCAAGATCTTGCTGCAGGTACGGTGCGGGGTCGATCGCTGAGCCTTTGCCAGGGAATAGCAATGCAAATGTGGAAGCACGCCATTCCGAGAAGGCCATGCGATTTGCGATTGTGCTGGAACTGGCGGCTGAGCATGTTAGTTCTAGAGTCATCTCATAAATCAAGAATCTAACCTCGCTCCAGTGTCTCATCGACAGAAACTCCATCTTTCGCTCCTGTGTACAACCAGCGATGACGCCTTGATGAGTCTGAATCGAACAGGCGTTGCAGCAAGGTATGCCAGATGCGAGCTTGTATTAGCCAGGGTCGAAAATTCGCATCTTCCATGTACGATGCCCAGTCGTCGCTCACGACCTCAAACCTCCTCCTTGTACGCTGCGTATAGTGGCCCTTGCCAGTTGAGAAGTAGGTTATAGTCCATGATTGGATTTCTTGTCGCAGATTGTCGAGCTGCGCTACAAAATAAGCATCATCATACACAGTAGGCCGTCGCGATTGCTCCAAAGCCAATTCAGTCTTGGCTTGATTTAGCAGCCCCTTGACATTTGCCAACTGCTGCCTCAATTGCGTAATTTCGCTTCTGAGCTCTACACCATCCACGAAAGGGTCGGCACTGGCTTCGTTTATTGAAGACGCGCTTGAGTAAGACTCGTCAGAGTCAGAATGGCTCTCAGCCTCGTTTATGCCACCATGAGTATCTGCACGTTCTACTCCATCGTGTTCACTCCAGCTGAGATCGCCGTGTTCGCCTGTGACCGAGCTCTTTCGGCGAGAAGAGCTGCGACTCGACGAAGGTATGTGTAGGCCTTGTTCTTTCAGGCGCTTGCTCGTCAAATGACGCGTTTCGACCGAGTGCACTGCAGCAGCAAGTGGTCAGTGGTTGTAGAGTGTAAAACCAAGCCCGCACCACATGCATACATCGCCGCACCTGCTCGTTGGTGGCATTGTCACGTCCACGCTGCATCTCACAACGACCCACTTGGTGATGGACTGGGCAACTAGCGAGACAAGGGACACAACTGCCAGACGCCGGCCCGAGCGCCAAGGCGCTAACATTGTTGAGATGTATAAACACATAATACTACAAGCAATCATCAAGTCCAACTCAACCGACTCACACCCCACCATCCACCTCGAGAATGATTCTCTGGCCATTCTCTGTGTTGCCCGGATATTGCAGCTCCTATCTCATCAGTCGGGAGTGCTGAATGCGGTGGGTGACGTACCTTGCGAAGCTGCCGATTGCCATAGTAAACATCAAACTCGAGAGCATTTCCATTTGGGGACATGATCACGTCGATTTCGACCATTCGGTAACACTCTTCGCTGTTGTTGACGTACTCCGGCAGCTGTGCAAATGTCATGTCAAGTTTGACTACGATGTCACACAGCCGTCTGACATCTGTACACACTCCTGTTAACCCAGAGCTTCCTTATCACTAATAGAAGAATCTGGCTTACTTGAGAGTCTCCATTTAGGTGCTTCACTCTCGCTGCATACCCAGACTGAAATCCTTCCGTTTGTCAATTCCTCCGGCCGCCGGATGTACATTGCAGCTCGGTAAAGTGGTCCGGGAGCAATGTGAGATATTTGTACTCCCTTGAGTAGTGGGTCGGTAAGTGTAAAACGCTTCACTTCTCTCTTACTTACCCGTTGTACAATCCAGTGCATTTTCCCTTTCAGCACGTACATTTCTCGGATCTCGTCCCACTGCCCGTGATTTCTACTCAGCGCATTGTGTTCATCGCTGCCATCCCACGGGATGTCGTAGGCAATGCCATAATTCAATCGACATATACGCGACACGATGGCGTCCTCTAATGCTGCAGTAACAGCCCCGCGGCTCACGGCGCTCCACCTGTGAGCGAGTCAGTCTGGCAACTAGTCGTGACAGGAGGGAGCACTGACGTCTCATTTCCAGAAGAGTACCGGATCTCGATCTCTGATGCATACTCCGTAGTAAGAAGTTGGCCTAGATATCTCGAGGAGCCCAGACCGCCGACGAGAATGATGGCCTGGTCACGTTAGGGCCGTGTCAAATCGAGCTCGCCACAAATAATTCGCCCACCTTAGGCTTCTTATCGAAAAGATTTGATATCCGTTTTACTTGCTCTCGAATCAGTGCCCTGATTCTAGAGCAGACTGGTTGAAACAGGACCTCGATTTGATCACTATCCATTAGCAGGCTTCTCGCTACGAAGGCAACCATCTCACCATGTGAAGTGGCAGCTTCGGACCCCCGCAATGTCGACGGGCCACTTCTTCAAGCGATTTTTAGTGTCGAATGACCGCTTGATATGATGTTCCCAGTGGAATTCCATCAATCGGTCTATCACGTCCGAAGCCAGTGTTTGCCAGATTGTTCGTCCAATGTGTAGCCGGAGGAATTGTTCGAAGTCGTCATCTATGAAAACGGCCCCACAGAGGTCACCTTCTTCGAGTCAGTACGTTATGCGTGTGCCAGATAATTGCGGTACCTTCTCCCTCGACACACTCTTTCAACCTCAGTGGGTTCAAACTTTGTATTTGATAACTTATGACATCCTACGTCGTCAACATTTGCGGTGTTGGCAATGCGAAGCTAACTTACCACCGTGCCCCCACCTGCATCGCACACTACAAAGAAGTCGTTCACCTGCTCATAAATCAGAATCGGGACCTATCATCACAAGCTCTGCAAATCCTCACTTTCGTCACATCTGGCCGTTGCCTTACTTCTGGCGCTTGGAGGACAGCATGTGCTGCTGCCTCTGGTTCAGACACAAGTGAGATATCCACTGATCCGAACGGGCTATAGTTAGGTCGGATGGCCTTTCTTGCGGCTGTATGAGTGTCCGAGGTAGCCTTTTGACTCCAGATTGCCGGCCGCGTAATTATGACTTTGCAGGGCATTCCTTGAGCCCAACTTTGGCCATGCTTCTTTATTATTGCGTCAACAGCATGACGCCACAACATCGTCAGATAGTCTGTTGTGACCTTCATGACAGCCTTTCCCACGCTACCTTTGGAAGGATTCCAGTCTCTCAGCTTGCCATGAATGCTCTTGACGCGCTCGCAGTCTCTCACGTTCTGGGGTAGGTTGTCATAATCAAGGATGAGCTTGAACCAGGTAAACGTGGTTGGACTTTCCTCAGTCCCGAAACCCCAGGTGACTGGTGTGCTGCCTTTGTACTGAATCTTTGTAGGCACTTTGGCCGACCCTTCATTGCCGTCCCATGATAAGACGGTATGGATGTTTCGAGGGTCGCCGGACCAAGTCCAGCTAACGCCAGAAAATCTGCGGCGTGTTAGTAAGCTCCAAGTCCTGTTTCGGAAATTGCTTACGTGGTGCCGAAGTCGATGGAGATGATTATGAAAGGTTCTTGGGCCATGGTGACGAAATTTCCTTCTTCCAGAGCTGGGTCCGGATGGTGGTCCATCGATCTGTGCGCACTAAGTCCATTAGATGAGTGGCTTATACTGAGCCATCCAGAAGGCAACACCTCGATAGAGCAGCAACACCTGCGGTGATGATAAAGAGGAGATTTCAGGCTGTGCAGCTGGCTGTGCAGGCCTGGCAGCAATGAGGCAGCTGTAGGCTTTGCAGCATGGCCAATGGGCGACGCTGCGAGGCGACCTTGCAGAGCTAAAAGCGCCACCGATACTGACACATACTCCATGGAGTCCTCCATAGCCTTGCGACCGAACGATAAAACCGCGAGAAAGTGATAAGGTCTCCAAAAAAATTGCACTCGTCTTACTATACTCCTCATTCACGCCTTCGCAATGCGATTCTGGTCGCGAAAGAAAAAGACACACCAGCCCGGCAAGGCTGGGGTACACCACCACGCCCAAGGAGCGGATGACGAAGAAGCAGATCAATGGGCAAACATGCAATCAGATAGCCTGATACTTGTCATGGGTGTAACAGGCGCTGGCAAAAGTTATTTCATCAATCAACTGAAGCCCAATTCAGTTGCAGAGGGTCATGGCATTCGATCCGGTAGGCCAACATACAAGCCTCAGCCTGATCCCAAGCCGACTCATTTTCATAGAGACCAGGGCTTGCAAACTCGTTCAGATGCAGATCGGAGCATGCACCGTAGCTGCGGTCGATACGCCAGGTTTTGACGACGACGATGACAGCGATGCCGTGGTGCTAGGTATCTGACCTCTATTCCATTGCGCCGCCACCAGCTGACGTCCATCAGCCAAAATCACACACTTTTTGATCACACAATACCGCCTGGGCATTCCTCTCAAAGGCATTATCTTCCTACATAGCATCACCACGATCCGCTTCTCAGGCTCCCACAAGCGCTATCTCGATACTTTTCGTCAGATCTGCGGGGACGATGCGTTCAAGAACGTAGCACTCGTCACTACGATGTGGCACAACGAGAAGCAAGCTATCGGCCTGAGACGTGAGGCTGAGCTGCAGACCGGGCCGTGGTCTGATCTCAAAGCCAAAGGTGCGGATGTGTTCCAGTACAACGGGACTGCCGACATGGCGCAAGCGATTGTCGGCCGGTTGATGATGAAACCAGACGTGGAGCTGAAGATTCAGAAGGAACTGTTGAAGAATCCGAGTGCTGAGCTCAACAGCACCACTGCAGGTGCTGGTATCGCATCGCAAATAGAGAGGAAGCTACAAGCAACTCAGCAAGAGATACAGACATTGACCGTGAGGATTGAGGAAGCTGAGGCTGCACGAGACACGTTGAAAGCGCGTCATCTTCGCAGGGAGCAGGATAAAGAGAGGGAAAAGCAGCTCAAACAGATGAAGTCGATAGACGCTTTGCGGCCAAAGATTTTCGAAGAGACTGGTGAAAGGATCGAGGAGGTTGATAGTCAGGGCAGAGCAAGAGGACAGAGGAAGAGCAAGCTGCAAATTTTCGTCAGTGTCCTAGGGATGATCACAGGGCTCACTTTTAGTCTCATATTACCATTAGCAGGAGTATCGATAGGATCGTAGTTGCAGACTTCATTGATTGCAGTGTCTTCTGTCAGGCTTCCAAATGTCACCATCTGCCTGTTGTTACCACGTATCCATGGTGTTCACTTTGTTGACCTCGGCTCTTGTGAATTGTAATTGCCCTGACGCGGTGAGCTCATTGAAACCTAGGTATGGAGGAAAGATTCGCAAGCCTGCGCATTTGCTTTGATTTCCTGGGATCAGTTATACGTAGTGTTCATGCTGGCGGTTTTTCCAACTTCAAAATCGAGGCAAGGCACCATCTGCATTGCTCTGAATTTTGTTTGTCGTCATCACCCACGTACTCTTTTCGGTAGGTACTGATGAGGCGGCAGTGTGCATCCCAAGGTATCGAAACGGTCGCGCATATTCCCATTCTGGACGTACATGTCCAGATTGGGAAATCACGGGCTCAATTCGGCTTCGGCCGCTCGAACAGGGTTGAAAGTTGGCAGGTACGACTCGAAAAGGCCGAAATCAAGTTTTGTGCAGCAGTCGACAGAGATTCAAAAATTGCTGAAAAGAGAAAGAGGTTGTGACGAAATAAACAAAAGATGACGACGAAGGCCGTCAAGAGACGGGCGTTGGCTACAAGATCGTGTGCGGGATGACGCAGGCACCGGCGGGCCTGGCCGCCTCGAACGCGTTGTGACGCGTGCGAGATGCGCAGACGGCTGGACGTCATAACAACACACCTCAACATGCTGCGAACACTAAGTCGATGCAGCTTGGACGCCCTGCCGCAAAGGACAAGCATTCTGCATCGTGTACACATGGCTTCATTCTCGGTAAAGTCAATCGATCATGTCGTGCTCACAGCCAGGGACATCCCGAAGACCATCGAGTTTTACACGCAACGATTGGGCATGAAGCATGAGGTCTTTTCTGCGAACGGAGGCGAGCGCCATGCACTGTCGTTCGGGAGCCAGAAGTTGAACCTACACCAGTCTGGGAAGGAGTTTGAACCGAAAGCAGAAAATGTTCAACCAGGGTCAGAAGACCTGTGCTTTATCACAGATTATCCTGTAGATGATGTGTTGAAAAGCTGGCAGGCAAATGGGATTGAGGTTTGTTTGCTGTGACAAGGATCAAAGCGTTAACGCTGATCACTGTATGCAGATCTTAGAAGGTGGCAAAGTGGTAGATCGAACTGGAGCTCAAGGCAAGCTGAGGAGCGTGTATTGCCGTGATCCTGACGGCAACCTGATCGAGTAAGTCGATTCGAGGATTAATGTTGTCGGTCGGCTAACGGTTGACTTCAAGAGTGTCGAACTATGTGTGAATCTAACGCTGTGTTGTTTTGCTCATCCATCTCCACCCCTCTTGACTCGACAGGAGCTCACATCGTCTTTGTAGCTCCTTTGTCGAAGAGAAAACTAGGAACGGAACTGCTCGCGTCATCTCAGCATTTTGATGGAGACTACGGTGGGAGATGGACGAGAGTGTGTTTTGCATTGAGGACTAAGTATTAGCAAGTGGTTGTGCCTGATCCTTGTATTTGTTGGAAACATCCGAAGAGTTGAAGAGATAAGGGCTCAGAGACCAATCATTTTGGACCTTCTTTCATTGATGCACTATATTAACTCAATGTGAAACACGTGTGCGAGATCAAACGATTCTATAAGTTACACACCGATGCAGATCGGAGTAGGGACTGCTCAGATCCCGGGTGTCGGATCCACGCACCGAGGCTGTGTGAAAGCCTCGCATCATGAAGAAAACGCCTCCTCGAAGAAGTCAACACTGCGCAGTCCAACGCGGTGCCTTACAGCAGCACGTACACTATCATTAAAGCCCCCTGGGCCGCAGACTGTGACAGCCATGGCACCGACCTGCGCTAGTATCTGCTCGTCGACGATCTCTTGAGGGTTACACTTCTGCGAAAGAACCTCAACCCCAAGGTGCGACGGCAATGACGCAGCAGCCTGTTGGGTAGATCGCGAGATGTACAGTTGCACTCGGATGATATCGCTGAAGTTCTGCATAGCAACGAGTTCTTCCAACCAAGGGCGAATCCACTCGACACACTCGATATTCGGTATACACCAGACAAGCAGGACCTTTCTCGTGGCTGACGTATTTCCATTGTAGCCCGCCAGCAGATGTCGCACGAACGATAGCTGGTGCGTAATGCCAGCGCCGGCGGCGAAGAGCGCAACAGTCCCATACGAGCTCAGGGATTGGTGCCCTCCGTAGGGTCCTTCGATTGCGCCCCATAATTCGATATGGTTGGTTTTGGCTCGTGAGGCTCTGTCGTACAGCGAGCGCGTCATTCCTGTGCGGACACGAATGACACACGAGATTGTACTGGGTCCGTACTTGAGCTCCAAGTCCTCGACACTCGAAGGAGGCTTTTCGGTGTCTAGGCTCGCGTACCCTGAGCCGGAGTGCCAGGCGACTGAGAATGGGTGCGAATTCAGGGGTGCTAGTCTTGGCAAGTAGATGTATGTGTGCGATCCAGGTTTGCAGTTCCATGATCGCGGTATCGAGAATTCGATTCGAGTTGCTTCTCCAGGCAAGGCTTCGACGGTGACTCGGGTCCAGGTGCGTTGTTTCCACGAGAAGTTGTAGTAGATAGTTCGTCCAATTCTCATCACTGGCTCAAGTGCAAGCAGAGAGATGAAGAGAGATGCCCACGGAAGCTGCGGAAGAGCATGCTTTGCCATATGGAAGTAGACGCCGGACATCGCTACGATGACGCCTAATCGATGCAAATTCAGGAAGGTGTCGTAGAACGCGCGTCTGAGTGGTCCAAGCGACTGCAGCAGGATGAAAGTGAAGGCGATGAAGGCGGCGAGACCCCACCGATATGAGACTGAATGTCCAAGAACCCACCCAACACTACTCCAGCCGCCGTTCCCTTGGTACTCAACCTGATACGTGTTGTACATAAACGCTGCAACGTGCGCTATCGACTCGAGGATCACCAATCGTGCAGTCCACCGGTGGAATAGATTAAAGGTATCGTAGCTGACTCCGAGCATCCAGATGAAAGGATTGTTGCGAAGAGCAAAAAGGATCGTAAAGATCAAGTTGAAGGCCGCAAGAGCCCCACATCGGCCTCGGAGCTCTGCAAAACGCTGAGCAGGTAGTTGCTCTGGTACTGCTAGGCAGTACGCTAGGTTGCTGGCGATGTATACCATAATCACCACGAACTGTGGTCTTGTCGGTATAGTTCCAGCGTTGACGGTAGAGGTTATCCTCAGCGGACGACTGTGTCGATCGCCAAAGAGAGGAGCATACAAGAAGTTCTTTTTCGCTGTTCCCAGTATCGAATACCGGTCTCTTCTCCAGAAATTCTGGCCACGGCAGGAACTGATCACTGAGACTCGCCGCCTGTCATTTCTTATGTATACAACCAACCGGTACAAGAACGTGAGGGCAGCTGGGACTAGTACCGTTACTATCAAGATGTTAACGTAAAGGTAGTTTGCAGGCTGGTCCACTCCCGTGAGTCCGTGACTGAACTTGAACGGGTCTGTGTTTGAAGAAGAAGCGTCTGCATGGACGTTATCGATGTCCGGCTCGGTGGTGACAGACAGCACGTCTGGGGCGTTCCGAGGTATCATGGCAGATCGGATGTGAACTTGGATCTGGCACTCATGTACGAGTCGACGCTAGTTGAGATTTAGAGGCTTCCGGTGACCGCGAAGGACCATACTCACAATTTACACGCCACTTGTCGGACATCCAAGTTTTACTTGTGGTCGCGAGAGAGTGAGCCAAACGCTCGTGACATAAGGCGTAGAAGCAATTTAGGTGATCGGGAAGTGCTGTATTATAATGATACTTGATGATCGATAAGTTGACTGAGTGTCAGCCCCACGTGGAAGAGTAGTGTATAAACGTGTTGTACTCAGAGTTGGTTGGTAGATCGAAGATCTATATATCAGTGATCGAATTTCAGAGGGGAAACTCTCTAGCTTGGAGGCGGCGTCAATGGTTCGAACTTGTGGCTTGCTTGTACCATCTCACCTCAGCCGACTACAACGGCCAGCCCATGCACTGTCAGTATTTATTGCCTACCCTTGACTTTGATATTGCACATATGGCAATTCAGCTTGGTCTAAGCATGTCAAGGCGGTCTGCGCCATGCATGACATGGTCGGAATCGGCGATATATGGTAGTGAAGGTGGTACAAGCAGCTGCTGTGTGTCGCTGTGGACGCAGGTCATTCATTAGTGCTATCGACCGGTATGTTACACCTCAAAGCAGGGTTCAGAGAGCCGCAATTGTATTGGTGGGCACTTGCGTCCGGCACGTGTTCCTGAGTTTCCAGTGCGAGGTCCTTTGGCAGCGACGTATGTCGACTGGGTACTTGACTTGTCATCAGCGATTTTGTTACATTCTTATGAGACTCGTAAAAGACACGGATTGGCAGGCGGTATGCAACAGACAACGCACGGCTACCGAACGGCCTTTCGACTGGCCAGTATCTTACACTACTGTTGGAGAAATGAAAAAGATCCTTGTCACACTCAGAGTGAGCCAGGGTGACCCTATCTCAAGCTTCGTCCTCACATCATGCTTCGAAGCTCAAACGTCGGTGAGCAGGAGGACTTTGTCGACTCTCGGCTGCTCCGAGCCTTTGTTGTGAGACTAATATCAGATACAACCCTGCGCACTTGAGCTCTTGTCAGCCGAGGGCAGTGCTTGAACGGTACGAACCTATTGTCGGCGTGCTCCGCGCTCTGAGATATGCAGTTCGATGGGACGCGGTCATCTCTCAGCTCTCGAGCCAATACATCCGTGCTAAGACGACAGGATGACTGTCACAGCCTGAGGCGCAGAACGTTGATCATCGGCTGTCGGTGGATGGATATGCCGATTGCGTAGCTTTGCTAGGTAGAGTTGGGTCGGAGAGTCGTCGTTTTTAGAAACCGTTGAGAGAGATATACATCTAAGGTGGCAAGCGTCATGCAGGTCTATTTGAGACTTTGCAGCATGTTCTGCGTGGGCCCCGGATGCATCACACAGGGATCCCCACAAAAGCCGAAATTCCAACGTAGAGAACAGCAAACTTGAGCTCTTATCATCTAGCCGTGCCGGTTCTGGTATTGTTCAGTTCTAGGTAAGGGTACCATGATAACACATACCATCAGTAGTGTACAGAACTGTAAGAGCCGTTCGTTGAAATCCTATGCAGGGTGAGGTCAAGGTGAACGTTGAGAATTGTGGGTCGACATGCCCTGCGTCGTCAGTACGTCATACCTGCCCTATCAATTCCCATAGCCTGAACATGGGCTATGGTGTCACTTTGGTCTCTCTGGCACTGTCTTTGCACGCGGTTTCTCTTTTCCATCTCTTGCAGGCTCCAACGGTGCTGAAACGGAGCCACCAGACCATGAACAAGATTTCGAATGTCATGCTCCATTCTTCACTCACAGCTACGAGCCACACGAATACTACTAGTATCCTCTTTAGCCCTTTTCTGTTCGTGACCTACAGCAGTCCCACGTTAAGGATGACCTGCATTGCACCCAAGGATATGCTAAACAACGCGAACATGAATGTCACAACCGAGAAAAACCACTGAGGCTATACTGCGTAGCGCGATTCGAAACATGTATAGGCTGTGTCAGTCTCTTTTCTTGGAGCTTCGTACATATACTCCCAGAAGACAACGGCCAACAGACAGCGCACCGCCGGCTCTTCAGAGACTTCAATCCTTCGATCAAGCACCGCCTACTGAGAAAGTCTTTGGCGACGGGCCTGCCTACTACAGCTTCTAGTCCATTTGGTTCAGCACGGGTGTCGGGGTCATCTGGGCGAAAAGATAGGACGTGTCATAGCTTGTCGAACCGCACTCAGGGCGCATTAGGCAGCGTTCTGCTAGGAGCGAGACTTCAAGCAGCGAGACTTTTCCAGCTCCTGGACGTACGTCAGATCGCTACACAGCTGGTCGCTCCAGCAAATGCGTTGGCTCATCAACATCTTTTCGGCGGCCGTACTCGCGAAAACGAAGCTGCGCCATCTGGCGGAGTTGCTGGAGTGATCTCCCGCCTGCGCCATGGGCTGCGGTGGTGTAAGGTGATCACTGAGCGCACAAGCAGTTGCCGCAGCGATGGATCGCAGGCAGAGTTGTTCAAATACACCTGACTTGCAGATACGGACCTCCATGCAGGGCTTGCAGATGCTGTGTGACTCTGTTGGTCTGTTGCCGAGCCACCACCAGTGACATGGCTGAGCATCGCATCTCATGTGAAGTCTTTGTCCGGATCTTCTCCTCGACGTGATGGTTAAAGCGGGCTGGCGCAGGGGGGTCGAGCTCAGCTGAGCTGCGCCGCGCTGAGGTTGCAGCGACATGCCGTGATCGGGGCGATTTGACTCTCGGACTTGCTCCCTAGAACTCAATCATAGCAAGGAGTTGACAGAACTCCGCTGTCAAAGACACTCCCTTCATGAAATGTAGGATCGTGCTGCCCTCACTCCACCCTTTGCAAGGCACGTCGGCTCAACCCTTACGTTTCGACCGTCGTTGATTGTTTTGTTCGCGGTCCTTTCTTCACAAATGCGCGCATGAAGCAACGTGATTGCCTACCATTAACAGCAAACGGCGGCCTAAGGCGTGGCGTTCGGTGTTAATGCACCGTGACGAGCAATTGGGCGATCGTTTCCCACAACATGCGACGTCGGTGGTGTTTCAAGGGGCGCAGGCCGGAAAACGAACACCAGCGACCCAACGAGCGGCCTTGCTGCCTCGTTTCTTGGGAACGCGTTGGTGCCTGTTCATCACGCTCGGTCCAGGCGATTCTCCAGATCAGCCCTCAGCCTTACCGCATCAAGAGTGTGCGTTTCAGCAAGTCACCGCAGAGTCGCAGGCACTTGTATGCACGCCCTCAGCAGACGACGAGAACCATTCCGTTGTGTTCGGCATGATGGCATCCGTGGGCAGAAGACAAAGATAGACACCGGAGACTCCAGAGACTGCAGACTGGTAACAGGTTGCATTGCATCAGACGTACAGCTACAGCGGAACAGTTTCGTAGCTACGGATGTGCGCAGCCCGGTGGGCCCTTGCACGCCTGGCCCTAGCGTGGGGTTGCCCCCCTGAACCTCATATACACCGGTCGCTGCAGGTCGCACGACGGCATAAACAATCTTCCTCTTCTACGCCTGGAGCGGAGACCTTACTTACCTATACAAACATTGTTTCCCTAATATAAGCCTTGCCATCGGAACAGCTACTTGAAATATTTTCATCAGAGCACTCTCAATTCGAAACCACTCATCTTGACCATCTCAAACATCCCCAAAATCAAATCCACAAAATGTCGTCCTTCACACGATCATCCCCAGCCGGCTTGCCCCAATCACCACGCGCAACCCGCCCAATGCTGCTCCCCATCGACACATCCTGCTCCCCAGACTCAACCACACCATACTCATCCTCGGAGACACTCGCAAGCCAATCACAAACACCCATCACACGGCACCGCAGTGCTGAGTCGCTCATCTTCGCCAATGCCACCATCCCTCTGAGCCCGGCGTCGTCCATCTCCAACGAATCCAACAGCGACACTCTGCTCGAGGGCCTGCGACCACGCCGGCGCAACGGCTTTGCGCGTTTCTTCTGCTGCTTTGGGCGCGAGGAGCGTGCACGGAGGCGCGTGATGATGGCCACGCAGTACGAGAAGGTTGGGGAGAAGGCGCACTGGACCGAGTACTAGTCTCAATACCAGAGAGGGTATTGGACTGAACACCAAGTCTCAATCCCGAAAGAGGTTGTCTTCCTACATTATGATACCATCCAGCGGTGGCTGCGGACTCCGGCTTGTTTCACTTTCTTGTAACTATTTTGAGGGCACTGCACTCTTGCTTCCGGCTACGGCCGACAATTTCCTTTGTATTCATTCGAGCGCTGGCGTTGGAGGACCTGGCTTTACATCTTGAAGTCAGATGTTGGTACACCGTTGGAGTGACGCCAACAGTTGGAGTGTCGCCAACCAGGCTGCAAATTTACAAAACTTTACACCTCACTACCTACCTCTACCCTGACTGAGTGTGATTGGTCAAGCTTAGCCTACACTGACATTCTAACACTGCTCTGAGGGAAGCTTGCACATGTAATTGTGTGTCGACATAGCTGTCTTAGCTCGTTAGCTCGGGTGGACCGGCGAAAGTGCCGAGGTGCTGTCAGTCATGTCAGTGCCTGATGCTCACTCGCGTCGCGCATGAAGCGAGTTGAATGGCACAAGCATCCAGCTCTACCAATCGGCCGTGACTACAGATATGCATCAAATAAATGCAGCGCCGGGCGAAGGGTGAATTCGTGATGTGACGTGACCTGTGGGGCTGAACGCCGTCGCGCCGACAACAGGAAGGAGCATTGACCTTTTCGCAAATCTCTCGCACCTGACCGTCACCATCTGCATTTCCCGCCAGTCCATCTTCCTCACCCATCACATCCATCATGTTTGCTGCCAGGAACGCTTTCGCCCAGGCCCAGCGCCGCGCTTTCTCTGCGTCGGCCCGCCAGGTACGCTTCCGCGCCACCGCTCCGCCGTCGACCGGCTGCTGCTGGCGACGGCGGTGCCATTGAGCCCGCAATTGCTGACGCGCTGCACGCAGTCCTCCAAGGTCACCGTCCTCGGTGCCGCCGGTGGCATTGGCCAGCCGCTCTCGCTGCTCCTGAAGCTCAACCCCCGCGTCACCCAGCTCTCGCTCTACGACATCCGCCTCGCGCCCGGTACGCCGCCTGTCCGCACACTCCCGCATCTCTAACAGCTCCAGGCGTCGCTGCCGACATTGGCCACATCAACACCAAGAGCGAGGTCCGCGGCCACGATGCCACGCCCTCCGGCCTTGCCGAGGCGCTCAAGGGCGCTGAGATCGTTGTCATCCCCGCCGGTGTCCCCCGCAAGCCCGGCATGACCCGTGACGACCTCTTCAACACCAACGCGTCCATCGTCCGCGACCTCGCCAAGGCCGCCGCTGAGCACGCCCCCGAGGCCAACATCCTCATCATCTCCAACCCGGTGCGCACGGCCCCCGCAGCTGAGACGCTCATACTGACTGCCGCAGGTCAACTCCACCGTCCCCATCACCGCTGAGGTCTTCAAGGCCAAGGGCGTCTACAACCCCAAGCGCCTGTTCGGTGTCACCACCCTCGACGTCGTCCGCGCCTCCCGCTTCATCTCCCAGCTGAAGAACAACGACCCCGCCAGCGAGAACATCACCGTCGTCGGTGGCCACTCCGGCGCGACCATTGTCCCGCTGCTGTCCCAGTCCGGCTACAACCTGACCGGCGAGCAGCTCGACGCCTACGTCAAGCGCGTCCAGTTCGGCGGCGACGAGGTTGTCCAGGCCAAGGACGGTGCTGGTTCCGCCACCCTCTCCATGGCCATGGCCGGTGCCCGCTTCACCGAGTCGCTCCTCAAGGCTGCCCAGGGCCAGAAGAACGTCATCGAGCCCACCTTTGTCGACTCGCCCCTGTACAAGGACCAGGGCGTTGAGTACTTTGCGTCCAACGTCGAGCTCGGCCCCAACGGTGTCGAGAAGATCCACCCCGTCGGCAAGATCACCGAGTACGAGCAGAAGCTCCTCGATGCCTGCCTTGCGGACCTCAAGGGCAACATCAACAAGGGTGTCAAGTTTGCCGCCGAGAACCCGTAAGCGCAGCACCGACGGGCGGCCGGGGCGAAAAGTTGTGTACACTAGTAATGAATGTCATGCGTCACGGAAACTGGACGGTTGGTTTTGCGTGGATGCCGTTTCAGCGTGCACCGAGCGGGCTATGTAGATTTCTGTACTGCCCAATTTCATGACTCTTCAATTTACAGACCTTGAATAAGTGAAGAACCACGAAAGTGAGGAACCACGAAAGTGAGGAACCACGAGAGTGAAGAACCATAAAACTGAAGAACCACGCCAAGCCGTGGACACAGCATCGAGTATCGAATAGGTATAGCCACATAGATTCAAATATTATATAATACCGCGAACGGCGCACACCCTAGTTATTACACGACCGTCGTCTCCCCTGCCCTCCCCTCCCCTCCCCTCGTCTCCTCTCACTCCCATCCTATCCTATCCTATCCTGTCCTATCCTGTCCTGTATACTACTGTCGTACTAGCTCCGCATACATACAATGGAGCGGGCGGGGTATCTGTATCTACGTGCATCGCGCGGGGTGCTGAGTGTCTTCGGGCGTGGGGAGGGGCGCGGAAACGCAGCGCACGGGGTGCGAGGTGCGAGCGAGCGAGTGCAGCGGGTGCAGCGGCGAGGCTGCGTGTACGCGATGGTTGCGTCGGGGGGGGCGGCTAGCGCCTCGCGGCCTGGGCGGCGAGGTACTCGAGGATCTGTGCTGTTAGCGAGGGGAACTACGGGGTCTGGTGTAAGAGGGGGGGACGGCCTACCTGCGGCGCAACAACGCCCTGGTTCACCAAGTTCTTGACCAGGATCTGCACGACCTCGTACTGCTCCTCGTGCGTCAGCCCCGTGATCGCGCTCTCGATGACCCCGCCCACGGTCGAGTAGTGCGTCGCCACGAAGCTGCTGTAGTAGAAGAACGCAATCGAGCCCATGATGAACTGGCAGTCGAAGCGGTCCGTCATACCCCCGTGCCCCGGGATCGAGTCGCCAAAGTCTTTGATCTTGAATGTGCGCTTCAGGCCGGAGGCGAAGAAGCCGCCAAAGGGCGCGATCAGCGACGCGAAGGTGGCCAGGATGACCATGTGGAACTGGACGGGGGCGATGGAGAAGGTCTGGGGCAAGGGGAGGTAGGCGGGGAGGCCGGCGGGGATGAAGGGCAGCGCATAGGTTTGCGGGGTGAAGACGGGGTTGGGCTTGCACTCGAGGCCGGAGAAGATGGTGGCACCCAGGTCGTTGACGGGGCAGATGAAGAACTTGTACTGCGCGAGGAAGTGGGTGGCGACGACGCCCCAGACGACGGTGAAGAACCAGGCGCCGAGGAAGCCCTCCCACGTCTTCTTGGGCGAGATCTGGATCAGCTGGTGCCGCCCGAAGGTGATGCCGCACAGGTAGGCGAAGATGTCGTTGGTGATGACCATGCTGATGGGCAGGATGAACCAGATGAAGCCCTCGAAGATGTTGTTGATGACAAAGTGGGCCTGGCCGACGATCAGGAAGAGGGCCATGTGCGTCCAGGCGAACTGGGTGAACTGGAACTTGTAGTGGCCCTTTTGCAGGCTGAAGACGAAGAAGACGAAGCCGATGATGTACAGCATGAAGGAAATAAAGCGGTGGTGTGTGGCCAGCGGCAGCAGGATGCGGTCGACCAGCAGAATGTGCTTGAAGTAGTAGATGACGCTCTCGCCGTACAGAAAGTACATGGCGGTGCCCAGGAAGTACCAGTTCAGCGACTTGGTGAAGCGCAGGCTGCGGGCCTTGCTGGGCACGTTGGCAATGGCAATGACCTCCTTGAAGCAGATGACCTGCACGGCGGTGATGATGGCGATGATGTAGAGATGCCCCGCGCCGAGGGCGAAGAAGAAGCCGCCGATCATGACCAGCGTCCAGGTGGTGCGCACGATGAAGTTTGCCTTTTTCTTCTCGTACTCGGACTGCGGCGGCGGGAGGACCTGTGGCGGCGTCAGCGGGCGCGAAGGCGCAGAGGGCGACCATGGACGGCGTACGGGCTTCTCGAAGGCGCCGTTGCGCGTGGGGCTGCTGGGCTGCGAGCCCGTCTCGCTGATGTCGGACATGCTCATCGAGGCGCGGCGCGCGCGGCCGTTGCTGGCACTCCTGTGGGCGAACTTGACGTCCTTGCGGGGGCGCGTCATGGCGGGCGCAGGCTGGGGGTGCGGGCGGGAAGGCCGGCTGGAGAGGAGGGAGTCGAGCGGCGAGCGGCGGGCGTCGAGGGAGGTGACGGCGGGGCAGCGAGCGGGTAACGGGCGGGTTTTGTCGACGTTGGTCGCGAACCGGACCAAATGCGCGGGAGACGTCATGGCGCAAATTGCGCAGGACGCCCGGCGGCACCGGCACCGCACGTGAAGGCCCGCCGACGCGCCTCCGCCGTAGTCAGCACCACCATGTCCGACGACGGCGACTTTTCCGACGACGACCTGGATGCGCTGCCTGCGAATGCCATTGCGCAGTACGAGGCCGCCGCCGTGCAGGCCACGCAGCGCCCGCCCGCGCCGGACTCGGACTCGGACTACGGGTTAGACGACGGCGAGGAGGTCATCAACCTCGATGCGCTGGATGCTGCCTTGTACGGCACCTATGCGGGCACCGCCCATGACACCTTCGACGAGGGCACCACCCACGCCACCTTCGACGAGGGCACCACCATAGACGAGGGCACTGTGCCTGGCGGCAGCCACCGCTATGCCCCGCCGCCCTCGTTCGCGCCGTCGCAGGCCGACCCCGACGCGCTGCTCCTGCGCATCAAGAAGGTACTTGACACGACTGGGCCGCCTAAGCAGGCCTGCTGACCCCGCCAGCTCGAGCAGGACAAGGCCCGCGAGAGGCGCGACGCTGCCGACCTGCACGACCGCCTGCAGACCAAGGCCGGCGAGGCCGACACGCTCCGCCGCCGCCACGACGCCGAGCTGCGCAGGCACGCACGCGTGCTGGCCGACCAGCAGCAGCACCACGGCGATGAGCTCGCGAAGCTGCGCGCCGAGATCGACCGCCTGCGCCGCGAGAAGGACCAGGCCTCGACGAACCACGCCTTCCACCAGCACGATGTGCGCGACGCTGCCATGGCCCCGCGCACCCGCAAGCCCATGGCCGCCCGGCCTAGGGACGCCCGCGTCGTGAGTCCAGCAGACACACCGGGGCGCCGCGCCCGAGGCCCGCTGGCCGACGGCTTCGACGACGCCGATGTGGTCATGGCCTCGCCCTCGCGGACCCGCGACAGGCCGCGCACTGCCACCCCGAGCCTGGCCGGGAAGCGCAAGAGGAACGTCGCCGACGCGAGTCCCATCCCGCTGCAGCTCAGCGCGCCACCCTCGCAGCGCGCCGAGAAGGAGGTCGAGGTCGTTGGAGACGCCCACATTGACGCAGCACTCCTCGACTACTTCCGCAACGACGACGGCCGCTTCCGTCTGCTGCACCGCCTGCTGGCCCACACCGCGCCCGACGGCACAGACCGCGTGCTGGAGGCCCTCGCCCAGCACGCCTTCCCGTCCGAGCCCTCGAAGCGGCTGTCGTCCATCTTCTACGACGTCTTGGCCGCGAAGCCGTTCGCGGACGTCCACGCGCTGGCATTGGACATCTGCTACACCCTCTGCGATCTGTGGGCGCGATGTCTTGCTGAGAGGCACTACGCGCCGGTGAACTTATTACTCGACGCTCTCCATTTCGTGCTGTCGTGCGAGCGCTGCGAGACGGCCTGCAAGATCAAGGGCCGCTTCGTCCCGCTCATGATCGACTCGATTGACCTCGTTGCGAATCCCCTCTCCAAGGCCGCCAAGGTGGGCTCCGACGCCATTGCCGCCTTGTACGCCTCAGGCCACCGACAAGTCACAGCGCAGATCGACGTCCTGGACTGTCTGGAGGTGCTGCACCTCATCGCCACCAGCTGCGTGGGCATCGAGGGCAACGAGTGCGCCGAGCTCTGGCAGTCCATCCCCTCCGACTTCGCCCTCATGCTGCTCAACAAAGAACAGCCCATCGCCCAAATCTCCCTCATGCTGCGCATCCTCGCCACCTCTGCCCTCCCCTCCTCCATCGGGCCCATCGCTGCCTCCGCCTCGCAGTCCGACTCCCAGGCCACCCGCGAAGACGCCCTCATCGGCCGCCTCACAAACCTCTTCACCGAAACCCCCACCGTCGATCCGGACCCGCACCCACCGTCCCCCGCCGACACCCTCTCCCACACCGACACCCTCTCCCACACCGACACCCTCACCCTGCGCCTGCAAGTCACCTCCCTCCTGACCACCCTCGCCACCCACCCCTCGGGCACCGCCCGCCTGGCCCAAAACCCCATCGCCACCGGCCGCCTCCTCAAAACCCTCGACCGTCTGCTCGCCTCGCTATACTCAGCCCCGCTCTCGCCCGCCCACGCCGTGACCATCGCCTCCATCAACGCCACCATGAAACTCGTCTTCCTGATCGTAAACTCCTCCCCGGCCTTTGACCTCAAGGCGAAGCTGGCGAATACGCTGGGCGGGCAGCACGCGTTTCTGGTCGGTTTGACGCGGTTGGCGTTTAGTGAGGGGCTGGTGCTGGAGAAGGGCGTTGAGGAGGGGGTCGTGGATATGGCGCATTGGGTGCTGGATGGGGGGTTGAGTTTGGAGGAGGGAGAGGCGTTTGGCGGGGTGTTTGGGGTGGGGAGTAGTGCCGCGTGAGGGTTTTTATCTGGGTTGAGTTGGATACCTTGGTGACGGTCTTGACTGTAATGGTTTTAGGTCGATGGGCGCTGTTGGATAAAACCTCGGTCGTGCGCCTTTGGGACAGCGATTGCATGTAGTTTGGAGTAGCAGGAGTGGGGATGAATACAGATTAAAGGAGATCTACACTGCGAAGCATCTGCACTGCACCCAAGCACGTCCTATTAGCCAATTGGCACTCCCGTAAGCTCCAGACCATCACTATAGGTAGCCAGTAATGCGCAGAAACGCTACTAAACAGCTCCATTCAGGCGTTACAGCCCAAGAGAAAGGCTTCGTATGAGACCATCCATCGTGTTTGCCCGATCTGCGTTTTGCCAAGCGGCTGATCGTGGTGCGTCGGTGCAGTATCCGTGCTGTAGTTACGTGATCAGACGATATCGCCCGGCTGCGCCAAGCTGTTACTTCCAACCTCCACCCTCTCTTTTATGCAGAAAAACTTCATTTAAGACTATCTGTCGTCTTTGCCTAATCTGCATCTTGCTAAGCAGCTGATTGTTGTGCTTTGGTGCAGTACCCGTGGACCGTACCGTAGGTAGTTCGTGATCAGACGGTATCGCCCGCCAAGCCATCACCTCCAACCTCCACCCTCTCTTCCATCACCAAGCCGCACATCGCGTGTTCCCACCCCACTGCGCGGTTATTATACACGCCCGTCGCTTATTCCAGAGCCGACGTCGGCAGTTCTCGAGATAAGACCGCAATACCAAGCAGATTTGCATGCAGCCAAGACCGCGAAGATGGGGCACCCTCACCACGCGTTGTGACGGTTTAGGAAGGTTGCTGTGTGTATTCCAAGGCATGGTGATGCGGTCGGAGTTTTTTTTCCTGGCGCAGGGGATAAGGATTTCCGGTGCTAGGGACTGCGAGATGCATGGCGGTCGTCACAACGGCTATCACCACTGCAGCGGTTATCACCACTCGATTGGGTGGTGTCTGTGCGAGGTCGCGGTGGGTATATAAAAGACGATGGTCGGAGTAGGGAAACATCAAGTTTGCCAACATGGACCGCTACTACATTGCCCGGATCCCTACGATGGCGCCCTCGCTGCTCACCCTGGGCCTGCTCGCTCTGATCCTGAGCCACGGACAGTATGCGGTGGCAGCTGCTGGAACTGCCCAGCTTGTCGCCCGCCAAAGCAACGAGACAGCATCAAGTCCGTACTTCACAGCCATATCGGACTATGTCGACTCCATCACCGATGAGCTCTCCACTATCAACACCGAGATCCACTCCAACCCAGAGCTGGGCTATGAGGAAGTCAAGGCACACGAGCTTCTGACGTCCTTCATGGAGGGACAGGAGGGGTGGAACGTGACTCGCTCTGTCGGCAACATCTCAACTGCCTTCATGGCCGAGTTCACAGGGAGCGGCGAGGGCCCGGTCATCGGATTCAACGCAGAGTACGACGCTCTCCCCGAGCTCGGGCACGCGTGTGGGCACAACCTCATCGCCACCGCCTCCGTAGGCGGCGCCCTCGCAGCCGCCGAAATCATGCGCAAGGAAAACCTCGGCGGCAAGATCATCCTCTTCGGCACGCCCGCGGAGGAGTCGCTCGGCGGCAAAGTCAAAATGCTCGAAGCCGGCATCTTCCACGACGCCAAAATCGACGTCTCCCTCATCTCCCACCCGACCTCCTCCGGCGACACCCCCTACATGATCACCACCTCGACCGACCGCTTCGACGTGACCTACACCGGCCGCGAAGCCCACGCCGCCGCCGGCCCCTGGGAGGGCATCAACGCGCAGGACGCCCTGCTCATCGCCAACTCGGCCCTGAGCTACATGCGGCAGCAACTGCGCCCGTCGGACCGCGTGCACGGCTTCATCTCCTCGGGCGGCTCGCGCATCAACGTGATCCCCGCGCAGGCCTCAGGCAGCTACCAGATCCGGGCCAACGACGAAGCCGCCCTCACCAACCTGACCGAACGCGTGCACAACTGCTTCAAAGCGGGCGCGCTCGCCTCCGGCGCAGAGATGAACCTCACCACCCGCCCCTACGGCTACGCAAACCACGTCACCGCCCCGCTGCTCGCGGCCTCGTACGCCGCAGCCTTCACCCGCCTCGGCGGCTCGCTCCCGCCCACCGAACTCGACACCGCAAAAGACCCCTCCGGCTCCACCGACCAGGGCAACCTGAGCCACGAGTGGCCCAGCATCAGCCCCATGTTCGCCATCACGAATGAAGACGGCAGCACGCCCGCGGGCGGGCCGCACACGGCGGCGTTCGAGGTCGCGGCCGGGTCGCGGAAGGCGTTTGAGAAGAGTCTGGTGGTTGCGAAGGGGTTGGCGGGGGTGGCGGTGGATGTTTTGACTGTCGAGGGGTTGTTGGGGAGGATTCGGGAGGAGTTTGAGGGGAGGGAGGGGGGGTCGAGGAGGAGGAGGAGGAGGAGGGTGTAAGAGAGGGAGAGATGGGGTACTTGTGTATCGGAGTGTGGGGATTGTGGATACGAAGTCATGAGTTTATGTGCACATCTACCGCAGCGTGTCTTGCAGTGAGCAGTGAGCAGTCGTTTTGTCTTTGGTGTTCCCGGCACCTAAGAGACCATCAGAGTGCTTTTGTCGCGTGCTGCAAAGTGCTTTTGCCGCGAGCTGGTGACCCTGATGGCCATTTGTATGCGACACATCAAGGCCTCACGTGGAGACGTATACCACCGTTGATACATCCAGGGACAAGCCAGAGCTCCGCAGGACTCAGCGCGGTCACTTTCCGCATGAACAATCTCTGCATGTCCGTCAACAACATCCCCAGTAATAAACACAGCCACACCAACAACCCAGACCCAGTCCAACGCCCCTCGTACGAATCCCCAGGCACCTCCGATCGGCCTCGGCTATTAACATGTCTGTGCGCGTTTCGCGTGTGGGGAGCGGGGAGCACGTGGAGCGCCACACTGGCCTCAACACCGCCCGCAGCAGCTCTCTACGTGAGATATGAAGCGCGAGATGAGACGAGGTGAGGTGCAAGGCCCGTGGCCCAGGCCGCAGAGCCTCACCCATCCGACGTTCTTGCTGGACATGTGAAAGCCGGGCTAGCGGGCGCTGCGCAGCCCTCCAGGTGCGAGGTGCGACGTCACGCGGCGCGCTGTAACTACCCTCGGCCCAGCACACGACCGGCCGTGCAGCGACTGGGCCAACTGACACGCGCGCTTTCGCCGAGGGTCATCGTCGCCTACTAGAAAGTGTGCCGCTGCTACTTTTCTCGCTCTACTGCCCTGCTCTGCCTCATTTCTTCTCTCGCTTGTGATGTTCAGCAGAGTTGCGCGCGCGCGAGTACCTGCCGCGATTCTAAGCAGACCTGTTGCCAGGATTCAGACGCCGAGACTGAGTATGGCGCCTGTGAGGAAGATGGCGAGTCTGCCGGAGGGTATGTTGGCCAATGTTGCTGCTGTCGTTGCGCTCCACTAACAGCTCAGGCTACAAGGAGGACCACACCAAGGGCGCCATGCTGCGCTTCGAGGACTCGCTGCCGCGGCTGCCAGTGCCCACGCTCGAGGAGACGGCCAAGCGCTACCTCAAGTCGGTGCACCCGCTGCTCTCCAAGACCGAGTTCGAGGCGACGTCTAAGGCTGTCGGCGAGTTCGTCGCGCCCGGCGGCCCTGGCGAGACGCTGCAGAAGCGGCTCGAGGCGCGGCGCGCACAGCCCGAGATCAAGAACTGGCTCGCCGAGTGGTGGAACGAGGCCGCGTACATGGGCTACCGCGACCCCGTCGTGCCGTACGTCAGCTACTTCTACTCGCACCGCGACGACAAGAAGCGCCGCAACCCGGCCAAGCGCGCCGCGGCCATCTCGACGGCGGTGCTGGAGTTCAAGCGCCTGGTCGACAGCGGCGAGCTGGAGCCCGAGTACATGAAGAAGCTGCCCATGGCCATGAGCTCGTACGAGTGGATGTTCAACTGCAGCCGCGTGCCCAAGAAGCCCGCTGACACCAGCGTCAAGTTCCCGTTCAAGGAGAACCAGCACATCATCGCCGTGCGCAAGAACCAGTTCTGGAAGATCCCCCACGAGGTCGGCGGCAAGCAGCTCAACACCAGCGAGCTCGAGCTGCAGTTCAACCGCGTCTACGAGAGCGCGGTCAAGACGGACCCCGTCGGCACCCTCACCTCGCAGAACCGCGACGTCTGGGCCGAGGTCTACCCCAAGCTCAAGGCCGCGTCTGCGGTCAACACCGCGACCATTGAGGCGATTGAGTCGGCGTCGTTTGTCGTCTGCCTCGACGACGCGGCCCCCGTGACGCTCGAGGAGCGTGCGCACCAGTACTGGCACGGCGACGGCGCGAACCGGTGGTTCGACAAGCCGCTGCAGTTCATCGTCAACGACAACGGCACCTCGGGCTTCATGGGCGAGCACTCGATCATGGACGGCACGCCGACGCACCGCCTGAACGACCACGCCAGCAAGCTCATCTTCACCAACGCGCTGCCCTTCGACGACCCGTCGATCCGCTCCGACCTGCCCAACCCCAAGCCGCTCCGCTTCGAGCTCAACGCCGAGCTGAAGAGCGACATCGCCGCCGCCACCGCCCACTTCGCGTCGCAGATTGGCGCGCACGAGCTGCGCGTCCAGGCCTACCAGGGCTACGGCAAGGGCCTGATCAAGAAGTTCAAGTGCTCGCCCGACGCCTACGTGCAGATGATCATCCAGCTCGCGTACCACAAGTTCTACGGCAAGAACCGCCCCACCTACGAGTCCGCCGCGACCCGCCGCTTCCAGGAGGGCCGCACCGAGACGTGCCGCAGCGTGTCCGACGAGTCCGTGGCCTTTTGCACCGCCATGGCGGACCCCGCGGCGACGCCCGAGGAATGCGCGGCCAAGCTGCGCGCCGCGCTCAACGCGCACGTGGCGTACATCTCAGACGCGAGCGACGGGCGCGGCGTCGACCGCCACCTGTTCGGGCTGAAGAAGTGTATTAAAGAGGGCGAGCCGCTGCCGAGCCTGTACGCGGACCCGGCGTTCGCGTACAGCAGCACGTGGTTCATCTCGTCGTCGCAGCTGTCGTCCGAGTACTTCAACGGCTACGGGTGGAGCCAGGTCGTCGACGACGGGTGGGGGCTGGCGTACATGATCAACGAGAACAGCATCCAGTTCAACGTGTGCTCCAAGGGGCTGGGTTCGGTGAGTCAAGATTATTTCAGTGCGAGTGCATGCTTGAGCTAATTGTGTTGCAGGACAAGATGAGCTTTTACCTCAATGAGGCCGCTGGCGATATGCGTGATATCATGCTCCCGACGCTGGAGGCGCCGAAGGCGAAGTTGTAGGCGGTGTTGTATGTGCGCCGACTGCGGACTACCAACGACTGGGGGGTGTGAACGGAGACCAACAATAGAGGGCTCGCAGAGTATCACCAGGAAGTGGACGCTGGCTGGAATGGCGTATGTAAGCAGATCTAGATGTATCGATATGAAGTTGAATCTTCTCCGTACTGGCAGTAATTCAACGAAGCTTGAATCTTCTCATACTGGCAACAATGCATGAAGCTCACAAAACAATTGGCTGTCAATCGCCAATGCACGTCGCAGTGGACCGAGGCTCGCACGGGCCATGTCGAATTATCGAACCTCAGCAACAATCAACACTGCACCCAAACCTCACACCCACCGCCATGCCGCCACGCCCCTTCGTCAATGACGCGCTCTGGCGCTGTCTGTGCCCCGGCTTCCCGCCCAGCACCACACCCCGCCTCGCCCGCACCGCGCCCCGCCTCGCCCGCACCTCCTCCACGCCGCTCCGCCCAGTCCGCAGCCCGCGCAGCCATTGCGCCTACACCACCTCTACACGAACCACCCACTACGCCCCGCCGCTCGCCCCGCGCGCCAAGCCCGCGCAGCTCTCCATCCCCCAGCTCTACAACGACCTGCGCGCCGCCGGGATCCGCGGGCACTTCGACGACGCCGTGCGCCTCTGCGGCTTGCTGCAGGACCGCGGCCACGCGCCGGACAAAGACATGTACGCGGCACTGCTGCACGCGCTGGCGTCCAGCAGCGACGGCACGGGCGGCAAGCTGCGCGCGGTGCTGGCCGACATGGGCTTCTGGGGCGGCGGGGCGGGCGTCGAGCTCGACGCGCGCGGGTGCGAGAACGCGCTCGAGGCGCTCGCCGTGCACCCGGACTACCTGCTGCGCGCTGAGGTGCTGCAGTACATGCGCGCCCGGTGGATGAACGTGAGCGATCGCGCGCAGGGGTTCGTCGTCGTCGGGTACTTGCGCGAGAGGGGGTTCGAGCAGGCGCTCGAGCTGCTGGAGGCGCTGTGTGCGAGGCAGGTCAGGGTCGAGGAGTGGGTGTGGAGTGTGGCGCTGTGGACGCTGTTGGAGTATGGGGAGGTCGAGGAGGCGTTTTGGGTGCTGGGGCTGAGGGAGAGTGTGCTGGCGGGTGGGCGCATGGGGCGGGCGTATAGGGTCAGGCTGAGCGATGCGCTGTGGGGCGCGTTGATGGACGCGGCCGCGCAGCAGCAGATGGTGCGTTTCCTCTTGACATCCGCCGTGCGCGACCTGCGTGTTGCGATGCTAACACTGCCCAGTACGACGCCGCGCGCCTCGTGTGGACCGCCCAGGTGCAGCCCGGCTACCTCAAGCCCGCGACCGGCACCTGCGTGAACGTGCTCGCGCTCGCCTCGCGCCACGGCGACGTGCAGCTGGCCACCGACGTCTTCCGCGTGCTGACCGAGCGCGGGACCATCTTCACCACGCACCACTACGAGCTGCTGATCGCCACCCACCTCGCCGCCGACGCCCTCGACGACGCCCTCGCCGTCATCCTCATCATGGTCGACGCCAACCTCAAGGTCGACGCCGGCACCTGCTCCCCGCTGTACTGGTACCTGCGGAATGCGCCCGCGCCCAGCCCTCCGGCCGACACCTCTACTGACACCTCTACTGACGCCCCCACCGATACCCCCACCGACCCCCCCTCCATGCCCCTCCACGCCTTCACGCTCCTCCAGTCCCTCGAAGCCCAGGGCCGCACCATCCCCGTCGCCGCCGTAAACTGCTGCATCCAAGCCGCCGTCGCGCTCGCCCAGCTCCCAACCGCGCTCGAAATCTACAAAGCGCTGCACACCGTGTGCCCCTCGGGCCCCAACACCGCGACCTTCAACCAGCTGCTGCGCGGCTGCGCCGCCACGGGCCGCCACGACCTGGCGCTCTACCTGGCCGCGGAGATGCTGTCGCTCGGCCTGCGGCCCGACCGCATCACGTACGACCGCCTGATCCTGGTGTGCGAGAGCAGCGCCGAGCTTGACGATGCGCTGGCGTACTGGGAGGAGATGCGCGGGCAGGGGATGCGGCCGAGGCGCGGCACGTATGAGGCGCTGGTCAAGGCGCTGTGTGAGGCTGGGGACGCGCGGTGTGTGGCTGTGCTGAGGGATTATAAGGAGAGCGGGGAGACGGTGAGTGGCGTGGAGAGGAGGGTTAGGGAGAGGTTTGAGGCGGACTGGCGGGGAGAGGGGGGGGAAGACGAGTTGAGAGTTGAAGTGGCTGCATGAGCGGGTGCAGAGTGTAGAGGAGTTGGGGACGGTGGTGTGGATGCCCAAACAGAAGGTTACGGGAGCAATAGATGTCCACCCGACACACAGACACGCAAGTTCTCGTGCGTCATGCAACCTCCACTCCACCCCGCTGTACTCCAGACACCACATCGCCCCCACCGCAGCTCCCACCGCCAACCACTCGCGCACGCACCACCGCACCGCACCGCAGACGACGGGCAGCCACGAATGCCCTACAAGCACGCCTACAAGCACGTCTACAAGCACGTCCACAAGCACCCCAGAAACCAGCGCCAGACAAACCCATACACTCGCCCCCAACGCACACGCCTCGAATTGCCTTACCTTGCCCCGTCTAGCGCCTGCGAATACCCCGCCTTCTCGCAGCGGCGTTGTAGGGAAGTGGGGCAGTAGGGTAGTGAGGGAGGGGGAGATGAGGCAGATGAGGCAAGTCGAGCGAATGCTGGGTGTTTGGAGACTTTGAGTTTCCAGTTTCCAGTTTCCAGTTTCCAGTTGGGGGGGGGGGGGGGGGGGGGGGGGTTGAGATTGATGTGGTTGTCTCATAGAGCCTTGTGATACAGACGCCTGGTCCACGGACTCGTGTTCTACAGACACGCAGGGTGCCGCACACGGCCGCGGCCAACACACGCAGACGGAGACTCGATGCGCTCATGTCCATGTCAGTGACGCGTTGGGGTCGTCTGGCGTCCCGGCAAGCAGCCCGATGACCCGTGTACGCAGACAGCGCGTATAGCACACCCGGGCCCGTCGTGCCTCGCGTCGACCGCCAGGCTCTCAACCCCAGCCGCTCGCACGCCGCGCCGCTTCCGTGGTGTCTCCCTCAGAGCCACTGTTGAATCACCCGGCCTCGCACACCCAGCGCCATCGCGTGCGGTGCACTCAGCCCCCGCGCGTTGCTGTCTTGCATCCGACGGCGTCCCGCGTCTGCGGAGAAACGGTGGGTGGGCGAGCTTCTCGGCTGGCTGAGTGCGGCGCTGGACTTGCGGCTGTTGCATATAATTCCGGAAGCTGGGGGATTTGTTCGCGGCACTTGTACGCATGGCGAGAAGGGGGTTGGCGGTGTTGGCTTGCGGTTTGCTGCTTTTGCTGCTGCTGTGTAGTGGTGGGATATGTGGTTTGCCGCTTGCATACTATAGCGCGCGGTTAGGTCTTTGGGAAACGGTGATGGTGGAACATGGTTACAGTTCTAGAGATGCAGAGTATTTTCCGAAAAGGTAGTGTAAAATAACAATACTACAGTCGACAGATGTCAAGACTGTTTTGAACGTTGAACATGCTTTGAGAGAAGGAGGAAGGAGCAGCCTATGAAGCAGACGCAGGGCGCATAAGGTAGAAATAGTGGCAGAGACAGAGATAGAGTCCACGCAGGTGTTGTTGTGAGATGCAAAAACTATATAGGGGTGGCTTTGCCGACTGCATAACCTAGTGATGCGTGCAGACATCTAGTATTATCGTAGAGGTAGCTAGGTCCTAACTAACGAGGCGCTAAGAGAAAGTATAGCATCAACAGAGACGTAGATGTATTATAGATAGGCTAGCTTCTAGCCTTGTGTCTATCCTAACATCTATCTATAGTATTGGTACTTGTAAGATTGTGCAGACCCCCCCCCCCCCCCCAACCATGGAACAGAGATGTATCTATAGGCAGTACAGGCCTCTAATTGGCTATAGGAGTCTGATTGGAAGTCATGCAGGGCAACAACGTGGGAAACCGCCAATGGTAGGATGATTCGTCAGTTGCTATCATGGCACGTACCCACACCATGCAATCTATTCCACGGTTGTAAGTGTCTGCACAAATCGCCAATGGTTATAGAAATGTAGTAGATTTTAAACAAACCTGTTCGTTCAAACACAGCGCCACCATCAAATACAACACCACAATACCCTCGAAACCCCCATCGGCGCGCCACGCTACTTCCTTGCTCCGCCATGCAACCACCGTGGGAGCCTATCCACGCTCTCGTGAAGCTGCTGTACCCACGCCAGAAGCCTGACGATCCGTTTCTTCAACCCAGACACGAAGGCCCTGGTGCTGCGTCACTTGACTCTGTGTTCGTGGGCCTGCTGATAGCTCCCGGACACATACCCAACCCACCCCGGAGCCTAAACTTTGTACTCTGGGGCCGTTTGCGAGCGGTCTTGCGATCAGCGGGCGCTCGAGCGTTGCTGTGGGGAGTTTGGGCGATTGGGCCGTGGGGAGGACGGGGAGTGGGCTGAGTGGTGTCTGGGGTTGCGAGGTTGGGATGGCAGGGAAGCGCTGCGGCGTTTTTGATATTTGAGGGGGGGGGGGGGGGGGGGGGGGATAATAACGGTGCTGGGGTGGGATCTAAAGTACGAAAATGGCGAGGGGGTACGCGGCGGTCGGGAGTGTATGGTATGTAGGTATTACGCGGCAGCCTTGCAGTGCGCGTCCTTGTGAGCGTACGCGTCACAAGAGGTGGGTGCAGAGGCAGACCATGGGCGGCGAGGCTGCTATCACGGGCTCTCGAACAAGTCTCTGTCAACGTCGCATCCAAGTGAGCTGCGCGCCGATTGACCGGTGTGTCGCTACTTTTTCACGTGGAACAGTCTTCGCCGTTGACCCGTCAGCGTGGTCAGTCTCCGCTTTGCGAAGTCCCTGCCTCTGTTCACCGGAGCAGCGTTGATCTTCGACGAACCCTAAGGTTCCTAAACAAAGCCTTGTTCCACACTAGACGGGCGTTGATCGTCGAGCGAAGCTTTCTCCATGCACGACTGTGCAAGGCTGTCTTGGAGGCTAGTTTTAAGACTGTTTTCGAAACTATTTTCCAGACTACTCTCGAGGCTAGAAGTGCGGCTAGAAGTGCGGCCGGTGGGAACGCGGCCGCTGCCCGCGCACGAGAAGATCGCGGGTTCCGGCGTGGTGTTGCTATATACGAGTGTAACTGTTGGGGCCGAAGAGTGCAGCGTTAGCTCGGCGCACACCAGTCGTGCGGCATTATGGGGTGCAAGGCCGCACACGCGGCGGCTGGCAAGTGTCGCGAGCTGGAGGATTCACCTGCCCAGATGGTCAGAATTCACTGCCCAGATGGTCAGAACGCCTGCCCAGACTTGGTCAGCACTTCGTCCACTCTGTCAGAGTCATGGTGCGTGAGAATTGTGCTGGCGCTCTTCGAGAGCAAAGCGCGCAGGGGGCGACGTAAGGTATGCACAGTCGGAGCTTGGCGGCGGCAGAGGCGCAATCGGAGGACGTGTGAACAAGCCTGGAGGCTGAGGCCAAGAACTCTTGTGCATGTGCGGTGCCGCTCTGACCCGGTGCGTCAAACGTGCTTGTTCGCGAGCAGCACCTGAGTTATGTAACTTGTAGTCACTGGAATTCGATGCGTGTGAGTGCCACAGCATTCCATGTCTGCTGTACGAAATTTCTGTATCTCTGAGAGATTGGGTTTCCAAAATCAAAGCTGTAAGACGGCCTTCGGCAGTCGCTCGATCCACAAATACCTCACAGAAACCTATCAGGGGCTAGTCTTAGTCAAGCCTCGCGGCTCGTCGCTGGGATGAGTGGAGACGTTCTTCAACGCCAAACACCGACATTCGGTCGAACAGCGTGGGCACACTGGTGAGATGGGATTGTTTCTGCCAAGGTCTTGGTGCCTGAGAAGCGTCGCAGCGTGAGCGAGAGAGGTTCTTGTATCCACACAACAACTCCAGCGAGTCGTGGCTCCGGTGAATACTGGTGTTGATGAGTCGCCTCGTCTCGGGGCCCCTCAATGTTAAGGCACTGCATTTTTAATGAACGGCCGTCATTGGGAGGCGAATTGCACGCCTCTGCGTGGAGAGTGCAGGGATGATTTTACCCCAAAATCCGGCCAAAGATCATCGGTGCCAGGAAAGGACACAAACGATCAGCGAACAGACCGTTTTGCGGTAGGGCCGCCAAGCTAAAGCTTGTCAGGCTTAGATGTCATCACAGACATAGGACGAACCCGGCGTCGGCTCTCGTATCGATGTCGGAAGCGCCTCTCGAAGGATTATCTCCTCGCAATGCTATTGGACGTGTACCTCCGACTCCCGAGTGACGCCCAGAAGGCAACGCATCATCGGACAGAAACAAGCAAAGGCTTGTCCTTGCCGAGGCTGCAGAGCCGCAAAACTACTAGACGGCCCACTTAAACCCTCGTAGCCAGTGTCGATAGCGTTGCAACCCTGCCGGCCTTTGCCATCACCTGCACGCTCAACAAATTCACGCACGCCCGGGGTCTCGCCTTGCCGCACAGGCTCCGCGCGCGAAAGGCCTTCGTTTTTCTCCACACACCGGTGAGGCCTCGTGTGGAGTCCATGGGGGCACGCTCGGTTTCCGCCTCGGACGAGCTCTGTTTCCAGCTCGTTGAAGCCATCGGGCCGCGCTTCGAGATGCATCTCCGGTCTCCCCAGGTGGACCCCGATGATAACTAATGTCCACACACTCCAATAATGTGGGGACGGAGAATAGAGTACAAGTAGCTCTCGCTCACCTCGCTGCTTCAAACTTCAGTCTCTCCGTCTCGTTCTCCCAGGCATATCTTGTGTCTGCCGATTGACGAAGTCTCTCGTACTACTACTCACCACACCATCACAATGGGTCTCACTGGAAAGTCCCTCCAGATGAGCCAGCTTCTGCTGGTCGTCTTACCCGCTTTCGTCCTCTTTGGATACAACCAGTCCGGTGTCGGCGGCCTCCTGTCGCTCGAGGACTGGAACAAGCACTTCCCCGAGATTGATACTGTTCACGCCAAGGGTGCGTTGAAGAGTGAGCGCTCGACCAAGCAGGGTGCTGTCGTTGCTTCGTTCACCATCGGTGCTCTGTTCGGTGCCCTTGCCTGCTCCTGGGTGGGCGACAAGCTCGGACGCCGCAAGACCATCTTCATCGGTGCTGTCCTTACACTTATTGGAGAGATCCTGCAGTGCACCTCGTTCGAGCTTGCGCAGTTCGTTGTTGGCCGCTTCATCCTCGGCTGGGGCGTCGGCAAGCTCAGTGCGACCGTTCCCGTCTGGCAGTCCGAGTGCTCGTCTTCCGCCAACCGTGGTAAGCACGTTGTGCTCGACGGCTGCTTCATCTCGCTTGGATACCTCCTGGAAGCCTGGATCAACCTCGGTTTCTTCGAGCAGGACAACCTCCCCCTGCAGTGGCGCATTCCCCTCGCGATCCCCACCGTCATCTCGCTCGTCCCCATGATTGCGGTCTTCACGATCCCTGAGTCTCCGAGATGGTTGGTTGCCAAGGGCCGCGTTGAGGATGCCAGGAAGAGCTTGTCCGAGTTCAAGGGTCTTGACCTCAACCACCACGACATCGCGTCTGAGATCAGCGGCATCGAACTCGCTCTCGAGGAGACCAAGGGCAGTGCCGTTAAGATCAGCCAGATCTTCACTAACGGCAAGGACAAGCTGTTCTACCGCTTCTCGCTCTGCATCTTCCTGCAGTTCCTCCAGCAGATGTGCGGCTCCAACCTGATCTCTACCTACTCCACCATTATCTTCCAGCAGGGTCTCGGCCTCGATGCTGAGACATCCCGTATCCTGTCTGGCGGTGCGCTTACCTGGAAGTTTTTGTCCTGCTTCGTCGCCTTTTTCACCATCGACCGCTTCGGCCGCCGCAAGCTATTCATGTTTTCCGGCGCCGGCATGGCTTCTTGCATGTTGGCTCTCGCTATTGCGTCCTCGATGCCTAAATCTGATAAGGCTGCGCAGATCGTGTCCGCGTTGTTCGTGTTCCTGTTCAACTTCTTCATCCCCATCGGCTTCCTTGGCGCCAACTTTTTGTACTGCACCGAAGTCGCACCCACACGCCTCCGTGTACCTATGGCAGGCATCTCTACAGCCAATCATTGGCTATGGAATTTCGTGGTCAACATGGCTACACCCGTCGCTATCGAAACCATAGGCTGGAAGTACTATCTGGTCTTCCTTATCATCTCTGCGGTCATCGTACCGATCGTATTCCTCTTCTACCCGGAGACCATGGGCCGCTCGCTCGAGGAGCTCGAGATGATGTTCAGCAGCGGCAAGAGTATCGCTGGTATTGTGCGCGAGTCGCGACAGCCACTGACGGGCGGGTTTCTGAGCGACGGCGACTCGATTGAGAAGGGCCACGAGAAGAACGTCGACGAGGTCGAATCGTACCAGGCTTAAGAAAAAGAGACTGCAGATAGATAGAAGATACTCCCAGCGCCACGACTGAATATGAATCCTTATGAACTTCACACACGGGTGCAAGCGGTGACGAGTTTTACTTTTTCGCTGCCTGAGATCCACTTTGAGGCTCCTTGAGGCTGAATGCACGCGCACAGGGGCCAGAGGTCCCGACTGTGCCCGAGTTTCTTCACATGCGTGCCCAATGCCTTGCTGAATTTGCGTGGCTGAGGCACTGTTTCCGATCTCTCCCGTGCGTCGGAGAGCGTTGGACCCACTTAGAGCCGCATCGGAGGCTCGTGTAGATTCACTGCGATGCTACCCGTCGATAAAGAGGAACTGCTCGGCCGTGTACGAAGAAGATCGTTCTTGATGAGGCATCACACCAAGTAGACTCGCCCTGTGGTACACGCTACTTCAACAGCATAATGTTGATGTTAACTATATATTTTACACAATAAGATAGAGAATTACTCCTACTAAACATCTATGCTTATGAAAAGACTTTATCTCGTTGCGATAATAAGTAATAGCAAGTGGAAGCTGGAAGGGTGTTTTGGTGTCCAGACTAGGGATGCCTCATGAAAACGAGCTTCTTCGTAGTGCAACGAATGCTGAAGCGTCGAGATGCGACAATCCGTAGCATCTGACGACTGTGTTCGATGATGCTCACTGCGTGGCTCCTTGTCTGACGGATGTGCCTGGAAGTGCTCAGGTAAGAGTTACGCAAAGCTCATGCTGTCAGTTGCCATCATTACAGGATGTAGAGTACTTTAGTCTTCCGGCCGTGTGATTCTTGACCCCCTGTAAGTCCGTATCGACGCAGAAGGGTGATATTCTTTTCAGTCAGACCCATCTTTACACTCACTTTTGCAGCCTGTAGTGATGATGATGACCGCAGCCCCATCGATCGACTCTCTATAGCGGTGGGAAATGAACTGCCTAAGCTCAGGCAGATGGTACCGATTAGCTCTTCTAGCTATTCTGAGCCACATCTTATGGATGATCGTTTCGCAGAATGGCAGATAGTACGGCCAGCTCTATTGCACTCCACTGATTGGTATTGGTCGTAAGCCTTATGATGTACCAATAGACGCTGTAGCTTCGACGGACGTCATACCGCACTCAGACACTTCCGAATTGCATCTCGGCAGTTTGAAGGATTACAGTCTTTTCTGGTACATCCAGTAGGCTTTTATGTCATGACTAGATGCCTCCAATTGAGCGCGACTGCACTAATAAGGAAGCGTCTTAGCATCGTTAATGATACATTGTTTCTTGCCTTGCAGCTGCCTTAGTAGCAATTCGGAGCCTACAGCATACGATAGATGGTGAGATGTTCCTCTTCTCGACCACCTTGCTTCCCTTCCTCGACGCTCTGTGACTAAGACCTGATCTGTAAATGTACTTCCAACTAGCTGCAAAATAGGAAAAAAAATTTGCGTGGACCCAATTAGCTTACACCTCCGACTAAGCAGAACGCCCCAAGACAGCCATGGTGGGGATCTTTTAGTCTTGTAGGATACATAGCTATATATTACCGATTTAGCAACACAGCGAGCCGACCTGGAGATGAACGGCTGCAACCTCGCCCACTGATAGTATCCTTAGATTGCAGTGTGTTGTCAAAGGAGTGAATAGAGCTCTTGATTCATGCTGAATTTTTGCTTCACCTTAAAACGACATAAAGCAGATGCAGATTGGAGTGTCGCCGTTGTGGCTGCCTCAATGGCTAGAGCTAGGGAGAAGTAGCAATGCTTTAGAGAAAGCGAAGATGGATTGCGCCCTGCAAAATTAAGGCTGCACAGAACAGGCATCTACGGTGCAGCGTCCAACCCTCTATATCTCTAGTCTCTCACTAGAGATCGTGCAACAATCAATCATACTGGCACGCTTTGCTTACTTCGCCCTTGAAGTAACTGCTTCCACTTAACAAGTGACTTCCTTGTTTGGCAACAGTTGAGAAAATTGGTATCTCACAATTGTTCGTTTGCTTGCCGTCTGGATCGGTTCTGGCTTGCGCAGGGTCTTCGGTCGCTTCTTGCCACAACCTCCCACGACACCTTCACCACCTTTCTCCGGTCCCCCAAAGACTTTCCAGCCTACGACACTACCAACAGCCATGGCGAGCAAGTATCTCAGTGATAAAGATTTCCATAATGGCTTCGCCGACGTTCACGACTTGTTCACGGCTGGCAAGCTCGAAGAATGCGAAACCGAAGCCTTCGCGTTCCTCGCCGAAGAAGCTATTCCAAAGTACTACCGAATGAAGACACTCATTCTTCTAGGTATCATCGTTGGGGACTGGGAAGAGGCGAACAGATACTATGTTGCCGCAGATCATATGTGGCACACTGTACGAGGCTATCACCCAGAAGGCACCGACAAGGATGTTGAGGAGTCCATCACAGAGATACGCGAGTGTCTCGATTCTTTGCGTGTTGCACTTCAGGAGGACGCGCTATCTGAGTGCGGCTTGACCATCACTGGTGGAGATATTGTCGAGGAGCACGATGCTGATATTGAGGATGCGTGTGCCGAGATGGATGACCTTGAGCTTGAGGATGCACGCGCGGAGATGGACGGCCTCGAGCTTGATGACGCGCATGTCCATGCTCTTGGTGAAGATCAGCCGCAGCCGCAACTTAGCAAGGTATGTCTATTTACACAGCTGTTTTGTGAATCTTCTAAACAAGCGGCAGCCTGAGAACCCCAAGCAGATCTCGCTCAGCAGCTTGGACAATGTTTGCGACCCAGGCCGACAAGCCCCGCCCGATTCACCAGTGATGATGCCAGCCAACTGTGAGTATCCGAAGAGTCACTTCGCATCATGGCCAACATCGCTGACTATCAAACAAGAGCGCGCCAGAACTGCACCCACCTCTCCAAGTACGATGGCACCTCGCTCGCCAGCTATCGCACAATCGAACTCGGTCATGGCCAACTGTAAGTCTAGCAATCGCATTGATGAAACGAGACTGAAATTCCACCAGGGCGATGCTGAATGCCTGATCGTGGTCAGAAGTCTTGAGATGGTTGAGGTACTCCATCGCAATCGAGCTCGGCCTGATGATGGGAGTTGGCAATTTCTTTGTAGCGGTGAACCAGATGCAGATTATGAAGTAACGTCATTGCGGCAACCTCAATAGTCAGAGCTGAGAATGCGCATTGCAGGACTAGGACTGCACAGAACATACATATACCCACAACAAAGCGTCCGCCTCTCTACGTCTTCAGTCTCCTACAACAGACTGTGTAACTCCCACATACTCCAATAATGCTTCGCCAGATCGCAAATCGCTGCCAACCTTTGTCGTCCCTCTGGAACCTAAGACTCGGCCTCTCGCTACCAAAGCAAAACTGGCTTGATCGTGTTTCCAGAATGCATGTCTGCCAGTGCCTTCTCAAAGTCTTCGGACTTGAGGACGTTAGACAGCTTTCATATGATCTCGGATGGGGGGAGACTCACCTGGTAATACTTTGATAGTTTCTCGATAGGGCTGCAGTAATTTGTGAGTCTCGCTGTATGTGCAACAGGGCATTTTACTCACAATTTGCCTTGTCGGTACCATTCTATCATCTGGGGAACGAACTGGTCGATGTCGTCAGATCGTGTGACACAATACCGTTACAAAAACTTACTTTCGACGGTTTGGCGTCTCCTTCAATGCAACCCCGAATAGCGACGCCAGCCTAAGTGAATCAGCAAAAGTTGCAAAACAACGGAAAGGCCAACTCACGCCTAGAATTGTACCAAGATCCAGCTCCATCGTCTTGCCGGTCACGATTCCGATCAAGACAATTTGACCCTTGGTATGCAGCGCGGGAATGGCGGCTGAAATCAAAGGTACTACTCCTGTCGTATCGAAAATTGCATTAGCACCCTTTGGCGCAATCTCTCGAATGGCTGCGGGAAGATCTGTTGCAATGTCTTTGAAGCTTGAGCTGTCAATGACGTGGGTTGCGCCCATTTCCTTGGCCAGGTTGAGGCGCGACTGCACTATATCGACTCCGATGATAGTATGGGCACTTCGTACACTCGCAGCCTGTATGTTTTCAGTACTTTGAGCGCGAAATCGCCGCTTGCAGGACACGCTGACATACCATGATTGCAGACATGCCGACGCCGCCAAGCCCGAACACCTTAACGTATGTCAGTCTTTGCGATTCATTCCAACTGCGACGAATGGCTGAGACTCACGACGACTGCATCTTTCTTGCTAACATTAGCGAGCTCTGTAACGGCAGCAGCGCCTGTCTGATAGCCGCAGCCCATGGGAGCAAATAACTTCAATTCCTCCTCATCCTTCACTAGCTGCTCGACGTTCAAAACTGAGGTCCCCTTCACCAAAGCTATGCTGGAAAAGCTTGATTGACCAAAAAACAATCCGCCTGCGGGCTTTCCACCGTCGAGTTGATAAACATCGGGTTGATTGAAGAGATTCTTAGTATGGAACTCGTCGCAGTAGCCGGGCGTGTCGTCCTCACAAGCTCGACAGTCGTCGTTGTTACAGAAGTCGAAACTCAGCAAAACCTTGTCACCTTTCTTGACATGGTTGATCTTGCTTCCTACTCGTTCGACAATGCCGGCACCCTCGTGGCCCATGACCTTTGGATAAGGTTCGAAGCCTGGCGCGTCTGGCGGAAATGTGGAGATGGCAATGTCAGTGTGGCAGACACCGGATGCAATAATTTTGACCAGGAGTTCATCTTCACCGGGCTCTCGCAGCTGTACCTTCTCCATACGCCATACTGGATGGGTGCCGTTTGGGGTGTCACTTATGATTGCTTTTGCGGAAATTGGGTGTGACATGTTGGACAAACGGATGCAGCTGTCTACGAAATATTGGGAATTTAAAGATAAGAGGAGCGAGTCGTTTACGATAAATATCCAGAGCGAACGCATATGTACATGTTGTTAGCCTCCGTACATAGCGGGGACCCCAAACTGGCGCAAGATAAACGCGGGGCAGCCGGCAACCAATCAGCATGCGGCGGGGTATGCACCGTCACTCTACACAGTGTCCAGAAGTAGCAAGCGACAGGGTCATTCTGTGGCAGTCCCGCTCCGAGGTAGACTCCAGTAACCGGTTACTGCTCACGTGGAGTCATGAAGGAATCGCGCCGCCACTCCAAACCTCATAACCGAGTTCGTGTGCCGGCCGGTCTTTTTCCTCCATAATCCCATCGATCCCGTGAATCGCGTCGACTTGGCTGCGATAATACACGACTACCGGTATTTGGCAAATGGGCGCTCTTCTGCGACCAATCATCGAACGAGAAGCCTGCATCGCTGACAAGCTGACACGCACTAGCTATGATACCTAGATGCACTCCCGACATACGCGCAACCTCTTCGAAGACGTAGCTAGTCATTTGACTGCTGAGATGACATACTTTGGGTCGAGGCAATTCGTTGAGTTACTATACGCTCCGCTATCTACAGCTCGGACTTCTCAATGCGGCACCCATGCTTGATTCAGACTCGCAAAACTCAGCTTCCAACCTGTATGTCGCAAAACCAGGCTGTAACCATGTCCCAATCATCGCGGTAATCGCGTGGAGACCTCAAAATACGCATGTTCGATCCCAAAAGCCAACTATGGTTACTCGAACGTCCTCTTCTTTGGCCTCTTCTCCCTCAGAGCCTCGGTCTCTTTGATCTCCTTCAAGACCCGAATATCCTTCAAAACTCGTAGGCGATCCTTCTTGAGGGCGGTGCTATAGCGGGCGAGGACGCTCTCATCGGGGTCTGTACCATTACCGGATTCGAGGCAGGGCTCGATATTAGCTTCTTTCAGCAAAGTGGGAACGTCGCTGAGCATTGATTTGTGACGCTTCTGTTCGCGACACCACTGAATGAGAGAGGTGAGGGGGCCTGCATCAGCTCCGGAAGGTAGATCCTTGAGACCAACCGCCAGACCCAGAAGAGGGTAATCTGCTAGTTCCCAAACGATATTCGACCAATGCTCTGCTGTATAGCAGGTCGCGGTATCAGCTGATAGTTCCAAACGAATTCGGTTACCATCGTCATCCCGGTCCCAGGAAAGGTACCCGTTCACCGTACCTGCGACGCACAGTGATCCCGCGGGTAGACTCCTCGTCATATTGACAAAATTGGCAACATCTGCTGAGCTCAACCCAGCACGGACAAGCCGTCTAGTAGCTCCTCGCCACTGATAGTGTGATGGAAAATAAGTTAGGAGCTCAACGATGGTGAACTCTACGCCCTTCAGCAACGTGATATCCACATGTACTGGAGTCGCTACACTCTTCAGAGGGCAAAAGTCCCTTCGAACTTGCTTCACCAGGTAATGCTCAGCTTCGGGATCTTTGTCTGCCATTGTCATAGACATGAGACTGGCGATGGGCTGTTTGATACTCCGTGACGTCAACGGGATTCCCGAACCTTGCCAGGACTTGCCAGGTGTTGCTTTAAATACAGACGTGGAGCTGGGATCCCATTCTTCTAGCCACCTCCATGCGTCTTCTAGATCGATGACATCGTCCGGATTGTCTCGTTGTTCGATGTAGTACGGCGTTGGCGGTGGTGTAGTTGAAGGAACGTCGACAGGAGACGTTGTCACGATCTCAAACGTGAAATCTCCTTCAACTTGGGCCCAGGGCAGTTTCCAGTCAACGCCTTCAAAGTTGAAGACCTCGCTGTCAGACCCATCACTAAGGATCGAAAGCATCGGAAGCAGCCCGAATTCTGGGTGTGCCTTGCCTCCGGGAATGTAGTCTTGCAGTCCACCTTGGTTGACCTCCTCGCTTGTAAGAGGGAGAGGGCCGATTGGGGTCAACTTGAATGCTTGTTGGTACGGATCAAACACAACAGGATATAGACCAGACCAGCATGCTCGGCGCCATCCCACAGGAAGGACCAAAGTGGGAACATATGACACGTCGGGGAGCCCGTTGTTGAGTGGCACATGATGCGCGTGGAAGGTCAACCGTGGATCGGCAGTTGGCCAAGGGTAGCAAGGATGCGTACTACCACCAGGAGGGTACTGTAACTGCCATTGCGTCGAAAGGTGGATAGGAAGTTCACCACTTGTTGAGAGAGGGACTTCAAAAGGTGAATCACTGATCTCAGCCTGCGTGAGATTCGGCGGCGATGCAATCGGCGACAGTACACTGCCGTTCTGCTTAACAGATTTGCTGGGCTTGCTCGGCTTGGTGGGCTTCGGGGTTTTCATGGACTTCGTGGTCTGGTCAAGTTTGTCTAACATTTTTAGATACATTAGTCAAGTCAAACAAGAAGCGAAAAGAATACTGACCCTGGTTTTTCATCTTGCTTTGGATCCGCGTGCTGCGCCGGGCTGAGGGAGGGCTAATAGGCGGCGCTTCCTCATCAAGCGAGTCTGTAATCTTGCTGGAGACGAGTGTCGAGTCAGAATGACATGTTATGGGCGAAAATGAGGGTCGGGTGTCATGTTTCTCTCCGGCCCAAATGTCGTCGACTGGCTCCGTTCTTTCATCATCGGAAGGTTGAGTCGTGGATTGCTGTGACGGGCGCTCAGTAAAATATGCCGGCGTGGTAGGAGACGGAAGGCCATGCCAGCTGGTTCTGATACGTTTAGATACGGGTGTCTTTGGATCAGGGATTTCCGATGATGCATGATCGAGGTGGTCTTCCGTTAATTAGCGAGTCTGACCAATGAACAATGAGGACAGCTTACCAAGCTCAAAGAACGTCGGAGATGCTCCATCTGGCGTGGTGGGCGTGCACTCAGCTGTCGAGATGTCCCTGATACCTGAAATACGCGCCTTCTGCGTTGGTGACGGTGTGCGATACAGGCGCTGCATAGCGGGCTGCCGATCTTGAGAGCCGTTGTTTGCTGAACTCTGGTGCTCCGGAGATGACTGTGGCCAGCTCATGCTAGATACGTATAAGTACCTCGTCCCGGGTGAAGGGATTGGTTTGGTGAGCGAGAGAGTGACGGTGAACAGCAGACGCGGAGAAAGCTTCGAACTTGGATCACGGCAAGTGGGGTAAAACGCAAGTCCCATTCACTCTCACCTGTGAGGTCCAGGTACGCCCGCGCATCGTGCCAAAGAGCAGGTGTTGTTAGATCGATTTGGCAAATGGATTGAAAAGAAACTGGAAGTGGAAGTTTCGTGTACACGAGCAATGCATGTGATGAGTAATACCACAAATAAGAAGAGCTCACAATAGGTTGAATTGGAGATAAGAGAAGCGGCGAGGTTCCGGAGATGGTTAGACGATATAATTCATGTTTTGATGACTTGGTCACTACGCGATTTACCAACGGCGCAAACGCGCAAAGTTAGTAGAAGACAGCAGGACCCTCTCCGTCGAAGAAGACCTCATCAAGTAGACTTAACAAGACCTTCTGGCCAACCCAAGACTCCTCAACAGCCGGGCGGATGCGCACAGGCGGAAGCACAAAGCCGAAGTCACCAGTATCAGGCAGCTCAATGGTGTAGGACCATTCAGCGCGACCTATAGCGTACACATGATCGACGCCAACACCGGTAGTGGGGTACAGTACAGCGCCGCTAGGTCCAAAGGTGTACGTTGTTGCGTTTGAGCTGTTGGCTGCAATCTCTTGGCTCATCAACGACGCAGCACGAGTCCACCTGCCGAGCTGCGGTGCGTAGAGGTACTCATCGTGGCCGAAGGGACAGAGAATGAGCTGGCTGTAGCTATGCCAGTCAATGTACAGCTTAATGCCTTGCTTGTCACGGACTTCGCGGAGGAAGTCGTCCAATGCAGCGTTCTCCGGCGCATCACGAGGGCGTACGCCACGGTAAACCTGCGAACACTCATTGTCGGATGCGCCACGCGTGTTGGCATCCCAGTTGTGTTCCCAGTTCCTGTTAATATCACGACCGTAGCAAGTCTGATTTGCGGCAGTAGCTGGGGGTGGCTGGCGGTTCTTGCGCCATAACCTGTCTGTTGTCTGAGTGTGCACAAAGCCTGCCTCGATCAGCGATGTCACAAGCGCACTTGTTAGACTCTTACCATCTGGGTTGACAATGGGGAAAATATAGAAGTCATAGTTGTTTAGGAAGGTCTGGGTAAGGTTGTCACCAGACTTGTAGCCGTCGATGAGCTGCTTGGTGATGTATTCGATAGTCTTCTCAGTCTTAGCGGTTGCTACTATCACAGAAGAGGGCAAACCTTACTGGAGCAACGATCCACTCTCTGGCGTGGACAGTGCCGTGCCAAAGAACAGCAGGCTTACCCGGACCATCGGCACCCCACATGTGAATTCTGCAACACTTTGTCAGTTCAACCCGAAGCAATCATTGAAAGTACATCATCATGGATGAGCCACGAGTCTTCGATACGCGATGGAGTTGGCTTACCCGTAGATGTCTCGGCCTTCGAAGGAAGTGCCCGAGCTTGTCCAGTTCGAGTTTTCGGGAAACGACTCTTGAAGCTCTTTGAAGTATTCGATATGGTCCTCGTAAGGATGGTAGCTGTCGAACCAATCGCCACTGGTGTTGTACTCCTGCCTCTTCCACGTAGACTTGACCTCTGCTTCAGCAGCAATCGAAGATCCAAGATCAGCATGTAACACGCGTGTGTCAAGGCCCAGTGCTTCGAATTTGGCGACTTCATGGCGTGGGATTGCAATATCGATGTGATCGGCAGCTGACTCCCATACATTGTGTGAGAGCCCCGCGAGTCTCTTCTGAATATCCTTTACATGCCGCCCGGTCTTGACATGATACACCTTCGTACCCTCGTACTGATTGACGGAAGGGCTACGGGTGGAAACACCCGCAGCAAGAGCGGCCAGAGCAAGGCTGAGAACAAACTTCATAACTGCAGCTCACGGACGAGGAGAGACGGTGTCAGGTAGTGCAAACAGCATGCTTTTATACCATGCCAACCCCAAGGCTTCGGGATGTGCTCATCATTGTTAGCATGCCCTTTCCCGCTCTATGCCAGAACAGGCTATCGTAGCAGGTACACTGCGTAGTAAGTGTGATGTTTGCTTCCATGATGTCGGATAGACATGGGATAGTACTGGAACGAAGTGATACAGCATGTCAACGTTGTCTTGACCTGCCGTATTGGATCTAGTGAGGCATGGCATTTCTTGTGTCTCCAAGGGTGCCGATGTTCAGAACGTCATCATCGCTAAGTGATGGCTCGTATCATTCGCTCGATAAAATCCTGGAGAAGTTATTCTTGTGACCAGCGGACGGGAAATCTGCAAAAGACAATGTTTATGACGATGTGCCTTGATTCTTGGAGCAAATGTTATCTTGATACTTGAGCGGGGGTAACAGGAGGCCTGATAAGCAGTGTTCGAAATCACCAAGCAACCTTAGCAACCCCAAGCCCTTGACAGTCGCAGTGAGGGGTGTTTGATGGCCTTATCGATTGCATGTTGTGGTAATACGAGGAGGTTGGGCTGCTTGGCGTCGGGACGGACAGTCGCTGTGTAGCACTGCGCTATTTGACGACAGCAATGGTAAATGCATTGCTCAGAATCCACCGTGCAGTAGTTCTCAAGATACCTAAAGTCCTTGTGAAATGTCGAGGGCGCGTGAACAGCGGATCCCCCGGAACGTGAGAGTTGGGGTACCGAGAGCTAGGCTCAATGCGATCAAGCGTGGGACAGGCGTGTGGCTCACGCGTTCCTACGCGACGCGTCACGACGAAATGCCTGGGCATCTTCTCGTCTGCTTTTACAGTGATATTTGCGTTTCTACGTTCGTGTCAGATGAGTTGCGCGTATTTGATTCGTCACAACCAAACGCGATTCCTCATGACGCTTAGCCTTCCAATTGACAACCTAGATGCAATAACAACCCGCAGGGTCGGGCCCGTGACAGCGTGCCATGATGCCTTCGAGGAGCAACAACTGATCTGTACAAATATCAGGGGACCGCGTTAACCAACTTTTCATGTGGATCCGGAGGCGTCTCCGACGGAGCACTCAGCTACCCCACACCATCATCATCTTTGGATAGCCGACTTGATTCCGGCAATATGGTCGCCCGCAGCGGAACGGAATCTGGGGCTTTGCGCAGACTGTAAGGTCCAGTAAAACTTTGCGGTTCACACAAGCAACATGCCCACACCAAAGTCGTGGGTGGTCTCGACCTCCCGAAACGCCACAAGATACTTTGAGCCATCAGCCACAATATAGTACAGACAGTCATAAGGGACGATGATCCGTCTGTTGAGGATATTCAGCACTTCGTATTATTCATTAGAGAACTACTCAAACAACCACTGAAATCATACCGCTGAATCATGGCAACTGTGTCTGCTACACAGGCGTACGAAGTGCGGGAGCCGAAGTCGAACACCCAGCATGTTGAGAACATCGGTGAGGATAGTCATAAGTTCCGCGACATTGAAACAGTAGCTTTGGTAGTCACAGAAGCAAAAGCAGATTTCAAGCTGCAGCCGATTATTCTCGATGAGATCAGAGACGACGAAGTTCTTGTGGAAATGAAATACAGTGGTATTTGTACGTTTCGAAACGCCTACATTGACCTCGTTGCTTACGATTGCCTGCAGGTCACACTGATATTGTTCTACAGCAAGGTCTGTTGCCGATGGTCGAATTCCCCGCAGTCTTCGGCCACGAAGGGGCAGGTTTCGTGAGGGGTATCGGTTCGAAAGTCAAGAATAAGTCACTCAGAGTTGGCGATGCGGTACTTCTATCGTTCAATACTTGCGGCACATGTAAGCCTTGTTCAAATGGGCACCCTGCCTTCTGCCACACGCATGCTGCAGTCAATCACAATGCTGTACGTCTCACAGATCGAAGCACACCAGCCAGGACAAAGGACGGCCAAAGCGTACGCAGCCAATATTTTGGACATTCATCGTTTTCAAAGATGAGCATTGTCAACGAGAAGTGCGTGGTAGCATGTGATTATCCTGACCAAATGAACATTTATGCGCCGATAGGCTGCGGCTTTCAAACTGGAGCCGGCACGGTGCTCAATGTGCTCAAACCTGGACGATACGACTCGCTCGTTGTTTTCGGTCTCGGAAGCGTAGGACTGACAGCTCTGATGGCAGCAAAATATATGGGCGTCGGGCAGATCATTGCTGTTGACATTGTGCAAGAGAAGTTGCAGATGGCAAAGGAACTCGGGGCAACGGACACAATCAACTCAAAGGAACAAAGCGACATTGTTGGAGCGATCAAGAAAGTCTCAAAATCAGGCGCCGGTGCTACGTTCGCCATCGATTGTACAGGCGTCCTCCGCGTCATCGAGGATATGGTGGCTTCTCTCGCGCCTCAAGGGACAGCTGCGGTGGTTGGTGTTCCACCACCTGATGCAAAAATCTCGATTGATCCTCTGATGTTTTTGTTGGACAACAAAAAACTGATTGGAGTCATCGAAGGCGATTCGAACCCGGCGGACTTCATCCCGCAGTTGATGGAGCTACATCAGAATGGCGCGTTCCCAATCGAGAAGCTTTGTCGCACATATCCAGTAGAGAAGCTAGAAGATGCGATACATGATCTGCATACTGGCAACGTAAGTACATCACAGTGAAGAAGTTGGCCTGCGCTGATAATCTCACTAGGTTATAAAACCTGTTATACAGTGGAGCTGAACCCTCCCTCATGTTCCTTGATCATCGAGACGTCCCTTAGGGCTAATTTCATGCAATGAACAAAGATCCTGCTTCATTGTTAAAACCGGGTAGGACTTGTGCATTGTAGACCTCCATTGTTCATTAGTACTGTTCAATCTAGGAGCTTTTCACCGTGTTCCCCAACTCATTTATGTGACCCCAAGAGTTGTTCCCATAGATACACACCACACACGAATCTTCTTGGTACTCAACCCTGACTCCTACATTAGTTTTTGGAAAGAATCCATTGTTACACGCGTCCGAGGACTGACAGCACTAGATATGTCACGTTCACGAAACAAGAGCCCTCTACCTACTCGTGAAGACATCGAGAACCTGTTTGAAACAGCACGTCAAGCATCGAAGAGACAGTACCAGCGCCATAAATTCGCATATCTGAGCCAGGCGCTTGGCAAGTTGTTCTCCAACTCCCTTCAATGGCTGCATGCTGATGTAGATCCGCGCACAGTTCTTCTCGAAACTCTACAAGATGAGCGAGCCATCTTAGATCAGCACAACCGCCTTCAAGCCAAGGCTCTCTTCGAGCGAGAAGAAGTTGATGCACTGTCTGAGGAACCTGTCAACTTCCCTCTTCGCCATCTGTGTCAGAACGTGAAGCTGCCTGTGGACTTCTTCCAGCCAATCTATCAGGTGGATGATCACACTGAGGTCAAGAAAGCAGCCCAGCGAGCTCGTTCAGCCGCAGTCGTTACTACTCCATCGACCACCCCACCGCACAACCCTGGTAAACTTTCCGACGCTCCAATGCCAGGGCTTCACTTTCCAGATGGAAATTTCACACTTGCAGAGATCGCAGCATTCCTACCTCAGTCCATCAAATGCTGGGATATGATCGACCGTATCATCTGGAACGGCGCTACGAGCAACGATCTCCAGAAGCTGATCAACAAATACCGCACTATGCCCTCTGGCGAGATAGATATCAATTCTGTCTACATGATGATGCGTGGACAGATGCGTAGGCGCACCGGGGCTGAACACAACTATCATCAATGGTCAAGTTGGGTTGTTGGCGATCAAGACAAGGTTCAGAAGCCAGATGACTTCAACCCAGACAGCATTAGTGTCACAGGGTTCCGTCGAGTGGCAGTTCCCAAGAATCGCCCTTACGTGAGTGCTGAACCGATTCTCTTTAGGAACCTTGCTCTTGGTGTCTCCGTCTTCCCCGAGGGTGAAGATGCTCTCGACTTGACCCGCTGCGTCGCGTGGTGCGTCGACCATCCAGAGGAGGACTATTACTACCCGACTGACTATCTTGCGGTCTTAAATCTTGCGGGTGGATCCGTAGCGCCTGATGCTGTTCATGCAGATGGCGCAGTCCTTACGCGACTTAGGTCTGGAACAGGTCGTACTCATCCTAGGCGACGTCGTACAACGGCCAACCGCAATCAGAATGGTAGCGGCCTTCCTCGAGATAACGGAGATGCTCAATCACGCAAGCGTAAGCGGGGTAACTCTTCTCAAGCGAAGCTTGATTCCACTGCTCGCAAGTCTCCACGTAAGCCTCTGCGTCTTTCCGAGGCCACTGATTCTGAAGGAGACACGGATGACGCGGCATATCAGGCGCCCAAGCGAGTGAAGAAGAACAAAGATGGCCCTCGCCGATCCACTCGCACAACACGCTCCGTCGACTATGACGAGGTTGATATGGATCTGGTCCTTGGCGACGATCACCTAGTCGGAAACTGAGCGAGATGTTGGAACGGGCTAATACCAGCAGCTTTAAGATGCTGAGGCAGGTAAAACTCGGTGGTGGTAAGAACAATGATGGAATGGACACTGATGGGTAGGGATTTCCGACGCCTTTCGAAGTACCCTGAACTCTACCAATGAATCAAGCAGGTCCCAAATGATCTCTTCATACTGAGTAGTCATGACGAAAGAATCGCTCCTTCACCCACATTCTGTTAAAATCAAGAGTGTTGCCCTCATTATCGATTGGGAACCGACTAGTTTCAAGTGTCTTCTGCTATGACTAGGTGAAGTCCTACATTTTAGAGACAAATATAACTATCTATGATTTGAATGAAACCATGCTTAGTCGGTAGTTTACTACTATAGTCTCAGTCTCAATACAATCTGCTGTTTTGTCATAGTCTGCCTAGTTATTGTAAATTTCTACTAATGATTGAATTGTTCAATCTTCTTTAACTGATTGGTAGTCTATAATTGATTCACGTGACTATATTGTGTTTCTACAGTTCCACTTTTCGTAACAGAGCCTTTTACAATGGCAGTATTACCGGTTATTGTTTCTAGCGTGCCAGCAGAATTCATTCTCCTTTACCTTCTAGATACTTAAACATCGTACAAGATGCCGTAAGACGCTAGCACACTGTTCAGTCTTAAGTTGACTTTCACTTTGATTGCGACGCTTTCACTCTGAGTTCAACATTGCTTTCACTGTGATGTACCCCTAGACATCTAAAGAAGGAGAGAGCTCTTCCCAGTACTCTCTGTGCCACCATCAACACCACCGTAGTTGCAACCTCACATTACCAAGTGAACTCCAAAAAACACAACAGGTCATTGCACTGCTGATACTAGAGCAGAATGTCTGCCGATGACGATGGTCTTGCTGATGACGCCTGGTATCACTCGGTCGAGAATTTGCACACTCCACATCGGATCACTTACCCCAGTGCTGGGGCCTTCCAACATCTACCACTTCGAAACACAATCGCCGGGATGCCAGAGCTTCCGCATCGTAGTGCACACACGGTGTTCCTTCGCGATCTGCCAGCACACTGCTACACGCTGCCCTTGACAACGCTGAACTTCACCATCGTCGAGATCCTCGTGTTCCTACCAAACTGGTTCAAGAATAGGGCGATCTGCGCACACCTAATGAACAACGATCTTAATGCCAACGTGCATTTCATGATCCTTGACGAACATCGTGAAAATCAGCTCACCAGCGAGCAGGAGCGGAACAAAGCTCGAAAGACGCTCACCGACGAGTATCGCAAGACGATGCGTACAATGGTCGAGGGGTGGACCAAAGTAAAGCACACGGCGTCGCCTGACTGGGATCCGACAACACTGTCGTTGGATGGATTCGAGCCAGACGACGTGCAACTCAATGGATATCGTCGGCTACCCTCCATTCCCCTCCGCGACCTGATGCTCGGAGTGAAAAAAATTCCGCAAGGTACCCATGCTGGCGACCTAACGCGTGCAATTCAATTTTCGCTGGGATCCCCACAGGACTACATGTTCCCGGACGATCTGGCAAGCATCTTGGACTTCATTGGTCGCACTCACATCACGATTGCGCATACTGATCGTCCTATTATCCGACACTATGTTGAGATGAAGTACTTGAAAGATGATGCGAAGAAGGTTGCTCCCACATACAATGTAGGCGCCCCTGTAAGCGCGCAGACCCAGTCGACTCAGAATGCATTCGGTGTGCTGATACAAGACAAATTACAGAACGAAGAGTATTTCGTGACGGTAGGACAGAAAATGGTAGCGCAGACGCCAATTCAGCCGGCCATTGAACACGGAGTACATCAGCTACCACTTGGAATCGAGATAAGCAAAACCGAACATCAAGCCATCGACCATCCAATGCATATTAGCCAGGTCGGTCGTTCAAGCGAAGAAATAGAGATGGAGGATCTACTGCTGGAACATCTGGATCACGGCGCTATCCAGTTGTCATCACTGTCAGAAAGCCCAGGTTATGCTCCCGGCCAACTTCTGCGTGAATGTATCGAAGGAGACTTGGCGTTTGATGGAACTCCGCTGGCACGAGCTGCTCGGTTCGCTCAGCGACCAGATCAACTCAATATAGATTGGCATATTGGCCAGACCCAGTGGCTTGTTTCGTTGCTGGATGCTGCTCGACTTGAAGGATCACCACAGGGGCTGTGATCATCCAATCTGCGGGTGCGATAGCGCGTCTTGGCAGCGATATGCAGCCAGCACCCTTCGTCTTTCGAAGTCCATGGAACCTTTAGCGTCCTGATTGTGATTTCAAGTCACTGGACTGTTGTGCTTGTTGGGTTTCCTGTTTGGTCATACTGTGGGGCGTTCGAATTCATTGCTGTGACTGGTGTTCCTGACGGATTGAAACATCCGAAGTGAACGTTTACAGCGAGTCAAGTTGACCATGAGCTTGTGGACCAGGCGGAAGTTTCATCACGACCGGCAGTATAACAATGTCGTACCGGTGCCCCAGGATCTCCCGAAAGTAAGTATGGTCGAAAGACTCCATTCTAATACGAACTTCATTGGCCCGCAGGGTCCAGGATCTGTGCTCTATACTCCCCTGATCTCTGATGTCTTGTCCAAGGAATCGTTTGAAGTAGTTGTGTAGAACGCGCTCGAAAAACAAGCCGTATGTGGTGTTCGTCATCGGAATTCCGTACATGAGCATAAGACTGATTAGGTCCTGCAAATATGGAACATAAATCCTATGCAAATCCATGGCGAGGGCATGGTCCATCTGAAGTCGCAATTGCAAAAGCATAGACTCGGTTTGCTGGTGAAGCCCCAACCCATAGAAGCGCTTCGTGAACAGTCCGAGCGCAGCAGGTGACAATTTCGCCAACGGTTGATGCCCAGCATCCTTCTGTTCAAAATTTGCTCGCCGGCAGTCTAATGTATCGTTCTCCCCCATGTCAATCAAGACCGTGCTCATGTCTTGTGCGACATCGCGAAGCCAAGTGTCCTTCATCGCCTGCGGTATCTCGTCACCTGGGGCCTCGAGGAAAAAATCTGTACAGACCACTGCATAAGTCAGGTTTGACCTCATGAGCCTCGAAAGCTCTGGGTACAGACAATGTAAGCCTTTCGTATTCGGCCCATATTCCACATTAAGAAGGGGTCGCAGTATGAGTAACTCGTCGTAATACAGCTCGGATCTAGCTGCAAGTCTCTCACGTAGTTGCTCGAGCATCCAGTCTTTCATTTTCCCCGATGTCTGGCCGCACTTCTCGAGTAGTTGTGGATCAACCCTCCCAAACGCGTCTTGGCCATCCTTGAGAAACTCCGCTATAGTCGATAAGTCCGGTATACTGCTAAGCCGTTGCGGGGTTAGCAGGGGCCGGTGTAAGAAGGCGGACTGCACATACGACTGCTGCTCGGTCTCGACTTTGATGCCCGGCCCTTCTTTTTGTGATGTTGGAAGCATGGTGTTATTGGCTCGGTGCTTGATGCCTGACAATCGGTTCGCTTGCCGAACACGAGTAAAGTGCTCGAGAACTTGTTCCACGCCTATCAGTGCAGTCTAGGCCACACCTTTCTAAAGATGTTTGGGTTCAAGATGGAAGAGAGCTGGAAGTCTCCTTCCGAGACGCTGCCAGGGCGCGATACTTAGATAACCGTAGTTGGGAAGATCCAAACGAACGTGATGCCTGCGCCCGTGGCTACATTAAACCCGGGACAAAAGATCCTGCGGTAAATCCGCGGATGTTACGCACACTGCAGAAGCGCTGACGGAGCGTCGTGCAGCGTCGCCAAGTCCCTTATGTTAACTCTGCGACAAGCCTGTGTGCACTTTGGTTTGCTGACAAAAGCCCCTTCTACGCATCCGTGTTGGTATATATACTGCTTCATCGGCGCTCCAAGAGATGCTTTCTGCGGACAGATTCCCAGAGCAGAAGACAAATAGCTCTCCACCCATGAGGTTAAGAGCCGGAATCTTTGGACCGCAGCCGCGAATATGCAAGTGAACTCGCTTATACCACAGCACCACTTCTTGGCTTCAAGCCAACCACGAGCGACTGGACATAGCTCAAATACTCTGTTACGATTCGACAACAGACGCGAAGGATTCTCCCCTGTGCGCACATTGGTCGATCCGCGGGTAGGTTTGATGCTGTGCCTCTGCTTCTACAGATCGATCACGATTTGGAACCTGCCGACTGTACGATGGGTTACAAGCCACGTCCTGGTTTCGAAGCCCACAAAACATGGCGACAGCGGGTACAGTACCACTCGACAATGCATATGAACGATTCCGACGATATCTCCGTCGAAAACCAAACATCGTCAACTCACTGAGGCTTTCAGCATGTCCTACGGTATATGTTTCAAGAAGTGCACGCCAAGAAGGACAACACCTCGTCAGCTGACCAATAGCAGCAAAACGGAAACCAGGAGCCGTGGTACGCATTGCTTGGCTCCGCACCGTAGTATCCGAGGATACAAACAGTAAAGACCTAGGCTGATGTGAGGTTGTCCGTCCTTTGGCGCCACAATTCTTGGTGTTGTTGTTCCCAATATTCAATCCCACTTGAACGGCCACTTGTGGAATGACGGGGCGCATACGTCTTGTATGAGCAGCAGGATTGTTACTGCGGGGCACAGCATTGCAAGGCGCAGCTTTACAAGGCATACGCAGCCGCTCTTCCGGACGTGGGGGTAGGAAAGCCCAGAGGGTAAGGTGGTTGGTACGGATGAGGCTCGGCAGATGGTATTGCGTTGCTTTGGGTATTCTGACCGACGTTCGTGATCACTTATCGTCGTAGGACACGCGATTTTTGCGTAACATCAGACGAGCCCAGTGCAGGAGGGTGGGTACGGATGTGACTGAAGGAGATTAAATTGGCCACATGATCTCGGCATCCTTTCCCCAGAGCTCCCACTCTCTTATCGTTCTTTTTTCGTCCATCAAATCCACGATACTTGTGCGCATCTGCATTCTGTCCCAGAATGCACCACCTCGCTTCGTCGTTCCTAGCACATCTCCCCATGTCGCCAACCATATCCCCGTCTTTGCGCCCTCGTCCGTGTCGACTGCAACCCACTTCTCGGTCAACTTCAGCATGGCAAACAGGGGATCGGAGATCCACGTCCGCCAGGTGACATTGAGCTTCCCAAAGATTGGCGTTGATGTGAAACCTGGGGTGAAAGCGTGCGCTGTTCTGCGTGCCCCGTCGCCATTGGATGCTTGTGATTGTGTATCGAAGTGGCGCTGCAGAAGATTGGCAAACAGCACCTGTTGCGCCTTGCTCACGCCGTACGCTCCAGCACTACCCTCTGCGTCGATGCCCAACATCGCTTTGCTTTTGGTGATTGTTCGTGCGACAATGCCTGGCTTGGAAGGCCCTGGTATTCTTCCGAAAGTATCCCCTCTGAGGAAGTGGCTTGCTGCAGAGTAGCTGCCTGTCGAACTAGTCATCACAACCCTTGCAGTTGGGCTGAGGTGGGGCTCGAGAAGATGCGTGATTAGGAAGCTGCCTAAGAAGTTGGTCGTGTAGAGAAGGTTCAGGCGCTCCATTGTCTTTGTTGAGGCTCCGGTTGGAGGTGCAGCAATGCCAGCGTTGTGCACCAGCATGTCAATCTTCACTCCTTTTGGCCATTGCTCGCAGAATGCACGAACAGTGGCTGCATCGCCGACGTCAAGGATTCGGCAAGATACCCTTGCCTGGCTCTTGTTGTGGCATTGAGCGATAACATGGTCGACAGCTGCTGCCCCACGGACAGCATTGCGACAAGCCAAGTAGACATCTGCGCCCTGTGTAGCGAGTGCAACGGCGATGGACAGTCCAATGCCACTGTTGGCGCCAGTCACAATGGCTGTTTGACCGGTAAGATCACGTGGAGGTACAACTTGCGCCTTGTATAGGCGCGCGAAGGCTAAACTGAAGAGCGACTTGGCTAGTGAAGTGTAGAAAGAAAACATTGTAGCAAAAGTAGTCATTGTGAAGGTATTACTGCGTCGTAAAACGCGCTCCCGTCCTGAGAGGCCAGAGAACTTATGTAGCCTTACAGTCCGCATCCATCAGTAGTCATGAGTCCTACGAGCTGGTTTCGTGGAGCATGACATCACCACCCCAATTGCACCGATTCCGCGGCAGCCACTGACTATGTTACGTCCGTACGCCTTGCGATTGATGCACTGACTGACAAAGCACAGCTCAGCGCACAAAGTCGTGCAATATACAGGTGTTGCTCGCTGCGCATGTGGTGCCACCAGGGTCTGGTAAAAAAAGCTTTGTTTAAAGGCTTCAACAATGTGTACTTGGAAAGGCCCTCAGCCAAAGTCCCACGTTGTCTTTGACGCTACAGCGGATTCTAGGCGTCACGTGCGTGAATACGAAGACAAAAATGACAAAAAGACAAAAAGCAAATGTAGCTGAGACTGGTTTCGATCCAGTGTCCTCCGGGTTATGAGCCCGGCGCGCTTCCGCTGCGCCACTCAGCTTTTTCATCTGTAGATGAAAGTTTTCAGTGCATACTGATATATATTGTGGTTCACGGCGTGTGGCGGCTTACTCGTCGCTGCGTCTACCTGCATGTCGTCTCGAAAGTGGGGCCACGATTCTTGAGCCAAGGTCGACAAGAGCCTCCGTGCGATACACACTTAGGTCACAAATGATGAATAGACAAACTGAGCCGGTCGAAAACTCGCAACCGATGTTCGGGCGGGGTCAATTGGTACATTGCATCGAGATACAATAGGCGCGGGTTGTATCGCAAAATTTCCCGCATCTGAAAATGGTTAGTACCATCGCGCCTTAACGCGTCGACGCGTTGAAACCCTGGCGCGAGCATAGCACTTCGTCACTGACACCGCCTTTCTTTGCTTGAGCATAGCGTTATACCCATGATTCGATGAGTCGTAATCCCACGGAAATTCCATCTTCTTTTGACCCTGCTCTTCTTTATTCCGACTTTGACCCCGTACCGAATTCCCATTCAGACGATCTTGAGGCAATCCAGGCGTGCATCGCAGAGGATAGGGCCAGGAAAACCAACAAAGGCGTTGTCATTCAACACCGGGCCTGGAAACTTACGGACGTCTTCAGAAGTGAAGGTCAAGATAGCGTTGGTACTGCACGCTCATCCTAGCGCGGTCACCAGCGCTGATAATCTCAGATACGCCGTTAAAACACCATACACGCCTCCTGGTCCAGCGCATACCCGCTGATATATCCACCGACGGACTACCGCCACTGTCTTCGCCTCCTGTCCTCGCTATGCCGCTCATCTCATCGCCAATCGCATACCCACCGAGCTCCTCGATACCCCATGCCACGACACCACAGAAGCGGAAGCGGCCGATTGAGGTGCGGAGCCCGTTGAGAGATGTGCCGAACAAACAGATTGCCCGCAAGTTTGGGGCTTTTGTGGACGACTCGGATGACGAAGATGACATCGCGGCGCTGAAAGAGCATTCCTTGAAGCGGATAGCGGTCGATAGTGTCAGAGAACTCCCTTCGGCGCCAAGAGAGCTTACAGACTACACACCGCCTGCCAGTCAGGACGAGATCGCCGATGCAGAAGATGTGCCAGTGGAAGCGCTCGATGCGTACTTCGAGCCGCAACCGCAGACAATACGTCTACCACTGCACCGTGCTCCTGCCTCTGCACAGCCTATGCGTGGCACAGTAGCGCGGAATGCAGCAGGCAAAACGATTTATATTGCCAAGAAGGCAAAGAGGGAAGCCGTATCTTTCGAGGAGCTGATCGCAGCACGGTCAGAGGCCGTAGAAGGGAGGGCGAGGACAAGCTACTACGGCATCGACATCCACTCCTTGATAGATGAGGCAAAGGCTGAAGATACAGCAAAAGCATCTATGCAAGTTCGGGAAATCGAAAGTATGACCCACCAGTCAATTGAGGGGCCAGATATCACGGCTAGCAAGAGCAATCGCACGCTCATGTGGACTGAGAAGTACAGAGCAAAGAAATTCACAGACTTGGTTGGAGACGAGCGCACGCACCGCTCGGTTTTGCGTTGGTTGAAAGGCTGGGACCCGATCGTTTTCCCTGGCTCTGCTAAGGCAAAGTCCAAGAGCTCGAAGAAAGACTTTGGGGAAGAGGAGCAGAGGCATCGCAAGATTCTGCTTCTGACAGGTCCGCCAGGACTAGGCAAGACCACACTGGCCCATGTCTGCGCGCGGCAAGCTGGCTATGAAGTCCAAGAGATCAATGCATCAGATGAGCGCAGTCGAGATGTTGTCAAAGGCCGCATTCGAGACATGGTTGGGACAGAAAATGTCCGTGGCATCAGCTCCAACACTGCAAATGGAAAGGTGCGCAAGGCTGGCAAGCCAGTCTGTGTAGTAGTCGACGAGGTTGATGGTGTAGTAGGCGGCAGCAGTAGCGGCGGCGGAGATGGCGGCTTCGTCAAGGCCCTTATTGACTTGATCAATCTCGATGAGAAGAACTCGAAGACAGCCGGACAACAGTCGTCAGCAACGGGTGCAAAGAAGAAGAAAGGTGACAGGTTCAGATTGTTAAGGCCGCTCATTTTGATCTGCAACGACTTCTATCATCCTTCTTTGCGCCCGCTACGGCAGTCATCGTTTGCCGAGATTGTGCGTATTCGCCAACCGGCCTTGAACATGGTGGTCACTCGGATGCAAGACATCTTCAGCAAAGAAGGTTTTCAGTGCGATTCAGATGGTGTACGCCGACTTTGCGAAGCTACATGGGGCGTCAGTACAAAGAAGGAAGGCGGCACTGGCAGTGGCACCGGCGAAGGTGATATCCGAGGAGTCATGGTCATGGCGGAATGGGTAGCAGGGCGGCTGAAGACATCGCACAGCCTGAAGACTAAAGAGAAGCCACATTTGACGAAAAAATGGATCGAGGACAACTTCATCAATGACTTGAAGCACGGTGGTGGAGCAGCGCGCAGCCTTGGGCGCGGGGGTACAAAGGACGTTGTCACCCGAGTATTCAAAGAAGGTGCTGGCTTCCCCAAGCAAGCTGAGACAACAGATGTGCGAACGGCTGCTGCTCGAGCAAAGACGGGGGTCGTTGGCGTTGCTGAGGCAGCAAAGCGGCGAGCAATGGACCGTCTTAGAGAAATGATCGACACCAGCGGTGACTGCGACCGCATTGTGACTGGTATGTAGCTAGCTTCACTCATCGAAGTTGGCGCTAACCTTGTAGACTGCTTTACTGCCTACCCTGAGAAACCTTTCCAGGATGACACTCTCCTCAGCAAACCTACTGCCGCTTATGAGTGGCTCCACTTCCACGATGCACTCTCTTCCGCCGTTCACAGCTCGCAGGAATGGGAGCTGTTCCCCTACCTCTCCCAGTCTGTCCTTGCATTCCACAACTTATTTGCATCGCCTCGCCGCGAAGCCTCAAACCCAACAGCAGACGCGGATGCGCAATCGCTGCCTTTCTCTGGGCCGGGCGCGAACTTTGCTGCAGCCGAACAACTCAAAGCCAGTCGAGCACAACTCATGGGTCTTCAGTCCTCATTGAGCCTGCCACTAACAAGGTTGTTCAGGAGCCCAGAAGAGATGGCCAAAGAGCTGATCCCTTACACACTTCGTATGCTCTCGCCAGACGTCAAGCCTGTCATTGTAAACACCGGCCCTGCTGGGTCAAAGTCGAACGCTACAGCTGCTGTGCGCAAGTCGTCCGAGAAAGCGCTTGTCAAGAAAGCCGTTGAGGCCATGGCAGCGACTGGTGTGCGCTTTGAACGCAGTAGAGTCGAAACTGAAGACCCGATGAACCGCAGTGGTGGTTTCGTGTTCCGGATGGAGCCTTCTCTCGACACTCTTGCGAATTTCGAAACACTAACGGGCAAGGCCGATGACAAGGTGCGCTATGCAGTTCGTAGCGTGCTGGAGATGGAGTGGAAGAAAGAGTCTGCACGTATTGACATGGACAACCGAAAGCGGCGAGGCGGGCAAAATCACGAAGATCTCATAGAGCCCGAGGAGAAAGAAGAGGACGTTGCGAAGAAACTTGATGCAGCGAACAAGCAAGCGGTAAAGCGCGACTTCTTTGGCAGGGTCATCAAAGAGAAGCCACTGCTAGAAGGCGAAGTGAGGCAAAAGACAAAGCTAGAAGGCGACGAGGATCGCATTTGGGTCAGTTTCCACGAGGGTTTCAGTAATGCGGTAAGGAAGCCGATTACAATTGATGAACTCTTCAGAGGACTATAGGTACAGCCTAGACTCCACATCAATATCAACACATGCAACCGTGGTGCGGACGCCTCTCCTGCATAAATATAAGTAGAATCAGGGTGCGCAGTGGTCTTTCACTTCGATCAGCATCGTCCTTGCTAGCTCGTTGTTGCCCTTTTGATTACTGTCGTTGAATCACGCTGAAATCAGACCCCACGTGTCTGTAATAGGAACATGATAACCCGGCACGGCTCAGGTATGTCGAGATACTACTGCCCCACATCCGAGCGCTAAATGATCCACTTGTTGCACTGCACCTACCAGGTCTCACCGGACGTGAGTGCGCATCAAACGTCGATGCCAGCTCCAGAGACTTTTGAAGTCTTACCCAGAGCGCCAGGAACCTGGTTGTAGGCGCCCAGCAGTCGCCATTATTGTTGTCGCCAAAAAGGCAACCTGTCAAAATCTCCACAGGCCTGGAACTCAGGCTGCAGGGCTGCAGGATTGCCCGAAGAAAGCCCACCTGCAGGGCAATCGAGGCGCATAATCTTGGACAAGATCTTCAGACCCTTCAAGTAACACATCGCCGAGGATGGCACGTCTGGTCTGGTCTTTCGGATCAGGGGATAGTTGGGTCAAAATATAAGAGCGAATTAAGATCATGGCAACCACGGAGCACACGTGGCGCCTTCACCATCTAGGATTAGAGAGACGCTACAGGCCACTAAACCGCCCATGCGCGGAAAATGACCGTCGCGGGGCCGTAAATACCATGCTACAAGAAGTTAGGCATTGAGCACCACGATAGCCGCAATGCGGGGTGATTCGACTTTGACACAGTCCGGTGTATCTGCAATTGGTACATCACCGCGCGACGGCGAGCAACCACAGGCGATGCGATTTAGGAATACCCTAAATGTCCGCCATATTTGGCCGAATCGACTGGGTTGACGCGGTGCATGTACCGCTGGGCTGGGTACCCTCCTGCAGGTGTCCTGTCAACTAGTTTGAAGGCCCCCAAGCTATGTGGAGACCACCTGTTGGAGGTCGAGATGGCGACCCGTACTTAAGGAGGCAGCTCGCCATATCATGCCGTGGCCATATCATCCCAATCTTCCCCGATTGGATAACACTAGCAAGATGGGCATTCAAAACAAATTAGCTGACGGCATTGATGAGGTAGATGTGATCATCGCTGGTGGTACGTACGATGAGATTTATTGCATGACTCAAAAACTGATTCTGTATGGCAGGTGGCACGGCAGGCTGCATCATTGCCGGTCGTCTAGCAGAAGCTCATCCTAACCTCTCGATCTTGGTGATCGAAGGCGGTGCCAATAACAAAGATGTGGCTAGCATCGTGTACCCAGTCTTCTACCTGCAAAATCTCCTACCAACACAGAAGACTGCACTGTTCTATAAGGGGAACAAATCGAAACAGCTTGCGGACCGCGAACCCATTGTGCCATGCGGTGGCACTCTCGGCGGCGGATCGTCCATCAATTTTATGATGTACACAAGGGCACAGCGCGAGGACTTTGATTCCTGGAACACCGAAGGCTGGTCCGCTGACGAGATGCTGGAGCAGATGAAGAAGGTTTGTAATACCAGCAGATTGATAAGACAACAGGTTCTGATATATACGTAGCTTGAGACTTACCACGGTCCGGGTGACAAGGCACATCACGGCCAAGATGGTCCGATCCACATCTCAGATGGTGGGTTCCGCGTGAAAGACGCCGAAGAAGAGTTTATCAAGGCGGCCAAAGAGGTCGGTTACCCCGAAATCGAGGACCTCCAGACTCTTGATACCAACAACGGAGTTCAACGATGGCAACGCTACGTCTCACCTGAAGGAAAGCGACAAGACACGGCTCACAGATATATCCATCCTAAGCTAGAAGATGGCCAACACTCGAACCTTCACGTTCTTGTCGAATCCAAGGTTGTCCGGGTGCTCTTTGACGATAACAAGCGAGCTGTTGGTGTAGAGTACACACCAAACCCTGAATATCAAGCAGTAATCGGCCTTACTGCACATCCTGTGCAGACCGTGAAGGCACGCAAGCTCGTCGTCGTGACTTGTGGCGCGTGCGGAACTCCACCAGTTCTCGAGCGATCTGGATTGGGCGACAAGTCAATTCTCGACAAGGCTGGTGTTCCGGTTGTTGAGGAGTTGCCTGGTGTTGGAAAAGACTACCAGGATCACCATCTCCTTCTCTACCCGTACAGGACAAGTCTTGCACCCGACCAGACTATCGATGGTATTTTGAGCGGCCGCGTGGACGCGACTGAGCTTGTTAAGAACAATGACAAAATGCTGGGTTGGAATGCAATCGATATTTGTTCGAAGCTTCGACCCACAGAGGAAGACGTAAGCACACTGGGACCTGAGTTTAGAGAGTCGTGGGATCGCGACTTCAAGAACACACCGAACCGGCCATTGGTACTGTGTGGTCTCGTGTCTTGGTAGGTCTAATCAAGGTCCCCTGAGGATCATGCCACTAACACCCTACAGCTTCCTCGGGGATCCATCTTCTGTACCAGCAGGCCAATACGTGACTGCTGGTACCTACACAGCGTACCCATACTCCCGCGGGCACATGCACATCACTGGGTCATCGGTAGAGGACCCTCTCGATTTCGATGTAGGTTTCTTCAACGACGACCACGACATCGACATGAAGAAGCAACTCTGGGCGTACAAAAAGCAGCGCGAAATCCTTCGACGTACAAACTTCTACCGCGGTGAGCTGGCCGCCGGTCACCCCAAGTTCCCCGAGGGCTCCAAGGCTGCCGCTATCGAGATCGAAGAGCCGCTCTCTAATGTCGAGAATCTGGTCTACACCTCGGAGGACGACGCCGCAATCGAGCAATGGCTGCGCGAGAACGTCAACACAACGTGGCACTCGCTAGGCACGTGCAAGATGGCGCCAAGAGAAGACAACGGCGTTGTCGACGGACGGTTGAACGTGTATGGCGTTACAGGTTTAAAGATCGCAGATTTGAGTATCCCGCCAGAGAATGTGGGTGCGAACACCAACAACACAGCGCTGGTGATTGGAGAGAAGGCTGCGGAAATTATCCTTGCTGAGCTGAGCTCTACTGGTACTCCATGAGCATCTATCTGAAAGTCCTGTGTTCCTACAGAAGCGTATACCTTAGCCTTAAGCGAATGCAATTTTGAAGACGATCTTCTTCAGCTTGACAGTCGTCTCACACTTTCCTGTCTCCGTGTACTGCGAGGCAATGTGTAAGTTCTGCCTTATATTATGACCCATCGTTGAGCTTTCTCATGCATGCTTATCATGAGAATACATAGAAAAGAAGATACTTTCAACATGTCAGAGGGGATGGATCCTGCTTTCGTCCAGAAACAAATGTGCCTGTATACTTGTGTCCATAAGAAGAAATATGGGCAGTCGATGTTCCTACTGTCGGAGACAGTTGATACCTCGCTCCATTGGAGGTGTTCAGTGTGGCTGGCTATCAGAAAGATTTACGTTTACCACTAATCAGACAAGAACATAAAAGCTTTTCTACTCGAAACAGAAAACGGCTTGGAGTAACAAGGGAACTTCGAGCTATACTGCACAAGTTCCAAGGTTGGAAGGTGTTTTTGTACTGCCTTGCAAGATACACGCCTTAACTGCGAAGACGCCGCGTCCACACCATCGAGTTGTCGACGTCTACAGAAACATTTTGTCAAAAGTACATAGTCTTTGTAGAGTATCACTCTTCCATCGTTGTAAAGCTCAAGGGCGCGTGGTCCAACGGTATGACGTTCTGATCTGGCAGCCATATCGAAACCTCTCTGGTGGTGATGCAATGTCATCGCCGCTCGTGGAGGTGGAGAATGAGCCTCACTCAGGGAGATGCGGGTTCGATTCTCGCCGTGCCTAATTTTTTGGCTCTTTCAGGGCTCTATTTTGTACTTTGTACAAGTGAAGTCAGTAAGAGGGAAGGACAGGTAGTGCCAGGTGGCTTAGAGAAAGTAAAGGTACCTGTTCCTACCACAGTGCTAGTGCTAGTACTAACCGTTTACTGCAGGCAGGTCATACCTTTCTAGCTTTCTATATCTTAGCTGCAGCAAAGGTGCTGCCACAGCGAGGTTGTGTTGCAGGGCACAATGTTGCTACGCCAAAAGCGGTGTAGCCTGAAGATCAACTTTTGCCTTCCATTTATCCATCATACCTAGTAACCAATGCTCTACCATCAAGTTCATCTACATTCACTCTTGCTTGTGATGTTGCACCAAAGAGCAGAACCTGCGTCAGTATCGAGGCAATGTGTGGCAGGCGCAGTCGTGCAAGGCTGAGGCGCACAGCCACGTCAGGCGCCCAGCGCCCTTCACATGCCTGCCTTGTACTTTGTGTTGCCTTGAGCTGACATACTAATCTACTACATATCCGCCACTACATACCAGCTGTACTCTCATTCTCTACCATTCACACATCTATCAGCATGGCCCATCACACGCAAGGACTCGTCGCCCAACACCCGTTTATAATGGCCACAACAATCGACAAAATATACGGCTGCATCATCGGCTCTGCTCTGGGCGACACAATCGGTCTGTACACGGAGTTTCTCTCGAAAGCGCATTCTGCCAACGCGTATCCAGAAAAGAGCTTTACCCTCATTGAGCCAAGAACAGAGCCGTATCCGGATGCCCATCGCCTCGAGTTTGAGCCCTGCGGGTGGACAGATGACACCGACCAAGCTCTGCTGATAATACTTTCTTACCTGTACATCCAAAGCAACAAAACCAATGCAAATTTGGGACAGGAGTTCGCTGCGCGGCTACAAATTTGGGTGTCTCGAGGTCTACCCGCACTTGACCGTCCCGCATACGATGTCGGCATCCTCGTTGGAAGGGTTGCTAACAGCCATCGATTCTTGAATGACCCTTTCAAATGCGCTGTCGATTGCTGGACTGACTCGTCTCGAAAATCCGCACCTAATGGAAGCCTGATGCGCACGCACCCGATCGGCGTCATTGGAGTAAATCTGACAGAAGAGCAGACGTGGCGCCTGAGCGTTCAAGTCGGGAGGACAACACACGTAGATCCGCGATGCGTGGTCTCGTGTTGTATCTCTGTAGGTGTGATCCGTCAATTGCTGCGAGGCCAGATTCAGACCGAGAAGGATATGAACGCGGCGATTGAACGGGCGTACGACTGGGTACGCCAGCAGCCTGATCTAATGAATCCTGGTCAAAGTACCGGCCTGACTGAGGCTCAAATCCGACAGCACTTAGGGCGTCAAGAGTTCGAGAAGCACGTGTACGCAGAGACTCTAAAGGAGCTTCAACTGGACGACCAGTTCAAGATTGGATATGTGTACAAGTGCCTGGGATCAGCCATTCTTCTTCTGCGACTCGCGATACGGCGCACATCCGGAGCATCTGTAGCTGTTTGTATGATGGAGAGGGCACAACTGTTCGAGAAGCTCATGGTAGAACTGATCATGGAAGGCGGGGATGCCGACACCAATGGTGCTGCTGCTGGTGCCCTTCTGGGTGCGCATCTTGGCTACGCGAACTTACCTGCGCATTGGAAGCTGGGCTTGGCGCACAATGAATGGCTCATGGCTAAGACTGAGCGTCTAGCAATTGCAGCGGGAGCTATCGATGGTTCTTTGCACCGGATAAAGGATGAAGCAGCTGATGGCGGCAGTAAGACTACCAAGAAAACGTAGCTTTCTCATCACATCAATTCATTCGAGGTGAACATCATACAATCGAGGATAACTAGATTTTCCTTGTTTGTTGCTAGTCTACCCTTCCCGCTCGTATCAGTCACATGAACATGGTACATCCTGAGGCCTGCATTTTATCAAGCTCCTAGGATAGCCTTATTCGCCTGCGCAACTGCATTGACCTCCTTGATGATCTCAGCCCAATCGTAGGGAAAGTTTGCATACTGATCAGTCGATCGATCAGTGTAAAACAGGCTGTGGAACGCATCGCGATCAAGTCCCAGTATAGTACTTGTGTCCCTCTGAATCTTGTCTGTGGCGTTGCTAGCCGAGTGAATGATGATTGAAGACTTCTTGTAGTACTTCCCGTTTCCATTGCGCACGCCAATGTCGGGTATAGCCTCATATGCAGCTTGGGTGTCCTCGAGAAGGATAATGACATCGGCGACATCGAAGTATGACAGCTCAGTCGCTGCACCAGCGTTGAAAAGAACCTCGCCACCCGAAGCAGTCGTCAAAGAGGACTTTGAGTGGCTCGTGAGGTCAGCCATGTAGCTGAGGCAGCTGCCACCATCCTGGCCAGGTGCCTCGTCGATGAAGATGCTGTCGATGTGGATATCAGGGTTTGGTGTGCTCCAGCCTTCACACCCTTTGGTCCCCCAGCTTGCATAAGTAGTGATGTTTGCTTTCACGTCATCGACTGGTGCCGTGCAAAAGCAGATATCTTTCCCCGACGAGCCGCAGTCCCACCTGTTGGCGGTGTGCACATAACCCATCGTATCAATATTGGCGAATTTGTTGAGGGAAGCAATGCCCTCGACATAATCTTTGTTCGGGCAACCATTCGCCATCGGGATACTGCGCAGCCGCAGAGGTCAACGGCTCCCAAGCATTGTCGATTGGATACACATAGAGTGGAAAGAGGAAGTTGGCGTATTGTACCATTTTGACAGGTGACGGTGCAGGCCAAGAGAGTGCTTCAAATTAGTGAGATCTAACAATTGCAGCCATGAGCGTTTGTTCTTATAGGCTTGTGGATTTTGGGGTCCAAAAGGTTTGGTGGAGCAAAAATGCCGTACTCGTCTTACTTTTTTCAACCTCCTGCGCAGAACCATCCGTTAGCGATGACTGGCAGCTGATCAAAGGTTCTTAGACCGAGCCCATCGGGAAGGTGCTTTGTGGGTAGTGGATGGCGGGAGTGGAACCGGCTGAATCTCAACCATCTACACGCGTCGCAACCGGACAAATATTGTTCAGGCGTACCATCCTTCAATAGCGCATGCTTGGATGTCCCAGGCCACAGTTCCATGATCCCGCGCCAGCTAACTATGTGACGGGGCTAGAGGCGTCATTCGAGCAAAATCCCCGGTGGTGTGCCGTACCTGCAGCCGCACTTTTGCCGTCCAACGTGCACTCTATCGACAAGTAGGCCTTTCTGGTCAATGAGCGTTTTGAAGAGGCATCAGGACGCCCAGAGCGAGCCGTGCCGCGGACCGAGCCGTTCTCATCAACTCTGCAGATCGCTCCAGCGGCCGGCTGCATGCATCTTATGAAAGGACCAGAATTGACGGCTTCTCAACTGTCTCGGAGATTGAAAAGTATGCAGAGTGTCCGCCTGAGCTATTGCACATCTGCCTCAAGGCCAGTCAGCGCCTCGTGCAGAAACATCAGCTTATCCTGCTGTGACTTTCTAGCCTGGCTTTCAGGAACTGGACGGGCCCTCTCGTAATTGCGGTTCTGCAGGTGCGCTCGTTTTCGTATGGAAAAGTGGGGTAAAATAACGCCGTTTCCTAGGCTGGTGGCGGTGGCGCCACAAGTTCTTCTCATGCGATGAATTATGTAATCCCATCGTTTGGACTGTCGCCTGCAGACACGCGTGTCAGGATGCCTGCATGTGGATCTCAAGCATGATGCGGTGTCTGGCAGGCCTGTTTGATCTTGTCTGGATCGACGCCTGATTACTATCGTCATTCCCGTATAGCTCTCACTTTTGGACCAAACGCTATTGACGTGCACAAGGGGTAGGAGTCGGGGTCCAGTGATTCCTCACGCGCGGATAGTGTGCAGGCGTGGGCCAGATCGACGGGCGTTCTACGGTTATTGGCAGAATTTGCGGAGGCAAAAACCGCGTGGGGCGGGTCTGGATCGGTGAATCCACGAGTTTCGTTGTTACAGTAGTTGTAACAGTTCCTCCTGTGAATATCGTGGTTGTAACCGCTCTTTCAATAAATTTGAGAGATGTGCGGGTCGAAGTGAGGATTGTCGGGACCAGCCTGTAGGAGTAGATCGTCGTCGGCCGCAACAGAACAGATGTTGATAGTGCAACGGTACGGGTACTCAACGCTTGGACAGTCTTGAACTCTGGAATGGGCCGGAAGATGGTACGTGTCCATATATGGTGGCCAGGGGCAGTCCAGGTTGTCAGTTCCGTTATGGTCGTGTAGAATAACTTGGCAGAGAAGATCGTGGTCGTGTGCCGCAGCGTCACTGTCGCTCGGGAGATCTGAACAAACGGCTTTGTAGCTGTAATTGTCTGGACAGCTGGGAGGGCAGACGTGACGACCAAGGTCTGGATGGGTTTGATGGTAATGGTAGACGGGATTGCCGTAGCTGGGCATGGAATATGGTCTAGGTTTTCAAGGTCAGCTGCCGTGCAGAGTAGCATCTCGACTATACAGCAGATATGCCACTGTTCAATATAGGGAGTCAAACGGCTGCAAATATCAAGTACTTACAGCTAATCGTGCTGACCTCAAACATTGTGGCTGGTTGTGGCGGAAGAATGTTGCTCGTCTGTACGGGCTCGTAGATAGTGCTGAATTCGATGATTGTTGTTGGGAGAGGGTAGTAGAGGGTCTCAGTCTGGGTTATGATATCACGGATCGAGCGGGTCTCAGATATCGTCTTGTACTGAGTTATCGTTTCGTAAACGTAGTCTGGAGATTTTGTCAGCCTTTGCCTACAGCCAAGTTTATCATTTGAGCCTTCAGAAGAGACTGTACGTCCACGATCGATTCATAACCGCCATACTTTTCCAACCGCTGTGACTGGCGGTACAGGAATCTTGTCTCGCAACCAAGCTCGCACAGATCCACGTGACTTAAAAGAACTATAACTTACGATTCATGGTCAAGATCGCTGGCTCAAATACTGTGAAGGTTGTTGGGTGGATTAGTGTTGTCGTGCTAGTGATTACGTCTCCCGCATCCACAAAGATGGTTGACGTAGAGGTGATGCTGATGAGGTCGGTAGTGGTGCTGAGAAGTACAGCATTTTCAACGCGCGTTTGTGTGATGAATAGAGTTGTCGGTATTCTCTCAATCACCGTCAGGCTTTGAAGAATTGTGGAAAGATCTGAAATCGTGGTCGTCACATGAACGGTTCTGATACGTTAGCTACATGACGAGCCATTCGTGGCAATGTATAGAGGTCTCATTGTCCTGCGGACAAGAGATCTAGAATATTAACTCACTCAGTAATGGGCGGCAACGCAACCTCGATTGTCTCTGGCGAGTCTCTCGTCACGGTCGGGCCAGCAATATAAATAGTTTCAATAGTCATGGCTTGATAGACCGTCGAGACTAAAGTTTCGAGGTAGGATGTTTCCGTCACCGTCGTTGCGCATACACTATGACAAGCTGTTAGTACCTCAAGAGAGTAGATTTCGTACCTGATCGAACACAAAGGACGTGAATTGGAACTTGGTTCTACAGTGCAACCCGAGTATGCAGGTTGCTCATGCTCCATGCTGAATATGGGCTGACAGAAGACTAGTAAGCTCTGTCGCTAGCTGTGGCTTGGTCCATACAGAAATGGCGATTTATCCTCCAGCGGAGATTGTATGTCTTCATTGGTAGGGGACCTCCAGTTATAATCGGAATTCTTCCAGTTGGATTCCTAACATCTGGAGACGGGCTGTTCGTCCAACAAGGATGTTTTACCAGGGAAGTCCGGTTTTGGTCCAGATTCGTCTTCGATGATTTACCTTTCGTCGTGCGATACAAGTAAAAACAAAAAATAACAGAAACAAAGTTCAAAACGCAGCATAACAAAAATCTAAAACACTGGCAAACTAACCTGTCTTGGACGGACGTTTCAATGCTGATTTGGGTGATAGTCCTAGATGAAGTTAGCCGTGGGTCTGTTTTTCCAATCCGGAAGGCGTACAATGTAGTGAAAAGAGTGCTCTCTGATATGATAGTTGATGCATCCAACGTTACAATGACAGGGGCAGGCGTTATGAGTACAGTCGATGGGTCTAATGTGATCGTAGAGGGCTCCAGAGTCTCGGTGGTGCGAATGATGCTATTTTCGACAACCGTGACTGGAGGTGGTGTAACATAGACTGTTCTACAGGTAAAAAGTTAGCATCGTTTTTTGTTTGGTATCTGTCGTGCTTGTCTCTTAGGGCCAACTGCTCGCGAACATTTCTCGCGAGAAGTTCAGGCAGCCAAGGGTCTTGCCGTCGAGTCTTTCGGAGTCAATGATTGACAGAAGACGAATCTAATGATCTGTAGCAATATTGTTCCAGAGTAGCTGCAGTTGCTCGTAAAATGAGGCGGGGGACTATCGCTCTGGCTCTTGAAGCTTTCGCCAACTTACCCATTGAATGTGACTGTAGAAACCGGTAGAGTCTCCGTAACCCGAACAATACTTTCCACAGTCTGAAATACTGTAGAGGCATCTAGTGTTTGAGTCTCTCGGATCGTGGTGTCTATCCTCACGGTAACTGGATCGGGAGTTACGTAAATAGTGCTGTTGAAGAATCAAAAGTCAGCCTTAACATCATTACGAGTTTGTCTGGAGCTCGGTACACTTCAAAAACTTGCGCTGAAGCCGACACGTCTTGGAGATACCAGAGTCTAGTGTTGCACTAGATCATTCTGCTGTTTCGCCCATGTCTGTTACGAGGGTTTGATAGAGGGCAGAAGAAAGCTTATCTGAAGGCAACGGTGCTCGCTTACCCATTAAATGTCACTGTTGATGCTGGCAGGGTTTCAGTAACCTGGACTGTGCTTTCGCGTGTTATGGTGAGTGGATCAAGAGTCTGCGTGACCTATCGCAGCCGTCAGCAGTCGAACAGCACTCAGCAATGCGAAGGGTAGCCCAAACCTGTAGTGTTCGATCTTCAGTAATTGTGACAGCAGGGGGAGTCACATAAATAGTCCTAACACTGTTAGAAACTTCCGCGTTGGAACAAAGTCAAGCTTCTTTCGACTAACCCGTTGAAGGTCACAGTTTCTACTGGTAACGTTTCAGTTGTAAGTATCGTACTTATTAAAGATACGGTGATTGGAGCTGGTGTCGAAATTTCGGTCAAGGTTGTCAGTTGGGTCAAAGTTCTGTTGCTTTTGTCAGCAGCTGATTCGCATTGTCAGATCACGAGAACCGCGATGAAACGAAACAAGCAGACACGACAAATTGCAAAGTACGACGCAGACAATAATAAGATCCAGGAGCCAGATGGTTTTCAAGGTCTTCAAAGTCCAGGATCCAGGGTCCAAGTCCAGGGCATGGAGTGCAGAGGCAGGTACGGTCAGCTCGACTGTGAGTATCATGGCAAAACACATCCCACAATCGAGGTATGTCAGAGACAATGATATGGGAGATCAAGATTATGCATCCTACAGTCATGCAAGGGATACTGTTGACGCGACAGGCTTGGAATGTGGGGCGGACATGAGAGCGACCCTGCTTGCTCGACTGTTTCTTGCCGACACTTCCGGGTCTACAAGGCTGCACAGATAGCAGTGGCGATGGCCACTGCTGGTCTGGTTGTGTTTCTGTCATACTAGTTCTGTGGCATCCTTGTGTCAACTGGTCAAAAGGTGGGGGAAAGCCAGAACTGAAGTGAGATCTTGTACATGAAATTCATCGTACCTTGTTGCTGAAAGTGTGCTTAGCACTGTCTGAGGAAGTGTCAAGATTGATATTTGCACTTCAGTCGCAGTGGTGGTCCGTAGCTCGCTCGTAGTTGTTGTGATAAAGCTAGGTAGCTGGGTTTGAGTGACAGTTGTGATTGAAATGGATGGCGGTGGTATTGACAGAGATACAGTTGTAATGGTTACTGAGTAGTTAGTATGAGCTCCTCAAGTTGACAGAGATAGAGAGACTTTGGACTTGGAGCTAACCATAATGCAGCTGCAAATGTCACCAGTCAGGGAACGAGCTTACTAGCGAGATGTTAGTTTAAAATCGATTGAAATGTTTTGACGTGCAAAAACTGCACAACTTGAGGGGAAAGATATGTACCCTGCAGGAAGTATTGATGTTGACACTATAGTTACAGCCGGTTCAGTAAGAATCGAAGTGATTATTGACGTTACTAAATGTCGTGAAGCGTTAGCAAACGACTAATTCAAAAGTGCTGGTCCAGTTTTCCAAATAGGGAAAGATTGGCAAGGAGGTAGTCGCAAATCGCTTGCGGAATTCGAACAAACGTCGAGAGCCGTTCGAGCATCGACTTTTCATATGTTGAGTTTGTTTCAGACTTCTTAAAACCCGCGACTTGTGCAAAATCGTTGATACCGAGTAGAGGGTCTTGTAGGATAATTCGAAACTAGATATACTCGAACTTACTGCTCTCGGATTAGTGAAAAGTTACAAGAAATGGACCTTGCTCCAACGAGTCAGGAATACCTACCTAGCAGGAGGATAAGATATTGATACAATGGTCGAAGCTGGTATCACTGATGTGACTGTCACAGCAGGTGGCACTGACGTTATGGTAGACGCAGGCTGCACTGACGTTACTGTTGAAGCAGGTTGCACTGACGTTACTGTTGAAGCAGGCTGCACTGATGTAATTGTCACAGCAGGTGGCACTGATGTTATAGTAGATGCAGGCTGCACTGACGTAATTGTCACAGCAGGCTGCACCGATGTTATAGTTGAGGCAGGCTGCACTGATGTGACTGTTACAGCAGGCAGTATAGACGTTATGGTTGAAGCGAGCGGTATTGACGTAACGGTCACTGCTGGGAGGGTTTGGATTGAGAGAGAAGTGCTGATGGACACCGAGATCGAGGTAATAGTCCTGAGTTCATGTTAGTACTGCTAAGGTACGGCTTTCAGCCTAGTAGGATGTTAAGCAAGTCGTGTGCTTGCATTCTGAAGCGCCCAAGCATACAAAAAGAAAAACTTACGCGGGGATTGCCGTTGTTGTAGAAAGAGACGTTGTTGTGGAGAGCTGAATACTTATAGATAGCTGAGTAGACACTGTTGTGATGGTAATGTACTGAGTGACGACGGGAAGGGTTGCAGTTATGGTTTGTGCAGGAAGTGTTTGGGTTACTAGGTGAGCATGCGATCAGCCAGACTTCCTGAACCTACCGTAAATGCTGCTTTTCGCATGTTCAATTTCCCAAAAGCGGGAAGAGACGTGATTTTTTTTTGTTGGAAGGGTTGCGAAGTTCTTCGCGGAATTGCGCCACGGTATTTGGCTAGAAATGGATAACTCACTACATCAACGTCAGCAGATGTCCATGACTGAGAGAACTAATAACCCAGTCGGAATAATTCAGCATATCTACGGCCGGATTGACTGCAACAAAAGAGATCTAAGAGTACCCAGGAAGCACATATTGCGTGAAGACAGAATATACAGAAGAAGTTATGGTAGCAGTAAGTGTACTAGCAGGAAGCTGCTGTGTCACAAAAGACGTGGACGTGATTGAGATTGACGTCGTCGTTGTGGCTAGAGCTGTCGCTGTGCTCGTCGTAGTCGTGAGAGGAATTGTGACGCTCCGAAGTGATGTTACCTCAAAAAATTAGCAAAGTTCATGGCACAATGGAATGGTCCCAAACTGTGCTTGTCACTGTGGCTTGAGTAAGAAGTCCACCTAGAATAGACATAAGTTAGCGCGTCCTTTAGACGAGTCCCTCTTCCAAAGCTGATTGTCCAGCACTGATCGGCAAAACCTCGAGCCCAGACCTGACCAAATCTTACCAAGGGGGTTCACAGTCACGAAGGAGGTAGCTGTGGATATACTTGTTGTTGTTGCGAGTAGAGTCGACGTTGAAGTGACTGTAGGGGGCGTTACTGTTAGTGTCGCAGTTGTTGTGGATAGAACTGTCTGTGTTTGGCTCTGTGTGATCACAGCCAAACGCTGTTCTGTTACAGTGACAGTCGGGTTAACTGCTGGGTCCTGTCTATGTCAGCGCATTGCAGTGCGGAGCGTAATGCTTGTGTGCCATTGCCCAACGAAGAAAACATTTAACAAAAAGGAATTGACCAGATTCAACCCTATGATCGATCAGCAGAGTGAAACTTCCAAATAAGACTCCATTTGAGCTCCTGAATATCAAACCTTGCGGCGCATAAGTGCTACATATTGAGCATGTACAAGACCCATTCGATGCAGCTCTTGTCTGCAGATACGATAATGTTTTGGGAGGGACACAACCGACAGCGATCTGTGCCAACGCGTCGCCACATAGCAGTTGGAATCAGAGATAGTGTGGGTCAAATTCCTCAAGCTTCACGGGCCGATCTGAGAATACGGACCGATGTAAGATGAGGCTCTGAGGTTGTGACATAACAGGAATGCAAACTGCGCCCTCGCACATGCATGCTAGTATAGCCTTCAACTTCAGCGTATTAGTGAGCAAGGTAGAACTAACTGTTCAGGCGATTCTCAGTATTTTAGAAGGTTGATAAAGCGGCAGATTGAATGGCTAATCAATGAAATACAAAGAACTTAAAGGGAATTGTAAAATACCTCTCGCAGAAGGCCGACAGCGCGATCCAAATTGAACACCCGCAAGAACAACCTAATCTGGCTTTTGAGTGTCCGGTTTAGTTCTTAGTCTATGTTGTTCATATTGTCGCGCCGAAATATCTTGAGCATGGTGTGTCGGAAACATTCACGGCGCACGGTGACATATGCTTGATATCATCGAATGGATAAACAACTTTCCTGTCGTTGTTGTTAGCTTATAAAGCCTTGCGGACGTTGTTGGCGTTGAACATCACCTTTGTTCCTTTGCAGTAGCAAACCTATAAAGTCGAACTTTTACCTTTATTCTTATCCATCATCATTATAAGCTTCTCAAGACAGCACTTTGCCTCAGACGAGAATTTGAGTAGCCCTTCATACCTCGACAATCAGCTCAATCCATGGAGACTCTTCCTTCCGGTGTTATAATTGCCATAGGTCTTGCTGCCATTCTAGTCTTGGCAATGCTACTCTGGGTCATTCGCAATGAACTCTCTTGCTGTCGCGGTAGTCGGGATATGGTGTAAAGCCTTGATTGGGGGTGATAATAGATGTGTACAGGGGGGGTATTCCTCCGGTTGATAGCTCACGGGTAACCATCGAAAGTTTGGCCAATCCACAACAGCTGCAACACCCTCCTAGAGCTTTTGACTTGCTAGATGCATGCCGCGCCGGCACACTGTATCAGCCCGACGTGTCCCCCCCCCTGTATCTTGGGGTCGTGTATGATGCCGCTGGTTCGTCTCTAATATTAGATTCCCAAATACAATGACATCACTTGGAGGCTTGTCGATCAACCAGATTCTTTGCTGCTTACTCTAGTGCATACTGAGACTGTGCATACACCGACTGCTCTCATCGCCATTACCACTGTGTTAGCCAGTCCCGCCTTTGCTCCTTGCGATTACAAAAGAGTCCTCGTGCACGGCGTCTCCTACGCATGTTGGTCGTAGGTCACATCTTATGGTGGATTCTTTGGCGCCTGCTTGGGTAAGAAGCAACGTCTGATAAACCTGTTCAACGTCGAGAGCAGTACCTTCTTTTCACAGCTTCTCGAAGTGTTTAGATGGAGTTGCTTAATGTTGCAAGCTCACACATACGAAGTATACGTGGTACGGCAGCCTAGCGCTGCGGGGAGCTTCAGCACAGGCCATGCCCCGCATGAGCTTCCAGCAATAATTGAGCTCTCTTCCTCCAACGACACACTTGCTTTCTTCGCACTGTCACCCTACGCATAATGACCAGTGCCTACTACCTCGCAAAGCCGCCTAGCAAACCCTTCAGTGGTGAATCCGAAATGGCGCCATCTGTGCCACTCGACGAAATACCGACACTCAAGCTGCTCTATATGCTCAAGAAGATCGAACCTACCGCGAACAACACGCCCGAATATTCACCAAGTTCCACATACAATGACAGAATCAGTGTCATTCGCCAAGACATCACCACGCTCGCCGTTGACGCGATTGTAAACGCTGCAAACACGTCGTTGCTTGGTGGAGGTGGCGTCGATGGCGCTATCCATCGCGCAGCAGGCCCTGAGCTGTTGGATGAGTGTGGGACACTTGGTGGCTGTGAAACTGGCAGCGCAAAGATTACGGATGGCTACGAACTGCCTGCTGACAAAATCATACACGCTGTGGGACCGATCTATTGGAATAAGAACAAGGATGACGCGGCAAGATTGCTAGCAGGCTGCTACAAGACAAGCTTACAACTAGCTGTTGACAACGGCTGCAAGAGTATTGCGTTCTCGGCCATCAGTACTGGTGTGTACGGCTACCCTAGTGGTGAGGCGAGCTTGGTCGCTTTGGAGACTGTGCGCACATTTCTGGACGAAGGCGAGAACGCAGATAAACTTAGCCGCGTCATCTTCTGTAACTTCCTCGAGAAAGACGAAAACGCATACTTCAGAAACATACCGTAAGCGGGACTACACCAGCTTTCCGAATCGAACTAATTCTCGAACAGGACATTTTTCCCTCCTGCATCTGATGCGGTAGAAGGTCTTGAATATGACACAGAAGAAGAGCAAGAGGAGGAATCAGAAGCAAATGCCGCAACTGAGATTCTTTCACAGCTTCCAGACGCTCCCACCAACGAGCCCGTAGATGTCGATCATGCCGAGCAACCGTCGCAGAAGAAGCAGAAGACCGATGATGTTTCAGATGACGACTTTATCGTGGTCGATAAGGAGGATACGGAGGAGACGAAGCCAAAGGCAGAACTCTAAGCAAAGTATCCGTTCGTGACAAAGATGGATGGTCGTGGGCTCGTAATGAAGCTATGTCTGTCCCTCTCTCTTTATGATTAGCACTGGCGTTACGGAGGACACAAGAACGATACCCTGGATATCACTGAGTTGGACACGTGGGATGAATGAAACAGATAAAGAACTACAACATCTCGGCTCACACGCCCAATTGGATTAACAATTGTGTTCACTGACAAGGACAGATGTCTTGCGGTTTTGGAAACCGGAGAGCGGGTTCAGGGTGTTTGTGGAGAACCAGGTGGATCAGTCTGAGCTTCAGAACCTGGGGTACTGCTAGTAGCAATGTTGGGGACGACATCCTCAACGATCTCGAACTAGATACCCGACTGCGGAGTCGAGCCACACTTCGGTCAAACGCCGGTTACGTGGGTTACAGCGTCCTTACCGTTCTTGGTAGACGATGGGGCGCATGCATCGCCAAGTCATGGCTGTCGACTATCAAACTTGGAATCATCTTGGAGACCCACAACTCCACAACGAACAGTCCGACTGGAGTGGGGTGTGAAAGCCACGATTTGGTGCGTTCCAGGACCTCGCCACCGCGGTGTTAGGTCTGCCGACCTTCTTCGAATCTGGTGTTTACGAGGGCGGCTTCGTCTTCGACCTCTTCAGCTCTCGCTACGCGGCTCATCGTGAGGCTGAAAACGAGAGCTTCGTCTCGAGGTCTCTTTAACCGAAGGCGCCCCGTAGCCACTCCCGCACGGCGGCAAGGCAGGTCGCCAAGTCCGCTAAGGCGAAAGTCCTGGAGAACGTATCCGCGGCCGTGCTTACTACGCTGCGATGCCCAGTCGCTGCATGAGGTCCAACTCCCGCTCTTTGGGCTAGCTGCCGGCATTACTGCCAACCTGACGATCTATATGTGATCACCCTGGTTCCGTGTCATTCTCGTACGTGCCTTCAACGTTGTAACGTTCGGGAAATGAGCAAGTACTGTTGGTGGGAAGACTCTGCCACAGCAAATCAAGAAACGGCAAATCCAGCCACCAGGCTTGGAGTTTTGCGCGAGAACCGCACGGCCTTGCTCATGCGACTTACGCTAGTTTTAGGTCTCACTACGAATCGGACGTCCGACTTGAGCCTTGCGTGAGGATCTTGGTAGAGTGCGCGCAGAACTTTTAAAAAACAGGAAAAGGAGATAGCTCATGCAAACCTCGAGCACATCTGGTTCTTAAGTTATGAACAACACATAGTATTGGGCCGCGTCGGAGAACTGTTACCTTCAAAAGCGACACATGGGGTTTGCAAGTTAATTACCCAATCGGGTACGCCGTCAACAACCAGTCTTCCCCGCAGTTGCTAGCCACCGACGTCGCGGGGTAGCGCCGTTGCCGATCTCTACGCACAACACTAACATTTCCGCCCGCCAAGAAGACTTGCTGCATGCTTCGACCTCTCCCTACCAATAATATTCCCACTTTTCTGCCAAGATGCAGTCAAGCCATCACCCTGTTCGTAGCCAAGCTACTTTGCCCCCAGGTTTTGTGCGATAATCAATGGCGTTATCTAAACGAAGAAGGTGTGTGGCATGGTATGGCACGATGTGTAACCCTCGTGCACTGCACCCCGCGTTGTATGACTCGATCCTATGGATGGTGGTAGTTCTGATGCCGATATGGTATCGGCTGATAACATGGCGACTGAACGTGAGAGAGAAGTATAAGAGGACCACCTCCGACGTCTTCAGCGCGCATAAGCTTCGCCTGATAGCAAACGCTTTTGGATAATCAAACCCCACATCGTTTAGACCTTCGAATACCTTTGAACAAGTACTCCCTGGAATGGGCTGTTTTACTACTCATGCATCTGGCACGTTAGATCCTCCGGAGGTGAGGAACTGGCGCCTCCATGTCATCGCCTGTATTGCCTCTATGTCGGCCCTAGCCAGTAAGTGACCGTCCTTATACTCATCGAGGAGGATAACATGTACTGAGACAAACAGTGGGTTACGACACCGCCGTTATTGGCGGAACTATGGCCCTCGACTCGTTCAGACGCGATTTTGGGACGAACAACATTCCTCAAACTCAGCGTGATACGATCCAGGGCAACATTGTTTCTACTTTCCAGGTACCTAGATCAAACTCATTGTGTGCAGGCTGTTACTGACCATCACTCAGGCCGGTTGCTTCTTCGGCGCCCTGTTCGCCTTTCCGCTTGCGGAAAAGCTCGGTCGAAAGAAAACAATGATCATTGCTTCATCAATCTTCCTCCTCGGAGGCACGTTGATGACGGCTGCCCGTGGCAGCCTCAACATGATCTACGGTGGACGAGCCGTTGCAGGCTTGGGAATCGGTGCATCATCCATGACTGTGCCCGTCTACATTGCCGAGATTGCTCCCCCGTCCGTTCGAGGTCGTCTGATTGGCATCTTCGAGATCGCCTCTCAAGGTGGAGGCATGTTGGGCTTCTGGATCAACTATGCCTGCGACCGAACTATCAATGTCAACAGCCAAGCCCAGTGGACTATTCCGCTCGCTATCCAACTCATCCCTGGTCTCCTTCTTCTCCTCGGTGTTGCATGGTGCCCGGAATCGCCACGTAAGTCGAGTCTCTCACGTTCCCAAGTAAATTTACTGATCAGACTCAGGTTGGTTGGCCCGTGGTGACAACTTCGAGGGAGCCGAGAAGATCTTGACCCAAATCCGTAACCTTGACTCGTCTCACGCATACATCCAGCATGAGATGAGTGAGATTCGCGCGCAGGTCGAGGAGCGCAGTACCAACCGTATGAGCAAGAAGGCACAATTCAAGAAGCTTTTCCAGAAGGGTGTCCGAAACCGCATGGCCATCGGTCTCGCCCTCATGTTCTTGCAGAGCTTCACAGGAGTAAGCCAGCGCCATTCAAATCGAACTGCTTGTCACTGACGACCACTAGGTGAACATTATCACATACTACGCTCCACGTATCTTCGAGACCCTCGGTATCTCCGGCACCTCCCTCAAGCTGTTTTCCACTGGGTTTTACGGCATTGCGAAGACGCTCGGCATGTGCACCTTCACCTTCGTCGTCGTTGAGCGTGTCGGCCGCCGCAAGGGTCTCATCTGGGGCGCCGCGCTTGGCTGCATCCCTATGTGGTACATCGGCGGTTATGTCATGAGAGCTGATCCTGCCGCCGCAGCCGCCGCAGGGAATATCAACCGCGATGGCTGGGGATACCTGGCCATGGTGTGCGTATACATCAACGCCTTCATCATCTGCGCGACATGGCAGGGCATCACGTGGACGTATGTTGTAGAACTGCACTCATACTTATATTTTACTAACTCCTAATAGTTACGCGTCGGAGATCTTCCCCCTCGATATCCGCATGCTGTGCGTGTCGCTGACCACCGCCGACACCTGGCTCGGATCCTTCATCATCGCCCGCAGCACACCCTACATGATCAGCGATCTCGGGTACGGTGCGTATTTCTTCTTTGCCTCTATCCTGGTTGCCATGGGCATCTGGAGCTTCTTCTTCGTGCCCGAGACAAAGGGCATCACGCTCGAGGAGATGGACGCGCTGTTCCTCAAGCCCATGCACAAGGCTGTGTGGGCCCAGGTCAGGGGCAAGCCTCTCTTCGTCGATGAGGACGAGGTTGCGCGAGGAAAGGGGCTGGATCCCGTCAAGGAGAAGAACATGGGTATTGAGCATGTCGAGTCCGTTCCACGTAATAAGCGCGGGATGTAGACCCTCAAGGGTCCGGTTCGAGTGACAATGACCTGCTGTCGGCGTCTGCGATGGAAGTTCGTGGCTGCACGGGTCGATAACAATATAACACTTAATCCGTCTCAATATGTTCTTTTGCTGTGGTGATTGGAGGTACTGGTCTCAATGTGGACAAGGTGGCTCGTCTGACAATCTTATGCCGTGTATAAATCCCAACACATCGAGTGGCACATCAGTGCCGATATAAAAAAAAAAGCAAGCTGCGTCGCGACCGTGAGAAAACTTACTTACAGCTACAAAAGAAACGCGCTGCCAAATTGATTCTCTCAAACCTTACAAAACACCAACCCTCGCCGACGCCCTCCAGTCCAAACTCGTCTGCCGCTGCAAAATCCTTCTCAGCGGACTCCCCTTCGAGTCCACAACAATACGCTTCGGCTTCTTCGCATCGACACCCAGTTCCCGTACCTCAATCACCACAGCACCAGACTTGACCGCCTGCGGGGCCGGCTTTGCCCACAGCGCTTCCTCGTACGCGCGGATCGTGGCCTCGGAGTTGAAGTGTTCTGCGAGAACAAGTGCAGGCTTACTGAGACCCCACAGTGCGGTTTCGTAGGCACGGATGCGGGACTCGGAGGTCAGTTGGATGGGCTGCCGGGATGCGAGGATGGGGGAGTCGGGGGAGATGACAGAGTCTGCGCGGTCGGATAGCTCGTCTTCTTCCTTGCTTCGCGGCGGAGATGTTGGAGCTGTTGTCTGGCGCGAGAGAATGCGACGGAGTGGTGTGTTGCTGCGTGGTACTGGGACTGAAGGGGAGGCCTGGAGCGAGACATCCGGGAGCGTAGGCGCAGTAATGTTGCCTGTCGTATCCTTGGCATGCTCTGTAGACTCCTGACGCGATAGTATGCGCCGAAGAGGCGTGTTGTTGTATCTCGCTTTCCTGACCTCCAGTGACTCGGGCTCGTATGCTGAAGCCTGACAGGACGTGCCGTTCCTCTGCTCAGTTGATACCTGGCGAAACAAAATGCGCCGGAGAGGCGTGTTATTGTACCGCGCCTGAATGGTCTCTGGTGACTCTCCGAGGATCTCGCTATTCACGAGAGTATCGGTCTGGCTGAACGCATCTTCCTCTGATCTTGCAGGCGTTGGCGAGGGGTCGCCTGACGTTTGACGTGCGATGATGCGGCGAAGGGGTGTATTATTGTAGCGCTTTTTGATTTGGATGCGGTCTGCAATCTGCGTGCTCAGCTCCTGCAGTTGCTCCAGACTCAGCGCTGCAATTGAGGACTTGGAGAAGTCCGTATGATCGTCACGCGAGGTCGAAAACACTGCTTCTGTTGAGGTCCGGACCTGACCTGTTGCATCTTTTGCGCCTGACTGCCAGCTTGCGGGGTGAGTTGTCGCATGGTCATGGTCGAAAGCAGTGCGGCTGCGCTTTCGCGGTTGGACGAGCAGCATATCGTCCTCCTTTGTCCACGTATGTTCAGGTTGATTGAATCGATCTCCTTGCAGCAATATATGTGTGGGAGCCACAAATGTCTGACTGTAGATAGTCCTCGTACTCGATAGCATGCCCTCAAGGCGATGGTGTAGGTCAATCAGCAAGCGTCAAAATGCGCTGCCGACTGCCTATAAGAAAGTCCATGATAGGCGAGATAGGAGTTCGGAAGCACGCCTTTTCGGCGCGATCCCGTCGTCCGCTGCCTGAGAGTGGTTCGCGCTGATGGTGATTTGGGTTGGGTGGCTCGGCAGGCCATGAATTGGTGATGGCTATTGGCGCCATTTATTGCGCCATTTGCTTGGAAATCGCATCACCCACCACAGCTGACAAACTCAGTATGTGTCAAGGGTACCATATTCAATACGCCAAACAGGAGCAATTGGTGTTTTGGATTGCACTTGGCAGGGTCCGGCAATCTGTGGTTACAAAAAGAGCCAAAGTACATGTAATAGTGATTCTGATTAGGTCCCACAGATATGCGACCATTGCGATGCTGTGATGTAGTCAGCAGCTTTCCAGTACTTTGTTAAAATCGTTGCTATCCTGTATGCCATCCTAAATTGTAGGTCTCACCCCTCGTTGCCGAACGCGTTTAAGACAGCAAAAATTCTCCTAAACGCCGCAGTCAACAAGGGATCAGATAAAGAACCTATGACGGTAATCAGGACCATCATTGCTGTTCTAAACGCCGCATTCGCTCCATAAAAACTTGTTGTTGGCTTTTTCTACACTTAGTATATGTCTCTATTCAGTGCAAAACGGTACATGTCTTCATAGCCCATGATTACATATCTCTGAGACCGCAAATTTTAACATGATTGTGACAACTCAAGTGGTCGATCTTCGAGAGTTCGGTCAGCCTTGGGACCCCTCACCATCTACTGCGTCCCAAACTGCCCACCCTTTGGCGGCTGCACCACGCCATCCGCAGTATGTTCCTCCCCGCTTGTCTTCCCTCCAGTAAACTTAGTCTCTCCCACCGGCCCCGTCCGCTCCCCCACACCACCAGCCGGCGGCGGACTCGTCGTGCCCGGCCCACCGTTCCTCTCCCAATCAATCCAGCTCCCCGGATACTCGCCCACATTGGTGTAGCCCGCTTGTCTGGCGATGCCCGCTGCAGCCTTGCTTCGCACGCCCGCCTTGCAGAAGAAAATCATCTCCTTGCCGGTGGGGGGCTTCGCAAACCCGAACTCGTCCTGGAACTCGGTGGGCGAGAGGAGCAGCGCGTCAGGGTGCGAGGTGATGGGGAGGTTTATGGCGGTGGGGATGCTGTTCGCGGCATACTCGTGGGGTTCGCGGACGTCGATGAGGAGACGCGAGTCGGAGGGGTTTTCCAGGATGGACAGGACCTGCTGTGTGTCAGACAGAGCTTGGCTGGTGGCTTGGGGGAAATGGGAAAGTGGAATTAGAGCGACGTACATCTTCGAAATCGTAGACCCTGCCGCGGCCATCTGGGCGCTCGGAGATGAACCTCCGCTGCGAGAGAGGGCTGGCGAAGCTGATGGCTGACTTCCCTCGCAGGCTGCGGATGCTCCGAGGCACAGTGGTGAAGTTGCGCAGACCCATGCTTGCTTCTTTCGCAGGTAGCACAGCAGCGCGTGTGGCTGTTCGCTGCGCCGCGCGCGCGCCGAGGCGCAGAGCCATGGATGCAGACTTGGATGCCATTGTTGTAATCTCGAGTCTGTTTCGAAAAGCACAAAGTCTGGGGAAAACGTCTCCAAGCAATGAGAACACAATGAACGTCGTTGCGCTGCTAGCTCGATCAATGACGGAGTTGTGGAGCTCGAGCTCGGAGCTAGACAAATTATCACCGACGTCAGTTCTACGCGACTGCACGTGCCCACCAATTCACGACAATCAACAAGGAGTGGCGTTGCTGAGATCACGCGTTCAGACGGTCAAACACATGGAGTATTGAGCAGCAAATTGGTATATATTCTTTTGCGCCGAGGGGGAATCATCTCAAGTACCACAAGCGCCAAATTACAAAAACAACAAAAGCAAACTACAAAACGATAGCAATGATATCATGCGCAGCACTTCAACACCAGCCTAAAGCAGTAAGTTGCTTTTACACTTGATTCGCCAGTATAGAGAGGGGTATAATTCTTTTGTCGTTTCGCGAGACGCGTGTGCACCGGTACAAACGCGTGAGCTGGACGGGGTATTCTTCGTAAAGGTATGGCCGGCGCAGAATATCAGATAGAGTGGTCGAAATGGTGTATCATTTAACGAGGAGGCCCAATAGGGGCCGGGTATCCAGATGCAGAATGAGAAGTACTGGGGCGACCGCTGTCCACGGAGCCCCGCGGGTCGTACCGGGGAGTGACGTCTCCAGGTGCCGCGGAAGAAGAACCAAAAGGAAACTTGGATTCGTAACGGGGGGTTGGCATGGGTTGGGGCCAGCCATTGGTGTGATGCTCGTCGTCGGCAAGGTTGATGCCGCTGTCGTTCCAGGGGTTGCGGTAGCTACCGGTGGACTCGAGACTGGCAAGCGAAGCCTTGGAAGCATTGCTCGAGGCATGCTTGAACAGAGATCCCGGAGAGTTGGTGTTCTTACGTCCATTAAAGATGGACGTGAATGATGACATGCTGCCTGGTTTGCGGAGGCGATCAAGCATGCCAGGAGGACGCGAAGTGTCCTCGTCACCGAAATGGGAGCGGGTCGGGGAGTCGGTGCTCTCGACGGGCGGCTCAGCTCGTTGGAGCAGCTTGGACTCGAAGAAAGGCAGCGAATCTTCGAAGGAGTCGGACTTGGGACGCGGGAGATTGCCGCTGATGGTGTTGGCGTCCAGTCCATGCATGACGAGGTGGTTGATCAAGAAGTCAAGTGCATCTTTCAATCCACCAGCGTTGTTGCGGGTAAAGTTGAGATGGAGTGTCTCAATCGTTTGCTCCTTGTCCTCCACTGTCTCGGTAGTGGGATCCTTGAGACGGGCGTCAACAACGTGCTGAGTCTCAAGTTTATCCAAGACCTCAGTCTTGAAATCAGCAGAGCGCATGTGCTCAGAAAGCTCGGCAGAGGACGGGAAGGAGAGCTCGTGAGCTTCGGGAACCATACCCTATGAAATGTTAACGTCGGGGGACAGGTCGATATGGCAGATAGACTTACCAAGAACTCGTCAACTGCCAACGGCACCTGATACTCAGGGCCAGAGACGGTGACAGTATCACTCGCTTCCTCGGTGCTAGGGAAGGTGATCTTGCAGTTGAACTTCTTTTCAAGCTCGTCAATCTTGTCCAAGCGAGCAATGAGCTCGCGATGGTACAGACGGTTGATGTTGATCGTCTCGGAGACGAACTCAGCGTCAGCCTTCTCGACCATGTCCATGATCTCCTGCTTCACGAGGTCCAGGTTCTGAGCGTTGCGAGCAGGCGTACGGCAGATGACGTTGTCGACCTTGATATCGTCTTCCTCCTTGCCGAAGCCTCCACGGTCCATGGCGTTGGAAAACTTGACGAAGACAGAGTATTTCTTCATGATCCGCTGGATGTGCTGGCCGCCAATGCCGATAATGCGCTTGTGGTACTGGTCCGGCACATGGAAGGAGATGGCGGCAGGCATCTCCTGTTCGACAAGGTCGAGGCCGTTCTTGGTTGCATCGTACTGCGCACCACGTACTACGATGTAGAAGTTGTACTCATTGAAGCCGTCGAACACAATTTGCACGCTGCTGTGGCTCATGATTTTGTTGATCTTGCCGTTCTTCTTACCGCTGACGAATTCTTTGTGCTCATTGGCAAGCTCAATCTTAACACTCATGTTGTACTGGGACTTCTTCACGAATGGGATGTTGCTAATCACCATCAAAGCAGCTCTCACAGCATCATCAGATCCATAAATGTGGAAGTTGAGCTTTTCGAAGCTGACCTCAGCACCGGAGTTGATGCAAATGTCGGAAAGCATGGCGCGCACGTCAGCTGCGGTGGGTGGACGCTGTGTGGGGTCAGGGTGGGTAATGAACCACGAAGCACTGTAGAACTGTCCAGCCTGCTCATTGTAAGTAAAGTGGGCGGTTCGCCGTCGGTTTGCAACTTACAAGCGCCATCAGTTCGCGGACTGTGCGCTCGACGTGCAGGACATCGGTGCCTTGGACGCGAACAACGCCACGCTGGACACCAAGTGGTGGGAGCAAGATGTAGGATCCGTTATTCTCGATGATCTTGCGCACTTTGTCGAGGCGCTCGAGGAGAATGGCATCAAGCTTGGTGTCAGTTACCATCACGGGCTTCACGAAGACCTTGGTAGACATGACAAGATCATGCAATCGTTGCTTGGCACGCAGAATACACTCCGAATTCTCGCCTGTGATGTAGACCAAATCGTCTGGTCTTCGCTGCGCGCCCGGGGGCGTGTATCCAAACAGTCGCGGGAAAGGTGGCGGGAAGTAGATGGCGGTTCCGGTCGCCGATTCGATGATCTTGATGTTCTTGCGTCCGCGGCCGCAAATCAAGGTATGCATCGTCAACTCGAGCTTCATGGTATCGACGTATCGCTTCAGCTGAAAGCGGACGTCAGCAGATGGCACGGAGCCGGGAGCGGGCGGCGGGGTGGAGACTCACTATCTGGTCGATCATGATCAACACACGCGTCTTGGCGTGCTCCATGGTTTCCAGGTCGCCGTAGATGGCGCAACGCAGACGCGGGTCCATGGTCGAATCGAGGTTGCCGTTGAAGCTGGCCGACTCGATGTCGGGCGTCTTGGGCATCAGCAGGAAGATGTCGGCCTTGGTGGTCTTGGAAATGAGGTCCAGCTGGTTCAGCACGGCGCCCTTGATGTTCTGGGTGGGGCGGTCGATGATGAGGTCCGAGTCGATGTCGACGAACGACGAGCGCTGGGGCGAATGTCAGCCACGGCACGAGGACGCTTCTGGGCGCAGCCTACCAGAGAGATGGGGGTCGAGTTGAGAATCTTGCACCGCATCGAGTTGACAATCTCAAGCTCGCCTGACAGACACACGTTGGTGACGAGGGCCCGCAGCGGCCCCCGCTGCAGGCCCGGCAGCGGCTTCGACTCGGCAGACACGACCGTGGCCGAGACGCGTCCCTCGGTCTGCTCGCCGACGTCGCGGCACAGGGCGCGCAGGTTGTCAACGTTCTGGGCGTGGACGGGCAGCTTGTGCGTCGGCGTGCCCTCTGCCGTCCCTTCCGGCATGGCCCAGCGCGCCTTTGCTCCCGGGCTGGCCCACATGACGTCGTCGGGGTCGGGCCCGGCGAGGTTGCTGCTGAAGGGCACGTTGAAGCTGAGGTTGACCTGGGTGCCCGGCGGGATGACGGGGGGCGCGGAGGTCGCGGTGCTCGGGCGCTTGATCGGAGCTGTGACGGGCATCTCGTGGTTCGACCGCGAGAACGGAAAGCCGGCCGACGGCGTCATCTTCTCCCAGCCGTGCCGGGCCTGACCCGTAAAGTTGGAGATCTTGTGCATGCTAATGGGGAAGAGGCGCCCTTGGGGGTTGCGGGCGGGCGGTGGTGATGAGGAGGAGAGAAAGCGTCGAAGCGAACGTAGCGAGCCATTGAGCAAGGCTGAGCCGGGACGGCCAATCGACGGCTAGCGCACGCTCCACCGCCGACGCACCCACGGTGCCCAAAAAGCAGCCACGCAGCCCATTGGTGCTGGCCAGTCATGGCTGCCAGCTGCCAGCTGCCAACCGTTGCGCCTGGAGCCGCTGCGAGCGCCCGCGCCCGCGCTGCACGCTGCACGCTGCAGAGTGCGAGGCTCTGCAGCGGAGCTGACGAGCAGTGCCGCTGTGCCGTGCCGCTGGCCGTCGCGCGTGGCCATTGTGCCATTGCTGGCTGCGCGCGCCGTGGTTGCCTGCACGTCTACCACTCCTCGCCAGGGGTCCGATAGCGGGCCACAGACCACCCACTCGAGCCTCAGCCCTCACCACTCACTTCGCATCCGTGCTGAGCCGTGTTGTACATCGTCTTGTCCCTCGCTGCCACCGTGCCTGCAAACAGACTCCCCACCTGTTGCGTTTCACCTTACTCGCCCACGAACTCTCTCAGCCAAAGTTTGGCCTCCTGCGTCAGCTGCCCACGCTGCCGCATCCCGTGACTTCGAGACGCACAGCAACCTCGTCCGCATGCATGCCGTGCCCGCCGCCTGTGTATGTCGACGCAGGGCGCGAACGCCTGTGGTGACACGTCCCGCCTGTCGTGGAATGAGTCCGTGAGACCACGGCGACTCACTCTCTCAGACAGGCAGCTCGGAGCCTTCTTTGCAGGTACAACCGAGTGGGCGTGGCACGTTTGTACATCTATGACATGGGTGCTATCTTGCTGGGCCCTGTTGCCAGCATTGCCCTTCCGACGTCTCCCATGTCCCAGCTCACTGTCGGTCCATGGATTCCACCGACCAAATTTGGTCGTCCGTCATTTCATCATTCAGTCCTGTCTATCCGCCCACCTATTGGTGCTGACGTGTGCCTCCTGTTTCTTGCTATCGTTTTCGTACAGACACGTCCAAATCAAGATTCACGATTGAGGCTGTGCAGAAGCTTGTGCTCGGGACGTGTGGAAACATCGTATCTAGCCAGGGCAACTCGTCCGTCAGTCCGTCATATGCACGTGAACATCACTCGCTTTCCAGGGTAAGATGCGCGCAACAGCAACAAACTGTTGTCCGTTGTACCCACACGAAAACGGTCAGTCTCTCCGCCTTGACGTTTAGATGGATGCTCACCTATCGATTACGATATCGATAGACGATCAGCCCACAATTGCCGGCACCTCCGCAATGATGTTCAGCGTGGCCAAGCCGATGAGGGACACTATGAGCTAGCTGCAGTCTAGATGCAAGTCACCTGATCCGTGCAACACAGCTCCATTCATCGGCATCGGCATCCTGGATGGAGAGTGACATTCACCAGATGACATTAATGTATGTTTACTCATGCATTTCGTAGAGGCGCAGCGCACTCCATAGTTGTAGTTACACACTACAACAACAACGGTCGTAAAATTACACTGTCTATACCAACACTCAATAGCGATAGCTCACATGCCGGGGCGCAGCAGAGTATGACTCGGGCGCAATCTCTTCTTCAACATACCGCCGGCTTTGAGGGGGAGCCATTGCGAATCGTTCCGAGGGCTCCTGTTGTGCGAGGCTTACCTCACGAAAGCGCGGCTGAGCTGATGCGCGCATGGCACCAGGCTGCATGCTCTCATGGCGGACATAGCCCTCTGGTATTTCTCTTCGTACAACCTCCGGGCGGACACTGTATGCACGGGACGACATGAATTGTGGTGGTCCCATGTCTTCATACTGCGGCACCGGCCGACGCTCAATTACCTCTTGAGGTCGATACTCAACTTCAACAGGACGGCGCGATGGTTCTCGCTGCCGGTAGGGGCGAGTTTCAATAAGCTCAGGCTCTGCTGCTTCCATGTATCTTCGCGGAGGCGGTGGGGGCATTCGCTGTCCGAGCTCATCTTCATAGATTTCAGGCCGGGCAGGTGCCCGCATCGTAGGCTCGCGTGTCACAGCGCGCTCGTAGTAAGGGTCAACTTCTAGACGTCTGCTTGGTGGCGCTGCTGACTCCCTCGCGTCGACGGGTGCTGCGTAGTACTTGTTGCCATATTGGTCTACAACAATGCGGCGAGGAGGATGCATAGGTTCGTAGATTGGCGAGCGAGAACGCTCGCGGACGTATCGGGGTGCCATCGAGGCGCGGGAGGAGGGTTCTCGAAAAACGGGCACTTCTGGCCGGTCGGTGAATGCGTGCGAGGCAGCGCGAACAGGACGATACTCTGGCGGTGCTGCATATACTTCGCCACCGCTCCCGCCCGGCGAGTATGGACGTCGAGCATACTGTAGGCTTGCCACTCGTCTCAGATCCTGCTCTTGATGTTGGGGTCTTCTCTGCGGTGTGTGTATTACGGTCGGTGATGCCGGCTCGTCGTATTCGCGATAATAGACCGGTGCGCGTGGAGACATTGCCTCGGCGTCATTGGGAATGGGTTGGAGAGCACGGCGCTTGCTTGGCTGTGCTTCTGCGAAGGGAGGAGGTGACTGAGGTTCTTCCTTAATGTACGGCTCAGGAGAACGAACGACACGCTTGTTGGCTTGTTGCTCGCGTCTCTTCTCTTGACGCTTTTCCTCTCTCCTCCGTTTGCGTGGGTTCTGAAGTGGCGGTGCTGCGCCTGATGGGCTGTTGCGGCGAGACCTGTAGCCAGTCAGTTGAAAGAACGTCTTGTTAAATCCTGTAGATGTCTTCTATACGAGGAAGAGCGTATCGAGATATCCGCTCTTTTGAGGAATTGCGATTGTTACTCAAGGCCCTACGTCTGAATTTGCAGATGGACCATTGACTGGCGAATATCGGTCGATAATGTCTGGAAGGAAACGACAATAAGAAAGAAGCAGAGAAAGGAAAGAACATCTCGTACCCGTTTGCACCATGCCCGCCAGACCTACGGTCGCGTGCGCGGCCCCTGGTGGGCTCACTAGGGCCAACATCAGCCGGAGGCGGCGAGTAGTCCTCTTCGTCTGCATCATCCACAAGATCAACTTGCTCTGGCTCATAGATTTCAATATCATCGGCAGGCTCGTACGTTTCCTCGTCAAGATCGATTACAGTAGGCTCAACACGAGTGGCCTTGACAGGCTGTTTTCCAAGCGAGACATGTGACCCTGTAGCATCAGCATTAGAGGTTTGGTTGACATCAACATCTTCCGAAGACCAGCTGTCTGCCTTGCTAGAGTAGTAAGAGTTCTCGTCAAAAGACTCAGCGCCATCACTGTTGTTAGTCGTGGGCAGCAAGCCAGAAATAGGCGGCACGCGAAGATGAGCTTGCATCAAGCATTCCTCCACATTGAAGTGGGCCTCGCGCTCCTCGTTGTCATTGCCGCGACCCTTTTTATCGAACTGATCTTTTAAGAGCCGTTCTATTTGCTGTCGCTTGAGTTGCAACTCTGCCCTGATCAAGTGGTCAGACTTGGTAAGCAGCACCGGGTCGATGCCTGAAGACGCAGACTTTGCAGAGTAGGGCCGCTGTATATGCTGGGCGGGGGGGACAAACTCGGATGCTTGCGTGGTCTGCTGTAACGAGCCGTCTGGGCGCGGCGGGAACGATTGTGCGGCGCTGGTGCCATTTGTAAGGCCGTTGATCGAGGGCCTGCTCGGCGGTGTGGTCTGCGGCGGACGTGGTGCAACCTGTTCAATTACTTTGGGTGGCAGATGGATACGCGGGTGTTTGCTAGCAAACACATCATCGCGTATCTGCAGGATCTGCTTTAAGAAGTCGGCCTCGCGACGAGCCTCTGCGGATAGCACCCCTGTGCCGTTGACGTAAGGCAGTGCGGACGCAATTGTCGACATTGCGCAACTGGCAGACGATTCGCCTGGTAACAGTCCACAGCTAGAGCTCAATACCAACACGCTAGCGATCAAGAAATAGCAGATGCGCGCAAACGGGAGCAGTGTGTACTGCCGTCCGATGTCGCGTTTGATGGAGGTGAAGGGGTTGGGAGCGAGACCGCGAGGTCAACACAGCCGCGGTGGAATTTCAGCAGGCGCGCTAGTCCAGAAAGGGCCCGTCGCGGTGTCCTTCACCCCCACGCGTCATGACTCTTGCGGGCCCTTTCCCTGCATGCTGCAACTTTCACGTCTCCTCATTCTGAAGTTCGGCTTACGGCGAATCGTAAATTGCACACCCAAGATTGTTTGCCGTCACATATCGGGCTGCAGAACACGTCGAGAATTCCCCACAGATCCACCACGTCCGCCACAGCACCGGACCGTACTTTGCAAAAGGGCGCAGCTACATTCTACAAAAGCCTCTGCCAGGGATCATACCCAGAACGTCAAAATGGCTCCTGAAAATGAGAAGCCGGTGTTCTTCTTCGACATTGACAATTGTGTAAGTACGATAGCAACTGTGCAGGATGCCACTGACGTTTCGTAGCTTTATCCAAAGAGTGTGTACATGTATATGAGTCTGTTCCAACTAGAACTAACTCGTCAGGTCTCAAGATTCACGATATGATGGCCGAGCTCATTGGTGAGTCAAGTGATGAGTTTGGATCTTGAATAATCTCTCATCACCTGCAGACAAGTACTTTCAGACTCATCTCGAACTGTCTCAAAAAGAGGCCAACGAGCTCCACTACAAGTACTACCGCGACTACGGTCTAGCAATCGAGGGCCTAGTTAGACACCACAAGATCGACGCGCTGGACTATAACGAACAGGTCGACGATGCGCTGCCCTTGGACGATGTGATCAAGCCTAACGCAGAACTGCGCAAGCTCATCGAGGATATTGACACCAGTAAAGTCCGCTTATGGCTGTTTACCAATGCTTATGTCACTCACGGCAAACGAGTGGTCAAGCTTTTGAACATCGATGACCTCTTCGAAGGCATGACATATTGCGATTACAGCTCAGACAGATTCGTCTGCAAGCCGCAGGCAGAGATGTTCGACAAGGCTATGCAGCAGGCAGGTGTAACCAAGAACGAGAATTGCTACTTCGTGGGTGCGTTATCTCAGTAGCTGCCTCGGTACTTCAGCACGCTAACAGTACCAGACGACTCGTACATCAATTGCAAGGCTGCCGACGAGCGAGGATGGAAGGTTGCTCACTACTTGGACCCCGGCATGGACTCCCCTCCCAAGCAGGCTGCAAAGCATCAGATAAGGAGTCTGCAAGCGCTGAGGAAGACGTTCCCTGAGGTGTTCAAAAGCTCATGAACGACATATGATGGATCGGGAACCTGACAAATGACACGATGACCGTAGATGTTACGATTTATGATTGAAGCATACTACCTACGCATAGTAAAAGCGGTGGCGAGCTCTTATCTCTTATCGATTAAGCTACTGGATGATGCCAACGCATCTGCCTCAGCCTTACATCTGCCTAGCAACGCATAATTTGACCTCGTCATTGTCTTGTATCTCCGTGCTTAGATATTTCTAGACCTTCCAATACCATAATGACCTCTCCAGCGACGCCGAAAATGTTCCAAACCATGTCTCCAGCGCCGACATCAAGCTCCCCGCCCGCCCCACAAGCCTCCGCATTGCCCCCTGCTGCCAGCAACGAACACCGTACAACACAACCGAGCAGTGCGACCACACTGAGCGAATCGTCGACGCTGAAGGTCAAACCCTTGCGCAAGCCCCTACTTCGCCTCGAGCTTCGAGACTTGTCATCAGATGGGTCGCGCGAATTCTTGCGCCTTGTACACGCCTCGTCAGCTCTCGAATCCGCAGTCGACACCGTCTTAAGGCTATTGTACACCGACGTCGAAAAGTCATCATGCATACCCCCCACGCGATCAATAACACTGGTGTTGCGCGATATGGATGGCGTGGCATACACGACCGGACTTGACATTGATGATGACCATAAAGAGATCCACCTCAGCACCAAATACATTGAGCATATCTCGGAGTCGCGGCGAAAAGAAGAAATCAATGGAGTCCTCGTGCACGAGATGGTGCATTGCTGGCAGTATCATGGCGGCAACACCGCACCCGGCGGGCTGACCGAGGGCGTGGCGGACTGGGTGCGTCTGAAAGCAGGGTACGCGCCGCCGCACTGGAGACGCAGGGGCGACTGCGATTGGGATGCAGGATATGAGCGTACGGCGTACTTCCTCGAGTGGCTGGAGAACGAGCACGGCCATGATGTGGTCAGGAGGATCAATCAGGCGCTGAGGGTCTGTAGATATGATGCCAAGAGAATATGGCACGAGTGCTGTGGCCACAGCATCGAGAAGCTGTGGGAGGATTACAGGCGGAGTTTAGAGTGCGACGAAGAAGACAGCAAGAAGACAGAGAACAACGTGGAAACCAAAGAATCTCAACAAGACAGGGAACAGTCGCCTGAGGAGACTGAGTCGGATGCGATAGCGGGAGATCAGAGGACACCGCGCGAGAAGGCACGAAGGGGCGGCAACATGATCGTGCCGGTGCGCCCAGGTGTATCCTGAGTTCACAGCGAAGCGACACAGCGTGGCTCGGCGTCATAACCGCAGCCTCAAGTCCCTTCACGTGCTAGAGGTGCAAGAAAGTAACAAAATAATTTATAGTCTTCAGCCGCTAAGAACCAGCCTCCTGAGATCCTGCAATCGCAGCCACAGCTTTCGTGCAGTCTTGTAGCACGAGGTCATTATCGAACACGGACTGCGCCACGACCTCGACGACTGCGGGGATAAAGTGAAGTATCGGTACGTGCCCTTGTTTCTGTCTACTAAGATCGTAAACGGATATGCGCTCGATGAGACAGCAGGACCGACACCAAGCGCCTCAAACCTCGAGCAACCTGCCAAGGAGCGTTCTCAAGAGACAGAAACCCCGGCACTTGTATCCTCGAGAGATCACCACGTTGCTGTTACTTTACGGCAGGTGCGCCCACGAGGCACCCGGCACGCAGGAAACCACGTGGTGCCATGTGGTACGGCTGGCGCTAGCGCGCTCGGGCCGTGCACCCAGCAAAAAAGCCACCACCTTCACCGAGCAATATCTCAACAACCACGACAGCTACAGACAATCTGAAAAGACAAAAAGAATCAGCCCGACGAGGGGCTCGAACCCTCAACCTTGAGATTAAGAGTCTCACGCGCTACCGATTGTGCCAGCCGGGCTTTTGCTGTCGCTGATTTGATGGAAGTAAGACTTGGTGTTGCATTTATAAATTCAGCGTTTCAGGTCGCCTTGACGGTCGGCTTACAGGCGTTACGCAGAATAGCTTGCAGGCGTTACACAGAATTGATGCTGGAGTTGGCAGACTCTGGGTGCAAATTTGCTGGTACGGTGGGGGCGCTGGCGAATCTCGGCATGTCAGCGACCACCCCAAATCACTACCAAGCTCTCACGTTACAGAATGAACGGCAGTCTGCTATGTTAGGATGTGAGCGAAGTATTGCACCACACCACAGCAAAGTTAGGAAACCGCGAGGAAATTTTAGAGAATATCATTTTACCTACAATCTAGGTACCGCTTAATTGAAATTCCGGCTAACTTCGTTGTAGGTGAAAAAGTATTTCAAAGAGTTTTTGTGTATTCTCCCTACGTTATTGTCACGTACTCTCTCGACGTGGTTCACGACAGTGCACTCGGGACAGGCGCAAAGGCTCATACATTATAAAGTCTAAGTAGCGAGTGTCCGTCCATTACACCCCGTGTCTGCGAATTTACACCGATATTACAGATTCGAAGGAAAAAATCCACCATTACGCCAGCTGCCTCTTCCCTCACGGTACGCCGCAAAGCCGACCTAGCGGTCCAAAGCCTGCGCTTGACACTATCCATCGTCAGCGAACTCGACCTGCGAACTCAAGACATTCAACTTACCATCTGCCAATACACTCCCCGCCTCTTCAGTAGCTCCTGATGACTGCCCTGCTCCAGCACTCTCCCACTGCCCATGACGAAAATGATATCGGCCTTCTGGATCGTCGCCAGCCGATGCGCAACCGCGATGACGGTCCTCCCGCTATCGCCGGCCGCTCGTTCGATCGCTGCTTGCACCAGCTTTTCGCTCTCGCTGTCGAGCGAGGACGTGGCTTCATCCAGGAGCAGCAATTTTGGTTTGCGCAGCAGTGCTCTCGCGAGACTGAGACGCTGCTTCTGACCGCCGGAGAGACTCATGCCTTTCGGTCCAAGGCGGGTGTTGTAGCCGTCGGGGAGCGAGGCGATGAATTCGTGGATCTGCGCGTCCGTGCAAGCTGCTTCGATGGCGGCATCTGTGGCACTGTTGACTGAGAGGGCGACGTTTTCCTTGATCGTCCCTTCGTAGAGGGTTGGCTCTTGCGAGACGAGGCTGAGCTGCTGGCGGTACAGAAATGGGTCGAGAGTGGTTACGTCCTGCCCGTTGTACAAGATGGAGCCGGCTGTGACGTCGTAGAACCGCTCGAGCAGAGATATGGTGGTCGATTTGCCGCAGCCAGATGCACCGACGAGAGCAGCAAACTGCCCGGGGCCGACTTGCAGGTTCAACTTGGAAAGGACCTGCGTGTCGCGGGACTTGTAGACAAAATCGACGTCTTGGAATTCCACTCCAACACCGCCGGAGGGATTACGCAGCGCCGTGTAGGTCGGAGGTGCAATGTCCTTGGGTGGGCGCAAACTTAGGATCCTGTTTGCTGCTCCAGTTGCCTGGGCCATGTCTATCGCGTGTCAGTTGAGCAGTGAAAAAGATGGCGAGACTTACTCGGGGCAAAGCTGAACCACATGCCGGCAGCAATGGCGCCCTGTACTACCGCAGTGTAGACGACGAAGAAGTCAACAACGTCATACTCTCTCTTCGCAAGCAGTGTACCGCCGTACCAGAATGCCAGGGCCATACATCCGAGCTCAAGGCTATCGCTCGCAGCGAACACAATAGTTGAGTATTTTGCATTGCCAAAGGCATGCTTCACATGGCCAGATAGTAAGGTTTGGTATCGGTCACCGATCATGTCCTCCATGATGAGACTGAGAACCGTACGGAAGGCGCCCACAGCCTCGGTAGCAAACTGACTGCTCTCTGCAAATATCTCGGCGTTCTTCTTTTCAAATTGTATCTCCAAACGCATGCGCGTGTACCCTGCACCAAGGATGATCGGCATGATGGAGAAGAGGGCTACGAGCGTAAGCTTCCACCCGTAGACGAACGAGATGATCAACGAGCCGACCAAATTTACGACGGCTATCATCGCGATGGACATCTCGGTTGTCATCAGCTGGCGCAACTGCATAACATCTGAGCTCAGGCGCGACACTAGGGAGCCGGGACTGTGTCCTTCTTCGTCGAACCAGGCAATGCGTTTTCGCATCATGTTGTTCAGGTACTCCTGCCCATAGTGCGTAGTCACTATACACTCGACAAAGCGCAAGGCATAGCCAAGGACGAAGTAAGCGATGCCGACTGCAGCAGCTTCGACTCCAAACATGCCGGCCCAGAAGTTGCCTCGACTGACCAGCTTGTCTCCCGTAAAGGTGAAGACTTCGATAATCTTGGCAAAGATGAAGGCTTGAAGTGGGTAGATCGCTCCAGCCATGAGGATACCGGCGGCTGCGACCGAGTAGAGAAACCACTGCCTACGCTGTTCATACAGCAGACGGCCGAAGCTCAGCACCAGGCCTCGCTCTTTGTACTCGGGATCCACTTCGGACGTGTGCGATTTTGCGTCCGCGCGCTTGAAATCAGACGTGTTCACTCGCTCGAGCTGCGCTTCTTCGGATATGTCGTTGGTGCCCTCTGGCTCCATTGCTAGCTCCTGAGCGTACACAAGGCCGTGGTAGACGCCTGCTTCCAGTCGGACAAGCTCATCGTGTGTGCCCTCTTCGACGAGCTGGCCTTTACGCAAAACGACGATTTTATCAGCTCGCTTGATGGTAGAGAGACGGTGCGCGATGACAATTGTGGTGCGGTTTCTCGACACGCGGTCTAGGGCTTGTTGTACGATTCGTTCGGTGCGTACATCGATGGCACTGGTCGCCTCGTCCAGAATCAGGATCGTTGGCTGCTTGATGATGCTGCGCGCGATGGCTATACGCTGCCGTTGGCCTCCAGACAATTTTATACCGCTCTCGCCCACCAGCGTTTCGTAGCCCTGCGGCAGCTTCAAGACGAATTCTTCGGCATAGGCCTCCCTGCACGCTTCTTCAACCATCTTCGTTTTTTCGTCCTTCGACAGATCTTGCATCTGAGTGCCGCACAGGCCAAACGCGACGTTGTTGAAAATGGTATCGTTGAACAGAAACGGCTCTTGCTGTACGAGCCCGACTTGCGACCGCCACCACTTTAGATCAACATTGCGGAGATCTGTCTCGCCAACTCTGATCGTTCCAGTGCATGTGTTCGGTCCAAGATCGACATCCTCTTTCTTTGGCTTGTCTGACGCTTCTGGTTTCTTGTCATTGTCCTTGCTCTTTTGCCAGAATCTCTTAGGCTTCTGCACTGGCTGCTCATCTACTGTCGGTGACGTGTCGGGCTTCTCAAATGCAGTTGTACCTGCAAGCTCATACCACCGCTGGACAAGGCCCACGATAGTGCTCTTGCCCGAGCCAGATGGGCCAACTATAGCAGTGACTTTGCCAGCTTTGAGTGTGAGATCAAGACGGTCAAGCACTTGCACATTCGGACGACTGGGGTACGAGAAAGCAACGTTTGCAAATGTGATATCCACATCTGCAGTAATCTCAGGCTCCTTCACACCAGATGTGTCGAGAATAGGGGAGTCGATAGTGATGAAGAGCTCATGAGCTGCCGTGGCTGCCTGTACGATTGCCATTATCGGCGCCGCCAGCCGGCCGATGTTCATCACTGCCATCATGACCGAGAACAGAACGCTGGAAACGTCAGTCATAGACTCAATATCCGATACCAGAACTCACACTGTGATATCACCAACATTACCATGGCCTTCAGATGCGCGTTTGATGCCGTACCAGAAAGTGAGGCCGAAAGTACCGTACATCGCCATCATTTGCGGGGCCATCATAAGTCCCATCAAGGGAGCAGCTTTCTTCTCGTTCTCGCCAGCCTGGCAAATCAGTATATGATAGTCTTCACGGATCTCGACTCACCTTCATGATCTCAAGTTCATACTGCCTGGCAAGCTTGGCCTCAGCACCGAATGCAACCACAACGCGTACAGACGAAAACATCTCGAAAGCCATGGCCGAAGCATCTTCCAGATGCTTGGCAGTAACTTTCTGGATCTTGATGAAAGGCGGCACAATGAAACCATATACCACCAAGATGAAAGGGAGTGCCGCGGAAGCTACAAGTGTCAACAACCACCCTTTGACAAAGGACACAACGTATAGCCCGATTGTGAACGCGAGCGACTGAAACAACATCGCAAAGTGTTGCGAGATAGCGAGCTGAACCGTGTTTGATGACGTGGTAATCCGCGTCGACACCTTGCCGGGGGAGATGGTATCAATCGTAGCGACCGACTGCGCAAACATGGCACGCAGATACGCCAGTCGCAGCGCAGCAGACATGCGGAGCCCGCTGATTCGGATGCATAGCTGAGGAAGTCAGTCATAACCCTACCGGCGTTGACTATCTTACCATCGACACGTATGATAGCACAAATTTCGCGACAAAGAGGTACACGATATACAGCGTCAACGTGTTGATCTCGGCCTGGAACTCAGCTCTCGTCACCTCCGTACCCGGCACAAAATAGTCCGTGAATACGCCCACGAGCTGCCCTGCTCTCGTTAGCCACTGCGAATCTGTGCCCGTGCCACATACCAAAAACAATGTTCATCAGTGGAAACGCCTGCGACCGTCAGCTTTGAGGAGACCATGACTCGTGCTACTCACTATACCCGATCCAATTGAGGTGATACAACATGCTGCAATTAGGGCATAATCCAGCAGTGTCCCATACCGGAACACGCGCTTCACGCGTTAGTAATGACCGCACAGGAGCCGTCTAACTTACGAGATAGTTCGCCAACCCGGGATCTGGACCTTTCGGTGCAGCCATACTTTCGATCTTACCAGTATCGTTTCTGTGGTTGCTGTCAAGGGTCCCGTACTCTACTACCCGCGCCTGCAGCGCCGTACTCTCGCCCTCGATGTTCGTAGACAAAGGCCGTGGTGTATTATCCGACATGCGACGTGTATGCTTAGGTGGTTAGCGCATCATAACAGCCTCGCGTCGAGAGCTTTATGATATGTGCCCCAGGCAGACGCAAATCAATGCCGCGCGTCCGGGTGCAAAAAAGGGGTGCCTGGATGTGTGTAGACGAAGGTGGCGTGTGGCTTGTTGCCAAGCGTAAGACGAGCACTATGGGCTGAGCGATTCGGGGTGATAGTCAAGGGGCAGTCACAGCGAGGAAGTCATTAGATATACACGGTCTATGTATACGGGGACTATACACCTGTAGCTTACATGTGGTAGGGCTAACGGCTTGTCAAAGTGGAGCTCCCTAGTTAGGCGTGCCGGCTGATCGACGCTAGCGCGCGCGCCTGCGAGGTTTTGTCCGCTTTGAGCGATTCTCTGCGACAGGGTCACGTGCAACAATCGGCTATTCATCCGGCGGAGAAAATCGCGCCTAAGGGAGCCGGCCATGGCGGCAGGCAGCAACTTCTACACCGACTGGAGTGGAGTTCGGGGAACACGCTCTACGCTCTACGTACAGTCGCAACTTCGATCTGACACCCAACGTCGCTTCCTCGCGGAAGCACGCGCTCCGCGCCCAAACTGTGGAGCGTCTCTCACCGGTGACCTTGACGTGCGTACTCGGTTATGAGGCATGCCCAGCATGACAAGAGCAACCGTCTGCTCGCTGCCTGGCCCAACTGAAGATGTTCGCGTGAGCAATCACATCTTCTATGCAATACAACAAATACTACCGTCACCCGTAACACGCTTGCGCTTATGGTATGTATACAAGACAACAGGACTTGCTGTTCGCCTTACCCTATGGCTGCGCAGTGAAATGACACACGTCTCTACTGTGATGTTGCAAAGACAAAATCCAGTTCTTCTTGATATTTACTATGCATCGTTCGCCGACGAAGCGTCACTGAGAAGAAGTGCAACTAGAGGACGCTCTTATGATTGACGGTGAGTAGCATGGACTCATGAGCACGCGTCAGGATTGGTGATGCATGATTGCTGCAATAAATGCAAAAGCAAGGACACATTCTTCCACGGCTGTCCCACATCAATGGAGCCATTTAATGTGTTCCAGACCATGCAAGGAAATGCAACCCGCTACAGCACCCACGGCGCACTGCAATTCTTTGACAAAAGAACATATAAAGCGACGAGTGCCCTGGAGATACTATGATATAGAATCTGAGCCGAGCAGCAGTTGTAATTCAGCTTGCGCTCATGCTTTGCTACGTTGGTTTCCCAAGGAGAAGATTGTTATTATTAGTACATACGCATTTAAAACAGCTAAGATACAGCAATTACTTATGTTCTTAGGATCGAAAATCTAGAGTAGTGACGTCTTTGGTAGGAACAGAAATACTCGCGGTTAGCCATACTGTTGTCAACTATCTTTGTGCGCTCTTGCCTCCTCTGCTTATACTCCTTTAGCTCGAGCAGCTGGTAGAATGATTGCACGTCGCAAGACTCGTGCTCAGATACCCGTGGGCTGTTCGATCTTCGCCAGGCCCGTGACTGCCTCCATAAGCTCTTTCTCGATTCGCTCACCGCCACAGAAGCTTTTATCGCCAACTCTGCTACATCTCACTTGTCGTGACCTCCTGTTTCCTCGATCACCCTGTTTTCATCATGTTGCAGCCCTAGATGACACTGAGCAGAATCGGAGTTCCGTGATAGCGTCCACAGGCGTTTTCCCAATTCACTTTCCATCACAGGGCTGTTCGTCGCCAACCTGCCTCTCCTCACTCTCCATGTCCTCCTATGTGATCAATCAACCCGTGTTTGCCTGACTGCAGCCGTGGACAACACGAATAAGTGGTTAATTCATGTCACGGCCTCGACGAGCCCTTTCCTGATTCATTCGTTACCACACAGCTGTTCGTCCCCAGCTCTACCACCTCTCACCAATCTCAATCTGGGACTTGTGTCTCCAACCCCGCCAGATTCTCCGGCCGTTCCATGACCCGCAATCCACCCACATCACCGTGCTCACACGCAATCTCGCGTCTCTTCTCAAGCCGCACCAGGCTTTCAACCAGCCGCTCGAGGAGCCACTCGCTCTCCGAGACGCCAGCGACCATGGGACTGTGCTCGCCGAGCCAATCCCAGTTAACCAGGCCCTCCTCGTTCTCCGTGTCGTCCGACACGTTCGCCAATGTGCCCAGCACCCTGTCCAGCCGGCCCGGCGTCGTGAATCGGATCAATCGCGTGAATTCGACCCACTCTTCGTACGCGTAGCGCTTGGGAGTCTCGAGGCGCAGATCGCGCGACACCTTCCGAATGGCAAAGGCGAGGCGGCGCGAGAGCGAGGCGCGGGACGGGGCGTGCGCGCGGTCCGACTCCGCTTCTTCTGCGAGGCGGGAGATAGTGACGGGTTCGTCGACGGGGGATGCGGGCTCATCGTCGATGGGGGCTGTAGGAAAGCCGCGGCGGATACGTTGCGCGGCTTTGCGGGCCTCGAGGCGGTCTGCTAGCCACGGGTTCTTGGCCACAAAGGGCTGCCAAATGCCGCGCTTGGGCAGGACGGTGAAGTCAGCAGCGATATCACTCCATTTCTTGAACTTGGCGACAATGGTGTCGCTGAGGTCCGACACGAGGATGGTCATAGTGGGGACGGCGATGATGCTCCAGATGACAAAGAAGCAGCGGCCCGGGTTGGACTTTGGGGACAGGTCGCCATAGCCGATTGTCAGGAGCGAGATGTAGCTGGAGAGTCAGTGAGGTATGTGTCGATGGTTTCAAATGGCTAACTCACCAAAAATACAGCGCCTCAAAGTACGTCATGGCCTGCGTATTCTGTTCAGTCTGCCAGAAGACGACAGCGCCGACGCACCACAGGATCGTGAACGTGGTGACGGACCAGAAGAGTGCCATCCACTTCTTGTATTTCCTGCTGTCGGCCTGGATTCTGCGCATGGCATCGAAACGGTCTTTCTCCTCCTTCAGCAGCAGCAGTCGCGGTCGGCGATCCAGCCGCGTAGGCACCCCGAAATTGCGAGGTCCCACTGCCGTGTGGTACGGCCGCAAGTGTGAAGGTGCGCTGATATTGACCGCACCATGACTAAGCTGAGACTGACGATGTCGATAGTCTTCAGAGTTGGACGTTGTCAGTCGCAGGGTCTGCACGCGTCGGCGCGTGAGGTCCTTCTGTACTATGTTGTCTTCGCTCAGCTCCCGAGCCGCGCGGTACAGCGAAGACACGACGAGTGCGAGGGTGATGATGCCGCCAACGGAGTAGGGGAAGAGCAGCCCTCTTCCCAGGGTTGTTGTCGCTACGAGATCACCAAATCCTGGCCATGTCAGCTACATCACAACACTCGCCAGTCTACTTGCCCACAGTCAAAATGGTAACATAACAGCTGGTGTTGTTAGTGCAAATCCAACAGAATCAAAGACGCACAGCAACAGAAGACGTACAAATACAGCGAGTTAGGGAACGTCCACTGTGCTTCCCCAGCATCAGTCTGTATCCGCGAATACATCGCCGCACCACCCGCAATCCAGATGAAGAAGAACATGGTCTGCAAGATGAGCGTCCGCTGACTATCGCTCAGCGCAAAGTGATCGGGATAGTGTCCCAGATAATAGCCCAGCATATTGACCATCAACAGCATCGAACACAGGAAGTAAAACACGGCGGCCGCTACCGCATACCAGTAGCCCTGCGTATACCCCTCCCACGGCCGCCGCGGCGGATCATACACCTCCATGCACGCCGTAATAGCCGTCAACAGGCCCGCGCTCACATACCATAGTCCAATCGTCGCCGGCAGCGCAACCACATAGCGGATCTTCTGGGTGAAGTTGAACAGCAGAAACACGTTGCCCAGCACGCCGCAGATCAGCGACACGACGTTGAGCCAGTAGCACCACTTGGGGTCCGCGTACGGCGCACCGAATAGGTCAAACACAATCGTGCCGTCGATGAAGTTGTTTTGACGCCAGCTGGTGACCAGGGCCGCGATGGAGGAGACATTGGCCAGGGGGCCGAGGGTCGCGGCCAGAAGCGGGATACCAGTGGACGCGAACCACCAGCTTGTGGAGCCAGCGGCTTCTTCAAAGTGGGGAGTTTGGTGTTGCGGGGCGTCTTGGAAGTGAGTTTGGTGTTGCGTGGTGGCGTTGCTGCTTGCGGGTGTCTGCGGCTTTTCAGCGTCGCCGTCCTCAGGTGTCGCCGTCATGATCAGGCCATGTTGATGGTGTTGCGCTGGAAAGGTAACAAATATACCCAACACACACTAATCACAGCTGAGATCTGAGCTGAGATAACCAAAGACGATTGGCGAACTAATGAGGTTGAGGGTTAGAGATGCTGAACAATCGGCGCTAGGACGGGAGCGGATCTAGGCCTCGATTCGAACAACGTTCATGGCTGCTGTGAAGTGGAGATGAGCGGACATGTGATCGTCATGTGTGTGCGTCACGGGCAACTTTTACATTTGATGTACAATCTAGGTCTACTGCTTCAGCTTTTCTGTCAGCTCGGGTACCTTTTCAAACAAATCGCCCACCAGGCCGACGTCTGCGACCTGGAAGATGGGTGCATCGGCATCTTTGTTGATCGCGGCGATGACCTTGCTGTCCTTCATGCCAGCCAAGTGCTGGATGGCGCCCGAGATGCCGGCGCAGAGGTATAACTGCGGCGCGACGTTCTTGCCCGTCTGGCCGACCTGTAGGCTGTTGTCGGCGAATCCGCTATCGACGGCGGCGCGCGAGGCGCCAATGGCAGCGCCCAGGGCGTCGGCCAGCGGGGGCATCAGCCTGTCGAACTCGTCCTTCGACTTGAGCCCACGACCGCCTGAAACGACCTTGCTCGCGGAGCCGAGATCGGGGCGGTCAGACTTGGCAAGGTCCTCGGACAGCCATTCTGTCGGCGACTCAGTCTTGGGATCGGTGCCCTCCTCGACGGTCGCAGAGCCGCCTTCAATGGCGGGGGCGGGGAAGGCGGTGCCGCGGACGGTGATGACCTTGGTGCTGTCGGTGGACTGCACGGTCAGGATGGCGTTGCCGGCGTATATGGGGCGCACGAAGGCTGGCAGGTCAGCGGGTGGTAAGCAGGCACGAGCGTGGGCGCAACTCACTGTCCTCGCTCTCAATGGCGGTGATGTCGGAGATCTGCTGGACGTCGAGCAGAGCGGCGACGCGGGGCATCAGGTTCTTGCCAAACGCCGAGTGGCCGGTCAGGACGTGGGTGTAGCCGCCCTTTTTGATGTTCTCGACTAGCAGCGGCGCCCAGTTCTCAGCGAGGCCCTTGTCATACGCGGCGTTGTCGACGTAGATGACCTTCTCGATACCCTGAGCCTTGCCGGCCTCCTCAGCGATAGTCTTGCCCGAGCTGCCCGCGACAAACGCTGTGATGGAGCCGCCGAGCTTGGTGCCGGCCGTGATGGCGGCGAGCGAGGCGACATTGAGCTTGCCCTCCTTGGCCTCGAGCACGGCAAGCGTCGAGGCTAGCCGTGACTGTGTTTGGCGGAGGAGTGTCGGGCGGAGGAGTGGCGCGCGGGCGCATCGGAGCGCTGAACTGAACATGGCGGGCGAGGGCGTCCTAGTTGTAAGGGCGTCCTTGTTGTTTCGTGCGGGCGTGGAGGATCCCAATTGCTGCGAGGACGACAAGTCGCGGTGCGCCTGGGACCTCGGCCTGTACTTTCGTGTGGACCGTCACCAGTTCCGTGGACCGGCGCTACGCGCTCGCGCACGTGACGCGGCCGCGCGCTGGCATCGCAGCTCAGCGGAAGTTTGACGCGACGTCCGCATCGCCCCGTCGCATCGCTCCGTCCCCACGCCCATTCGTCGCCGCCCCGGCCACCACGCGCAACGCAGCAGCTGCACCCATTGCATCCTGCGCCCACCTGGCACTCCTGCCGCCTATCGCCCTCCTGACGCCCGCCTGCCGCACGACCGTTCGCACCTTCCAAACATGTCCGACGACGCGACTGCAAGCGCGCCCGCGCAGGACCCCTCGCTCGAGAGTGCACCCAATGCGCTGGACACAGGTACGTCGTAATTGAGCGCCGCCCGCTGTGTTACCCCTGTCGATCTGCTGCTCGTCGTAATTGTGCGCCGCCCTCTACGCCAACGCCTGTCCACCATGGGCGAGCTTTCCAACGTCTCTTGGCTGGACGGCTTCGACTTCGACGAGTACGACGCAGAGGACGGCCCGGTGATCGGCTCCGACTACAATCGCCCTGAGCACTCAGGGCTGTCGTCGCCGCCACCTGCTCCGACGCCGCCGCCCGCGCTGACGCCGCCAGACACAAGCATGCTCGAGGAGCCCGCAAAGGACTCGTCGCGCGAGCCGTCGGCCGCACCCGTCTCAGACAATCCGCTTGATGCCCCCGACGGCCCGCGCCCCGACGCCGACGACGCCGACGGCCAGGACGACGAGGACATGGGCGGCCTCGACGACGCGCCCAAAGACAAGGAAGAGCCCGACGAGGCCGCGAAGACGGATCTGCAGGCTGCTGCACGCTCGCACTTCGTCGCACAGACGTACGCGACCATCATTCCCAGCTACGCAACGTGGTTCGACATGCGCTACATCGACTACCGCGAGCCCAAGGCCCTGCCCGAGTTCTTCAACGGCCGCAATCGCAGCAAGACGCCCGCCGTCTACCGCGACTACCGTGACTTCATGATCAACACGTACCGCCTGAATCCGTCCGAGTACCTCACCGTCACCGCCTGCCGTCGTAACCTGGCCGGCGACGTGTGCGCCATCATGCGCGTCCACGCCTTCCTCGAACAGTGGGGCCTCATCAACTACCAGGTCGACCCCCAGGAGCGCCCGTCCAACATCGGCCCGCCCTTCACTGGCCACTTCCGTGTCACCGTCGACACGCCCCGCGGCCTGCAGCCCTTCCAGCCGGGGCCGGGCTCCAAGGTCATCGCCGGCAAACCGAGCGCCGCCACCGACCGTGCCGCCAGCGCGCAGCCCACGGCCAAGTCTGAGACCAAGGCGCTCGCCGGCCGCAACATCTACGAGGCCAATGGCAAGGAGGCGTCTGCTGAGCCCAAGGACAAGGCCAATGGCGAGGCCAATGGCGCGGACGTCAAGGAGCTTGAGGCTGCGGCCAAGGAGCCACTTAAGGTCATCAACTGTTTCAGCTGCGGCGTTGAGTGCACGCGCGTGCACTTCCACGAGACCAAGCCATCGGAGCAGCCCGGTCAGACCAAGAGCGTCGGCGGGCTAAAGCGTGACCTGTGCCCGCGCTGCTTCGTCGAGGGCAACTTCCCCACCGGCACGTCGTCGGCCGACTTTACCAAAATCTCCAACCCCGAGGCCTCGGCCGTCGCGGAGAGCGAGGAGAAATGGACAGAGGAGGAAACGCTGCTGCTGCTCGAGGGCCTGGAGGAGTTTGACGAGGACTGGAACCGTGTCGCCGACCACGTTTCGACCAAGACGCGTGAGCAGTGCGTGATGAAGTTTCTGCAGCTCGAGATCGAAGACAAGTACATCGAGGCCGACCTGCCCCACGGCGACGCGGCCACGCCCTCGGCCAAGTTCCTGCGCGACCTAGACTACCTCAGCGAGGGCCGCGCGCCGCTGCACCACGCCGATAACCCGATTCTGAGTGTGGTCAGCTTCCTCGCTGGTCTGGCTCCGGCAAACGTCACCGAAGCTGCCGTTGCTTCGGGCCGCAGCGTGGGCGAGATGAAGCGCATTCTGCAGGAGAAGATCAATAAGGCCCCTGTCGCCCCTTCAGAAAAGGGCAAAGAGAAGGATGTGGAAGACGTCAAGCCCGAGGACGCCATGGAAGTCGACACCGCAAACAAAGACTCGGACAGCAACCCGCTTGTCACACTGCCCTTTGCCCTGTCGGCAGCGCGTGCATCGGCACTGGCGTCGCACGAGGAGCGGCACATCACGCGGCTGGTTTCTGGCTCGGTGAACCTGCAGCTACAGAAGCTCCAACTCAAGCTGGCGCACTTCTCCGACTTTGAAAAGCTGCTGTCGGCCGAGCGCCGCGATCTGCAGCGCCGCCGCCAGCAGCTGTTCATGGACCGGCTGAACTTCCAGCGCCGTGTGCGCGCGCTCGAGGAGGCGACCAAGAAGATCGGCTCGGGCATGCAGGGCCAGGGCTTGCCGGGGTCGATGAGCAACGAAGATGCCATGACGGCGCTCGCCGACGCGATCCGCACGTTCGGCGTCGGCAAGGGCGACGACAGCATCGGCGTCAAGCGCGACAGCATCGATGCGGGCGTGCAGCCTGTGGCCGAGGGCGGCGACGGCTACGGCAAGCTAGAGATCTAGAGCTGAAGCTGGAAATCTGGAGCCGAAGCTGGATATCTGAAGCTGAAGCTGGTGTTTAGGCGCGTTGGGAGGTTCACGGTCCTCGACGGTTGGGGACTGAATGTTTCTTTGGATCGCTTTCTGAGGGTGTATGAAATAGTTAGCTGTATCATGCAAATTGCGACTGGCTGTATTCACGGGACGATGACGTTGACAGTGTGTGGATTAAAATCAATTACTATCCATGTTATAGTCTTCATCACTGCCGTTCTCGCACGAGACCGAGGTGGTGTGATTTAAATAGAATGTAGCTGTTTCGTGATTATGAGCTTCTTCTGCAAATTCCACGCGACAAGAGCAATATTGATGCGTGTGTTTGTCATGTGTTGTATGTAAACCAGTGAAGTTATTATATTTGCACTGTCTTTCACGGACGATTGATGACGATGGCACGGACACCAATCCCTGTCCGTCCCGAGCTTAGAAATGCAGCTCCGAGCACCGCCGCAACTTTTCCAGCGCCAACACTTGACGACCACCACCACGACCGGCCGGTCTCCTCCTGTCGTTCACAATGCTACGCACCGCCCCCCGGATAATTGCCCGCCACAGCGCCCTGCGTGCCGCGCCGCCCGCTCGCCGCTTTATCAGCACCGCGCCGCCGGCGCAGAAGAGCCGCAGCTGGAAGAGCCTGGTAGGCAGGCTGGGAATTGCAGGCGCCATCATCTACTACTACAACACAACCGATCTGTCCGAGGTTGTCGCCGCCGATGCCCGCGCCGCCGCGCCACACTTGGCCACTGCCGAAAGCGATGCCTCGCTGCCCACCATCGAGTCCATTTCCGCCGCGCGCGCTGAGCGGAGGGCCGTCCAGGCACAATTGGAGGCGCAGCGGTTGAAGGAGGAGGAGGCTGCTGCGGCACAACAACCCGAGTCCAGCGGTGAAGCAGGAGACATCCAGGGCCTCGAGGAGCAGGCGGACCAGCAGGGCGCATTCAACCCCGAGACGGGCGAAATCAACTGGGACTGCCCTTGTTTGGGGGGCATGGCTACGGGACCATGCGGCGAGGAGTTCAAGGCCGCGTTCAGCTGCTTTGTGTACAGCAAGGAGGAGCCGAAGGGGTTGGATTGCATTGAGCGGTTCAAGTAAGTTTTGTTGGTTGAGCTTGGGAGGGCTGTGCTGACTATCTCAGGGACATGCAGGGCTGCTTCCGCCAGTACCCCGAGATCTATGGCGCGGAGATCGACGACGATGGCGACGACGACGACGTTGATGTGACCGCCGACGACGTGGTCCCCGCCGCGCAGAACGCGCCTGCGCTGTCCGGCGAGAAAGGCACAGCCGTCGCTGACGAGGCCGAGACGCCGATCAAGACGGAGAGCAAGAAGGAGAGCAAGACACCAAGCAAGGACGGCCCGCATTCGCCAGACAAGGTCGCGGAAAACAGGCGCGAGCTTGGCCTGGTTCCCGAGAACTACCGACCGGCGGAGAAGGAGGCTGAGGACGAGAGCGTGGTGCCGAAGGCTGCGCACGATGGGCGGTAGACGTCATGAGGTAGAACTGGAACTGGGACTGGAACTGGAACGAGAGCACGAGCACGAACACGAGCACGAGACGATGAAAAGAAGAAGTCCATGTACCATACCGCGCTTCGATGTAAAAGGAGCACGTAGAAAAGGTCGCGCCACCCTCCATCTCGTAGAGGCTCTTGTAGCACTTGGTATTATATGTACAACACTCTGTTCTGGATACTCAATATACATCACCTTTCATCAACACAGCAGAGGAACAAACGTTGTGACGTTACGTCAAGCTCAATCTGATTACAGTATGTCAGGGGTAAGTAGTCGATGTGTTACAAGACTTCGCAGCAGCCAGCTGTCAGCAAGACATAACCTATAGAGGTATACAAAATATTTCAGCTTTAATGTTAGCACTTGATTGTTTAGTCTAGTGTGCTTCACTGTTACTTGCAGAGAGGTGCTGCTAGAAGAAGAATATTTTAGGATCTACATTGATTACTTGCCCCTGCTATACTGTATGAACGTGTGATAGGTACTTCTTGTTGACCCCTCTCAGCACCATGTGTTTGGCGTTGTGCGAGACTGCTGCTCACTGTGCAAATCCCCGTAACTTGTTAGGAATTATTAATGAGTTGGGATCTGAACATTGTCCACAGGGTCCCTCTGGCTGGTAGTCCACAACGTATTCTCCTATACACAGTGTAGCCTTCTCTTCATAAAAAGCAGCTCGTCCGACGTACTCCTCACCAGCATCCCACAACCGCATCCACACTCACAGATCTATCCCTGCCTGGCCAGGCATCTTCAGGCTTGAGCCGACCTTGAGATATCTGCTGGACAGTCATTCTCAAACACGTTCTGGACTAACCTTGAGATACCTGCTGGACAGGATCACACGTCACACTACAGGTAAGTATTTGCTCACGTCCTCAAAAGGTTGACACTTAGCAGGATGCCATTCACCTATCCCGAGCTCGTGGAGGAGGTGACCTTCAGGGACCGCGTGCTCAACTCGTCTCTGAAAAAGGCGTGGGAGAACGCCCACAAGAACGCGCCCAAGCCCAACTCTCTTCCCCCCACCCACCCAGGCTATATACGCAACCACGCCACTAACCCAAAGGCCCCTCTCGCGTCGCCCCAAAGCCCCGGGAAACGCAGCTTCTGGGCTTCCCTCCTCAAATCCGATCCCACCCCAACCGACGCCAACGCCTCCCCCGAACTACTTCTCCGCGAGCAGCGACGGCAGCTGCGCCGCAATAAGATGAACCGCATGCGCACGGCGCGCCTCGTGGAGCCGGATGTCGATGCTCACTTCCGCGCGCTGCGTCATGACACGCCGGGCACAGGCAAAGCCGCGCTGCAGCCGGGCTCGGCCTGGGAGAAGGAGCAGAAGGGTCTATCTCACGAGGAAGAGGAGAGCAAGAACAAGGCGCGGATCCGGAAGAAGGCGCTAGAGTTCCAGCGTGGTCGGCCCATGTCGCCGCAGCCGCCGGTGGAGAAGGTTGGTGATCGCAAGTCGTGCTTTTCTGCAATCCCTAAGGTGGAAGGTAGGCGTATGCGCGTGCGCTTTGATGATGCGGGGGTTCCGGGTAGGGTGCGGTGGGTTGATGCTGAGGGGGTGGATGAGTTGGCACGGGCGTCGTTGGGGGAGGAGGTCGAGGAGGACGAGGGGGTCGAGGGGTCGCTGTTCGAGGATTTCTAGATGCGGTGCAGATGTCGATTCTGGTTGCTTGATTTGAGATGTGGTAATCCGCTGGTAAGGACCCTCATTCTCTGTCAGCCTTCCTCGCAAGGTGGGATGGACTGGTCATCTTGTTAGTAATTGCTGTGACTCTTGTTTTCTGTCAACCTCCCTCGTGGGGCAGGTACTAGACTTGCTGTTTTCTTGCATGACCTTATTCTCGGTCAGCCTTTCTTACAAAGCAGGAGCTAGACATGCTGGTTCTTGTTTGTAGCATTTGCTCCTTTCCAGATAGATCTATGATATATGATCCCTTGTTCAATCGAAAAAACTTGCCAGTCTTCTTACACGTCACTCACAGCCATCATATCCAGCCTAGCAAAATATCAGGAATAAGTTGGGCATGCATTAGACACTAAATCCACAGCTAAGCGCTACCTTCTCACGCCCAGCCCACCACGTCTCTAGCCGATTATTTCCCAAGGTGCGCCCATTGAAATTTACAAAGCGCCAGTATGCAAAATCTGGAACAACGAATCCAACAACGCCCGGAGGCTTCCATATGGTGGCGGTCGAGATCTATCTATAAAGGTGTGAAAATGCTGGAGGCGTGCAACGCCGGGAACGCCAATATTCAAACAGTGCGCGGTGGGCACGGGGTAATCGCAGTAGTAGTAATGCGTGAAGGAAAAGATGTAGGAAAAGCAGATGGCTGCGACGTTATGGTCGTTTCTTGGGGTCGGGGTGCGGTGCGGACCGGGGGGCCTTGAAGGCGCCGAACACCTTCCTTGAAGTCATGTTCTGCATGTCGAAATGTATTGCGACCAGCCACGCGCACAGTATGTTGGCGAGATGGTGCAGGACATATGCGTAGGTCACGCCGTACACAGCAGCGTAGGCGGCGATTGAAAACAGGAAGATGTTGGTGAAGAAGGAGTATCGAGACTGGACGCGGGGGACCATGCGACCTGTGCTGAGGGTTTCGACCAGGAAGATGAAAGGCATTATCGATAGGATGTTATGATGTGATGAGAAGGGTGTCCACCAATGGATGGCCAGGTTTCGCACCCAGACGACGAGGACCGGCAGGTTGATTGGCAGGATCCAGATCATCAAGATCAAGATCGAGTGCGCATAGTTGTAGAAGTTGTAGTTGGTGTCCAGATGCGTCTCTTTTGCAAGTTTGAACCCGCGAATGCAGGTAGCTAGCTGAACCAGGCAGAGCACCATATACGCAAAGTGATACGGTATCACGGTTGACACTAGTGTCAGTAAGATAACCGTTGTGATGGTGCGCTGCCGTGTGGAGGTGATGGCGAACGCGCCCGGTGTTCTCAGTCCGTCCTCATTGCGCAGGGCCGAGGAGCTGACCAGTGCATAGATCGTCGCAAGAATAAAAGTAAGCAAGAGTGCGACGTAATTCAGGGCGACGCACACTGCAATGCACATGAGTCCGAAAAGTGGCACCAGGAACCAGAAAAAGGTGTCGTCCGTTCCAAGAAGCAGCTCATGATTTGCATCGTCTAAGAGCGCAGTCGTGTTGCTGATTGCAGCGTGAAGAGGCCAATGTGCGAAACCTTCATTGCGTGCGCCAGCTAGTGCGATCGACAAAAATGTCAAGGCAGTCAGTGCGAGCGGCAGAGAGGTGCGGAGGCACTCGTTGAAACCGTTGGCAAAACTCATGAATACGCCCGTCTCATCGTAGACTCGGAACTGCTGACGGATAACCAGGGCGACAATGAGGAGTGGAAACGCCGCGAACACGATTCGGTAGCGCATCCACAGCTTTCCAATGCTTCCCAGTACGTCGACCCTCAAGTTGACCTCTACAGTGCTGTCGCAGGTCGGGTCCGACCATATCTGGAGCGAAAGCCCGCTTGATGGGTGGTGAGGAGACAGGGCCGGTGGCATGTATGGTGAGACACCGTGAAGGTTGAGACTGGCGTCCCTAACGTTGACGAAGAACTTGCTCTCGTGAACATCGGTGATGTACTGTCGCAGCAGTGGAGCGAACAGCTCTCCACGATCACAAGACTGCTTGCCGATGTGGACGTTGTACGCCAACATCGCTGAGTGCAAAGCGGGAACCTTGATATCCATACTCAGAGCGCGGCGTGCTGACAGTCTCAGGTTCAGGCCGGTTGTTAAGAGACGCCGCAAACCCATGTCGACCTTGTATACAGACTCAGACACGTTGCTGAATTCGGCAACCACCCAGCCAGTACTGCGTTCGCCGTGTTTGTCGACAACTGCGACAAACTGTTGATCCGACAGGTCTTTGAGGTCATACTGGAGGTACGAGAAGGGTCGTTGATCTGTTCTAAATGGGAAGGTCGACTGTCGCGTAGACTCCGGGAGAGCAATGACGTCCGACGCGGCATTCTTGCATGCCAATCGGGTAGCGCCAGAGCTGTCACCGGAAAGATCCATGTTCATTGAGAAGAGCGCGGCCGACTGTCCAGCATGATGGGAATGCACGCTGCAGAACAGAACCTCGAGCTTGCCGTTCTCGCCTGGCGCATCTAACTTCTCGTTTGTAAGAAGCGTGAAATACTTGCTGTGAAGCTCGTCCTGAGGCGGTACCGGAAGCAGATATGCTTTTGGCTTCGGCTGTGCCCTCCCCAGGCTTCGCAGTACCAGTTTTTCGCCCTGTGAGATGACTGCGTTGTCGTCTTCCAAAGTCAAGAGAGTTTTCGCTTCTTTGTGTGGCAGAGATCGCTCGGCGACGTCCTCTAGACCTGTTAGGAACTGCTTTTTGAAGCCCCGCATCCGTTCGGCGCGAGGCACCGTCTGGGTCGCTCGTGAAGCGTCGATGACATCGTACAGTGCGCGCACTACGCTCTTTCTCTCCTGATCGCACCAAGTGATGGCCAAGTGGTCCATCCCCGTCCATACATGTGGCATTGAGGAGGTGAAGACGGTAAAGCCGTGGGTCTCGGGCACCAAGGACGCTATGCTCGCATAGTCTGAAGACACCACAGTATCAAGGCCGCCGCCCGCGATCGAAATCAGGGTGACGTGCCAAAGTGGGTTGTCGGTAGCCCACTTCTGCGAGTAAGCGTTTCGCCAGTAGTCGTTGACGCCCTTGTACAGCCGGACGATGTCTCCATCAAAGGAGACGGGCGGCCGAGCATGTGGCGCGGCAAGGGTGACGATGGTGTTGATCGAGTTTGACTGGTAGTTGGGCATCGTGAGCATGGTGCGAGCTACCATGCCCCCCATGGAGTGTCCAAGGATGACGACGGACGTGGGGTCAGGCAGGTTCGAGTCGCGGGCCGAGCGTCCTGGGGTATGATATAACGATAGGATGAATGTAATGGCATCGTTGAGATATTCTGCCTGGTCAAGCAGCGTCTGACCGTGAAAGGCGGTGAAATCCTCGTTGAAGTCGACGGTAAAGAAGTCGAGCGGCCGCTTGCCTGCTTTGATAGCACTCTCGTCGTGTCCCAGAGCGTTGTGGTAGTAGTATGCAGCTTCGGCGCCCAGCGGCCGCACCTGCTTGTAGCTGCCGGCATTGCCAGGAATGAAGAGCACCGGCACACCTTTGACCTACACTCGATTAGCTTGCACGATACATGGGTGGCGCCAAACGTACGCGACTGTCCTCGTCAATGCCGCCCTCGCGGTAGAGATACAGCGAGTATTTGCTGGCGAAGCGCGTGTGTTCCGTGTCGAAGGCGTCGAAGTGGTGAAAGATAGGGCGCATGTACGACATGTCGCAGCCTTTAGTGTCGAGCTGGCGCGTCATGAACGACTGCGCCATGAGGAACAGCGCGGCGAAGCCCAGCAGCGTGGTGAGCAGCGTGCACAGCGAGCAGACCCACGGATTGCGCAGGCGCAGCCGCCACCTGCTGTTCTGGCCCTCAACCATGCTGTCCGAGGTGATGTCCTTGGCCGGCGGCGCGAGCGCCCGCTCGGTAGACATGGTCGTGGCTGCGGCGGTCGCAGCGGTGCTGGTTTGGCGGCGTGTGGGTGCAGACTGCTGGAATGGCGCATGCCCCTCGTCACTCCGCCGCTTCGCGTCTTTCCAGTGCGGTGTTGCTGCTGCAGCGCCTAGCCCGTGGTCATGTTCCAGGAGATGCGCGGTCGCTGCGGGAGAGTCGGCGTGGTCGCGTCCAGGGTGTCGCCCTGTTGGCAGGGGCGGGCGCATTTAAGGAAGGCGCACAGCGTGAATCCGCGTGGTTCCAGCCTCAGGGCCGTGGCCGTGGCTTCCAGATCCAGGGTCTGGAGAATGCGGTGGGCACGTCCTTCGTCGCCCCCTCGGACGGTTGGCGGCGGCGGCGGGCGAGGCGTCGAGGTGTCCGGGGCGCGGCAATGGCTATCCTGCGTGCAGAGAGTGTGCAATCGCCGCACATCGAGGTCGGCGAGAAATGTTGAGTGCTAATTGCGACTCGCGGCATGGGCGACGCAATTGCCAAGCAGCGAATGGAGCCTCGAAGAAACGAGCGACAGATCGTCAACAGGGCACGGGGTGAACAGTGACCGTCCAGGAGGTGAGCGGATCCACCGAGCACTGGCAGCTCGGGCGTGCACGAGCAGCAGGGAACGAACGAGCGACGGCGTTTACCATCGTGAGATGCACCAGCTGCGACTATGCAGACTCTTTGCCTTGAGGCGCGAGGCTAACACGCGATGACGACGGTTCGATGCCGGGATCCCACTCCAAGTCCGGCGCCGCATAGCTCGGCACGCTCACGACCACAGCTTTCCAGTGCACCGTCTGTACCACTGACAGTCTTGCAGCGACTTGATCTTGGCTTTCAAAGAGGCAAGAGCGAGAAGCTGCCGATAGCCGCAAGGACGGCTGACCGCTGCGCTCCACCACTGTGGACTGCCACCGTACCAAACATTCGAAACACTCGACGCCCACGCCACGCTATTGAATCGGAGACATCTGCAGCCTCGTCCGTACACACTGAGAGAGTCATGGACCTGGTTGCGTTCGACACAACGACGTCACGTTGGTACTAATTTTCAGGCCGACTCTCATCTTCAAACTAGCAAGCGGCAGTCGCGAACGATAGCCCGTAACGGCGATCGACTGCACCAAGATGCCAGGGCGAGTTTGATGATCCTGCCAGCCTCTGCGCGAACCACCAGCAAACCCGGCACCGCAACCCGTCCAATGTCTCCAACACACTTGACGCGTGTCGCCGCTGTGTATCAGCATGGCGTCCAATATCTGTCTACAGCCACATGTTTACCAACACTTTCGACGCGTGTCGCCGCTCTATATCAGCATGCAGGTGTCAACCACCTCGTCTTGGCAGCATAAACTGCTGCCGCGTTGCTGAGCGACCTCTTATCCGTGGCTGCTGATTGGCGCAGAGCTGAACTCGCCTGACACCAGTGCATTGCGCACCGCGTAGGATCGCATGTGCTGGGCTGTTTCTGCAAACTTTCGCATCGTCTTGAGCCTTGATTTTGGTCGCTGTTCCTTGAAAGCGTCGCAGCCTAGAGTACCCGCAAATCGCCTCAATCATGCTAGTCAAGCTAAATCATGCTGGAGGTCCTATGACTACGCAGAGCTTTTGAATGGGTCTGAGGTGGCCTGCAAGCGTAAGTACATACATGTGAAGTGCAGGTGTCTCGTGTCCGCAAGCGTATCTTACAGTGATTAAGACCTGCTCTTATAGCATCGTCTGTACATGAAATTCAATGCAGTTATAAGTTAGCCGTAGAGATTTGCTGAACACATGCTCATTGTCATCGTGAACAAATGTTCCTTGGAGTGCCCTATTCTTCAGTCGGCAAATATCAACAGTCAAGTCAACCCTCAAGTACCCGTCAACGCGCCAATGCGATTCTTTCCCAACACCACAAAGTTAGAATCCGACTCCACTTATTCACATAAGAGGAAGAATAGGTACCTCTGTCGCAACAGTGATCGTCGACAAAAACTGCTGCGAGCTGTCTTTCTCCTTGCTAGATGTGTTTCACAACTACGAATTGAGTGTAACCTTACAAACATGCGAAAAATCATAACTCAACACAACCTTCAAAATTTACCCCGAAACCTAGTGATATGTTCTGCCATGCACCAGGTAATCGTCTAATATACTCGTGACCAGTAGATTAGCGTTGGTGTTAGCGATGTTCTTCGTAATAAGTGCATGCCTTTCGTTGTGTTGGCGCCGTAGGATGGGAGAACCTCGTTCCAACATCCGCAGCAAAAGACATCCACATCAGCAAAAAAAAGGGTCCTGCCGCGACTCGAACGCGGGGCCTCTCGCAAATTGCTTAGTCACCCTAAGCGAGAATCATACCACTAGACCACAGGACCGATGAAAGTTTGGCATTTTAAGACATTTATATAGCCAAGCAGAGACGCACATCACATGCAACTCACGAAGGTGCCTAGATTGATCCCATTGTCTTGAGGTATTGACGTGACTAATCTCTGTCTGTCTCGCTCGAGCCTCCTCAAGCAGCCCATTTGTCATCCACGAACATGTTGGATCCCAGACGTGAAGTCGCCGCACATCATTTCAATCCACAATGTTTCCAGAGAAACCTCACGCGGTACGGGTAGATCTGCATAGCGGCGAATCGATACGCCTTTTCTCACCGCCATACAGCTGCTAGGTCCCCGCTATACGGGGGCCATGAGGGATGGAGGAGCTCCTTTCCAATGTGTACATTGAAGATCCTGGGCTGTTGACGTCCTGGCGTGCTAATAAGCCTTACGTACAAGGCTCTTCCTTCACGCGCTGTTACTGATTTTGCACTGTTTGGATTTGCTTGCTTCAGATCTCCTATACCATCACCAGTCTCACCACTGACGTGCATGATGACAATGGCTTGTGAAGTAGACTGTCCCCTTAGACCACTAACATCAATTGGTTCAAATACCTTCAGTCTGTATCAAAAGGAACTGCATCCCAGCTGTCCATCGGGTGCAGAGCAGCGATGATCACTTTAACCTCCTCTCCACCCAGGAGTTACCTCCCGGAACGCGGCAGCGATCGCACACACGTCTCTAATATAGTAAGGTAGACAGACGTGGTAGTACAGCCAGAACCGAGGCCAGAAAATCAAGCACGCATTGGAGACACTGCTGCCCAGTTTGTGTAACAAGAATCGGGCGTTTGCTGACGGAGGACAAGCAACGAACGGCCAGCCAACGCACTCTGGCTTGACGTATATCCCTGAACCAACGGTAGGAGAAAGCACATGTTCCAAGCTCAGGCCATTATGGGCTGATCGATCGTGATCATCTCTTCCCGCATGTCGTTCCTGTACAGAGAGGGTTGTTGCTTTTTGGACCCTCACTTTTCTCTTTGCGATATCAAGCGAAAATCCCGACAATCTTCACCAGAGTTGGCGACAAACATGTGATGGCGAACAAACCAGCACGGGGCCCGTGGAGCCTGTCATGTCATGGAGCTTACTTGGTCTATTCACCATCAAGGATTTGATGGTTGCCAACTCTGTTCACTAGTACTGCATTGTCGGGGCAGTTAGCAGAGAAGCAGCTGCCAAATATGAATGTGGGCAGGTCACAACGCGTGGCTAGCGCGTCATGCGTGGGGCTCAAAATATCCCGTCACACTGGCGTGCCGAAGCTTGGCATTTATTATCACCTGCGCCTCCATGCATGCAGGAAACTTCCGTTCTCAAGCACCGATGGCAGGGGAGTGAGACCGGATGCGATCCTGACGAAATCTATTGCCGACAGAGTGGTCTTCATATCGGGCAGGTGCGGTCCCTGCCCAGCGATGATAGAGCGTCTCTATTACGTGGATGCTCTGAAGACGGTCACTTAATGTCTAGCTAATGATGCGTACTACGATCTTGTGCGGTCATTTTTCAATTCTATGTCAGGATCTCGGTTGCCGCCGATGCATTGGAAATGGAACTTAACTGTGGAAGTACTTATGCGGAGACACCAACAACGATATTTGCAGTGAAGGAAGAAATGCAGCCACACTGTACACGCCAACTCAACCCCAAGGACCAAAGCGCTGAGCCAAACAGCGACTGCTGACTTATTACATAGTGATTATAATATCTTCAACGAACCCCCTGTAGCACTAGCCCGACAGGACTTATGCCGGCAACCATGAAAGGATGCTGGCACGCTCGTTTGCCGATCCTTGTCTGTGTCAGGTACTGTGACTGCAAGGACCGGCGGGATTCACTCGCAAAGGTCCGATTGGCCGCATTCAGGCTCATCTAACAGAAAAGCAAGCCTCGTTACAACACCACGGTCAGTGCTTTGCTGTGTTCGCACAGCACAGGAGTTTTGCAGACTACCTGGCTATGAAGTCTCTAGAAGCATACTAGAACCTCTGGCGAGTCCTGGAGCAGTGAGCCTCATCTTCAGCCCTATGGAAATCTAGAGCCACCGTGATCATGTCCTGGCCTCGACACTGGCTAAGGGGCTGGATATTTCGGGTCCTGGCCACGGGTGTCTCCCGCGACATTGCGCAACGGCCCGTCCTCTATTTGGCCCTAACCGCCACTGGGAACCGCACTCATGATAGGCCGCAAGAGAGTCGGGCATTATGCTGGTCAAGGCTGCTACATGTCGTTGGTGAACGAGTGTTGCTCTCACGGCCGCATTGAGCACCCTTGTTACGATTCCAGGTTTCATCCTAGCAGTCAGTTGACACTACTGAACTTGGCGTTGCGGACAGGGTCTCAAGAGATACAGGCCGTTTCGCATTGGCTATAGCTGGGTCGATTTCCAACCATATCACAGCAGTGAAGCCGAACATCTATGCCCTCCGGGCGATCATGACTTCCAACACTCTTGATCTCCGTGACACCCAGGTACTTTAACCAGCTGCGCCAGAACTGGATGTTCTCGCCACTGGGCACTCCTATCACTAATTGTACGCCCTTACACCTCGAGCACCATGCAGCACAATTACACCAAGAGTAGCATGATTGGCTTAGCCATAGCCTTCATGATACTTCCTCTGAGCTTCATCAGCCTCCGCATATGGGCAAAGACTCTGGCAAAACGATTTGCCTGGGACGACTACCTCGCGATTGCCGCTCTGGTAAGTCACTCGACATCGTGCTCCAAAGATACTAATCAGTGTAGTTGGTCTCCTTGACATGCTGCATACTTCAACTTGCAAGTGAGTTTGTAATCATGAAGGAGGCATGGCTTCTGACTCCATCCATCCAGCTGCAATACACGGCCATCTAGGCCAGCACCAACCTCTGAATGCGGATGGACACCCAATCATGGACGATCCGGGGCTGATATTCTTCGAGGAGGTACGTAGGTCGTAGAGCGGCTGGCCGACGACTGACTTCCAAAGACAAAATTCGCGCTGAACATGATATCCATCATTGGCCTCGGGCTCGTCAAGTCTTCCATCTTGGTCATGTACAAAAACATCTTCGACGTTCGCAAGTTCCGGACCGTTGTCTATGTCGTTCTGGCATATGTCATCGGCTGGACCGTCAGCTTCAGTTTCTCGCATCTCTTCACATGTTACCCCATTACGGTCTTCATTGAGCCATACTACGGCAACAGCTGCGTAGAGACGGTTCCGATGTTTTTGGCTCTTCTTGTAAGTTACCCTACACTCGGCATGTATCGAATCTGACTGTCAAAGTATACAGATGTCCTTGCAGATTTCGTCATCCTCGTGCTTCCGATACCCATGGTATTGAGCGTCAAGCTGACTTTGAAGAGAAAGCTGGCTGTAATTGGTATGCTCATGCTGGGCGCAGCGTAAGTTTAGAATTCAGTTATGTCGAGCTCTGCTGACCGGGAAGTGTATGTGCTGTCAGTGTCACGCGTGTAGTAGCCACATACTCTATTGCGGAAGAGTACATCAAGCACCCGGACGATGTCATATACTACACTGCACCTGTATTCTTCTGGACCAACATCGAGCTTTCTCTCGCCATCGTATGTGCATGTCTGCCCACGCTCCGGCCGATTTGGTTCCACTTCAATCCGCGGCCTTCCACGCAGACTGGCTCGGGATATGGGTCGTCCAGGCTCACGGGCACGAAGAGCAGCAGCTTTGCGACCAAATACGGTGGCACCCGTAAACCGTACACAGAGCTGGACGAGATAGAGCTCACGTACTGTGAGCCAACTCCGTCAACCTCCTCGGACCCGCCATCCATGGCCAACGAACGGGGTATTGCCAAGCCTGTAGAAATTCGTCAAACATTGGATTGAGCGAAAACTGATATTGATGAGGCTGTGCAGAGCTCAACTTGGTCTGCTTGCGCTAAGTGATTGTCATTGCCAACTCTAACAGAGCTTTGGCGATTCAGTACGACTTATGGGCATATCGGAGATAGGACAGCAGTTTGGGAGAATCGCATCCGGGAGCAGCCGTAAATCAAACGGTATCGACGGCGAGTAGTCATGCCCCTGCTAGTTCCAGTCAAGTGACATTTGGACTTGTCTTGGCCGTTTTCGTCGTGCATCTGCGGTCCGAATCCCCTGCCGAGACCCAACCCATGCATGGAGCCCGCTTAGGTCAGACTGCCGAGCAGGGGCTATAAGCTCAAGTAGGAAGGACCTCCACGCTTCGGACCTTTCTTTGAATGCCTATAGTAGACTCCGCTCGCTATAGAGTAGGATATCCAGGCCACCACAGCCTACCTGGGCATACACTCCGAGGCCTGTCCAGAACCCATCAAATATCCGGTTGTCGTTACACCACAGCTCTGATCGGAACGTGATGGGTCTGACAACCCTGTTAGTAAAATATCACTTGCATGCGCATGAACTTCGGATGGATTTTGCGGTAGTGATGGCGAATACTAAAAGCTGGGAGCTCCAGGCAAGCTGACTGACATTTGTGAATTGCGCAATGAAGGTTCTACTCACTTTTCTTTCTGCCTGTTCTGGCATTTCAGCCCTCGCGATCCGGGCACCGACGATTGCCCAGGATCTGGCGACACTGGTCTCGACAGCTTCCTCGGTATCAATTGAGCTTAATGCAAGATGGAGCGACTTCAACGCACCTTTGCCGTCGGTCGTAGTAAACGTCACATCAGAGGACGATGTGGCTGCGACGGTAAGTGGATCGAGTTCAAGCCGTTCTCCTACTAATACGTACAGGTCAAGTACTGCACTAAAGGAAATATTCCCTTCCTGGCACAAAACGGTGGTGTCGCGTGGGCGAACATATTCGACTTGGGACAGACCGGTGTGCTGATCAACCTTGCGGGCCTCAATACTGTCACAGTGAGCGATGACAAGAAGTCAGCAACGATTGGGGGTGGCGCAAGTATTGGAGAGACTATTGCTGCAGCAGACGCTGCTGATGCTTTGGTATTGACGGGCAATTGCAATTGCGTCGGCTCAGTGAGCGCCTACCTTGGTGGAGGTTATGGTATGTCACCGATCAGCAACTTGACCACCTCACTGACTTCTCAGGCAACCTCATGGGCGATGTCGGCTTCGGTGTCGACAACATTATCTCGCTCCGCGTCGTTACTGCCGACGGCTCGATTCGCACCATCTCGAAAACGTCTGACGCTGACCTCTTCTGGGCCTTCCGCGGCGCTGGTCCAAACTTCGGCGTTGTCATCTCAGCAACCGTTAAGGCCTCACCCGCCACGGCCACCGACCGAACGGCTTGGATTAACAACCTCTTCTTCCCAGCGTCCAAGCTACCCGAGATTGCTCAGACAATCGAAGACCTCCCCCTCGCCCCCGAACAACGCGTCTACCTCGTGCTTACCAGCGGCGGCCCACCCCTCAATGAGCCCTCAGTCCTCGTGACTGGCTTCATGCGCAAAGCCAACGAGGCCACTGGACGCGCCGCCTTCAAGCCTCTCTACGATCTGCAGCCCGCCAGCGAGTCGGGTGCCGTAACTCCATACGCAAACTGGAACGACGCCAACATCAACTTCTGCGTGCGCGGCGGCCGCAAGCCTTCCTTCAGCACGACCATCACCTCAATGAAGCCGGACGTCTGGCCGCAGATCTGGGACGCATACACGGCGTTCCAGGCCAAGGGCCCCAACACTGCGGTCTTGATTGAGAGATACAACTTGACGGCCGCGAAGGCGCAGCTAGACGGTGCGACAGCGCTGAACCCCGCGCTCAGACAGCCTGCGTTTGCGCAGGCGATTGTGATTCCGTGGTACGACGACGCAGGGCTAGATGACGAGGCGCTGGCGTTCGGGAGGGGGGTCAGGGACCTGTGGAGCGATGCGGCTGATGCCACGCAGAACCCGACGTACGCGAATTTTGCACATGGGGACGAGAGCTTAGAAGCAATCTACGGGACGAGTTTGCCGCGGCTGAGGAAGGTGAAGAAGACGTGGGATCCAAAGGGTGTGTTTGGGCAGTGGTTTCCTATCAAGTAGGAAGTGCGAGTGGGAACGACATAAACGTAAATGACGAATGAATGATTATGCTGGTTCTCAATGTGTAGACTCGTACCAATCAATTGCCAGAATTTGCAGATCACTCTGACATACGGACGATTATTGAGGACACAGGTTTGCATCAAATATAACCCACGCCACGAGGCCATAGGAAACGTGAGAAGCTGCTTGTTGGCCTCTTTCCAAAGCAAATACTCACTGCCCCCTCTCCAGCACCTCACACCTAACCCAAAACTCATCCCACGCCACACACCCCTCCATCTCCCCCGCCAACACCACTGCCTCCCTAGCCTCCTCGATCTCCCCCTCCAAACCTTCCCGCTCCAGAAGCGCAAAAAATACGGCCCCTGTACCGCCCCCTGCCCTACGAGGGAAATCCGTCTCCACGCCCCACCCTCCGCTCGCCCCCCTCAGAGCCTTATACCCCTCGTGCCTTCGGAGCTGTTCAAAGCCGCGCTCCACAGTGTCGCGGGTGTCCTGCGACACGTCGTTATCGAAATACAGACACAGCACCTGGGTTACGGGGCTACGAAGAGGGGTGAGGGAGTGGATTGCGTGTTTTGTGAACCCCGGGGCGAAGACTTCACCGAAGCGGGACGTTGCGTCGCCGCCGAATCTGGGGGCGTTAGAGGGAGCAGGAATTGCGTAATATATCGTTGGGTGTGAATCATGACAGCGGAACTGAAAGGCAACTCACTCCCTTGCAAACTTCTCGTGCTCACCCAGACTTTCCCACTCAAACCACCCCCACAGCCGTCCGTCACCGTCTGCCGTCTTTTCGGCCCGCTCTTCAATGCCCCAGAAGATCTTGCTCGGACCACCCGGCGCTGCGATGATACTTTCAAACGCGCCCCGCAGAATCCTCTCATCAGACGTGCCAGCGGCGAGTGGCGTTTTGCCCGGCTGGATGTGCATCGTGCCGACTTCAGCGACCGTCATTGTGAATTTGTTGGTGTAGTGTTTAGGAGAATGGAAATATAAAGTCTTGTTATATCAATTTGTATGTAGATACGAAGCGGTTATATACTCTAGTCTTAACTAGGCTGCAATATTCACTCTATTGTAGTGACGACGCACTCCGTTTCGTTATGGAGCGGGAGTGGAGCTGGGCCGCGTCACGGTTTTGAGGTTTCTACATGGAAACAACACTACTTACGTCGAGTCTGGATGTGCGGTGGTGCAAACGCGGCTGCCTGATATGTGGGCCTGACGTCGTGCTTACCTCAGCCACAAATAAGTAAACTCTGCGCTAGTACTGCAAAACACGTGCTCTGAACGCTGCAGAAGTGCATGTCGATAGCTCAGGACTTTGGCTTCATGAAGATCTGGACGCTCAACTATATATTCTCAGACTATCGCAACCATATGTAACGCCACAACAATGCAATGCAGCCACTATATCGCGAGTAGGACTCTACTTTCTCCTCTTGCCGCCGCCACCGCCGCGACCTCCCTCGCCATCGCCTTGATGCTGTCTCTTCTTGCCCTCGCGCTGCCAGTACTCCTGCTTCTCGCGCTTCTCGCGCGCCTCCTTCATCTCCTTGTTCTCCTCGATCTTGCGCTTGTACGGCTGCTTGCGCTCCTCCTGCTTCGCGCGGCGCTTCTCCACCTTCTCGTTGCGGATTGCCATGACTTGGTTCATCAGCCTGCGAGCCTTCTTTTCCTCGCCGCCCAGCACGACGGCGCGCTTTTGCAGATATGTTTCTTTTCTCTGTGGCTTCATCGCTGCGATTTGTGACTTAAAGGGCAGTTCGGCAGCGAGCTTCTTGGGGACGCGGAGGGGGTTGAACTTGCGCTCCTCGCGCTCGACGGGGCGGTACGCGGAGTTCTTGATTGAGGGGGTCGGCAGGTTGAGTTCTGCGCGGACGGCACCGGTCAGACGCATGCCTTGCCAGCTTGTGCTTTCGCCGGCCTCCTTGTCCTCGGCTGTGGGAGGGACGAGTAAGTTGGTGACGGCAGCGAAGAAGCGGCGAGGCTTGATGGGGTACCATGCGCGCAAGAAGACGATGTCGGACATGAGGATCTTGTCTTCGAAGGTGGCACGGAAGTTGCCTTCTGGCTTGGAGAGGGCGCGCTTGATCTGGCCACGCACGCCGGAGACGGTGCGGATTGAAGCACCCTCGAACTTGGCGATTTCGAGAGAAGTCTTGAACATGTCTTTAATGAAAGCCGTGTTCTTGAAGATTTTGTAAGGATGGCCGGTCAGCTTGAGCTTCTTGACAATTTCTGTCGACTCATCAACATTCAATACAACACCAGTGGCCGATATCCTGAATCCAGGTGTCTTGTTTGAAAGCGACTGGACACAGCAGAAACCTGTGTTGGGTGCCACGAGCGGCCCATAGAAGGTTCCGAAGCAGTGCATGTGCTCTGGTGTGTACTTGAGCATGCGGTTTCGCGTTCGCGAATCAGAGATAGAGTAGATGGGCGTGGTCTGGAACCGCCTCCATCCGAGTGAGAAGATGACGGGATCGTTGGTCTTCAAGATCTTCTTGTGCCAGCGGTGACGCTTGATGCGGATCTGTACGAAACCGAAGCGCTCCTCGGTAGGCGTCAAGCCTCCAATGAGCACAGGGAATCGTGGGCTGAAGTTCATGGAGAACTCGCAAGGCACATTTTCAAGTACAATGCGAGCGTAAGTACCGGCCTTGTGACCCTCAACACGCTGGCGAGAAGCCTCGTCCAGCTGATCGAACTCAGCGCGGTTGATGTCGAGTTGCTTCTTGAGCAAGGCTTTCTGAGCGTCGTACCAGTCGTCTTCGCCAAACTCTTCCTCTTGCGCACCTTCTTTACGAGCGTCTGCTTTGTCGTTCATAAAACCCTCTCGATCTTCCTCCTCGAACCGCAGCTTGAGCTCTTCTTTCCGTTTTGCGTTCTTCTCCCGTTCAAGCTCAATGTCATCGACCTCAGCTTCAGCCTCCGTGTTTGGCTGGTCGTCACCAAACTTCTCACCAGTCTCAAGATCCTCGAACTCGCCATCGCCTTCGTCGTCATCACCCTCACCATCGAACCCATCAAACTCGTCGTCCTCGCCATCGCTGCCCTTACCAGCCATGTGACCACCGGCAAATCGACTTTTCAAGGCTGCGATGTTCTCCTCGTCTTCCCACTTCTTCGCCAGCTCTTCGTAGTTGAAGCGCGCGATGTACCGGTCCTCGTTGTTCGTGTCCTGGGCCTTGGATTTCTTGAAGAACCCATCCTCCTCCTCGTCAGCCTCAATGTCTTCTTCTTCATCGTCTCCCTTCCACTTTGTGATGACGTCTTCTGGCGAGATGTCGAGATTGTACATTAACTTTCCGAGTTCTGCGATGCGGTAAGGCCGCTTCCGCCCGTGCAGCTTAGCCGCGTTCTCGCGGAGGTTATCTTTCCAATTCAGAGCACCATCATCATCGTCCTCTTCAGAGTCAGAATCGCCGTTCTCGGAGTCGCTGAAGTCTGGCTCTTCTCCTGAGATCGAACCGAGGTCGGAATCACTGTCTGCAAATGCCACTTCTTCTGCCGCATCGTCCTTGTCCTCTTTCCGCGCGAGCTTCGGTTTCCTCGATGATGAGCTCTTAGTGTCCAGGAACCCTGTGTCGTCCTCGTCGTCTTCGTCGCCGCTGTGGTCTTGCTGCAGTTCGTCGTCATCACTATCGATGTCGTCGAGTTCCGCATCGTCGAGGTCGTCCGCCTCCGCAGCGCGTGCCTTTCTTTGTGACCTTCGCCCAGTGTTCCCAGCGTCTTCATCATCATGGACATTCTGATTGTTGACAAGCTCACCGCCGCTGAAAAGCCTAAAACCTCGATCGTCCTCGCCAAGTAGCTTCCTGCCACCTTGCAGACCGATCATCATCTGCTCTCCAAGCCCACGCTCCTGATCAGGCTCTTCGTCTGGGTTGAAAGTGTTCGTCTTGACATCAATGTATACGGCGTCTTTGTCAACTAAAACACCTCCAACATCTGACATGGGGGCATATAGGATTTTTTGCTTTTCGCCTAGTCTTGTGCGCTTCTTCTTGCCGCTGATCTTCTCCGCCTGCTTCTCAAAGTATGGTGTCGGACACGGATCAGGGAGCGCTTCGGTCGATGTGACTGTCAGATCGCCGACACCAGGGATGTGTACCCTCGACCCTCCAGCTGGGAAGTTTGTACCTCGGAGATATCCGTACAGCGCGATTGTGCGATCGCACTTTGGGTTCTCTTCGATATCGGTGGGGGGTGTAATGTCCAGAAATCTGTCAGCCAAACAGTACGGATGCGAGTTCCTCCAAACCAGCGGTCTCGGATTCTTCATCACACTCAAGAACCTGCTCAAGTTCATGACCTCTCGATCAGGGTAGCGCCCATTGACTACACCCGAGAGGTAGAACAGCTTTGCGCCCTGATACAGCTCGCTCCAGAAGCGGTGCTTGAGACGCTTCTTCTGCAGCTTCAGTGTTTCCTGCTTCCTGAACAGATCCAGATGCGTCAGGATACCGAACACGTTTCCTGGCATACCAGAAGACGAAAGGACGTTCAAGAACTCCATGGTCTCCATCTCGAAGCCATAGTTTCCGTCAATCATGAGTAGACAGATGTCGACCACCTTGGCGATGTCAATCATGGAGGCGAGCGAGTCGGACGGACATTCTATGAATGTGAGGCGGCGGCGCTTCGAAGTGACGACGGTGAGCGGCCCAGATGGCGAGGAGAGCGTCTGCTTGGTGTATCGTCTGATCAGACTCTTGATGAGCGTGGTCTTGCCCACGCCTGAAGGCCCGACGACTGCGACGATGATCGGAGGCGCTTCTTCGGGAAGACGGTCGACGAGCGGGACGTGGAGGCGCTTTTCTTTCACCTGGTCTGTTAGTACGACAGCCAGAGAACATTGGGAGCTGCACATACATCCTGAGAGCGCGCGCCCTGCTTCGCTAATCTTCCTGGCGCAGCATATGCAAACGCCTTAGGGTTCGGTCCACCAGAATGCGGCTTCTTCTCTTTCCCCGCCCGATGCGGTCTATTTGTCTGGTCCGCCATGATTGCGACTGCTAAACGTCGTGATCAACAGACACAGACTTCACGAAAAGCGAAGCGCGTGTGTTCGACGTGCGGCAAGCTTCGAACTTCCGTCCACCAAAATTTCGAAACTAGCGGGCGCGCTAACGCTGCAACAGGGATGTGCCTTCTTTCTTATCGATAGGCGGCAAGCGCGACCCTCGGTCTAGGCAACCCCACCGAGGGGCAGCTGCTCAGGTGCTCAACTCAACGATGACGTGCGCTCCGGTCGTCAGCGCGCATAACCAAGGCTCTTGCGCCGTCGCGGGTCTCTCACCGGATAGGCCGAGGGCAGGAGATGCTAGCCTATAAAGCACGCCTTGACCCTTATCTAACGCGTGCTACTCATAAACAACTACGTCCACACTGCACTCACCTCCGTCACACAACTCCAAGACACTACACCACTTTCAACATGCCTACACAATACAACGTATGTGACGTGAAGAACGGCCACATGAAGAGGCTTGCTGACGGTGTCTGCACAGGTTACTCTCAAGCCCGAGGCTTCCCCCGAGGACTTCGAGCAGGCAAAGAAGGACGTCGAGGCCAAGGGCGGCAAGATCACCCACGAGTTCAAGCTCATCAAGGGCTTCACGTACGTTCAGATCTTACCCTTCTTTTGGTGCGGCTGAGCTAACGCCCGTGACAGCGCAGAGCTTCCTGACGACCTCGTCTCCACTTTCGAGTCTAACGACAAGATCACCGTCGAGAAGGACTCCGAGGTCACCACCCAGTAGACGACTTTACGATGGCATGAGATACGGACATAATAGCATGACGCATCAAAGCATAGCGCTTGCATAGGCAGCTGGGTATATAGATATGGACAACATCTTTGATGCTTATTCTCGCTCTTGATCCACTTTTCCCACGCCTCTTAACTTCAGGTACACGTCAGTGCCCCACCCCCACAGGCTCTTCACCTCGATCCCTCCGCCAAAATACTCCGCATATGCCCTGCCCAGCGGTAGTCCATAACCTAGTCCCGCCAGACTGTGTGCTCCGTCCCCTCCAGGGCCCGTCATGGCATTCAGCGCGTCCATACCGCTGCCCGAGCCGCCTCCTGAGAGCGTGGAGGACGCCTGTTGCTCGTTGAAGGTCGTGAAGCTGTAGTCCCAGATGTGTGCCAAATTCTCGGGCGAGATGCCACCGCCACGGTCGCGGATGCGGATCGTCACGCCGGGGGTGCTGTGCTTGAGTGGCAGTATCTGAGCGTCGGGCTTGGACGTCGAAGCACCTGTAAAGCTGCCCGACGCGATATCGGTGCTGCCCTGATTTACATTACGCAAGGTTGATTCGAATGTGTTGTGTTGACCTCCGCTGCTGATATCGCCTTGCAGGTCTTTCGGCGCGATCGTGACTTCAATTGGCTCGCGCTCCTTACCGTTCTCGACGGTCGCACGGAAAGCATTCTTGAGCAGCTCAGTCATTATGTACTCAAGATGCGAGGGGACGTGGGCAAAGGTGTAATCTGGCTCGCCGTTGATAACGACGCTGGGTCGCACGCCGTACTTGAGCTCGCAGATCTCGCCCACGACGTTTGCGCAGTGATCGACAATCCTTGCGGGCTTCAGCTTGGTGTCAATGACGCCGATGAAGCCAGGGGTCTCGTCAGACTCGTGCATGATCTCAGCATGTGGCTGGCTCGAGAAGTGCAGCGATAGATGCTGTTCGGCGATCAGTCGCGTGCCAATGCGCGCACGCAGGTGTTCGTCCAGGAACCGTGTCACATCCTGCGGGCTGATGTACTTTCGGGCCTCCAAGAAGCCTCTCGCCAGTATGCTGATGGTATTCGAGTGTGTTTGCACAAGATCAGCCATGACTTCGGTAAACTTGATCTCGTCTTCCAACGACGTTATCTCGTGCTCTGCCCATGGCAGCAGCGTGGAGAGGCTGTGTATGTAATTGGCGTGGATCTTCGATACGTGAGGATTCGAGACGACGATGAAGGGCAGGTTTCGAAGCGACTGTATACGATGCGCAAGTCGTGCGGGTAGAATCGAGAGCGTGAAATTGGCAGAGGTGAGTAATTGTTGGGTTGCCAGAGGAGGCCTGCCGTGTCTGTGCACGCGACGTTCGTAAGCCTCGAGATTATAAGACGGCTCTGGTCACGCATGCACTCACTTTACGAGGTCACTGAGGGTCAATGGGTAGATGGGCAGACTAGCGAGGCGCGAAATGTCATGATCGGTGACCGTCCTTGTGTGCAAGCGATGAATCTTCCCCCTGGACAGCAGCGACCTGCGCGCTGTTGGTGGACAACATGCTCGAATGATATGCGATTGGATAATCAGGGGTCGCTGTATGTGCGCCATGGCAGATTCATTGACCCTGGAAAGATGCTAGGAAATGCGAAGGATGAGTTGGGCAGCTCAAGCTTCAACAAGCTCGCGGGATCGGCGGTGAGGGCCACGCGAGACGTCATTGCCGAACTTTGAGCGATCGAGGACCATCTTGACCTTGACCACATGTACCTCCAACTTCCTCAACCCATTCTTCTAGCGTGCACTCGACATGCGACACTCACATGTCAAGAGCAAACGAGTGGGCAGAGACTATCGCTTCTATGTCTGAGTCTCGGATGAGTGCACTTCGTACACCAGGATACGTCTTATCTAATGTATGTTGGACGTCTGAATCGCAGTCGTGTCATGATGCAGGCAATCCCCGTCACATTAGATGGAAGACAGCTAACGTTCATACCAGTGACATAAAATGTTATTTTGCACTGCCGTCTGTCAAGTTTAGACCCTCGCAGCCTCAAGTTGAATACATCGAAGCGCCATCGCCCGACTCCCGGGCGCCATTTCTGACAAGCGCACAAGGGTACGCTCGTCCTACCTTGACATTGTTCTTATGGCATAATGTCAGACTATACTCTTTAGGAGCCCGTCGGCTGTGTTATCCTCTTCCTCACTTGGTTTCCGCCTCTCCCCCGGTTTCCGCCTCTCCCCCGGTTTCCGCCCCTCCCCCTCCCCAAGGCAGCTTCAGCCTGTTGTGACAGTCTTGGAAGCCCGAGCTCATTAGAAGACCTCAGAGCACCATATTCGGCCATAGTCATGCAGCTGTCTAAGGCTGAGATGTAGTTCTTCACGCACCAAGAGATCGAGCCGCCTATCATGTCATGTCGACATCTTCCTTATAACCTTGGAATTGGCCACGCGAATGGAAGAAGGCATTTCGCCCCACGTTTCTCTAACCGAGATGAGCCGCGTACATGAGCTGAGTTCCCTTGGCTGTTTTCCAGCATTTGCTATTGGACGACCTCCGCTTGAGTGAACCATAAGCCAAGAATGAATTCTCATGGTATGTGGATCCTTATTAGCCTTCACGCAGCTTTGGCTCTTATTCGCAGGAACCATAGATGCGGCTTGCTTACGCAAAGCCACGCAATAATCATGTGCATATCCATACATCCTACGGACAAGGCTGAGATTCAGCCTCGAGCGTAGCAGTAATCATGCGATGCTGCCCCCCCCCCCCCCCCCCCCCCCCCCCCCGCGCATCTCTTTAAAGCTGAGCAACGCATTTCACTCTTCTTGATCCCCTCAGATTGAATTAGGATTTTTTCAAGACAATCTTACGATGTCAAATCCGTACAGACGAACAATCGATCCGGCGACGCGACCCCCATCAACTGCACCAGATATTCCGGTAGTCCGAGCCTCGAAATCCGATTCATCCAAAGCTTCAAAACGACGTCGAGTGTCCTTCTCTACCAGCGCGTTCCGCGATGTACCCAAAACCACGCTCGATCCATCGCATGCGCTTGCACGCGATCGGCAGGAAACGAACATCGAACCTCCGCAGCCCAGGATGTGCGAAAGTTGCGAAGGGCAGAAGTCACCTGTCTGGAATTGCTCATATTGTGACACGAACTACTGTGATGACTGTTGGGACAAACAAGGGCCACACAGGGCGGGCAAAACTGGCCCCGACGGTCTACCGCACGAGAAGGCCAATCCCACCATTGTTAAAAGGTTACATACTTATCTTTCTAAAGATATAGTACCATAGGCATTAGGTGCCGTCAGGCGTCGGGTGTCTGTGCACGGTAGGCGTTTATTCGTTGTGGCTGAGGGGCTGGGCGCCTTGCATATGCACGTATCAATGTGGAGGCTTAGCCCTCAACAACATCAGCTCAGCATTCAGCTGCTTCAGCCGAATCTTGTTATACAGATGTTTCCACGGACTTCCGTCCTGTTAGCTTCACTGTTGCCTTTTAGGCCTTCTTCTTAGGATGCCAGGCATTCAAACAAGCTTGCCCATACCCACACAGCCTTGGGAGAGAGCCCAGAAGCGTTTCCTCGATGGGCTTTCCGATGGAGAAAGGCATCTTTACGAAGATGCATCGCTAGAGAACATCTTCTATGATGCAAGCGCGGAGCAAAAGCGGTTTGCTCGTGGTAGTCGGGCATCACGTCTGCTTGATCTTCTATCCCCGATTATCGAGTCGATCGAGGATTACGGCAAGGCGATGGATGTCTTTGTCAATACAGCTCCGCTGGTACTGAGTCCTCTATGGGGAAGTATTAGAGTACTTATACATGTAGGCTCTGTAGTCATGATTGATTTGCACCCACTGACTTTGTGCAGATAGCTGGCGAGGCTGCCAAGTTCCAGGAGCAACTCATTGAGATGCTATCTGAGATCGGTGAAGAACTTCCAAGATATTGCGTTCTCCAAAAAGTGTATAGCAACCACGAAGCTCTTCTAGTGGCCATCTCATCTGTTTATCTTGAGGTCTTGCAGTTCTGTGTGGCTACCAAGGAATTTTTCCTACGTGCGCGGAGGTCAAAACGTAAGTTTATACACATTTTTTGGTTCTGTGCTAAAAGGCATGCCTAGTCCCGTTGTCTATAGTACTCAGCGGCATGTGGAAATCCCATCGTCGACAGTTTACCGAGTCAATAACTCAACTCCGCAAGAAATCCAAACATGTCAAAAAGGAGGCTGGTCTAGCTCACTACATCGAAGGATCAAATAGCCAAGAAGTCGAGCGGCAGAATCGTGCACTACAGCTGCAGCATATCAGAATGCGACGACGCAATCTCATTCTGTCGAGTCTCGCCGTGGTAGACTACGTTGCGAAACAATCGCGCTTCGCTACATTGAGGCATCCTGGGACCTGTAAATGGCTGCAAAGAACCTCAGCGTACAAATCCTGGATCCAGAGCACCGATTCAGGTTGCATGTGCTGCTATGGCATCCCAGGAGCCGGCAAGTCGATCTTAGCCGCGAGCTTGAGAGATGATTTATTAGATGCCAACACTGGAAAGTCAGATGTGCTAATTTGTTATTATTTCTGCGATTACGCCGAGATTTCTTCTTTGGATCCAGCTTATATACTTCTGTCTCTCATCAAGCAAGCACTAGAACAGCTTCCATGGGATATCTTTGAGGAGGATTTCGAATGTCCATACGTGGAAACTGGACGTAAACATACATCCCTTACTGAGAGCTCAAAGTATCTTTGCCAGCTGCTTCGAAGATTCACAACAACTTACATGATAATTGATGGCGTCGATGAGCTTAGTCATGAAAATCAGACGCACATGCTGGATTTTCTCAATCAACTGCAGGGTTCAGCGTTCACCGTCAAGATCTTCGTCACAAGTCGAACAGAGGAGTATCGTATCAAGAAGGCTCTTCAGACGCCAAACATCATACGTTTGTCAGAGAAGCATGTTGATAGCGACATCGCCCTTTTGATCAATGATAAGCTAGGGGAGCTCGAGGATCAACATCCCATACTTCTGGATAGCAAGTTGAAACAGGAGGTTATCAAAGCACTAGTAAATGGTGCTAAGGGAATGTCAGTGCTCAACTCCTCTTGTACTCTGTTTCCGGTATGGGGCTAAAACATTAATAGGTTCTTGTGGGTACGCTTCCAGTTATACGATATCGAGGAAGCACTTACACCAGATGCTATCCGCACAGCGCTTGCTAATTTGCCCAAAACACTCACCGAAACCTACCAAAGAATTATCGACAAGACTGTTCGCGATCCGGGAGGACAAGAAAAGGCCAACATGATGACGAAAGTCTTCTGCTGGCTCGCTGTCGCTCAAAGACCGTTGCACGTTAGGGAGCTTGAAGAAGCTGTTGCTATTGATCCTTCTGACACATATCTACATGTTGATCGTGTACCAAGAAACGCAGGTGAACGACTCGTCTCCGCATGCAGTAATCTTGCCATGCACAACGTTGAAGATGACACGGTGGTATTTGCGCATCATACAGTAAAACAATTCTTCTGCTCCTCCGCAAGCAATGCTATAGGTACAACATCGATTTTTATCGAGGTCAGCAAAGCCCGCGATGATATCGGCGAAATGTGTCTTGCCTATCTGTCATTCTCAGACTTCGAAACTCAACTCACAAAGCTTGATTCAAAGGTTTTCGTCAACCAAAGGATGACTAATGACATGGTCTGGTATAACGTGCCTTTTGGCTCACGCATCCGCAGGGTGGTCAGGTCGCTGCCTTTCTGGCGAAGAGGTGTCGCTAGTGAGTCTGATTACGCAATGGCTCTAGCTCTCCCCGCAGCTGCGAGGCCCTCAGGCATGCTCGTTACCAAATACTCACTGTTGGAATACATCATCGAGTTCTGGATCTTCCACACGGCGCACCTGCGACCAGACAGCTCTAGCTGGGCCAAATACCGACGTACAGCTATGCATCAACAACTGCCGTTCGAGTTTCGTCCATGGAACAGTGCACAACACCAAGACAAATTTCGCAGTTTCTTAGGAGAGTTGAGTCTTGCCGCGAGCAGTAAAGGCCATCGTTCTTCACCACTGGCAACCGAAAAAGCCCGTTGGGCGATGTTTTCATGGGCGCTGAAGTATGCACTTGGCTCAGTTCTGGCGCTACTCAAGCAAGAGGATATTGAGGGATACTTCGCGCTCATTCAGCAAGCACATACGCCTCCTGGTACGCTGCCGCACCATTCAGGGCCGCGACCTGTCTTGGAAGCTCTTCAAAACCTGACTGCGGCCGCGACACCCATACTGGCCGAGTCCAGTCTGGGCGGTGCTTCTCAGGCAGTGTGGAGTGGCGGTTCATTGAAACGGCTCTTGCGCATCTCGCTTGATATGCGTCAGTCAATATACAATTATCTGGTTGTAGAATTTTCGCACAGCTTCGGGCCCGAGTTTTGGAATCAGCTCGCCATGGAAGGTGCGCTCCATGCTATGCGTTGCGGTGATGAGCAAGTCTTCAAATGCATCTATGACGGCTACCTCGATACGCCCCAGGTACCTCATAAAAGCGTTGAACAGCTGCGTGTAACCCTTATGGGCCCCATTCTGTTCGACTTCGACTCACTGGATTGGTCCAACCTTCTCGTCCTCTGGCGTTACTACTCGTACCTGAAACCATTGACTGCGCTGAGCGACTATTCAACGATAGTAAAAGAGGACAACGTGCGGCAAGCTTTGATTGTAATAGCACTCTTGCACGGAGAAGGTTTTGCGGGAGTAGAACCTCTTGCAACCCCTGACCCGACTCAGATGGGCCACAGGTTGACTATATCTGGCGATGGGGCAAAATTCGCCGCAGAACACAAAGAGAATTCCATACTCCGCGCATTTGAGGACGTCGACGTGGATAGTCTGACGACGTCACTATTTCGGGTGTGGCAATGTTTGGTCAAAGAAGTTCCTTCGGCAGTTGAAGCCTTTGCTGTGGGCGCATACACGCTTCTAGCCCATCACGACTGCGACTCCATGTTCACGCTTGAAGTCTACGAAGACAGTGACAAGTATCTGCTGCAGTACGATGTATATGGCGACCACACTAGACTGTTTGAGTTCGATTGGAAGTCATACATTACTCTGCGGGAGGAATTTAAGTACCCAAAAACCGCAGAAGTGCTTGTCTTGCGGCCGAAACGTTTTGCTGCAGATGTCTTACTATCACTTGTGCTACTAGCCTCGGATCTAGTAGGACAAGGCTCTGGCCATCGCTCATTACGAAACGTCTCCAAGACCGCTCCAGCCATGTCTACCTTCCAGGTCAAAAAGGCGCGTTGGAACATTCGCCAAGCAGTGCGAAAGCTTTGATCTATCCCCACAATCAGAACGTACACAAGATTACACAGAACCGTGTTTGCGTAGTGCAATTGAATCTTATCTGAATTTGTTCTTTCTGTTCGTCCTTGCTGTTTTCTTTATATCGTACTATCGAACTACGCTAGGGAGATTGTATAATACAGCAGTATCTAACTGCAGCCATGTTTAGCACACAACCCAGTTCGAATTGCCGACTACGAGAGAAAATTGCTTTGGCCCGATGCCGATCTGCACCCTCCAGATATTCTGCTTTCAATTGGGACCGGTCGGCATAGAGAGGATACTGATGACGTCCTCGAGGCCTCGCGCTTCGATAGTAGGCGCTTTCAGATCCGTAAAATGCTGAACCAAGTCAAGCCGTACGTGATACGCTCTATGCCCGTGCCAAAAGCTCCTACTGACGTTGAACCGTCGCTGACGATATTTAGGACGCGAGTAGAAAGTATTCTAGATGCTGAGGTCATCTGGAAAGAGTTTCGCAAAGATGTAGTGAAAAGAAATTCTCTCGCGGAAGCAGAGCGATACATCCGGATCAACCCAAAGACGAAAAATCGCATCCCAAGAATGGATGATAAGTCGCAGGTTGATCCTTTCCTCGAAGATGTTCAAGCCACTCTTCGCATGCCTGGCTGGCGAATGTAGATCAGAGATGTCGCGCAAAGACTGGTCGCAAGTTCGTTTTAATTTGAACAATCTGGCCCGTCAAGGCACGCCGAAGATCACATCATAGTGCAGGGTAACTTTGAGTGAAGATGTAGAATTCAGTGGCTGACCATCATAGGCAACATTCAGTGCAGATTTGCTGCCGGTTCTACAAATCTTCGTGAGTTAGGACGTTACATGAGGACGCGAGAGCTATCATCCTTCCAGCCAAACTTCAATGTACAAGAGATCGATCACGACGAGAGTGCACAGCACATCCAAATTGATACTCAAATCATCCAGGATACGATTGACAAGGGGAAATTCAACCTCGAGCCTTTCGTCATACGTTTGAATTCAGAAACATCCGTGGTTTCAATCAACCTACACTTGGTTAAAATCGTAAAATACTCACTGCCTATTGATCAGAAACATTACCCCATCAGTGGATTTCCTCGGCCGCTCTATGACAGAACCAGTGTGAATGTTGCCAGTAAGTGATTCTACCCTACGTCGGCCCTTGGCGTTGTACCTTCTGATCGTCACTTCTAGCGGTTCCTTCTCTATCGAAAACTGAGCTGCAGTTCGAAGAAGGCCAGTCCATCAGCAAAACCGTATCCACAGTCCAACAGGCTCCTGTTCCACTAGCCTCCGTAAAGACTCAGCCCATCTACGACGAAGTCGTCACTAATTTAAACCCGTCTCTCGTTGGTACAGGGCAGTCTGATACCCTTGTCGGAGAAGATGTATCGCGTTACGCTGGTACCACCAGCGCTTTTGGTGAACAGACTACTCTCGCAGGATTTAAGGGTATGGATAATCAGGACCAAGACGATTTGCTTGATGTCAGTTCGATCAGCTCACACGGAACGACAGTCCAGGAAAAAGACGCTAAATCTCATATTGCTAATTTTCTTGCTACGGATAAGGATATTCGAGATATATGCGCCAGTCTCTTGGAGCAAACAGACAGAACTAAGTTTGCTGAAGTGGGGCGTAAGCTTCTGAAGAGCTTCTACTTGCGATTGCAGGAAGACGCTGACACGGAACTGGAAAAGCAGAGTGTTCGCTTGTTGAAGAGCCGAAGGGGTAGGGTAAGAATCGTCGAAGAGATGGCAGACCTGATCTCTCCAGTCAATGCAGAGACTGGCAAAAAAATGGAACACCATGAAGACGATCTACTCGAAGCTTTGCGCATTGAGGAAAGAAAGAAGGCCGTGGAACAGAATCGCCTGAAGAGACTGCGGCTTGAAGGTTGGACTCGAGCGTATTCGCATAAAGCTGACCATACTGAACTGGAGCCGGCAGAGGAGGAGGAGGAGGAGGCAAAGGAAGCGCTGCTAACAAAGACACAAGGTGAAACAACCTGGAATGAGGCATCCGTGGTGGATCAAGGAGTCCATGAAGCTGAACTCATCCCACGAAACCAGGCTGGAGATGAGATACTTCATGACGTCAACGTTACCCACCATCAATGGACTGCGAAAGATATAGGATGGTCCAGCGAGGATGAGGAAGATGTGTTACCGAATCTCACTCACCTGGAATCGTTTTTTCGCAACTCAGAAGCGTTTCAAGTCCTTCTCAACGGATTCAGAGAAATGCTGCTTTCACAGTCACTCAAAGACGTCTTGCTATCAGCTTCTGTGGACCAAATCCGGCTGTCATCTGATCAAGGGGAATCCTTGGTCAATAGGTTCAAGGCCTTTGTTGAAGACACCACGAAGCTTGAATGGGACTGGTGGCCTCTAGAGCAGAGAATGCGGCCTTTACAGAGAAATCAGGTCCGTCTTTTGTGGTGTTGCGTAAGGCTTGCCCAACATATGTAAAGAAGAGAAGACTAACGGTTGCAGTCATGCGGCGAACAGTTGTGGAGAGAAATTTTGCGCAATGAAGCGAAGATTATCGAGCCGATGCTTGAAGACCGTCCCACCATGTCCTTTACTGAGGCCAGGTGCAAAAGATATCAGAGCTGGACATCTTGGGCCAAAGGCTCAAATGGTTCCGATCACCTGCTACCTGTTTCCAATGTTCCTAGCGGCAAGAGCTCGCTGAGCGGTACAGCGCAGAGCCCCCAGGGTACCAGCACGGGCTTGACTACTCCATCAACACCATCGCAGCCAGGCCCATCGGTTGGTGCACAGCCGTACACTAGTATCGTCCGGCCTAACACTCCTCCTAGTAGTTCTTGGGTGATTTTCGGCGTGCAAGGACCTCGTCCCAGGCTGGAAGCTGGTGAAATCGTTGTCAACGACAAGATGGACGACAGCACTTTCTACAGAAATCTCAAGAAACACTATCAGAAAAGCTGGGGACGCTTCAGACTCTGGCTCTCGTTCTGGAGATTAGGTTACTGCGAGGTTGTTAAGGTAAAATTTATCATCATCCAGAGAGGCACCCGCTCATCGTGATCTAGTTCAAGTACTACGCGCCCGATATCATCATAAGGCATCATTCAGATCTACCTGTCGATCTAGAATATAAGTACAAGCCCCGGCCGCCAGCCTCCGATGCTTTCAATCCCCCGATTTCGAGCCACGAATTTGCCATGCACTTCAACGCCTGCGATGAGCCATGTCGCTGGAAATCGCTACCACGGCATTTCTGTATGCCACAATTGCATGGAACCATTACAGTGGATCGTGTGCCCAAAAAGAGCTCACCATTTGACCTTACCGCCACTGCGTCTACAGTAGATTTTGTGTGGGGCTTGGAGGCAATGTATCGAGTCTCAGTTGCATATGTCACTTTTTACCACCTTCTCATCTGGCTCTGCCTTTCGGCTTCTGGGGCTGGTGGCAGGCAACTCATCCAAGCGATTTACAGAATGCCTCGGTTCCTGTGACTGTTGTTCTGGCGATGCTTTCGCTTTTCTGGGGAACAAATGGCATTCTTACATTGGGTCGGCATTCTTGAAAGAGAGGTCGTACGACACGTCATAGTGTGAGAGCCGGAGCTGAGCGCATCGATATGACTGTGGAACAGAACTAGCGATTAACCGTACTGCACCGCGACCGCACGATGCCTCGCAACAACACAAAACAGAACTCGGTCGTCGTTCTTAGCGACTGCATTTGTCTGGGATTATGATATGCTACATACGTCTAATCTGTCACATACGACCATAGGACGTTGAAAACAAGGCTTCCCGTTCGCTCAGCCCTATTTAAGCAACGTACCGGTGGATTAGTACTCAGGTGGGTGACCACTGGGGAATCCCCACTGTTGTATGTAGACATATATCTTTTTGGCTACTTTCAGCTACTCGTGGCGCAAAAAGATTTTTTGGGGTCGCCTGGGTATCTGTTGTATGCAACGCAGGTCGTGGCTGCCATTTTGGACATGGATCTTGTTTTTACCGTTACAACAACCACATTCCGGTAGCTGTTTCTTGTTGCCTTTCCTTTGTTGTTGTCTTCTTTATTGGAGCTTCGGCCTCTTCATGGTGTATACTCAAGAAATCTACAGAGCTAGGGCTACACTACTCGTTCATTTTAAGCATTGTGAGAACTGGATCGATATTAGCTCATTTCTCAACCGACTCAAGCGACACGAACACTGTTAAGATGACGAACAGTCACTTCAAGGGACGTGTTGTAAAATAAGATCATACTTTGTTTGGTCTTTGTCACTCAGTGAAGACATTGTGGCTTGCCAACCTCTCGAGCTGCACTATGCATTCAATTCAATTTTCCCCTATTTCAACACTTGAAAACTATTCATCCTGTTTGCCTGTCTATAATTACAAGCAACAACTCCAGCACTACTTCCATCTTGCAAAATCTCATCCAAAATATCCGCTCGTACGCATCGAAAAGATGGAGAAAACCGTCATAGTCCTGTGGGCCCTCCTTGGCGTAGTGCTACTTATCTTCTTCCTTTTGCTTATCGTCCACATGCATCAAGAAGATCAACTCTGCTTCGCACCGCGCCGAAAGACCGCTGATATAGAGCGAGGATGTGCATTGCCAGAAATCCCGTCCATCCATCAACCGACGACCGGGCCTCGACTCAATGTATTTCCTCCGACTGCTGGTACAGTTGATCGCGGCTCAGAGACAAAAAGTCGCCGTGAACCTCGGCGGTTCGGGGGTAAGAAGGACTTGAAACCGCTTCGACTCGCTGACGTTGCGCAACATACGGCTGATCGTGGTACTCAGAGCGCTAGAGTGATACATCAGAGGCAGGGTAACGCGGATGTTGGAAAGGTGAGGGTACCACAATCTGCTCGATGAGATGCAGTCTAGTTACACTACCCAACAATAGCAGATCCGCAGACATTCTCTTCAGGTTGATTAGTGAATTCTGTTATAACAACATCCAAAAACACGTTCCATCTTTTGTTGTATCCATCGATGCCCCGTATGTAACCAACTACAAAGCTTGCTAGCATTGAAGTGTCCCGAATTTCCAAAGCGCCGCGCATGAAAGCTTCTAAATATATTTTCTGACGCTCGTACCAGATTTTCAAGTAGTGACTTCTATTCATCCCTGAGCCCCGGCACTGGCTCGAAAAAACTGTCAATGACAAAAACGACGTTGCTCCTATACAGCTCGCGAGGCTCGGTCGGTCCTGCATCGAGCTCCCTCGCTCGTGCTGTCATTGTCGCAAAGTGTCCGAGAAGTAGCAAGATTGCCTGTCGGTTTATTTCTGATGGCACTTCAGCGTAGACATCATGCTCACTGACTCTTGCTTCGCGTGGACCGATGGGATTCATAGCAGACGAACTGGATTCGTCATCTGACCTGGCATAGAGGTCACAAATTGGACACTGATTGCCGGCCGGAAGTCGTCTCTCAGCCAAATAGTCCCCTGTAGGCTCATCTGTTCCCAAATTAGGACTTTCAAGAGGATACTGGTCTTCCAGGTAACAGGATCTGCGATGATATATATTTGAGTCCGCTGAATCGCTTGATGCAACATCGCTAGAAGCATAGGAACTCATATTGGCTGCACCGAAGATGTACCCTCGTATTTAATCGGGGGTATCTGACCAGTGCGGCTCTGTATAATGGGGATCGAGCTCTTATACGCCTGATCGCCCAAACACCTTGATTACAGCGACGATCGCATTGTGGTTGTCCACCGCAATCATCTGACGAACGAGAGCAATGCTATGGGAAACAGTTGATCTAAGCGTGAGTGCTGTCTGACAGCAGGGTATAACGGCTATTACACTGACGTAGATGAAGACACTTCACCGAGTAATCTGGGTCGACACATGATATGCATGTTGACGTCTCAGTTTTGAGTGCTACAACAGGAGATAATTAACTACCAACACTCTGGGAAATGTTCTGGCGCACGATTACACAATACCAAAAAGCGATTCAGCCGACCTGCCACAAGTAGTCCCCAACCTCAGTTTTGACACAGCACGGACTTTGCCAACTCCGCCTTTCCAAACCGTATTCGCTTGCATCATGCCGAAGTATCAATAGTGATGCATAAACCTACGCGTCTCTCTCTTTGCTTTCTCCAACTTCCTCGTAGCCGCGTGCATCTTTGCTTCACACTCTTCGACCTTTTTCTTCGCGTCTTCAGACTTTTCCTTGGCCTTTTCCCAGTCTGAGGTTGCCTGCATGTGTGCTCTCGTTGCCTTTTCGACAACGTTCTCGTCGTCGGAGTCATCGTCTGAATCGTATTTCTTGGATCGACAGGCCTTGAACAGCTGCCGTTGCAGTGCGTCTTCGTAACTAGGTATGACTATCGATTGAAGTTGGCTTTGGTGACGGTACCAGGGAGAAGAAAGACGCTCTCCGTAATAGTCGTGCATTGTGTTGTGATGAATGAAGGCGACGGAAACAGGTCGGACCTGAGTGTCCTCGACAAAACGAACAATGGCGCAGGAACAACGACTTTGAATTTGAAATCTCGAGGCGTAGTCAGAAATTGATGATGCCTTATATCTGAGCTATGCTGTAGCACAAGGAGTAGCTCCCCAAGAAATGCCAATGTCCGATAGTGTTGGCAGTGACACATGTCTCCTCATGCGAACACTACTTGAGCACCACGTATGCCCGTCCGTTGATTTCTGCTTAGTTTACCGTCTACATCTACCGGAAATCTTACCATCTTTGTTCTAGATATCGGCAGCTAGAGTGGCCTAGTGCAGGCAGCCAACCGCGGGCGGCAAAATCAACGACAAACAGCGTGTACTACAAATGCTTCAGTTCGCAGAAAAGCCTGGAAGTCTGGAAAAAGGTTGATATCAAGAGCATTCTGCTGGGGCGTTAACGTTGCCTTCATGTCAGATTGTTCTGGCACCAACAACAAAGCTTAAAATGGACGAAGTGATTCCGTTGTACCTGTGATCAAAAGTATGTTGCTACAAGGTGCCCAAAGACAAACGACGTGTAAGATTACACAGCACAATGCCCCATCTGTAGTCCATGGTGCCACGCACAATCTCGCTTCATCTGTGTGACCAACCTGTCACAGCCGTATCAACGACGAATGGACTGCAACACGGGTCACACGGAAGCGTGCATCCTGAACTACACCATGTTCCCTTCGTCGTCCATCGACTCGCCCGCCGTACTTAGATTCTGGCGCTGTGCAATCTGCTGTCTCTCCAACCTCTGCCGTACACATTCCATTCGCATCGTCTTCATATGGTGTGCCATGATACGTATCTCGTGCGTCAAAGAGTCGCAGATGAATTCCCAGTCGTACATATCCCGCGTTGTCGACGTTGCAGACGGGTAAAGGCTGTGTTGCATTTGCAGGAATGTATCAGCATTGGGTGAGCAAGACATATTCAGGTGTTACAAATGATAGGAGATTATAGAAGAGATAATGATGATAGAGTGATATTATTCGGCTGTGGTGAAGATATGTTCATGAGCATTCAATTGAGAGAGTCGACTGAATGATACCCGCGTTTGACGCCAACGAATATAAAAATTTTCATTCCAGCAATCGCTCACGTTCTGCGCACTGTCCATTATGTTCGTTGTTCAAGTGTAGTTGTTTGCGCAAACTGTCAATCTCGGTGACTCTGATGGAGCATACTGTCGCATCATGACTGGCGACTTGGGCGTTTAACCAGAAGTTTCTCCGTCATGTTCAAATGTCGTGAAACACCTTCTCCAAGTCCTTCGGCTCGACGTACTTGCCCGCCTCCCTCTCGACCTCATCCGCCACAAACACCCAGAAGTTTCTCTCCACCTTAGCCACTGCACGCATCATCAACTCGACCATCCCTTCATCCATCCGGACGACCTCATCAATCTCGCCCTTCCTCCTGTCTTCATCTTTCCCCTTCCCCTTGCTCTTTCCCTTTCCCTTCCCCTTCACTTGCACAGCGGCGTCCGACACAGCTCGCTCCCCATTTGCACCAGCAACACTGGCAGGACGGCGAATGTTTGCACTCAACTCCGTTGCGTTCTGGAAGTCCTTGACCCGCTTCTTGCCTGCCTTGCTCGTGCCCTCGCGCCCATTTCCCGCGTTGCGCAGATGTGCGTAGTCGCGCGGCTCGAAACCGACTTCTCGGGCTGGAGTCGCGGTCGCAGAGTTGTTGAGTATGATTCGGGCGTACACGGCCGCTTCGGTCCAGGTTGGCGCTTCGTCGTTGGAGACGCGTCGCTCGTTGAGCTGCGCAGTGATCTCGCTCCAGGAACCGCCTTCGGCGCGCAGGGTCGTGATGAGCGTGTCCTCGAATGAGGTAGGAGCGCGTTCGTTAGATGAAGCAGGTGCGGACTGCATAATAGAGCTGTTCTGCAGGACAGACGCCTTGAGTTCGCGGGCACGCTTGAAGACGTCAACAGAGGTATCTGGATTCGTCATGATGCGTTCGCTGATAGACGCAAGCAGTTGGAGGCTACTGGGAAATAGTTGTAAGGCTGATAGTTGTAGTGTGCTGTTAGTGGATGAGGGTCCTGTTCTCGGAAGGTACCTTATAAGCAGAGGAAGTGGCGCTGGGCGCTACCTACCTTCACTTACCTGAACCTCCGCTTCGGCGTACCAGTGACTCGGCTTACTGGACATCATTGCCTGTAGTAATAACGAAGGTAGAGATCCGGACAGGTAGATACTGCTATGTGATTGTTGGTAGCTGACTGCTGCATCCATGTGGTTAAAACTCGAGATCAAGCATGTCAGTGAACGCCAGCTCTTTTGGGGCAGTAAACTTGTGTAGAAAAAGCAACAAACAGATTGGTATTTATTCTTACATGTACTCCGATCCGTCCTTGTTCAAAGTAACCCAAGCTCCGTATGCCAAAAGATTTATTCCACCCACTACTAATTCCGTTTTACCTGTATGTTGCCCATGCCAGCCTAGCCTCGGCCTCTACTTGCTTCCTCGCTGATTTCTCAGCGGGTGTCTCTATACGCCTCGTCGCCTTCGGCGACTTGCGCTTCGAGGGCAGCATCGATCGTAGCAGTGATGTTGTCGACCTTGCTGTGGATGTAGACCGGATGGACGCCGCGCCCTTCTCTGCGTTGTGGTCCATAGTGAGCGCCACGCGTCTGTCACCGACGAGATAAATGGTGTGAGTTGGTATTTTTGGATTTTCCGATCCTTGGAGATTGGACAGGTGTGTTTGTTCTCCGGCACGTTGGCGAGATTCCTAGCTGGATCTTCCCTGGAAGAGAATGGAGAGGGCTGAAGACGAAGGATGACTGTGATACTACGAACCTGAGGCCACATCATCCAACCTTATACGTCCCGTCCTCATCTTCTGGACTCACCACCGTTCAACAAGCGCCGTAATTCTCGCTTCCGAGCCACAGCTGCGCATGCGCACAATAAGGGCGCACTCAGCCCTACCCGCACATCCCCATCCGGCGACTCACGATCGCTTACCGCAGTGACTCACGCCGTGAGCGGCGCGCGTCGTCTACTTCTTGGATCCAACGCCATGTGGAGGACGTTTCGCTTGCGGATCCTGAAAGGAGTAAGTGCGGGGAACGCCCTTCCCTGCCCACGCTCCAGACCGGGGCGCTAGCGCTGATGCAGATGCGCATGTTTGTTACTTGCTGATAAATGAGCACCGGGGTTGATTGACCGATAGCGCGTATGTAGGACCTCATGACACTACCTACGAGCTCACCGGGCTCTTACTCGCGATCCCTGACACGGCCGCGGAACGTCAGAGGAGTCACAGTCATGATGAGTCTTAGTGATGCTCGCAGGGACAGTCAGAAGAAGGGAGTTGCTTTCGTGATGAGCGTATACTGAATTCATCGTCGTATCATGGGAATCTACCGAACCAGACCAATCCAACGCCATACCCATGCCATCATAAATCTACACCGTCTACCAATCAAGCCCTCCCGCGCCTCTCTCCCCACCCGCAAGAATCATGCTCGCCTTTGCCTTCTCCCCAAGCCCGTTCTCGAGATGGCTAACCTGCATGCCCTTCCTGCCCTTGAGCTTCATGCGCTCGAGCTTGCGGTCCAGCGCCACAAACGGATCCTCGCTCTCGCTCTTCTTGATCTTGAACTTCTCCGTCCCGAGCACGCTGTCCAGCTCCTCGATGCTGGGCAGCTTGACATACAGCCAGCCGTCTGCACGCTCCTCGACGGGGAAGGTGGCAATGCTGAGCGCCTCGTCATTGGCACAGCGGCCCGCCTGCTCGCCGCCGAGCTCGAAGTTGCGCTTGTGGTTCGGGCACGACACCCAGAGTTTGTTGTTCTTGATGTCGTCGCCGATGAGGCCGTCAGAGAGCACGAAGGCACGCTTGTGGGGACACATTTGCTGCGTGCAGTAGTACTTGCCGCGGACCTTGAAGAGGGCGAGTTGCGTGTCGCCGCGCTTGAGCGCCTTGGAGTCGCCCGTCGGCGTGTCCTGCAGCTCTGTGGCTGCCAGCATCGGTTGCCAGCTGAGCTCGGCCCACTTGTGACCGCGGAAATCTTCTGTAACGCTGTCTTTTGGCCAATATGATGGGCGTTCTTGACCGCGCTCCTGGGTGGGCTCAATGGTGTCGACGATGGTCTCGGGTGTGTTTGCGAACTGGTTGAACCAGGCCCGTTTCTTGGGGTCTTTGAGGACTTCAGTCCACTCGCAGAAGAAAGAGCCAACAAGCTCTTCCATCTGCTTCTCCAGATCGGCGCAAATCCCGAGCTTGTCTTCCAGAATGACCTCTTGTAGGTACTTGATGCCGCCCGGCAGATTCTCCATCCATCGTGCTGTACGTTGGAGCTTATCGGCTGTGCGAATGTAGAATGAAAGGTAGCGGTCGAGAATGGGTACGACATCATCTGGTGGTACATCCTTGGCAAGGAGTTCTGAGTGGCGAGGCTTTGCGCCGCCGTTACCGCCAACGAAGATGTTGAAACCTTTCTCGGTTGCGATGAGACCGAAGTCCTTGTTCTGTGCCTCCGCACACTCGCGCACACAGCCCGATACTCCACCCTTGATCTTGTGAGGACCACGGATGGACTTGTAGCGCTCCTCCAGACGCACCGCCATGCCGACACTGTCACCGATACCGAAACGGCACCATGTGGTTCCGACACACGATTTGACTGTACGCAGCGACTTCGCATAAGCGTGTCCAGACTCCATGCCGCCATCGATCAGCTCCTGCCAGATATCAGGCAGATCCTGCTTCCTCGCACCGAACATGTCGATACGCTGACCACCAGTAATCTTCGTGTATAGATTGTACTTCTTGCCAACCATGCCAATAACGATGAGTTTCTCAGGTGTAATTTCGCCACCAGAGACTCGTGGCACGACTGAGAATGTGCCGTTACGCTGGATATTGGCCAAGAACCTATCGTTGGTCTCTTGTAGACCTCGTCGCTCCACATCGAGCAGATGCTTGTTGAACAGCGAAGCGATGATGGATCCGACAGCGGGCTTGCACGCCTCGCATCCCGTCGACTCGGGCTCACTGCCGCACTCCCGCATCACAGCGTCAAAGTCCTTCAGACTCTTAACGGAGATGATGTTGAACAGATCGGCGCGCGAGTACGCGAAGTGAGGGCAGAGATGGTTACTGACTTCCTGACCCATGGATGCCATCGTCTTGTTGAAGATGGTCTGGACGAGCGGCATGCAGCCACCACATCCAGTCCCAGCTTTCGTGCAAGACTTGACGTCCCCAATGGACTTGCAGGTCCCGTCCTTGACAGAGTTGACGACATCGTCCTTGGTGACGTTGTGGCAGGAGCAAATCTGGGTGTCGCCGGACAGATCGGACCCATCATCTTCGCCCTGCGAGGCTCCAATGATCAATTCAGCTGGGCGCATCTCCAAAGGTTTTTGGTTCTTCACCATTGGCACCAGCTTGATGTAGTCTTTTGTGTCGCCGATCATCATACCTCCCAGCAGGTACTTGCCGTCCATGGTGAATAGATACTTCTTGTACACTTGCTGGAAGGGGTCCTTGTATGTCAAAGCCTTGACCGGTGGCGCTGCTGGCCCACTCGTGAGGTTCCTGACCTTGTCCACCTCTTTCTTCTCCTTCTGGCGTCCTGGCATATCCTTGGGCCCGTCGCGATCCGCAAAGAAGTCGCCGAAGCTCGCAACCTCAACACCCAGCAGCTTGAGCTTGGTGCTGAGGTCGGGGCGCTTGAATGTACGTGGCGCGTGTGCTTTCGCTTGTGTGAGATTGAAAGCGAGGACGTCTGCCATCTCAACGCCGGGAGCAATAAGGCCAAAAGTTTGGTTTTCCCAGCTCGCACACTCGCCGATTGCGTAGATGTCTGGTGTCGAGGTCGACAGGTCGTTGTTGACAATGATGCCGCCTCCTCGATCAGCGCACTTGATCGATGCCTTGCGTGCAAGCTCGTCGCGCGCTTTGATGCCAATCGCGAAGCAAATGCACGAGCACTCCATCTCTTCGCCATCCTCGAAGACGACACCACGCACAGCGTTCTTCTCATTCGTCAAGATCTTGCCGACTCTTTTGCTCAGCATGACATCCAGCCCCATGGCGCGCACCTGCTCCACGACCATGGATCCTGCGTCGTTGTCCAGCTGTCGCGAGAGAACCCACCGATTCCGCTCGATGAGCTTGACTTGTGAGAAGTTCTCCAGATCCATCATAGCGTGCGCAGCCTCCAGGCCCAGCAGTCCACCACCAACTACAGCACCGCTCGTCCCCTTGCGTGTCGCAGAGAACTCGATGAGACGCTGCAAGTCATCGATGGTGCGGTACACAAAGACGCCTTCCGCGTCGTGGCCGGGCGTGTGGCGGGGAAGCAAAGCGTCCGATCCTGTTGCGAGGACAAGAAGGTCGTAAGGTACTGTCTCGCCCGACGATGTCTTGACGTTCTTGTTTGCGGAGTCGATCTCGGTAACGAGTGTGTTGAGGTGGTAGTTCAATGAGCCCTCGGGCATGGAAGAGTACCACTCCTTCGGATTCAGGAACAGGTTCTCGACCTGACGGTGCTGGAAGAAACTTGTCAATCCGACGCGGTTGTAGGCCAGATATGGTTCCTCGCCAATGACGACGATGTCGTATTCTCTCCGCTTGACATCGTATTTCATGAGCTTCTCGCTATGTCGTCGTCAGCCATCACACCCACACTGATTGAGACGTTGTACTCACATGAACGCAATGCCCACCATACCAAGTCCCACTACTACAACCTTCTTCCGCGCTTGCTGTGGTGTATCCCCGAGTTCGCCTTTTTTCTCCAACTCCTCTACCTTTTCAGGCAGCTGGTTCGCCTCTGGGTCATTCCACTCGCTGTTTGAAATATTGCCATCTTTCGAGCCCCAGGTGCCGTGAACCGGCGAGTCTGATTCCGAGTGTGAAGCCCCAGACTTGGGATCGAGGCCCTGCGTCACAATTGGAACTGCTTCTGTCTCCGCCATCCTGGCTAATATAGATGTGAGATGTTCCACCAAGCTGCTATCGCTGGTTGTCGTGGATCCTCAGTGGTATTCTGATATACTCGCAGACAAATCAATGCACACACAACCTGCCTCAAGCGTCCAAGCACAAACGAATACACAGGAATGTAATAGAGATGAAGAGTGCAAAGCAACTCAAGTCAAAAGCCGCAAAGACATACCCTCAACCTAACTCCAAGCGCACCGCCGTTGAGTAAAAGCATCCCAATGATAGGCTGCGCCCAGCTGCCTCACAGCGCAAGACAAGACAACTCCGTGGACACTCGCACGACTTCGCCCGTAGCTCCGCGCTCACCCAACAAGCACTCCCGCGCGGCCACGCGATACACCGCGCGCAGCAGCGACGACAATTCCCATGTGCCAATCCCCGCGGCGCCGGAAATGTAGTCTCGAAGCTGGGGCGCGACGTCAGGCCGATACGCAGCGACCGTACGATCGAATCAGCGCCCCGGTATTTGCGAGCGCCGCTCACGCTTCTTTTCCACGGAGACGCAGCATCGTTGAGGGACGGAGCGCGGATAGTGGAGTGGGCAGGGGCCAGCGCGCACGGACGCGGCGCCTGATAAGAGGACGCGGTTTGGTGGAGCCAAGCGCAAGGGGCGCGATGCGGTCTGATAAGGATTCGGGAGGGGCGTGGACAGCGGGACTGGGACTGGGAGACTGGGGGCGTAGTTGGGTTTCTCCGTCACGAGAGTGCGAGAGCAGCTGACAGTACATGGGCACTGGATGTGTAGATGGATGCTGGGGATGCTGGGTACGACTTGCGCTAGCCGTTTTGGGATGTTTGTAGAAACGTTATTGTTGTATGCCATTCGGATTTCTGCATACTCAATGCAAGTAACAAGGACAATCACATCTGTCTCGCAGAGCCCGTCTAAACGCCGTTTTGTGTATCCCAGCCCTTGCCATCCCAACAAGATCTCCCAAACGCCGTGTCATAACGCAGGCCCGAAGGGTAACGTCTAAAAGAACAACAGATCCTCCTCCGCCCAGCCCGCGCCCAAAAGCCACTTCTTGACGCTCTTCTCAAGTGCCTCAGGCCCGCACACGAGGACCATCGTGTCCCCCTTCTCCCCAACAGAGCAATGCTTCTCCATCAACGGCGCCGCAATTCTGCCTCTCAGCCCCGGCCAATCCTCCGGGCCCTGCGTAAGGGTATACAGGATCTCGCACCTATCCTCGTTCTCGCGCTGGAACCGATCCAGCTCCTCTTTGCACAAGATATCCTCGACGAGCCTGTTGCCGTTGAGTAGCGTGCAGGTTGTAGCATCGGCCTTGTCCTGCATAACGGCACGCAGGACCTGGAATATGGGCGTGATGCCGGAGCCGCCACAGACCATGATGAATTTCTTGACGCGTCGGGGCTTGCTGTTGATCGAGCATTGGCCTTGGCCGAGATACTCGAACTTGCCGATCGGGCCCTTCATGTCGACCCAGTGGCCCGTGGGGATCGCGTCGAGGGCGCGTGTCATCTTGCCGCCCATCTTCGCGGGGCTGTCGGCAGTCGCGGGGATGTCTCCGTAGACTTTGATCAGGATGTCGATGTAGCCTTTCTTGGTGGTCTCGGAGATGGGCGTGTACGAGCGGATGATGGCTTCGCGGGTCACGGGATCGCGGAGGCGGATCATCAGGTGTTGTCCTGTAGGCAGGCCCAGGGACTGCGTGTCGTGGTCCAGCTTGAACGTGAAAATCCTGGTATCCCAGGACACGCTTTTCTTCGAATGCAGCAATGCTTTCTGCCAAACACGATTGTCCAGGAATACAGGCCGAGGTTCTGTTGATTCGGTGTTGGGCTCGCCTGACTGAAGCGTCTCTCGCGACTCGGGCGAAAGAGTGCCAATGTGATAGTCCGGCATCATAGCCTTTGCAGTTTCACTGTGGATTGCCATGAACTCATCGGTAGCATCGAGCGCGGCGGCGCTGATGATGCTTTGGGCGCCGCCTGGGTGACCTTCGAGGAAGGCTGTACCGTCGTACACCTCACCGTTAACCACGAACCATGGGTTGTCTGCTTTGTCGTGCTGCTTCAACTCTTCAAGCTCGATAATCTTGTTGACACCATCTTTGGTCATCTTGATCTCTTTTACCTCTTCGATAGCAGCAGACTCCGGCTCTTCGCCCGCAATGGTCTCGCCCCACTGACCGTTGGTGAGGTTGCCACCTGATTTCTTGACACGCTCCATCCAGCCACCAGGCATGAGTGCCGGTTGTGTTGGGTGCTCAAAGCGGAGAGTTCCGTGCTCGTTGTGGATGGCAATGCGATACCAGGGGTTGTTCATCATACCGAGGACGCTCCAGTACATGTCACGGGGCATGATGCACATGGCTTCGTCCATGGCTCGGACAAGGATGTCGCTGGCATTCTTCAACTCATCAGTGGCAATGTCGAGGTTCCAGAAGCACCAACAGAAGGAAGTTTCTCGCCAGTCCATATCGAGACGGCCACCAAACAAATTCTTGTCCTCATATGTGCGGTAGCGGTCTTCTGCGTAGTCGATGTTGGCAAGGCGCCATGTCCGGCCTTTGTCGAGAGATACTTCGCAGCGTGTGACGCGACGACCCCCACCGCTGTACGCATAGCCTCGAACGTTGTAAGTTTCCGCTGCGGAAGCTATGCTGACCTTTTCCTCATGTGCGGGGAAAGCGATAGCGGCGTTAGGGGACAAGTCATAGATGGCGTAACGTTCGTCCATCCACCATTTGGGGTTCTTCACCGACTCATCCGGGTCGACCATAGTGGGCAATACTCTGTTGTCGTAGATGTGATACCAATTGTCGCTAGGCTCGGCTGTCACTATTAATCTCTTGATCCACTTGACGCTTCGTCCGCCAATCTGTCCAGGGATGACTGCTCGTAGCGGCTTTCCGTGGTCTGGTGTTAGCGGCTCGCCATTCATCTTGTGAGCGAGCATGATGCCCCTGTTGGCATCCATAACCCAGTTGAGCTTGACGGACGTGCCGTAGTATCCGTTTGGCTGTGGTGCATTAGCTAATGTTGCCAGGATGCAATATCACTTACGAGTTTATCAGCACCCTCCATGCATACATACTTGGCCTTACGAAGGGGTTTTGCACGTTCGATGACGTCTTTCATAACAACACCGGTGAAGAGTGCCGTAGATACACCAGCGGGACCCCACGAGAATCCCTTGCTCTTGCGAACTACGTTCTGCTCTTTGCGTCTGTTTCCTGCACAGACCAATGTGATTGGATACGTCACATTCTCATACTCTTGCAAGAGCTCACGTAATGTAATCTTTAATGGGTTCTGAACGAGGCTGAACGTCGTTAGACAACTGTGATGGAGAGTGCTACGCCGACATACCCTTCGACTGAGAACTCCCAGTCCAGACATTCCGAGTCATGGACTTCAGGTACTGCGCCATGGTTCCGAACGTAGAATAGGTCGGGGCTTGTGAGGAAACCTTCGCTGTACAAGGCACTGAGGGGAGCCTCGACGTTGAAGGGATGGACACCAGTCAACCGGATGAGTCTCGGATCCCTAGGAACATGTGCATCAGGCGTGGGCTTATCCAAGTCTAGTACCTGCTGTTGTTGCGAAGGTGGGGGCAAAGGAACGTCAAGCTCTGTTGGTGCTGTGGATGTTGTGGACTTGCTGTCATCGCTATCGAAGTCTGTCTCTGGTGGTGTCGGCGGCATTCGTACTGGTACGGATGCTGCGTGTGCCTTTGGCTGTACCTCAGCCGGGGGAGGGAGGGGAACTCCTGCTTGCTGTGCTGCTTCGCTCATGTTGTGCTGCCGTTTGGAAATCGTCAAGATGAAAAATGGGTATAGGGCAGAAAATCAAGCACAAAGCATGCAGTGAAAATTTCGCATACACCGTAGGGATCCGTGGTGAGATGGTCGCAAGACGTATAGTGATATCAAGAGGAACAGGAGCGGCACAGAAAGTCCACGTCGAATAGAATTGAGGCAAATGTAAAAGAAGGAACTGGACCGCGATCACTGAAGCCAGAGGCGCACAGCCTAGTGAGATCGTCTTACCGTAAGACTAGACACACCAGCTCTTGTCATTCTCACGAACATCTCCTGGAGCACCCGAGATCGCGGAGAAGCCACAATTAGGTTGACGATCGCGGGGATCACTTTCCGCGGGCATAAATCGAATTGTCATAGCCGGCATGCCGTCATTGTATCAGATAGCAAGACTTGGAGAGATTCAATTCTGTGTGGATCTGTAATTGATACGCTTCCTTATCTTTGGGACCGTTTCAGGTTTAGTGCCCGACAAGTGTGGCGAATGTTAGTTCGTGTGCAAGCGACAGCAGTGTTCCTGACGCCCGATCTTAGAGCCATGTGGGGGTCTAGGAGCTTGAAGTCCTCCAGAGCACTCAGCGGAGATACTTGGTCTGTAGAATCGCCCTGCTCTGAAATCGCGAGAAGGAATCTGTCTATCTACCTAGTTCTTGTGCAGTCCTTGGGACCCCGCAACCACGTATACTACTAGCGCTTATAGATAGTGTGAAGCGGTTGTGCGACTGTCGTCTCATCCTCGTGCTCATAAGCCTGGCGCGTCCGTCGCCATGAATGTTGGGCGTCGACATCGCCCTGTGCCACGGAAATGTTTCGTACATCCCTATAACAGCAGAGTACGCCAATGAAAGTCGAGGTGGGTCGATGCGATACGGCGTTTGAAGTTAGGTGGGACGATGTGGTGTGCGTCGAGATGGAGTTGCTGTACTCGATGTTTCTCCGCGGGTGTTTGTGGGTACCATCAACAAGCGCCGGCTGTAGTGCGCACCAAAATATCACGGTCCGCAACGGACGTTTGCTGCTCGGCAGTGCCGGCCATGATTAAGACCAGACGCCAGAGCACTATCCTCGGACACACTCGGTGACATTCGGACATGGTGGATGTGATCACCAGCCACTGAGGCAACTTTGTTCACATCAATTCCGCGTCCTAGGAACACAGTCGTCGAGGCATATCATCATGTCCGCTCATCTCGATGCAGCGACTGCCTAAGGTTGTCCAAGCGGATTATCAGACTGGCGTGCTCGAGCGGCTGTCGTTGGCTGCAGATGTAGACGTCGAAAATAGCACGAAAGGCGATTCACACTTGCGCCAATGGTCCTACCTGAATGCGGCCGGAGAGCTTTTCATGCAGCGTTTGGGCACGCTGCTTTGTTCGCACCTCGTTTCGCATTTTGGACGAAGCTCGGGCGTATCGCCCTTTCACGCCGTGCTTCAACCTTGTGATCATGTCGCCTGCTTTGCCTTTGGTCAGGTCAGAACAGTTCAGCTGGTCTTCTTTAGGTCGTGTCTTGTTCAAGAAGTCGATTTGGGCTTGGGACGCGGGACTACGGCGCCACGGCATGTTCTTTGCAATCCACATGTGCTCGAAGACGTCTTTTGCAAAAGTGTCTGCAGCGTGTACAACATGCTCGAAGGATTCCCCTTCTGCGATGGTCCGCGGGGCAGCATAAGGACTTTTGATAGTCTCAACTCGAGGCAGTCTGCGGTAGTACTTGGCTCTGAAGCAACCTTCGGCTGTATCGGATGGCTCAATGACGATGTAGTTGCCACTATTTGTGGTGAGAATGAATTTGCCGTCACCAGCACCAACCCACGCATACTGGCTCAGGTTGCGGATGTACTGGTCGCCGGAGGTGTCTGCGATGAGATCGTGGACCGAGTCGTAGTCGGTGAAGGTGACGGCGCCCGGCAGCTTGCTCGAAAGCGTGCGGTGCATCAGCACGGCGGCGTCTTGCTGGCGCTGCTTCTCCGTCTCCTTCCTCTCCTTCATCTCGGCCATGCTCTTCGTGTCCACGTTCTCGACGATCTCGCCAGGATCGAGCCCAAACAGAGTGGGTGTTGACACGACACCAGTGCTTAGTGCTGCAACCATGTCGATGATGTGACAGTTGTCTTTACCCTTGTGCAGGCGCATACCTCGTCCGATCATCTGCACGAGCAAGTTGCGCGATTTAGTCGGGCGAGCCAGCAGCACACAGTCGATATTTGGAATGTCGGTACCCTCGGTGAAGACTCCACAGTTCAACAGGACTGAAAACTCGCCGTTTCGAAACGCGTCTATCCTGGCGCTGCGGATCTTGGCGGGCGTGTCGCCAGTGACGAATTGCGCGTCGATGCCATATTCCCGAAACTTAGTGGTCAGGTTGGTGACGTGACTCAGATCGACGCAGAAGATGAGGGTCGACTTGCGGCCTTTAGCCTTGGTCGACCAAGACTTCAGCACGAGCTCGTTGGTTTCGTTGGTGTTGATCGCTTTGGACAGGGCGGCAGTCTGGAAGTCACCGTTGACGGTAGAGCCGACCTTGGTCAGATCAGCCTTCATCTCGACAGTGGTGAAGACGACGTCGGACAGCCAGTTTTCTTCGATCATGTCGACGTAGTCACTGCGCGTGTCAGCCTCGGCTGTGGCCAATACATAGAGAAACGTACCGGTGGTAGACAATGTGGTCGATGACAGAGCCGAGCTTCCTGCCGTCGAAGCGCGAGAAGGTGGCCGACACGCCGACCAAGGCAGCGACATGGCGGCTACTCCACTCGGACGCATGACGTAGACCAAAGTGTTCCAGGACCTCGAGGTAGGTCGGGCTGACTATGTGATGGGCCTCGTCGACCAGCACGAGCTTGTAGCGCGACGGGTCGAACTTGTGTAGGCGGTCGCCCGACGTGATGCTCTGCACCGAGGCAATGGTGATGTCGGCGGCGCCCGAGGCGGCGTTGTTGCCCATCTCGATTTCGACATGCTTGTCGGGGTAGGTGAGGGCGCAGTGGCGGGCGGCCTGCTCGACGAGCTCGCGGCGGTGGGCGAGGATGAGCGTCTGGGTGGCGTCGCCCACGGACGGGATGCGGTCGATGAGGTGGGTGAAGATGACCGTCTTGCCGGAGCCGGTGGCCAGGGACACGCCGAGCCGCCTGTGGCCTGCCTGCAGGTAGGCGAGGACTGCCTGGATGCACTCTTCCTGGTACTCACGGAGCTGGAGCTTGGGCGGGGCGGGCGCGGCGGGCGGTGGTGGCGGCGGAGGAGCTGCAAGGCCGCGTGCGCGCGATGCGAACCTGGCGGGGACGCAGACCGAGGCGGGGACGCGGATAGACGTAGACGTAGACGCAGCACTGGGCTGCCTGCAGTGCCGCAGCGCAGGGCGCAAAAGGCGGATCATGGAGCTGGTGCAGGCGTGCGGGCGTGCAGGCGCGCGAAGATGACGCGCAGTCACTGGGCAGGCCAGGATGACGGAGCCAGGCCCCACTGAAAAGTGCCAGAGCGCGGCCGTCCCTGCAGCATGCACCACCGCCTTCACCATGGCCCCGCCGCGCTGCTCTCGCTCTGACGACTCCCCGTCCGCGCGCCCGCCCTCACACCCGCCCGCCCACGATGAGTTCTGGAGACGAGGCCACGTCGGCGCTGTCCAGCGACGTCGAGACCCGCCCGTCGCCCGCGCCCCGCCTGCTGTCGCGCACACCAGACACGCCCAGTACGCCAGGCACCCCGCGCAAACGCCGCCGCATTGAGTCGGCCGAGCCCCTCCGCGTGCGCAAGCACTACCTCGAGGGCAAGTACAACGACGCCTACCGCGTGCTGTTCAACGACCAAGTGCGCCATGCCGCCTGTCCGCCGCCCGCCGACGGCCGCCAGCTCACGGCCCAGTACGGCGCGTCCACCTGGTCGGGCGCCGAGCAGGCAGCCTTGTTTGCCGCCCTTGCGCGCTTGGGACGAGACGATGTCGCCGCACTCGCACGCGCAGTCGCCACCAAGACCATCGCCGAGACCCGCGCGCTGCTGCTTCTGCTGGACGAGGCCGCTGCCCGCAGCGGCGACCTGGGCCTGACGCTGCGAGACATCCCGGCCGCCGTAGAGCTCGGCCCGCAGTGCACAGAGGAGCTCGACGTCATGGCCGAGGCGCTGGCCTGGTTCCAGGAGCAGTGGGAGCTGGCTGAGGAGCAGAAGCGCCACGGCGACTACTGGCTGATCACCCCGTCTGTCGCTGCCAGCGTCGAGCTCGCCATCAACGGGCCCTCGCGACCTGCATCGAGTCGTCCCATCACCCCCGCCGAGCCAGCCACCCCCCGCTCAGGCTCGGGCATAGCAGGGTATGCCCACACACCGTGCTCGACACCTCCTGCTGACCCAGCATAGTTCCTGTGTGCGTTGCAGGCGTCACAAGATCCGGTGCGACCGCAATCTTCCTTGCACCAATTGCGCACGGCTGAAAAACCACGTCACATGCGAATACCCGCCGTCAAAACAACGACTCCCTCCGATCGACCCTCCAGCCGCAACACCAAACTTGGACGATGCCAAAGCCCCGCTCTCCCAGCCCGATAGCCCCGTAGAACCGCAAATACTACAAGCCATACCGCAGGCGAGCCTGCTGCATGCTGAAAACATGCTTGTGCTCTCAAGAGATCTGTTCATGAACCGATCGCCTGCCATACCCTCACCCTGGCCTCATTGGTCTGCATATGCATCTGAGCAAGTCCCAGAGCCGTCAATTGTGCGTACAGCATTCAACGACTTCCACACCCTCGCAGTATCTGTGACCAAACGCTTGATGCAGACAGCCATCATGCAAGCCACATCGCGCCTGCGCTCCCAACGCCGCCGCACGAAGAAGGGCGTCATGCCTTTGGTCAAGAAGAGGGATGTCTTGTCAGCCATCGATGTTCTCGGATTGGAGAGAAATGGGCGCACGCGATGGACTGGGGTCGCCAGGCGCTGTAACCTACAAGTCTTTGATGAGCAGCGCACTACAAGATTCAAGACTAGCCAACTTGAAATGTCATGGAATCAAGTCGAAGATATCTTAGGGCTCTACGATACAGTGTCTGCGTCGTCTACTACCGGTGCGGACGTGGCCGGATCCACGTTCGATGTAGCAGACGGAGTCTTTAGACACAGAGCTGCTCGCCATGGAACTCCCCTGCCGATGCAGCACCTGTCGCCGTCCAACTCAGATTCACATCCTGAAATGGAAGGCGATTCGGCCTCATCCAGTGACATGGAGGAGGAGCTTGCGAATCACGTTAAAGAAGATTCCACAGACCGTGCTTCCAGTGTTGAATCCGAACAACTGACTCCAGACCATGCGCATGAGAAGCAGACTCTGGAGCAATTCGACCAGCAAGCTAGTCGTCATGCAGAGGAGTCGCTTTGTGAGCTCCTCGGCATAACCACTGCTATTAGGCGTAAATTACCGGATGCTGGTGAACTGGAAGACGATGATGAACATGAAAACGAGACACTCTATACCCGTGTGGATGACTGGCGCAAATGGACAAACTACCATGCCGCGTGGGAAGAAAATCAGACTCCTGTCCCAAATGCCAAGTTCGTGGCCATGCAGAAGCCGAGGGCAGCCCCAGCTGTTTTCCGGGCAAGCGTCGACTCAGACGCATCCTCGACATCTCAGGGCCAACAACAGCCCAGAGTAAGAGGTACAGTCGAACTACAGCCTCAAAATCCTCGCGATTATGCAGCAATGCAAGGTTCTGCGTATGACATGGCCTCTGATTCGTCCGTATCTGGCGATGAGGCAGATGCAGACGTGCCTGCCCAATCAATTGAGAGCACAGGAATCGCGTACAATAGCGACGCGATGGACTGGGAGACTTGAAGAACCACCAGGTTCTCGAATAATCTGGTCTTCGTCGCGACGTTGGCCAATGCTGGTGTCTACGTCGTCCCGCTATCTACCTGCCTAATACGGCAATGACCTACCTTGTCCACATTGCGAACCCACGATGCACCCCGGTAGACTATGGATGCCGAGCCGCGGAGGTTTTTCTAACGAACGAATGTTCAGATAGAGCTGAGGGGCGAGCAAATGATCCCTGATCGATCTAACTAAGAGAGGAAGTTCAGTACACATACCGTCGGTGACGCACATCGACAAATAATGTTGCCGTCTCGACATACCATATAAAGATAACGGACTTCACTGATCCCTCTCCGAAGGTCAATCCGCATCATGCATTTCCTCACGGCTGTTCTGAGTACCATCGTCGCTACGGCGTGTGCCCATGATGTGCACGAACGCGATCTGCCACCACCTGTGGCTATCAACGACATGAGCTACACCAACTGCGCGAACGCAGCATGGCCGCCGTCAAATGTTGGCACCGAATTAGTGCCTCAGAAGCCTACCGACGAGCTCAAGACAATGCTAGACGAGATTGACCCCAAAAACATCGAGAGCATTATCACCAAGTTGGTATCCTTCGGCACACGCCATACACTGAGCACGCAGAACAGCACCACGCGCGGTATCGGCGCAGCAAGAGACTGGATCGAGTCGGAAATGAGAAAATATGCCAACCAAAGCGCCGGTCGCATGACTGTCACTGTGCCTAGCTACACTCAGGGCGTGGCTTCTCGCATCCCTTTTCCTGTCAAGATCAGCAATGTCCTTGCGACGATCAAAGGCAGCGAGACCCCGGATAAAGTCTATATTATGACTGGCCACTATGACTCGCGCGTGACCGACGTGCTGAATTACGAGTCGGACGCTCCAGGCGCCAACGACGATGCTTCCGGTGTTGCTATCGCTATGGAACTCGCCCGTGTCCTAGCCTCGCGCCAGCCCAAGTCTACAATCATTCTCGGCGCCGTCGCTGGTGAAGAACAGAGTCTGTACGGCAGTACCTTCTTCGCCAACACGCTGCGCAACGCCTCCGTCAACGTCGAAGGCATGCTGAATTGCGACATCGTCGGCAGCTCGACAGGCGATCGCGGCCAAAAGGACCCATATACCATCCGCGCCTTCGCGCAAGGCCCACCGCCTTCAGAAAACAGCACAGTTGCTGCCCGCCGTCTGCAAATTGGCGGCGAAAACGATTCGCCTGCCCGCGAACTCGCACGCTTCACCGCTGAAGTCGCCGCCAACGGTGCCACTGGCATGAACATCGCCATAATCTATCGCCTGGACCGCTTCTTGCGCGGCGGCGACCACTCGCCCTTCCTCGCCGCAGGCTACCCGGCAATCCGCTACACCGAACCCAACGAGAACTTTGCACACCAGCACCAGGACTTGCGTACTGAGAATGGCACCGTGTACGGCGACCTCCTCGAGTTCGTCGACTTCGACTTCACCGCGCGCGTCGGCCGCGTCAACCTCGCCACGCTGTGGAGCCTGAGCGAGGCGCCGGGCTGGCCGCGCAACGTCACCGTCGACACGAGCGTGCTCGACAACGACACGAGGCTCAAGTGGGTGGTCAGCGCTGATCCGAATGTCGCCAGCTACGAGGTTGTGTGGCGGCCCAACATCAATCCGCTTTGGACGCATATGCTCGATGTGGGCAAGGTGGGCAGCGTGACGTTGCCGCTCAGCAAGGACAATGCGATCTTTGGCGTCAGGGCGGTGGGCAAGAACGGGTTGAAGAGTCCGGCCACGTACCCTTTCCCAGGCTAGATGTTGGTCATGTAGGCGAGCAATGTAAAGACATGTGTCTGTGGGCGTCAGAGGCTCGTTATGAGAAGGGCCAGTCCCGTAGAGCAAATGCACGTGCAATCCAGAAATCCCGTTTCGAACTTGTCTCCGTGAGAGTGGAGGAAGAATGATGGCGCCGGGAGCTTGGTAATGACAGGTAGCCGATGTACCGTGGTATTCGGACTAGAACACCGCTCGCCAACCGCGAGAGCGATGGCACGGGACCTACAGTAACTGATCTGGGCGTTTCGGTCGCACCGCAGTCGGCGCAGGAAGCCAAAGCCGCGGTCCCCAACCACGCCCGTCGTTCCTGCATGCCAGCCATCACGCACCGCTGCACCACCCCCTGCGCCACAAACGAGCCGTCACTGTCTGTGTGATGCGAAATGTCGGTGAGGTGTTGTCTGATACACCGGCATGGGTTTTCGAAGCCGGCCAATCGCCAGGGTGAGGCGGTGGTGCGAAGATGCCGCGTTTGCAGTGGACTAGGAATCTAGCGGGTGAGGACTTGCGCGTTTTGCGTGTCTCACCATGGCTTGTGAAGGTGGAGTCGATCTGATGACCATGGGGTGATGCGTTTTGAGAGGCAGAGGTCGTCATGTGCTGTGGCTGAGGCGGTGTCTGCTGTCGGGATGTTGTTTGTTACGGGGACTGACAGTATGGCCGCGTGGCTCTGTCCAACACTCTCATGATGTTTTGAGTATGCTGTTTTGAGGAGCATAATGTTCTTCACACCGACTCCTCTACTCGAAGTGAGTAGAGCTGCTATTCGCAAGGATTGCAGCGTGCAATGAATTTCTCGGTTCAATCAAAACTCACAAGCCGGCTCAGTGAGGCAGTGTGCCACTGTATCAGTTAGTGCGTTGCACTCTGTGTGGCTTGGATATCTCATATCACACACAAAGAGTCCATTGCAATGGGTCGTCGTGGATGAGGCTGCCAGTTTGTAGGCTGACCGAACGTCGCGACGCACACGGTCTTACGATTGCAGAAACTGTTTGGTGATTATGGTTTTGGGGTAGCAGGTGACTGATGTTGAGTGGCTGCTCGCAAATTCACAAGGCATGGAAGCAAACTTGCCTGTGCAACCAAACTAATGCGCCCATATGAATGGCAAGGAACCCATCGACACAGGTCCGGTGAATCAAGGCAGTGTAAAAGAGCCTGTAGTCAGCACGACACTGACTAACATTCTCGATCAGTAAACCTCCAACAATATCGATCTTACCATCTCCAGCAAAGCCATTCGAGGGCACCCAACCCAGATATTCTAATACAAACCTAAACCAGCTTCCTTGACATCTCCAGCAAAGCCGTACGCGGGCGACCAACCCAGATATTCTAAAACAACTCTTACTCTATTACCACGCATCACCACTTTATAGGATGCTGCCACACCAGTACCGAAATTTCGGCTACGGCCATGACCGGGTTGACACCGAAGACCTCGTTGCCTACATCAGCCGCGAGGTGAACCGCCAGGACGCGTTTCTGTCCGACTCAGACATCAGAAAATTTATCGACGAGCTGCACGACGATTTAAATGCGGGCGGGGCTCTCGAAATCGCCCTGGCGGCGAGATTCAGGCGCAATCTGGCCAAAGACCTGGACTCGGCTCGAAATCAAGGCTTGTACCGCAGTCGAAACCGCTTTCTGGTATTCTGCTACGCAGCACGGCGCTACAACTCACCCGACTTGTCCCGCGGCCTGAACCGCTTCTTCTCGGCGAATCTGGCAGAGATTATGATCTCGGAGCAGCCATACTTGAAGGCTCTGTGGTATCTTGGTGTCGAGCAACTTCGCAGCGCGGCTGCTGATGACAAGGCCTTCCGTCGAATGGCGAGTCGGGATACACCCGTGTTTGAAGAGTGGCGGAGATCGGGTCCGGACCGTTCCTGGGGCGCGGAATTGATCAGGCTGTTCCAGGATACGACGCATGAGTGTGATCACGGACGGACTCAGACTCAGATCATCTCGTCTGTTGTGCCAAGGTACCCGACGACACCTCCTCTTCGACATCGCAAGATGTACAACTCTTCTCTGCTAGATCCAGCGCATGAGATGCAGACACTTCAGTTGCAGCAGCAGATCCAGGCGCTCGATGTAGCAAAACTGAAGCGAGATGTCGACGACTTACAATGGTATCATCGTTGACGACGTCGAGCGTTGTGTAGAGCTTCGACATCACGTTTTTGGAAGTGATGGATATTGTGTCTTATGAATGTTGCGCCAACCAATCGTCAAATCATGATCGGCGTTGTCCTAACAAGGTCCAAAGCGATGGAAACTCGAGTTTTGATAGCTTGGGAATGGGTTCAACCTCGTTCTAGGACATCCCGTTGTTGCTGCTGTATCTAGCCTTCAATACACATCAGTTCAGTCAGCCCCGTAAGTTTGGTGCTCTCAAGTACCTAGGTAGTCTAGATTTGTCGTGAGACCGTATTCGGCATCTGAACAAAGCTAACCCGATCAGTACCAGTAAGTGACACCCCGCCAGGAGACATTATCGCTTCTCAGACTCGACAACATTGCCAACATGACGAAAGCATCGTCTGACGAGTGTCTCCCAATGACAACCTGACAGGCATCTCTTCTGGGTCTAGTGCACGTCGACATTGATGAACATTTAACCAGCTTTCCCCGCATCCTTGGCAACGGGATTCGAATTCCGGGGGATTCCCTTCGCTCAACTCCCTGCAATTCGATGATGCAAACATTTGATTCCCATGCCCCGTCGCATAGAGAAGAAGGGATGCGAATGCTAGTGGGCCGCCGCACGTGCTGAGTCAGGGCACTGCGTGCTCTTAACTCGATACACCCCACGGACAGATCACAGACATGAGTCTAATCTCCCTTCGATCTTGCTGTCATTGAGCTTTACACTCAGACAATATGTCCTGCCTTGATGCAATCGTCATTGGTGCCGGACCGTCCGGCATCTCCATGGCGTACACAATGAAGCACAAACTGGGCTTCAGCGACTTCACCATCTACGACAAGCTGGATGGTGTCGGCGGAACCTGGCGCACGAATACTTACCCTGGTGTCGGTTGCGATGTTCCGACCATTTTGTACTCATTCCACTTCAACCTCAATCCGAACTGGTCCAAGGAGCTGTGCGATGGCCCAGAGATCCTCGACTACATGGAGGCAACAGTTGACAAGTTTGACTTGAGAAAACACATGCACTTCTCGGTTGAGTGCTTGGGCGCAAATTGGAACAAAGAGACCAAGAGGTGGGATGTGCACTTCAAGGATCAGAGAACAGGCTTGGAATTCATCCGCAGTGCCGCTGTCTTCATCTCAGCCGTCGGCGGGATCTCGTATCCAAGAGACGTGAAATTCCCGGGTATGGAGAAGTTCAAGGGCGCCATGTTCCATACAGCACGGTGGGACCATTCATACGACTACACGGGCAAGCGAATGGCTGTTATTGGAAACGGTTGCTCAGCTGTGCAGGTCGTTCCAGCGGTGGTCGACAAGGTGGCGTCTATAAAGCAGTATGCCCGATCGGCACAGTGGTACCACGAGCGACCAAATCGGCATTTTACCAAGGCTGAGACTTGGGCGTTTCGCTATATCCCTTTCTGGGAGCGATGGAAAAGGCTCCAATTGTTCCTGGAAAATGACGATCTTGTTGCAACTTACATGCCCGGAGCCAAGGCTACGGCGAAGCGGGCCAAGGTTGAAGATCATGCGAAGAGATACATCTTCTCAAGAGCACCGAAGAAGTATCACCACTTCTTGGTCCCAGAATTTCCGCTAGGTACGCGAAATGCAGTTCGGAAGAGTCCTTGCTGACCTTTGGAAATCTAGGTTGCAAGCGCCGTATCTTCGACCCGAACTACCTGGATGCCCTAAATGCACCGAACCTCGAACTTGTACCCGAGGGTATCCAAGAATTTGATGAAACTGGCATAGTCAGTGAAACTGGAAAGAAGGACGAATTCGATGTCATCGTGCTGGCCACAGGCTTCCAGGTTCAACAGTTTCTGACGCCCATGGAGGTGCTTGGCAAAGGAGGAAAGTCTCTGAACCAACAATGGAAGGAACATCGTGGTGCTCAGGCGTACATGGGATCATTCGTGCACAATTTTCCCAATTTCGCGATTCTGTCAGTTCCTCTTCTCTTGCACTCCATCAGCGCTTTATTCAGTCGAGTAGGCCCGCTAATGCGAACACAGCTTCGGACCAAACACCTTCCCAGCACACAACTCTGCGCTTTTTACGTGCGAAGTGCAGGTCGATTTCGTCGCACGCAATCTTCTTGCCCCTCTCCTTGACCGGAGAGCTGACATAATTGAGGTCAAGGCCACATCCGAAAGCCAATGGGTCAATGGCATTCACGAACAGTTACAAGGATCAGTGTTCCAGGCTGGATGTTCGAATTGGTACATCAACGAGCACGGTCGAAATGCTGCTAGCTGGCCCGGATATGCAAGTGCTTACTGGAAGGAAACGTGTATACCTCGTACAGGTGTTTTCACAACCGAGGGCGGTTCATATTTCTGGATTCTGAGAACTTTGCGGAGATGGCTGAAGACGACAGGTTGGACCACGTATGGACTTGGTCTGCTGATCATTGGTATAGGAGTCTGGAGGAGGCACATGAAGCTTAACGTCTCTCTGGTGGATATGTCGCGGGCGATTGGGGCTCGCATCGCGAGCATTTTGAATCGCTAGCGAAAAAATAGTGACATAGCACTAGCTGGTTGAAAGTTACTGCACGAAAGTAAAATCTCCCTGGGAATCCTCAGGTCATCCTCGACTTCATGAGAGGTCTACTGTGCTTGCCTGCCTCTTGAACCCTACACAATCTGGACCGATCATGCACCGAGGCCTTGGGCGCCGGAAGCGTTCTCCCAACTAGGATCATCTCGCATTCGCGTATTTGAATATAATAGTGACGTCCAATGCGCCCGAAGTAACAAACTCGTTGGTCGGAATTCATTTTCCGTGCAAGTCGATTTGGATCTGTAACCCCGCTGGTAGAGTGACCCCGCTTTACGCTTAGACATAGAACCGCTTGATGACGTGAAAGTATTCGAAGGCATCACAACTCTCGAATGTTTAATATGAAAGACTGGTTTGTAGGTTGAGAGAGAGAGACAAATAACAAGCAAAGATGCGGCAATTCAGAACGCTCAAGATAGGTGGCTTGGGTGGTTACAGCAGAGCAGCATTTGGTGTTCGTACGTTTTCCATTTATATTCCACGACTTTCCGAACTCAGCCCGTCCAAATCTGCTGCTACAGAGTTTCGAAGGGACGGACAGGACAAACGACCGATGCGCGAACGGATGAGCCTTGAGGGAAAGACCACAATCGTCACCGGAGGCGCTCGCGGAATAGGCCTATCTATAGTCGAAGCTATAGCAGAAGCCGGTGGCAACGTTGCTGTTCTTGATGTGATGGAAAAGCCACATACTGACCTGTCCAACATCGGTACGAAAGTTGAGTACTATCGGTAAAGCCACACCTATGATTGGCAATGCGGGTCTGATTGTAATAGGACGGACGTGGCAAAGATGGACGCGTTGGAGAACACCTTCAGCCAAGTGAAGAAGGACTTTGGAAAGATTCACAACTGGTAAGTCTGATCGACAAACATTGTCGTGAAGTGCTAATTCGGGAGTGTCACCGCCGCGGGGATAGTGGCCGACAAACCATTCTTCGATCACACCTGGGAGGATTGTGAAAAGATCTTGAAGGTTAATGTAAGATTGGTCAGCGAGAACTCGGTGTTCGCTAATTTTCAAGGTCCTAGGAACATTCTTCTGCGCGCAGTTGACAGCTAAGGCGATAAGAGACCAGGGCTCAGGCGGCAGTCTTGTCTTCATAGCATCGATCGCGTCTCATATGGCACTTCCGCTACAACGTCTTCCATTGTACGGAGCGTCCAAGGGGGCCGTACGTGTCTTGATGACCCAGCTGGCTGTCGAGCTGGCACCACTCAATATTCGAGTCAACACGATTTCTCCTGGGTTCATCCGCACAGACATGACTGAGCTTTGCGCAGAGCAACAACCAGAGTTGTATTCGGTATTCGACTCGGCACCCCCAATAGGAAGGATGGGGGAGACAAGCGATATCACAGGTGCTGTGAACTATCTTTTGAGCGATGCGTCGGCGTGTACGTCATTTCAATTTCCATTCTTATGGAGACAATTGCTGAAATTGTGTGCCAAATTGTAGATACGACTGGAGCTGATATACCGATTACTGGAGGCCTGATTGGAGGTCGTATCAAGAACTGATCCCTATGAGCCATTTTCTTCCTTGGTGGCCAATGTGTAATAGTCTACACGACGAAAAAGATAGCGGACACACACCAGGGTTTCTCATTTTCAGAACTTCGGGGAGTCAAGACTCGTCCACTCCGACCAGAAAAACGAGTCAGCAACATTCAACGCTGGATTGAGAATCATGTCATCTTGTTGATCGTCCACGGTATCGTTCATGACAGATACTAAAGGCCGCTCCCATGTCGACGGGCGATGCCGCTTCGAATCAGTTGTATCATACTCAAGCCCAGACTCATTCGTAGCGCTTCTCTTTGCACGTGCGCGCTTTGCTTGAAGGAGTTCGTTCTGTATCCCATTCACCACTTCCCAGGCTCTGCTCGCGCTGTGGTACCCTTTCGATAGATCACATAAAGCTTGTTGGCAGACTTCCAGATCTCTCCAAGCGGTATTCCTTATCGAGGGGTCTGCTGCCTCGCAGGCGTTCAGTACATGAATCAAGCTTGCTGTGAAGACCAGATGTACCGCCTGGATGTTGATGCGTCGGAGACCGTAAAGCCTCCGATAAATTTGAAGCAGCTTGGCTATTGCCCTGGCTGAGTCGGTGCAGGCTGGTCGCCCAACCATCAGATCTGAAAACGCGACATCAGGCAGCGTTGCGATAGTAGCCGCGAAGAATGGGCGATTTACAATGATCATAACAGTATGATACTGCATATGCAATTGAAGCACATGAGGAACGTAGAGGGATGATGTGGACGCAAGGTCTACTTGCAGAGACTCTGGTAGGCCTAGGTGCCACTGAGTGAGCTCTGATCGCATACTCGATGCAAAATCGTGCAGTTGTTGTGACCCGAGCGCAGATACTACAGCGTCTGAGTACAAAGTGTCTCGAATGCGGGCCATCTTAGCACACAACGTTGCATTACTCCTGTGCAGTTCTTCGATCGGATCAATTAGAGCAGGGAAACTGTGGTCTTCGTGTTCGTCAATGTACGGCTGCCAGAATTTCCGTTCAGTTGCTGTAACCGCGTAAGATGGCGTAGTAATCGCTGTCTCGTTCAACGATACTGGCCGACCGAGATAGAGTGACCACATCCGTTCATGAATGAATGCCCCCCAGAATACCATTCTTCGCAAGGTCGCCTCTTCGATGTCGAGAATGCCGGCGTCTACATAGGCTTGATTGTCGAGATGAAGACCAAGGTCAGTCGCGAGTCGCACTGCCATGCCGCTGTAGAGCCAACCGCGAGCATCAAGCGTGCGGATCGATTCTACCCCACTCAGAATACCCAGCGATTGCACGGTCGATAAAGTCGGCGAATTCAGCTCGACATCTAGTAACGCACGAGCACGCGACGCAAAGAAATCCACCAATGGTTCCGGAAGTTCGACGGAATGCCTGGAAGTCAATGAAGCACCCACAGCGCACATGGAGTTGACAAGTACCTCGGAATAGAGCTTACTCATGCAATTTCCAGATTTGCACCTGCGTCGTTCCCGGTAGAAGACGTCTTCTTGCACAAGATGAATACTTGGATCTTCCCAACAGAAATAAAGTTTAATCAAGTGCTCTTCAAGTTCGGATGCCACGAACTGGCCAACATTGGCTGCGTCCAAAGTAGCCTGGATATCATGACGATCCGTCGCGGTTCTTGCATTGACGATTTGCCGGGTGTCTATGCCTGCAACGAGCAGGTGGAGATTGGATGTTGCACCATAGAATCTCAGCTGACCATCTTCCGCAAGCCTGAGCGATCCCAGACTCCCTGTAAGTTGGTCGATAATGTGAGTAGTTCCGTCTGCTGAAGGAGAAAGAAGAGATTTTTGGGTGAGTTCTAGAGCAATAGTAGCGCTCGGTGTAGACTTGGCTTTGGCAGATTCGACGAGAGGGATCGTGTGGCTCGATGGTGCTCCGGGTGCACGTAAAGGAGTTGGTAAAATTTTATCGCTCGGCAGGGGTATTCCATTTGCGTTTAACAGCTCCTCCAGTCGCCGTGCATAAGTCTCAGCCGCGGCAAGTCGGTCTTTCATTGACACCTTCCGCTTGTCCAGGCCATGCTGATACACGCACTCTTGCGCATAGAGGTGGCAATTGCTGCATGATGGAGTAGCAGCGTCACATTTGATCTTACGCGTGCGACAGTTCAAGCAGGCCGTAGTGACATGCTTCTGCTTCGCTCTCGACGCAGGGTGAGAAGAACATTTCGCGGCAGACGCCATTGAGGGAAATTCTGACGTTTTAGCATAGCGATCTGGTGTTGTGTACGGATCAGAGTGTGATTCGTGAACACCAACGTGCGGGGAACGTCTATGCCAAGCCACGCCACATGGACTACGTTTGTCACGAACTTTCGTTCCTGTAGTCAACCTTAACCGACTTAGTTGATGATTAGGTCTATGGGGGAACCCTACTCAAAAACGTTGTAAGGGGCACATGGCTAGAGTACTCAAACGAGTTGGCCTAGTTTCAAGCGCGAATATTGTACACCAGCCTGTCCAGCATCAGCACAAGTAATTGTTGTCGCAAAAGATAGTAGATTTGAGTCAGGCACATGTTCTTGCCAGTCAACACTACAGCGAACACCAGCTTGCTACCGAAGCCAATTTTCGACTTCGCTCCCCAAAGCAGAAACCCGGGAGACTACATTTACTGCAACTATAGTCACATTGCCATAAAAATCTAACGCGGAGCCGAGCAAGGTGATCTGATGAGTCCATGCTATCGCAGTTATACGCCATACGCCTTGCTAACCCTACAAAAACGCGCAAATACACGCTCCCCAGAAGCAAATAAAGCATCTGAAGTAATATTGCCCGATCCGTTTCAATTGTCTCATCGCAGGTAGTGGATCACCAACCAGCAGAACAGAAAGAAGATGATTACACCACCGTAGAAGATCCATTTGTCTTGCATCGCCCTCCTCTCTACCATCCTGATAGTATCGCCGCTGATGCCTAGTGTGTTTGCCACACTGTATAGCTTTCTCTGTGTGCCCTTCAACATCTCCCTTTGCTGACCCAGATCTCCCAGCACGGCGCGGCCTCGATCGAGAAAGTCGTCGAGTTGGTTCGAGGTCTGGCTGAAGAAGGCGTTCTCGCGCAGCACATGGCCTTCCCTGTCGTAAGCACCGCCCTGTGGCGCGCCAGCAGAGTATGGGTTCGGCTGGTATGGCGCGTTGGGGTTCTGCGGCTGTGAGGGTGCAAAGGGTGAATGTGCACTTGCGTTGATGTTCGCTTGGGCGTAGGGATTCTCGGGTGTGGCAGCATGGTGCGGACGGCGCCCAAGAAGTTCTGTGCGTGCTTCTGTCGTTCTCTGCGGCCCATGTCAGTAGCCTTTCGACACAGCAGACTCTTTCAAGTCCTGTACTTACAATATCTTCATTTGCGTTTTTGATCCGTTTGAAACTCTCTCGATATTCATCTAGCTCGTTGCGAAAGTTCTTTAGCCGCTCGAAAGCTTTCTCTTGTTTTGTCTGCACAGGTTCCTGCTTCGCAAGCTTGCCATAATCGTCGGTTGTACGGGAGAAGGTTGCCAAGGATGCATTGAGCTGAGCTTGCAGTTGCGGTGAGGGCGCGGCGCTGTCAGCAAACTGATCGAGATCTTTGCGGATTTGCGTAGACTGCCGCAAGGCAGCGTTGAAGAGAGCGTTCTGGTGCGACGTGTCAGTTGCCGATGTGCAGACAATAGAGGTGCCCGCATACACACCATTGTAAGATTTGTATGCGATTGGGTCCGGCCAAGGAGCAGCCCTCACAGACTTGAAGTATGCAGCAAGCTGACAGGTGTCTCTTCGCAAGTATTGTCGTTGCCTGCTCGGACAACCTTTCTGTGTTGACACATTGCATCATCGCGAAGTTCAGCGCTCGTGAACGTCCAGATTGCACTAACTAAATTCAGCTTAGCTGATTGTTTCTCTTGAACATCCTGAAATACCTAGGACACAGACAGATCATTGCTACTGTGTCCAGCGCTACCATACCAGCTTACGGTATTACTTATAGCCTTATTTCTCGTCAATTCAATTTTGACATCGTACCGGCAATGTGGGGCTTGTGCGAATCAAGACAAAAGCAAGCAAAGGAAACCTTTCGATGCTAATGCGAACTCTACACTTGGACTTGCACGAACATTGTGTATTACATTAGAAGGGTTCACCATTGTAGTTTGGACGCCTTGAAGGATTGCAAACACTGGTGTGTTGCTTTATATGGCTTTTTGGATGCTCCTTCTTCTATCTACGTTCGCTCTGTCTCCTCATTACTTCGCGCCCGCCCAACGCTCAGAGGATGCGAGCACTACGTACACTGGACCCTCTTGTTGGACATGCCTAGCCGCTGCGGGCTTTGTTGATGGTACGCTTTCCAGTCTCGACCAGATCGAAATCGATATTGAGCCATCTGTGCGTCGTCCTCTCAGGTTCCATGGGAATTTGGCCGACCACTTTCTTGTCCAGCTTAGGAAAACAGAACCAGAGTATCAAAAGAATGGCAAGGACAGCAAGAATGATTGGCTGCAAGATAGAAACGCCCCTCGCTTGGGCAAGCGAACCGATTGCGAAGGGTAGAATCGCTGCGCCACCTCCACCAAATGCAGCTGCAAAGCCAATCGCTGAGACATGAAGGTACGCAGGTAAGACTTTGGTTGCAGCCACTATGATGGCAGGGAAAAGGGGGCCGAGGAACACCCCCTGTAGTGCAACAAAGATTGCAGATATGTGGAAAGAGGGCACTAGCCAAAACATGAGCTGGCATGCCATTGCAAGAACGATGTAAATCTACTCCATGTCAGCAAACCAGCGCCCTCGCGATATAAGTATACTTACCAGAACTGCGAGTTTCTCGCCCAATCTCGGCGTCACGAAACCAAGGGCTAAGCGACCAACAGTGATGCCTGTCCAGAAACCTGTGGCGACCATACCGGATTCAAAATCACCGCCGCCCCGCTCACGGCGCATGAAAGTAACGATCCAGCCTCCAAGAGCAACTTCAGCACCAACGTAGCCGAGAAGAAAGATTGATGAAACCCAGGTCACACGGCGCTTCAGTGCTTCCTTCAGGCGGCTTCCGTCGCCTGGCTGCGTGCGTGCGTTGACTTCGCGGTACTTTTGGCCCGTCATGCGCCAGAAGGCTGTCAAAGATGTAACGACTTCGATTGCGGCGCCGCCAATCTGTGCAGCCATTAGTATGGAGATATCCAACTCAAGCGCTGGAACCTACCATGATATAGTAGAACTCATACCACATCCAGCCACTCTTTGTCATCAATGTGGTCGCTGCCAGAGGACTCAATACCGCTCCAAGTCCATAGAAGCCATGGAGAAATCCTAAAACTTCATTTGCGTTCGCCATGTTGCCGGCCCAGGCATTCCATGCTGCATCTTCAATGCCGTTGCCGAACCCAGCGACAATGAAAATGACAACGAGCACAGGGTAGGGCGGATGGAGAGCAATCCCAACGTATGCGACCAGGTGACAGAAGGGTCCCAAGAAAGCAACACCACGCTGGCCAAAACGAACGTGAATCCAGTTGTTAAGAAGCGCCGCGCCCACATAGCCACCCAAAGGTGATAGGAAAACCAGTGAAACTATCACGTAACTGAGTTGGTAATACTCCTCGAGGTACGGGATGATGGCCTGAAATCGTCAACACTAGCGCACGTCAACCTTGGAATGCTTACACCATATGCCGCATCATTTGCACCCATAATCACAAACGCAAACAGCGTAGCCGCTGTGCGGTAGATGTTCGCTTTTGGGTGGTTCCATCTTTCTACTACTGACACTGTTGTAGAGGGCTGTGGCAAAAATTCCGCTGGGTCAATGTTCTTCGACCCTTCGTGTGACGATGTCTGTCCTGGATCGCGGTGCGTGGACGCAATAGGTCGGAGCTCAATGCTCAATCCTGAACTTTGTGGAGAAGTTGGTCCAGGTGTCGAGCTCGTGGATGTTAGCGTTGTGGTGTTGGTCGGTGACATGACTGCAGTTGACAACACAGTGACCGATGCAGTGACCGACGCACAGTGTCTGCTTATGTATGAGAAATGCTACAAAAGTGTGGAGTAAGAGCGTAGGTGGGTCGGTCTGACAATGGGCTCAACAGCTCCACTTTACGTCCAGAGCCCGCTTTGACCTCGGGAGCATGTATGTCACATTCTGCACAATGAGGTTGTACTGGGTGAACACCGGCAGCAGACAAATGCTGGAAGCGCTACGCTTTTTCTAGCGATGTATTGCGAAAACCAAGAAAAGCGGAGGGAAACGTCATAACTACCTACTGGACTCCGTTCGGTTCAGGCGGATGTTGGACCGAAACTAACAGTACGAGGCAAAAGTAGCGACGGCAGAACATCGGTAGGCACGCATGGAACATCGGCTGTCAACCGCCCTTGAGGTTCCCTGAGTATCAACTTACAACCATGGCAAGAGTACTTAGGTAACACAGTCGCTTGTCAATGTATTCGCGCCCTATCATATCTACTTATCTGCACGTCGAATTGTCTATGCGGCCCACTGGTTCTTCCCCTTGAAAGTCGACCCAATCTCGCCCCACTTGATGTTGGAGAAGGTGGTGGAAGGAAACGGTTGTACCTTGACAATATTCTCTGGGCTGCCTTCAGTCGCATTGCAAGGGCCGGCCTCTCCGCCATCAAGCCACTGCATAAAGCCGCCCTCGTCCCACCAGACACTCATCGCCAGCACCATGCCACGGCTAAGTGCGTCGCCCATACCTTTCATAGCACCCAGCTTCATGAACATCTCAGCGCCGCTCGAGGCGCAGGTCTCATCGTTCAAAGTTATGTTCTTAGGCTGGTCTTCGAAGATTATGCCGTTCTGGACATACTTGCGGTCAACAGATTGGAGCACGCCGTTCTTAGCTGGAAATTGAGTGACAACCGTGAATGGTCTCTTTGTGTCAATCTTGAGGCCAAGACCATAGAAGTCTTTTGCACCATTGCGGTAAGAATTCTTGCCACATCCATTCTTATCACAGAGACCGTTGAACTGGCATTCAGCGCCTTGGCACTTAAAGAGGCTAGGCTTGCTGCAGGTATGTGGCGCGATCTGAGTGGAGCGGCTGTTGGCTTCCCAGATGTCCATCTCATTGCAGCAAACCCCAGAGGCATCGATGTTACCCTGCCAGACGACATGTAAGTAAATGGTGAAGATAATCGAGTCAATGACTTACAAGTCCGTTGACCCAGGGCGTCACAAAGCACTGTGCGTCGCAGTATCCTGTGCCCACGCTAGCACCTCCGGGATTCAAGTTAGAACGGCCACCGTCTGCTCTCATCTCAGAGAGGTATAAAGCGCCGTTTGTACCACAAGGCAGCTTCGACACATCGACGTCGAAAGTAAACTCCTTGCCAGTCAACTTTAACATCTCGTAGTTCTTCTTGTTCTTGTCAAGTAGGTATGCCCTCGGCGATTGGGTCTTCTTGTCCTTGCCATAAAAGTCCATCCGCAGGCTTGCTCCATTGGTGAAGATGCCATAGTCATTGTAGTTGCTGATCGGTTCCAGGATACAGTTTTTCGCACATGTCTTCTCGTCAGGGCACACAGCTGGATCCGCTCCGCTACCCCAGTTCCCGCAGCCCTTGGTTGTGTCATTCTTTTGGTGAATTGAGTGGGTGGCCGCATCAAGAACAACGTAGCTCTCCTGAGCTTTGCAGCCCCCCTTCTTCGTGCATTCATAGGTAGTGAGTTTAGGCTGCACTTCTTTACCCTGGCCAAGGGACTGTGCTGCAGCAACACTTAATAAAGCAGATGCGAGGATGCTGTAGTGGACCATGATGATTGTGGGTGATCGTCACGAGGAATTGCGTGATGATACAAGAGCTGGACAGGATATGTCTTTTTATACTCAAGTCCCGCCTCCAAAACGGAGGTGAGGTTCTCTCCTCCGGTTTGTTGCTTGCCGCTTTGGAAAATACATCTGGACCCCTTCATTTAGGATGCTGCGGAAGTATAAATTCTAGTATGCCGATCAATCCAGAGAATCTGTGCATCCTAGGTCCGCAATCAATATTATTGGACGAACCCGCTGTGGAGTGTCAGGTACGCATGGCCGGCCCGTTGAAACGCATGGTAAACGCCTCGGTTATTGCCGCAGAGCGTTTTGATTTGTCGCAGTAGATTGCTGCTAATTGCGGGGCCCCAGCAGAATAAATAGCCATGCAAGGATATTAACGACATTTACCCGGATCCTGGACCCATCTTGCAGCGATAGATGAGGGGCTTCACAATTGAGATACGACGCTGCACTTGCATATGCACTCAAGCATTCAAAGTGTGCAGAGAATAAGACGATACTGTATCTTGTTGTTTCTTAAGCGGAAGATGCGAACAATTTTCCAGATTGTGTCATTGTCATCGGTGACCAAGAACGACGTATGCTGCCAAAAATTGCCGTTTCGGTTCCTGTAAGTTTATGGGATTCGTTAATCAGCGACGAAGTCTTTGAGATGTGTGTTGTCTGGCGACAATTTCAAAAGCCTGGCTTCTCGGATATGCTGGGAATGCGTCAATAGGGGCGGCCGATGCTTCTTACCTGATACATCTCACCTTCCCTACCTAATATTGGGTAGCATTAATGGCAAGTTTTGCGCGTCCAATTACAACGCGCTTATTGCTGGCTTTGTTTACAATGGATGAGGCCTTAGTGGCGTCGTGTGATTGTGTGCAGATAGCTCACTTAGTATGGCAGGCAGAGTACCTAGATCTCCAGGCAGATGTGGAATTGCAATTGTGCTTGACAACGTCCGAGCTCTTGGCGACATCGGAACATTCGTCTCTGCTGTATCGGCCCTACCCTAGATTGAGCCGAGCTGATCAGTGTGAGGTTCCTTGACTCGTAAGGTCGCTAGGGCTCGGGCAGATAAGTCACGTCGCACCGTACAGCCACATTGAAAGACATACATATAAGCTAACTCGTACTCTTCTGTCCTTCGACAGATTTTGCGCAGGAAAAGTTGCCTTTTACTAGTAAGCCATGATGACATGTGCTCCTGTCAGGTCCCCAACACAGCCTACTGAGTGAGATTACTTAAGTAGCTTTGAAGAGATGAAGAGGACCAACTTGGGCTTCAGTGAATTATAGAGCTAGTCGCTACGTAGCCACGTATCCGTTGAAGTATCTCGTCTTAGGCGTATGATGGCCCGGCGATGTGCAGCGTCTAGTTGGTCCTCGCCTGCCGTTGAGAAAACAGATCTGATGAGCAACACCTCCTGCAAGCCTTGCAAGACCTCTTCGTGTGATCGATGATATCCTGGTGGAGCAACAGCAACTCTGCGTATGGCCTTCTTACAGTGTATGGGGATGTACGCCAAACTTCTGGCCGTGACGAATTTGAAAGCATCCTCAAACGCCCAGACCCAGAGTTTGAGTGGCAATAATGCCGTATCGTGACGCATTTGACAGCATACATAGCTGAAGACTGTTACATTCTTGCTAAAAGGCACCGACTTAGAGTGGAGATCGCGAGTTGAAGATTCCAGAAGTGGCTGGAGGTCGTTGAAGCAGCTGTAAGATCAGCCTGTAGGCGAGAAGATGCCGACTCAGTTCATTCGTACATAAACTACGCGACTCTCAACGATGTGCTCAAAGATCTGACAGCGTAGCTCAAGTAAGAGACTTAACAGCGGAGATTAGTCCGGGGAACACACTGTCGTTTTCAGAGATGTTGCAGCAAGATAGATGAAACTATGGCTTCGACAGAACAGCTCATGTACCGACATGATGAACGCACTGTCGTGTGAGATTCCAAAGTGTGTTGAGCGATGAGTTGGAAGTTTGAGGTGAAGTGACCGCTTAAAAGGCAGGAATTCTAATCAATGTTCTACTTCACTACTTCAAGCTTAGCGCGCGCTAATGCAGCCAATAATCGTGACGCTGTGAGCGCTGCTTTAGTCCGACACTCTGTTGTCACATAAGCCTATCTGAGTGCTATCTACCTGCTATGCACGGCTACTGCGTGCTAGATCCTCAGCCCGACCCTCAGTATGTAACCACCCCAAGGTCAACCATCATCTGTTGCGCTAGTGAACTGCCGTCACCCGGTCCTTGGCCAAAACTTTCTTCGCGTTCTCAATCCGCTCCAGTTCAACTTCTTTCTGCTTATCGTCCAGATCATCAGGTAAAATTCCAAGCGCGCGCTCGCCGAACAGTAGATCGATCTCCTCGAGAGACTTCTGCTTTGTTTCCTGGAGGAGTCATTATTTGGCCTTGGACAATTGATCTAACAAGACTTACCTTGTAGAAGAAGAAGATGACTGGAAATGTTATGAGTAAGTTCCAGGCCACGAATATGAAATAAAACTTCCACTTGGTACGTCCAAGACCAACAGGGGAGACCTGCGACCACACGGTACCGACGAGCCAATTACCAATACCTGTTGCAAAAGCCGAGCCGCGTCCGCGAATACTAAGCGGCATGATTTCAGAAGCATATATCCAAGAGATTGGACCGAACGAAACACTGAAGATGCAGGAGACCAGGAAGAGGAAGAACACTCCTGCCGCAGAGAGGCCGTTCTTGCGCGATCCAGTGGCTCCTTCAACCTGCGAACCCACTGCAGCTTCGCAGATCAAGGCGATACTGATTCCGATGGTTCCGAAAAGTAAAGGCTTCCTTCTTCCAACTCGATCAACGAGGAATATGATAAAAATCAGGTTGAAAATCGGACCAACAACGTTGTAGATGCTAGTCACCAGTAGAGCTCGGTCACCCTCGATACCTAGGTTGTGATACATGATGGTAGAATAGTAACCAATTACGTTGATGCTAGGAACCTGTGATCAGCAACGTGTTTTCAAGCTGCGGATCGATCGAGTAACGTACCCAGTCATTTGTCCGAAAAGCTGAATAGAGGTGGCGTGTAGCAATCGTGTGCGCCAGGGTCCGACCTTGAACATGACTAACCAGCCGGGCGCGGTAATTGCCTTTTCAGCCTCGATGGTGAGTTTTATTTCGTTGAATTCTTGATTGATCCAGTCCTCATTGCTACCATCATAATGCAATTTGTGCAGCACTCTCAGCGCTTCATCGGTGCGGTCGGTTTCGACGAGATAACTACGTCGAGTCAGTGAAAGCTCCCAGATACGATATGTGAGATACTTGCCGTGGACTTTCCGGAAAGAACATGATACCACAGATGATGAAGAGGCAAGGGACGCATTGAAACGCAAGAGGAAACCGCCAAGAGAACGAGTTAGTGTCGGGGACCTTCGAGGCTCCATATCCCACCCATGTCGAGACAATAAACCCGATTCCGATCATCTGCTGAGCTATACCGACAATGAAGCCTAGTCAAACATCAGCAAGCGCACGCAAGCTCAAGAGCTGTCAATTCACCTCGAGTCTTCGGATGGGCGCATTCAGACTGGTAGACTGGCACGGACATGGAAAGCAAACCAACAGCCCAGCCAGCCATTATACGCCCAGCAAGAATCATGCCGAGGTTCTGAGCTGAGGTTTGAAGCACGGCACCGATAAGGTTGATGATGGCTCCGATCAGAATAGTCTTCCTGCGACCCACACTGTCCATTGTGAAACCCCCCCTGCGTGTTGTTAGCTAGTGTTGTCGTCAGGTCTCTGGCCAGCCTACATCAGCGAGCCAAATACAGCTCCTCCAGAGAAAGTAGCATTGATTGCGCCTATGGTGTTTGACGCGTCGTCGGCATTAAAGAAGTCCTGAAAGTGTTGTGATTGTATGACAATTGTCATCACACCTGAATCGTAGCCGAACAGGAAGCTTCCATTGGCGACGAACACCGCCAGGCAGACATTGTAGAAGAGACCCATTTTTGCTAGTGGGGTCCCATAGACAAGTGGAAGGAAGGTCTAAGGTACCGATCAAGCTACGTGCGGAGCTCGAGATCTTAAGCAAAGTCAATGCACCATACGATCACGTTTATTCCTGTACTGATCGTCCACGGGTGCATGTTACACAATGTCTACAAGCGTCTGGGGCCGGAACAGCGCCCCTAGACTCCATGTATGGGGTGTCAACCGCCAACAAGATGAGGAGGCGGGTCATTTTACAAGGCTTGTTGATCCCGAACGTAAGAATCTGGGGTCGAATTAGGGTATAGTAGGTAGTTGGGGTATGGTAGCGTGAGCGGGGCCAAAGCGCTGTGGGAAGGATTGCTTGATTTCCCGCCAATTGACGACAGGCGCCATGCGTCCCCGCTCACTCGCTGCATCAATAACCGGCGGCTATATTGAAGTAACGTTGCATGCCTACAAGACATTGCCATCAGCACCCCATTCTGCGGCTCTACGTGCTTTACCCATTGTAGTCATTCACTTGTGTATTCCCCGTCTCCGTGTCCTGTTTGTGGCAAAACATCCGTCGCAGGCGGCCCGCTACCCTAACCAAGTTTCGAAACCTTCCAATCACCCTTCAAGGTATCGAGACCGCTCAGCTCACCTTTCGCATCAACCTCTAGAAGGCCTTTCTCATCACCGTTCGTATCCACAAGTACTGTTTTGTCACCTTCCTTGACGCCGTACAGACGCACTTCACCTCCACAGCTTAGCCAATCGTAGCCGAATCCGTCGGGACCTTCTGCTTGCCCAAGGACTATCACGGATCCTTCACGCACGAACAGCGGTGTTTGCAGGAAACCGTAGCTCTCCCGAACCCATCTCCCGCCTTGTGTCTCCTTCCCATCCCAGAAGCTGAACCATCGACCTGGTGGCAGGTAGTATTCGGCGCTACCATCTTCCTCAAAGACAGGGGCGGCCAGAAGCTGACTACCGACCATGAACTCGCGATCGCAGTACCATGACGTCGGGTCGTCAGGAAACTCGAGAGCGACTGCACGCAGACTAGTGGGCCAGCCATTTGCAACGCTCTCGATAGACTGAGCGTACAGATACGGCATCAGTCGTCGCTTGAGTTGCACCCAGTATCGAAGAACCTCCGTGCAATTCTCTGGCTCTGTTGAAGAGTCATCAACCAGCCAAGGCACGCGGTAGGAATTGGATCCGTGCAATCGGCTGTGAGAATTTAGTAGACCGAAGGCAACCCAACGTTTGTAAATCCACGGGGGTGGACTGCCTTCGAAACCACCAATGTCACTTGTCCAGAATGCAAACGACGCCAGGCCAAGACTTAGCCCTCCACGTACTGACTCAGCGAGTGCAGCAGGGGTAGACTCGCAGTCACCCCCCCATTGAAGTGGAAAGCGTTGAGAGCCTGCACATGCAGTGCGTGCAAATAAGATAGCCTCGTTCTTGCCGAATCGATTTTGTACAGCTTCGTATACCAGTTTGTTGTATATGAAAGCGTAGTAGTTGTGCATGCGGTTGGGGTCGACGCTTGCGTCGTGCCATTGGACGTTCTTCGTCGGGATACGTTCTCCGAAGTCAGTCTTGATCGAGTCTACTCCCATGTCGAAAAGCTTTTCCATACACCCGCTAAACCACTCACAAGCCTCCGGGTTCGTGAAATCGACTATACCCATGCCTGTTTGCCACAAGTCCCATTGCCAGACATCACCATTTTTCTTCTTGAGTAGATAACCCTTCTCAGCCGCATACTTGAAAACTGGGCTAGCTTGTCCAACGTACGGATTGGTCCAAACCGAGACTTTGTTGAAGAGACCAGCTTCCTTTCCGCGTTGAATCTGCCCTTTCGCGTCCGGGAAGTATTCTGGATCCCACACGAAGTCACACCAGTGGAACGCGCGAAGCCAGAAACAATCAAAGTGGAAAACTTCGACTGGAATCTTGGACTCGGCCATACGTGAAACAAAGTGATTGACGGTGTCTTCGTCGTATGAGGTGGTGAAAGACGTGCTGAGCCAAAGACCGTAAGACCATGCGGGAACTCGATTTGCTTTACCAGTCAGGATCGAATACTTAGTCAAAACTTCCTTGGGCGTTGGCCCGTAAATGAGATACCTTCGACCGTTAGCACGCAGGAAATGAGTTGACGACGAAATCACTCACCATTTCAGTCGCTGGCCTTCAACTGTCGTCTGCAGTCTCGAACAACGCTCAGATCCAATTTCCAAATCGATCTTGTCCGGCGTGTCGATAAAGACGCCATAGCCCCTTGAGCTTAGCCAGAAAGACACGTTCTTGTAAGCCTGCTCGCTGGATGTACCGCCGTCTTCGTTCCATACCTCAACGTTCTGCCCAATCTTGTTCCAAGCGCCAAATCTCTCGCCCAGGCCGTGAATGGATTCACCAACACTGAGCTCCGTCTGTGTGAAAACGTAATGCTTGTGCGCGCTTAGGTCTTCGACCTGCTTGGGTGTAGTCAAGCCAGGTGAGTATCCAAGACCAACACTGCGGTGGAGCAAGGAGGTCAGGTGTTTCGAATTATCCGTGGCGTGAAACTTGATGTCGAATGTATGGTCCTTCCCACTGATGGTGGCACTCAACGAACCCGACGTGATCGTGGTGCCCTTTCCGCCAGTACCTTTGCTAATTTCTCCGATCGACTCAGGTCGACCGTCAGGGAATAGATCGAAGTTGGGTCCTAGTCGCCGAACGCCAGCGTGATGAGTGACCTCGAGGGATATCACACCATCGAATTGGGCCTCTAACTCTACAGAAAGAGTAGCGAGGTTGAGAGTATCGCCTCGAGAGAAAATCTTCTTCGTAGGTGCCAAAAGTGTCACAGACTTCTTGTCTTCCGATGGCGTGACAGAGTAGACCTCTTCCGCATGCTGGACTGTGAACTGATCGCTCACCAACCACATACCTACACGAGATTAATACCATCGCCGCTAGTCGAAGATTGCGTTCGTACCATCGCGGAACTTCATGTTGTTGACTGCAAGTAATTATGATCAGAAACAGCCTCAATGACGTCTCAAGGTACAACACCAGTCACTCCGCAATCCATCTCTTTTAACATGCTCTGGGCAGTATGCGCCCAAAGCGAAACGGGCGCCCTCGGTTCAGCGGGCCGTCCCAGTCGTCTACTTGGATGGTGTGTGGACGGAAGATTCTGCGGGTTCTTGTCCGAGTCCCCTCACAAAGTGGGGCAGGATGGCCTGCCGAAATAGGCAATTGAACGGCACGATCGAGTGCAACCTTACGCCGCAAGTCCGCAGCAGACCCCGTACCTACACTTTGGTTGTCTCTGGGATGACATGTGTGCCGCAACTAACCTCTTTACTTTGCCGCAGCTGCCGCGCTTCAGTGGGCACCTTCTTCGACCTGTTTCATACCTAGGTATGTTGCACATACACCATGCCAACGAGGAGACACGTGTGAAGCGCTTCTGTCAGAGGAGTAACCTAGCAATGACAAGACCATTACCCCTCGCGAACCGTGTTTAGCTTAGTGCACCGGCTGACTGTAACTCTACCTATATACTTGGTATAGGCTTACCTACCAGCATTAGAGACACGACACGTGTGGTCACGGTCCTGTATGCCGCGTCTATTGCAAGGTGAAAGCACAAACTGGAAACAAGGATGATCAGACACAAAGGGAATCGCGCAATAGTACACCAAATCAGAAGTACCGTGCACATTAGGTATCTCTATAACAGCATGCCGTCTTCTAGGGAGATTTGGCATTCAGCAGCACAAACGCCGACCGTGGCTCATTTTGATACCTAGATAGTTGTATCACACACCTGTGGAGATGGCTTCCTTTTTGAAAACTCCTATCACGACCCGTTCCGGTGTGATCTTCCCTAATCGTTTGATGCATATATATTAAGAGTAGAGACCCTCGAAACGTGCATTAATACCAGTGATCAGACTGCAATAGCTAAGGATATAGCTGAAGATACGGACGGATACCTATTATCAACATCCCTTACATCGAAACAAATTTGCGCACTGATGGCTACGGAGGTACGCCAGGAAAGAGGGTCATTCGCGCCATACGCAAAGTCGTGCCAGCTTCGTTCTATGTTGTCATCAAGATCAACAGTGCCGACGTTGGCGGCAACAAAAGTCTAGAAGAGAGCTTGGTGCAAGTGGGCCTGATTACTGGCGAGCAGATTGACTTTCCCGAGATCAGCGGTGGCAGCTTCGAGAAGCCTCGCATGTCAGTAGGCGACCCTGTGACCCGATCGGAAAAGCGCGAGGCCTTCTTCCCTGACTATGCGAGCGCAGTCGGAGCACGTTATCCAGACGTCATTTTGATTGGGTCGAATGCAATATGTAATAGGTTCAAACATTATGGTCAACTACTAACTGAGCGTGCGACAAGAAAGTGTGCGAAGGAACGCTAGTCTTGGTCTTAGATAGGTGACAACTATACTAAGTTACTCTGTAAGCACAAGCTATAGTTGAACGCTCAGGGGCTAAACATACCACTTCCGTGGCTGTGACCATGACCATCAGCACCATGGCTATGCTTGTCGTGGTGCAGCGTTGTACCACTTGACACAGTGCGGGTCACCGACCTGGTTCCACCCTCCATTTTGCTGTGCGCGTGGTAGTGGGCTGACGCACTCTCCTCAAATCGTTCCATCTCCCTACACTTCTCTTCGTACTTTGCCATGTACTCGTCTCTTTCGCGGTCGGCGGTGTGCCTCGCAGAAATCGCGCGCTCTTTCTGCTCACGCGCCTCACGCAAAAGAGTGCGCAAGCTTTCAATTTCGAACTCCAGTTCCGCACTATCATCGTGCGACTCAGTAATGGTTTCCACGGTTTCCTCATACTTGTGTCGCCAGTCATCAAGCTCCTTGCGGTGACGGTCACGAGCTTCCGTCAAGGTACGTATCTCTGCCTGGAAGATTAAGAGCCTCTCCCTAAGCTCGACCAACTCATTGTGCTGATGTCCATGTTTGGTACGACCATCGTCACCCTCGCGGATAAGAATCCTGTTACGTTCAGTCACTGTGGTAATCTCAGCTCTGAGTTCAGAAATTGTCTGTTCTGCACGACGCAAAGACTCCTCAAGCGTCTGAATGTGGCGATGTCGGTCGGTATCCTTGTTGCGCTGGTCATGCAAGTCTTCCTTAAGCTGATCGCGCTCGATGACGATCAAGCGATGCTCCTCGCGAGACCGGTCTAGAGACTCCTTGATATCAATCTCTCGAGCTTCCACCTCCCGCAACTTTTCCTTTACAGAAATGACCTCGCGCTTGAGGTGCTCATACTTAAGAGTAACATCAGCACAGCGGGCATCGGCTTCCTCCCAACCAGTGGCCTTTGCTTTGATCTCGCGACGCAAGTTTTCGATGGTGATAGAGTACTCGTCACGTTCCTCTTCTGCAATGCGGACAGACTCTCTGAGCTTGCTGAGATCGCGTTGTGTTCTTTCGTGTCGTTCGGTGAGCTCATATAGCTCGCGAGAAGACTCTTCAGCCCTATGCTTGGCTCGCTTCAGATCTTCTTGCAGCCGGTCCTTTTCGTGAAGATGCTCATCCCTCTCCAGTTCGAAGATTTTGATACGGTCAGTAAGGCTCAAAACTTCCTTACGTGAGTGTTCAAACTTGTTGTGAGACTCATCGTATCTGCTCTTCAAATCCGTATGCTCACGTAAGACGTTACGGAGCTCGCCGTGGTGCTTGTGCGCATCATCCTTAGCATGATCGCGATCATCCTCGACGCCCTTCAGTTTGATGTAGATTGCTTGGAGCTCGGACTTGAGCCTCTCCTGCTCGCTGTGTGAGGTTGTAGTGCTGCTTTGTAGCTCCCTTAGCTCAGTGCGCGTGCGCTCAAGCTCACGGTCTCGATCGCCAATCTTCTTTTTGTGTTCCTGAATCGCAGTAACAGCGACCGAAAGCTCCAATAGCAGTTTTTCAATCTGCTTTTTCCGCTCTCCGTGTTCATGTCCGTGGTGATGGTGCTCGCTTTGCGTACGTTCGAGTGTCTCTGTCACTTCGTCGACTCGGATGAGAAGCTCTTCTTTTTCTCGCAAGAGTGACTCGCGTTCAGATACTATGCGTGCCCATGACTCCTTTAGAGAGGATGCCTCTCTTGAAGCATTAGACATGAGATCCATCAGTGCAAAGAACTTGCCCTCAGCCTATGTAAGAACGTCAACAAAGCTTTCAACATGAGGACATAATCGACATACCTGAGACGTAAGCTCCCTCGACATTTCGCTTCGATGAGAATGTAAGAAAGAGCTACGTCTACGAGCTCCACTGGCAGCGCGATTGCTAGATCGTCGCGTGATAACCGAACTCATGTTGTTGGAGTGACTGGCAAAGTCCATGCCTCGATGTTCATTCAGAGGCGAAGACGGCTCAGAGAACACATCTCGATTGAGTGTGCTATGTTTGAGCTTCAAGATTGTAAGCTTTTCAGGGGAGATTTCCGGTAATGGCGCCAACATATCGTGTACCGCAGACATGATGAGATTCCTGCACTGCGATATGTATAGGTCGATATTCTGCCACTCTCTGTTGGAAGCGCTAGGACGTAAAGAGCAGAAAAGAACAAGTTACAGCAGTTGTCAGTTTGCAGTCTCAAAGTGAGTATCAAGCAGTTCAACTTTCCCGGCGGCATGCTTTTATAGATGATTCAACAGGCAGTCCTGCGATGCCCAGGTACTTGCTCGTAGTAGTGGCTTTGGAACTGCCAGCTGAATGATGCATGGTTGATGCAACCTTTTGCGCTACATGCAGGAGCTCTACTGACAACAGCAAGGATCCTCAAGCGAGTCGTTCAACCATACAGCTGGCTGGAGCTATCATGCAGAAAGTGACGTCTTCTTTGCGGGATGGGGACGCGCGCAAATCGCTCAGTCCAGGAGCTCTACTCGATATGGGTAACAATCAGACCTTGAAACTATCATTGGTGATCACGATCTGCGTGGTCGTGATCCGGTTGCGGTAGGTTTCGTACTAAGAGAGAGCGGAGCTGACAAGTCGGCGATGAGATCCTGCAGGAAAGTGGAGAACAGATGCGCATCGGCAGGACCGAAACGCTTGACTTCGCTTACCGCGAAATCCCCTGCTGTGTAAAGAAGCATGTGCAAACAAAACCTTGCCGGCCAATATGCTTCATATGAGCTGACTTACAAGGACAGAGAGAAGGGAGCTCAATTGGGCAGCACAGGCACGACTCATTCGTGCGAAAGAACGGCTAGTGCTGACCCAATGGATAGGATTGGATGAAGGTATCGCCTACTGCACGATGTGCAGCATGCAGTGCAGTGTGGAGGGATGATGGGCGGTCCGCAAAGGTAAGAGGAGACGGAAGCGCTAGTCTTAAAAGGGGGACGACGATCCAACTCGGGCGGGTGGCGCAATCTCCGCCCGCTCTGCCCGCGTCGATCATCGGCGCTTGGATGTACCTACGTACCGGGAGGAAGGGCACATGCAAAGCCCAAACTATTGAGAATGGCGATCTCTGCCTGAGTACGTTTAGCATCGACCACAATCTTCAACACAGCATGTCTCTACAGCTATGTTCATCTATCACTCTTTATGTCAGAAAGGACATGGAGTCAGCTATGACAGCAGTGCGGGTTTTGGCATAACCTTGAAACCTCTCCTCGACCAACACACAGGTGACAATCAGAACAAAAAGTGTTCCATTTGAGTATAAGGTATCTGCTGTTCTCTCCTGCAGCACCAAACCGGATGTTCTCCTACATATCAACGGCCATAGATCTCTTTGTTGAGGCTATTTATGAGATCAATACCTTGCGCTCTCCACGTGTCGTTCTCCATTGCACGCGTTGCATTACCTTCGTAAACGAAAATTTCTGGAGTGCCGTTGTCGTAGGCTGTCCATGCAACAATTCTCGCTTGTGAATCATTGGTAGCTTCGCTTTTATTCCACTTATTAGGATCCCCTGCTGCAATGAAGCTGATCCAATCACCGGCCATAAGACTGGCCAGATCCCTGTAGCTTTGTGGTAAGCCTTGGAAAGGTGGCTTGCGGACAGGTGCGTATCCTACACCGTCCAGATTCTTCATGGCAAACGCCACTTCGACAAAATGCGTTGCACCATCGTAGGGTCCAGCCCACGCCGGTATAGCATTGAAACGGTAGCAATACGCGTCGAGTGAATATGCTGCCCACAGTTGACAGGTAAGGCGCCTGTTTGCAACAAATGTTTGGTCTGTGTAGTACGTGGTAGTGCGACGGTACTGCTCACCGTATGGATAAGCTGGGGGTACGAAGTCCGGCGGGCCGAGGTTTGCGAGATCAAGCTCAGGCGATCTGAGGGGATACGCGTCCAAGATCTGCTGAGCAATTGTGGCGTTCATCCGCGAGGCGCCAGCTACCGCTGTTAGACAGAGACTACAGACTTGCCATGGGAGACTTACATGTCAAGGCTTCTACAAACTGTTCCGATGTATTTAACCCTCTAGGCGCAAAACTTGTTCCTTCATCTGAATTGGCGCCGACAATGATAGGAACACGAACAAATGCTCCGTCCGTAAGCTGGTCGCTCGAATACCTCGCGATCAAATCTCCATCAAGCTGAGGCGTCCAGATACCAGCGAATTGCGTTGTGTTGACGACAGTGTTGAGTGCCGTATAGGAAAGATCGCGCATGCATTGTAATGCATCAGTCGTATTGTTGCAACCAGCTGCTATGGTGAGATTGTAGTACGAAGATTGATATGACCGGTCTATAGATCCTACAATGATAGGATTGCCAGACTCCATAATCGCAGATCGAAACAGCGAATCGTCACGTCCATTGAAAGCAAGCAAATGCACACCGACAGAGGCAGCACCTGCCGACTGACCCCAGATGGTCACTTGACGAGGATCACCTGCGAGAAAATTAGCAAACAGCTGATGGCTTGCTCAATGGAAGTCCTGACCTCCGAATGCACCAATGTTCTCTTGTATCCAATGCAGCGCGAGCCTCTGATCTCGTAGTCCCCAGTTGGAGCCGGAGTCAGACAGCGACCCATTATGAGCATCCTCGTAGCCTTGTAGAAAGCCCCATGCACCCAAACGGTAGTTGAGCGTTATAGCCATGATGGGTCGGCCCATGGCTTGAGATTGCTCGACAATAAAAGACATGTTGTAGCGAAGATCAACTCCAGAACCCTGAACCCAACCTCCACCGTGTATCCAGACCGCGACAGGGAGTTTCGATTCTGCATCCACGCCATCAGGCCGGATAACATTTAGATACAGGCAATCTTCTGAGACTTCATAACCCGTTTGTGAAGGACCATAACCTATGCAGGCTGGGGAGTAAGTATCCGCCTTGTGGATACCATCCCAGGAACTATTCAACGGTTTAGGGTTGCGGAAGCGTAGGTCACCGACTGGAGGTTGCGCGTAGGGAATACCCAGGAAAAAGTCCTGCTTGTATGTGGGTGAATGAACCCCGGTATACGTGCCGTTGCATGTATGAGCGACTGGCAGTGTGTGTGTCTTATGTCTCGTAGGGTTTGCAAATCCGAGTACGGCATATGCTGCCAGAAAGCCTGTGCATATTCTCATGGCAAAATACTGTTTGGAAAATTCCTGATCTGCGATCAAGTTCAAATCCTACATTTAAGAAGCCGCCCATGTACAGCTTCTCTGAAGCATTTTGGTGGCTTTTCTTGGAAGAATGTTCTGCCTAACGTCAAGCGTGTCAGGGTCTGAGGCAAGATTGGTTCTGCGGCAAGTCCAACCTCGGCTTCAATGATGCGGGGCCCCGCACATCGGAAAATTGCTTAACAACTCAGCTGACGTCATCACAGCAGATCTGCATATGCAGTGTTGAGGATGCGTCAGAAGTCTTTGAGAGAACACTAAGGTAATACCTAGGTGCTCACTACCCAGTTTCATTAAGTAATGTCGTTTTTATAGCTAATCACTACCTAGGTAGACTTTGCGATGGGATTTCTGCAACGTTGCCTGTTGTGGAGTGTCATTGTGTGTGTGGAAACAATTCATTTTGAATGCAATGCATCATGAATGGTCGGTCAAGCCATAATGATTCCATTAAATACCATGATCACGGCTATCTGAGGGATTGACTAAAGCGCCGCGTGGGTTTCAGGTAGTCAGGTGAATTTCAACGAAGATAGATCTCAAGGTCAAGTACAGACACCCCAAACTTGACTCCGACGACCTCGACAATTTTGACATTTCAGTCAACCCGCTTGAACTATAGAACTGTCCGACATGTCGTAACCTGGTACTGTCCGTCATTGTACGACCATATGTGCACATTGGGTTGGAACTCCACACTGTGGGTACATAATTTCGCAAGGTGTGTGAACAACGTCAACACAAGGTCTAAATATCATTCATGTCTCCCATAACAAATCGCACGTCTTTCCAACTTATCACACAACCACTCTTGGAACGTCTAACAGAACCCTGGCATGACGCAAGCAAGCTTCTCCGATTTCGACTCGCCAGCTGTACCAAATGAAGCATCGAGCCACGCAACGTCCATGTGTAACACGCCCTCCGCACACGAAACTGCAGTCACGCCCAAATCAGTAACACACCAAGCTAGTCCCTTTGCGATTGTCCCTTCAATGCCGACTATCAGCGTCACTGTAACTTTGACTGTCATCCACACTCCAGATACCAACTTCTCCGAGGCGTCCTATTTGCATCTAATCAGGCCATCGGAGCTTGATTTCTCGATGATAACCACTAGAACCCATCCTACCGTCCCAGAAGTCACAGTAGCATCTTTTGAACTCTACGTGTCACCCGTCGATCCATCAACCGTAGCTGTTCCTACCGGCTCAACAATAGACAATGGGTCCATCACATCATCACCAGCTCTCGCTCCTGCGGCAATCGTAGGTATTGCGATCGGCACCATCACCATCACTGCTGCTTTCATTGTACTCTCGCTTTACCTCTATCGACGCAACCACAGTGCTAAGTATCGCAGCGATACAGAGGCCATGACAAGCGAAGCGGTGCTTGAAGCTAAATTGCAGCGCGCGCAGGATCTTAGGATACATCGGCTATCAACACATGGCAAAGCTCTGAGTACACAGCCACTGAAGATGGCTGCAAAGAAGCTGGCTTGTATCGTTGAGAAAGAGCGTATGGTGCGCGTTACAAATGACGAAGGGATAGATAATGCTGGAAATGTGCAGGCACATTTTGACCGAGTGCGTCGGCCTTCTGGTCTAGCTATGCACCCTCCAACACCTACAATGGCTACCTAGGCAGATTCAAGGATGATGTCTGTTTCAAAAGCCACCTGAGAAATGTAGATAAATGGGATTAGGATAAGGGTAATAAGCCTTCAGCTTTCTTGGAGTTTTCAATTTGAGACAATATTACAATGGATCATACTTATGAAGCCGCCACGTGAAATGTACAATAATTCTAGTCTGCAGGTGCCCGCGAACGCAGTGATTCTAGTCAATTGTTTATTGAGGCCAAGCCTGTGCTTGCAAAGCTAAATGGTTGCACTGTGTGCCGCTATACATTATGACTAACGTCCATCCACGCGTCACGCAAACACCCCTGTGCCGCAAGTATTCCATAGAGTTGACATCTTGAATACTCCAATGTCGCTTCTATCGCTCTGTAATACTACACAATTATTCCATAGGCTTTTTTCTTTTGGATGAGGGCTTGTGGCGAGAAGATACATGGTGTTGAGCCTTGTTGTCACTCGCGCTTTTCTATGCACTGGAGGCTGCATTGCCTTCACACCCTAGTATTAGCACTGTAATTGACGGTATTACATATATCGGCATAACAGCTGAATAGACTGGCGATAGGAGAATATATCCCGAGAGTTGTACGGATACTTGAACTTGGAAAGTGTGTTCTGGATTCATCCGTGCACAAGACTCAATCTTGAGCCTTAGGGGCTAAGCTTAGCGTGCTTACATCATGTTTTGGTAAACAATATCGTATAATTATTAATTACCCCTCCCTTTACTAATTAGCCCAACAGAGTTAAGATGTGGCGCACTTCTTGGCGCGCCAATCGATCGCTATAAACAACATTCCTTCTAACTACATGATCTTACAACCGCTACTAATCTGCGCCATATATTATTAGTCTAAGGTCTGTCCCTACGTGCCGGGACGCACGGTGTGACGAGACGCCTTTTCTTCCGGAAGCTCGGAACATCATCACCACACCTGCATTACAACATACACAATGCACATCTATCCTGCAGCTCTTTCTCTTCCAATGACCTAGCTACCGTTCTTGTAAGGCAAGCACTTTGCTACGGTGTTGGCGACATGCTTGGGTGGTTGGGTGATGCTCTCCAAGAACAACGCTGTTACCATCACATGCCCTGTTGTACAAGTCAAGAGACTCCTTGTGCTTACCCTGGCTCTCTAGCACCGACCCAAGGTTGTTAACGCTGATAAGCGTGTCAGGGTGCTCGCGCCCAAGTGTCTTCTCGCACCCTTCTAGCGCTCGTTGATGCATCGCCTCTGCTTCCTTGTACTTGCCCTGGCTGTCTAGCGCCAACCCAAGGTTGTTGACGCTAGCTAGTGTGCTAGGATGCTCGCGCCCAAGTGTCTTCTCTCTTGCTTCTAGCGCTCGTTGATGCATTGCTTCTGCTTCCTCGTACTTGCCCTGTCTCTCTAGCACCAACCCAAGGTTGCTCATGCTAGCTAGCGTGTCAGGGTGCTCGCGCCCAAGTGTCTTCTCTCTTGCTTCTAGCGCTCGTCGATGCATCGCCTCTGCCTCCTTGTGCTTGCCCTGGCTCTTAAGCACCGACCCAAGGTTGTTGACGCTGGCCAGCGTGTCAGGGTGCTCGCGCCCAAGTGTCTTCTCTCTTGCTTCTAGCGCTCGTCGATGCATTGCCTCTGCTTCCTTGTACTTGCCCTGGCTCTCTAGCAGCCACCCAAGGTTGCTAACGCTAGCTAGCGTGTCAGGGTGCTCGCGCCCAAGTGTCTTCTCTCTTGCTTCTAGCGCTCGTCGATGCATCACCTCTGCTTCCTTGTGCTTGCCCTGGCTCTCTAGCACCGACCCAAGGTTGTTGACGCTGATAAGCGTGTCAGGGTGCTCGCGCCCAAGTGTCTTCTCTCTTGCTTCTAGCGCTCGTCGATGCATCGCCTCTGCTTCCTTGTGCTTGCCCTGGCTCTCTAGCAGCCCCCCAAGGTTGCTAAGGCTAACCAGCGTGTCAGGGTGCTCGCGCCCAAGTGTCTTCTCTCTTGCTTCTAGCGCTCGTCGATGCATCACCTCTGCTTCCTTGTGCTTGCCCTGGCTCTCTAGCACCGACCCAAGGTTGTTAACGCTGATAAGCGTGTCAGGGTGCTCGCGCCCAAGTGTCTTCTCTCTTGCTTCTAGCGCTCGTTGATGCATCGCCTCTGCTTCCTTGTGCTTGCCCTGGCTCTCTAGCAGCCCCCCAAGGTTGCTAAGGCTGACCAGCGTGCTAGGATGCTCGCGCCCAAGTGTCTTCTCGCACCCTTCTAGCGCTCGTTGATGCATCGCCTCTGCTTCCTTGTACTTGCCCTGGCTCTCTAGCACCGACCCAAGGTTGTTAACGCTAGTAAGCGTGTTAGGATGCTTGCGCCCAAGCACTTTCTCAGATCCTTCCAGCGCTCGTCGATGCATCGCTTCTGCTTCCTCGTACTTGCCCTGTCTCTCTAGCACCAACCCAAGGTTGCTCATGCTGGCCAGCGTGCTAGGATGCTCGCGCCCAAGTGTCTTCTCTCTTGCTTCTAGCGCTCGTCGATGCATCGCCTCTGCTTCCTTGTGCTTGCCCTGGCTCTCTAGCACCGACCCAAGGTTGTTGACGCTGATAAGCGTGTCAGGGTGCTCGCTACCCAGTACTCTCCTCCTCGACTCCATTACTTGCATACAGAGCTCTTCGGCTCTGTTGTATTGTCCATCGCTCACCAAAGCCTCAGCGCAATTTTCTGCAAGATTCGTTTTCTCTTGATTATCGTCCTTCTTACTATGCGACAGTGCATATTGTGCGTGTGGCAGCAGTCGCCTCCATTTGCTTCTGTTACTGTGATCGCTGTTCGGGAACACCTGGAGCAGCTGCGTGACTGTGCGTTGAGTGCATTCGTGAAGCCGTCCCTGCACTTGCAGCTGCTCTCGTAAGGCTTGGTGCACCAATCGATGCACATCAAATGCTGACTCAGCAGGTCGCCTTGTGACGAGCGCATACCTGTCAAGTGTTATAATCGCATCTTCACGGGCCTGTGGCGACGCTGCCTTAAGCAGACCCAGCGGAATGTCCTTTCGGTCTACGCACGCAGCAAAGTAAAGATATTCTGCAGCAATAGCGTTGCTCTGCTGGACTTGACCTATGGAAAGAGATAGTGTGGCAGCTACAGCCTTTCTTAGACTGGACTCTCCCTGCTCGCCTTCACGCAAGTCATTGCTGCGCTCTAGAGCTGCTTGATTGTGCTCGTGCAGTCGTGCTTGGTACTGCTGCACTGTCATATTGCTTGCGTTTATACACGCCGCTGCTTGCGACACTGCTAGAGGCAGGTGCGAGAGTTCTCTTAGCAAGCGTATGGCTCCCGGCTGCTCAGCATCAGAGAGTGGCGTTGTCAAACGGGATTGCAACATCCTTAGCGCCGTGTCTGGCGTTAGCTCACGTAGCGCGACTACATTTTGTGGAGCAAGCGTCTTAGTCGTGTTGCTTTCTGTTGTTGTGAAAATAACAGAACACAGCTTAGATTGCGGCAGAAAGTCGGCCAAATCCGCGGCCCGTATTGCAGGTAAGCCGCTTGGCTGGAGTGTGGTGCCCTCTACGTTGTCGTAGATCAGCAAACACTGTTGCGCACTCATTGCTACCACACAGCGTTTGACGATCTGCATTGTGTCTGCTTGATCATCGTCACAGCCAGGGATACTCAGCTTCTGCGCGATGCTTGCATAAGACCGGTACAGACTGTCCGTGTCGCTCGCATCAATCCAAAAGATTAAGCAGTTCTTGTTGTTTAATCTTGTCCTGTGTGCAACCTCAAGCGCAAGCTGCGACTTGCCTGTACCGCCAGGGCCAAGTATTGCTAGCATGGTGGTAGTCTGATCGTTGCTGAAGAGCTTTGCTTCAAGTTCAGTAAGCTGCGCTTCGCGACCAACGAAAGACTCGTTCCGTGAGAATGGTATAATCAACGGTGTGCAGTCAGCTCCCTCAACTTCGGCCTGCAGTCTTCTTAATGCGCTCTGCTTTCCTTCTCCGTACGTCGCAGGCATAGAGATGCCAAGCAGTCCAAGCAAGCAGTACACGATATCTTCTTCTTCGGTTGTTGCGCGATTCTTAGCCCACGTCACTCGTTCAGATGTGCTGAATTGGTCTAGAGGTTCGTTTCGCAGCGCCGTGAGCGGGATGCTGGTGATACTGTGTATGAGCGGTTCGAGTGACGCTTTGTCGCCTATGCGTTGTCCTTCGCGTGAGAAAAAGTCGACCGATACTGGCGCGATCAGCTCTTGCAGCGTCCATCCTCGAGTAAACCATGGGCTTCTGCAGAAAGAGGCCTCCCACTCAATGCACGGGGCTGTGGCCGTCTCCGTCACAGCTGTCAGCGATACGTCTGACAAGAAGACGTAGCATCGAGCCGCCTTCCGGTACCACTGGAACATCGAGTTGATCGCCTTCGACCGCTCGTTGTTGTCCCATCTGTCGATGCAGCATGTGTCGATCCAGAAGTACTGCAGCCCGTCCTTAGCCGCTTGCTCAGCGCAGAACTTGAGCTTCCGGTAGCCTTCTTCTCTCTCTTTGTAGCTTTCGTTGCGTATGTCCTCGATGAGGGTCTCAGAGTCGCTCCATCGGTGCGAAAGGATAGCGTAGGGCGGAATCGGCTTGCCGCGGAAGTCTGTCAAGATCAGTCTGTCCGGCGCGTCAAAGTGGAGAAGCCGCATAGTGGTTGCAGCCCGGTGTCTGGTCTGTGAAAGCAGAGACGCGAACGGCAGTCGTGATAGTTGAGGTATGATGACATAGATGCGATAAGGCAGAGAAGGCAGCCTGGTAAGGCAGCCTGGTAAGGCAGATCATGCGCAATCAGGCTGCAGGTGCTGACTGCACCAAACGCCCAGCGTCCTGCGCCGCCCGCCTTGCCTCGCCATCTGTGCTCAGACAGTGTGTACCTTGTGCAAGTCATGGTAGACGAATGCGGAGGTAGGTGAGGTGCCAGTAGATACAGCAACTCTACGAAGGTGATTATTGTTGCTTCTCGCACGGCGCTATGCGATGGGGACGAGCACAAATGTAGGACAGGAAGGATGACTACACCGCCGGAAATAAGAGCTGTCTAAGGCCAGGTGATTAGTAGAGGCCCCAGTTCTCAGCCACAGCGCGCACTGCCCCTCGCAGATACTTCAGCACGCTACTGCTGCTAAGCTTCGCTTTAGACGCACGGCCAGTCTGACGCGTTTTGACGATCTTGCCGCCAGCGCGGAGAAACTGCCGGGATGCACACGCCTCACCTTAAATCTACCCTGTGAATGTACTGCCTTGCTCTTTGCTATCTTGACTTCCTTTTCAACCCACCGAACTGGGCGGAAGTGTCTAGCATCGCGAACGAGCAGGGGGGTATCAGAGGAGAGTTGACGGGCAGCACTAACAGAACAAGCAACAGCGCAGCTAACAACGCGCTTTTTGTTGTCGGTGGCTGGCGTAATAGAAGAGCAAGAGCTGCAGGATAGATGTGCATTACATTTGTTATGATGCAGGCGTGGTGGGGATAATCCGAGCTTCTGGAAGAAAAAGCGTCTCGTTACACCGTGCGTCTCGGCACGTGGGGACAGACATGTCAATCCTTGCGTGCCGGGACGCACTGTGTGCCGGGACACTTTTCCTTCCGGTGGCTCGGAATATTCCTAGCACACTTGTACAACGACAAATACAATGCGTGTTTATTCTGCAGCTCTTATTCTTGCAGCACATCAGCGTCCGACGCCAAAAAGCGCGTTGTTGACCACGCTGTCGCTCGTTTTGTCAGCACCCTCCATCAACTGTCCTCTGATACCCCCCTGTTCGTTTGCGCCAGCATGTGGTTATGCAGTGCTCGGTGGCCTAGAAAGCAAGCCAATATGTGAAAGATCATGACTGCCGGCTGAGAGGGTTAAGTCAAGGTAAGGAGTGTGCTTCCCGGCAGTTTCTCCGCGCGAACAGCAAGATCATCGATACGGGTCTGACCGAACGTGCACGGCCAGCAGCCGTTGGCATGCAGTAGCTCACTCTAGCGTGCTGAGATGTCAGTGCGCCGCGCACCGTGCAGTGGCTGAGAACATCGACTTAAAGATCTTGGCGCCTCAGGCAGCTCTTGTTCCCGATTTCACTACACATCTTTCAGAGTCATAGTTATCTAACTTCGATTTATAGCATTTAGATCCATCCTGCAGGGCTGTAAATATGCCATGTAGGTCTCAGAGCTAACTTCGTGTTAGCAACAAAGTGTGACTGAGTCACTTTCAGGCCGTACGTGGTTCATGTGCATGTGCTGTCATTGGTATCATCACGTCAGCGTACACACATAGAAAAGTAAGGGCTTACAAATGTGGCTGGCTGGGCCGACGACGTAATGGCAGCATCGAGCGATAACCTTGTACCTTGATCTTGTCACGTGTTAATGTGGCACGAAAGCACTGCCCCATCTACAGCCCGCTCACCCCGCCACAGTCCCAACCCATTCCCCGACAATACTTTGCTTGAAAGCATCCATTGGCATTGCTTACAGCAACAACTGCACTACAGGATCATAGCGCTGAAACCCTGTTATGGCTCTAGCTCCGAGTATTGTGACAGGATATGCGCTTGGCGTACTATCTGTAGCTATCCTAATCACGAAAGCATATTTCATCAACATCAAGCCAAGTCACCAAACCACGAAACACCTGCTATCGACGAAACTCCTCGAGTTTTCACCGTTAGCACTTTCTTTCTGCTGGGTAGCTTACCATGTCACGTGCCAGCTCACGCTAGCAACTTCCCTCGATCCCCCTTGTGACGAACTGGACCAGATGATGAACCCGGACATTGGAGGAATTGGTGCTCGAGTTGGAATATACGCGCCTCAAATCACGACTATGATCTCAATGGGAGTGGGACACTGGCATAACACGGAAAATGGTGTAAAAGAAACCTGTATTGTAAATTTAATCGGTATGTTATAGAGTTGGAATTTTGATAATATACTGATTCATTTGGCTCTAGTATTGGCCTCTCTAATGCTCAATACCCTGAAAGGGTTCTACAAAAGTCTCCACGTCACAGAAATTCTCGTCGCATGTTATTCGATCGATGGAGTTCACGCAGCGATAACGATGGCATTTGCAGAAAAGAGGACGCTAGCATCTCGCTGGCTTATATCAATAAGTGTCTTGACGCAGCTCAGTGCAAAAATCACCGTCGCTGTTGCGGTAGGGCATCTGCCGTCAGTGGAGCGCAGGCTGGACTGTTCTATCCGAACTCCATTCTATGGCACTATGTTTTATGCCAATTCGTGGAATCCAGCAACATTATAGTGGTACCTCTCTTTCAGGTCCCTCAACTGGAGTTTTGCTGCATATACTGCTCTGAGTCATACCATGCTATTCGACGAAGCCGAAAAGAACAGCCGAATAGAAAGAGAGCTTAAAGAACAGCAACACGATAGACCTACAGACCTAGAAAGGGGCTCTTTCCCTCTTGATTTTGATCTACTTCCGAGCTCTTCATTCCTGATATGGACTGAATATGTTTGGCCCTGCTTGGATTCCATTCTCAGCATAGAGCTACTATTAAAGTCTTTGAATCTAGGTGCGAACGACAAATGGAAAGACTAGGGTCAAAGCGCGACAATCATATTGAGCATTGGAAGTACATTGCACTGGTTCTATATAATGTATTACTACAGACCCTTCCAAGGAGGTCGGGAGCTCCTGTCCCTTTCTAAACAAAGAGAAGGGGCAAAAAAACATGACATACAAATGGCGCAGACGAGAACGGATGTCCTTGGCGAAGAGTATCTTGTTACGTTAACCAGCATGGCCAACCTAGCGTCGACGTACAGGAATCAAGGCCACTGGGAAGATGCTGAGAAGCTGGAAGTGCCGGTTGTAGAGATGAGGAAGAGGATACTTGGCAGCGAGCATCCTGATACGCTGGCTAGTATGCTTAACCTGGCGTCAACGTATAGAAACCAAGGGCGATAGACAGAAGCAGAAGAGCTTGAGGTGCTGGTTGTAGAGATAAGTAAGAGGGTGCTTAGTAGTAAGCATCCTGTTACACTGACCAGCGTGGGCAACCTAGCGTCGACGTACAGGAATCAAGGCCGCTAGGAAGATGCTAAGAAGCTGGAAATGCAGGTTGTAGAGATGAGGAAGAGGATACTTGGCGGCAAGCACCCTGCCACACTGACCAGCATAGGCAACTTAGCATCGATATACAGGAACCAAGGCCGCTAGGAAGATGCTGAGAAGCTGGAAGTGCAAGTAGCAGAGACGTTTCAGAAGATGCTTGGCAGAGAGCATCCTAACACGCTGATTAGCATGGGCAACCTAGCTTCGACGTACTGGAACCAAGGGCGGTGGGGCAAGGCGGAAGAGCTAGAGGTGCAAGTAATAGAGACAAGGAAGAGAGTGCTTGGCGACGAGCATCCTGACACGCTGAGCAGCATCGCCAACCTGGCGTCAACGTACTGGAATCAAGGGCGGTGGAAAGAGGCAGAAGAGCTGGAGGTGCAAGTGATGGAGACAAGGAAGAGAGTGCTTGGCGACGAGCATCCTGACACGCTGACTAGCATCGCCAACCTGGCGTCAACGTACTAGAATCAAGGGCGGTGGAAAGAGGCAGAAGAGCTGGAGGTGCAAGTGATGGAGACAAGGAAGAGAGTGCTTGGCGACGAGCATCCTGACACGCTAACCAGCATGCACAACCTTGCCTATACACTGTGGTCGCTCTCTCGTCACAAGGAGGCTATTGCCTTGATGGAACCATGCTTCCAGTTGCGTCAGCAAGTCCTCGGCGAACAACATCCTGATACACAATCGTCGCTCGAGACGCTAGATGGCTGGCGAGCAGACTTAGGCCAAGGGCCTTCCCAGCGCTAATTGCATTCAAGTGTGTGAACAATGAAGAGCCTGAAGCTCAATCAATCATTGATTTGAGGGCGGTAATAACGTTGATGCAGTAGTAAACATTAAAATCTGATAATTCTATATAACTAATTATAGCTTTGATGCATTCACTGTAGCAAGAAAATTGCGCAGGTGTGACGGAATGAGCACCACTAAAGAAACGGATGACTACACGACCAGGAATAAGAGCTGTCCAAGGTCAGGTGATTATTAGAGCCGCAGCCCTCGACCACAGCCCTCAGCCACAGCGCGCACTATCTCTGGCAGACATTTCAGCACGCTACTGCCGCCGAATGTCGCTTAAGACGCACGGCCAGTTAGATAGGTTTTGACGATCTTGCCATCAGCGCAGAGAAGCTGCCAGGACGCATACTCCTCACCTTAACCTGACCTAACAGGGCTGTAGTCTTGTACTTTGCTATCTTGGCTTGCTTTTTAGCCCACCAAGCTTTCTACAAATAGGATCCATCGCAAACGAGCAGGGGGTATCAGAGAAGAGTTAGTAGACGGCACTGACAGAACGGGCGACAGCCCGGTCAACGCTGCGATTCACGTTTTCGGCGTCTAATAAGGCAGAAGGCCAAGCGCCATAGGATTGATGCGTGTTTAAACAGTCGATTTGCAGGCGTGTTGTGGACATACCAAGCGTCCGAAAAGAAAAGTGTCCCGTTACACCGTGCGTCCCGGCACATAGGGACTGACATTACATGATCTTATGACCGTCACTAATCTGCGCCATATATTAGTAGTCTACACTAACATATCTTCCCTCGCACCAGCGCTTCGGAGCAGCTCGACTACATTCATGTGTCGGTTCCTTCGAGCTCTTTCAAGTGCGTTGCCAGAACGCCCACCGGGTGTATTGACACGAGCACCGGCTCTGATCAATAGTCCCACCACCCGCTCGTGACCATTTTCTGAAGCCTTCTGAAGTGCGCTGCCGTAGAACAAGCTGCGATGTCTACTCGTACTGGCGCCAGCTTCCAGCAACAGCCTCACCACAGTGTCATGGCCTGCCGACGAAGCCATTTGGAGCGCGCTGTCGCCATGCCCTCCTATTGCATTTGCATTAGCACCAGCTTCAAGCAGTAGCATTACAATCTGCTCATAGCCTTCGCCTGCAGCCAAATGAAGAGCACTTTCAATACGATAACCCGCTTCGTTTGCGGGTATGCCCGCGTTGAGGAGCATCTTCACTATTTCGTCTCGTCCTCTATAGGACGCATCTACGAGTGCTGTCGAATAGAGTTTGGTGTAGTCAAGTCCCGTGCCTGCATATATGTCAAGCGCAAGCTTTACAACATGTACACGGCCGCGGAGCACCGCTTCAGATATTGCTCCACTTATGCAGCCCATAGCTCCGCACTTGTTGCCTCTGGCATCGAAGAATAATTTAAAGCTGACTTCGTCGCCTTTACTTGCTATAATTGCAGCAGCGTGCATACAAAGGCCTTCATTGTGAACAAGAGCAGCGCCTTTTTGCAAGAGTAACCGGAGAAGCGTTCTCCGTCGTGCTATTATGGCCCAGCAAATAGCATTGTAGCAGCGATAGGCATTCTGGCAGAGATGGTCGATCGCAACGCGGCGCAAGGTCTGACTTGTTTGTCCTACAGCAACGAGGTCTCGAGCAGATTTAAGATTGTCGAGGATTGTGCAGATCAGTTCGACAGGTAAGGCATGAAAGTTGCGGTGTTCGGGGTCGTTCGGGGCGATGATGGTGGATTTTATGAGTGCCTTAGCAGGTTTGTGAACGAATCGGTTACGAAAGGATTTTCGTTTGACTTTGAAGGTTGATGCGGCGCATCTCATGGTAATGGTTGGGTTCCGATCCATTGCTTGAACGGCTAAATCCACTCTTTCGCTATATGCGAGCAGTTTCACGTCATATTGCTCTGACATTGGAAGAATTGCGATTGTTGTCTCTGTTTCAACAGTTGACGGAACGCTCATCTGTCAAGTAGCGCGTGTTCTTTGCGGGTTGGTAGTACTAAGTGTGAAGAAGGTGCGCTCGTTGAGAACGACGCAAATCCAGCACGCGTGCACGGAGCCCAGCAGCACGGTCCTCTGCCGCTTCTTCAAGGATCCACGCTAGTCACGTGCATCCTATTTTTAGCACGAACGCGTTCCTTTGTACGGTCCAGGAGGCGCGGAGTTGCGCTGTGCGTCGTGCTGGCCCGAATAGCAGCATTCGCAACACCATAGCAAACATAGAGCCAGCCAGTCGAGTGCTGGCGCAAACTAACCCTATAGATGTGCCTGCAGGCTGGGCTCCCCTTGCAGAGACCGAAAAAGAGATTCCCTACCATACTCGATGGTACCGGGAGCGTCGCGGACGCCCTTCGATGAAGGAGAAGGCTCAAGGCCAGCAATACCTCACCCCACCCGAGGAGAAAGCTCTTGTCGCTTTCATATTACGGATGGGCGCAGTCAGGACTCCTATACGTGTCAAGTATATACCTGCACTTGCCTTCTGCATCGCCAGCCGACGTGCCACGAACCGACCCTCCGAACCACCAAACAAGAATTGGCCCCAGGCCTTCCGCCGCCGCCACCCACAGCTCAAATCGAGGAATAATAGGCCTATGCCGTGGGAGCGTCATGATAATAACATATATGACAAGGTGGTACATTGGTTCGATGTAATCAAGGAGGAACTCTATAGACCAGACGTTAATGCCGAGAATTGCTATAATATAGATGAGACAGGCATCATGCTTTCTATGCTTGGCGCTGTCAAAGTCCTTATAGGTAAGGATGATGGACGGGACTATAGAGGAACTGGCACAAAGCAGACGATAGTAACTGCTATTAAATGCGTGTCAGCAAGCGGTAAGTATCTCAATCCAATAATCATCTGGCCTGCGTCTACTCACAGGAGTAACTGGACGACATACCCTACTCCTGGATGGTTCTACGGTCTCTCTGAAACAGGCTACAATAACTCTTTCATCAGCCTGGAGTGGATTAAACGAGTCTTTAACCCTCAGACTAAAGTTCGTGCTAATGGCAAACCACAGATACTCATCTGCGATGGCTTTGGGACACACGAAACCCTTAAGATCATCGAATTTTGCCTAGAGAACAACATTATTCTATGTAGACTGCCCTCTCACACATCTCACAAGACACAGCCCTGTGACGTATCGGTTTTCGGGCCACTAAAAACGGCGTACCGAGATAAAGTCGAGCGCCGCTACCGTGGAGGCCTGACAAACGTTAACAAAGAACACTTCACTGCTATATACAGCCGTGCGAGAGAAAAGGCGATGACGAAGAAGAATATACTTGCTGGGTGGGCCAAGACCGGCCTATTTCCGTTCAACCCTTCGAGGGTTCTTCGCGACATCGTAAAGCCAGACGCTCTACTGACCATTAACGTACCTCACGAAGTTGAAAGTATACAGAATGGAGTGTTTCAGACGCCCGTGACACCTGTGTCGTCGGAAGCTGTAACACAATTGCTCGGCCTCATTAAGCAAGATTCTCATCATAATGAGCCGAACGGAATGCGTCATCACAGACTGATTCAGAAGCTTGCCAACGCCGCCGAAAGGTCTATTGCCCGACAAGCCCTTGACCAGAATTACATTAGGCTTCTCAAGGCTGCCAATAACGAGGCTAAGACTCGCCGGAATACAAAATCAGATATCCTGAAGAAATCCGGGAAGAATAGCGAAGGACGGGTAATGAGACAAGAAGATCTCGAAGCAATTCGTGCAGACCGTGCAGAACGAGCTAAACAAGTCGCTGCCAAAAAGGCTGCAGGTAAAGCAAAGCGCAGTCAGACAAAGACAACGACGCAGGCAGATGGCGGCGTGGAAGGGAAGAAACGTCGTCGAAAGCGTAAAAGTATCGCGGCTGAAGAAGGCGTTCCAGATAAGCAAGAAGAACACGCGTCAGGACCATCAGCCGAAGCAGCACGATCAAGCGAAGCGCTCATTGATCCGATGCTAGAAACGTGGAGAGCACCGGTGGCACAAATGTGGTGATGATAGATGGACATGTCAATGACGGTCAGCATGTTCTAGACATAAACCTGAACCTAACTTACTGTGCCTGGCCGTTTTTCTGCTTCCATCCTGCGTGCCTTCCTGACCTAAAAATACCTCAGTAGGGCGAAGACCCTTTGAGCCTAAAAGCGATAGAACTGATGCTGACATTTCACGTGATCTACGTTTTGGCTGGTACGATCAGCCACAGTCTGTTCGAGCTACAGGCTTGGCTAAGCTGATGACACAAGGAAAATTACGTCGGATATTGGTGAGCTAGCCAAATCCGGAAGGCGCCTCCCGGAGAAGTACCGAGCGGGGTGGCGATCACGCATGAATCTGAACGCCGCATTGGTCTCAAAGCCAACATTGGCTTTTCAGCCTTGCCAAAGGCTTGCCAGGCTTGTACAAGGTCATATGGGTGTATGAGAAGTGACGGGGCTTTAGCCTAGACGATCTGACAGCGATAGCATTTTTAAGGCTTCAGGGAAGACTCTTTCCGGATCAGCGCGTATAGGATCACGGCTGCGTAATTCTTGTGTAGAGAGGGCGGTATATCTACAGAAAAGGTTGTAGAACACGACTCTCGTATAATTCAGCGAAACAACAACGCGTGTGTCGAATAATAGAATATCAAGGTCGAAGTTCCTCTGAAAGTTTGCGGCACGGCGGTTGTTGCGCGACGCGTGGATGCACGTTACGCAACATATAACCTTTCGTTGTGCAGCACACTTAGAGCTGCACAATGTTCTTTGGTCTGTTAGGATGGCCCCAATGATTCGTAAGCACCTGCGTTTATACGTTGCCTTCCCCGCACAGTTTCCTAAACGCAGACATTAATATCCCATCACTCCAAACACTAAGCCTAACATTAACCATGGAGTAACAGAAACCCATCACTGCCGAGCACTGCAAGATTGGTCCTGTCCCTTTGCTCTGGTTTATTTCCATGTGCATCTTCACGCCATAATTCCCTGTCACTCAAAGGTAATTATCTTTGCTATAGTCGCATGCCAATCTAGTTTTGCTGCATGATCTCTCTGCCTCTTGCTTGTCCTGTAAAAGAAATATGGCGCACAAACAGTCGTGTACCAGAACATTATGGCTTGAAAGCGTTGTTCCGATTATAGAACACGGTTGAAGACGGGGATTTAAAGCGACTATTAGAGCAGGAAAGAGAACTTCTAGATAATGATCTTCTGGTTCTTCGCGAAGACCAGTAACCCAAGAACTCGGTTCAGAGACAAGTCACGTAGCTCTCAGTCAGAGTCCGCAGGATCCCAGAAACCAACGGTGTTGGTCCTGCCCTCACTTTGAGTCAGATCTTGATACAATAACCTGTATGTATGCTTACTCCCACACCACTTCTAGCAGTAAGTCTGCCTCATCGTCCGTAATGTCTATGTCACTCGTCGCACTGTCAGCATATGTTCCATCCGAGTCCTCGAACACCTCATCGTCAGATACAATAAAACTACGATCGTAGCTGGTTTCGCGCAAATAGTGATTGACAACACCGGACTTCTTCCATGTAGAGTTCGTTGCTGCATAGCTTTGTAGTGGCTTCTCCAAATGAGTTGGCGTCTGAGGGCGCTTGTCAGAGGTTGCTGATCGCACTTCGCACAACCGAGATGAGCTAGAGCTGGGAAAATTATGAACACCAGCTTGTGATGAGCGTACTTCAAAATGTGGTTTTGTGGCCTGTCTCGTACTCGTTGCACTCATCTTTCGCGTAGACTTCTTTGGCTTTGGCTGTCGCTGCTGCCTTCGTTTTCCAGATCGTGGTGGCGGGGTTACTGGCGCCTCATGATCGAACATGAAGGCTGGGTCATCGAGGTCTATCTTAACTAGGGGTTCGCCGTGGGTTTCGTCCTGTTGATGATCTACAGGAGTGGTGAGCGATGCGGTTGCAGCTTCGGGCGGAAGTATTCGCCTCAAAGGAGAGGCCGAATCGACAAGAGCGGAGCTCGTGCGAAGTACGTCTTCTTTGGCAGTCTCGAAGTGACCTTTATTCTCCATCAAAAGATAGTATAAGTCTGCTACTGGAAGTTGCGGCCCGACAGCCATCAATTGCGCGGTCTTCCGCCGGAGATCGAGGCTCTTTATGTTCGCCAGTGTAAATTCGATCTCACCATCAGCGTACGAAGAGTACGAGGATGAGCGTCGACTACGAGATACTGGAGTATCAGCACAGGTGGTACTGGTAGTGGAGGCTTTCAAAGAGGGTGAATGTCGAGAACGCAGGGAATGTGTTTGTCGAGGTCGAGCACCCACCGAACGATCAGGAAATGCACGCGCACGCTCGTGGGCCATGCGGCTCTTTGCGAGATTACTTAGGGTTTGGGGCTCGCTAGAAAAAGTCAGTCCTACACCATGAGCACAGCTGGTACGACTTGCATTGATATTAGCCTCTCTTCGAAAGTTTGTGGTTGTTTGCGATGACCGTAAAGTGAACGCCGAAGCGGTGCTTCTTGGAACTCAGTCGAATTTTGAGGCTCCGAAGGGGAGGATACGGGGCCGGATCTATGTCTAGAATTTGTCTTCGTAGCAGCATAAACCGGGAGATCAAACGACCCCGCCGGAACTGCTGGTGACCCGTAAGCTCTATTTATGTTAGCGAATCCTTGCTCTCAAGTAGAGGATGCATTAATCTCGTACCTCATCTTCGCGCTTACGCTCACTTCTGATGTTATGGCAAGACCACCATCGTCATCGCTGTCGATGGTGATAGGTGAATCGTGGTGAGCGCCGGTTTGAGTTCCGGGTTCATATGACTCTCGTCGCGCGATCTTGCCTCTATTGCTTGCAGCGGTCTTGACGAGATCCCCGGCTGTATTGATACATCGCGACCGCAGCTTGGGGGTCTTGTTGCGTCTTTTCTGCGCGGTCGCATTCGCGGCTTTGGGTCTCCGAGATTCTGACCTGACCACTCCCATCGTCAGGCTGGAAGAGGTTCTCTCACGGCGCCTTCGAAGCTTCCCTTGAGCCTCGCGTCCTGATGATCGATGCGGATCGGAATTACGTATCGCTGAAGAAGTGCTTGGAGCTGCCAAGGTACCGGAGGTCAGTTGCTGCAGGGTCAAAGCTTGCCAGCGAGGACGCTCTCCATACGGGAGGGCAGACGCTTTGCCTGTCATTTGAGCATGTCGATGGTAGTGGCTTAGGCCATAAGGTAGTTCTATAGGCCACATTGCCGGGCAAAAATGCACGACATGGAGAGCGGGAATACGCAAGTGAAGGTGACCTCGGGAGGAGCAAACAAGCAGCGGTAGCAAGTCTAGCCACCGAGGTCAGACGCAAAGGCTTTGAAGCGGGTGGTAAGAGGAGAGGAGAGCGACGAGAGTAGCCAGAGGTGTTGTGCTCTGCTGTTGCTTCGATGGGAAGAAAGTCTGGAGAAGGAAGGTGCAGGACTGACTGCAGTGTAGGAAGCAGACCTGTGCAGAAAGAGCAGACATGCAACATGCAATACTATGGGCGAGGAAACGTTCAAAACTGATCACCAAGTGCAGTGAGCAAGCAAGCACGTAGGGTAGTAAGCAAGCTCGTGGTGTAGAGAGCAAGCAGGCATGCAATGCAGCAAGCAGACATGCAGTGCAAAGAGCGGACAGGCATCTGCTGGGCGACATTGACTGTCGACGAGTATGATGAGATTCCTACATAGACGTCTGCGCGCTCAGCACATTGTATGCTACAGAAAATGAGGCAGTCGCGTTGTGGTGCCGCCGAGCTGTCATTGGCCATCCGGCAGCCCCGTACGTCACCCGCACGACGGTTCCTGCCGCCGTCGAACCTGCATGACAGGCGCCGCTGCCAAAGCGACAGCTCCCTTGCAGGCTCTCCCTGACACCTGTCTCACTCCTCGACTCCTGCCCCCTCCGCCCATGAGCGCCGTCACCGCGCCGCATGGGATGGCACGACCGGCTCGTCTACTATCGTGATTTTGCGTACAGCCCCCGCCGCCTGCGAATGGCGAACGGCAACATCGGCCAAGTGCCTGCTGCCACCTTTGCTGAGTATGTAGACGACCCTCTCTCTGACCAGGCGGACGGCGCGGGACTTGGGCCGCCGGACGCGGGCGCGGACGCGGATGTGTTCGCCCACCTCGCGCCCGCCGCGCGCCGGCCATGTCTCGCGGTGCGGCCGGCGCTGGCGCATCGGCTGCACTCGCACCGCCTGCATGTGCGCGCAAAGGCTAAACTGCAACGCGACAGGCTGCTCTCCGGGCCCATGATCGACATCTACGTGGGCGAGGCGCGCCGCCGCTGGACGCTGCACCGCAGCCTGCTCTGCCACCACTCGGAGCTGCTCGAGGCCGAGCTCGAGGGCTCCGCCGACGGTGGCGGCCGCCAGGACGCGCTGGAGCTGCCCGCGCACGACCCCGCCGGCTTCGAGCTGCTTGTCAAGTGGCTGTACCAGGGCCGTCTCGACGATGTGTCGGACCTGCCCGACGCGGCGCAGAAGTACGAGTACGCCGTCCGCTGCCACGCCCTCTACCTGCTGTGCCACCGCTTCGACATGCCGCAGCTGAAGAACGTCGCCATGGACCAATTCCGCAAGGGCCTGCACGAGGCCGAGCTAGTGCCCGACCCCGACGAAATGGACGACATCTACCGCAAGAGCCCACGCGGCTCGCCGTTCCGCCGCCTGATGGTGCAGATTGCCGCGCGCCAGATCATGGACCCCGACAGCGACCGCGACACCGACACTTACCGCCCGTGCCTCGAGCACAACGTCGACTTTGCCATTGAGCTGATCAACGCCATCCGCCACGGCACCGGCGGCTTGCTGCTTGCAGACCCCACCGAGAAGGGCGACGAGTGCGAGTACCATGACCACGAGGACGGCCCCGCCTGCAACCTCAAGGGCAAGGGCAAGGCCAAGCAAGGTGACTAGCCTCGTCCCGTGTCCGCTGCAGCTTAGTAACCCGCATTAACCAGCACGCAAGGCCAAAGCCCGGAACCCCTCCCCATCCTCCGCCAGATCAGCAGCCTCCACAAGCTGCGCCCCGCCGAGCCACTCTCGCCCCCTGCCTCCAAGCCCACTTCTCCCGTCCCCTCCCCGCCCAGCTCGCCCCGGAAGCTCCGGCGCCGGCCATCTACTCCGCCGCCTCACCAGCCCGGTGACCTCCACGGCGGGGACCTCTCCCGAGACGGCCGTCGCGAGTCACCCCCCCAGTCCGGACGTGACCAAGGACTGGGCAAAACTCAAGAGAGCTACCACACCGGAGCAGCCAGCCGCAGAACAAGCAACGGCGGCGACGCTCCGTCCAGCCCCCGAAGAGCTCCGCCAAAGCTCAGAAGGCGCGTTTCACCCGTCGCAGCATGAGCGGCAGGGGGAGGGGGAGCCGGCCGTGACTGATTTCACTTCGCAGTCACCTCCGCGACGGGGGTTATGGCAGTGGGCCAGGGCAGGCACAGGGAGACTGAACATCATAGGCCGACTACCACATCCGGAATGGAAGAGTCCGACGTCAGCATCGAAAGTCGAGGGTGTTGTGCTGAACGGTGCACACAAGAGCAAGGAGACGACTGAGTCGCACGACGATTTTGACATCCCATCCGCGACTGCTACGGAGCCAGACGACTACGAGCGGCAGGAGATTGCTGCAGCTGCGAAGGTCGAAGGCCTGGGCATATCCAGCTTCGGGACAATGATATCGCCGAGTGACTTCTCACAGACGAGGGCGTCCTCGGATGATCTCATCGCGAATGCTTCGGAAACGACTGGATCACCATCGCCGCGGGTAATAGGGCTTGAAGCGTGGAACAACGGAGACGATACCACGCCTACCGGGTCAAAGCCTGCGTCTCCAACCACACCCGATACACCCACACCACCGCATCGCAGGTCAGACTCAATCATGGACATACCTAAGCTCAGAGCAAACCACAACGATGCACCAAAGGAGACGACGAGTGATACAGTATCGCAGTCACTAAAGGAGAACATCGCAAGGCTCGACTCGAATTTTGCAAAAAAGAACACAGGCACCCCAATAACCCCAACAACCCCTCAGAACCCGTCATCTGACACTGAACAAAAACGTTCGTCTGAGCCCTCGAAAATACGTGGTAACTCGGCACCCGGCCAACGCCGCGTTCCGACATACAAAATTGCGCTCACATCTAGCCTTCTCTCGCCCGCGATGAGGAGCACCTCTGCGGCGCACTAATACTTTGACGCACAAATTTGTTGATATACCCATTGATGATGTAAACAAACAGAACGAAGTCATGACGTTGGCACGAGTATTGTACAATGAGAATTCAGTATATCCCATCACATCATCTCACTGCTTGGACTCAGCGTCTCACTCGTTCTTCCTCACCCTGTGGGTTTGGCGATGCAATTGTGCCCCTCTTCACCCGCCGGAAGCAACTGAATTGTCCCCGAGTACCCTCTCTCAGTCTCTTCAAACCCACTCGTAACCCGCCCAGTTCGTCTTGCAAAGCAACCCTCGCACCATTGTCCGTCTTCTGGTCCAGCACCTGGTAAATATCCGTCTGTGTCTGGCTCGCTGCGTCTGTCGTATACGATGCCAAAGTCTGGCTGATGAACTCGACATCCAGCGTGGCTTGCATCAGCTGCGATAACGATATCGTGGGCAATCGCGATGAGGAGAAGGTGCTAATGAGACTAGTAGTGGTGGCTTCGAACAGGGCCTTCAGGATTCGCGGTGTCAAGGGACTGTTGGGTGAGGTTGTCGAAGTGAGGCTGTGAATAGTGACCAGGTGCAACAATACTGTGCTTACGTACGGGCTCGGATCAAGGTCCGCAACTCGTCTCCCCCTCTCTGCAGCCGCGGCAGCCCATGTGGGCGAGAATATGCCTTTCTCAATCCACGCGTGGATCTGCAGTGCGTGCGGCTTAGTGTAGGACTTGAAAAGCTGCGTATCCAGCTGACCTAGCACATCGCGAATCCGCGCCGTTTCATCAGTGAGTTGCACACTGAACAAGTTCTCGAATAAGGAGAGCAAGTGCGGGGTGATTTCGGATTGGAAGTGCGACATGTTGGATAGGGTGAGGAGAAGGCGGGTTGGCTGTTACAGTCAGTGTGGGCGAAACGTGCGTATTTCATCGTCAAAGCTTACCTTGCTGTTGGCGTCAACTTTCCCCCATTCGCCGTCGACATCCTCATCGCCATCAATTGTGAGGTCGTCGCCCTTGGTCTCGAAGTCCTGGCCCAGCGCCTTACGACCCATCTCGGCACATTCTACCATACCACTCAACGTGCGGTACAAGCTCGTCACAAACTGGCTTCTTAGCATTTGCAGGAGCTTGTTGCTAGGAGGGACAACGACGTCTACAGACGTCTTACTCGACGCCTCAACATACATGATCTTCTGCAGATGATTAAGCAAGAAAGACTGCACTGCGAAGAATCGCTGGGGAAGATTTGTGGTGTCTTTGCGATCCGCATTGCGCGTCCAGTCTTCCAGCACTTTGAGCTTCTCTGCGTCGGCATTCCAGGCTGCACAAATGGCAGAGATGCAGCGTTCACGGACGCTGCCAACAAGTATGCGCAGAGCTTCATCCAGGCGCGAGGCAGAACCTGTTACGGGTAGTTGCAAAGAGGCAAGCTCGTTCGCTGCAGTGCCAATGAGAACGAGAGATTTGGACAGACAATGGGACCCAGAAAGTGCGTTTGAATGTGGCGGCCAGAAGGCATATTTCTCCCACGTTTCGCCACGGCTGGGTGATGGTGGCGGAACGTTATTCGGATCGAATTTGAACCTCGTCCCGGCTGTAGGGCTTAGTGCAGCAGTGAGAGGTGTTCGTGGCGTTGTCGGCGTTGGTGTAGTTGGCATTGGCGAGAATAGGGCCGAGACGTCTTCAATCGGTGGATCGGAGAAGAAAGAGTAGATGTGCTCGCGAATCACGTTGATCAGCTCGGTGGTGCCTCTCTCGAGTTCCACTTTGTTCTGATCTGTAAGCTTGTGGTGGACCGAAGACTGGTTCTGGTAGCCGGTGGGCATGTTACGCTGAGCACGACCGCTCATGAATGACTGGGCAATGTCCCAATACTCAATGAGCTCACCAAGCAGACCGCCCTTGGTGGAGAGCAGCGTAGTCATGGACGCATGCACGTGCTCCCAGAACTCGATGACCTTGGGGGCGTCCAGCTTTGACGGCTCGGCTGTCGCGTTGGAGCTCAGGGGCACGGCACGTAGGTGCTTCTGCACGGAGCGCAGGGTTGGCTTCTCGCCGTTTGCCAGATGGCGGCGCAGGATCTCGATCTCGACACGAGAGCGTTCGCACAAGATGTTGAGGCGAGACTTGAGGTGCTCATAGCGTGAGAGCAGCCAGATCCAGATGGGGTTGTCTTCAACGCCGAGCTCGAGCATGATGGATATGAGGCTGACATACTCGTCGGACTTTGTGGCGTCGGTGGCGGAGTGATGCTTAGCGAAGTGGGTTGAGGCCAGTCGCTTCCAGGCGTCGCGCTTGAAGTGCTCGATTTGGCGCTCGACATCGGCCCACATGCGGGCGGTGACGATGATCTGGTGGATGTGGGCGTCGGCGAGAGGCGTCTTGGCATAGTTGGCCTGCTCGACGATGTAGCGGGCGTCTTCGGTGTACTTGCGGGCGCGCTTGTACTCGTCGATGATGGTTTCGTGGTCGCTTCGGCGGATGGCGTCCTGGATGGTGGCGGCGACCTCGAACAGGCCGCGGTGGGCGTCGACGGACTCGAGAATGGCCTTGAGCGTCTCCTCCTTGTCGCGGCCGCCCAGGGCCGGGCCCCAGACCTCCTCGGCCTTGACGGCGACCTCGGTGAGGGGCACCTTGATGCCGTGCACGCCGTACTCGCTCTCCTTGACGAGGGCGTTCTTCTTGCGCTCGGCGGGCGCGGGCTGCAGGGACACGCTGGGCTTGCGGCCAGAGAAACTGGTGCGGCTCGCGCCGCGGGCGTGGGCAGGCTTGGGCGGGTCGGGGTCCTTGCCCTGGTCGCGCATCTCGTTGTAGACACGGTCGATGGTGGCCTTGGCGCCGACGAAGCGCTCGAAGTTGGTCTCGACCAGCACCTTGAGCGAGGCCGACTTCTGCTCGATGGAGCGCGACAGGAAGTCGAGCCCCTGCAGCAGCGTGTCCGTGGACGCGTCGCTGTGCACCTGCGCGAGGAACAGCGACGGCGAGAACGACGTCGAGCTAAGGAGGAAGCGGTTGCCTGCGCCGGTCAGCGGGCCGTCCAGGGCCGTCAGGGGGCGGCGCGCGTACGCAGCTTGATGTCGTCCTCGACGGCCAGGCTGCGCGCCCGCAGCACCTGCACCACGCTGGGGTATAGCCCCAGCGGGTCCGCCTCGTCCTTCTGCACCAGCGTCTCCACGCCGTCCTTGGACCGCTCGGCCCCGGGCACCTGCCGCGAGAACCTCGCCCTGGCCTCAAGCACCGAGAACCGCGACCGCGACCGCCGCACCGCCGCTGCGCTGGCCTCATCGTCCGAGAGCTCGCCGGCCTCGGCCGCGTCCTTGTCCTTGTCCGCCGGCCATGCCGCGGGATAGAGTGTCGTGAGGTTGTACTTGGTGAGGATCTCCGTCTCCGTGGCCGAGTTCATCGCGGCGCACGTGCTGTGGTGGTGGGAATCGTGCCTGGGTGCCAACGCGACGTCGCCGCCGTCCATCCCCGTGCGCCGCCAATCCCCGTGCGCCTGCCAATCACCGTCCAGCGAGCCCGCCTGCAGTCCTCACAGCCACAACGCCACAACCCCAGACTCCGTCACGTGCTGCGACCCTCTTTCCAGCCTTGGAAGAGCATCCAGCACCATCATCACCACCACCGCTCTACACCACTACAGGCGCTTGCAAGTCCTCCGGCTGCATCATGTCAATTGCACGCTCCCTCACCCGAATCGGCTCATCTCCACACAGGGCATGTTGGACACGCACTGCTTCTAACAGGCACCCCAGCAATCCGGCACTTCAGCACTTACTGCCCTCATCATGACATCTAGCGACTATACTGCCATGTTGCTGAGCCTCATCCAAGGCTTCGGGCTCTATTACCTGCCCGCGTCACTGGCCAGATGCGCCCGTCTGCCCCTCTCACTGCCCTTGCTGTCTCTCACTACTATCTCACCTGTGCCGGACCATCAGTAGCACATATACCCTGTATATGACTTACACCCGCTACCTATCAACGTCACTTCCTCTACAGCACCAACCCCCAATCAGAATAGTATTATGACGGACCAAACTCCTCCCGACAGTCCTACAAACTCCGATCACATTGGTACAGTCGAGGCAACGTCAGCTACTCCGTCTACGACCGGGGAGATTCAAGAGCCGACGCAACAGACAAGCTCCAGCAGGGCCCCACAAGCACCCAAGGTGAGTCGAGTGGTGCGCCCTGATAGCAGTCATCGTTGCCCTCTGCACAGCACTGCGGCAGACTGTAAGAATAAACGAATCAAGCCTGAAGATGAAGAGATATATTCGGAGCTTTTGGATCCCATCAGGATGTAAGTGGGTTACACGTGAGCTGGAACTCAGTACTCACGGTGTGCAGCACATTCGCTGGAACCCAAGAGAGTTTACGTGGTATGACTTACGGAAAGAGTAACATACTCCCGCCTGCCTTGTATAGAACCTTCTATGAGTTGTCCGCAACTCTCAGTTCGCGGGTCAGCAAAGACACTCATGTGCGACATCGGGAAAATGAAAACCTCATACTCCGTGACGGCAATGCATTCCAAACGGTCGGGAACCCCACCTTCAGCGAAAAAGTCACGAAGGAGGGCATTGAGCGACATTTGGTGTGGAACAAGAAGAAAGATCCTTCAGCCTGGATCTCCATGTTCGACGAGCTTTGTAAGTGTCGTCACCTAATATATCGCCTTTTCACGTCTGACAACGATGTAGCGCATGCAAAACGACGCGCCTTGTTTCATTATGACGAAAGTCAAAGGATCGGCCAGCGTGTCACTATTGCACAAATCAGCACCGCCGATCTGATTCCGGCCACTGTTCATGCAACTTGTCGATCAGTGTGGGAGATCGTGATTAAAGATAAACATTATGGAAAACGCCTGCTATACAGCGTCACGACCCGTCAGGTTGATATACCAATCTGGGTGCATAGCTCCGTCCGTCCTACGACTACCTCCTCTATTTCGTCAGAGCAGCTCATAGCTTCTCACGCAGACTTGTTTGTCTGCATCAAAGAACTGCGCAAATCCAACCTGGTGCAAGGACCTAAAACCCATTCAAGAAGGAGGACGATCGCAGCAGACGGACACAACTATGAGTGGCTTGCGCTGGGCCGGATTCTTGAGTCGCGCGTCACGAAAGTCTTCCCCTTCGACGGTAAAGTCTTCCATATGGTCAAGCCATCCCACACGGTGCGTAGCACGGCCGCCAAAGAAAACTGGATATTTGATTTCGACCTTGAGACCTGGCGTTTGGAGTCCGAGTTGGACAGATCTGATGCTCATAAGCGCAAGAGAGACGTCGGCGACGACGACGACGATCACGAGACGACGGTCGACAATTCCCGCGAACGCAAGAAGAGCCGCGGTCATAATCTTGGCTTCAGCGCTGTCATTGAAGTCTTTGCCAGTACTTGAACCGTTCTCGGAGCCCTGGCGGACCGTGACGTGTCTCGACATTGACTTCTCCACGACGCAGTCGCTATTCCGATTAGGTGTGGAAGCGTCCAGCGCTTGTCCCATCGTGAAGACACACTTACCCCGATACCCTGACTTGACTCTATTTTCTTTCAAAGCTCATTCCCCTCCGTCTTACATCAACGTGCATTGACCTCCTCCCTGCTTCAGTCATGTCAATTGGGTCGGATCTCCGCAGATCGGTGGTGCGACGTGCCCGACGTTGGAAGTCTCGCTCTGATAGGCTTATTCCCACTCACGAAGCGGTCCATTATGCATGGCGTTATGAATAACCGTGCTTTTCAACAATTCCCTATTACAGATGCCATTTTTTTCGCGATGAAGTCGGCTAGGATCATTGGAAAAGTGACGGAACAAAATTTACAATATGCAATCATGAGAGTCATTTCCTCCCCATGCTCGCGTTGGACGGTGAACTCAGGCTCGAATATGTGATGATGTTGTGCGGACGTTTCTGCAACACTTTGTGTCCTTAAGAGGACACCTTTAGTCACATCCTCCTCATACTCATCCGCATCTACATGCTATGCATTTGTTTCTGAAGCTGCTTAACCAATCTTAGAAAGTCCAGTCTGCATCTCTAGGCAGACTGGCAGTCAGAACAAAACAGGTTTTGAATGTGCATGTGCCACGCTTGTGCAAGTTCCGACGACTACTTGAAGCATGTGTATTTCTCAAGCATACTATAACTTGACACTCTCTTCCAAGTCAATCTAGCCACCCATGTTTCTGGAGGATTGTTCGGGTTCGCTGCACGGAGTATAGGCATGTGCTTGAGTAGGCTTAGCAAGAGTAGCACTCAAGAAGGAAGATCGTAGCTCGGCATGAGAGAGGCCAAGTGCCTTAGCGTTCAGGGACAAAGTTTTGCGGGGCCAGATTCTGAGACTCTAGCGCGAGCTCCTGGTGGCGGCCCACTCCTCCCGACCGCGCCAAATCCTGCGAGCGTGATCGACAGGTTCGCACCTGCAGCCTGCACGACGCACGTAACAGTTCCCAATGTTATGTGTTGCGTACTGGCCCAGCATCCTGGTGTCCCTCGCTTGCTCGACATACAAGACTTTGCGTAACGCCCTTGTGAGCTTCGTGTTGCGCACTTGATGGGCCAGTCAGTATCCTGCTCACCAAGACGGAAGCGCACCTTCGCCGATTATTATGACGCCCAACTTGCTATCCTGCTTGGTTGTACCTACGGGCGCCGAAACCCGATGTTGATCCGGAGCTATATCCATAGCTCAGCTGCACCCCCGTCTCCGCGGGACGGCCACGGAGCTAGTCGCGACGGACTGACCAAACTCCGCGCGTTGAAGTTCGAGAAGCAACAGCTAGTGGCGAATGATGGTATCCGATCAACGGAAGCTGCAAACCTACAGGGGACGCTCTGACTAGATAGGCATTGTAGCGTTGAGCTTGTGGCAATGGTTTGTTCGTTAGACCTACTCAGATCGGCGGCGACTGCAAGTTTGGTCCAAAGCCCAGCAGAACTGGCACGTTCGCTACAAGAGATACTCCAGACCGCCAGCAAGGTTCATCCAGATACCTTAGGTAGGTTTTATTTTCCGACGCTTGAAAATGGTTCGCCAGGTGTGATTAATGTTCTCGGCAGGACGAATAACACCTCATGGCGAGATCACATCGATTTCTGACTCGCCATGGAGCCGTTATAGCACGGATTTACAGATTTTAAACTCAGGTTGACAGGGCCTCCGATAAGGTTCAGGAATGGTTTCCCGACTCTGACGCTTGAATGCATCCGCTTGTCCTCTCTTAATGGCTATACCTGCTACATGACACATTTCGATGCTTCCCTCTTCGCTTTCGAGAAGAAACCTTCGGCATCATGGGTGTACGGTCGCTGGTCGCAGCGCTCCTGTGTCTGTTGGCGTTCTTCAGTATCGGAGTGTTGGGGAAACCTCAATCAGACTCAACGACGCTTACCGTTGCTGACATTCCAGCATGTGGTGTATGTTATGTTTCCCCAATCCAACAAACGAACCGCGCTGAAATCATACAGCTTAGATGTCTCTTTCTCGTGCTCCCAGCGAGTGGATGCGCACCAACCGACATTGAGTGCATCTGTGCCAGCGACTCCCTCGAACACCAGCTGGCTGCATGTTTGCTGTCCAACTGCACCATGCAAGATTCATTGGGTAAAATCATAATGCATTTGAAGAGCCATCATGAGCTAACTATACCATGAAGACACTTCGCGCGTTCAGTCTGACCTCTGTCATCTCTCCGAAGAGTCAAAAGTGCAACAAGTAATCCTATATACAAGCATTGTTTACTCAATTGCTTTTATCTCTGTTGTCCTGAGAATAGCCGGAAAGGCAGTTTCTCAAAGACTGGCTTGGGACGATGCCATGGTCGTTGCTGCTCTGTTCTTGACGGCGATACCACTAGGATGCGTCCTCGATATGTCTCAGAAGGGCTTTGGCGAGCACTTATGGAACCTTGAGGATGGCAAGCTGCTTCCCATTTTACGGAATTGTAGGTCATTGTTAGCGACACCAACAATGAAAACTAATGACTGTCAGTGTATATTTCCTGGTCGACATACGTTATCATCCTATGCATGATCAAGATCTCCCTAGTCTTGTTCTATCTTGAAATTTTCAAAACCCCAAGGTTTCGGATAACAGCGTTCGTCTTTCTTGTATATCTGATTATCAACAGCCTAGTCATCTTCTTCATCGCCATCTGCGCATGCAATCCCATACCTTCGTTTTGGAACCGCGACATCAAGGGCAAATGCATCGACATTCAAGCTGCAGCATATGCCAATTCAGCGTCCGCCATTGTTCAGGATCTCATACTTCTGGTATTACCACTAGCCTTTATCCGCAACCTCCAAATGAAGCGCTATCGAAAGATCGCTGTTGGATTCATGTTCGTCATTGGTACTTTTGGCTGCATCGCAACCATCATGCGGTTGCCATCGTTAAGTACGTTCAAGATTTCAATCGACCCATCCTGGGACTACGTCCCCATCACCATCTGGACCGAACTGGAGCTAGCAGCTGGCTTTCTATGCGTATCCTTGCCCTCAATTCGCATCCTTCTAGTCAGGGTACTGCCAAAACAGGTCGTAGAATTCTTGTCCAATATCACACACCCATCGCGGGGAAAGAGCAATCCTACTCCTCGTCCACAACAGGAGCGTCCACCCGAACAGCGGAAGTGGAAAAAACCGTCATCCTGGATTGATATCTCGGTCAATAGTACCAATGTTTCGAACGAAAGCACTGGAAAAGATCTGGAACCATTGACCCTGGGCCCAGGTGTACGAGGCAGCTTCATGAGCGCTTTCTGGAATCGTAGCTCCGCACAACCGTCCCAATTTTCCAATTTACGGAGCGGAAGTCGACGACTCGAATCGGCGATGAGCAACTATAGCGAAGCTGGTGTTGCTGTCACTCGGCCTCCGTATCAAGAAGGGAAAAACGACGGCATTTCTGAGCAATTAGAGATGGGCAACATGTCGAGTAGATCACATCGTTATACGAATTCCTCGTGCAGAAGTTGTAGCGGCGACAATGATCAGATTACTGCACTTCCACAAATTGGGTGCATACCAGAAGGATCATTCTCGGCACATGACGTCTCCAGGTATCATAAAACGCCATCTGCACAATGGTCGCACCAGGAGAAAGACATGGTGTGACATCAAAATGCAACATGTTTCAGATACCCGAAGTTGTTTGTTTCCTCAACAGAAAGGCAACATCCAGCTATCCGTGGCTTGTACCACAACGAAACCTATGGGGACATATCTCGTATGAAGTAACCTGCTAGGCATCGTGGTGCGCAGCCTTCGCAAGACCGATACGGCCACCCATGTACTCCAAGCCTCCACAGTGCAGCTCCTTACCGAGATTTACGATGAACTATCATGCTCATCGACGAGGAGTGCTCAGCACCGTGCAGATAGTGGCATGCACGTGCGACATGATTCTCTGTTCGGTTAAATTGCTCATGGAGCAGACGCTTGATTTGTAGGACGTTGCTAAGTCAATATATTCGTGGTACGGAGAGAATGTCTCAGCTGCTGGTACACACAACGGCTGACGCCGTTCTTCTGTGGAGTTGCATTCGGTGTTCCACAAGCACTATCCAGTGTCTTTGATCAAAGGGTTTTGGCTACGAAGCGCCTGGTTAATATGGACAAGTCTATCAGCTACGGTCCTGCCCATCTCCAGTTCCAATCAGCGTTGCTCGAGAACTTGGGAACCATGGTCCCAGTAACGGCAATAGAATACTATAAGAATCGATCGTTTCCGTGATTATGCGTCAGGGTCGACATACATGTGCATTACTTTACACCTCTTGAGTGATTGGTGCGAGCTGAAACACTACAGGCATCGAATCTCCGCATTCGCGCGGTGCAGTTGCATCCGATCGAGTTCAGCCGTACTCGTTCCAGTGTTTGACACTAACGTGCTACCTGCTTCGCATGCTGCAGGCAAGATAGAACGTGCACCGAATAGGACATATCTGCTTACTTGAGGGGCTTACTTAAGGTAGCCCAGGTACCCGGGCATCAAAGACGGACTACCTCCTTAGGTAAGTGCCCAGGAAGTCGTCGCATCATAACTGCCAGCCTCACGCTGTCTCTAGTTATAAGTGGTCCATTTGCAATTAATTCAGGAGCAAGGATGACATTGTGATGGGTGCCGGATGGCGAATACCTAGACTAGGGTGCCTAGGACAGATATGGTAGTCACGTGATTATGCATCCACTCGCGCTGCGTAGGCAACCATGTGTACATAAGACAATGCCACCAAACTTTGACTTCCTGCCACATCAATCCTTCCGTTTATCAACTCATCGCTAGGTGAAAATGCTGAATATTGCAGAACGCCGCCAGGCGTGCGAAGACACGCTCAGACGGACCCCGGCAATTGTCGCATCAAGAGGGGCCGAAGAAGGCTGTTCTTTCGACAGCAAATTCATCCCAGCACAGCTTAGTCCTCTCGACAAGTCAGATCCTCGGTATCCCGGTCTCGATAGAAAGCCCTTTGAAGTCCATAACAGCGACGCATTCGCCCTTGCGCGGACGTTAGATCGTCAGGCCGGCAGCCCCGACCTGGCGAAGATCGGGGTTCTGAACCTAGCCAGCGATCAAGAACCCGGTGGTGGCTGGCGCTACACACTGTCCAAGACACAGGAAGAGGCTCTCTGCTACTCTTCAACTCTGTACGCTACTCTGAACCCGAAGTGGTACCCATTTCCAAACACTGGGCCAGGGTCTTGTGCCGGTATCATTTCGCCTGGGGTTGTGGTCTTCAAAGACACTCTGGATCGCGACCTTGTTGATCTGCCACGTGAGCAACAGCACGTGGTGACCGTAATAACAGTGGCTGCGCCATGTTGGCCCGTGTTGACGGAGGACAGGAAAGAGTTTGCGGATGCATCTAATCTACACGATTTGCAAGAAAAGATTCTACTGATACTAAGGTTAGCGGCGACTAATGGCCTTACCAAGTTGGTGCTTGGGGCAATGGGCTGTGGTGCTTATGGGTGCCCGCCGTACGCCGTTGCTCGGGAGATGAAGAGCGTCATTGAAAAGGATGAGTTCAAAGGATGGTTCGACACGATTGTTTTTGCAGTCTATGCTTCTGGACCGTCGGGAAAAGAAAATCTCGATGCATTTTCTGAGGTGTTTGAAGGCGGGTCATGAAAACTCGATGTGATGTGTTTTAGTGTCAATATACGTCTTCTCTGTAATTACAAACCAAGCTTAGCTAGATATACTTGCATCGATGAGACTGCGGAAACCAGATCTGGTGCCCAATTCACTCTGAGAACATGTTCGCTGATAGTAGCTGGCATGGGCGTTACATATGCCTTGTGGCAAGACCCCTGCTGGAAAATCAGCATACATCTCAGCTTGAAGAATAAGTGTCATGGTTTCTGTGTAAGATTTGAAAGAATGAATCGCAAGGCTACGGATGATGAGAAGCATAAGACCACATTGCATGCGTACATGCATTGTTGCGAGCCTGACGCTGACGGACTGCATTGGCGTGCCGCGCAGGTTGTGCGTGGCCGCAGAATTCTGAGATGTCTACGGCCTTTCGATCTTCAAAACGTGATTACTCTGATACTGGAGCGACGTTTCTCCACTTTTGAGGCCGTATCAGTGCAGCGGATACCTGTGTTTCCATTATCACCAGGCTGTACCGAGTCGTCAAATCACGATTTCTGTAGGCCATGTCAAAATAAGGTAATATGTTCTCAATCTATGCACATTGAGTCTCTTATGTTGGTCCTCAGGTAGCACAATAGACTTAAAAAACGATCGTAACCCACACATCCAACCTTGGGCGTGGATGCGTCATCAAGCTTGGGCGGGGAATTTTGATATTGTGATCTAGGTTGACTTGTATACGGTTTCTGCTCTTCCCTTCGAGTGGCAGTAGCGGTATAATGCGTGTGCTCAGATCCATCAGTATTGTTGTTCTTCAACCTCCCCTAGCGAAATAACGAATGACATGTACATGCTAAAGATAGATGCGTCATTTTCTTCATCGCCCATCAATCTTATGATGAATTCGAGTTGTCAGCACAAGACCAGGCGGAAGATCCACCAGAAGCATTGTAGCTATTGATAATGCCAACAACAGATCCGTATGTACCGGCTATGGTCAAAAACCAACCACCGATGATCATAAACGCGCACCAGCCCACCATGAACATCCACTTGCCTGTTCTGGCATCACGCCAATGATCATAGAGCCACATGCAACCCATGGGTTGGATGCACATGACAGTGCCAAGGAGAGCACCAACAAGAGACACGAGTCCGCCGAAAACGGGGATGGCACTAGCGATGATATACGCGACAATAGCGTTACCAGCAGTGCAACCAATCCAGGTCATCCAGTGAGTTGGAGTGTTTCGTGTCAAATGCTGAGATCCCCGTAGGATACGCATGAAGAAGTATTTGGCCGCAAAATGCACGAACAATGTTGTGCTGACGAGTAAGCCGGGAAGAGCAATACCATAGCAGATCTTCTTCATCGTATGGCCCGCAGAACCTAGAGCTGGAGAGGATACGAAAGAACCGCAGAAGTAGTAGACTACACAACCAATAGCTATGTAGACTGCTGTCATTGTGCTCTGGCAGATGATCAGGGCTCTGGTGTAATGGCGCGGCTCGCGCATCTCTGAAACGATATTGAAAAATGCTGGAGTTCCTGCGTATGCGAAGACGATGGAAGAGATCGAGGCGAATGCATCCGCAGCCGTGGGAGAGCCAAACAACTCGTAATCAGATTTCCAAGGACCGGCAGTGACGGGTGCGTCTGCGGGACGATCTTGTAATCCAACAGCCACCGTCAGGATCAAGACTACATGACATTAGTTGCGATACATCGAAAGTTTGGAGAAGCATGGTGAGCTTACTTGAGCTAAGGATGCTTACCACCCCGATCCACGCGAGCCATGATATTTTGCCAAGTGTCTGGATGCTACCCAAACCGAAACCAGCGATGGCGGCGACAGCGACGAAGATAGCAGTGCAAGCGCCGTGAGATGAGAGAGCGTTCAGCGCAGTGGATATGCCCAACATTCCAGATCCAGCAACGAAAATCCAGTACAACGCAAAGGTTACGCCGAAGATTTCGTAACCAATGCGACCAAAAAGCTTCCGACCGACGTCGTCGATACCGTAGACATCAGGATGTGCCAATTTAAACACACCGACGATGTAATTCGACCAGCTGGTCATGACCGCGATGATTAGGATGATGATCACACCAGGAATCAACCCAAGGCTGTGGAAGACCGCTGGAATAGAAAGAACACCAAGTCCAATTTGTGTTTTCAGCATGAGCACAGCTGTACCTTTCCAACCGACCTGCTGATATTAGCGCATTGTTGGAGTAGTTAGGTAGTGGGCGTGCACGTACGGCGCGGTAGTTAGGGCCGTCTTCGCTGATTTCTCCAAATACAGCATCTGTGATAGAGACACGTCGGTGTGTGCCATGCTGAACAGACGTAGTCGGAAGGATACCGTTGTCGTCATAGTTGCTCTTTTCCGGGTCGGTATACGGGTCTTTATAGTCGGTCATGGTCGACGCAGGATGAATAACGTGTCTAAGACGCTAGACAACCACAACAATAGTGAGAGGAGTATGAGAACAAAAGAAGCAGCTGCCCGCGCTTGCTCGCCAAAGAGGGGCAATCCATGGAGTCTTTATGGACTACCCAAAGCTTGAAGCCCGCTAGTGGAGCGCGATTGAGAATCGCATATGTCAGGAGCGCAGGGTGGATTGACGCCGAAATCGCGCTACCATACTGTACCAGCATGGTCATTGCATGTCAGTGTGGGTCTCACACTAACAGCCCCGGATTCGTGAGGCGCCATGCGGGGAAACCGCCACCTGCGGGAGTGTTTCCGGTGACTTTGAAAGATCTGAATTTGCTGATATTGTTCACGAAGCCCTGTTCTAAGGTGCGTAGATATTCGGTGCATCGCAGACTCACTCCTCTCTCGCAGGTACCGCAAGTGCTTACGGCTCGTTCTTGAAAAGCGGGTCGCAGATAAGAGAAAGAAGGAGACTTTGATAAAGTTTGGGTCGCGGGATTTCGCGCTACAGCGCCACGGAAGGAATACGTGGGGTGGGCACGTCGGGATGATACAATGTGCCGGCGCGGCATGCATCCAGCAAGTCAAAAGCTCTAGGAGAGTGGTGTAGCTGTCCTAGATTGGCCAAACTCTCAAGGGTTACCCATGAGCTATCGGTCGGAGGAATAAGCCCCCCTGTACAGCAGGCTGAGCGACGAACGGATGCAAAGCATATCCCTGAAAAGCGCAGATACATATGCAAGATCATACCATTCTCGGCCGATACAAATTACAACCTACGTCATGCGAGACCGGGCTTTCTTTAGGGCTGCCTCGACAGTGTTGTGAGGGATCTGTCAGCCAATCCAAGCCCTCGTCATTTCCAGCTGATGGGTCTATTACCATTTTATGCGCACCTATCCTGTAAGCAATTGCGCTGGTCTCTTCCGGGGCAGCCTGCGGTGTTATGCCAGGTACTATACCCCCTGTAACACAGCAAGGTTTTTTCAAATGCGCATACTGAACTTTTCTTTCCCGACAGCACAGTAGAGGGTTGCAAGATCTTGCGGCGAAGCTAATAATGTCAAGTTCCAGGGTGAGGAGCATTTGTGTCTCTGTTGCATCCGATGGAATGCTTATCGAAGTGACGCGGCACGGCGTCTTGCGGCTTGCAGGGTTCTGGTCACTAGAGCCTTGACGTCGACGGCTTTTGAGAGGGAAGGCTGGTTGGGGGTCGGGCCAGCGCCTCCTGATCGCTAGCGATGGCACTGCGCATGCGTGCGTGACTGCGTATGGGCTACTGACACGGGTTGTGTACGGTCAGATTTGGTCAAACCTGCACTATTCTCGAAGTTGCCCATGGGTGCGAAGCATTGGCAAGCTTTGCGGGCATGGCGATAACAAGCTTTTGAATTGCCGAGGGTGATGGAAAGATTACTGATTGGCTCTCGTGGCGAGCTGAGTGCCGATACGGCGTGTACAATACCTAGACCGCAATGCGTTGCCGGCAGTACACTCTGAAGTTCCAAGGCTGCAGAACAGATAAGTGAATCAAACGACTAAACCTATAGTGTACATTCTGCGATCTCGTGCCGTTCCGCAGAGAGCCTCACAAACAAGAAAAGTGGATCGACGTGCCTAGCGTGCCTGAGGCGTTCGCACATCGCTTGTGAGATTCATTGCATTGCGAATGCTCTTACCGTATTTTCTGTCACCGAGCGAAAAAATTAGAGACAAGTAGATTTCTCCAGGCTATCATGGGGGTTAATGGGATTTGCTGTTCGTAGTAACGTTTTGGGTAAGCCTCCACATCAACCGTATCGCACCTACCTGATGTGCTGACGGATTGTTGCTCAAAAGCCTAGTAAGTGATTCACTCAGTAACGAAAAGTATGAGAGCATCAGGGTCTCTGCCCTGCTAGTCTGGATCAGGCCGGTGGATTGCTTGCGCGGACCAATGTTCAATTCTTACCACGACTTGAAATAATTCGGGACTAACATCCACCACCACGGTTTAACACACTCAACTTCTGTTGAAGATGTCTTTGCTCCACCTAGCTCCATCGCTCTTCGAGACTGCCATGGAATGGCTTGCCTTTGAAGTGTCCCGCATCGAGGCCGAGATTCTTCACATACCATCTTCTATGCGCTTCTTCACGGTCGAGGCAGACACAGACCAACGGTTCAAGGAGGCTTTCCTGTTCGCACTTGCACCATTCTACGCCTTTATCACGATGCCCTTGCTCGATAGACTGCGAGGTATCCGTCATCCTAAATCTCGCAGTGACCGATCAACCAGATGCGGAGAGTGGTACTTGTGGTACTTGGTCATGTTCTGGACAGTTATCCTTCTGGTAAGTGAGGTTTCAGCCGTTAAACATGAGCGTCGCTGACTCACTCGATAGAATCGTCACCTCCTGTGATCGTCGTGCCTTCAAGGAAAGTACGATCGCCGGTTGATGCCTCCTCATTATCAGTAGTTCTTGCGCGGCGAGCGTGGAGCTCCTTCCTGGCTTCTACAATGACGTTCTCGAGCTGTTATATCGCCTTAGAGACCCTGGTTTTGCTCCCAGTAGAGCTGATGACTTTACTCTTCGCAGATTTCGCACTGCTCGCAGCAGGTTGTAAACTTGCAGCCGCCCACAGCTAAACCATCGCTGCCCTGTGTTACGGCCAGATAGCCGCATGTGTTGAAGCGTGTGTGGTTCCGACATTGCTTGCAATGTGTGGAAAGCTAAAAGACTTGAATAGCTGATGATGAGGTGCAAGATTGAGTGATCGATTTTATCTGTCGAGGTACCTTTCGGACAGTCGGTTACTTATATTCAATCTGATCACATACGCTAGTCGCTGTTTCAATCAATCCCTTGCTTTTCTTCGATTAACTATTTTGTGGTTTGAGAACAGACACGCTACCTAGAGTAGAGGCATTAGTACCTCATCTATCCATTCCTTGACGCCGAATAGAATATCAGTCCATTCGCCATGTGGGTGCCGCAGATGAGAACTTCTGTGCGATAGTAGCACTCTTCCAAGCTCCATAAACAGTGCAGGTACATCAGTATCTACGTCTTGTGAGAAGAGGTCTCCCAAATCACCGCCTTGTTCGAAGAACATGAGAAGTACATCTCCATCTATGTGATTGTTCCTGGCGCCGGCCGCTCCACGCTCTTGCTGTCTTGGATCGATATCTCTAGCGCGAATTGCGCAATCTTGCGCTCCGTCTGCGCCGTTCATCAGTACGTTGAAAATGTCACCGCTTCGATGCTTGATGATGGTGAAGTGATTGGCTGGATCGCGGCTTTGCTTGATTTGAATGATGTTCTGCAACAAGCGCAGAATGTGACAGGCTGGTTTCAACAGGATTGAAAACGCATAGACGGTGCCGTCGGAACAGGCACCGAAGATGTCGTCAATAAGCACCCCTGTGCTCTTTTCGGACGGGTCAGTAAAGCGAGGTGGTTTACGCCAGGGTGGCCGAATGTCTCCACGCTGTAAGCGAATGACTGTGCGGGGTAGACACGCCTCGAACAAAGTCACCGCGGTGTTTTTGAATGTTTTCTCACCAGAGCTGTACAGACCAGCCACTGTAGCTGTTTTCTTGTCCGTGAGTAGAACCAGTGACTCATCTGCCACTCTGGTGTCTCTTTGAAGATCGTCGTTGCGAAGGGCGAGGTGATGGCTGCATGACCGTTCACGACTATCGGCAAACAGCTGCTTGAAATCGATTTTCGAGCTGCCAAACCTCCGAGTAACTTCGTAACAAAGATGAGAGTGTTGCAATGTCGAAACATAGACGTTTTGTCTGGATATGGATATGTGTATACCCGGCGATGGTAGTTCTATACTTCCGCGGTTGGACCACCTTTGTAGATTAGACAAAATCATAATTAACATAGTCATAACTTACCTGCCCAGTCCTACATCGTACTCGTCGAATTGCAGCAACTTTCCGACAACACTGACAGTAGCGCGTCTGTCAAACATAGCTATGCAATAGACCGGATGAGGATATGTCGACTCCTTTTGCAACAACAATTTGGATCCCCGCTGTCCCAAATTGAAGATCAACCTTCTTCCTCCTTCTTTACCAGACTCATCTCTGATGCCAGTACCCACGATGACCAAGTTGTATTTTTTGCCTCGGTCATCTTCAAACGGCCAATCGGCAATCGAGTACACGCGCTCTGCGTGACTGAGATCATATTGAGCAACGACCAACCGATTGATGAGCTCGACGCCCACTTCTTGCTTGATTTCGAGTTCGTCCAGGGGTTTGTCATCATGTGCATTGAGAAGACTCAGACTTGAGTGTATCACCCGATATCCTTGCGGCGGTGCAGCCTCTTCTTTGGCTTCTGTCGTGGCTACAAGCATCTTTCGCGGGCCCGGTAGATACGCGACATACGTAGGCTTTGCGCCTGTAATGAGTTTGCGTGGTAAGATCATTGAATCCGTTCTATGGTGCGGATGGGAAGAGTCATTTGGCCGTTCAATGTCCGCATCGAGTTGCGTGTAGAGCATCTGGTCACCCGATACGACGAAAAGAAACCCACCAAGGTTCCTTTCCAACGATGCTTGTGTACCCGAAACGTAAGGTAACTGATATGCTGCTGTAATCGAATGTTGATGGTATCCTGGGTTAGCCCGGTTGGTAAACCAGATTGAGTCAATTTCTAGGGCTGAAGACGTTTTTGCAGATAAGCGGACTTGACAGAAGTCAGACCCGCATGATACAAATGCGGCTGCTTCATCAGTGGAGCTCATGTATATTTTTGCTGAAGTTGAGCCCATCCTCAAGATAGTCCACTCTGAAAGGACTGTGGGAACGGCAGTCCCAGATGATCGTCCCGTATCGCCGAAAGGCAGTGTTTGGGCTTCTGCATTGAAACAAGGCATGTGCTGGCTCAGCAGAAGTCCGTCACGGGTAGTGCATACTAGGACTTCGTCCTTGTCGAGCGTCAATACCACGGCGCGCTCACAAAGCGTGCGTGATTGCCCGGCTGAGACTGTATCGAGGGATGACTGGAACACCAAAAGCAGTGTGTTTTCTGAGGAGACTTGGAAGAGCGTCACTTTTGAATCAAGCGTCCCAACAAAGATGTGGGGATTCCCATCGATAACAAGGATCTCAATACATGAAGGGTCGGCACTTATTGCGTGGCGTGATTGTACTTCTCCGCGCTTCGCGAATGTACCATCTTCCAGTACTGTGATGATGTCCAAGTAAGTCTTGCCGGTATCTTTGAAGGCAAATGCAAAAAATGGGAACCCTGGCCTTGATGCCGCAAGTAGGATCGGTGTCGAGAAGTCAATTTTGTCTTTCAGAGCCAGGCCTGGCGCCACAAGTATTTGCGCATTTATGCGAGTGATCTGCATCGAAAAGCATTCTGACAGAATGCAGGCCGAGATAGTTTTCTGCGGTTCGTGTGATGCCATCGTCCATAGGCTCGTCCTCGGTTGGGAGCTGAGTCACATCCCAGACTCCATCATCCCACGCACCGGTGAAATCGCCATGGGCTTCTGGTTGTGTGCGAACAAAGCGGAATAGAAGAGTCTCCGAGGGTACGGAAACAACCATTAAAGCGAAATGTTGCCTGGCAGTCTTACCTCCAAAGTCAACAGTCTGGCTCGCAGTGTAGAGCACCCACAGACCGTTACAGCCATTGATACCGCTGAAAGACCCGTCAATGAGTGCGCGTAACCCATGTCGAAGTTCTGACACTTGCCCGTGGGGCGCGACTCCATTGGCTATAAACAACGCAGAGCGCTCGCGCTCATTTGGAGCTCGAATTCCGGGAAGATCCGTAATACAAAGTCCTGTGAGCGGGGTCCAGTTCGGCATCGATTCCACATACGTGAACTGATTCATGGTAGGATAGTTGCTCGTATATGAGTATTCTGTTGGCCAGGCGCCAACCTTGCACAACAGCCCATCGTTCCCGGCGGCCCCTGCCATGAGCACGTCTGGATAAGACTGTGAAAACTCAGAATTGTCAACACTGACGCAGGCAAATGCCTTGTCGATTCGATAGGGCCATTCGCCTGCATCATCCATGTCTACTGCTCCTGCCGGCCCCTGTTCCGCGTACATGACTCGGCCATCTTCTCGCGCAATGTAGAAGGACTCCTTCGGGAAATCAGGGTTTCGGGTGGTCCTGTCCCATTGCACCCATTGCGGCCGGTGTGTGCTGTCGCCAGGATGGAGTGACGGTAGTATATGACTGGGGATTGGGATTGCCGTTCGTTGTGGAGCACCGGACAGTACGTCCTTGTAAGCGGAGATGTGTGTATCGAAGACTAACAAGAAATCAGGGCTTCGCTTAAGAGGAATTAGTAAAGACGGGTTCTGATCATCTGAAACTGTTAGTCTGATTTGCGAATTTGGTCAAAGTTCGGTCGCCCACGCACCCAAATCCACTGCTACTCGTTCTGTGCGTGCGGTCGCTGTGCTGAGATCATACCTGCAATCCCAGTCAAAGCAGGTCAGTTTCGTCCAGCCTTGATGCACAACGATGAACAGAAGAACCACATGATGATCATCCTTGCCGAGGGACGAAGAGAGGAATTCCATGTGCATTATGCGGCCCTCGATTGGAATGATGCGTTCGTCTTCGATTGGAGTTGTATCGGCGCCAGTTCGGAACTCATCACGCCACAGATGCATAGACTTTGTTTTGTACAGCAGGAACCGCCCTTCAAAGGCAGCCACAGCTATGGCGCGACGCTTTGGATCTATGGCGAGGTATTGTCCGAGGCGATCGAAACGGGAAGACCCCGCGGGAAGTTTGATGGTCTTGTGTCGGAAGACAGATTGCACTGTTGCACTGTGCTGAGCCCATAAGAACATCAATGTCCGCGATGTAAGGGTAAGAACGATGACTTCTGGGGGCAAGTGCTGATCGCCATGCTCTGTGGCCGACAGTCTGCTTCTTTGCAACGTGGTCTTCTTTGGAAGGGGGCTGCCTAAGCTTGTGTTGATGCGAACCTCGCGAGGGTCGCCAAAGACTCGGGCTGTGAGAACACGGCCATTGAGGTTTGACCTGGCAGCGACACGGCGAAGTCGACCGTGATCACATATCTCGTTCAGCTGTATTGAGTCTTCACCTACAAGCACAATGTCGTTGAGGTCCTTGTGACGTATGTTTGCGGGGAGGATGAATTTGAAAAGAGGACTGGGGAACAATGTTCTCGACAAAACGCCGTAGCCAGGCACATGCGGGTGAGGGGCAGGCTTGACGAGCGGTTCCCGCATCTCGATGTCATGCTGCTGCGCGCGTGCCATGATCTGATAGACGTCAAGCGGTCTCGACACCCATTCATTATTGACAAGTACCAGGCCCTGGACCTGATGGTTCATGGCGGGACTTGCTCCCAGCGACCCCAAAGGGTCTGGTCAAGGATAGCGTTTGCGGGGGTTCGCACCGTGACGCTAGACGGCGGGCGACAGCAGGGCAGCAGAGACAGCGGGCCAGTGAGAGTTTTGCGGGGGGTGAAGAAACGGGCAAACGGGCAAGAGAGGCGCTGGTCAGTGATGAACGAGGCCTTGACAACACAGGCCAATATAACAGGGCGGCTACATGCCTCTGCAGAACGGCACAAGACGGCAGCGGCGCAGATGTCAGGCGAGAGATCGATGCTAGAGGCCGACGGATCTCGATAGCGAGATCATGCAGGGGATCGATAGCACGATCTCGGTGAGCTGGCGGCCTAGATTGGCGGGTTTGGGCGACCGGCCGTGGGTGCAGTCCATGCAAGATCTGGCTAGGGCGCGTCCGGGAGGGGAGCTGGGGGCGAAGACGGCGGTGTTGCTGGTTCGGTGCCGTGGCTCCCTGCATGCACAGTGGGGAGGGTGGGCGCGGACGGGCGGGGCGCCTGCAGCGCTGCAGAATCAGTACAGGCGTGCAGGCTGCAGTGCGGCGCCTCGAGGTGCAGAGGGTGCAGACTCTGCAGACTCTGCAGCCTGTGCAGACTGAGCGGCGCACTCGAGCTGGCCGTGGGCGCAGGGCCGGCGTCTCGAAGGGCAGAGGGGCAGCGCTGCCTGGACACACTGAGCTGACACAGGTACCTCCAGCATGCAGGTGGGCGGGCGGTGGCAGGGCACGTGACATGGACGCGGGGTCTCGCCTCAAGGCTAGCTCGCCTCGCGGGCAGGTCGCGGTTTCGCGTCGACGTGGGGCGGGGCGCGTCACGTCGGCCACGTCCACCGACATGTAGGAGACCTGGGCATGGCTTCTCGCAGCCCCTCCCCCTCCGCCCTCTCGCCGGCCCTCGAGGCCAAGCGCGCCCTGGTCGCCACGGCCTGCGCGGCGCGCGACGTCGCGGCGCTGGTGGAACTGGCGGCGAGCACCCACGGCCTGCTGAGCGACAGCCTGCGGCGCACCGCCTGGCCGCTGCTGCTTGGGTGCGCAGACGCGCAGCCCCCCGAGACGCCGTGGCAGGACCTGGCCGCCCACGCCGAAGAAGCCCAGGTCGACCTCGACGTCAACAGGGCCTTTGTCTACTACCCGCCCGACTCAAAACCAGAGCTCGCCCGCCGCAAGCAGGAGCTGTCCGCCGTCATCCTCGACGTGCTGCGCCGCCACCCCGCCCTGTCGTACTTCCAGGGCTACCATGACATCGTGCAGGTCGTCTACCTCGTCCTTGGCCCCCGCGCCGCCGCGCCCGCCGCCGCCCGCCTGAGCCTGCTGCGCATCCGCGACTTCATGCTCTCGTCCATTGAGCCGGCCATCGCCCAGCTCGAGCTGCTGCGGCCCCTGCTGCGCGCCGCTGACCCGGAGCTGTACGCCCACCTGCCCGAGAGCTCCGCGACCTTTGCCCTGGCCGGCACCATCACCATGTTCGCCCACAACATACAAGAGTACAGGGACATTACGCGCCTGTTCGACTTCTTCCTGACCCAACACACCGTCATGCCTCTGTACTTCTTCGCCGCCGTGGCCCTCTCCCGCCGGGACGAGCTGCTGGACATCCCCCACGAGGACGACGACATACTGCATGTCATGCTGAGCAAGCTGCCCGACCCCTTCGACATCGAGTTCCACATTGCGCGCGCCAAAGAGCTGTACGCGGCCCTGCCGCCCGATTCACTAGCCAGCTGGGAGTGGTGGCGCATCTCGTCGTCGAGCGTGCTCAAGACTTCAGCCACCCTCGCAGACATACAACGCCTGACACTCGAAGACGGCGAGCGCTACTTTGCTCAGCAAGAGAAAGAGGTCCGCAGACAGCAATACCAAAAGAACCTTCGCCGCCAAGTCACCAAGAGTATCAAGCACGCACGCCTGCGCGTATGGTACTACCGTCGCTATGGAGCCGTTGGGCTCGCCGTTCTTGTTGGTGCATATGCCCTCTGGCTTGGCAAGGACTTGAACCCAGACACATCGAAACCCCCTTTGTTTGGATATCTGAGCCGTATCGTGCAACGATTCGTTGCTAATTGAATTTGGCGTTTACAGCATGGCAGGCGGTGGACGGCGAGCCGGGAGTGCTACAAGGAACCTGCTCACCTGTCACTGTGGCGTTTACGAGAGCCACAAAAGATAATACTACCAGGAACACTATACCTACGTTACCCTAGAACACTTGTTAATTGAGTGAGCGCATAGACAGCAGCGTCATGACCATCCTCGATACACCTACGTAGTAGAGATATCACCAACGCACATCATCAGTCTTGACATAAAGTCTCCCTGTGATTACAATGCATCATGTATGGCATTACCCCAACCACCTATCTTTGTGGCGTAGACATGCCAATCCGCTTTCGAGCCTCCCGCTAGTGTGAACATGTCGTCTTGCCGACGATGCCACAAACTGTTTGAGGTGCCGAGCTCTCATCTTTGCTACTCTGTGCCACAGCACGAGATCTACGATCAAGTCAGCTCAGTGACGGCAAGGCGTGGGATCTGTACAAAAGACGCCACTCACTCTCATGACAATGCTGGGCCACTCAAGCACAGTAAGGTTCGAGCGAGGCGTTATTGTAATAGCACTTCCTGCCAGTGCAACAATATTCTTTGAGTAAGGCGTGATTGCTGCTGCACTTGAAGATACAGTCGTGATTGGCATCGCAGTAGCGCTCACCGACGACGCTGCAGTACGCTCCAAGCTTCGCATCATCTGTGAAAGCAGAGCGGACGCTCGGTGGCTTCAGGCCAATACCACATGCGGCCTTGCAACCAGCCTTGCCATTCTGAACCTCGCAGCAGCCAGGCTTGGCGCACTTGCGGGCAACGTCCCAGAAGCCGTGTTGGTTGCAGACCATGGAGACGTAGTTGGAAGCGTCGCACTGGGATGTTGCAGGAGTGCATTCGATCGGCTTGTCGCAGAATACGTTGCCCGCAGGACCGACATGGCAGGCACCCGCTGTGTAGCAGGTCTCAATGACCTTCCAGCCGTGACTGTCGCAGAGTAAGGCCAGAGTGTTCGTGTCGTCGCACTTGTTAGCACCAAGCGAGCAACCAACTGCAGCAGCGGCAAGGACTGTCGGCAGGGTCAACAGCATAAGGGCAACTCGGAAAGACTGCATGTTGAGACTGGTGGAGTAGCTTTCCTATGTTACTGAAGAAGTAGTGTTGAGGAGAATAAACACAGAGAAGTGTACGAAAGGGTGTACGGGAGGTGTAGTGAGCTTATTCAACAAAGAGGTCGAGGTAAGTGAACGCGCTGTGCGACAGCGTTCGTCGATGACGTAAAGGTCAGAAACGGAATGAGTGAGCGACGAGCGGTATAAGTTCTGCGCTCCACATGAACATCAGGATTAGGAGAGTGTAAGGCATTGCTAATCAGTAGCATAGCACAGCATCAAATTGAAGCTTGAGACAGAAAATATGTGATTGACACCATCGTGCGATTTGAAGCGCAAAGCGTTCAAGTAACAGATGTAGATGCACCTTTATCAATTTCAGAGCTGAACAAACCATTGTTAGGAATACTTGAGCTGTCCCGCAGCGTTTGAGCCATATCCCAGGTGCCTCATAACGCCATATGTATATTGCATCACAAGATGCGCTCAAAAATACAACCGGTAGCAAACGAAATTCGTCGTAAATCTTATGATGGACTTAGGCCGAGTTCGAGAAGTAGCTAGTGTCTGGAAGATCAAGACTTGCTCTCGGTGCCCGAATCGTATCCAGGGTTGTGTTTGACCTCGCTCATCAGATCGGCATTGTATAGTCTTTTGTAGTCTTGTTCGTTCCAGCTTTGCTGCTGAGCAAGAGCCCCAAGACTCAGGCCCCTCGATCGCGTTTTCTTCAAGGAATCGCCACGGCTCAAGCCGACCCCGCTGTAGTCAGGTACAACACCTTGACCAGGCGCAGGGAACGGGGATGTTTGTGGTGGGGAAGCGACAGTAGAGAGGCCGGTAATATTGTCGGAAGGTTCCCCGTTCGCGGGTAGGTCTGAAGAGGCAGAACTCTGTACATGTGCCAATCGTAGAGCCCGTTCGTAGTTGGCGGAGCTTGCACGTATCATATCAGGTCGTCGGTATGCTTTGCGTGCTTCATCGGCGATTACGGATTGATCCGGTGCCGCAGACTCTGTCTGCCTAGTCGCATTTTCAAAGAAGATGGCTTCGGCTTCGGAGCGTGTGTTCGGTGTGAGGCCAGACGGTGTTGGGTCTCCAAATCCAGTATCGGGCTGCGGAAGGCCTAATGACGAAGTCATGGTCGGTTTACTGCGCCCGAGGTTGTCAGAATGTGTATGGATATATTAAGGCAAGGTTGAATCAAGTGATCGGTACAAACAAGTGCATGCTAGTTCTTGTTCTTTACAACGAAGCTGAGGCAACAGCTAGAAAAGAAATGACATGGATGGACTCCACTTCAGAACAAAAAAGATGCTGTACTTACGAGTTGTAATGAGAAAGCTAATGATCAGTCTCGTGATTAGACTCATTCGCGATGTGCCATCATGGTCTTTATTGCTATCGCATTCACCGTATGACAGCATCCTTGGCGACTGACGTCGGCCTGGACCCTGAACAACGGAGCTAGCAGCCCATTCGGGCAGTTCTCTCGGTGCTCAATCGGCGATTCAACCCGATTCACGCGACCGCAACGGCTAACTCGCAGCGATCCATGTACGATGATAAGTGTTGTACTGTCGAGGCGCCTAAGTTGCGCTAGGAGTGGTGAAGATTGGCGAAGTGGATTGTTCGACCCGCACTCGAGTCGTATTCAGGTGTTCTACTGTAAGTTGAACGTGCCATCGTTCTAGGAGGCAAAGGGTCCAAAACAATTACTGTGTTTGGGGATCACCATGCGCAAAGTCGCCCTACCTACCTCGAAAGTCTGACGTAGGTGGTATTAGGCAGTGGATTCAAAGCTCCAATGTGACACACAAAGTACCCGACAATATGGACAGCCATGTTCAGAAGGATCCATCGGAGCTCGTACTCGGTCCAGACTCAACCAAATGTATCTTTCTGATGTCAGCGTGCGCCAACCTCCTTAATCCTCCTCGTCATTTGACTTCCTCGCATCTGAGTCCTGTCACTCTGCCATGCTGATTCTAAGGTATTCACCCAGCACCAGTTACGGTGTATCAAACAAGGGATGGTTACTTGAGACGTGTGCGACATGAACTCCAGGATCGACAGTGCTGGAATGTCGCTACAGGGACCAGGATCTGATGGGCTTGCTTCAAGTAATTGACTGCAATCAGTGCATGGGTTCTGCGAAATATTGGAGCAGAAATGAAAGGGCAAATCCTACGAACATCGAGTACGAAGATAGAAGACAGAAGGTGTTTAGGCAAATGTCCAAACTGATTTAGGAAATTAGATGACGCACAACAGTTCGCAATATCGATGGGAGGGGGCAATACCTATGTAAGCCTGCTCAACAACTAGCGCATGCTCGTACTTAGAATAGAGGAGAACTTTGTACCTCTAATGCTGGATATGCAGCCCTATCGGCATCCGCTACCACACATTTCCACATGCATTCCAACGCGATGTGCTGTTCATCATTCTAACATCTCTTCATGCCGTCTTCTCATGGACTTTGTAAGACGTCGACTACCTCCATCCACAGCCCGCACTTTATTCTAGCCCAATAGTGCTTCGGAAACTCGGCTGAAACAACGCAACAGAGACAGATACTCCGCTGCAAATTGCGGCGGCTCACGCCCCACTGGAACTTCACCGCACGCGCCTTACTGTTTCAATGGTTCTGGAAAAACCTTCTTTCCACGTAGTATGATGTCGAATGTCCTCGTTGTTCGCTGGAGCGAGCCGAATTGCACGGGGACACGCATCACTCCAACGAGCCAACCGCATACTTGCATTGCCTATAAGTATGAGAGCTCAGGGCTTGGGCCGCCATATGAGGGTCAGCAGCAAGGGCCCTGGGGGGGACTACGGGTGCCGTGGTAATGCAGGTGGTATCAGGGTGCGAATGAACCGTGGATTCGATTCGTAAGGTACATTAAATGACTTTGCGTAGAAGCTGGTCGACAATCGGAAGGAGGTGTACAATAACTCCTGTCGTGACAGATAATGAAATGAGGAGTGGCTATGATGATCTCTCGCTTTTCTCGCAACGCCTGTATGTGCAATGATCGACCCAACCAATCCGTCCAGCCTGTGTGTTCACCGACCCAACCCAATACAAGACACCAAAGTCAAACCAAGTCTTCTTCCCACCCACGTTCCTCAATCGGTGTAAGCTCACCGTCTTCCATCTTGCGAGGTAGGATGGCTTTCTAAGCCTTCTGTTTTTTCGCAAGGTAGTATGTGAGAAGATTGAGCTGCTGCTCTCCAGCACCAGCGACAGCCTCCCAAAATGCTTTTGTCTCGCCACCGGGCCCGACGATCCGCTCGTGTAGTGCAACGCACAAGTCGATGTTCGCTTTCCTGATATCCGGATCCTGGTCCTCCATGCACCTGACCGCCAGCTTGCCTAAGCGGTGTGTCTGCTCTTGGGTGAGAATGACGCTCTTGCTGCCTGAAATCTCGACAAGGCTAGCTAGGGTACGCAGAGACATCGTCATGGTGCGCGTGTTGTTTGTTGCAGAGGTGGATAGAGATGATGGCTTGGAGTTGGGAGAGGAAGTGGGTGTTGAAGCGGGCATATCTTCGAAAAGGGAAAGCACGGCGTTAAGGCAGTCCGAGACTTGGCCATAACGGACGATCTCGTTCGCTGTGGCTTCCATGTCGCCTGCAATGTGCGAAGTGTTCTCGTGCTGGGCTTTGGCCTGCAAAATAGTGCAGAGAACTCGTGAGAAGTACTTGGCCGTCTCCTTGCGGTACAGAGAGAGCATCGCACGTATTGTTGCGAGAGCCTGGCTCTTGCAAGAGCTAGCCTTCATGGCAGTGAGTTTGAGCTCTTCGGTCGGGGTTTGGAAATAGTCAAGGCACGCGACGAGTAGTCTGCCGAACACCTCATCGTTTGTACCCCAGATCTCCTGGCCGGACTTGATCGCATCCTGGATTTTGCGGAACATACCAGCATCAACAGTACGTCCATCAATCTTCTTGATGGCACTGGCAAGCAGTTGCCTGTTCTTCAGAGTCTCGGGGCTGTTTGCATCGTTGTTCTCAGTGTGCATCACACTGCCCATACTTGTAGTCTTGTGGTGGCCTCGATTATGTTCCTCCGTGCTGGTCTCCATCATAACATTGTCGCTGTTGCTGTCGATACTGGGTTGCCGCTCATTGCTCCTCTCGTTGATGGGAAGCTCCCCGAGCACGGGCGTGTCCACCTCTTGATCTGCAGTCAATGGCTCGTCACCCGCGACCGGGTCTTCGTATACCTCGACTTCCTCTGGTGCAGCCCGTTCTTGTGACTTCTGTTGTGGACTTTGCGCGGGCAACGCGCTTGGGCTCAGCGCCGCAGCCGCTCGTGGACCTGGTACCGATAATCGACCTCCAAAAGGGCTATGCTTGGGAGGCGTGCTCTGCACTCTTTGTGTCGTTGGCCGCGCAAGATTAGGCACTACCATTGTGAAGTTGTCCTCATCTATATCGATTGCATTGCTATCGATCGAGGCACGTGCATCCATACCGTTTCTTTGTCGAAATGGCGCAGTGCCGTCATGATGACTTTGAGACCGTATGAATGGCTTGACCATGGTCAAATCCTCGTCTTTGTGGGGGCTGGCTGCCGGACTCGCTCTTGGTGAGCCCATACTTGGATTTTTTCTGTGACCTATGGCACGCCCAGTGTCGACCCTCGACTTGCTACGCATGGGGCTGGCAGCAGGGCTGTGCTGCGTTTGTGGCCGCGATCGAGCTGCGCTTGAGGTTGGGGGACCGACAGATTTCTTTAATGACTTCACGGCCGGCGTTCTCTCTGGACTTGTGATAGTTGATGGAGCGATTTTGGTCTGTCGCGCCGCGTAAGGGTCTGCTGTTTTGGGCCTATTTAACTCAGGACGACGAATCGGCCGCCGTACTGTACCACTCATTAGTGAACCTGTCCCGGTTGAACTTTTGAGAGCCGACTTTGTAGACTCGCCAGACATGGCCGAAGGTGGTCGGGCAGGAGCATTGGACGCCGCAGGAGTGTTAGACGTAGTCCTCGCACCTGCGCCCAACGATTTAGTCGATAGCGACCTTGGAGTCTCGTAACTTGCTGCAGCAGAACTAGGTCGATCGATAGCACCCTTAGAGGCTGCCAACTTCGCCCTTCGTTGCTCTGCGATCTTTTCCTTTAGGCTTGTCCGTGCAGCACTTGGGCCGATGGACTTCGAGAACGATGATGTCATACTGGTCTGCGAAGACGCGAGCGAGGAGGGATTAGGATTGTTCGGATCCCTATCAAGACCTGTCTTCTCTCGCTTCTCGAGGGTCTCATACATACTGCATCAGTTAGCGAATACTCTCGAGACCATGCCGGGGGAGACTTACGCGTTGGCCCTTTGAGCCCAAATCAGAGAAAAGGTCCAGTAGGTGCTTCGATAGGCTTCGCGCACCTTGGGGTTAGCGTCTGTCAGGCCCTTTTTCAGAATCTTGTCGAAGCTGTCCAGTGCTCCCGAGTGTTCGATGTGCGATTTGTGCTTGCGGATGAGCGTCTTCACCCAGCCGGCAGAGAAGCAACGGGGCTGGACGTTCTTGTCCTGCGAGGCGAACTGGACATGCTGCAGGATGCGGTTGTTGTACGAGACGTTGGAGAGAAGGGCGTCGACCGTCACGTTTCCGTTCTGAGCGGCGATATTCTTGGTGGCGGCGCACATCTTGATGAAGGACTGCAGCAGGATCTCGACCCAAGGGTCGATGGCCGGGCCAATGGTAATGGCCAGCTCCTGCACGAACTGGCAGCCGTTGGTGGACATGGTGGTGCGCAGGCTGTTGGCGACCTTGAGGACGCCGTCCAGCAGTGACTTGACGCCGACCATGAAGGCGGCGTGGAATTCGGTCGGGGCATTGCCCTTGAGGATGCGGCGCAGCTTCAGTGTGTTCTTGTCGCGGCCGATCCAGTTCTGTTCGCTCTCACGGCCCTCGAACGGCGGGGCCATGTCGCGGAACATGTCTTCCAGCTCGCGCAGCGTGTAGATGTGGATGGGCTCCATGGAGACGGTCTCGGCGGGCGGCGGCTGCTCGACGGCCAGGCTGTCGGCAAAGGCGGCGTCGGACGGCTGCGCCTTTGCCCTCGCGGTGGGCAGGGCGCGCTCGCGGACCGGGGCGGCGGCGGGGGCTGGGGCGGGCTCGGCGTGGTCGTCGTCCAGGGCGGCGTCGTCCAGCTGAGCGGTGATGAAGGTCACGGTCGCCTTGCGCACGCCGTGAGCGGCCAGCTGCTTCTTCAGGTTGACCTGGGCGCCGGCGGGGGCGGTCCTGCGGGCGGTCAGTAGGTGGGGGCAGGCATCACGGACGGCAGGACGCACTGGAACAGGGCCACAATGGCCGTCTTGGCGACGTTGCGCACCTCGGGGTCGGCGTCCTCCAGGTTTGCGACCAGCGGAGTGACGTAGCTCTTAAAGGGCAGGCCGTGGGCCTTGTTCATCTTGACGACCCAGGTCATGGCCGTTTCGCGCGCGCGCGGGTTGGACCCGTTGATGGCGGCGTGGATGCCCTCGTCGATGTCGGGATGCCAGCACTCGTGCAGCTCGGCCAGCAGAACCGACGCGGCGCTGCGGTGGGCTTCGCGCGCATTGCCCAGGTGGTCCAGCAGCAGCGGGCACAGCGACCCGGCGGCGGCGGCCAGCGCGGGCGTCTCGTTCTGCAGCACCAGCCGCTTAGTCAGATGGCTGAGCGTCGAGAAGCCGGCCGTGACGAGCTGTGCCGACGTCTGCGCGCTGACGGCGATGCGGATGCATTCGAGGACTGCGGGCTGGCAGCTTTCGGGCACGCGCTGGTGCTTGATACTGGATTTGAGGCTGCCGAACAGCTCCAGGCGTTTGTCGACGTTGGTCGACGGCTTCTTCAGCGCCGCGAGCAGCGCGGCCGTCTGCTCCTCCATAGTGAGGCTCGGGTGGTGTGGTGGGAGGTGTTCAGCGGGGCATGGCCGGGCGCGGTGGCTCTGCGTGGTGTTTTCACCGTCGTCAACAAACACCGCATCCCAGCCGTCCGCTTCGCCGCTAGCGCCCGCCCCATCGCCCACGCAACCGTGCCCCCGCCCCGCCATGGTTCGCCACGCCTGTACATACATACATACGCATCCACAGTGCTGCTGCTGGCCACTGCTGCATGCACAACAGACAGCGCCACCTCCACCATCACCTCCACCACCGCCACCATAATAGCTACAGCAAAAACAACAACAAAAAACAACAACAACAACAATATCAAAAATAACAACAACGGTGTGCGCGCCTGAAACACGTCACAGCAGACAGGCAGCCCCTGACGCCTTCTTGGAACCACAAGAGCCCAATGCGCTACACGGCAGTGTTGCACGCGGCGGGGCCCAACTGTTTCGATACCAGGCGGTTGGCTGACTCAGCATGTGGCGCATGCAGACCTCACATATCACAGACGCATCACGTGCAATTCGACACCTCCAATTCATCACGTGCATCATGACATCGCCTAACGAGTGACGGGTTTTATTCAGACAAGCACCACTGCCAGCAGGCCAGCTTACTCTATGTTCTGCGCGTTCCTCTCGTCCCACACGCTCAAGGCTTCCTCGGCAGCCTTCACGCCGCTGAGCGCCATTGCGCCGAAGGTAGGGCCCATGCGGTTTGCTCCGTCAACCTCGCTGAGCTCCATGCCGCCCACAATCAGACCAGGCACAATCTCGCGAGTGCGCTTGACGATGGCGTCCTCCGCAGTGCGCATGTCGAGGCCGCGCATGCCGCCGAGCTTTTCAATCTGCTTCATACTGACTAAGCGCTTGACACTGAACGCGCCAAAGGGTCCGTCATGGCCAGTCGTCGAGATAACGAGGGGAGAGTTGATCGTGTTGGGGTCCATGCAGGACTGGTCTATGTGACGGTCAGCGCATGTCGCGTACATTTGGGTCGATCGAAACTTGCCGTCATGGTGCATGGACACCAAAGTCCAGTTAGTGACCACACCCGCAATCCGCACAGCGTTGGGGTCTGCAGCAGTCGGAGCAGGGCGAGTGATCAAGTCCTCCACTGTCGTAGCGTTGAAGAGCTTGACGTTGGGGAATTGAAGCACCTTGCTCAAGAGTGTCGAGGTGAACAACGCCGCGTGCTTGACAGTGACCCAGTCGCCATCGTCGTCATACTGGACGCCGAGCTCATTGAGGAACAGGTGAGCAGGCTTGCGCATGATCATGGCGCTGAACAGCTGGCCGCCAAGCCATGCGCCTCCACCGGGAGCGACACCGGCTTCAATGATGGCAATCTTAAGGTCGGGGCGCTTTGAAGCGAGCACGAACGCGGCAGAAAGACCACATGATCCAGCACCGACAATGACTATGTCAGACTCGGCGTACGTGTCAAGGTCCTTGAAGTAGCGACGGGCTATAGCACGTCAGTCTCATTCGCAAGCAAGATTCTCACAAACATAGACATACTCATGGCCCTAGAGACCTGGCTCTCACGGATGGGGGCGAAGGTAAAGTTGTCCCAATTCTTCTCAAGGTCGGCCACTGTCTTTGCTTGAGTATCCGGGCCGGCAGCAACAGCCTTGACGGCGAGAGTCTTCTTGACGTCTAGTCCATTGCCGAGGACGGCAGAGGCAGGAGACTCAAAGATGGCAGCGGGGGGAGACATGGTGTCAGAGCGATTGATCACGGATTGATATCTGCACAATGTCAAGGGTGTTCTTTGCAAAGGGGCAAGCATGAGTCCTTTCGCTGGTATTATCCAGATCAAGTTGAAACCGTATAATCTCAGAACGAGTCCAAAGCCCTCTGCCTTTCCATCCCATCATCCTCGTGGGGCATGACGGGAGCAGCAGAAGTCTTGCGGAAACGAACACCGGTTCATGCAGTATACTTATCGTTGTTCAGTATACTTTGCATTGAAAGTACCTTGATGAGAAGAGGATAACGCCGGCTGGCGGACAGCATCTTGCATGGCGGCTGCCATACTTGAAGTGAATACCTGCATGATGGTTAGCAAGTTACCTAGATCGTCAGAATGGCTGAGTGAAAAGTACGGTTGGTAATTCGAACAGATCTGAGGACTGGTCAGGAAAGAGGGGAGAAGCGGTGGTGGTTAAATAGAAGTTCATGACCCACGTGTTGCGTCCATGTTTAACCATGGCCATCCGTCAGAGTGGGGTAGTTGCTGCTCACTACTGCAGCTGCGCTCTTTGATCCCCAACGGACCCGCTGCGACCCGTGTTTACCAACGTCTTATTTGATGTCTTGATGTACGCTGATGTAGAGATGTGCAAACATGTAATGCTTAGTGGATTTCTCGGGTTGCCCGTTCCGTCCAATACATGTGCTGTCATGGATCAGAGCTTGAGCATCTGATAGGCTCAATCAGACTCCATCTTGGGCGCATCTCTTGGACAGCCTCGGTGCTTTCTCCGGTCCACGAGCTGGAGGGATACTCATGGGTCCCGTTATGTCATATAGATTGCCTTCAGATCGGCGAGGAGCCAGGCTCTCTCGTTGCAGGACCAAGGGCGGCCTACTGAGTGAGGATGTGAGACATGTATTCCACCACGCAACAGCACAGTACCTGGGTAGGTGCAAGAAAACTCTATAGGTGTCTATTTTGCACACAATATAGGCAACGCTTAAGTTAACTATAGCTTTAGAGACTATGATAGCTCCAAGTTCTGTGTCAAGGTTGGTCAGCTTGAAGGCTCGCTTATCTGCCGTTTTGCCTGAAACGTGAGAGCCAGGGCTGTGGTTGATGTGCATCGTTCTAAAACGCAATTCATCCCTCAGGATCGACGGCTGTGGAGCTCACGCAATTGCTCCAAGTTACAGGACCAGCCATGTTGACACGCGCGAGGGCGATTGCTGTGATTTAAGAGGCTGGCTCTCGCTGCGTGTGAGACGAGACACAGCTGTGTGGCCGTGTGGCCGTGTGGACGCTGGACAGGCGTTGTCAGGCGGATGGCAGACACGTGTAGAGTTGCGCAGCGTCTGAAACATGGCTTATTTGCGCGCAGGATGCACCGCTGGCCGGCGCACCGATGCATCTGACGGTGACAGACATGTGTCAGCCGGCCGCGTACCTGCATTGTGCACTGTCGACGAGCGCAGCAATTGCGTTGGTGCAGGGCGCGCGGTGCCTTGTTGCCTGGGCCTTGTTGCCGGCGGCCATGCAGCCATGTCGCAGAGACGGGCGGCTCACAGGATGGCGACGCTAGCACCGCATCGGGCCTGGGCGCTACAGCCGTCGCAGGATTCGCGGCCAGGCGAGCTGAAATCGCTGGCCAGCACCAGACGGCGAGGCCAGGGTCCGCTAGTCTCGCCTCAAGCTACATCGCCAACCTCAGTGCGAGCCGCTGCCTCTGCCTCGTCGCCGCCGCGCGTGCCTGCTGTCGCTGCTGTCGCTGTGTCACTGCTGTCACTGCTGTCGTCGCTGTCGCTGACGCCATGCCCGCTGCTGCCGGCCTGCGCTGATTGTTTGCCCCTTCACCTCTGCGCCGTGCTGCCCGTCGCCGTCGCCATCGCCCGCTGAGCCCGCCCGGCCGCATCGCCAGCCCTCACCACCACCCCGCCCGTTCGCTCGCCCCGCTGCGCCCGCCCGCGCCCGCCCGCCATGGACTCGCCCGGCGGCTACCCCGAGTCGCTGCTCGACCAGGACGGCGACCAGGACGATGTCGTGTACCCGTGCAAGGGGTGCGGAGAGGTGAGGCCCGCCCGCGCACGCCTGCCCCGCGTGCCTGCTCCGCGAGCCAGCGCCTGCTAACGCTGCCAGATCCTGGAAGAGGGCAAAGCCTTCGAGCTCGGTACGCTGCCCCTCCCCTGCGCGGCCCCGCGCCCGCCGTGAGCTGCACTGAGTGAGCTGTACTGACCTCGCCCAGCGGGCAACCGATGGCACATCGACTGTTTTCGCTGCAACACGTGCGGCACGCTGCTGGACTCGGACGCCAACCTGCTGCTGCTCGGCGACGGCTCGCTGATCTGCAACAACTGCACGTACAGCTGCAACCACTGCGGCAACAAGATCGAAGACCTCGCCATCCTGACCGGCGACCAGGCCTTCTGCGCCAACTGCTTCCGCTGCCGCAACTGCAAGCGCAAGATCGAGAACCTGCGCTATGCACGCACCTCGCAGGGCATCTTCTGCATGTCCTGCCACGAGTCGCTGATGGCCCGCCGCCGCAAGAAATCCAAAAAGCCCCCCGCCCCGGCCGCCCCCAAGGTCGACAAGTCGCTGCCCGCCCTGCCGCCGCAGTTCGAGGACCGCGGCGCCTTCACCCCCGACGTCGACACCCCGTCCGATGTCTTCTCCGAGCCCGCCACCGCCGACGCGTCGCCGCGCCCGCCCCAGCCGCGCAGGGGTGACTCGTCGGCCAACTTCCGGCGCGATGCGTCTCCTTCCGCGAGCGACGCCCCGAGACGAGGTACGCATTCATTCTCCGTGTATCTCGCAGACGCTGACCAGTGCAATGCCGTAGACAATATCCTTCTCCCGGCCACCACGTACAACAAGGAGCACAAACACAGCGAGTCCGACGCCGGCGACGACGGCATTCTGCTTCCTTTTGCCCTCGATCCCAACCCGGCGCCCGGGCCCTCTCCCCTGAGCCGCGCAAGCAGGCAGTTCCCCGACCGAACGGTAGGCTCTGGGTCAACACCAGGCGACGGCAAGACAGGTCGCGACTACTTCAACAGGCCCACAATCGATCCCCGCGACAAGCTGAAGGAGAACGACTCCAGGTCTGGATCGACTGAGCGGCCCACCCCCACCAGCCCGCACATTGCCTTCCAGGAGAAGGGGCGACAGCCATCGGACCACATCGTCAACACCCTCAGGAAGCAGTGGGATACGTCAAGTGACTCCACGTCGCTCAACGAGCGATCTCGAAGTCAGCATGCTTCTCCGGCTCCTGTCTCGACGACAGATCCCTTCAAACTGCAAGAGGTACCAAAAAACAAGAAGGCAGACGCCAGACGCAAGGATTCGGACAGCAGCGACTCTCCACCACGACGCGGGTCGCTGGGCGCCGAGATGTCGTCGAGGCTGAGCCGACCCATGATTGAGCCCACGTTCACGTCGTCGCCACCGATTGGGACTGAGGAGTCGCCTGAAACTGCCTCTGGGTCGTCCTTCAGCTCGACCCAACGCGTCGAACGTCCGGCACGTGGAGACTCACTGAGACCCTCAGGCTCGACTCAGCTTGGCGATAGATCCGCCCATTCACCGACGACTCCCACCTTGGAGCACCCTAAGCGAACTTCTTCTACCCATGGTGCTCCAGCTCATGTCAGCACTGGCCTCGGTATTAGCAGTCCTATGGAGTCCGCGAAAGCCTTCTCCGACGTGCCTGTACCCCCGGCCCGTTCGGCGGATAGACGACCGCCACCATCTGCTGACACGTTCACATCACCTCGTGCCCCGCCCCATCCACCAAGCGCACACAAAACCAACGAGTCTATCAGTAGTCTACCTAGTGAGAGTTCACGAGACGCGTATGCGACCGCCAGCGGCTTGCCTCGCTACAGCGCGCAGGGTGATTTCTCAATGGACGAGGACTTTGCTCGTCTTCTCGGATCCCAGGAGAAGGACGAAAAGGAGAGCGGTGTCTTCCGTCGCGTCTCGAATGCCGTTCATAAACACGGACGTAGTCTAAGTGAGCGCGGCTCGACCACTTCGAGAGGCGGTCACAAGAAGTGGCCTACAAATGGATCCATCGATATCAGCAGCCCTACGATCGCCTCACCCGATTCTAGAGAGGAGAGTGTCAATCTACGCAACGAGCTACGCCGCGCCCAGCAGCGTATCGCAGAGCTCGAAGCCGAGAAGAACGGCCTACAAGAGTCCATGCACAGCGCAGCAGACATCAAGCAAGCAAACACCGTCCTCCGCGAGAAACGCAACACAATGGCCGTCCTCGATACGCAGCGTGAAATGGTGATTCGCGAGCTTGAGATCATGACTGAGCATCTCAAACACGCCAAAGAGAGCAACGGCTCAATGGACATTAACCAGCTCAAGTCAGATATCCTCAAAGACTTTGCTAACTCCTTGCACAAGCTCAAGGATCAGCTTGGTGGTCAAATCGAAGACCTGATCTCTAAGCGCGCTGAGCTTACTGACGAAATCTCAAATCTGATTCAGATGAAGGACAAGGGCTTCCAGGAATATGAGTCTCTCACCGCCCAAAACGCCAAGCTTTCTGCAATGAATAGGGAGCTTGTTGAGAACATCCAGAAGACGATGAATACTAAGAAGGGCGCAGCACCTTTTGATGCTGCCTCAAACGGCCTTGGAATCTACAACGCCCAGCACAAGGGCGGCAAGTCGGAGCTCTCCCTTGATTCTCACAGTCTGCCGCATGAGCAATCGTTCCCACACATCCACGATGGAGACAGCGAGGCGACCCTTGCACAACCTCAGGTCGTCAATATTCGGAAGACCGGAAAACCGACCAAGTTCTCCAAGTTCAAGAAAGGTGGTCAAGCCTTCACAACCAACGTGACCAAGGGGTTCAAGGGCGCATTCGGCTCAGAACAAAAACAAGAAGAGTACAAGGACATCAAGGTTATTGGAACGCCTTATGGCTCGATTCACCAGCAGCCAGACATCGCGTCCATGTCCAGCTCCCTGAAGAACAAGGACGATCAAACCCCCAAGAACTGGTTCGGCGGGAGTGGACCGAGGGGTCCTGTGGGCAGGCAGCCCAACGATCGGTTTAAACCTATGCAAGCGAATAACAGCAGCACCAACTTGGCTGCGGATGCTAGTACTTCTCTGTTTGGATCCGATCTGTCCGCTCGTTGCGACTTCGAGAAGCAGATGATTCCTGGAGTTGTCACCCGCTGCATTTCCGAGGTAGAACTCCGAGGTATGGATGTCGAAGGTGTGTACCGTAAGAGCGGAGGCAGCACACAGGTCAACCAAGTGCGCAATGGCTTCGAATCGAAGGAGGATTACGACATCTCCGACCCCGATCTTGATATCCACTCCATCACGTCAGCTCTGAAGAATTACTTCCGCAGGCTACCTGTGCCGTTGATTACGTTTGACGTGTACGATCAATTCTTGGAAGCTGGTCGTAAGTGAAACCCAAAGTTTGAGCCGGACCACACTGATTGCTCGTACAGAACTTGAAGATACCAAGGCACAGTCCAAGGCTTTGACGGAAGCTATCAAAGAGATTCCAAAAGCGCATCGCGATACATTGCAGTTCCTTGTGTTCCACTTATCGCGGGTCATTGAGCATCAAGAGGAAAATCTGGTATGCTCTCTTCCCTGACGTGTCTGTTGATCGTTACTGACTTGGCCCCAGATGACACCACTCAACCTTGCTGTCGTGTTCGCACCCACAATCATGCGGCCAATGGACATTCAGCGAGAGCTAAGTGATGTCCAACAGCAGCGCGTTGCCGTGCAAGCTTTATTGGAGAACTACAAGACTGTGTTTGGTGAAGAGTAAATGCTTTATCTACCAGTTCTTGACTCACATTTCTGTTCATAGTGCATTCCTACGCTCGAGTCTGTGAGCTGTGTAGGTACGGAATCAGATATCAACATCGGGCGTGCGGGAGGAAGCAGGCTTCTCCAGCGTACCAGATCATGGCGTTGCAGACTGCCGCTGGACTCGACTGCTTCTGTTGGATGCGCCCGGAACGTAGAAGATGCTGTCACGGACCTTTTAATTCATCGAGCGCCATGTCGACTTTAGCTACTTGTCTTTCCTGTCAAATACTTGCAACTCGCTAGCGCAGGTGTCTCTCAGCGACTTTCTTTGGACGGACCCCTTGGCTGGAGCCCGCATTCTCCACGCTTGCTCATTCTTGTAATATACGACGGTCGAAGGAAGACCTCTGTTCAAGAGTAGGCAGACACGAATTTCTACTGTACCCTCGAGGGTCGCTCTTTAGTTGCGTCTTGACTCTTGATCACGAGATAGCATGAACCATTGCAGCGTTGCATAAGAACATATGGCCTTCGCTGTTAATTTCCCGAAGCATGTGATCCAGAGGAGCCTGATGCACGCACAGAGCGGAAGCTTAAATGCTAGAAGCGTGGTAGATCAGCCGAAGAGAGCTCCCCGTTCCTGGGTGGGCTGCCAACGCTAAGCTACCTACGCGTAGATGACGTACTGTTTCGCGCTAACAACCCGGCCGACATGTGAGGGAGCTGCCAACTTCAGTATCGCACGATCGACTCCTCGCATTCTCTCATCAACACACCAACTGCTCGTCCCCATTTCCATCTCACTTTCGTGCAGACTCTACGTCTCTCCGTGCCCCACACATCATCATGTCTTACGCCGACGTTGCTGCTAGCGGTCCCAAGCAGAGCCCTGAGGAGGTTAGTGCATGTGAAAATCGTCTCCAAGCAAACACTAACGCACACGCAGGCGTGAGTTTCCAGCTCTTGCTCGTACCCGGTCCAGCGTGCTGACAGAATGTAGTCGCGCCCCTGCTGTTCCTGAGGTCGCGCATACGGAGGACTCCGTCTCTTCTCTTGTCGATGTAGACAGCCCACACATCTCCTCGGTACCCTCGGACTACGAGTCGCAATCCGTCAAAACCGACACTCAAGCCGCTCGCCAGGAGCGTGAGGCAGAAGTCAAGGATGCCGCTAAAGAAATTCGCGATAGCGCCGCTGCTAAGAAGGAGAAGGCCAAGGACAAGGCAAGGAAGAACGCCGATAACCCCGTCGTTCTGAGCAACGCTGTTGGTCTTGCCGTCGTCACTGCTGCTCTCGGCTTTGGCGCATACAGGAAGTACAGCCGCGGCGAGTTGACCGGCAAGGTGGTTGCGGCCTGGGCTGGTGTCGTTGGGTTGTTTGGTCTCGGGGATTACTACGTGAGCCAGTGAGTTCTACTACTTCGTGGCGAATGAAAACGGCTTCTAACATGGAACAGATACTTCTTCAAGCGCTACCCCCCTAAGAACTAGGCGCGTCGGTATGAGGAGCTCGCGAGGGCCACCGGCATGATGAGAGCGTCCACGCCCACGTGAGAATGACTTTCTACGAGTGCGATCCTGAACAACAACGTTAATTTCGTCTCTCACAGCACCGATGCTCCCTCTACGGTTGGGATTGGTTTGTAAGATCACAACATCTTCTTTTTGGTAGCAGTAATAGCAGGCGTATGATTCCCTACTCAGTCGGTGTACGCCAGGGTAGTTTGGTCTACTCTTGTATATACAGCATTATTCAATATACCCGTTCGGACGTGACCCTGGTGTCTGAAGTTGTGACTATGTATGCCCGCCTGTGATGAAGCGAACCTGTTATTCTTAGAGATCTCTACCGGAGCATTGTGTCAGAGCTAGATCAGAAAGCAAAATTCATGGGCTGATTGGCCCTGACATGTGCTAGTTCTACTGACAGCCGTCGTCGATGCACGACATCGCTTGCTGTTTGTTATGGCGACGATGGAGCCTAACAGAGCTACAACTACCTCCCGGTTTGGGACTGCCCCAGCTGCCACGCGCCTAATCGAGACGGAGGCAGAATCGCATCTCGATCGACATGGTTCGAGGAGCGTTCATTGCGGAGGCATGCGCTGGCTCTAGCGACTCAGCAACGTACACGAGCGTGCGGCTTGTAGCTCGCGTGATTGAGAAATGGGCGACTTGCGGAGTTGATTGGCTGTCGAACGCTGCTCCTGTGGTAAATTCAGCCCAATGAAAAATGACTTGTACTTTCATTGGTCCACAGCTCTCAACAGCACTCATATCTTACAAACATTCTTTTCGCCTGGCAAATTGACGAAGGCCTTGCGTTTCCGCTCAAGGTACGCGTCTCATGTTTCAGTGGCCATCGTGATCTGCCGCTGTTACAGGTACATGTGCCCGATCGTCAGGATCACTCTGGGCACCCCAGCAAATTTCCTCAGTGCACATTCCACGCCTGCAGCTCAATGCATGAATCCACTTCCAAGATGCGCATCCCAGCTTGCCGGATGCCCTCTGACATATGTCCGTTTCAAGCACTAAGCGCTATTACGCCGTGAGTGGCTGAACTTCGCCGCACGTCTTCGGCGCTTAGCATGCACTGCAGCCAATGAGTGGTCCCACATCCACTACCGCCATCAACCTAACGCTGCCGACTGGCGTTGCACGTTAACGACATTGCAATGCGTTCCTTCCATTGGATGTCTCAGAGTGGGCAACTATCGCAAGAGGCGTCGTTCATCTGTACCTAGGATGAATGTCGACCTGTCGCGTGGTGACCCGGGAGAAGTGCTGAAGGCTGGGACGACAAACCTGACTGAACCTGCGGACAGACGCACAAAGACCTTCTGGAACACAGACAACACATCAACTGCGGCTTGCTTCTAGTCTTCAATCCCTCTTACAGTGTCGCTTGTCGCTGCCTCTCGTCACTGTGTTTTTTCCTCATTCGTTCACTTTTGTCATTTTTCTGCAAGGCAAGACCCGCGGGCTATTTCATTGCCGCTTCGTTCGTTTTCAACAAGAGTGTGCGCCTCCTGGATTGAGATGGAATTTTAGCTGCCTGGTTTGCAGTATTCAGTAATATGGAGTCCCACAGTAGGAAGAATTCGTGGTTGACGATTGGAGTCAACGGATGCTGTGCATCGAGGGATGATGTTGCGTCTGAGAAGAAAGGGCACAATGGTATGTTTAACAGAACCCTTTCGTCATACAAACAACGCGACTCTCTAGCATTGCTACGACTGGACTGCTTGTCTCCCTTGTTATTCGACCTTACAGCTTCACCTTTGTGGAGGTACACCGGTTCGCCTTGCTGTCAAAGGTCCACAACTTGTGGAGCGGCACTACTGCCTTGCGTGTGTGCATCTAGAACCGAATGATTTAAAACCACCCCTCTCGTTTTTCTATTGCGACATCTTTGTTGCGCGTCCATAGCAGTACACTGACAACCTACCAGGCCGGTCAGCTGCGCGGATCTACGATCAGCCTCAAGCCATGCCTGTCTCCCCAACGAACCCTCTGGCGCCGCGACCAACAACCGGTCAAATGATGAGCCAACATATCTCGCAATGGGTCACAAGTAGTCGCGAATACGCTGCGAGAGCATCATCACGAGCAAGCCTGTCCACTCTCACCCGGCCAAAACAATCACATTCTCGACCCAGTATCAGCGCGCCTACCAACTTCCGACACTTTGATGGCTTTGATAGCGTGGAGTTCATGGTCACCGACGCACCGTCGAATAGCAGACGCCGCAGTTTTCGTCCTCTGCAGCTGTCAATATACGGTAGTGGCGGACACGGACAACTATCACCGCTCCCTAATTTCCATGAAGAGGACAGTTGGTCGCAGAAGCCATCACCGCTAAGCATGCCCGCGCCGGCGCGAGTTCGCGGAGGTGAATTGGCGTACCTCTCCAACCCATCGTCATACAGTATTCCAAGGAAGCCCGTTGGTTCTGGTTCGAGACGTGCCAGCGTGCAGAGCGTACAGAGTATGACGACCCACGAGAGGAGATTCTCAGGCTCGACGGTTGGTACAGTTGCCACACCTGCCTTGCCATCCTGGAGCGAAGAGCCGAAGGCCAGCGTCGAGTCGGTTGTTCGTGGCGCTGGGATGTTGCGACGCTCACGCACATCCGCATCAAATACTCCAGCCCGTGTCCTCTCTCGTCTCCCTTCACCTTCCCGCAATCGAGCCAACACCGCACCTTCAAGACCCGCCAGCCTCCGTCGAGCCAATACCGACGTTGACGAAGCTATTCGCGAGCTCAACACGATCGTGGAAGAGCGTCGTGCCTCAACCTACCGCTCTCAGATTCAGGCTCCCGCGCTCAACAACCGTATTCCTCCCTCTCCGTCTCATCACGTGCCACACTTTGCCCCCTCAATGCGCATGCATGTCCGCTCAGAAACCCTCTCAGACATTGGCTCCGCTTTTTCTGTCCCTCTCGTCAACAAGGCTCTCCCCAGCCCTCCTTCAGACTCAACTCCTGCTCTCCGCCGGGCACCAAATTTCTCCCTCTACCCGCCAGCGCGCAACTTCACCGGTCCATTGACTTCGAACCCCATCACCCCGCCTCCCCCCAAGACTGCCAGTTCAACGTCCACAACTTCGCTCCACCGTTTGAGCAACTGGCTGCGCCGTTCGTCATCGCGCCCCACCACGCCCAAGGCAAAGGATCTGACACCATTCTACAAAGTCGAAGTCGAAGTCCCAACTCTCCCCGTTCTTCCGTCGCGCGCCAGCACAGTGGAGAGCCGCACTACATACCACGTGCGCCAGGACTCGCAGGACTCGAACGACAGCACCGAGACCAGCGCTACCACGGTGACACTCGTATCAAGCTACTCGATGACGCGGTCGGCGAGTCCCGAGGAAGACCTGGACGCCGCCGCCCACGCGCGCGCAGACGTACTCAAGGGCAACGGGCGCCAGCGCCGCATCCCCGCGCCCCTCGTCTTCAACACAGGAGACAAGGACATTGAAGCCGCACTAGCCACCACCACAAGCACCCGCAGCACGCGAGGCCTCCGCGAGATGTGGCCTCCTGTGTCTCCGCACTCGCATATCCTGCCGGGCCAGGAGCTGTTCGCGAAAGAAGTCGGGCTGCACAGCGGCCGGAGATTTCCGCCCAGTCCGCACATGCATGTCAGCATGGTCGGCGTCGCATTCTAAGCGTTGGGATTCGTGCCGGCACACCCTCCTTGTCTGCGCCGCACCGCACGCCGCAGACACATCACTTTAGCTGTGACTTTGGTCACCCATATCATATAGCGTATTTATTCACTAGCCCAGGGCACATACCCTCCGCGTTCGCGGATGCCCGGGCGTATTTCAGTTCACTTCGATGGATATACCCCTTTCCGATGCCGACGCTAGGAGCGTCGATGTCGCTATTTTAGTTTTAGTAGTGCAAGACGAACGAATACAATAATCTTCCTCGACTTGTAAATTGCTAGCTGGCATGCGAATTTCATTGAACGGTAATTTTCATCGCTACGACGCCATAATATCGACAGCAGAAGACAGACCAACTCCAACATGTACAAAGTAAGGGTATATAACTGCCCACAAACGCATGTTGCAAACACAGTATACATGCAAATTGACGAAACAAGCATTCGTAATATGAACAGCACGCCTAACCTCAGTCTTGACCCCAGACATTGCGCTCTTCTCTGAAGCTACCGTAATTGGGACTAGGTCGGTCTTGGTGGGGTCTGTTCGCGGCGTCCGAGGCATCATCAGTGTTACTGTAGTCGCGGGTTTCCCAACGCTCGGCTTGCTCGTTAACAGGGGGCTTAAAGTCCTTGTCCCCATCCTCTTCATCGCTACCTACCCGGAATGGATAATCCAGGTTGTGAACGCGCTCAGGATTGTGCGCTTCAGGGACGTCAGGTTCGAAGCCCTCGCGAACCTCCTCAGCTTGGCCATCTTGAGGGTACGTGTGCACAAAGTGCTTGTTCTCCACTTCATTCCAGGCAGGGCCGCCTTCCTTGCGTGCACGGATGCGGTCGACCTCCTCGGCATCGTGATCCTCGACCACGAGGTCGACAAGTTGGCTCTTATCAGACTTCGTAGATGAAGCGGACGAAGACTTTTGGCGTAGCAAGTTGCCGACTACAGGAACTCGCGAGTGGCCATTGCTGGAAGAGTCACTCCGTTGTTTGCCTTTGTCGTGCTTACCTTTGTCGTCTTGAATCTTCTTGATCTGGCTCTTCCGTCTTCGTTTATTGTCGGCGGTAGGTTGAAGGAAGTTTCTGTTGGTTGAAGCAGTGATGATAGGAGGTTCTGTTGTGAAGCGGTCCTCGCGCCTAGCACGATGGGCCTCGATGACTGGGTACTGCGAATGCATCAGTATGACGTCGTTGACACAACGGTCATGACTTACATTCCAGTCGCCATACTCCAACGCACGTGCATTGTCGAAAAGTCTTTCATCTTCAGGCTCCAGCGTTGGCTCGTCAAATTCTTCTCGGGTGCCGTAATTGCTGCTCTCTAGCGCACGGCGCGGACCAGGACTCATGGCGCGGGCTCGACCATGGGAAACCTTGTTCAGAAGCGGTTCATGCTCGGATGCTTGGCCCGGCTTCGGTATCCAATACTTGCCCTTGCCGTTTCTCTCGTACCTCATGCCCTCCTTCATACGCGCGGCACGAGATGATGACTCTTCGTGAGCCAGGACGTTATCTCGCGCATCGAAGTGGCGGTAGTCGTACTTTTTGCCGGCAAAGGTGTCTTTGGTATCCTGGATAAGATCCAGAGGCCCGAAAGCATCACGTAAAGCATACTTGACGGGTAGACGGGCAGCTGAGATGGTGTTGTCGGCATAGTCGTGCCACGAGAAAGCGTACCAATGGGCCAGTGCGAAGAGTGGCATTTCGAAACAGATGAGGGCATCTTGGATGGCGGTAGCGAGATTGTCGACGCTGTAGCCCGGTACGTCGTTCGGGATGGCGCCCAGGTACACGAGGATGGAGAGAAAGAGGCCCTGCCAGTAGGATGCAAAGATGATGCCCTTGATGCACAAGAACTTGGGCATGGGTCGAAAAGGTTTCAGGTCGTCTGTCATGCACACCCAGAACATAGCAAGCGCATACAGACATACTGTGATGCTAACGTTGTAGATGAAGCTCTCCCAGAAGTAGCCAGAAGAGACGTCAATGTAACCCTCCTTGTAGACGCCGGTTGCCTTCATGATGACGCCGGCCAGGGCGAGTAAAGGCTTGACCCAGGTGTACTGGAGAATGCCGCGTTTGACAGCGAGGAAGGTGTGGGGATCGGAGATGTCGAGCTTGGGCAGCACCAAGTTCATGGGCCAGGGATGCGATACGGGGGCTCTGCCGGTCATTAGGATGATGAGAGCGCGCTCGCCGCCAATGAAGTTGATCAGGAGCTGCAGGAAGGTGTAGATGGTAAAGGCCTCGTAGATGTCGCGCAGAGGGTCGATGAAGGAGGCTGCCTGGACAGACATCAGACTGCCCCATGAGGCAGCAGCGTAGATGGGCACCCTAGGGGTTGTGAGTAGCGGTGAGATGGGGGAGGGGACGGGACGCGTACATGAGCAGGATGCGCACGACATATCGTTGCAGCAGCGGCTTGCGGTAGTTCTTGCTAGAGGGGTTCAGCAGGAGTGGAGGGCCGGGGGGCAGGAGCGTAGAAGGGCGAGGGGGAGGAGCGTAGGAATGCGGGAGGGCAGCCGAACAGGGCGAAAGCGCGAGGGCAGGAGCGAGGGCGAGATGGCAGGAGAACAAGAGCGCAGCAGGGCAGGAGCGCAGGAGAACAAGGCTACTCACGTCTGCAGCCATACAGCTCTGGCAACTACGTCAGTGGAAAAGCGACGACGATGGCGGCGCGACTCACATGAAGCTGACCAGGCTCGACACCAGAGCGCACACGCCGGCGACGATGATGACGGCATGGCCGAGCCGCTGGCCGGTGCCTCTGTCAACGCCGGCAGCCGTGGCCATGGTGGGCGGTGGTGGAGGTGGAGCGGCGGTGGAGCGGCAGTGGAGCGGCAGTGGAGCAGCGGGGCAGGCGACGCAGAGGGCGGACGGACAGAGGGTCAGCGACGGCGGGCAGCCATGGCAAGCAGGCAGGCCGTGAGCAGGCTGCGGGCGTTGGGGTGGGTGTCGTGTGGTCGTGTTGACGTGCACGGCTGCTGCCTCCACTACGTCGGCGTGGCGCAAGCTCCTCCGCGTTCGAGGCCATGACGCGCAGCGAGCGCCCGCACGGCGCAGGCCGCGGCCCAGCAACAACGCGACTCCAACGGCCCAGGGGCGTCGCCCAGTCGTCGCGCAGTGAGAGCAGCGCCGCGCAGCGAGTGCAGTGCCGCGCCCAGTAGCAGCGCCCAGCAGCAGCGCCCAGTAGCAGCGCCGCGCAGTGACTGCAGCAGCGCAGCGAGTGCCGCGACATGGCCGGCGGAATCGTCGCTGAGCCGCTGAACCCGCGCGACGGCTTCAACTGGTGCGCCTGCCCGCCGCCCGCCTGCCCACGGCCGTACTGACGCTGCGCAGGGTCTTCCTCGTCGAGCTGCTCATCTGCTGCATCCTGTCCGTCTTCTTCTTCTTCTACTTCAACCGCCTGTTCGCCACCCTCGTGTCCTACGCCGTCCGCGCCTACACCTGGCGCACCTTCCACGCCTACGTCGACATCACCGGCCTGCAGATATCGCCGCTTGCCGGCCGCATCTTCTTCAAGGGCTTGCGCTACCACGCCCACAACGAGACCATCCTGGTCCACGGCGGCTACGTCACCTGGAACTACTGGTTGCGCCGCGTGCGAGACGCCGCTGTCTACGCGGACCCCGACCACCCTGCCGACCACCCTGCCGACGACAGCAGCAGCACCGCCAGCGATGCCCCGCCCACGTCGCCTAGCCCGCCGACGAGCCGCAGCCGGAACCTGGACCGCGCAGAGAAGGGCGGCAAGCAGACGCCCAAGCCGCTGCCATGCCGCCTGTCCATCAAGGTCTCTGGCGTCGAGGCCTTTATCTACAACCGCAGCCCTGCCTACGACGCCATAGTCGAGGCTTTCGAGCGCCAGTCCGGCTCCAGCAGCGCAGATGCCCAGCACGCCGACAACACGCGCAGTGCCTCTGCATCTCAGTCTGACGTCTCGCTTGACGAAGAGCATCACCACAACAAACTGAAGAAGGATCCCCCTGAAAAGGAGAGGAACCCTCTGCGAGCTGATACATCTCGCTCGACCGCCTCCAGGCCCAAGACGGACAGCCTCCCCGCTTTCCTCAGGATCCTCCCGGTCTACGTAGATGTCGCCAAAGGTGCTGTTGTTGTCGGCAACGAAAGCACCCCGGCCGTGATAACGGCCCAATTTGAGAAAGCCACCGGCACTCTTGATGCATCCTCCAGCGGCCCTCTCGATATGTACCAGCAGCTCATCTCCTTCCAAGTCACGCACCCAGTGGTCCACATGAAGCCCAATCCTGACTACAAAGCCACTCAACTCGACACGGCTGCACAATACAAACAAGAGTCCGGCAAGCATCTCCCAGAGGAGCACATCGTCGAACATGACGTTACGCACCTGCGACGGAAGCCATGGTCGAAAAGAATTCCATTCTTGTCTGGATTATTCTCTCGATCGTCAGATTCAGTACACACACATTCGAGGACTGGCATGAGGGACAGCAAACAGTTCAAGCCTCAGTGGCATTTTCCTGGCCAGGAAAAGTGGAAGGGTCTGGCGCGCTACCTGGATGATAGTCAGAATGATGGCCATGGCGAATGGGACGGAATTGAATATGCCAAAACCTCTCTCATTGCCGATATTCCCCGCGTGAACGTCAGCTTCTATTGGGACGTGACTGGTCTAGTACCCGCCGAAATTGACAACAGCATGTTTGTTGATCCGTCTCGTCCACATGATATCAACGGTGGCATTCCGCCGGACTATGGTATGGACATTGACATCTTTGGCGGCATCATCAACTATGGTCCTTGGGCAGATCGCCACAGAGGCATTTTCCAAAACTTCTTCTTTCCTGGAGCTCGGGTCGATGCTGTGCCTGCTAAGCCGCTGGAAGCCGGAGACTCTCGTGTCCTGTCCGTCTTCAAAGTGTTCCTGTCTATCAGAGATGATACCGTGCTCCGCATACCAGTTAGAGAACCATCAAAAGATTGGAAGTGGAAGGGGAAGGCCCACACATTGGCAGCGCATGAGAAGCCTGGGAACGACAAAAGCAAAGGCAAGACAAGATCCCGAAAACGGCGTGGCAAACAAAGAGACACGACAGGCGCCCAGAATGTTCGCCCATTCGGCTGGATGGACGTCAAAGTTGCTGGTGACTCCACTGTCAACTACACTATGGACATGGTGGCTTCTAGCAAGGGGTTTGGGAATAAGCTAGACGTGTCCGTCAAAAGCACCGAAATCTCTTCCAGCGTCAACCATGGCTTGCTGTGGCGCTCGGGGCCTATCGCACTCGACTGCGACTTATCAGCACCCGTCGCCTGGAACACATTGCGAACATGGATGTTTCATATCAAATGTCAAGATCTTGACTTGTTTCTACTCAGAGATCACCTCTTCCTTCTGACAGATCTTGTGGCTGATTGGGGTGCTGGTCCACCTTCCGACTACTTCACTTTCGTGCCTTTCCGTTATCTTCTTGACGTCGAATTGAGCAACTTCAAGCTGTTCATGAACACTAACGATTCAAATATTGTGAACAACCCGGTCGATCTCGACGATAATAACTTTGTCATATTGTCCGGTCAGCATCTCCGTGGAAACGCTATCATACCACTGGATAAGTTTCGTCCACTACAGAACGAGATACAGTTCGATTTTCGTGGCGAAGATATGGGTCTGGAAATTCTGATGCCCTCGAAAAATACACTCAAAACGTTCCTCAAGTCCCCTAAAGTTGCAAAGTTGGGAGGTCTGACGCTCACCGGATCCCACACCTATGTCACCAACACTGACCCAATGAATACCGACAGGCTGTACCTGAATATCCAAGGGCACAGACTGACCTTGGATTTGTATGGATGGCTCATCCATCATTTTATGAAGATCAAAGACAACTACTTCGGCGATGACTTGCATTTCAAGACGATGGAGGAGTTCCAGGGCGTCCCCGGGACTAGTCTTCTAAAAGATGGGCCCGATACCGACAAGCAACCTTTCACAGTCTCTAACGACCTCGACGTTATTCTATGCGTAGCGGTGGATGATGCTACTGTGCTTGTGTCGTCCAATCTCTACTCAGCCGAGCGCTGTATCCGAGCCGACCTACCTTACGTATCTGCGGACCTTCGCTTTACCAACTACTACATGGATCTGATGGTCAACTTCAGCCCCATCAGCATATCCTTGTCAGAGCTGCCTGCTAGCCCAGATGCCAGCCCAGATCAGCCATCCGCATCTTCGAGCGGACAAACAGAGCTTTTTATCGATTCGGTAGTCATCTTTGGCCACCGTTTGTTCGGGCTCCCCCCTACTGAACCCACTTATATCTGTAATTGGGACTTTGACGTCGGCAAAATTTCTGGGGAGTGCACTCCCAGCTTCATCGAGACTGCGGCCGGAGCAGCGCGTTCCTTTGCATTCACCCTCGATGACGAAGAGAACTCATTACCTCTCACCGAGATTCCGGTTATTCACGATGTCACCCTCTTGAGATTGAGGACACAAGACGTTCATCTATGGTTACACGTTGCTCCAGAAGCCCTCTTAATTAAGACGAGCGCTATCACTCTGGACTTCAACGATCTCGCAGGTACAACCTTTTCCCAGCGCCTATCAGCGTGTGTGCCGGATCTCACACTTGGTGCCGTTGACGCTCGATCAGCGTCACGTCACCGGACTCGCGCTGGCGAGAAGCAGGTCGTCGAAACGCACGCTTTCTTTCAGACCACTTTGTCTGTCAATATGCTGAAGAGGAACCTTGATTTTACAGCAGATCGCGAGAAGCAGCAGGCACATATGCGTGAGCATGACCAGCGCACACATCGCGCTAATTTCATGTTCAATCGCGAGTTCGATGGTGTCTTCCATCAGAGTCCGACTGCACAAGCCAATGTGCGCCCACCAGCCATGCAATTTCCTGACGTACCACAACCGTTACTATTCTATGGCCCACGCACTAACGAGACGGCGTCCATGAAGTCAACAGCCTCATTCACGAACGAGTCCCTTCGGAGAGGTCGACGATCCGGCACAGGTTCCATACGATCATTGTCAAGCAGCTCCCTCGCAGGTAGCATTCGATCCATCTTCAGAAATAAGCACACAACACGTACCGCTGATTCGAGTAGAAGCCGCACTCTTCTTGGCGGGTCCTCGCATCGCGGGGAAAGCAAGGGTCGCGTGCCCCCAGAAGAGCAAGAACGAGCCCGACGAAATTTGCCCCCTTCGTCTGTGGCTCTGTCCAGCTCGCTTGCCCCCCCGTACTTCCCATTGGAACAGGTGGACCCAGACTTATCCGACGTTCCTTCCATACCACATTTGCCACCATCTTCTCCAGGCAACCAAGAGGGCGATTTGATGTTTAACGGCCTATCCACTGGACATCTGGACGAGACTTTCTCGCATACCTCCATCCTAATCAGTGCAGAGCCAGGTATACGAATCTACTGCACTCCTACCTCCGTCAAATGTGTCTCGAATTTGCTTAAAATCATTCAGCCAATGCGTCCCGAGGACTTGCTAGATGACTTCCAAGTACAAGTTATGACCAAGATCTTGGACAACAGGACCCGACTTGAAGGCATTGGAAGCTCGCTAGAATTCAACGTCCGTGTTCCCTTTGCTCACGTTCGCTTTCAGCATAGCTTCGGCTCTGATTCTTCACCCGCCAGCGGTAAAGACCAATACGATCTGATCGCCAATCGTTTGGACCTAGCCGCACGAATCAAAAAGTTTCCTGGAGAGCGAGCAGGTGAGGATTCACTAGCATTGCATACCACGCTGGGCTCACTTGGCCTCTCAATTACAGAGCGCACTCTCCAAGGGCCCAGTGAAGGTGTCGCGGTGCAAGCAGAATTGCAAGACGTTCTTGTCTGGTCATTACAAAATAAGGAGAGCTCCGTGAACATCTCATTCAGATCATTCGAGACCGCGGCGGCAAGTAAGAAGATAGAGTATCTTGCCTCACTGGTCCACCGAACAGCTGTCCTAGCTGATGATTTAGCAATTGGGTTTGTTGAGGCTGATGAGCAGCACGACGACAGAATGCGTTACCTGGCATGGTATCTGACCAGTGTGCAAGACCAATACCCTGATCCAGCCTTCTTGACGAAAGCATCATACGCCTTGCGTGCGGCGAGAGACCATCTGCGCAGCCATGATTCGTGGAAAATCATTTCACGTTTCCGCCACACTTGGCAATGCCTCCCTTCATACGAGAAGCGTGATTTGGCCAGGAAGTGTGCTCAGAGAAAGGTGGGATGTCCGGATGATGCCGAGGAGAAGATCATCGCAATGTGGGATCAATGGCGAACTTGGGATCTGGCGCACGTTGAGAAAAGTCTTGCTATGAGGGTACTATTTGGTCATCTTGCAGACAGCTTGCCTACCCCGAGCTCAGCACCGGTGTACCTTGACGTCAAGTCTGGCGGCGTAAAGCTGATTGTTGATCCTGGTCCGAAGCAGAGCGAGGTTGAAGTGGTCATTCTCGCTATTAATGTTGCGTTCTTGCCTCCTGTCAAAGAGCCGGATGCGCTTGGAGTGGTGACTGTCGATACACCCACAAAGTCCTCCACAGTGCAAGTCAGTGCTCGGGAAACATTGCTCCATGTCCATTGGGAGTTGTGTGAGCTCGCTGAAGCGCTCACGACGCTATTCCTTAGAGACGAAGCCACATCACAAACACCAACATTGGCAAAAACTGCTCAGTCGAAACAAAGTAACAAGATGGAGCATCACCAAAACCTGCAAGTGGTCTTTGTCACAAGCAGATCACAGATCATTCTCGATACCATCAACACTCGCAGCATTATGACCGGGCGGCGCATGCGATTCTCGTTCGTTGATGCTGATAAGAAGGCTTCAGACCTAGGAGAAGTATTAAGTGCTCACCTCCATTTAGAGCTGGCCGTGGGCGAGATATACTCTCGATCTCGTTCCCTCGTTAAGGTCCAATTTGAGCAACCAAGCCTGTATCTTGCTCTAGTCGAACATGAGAAGAGGAGTGACATTCCTGATGAGATCAAGGCAGCAGCAACCAGCCGATTGATCATTGTTAAGTCTCAGGAAGATATCATGGGCATTGTCGAGGTTGTTGACCTCGTACTCAGAGATGAAGTCGCGTATTTTGCGCGTCAGTCCAAAGCCATGCAGGCAATTGCGAAACAAAGGCCGAGCAGCAACCAACCAGAGCTGAACAAGGGCAATGACACTCAGCTTCCTAACATCACCTTGGCACTTTTTATGGATGCCTACCAAGTTGAGCTTGCGCTGCTCCACCCTCTGGGCTGGGCTATCTCAGGTAAGTCGGGACGTATTGCAGTGGTCCCGACACTTGGAAAAAATGTCACACTCCGTGTCGACTATGATCTTGACACCAGCCACCACAGGATGTACAGCACATCCAAGGAGGGATCCCACGTTATTAGCTCCTTGCAGTTGCCTGCCGTGAACGGTAGACTGAATGTCTCGCAGACTGACCAAGAGACACGTGTCATGGCTTCCGGTATCATTGAGACTATTCATATTCAAGCTTCCGAAATCCAGGCACTCGCCACGACGCTGAACAATCCCGATATCACACAGATGCTAGACGCCGTTAAGGACGACATAGAAGTTTTGAATACCCACCTAGAGGAGATATTCCCGCCAAATGACGACAATGTTGCAGCAAAGTCCCCCGTCGTCTCGAGGGACATACTGTTCGGAGTCCAAATGACGCTCTCGGGGATGGAAATAGTTGCGGTCGCCCCAGGAAAAGACCCGGACTCCCCTACCGCGCATCTAGCTTTTCGCTTGTCGTCCGTACAACTGAAAGCCACAAACATGGATTCAAACAACAACGCAATGCTCTTCCCAGAGGCAATCATTCTCATTCATGAAATAGCTGTCGACATGACGCTGTCTGACTCAGAGTCTGTTCGCCGTTGTGGGAATCTCACCTTCAGCGCAATTCTTCAGGCTACGACCGAACAAGAGTCCGACCCTCAGCGAAGGTTATACCGTGTCCGAAGCTCTGGCCTAGAGCTTAATGTGTTTGCGGATACTGCCTCGGCTGTTGTAGATGTCATGAATCATTTGCAGGACAGGATTAAGGATCTGGACCTTTCCAAGGAGAAAAAGTACTTGAAACGGCTGCGCCATAGCAAGAGCAAGCTTTCCAGCAAACAAGCCAAGAGCGTGGGAAGTCGTACAGATGCCGAAAACGACAGCATCGACTCGGGTGCCTTGTTTACCTCGACTTACTCCATGGAGCTCCTCGACCTGCAAGCTACCTGGGTTGTCGGTTCTTCGATTATGCCTTTTGCTAACACTGAGACTGAAGATCTGGTCCTATCTTTTAGAAAGATCAATCTTTCAACACAAAAAGACGATGCAGCACGCCTCATGATTGAAGATATGCAGCTGCAAATGGTACCAATATCTGCGAGCAAGAAGACAAGATCGCTGAACTCAGCATTGCTGCCAAAGATGCAGTTCAATGTTGCCTATGCCTCCACCAAAGACACAAGAAAGCTTGCTTTTCACGCTGCTGGTAAAGCTCTAGATTTGCAGCTCGACTCTCATTTTATTCTGCCAGCCAATGTCCTTGAGAGATCGATTGCGCTTGCAGGCAGAAAGTTTCGCAAGGCTTCCGCGAACTGGAGCGTCACACCCACCACCTCTGGCGCGCAGCGGAAGAACCCATTCGGCAACAAGCGACTATCTTCACTGACAGTAGATGCCAACTTTGCTGGTGCTGTAGTACACATCAACGGTCGAGAAGGCCCATCACCACAAGGTGCATCGCATAGATCGCAACAGAAGGGAAGATATAGCCAATTTGTCGGTGATGGATCAAAGAGTAGCCTGGCCCTTCGAGCACCCGGTGTTGCTCTGCGAGTAGAGTATCAAGACGAAGGACAGGACCCATCACTCAACGCTGAGCTTCGTGTCGATGGGTCCAGCAATACTCTACTGCCGACTGTAGTTCCCATCATCATCGACATTTCGGATAGTATCAAGGCTGTTGTTCAAGACAAGGACGGTGATGACTCCCAGTCGCCACAAGAAGAGCAAGCCGCGCAAGCGAAGCCCACCGCAAAATTGCTCGATGATGATAACAACATCATCAATGCTGACCCATCGGCGCTGTTGGGTCGCACGAGCCTCAATCTTGGTCTTCGGATCTGCAAGCAAGAATTCAGCCTTAGCTGCCAGCCAATCGCACGTGTCACAGCAATTGCGAAGCTCGAAGATATCTATGTTACTGTCAACAGTGTCAAATCACAAGAGCACGGGCACTTCTTCGCTGCTTCTGCCGCCTTCACAAAGCTAAATGCTACTGTTCAGCATGTCTACTCGCGCGAGTCGACATTTGGCCTCGACGTCGAGTCGATAGTCCTATCGCTGATGAACAGCAAACACCTCAGCGGCACTAGTGGCATATCTGCTATTCTGAAAATCAATCCTACGGCATTGCAGATCAATGCTCGACAGCTGCAAGACTTTCTGCTGTTCAGGGAAATTTGGATCCCTCCAGAGATTAGACAATCGTCGCAGCCTGCAGACGCGAACGTCAACTCAAATCCCGAGCCACAGGAGTATTTGATGCAACGTTATCAACAAGTCACCGCCGCAACAGCCTTTCCGTGGAATGCCAACGTGGCGATCACGGACATCAAGGTTGATCTGGATCTCGGCCAAGCCATTGGCAAATCTTCTCTCCACATAAATAACATGTGGGCGTCGTCAACAAAGGGCACTGATTGGGAACAAAATTTGTGTATTGGTGTTGAGAAGGTCAGTTTGGAAAGTACAGGTCGAACCAGCGGCTTCGTAGAGCTGGGTGGCGTCAAAGTACGAACTTCCATCAGATGGCCTGAACGATCAGCAGACGCGCGTTCGACACCACTCATTCAAGCATCAGTTGGTTTTCGCCAACTACGTGTCAAGTCCGGCTTTGACTACCAGGCTTTCGCTGTAGCCGACATTGCCAACTTCGAGTTCCTAATGTACAACGTGCGCGGCGACGAAGAATCAGGTCAGGATCGCCTTGTTGCCATTCTTGACGGCGACAAGGTACATGTCTTTTGCCATGCCACGAGTGTAGCACAAGGCCTTGCTCTCTACCAGGCTATCGAACGACTCGTGCAGGAAAACCAGCAAGCATATATGCAGTCACTGAAAGACATTGAAAAATATCTTAGGCGGAAGTCCTCGGTATCGCAATCTTTCGGCGGCCAACTTTCTCAGAGCATGATCGCCGCCAAAGCAGAAGAAGACGACGTCTTTAAAGCGCCAATATCCCTTCACACAGACGTTGTCGTCACCTTGCGTTCGATCAATCTGGGTGTCTACCCAGGTACCTTCCTCGACAACGTGGTACTTATGCTTGAAGCTGGTGACATGCAAGCGCGCTTCGCTGTCGCCCTCGAGACACTTAAGATCCACTCCAGCCTCGGTATGACCCTTGGACAACTGTCGGTCGCTCTTTCTTCAGTTCCAGCCCAAAAGAAGACCAAAACTATCTCGGAACTTACAGTAGAAGACGTCGTTGAGACCGCAAGATCGGCTCGAGGTGGGACTATCTTGCGAGTTCCTAAAGTTGTAGCCAATATGCACACTTGGCAGGTGCCGAAGAACAACCACATCGACTACGTTTTTAAGAGCAGCCTGGAGGGTAAGGTTGATGTCGGCTGGAACTACTCGCGTATCAGCCATATCCGGCAGATGTGGACGAACCACTCGCGAACCCTTGCAAATCGCCTGGGCAAACCACTCCCTGAGTCCAACATCAAGATCAGCACAGGCCAGACCCTCGAAACGCCCTCCACCGACGGTGCAAATATGAAGGCCACCGCCTCCAATACTCTCGCCAACGCCGCCGCCAGCCGGCCCCGTGGCCTCTCCGTATCCACGAGCCCGAATCCAGACAACCCCGACTCGGAGCAAGAGAAGATCACTGCAGTGGTCAATGTCCCGCAGTCCAGATACGAGTACACTCCCCTAGAGCCGCCAATCATCGAGACTCCGCAGCTGCGCGACATGGGCGAGGCTACGCCGCCACTGGAGTGGATCGGGCTGCACCGCGATCGGCTGCCAAACGTAACGCATCAAATCGTGATTGTCTCGCTACTGGAGGTGGCAAGGGAGGTGGAGGATGCGTACGAGCGGATTCTAGGCAGCAGCTAATGGAGAGGGTAGACGTGGATGCTTGGTGTGCAGCTGCCTTCTCTTTGGCAGTTTGGTGGTGGAAGAAAGTAGTCGGGAGCATGCATCATATGGCGTTCAGAAAGAGTATTTTAGCATTTCAATGTAAACGTAACATCCCAAGACATATACATTTGCGCCACATCTTATCTGTTTCTTGTCCGATACTCTGCGGTGGTAGAGAGAGATCACGTGGTAGCACACGCCTTCGGTACCTCCATGACCGCTCTCGGGTTGTTAGCCTCACAGTTTCTGCCTGCCGCATTTCAATAGATCAACATCAGTGCATGGGCAAGAGGACTTGAGTGGGGGCTGCCTGATCCTACGAGAAGGGCGACACGCTAGGCTTAATTTTGCCTGCTGCCTGTTGCTTGCGGCACGGACCGTGGCTGTATGTATTTCGACGATCGCAGGCGCACTGCTTACGTCACAACGGGGCGGGCGAGTGACAAGAAGAGCTGATTTGATGCACACACACTGAGGACGAGAGCTGAGAAGCTTGATCGTGCATTAATGTACGCTACCACCAATGTTCTAAGAAAAGGGGAATCTCGGTAGACAGAAAACGAAATAACACCAGCGTCCACTTGCTGTGGGTAAAAAGCGCCTCCACCTTTGTATGCAGATGGGATCTAAATATGCGTGGAAAACAGAGTATGCGCAAAAATCCCGCCAATCCGTAGAACACAAACGCAACCCGCTGTGAAGGCAGAGAAAGACTGGATCCTTGAGGAAACCCACTTTGACGTCTCCCTGATGCAATCCTTGCCTCAACCCTGCTGCGCGGCCCCGTGTGCGAGCATATACCTGCGGGAGTCTCACATAGCTTGGAAGTTCGTACGCCGTGACCATGTAGTTGCATAAGAGCCTGATAAGAGATGATGCGAATAAAAAGTGAAGCCTCGAAACGCCGTCTTCCGGGGTATCGTGTATGATGCTGATCAGGATCTGATCGTGGATGGTAAGCGAAGAGAAACCCTGCCCTATACTCCCTGAAAAAAAAGGAATGAAAACGGAAGTTCGTAAACCAAAAACTGATGTGAAGCCACTGTGGTTGGGGCTTGGGTTGAATGCGCGTCGTACAAGGCAGTGTTGACGACTTGATGTGAAGTAGTGGTGTGTAGATACCCCAATGCGGTTAGGGCCAGACGGTCCGCATGATCGATGAGTGGATCAGCCGATGCGCATACCCACCCACCTCTCACCGCTGTGATGATAACATAAGTTGCAGTGTACCAGGTTCTCCGCCCTAGTCATCTTACACCCTTGTTGTGCGGTGTCCGTATTGCTGGTAGGCGTCCTCTGCCGACATCTGACTGATGTCGGGTGCGCCGTCTGGTCGTAGTGCTTGTGATACCGATGGCACACCAGCTGCCACGGGATTGCTAAGATAACCATACTCCCAGGATGCACGTCCTGGTTGCGCCAGGGTTGTTGGGTAGTGCGACAGCTGATGAGCCCCAGGTCCCCACTGAGTCATACTTTGTACTGAAGGTGTCCTCTGCGGGGTCGGCATGCCATGTCCTGATGATCCGTCAAAGCCTGCTGACATTTTGAAATTGGGCGATAAGCTCGTAGATGTCATGCTGGGTGTGTAGGCACCTGAGGCCATCGAGGCAGAGACCGATCGCGGTGAGGTATTTCGATGCATGCTGCTAGATGCGTATGCAAGCCCACTCGAACCGTATGACGTTGAAGCAACAGGAAGCGATCCAGCGCCAGCCGTTGAGGCGTAGCTTGCAGACTGTACAGGTTATTAGTTGCGTTCCATGCATCCTGTGGAGCGACTTACATATTTGCTGATGATCTTCTTCAAGGCATGAGCGAGTATCTTCCAGGCGAAAACCTTCACGTCCTTTTCGATGTTGCGCGGCTTCGGCGTAGGAAACCCCATGATGACTTTGAAAAACTCCTCGCTGTCCGCCTTGGCTTTAGACACCGTGAGCGGCCGGAACCCTTCAAGATTGCGACGGATACGGTTTTTCTCCTCAACAGTGAAGCGCACATTGACCAGCTGTTCCAGGAGAAAGATTGTGTCTACACTCGTGATGTAGTACTCGTCCTTCTCTTCCCACCAGATGCAACTCACACAAATGCTCCTTGCTGGTCGAGCTTCAGGTGTGACTGGCGCAAACGTGGTCGATATAGTGCTGCCTTGCTGTGATCGCTCGAATTGTACAAGCCGGCGTTTCGCGTCAATCTCTTCTTGCGACCAGTCTTCCTTCATCTTGTCCAGGTCGCCTTCGATCTTCAAGACAGCCTTTGTCTGGTACATAGAGTATGGATTGAACGGCTGTCCATTCGAAGCGCTTCCGCTCTGCGCGATTGTCGCTCGGACCAGAGTGGGGGCTGGAAGACTGGATGGAGACGGAAGTACCGATAGGCCTGCCGGTGTTGCAGCCATGGAACCTGGGCTGCGATTGGGCTGCGCAAGGGAGCTATAGTGACTGTATGAATGCAGACTAGGCGACATCTGCGGAGGTTTCAATTCACTCTGTCCCAAGCTTGGTACCGCATACAAGCCTTTATGAGACAGCTGAGAGGAGTAAGTACCGCTTCGACTCATGTCGTATGCTCCCGTCTGGCCATATCCCCCAGATAGTGAGGAGTGCGCTGGTAAGGGCGATAGCTGTGTTGCCGAGTAGACAGCAGACATGGAGCGAGACTTCGCTTGAAAACGATGCGTGTTCTGACGTTTTGCAGCCATCGAGTCGAAGTCTTCCTCGTCCGCGTAATCCAAAGAAAACTTGCGTTTCTTCGAAAAGTCGGAAGTAGACTGATATGCTAGATTGGGGGACATATCTGTATACGTGAACTTGCCAGCGTCTGCTTGATGGCGAAGGTGGCCATCCTTTTCCATCTGCAGTTTCAGCATCATGGTTGGATTCCAGTCGTTGGTCAGTGGGAAGGGAGGGACTTCAACGTTTAGGACATAGTTGTACCAGTCATCGTCATAATCCACCTTTTGCAGGTCTGCGACGCATGCTTTCTTGCCAAACATGAAGATGAAGGTATACTGCTCTGCAGCGAGATCGTAATTCGTTCGGAGGTGTAGACTGACGGTAGATCCAGCAGTGCCTTGCGCAGGCGTAACGAAGCCCGTTATTTCCGTTTCATTAGACGTGTGAGAAGCGGGATGACGAGACCTCGCATCGATAAAAGAGGTAGCAGGCAGAAGATCACCTGGGCCGCGTGACTCGTATGTTGAACTAGGGATGTAAGGCATCTCTGCGCTCGAGTGCTCATGAATTGGACGCGTGGATGTATCTGTGTATGGAGAGGCGAATGATGGCTGTGCATTACCAGGATAGCTCGAAACCTGATTCGGTCTTGTGGCCTCGGCGTCTGAATGGGTACGCGGTCAGTTAACCTTGCTCACGGAACTCACGTGGCCACCCAAAGGGCCCCACGGACCAAAAAGGTGGTGGCTGCCACACGAAAACATCAGATGAGCATGAGATCACTTACCATACACATAGTGTTGACTTTTGCCGTAGTCGGACATGGACGATACACTCGCGCCTACAGCAGAATTAATACCTGGAAGGCTGCTCCTAAAGCCTTCACTGCACTGGACCAAGTATCTCTCGGTGTCCGATGCGACGCCTCTAGAGAAGGGCGCACCAAAGCTATCAGGCTATGCAGCCAAGAGTTAGCAATCATTTCCATTAAAGGTGGAACTCAAGGCAGCAGTGCGTGAAGCAAGGCTGAGTGCAAGAAGGCAACAAAAATGATAATGTGTAAGAAGGACAAGGGATCGTACCTGATAGCTCGGTTGGATGATGCAGGCCAGCTTGACGGTCTCCTAGAGCCTCTAGGAGTAGCTGTGGGGGTAGTTCTCGTAGCTCTCGGTGCCGTGGTGATCCGCACCGGGATATTCGTCAAAGTCTGGGGGTGCAAGACGAGGTGTGGCCCCAATGGAAAAAAACAACGTATGCCTGCGACAAAATGTTGCCAGGACGTTTCGTACTCGCAACAGTAGGAGCGGGTGTGAAAACACTACAAGTGGACCTTGTGACCAGAGATACTGACGGAAGAAGGATACGCAGAGACAGGAGGCCGAGATGTTTAGAAGCTCGATTCATCCGGGAATCAGGGGAACTTTGAAGGTCGATGTCCTACACGGTAAGTTCTGTTCTTCGCCTAGTCGAAACCAGGATCATAACAGATCTGACGTGCCGAAAGAGGGAAAGAGAAGCGTGTTGCCGGTAGCATGCAAGACTTGATTCAGAGCAAATGCCAGGTCCTGAAATGACAGTGAGTTCCTGAGCATCAAATGTCGCATGTCGTGACCCGCATTTCGATGTGACAGCCGTTGTGACTTACATAGCAGACAAAGAGCGCGAGACAGGGCCGTGGGCTGGCCAGTGTAGTAAGGGCCAGACAGCCTTACCATGCAGAAGGGCAGACGGACAGATGGATTATGAAGGGGTGATAGTGCAGTGGGCTATGGTTGCCGGCGGATATGTGCCGTAGGTGTGAAGGGCTACGACGCAACCCAAGCCAACGGTAAGGGGTGAGATTGGCCAATGTAGACGGTGCAAAAGAGGCGGCAATGCAAGGACGAGCGTGCACAGTGATCTATGGGGGCTCGGGTTGACTCTTGGTGATTACCGGTCCCGCCAGCGTGGTACCCTAGTCGACCAGCAAGTGCAGGAGCACGCCCCACGAACTGCTCGAACTCCGGCCGTTAAGCACTACGTGGTGCAAGCTCTGGCAAACGTGAATGACCAGGTTAGTCACAGCAAGCAGATGGAGCTAGCGCTCAGGACAAGGCTTTACCGTGGCCCTTGTGCGCTGGAAGCTCGCCGGTGGTGCCGGGGCGGGCGCGGTGCTGCAAGCTGAGCAGCGGGCTGAGATTGAGGGTGACGTGTGAGTGGATGAGGTGGTCAGACAGCCGTGGCTGCGAGCGATGGGCAGGCAAGACAGCTCCAGAATGCAGGCTCCAACGCAACGAAGCGACGGGCCAAGGATCGTCTGAAGGCGGACGGTTCCTGAGTCGTGCACGGGGATTCTAAGACCTCTGCAATGGACAGCAGCGCGGATGCGGAGGGCGGGCCAGTGCGTCGAAACACAATCCGTGAGGCGTTAATTGTGGAGAGCAGCGTGATTGTGAAGGAGGTGCAGACGGGCACTGCAATGACGAGCAGCTGAGCAGAGCAGGCGAGGGGAGGAGGCTACGGGGGAACGGTGAAGGGCAGGGTTGCAGGAGCTGCGAGAGCTGGACATGAAGACTGCGGATGCGCAGCGCGGCAGCGCCGGCCGTGTTGATATACAGTAGGCCAGCAGTGCTGCACCCCGGCAGCGTCTACGGGCTCTGCCAGCGACGTCTGTCAGGGCGGCCGCGAGCCTCCAGCGCGGCGGGAGGAGCACGGCCGGCCGGGCACTGAGTGGGCGCCGAGATGACGGAAGATGGGCTGCTCATGGCAGCCAATGCACGGCATCCGGGCGCAGCGCCCCATCAGAGCGCCGCGTCGATGGCAGCGCAGTGCGAAGGGAGGCATCGGATGGAGTGTGGTGAGAGCACAGGGCTTGGACGGGCCAAGCGAGCGATCGCGCTGCTATTCCTGGCGTGGCTTGCAGCGACTGAGCTAACCTTAATCCCCATCCCTGTCGCCGCCTGCGCATCGCCCAAAGCCACGCCCACCAGCCTCCGGCCAGGCACAGCAGCGTCTGCGACCGCTGCGATGGCGACGGCCATGACGACACGCCAGCAAAGGGAGCCGTGTGTGTCCTACGTGGGCGTGTTTCGGTCTCCTCGAAGGCGACCATGCCATGGCCGCAACACTCCCCTGCCCAGCACGCTCTCCTGCCTCGCTCGCGCGTCGCTCCTGCCCCGCCGCTGCCCCCGCCGCTGCCCTGTTTGCATGTAACAGCCACGTCGGCGTCAACGGGCAGCTCCAGAGGCAGCCGCGAGGGAGATGAGGCTGTCTCGTATGGCGGGCGGCGCTCCCGCCATGCACGCTGCCGCCGTCGCAGCTCCACGCTCCAGTGGCCACGGATCGGCAGGCATCGCACGCCCGCCGTCCCTGCCTGCCACCGGCACCTTCACCGCAGCACCTCAGCACCTGAGCACCTCAGCACGCAGCCCTCACCAGTCATCAGCGAGCGGCCGCGGTATTCTTAGAATGCTGATGCCGCGTCGCTGAGCCCTCTTGCCTCGAACGGGTCCGTGGGCGGTTGAGTGCGGCTGTGTTGCTCACAGGTCAGCCGCCCCACTCGCCAGAAGCAGAGCTATTAACACTTCAACGCTCTTGCGCATGCCGCCAAAATGCCCTCTCTGGCGGAGCACCTGGGTACGCTCGGCTGCACAGTCACGTTCTCGATCCCTGTTCTGTGGCCCGCAGCAAAAGCAAGCAAGATGTCGACGATGTGGGCGCCATGCAGCCCTGCCTTGTGGCATGCAAGGGAATGGAATGGAGCCCTGCCCGCAGCGTATTAATCTCCGCGCCCAATAGACAGCCGGCTCTTCCATCGTTTGTAGACCGTCACTAATCTTGACGAGGCCCCTTCACCGCCAGCTGCCTCACGCTGCCTCTGGTGCTCAACCACACCAATCCCTCGTTCTCTGGCCTGGATGCAGTGGCAGAGCTACCGCAACATAAGCCATGTAGCAGATGCGCGCTCTCAAGTTCAATTGCCAACACTAGGAAGGGTCCTACCTCGGCCGTTGCCTCACCATCTCGATGCACCATGTTGCCGCTGGAGTGGTACCACTTCTGACTGCACGCTGTCTTAGTGGCATACCATCCCCTTCAACGCTTATTCGAAACGAGATGCGAGCTGCTGTGACTACCCGACTTGGTCCAACATACACAACGAGTCGAAGCCTTTCATGCCCGTGGGTCACATCGAAGCATTCTTGTTCAGTCTCCCCGTTCTGCTGGCATATCACCCTTCATAGACTATCGAAACTACTCCCCTCTGCATGCGCTTCTGGTCTTTACCGGGGGCTTGTTCAGTACCAGGTTCCAATATGTACACGGCACCCGCGCCGTGCCGTCGGGCCATCATCAACACCGTCTGAAACGTGCCTGCCGGGCACCGACTGTACACAAACAGCTGGCCCTCTGCAAGTACCCGTCAAATCTCCCGCTAAAGGGTTCGTGAGGCTGTAGGCCGGTGGTCGACACAAGGAAACCAGACCTGACCCTTTCATCATTTTACTTAACTTGCAATGCCAGCAGACTCATCTGTGCGACCCTCACCAAGGAGATTGGTACCCCCCATTACTTCGGGGCGCCGCGAGTCTTGATCATGGTTTCACAAGCCTAGTATGGTTCCTTTTGATTGTTACATTTGCTACGCCCAAACGGGTTTTGTCTGCCTCAGCTCTCCCACCAGTCCGCTCTCTCCACGCTCACCTATCCCGACCTCGGCCAACACCAGACGATCTTGCAGTGCGGAGGACACAGTGCGCAGCGTTCATGCGCAAGCGCCGGAGGGGTGATTTATCACCCCCAGGTCGACATCGGGTCGATGCACGTCGCTGCATTGGCTCGTAAAGCTTCCCGCGCATATGGTTCCTCCGATTGATAGATTGCAAGTCCATATCACTCCACAGTTCGTCTCCAAGCTTGAGGCTCGACCAGGCCGAGTGCGATCGGCTTTGGTTATCGCACATTCCAGGCTCGGTTGAGGCCGAAAAGATTACGGCGGATGCCGGCATGCCACTAGTCCCTCACGACCCGGTTGCTGGGTGCTTCGTGCAGTTTGTGCTACCACCTCTCACGTAGCTCCGTGACACGCAAGGGCATAATTCCAGTTACCTGGGACAAGGTTGTTCGATGGGCCGGGGAGGCCGTTGTGGGGTAGAAGGGTCGTTCTTTGATCATGCAGCTACACGGGTGACCTGCATGTGCAAGATCAAGATCCAGAATATTGGCAAGCCATCGCAAATCACCCTTCTGTTTTACGCCCGAGGAATTACGCTGACCGATGAGGCACACTGTGACACAGTGAGGAGCCTAGCCCGAAGTTACGCGCTTCTGCCACCAGTTTGTCGCCTCCCTCAATGCTGCACGCGTGTCGATACAAGACAGTGATCTTTTAATGACCGAAGTGCAACACCGACAGCGGTTCTGTTTCACACAACGCTCCGTCTCCCTCGAGCATCGGCTGTGACTTGGCGCGAATCGTCCTTGCATTCGGCTGGAGTCGGCATGTGATGCTTTTGGTATCACAGTACAACGCATCCTCTTCGCGGCTGCACGTGATATTCCCTGTATCTGGCGACCAAGAGCATTCCTATGTAAGCCATTGACGGCGTCAAGGATGCTAGGCGAGCACAGATCATAGCCTTCGGTAAGTCCTTCACAGAAGGACATGGTTTGCGGTCGAGCGAAGAATGCAAATCCGTTCGACATAAACGTGTTCGAGAAGTAGATGCTTTTCGTCTCGATGCTGTGATATCAATGCAAATTTGTCAATGTGTAACAAGAAATGTATGATTCCGCGGTCAGACTCCCAACGCTAGTCGTAAGACATTTACACTGGGCAAGACAGATGGATTTTCGTTCAAAATGTTGGTGTGGAACAGAGTCTTGGAGATTATCTTGAAATGCAGTCTGTTTTGCTGGCAAGATGAGTATCTCATGTATAACAGTGTGGCTTTTGTCACTCCGTGACTCGCGTCGACGACCTAATACCTCATGCTTTGGTAATATCAAATGTCACATGTCTCGTTTTTCTCTGTGATCTTAGCTCCATCAGCCTAGTTGCACTCCAAGAAGCTCCTTGTTATTCTATTTAGTTGCCGAAGCCGCATCTCCTCTCACTACCTGTCGCGCCATTTGACCCCATGACACCCTTCTTTAACATTAGGCCATCAAACGGTTCCTTGTCCTAGATCAAGAGACCTAGTTCACAATCATCGCTGAGAGAGCTGTTTGATCTACTCAAGACCTTGAACTCAGATTTTGAGCTCTTGCAATGTGGTAAGATGTTTCGATCCCCCACCCAGGATGCCTCATGATCATCTCAGCTTTCTCCCATACTGTCAACTAGCCATATCTACAGGATCTATTAGAGGCATCTATTTGTGGTGCATTCTGACTGTCTGTCATCGATTCAATGTTAATGAAATACAACACACATGCATGATACACAATGCCGCTAAGAGTGGAGCAACACAGCTCGGTTTCAAATAAGATGACGACAAAGCTACACTCCGGTAGAGAAAAACAAAGAATAGATAGTCATTACTCAGTACAGAGTCAGAACTTCGTCGAACCAGCTGAGTTGTGCCCTTACTTGAGAGCTATAATGGTCCCACCGTTTTGTAAGTTCGGACCAAGTACAAAGTTGGGCGTGGCGCACAAGACTGTTGAGCCAAATGTCCAAATAGACATTGGCTCGAAAGATAACCGCAAGTAATGCTATACTACTACCGTAAGCCTCCAGAACTAGACGACAACTTAGCCATAATCCCAATAGTGCCATATTTGAGCAACCAATTAACGGATCTAGCACGGTACGTGCGACAAATACATGGCAGCGTGTATTTTGATCGAGCAATTTACGGAACATGCTTTGTAGTGGTCGATCTGACGCGCTTGAAATGAAGATGGAGATTAGAGCTAGCTCTCAAGAGAAGGAGGATGGTGTATGCTGCACCATCAAGACAATCAGAGGGCGTGAAGGAGACACTGATGCTGCAGGGGTGTGGGTTCTGTCGCGATAGCTAATTAGTTCAGAGACAGAGTGGAATAGTTTGAACTCGAACAACAAACTTCTATTAGAGTTGGAACATTGAGTACCGAATCGCGAATTAGAAGATTGTCGACAAGGTCGCCCAACGAGTCCACACACTCGGAAAACACAGATGTGCAAATTTTGTAGGAGAGTGAATTTTGCAAAGATACTGTACCAAGATTTCGCAGCATGTATCAAACATATCACCTGGGAAGGCGCCGTAGAGCATTGAAGCTATCGAATATCCGTCCGTTCCTCATCTTTCTGTACTGGACGGCTCCTCTTTCCCTTCATACGCAAAGCCCGAGCCATGCAGCCACCACGTTTTTGAAGTTTCGATGATTCTAGTCCACAAGCTTAAGCAAGACTTCCTTCCATTTAAATGCCTAAGAAATAGTTCCCTCGCAGATTCCGTCTCATTCTCTAAACTATCACGCTGTTGTTCTTTGCAGCATGTTGAAGCAAGCGATGTAGAATCTGCAAGCCGTGATTGCGCATGAGGTAGGTACCACAACTGATGAAGACTGGATTGGCAAGCTCTGTAGAGATTCTCTGACGAGTGACCACAGATCAACGCATGGTGAATGAGTAGACACATCGTATGGAGTCGTAACGGCCTGGCAGTAACAGCCTGAGCCGCATTGCATGGAGAGGCAAGAGAGGTAAGAGATGAAAACCATCGATGACATCGATGGATGTTTACGAACCTTTCTTCCTGCTCTTCCAATGACCTATTCTGCGGGAGACGGCTACGTTTGGCAGTCAATCGATATGTTAGCCACATGCGCCCGTCCCATTGTACATGTACGACATTTCTTCTGTCGTTGGCAATACTCCGAAAGTGGTCAGGGGAGCGGTATGGGCGTCGGGTGTCACGAATGAGAGAATGACGAGATGAGATGCGGCGAGGTGACATTTAGCGTTTGCTGTTGTAGTACACAATGGATCGGTGAATCGTTACTGGACTATATTGAATTGCGAGGACATTTGTGAGGCTGAGTGTTGTAATTAAATTTGACAGCATAGTTACACCTGTGTATGATTGAAGACTGAAATTGAAGTCACCCACTTTCGAGCACATTGTTATCACATATGTTTGCCCTTTGACATCATAAGGCAATTCCAAAGGGCTTGCAAGAAACTGCCAAACCAACGCACACCGAAGTGACTACTCATGAGAACCTACATCTCAGCTGATGTACTTGGCTGTTTCTCAATATCTCCTCCCCCTGCCCAAGGATGAATGCACAGGCGGATAGCGGTATATGTAATCATCGCTATCGGCCCCATAGTAGTCACCGTACGAGCGGCCAGAAGATCGACGGCGGTGCCCACTGCGCAGAGTATCTCCATAATACGGGGGAGGACGTTTGGAATACCAAAATGACGGAGATTCGTCGTTGTCGGACTCAAAATCATCATCGAACGTCGAGCCCCACATTCCTGGCCGACCAGAATAGTCGGGAGATCTACGAAAGGTGTTGAAGGCCAATTCACGCGGCCCCATGCCGAAGGCAGAGAGACCCGGTGAGCCGTAAAATCCCCTATTGAATCGTCGGAAGAAATTACGGGTGTCGATATCCCTATTCAGCCTGTTGCGATTCTGGCGGCGGTTTTCATTTCCACTCGCGTAAGGATCTTCGCCTTGTTCATGACGGCAGCGATACATATTGGGTATCTCCTTGGGATGTAATCAGAGAAACCAACAAAGTATTGGCTTCCAATCAGCGCTCTCAGACCGAGGCGTCGCGGCTAGCAAGTGTTCAGCGTTTGTTACGGGCGAGGGCTTGACCCAAGCGGGAGCTCCGACACGAAAGGAAGTGCCCAGTGAACGCAAACGAAAGTGATGAGAGAAATTCAATGTATGAATATAGAGACTAACAGTCCAGCAAAAAGTGACGCCTGGGCGTATTAAATAGGGCATGCCTTCTCTTGTGTCGCCAACAGAACTTGCCGTTACACGCTGCGGTAAGCTGAAAACCCCCTCGACGCGTGACATGTGGCAACAACGCTGTGCTGACAATAAGGAGAGCGATTGGCGAACAAACTTGGTGAGCATGCGATACTGGCCGGTCGGGCTTGCCCGTGGTGCACCAGGTGCAACTTGCCGTTGACACAGCAAACAAGGCTGCGACTGACAAGCGACGGAGCAAACAAATTATCGCTGACGTTGCGTGCTTGGGCCAGCCATGCAAGAGCAACGTGCATTAAGAGAGGAACATAAGTTGGTTGTATGTAGTACCCAATGGTCAAATGAGAATGCTGGCAGCGATGATTGGAGGACAGCGACGCTCCTCACGGTGCGTTTGATCACGTGCAGGCGCTACATGGAATTAGGTACCACCCAGGTGGACACAGGCGGCAGGTTGCCACAACGCCACAAGCATTACCATTTGCGGACCCCAGGAACAAGAATCTGCAGTGACCTCATGGAGGGGTTTGGTAAGCATGGGTCAAGCAGGTGGCGAGATTGAGACGAGGCGAGCAAGAAACGCCTTGAGTGAATGCAAAGTGCGGTTCAGCAGCGTACAGTATTGGATTTAGGATGCTTCTTGTTGGAACGCTGCAGGGCGTCGTACTTCAGATGGCCCAGTGTAGGTAAGCGAACTCGAGGGTCATAGTTGCGCACACAAAAATACGGCGGGGGCCGCGAGAGGGCAGAACACAGCACCAAGGCCGACGGTGGCGTTCACCGACAGATCTATCAGAGAGTTGCGGCGCGTCAGACGCGTTGTTTGGCGTGCGAGGCTGGAGGGATCCTCAAAAATTAGTGTGGCAGTCACGTGGCGCTTTCTTTTCGGCTTGCCCAGGTCGCTGCAGCACAGGTATCCTCTCGTCTGTCGCCATCCTACGACTACCGCGCCATTCGCCTGTACCACTACTCGAGTGCCACTCTCCTCGCCCGCTCCGCCCGTCCCAGCTTGCAGCTTGACATCATTCTCGAATATTTGCACCTGCTCCAATCAGTTTGCCGCACTCCACTACCACAAAACTCAAGGTCGACACCATCGTACCTTCCACACCTCCCCGCTACCACAATGGCACCTGCTTCTTTCGCTTCAGCAGCTGCAGGCAGTAACGCCGGCTCCGCACGCACAGAATCGAGCGGCGACTGGTAAGTGCGCCTGTTCTGTATTTTGCACCGTGCCACCGCTCCGCGATCGTCGCTATGCGACTTGACGACATTGTCTCAAGTTGCCATGAATATTTCGGGACACCGCACGGGCGTCCACCGCTCCACCCGCTCCCACCTCGGCCAGCTTTGCATTTGCGTCACTGCATGCTAACGCCTGCACAGGGCTCGACGCACGAACGGTGCGACGCAAACATTCCGCCGGCCCTCACACGCGACCACGCCGTCTGGGTCTGCCCCCGTCTCCGTCTCTCGCGATGCTTCTGCCCCTGCACCTTCGACTGCGCCGTCGACAAGTTCTGGAGTGTACGTACCGCCACATGCGCAACCGGGGCGCAATGGAGGCTCTGTCGAAGGTCGCTATTCGCGAGATTCACTAGTGCAGCTCTTCCAGTCCCAGCGAGAATCCGACGACATCAAAGAAGACCTTTCGCATCTGTACATGGGTTCCTGGGAGCCCCACGCTACAAATGGTGCTTCGGGCGCATCTTGGGGGCGCAAGGACGACCACGGAAGGGAGGGCCAGAGCGGGGTTGACCAGTGCTGGGACAAGGACGGCAGCATACAGCCTCTGCACCTGTCAGAACTGTCCGAGGATGAACGAGAGGTACCGGCACCATCTTTGTCGCCTGCGATGCTGTCTGAACCATGCTTACCAATGACCAGGTCTTCTTATCTTCCGTCAATTCACCGCTCAAACCACCCACCCAGAATGCGAACAAGGACGGCTCCTCCAAGGAAGGCTTATCCTTGCGCAAGACCTCTATATCGCAAACCCCTGGAACACCATACGGCCTCTCATCGCCGACGGCCACCCGGCCTGGCAACCGTCGCCGCGACACGGGCGAGGCATATCCATTCCCTGCGTCACCTGCAGCCTCTCGATTTGCGCGCGAGGAGCCCAACACTGTCACCCCGCCAGCCTCCCTGATACGCCGTCGAACAGACTACAAGGAGCCTGCCATCGGCGAGGAAAGTGAGCAAGAGAAGGGTGCTGCTGAGAACGCTGGACCTTTTGCCAATCTGAAGCGCACTACGACCGCACCATTCAGTCCAGGCGGCTCTGCGCCATGGGCTGCCGCGCAAGGAGGTGGGTTCTCGGGTCCTATGGGTGCATTTGGAAGCTTTGGCATCTCCCAGCCCGAAAAGAAGCCTGGGTTAGGAAGTGTGAGAGGCGAAAGCAGGTTCAAGGGGCTGATGGGCAAGGCCAGTGTCGAAGATCTTGACAAGGCATCGAAAGAGAAGGCAGCGCTCGGTAATCTCGGCAGACACGAAGCAGAGTCTTCAAAGCCAAGTGCCTCCTGGATGGAGGTGCGTTCCAACCGTCCCATGAGCAGCGACACCGACCCCTACGTGGACGAAGACCGTCCCACTGGCTCGGCAGCGCTTCGAGGCGAGGACGTCAGCCCCCCTAGGCATGGTTTTGGTGGGTTTGGCACACCACACCGCCCTGAAGGACGGGACGATGGCGGTCTGGCTTCCTTTGGTATGACGACGGACAATACTGGTTTCCGTGACATGTTCGGCAACTTTAGCCAACAGACACCTCACCGGGGAGGAGAGCGAGGTAACGATCCTATGAGCCCTACAGACACGAACCCCTATCGGAGCCCTGATCAGAACCGCGAAGAACGAGAGGAAGATTCAGACGGATCAGACGTTCCAAATACGCATTACCCAGGTATGGGTAGTTTCCAAGTGGACCCAAATATGTCAGGCATGCACCACACATTTGGTGGGCTTGGGGGTCTTGGTCGAGTACCCGGCGCTTTTGAAGCCGGCGCTGGAGATCGAAGCCAGACCTCCAGTGTTGGTCCTGGGCGCGGATTCCCTACCCTACCAGGACTGGGAGGTTTACCTGGGTTGGGAGGCTCTTCAGCCTGGTCTGCTGGTCCACAAGCGATGGGCACTCCCTCTCGCGAGCGTCCATTCGGATTTGACAGTGCTTTTGGCAACGTTGGCGAAGTCCAATCACCATCGCTTGCTGGACTCGGAAATAGCTCATTGTTCGGGGCGTCGTCAGGGCTTGGGCATGGTTCTATTGGCCGTGCTAGTAAGTTGGGATCTCTTTTCCCAGCATCGATGCAAGAGCAAATGCGATCGAACGAACATCATGGTGACGACGGCTCTTCACACGGCGACCGCCAGCAAAGCATGACTGGAGCATTCGGCAGATTTGGTGCACAGGCTCCCAATCGCGACACTGACTCGCCGTTCCGTGCCAACCGCAATTTGTTCGACGATTTCTCAGGTGCAAGTGGCGATGACCATGGAGGTTTCGGCCAGACTCCCGGCGCTCAGTCTAACCTGGCGACTACTTCACTGTCCATGGCTGCACTTAACCAAACCAGGACGGCCCAACCTTCCACACCAGGTCTTGGTAGCCCTGCCTCCAGTCAGCCTCCTCAACCCCAACAGCGTACCATGGTAATGCCTGATCGCATGAGGTGGATTTATCGCGACCCGTCAGGTAACACACAGGGTCCATTCTCCGGTCTTGAGATGCACGATTGGTACAAGGCTGGATTTTTCTCCCCTGAACTACTGGTTAAGAAGCAAGAGGAGCCGGACTACGAACCACTTGCTCAACTCATTCGCCGCATTGGCAACTCCCGCGAACCATTCCTGGTCCCTCAGATCGGAATACCCCATGGACCAGCCGCATCCCAGCCAGGCAATACTTGGGCCGGCGGTGCTGGTACCGCACCAGGTGCCCAACCACCATTCGCGAACAGCTTCCCTAGCTTTGGCACCACTCTGACGGCGGAGCAACAGAATGCGCTGGAGCGAAGGAAGCAAGAGGAGCAGTATCTCATGGCCCGGCAGAAAGAGCATTTGGCAGCCCAGCAATCAGTCAATCTGAGGTCCGCGCAGCTGGGAGGCATCATACCAAACCAGCTTCAGCACCACTCTAGTGCTCATAGCTTGCAGAGCCAGCCAAGCTTTGGTAGCATCACATCACCTGGAGGTTATCAGCCATCTCCTACTCAAGGACCCGGCGCAGCAGGCTCTGCTCTTATGGAGAACGCATTTAGGCCCGGCATGGTCCCCGGGCTGGGTCCCATCGGCGCCGGCGTAGATATGATGGGTAACGATGAAGTATCTGGCCTCATGGACCGTCTCAATCTTGGGCGTGGAACACAGCCTGCATTTGGCACGGCACCTGGATCCTTCGCTCCGCAGCACCCAGAAGCCACCTCACACGCCCAGAATGTCGTCGCCATGCTCAATGACCGTGCACGATTGCAGCGTGAGCAGGCTGAACACGATGCTCTACAGAGGCTTGGGATGAACGATCAGCAGGCGGCCCAATCCTCTGCCGATCGCCTGCAACAGTTTAACGACTTGCGTGTGCAGACAGACATGGACCAATCACGCGTCGCTCCTCCGCCAGAAGGTGTTATCGGAAAGCCTTCTGCCCCGGCCACCCAGACGCAAGACCAACAGCTTGATCCCGAGACACCCGAGAATGGCGACACCCAGGAACAGGTAGCGGAACCAAGCGCTGAGATGCTAGCCAACGCTCAAGAGCCTCTTTCTCTCACAGAGCAGGTCCAAAAGGCGCAGTCTGCCAAGCATTCTCCCACACCTCAATCAGCTTGGAAAGCAGTCGAGCCTGCCATATACCCATTTCCGCCTCCACCTTCGCAGTCACCTCTTCCAGCACCAGCTGCGCAAAGGAAGGCTATCGTTCCCGGGGACTTGCATGCTGACTCTCGTGCTGCCACACCCTCAGCTGATACACCAAGTGCGTCCGTGGCGCCGTGGGCAAAAGAGCCTGCTGAAGCTTCCAGGGGCCCCTCTCTCAGAGAAATTCAAGAAGCAGAGGCCAAGAAAGCTGCCGAGCGCGAGGCTTCTGCTGCTGCTGCTCGCCGTGAAGCTTTCGAGAAAGAGCTTTTGGCCCAGGCACACTCTCCTGTCATTCAACCCGGCTTACCCTCGAGCTCTACGTGGGCTAGTGGTACTGGTGCCTCTCCATCGACCCCTGTTCCTGCTGTTGGTGCCTCCGCGTGGGCCAAGCCTGCTGCTGGTAAAGCTCCGGCCCAGCCCACTCCAGCATCTAAGAAGACGCTTTCGCAGATCCAGAAAGAGGAGGAAGCTCGCAAGAACCGTGCAGCGACTCAAGCAGCATCGGTAGTCAGCCCGCTTGGTGCCGCTACAGCAGTTGCCGCAGCAGGGAAGCGCTATGCCGAGTTGGCTAGCAAGCAGACCCCGGTTCTCCCTGCTGCTGCCATGGCTGCTGGTGCTAGTCCTTGGACCACCGTCGGGGCAAGTGGCAAAGTCAAGACGCCAGGCGGTCCTGCTAGTCCGGCGCCTGCTGTCGTTCGCACGACTAGCTCAAATGTTGTGCCATCCATCCTGAAGAAGCCGACTGTTGCACGCACTTCCACCCTCGCTGGCGCTTCAGGCAAAGCCAACGCTGAAGAAGAGTTCCGTAAATGGGCTGTGAACGAGCTTCGCTCTGACCTTAACAAGGGCATCAACGGTACGTTCGCTCAATACATTGATTGACTATGTGCTGACTTTCAAATAGCCGAGGACTTTGTCTCTTCGCTCCTGAGCTTTCCTGCCGACGCTGAACTCATCACCGAGTCTGTCCACTCCGCAAGCAACACTCTTGACTCTCGCCACTTTGCTGAAGAGTTCCTCCGTCGCCGCAAGCTCGCTGATAAGGGTATTATCGATGATCGCAGTACATCCAGTCCCGCCGAAAACAAGTCTGCAGGTGGCTGGTCTGAAGTTGCTAAAAAGGGAGGCGCAAATACCCAGCAACAGCAACAACAGCAGCAGCAGCCCGCTCTCGATTTCAAGGTCGTCCCGAGTAAGAAGAAGGGCAAGAGATAGATGTTCTCGCTTCAGGAGGACATGTAACTTGTAATGGAAAAGCTGTTTGCACCATATCGCATCGTCGCATGATGCTTGGTAGATGCAGTGTTGAGGGCCTGCGTTGACAATGTAGACAAAGAACGAAGCCACGCTTAGATTCTGTAATTAGTGGAACACAAGACGTTGTCGAGTGCACTCTGACTTTCGTGAGAAATGTCTTGTGGTTTTGCACATGTATGTCACCCTAGCAAACAACCCTCGCCGTGCAACTCAGCCGGAGAACAGGAAACGCATTCTGTAATAGAGAGGTCATTATATGCATTGTGAACTGTACATATCTCCAAACGCCCCCAAACAAAAGGTATCTTAAAACGATGACGAACACGCCGCAAATCCAAACCGCGCCCAGCTTGATGTTATGCCGATCACATTGTCCGCCAGAAGTAGTTTGTGTAGAAATGTCGCGAAAACTTGGGGTCGATGTTGACAACGTGCACGTCACCCTTTGTCGCATTCCGGATAACAGCCTTGTTATACTGGCCTGTTGTAGCGTCGGCTTCGACGTCGATACCGAGTGTGCGGTAAAGTTTCAGCTTCAAGCTAGAGAAAACGTTAGTGGTTGCTTTCAGCGGTTGCTATCAGCGACAAAACCTACATGGTGGCATCCTCGTTGTCCGCCTTTTCCCTCTCCCCGCCTTCAACGCCCTCGGCCTCTAGATCGGCAGCCACGCCCCCGAGCCTCTCGCGCTCCCGCTGTAATCTCTCACCCTCGATCTCGAGATCGGAGGCTTGCTTCGCAATCTTGAATTTTTCGGTGTCCAGCCTGAGAATCTCAGCTGCGTGGTTTGTGGGGTTGTGTTGCGACAGTGTGTGGTTGTGGTTTGCGCTGAGCGTCTGGTGGGTGCGCGAGAGTTGCGCTCTGGAGGCCTGGAGGGCCTGCAGGTGTTGCGATCGGAATTGTGAGAGTGTGGAAAGGCTGTCCGAGATGCGCAAGAGCGACGCGGTGTCGTTGGCGATCTTGAAGTGTGATGTGCACTGCGAAATGAGCTGGACGGGTGGGTTAGTCTGCTGCGTGCGGTGCTTTGCGCTTGGTGGACATACAGCGGCGGGATCTTCGTCGAGAAGCATTTTGACGGAGTTCAGTAGTTCGTCAAGGGATCTTCTACGTCGTTCGGTTCTGGGGCGTGCAAGTTGTAGTACGTCGTGAAATAGATGTTGGGCAGGTCGCGATGCAGTGATGGCGCTGGGTTCGGTTTCGGTTTGTTGTGACGGCCGTGCGTCCATGGCAACGGTACGACCGCGGCTGCAGCTGCCGCCACATCAGCAGAGCCACGAGCCACGAGCCACGAGCCGAGGGGTACGTCACCGATCGTTTTCACGCGACAACCCTAGCTGTACCTGTGCGCTGCCGCTGGTCTTTGTGCGCCGCTCACAGTACTTCTGTAACCTCAAATACCACTCTACACTATGTCACCATCGCTACCATGTAAGTGCCCGACGATATGAGCCTGCGTGGAACGCGCACTGACCCGCGACAGACGCTGCCGACGTCGAGTCGCCTCTGAAGCCCGACGAGCTTCAGGTGTTGCGCGCACAATACGAGAAAGAGGGCGAATACGTTGGTTTGCAGACAAAGTTTAACTATGCATGGGTACATACATCACTCGCTCATTCCATCTCAACCCACATGCTAATACCCCCCAGGGCCTGATCAAGTCCAACGAACGCGGCGAGCAGCAAGAAGGCGTGCGCCTCTTGTCCGACATCTTCCGTGGCTCGCGCGAACGCCGTCGCGAATGTCTCTACTACCTCGCCCTGGGCAACTACAAATTAGGCAACTATGCAGAGGCGAGAAGATATAACGAGCTGTTGCTGGAGCTGGAGCCGGCGAATCTGCAGGCAGGGAGCTTGAAGGGTCTCATTGACGAGAAGGTGGCAAAGGAGGGACTCGTTGGCGCTGCAATTGTAGGTGGTATCGCGGTTGCGGCGGGGCTGGTCGGCACTTTCTTGTTGAAGTCTGGACGGAGGAGGTGAGTCACCCGTAGGCGAAGCTCTGAATTGCAGGAAATGGATCGATACAGATGGATATGGACGGATAGGATTGGGGGTACACATGTGAGGCACTGAGCAGGCGTTGGTGGACTTGGATGTCATGGAGCTTGGACTGTCTAATTTGGCTACGACCGTATACCTATGATTGCAGAGCGTGTTTCTTTCGTACCCAGTTCAAGCAAAGAACTTCTCCATAATACACCACATCCGTCGTTCGGTTTCTGGCCCGACATTAGCTATGATTGCAGTTTGATCGAAGTACGTGGAAGAGCTGAAAAACACTCAACGATTGTTTCGGCAAACGAAGAGTCAATCTAGAACGACCAACACTTTGAATGACTCATATGGCTACATGGGAAGACGCAATCAGATACATTGCACATTCCATACTCCATGCCATTTCGAAAGTAGTGTTGCCTCCCACCCGGCACCGATTCGTTGGACCCTGCGCCAGCGATCGTCAAGACGTCACTCGGGTCTGAGCAGCAAGCAGTTGACCAGGAACCAGATTTAGTCCGCCAGTGTCGCATTTCCCCAATTTGTCCTTCACCTAGTATTCACCGTTATCCTTTCTCTCGACGCGTCCACTGAGTAGTCAACACAGCGCCTACTTTTGTTCGGCCATAGCAGGCCCGCCGGACATCTCAGCGCGAACCGCCGACCTACCTATCACCCGCGCACTCTCACGTCCTCCTGACATCTCCCCGTGAGTTCGCATAACTGCACGCCACGGTATTATTTGCTGATATGAAGACACGATAGCCCATCGGCTCCTCAGTCGCCTTGATCCCAAGACACCGCAGATATGGACCAGTCGGCGAACCAGAATGCGCCCGCACCTGCGGGGAGTCAGAGGCCCGGACACCGCGATATGATGTTCTGCCACGAGTGCGCCGATGAGTGGTATCGAGATGAGCGCGGCCTTACATGTCCAGAGTGTGGTTCGGACTTCACGGAAATTGTGAGTTGACTGCAGGGTCTTACTTCAGCTATACTGCTATGAGGCTGGACGTGATTGACACGCGCTTACACCATCCAGATCGAGGACGACAACGACCCGCGAGACAGCAATATGTTTGGCCATGACGGCGACCAAGACGACGACGAAATGTCCGATGTAGAGCACACCCCGCCACATCCAAATCCCCACCAAAGCCCTTTCGCAGACGACGACCCAGAGGAGGCAGACATCAGCAACTTCAATTTGGTGCGCATCGGACCAGGCAGATTCAATGTGCAGGCGACCATAACACGGTCCGTGTCCCCGCGCGGTTTGGGCGCTGGCGTTGCGCCTGGGTCAATCGGAGGCTTCATGTCCATGCTGAATGGCCTAACTCAAGCTGCTGTGCAGGGGCAACCACCTGCTCGGGGTCAATCTCAAGGACAAGGCGAAGGACTCTTCTCCGGTGCTGGCCAGTCAGCTTATCAAGAGTCACAGGGCGCAGGCCAGCCATCAGCTCACGCAGGACGCTTCACATACCATGGCGGGGCCCGGTTGGCACCACGAGGCGACGGGATGGGCATGCGCGTCGAGCCTGTTGATGATATCTCCAAGTAAGCCAGCGCGCGACCAGTCGGGAACATGACGTGCTAATGGACTACAGCGTCATGACTGGTCTAATGGCAGCACTTGGCGCTCAAAACATGCCACAGGGCGGCGATGGCAGCGGTCGTGGTGGCCCTGGCGGCGAGCATGTACCAGCACCATTCTTAAACCTCTTCCAATCGCTTGGTCTCATCCCTGGAGGAGGTCAGATGGGCGACTTCGTCTACTCGCAAGAAGGCCTCGATCGCATTGTATCTCAACTCATGGAACAGACAGCTACGAACAACGCTCCTCCACCAGCTACACAAGACGATATCGACGCTCTGCCCAAAAAACAGGTATCAGAAGACATGCTTGGCCCTGAGCACAAGGCCGAGTGCAGCATTTGTATTGACGAAGTAAACATCGGCGAAACGGTCACCGAGCTGCCCTGCAAGCACTGGTTCCACCACTCATGTGTGTCTGCATGGCTGATTGAACACGACACATGCCCACATTGCCGTAAAGGCATTACCAAACACCAAGAAGGTGGAGCAAGTGCCCAAGCGTCTGCATCAACCGCGCAAGCCTCTACTGGACCCCAGCCAACAGGTTCGCGGTCGATGCCTGGCGCCTTCGACGCGGCAGACCCATATGTTGTCCCGTCAGAGTCTGGATCTGCAGACAATCAGGCTACTGGTACATCAACAGCTACCGATGCAGCTCCAGGTGGGGTTAGCGAACGGGTACGCAGGGGTTGGTCTGATTCTCAGTCCTAAGACATCAATCACTCCAACCAGCTAACAACCCTCTCTAAATCATAGGCCGGCAGCGGCTACGAGAACGTCGTGAACAGCGTCATGAGCGACATCGCCAGCGTCGCCTCGAACGACATCAACGGCTTCTCGGCAGGATTGCCGCTACTTTCCCGGCGTCATCTCCAGAGATCATCTTGTCCTCCGATCGCCCCAACCTCCTGCTCCGAAGTCTTTTGCGGTCGTCTGACAGCAATACTTGGCCTGGTTCAGCGTACTGATACTCTCCTGCACGTGACGCATACGACTGGTTTTTTCTTGTTGACCTATTTCGATTGATCTGTAGATACTCCATGTCCCCTAAAACCATTGGACACAGCATGGCAACGGCGTTGCAATTGGGCATTCATTGGGCGGCCTTCTGTAAACATCATGAATCAACGTAAATGAGACATTCATGTCCCGTTAGCTATACTCCTAGGTTGATGCTCGTCGACATGGACGTGATTTGGAAACGTGACGTCGTGCCTCCGCTACGCAGACCCCGCGACGGCCTTCACCGCTGTCAGACGGCGGCGATCGCTCGGCTAGCATCTCGCCGACAATTTCTGTGTCTTCACATGTCAGCATGTCAGGAGGGGTCACCAGGACAACGTCAAAGTTTTTGTTGGTGCACGGCGGGCACAGACGCGATCGCCCTAGAACACGCTGTGAGGGAACCCGCTGCTTGCGTGCTTGCGTAAAGTGTGTGAAGCTTGGACTACCTAGCGTCCGACTGACAGCGCATCAAATCCGAATGCCATGAGCCCTGCAGATTAGCACCCGCAGCGGCGCATTGACTCGCCTCATCCACAGAACTTGCGCAGAGGAAGGAGTTGCGATACAACCCTGGACTTAATGTTTCGGATGACTTGGGGCAACCTCTCACGGCAGAAGTTGAGGCCGAGGGGGTCCCGGTCTTGAGACGCCGTTCCTGCAGCGCTGTTGGGCGACTTGCAGTCGTCCGGTCCTGTAACGCTGTGCGTGGCGCCACAACGACTGGCGCGTACCGCACATCTGCGTGTTGCGCGGTATCCGTGCTCAAGCTTGAGCTCCAACAGCTGTCCACGTCGTGTCAGCGCGCTGGCAAGAGGACACGACGTCGACGTGCCCCTCCAGTGACGATCTGTAGCTCGGACGACAGTCAATCGACACCAATTGCATCAGATATAGAGGGTTGTTCGTCTCGCCAGCCTGCGATTGTCGCTCTTCATTACTCGGTGATATTGCTTTGCTCTCACGCGACGTCCATGTGGTGGCACTACGTGCAGTGCTGTGATTGGGTAACCTAATTCGACCTCGCCCAGCAGGGTTGATGTGTAATGGACAAAATGGGGGCCGTCAACAGTTTCCTGGCTGACGGTGAGCAGCGAGCTCGACACCAGACTTGCCCATTGCCAACGAGGATGTGTGGTCTTCCAGCGACAGCAGGCGTCGACGATGGTGTTGCCATGGTCGCCCGCACGTCGAACCCTGTCGAGGCGGTAAGATGCAAGTGGAGCCGCGCCTCGGGCACGTCCCATCCTCCGCCCGGACAGCCCTCACAACGGGACATTGTGTGTTGTGCTTGCATGAACCGGCGCGTTGACTTTGCCCCATGTGAGGTGTGCAACGTGCAGAGCGTCTATCCAGCGCATCCTGACTGGGCAGCAACCATCCTTGGTGCTGCAGGCTGCATAGAGATACAAGCACGCTAAGATGCACGCGTTGTGCCCGTACATAAAGGCAACGCTGGAGGACCAAAGGCGCCCCCGTCCGCTTGACAGAATCGGTAAAATCTCTTCAGAGGAGGAGCAGGCTAGCAGGCTACTGGACCCCGTGCGATTGATAGCAAAACTGAATCATGCCTAGCTGGCGCTCGAGAGAAAGCTATGAGTGAGTGACCTTCCGTCATCCCGACTTTTTTTTCGTCTTCACCGCACCTTCGCATCACACGCCTCACCTGCCCTCACGCTTTGCTCTGGTAAGAGATAGCTCCCCGTCCGGCCACCTCTTGTCGACGCCAGAGTTTCACATCCTTGGCTCTTCTCAACAATCCTATTGTTGTGCATGTTCCTGCCCCTCACTCGCTTCACCGCCCATTGTTTACGGCGTAATAACAACCTACTGACGCCAGCCTCAGCGGAACGGCAAAAGAGCAGAAGCAGATCCTCGCCGATATAGAATCGGGATCTTCCAAGTTCGGTCGAAAGCTCCATTCAGCTCGACCTCCCCAGGCACACAGAAACCACAGTGGTCTGAGCCAAAGGAGCTCACAGGACACGATATCTGCTGCTGTCACGCCCGAGGAAGCAGCCGAGCAACCCGATCCAAGAGATCCAAAAGGACGGAAGTCGGCGAATTTAACCCGTCCCGGACTACCCAAGCGCACAAGCAGTATGCGTAGAGCCTACAACTATTTCTTTGGCAGCGCTGGCGCCGCGCCGACTTCACCCACCACCGCGGTCACCACAGCGGAAGCACATGCACCAGCGCCGAGCAAATCCCGGCCTACCACCGGTGACAATGGCATAGATACGCCGCCCGAGACGCCGAGGGGTGTCCCCGGCGCAGATGCAGGTAAGCAACTTCTCTTTCACCTCACCCCGCCTGCCCAATAACCTATCGTGCCAGGCTCGGGTCCGTTCTACCCGTTCTCTCTTACAGCAGCTCCGCTGCATGTCCCGGCCTCCTCGCTAATCCGCCGAGTTAACACAGGTGCCCAACCTCCCTCCCCCAATCCCAACGACTCGTACGAGGTGCAGCTAGAGGCTCTGAAAAAGCAGCTGGCTCACGCCGAAGCTCAGCTTGACGAAGCGCGAATCGTTGCGAACAAGCAGGACGAGCATGTCAAGACCCTCGAGGATGACCACAAAGAGCGAGAGAAGACCTTTGGGGAACGTGAGTCCACCTTGTTGCAAGACAAGAAGGACCTTGAGGAGCACATGGTCAGCGTTGTTGTACAGCAAGTTCGTGAAGCCAAAACCAAGGAGCGTAGCTCTGTTCGCGCCGAGTGTGAAAGTGAGTTTGAGAGCAAGTTGGCGTCTTCTACTGCCGAGCATGAGGCCCGTGTCACCGAGCTCCAGACTGAAATCGACGGCCTGAAGAGCGAGATTGAGAAGCTCAAGAGCACCATCGCAGACCTCGAGAGCAAGACCGGCGATTCAGCACCCAAGGCCGAGCTCGAATCCAAGGACAAGGAGATTCAGGATCTGACCGAAAAGAAGAGCACCACCGAGCAGTCGCTCGCTAAGGCTACCGCCGAGCTCGAGCAGCTTACTGCGGATAAGAAGAGCGCCGATGAGCTTCTCGCCAAGGTCAACGCTGAGCTCGAACAGCTTCGTGCCGACCAGGCCTCCCTCATTCCCCGCACCGACCTCGATGTTAAGGACGAAACCATTGCTGCCCTCACTGCGGAGAAGGAGGCTAGCAGCAAGAACGTTGAGCAGCTTCAGGGCGAAGTTGATTCGCTGAAGAAGCAGATCGAAGAATTCCAAGCCAACCACGCTGACGCCGACGAAAAGCTCAACGCTCAAACCGAGGCCCACAACAAGTTGTCTCAGGAGCACGAGGCCCGCGGCCTTAAGCTTTCGGAGCTCGAGTCTTTCCACGCTTCTGCATCTGAGGAGCACAGTGCTAAGATCTCCGAGTTAGAGAAGGCACTCGCTGGTGCAAAGGAGGAGCTATCGAGCCGTACTTCTGACTTGGAGGCGGCCCAGAAGGAACTCGCTAGCAAGTCCGAAGAAACCGACAAGGCCAGCAAGGAAGCTGCCGCTATTAGCGACTCGAGCAAGAGCGAAATTGAGACTCTCAAGAAGCAAATCAGCGACCTCGAAGAGAAACTTGCCGCTGCGGACGCGTCGAAGGGCGATGCTGACGAGTTGTCTACAAAGCTCTCGAAGTTGGAGGCTGACCTCAAGGAGGCACAGGACGCTCTTGCCACCAAGACATCCGAGCTGGAGAGCCAGATTGCCACTCTCACCACCGAAAAGAGCGGCGCTATTGAGGCTGCCGACAAGGCCAGGAGCAGCGTTGACACATTGACTGCCCAGATCACTGACTTGGAGAAATCTTTGAAGGATGCTCAAGAAGGCCTTGCCGCTAAAGAGGAGGAACTTTCGAATGCAAAGGCAACCGCTTCGAAGGCTTCCGAGACATCAGCTGCCCGCGTTGCTGAGCTTGAGGATGCCCTTGCTAAGGCCAAGAGCGATGCCGAGAGTGCTACCGGCTCCGCAGATACTCGTGTATCCGAGTTGGAGGGCTCTCTCAAGAAGGCCCAGGAAGATCTTGCTGCTAAGGAGCAGGAGCTCCAGAAGGCACAGGGCGACGCATCGGCGGCCTCTGAGACTTCTTCCAAGAAGGTTTCTGAGCTTGAGCAGTCGCTCAAGGGGGCACAGGATAGCCTTGCGGCAAAGGAGAAGGAAGTCGAGAGTGCTCGTGCCGACTCAGGCAGCGCTACCGAAGTCGCATCCGCCAAGATCGCTGATCTCGATAAGCTTCTGAAGGAAGCCCAGGCCAACCTGTCTCAGAAGGAGTCGGAGGTGAAGGCTGCACAAGAAGAAGCTACCAAGAGTGTTGAAAGCTCATCCTCGAAGATCAGTGAGCTTGAGAGCTCCCTGAAGAAAGCAGCCGACGATCTCGCTGCTAAGGATGCGGAGGTATCAGCCGCAAAGGCTGACGCACAGAAGACTTCTGAGTCGTCAGTGTCTCAGGTCCAGGAATTGGAGAAGAAGCTTGCTAGTGCCGTTGCGAACCTGGAAAGCGAGCAGGCAAAGAGCTCCGCCGCCCAGGCAGATGCGGACAAGCTGAAAGAGACTACTAGTGCTCAGGTTGCGGAACTTCAGAAAAGCCTCGAGGCTGCGAAGAAGGAAGCCGCTGATGCTACCGAGTCTGCCAAGGGTGAGACTTCTGGTCTGCAGAGCAAGGTCTCGGACCTGGAGTCGTCGCTGAAGAGCAAGGATGCCGAGCTTGCCAAGGCTGTCGATGCTAGTGACAGCGCAAAGACCGAGTCAACTGAACTGTCCAAGAAGATCTCAACTCTTGAGAAGGAACTGTCTGAAGCCCAGCAAGTCGCCAAGTCCTCCAGCAGCGAATCCTCCGAGAAGATTGCCTCTCTCGAGAAGGAGCTTGCTACTGTCAAGGCTTCCAGTGGTGAATTCTCCGAGAAAATTGCTTCTCTGGAGAAGGAGCTGGTTGCTGCTAAGCAACAAGCCGAGCAAGTCGAAAACCTTCAGGCCTCACTCAAGAGTAAGGATGAGGAGCTTTCTAAGGCGCAGGAAGCAGCCGAATCGTCTAGCACCAAGGCCAACGAACAGATTGCTTCTTTGCAGAAGGACCTTGCCTCCAAAGAAGAGGCTCTGAAGGACGTCGAGAAGCTTAATAGCCGCATCGCCGAATTGGAAGCTGCTCAACAGACTAGCATCTCCGCACAGGAAGAGAGCAAGGGCCAATTGACAGCTGCACAACAGGCTCAGGCCGACGCTGAGAAGGCGCTTGAGACAACAAAGATTTCCCTATCTTCGACCCAGGAGGAACTTACCACTCTTCAGAAGTCTAACGGCAGCCTTGAGACTGAGCTGCAGTCGGCTAAGGCGGACGCATTCAAGGCAGCTGAGCTACAGAGCCAACTCGACAAAGTTTCAGCTGAACACGATACTGCTTTGAAGGAGGCGGAATCTTCCCACGAGGCTACGAAGAAGGATCTTGCGAGTGCAAAGGCGGCTCACGACGATGCTGTCAAGAGTGCTACCGCTGCACAGGACGAGGCTAAGGCCAGCCTTTCTTCTGCTCAAGAAGAACTCAAGGCTGCCAAGTTGGCGCAAGAGAAGGCCGAGCAGTCACTGGCAGATGAGCACAGCGCTGCTACCGATAGCAAGGCCCGCGCCGACGCCCTGGCCAGTGACATTGCCGAGCACAAGGCTGTTGCCGAGAAGGCAGCATCTGAGAAGGCTACATTCGAGGAGCAAATCAAAGCAAACGATGCAAAGGTCGCTCAACTGGAATCTAGCATTGCATCTGTTACCAAGGAGAAGGCTGCAAACGACGCAAAGGTTTCAGAGCTCGAGGCTCAGCTTGCCGAGTCGCAAAAAGCGACCGAATCAGCAAAGGCCATTGAAGAGCTCAAGAAGGAGTCTGACTTGAAGGTCATTGAAGCCACCAAGGCCCTTGAACTGTCGCAACAGCAGACAAAGGAGGCCGAGGAGAAGGCAGCAGCCAGCACCAAGGCAGTTGACGAGGCCGTTGCTGCCCGCAAAGCTCAAGAAGATAAGTCCGCGCAGATCGAGGCTGAGCTCGCTACCCTGAAGGCTTCCAGTGAGGCTAGCACAACCGAGCAGGACACCCTGAAGAAAGAACTCGAAGAGTCGAAGAAGCGTGAGGAATCTCTCAAGACCCTCAACACCTCGGTCATGGAGAAGATCAAGGAGAAGGACGCCAAGATCGCGGAACTGACAGCTACGGTGGCCGAGAAGCCCAAGGAGAATGGTGTCAAGGCTGAGGCTACCGCCGAGGCTTAGACCTTGTTCGTCTTTGATGATTCCTGAAGGGAGACTGTACAGACTGCTGTTTTGTTTTCGCGTTGTGTGGCATTATACCCCGTCTGGTCTGCATCGTTGCGTGACTGAGCGTAAGATCGTGCTGGTCGGATGATTATCGATGGTAGACTAGCTTTGGGCCGTCTGTCTTGTTTTGTTATTTCTTTTTCTGCGCGCTTTGATGAAATTCCCTGTTTCGGTAATGACGAGACGGCTTGTCTGCATGATTGCATGATGATGATGTGGATGTGGATGTAGATAACGAATGTATCGCTACATACTTCAGTCCAAATTCTGTATTATAGTGATGTTTGATTCATCCACTGAATGGACTCCGAAGCGCCAAAGAATCAGTGTTCAGGAAGATTCTTCTATGCAGATGCACAGATTAGTTCAACGAGGGGAACGAAGTCTAGGCTCGAAGTTATCTACTGTAAAGTGATCTTGGTTGTGTAGGGCAAAGTAGTCGAAATTCAGGCGGAAATGGCAACCAACCCCCTACCTGCAATTGATAGCTTGATAAATGAACTTGGTAACACAATGAGAACGCCAGAACATACAGATCCTTTACTGTAGTCACAATTTGGACTTGTGTTACTTGGAGTGTGATCTATGATGAGTATTAAGTTACGCATCTGGGTGGAAGGAACCCCCGCACATGACGCTAGTGATGTGATTTGCTGATACTTGCACACTCTATTGCTTCCATGGGGCTTCTTCAACGGTCGAACCATATCACAGAGTTTCACTGGTACATAGAAGCCATACCTAATAACATGGTATGAATCGTTCCGCCCCCACTTACGAGCGCCAAAGCTTCGTGCCAGGGCACAGCGTCTGCTGTCACTCCACCCAACCACTCCGGTTGAATCAACAACGACGCTCTATCATTATCCCCATCGTATCCGAGATGCCAAGCTCACCATTGTCGGCATTGACCCGAACATCTTGCTGGAACAAGCAGGTGGCACGATAAGCCAAGCAATGCGGCCTGCGTTCAAGCATTGCGCTATACTGGAACAGGCATCTGAATAAGCGTTTCCCCAATTTCTGGGCAACAGTTTGCCATCGTTACGTAGCATGGATGAGTGAGGAGTATGCAGCACGGAAGACAGGGTATGCAGGTACGATGTAAATTTTCTCCTTTTAACCCAGTTGTCGCCGTTGTGACGGTTCCTGGTCCGTCCAACCTGTAGATTCTTCGATTGCGAAGCCGATCTCAGTTGACTGCAACAATGGCGCCTCAAGGCTGCTCAACGGCCTCTGTGGTCGTTCTCGCAGCTGCGATGCTCGGCACGACATCAGCATTCCCAGCACATTCGCTGAGGACCAGGGCGCCGACGACCCCTTTCGCGCCAATTGACCCTCAGAACTGGGTCAATCCAGACAACATGACGTGGGACGACTTTGTCGCTCCACCAAGCACGTCCTGGAGCGACCCTGCGCGCAAGGGTCGAGACCGCAACTTCAACATTGCTATGGTCACTGTCGACTATCCTGGTAAGTAAGTATCAAAAATGTAAACCACTCACAGCTAACGGTCCCTCCAGATTCTCCGTTCGTTGTTACTCTGGCTGCCAACTCTGATATATTCGGTAACCCCCAGCCGCTCGCTGCTGGCCTGAAACGCGAAGATGTACCCAAGTTCTACCACGACTTGCTGAACGTTCCCAACGATCTCAACGAGGGCCACACTCTCCATGAGTACTGGATGGGCGATTCGTTCGGCAAGTATGGCGTTGACTTGACTGTTTTTGGCCCTTATCGCATGCCCGCCAAGAGCTATCAATACGGTGTAGATGACGAGCAAGGTGGTTTCAATGAGAATGCTTGTCCTGAAGGCCCGCCATGCTCAGTCGACCTTCGAACAGACGCTCTGGGCGCGTGGCGCAGGGACGTTGGTAATGAGACAGCTGATGCGTTTGAGCTGGCATTCATCCTGTCTGCTGGACAAGATGAATCTTCCACATGGCAGGAGTTCGGAGAGATGAAGTTCTTGACCAAGGAGGATGTCCCGGCGGAGTTTGGACCACCAGCGAACAGTTCGCTCCCCAACTACGCTGATACTCGGTACGTCGAATGGACTTCTTGGGCTGCAGCCTCAACTATCTGGCCTAACGCCGGCGGCGGCTCATCCACTCAGGGTGAATCGAGTGGTATGGCCACTTTCGCTCACGAGCTATCTCATCTTCTCGGAATTGGTGACAACTACAACAACCCCTACAGTATTCCTCCGCGCCGTGCATACACTGGACCCTTCAGCATGCTTGACCGTGGCTCTTTCAACGGCCCCGGAGGTCCTCACACTCGCTGGCAGATCCCACCGGTGCAGGGTGCATCTATGGGCTCTCTCCACACCATGCGTGACAAACATCAGATCGGCCTGATTGACAACACTCCTATTCTTCAAGTGTCACGCTCTGGACTTGCCACTTCTGGCGCTGTCATTGCTGAGATCACTGCCCGCTCCGTTGACCCGGGCACCGGTCTCATGGGTCTCAACATCACCTTCGGAGCGCAGGGCGACCTCGCACCGGCGTGCAACATCTCTCTTGACGCACTATGTGATGGTCGTGGCTACAATAATTACAACATTGAAGTCGTTGACCGCATGGGCGCTGATTCGTTCTGTCCAGACTCGGGTGTCATGATTAGCAAGACCAAGAACCGCGACCGCTCACAGCCCTTCCAGTGGGTTATCGACGCAAACCCACAGGACGCCCACGTTGTTGACTTCTACCTGCCAAACGGCACGGCGAGGTACTGGAGCATCGGCGACTACCGCCAACTTGCCGACGCTCTGTTCCACGCTGGCACAAACTCTGGCAGCGAGTTTGAGCACGTCGATGAGGCGAACGGTCTCCACTTCTACGTGCTGGACATCAACCGCGACGCCTCCGGTATCCTGCGCTACACTGTCGGCGTGCGATCTACCAACGAGGCGTCGACTGCGAAGCACGACGTCAAGCTGCGCCAGGGCACTGCGTCAGGCAAGTCGTCAGAGGGCCTGTATTGCACGTTCCAGCTTGACAACACAGGCAAGGCCGGTACGAACACTACGTCGGCACACCCTCAGGATCTATCGGCGTACCTTGGATCCGACATTTTCAGGCTCGATGCCAAGGTCGAGGGCAAGGGATGGGAAGTAGGTGTCCCCAATGCGTTGGCGTACGCCAAGTTCGGCGAGAGCACGGAGGTCAAGGTCGCTGTGAAGAGCGGGTATGGTGCTGTCAACAAGGCCACAGTCAAGCTGACTGTAACGAGCGAGAGCGATCCAAAGGTGAAGGCGCAGAAGAGCTGCCAGGTACAGGCGTAGATAGATCAAGACGACCATTTACTTCCCCTGCCCTCTTTGCTTTTGAGATGGAGCTACTATGAGGGGATGTTAATGTTGCGCATGCGTGTAATGCTAGTGTATATTAGCGTTAGGTTCAGGCCTACCTACTATAGGCCTACTGTAGGCCTCTCAAATAATAATGGACAGGAAGCCCAAGAGCTGCCTCTTTGTTACTAGTGCATGCACGATGAGCAGACTGTGTGGGGTGAGCTGACAGGCCAGCGATCGTAGCCTTCACCGCCTCGCTAAGCGAGACGTGCCGGACCGCGCCTCACCTCACGTCTCCCCGGAGGCTGTCCGTGCAGGCCACACACATTGCTCCCTACCCCTCACGCGACCTGCGGTGGTGCATTGGTGGGTGCAGTGCAGAACAGGACCGTCGCCGATACTCGCAGCGCCGCGCAAAGGGAGCGTTGGCACGCGCCGCTGTCGTGCGACTTTCACGTGCAAGTGCAAGACGCTGGGCTATAACAGCTACAACAGCCCGACCGGACGCAGCGACGCTCTGCGCAGCGCGCCACGATGCCGACGCTCGACCAGATCGTAAAGGGCGCCCCGCCTCCCAACACGTCCGTCGACGAGGTCGCAGCCTCCGCATACGCAAGCCCGCCGCCGCACATGGCCGCCTTGCAACACCCGCTCCCACACCACGTCATCGACGTCAAGCCACCGCGTCCGCCGACGCTCAGCGACCCCACGTCGCTGCTGCCCAGCTCGCCGCCGCAGATCTACCTCAACCTGCTGATCCTCGAAGCCAGCCTGCGCAGCCAGTACCTCACCCTGCGCGCCCGCCGGCGCCAGAACACATTCGTCCTGACCCTGCTCGCGCTATGGATCGCCTTCTTCTTCTACCTGCTGTGGCTCCGCCCACGCGAGGACGGCAAGGGCATCGGCGGCTCGCAGTACTGGCTGCTCGACATGCTGCAGAAGGTCGGCTTCATCACGGGCGTCGTCACCGCGCTGCTGTTCTGGGCCACGGGGCAGTGGGAGCGCGGCGTGCGCTGGCCACGGCGCTGGATTGGCGTAGCCAACCGCGGCCTGCGCGGCATGAATGCAAAGATTGTCGTCATCCGCGGGCCCTGGTGGCATGAGCTCGTCGAGTGGGCCCGCTTCATCGAGCCCTTCTCCGGCGGCCTGTGGGGCGGCGAGCAGGGCGGCAGCTCGTACCACTTCATCAACGTCGTGCAGGAGAAGAACCACGCCCTTGACACGGGCCGCCCGCGACACAGGATCGTCGAGGATGGCAAGGAGTACGCCGAGGAGGACATTGCAATGGGCGGCGACTACATCAAACTGCTGCTACTCCCCAAGCCCTTCACGCCAGACTTCCGCCAGAACTGGGAAATGTACCGCACCGAGTACTGGGAACGCGAGAACGAGCGGCGCCAGGAGCTCAGGAAGCGAGTGCGCGCCCGCCAGCGTGAGATTGCGCGTGAAGAAGGCGGCATCTTGTGGTGGACTGGCTGGCGAGGCTGGAAGCGCGCCCGCGGATTCTCGGGTCGGAGTGGCGACGTCGAGAAGAGCGGGCACGCACACGTCCACAGCCACAGCCACAGCAACAGCTTGAGCGCAAGCAACTCACACCGCCGCCGTCGACCCAGCACCCTCACCCACGCCCGAGACGGGAGCCACTCACGCACCTCCTCGCGCAGCTCCACCCCCGGCCCCGACGACGAGCGCCTGCGGCCCCTCGAGTCGCGAGAGCGCCGATGGAGCACCAGCACCGCAGGCAGCACACGCTCTGTCTCCGCACCACGCGGCAACACAATCACCCAAGGCAACGCTGCGTCCGCGCGCCAGCCTCCCGCGCGACCACACCTGCCCGGCAGCACGGGGAGCGGCAACAGGCCCGGCACGCGGACGAGCATGCTGAGCAACGCGTCAAGTATGAGCGAGCTGGAAGACGGCGGGTACGAGGCCACCAACGAGAGCAAGCCGCGCCCACAAATCAGGAGGAAAGGGAGTCGCGAAAGCGGGAGCGGGAGCGGGAAGGAGGCTGCGAGTGCGTAGCGAAGACTGCGTTGGACGCGTTTCGTTGATGTTGATGATGATGACGATGATACCACTTTCACATTTACACGCTCGTGCGAGCGAGCATGAATGCAGATACGATCCTACAATGCTGCTACCAAACTGTAATTGCGACCGTCACTGTATGAACCCTTGGGCCGGGCCCGTGCACTGTCGTGTATTTCCCAGTCTGGTTGAGCACTTCCGCATCGGGCAATTCTTTTCTCTGCTGCGGTGATGTCACGTGCGTGCAGTCCGCAGTGTGCGCCCGTCTTACTGCATGCAGCTTGCAACAGGCTCACGGCACATTGTTGGAAGGAATCTACGTGTGCGTATCTCCAGTCGACCACCAAAGCCAATGTGCTGGTTTGCGCAGTCGGCGCCGTTTACAGTTTGCCAGTGTGAGTGCATGCAGCTCGCGCCCAGCGCAGTTTGCGGCACGGTGCAGTTCGGCTGAACTTACTGCGCGGTACAGTGCAAATGAACCTTCCACTGCATAATGCTGTACGAGACTTCTTGAACACACGTACACTCGACCAATTGAATGATTAGAATGTATTCGCTACAAAAAAACAAGCTTCGCTGTGAATCTAAAGGTCATCTACACAAGCTATGCACACCTCGTATCATCGCTCCTGCACCGCCTTGCTCTGTGCCTTTGTCTCCCGCATCTCCTCCAGCATGACATTGTTGAACTGGTCCCACCCATCGAGATACACATGATGCCCTGCCTTTTTAATGATGACGACCTTCGCGCTCGCATTATCCTGAGCACGCTCCTCTGGACTCTTGCCGGCGAGAAGACGTGTGCGCTCCTCGTTGAGTTTCTGTTGCGCGGCGCGGCCGCCCTCGACGTCCATCCAGTCGTTCTCGCCGTACATGAAGACAATGGGGATGCCATTCTCGCGTTTCGGCTGCGAGAGATTCGCAGGAGGTGTGTCGCCGTCTACGGATGGGGTGGCGTGCGGGCCTATCCACTGTCGGCCCACGCCTTGGATGCGGCGGATCAGTGGTGAGCGTGCGAAGGCGCCAGGCGCAAGCAGATAGCCCAGGGCGTACTCGCTGCTACCCCGCTGGCGGAAGAGCGCGTAGCTGTAGTCGTGCAGCGCCTGCGCTTCCTCTTCCGGCAGATGTGAGAAGCGCCGGCTTGTCCAGCCTGAGACCAGGCGCGGGCCCAGCGGCCCACTCCAGCGGACGAACGAGAAGGGGGACAGCACGTTGGCTTCCCACAGGTATGTGAGCCAGCCGGGCATGCGGCGGCGCGGCGGCTGGTCGGGCTTTTCAGCGTTCTTCTTCGCCTGATTGAGGAAGTTGTTGTTGTCTGCTGTCGTGGGAGGGACGCCGTTGCGCGGCGCCGAGGCGTCCTGGGTGAACTCGTTGACCATGGTGGAGTCGTTGGGATCAGGCATCTCCTCGTTCACTGCGTAGGGGTCTTCTGGTATGCCGACAGGACTTGCAAGGATCAACTTGTTCAAGTGGCCTGGGTATTTCAGAGCGTATGCAACAGCGAGGTAGCCGCCCAGACTGTGACCGAGCAGGGTGAAGCGCTCGAGGCCGCGCTTGATGCGCCACTCCTCCAGGGCGTCGACGAAGAAGGACTCGGCTTCTGCAATCTTGCCGTCCTTGTCTTTTGCGTTGATTTTGAAAGTCGAGCGGCTGCTGCGGCCCATGCCGGGCAGATCCAGAGCGTACACCTTCCAGCCCTCAGCGCGCGAGAGGGCCTCGAAGTTGCGGTAGAAGAAGCCCAGTCCTGCGCCGTAGCCGTGGAGCATGACCAGGTTCTCCTCAACCTCCTCGCCCAGACGCTCCACGCTGAACTCGTTCAGGGCGCGCCCTTTGCCGCTCAGCTCGACCATCTGCGAGTTCCATCTGCGCGGGCCGTACGGATCTGTGAGCGCGCTGGTGGTGACGCGGTCTTCGGAGGTCCTGGGCGGTGCTGCTGTGAGATCCGCCGTCGACGCGGGCGCCGAGCCCGTCTGTGTATGTGTCGGCGGACTCTGCAGGTGGGGGACGAAGGAGAGCACGCGGTGCTCGGTGGCCATGGGGGAGAGGCCGGCCCACTGTTCACGCGTTAGCAGCGCTCCATGCGCTCACGGTTGGAGCAGCAGCTCACCCATTGCGAGAAGCCCTCGCTCGCGCTCAACGGGAACCACTTCGCGATGCGCCCTGGAGCCTGGCCCTCGGCTCTCTGGCTCGCAAGCGGGCTCTGCTGCGTCTTGGCCCCAAGCTCCCCACCTGCGCTATCGTCGTGCGCAGCCATGGTACTGCTGTTCTTCTCTCCAATCTTGAGCGGCGTCGACAGACTCAGGCTGATGTAACTTGCGCCACCAAAACCGACCGTCTTCTGTAGTGCGCCTCGGGCGGCAGGTCTCGTTCTTAAATAGAGCCGCAGCATACGAAGCCGGGCGGAGATTGGGTGTGTGAGTGAAATATTGGCGACCAGATACAGCAAACACCTCAGGACGCGCTGAGGCGCTGCTGCGACACTTTTGTATGTGCTGACGTAGCGTTGCGGACGAGCGCGCGGCGAATGACTACGTACTGCGCCCGCCGTAGAGCACCGGCTTTAGGCTTTAGGCGATCGGGCGAGCAGTCTCGCCGCGTCGCCGTTCTGAACTGTTGCCTGGAGCGTGCAGGCGTCTGTAGGCACCGCTGGCAACGATATAGGGGCTGGAAAGCGAAGGACTCGTGTTGATGACGAGAGGTGCGAAGTGGAAGTCATTGGTACATGACACGGCGTTGATGGCACCTGTTCTGCTAGATCGTGTCGGCGCTTTACTTTCCCTCAACATTGTCCATGTGACTACTGCCCCTCGATTGATTTCTACCACTATGTGCCCCGCCTATTTGCGAACCCGCAGATGCGGTGAAGGTGCTGTAGCGCCTCACGTCCCAATGTTCCTGGTGTGCTGTGGTGAGCGCCGCTGATTGGGCCGTGAGGGCACTGCAGAACTCGAGCAACAGAAAGGCATCATCTGGCAGGCGGGAATCATCTTGACGTTAGCATCAAGATCCAACGCGTGGAAGCAGTATTCGGATTCAACTTTTATTCAGTGTCATCTTAAGGATGAATTGTGACAAGTGCGTCGAGTCGGGGACCGGGGCGCTGCGCCTCATGCTGACAGTATAGATCTGCGCCACCTGAAACCCCATACGCTTGATGCAAATGGCGATCAAACGGGTTCATACCTCCCTCGCATACGTTTTCACTCCTCCCTCGTGCCACACCAGGATCGTTGCAAGGCGTGGCAATGCTTTCCTCGCTGCTTTCATGTGCGTCTAGTTTGCTCGAAGCGTGTGAAGCGAGACCAGGATTCTTGGACCCTAGCAGCCCAGTGTAGTGGAAGCGAGATCTCACAGACGCATTCCTAGCATCGCGGGCAGACACACCATGCTCCCAGAGGCAGCCGACTTCAAAACCAGAGTTGTTCTCGTATATCAAAGACATTACTGTTGGCAAACAACCCGGAGTCGGTGAGGCGAAAGGGATCTGGTCGATACAGATTCTGGCTGAGGGCGTCGCGCTGCAAGCAGGTGCGGACTTGTCCAGGGTCGACACTGCGTGATGGTGTACTTCGTAGGAATGGATATGGCATCTTCAATCTTCCGGACCAGTACTCGCTATTGCATCCACAAGTCAGGTGGAGTTCAAGTGCTCCGCTCCGCTCGCGGTCGCCGGTGTACACGCCATTGAGACGGTGTCAATTCGTAGCAAAAGGCTATTGTATCCCAGAAAGTGCAGTGTCGTCGAAGCAAGTGTAAAAATGAGATCAGGCTTTGCGAATGATTAGTGCCGCGATGCCGTCAAATTGCTTCACACCATCGGCTTCGGCTCCTGCACGACAGGAACGGTGCTGTTGCTGCTCCATTGACTCTGCAGGCTCTCCCTAGGGTGGTGCTTCTTCAAAAATCGGCTGCTGTCGCCTGGTCGCTCGGTAGATGATCCGCTGTCGCCTCTCCAGGCAGGTGCCGGTCTCTGAGGAAAGTTGTAGTCGGCCTTCTCATTCAAGGTAGCTTCGCTGGACATTGAGCTCTCGAGCATGTCGGGTCCCGAGGCAGCTCTCTTGCGGCGCATGCAGCAGCAATTACGGCCATTGCTGTAGAAGAACAAGAGCCATACACAGACCCAGATAAGTGCAAAGACTGGGATGACTCCAACGACGACGAGTACACCAATGGCGGTTCCGGAAATACCCCCAGAGGACGAGCCCTCTAGGAAGCGAGGCGCAAGGTGAGCAATAGCAGGCATGTTGTAGTAGGGTTGTTATTATGAAAGTTGCAGGAGTGGCGGCGACGATATAATATTAAGAGTTCGGCGGCTACAACGGTCTTGAAGTGGATATAATAGTGACAGGTGAAACACAGGCGACTGGAGGATTCGTTGAAAGCGGGTCTTGGAACAGCGAATCCGCGAACAAAGGCGGTCTGTGAATTCACGAAAGTATGAACGCAAACCGCAAGTGAAGCGCGCAGTGGGCTTTGTATCCGGTGAGTCCGCTTTGGGACGTCATGAGAAGGCCAAAGTAGGTGACGCACCAGGTCACCGAGACATCTTGGAAGCCGCCGGCGCTTGGAAGTAGCGGCTTCGTGGTCTTGGTCCACATCTGCTGCATTAATCATGCGTTGCTTTTGCAGACGTTGCGTCGCTGCCGCTGCGCGTCGTGAGCCTGAGGCTGTCTGCGTTCCAAAAGTCGACACAGCCTCTCTCTGCAAGACGCATTTAGCTGAAGCTGTACAGGTGAGTTGCACAGAGCATTGTCACCAGCACGGAACGATCGGATGAGAGCAGTATTACGCAAATAGACCTAGATCCAAGACTCTACAAGCGCGTGGTCGAAGCCGTCAATCCGAAAGTCTGGAGAATGACAAGGGCGATTGGACTCCATGTCATCATCTGGTTGTGGTCTAGAAGAATGCAGTTAGCCTAGAGCGGTTGATTGCCGTGTCGGCCGCCGCAAGTGAAGTCATTGCGCTTGTGCGCTTCGAACACCAGCATCCGTTGTCTCCACCCACAAGAAATGTGGGCTCAGGTAATACGGAGCAACGTGAAAGAAGTCCGCACAATGCTGATTTTGAACAAGGTGTGCTTGCCAGCCCTTGAATGATCGCCAGGGACCTCACGATCTCCAGAAGCGATCTAGGAGGGCCGAAGCCGCCACGAGCACGCCAACTCCTTGGACTTCTTTGTACCGGGCGGGGTTAACTCACCTCCATGCTTGGCTATGAGCTTCTCGATGCGCGCAGTACCGGTTTCCCAGATTTCCTGTGTGCCAGCCTCGCCCAAATCGACCGCCTCGTACTTTGGCGTTGGCGCACTCCACGCATCGTCTTCCGCATTCGGTTCAGTCGCAGCTTCGACTGTTGATTTGAAGAGCTCTTCGGTCTGGTTCCATGGCATCGTGCCGTCATCCTCAGCATGCACGAAGATTAATCGCAGTCTGGAGTATTTTCCTATCGCTCATGTCATTAGTTGCAGTTCTGCAATCGACATTCGTTTGACGCGACACTTGCAGCCATCAGCGACTCTTTAACAACTTACGAGTAAGCGCCTTTAGTTTTAAGTCTGTTCTCCACGTGTCCCTCATCTTGCGACTGAACCAGTTTTGGAAAACTGGGATCATCTTGACGGGAGCGAGCACCGGTACGACGCCACCAATGGAATATGAGGCGAACGCATTACCAGCATTCGTGAATGCTGCACAGAGAATGATGCCTGCGAATTCGACACCTAATTCAGCATACTGCAATGCTACAGCCGTGGAAACCGCCGTGCCCAATGAATGACCAAGAAGCGTGATGCGATTTGGTGCAATCTTCGCAACGTTCAGCGCCCATTCAACCACCGCTTCAGCATCGTTTCTAAGACCAGCCTCTGAGGGCTCGCCACTGGACTTTCCAAAGCCACGGTAGTCGAAAGCCAGTACAAAAACCTTCTCACATGCACCGGAGGCGTATGATCTATATTCTTCTGTGCGTCTTTGCTGCCCAAGCGTTGCCGCATTGCCATGAAAGTAGATCAGCAGCCGTGCTTCCGGGTCATCTCGCAGCAAGCGGAATGCAAGTTTTTCTGAGACATCTTCAACACCAGACTGCTCACGTACGAAGTCTTCCAGATTTCTGGCATAGACGCCTAGCGGCGTGACGAGCCACGTGAACAGTCGGTGACTGTCTTTTGTTGCGATATAGAAAGGCGTGACCTGGTTTTCTGTGGTGTATGAGCGGTGCCCTGATGATCAATTACGGGGCCCTTGGACGCACTCATGAATCCAGCTCTTTCAGGTTCATCCAGCCATTTGCCAGGGAACATTGTGACCCAATGCAGGTACAGCATTTCTAGACGTTTCAGCAATCGCACGTGACTGTGCCTGCAGCTACCCGACCGCCGCGCCGCTCACTTACGCTTCTGTACCCATGGTAAGCAACACAATAGGGTAGCAGGCAGCCATATGCAGCTGATGAACGAAAGTGTAACGACGATGCCGCTGCCGATGCTCATATCGACGATTGTGTTGTCGCAATGACAGAGCAAGGTTCTGAGCCGCGTTTGCTCCTTTCGGCGAGCCTGCCGACGTGCTTGGCTCGCAACCACCAAAGCTCTCACCAACTCTGTGGCCTATGCTCTGATGCAATACATAGTGCTGAGGTATGCTGTTCGATGTGCGATGCCTACACATCTATTGTAAGGGCTCAGAGCAACGACATTGCAGCCAAGAGCAGAAAAATTTCGGCTTACTGTCTGCTGGTTTCACGACAAAATGTGTTCCTAGGACTTACCTCTTTGTCGCATATCGTGCATCCTATGGTTGGTAATGATCCCTACAACACCCTGTACGCTTTTGGCCGTGTAGGACAAAGCGGGGGTTGGGGGAGAGCTCAGAGTTCATTGGACGCCTCTACAAACACAATCTCCGGAAAGGCACATAGCAAACGTTGAGATAAGCGGGGCTGATGCCTAATTCCTGCTTACAATCTGCATTCTACTTAAATACGTGTCATGAGTCACTCATCTTACATCGAACCCGCACGAGAGAACCTTCTTCACAAAGACAGCATACAACATGTCGACCTCGAAAGCATATCCTGGTTCCTGTCACTGCGGCTTCGTCCAGTATCAAGTTCGCCTCCAGCTCCCTCCTACCAACGATGGTCAAGCGAAATCAGTTCGTTTGTACAAATGCAATTGTTCAACATGCCAAAAGATGGGTTTCTTCCATTGCCGACCGATAAACCCCGAGAATGATTTCATCCTTATCTCACCCACCAACATTGACGAGCTCGGAGACTATCGTGTATTTTCGAAAACGAATGGCTGGTACTTCTGCAAGAGATGTGGTGTCCGTGTTTTCGGCGTAGGTGGCGTGTGGGAGTCAAAGCAAATTGATGTCGAACATTGGGCAGGCGAGAAGCGCGAAGAAGAGAAATCGCAGCTAGTCCTGACATCTAAGCCTACGACTAAGACGAAGGTAGTCGATGGGAAAGACGTGACGGAACCTTATCACTACGTCAGTGTGAATGCGGTCACGCTCGAGCCTAGCGAGGATATCGACCTCAGAATGTGGCGTGAGAAGGAGTGGCTCTTATACATTGACACCAGGGAAGGAACTGGAAAGCCTCGTTCAGATAAGCCCCACGAAGGTGGAATGTACTGAGAGGTAGGCCACATCTATAAGGCCATATATGAACGAAGTCACACGGCACTAACAATGTGGAAGGGGGTGACGGACACGGCGCAATCAAAGTTTCCATTAGGACACTGTCTACTCAATCTATCAAATCAAAGTCCAGTATCTACCATTGGTCATGGTTCGTAGCTAGACTAAACCGTTCCTTGAAACGCGATTCCCCATCTGTCCGAGCATAAGGCATCTGCTCAGTTTGATTATTTTGTTCCTGCTCTGCAATTATCTCATTCGCCTTGTTCACAGCCCGCTGTTGAACAGACTCCCGATTCGACGGATCCGAGGCGGTGTGGAGATAGCGGTCAATCGCCTGTTCTTTTGCCTCCTGTAATGAACGCTTGATTTCTGCCTCACGCGGCGCAATCACGTCTTTGATATACTTGCTGTGAGTTTTTGGAAACTCGGGGTTGATCAAGGTCGCGTCAGCATCGCCCTCGAAACGAGCAACTGCTGCAATAACGTGCGCGGGGATTGCTTCTTGCGGATGAGCAAGGTCCTTCACAGAGTCTGCGTCCTTGCTCTCTCCATCAGGATACCCTACACTACTCGCTCGATCGGTCAGGGACTCTTCATCTTGGCCCTCGAGGCGGGCAAGAGACTTTATACGCATGCGGTCCCTGTACATCCGCGCTTGCAAATCCATAGGTCCTTGTTCCAGATCCCACGGGTGCTTGCGCTGCTGTACCATCTCCGGCGTGATCACTTTCAGATCACCATTTTTCCACTTCCTAAGCTGATCCTCATTGTGAGAACAATTTGAGCATTTGCCGAGGCAGCGGAGGAGAACAAAGTACAATAATGCGACTAGCAAAATGAGTGCGCAGATTATGGCGGCTACAAGGACCGCTACAGTGATTGCAGGGGTTGGATCTTTGCCAGTTGCTAGAGGCGAATCGAAGTTAGTTGGTAAGGGTGGGATGACGGTAATCGTTGACATAGATGCCGAGGAATCTGTCACCGTCGTCGCTGTTGCTAAGGTCGTGGTAGTGCTGGCTAGCGACTCCAACGTCGTGGCCATGCGGGAGATAGACAAAACAACAGAACGAGAGGCTGGTGTAGTGACAATCGAAGGTTCAATCAGGGTATGGACAACACGAGACGACATACTTAGTGCTTACCGGAAGACGTAGTATAGACTCGAGTTGTTCAAACGTGTGATTTGGTATTTATGTGAGCGATAGTGGAATACTCTGACAGAGGTTATTATATGAATACAGGTTGCATAGTGAAAATCTATCACATTATAAAAATAGCACCTGGACTGTATGTCGGACGACTGTGAACAGTGTTGAGCTTTGGGAAGCGGCACTCGTCGCTTCACTTGTTCGTCTTGATCATGATGTGATGGCTTTCACTAGCAACACCGCACCATATATGTGAGTGCTACACTACTCCCGACACTCACTCACCTCAGTGTATTCTTTGGCCAGTCCAATCTGACCCAATGGTTCCGAATCTCTCAGCAACCCCAACTCCAGCCCTGCTCACAGATCAATTTGGTCTTTTGGTACACAACGAAACAAAATACTTCCGCACTATCCACACTTCGTTGCACGATACGCGTGAGTATGATAATCTAATTGGTGGCGTCACCCTTATTGTTCTGGCTTCCTTGATCGTCCTGTTCAAGTTGTACCATCTCATTACATACAACAAACCGCTGTGGAAGATCCACATCCTTTGGTGTAAATACGTGCGCCCCAAGCTCTCACTTCAACATCTATCGCTTGGTATTAACACCGCAAAACTCCGAAATGGTCTCTTTTCGATCTTGAAGCGCAACGATATCGACGACAACGTGGAGGCCGGACAGTTTGATTCGCAGGACACGACGCTGCAGGGAAGCTCGAGTGGTGGCTCGGCTACTTCGATTGAGACGCAGAGTACTCGTTCCAGAGGCAGTATTGAGGGACAGCTTCACGCTCCTGAGCCAATACCGGATTTTGATGATGGTGGAGCTCAGCATGAGGTTGGCCAGGTGTGGATACCACTGCACCCACCTCAACATGGCAAGTCGGCAGTCTAAGATTGTCAGGAAGTGATGATCTCACTGTGTGACTTCTTCCTTCACAATGAGCTTGCAGGCACATTGCATGTCCCATTCCTATTTGGGGTCCACGACTGACGTTGTTCAAGTCCATCCAGTCTGAGCTCACCGGCCCAACAATGTACATGAAGAATAGTACCAAACTATGATAACCAAGTCATCTCTTCTACGGTGATGTGAAGCTGAGGGTAAAATGACAGGCCATAGCGTTGCCCATATCCAACAGCAAGTATCTCAAAGCCGAATGGGGCTATTTAAAGCACTTTGTCGTTGACCACGAACAGAGAAGCAGAAATTGACAGGGGGCACTCCAGATGCTGATGAAGGTTGGTGACGCTCAAGAGAGCTGTAATGGCTCTGTTGATTGTCTGGGCGATCCGCTGGTGAAGCCAAATTCTTGTTGCATGCATCTATACTGAATAATTTGTTTAAAGGAAGACCAGAATCGGAAGTGGGGCAGGCTAACTTGAAAAGTCCACACCACGTCATACCTTGAGCATCCCATGACTGTGCTCTACTCGACAACGCAGTGTTCCTCGTCTACACAGAACCATTGCTTCATTTTTCAACATTGGTATCAACATGGTGTCCTCATCCAAGGGCAACGTGGACCCTTTCCCATGGCACATAGGCATTTACGACGCCCACTGTCATCCAACAGACATAATGTCCAACATCTCCAAGATTCAAGAGATGAAAGCACGCTGCCTTACCGTCATGGCAACGCGTGAGGAGGACCAAGAGCTTGTGCTTAGTACAGCATCTCAGCATGGCATTAAATCCGCAAGCCCGGATCACTGGTCCAGGGAGGAGTGCATAGTTCCATGCTACGGATGGCATCCATGGTTTGCGCATCAAATGTACATCTCAAACACCGAAGGTTCTCAAGACAGCGAGCTACAAGGCCTTACCGGCGAAGCGAAAATGAAGCACTATCAAACAGTCCTGCAGCCTTCAAGAACAGAGCCAAGCGAGGAAGACCTCCGCATCTTCAATGCTCTACCCAACCCTACATCGTTCTCGGCGTTCATCTCGCAAACACGGAAACATCTTCAAGCACATCCATATGCCCTTGTTGGTGAAATTGGCCTAGATCGCAGTTTCCGCATTCCGGAACCTTGGGTACCTGAACTTTGGGCCACTCGTGACTCCAATTTAACCCCTGGAGGAAGAGAAGGCCGGCGCCTGACACCGTTCAGATGCCAGCCTGCCCATCAGAAAGAGATCGTGAAAAGACAGCTGCAACTAGCAGCAGAATTGGAGCGGGCGGTCAGCGTGCACGGCGTACAAGCACACGGTCTCGTGTATGAGTCGTTGCACGAGCTATGGAAGGGGCACGAAAAGGAAGTGCTCAGCAAGCGCGAGAAGAAGAAGCGCGGGAAAGACGACCCAAGTGTGGAAGCTGAGGTCGACAAAGCTGCGACAAAAGACATTGGGCCGAAACCATACCCACCGAGAATATGTCTACACTCGTATTCTGGGAGTGCGAGCAACTTCAAGCAATACTTGAATCCTGCGATTCCGATCCGAATCTTTGCCAGCTTCAGTACTGCGATCAATCTCGGAGATGCGTTGGACGAAGAGACGCCCGCCGAATTTGAAGACATGATCAAGACAGTGCCGGACGAGATGTTACTTATTGAGAGCGATCTGCATACTGCTGGTCACGAGATGGATCGCAGATTAGAGGATATCGCCAGAAGAATATGTAAGATCAAAGGCTGGGGACTAGAAGATGGTGTTGAGCGCTTGGGTAAAAATTGGAAGGCTTTCGTATTCGGTGAAGAGTAGACCAGATCTAATGCTGACGAAATTATGTTAGCTGATGTTGTTCAGGATGATTGGTACCAACACACAATGTGCCTGATTGGCAGATTGGGTAAAGGTCCTGGAAGATCTGCGTGCATTTACCCGGTCGAGGCTAGGTGGTTCTAACCAGCCCCAGACGTATGATTCCAATAGCTCACACATCCAACATCACCAACATCACTCTGAACCTGGATACGGACATTATTTGCGTTCGACTGACCCAATACTACGGAAGAATCAGTCTCATCTTTGTCTGACCCAGTTCTGAACGACCACCCATTCGTCTAATGCACAAGCATCAGGAGTGCATTCTCACTCCTCCTCTTCCTCTCCTTCTTCTCTGATCTGCCTCACCCGCTCAAAACAATCAAGAAAGCTGTCAATACCATGGCTGGAGAAGATCTCACCCCGAAGTCCGCACCTGGTCGTAGAATCCCTATGCGCGTCCTGGTTCTCGGCCTGCCACGTACTGACACCGCGTCCCTAATCAGCGCCCTTCGTCAACTCGGCTATAATACATACACCATGCGCTCGCTCGTCACGAATCCAAGCCATATTTCTATTTGGCAAGAAGCAGCCAACAGCACTCAACACGCCTCCGGCCTGCCCCTACCCATCAACGACATCCTCTCGGACTACGACGCGCTCGCAGACCTACCAGGCTGCATGTTCGCGCCGCAACTAATTGAGGCGTATCCCAATGCGAAAGTCATTCTTACGACGCGGCCTTACGAAAAATGGGAGCGCAGTATGCAGGACAGTATTTGGGTATTGCTCACTTGGCGGTTGTTTGAAGCGTGTCGAGTGCTAGGATTGAGTCAGATGGCACCGTTGATGAGGTTGTTGCATGTGCTGTTCGGAGTGCATAATGGGAATCAGTATGGTGGGTATGAGACGCGGCGAGCGTATGAGCGACACAATGAGAAAGTGCGGGAGCTTGTGAGTAGGGAGAGGCTTCTGGTGATTGATGCTGAGGACGAGAGTGGATGGAACGAGTTGTGTGGGTTTCTGGGCAGGGAGAGACCGGAGGGCGTCCAATATCCGCGGTTGAAGGAGGATACGGCCATGCGGGCAGGGTTGGAACAGACTTGGTTTTCTATGGTGAGATACTTGCTGCTAATGGTCGTACTGCCGGGCATTGTGCTGGTCTGTGGGACTTTGTTGTACACGTATGCGGATGATTTGAGGAGTGCGAGGGATCAGTTGATTTTGGAACCATTGAAGGAATATCTCGATCATTAGAAGATGTTTTATTTAAACTAGAGGAGGTCTCGAAAGATATCAAATACCCATGATGATCTAGGTCGACATTTTGCTCAGTGATTGGTTCAGCTCTCTCTCCCAACTCTGTATGAAGCTGCTGGTGAGAGAATACATCTCAGCAGTGTATGGCGATTCCGGATCCTCCATATGCTTGAGCTTATACCCTTTGTTCGCGAACAATGTTGCTGGTTGCCAGTCCTCGATCCTTGCATGGCTAATGGCAGCAACACGATAGGCTTTAGCATAATAGTCCGCAAGGCCCTCTTCCTCAACAAGCTCAGCAAGCTGCGAGCTTGCTTGGGCGTTCTTACGGGCTTGCCGTCTGGCTGACTTAGATTTGGGTACATCAAGTGTCAGCTGAGGCTCAAAGTCCGTGAACGCTTTGCTGATCTCCACTCGTCGTTTGTCGCTGACCTGCTTTACGATCTGCTCTGCTGCGCATGCTTCACAGGTGCATCTGAAGCCATAACGATTGAGTCGCTTCTGTCGCTCCTCGTGTGTTGATAGTAGGCCGATGTACGAGACGAAGAACTCTTCGCCTTTCTTAATCTTTCGGCTTGCGTACACCACCCTCCTGTTCAACTTGTTGCTCCAATAGTAGCTTGTGTTGGGGCGGCACGAGTGGTTGATCCTAGCAATCTTCGGAAATAGACCGATCTGCTCATCTGTGTTGTATGCGTTGGTCCTGAAGATGATACCGAGCTTGTCCATGGTCGCCTCCTCTACCGCTGTCGCGTGATACGTCAGAGACATTACCTCTTCCTGTGCATCCAAGGAGAGGCTCTCAAACTCTTTGCGGACCAGCTCTGTCACCTGAGCCATCGGGTATCCCGTGCCTCTCACGTAGTCTGGGGGATCAATTTTGAGTATTGGTGCCTCACGCATGACGATGTCGCCAATGTCAAGATCGTGAAGCGCAAAGACACCCAGACCTTTGCCCTCGCTTGGTCTTACAGAAAAGAGGTCGGGGGGTCCCTGACAAATGTAGTCGCTTGATTCCCATGATGGGACGCCATACATGTATGGAATGGATGGAATAGGAAGCCTACATGCCGCCTGTGCGCATGCACTTGCAAATATTGAGGAGAGCGTTAAAACTCGGTGGGACAGCATGATGAGAAACAGACAAGATGAGGAGCAATGTTATGAAAACCTCCGAAAGACCTCAAGGAAAGCTTTTGTACGCTTCGGCGTGGCTGTACTTGCCTTTCTCATGAAACGCGTTTCAGGCTGTTGATGTCGCAGCATCTCCCGGTGCGCAGCCAGCTGCCTCAGACACGAATAAGCGCTGGCCCTCGAGCATCGTCTTCACGCCCGAGAACATTGCGTCTCCAACTTTGGTCTTCATGCAAGTGGTAGAGTGGGGATGGGCATGAAGGCAATCAAGTGACAGAACTTATCGTTATCGCACAGCGGAACGGCGCCGCAAATGCCGATGCCGTCATCGGGCCTGTCGAAGCGTGCATACCGAAGTCGCGTTCCGAATCACCTCTGCAGCTTTCCCCGCGTTATGGTGGGGCAAACTCACAGGGCGTGGACGGCCACGGCTGGCTTTAATAGTCGCGTAGTCGCTCCAACAGTACGCTTGCATACACAGGATTGAGCCGTGTTAGGTGTCCACGAGCTGCCATCCCCCGAAGTAGAAGCTAAACACAGCCAAGATGGTGTAAGTTGCAATGGGTACAGTCCATATCGTACGGTATCTGGCTGAACACGATCTAGTTACACAGCATCATTCGCTTTTTTCGAGGCTCTGTGGGAGGCCGGTGTGCGAAACGTGTTTGTCAATCTAGGATCTGACCATCCCTCCATTATCGAGGCCATTGTCAAAGGGCAGAACGAGAAAAGAGGTCAATTCCCGAAGATTGTGACATGTCCGAATGAAGTAAGCAATGCATGCAAGCAGCAAGACATGACTGACATGATCAGATGGTCGCCCTGTCGATGGCAGATGGCTACGCTCGATTCACCGGCAAACCTCAATGCGTTATCGTACACGTCGATGTCGGGACCCAAGGTCTCGGAGCGGCTGTCCACAATGCCTCGTGCGGACGAGCACCGGTGCTCATCTTCGCCGGTCTGTCGCCATACACAATCGAAGGAGAGATGCGGGGAAGTCGGACGGAGTACATCCACTGGATCCAAGATGTGCCCGACCAGAAGCAGATCGTGGCTCAGTACTGCAGATACACCGGCGAGATCAAGACGGGCAAGAACGTGAAGCAGATGGTCAACCGGGCACTGTCATTTGCAATGAGTGATCCTAAAGGGCCTGTCTATCTGTACGGTGCGCGAGAGCCGATGGAGGAAGACCTGGAGCCGTACCAGCTGCAGCTTAACTACTGGCGCCCTGTTGAGCCATCAGCGCTCCCTCCCAGCGGAGTGAAGAACATTGCCGAGGCTCTGGTGAACGCGCAAGAACCTCTTGTCATTGCAGGCTACACAGGCCGGAATCACGCTGCTGTGCAAGAACTCGTGAGTCTGGCAGACAACGTAAAGGGCTTGCGCGTACTCGACACAGGAGGTAGCGACATGTGTTTTCCGGCAAACCACCCAGCATGGCTCGGCCTACGATACGGCAACGATCCCAGCATCAAGACAGCAGACTGCATCTTAGTCATCGACTGTGACGTACCCTGGATCAACACCCAATGCCACCCCAAAGACACAGCTAAGATCTTCCACGTCGATGTAGATCCTCTGAAGCAGCAGATGCCTGTCTTCTACCTTAATGCCAGCCAGCGTTATCGTGCAGACTCATACACGGCGCTGTCTCAATTGAACGAGTACCTGGGAAGAAACCTTAAAGATAAAACTTCCAGCGAGCTTTCCGCATCTCGCTGGTCAGCACTGCAACAGTCACACAAGAAGAAGTTGGAAGAAATTGCCAGTGAGGCTAAAGTAGACGATAAAGGTCACTTCTCAACGCCCTACCTTTGCTCTCAACTCAAAGCCCTCTGCCCCAGCGATACCATTTGGGCCATCGAAGCTGTGACCCAAACCGGATTCGTGGCCGACCAGATCCAGGCTACACTTCCTGGGTCGTGGATCAACTGCGGAGGAGGCGGTCTCGGCTGGTCTGGTGGTGGCGCGCTGGGCATCAAGCTCGCCACTGATACAGAAGGCAATAAACAGTTCGTTTGCCAAATTGTGGGGGATGGGACGTATCTCTTCTCGGTACCCGGGTCGGTGTACTGGATCTCACAGCGCTACAACATCCCAATCCTTACTATCGTGTTGAACAACAAGGGCTGGAATGCGCCGAAGCGGTCCCTTCTGCTTGTTCACCCTGACGGTGCAGGTTCCAAGGTCAGCAACGAGGAGCTCAACATCAGCTTTGCCCCCACGCCGGATTACTCGGGCATCGCTAAGGCTGCGTCTGGTGGTGAGATTTGGGCTGGCCACGCGAGTACTGCGGAAGAACTAGGCAAGCTGCTACCTGAAGCTATCAAGAGCGTACTCAGCGGGAAGAGTGCAGTGTTGGATGCTCACTTAGAAGGCCCAGAAGGCAAATATGGAGGTGGGAAGGCCAAGCTAGGTTGAAAGAGGGACCAAGCTATCCCTTGTCAAGTGAACTAGCATACTAGCATATTCGAACTCACGTCATATTCGATATACAGGCTTCAAATATGGTGCCATCCTACAAGGCATACACGGTAGACTCTGACAGCAAAGTCGCCTCTGTCGTGCGATTGTAAATGGCACCGGTGATAATTCGGCCATAGCTGCCGCGGAGGTCCACAGTCCGCTCTGCCCTGTGGAGCACCCAACCTCGGAACCCACATACCTGTGCACAGGGATTTTAAAAAGCACGTCACACACATTTGCCGTCCATGCTAGGCACCCAGCAAGATTTTGACGTCCGAAGCCCGAAAGCCGAAGCCCGAGGCTCTCCCTCACCATCACTCATGTCACGTGCGACAGCATCTTCAGACTACGAACACCACTATTAGCTCTCAAAGTCAGCTGGATACGTTTTTCAAGGTGAGATCTACTAGGATTCGACGGCGCGCATCAGCCGAGCCCTACTGTACCCCAGGTTTCCACCAAACAAGCTTTTCGGGTGCTTTCGTAGGCAACGGGAAGGCTCGGGAGCGATGCTGCTCCGCCGGGTGGACTTCCGACGACGCATATCGTAAGATGCTGGGACGTCCGGGCGAGCGGGGAAACATGTTACTGGGTGACGCCACCGGCTTATGGGATCACTGGTCAGCAAGATAGGGCAATGATGAGACTCAATCACGTAGCAAGATAGATATTGTGTAGATACGATGTTCCATTGTAGTCAAGTATGTGTACTTAGGCTCACTGTAAGCAAATCAAACGCCGCCCCCAAGGCCGTGGTGTAGTCTGGGTTTTGTGCCGCGTGTGGCTTTTACATGGAAAGGAAAGGTATCGTAAAGTCATAACGCCCGTATCCACTTGTCTGTTCCCTGAGAGTCTCCGTGCGCTCAGCGGCAGTCAGTCAAACTGATGCATTCCGTCCCCCACATGCTAGATACCTCGTGCTGCGCACTTTGAGGCTTGTACTGGCTCGCAAGGTGCAGTAGTCTAGCGCCTGTTGGTCAAGAACCAGCTCTTCACGCCCCTCTCACCAGCCTCACGAACGCTGCTCGAAGGGAGCGCCGCATGCCTGGTGTTAAGCGCCAGAGGAGAGAAGCTCGCCTCGCTAAGGCTCGGTGAACGGGCATCCTTTGCGGGTAGACTAGGTGGCGAGCCACTAACAGAGTCTGTGGCCGTGCTGACGCTGGTGACAGACGAGACGGACTGGTGTCGAGCCATGCCGTCGGGGCGGTTGGAAAGAAACCCGTGAGCAGACTGCTCGGGCAGCTGAGCGACGGCGGCGCTGGATAGCTCGCTGTTGCTGATGGTGCTGGAAGGGACATCGCCAGCGCGCTTGAGGGGCGTGTTGAGAGAGAGAAAGTTCGTGGGGAACGGGATGTGGTATTGGCTAGAAGTAGACATTGCGCCAGGTTGTTGGTTGTATTTGTTATGTGTGGGTGGTATTGGTCTTTGATTGAATGTTGAGGTGAGATGCTTGCTTGAGGAAAGAAGCGAGGCGACCGGCGCTTTTATGTATGAACGGGGTGGGGTGGTGAGTGGATTGTGGTGGATGCCAAGGTTCCGCTGACTCCGTAGGTGCTCAGGGAGAAACGTAGGCTAGTGCGTGGGGAAATTGGCTGTTGTGACTGGCTGATGGAGCTGTACTGCCTGATAGGAGCGAATTTCCGGTGACTTTATATCGTGCCTTGCGTGCCTAGTCGAGTTGTGTTCAGGGTGATAGTGGAGCGGCTAGACGTGCATAAAGGTACAGGTTTTCTCAAACAACGTGGAGCCTGGGGTTGCAGCGCGGGACGTCGCAGTTGCTTCCGCACTTATGATCTTGGCTATGAAGCTTTGAGTATACTATCGATTCTAGTGGTCCGGGCCGTTAGGGTCCTTCCGGTGTGGATGGCGAGGGTATGCAGACAGTGGAGCGCGACAAGACTTGGCAGAAACGTGCTTAGCTGAATGCACAAGCTGATAGGCGTGCTTGTGTAGCGGCTAGTGTCTGAACAGCTGCTTCGAAGCACTTATTTGTGGGCTCTTGTACGGTCTGAGGCACTGCTTGGTTCGATTATTCTTGGCAGTGCTGTGCAGGAGGCTTGAATTGAGATGTTCGTGTTTAGACCACTCAAGGCTGGAAGGCGTTTACGAGTTCCAGAAGGGTTTGGGACAGCTTGTGGTTTCGATGTTTTGAATCTCTTGGTAGAAGATCTACTGCTTGGCGGGGAAGTTTGACGCGGCAGAGTGGATACTTTGTGATACGCAGCAGATAGGTGATGGGAGGCTAGAGCTGGAACCTGGGAGGGGGAGGCGCGTTTTTGACAATGATTCAGGATTCGAGCTAAGCAGGTGGTGAAGATGCACAATAAGGTTTGGGAAAGAGCTTCCGAGGCTCAAATATGCAACACCAGAAGCTTGAGCGAAAGACTCGTCCGGCTTACATGAGAACAGGGTTAGATTGCAGCGCAAATCTCAGAACCCCACCTTGTCGACAGCCTGCGTGATTAGACACAGTCAGTTGATGCACACTAGAAGCATCGAAAGCGGGCCAAAGTTAGTAAATCTACCACGTTTGTCCAACACGACAGCTCTATGGTCGTGGGGTGCGTCGGCGAATGCATTGTACGGAGATGACGTTGACCTTGCACGTCCCCCGGGCTCGACTGCGATAGGCTCCAGAAAATGCTACTCGCGGCGTGCATGAGCCTCCTTGCTTGCAAATCCCACGAGAAGAGCATGTGAGCACTTTTTTTTGGCGTTGGCGACATCTTTTGGGGGAGCTAGCCGGCGGCAACGCACGTGCGCTACCTCTGCGGGGGATTCTTTTGGCCGTAGGCGCGGATCCATTCACAATCTCGTGCGAGTGGTCGCGAATGAGAGTGTAAGCCGAAGGTAGCCTGGCGCATAGATACTTGGATCGTGCCATGGTGTGATGAACGAGGAATGGCCGAGCGGAGAATTGAGATTGTGCAAGAAGGTCGGCCAAAACTGCGAGCCTCGGCTCAAACTGCTGTCTTATCCCCAACGAACGAAGAAAAGAGCCCTCGTTTGGACAGCTATAGTTCCACCATAGCAGCGCAATCTCAACAGTGGATGACAGGTGACAAAATAGTTAATTCAATTGACAAGCTGTCGAGCGCACAATCGTTTCGACACAGCTCCAATGCCGCCATCCATGCCTACTCCCCTGACCCTTACGCCTTCAGACTGGCGGCAACAACATCATATCTTGGCTGTAAATCATACTCGCTTTGTCTCAGCTCCAACCCGCGTTGGTTTGGGTCGCCGCGATTTCTATTGACGATCACAGTGCGGATACGACACGGCATCTATCTAGCTCATTGAGACGGCGCAGCGACGCAAGAGATCGGCTTGTCGATTCAGCGTGTGCAGTTTCTTGGAGACCTTGATGCTGTCCAATAACTACCGCAGCTGCGATCATGACTCGAAGCATGTTCTGAATGCTGCATCTCAGCACCCGGGAGCCTGCAGCAGAACGCATGGTTCTGCCACGATCCGCAAGCGTGAGCCACTACGAAGAGCTGGTATGTGCAGTCCGTCTCTTGGAGTTGTTCATGGCGTGGGCCCGTGAATGATTGAGGCTTGGATATTTTCCATGGTCGGACAGGCAAGTGGACCGTCCAGCAAGACGACGCGTATGGCCCTCCTGCAAGCCAACTGGCTATAGGCCAGAGGCGCACTGCAGGTTCGGGTGCGGTGCATGAAGATTTGGAGTTGCAGTGCCCAGGTGGTGTCTTGCTGCAGGGGAGCGCATCGATGTGGGTCTACTCTATCTTAGTGCCATTGCTGTCCGGTGAAGCAGCTGTCAAGCGAACTACTCGGTGGCGAAAGCCATGGTCGCCAAAATCTGTAGAGGAGATGTGTTAGTGTCCTCAAGAAGCCCCATAACAGGCGAAAAAGTAATGTCTGGCTAGTAGCGCCTGCCCTCACGCTCTGTCCACGTGTTTTTGGCGGAACTTAGCGTGGGAGGCTGTTCGGACTTCAGCTGTCCATCCTCTGGCATCATGACACCTTCCGAACCTCGAAATCTAAGGCTGTGCTTTGAGTTTCTCTTGGACCGAGATAGCTGGCTATGCGAAGGCACTGTGCAGACCTTATGGCACATTGTATCAATGCATACATCACGCTGTCACGTTTGCAGGCAGCATCCAACACTGAGCCACCAGTGGCATATTTGCTTGTCCGAGCAGCAAGACATTACGCAACATTCACAAAGCGGACAGTCTGTTACCAGCTGCGATCAATACCAGCGTGACTGAATGCCTTCGGGGAAGGAATCCACTATGGTGCAGGAGCTAACTGTGTAGCTTGAGGTAACAGTCGCGAACAGTGCCACGATCTTGCTCTATCGGTCCAAACCACGAGTATACCACGTTCTTAGAGTCCGAGTAGCCCTTCAAACCTGCTACACCCGCATCCTCTCCCTTCCTCTGCCTGTAATTCCAGCCAGCTGAAGGCCACGACAACCAACAAGTCTCAACAATCCGTTTGCTTCATTCGACATGTACTCAACAACAGTTCACCTTCACTTTCACTTTCACCTCATCGGTACTATATTGCCACTCGCTGCCTGCTCGCCAAGCCCACACGCTCTTTGACAATAAATCGAAATTCGCCGTCACCTCGACTCTTCCCGCAACACACCCGCGACCACACTCGTTTTGCGACACTCTTTTGAACAGCATCGCGTTGGTCCCACCCTCGAACAACAACCAGTCTCTGATTCGTCTTCTGAAACTTCGAGACAATGGACAACAAAGCAGTAAAGTCATCGGTAAGCAAAATGTCTTCGCGCAAGGTCTCGCCAACCTTCGTGCGCTCCCTCCATTTGATTTCGTTATTAGCCACATGTTTGTACTGAGGTAAGATGGTCGCTGATACAACGGCCATCAGCCGTTTTCGAGCATTCCAGATGAGCTTGTAGGCGAGTTCGGGGCCACCATCGGTCCTCTGGAGGACTTCTTCAACTTTCGTGCCGTCAACAAGCGCGTCAGGGATGCTACCAAGTATGCCTTGGGCAAGCGCATGGATAACCTCACGGTCTACCCAAGGTTTGCGAGCATGAAAGCTCTACTCGTAGCCCTCGAAGATGAGGATGTCGCGAAGTATGTACGCTCCCTTACATTGATGGCCGAAGGCTTGAAGCAGCATGAGTATGGCTACGCCTGGGCTTGGGAGGATTTGCAGATCTGGGCCGAGTTCAAGTTCACCAACGAGGACGCCGACATCATGCGTACCATCGACGCTGCTCACAGCTTCGATGTTGTCGAGAACGGCGACTTCATCATCTCAGGCCAGTATCGCGAGATGCTCACCACCCTTCTGCAGCGTCTCCCCAACATCACTGCATTGACGATCCGCAAGCTCGCTCCCGGTGAACATATTCCCGGCTGGGCTGGAATTGATCTCTTCAAGCAGCTGTCGTTCTACCACGAGGGCCTCGACACTCGCCACATCTTCTACGGCGATTGGCAGTACGACACCTTGCACCGTTGCATCACTCACTACCTCGATGATTTCGGCGATCACGTCACCGAGCCTCACGCTGGTCCGCAGGCCTCCTTCATCGACGACTTGAAGGCCGCTGTTGACGCCAACAAGATCAAGGCGAGTGTCACCTTCCTGCCCGCGAACTGAGACTTCGCCAAGGACAACGTCTGTTCTCACCCAATACGAGTCTCTCATGTTGAGGTACGTTATCCCTAGCGCACGCTGACTCTCATTGTTACGAACCATGCTAACGTTTCCCAGTTTCGAACATGATCAACGACGATCCCGATTTGCAGTTTCTTTTTTTGTTTTTCAGCAACGCACAACTCGGACAATAACGTCTTGTCCCAATCAAAGGTACGTCTGCAATTCGGGTGTACTCACACAGAGGCTGACTTTGCAGTTGCCACCCAACTTTTGCTCTTGATGGCTTGTGGTGGATATTGCCCCCGAAAGAGTTGTGCTTGTTCAGTAATTGACTGAGGGTTATTGCCTTCTGAATGGTCATGCTTTGGCTATGTTAGTACAAGATTGCTGCGTTCTGTATGCTTGTTGCACTTTTTTCTACCACATGTACTTCTCTGGAAGGCACAGTCGGTACTTACGGAACGAGGTCTTTTGCGCGGATTGTTTCCCTCAGCTGGTGGTAGGATACTTTCAACCTTACCTGCTTTTTCTTGCCATTTGAAGTTGTTTTCGTGCAATTGCGTGGCGTGATGCACATGCTGACTGTTAACTTTGATGTTGAGTTATTGAAACTCCGCCAATGACTTGTGCTCTTGGGAGTTGTTCCCTTCTCGGCTGCAAACCCACTTCAACGACCTCAGAGACGGAGTTTGAAATGCAATCGTTAGACCTGGACAGTAAATTCAAACATAAGACTCATCACCGATGGATATGGCAGAGCAGAATTGCAGTGATTTACTTGATTCGTCGTGCTGTCGGTTGATTACGTAGGTGATAGATGGTGGTAACAGCTCGGGGGTCGACAGGTGCGTGCTTGTGCGCGAACCTCACGGTGCGAACGAGCAAGCCTGGAGTGACGCGAGCTACAGAAGGACGGAAAAAGGCAGGACGAACCAAAGGACAAAGAGAGAGACTATACCGTACAAGGGCCTGACTAAGCTCAGGCGCGAAGAGAATCCAGTATGTACGGGGGCAGAAGCCTCATGCCAGCGTACCCAACTACCAACTTTTGCTCCAAGATAACGCAAAAACAGAGGGAGAGCTCGGGAGGGAAATAGCAACAACAGCAGGGCGGACGAGCTGACTGACTGGCGAGCAGACAGAGCAAGAGGGCACAGGTGTGGTATGGCAGACAATCCAACGCCAACAAGAACAGGGCTGGGGGTAATAATATACGCGGTCGCGTGTCAAAAGTAAGCAATCAATAAATTCCCAGGGAATCTTCAAACGCCGATGAACTCCAATGCTGCTGCGCTCTTGTAAATGAGAAGAGGCAATGATATCTCCAGATCCTGATGTCGTGGCCGAACTGAGAACGATGGGTTTCGGGCATGGCGCGATCGGAGCGGTGATCGTAAGGTGGCTCGTGTATTATATAGTAAGAGGGCGCAGTATGCACAGCGATCGACGTGTGGCGCCAGGAACGGTGGGAGGCTTGGGAAGACGGCGCTATAATATGCCGGAGTCTTTCAGCGCGTTCTGCAGTATTGTTTCTTTGACGGCGGCGAAGACGAGTCGGATGTTGGAGGTGTCGGTGGCTTGGGTGAGACTGGGAGGGTCAGCAATGGGCATGCACGGTGGCAAGGGTGACTGACTGAGGATATAAGTTGAGGTGAGCGCGATTGACTTGGTTGAACCGCCAGAGCAAATACTTGGCTGCACGGTTGACATCGTTACCTCCCGAGTAATCGGGGAAGTAATTGCCCAGCGGCGATCTGGCAAGCTTTGCTTTGAACAAGTCGACCTTGTTGAGGAAGAGGATGATCGATGTCCGCATGAACCACCGGCTATTTACAACCGAGTCAAAGAGGACTAGACTTTCCATCATACGGTTCTAAATGCACGAGTCAGTGGCTAGACCAGCGAGTCAATTAGTGTCCGTACCTGAGAGCTCTCTTCCAACAACACCTGGTCGTACTCGCTCAATGCCACGCAGAAGATGATGGATGTGACGTTCTCGAAACAATGTATCCATTTCTTGCGCTCGCTTCTTTGCCCTCCGACATCGAACATGCTGTTTCATGTTAGTCGAGCTGCAGCAGCGTCGGCAAAGCTGGAGACATACTGGATGCTTAATTGGCCCATGGTGAATCTTGTCTCGTAGATACCAGTGGTCTTGGTTCGAGCGCGCAGGACGTCGGACTCGATGGGGATGTAGTTGGGATCTGATATCCGCTCGACCTCTTCGAAGAAGCTGCGATCATTAGTGACGTCGGGGATTCGATGTGCATCAGACGTACTAGGGTGCCGAGTCCATCAGGTAGAACTCGCTCGAGTGCTCGAGGACCTTGCCTATGCATCCGTCGCGCCACAGCGAGGTGATGGCCTGGCCGACTCGCACGTCCAGCGGCTTTTCGGGGTCCGGGTCGACAGTGTACTCGACGAGGTAGTTGCAGTACTCGTCGTTGCCGGGGATTTCGGGTTCGATCTCGAACTGGCGCATGGCGCCGATGAGGGCCTTTGCGCAGTCGATGACGTTCTTGTAGATGGTCAGACGGTACATGGCGAGCTCCTCCTGTGTGTAGCCGTTCTGGTGGATGATCTTCATCTGCTTGACGATGGTCGACTTGCCGCTTTCGCCGGAGCCTGTGTGTGTTAGCGGTGTTCGGCGGACGCGGCTCAGCTCAGCTCGTACCCAGCAGCAGGATCTTGCACTCGCGGCGCAGGCGGCGCGAGTCCTCCTCGAGCTTGCGGTCAATGGCCTGGCTGCGTTTCTTCTGCTCGCCATCCTCGGGGCTGGAGCTCATGCAGATGCCCATGGTGTCTGGGGGTCGGACGGCTAGCGGCCGCGGGAGCTGGGACTGGTCGGGGGGGGCGACGGGGCTGCACTAGGCCCAGCGCGTCGTCGCAAGGGAGGTGGCTGCGGGCGTTGCTCTGGCAGCGAGACAGCGTCTCACGCTGGTCGGCGTGGCAGCGGCGATGGGCCGGGTCTCGACTGCTTCCGTCGGGCGGCGGCGGGGGCAGCGTGCAGCGTGCAGCGTGCGGCGTGCAGCGTGCAGCGACGGGCGCAGAGGGCGGGCGAGGGCGGGCGCTGCAAAGGGCGGGTGCGGGCGCGGTGACGGCGGCGTGGGCGGCGGTGGTGGGCAAAGGGTGCAGCTGCTGGGGAAGGGGCCTGTGCGGCGAGTCGCGCCTTGCGCCTTGGTCGTCAACCAGCAGCACGGCACAGGGCGGCGGCGGCGACGGCGGGCTCGCGGCGGTGCGGCTGCAGGCGGACAGACAGCAGCTGGGCAGCGGGCAGCAGCGGACAGCGTGCGGCGATGCAGCGTGCGGCGATGCAGGTCGGGGGTGCAGTCGGGGATGCACTGGCGGCTGCGAGTTCCCTCACGCTGTGAGCTAGCCCGGGGCAACTGCTCGAACGCGGACGCTGGCGCTAGCGGGCTCAGCAGGTCTGGCAGGGCATCGACGGGCAATCGGCGGGAGGCGGCACGAGCCAGCAGCAGCAGCAGAGGTGGGAGACGGGTGCGAGACGGGTGTTGGGCCAGCGGAAAGCTGACGATGCGCTTAAGCGTGGAGCGCTCGCCCGCCGTGGCTCGCGAGCGGCCGCGCCATTGGCGCGCGAGATGACGGCGACGGCCTGCAAGGCCGCTCAGTCGCGCAGTGCCCTTCTCGCCTTTGCGTTCGCTGGCGACCGCAGCGCACCGCAGCGCAGCGCACTGCAGTGGCCCGCAGCCGCAGCCGCGAGCCTGTGCCCCAGTCGCTGGGACGCAGCTCCTGCAGAACATTCCCACATGGCACCTGCCCTCCAGCTGTCGCCATTTTCGCGCCACCCTGGCTAGCCGGCCCAAGGGCCTCAGCTACGATTGAGCCTCTCTGGGCCCTGCCAGCGCATACCCGACTCGGAGTAGTGCGCGGCTGCACTCAGATCTTGCTCGACATGCTGCCGGGCGAGACTCTGGGGCCGGCCGCCCTGCACGCTCCGTGGTGTTCTTGCAGCACTGGCGAGCTAGGCCCGCTTCTGGCCTGCGTCTAATTAAAGGACCGCGACCGCTTCACACACAGCATTGCCAAACGCCATGCCTCGCCAATCGCCGTGCAGCCTCCTGTCGCAGCCCTCATGTTTCCACTGCGCCCAAACTCTCTGTCTGTTTATAGCGCCCGGCGCTGCCGTCGTGTCGCAGGGCGCGGACATGGGCAGCAGAGCGTCATCCACTTGCACCGACATCTTCAGGGTGCACAATTTCCAACAGCACGATGCATTCCACCTATCGGCCTATCTAAGGACGTCTCGCCAGCGCTTGACGGCTGCACGCCATGCAAACCTACCGCTGCGATACCCACTCTATGCCATGCGCCGCATGCACAAGCTGTCGCAATCCCCAACTCTCCATGTGCGCCCCAGATCTGTCATCTGTCGCTGCCACGTTGTTGATCTTCAGCTGCCCGATACCTGCGGCGCAGCACGGTTGCCCGGCGCAACCTGGCTCGATACGAGGCTTCGTAACTAACAAGCAACGTTCTCGCGACACTTGCTCTCTTGTTGCAGGAGGTCTTGGACGCGGTTCGCGAAATTAGCCGCGGTAGGTTTTCGGGTAATTTTAGTTGTATCATGAGGGAAGAACACTGTCTGCAGTCTCCGAGCTACTGCAAAGATTGCATGCTCCGAGCAGGCGAGACCTGTCCCTCTTTGAAATCTGAAAACCGAAAACTGGAATCTGGTGCTGGACTCCGGCTCTCTCGGCCTCGGCAGCATGAGAGACATGGCACCGGTAGGCTGTTTCCAAGTGAGCACACAGCGCGGCACCTGCCGTTGCGAAGTTGAGCTCATCCTGCGTTCGAACTCATGGTTTGCCTAAAGTGCGTGAGGTCCCAACGATGGCTGTCTCTGCTATTGAGTCTGATTGTCAGCTCTTTATCTTGCGAGCCAGGCTGCTGGCAGAGGCATGTTGTGTTGTAAGCGAAGTGAGCATGTAACCGACGATCGCAATGGCAGTGGTAGTTGGCAAATCTATGCGGCTGCGTCGTTGCTTCATGTTTCGAAATTGCTGCAAGTTAGCTGCGACGCCCAACGTGCTGCCGTCCAGCTTCGCGTTCCATGTGCACTCGGTCGCTGTACTCGATCACGGCTGACGCTCCTTCTGAGTCAGTTCGACGTTGGCCACAGATGATTCGTGATTCACGTTGCACGTCCAGGAGGTCGTCCGGTCAGCACCAGAAGTCGTCCTGCAGGCAGCGGGCGTGTATATACGGCTCTCTGGTGCTGCGGTCTCTCTGGAGGATTGTGTCATCACGCCGCCTGCAGTCTGTCTCCAGCTTGGCGCGTCTGTCGAAGCGCCAACAATACTCGATAGTTGCAGCGGCCAGCCAGCGCAGGCATAGCGTCGATTTCGGCACGTCCGGTAGCACTGTCCCAACTCTTTGCTTGATTCGAGAGACACTGCGCGATCAGGACTCAGGACTTGCAGGCTTTTCGAGATCAGCGCGCGTCGTTTGGCGGGACATGCAAGACGCGTCAACATCAGGAAGTTGTTCACCGCAAAAGGCCCGCCGCTGAAGTTGAGAGTCTTGGTCGGAGAGGACGACGCTAGCAACGCGATCGCTCGATCGTAGTTTGATGGAAGCGGAAGGTACGGAGGCTGGATCACGAGGAATGTGGGGGACGGGACCTCGGGAGACGCATGAAGAACAAGAGGCAGCTGCAGCGCGCGCTGTGGCCTGTCGGTGCCATGTCGCCATGACGGCGCATCATCGCTGCACGCCGTGAGCTGGCGATGCAGGGCGGCAGCAGTCATGGGGACATGCCGCAGATTGGGGGTCGGATTTCATGGAATTTTCTAATTGCGATAGTGACGTAGTTGGCCCCGATAGGTGTCGGTGCACGCTGCCAGGGCAGGCCAGCCCGTGTGAATCGGCCATGCTCACCGCGTTATTGACTGCCCCTCACTATCTCTTCAGCAGGTCTTCACTTAAGTACGTCGTCGCCCCTGACCCGGCAGTGATCCGCATCCCGCTACTGTCACTCGTGAGTCTCGACCGTGTGTTGCCCCCGGGTGCTCTGTTTCTCCTACCGAGCGCGTTCCTTGCTACGTCCAACTTGCCGGCACACTGCGCAGTGCTAAATCCCTTCTCCAGAATCTGCTCCACTAGTTACAGGCGCAGGCTCTCCTAGTTGTGCACCGTTCAGTCGCGAGTTCCGCGGAAGACTCGACCAATCTAGTAGACGAACGCAGCCCTGTCTTGGTCTCGTCCGCACTGCAAACCTGCTAGACGCTACCCTCCTACACACCAACACCACCTCGCCCCCCCCCCCCCCCCCCCCGAATTCCCTCCTCCTCGCGCCTGTCGCAGACCCCACACTCCAGCAATCCACCATGGCTGAATTCGTGCGCGCCCAGATATTTGGCACGACGTTTGAGATCACAAGCAGGTGCGGCCACTACCCCACATCGCGCCGTTGCGCGTAGTTAACAGACGTGTAGATACACCGATCTGCAGCCTGTAGGCATGGGAGCCTTCGGCCTCGTCTGGTACGTCCAAGCCCAGCCAGAGAGCCGACCACGCACTTATGAATTCGCAGTTCGGCGAAGGACCAGCTCACCAGCCAGGCCGTGGCCATCAAGAAGATCATGAAGCCCTTCAGCACCCCCGTCCTCTCGAAGCGCACCTACCGCGAGTTGAAGCTGCTCAAGCACCTGAGGCACGAGAACGTACAGACAGCCCCCAGCGTTTCGCAGCCAACCAGCCCTGACAGCAGACCAGATTATCAGTTTGAGCGACATCTTCATCTCTCCGCTCGAGGACATGTAAGTTGCCCATTGCCTGTGCATTCGCCGCTGGGACCTCTACTGATCTCTACAGCTACTTCGTCACGGAATTGCTCGGAACCGATCTCCACCGTCTGCTCACCTCCAGGCCGCTGGAGAAGCAGTTCATCCAATACTTCCTCTACCAGATTCTGGTATGTGGCGAAAACACAAATTTCAAGAGGCTCGGCTGACAACCATAGCGTGGTCTGAAATATGTCCACTCCGCTGGAGTCGTTCACCGTGACTTGAAGCCCAGCAACATCCTCGTCAACGAGAACTGCGATTTGAAGATCTGCGACTTTGGCCTGGCTCGTATACAAGACCCCCAGATGACTGGATACGTTTCCACCCGCTACTACCGCGCACCGGAGATCATGCTCACATGGCAAAAATACGATGTTGAGGTCGACATCTGGAGTGCGGGTTGTATTTTTGCGGAAATGCTCGAGGGCAAGCCCTTGTTCCCTGGCAAGGATCACGTCAACCAGTTCTCCATTATTACAGAGCTCTTGGGTACCCCTCCGGACGATGTCATCCAAACCATCTGCAGCGAAAACGTAAGTTACGCCGAGAAGAATATTCGGCAATCTTTAATTGACCGTTGCCAGACACTGCGATTTGTCCAGTCGCTCCCCAAGCGCGAGCGTCAGCCTCTGGCCAATAAGTTCAGGAATGCTGAAGCGGAGGGTAAGTGCATCATTGCATTGGGTGTTTGGCGTCTGCTAATGCAATGTAGCCATCGACCTTTTGGAAAGCATGCTAGTCTTTGACCCAAGAAAACGTGTTAAGGCGACCGAGGCTCTTGCACATCCATACCTCGCACCTTACCACGACCCTACCGATGAGCCGAGCGCGGAGGAGAAGTTCGATTGGTCATTCAACGATGCCGACCTCCCGGTTGACACTTGGAAGATCATGATGTGAGTCCCCACATTTTTCTTACGTCACAAGCAGATGCTGACAATCGCAGGTACTCAGAGATCCTTGATTACCACAATGTGGATACCGCTGCACAGGACGAGCAGAATGGTAGCTGAGATACCCCGGGGGTTTAAGCGCTGAACCAACGCGGTGCTTGTGTAGCATGATCCAGTTCCTCGAAGAGAAGCTCGCTTCATTCAAATCTGGTGGTGCGACTGGCCTTGCCCAGGCTAGTCTATAGTCTTTTCTCCTAATATTCTTCATTCGGGGGTCATTGCAATCACAAGCGCGGTAGAAGGGGAGGCAGGTTGTTGTTTCTTGGATTCCAGTTTGGTACAAAGGCGTGTTGATAGGGATGAGCGATTGATCATGGTGAAGTGACGATCCGCAGCAGGCAGGCATTGTCTCTGGCTAGCTCGGTGTACTTCCTCCTCTTATGTTCGATCCTGAAGAATAGAAGCACAACTTACGACATCAAAATCACTTACCATCTGTCGCGGGCTGACGCATGCGCTACTCTGTATCTTAGACGGCAGCAGCCTAGGGCGTGATGCTTAACTCTATTTTTTTTACTCATCGTATAAGCCTCCGCTTACGGCTACAATTCGCAATGCATGCTGTCGTATTCCAGACCACCGGTGGCGATGAGGCATCATCTACGGCCCGTCACGCCTCATAGAGCCGAGGCGCCTGAAAGCAGCCTAGTTCCATAAGGCTGATGATCCATCGTCACCGCCAACATCGCAGCGTCCCGCACTTTTGGAGGACGCGAGCCTGGCGCATGGTTTCGACTCGAACTTGCCCAGCTCTCGGATTTTTCGAATGACTGCGATATGGCGAACCTGGCTCCCTCGACTGCGCTCGCCCCGCATGTCTGTATTATCGACTTCCATCACGCGAGGGGCCCTGAGGTGGAAGCTTGGATCGGCCTCGAGGATGGCGAGGACCCAGCAGTAGAGCATGACTGGCCGCTGCTGCCGTTCATGGCACTGAGCGACGGTGCGCATGCGTGAGTAGCATAGTTCCTGCCTGCATAGCAATGACTGAAGCTTCAACTTTTCTTCTCGCGTTCACATGGTCTCTGCCGTTCCACGACAAAGAACTGACATCACGCAGCTCTACAGAGGACTACTCATACTTCACGCTCCGGCGCTCGGCCACGCCTTCTCATGTTGCAACGAGTCTTTTCGGTATATCGTGTACACGACAGCTTCCAGCGAGCGAACTGATCGATCGACCCGCCGACGTCACAAGGAGCACAGTACAGAAGGCAGTGGTCGTCGTGACAGACAGCCCGCAGCACTTCGGCGCAATCAAGGCACAACTAGGTGTGGTCACGGCAGCGTGGTTTGCGCAAAAGTATGTCATGCTCACAACAGATCGCGTTCGACGACGCGGTTGCACATGAGTATTGGCTGACATCCACGTAGAGATTTTACGGATATTGAGATACTGCAGAGATTCCACGAAAGCCTGCCGCGGTTACTGGAAAATCAAGAAGGTCAGGTCGAACATTACTTCGGCATATCGCTCCGCGAGCTCATACATGAGTTCAAGTGGCAGACTCTTGTTCTTTTCAAGTGCGCTCTGCTTCAACGCAAGGTGCGTAAAGAGCAATATGCATAACACTTGTTTTATGTCAGCAGTATTTGGCAACAGCAGTGCTCACAACACATAGGTCCTTTTCTTTGGCTCGAATTGCGAACGGCTATGCATGATGCAATTTGCTCTTATTTCTTTGATACCCGGCCTTATGCGCCACCTGCAGGACGCTGCGGACCCTACATTCAACTCGGCTGAAGAGAAAATCGTCATGCCTACAAGCCTCAAAACATCTGAACGTTCGTCTTGTGAGTATGTACCTGCCTTTAGAAGCTAAACACTGACAGCTTCAGTACTTGCATACATGGGTCTCCCTCTCCAGTTGTTCGGAAAAGGCTCGCTCTTCGGTCCCTACACACCGTTACAACAGCTGGACATGCTCGCCGACGCCAATACGAAATCATATATCGTCGGATCAACAAACTCGTTGCTGTTGCAGCAGAAAGACCGTTATAGTGACGTACTCATCAACCTCGACGATCACACTGTAAACAATACTTCGACTTCGCTACGCCAGGCGTCGGTTCTCTCAACTCCAGACCGACGATGGATAGACTTCTTGACGCAAACGGTAAACGATACTTGGGATGAAGCGGACCCTGCGCGGCCAAAGGATCATGGATACACTGGAAGTGAAGAGTTCATCCGAATGCAATTCGAAGAGTACCTCCTTGCCATGCTGAGCTCCGTCAAGTACAAGCTTTACATGGAGAAGAATCCAAGTCATGAGCCCCTGTTACCAGAGGTTCACGGTGATCCAGCAAGCGAGTTTTCAAACGACTGGGTACACGCCTGGATGCAAACCGAGAACTTTCGAATATGGAACAAGTTCACTGATTCGCACCTATTCGATATCATTGATCCCAAACACCCTTGCTCCGGAGGGCTATCCGTCGAAGATGTCCAACGGAGGCTGGCAGCGTAAGTTCAGGCTTTCCGTTGTTTTTTTCGCGACTAAGCGTCCCAGTCTCTTCTCCAACACCACCTTTCAGGCTGTGACCATGGGTATCTGTGTGCTAATCTTAGCGTGGCGCATAGGCAAGTAGCAGAGCTACATCTTGACGAACGACTAGAGAAATCACGAGAGGTCATTGGCGAAAGGGTCGCTGCTGGTCAAGCCAAGGTCTCGACAGCATACAACAAGCTGTGGGCGGACATAGAGACCATGCGCAAAGCCCAGAGAGAACGGCAGGAGGAGCAAAGAGAAGCAGCTGAAAAATTGCGGCTTGAGCAAGAGAAAGAGGGTATAGTACCAGATCAAGCCACTACATGCAAGTCAACGTTGCAGAGTATCTGTACTGCAACGTTACTAACGTATTGCCAGGGAAGTCACAAGCACCAGATCTCAGCAACGCACGCGCTAGTGCTGGCGCATATTTTTCTTCCTGGGGCTCTTGGGCCAGCGAAAAGCGCAAAGGCTGGGGTGCGCGCAGTGCATCCGCGAACCAGACACCCGCTTCTTCACCACCGCCTAGCGCAGGCCCACTGCCCGGCGATCTGAAGAGAGCCGAACAGTTCAAGCGGGACAAGGGAGCGAGTTTGGATGGATCGACCTTGCACAGCTCCAGTGGAGTGACAGCGCACAAGAGGATCGCGAGTTATGATGAGACTACGGATGGCGAGAAGAGGAATAGCGGCACTGTGTTCTTTGACGCGGAGATCGCTGAGCAAGAGAGAAATGCTTGGAGGACCTGAGATAGGCCGTATCATAGTCCGGACGCATGATCTTTTGACTGATAAGAGCATTGTATGAAGCTCGGCTGAGTGGCGTTCCGTGCGTTTCTCGACTTTGCTGGCTTGAGGGAACAAATCACATCGCATAACTGCCATCGGGAGGTCTGCTTATTGTAGTATCAGAAACATATCGGGCAGTGGATACATATAGATAACGAATGTGCCGAGTGACCACTGTTCTCTCCTACTACAATACTTGTGCAACGTACTTGCAGAATGTCTATGACTAAAGTGAACCTGGATTGGGTGCCAGAAAGAGTACATGAACACGAACGAGAGATGACTACGGAACTGGATATGGTTGGACATTGTTGGTATCATTGTATCGTAGGTGTCAAGATGTCCCTACATGGCACATACTTTTCGAAAGCTGGAAAGGCTCTCTTAGGTCGTCACTCGTTGCGCATATTTGTGTTTCCGCATTGCCCCTGCTTCCACTGAAGCGTCGCCCAACGCCAACCCATAGCAAAAAATTCTTGACCAGACTCCGAAAACATCATGCCTCTAGTGTCTTTAAACTTTGATGAAGCTGATTTTCTTTCTAGTCGTAGTGCATGAAGAGTTGCGACATGCTCTCGCCGTGGTGATTCCGTCGGATGGACTCAGCCAGCAGATTGTCAACGTTCAGAATGACGAGCTTGTCGCCAGCCTGCTCACGCTTGAGTTCCGGAACCGGAAATGCGTTGGTGATGATGATCTTCTCAATGCACTCGCAGTTGTACATTTCCTCCAGGCAGTCGCCGCCGAACAGACCGTGGGTGGCCATGCAGTACACTTTGCGGGCGCCTCCTCGCTTGACGACAGTCTCGGCTGCGGCGATCCAAGATGCGGATTTGTCCATCATGTCGTCGACGATGAATACGGGTCTATCCTTGACATTGCCCACGAGTGTGACAAATGTCTCGATCTCAGGGTTCTGCAGATCTTCCTCTTCGTCCTCTGACGAAGCTGCTGCATCGTATGTGCCGCCAAGAGCGTGGCCGTGCTCGTTGTCCAGATTCTCCCGCCTTGAAGACGTTGTTGACATGAACGAATTCATCATGTGTGAAGGTATGTCTTCATTCTCGCCTTCGGAAGGGGGACGGTTGCGCCAGGAGTTAGTATGTGATGTTGCGGACATGGACGGCGAGGGATGCGTGTCGTCGACAATGTGACCCTGCACTAGACGCCCGTGAATGACGTTTCGCGCACGCTTCATATGTCAGTTTTGTCGTTTGCGTCATATCGTTACAGACATACCTCATCAGTGTATTCTTCCTCTTCGGCGCCGTCCTCGTCCTGGCTCTGCTCAGCGTCTGCCTCTTCCATCTGGGTCGAAGCCTCGGTTCTCACTGGCTCCAAAGGCACTTCGGGCTCGACAATGGAGCTGGCGCGCATAGACTTAGAAAGAGGGTGTTCACCAGCGACTCCATTTGCTCTTCGGGACAGCGGGTTCGATGGGGTGCGTCCTGTTCGGACCTTGGGCTTGCCAATCTCTGCCTTGGAATCAGATGAGGTTTTACTGACTGGCGCGAGCTCAGCATCTGCCTCGAGCGTAGCTTCCACCATCTCGCGCGAGTCTGGAGGACCGTCAAGCCTCAACTGCTCAAACATGGCACTCTCGTTCCAGGGTCTGCTTCCACCTGCCCTTCGCCTATCCGTTGTGACGATCCCGAAGCTGAGCTTCATGGCATCTGCCAGTGATGTCACTCGCTTGGTTCCACCAGGGTTCTTGCTGACTACGACAGCTTCTCGCCAGTCTCGCACATGCATGCGCGCCCAGCGAGCAAGGAGGGGTTCGGCTACGAGGTTGTCGACTGGGCACTTGAAGAAGCCCTGCATCTGCGAGGCATGGAGGTCGACGGTGATTACATGGTTGACGCCGGCGATATGGAGGAGGTTTGCAACCATGCGAGCCGTGATAGCCCCACGGTGCTGCTTCTTCTTCGACTGGCGCGAATAAGGGAAGTATGGCATGACCGCTTTGCACGGTCAGTGTTTGGTGTAGCACCTGATAACAGTTTCCATACCTGTGACTGATTTTGCGGAGCCGCCTTTACAGGCAGAAATCATGATCAGCAGCTCCATGACCGAGTCGTTAATCCTGCGTGCGATTAGCATGGGCAAAGGTACAGAGGCATAGCAACCCACTTCTCGCTGCCGCTCTGGATGATGAACACATCTTTGTTGCGAATCGAAGTGTCTGCCAGCCATTAGAACGCGAGAGACGCAGCAGACCAGTAAGCCATACGGATCGTGACAGACGTCTCCCCATTCTTGAACTTGCCCAGCGTCGCAGAGCCAGGCTTCATGCCCAAGCGGTCGCACACACCGTCAACCAGTTTGGGGTGTGACGACCCGCCGAATACAATGGCACCGCGCATGGTGGGAGGTCCGAGTAAAACGACGTCGTTGTAGTGGTTGAACTGCAGTGGAGACCTCTGAGGCCTCGTAAATTTTGGCACCATCGCGTGCAACGAAGTCGGCGTGTCGGCGCTCGAACCCTTGGCGGCCGAACGCGGTTCAACGAGTCAGGGTACCGCGATTAAGTGCAGGTCGAGACGAGTGATCAGTCGATGTCTGAGTATGTTGATTGACGTGCACGAACATCAAAGGACTAGCACTCTTACACTTAATACATTCTCATGACGATGTCCTGTACGCACTGGTGTGCTGGCACGCGACCATAATGCAGCGGACTGGCCAGTCATGGCTACGCACGAAAGCACGCTGCGCCTTCGTGCACGCGAACTGCTGCCAACGCCCCCGCCTTCCATGATGTAGTCGCGTAATACATACCATCACTCCTATATCCCTTCGTACCGTCCGCAGCTACAGATAGAGAAGCGGACAACTCTCGTTCGATCGGCTTGGGGGCAACTTGAATGAATCACTGCGAAGATACTGGAGTAGTCGCGCACCACCGTCCTGCATTCTTGTTTTTTGTAGTGGCATTGGTGTGTTGTTGATGCACATGCACCTGAAGCATGAGATTGACTGCGTTCAATTGCTGCAGTCACTGGGGAGGAGAACTCTGTTGCGACTTAACTCATCGCCTCTTTCGTCCGTGTAGCCAAGATCGGACGTACAAGAAAAGGCAATACCAGCGGCTACAGTACAAGGTGGTCGGCGAAGTCTTTGTCGGGAGCAGTGTTCAAATCCAGCAATTGCAGCATCGTTGCTGCAGCAGGCATGATCGTCGCGGTACCTGCAGTTGCCCTTTCCGTGCGAGATTGGAGATCTTGGTTTGGTGGTATGACTTCCAGATTCCCAGCCACACGCAGTGTTACATGCTCACCGCCTGCCTGGTGTCATGGTCGGCTTCTTATTTTTTTTGTTTCTGAAGTAACGTCCTCGACTAGACCGGAGACCTACCGATTGGCCACTACATCCTCTACCGCTTGGACTTAGTTTGCACATCAGGATGCAGCCACCGGAATATCTGCATACGTCATTCACATCTCTCCTATCTCCCAGCTTCACCTTGCAGCCTTGCTACGGGTCACGCGAGCTGCAAGGTACCATCGAAGACTGCAACATAGATCCACCATTGAGACGACCTTCGTACTCAGCCTCGGCCGCGTGATAAACCTTGATACGTTTAGGATGAGAATGCATGACTACACCACTTGAAACGCGAGGTGATCTTCATGCCACAAATTAAGGCGTGAGCGGGTTAAGACTTGAGCGGAAGTCTTGCCTGGCCTTGGTTTTCGAGTCGATGCTCAAAGGGAGAGCAATGTGATGGATACTTGCTAGTATGTAATGCATCAGGTGTAATGGCGGCAGCGGGTTGAAGGTGTGCAAGGGGTCTGTCGTTTGGTACAGCGCTTGATCGCCCGTGTACCACCATTGACGACCGCGGAGGCCGTGCAAGGCAGAAGGCGAAACTGCATTCCGCTATATCCCACAATCGTACTGCACCGAAACCGTCAGCTTGTAGGGCTGCGGTCGTAAGGCTAGCGGAGAGACGTCCTAATTTGTAACGAGTCACGTGTACCACTGCCGCTAGTGAGCCTCCTCCCATCTCCCAAAGCACAGAACTGCGGCTTCGTCCGAGAGTCGTATCCCAGTCAAGCATTCAGCTGTGGGCTGGGGCTGTCATGAGGAAAGTGACAGGAAACGGCACGTACAACGCTGAGCTCAATGAAGATGCTGACCAATGACCATATTGAGTACCGATAGATGCATTCCCGGTTACCCGGTTCCAGGTGTCCTAGATCACGAAGGGTGCAGATCGAAAGTCACGTCTCGTTACAGGCACCATACTACTGATATCTACGTTTTTCGATTCGGGTGTTTCACGGTCCATGACTCAATGAATGATATTCTTCCTCAATCACTCGCTCGATCATGGGCTGAGTCATGACTGCTTTGAGTTCCCAACATGATCCATGAGATGCAGTGTTCGAGATCAGATGGTCGGAGCGAAGCAGCGCGCGTTCAAAGGCGAGACCGCCGCGCCGACCGTATAACGCATGTACTTCAGAGACCGCATGGCCGATGGTATAGGGTGTGTTGCAGTAGTGTCTGACTGCCATGACCTTAGACCCGCAAACCAGGTAACAGGTCAATGGCGGTGGTCCAGGGTTGTTGCATCAGTCTTGCCCTGCTATCTCAGGTATTGCTTTCCAGGAGCGGCACGGGCCTTGATGTGTCGCGTGGGGGAAAGACAAGCAAATACTTGGCAGATCATTCCGATTTCCAGATTCACCAAGATTGGCGGGACAACGTCCAGGGGATGACGCACTTGAATCCGTCTGGGGTAGCGCCACAGGCGCCGAGATTACACGGCAGCCTCGACGGTAACACCAATCTCGCATTGGTGGGACCGAGCGCCAGGTTCACATCGATCCCGTGTAACAGGGGAAGATGAAGCGAGGATCTGTGAACAGACCCTCGAAGATAGTCTTGTATAGTATGTTTGCTATGACCTTTCAGCCAAGACTGCAAGTAATCCTCGATAACAGACATGGTGTCGTATAGGTGATGCCAGTCCCACTGTCTGTCCGAGACCACAATCCCATGGCAGAACTCTGCCTGAGCTGTTGTCGCAGGCCAAACGCTGATAGCGTGCAGAGGATGCTTTGCAGAGACCTGATCAACCGTCTATTGGACATGTTGAATAGCATTCGATGGTTGCAAACGGATATTGGTCATCGGGCATGTAAAGCAACTCGACGCAGAGGGTATTAGCGAGCTACTGCATGCAAAGACGATACCAGGACTGTCCTGCTCAGGTTTCTCGGGAACCAACCCGAGCTTCTCCTGTATCCTACTCAGAAAATCTGAACAAAAACGTCTAGGATGTAAGGCTGGCCACAAATTGCACAGACTTTGTAGGACGCGACTCCATCCGCCTGTCCGTTGAATCCTCACTGCTGCAGGAAGGGGTTTGTAGAGTCGGCCGCTGGGTAATGACAGTGCTCCGCGAGCAGACATTACTAAAAGAGCAGACAGTGGATTTCCCGCCAGCCTCCTGATTGACGATCAAGGAAGGCTTGCCTCTTTGGAAGCAGTATGCGTCTTGCAAGAGCACGCGGAAGCTATAGATCGACTTAGTGAAAGGCCGAAGGCAGATCCGCGGCGCTACTACAGAACGCCGGAGGCGTTTCAAGAGATGAGGCTGTGTGACACCATTCGCCGAAGAGCTGAACCAGGTAGAGGGGACCTATCGTGCCGGAGACGCCAACCAATCCCCTCATTTGCAGCGGCTAGCTGTGCGTCGTCCAGAAGGAGCTTGAGGCGACAGGAACTGGAATACCTGGGAAGGGCAGACTGACGGGCGCAACAGGAAAGGTGTCGTAGACGGCCGTGTAACCATGATTGTCCTGTAAAGATCTTACGACGGCACCGGCACCAAGCCGCGTCCACCGCACGCCGGTGCGTTGACCTATTAGCGGCTTCGCAGGGAGACCCATTCAACGAGCGACCGATATCCTGGCCAGGGAAGGTCTCAGGAAGAAGCAAAGAAGACAGGCCGAAAGGTGGAGAAGGAACGGTGGTTGGAGGCGCATGCATGTCGACGTTTTAGGCGGCCTTGTGTACGAGCCGACTGACCGCCTCTACCGTGACGTCCCTGGCCATTTCAACCGTCCTCTGGGTCTGGTATTGGACGGCACAATGAACGCATGGTTGCTTCCCGCATCGCTGACAAGGGTTAGTACGAAAGAAGCAGTGTGAAGGATTCGCGTATGGCGACGTGATGAGAAATGGCGACAGAAAAAGCAGCCGCGAACCTGCGATTGCCGAAGACCCCAGTTCGCGCTAAGTGCGCACTAGCCCTCATTGGCTGTAGCCTTTTTTGGCCAGGGCACAGCCCGAAGCAGCAAGAGACAGTGCCCCTTCTCTTTCTGGGAAGTCGCAGCAAGAGCCATCATTCGCGACAAGACGCATGCAGCACGGTTTGTGTGACACATAGATTTCGGCAGCGCTACGCCTCGAATCATCTCGGAATATTCACATCGCGATGCGCCTTGGACAAGGGTTCGCGACCTAGAGATGCTACCATGCCCGCGGCTGCGGAACAGACAGCCCGCGTTTGACCAGCTCCACCACGCCGTTCCCTTCGAGAGCCTCATATTGGAGGAGTAGTAGAGGCACCTCTCATTCGGCCTTGTTGTGCAACCTCTGGTGTATCTGTTCCTCCATTTGTCTGGTAGCTATCCGCTTTCGAGCATCACGGTGCAGGGCAGCAAGACCGCAAGACGGCGGCACGCTTCTCTTGTTGTACACTACCGCAATCTGGTGGATGTGGTATCAGACCTAGCAAGCTCAAACTTAGTTCAACATGGTTCGCGAATATCTTGGGATCAGTATAAGACGGACCTAGATCCGCACAATTAGCGTCTTCAGCTTAGCAACAAGTAGTGTTCTCTCCATCAACGCAACTCACGATCTGGTTCTGTTTTCTCTGCAGTATTTGCTTGCTTTTCCACAGCCACGACTAACAGGACCCTTGAACGCCTTCGGTCTACCGCGCAATCCCACGCCCATCTCAAACACTCCTTCTATCTAAAGCGCTCAGGTAAATCCTCCGCATTTTTTGAGTACATATGGAATCTTTTGCCGCCCCAATTGCCTCTGCTAATTTCGTGCAGCTCATCTCTCGCTCCTGTGCCTCCAACACTCATTCGAATCGACCTCATCAATCCCTCGAACCGGCTCCTCCACTCGCTCGAATTGACTCTACCATTCGCTCGAATCGACGTCATCACATCACAATGGCCGCCCCAGTAAACTGCCAGCACAACTTCAACGTCGTCAAGTCTGATACAACCGTCGTCGTCTGGAACTGTAACATGTGCCATTCGGGTCCTCACTCTCACATCTACGAGTGTTCGAATTGTAAGCTGAAGACCTGCCGGCCATGCGCATCCAAAGCATAGGTAAGCCCAAGATCTCTTTCGCGTTCCTCTTGACCTCGCAACTCCTTGGCATGCCAATGTAAGGCTGCAATTGCATGAGACTTGATGAGAAACGCTAGTGGAGTTACATGGATCGATCCTTTAACAGTTGCAAAGTTCGTGTTGCTGACTCGGTGGTGCAGGCCAACAAGCGCGTGCCGCGTGCAGGGGGATCGACCAACTAGGATCTGATCCGAATACCTGGATCGATCACGCCCATCTCGCCTTCTCATTCGGCGGCTCAAGTCCCATTTCGCAACTCTCAACGAAATTTCTTTTTCTGCTCCTTCCTTCCTCGGACGGCAACATCTATATCTCGGCTCTATTGATTTAGCACGGCGTTTCGGCGGCACAACATCTGGCGGCCCTCTGATCCAAGGGCGGCAATCTCGACACGGCCGGCCACTACCATCAGGCGTTACTTGCAACTGCATAAAAGCAAAGGCGTCTATACTGAATTGTTTCAGTCTAGACATGGGCTTCCTGCGACAGCTCGATAGTTTACGAGCTTCTCTTTATTGGTTTCTCTGCATGGGTTTTCGGTCTCAGCATTACTGGCAGGGTCTGCTTCTTGTATTCATCTCCCTGATCTTGACGTACTAGATCCAAGGGAGGCTTTCACTTTCGATCTAATGCTTTCATCTCACATATCTCAACCTTATCTGGTACTCCTTATATGCTCTCTCCCGAGTATCAGCGGTCGGCTCTTGTACAGAACTCACATCCATAGTGAGACAGTCGTTTCATCCATCCAAGGAGACTCGCCTTGGCATCTGAATAGAGAGACATTCATATCGAATTAGACATCAATCACATGTGGTACAGCTATGTGTGTCGCGGTCATCACAGTAGTCGAGACCATTGTAAACGAAGTGCTTTCCAGAAATGAAGCCGACCAGCATCGCCCGTATCTTGCGTATGACTCGTTCTGCTTGTAAACTGTGATCCTAGGGTAGCCTAGCATGCGCATATCCGTCCTCGATGCCGGCAACGAGATCCGCTTCGATTTGCGCACTGACACCGATATACCTCGGCGATCGAAAAAAACCCACGCCGTGATCCTGCATCAAAATCCTTCAATCCGCCTAAGCCAAGCACGCAAAGTCCTTCTTCCCGTTCTGCATAGGTATGTGACTTAGTGTGGTGGATCAAACAGAGGACAATACACCGTGCTTGGAGTCCGCACTTTCAAGTGTAGGTCTCTATGGTAGCAGGTTGAGGACCAGATTGGCAGTAAGAGCGAGCCGTCGTGCCGCCACTGTTGCCGGGATTGCCGTCATGAAAGTGGTCTTCTCTAATCTCATGCATGTTTGAGCTGAAAAATTACTGAATCGGCTTACTTCAATTTCTAGCAGGCTACGGCGCTAACACGAGGCAAACAGCACACAAGGCTCGGTGACGGCGGAGCGAACTAGACCCTTGTTGGAATAAAAGGGAGAGGATCACCCGCAGCTGCTGTCAATGCGTGCATCTCTGGTTTCATTGAGACTGTCAAGCTTGGTTGCGGAGCTGACATGAGCTGACTTGTTCTGAAGTTGTTCAGCCTGCAGCATGCAGCCGACCTTGCAGCCAGCGCACGGACTCACAACATCTCCTCTCCTCCTTCTAGATCCGTGCGCTTCCCTGTATAGCTGTGCATTGTTCGAGTTCTAGATGACTGCATCTGCTTGAGTAGTGCTAGGGCTCACTTATATCTCACCTACACATGGGCTGATACATTCAAACTGTACACGAGCGTTATCAGGCAGCCATGCGGGCAGCTTCCCAGTCTCGACGCCTGTCAGCACTCTCAGCTGCCAGTCTCTTTGATAACCAATAGATGGTCTCGGCCCCCAACTCAGGACATGATCATAAGTAAGAGGAAGCTCAACAAAGGTCTGTGATCTGTCTTCCCCTTCTTTTGAGCAAACTCGTCATTGAGACATCCTTGTGCCCTCAATCTTGTACTACAAGAAGCTTCATAGGACCTTTCGTAAGCACCATATCAAGGCGTTGACTTGTCGATAAACACGTTGAAGCTAGACGAGCAGTAGTCAGACATGAGTTCCGTTCTCAGCGACAGCAATGACATCACAAATACTCCTCAAGAAGTGATCAACGAGTTTTGGGACAAACTGATCACCAAGAAACCCGGCAAAGTTACCCAGGTCTTCCCTCAATCACTGTATGCCAATTTGCTACCGCCACCCCGCAAACAAGGCACGGTCAAAGGGCAAAATGCGGCCGAGTCCTATGAGGCGGCAGCAAAAGAATGTCGAGTTCGTGTTAAGCGCATCATAAAAGAATGCCAAAGCATGAACGAGAAATTCACCGACCCAGACTTCGACATTACAGATCAGCCAACGAACTGTCTCGAAGGCCTGTTGCAATGGTACAGAGAACCAGAATCTCCGTCATCGGCACAGGTTGTCAGTCCAGGACGCTTGGGTTTTGCACTACGCACGCTTATTGAGGCGGGTGTAATTTGTCAGGAAGCTGTGCCCCTGCACCTCAAGAACACTACCGACGTTCTGTCGGGAGATCTTTCCGATTCTCAAGACGACGGTCCGCAGTCACGCCACCGCATCGACTGGATCTTCGAGGATCCCAAATTCGAGATCGACGGCTACTCAAGCAGCGATGTTGTGCAAGGTGCCAATGGCGATTGTTGGTTCATTGCCGCAGTCGCAATGATTTGCAGCAATCCAAATCTGATTCAAAAAGTGTGCGTCGAAAGAGATGAAGAATGCGGTGTGTATGGCTTTGTCTTTTACAGGGATGGCGAATGGACCTGGACAGTTGTTGACGACAATTTGTTTCTGAGCAAACCCGATTTCGATTCTCAGGGAGATACATACGACCCTACAGGCATCAAAGAAACAAAATACAAAAAAAATCATCAGACGGGGTCCGAAGCATTATACTTCGCATCATGCGCTCAAGAGAATGAGACTTGGCTTCCCCTTCTTGAAAAAGCGTATGCGAAGGTGCACGGAGATTACGATGCCATCAGCGGTGGAATTTCTGGCGAAGCAGTCGAAGACCTTACCGGCGGGGTGACGAGCAAAATCCTGACTGACCGCGTTCTTAGCAAGGAACGGTTGTGGAAGGAGCTGGAGCTTGTCAATCAAGACTTTCTGTTCTCTGCATCGTCACCTGGGTTGTATGGCGACGACTCTGATGCCAGACGAGGGCTGGCGCTCAATCATGCTTACTCCGTTATCAAAGTGGTTGAAGAAGATAGTGAAGATGGAAAGACCAAGCACAGGCTTGTTCTAATTAGGTAGGTATATCGTTCATCTGTTGGGTCATTCACTAAGGCAGTCAGAAACCCCTGGGGCTCACGGGCTAACGCGGCTATGGGCGAGTGGACTGGCCCTTGGTCAGATGGATCGAAAGAGTGGAACCCCTATTGGATGGAGAAGCTGGGACACAAGTTTGGCGACGACGGCCTTTTCTGGATGTCTTATGAAGACTTGCTCAAGCGATTCGATCTGCTCGATCGGACCCGACTGTTCGATCACAACTGGACCATAGTCCAACAGTGGACAAGTGTACCAGTGGGATGGGTAACTGGATTCCTGAACACGAAATTTTCAGTGGAAATAAAGACGAAAGGCCCGACTGTTTTCCAGCTTTGTCAAGTGCGTAAGCCCTTTTGCGTCAGAGGTACGGATACTAACTTTTTTAGCTTGATGGCCGATACTTCCGCGGCCTTGAAGGTAAATACGACTTCGATCTACATTTCATACTGCAGGAGAAAGACACTGAGTCGGGCGATTATATCGTTCGTGCACGTAGCGCGTGGTTTGGCAATCGTAGCATTTCGGCTGAGGTTGAGCTGGAGCCTGGTATCTATGAGGTCTTACCAAAAATCGGGGCAAAGCGCAATGCAGAGTCGCCAGACGTTCATGAAGTGATCACGACGGTAGCTGAGCGTAACCCCCAGAAGCTGAGGCAAATCGGCCTAAACTACGACCTCGCCAATGCCAAGGGGCTCGTTCAGCTCACTGATGAAGAGCAGAAGCTAGCGGACAAAAAGAAGAGAGAGGCAACAGAAATGAAGAAAAGGGCAAAAGACGCTGCTGATAGAGAGAAGGCAGAGTTTGAAGCGTGGAAAAAGGAGGAAAAGGAGGAGTATGAGATCTGGAAGAAAGAGAAGAAACGATTGGAAGACAAGATAAAGCTCGTGAAAGCGGAGTCTGGAACTGTTGGCACCGGTCCTGCAGTACCTGCTGAAAATGAGGAGGTTAAATCTGCTGCACCTGTCGTCAATGCGGACAATGCAGCCTTGAAACTAGATGAAGAGACCCCGGCAAACACTGCCCCAGAGACCGATCTTGTCAACAATACAGTGGGCCTCAAACTGGATAGCGTAGACACGCCCAGCGGTGACGGTAAAGTAGAACATACGCTCGATAAAGACCTTCGGGTCCAGAGTCGTAGCCCGTCACGTGCATTGTCTCGTGGAAGGCGCCCTGCTCCTCACATGTATGATGCGTCTCGTAGCTACTATGGAGACGAGCTACAGCCAGAGGCTCTCCCGCGCGCTCGTTCACCCGTAGACACGAAAACCAAGCCCTGGAATGCAGTCTGCGTTCTGGGTCTTAGAGTCTACAGTCAGGACTCGGGAGTCAGCATCAAACTGGTGAAGCCAAAGAACGCTGAAGAGGGTGCAATCTTGGATGTTGGAGGCGATACTGCCGCAGGAGCTACAATGTGACTGGACTGTATTTCTGGTGCTGATTGACCCAAAGCTCCACTGGCACTGCTCGCACATTACAACGCCACCTCGTTTCTTCCGACTGTATCACAGTACTATGGGCGGTTTATTTGATGTCGGTGAATAGTATGGAAGACCTCGCAGAGACCATTATCAGGAAATTTGTAGAGGGTGGTAGTTTCCACGTCACTCGTGATGCCTGCCGCGCGATTGCTACACATGTAGTAAGTAGTTGCGATAGTAGGTACGTAGGTAAGCGCCAGAGAGCGCGTACCTAGACCCCAGCTTTAAATGTGATTCGACGCTCGTCCACGCACCCCGAAATCATTTCATCGCCACACGACTCCCATCGCTTCTCATCTCTACCACATTCTAGACCCATTGATCGGAACTGAGGCAGCCACTCAGTGTTGGCAGAACATCTTGAACAGTACATCTTGAACGTTTAGTACATCTTGAAAACAACATGGAGATGCATGAACCGAATGACGATCTTTACGAATACGATGGCTTCAACGTGAAGCCATCACCCGTGCCGAATGCCATACCCTACAGACAGCTAAGACAGGACTCCGGTATCGATTTCAACCTGATAAGCGCTGCTATGCACCACGGGTCCGTTGGGACACTCTTTGCATCACAATACACAACAAAGAATTCAGCGCAAGGAACAGCTGAAGATACAACGCAGAGGCTGACAGGCTCTGAGTATTCGGTTTTTGCCATCCACGATGCCAGTACTGAACGCAAGCGGAGTGTCGCCAGTAAAACCATCGCTGAGTTGGATGAATTCGAACTACCTCAAAGACTTACCAACAATGAAGCATATCCTTCTGCTGAGAGAGAAATGGCAGTGTACGTTTCATGCAAGCATTCACTCAATGCCCACGCAGCAGAAAACTTCGACAAGCATCATTCATCTCGGTCTGCAATTGAGCGCATCCATGTTATTCCAGCAGATAATGACAATTCACCAAATCGTTCAGTTCTGCTCAACGATAATACGGATACGGATGTTACTCTTCAGGACGAGCGCTTGAATCGTCTCCTATCTGTAGCGTTACCCCTGCTGCCGCACGATGAAATCTTCACACGGGAAGAAGAGCAAAAGGTGCGACAAGAGCATGATGCTATCGAGCGTGCCCGTGCGAAATACCTTGCAGAGGTGATGATTCCCGCAAAAGGCCAGGACGAGGGACCGAAGAGATCTTCATATTCTAAGAGAGAATCTGAACGACGCCAGCAAGTCGCAAGAGAACAATCGGAAGATGGAATCCAGCAGGCTGAAATAAGAGAGCAGTTGGATTACGGTGATCAACTCCTACAGGATACACAGCACATCATGCACCTACAAGATTCAAACATGTATATCCTTCCGCGAGTGTGGAATATGGAAAATCGCCCGCGAAGAACTCGATTATTCAGCAATCTGCGCTTACTTTGCCAGTACCTAGGACGAGAAATGTCAGTAGCCTACCTGATTGGCGGGCGTCTCGAGTATCTGCGAGCGGGACGATCCAAGCAGCACGAAGTAGCAGTCATGACGGAGATGAAATATTTGGAAAAGCACATAAAAATGCGAGAGGATGCTGAAAATGACTACGACACACTCGTTTACGACTACTTGGGTTGGGCTATCGCTCAAACTACAAATGAAATGAAAGAAAACATCGAGATGACAGCGTCTACAATTGACATCCCGCCCTTTATGCTGCAAGAATGGATCGCACCATCTCCACAACTACGAAAGCGCTTTCTTAGACTGCAAGAGCTGGAGAAGTCTCACTTTCCAGAACGCTTTGCCGCCAGACCTTCAACACTACCTCGCCCTCAAACCGAACCGTTACCTGTATCTACGCCTGGAGGTCGACTGATTCCAACACGAGGGGCGCATTTGAGCACCGATCAGTAGTGTGATGGTTCATCAGAACACAGTCTTGAACGTCGTGAGCATTATAGAGAACGTGAGTATCAGTACGACATCAGAACATCACGAACGCTACCGCGATCATTTAAACAAAGGAATCACAGATCGGTTGCACTACTGATAAAAAATGAGGAACCAGACTTCTCAGTGCCAACTTTGGATCGAAAGATGGAAGGAGAGCCAACCTCGCCATTGAACCCTGCCGAGACCGGAGCTCTCCCTTTTCCAAAACCTAGACCAGAGCATCCACTGCGTTTAGCCTGTTTGCCCGTATCGGAGCGTTATGCACCTCAGCCCGAGGCTCCGTTTCAAATGGAGAAGCCAACGTCGCCACGTGTGAATCGGTACGCTAACCCTTTTGGCCTCGACGCTGATGGTGAGTGCATTTGTGTTATTCCACGAGTCCATGAGCTGAAGATATGATACAGAGCTCGCCTCCAGAGGGCTGCATCCACCACGGCTCTTTCTGTCTTTGCAACAAGCTAAACGTCGTCGAGCGCTCCAAGAACCTTTGACACCAGAAAACATTGATAAGGTCGTAGAACGCAGTTGGCGAGAGGACCTGGGAGAGTTACAATATCGCCAAGATTGTATGGAAGAGGATAGTATGTTGATTCATAAACTGAGGAGATCTGAGTGTGTTTGCTAAAGCGGTACCTACAGTCTCACGGAAGCACAAAAAATCCATGAGAGAGCTCGAGTCGCGTACCTCCAAATGCTTCAGTGAAGCAACTCGCCCAACTATGGGGAAGAGGGATGTTAGAACTTCTAGAGATATTGCAGGAAGTTTCCAGACCTTCCCTGGTGCCAGGCCTCACCTGCCAGTGAACCTCGACTGGATCGGAAGTAAAGGTACTTGCGAGAAAGTCGAAAGACTTAAGATTTCCTCCCGCACTGAGCGTAGCAGACTCTCTGGGTCACTTGAGGGAAACGACGAGACCTTCTCCCGTATCGTACAGGTCGAGCACGACAGTTTATTTACGCGTAACACGCCACTTGATCCAGCGCATTTGATTGAGAAGATTGAGGGCACTCATATCACCGAAGGGTTGCATGTCCAAAGTAAGCCTAACCCCAATCAATGTGAAGTGGAAGGCCTGAGCATTTTACTGATATATTTGGCATGTTCAACAGGAGACGATGTTAGGAATGCAGTTGAAGTTATGGTCACAGAGCTTCAGGTTTCTGATTCTGATAGTGATTAAGTTCACTAAGCATCGGAGCAGCAACTCGATAATCTCGAGTGTTCTGTTAATAAGCTATAACCTAGTCCTAAGGTACTCGGTTACAAAGAGTCAGACGACCGTACGTCAAGAAAACAAATTCAAACTCTGGATCACACCCTGTGAGCAGGGTGTTGGGAGATCTCTGGAGGGTATGGTATGAGAGACGAGAATATGAGGCAAGTGACCCAGGAGAGTCGACGATGACCACCCGTGCTTCACAGTACTAAAGAATTATGAGCTTTTAAGTGATCTGGAAAAAGTTTGCTCAGCTTTCACGGCCCAATTTTAGACTTGTCGTCTGATTCTTTCTGAAAATCTCTGCATTTGTCTCCTGTGAAGGCACTGCTAAGGTCAAATGGCCTTGCCATTCATAGGTCCGGCCCTCCGAAACAACTTTCTGTAATCTGTTGCCTATGATTTTCTCGCATTCTGATGTGTTCTGTAATTACATGTACAGATTCGGCGGTCCTCCATGCCAAGCCGAAGTATAGACTCAACACGCGTACGTATACGTACGTATATACGGTTGTATCTTTACGTTCGAAATGTACGAATAAGTTACTGGCTCGTTGGTCATCTATACATGCTTCGAATCGTACCAGGTTGAAGATGACGTTCGGATAATCTATACTCCGTCTGACGCTGACGCCAGCGTGACTCTGCTCGTATCTCGAACACGACCAGGCACTTTGAAGATCAGAGACATTATCTCTATCTTCACCGACCTCAAAGGAGTTCAACAAAACAGATACGACACCACGGGGGACCCAGAAACACAATGTCGAAGTTAGCAACGTTGGTATTCGTGCCTGGCGCTTGGCATAGAACAACATGCTATGACAAGATCGTACCGGCTCTTGAAGCGCGCTATCACATCAAGTGCCGCTCAGTCTCACTACCATCTACGAGTGGCGATCCAAATGCAACATTTAAAGACGACCTTGATGCTGCCCGTGCGGTCATTGCCAGCGAAACGACGCAGAGTCGCAATGTTGTACTCGTAGCCCACTCGTATGGCGGTATGGTCGCCAATAGTGCTATCAAAGGTTTCACTGGGGGACCCGGTAATGCTGCAATCGACTCTTCTGTGTCTCCAGGCCGCGTGATCGGTCTAGTTCTGATCGCCTCGGGATTTACTCTGACAGGATTGTCCTTCATGGATCCCTTCTTCCATATTCCACCGCCATCGTGGCGTGTCAACAAGGAGACCGGGTTCGCCGACATTGTCCTGACTCCTCGGCAATTCTTCTACCATGACATCCCAGAAGATGAAGCAGATGACCGGATTGCTCAGCTCACGCCTCAGAGTCTGAAGGCATTGTTCGAGGGGGGAGAGCATTCATACGCAGGTTGGCGAGATGTACCTGTATGGTATATTGGGACTATCGAAGACCAGGGCTTACCAGTCGCAATACAGCGAGTACAAGTCGGCATGGCAAGGGGGGTGGGTGCTCTCGTTAAGCACAGGGAGTTGCGAAGTAGCCATTCTCCATTTCTGAGTCAGCCTGACGAGGTTGTGGACTTGTTGGTAGAGGCTGTCGCAGAATTTACGGGAAAGAGGATGGAGGGCAGCAAGGCTGAGGGGGTCAGGAACCAGGTTCAAACGCCAGCAGTCACCATTTGGAGCCCTTCTTCATGGCTCAAGTATGGTTTGCCATTGGCGATTGGTCATATCATCGGATGGTGCTTGCTCCTTTTCTACGGAGCCAGGAAGCTATGGCAGGCTTCAGTCGGCACAAAAGAAAAATCTCGTTAATCGTGAAACCGACTCGATGAACGATGTATTACCATGCGGGTGGTAAATCTTCACACCTCTGTACAGTGATGGATGTCCAATTAATGTGCGTTTCCTAACTGGTCTTGACCGTTGGCATCAAGCAACCCATAGGATATCTGCGGAAAGTCTAGCATGGCTGGATTAATCGGGATGCGGTAGAGTATCTTCTATGCAATGCTGCATCTGTCAAGATTTGCCTTCTGGCATGTGAATGCAAATGTTCAAATCCAGGCTTCCATGCTTTCTGCTGTTACGTACCCTGACGAGTACCTCCTACCTAATGTCGCGAATTCAAAGACAGGAATCGGGATGGGTGCTTGCAGTCTGTCTCTGTAGAACCCATGTCCTTGCTGTCGTAGCTTAAGCAACAGGATTTTACCGCTATCGTAGCACGCTTATTCCACGTTGGAAATTAGGTAGCGTTGGTGCCTGGTGCATAGACCAGGTCGGTGGCCTTGCGATGAGATGTTAATAACCATTGAACTCCTGAAAGACCACAGAAGCACTTCGTTCGATCGGTAAATTGTCCAGTCTCACAGCACTTGATACGTGGGCCACTGCCCTCACATTTCATAACCTGCCTGGTCCTTTTGATTTGCGAACGCGATGGGTGCCGGACAATCTCAGCCACTTGCGTTGTCACCAGAGCCGCAGGCGAGCCCAGAGGAGCGAGCACAGGCGCAAGAAGAGGTAAGAATTTTGACTCGTGGATCGTCTGTCAACAAATATTTGCTGATACTGTCGAGATGCGCGCAAAGCAGCAGGCTGCATTGGACAAGCGCCTTACGAATCAGCAGAGAAGGCCATCACCATCGCCGGTTGAGAATGCGTCACGATCAAGCAGTAGCACAAAGAAGCTGAGCGCGCTGGAGCAGATGAGTCGAGAGAACATTGGATGGCGCAATGCAGACGCCAATCATGAGATGAGGAGTTGGAACTGAGATGAACGAGGGGAATTAGTGAAAATGGCTTGTAATGTCAAGTGGTGCCGAGAGGCCCGGGGCAGACCTCGGGGTTATCTAGCAGCGACACCATGCATTAATTGCCATAGCTAGGACGCGGTGATGACGACATCAAAGTTAGGTTTGCTGTAAAGTTGACTACACCTGGGGAACTATGTACACCAAGAGAGACCAAGTGAAAATTCCCCTAAATTGTTGACGAGGCATTGTATGACTATGTACTTCGTACGGTACCGGGCTGCGCAAGGATTCGTCCGGAATTGGGTCCGATTGTGGCTAGTCAGGAGCTGACTAAACCCCAGCAGGATTCCGCAACGCCTCAATATGCATTCATTCCTCATTCATTTATGTCACAGCCACTACACTTCTTTCATTTAGATGGTCTTTCAGATGGGAGAAGCAGAGAATCGTGTTGCAAAGCGAAAATCGCACACGAAAAGCCGCAAAGGGTGCTTTTCATGCAAAACTCGTCATACAAAGGTATGTTCACTCGATTCGTCTGTAGCCAATCAGGATGTGTCAAACAACTTCCACACGTTGCATTTTCCGTCGGTGGTGTTCCAAATAGCCTTGAAACCCGCATCGGTCGTTGGATTCGATGCTAATGTGACTCTTAGTGCAACGAGGTTCGCCCACGATGTCAGAATTGCGTAAGATTGGACATTCATTGCAACTGGCCAGTCATCAAAAACCAATACTCAGCGTCTTCACCTCAATCAAACGGAAGCAGTCATCTATCACCAGTAGTTCCAGAGCAACTGTCTGCTCACAGTACTGCCGGTTCTGAGCCGAGCGATGCCGATCTTCCTATACCGGACCTTCGCCTGTTACATCACTGGATGTCGAAGGGCCACCAGTCTTTGCGTCCATACGCTACTTCCTCAAGAGAGGACAATATTTGGCGTGATGAATGTATAAACATTTCGTTCCAACATCCGCCTCTACTCCACGGCTATCTGGCTCTGTCTGCTGTACATAAGGCGCTTACCGTTCCTGGTTCGGATCGACAAAGTCTCCTCTTGCAAGCTGATTCACACATCTCTCGCGGCTTAGCTATTTACAGACAACATCTTGAGGCACCTGCTGTCGAGAGAGCTGTACCCATGTTCATGACGTCCACAGTATTGTTCACGTATAACCTTGGTTCAGCACAGCTAGAGAAGCCAGACGATCCGATTGACGGAATTCACCATTGCTTTCGACTCCTGGCAGGTATCAAAATGGTTGTAATGCCATTTTGGTTTGAGATCAAAGACACAAGTGTGTTTGCTCATCTCGTCGAGTTCGCTGAGGGTGATAACACGGATTCCCTGGACGCACGAGCCAAAGACGACTCGACTCCAGAAATGCTCGCATTGAAGGAGTTGACCGGGTGTCTGTTGAACGCGCAAGATAGAGATACGTGTCTAACGGAAACCGAGGAGCTTCACAGAACATCTGTAAGACTCCGACATTTATCTGCGCGTAGTGACGAGTACTCCTTGATTCTGGGTTGGGCTGCTCGATTACAAGACCACTTCATGCACCTCGTTTCGGCCCACAACCCAGTCGCCTGTATCATCATCGCGTATTTCGCCGCGCTGTTGGCGCAAGCTCGCCCGGTCTGGTGGGTTGGGAACTGGCCGCAATGGCTTTTGACAGCCTGTGAACAGCTTCTTGCAGCAACACCTGAGCTTCTCAAGTGGCTGGAGTGGCCCCGGCGAATCATGAGTTCACAAACTCCGAGCACGGTCTCCACACCGGTATCTTTCGAATAGTCTTAGAACGGGCGATGCTGTCGTCGCCTGTATCAGGCGACTGCGATCGGCTGAAACTATCCGTGGGGCCCGGTCTTGCTTTGAGGAGACAAGCACGGCGTATACAACAATGGACCTTGCTGCCATAGAGAAGTATCCACCGGGAATCTGCCGGGTCCCTGTCACGTGGACATATAGTGAAGAGTTACAGGCCACGCTGGTGTTCATCATAGATCTGAGGTCCGCCGAAAGCCTCGGCTGGCAGCGCTGCACGTCCGGAGATGATGTGGACTGCGCCTCCACAAGACTCGACAGTGTTGATCAAAAAGCGAATTCCCCAGATGGGATACCATATCGGGTGACAGTAGCGAAGAACGTTGTATCTCAGTTTATCTTGGTACGCAAGCTCGGGGCAGTGCGACCCTGTTGAGATGCCAGAAGGAAGCGCCTGTCTCACGTACGCGACGGTACCTATACGGCTTCCCGGTCAAGTGGAGACGCTAAGATACTTAGGCCGGACGTATACGCTTTACGGTGAGCGCTTCCACCAATGGCCATGCTTCTGGCCCAACTAGTGTCAGAAGCATCTTGCACAGATTCGCTAGAGATGATACGAAATACGCATTCATTATCATAAGCGATGACGGTTTGTATAAGGCTGCGACGTCGTCCAACTTTGTCAAACGGCAGCGACACAGCATCCCACAACTGGCATCTATTCCAATCATCACTATGGCTGAAGACAAGCCCCGTCCAGCTCTCGACGACCCTCACGCTTACGTTCTGTACCGGTATTATCCATCTCAGGTCGCGGCTATTATCTTTGTTGTACTGTTCGCTCTCACGACTATCCTACACATCTTCCAGCTCGTCAAGAGGAGAACATGGTACTTTATACCATTAGTTGTTGGTGGTCTATGTGCGTACTACGACATCTCACTGCAGGACGCATGCTGACCTCTTTTGAAAAGTTGAAACAATTGGATTCGTCGGACGAGTACTGTCGAAGGATGACATCTGGGCTCTCGGCCCTTTCATTATGCAGTCTCTCTTAATTCTTGTTGCTCCCGCGCTTTTCGCAGCCTCGATCTACATCATACTCGGACGGGTCATTCTCATGGTGGATGGCGAGCGTTACTCGATGGTCCGACAAAAGTGGCTCACGAAGACATTTGTTGCGGGTGACGTGCTCAGCTTCTTGATGCAGGGTTCTGGTAAGCTGGTTTGCGAGAAAAGCTGCTGATTCAAGCTGACATTCGCCCTAGGTGGAGGTATCATGGCCATGGGAACTCTCAACTCGATGGAACTTGGCGAGAAGATCATCATCGGTGGTCTCTTCATTCAACTCATCTTCTTTGCGCTGTTCGTTTGTGTAGCCGCAGACTTTCATCGACGTCTGATCAAGGACATCCCTATCAAGAGGCGATATACACCTAGGTCACTCTTCCGCAAAACTCGACACACCCATAATAGCTCTTCCGATGGTCCGATCACCGCCGTAATCTCTCGCGAAGCTGTCCATGAACTGCCTTGGAAACGACACCTCTATGTCCTGTATGCTGCTAGTGCGCTCATCCTTGTCCGAAGCATCTTTCGCATTATCGAGTATATTCAAGGCAACGCTGGATATCTGCTCAGCAACGAGGTGTTTCTATACATCTTCGACGCGACCCTAATGTTCCTAGTCATGGTTTTGTTCAACTGGATCCATCCAAGCCAAGTCACAGATCTTTACCGAAAACGCCAGCAGGCTCACGGCACTGTTGAGATGCAGCAAACCCGTGATGAGTATCTGGGCAACGGTTACAGCGAGACGAGTCATAGCGGACCGGAGAAGAGAGGCGCGGCCTTTGTATGAAAGCTGCTTGAGGAAAACTCATCCAGTACGAAGACCGCGCAGGCCGAAACCCAAGATACACCAGAGTGGACGGACACGGTCGCGAACATCTTCGAACGACAGACATTTCCGTCCCTGGACTGTCGTGTCCTCCGCGTGGCTTCACATTGTCGAACCACATATGTGCAGCGTAGACCTAGCTTGCACTTTTGCAATGTGTTAGAAAAGGTCACAGACATTGCAGACGTGTTGATGTCGTTTCGTCGTTTTACGTCAGTGCGTCCACGCCTGCGGTTTCTGAGATTCGATAATAGATTTGTGTATAATCCTTTCCCTCTTAGGTCACATTGACGTTTATGAATAGCTTGTCCGTCTAGAATATCTTGAGGCCTACTGAAGAATTCCCTTACTCCCCGATGTTACAGTGATGACTGGTGGTAACCTACCAGTGCAGCACGTGATATATTCATATGTGTGATGGGTATCTTTTGCAGGGCAGACAGAAGGGTGGACACCTGTCGGGTGCTGGTTTTTGAGATGTTGTAGCCTGCGAATGGTGGTTGACGATAAGGCTTTGACTAACCCGGGTCCGCGGCAGAAGATCGTATACTGTCACGATAGTGAGGGTCATAATCAGAATAAACAATCAAGTCAACTCCCCCATATATCGTCAGTTTCTGGACCACTCTGTGTCCAATCAATACCACTTACGGAGAACACCAACCCTTAAAATAGAAATCACAAATCGAGAGCACAACTACCCTAGTACTTCTGAAAACTTGGCGGTGGGAAATTTCCTCTAGCTTGTACGTAGCGAAGCCATTCCTGTTGTCATGCATGCGCTCGTGTGACCTTCTACAACTACTTCTTCCTTCATCTTAGATGGGATTGAGCTATTCGCACCGAACGCCTCCACTTCCAGAAGTAGGTAGGTACGTCAAACCCTAAGTAAGGATGAAAAATTGAGAGCGCTAGGGAGAAGAGATACTGCCTGGGTTGATGAGTCGATGTCTACACATCCCTGCGTGATGTAGATGAGGCAGCCAGACCCGCGAGCCTATCGAAGTATCAAAACTGTGGAACGCCCTGCGGAGCTATTCGTAGCTGTATGCTGAGCGTCGTAAGCTGAGGTATTCAAGCACTAAATTGCCTGTCATTATGCAGGTGGATCAGACTCAAAGTGTTACGATGGTGAGAATATCACCGAGATTTCACCTGCCGATCTGAACCGGCCGATACGGTACTGGTGCCCCGAACAGGTTCTCGAAGACAGCACCAACAGGGTGTACCACGCGTCCAGCGTGACATTCTTTCGTTGATTGTGGTGTGATTGGGCGACGCCAAATACTGCCAGGTGAACACAGGTTTTAGAAAGCGTGCATACCTTCGGTGGTAAGGATGTTACGACATACATCTGCATCGAAAACTGGGTTGGCAAATTATATTCCAGCAAGTGGGCATCAAAGAAAGACTTCTTGAGAATCTGATGCACAGTGATATATCGTTATAGTCCTAATGCCTGGTCAGACCTGTGACAAAGCGGTGGATACACGAAGGCAGACCCGTAGGCATGGACACGATCAATTTAGGTTCGTAGGGGGGGCAGGAATGATGTGAGAACCTATCTGACAGGGCAGCCGTCCATGTTTGTGTACATCCAATTAATCCTCCGTCTCTGTACTGCTTCAGAGACAATGAATTGAAGACAAAAAATATTGCTTATTTACCCATGTTGCTGATTGGATAGGCTGCGCTACACCCTGTTAACGATCATTTATCACACTTCTGCAGTGACATTTGATGATGCTCACCACCAATAAAAGGCTCGTCTTTTGTAGAATACCACCAGATTGGAAAGTGGTGAGCTATGATCAACTACGCGACGTGTTGGGTAAGTCAAATCCGGGTGAAGAAGTTCATGAATGACTGTTGATACATACGTTTCGCAGCATCACCACTGCAAGAACGTTTGACAACCTGAACAGCAATTCGTATGAACAGGGGGCCGGAAATGTTTCATTTCATGTCTGTATCCTTTTTCTTGCAGTTTCTCGCTACGCTATCGCGATGTAACCACTATTCCGCTGTATCTTCTGAACTGCCCGTGATGCACCATGTTCCACGTGCCCAGAGTACGTTGAATCCATCCCATCTATATGCTCCGTCGACTTTTCCCAAGCTACATTAAGCTTCGAGCGCTATTCAGCCGTGGCTCCTTGCGGCTTGGGACTGTGTTCGCACTGACTGGATTACAGTGTGACAGCCTTGTGACGGCTGTTTGTATGGACAGGCACTCTATGACGAGTTCCGGTATGTTTTGCCTCTGATGTACCCCATCTTTGCTTCCGTATTTTTCAGTCATCATCTGTTGAAGGAGGGCCAGAGAAAGAGCATCCTGAGAACGGTGTAGCCAAAGGATGACGCTGTTCTCCATGTGCCAGTCGATCAGCCTCACGCTGTACGTAGGTTTTCAGACGAGAGTCGGGGCAGTTTGCGTGTTGGCCTACGAGGTCCATTAGATCTCGTAGGCCACTCCTTAGCATCTCGACTTCTACTTTTAGTACTTTGTTTCGTCGTTCTACTTCTCGTGCTCTTTCTACAAGCTCCTCTTGCTGTCGTTTTTGTTTGCCTCTGCATTTGCTTGCAGCTTTGCGATTCTTCTCGAGGTATACGGCTCGCGCAGATCCAGGTTCAGCATACTCCGAGCCACGTCGCCGCCCCACTTGGGCTTGTGTTATGTTCGACGAATGCGATTCGAGGTTTGATTGTAGGCTATCGCAGCGGCGCTTCGATGATGGAGAGTTCGTATCGTTGGCATACATCGCAAAAGCTGAGGGTGTGATGTTTCGCGTTTGACCATGGGACAGCGGCTTTGTGTCTGATCTGGGAGATGCATAGTCTACATCGAAATTTGTGTCCATGGGAGAAACTGTTGAAGGATCGTGTGGGATTATTTGGGAATTGCTCGCTGTAAACATGGCAGGAGATGTATACATCCCGGTTGTAGTGGGTACCTCGAGAGGTGCATCGTTATCAGATTGGGTCTTGTAATCGCTCAAGAAAGGCTCCAGGGCGAGCTTAGTGCGGTCGTTCGAGCCGGAGGACCCAAAGCCAGATTGTAATGTGAACTGTATATCCGATTGTTGTGATCTGGCTACAGGAAAGGCCGTATAATCTGATATTGGAACGTATGCATGACCTTCTTGTGTCGAGGAAGCCCAATTATCCGCAGTGCCGTACATTGCCGCAGTATTCGATATTGCATTCAAGTCCAGTTGGGTGTTGCGACGCCGAGGGCCCAAAGATTGCATTCCCAACACAGCTGTCGACATGAATCGAGGTGTGGGGTGATTGTCAGATTGGAATGGGGCGGGGTAGGAGGGTTCTTGAAAGCTTGGGCGGGCTGCGGGAGGGTCTTAGTTAGTATCAAGGGTAGCACGGAAGTACCGAGCGATTTCAGTTCGAATGGCCCTAAGAACGGAGGCGCAGGTTATATCAACCTCTCACGGAAATTGAACCTAGATGTGCAAACTAGATTGAAATCGCCGACATCTGGCTGCTGATCATGATGCAACAGCACCGATAGCACGCACGCCCAGTGAAGGCGGGAACTTCGGTTGCAGCAGCCCTGCCCGCAAAGCTACCCATGTAACTGTGCTGGCCCGTGCGGCTAGGGCATTACTAGTCCGCAATTGGGCGGGGTTGCCTCGCCGTTATGGCACGTCCTGTGGGACGGTATGCGTAAACACGTAAGGATTCATCCAGGCGGCGACCGTTGATTGGGACCGTTCTGGCTTAGACTTGGAGGCAGCGCGGCGACCTGCAGATCATCTCAACAGGCGACGTTTGCTATCGGCCGAATTGTGTGTCCGTGAGACGAGCTGGCCTGGCCGGAGATGTTCGCCAGAACGAATGAAAACACGTCGTTACTGCTCGGCCGCGATGGATTTTCCGGGGAAGCTTCCGAGGGACAGGGGACGAAGTGATGCTGTTGGCCTCGTGGTGGCGGACGCTAGAATCCACAGCCGTCTCTAGGATGTTGTCGCTGTTGCAGCAGCCAACGGTGTTCTGGTCGTATCAAACTGCCCAGGGGTGACAGGATGTACTTGACTGAACATGGCTAGCACCAACACCAATTCCACAACAGATGCAGGCAGCACCCTTCGTGCCCTCTCTTACTTCCTACCAATGTGGTACGGTATCTGGAAACAAATTCCTTTTGGGATGTGTTCTTCCATGTTAGGCGGCAGCCTTTGTGGTCTGACGACCAAGACTTGCGCAGCACTAATCGGCTGCTAACCGGCTGCTAACCGGCACTGCCCCAGCCTATGAGACGTATGCGCGGGAACGCCATTGAGGAAGTCTGCATGAACTTTCGAAGACTGCAAATGCTTCAAGCACTGCTAATACCCGTTTGGTGGAGCCTTGTTCAAGCTTCCAGATTTCCGGTGGGCTCTCCGCAGTCCACAATCACACCGAACTTTTGAACTGCCGTTGCTCATTGCTTCTCATGCGCGTTTGCGTTTGTCCATTCCTCCGACGCTTGATGATGCTACACTCAGTCTCGACCTCGAGTGAAAAGTGTAGTCCTAAGCTCCAATAGCAGAATAACAGGCGAATCGTGTCGAGCCCAATCAGATGCAGGCCTCAAGTTTTCGTTTGGGTGGTTGTGCCGCGGACATATACAATCGACAGGGCAAGTGAGATACGGTTTCGTCCCTAACGTAAGCTAACTACATGTACTCCGCGGACGGGACATGGCCGCATATCAGATCAAGTTTGGGGTCACAACATTGCCATGCGTGCCTGTTCCGGAAGCGTAGGTGCGAAGGCCGGAGGCAGCCATGCACACCTGGGCACACTTCTGCAAAGAAACATGCTCAGCGGTTTTAACTGTGACTGGGTAGCGAGGTGCCAGAATCAGAAGTACAACGGATTCTCGCAAAACCATCGAAGGTCAGTGGAGTCGTTGTAGGACCAATCCGATAGGTAGAGTCACTTGGTGGTTTCTCGGCAAGTAGTTTCGAGGTGGAGCCCTTCGAATCGCGAGTCGATCCTCGAGAATATGCTGCATGCAGTAGGGGTGCTCGAGTACCTAGCATGGTGATAAGGCCCAGGGACCTGAGACGCATGCGTGTGAGTCTTCGAGTTCTGTCGAGGCTTACAGGTCGATTGCTAGCTGACTCGTGCAGCAACAGTGATCGAAACCTGGCAGCGCATGCCGATCTGTCCTTTCAGCCAGCGGTACACAGGCGCTGTGACGTGTCGTGGGGAATGTAACTTCTACTACCTACTCACAGCATATAAGCACCCACTATTTGGATCAGTCATTGCGCACCTCACATGCTGTTATCTAGGATTACTGTCATGCCGTCATAATTGATGCATCGCGGGCACCACGTCGCTACGCTGACTCCGTATCATGTGAAATGACGCTGAACGTGGGCGAAACCTTCTGGCAGAAGAGCACTAATCGACTCGATGTTGAAAATCTGTGAGAAGCCTATTCTCCGGGAATATTTCCTCAATGGATGACGATTTCCAAGGGTCAGTAGGGCAATGGGGCAGGACATACTGATGTGTTGCGTTTTGGCTTTTGATGCAGATGTGGAGCACAGTCAGGATCTTACACAGTACAGTGCGTGCGCATGCGGTTACCCTGTCTGCCGTGAGTGCCAGAAAGTGGGGACAAGCCACTGCTGGAAGTGGATATTACGATCGATAAACAGGTACTGTGCATGTTTCACTAGTCACAGATCTCAAAGACGTCGTCATCGTAGAAGGATTTTGGTTGCGATGTGATCCTTCGTAAATATTTGATCCTGATCAGGTACAGTCAGATGAACATTGACATCTATCCCTTATGCGTACATTACATGTGTCCCGATCTCAGCTTGTAGATTGGACATTGCAGTATCGGTTGTCAATACGGATAGAGGGAAGCCGAAGTTAAAAAAAGCGCTGTAGGTGCTGACAGAATCCGTTCTTAACCCGGCTTTGCTGCTTTGTACTGCCTGTTTGGTAGATACCGTGTTATTGATCACCTCAAAATCCTTTTTGTATTCACACGTATTTTCTACCGTGGGAGGGTCGATCTTGTTAATGTCAAGACCTTTTGGTTCGTAATTAAATTATCGCGTGTGATATCTTCATGCTTGATGCCTCTTGCGTCCACATGAGGTAAAAGGAGGCCCGATTTCGTCCAACCGAACGCTCGAGAACCCAAAGCGCAGTTTGCCAACTCACGTGGTCTCCAATTCATGATATTTCTACCGCATTAACAACAATGTACCCTTGTACTGGAAATACTTGCAGGACCCTCCTCATCACTTTGCACGTGGCTGTGCGCCCTTCACTTCCAAGCACGCAATCCCCTCGAAACCGGATCTGTAAACATACTATCACGGGGTACACTACGTTTCCAGTCTTCTCTGCAGCGACCTCTCAATAGTGGAAATCGGGCGCCGACGCGAGAACCTGCATGCAGGGCGTCCATGGTTCGGTTTCGATGGGGACCTGCATAGCGGAAGAGCGGGGGCGGAGGGGGTGGAGGGGCGGGATGCAGGTGGCTTAGATACAGTGGGCAGGATTTTTGGGCATGTTTGAGAGCGTATTCTATACAAGGGAACATTGGACGTGACATGAATGGTTCTTTTGATATTATACACTGCGGGCATGTCAACCAGTTAATGGATAGAGTAGGTCGGAGTTCATCGAAGCACCTTGCCACCTGCTAGTTTTGTCGGAAGACAGTGGAAAAAGCCTTGAGAACTCAGATACCCAGACGGAGCCTTGGATTGAAAGCACCTGCCTTTATAGCGGGACACTGTGCGTGTATGGTGAATGCTGACTACTAAGCCAAACTTGAACTGAGTGTTCCTGTGTGTTTTGGCTCATTGTCGCTGCCACATGCGTGAACCATATGCATTCTCCCCATCCTGGCTTTGCAACGGTCCGGCACGTAGCCAAGGAAGGTTCATGCAGCCATGAAGAATCTATAGCGCCAGGACCTCCCCGTCGCTCCAAATTGTCCTCGTATCACTACGACGATAGTAGCAACAACCGACGCAGGCCTCCTAAGCGATCCGATCACGAATCCCAAGAGCACCTTGAGCGCGACTTTTACTACTGCGGCATCAAGTCCGGATGCGTCCTTTCAGTTCTCATTTCGTGGGCGCGAAATCTTCCCCTGTTGACAGCTGACTGCCGTGAACAACGCCGTGCTGCCAACTACACACGATGCCTAGCGAGTATAGTGGACGGTTCAGATCGTTGAACGAGCATCTCAGTGCTGTTGGCAAAAATCTGAGAGATGAGTGACTTGGAGACGCTTCGCCGAGGAAATGGTAGGTACGACGACGCAAGGAGAAGTGGTCCGAGCAGTGGTCAGACGCAGTACTCCTAGTAATTAGGCAGTGTTGATTGTATGCCGTATGATATGCATTACATGGTTCCCACTGAAATGAAGTGACCGACACGTGCGATCTTTCCATCAGTCTGCATCATCCGAGACGTCGTCCTGTTTCTTTGCAACCTTTTTTCGGGTACGCTTTGGCTTTGTCAAGGGCTTAGACAAAGCAATTTGACCACCTCGCGGTGCAGGTGCGAGGTGAAATGTAGGCTTTCGGCCCAAAGGACAATTCGCCCTAGGGTCTTCGTCCTTCCTTGGTCGACCAGGGCCACGTCTTGGTATCCCATGTATCGTAGGGCGTTTTTCTTGTGCCGCAGGCTCATTGGTCATGTGCATTAGACCTAGTGTCTCCTGGTCCAAGGAATTTCGCTCAGCGAATATAGGTGATCCCATCCATGTTAGCTGTATGTCTTTTTGTGTGCCTGTTTTTCCGAACTTGGATGGCAGCTTCTTGCGATTTGACGCGTCTTCCTCTTCGGCTTCCAATATCTCGGGCTCTGGTAGCAGTGCTCGGGGCGTGTGGCGCACAGTCACGCCCACACCCTGCAGCCCTCTTTCGCTTGCCGCTCGATTCCAGACAAACTGCTCGATGAGACCGTGTCTGGATATCATGACAAAGCCCATTGGCCACGCACTTCGCGCTATGGCATCCATTGTGCCTTTTGTAGCTTTCGTCGTCGTCACCAGTAGCCCGAGAACAGGCTCACCTTTCCACTGTGGAGGAATCGCCCTGAATGAGCCCTCAAGTTCTCGAACGAAGGCTGGACCTAAGGTGTATTTGCGCACTTTACACTGGACGATGATGGGTAAAGGTTCGCTCAAGGGCGCCAGAACCCAGTGTCCCATCAAGTCAATGCCGGCATCGTTCTTTCCACCCATCCTCAGCAGAGAGAAACCCAAGCGCATCAGAGATAGCGCCACAGTGTACTCATAGTGGGTGCCGACATAGTATGATTTCAGAGGAGAGAGATTCGTGCGGTTTGCGTAGTCGATAAAAGTCGCCAGCGAGTTGTGATCTTTGAGGGGTGCTTTGACAAGGAGCCGCGGCAGGTCAACAGGCGCGGCATTTTGAGCGAATGTGGTCGCGACGCGGCGGGGGACGAGACTTTGCGGAGCGTTTCGGGGGTGTCGAGGCAGGAGCCACGGTTGTCGAGGCCGTGCTGCGCGCAGGAGGGGTCTCATTACGGAGTAGATTGGGGCAATGCAAACGGCCACAACATATTTACTCGAAGACGAACGGGAAGGAGTGTGGGGTGCAGGCGCGTGTTAGCTGCATGGAGGTATCGCGGTTGACGCTTCGCGTGGGACGCAGGCCAAGTCGATTACCTAGCTCAGCCCTATGAACGCGTCCTCCCGCCGTGGACCTCTTCAACGTCTACCCCACACACGAAGATCACACTTGCCACCACGGCTGATCGTCTTGGCCGCGCGAACCGATCGTCTCCCGTGCATCGACCTTCACAGCACTCACAATGGCGGACATCCTTACGCAGATGCAAGATGAGGTGGACATGGTACGCGGAGCAGTTGGCAGACGATCTCACAACCGCTAACAAGCCCAGCTCCTCAACATCATGCAGTCTCAACTCTTCCAGATCCGCACACGAGCCCCTCCCAGCGTACCAGAAGGCCAGCAAAAGCTCAGCTCATTCGCCGAAAAGGAGGCCACCGACAAGTCGGAGAACGCAGCACAGAACCCCGCGCAGCCAGCCCAAACAAGCGAAACCCTGCCAGCACTGCCCTCGAAGGAGCAGTTTGAGGAAGACCTGAAGGAGATGGCCAAGGACCTCGTGGTCAAGAGTCAGCAGATTGAGTTGCTGATTGCGAATCTGCCGGGTGTCAACTCGAGTGAGGCGGAGCAGATGCAGCGCATGAAAGAGCTCGAACGGGAGCTGGAAGAGCTCGAGAGCGAGCGGTTGCAGGCTGTCAAGGAGAAAGAGAGCTTGCTCAAGAAAGTCGAGGAAAAGATTGTTGGCGTTGGGCGGGTGCGATGAGCGCCAGTGTGGTGATAATGCTCCAAACGCGACCCAGACACCGCCTCGAATCCTGGAGCCCTCCACGACATCCTCGAGATGGCAAACATCTATGTCTCCTCGGTCACAGTATAGTTACGACTACGCTAGCCTATAGCAGTTCTCGAACCTGCGCTCACCTTTCTATCTCGAGTCTCCAAAGCCCCGGATTCATCTACCGATACAACCATATCCACCAAGTCATCGCACATCGCCAGTAGATGCACGTAGAGAAGGTCATGGGTGCACTCATACATGAGCATCTGACGGCTCGACGGCGACGGTGGCGAGGGGCATGTACAATATGTGGAATGCTGCATGGTGCCGCCGTGCGTGACAAGTGACGACTGTGGGTCTTCGAGGAGACTGGTCAAAGTCTTGGCTGGCTGCGAGCCTCACATGGGAGGTAGATGTAGCGCTTGGATCGAGGAAGAGAGTGGGTATTTGGACATGATACACAGGTGTTCCGCGCATTCCCGCAGCCCTACAGACCTCGAGATCTCGACAAGGACGAACAGTTTGAATACGACAGCAGTCTAGCACGGTATCACAGACTCGAAAACAGGCTGAGTGGCTTCTGTAGAGTATCTGCAAGTGAGGCAAACTTGTACAAGAATACTGTATTCATATTCAAACGCTCGCAATGCATGGTAATCACAACCGTACAAGTACACAACATAAGACAACCCGCTACGCCAACTCCGCGGTACAAAGCTGCTCCTAGTAATCAAACCGGTCGGGCAACACAAGCGGCGCGACCAAACTCCACGCGTAGATTGCGTAGCACACCCACGCGCTGATGATCTTGGCCCAACTCGCCCAATACGTGCGTCCTACGGGGACAAAGTCGGTCATGGCTTTCTCGTCAAAGTTGCTCGTGAGCAGAGTCGCGACCCATGCTGTGCTCAGGAAAAAGATGATGTGGAAGAGAGTGTAGTTGTATTGCGTGGCGTTGCGCTCATCGTCGCGCGGCGCCTTGGAGGGTGCGTCGTCCTCGTCTTCACTGTCAGAGTCATCGAGCGCAGAGGCAGGGAGGGAGCCAGATTCGACGGCGGCGCGGAGGGCGGCTTGGCGCATGTCGCGACGCGAAGAAGGCTGTTGGGTGACGAGACCGTGCTCGTAGTCGTCGGTGCCGACCTGCGCGTAGCCGTTGCCGTATGAGTTGCCTTGCGCGCCGAGGGCGAGGCCGTAGGTGGCGGCGCGGGTGGTGGTATATGCGACGGTTATGAAGGTGACGAAGGCGCCGATGATGATGGTGGCCTTTCGGGTGCCGCGTGCGCGAATGAGCGGGTTGCACTGATGATCGTCGGGCTCCATGCCTACGGCGGAGAGGGTCAGGTATGTGCAGTAGATTGCTACGATGGCAGACTGGGCGAGACCGGCGCGAGGATTGACATTTTGGACGGCGGGGTGAATGGAGATGACGGACGTGACGAGGAGGAGTAGAAGGTTGATCTGTGTATGTTAGCCGCAGAGTCGGTCTCAGATGTGTAGATGCGTACAGTAATGGCTGCCTGGTTCATGCCACATCCACTCTTGGCGAAGTAGATGTACATAACAACCGTCATGGCAAACGAGGCCAGGTACATGAACAGCGCAGAGCCGACGAGCATGCCAGTCCACACCCGCGACTCGGACGTCTCAATCTTCTCCTGGCAGTACTCGGCCCAGTTGTGCGCCAAGTCGACCAACAGAATCAGGCCGACCAGCAGGAAGAGGCAGGCTCCGGCCATGGCGAAGTAGTTGCCCCACACGATGAAGAACGAGTTCGGGATGAAGAAGGTCAGAACAACCATGCCAATCCAGCCAATGATCTTGGGGCCCCAGAAGCCGTTCTGGATCTTGGCGCGGCCGTCCTTGGAGGAGCGGACGCCGATGAGCATGAGGGCCATGAGGACGTGGAAGAAGCCGAGGGCGAAGTTGATGCGCTGCACGGCGACAAAGCCGTAGCACTGCTCGCCGTGGCACTTGATGTCGACGTAGTCCAGCGTGAGCTTCGACAGCTTCTTCATGGCCCAGTCGGTGAGCATGATCCAGGAGACGATTGAGTTGATGAGCAGAATGAGGGCGTAGGCGATACGGGTTGCGATGCTGTTGCCGCATTTTCCGCCGCAGGAGCCCATAACGGCGCTGCAGGTGGCCGCGCCACAGCAGGAGGCGGCGACGCTCCATACCTGGTCACGTTAGCGCGTGCTGCAGAGACGTGTCGCGTAGCCGTACTGTGCCCATGGCGGGCAGGGCGAGGAACGGGAGCGACAGTGCGGCGCCCATGGTTGCGTGCGATGTTGTGGGGTTGGTGTGGAGAGTTGGAGAAGCCTGGGAGCACGAGGTTGAAGTTGCGCCCAGTGACGTGCCGTTCACGGTCCACCCACCCGCCTCGGCTCCCGACGTGCTTAGCGGCTTATGTCCGGCAAGCCTCACGACGGACCGTCACTCTGTCGACGCGACTGGGCCAAGTAGAGCGTACATACACAGTGCTGCAGCCTCCCGTGGCTGCCCTGGCCACCGTGCGTGCGCGCTCCGACCTGACGTCTGGTTCTCGACGCGTTGCCCTCATTGTCTGCCGGCTGCCGTGCATAGCCGTTATCTGTTCTGTTCGACCCACTTGCTGCCATTGCGCAACCCTCCCAATCTCAACCCCGTGCTCGATGCCCGCCGCGACTCCTTAACACACACTCCCAATTGTCGCCATGGTCGACTTGGAGAAGAACACGCCCCATAAGAAGACACGGGTTGTGTCTGTCGTCGCCGCGACGACGATTGCGCTTGCGTGCGGCACCAACGTATGCTCAAGTCCAGCTGTCATGACCCAGCACTGACACCTCACAGTATGCATACTCGGCATGGGCACCGCAATTTGCCGACAAGCTGCAGCTCTCTGCCACCCAGAGCAACGTCATCGTACGCAGTCTCCGACCTCGTCAAGTACCGCCGCTCATGAATACTAGGGCACCGCAGCGAACATGGGCATGTACGCCTCGGGCATACCAATTGGCCTCATCACCGATAGGGTGAACCCCCGTCTCTCGGCTATCATTGGCATGTTCTGCCTGCTGGTTGGATACTACCCTATCAAGATGGGTACGTGATGTCTGCAAGATAGCTTCTTGACGTGCTGACCTTTGCCAGCCTACGACGGCGGTCCAGGTTCTATGAGCGTTGGCATGATATCTTTCTACTCTTTCGTCACTGGAGTTGGCAGCTGTTCTGCATTCCAGGCCGCACTGAAGACAGGTAAGCACGCTGCTGCATTTGCCTAACGCAGACATTGACACCTCCAGCAACATTAAACTGGCCTACGCACCGCGGGTCGGCAACGGCTTTCCCTCTAGCAGCTTTCGGACTGAGTGCCTTCTTCTATACTCTCATTGCCGGCATCGCATTCCCCGGCAACACCTCCGGCCTGCTTACTATGCTCTCATTAGCGACCTCGTTACTCGTATTTGTCTCTATCCCATTTCTCATCATCGTCGACCACAAGAGTGGAACGAGCTACACTGTCCTACCTACGAACGAGCGCACCCGCCGTGACTCAAACGTTTTGCATCAGACCAATCCGAACCGCAGCAAATACAGCGCCACCGTGCTTCCCCCGCAAGAAGTCAGTAAGTACCACGTTTTTTCTTGGATCGCAGTGATAGCCGATAAATTCCCCTATCATATGCCAACCACGTCCAGCAGATGAAGATGACCCAAGCCGATCGTCGACCGAAACATCTTCACTCCTTTCTGGCCCTGGAGACATCGATCCTGAGGATGATGCTGCAAGCAGACATAGCAAGAAATCATCTCACTCACATTGCTTAGACGTCACTGGATTTGCGCTGCTTTACAAGCCGGAATTTTGGCAACTCTGGATCCTTATGGGCCTGCTGACAGGCGTCGGCATCATGACGATCAAGTAGGTCTTTGCCTTGCCACACAGAAGTGTGCCTGCTGACTCCACTAGCAATATCGGTCACAATGTCCAAGCTCTGTGGAATCACTTTGACAAGAACGTGAGCAAAGACTTTGTCGCGCACCGCCAGCTGTTGCACGTTTCCATTATCTCGCTCGGCTCCTTCTTCGGTCGCTTATCGTCAGGAATTGGCTCAGACCTCATCGTCAAGCGTCTTGGCCACTCGCGCTTCTGGTGCGTCGTCATCGCAGCTTTCATCTTCGCAATCGACCAATTTTGCGCGACCCGTATCGAGAACCCAGACTATCTTTGGGTCGTCTCCGGCCTCTGCGGTCTTGCGTACGGCGTCACTTTCGGTGTGCTTCCGGCAGTCGTCGTTGATACTTTTGGTCCCGACGGATTCTCAGTCAACTGGGGTTTCTTGACAATGGCGCCGGTTGTCAGCGGTAACGTCTTCAACCTCTTCTATGGCACCGTCTACGACTCAAACTCCATCGTAGAACCGGATGGCAACCGCAATTGTGAGGAGGGACTACAGTGCTTTCAGAAGGCGTACTACATTACGCTGCTGTCCAGTGTGCTCGGTATTGCAGTATGTCTGTGGGGCGTACATGGAGAGCATGTCAGAAAGAGAGAAGCGTTGGAAGAACTTGAAAGACACCGCGACGCATGAAACACAACCTCCTGGATTTTGGGAGCGATATTTCGGATATAGAATAGACAGCGATTTGTGTTCGACCACAACAATCGGCAGGAATTAAAGGATAAGCCCTGTCGAGCCAGTGACTATCTCATCATCGCCTGCTCGTCCTTTCCATCCCCGGCGCCAAGCCTCTCACGTCCCCTTCCCTCGCAGTAATACCTGCCCTCGGCCACGCAGCAAGCGTAGCGACCTCCCTCCGCAAATTAAATACCTCCTCCCTAACCCCCTTGACTGCAATATCCTGCGTCCGTACAACGCTCTTAAATCGCTCCACATCATCGCGAAGCATAGCATACGCCGTGTGACTGCGCTGAAGCGCTTCTTTCAAGTTGCCGATCTCAGCGTGCAGCGCGTGCTGCTCCGTCTGAGCCTGCTCGGCGTTGAGCGAGAGGAGCTGGAGCGTGCTTAGTTTGCGGGTGAGTCGTGACATTGCTGTGGTTTGGATATCTATTTGTGCTGGGAGAAGAGGGAGTGCAGCGCTCCTGGAAGCTGTGCCACCCTGTTGAGTCTAGTTTGCGGACACCTTGATGTGTGGCGTGCCAACTCATCAGCTGTGGCAGATGGGTCTACAGTATAGACCTCTCGCTCTGACATCGGTGTGATATGATGTCCGTTTGCGCGCCACGTCTCTGGAGTGACCGTAGTGATCTTGTAGATTACAGCGCTCAGGCTGCTCGTCATCTACACCTCTCATCCATACCATGCTTCCACGCCCCCTGCAATGCCTTCCAACGCCGATCAAAGTACCAACAATGCGCAAGCCGAAAGTTCTAAGCAGCAAGTCGACCAGAACAACGACACAGCTCAAGCACCAGAAGATAACGTCACTGCCCACGGTCGCTCTAACGCTTCTGAAAACACAATCAACACGTCTGGCGAACATGTTGCTGCAAGTCGAGACATCAGAAGATGGCCCCTGCTGCCAGAGCCGAGCGCAGCAAGTGCTCGGAGGCAGCTCGAAGCGAAGAAGCGGGAGTTGGTTGAGAGAGCGCTGGCACTTCGGCAGGCCGCGGTGCGCAGAGAGAGACGCGAGTCCACTACAGAGGCGGACCGGCTGTGGCCTTGACAGAAGAGAATAGGGGGTGGAAATGCGTAACTGTTGGTCCTCCACTTCGCGCCAGCGCTTCAGCCACGGGTCATGTTAAAAGTACGGAATGTCCTTAGATCTATCTACACCTTGGAAGCTTTCAAGTACTACCGTTCCGCCAGCACGTGAACCAGACATGCATGCCTTCGCTGTCCTCAGCTGTCCGGTGATTCATCAAACCCACACCGGCAGTGCAGACACATCACTCTGCGCGACACACAGCGCCTACCCGCCATGTATATAAGTAGCAGTATCCCGACGTCCTACTCTCCACACTCATCCCACATCCAAGATGTCACCCAAATCCAACGAACGCCTCAACGACCGGGTTGCGAGTCTGGAGACCGACATCAGCACTCTCAAAGCCGCTGTTGATGAGTTGAAGAAGCGTCAGGCCACGCACAAAGAATTTCACACAGAGGCCCTGGATATTGACGTCAAGGCGATGATGGATGATCGTGAGGCTCTCAGAACTGCGTTGGAGTGTCTGCTGGACGGGCTGGGGTATCGGTATGAGAGCCCGACGGTAGATTATTAGATGTATCGCTTGAGTTAAGAGGCATTTGACTCAACAGTTTTTAATCATGTTGCCCCTTTTTGTTCACTGCTGACACGTCAAACCTCTGGACTTGATGGACGCACATTGAATATTGCGGGTCACCTGCGCTTAATCATCGAACTACGAAAGCCAGTCTCCTACCACAACCACAACCTCTTCCTCGTAGCCCTGGCCTGCCTCCTCGCCACACGGATTACCATACTGAAGCAATCTGAATTCCTGCAGAGTCCAGCCATGGACGATACAACCTCCAGATGGTCAGTAGATTAAGGACTTCTTCTACTAAGCACAAGCGCATCTGTATTCTTGCACCTCGTGTTCAGTGGGGGCGATGGATATCTCGACCCTGGGACATCGGATTACGTCGAAGCGATTAGGGACGCGTTGATAGACATAGGTGTCCGCTGGGTCGAACTTCTGAAGGTCTTGAGTCAAGGGTGATGGGATATGGAAGCAGAGATGAAGTAGAGAACGAGGAATTCCGAATGTATGTATACGAAGCAGGAAGTGGTGCGTCTGACCCCTGAAAACGCCATGTAGGTATCCACCCATCCGCCCATGTCCTAACAAAACGCCTTGCTGTTCATTTTATGCCACGGGAAATCAAAAAAGAGAGATTGTCTACTGGTGAATCTGGCTCACTTGCCCATTGCCCTGGGGGCCACCCCATTCACTCTCGTTGTCACTGCCAACGTCTGTCCACGAATTGGGAGTCATGACACCAGTCCTGTCTCCGAGTTCAAAATCGCTGTACCCAGCGTCTGTGAAGCCGCTCTCAGAGAACACTTCTGACCTCGCGTCATGGTCTGCATCATTCTGCATGCTCAGTACCGCAACATCGTCGGCGTGACTGGGCACAATAGAAGCGCCTGTAGTGCCTGAACGCTCGGAGCGTGGCGTGAGTGTGCCAGCAGACATATGTTCGAAGTCTTGGTCGCCGTCATTCGATGATGTGAAAGAGTAGAAAGACTGCGCGCCTTGTTCGATCTCAGATGCTTGCAGCGGTGCAGGCGAAGGGAGTTGGGTCTCAGGATGTAGATAGACTGATTGAGGTTCGGAGGTCAGGTCGATGAGGGGCACGGATGGCTCAACAGGCGCCTCAATCGGTGGCGTTTGAGCTTCGATGGTGGCGGAACGTGAGCGAGTAGTAGGCTCCTCGTAGATAAACGGCTTGGGCGAAGGAGCTTCATCGTCGTCGGCAATGTCGAAAAGGACGTTGTCGTCTGCAAAAGGATTCGACATAGCTGCTGCTGCGGCTGTACCAGCTGCGAAGCCAGCTACACCTCGCTTTCTCAGTCCATCCTGTGTAATGTCGGTGCCGGTCGTCGTTCCATCCTGCCTAAGCATGCCGTCGCTACCAACAAGCTCATCGAAGCTCTTGGACCTGTTGGCGCGTGACCGTTGTTCTGCAAGTACGGTATCTTCAGTGCCAATCTTTGCGAGCTCATCGAGGTCGACTGCTATGCCTTCCTCGCGAGCTCGCCGGATCAACTCGTTGCGATTCATCCTTATCAACTCATCCCTCCTTCTCTTCCTCTCTTCATAATCATCAGATGACTCGCTTTGCCGGCGCGGCTGAATATCATCGCCTAAGGAGTGAAGGGCTACGGCGATCTTGCGGCGAGACTGATCGACCCACTGTCGGACTTGTGGGTTTTCGTATATGGCGATGCCAGCTGCGACCAGGACAGAAGCGGCAATTATAAGGCCTGTAGCAAAGGGGTGGTTAGGCCGGTGCGGCAAGGTTCGACAAGCAGGAGGGCGGAGTCTGGGTGAAGAAGAGCGCGAGCCGGGGCCTGCAAGCAGGTTGGCACATATCCAAAGACATGTCAAACAGAACGAAACAAGTTCAAGAAGAAGTAGGCTACACAACAGGGACATGCATTAGTGGAGATGAGAGCTCGTACTCACCTTTGGCAAGTGGCGCAGGCATGATGCGGGTGCGGACTACCGAGGTACGGTATCCTATGTCGTGAGCTTGAACTTCAAGTCGTCTCTCGATCCAACGGAGCACAAAATTTCTAGGATTTGAGGAATATGGCAGTTGTTGCAGCCTAGAGGCGCGCGTAGAGGAAAGGGAGCTCGAGCGTCCGGTCGAGTTGTAATCCGGGCAGCCGCCACCCGCACAGCCCCAGTGAGAGTGTCCACGGCTTTAGCGGGGCTGAGTGGGGCGCGCCCGAAGGCTTTAGCGCCCGCCTTGAACACGACCTTCCATGCTCTGCTCTGCACACGCTCTGCAGCGATATCTCAAGCACATTGAAACAGCATCGGCAATAGGGCTGCAGATTGCTCTTTGACTTAGAGGGCAATGAAATCACACTGTAGCTTACTGTATTGATTGCGCCGGTTATGTCGGCTGCACCCCTGATCGTTAGTTGGAATCGAAGGGTCACGCATAGATTGCCTGCCCACCTTGGGGCTTTTGAACAGGCGTCCAACAGCATCTCGTCTTGAACTATCGACGTATTTGTCTGGATACAGCAGTCGAGATCCATAACCACATCGTTGAGACACTCAGCCTAAGCAAGATGCAGAGTGTGTACAACGAATTTAACGAGAGAGGAGCATGGCTGGTAGTACAATGTCGATTATGCATCACCGAGCAGTTCAAGCATATGGTAAAAGCCCACCCTCACTGCGCTTTTGTGATATTTGATGCAGCAGTTACGTTCCAAGCTAGAGGTTTTTGGTTCCGCATTAGACTGGTATCCGACGCCTTTGACATACAAGGCATGCATCTCTTGCATCTCTAACATCTTTTGCTTCTCAAACTCAACTATAAAGAGTACAATCTTGAAGGGCTTGCCCACCAAGCTCTCACGTAGTGAAGTCTCGACTACAGCCCAGCTTCCTTCTTTACTAGATCTGGTCTTTCCTGGCCGTGTATTGCAACCATGATGCCCATCCAGGAAAGTAGGGGATCATCGCTGGCACATGGCCGCAACAAAAAACAGCTGTGACGAAGAGCATGTAGCACAAGTCCTACGTGTTTCCAAATGATGCTTGACCTCGCAGGCATGTCAGTCATACAATGTGCAGAGTTGCATAGTACCTCACAAGAGGCTCTGGTTAGTGCAAGCACATATCTCCAGAAGTACCACGATTAAATGCTCATAGTTTTCAACTAAAGTATAGCGTTGATAGACACTTTGTGATACCTATATATGTACATGGAATGATAGATCTAGACCTAAGACACTCTTCCTTCGCGCTACAGTTGAGAATATTATATCAGACGAACTAGTTCTTAGCACTAGCAAGGATATCCTCCGCAGCCTTCTCACTTAGCATGTATGTGGGAAGAACAGGCAAAGGACCTGGAGATCTGGGAAAGGCACTAGCGTCGACCACACGCAGTCCATTGACACCTCGGACGCGCAGCTTGGAGTCTAGGACAGCCATCTTGTTGGAGTCAGAGCCAATGGCACAGGTACCAACAACGTGGTGACCAAAAACGTTGGCGCGGATAAAATCCTCGTCATTATCCGCGACTGAGCAGCTCCCGTCGCCATTGACTGTGCCTGAACAAGTAGGCCAGGAGGCAGTAAAGGGACCAACGGGTGCAGGGACGCTGTTGAACGTGCGACGGCCCCAAGCAACGAACTCCTTCATAGCCGCCAGGTCCTGCTTGCCATCTTCGTCGTGAAAGTGACGGAAGTTGATTTCAGGGGTCGCAGTAGGATCAGTAGACCGTAGTTTGATGTATCCAGCGCGATTGGTGCCATGCAAGTGAATGCCGTGCATTCCCCAGGTAGTGGGAGGATCGTGCCACGATTGATTCGCGGTAACAGGCCAGAAGCCACGGAAGCCGAAGGGACCTGAGAACATGCCAATGTCTCGCTCGCCAGTGATGGAATGATTGGTCTTAAGGAACAGGAACTGCGAGTTCGCGGGTGGCTCTGCATATGGGCCCTGACCCTGTAGCCAGAGCTCGTAGCAGGGATCTCCGGGTGCTCCGTAGGTACACTGTGATCTAGGGAACCCAGGAGCTGCGTCAAAATTGAATACCTCTGCACCCTGTCCAATAACGCCAATCTCGTTGTGATCTTGCATCCTTTGGCCAACTCCAGGGCTATTGACAACGACTGGTATATTAAGCGCCTTTAGATCAGCAGACGGTCCAATGCCGCTTAGCAGGAGAAGTTGAGGGGTGCTAAATGCGCCACCACTAATAATGACCTCGTTCTTAGCATAGACTTGGCGACGAGTTCCGGTGTTTGATGCAGTGTGTCTCTCGTCGCCCTGGTAAACACTCTTACCCTCAAGGTATTCGATACCAATAGCACGAGGCTTTTTACCGCGCGCAGGCTTGTCGAAGAGAATCTTAGTAGCATACGAGTTGAGTCTCAGCTCCAGCGGGTACTTCTTGCCTTTCGTATCGACAGCACGAAGGGTATCTAGAACCCGCTCCCTTGCGGCGTAGCGGCCCCAAGTGCTATTCGCATGGAAAGTTAGGCTCGAGAGGCCAGTTTTTTGATCCCTATTAGGGTTGAGCGCATTGATGTCGTCGGTCAGGAGAGTCGCAAGATCCGCGGGGTTCTGGCCAGCTTCTGCGGCCATGGACTTCAAAACTGCCGTTGCCTGGGTTGATGCAAGAAGCGCCTTGCCATCTCCGGCAATTGTCTCGAGATAACCATCAAAGCCGTGGCCAGGGGTACCACGAGGGACGTAGTTGTTCTTTTCCAGCTTGACGAACAAGCTCCTCATGTGTTCGGCACTGGAAAGTATGGCGTTAGCTTATGCGTCCTGTGGTCTTGTGTTTATAATATGGGAAGCCAATACTTGAAATGTGGGGAGAAAACTTACTTCCAAGAATCATCGCCAGTTACGTCTTTGATCAGATCCCAATCGCTATCGCTTGGAAGCACGGTAAGCCCGGAGTTGACGATAGATGAACCTCCCAACGTAGCACCACGTGGATATTGGACGCCCAGAATCTCTGCGCCCGCAGGAGCAGAGCTACCAGGTCCAACCCACAACTCTCCGTTCGTAAGTTTCCAGACAAGGTGTTGCTTCTTTTTGGTCAATTCATCGTCGTCGTAATGACGGACATAGAACGACCAGCTCAGATTGGTAGGTACAGCGTGGGATCCAGCGAAAGCGAGCACATTGGTCACCGGGTTTGCGCTTTCGTCGTCACCAGCCTCGAGCAGAAGGGTCTTGAATCCTGCTCGTGCAAGGTTACTGGCAAGAGGGCCACCGCCGGGACCACTGCCAACGATAACATAGTCATAAGTTTCGTTTTGGGAGGATGGCCTGGCTGAAGCAATCATGCCGCTGGCAGTTATAACGATACTGCATAGTCGGAAAGCCGACACCTTGTTGTTAAAGATTCGCATGGTAAGAATGTTTGATCGAAAGACACGGAAAGAGGCGACACTGATGATGCTCCCTTTCAAAGACCTGAGGCCATCTATTTAAGCACCCTGAGATCTGCTCATCCTCAAGCACTGATACTCTCTCCTTCTTCTTTCTGACCTGGTATGATTATGGCATACGATGTTTTGTCGGTAGATTTTGAAGCCGGTTGGCCGACCCGGAGATAGCGGCGTTCATTGGGGTGTTGTACGAAGCAGCGAAGCCGAAGCTCAGGGTCTGAACACACATGGATAGTCTAGCCATGTAGGATTGTGAAGGATGCCCACTTAGTCGAACCCTAGCTTACGTAGCGTCTACTCCCTTGTCTCCTCAAAGCTGATAGGGCGAATGTCTCCTTGCGTGATACATATCGGTCCTTTTGCATATTACCATATATATTCATCCATCCGACATTCTCTTATAGTCTAGCTCTTAGTGCTCAAATATAGTAAGGATAATCAAAAGCTACACAACCGACTGGAGTCTCAACGCTTGGTTGTAGCCTTGACCGTCCCCATGTAAGCGTCTTCTTATGTTGAGTTCTTAAGAGCCTCCTGAGTCCGAGTAAATCGATTAAATCCGAAAACAAAAACACTTACTATACAGACGACTTGATGGTCATGGGCTGACCAGTGGTAGTGAGATTGTGCCAGAAACCGACTGCGTTCAGTTGGACAAGTCGACTAGATACAACCACATTGCGCCAGTGTCATTTCATGTGTCTTATGAAAGTGATTCTGTGGACGACAGAATCTCATGTTAGTCCTTGGTTGGGCTTGGTTTTCTCTATCCGTCAATGCCGCGATGTTTTGTTCCTGCACGCGCGTTAATCCGTTGAGTACCTAATGTCCAATGCTTCAAAATCAGCGAGAAAGACATTGTTAGCTAGATGTGTAACGCAAAATGGGTTGTATGATGGAGCTCGATACAGGAGCCATGGTTTGGTGTAAGCTGCTGGTGGATGGCGGTCCGTAGGGTGGTGCATCCAAGAGCGCCCGGCTTTTCACCGATGTAGTTACAAGACCAAAAACGAAGGATCAGTACCTGGCATTAGCAGGAACGTTCCCTGTTGGCGCAGTTGCGCTTAAGTGGTGGTATGTAGTCTTGATTTAGAAGCCTATTAGCTTGATAGAGAGTATTTCTATACTTGCAAACCGCTCAAAGGTAACTCAGACGAGTGCGGTAATTCCGGAAACAATGTGGCAGCGGAGTAAAGTACGACATCAGCGATGGTCGATACGATGAGCGTGATATTTTGCGCACTGGCCAAGGCGGGACAGGAAATTCTCCTTACCACGCCACCTGCACCTAGACTAATTAGCACACTTACCATGCAGCCATCCTTGCAGTCATACCTTAAGAGTTAGTTGCCGTAAGCTAAATACCCAAAGCATGCGTTCCCTTACCATCAGCATACATCTCGTGATCAGTCAAGTCTGTAAAGTTGTCCTCTAGGTATTCTCCACCTAGAGGCCTAAACAAGTACGTAACTACCTACAAGGCAGCTGTGTAGGATTTCTGTATTCTGCTGGGTTCACCAGTTCGTGGTGTTGTATTGTCTGCTCCGGTAGGTAGTCAACTAGGATCCAGGTAGATGCCCTTGCGCGCCCACGGGTGAGGCTGGCCTGATTGGGTCTAGGTAGTCTACATTTGTCGATTGCATCATTATTGCGCCTTCAAGAGCCTCGCTCGGAGTCGTTTCGGCTACATGTCACAACAACTTGTCGTGATAGCGAGCTGGCCGTACTGAACGGCTTCTTTCAAGATGCAGCATAGCAGACAGCCCTGGGAACACATTGAAACTGTGGCAAATCCTCGTCGATTCCGTTTGTACCTAGGCAGTTGTTGTTGCCCTCTCCACTCCAAGACACTTGTCCTCATGACCTTGTCAACATCCTGGATGGGGTTTCTTTGGATCCCGTCACTTCGTATTCCAATCCTGGAGCTCAATACTGGATACGTGTCTGAGATCTTGCATCTCAGTATGTTATACCGTGGCCTATAGTCCAAGTTGTCTGCAAAACACTATGTGATAATTCAAACTGCAATATAGTAAGAATATTGGGGGTTCGGCGGTAGGCTCCGAGACCTACGGGAACTGATATCGACACTGTATTAAACGATTACACCAGGTCTTGTTGTTGACCAGAGCTGCTTCCAGGCCCCAAGTGCGTTTGTTACTGTGGCTGTTTGGGAGACCACTCGTTGTGTAGAATTGTAGGATCGAACTCGCAGATACAGCAATGCATACTTCCATGGGCTGATGTGCCTTGCTGGTGTGCCCGCAAACCAGTAACAACTGAAGTTAATCGAGAAGAGCTAGCTTTATTCATTGCCATGTGATTTCGAGTTCGACCACCCATTCTTCAAGTGATGACGTGTAATCTTCCTGAGTACATCCGCAGTACTTTGTAGGCGATCATAAAGCTAGATTGGAAGCAACACGACGAAAAGTTCATCTATACGATGATCTGGGACGCATTGAAACGATTGGCTTTTGTTAGATCTAATTGAATAATCTATGCCTTCTCCTTTGACTTGATATGCCTCGATGCGTACTCAATTGCGGCCTCGTAGCCGTACGCTCCTAACCCACAGATCACAGCGACTGCCTTGTCGCTCAGATAGCTGTGATGCCGGAATGCCTCTCGTGCGTGGACATTGCTAATGTGAACCTCGATGAAAGGAATATCGACACCTAACAAAGCATCTCTGATCGCGACGCTCGTGTGTGTGAATGCTCCAGGATTGATGATGATGGCATCAACGTTTCCACGTGCTTCATGAATGCGATCCAGTATCACACCCTCGTGGTTGGACTGTAGGTGTGCAAAGGACATTGACTTGTCCTTGCATTGCTTCTCGGCTGCCTCGACAACTTGAGGTAATGTGGTAGAGCCGTACGTAGCAGGTTCGCGTGTACCAAGAAGATTTAGGTTGGGTCCGTTGATGAGTAGGATAGACTTGGCCATGGTTTTATGAAGGCGTTGATCGTAATGTCAAATCAGATGTGTTGCGTACTGCTGATGTCTATAAATTAGGCGTTCAGACCACTGGGCGAACAAGTAGGCTCTGCGATCGGAACTCGATCAAAGTGCGTCGGAAGAGTGCTGGCCACCGGAAAAGCTCTTTTCCCCGCATCCGGTCTGGCCGCATGGCCGAAACGGGTGAACAGCAAGTACATTCCCTCCAGTAGCCGAGCCACTGCACGATGAATTACGTTTGAAATGTCGAGAGACTCATAGATGCACAATAAGATGGCAGGATCTATGTTTGTGGAAGTCGCCCAAAGGAGAGAAAACACGCCTGGTACCATTTGAGCCTCCTTATCTCCTCACCGTATCTCCGCCGCTAATTGGCGGGTTGAAACGGCATCTGCAACCGAGTCATCAGCGCACTTCAACGATATGGAGTCATCAATGCCTACCTGCCATCACTCATTGCACCACCCGCCACTCCATGATGTCCGAAATCTCTAGAGAAGAACTAGATGAGATCTATGTGTTCGCCGTTGAATTGGGAAAGCAGGCGGGGCAGATGTTGAGGGATGCCGCCCAACTGAGAATGGATGGGAGCAGCAGGACTAAAGCACAGGATGAGCATGTGCAAAAAATGAACGCGGTAGATCTGGTCACTGAGACAGATGAAGACGTCGAGGCTTTCATCAAAGCTCAGATTACGCAGAAGTATCCATTACACAAGTAAGTCTGACAAGTCCAGAAAACATACACTGTCTGATACAATCCAGGTTCGTGGGCGAGGAGTCGTACTCAAAAGGTGTGAGCCGCGACTACCTGATTGATGAGAGCCCAACATGGTGTGTGGATCCGTTGGATGGTACCGTCAACTACATCCACCTCTTCCCGATGTTCTGTGTTTCGATTGCATTCATCCACAAGAGCAAACCTCTTATTGGAGTGATCTACGCACCTTTCATCAACCAGTTCTTTTCCTCGTGCAGTGGGTGCGGTGCATTCCTAAACGAGACACAGCGACTACCACTTGTCCGTAACCCGATCGCACCCATGCCAGAAAAGGCCCCAGCAGGCTGTGTGTTTTCATGCGAATGGGGCAAGGATAGGAGAGATATACCAGATGGCAACATGCATCGCAAGATTGAGAGTTTTGTCAACATGGCAGCTGAGCTGGGCGGAAGATCAGGAAGAGGGGGTATGGTGCATGGGGTTAGAAGTCTAGGGAGTGCGACACTAGACCTGGCTTACGTTGCGATGGGATCGTTCGACATCTGGTGGGAGGGTGGTTGCTGGGAATGGTGAGTAGCCCGTTCAGCTCACCATATCAGCTGCTGATAAGGGTCAGGGATGTTGCGGCAGGTGTTGCAATCTTGCTCGAAGCCGGAGGCTTGATGACGACCGCAAACCCACCTCCCGACGAAGCTACATGCCCTATACCAGAGGTCAAATTGGGCAGCCGATTGTATCTTGCCATTCGGTAAGATGGACCACTTGATTTTGGTGTGCTGAAGACGCTGACAGACATACATAGACCAGCTGGACCTTCACCCACTGAAACTGGACGTCAGAGCCAAGAAAGGACTGTTCGAGAGGTATGGCGCCGCGTACGTAACTTAGACTACTCACGCCCAGGGGCGTAATTACACAACACGTACCTATAGAGTAACCCCACGTCCATTCCCCTAACACGTTAGGTCTCTCCACAAACCAGCAAAAGAAAGATAGAGGATATATCAAGATCAACGGCTGGCATGATTGCGCAACCAATCACCTGCAGCGCGCCATTTTTAGGGTGCCCGAGGATAGGCCGTCGGTCTAGACCGCATGCGTGCATCCGCGACGTCACGCTTAAAGTCACATCCAGAAGGCGAATCATCGTCATGGCCCAGCGCGGATACCCGTGGCTGCCTCGAGAGATCTTATCAACACACAGCCCAGGATGATCTTAGAGACGTTTCATCGACGGTCGCCCGCGTAAACTCTAGAGCCGCTAACTTAGTCCTATCAAGCTCCTGTCGACCTCAAAAGCGTTAACATACTCCTCTATTGAAGCACATGCAGCTTACCATCATCTACTTGCCATTTTAAGTCCATCTACAGACCATACTTGAGTCTCGTTATAGTTCACTTCTCTTGCGTTACAATCCCTCTAAACTCACGTCACACATTTACGACCATGGTTTGCCGACCGGGCATTTCCACCATGTCGCTGGGGCGGTGCTACGCCGGCCACAGCTTCGAGCACAAGATGGCTATGGCCGCGAAACACGGCCTCGAGGGCATTGAGCTGTTCTACGAAGATCTTTGCGACCTTGCACCGTCCAAATCCGCGTCGGATCTCCTCACAGCAGCTGCCTACGTGCGGGATCTGTGTGATTCGTTGGGACTGTATATCATCTGTCTGCAGCCGTTTATGCACTACGAGGGCCTTCTAGACCGACAAAAGCACGACGAGAGGGTAGAAGAGATGAAGGTGTGGATGAAGCTGGCACACGTTCTGGGCACCGACATCATCTCAGTCCCATCGACCTTCCTCCCCGAATCCGAAGTCTCGCCTGATCTCGATCTCATCGTTTCCGACCTCCAACAAATAGCAGACATGGGCCTGCAACAAACACCCGTAATTCGTTTCGTCTACGAAAGTTTATGTTGGGGCACATACTGCGACAGGTGGGAGCGCTGTTGGGAGATCGTGCAGCGCGTAGATCGATCAAATTTCGGTATTTGCCTCGACAGCTTCAACATCCTCGGCAGAATTTACGCAGACCCCACATCAGACACCAGGTGTAACGAGAACGCCGACCAGATGGTCGCTGAGTCGATACAAAGGCTTGTCCAACAGATCAAGCCGCACCGCGAAAAGATTTTCTTCATTCAGATCGTTGACGCCGAGAAGCTTGCTGAGCCATTACGGTCCGGGCATCCATTTTACAACGCAGAGCAGCCAAGTCGTATGAGCTGGAGCAGAAATTGCAGACTGTTCTACGGCGAGACAGAGTACGGTGCGTACCTACCAGTCAAGGCCGTCGCGAATGCCATCATCAACGAGATTGGCTATGATGGCTGGGTCAGCTTCGAATTGTTCAACCGCGTTATGGAGAGGAAAGATCACGATGTTGTCGAAGAGCTGGCTTCGCGATGCGCGATCGGTTGGGAGAAAATGGTGGTTGATCTCGGGCTCGAAATTGCACCTCGCGCACTTACAAAGATCGACAGCAACGAGAAGGTCGAAGACACAAGGAAGGACAGCACACGGACGAGCTTTGAGAATGCGAGGCTTTGATTTGGTCGTGTTGCATAATAATAGGCGTTTTCAAGGGCATAGCATACCATACATATGAATGCAAGCATAGCGTGTCGGTTTCGAACAACACTTATTCTCTACTCTCTCACATGCTACTGTACCCTCCATCCACCGGCAACCCAATCCCCGTAATCCAACTTGCCTCCTCACTTGACAGGAATACCGCCGCCCTCGCAATATCCTCCGGTGTCCCCAGTCCTCGAAACGGATGCATTCCTTCAATCCTCTTCGTAGCTTCCGAATCAGTCCAGATCGGGGCCGTGAAAGCAGTCTGCGTGTACCCCGGACACAGCGCATTAACATGGATCCTCATCGGTGCACAGTCCCACGCCGCCGCCTTGGTAAGCCCCATCACCGCATGCTTACTCGTGACATACCCGCTCGAGCCCGGGCCGCCTCCCAGCCCAAATACCGACGCCAGATTGACAATCCAACCACGATCTCCATTGGCGCCGGGCTGCTGATCTTTCATCACGGCACTCGCGTACTTGACGCCCAGGAAGACGCCCTTGACATTGACACCCAGCGTATTCTCGAAGGCGGCCTCGTCATACTCCCACACAGGGCGCGGACCGTGCGAGCTCCCTGTTTCGACGGCGATGCCGGCATTGTTCACCATGATATCCAGACGACCGTACTTCTGAACTGCTGTGTTGACAAGGGCTTCGACTTCCTCCGCTTTGGTTGTGTCACATTTGACGAAGATGGCGGTGCCCCCGGCTGACGTGATGGCGGATACGGTGCTGGGCTGTGAGGAGTCGGCCTCGCCCGAGGGTCCTGGGACGCGTGCCTCTTCTCGTAGATCAGAACATATTACAGTTGCGCCGTGCGAGGCAAAGGCTTGAGCTATGGCACGTCCTATGCCAGAAGACGACCCGGTGATTATGGCGATCTTGTCAGCGAGACGGCCAGGCATGATCACGGTCGGATTCGAGGTTTCGATTTGTACGTTGGATTCAGAACGGCGTCGATTGGGCTCCTCAGTTCAGTATATTATGACAGCTCCTCTCGGTTGACAGTGATGTATGTTTGCACTCTTAAAAATTGGCGGCAGTCGGATTTATATATTTTGTCCATGCCTGAAGTTGTAGCATGTATCGGCTATATTGAGGGGTTGATGCGGGGATATCCTCGGTCACTCGAGTAAGCTCGCTGAACAGAACGGGAAAATGCTGTTGTTAAGAAATACATCCTGGTGGAGGCTGATGTTGGCGACTGTTGATTGTGACGTTGACCTGCAGCCCTGCATGAGATGATCTAGTAAGCACAGATTACACATGAGAACACGGACTTTGAAAGAATGTTTTGTTGTTCTTCTGTGAACTAAGTAACTGCCGACACCTCGACACCTTTTAGGGCCACTCCCCATCATCTATCGGTAGGCTGAGGGAGGGTACGCTTCAATTGCGCTCAAACACCTGTCCCGTCAGTCATATTCATACGTAGCCGCCACTGCTCCTTAACGCCATATATGCAGCCAAAGGGCGCCCATCATGCACTACCGTTCGTGAAAGAAGAGGGATTCCATGAATCATGATCAAAACGCGTAACACATTCGATGCTGGCGAACCAGTAAACGAAATGACAACCGACAAAGCCTGCTCATGCGAGGTAACCGAGTTCGTCGTCTTCCAGACGCTCCAGGTACTCCTTCTCAAGTAGAATGTCTATACACTTCTTGATGTCTGGAATGCGGGGCATGAAGCGGTTCTTGATCTGCTGGATCGTCTCTGAGACCAACTGCTGGTGCTTCATCTTCTTACGGGATTTCATGATACGCACGATAGCCGACTAGGTCAAGTTAGTGGACGCTCATATACGTAAAACCGATTTGTACATACCTGCATGAGCAGCTTGCGATCCTCCTCGATAGTCTTGTGCGTATCTTCGGCCTCGGCCTTCTGCTCAGACTTGATGCCAATGTTCAGGTTCATCTTGACCTTCTTTGTCTTGAAGCCCGTGTTGAGCTTGTATGTTGTGCCTGACTCGGGCTTAGCACCCTCAGGTTGAGCGAGCAGGACCTTGGCCTTGATGAAGACACCAAGACTAGGATCGAGGGTCTCCTTGTTGAGCTTGGTTGCCTCAGCGATATCATCGTAACTAACGGTGTCGCTGTCATTGAACAGAAGCATGATTGCCATTTGATAAGTGGAGACCTGGAAGGTTGGGGAGGCCTTGGAGCCGGCAACCTTGCAGTAGTTCGCTTTTACTTCACCCTTGCACAACTGCCAGAGCCAGGTAAGCTTGCGACCCTGGTGCTTGTGATTATAGAAGCGTGCGAATCGTTCGTATGTCTGCACGATCTGCTGCGGGGCAGTGAAGGGTGTGGTCGGTGGCTGAAGCGGCCAGAAACCAGTTCCGAGGATGTGGTAGCTGGCATCGATGCTAGCCTTGACGTCAGCCTCATCCAAGTTGTTGGATTGCCAGTCCTTGAAGGCTGCATTCAGATCCTTGGAAATCTGCATATCCTGGAACATGCGCTGAAGTTTGTTGGTGTACTCGAAACCGCAGGCTTCCTTCAGCTTGGAAATCATACTGGTCTCGGCATCATCGGACGCAGATGTGGTCTGGACCAGACGCTTCGCCAACATGCGTGAGTAGAACTTCTGAAAGACATCCTTGTCCTCGATGTACTTGAAGACAGTCATGATCTGTGTGAGCAATTTCTCCATGTCGTCTTCTTCGCTCATCTTTGCGCCAGAACGCTTCAGTAGAGTATCGGTGTACTTGGCTAGAAGTTCAGGTGACTTGTTGGAACCAGACTTGCAGATCTTGTTGCGATTGACAAATTCCCTGCACGCGTTGTCCAGAGATCGTACAAACTCAGACTCGCCGTTGAAGGCCTTGTTAACAAGGTCTTGGTACTGAGTGTGGACCTCAAGGAGAGCTTCAACATAGATCTTGGGCTCCGGACTCTCACTCTCCGTTGCAAGCTTCTCGACGGCTTGCAGACCGGCCTTGCGGACGTGGGTCTCAAAGCGGTTGCGTAGTGGGTCGAGGCCTTCGGGAATGCGTGCAAGCAGCTTGTACATCCTTCCGAGATCTTCTTGCTTATCATGGTCAAGGAGGATCTGGAACTCCTCACGAAGCGCTTGTGAGTGGTTGGTGATCAGGGATTCCTCACACGTTCTCATCAACGGGTTCATGATCTCGTTGAGCAGGTAAAGCGGGACGCGTTCCTTCTCTTCGTCGAGACGAGCCTCTGCCTTCTTCATGTACTCTACGACGCTGTTCTCAGCCAAGAATTGTTTTGACTCATTGTCGTAGTAAGTCGCTGTGGCTTTCAAAAAGGGCTCCTCGAAAAACTTCTTGTATACATCCAGAGTCGACTTGGAGCTGTCGGCCTCGTCCAGACCTAGAGACACGAAAGAGTCGACGACAGACTTAATGTGGGATTGCTCAATAGTCTCGCCGTTTCGCTGCTTCTCGACGAGCTTCAAGACAGAGCGCATGACGCTCTCTTGTGTACCAGTGAACATGTCTTCCTTCCACCGGACCAAGTGCAGTGTGTAAATGTCAAAAATGTGCTTCTTGCCCTCATCCATTTCCCGCTTGACCCAATGTCGGTTCAAGTATCTGAACAGGTGGTTATTGTACTGGCCAGCGGTAGTGTATCGATTCCACTCCTTGATGTAGAAGGTGAGAAGTGCTTCGTCGACGTGCTCCTTTGACTGTGCCTGTACACCAGCCAAGTGCGCTTTGAGGTATTCGATCAAATGCTGATACAGGTCCTCTCCAAGCAGGTGCGCACCTCCGCGATTGTTGTTCGCTGCGAACGATGAGCCAGCGACGGCCTTCTGTGCGGTACAAAAGTTGTGAATGGCGGTGTAAAGGCCCATGTACGTCTTCATGTCCATACCGCCTCGCAGATTGGTCATGATCTTGTCGACACCGGCTTCGAGGTACTTCCAACTGTAGAATTGTCAGCATGTTTCCCTGCATAAAAGTGCACCAGCGCAACAGTTCCAACGTTGCCAACGTGTCTGTGCTGATTGCACACTCCCGAAAGGTGGAGCATCGCGAGTTCCACCATGGTAGCAGCACTAAACAGACGCGTCTCGCAGTCGATAACGAAAGAACTTCACTCTGTATTGAGAGGGAAGATAATCGCCCAAGCTCAGATGACGATGAGACAGCTTGAGGACGAGTCGGATGGTAGCAATGGTGAGAACACGAGCTGTAGATGGCTGACGAACTACTGGCCAAGCAACAGGAGCAAACACGGCAAGAGTACTTACGTTGCGTTGACGTCGTCCTTTGCAGGAACGGGCGGCATTGTGGAAGCCATGGCGGGCGTCGCGTGCGCGGGGCACAATGTGAGAGCGTCTCTGTGCGCGAGGGGTGTGATATTGGTTACTTGATGTTTTCTATGGTGCGGGCGGAGTCTGTGTTGTTTGCAGCGGGCAGGGTCGCGGTTGTGTGGTTGAAGCGGTCGTGCAGTAGGTGCGAGGTGCGAGGTGCGGAGGAGGCAAAGGTCGCGGTGCGAGCGGCCGATTATGGAGGCAAAAGGCACCTACTCTACAGCAGTCCTAGCGCGCAACCACACTTTCACTGTGCAGAGACAGAGGAAGGGAAGTGAGCCGGTGGTGAAGGCAGTGGTGAGGAGGTGCGGCGATGTTTTGTGAATCACGTCGATGGTTCAGGCAACACCGAGCTTGGCTATGGGTATCCCTTCAGCCTTGCACTAACGCTTACACCACACCGCAAAAGTGGGGCCGCGTTTTGTCTCGGTCTGAGGGTACTCATCGTTTAGCCTTCAAATTTTGCAAGACAGGCCGGATTATGTTGAAGCTCCTTGTCGCAGGGCATCACAGACCTAAGGTAGTATGCGTTTTGCGCAATCCTTGGTACCATAGTACTCGGTGACGAACCCCTCCTTGAGTGGTACAGATAACCTTTCACCGAGTGTTGGGTGGCGATCAGCAAAGAAATGGTCACATTCACCAAACTTCACATCTTCCTTTGTTGACAGCTTCAGCAGTATCTCCTTGACACTTTCATGTGAATCTACATACTTAGACATGTAATATGGGGAGAAAGAAGGCTTGAGCAAAGTGGGGAGAGTGAGTTGAAGTGGTGTGAGGGTGTGAACAACTTTGTCCTGTCGTGAAGGTCTGACTATTCACATCAAGGTCTTCTCTCCTGTGTTAATTATGAAATGCACACATAACCGCTAGCTGTTCATCACATTATATTGAGGTGTGCTAAAGGCTACAACACCTGACCGATCTATCTGCCTAGACACCTGAGGCCGTACTTCCACACTAGGCTGAACGATGGAAAAATAAAAGAATCTTGGTATGCCACCAACGCCATGCATATGCAAAATCAAAACTAAGGAGATACAGATGCGAGATCGCGAGAGCGGTAACGGAAACGGTCAGTCTGCGCCAGGACAAAGCTACCAGCACGCCTTGCAATGCGGTATCTGAGCGTCGGCTTGTAAGAGTCTTTCCTGTGAAGACATATGAATCAGTAAAAGGAAGGGAATGCGTATAAAGGTACATGTATGGGGAATGGAAATGGGACAAGATGTGCGTAGCAGGTACTACCTAGCGACGCGATGGATCAACCTTGACAATATTAGCGACATCACAATGGTGCGTTGGGCATATGGGTCATACCTCAAGGTGCTGATGCTGAAGGTAGCCAGCCACGCCAGCAGTGCGATTAGTAAGGTTGCAGTCAAGGCCTTCTGACGTACGCAAATCGACTGGCTGTATTCACAGTAGCGCGTACTGTCATCTCTGGCGTCCCTACACGCCCACTTTTCATCGGTCAAGGCCTGAAAAGCCAGACTGAGATTTGCAGATTCAAACACAATGAATGCAAGGTCTAAGAATATAAGAGACATCTTCGCGTTGTGCGATCGCAGGCCAAGGGGCTTCGATGTGTACTCGTCGTACGTGATGTAGACGGTGTAAAGGATGGCTACGACATCGACAATGATAGCCATCCAGGTGGAAGAATTGTTGTCGCAGCCTACCGAATCCGACTTGTGGAAGATGGCACCAGCGAGAGACAGTGCCAGAATGGAGAATGTAAGCACGACGATACGGACTATTGCCGGAACCATTGGATGGTTCATGACAGTGCGATGGAATCTGACCATTTTGCGTCTCCTCTTTGCTGGACTGAACATCCAGAAGCCCTTGACCTTCTCCTCCTTGTCCTCTTCGTCGATGGGCTCCCACGGCTTCTCTAGATCGGGCATGTTCGCAGCCATCCAGTCGTCATCGACAATCTGGCCTCGCGAGGAAATGGGACGATCATGCTGCTCGTAGTTGGAGGCCGCAGCGAACTGCTTCCATTTGGAGGCACCCTCGCTGACGGGAGTGGAGAGGGTGACGGGGGCGCCCTCGCGGGCATGGTCGAACTTGCGGCCAGGAACATTGGACTTGGGCGTGGGCATGTAGTGGTGGGAGGCCGGGCGGACAGAGGTGGGCGTCCGGGGCAGCAGCAGCGAGGCGACATCGGCAATCTCGTCCTCGTCGGCAGACTGGACCCAGGGCGGCAGCGAGCGGGCAGCACGCTGGCGCTCGCGGTTGTCCGCGGCGGTCGAGCTGGTAGCCTTGGAGGACGCCAGCGTGTGGGGCGTGCTCGAGATGCTGTGGCTGTGGCTCTTACGCACGGCAGCGCTCTCGTCGTCGCGCGAGAAGCCGGAGACGACGCTGACGCGGGAGTGCGGGCGGTGCTGCGACGACTGCGACGAGGCAGTGGGTGGCGGAATGGGGGAGGGCAGCAGCGATGTGGCTCCGGAGCGGCCGGCGAGGGTGGAGCTGGTGGTGCCCGGGGGGGCGGCGGTAGTGAAGGCGTTGTTGGGGCTGAGGAATGACAGCGACTCGCGGGGCCCATTGCTGGGGCTGCTGGGGCCGATGCCATGGGCGCTCTGGGGGCGGTCGGCCATGGGCTTGCTGGCCATGCCTGGATGCGCGGTCGGGGGCGTTGGGTTCGAGGGGCCTCGTCGTCGCACGAGCGGGTCCCGTGACTGGGCTACCGTCTCCTGCCGCGGCGTCCGTCCGCAAACACGCCTGAGCCGGCGGGCGCGTCAGCGAGAGGCGGGCTGGCCTGTGGCGTGTGCGGCAGCGAGTGGCAGCAGTTAGGTCAGCGTGCGCAGCAGCGACAGCATGGCAGGCAGCGTGTGGGAGAGAGGCGCAGTAGGGCAGCAGGTCACGAGGGGCGTTGGTAGCAGACGTTTCGAGCGTTTCGAGCGTGGAGGCCCGAGAGCGTGCGGCGGTGGCAGGGAGATTTGCCCTGGCGGCGATCAGGGCTTTGGCAACAAAACAGGGATAGGCGCCCTGGCCATTCTGGGCCGTGGAGGAACTGCTGGCTGCGAGCGCTGCTAGCTCGACGCGCTCTGATGTAATCGCCCGCCTAGCACAGCCTTGCCGCTGCGCAGGCAATCTTGCGACTCGCCTCTCAGCGCCGCTCCAGAAACTTTCCACGCACACAAAAAGTGCCACGCGACTCGGCGCGTAGAAACATGTCTCGCCAGGCTCCCGCTTGAAACCTTCAAGACCGCCTGCGCCAGTGTGCGCTTACGTAACGCGCCTGCCCTGCGCCTGCCCTGCGACGCCCGCCCGCGCTTTCCACATAAGGCCGTCCACCATGCGCATGTTCCTGTTGCCCATCTCGACGCGCCGCTCGCTGGTCTACTGCGAGAAGCTGCACGAGAAAGCCCCCAAGGACCGCTCCCTGCTCGACAAGGTTACGCTTAAGGCTAACGAGACCTGGGCCGCCTGGGAGAAGGACGAGAAGGCCGTCGGCAACTGGAAGCGGAAAGTCACCTTCTACGGCAACCAGGCCCTGAAGCGCATTCCGTACGAGGAATGGGGCCTCAAGACGCTGCCCACTCTGACCGACCGGCGGAAGAGAGACATCATCGAGGGCAAGGCGAAACATGAGCTTCTCTTCCCCGGACGGTACCTGAAGCAGGAGAGGGTCACTGAGATCCTCACCAAGCTGGCACAAGAACGACAGGGCATGCACCGCAGCAAGCTGATATGGAGCGTCGTCATCATGCCCTTCACGGCGCCCTTCATGCTGGTCCCCGTCGTGCCCAACCTGCCATTCTTCTACGTCTTGTATCGCGCCTGGTCGCATTGGAAAGGTACGTTATGGTTTGCTAGCTATTCAACGCCACGCACATGCTAACTTTCGCAGCGCTCGCTGGATCCAAGTATCTGGAGTTTCTCTTGAAGCACAACCAGCCTACGCCAAGCACGTCTTGGGCCCTTGACGAAGCCTACACCGCAGGTCTCATGTACCCCACACGCAAGATCTCGCGCGCCGCCCCCCGCCCGACCGAGAAAGAGGCCGACCAAGTCTCGGAAGTCGTGCACCAGCAGACCAACAACGAGAGCGAAGACGTCATGGTGCTGCAGCGCTGGAACGGCAAGTTGATCGCCGAGCAATTTGACCTGCCAGACATGGAGGTCGAGATCGAGCGCGCCGTCGAACAGGTCGAAAAATCCATTGACGCCAAGGAGAAGCTGATGGAGAAGAAGCTGGAGCAGGAGAAGGCTACCACTGATGGGCCGGATCAGCGCGCGAAAGACCTCTTGCCTGACCATATTCTGGAGAAGATTCACGATGAGGCTGAGCATGTCGCTGAGAAGGCTAGGACTGAAGAGAATAAGGAAACCGCAAAGCACTGAGCAGCGTGTGAATCTTTGGCCGATTTCACAGGCCACGAACGAATGACGCGCAGGTGTGACAGTCGCACTTGGCCGTCAGACTCGTAGTAATGGACACTGGACGACGCAAGGATTATGTTGGATTATGTTGTACGATATCACGCACCCAAGATACCAGGAGTTGGCGGTACACTCTCAAATGATAGCAAGACTCTCAATTCTACAGTATGCGCGTTTCACTCTTGACTTGTCCCGCAGTTCCCTTCTTCACTTCACCTTACTACACATCTCATGAGGAAAGCTTGCACTGAGTCAATTGTTATGCTGTGTATATATTCTCAAATATTCGTTGTAATTCCATCGTTTAGACCGCGTCATGGCATACAGCCTGAGGTGGCTGGCACAAGTCGCTGGGTGAGTGATTGGCGCGATCTGAACGATATTTTTGGACACCGCGAGGTTGTGAGTTCGATTCTAGTGTACCTGATATGATTTTTTGCTTGTTTTGGGATCACATTCGCGACGCTACTCACTCTTCACTTCACTCCAGCGCTATTCTGCCCGTCGACCTTGATGATGATGGATCCTAATACCAAACTATACGCTGTAAGCTCGTGGATGTGGTGGATCTTCACAAGTCGGGTGAGCAGAAAGCCACTGCTGACGCTTGGACAGCGGCTATGGTCAGAGATACAGTTTGATACCCAATGATCAATCTGGAACCAAGTCTGTGAACTGTCTGTATTGTCGGAGAGCTCGAAAATTACGTTCCAACCGTACTCGCTATCACCGACAGGCACAAAGTCGTAGTTCCATTTCGTATCGCCGCATTTCAGGTTCATCGTGTATCTGTGATCATCAAAAGAGATGGTCAAGGTCGTCCAGTGCTCTGCTCCTTCCTTCGGCTTGACACACCATGGCCACTGGCTTACATCCGACAGCTTAGTACAGAGATCACAGCCCCATGCTACCGCGGACCTGAAGGATTGGTGTGTACGACGGTGGCCATGTTGGTAGTTTGCGATATCATTTGTGTCAGTTGCAGCTCTGTCTTCTTTTATGTGAGTTTCAGCTGGCTTAGACCGTTGATGAGACTCTACGCGTCGGCACTTCGAATGCGCGTCAGCAGACATCACAGAGCATCTTGCATCTTCTTTAGCGTTGCATCTTCTTTGTATTTTGTAAACACTTGCACAGTCACGCATTATTACGCACAAGAATTTCATCGTGTGCTTCAAATTGATGTGAAGATAAGTGACTTTGCAAACAAATACCCGTTCACGACCTCCTACCTCCGGAGTTAGCTACAAAAGTATATGATGGCGGACAATCGGCAAGAGGCCTGTGTATATAAGAATTCAAATCAGCCAGTTCGCCATGGAATATAGTATCTGTCAGTACTGTTATGAAGTCTAGACTCCGAATAGCCCAATAGGTGGAAGGCTCTGCTCACTTCCAACAGCATCTTCCATTTGGAGATCTGGTCACCCAGCTCGAACTCAATCCACTCCATAGAATGTTCAACGGTCACAGTATCTTCAGCGATGCTCGATGTCGTCTCTTCTGCGACAGTGTTCATATCCGCCGTCACTACGTCCGCGTCCAACTCGCCCTCCGTTACATCATGATCGATGCCTTCCTGTAGCGCGACTTCGACTGCCCTGAGCCGACTCTCCATCTTAGACAATATGCTCTGTAGCATCGTTGTATCAGTGAGATACTCACTGCCTACTTGTTCGTCCATCGCAAGGTTGAAGTTACTGATCACACTGCGAAGTAATCCTGCTGTTCTCAAGATTTGCTGTTCTACGGCCCTGTTTGAGCGGTTCTCTGTGTGGAATTTAACACTGAGAACGTCTAGCTTCGCTTTCTCCAGTTCAATTCGAGACCTTAGGGAAGACGCTTTGCATCCGAAAGCTTGGCGTCTCTTCTCAACTTCCTCGCGGAGTGCTTCTTCAGACATGATGTTCAGTGACGGGATATTGAAGAGATCTTTGATAATCGTGCCACTGGTTGAAGAAGGAGGCATGTAGTCTCTAGCACCTGTAACGGTGATGTCCAGGCGAGGTTGAGTCTGCTCAACGTGAGCAGTAGGCTACATTATGTACATACAAGAAACTGCGTGGCATGAGGGCAAAAAATAGCAGTAGAGCTCAAGCAATTGTTTGTAATATCGCAATAGCTAACAGCTCTTGTGAACAATACCAAACTTTTCAATCACTCAGATGAAGCAGCCTGACGAGCACCGGTCGCGAGGGCCGAAGCGTGACACCCCTCCGGAACAATAGCAGAAACAGAGCCAAAGATTGCCGCGGAAAAGTAGTCGATCATCAGAAAGCTTCAAGCGGCAGTAGGAGAGAGCTGGTATTACCCTTCCTTCGCAAGTCTTGACCGCTCCACAGCCGCATCCATGACACAGCTCACGTCGTTGCACATTTCATTCAAGACTTTCTGTACCATCTCGATAAATAAGCCGTCGCATCCAGCTATCAGCGTTGGAGTTGACCAGGATAATGCCATCGCTAGATCCAACAAAAGGACCACCTCTAAGAGCACTTTCTGTGCTCTAGTCACTTCACTGAGCGCGGAGATCATGCATGCTATCACCCCAGAGGCGTCAAGCTTAACTACGAGCATGACGCCCATTCATGAGCTCGCGTCGCATATTACAGAATCAGCGGGGGATCTGAAAATTGCAAAGATGTGCCAGCGAAGGCAGGAGACGCCACGCCGATAGTCGTGCAATCTACACAGGTGTGATCCGAGTGTCGTATCACAGTTTGAGGCAGGGGCAGGGCGGCAGGGAGTTGTCTAGGAGTGAAATGCTTGCCCCATATGCGCACAATTTGAGAGTACAGTGTTGTTTGTAACAACTCCCCTTCCCGAGCGACAAGCCAAAAAAAAAGAGGACGGAGATTGAGGGGAAAGCAAAAAGAAATGACGACCGATGCAGGACTCGAACCTGCAACCTTGGCCTATTCCAACGTCTGAAGACGGAGTGTATAGGAGGGCCACGCGCTACCATTGCGCCAACCGGCCAGTTCTATGAACGAATATGGAAGTCGGAAAAACAATGTTGTATAGATTGTCCACGCGGCTGCGCTGGAGCAGCGACAGCCCTGGTGTTTTCGGCGATCGCCAAGTGCCAGGTGGAGCTGCGTAGAAACATTTCCACTGTATGGAAGGGATGACACGAACAGGTACAAAGAGAGGCAGTGTAGAAGAAGGTGTTTGCGGTGTTTGGTCGACGACGAAGGTGAGAAGCCACCGTTGCAGTAGGGGAAGCGCGCTAGCGCTGCGTCACGCGATTGAACCGTGTCTACTTTCGAACGCAACACTCTCACCTCGGCGCCAACATTGCAAGCAATTGGCTAGATCTGACTACAAGCAGTAAATGTGTGTCGTCCGAGCGTGATCTGCTCGTAATTCACTGGGCCACGAGCATTTGCTCGTTTACTATACACCACATACAATGCGTGTAAACGCTCGCAGCTGCCACATGAAGCACGTCAGCATGAACATCAAAAGTATGAACGATAACCTGAGTACAGTCAAACAGCGACTCACACTCGCTGTTGCGATTAATCCCGGATTAGCATGCGCGACTTCTGCACACGACGTTCTCAAGACCTTGCCCATGACCGCGACAAATCGCCTCAGTACCAGCTGGAGCGTGAAGTTTTCCGCGTCGAGTGCATTACTAAACGGACGTAGTCTATAAGAGCCCGAGGTGGACTCCGTTCAACACTGCTGTTTGTACAGTCGATCGCCGATCAGCAGTATATCTCACACCACTTTACAAGGGTTAGAGAGTATTGTTTGTTGTCATCTGAATCTTCATATCCTGTGCAGTCGCCTTGCAGTGCTCGTTCTGTCTTTCCAATCTTCAGCTAATTTGAGTTGAGAGGCAATTAATCAACTTGAAATATCAGATTACCTTCTCGGCTTCAGCGTTACACTATTGCAATCATTTCAAAATGAGACCCGAAGAGATCATCGCCATCGTATTTTGCAGTACTGGTGTACTCGTGGGTGTACTCTTCTGGTATGCCCGATCCTGTAGAACGAGCAAGAGACAGCCTCTACAACATACAGCACGGCCTCCGCGTACAGCTCCACAAAATAGCGGCGATCCAAGCCGAGCGTCGCAATATGCATCTAATCGCTATTGCTCCACTGGCGACCCATTCAGACTGGATATCTCATCCGGACGACGGACGAATGAACGTGCAGCATCTGTAAACCCACATCCTCACGACCCCTACGACTCTAGGTATTCGTACACGTGTGATTGTCCTGATGGTTGGATGGGCGATGGAGGGAGTTGTCCACACAGTTGAGACGAGCCCTAAAGCCATATCAGATATGGATTTTCGGCAGTTGAAGATGAGTGTTGGCTTCTCTTTCCCTCAGTTTCGAACAGGTTCACCTTCATATGGTCTGTGGTCTCGTACGAGTGGGTAAACCTTTCGACGCCTCAGCGTGTGCACAAATCCTTCTCTCGCCTGACCATTTATCAAACTTTCTCTGGAGACCAGGTTTAGATGAGACGTAAATACATCATACATTGGAGAACATTTTCCCCCGTGAAGACATGGCCAAAGTAACACAACGTAGCTCGAGAATACACACCTACAAACTCGCGCTTCTTACCTCTACGCTTGTGGCATGAAAATCGCCTAATTTGTTGAATCATTCATGACGAATTTGCGTCTCCAGATCTTACTTGCCATCAAGATGAAGTACAGTGAGACGAAGGAACACTATGGCCCGAGCGAGCCCAATGTAGAAGCCCATAGTTGGAGGAAAGAAGCCAATTAAACATGTTAATAGCACACCTGTTGTGTGGTAGGGTGAGATCTGCAAGCGAAACATCTACATCGTGCAATACCCGTAAGTGGTGACGACAGTTGAACGCTCATGCACAAACTTGAGACAACGCAGAAAGTATTCACCATCGTTGATACGGAACACCACATCATCCTTTCCATACCATCAGCGCCGTTTGTCTGTTCAACGCCAGTATATATGCTGAGCCTCGCCCAAAAGCTCGTCACAACAATCGCTTTGATCCCTGATCTGATTTAGCGCTTCACCTTCTCAGCCAAACAGCTTCCGAAAGAATGTCAGACATCCAGATTGTCTTTGCTATACTAGGCGGATTTGTCGCGTGGTTCCTGCTCTTACAGATTCTGTCTTGGCTAAGATATATCGAGATAAGACCTCAAGACACAGACTACTCCAGCGATGGAATGCCTATATACGAACGCGATCGAGACCAACTTGAAGAAAATCACTTGATGTTGGAAGTGCCTCCGAGAAGGTAGAGGTAGCTTTTCGAAACAAACCTTGGAAGAGTTGTCAGCTGGTAGTACCTTACTTACGTGCCGGATGTCGTGGCCGATGCTAGCACGTGAAGGTGGTTGAAGGTCTCCGATTATCTCTTGCATGTACGAGCATTGATATATCTCCCTTTTGATATGCCTGGTGTGCACTGCTTCGTAAACCTTTTTGGCTACCCGATCATGGTGGCCTACTAGGTTGGACGCAAGCGTGTTACAAGCAGGTGGGCAATTGTAGGTATCCTCTCTATCGTTCTTATCTAGAACTTCCACATCCTGCTAGGAAAGTTTTGGTCGGCGTCTTGACGCACATCCCGCCGTGACTGGTGTTGAGCTTGCACTCGTCCCACGAGCCTTCCTCCCTGCACCTTTGTACGGAAATCACGAGCGTGACGTCTGTGTGCCATGAAATACAGGACTGGAGAAGCGTGCTGACGGCGACTGTTGCTCTGATCTTCTAAGAGAAACGAGGCACGGAGGGGGTGAAGATATCTAGCGGCAGCTTGCTGCTGAAGCCTCACCGCCAATTTATGGTTCTGAGATTGCCGGTTGCTTTGCTCTGAGTGGTGAATCCGCAGTGGGCGTCGCATGTAGTATGTCAAGGATCCGATGTGAAGATCTCTCAACTTTAAATATGGCTTTAAAATGTCGCACTCTTACGATCCTTCCAACAGCTCATACAAGCCATTTCAATGCCTCGAGACAACCCAGTCATATATATTATCATCCTTTATAGTATATTCCTCGCCGTACCACTGCTATTCTTCGTCCTGTACATCATTCTTAAGACCTCGGAGCGCGAGAAAGAGGCGATCTTCAAGGAGGAGATGAAGAGGAAGGCGAGGGTATTCATCTGGGAGAGACTGCACCCTGTCGATGGCGGTGTGACGCACTGATGACCGCTAGGTAGAATTACCGGTCGTGTGTATACGGGACACATGAGTAGGTAGTGATGATCAAACCAATTCCTCCTACAGATACTTGTACATCAGCAGTATAGCTTCTCGGAACACTACCTATCGGGCCGTTATCGCAACTGTGTATACTCAGTAGTTCACTGGTCCTTAAAACTATACATACTTGTTGGCGGTCGTAGCTTGTGGCATCATGCGGGTTGCCTCAAGTTAGTCGGAGTATGTAACCAATTAAGGTAGACAGCAAATGATCGCGATCGGTAAATCTTTCGGTGTTGCAGGACGTGCACGAGGGTGCTGCGTCTCGCTCATTCTGTTCGTCAATGCTGCGTAGGGGTTACACCCGCACTTCACGTCAGACTCTTTGGTCGCAATGTGCGACACACCTTGGCAGTGAATTGTCTCTCCACGGTCTAAGCTCAGCGATTCACACATATTCGATGATGTTCACTATGTTAAATTAAGCCAGCGGATTGTAATGCCTGCAAACGGATCCATCTGCAGCAAGCCGTCTTAGCCGAGGGATCGACCAGCTGTATATGGCTTAGATCCACGCGACGCGCGGCCAGGCATTGACGTCACGTCATACCGTGCAATGCCGTTGTAGTGTCCGATTCTGTTGTCTTGAATTAGATGATGGCGGTGAGGTAAATGAAATTTGGGAAGACTTGGGGAAAGGAAGTACAAGGCTGTAAATACTAACGAAGCAACGGCGTGGTCTTCGGCGGTGTGAGCGGGAGCATGTGGATTATTCGAGAAACGTGTTACCCATTAACGCAATCAAGAGCCGCGACAAAGAGGAACATACGCAAAACAGTCACAACAAGAGATGAGCACAAATTGAAGATCGTAAGCTATCATTGTAGCCTAACATATTCTGTGAAAGTCGTATTACAAAAGTATGGTCGATTTGACCGAGGTATCCCAAAACCATGTATCATTGTGCATCCGGCAGTACTTATCCCAACGTGGGAAGAAGCATGGTATTATCCATTCGAGAAAGCCATGGTATAACTTTTAAGATGGTTGCTGTTTGATGTTGAGCGAGCGAGACGCTTACAAGAGGCCAGCAGCGAGGAAGAGACCACCAGCAAGGGCGCCCATAGCGACGGGAACCTGAGTGGCAGCAGCGGCGCCGGGGGAAGCAGTAGCAGAAGAAGCGGCGGCCGAGGCAGAAGAGCGGATGCTAGCAATGGCGCTGGACGCAGAAGCGCGGTCAGAGCCAGTGGCCGAGGCGGCCTCAGAGCTGACGCTGGCAATGGCGGAGGAGGCGCCGCCCTCGATGGAAGAGAGGGCGGAGGAGGCACCGCTAGCGATGGAGGAGACCTGGGAGCCGAGCGAGGACTCAATGGAGGAAAGGACGGAGGAGGCACCGCTGGCTCCAGGGAGAGCAGATGTGACCTCGCTGGCGATGGAAGAGGCAACCGAAGACAGGAGAGACTCAACCTGTGCGGAGGCAAGGCCGGCACCGGCGATCATGGCGATGGTGGAGAAACGCATGTTGATGGTGAAGGTTGTTGGGGTTGGTAAGTGATTGAGTGGGTTGAGTGATTGTGATTGTGTGGTAGATGCTGGATGATGTGGAAGAGTCGATGCAAGGCGAAGGGCACTTTCTTATATCAATGGCACAGCGTGGTCGTAGCTCCACATTTGGCGTCATAGTAGCCCAAAGCTTCAGCAACAAACAAACGGGACTCCCTTGCTGCACCGCATGGCACCGCCTCCTTTGGTTTCTGCTACGTAACTGCAAGGTCATTCACTGGCTAGCGCCGCCACAGCCTGCTTCGCCTCAGAAGCACTTTGCCGCTTGCGGTCATTGCGCACAGCACAAGCAGGCGTGATTGGGACGTTCCTTGCTTACCCGTCGCTATTTGTGGGGAACTGTATAAGAAAGCTTGATCCGGGGGATCAGCTCACTGACCACCACTGTCCTCTGGCCATGACGAGTCCGATGCTAACATCGCTTACGTTGCTTGGACAATGATGGCGAAAATGCGGCCACCGTGCACCGTTGGTCGACCATGGCGCAATGTTACGCGTCAAGCGTTAGAACACCTGCAAGTGACGGGGCAGCATTCCAGCCATAGGCGGAGCTCTCCCAAGCTGACTGTTGCCAAACTCCGGCCTCCAAGGCGTTCAGGTCTTGTTTCGGGAGCCGACGACAGCTCAGGCATTCACTGTGGTTCCTGCGTGAGTGCTAATTACAGCAGTACCAATTGCTAACATGAAACAATGCGTGGTTTTTGCACGCCGGGTGCAAAACCTGGGGCTGTCGATCAGCATCATTCAGGGATACCTAACTCAAGCCGCCGTCAAAGTAAGACGCAGAGGATGTCGCATCGCTTGCGGGTTGCTCAGAGTTTGAAACAGCTCCGGTGGCTCCTCTTGTAAATATGATGTCATTGCGGGCTTAAAGTCCTGAAAGGTCTCGGAACAATTCTTCACGCTGCAACCAAATGATGGACCGAATTCCGAGGCACCTCTCGGAGACAGACAAGGCGAAACATGGACGTCCAAAGCCGGGTGGCGATGGAAGTCGGCAGAGCAAGGCGAAGGTGGGAGATTGGTTGTTCTGGCGCACGAGCAGGGGACAGCTCCTTCCCCAGTGCCAAGGCAGCCATTGCCGTTCAGCCGCCTTACAAATTGGTCCAGCCTACGATCGACTGCACGTATGCCGCCGACGACTTCGGTCTGCCTTGATTCTTGACCCCCACACAGTTCTAGGCTGCCGGATTGTGATGTCACATCTCATTCAAAACGCAGCCGTCTCAAGAAGGCGTGCTCGCCAGGCAGCTTCATTGCCGCGTTGCAATATCAGCAGATGAACTAGGATCATGCCACCTTCCACCCGGTATTCTTCCCATGCCATCCTTGAGGCGGTATCAGCACCATGCCAATGTCTTTCACGTCATGGGTAATCTCAGCTCAGGATCGGAGACCGTAATGCACATCCAGAGAAGTGCAACAGCCGTCTAGCACGCCTCTAGCCTGGAGATCTCCGAATCAGCATTCAAGACCTTCCGCGTTGCTTTCGATTTGACGTCTCTGCGCATGTCTCATGCTTGTTCTACGATTTGCTATAGGAGCTGGGAATCTGTAACCTGTTCTCCATCGACTCTCGGGCTTCAGCTCCCCTCTGCGTCCCCTGCGCTGGACACAGTGTTACTGCCCCCGATGTGGCTGATTGATTAGTGTAGTTCAACCGCAGCATTTGCCACCGAACGCCAGCACGTCGTAGTCACCTTACGCAAGCCTGGTCACAGTTCAACAACTCGAGCTTTCCTGACCGCCGGCCTTGGTTCCATCTGGTCTGCTCAGTCGCGTGTTACCTGTCGACCTGTCAAAACGAGTATGTGTTGCGCAAGCATGACGAAGATCTAGCGTACTGTAAAAGTTGAATACTGCCTCGTAATTGGACCTGGTGGCTTCAACATCCAAGTTACGCACAGGAAGCATACGCTTGAAGGTCGGACTTCAGACACATAGACGAGATGTTCCATGAAATCACCAATGCGTAAATAATTTTGAGATGCTAATAGCACCAGACTGATTGTCGCTCTTCAACTTACTGCCCCTGCGCTACCGCCTACCTCAACCAAGTTGCCTCCGAGTGCAAGCCTGGACATCAGCGGAGCACAAACGGAAGGCATGTGGAGGGAAGGCAGTATTGATTTGGACTGCTCGTGTTGCTGTCAAGCTCGATCAAAACTCGATCGACGGCACCGTAGGAACGCGATTTGCTTTATCGCGCAATAGTCATGAAGTTTGTGGGAGAAGGATACTACAATTTTATGCAGGCTATCTGCCGCCTACGCGCAGCATATGGCGTCTTGGAGAATTGGAGCTGAAGTTGGAGTCGACCAAACACAAGGAAGGTCACCAACAGCAGTGAGCGTCGAAGGACTTCTGATCCCTCAAAGACACAACAAACAAACATCGAACTGGCGATATGCGACTACGTTCACGAGGAGATGGTACACAGTATGCAGAGTCGGCTACCTGCATGCGCGCCCCGAGGGTTCGACCGAGCGGGTGCGGAGCACACCTGGTTGGCTACGAGCATTAGTCAAATTGAAGCAAACATTCGACTTGCGCGACATCGTGTGCAGTGTACACAGCATGTTGCTTGAGTTGCCGGCCGTGTGCTGTAAGCTCAGGACGTTTGCGGAACGAGCACGAGGATCAACCGGAACGCATTGACGGACACACATGTGACACCTTGGCGGCCGGCATATCTCTAGATCTGATAACGATGGCAGCAAGGCAGTGACAGCACCTGTGGCGACCAGAATGGGCGCCCAGGTACACTATAGTCCGATCCATCAGCATGAAAATTCAATTGCGGTCCTTGAGATGTGATGTTGGTGATGTCTGGGAGAGTGCTAGCCGGAGCTGGCAAGACGTCGTGCTTGGCATTTGCGGAGCTTTCTTTCTTGCTCCCGGGCTTTGCGCCTGCAACCTCATCACCTTCGGCCTTCACCTCAGCCTCACCTCTTGCTACACTGCCCCCGTGTAGCTTCCAATCGAGTCGTAGGGACACGCACAATCGGTCACAATGCTGGCTGCTCGCTCTTTCGCCGCCCCCGCGCGCCAATGCCTGCGCCAGGCTCGCACGCCCGCATTCGCACAGGTGAGCTCGCCCGCTGCAGCCGGCGGCTTCGGCAGACTCGTCTGCGTCCGTCGCGAGAATGCGCCGCAGATTGACTGACGCTGCTGTAGACTGCGTTCCGCACATACTCGGCGGCGCCCTCTGAGGTTGCCAAGTTCAAGGGTGCCAAGGGCAACGACGGCAAGTACACGGTCTCGTTCATCGAGGGCGACGGTATCGGCCCCGAGATCGCGCAGTCGGTCAAGGACATCTACACGGCCGCGAAGGTGCCCATCAAGTGGGAGTCGTGCGACGTCACACCCCGCCTTACCCCAGAGGGCAAGACAGTTATCCCCACCGAGTCGATTGAGAGCATTGAGCGCAACTACGTCGCCCTCAAGGGTCCCCTCGCCACACCCATCGGCAAGGGTCACGTCTCGCTCAACCTCACGCTCCGCCGCACCTTCAACCTCTTCGCCAACGTCCGTCCCTGCAGGTCTATCGAGGGCTTCAAGACCCCCTACGACAACGTCGACACTGTCCTGATCCGTGAGAACACCGAGGGCGAGTACTCTGGAATCGAGCACGTCGTCGTCGATGGCGTCGTCCAGTCCATCAAGCTCATCACCCGCGAGGCGTCTGAGCGCGTCCTGCGTTACGCTTTCCAGCACGCCCGCGACATTGGCAGGAAGAAGGTGCGCGCGGTCCACAAGGCCACCATCATGAAGATGTCCGACGGTCTTTTCCTGAGCACCGCTCGCGAGCTCTCCAAGGAGTACCCCGACATTGAGTTTGACGCTGAGCTTCTTGACAACACCTGCTTGAAGATGGTCACCGACCCCCTTCCCTACAACGACAAGGTCCTCGTCATGCCCAACTTGTACGGAGACATTCTCTCCGACATGTGCGCCGGTCTGATCGGTGGTCTTGGTCTCACTCCTTCCGGAAACATTGGTGACGAGTGCTCCATCTTCGAGGCTGTCCACGGATCCGCCCCTGATATCGCCGGAAAGCAGCTCGCCAACCCCACTGCGCTCCTCCTCTCCTCCATCATGATGCTGCGACACATGGGCCTCAACGCCGAGGCTGCCAACATCGAGCAGGCCATCTTTAAGACCATCGCCGCTGGCAAGGTACGTTTGACACTGTCTTCTCACGCACACTGTGAATATTTGACTGACGGATTTGCAGTACATCACTGGCGATCTCGGCGGCAAGGCCAAGACTTACGAGTACACCGACGCTGTTATCAAGGCACTGAACTAGACTTGATGTGATTTATGAGCATTCCGGAATGACGGGACGGTAGCGATTGCATATTTGTGGATATGTACCAGTCATTGTACATTAAGGCTGCCATTTGATATTGCTAGACAGTTGATATCCGTATTCATTTCTGCGCCCACGGGCATGTAATCTGATGCCAACTGAGGACGATCTACACGTGACAGCGCCGCAACGCCGCTTGTAATCGGCCAACCTCGGTGCAAGACGCGTCGAGCTATGAACCTGGTGTCCCACGCGACCTTGGCTAAAACCAATCAATTCCGCTGCGCGAGGCACGATATGCCTCCCCAGTCTCCATTCTGGGTGGCTAGCAGAGCTTATGCCACAATCAAGGCGAAGGCGAAGCATGCTCCTGTTCCGCGCACACGACAAGCCGCACCACGCTCATCTGCACAAGCTTCGGCAGCACCTCAATCTTCCCAAACACTTCACTGGACACAGTCTCCCACCCTCCGCCGCACCGCTCGAGTCCTAGCATGGAGCACCAACGTTATTGCCGGTCTCTGCGCCATTACCTTCTTCCGCGATAATGTGCTCCGTATCGACGTAATCCGGGGCTCGTCCATGTCTCCAACGCTCTCTCCGACGGTCCACGAGACCGGTGTCGAAGACTGGGTCGTCATTGCGCCCGTTCGCGAACGGCCGCCCAAGATACAGTACAAAAACGGTGTCGCGTTTGTCGAGGACCGGGAGCAGAAAGAGGGCGAGGGCGTGCGCAGGGGCGACATTGTTACCTTCTGGAAACCGCATAAGCCTGAGGAGATTAGTATCAAGAGGGTTGTTGCGCTGCCGGGCGACGTCGTGTATCCCAGGCGTGGGTTCGCGACTGACCCTGAGGTCGTCAGGACGGAGCGTGCGCTTGCGCTTGATGGACTGCCGGAGGCGGACCAGGATGCGGTTGGTGGGCAGGTGGACGAACTTGAGGTCGGCAAAGTTGTGGTGCCGTATGGGCATGTCTGGGTAGAGGGGGATAATTGGCGGAACAGCTTCGATAGTAGGGACTTTGGGCCGCTTGCTAAGGGGATGATTGAGGGGCGGGCAGTGAAGATCTGGAGAGGCTGGTTTGACTGGAGGGACGTTGGGGATGAGCGGGAGAAGAAGGGGAGGAGTAGGGTTGTCCAGGGCAAGGCGGAGGTGCCGAGGGTATACTTGGAGTGAGAGGTGATACGGTTACATGCAACTGTGCTGTCAACAACGAGTGAACACGCGATTGAAGAGGCCGGATTGGTACGTGTATATTCGTTGATACCTCTCGTAACACTAACATGAGCCTAGGAGCTGCCGAACAATGCCTCAATCTCCTTACACACAGCTTCAGTAACACCCTTCGTATTCTCGCTGCCACCGAGGTCCTTAGTCTTGACGCCCCTCGCTGTCACATTCTCGACTGCCTTCATAAGTGAATCGGCTCCCTTCTCTTCGCCAACCCACCGGACCATCTCGGCTGCGCTCCAAAACGCTCCGACCGGGTTCGCGATACCCTTACCAGCTATGTCTGGCGCAGACCCGTGGATGGGCTCAAACATGGAGGGGTTGGCTCGTGTTGGGTCGAGGTTGCTGGACGGTGCAATACCAATACTTCCAGACAAAGCCGCAGCGAGATCGGTTAGAATGTCAGCATGCAGGTTGGTTGCCACAACAGTATCCATTGATTTGGGGTGTAGGACCATCCGGACGGTGATGGCATCGACCAGCATCTTCTCGGTCGTGACATCTGGGTATTCCTTCGCGATTTCGTAGAAGATTCGATCCCAGAACACCATGCCGTGTCTCATCGCATTCGACTTGGTGCAGAGTATGAGATGCTTCCTCGGTCGAGAGCGTGCAGTCTCGAACGCAAAGCGCATGATGCGTTCGGTTCCGACACGAGTGTAGACGGTGATTTCTGTTGCCATTGCGTGCGGTGCCCTCTCGTTGCTGATGCCGCCCTGACCAGAGTACTCTCCCTCGCTATTCTCGCGGATGAACATCCAGTCCAGATCACCAACTTTGCATCCATCCAAGGGGCTCTTGGTTCCCTCAAGAATACGATTTGGTCGCCTGTTGACATATTGATTAAGCTCCTTGCGAATGGGCAGGATCAAGTTCCAAAGGGAGATGTGGTCTGGGACGTCTGGCCAACCAACGGCGCCGAAGTAGATGGCATCGAACTTCTTCAGCTGCTCGATACCATCAGGGGGCATGTACCAGCCGCGCTCTAAATATTTCTTGCTTGACCAATCGAATGTGGTGAAATCGAATTGGAACCCTCCAAATTCTGATAGCTTGGTGAGGACCTGGATCGCTGCTTCTGTGACATCCACACCAATTCCATCGCCTGGAATGCAGGCGATTTGGTAGACTTTGCCGATTTCATGAACGTGAGAAGGCATGTTGATATGTGGTGAATTGATGATAGCTCAGAAGCTCTTTTTATACGTCCATATAGGCTACCATTCTCCTCCGGACTTTCATAGACCGAACGATTCAATCATGATCCGGGGCTATTCGCAAGTTCCGAGATCGCTCGCTATGCCTCATACGTAATGGCGTATGCATCCCAGAAGCTAGACCCTGGCTGCCCCGCTATCGCGCCTCCTGCCGAAACTGTAGCCCCACGTTCACGCCAGAAGCCACGAAGCTCACCGCTAGACTAGAGAGACCCCCTTCGTGCTGTTGGAGCTCCGTTCCTTAACATCTCTCTCAACTTCCTCTCATCTCGTCTTAAAACTTACACTCTAAACCCGCACACAACTTCATCATCCCTCCAAACCACATCCAGAAATCATGGCAACCTTCTTCGACGGCGTTCAGAAGAGCTGGGAGGATGTCCCCGTCGATGCTTCCAATGCTATCTCCACCACCGAGTTCCTTGAGGCTGCCGAGAGCCTGACCACATTGTTCGGTAGGTCATGCTTTCGAGCTCACAACGGGTTCTCTTGCTAAAGCTTGCAGATCTTCTGGGTTCGGCGGCCTTCAAGCCTGTCAAGAACGACATGACGGGCAACATCAAGGTATGGTTCGATGTACCTCGCAAACTATGAGAGTACAGCTAATCCATCCAAGAAAATCCGTGACCGCCAGCTCGCTGCCCCCACACTCTCCGAGACACTCCAGGCGCTCGCTCTTAACGAGTTGAAGGAGAAGAAGCACGTTGCCACTGAGGGTCTTGTATGGCTCAATCGGTACGTATTCCTGGTCAACAGCCTTTCTATCTACTAACATGGCTCTCTCCAGTGGCCTTGACTTCACCGCCCAAGCTCTCCGACACAACATCACCAACCCCAACAAGGAGCTCGCCGACTCTTTCCGCGATGCCTACGGCAACACCCTCAAGCCCCACCACTCTTTCGTCGTCAAGCCGCTGTTCAGCGCCGCTATGAGCGCCACGCCATACAGGAAGGACTTCTACGTCAAGCTGGGCGCGGACGAGGCTAAGGTCCAGCAGCAGCTCGAGAAGTACCTCTCGTCGCTGGAGAAGATTGTTGCTACATTGAACACATTCTTGGCCACGAAGGAGGCCAAGTGGTAGATACGACGTTATGACATGAATGAAAGGAGACATAGCACTGAATGCCCCAATATACAAAAGCTTCCGTGGTACCCAATGATGGAACCCTGCTCCTCGAGATAGAGACTCTTTTGTCATCATTTGGCTACTCTGTGCTACTTCATTGTCATTCGAGCATACCGAAGCTCTGAGAACCCGTGCATGAAGTGTTTCTTCGATCCAGCTGGGCAAATGGTTCCTAACAGCTGTGAAGGGATTTGTGACGGCCCATTTCTACGCCTTCTTTCTCTGGAACACGAACAGCGCCTCATCCTTCCCCGCAAAACTCGGTAGCGGCATCCTCAACGTCAGCTCAAAGGCTTTGAGGTTCTTCTCCACCCACTGATCAACACCTTGATCCTGGAATGCCGTGAACCCATTCTCGTTCTGGGTGCCCGCAACCACAACTGTGTCACCCTCGAACATCCTCAAAATCGGCCCTGTGAAATCACCTGTCGCTTGCGGATAAACCAGCAGCAGAATAGACCCCGTACCATTACCATTCCTGCGCAAATACTCTTTACCATCCATCTTAATCGTATCCTTAACCCAATTGACGCGATACTCACTCAATCCGCTGTCAATCGGCCGCACATCCAGAGCCTTCAATTCGGACGTAGGAAGCGGGAAGTTCCGCAGCATGAACGTCCAGTACCCGTTCCCGCTGCCTACGTCCAATATCGGGATCACATCCTCTTTGCTCGGCTTCGCAGGCTGCGCGAGCTTCGCCAAGACGTGCAACGCCGCGTACGATGGCACAATGCAGCCGAAGTGGTGGTAGAAAATGGGCAAAATGTGGTGCGAGATCTTCGTGGAGCTGGTGCTCGGGACCGGTCCGCTCCACTCGAGTTCCTGGCACGAATATGTCCAGAGGCTGAGGTATGGATTCACGTGTTTGCGGTCCTTTTTCGCGGGGAGAAGCCCGGCTGTGGTGTTGTGGAATCGCGAGGAGAGGTGCTCGGCGACTTGCTTGCGGATTGTGTTGGGTTTCGACTGGGATCTAAAGCCGTTGATGGCTTTGGGTAGGTTGAGAGACGGGTCGAAGAGCGATGTGTATGCTGTTACTTCCTCTTGCGATGGATATTGGGGTTCAATTGGAGTGCCTGAGTCATCATGGTACCAGTCGTGCATGCCATGAGCTCGCTTTCCCAATATGGCCCGTTCAGTGATGTGCAGCGTGGTTTCGCCTTGCGCGCGGTAGATGTATTGGTCCGTTGGTGGAATGTCGAATGATTCGCCGATACATCGGGCCAAGGGCTTACCACTTTGGATAGGATTAAACTCTTCGTCGGTCCATTTCTCCAAGAAGACGTCCGGATTGAAGTTTTTGAGAGCCATGATCTAGTGTCAATGTGGTGACTGCATCCAATTTTTCCAGGTGCCCCGCGAATAACGATGTGGTTCCGCTACAAGCTTCCAAATCACTATGGTCCAATTCTTGCACTAGGTCTTGCAGCTTGCCGAATCAAGCAATTCTTAATTGATAGGCGATTTCGTGGCTTCGGCATGATGGTGTTTTCGAGAAGTCCATCTTCAGACGGCAGCCGAGTCTGATAGCAGCAGCCAATGACAGAGAGCTGACAATCGGAACCTGCGATTTTTCGTCATCGATCAGTAAGCCTTGCAGGACGCTAAGGGATCCCCACCTCGCCAAAGCTCTTAGCAACTCCTTACTCACCATTGCAAATGCAGGCTGAAAGGAACAAGCCTAGCTGTAGAACCTTCTTGATATCCTCACTAACATCTCCCTTAGCTAACTCAGATCCGTATAAAGATCGCTCGTACCGCCGAGCTGACAGGAACCCCTCTTTCTGATGTCAGACACTACAGTACAAGAGCAGCCTTCAACATCATCAACATCTACACCAAACACATTTATATCTATTAAGACCTTGACTGCGCTTGTCGCATTAACAGCAATAGCCCTGGCGTTCTCCAGTTCCCTCCGCAGCACCCTTTCCTCAGTCCTCACCAAACCCACTACTCGCGCCATGTCTACCGTCGCCCCAGCAAGCATGAAGATCACAAAGCGCCCATGGTCGCACCGCGGCCACGCTGACCACGACTGGTTGTACTCATACCACACGTTCTCTTTCGCCTCGTACTACGACCCACGCCACGAGTCCTTCGGTCCGCTGCGCGTCATCAACGAAGACCGTGTCAAGCCCGGCACAGGTTTCGGCACGCATTCGCACGCCGAGTTCCTGATCTTCAGCTACATTGTCAATGGCACACTCGAACACAAGGACAGCATGGGCAACCTGGAGAACCTGAAGCGCGGGGAGGTGCAGTTCACCAGCGCAGGAACCGGCATCAGGCATTCCGAATACAATCGCAACAAGGACGACGAAGTGCACTTCTTGCAGATCTGGGCCAAGCCAAACAAGCGCGGCCTGAAGCCGCATTATGAGACGAAGAAATTCACCGATGAGCAGAAGACCGATAAGCTGTGCAGGATTATGGAATCAACCGATCGCCTAGGTGATAGGAAGGATGCGATCGGGCTCCAGGCAGATTTGAGCATGGACGCGAGTATCCTGTCGCCGGGAAAGAAGGTCACGCACGAGGTTGTTGCTGAGGGGGCGAGGAAACTGTTCGCGCAGGTCATCATGGGCAAGAGGGCACAGCCAAAGACGGGCGGCGCGCAGATCAAGATCGGCGACGTTGTACTCGGAGAAGGCGATGGAGCTTACATCGATGGCGTCAAGGGACCGTCGAGCATCGAGATTGAGAGCGTGGGCGAGAAGCCGGCTGAGTTCTTGCTGTTTGACATGGGCCCTGAAGAGCAATAAGTGTGGCCGTGTGAGACATAAGTATTTATTTTGAGCGTCTTCAGTTATTGTAACAAACGATAGAGTATCACACCTAACTTCATTTTGAACGATCGCGTTGTGAACACGCACTCTGAAACCCATTGTTTGTGACATACCTACGCAAATCGCTCAGGACGCAGGTAGACGCCATCTGGCTGCTGCATCATCTCGTGCATCTTCGCCGCAGCAATCTCCACGTCCAGATTTCGCTGCTTAACCTCCTTCTTCTTTCGCGTCGTACGAAGCCATTGCAGCATATCAGGGCTAAAGACAACGGGAGGCATTAGCACGGCCATCAGAATACCAATGACCAGAAATGCAATGTATACACGCCACGCGGCTGTATTGTGATACGTCGTAACACTGGAATCAGCTTGAGTAGAGTTTTGATCGACAGAAAGGATGAACGTGCTGTTGTGTAGCATGTCTCGTACAACGAGTGGTGGCAGAGTTGGACGGAGACCAGCTTGAGCGAACATACTGAGGGCGAGTGTGTTGTTTTGTTTGAGTGGGTTGTGACTGAATTTGGCTGTGGGGTGGGGGGAAACTTGGGCTGATATTTGGAGAGAATATCATTGTTCAGATTTGTATCGATAAGTTGCACGATGGCCTATCAGTGGCGTTGAGCATGCATTGTGAGCCACTGATGCTAGACACTATACCAGAGTGCACAACGCTCATACTAATATGATAGCTCTCGTACCGTATGGAGGAAAGCTCACCTCAGGCCTTCAGTCCGGCTAGTACGAACATAGACATACAGATCGTGGCGCCAAATGCCCATACCTTGAAACGGAGCGGCGCTTGTCCCGGAGCAAGCTTTTCCGTTCCCGAGTACCAGATATAAACGTATATGTATACCAGACGGCTGCCTAGCCAAAGTATCGAAAGTGCATTCATGATAGCCGTAGAAACACCTGCAGCATTGCCTGCGGCTACTGCGGCAGCATAGAATGGGAGTGCCTCAAAACCATTTAACGAGCATGCTTCGGCTCGCAGCAATCGACCCCGAACCTGATGTTGCGTCAGTTCCTATTGTTATTCACAGTATTTGACACTTTGTGTACTTCATCGTCTAGGTTGGCACGCTTCAGGGTGTCAGAGAAGTCTCTAGGGTTGTTCCTATCAAGGTACTTCGCTCCTGGTCCTGCAAGTCCCGAGAAGAACTTTGGAAGAAGGGCGAGTACCAGGGCCGGTGGTATCTGCACCGACGTGTAACATCAGTATTGGATCTCGAAATTGCATGGTTGCAGCTTACAGTAAAATGCGAGATGTTCTTGTCGAAACCAAGGAAGTTCGCCATATTGCGGTTTTATATTATTCGATCGAGGACAATTGAGTATCTGTGCTTTGCAACCTGTGGGTGGCGTTATTGTGTACATATATATTCCGCGCTGCCAACCTGAATTGAGTGAGATCAGAACCACCGCGAGTAATCGTCCGTAGGATTGCTTGGATTCGGCCTCGGGCTTGACCTTGTAGCTGGGCTTTGTAAGAAAGCTGACATCTGAAATCCTGATGATCCTTTGAAAGTAACAGCTCAAAGTACGAGTTTGGTTGGTAATCACAAATATGTAGGAGACCAGAAACGCAACCTTTGATTGGACGAACATCAAACTTCTGTGACTGGAGGAAAAAGGAACCAGGAAAGATATCACACGAAAAACACTACACAAGGGACTTTTACAAGCGTAGAAGAACGTTACTGCAACATACAAATCACTCTACTGTTTCGCTGTGCGCGCGTGAGCACAGTGCGCAACGCCCAGCTGTGGGACACGAAAGGTCTTAGTGCCAGGCTATTCTACACTTTCTGAGATGTCTTTATTACCGTTGTGACTGTACGAACGCAACTGAGGTCTGGCAGAAAGACCGTCGAACGACCGCGAGCGCGGAGCAGATTTCCAAGGATGAGGAAGGAGCCGCGGGGATGGTGCCTGCGTGAACAGCCAAGAGACGCTAGGGTGGCTAGACGAGTCGAGCACTCTCAGTACGCAGCGTCCTCGCTCCTGCCATCGTTCACCACATCACCCAGTTCCTGCCGACCGCTTTGACGATCGAATTCAAACACTTGCAGACATACTCATGGATCAGAAGCAGGCAGCATGATTTTTTAAGGCCCCGACTTCGGCTTAAGCCGGGTTCTCGGTCGCTCCATTGGTCAAACATTCGTATTGTGGCGCGAATCTAGATCAAGATCAGATAAGATCAAGCGAGATCCATTGGCAGAGTGGAGTATCACGGCTCAAGGGAGCAAATCTCTGCTGGGCCAACTTGTAGTTCGTCTTTTATGGCTTTGCGATGTCTGGCGACCGGAGCCGACCCCGTTCTCTTTGGTCAGGATGTACCGCGGCCACGCCATCGGAAGGATCTGATAAGATGAGTGGATCAAAGCTAAGCAATGGAAGGCTAGTAGACATGAGGCCTCCTGCAGCCGTCACCACAATTTAAGCTCTAGCCCAGGCTGGGAGGCCAACCAAGCATTTAGCTGAAAATATTGGCTCGAGGTCGAACGACCTTGTCCCGTGGGTGGACCATGAGACTCGAATATATAGTGCCTCGGCTGCAGGCACGAGTTGGCCCTCCTCCTAAGTTTCCTTCACAGATTGTGACAGATCCTCCTAGACATGGCAGCTACAACGGATCCTATTGATGCGGCCCAGAACAATGTCGATATCAGCCATGAGCCGAAGAGGGAGATGAGCACCTTCGATGTTGACGAGGACGAGGCCATCCGTAAGGTCGAGGCTGCTACAACTGTCGATTTGAATGCGCAGCAAGGTATCAAGAACGTCGAAGCTGTCACTTTGACATGGACCAAGACCTCGCTCGCATGTGCATTTGCATGGTAAGTTCCACCCAGCCTGAATCAGAGCGTGTCACTGACAGTAATGGTGAAGCATGTGGATGTTATACCTCACCAATGCTTTTCAGTCGTCCATCACCAGTAACCTCACACCATACGTTACCAGCGAGTTCGAAGAGCACTCACTCCTGACTGTCATCAACATCGTCTCGAACTCCATGGCCGCTGCTGTGTACATCCCAACCGCCAAATTGCTCGATCTCTGGGGCCGCGCTGAGGGTTTCTGTGTCATGGTTGGCTTTGCTACCCTGGGACTTGTCCTTATGGCCGTCTGCAAGAGCCTCTACACCTATTGCGCCGCCCAAGTCTTCTACACCATCGGCTTTGGTGGCATGATCTACTGTGTGGATGTCATCACTGCGGACGCGTCGAGTCTGAAGCATCGAGGATTGGCTTTCGCTTTTACGTCCTCCCCGTATATCATCACCGCTTTTGCTGGTCCCAAGTCGGCCGAGGGATTTTATAATAACGTCAAAAACTGGCGTTGGGGCTTCGGTGCTTTCGCCATCATCGTGCCGGTCGTAGCGTCACCGCTCTTCCTCATCTTGAAGATGAATCTGAGGAAGGCTAGACGTGAGGGTGTGCTGCAGCGCGAGAAGAGCGGACGCACTATCTTCCAGAGTATCATCTTCTATATTCGGGAGTTCGATGGTAAGTACAATCACCAACGCATACGAATCACATCTAATTCAGCTTAGCGCCCGGGGCGTTCCTTCTTGCTTGCGGTCTCGTCATCTTCCTCCTCCCCTTTACGCTTGCCGACTCTGCCCCGAACGGATGGAGCACCGGGTATATTATTGCCATGCTGGTGGTTGGATTTGTTCTCCTAGTCCTATTTGGACTACACGAACGCTTCACGGCTCAGGTTCCCTTCCTCCCTTTCAACCTTCTGCTGAACCGCTCCGTGGTTGGTGCCTGTCTGCTATCGTTCACTTACCAGATCTCTTACTACGCCTGGAACAGCTACTTCACGTCCTTCCTGCAAGTCGTCAGTAATCTCACTATTGCCGAGGCTGGATACGTTTCATCGACGTTCGATGTCCTTTCCGGATTTCTGTTGCTGATCTGCGGTTTCATCATCAGCAAGACAGGTCGCTTTAGGTGGCTATTGTTCATCGCCATTCCTTTCTACCTCCTCGGTCAGGGATTGATGATCCACTTCCGCCAACCAGACACCAGCGTTGGCTACCTGGTTATGTGCCAAATCTTCATCGCTATCGGTGGTAGTATCATCATCCTCTGCGAGCAGCTTGCCGTCATGGCTGCTGCTGACCACCAGCACGTAGCGTCTGTACTTGCTCTGCTCAACATCTTCGGGTGGCTCGGCGGTGCTGTCGGCAACACAATTTCAGGTGCGATTTGGACCAACTCATTTCCCCAGGCTTTGGCAAAACTCTTGCCTGAGGAAGATCTAGAGAACATTGACTCGATCTACGGGGATCTTACTGTGCAGCTTAGCTTTGAGAGGGGAACTCCTACTCGTCTTGCGATTGAGCAGGCATACGGCATTGCTCAGAGGAGGATGCTTATTGCCGGCACTTGTATCATGTGTCTCACGCTCATCTGGATTACGCTCATTAAGAACTACAACGTAGCCAAGATGCAGCAAACAAAGGGTCGGGTGTTCTAGACAGAGATGAGCCGTCCTGCACTACACTAGTTAGATATTGAGGAGATCTTCGTTGGTCCCTATTCTGTTGTAGACAGCACTGATAACAAGTGGTCCTTCATTTGGCAAATGCACAAGTGTTCAATTTCTCGTGTGATTAGAAAACATTCACCGTGTAATCCAAAATCTTAATGCTAGCTGGAAGTTCCCAGTAAATTGATTAACATCTTATTAAATGGCACGCTCTAACATTGATAGCACTCTAGTAGTCCCACTTGGGCAACTTCATGGTGCCGTGCTCGTTCAAGTGCTTGTGCATATCATACGCATTCCACAACAGATGCGGTTGGTGACCCCATCCCTTCCTCAGACACTCAAACTCAGCCTTGTCGAAGTAGTCCTGGAGAATTGGCTGGTAGTCAGGGTGCGCGCACTTGTTAATGATGACCCTAGCGCGCTCACGGGGAGACATGCCACGGACATCGGCGAGGCCCTGCTCGGTGACGACGACGTCGAGGTCATGCTCGGTCTGGTCGACGTGGGTAACCTTAGGCACGATGCAAGACACGCCGGTGGGGTCGGTCTTCGATGGGCGAGTGGAAGGAGTGTGCATGATGGAGTATTTCGCGGAGCGCAGGAAGTCGGCGGAGCCACCGAGACCGTTCAGGATGCGAGAGCCCATGACGCATGTGGAGTTGGCGTGGGCGTAAATGTCGACTTCGACGGGGGTATTCATGCTAGTGGCAGGTTAGCAGACGCTCAAGCATGTTCGTATTTGCACAAACTTACCCAATCACACCGAGACGACGGATGATCTCAGGAGAGTTCGAGACCTGCTGCGAGCGAAGCAGGAGCTTAGGTACGTAGTTCTCCCAGCCCTTGTAGAAACGTTCGAATCCTTCAGGCGAGAAACGGATCGAAGTAGCCGTAGCAAAGTCAAGGTTGCCGGAGTCGAACAAGTCGAGGAAAGAGTCCTGCAAGACCTCGGTCCAGACCTTCAAGTTCTTGAAGTTGGCGCCTCCTGTAGCAAGGCCCTCAATGACTGCGTTGGCAATATTGCCAATACCGGACTGGAGGGGGAGAAGGTTCTTAGGAAGTCGTCCTTTGCTGACCTCGTGCTCCAAGAATTCGATCAAATTACCAGCAATGGCTTTGGAAGTTTCGTCCGCGGGTGTGTTGGGCTGGGTCTGATCGGCGTAGTCACTCTCAACGATGGCAACGACCCTCTCAGGGTCGACCGGAACGTAAGGGGTACCGATGCGATCCTCGGGGGACATGACGAGGTATGGCTTTCGGTTAGGCGGCAAATCTGTCATTGTGATGTCGTGAAGCCCCTCGTAGTTGGGGCTAGCTGTGTTGACTTCAATGATAATCTTGTCGGCCATCTGCACAAGCTCTGGTGTTGCGCCCACTGAGGCACCGGGAATGATGCCACCATCTTCTGTGATCGCGGATGCCTCTACGATAGTAACATCCAAACGGTTTTGTGGCTTGTCGAGGGTGTAGAATCCGTACATCAAGTCCACGGGGAACATACTCAAATGCTTATCCCAGAACTTGATCTGGCCATTGTTAATACCCTTGGCGATATCTTTGCCGACTTGGTGTGGCGATCGGCGGTTGATCATGTTGTTTCTCGCCCATCGATTCTCGGTCTCGGCGCCAGACGACGCACCAACAAACAGGTTGTACTTGAGCTTGCCCTGAAGGTTATTCTTCTCAACATGCTCTGCGAGCGCAATAGGAATCTTCCTAAACAATGGTTAGCCTTTATTTGAGCGCCTCGTGCTATGTGTGTGATTGCCACGTCAAAGCACTTCTCGATGCAAGAAGGTGGGCCGGAGATGTCTCGGCAATTCTGCTTGCGTTCAAACTTCCGTTCACCCTCGGCATACACCCAAGATGTTCCACGTCACATCTCCACAGAAAAAGCACCAGACAATCCGTCTCTTCCAATTGAAAGCTCCGATGCCTCCAGAGAGACTTGCCGAGAAGAAGCACAGGACCACTCACTTTGGGTAACCGACGCCTGTGAAACCGGACCAGCCAATATACGCATCGTTGGGGAAGTGGTGAATCAGATCTTCAGCCTTCGCAATTTTCTTGAGATAGCTCGGTCTTCTGACCCTTGCCTTGAGCGCTGCTGAGACAGACATAGTTGCTACTCTCTTCCTTTGTTGGTGAAAAGCTTATCGATTGAGTTGAGATCGGAGGTCGGTGGTGGTCGGTGCTCAAGCTCCCCCGAGAATTTGTGTGAGCACGTCAAACACGTAAAATAAATGCAAGGCTCTGGGGAAAGGTTGGGCGAGCGAAGCGGTCAATTGGGGAGGTAAGGTGGGACTCCGGAGTATTTAAACTCTTTGACAGCATGACTAAGGGGTATACGCGAAGTTAGAGCTTCTGTGGGCTGATACGCTTGGGGGGACCCATGGGGCAGGGATGACCTCATTCTCGCATTATTCCACTGCAGGCGTTCCGCTCGACCCCGGCTATGAGGGTATGCAGGAACACCGAATAAGAAGTGGGGCTGATCTGGAGCCCTAATTGGTTTCTTTACGTTAAAATCAAGTTGAGGCTCTTGAAAGTCTGGGCACTCCCGTCTTAGCAAGGGCGAGCAGGTGCCCAACTCTTGAGGCAGAAGCTCTTTGAATCGTTGACAGAAGACCAACGACACGGTGGTACTTGCGATGCGTGCACTGACCGCAGAGATATTCTTGGCGGTACTCTGGGGCATAGTTACACAGTAAGGCCGTGTTGTTGAGGGTCTGCAACTTGTCGCTCAGGCGCAAGATCGGCGTTCTTTCGGCGATGCGAATGTCGCCGAAGCTCAGGTCACCACGCAACTGTGGCACGAACATGATAAGGTGTGCTTTCATTATATCGTTAGGTATCGGTACTTCTACACATGCTCGCTTAATTCACAATCGGGCCTGTCCGCCTTTGGAACCTAGAAATAACAACAACATGAGGCCTAGGCCAGTAGATCACCAACGACGACAATCGCAAAGGAAGGCTTGTTGAATCTTCCTAATATGTTGGGATAATGACATGTCTTGTCTTCAATGCAAAAAGCAACTGGGTATCGCCGTGACACAACGCCATCAATGCAATGCGCTTGCCGAGCCTGAGAAAAGGTGTTAAAAGGTCCTAGTGGGGGCAGGAATGAGGGGTGCCAATGATTACCGCGCGGGCTGCGGGGCGTACGGTCCGGCCGAGTAGTGACCTGAGGTGGCCATTGGTGGTTGGTAAACCATTCGCCGATCTTGAGGTGGATATGCTTCAAACATGACCCGTCGTTGAGGTGCTCCTTCTCGCAGCGAGCTGTGTCCGGCCTGGCTGGTGTGTGGAAAGTGCTGCGAGTTCTTGGGACTGCTCATGAACAGTAAAGTGTCCACAGCATCCTTCTCGGCTTGTTGACTCGGCATACGGAGGATACCTGCTCGAGGTGTTGTAGGCACCCTGTGGCCAGCACCAACATCGCTATGATGTTTTCTTTGCGCTGATCCTATCAATGATGGCGGCGGATGTGTAGTGCTCGATCGACGTCTTCTTGTATGTTCAAACTCAGGCGCTGGAGCGAGCCCGATCGCTACATTTCCGCCCGTAATCGAGATGAGACTGGCGGCGGCGTTCATTGCTGGCTTGTTGGTCGATCGCCAGTATACTGAGCGTTGTCAACAATACGATATCCCAACGACAACGTAGGACTGACCTGAATCAAGAGCGTGTGGCCGTACTGAGTCAGAAGCTGGAGACATCATCGTGTAGTCTGAATTGTCAGAGAACGCGCTGGGTCTTCGTCGATAGTCTGTGGTAGATGGCGAGTCGAATGCAACGCGAGAGCCGCCAGGTGCAGAGTTGGGTGATCCACGTTGAGATTGAACCTCTTCAAGTTCTTCGAGCGACTGTTTCTCCCAGCCATTCTGTACCTTGACCATTGCATATGAAAGCCGAGTCTTGAGCTGGGCCGATAGCTACACATGTGTTAGCTGCATACAGGTGATTATGTACAGGGGAATTACCTCTCCAATCCGAGTGCTCGAATGTACATCCATACTCTTATTTCGCTTGTGTGCGAAGACCCTTTCCTTTGAGCTTATGTTCAGTTCATGATCCTTTACTGAGCCGTCTGCGCTTCGCTTAGAACCTTGGGTTGTAGGGGACACTCGCGATACAGGCGCCGCTGCTGTGTGACCGGTTCGCAGCGCGTTCGCAGCGGCTGCGTGCATCTGGGTGACATCTCCACTAATCGCGTAACTGTAAGCGCGACTTGGTGAAGTTGGTATTGGCTTCTGTGTAGACTTGCTCTGACCTGCTAGGCCGCTCGGCCCAGACAGCGATGCTACGTCGTGATCCGAGGATATATTACTGGAGGTTGAGCCTAAAGTGGGTGCAGAGAAAATGCTGGAGATGGTAGATTCTACGCTCTCTTGTGATTCTGGCACGTCCAGTCTATGAGGTGCAGCAATGTCTATGGGGTGGGTAGTGTCGGTCTCTGTGATGCATGTCGTAAGTGGACGCCATCGCGATCGTGCTAGAGACGCGACTTACGCATCATGGCAGCGGGGTAAGGGCCCAATGTGTATAACGCAAGATGGACCAGACCCGGATCCAAGAAACAAGACAAAAACAATGGGATAGCTGGACAACGTATGCAGACAAGGACCAGATACCCTGATGGTGGGGTGGTGGATTGGGAGTGTTGGTCCGCGGGCGTGTCCTCGGAGGCTTGGGCGCGTGCTGATGAGTTAAGACAGCCGTTCGCGTCACCCTAGAGAGGACTGGACTTCAAACAACCGGACAGAGTGGCAGAACAGAAGACACAAGGACGCGAAGAGCAGTCAGAGGAGATCCAGCAGCGCGTCGCGTATAGGTGAAGAGTGAAGAGTGGCTCTCAACCTCGAGTATGCCTAGGATGCCGCGCGATCACGAGTGCCCCAGAACGCGCGTGCTTAGCGGTGGCGGGCTCCCGACGCGCGAGCAAGTGATTTGACCAGATGCCTGGCTAAGCTCATGCATGCAGCCGCCGCGGCGGTTCGTGAAAGTTTTGCAGCATATGCACTGGGCCGCTCCTGGGATTGTTGAACAGCGAAGCGGTAAGCAGATAGAGCTGTTCGCTTGGTGACGCTCTATGGTTTGTTGATGTTCGTGCGTGATTAACAGACGCCATTGATTGATGATGCTCCACTCGCGCGTTTCCGATGTGTTCAGACGGCAACCACCGCTTCGAGCGCACAAACACAGCAGCCTACACGAACATGTGGTCTCGTGGGGGCTTGGGTTGGCACCAAACAATTGTGTTGCCTGCTTAGGCTGACTGGATCTGACAGAGATTTATTGAATCTGCGTTGGTGTGTATCACGAAACAAAGTCACGTTGTCGTGCCACGAACCAGGCCGTACTGTGGTGAAGTGCCGAGGGTTGTACTCAAGCTATCTGGGCATTCAAGCCTCGCCTAAAGCGCTATATAAATCCGGATACCATATACAATGTCTTTGGCTTCCAACCGGTCCGTATCATTCAATAAAAACGAAATGTGCAGTTAGTTAATCATACAGGAGGGGTTCCATAACGCCAATCGCAAACAAAGACACTTTATACGCGCTTAGAAAGCGTAGCCGACACCGCTGGCCTTGCGGTGTGTTAGTCCGCCGTCTTTCCATGCCCCTCCGCGACCCTCCTCTGCTATTTTTCCGCTAACATCGCGTTTGCGACCCGGCACACCTAGATCTGAATCGTCAAATTCATATGGGTTGACATAGTCAATGCCGGATCTGCTAACGACACGTGGTGAAATTGCCTTCACGGGTGTGTGATTGAACTCGCCAGTCTTGCGAACACTTGTGTACGACTTCTTGTCCAAGCTGAAGGGTGCGTTTTGCGCCAAGCTGTTCTTGACGGGGGAAGAGTTGACTGTGTACTGTGCAGTCGCGCTGGGAAGCTGGTTGGGCTGGATTTTGGAAGGACCTTTTGTGGGCGACGTTGCAGGAGAGTTCGAAGCTGAGTCGCCACTCCTGATACCAGCTGTTGCAGCCTTAAGGTCACCATAATAACGCGATTTTGGTGTACTGCCACGTGACTGGGAACGGTTGAACGTGGCTTCCGTCGATATCGACATGGTTGTCTGTGTACGCTTGAGATTCGATGGAGGCAGTGTGCTGTTGTTGCCATTGTGGTTGGGAATCGGGGGAGGCGTGGGTTGAGGAGTCGGTGGATTCATGCGCAATGGCTGAGGCACCATCGTTGGGCTGGTCTCATCGACATCTGAGACGTCATGCGAAGAAACATTTGTGTAGCCTTTCTTTTGAGCAAACTTGGACTGCTTGGGTACCAGGTAACGGGTATCGTTGCCCTGCTCTCCATCTTCGTCAGCATGAATGAACCAGTTGTCATTTCGCAATTCTTCACGGCTGCTCTTCTCGAGGGCGAGATCACCAGTAGAGGCGAGCTGGTTACTGCGGGCAGTAGTAGGGGGCGTGTAGAACTCTTGCTTGGACGATGATGTAACGTAGGAATTGTTCCTTTCGTTCTGCTGCATGTTCGCTTGTTGAGCAAGGAACGATTTACGTTGAGCCAACGTCTCGTTGTCGACATTATCATCTCGGCGGTAAAGATCATCACGGTGTGCTAAGCTCGTACGAGACTGGCGAGCCGTCTGGGGTTGTGAGTACATGGAGAACCGCTCCTTGGACTGCTGAGCAGACTTAGGGGTGTGCGGCGAGTAGGCTGTTTCAGAGTCGCTACGAGTATGCATGAACGACATCTGCGTCTTAGTGGGACTCGGAACATCTTGTGAGAGGAGTGGGTCAAATTGCGAGTTCCTGTCAACCGAATTGGAGCTCTGTCCACTGAAGCGCTTCTCGTCATCAAGGAAGGGTGTGACGACGGACATGGACGAATTCTTGTGTTTGTGCTTCGATTTCCTGCGAGTCAGATTGTCTTCGAGCGGGTTCATATCAGGTGGAAGCTTTGAGATCTTCCTGAAGACGACGACCAGGTAGATATCGAGTACCGCTGAGATGAGATGGAGACCCGCAGCGGTAATCGCAGTAAGCCAGGCTGTAAGCAGGATCTTGTCGGTCTCATCGTCGGTCGGAAATATCGTCCTCCAGCGGCCAGCAGTCCCGGCACTCAGATCGGCGTTCCGGCGCGAGAGTAGTAGGGTATAGACGTAGAAAGGGATGAACCCCGCATCGGTGACCAAGGCGAAGAAGTGGTAACTGGCTGAGCTCGCTGGGGCTCGCGACTTGGGACTACGGATGAGGTGGTAGATAGCATAGAGACATGCTACCATGTCGACACCAGGCTATGCCAGTAAGTCATAATGCTTCGCAGACATTCATGAGACACGTACCGGGATCCTCATGATCCAGCCTTCAGTATCCTGCGCACCTCGGATGAAGATGGCGCAGAGCAGTAAACCAGCGGCGCCGAACAAACTGCACACACGGAGGGCAAGCTGAGTCCATCGCGCAATATTGACCCACAGTTTGGTCCTCGCACTCATAGGCTTGGCGTCCGTCTTTCCATACGGTAGAAACAGATAGCTGTCCGGATGTTTGTTAAAGTCCACGAGAGGGCCATCTTGCTTCTTCTTCGGGGGTGGAGGCGGCATGCGACTGGCCATGGTCACAGCCTTGGGGTTGAAGTTGTCCCGAGTGTCGTTCATCGACTGCCTCTCCGGCGCCGAGTAGAGGTAGGGCTGCCAGCGGCCCATGATTGCGACTTGAGCAGGCAAGGAATGACGGCCCTCCTTGCGCGACCTTCGAAAGGGAAAGTTGAGCGATCGCTTAGCACAGGAATGCCTGCGATGGACACATGGGTTGAGCGGGGATCTGGGGATCTATGTAGTAAATATCTCGTTGCTAGGACAACAGTGGGCTGCGAACATCCCGTGCCTAGCTGTCCCATGACGTGCTGATTCGCGGGTACGACGGGCTTGTTCCTGCATTGGCCCAGATAGCTTCAACGTTTTCGAGATCTAGCTCTTGCTCTCGGTGAACATGTGGGGCGCCGGCGATACTCGTGCCTTGGTGGAGCACATCTTCAGGTGGATTCCATGTTTGTCGGTGTGACGCGCTGGTCGCAACTGGAACACAGCTTGACAGGTCGAGACAAAGTTGACGCAAAACTTACGATCGAGATGTACTTGAGGTCTATCCGACGTGAAGATAGTTTGAGCAAATGTCAAAATCATTCTATGTATCGTATTAAATTGAAGTCGACATTGAGGTTTGGTGCGCTCTTAGTCATCCGAAGGCGTCCGCTCAATGGCTATGACACAGTTTCTGACTCTGCACACGATGATGTACACCAAGCGCATGTTACCATTGCCATTCGTCTGCGTTAGCTGCACGCGACGTACAGCAGCTCGGATCACGCATGCGACGCGTGGAAATGGTGCCGCTCAGTCGCGAAGCTACCGCGTTATCACCTCGAGACCCGCACGGCCGCTGAAAAACAGTTCGAACGCAGCAACATCTGTTCCATCTTCCTGGCATAATGCATACAGCACTGCTGTATCACAACGCGGAGGCTTGCGTGTGGCTATCATAGGCTCTGGGCCGGCCGGCTTCTACACAGCGCATCGGCTCCTGCAAAAAGTGCAAGATGCTGTCATTGACATGTACGAGCAACTGCCTGTACCTTACGGACTCGTGCGGTTCGGAGTAGCTCCTGACCATCCCGAGGTCAAGAATTGCCAGGACACTTTCGAAGAAGTAGCTCAGTCGCCGCGCTTCAACTACATTGGCAATGTACGCGTCGGTCACGACATCGAGCTGGCGAAGCTTAAGCCACACTACGACGCTATGTTATTTTCGTACGGCGCAGATGAGGATAGGAGACTAGGGGTATCAGGCGAAGATCTTGATGGCGTATTCTCAGCGAGAGCGTTCGTGGGATGGTACAATGGCTTGCCCCAGTTTCAGAACCTGAAGCCGGGCCTGCAGAGTGGAGAGCATGCTGTAGTCGTCGGGCAGGGGAATGTAGCGCTGGACGTGGCCCGCATCCTCCTTGCACCTCTAGACCACCTCAGAAAAACAGACATCACAGAGCAAGCCATTCAGACCCTATCAGAAAGTAAGATCAAGCATGTTAGAGTGGTGGGTAGAAGAGGACCACTTCAGGTAAGTTCGTTCTAGCAGCATGAGGCTTTGTGCTGATTATTACCAAGGTCGCTTTCACGGTCAAAGAAGCTCGCGAGCTGATGAAAATTCCATCCGTCGCCTTCCACGACATCGATCGGTCCTTTTACCCTCCCGAAATAAAGAAGCTGCCTCGAGTACAGAAGCGTACCGCCGAAGTCCTACTGAAGGGCAGTATAGCTACACCAGATGAAGTTGATCGGTCGTGGGCGCTTGACTTCTTGAGGGCACCTGTTTCAATGAACGCAGGAGAAGGCCTAACACACATCTCATCCATGACGTTCAGAAAGCAGCAGTTTGTCCCTGGTGCCGACCCACTGGACCCGTCTGCACGGGTACAGCCGACCGAGGACGATGTTACCATTCCTGCATCCCTTGCATTCCGGTCTGTAGGCTACAAGTCAACTTCTCTGCCCGGTTTGTCGGACCTAGGCATACCTTTCGACTCGAAGCTAGGCATCATACCAAATGATGTTCACGGACGGATCATCTCGCCTGACGAGGGCCCCGGCAGTCTTACAGCTGGTCACCTTGCAGGCTTGTACTGTGCAGGATGGGTGAAGCGCGGTCCTACGGGTGTTATTGCCAGCACAATGCAGGATGCTTTCACCTCTGCGGACGTCATCGCGCATGACTGGGAGAACAATGTGCGATTTCTGAACGGCACGCTCGAAGGCAGCAAGAGCATACGCCGAGGGTGGGATGGAGTGAGGGCGGAAGTTGAAGCACGTGGCGTGCGACCGCTCAGTTGGGCCGACTGGAAGAGAATTGATCAAGCTGAAAGACTGTGCGGAGAGAAGAAGGGCAAGGTGCGAGAGAAGTTCGCGAGCGTAGAGGACATGCTCAAAGCTTTGGATGCTTGAAGCAATGCAAAACGCTCCACTGGTTTTGCGACTCTTTTTGGTCACGATTAGAACAGTTCATCATAACATCAAGGTCTTTGGGTAGTCTCCGCATCTAGTGCTCAAGTTCAGGAAGTTCAAGGACGGGTACGTTGTCGCCGACCTTCAGCGCTTCACCGTTCTCGGCAACTCAGTATTTTCTCAAGGCCCTGTTCTAGTAAAACCACTGCGACATGCTGAGCCATTACTTATCCGGTGCAGCCAGTGGTGACCCTATATCTCATCACCCGGAGAGCGCGGCTCGATGAGGATCCTTGGAGGCATCTGGGCCTATCTATGTGGGGCGACACCAATCCGGCTATCCGAGAGCCAGTGTTTTCATAGATGCTCAGACTCTCCAAACCGCAGTGTTGGCTGCAACCGTCGACGTCTCCGAAGAGAATCTGTGACTGGCCAACATCTACTAAGCATATGGCGACCTGAGCCACAAGGATGGTACGATCGATAAAACCATGTTCGTTGGCCGGACGATGTTAATTTTAGTAGATTGCATCTTTGGCATTATCATTTGGCAATGCCGTTTGCCAATACCATATAGCAGACCGGACTTTTGGTTTTCCCTAACTTATGTAACTGGTCGAATATGAACATATCCCCAGTGGCTGGCTGCATTCACACTATGTCGCTCTGCCTATGGAAGGGTGTTCTTGCAGATCGCCTACGGAAATTCTGAGCGGTAGTGAGATCATGTAGTCAGCACATCACTGTGTTCATAGTATGAATGCCCTTCAACACTGTACAGCACTTTGACAACATCGAAGGAGAATGTAATATCGTATTCGCTAGTCCCGATCTTGTGCAGAAACTTACGAGTCTGTGACATTCTCTAGACCTGCATACTTGTCACTGCGAAATTGATTCGACATGACGTCCAGTCGCTCACCATGCATCGCAAACCATAGTCTCCTTTCACTGAATATCTCCGCAATATACGCCTCGAACCCAAGAGCTGCCGTGTGAGCTAGTGGTGGTAGCGCGAGCGCTCAGGGCACTGATCGAACTCGCCGTGGCACTTCTTGCACTGCCAGCACGTCAGCAAAGTTCCGCTATCTTTTGGTATCTGCACGTACCTCTGGCTTGCGGTGGCACACATGCTCACGGCAGGTCTGCTTGCAGCCCTCCTGACCTGAAGTGTGTCCGTTCTGTGTTATAGTCAGCCTCGTGGCATCAACCCCGTCGAGGTGCGCGACTGCTCTCACCTGGAAACAGAAATCGAGCATGCCGGTGCAGTAGTTGCAGTCGATGATGCTTTGAGGCGCGTTTCGGACAGCAACTTCGGGTGCAGCCTGCACAGCAGGGACGGCGGATGCGGCAACGCTGAAGGCGAGAGCGAGTGACAAAATCGCGATCTTCATGTTGGTAGGTCCTCGATGCCTTTCAGATGATCAAGATGTCGAGTTGAAATTGAGGGACTGGAAATGAGCGTGGGTGCTAACGGACAATGAGTGAGAGTGGGCGGTGATGAACAGTGAGTGAGCGTCGACACGGAACAGAAAGCTGTATGTGCACCGCTATTGATGTTAAATGTCTCGGTTCCACGCTAGTTGCGTTGTCAACAAACGGGCCTGGAAAGAAGGAGTGAAGGAAGTGAAAGCGGCGCCTAACTTTGTCAAGGGCGGCGACGTTGTGAGCTACCACCTTCATATAATGTGACAAGATATATCTTGCAGTCAGTCTTCACGGCTCTACAATACCAGTAAGTGATTGAGCTAAGGACCAAAACAGTTCGAGATCTCAATTCAAGCGCTCGGGGAAGCGATCTTTGGCGTCAACTGCTGCCTGCGTAACATGCCGAATGATGGCCGACTCAAACACTCACATTTCGAGTGGTTACTGATATTGATATAAGTACGTGTTGACTGTTTGAAGTAGACAGTTGGCGTCACGCCTGTGACACTCGAAGTGGTCGCCGCAATTCTCACATGATACATCGTTGTACACTACAGCTCCACCTCAGCTACCTGGACTCAAAATCAAATCACAGGGTCGCTCTCCGCACATCAACCGGTTGCCAAACGACAGATTATAAGTATTCAAAAACACTAGAGTGTCGATTGCCTCGGAAGCTCCGGGAAAAAGAAAGTCGAGTAATGTATGCAGTGTTTAAAGGAGGTCGCCCTGCACCCAGCGCGTACGGCTCGCAGTTTTGCCCCCTAACAATGTTGACCCAAGGGTCGCGAATCCCTTTGATATCATCGCGATGATTTGGCCTCTTCCTATGGTTCAGGATCAACGAGGGTCCACGATGAACCCCTGTTCAGGCTCAACAATGGCGAATCTTGGTACTGGAAGAGGGATGAGTTCACGCAAAGTGAAATATCTTCAGACGCGAAGATATCCTCGCGAATACTCTCGCAACCTTGCTAAACTGTTGGAATACTCTTACAAGTGCTACCCCATGACATTCGAGCATGGTCTTAGTACCTCTCAAACATGCTGTCTTCGGTGGTAGACTTCTTTCGCGACCGCTACCTTCCACCATATTGCGACTGCTGCAACCACAACTTCGAAATCCTGTCTCTTGAAAGCGAGTCGAGTGGAGATTCTGCAAGTCGAAATTTCCTACGGCAAGGGCTGGCGTCTTTCAAGCGATGGACATCAGAAGTGATGGTCAAGCCACTCATAGCCAAGGAGAGAAAAGCCAGCACGAAGCAACGAATCAAAAAATTCTTTCAGCTAGGAAAGATTATTGGGCGAGAGACGAAGCACGTCAAGAGTGACCAAATGATAGCCCGGAACGAATCTGGACGAGAGTCCTGTCTGGGTAAGTCGACATAGACCAAATGAGCACTGCACATACTGACATCAAAAGATTGCTCAAAATCCAACATATACACCGACATGGGCTCAATATTCGCCTCCATTGCCGAGTCTGATAAGCCCCTTCAAAAGGAACCCAATTCGCCCATGATCTGCTTCCTCATCCACCTTGCATCCGACCTCAATATCCAGGGGCCATTCCTGTCACGGCTCCACAGACTACCGGCTGACGTCACGCAGACCGATGGATTGTCTAGCCTGAGCTGCGCATCGACCTGGCTACAGTCCTCTCTGGTCCTAATTCGCGACTCTTACTCACCTGACTCTACACCACTAGACCTGCAACTGCCGTTTGTGGTTTTAGAAACGGAGTATCAGCGTGCTCGTGCTCGGGCGACGGCACTGCAACAGCAGTGTCCGGATGAGCAGGTTGTAACCGCGACATTGGACCTGGCGGTGTTGAAAGCGGCGAAGCTCGTGACCTCGGCTGAGCATGCATTCAGGATGCTGAGAGTGCCGATGGAGAGCGTGGACTTCTCACAGCGGCTGTTGGTGTGAGCGGAAGATGGCACGAATGAGGGAGCCACGCAGGTGTTGAGGGATGCGATCGTGGCCGTTATCAAGAGCACCGAGATGGGCGACAAAATCGAGGTCAACAGTCCAGGTGGTGCGAGCGAAGCGATTGCGGAGGACACTTTTCGCAGGACTGATCGGCTTGAGCCAGGAAAGCAACCGAGGAAAAAAGACTCAGTAGTCACACGTCGGAATGGCTCGGATGGCTCAAGTACCGGATGGTTGGACCTGGAAGACTGGTCAGCGGCTGACGGGAATGAGTTGCAGAGGTGTCACACTTGCTAATTCGACTTTGCTAATGTGGCTACTTGGGCACCGCACTTCTTCTCACATGCTGGGACGTCAAGCCTCAGAACGTTGCTAACCTTGAATGGATCGTATTTCCAATAGCAACTATAACTACAACTCGACGACTTCCTGCATAACGTCCTCGAACATCTTTTTCCAACTCTCCTTAGGCGGCGCAAACCACTCTTTGAACACATTTTTCAACAACTTGTCCCCTAGCGTCATGTGCTCACCCTCTGTTGTCTTGAAGTGAAGACCACCCTTTTTATCCAGTTTCTTCAATCCAATCCAGTCTTCCTTGTAGATTTCCCTATCTCTTAACTCCACCACTTCTCCACTGGTCAGGTTCGTCTGCGCAAACCATCCCGACTCCTTGGGGATGACTGTAGTGTCGTTGCCGAAGACATACATGACAAAGTTGTCTAATTGTGCAAGATTATGCGCGTAGGTCACGTTCTTAAGTACACGCTCATTGTTGATGTCCGCAAGGAAATTGCTGTTGGTAAGGTATTCCTCGGTCGGCTCGCCCGTCTCCTCGTCGACAGCCTTGAAGTACTGTGCCGGCACGAGGTGGCCCTGTACCCACGCGCCCCAAGTATTCGCTTTAAGCAGGCCGATGTAACCCTTGCAGAGCCAATCGGTGGGCTTGCAGAGCTGGTACTTTGCAATGCCGTTGTGCTGGCTACCGAATGTCACAAGGTTCTTGACTTTGATGCCATCATCGCCGCCGCAGCGCTCAACAAGACCACGCAGGAACTGCCCGCCCTGCGAAAACCCAAGGGCATTGACGCCGGGTGCTGTAGACAGGATAGGATCGGCGGTGATGGCGGCGCAGACGTTGGTTACTTGCTCGGTGACGTTCCCTAGGAAGGTCGCGGTGCGGTCGGAGGAAGCATCTTCGTCAAGGCGGATTATGTAAACGTATGTTCCTGGATTTGCCTCTTCAGCGAGAGAGGCGACTTCTGCGAGACCGTCGGCCGCGTAGTTGTCACCTAGGCCATGCCAGATGAGGAGAGGGAGAGGGTCGCCGGAGGGCTCAGACAAGGGTGAGGCGAAGGCTCGTGCGATGAGGAGCAGCGCCGACAGCGGTACGGATCTCAGCATTTCGGCAGTTTATAGGGTGTTGTCTTTGCGTTGCCTACGGAGGCAGGTTGAAGGCGCGCTGGATATGTCGTCAGCGACGCGCCTGAGCCAATGAGGGCCGAGGCCCGCCCGTGCGGGCGCTGGCAGCACACTTCCAATGCGAGCAACCCTTGGACAACGAGCAACCAAATGGTTGTTGCTGTTGAAAAAGTTCCGAGACTTACCGTGGACTGTAGACGGATATTGTGTTCTTTGGTAGCGCCTTGCAATATACTGGAAAAGTCCCATAACAGAGCATCATAAGGAGCTTGCTCGTTCATGTAATGATACGCGCCTCACTCGAAGGTTTTAGTATTGCACGATATAAGCTTAATGTGGCTGCAGGATCGTAGGTAAACATTGCCGAAAAAGTATCTTGATTCGCAAATGGTATTTGCCCAGTATGCAACACATCTTTTGAGCTCCCTAACGCCAATGCGCCGTTATATGCAATTACTCATGTCACAGTAGCTCATGCAATCAGCGGTGTCTGGACCGATGAGAGCGCGTCCTGCTTCAACGCTTTCCGCTTCTCCTTGCTCAAGGAGCTCTTCTTTGCGGGCCCGACCTTCTTCGCCTTCTTAGCCTCACGCTTTGCCTTCTTCTCTGCGAAGTCCTCCTCATCGAGTAGTTCTTCCTCCCACTCCTCCCACTTGCGCTTTGTCTGTGCGGTCTTACCCTCGCCGATGCTCTTCTTCTGGAAAGGCTCGTCAAGCACTTGAGCGTCATCGATCCACAGTTCGTCGGCGAGCCAGATGGGCAGGGCCTTTGTGGCAGGGCCTTTGATGTGTAGGCTGCGAACGTTTCGCCAACCCTGCTCGATGTGCTTGGGGATGATAGCAGCAATGACGGCTTCAGTGTTCTCCTTGATCTGCGCAGCAGACTGGGAGAGATTGCCGACTTTGATCGAGGTGTTGGCCGAGGCGCTCATGCTGAGATATGTCGAGTTCAGTGCGGTCTCAATCTCCTTTGCGACGCCTTGTGGTGTGCCGACGATGTTCTGGGGCTCCTTATCCTTCTTCACAGTCTTGTCCACAAATGCGCCAGCGGTCAATCTGATCGGGATTGGGCGCTTGGATTTACCGCCGTAGAAAACCTTGCCCAGGAAGTCGGCAACAATCTTGACGACGCGGTCGTCTACCATGAAGATGTCGTAATCGGCGAGGAGAGCACGCTTCTGCTCGAATGATTTGAACTTCTTCTTCAGCTTCTCGACGCCAAGAACACGACCGACCCGCTCGCGAAGCGCAGCAGGGAATGCGTCGGACGCAACGAGGTCTTTGTATGCTCGCTGTGGGTCTTTGGTGAAGATGCAAATCTTGGCGTCGCTCGCAATGATCGGATGGGGGAGAGTACTATACGAGTATCAGCAAGTATCCATGCGCGTTCTGTAAAATGTAGACTAACATCTTGGTAGGCTTCAGGCTGTTGGTGTTGTTGACGTGCTTCTTGGTGGAAACACTGAGGAAAATGGGCTGGTCGCTCGGCTCAGCCTCATCCTCATCCGCCATCAAATCTTTGGTCCCGACGGTTTCCTTCTCCTCCTTGTGCTTCTTCATGTGCGCAACAAGCGCATTCGCCGCTCGCTCGACTTGCGCAGGGTCCAGCTGGTATGGAGTCTCATTCTGCTTCTTGGTGGTAAGAGGCGCCTCAGTCTTCTTCTCGACCTTCTTCTCGACCTTCTTCTCGACCTTCTTCTCGACCTTCTTCTCGACCTTCTTCGTTACTTGCTTTGATTTGGCCATTGTTGCGATATGTCGATCTGGAAAAGTTCGCTCCTCGAAATTCTCGGCCAAGTAACGAGACCCTGGTCGCTCTTGACTTTTTCGCGGGCTCGGCAATACCTTTGGCCGCGGTCCACATGAGCGGGGCTGGTTCGCGCCTACTTCTTCAGGAAATCGTAGCCGATTCTGGCCAATCACGCGTCGAGATCTCACGACACGCGTGGACTCCATTCGCGTGCAGGAGATCTATGCATGTTCTGAGAATGCTGACTACCCTTTGATATGTGTTCTGCAGGCTTCGTCTAGAGTGCCTTATGTCATGATCCAATGTCAGGCAGCTCTGCTCTAGTAATGACGCCGTGAAGCGCGATTCGACTCAAAGTGTGGGGTAGCTTCTAAGATCCACGCTTCTCAAAATGTTCGTTTAAACTTCAGCCTTCTATCTTGTGTGCAGAATTCACAATCAATGGCAGACTAGTTACGAGAATAGCCTTTTCACTTTCGTTCTCGGCCGTCTCCTGTGCCTCTGATGCTATCGATCAGCGTCCTTACTGGGCCAGCCGAAACGATAGCGGCACCGTGCACAGCCTTACTAAAGTTTCTTGACGCGTCTGTACCACCCGTCGCGTCTGCCTCATAGCTCCACTAAAGTAGCAAGCTGCGTTGTGCGCGTATCTTCCGTGTTCAGCTACACGGCCCGATGCAAAGAAAGTTTTTCCTTTGCGTGACGTTTGCTCTGCATGCGTCTAGTCTGCCAGTTCCACTTAGGCTGGACATGGCTCTGGCTTACTGGCCTGCAAGGAAGTATCGATCAGCGTAGCTGTGCAGAACGCGGCTGGATACGTGCGTCTGATATAGGGTGTTACGCCGGGCTTAGAACTTACCGGCGACAAGAACCTCGAATGTCAGTTCAAAGACTCTGCTTCGTGTACTGCAGCAGGGCGCTGAGTACTGTATGCATTTGGGCACGCGTCGTGAACTTCCCTTTCAAGTCAAGAGGATCCATTCGGAAATTGGCGTCTCAGAATTCCAAACCACGGTCAGATGCATGTTAGAGTGCTGTCCATTTGCTTGCTACGTGGAGGCAGATCTTTCAACGTGTAGAACGCCGCCAATTGACAGCGGTGAATTAGCAAACATATGCAGCATGAAGGGGCTGGCACACGGAGCGAAAATCAAGTTCAAGACGCAGCCGAGAGAAGACCTGATGTAATAGGCGTGTTCGTTTGTGCTCGTGCACAAGGCTTATGAGCGAACGGAGACGTGGTCGCCGAAGCGCTCCACTGAGCAGAGTGTGCAAGCAAGTATAGTATGTAGAAGGACTTGACAGGGCGGCACGCATTAAAGGCGAAGCATCCACAGTAGCGCAGGTGATGATAATTCAAATCGTCATCTACAATTGGCAAGATGGCGAGGCGAGAGTAGGCTGGGTGAATTCCTGGAAACGGCCTGAGCTCCTACGCGCTTGCCGTACCGAGACCTGACTTCGTTCGTCTCCACACCCGTGAACCGCGTCGACGTGCCTCAAAATCGAGTCTGACCTGATGGCCGCGTCTCTCTGACCTCCTTCTAGCCCTGCACGAGACTTTTCTCAACCCGCACTCCTTTGACAGTGTTCAGTGCTCCCGGCATCACGCTTGGCTAGCCGCCCTCGGAACACGTCCACGCAGGTCAGAGCCGTCGACACGCCGCGTGCCTCACGTCTCGAGCAGCTCAGCAGGCGACATGGACTCCAGCCCGAGCAAGCTGGCGCAGCAATTGCCGTCGGCATCGACGCCCAAGTCGCTGTCGTCGCACTCGCAGAAGCCGTCGCTGCTCCCCGCTTTTGGCGAGGACAACTTCTCGTCATCGCCATTTCCGCGTCCCGGCTCCTCAAAACGCAAGTTTGACGAGGACTCTCCATCATTCGCGAGACACCAGCTCAAGTACTACCCCACTCCTGTCCCTACCTCGTCGACCGGCATTCTCAATCTCTCGTCGCCGCGTCACGTAAGGCCGGTCCTGCAACGCGCCGTGTCGGCTCTCTCAGAGCGGATCCCCCTCGGCGCCGTGCCTACTGTCGACCTCCCTGCGAATGGAGAGCTGCTTCGTATGGGGCGGTCGTCAAACTCTGCAGACTATCAGCTGTCCACGAATCGTCTCATCTCACGCGTTCACGTCCAAGCCGCCTATCACGCGCCCGATTCGGCCTATCCTCGCGGGCACATCGATGTCGAGTGCCTAGGATGGAATGGAGCAAAGGTTCACTGCGGCGGCAGTGTGTTCGAGCTGGCGAAAGGAGACACGTACGTCTCAGAGAATCCGGAAACGGAGATCATGCTGGACGTGCAGGACACTCGTGTCGTGATTGCTTGGCCAATCATCCCGGTATCCAAGTTCTCGTGGGAGTCGGAGGAGGAAGACATGCCTACACCCACACGTCGTAACACACAGGGTGCCTTCGACTCCAGCCCTCCTGTCATCCCCCGCTCCCCCGTGTCGCAGAGCCCAATGCGTCAGCCTGTTTTCGACGCGCTTGGCCCCAATGCCCCGGTGGGTGGTGTCCAGGTATTCGAGGATGTCGATGTGCAAGATGAAGGCTCTACTCTCTTGGATCCTGAGATGACCTTCATACGCCCTACGGTCTCGCCCATTGGCTCGAGCCAGGAGGCTGCTGCAAAGGGTAAAGGCCCTAAGACCAGCTTCACGTCGTCGTTCGGCGAGGATGACTATTCTGATAATGACGAAGAGAATGACCCTGTCGTTCACTCGTTTGGTCCATTCGGCCAGAACCTACTCAGCGGACTTGAGTCCTTCTCCACCGCTACACCTGGGCTTTTGAATACGCCGCAGCCTCCTCGCAAGCCACTGGTGTCGCCATCCGCGAGACCGGCTTCTTTCGACGCTATTCGCTTCAGGGAGTCCCCTATCAAGAACCACGTCATCAATCAGCTGGCATACTCCCGCGTTCACTCCCACCCCTTATCGACTATCCACAGCAACCTTCCTGCTGAACTCAAAGCTTGTTTCAATAAGGCCAAGGGCGTCGAAGATCAGAAGGAGCGTAGCCGTTCGGCAACACCACTGCCGGAGTTGTCGCAGTCCGACCTGAAGAGTATATTGGAACAGACTTCTTGCGTCGGAGAGATCCCACGCATGGGCAAAGATGCCGCCGGCAAGCCGCTGGAGAGCGAGTACTACTATGTTCCAGAGATGGACCCCGATCAGATGAGGCGAGAGACTATTCAGGCTGGCATGCGCAGCACTGGCCTCCGCTCCGTCAGGAAGACACACAAGGTGCGTGTTGTCACGTGTAGCACTGCTTGCCATTACTGACTCTTGTAGCAATACTACTGGAAGAAACCCCGCGTATGAGCACATCCTACCTACCTCCAGTAAGACAACTCTAGGACTTCCTGATATTGACAGGCGATTGCTCTTCAGTCTATAACCCCCCCACAAACTACACGATGTTCCGATTCCTTCACTGCATAGCAAGGCGTTCACGATACCATTTCTTCTACTTGGTGTCCGTTTCCGATGTTCCGATTCCCTTTTCCTGTTTTCTGCTCGGTTCTGTACCACCATCTACCAAATTGCTTAATGGGCACACGTTTCTGTTGGATCACCAAAACCCCATTTTTGGCATGTACAGCTCGGCTCCAAGATACCACTGCTTCTAACTTTTCACCGAGTCTCCTCAATCGCTCACGCTCTGGTTCTTAAGGTCGTTCAGGTGGCTCTTCCGGTTCCGATATGGATCGCTCGGTTTGTGGGTTAGAGAAGGCATGTCTTGGAGGGCGACCTTCGGCGGCATGGTCTCAATGTCTTTGGATGAGTTATGAACATGCGGTGGGTCGCGGTGGAAAAGTCGTTCTGGAGGGTTTCTGGATTAGGCGCGAATCGTTGCGTAGTGCTACATTCAGCACACATACAGAGCCATAGCCACAATGCGAGTTATTCGTCACCCCTGCTCTTGTGCATCCACTTGGTGTTTTTCGTCTATTGCGGCATGGACTCCCAACATGAGGTCTCTGCTACCCCTCAATAGTCGTGTCCTGATACCACCCAAGCTCGCAGCGAGACATCACGATTCCAAAAACTCAATAGGAAGCGACCGTGACGTCACGAGGTACCGATGCGAACTCACGTGACAGCATCGCACAAAGGACGCGGAAGATGGTGGTGATTGCTTCATGATATTCTCTGCTCAAGATCCTAGGGACAGTTCTGTGCAAGAAGGAAAAGTAGAATCGTATTCACTCTACAGGCCCCAATCCCATCATCATGCTCCTTAGCCGAGTGATAAGCACAGATATGACTCCATGTGCAAAAGGACCAGTGTTTTTATTCGACTGTCCATCGCATGCATTCGTCGCATTCGTTCCACCTCGACCGACCCCTTTCGCGCCAAACGCCGTTGTGCGAATGATTTACTTGAGCTTCTTCTTGGGGCGGAGCTGGTTGGTGTGACCGCACTTCTTCTTGCGCTGCGAGTTTGTTAGCCGAGGCCACTTTCGAAGGTCTCAAACGTCACGTCATGGCGGGAAAATAGCCGACGTGACGAGTAGGATGAGGACGTACGCAGTTGACAGCCCTCGGGGGCAGGCGGGCGTAGCACTTGCGGCAAATCATCTTGTCGCAGTTGTACTTGGAGGCAAGGGCCTTAAGCGAGGGCTCGATGATACCACCACGGAGACGGAGAACCAAGTGGAGAGTCGACTCCTTCTGGATGTTGTAGTCGGAAAGGGTGCGGCCGTCCTCGAGCTGCTTGCCGGCGAAGATCAAGCGCTGCTGGTCCGGGGGAATGCCCTCCTTGTCCTGGATCTTGGACTTGACATTGTCTATCCAAAGTTAGTCTCCTGTTCCTTCCAACCGCTTCCGCAGCCACCCGCAATTCCGGCGATGCTTCATTGGAGACGTGCGGTGTCGTGCGGTGGCGTAACGATGTCAAAGGGTGTGCGTACCGATGGTGTCAGAGGACTCGACCTCAAGGGTGATGGTCTTGCCCGTCAGGGTCTTGACAAAGATCTTGATTTGGCTGTTAGCACAAGCGCGCAAAGTGTAGTAGAGGCGTGCTGTGCGTTGGCGAAAACATTGGAGCGCAGGCGAGCGCAGTAGCAGACACGGAAGACGTGCAGCCGTGTCCAGATCTACTGCGCCCGAAGGGACAGAGGCCGCATGTGTGATGAGCAGATTTGGAGAACCGACATACCTGCATCTTGACTGTCGTGAAGCTGGGGTTAGTAACAAACAGTAGAGACGAGGTCGACGAGCGTGAATTTCGAGAGTGTGGGCGGCAGTAGCTTGGCGCGGCTCTTACCGCTTTCGCCTAATGCGCCTGCTTATTTTGCCACCCTCACCCCACCAAACCTCTTTGGCGACCTTGACAGCAACAAGTTCCACCAGCATCAACAAATCGAACGCGTGCGGTTGGGCATTCATTGACCACTGAAGGATAATACGCGAGTTTCAGCAGTGCACTACAAGTTTCTGTAGTCTCCTTCCTTCACGAGTTAATATGGGCTCACATCAGCAAGCCTGGAATCTCCCAGCATCTGCTTAATTCTGGTTAAAGTGCACATGGCTTGTACTGTGGTTTGTGCTAAGAACTCTGTGAGACACCATGGGATGCTAAAAGCCAGCACCTGCATATTTGTATTCGTCTGCGAAGCACAACGTTCTTTAGTTCAGCACGCCTGAACTCTAGACCAGTTGGACTACATATGAATCTATCAGTCTTCTAGGTCACTGTTTGCTCGCCAACATGTTTACGCTTCCTGCGCCACTTCTCAATCCTCGCATCTGTGTAGAAGACCGCCATCATCAACATGTCCATGGACAATCCAGCCAGCTTCGCAACCTCAGTGTAGAATACCTTTGCGGGCTCTGGCAGCTCGTTCTCCTTCTTGTAGAGTCTGTATGACTGGCCTGGCCGCAGTACTCCAAGGCTAAAGTCATCATCGGCTATTTCAGACCTTGCTTGCATGGAGCCATGCACAGCCCTGACCGTCGCCATATCGTCTTTCTTTGGCCGTGTTTCCAGGTCCTCGTCAGGTGCAACTGTCGTTTGTCGATCGATAGGAAACATGCCATATATCGCATTGCGAAAGTCATCTGTGTCTCTTGTGCGTTTGATTTCTGCATCATCAAGGAACGCATCCGCATAGAAGTCGAGATATTGGTCCAGCCGGTTTGGCGCCATGTCGAAGACGTCTTGCTCCTCAAGGTTCGTCAGCTCCTCGATTGTGTACCGCTGGTTTTCACTTCCCTGTTCTGACTTGGCGGACTGTATCTGCTCCTGCCAGTATGGCCAATTGACGACTGCTGCTGTGGGCTCACTAGGCAAACGTGGGTGTCTTTGACTACTATCAAATGGATAGAGCAATTTGACACAAACAATAAGACAGCCAGCAAGCTGGACCTCTGGTAGATGTCGCACACCAAGTCGCCTCTTACCATCCTGGAGTAAAACGAATTTATGACCGAGAAGTTTGCTGAGTCGGATGGTACAATCGTAGGCCTCGAGGGGCAGAGCCAGCTCCTTGATGTAACGGAAGAGCAAAAGACGGTGGTTCAGCGGCGCCCAAGCTATCTTGTGTTCATTCGTGAGGCTGATTTGCAGATCAGTGAGTGTCGCGTAAAATCGTCTGTACTTGAGGAGTGCATTGGGATTTAAAGTGGCATGATACGAAGGTGACAGGTGGTCTCGCATCGGTAAAGGTACATGCTTAATCGCTCCTCGGTAAGCCAGCTTGCCTTCTGTGGCCCAGTGATAAATGTCTCCTGGCGTGACCGGTAATCGTAACGTCAGAATGCTTAGATAGCATAATGCTAAGCAGTCAAGAAGGTTGGGCACGCTGTGAAGCCTCTTTTCTCGGCCTTTGGCACTTCTGAGGGTGCCTCGCGCGTCGTCAGTCTCGCTGTCATCGGTCTCGAGAGTATTAAAGACTTGTGACTGAGACTGAGAGTTCCCATGGCTGTCGCTGGTGATTTTGTCGCCAAACTGCGCTATCCGAAGAGCCCACAGGTCAAGAGTAAGCAGCTCTAATTCTTCCGGCAGTCCCTTCTCTTTCACCAAGAACCACACTTGGTGTCGCAAGATGAGTTGAAGACATTTGAGATACAAGTCAAGACCTACTTGTCCACTGAAGTCTGATCTATACCGTTAGCATATGATGGCATGAAACGAGACAAAGATTTTGGAACTTACGTTTAGCAATTTTGACTTGGTCGTCAGCATCTTTCTTCTTGCGCGTCCTAGTTGTGGTAGCAAGGGTAAAATCGTCGTCATCATCCGCAGCGCGAATCAAACCCTACTAGATGTCAGTGCAGTTTCATCGCTCTGCTCACACTGCTACTCACGAACTGCTGGTGTCCGTTCTGGCAGTAGCGATAGCCGTCTTCGCCTTCTTCGTACCATCGAGATCGACAGTTCTCCACGCCACACACTGGCCCTTTCTCCAGCCTTGAATCCATGCTTCGATAGCCCTGAGTCGAATTTACTGCTGCTCAGTCGTGTCTCAGCTGAAGTTGAGTGTAAGAATCGGACCGTAGGGCCCACAAAACAGCGACCAATCGCAATAAAGCTGGGATCCTTGGGCGCAGGCTGCAGTCTCAGAAAGGCATGAGAGCCAATTGTAATCTGATTACTTGGATCGCCGGGTATATGTCAGTCAATTTTGTGTAAGTTGATTGCAGTCACAATGCATGTTCAATCAAGGCCGAGGTTCCGCAAAGAAAGTCAAGTTCGACACGCTAGCGCTACTGTTTCCCACATTCACTCAGGCTCCAATTGAAAACCAGGCATTTGCCGTAACATCATCACCTTTTTATTCGTTTGTCGTAAGGGATATATCTAGGAAAGGGAAACATTTTCGTAAATAGTTTCCCACACATGGCAATGCAAGACCCCAAAATCCGTCCGTAAACCACAAGCATTGGGAACCATCAGCGCGGGTAAATCGCCCTGAGGAATGCCAGAGTAACCGCAGAAGATGCAGCTTCGCTCGAGGCTGTACATAGCCTCGAACAATCTGATTTCCGGTCGGAGCCCGTCGAAACTCCGCGACTTGCCCTCTGCCGACAGTCGATGTATCCAACGCTCATTTATTTGGGAGCCTCCTTGGCGTCAATGGCGGCCTCCTCACCCATGGCAGTGAGAACGATGACGCCTGTTTCGGGTTAGTGGCTGTGTACAGTGATTGTCCATGCGCAGTTTGACTCACTGGTGTCCTTGTTCTCGTCAACAAAGAGCTTGTTGATCTTGTCACCAACCTCACCATCGGGAAGCTTGACATCGTCCTTGGTGGAGCCATCGTCGGACATGAGGGAAAGGAAACCATCCTCAGAAACGTCGACCTGTAGTACGATGTAAGCCTTGGCATTTCCCCTCTCGAGGGAGCAGGGTTGCACTTACGAGGAGGTACTCCTGGCGGCGGACGTTGGGGACGTCCATGTTATGGGTGGAGGGGCAGAGCTCTTCAAGCTTCTTGGAGGTGAAGATGTCGATGGCGACCAAATGGACCTTGGCGTGACCGTGCTTGCCGGTCTTGGAGGTGGTCATCTCGACGATCTTGCAAGGGCGGTTCTTGATGCAGACGAAGCCGTTCTTCCTCAGAGCAGAGCACTGCATGGGGAAAGTGGTGGAGGCACCGGCATCGGCGCTCTCGAAGGTGTGCTCATGCTACGAATTGGAGTCAGCTTTGTGCTGAGGGAGCGCATTGTGAGCAGCGTGATGCCTGCGCGTAGCGAGCAGCGGCGAGCCGAAAAGGTGGGGTAGGGCCACATGCAGGCGCCTTGGGGAACGTACCTGCGCGTCGTCGGCCATGGTGATGAATGAAAGTCGTTTGCGACGGGTGAGGAAGAGGCTGTTGTTTGGTCGGGTGTCTGGGGTGGTGGGGTGGAAAAGGCGGACTTTAAGGATGAAGAGAAGTCTGCACGGGTGGATTTTGATTCGAGTCCTGAGGGGCAATCGCTAGCCGTTCCCATCGCCAAGAGCGGGCACCCCTGCGCGGTGAAACTATCGCCGGCTCCGTCCGCCAAGGAGGGCGACAGCTCCCGGCCTTCACCCTCCTCAATGCGCCCTTGAAGAGACGCGAAGCAACATGTGGGGACTGGACAGGTTATCGCAGTACTCGACGCCCGCGGGCACGCCACCCCCGCGACGGGACTCGTACTCGCCCGCTCGAAGGGGTTATCCAGGGCCGGGCCCACTGCCCATGAGACCTGGTTTGCAGCCTCGAACGTCATCCTTATCACTCGTCTCACCGGGCGCTTCGAACATGAGTTTGCCATCAACGGCACGCGGACCAAATGGTGCACAACTGCGCCGCCGCCCCACGGGCGGCATCTCCCCCAACGTTGCCGATCCAATGCAGGTGCTGGCATCTATCATGGGAGGACCGCCGAGGAAGCCCATCAGCACAAATGGCAATGGTGAGATTATACAGCATAAACCAGACGATCTGGATGCGGAGATCGACTTTGGGGAGCTTAGCCTCCATGAATTCGCAGAGGCCGTCGTTCAACAGGACACGTCTGTACATACATATAGCGCACAATCAGTTGAAGAATGTACGTCTTTGTCTTCTCTCCTCGTGCCCTGCGCTCATCGTGCCTGTAGATGACAAGGAGAGAGACAAGTTCGAGGACCTGCACCGGTCTATCATCGCGTGTGACGAAGTGTTGAAGTCTGTGGAAACGTACCTTACAAACTTCCAGGCAGACCTTGAGGCCGTCTCCGCTGAGATAGAGTCTCTGCAGAATCGTTCGGTAGCTCTGAATACGAAGCTCGAGAACAGGAAGACGGTCGAGAAGTTGCTAGGCCCTGCAGTTGAGGATATCAGCATATCGCCAGCTATTGTGCGCAAGATTGCGGAAGGACCGGTCGACGAGGCCTTCGTTCGTGCTCTAGCAGACATTGAGAAACGCTCCAAGATCGTCAACGCCAAATCCAAGGAGCAGCCTGACTTGGGAGCTCTCTCCGACATCAAACCTCTGCTTGACAATCTCACAAACCGTGCTGTTGAACGGATACGGGATTATATTGTCGCACAGATCAAAGCCATACGTTCGCCCTCCATCAACGCACAAATCATACAGCAACAGGCCTTTCTGAAGTACAAGGAACTGTACGCTTTCCTTTCAAGACATCAGCCTGAGTTGGCCCAACAGATCAGCCAGGCATACATCTTCACGATGCGCTGGTATTACCTGAACCATTTCACGCGGTATCGAACTTCCCTTGAAAAGCTCAAGGTGCACGCATTGGACAAGTACGACGTTCTCGGCGAGGATCCCAACACCAAGCGAGGTGGCACGCTACTTGGTCAGGCACGCAACGCGCCTTCCACGTACGACGCGTTCTCACTGGGGCGACGTCGAGATGCGTTGAAAAGCTCGTCTACAAATGCGCTCACATCTCATGTTGCGGAAGAAGAGAAGTCAGCGCACTACCTTGAAGTCCCCTTTCGAAGTTTCAACCTCGCACTGATAGACAACGCGTCATTCGAGTATACCTTCCTTTCGACCTACTTTGCGCCCTCACAAAACTTCCATGCAATCTCGCGCACCTTTACCGCAATATTCGAACCCACATTAGCAATGAGCCAAACTCTGACGAAGCAGCTGGTTGAGACGACAACAGACACTCTAGGGATACTGCTCTGTGTGCGACTGAACCAGCATTTTGCATTCGAGCTGCAAAGAAGGAAGGTGCCATCATTGGACGGCTACATCAATGCCACAAACATGCTTCTTTGGCCACGTTTCCAGCAGATCCTCGACATGCATTGTACGTCGTTGCAGAAACTCACCGCATCTTTACCAAACCGCCCAAGTACTGGCGCAGCACTGCTTGGTGGAAGTTCTGCTAGCGGAAATACCACAGCACCGACTCCGCTTACGCAAAGGTTTGCCAACTTACTGCACGGCATATTGGCGCTCTCATCAGAAGCGGGAGACGATGAACCAGTCAGCGTTTCCGTGGGCAGACTAAGAAGCGAGTATGAAGCATATCTCAACAAGTTTAGCAAAGCCATTAGCGACGCAAGGAAAAAGGAGAGATTTTTGTCCAACAACTACAGTCTTGTATGTACAATATTGGCGGACGTAGAGGGGCGATTGGGAGACGAGACCAAAGCGCACTTTGAGAAACTGCGAGACGCTCATGATAAGTAGCAGTCGCTTCAGCCAGAATTGTGGGATGGTTCACTCTGAATCAACCCTGTTGGTCGTCTGTGCATACAAGAACTTCCCACTCTACCTCTATGGTTAAAGTCGACGCTAAACTAGACTACAGCTCTGATTTTCCCCGTGCGCCTTCTACCTTGAGGATGTAAACATGTAGACTACCGTTCAGGCTTCTGTGGCGAAGTGTTACGATTGGGCGATGCCCCTGTCCTATGCGTAACCTCAGGTTTTAGCGATCTCTTTCAAGCTTTAGCGATCTCCTTCAGGATCAGCTGTCGTCTTACATCTCACATCTCACAGGGATATTCTCATGCCGAACCAACGCACACCAATGTACCGAGGCCGCGCACCGGGTTCCAGATCTATCTCTCATTTTGTGTCTGGGTTCGCTTCTGTAGGGCCATTCTGCGATCCCTGCAAGAAGGCGATCTCCGAGCCGGGAGCGAGCCATGAACGTCGTTTGCCGCCGCAGAGATTATCGAGCCGGGGGGGCTGCAAGCTCTGTCAACTATTCGCCAGATTGTAAGGAGAGCTTGCTGTTGATGGTTTCGCCATTGCTTATCGCGTGTGTAGAACAAAACCGTTCTACATGGACAGCTCAAGACCAAATCCGGATCAGTACGTCGCTGTATGGTCGTGTTTTGGAGGCATCGGGCTCGAATTCAAGGCACAAAGAAGCCGTACATATGCTATTCGTGGAGGGTCCAGTGGCTGGCTCATTTCCAATCGAATCCATGCCAACATAGACCATCATCTACATGCACGCATTGTCGACAAAGATAAAATCGATTGGGAAGTTGTCAAAGGCTGGCTCGTACACTGTCGAGTGAAACACTCGACTAGTTGTGGCCGCAAACAACCACTAGCTGTACCCAACCTTCAGGTCATCGATTGTTTCTCACGCAAGATAGTTCAGTTATCCGAGAGCCTTGGTTTCGCAGCACTGAGCTACTGTTGGGGACGCTCGAAAGAATCGCCACCCTTTAGTTCTCGACTACCAGCATATACGTCGCATGTCGTCGAGGATGCTATTGTAGTTACCCGAAAGCTTGGCCTTGACTATCTCTGGGTTGATCGACATTGTATCGATCAATCTGATCCAAGCACCAAGCACGCGCTCATCCAACGTATGGATCAAATATACAACAATGCAGCCATTACCATCATTGATGCTGCAGGGCCCACCCCGGGAAACGGACTTCCTGGCGTCACCAAAAAGGGACGGCGCCCGCAAGAGAGTGTATATTACAGAGGGCAAAAGCTGATCTCTATCCCCAACATGCCACATGTTGTAGCCTCGAGCAAGTGGGGAAGTCGAGGTTGGACCTACCAGGAAGGGCTACTTTCACGTCGACGCCTCGTATTCACAGAAACCCAAGTTTACTTCCAATGCCTCGAACAGCACTTTTGCGAGAGTCTCGTTTGGCCCATGGAGAAGGTCAGCCGAACATACCAACTTGAAGCTAAGGCATTGATGAAGCACACTCAAGCCTTCCCGCCACAAGGCGTAGGGACCCTTCAGAATCACATCTATAAGCGTATTCAAGAATATCTGCGAAGGAGTCTTTTCCATGACTCGGACATTCTGTACGCATTCACGGGCATTTTACATCACTTTCTTCGCAGAGAGGAACCTATCTATCACATCTGGGGGGTTCCTTTCAAAGTGTACAGTGCAATTGGCAAAGAATCTGTCGAAGACAACTTTCTATCTGCCTTGCTCTGGCTGCCAAGTTCCGACTGGAAAAGTCGTAGGCTTTCTCGGAGGGCCGAATTTCCGTCCTGGAGTTGGACAGGCTGGAGAGGTATTGCTGGGATCGAGCCAGGCCATGAAGTGGCAACGACCTGCAATGTCGTCAAGAATGTGACGGTTAACATACGAAGGGAGGGAGATGAGCTGGTCAGCGTGGCTGATTACGTTGCACAGCTGCAGGCCGATGACTACAATCTGTACCGATACAGCACCGGTTTACACGTAGTGGGGTGGGTGACTTACGTCAGGCTCATCCAATATCTTCAGTTGAGCCGCAGCAACAGTGATCTTAGCGATCGCAAACCTACGTCAACTGTCGATGTCCTAGACGAGTCTGCACGACACAAACTCTGCCAAGCTACCATCATGACGCACTATTCAGACGGCCGACCAATTCCGAGCCCAGAGCACTTGTACCGCAAGATATGGCCAGTGCTACTCTACTTTGGCCATTCCGGTGTTATGCACGGCATCATTCTCAGAGAAGTTGACGGTATAGTGTACGAGAAACTTGGTGTTCTTTCACATCTCAAGGTCGACCCCCGGCCTGACTCTTCATTCCAGGATTCAGATCACCACTATCTGCTCAAGAGAGACTATGGTCCACCGCATAAGCCCCTGAAGTTGTACTGTGAGCGTAAAAGTATCATATTTAATTGACAGCTCTGCCATCTTTTCTATGCACGATGGTAGCATTCTACACTTCTCCAAAGACCCGATCGTGACTTTGACCAAACTCCTCTCAGACAGGTTCGGCCCCTTGCTGACTCCAAATCACGCAGCCGTTCTCGAACTCAAGCTCCATCTTGAACTCAATCTCCCAGAACTCGAAAACAGACTTGAACACGCGCGGTAAGAGCGAATGCGCATTTCTCCAGTGCACCCTGATGCAAGGCTGACCTTCATGCTTACTCGCATATCGGACATAGCAGCGGGCGAAATACAGGATCCAGATTATCTGTTCTGCGACAGTGTACTTATCGAATTGTCGAGTAGTGACCAGCTTCTGATAACGAGCCAATTCTTCGGCATCGGCGAGCGAAATATACTTCTTATGCGCAGCAGAGAGCAGGGCTAAGACGAAAATGAAGCAATATTCAGTGGGTGAATTGAGTGGTGGGAATTTGCGTTCGTCTTGTATGATCGAGATGCATGGTTGGAACTCGTCCAGTCTCTTGGACATGAGTCCCGTGGCTTCTTGTCGTATTCGTTTGCAGGTGGCAAGAAGCGCGACTGGGGGTACCGCGTAGTGGAGTGAGAGCATGCTCTCTCCAGTATCTCGAGCTTTTGATGCACCAGAACCGTGGATATATTGTTCTGGGGCGTGGCGCGTGAGCGTTTTCGTGATTATTGTGAGTGGCAACTGCTCGTAGATAATGATACGCAGCTCTTTTGGCAGTTCCAGGAATCGAAAGGAGAGTTGATCACCCATGCCGAAAGCTGCGCGTTGGTCAGACAAAAATAAATTGGAAAGGTATGGAGTAGTAGAAGTTCCCAAACATGCGTGTTAATACAGTCAATCGGAGACCTTTGAGACCCTCTTTTTGGTGAACCATAGTCCAAGACCTTCAACGGCCGACGCTATAACATTTCCTCCGCAACCCTAAAATATGCCCAGTGATACTCCAAGTTTGGTAGTCAATAGACAACCTATAGAGGATCGATTCCCGAGTGCATTCTTACCCAAGCCTCTTCTCCACCACTAACGACTTTAACGACGCCAGTCTATATCGCGTTCTGATGACCAGGAAGGAAGGCCGACTTGATCGTCTTCAAAAGGCACCCGGCATGCCACCTTCATTTGCATTAGAACAATACCAAAAGATCGCTCATAACTCATACTAGTCAAACATGTAGAACTGTTCACTGGAACCGAGTTAACTGAGATCCCCGTCGACTGTACGTTGAGGAGGCAACCGGTTCGCTGCGAGTGCATGGTCGTGTAGTTGCAGAGCCTCAGAAGGCGATCAACGACGAGGTCGGCGAACGACTCGGGCATCCACACGTCTAAATAGAACGCCTGTATCGTCCAGTCACTTTCCGTGCATGCCGAAGCAAGGAGAACTTACCGGTGGAGAGAGTTGTGTTTGGTCCGACAAGTTGTACGCTTCGTCCCTATGGGTACAGATGAATATGACGGCAACAGACATCTCGCCATCTTGGAGATAGCGAGAGAGCTGGGTGTGTGTACCATTAAAAGTCGGCTGATGAGCCATCATCGAGGCCTTGATGTACGGTTCAGCTTCGGCGTTGATGAGTTTGCACGTAGCCAAGAGTGCGGTTTGAAATGTTGCGAGTTCCAGGTGCATGCTTTTATTGGGCCTGCTTGCAACCAAGAAGAGGGATTCTGTGGTGACAGGTAGGCATTCGTATACCTTGAGTCGAAGCTCCTTCGGAAGGTCGAGGAAGCGGAAAGGCTGGACCATGGTCGCGACCGGCGATCAATGTCGCAAGATGTCGGTTGGGAGAAAAAAGTGAGCGAGCTCAGAGTGAAAGTGAGCACCGTTTGTTCCAATACGCTGCGTCGTCACGTGCACGTGCCCACCAGCGTGGCTTAAGGTTACCTAGGTAACTCGGGAGAGTACCTTCACTGACCTAACCTAATACTTCCATAGACTAGCTGAGACAGCTGCAGCAGTACTCCACTCCGCTACATACTCGATGTGGCCAGCGTGATGATACACAACCGCGACATGCGACCTTGCCTAGATAGAAAGCAAGTGCAATATCATGATGCTTCGCATTCGGTACTGAGGGGGATATAAGTGTTCCAAGTTCCATTTGAGGGAGCGCATCGTGTACCTACTCCATCATCTGTGATTAGCATGAACGTTCGCAATGCTGCGCAATCAAATTCAACGAAATTAAGCGGAGATCAATATCGTCTACGTACTTAAGACACTAAACGTCAGCGTCAGGCACAGCATTCGCCCTCGCCCAATCCTTGATGTGATCAAAGTTCCTACACACATGCTCGCTCTCATAATCCGGCCAGTAGCCGCCCATACCCTGCTTACCCTCCTCTTCGGTCGGATGAAACGTGAAAACATTCACATCGGAAAGACACATGAGGTTGATTCTCAGGATCTCGATGCAGTGGTCCAAATGAGCGCGCACCTTCTCCGGTGGGTCGTTGGTGTCGCTCCATGAGATTTTCTGGTAGTGGTCTGGGTATGTGCTCATGCGTAGAAGGTTGAGGCAGTGCAGCTGGTGGAAGACTTCAATGCCAACGCGGTACCCGGTTTCGCCGGTGGTAGGGTCGGTGACTTGCATTGCGTCATCTGGCTTTTTGAGTTTGGGAAAATCGGTCTTGGAGACCATCTGGTCAGGCACTGTGATGTGTAAGCAAGTCGCCTCTGCAATGATTGAGATTGACACCTACGATATGCGATATCCATCCATGCGTTCTCTACGTCATCTGTAGTGCCAACATACTTGCTTGAGTTAAGCGGTTTTGATAGCGAGTACTTGACGTGTGAGTACTCGACTTCGTGCATGGCAGGCGAGAAGATGTCGAATTGGTCCATGAGTTTGGCTGCCGAATGGCCTGAGCTATCTTTTTGGCTCATGACAGCACATATCAGACTGAGCATAGAAAGTGTGAATATGAACAGATTGAAAAGTGTTAGGTAGACATAATTTCGCCGCCGCGTTGTCTCGGGGTCCTTGAGGTAGGATGTGTTCAGAAAGGCGGCGTTTTCATAGTCGTCATTCGAGGAGGCAGCAAGTGTTTGTTTCTCCATGTTTGTAGTATCTGAGTCGTGATATTTGCTGTGAAGGAGAGTGATTAAAGAGTATTATTGTTATTGTTGTTGTAAGTCGACCTGCGAGCTATGCGTTCAACGCAGAATGATGAAGGAAGCCTGAGATTCAACAACGAAAGAATGTTGCGCCTGGCAGACTGCAATCGAACAGGAAATACGGGGTGATCGCGCCGTGTGGCGTTTGTCTTCAGGCAATTGCCAGGGCATATGGTCTTCCTGAGGCAACAATAAGCGTATGCGACGACGCCAACCCACGACAAGCAACTGACAAGCCTTCTGCGACGCTTCGAGCGGGCTTTGTATCATGTTGTCGTTGGTTATTGTAGTGTTTGGGTTTCGAGATCCGCGCTAAGCCAAGTCTTGGGGTTTACAGTCCTTCACCACTGTTTCAGCTTGGCGATCGAACAAAAGTGGGGCCGTTTTCACGACATGACACAACTTGTGTAAGATAGGACGAGCCAGTGATGGTGTACGTGACTTATGTACGCGCTGAATTTTGCCGTCACTGTGTCGTGGTCCGTATTTCTGCTGCATGTGCGGACGCGGGCTGCTAAACCGCTGGGTACACAACCAATGGTATTGGCGCTCAAACTTCGACATGTTTCGTGCGTCAGCTTCAAGTTGAACATAGCGCTGAGGATATGGAAGTGATGGTATTGCCGCGCCGGAATAGCACGGGGCATTCTACTGGGTGTTTGACGCAAGCACAGCTAATGTTCGGTTGTTCCGGAAATGTCAATGTCGGGTGGGTGCCATCAGTGCCGTGTCGAGAGTGGAGATGGAATTTCATATGCCGCATCTTGCGCCTCCACTTCCGAACGTGAAATCGCGCGCTTGATCAGGAACGTGGCTCGTGTGGCAGGATTGGTAGCGCCTTTCATGCCGCAGTCCATGCGATGTCTCAGGAATCCAGGTTTCGTCGGTTCGCGCAAGCATCGAAGCGAAGGACACTGGGTAGGTGGTCACCCCATATAAGGTGGGTGTGTTCCAGAAAATATGTTGGCAAGCGTTGAACGTGCTCATTCCTTCTCAGACCTTCTCAGCCTGTTTCATCTTTACCATCTGCTGGCAGACCATTCCATTCATTCAAGGATACAACTGTTATAACTGTCAAATTTACAGCTTATTAAACATGAGATTTACCGCACTTACCCTATTGGCACTTGGTGCCTCGGCCACCGCATACGTCGTTAATGACAAGAAGATCGTGGCTGATAATGCTGTTGAGGCACGTGTAGCAGTAAGTCAATCACCACTCTACCTCGCGGCACCCGACTAACAGCCAGCAGGGAAGCGGCCCAGTCCGCGCATCCGCTCTCGTAGCTGCTATGCAAGCCCGCGACCCAGAGCCCCACCACAAGGGTAAAGGTCGCAAGAACAACAAGCGCGAGGTTGAGATTGAGGTCCGCGAGCCTCACCACAAGGGCAAGGGCCGCAAGAACAACAAGCGCGAACTTGAGATTGAGGTCCGCGAGCCCCATCACAAGGGCAAGGGCCGTAAGAACAACAAGCGTGACGAGGCCGATGAGACCGAGGTCGATGAGGACGAGGCCGACGAGGTGACCAAGCGCGAGCCTCACCACAAGGGCAAGGGCCGTAAGGGTAACAACAAGCGCGAGGTCGAAGTTGAGGCTCGTGAGCCCCATCACAAGGGCAAGGGCCGCAAGAACAACAAGCGCGAGGTCGAAGTTGAGGCTCGTGAGCCCCACCACAAGGGCAAGGGCCGCAAGAACAACAAGCGCGAGGTTGAGGTTGAGGCCCGCCAGACTTTCGACCAGGCTGCCGATGATGCTCACTGGGCTGACCTTCACACCCGTGACGCTGAGATCGAGGCCCGCGAGCCCCACCACAAGGGCAAGGGCCGCAAGAACAACAAGCGCGAGGTTGAGGTTGAGGCCCGCCAGACTTTCGACCAGGCTGCCGATGATGCTCACTGGGCCGACCTTCACACCCGTGACGCTGAGGTCGAGGCCCGCGAGCCCCACCACAAGGGTAAGGGCCGCAAGGGCAACAACAAGCGCCAGACCTTCGACCAGGCTGCTGATGACGCTCACTGGGCTGACCTCCACACCCGTGACGCTGAGATCGAGGCCCGCGAGCCTCACCACAAGGGCAAGGGTGGCAAGAAGGGCAACAACTAATGGTTGTCGTTGATGAGACGGCTCTGACTGCAGTGCAGTCATGGTCTGAGATGAAATAGGGTGCAGTGGCCAGAGAGAGAGTGTTGTTATAGTTGCGCTTGGAATTCTACCTGTAAATTGTACATGGCCATTAGCCCAAGCTCTAATGAATGATTTTTTGTACTACAACGTGGCGGACGAGTCGAGAGAAGTGACTACTTGAGCGTGCGGGTTCGCCGTTCGCAGCTTGTGATTGTCGTAGGCGTGTTTGAAGCTGGTCACACCTCAGTGACTAGGGGGTTGAATGTGTTTGTGCATAGCATTCAATTATCAATTGAACATAATGCGCACCGCATGAGCAGGGACTTCTTGCGTCTATGCCTACCTCAATAGTTTGATCATGGACACCCTGCCTCGAGAGCTTTTTGATGCAGTCTTGCAGCAGCTTGCCGACTACAGTTTCCCTGAAAGCGCACGGTTTCCCGTGCTTGATGATACGTCGCGACAAGCAATTCTGACTGCACGATTAGTTGGCCACTGCTTTTGCAGTTCAAAGAAGCTCAATGACCTCTTCATCATGGTGCTGGAGGAGACGCCGTTCATGTGGTGTCGCGATCAACAACCGAAACTGGTAGAGGTGTCGCGATCGAGGCTGGCCAGTCAAATGACAACATTGTCACTCTGTGGCATGAACCTGGACCCGTGGCATCATGGGGATGGTTTGAATCTGCTGTCACGCTCACGAATAGCAGCCATCTTTCCGAAGACTCTCACAAATGTGCTACGGAGATTTGTCTCCGTCAAGCACTTTCGATACTATCCGGTATCGCCGAAATCGTTTCGCGAACCCTGGCCGGGTTGCAAATCCGTACTCGATGCTGGCCCTAGAGCGCAATGGGGCTATCCTCCCGACGATGATTTGACTCACTCCTGGCTGAGTCAACAACATAGCCCATCTTGGATTTGCGGCGAAACGGTGGCCAATATTGAGGACGCAGGCCTAGCTTTGGAGAGCATTACATTTCCTCTTTTTGGTAACAGAGCGTCATATTGCGGTATTCAAGCAGCCTACTTCCCTTCAGCATTGAAGCGCCTCACAATCTCGTTGACGGATCGTTTCAACGAGGTTGCCGTGTTTGAGCCATGGCTGGACGCCCTTAGGAATCTCACGTTCCTTGAAGTGGCGATCTCGAGGAACCCCGAAAGCTTACAGCCTTGGAACTCTTTCGCTATTTGTCGGCATTTGACTAACAAGACAATTATTACTCCTCGTCAGCAGCTTCCACGGTTGGTTGAGCTACGAATTATGGCAGACAATCAAATCTGCTTTAGCGAACGGGATTTACTTCTAGGCTTGAGCTTGTTTCCCAATATGCAAAAGCTTGGACTTGCGCATATCTTGATCAAGTCGCAGTTCAATGACGCGTCTTCGTGGGAGGGCTTTGTCAAGCAGTTGATCCCGATGAACTTGAGGCGGTTGTGGCTGCTGGATCCACGCAATCTCTGCATCAATGATTACATGGGTCCTGGTGGGCACTACAAAATGGTGAAGTACAGAGCCAATGATAGTTTTAGGGCTGTGGCGAATGAGGTCCGACTGATCGACACCAACTCGATATGGGTGGAGGGCTTGGAGCCACCAAAGAGACGGAACTTTGATTATCCTGGATTTGCCATCTTTGAACAGACTTCTGGAGAAAGGCCTCTGTAGAATAGAGCTGCAAAAATGCCATTTCGGGTACTTTCAGTATGAGACTGTGTTCGGGCCCTGCTTTGCCCGGATCATACCGAAGGTTGTGATACTGATTACAGGATCCAGACTGCTCTTAGATCCAGCGAATGTGGGAGCTCAGCTTCAACGCTTTCTTGTTCGCCTAGGCGCAGGCTTCGCCTTTGTTCGATTCGTTCGTCGCGTTGTTGGGGCACTGTCTTCTTCTTCCTCTTCTTCAGACTCGGAACTAGAGTCGTCATCGTCCTCTTCCTCGTTCTCTTCATCCTCTTCAGAGTCCGAGGGAGACTGGGCCTTGGTGTTCTTGGCAGCGGCGCCAGCTTTTACGCCCTTCCCACCCTTGACAGTTGATCTACTGGCTCTTGTGCTCTTCTTCGGTGGCGGTGTTGCCTCGGCCACACTTTCATCTTTAGTCGAATGCACGCCATCCGGCACGTCTTTGAGCAAGCCGAGGCGTGGCATGTACAGTGCTTTCTGGTCCTCAATGGGTACCATAGGCGGGGACGAGGCGACAGATGATCCAGAGTCGTGGAAGCGTGACTGCCAGATCATCTCGCCAAATTCGCGTTCAGGAAGCTCAAAGTCGGGAAAGTCGCCAGCTTCCCCGCGATTGTTCGGATCGGGGCTGTCTGCGAAGATGAACTCATTTTCGCGCGCATCGAGCGTCTCGAGGTCATAAAGCTGGTCCAGCTTCTTCCAGATGCCGGGTATGCGTGTGTGCGGGGCCTTTTCAGACGCGAAGCCGTGGGAGGTCATGTCGTTGTGGATCGAGATCATACGGAAGTGCTTGTGTAGGCCTGTGACGTCAATCGACATGCTCAGCATAGGCTCGGGGGATGCCTACCGGTGGGCTTCCACTTCATCATGCTCTTCAGCAGCTGGATCTCCTGCTCGTCTTCCCATGGGTCGTTGAGCAGCTCGTCCTGCGACAGCGTGTTCGGGGCCTGTGGCGTTCCCGGCTGTCCATCGCCAAGCGGCGTTGATGCTGCGCTCGCCTTCGCCTTCTTCCGCGGCGGCATTATGGCTGGTGTTTGTTGATGGAGCTGAACAAGTCGTGGAATGGGAAGGGTGACGCGCTGCAGGCACACTGAAGCTAGATGTGCAGGGATGTCGTAGGGCTGAACCAATGCTTTCCGCGGCAAGCCCCACCCTCGTTCTGACCACCGTCCAGACAATGGACGACGACGATGCTGCATACAACCCGTTCTCGAGCAGTCACGTGTGGAACCAGACAGCGAGCAATGATGGACTGGGCACTCACGAGTCAGCGCTCTTCGCCCCCGTAGAGCTAGACAGTAGGTTCAGTCGCGTCGACTGTGCGTAAACGCGTCGCCGTGTCTGACCATGTCCAGTAAACTCCATAAGATTCGACCACCCGTATGCCCCCAAACATGATCTCGATCGCGAACTGCGACTGCCCGACTTGGACACATTCGACTTCGGCCCCTTGCCGGAGCTCGACAGCCTCGATGAGTCCAGCATCGCCATCGACACTCCACCACTCGAGCCGGAGGAGGACATCTGGGAGGTCGCTCTCGAACTAGGACCAGCAAATAAGGATGTCTTATTCTACACATGGGAAAGCTTTGAGAAGGGCGAACACATTGCTAGTGGCACTCCCTATGTCAGCGAACACGGTCCCAAAGCATTTGATGCTGCACTTGCTCATGACACCGCCAAGTTGCCGGCTGGCAGGGTCATCAGATCGAACATCCTTATCCAGTCGCTGTGGAATCTTGGCCTCGGTCGCTCGTCCATTCTCTTCCAATTCAACTACACGCTCAAGAGCTTCGAACCTACTATCGCAGATGGACGCCCCTCAGGAACCAGTCTGCTTGCAGCCCAGAGCCTAATAGGCCGCTTCGTGCATATTGGCAATACCTTTTTGTATCTCAGAGCCTTCGTCGAACGAACATTCACTTCAGCCAAGTCCATTCCAGCACGAGTTGCCCTTGCCACGTCAATTTCGAGCCTTCTTGAGACGCTGGAAAGTCATCTGGGTGGCCAATCAAGGAAAATATCATCCTTGCTTCAGCTACAGCGGCTATTCGCACGGCCTCGCGAGATACTGATACATGTCGCACGAATGACAGACTCGGTCAAGCATGCGAAGACCAATGAGCAGCTGGCGTCCATTCTCCATCACCGCATACTCGAGGTTGAAGAGAGTGACGGGTACCTGAGGCAGATATCAGGCAATATTCTGAGCCATGTTGCGGAACCTACTCTGCATCTGATTGGAGAGTGGATTGGTATTAGAGAAGAGCAGGGGCCGTTGCCGATCCACCAGAGAGGCAGTTTCGTGTCGGTCGAGGATGACACACCGGAGCAAGGTCCTCTGGAGTACGTCTACCAATCAGAGATGATGCCGAGATTCATCACTCCAGAGGATGGTAATCTCATCTTTGACACAGGCAACAGTCTGCGCTTCCTAAAGACGCAGCATCTGGATCATCCGCTTTCCAACTTGGACAAATTCGACGTACAGGCCCCAGAGTTGGAGTGGGGCTTTGCGTGGCAAGACATCGAATCCGTCGCAACGAAGGCCAAGATCTACGAGGAAGCGCTTCGCTCAACAATCCTTGAGCTCACTCAGAAGAAAGAAGCCGCAAGACCAAAGTCCTCACGCTCCTTTGATGTACCGACAAATCGCCCTGCAGACCAGCACAGCTCAGATCTCGAAAGTTACTTCGAAAAGTCTATAAAGGAGATGAACGCCCAGCCTGGGCTTTTCAAGAGAGGGTTGCCAGATGATCTCCACAACCTCCTCGAGGACATCCTCGCCCATCAGATGAAGCCCGACTCCAACACATTTGCCCCGCCTCTATCTATCACATCTGCACTGTCATTCCGCCCGCTCATCACTGCTCAGGCAAAGCTGGTCAATGCAGCAACCCTCCGCCTCTTTTTTCGGGCTCATCAGCTACGGCATCACCTGTCTCTACAACGACAATATCACCTCCTTGGCGATGGCGTTTTCTCCTCGCTTCTGGCTTCTGCTTTGTTCGACCCCGATCGCGAAAGCGCAGAACGTCACAAGGGCAAGATGCGCAGCGGTGTACAGATGGGACTGCAGCTTGGCTCGCGCACAGCCTGGCCCCCAGCAAGCTCCGAACTTCGTCTTGCTCTTCGTGGTGTCTTAAGTGAAAGCTACTACACTTCTGCCCTCTACCGATCCAGCCTTGCAGCAGACCTGGCCCCCGCGGCCAGCACTACCATAACCGGCAGAGACACGGACTCACTTCCGGGGCAGCTCAACTTTGCGATTCGCAATCTTACCGAAGCCGAACAGACTCTTGTCATGGATCCCGACGCGCTTCCAGCACTGGACTTCCTACGCCTGCAGTATGTGCCACCCCCGCCTCTCCATCTGGTCCTCACGACTGCTTCTCTCGACAAATACGACACCATTTTCAAGTCGTTACTCCGCCTTGCGCGTACCCTCTTCGTCGTCTCCCATCTCCCTCGCCAGTACGCAAACCTCACAGCCTGCAAGTTCAGGAGCGAAGCTCACCACTTCGTGACTACGTACACAAACTACGTCTTCCAGAGTGGTATTGCAGAGCACTGGGACGAATTCGAGGACTTTGTGTTCACGCTGGAAAGGAAGCTCGATGAAGAAGACAAGGCCGGGGAGCTGGGCGTGCGGGTTACAGAGGGTGTATCGACGCTCAGAGATGCGCACGAAAAGTGTTTGGACAGCATCATGTTCTCCCTGCTTCTCCGGCGCCGACAGCGCAAGGTCGTTGCATTGGTGGATGAGATCTTCGAGTTTGTGCTGGCTTTCGCCAAGCTCCAGAGGAGCGAAGCGAATGGCGATGAGGGAAGCGCGACAGTCGAGGAGCTGTACGCTAAGCTCAGGGGCAAGATCAGGGTGTTCCTGAGCGTCTGCCGAGGGCTGACGGGCAAGAAGGGCTATGGGCAGAAGGGCACGACTGAAGAGAATAGCATTGAGAGGCTGGTCGTGGCGATGGAGATGAACGGGTACTTTGCAAGCTGAGAAGAGAGTTGCGTCAAGCTAGCAAAGAATTTAACATGAGAATGTTGTTCTATGACAAGGGAAATCCACTCAAATTTGAGTCTGCTCTTCTCTCCTGTCGGCTGTGGGGCTGGAGAAACTGTCGTCTGAAAACACCCTACGACGGACAGAAGACGCTGGTGTGACAACCTACCTGGCACAAAGTTGAGAAGCGAACGCGAAACTGCTTTCTCAGAGCGACGAAAACTCTCAAGATGACCTGGCTCCATGGTTTACAGAGATTGTGCGTCCCACGCTTCTCTGCAGCAGAACGTTCGCTATGTTTACACAGATCCATTGAAATGACACCTTGGCCCACTCTCATGCAGTCAGTGTTCCAAGGCTCACAGGGGTGAGGAGTCTCGCAGCCACCGCGCTAACCACGCATAGATTACAGCAAACAGTGAAAGACTGGGCGCTACTTAAAGCCACGCAGCAGACTTCCACTTCGCACAAACACACCGAACCCAACCCGCACCAATGCAGCCCTTCCGCTTCCTCGACCTCCCCAAGGAGCTCCGCCTGATGGTCTACGAGCACCTCCCCAGCACGAAGTCGCACGTGACCCAGCACAAGGCACCCACGGCCTGCACAATGCACCGCACCACGTTCGCTACGGGCATCCTCGCCTCGTGCAAGTTCGTCAAAGCCGAGGCGGAGCCCTTCTTCACAAAGGCCCTGAAGACGTGCGTGCTGCGCATCACAAACCCGCTGGTCCTCTTCAACATCCCGCCGTCCACGCGCTCGCACAGCACGTTCGCGCACTTCCTGCTCTCGGACCGCGCGGAGAAGTACGTGCCGGAGAGCAGCTTCCACCCGCAGGCGGAGGTGGTACGTGGTGCCGTCCTGTGCCTCCCCGTATAGATGCTTTGATAACGCTGATCTGCAGTTCATGAACAAGTGGGTAGCCCTGTTCAACGCAACGCGCGCCTACAGGCCGGGCGACGGGCTGGGCAAGCTCGGGGTCTACGTCGCGCTCGCCTTCAGCAAGAATGGCCGGCGCGGGTGCAGAAAAGTGCGCGTCTCGAGACCCGTGCATGAGTGCGTGGACTGCAGGCGCAATCAGTCTGCCGCGGACAGGGTGCGGGGGTGTCGGGCGCAGGCGGAGGAGGCGATGGAGTTGGTGTTCTTCTTTGAGTTTATGGAGGGGGGCGACGGGAAGGTGCGGCGCAGGGGGGGGGAGGGCTTCGTGAGGGTGTCCGGGTAGAGGGATGTGTACACTGTACAGTACACTGTACACATGTACTCTGCCTTTCTTCCAGCAGTGACAAATTGCGACTCCAGCATTTCACTAGCAGACAAATTGTCTCTGAAAAGTCACATCGTACGCAAACACGAAATCTCATCTGTTTCGAACAGCATCTCAACCTGTTCTCGTTCCCTGTGTGATAATGCCGGTCCGTGTGACCACACTCACCCATCGTCCCCCGCCGACCCCAGCGCCCGTGAATCTTCTACCATGCAGCGTGCCCCGTCTGCGTAACCGCCACGCCACCCGAAACCCTAGCCATCCCACGCACCACACCCCCTCAACGCATGGCAGAACAGGAGACGAACTGAATCCTCTATCTACCTTGAGCAGCGACTGTGTCTATGAAGCAGTATGTGTATGTACCGCGAAACCACAACACAGCTTACAACCCTTGTCTGCCCACGAGACGTCCGCTCACGAGGCGAGAACTCGGGAACTCGAGAACATACACACCATCCCGCAGCGTCCGCAAGTCGCAAGTCGCAAGTCGCAAGTCCCAGGTACCTAATATACACTAACCCAGCGTCCAACGGCAGCGACGTGGCGCATGCCATCCTCACCCCGTGTGTCGCGCCATAGGCTGCGCGGACGCGGGGGGTCGCGGATGCAGAAGGCGTGCATATGCTGCTGGGCAGAGTTGTTGCAATACATACGTATCTAAGTACATACTGGGTTGCACTCTGCTTGCATCCAACAAGGCACATTGCATCTCCGGATGCATGTGATACATGGCCTCGTCAACAAACACGACCGGCGTAGCATTGAACAGCCGTGGTCTCGCAACCCAGTCGCCGTCCAACGAGCCCCCGGTCTAGGTACCTGGACTTCCGTTTTACTTTTGCTTTTGCCGGGCGCTGGGGCGGTGCCTGGACGCCGTGCCTGGACGCCGTGCGTGCTGGAGAACGGGACTGCATGGGTAGCATGGCACTGCATGGGTACAGTAACACAGCACTGCACGTCGCTAGCTGCTTTGGGCCTGTTGGGCTTGGGGACGTATGTAGGACTGCTAGCTCGCTGCCTGGCACTGACAGCCGCTGGTGGTGCTTGAGCGGTCGGCACGACTGAGGTCTGGCGAACACTGGCCGTGGATGGCTCCCCGTGCTCGACCATTTCGTGGTCGAAAGAGGTCCGACCCGTGGTGTACGCATGTCTTCCTGCATCAGTGTGAATAGCTTGGGTAGGTAAGGCACAGCACAGCACACCAGAGCCCAAAAGACGGGAGCAAATCGAGAGAAACGCGTAACGTGCGGTGCGCGATTACTACATCGCAACTCTACATCTACGCAACCCTCGCTCCCAACAAACTCTCGTATCGTACTTCCGCCATGCTACACTCCCCGTCTACACCGCCTAACCAGCATGCTCGACAATCTCACTCACCACCTTGCCGTCCTGAATGAAACTGCGAATCTGCTCTGGGAGCGGGTTCTCCTTGTAGTCGTCGTCCACGGGGAGATTGATGTTGATGCTGGAGCACTTGGAGGTGAAAATCTCCGTGTTCTGGCTGTCCTTGCCGAGGTAGATGGTCGCGCCGTCGACCTGGTCGAGGAGGACGGTGGGCAGGGTGCCGATGACCTGCAGGGCGAAGTTGGGGCACTTGATGACGTCCACAGAAGACACGAGCGAGTCGATGATGATCGAGGTGCGGGATGAGTTGTCGATGGAGATGGCGTTTGCTTTGCCGCTGATGCGGATGGTGGTGTTCTTGCAGCGCGAGATGAGGACTGAGTGGTTGATTTCGGCGTCGAACTCGATGATGTCGCCGGGGCTGTCGAAGTTATCCTGGGGAGTTAGCTTAATCTCAACAGTCCACACACACAACTCACGATGATCCACTTGTTGCCATCCAGCTCCTTCTTCGGCGGCTTCTTGGTGCGCATTGTGTCGGGCTTCCGCGGGGGCGCAGGGCTCTTGCCGCGCAGGGAGCTGTTGCTGTCGCTGCGCGTGGGAACCGGCGCCTGTGCTCGCAATGACGGGTTCTTATGTGTCATCTGGCTTTGGTCGACCTTCTTCAGCCCCCGTGTGACATCAGCGCCCTTGTTAAGGTCGTCGAACATGGCACTCATGTCGGGCGCGGCCTTCTTGGCTGGCGGGGCTGCTCCAGGGGGCGGAGGCGGGCCTGGTGGCGGCGGCGGGCCGGGCGGAGGCGGGATGCCGCCCGCTGGCGGTGGTGGCGGTGGTGGTGGAACTGCACCGGCGGCTGGGCCTGAGGCGCCCGCGACCTGCTTGGCGGCCTCCTTTGCGTCGATTCCGTTGCTGTTCCAGGCGACGCCGCTGGGGTGGTGCTTCTTCGCGTACTCGGCGAGGGCCTTGAAGAGCTTGTAGTAGGCCTGCACCCACTCGACGTTCGTCTTGTCGGGCTTGTCGCGGTACTCCTTGAGCACCTTGTTGCCGTACATCTGGGCGCCGCCGAACAGCTCGGTGATGTACTCGTGCGGCTTGGGGCCGCCGCCGCCGCCGATGGTGACCCAGCCCAGCGACCCCACGCCGTCAGCGACCATGGACAGCGGGTCCTTGAGGGCCGGGTCGCCGCCGCGGCTGGTCTGGCGCACCTCGTCGGTCTTCTCCATCGAGGCCTGCAGGTCCTTCAGGAAGCCCATGATGGTCTGGTCGTCGGGCTTCTTCGCCTTGTTGGCGATGGTCAGGAAGGTGCGCTGGGCGGCGAAGGCGCCCTCGACGGCCTTGGACTGCGTCTCGATGACGGTGCCCAGCTTGCGGCTCAGGTCCAGCCACGTCTTCAGCTCGGTGCGCACCAGCTCGTCGAAGGCGGCCACGGACGGCGGCAGCTCGACGGCCTGCGGCGCGGGCGCGGCGGGCGCGGCGGGCACAGCGCCAACGGCCACGGTGGCAGGGGCGGCGCTGCGGGAGCTCTCGTCGGCAGAGAACGACGACGAGGCAATGTCCTCCAGACGGGAGGTGGCGGCCTCGAGCCTGCGAATCATCGACGTCAGCACTCCGTCGGCCTTCCTGTGTCCGTCCGGACGCAGGCCGCTCGCGCAGCGCTCAGCGGCACTCATGGCGGTGCGGTGGGCGGTGCGGTGGACGGTGGTGGGAGGAGCGGTAGGGATACACACCGCTTTATTAACGTGGTCAAGCTATTCATATTGTTCTGGGCCATGGCGGCGGGGAAGGCACTGCTCGTGCAGGGAAGGCGTGTGCTACGGCCAGGAGCTCGGGAAGGTGACAGACAACGGCCAGCTGCAGCGTGTGCGCGCGTTGTGCGCTGGGGCGCTTTCAGACAGGATCGGCAGAGCGACGGAGCGTTGGACGGGCCCGTGTGCGGCAGATGGAGAGCTGCGGCCTGGACAATGCGACAGAGGTACGTATTCCGGTCAAGGAGTCGTCGGTACAGCTGCTCCCTCAGGCGGATCGCCTGCCACGGCCCACGTTGGCGCTAGTGCTGCAGGCCCGCCACGCCGGAGCTCCCTGCATCAGCGCCGCGGGGGTCTGTGAATGGTCGGGTTCCACGACACCTGAATCTTGAGTCTGCTCCACGAACGCTTCGGGGGCGGCCATCTCACGTACAGCTGTGCCGGTGCCAATCTCAGCGGCCGACAGTCTCTCCAAACAGCGGCCCCGCAAGCAGTCGGCACAATCACGAATGCTCCGAAGTCGCTGATAAGACGTCTTCCAGAGCAGCAGAAAGCTTGCAGCACCAACAAACAAACACCATGGCAAACATGACTTCGACTATCGACTTCTGCACGCTGGGCATGTTCATCATTGACGAGATTGAGTTTGCCCCGCCAAAGCCCCCGGTCAAAGACATTGTCGGTGGCGCCGGCTCCTACTCTGCACTCGGCGCCCGTATCTTCTCGCCGCCCCCGCAGTCGAGAAGCGTTGGCTGGATCGTAGACTGCGGGTCCGACTTCCCTGCTGAGCTGCGAGACTACATTGCGTCATGGGAGAGCGGTGCGCTGGTCCGTGAGACACCTGACCGACTGACCACTCGCGGGTGGAACGGGTACGGAGACAACGAGCACAGGGGTACGTAGCCCCTCAGCGCGAGGTGGCACATCTGACCGCTGCAGCATTCCGGTACTTGACTCCGAAGCTTCGCGTCACTCACGAAGACGTCAAGGATACGGACCTGTTGTGGGCCAAGTCGTTCCACCTGATTTGCTCCCCTGCGAGGTGCATAGAGCTCGTCAAGAATATCCTGGAACTGCGTGTCGTAGCTTCTCCCACGACCGAGCGCCCGCAATTCATCTGGGAGCCGGTGCCAGATCTTTGCACGCCTGGAGAGTTTGAGAACTGCCTGGAGGCACTCAAGCACGTGGATGTCGTGAGCCCCAACCATGGTGAGCTCGGCGGCTTCTTCGGCGAATCGACCGACGCAGAGCAACATGTCAACTTTCGCCTCATCGAGTCACTCTGTGAGCAGTGGCTGGACAGTGGGATAGGGCCCAATGGCAGCGGCGGCATTGTGTTGAGGAGCGGGAAAGACGGGTGTCTGGTGGCGCGTCGCGGCTCGCAGAAGTGGCTGCCTGCGTACCACCAGAACAGCGAGAAGGTGGTGGACCCTACTGGCGGCGGCAATGGCTTCTTGGGCGGGTTAGCAGTCGGGTTAGTTCGCAATGGCGGCGTTGCGGAGCTCGAGGAGGCTGCGGCGTGGGGCGCGGTATCAGCAAGCCTTGCAATTGAGCAGGTGGGCATGCCGGTGCTGGCACACAGCGCGCAGGGCGAGACGTGGAACGGGATTCGGGTCGAGGAAAGACTCGCAGAGTTCAAACAGAGGCTTGGTAGATATGTACAGCCGTAATGCGCATTGGTTGTGTGGTATGGCGGAAATGTGGTTATGGTGGTTGTGTTATGGTGGTGATGTGGTTATGTGGTTATGTGGTTATGTGGTATGGTGGTTATTGTGGTTATGTGGTATGGTGGTTATTGTGGTTATACTGTTATGGTGGCCCTACTCTCCTGTCCTGCCCTGTCCTACTGCCCCTGCTCCTTCAGCTTCTTCTCGTGCTCGACAATCTGCCTGCTCCAGCTGCGCGGGTTAGCGGTGGTCTGCAAAGCAAAGCGCAGCGACTATGAGCTATGAACTCATCGTCACCTGCAAGTGGACGGCGGACGTACTAGCGACTGGGGAAGAAGCGGCCCTGCTCGGGCATCTTGTCGCGGTACTCGCGCTGCGCGGAGACGGTCCAGGCCATGCCGACGATGCTGACGAGGACGAGGCCGACGACGGCGGTGTTGCCCTTCCAGTTGTTGGGCTGCGCATACCAACCGCCGGATGGCGACCAGACGTGCTTGGGGTATCTGCGGGCGTCAGCGGGCGGCGAGGCATTGGCGGGCGGCGCGGCGGGCAGCACTGCGGGCGGCACTCACGGGATCTTGCCTCCTCCGCCCATGGTGAAGAGTGGCTGTGGGTATGGCTGGGGTGGGTGGGCGGCTGCTTGGGGTGCGGTCGGCGTGCTGTGAGGGCTCCCGCTAAGGCGGTCTTGGCGCCTCCCAAATTCTCAGAGCGACGGGCGCGACGAGACGAGACGACAACGAGCCCGCCCGCCGCCCGCCGCCCCTCCGCCTCACCTTCGTCCACGCCGGGTCCGCGTCTCAATGCAGCGGCTTCCTCTGTCGCGGTGTGCCGCGCAGGCCTCACAATGGCCGCCCGCCCCGTCGCGCTGCCTCTACGCCGCCCAGCGGTCCATCACAGCCCGCCGTCACGGGACACCGACACAGACACGCAGCCAGACGACGACATCGATGGCCCGTGACGCCCTGGGCGAGCTGCCCGCCGCCTCGTCGCTGCCCGCCCCTCGCGCGCCCAAGAAGCGGCCGCCGCCCGCGCGCCTCGAGAAGCTGCCGTCCCCACACCCCAGCGCCGCCGAGCGCAGCATCAAGCTGCACGCCCTGCGCAGCCGTCTGTCGCTGCCGCAGCGCTTCCCGCTGCAGACGCTCGCCCGCACGCTCGTCCACCCCTCGGCCGACGCCAATCCCGCCTTCAACAACGGCTCGCTGTCCATCCTCGGCCGCCATCTGCTCGGCTACTACACCACCGAGTGGCTCATGTGCAACTACCCGCGCCTGCCCATGGCCGTCGTCTTTGCCGCCGTCGACGCCTACGTCGGCCCGCGCGCCCTGGCCACCGTCGCCAGCGAATGGGGCATTGAGGCCGCCGCTGAGCCCGGCGGCGAGGTCGACCCGGGGCTGCTGCAGTTCCGCCGCATCCAGGCGGGCGCCGACCTGCCCGCCGCCCTGCGTCGCCAGGCCCCGTGGAGCTGGAACGTCACCACCACCCACAAGATCATGAAGACGGACGAGTTCGGCTCCGACCACGCCGCCCCGGCCGCCCATTCCCTCAGCGGCACCCCCGTGCCCACCGAGCTGGCCGCCCAGTCCTTCGTGCGCGCCCTCGTCGGCGCCCTGCACCTGCAGCTCGGCGCGCCCCTCGTCAAGCGCTTCTTCCGCAGCCACTTCACCAGCCGCCACCTCGACCTGAGCACGCTCTTCGACTTCCGCACACCCACCCATGACCTCTCGCGCCTGTGTGCACGCGAGGGCTTCGAGTCGCCCGTCGCCCGTCTCATTTCGGAAACGGGTCGCCTGAGCAGACACCCCGTGTTCGTCGTCGGCGTGTACAGCGGCAAGGACAAGCTGGGCGAGGGCGCAGGGAGCTCGCTCGACGAGGCCCGCACACGTGCCGCCGCCGCCGCGCTCAAGGCCTGGTATCTGTACCAGCCGCTTGACGTCACGGTGCCAAGCAGCACAGAGGGCGAGCTGGACACATCCAAGTGGCGCCCCAACTTCATCGACTGCGGTGAAGTTATCGTGTAGACGAACCCCGGCGCATTGAGAGATTTTAGCATGGACTGTACGCTTAGATGACTCGCATCTTCTTCACCTGTACACTTTGGCAGACGGCTTGGACGAACGCAGCGGAGAGCGGGCAGCGCATAACGGAGCAGAACAGACGGACAGAACAGGACGATACAGAGCAAGGAGCGCTGAGCTAAGCTGGGCGAAGCACGGAGCAGAGCAGAGCAGAGCAGACGCAGCACAATACGAGACATACAGCACCCCCTCGGCCGCACCTCAGTGCCGCATATTCTAGCCGCCACAGCATGTACCATACGTGACCCCACTCGGACAGACCCCCGAGATGGCCACCTTTTGTAAAGAATACCAAGACGACGTTGCATCCCCATTGTCTCTCCATCGCATGTGAACGCCCGACTGCTGACGCCGCGCTTGATAGGGTAGGGTGTGGAAGTGTACACGTGACATGTCAGGAGCACCAGTGCAGACAAGACAAAACAGTCCCATGTCTAAGTGTGTATGTATGTACAGGAGAATATGCTAAGCCAGCCGCTGGAGTGATAAAGAGACGCCAGAACGAGCAAGAAAAAGGGGGTATCATCGCGCGTGGCGGACGGGGGGGTCGTTCGCGCGTGTTGCTGCTGCGCCGGTTGTGGGGGGAATGCAAGGAGATGGTGGGGATCGGGACTCTTGTCCTCTCGCTCTCAGAACCGGGGAATCTCTCAGCTCTCGCTCTCTCAACTCTCTCAGCTCTCGCTCTCAGAGCTCTCGGCTCTCACTCTCAGAACTCTCACCTCTCGCCTCAAACCCACCCTCACCACCCACCCGCCGGATCCAGCTTCCGCGACTGCTGCGAGAAATACCCGTCAAACACACTCAACTCGGGCCTCCGCGGCGGCGACCCGCGCCTCATCTTCACCGCCTCGCCATCGCCCATCCCGCCCCCCAGCGCCTGCCCACTATACCCGCCGCCGTCGAGACTGCGCCGCCGCCCGCCCGCCACCTTGCCCGTCCCCACACTCCCCATGATGACGCTCATCTTAACCCGCTCCTTCGGCCGCGCCGCCACCATGCGCTCCACGATGCCCAGCCACTCGGCCTCGGCCCTGAGCTGCCGGAGCCGCCGCCCCGACCCCGTGGCGCCCGCGCGCAGCCCCGCGTTCGTCGACGCCACGAGCCGCGTGCGCCAGCTCCCCACCCGGTCCAGGTGCGCGTGGAACGACGCGTCGTGCGTCGAGCCCGCCCGGTACTGCGTAAACGCCGCCAGGCTCTGGTTCTGCGCCACCGTGAGCACCGCGAGGAACACGCAGCCCAGCGCGAACACGTCCGCGGGCCGCTTGGCGCGCGACACGATCGCCTCCGGGGCTGCGTAGATGTATGACTGGTCCGAAAGCGAGGCGGAGAGCGTGTCCGGGCGCGACGGCGGCGCGGGCGTCGCCGGGCTGAGCGTCCCCGTCGTGGTGCCCAGTTCAAAGGGCGCGAGCAGGATGTGCGAGTTGTGCACGAGGATCTTGCGCGGGCGGATCGCCCGGTGGCAGATGGAGTGCGCGTGCAGGTATTCCAGCGCCGAGGCGAGGTCGTACATCCAGTCGACGAGCAGGCGGGAGCGCGAGGGGTCGCAGCCGGGCATGGCGAGGTAGTCGTCGAGGCTGCACTGGGCCTTCTCGACCACGATGCCCACGTGACTTGGCTGCGCGTACGAGCAGAGTAAGCGAGCTATGTTCTTGTGGTCCAGCTGCCTGAAGCGGGAGATCTGGTCCAGCAGCGCGGCTTTCTGCGAGGGCCGCGTGGTAACAAAGCGCTTCCGCACCAGGACCCGGTCGTCGCTGCCGCCCAGCAAGCGCACCTGATCGACGCTCTTCTCCGAGTTCTTCGAGATGCGGATGAAGCCCTCGGACAGCAGCGGCACCGTCTCGCGCGCCACGAAATCCACATGGCTGCCGTTCAGCGGCATTTCCTTTGCCGTCGCGCGCCACTGCTCGTCGACGACTTTGCGCGCATTTGCGACGATGCCCTGCAGCCGGTCCTCCGGGAACGGCAGGCTCTCGTCGCGCAGGTCGAAGAAGGATGCTTGCCGCCACGACGCGACGTCGTCACACACATACAGCAGAATCGCGAGACGCGGATTGGACAGCGTCCACTGCCAGATTCTCTTGATCTGGCCCGCATCCCAGCCCTGTTTTCGACAGAGATCATAAAACCACCCGGAGAGCGACTGGCCCTGCGAAGACAGCGCGGACGTGTTGATGAAGCCGTGCACGAGCGGGGTCAGAGGAGCCACGGGCTGACGATACGGGTTGGGCGAGCCGGGAAAAGTCGAGCTTGATGGTGTAGGGTACTCTGAGGTTTGGTAGGGATCGCCGACCACCGAGGCGGGCGGAGACAGGGGGACGAATCCTGCCATGGGCTTGATAGGCCGCAAAGGTTGTGGCGCGATTGGAGTCGGCGTGGTCGACCGGCTGGTGTATGGTGTGGTGCGCGGTGGACTGTGATTGGGTGACACTCGTGGCGACTTGCTCGAGGCCACCGAATTTGGACTCATCATTACATTAGACCAAGGATTGTTGTTTGTCGTGGTGGGTGTAGCACTTCGGCTGGTTGATGTGGATACCGAAGAAGCTGTCGGAGACGAAGGTCCGCGGTTGAACCAAGCTGGCTCTTCGTGCAAATTGACCATGGAAATCGTATGCGACAAACTGTACTGCGGCTTATGGTGGTCTCCAGGTGTTCGCCATGGCGAGTTGGAGGTGTGCTGCATCGTCAACACGTTTCCTGGTGTTCGTATGGAGCGAGGTGGTGCTAGACAAGCAACGTGACCGCTGTGATTCAATGTAGAGCACAGCAGCTAACTCAACCTGAATAGCTATCGCCAAAGTCTATCCAGCATTCCCAGATTAAGATTGTGAAAACAATAACTGAGATTGAAAAGACGTTGGGCGCAAATGCCGCAATCACCAGGAGAAGTACTGGGGCAGGACCCGGGTCAAGACGACGCTCCCCGAGGGTTGGTAAGGCTGACCTCCATCAACAGCGCAGAGGCTTTTGATGTGCTGGCAGCGAGTCGCCCGCATTTTGTGCCACATTAGTAGCAGGTAACAATATATGTCCGTAGGCTTGCGTGTTGGGCGAATGCAAACTGGGCAGCATCGCACCGTTAGGGCATAGTCACATGCACGCGAACGTGGCCACCTGAGACTCGCCTCTTGCGCAAGAGAGCGACTTGTGCGTATGTTCGCAGGCAGTCAACTCTCTGTGGTGCCAGATCACCCAGGGACTCGTGTGTAGCGCGCGAGCCGTCCCGACGGTGACTCCGCCGCAACCGTCATTCGTGATGGTGGGTGAGGCTGCCGATTTGCTGCAGGATCAAGGCTGCAGTGTTACGAGCACGTGCATGTCTTGGTGCAGGACTGTCCTGCTCGACGGCTCAGAGGGACCCAGTGTTCCCGACGAGGTGGAGGGTCTTGAGTGTTGGTTACTCGGTGATCCACAAGCACTAAGCCACAACAATCAGCGTCACCTGCTCACCGTATCTTCTCGGCACGCAACGGCGGGGGCTTCGGTTGTCCATGACTGCGGAGATTCGACGATTGAGGAGGTCGTTGTTTCGTGTCAGCGTGTCGAGGACAGCGGATGCTTATCAGCATACGGAGCTCGTGGAAGCATCTCTCCGTTAGGCAGGCTTTACTACCGACAATGAGGGGTGTTGGGACGCGGCCACGCTACTGAAGATCCCACCGCTTACGGACCCATATTCTAGGAAGGTAGACGACTGCGATGCACGACGTGAAGTCGAGCAAGAGGCAGAGTTGAACGATGATAGAACGGAATATTTACGTCCGTGCGCTCAACAATGCAACTCTTGCATGCTGACCACCCTTCACCACCTCCATTCAACCATTCCAGAGCTCTGATCACGGCTCTTGACAGTTTGTAGGAATACATGAAGCACTCTGGATGTTTGACTTGCACGGCACGAGCATCCCCAGTAATATGAGGACCTCCAGAGCCGAGTCCAACAACTCATCCATGGAGCCAAGAACGCCTGACAGCTTTGCGCTTATTGGCAAGAACGACAGCGGAGATTTGCGATGATATGGAGACCACCTACGGTGATTGCCGCAGTGGCTCAACACCCTTGAGACGACCGTGGCGCGTACGACGGGGTCCACGGCACACGTGTGAGGGTGAAACCAAGCTCCCGGTAGAGCTCGGTAAGAACTTCAGCCGCAATTCTGATTGGCTACACGATCCTGGCCTCCAAAGCGCCCGACACGGAGCCTCAACACCAACCGTCTCAAGGGGCAGACCATCGTCATGCCTACTCCGGTCGCGTTCTTGCACGAAGAAACTTTCGCTTGGTCTCCGCCAGTGGAGTCTTAGGCTATGCTAATTCCGGACGCTGCTGAGAAACGCATAGCAGAATTCCGTGTCACCTGTCGCAGACTCGCGCAGCGCCGGTCTCATACGTGTAATGGCATTTCCGTCCAGGCTTGGTGCTGCTTCTTCAGTAGGATCCCAATTTCTGCTCACGTCATTGGAAGACCACCGTCGGACGCTCCAAGACAGTGGTTCCGTTCTTTGCCGCTGAGCCACTTTCTTATACACGTTTGTGCCAGGTTGTTGCTACTAATGACTCCCAGACAGAGCTGGTTTCTCACGGGCCGTTTCTAACTCTACACTCCTTCTTTCTTTTCTAAGCTTCGCTGCTAGGCACTCTCTTCTAGTACGCTGCTGGCCGGCTTGTCACTTCATACTAACAACTTTAATCAACCTTTCGGATTTAATATCGGTCTTCAGCATGTTGTTTAAGACCGTTGCTCTGGGTGGGCTGCTCGCTGCTGGACACGTAGCAGCCATCAAGCTGGGCGAGATCAACGCTGTCCTTCGACGAAGCGAAGACCTGGAGGATGTACTTCGACGCGACTCTGGGCTTCTCGCTACCCTTACACAACGGCAGGACGCCAACCCCGCCGATACCGCGCCATTGGCTTCATTAACACCAGCATCTGGAGATGCTTCGAAGGCGAATCTGGCAAAGTGGGAGGCAGACACAAAAGCAGCTTGCATGCAGACATTGGGGAATCTCAACGGCAAAGCCTCAAACCCGAGTGGTATTGCGGTCTGCTATAATGTACCTTTCCTGGACAACTCTACTGGTGTGTTCCAGGCCGAGCTTCGAATGTACAACGTATCAGCGCCCATCAATCCGTGGCAGAGCGTCACTGCTGCCGATGTCAGCATGACACTGTCGTATCTGGGTGCTACAGTCCAAGCGATGAACATGACCAACGTAAAGCGAGAGATCGGCGAAGCTCAGATTGAAGCAAGGTGGAGCGATGGAACTCTGGTCCAGCGACAAACCATCACCATGATGACCGAGCTGAAGACGCTCATGTATGTCGGCAAGATCAACTCCAACTTGATGGGCCCGGCTATGACAAGGTATGTGGATAGAGCGCGGAGCATGACCACCACTAATACGTTGCAGCGAGGCCCTCCAGCCGTTGCTCGTCCCTCAGATCGACCTCGCCGCACGTAACCCTGCGACGAATGAGGACGTCACCACCACCCTCTCTAACAAAGAGGCTCGCTTTGTCAACGGCGTCTTCGCTCAGAAGGCTGCGGACAACGCACCTTCCAATGCCGACCCAACTGCTGCTGCCGCCGCTACTTCTGCTGTGTTCCTGGCCGCACCTTTCGTTGTCCCCGGCACAGCTCTCGCTTTCTTCCCCATCGGCTTGGTCGTGACCGGCATCTGGACCGTGTTCTTCATCCTTTCCGTAGGCCTAGGCACATTCGGTCGCATTCAATTCCGCGACCAGTACAGGAGACGCATGGCCGCGGAGAAGGCCAGAAGCGTGCGCACGATCTAATACAGTAAACCAGAACGTTCCTTACGAGTACTCTTTCCATAGACATTGTACATAATTAACATCCTGGCGATGCACTCAAGAATGCAGGAATGAGCCGGAATTGACGGGCGATAGGCCCTGTCCATATGATTTTATTGATGGAGCACGAAAAATATAGGTGTATTTTTCGTGCTCTGTCAATAAAATCATATGGACAGGGCCTATATTAGAAGTACATCAATACAAAATTGAAAACAATCGGTCATCATGAGCGAGGTGGACTCATTGTGATATAAGACTCACACTCAAGATACCGTGGATAGCCGATGCAGCATTTCTATTGGTCCGGAGCGGCATTATCATGATGCTGGTCCGCGAACGGCTACCCGGCCCCACTAAAACACCACGCCCTACAAGTCTGTGCCTCCTACATGTATGACTGCATTGCAATTCAGGATGCCTGAGTCACTTCTAGAAGTATACAAATAGAGACGGAATTGCCACTTTATATCTACAATACAACTACAAGATGGGCTCGATCACAGAAAACACCCTGGCATTGCCTGTGAGGCAAAAGGATGGCGTTAAGTTTGGAAAAGAGCTCAGGGAGAAGGACTTCATGTTTGAAAAGGGCTACTTGAATCTCAATCATGGTAAGTGATGGTGTTACTCCACGTACCGCAGCCTATCAATTCCAACGACCATCGGCCTCGAACTCCATCAAAAGCAATATCGAGAATCGAGAGTCAAGCAATTCATGCTCTGTTCAAATGTCTCCATCCTCAAAGAGTGTTCATCAGCACCCCTGACACCACCACCAGGCTCTTTCGGGACCTACCCCCGCTCTGTCCGCGACACCCTGCGCTCCTTCCAGGACGCCGCGGAAGCGCGCCCCGACGACTTCATCCGGTACAAGTACCCAACCCACCTGAACGCCTCCCGCGCCGCCATCGCCGACCTCATCAACGCACCCCCCAAAACCGTCGTCTTCGTGCCCAACGCCACATCCGGCGTCAACACGGTCCTGCGCAACCTGGCCTTCGAGGACGGCGACCACATCCTGTACTTCGCTACCATCTACAGGGGCTGCGACTTGACCGTGCAGTACATCACCGAGACCACGCCTGCGCAGAGCGCGCGCGTCGAGTACACGTACCCCGTGGAAGACGACTGGCTCGTCGAAGCGTTCAAGCAGAAAGTGCGCGATGTGCAGCGTGCGGGCGGCAGGGTCAAGGTGGCCATCTTCGACACCGTGGTGAGTATGCCGGGCGTGCGCGTCCCGTTTGAGCAGCTCACGGCGGTGTGCAAAGAGCTGGGCGTGCTGAGCTTGGTGGACGCGGCGCACGGCGTTGGGCATGTGGAACTGGATGTGGGGAGGTTCGATCCCGATTTCCTGACGAGCAATTGTCACAAGTGAGTATTTCCTTTACCATGTCGCTTGGTGTAGAGAGTGACGGCTGATGGGTGGATAGATGGCTCCATGTGCCCCGTGGCTGTGCCACGCTGTACGTGCCAGTGCGCAACCAGCACCTCATCCGCTCGACCCTGCCCACGTCCTGGGGCTTCAAGAACCTAGACTTAGTTCCCAATACTGTCGACCCCAAAGGCGCGTTCGGCGGCACCGTTGACTCGGAGTTCGTTGGCAACTTCGAGTTTGTCGGCACCATCGATAGTTCGCCCTACTTGTGCATTCCGAAAGCACTGGAATGGCGCAAGAGCATCGGCGGCGAAAAAGTCATCATGGAGTACTGCACGAAGCTTGCTCAGAACGCGGGACAGCTTGTTGCCAAGGCGCTGGGCACGGATATGCTGGACAATAAGACGAAGACGATGAGCCAGTGCTGCATGTCGATGGTGCGCTTGCCGGTCGATGCTGAGAGGGTGCAGCAGGTGAGCGAGAAAGCGGGGCTGGACAAGGCGGTTGCAGGGAAAGCAGTCACCACTTGGTTGCTTGAGACGATGTGTAAGGACTACAACACGTTCTTGCAGACGCTGTACTACGATGGTGCGTGGTGGGCGAGGTTGAGTGGGCAGGTCTACCTCGAGCTCAGTGACTTCGAGAGTGTGGTAGCCCCGTTGAAAGAGCTGTGCGAGAGGGCGAACAAAGGCGAGTGGGCTTAGCCTGTCGGAAAGGAGTGATGCAGTAGGCCAGTAGGAAAAAAATTGACCGGCTTACTTTAGAACTCGCAACGTGATGTAGAACGTGATTACGCACTTTGAAAGTAGAAGGCTGGGGGCTAGGGCGTAGGTGTGCCTATCAAAGACCAGGCAAAAACATCACTGCAGGTAGAAAACTTGTTTGTGAAGTGTTGTGGGAATCTATTTCTATCTGCAACGATATCGAACCGCAAATTGCGCGGGCTGTCGAAGCAAAAACGTCGCAAATTTTGGAATCCAGACGCCAGCCATGACCACTGCTACCCTCATTATCGTAGGCAAACTCTAAGCCTGGTATGCATGCACCGTAACAGTCATGAAGAACAAAGAAAGACTTTTCGGGGGCGATACGTTTAGTCGTCCTCGTCGGAGAAGACCTCCTCACCACGCTTGCGGCGGGCCATGCGGTCCTTCTTCTTCTGCAATGGGAATTAGTAAATGTGATGTTGATGTCATGGAGTAGAGATAACCGTACCTTGCGCATCTCGGCGGAGGTGAGCTTCTTCTTCTTCTCAGTAGCAGCTGGAACGAGGTCAGTAGATGAACACAATTAGAGCAAAGATAGCTCTTCTTACCGATCTTGTTGCCCATAGCATCGAACTGTGATGATGTTAGTATGTTTATGTATGTGTAGATGTCGATGTACTAACCTTCTCCTCCTCGTCACCCTTCTCGGTGAGACGGGGACCGGCACCCTGACCCTGAACCCAGTTGTGACCGGAAGGAGTCATCTTGCCGTCCAGGACAGCCCAGACTTCCTCAGTGAGATCCTTGGTGAACTCAGCCGAGTGAGTAATGATGATAACACCACCCTCGAAAGACTTGATAGCCTTGGACAGAGCACCGAGAGAGTCACGGTCGAGGTAGTTGGTGGGCTCGTCAAGGACGATCAAGTGGGGACGTTGCCACGAGCAAGCAGCAAGGACGACCTTGACACGCTGACCACCGGACAGACCGCGCATACGCGAGTGAGAAACAAGCTCAGCGTCGAGACCGAAGTTGGCGCAGTGAGACTCAATCTCCTTACGGACGAGAGGACGGAACTGACCAGAGGCAAGGGCCTCCTTCTGATCGACCTCGGCGACCATCTTGGCGTGGGAAGCCATGATCTCGGTACGGGGAATCCATGCGTTGTCAGCGGACATCATGGGTGTCCACTTCTCGTTCTTCATGCCGACGTTGTCACCGAGGGCGAAAGAGCACTCGTACTCGTAGGAGTTCTTGAACTTCCTGCGAGAGTTGATGCCAATGACACGACGCTGTGTGCCCTCGATCTTGTAGATCTTGTCCATGGCCTTCTCGTCCTCCTCGGTGACGATCTTGTTGGCACGGTCCATGGTCTCACGGTCCTCACCGGTCTGGAAACGCCACTGGATGTACTCAGAGGGTGTCGAGTCGAGGTGGTGATCAATGTGAGCGAAAGCGTGCTGCTTGATGTAGGCAATACGGATGTTCTCGTGGTGGTAGATCTCACCGGAGGTGGGGACGAGCTCACCAGTCAGGACGTTGACAAGAGTGGACTTTCCGGCACCGTTGGGACCAATGACGGCAATACGGGAGTTGAGCGAGCACTGGAAGGTGACGTCGGCAATCTGGGGCTTCGAGGTACCCTCGTACTGGAAGCTCATGTTGGTGGCACGGAGGATAGCCTTGGCCTTGGTCTTGACACCCTCAAGGAAACCGGGCTCGGGGAACTTGAACTCCATGTCGGAAGCGCTGAGCTCGTGGTAAGACTTGGCAGAGGGCACGCGCTTGACGAACTCGTCAAGGTTACCTCTGTAACGCTTGAGCTTGAAACGCTCGTAGTGAACAACGTGCTGAATGATGTTGTTCAGGAACTTGCTGTCGTGGGAAATGACGATGGATGTGCAAGGGGAGGTGGTGAGGTAGTCCTCGAGCCACTTGACGTTCTTGACGTCCAAGTGGTTGGTGGGCTCGTCGAGGAGAAGAATGTCGGGCTTCTCGAAGACGGCACGAGCGAGCGCAAGCTTCATCTTCCAGCCACCGGAGAGGGCGGTAATGGGACCGCTGATCTGCTCCTGGGTGAAGTTGAACTCCCTGAGGGTAGCCTCAATGCTCTCCTGGGAATCCTGGATACCGACATCGCGGAGCTTCATGACAGTCCAGCCGATGGTAGTCATCTCAGTATCGGCAGAGTCCAAGTCGTGCTCAACGTAGACAGTCTTGACCTCGTTCTGCTTGGGGAAACCCTCGACCTGCTCGTTGTTGATAGCGCGCATGAGAGTGGTCTTACCAGAACCGTTGGGTCCGAGAAGACCGTAACGCTGGCCACGCTTCAAGCGGAGGTGAGTCTGGTTGAGCAGAATCTTGGCACCGTAGGCCAAGTTGAATGTGCAGTTGCAAAGGTCCTCGCCCTCCTCCTCATCGGGCTCGGCGACGTCCTCAGCAGCAGAAGCTGGGAGAGACCTCTTGCGGAGGCTCTCGGTGATATCCTTGGACTCCTCGTCGCCGACAAGAACAGCGATGAAAGGACCGGCGTTAGCCAGCCAGTTCAGGGGCTCGTAGTCCTTCTCGTCGATGAGCTGACCACCGATGGCACCAGCGTATTCGAGAACAGGAGTGAACCTGTCATCAAGCTTGAACTTGGAGGGAAGGACAGCCTTGAGGTTGCCAGCAATAGTGGCAATGTCACCGTACCTCTCAAGCTCGGGAATCTTGCCATCCTTAACGGCACCAACACGGATCAGGGTGTCGAGCGCCTGGCGAGTCTTCTCACGAGCCTCAGGGTCAGCGAGGTTGTCGTGGTTCTTCTCAAGAGCGGGCATGAGCTTGGGCAAGAAAGCGGCGACAATCTGGGGGTCCTCGACAAGCTTGCACATGTTGTCGATGATGACAGCGGTCTTACGCTTGATAGCAGTCTCGCGCTCAACGAGACCACGCTCAAGAAGAGGAACCATGATAGCCAGTGTAGGCTCGTGGACATCAGTGACGAAAGTGGTAGCACCGAGCAAGTGAACGGTCTCGGGGACGTTCTCAGGCTTGGAGATACACTTGATAAGCTCGGGAATGAAGCGCTCGATATCCTTGTTGGAGATCAAGGAGCAGAGCTTCTCCATGGTACCGTAGGCAGCCTTCTTGACGTCGGCCTTGGTGTCCCACATAGCACCAGAGATGACGGGGATCAAGTCAGGGACACGGAAAGCCATCTGGGCGGGCGCAGAGGCGGTGAGTGTCTCGATGCACTTGAGGTCGGTCATCTTCTCGGGCCACTTCTGAGCGGTCTCGAGCGAGTGTGAAAGGTGGGGGATGATGGCCTTGACAGCGTTGGGGTTGGCAGCGGCGACGATGGCCTCGGCGGCGGTCTGAGCAGCAACCTTGACGCCGGACATCTTGTCGCCAACAGCGGCGAGGACGTTGGGCAGAAGGGCAACGAGGAAGGGCTCGACGGCGGCGGAGACCTGGGAGTGCTGGGCGATAGCACGGATGGCATCGAGGGCACGCTCGCGAGCGACGGCATCCTTCTTGTTGCTGAGCTGCTTCTTCAGAAGGTCGACAGCCCTAGGGGTTTGTTAGCAAATGCTCGTCGAAGCAGAATCGACAGGAGGTCCACGTACTTGGTGGGGGCATCGGCCTCCTCGATGTCACCGTTGATGAAGGTGGCGATCGAGGCAGCAGAAGAGTTAATCTCATCCTGCGCCTTGGAGATGGTGAGCTTGCCGAGGAGCTCCTCGAGGACCTTGACGGCCTTCGAGTTCTCGCTCTTGACGGCAGAGGCGTCGTGCAGAGCTGCGGGAGCCATGTTGTTTGAGAGGGGTGGTGGTTGAGGGTTGGAAAAAAGAGGGCGGCGGTCCTCTTATACGGATAAGCGAAGGCGGGCGGGGCCTAAAAACCTTTCGGTGAAAAGATAGACGCAAGTCTACCGGGGTATCAAATCGCACAGCGCGAGAAATGTGACAGACAGCTCTCTATACAGCTGGAATCACACAGGGAACTTTTTTTGGTGGCCCTGAGAATAAGGGAGTGGACTGAAAGACGAAGCAAAAAACCCCTCCACGTTCTTATATCGGTGGGATGTGGGTGGACACAAAATTTCACACCGACGCACGGCCCTCGATAGGCTAGCGCGTGCGTGGCGCTCCTTCCACAACCGGGCGAAGTTCGCCCACGCTGGAACATCTACGCCAATTAGCGCCGGCAGAGCGCTGCTGAAGTTTTCAAGCTGCTCCAGCGTCTCCAGTTATGCCGCTTGCCACAATGTAATTCGCATTGCAAGGCTGTTCTGTTGTTGCTTGAGGCCATGTTCAGCCCACGCTGTAGCGAGCGAATCCATTTGTGGCAAAAATAAAGTACAGTATGCGCGCTCACCGCCTTGTTCGAGGCTAGCCCAACACCCAACCCAACAAACCGAGGGTCGCGGATTATGCAGCGAGTTTCAGGAACCTGCAGCATCTTCGGCGGTATGGTCCCTTGCACGACCATGGTGCTCTCACCGACTTCGCAACGATGCAAGGACGAAGAGACAGGAGCGTCCAGCCACAGTGACAAAGCCAGCCTTACTACGTAGTCACCCTTTACGCGTAGGTGTGGCAGAATGCTTGCCGAGCGCGATGTATGTCGCCGCTCTACGCTACGGCCGCCAGCGGAGGCTCTTTTCGTGCAGGACCGCCCTTCGTACCTAGGTATGTACAGATGAACAAGTGGCGTTCAGTCGCAACCTCGTCACAGTTGTCACAGTGATGTAGCACTTGACCGGATATCCGACATCACTTTGCGCTCCTGGTCGGGGGTGATGTAAGGCCTGGCCTAGATCATGCCTCTTCCGTCGTTCTTTACATTGTTTCGTTGGTTCGGCGCTTGCGCTTGCAGACCCTCTTTGTGCTCCGGAGACTTCGGTGAGTGGCCGCTCGAATTTGTTCCTGCACCCTTCTAGCGCGGCTTCGAATCGCCATCAAACTAGCATGATGAACCTTGTGTCTAAAATCATCAAAAGATCATCATAACTATCTTTTAACACTATACTTATCTTCCAAATGATTCCTCTGGCTTACTATTGCAGCGCCATGGCGTCCGCGTCCAAGCTCATAGCACGTTCCGCTCCCTACAGGAGTAGCACAGGGCGCTGAGCAGCGTTTCCTTCAAGGCCGCGATTTCCTTATCGATATACCCCAGAGTGCCTCCGCATCATGTTCTCCACAGTGCGCTTGCACCGATTGGTCGTGTGGATATGACGTGCAGGTTGATGGCGCATCGTCGAAGAATGACACAGATTCCGGGGAACCTTCAGTATGGCTTACCTCGCCGTGCTTCAACACCTCATATTTGCCCTACTGTCGTTGCTGTTATCATTGAGTCCTTCACATAGTTTCGAGTCCGAGACAGCCTGGCCACACGTCTCAAAGCTGGGGAAATACTAATTATACACGGTAAGCTATCTTAGTTCGAGCTCTTTCAACGAAAAGCTATGAAGGGGACAGTCTCAATCTTGATGCATGTGATGATCTGGTAATGAAGAAGATGACTTCAGGCGACTGTATAAACGGTCGCGTATATAGTCATCGAGCAGAGCGCCAGCTTTCGCAGTTCACACTGTGTTCATCTGATGATCTCGATAAAGACCCCATCGAGAACATGCTGCCGTGACATACTTTGAAGACTTAGCTGTCTGTGGCTCTCCACTAAGACGAGCACACACCCGTTTAGGAATATGACAAGAGCTGGGCTTGACAAAGCAGCTGAACACCTACTGAGAACTATCTAATCCTAGTGTCAGAAAAATGATCAGGAGCTGGTACACTCAGGGGTTAGCACTGGTAAGGTTTTGGACACAGGACGCTAGTTTGTTGACACCGTCATCTATTCATCCTTATACGACTCATTACCAACGGTCATCTGTCATCTATCATCACAATAACATTACGTAAATTGGCATCCTTCACCCCATCTCTAAAATGTTGGTGGCTTAGGAAGTCCATTTGGCACCAACCCGTTGCACGGTGCCTCCAAATCAGCCTCCTTAATCGGCTGCACCGCCTGGTTCTTGTACCCGAACAACACCGCCTCACCAGTCGGCTCATACGCCTCCCAGCCCGCCTTGGATAACCCGTTCACCGGGTCCTCCGCGAACGCAACCCAGTAGTCCTGCATTGCCTCGCTCACAGCGAACTCAAGAGCCGTAGAGTTGCTGCGGGCAATGTTGTGCGTGCCGAAAACAAGTGGCAAGTCAGACTGGTGGTACGCACCCTCCCACGGCTGCGGAGCAATGTTGGAGAAGTTTCCGGCGTACAGGTAGCGGAATGAGGTAGAGTTGGAGGCGAACCTGTCGTGCGTTGTCTGCACGGTCGGGCAGAGGAAGAAGCCCAGAGTGATGGAGTCGGCGGCCGCTGGATCGGGGCCGTAGGTACGGTTGTAGGGCAGGAAGGGAGTGCCTTCGTCCACGGTGGTACCCATGATGGCGGGCTTGCGGGTGTAGTTCCCAGCAAGAGCGCGCGCAGTGTAGTTGCTGAACCTAGTGCGGTTGTCGATGATTGGGTTGAATGTTAGGCCGGGGGTTGTGCCGTTATCGGAGCGGGTCTTGAGGAAGGAGATGATCTCCCTGAAGGGCACGTTTCGGAGACATTCAATTTCAGCTGTGCCATTCAAGCTACCACAGCCCAGGGAAGTGGCGACAGATGTGAAGTTGGTGTGATCTGGGTCCCTAGAGGTGAGGTCCAGGAATGATGTTCCAGAGTGCATAATCAGAGAGGAGACAATTGGATCCTCAGGGTAGGCGAAGTTGTAGTTGTCGACAGAGACAGCACCCGCAGATTGTCCCCAGAGAGTGATGCGTTCTGGATCACCACCAAAGTTGGCGATGTTGTCACGAATCCACTCTAGTGCTAAACGCTGGTCAAGCAGTCCAAGGTTCTGCTCATCATCTGCAAGGCCTGCCGCATTGGGCTGTCCAAAGATGCCCAGGCGATATCTGTGATCGAGGTTAGCTTGTTCTGAATGATGCAGGAAATTATACTCACTGTATGCCAACAACAATGTGCTTTCCGCTCCTTTGGATCCATCGGCTGGGATCTTGGTAAGGCACAGTGGAGGCACCCGTCTGGAAAGAGCCGCCATGGATCCACGCAAGGACAGGCAGCTTCTCCTCGGTCTCATAGACTTCTTCCGTGCAGTTGCCTTGATCGCCGTCCTTCTTCCATGGCGCCCATACGTTGACAGTCAGACAGTCTTCGCCGGTATAGTTCCTTGGTGTGATGACGAATTCAGGCGCGTCGGTGAGCCAAACATTGTCCGTGTTGCCTTCAAACTGGGGACAGGCAGGACCAAAGTTGCTGGCATCAAGTGTTCCATTCTCTTTCGTCTTTGGGATCGCTGGCAACCAACGACGCTTTCCCAGGGGCTGCTCAGCGAAGGGCACTCCAAGGAAGTGAGCAACATTTGGTGTAATTGAATCAACCGCACCCTGCACTGTGCCAGACGTCGTCTCGATTTTCAGCGAGTCAACAGCATGCGCAATTGGCAATTGGGCGAAGCCTAACAGTGCGGCGATAACGAGAGCCATCTTGAAATCGAAGGACAATTGAGAAATGCACTGAGGCCCTCATCGTGGAGGTGCTCAGCCTTTTGTTGATCCACCGCCCCTATGGAGGCGGCGGATCGACATCAGGCTTGCGAGCGGCTTCATCGAAAATCCATCGAAATCGCGGTGTTCGATCCACATTGAGCTTGACCGCGGCACGAGAAGAGGAAGGTCAGCCACCGGGCCTGAACCGGGCCGACCTAGCCTGCGACCGTGCTGGTTTATGCGGAAAAGTGTGAGGGAAATTGCCACAACGACGCGACCACAATGCAGTGCAATGTTGGATTTATAAAGAAGTTTAGGTACATGCATCGCGGCGAAGGTCCGTGATGTGGAAATCGTTTCTGACATCTTTCGGACCGACCACCGAGATGCCGACCCCGCGCTTCCTGGCGGCTATCCCCACCTTTTCCACCATCCCACTCGTTCCAAGTCGGGGTTCTCGCCGACGGAGAAACATCATAAGCCGTAGCTGTGGCTCAAATTCCGTTGCTTTGATCAGACCCTGTGCGTAAACCCTACACACATCTTACGAACATTAGCACCAACAAGCAGAACCCTGTACACGAGTCAGCAATATGAGGGTTGTCATCACCGGAGCCGGCGGCTTTGTCGGCCAGATTCTAGCGCAGAAGCTCATCGAGACCGACTCTTCCACATCACTAGTCCTGGCCGACGTTAAGGAGCCACCAAATCCGACGGCGTCGAAGGACGTGAAGACTATTGCGGCAGACTTGACAGATCCCGCGGCGGTCGACGTACTGTTTGAGCAAGCGCCAGATGCGGTGTATATACTGCACGGCATCATGTCGAGTGGTTCGGAAGCCAACCTCGGTCTGGGGCTGAAAGTCAATTTTGACAGCGTGAGGCATCTGATCGATGTCGCTCGCGTCAAACAGCCTGGTGTCAAGATCGTCTTCACAAGTTCTTGTGCGGTCTTTGGCCGTGCGGCTGTCAAGAACGTGGCAACCGAAACAGACATTGTGCCCATGCCTGAGAGCAGCTATGGCACACAAAAGCTCATGATCGAGTTCCTGGTCAACGACTACTCCCGCCGAGGTCTTATCGATGGACGTGTGGTCCGCCTGCCGACCGTATTCGTACGAGCTGGAGCTCCTACAGCAGCGGCGTCGTCTTTCGTCTCTGGAATTGTACGCGAGCCTGTCAATGGGGAGGACTCTGTGCTTCCAGTCGACCCCAAGATCGGCATTTGGTTGACATCGCCACGTGCTCTGGCCATCAATCTTGTACACGCCATCAAGGTACCGGCCGAGAAATTTGGTCACTTCCGACAAGTGCTGCTTCCTGGCTACACAGCGACGAGCGGTGAGATCCTAGACGCTTTGGAGAAGGTTGCTGGAAAGGAGGTTCGGTCACGAGTCACAGAGAAGATAGACGAGGGTATCCAGAAAATCGTATTGAGTTGGCCGGCGAAGTACGACACGGCAAGAGCAAAAGAGCTTGGCTTTACGGAAGATGTTGGTTTGGAGCAGACCATCAAAGATTTCATCGAAGGCGAGAAGCAGAAGAAGTAAGATGATGAATTGAGTAGTGCATGCACGAAGCTAGACACTCACATGAATATAATGTCCGCACGCACTCTCTCCTTCCACATACGACCATAGGACGTTGAAAACAAGGCTTCCCGTTCGCTCAGCCCTATTTAAGCAACGTACCGGTGGATTAGTACTCAGGTGGGTGACCACTGGGGAATCCCCACTGTTGTATGTATTCTTTTTGCACGTTCCCAGATGTAGAATTTTTTGTTGTTTGGTGGAGCTCGACAGTTGGCCGAGGCGCAATCACCAATCATTATTTGTATGTTGCCCCACTTTAATAAGTATCTGTTCGCCTCCTCTTCACGACCTAACCTGATGCCGCACATTGATCTACACACATGGACCAGAGCATTGCACGACACTTAATCGGCATTGACCTTCCAGCCCTCGAGATTCCCTAGGAATCTGATGATATCCCGTAGCATTTCATCCGAGTACCAGTGACCGAGGCCTTCATACTCTTTCCAGTCAACTTTGATGTCTATACTTCGCAAAAAATCCGCGGCTGATCTTCCTAGCTCACATGGTACCTTCTCATCCTCTTCCCCATGTCCCATGAAGACTGGTATTGACTGCACAGAACATAGCTGATCACCACCCCATTCTTCAGCTTCGGCTTGTAGCTCTTCACGTAGCCACTCAATTGCCATCTCGAATTTTGAATCACTCTTTGTAAAGTCGTTCTCGTCTCGCTCGAACATGTCTTCGCCGTCGTCGTCAGGGCCTACTAGCGGATCTGTCTTGCCATATGATAAATCCTCTATGCAATCATGCATCCCCTTGCGAAACGGCAAATAGGCACACATGCCCACCAATCCCCCAAATGCCTCACCCTGCCATAAAAGCGTTGAAACAAGGCTAGCTGCACACCCTTGGCTGAGCCCCATGATAGCTACGTTTTTTGCCCCGATGGTCTCGATCTCTTGCCTCAACAATTCATGAATGTAAATGCTCGTCTCCCGTAGTCCTTGAACTTGTAGATGCTGCTTGAGTTCCGGTTGTATTGGAGACCAATTGTCGAACCACTGATGTGTGAGGCTGCGGTTGAACACAACGGCACGGCGGAGAGGTGCGGTCGGGAAGATGAGCTTGGTGTTTGGAAAATGATCTCGGAAACATTTCTGGGGCTTTACGGTCGTTGTCGAATGAGGGGTTGTAGTGTGCGAATCCGAGGAGACTGTATGCGATAGAAGAGGCTCGGCGAACTTCTGGGCTGTAGAGCCACGACCATGGAAGACGATCAAGGTCGTCTCATGTTTTTGTGAAGGTGAGACGATGACAGGTGGCGTGTAAGACATTTTACTTGGCTTTGAAGATATCATTGTTGGAGATATTTGTAGCTAGGACGGTGACTTGGAAGGTTCAGGTCAAGTTGCTTTGAACGGCTGCAGGCGTACTTTCATGTCAGCCGTTATTCGACTCACTACCTAGCCGCCAAGCCCTTAGCGCTCGCGATTGTCTCCGCCCCACACCTGCCTGAGTGATATCATTGTTCGATAATCCTGGTGGCTGGATCAGGCAACTACTGTGCCTCAAGTTTCCAACAACATTGCGTCTCAGCATACTCGTCATTGGTGAACCTAGCTTTAGGCACCATTGCTAGTGCGCGTATGTCTATGTGTGTGGTTGCCTGATGGGAATCAATCTGATTTTGTCACTTCTTTTGATTTTCCAAACATTACTTTCACTTCATACATAGGTAGCTGATTTGTCTGATCTTGGATGATATCAAAATCCATCAAAATCTAGCCGCCTCAGCAACGAAGAACAAAGGAGAAGACGATGCTAGATAGGTATATATAAATTAGATCGTCATATTAGTACGATGTACGAAACTTTAAACGATTCCTTCGTTTCCCTTCATCCACCACTTCCTTCATTTGCTCTGCAGCCCAAAGATCCGGTATGGACGTCTACTTGAGCAACGCTTCTCACACTAGAGGTCTAGCAAACGAGCCTTGTGGGCGCTGTTCAATTTAGCTGGAAGCACAAGATCTCATAGCGCCCCCCCCCCCCCCCCCCCCCCGGTCCCACTTGATTAAGAAGTTCCCTTTGACCAAGGCTGCGCTATCACAACCGTCTGACGTCTCGTTCATACCAAATTTGGTCTGCCCATCAACTACGACATTAACAGTCACAAACCTAGAATGGTGACCGCCCTCAAGAACATTGCTGCCACCAAGTGTGTTCCGCCGTCGGACAAATTTGCAAAACTGGTGGCGGCCAGCCTTGATCGTAGGACGTGGTGATGCATTCGTCCAGACTACTGACTGTAGTATCTACATGCCCAACATTAGTACAGTTGTTCATGTTTGCGAAATTGCGGATCTTGCGAAACAAGTAGAGCGTACTGCCATAAGTGACTGACTACAGAATGTTGTTGAAGGAGGGGCAGTCTCGGAGAAGCGTGGGCTAGGCACTGGTTCCGTGGACCAATTATCGTAGTTGTACTGACTGATTGGGTTGACGATGATGTTGTCAATTCTGTTTTGACGTTGCCGCCCTCCCCTAACTTGCGCGATGTAAGAGCGCCACAACGATCATGATTGCAATGCCCACTAGTATCCAAAACGTCCTCGTGCGTATAGATGTATGTGGCTGGTCTTCGATCTCACAAAGGATATTGCTAGAGGCATCGTTTGTATCCGTTGGATCGTCGAAGTGAGTGCAAAGTATCGGCGGCTCATTAGGGTAGCCCATGGCCAGGTGTTGTTGGGTATTATGGTAGGATTGAGAATCAACCCCAAGATTTGAGTGTGAAACGATTGCCATTACAAGCGGTACCAGAAGTCTCTCAAGCCTCTAGAGGGACGTAGCAGGGTAGAGTTGCATATGGGCGTTCGCCGATTATACGAAAGTAGCTGCCCACACATCCATCGACTTAACTCCTTTCCGACCCCCCTTTACACCTTCTAAGCTCCCCTCACACGCATCTCGCAATGCGTTAATCACCCCACGTTCCCTCTCATCGCTCACTTGCTCGTCTATCTCCTCTTCGAAGGAGCGCGAAAGGCAGGCGGACACTTCCCATTGGCCGTCCAACAGTCCCTCCCCACTCGGTACCCGGACTTCATTCTCCAGCTGCCATCCAGCCGCTAGAGCCAGCTCTGTAAGTCTCTTTGGTCCCAATACAGTGCGCACATTTGATGTGCTAGTGGGTTTGCGGCACTCCAGCGCGGCCTGGGCGAGCGCAGCCAGTACGTGAGGCTGAGCAGCAGGTTCCGTCGCTACCAATGCCCATTCTGCAAGAAGTAGGCGCTTGCTGTACTGCTTGAGAGCGCGGAAGGTGTCAAGGATGAGACTAGGAGAGGGAAAATACCACAGGCAGTGAGCGAGCACTGTTGCGTCGAACGGTCTAGCCTCGGTCATTGATGGAGATGGAATGGATGAGAGGTACTCCAGGGGCGATTGCTGGACCCAAGTAATCTGCTTGGCCAGTGGACCTTGCGAGATATGGCTCTGTGCTTGGCCGAGAGTATAAGGGGAACCTCCATGAGCGTCAGTCTGTGGTTTGCTTGTTAGGAACGCGGAACGACGCACCATATTCCAATTCGGCGGGGTCAACCGCCACCACCTCCCCCTGCTCACCTACAGCAGAGGCAAGGACAGTCGTGCAGTCGCCCTGGCCACATCCTAGTTCCAAGATCTTTGAGCCCTTGTGAATATTCCAATGCTGCAGGAGTGCTAGGCGGTGGAGGGTTTGGGTGTGCTGGATGTTGAAGTGGGCGGGGTCGTGCAGGGAGAGACGGGCGATGGAAATGGCATCAGGTTGAGAAGACATGTTGCAACCGAGAAACGTTGGCTATAGGAAGCCAAAGTGGGTTTTATAGTTGGGTGATGGATGTGAGAGGGACAGAGTGAAGTGGTGGTGAGTCAATGAACGGGTCTAAGCCACGTCGCTAGGTACCTACCCTGTTCGACATCGATCCACGCCTTCTTTTGTATTAGCGTCAATCTCGATCGAGAGATTGTAGCCTTGCTTAGTAGCTTTTGTGCAGCTGTGGACGGTTACTAAGTGCAATTTCAATTGCGCACGCTACCTAGGTAACGACGAGTGAGGTGAGCGTGTTCAGATAACAGATTTCCATTGACTTGGAAGGCACTGTATGTAGAGCTATTCAAATAATAAAACTACTCCAAAGCAATAAAACTAGCCTGAGCTGCTCAATCCCTTCGCCTCGCCAACTCAAACCCAAAACTCGGCGCCATGTCAATCTGCATGAAGCTCACATGACACGCAACACGCTGGCACCTCAACTCAACCGTAAGGCTATCCACCCCTGTGGGACAGGCGAAGTCAACTGTTGTGCTGTTCGGTTTGGCTGTGAGGTCTAGTACACCGAGCAGCTCTCCTCGTACGGGGAGATTTGAGTAAGATAGCGTATCATAGTCAAGCTCCTCCATCCTGGGAGAGACGGAGGCAACCGAGGGCGCGATAAGCTGCCAGACTTCGATTTCCGTAACATCTCCCTTAGTTGTGACGTCCTTGTCACGCGCAGAGAACTCGGGAGGTGGCCGCCAAGTGATGGCACAAGCATTAACGCTGGTGGACGGAATTGGAAAACGCATGATGGTCGAGTCCTTATCTTACGTCAGCAGCTGCAACATGCCAGTAAATACAAAGGACATATGAATAGATTGATGAAGGGGAGGAAGGAGAACGGTATCTGGAAGCATGAAATACATACCTCGACGGTAACATAGACCTGCACGTCCTGACCCCAGACAGCATTCTTCAATTTTCGGCTCACACGTGCAATCCTATCCGGCCAAGCATATTGATATACTTGAGGAGGGGGGATCATTTTCGCTGCCCGGTCCAACCCAAGTCTGGCGTCGCCATAGGGGAGCGCCTCGAGCTCGGAGTCGGAGAAGGGAAAAGCTCGGTACTTTGACAATGTGGTGGGAAGGAGAGCAACATTCACCGCTGATAGCAGTGCTAGGGCGAACGAAAAGTAGAGAACGAGCTTGGGCAGTGACGACGGCTTGGATGGCAAGAAGTCGTCCGAGGCTTCTAGTAACGGGACAGAGTGATCGTCTTCAGAGGAGGAAAGCTTCTCGGAATTTGCGACCGAGTCCTCGCCATCATCGTGTGCAAGAGGTGCATACTCAGATGGGCCGGACTTTGCTTTGGAGGAGAACATGACGAGTGACGGACAGTCAACGAACAGGACAGGACGAGGGAGGGCAGACCGTGTGCGCAGGCAGGATTAAAGCAAGCGATGGTATCATTGCCAGGTAACAGTGCAGATGGCGGGACTGCATGCCGCCCCGTATGTCTTGCTGCTCGCATCGCTCGCCAGAGAGGGTAGGAGTACAGTCCATCGATGGTCCGGCGCTTGTAGCAGAGAGATGGCGCTAATGTGCTGACGCTGCACGGCCATGCATAAGTAACAGACTAGTAGACCCTGCGGCAGGCGGCCCAAAGCCCCACTTGTCACCGGGCAGGTCGCATAAGCTTTCAGGCGGATCGACCCATGCCAAGGTCACAGAGTCACCCCGTCACCAAACTCGGCGCCCAGCCATTCCAGGGTGTTGACTGTGATGACTACTTCTGGCAGGTAGGAAGGGTGTGACGAGAGGTGGGGTAAATTGCTGAGCTTCGACACCCAACCAACTCTCGCGTTAGACCCTTTGAGCATACTTCACGTTACCCTCGCTTTTTACATTGTAATGCTCTTGGACTCTATCAAACATGCCCTCAATTTGTGGTAAAATCGCTTTTCTACTTACTCTCAGCGTCGATCTTGTAGCTGCCGCGCATGCCGGCTTCCACGTCCAGTATCCATGGATGTCCCGCAGTCCAAGTCCCAGGATCCGGCCAGAGATAGATAGGTTTACCCCTTTCTGTGGTATGTTTTTGTTCAATACAGCCTTTCAGTAGCGTATTCTGATATGAAGAAGGTGACATCGTGCATAATCCCCAACAATACTCTCGCAGCTCTCGCAGCTTCCTCTCATTTTCCGGCCACCCTGGGGATCTTGTGACGGCCCTTTATACCACGCATAGGGTTCCCAGGAAGAGAGAAGACTTCCCTAATATAGTCATACAGGATGTCCCCATCCAGCCTTTGGGCCAGCTATGTGTGAACATCACGATCCCTTTTGCGACCGAGGTAAACGAGATGGGAGTCATGTATTTCGAAGCACGGGATCCGAAAACAGGGAACGTGAAACACTATGTGAGTTACTATCGCTCATAGTGAGATAGCACTGATGCTGATGTAAGTATAGTGCTCAGACGTCAAGATGGCTGATATAGAGGCTTTACCGGAAGATCATCCGGCCATGTGCGCTGCTAACAATGAGACCCTTATTCCAATGCCAGATGAGTGGGCGTAGAGATAAGCTGGGAACTTGGAGGCATAACTGCCTAGGTAGAGAAGACAATGACTTGAATTGCTATCACTCTATTTGCTTAGTGAAAAGACCAGGTACTTTGAAATGCACTCAATTTGTTATAATCTGCAGGGCTTAACTTACTCAGAAGATGTATGCGTACAAAGAGTCTGCATGAAAAGTGCTAGGCAAGTTCCCAGCTCTCCATGTGAGGCTGAATAGGAGCCATTCGTCACAAACTCTGAATGCATAAGGGACTGGGTTTTAGTTATCAGGGGTCGGCACTACATTGAATAGGTTTGATGGACACGCCAACACAGAACTCGGCGTTTTGCTTCATTTATTCATTTCTAAGATGTTCTGCTATGTAACGAGTGTGGTTTATGATACGCATAATGAGAGGCGCAAAATCTGTGCACGCATTGAAGGTGTCTGTAAAGCTCGGTCACGCGAGACCTCAGTCTTCAGGTATGTCCTTGTTGTCCCTGCTAGATTGATGGCTCATCACTATCCAGACGGTACTTATGGCTTTTAACCGGGACCCCGCGCTTCTCAACAGTCTCGTCGTCATCTAAAGCGTAGACATGGCGCTTCTCCACGGTCTCATCATCGTCCAAGGCGTAGACGTGGCGCTTTTCCAAGGTCTCGTCGCTGTCGAGAGCATATCTATGGCGTTTCTCATTGTCGCGCTTCTCCAGAGTCTCGTCATTATCCAACGCGTACTTGTGGCGCTTCTCCAGAGTCTCGTCGTTATCCAACGCGTACTTGTGGCGCTTCTCCAGAGTCTCGTCATTGTCCAACGCGTATTTATGGCGTTTCTCGTTGTCGCGCTTCTCAACAGTCTCGTCGTTGTCCAGCGCATATTTGTGACGCTTCTCCAAGGTCTCATCGCTGTCGAGAGCATATTTGTGACGCTTCTCGTTGTCACGCTTCTCCGCGGTTTCGTCATCATCTAAAGCATAAACATGGCGCTTCTCGACCACGTTAGAGCGATAGACTTGATTGATCGAGTCCTCGCCGCGGCGGGCCAAGTCAGCTACAGGAACCGCTGCGGATAGAACGGGGAGAATGTTCAGACCGAGGCTGGCAAGGCTGAGTAGAGTAACAGTGTACTTCATGATTGAAATTTGGCAGAGAGTAGAGCTTTTGTTTGGGCCAGAAAAAGAGGTGGCTCGATGATGAGATGATATCAGTTCTCATCGTGCTCTTAACTATTTATGCATCTTGTGTACCGAAGCGTATGAGGTGGACGATCTCCACGGGCCAGTCAGTATCCACAATGTTTGGCCGATGGGTTAACGCTATCTCGTGTTTACGTTTGATGTAATTGCGTGATATTGGTGAAAAACCAATAGGAATAACGCTGAAGTGGAGATATGTGACCATGCTATGGGATCCGTAAGCACTGCAGTGAACTGAGACACAAGTGACATGAAAAGAGGCAAGATATCCTCTGTCGGTACAACGCAGCAGATACGATCCATGTTGCATACGGTGAAACATTTTACCAATGGGATCCCTAGGCGAGTAGGATGTGCATTCACCTTCCTCGCACTCATGCCACTGAAGTGGGTAACAGTGACCAGGTAGCGAGCATCAAGCTCACATGACAAGTAATCCGACCATCACTAGGGTAGCTTTGATAATGCAGCTAGCTGATTGATAGGTAACATCCAGTCTACGACATGTAACAGACTTTCCTTCATGCATAAGCTACGAGGTTATGTCAGTTCCTCGCGGAACCAGACGAACCAAAAGCGGAGATCGACAAGGATAGGTCTTGGCCCGGGGTTTGAGATCTGACAGGAACAGAGCTGGCTTGAATTGAACCCGTAGCTTCAATTTGATGCCCAACTGTGTGGTTCACCTGTGAACCTTTTTCCTGTTTAGGTTCTGAACGCGAGATACGTTAACCTCATGTAACTTCAAGGAAGATTTGTGTAGGATCAGTAGATTGACCGGTCTGATCTGAGTAAGAGCTGGGATAGATCTGCTGAGTTCTGCAGGTGACATGTAGGTCTAATCTCATCGAGGTGGCCAGGAAGTGATCTCCACAGACCTGCAAGGGGAAGCGATTACGATGCTGCGCTGGTAGCTTCGCACACCTGCATATCTACAGCTGTTAGGATACCTAGGTGCGTGGTGTTCCAAGTTTGACATCGAGTACCACTGCATGGGGTGTTTGGAATGCGTCGCTGTGTCGTCGACGAACCCGAAACTTCCATCATCGATTCAGTAAACCTCTTTGTTCAGCAAGTATCAAACAAAAGCTTGCGATATTTGAAGCTGCCTCAGGTCAACCAATGGCGTTGTTCCGGTCAAGCTAGCGTTCCCGCAGTGGTAGATACGTTATTGCAATACCACATTGCGGACGCTGCGTGTATCCAGCAATTCCTAACTAGTCCATAAATCTGTGGTACGCAAGCGGGCTACGGGGGCGAGCATCTTTGAAGTGTTGAGTTCTTTGAATTTTAGCTCTAAACACGTTGTCATCATGGCTCGATACGGAAGGCAATGAGGCTTGACAACAAATTGCGCGATATCAAGCAAGCCAAGATGTTAGCATTTCGGTCCCAAGCTTTGCTGAGCTGTGCTTGTAGTTATTGTGCGAGTTGAACACGATGCACGTGAGCCGGGGAGCTTACCCGCTGCATGCACCTTCCCAAAATGTCCGCGAGGTGCCAATCCGTCTAACTTCTTACAGTACTTACTACTGTGACCTTATCGACAAGCGGCGGAGTTGCTGTTTAGCCGATGACGACTTCTGTCGACATGCATGTAAGGCGATCCGCTGCACGGTCGGTGGTGTGGAGGTGAGATCGGCGCCACCCGCCGACCCGTCAGGAACCCCGATCGACAACATGGGTATTGAAACTAACTTTCAACACCTGTCTTGATTACTGCCAAAACTCTTATCAATCACCTTTTCGGCCTTGTCCCAAATCGAGCAGGACAGTCTGTCAAACAGATACTCTGCCTCCATTTGTCGACTACCTAGCAAGCAAGGAGTTCGAGGCAGGTGCATGCATAGCTCCGAGGGTAGACCCGACTCTTAGCGTCTGACCTGCATTAGTGTATCTCCACGATCCTCAAAGCTGTAAGCTTGTAACAATGTACAGGGGGAATATTCCTCCGGCTGATTCATAGCTCACGGGTGACCATTTCGAGAGTTTGGCCAATCCAAAACAGCTACACCACTCTCCTAGAGCTTTTGACTTGCTGGATGCATGCCGCGCCGGCACACTGTATCAGCCTGACGTGTCCACCCCCTGTAGTGCTCGGTCTCGCCGTATCCGCTTTTAACCCCGCCTTAGTCTATCTACTTCGACTAGGTATGAGTAAGCATAGTTTCCATGTAGCCACAAGCTGCCCTGCATGTGCTCCCCTGCTTGCTCGCGCTCTCCATGTCGTCAACGGAACTATTCGGACTCACCTGAGACTCCGGCAGATAGTGTAGCTGGACAGTGCCTTTCCTCCTGCCCCACTCATTGGGGCCATGCGTGACTCTCCCACCCAGGTGAGAGCAGATACGGTCACAGAGCTGTCCACACTTTTAGCCCGCTTCTCGTGCTGAATTGTTCCCCGCCTCTATTCTCTACCTACACTCGAGCAACCTGCCAGCACACCAGAATGCTTCCAAAATCCCTTGCACCTCAACTTCGCAGCCTCTCTTACAGCCTGCTCGCAGTGCTGAGTGTCTGCCTCGTCCTGAACCTGGGTGCCTTTATCTTCTCCGTTCGCATCTTGACACGCGGAACGCGGGAATACAGTGAGCTGCATGCTCTTCTCCCCGCAATCTTGACTGACGTATAGTAGCCTACCTTGCTGGCGACAGACCTCGAGAGCTTCCTCTTAAGGTCCGCACCATCCAAGCTGCCTTTCACGATGACCCGTCCCATTACGGGATGGAGGGTATCCCCGCTTGGGCTGAGTGGAACGCAATTCGCCCTCCCGGCAAGGGCTTCGTTTTTCTAGGGGAGGAGCACTTCGCGTTTGGGGTCTCGATGTGGCACCAGATGCACTGCCTCAACCATATACGCGCAGCACTTGTCAATGGGGACGATGGATCAGACCATACAGCGCACTGCTTTCATTATCTACGGCAGGGTATCCTCTGCGCCGCCGACACCACCCTGGAGTCGGGAGGCACGAGTAAGAATGCGGCTAATGGTGATAAAGTTGCCACGGGCGGAGGAACTGTGCATACATGCCGGGACTGGAGACAGGTGCATGATTGGCTGGAGAAGAAGCATGAGGGGTGGACGCCGGATATGTATGAGCGGTATCAGGAGTCTAGCTGAAACAGTTTTATGGAAACGAGATAGGGAATGTGAATTTGAGGTCTGCGGATCGTAAGAGGCATGCATCATCTACAGTGGTGGCTATGAATTATGCAAATACCTGTGGCATTTTCTGCTGAAACTACACTGTACACAGGCACGTCTGACCAGCCAGTTGGCACTTTGGTAGGATCCAATCCAATTTCATCGCAGCCAAAAGTCTACAGAAATGCGACTGAACAACTCCGTCTACTCTGACAAGAAAGTGCTCTCTTGCTTCATCTGCCAAGTGGCTGATCGGACATGCCTAGGTGCAGTACACCGTATACTACCAAGAACTCAAGACGTGGTGTCAATGTCTTCGTCGTCTTCATACCGATAGCATAACGGCCAAACTTCTGTATCAAACACTCTCCTCGGCGTCACAGGCACACTCTGAACGTCGAATGGCATCTGATGATCTGCATGGGCATCGAGATCGTAGTTGGTCAGATTGTGTGCGTTGAGGGGTACGCCAGAGAAGGCGGCGAAGTTCAATGGGTCGTTGCGTTGCCACTGTGTAGTCAGTAAGGTTGTACTGCAGAAGACGTTGTGGGCGCACCTTGTTCCACAAACGGTCAAGCTGTGCATGATGCAGCCAAAATAGTGGGTCATTAGGCGTGAAGCTTACTGCAAGACCCTGACATTCCTCTTCCGCCAGGGTCTTCGGACAGTCTCCCGCTAGATCGCCCCCCACAAAATTGTGTACGTGGTTGTGCAGTAGTGTCATTGCGTGCTGAAACCGGAAAAAGTCGCCAGTGGTATGCTCAGTCGAGTTACGCACAAACTCGGGACCGAGAGTGCGGTTCTGAGGCAGCTCATGGGCGAACCAGCCAGTTATGAGCGTCAGATTTCTCCGTAGCGGATGGAGTATTGGCCAAGCAAGCTTGAAATCTCCACTGGACGGGGCAAAAGCGCCGGTGGTGACAGTGCAGTCAGCCTCGGGGGAGGAATCGCAGTCTCCCGTTCCACCCAGCCCGTAATCGGGTGAATCCTCGAACACTGGCGAGTGAAACAAATCCGCGTGATCGCGCGACCAGTCCCAGTATGGTGTTGGCCCACTGTACCCGCAGGTACGGCGGAGAGAACTGTCGAACAAATACGAGAACCAGCGGTCTGTGCTCACGTAAGCTTGTGCTCGGAAGGGAAGGAGCAAGATGGAGAGAACACACGCCATGGCAGAAAGTACGCATTCCTGTGCGCGCTAGGTTCCAGAACCGCATGCGAGTACGAGAAATCATCGTACAGGCTCCTCTTTCCCTCAAGCACTGTATGGTTTTCCGTCAAGGATAGTCGCTCGTGTCGTATGCTTGCCAAGCACTACTCTGCATTAGCTATGCTACCTAGAGGCAGGAAGACGGGCGTACCTTGACAGCTCCTACCCACTGGACCTTTTCTCCATGCGTCAGTGTCCGCCACTCTTTGCGTATGAGAAGCTTGCTGCACTTTGGCGGTGTTGCCTCGTTCTCATTTGCATAAGAGAGCTGAGCGCTGTGGATGAGGGCAAGTAGGCAAAGAAGCAAAATTGAACGACCCATGGCGATGATTTAGCTAAAATGGGAACAGAGAGTAGGTACCGAAAGGTGTTGAGCTCGCGATAGACGCGATATAACCGAAACCCTAAATAGTCAGCTTATTATGGACGGCCCCCTGTACGCTTTGGATCGGCTACTACCTTCATACAGCATACTAGTGTCATAGTACCTTATCTCCGAGAGATGTTCTTTTTGAATCGTCCGCTAACGGTGTCTTCCTTACCCTCCTGTCCTATTCTTGAGTTTCTAACATCAAGAATCTACCCTCACTGACGTTCACCTGTGCCCACAAGAATACCTAACAATGTACACCTCGACGTACCTCACTCGCCTACTTACTTTCCTCCTGTGTATCGTATCACCCCTCTACCTCGCCCTGCGTGGCTCTGCCTCTTTTTCCGACATTGCAGTTCTTCTGTCTTCCCTCTCTGAACGTGCTGAAGCCCTCCACGTCGCGCTCACTTCCTCGCCCGTCACCCCTTCTGCGCCGATCTCTAAGGAAGCCTTCGAAGCTCCCGCCGAGCCCATCAGTTCCGTACGGACACACGAAGGCGTAAGAAGGAAGAAATACCCTTCACTTCCCAATGGACTGGCACACTGCATCAACTCCTTCGAGCAGTATTCGTTTCTCGCTGAGCAAGTGCTACAGCGAAAGCATGCGCGTTACGCCAAGCAGGCGCCCGCATATAAGGCTCTTAGCAACAAGCTCGGCTATCCTGCGCACTTCGAGAAAGCTAGGAAGGGTATCGAGGTGAATGCCCGATTCTCAGAACAGATTGCGCAGATCGCGAGAGAGGATTACCGCACTGGCTCGCGAGCGCTGGAAGACGAGGAGGATGCAGATTTTGGATCTGTAGACCTGGCGTTTGGTCATCTTTCGCGAGACTGGAGCACGCAAGGCGCAAAGGAGAGGCAAGCCGTATTTCCGCCTGTTCTGGATGGACTGGAGCAACACTTTGGCGAGCACGGTGAAGGGAAGAAAGTGCTTGTGCCTGGAAGCGGTATGGGTAGGCTGGCGAGCGACATCGCTGATCTCGGTACGTCTATCCTAATCAATCGAGTTGTAAGCGTGGCCTAACGTCGGCACAGGGTACGATGTCACGGCCAACGAACTGGACTACGGTTCCATACTGGCTTACCACCTGCTCACGAACCACACAACTTCACTGCACCAGCACACACTGCAGCCTTTCGTGACCAAATGGACACACCAGTCTAATCCCTCCTCACGCTACTCCGCTCTAACGGTTCCGGACCACTGGCCAAACAAAGCCGTCAAACTCGTCGAGGGCGACTTCCTGGAGATGTTTCCCCAGGACGGTGAGTTCGACGCGATCGTCACGTTGTTCTTCATCGACATTTCCCCAAATGTGATTGACTTCCTAAGCAACATACATCGGTTGCTGAAGCCTGGTGGAGTGTGGATCAACCTTGGACGTACGTTACTGTTCTCCCTACTCGGACTCATGCTCCTTGTACCTTTCTTACGATCTGAGTCGAGCTGACATGTATATAGCGCTGAAATGGGGCACCCACACTGCTCTCCAGCTCTCTGCGGAGGAAGTGCTCGAACTGGCAGATTTGCTCGGGTTCGATGTGGACCATACGTCTAGGAAGAGCATCGACAGCCTTTATGCAGAGCAGCCGGAGACGTTGCTGAAATTCACTTATGGTGAGCACCCGACGTTCCTGATTGAGGTCTTGAAGATCGTTGCTGATAGGACGGGCAGTCACACAGTTTTGGACAGCGACGAAGAGGAAGTAAGAATGATTTTCGCAACTTGCCAAGACGAAAAGCGGGGAACAATCTGGGGGCTTGAACTGAAGTACATACCTATGTAGCTCTAAGGCAGACTTGAAAGCTATCAAATCACCAGTAAGAGGAAACAGGCATATTTCACCACGGTAACAAAATGGTTGTCGGATAGTTGACTGTCTCCGAGCTATGCTATGCAGATTCACAATTTGAAAGCACCGCTTTTCTTGTAACACGAGAGCCCCGTCCCGCCAACATGATGTACAAATGGATGAGTATCTCGGTGCGACTCTCTCATACTCACGTTCTTACCTTTTTCTTGCGGCTCTATTCCGAATTGATTGAAGCTTGTGTGCACAGAGTGTACAAATAGAAACGAAGCACGAAAGGGTCTTTCGAAGCGAATATCGTCAAGCACGATCATGTCAGGTGATAATGGTTTTATTTACTACCATGATGTCAAAAAATCTATGAACAAGAAAGGGTGTTGCAAGTCTACCACTACTTTCTAGTAGTTGTATTTGTAGCAGAGGGTCTCGCCAGTGGTATCAAGAATATCCCTGATCTTGACGTCTGGTCTGAAGCTGTAAACGTTGATATTTGTGTCGAGTGTCAGCGCGTTGCCATCGATGTCTGTGCCGTCAATGGTGGTTGTGCGGACACCGGCGTTCTGGTTTTGCCAGATGCGGAAGTTGCGGTCAATGAAACCGTGGTGCAGCCAGAATGTCTGGAAGATGTTAGAGAACTATGTGTGCGTGTGTACGTTGATGAGACTTACAGGGTCTGCGGGCGAAGCGTAGACATCTTGCATCACAGCACCGATACCGTTGTGGCCCCAGGCGTGAGCACCGCCCTCAGAGCAGCCAGCCATGTCGGCGAAAGTGCCACGAGAGTTACAGGCATCAACCATGGACTGGCCGGTGTTGATAGTTTTAGCAGAATCGCCGTTGCGAGCGAGACAGTGAGGCTGGTTACCGGAGCCAGGACCGATGTTGATGGCGAGATTGGCGAATTGCTGCATTTCAAGTTAGTTATGAGCTGGTGTGTTGTGGAACATAGGTCTGCTTACGCCATCTGTCACACAAGCGCCACCAAGACCAATACCACCGAGCCACTGGCTCGAGAAGATCGAGGACTGGCCAAACTTGCCGGCATATTTGGTCTCATCAAACCACGGCAGGGTAGTGGTGAGGCCACAGCTGTCCCGGAGCTCCTGCTCGAATGTCCACAAGAAGTATCTGTGCCACAGCAAGAATTTTGAGCTGCTGTGCACCCTAGGTGTAAGGGTCTGGTGCAAAGCAACAAAGTCTTCGTAACGGCTTTTAGAGGCAGCGAACTGGCCAGTTGGGGCCTTGCCCATCAGACACTTTACGGCGTTGACAAAGTTTTGCCTGTCCGCGGTGGAAACCGAGTCCCACTCTGTGCGGACGCGGACGCTAGTGCATGTCGCTGCAGCAGCGTTTACACTGTTCACACTGGCTGTATTGACTCTCATCTTGGGCTTTATGAAGTTTCCGATGCTGTCTCCGACCTTGTCGCCAAGGTCCGAAATCTTGTCACCAACCTCCTCGGCACCATCGTGAATCTTATCGATGCCATCGTGAATCTTGTCGCCAATTTCATGAATCTTGTCGGTGATATTCAGTCCGGCCAGAGCTTCCTCGAGGGTCAATGTGTGTCCGGCAGTCTCGGCAAAAATGGACAGGGGCAGCGCAGGGAAGAGTTGCGTCGCTGGAATCGATTCCTGTCGCTTGACTGCGGCGCCCGTGACGAGTGTCGCGGCCGACAGGGCTGTGATGGTCGAAAAGTGCATAATTGCAGTTTGTGTAGTGAACGAATGAATTAGAATTAAAGGAAACGAGTGTTGTGTTGTGATCAGCGAGTGTAGATCAGACCGAGGTCGTCAGAAATGGCAGGAAGTTGGGATCGCTGCTGCCTTTTCCAACATCGGGACAGAGCGACTCTTTTATCTACCTACCGCGGAATCATCTTGCTAAGATGATAGGATCAGGATCACCTGTCCTAACTGTACACGACCTTTGACGCCAGTTCACGGACCATGACTGTTTGAAACTGGGGTGTGAGCTGCAACGTTGTATTGGCAGATGTGCGCTTGGCCGAGTGGAAGCATTTTCGGCTTGTGTGCCAAACCGCATCGGGCTCTTGACTTATCCTCAGTGCAGGGCGCTACTGGGGCCTTGCGTCGCTGGCATAGGATTTACAATCTCCGGGGCGGGGGTAGAGCTTCGCATTACGAGGCTGTGAGGCTGCCAGGATGTCGCACGCCTCCTTTCAGACCCATCAAAAATCTCTCCTACCGGGCTCCCGCGAGCGATTGCGTTCAACGACTCGTGTTCGGCATGTTGTATAAAAATAGTCGCAACCACACTCGGTACTTCTCTGGGAGTGCAGGAATGGTCAATTCGCACCGTAATGAGGTCATGTATTAGAGGTCGCATGGTGTCGCTTCGATTGTCGTTGTTGGCTTTGTCGTTGTTGGCTTTGTCGCGGCTGAAAAATCGTACAACCTCATGTGCTTAGCTGCATCACAACACCAGCTGAGAAAACGCTGACCAAATCGCAAACCACCTGTCGATCCGGAAACGTGAGCCTCGTGTTGGCACTGTGTGCTCCCTGCAATCGTGTGATGAACCTGTGGATCTGCATGGCCCGCCTGTTCCACCGACTTTTTCCCATCTTGCCGGAATCAAGGGTCATTGACCCGCAGCTTTGCCTCGACTCGCCGTGTCCAATTGATTGGGCTTCGGCTCTGGTGCGCCGTGATACGGACTGGTGTGGGTGCTGTTCGCGACGACATTTCTTAACAGACGCCTGGAGGTCGTCACGAGTGAAGACCGACAACAGAGCGGTACTCCGCGCTATCGCGATGGTGCTTACGCACGAAAGCATTTACACCGCCAGGGTGAGTTAGAAGGCTGGACATGAGGTTTGCGCGGCGAACTGGTTGGTAGACGAAGGTTTGCCAAGGGACAGAGCTAGAGTACAGCATCGATAGCTCGAGGAGAACACGTCTCCACGTGCGACAGAGCCCAGCATGACCTTGTGCGACGATGGCAGCAGGATTGATTGAGGTTGCGTTGGTAAGTAACCATATTGAAAAAAGCTTCAGGTGCGAACAATACGAAGCAGAACGTCATTTACGCAGCCACTCGCAGCTAGCTGCTCGTTACGACGAAAGGATTCGCATCTATCACAAGAGCTCACGCTGCTCCTAGGTTTCCTTGGCGACGTCTGAGTCCTGCCGTGACGATGCCTGTGACTTACCGTCTTGACCTGGCAGGCCCGGTCGCGTTTGACTGCAACTGGCCGCTGTCAAGACCCCACTCGGAACGGCCACTGGTGCCGCGGTTGCCTAAGAGCCTAGCACCTTGTCGCAGCTACAGAAGTCTCACTCCAAACCTCATGCTCCTTCACTACAGGATCGAGCGCTACCGACATTGAAAGTTACAGTTCCTCACAAGTGACGTCCCGTGCGTCCGCGCGTCAGTCCAGTGATAGCGCGTCATTGCGCTACTCAAACTACCCCCGCATTGCAGGGCTGCTCAACCTTCCCTCCACAGCAGCTACTCGTCGCCACAGCTACTATGACGACCACAAGGGAGGAGTCGCCGTTGCGCAGCTCGCTTGGCATGGCTATGCGTAGCCAAAATCAATACACATACCGCCTTCCCACGCCGCCACGAGTCGTTGTACCTCCGCCGACACTTTCCACGGACATGCCAGGTCTGGTGGTTGGCGCTGCATCTGGCGATCTCGACCTAAGCTTCCTCAAAGAGATGGCATTGGAGGATATTGTTCAGAAGAACACCTTGATCGATTGGGCATACGAACGGCGCCGGCAAGCGCAGATGATTTTACCTTGGCTCTTCCTGGGGCCGATGGTTGCATCCAAGGACAAGGATTTCCTCGCTCGCGAAGGAATCACCATGGTACTTGCAATCCGGTCTCGCGATGGTAGCATGAGTGGCGCATTGCAAGCAGCGCGCGACGCCGGCCTCGATGTGGCGACCATCGAAGCACCGACCTACCACGATCTCATCAAGAGATTTGGCGACACCACAAGGACAATAAACGAGCATGTTGCGAGAGTCCGTCAGTGCACCCCAGAACAAATGGCACAGCCCACGCTCGGCAAGGTGCTAGTGTTCTGCGAGTCGGGCAACGAGAAGTCAGCCGCCGTGATTGCGGCATACCTCATGGAGACCCTCGACAACTTTGACCACATCAAAGCAATGCAAGTCTGTCAAGCCCAACGTTTCTGCGTCAATTTTGACGACACGATTAAGAATATGCTTCGATCCCGCTGGGACATACTCCAAGCTGCACGCTCGGTTTCCAGCTTTAACATGCAGCAAGTCCAGGCGAGCCGCCTTGCAAACAACGTCGACCAAAGCCATTCGCATTTGCAACCTTGCACGGTAGCAAGGCCTAAACGCTCTATCGAGGAAACACGTGATGACGATGTAGAAATGGAGGATGACTTGGACCCTTCCGATGCTCTCCGATTTCAAGGCCGCGACAATACTCCCTTTCGAAGTTCCTACTAGGCAGAATCTGGTCGCTATGCGACGACTGTAGGCTAACACATGAGGTGGCGTTTTTCTTTACATGATACCCTGCATAACGATTGGCGTTCTCCTGCACCATGATCGCATCGAGGAATCAGCAAGTAGCATTTACTAGCAACCGCGAAACAACTGCATTTTTCAGTGCAGCGTGATTGAGTTGGCCGCGAAAGTTCTAACTCCCGATCCGCATCATTTTTATACGAATAATTCATCTGGTCTTGAGCATGTTTTCCGCGTGTCCGGTTTCACTTGCACTTACCGTGTCTTTGCCTTGTGTTTGTCGAACATTGCGCCAGTCGTCCCTCCTTCGCACACGCAGACCTTTGACTACACGGACTGGAGATCTTGCCCATCTGGCTTGTAGCTCGGATCAACATCTAGCCCAAATCTAATACAGCAGCAACGAAAGCACCATCAGAGTCAGCAACCATCTGTACCAAGGCAGTCGCGATGCTGAGGCCGACCCTCTCGCAGCATCATGTCTATATTGACGTCCCACCACTTCCATCAACCTGACCTCGATTTGCGCTTCCTGAAAGCCCGTTTTCCCTGACGTCCATTTCAATATTTCATATCATCGAGTATCGAATATTATGGCTCTTGGTCCGCGCCCGAAGCTTGATTTGAGTAGCCACCCAGGAGGTAGAAAGTACAACAATGGTTCAGTTCTACTGTCGCCCACGGATGCGTTCCGTATCGACCATAGTTTCTGCGGCGATTCTGATATAAATACAAGGATCCAAGTTGATACTGAGCAAGATACATCGACTGTCTTCAGAAGTTGTATTGCGTTGCTAAATTCATCACTGGCTCGCCGGGAGCCTATATACCCACCAAAAAGCTCGACCATGGCGTAAGTGTCAAAGTAGCTTCTCCGTCATCACTAGTTCTGTCAATGATTTTGAAATAATATAGGGAAAACCATTGACCGGTTCGTAGATCTTTCCGTATGCCTGAGGAGTGGGCTGAGCATCATGCTCGAAACGCACGTACCGATTCACGAACGCTCCCGCCAGCTGCTTTCCCCTCGTTACCGATAGATCAGCCACCTCAAGCAGTGCCTACTCAGCCACTTAATGACAATGCCGATGACGATGATGTTACGGACTCTGACGTGGAAGAGAAAGAGAACCGCCCAACCTCGACAGACAGCGACAAGCCCAATGTTATCAGCGAGGTTTCATGGAAAGCGATCAATTATCATATCGGCCAGTACACTCCGGCGGGTGGGCTTTTAGATGAAGCCGTCATCACCGAGAGGCAGCGTTTAGTCGACGCTGGCCTTCTATCCACAGCTACAAATCGCCTACAAAGGAGGTCCTGTCCAAGAAGTGTAAACTACGGATTTCTCCGAGAGAAGTATGATGAGCTCACGAACAAGAGGGAGACACTCAAGACCAGGCTTCGTATGCTAGGATACCAGGGCCGCCGACTACAGACTACCAGTCTCCCAGCGCGACCGACATCCATCGACGCCCTTTGGCACGCCGTCCAGGATCTCAGGTGGCTGACACACCGCCTCGAACTCGTCGAGAACCACGCCCACCACATTGCGAAAGCAAAGAGACGCTTCCTCGCGCCGCCGAAGCCTAAGAAGCTGAGAACACCACACGTGACCCGTCCCGACGCGCATGCTCTCTGCCTCCCTATATGCGGAGGGCGCAACGACCCCGGCTGGCTGGCCATGCAGGCCACAGCCAGAACCTCGCGCATCGCACGCGCGGCATTGCACAGGCGGTCTAATATCGTGATGAGAGGCGCCCCTCCGCATCCCCAGCAGGCGGGCTTAACTGGAATTCAGAGCTACTCCATCGTCGACGCACCGGTCTTCGGAGGTAGTCTCATCTCGTCCATGGCGGCTATCGCGCACGGGGATGTCGAGCCCGATGTGCCCTCTAATCTTGTCGGTCTGGATGAGGAGTCTGAGAGGGCGTGGAGGCAGCGCTGTCTCTGTAGGAGCTAGAACAAAGACTGTGAGTGCTCAGTGTCGGTTTCATGGATATTGGTGGCATGATGGTAGGCGCCGGCGGCTAGATTGGTGCAGGCTTAGATTTGTTTTTACTGATACCCTTTCGTATGTTGTTAACAGGAGAGCTATAACGTATGCTCTGTGATTATCTGGAGAAGGCTCGGATTCGGTATTGTCAGGGCCTTGGATATGTCCCTGGGTCTTCGCAGGCATTTTCTTTCGTTTGGCGTCGGTCGTCGTGCCTAACTTTGAATCCACCAACTTTGTTGTACGCTGAGATATGCTGGTCTTTTTGTAATGATTATTATAATGAAAGGACGCTGTTCGGAACCGACTGGTAGTAATCAACTTTGTATCATTTAGTGAAACACTCCTTTCATAATCTTTGCGCTAGGTAAGCTGTCCAAAACGCCGTGCCCCTAAGATATACGTCTTCCTATATCTGCGTCCCAAGCCAAGCTCGCACCAGTACCGAGTCTACAAACCCAATAGCATTCGCGCCGGATCCGTCTTCTTATCATCGCCCTTGTTCGGGCCCACGGGGCTCGTCGCAGCAAAGAAAAGCACCTTGATGGCAATAGCGAAGCCTGCGTGCAGCGCCACAACGATGACGAGCAGGATCTTGGACGTCTTCGCCTCGGTGGTGGAGAGCACAGGGTACAAGTTGCGCAGCAAGAAAGTGGCAGAGAACGCGAGGCCGAGGGCGACAAAGGTATAGTTCAGGACTGCACGTAATTAGCAATGCGCATGCAAACACGGTTGGAAGAAGAGACAACGTACTCGAAATCGGACTGAAGCTCACGAGCGCCACCACGATCCACACCAGATTTGCGTATCCGTACAGACACGCACACTCGAGCAGATTCGCCGACTCACTCCCATACCACTTCAGCACGCCCCAGAGACCCACGGGCACCAAGCCCGTGTATCCGTACACCAGCCCCGCGGCACCGCTCAGCAGCTTGAAGTCATATGCGAAGTGGTCCTTGCCCTGATGCGAGAGGTACTGGTTAATCGTACCGGTAAGGAACAAGATGACGACGACAGTGGTCGCGATCCACACCGGGCCGTACAGATCCGGGTTGCCCTCAAGCACGTCAAGGAAGTTGGCGCGCGGGTAGATGGTTGCTTTGCAGCGGCGCAGAACTTCGGCGGTATCGACGTCGAAGGCTTGCGCGTAGAAGGAGAGTGTCCAGAGAAGGTGTTTGCGGTTGCCGCTGTTCGAGGAGGCAGTTGCTGGGCCGGGGAGGAACGAGGACGAGTCGGGTTGGACCTTTGCGCCGCGAGAGGTGCCCGTTTCGAAGTCTGAGTTACGGATTAGTCGTGGAGCAGGTCTGGCGTTTGGCGCACGTACTGGAGCTGTGGAATTCGAGGTCCTCCTGCAGGTCGGTGTGGCCTAGATCGCCCTATGAGGTGTGAGCTGTGTACTTCTGCGGTGTATGTCGTTCAGAACTCTCTCTTACCTCCTGGTCGACGTCGACAACTACATCATAGCCTCTGTTTGCCATGACGGGCGTGTTAGAGCTTGGCTTGTGGTGACTTGCTGGAGCTCTACCTGCCAGATTGCGCTTGCGCGTTGATGCGCGCGTTTCACAGGGTCCAAGCTCTCATTGGCTGCAGAGCAGCATCCCTCGACAGTCCTAACAACGTCATCAGTCGACTCCAATTACATGGAAACGACTACCAGCAAGTAGAGCACCTTGTAGTTCAACTTGAAAACAATGATTAAGCAATGCAGTGACACAAAACGAAGTCAATACATCCGGCAGGGAGTGGACAGGAGGTGATACGAGCACAGAACACTGTATTATTAGGGAATCTGAAGTCATAAAACTATCCTCGGATCTATTCAACCATCTAGATATTAGACGAGACCGATATCACAACGCTACTGTATCTATGGCGCAGGCTCGTCCTTGGGCACGAGCGGCTCCACATTCCAGATGCTCTCCGCGTACTCATCGATGCACCTGTCACTCGTGAAGAATCCCATACGGGCTACAGTCAGGATAGTCTTCGTTGTCCACTCCTCGACGTTCTTGTAGCTCTCGTCGATCGACTCCTGTGTCTTGATGTACGAGTCGAAGTCGTCAGAGACCAGGTAGTAATCGCCATGGTCGACGATGCCGTTCAGCAGAGCAGAGAATCGGTCCGCATCGCCGAATGTGCCCTTGTGGATATGGTCGAACACATTGGCCAACTGAGGCTCGAGCTCGTACGACTTGTACAAGTGGGCGTGGCGGAGATCCTCGACGTCCTCGGACAGATTGCCGAAGAGGAAAATATTCTCCTCGCCAATCTCGCGGGTAATTTCAATGTTAGCGCCATCGCAAGTACCGATGATGAGACCGCCGTTGAGGCAGAACTTCATGTTACTCGTACCACTGGCCTCAGTACCGGCAGTGGAGATGTGCTCGCTGATGTCGCTGGCGGGGGTGATAATCTCGGCCTTACTGACGTTGTAGTCTTCCAAGAAGATGACCTTGAGCAGGTCACCGACATCTTTGTCGTTGTTGATAACGTCGCCGACCTTGTTGATGAGGTGGATAACAGTCTTTGCCATCCAGTATCCAGGAGCAGCCTTGCCACCAAAGATGGAAACACGTGGAGCAAGCTTCTTCCTCTCTTCTGGCGACATGGCCTTGATCTGGAGGTAGCGGTGGATGACACCAAAGATGTTGAGCTGCTGGCGCTTGTACTCGTGGATGCGCTTGACCTGAACATCGAAGAGAGCCGCAGGGTTGACTGTGACACCGTTGTGCTCCTTGATGTGCTCAGCTAATCTTACTTTATTGGCGAGCTTGATTGCACGGAACTCTTTCCTGAACTCCTTGTCATCAACATAAGCTTCGAGCTTGTGAAGTAGAGTCAGGTCCTTCAAGAACTCGTGTCCACCAAGCTTTGACGCGATAAGCTCGGAGAGCCTTGGGTTAGCTTGATGCAGCCATCTGCGAGGAGTGATGCCGTTTGTGACGTTTGTGAATTTGTCAGGTCCGAAGATTGTGACAAAATCCTTGAAGATGGTCGTCTTGATCAGGTCGGAATGCAGCTCGGCCACACCGTTCACCTTGTGGGAACCGATCAAGGCAAGGAATGCCATACGGACCATCTTGGGTTGAGACTCCTCAATGATTGAGATACGTCCGAGCAGCTCGCGGTCCTTGGGGAAGTTGCGCTCAACAGACTGCAAAAAGTTGAGGTTGATATCGAAAATGATCTTGCGCTGGTGTTAGTATACTCAGCAGCTTAGGTTCAGGGTTCACTCACTTGGAGATGACGGGGCAGGAGGTGCTGCATCAGAGGAACAGACCACTTCTCGAGCGCCTCAGGGAGAACTGTGTGGTTGGTGTAGCCGAAAGTCTTCTGCACAACTGTCTGGTGTTAGCACTGTAGTTTCTTGAATGCCTCCAGTAAACTCACTGCTCCACGCCTCATCCCAGTCCAGGCCCTCGATGTCAACAAGGATTCTTTGAAGCTCGGGGATAGCCAGGGTCGGGTGGGTGTCGTTCAGCTGAATGGCAACCTGGTTAGGGAACTCGCTCCAGGCGCGCTTGCTCTTCTTGAAACGGCGAATGATGTCGTAAAGCGAAGCAGCGCACCAGAAGTACTGCTGCTTGAGACGAAGCTCCTTACCGCGCTCAAGGTTGTCGTTGGGGTACAGAACAGCGGAAATGGTCTCAGCACGCTGCTGATCCGCCACAGAGCTCTCGTACTCGCCGGAGTTGAACTTCTGGAAATCGAACTCGCCGCTCGCAGCCTTGCTGCCCCAGAGACGGAGGTTGTTGCAGGTACCGGTCTTGTAACCGGGAACTGGGACATCATAAGCCACAGCCTGGACAATCTCGCCGCCTTCCCAGGAGCACTGTTGCTTGCCCTCATCGTCCTGCCAGCGGTTTACGTGGCCGTAAAATTGGATGTCGACAGTGATGTCGTGCCTTTGGAACTCCCAGGGGTTGAAGTCGAGCCAGTAGTCTGGAACTTCGACCTGGTATCCATCGACAATCTCCTGCTTGAAGATACCATATCTGTAACGCAGACCATAGCCCCAGGCCGGGTAGTTCAGGGAGGCCATCGAGTCGAGGAAGCAGGCGGCGAGGCGTCCGAGACCACCGTTACCGAGAGCAGCGTCGTGTTCCTGGGAAACAACATCTTCCATGCGGAATCCAAGGTCGGCAAGACCCTCTGCAAAACTTTAGCGGAGCCAATGGCTTCTTTCCGCGGAGTTGGACTTACTTGTAGCAACATCCTTCTGTTCAACGTTAAGCATAGCATTGTCCAAAGCACGTCCCATCAAAAACTCAAGAGAAAGGTCTGTGTGCGTCAGCCGTTATCCTTTTAACTGTGAATGCAGCAATCTTACAGTATACACGCTTGGGATCAGCAAAAGTCTGGGTCTGCTGCGTCTTATTCCAGTCCAAAATCAGACGATCTCTGAACGCCAGGGCGGTGCCAGCATACGCAGCCGACTCATCGCAATTAAACAGCGAGCGTGCGAGTGTGGTCTCGATGTGGCGAACGGTTTCTTTGTTGAATTCATCTGATGTGGAAAAGGGCTTGGGCATCTGTTGTCTTGTTAGTACTCAGTTCCGCGCGGGAGCTACCCCGCAAACCAGGGTACTCCAAGGGCCGATTGACATACGAACTTCCTCCAAGCCTCACGCTGCGGCTCTGGAATGCTGTTCTCTACTGCCTTGATCTCGCCGGGGCCAAAGCCGGTCACAGTTCTCTTGTGCTTGGGGCGAGTGAAGTTCGCCGGCCCGACGGGACCCTTCAGGTCAGCGAGTGGGGCACTTGTTGAGGGCCGACGCTCCCGGGGCGAAGTACTCGTAGTCGCCATCTTGAGGATATCAATTGCAGAGAACGGCGAATTGCTAAGTGAGTGTCGATGGCGCACTGGAGAGGGAGGGGTTGAAGGGCGAATTGTGGAAGAGGGAGGGGAGGTATAAGTATAGAGGAAGTGCCGGAAGCTTATGGACCAAGCGTTGAGCTTAGAAAGCCTGAATGTACGCGCGAAGGTCCGATTGTTTACAATCAAGAAAGATGATGGCAACGGATGTTGATACCGCAACAAGAGCTACGGCAAACAGGAGCGAAGGATGATCAGACGTCAATTAACATCAGGAGACACCGACGACTATAATCGAATGCGGGGAAGCGATCGAGGGCTGGCTGCTAGCAAGAGCTCAACAGTGTTGAGCTGCAGCTTGATGCACGCGGTGGATGAACCGCATGGGGTTTGGGGCTTAGTGGGGTAGCCAGACCTCTCGCCAACCAAACTTCGAGCTCCGAGCGGTTGGCTAACTCAACTGAGAAGACATCCAATGCACTTGTGGCATCATGAGGATTCAAGTGTGCGCTAGAGAGTTTCTTTCATGATAAAGTTGTGGCCTGTGTAAACATTAGCTGGTGGTGTGATGGAGGGGAACGACCGTGACGTCGGTGGATGCCAGACACGGAGGAAAGCTCGGGCTACGGTGTGCGACTCCGAGGAAGCAGACTAGACAACGTGTCTGACTCTGTCAGCCTTGCGCACATGTTCAAGTCACGACACGAAATTAGCCAACATATTGAGATGAAGTAAAGGTATGATGTGTGAATTATTGTTTGATGACGTGCTACAAGAATGCTAGATGGCGCCACAAGAAGGGCTGCCACGATTGTGCGAGGGTATCGTGCAAACAATGCAACAAATGAGGCCGCTGAATGCGGACCTCCAAGCCAAGACATGCCCATAAACTCCTTAATGCTGATGCCGCTGAAATGCTGGATGACTGAGAATGCTGGAACGGTTTGGGTATCGTAAGCGCTGCAAGAGAAGCGAAACACACACCGAAGTGCGGAAAAGGCGATGCAAACTACGAAAACACCAAGTCGGCGCCTAAGGGCTGGGCTCTGGTGTCTGAACGCCATTCTTCCACGTTGCTGTGCCCGGCAGATCGATGGAGAAGTTTCGGCGTCGGCTCATCTTTGCGATGCATTCATTTTCGTTCGTTGAATCCACTGCAACAGGCAGTGTCTTGGTACATTGCATGTCCTGCAGCATACTATCCATCATGCCCTCGGTGATGCGGCAGAGTCCGTAGTCTGTATCCTGAAGAATCGCTCGCTTTGTGGCTTCGAGTTCCTGGATGGTGAACTGATTCCGGCTCATGCCTACTGCCCAATAGTGTGCAGAACGACGAGTATCACTGAAGAAACCATGGGCCAAGGACAAGGCAGCTAAGACAAGGACGTCTGGGCTGACAGATTCATGATGACATGTGTCGGTCTTCATGAAAAATTTGAGATCCCTGGAATAGTCGGATGGCAGCAGGGTCTCGCGCCACGTTGCAGCGAAGCGGCAGGACAGGGCATCAAGTATACAGGCAGCAAAGGCAATGACCTCGTCCGGCAGGCATGATCGTTCCAGGAAGCCACGGAGGGTCGGCACAGAAGGTCGGGATGTGGAGACCTCGAACGGAACGAGGTTGGCAAGATGAGTTGCATGTGCTAAACATAGTGGTCAGCACTGGCGTCCAATAATGAGTGTGGCGAGTAGGGCAGCATTGACATGAAAACTCATCGATCGACAGGAACACCCTGGAATGTGGGTTTGCAGAGAAAAGGGGATTGGACCTGCAATGACGTCGCGCGAGTCGGGTCATGCTAGTATGCAGGGGAACGTCGCTCAGCCGAACAAGTCCCACATATCCAAGACCAACAACAAACTTGTCTTCGAGTGGTAATGTTGCACGTGTAAAAAATGCAATGTTGGATTGTTGGCAGACTAACCTTGTAATTCAGGAGCGAACTCCTGCAGGTCTGACGTTGATGTCGGTTGATCGATGTTATGCTCCTTTGCAGGGGGAGGTGTCGGCAAGTTGGACAGCGAACCACAAGTTGCGAAGTACAGGTCCAACTCCTCGTCGGTCATGTCGCTGGTGATTGAGAAAGCTGGCGAGAGTTCCATCTTGGAGTGTTTGTGGTGTGCGATTCTTGGATGTGTGGTTGTAGGGATTTTGTTTGCGGTTTCACGGCTTCTTGTAGAGTGAAAGATGGTTTGAGGTTGCTCGAACAATCATTCCAGTGTTTCGTTTGTCGAGACGCAAATTGAAGGATCGAAATGTCGTGGTCGCTTGAGATCAGTCGGCAAGGGGAGAGGGATAAAAGGCCGACAATGAGGGCATCCACAGCGCTATATACTGCTGTCCCAAAAAGACGACAGCATTCGAAACGGTGAAGCGGCTGACGGTGCTCGCTAGTTCCGTGTGGCTCCTTGACCCGTAGCGGTCTCCCTGCCGCGAGACCAAGCCCTACTTGAACATTTAGCGCGCTAGGCAGTGCAGTAGGGGGGACGCAAGCGAAAATTGATTGTTCGGGCGGTAACCGCACCGTCAAACGAGCCGGACACAATTGTGGATGCCCAGGAGTTTGCAAGGTCGGCAGAACCCGACAGAGTGAGATGTGGTGGAAGAACGGCATTGTACCTTCCCCAAGTGGCAGCCACATGTGCAGCACCCCGCATAGGAATGCTCTTGCCATGGCGCGATCGCATACACAACTACGCCATACCAATCTATCAGAACTTGATGATTCCCCAGATCTACATTCCAACATGCCGCTGCACGGAGTACCGGTACAAGGTTTGGTTACTTTGCAAGAAAGTGACGCCTAAGGCCGTCCATGGATTCGTTGGTGGAGACCATGTCTTGACTCTTGAGAACGTCAATGGCAATGTCCGTCTCACGGACATTTGCTGTACAAACACCACACCAGACACTCTAGAAGACAGATGAGGAATGTTTCACATCACGAAGCGGCCCTTCTGCATCTCATCGACTCTCACGCCACCCTCGTAACCTACCGGATACTCTCTCCGAGCATAGCAACCAGCGAACAGCTCCGAGTCTCCAACGCACTCACCGCCTATTCACATCAAGACGTCGATGCACCGCGCCGCAGCGGCGTCTGTCGAGCGCGGCTCGGTGCGTATACAGTACGGTGGCTCGGGCGTCTCGTACATCCGCCCGCTGCTCAGAGCAAGCACGTATTCCTACCAAGCCGCCAATGGCTACGTACCCGCCTGCTAACCCTCAAGTTGACGATATCCACAGGCCCGTTCTCGCGCCAGGCCGCAGTACCAGCATGGATGCGGTTGGCCCGGGGGCACAACGACTCGTAATCTGGGTGGGCGGCCATCGTATGAGGGGATCGTGCTCTTCGCTTCAATATTCCGAGATCCTTCAGATGCCTGACATGCGCTGGCCCATATTGACAGCCCCATCGCGCTAGCCAAAATGCCATCCAGAAACACAATGACGGGGCCGCACACCCTTCGTCTGCATCGCCGCCAGAGCCTGTTGCTTGCGTGTGTGTGCGTGCGTGCTGACAGGGGCGTTCTATAATCGTGCTGCGGGTCCAGGGACCGTGACTGCACACCTCAGGACGAGCACCCGAGATCCAGTTCCGCCCTGCATGGTGGTGTATTGAAATGCGCATATCCATCCACAAGGCATTCGATGTCGTTGATCAGCAGGCACGAGACTCCACGACGATCGCCTCGGATGCAGCTGTCTGGGCCTCTGCAGGGCAGCCAAACCGGCTTGCACGCTCCACTTGCACCCACCGCTGCCCCAGTGCGTGGCCCCGAATCCCGCCTCGAAACTCGATGCCGTGATCGTGATCAGACACCCACTGCTCTGCGTGCTGATCGGCCATTCATCGAACCTTCCAGCCGTCAGACTGCATTCGCGTGCCCCGTCAGCGCGCTGACAGACGCCCCCCACATCACCGCACACCGTCTCCCCAGGTGTGCAGGGCGCCGTCACTGCAGCTCTTCGATTCGCGCAGGAGGACTGCAGGTGGCCGCGGGCAAGTGCATGGATAGTGGGAGCTAGCAGGATGCAGCCGAAAGGCGTTGCGTCAGCAACACGGTAGTCTGCACAGTGCACAATAGAAATCCGTGAAATGCGGTCTGCAAAAGCTATGGTAAACCGCTGTATGAGGCTACAAGCCGTTGTGAGACGTGAGACAAAGACGTGCGTATCGGCGACGTGTACAAAGGAGCTGAGGAGCCAGCCTCCACCGTTTCCTCCACAGCCGCACGGGAACGTGTGGAACGTGGGTGCGGCTGAATGCACGCTCAAGCTCTGTGGGATATGGAGATCAAAATAACATATTCAGTTGCAAACAACGCCACACTCTACAGCTACGAAAATGCTCAGAGGTATATCCGGGTCGCTTGCAGAAACCAATGCAGACCATCCGACTTCAGCTCGATTCTTGTAGTGCTCCTGAAGAGCAGAAAACCTCTCTCTCTTCCTCCCTCACATCCTTGAGTGACATCATTCGTTGTCCTTTTCCAACACTCTATTTGATCGCGACCGTATACCATCATACGTCATAACTTGTCATACCTCGGACCTCCAGCACACGCAGAGCGCCGCGAATCGAAGGCAGGGTTTTGTCGCACGCATTTGGATGCGTTTACTGGGCCTTCTTGGGAGCACCGGGCTGGGCGCCGACGTATCTGCGGATGTCGGTCGCATCAGCAGCCTGGCGGATAATGTTCTTGACGGTTCCCCAGCCCTGGCGAGCGGCAGGGGGAGTGCTCTGGTTGGCGAGCTGAGCGTCAATGCGGGCGGTGACCTGGTTGATGGCGTCCTGGACGAAGCTGCTCTGCGCGACGCGGGCACGGAAGAAGACGGTGTAGACAGCAAGCAGAATCCAAGAGCCCTTCTGGAAGATGAGAGCGGAACCAAGAACACGGAACCAGAGAGCAATCTCGAGGAGAGCGACCAGAGTCATGCTGGCATCATAGTACTCCTTGACGAACTTGCCAATGGTCTCAGCGAAAGCCGAAGCCTGGGGCTTAGCGCCGGGTGCGGCAGCAGGCTGAGGCTTGATGGTGGGGATCAGGTTGTTGCGCACGTAGGTAGCAACGTGGAAGACGGAGTACACTGTGAAGGGCAGCAGAGCCAAAGGGATCTGGCGCATGAAGAGCCAGACAAGAGCCATGACTATGGTAAAGTCAGCTCGTGAAGCGGGGAAAGCTAAGCTTTGCGTAGAAGTACTTACTCAGGTACTGGACGTTCTCGTCAGTAGCCAGCGCCATAACGCCGCCCTGCTTGCCAGCCCTCATGCGGGCGCGGTACGCCTTGTAAACGACAATGCCGTATGTGACACATGCCGAGATGAAGCCTGTACGGTACGAGAAGGCTGCCCATTTAGAGTTGTAGTTGAAAGTAATATAGGACAGTGCGTATCTCAGCGCAGCCAGCAGAAGGGTGACATGGCCGGCGAACCACGCGAACTGAAGGGTTTGCGCGAGGGCAGCTAGGCGCTGGCCCAGCGGGAGGTTGGAAGGCGGAGGAGGAGCCATTGAGGGGTTTCGACTACGTCGTGTGAGCTACGTAATGTGTAGCTTGGACAGTCAGCGGAGCTCGAGATGATGAATTGATGTGGTGAAGTCGCAGGACCAATGGTACTCGAGCTTATCACAACCGATGGGTGTTTTGCGGAGGGGTCGAGTGCAATCTGGCAAGAAGCGGAGGCTGGCCGTCTGTTCGGCGCTCGGGACCCGCTGCTGCTTATGACGCTCGCTCCCTGCGTGACCCAATGAGTGCAACTTACCGAAGAGGAGACAGAACCCGAACAAGAGGTCGACGGTCGAATGAGGCAGGTAATATGCGGAGGAGGATGTCGAGTGCAGAGGAATGGGAGATCGACTTTTGTAGCTTCAGAAGCGGGCACGCAAACCAGGTCGTGGGCGTTTGGGGTGATGACGAAATGCTTTCGCGCTGCCACTTCCAGTCCTGGCTGGCCCGCACACGCCCAATAGCGCCGCAGCGCGCCTCCACCAGTGCTGCACCCTGACGATCGTCGCAGGAGGGCGATGCGAACATGTGAAGCTTGGAACGCCTGTCACCCCTCGTAATCATCATCGCTCACGATCACATTGCACGCCTCAGACACTCGAAAGATCATCTTGGACGAGTTCACTACCCACAAAGGAAATTCACTGCTACGGTAGTTGTAGAATACATGAAAAGAAGTTCCTGTCGCTCCCCCACTTCGCCCGAGAACAACTGCCCCTGTACTAAATAATAGAAAAGTCGAAAGGAACACAAGGGAACCGGAAGGAGCGCAATGATGTTGGTATCAATCAACAGCCGGGATATCTGGACCAAGAGACGACACCGTTGCCCTCTACTCGCCAACACCGCATCGCCGTATTAGTCGTCTGGCGATAGCACCCAGTGGTATCGTCAAGCGGCATCATATTAAACAAGTCTGTAAGAGGGAGGAGGAAAAGAAGTAGGAGAGGTAAGCCGGGCAAGGTGTCAGGACGGACAGACACCGAGTGCTCCACCTTAACGGAGGGAGAAGCCCTTCCTCTTGCCCTTCTCTTCCAGCGGCCGTCCTGACTCGATGCGCGCCTTCTTTTCTTCGAGTTCGGCCCGTTGTCGTTCGAGCTGGTCTTTCATCTCCTTGTGACGAGCGTACAGCTCCTCTTCGCTCTGTCGCAGCTTGCTCTCCTTTTCGTTGACTTTCTGCTGGAAAACCATCTTCATTTCCATCTCCATCTTCTGGAGTTTCTGCTCGTGCAGCGAGCGCTCCTCCTCCTGCTTGACCGCAGGGTTGATCTCCTTGAAAACGCTGGAGTCTTGCTGGACACCCATCGCTGTGAGCTTCTCAGAACGGTAGTTCTCGTAGAGCGTGTTGTTGGTGTTCTCCTTGAGCTCCTCCATGTGAGTGCGGATAAGCATCTGTCGCAGCTTGACGAAGTCGCAGTGTTCCTCATTGTCGACCTCAACCACACCCCAGGGCATGGCGCGACCACGAACCTTGCGGCCGTCGGCAGTGACAACCTCCTCGTTCGAACCAACAACAGCGAAGGGAACCTTGGCCATGATTTCCTGGTTCTCGGCGATTGTCTCCTCGTCGTCGAGCTCGTATCGTGGTCCTTCGAAGATCTGGATGCCGTGGTGCTTGATGTCTGCGAGAATCTACACGTTGTTAGCAACCAGTCATTCTTGTGTAAGCAATTACGTACCCTTCGCTTGAAGTTATCGATCTCGTCGTCCGATACCGTATCGGCCTTGGCAACGACGGGAATGAGGTTGACCTTGGTATGCAGCTTCTTCATAACCTCAACATCCAGAGGCTTAAGAGAGTGGCCGGTGGGCTGGATGAAGTAGACGACGGCATGGATACGGTTGTCAACAATGTTCATGCGGTTGACCTTGTTCTCGGCGTCGAGGTAGGCGTCAAATCGTTGCTCAATGTTCTTAACAATAGGATCCCACGATTCGTCGTTGTTGATGAAATCACCGAACCCAGGCGTGTCAACAACGGTCAAGCGAAGACGGACACCGTTCTCCTCGATATCGGCGCTGATGGACTGTATCGAAACAGTCTTAGAGATGTCGATGCTTGGGGGCTTACGCTCCTTGGGAGGGTACAGCGAGGTGTTGAACAGTGTGTTCACGAGTGTTGACTTTCCGAGGCCAGATTCACCTGTCAATCTGTTAGCGCGTCGCTGAGAGCTTGTTCCGCTGGTGCAAGCATACCAACGACCATAACATTGAAGTTGAAGCCCTTGCGCACACTCTTGCGATGCCACTGGTTGGGCAGATTTGCGAAACCAACGTAGCCTGTGAGCTTCCTGCGCACGATGTTCAGGTCGTTCGCCATCTGAGCTGCGAGCTTGGGGTTCTTCGCTGTGATGGTCTGGGGAATAGCTGCATGTGTGTTAGTCATGGCGATGTCGCGAACCACAACAAACGGACCGTTCGCTGTCGAGGGTGGGGATGGGGACGCACGCGAAGGAGGGGCGGGCGATACGGCGCCGTTGGATTCTGTGTTTGTAGTTAGCCCCTGTGTGTCGGAAGGAGGGTGGTGTGGCCGTCGGAGACGGCAACGTCGACTAGCGTCAGGGCTGCATTGAGGCTACGACACCATCCCGTTTGCTGCGGCGTGAATGCCTGAGGCTATGGGGAGTCTTGCAGCCCGTGCATGTGTCGATATCGCGAGATATGTAGGATCGGGGTGGTTCCTTACCCATAGTGGCGGTGGAGCTGCGGTCGCAGTAAGGACGGCACAAAGTGAGAGACTACTATTATGCGAGACTCGGTCAGCAGGATATCCGCGATGCGTGGTGAAGCTGGTGGTGGTTGCTACTAAGCAATCTGAGGACGCGACGCCAGCCAAAACCTGGAGAAATAAAGTGAAACAGGGAGGTGGGATAGGCGTACCGTTCGATAGTCGTGTACGCTCGAGTGAACTGATGCACTCAGAGCAATGGAATTGAAAAGGTCGCGGGCAACTGCGAGCGACTGCGTGTGTGAATGGCGGTGGATGCTACGACGTTGTAGGTGGCAGACGTGGTGCGCTTCGCTGGTGGTTAAAGGGGTCCGACGTTTCGCAGGGATTGGAGAGCAACGTCGAAGAAATAGGCGCTAGAGAGTTGATCCCCGCCACGCGACCAACAGTTGGTGCAATTGAGGAAATACGTGGAGATGGTGCAGAGCGAGCTGTGGTTGCTGTAAAAGAGCTACAGAGTGCAATTGACACCTTGCACGTCGGCGTGGGATGATTTTCGCGTTGTTGCGCTGCCGCAAATGGCAGTGGCGTACCGCAGGGCTTAGAGAGGAAGCTATCACGTGTCCAAGCTCACGAACATGGAAATTGCGCCCCAGGATCGGCGCACAATAGGTTTTATGTGCTGCACTGGAGGGATGCAAGGGCTGCAGTGCGCTGCATCCACAGCATCGCTACAGTTCCAGACCGTAGACCTCGTGGCCTTTCCATCTACGCGGGCCAAGGTGTATGCACTAACCTCGGTCCCAAACATCATACATTCAACTCTGTCGCATACACCAGCCTGGTCCAGTGCACACCCAACTCGATCGAAGCAAACGCAAACTAAGGGTATTGTGCGGAAAGTCCAATCCAACGCCACAGACAATGCATCAAGAAAAACTCATGAGCGACCTGTTGAGCTCAGCCTTATCGTACTTGACGTACTTGCCCTTGCCCTTATCAATCTCGCGGTATTTGTCGTAGAAGCGGTTGTACAGCGGCTCGATGATGTTCTGCACTTCCTTCGACAACGTTGTTCGCACCTCAGCCTCCATGGCGTAGGTCTTGTGACGAGCAACAAGATCCTCGAAGCATGTATTGAAGCTCTTGAACTTCTCCTTGATGGCGTCCTTGTCTTTCGACCCAAGACCTTTGACAATGGCGGCGGAGTCGGGAGCTCCACCCCCGGAATGTGGCCTGTCTTTCGAACGATTGGTATACTGAACGTCGAGTAGATGTCCAGATGGTTCTCGCCATGCTTCAAGGTACATAGCAGAGCTCGTCTTGCGCCAACCTGCGAGCTTACCCGCGTAGCTTTCCAGAAGAGGCGCAAGCTCCGAATTGCGAATGACTCGAGTGACGATCGCTATGTTGTTCGCCAAGAAAACACCTTGTAACGTCTTGCCCTTCAACAACATCTTTGCCTTCGCCGTCAGGTTCTGGATGAGCGTGTCGATTGTGTCGGACGCGTATGACGCGAACAGCTTGACCATGTCAGGGTTGACATCTAGTGTCGTTGATGAAGCATTCGCAGAGGGGTTGTTCCAGCCGCCCTCGCCCAATGATGCCAATATCGAGGATAGCGGATCCAAGTAATTGGTCATCTCCTGTAAACGACGCATGGTCTCTGTTGTGATGGGTACTGCAGCTCCGTCCATTGGCAAAGCAACAAGAGTCTGTGTTCGAACCCTAGTGTCCTCGATAAGCTTGCTCAAGGATGTCTTCGACGTCTCACGAACAGGCTTAACGCTGTCGTAGATCTGGCCTTTGAGCGTACCAGTGGTGTCCTGCAGGCGCAGAGACAGCGTGCGAACCATGCCGCAGATCTCATAGCCAAGAAAGCAATCGGTGAGTAGGTTCTTTTGGATGTGACCATTCAGGTCGCGCAAAGTCCTGTTGAATTCTCCCAACGAAGACTGGCAGGTAGATTCGCAGACTGGCATCCATTCACCACGCGCGAACACGTTGGTGATGTTGTCGTATTCGGCCACAAAGATGCCCTCGATGGCCTGCACATACGTGCCAATGCCGTTGGTGCCCTTCTTGTACAGCGCATCCGGCTGCACCTTCTTAGCCGTCGTGACCGAAGCCTGAGCCAGACTGGCGAGCGAGCTCTCCAAATAGCTCCCCCGAATGTCTGCGTATATCCTTTGTGTGGGTGTTGACGACAAGTCTGCCTGCGAAGCCGAGGCCACGGCTTGGGAAATATGGTTATTGATGCCGCGCAACGTCGACAGCTGGTCCTGCGGCAGCAACGGAAAGGGGTTGTTCTTCGCGACAAACTCCAATGGCTGTAGCTTCTGCCTTGAGCAGTCTCCGAGTATGCTACGAAAGACGTCCTCCAATTGTTTGTTTCCCAGCTTCAATAGCCCGTTCAGCTGGGCGATGGCTTGTTCATTCGATCGCAGGTTCGTGCGCTTCAGATCGGCGAGCGCCATCGTGGTCCGGTCGAGAGACGCAAGGTAATCGCGAAGGTCGCCTCGTCCAGGTCTAGCACGCGTCAGCTTAGATGTCCCAGTATGATCGAGCATACGTACCCAGCTCTAATGATCCTCTCTTCCCGCTCACTCTGGTCGCGCGGTGCCCTGAGGCGCTCAATCGCCTCGATGACCTTGTCGATGTTGCTTGTCGCAATCTGTAGCTTTTGCGTATTTCCATAGATGGGACTGATCGCGTCTTGCACCGCTTTGCCGCTGCCATCGAGGCGATTGACAGAAGCTTGGATCTTCTTCGTGAGCGTCTTCATCTTGTCCATGTTGGCATACAACACCTCGACTTCGGCGCTCTCTTCGGCCAGCGCCGGTGGTTTGCGCGGCCCCACCATCTTGGCTGGAAGGCGCCTGCCAACAGTGTTTCGCGGGGAAGGAGGTTGGGGAAGGCGCGACTGATGCGATTACGGGAGCTTGAAGCGTGGCAGCTTCGAGCAACTGTGGGGGCTGTTATGACCCTGCGGACCGAACGTCGGTATGTATTTCAAGAATGTGGCAACATGTACAAAGAAACAAAGATACAAAATTAGGGTCCAAGGCGGCTAGTAGCCGGGATTATGTAGATTGTGTATGGAGGTTGGTCTGGCGTGGGGATGCCTGCGGAGCTGCCGGAGAACTGCAGGAGAACGAGGCTATGACGAACCAGGGTTGAAGTGCGGCGCACGGTGCAGGGAACCACCCTCGGTCAGTCATCTTTCGGAGACACTCTGCTTCCATGTTTCGTGTACACTTTACGGCCACAATGTGCTTCTCTTATATATGTGGAGTACGGAACAATGCGGAAACTTTGATCAAGGAGTGGTACGCTGCTGGGTGTGGCGTCATCTAGACGAGCTGTTCGCGCAGGGGAGTGTTTCCGCTCGCCGCAAAGCCGCTGTCAGACCTGTCTTTAAGTATTGAGCTAGCAAAGACATGACACTGTCCAAATTGGCCGCAAGACTGTAAGTAGACTTTTCATTGGAATATGTTTCTGTCAAGCTAGAAGTCCCAAGCATCTGCTACTCCTAAACGGGCATCCATCCGATCCCTACCATTTGACCTGCCCTTGAAGCATGGTGCAGGCGGAAACAAGAAGTGTCTGTCTAGCCACGTATCGGATCTTACTATCCGACAGAAAGTGGGACTACAAGTCCACCATGGGTGCAAAAGGTCGAATCTGATCAAGGCTTAGAGACCGGGCTCTCTCTTGATTACCGGGTTTGATTCGTGCTGTAAGTTTGACAAGAACCTCTCACGCAGCTTTCCAATATGTTGTTCGGACACGCCTCGGTACCGAATAGCCTGCACAGAAGATTTTGATCGTTTCACATCGTTCCATGAAGTAGGTGGTTGCGTAGCCGCTCTCTCACCACCTGCCTTTCGCTTATTTGAGACGAAGGCACCTGATGTATCTGTTCCGGGAAATCGGCTTTGAACCCGGTAAAGCTGCTTCTTGAACTGTGGAAGTAGAGCCTCCAGCTGCTCTCGCACGCGCCGATGATCAGAAGTCAGTTGCGCACCAGTGTCGAGAAGTTCATCGATGGAACGAGCGAAGACTTGCAAGAGAGCTGTGGCTTCTTCAACATACTGTTCACAGCAGTCCTTCCAAGACTCAACTTGAGTGTTCGCAATCTTTTGTTCCATAACATCCGAGAATGGAGGCTTTGGCCAGTCGGGCGCAATGAGAGACTCGATTAGGTGAGCACGCTGCCGCGCGTATGAGCCCGGACCAGGCTGAATCAGCTGCTGCAGAAGAACACTTCGATATATCTCCATCATTTCCAGCGCGATCGGGCACTTGACATTCGTCTCGTTCGAGAACATGAAGTGAACTTCTCGTAGCTTACTTTGAAGCAGAGCTGCCATCTTGCCATAGGCCATAGCAATTCGGCGGGTGGTGGTATCGAGCAGCTCTGTAGCTCTAGATTTTAGCTCTGGGTCTCCTTCGTAGCCCTGAACGCGATTCCTGAGATCGTTGAGGACAGCCTGAACCGGTTCATCAAGTTTCAGGGCGATGTCTTCAGTCTCAGTCTGCATTTTGTCACGCCAACTGTGGATGAACTCAACCATTGTGTCCAGAATCTCCTGGTTCAAGTTACGGCCTAGTCCCGCACCATTGACCGGAATGCCGTTCTCCTTGAGCATCTTAGAGAATGTTGGATAGTACAAGAATGGGCTCGCCAAGGTCTGAACAACAGCCTTCAGGCCGGTGTTGATGCGGGACTTAACCCCTCCTTCGATGAATGGCTGGCTTACACGTTCGGTGGGAAGAGATGTAGCAAGCATTCTGATGCTGGAGTGTACTTGCAGCAGTCGTTCTGTCAAATACTCGCGCATCTGTGCGTAGCCCTCATCGTCGCCAAATTTCTCGAGAATGCGCTGAATTTGTCGGACGATGTCTGGAAGAGTTTCGAAGACATGATAATGTAGCGTCCGATAGTTTGTCTGAGCTGGCAAATGGAAGAGATAGCGGCGCAGCTGCGGTATACCAGTCGCTGCGGGTGTGAGTTTGGGTTTCTCATCGTCCTGCTCCGCGTCTGTGCAGATACTGTACTGTCGTGCAGATACGGACAGTATATCGACGCCCCTATCTTGTAACTGCAGGCTAACAATATCTTTTTCCCGCTGAATGTAAGCCATTCGGGCCTCCTTCAGTAGATAGTCCCTGTAGTCAACAAGAAGACATTTATTCTCAGTGCCCTGTCTGGCGTGAACTTTAATGTTGGCCAGATATTGTTTGAAGAGTGGAAATGGTGCCTCCTCGAGCTTGTTGATCTGCTTTTCCAAATTGTCAAGCAATTGCTGGGTGCATTGTCAGCTGGAACAAATTTCTTAGGGTGCTTTCGCTCACATCTGACTTGTTTGTGACTAAAAGTGTATTTCGTGCCCCAAGACGACGAATGGATCGGCTGAGATAGCGCTCCTGCACTACGCTTGACACGACTCTCGAAGTCGGTGCGACGACAATTTCGAAGTGAGCCATCAGGCGGAATTTGTCAATTGTTGCCGTGCGAATGTGGTTGTCATCGCCATATCCTAATCAAAGTCAGCGGTACTTTTAGCTTCAGGAGGAGAATAAGCGTACCAGGAAGATCTAGCAAGCACACATTGTTCCTCAGAAGAACATGTCCAGTCTCAATACGCACTGATTTGATGAGTGGCCAGACCTTATCAATAATTTCTTGAAATTCGGGCAGTATCTCGTCTTTGATCGTATCAGACACCGCAAACCCACCGCCAAGATTGCGTTCGCTCAGCTGAGATCGAGCCCTTACTACGCATAGATCTGCAAAAACACCATCCTCGATGTCCATGTAGTCGAGTTGATCTTGCAGGAAAGATTCCTGTTCCTTGTTATGCTCGGTTTGGAAAATGATGTTGAAGAAAGACATCGCAGTTTTTGCGCCGCGTAAGATTGAAGGGCGTATACTCTTGCGACATGGATCGTCGGCAGTAGATGTAGATATCGGAACTTCATCGTCCTCGCCGTCACTGAGATCTTCTTCCATTCCGATTTCCAGAAGGGCTTGAACATCATGATCCGGCGCGTCACGATGCTTACAGGGAAACGCTTCTCGATACCGGCGTGCCTGTTCCTGAGAACATTCTCTGATCTCTTCTTCGCTGAAGTACTGGACACGGATATCTGATTCCTTCGTGTCGTCGCTGGCGCCGACTTTGTGTGTGATGAACGTTGGGTATGCAGTGCATGCGGACGATGATGGAGAAACGAAGACGATGTCGCGGTCCAGGATTGAATTGATAAGCGAACTCTTTCCGGTACCCTGTTCACCTAGGAAAGCGACGTAGAATTGCTGACCGCGTGGAATGATGTTGGCTGTCTGCACTGTAGCATTCAGATTGGAGACCTCGACATCGTTGGAAGAATGTTTGCGCACTGCTCGAAGAAGAGGCAGGCACAGGTCATGAATGCCACTGTTGATCTTATCGTGCTCAAGCGCGTACCAGTCATCGTTGGGGTATCGTTCTGAAGAAGCATCGTACACAGTCGGCTCGCCATTACCTTGTGAAGCGCCAAACTTAACCTTGTACTGTGAGAGTGTTAGAATCTCTACCGGCAGCTCACACTCTGCAGAGCTGCTAGACTGCGCCATGGTATTGTAAGTGCAAATCTCGTGGCCAAATACCAGCGTCAGCTTTCGTCGCAGTAGCTATCGTGGTAGTGGAAGTTGTGGTAAGAAGTCAAGTTCGCAGCCAGAAGGGCTCATATAAATAGTCACAGCAACGGAAGGAGTCTCCGCCTCGCTGTCAAGTGAGAGACGGATGTAAAGGAAGCCCAGTCTTGTGAAGGAAGGTGAGAGAGAAAGGCGCGTCGCTGATACTGAGTTGGACTCTGTTGGCGGTGCAGTGATATGATTACGCCCCAGTAGCTGGGAGAAGGTGCAAGAAATTATGGTGTGTGTACCATGAGGTAAAGGCAGGACGCATGATAATTGAGGCCTACAGTGAATCATCCTATGCCTCGACGATGCTTGAGAAAGACACGTCGTGAAGAAGCTGTTAGATATTGCAGTCAAGGAGCGCTTTCGACTATGTCACGGGACGCACGGAACAAGAACGTGTAGAGCGGAAAAACTCCAGTCATTCATCAGCCTTTATCTCGAATACGATACCTAGGAGCGTGAACTTCGCCTACGTGAGTGAATTTCTTGACATCCTGCAACACCCATAGCTCACCAAGCCACGCGCTGCATCCCACAATGTCGCTGACTCGCAGATGTATCTCCATCGCCCAGACTTCACTCTAGCACCTCCTGCTTGACCGCCGTGACCCGCGCCTTCTTAGCAACGTGCAGCGTCTCCGGCTCAACGAACTGCCCCTTGACCAGTGCGAGATCTCTGCTGAAGCCGAGAAGCTGCTCGCCCAGCTGCTTGCGCACTAGCTTGTGCGCCTCCAGCATGTACATTTCGTTCTCGAGCAGCTCAGCCAGGGCCTGGGCGAATTCTTCAAAGTGAGCGAGGACTGTGTCGGTAAATTCGTTGCCGACGTCTCCCCAGAGTCTGCATTGGCGGCACTTGACCCGTATTGAGATTGCATCAATGAGCGGGGCTTCATCGTTGTTGGTTTCGGTGGTGGTACGGATCAGTTCGGCGCGCTGATCTCTGTAGATACCTTTGCGGTGTTTCGGCCGCTCGTCCATGCGGATCATGTTGATGCGCACGTAGGCGGACCTGAGCTCTCGGGCGACGGGACACCTTATATCGTCTTCTGTGGTAAAGCGCCTGTAATTTTCATTCAATGCAGCGTAGAGTTCTTCCAGCAGACGGCTTTCGCCTTGATCAATGCGCCTCGAGAGTTTGTCGAGAGCCTCACCGACCCTTCGCTTCAGCTCGGGGTCGCTTGAGGCTGCACTTAGACGCTGCTCAAGCTCGCTGAGTGTAGCTTGAACTGGAGCATTAAATTGGCTATGAACATGGACGACTTCGGGGGTCGTCTTGTTCCTCCAATATCTTATTGTTGACTTGTAGGTTTGCATGAGCTCGTCGTTGAGGTTTCTGTTCCTGTAGCTACCATGTGTAGCAATGCCATTGTTTCGAAGTAAAAGCCAGAATGTTTGATAGGCAAGGTCTACCTCAGGCAACGAGTTCAAATGCATTTTCATGCCATCAGCAACCTTGCACTTGGCAGCTTCGTTCCAAGCTTCGGACACCAGGCTATTTGGGACAGAGATAGACAGATTCTTGAGGTTGCTATCAAGGACAGAAACTTGCTCGAGTAGATAGCGACGAATCGCAGAAACGTCGACGTCATTGGTGAATTTCATGAGAATTCGCGACACTTTGTCTTCGATATCTGTGACTGTCTCGAAGATGTGATATCGAAGATTTTCGTAACTCGCCTCAGCCGGCAGCATAAGAAGTGATTGACGAAGAAGAGGGATATTAGTGCCTGCGGGATCGTAGGGCGGATCTTCCAGCGGCGAAGGATCGAGCCAGTCGAGATATCGCGCCGAGGACACTGAGAAGACCCGAACTCCTTTCTTCTGCATCTTGCGTTGGATCTTGTCAGATTCGCGTCGACCGCCAGCCATCTGAGCTTCTCTGATCAAGTATCGTCGGTATTGTTGGACGACACTGCGGGCTTCACCTCTCAAGCTTTTGAGACCCGAGATGTGATGTTGAATGGTCATGAAAGGTTCTTCGGTTTCATCTTTCATCGTACGGATGACTTGGTGCTGTGGTGTCTCCAAGCATGACTGTTCGTTGTTAGCAGGGACCATGAATATAATAGGAGTACACTTACGTCGGCTTTGTTGAGCACAAGAAACACATTCCGCGCCCCATGATGTCGGACCGCACGATCGAGGAAGCGATCTTCGTCGGTCTTGGACAAATATCGATCGCTTTTGGCCACGATCATCTCGAAATGAGCCTTGCTACGAAACTCGTTTACAACTGCAGTGCGTGTCTGGTTCATATCTCCGTAGCCTGCTGATAGTCAATGCACTGGTCTGATAAATGAGTGATGCGCTCGTCTTACCAGGCAAATCCATGAAACGAATACCATTACTAAGCAGAACAGACCCAGTGGAGATTGTCACAGCTTTGACCAGAGGCCACATAGTCGTGGCATGGCTTCTTACTTTCTGCAAGTCCATGTCCTTGACATCGCTATACTCGACACTTCCCTGCTCCTCAGCTTGGATCTGTCCCAAGTGCTCAGTCGCAACACGAACACAATGTTCGAGGAATTGGCCATCTTCCAAGTCAGTCTTGCCGAGCCATGACTGAAGTTCGGCTTCCTTTTCTTCGTCCAGATGTGCGCTGAAGAGGATTCGGAAGAACTGTTCAGCGGTGTCTGCACCGAGCTGTACGGCTTTAGAAACCTTCTTACGTTTCTTCTTACTGGCGATTGGGCTCTCAGTTGCATCGCTCAAATCACTGTCAGAAACTTCAAATTCAGAAACACTGTCTTCCACGATGTCCTTCGCCAAGACGCCGTCTTCCTCTTGTGCTTCAATGTCATTGTTGGCCTCGAAAGGGGCGTAGACATCTGTGTACCGGCGAATCTGCTCTTCGACAAAGTCACGGACTTCATCTAACTCCAAGAAGGTGACTTTAAGATCGCTCTCATCCGTGTCATCCGTAGCCCCATCTTTGTACTCGACGATAGTTGCGAATGCTGTGCATGCGCTGGAGCTTGCCGAGGCATCGACAAGGTCGCGGTTGAGAAGGGCGTTGATTGTGGAGCTTTTGCCAACACCCTGGTTACCTACCACCGCGATATCAACCTTCTTTGAAAGAGGAATCTTCTTTGCTCGATCGAGAGCCCTAAGCAAGTCGGTGATCTCCGGATCGTTGATCTCGCAATTTACGACTGGACGGCCTAGCTGATCACACATGTGTGCCACTGTCTTTCTCAGCAGCTTCTGGTCCAAAGCATACCACATGTGAGCTGGAAGTTCTTCGGTGCTGGGATCGTAGACGGAGTCATCGCCCCGCTTGATACCTTCAGTGGCAAGACGTTGAGCCTTCCATTCATCAAAATCGAGACAGTCGCGCTGTACTACCTCTCCGGGCGGTGGGGACAGTGGACGCTTGGACATGCTGTTCGTTCGAAGAGACTCCAGTTGATGATACGTGGTCGTAGGTCGAACAGAAGGGGAGAATCACCTGTCAGGTCGAGGGCGAAATGCAAATGGAAAAGAAGATAGAAAGGCGACGCGATGATCTGTGGCAGACAGCGATATAAAGGTTATCAGGCCGATAGCCATGACTGCGGTGAAGTGAACGTGAGCCATCGAGTGAGGCATTAGTAGGTTAGGCCATGGTGAGAGTGACGTTGAAAGGTCAGAAGCAACGCAGCAAAAGTGAGGAGCAATAGTTTGCAGTGCTCGTTCGCAGGCGTGTCATTGGTCACAGGCCGAGGTGGCCCAATTGAGCTCGTACATGTTGGCCCTGCCATAGATGGCGAAAGAGGAAAGCGTGCAGTTCGAGCAATGTTTGGGTAGGACCTGCACACCTGCTCCCAAGATCCTTTGACACTGGTCAAGTGTACTCGGCCGTTGATAGAACGACGATAAACATGTGGGGTTGAGGGACCGTTGGCGCTACGGATGGCGGCACTGGGGAAGACGATCAGCACTGGGACAAGCACTGTCCAGCCGCACTGCCGAAGTAGACGTGATCGGTTCCTGCAGTAGCTGCGAGCCGTCAGACACGTGCCCAGACCAGTTCACGATGCCCGTTGAGATGGTCAGCGATGACGAGGGAGCCTCGGGTGTTCCTGCATGTGCTTGGATCGGCCGATTACGTAGCCATCGATCAACGACCAACGCCCGCAAACCTGAATCGCCAACGGACGCGGCCGAAAACTGGATCGCGCAACGCGCCGCAACTTCGTCATGTTGAGCGCATAGCTGGGAGGCCAATTGGCTTTTTGCAGGCCTGTTCTGCAAGCACACCGCAAACACCCCTCACATTCCTTTCCGCCCGCTGTCACTATCCATGGCGCGCTTGGGCAATGCGCGCGACCTCGGCCTGGTGTGGCTGCGGGGAACGCGCCGCGGGTGAGCATGCAACACGTCTACGCAGAGAGAGCGGGCGCTGACTGCTCAGACTGCACACCAGAGCCAATGCCACCACTCGCCCGACCGCCTCTACCTACTGCCTCCGATATGGCCCGCCGCTCTTCCTCGCGACCCTCGGCACCGGATACTACCTCGCAGCCCATCACTCGCGGCCCATACAGCTCGACGGGCCGTCCTGGGGCTCCGTGTCGCGCACACAAAGCCGGAGCAGCGCCAACTCCGCTGTGAAGAAGCCCGACGAGAAGTCCGACGAGAGACCTGCGCCCGGCGAGCAGGAAGCGCCTTCCCAGACCCGAGTCGCGGAGGGATACAGCGCTGTGGTGGAGAAGGCAGGCGACGTGACGTCAGCCTGGCAGACAATCACCGGCAGCTTCTCCAGCCCTACCTCGCCCGTCACGTACATCGGCGACTCCATCCTGGACTACGTCATCCCCCAGTGGGTTAAGGTCTTGCCGGGCTTCATCAAGAAGCTGCAGAATGAGCTGTCCATGGCCCCAGGGTCGCTGGCCGAGGACATCTGGTACGAGGCGAACGACCCAGAGACTAACCCCGAGATCATTTGGGATGCTTCTGTGCGCGTCTCCGACCAGCTGTGCGAGGAGGAGCTGTCGTTCCGAGAGAAGCGCTCGCAATTCACCAAGGCAGCTCTCGCCCGCTATCTCGACATCCCTGAGGGCAAGATCCACCCTGATGACGTCCCCGTCATTGCCATGTGCGGCTCTGGCGGAGGCCTCCGCGCTCTTGTTGCCGGCGCCTCGTCATACCTGTCGGCGAAGGAGCACGGCCTGTTCGACTGCGTCACCTACACAGCTGGCGTCAGCGGGAGCTGCTGGCTGCAGACAATGTTCTACTCCGACGTCTCCCAGCGCAGCCATGCTAAGCTGATCCGCCACCTCAAGAACCGTCTCGGTGTGCACATTGCCTTCCCACCAGACGCCCTTGAGCTGCTCGTCAGCGCACCGACCAATAAGTATCTGCTGGCGGGCCTGGTCGAGAAGGCCAAGGGCGTGCCTAATGCCGATTTCGGCCTCGTTGACTTCTACGGCGCGCTCCTCGCTGCACGCTTGCTTGTTCCAAAGGGTGCGCTATCTGTCAGCGAATACGATTTCAAGATCTCGAAACAGCGACGCTTCACGGACGACGGCTCACACCCTCTGCCCATCTACACCGCAGTCCGCCACGAGATACCCCTGGCCGAGCAGATCGACACGAAGGACCCCATCGCTGCTGAAGCCAAGGCAAGGAAGGAATCCTGGTTCCAGTGGTTCGAATTCACACCATACGAGTTGTGGTGCGAGGAGCTCTCTGCTGGCATCCCAACGTGGGCCATGGGTCGCCAGTTTGAGAACGGACGGACTGTATGGCGCGAGAATGGTCTCGCTCTGCCTGAAGTTCGCGTCCCGATGCTCATGGGCATCTGGGGTTCTGCGTTCTGCGCAACACTATCACATTACTACAAAGAAGTTGGGCCTTTCCTGCGCGGTCTTGCAGGCTTCGCAGCCATCGACGCCATGATCGCCGAGCGCGACGAAGACCTCGTCAAGGTTCACCCCATCGATCCTGCGTCCATACCCAACTTCGCCCTCGGCATGCGGGAGCTGCTCCCACCTTCGTGTCCAGAAAGCATTTTCACGCAAAAGAACTTCCAGTTCATGGACGCCGGCATGTCCAACAACCTGCCCATCTACCCGCTCCTCCGTCCCGGCCGCAACGTCGACATCCTCATCGCCTTCGACGCAAGCTCTGATGTCCGCACCGACAACTGGCTCAAAGTCGCCGACGGCTACGCTCGCCAGCGCGGCATCAAAGGCTGGCCCGTCGGCGCCGGCTGGCCACCCGCTGACGAAACAATGGAAACGATCCAGCACGACCTCGACGAAGCCCAAGCCAACAGCGAAGCCCAAGCCAACGCCAAAGTCGAGGAAGCAAAAGCTCAAGACGCTGACAACGCAAAGCAGCACAAAGACCTCGGCCACTGCAATATCTGGGTCGGCAGCACCGAGGAACGCATTAGCAACGACGAACCCCCGGTCTCGAAACAGGTCGAAGAAGACTGGGAGCTCATGCACGAACACTCCGGCATCACTGTTATCTACAACCCCTTCCTCACGAATGACAAGGTCCCCGGCGTCGATCCGCGCTCCAGCGACTTCATGAGCACCTGGAACTTCGTCTACACGCCCGAGCAGATTGACAGTGTGGTCGAGCTGGCGCGCACGAACTACGCGGAGGGCGCCGAGCGCACGAAACGTACTGTCAGGGCGGTATATGAGCGCAAGAAGAGGAATAGGGAGGAGAAGGAAAGGCTGGAGAGGGAGCGCAGGTGGCACTGGAGACTGGCGCAGGGCAGGGTCGCGGGGCATCGCATGGGCGCGAGTGATCACGGGGATCACTTCAGCTGAAGCAGGCGCGAAGAGGAGAGGGAGGAGAAGGACGTTGAATGATACCCACTTGGCATAGAATGACCACTTTACACACTTATACCTATTCCAACTCACCATCTCAAACCGTGATACACATGAACCAGATCGCCCGCCCGCTCATAACTTCGCCTCCTTCTCCTTCTCCCGCACCTCCTGCGCCATCCTGACCAACGCATACAGCGTCTGCAACCGCGGCATCTCCAGCCCCCTCTCCCGCGCAATCCTAATCGGATTCCCTAGAATGACTTCAATCTCCAGTCTTCTCCCCTGCTCCCAATCCACCGCCATGCTCGGCCGGCTGCCACTCGTGTTCTTGCGTGTACTCGCCAGAATCGCCGCCGGGGTGGCAAACTCGGCCGGCATCGGCTGCCCCAGCACCTTTGGCGCGGTGTCGAGAATCTCCTGCATGACGCCGGCCAGGTGCAGCGCGAGCTCCGGGTCCGCCGCCATGGCGGCGTTGGGCACGCTGCCTGCGAGCACCGACGACGGGTTCATGGACGCGTTGATCGCGATCTTGTGCCAGCGCGTGAGCTGCAGTTTGGCGTGGGAGTAGGCGAGCGCGTCTTTGATGCCGCCTTTTAGCAGCGCCTCGATGAACCCGGTGTTCGCGGATGTGGCGGCCGCGTCAGTGGGGCGCGCGCTGCCCGTGTCTAGGTGCGGCAGGTACGGGCCGCTGGTGATGCGGGTCCAGCGGTTGTGGACGATTTTGCCGTGGGATGGCTGCGCGCAGGTTGCGATTGTCACGGCGCTGCAGATGGGGGTGTCTGGGAAGCGAGCCACGTACGGGGCTTCGACGCCGAGGCCATTTTGGATGAGGACGATTGCGGTGGCGGGGGTGACGAGGCCGGCGAGGATTGTGGAGTCGTCGGAGACGTCGGGGAGGGCTTTGGTGGCGACGACGATGTAGTGCCAGGGGGTGTTGGAGGCGCGGGCTTCGTCGGGGTTGGCGAAGGTGTGGGTGGGGGTGAAGGTGTAGTCGCCGTATTGCGGGGAGGTTATTTGGAAGCCGTTTGCTTTGACGGCTTTGTAGTTTGAGCGGCAGACTACGGAGACGGAGAGGCCAGGGACGAGGGCGAGGCGTGAGGCGTAGAAGGCGCCGATTGCGCCGGCGCCTACTATGAGGATGTTCGTGGACATGAGGACGGCTGTAATGACGCAATCCTGGCGAGGGACAACTGTTGCTGATCCGAGCGAGATTTTCGGTCCGTAGCTCGAGAAGGGCTACCTGAATCCTCGTCTTTCTGCTGCCGATTGACAGTACTGACACAGAGGAGCTGGGAGCTGCGATGTCGTGCTCGTCATCTTATCGATACACGGAAATGCGGAGTTTAGCCTCGGTACATTGACGCGCGACGTTGAGCATTGTAGCGACTCTATACTTTATTGGGCCGTACCGAACAAACCTCATTGCAGTATCAGTGTTTCACAGTCAGCCGCATACATTATGAGCTTTGACTTGAGAGATTGGAGTGGGTTTGTCTTCAAGATGTTCGGGAAGTAGCGAACTAGCCATGTATAGATCGGGACTAGCGCCGATAGATATCCAGCACGACGTGTCGTGGTCAGGGTCCTCGCATCATCACTCACAAGATCGTATTCACACAAGATTGTTCTTGTCTGATATTTCCCATGCTACAAGGATCAAATCTACAAGTATGCGATCGTGTGCAACACGTGTACCGACCTTGTGCTTAGGTGTGCACTATAAACACGTCGAGAGCCAGCGTCATCAGCCCTTGATGGACAGACCGACTAGATTGTGTGAGTGCACCTGCTCGTCTGAGTATACAATATCACAGAGGAGATAGCATGAGACCGATTGCTCTATCACGGTTCAAGTAAGCTTGGTTCGACACATTCTGCCTTTACCACCACCTTTACCTTCCCTCCGTATCTGCGTCAACAACATGTTTCTGCTTGCACAGTCCGAGTGAGTACACTTTGTCGACAGGTCACTGAATCTCTCTTTTCTGGAACCAACGGAGCATATACGAAGCGATCCAACTCCGAGGCTTGAGCAGAGAGCAGCCCAGTTCCAGGACGTGAGACCCCGCGATGTAGGAGTACTACGCATATGCGACAACACCGATGTATGGATGTCTCATCATAGCAATCATCACATCTAGCAATCCGACATCCACTGGAGTGGAGCAGATCTGAGGAGCAGGTGACAGCTGACACAGCCTGAAAGACAATAACTCCAGGAGGACGTATGGAAGGTAAGTGACTCCATCTGAGATCTCTTCCGCTGTCTGCACTTCACTTAACCATGGCAGCTATTGTCAAATTCATCATTGACACACTCAATGTATGCTTCTCTCTGTCACTCACATTCCTGTCTTGTCATCAAAGCCTTTCTCATGTCACTGTGCTCATCTCTTTGCACATTCGCTACGATCTACATGTGGCTCAAAGTCTGCACATACTGTATCCACCTGTCGAGCGGACTTTTGCGCTTTGGTCGTTCGCATGTGCTGTTCATGAGGCTGTTTGCGCGCATGTGACGTTACATGGCAGCCTGCGCAGGTGGCCCACATATTCACTTCACCGCGCGACGCGATGTCACCGTGGCGATGTGCACAGACGGCTGCGCACTCAGAAAACTTTGCCAGAGAAAAGTCTGCTCTCTAACGTTCTCCACCGCTGTCCACTGTCGGATGTCTAACGACACGATGCCAGGGCCCAGTATCAAAAAGGAACCCAGCGAGGAGTCGCTCTCAGCCATACCCGCGAAGGTTGAGGGGACGATAGCAGCACTGTTCGCCAGCGCTTCTCCTCGTTGTAAGAAAGAGGAAGACGATGAATGCTCCCTAGAAACACTGTCATCGCACCGCACGTCGTCAGAGGGTCACCACGATGCACACAAGCAGCTCGATGCACACAAGCAGCTCGATGCACACAAGCAGCTTGCTTCAATAGACACACAGAAGGAAGCTACCTATCCAAGGGATACCACTGCTACCCGACCCGCATCAGCCACTGTTCGTGAGCTGCCGCCACAGAAAGAATGGCATGGAAGGGTCCGCCCCACGAGTGGTCGCTTAGGTGCTCAATTATTCCGGCTTCCATCTCAATCTGTTTCGGTCTTGGCGCCACCAGCAAAACAAACAGTCGCGTTCACCAAAACACGCCCGCAAAACCATTTGTTGACCGACAACCGCATCACGCGTTCGACACAGCTTCCATTTACCCGCTTGCCCCCACGCACGCATACACGAGCAATCGTGCGCGCAGGAAAGATGGACTTGTTCAATCTTCCTGACAACAACGCGATGGGCGTGAGCGAGGGAGTCGACATGACCGCTTTCCCAGGAATGATGGGTACGTTTCGTCCCAACTTCTGCTCAACTGCAGTCACAGTTCAAGCTAACATTGAGCAGATCAGTTTCCTCCAACTGTGACAATCCCATTTGCTGACCACCAGAACCAACAGAACCAGGTCCAGTATCTCCAGGCAAGCTGTTGGTGTTTCTCTTCTGGTGCGCGCATCAACTACTAACAAGCACAGCCGACAGACAGCAGGGCGCGATCACGCAGCTACATGCGTACAACCAGCACCTGTTCTCAGTCGTGAGCATGCTGGAAGCTCGTATCTCCCAGCTGGAAAACAGCTTCCAATTTCGGACATCAGTAGCCACGAACGCCGGTGCTGGAGAGCACACGAATTTTGCTGCAGACGGTACGGCTCCGCTCAATGCTAACCTATCAACCTCGCCCCTCGCACAGACTGACACCGATGCCATGAATAAAGCATCAGCAAAGCGACCCCTCGCTAACGTAGTTGTACCTGGAGGTGTCGACACTCCCAAGCGTCCGAGGATCCGCAAGAAGCTCGAGGTCAAGATTCCCGGAGCAACGAACGGAAACGCGTCTGGCGTCGGTCTCCCGACACCAATGCTCTCAGTAAGTAGAATATCATTCCAGCGCGCGACTTGACTAATCTTTGCAGGCTGTACCAACAGCGCCTACGTCGGCTTCAGGGATTTCGTTTCCGAATACTCCCAGGACTCCGTACACTCCGGGTCGGATCGGACCCCCCGAATCATACAAGAGGACAGTCACGTCGATCAGCAAGCGTGAAATTCACAATCTCAATAAGATTGTTCCGCCAATCAACGTCCTACTCCCACTGGTCCCTCTAACGGACACTGAAGTCATCGTCTACTTCTTCAACTCGCTTTCGAGGCCCATCGTGTCGCTCCGTTTGTATGCACGCGGCTGGGGCCCAGCTTCTATTGTTCAGGCACTCAACGAACATCGCGAAGTCGTACCCCCGTACTTGCGCAACACTTGTTCAGTGAAGTGTACGACAGCTATCAAGAATGGCAAGAAGCATTTCGGTGATACCTGGGAGGCTGACAATCGCCCCATGCTTTCGATAGCCCCGGATGCCGAAGCAACAGACATGATTCGCGTCGACAACGACGAACCTATCGACTACTTTGTTCGCGCTTTGGGAGCCGGGCTGAGGCAGCACCCCGCTGCTGACAATGCCGGCATCTTTGCAGAGTGTGTCAAGTACTGCATGGCGCACAACGCTCCATACACCATGTCTAACGTACATCTGCTTGCGGAAGACCTGGTCAACGGCAAAACCCCCCAGCACCCTGCTCCACCTGACCTATCTAACATCATGATGCACATTGACGACGACGACGAGTCCGAGGAGGAGCTTCCTGATGATGATTGCCCGGCTACTCCAACTCCGTTGACTGGACCAAAGCCTTCGTCCCGCGATCGTGGCGGCCCAGCTGGCTTCACGGCTGTCAACGATTCGTACGAATTGAACGCTGAGACCCGCGAGTGAAGTGAGACTGAATGGTTCCTGAGCACTGCTCGAAATCACACGACTGACCCTCATGCTACAAGGGTAAGAAGTAATGGAGGAGAACAGCGCTTTTGGCGAGGAGTGAGTACGATAATGAAGAGCAGCAATTGCTGCACCAGGAAAGAGAGACATGTGTAAGGAAAGAGGTAATCATTGACGGAAGCACGTGTCGCAACGATGCGGTAAGGTCAAAAGTTTGTACTTCTTTCAATACCTCTCAACTCTTTAGATAGGCCAGATGACTTGGAAAAAATGTACGATTGAAAATACCAAATGCCTGATAGCTTCTTCACGGCTGTGACTAGAGCTATGAATCCAAGTCGCAAACACAGCTTGTTTCTGTAAGACTTCAATTATGTCGCTATCTACCTCTCGCACTCGCATCAACGAGAGAGTCTCCTGCGATTTTACCAAGAGTAACACTCACATGAGATCCAATCATTGCAGGACCCTCCCCAAATACGCCCAGATGCAATTCAAAAGCAATGTATTCCAAGAAGCGTTGCAAAGAAAACACCATAGCCACCTCCCAGCCTGAGCGTCAAACCCTGCGTCTCTTAGCAGCATGGCCATCCACCCCTTCGCGCTCTTCCTGGTTCTTCCTCTTCTCCGCCTTCGCTCTCTTAGCCGCGAAGTCTTGATCCTCTACCGTTAGATAGCTCTCCCAGTGTTTCTTCGCATACCGAACAGCAAGCCCGCGATCACTCGACCACTCCGCATGAGGAAGCGGCTGATTTGCGAGAAGGCTGTCAAGGTACGGGTTGCGCTGTTGGCCGTAGCGGAGAGGAACGAACTCCAGCACCTGTATGTAGCTGTGGTATATGGCGCTGGGGTCCTTGAGCAGCTCTTCTCGCTCCTTCGCGCGTTGTTCCGCCTCATTTTTGCGCTCCCGCTCGAGGCGGGCCTGCTCCGCTATCTCGTTACGACGTCGGGCCTCGGCGTATGAGAGGGCTGCGGTGGGGATTTGAGGTGCAGGATGCGGCGTGGTACGGCGGTGGTTCTGTGGGACTTGTACGGGCGGCAAGGACGCGATTTTGGCCAGCGGCTGGCGGACCTCTGGTTGGCGAGGCTTGGGGGTAAACTGCTCTGTTGTGTTGATGAAACCTGATGTGATTGACTTTTGTAGCTGCGGATAAGCAGACTTGATGCTCGAATTCTCTAGTAACTGCTTGGGCGTTTGTTGTAGTGTCGGTGGCAGTGAGGGCGCTGCATGACTTGAAGGCAACGTAGGCCGGTCTTCTCGATGTTGTGACGGATGCTGAGACTCTGAACAGGACGACGAGAACTGCTTTTGGCGTTCGTTGTTCTGAGCTGGAGTGGAAACTTGCGCTGGCTGAGCTGAAGTGGGAGCCTGCGCTGGTTGACCATGCTGCTGGCCAGTAGCTGCCCACTTATGTCCCTGCAGCCCAGGAAACGCCAGCAGGATATTTTGGCGAGCCAGTCCGACGTTTTTCATGAATATATCGAGAGCAGCGGGTGTCATATGGGGTGCTACCTCAGCTGCAATGTTCTCAATTGGACGTATCTTCTTCTTCGCGCGCGGACCGGAGCTAGCAGCTTGTGAGGATACAGACGACGCGGTTTCTTTACTGCTGTTCAATCCGGATTTGACATCGATAGGCGTAGTATGGACGTCAGATGATAGTCCTGGCGGCACTGAGTTGCTTTGCGGTAACGGTCTCGTCGCGTACTGCGTGTCGCTCATCTTGCTGGCCAGTTCTGAAGGATGTGCCAAAAAGCGGTTGTTCAGTATGTTTGTCGTATTTGAGAGGAGCGTATAGCTTTATGTGAGATAGAGATGTGTTTCGAGCTCGTGAGCCGGGCTGCAAGTGAAGTGAGTGTGCTTCCATCACGGTGATGAGTGAAACGCTTAGTCAGACGGGGACGATTGTGGCATGAGCAGTGCAGAGCTCCTGCCCACAGGAGTCAATATTTCCTTATCTATTCACTAATAACGTAGTCATTTCTGTTCATATAATCGATCAGCTGCAGTCACACACAGCACACGGTCCTACACGTGAACGATAGTTGCCTCAGAGTTGTTTGAAATGAAGCCCCAAATTCAGCTCAGTTCGTCGTCGTCTTGCCCGGAAGAAAGCGCTCACTGGATGGCGTGGCTGCTCAGATGCTAGAGAGACCCTGAATTCTGAACCATTCTGTAGTTAGCACCAGTCTGCTGAATCCTGGTCTGAGGACCCTTCTTGCTTACGCGTACCCGTCTTCTCGGATTTGATAGTCAATCACAGCACAGTATACTATGGTACCGGAAATCAACCTCGTGGACCCCACGATGCGAACCAAAGATAAGGGCTCAAAGCATCGCAAGATCTTTAGAGGTTAGTTGCAGAGCAAAGTAAGTGCGCATTAAGAGCTCCTGTCTCCTCGAATATTTCTCCAAACCATGTGATAAAGCGAAGCACTTGGTGCTATTCCACGAACAATATACCACACATAACTCTCACATATTACCACCATGTCTGCCCCCGGCGCAACAGTGAGCAAGACCCTTCCCCCCCCTGCCTTCAACCACTAACACCACAAAGCCCCCCGACGCTCCACCAGTGAAGCGAGGCCGAGGCCGTCCCTGCATCCACAAGAAAGGCGCGGATGGCAAGCCCATCATAGAACTGAACCCTGACGGCTCCCGCGTGGTTCCCACGCAGAAGTACGACAAGGTCGTCAGGGCGGGAGGGAGCCAGAGCGCGAGGCCCGCAGCTCCGAGGCCAGATAGGAGTGCGAGTAAGGCCCCGCCTCCAAGAAAGACCCTGCCTTCGAGTGTGAGTGCTGGTCCCGCTCCTACGAGGCCAGTGGGGACAAAGACCGTAGGCCCGAGGCCACCAGGCATGAAGACAGTGGGCCCGAGGCTGAGTGCTCCGGTGTCTGCTCCCGCTCCTGCTTCTGCACGTGCATCGAAGCGGCCGCAGGCTAGGAAGCAGCCTCGCACTCAGGCTGGACCCTCTCGGCTTCAGCCGAAGAGGCGGAAGCTGGTGCACGAGGAGATTGAGGAGGGCGCCGAAGAGGGCGAGGGCGCCGACGAGGACGCTCCCGGGGAAGTTGTTTCCGACGACGACGACGACGACGCCGACGGTGAGTACAGAGAGACCACCTCTGTACGCTCCGCGCCCGCGGCCTCGCGACGCCGGACACTGAGGTCTGCGGCTGGACCCAGTCAACTGGCGCCCGCGCCCGCACCCGCACCCGCACCTGCGCCTGTTCCTGTGCCTGCGCCTGTGCCTGTCCCCGCGCCTGTCCCAGCGCCAGCACCCGCACCCGCACCACCACCACCACCACCTGCGCCCGCCCCCGCTGCCCGGACCCGACGGCGCGCGGCCAAAATCCGCTACGGCCCGTTCCCGGAGTGGTACACGACGACGCGCGAGGGCGCAGCGTTCGCGAGCGAAGTCGGGCAGCGGACGGGGTTCAGCCACCTGGAGGCGAAGCTGGAGTTGCTGCGCTCCCAGAACAAGCTGAACTACTTGCCGGGCCATGCGCCTCGCCGGGTCATGGGCTTGACCAGGGCATGTGTGGGCCTGGAGCTGGGGGAAATACGGGTAGGAAGTGGTGGGCTGGGTGGGCTCCGTGTTGATGGGGCTGTGGCTGATGAAGGGCCTCGACTGATGTAATCCTCTGGACGTTATACTCCTGTCGGTGTCGTATGAGTTTGAACATTGTATAGGTTTGTATGTCGCGTGAGTCCATGTAAAGTCGCAGAGGATTGTATGATATTGTATAGGTTTTTTGCTGTACGATCATCCGATGTTTGATACTCTCGACTGTTGGATACAGTTGAGCACGTAGACAATGTAGAATACTGCTTGTCATATTGGAATGTGCAGTGACGTGACTAGGGACTCGCTTAGCCGACGTTCCATAGAGTAAATCAGTGATCACCACATCATGAAAAGATAGAAGCGATATTCATGCTTAAAATTTGCTAAAGTGTAGCATACATTGCATTACCTGACAGTGTTTGCGAAGAACATTGTCGGCATCCTGTATGCTAAAGCGTCGTTTGCGCTGCGCGTTTCGCGTTCATCGATGTCTCAAGGACCTTCCCGGATCCCAAAAACCACTGTTCAAAATAGACATACCCCATCAAAGTATACCCTGCAAGCCCATGATAAGGCTCTCCTCGCTGACCCACATCAGACTCCTCCTCAGATCAGTAATGGTGTCGAGGTGGTCATCATACTCCGTCCAGGTCTTGCTGCCAAACAGCTTGTACTGCTCCTTGGCCCAGCGGATGTTCTCTGCCCAATCACTCGTGTCCCACGGATACGGCTCGGTAAGGCGGTATAGCTCGCGGAACGGGGCGTGGCGACGCGGTCCTCCAAAGCGGTACGTCGACAGCGCGGAAGCCCAGAGCTCGTCGGCGTTGCGGCAGCCCTCCTGCGCATATAGAAATACAGTGAAGTCGTCAATGACCATGCGGTCTCCGGACAGAACGGGAGCTGGAATGTGAACAGGTGTGCGAGATGCGTAATCGCGAGCTACGGCCATCATCTCTGGGCTAGGGTCGTCGAAAGTTCTGTGAGCAGGTTTGGCAGACGCGGCTAAGGTGTTGAACTGTTCCATAAGAGCTGCTGATGATTGCTCGTTGATGATCTGGCGGGCTTTGTGACCGGCGACACGTCTGCCCCTCGCAGCTGTGGGAGTGCCAAAATCACGGTCGGCGACGGCATTGTGCTGGGGCACCAGCTCGTCTTCACTCTCGAGCTCATCTTTGGCCTCGAAGTCACTCTCTTCTTCCTTGAGGACGCGGGCGGACTTGCGCACCCTGCGAGGCGTGGCATAATCAGCATCGCCGGCGTCGACGTCCTGTTTGGTGTATTAGCACCCTGCACGCAGTGAAAGGCAAGTTTGATCTGTACCGAGGCATCATCATCCTTCTCGTTGTATACAGGCACCTTCTTGACTTGGCGGCTGCTCCTGCGCTTTCCGTCAAGACGATCGTGGCTGCCGTCCATCTGGCCGAGGCCGCGCCCGCTAGTCTCGCGAGGAGTGGTTTCTGTCATTGCGGTACCTTTTGTTTGGCGTGCGACCTTTTTGGCGGTGGCTGTGGTGTTGGAAGCGGACTTCCTGGTCCTACTGTACTTTATGCGCTTGGGAGAAGGCTCGGAGCCATCGTCACTGTCACCTTCACTGTCACTAGTGGGATCGGCGGCCTTGCGCTTGTTTGCGAGCCGTGACGGGTCGTGAGCGGTGTAGAGGTAGTCGTAACGGGCAAAGAGTTGCCTATCAAGGTGAGAGTGAGTGACGGGACGCGGGCCGCCAATGTGCTTCACTAGCTTTTTGAAGTCGGTAGGAAAGAACCATTCCTCTGTAGGGTTCTTGACCGCATACTTAACACAACGGGTGAGATCCAGTGCATCATAGCCAGAAGGGTGCTTCTTGACATGAATAGCAAGATCCTTGAATGGAATGGGATCAGCTTCGCTGTTGCGTGCCAGGTCTTCCTTCTTGGCCTTCTGCTTGTACGAAGCAATCTTTGGGTGAGTGAGACGCGGCGGCCTGAAGTCACCGACGTACAGGCTATCCTCAGCGTACTCACGATCGACGTCGAACTTGTGGCGTGAGCTGATTGTCCATCCTGACTTGCCAGTACGGCGCATGGCGTAGTGCATCATGACCGTGGTCGAGTTTGGCTGATAGTCATCGGTGGGCATAGTTCTATACGTGTTAAGGAAATGCGTAATGGTCACAGACCTTCCGCCGTGGTTGACGAGCCTGAGAATCACGTCCACTGACTTCAGCCAGTGTGGAAGGTACGCGAGGATCTCGGCGGCAGTCAAGTTGCCATCGGGGAAGGAGAGGTTCCAGCTGGGGCTTCCTGCTCCAAAAGCATTGTTCTTCGCAATAACTGCCATCTTGCACGAGCAACTCTCAACTCATCAGTATGTGAATGTGAAAGAAGCAGGCTCACCGAGTGGCTTCTCGGTGAGACAAGGCAGTGTGAAAGGTGTAGTCCTACCTGCAAGAGAGCGTGAAAGCTATTGACGTGCCTGCAAAAAGCAATTCGCTCCAAGATCCAAGAAGTAGCGTTTGCGTAACTCAAAAGGCTGTATAAAGCGTGATGCGAAGATCTTGAGGGAAGGCGAGAGTGGACCAAGGTAGAGCAAGAATAAGAGGTGGAGGCGGAGGAGCAGCTTGCGCACGGGCGCAAAATGGGACTGTTGTTATTAACGCCCAAACAAGCCGTAGCAGCCAGACTGGACCCGGAAATTCCCTCAGAATCCGCGGTCACAGCAAACTTTGCAATAAAGTGAAAGCCAACTTTCAGTCCGGCGCGTGCAAACACAAGGCTTCGCCAGTGCAACAGCCTCATACCTTCTCCTTCAACTGGCCTTCGGAGCAACATGGCAGACCCAAAGCGCAAAGCGTACCTTGTTAGGGCCAGCTTTCACGAGACCGCACCTCCAAACACGATACCGTTCCCCAAGCAGGCAAACATGACTGTCGCCGAGATCCTCGCTTTTTTCCCAAACTGCATCAACTGCGCCGACGTCATCTACCGGATGATATCAAACGGCGGCTCACGGAAGGCCATCCACGCCATCATCAACGCCCATCGCGATCTTGAGGCCGAGTGGAGTATCAATTGCTGTGGGGAAGCCATGTACAAGACAATGGAGAAAGCAGGCTACGCTCAATGGACCGTAAAGAAACACAATAATTGGCATGAGAGCCGTAAAGCGTCGTGGGATGGGAGCAGACTCGACGTGGGCGTTCTTCGAACATTTCCAGGCGGACCAGCGGGGACCGTGTCTTTCAGAAAGCTTGCTGAAAGCGTTAGGACGATGCCAGAAGGCGACGACGCACTGGATCTGACAAGGATGGTGCAATACTGCGTGCAGAACGACGAAGATGGCTGGAGATACCCAAACGATTACGAAGAGCTGCTAGAACTGCTTGGAGGTCCAAAACAGGTGAGAGAGGCGAACACCGATCGAGCAGTGTTCAGTCGTTGGGAGGACAGGAAGGCCCCGCCGCCCTTACCAAGACCAACACAGCCCCAGCAGAGTATTGAGGTGTTTGGTGAATTGAAGAAGTTAAGGAGAATAAGCAGCGCAGTGAGAAGAAAGACGGATAAGGTAACAAGATCAAGAAATCTGTCACCAGGACTAGGCGGGGTAGTCAAACGCAGAGCTGCGAGGGTTAGTGAGAGGAGAATTGCAGAGAGTGCCAGCCCAGGATTCAGAAGCGAGTCGGAGGAGAGCACTGGAACCGGCACAGCATATGTACGAGCGCTGGTAAGTATAGTTGTGGGAAGCCGCAACAGAGCGCGCGCCCGAAAAGCAAGATATTCACTCCAAACCAGCCCGAGTACGTACCGCCACCGCCTGGTGTGACGGTGTCGCCCACCCTATCGACTCTTACCCGGGCAATCCGAGCGGAAGACTTCGCTGGCGATTCGGACCCTTACAGCGCGTACGGCTTCGGAGGCCCGCGGCGCACACCCCCGTTCCGCCACCTCGACCAGATCGAGCTACCCAGGCCATGGGACATCACCGGCTGGGCGGAGAACCTCAGGTGGGCGTTCGAACAGCGGGTTTTGTTTGCGAAGGAACATCCAGGGGCGGCGAGGTGGAACGAGAGCCCTCAACACATGGCGTGTATCGAGCGACAGCGAACGCAACTCGTTTGGGCGTCCGATGAGCTGCTTACCTTTTTGGAGGGTATCGAGTAGGAGTGTGAGATACTAGGACGCGCTGATTTTCGAAGAGAGAAGGAGATGCTTTGGAGCTGTCTGGTAGAAATCTCGCAGATGGACAAACAATGAAAAAGTACGCGGCTCTGATTTTGCCTCGAACAATGTAAGAAGCCTCACCTTGCCTCGCCGGCGTTTCCAACATACTCATTTTCACCCTATACATATAGTTTCAGTGATAATTGCATACCTGCTGCATGTGCATGATGGCGCAGCATGAATCCGAGGTGTAGAGAAGAGAGGGTTGAAGCCTGAGGTGCGAACAAGCACCAACGCCGATGTTTCGCCCGCCCGCGCCTTCCCCCTCGCAACCTAGCGCCACCCACCTTCTCCATCCCTGCTGAAACCACCGACGAAACGGTCTCGCAACAATCATCGAACAAGGCCTCCGCAATGTTTGCTGCACCTGCGGTTCCCACACCTGCACCGCCCGATGCCAGCACGCCCGACAGTGGCTGAACCACCCATGTTTCCTCCTGCCCGCAGTGGAACTCCGGGTTCCCGGCCCCTTGGCGAGACACGCTCTGCGACTTGACAGTCACGAGGCCGCGCACTGCGTGTCACGGCGCGGTGGGCCGCATTTAAGTGCAGCGCGGCCGCCTTCGCGACTGCCCTCCCATCACTCACCTTCGATACCCCAGGCAGCGCCACTACATTCTCGAGCCGGACTCACCACACTCCTTACGCCTTACGAACTACCACAATCTCTAATCAATAACTCGGATACCACCACACTTCGAACACCGACACCATGCACGCCACAATCTTCACTGTCGTCGCCCTGGCCGCCGCGCCCCTCGCGCTCGCCCAGTCCGGCATGAGCCGCATGACCTCTGCGCCGTCGGCGACCCCCTCCGCGTCGGGCGCCGTCGTGACCATGATGTGGGACAACTCACCCACCGCGAGCGCGACCTCGATGGGCGCCGGCATGAGCGGCATGAGCGCGGGCCAGGTGATGACCATGTCCAACGGCCAGGTCATGACCATGTCCAAGGGCATGAGCGGCATGAGCATGACGACCGCCACCGGCACCGCAATGGCCGGCATGAGCATGAGCGGCTCCGCTGGCAGACGGGAGCTGGCATCGGGCGCCGTGGGCGCGGGCTGGGTTGTCATCAGCCTCGGCGCCGGAATTGGGTTCCTGGCGGGCTTGTTGTAGGCGCGGGATGTCAGAGGGAACGTTGTGGTTGGATTTGATGGTGCTAAATGCGATTTCTACGGCGCCTGGGGGGGGGGGGGGGGGGGGCGGTACATACCTTGCTTTGCAAATACACACCAATTTAACGACAATGTATTTTATTCGATTTTGCCAAGGGCCAGCACACTTGTGCTATTTGGTTCCCGTGAGCACGTCTTCTTGTTCTACAAGTCTCGTCTGTGGCCAGTGATGACGGTATCGTGCACGAAGAACAGGTACTAAGCCACCGCTTTGTTTACCAGCCGGATACTCAAAAGACAAAAGTCTTGGGTATCACATAACCAGAACAGCCGTGAGGCTTGCTGTCTTCGAGGAGAAACGCGTTGTCTGCGTGGGCGTCTCCGCCATCTACATGAACAGCAATATTGGCAGCGGACTCCGTGGGCTTGGGCCACACAGACACTATGGTCCCCGCCCGTCGAGCGTCTGGCCGGTTCTCGGGGCACACACTCTCCATGAGACATCACAAGACGAAAAAAGTCAAGTCATACAGTCATGTTATTTAGACAGAAGTGGTTGCTGGAGCGGAAGCTTCTATATAGTCTCAACTCTATGTTTGCGCTCAGATTCGTCATCGTCCTCGGATCCATGCTGCTCCTCGATCCCAGTCTCGTCTCTACTCCACGCCAAGTCCCTGGCTGCGGACTACGCGGCGACCGGGGACTTGTGCGCTTTCATCTCGCGCTCTGGCGCCAGGTGAGGCGTTCTGCTTCCGTGCTGGCGGGCCTGGATATCCATGTGGCCGTTTCGAATGATCATTTGACCAAAGCCAGGAAGACCAGAACATGAAGAGGATAAAAAAGACAGTACTCCTTTACGCCAATGTTTGCGGGCTTGATATCGCGGTGTATATAACGAAGTCTAGTGCCTCCAGAACACCCTTGAAAAGCATCGCTCGCTGGTGGAGAACACGAGAACCCTTCCCCCCCCCCCCCCCCCCCCCCCCCCCCCCAATCACAGCAGTACAGTACATCATGTGCCCTCGTAGGTAACATCGACGGGTCAAGGCGTGGCCCCGCACATCACCTGTGCTATACACGCTTGGCCGCCGCGGATCTCGAATGGAACGAGCCACGAGGCTTGCTGAGGGGATCAGGCCGTTGGCCCTGTACGCGACCAGATGCATACTGCAGCGGGACGACATCGCAGCTTCCCGCAGCGCAGCTTGGGTTGTTGCTGCTGCTGTTGAGCGGCCTCGGGTGTTGGGCTCTGCGCTTCGGTGGGGATCGTTGGATGCGGATTTTCTCGTGTGAGGCGCAAACAGTGTCTGGCTTCTGTCACTCGTTCCATCATCGAGCTGTTCGACGGCGCCCAGGGCCTCCTTGCAAGCCTTCTTTTTGCGGGAGGTGATGTGCGTGCCGATATCGAGGCTCTGCGCGCTGACTTGCGCTTCACAGGCTGTCCGGGTATACGGCGAGCTGAACCAGGTCCGCGGAGGTTTCTCGGGGGCCTTTCCTTGTCACAGCAGAAGGGACTCAGGAAGCCGAGGTCCTGGACGCGCGATGCCCTCGCCGATTCGGGGGACGCGGTGTCATCGCTCTGTGTCTCGCTGTGCCCTTCCGTTTGGGTGCAGTGGATCCGCGGCAGCAACGAAGACTCGCGCTCCCGTTACAAGCCTCGCACGAGCGTCGGTCGTGATGAGATCGTATGTCTTGCTGATGTATATATGTTCTTAGTATATAGATGTGGCCCCAATCGATTGGCCAAAGGCGCGTCGACGATTCCAGGCGCTCCGCGTCGTCTAATAGCTGGGCATGCACGTCGTTCGAGTTGTTATCGTCATACAAGTTCAGGGACTGACATGAGCTGCACATGGAGAAGCGCCATGGTGTTCTCGTCGTCTTTCCACAATAGCGCAGTTGATGGTCGTGTATGTATATATAAATAGCAACCCCAGGCCGTCCACTCCCCCTCTTCTCTGCTGGTTCCGCTCTCCCGGCTCAGTGCGCTTGTACGACAGCCGTCGAAGAACGTGTTGAAGCATGCGCAGCGCACTGTGGCATAGGATCCAGGAGCGCTGTGCTGGGGTCCATAGAGAGGATGGGGAGGGGGGAGGGGGGAGGGGTGGAGAGGGTGCTGGGGGTGGCCTGTGAAGGGTGGTCTGTGAAGGCGCGTAGTCCTCGACTCTCCACAGCCCGATGAGTCGCTGCTGTCGTTGCCGCCCGGTATAAAAATACGTGTCCTGGGCCGTTGACTCAACATGCTCGCTCCCAGTCCACCGTATCCTCTGACCGGACCGGGGCGACCAGGGCGAGCATGCTTGTGGAGGTCCATAACGTGGAGTCCATAACGTGGAGAACCTTGGCGGGTGCTTATTATATAGGTGACTGCGTACTACCCGACGCACGGCGGGCTGAGCAGGTTGTATGGTGCTTCGCTTCGGAGGGAGAGGGTGAAGGGGGAGATACCCGAAATCCTCATATCCTCATGCAAGAGTGTAAGAGTGGAGATATATACGAGCAGTGTAGAAACAAAAGAGCAGTGTAGAAACACAAGAGTCGTGCAGAACATCGACACGGGGCCAGCGCGATGTCGTCTGTGGGTGGCGCTTGGAGCACCTGAGTGTTGTCTTTGGAGTGCTCGCCCTTCCGCTTGGTACCTTGGGGGTAGGCTGCAGGGAAGGAAACGTCGACTTTGGTGATGCCGTTCTTCGTGAAATCGCGGCATGCGCTGGCTAGCAACATGTCCTCCAGAAGAAGCCCCTGATGTTGCAGCGAAAGGGGAGCCTCGCGGGGTGAGCCTCGTGGGGTGAGCCTCGTGGGGTAAGGAAGATGCCCGGTGCCCGGTTCGACGGAAGATACGGCCCTGCCCAACGCAGCACTGCCTTGAACGATGGGCACGAGTCTGCAGCCGGTAAACTCCCGTCCTCTGATTTTATTTGGTGCAGGAATGTAAGAGTGGGGAAATATAAGAGTCGAGAGTACAATATATACAGGTCCAGGCCGGATGCGAGATGTGTTTTGCGAGCACTCCGCAGCCGCACCGCGCACCTCGTATGCGGAGGGGGGGGGTGGGGGTGCTACATCGTCGCGGAACTCTTGGACCTGGATACTCAACGGACTGCGGAGGGAAGGGAAGGGCGGGTTTTATACACAGCGGAGGGGGAGGACTACTTGCTTGCTCGCCTGCTTGCTTGCTTGCTCGCTTGCTTGCTTACCAGCACGATAGTTGGGGGGTGGCAAACAACCGCGCTTGCGACCACGATTGCGGGCCTAGAAGCGTATTTGCCGATTTGACACTCGCACAATTGCCGTCGCACAAGCCGCACACCTGCAGGGAGCGACACGCAGGGGGACGTGTAAACGGCGATGTGGATCAGACTCACGGAAGTTTCTAGATCTGGCTACTGGTGGTTGTGGAGTGTGTTCTTGCAGGGCGCTGAGTGCTGAGTGTGGTGGGTGTGTGCCACTGTGTGGAGAGGGGACGGTGTACGCTGGGGTGTGGTATGTCGTTTTAGTATATCGATGATCGTACTGTCCTATATCTTATCCTTACTGTACTATCTCCACCGGACCGCGCAAGGCCCACGATAACCATCTACCGCATCCGCGGCGTCCGCCCCACCTCCGGACTCGCCCCCCCGCCCCTCCGCTCCCCAACCTCCATCAACCGCACCGGCGCAATCCCCAACGCGCGCTCAAACGTGCGCATCACCAGCGCCTGCAGCGCGCGCTGGACCTCGCCGGCGACCTCGGTGCCCAGCAGCCCGACCACCAGCGGCGCGAACACGGGCGCGAGGCGCTCGAAGTCAGCCTCGGGGAACGCCGCATAGCCATCGAGCACGGTGACGACGACGGGCCGCCAGGTGACGATGTTGCGCTGCTGGGTCTCGTCGTCGAGCTCGATGTACGAGGACAGGATGTCTTCGCAGAGGGGGATGAGGGCGTTTTCGGTCTGCGCGCGAGAGGCCGCGCGCTCGGTCGAGGTGTCGTGGTACATGCGCAGCAGGATCGCGACGTAGACCGAGGCCGAGCCGGATTCCTGCTTGAGCAGGTTCGGGGGCTGTTTCATGAAGCCCTCGCGGAACAGGCGCGAGCGCAGGTCGCGGTCCGCGTTGAAGCGCTTGGCGAAGTGGTAGGATTTCTTGAGCACGGCCATGAGGCGCAGCAGCTCCAGCGAGGGGATGTGCGAGTACACGAGCTCGTTGCCGAAGAGCTCCTGCACGGTTTCGATCATCAGGAGCTGCAGCACGCATTTTGTGATGATTTGATTGAAGAAGCGGCGGCGCGCGGCGGTGACGACGACGGGCGGCGCTTGCATGGGGTCGTCCGGGCGGTAGTCTTCGAGCTCGGTGGTTTGGCGGGTGGGGCCGTCGCCGGTGGGCTCGCTGACGAGGGAGGGGCGGTGGGGGGTGTCGAGGCCGTTGATGCCGAGGCCGGTGGAGTCGTCGGGTGTTGCGGTTTCGAGGGTGATGTTGGCGGATTCGGCGATCGATTTTGTATCGTCCGACAGGCTTCGCGTGCCGTTGAGGGGAGTGGGTGTGGAGCCGGATGTCGCCGCGGAGAAGAGCGCGGTGGCTTCGGTGCGGTGGAAGAGGTCGACGAACGCCTTGACGATCTGGCTCCAGTGCTCTGGCCTGAACTTCTGCACGTTCTGGAGGATCAGCTGCTGCAGGCAATTGCTGCCGATGCGGGCTAGGGTGTCGTTCTCCTGGCAGATGCAGAGCGCGAGGAGGTCGAGGAAGCGGTCGAGCATGTACTCGAGCGAGTCGAAGAAGTGTGTGAAGAGCTTGATCATGTTGCGCAGCGCCTGGATCATCGTCGTCGACAGCCACACAGACAGCTCTTCGTGGTTGAGGACCTTGGTCATTTCCGATTTCGACTTCAACACCATGAAGATGGGGTACAGCAGCTGACGCCAGAGCATGTCCCAGAAGTCTTGCGGGAAGTTGCTGCCGTAGCTGATGAGCGTGTCGAACAGGTAGCTCAGCGCTCTCGAGCGCACTTCCAGATCCTCGCCAGTCATGAGGACGTCGTGGAAGGCGAACAGCACGGGGAACCAGAACTGCTCCTCCTGCGTCTGGCGGGTGGGCTGCTTGGGGATGGAGGAGCCCTTTTCGGAGTCCTTGAGGTAGCCGGCACGAGCCGACAGCGAGCACTCGGGCGTCCGCAGCATCTTCGGCACCGACGACTTCAGCAGCTCGATAGCCTGCAGCGACTTCTTCTGGAACTTGTAGTTCTTCGAGAACTCGGTCAGACAGACGATCAGGTCAGCGAACGCGCCCTGCGAGATGACGACACCGAAGCGTGTGTTGTACACTTGGGTGACGTTCTCAAATGCAAGGTTGACGATGCCCTCTGTACGGAATTAGTGAAAATTTACTATAAACATTCGCTGGCTCACCATAAGGCTCCCTGGCGGCCACAGTGAAGACCCCAAACATGGTCTTCCAGCCAGACCTGATGTTCTCGCCGCGTGCTTGGATCATCTGAATGAGACAGCGCAGAACCATATCCTTGACCGACACGACGCTAGCGTTGTTGATGATGTGCTCGAAGGGCTTGAGGAAGTCTTTCTGGAACTTGAATCCAGGAAGCTCCTCAATCTCCATGAACTTCATCGACAGCTGTCGCAGCGAGTTGAGGGCGAAGTATACAACGTTTGTGTTGGTGTGACATCCGACTTCGTTGAAGTGTGCGCCCAGTACCTGCCAGATGCTGGTCCACTCGAAACGGACACGGGTCATGTTGTATCCGCTGATCTCAACCAGTTTCTGCAGACTGTACGTGCGTGGCGACTCGCTCTGGCCGGACGACTGGATCTCCTGCCAGCTGACCTGGACGAGGGCCTTGACGAAGTCGACAATCGCCTCACCGGACAAGTTGGCACTGTTGGTGAAGATGCGATCGACGCCGCGGACAATGTCTGTAGAGCGACTCTCCTCTGCTACATCTGCTGAAAAGTGCACGCTGTTAGCGTGTGACTGTCGCCGGCGGTTATTCGGGACGTTGAGGTTCTTCTTTGTTTGTGACCCAGTATTCGACTTCAGCACATCGGGCACCGCGCGCTCGTCGATGCCAGCCGAGATGAGCTGGAAGCGATCCAGCTGCGAGACACATGTGAGGATTTCGCGCCAGGACTCCCTGAGTAGGTTGCCCTCTGTGTGCGCAACCTCGATCAGCGTCTTCAGCGCCTCCATGTTCTTCGCCTTCATCTCGCTCAGGTTGTAGAGGTTTGTGAAGCGCGCCAGGAAGGCAACAAAGGCCTGGCGGGCGTCCTCGAGATCGAACAGACACGAGATCCGGATCGCCAGCTTGATGCCCTCAATACACAGCCGCACAATCTCGATGTTGTGATCCTGCGCCTGACCAGAGAGCGCCATCAAGAATGGCATCCAGGTCACCTCAAACATGGGGCCGACGTGCTTCGACGAGACAGCCGGGATGTACTTCGATACGGGCATTGAGGTTGCGGTCCTGCGCTGCGCTCGAAGGAGCTGCTTGTACAGCTGCTCGGTCTTGTTTGCCATTGCCTCGGACGCCTGTGCTATGGCTTCTCTCTGCAGGTCGCGAGCGCCGCCCGTCAGCGCCTGGCCGATGCTTGCAAGACCAAGGCCTCCCGCGGGCTGCTGGGTGACCAAACCCTTATCAGCCGCAGCTTCCTGTTCGGTGTTTAGGACGATCTCATTCTGCGCGATCTCCTCGTAGATGCCACGAAGATAGTCTTCTGGCAGATCTGCGTTGTCGTTGATGCCGCGGTTGTTCTTGATGAAGTCTTCCGGCGTCATGCGCGGGCCCTTCATCTTCTTGCTGTGCTGGTCGACGTTCAACATGATGACCGAGTACGAAAGCACATACGCGGTGTCGGCGTTGGCGAACGCATTCGGGTTGCCAGTCATGTATCGCTCGGCGAACTTCAGCATAAAACGATCGATCTTCTGCGCCTCGCCAGGCAGACGGAAGCTCTGCAAGAAGCGCCGCAATGCGTCGACGAAGCGAGTTTTTGAGAACTCCATCAAATCGACAAAGGCGTGCATGATGGCGATGTTGTCGGCGTCGGCTTCACCGAGAAACTCACCCAGCGCACCCTTGTCTATCCGATCGTTGTCGAGGAAGAAACGGGCAACGTCGTCGGGCGAATCTGACGGGATGAAGCCGTCCTTGATCAGCACCTTCAGGCCCTTCTTGGGCTTGTAGTTGAACTGCCGCACTGCATTTGTCATTGCAGTTTTCCGTTGCTTTGCTTTCTCAAACGAGTTGTAGTCGTCCTCTGCCAGCGGGGTTACTGTGCCTGAATCGCCGCCCACAGCAGGCGAGTCGGTGAGGGTGCGTGTGTCTATCGACGCCCTCATGTCCTCTAGAGAGAGTCTGGAATCCTGGGGCTGCGGTTTTGCGGTTTCGGGGAGGGACTGCTGGGCCCAGTCGACAAGCGACCGCAGGATCTCTACAAGCGCTTCGAGAGACTCCTGCTTCATCGCGTAGTCTTGTGGATACGAGCCATCTGCGTCGTTGGCAGCAGTTATCGACACGGTGGTGAGCGAGGGCGGCATAGTCCCTCGGGCCTGCCAATCCATTTGTTTCGCCTGCTTCTCTCGGTAGTCTTGGTATGCCTGCTGTTGCATGGGTGTGATGGTGACGGGGTTGCCAGAGATTTTCGACAGGTGCTCAACCACACGTTGGTACATGTTGTCGAGGGCAGTGCGGTCGCAGTCGTAGTTCAGGTAGACCTCGACCAGGGCGCGCGGGTCGGCGGCCAGGCGGGCGAATATCGACAAGACGTACTGCTTCTGGAACGCCGGGGCGGCGCGCTTGTCGAGGGTGGCGAGATAGATCTCCTTCAGGAAGACCTCGACCTCCTTCTTGAGCATGACGCGCAGGTACTTGAGCATTTGCCAGAAAATATCGGCAGCAACCTCGAATACTGGCTTGACGGAGCTGGCGCCGTTCCGACTCAAACTGAGACAGAGGTACTGCTTGATGGCCTGCACAAAGGTTGTGGGCTCGTCGCCGCTGCCACTGCGGATTGTGGCGTAGGGCGAGACGAAGACGGCGATGTTGTTGTGGAGGATGGTGTGGACCATGTGCAGCGAAAGGAGCTTCGAGCGCATGCCCTGCGAGCGCACGTCCAGAGCGTGGTCGACTGACAGACCCTTGGTGCTCAGACGGCACATGGCGCGGAAAACGAGGTAGGCGTCCTTGACGAAGATCTCGTCCTCTTCCTCCTCGTCGGAGCCGGCTTGTGGTGTGGCGTCTGTGCCCGAGACGTGCCGCGAGCTGGGCTTGCCCTTGATGCGGGTGACCAGGGTCGGGGCGTTGTCGTGTATGCGGTCGTCGTTGAAGCTCATGTTGTTCTCGAAGCTCTGCAGAGTGATCTTCGGCCCAGTGTGCATGTCCACGGCCTTGTCGCTGGGCTCGTGTTCGCCGTCCGGACCGGGCTCGCCGTCGACGGGGGTGTCAGCGCCGTTGGCGTCGGGCGACTGTGCCTCTTCCTGCGCCAGGCTCTCGTCGGACTCGCTCTTCTCGTTCAGCTCGACGCGCTCCAGGCCCACGCGTGTCTCCTTGACTGCAAGTCGGGCCTTGACGCGCTCGAAGACGGTGCCGACCATCTGGGTCAGGGCGCCCTGGGCGACCTGCTGGTTGGGACTCGACTTGGACAGCAGGAAGATGTTGTAGGTCAGGCGCACGGCCTTGAGCAGGCCGGCGCCGTGCACGACGATCTTGTCGTTCAGGATAGCGGCCAGCAGCGACTTGACAATCTGCAGCTGGACGTCGGGGTGGGTGGCCTCGCCCTGGAAGCAGTCGCAGATGGTGTCGATGGCGCGCTCGATCAGCGGGGCGTCGGTGCTCTCGGGCTGGGGGTCGGCGGGCACGGAGAAGTACGAGTAGCTGATCAGCTTGCCGATGCAGTCCAGGGCGGTGATGGACACGGGCACGTTGGGCACCTCGGCGGCCAGCTGCAGCGGCTCGAACAGCAGCTCCGGGCTGATGCGGGCGGGGTCGCCCTCGCGCTTGATGGCGGCCAGGGCGGCATTGGTGGCGTCGCCGAGCTTCTTGTTCTTGCGGGCGTCCTTGGAGGCGGCGATGGTGTCGAGGGCGGTGCCGACGAAGACGAGCGAGCTGCGGGTCGAGGGGCGCGTGGAGGTGGCGGCGGTGGCGGCGGTCGACTGCGAGTCGGTGCGCGGGCGGGCGTCGGCCTGGTGGGTGCGGTGGTCGAAGAGCGCGGGGGTGAGCGGCGGGTCGGGGAGGGCGGGCGAGCGCGCGTCTGCGGGCGGGTCGGGCGCGAGGGCGAGGGCCGGACGGGGGCGCGCGTCGGGGGTGTCGGGGGTGTCGGGGGAGTCTGTGGGCGGCTCTGTGTGGGAGGGGTTGGCTGCGGGGGGCTCGGTCGGCGGGGGGCTGTATTCGTCTGCGTCTTTCCACGGGTGCGCCGGCGGTGGTGGTGGTGGTGACTGCGACTGTGGTGCTGCCTGCGACTGCGCCGGTGGCTCCGTTGCTGTGTCTGGCTGTGCTGCGGGCTCGACCTCTGGCTCCTCCTCTGCCTCTGTGTCTGTCCCCGTGTCTGCTTCGCTGCTCTCGCGCCCGTCGGTCGGCGTCTCGTGCGGCGTCTCCCGTGTCGCTGTCGCGGTCGCTGTCCCGTCCGCGGCGGCTGTGGGCGCTGGCTGGGGCTCGGGGTCGGCCATGGTCGCTGGCGGTGGCAGGGCGGATGCTCGCGCGTCCAATGTTCAGTCGAATTGGCGGCGCGGCTGCTCGGGCATGCTGCGCAGTGCTCGCAGCGGGACGAGAGCTTCCTGGTGGCTTGTGGTGGTCGCAGATGACAAAGTGTCCCTTGCCCGACCGCGCACCGGCACCGCCGCGCGTGTGGCTGGTGCTGTGGCTGGCCCGTGTGGCTGCTGTGGCCGACTGCTGTGGCTGACACGCCGACGGGACCACTCGGCCGCGCGCCAAACCCTCCCGGGCCTAAGACCAAGAGAACGTCCCGGCTCCGACTAAACACATTTTGTTGGGCTGAGCCTCTCAACCACCACCTGCCCACTCCCGCGCGCGAGCAAGTCGTCCATCCCGCCGCCCGTCGCTGCTGATTCCTGCGGCCTCGCTCCCTCGCCCACCACCGCCCACCGCCCACCGCGCCCTCGCCGCCGCATCCCGACACAATGCCTGCCACCGCCATCCTGTCCCGCACCGGCGCTCAATTGAGCTCGCGGGGGTCAATTGCCCTGCGCGGCGCCTTCCAGAGGTGCGTGCCGCCGTGAGCGAGCGCGTGCGGAGCTCGACCAGAGCTTCGCGCCCGCGCCCGCCGCGTCTGCGAGTCCGACGCCGCTGACAGCCCCAGACGCACGCCCGCGCTCGCCGCCCTGGCCCGCTTCTATGCCTGTGAGTCGCCGGCAATACATGACTGCACCCAGCTGCCCCGACTGCGCCCACGCTCCCGCTGCTTGTCCGCTTGCTGTTTGTCCGCCCGCTGATGCATTTCTCCAGCCTACCCCCCGCACACCGTCGTCAGCATGCCCGCGCTGTCGCCGACCATGACCGCCGGCAACATTGGCACCTGGCAAAAGGCTGTCGGCGACTCGATAGCCCCCGGCGACGTGCTCGTCGAGATCGAGACAGACAAGGCACAGATGGACTTTGAGTTCCAGGAGGAGGGCACCATTGCCCGCATCCTGCGCGACGCCGGCGAGAAGGACGTCGCCGTTGGCAGCGTGAGTCCCGCCCGCATCCTTCGCCGCACCTTCGGCCGCAGCTAACCCGCGCAGCCCATCGCCGTCATGGTCGAGGAGGGCGCCGACGTGTCCGCCTTCGCCAACTTCTCCATCGAGGACGCCGGCGGCGACAAGAAGGCCGACACCCCCTCCAAGCAGGGCAACGCCGCCGAGGCCAGCGAGCCCGCCGACTCGGGCTCCAAGACCGCGCCCCCCAAGCAGGAGGCCCCCGTCTCGCAGGAGTCCGACTCGACCGGCAACCGCCTCGAGACGTCGCTGCAGCGCCAGCCCGGCTTCTCGCCCGCCGTCAAGGCGCTTGCGCTTGAGAAGGGCATCGCCCTCAAGGACATCAAGGGCACCGGCCGCGGCGGCGCCGTCACCAAGGCCGACGTCGAGAAGGCCCAGCCCGCCGGCCCCGCTGCCGCCGCCGGCCCCGCCGCCTACGAGGACACCGAGGCCTCGAGCATGCGCAAGGTCATCGCCACGCGCCTGACCGAGTCGATGCAGCAGAACCCCCACTACTTTGTCGCCTCGTCCATCTCCGTGTCCAAGCTGCTCGCCCTGCGCACCGCCCTCAACGCCTCCGCCGACGGCGCCTACAAGCTGTCCGTCAACGACCTGCTCGTCAAGGCCCTCGCCGTCGCCGCCCGCAAGGTCCCCGCCGCCAACTCGTCGTGGCGCGAAATCGACGGCAAGATCGTCATCCGCACCCACCACACCGTCGACGTCTCCGTCGCCGTCTCCACCCCCGTCGGCCTCATGACCCCGATCGTCAAGAACGTCGGCGCCCTCGGCCTCAGCGCCATCTCGTCCCAGATCAAGGATCTCGGCAAGCGCGCCCGCGACGCCAAGCTCAAGCCCGACGAGTACCAGGGCGGCACCATCACCATCTCCAACATGGGCATGAACCCGGCCGTCGAGCGCTTCACCGCCGTCATCAACCCGCCCCAGGCCTGCATCGTCGCCATCGGCACAACGAAGAAGGTCGCCGTCCCCGCGGAGAACGAGGACGGCTCCGCCGGTGTCGCCTGGGACGACCAGATTGTCATCACCGGCTCGTTCGACCACAAGGTCGTCGACGGCGCTGTCGGTGGCGAGTTCATGAAGGAGCTGAAGAAGGCGATTGAGAACCCGCTCGAGCTGCTTTTGTAGTGGACGAGTCTCCCGTGAAGAAGAGGAGTGCATAAGGGGAGGAGGGGGAGGAGGAGGAGTGCATGCTGTAGAGAGTAGCGAAGACGTGTGTGTGTAACTTTAGGCGAAGCATCTCTTGTACAATGACCGACTGTGACTGCAACTGCAACTGCGACTGCGATGCGACTGCGAGGTGAAGTGAAGTGGCCCTTGGGGTTCCGGGTGCAGGGCGAACTTATTTCTTTTCCTGACTACGGGTTCTTGTGATGTGCTGGTGCTGTGCTATTGATGTGCTATTGATGTGTGGACGATACAGTGCTGGACTAATGTTGTGGATAGGACACGCAAAGCACATGGCGAGCAAGCACAGGAGTGGTGTGGTGTGGAGTTGAGTCCGTCAAGTGCGGCATTTGTACTCTTACTCGTACACGGTCTGCTCTGCTATCTTGTCTTCCGCGTGTCCCCCCCCCCCCCCCTTACTACACTTCCACTCGCTCAGTACACATTTTTCCCGGCTCACTACACTTCCCCCGCCTCACCACCCTCCCTCCCGGGCTCGCTACACTCCCCCCACCCCTCCCACCCGGCTCGCTGCGCTCGCCGCCTACGAAATATCAAACAACTTCTTCAGCTCAATCAACAGCTTCCACTCCTCCTGCGACACGTCGCTGCGGAAGAACTCCTTGAGCGTGTCGATGCTCTTGCGCGTGATGGCGCTGTACAGCACGTCCGTCTCCTCGAGGTGCCGCCCGTACATGGGCTGGTTGGCGCCCTCGATCTTGACGGCCACCGAGGGCGCGCCGCGCTTGCAGATCTGGATTTGCTTGTGGTCGCGCTCGATGGATGTGCTGTGGGGTAGTATATTAGCTGGGTGTCTGGGTTACGGGGGGGGGAAGGGTAAGGGGGTGGAGAGGGTAAGGGGATTGGAGGAAAATAGGGGTAATGGGGAACGTACACGCGACCCAGATTAATAACCTCCTTTAGCCCCGTAACCGGGTTCTTCTTGATCGCGCAGATGGGCGTGGTCATGCGCAGATTGCCCTCGGCCACGTCGACGCCAATGACAATCGGGTCTTTCTTGTTGAACACGGCGACGGTGCGCAGCACGCACGGGAACACGGCGAGCATCTTGGACTCCTCCTTGCGCTGCTCCTCGAGCTGCTTCATGTGCGCCGTGAACTTGTCGAACAGGTGGTAGATGATGTCGGCCTCGAAGATCTTGACCCCGATCTCGTCTGCGTACTGCTTGGCTTCCTTGTCGACTTTGACGTCGAAGCACAGCATGACTGCGAATTCTTTGGCTTTCTCGAGCATCACGCCGGCGCGCAGCACGTCCTTTTTGAATACGGGGCCGATCGAGATGGTCGCCACGGGGATCTTGGAGACGCGCAGGAACTCCAGCAGGGCTTCGAGCGAGCCGAGGGTGGATGCCTGGACCGACACGCCGCGGCCCGTCTTGGACACGTTGCTGAGCAGGTGCTCGAGGTCGCCCATGACCTCGTCCATGAGGTCCTCCTCGTCGTCGTTGGGGCCGACGACGAGCAGGCGCGAGCCGGCAATGGCCGTGTCGAGGCCGTCGGCTGCGATCTTGATGCCCATCGCGGCCTTGACCTCCTTGTTGTGCACGTACACCGACTTGACGCGCAGCTCCTTCATCTCGGCGGGCGTGAGGAGCGCACGAATGTTTGTCACGATCGGCTCTGGATTACCGCACACGACGATGCGGTCGCCCTCGTGCAGGACACCGTTGGACAGGATGACGTCAATGGTGGTGCCGAGGCCCTCGATGACCTTGACTTCGAGCACAGTGCACTCGACCTCGGACAGGTACATGAGGTTGTTGGTCAGACGGCTCTGGGTCAGGCTGACAATGAGCTTGATCATGTCGGGGATACCCTCACCCGTGTGCGCGGAGGTGGGGCACACCGACACGTACTTGGACAAGCTCTTGTTCTTGAAGTGCAGCTCAGAGTTGAACCCCTGTTCGGCCAGCTGAGTGCGCACAAACGCCCAACGCTCCTCGAACTCGGACTGGACCGCGGGCTTCTGCAGGTTGAAGCTGTCCTCGAAGCCGTTGTTGTCGATCTTCTTCCAGCCGAAGAGACGATCGATCTTGTTGAGGGCGACAATGAAAGGCGTCTTCCTGCCCCTCAGCAGCTTCATCGACTCGATGGTCTGAGGCTCGAGACCGTGCATGATATCGATGACAAGGATGGCAATGTTACACAACGACGAACCACGAGACCGCAGGTTGGTGAAAGACTCGTGACCAGGTGTGTCAATGACCAAAAGACCGGGGACGTTGAACTTGAAGCTGTTGTCCTTGTTGACAACCGCGACCTTCTTCTCCAAGGCCTCGACGGGGAAGTAGGTGGCACCGATCTGCTGGGTGATACCTCCGGCTTCGCCCTCCTGGACGTTGGTCTGACGGATCTTGTCGAGCAGTTTTGTCTTACCGGTATCGACGTGACCGAGAATACAGCAAATGGGGGATCGCAGGTTGTCTTTGGAGCGCTCCGCAAGAGCAGCCTCGTGTGCCTCCTTTCGTCGGTCGGCCGCGGCCTGCTTGCGAGCAGCTTCGGCGCGCTGGTGAGCAGTCACTTGCTCGTCCTCGGAGTCATCGCTGTCGTCGTCGGAATCCTCCTCAGAGTCCGAGTCAGAGTCGCTACCTGTTGCGGCGGGCTTGGCAACGGTCTTCTCTGATGGCATAGGTGCAGGTGCCGCTGCTTCAGCCTTCGCCGCCGCCGCCTTTGCGACCTCGGCCTTCTTCTCCTCCTCTTCGTCTGTGTCCACGTCCCAGCTATCCTTGACACCGTCATCCTCATCAGCCGCCGCTTCCCAATCGTCGAGCGGTTCGTCGCCTTTCTTAGCCTCAGCATCGGCACGGGCCTTCTCGGCCTCCGCAGCAGCTTTCTCCTCCGCGAGCTTCAGCTCTGCGAGCTTATTCGCAGCCTCTTCAGCTTCGCGCGCTTCCCGCTCTTTCTGCTCCTGCTGCTGCTTCCTCTTCTTGCGGTCGTCCTTCTTGGGCTTCTTGGACGCCTCCGCCTCGCCTTCAAGCGCCGCAACCTTGGCACCGCTCTCGAGCATCTGCTTCAAGCGCAGGTCGGCCTTGGCCTTGGCCTCCTTTTGCGCCTTGGTCAAGTATTTGCCCTCCTTCTTGAGCTGCTCGATCTTCTCCTTCTCGCGCTGCTTCTTGGCCGCCTTGGCCTCCTCCTTGCGCTGGCGCTCCTCCTCTGCGAGCTTCTCCTCCTCCTCAGCGCGGGCCTTCTCTTCGGCATCGAGACGAGCAAGCTCCTCTTGTTGCTTTCGCAGCGCCTCCTGCTGCTTCTGGAGAGCTGCCAAAGCAGCAGGTACCTTCTTCTTCTTGCCGCCAGTTGCGGCCTCAGGAGCAGGGGTGGGTGCTGCTGCTGCTACGGGTGCGGCCTCGGCGGCCTTCGCTTCGGGCTTTGCAGGGCCACTGGTCTTCTTCTTCGCAGCCTGTGTGTTCCAGTCAGTCTCGAACAGCTGGTAGAGCTCGTTTATTCGTCACATACCATCTCCTTCTTTCGCTGCTTCTCCTTCTCCTTCTTCTCTCGCTCTTTTTCGGCCTTGGTCTTCATGCGCGGCGCCTCCTCAGTAGGCGTTGCTGGTGCAGGCTCTTCCTCCTTAGCCGCTGCGCCGCCTTTCTTGTTCTTCTTGCCGTAGTTGCCAGCGAAAACATCATCATCGTCGTCGTCAAAGTTGGCCTCCTGCGGCGCCTTGTTCGCGAAGTCATCGCCGGCAGGAGCCGGTGGGTCTTCGCCCTCGACTTCTGTGTTTGCGCCCTTCTTGTTCTTCTTCTTGCCGCGCCTTTGGAGCGCAGCCATCAGGCCGCCGCTTGCTTCCTCCTCGGCGCCGTTCTCCTCGATAGCCTTGGCCTCCTGTGCAACGGCATCGTTCTCGGTCGTGACGGTCTCGCCGAGCTCAGCCTCCCAGTCGTCCTCCTGCTGCTTCTTCTTGCCCTTCTTTGGCGCCATTTCGTCGGTCGCGCTTTTCGTGGGTGAGAATGTGGGCGCTCGTGCGTATTATGTAGGCTGCCGACGGGAGCACTTCCTGTGGCGGCGGGGTGGAGAGGTTCAAAGTCCCGAAAGCTGCAGTCGAAGACTCAAAGCGGAGCCTAGAAACCAGCTAGCCTTTTAGGAGATCCCGTGAGTCAAAGCTAAGCCAACGAAGGCCTGGATCTAGCAAGGAAGTGACAGGATAATGAAGCGTGAGGCAAACGCACAAAAGCCGACCGAATTTCGTCTGCTGCTGCGAATTCGATGCTTCTGTGGCGCTAATTGGCGGGGTATGGTGTGGCGTTGTGGCGTAGCGTGTGAACATCGCCCTCGACGTCTGGATCTTTGTCGTGTGGTCTCGAATTAGCTCTTCTCATACACCGTCAATGAAACAATAATAACGCTGAGTTTGGATTTACATTTTTCTTGCTTGACTACTTACTGCACTCACGCCGCGTTTGAACTGGTTACAGCAATGCGCCGTGGAGTTTCCAGTGTTTTGTGTTGACAGCTTTGGCAGTCAATATACTTTCGTGGACCTGAGATGTTTACCATGAAAGAAGAAACTCATGACTCTCTCGTGGAAAGATTGGAAAGAAGGATATAGCGGGCAGGTGTCCACCGTGTAATATTTACACAGACCATCGGAGTCTGCTATCTCAATATCGTCACCATGTTTTCCATCCTTAGAATCGACCTTCGTCTCCATCTCTGCATCATCGTCTTCAACTCTTGTTCTCTGTCTTCCTTATTTCATTCGCTCTACACAGCAGCAACTTCAAGGTCTTACAGACCATTTCGTGAACATTTCTTTAGTATCCGCACACCCATATAAACCAAGTGTCTTGACTTCCAAGAGACACGCTACGATTCGTCTGAGCAGCACTTCGTTCAGCCATGTATACTCCAGGGAATGCTTCGCTTTCGCGGATCCCAAGCTTCTACCAGCTCGAGCGGGGTCCGCTGATGACGTAACAAGCTTAGATATGCAGACGGTATCATCTCTGCTGACAGTGAGACTCAAAACACCACATGCCAGTACCGCCTCTTCAGTATTCTATCCCTATTTCAAACCTCAAGTTACAAGTAGTTTGGAATGGCCGACGGATCCACACCGTATCTCGATCGTGTGTTCACTGCACGCAGCACAGACGAGTCCCGGCGTATATACGATGAGTGGGCGACAACGTACGATTCAGACATGCAGAAGCACGCCTTCACCGCACCGCGCCTCGTCGCTGAAGGAGTTGCTCGCGGCCTGAAACTCAACCATCTGCATCGAGACCCGGAGCAGGTCCTGAAAGGCGTCCGGATCGTGGATGCCGGGTGTGGCACCGGCACGGTGGGCGTCGAGCTTGCGAGGCTGGGCGCAGAAGACACTGTTGGGCTGGACATCAGTAACGGGATGCTCATGGTGGCACGGAAGAGTGGGGCTTACACGGACTTGAAGATGGCGGATCTGACGAAGAAGCTGGAGTTTGAAGATGGTGGCTTTGACGCTCTCACCTGCTGCGGTACGTTTACGCATGGACATCTGGGTCCGGCGCCGCTTGCTGAGTTTGTAAGGATCGTGAAAAGCGGCGGGGTTGTTGTTGCTACCGTCTTGGATAGTCACTGGGTGGAGAAAGGCTTTGAGGCTGAAGCGGATCGGTTAGTCAGCGCCGGTGTATGTGAAGTTGTGGAAAATGCGGTACATCAGTATCGTAAGGATGCGGGTGGAGGACGTATATTGGTACTGAGAAGCATCTAACCGGATGGGGATTCGCTGTTGAAAGAAGTCGGAGCAGAATGACTACATGAATCATAGCTACGGTCTTTTTACGGGCATCGAACGAAAAGAGATACAATTGAACGCTTGATAGGTCGGATATCGGATGTCGTACCGGACCGGATCTATGACGGGAGCTCACTGTGTGGATTTCCGCGCGCATTGGTGATCTAAGTACCGCTTGTTCCAAGTGTGTTGACGTGCATACCGCCTTATCACTAAATCAGGGTGACATGTACAACTGGCAATCATTGTATGCTTCTAATCTAATACAACATCAGGAAGGGTATCAACATATAACATCTAAAACTCAGCATCTGCGGTAACATCCGAAACCTACATCGTTACCGTCCCAACACTGCAGCACAGCACATAGAACCCAATACAACAGCAAGCTCTCTCGTACTGTCCACACTCCCTTACGTCGCTCTTCAACCCCCTCTCCACGTATTTCTACAATACATCCCCCTCCTTCTCCACTCTAGCCACCATACTACTCACCCGCTGTCCCTCACTCCCTGTCATCGCACTCCCCTGTCTTACCCTCCCTTCCCCATGTACCTCTTGTTCTGCTCCTCCCCCCCTCTGCAACCCAGCAAGTACGCCCACAAACGCTCTCAGGTCTCCTGAATCAGCAAACCTCAGCGCGAGGCCCGTTCTTTTGCTTGCGGACTTTGATTCCGTGGCGGATTTACCTGTTGTCTTCAGCCCGCTGGTGGTCGCATCAACGGCTGTCATACTGGGCGTATGCAGCGCATCGCCGTGCGTCTTGTGGGATACAAGGAGAGCGGCAGTAGTCAGTGTGAAAGACTGTTTGAGAGAGGATGTGATATCAACTGCAGACGTTAGTCACAAACGTTTCAAATCGGATCGGATCGAATTTGAATAGTATGAGAGGAGGTAGGGTGGGGTGGGTTGTTGAGGCAGGCCTACCAGATGCAGAGCGCCATAGATAACTGGACCCGGGATGGCGGAGGCGGAACGTAATCGTAACATCCATACGCGTTTCGTTTTCGGAATTTCGGCCGCGCGTCCAGAGGAGCACGTCTGCGAAGCCGTAAGGGGTTGGGCGGAGGAGGGCTTGTTTCGCAAGGTGTACATTGGGCGCAAAGAAGCACAGATTCCAGCCGGTAAGATATTGCAGTGTTTGTTTGACGCCTACGCAGTTAGCGAGATTGTAGTGGGAGAAATGACGCGCTCGCCTACCTTGGGGGAGCCGCAAGGGGCTGCTTGGGTCGAAGGGAAACACCAAGCAGTAGGTGCTGAGTACAAGATTGCTTGCGGCCCACTCTGCGACTTTGGACTCATCGATCCATGGCTCGCTAGTCACGGAAGATATGTAGTTTGGGGTTGAGACTTGAGCAAAGCGGACGATCATACTGCGCTGAGCACTCATCGGGTTGAATTCTATACGGATGTCCAGGTCAATGTCCGGCCAGTGGATGAATAATTGAAGATGACTGTGTGAAAGGGTGTCGTAGGTAGCAACACAAGCTATGCGATATGCAAGTGTGTTCTGTTCTCGTACCTCGACAGCCAACAGTCTCTGCTGATCGATGATCTCGACACTGCGCCACTGCTGAACACCATTGACGTCGTTGTAGACCACGCTGAGGTTATGAAGAAACGCTAAGGCGGCCTCATTATCGACGAATGATATGGTGATCTCGTTGTTCAGATTATCGGGATCGTAAATGCAGTCGTAACTCTGTTTGTTATTCCTCGGAGGCTGAGCCTTCCACTGGTTGCAATCAGACCACCGTAATGTCAGGTGATTCCGCTCTATGGCAGACGAGATGTCGGTCAGAGGTAACCAGAAAGAGCTGCAACACTGTTTGGAAGCGCTACCTGACATCTGACTGACAACCAGTCGACGCGTCTTCAGCCAGATTCTGTATGCGTCAGTACTCTGCCGTGAATACGATTCGTAAACATGCAGAGTATTTTGTCGGAGGTCGCAACTAGGGTTGAATTCGATTGTGGGTTGGTTGATTTGATTGGAAACCTCAACGCCGGTGACACTAAGAACAAGGTGCTCCCGCAATCTTGGGCTTTTCTGTCGCGCGGCGCAATTGCATGTAATGGTGTTGTTGACAGACTGTGGCTTTGGTGGCAGTACGAGGCCACTCGACCATCTCACAAGTTGGGGTGATTGTATGGACGAGGCACCATAGCTTAATCGTCGATCATTCTGTCCCACTGATGAGGTGCGAGGAGTGTGACGGGATGTTGCAGAACCGGAAGACCAGGTATCCACTTGCTTAAGTTCTGGCGATCCAGCACTTGTAGAGCAGTCTGTAATGGTGGGACGCCGATCAGGAAATAGACTCAGACCAAGCCCAGAAGCTGATGTGGTATCCACATTGTCCCGACTAGCCAGCCTGTGAGGTGACATTAGACTATCTGCAGGCGCAGATATTAATGGAGTAGTAGGTTGCTGAGGTGTAGCATTCGTTGTAGTAGAAGAGGAGACGGTACGGAAAACACGCTGTGACAAGCTGGGTAGACTCGGCAATATGGGCGCCATCGGGGTCTTCTTACGACCATAAGCTTCTTGACAACATTCATTGACGTACGGCCATTGCGTGCTGAATTCCGTCAGTAACTGCCTCGCTTTGGGTCGCTGTGCTGGTTCATTTGCCATCTGAAAGTCGTCAGCGGCATCAGTAATGTATTCGTCAATCATACCATTCGTCTTATGACATGACGCAGGAAAATAGTTGGCGTCTCCGCCTCTTCCAATCTTAACTCAGATATCCAGTCATCCATGGCCCCGAGCCCCTCAGCTCTGTATATCCCATGTAAGTCACCCCCTATGCGCTCAAGCAAGTTACGCAATGGCCTGCCCGCTGCGACCGTGAAGATCTCGCAGAAAACGCGTCCCATTGACCACACATCTGAAGCATCGTTACGCTGCTCGTAATTCAGAACTTCCGGCGCACAGTAACCAGGAGTGAGATGGGATGGTCCCTCCGTAGTAGGGTCGCTGCCGGTCCAATCGTTTGATACCCCAAAATCACATAGATAAACTCGTCCTTTGCTCAGTACTATGTTGCTAGGCTTGATGTCTTTGTGGCGTATGAACTCTTTGTGTAGGTACGATAAAGCTGATACTAGGCATGCAAATGACTGCCGAAGTAATATGTATTCGTCGCTCGAAAGAGGCACAACGGCATTCTCAAGCATCTCCTTCAGTGACTCGTCAGCCACTGGGGAAAGTATGAGGGCAAAGTTGGAGTAATCTGTGTAGCTCGCAACTAATCGTAGTGTATGAGGGTGTTGAATCCGTCGCAGTATGTGCAGCTCCTTGATGAACAGTTGTACTCGGTCTCCCTGGAGTCTGCCTTTTCCGCGGATCGCTCGCTTACATGCATAGAAGCTCCCCTGGCGATTGTCTAGCGAGACATGTTGCACTTGGAAGACCCTTGCAGAAGTACCTTCACCAAGGGTTCTTCCCTCTTCGAAGAAGTCTTCGCCGTATTCGAGGTGTCGGTGAACATTTGGTGTTTCAAGTAATTCCGCCTCGCTCATAAGGTCATGGTCGGAGAGGACGTACAACTGCATACGTCTGAACTCATCCCAATCAACGTTTGTCCTGATTGAGCTGAAGGTGTCTTCGTCGACAGGTAGCCAGAAGTCGTTAATGTTGTGATTTTGGAATCGCAGTATTGCGTCTTCATCACATCGCAGCATGCGCAACAATGCGTACAGGCGGGGACTATCCCACCAGGGCCTGAAAAAGTCGTGTCGCTTAAGATGCTTTCGAATCAAGTTTAAGGATTTTTCATCAAAGTACTGAAGGTTGTCGTAAGGTGGCCGCGGTATTAGATGGTCGATAGACTCCTCGGCCACTCTGCGCGCAGAGCCCATTGTGATCCTGCTATGGGCAATACAGACATTTCAAATAGAACGACGTGAATCCGGGCTCGACGCTGGTGTTGACATCTGCAGATGAGATGACGAGGAGGAACAGCTACTGTCCACGAAGCCTGTTAGGCGAGAACGCTTTCGGCACGGCTGCCTGCCGCTGGCGTTCGGGGTGCGCCCCGCCTTCCCCAGAGCCCCACTCCTTCCATCTCGACAGTGCGCCACAAAGCTACAACGTGTGGGGTGGCCAACTTCTTACTGTTCGCATTGCATGCCTGGTCCCTCGATCGTGCATCAGATCGATGTCATGTCTCGTCAGGACCTGGATACTGGTCGGCTCAGCCTCTCGCTGTGCAAGCCACGAGAACCACCACAAGGCTGTGTACGGGTCAGCCCCCACACACAAGCTTGTTGTGCAACATGATCAACCAATCTGCCTCGCCAAAGCAGATTTGTGGCCGTACACGAATGTCAGCTCTTTGTATTGCCAAGCACCTCCCGACATATCCTGGGAGGAAATATCCTAGCAATGCCTCGTTGCCTTGTTGCCCTCTTTTCCGACCGACAGATGTGTCAAGCCTCATAGATAGTACACGATTCTCATGAAACGTATTGGCTATCTAAACGACCTGTCTACGTATCGACAAATCGTTGATCTGTACTCTCGGTGCCATTTTCTACGCGATGAACGTTCACAGTCAGCACACTAGACCTTCAGCTGGAGGGAAAACCGACCGGCGACTGGTGAATCCATTCACCACTTGGTCCCATAAGCAGGTCCTGGACTGCGCAGATGACTTCGTTCTCAAGTCTGGCTTGGCGGAGTACAGCGATCTTTTCCGCAAAGGCGCTTCCCTGGCGCAGTCAAACAAGCTATTTGAGAATGAGGAATACGGCGGTATGAGTTTGCTTTTGAAGGAGCGCAATGCTCTCAAACTCGAGTTCAGCAACAACCGCATGGACCGTTTCAAACAGCCGCTGAAGCTTTACGGACTCGTCGCTTGCTGCTCGCTTGGTGCAGCCGTGCAAGGATGGTTTGTTGATCGTCTTGATAGACATACTCGTCGCTAACAGGGAATCAGGGATCAAACAGCAGTTAACGGAGCTCAAATCTATTTCAAGAAGACCCTTGGTATGGAAAATAATGCGAATCTACTGGGGCTTGTCAACGGCGCACCATACCTCTGTTGCGCACTGGCTTGCTGCCTGAACTACCCATTGAACAAATATCTGGACCGTCGGGGTGTCATTTTCACGACCTGCATTATAAGCTCTGTGACCTGCCTATTGCAAGCCTTCTCACGGACATGGTGGCATTTATTTCTGGCAAGGTTTGCCCTCGGGTTCGGTATTGGGCCAAAAAGTGCAACAATCCCAATCTATGCAGCCGAAGCTGCTCCGGAAAATATTCGAGGTGCCTTAGTCATGATGTGGCAAATGTGGACTGCCTTTGGTATCATGTGCGGATACTTTTCTGGCGTTGCGTTTGCAAAAGTAGCAGGCGACCTCAAATGGCGGTTGATGCTAGGCAGTCCGGTAAGTATTCAGGCACTACTATTGTCGCACCTACTGACACACTGTAGATGGTCTTGCCACTCCTTGTTGTTCTCTACATCTATGCTCTTCCAGAATCCCCGAGAGTCCTACTCGACAAAGCGCGCAAACGCAAAGACGATGCAAGTGACCTTTATGAAAAGGCGTTTCTGGGACTTCGTAGTCTTCGGAATTCCAAAGTGCAAGCAGCCAGGGATCTATTCCTTATGGACTATCTGCTTGAAGAAGAGTCCAAGATAATGCACGACCACAAGCGCTTCCAGGAGCTTTTCACACAGAGACGGTGCCGCAACGCATTAACAGCATCTGTTATCTGTATGTTTCTACAGCAGATGTGTGGCGTTAATGTCACAGTTTACTATTCATCAAGTATCATGACGGAAAACGCGAACTGGTCCCCCGAGAATGCACTCTTACTTTCTGCGGGCTTCGGTATTATCAACTTCGTCTTCGCTTTCCCCGCTGCTTGGACGATCGATACTTTTGGGCGCCGCAACTTACTGCTTTTCACTTTTCCCTTTATGGCACTTTTCCAATTCGTCATGGTTGTCGCAGTGGCCTTGCCAGACAATACTTCGCGACGCGCCCTCGCCATAGTAGGCATGTACTTGTTTGGCATCGCCTACTCCCCTGGCGAAGGACCCGTACCATTTGTCTACAGCGCAGAGTCTATGCCGCTTTACAACCGCGACTACGGCATGGGCATTGTCACAGCAATTAATTGGCTGTTCAACTTCATCGTTTCCTTTACCTGGCCCAGCATGAGTGGAGAAGATGGTCTGGGGCCTTCAGGCGCCTTTGCTTGGTACGGTGTGTGGTGTCTGATAGGATGGTGGCTCATTTTGCTGTTCGTGCCAGAAACAAAGGATCTGACTCTGGAAGAGCTCGACATAGTCTTCGATAAACCACCGCACGACTATATGAGACACGGAATAGCGCAGCTCAAGTGGTTTATCGGGTACCACGTCCTGAGAAAGAGACGGATGGAAAAGGAAAGACCGGTTTTTCTCAACCCTGTTTCGTCGACCCGACAACACGACCCAAGGGGTGACTTCCCCGATTCTTCACACGAGCTCTCAGGTTTCAGGGAAACCAGCAGATAAGTGAACTTTCAGCTGACTAACCTTAGTACAGAACTTGTAGCTATCATCATACTTAAAGCTAAATTCTAGTCAAGTGTTACCTACTTTGTAGGCATAATGGTTTTCCGTAAAATACCATTTTTATACTTTACTGTCGCGTGATAGAATACCTGGCTCACATGCTACATGAACCCAAGCCAGTCGTTGTAGCTGCAGACTGATCGCCCTTTTATAGTTGTTGTGGTACGAGATAGTCGAATAGTTGGGAATTGCTATACCTCACAGAAGCATCTCTGCCAGATCACAATCGAATCACTGTATAGCTCACTGATGTCACAGTAAGGATAAATCCGATATGTAGGACTTAGCTAAGTATTGTTTGTCCTCAACATCCCTGTTTCGGATACGACAATACGGCCGTACTACACGCTATACGACGTACTGACTAATCCTCTTAGGGCCTAGCGGATGCTCTGTCCGTCTGAAGAGTTCCGCTGTTGTCAGTTAACCAACCTTGCTTTCTGTCGTTCTGACTCCAAAGTATTACATCTATGCCTCCATAATTCAATAACAAGCAGTAAGATCCCAAGCGAAACACGAAAGACAGGAAAACATCAGCGCACCTGGGCAGTGGAGCCAGACTGGCAGTCACGACCTCCTTTAGTTGACATTCACCATGTTGCTCGCATTTGTTTTAATTATACAAGCGGTGGTTTCGATCAAAATTCCACAGGAGGATACTGCATTCATTCAACAAAAGGGGGGAGCCCCGAAAGATTACTCCTTTGGAAATGGCTTTCACCACATTCCTCCGCCACCAACACCCGAAGCTATCGAAGTTATTGAATTGCCATTACCACCTGTCGCGCCAAGTCGCGAGCCTGGATCCTGCTCCATTGTTGTCAATCCTCGCAGAACAGGCTGCATCGCACGCGATCTACACAGACAAAAGTTTCAGTCAGGGGACTTCACTCCGGATGGGAAGCACGTAATCGTGAACGCTGAATTTGTCGGCGCTCCAGGCCCCCCAAATTCGGCGAGCATATACACTGGAGAACAGCTGATCCTTATCAAAGCGGACGGTACGAACTTTGCGAACGGCGATCCCTGGAAGTGTCTCAGTTGCGACTTGTCAATAGACGATGCTCGAGAGTTACATCCCGAGAGAGATTATCCTCACATTTTTCGTGATGGGACCAGAGCAATTTGGGGACGGAATGTGGTCGATTGCCATGGCGAGCAATTGAGTAGCGACCTCTGCTCCTCTGACCGTGTCCGCATCTACCCCATTCACTGGCCAGACACCAGTAGTGTTCCTAGAGAGCTACGCGTTCATCCAGACGATACGCATATTGGCTGGAGTTCGTTCACCGCAGGTGGTCAATACGCATACTTTGGGTGTCTTTTCTTCAACGCTGCCCCGACCGACTCAGGACCCTGGACGCCTCGATACGACCTGGTCAACGTCAATTTGCTTGTAGACCCAAATCGAGCCGCCCCACTCACAGCTAATGGCACCCATATTACCATACACCATGATGCCATCACCGTCGGCGAGTTGCGCGGCTTCAGTGGGTCAGGTGACGAGATAACGTACATTGGATACCCTTCTGAGTCTACCAACATAGATATCTTCGCTGTCCATATCGAGACGGGGGTCGTTCGGCGCTTGACGAGTCATCCAGAGTACGCAGATCCTATCGCCTTTTCGGCAGATGATGAGTGGTTTGTCACAATGGACACTCGAGGAAGTGATCGGCAGATGTGGATGGCTGGCCTGCGAGGGATACCGCCACTAGTCGATACTGTTGCTGTGATGGCTGCGGCGAGCACGAGAAACAATGGCGTGAGGCGTTTTTTCCAACCGATTCTCAGCGATCGGTACGGCGACCGTGGAGCATACTTCGGACAGCAAGTGAATGCGGAAGGAGACGGAAGTGCTGGGGCGATCAACGATGCAAACTGGAACGGACGTGCTGATCCGGCATTTTCGCTTGACGGCACAAAAATCGTGTTCTGGCAGGCTATCGTAACGTCGCCAGCATGCGGAGGTCTGAATCCGCTTGCATGTCCCAAATCGACGGCACAAGGCGCGAGGGAGTATCGCGTCATGCTCGCGAAGCTGAAGACCAGGGAGCCCACAGTACCGAAGGAAGTGTATGAGGTACCAGATCAACTGCCTTGGGCAGTAGCGTTCAACCCTGGCTCTTTACCTTCATCTTCGCTTATCTTGCCAGCGGGAAACTATACGCTTGTTGGTAGAACCTCCGGGCACGCCCAAGTCCATTTCTCCAAAGTTTCCAGCACCACTCGTGTTGCAGTCAACTACACTGATTATTCAGATGACGGAGAATATCAATTGAACGGTTACGAGGACGTTGCCGTTTCAGTCGACCCCACAAGGGTCTGGGAGAACAACCTGATCTGGTATTCTGACATCGTGCAGACAAAATCAGGTGAGATTACCGGAAAGAAAATAACGAGTTCAGATGGATTTCATCTTACGATCGATGCAATGACAAATGTCTTCAATGCGAATGGTACATTGACAACAATCGTTGATGGAAACAGATATGAGCAGCCGGCAAACGGCACATGAAATAAGTAAAACATGGCTCCAAAAAATAAATTGATTAATAAGCCGGTGGTATGCTGAACAACATGTGACGTCCGATATGGGCCAACAAAACCTAGATCGTCTCTCATGTTGCGGGATACACGGCGGACTAAGGATGTGAGCCAGATGTTCTACTACGAGACAGTGAACTAGCTAGAGAATACAAGAAAACCTCTATAGAATGCTTTTTTGCCTACAAAGTAGGAAGCGTGTAACTGAATTCTGACTTTAAGTGTTATGATAGCTACAAGTTCTGTACAGCATTTTGGCTTTCCTATTTGCTGATTTGATCTCGTCGACTCTTTATTTCCTCATTCGCACTGGTACGATGACGATACCTTCGGATCACCGCCTTTGTAGATGGACGACAGAGGGTACATGCACAATTCACGCTCCCAGATCGACCCGTTGACCGTGCGAGCGGCAGCCACTGTCTCCGGTGCCTCTCCATCTTCTACCCACGAGACTAGTACATCTAGAATGTCATTTGCCTCCGCACCGAGTCCTCCTCCACAGTGTCCAACACCCGGCTCTGCGAAAAGGCGATAAAAGTCAGTCGTATTTGCATCTAGCGCAAGTACCTCCTCGTAGTAATTGACGATGCCTTTGAATGGGATAGCTTCGTCCGCCGTGCCGTGATTCGTGATCATCTTTCCTCCTGCATTCTTGAACTCGGAGAGGTCGGCATCGCTAGTACCAATAATCGACGTGTATTGCTGTCCTGAGGCGTGGAATGCTGCATCCCATTCTGTCTGTGTATAATTGTACGGGTCAAATGAGGGGTCCTTGTGGATGAAAAGACGGTGCCAGTCTGTCGAGACGTGAAATGGAGATCCAGTGCAGTTGTGCCCATTGGCATCACACGTAGTACCTGCTACTGCGTACAAGGGTGATCCAGGAGTCAAACCGGGCCATTGCAGCGTACCTTCTGCATCTGTGGCTCCTTTCCACGTAGAATTGACAATCTCCGCGGCCTCCTTCGAGATGGTCCCTGTTATGTTACCACAAGCATACGGCTGGCCAACAACTGTCTCAGGATCGAAAGTGCATAAGCCTGGGAGACCGATGATGCCATCTTTGATACCATCGAGTTCGTCGCATGCGCTCGTAGCCGCAGCAGTTATAGCATCAAGCTCGCACAGAGGAGGGAAGTATCCGATCTTCTGCATGACTAATTGAGGCCAGAAGATGGTAAAGATCAACTCCGTCCAGTGTGACGCTGGAGCTCGTGCAATGATACCGTCGTAAGCGTTAGGATAACGTTGTGCCATCATCAGGCCCTGTCGACCTCCCGTCGAGCAGCCAGCCCAGTAGGATTTTGAGATAGGCTTTCCATAATAAGCTTCTGTTAACTGCTTACCAAGAACAGTCATGTCGTTGAGCGTCACAGATGCAAAATTTTGCAACGCGTACAAGTTGACGTTTCCAGGGCTTAGCAGCCCCCACTCATCAGCAGGCTGGCGGAAAGCATCGTGTCCTCCATCTGTCGCGACCGTAGCATAGCCTTTCGATAAGGAATATACCATTTCGGAGGGAAATCCAGTATTCCATCCACCACCACCCGCACCGTAGAACCTCTCATTCCACGCTAAAGGAAGCCCAAGCCAGACTTTGATGTTGTCATTTTGTCCAGGGTGGGTGTAGGTGAGCGTCACGTTGCAGAAGCTGATGGAGGTAGAATCGAGTGTCGACTCGAAAGCCTCGATGCTCAATATCTTAGCCCCAAGGACGCTAAGTGTTGGTAGAGCGCTTGCTGAACAACTGGTGGTATTGGCGACAGCTAGGACAGGTACTGGAAGAAGCAGCAGTAGCGAGCTTTTGAGCATCGTGACTGTGAGAAATTTGAGAGTAGTATCGCTGGGCAGAGAGAGAGGCAACCGATGGTATCGTTTATGTTTGCTGTCGGATGAGAAGTAGCTTGTTCTTATGCCTACGCACTCAGAAAATTATGTTACCACAAGGTAGATCATTTTGTCGGATTAAGTTGGCTGACCTCCGGCAATGTCGGTAATGTCGCTGACACAGAAGATTGCGATGCAATCAAACACTGGTAGGCGGGATGCGTGTTAACTATCTCGGCGCCTTATTGCTTGTTTCGATTGGAAGGTAAATATGCGCCTGTAAGCAGCCACTTATACCGTTGGGGCAAGGTCTTTTGGGAAGGTCTCTTGACTCCACGTATCCACAAAATCCTTCCACGTTGGCTGCCTAACTGGCTACAAACCACGCTAGATAGGTCCGAGTATTCCAGTACTGCCCACCCAGTTGTTACCAAAGGTCCCGTCACATCTGAATCGTTTGCTTTTGTAATCCGAGGCAGACATTCGTTCTTGGCAAGGAAGAATCTTGGCGAGAGAAGATTTGAGGGATTTACTTACAGGCCTTGTCAGCGCGGCGACTCCGTATCACAGCAACTAACGCCGAGTGGCGCTGTTGAATGTGGATTATCTGGTGCAGTGCAGCATTGCGGTTACTACGTTCCACCAAGGTTCAGGCTTGGTGCCTACTGGACTTGATGACACCGCCGTATGTCGTGAGACTGCATTTCTTAGTTTACCTGACCGTCTATAATATAAGCTATTCTACAAGTTCATAGTTGGTTGCGACTATGGCGCACTCGAAACAACCCTCGACAGTGGAATGGAGATAGGTAGACTTTTTGGCTTACAGCTGAGCATCAAAGTTGTTCAAATCTGGCATCTGTATGTCGCCGCCGGCCTCCATGAGATTCATCAGATAGCGCGACCCTGAGAACCAATCCTGAACGGGATTCTGAGGGACCCCGTTGAGTACATCATGTACGCCGAAAGTATCCACACTTTGCGTGCTCGCCGCATTTTGGACATTTGCAAAAGACTCCATTACCGTTGACATCGCAGGCGCATCGGCATAACTAGCCATTGGCCAGGCTGAGTTGGGCACAAGTCCAAGAGCGCTCAAATAAGGATCAAATTGAGTCATAGTGCTGACGTCTAGTTGGTCTTCATCTCTTGCGGTAAAGAAAGTACTTGGTGAAAGCTGTGACCCGGTTTCTGGTTGTATCCTAGATTCTTTCCTCTTGGCCTGGATGTAAAGTTTTGCGACCTGGTGAAAAAGGTGGCACATCTTGTAGAGTTTGTCGGCGCCTTCGGATACGGTGCGACTAGATTCCAGACTGGCGACGAATTGCTGAAGAGTGTTGAGATCTACGGTGTTAGAGCTCTGGATGGCATTGCAGAAAACGACGATAAAACTAGATGAACATTAGCCGCAGGTGACAAGCGTAGGGCGCATGTAGCATACGGTGTGAACGGGGCCTACCAGATTTGTCAGCTACTCGCAAATCCAAGATATTTGGCTCTTGCTCACCTGGAGAATGGACCAATGGATATAGCCAATCCAGAGCTCTTCGCTCCCGCCATTGTTGAATTGAGCGTTACATCTTTCATGGGCGGCCAGAGCTGCCCTCGAGTATTCCAAGCATTCTTGGCTGAAAGTGACGTTGTCAGAACTGACAGCGCGTTGTATGAGAGCGCACGTCGAATAGTGCATGACGACGTCGGCATGGAAAAACACATCTGCTATTCGTTCGAAAGAACCTATGAGGGTCAGTGAAGATGAATCGAGAGTGAATACATGCTCAGACCTGTTGGGTAATCGTCGGGCATCAGTGGAACACGCTGCGCAAAATGTCTACGTTTTGACGGTATCTCTGTCTCGTTAGGACTTGCCATGGCCGCCTTCCTCCGCTTTGACAGGTCTTCTCTCGTCGTGATTCTGGTTTCCCCACGCTCGTACCATGCCTGGTTCATAGCACTGACGAGTTCGATAGCGGTCGAAAGCCGTTCTGCAGGAGATCTAAGAAAAGCAGCAGGGCTGAAGAGCCTCTCGTACGTCTGGCCCTGAACCTTGGCAACCTTGACCCAGTAAATAATCATCTGACTTGCCCCGAGAGCCTCAGCTGCTGGTGAAGGTGACGCAGTTATCAACGGTAAAGACATATCCCAATCTTGAATGACACTTGCACGACCAAGACGCAACGAGAGTTGCTTGTCGTACGTATATATCAACCAAAAAAGGTGAATTTTAGCATTCCGTTCTTCTTCCTCGTCATTCTGAAGGGTCTGATAGCGATGGTAGCCTAAGTTCTGGGCATTGCCAGCTGCCATAGCGGTCAGAACCCATGCAAGTGAAGGTTTGCACATCTCAATCGCACAACCAGCACCGAGAACGAGAGCCATGACGTTCTCGTAGCTGGCCGGAATGAACACATCGAGCTGGCTGACGGCGACTTCCATGTGGTGTTTACCTGTGAGATGATAGTTCAGTGTATGCAATGCATGAATGTGGGGATGAAATACATACACATTGTAGCGTGACTGCGCCAATGTTGATTAGCTCGGCACTCAGAGCGGACACGGTGTGCACTTACCCACGCAGCTTGTTCTGGTCCAAGCCAGAGCACCAAGGCATCGCAGAGAACTCTGTAAATAGATTGTATCCGACCCCGAAGGCCAGAATCCTACGTGGTGCGTCACAATGTGATGTATTTTGGTAAGCGTCTTCGAATATCTCAAATATATTGCGCATTTTCAGGAAAGGAAAGATGACTGCAAATGCCATCGTGGGATATTCTGTTTATATCAGCCAGAAATCACATCAAATAGAGCTAATTGGCATACTCAAAGCTTTCTCGAGCATCTCTTTGACTTCGGGCCAAGGTGGTCGGTCCAACTTTCCTGGGTCGACATCTGAGAGCGCGCGGTTGATCAGAGAATTTGTAGTGGATGTTGTAGATACGGTGACATGTCCTTGTAATGTGACGATATCACCAAGCGCACTCAAGGCTTTCTTGATCTCCTCATTTTGCCCAATGGAAGGGGTGTTGCCAACAATCTTGGTGAGAAGCTCACGAGCATATCCAGACTGGCTGTTGGTGGCTGTTTCACCCTCGAATGGTTCAGGAACGATGGCGTCGGTCGTCGCTTGACTTTTCCCTGAGCTCTCTCGACTTCCGACTCGACTAGGTCGTGAGAAGGTGCTTGGTTCGGTTGATTCATTTTGCACATTCAAGTCTCCCAGTTTGGACGCAAGCTTGGCGAGAACATTCTCAATTCCAGAAAGTCTATCTTCGATACGATCGATCTTCCGTTCGCTATATCGATCAGTAAAAGTCGTATTGAGAAGGCTGTGAATGAACAGGCGATGTGGCGAGATATCGGCGCATTTTAGACGAACACTAACTTACTACTCTTCAGATATGTGGACTCTTTGTCTAACCGTTTTCTGAACAGGAGCCGTTGTAGAGCAGGCTATGAGTGTTAGCGAGCGTTTCGCGTAAAACTGTTCGACTCAAAATGCAGAGCCGCAGTCCATGGCTTCGAACACAATCGTATCTGTCCAATGCTAGCGAAAGTTGTACTGTTTTCGCGCGCATGTGGACGGACAAAATCTTCGTACAGAACAGTCACGTCGGTTTGCTGTGAAGAAGGGCCAGCTGCTCCGACGCGAATACACAGCTTGGTGCACAGGAGCATTTGAATATTTGACTCACATAATTTGCTTGCCTTGCAGTTCGAACATGGGACAGATCGATCGCATCGTATTTTTCGCGTCCTGCAGGAGTCACACTGAGAGCGTGGTCAGTATGTAGACATCAACGCGATTGTGAATCCCACATACAGCACGCTTAGTACTCGACCCATCCAGGTCCATGTCCTCATTCATATTGGGCGGTTTGGCGACCTGGGCACACGGCACTGCGACGGCTGGTCAATGGAGGGCTGCGTGGGTCGGCTCGGGCGCGCAGGTTTCCGGAACTCCGGGTCGTGCACTATTTGTCTTCAACGCTTGCCTAACATCCACGCAAAAGTAAACGGTCTGCAGATGTCGATCAATACTGTGTCGCTTAGAACAATCAACTTTCTGTCGTGCTGAGATGGAGTTCCGCTAGGTTCCGATTACCGATGTTGCACATGCGCGAAAAGTCGATTACGTCATCACGTGCGCCAAATCGCACGCACCATCGATCGCGTTCCAGTACCTGTGTCGGTATGAGGTTTCATGAGCTGTCTGTCAGATCGCCATGCTTGCGATCGCGCACGGATAAGTACCCCAGCCAATCATACCGAGGCTTTTTTGAGCGAGACCGCGTGGCGTTGAGTTTCTCGACGCGTTATCACGTGTCGGAGCTGTGAACAACCACCCGCGGACCTTGAAAGTCCGCCCCTGCCCTTCTCTACTCGGACTTTCGGACTTCAAGACCAATGTCACTTCCCGCTGCCTTGGCGAATGATGCGCGCGGGCGGGAGGTCTCACGCTCTGTAGGCAGCTGTCTTGGTCTCGGCGCCCGCGGACGGGCACGAGCAGCTGTATCTGGTCCTGAAATAAGTGAGTAGGTGACTTGAGTTCCTAGTACTGTACAACAACTTCCACCCCTTACTATGCCATCGGAGGCAAAACCAAGGACCTCGCCATCATGGCGCAAGAGCGAAGACGAAAAGAAGAGCAGCACTTCGGAGGATGACAAAACGAAACAAGATGAAGGCAGAGGTGGAATGGGACCATATGTTGTGAGTATGCAAAATCAAAATCAGTACAAGCATCTGATGTCACGACAGCGCGTGTTCACCTACGCAGATAGAACGAGTTGGCTGCTGAACGGCATTGCTGTCATCGCTGCCATTGCAGCCGGCACTTTGCTTCCACTGATGGATTTGGTGTTTGGCAAATTCGTTACTGCCTTCAACGATTTTGCTGTTGGGGCCATTGGTCCAGCTGAATATCGTTCTGAAGTAAACAAATACACGTACGTAGCTCAAGTAGCGAGGTCCGTTCAACATCTGCTAACAACACATAGCCTCTATTTCTTGTATTTATTTGTCGCTAAGTTTGCTTGCGTCTATATCCATTCAGTAAGGGAGAGATTTGATTGTGGGATTATTGTAGATGCTAATTCCAGCAGGTTTCGATCTCCATCTCTGCGATCCGTACAACGAAAGCGCTTCGGATCGACTTTATCAAACACATTCTGCGACAGAACATCGCCTATTTTGATTCAGACGCAGCTGCTTCTGTCACTGTTCAGGCCACTACTAATGGAAATAACGTCAACAACGGGATCTCGGAGAAGTTGACTATCACCATACAGGGTGTGTCAACCTTTGTGACCGCGTTCATTGTCGCTTTCGTCGTTCAATGGAAGCTTACCCTAATCACGTTAGGAATTGTTCCTGCCATTCTAGTTGTCACTGCTGTTTGTATCGGTATCGACACAAACAATGAGGCGCAGCTGCTTCCGATTTACTCCAGGGCCGGGCTGATTGCCGAAGAAGTGTTCTCTACTGTTCGAACAGTCCACTCTTTCTGGCTCAATCCATTACTGTCGAAAAAATACGACAAGCTTCTTGATGAAGCTATGAAGGTCGGTTTGAAGAAATCGCCTAACTACTCCATTATGTTCTCAGTCGAATTCTTCTGCGTCTATTGTGGATATGCATTAGCTTTCTGGCAAGGAATTCGTCGATACCACAGTGGCGAAATTAGCGAATCTGGTGATGTGTACGGAAGTTTGCTCTTTTTCATATCCACCTGCTAATGCTGTCATAGCTTCGTAGTCATTCTGGCGGTTATCGTTGCTGCAACAGCAATGACCCAGATCGCTCCACAGATTTTAGCTTTCACCAAAGCATCGTCATCGGCAGAAGAAATCTTCAAGACGATTGACCGACAGTCTGAGATCGATCCACTCAGTGAAGAAGGCCAGGTCCCCGCCGCTTGCTACGGGGACATACAAATCAAGGGCGTCAGCTTTGCGTATCCTGCTAGACCTGATGTCGCCGTCCTTTGCGATCTGCAATTGTCAGTCCCTGCTAATAAGACAACTGCGCTGGTAGGCGCAAGCGGATCCGGGAAATCCACCATCATTGGCCTACTAGAACGATGGTACAATTTTCCCAGTGGCACAATTCAGCTTGATGGAGTCGACATTCGACAACTCAATCCGCACTGGCTGAGAACCAACGTTCGTTTAGTACAGCAGGAGCCCGTACTTTTTGCAGGTACTGTGTACGACAATGTCGCATATGGTCTTTTTGGAACGCCCAAGGCCAATCTCCCAGCGGCCGAACAGCGCGCACTCGTGGAAAAGGCTTGCAAAGATGCTTTTGCTGAAGAATTCATCGAACGTTTGCCGAACGGTTACGATACTCAGCTCGGTGAGCGGGCGATGAATCTCTCTGGTGGACAAAAGCAAAGGCTCGCTATTGCGCGCAGCATCGTCTCTGAACCCAGAGTCCTGCTGCTTGACGAAGCTACTAGTGCTTTGGACCCTAACGCTGAGAGAGTAGTACAGCAGGCGCTGGACCGGGTATCCAAGGATCGAACGACCATCGTCATTGCACACAAACTTTCTACGATTCGTAATGCAGACAACATAGCTGTCATGGCCAACGGAGCTGTGGTCGAACAGGGCACTCATGACGACCTACTCGCTCGAAACGGTGCATACTCTCGCCTTGTCAGGGCGCAAGACCTTGGCAACGTTGGTGCTAAAGATGATGACGAGGTTGATGAAAAGGAAGGCGCCGATGAGATGGAACTTGTCCGAACTCGAACGCAGGTATCTGGCGTCAGAGAACCTTCGAAAGAGCATACGAAGGATGGCATTCACTTCAACCTCATTCATTGCATCTGGATCATCTTCAGAGAGCAGAAGTGTCTTTACAAATGGTACCTGGTCCTCGGGTTAGCGACTTTAGCAGGAGGCGCGACATACCCTGCTCAAGCTGTCCTTTTCTCTCGAGTAGTCGAGGCTTTCCAATTAAGCCCTGAAAGGGGTACGGAGCAGGGCGACTTCTATTCATTGATGTTCTTCATTGTTGCGCTTGGCAATCTGTTTGTGTTTGCTGCTGTAGGCTGGGCGAGCAATATCGTTGCGCAAGTAAGTCAACCTCTCCGCAGCGCCAATCGCCACAGCTAACCTTCATTCAGCACGTATCGAGGCAGTATCGCCGTGAGATATTCGATCTAGTCTTGAAACAGGATATGGCTTTTTTCGATGATCCAGCCAATGCCAGCGGTGCGCTGGCTTCCAATCTCTCCTCTTATCCAACCAACATTTTGGAGACTATGGGTTTCAACGTCATGCTAATACTAATTAATATTGTTAATGTACTGTCAAGTTCCATTTTGGCTATAGCGATCGGTTGGAAACTTGGCTTGGTGGTTGTCTTCGGAGGTTTGTACTTTCCAAAACTCAGCAGGGCTTCGCACTAACTTTCGTGTCACAGCTCTACCGCCACTTGTGTCTTCTGGCTACGTTCGAATTAGGCTTGAGTTCAAACTCGAGGAAGACACTGGCAGGAGGTTCGCTAGTAGCGCGGCGTTGGCTGCCGAGGCAGTGTCTGCTATCCGCACAGTCTCCAGTCTAGCACTAGAGAACTATATCCTCGCCCAGTATCAGGAGCGCTTAAACGGAGTCGCCCTACGGTCGATCAAAGCCCTTGTTTGGACGATGTTCTGGTATGCCCTTTCGCAATCGATTTCCTTCCTAGCGATGGCACTTGGTTTCTGGTACGGCGGTCGTTTGATCAGCTACTACGAGTATACCACAACACAATTCTTCACTGTTTTCATAGCGGTCATCTTCTCGGGAGAAGCTGCCGCCGCGTTTTTCTCGTACACCACAAGTCTGACCAAGACAACGACCGCTGCCAACTACATCTTTTGGCTGCGTCGTTTGCAGCCTGCTGTGCAGGAAGACGCGTCGAAACCACCCTTCGATGATGGCAGCGACAAAGGTCCAACACATATCGAAGTACAAGACGTTGACTTTGCCTACGAATCTCGACCGCATGCTAAGGTTCTCGAGGGGGTCGATGTTGATGTAAGTCACATAGCTGTAACTGTTAAGAGTAGTCGCTAACTAAGACAGGTGCGCCCTAGTCAGTTCATCGCATTTGTAGGTGCAAGTGGCTGCGGCAAGTCAACAATGATCGCACTCCTCGAACGGTTCTATGATCCAAGCTCTGGAGGCATACTGTGCGATGGTGTTGCTGTACCTGATTTATGTCCTCGCAAGTACAGAAGGGAGATTGCCCTTGTACAACAAGAGCCTGTTCTGTATCAGGGATCCATTCGTGATAATATCGCCATGGGAGTCGAAACAGAAGTCACTGACACTCAAGTTCAGGATGCAGCGGAGCAGTCCAACATTCTCGACTTCATCAGATCCTTACCTGAAGGCTTCTCAACCCTGTGCGGTAATAGAGGCACGCAGCTCAGCGGTGGCCAGAGACAACGTATTGCAATTGCACGCGCGCTTATACGCCAACCGCGTCTGCTGCTTCTGGACGAAGCGACATCTGCACTCGACACAGAATCTGAAAAGGTCGTCCAGGCTGCACTTCATAAAGCAAAGAGCGGTCGCACGACCATTGCGGTTGCTCATCGTCTGAGCACCATCAAGGACGCCGATTGTATTATTGTATTTGCAAGAGGAAAGATCATTGAGAAAGGATCACACAGGGACCTGCTTGCGAAACGCGGAGTGTACTATGAGATGAGCCTCGGGCAGAGCTTCGACAAGCAGATACCAAGCTAAAGTTTATACAACAGATAGCAAGAACAGATAGCAAGGATCTACATGATGTCAGTCTCGACTCAAGGCTTGACACAGCAATGCTCCATAGTACCTGCCCACGTCGCATGTCGCCAAGTAACGTCACATGAACTTGCCTAGGTACCCTTGGTGGCTTGCATAGTCGTGCGGGTGTACCAACCCCGGACGATGCTGATGCATATGTATGAGCAACTCAGCCTCCGCATTGTAATTTCAGTGGACGAACACGTTCGGAGTGCCACAGTTGCGGTCGGCTTCGTAGTCTCTTGAACGGATGTTCAATAGCCGTGATCGATACCAACATGGTTAGCGTAGAAATCCAGAAGAACTCAACGCAGACCAGTACACCTCCGAACACCGTCATCACGACCAGCGTCGCATCTGAAGGCAATGATTACCGGTTGACGCTGCGCAACACTCGTTGCAAGACTACGGGACAATGTGCATACGACTCCAAAGTCAGCAGTTACTCTTGCACGCGTGTAACTCTCACGGCCAACGCTTCTTAGAGATGAAGCACCGAATCTTAGCGAGAGCAGCACTTCTTACGCGACACCTGTCGCTCTTTGCCAGCCATTGTATGACCGTCCTGTTCCCGCTAATACGCCCCCTGAAAGCGATGTGACGGCTATTGTGCCTCACCTTCGCTTCGTCTTGCGCCAAGACGTTTCAGACACCGCTTCGGCCAATCACGTAAAGTCTGTATCTTCAACGAGGCCGTTACACACCATGCTACAGGCCATTGTACATGGTACCCGCTGCTACCTATGTCTTGCTCTCACGGCAATCGTGTTGGCTACCTTTCGGCCTCAGTCCTTAGTTTCAATAATGTCGATCTTAGCTCCAAACTCGAGCACCTGTTTCGCGGGCTGCCTCTCTGGGTCGTTGTTTGATGACGGCACTCCCCAGCAGTACGGGGGCTGGAGACAATGCGTGAATGAGGAGTAGATCCGGGCGGCAAACTCCCAAGACTGTCAACCTGCATCTAAAGCATTGGCAGCCCCAGACCCTCGATCCTTTCTCCTACCTTCGTTCTCGCCTCAGCTGGCAATATCACTTCGTTCCGTTGATCGGGCTCGCTTTCCGTTTGTTGTCCTGGAGACTTTCTTTCTTACTAGCACACATTGGCTTGTGGTGCTACTTGTGCAAATAATCTCATAATACAGTCATCATCATCGTCTGCTTCCGTCGTCATGGGACGGTATCAACTTCGGCGGCCTACACCCATCCAAATCTTTGCGACACGCTTAAAGCGACAAGAAGCTGGCCTTGGGGCAGTCGGTCCTGGCAGCGAAGAAGAAGAAGGTCCAGAGAGCCCGGACTCACCTGGAAGCAGCCCGTCGACCACAGGTGCACCATCTCCTGCCAGTAGCGTGGGGCCTGAGAAAGATGAACCACCTTCACTGCAAGAGAGTAATACGAGTAGCTTAGGTCAAGCATCGTCAATCTTGGTACCCATATCCACATCAACGTTCAGTTCATCGTTGCCACCCAGTTCAAGTTCTCGACCAACACCTGCTGTGTCAAGTACGCCTCCAAGCCAATTACCTTCCAGCGCATCGACCCAACCCTCGTCTAGTTCCACAACAACGGCGCCTTTGCCAGCGTTCACGCAGACACCAACGTCGCGAGGTATCGGCGCCGTTGCGCCACCGCAAGCCACGAGTCCAACAACAGCTACGAGTCCAACAACAACTACGAGCCCAACAACAGCGACGAGGTCAACAACAGCGACGAGGTCAACAACATTAACGGCGGTCACTTCGATTCGACCGACTTCTACCACAACGTCCAGCTCTCCAACTTCTTCCACCTCCCCAGTTTCGCAAATCTTTTCCACCAGAGTAGCTCGACCAACCCAACCAGTCACTAGTTCAGTCTCAACATCACGACCAACATTCACTGGCGTGCCAGTCGGGGAAACTGATCCTCCACGACGAACACGACCTCAGCCCACACTAATGAGCAAAGGCGCCGAGGCAGCTGCAATAACTCTTAGCATCATTGGTACGCTTAGAAATGTAGCCTTTTCATCGACATCCACTGACTTTACGCAGGTGCCGTAGCACTCGCAGTATGCGTTCTCTTCTACTGCAAACGCCGTCGCCGTAGACGCAACGAAAAGCTTGAAGCAGAGCTAGAGCGCGACGCGGCTAACTATGCCGCTGCTGTACGCGCCCCAGACACAGCGCACGTCAAGAGCTCCATCGCGCCGTTTGCAAGTAGTCTCCCGCACATGACCCAGTCATCAGAAAGCAACACCCTCTTTGGCCCTGGTTCCTACTCGCGCCCGGAAACCGTCTCGACACGCAATGGCTCACGGATCCGGCAAACGGCAAATCCTTTTGCAGACCCGCCTCTCAACAAAGCGTACGATGTACTTGCCGGTCGGCCACGGTCGACCACGCTCACGGACCGTGGGAGCTGGGTCAAAAACCCGTTCAAGAACCCCGAGAGTGAGCGCTTTGATCCGTTTGGCGAGTTGCAGGCAAAGGCACGAAGGGAGCGTGTGAAGCAAGTTGAGCTGGCGAGGCAGGAGGCTGAGCTAGAACGGCAATTTGAAGCGAAGGAGAAGATGGGCCTCATGCCGCCTGAGATGGCGAAGGATCGGAAGGGGAGTGGAGTCACGCTGGAAGGATTAGGGGTGTTGGATCGCAGCGGTGGGGGCAATTATCGCTGAGAACATGTAGTGTGGCTGACAGTAATCTACGCATTATAACACGAACATTTCCCTCAGAACAGAAATTCGTTCCCGTAACAAAAGAGTGTGCTGATCTCATGGTGATATAAGCCAAGGAAAAGTCAGCTCTCATGTTGTAGGACAAACGATGTGAGCCAAGTATTCTACCACGCAACAGCAGAGTAGGGAAAATGCAAGAAAAGTCTATAAAACACTTTCTTGTCTACAACTTAGCTAACCCTAGACTAAGCTATAGCTTCAAATGGTATAAGAGCTACAAGTTCTGTGTTGAAATTGGTGAGCCTTGATGGGTGCGTATCTACCGTTTTCCCTGAAATGTGAGAGACCGACCCATATGAAGTAGGTTTGATCATATGGTCACGAAATGACACGACATGCGATGAGTGTGACTGAAATTGACTACAAATTCTGGGAAGGCCAAGAAGTATTAGTGCAACATGAGAACTGAGGACGAGTTAGGCGAAAGCAGGGGGAAAGCCTCACGCTCGGGGTGTTTGCCTCTTCGTATCGAATTTCGGATCAATAGCGTTCAAAACCCCGTCGTACTCAATCACAGCCTCTGTTTCTCCACCCTGTTCATCGACTAGCAACGCGTGATTGGCTTTGATAAGGTGCCACTCTTGCTCGTCAAACGTGGTTGGCTCACTCGCAACGATCGTGTGCTTGCCAATCTTCTCGTCCTGGTCTAACACGGCTTCTTCGTTGGCTAACTCCTTACCATCCGGATTTCCTGGGTACTTCGTATTCAAAGTACGCCCTGCAAACTCGGACCAGTACAGACTAGGGGGCTGCTGGGTGGCGTGGTTGCGGAAACGGATAGCGAGTAGTTTCGTTCCATCGGTAGTACAGAAGTTGAGAGAATTCGGTGTGTTAGAGGCGCCCAGCCTGTCATGCTGAAGTTGGAGGATCTGCACAACGGTTTTGCGCATAGCGGTGAACATGGCCTTGAGAGGGTATGATTTTTCCCACGTTGACTTGTCCCCATGATTGGTCAGGTTTGTGATGTAGAGGGCTGCACCGTGCTCGGAATCTGTAGAGCCAAAAATGTTGCAGTACGCATCAAAAGATAGTAGATCTGTCAGGTCACGCCGGATGGCAGAGAAGTTGGAAATGACTCCGTTGTGCATGAAGACGTGACGGCCAAACACGAAGGGATGGGAGTTCACTTGGGTTACCACACTGCCGCTGCTTGCTCGGATATGAGCGAAGACACAATTTGTCTCGGTGTTTTCGCACAAAGATTTGAAGTTGAAGTCGTTGATTGGGGGGCTCTGAGACTTGTACAGTGCTGGACGGAGACCGGTTACGTGCTTAATGTATGACGATGATGCTTCTGTGTACCCTAGATCCATACAGTGAGATTAGAGTTACGTTGAGAGTCAAAACATAGGTAGGAGTTCAAGACCAACGTATCTTCTGGCTGGATAAGAGTCACGTACAAGCAATGCCAAGCCCGTCCATATTCAACAGCGAGTTGCGCATGCGCAAAAGCTCGTCCGAAGTGTGGTCCAGTTCTTTCTCATCGCCGTGAGGAAGTAGTTTAGGAAGATAGTGTTCGGAACACTGCTTGCTGATGCTGTTCGCAGGTGATATTAGGACATCTGACAAGAGGCATGGCTCTGTCGGCGAAATGTATGCAAACCAACGACACATCTTCAGAGGATGTCGAAATGTTCTTCGTCGAGTAAGAGCTATGAACAGAGTCGACGCGAAAGGTTCCCTAGTCAAAGGCTGGCTTTATGTCTCGCAGGTGGTGCTAGTGATGGTGCGGGGATGTACGACCTTGTACGTGTTGTTGATTAATAGGCCAGGTGTACGCTGCAAGCTAAGAACACAGCAGATGCATAGGATACGAGCGACGATAATGGTGAGAAGATGCTGCATGAAAGGCCTGCGATAGGTGTGATGGTGGTTCGGTGGGTATTGCTGTGAACTCGGCGGGGCAAGCGGGGCCGCCGCTCCCGTCCAGGCTGGCGCGGACATCCGCCCCTCCTCCATCTTTGAAGGTTCGAGCAGTACAGAAGGTATTGGTAACTACTAAGGCATTCACGAATTCTGATAGGTAAGCCGTACTCGCCCGGGGTAAATGCAAGTTGCTATCGTGCCGGAAGGATGAGATGCCTGTAAATCTTCCGGCATCCTGGCATTGCGGATGAACTATATAAACATGTATTGTTGTCAACTTCACAGACGATCTGGTGATCTAGCACTTGTCACTTGTCGAAGCCCCCAAAATTCCAGCAGGACATTCAATGGCGGAACCCAATCAACCGCTCAAAGTCACTGTAGTAGGCGCAGGTATAGGTGAGGCCCGTCTTGCATCTTAAATTGATGGAACTCACGCCACATAGGCGGTCTTTCGGCGGCGATAGCCTTACGCAACACTGGCCATGCTGTCACAGTGTACGAAAAATACGCTTCGGCCTTCACAAGTACGACCTTGCCACTGTCAAATGCCATCTCAACGGGTGCCAACATCCTCCGTATCATCGACAGATGGGGATTTGATTTTGCGAAAGCCAGGGCGGGCGTCAACTTGCAGGAAAGGATCTTCCATGGCGAGACCATGGAACAGATGCACCACATCGACTTCAAGTACAACCGCGAAGAATTCGGTTACGACTGGTTGATGATGCGCAGGCAGGCGCTGCATGAAGGCTTGCTGGAAATCGCAACAAATACCTCACACGACCAGGTGCCAATTTCCGTCCGGTTGGGTCAAGAAGCAATCGCACTTGACTGTGAGCATGGAAGGCTGACGTTCAAAGATGGAGAAGAGGTTGTTAGTGACCTGGTAGTCATAGCAGACGGAGTGCACAGCAAGCTCGTTGACGCTATCACCGACAACACAACTCCTCCCCTACAGGCTGGTCGTACGGCGTATCGCTTCATGGTACCGCGCGAGAAGATCATGGCTGATCCGGACTTACGAGCTGTGTATGAGAACGAGGAAGAGGGATTCTCGTACTACCAGATTCCCGAGAAGAGGATCTATTTCCTTGTCGCACAGTCTGATGAGGGCGAATCGTTCTATTGTCTACTTCTACATCCGGCCGTAGAGACGAACATGGATGCGATCGGAAAATGGAGTGTGGCAGGGTCGAGAGCCGAATTGGAGCTGCTGACCGAAGGCTTCCATCCGGTTGTCAAGAAGCTGTGCGAGCTGGCAGCAACTCCGCTGCTCTGGACAATTTGCTGTCGTGAGCCATTAGTATCGTGTGTCAAAGGTAAAACAGTCGCGATTGGAGATGCCTGTCATCCACATCTGCCTCATCATGGACAAGGAGCTGCAGCAGCAGCAGAAGATGCAGCATCTCTCGGAGTGTTTCTCTCTGGAGCCCAAAGACCTATTACACCGTATGCTGTTCCGACAGTCTTGCAACAATGGGAATCTTTCAGGATGCCGCGAGTAAGGGCAATCCAACTCATGACGATTGCTTTCCCTATGCCGATCGAAGAGCTGGAGCCCAGAATACGTGCATCGGGCTACAACGGCGCATTGCCTGCGAACGTCGATGGGCACGAGAAGACAATAACGCGTTGGTTCTATGAGTATAATGTGGTAGCAGAGGCAAGTGCGTATGATGAAAGATTGCGCGTTTAGGAAAGGGGACCAACGAAACGCAGACCAAAACACGCTCGAAAAGCGTGTCTTTGCTGACGACGGAACAATTGACAAGAACGACAACAAATGTAGGGTTCGCTGTGAATTGAACGAAAAGCAAGTATCAATCAACATAGCAGCCAATAAGTGATGTTCGGGGATGACCTCGCCGAGCCGTCTGCCCAGGCTGTGGTTAAGCCACAAGATAAGAAGCTATCACTGGCAGTATCTTGATTACGCGACGTCGTTGCGTGGAGACTTCACACGTGTAGAATAGTGGCATGAGGAATAGACATAGCACACTTGACTTGTCCGTCGGAAAACGTGAGGCAGGCATGTATAGATAAGAAAGTGCGGCTCCGCGTTGGCTCTCCTTCTATCTGGTCGACTTGAACAGATCCAGCTATCTTTACCAGGAGATTGCGGAGATTCGGGACTATGGCAGCCTCAACCTACGACCGAAATGCATACCCGATTCGGGCATCGGATTCGGAGATCCCGCCCAAAAATGCGGAGAAGTAGCGGCTGCATAAAGGCGCTGTTAGCGTACCCGTGAGGCGCTCGAGATATCCCAGGTATCAGGGTAGTCCAAACTATGTGTGTAAATCGACAGCCAAGGTTTGCGAGGAGGCTCATCGACCCAGAGCCGCGCCCATGGGCTGCCAGTCAGTGACAAAAGCAATTGCTCGAATTATGAAGGCTGACGCTAGCAGCAGGGGAACCATCAACAAGCTTTACGCCCAGCGTGACCTCTTGCAAGGGAAAAATAGGTACTGCGATGTGGTTTTCGTGCAGTATTTGCACTTTCAAGATGATGAATAGTTGTTAGAACACAATCATCCCTAGATCACCGCGACAGTCGCGGAGTGCTGCCCCACAAAGAGATCACGGAATAAACGGTGTAGGCTACGGCTGCTCATCCGAACTCCGGGTCACCTCCCGTGTGCACAAAAGCCTGACCAGCCCCAGACGTGCTGCTCGACTCCGTTTCACTTCTCTTCACTTGATCTTATCATGTTGTACATTTGACGTGACACCTTGTCGGCCGTTCAGTCTAGATCTGCGAGCGCTATTGAGCCACTTATATGCATCGGATAAACAGTGGCTAGAGGGCAACAGCAGCCGATTTGCCTCCAAAGACGTGGAAAACAAGCACCAGATTGCGATCAATGCAACTTGCTCACAATGATACTCACACTGATGCTTACACTAATGCTCGCAGGAAATCGAGATACGGCGTTATCGGATCCGGCACTTAAGTGCAGTTGATAGAGAGCCGGAAACATCGCTAGCGGCCTTCAGCATGTTGCACCAACGAACCGCATTGCGACAGACCGAAATCGACTTGGTTCGCGCGATCCACGCACATGCGGCAAAGTCGACCGAGGCCTACAAAGGACGCAAATGTTATCGAGGGCAAAGTATACAGAGCAAAACCGCAAATGATCGCAGGCAGATGCAAAATGTCCGGCACGCGAGTCGAAGATTGCATCCCTGCCACTCATTCTTGGCTTTGAGCCGGGATAATTGGCGGCTGAGCCGCTCGATGCTGTAACCTGATATATTTTCCGAAAATGTCGAAAGGATGCATTGGATGTCAACAAGGTTAATGGATACTGCCGTCACAACACCGACTGACGTCCTTCGAGGGTTGTGTTCTGAGCAAGCATCAGGCGACCTCTTTCTGTCAAAACATGCGGGATTCAGGACCCTGGGTACGCTTGCACGGCCAGGCAGACTCCAGCCCTTTTGGTGGTCAGGTGTGACAAATGGCTCGCTAAAGCTGACGATCCATCAGCGCCTTCGAATTGTAACTGATACGCCTCGTTGACCAAGAGCATGTGTGGCCATTTGCGCGTGGCGGAGATGCCAGTCGAAGCGTGGACATTCACTGGAGCAATCCCAGTAACATCGATCGTGGTGCGGCCCTGACCCACGCGCGATTTGATCCAGACGCCTTCCATTTCTTTGACGGTAGACTGTTTTCGTTTACGATTGCAACGAGGCAAATGCATCTTCCAGGCCGCCTGGCTAAGCCACAGCCACTCCATGGTGCCTTCGAATGCACGACCTTGATTCGATGTGGAGACACAACGAGCGGGGTCCCACGCATCTCCGGGGTTGTGAAAACTCTGTGCCGCTGCCGACGATCCATGCCCAGCTCCATGGTACAAATCCACTACTCTGATTTCAGCTAGCTGGCTCCGTCTGCCCAGAAGTGCACTTAACCATTTCCGAACCCTAGTCGCATGCTTCGCTCACCATCAACCGGATCCACCAGACAGGGCGCTGGAGAGATAACCCGCGCCTACTTTTCGTATAAAGTCTGTGCCAATCACCCAGAGCGACGGAGTTGGTAAAGTGGTACGCAGCTTTCACTCTGCGATACAGCCTACTTCACGTCCACTGCTATCAGTGCGACTCTATTATAGCTTCGGCTCCGTCATCCACTCGACTTGAAGTCGATTACCTTGCCGCATTCAGACCAGAGCAACACTCTCTCCCACGCGACATAGATTACTACCAAAGCGACAAATCCTCAAGCGACTTTAATCTCCAGCAACACTGCCTGTGCGACAACCTCCCTTGCAGCCATGACTACCGCGGAGAAGAAGTACTCCGGCGAGTTCGTCCACGAAACGTACAACGGCCACGATGATATCCAACACGGGACGGTGACTGACAACTCCGACGACCTCCAACGCCATCTCGGTAATCGCCAAATTCAGCTCATCGCTATCGGTGGATCCATTGGTACAGCGCTGTTCGTCAGTATCGGCGGTGCCCTCAACAAGGGTGGTCCTCTCGGCATGTTGATCGCGTACACTGGGTATTCGTGCATAATTGCGCTTGTGAACAACGCTATGGCTGAGATGGCTACTTATATGCCTGTAAGCGGAGGGTTCGTTCGAATGGCTGGTAAATGGGTCGATGAGGCTTTCGGTATATCATGTCCAGTGCAATGAAACTTGTCTTTTGTACTAACCTTCACACAGGCTTCATGGCTGGCTGGAATTTTTTCCTGTACGAGGCGCTTCTCATCCCCTTCGAGATCACTGCGCTCAACATCGTCTTGAAGTACTGGAGAGACGATATCCCTGCTGCGGCTGTTTGCGCTGCTGTCATTGTGCTCTACGCCGCCTGCAACATCTTAGCTGTCAAGGCATATGGCGAGGCTGAATTCTGGCTCTCCGGAGGCAAAGTCATTCTGATTCTCATTCTGTACTCGTTTACGTTCATCACAGTAAGCAGTTTTGCACGCTCAGCTGGCAGTTGTACGAAACTAACAAACTCCAGATGGTTGGTGGCAACCCTCAGAAAGATGCCTACGGGTTCCGGCATTGGCGTGATCCTGGAGTATTCGGCACTCTTTACACCACTGGCGATCTAGGGCGTTTTGAGGGCTTCCTCGGAGCTCTCTGGGCGGCTTCTTTCTGCATTGTCGGCCCTGAGTACATCTCCATGGTATCCGGTGAGGCTAAGCGACCCCGTGTCTACATCAAGAACGCCTTCAAGACTGTCTACTTCCGTTTTGGCGCCTTCTTCATTCTTGGAGCCCTCTGCGTTGGCGTTGTGCTTCCCTACAACGACCCCACCCTTGTTGACGTCCTCACGTCCGGTGAGAGCAGCGCAGCCGCCTCTCCCTACGTCATCGCCATGAGCAACCTAGGAATCTCTGGTCTCCCTCATCTGGTCAACGCTTTGTTGATCACCAGTATCTTCTCCGCTGGTAACACCTACACATACTGCGCTACTCGCAGTCTGTACTCGCTTGCGATCGAAGGCCGCGCACCCAGATTCCTGCGCAAGTGCACCAAGAACGGTGTTCCTATCTACTGCTTCTTTGTTGTCATGATCTTCCCGTTCCTGTCATTCTTGCAACTATCGGACGACTCCGCGAAGGTCTTGAACATGTTGGTCAACATCGTCACAGCTGGTGGAGTGATGAACTTCATCATCATGTGCATAACGTATCTTTGCTTCTATCGCGCATGCAAAGCTCAGGGTTTCAACCGTCAGACTCTCCCCTACACCGGCTACCTTCAACCTTGGGGCACCATCGTGGCTCTGATTTTCTTGACCTGCGTTCTCGGCGCATATGGTTACTCAACATTTTTGCCTGGCAAGTTCACGATTGAGGGCCTGTTCACCTACTACACATTGGTCTTTCTTGCGCCCATCACCTTCACTTTCTGGAAGCTCGTCAAGAGGACCAGGTGGCTCCGACCCCACGAGGTCGACCTTGTCTGGGACGCCCCTGTCATCGATATCTACGAGGCTTCGTTTATCACCCCCCCTGTTGGCTTCTGGACTGAGATGCTTCAGCTGGTTGGCTTCAAGCGTCACGTGCCTGTCGACAAGCGGGCAGAGGCCTAAGCTTTTCGCGAATTTTCGCAATGCGCTGCTTTGATCATGATCTAACGTAGTCAGCCTTACGCATGCGTGTGCATGTTGGCTCCATATTGAATCAATACCCATTCACTCAGCTTCCAATCCAGCGCTCGATCCCGTGAAGGAAGGCTCTTCTGCTATTACCCTTGCGACAAGCAGAAGAGACCTGAATATTTGCAACAAATTGCAAACTCATGGCCCAATCAGTCCGGATACGATTCTAACGCTTTCGAATCAAACACTCCCATTGCAACAACTACATTTCTACCCTAGCGACAATCTGTTTTGTTATCCTGCGATTGGTTCATAGCAATTGTCTTCGACCACAGAAGATAAACGACACTGTCCGGCCCCAGACCCCAGAGCAGTTATGGACAAGTGGACATCGGTCTACCATGAAGCAAAACATTCATCTGTATCACAAGAAGGCAAAGTTGGAGTCAGGCGCTTTGCACGTGCGTAGCACCAAACCTGCCGGACTTTTAGGTGCTTGTAGCCGCGGCTAAAGCGGTGGACGAAGTTGCGACTCTCAACAGTTCAGCCCAGTAATCTCGCGTACAGGATCGAGCACTCGAGGTTTAAAGACGGTTGACACACTTGCACAGAAGAGTGGGGCCGTCATGCTACGCAGGCCCACCAGCCAAGATAAGCAGTCCACCGGTTTTGTCCCTTGGGTCCCTGCTAATTCAGGCACACTGCTGGCTCCATGCTGGCTCCATTGATTTGGACCCTTCCACGCTGTCACAAAGATAAGGAAATTGACATAGTTAAAGCACAAATACCCTGCAGGTGGGAGCATCACCGCATCAGTGCACTGCAAGCCTCACCAAGATTCAGCATCCGTTGACCTTGGCATAGATCACGACAACCTTGCATACGGATCCCATCAGCCGCTGACGTCGCTCGACATCTCCACTCCGCCGCCGCCGCCGCGCTCCTACCATGCGTGTATCATTGGATACCTTTCACACCGACTGCAGTTCCAAACCGTATTATTGTGTGACATGTGGGCCTACGGTAAGCTTGAACATGTGCCGTGCCCAGCTTTCGGATTGCCCCATGGGCACTGGGTTTCGGAGTTGACCGACTTACGTAAAGCGCCATCCACGTGCGACTTTCGCGCCCACCAATCAATAGAGCCCAGATGCTGGGCTGACGTCTTGAACGGCTTTGCTTTCCGAGCGGGAACACTTGAGCAAGGCTTCGAATGCTTGCCTGTACGACCATGATAGCGATGATGTATGCGGCAGCATGAATTGAACGCGAAACATAGTGCACGAAATGCATGCCGGAAAGAGTTGTACGCCGAGGCCGGGCCGATGAGCAACTCGGTGGCCTGAGATCTGGGGTCTGGGGAAGTGGAGGTTGATGGGTGCTCAATCGAGGATTATATTGCTCAAAGCAGCGATGATAGACCTGTTATCGCGAGCTGGGCATCTCGTGCATTTCAGCGTCCTGCCAGCCATTGCTCTGCTTCCTATCTCCGCCTCAAACGCGTCTTACCTCGATTCAGCCGCAAAGCCCACACGCCATCCACAGCGATGATTATGAAGAAAGAAAAGACCAGACTTCCACCGAATACCAGACTGTGATAAGTCCAAGCGTCTCCTGCGTCCAGATCGACAACCTGACACACAATCGCCCATGGCAGCACATACAGAATATTTGAAGCCAGCGACTGGTACAGGTACCATCTTGGTCGAGTCGACACGAGAATGGCGGCCAGTTGCGTCGAGATTCCATAAAGGATGTAACACCAATCGATCGTGCGCCACATACGCGCTGCGATCTTTGCTACCTTCTCCGATCCGGACAGATAGCGAGCAAAAGGCTCCGCGCCTAAGAACGACATCAACAAACAGAGTGGAACCTCGAAGACGAGAACAATGCCAATGGAGTAGAAAGCCCATCGAACGATGCGCCATAGCTGTCGAGAAGGGAGATGTGGTTGGACACTATCGTTGAGGTAATCCAGACTTGCGCGCACTTGGCCCCAAGAATGACCGATGAAGGTAAGCGTTGTAGCTTCAAGAGCTGATATTGGAACCATGATGAGTCCCCATCGGATTGTCGAAAATACGCCCCATGCGGTCGCGTAGTCGCTGCCGAGACCGACGATACCGTGTACCAGCCAGAGGTACAGGGCGTTGCGGATTGCAGACTCGGTAAAGAAGATAAAGCCAGGCTTGAAAAGCGTGCGAAGCGGTGAAAGAGATGGCTTAAGGTTACCGTGGGTGATGTCCTGATGGATAGCTGACCTTTTACTAATACTGGTTGTATAGATAAAATAAGCCAGGCCTGCAAACGCCGAAGTGAGATTGCAAGCAAGCGAGATGCCAGCCTGCATGTTGACCGTGGGTGTGATGCTTCCGACGTGGAAGTTCGAGATGATGATCAAGTCCAGGATGATATTGACAGCAAATTTGACTGAACTGATGACGAGTGGCACGTCTGGCTTGTCGAGCGCGCGTGTCGATGCGTTGACTGAGTATTCGATCGCAGAGCTGAAGGCGGAAAAAGCCGATATGCGGACGTAAGTTACGCTCACATCCCGCACCTCTATTGGGACAAACCCATTCGCGAACGTTGAAGCACCTCCAACGAAGCCTATGCTCATGATGAAGCCGAGAACAGATTGGAAGAGGATGAGCGTGTGCGCAAGCTGCACTCTTTCACCGAAAGTGCGACTGCTCTTGTCGCCGATAATTAGATACGAGGCACGTGGTAGACCTTCATTGAGCACCTCAGCGACAACGCCAATGTAGGTGTAGGTATCGGTCGTAACGACCATCGAAGAGTCGATGTTGGCCACCCATAGCTTTGACAGTGTGCCATATAGTACTGGTAGCACGAAGGCGCACAGATTGAAGAGTAAAGCTCCAGAATAGCTGAACCCGTATGAGTAGAAGCTCCAGCCTTGGGCGATAGACTCACGTGTTTCGATGAAATGACGGCTTCAGATCTAGGAAAGTCCGCGCTTTGAAAGGCAAGCCATCATCATGATCAGCCTGGCTGCGCGACACATCGTAGTAGTCGTTAGTTGAGTCATGCGGTGAGTGCACAACGTGCAAGGTGTCGTCGATCTTGGAGGGAAGCATTTGGTAGTCACGATGGAGGGGTCGGGCGAGTCGCAAGGGTGACGTTGAAGTGCTCATTCCTATTGGGAGTTTGCCACCTTATCAGGTGGTCTTGGCAGCTCAGGCGAAGGCGCGCGACGACGGAGAGGGGAAGCATCAGCGATAGCGGACCGATGCAAGACCACGGCCCGGCCTGTTGTCAGCCGCATGCCTAGCCGTGAGTTTGTGAGCGGATGATCTACCAGTGTATGCTGATTGGAGGACCGACGAATGGTATCGTTAATCAAGCTCGCTTAGATCCCGATCGGTGAACGACAAGCAAGTGAACAACTTCAAGATCAGCCTTCAGCAGCTAAGTTGTTTTAATCCACCTTGAAAAGCAGGCTCTGCTTGTCATCTAAGAATAGAGGTGCGCCCTGAGAAGTAGGTGATTAAGACAGAGGTCAACTCGAAACTACTCCCCACCAGGAATACAAACACCGTTTCACACCTCGGCTTCCACACACAACTACAAAGTGTCAGGATGGCAAGTATAGAGTTTTTCCTTTGCGGTAGTCGCTCGTTTGACGAGAAGCTGGCCGGCTTATGAAGAACCTCAGACAACTAGGCAGAGAGAATCAGAGGTTTGGGGAATAGAGTATGCATTTGATTACGAACTTCTAAAGGTCTTCACAGAGAGACCAAATCTTCAAGACAAGCAGCAGAGAGTTCTCGTCGTAATTGTGCACGGTAAAGACACGCAAACGCCGTCTCGAAAGGGCTACAACGACGCAGGTAACCTCAGGTCTGACTGTTACCCAAACAACTTGAACCCACCCCGAACCTGCTTCTGAAACATTCCGCTCCCATCATACTTCGTCGACACCCGCCGCATCTCCGTCAGGCTCTCGTTCCCGTATCCAGCAAGTACTTCTTGCCAATCACCTGCATAATTCAGATACAGATGCTCGTCTCGTGCACCCTCTGCGTCAGCAATCCGGTCCAGGTCTCCTGTGAATTTTTTGATAGCTTGTCGCAGGCTTTCTGTGGCAGCAGGATCGTCGTATTGGAACGCGATGCCGATGTTGTAAAGATGATCCTCGGGGTGTAGGGCGGGATCGAAGCCTAGGCTGTTTGGTTTGGATGCTGGCGCAGCCGGGGGGACGGATTGGATGGACATGGCGATTGTGAGGTTTGCGGGACTGTAATCGGCAGTGAGTGCGCGGGACGTCTGTTTGAAGGATTCGTGGATCTTGGGGAGGATCAAGGGCGTTATGGAGAATGTGGTGGTGGACCAGTCCATGCTAAGGTGCCGGTCTTGTTAGCGGCTTATATCAAAACAGCAGGTGAAGGTTGGAACAGCAGGACTCACTAATAGCTCTGGGTGATTGTTTCTGCTCCTTCCCCGGCAAAATCTCCCGGAGACGCAAGACGTATAGAGTTGTAAATTTGTGGTTGAATATCGGCGAATGTCTGTAGCGAACTGACATTGACATTGTCAGGTTGAGAGTGGTACATGGCAATCTGAGCCATGTATGAATCCTTTGCAGAGTCATACAGAAAGCCAAATGTAAACATAACATTTGGGTTGTACTTTCCTGGAGCTTTGAGTGCTGTAAGCGTTTCAAGCAGTTCCACGTCGGTGGAATTGGGATAGAGGATAACACCTCCCCACATCGGGCCTTGGGCAAATGTTTCCAAGTCGAAGCGCGTGACGATACCGAAGTTATTCAGACCCCCTTTTAAAGCGGCGAAAAGGTCAGAGTAGGATGTCGCGTTCGCGTTGACGATGGCTCCTGAGGAGAGGACAACTTCAAAATTGACAACTGAGTCACACGCCCAGCCTCTCTGTGTAGAGAAGAAGCTGATACCTCCTGCAGATTCGGTCAGTTGGCCACAAATCTATTCGTAAGTGTGTGAGAATGTTACCTCCAGTCAAATAACCGCCCACTCCGACGGCACCATTTCGCCCACCTTGAATGGATATATTGTAGGGATCCAGAACAGCATATACGCTCTGCCATCTTGCACCCGGACCGACGGAGACGACTTCTGAGGGCGTCTGGAGTTGGATTTCATTCATGTTACTCAGATCTATGGTGATACCGTCCTCGATATCTGCAAAGCCTGGCAGCGCGTCAGAATTTGATGGCGGCATTCGCCTAACATACATACCAATGTTGGTATTGTGTCCTCCGCTTCGAACAGCAAATTGAACAGTGCTAAATTTGCTCAAGGTTTTGACAATAGTAGCAACATCGGTCGTGGTTTTCGGCCTCGCAATGCAAGTGGGCCGTAGCCGGGTTCCAATATACTCGTATGAGGCAATTGACTCTTCATAGTTCTTGTTGTCATGGAAAAAGATTTGCCCTGGAAGGCTCAAAAACAGTTGTACACATGCGTGTGCCGTGTTGACGCTGTGTGCTCTTGCTCCGAATATCGAGAGGGAGAGTGTGAGTAGAATCGTTTGCGTCAGTGCCATGACGGTGGTGTAGAAATAAGTGAGTGGTGTTTGAATATGGTGACTTGCGTTGGCGGTATATATACTGTTACACTGACTTGGCAGAATCGTTGGCACGTTGACTCGGAATGTGGGCAACGGTCAGTCTCATACGATCAGCCCAAGACTTCGGAATGTAAGGAAAAGGGATGTATCAAAGGACCATAAGTTATTCTCTGGACTCATGAAGGCGCTGATTGTATTGGGGCTACCTTTCACCTTTCGCACTCCATGATCGTCTAAGGCTACACACGTCAGTCACTATCACCCCCATCCCCCGGATGAATCAACTGCTCAACCTCCTTCTTTATTTTTCTGATATCAGTATTCCAACCCTTAAGCTGCACGTTCCCAACGACAGGGCCACGGGCATCTTTCAGATTGCCGAGCTCCGTCTGAAGGTTTTTCAAAAGACCTTGCAATTTATTCAGGATCCGGTTCTGGTCGGTGTAAGCTACTCGTTCGTCGATTTGGGCTCTCTGTTCGTTGTGGGCCATGGCACCACCATAGTAGGGGTCTTCCATGAAGCCCCAGCTCCTACGTCTTCCATCACGAGTGAAAGTTACGTATCTTCCATTGCCGTAGATATCTCGATGGCCTCCGGGAATGAACTCCGTGTACATGTTTATTGATTGGTTGATTTGTATGTCTGGAAATGTGAGCTAATTAGATGGTATGAGAAGAGGTGTTGGGGAGGCGAGTATTTATACTGCAGTGGTGGATGCAGCGGTATCAGCCAGCACGGGCGGACAACTATGCTTTCGCTGAACTGGCGGGTGGCTCAGAAGCGTTGGTGGAAGGGTTTGTAGTGTTCAAGGCTTTTCTGTGATGCAATCTCGCGCGGAGGCTGCTGGCTGTGCTCACCAACACACATTATCATTGCTCTGCACCTAAACTCATGTAAAAATGATTCCACCATCAATGACGATGGTCTGACCCGTCATGTAGTCGCTGTCTCTGCTTGACAAGAAGCTTACCGTGCTTGACACGTCCTCGGGCACACTAGTTCTGCCGAGCGCAATCAGCTCGTTTGTGTATTTCTTGATGGTGTCGCCCTTCTTTGCTCCTGTCTTTTCTCCCAGCTTCTCGTCGATAAGGTCCCACATCGCTGTACCGACAATGCCAGGTGCATAGGCGTTGACGGTGATCTTGTGTTCGGCCATTTCCATAGCGAAGGCTTGCGTCATACCTCGAACAGCCCATTTGGAGGCGCTGTAGTGGGAAAGCAGGGCGAAAGGCTTGAATGCGACAATAGATGCTGCTCCAAGGAGCTTGCCGCCGGAGCCTTGCGAGATCATTTGCTCAGCACCAGCTTTGTAGCAGTTGAATACTCCATTCACTGGGTCACGAATTAGCGAAACATGGTACTATGGAAGCAGATGAAACTCACCGTTAACCTCGAACATCCTCTTGAAGTCTTGCTCGGTCAGATCCAGTAGAGCCTTCACTTGCGCAATGCCCGCATTCGCAATCATAGTGTTCAGAGGTCCTAGTTCCGAAACAGATGCCTTCACCATCTCTTGCACTTCTTTGAGATTCGACACATCCGCTGTAAATGCGAAGGCCTTCCGGCCAATGCTCTCCACTTCCTTGACCACTTCATCGCAACCAGCTTTGTTCGCCGCAATATCGTTGATGCACACGTCGTAGCCGTCGTTTGCCAGACGAAGAGCTATGGCTTTGCCACTAACGATCGTCAGTCCGTTTGCCAGGTTTGTTTGTCGAGCTTGTCATCTCACATTCCACGCGATGATCCCGTCACAATCGCCGTCCTGCTCCCCGCTGTCGGTGTAGCGTAGTTGCGTACCCATCGTGGCGCCAGGGTTGAGCTCCGAGACAAGGTCGTAATCTTGACTGGCGCTCGCCAGACAGTTTTTGCCGGTAGACGAAAAGACATGTCAAGTGTACAATGTGCTATGCTAGGGAATTGAAACGGATTGAAGCTACAACCTAGGCTTGGACGAGTAGGTAGGGAGAGCAGAGAGAAAGCAGAATCAGGTCATTATGAAACTATGCCAATAGCGTAGAGCTACCCCTCTCGCGTCTCCAAGTCGGCTGCGTACATTGAAGCTCAAGTGGCTTGTCGGGATAAGGTAACCCGGGACGCGAGTTGAGTTTTGGATGAGATGACACGCTCGTGTCGACTCCAGCAGCAGAGCGGCATTGTTCCGCGGATCCCACAGCCGATGCTCTCATGATGTTGGTCCCAGACCGGATGAAGCTGGTCGCGGGAACATGGAAGGGCAAGAGTGCGGCGGCGATGCGGAGGTGTAACGAGCCTTCCCTTTTTAGTTATAGTTCCCTCTCGGAAACGTGAACGTGCAGGCGCGTGCTGCAGCATCATCAACAACTGAACAACAACGCGCATCGCCTACTAATTCATTGACAGCATGTCTCGACAAAGCATGGCGCCGAATCGCAACCTGTCGCTGACAGAGGAATTGGAGAAACTAGAGCAGTCGATCACACTCACGCTTCAAGGTAAACAAACCCTAGAATACCCCACCAACGCAATTGACACGAGTAGAAATCGACCAGAACTTCAGCCGCGCGCATCGCATCGTGACCACAGGAATACTTCCAATTGTAGAGCACTATGGAAAGCACTCTGAGGCGGTTTGGGAGGGCTCAAAGGCACGCGCCCCTCAAGCACCTTTCACTCTGGCCGAATGCTGACTTTTGTCAGTTTTGGAAGCAGTTCTTCGAAGCCAGCGCAAACGTGTCGCTATCCGGGTACGAAGCTCCTCAAGACGACTCGATTACGCAGGACGACACACAGCAAGAGGAGACATACGAGGATGAAGAGACCGAGACTGGATATGTGACCAGGGAGGGAGCTACCACCCCTCAACGCCCGGCCTCGTCTCACGGCGAATTGGATGAAACCATGACGCTCGACTCTCCTTCCATGGGTCACAGCACGCCTGGATTACCACAATCGCTCAGAAAGGGCAGACATGGAGACGGCGACGAATTGGACGCCGATGAGGAGGTGCCTCAGTTCGCCGGGCTCTCGTCGCCATACGAAGCTCTACGACAAGAGCTCGATATCGGACCTTCAGGATCTAGGACACCGAGATTTGACCCCGTCACACCTGGCAAGTCACAAGCGCTCCCAGAAATGATGGGCTTCGACTCCTCGCCCTTCGTCCAGCCCACGACATCGAAGAAGACGCACTTCAACCAGGACCCGCTCATGCACCGCGTCCTAGATAAGACATTCCGTGTGCAGGCCACACCGCTCATCAGTCCCCGGAAGTACAAGCCGACTGGTGCCTTTACTCCAGGCACTGCGCAGCGTGCTGCGCCAACACCTCGTGGCGCCGCAGCTAACTCGAGGATACCCAAGTGGGACGATTCATCGCCACCTTCATCTCCTGCGCCTCAGCTGCGTGCCGACATCTTCTCACCCATGAAAACACCCCGCACACCGGGTGTGAGTGTGCAGACACCAGCAAAGGGCAAAACGCCTATGAGTGTGGGGAGGGACTATGTTGATTATAGCGACGACGACGAGCTTGACTTCAGCCCACCCAAGACGATTCAATTTCACGTACCACAGACGAAGTTATTACAGACACCCGGTATGTAACTCATCAATACTCACCACGGCATTGCTAACATTGGCGCAGCACGAGAAGCAAGCAGGCGCATCGTCGACGATCTGTTGATGACTGCCGGCGGCGACTTCACAGACACAACAGGTGGGATGGAAGATGACAGTCCGAGCGTGGTCAGACGTCAGGTTGATCTGGACGATAGCTTTTAGGCGCTACAAGGAAGTCGTTGCATGCTATGTTGGACTTGTTGTTTAGACTCGCGATACCCACAATACGATATCAGAAAAATGCCTTATCGATAGAGATTCAGCAAGACTCGTATCGCGTATTCTACGTAACTCTGAACACGTCGCTGAGCGACGACTAGCATGTGACAGCCGCGACTTCTCCACTAGCCGGGGCGTAGCGCGACCTATTGGTTGGGGACCCGCGACAGCTCCAGCGTCATTCCCTAGTAATTCTAGCTTCATCAGTCCATCAGTGCCTTGCTCCAAGGGCCAGATGTCCTCGTCTTTCCAAACGCACACATTCGTTCCCTCACTATGCCGAAAGACAGAAGACCGCCAACGTCAGGGTATGCTCGAATAGCACAGGCCGAGGAGGAAGAGGACTCCGACGCCGCATCCGAGGACGGGTTCCATCAAAACTCGCTGCCGAACGGACCATATGCCCCCATACAGCCATCACGAGGCTCGCGCATGCGCATGCCTGGTGATTCCGCGCCGGGATCCCCGAATGCACGTCGAACACCCGCCGGCCGGCGACACCGATCAAATTCAGGCGTCGACATCAAAGCCATAAACGCTCGCTTTGAACGATGGGCAGACGAGATTGCGCAGAAGTTTAAATTCAAGAAGCAGGCAGAGGGACCCGATGACGAGCAGCTCGAGATCCACCATTCCGTCTTCCAGGCACCTGACGGCGTGCGACCAGCAACGGCAGAGTCGCTGCAATTCGACTACGATGGAGCTGGCTCGCCGGAGCGCATAACAGAGCTACAATTCGATGACATAGTGGAGAGCGTGCGGACGGCAATTGAGATGGACATGCACCCGTTGCTCATCACACAGGGCAGCTCAGGTAGCTACTTTGCGCGCAATACACAGGGCAAGGTCGTGGGTGTCTTCAAGCCCAAGGACGAGGAGCCATACGCGTCACGGAATCCCAAGTGGACAAAGTGGATACATCGCAACTTATTTCCCTTCTTCTTTGGACGCGCCTGTCTCATCCCCAATCTGAGCTACATCTCCGAAGCCGCCGCATACGTTCTCGATACCCAGCTGCGAACAAACATCGTACCCTATACAGACATCGTTGATCTCTCCTCAAAGTCATTTTACTATGACTTCTGGGAGAGACGTGCATTCTACAAAAAGGGAAAGCCCTTTCCTGAGAAGCCTGGCAGCTTCCAGGTCTTTTTGAAGGGGTTCAAGGATGCGAACATCTTTCTGAAGGAGAATCCATGGCCCGATCTACATGCTTCGAACTTAAACGCTGCATCTCGTAAGAAGAGGAGACGATGGACTGAGGATTGCAGACCGACCGGGCCGCTGTCTGACAACGAAGACGATGAGGAGCGAACAGGTACACCAGACCACCCGCATCGACGAGGCTTTTGGACACCTACGTTGCAACAATCGTTTAGAGAGCAGCTGGAGAAGCTCGTCATCCTCGACTATATTATGCGCAATACGGATAGAGGGCTGGACAACTGGATGATCAAGATCGACCAGAAGACACAAGAAGCAACGATAGTTGCGGAACCGCCAAAGCTAAGCGAAGAGGATGTAGATGAGGATATTCCTAGCCAGTATACACAGCAGTCGATGTCAGAGTTGGACCCTTACGGACGCAGAGAGCCTATGAGGGCTTCTAGTCGCTCTAACACACCCATGCAGAATGGCCCTACGCCAGGGATTACGCTCGGCGCCATCGACAACAGCTTGTCGTGGCCATGGAAGCATCCCGATGCCGTGAGTAACCCGCTTAACCTCAACAGAGTAGGAACTGACCTTGCGACAGTGGCGCAGCTATCCTTTCGGGTGGCTATTCCTGCCTGTTTCCCTAATCGGCCAACCCTTCTCCGAGGCCACTCGCAAGCACTTCCTCCCTCTTCTTACATCGAAACAATGGTGGAGCGATACACAGTCGGCGCTAAGGAAGTGCTTCTCTCGAGACGCAGACTTCAAAGAGCGAATGTATGCCAAACAGATTGCGGTTATGAAGGGACAAGCTTGGAACGTGGTGGAAACACTCAAGACGCCTGATCATGGTCCCTTGGAGCTTACACGGCGAGCACGTGTGTGCGTCTGGGACGACATTGTTGAGATTCCGATTGCAGTTCCATTACGTGCACCCTCAGCGGAGATGCGACGTAAACAGCAGCCAAGTAAACACCTAAGATTCGACGAGGAGCACGAAGAGATGGACATTACAGCACTCCACACCCCGCCACAAAAACCGCAGCCAGATCTTCTGATGAACTCACCTCCCCTCGACTCGGCGCACGAAAACCGCTTCAACCTTACCCGCAACTCTTCGTCGTTCGATGCTCGGCGCAATGATCGCTTCAACAACAGCAACGGCCCGACGTCACCCGCAACGGTCAATGATGTACCGTGGGCGAGTCGGAAGGCACCTGAGTCCAACGGTAGGCCTGCGCACCGTTCCCGCATGAGCCACGAAATTCCCCGTCGTGACAGTGGCAGGCGTCACCGTCGTTTCTCCCTCAATCTACGCAGAGACGACTATGATGAAGATGAGGGCGATTTAGGTTACGCAGCGAATGAGGACATGGAGGGCAACCGCAAGAAGGTCATCGTAGAGCGGCTTGAGATGGTGAAGGGCAGAAACCCGGTGTTCACGTGGTGTTGATGAAGATGTCAATGACGATACTTGATATGGATATGAAGGAAGGGATGCAATTTGCATAGCGGGCGTTGGATTCGGCGTTTTGCATGATGGCGTTGGGTCGATGCAACCTTGTAGCAACATCATACGCTGTTGTAGTAGCACATACACTTCGAGGCAGCGAACGACTCGCCTCCTAGTCAGAAAATACCGCGGTACAGCTTCACCACCATCAAGCGCGTGCCGAAACGGCGAAAGATTCGTGAGGTCTGGCGTTCCGATTCAGGTTGGTGTGAACGCCTCTAGGATTTCGTGGGTGCAGCCTCGGGCAGGTGCAAAGATCAGTACGTCATGTGGTCTCTCCGGCAGGCAGAAACGTGTGGGTCCGTGTGGCTAGTGCCATCTTCAACAGAACGTGAAAGTCGACCATGTACATCTAGAACCTTTATCTCAGCTTGCTGAAGCGCACAATCTCGCCCAACATGCATCTGTGAAACGGGCGCCTCGATGCACAGTATCCCGAGCCGCGATATGAACCCCAGGAGCAAACGACCGGACCCTCTGCCTTCACTTGCTCGGCCCCCAGATCTAAGTGGCGCGTGACCTTGTACCTCACCGCGCCGACGCCAGGGATCAGCGCGCAACAATCAATCTTGTCAGCTTTAGAACGATCTGCTGTGCTCAACACAGTCTCGTATATTCATCTGGAACATCCCCCGAAGATTGTTTGTCCAGCGGCAACCAGACGACTTCTTGGCATCTTGATGCTGGATGCGCTGAGCATCGAAGCGTCGCAGAAAGAGCTAGGATCTGGTCGTCGGATTCGCTGAGACCGTCGCGCACTCTCTCACCTAGCGATACCGTTTGTTGTACACTATGAATCCCGCTCTATTACTTGACCCCCGTGGGGCGCGCAAGAAAGGTAACCTTTTACTTCTTCTTCCACCCTCTCCTACTCTTCCACTGACCTCTACCTGATTATCAATTTTCAACTCCCGTCACCTACTATGCACTCTGACGGCATTGATCTTGACATGGGCGACGAGCCGCTGTACGGCGCTGAGGCACTTTCATCATCGCTCGCCGTGCAGCAGTGGATCGACGAGTCAAACGACCGTGCCAATGACTACTTCGATCAGTCGACAGACGATGACCTGTTTCCTGAAACCAAGCTAACGACGCATTCATCAGGTGAAGAAGCCACTCAACAGCACCAGACGTCCGCGACTCCTCATTTTGACCCTGCCGCGTTGCTCAACCCAAAGTCATCGTCAAAGCGGCCAGCATCTTCTTCAGGGACAAGCGAATCCAGCCACACCCAGTCCAGTAGCCTCGGTCAGGTGTCGCTAGTGGAGCGCCTGCACAATGTCGAAGAGCGCGCCGCGTCACCAGCCAAACGTGTGAAGACGGTTGAGGAACAGCAGCGCAAGAAGAAGCCTTTAAATGGTGTACACTTTGGAGGCAGCGGTTCCCTGGATCTCGCCAACAACAGCCAAAATCCTGTACCTCTACCTGCCCAAGTCGATCTTACAATGAGTATGTGCTTATGTCTTACGCTTGGCTTCAATACTCGACTGATACTGACTGTTCACAGGCGACGATGACGAGATTGAAGTTGTGCAGGACAACATGTCGCAGATGATCTGCATTGGCAAGGTTGAGCAGACGTATATCATGATGCACACTGTACCATTTCCCGACCCGAAGAAGTACACAGGCAACAGCGGAGCGCAGGGGAGGATCAAAGTCGCTTTCCGGAGAGCCGGTCAACGCAACGACCTCACTGTTTTCGTCACAGACGCTGTGGGCAAAGAGTTTGGTAAGATCGACACCAAGACTGCACATGCTATTGTTCCGCTCATCGACAGTGCTAAGAGTAGCGGCCTGATGTGGGTGGCATGGACAGATCCAAGGAAGCGTCAAAACGAACCCGCAACGCCTGGCTCCTCGCACCATGCCCTTATCTCAATGACTCTACAGTTGTATTGCCCGCGCAGGCATGCTCACGGTATTGGCAAGTTCTTAAAGAACAAGAACACAAAGTTGACACGGCCATCATGGGAGCTGGAGAAGTATAACTACTTCAATCCACAAACGCAGGAGACCGCCACGCGGCTTCAGCTACAGCACCCAACTACTGGTCCGCATGGCAATCCACGATATGCACCGGCTATACCTACAACCAACTACGTTTTGCGCAGCGTTGATGAGATCCGCGACGATGTCCAGAACGTTTTCGACTCTGTTGTTGGCAGCTCGGAAGAAGTGCCGACACGCGAACCGTCCTCGCATATCAAGACCGAACTCTACCCTCACCAAAAACAAGCTCTGCACTTCATGTGGAGCAGGGAGCAAGAGCTTACTGGCGAGGAGACAGACAAAGCTGATCCACTATGGAAGCCACATTATCTCGATAATGGTCGCAAAAAGTACATCCATGTTATCACCGGGGAGGAGCAGGAAATTAGAGAGAAGTCCTGTCGAGGCGGCATCCTTGCAGACGAGATGGGCCTGGGCAAGACCCTCAGCATCCTATCCCTTGTTGCCGACGAGTCTTCGATTGCAGATTCCCGAGACTTCGCAACAAAAAAGCCGCCCCGAATTCAAGTTGGCACACCAGCCATTCAACCCGTGTTCAACAGCCGAGCCACGCTTCTTGTGTGCCCTCTTAGCACGATGACGAATTGGAAAGAGCAGATGAAGGACCACTTTCCTGCTGGCAGCGCGCTCAAATGGACCCGCTACCACGGCAGTGAGCGTTTTGATATGAAAGCGAGCGAGTTGGCGGATAACGATATTGTCGTCACCACCTATCACATCATCGCAAAGGACATGCTGGACAAGAGGCGGGCACTGCCCCATATTAACTGGTTCCGCATTGTATTGGACGAGGCCCATACTATCCGCAATCCAACTGCGCAGTCCAGGGCAACGATTGCGCTTCCTGGACAGCGGCGTTGGGCTGTCACTGGCACTCCTGTCCAGAACCGTCTTGAGGTAAGTCTGCAGACTCGCGACTACATAATCTTATACTAAATTGACACGCAGGATCTTGGTGCGTTGTTCAGCTTCATACAGCTCAAGCCTTTCGATAGAACCTACGGCTTCAACCTATACATCCTCAGTCCATTTAAAGCTGCCGATCCAGAAGTCGTGCCGAAACTGCAGCTTCTAGTCAGCACAGTCACCATCCGCCGCACAAAAGAAATTATCAAGAACGAGGTACCGGCACGCCTTGATATGACAGTTAGGCTGAAGTTCTCCCGACCAGAGCAACAGCTTTACGACTGGTTTGAAAAAGATACACAACGCAAGGTCAATGCCGTTACCTCAGGCGAGAAGTTGGGAGGCAACTCATATGCACGTATCTTGACGGCTATTCTCAACCTGCGACTCATCTGCGCTCACGGTCGCGACCTTCTCAACGAAGATGCCCTGCGGACGACTGATGGCATGACGTCCGATCAGCCTATGGAGATTGACGATGAAGAAGAGGAGGCGCCATCGCTCACACGGCAGCAGGCTTACGAGATGTTGGACATGCTTGGACAGACTAGTGCAGATCTGTGCGCGTATTGTCACAAATCCGTCTTCAACGACGTCGACACTGATGACGAGGACGAGGACGGCGAACCTCCAAACCTGATCGGACACATGACTTCGTGCTATCATGTCGTTTGTCCGAAGCACACCAAGAGGCTGAGGACGGATTTCATCAATAACAAGCTTGATAATGGCATGGTCAAGTGTCACTTCTGTGAAGACAAGGTCAAGCAGTCTCTATTTGAGCTGAACCGCAGTGACTATCAAGACTTCTGCGACGAGCGCGAGAAGATGCGCAGGGATCCCAAACTCTCAAAGAAAATCAACACTTACGCCGGACCGCACACGAAGACACTGGCTCTGCTCAATGACCTTGCGGAGTTCCATCTTTGGAGCGAAAACAACCCTGATGAGCGCCCCATCAAGAGGTAGGAGAACGAACCGCCAGCACACAGCTCATATGCTAACACACAACAGCGTCGTCTTCTCCACCTGGACAACTCACCTTGACCTAATTGAGATCGCTCTCAAGAATCACTCACACGTCTACGTCCGCCTTGATGGGCGCATGACCCGCGAGGCACGCGACAAATCAATGCGCGTCTTTCGTGAAGACCCTTCTGTGCGCGTCATGCTCGTATCCATTGGCGCTGGCGGACTGGGTCTCAATCTGACCACTGCTAACAAGGTCTACATGATGGAGCCGCAGTTTAATCCTGCTGCTGAGGCACAGGCTGTCGACCGTGTGCATCGCTTGGGTCAAGACAGGGAGGTCACGATCAAGCGGTTCATCATGGAGCATAGCTTTGAGGAGAAGATGCTTGAGTTGCAGAACAAGAAGAAGGCGCTTGCTGATATCACGATGGCCCGGGAGAAGAGGAATAAGGGCGAGGATTCGAAAAGGAGGCTGGAGGAACTCAGGAGTCTGTTCAAATGAGCACAGACTTATGGGACGTCGGTCACTTTCACCTACTGTCGGGTGAAGACACATACAAGCATCTTGAATCATGGGGAAACACATCATTTTGGAAAAGGAGCATAGGCACAGATTCAAATTCTGCGCTTGGTCGGCTACTCTTGTGGTGCACTTGGAGTCTCGCGTTTGGTAGTGCGAGCAGTCATAGACTCAGTCGTCGAGAGTCAATATCACTTTGCATGGTGGGCACATCTATAGCAAGTATTCTGACGAATCAAGTTCGGCTACAGTTTTCCTTTTTCGAACGCCCAATGAGCGTCTTGGCCATTCGGACTGCGGTTGGTCTTTTATTTCTCGAAGCTAACAGAAAGTAGACGCAGCGGAGTGTAAGATTTCAATTGGCCCAGCGTACGGAAGCAGAGACCTGTATTTGTCGATCTATCTCACCACTCCGGGTCAACCTGCTTATAGAGCGTGTCGAACTCTCTCATGAGCGCGACACCATCGTCCATCCTCGGCCATTGCTTTCCCTCTGCCACAGTCTCTGGTCGCCCATTCTCAACCCATTCCGCGTACCGTTCATAAAGCCCGGCTACGCTCCTAACTGGCAGCGCATACTCTTTCTGCCACTCGGGCCAATCCCAATCAAGCCCTGTCGACTCATCGGTCGCATGATCGTGATGCATGATTGTGATAGGCCCATCGTTCGAAAAGCCGGCATGGATGTAGGGACCAGGTGCAGTGAGCTTCAGCTCGCCTTTCTCGCCATTGATCGTCCATACCAGACCTGGCTCCCCCTTGAACTGCGGACCGAGCCGGAAGGTAGTCTGGAGGCTGGCCCCGGGAGCAACGACGCCCTTGTTGTTCTGAAGGGTGCCGTGAACTGAGAGGTAGTCTGGCACATTCGACGCCACGCTCCCTGCTACCTGTCCATCTGCGCCGATAACGCCGAGCGAAGGCCTCTGGATTTGGCCGATGGTGTGGAAGTCAGCCCAGTCGCCGAGCACCTCGTGCACGTAACTAATGGTATGGCCGTAGTGGATGTTAATCACATGGCCTCCGATAGTGCGATCCGTGAAATACACCATGTTTTCTGGCACCTTGTCGCGCGGGACGAGGTTTCCAGCTGCGCGCACCTCGCTGTTAAGCACCTTGCCAATGACCCCAGATGCCAGAATCTCCTTAAGCCGCAGGGTCAGAGGCGCCACGTGACCTTGGAGACCTATAATGCTGTTGGGGTACGACTGACCCTGCGTTAGTGCGAGCGCCTTCTCCAGACTGTCCACCAGCGGCCATTCGATGTAGACGCCCTTGCCGGCGCGCACGCTGGGTTCAACTACGGTGTAGTGCACGTCGGCTCGTGTGTTGACAACGACAAGGTCAATGTCAGGGTCGGCAGCGAGCTTTTTGGGATCGCCGTATGTCTTTATGTCTGAGGACAAATTGAAGGTGCGCTTTGCTGCCTCGGCGGTTTCGATGGAGGAATTGAGCAGTGCAACAAGCTCATAATGCTGCTTACCTCGAGCAGAGAGTAGATATGGCAGGTGGGCGACTGCGGCCCAAGCAATTACTCCGGACGAAGAAAGGCCGACCAGGGCAACTCGAATAGGAGCCATGATGTGAGGCTGACATTCTAAGTGGGAGCGTGGTGGCTGCTTTTATATGTAGTTGTGCACATGATGCAGTGCAGTTTCTGACATCTTCGTGCGTCAGCAGCTCACAGATGATAATCTGCACTGCACGTCGCTTTTCAGGAAGGGTATACTGGTCGAGATATGGAGATCTCACGACGTCCTAACCTGGTTACGGCCGAGGGGTTCAACCAATCAGCGAACAGCAATCCCATTTGTCATATTTGCACATTACGAAGACTCGTGAAGCACGCAAGTCTCAATTTGTACAACAATCCACCACATTCGACTTTCTAGACACGATTCGTGAGATCCCAGAGACGGTTCCATCGTTATGCCCTTGTACGACATCGAATACGTCATCCCCATGACGGACAGCCAACAAGAAGCTTTAGCAAAGGCATTTACAGCAATCCATTGTACGCGGTTCCACACGCCATCCTTCTTCATCAACGTGCGCTTCACGGACGTATCCTCGCAGAAGGTCTACAGAGGTGGAGTACTCCGCTACTACAACCGAGCCATCCTACGGACTCGAGTTAGTGAGACCCGCACTCGTGAACAGTATGGCGAGCACTGTCGAGAGCTCATGAAAGCCTGGGATGAGATCCTGAGCTCTGAGATCATTGATAGCAAGCACGAGAAGACTTTAAGGACAGTCTGGATCATGGGAGCATTGACGACGGCGGTGGAAATGGGTTTCCAGCGACCCGCAGCCGGCGAGGAGATAGAGTGGCTGCAAAACAATAAAGCAGAGTTCGAGAAGTTGGCCGCGGAAGGTGACGAGGATATGCAGCAGCTCATGGTTGAACTGCAGACGCGCGACGATTTTGCGGCGGTTCTCCGCTAGACCTATAACATATAATAGACAACAGCTATCGTGTCAGCGCTGGGCATGCTGCCAAGATCTGCATGTCAGATTGGAGAGGGGTGCACTGTAGGATTTGGAAAGTGACCAGGGCTGCTGCCACTAATCTCACCTCGGCGGGTGGACCGCGTCTTCCCGTGATTAATATCAAGTCGCTAACGTACCTCTCCGTTACATCACAAAACAGCATGAGTGCACTCACTGTACTCCTGGGGGCACTGATTCCACTGTATATCGCTTACTCTATCTGGTCATGGCATCGCCTGTCACACATTCCGGGTCCATTCTGGGCAGCTTGGACCAAGTTCTGGATCATTCGCGAGTCGTATTTTGGGAGACAGCCTACAACCTTGAGGGATGTGACTGATCGGTATGGTGAGAGTTGAATTGTGCGAAGGTCTTCCAGCAAGATATTTACATCAGTCTAGGCACATTAGCACGCGTTGGCCCAAATGAACTTGTTACGAGCGACCCTGAACTTTTACGGAAGATTATGTCGGTCCGATCTGCGTACTCAAGAGGTCCATGTAAGGCTTAGATCTTGTGTGAGGTAGTGTTCTTACACGATCGAACAGGGTACGATGCGTGGAAGCTTGAGGCTGGAACACACAACCTGTTCTCTATGCGCGACGAGGTAGCACACACTAGTTTACGGAAGAAGATGACAGCTGGAGTGAGTTGAGTATGTTGTTGTTGATCTAGCAATTCAACTGACCTCATTAACAGTACTCTGGCAAGGAGAACGAATCCATGGAGCAGACCATAGAGATACAAGTTGCAAAACTCATTGAACTCATCAAGTCAAAGTACGTATCGAGTGCATCTAGCTATCGTTCGGTAGATCTAGCAGAAAAGCTCCAGTACTTGACGCTCGATGTCATTAGTGACCTCGCCTTTGGGAAGCCCCTTGGATACTTGCAACAAGACGCGGATCCCTATGACTACCTCCAGTCTATGGACGCGTCAATGCCAGTTCTTGCAGTCCTAGGCAACATACCGTGGCTCGCGGATCTATTCCACTCGCCGCTGCTCCGGCGGTTTCTGCCTTCGGAGCTAGATAAGGGCGGTTTTGGAGCTCTCATAGGGTATGTGGTGCGTACGCACTCCTTCTTTCCTCGTTGACATGCGTCCAGATTCTCCAAGCGGGTTGTCGCCGAACGCTTTGATGAAACTGCTGTGTCGCAGCCTGATATGCTAGGCTCGTTCATTCGACACGGACTCGATCAGAAAGCAGCGGCTGGAGAAGCACTTCTACAGGTTGTCGCAGGCACAGATACCACAGCTACTGGTCTCAAGATCATTATGATGCACATCATGACCAATCCTACGGTTTACAAAAGGCTTCAGGAGGAGATCGATAGCAGCGTTGCCAACGGTACTGTGTCGTCCCCCGTGAAAGATATCGAAGCGCGCCAAATGCCATATCTTCAAGCTGTCATCAAAGAAGGCCTGCGCATGAAGTCGCCAGCTGGTGGTGCTTTCTTCAAGACCGTACCATCAGGTGGTGACGTAATCAATGGTCTTTTCGTGCCTGCAGGCACGGAGATCGGTGTTTCGCATCTAAGTTTTCTCCACTCGAAGCAGATATTCGGAAGTGATGCCATGGTATTCAGGCCGGAACGCTGGCTTGAAGCTGATCCCGAGTATCTGACGAAGATGAATAGCGTAGTTGATCTCATCTTTCACGCCGGAAAGTACCAGTGTCTTGGGAAGTCCGTCGCTCTGATGGAATTCAACAAGCTCTTTGTCGAGCTCTTGAGGGCATTCGACTTTTCCATTGTCAACGTCGAAAAGCCTGCTCACGTCACGAATGCGGTGAGTTTTGATACCTATCTTTTCTAAGTTGAAGCTAATTCAGTCACATAGGGCGTCTGGCTTATCAAGGATTTCTGGGTGCGCATTTCGTTACGGTACTAAGTCGGCTCTCTTGTGTAGTGGATTCGGCAAGCTAGAGACGCCCGAAGGCTGAATTTATGAAGGCAGACAGATATTCGGCTAAGCTATCCTATCGTCATCTGAGACTCACGCCATGGTTGTTGCTGAGGTCAAAGGCTGAGCGGCTGGACTGCCTTGTCAGCCCGACGCGGGGCAGTGCAGAACGGGACCCGCTTGACCGTGTCCGTCACCCACCTTGAACTTTACCAACTACCCCAAAGATATCCACGAATTTCTCATCTTCCTGGGCACCTCATGTAATGTCACAGTCTGCTGACTTGTATACGAAGCTGCCATCGTATACGCCATCGACACGCTTACTTAGGGTTCAGCCTGCAATCGACCCTTCTGACGGCATCGAATGTGAACTTCTGGTGTACGATATAAGGCATGCACCATCGTACAGAGCTCTTTCGTATGCCTGGAAGGAGCATCGTGGTGTGGTCCAGGTTGATAGGGACGTAGCTCAGCAGCGAGAAGGTCGCCTCGAGATTATCGACGGGCCATTGTCGCGTATTTCACTCACTGTGTCTCCTAGTTTGACACTTGCAATCCGGCGATTGCGCTCGAGACACACTCCCCAATTCTTCTGGATTGATGCTGTGTGTATTAACCAGCAGGACGATGAGGAGCGTTCCATGCAGGTTGCTTTGATGGGAACCATATACGAGGGCGCCTCTGAAGTTGTCATATGGCTCGGCGAACGGGAAACTCAGGACGAGTTGGGTGAATGGCTTCAGGGCGCGTACTCCAGAACAGTTGTGAATCTTGACTTCAGTTCGGTCGAGGTAGCACGATCTCTTGTGAATCAGTACATTGCGGGCTTCAAAATGCTGCGAGATGAGTACAACGGACCCGTGGTCCAGAAGACCGATGTCTACGGAGCGTTCTGTCTCGTCTGGCTTCTGGCACAGGGCTACAATCCAAGCGATATCGTATTCTACCACAACAGCATGTTCAAGAATAGGTTCCGTATGGAGTGGGCAGCGCAGGTGTCGGAAGGGCTGAAGGCTATAATGGCGCGGGATTGGGTACGCTCAGATCTCTGGGAGTTGTGGATTCACTAACCCTCATCAGTGGCGTCGCGCTTGGGTAGTCCAAGAAACAGTCCTCGCGCGCAGAGCGACTGTTGTTTACGGGACGCTTTCCGCACCGTGGCTGATGTTTGCAGATGCAGCGATGAAGGTGTCGCAGCAGAAGTTTGGACAAGATGCCGAACAATTCTCGGTTTTGGGTCTGATTCCGAGTCTGGTCTTTCAGGTTCGTGTAGGCACTGCTGATGCACTTGATGACTTCTCGGCACTTGTGCTCGCCATAGAATACACGCGGGTAGAGCGAGATCACAAGGCTGCGGTACAATTGCTGTCCCTGCTGAGAAGATTCCGCACAAGAATGGCAACAGATGATCGGGACAAGATATTTGCTTTCCATGGACTGGCGACTGTGCAGACGAGTCGTCCACTCGCCATCAATTACACGATGTCCAAACGGGAGCTTTATATAGCTACTGCATCACATATCATCGAACAGACACGGTCCTTGTCTGTTCTCCGCGGCACCTTGGGGCATACTTCGTCGCCAGAAAGTCCTCCATCGACGAACACATTAGATAGAGCGTCCAAGACTGCGTACGGTACGACTCTGCGGCGATCGGAACTACCATCCTGGGTGACAGACTGGAGCAAACTGCCGACAGACGGCTCACTTGAGATAGACAGACTCGATCGGCTCGAGCACTACTCCGCAGGCGATGCTTACAGTGCTGTGCATATCTACAGCTCGGGCATACTAGAAACCAGAGGTTACGTTGTTGCTAAGGTGATTTCCGTGGCAGCCGAGATACCACAACCCACGCTTGAACGACTTCGACAGGCAATACGATCATGGTGCACGTGGTGGTCAAACCATACGCAGCAGGATGAAGCGTTCGACGACAACTCTGTCTTTTATACGGCTATGTGCGGGCACTTGTTGCACAACCCTCACGGAAGCTCGAATTCAGTTGTGGAACATAGCAATTATCGCAGGTCAGACGCGAGCGCCATCCTACAAGCCTGCAAGGTCTGGCTCACCGACACTACCACTCAGCGCAATCGGAAGACTGCCATGATCGGAGATCTTGTTGCAAACTCATACCAAGAACCAGTGGCTGTAACGAGGTTGAAGAACTCGTATTTCTACTCAGTACGCGCTGCAACGAGTTCGCGGCGACTGTTCACATTCCGGCGAAACAACGCATCGTTGAACGAACTGCCTCCAAAGACCGACATTGGAGTGGGTCCGTTGAACATTCAGGCTGGAGATATCATATACATACCTGACGGTAGTAAAGTCCCCCTGATTATCCGGAGAGCACCAACCGAGCCAGGACACACGTTTATGCCGGGTGCGCAGTCGTACGGCATATCTACACCTGAGCGCGGGGGAATCAACGTCGGTTCCGAAGCGCAGCTGTATCGTTTGATCGGGGATGCTTATGTGCACGGCTTCATGGACGGTGAGGCACTGTGGCGTTCATCCAAGGTCTCCGTCCTCTTTTGTTAGGAAGATTGAATAGGAGGTTTGTTTGTTGTGCATTTACAAGTAACTCCTTGCATATTGTCTTCATCTCCAATCTTGAGTATGTGCTCAATGAACTGTTTTTAGATTCGGGATACCAAGACATAGTTCTGTGCGTTCTCGTGAAGGACGCCAGCCAGCAACTTCTCTGTCGACAATGACAACAACACTTTTTCCAGCAGTGGGTATGATCCACCTCCTCAACTCGATATGAAAGTATACTAGGCCACAGTGAACTGGCCTAGAAGTTGAGCTTTGCTTACATGCGGCGAACACGTCATCCGGTCCTCTGTGCACTCCGCTCCTGATTGGAAGCACATTACAGTTGAGGTCTTCAGATCAACGTGTCCAACAACGAAGCGCAGAATAGATGGTTTGATAGGTTGCCGAGACTGATCCACATTCATAACAGGGTTTCGGGGCGCCTCAGAAGCGTCCAGCACCTGTGTGGCCAAGAGGTAAACCTTCAGTACGATCATCCGTGGACGTGCACAGGCTGAGCCATGCGAACACCTCTAAATGCCTCAGCAGACGCATATCAGATCTTTTCATCGCGTACAGGAGGCTAGAGATGGCAGTTCATCGCACTGTGGGCCAATCATGAGATATTCGGTGAGAGCGTGTTCGTGTTTGCGAAGAATCCGAGGAGGCTGCCTAGCCCAGTGCGTCATCGCAGGCGCATGGGCCGCAGCTCCGACCTCGCCGTCCTGCCTCCACCGTTAACGCCCACATTCGCTATTGCATGTTAGGCTGACTCCAGGAAACATGCTCTCGTGACGCAGCTCTCAGGACTGACACGCCTTGGCTTCATTGCGTGGCTTACCGCTCTTAGGCCCCCAAAGCGGGTCGCAGTCCGATCATACCAGACAGGTATCATGCCGCTCATAATGAGAGCAGCTACGAAAGCCTCACAGCAATGAGTTCTACACTAGCTCGATGGTGCAGAGGTGAGCTGCAGCTTCAGGAAAGAAGCCGATTGCCGGTCTCATGGGCGACTGCTCTTCCCGAGACCACAAGAAAAGCAAGCCCCTGGGAGGTGAACAACTTTCATCATTAACATTGGAAGATGGTCTGCGATTGATCTCGTTTCTCCGCTATATTACACATTGGAGTGGACGCGAATCAGAGTCAATGCTCTGGCGGCCAAACCGAGTACCTGACGAGCACAGTAGCTACAATGAACGCCAAACGGCCTGAGAGAAGATTGCAGTTACAACGACGTCTTCTAAGCCTTCTCGTCGTACGGGAAAATGGGCTCCTGTCCCATCGTCCCATCACAGTGCGAGCGGGCCAATCAGAACTTCAGTCTTGTGCCCAAAACATGTTAAGCGTGTCTGTATGAGTAGGGCTAGGTGAGTGAACAAGCGCAGAGTTGTCGCTTACTTCCTCGTGGACCAATCTGAAGGCTGGATTTACAGACCAGGCTGTGTTTGGGAAACAGTAAGCCAGGCGTACCACACCGCCACAACAGGGCACACTTGCGGCTAGATTTGTCCAAGTTAATCCACAGGCCAAGCAATGCTCACCAGTAAGGCCTAGCAATAGGAAATGCAGCTTCGATCATAGCGGCTGTGTTCGTCGTGACAGGTACATAAAGATGTCGGCCAGCCGGTTCTCTGTTCCACATCACCCGTGCGAACTTCACAGTATTGTCTTCTTTTTCTGTCAAGATGCTTGGAAAAGTACTTGCGTCCTCGCTTCTCGTCTCTTCTGCTCTGGCCTACCCAGCCGATACCACCCACCCCAACACGACTTTGGAATGGGCACCATGCGACCTTGATTTTCCTGCGTCGTCCAAGGAGGCCATAGCCAAGCATGCGGTGCCTCTTTTCTGCGCAACTCTATCTGTGCCTCTGGACTACACTGAGCCAGAGAACGGCAAGACTATCGACCTGCAGTTGATTAAGATTAAGGCAACCAAGGAGCCATTCAAGGGCAGCATCCTTACAAACCCAGGAGGTCCCGGCGGAAGTGGCGTAGAATTTGTCGCGATCGCGGGCCCAGAATATACTGCTCACCTGGGAGGATTCCACGATGTTATCGGATTTGACCCTCGGTAAGAAACCCCCTTCATGATGATTGGCAGCAAAAGCTAATGAGTGTAGCGGCACCGGGAGGACCATTCCCTTCGATTGCACCCCGTCCAACACGACGGCGTCCAAGGTCAAGCGTGGACAGTACAACTTCACAATCCCGCAGAATGACGCTTACGGCGAGCTTCAGAGGAAGCTCTGGGATGAGGGCGGTGTCTTTGCTGAAGATTGTGCCAATACGCCTGGTAATGCTGATATTGGCCCTTACATCGGGACAGCGTTCGTAGCACGCGACATGCTGTCGATCATTGACGCGCTCGGTGAAGAGAAGCTTCAATACTGGGGCATCTCCTACGGCACATTCCTTGGTCAGACGTTTGCTGGCATGTTCCCAGACCGCGTTGGACGTGTTCTGCTTGACAGTTCCTTCGATTTCGAAGACTACCACAACGGTCAATGGATCCCAGCGCTGCGTGATACAGAGCGTGCCATGGTAAACGGCTTCACGGAATGTGTCAATGCCGGCCCCACGCTGTGCCCTCTTGCAAATCTTACTGGCCCAGATACAACTGCGGACGACATACATAAGGAACTTGCGAAAGTCTTTCAAGAGCTCATTGATGAGCCTGTCTACTTTCCTGACGACTGGTCTCCTAAACAGTGGCTTCAGCCTGGCGGGATTCCCATTTTCACAGTGCTGAAATCGATGCTTCTAACGCTGTCGTATTCGGCCGTAGATCTCGGCTCGCTGTACCTGGCCGTGGAAATTGCGCTGCAGCGAGACTGGGAACGTGCAATCAGTGTGGCATCAGCGTTTCTCAATTCCACCTCGCCTGAGATCCCATGGAACCTCGGCTCCAACGCGTTCCACGGCATCGCGTGTGCAGACGGAGCGTTCCAAGCCGAAACGCCAGAAGATATGTATTCTTGGATTCAAGCACAGACTGCTGTCAGCACTTTTGGCGATACATTTGGTACGCAGATGTGGCCTTGTGCCCAGTGGAAGTTCGAAGCAAAGGAGCGCTATACCGGCCCATGGAACGCGATCAACACCAGCTACCCGATCTTGTTTATCAGTGGTTCCCATGATCCCATCACGCCGTTGAGCAGCGGCTATGAGGCCTCAGCAAACTTCCCTGGTAGTCGGATGTTGGTGCATAACGGCCATGGACACGCCGTCATGAATCATCCTTCGGCGTGCACAATCAAGGCGATTGCTGACTACTTCAACGAGGGCACGCTGCCGGGTGTTGGCACGGTGTGTCAGCCCGACAAGACGGCTTTCGAGGTTTACGTGGATTTCGTTGCCGAGTTGCAGGCCGAGGTGAACAGCACGCTCACAAAGCGGGCTTACCAAAATATTCGCACACCCGTTTTCGCGTAAGCTGAAGTCCGAGCCATGTAGATATAGTTGAGGCTTGTTTTCATTGTATTCAATAGGCCTTGTTCATAGATTACTTTTGGAAATAGTACATTGACTCTATTATATCATGTCCTAGCACAGCGCATCGAACTCATCACCGGGTCCATACACAGCTTGCGTGTTGTTCTCGAAGCCGAGCTTGACAAGTGTGTCCGCATTCGGATCATATTGAGCCCATGTAATGCCTTTCTCTGGATCCCGCGCAAAGGCTGCCCAAGCATCTTGAATGTACTTCGACGTCGCCGCCTCAGCAGGCGTGTCGGGCCCCAGAAGGTCGGAAGTGCCAAACACCATTGGAATGTCGGAAGAGTGGTAAGCTCCAAGCCATGGGAGGGGATTCAGGTTCGGCCATTCTCCGAAGTACCGAGTGCGCCATACGGGCACGTTGTACGTCTTTCGCGCACTATGTACGGATTAGCGTTGGAGAAGTCATATCACTGCTATTGACTTACAGAGCTCCCTTTGCACCAGGACAGGTAGCGATGTTGCGTGTGAAAGCGTCTACTGCAGTCTGGTTTGGTCCAGATGGAACGTAGGCAACCAGCGAAGCACCTTCATTGTTGACTTGTGCCAAGATGGTCGGGACTTTTGCGAACCGTCCGCGAAGCTGACGGTCGGTGTAGTTCGAGAAGCTCGTGATGTTGTCCGGCGATGGGTTGAATGATAGACCCCTGCCGCCGTTCGCAGTCGCGTTGTACTTGTTCAGTACCTCAATGATGGCGGTGGCGTTTGCTTTCTGCATACAGGAGAAGATCTCGTCATTACCGGTGTCCGTACATCCGACCTGGGAAGCAAGGTAGGTGAAGTTCGAGTTGGTTGGGTCATTGGAGGCGCCGCCTGATGATGTGCCTGACTGTGCAATGAAACCCTTGACAATCGGGTCTTCAGGGTAGGCATAGGCATATTTATCGACAGCCATACCTCCAGCTGATTGACCGAACAGGACCATGCGTTCTGGGTCTCCACCAAAGCCAGCGATATTGTTGTAGGTCCACTCAACTGCCTTGCGCTGATCAAGCAGACCGGGGTTGAGGTGCCTTCCGTCTAGTGCTGCAGCATTGGGGTATCCAAAGATGTTCAGTCGGTAGCTAGAGACTGGGTTAGTGGAGCTTACGCATTTCGACAGTAAACTTACTTGAGGGCTACCACAATAACATTCTGATCTTTCGCGAGACGATCTCCATACTTATAGGGACTCGCAGCTCCACCCGATGTAAACCCACCACCATGTATCCAAATCATAACTGGCAGCTTCTCGCTCGCTCGCTTCTTTGAGGGAGCCCAAACGTTCAGCGTCAGACAGTCCTCGCTCTGCACCTGGCCCGGAGTGAGAAGGAAGCCCTTGAGGTACTCCGAGTATACGGTCTTTTGGCCGTTGCTGTACTGTATGCAAGACGGGCCAAACCATGATCCATCGATTGTCTTGTTTGTGGCACTTTTGGTGACTGGTGGTCGGAACCGAAGTTCGCCAATTGGGGGTTCGGCGTACGGAATGTTGCCCCAGAAGGAAACATCAGTCGAGTTTGGCCATGCCACTCCTTGAACAGTGAAAGAGCCGGTATGTACCAAGAGCTCCTTATGCCCTCCGCTAGTCGGATGGCACTGAGCCAACGTCGACAAAAGAGCGATCAACTGAGACACCTTCAAGATCGACATTTTGACGGGATAAAGTGAACTGCCCAGGTCGAGGTCCGGACATCTTGGATTTATAGGTATGCAGAACAAGCTTCAAGACGTACCAGCATGATGCGGTAAACGTTCATCCTAACCTGGAGAATGTTTCTTCCACATGTCGAAATGAAGTTCATTGGGTTAGCGTTGAGCAGGCATTTCCGGGGCCCCGCATAACGAGTCATGTGGCGACTGGAGAACCTGCAGGAAACACCTCGGTAAGTCAGGAGACTTCCTCTTTCGAAGCCCTATGAAGAGCTTGACATCATTGCTTGACATGCTTGTGCATGTAGCGTGCGGTTGCTGATTTCCGAGCCGGTAGAAACATTTCCCATACAAAGGAACTCTGCTCGCAATAATTGAACCGAATGCCACCGAGCAAGAATTGTGATCACCAGGTACACAGCCTGTCGGAATCATCTCCCGTTTCCGTTTGTTGCAGAATGTCACCCTGCCTGCGTCATATCGTATCCTGCTTAGTTGAAGGTAGGGTATGGACTCGGTTGTATGCACATAGGTCTTCTCACGTTGTTTGCGATGCGTCTGCCAATGGCGATCGATCAAGGTCCAAATCTTGGAGCAGCCGGAGTGTGGGTTGAAGACGGAACCCCAACGTAGAGTAAGACAACAATATCTTGTCCAGAGGCAATGATTGGCCTTCTGTCGTGCTCCAGGCTACCAGATCAATGCCAGTTCAAAGCTTGTCTTGAAATATCATAGGGCCTCAATGGCCGGTTTCCCGAGCAAGGCGACAACACTCAACCTCGCGTATGAACACTACGAGAGTATCGAGTCACACGGTTGATGGAAATCTCTCTCGCGACGCTCAGACGCAAGGCGCCATCACGCTTTGAGGACATAGTGGGTCGGAGTCGGCGAGGAACATTTGCCAAAGTTGGACGACCAGGCCCTGGATTGGATGGGTGATGGCATTTCGAGGCTTCACCTTCGTTCCAGCAGGTAGGTGGATTGTCTTTCGAATCTGAGAGCGGCCCGCTGCTATCACGTCCATCAGACGAGAGCCATATACGATAAGCTTCTTCGTAGGATCGAGCGGATTTTCTGTAAGACACGAGGACGATAGCGAACGGACCGCCCAAAGGTCCTTACACAGAGCTTGTTTTTGCCCGTCATCAAACATTTGCCACGAGGTATGACGCCAATAAACCCGTAAGGCTGTAACCGACTGAGCTGTGTAATAGTCGCGTCGCGCGCAAAGTCATGACGCGAAACTTTTCGTTGTCAATTGGTGGATGAGAAAAGCGCAGCTGATTCAGCTCTCACGTGAAGCGCACTGACGCGCATTGACGCGCGACATCGGAATCTAGGGTTGTCTTCCTTGATAGGAGACAAATGGGATTGCTCAGCATCGCAGTTCACACAACACTGTAAGCTCGTTAGAACCGCAATTCCACACGGCCAGCTGCTGTTGATGCAGATTGCACGTGCGCCGTTGCCATTGGTAGCTTCCGCCACAGCAATCAACTTTCCCCTGAACATCGCAGCCCCAGGTCCTCTACTTCGCCTCCACGTGTGTTATCTCGAGCATATCTATGGATGATAGGCAGTATCCATCAGCCACTCTAGCGGCCCTCGCCGCTCAATCTCCGCTACAGCTCACCTTCCACATTGGGCGGGTTCCTCGGCGTTTCCTGGCCTATCAGACAATGCACGCGTCGTCGCGCGCCTCTCGCCAAGCGGCGGACAGCTTCGCACGACTCCGACGACTGATGCGCACCTGCTATCATTGGTAATGAGCTAGGTTCGCGGTGCAGATGCCAGGAACAAGTCAAGCGTGCGGGCAATGCTCGCAGCGATCCTGGTTCCTGGGCAGGATTTAGTTATGGCACACGGAAGGCGACCGCGGAGAGCCTTGTATAAGAACAAGGGCAGCTCGCCGTAGATCAATCGCGTTCGTGGACGAAGCGAATCAACACAATGGCTCCTCTAACGCGCCTGATCGCCCTTGCGGCCTCCCTTGCCGTCTCCTCTGCGACCACCATTGCTGAGATCAACGGCAACAAGTTCTTGTCGCCTCTCAAGGACCAGACCGTCTCAAACGTGACCGGTGTCGTTACGGCGAAGGGTCCTGATGGTCTCTGGATTCGTTCGACAACGCCCGACCGTGACGATCGCACCTCGGAATCCGTCTACGTCTTCGGGCGCACGTTTGGCGCCAACTTGACTGTTGGCGATGTCATCACCGTGGGGGGCAAGGTGCTCGAGTACCGCAGCAACAAGGACTACCTCTACCTGACGGAGCTTTCGACTCCAGTTCTGGAGAAGGTCGTCAGCAAGGGCAACAAAGTGACACCGCTGGTCATTGGCAAAGACACCGGCAGCCCGCCAACAGAGCAATACACCAGCTTGGACGGTGGCGATATCTTCGCAGTGCCGAACAACAAGTCGCAGATTAGCGTTGTAAACCCAACCCTCGAGCCGAAGAAATACGGTCTTGACTTCTGGGAGAGTCTGACTGGTGAGCTGGTGACGGTGAAGAAGGCGAGAGCGCTCACAAAGCCCAATTCGTTCGGCGACACTTGGGTTGCTGGAAGCTGGAAAGTCACTGGGACCAACGATCGTGACGGTCTGACCATGACCGATGGGGATTCCAACCCAGAAGCTATCATCGTCGGCACACCGCTCGATGGAACCAAGAACCCCACCGACACCCGCATGGGCGACAGTCTTGAGGAAATCACCGGCGTTGTCACCTACGCCTTCGGCTACTACCGTATCTTGCCCTCGACTGCTCTGAAGGTCACTGGTTCGAAGAAGCCACTGACCCCCAAGCCCACGAAACTCGAGTCCAAGAACGACTGCGGTGGTATCACCTTTGGCGCGTACAATGTTGAGAACTTGGCGCCAACCTCAGCCCACCTTCCTCATGTCGCCGAGCAGATTGTCGACTACCTGAAGAGCCCCGATGTTGTCTTCATCCAAGAAGTCCAGGACGATAACGGCGCTACAAACGACGCAGGTGAGTCCCAACAACCGAAGCCGAATCCTTTCCACCGCAATGCGCGGCCGGCATCACCTATATATCCATTGACCCCACACTAACAGAAGCCTAGTCGTATCCGCAAACTTAACGTTGACTACCCTTACCAAGGCCATTAGCGCCGCCGGAGGTCCGAATTACACCTTCGTCGACATCGCTCCGGTCGACGACAAGGACGGAGGTGCGCCTGGAGGCAACATCCGAGTGGCTTATCTCTACAAGTCTTCGCTTGTGCGCCTGTACAAGCCCAACCTGGGCGGCTCCTTGGACAAGACCGAAGTCATCGATGGCCCTGCTCTTAGCTTCAACCCAGGTCGTATTGAGCCTGCGAGCGAGGCATGGACTGCCAGCCGCAAGCCTCTTGTTGCGCAGTGGGAAGTCATTGGTAAGAAGGGCAAGAGCGCCGGCAACTTCTTCACCATCAACGTGCACTTCGGATCCAAGGGAGGCAGCAGCAGCATCATGGGCGACGCTCGCCCTCCTGTGAACGGAGGTATCGACGACAGGCTTGAACAGGCTACCCTGACTGCAAACTTCGTCAAGGTGAGTTCCAGAATACCCCAAGACTTCCAAGCCCGTACTTTGCGGGGAGGCTGCAGCTTGCGTGATGCATCGGTTTGAGCCGCGGCAGGACGCGACGCCACTTTCGCACGAAAGGACCATGCCTTAGCGACCCAACACAGAACAGGCGGCTAACAACTCGACAGGAAATCCTTGGCAAGAACAAGAACGCCCACATCATCACTGCTGGCGATTTCAACGAATTTACTTTTGTTGAGCCGATGAAGCAGTACATGCAGATCTCGGGGCTGAAGGACATGGATGCCGTGGCCGGCATCAACGAGCTGGAGCGCTACACGTACCTGTTTGATATGAACGCCCAGCAGCTCGACCACATGTTCATCTCCCCAAGCCTGACAAGCAAGGCTAAGTATGAGCATGTCCATCTGACCACGTGGGTCTCGTTTGCCGAGCAAGTTTCCGATCACGACCCAAGTGTCGCTCGGATGGACGTGTGCGTCTAGGTGGTGTAAGACATGTTGGAGGCACAACAGCCGCCGCAGTTCAACAGCATATAATAATAAATCACATTGCGCATTGACGCGAGCGAAAACTTACTGCACGAACATACATTGCGGGATGCCTTACCAAATGCCTGAAGAAACGTCTGGCCGTGAGTACATGCCCCTGCGTGGTGCGCGTCTCAACTGCATCCTTCTGCTCCCGCGTCAGTCACACAATCTTGCGAGATTGCGGCACAGCGAGATCCTTTTACCCCAGAGCCCGTGCACGCGGGTGGACTGTTGTTTCGGTTTCAGTCATCTCGCGAGATGACAGCCCTTGTGTTGACGACAAACAAATAATCGCGAACAGATCGGTAAAAGGTCCGTGAGAGGCTGCCCATGAGTTTCGCTTGGTCCGCTCACCGGCAAATATATGGCTGCAGCTAACTATGCGTCTGACAAGTCAAGGTTCTCAGGGCCGCCCTGTGCTTGTAAGCGCGCAGGACAGTCAGAGCAGAATATTGATATCAATGCAGAGCGAAATACAACAATTTCCGTTCCTGGAGTGTGGCTTGTGTCGTGTCGCCTGCTGTGTCTCAAGGTTGCCTGCCGCTTCCAGAACAAAAGTGCGTGTCATCATAGGTCACGTTAAGATTTCCTAACGGCGACTACAGATCCAGACACCGGGCTCGCAACGCTCGCTGATCCGATCCCTCATCTGCGGTCGACCGGCCGAGCGGATTCACCGCCGTCACAGCAGACGACAAGACTGCCATGGCGTGCGTCCAAGGCGCGTCCCCACGCGACGAGGCGCTTTAGTTATGCTACCGGCACATGGCGGATCGGCTGGTGCACTGACTAGTCGGCGCTTGGAACACTGAATCGGAGTCTTGGGGGCGGAGGTGAGGCTTGGGATCGGTAGTTGAATTAGTGGACGATTCTTGTCTTTGGAATGTCGGAGCACGACTGGCTCGGGGCGGCGCGAAAATGTATGACAAACCGAGCGACGAGACAGGCCCAGCACGCAAGCACACAGGTTGGCAGCATAATCGGTGGTAAGCGGACTTGCGATGCATACCAAGGCCGACGGCGGCCACGTGTGGTATCTGCAACTGCAAAGAACCCACATTCCAGGTTCCATGGCCTTCGTGTTGCACGTATCACGGTCGCACTGATAGCTTACCGACGGCTGCACTCCCATGCTACCCGTGCGGTAGCAATAGTTGCAATCAGTAGGTCCCCCGAAGTACATGCATCAGTACGCGTTGGCAGTGTAGAAACAGCAACAGGGGTAGGTAATTGCTGCACCCAAAACAAGACAGGCGACGTTTGAAAAGCCGCGGATCAGCGTTCCCTTTGTCCTGACCATAGGCGCCATGGCCGATATGCGAGCGAATCGCAGCGAGGTAGGGCTCCTTTTACCCGATGGCTCCGCTTACCTGGGCGCCCGTCAGCGGTGGCTTTGTTTACGAGCCCCTGCCCGAGCTTGACCACCTGCGCTTAGCAAGGTTACCTTTCCGGTCGCGGAGCGTTGGGTCGGACAAAGGCCAGACTGTTGTTTGCTGCGTAGGTAGCTCGACTCCACTATGGTATTGTCTGGGGAAATTGTGCACGCTCCTTCACGGCGGGGTCTCCGAACGCGGGGGGTCACTATTACGAGAGCCCCACTCAGGGCCAAGCTAAGTGGGATTCTGCGCTCCGCGCTCTGATAACGCGGGGAGGACGTTGGGGAGATCTGCAGCGTCAGCAACATCCATCGAAAAATCTCAAGATGCAAAATTGGCACACGTAGCACAAGAGCGGGCGTTCGGTGCAGCCAGAGGCGCACTGGTAAAGCTTCGATCCCCTGTCGGCTGAAGATGCACCCTTGTTTACCCGCATGCTTCATGCATATCTGCGTGCTGTTTTGGTCTGGATGGGCGCTGTGCCAAGGTCTTGGGTGGCGTTTTTCCATGAGATTGCTGGCTGCGTGAAGGACGCCCAGTCTCGACTATAACCCCGTCACGGGGGTTCGAGAACCCGACACTTGCCAGAAGCATACTCTTGGCCCGATCGCTCGCAGCGTGTGGCCTAGGACGAAATCTGGCACAATTGACAAGGCGATTCTGGTTGATGATCGGCCGTTGAGGTACCGGTACGCGCTCCTGGGGCAAAGGACTGGCGGCTGAAACAGAACCTCTACGCGCTGTCACACCGCGGCCGGTGCGGTCGGTTCTGGGCGCAAGACAATTCAATATTGTCGTCTGAACAGCTATGACAGACAGCGTGTACGACAGTCCTGACAAATGCAGTGCCCTGTACTCGCGGCATCCAATGGCCTGAATCCCTCTGCAATCTCACTCCGCCACGCTCGGACACTGTGTAAACGGGCCAAGCAGGATCCCCCGGCGCCGCTTCTTGTCCAACCGCCCCCATGGGGACCCGGGACCAGTGAGGCACTAGCTTTGCGCTACCCTTGTCCATAGTGCTGGACCCGCGCCTTTTTGACACGGTGGGTAAGTGCAGTGAGTATATAGAGACCCTGGGCACCCCCCAGGCAAAGTGCTTGAGCGTGCACCACAAGACTCCCGTCCTTCTCCAACACCATCAAGCATCATGGTCGCTGAGAAGAACTCCGTAACGGGCCATGAGGTCGTTGACCCTGCCCTCCGCTCTGATAACGAGAAGTCGGCCGCCTTCGGTGCCGCATCTGACGCCAGCTCCAACGCTGTTGGTGAATACGATGACCTCCCCGACCCAGATGTTGGCAAGAGCGACGAGGAGCGAGCCAAGCTTGTAAGTTCTTCTCTTCTTGACACCTCTTGGTTCCAAAACTGACGCTGCCCAGGACCGAGCTCTCGTGTGGAAGATGGACAAATGGCTGATTCCATGGCTGTCCCTGCTCTACCTCTTGTCGTAAGTGCCGATTTCTTGGGCTTGCCGACTCTTGCTTATCGTCTCCTAGCTTCTTGGACCGCACAAACATCGGTAACGCCCGTGTTGCGAAGATGGAGCCCGATCTGAAAATGGGTGGTCGCGACTATAACAACGCGCTCACCATCTTCTTCATCTCCTACGCTGGTTTCGAGCCTCTGACCAACATCCTGATCAAGAAGTGGTCTCCCCGCGTCTTCTTCACTGCCATCATCCTCGCATGGGGCGTCATCATGACCCTCATGGGTGTCGTTCACAACAAGGCCGGTCTCCTCGCCTGCCGTTGGTTCCTCGGTATCGCCGAAGCCGGTCTCTTTCCAGGAGTCAACTACTATCTTTCGTGTTGGTACAAGCGCACAGAGCTCGGTCTCCGTGCTGCTCTCTTCTTCTCCGCCGCTGCGCTTGCCGGTTCTTTCGGTGGTCTCCTCGCCGCTGCCATCACCAACATGCACGGCATTGGTGGCTACCAGGGATGGCGCTGGATCTTCATCATCGAGGGTCTTATGACCGTCGCCGTTGGTGTTGTTTGCTGGTGGATGACTTTCGACTTCCCCGATACCGCCTCTTTCCTCAGCGCCGACGAGAAGCTTCGTGCTATGCGCCGTCTCCGCGCTGATGGCCAGGCAAAGGCCACAGTTGGCCACATCGATCGCCGCCACGTCTTCGCTGCGCTCAAGGACTGGAAGACCTGGGGTTACGCCGTCATCTACATGGGCTGCCTCTGCCCGCTGTACTGTTTCTCTCTCTTCCTCCCCACCATTCTCCTCGGCATGGGTTACAGTGGTACTAAGGCTCAGCTTATGTCCGTTCCTCCGTATGCCGTTGCCGCCGCCATGACTGTTGTCGTTGGTTTTGTCGCAGATCGCACCAAGTGGCGTGGCTACTGCAACATGGTTATCTCGTTGATCGGCTGCATCGGATTCGCTATGCTCCTCGCCACCGACAACGTGCACGTCCAGTACGCCGGTACCTTCCTCGGTGCCGTCGGAATCTACCCCACCGTTTCCAACACGCTGACATGGGCGTCCAACAACGTCGAAGGCTCGCTGAAGCGTGGTGTTATGGTTGGTGTTGTTGTTGGCTGGGGTAACATGAACGGTGTCGTCTCGTCCAACATCTACTCCCAGAAGGAGAGGCCAAGGTACTGGACCGGTCACGGTATTGTGCTCGCATACCAGTTCCTTTTCCTCTTCGGGGGAACAGTCTTCATGCACTTCATGCTCAAGCGCGAGAACAGGCTGCGCAAGGAGGGCAAGCGCGATCACTGGATGCACGGCAAGACCCAGGAGGAGATTGAGCTTATGGGTGACGAGCGCCCCGACTTCTTTTACACCACTTAAGTGTGTGTGTTCAGATCCGTTTGCGTTTGTAACCCATGTCTCATTCTCTATACGAGAGGAGATGAATAATTTGCATACGCATAGCCTACAAATATGTTATTAGCAAATATAATTTTACACTCAACTTTCTGGCATGTTGTGATCACAAATGTATACCTTGGCATCCTCGAACACTCATACCGGTAGTAAACCACGAAATGCCGTGGTTGCCAAGCATGCTGCCGCTCGTGTCTTGGTGTTGACCACGATTTCCGTCATGCGCTGCTGATCAGCCTGGAAACGGTTGAGCATCGCTTGGGACATCCCGCGTCCTGCGTGCGAGTTCGCCACCTTACAGGTGCGGTTCTTGGAAGGCTTGAAGCCAAGGTGTCGCGCAGACGAAGCAGCGGCACAAAACGTGTATGCCGGCTTACCCGCAGCCACACCATCGTGCATCCGCTTGCCCGACGCCACAATCTGCCAAGCAACCGCCGCTTTACAACACCCACGATCCACCACACCCGGAACATGCGCTGCTGCAAACGGTGAAAGGACTTGATGTCAGGTAGGCACGACGTTGATGCGTGCAAGGTGACGGCGTTCTGTTTGCGGCCCTGACAGGTTTGACGGGTCTGACAGGCTGGATTCACCAAGAGAGGTAAATATCGCATTTGAGAGCTCGTGCACGGCGAGATGGGTTGCGCGTGGTACAACCGTCACCCGAAGGTGAACAGGGTTTGGATCCGCGGCGGCCCGCGAGCGTGCGACGTGGAATTTGCAAGGGCCAAACAGAGACGTGATGGAAGCGGGTGTGTTGGAGGACTTGCCGTGCGGTCTTGTCGTTTCTGTGCGTGTTGTAGGTTGATGGTGATGGTGTGAGGTTTCGATATACTACGTTGGCGCACAGGAAGGCGGGGTTCATGGTGCGATGGTGCACAGATCGTACATCAGCTGGATGTCTCCAGTCCGTGTTGATGTTATTCAGTTTTCGGTATTGTGTCGCTGGTTTGCTCTTTCTTCTTCCGTCTGACCGTGATGCAAATTGGCGCAGATCACAGTGACCCAATGTCGCGCCTTCATGATCTTGTCTTTGCACTTTTGTGCTCGCGGGTTTTGAATTGTGCTTCAAGTTAATACTTGTACAGCATCAGAATGAAGGGTTTAAAGTGTCGCCGAACTCCTCTACAAGTGGCCTATGTTGCAGCCGACGCCGAGCGTAGAGAAGGTGAAGTAGATAGTCAAGTCCTTTCATCAGCTTTCTCATCACTCCATGTACCTAATCTTGAATACCGTTCTGATTTTTTACGTTGTATAAGTGTAGAATTGTACTGCGAGAGTTTCTGACGAGATAGTGTTGAGTGACAGGTGGATATGGTGGATATGGCGGAGCTGGTCGGCTGTTGCGGCAGTAACTCCGCAGCCCGTAACCTTCGGGGATCGGTAGTGGATATAGCGGGACGCCATTGCACATCCCCCAGATAGACCTCCACGTTACACACTACCCAAATCAATACATTCCCCACTCCATTCGAACATCAATCTCGCTCCATCCCACCACCGACCTCACCATGGCAGGCCCCATCCGCGTAGCCGCCTGCCACGCCTCCCCCATCTTCCTCTCCGCATCCCAAACCACGCAAAAAGCCCTCTCGCTCATAAAAACCGCCTCCCGCAACTCTGCCAACCTAATCATCTTCCCCGAAACCTACATCCCGGCCTTCCCCCTATGGAGCTCCATCCGCGCTCCAACCCAAAACCACGCGCTATTCCGGCGCATGGCCGAGCAATCCATCCTCGCCGACGGCCCGGAAATCCAGGCTCTGCAGTCCGCCGCCCAGCAGACGAAAACCTACATCAGCGTCGGGATTTCGGAGCGCGTGCGGTATAGTTCTGGCACGCTGTTTAATTCGAATGTGACGATTGGCCCGGACGGGCGCGTGCTGAACCACCACCGCAAGCTGATGCCCACGTTCTTCGAGAAACTGACGTGGGCGCCGGGCGATGGGCACGGGCTGCGGGTTGTCGAGACGCCGTGGGGGAATGTCGGGGGCTTGATTTGTGGGGAGAATACGAATCCATTAGCAAGGTATAGTCTCATGGCGCAGGGCGAGAGGTTGCATGTTTCGACGTGGCCGGCGGCGTGGCCGACGCGTGTTGCGGATGAGGCAGTGGAGGCGGGCGGGCAGGGGAAGGACTATGACAATGTGGCGGCAAATCGGATTCGGGCTGCGGCGCATTGCTTTGAGGCGAAGGCGTTTGGGGTGCTGTGTAGCGGGCATCTTGATGAGGGGGCTATTGAGACGATTGCAAATGGTGCGGAAGATGCTGAGCATATTAGACGTGTGCTTGGGACAGCGCAGCGGGGGGCTACGATGTATCTGGATCCTACTGGTGCGCTCATTCCTGGGTTCACTGTTGATGGCTCGACAGGGGAGAAGAAACAGGTTGACTTTCTGCAGAAAGAGGAGGACATATTGTACGCTGATCTCAACCTGGCGGATTGTGTGGAGGGGAAACAGTACCATGACGTTGTTGGCGGGTATCAGAGACATGATATCTTCAAGCTGACGGTTAATCGCGAGAGGCAGGTGCCAATACGATTTCTTGATCCGCCCCAGCCTGTCGAAAGAGACAGCCAGGACGATCAGACTCAGGGTTGAAGAAGCAATGAAGCAACACTCTTATACTAGAATCGTGACGTTGCTGTCAGTGACATTCGATCCCCGGCTCCATCGCCAATTCATTATGAGCGAAGAAGCGTTCGAAATATCTCAGTCAAGATATTGTTTGCATCAATTCCGCATTTCTAAATCGCGGACCAAGCGTTATCCACTGGAACCAGCACGCCATTGATACTCTTCGCCTCATCCGATGCCAGGAACGCAATCGCATTAGCAACATCCTGCGCTGTAACGTCGAACACCGGCGCTCCCTGCGCATCAGTACGATTGTGCAGCCCAATAACACCCCTAACACAGTCAGTACAATCTCACACCTATCAGTCTGTGTATACTCACGCCGCGGCCGTGTAGCCCGCCATATCCATATTCTCCATCCGCATCGAAGCCGATATATTCGTCGCCACACCTACAAAATCAGCCCAGCATCTCAACGCTCCACATGACACTTACCGCCCGGCAGCACTGCATTGCACCGAATCCCCTCACTGTGGAATCGCCACGCCACGTTCTTCGTTGCGCCCACAAGCCCATGCTTACTCGCCGTGTACGCGACACCTGCCACGGCACCGCTCAGCGCCGCCTTGCTCGCAACATTCACAATCGCGCCGCCCTTGTGCGCCTGCATACTCGGCAGCACAGCCGCCATCAACCGTACCGGGACCGTCAGGTTGATGCTGAGTACGCGCTCCCACTCGGACTCCTTGACCGTGTCGGCGCTGGCAAAAGCGTCCATGACACCCGCAACATTTGCCAGAACGTCGATCTTTGCGCCGTATTTCGCGACACAGGCGGCCACTGCTTCGTCCGCCGCATTCGGCTTCGTGAGATCGACCTGGTGGAACGCGAAAGTAGCGGCGTCGAGCTCCTGTGCGAACGGCGCGATGTCGATGCCGAAGACCTTGGCCTTGCGCTCGAGCAGGACGTGTGTGGTGGCGAGGCCGATGCCGCTGCTGCAGCCGGTGACGATGACGACCTTGTTTTCGAACGACATTGTGCGTATTATGTGGCCAGCAACTGTTGTGCGACGTCAAGGCGGTTTTATAGTCGCTCTTAATATGTATACACTGCCGTATTGGTCGTATCTGGTGGAGACGGCTGGGTTGAAGGCGATGCCGAAAGCGAACACGACGGCCAGTGTTGATCTCCGGGTCCACTTCCGCTGGCTAGTGGTGGGGCTTACTGAATTACAGGAAGCACCAAGGGTCTGGATAGTATACTAGAGTTGACATACTGACTCGGTTTATACCTATGCTTGGGGACCTGTTGTTCCACCCCGCTCGATGCGCTGACATGTTCTGGATTCGTCCATTACCTGGCACACCGTTTCTTCTCTTCACCGATTACTGGTAGGCTGATGCTGCAACAAATCGAGCGTATTCGATCCTCAAATGGTGGTATGAGGTTGCGTTTGGGTGCACTTCGAAGGAAGGAGGGGTCGCGCACGTGTCAGGCTGTCAGCAATGCTCCTACCTCGCTACGTTTTATTTACACAATGTAGCCGCACACTCTCCGCCTGGCATTTACAATGAGAGTAAATCTCAGGCCGCTAAATCCATCTACTTCCTGTATCTAACGAAGCAGCACCAAAGATCACATGCGATTCTACTAGGTAGTGATGTCAAAGGCAGCAACACATCTGGCCTGCGCCGGCCGCTCCAATCGCGACAAGAAAACACTCAAAACATACTGAGACCAGACCAAAAATCCTCTTCACCACGGACTCCCTCGCAACTTCAACAACTTCTCCGCATTCTAGTACGCAGATGCTTTCGTCTCAGCCCTACTCATCACCCCACTCCCCGCCAAACTTTCGACAAACGCCCACCCATCCTCATACCGACGAAACGGATAATCCACCGAATGCATACCATCATGGCTAACCGAGTAAGAAGCGCATAAGCAAATTCCCCAGCCCTTGAGTAAGAAGCGCTGCGCAGCCTTGCACCAGCCATGCCGTACTGTGACCAGTGCACACGCTCGTCTCCCGACGCAGCGAGGCGCATGGCTGAGAAGCTTGTTAGCTGTAGGATGAAGGAGCAAGCTCCGTCTGCAGCGAGCTGGGTTGGAGAAAACTTCTTGAGTAGGTGCGTTGGCGCCAGCACCACGATGCAGTGCTCCACCGGGACATGAAGATTTCATCGGTGATAAGGGCGAGATCTGTACCGCTCAGGATACAGCACCTGCGCGTGCTGCGGCTGGCTGCTTCCGCGTCTTATCCAGCCCGACTATATCTGGCCCTCGACTCACACGTCGAGAACGCGTGAACAGCGAAAGATCCGCAAACCCTCGATTATCGATCAAGAAAGCGACACAACCAGACCAAATCCCGAGTCAAGAAACACCAAACGCGCACGCTCTCCAGAAACTCTGCCACATCACTCAACCAGTTCGACAAACCCAGCCTCGTCGTCAGATTCATCATCCGACTCCGCCGTCGCCTGCAAACTAGTCCGCGACGTGCCCGTCTCCGTCTCGGAGAAGGGGTCCGCGTCGTCTGCAGAAACCCCGAATTCCTCGCCTGCCGACTCCTCGACCGCCGACTCCTCGGTATCGGCTGTGGGGAGCAGCATGGGGCTCAGAGGAGGAGAGCCGTGGGGCGGGACGGACGTCTCGCTGTCGTGTTGTGATGTGGCTGACGCGGTGGGAGACGGGGGCGTGTGCGGCGCTGGAGACGATGCGGGGCGCTTCGATGACGACCCTGCTCCTGCTGCCCACGCGAGGAAGCCGGATGGAGCTTTAGAACGACGCTTCGATTTCGCTTTGAGAGGCGGCGGAAGTGGAGGAGGTGGATTAGGAAAGTCTGCGGGCTGCGCGGGAGAAGGCAGTTCGGGCATGGGCCACATGTGCATAGTGATCACCCAGCCGGGTTGGATGAGCGTTTCCCATGCTTGCGGCAGGATGATCTCGCCGTCGGGGCCGACGAGGTCGTAGTGGCCTTGATGAACATGGGGGCCTATGACGTCGACATGCAGAAAGGCTTGTTTGATGAGTTCTTCTATGCCCTTGCGTTTGGTCAGTATCGATCAGTCAGTGTCGCCCCAATACACGTACATTCCAGGTCTGGGCCAGCCGCCAGGGGAACGAGAACTTGCGACCCACTGCATCCTTGAACTTGATACTTTTGCTTAGTTTGGGGACTTCTGAGTTGTCGCATATGCTGTCGAGCTGAGTCAGGAAATCTGTGCTATTCCTATCCTCGAGCTGGTAGTCTCCGAGCTTGACGAGCGTGCGCAGCAGAGTACTTAGGGTTCGAATTTCGTGCTCTCTGCTGGCTTGATTTGATATTAGAGATCTGAGTTGTTCAGCGGAGAACGAAGAGAGCGAGAACAATTTCGAGGTAGGTGGCTCTATAATATTTGGCAATATCGATGGATCTGTGACGTCTGGCAGTGTCGATGACTTCGTAACATCTGGCAAGGTTGATGACTTTGTAACATTTGGCAGTGTAGATGGCTCTGTAACACCTGGTAGTGTTGGAGGGTTTCCAGTTGACTTGCTACTGCTTGACGCATTGCCGTGTAGTCCTGCTGACGGACCCACGGGGACATCCTCCCCGGTAGCAGAATCTTTGTCGTGATCTGGAAGCCCATTCCTTGTAGTCGGCAAGGAAACGCTATCCATTTGCCTCACATCGCCAACATACTTCGGAGGGGCACTATCAGTCTCACTATTCCCAAGCATCAGCAATATTCCACACCACCAACACACAAAGCACATACAAACCCGCACACTGCAGCAGCAGTTGCAGACCAGCGTTCCTGCGCTGCAGCGAGTCTCTGAGTTTCTTCATGTCGTCGGCTTTGATCAGCGTCCAGCGGACCTTCCTGAACCCGCTCCGGAACCCAGACGCATCCCTGCCGAGCTTCTGGTCGTACTTCTTCGTCTGGTCCAGGTAGGACTGTATCATGTCCATGGACTGCATGACCATGTGGGATGCCGCGTCGAACGTGTCACGGGGGACGTTGTTGTTGCGTCCCAGATAGGAGACCTTCATGAGGGCGGTCTGGTAGCACCCCAGCTCGTCGATCGCAGAGCGGTACTCCTCGCCGGCGTCATGGTTTTCACGCAAGGCTGCGATGAGTCTGTAGGTGAGGTTTGCGGCGCCGATGAGGTCGCCGACAGAGAAACCAAATGACATGTTGGCAACGGAGGGAAATAGTGATGTGATGGGCAGGCTGACATTGCGCTTTTCATGTGGGGTTTGCACAGCCACCGGTCATACATATGCATGCAGTGCGCTTGAGCACCTATGGACGAGGCTGAAGAACTGACGCACAGCCACGAGTTGATGCAGTAAGCATCTGCTGGTAATCTGGTGGCGGTATAAAACCCCGTATATTCTCCACTCACTCCAGTCGGCTCCCCAAAGAATAGTCAGGTTGATCTCGTGACTGCCGACTCATCCTCTTCTGCCTCGCGTTTCCGCGTCCTTTTCTGCCTCGTTCTTGCGCGTCGTGTTGCTCGCGCATTCGACAACGGCGGAGCTTCAGACAAGACCGTAGCCAGACGGCGCCCAGGGTTTTTTTGGTGTGTGTCTGGCTCACCACGTCCTCGGATTACATGATCCGGCAAGGGCTTCAGATCCGACGGGTCTGCGTAGTCGAGGCTGACGTTCTCCGTATTTTGATCGCGCCTTCCCTCCGAGTCTGCTCGAGTGCGCTGGCGCTCCCTGAAGCTCAGCCAGAAGTTCTTTCCGTCTTTGCCCTGCAGTCAACGTTTAGTCTCGCCCAGTTGCAGGGTTGCAAAGCACAAGCGCAAAACGAGGTAAATCAGATGCAAAATCCAGTAGCATACTTAACGCACCCTCCTTCGCTCTCGCTCGCCATCTTCGCCCCTGTCATTGGGGACCTCGACTTCATATTCCTCTTCCTCGACCCTGTGGTACTTGTCCACCTCTGCTCTCTCGTCTCTGGCTCGCGCTGCATCCAGCATGAACCTGACCGTCCCGTTCTGTCCTCGCACGCCTGTCACACCGGTGTCTGGCTGGCCGGGCGAGACGGTGCCTGGCGTGTTCGGGGTGTTCAGGCCGGTCGTGTCAACGCCGTTGCGGGCCCGCAGCCCATTCACAGCAGCAGGCGTAGCAGGCGAAGTTGTGGTGGACGGTGTTTCGGAGGCGTAGGGAGTAAAGCGCGGGAGCGAGAGGCGCGAGGCCTCGGTGTTGAGGGTGATGCGGATATTGATGAATGTCTCGAGGGGATAGAGGGGTCCGATCGAGGTGGCGGAGCGGTGGTGCGTGTAGAGGTCGAGGAGATCAAGGAGCGTTTCTGCTGCGAGTTAGCCAACACCACCGTGTGCGAAGAACATGAACGTACCCATAACCTCCCCTCGACTCGTCCCCCACTTGGCGTACCTACACGCGCCTCTGTCGACCAACGCCTCAGCGTCCCTCTCGTGCAGACGCGCCGCTAGCTCCAGACAGGCGATTGACAGCGTCGGCGAGCTCTGCTTAAGCGGCGCAAATGTCTTGTAGAGATCAACACTCAAATCCCACGCTGTCTTGCCCTCATTATTCTGGTCAAACTCCAGCGCTCGCGCAAGCTTGACCATCAGCTTCTGCGGGTATCTGTTCCTGAAGTCGAACCCCGCGCTCTCCAGCATGAGTCTCTCGAGCCCAATGATCTGCTTCGAATGCATGTCGAACCTGGGATCATCGCTGCTCAGCGCCTCGCCCGGCCCGACCTTCAAGTTCCAGCTCGCGCACAGAATCTCCCTGCTCTTCTTGAGCGTGTCTTCGATCTTGCACGCCGTGAACAGCGCCGCCGCGCTCGCATCCGCCCAATTGTACTCGTGGTCTCCGTGCAGCAGCCGGAACTTGTGGTAGTAGATGACTGCTGTGTTGAAGGTGCGGATGGGCAGCGACAGGGCCCGTCGGACCGCGTCGATCCAGGTCACGCCCTGCAGGCGCACAGAGTCTTCCTTGGCGTCTGACATCTGGATCGACGCGAGGCAGGACTGGATGCGCGACTGCAGGATGTAGGGCTTCGCGACTTCGATGTAGGACGGGTGGGGGCCCACGCGTGCAGAGCCCTGCTCGGAGGGGGTGGCGGAGGGCGCCATGCTCGAGTCGGAGGTCAGAGATGGTGTCGATGGCGAGACGGAGTCGTCGTGTGAGCTCCTCTGTGCCTCGGGGTACTGCGAGTACGGCCCCAGGCGGGGAAGGCGTTTCGATGGGTCCCCTATGGCTCAGCGAATAGCACTGTTAGAATCGCAAGAACAATGCGTGTAAGTCCTGCGTCGTAATGCGTCGTAATAATGCAGTGTTGCGCGTGCAGGAAACAATCAAGAGGGAAGAGTCGCGTCCTAGCTCGCGCTGGGCTTGGCATCATCACTGTCTCACATGCAAGCATCCAGCCAGTCAGACGCACTCACCAAAGAGATCTAGCGAAGGTCACAAGCCACCTAGTAAGATGCTGATGCATAGCTTATTTGAACGTGAGACTTTTGCTTGATATCATCGATTACCACTACCACTGCCATTATCTCCTCACCCCCTGTCCTCTTCCGCCCGGCGCGCAATACGCGTGATCGTAGCTTTGTGCCATAAACCCTATCCCAAAACCCTTCTGCCCCATCGAGAGGTGGCAGGGTGTACAATCATTACATCTAAAATGGGCTAGAGCGAAGAGACTTTCGCCCTGCCAGAAGGAATCAAGAAGAAGCTGCGCCGAATGCAAATGCAGGTAATCGCTAAAGTTGCGCATGCGAACAGACATATGCGTCTATGCTGCTGTTCGCTTCTTGAATGTGAGAAGGCAGTCGTCCTGGTGCGTGTTAGTGTGAAAATGGGGTGGTGGCAGGCGATGACTTACCATAGGGAAGATGGTGGCGAACACCTTGATCTCCTCACTCAGATCGGTAACCTTGTGGTGCCAGTCGAGCATCATACTGGCCTTGCCGATCATGAGCATCAGGTTGGCCTGCGCGTAAGTCTGGCCCAGGCAGTAGTGCGGCCCGGTACCGAACACAAGCCAGTTCTTGGTCTGCTGGTCTGCGTCACCGGTGATCCATCGCTCGGGTTCATACGAGTCAGGGTTGGGGTAGGCCTCAGCGTCGTGCAGGGCCAAGTAGGTAGTGGGGATGACCATGGAGCCCTTGGGAACAGTGTATTCGGGAGTAACGGGGAAGTCCTTCTTTGCGAGGTAAGGGACCATGATTACGGGAGGACGGTAGCGCAGAACCTCCTTAACAACCGCACGGGTCCAGGGAAGCTTCTCCAGAGCGTCGAGCGAGATCTCAGCGTGGATGTCACCGTTGCGGGCGTCGATGTTCTCCTGGCGAACCTTGTCGAGGTACTCGGGGCGGTCAGCCATGATCTGGAAGAGCCAGGTTGCCGCGGACGAGGTGGCGTCCTGCGAGGCGAAGAGGAAGGTGAAGAGCGTCATGGAAATCTCAAGGTCGCTGAACCAGCGAATGACCATGGCGGGCTTCTCAGGGTTCTCGCCCTTCTCGACGGCCTTGCGGTAGTTCTCCGACTCGATCATGTGGGCAACCCAGAAGTCGAGAATGCACTCCTTCTTGCCGCCCGCCGCCATGCGGACCTTGGCCTTGGCCGCGCACTTAGAGAATTCGTCCAGAACCATGTCGGCGCACTTCTTGCCGTACCAGCTCTTGGTGAAGGGCAGGATGATGGGAAAGTTGACGAGCTCGAGCGCGGCAGTGATGAGGTAGTAGTCGTCGGCGATCTTCCTGACAGCCTCCTCGGAGCAGTAGTGGCCAACGAAGGTCCTGCAGCTGATGGCGGTAATCAACAGACGGAACTGCTGCATGAAGGGCACGTGCTCGCCCTTGTTCTCGACCTGGGAGAGCTCGACAAAGCGCTTGTAGTACTCGTTGTAGATCTCCTCCTGGCCGGGAAGGTACTGCTCGAGCGCCTGGCGCGTGAACAGGCCGTTCAGGCCCTTGCGGTAGTCGACGTGGGCCTTGCCGTCGAGGAAGACCCAGTTTTCGGGGCGGAGGAGCTTGTAGGCGGCGTCGACGACGCAGGGCTTGACGAAGCCGGGCGAGTTGAAGATCTTGCGGGCCATGTCGCGGGTCGATGCGATGACGACGAACTTGTGGAAGACGGAGACGCAGCTCAGCGAGCCAGACGTCCATTTCTCGTGGTACTTTGTGAAGCTGGGGTTGACCGACTCGAGGAAAGGTCCCATGAACGGTGTCTTGAAGGCGGGTCCGACAATCGAGCCCTTCTGCCAGATGTACATGACTGTCGCCGTCAGCAATTACTTCGCGCGTGCTGCGCAGCACTTACACTGGTCGTAGAGCACGGCGCCCACCAGCAGCGCAAGCAGCGCCTTCCAGATGGTGAAGCCATTGAGGACCGACGAGATCAGGCCGGTCGTGTCGAACTGGGTGATCATTTGCGCGACCTTCGCGTCGGCCGTGGGCGAGACGAAACTCGCGTTGACCGTCATGGTTGGGATACGCGACGCTGGGGTGCACGGCGCAGCAGAGGTCCAACGGGTGTGCGAAGTGTCGGAGGCGTGAGGACCAGAACCGTTCTGTCAACACGGCGAGGGTCCCTCAGTCTTTAATAGCCCGCTTGGCGACAGTGGCACACCCTTGTCTTCATCACACTCATTTTCCCCTGTTGCAGCCCTAATCTTATTTTCGCCTAGTTTCCGAAGTTTGCTTTCTCTCGGGTCTCGGCTTCTAGGGTGACCGGACACGCCTGCCGCGCGCGGTGACCCTGCAGGCGGTGATGTGCTGCCTCATCACAGACCTGTACACAGTCGCGTCAGACGCGCCGTCTGGCGTTGCGCTTAGTGAGGCTCAGACTTCAAGTCTTGACGTTAACGACTGATGATCGGCGATTTTCAGCCCGACCCTCAGTATCAGGCACGCCGGCCCGGTGATTGGTTGCAGGCACATCGCTGACTGAGAGCAAATTGCACTTTTGATCGGCTCACTCCGGCGTGTCACGTCTTCCATATCCGGAGCCGAGTCGTGACATGATCATACGTGCCCGAGATGCATGTTGTACGCTGCGTGCTGCATGCTGCATGCTATTGGTCAGGGCCTGCTGCGATTGGTGCACGGTGAGAATCAACCAATACGAAGGTGGACGCGAATACGCGCCTTGTACACTGCAGACGTTTCGGGCCATGTACAGCACCTAATCAACGCATGTCATCTGTAGATCGAGGGGTTGTGAGAATGCAGTCTAGACTCCGCACTCTACGCTTGTCTTCTGTGGATGAATTGTCGTAAGAATGTAGTTTAAACTCCGCGCTCTACACATGTCGTCTAGATATCGAGTCGTCGTAAGAATGCAGCTTAGACTCCGCATACACTCATCGGACTCTATGCTTGTTCAAGAAGCCAGCCCAATCCGCCCTCTCACCCCGCACGTCGACGCCGACCACCCCGTCGCCCTCACGCCAGCCCTCCCACTTTTCCAGGCCATACAAGTGCCTCATCGTCGGTCGCCCGTGCGGACAGCTCCACGGCTTATCCATACTTCCCATATGCCTGACGATATTCTCCATCTGCGCGTTCTGCAGTGTCTTACCAATCATCACAGAGCTTCTGCATGCGCGACTAGCCAGCAATTTCCGCACCTTACTGGGTCTTGGAATGTAAGGCGATGTGGAAGTCGACGACGACGGCGGATTGTCCATGACCAGAGCAAGCAGCTCTTCGAGATCGGTTGGCGTGAACGTGACCTCCTTCGACATTGGCAGGCTGGTGAGTTTCACACGACGCTCCTCGGTGGATGCATCCACTTCAACAACGAACCCGTTGGCGGTCAGTGAGTGTTCATTGGCGAGGATGATCTCTTCTTCGACCGCGGTAAGCTCTAGTGGATGAGGGTGTACAAGCCGCTGGGAGACGAGCGTAGTGGTGGCGGAGAGACGTTCGAAGTTGTACTTCTCGTCTGAGGCGTGCTGGTCGATGATGAAGAGATCAGACGTAGGCGACGTCGAGGTAGGCGGCCGGACTGCGATGATGAAACCAAGATTGAATTGGCCGATGATTTGCATCTCGTTGAAATCTGCCTTGGTCACCGTGAGACTCAGTCGCTCCTCTGGGTCCTCCTTGTTCAGCTGCGTGCTCGTGGGTAGTGCAGCTCCTGGTCTGAGTCTAGCCTCTGACGCATCAAGACCGGGTTGAATGTTCCGGAGGTGCCGTGCGATGGACGCAGAACTGGTCTCAACGACGCGTTCCAGACTAATCGTGGAGTGCTTGATGTGAGCCACCTTAAAGAGCTTCTCTGCTCGCCGTAAATTGACCTCTGTTGGGCGAGCAGTCGCCGCTTCTGCCTCGGCGATGAGGCCCGCAATTCTTGCATCTTCGCGGGCCTTCTTCTCTTCTTCATCGACATACTCGCCATCGGAGTCATCCGCATCTTGAGCAACAGCGTTCTCTGTATCGTCGTGACGCAGACTTCCTCCGAGAAGTCCATCATGAAGAGGTGCGCTTGAGATTTCCATCAAGTCATCTGTCCGGGGCTCCTCAAACGCTCTCGGTGCTGCCCGCATCTCTCGAGAGGTTGTTCGTGCTACTGGAAGGCTGCTATCCTGTTCTTCATCCTCATCCTCTTCCACTTCCATTTGTGTTCCAGGTGCTGCAAATCCACGCAGACCTTTGGTAAACAGCGACGCCTTCGGGTTTTGACTTAAGCGTGTCCCAGTAAGAGAGAACTTAGGCGTGTGGAGTTTTGCGCGTTTGGCAGACCGGGACTGACTGCCACTCCCTATAGTGGTTGTCGTCGTAGTGTCTCCAACAGTAATTGTCGCTTGCTGAAGGGGTGTGCGCATCGGACGCATACGATCAAAGGCGTTTTGTATGCTGCTCTGAGATAGTGCTTTGCGAGGGGTTTGCTGAAGGGCCGGTATTGGCTCCTCGTCATGTACGGCATCTAACGGCGTTGGACCTGGCGATCTGGGGGAACGTTCACGCTCGGCTCGTCGAGCATGCATAGATGCTATACGTGCGTTGAAGTCCTGCACAGCAGTCGAAGGAGCTCCCATATCAATGCCAGATGGCGACGCTGGCTGTTCAGGCTCAAACAGGGGCGATTCGGATCCAGGTTGAAGCACGTCTGAAGTAACTTTGTCCTCAGTCGCACTTTGCCGCCTTGCGTTTGGATGAAACACTCGCTCTTCTATCAGGTTGTTGATCTCTGGCGAGCTGCTTCTTCGACGCCTGCCTACCCGTCTGACTACTCGGTCTTCGGTACCGCGCTCTGCAAAGCTCTCAATCAAACTCGCTTTCACAAAACCTGGCATCGCACCGTTCACCGGTCCTGGAATCTTCAAGATACTAGCCCTCTTTCTCGCTTCAGACTCATCCGCATCGTCTCGATCATCTCCTGTAATCGATAACGTGCTGTCGCGAGACTGTATCGACGGCGGTTTAAATGTCGACTGTTGTCTGCCAAGAAGCTGTGCCTGGGGCACGCTCTGGTCGTGGCCAGCGAACAGGTCAGCCAAGGATACTTTAATACTTTCAAGAAGCGCCGTCTGGTCATGCAACATGATTGTCCGCTTGTCTGGGCTGACATTTACATCGTATGCTTCGGTGTCCAATTGCAGATCGGCGAAGATGAAGGCCGATTGAGTCATATTGTATGATTTGTAGACCTCGTTGAAGGCTTTGGCTACCTGAGGCAGGTTGCACGGCCGCGAGTTGACGAAGAACATCTGCCGATCTGGCGTCTGGCGTCCCTCGCCTACAACAGGGCGTGAGATATGACCAACTATTCTCACCTTTCGCGAGCCCGAGTCCCCCTGCCAATTCTTCGCACTTTGCGTGGCCCCTGGTCGGTTTGAGGGGTCCAACTGGAATTCGAGATCGAGAGGGATAAGGGCAGCGATCGTCTTCGCCCCATACACGTTCGAGATGTTGCCTCTGGTACTGGGATTGGCGTTGGTTGAGAAGGCGATTGTCTTCTTTCCTTTGGGCATCAGATTGGTCACAGAGAACTTAACTCCCACGCTGATGCAGGCATAAGCGTTCAACAGCGCCAGCACCTTATTGTACTCCCTCTTGACGTTCTTCTCCAGCTCCTTCCGCCGCACAGGTAGGTTGTGAAAGAGTGTATCCACTACTACTGTTGTGCCCTGTTTGGCTGCGACGACCGAGGTCCCTTTGAGCTTGCCTGACTGCTCAAAGTCGAGTCTGGTGCCCTTCGGCCCATCGCTCGCCCGAGCTGTGATGATGTGGAACTTTGAGAGCGCACATAGCGAGGAGAGTGCTTCACCGCGGAAGCCGAATGTCTTCAAAGTGGAAAGGTCGTCGTACGTAGAGAGCTTAGAGGTGTAGTGCTTGAGGGCTATCGTGTCGTAGTCGGCTGGTGCGATGCCCCCGCCGTTGTCCTGTACCTCGATGGCGTCGAGGCCATTGTTCTTAAAGCGGACCTCTGCGCAGTCAGTTAGCCATCCCATCATCGATCATGTCTCCAGCAAGAGCGCATACCGATCGAGGTGGCGCCTACATCGATGCTGTTCTCGACGAGCTCCTTGCAGACAGACTGCAAGTCAACAATGACCTGGCCCGACTGGATCTGGTGGACTGAGCGCCCCTCGATGGGCTTGATTGTGGCCATGTCAACCCATCGTGTGCGTGCAGAAAGATACAATGACCTCACTGGAAGTCGAGAAGGCGCGACGCGTCGCGGTTCGGCCAATCAGACGCTCGCGCTAGAAAGCTGGTCTTCTACACTCCCAGCTGAACCTTCACACCCACTCAGAGTGTCTCAACATTACCAAAACGTCTTTCTGATCAAATGTCTAGTATTTTAGATACTCATGAGCTGCCACCGCAGAAGCAGCAAGAGTAGGTTAAATTGCTGCCGTAACGAAGACACAAATTTACTAATTCCTTGAAGCATGGCTGCTGCAATTCATGTGGCCCGAGCAGAATGCCTCGGTATCAGCAAGATGATGCACAAGAAACTCCCGTCTGAGTTACGAGATCTCATATACAGCTATCTGTGTTTGGAAGACCGACAAGTTCCCATTGGACCTTACTATCACTTTCGGACATACAAGCCACACGCAAATAATGAACCCGCCTACTCCGATACACAGTATTTTCCTCGGACTGGAGACCTGCAAACTGATCTTGGGGATGGTCAAACCAGAATCGATCATGACCTGCATCCACAAGACGGCCTTCTCTTACCTCAGAACTACATATTCGACCCGAGCTACATGAGCGAAGAAGTCGTGCTTGAAACATTGAAGACGTACTACAAGAACAATAGCTTCTCTGTATGCAATATCGAAGGCGGTCTAGACGATCTTTGTTCAGCCGTGAGGTTGGGTGCTGATGGACTAGCCACTGACTTCGTGCCGATTGATCACATTCACGATCTGCAGATACGGGTCAAGTTTGAGCACTTTCACGAAGGAGCAAAGGTCATTGGACCTCATACAAATGACCGGCTGAAGCAATTTACTGAAGAGGAGCTTCTCCTACGATACACGGTAGAGTCTTTGCAGAGGTTCCGGTCGAGGATGCTATCATCAACCCCACATCAGCTGGAAATCGAGGTCGTCCTTATTTCAAACCTAAGTAGGGATCGTGTGTACTCCGAAGAAATGCTGCTAGGGAGTGTTGTGAACTATTTACAAACAGTCCGAAACATGGTTTACGAGCTGATCCACGACCGCGATCACACTACCGTCAGGGTTACGCATGTCGATGACACCCTCATGAGCTTCCCCAAAAATTATACAGGGCTGTTCAAGCTAACTAAAGAACAATGGGACTACGTAAGATCAGTGCACATTCTTCGACCAAGAGGATTTTTTGACACTGACAAAACACAGGAGAAAGCCAGACAGCAGCCTAACCACGACTGGAGCCAAGACTTCTGGGTTATCCCAGTACCAAGTAAGGACATTCACAACCCAGGAACGCTGGGGCTTGGAGGGTACTGTTGCGACTCTCTTGGGGACTTTCAGTCTATGCGGTGGGGCGTCAAAGACATTTTCCGCGAAAGGACGAGCTCTATCTCTGTTGTGGAGGGGTCGTACTGGCCGAGAGGGAGGCCATACCATCCCCACGTGGCACAAGCACTGATTGAGAAGTCCCCGAGTGAGTTCATCGTCGAGGATTAGATGCAAGATATTGTTGACAGGGTGGGCTGTTGTGGAGTGGTTATGGAGTGGTAAAACCAAACGAGTATTAAAACAACCCTGGTCTAGCATAGATATGAAGATATCTACCAAGTTCTTGCATACTAGAACCTAGCCACGCATAATCCAGCAATCACCAGTACAGCGCCCCAGTACATCAGCCCTTTCGCAATGAATCTCTCCGTAAGCTCCTCAATTGCTTTGCCATCGTTGATCTTTGGGAACTCGACCTCTGGCACCTCTTTCCCCAACACTTTACACAGTGGCTCCCACCCACTCTTCACATCGAAAAACACCAGCCTCTCCTCCGGCACTGTGCGCTTCAAATAGGCCATATGAGTTTCCCAGTGCTCTGTTGTAACTGGCTCGGGCTTTCCGTACAGCACGATCCACTGCTTGCGCAGCAGATTGATGTAGGTGGGAAAGTGCCGCATACCAGGCAGCAAGAAGAGCACAAAGCGCAGAAACCAGAGTGTCGCGGCGTTGGCCACAGTTGCCATGCTCTTGACCCACGCATCCGGGTCGCGGACTGTGCATATCACCACTGCGTCAGGATAGAGGGTGAGCAACTCCGGAATCAGGCCGTTGCAGGGCGAGTCTGTGACTGCTGCGTAACCTTCCAAGCGCATTTTGACTTGTGTCTGGATGGCTTGCGTGGCTGACGGAGATTGTGGCGGCCATTGTGTGAGCACGCTTATCCAGGATTTGATGTGTGAAGAGGGGCCGAGGGTTATTTGTGTACCTCCATGGTAGACTGGGGCGTCGAGGAGGATGCTCAGGGCGCGGCTGAAAGAGGCGGTTCCTGTGCGTGGGAGGCCGGCGCCAATGACCTGTATATCGGTGCCAGGCTTTGGTGATGATGGTTGAGCACCCATTGCGAGTGAGTTGCGGGGTGGTTGTGTCAGGATCATCGAGGTCGTCATCTTGAGGTGTTGCCCAGGATGCAAGTGCGTAGTGCTTACAGTGCCAAGGTAAGGATCACGACTTGGTCAGTGTGAAGAACGCAGACTGCGTTGCTCATTTGAGCGAATACTCTGCTTTCCGCTATGTTACAGCCTCTGAAGGACTGGTTGAACTCAACCAACTGAGAGATCGATGTGACACTGTACTTGAGTGTTGATACTGGCCGAACAAACACTTGACAAGATGTGAACATCAGCATAACTACTATTTTGCAATACCTCTGTCCTGGCTCAGAGAACAAACAATATGTAGCGTCGCCAAGTTTTGAAGCCGTTGTTGGTGTGTATTTGGAATTATTATTTTTCTGCAGATCGAACGGACATGTGAGATAGTAAAGGCGTCTAGAGTTTGAGTCGACATGTCAGCAGCATATGAGAATTTGGTAAGTAATCGTTTCTCAAAGTACGTTTCTATATTATTTGCTTGCGAAGCAGGAAGAGATCCTCCAACAATGAAGACGGACATCATGTGCCTCTTGTTAGATAATAGTGATTCTGGTGGAGGTTGGACCAATATCGACGTTAGATGATGCGACCAAAATTGAAATTTCGAAATTAGCACACCAGTAACGTGCGACGAGCAACCTATGAGCATGTTACTATATTCGTTGCCGTTTGTTACGCCGTGGATTGCAAGTCAAAGCACAAGTGTGGAGAAGTCGGTGTTGCGGGGCTGGAGCTGCGACAAGCGCAACTCACGAGGTAAACAATCAGTGATACAGCCATTGGCAACGCTACAGCGCACTCCTACAGCTAACAGTAGACGGAATTGCAGGTCGAAATGAAGGCAACATTCCTAGATGTCGACGAAGTGATGAGAGTGTTGGCGAGGCGATGCCGTGAGGAAGTAGAGCCAGGAGCGACCCGGTCACGTGGCAAAATGCTCCGTGCAGCACCCGGTTCTGGCCTTAGCGTCGTCGAGCTTGCCCTGCTGAAAACCTCGCATCGCAGCTTCCATCACCCTCCATCCACCTCCTCATCACCCAATTCATCTCCACTCAACGACCAACACCATCACCATGGTTGCCATTGCTCGTTCTTTCGGTGCTGCCCGTGTGGCCAGCCGCAGCCTCACCACCGCTGGTACGTCGCGCCTGATCGCAACCGCCTGCACCCGCAGGACTTGCATCAAATCCATCAATCGAAGCCATTGAGCTCCATCAGACAGCCATTGACATGTAATCTACAGCCCGCCCCCAGAACAGCCTCGTTGCTGCCCGCTCCGCTTTCCGCAACAACGCCGCCCGCAACGTCATCCAGAAGCGTGGCATCGTCGCCGAGTCCACCGCTGCCGCCATGGTCGCTGCCGCTAAGATCCAGGGTGCCGGTCTCGCTACCATCGGTCTTGCCGGTGCTGGTGTCGGTATTGGCACAGTTTTCGGTGGCCTCATCCAGGGTGTTGCCCGCAACCCTTCCCTCAGGGGTCAGCTCTTCCAGTACGCCGTTCTCGGTTTCGCCTTCGCTGAGGCTACTGGTCTCTTCGCCCTCATGATGTCCTTCTTGCTCCTCTACGTCGCATAGATATGTGCACAAGAGTGGGCTATGTTGACACGGGGTCAACGGTCTGGGTCGCTGGATGGAAACTTTCGTGGATGGGTGTGTGCATAGGGAGACCTCCTTTCTACCTCTAGTGGCCGGTCAGATTGTGTAAAACATGTACTTTAGACTGAGCAATCTGAAGAGCAAGCTACCACTGAAGTTTTGTCCTCCTCGAGGGTGCATTGCGGAGGCTCCATCGGAAGCAGTGACGTGTGCGGAGAGCTGATACCCGTCTCAATCGGCTCAATTCACTATGATGAATACATACCAAATCTAATTGATGTGACTTTGATGACCCTCGGCTGTCAATTGATGCTGGAGCTCCGTAGCTGAAGCGACCTGGCTGCTAGTTGCCAAGCTTGCGCAACCTCATCCAAAGCACTTGTGACGAAGACGGCCGCTGACGCCCAACACAACGTCGCCGACAAGCATCCGTGTATCTCGATGTCTTGTTCGCACCCCACATCGCCTCGCCGACGGACAGATGAATGCCAATGGGCTGGCAGATGGGCACAGCTTCACCACCTCCACGCTGGTAGCGGAGATCAAGCTACCAAGGACACAGGGCATGTGTGGGCGACAGCAGCTCCAACTAGGTAGGAGAACGTAACAGTCGTGCAGACCTTGGAAACGTCAAATACACACAAAGACTAACACCATCTCCTGCCCGCATCCTCATATCCTCGCTAACCTGCCCACATGGCAGGAGTTGGCTCTGCTTCGATGTGGTACGTGCTGGCCGTCAGCTCATGATTCGCGATGCTGACTCCGATTCAAACAGACGACAGCTTGTTCCGTGCGCCGTGCGCCGTGCGGGTATTCTTCCTATCGCTCCTTCCACCGTAACCTCCACCTCATCCCACAGTCGGTCGTAGCAACGAACACGTATCCACGATGTGAAATATATCACTACAATCATAAGAAATGGTTCGATTCAAAGACGACGGCCTTGCATTGACAGCGAGAGCTCTACAAGAGCAGGGTAGAAAAACACACCAGCCTGCCCTGGATGGAGTCGCCCCGCCGTGACAGCGAGTACGCAACATAGAAGGAAGTACGGCGACCAGAATCACTGCCTGCTTGTTCGGATTTGACCTGGTCTTCATGCAGCGCCTTGTTGTGAGCTCATCGAAATCGCGATGTTTCAGGTCCGGTTTCGAGCCTGTTTCCGAAACAAGCACAACAAGAGCATTTCACGCCGAAGCCACACAGAAAGCAGACACTAGGAGTCATCCATGTCTGCAACGGGAGATGCGCCGGTCCGGTCTCTTTGACTTCTGCTTTCGGCGCGCAGATTGTCACAGCGTGCTGGCACAGTGTTAGGACTGATACCAAGCTTCGACTTTCCTGCAGCAAAGCTTGTCAGCGGTAACTCTGCGGGAGGCGTATATATCGCCAGCGTCTTGAGGCTGATTGAGCCAGTTTCCCCATCATTCGTATCATCTTGTAATCCTGTGCCGGTCACGTTCTGTTCATTCTTCAATCTATATCAACTTCCTAATCAGTCAATATGAGGTTCACTACTTTCATCACTGCCGCAGCTTTCTCTAGCGCTGTTCTTGCTTCCTCTGGTGTGTGACACTTGGCCGCGTCACTGACATGTTACTCACGTACCACAGCAAAGCGCGACCCTCAGCAGGATGTGGCAGCTATCCTCGAGGCTCTCCGTGAGAACAACCCCGAGGACGCCGACGCCGCCGCAGCCGTCATGAACGTCAAGCTCCGAGCTCGCGCTCCAGAGCCCCAGAGCGACCTCGACTCTATCTTGGCCGCCCTCGAAGCTAACAACCCCGACGATGCGGCTGCGGCTCGTCAGGGTACCAAGCCCGCCACCAAGCGTCAATCTCAGAGCGACATTGACTCCATCCTCGCCGCCCTTGAGGCCAACAACCCTGATGACGCTGCTGCTGCTCGCCAGGGCGCAGGTAAGCCGGCCGCCACCAAGCGCCAGTCGCAGAGTGACATCGATTCCATTCTCGCCGCCCTTGAGGCCAACAACCCCGACGATGCTGCTGCGGCTCGCCAGGGTGCAGGCAAGCCTGCTTCTACTAAGCGCGAGCCCCAGGACGACGTTGCGTCCATCTTGGCTGCACTGGCGCAGAACAACCCCGAGGATGCTGAGGCAGCCAAGGGCGCGATCCAGAGGAGGCAGGATGACGTTGCCAGCATCCTCGCCGCGCTGGCTCAGAACAACCCCGAGGACGCGAAGGCGGCCCAGGGTTTGGCCAAGCGTTGGTTGGCTTAGGGCTGATGGAGTAGCAAATGAAGCTTAATGGCGAGATACCAGTTCATTTTAGTACAATTGTATATAGGCATTCTTGTAAATGGAACATCATCGACTGATGCACTTGAGATTGTCACGGTGCTGGTTGAATATACATGTCAAGAAGTCTACACACAAGCGGGTTTAGCGGAGATTGATTACGGCAGATTTGATTGCTGATCCTGCTGTGCATGTGACCTTCATCGAGCTCCAGCCTCACACCACACCTCCAGACCAGCCACACCGCACTTGGGGCAAAACACGTAGTGTGGAATGCATGTTGACTCTTCACAAGGTTGACACACCAGGTTGACGCAAACGGGCGCAGGACGGCCCTCCGAAATGCTGCCCTTCTGCCACCAGACTTGATACGTGTGAGACTCGGAGCATGCTCGACATGGAACGACGATCGTGCTCCGCCGATACCCAATCAGGTGTTGGGCCGTTGCGTGTAGTCGCAATTGTAAGCATCTCTACCACAGCACCAGCAATAAGCACAACACACAAAGGGCAGAGCATAAGGCTGAGCATCGCAGCGTCGGAGAGCTTCAGGCTCCGTCTGCTCCCAGGGCGCAGAAAAGGGCGGCAATCTGGAAGCTGGCAGCGTTGCCAGCGATTGGAGAAATTCGCGGCCTAATGTGGAAAGCGCCTCTCTAGCGAGAAGGCACTAGCGCGAGCAGCATCGCCCCGCACCCTTCATTAGAAAAGCTTTGCAGTGCCCGCTCTCTTCTTTTCTCGTTGCAACGCACGCCAACGTCAAAGCCTCTATCTTGCAGAGCGCTCCGTCTCCTGGTCCATCCGCCAGAGACATCTCCTGCAACCCTTAGATCCGAAACCTCCAGCGCGGGGTCTTCGTCCACTACCGTTGAATTTTCGTAAGAGAAGACAGCCACAACACCGCCAATATGGTCAAGTAAGTGCCGCCACGCTGCTGCGAGACGTCGGAAGCTCGAGCATGCATGTAATTGACGGGACACGATGCTAACATGCCGCCAGCTTCACCACCGAGGAGGTACGTTGCGCGCACACATGCCCCGCCATCATGCGACGATATTCGACCCCGCCGAAGACCAGATGCTAACAGCGCCCAGATCCGTGGTCTCATGGACAACCCGGCGAACATCCGTAACATGTCCGTCATTGCCCACGGTAAGCAACACACAGTTCCATCACTGCCGGCAGCGCTGACCTACCCCGCCAGTCGACCACGGCAAGTCCACCCTCACCGACTCGCTCGTCCAGCGTGCCGGTATCATCTCGGCTGCCAACGCGGGTTCCGCCCGTTTCACCGACACCCGTCCCGATGAGCAGGAGCGTGGTGTGACCATCAAGTCCACCGCCATCTCCCTGTTCGCCCAGCTTCAGGACCCCGAGGATATGGCCGATATCCCCATCAAGACCGAGAAGAACGAGTTCTTGATCAACTTGATCGACTCGCCTGGTCACGTTGATTTCTCCTCCGAAGTCACCGCTGCTCTCCGTGTCACCGATGGTGCCCTTGTCGTCGTCGACACCATCGAGGGTGTGTGCGTCCAGACCGAGACTGTGCTCCGCCAGGCTCTCGGTGAGCGCATCAAGCCCGTTGTCATCATCAACAAGGTCGATCGTGCTCTTCTCGAGCTCCAGGTCTCCAAGGAGGACCTGTACCAGAACTTCTCCCGTGTCATTGAGTCGGTCAACGTCGTCATTGCCACATACTACGACAAGTCTCTCGGTGACGTCCAGGTCTACCCCGAGAAGGGTACCATTGCCTTCGGTTCCGGTCTGCACGGATGGGCTTTCACCATCCGCCAGTTCGCCACCAGGTACGCCAAGAAGTTCGGTGTCGACAAGAACAAGATGTGCGAGCGTCTGTGGGGCGACTCCTACTTCAACCCCAAGACCAAGAAGTGGACCAAGGTTGGCACACACGAGGGTAAGCCCCTTGAGCGTGCTTTCAACCAGTTCATCTTGGACCCCATCTTCCGCATCTTCAACGCGGTCATGAACTTCAAGACCGACGAGATCCCCACTCTCCTCGAGAAGCTCGAGATCAAGCTCACCAGCGACGAGAAGGACTTCGAGGGCAAGGCTCTCCTCAAGGTCGTCATGCGCAAGTTCCTTCCCGCTGCCGACGCTCTCCTCGAGATGATGATTCTCCACCTTCCTTCTCCCGCCACCGCGCAGAAGTACCGCATGGAGACCCTGTACGAGGGTCCCCACGACGATGTCAACGCCATCGCCATCCGCGACTGCGACCCCAAGGGTCCCCTCATGCTGTACGTCTCCAAGATGGTGCCCACCTCCGACAAGGGCCGTTTCTACGCCTTCGGTCGTGTCTTCGCCGGTACCGTCCGCTCCGGCCTGAAGGTCCGCATCCAGGGTCCCAACTACGTCCCCGGCAAGAAGGAGGACTTGTTCATCAAGGCCATCCAGCGTACCGTCCTCATGATGGGTCGTTTCGTCGAGCCCATCGACGATGTCCCCGCCGGTAACATTCTTGGTCTTGTCGGTGTCGACCAGTTCTTGCTCAAGTCTGGTACCCTCACCACCAACGAGACTGCCCACAACCTCAAGGTTATGAAGTTCTCCGTTTCCCCCGTCGTTCAGCGCTCCGTCGAGGTCAAGAACGCCCAGGATCTGCCCAAGCTTGTCGAGGGTCTGAAGCGTCTCTCCAAGTCCGACCCCTGTGTCCTGACTTACATCTCCGACTCCGGTGAGCACGTTGTCGCCGGTGCCGGTGAGCTCCACTTGGAGATTTGCCTGAAGGATCTCGAGGAGGACCACGCTGGTGTCCCTCTCCGTGTTTCCGACCCCGTCGTCCAGTACCGTGAGACCGTCAGCGGCACATCGAGCATCACTGCTCTGTCCAAGTCGCCCAACAAGCACAACCGTCTCTACGTCACTGCCCAGCCCCTTGACGAGGAGGTCTCCCTGGCCATCGAGGCCGGCAAGATCGGTCCCCGTGACGATTTCAAGGCCCGTGCCCGTATCCTTGCCGACGAGCACGGCTGGGACGTCACCGATGCCCGTAAGATTTGGTGCTTCGGTCCCGACACCACTGGCGCCAACTTGTTGGTCGACCAGAGCAAGGCTGTCCAGTACCTCAACGAAATCAAGGATTCCGTTGTCTCCGGTTTCCAGTGGGCCACCAAGGAGGGTCCCGTTGCTGAGGAGCCCATGCGTTCCGTCCGCTTCAACATCATGGATGTCACTCTCCACGCTGATGCCATTCACCGTGGTGGTGGTCAGATCATCCCCACCACCCGCCGTGTCCTGTACGCTGCTGCTCTCCTCGCCGAGCCCGCTCTCCAGGAGCCCGTCTACCTCGTCGAGATCCAGGTTCCCGAGCAGGCCATGGGTGGTATCTACGGTGTCCTCACCCGCAGGAGAGGTCACGTCTTCGAGGAGAACCAGCGTGTCGGAACGCCCCTCTTCAACATCAAGGCTTACCTCCCCGTCAACGAGTCGTTCGGTTTCACTGCCGATCTCCGCTCCAACACTGCCGGCCAGGCCTTCCCCCAGTTGGTCTTCGACCACTGGCAGATCCTCCAGGGTGGCTCGCCGCTTGACAACACCACGCTGCCTGGTAAGATTGTTGCTGATATGCGTAAGCGCAAGGGTATCAAGGTTGAGGTACCTGATCTCAGCAACTACTACGACAAGTTGTAAACGAAGGCTATCAAAAGTTTTAGATTCCCTTTCGTTTGGAGCCCGACAGTTGTGGGCTGCAGGCCTCGGCTGATACGCATGGCGCTTAGCACCAGAGCAAGCAAATGTCGGTCCGGGCATTGCCCATGGACGGTCGGGTTCTTGGCTTGGACCAAGCTACGGATGATGACCCTTTCCTTGCCGTTCAGCGTGTAGTGTAGTTTGCAAGAATCGAACTCGGTGCACATATTCTCAAATGATGATGGTGATTTCTAAAACTAAGTAAATGCTTTGACACACGCGGGGCTGTCATGTGAGTGCGGGTCAAGCTCTGACGTTTTACGCGCGACGCGTTGAGCTGCGGCAGTCTAACTCCAACTCAACCTGCGTGAGCGTAACTTTACCTCGACGCATGCGAGCCACGCGAGCATGTTGCTGCCGGAAGAAGATGCGGATGTGTTCAAGCGCTGGGTGCTGCCCAAGCTGGAGACGATGTAGGCTTGTGCTCAGATGTGCTGGCACCGACTGACGTGCGCAGCTCTGACGCCGACGCAGAGGTGCTCGCCGACTACGTGGTCGCGCTGGTCACGACCAAGGACACAGATGCGAGCATCCGGCGCAACTGTCTAGAAAGCCTGTCGGACTTCTTGCAGGACAGTAGGTGCGCGCGGGCTGACGGGCGGAGCGAGCTGACCTCGCAGACACGGCGCCCTTTGTCGACGAAGTCATCCGCACCCTGAAGAGCAAGGGCTATGCCCCGGGCACGAGCACGAGCGCGAGCGCGAGCGCCAGCGCGACAGCGCCAATTCCGTCGATAGTCGGGACCTCGACCGCCGAGTACCTCCCCCACCCGCACGCCTCGACGGCGCCCCTTCATGCGCCCAAAGGCCCGGCTGCGAGCCGTCACCGTCTGCCCGACCGCCCGACCGGAGCCTCCGCGCAGCCAGCGTCGCGGAAGCGCAAGCAGAACGAGCGGGACGCAAGCCAGGCGCGCGACAATGGCGACCGGCCGGCCAAGCAGACGGCGCGCAGAGGCAAGAATGGCCGCGGCCTGAACGCCCACGCGCCCGCCTTTGCGCCCATGCCCCCGTTCAACCCAGGCTTCGGCGACGTCCCCCCCTTCGACCCCGGGAACCCCATGGCCTTTCTCGCCATGGCCGCTGCCTTTGGCGTCAACCTGCCCGGCATGCCCGGCCTGTCCTCCCTCGACGCCCACGGCGCCCCCATCCGCTGCGCCGACTACGACACCAAAGGCTACTGCGCCGCCGGGTCGCTGTGTCCGTACTCGCACGGCCTAGACTACGAAGTCGACGGCCCCGCGCCCGCCCACGCCCGCCCCGACGCCCCGTCCTCCACCCTCGTCCTCGACAACATCCCCGCAGCCCACTTCTCCGAGCCCGCCATCCGCGCCTTCTTCGCGCCCTTCGGCGCCCTCACAAGCATCACCCTACACCCCCCGCGCCTCGCCCTCCTCTCCTACGCAGACCCCGACGCCGCGCGCGCCGCCCACACCAGCCCGAAGCCCATCTTCGACAACCGCTTCGTCACGCTGACCTACCCGCCGTCCACGGACCGCCCCGCCGACGCTGTCCCACAAGAGACGCCAGAAGAGGCCGCCACGCGCCTCGCCGCCGCACAAGCCGCGTTCGAGTCGCGCCGCGCCAAGTTCGAGGCCGCCGAAGCCGCCGCCGCGGATATCGAGCGCAAGCTGCAGCACACCAACGCCGAGATCGCGCGCGTGCGGCGCCAGATCGCGGGCGTGGCGGGTGCCGAGGACGCGGGCGACGATCTCGCCGTGCTGCAGGCCGAGGCCGCCACGCTGTTCGCACAGCAGGACGCCGCGCACCAGGATGCCGCGCACTGGCACGCTGCTGGGCCGGGAGCGGGGGCGGATCGTGCGGCGGGTGGCGGCGTGTACGGCCGGCCCTATGCGCGGCCCCGAGGCGCGTTTCGCGGGCGCGGCGGGCCGCGGACGGGGGTCCGGCGGTTGGACAACCGGCCCAGGGGGGTCGTGGTGAAGGGGGTCGAGGCGGGGAGTGCGAGGGACGAGGGGGTGAGGGTTGTGTTGCTGGTGAGTTACTTTCTTGTCATGTCTTCTTGGGGTGTTGTCAAGCTAGTGAGAGAGGGAGGATTCGGGATATCCACGCGGTGCTGGATCGACGCAACGAGATGCACCCAGCTGCGCTGCGCAGCGTTACGGCATACCACCTGCTAACGCGCCCCCAGAACACCCCCGGCGTCGTGGCCACACACGTGCACCCCTCGCAGCCCGACGCGCTGGTCGTCGGCTTCGCAGAGCGGTACCAGGCCGAAGCTGTGAGTCTCCCGTTGTCCCTTTGCCCCCATACCTCCCGATCTCCAACTCGTCCCCATACCTCCCGGTCTTCCACTCGTCCCCATACTGCCCGGTCTTTTACTCGTCCCGCCCATCCCCATCCGTCGCTCCGCAACCCTAACTCCCCCGCAGTTCATCGACACAGCACACAACCACCCCTCCCTCGGCCCGCTGGACATGGAATGGGCGCCCAACGAGCTGTTCGCCGACGCACGCGGTGCACATGCATCCACGTCTCAAAGCACCGCTGCAGGTGCGGCCACAGACCAGACTGCAGGTGGGGTTACAGGCCGAGATGGAAAGAGGGGGGCAGATGGGCGCAGAGATGGGAGTCCGGCGTCGTCGGCGGGGACGCTGGGTGCGGATGCAGAGGCGGGTGGGGTGGGCGAGGCAGATGGTGGGGTAGACGATGCGGATGTAGACATGGACGTCGCCGAGGACGAGGACCGGTGGCTGTAGCGCTGGCGGATGGAAGATGGAGGTTGGAATGGAGGGAGGGGCTGGCGTGACGTGGTGTAGACAAGGCATAGTGCATAGTATAGAAGGGGGGCGAGGAGGTGTGTATAGCAGTATAGCAGTAGCAGTATAGCAGTAGCAGTACAGCAGTGAATGCTAGAGTCTGTTACATCACAGTACATCACAGCACGATACCCGTCACGCGAGACTCAGCACGGGGAAGCGGAGTGTAGACGCATAGCAGGGCGCGAGGAGAGTTGGTGTGGGACAGACGAGAATCGCAAAGCGCAATGTTGGAAGACGTGTGCACAGCACAGTACAGCATAGCATAGCATAGCATGGCACGTTGGAGCAGCACCGGAAGCCATACGCACAACGCACCACATCCTACGATACATCTCAAGCTCTTCTCAAGCTCTTCTCAAGCTCTCGATCCCGCTGCATTCGCATCTGCATCTACCGCCCAAAGCTAAACCAGCCCTTCTTAACCTTAGGCCTCTCCTCCTTCTCCTTCTCTTCCTTCTCCCCTTCTTTCTCCCCTCCATCTCCCTCCCCAGCCCCACCCCTCGTCTCCTCCACCTGCGTCTGCGTCTGCCTCCCAGGATACCCAACATAATTCCACGCCACATCCAAAAACAGCGGTTTCACCGGCACCGCCCTCAGCGCCGGCGGCCAGGTAACCAGATTCTGCAGCGCGGCGTCAGCACCCGCGGCGGCGGGAGGGGGGAACGCGTTGAGGCGCTCGACGACCGGGGCCGTGGGCGCGGACTTGGCGGACGCCGGGGTCGCGGCGGTGAGCTGGCCCAGGGCGACGACGCCGCGGTAGTGTGCGGTTAGGTGGGTGAGCGTGGTTTTCAGCGTCGCAGCTTGCTGGGCGGAGACGGCGAGTGAGGGCGCCGCGTCGGCGTCGGTATCGGCATCGGCGTCGGTAGTGATAGCCGGCGCGAGGGCCAGGGCGCGGCTGCACAGGGCGAGCGCGGCGGTCGGGTTGGCCAGCAGCGCGTGTGCGCGGGCGAGGTTCACGCACTTGAGCGCGGAGAAGTAGGCGCGCTGGGCGGCCAGCTCGGCGGTGAAGGAGGCGTCGCGGGCAGCACCAGGCAGCGCGGCGATGGCGTCGATGCTCTGGGTAATCGCATCATACAGCGCGGTGCGCTCGCGCAGGCGGGCGAGGGTGCGGCCGGGGGGCTCAGGGCGCGGGGCAGCATCGGGCGCGGCGTGTTTGCGGGGCCGGGACGCGGAGGCAAAGGTCAGGCCGTCGGCGGCGCTGATGAGCACGCGGTTGCGGCCGATGCGCCACGAGATGAGGGCGTACGAGGTGGCGAGGCTGGTGACGCGGAGGTCCTGCATGCGCGGGTCGGCTTCGGGGACGCTTTCTTTCTCGAGCTCGTCGATGGCGCGGCGGGTGGCGTCGACGGCGTCCTGGGAGGCGGTGAGCACGGCGTCGTAGGCGGCGGCGCGGTCTTTGGGGGTCGACGACGCGGTGGACTGGAGGGAGCGGGCGGCGGCGTCGGTCGCGGCGAGGGCAGCGCCGATAGCGGCGTCGACGATGTTAGCGGTGCGGCCGCGCCAGGTGATTTGCGAGGCTGGAGGTCAGCAGAGTCGGGGTGTGCAAATACATAACTTACTCGATGCCGTGGCGGCGTCCTCCTGCAGGGCGGCGGGGTCGATCTTCTGCACGGCGGCGGCCAGCTCAGCGTCCTTGGGGAAGTACTTGAGGGCGACGGCGGGCACGCCGACGGTGCGCGGGATGCGGTTCTGGTAGGCGGCGTAGCGGATGCTGGGGTCGACGGTGGCGGACAGGACGTCCTTGAACAGGTCCTGGCGCGTGGCGCGGTGCAGGGCGCTGTACAGCACGCGGGCGGCGGCGAAGCTGGCCAGACAGGCGTCCCAGCGCTGCGGGGGCGCGCCCGTCTTGATGCCCTCGGCCTGCTTCTCAAACTCCAGCGCGCCGGCCAGGGCGAACTCGTAGGCCCGCGCCTCCAGGGCGTCCGTCGGCGAGGCGCCGCTCGCGGGGTCGGCCAGCAGCACGACAATCTCCCGCGCGGCCTGCACGGCCTTGTGCAGGCGCGAGAGGATGTGGCGGCGGGTCGAGCCGGTGATGCGCTGGGCGGCGTTGTCCTCGGAGTGCAGCGCCTTCATGGCCATTGCGTGCGCCCATGCGCGCTCGGCGGCGAGCAGCAGGAGATGCAGGAACCTGCGGGGTCAGCACAGCCCACATGATACGCATATCCGGACGCACTCGATGTTGGCCGCGACGTCGGCGGGCGTCACGGCGGCCTTTGCGGCGTATCTGGCATTCTTGGGGGTCGCGCGGCCCAGCTTCTTCTGCACAATGCGCAGGCGGCGGGTCAGCTGGGCGCGGTACGACGCATAGTCGCCCAGCAGGAAGGCGGCCTCGCGGCGCTCGACGACGAATTTGGTGAGATCCATGGTGTGCGGTGGCTGCGCGGGGCGGCGAGGTGTAAGCTGGCGGGCGGTGAGCGGCGGCAGAGTGCTGGCATCATACATGTCCAAATTTTGGCAGCTCTGCACGCACGCGCCTTGCCACCCGCGTCGCCCTCGTCCGCACCCACGCTCTCTTCTGCATTGCCGGCGTTTTGCTTTGCGTACTGCTCCCCGATGCTCGAGCGCGCCTCGACATGCCTTGAATCCGGCGGACGACTGCTGCGCCCGACGTGTCTGGAGTCCGGCCGTCTCCTGCGCCCGACCCGCCTCGACTGCCCACGCGTGCGCCCGCTGCACGCCCTCCACCGCCGCGGTGCGAGCGACCGCCCGGCCAATGCCTCGAGCAGCGACGCCCTCGACTTCCTGTACCCCGAGAAGAGCCTCGCCCTGCTGCGGCGCCTCGCGCTGCGCGACCGCCGCCCCGCCGCCCGCAGCTATGCCACGGCCCGCCGTGTGGAGGTGGATGCCGGGGAGGCCCAGTACGCGGCCGTGGCCGAGGCGGAGAAGGAGATGGGCGAGCGGCTGGCGGGCGCGTCGGCCTACGACGTGCTGGAGGAGCTGCTGCGCCGCAAGGAGCCCGGCAAGCAGGAGCTGGCCTGGCTGCTCTACGGCGCCCTCCCGCCCGACGCCCGAGGCCCGCCCGTCATCCTGCCGCTGCTCGACTACCTGACCGTCGACCTCGACCCCGCCGTGCCCGAGCGCGTCACCCAGCTGTTCGACCAGCTCCCCGTCGGCGCCCGCACCGCCGCCGCCTACCGCGCCACCATCGTCGCCCACTCGGCCCTGGGCCAGGTGGGCCCGGCCATGGCCCGCCACCGCGACGCTGCCCACGGCGCGCGCTTCGTCGAGTACGAGAACCACGTGCCCGACCTCGGCACCAACGCCCTCCTGCGCCGCCTGGTCGCCGACGAGCAGTGGGACCTCGTCATCCGCGTCTACGCCTACTACGTCAAGCGCGCCCGCTTCTCCATCGACCGCCAGCGCACCACCTACCGCATCCGCTGGGGCCAGGCCACCCTGCCCGAGATCTGGCACGACGCCGCCCAGCTGCCCGAGATCCGCGAGCACCTGCAGTCGCTGTTCTTCTACATCCGCCGCCACAAGTCCGAGCTCACCGCCGACCCCAAGCGCACGGAGCTATACATCACCTTCGTCCAGAGCTTCGTCGCCCACGTCATGGACCGCGTCCTGCACGTGCGCAAGCCGAATGATGACCACATCTGGGACTGGTTCACGAAGCTCTTCGACGACCTGCACGAGCTGGACATCCCGCCCGACGCCAGCTACCACCACGCCATCACCTCCATGCTGAAGCTGGAGCGCTACCGCGTCTACACCAACCAGCGCAAGCTGCACCTCGAGCTGTACCGCCGCTACCGCCAGTGGTACCTCTACGAGCGTGTCGACGATCCCGCCTGGAAGCCGCTGCCGCCCCAGCTCCCCCTGCTGACCTCCATCCTCAACAGCCACGGCAAGCACTCCAGTCTGGACCGCGTCAACGACCTGGTCGCAGACATGCGAACCTTCTACCCCGGCAAGCCGCTCACGCCCCCGGTGCTGCAGCTTTTGCTGCAGATCTACGCCGAGCACGGCGACGTTGCCCGTGTTGACGAGTACTTCGCCGCGGTACAATCCTCCACCAACACCCTCACCCACAAGCAGGCGAATGCCCTCGTCTACGTCCACGCTCGGCGCGCTGACGTTCCGGGCGCGCTGGCTGCCTTCCAGCGCATCCACGACCTCGGCCTCGTCCCCGACCAGTACATGTGGAACACCCTGCTCCTCGCCTACGTGCGCGCCGACGACCTCGACGGCGCCCTCGAAACCTTCAACCGGGCCCTGGACGCCGGCCTGCAGCCAAACGTCCACACCTTCGGCCCCATGCTTGACATGTGCGCCAATCGCGGCGACATCGAAGCCTTTGAGTCGCTGTACTCGCGAGCCAAGCAGCTTGACGTCCCTCTGGATAGAGATGTCCGTGCCCGCTCCGGCTATGTGCAGGCGTTTCTGAATGCAGAAGACATCGGCGCGGCAGAGGAGATTGCCCAGGGCATGCTGAAGCAGTGGAAGGGGGGCTTGCTGACCGGCCACCCGCTCACCCATACGTGGAACATCATGATCCAGTACTACGCCCTGCGGGGCGACGTGGCCAACGGCCGTCGCCTGTACCGCGAGATGGTCGACAACCAGATCCCGCTGGACAACGTCACCTTTGCCAGTCTGATGCGGGCCCTTATCGAGATCAAGCAGACCAACGCCGCCTACAAGATTTTAAAGGTGACCCTCCCCGAGCACAACCTGCGCGTTGAGGCTATCCACTACGCCATTGTCATGACCGGCTTCCTGAAGGAGGGGCAGTGGGACCTGGCGCTGGACGCCCACGAGCGCATGATTGAGCGCAATGTGAACCAGACCATCAGCTCGCGCCAGGCCTCCATCAACACCATCGGCATGTCCGAGTTGGTGCGCCTGCTCAAGGCCAAGAACGACAACCCGCGCCGCCACCTGCGCCATGTCGAGACTCTACTTCGCGGCATGTTGACGTCCGGCGACGTCGGCCAGGACATTGCCCACCGCCAGCCCAACCACAACCGCTATATCGAAGCCCACACGCAGTCGGTCGTCCCGGCATCCTACTACGGCCTGCTCATCACGCTGTACAACACCCGCGGCGCCTACCAGATCTGCAAAGACCTCTTCGCCAAAGCCGAGGCCACCATGGAGCCCACCGACTTCGACGCGCCGACCAACTTCATCACCGCCGTCATGGAAGCCCACTACCGCGCCAAAGAGTGGTCCGAGGTCGAAAAGTGCTGGGCCCAGGTGCTCGAGTCGTCGTCACGCCTGATCAAAACCTTCCAGCAGATCATGTTCCCCGACCCCGCCGCGCCCGACGGCACCAGCCTGACCGACCCCGTGGTCCAGCAGCGCTTCGCCGAGTCCCGCATCGCGCACAACCGCCGCCAGATCATCACGCGCGCGACCCGCATCTACATCCGCTCGCTCATCAACCGGCACCCGCCCTCGCACCCCGCCGCCGCGCCGCTCATCACCCGCGCCCAGCTCGCCATGCGCGATTTGTTACTAAAAGGCTTCGCCATCGACAACTTCACCTGGAACGAGTTCGTCGTCGCCCTCGCCGACCACGGCCACCTCGTCTCCGCCTTCGCCGTCGCAGAGACGTATCTCATGCCGCGCTTCCCCGGCTGGCGCAGCCTGGCGCCCTTTTTCGTCCGCACAGACCGCCGCGGGTACCAGTGGATGGAGCTGCGCCACTACGACATCAAACGGAATACCGTGGTGCCCAGATACAAGACGCTGGTCGTGCTTGCGAGGGCGCTCAAGCAGGTCAAGGAGGATGAGAGGGGCGGGGCGGGGTTTAGCGAGGGCAGGTGGATGAGAGAGGTTTTGGAGGAGAGGGCGCCGCTGGTTTGTAGGGCGGTTGAGACGATGCCGCGCACGGGGGATGGGTTGCAGGAGAGGTATTTTGGGGTGGGGGAGTGAGGTGGGGTGGCGAGGAGGCGGTGGGTGTGTATCTGGGAGTGTATTTGGGTGTATTTGGGTGTATATGGGTGTATCTGGGTGTATCTCGGAGTGTTTGGACGTGTATCCTGGAGTATCCTGGAGTGTATCGCGGAGTGCTTGGCAGTGTCTGGGAGTGCCCTGATCTGTACTTTGCACTGTCCGGGAGCATCTCCAGCCCCCGACGAGCGATGTGTATGTGTACGAATCATGTATTGTAAATCAGCGCGTTTTCCCGCGCACACCCCGAATAGATAGATAGATGTAGACTAGAACCCCGGCTGGCTAGCTCGGGATTTGTATAGTACGAGTGTAGGAGTGCAGTAAACGTATAGTAAGAGTATAGGACAAATACAGTAAGAGTATAGGACGAATATAGTACGAGTAGGAGTATAGTAGAGTACAGTAGTAGTATAGTACGTATATCACGAGTAGGAGTGTAGCACGAGTATAGTAAGAGCACAGTACCCACCACAACATAGTCACCAGTATACTACGTTCTCCCGCGCCACATCGCACATCACCGTGAATTTAGAGGGGAGTGTGAGGTTTGAGGCGACTTTGGGACTTTGGGGGTTCAAGGGGGCTATGAAAGTTTGAAGCAACGATGGCAACTACAAGACTCCAAGCCAACCACAGCAAACTCGCAGCAACTACATCAAACCCGCAGCAACTGTACGTCTAGAGTATCTGCGGCCGGTCTGAAGCAGCTGCAGAAGGTTCAACGTAGCTCCAAAAAGGTCAACGCTTAAACGCCAGACAGCGAACGTGGGTGTACGTCACTTCGTACTTGGAGATCGTTGTTATCGTAGTAGATCGCGACAGCGCGGTGCTTAGCTGACTGGACTGGGCCTGCGCAGGGGCGGGGTTGTGATGTAGTACTATGTGCCTACAGACATGGTTCAAGAAGTCAATACATCAGTGCGTGTAAGAACGTGCAGATCCCCCTAACTATAGAACAGAGATGTACTTATAGGTAGTAAGGGCTTCTGACTAGCTATCAACGTCTAGTGAAATTTCTTGTAGAGTGTTACGATAATGTAGGAGTTCACTGATAGCAAAATGGTTTGTTGGTTGCTACTATAGTACGTATACGTAGCTGCACTGCGCAATGTGTTGTATAGGTGAAGGGGGTCTACATGCACCGCCGATGATTACATTAGGTTGTTCAAGGCATGTTATCACGAATTCATAGTGATGTAATTTGAGAGTGGATTGGATTCAACGTGTTTAGATCCCAACGTTGACACTGTGACTCAACGCGTGGAGTGCAAAAAAGTGAGCCCTCACCCTCCGCGTCCAGCCACACTGTCTCCATCCCTATTGGCAGCGCAGTCTACCAGTGTGTACACACCAGACCCCAAAACATGCCTATACCCAACCAAGGTGTCTATACCCAACCAACCTCAGTTCTGCACAGAAGCAGACAGCCCACGCAGACTCGAAATATACCAACGCTTGATGCAGCGTACGATATACGTAGATGCAGATTATCGTAGTCACTGAATAGCGCTACTATAACATCATTCCAACTTTACAATACTCGTGCTACTATGTCGCAGAACCTCCCCTGCGCTACGGAACGGGGCGGGCGCAGTGATACTATCCAGCGCCGAGCTCGTGGCGGAGAGCGTGGAGGACGTGGGTGGAGACGTTGTGGCCTGCTCGCGTCACGTGGGGCTGCGTGGAGGGGAGTCTTGCTGTGGTTCTGGGGGACTGGTGATGGGGTGTCTGCGGTGTCGGAGATGCATGGGTCGGGTTGGGTTGGGTTGGTTCAGTTTGGTTTGGTTTAGCCTGGTTAGGGTGTTATGATCGGACAGTGCGCTCGTGGGTCATATATGTGTGTGGCGCATGGTGTATATGTCTCGGAGATGGCTTGGTGGGACACACACATCACGGCATTTGAGCCACGGGCGAAGGGGCCTGGGCTGTTCTTGAGGGGTTCCGAGGTGTACACGTTTTGGGCGCGCCTGAGTTCATGGGATTATAGGGCCTCGTCGATGCGGCTTTTGCTGCGGCGTGGGCTGGGCTGGTTGTGTGTGTGGAGAAACAAAAAACAAAACCGGTGTTGATGTTGCTATGTACTACCCATGTACGCAAGTTCGAATCTCCCAGTCACTTCGTGTTCAATCCCCCGGCTACACAGCTAGGTTCGTACCACCACCTTCGCAAACCCACTGCCACATGCCTACTACCACGTGCGCACTCCCACGTTCCCAGACCCACTGCCACATGCCCCCACGCTCCCGCCCTCACTGCCACGAGCTCGCCACGCTAGCAGCCGCCTGGCACCCCGGCACCGTATACGCACGGTTCGGATCGCTCTCCCACGTCACCGCGCCGCCACTCGCCACCTTGACGAACTTGTACGACACCGCCTGTCCCGCCGCCATGCGCAGCGTGATATTCCACACCGGATTGCTGGCCGTGTACAGCGTGGCGCTGAGCGCCGGCGCCGCGGCGGGGCTCCAGCTGCCGAGTTGCGCCGTCGAGCCTGCGATGCGGATCGTGTCGCCGGGCACGGTGGCGACGCGGTGGGTGAACGAGACGGCGACGGTGGCGGGACACGATATTGTCGGGGCGGGGGTGGAGGACGTGCGCAGCGTGGTGGAGGGCGTTGCGGACGAGGCGAGCAAGACGACGGGTTCGCCTGCGGACACGGAGATACATGCCTGCCCATTGCCGTCCGAGGTCACGGTGCCGGAGCCGTACACGTTGGTCCAGCGCCCGTTGGCGCGCTGCGTGTTGATGCAGTGCTGGGCGTTCGAGCTGCTCCCCGCGTTGGTCGTCAGCACGATTAGGTTCCCGCCCGCGCGGCTCCAGGCGTACGCGTTGCTCGCGACGTAGAGGTGGACGTGGTCGTTTCCGGCGAGGCCGCCGGCGGCTTTGCGGGCTGCTGTGAGGCGTGCGATGGCGGTGTAGAGGGGGGTGGTGCGGGAGTAGGAGCTGCGCCACAAGTCTTCGCGGTTTGCGGGATCGGCACCCCCAGCGTAGCCTTGCTCAGTGCCGTAGTAGAGGATGGGGATGCCGCGGGCGAGGATTATGTAGGCGAGGGCGTTTTTCAACAAGGTCTGGTCGTTCTTCACGTTTAACCAACGGGAATTATCGTGATTATCAATAAACGATCCAAGGGCGGCGGGATCGGGGAAGGTAGAGCTCACGGTGTTGATCATATCAACCAGGGCTTGAGCGGAGCCGGTTTGTTGGTAAAACGCATTCATCGGGTAGTAAACCGCGTAGTTCAAAAGGCCCGGCATTAAGCCGGCATAACCAGCAAGATAGGTTGGATTACCGTCCCAGACCTCGCCGATGGAGTAGGCCCCAATAGCGTTGGCGAAGCCGGGCCAAAAGTCCTTCTCAACATGCTTGACGGTATCGATGCGAACACCATCAAAACTATACTCTTTCATAAGCCAGCTGATCCAGGTATTCAGGAGAGTACGGATCTCCGAGCTCTGCGTATTGAGATCCGGTAGGTTGGCAATGCGGCAGTTTTCAATACTGCTCTGGTTCGTGTAGTCGATGTTGCAAGCCGAGTGGTAGGAGGACGCCTGGTTCAGCGGCGCGGGACGGTTGTCGGCAATGTTTGCGAATCCCATGTGATTCGCTACCACGTCTACCATGACATACATGCCCTGGACGGGTCAGTCCGCGCAGGGGTACCGGGGTGTGCTCTTACCTTTGCATGGGCCGAGCTGACGAGGCTCTTCAGGTCGGCGGCAGTGCCGTAGTTGGAGTTGATGGCGTACAGGTCCTGGGCCCAGTACCCGTGGTATCCATCTGCGCTGTCTGCTGAGGTCAGCTTGTGAAGTGGTGGGCATCGGAGTTGGCAACATCAGATATTTGATGGTGACGACCAGGCTAAGGCCTCTACGGGCTTCTACTGGTCTTCACGCTATCAAACGTTTGATTGTGGCCAACTCCAACACTTTGATACTGCTACATACTTGCTACCACGGGCGTGATCCAGATGGCGTCAAAGCCCAATCCTTGAATGTAGTCGAGCTTCGACTCGAGACCCCGGAAGGTACCGCCACAGTACTTCCCGAGGTTGCTGCATGAGCCGCCTCCAGTGTCGCTGCTACTGCGGGCGATGCGGTCTGTGAGTACAAAGTAGATGCTGCGGGATTTCCATGCAGCCGTGTCTGCAGCCGCGACCAGGGACGAGGCCTGGAGCAAAAAGGCAACAATAGCCTTGAAGAACATCATACTGATGCGTATTGATGAACCGAACTCGAGTTCTGATGAGGTCCGGTTTGCGTTGTGTTACGCCGAATATATAGCTGACGTTTTCCTCTCAGCACCGCGTTGCGTACGTAGGTCTTGGATCAGGATGCGAGAGGATCGACCGGCAGTGTCTGCCCATCTCCCATGAATCATGATACAAGGCAATTCGGACTCCGGTCATTCGCGGAGTTCGAACGATCATGTGCGGAGCTGCGTCGTGCCTGACAGCCATTCCCCGCTAGCGCCGCGGTCCGAGAACAGGCCACTCACACCGACTCGCAATCTATCTTTCGAGCAGCAGACCGGTACGAGCCTTCTCGGACCGAGTAACGTGCATGGAACTTTGTCTCTGCTTGGGAAGGGAGGAATCTTCTTTACATTGTGGAGTGTGGGGATCGAGCGGCGGCTAACCCGAAGAAGCAGTTGTGCAGCTTAGTTCGTCCTAGCCTTCCACGGCTCAACCTCACTCATCCCTTTTGAAGGATCATGTCCGCGATCGACAAAGCTCAGAGCCCATCTCCCGTCAAAGGATTGCCAGCGTTTGTGCCATACACCCTCGGTACTGCAGTAAGCGAGCCATCGAACGACACCGGACGCAAGCCGGACGCAGGTCGGTATTGCAGGTGCAGATGTGGCGTGTCGAGCATGCTGAACATCTGCCAGAAACCGGGAGGGCTGCGCGGCTCCAGCTTTGGGCGCGGAGCCCCGCATTTCAGACTCGTGGCCTCGGGGATTACTTCATTTATGATGCAGGCCGTTAGAACGCAGTCGCTCTCGTGACATCTGAAGACTGTAGTTCGAAAACCGCTGTGGGGACCTTGCACCTCATTTGCCCACAGTCGGAGGGTAATATACAACCTCGAGGCTACGATGGAATGGGCAGATACAGCGATACTATGCGATCGGTGAAATTGGAGATGTTGATGTCAACTCCGGAGAGATGCTTGACGCGTTGTGTATATAGCATCAAGGAAGCTTGTCTGTCTCAACTCCAGTCTTGTATCTTCACTCAATCCTTCCACAACTCATCATGAAGTGGGCCGTAGCTCAAGCTCTTGCCTTTGCCGCCGGCGTCTCCGCCCATGGCTACCTGTCTCAGCCCATGAGCCGTACCGGCCTCAACGCACAGTCAGGAGCAGACACCTGCCCCGAGTGCACCATCCTCGAGCCTGTCACGGCATGGCCTGACCTCAACTCTGCCCAGGTTGGCCGCAGCGGACCTTGCGGCTACAACGCGCGTGTGAGCGTCGACTACAACCAGCCCGGCCCTCGCTGGGGCTCCGCGCCCGTCGTCACCTACAGAGGCGGCGACGTGGCCGACGTACAGTGGTGTGTCGACAACAACGGCGACCATGGTGGCATGTTCAGCTACCGCATCTGCCAGGATCAGGCAATTGTCGATAAGCTCCTGACGCCTGGATACCTGCCCACTGCTGCCGAGAAGCAGGCTGCTGAAAACTGCTTCCAGGCGGGTACGCTGCCGTGCACTGATGTGACCGGGCAGACCTGTGGATACAGCCCGGACTGCACTCAAGGCCAGGCGTGCTACAGGAACGATTGGTTTACCTGCAAGGCTTTCCAGGACACCAAGTGCAGGGGTGTCGACAACGCGCCTCTGAACTCCTGCTACACGAGCATCGCCGGCGGATACACTGTAAGTCATAGTGGGTGGGAGGTCGTTGCTTCATACTGACAGCATAGGTCTCCTCGAGGATCAAGATCCCGAACTACGTGTCTAACCACACACTGCTCTCTTTCAAGTGGAACTCGTTCCAGACAGCACAGATTTACCTGACCTGTGCCGACATTAAGATCACAGGAACTGGCTCGAATCCTCCGACCACCACCAGCAGGGTCTCATCTGTAGCGCCCAGCTCAACAAGAGCATCTTCTAGCACTGCTGCTACTGGATGCGCTACGCCCGTAGCGACCGTTGCCGTCACTTTCAACTCCAGGACAACCACTGTTGTTGGTCAGACGGTGAAGATTGCAGGCTCTATTGCGCAGCTGGGCAGCTGGAACACCGCCAATGCACCAGCGTTGTCTGCCGCCCAGTACACCTCGTCCAACCCGCTGTGGACCACGACAATCAACCTGCCCGCGGGTACCAGCTTCGAGTACAAGTTCATCAGGGTCGAGAGCAGCGGCTCGGTGACCTACGAGTCGGGTGCTAACCGTGCCTACACTGTGCCGAGGAGCTGCGCGAGCACAGCCACGGTAGATGCTACATGGAAGTAGATCGTATCTGTTGTGAGCGACCAGAGAGGCTCTGCCTGGTGCTGAGCGTGTTCGGTTCTGTAGGTTGGCGGCTTGGGTTATATTTCTGGCTAGATAGTGAAAGTTTCTTGTCTTGAACGCCAAATTGTTCATCACAGACCTCCGAGTTCTTCCATGAGTCCACACAGCGCCCGCATGAGCGGCGGTCCAGTCTCACGATCCACATCAGGATGCGTTGCATCGAGGAGCTTGACACCGACCTTCATGACCTGCGAAGGATACCTGAGATTGCAGATCTCGGGACGAGTAGGTGTTCCAGATTCTGACGCATGACTCGAGATGATGTGCAGGCACGGCACACCGCTGTTCGCGAGAATGAAAGCATCGAGATCGCTCTGAGCATCTCCAGCTGCGTCGTCAAGGTAGACGATTTTGGCAGGGGGCGAACCGGGTTGTGCGCGCAGTGGTGTCGTGGTGCCGGTCTTCTTCGCGCGATCTCGCACCATCATGCTGTATGTCCAAAGCACCATGATGGCATGATACAGCATGAAAGAGTCAGGCCCACGAATCTGATATGGCGGGATATGTCGAGCAGCCCGTACTACCTGTCCAGCATGACAGATCGCGATGCGGGCTTCTTTTGTTTGACTCCAGGGTGAGAGGTGCGTGTATGCGCTGTTGGCCGCGCTCTCGCCGCATTTGCCCGCAAAGCGAGTGATGAGGTCAAGGTCGACGTGTAGGTACATCTGCAGGAATTGGTGGAATACGCAAGTCACAGCAGGAGATCTGCCGGGCAGAAAATCGTCGCGCTTCAAGCATTGGTAGCTATTGGAGATGTCAGACTTAGTGGCGTGATGGGGAATATACTAACAGTCGTTGCTGTCGCGAACGCGCCCAGAGCTGTAAGGAGGGATCGCTGCTCTCGTGTAAGAGCACGGACTGTTGTGCATGTTCCCAGATCTGTGCGGCGATTCCGTGTAGATACGAGGATCGGGCAACTTGGGAATCTATCTCTAGAGGAAGACAGAGTATGGCCGCATCGTCTTTGAGTAGTGATCGAAGGGAGATTGGATTTGGACTTATGTCCATCTCAAGATAACGCGTTCTCCAAAGCTCTGCTGTAGGTGCTAGCCACAGCGTCTTTGAGGCGGGTAGTGCAAGTGTGAGTTCGCCGTACGAGATCAGCGGTGGGCGGTGCTTGACCATGGTCATATGTATGTCGTGCTCGAACAAGTGATACGCCAACCTATCTAAGTCAGACGATGAAGTTTTTAAGTGCAGCTGGATTCATGTACCTCTTATATGATTCCTGTTCAACCCACTGCTTCCACTTCGTACGTAATTGCTCCTCACTGTCTTCAGCGGAGGGTGTGACTGCGGGATAGCGAACGTAGTCAAGTCTGCCAGCACGTCGTAATGCCTGCGAAATCAGCGTGCGTTATGCAAACATGTCCAATACTCATACTGTCACTAGAGATTGCAAACTGCTCTCCGCAATTTCCATTTTTCTTCTGTACCCGCAGAATGCCCCAATGTCGAGCCAAAGCATCGAAGCTTGGAGATACTCGAGATCACGTATGACACTGTTGTCGTTCTCAGACTGGAGGTGCGTTAGGCCTGTTCTGCTTCAAAGCGGTCCGAGCACTTCGCTCGTACTTACCAGATTGTTTAGAGCAACTCGGACTATTTCCTGTAGCGCCAAGCCTGTCCTGTTCACAGACGGTACGCCAAAGCATACGCATCCAGCGGCGACTAGAGCAGTCAAATACTCTGGCCGGGAAATCGCACTCTCAAAGGTATACGGATGAATCCATGCATCGGTCTCGGTCCTCTTTGCGATACCAACTTTGATCAGTTTGTCGATGCAGTCTGCTGATGGGAACGATGGGATTGTGATCTGGCTCCGCGCCGTCTTGGATACAAGCTGGAAGATACGATCACGAGCACCTGCTGAGAGTTGATCTGGAATTACGATATTTGACGAATACGGCATGTGCGGCGACGAGGCAAGGTCGACATTGCGCTCATCTAGAGTGATATTTTCATGCTCACTAAAAGCGTGCTGGTTCCGCTCTGGAATCCAAAACCTGAGGTACGTCAGTGCAGTTTAGCAGTTCGAATGGTGGTATCATACCATGCCGACTGCTTGAAAGCTGCGTGGCGTCTTCTTGCGGAATTGCTATCGATCTTCTCGTGAGAGTGGTCTGTGTTCCTGGCCGGTTCGGACTCGGACGGCAACACGACGTCTTGCAATACCTGCGATTCCATTATCTGGTCGACCGCTGGAGTAAAGTCGTTTCCGAATATGTCAACTTGTCCAAACCAGTCGACCTCAGGCATCCAAGCCATCAGGTCGGGAGGAGGTTGCATGTATTCAGCACCCATGAAATCTGGTGCTGGAACCATGATTTGCTCGAAAAAAGCTGGGATAGTATGCTGGTTGTAGCCGGTGGTGTTGTAAAGATCGAGCAAGGCTTGTGCATCGGCATTCGTCTCCTCCAGGAAGACCTCATCCACTTGCATGACATTCTCAAATTGACCCACAGATGCTGTGAAAACCTCCTGTTCTTCACCCGATGTTGCTCGGGGGAACGGTGACGACTCAGACGACTTGGTCATGCACGGCAAACTTCTCTTCTGGCACCGTTTGCAGGGCCTGCCATTGTCGCATTTGACCTTGGAGACCACGCAGGAATTGCAGGCCTTAGTGGCACGTTCTGCAACACGATTTGGACCTGTGAGCCCATCCTTTGCGTTTTTCGCGTGGGTTGCTTGGTGTCTGAGTAGCAGATCCCTTCGGTTGAACGCTGCAGGACACTCTTCGCAGCGGAAAGAACGCTCATTGCGGTCTACGTATGGTCAAAACGTCGAGTAGTAGCCCGCGCTAGAGATCACTCACGTGAGTCGAGATGTCGGTGCAAGTGGTCGGCACGCTCATACGATCGGTGGCAGACCTGACACTGGAGGGTTCCAATCGAGGATGCATCGGAAGTCCGCTGACGTTTCAAGGGTCGCACATTCGTTGTCATCTCGACCGACATAATGGTCGAAAGGTCGGAGTACGGAAAGGTGGGAGACGAATAGCTTGAGGGCCATTACAACTTCGGCAGTCGGAAAGTGGGCGCAATCTTGCCCGAGCTTGCATGCGGGGTGCGCGGCGATCGAGCCGGTGGCACATCAATTGCCGAGTTTTGCGTCCTTCCGATATCGAAAGCAGACTGAATGCTGCGGAGTCGTTTGCTGTCTACACAAGGTCATAAAATTCGATTGGAAGGCCTACCTCTACTTTCTGGGGCTTGCAGGGTTGGTTACACAGAAAGTATCCGATGGCGAACAACCCAGCAAAAAGCTCGTAAAGGCTGTCACGGAGCTCAGCTGAGTCGACCATCAAACGTTTGTTTGTTGCTAAGTTTTATTGCTAACTCTGAAGGCTTTCCTCCTGATTGTCCTAGTCTAACAAGCCGAGGCCACTGCAAGTGTCTGCATGCCCGCTGTTACTGCTGCCACCGAACGCTTCTCTTCCCAGTCTCTTACACCCCGATACGTGCAATTGTAATCCATGAATTCGTCTGGACGCCTGTTTGGGTTAGATTAAGCAAACAACGTGCACAATGAGAAACTTACATCTTGATGACGTTGCTGCCCTGGTCGGTTGCGGGCTTTGCAGCCTCACGACTGAACTTCTGGATCAAGCTTGCACGTTCGTAGCGACTGTGGAAAACGTCCTCCAAGATAGTAGACACCTCGTTCTTGGAGGGCCTATCAGTGATATGGTCGAATAGTGTCCCCAAAGCCTCTGCATCTTCAATTGTTTGGCTTGCACCCTGCCCTTGAGTGGGCAGCATTGCGTGCGCAGCATCGCCAATAAGGATCGTACGTCCAGAGTGCCAAGTCTTCAGTGGATCTAAGTCGCGCAGCTGCCAGAGGCCTATGCTGTCGGCGTTTCGAAGTGCATCCTGAGTCCAGCTTGGGAAGTCTTCAAAGGTGTCTAGCATCTTCTCGGGATTTCCTTCGGTGACCCACGACTGAGCGCTGCCAGGATCTTCGTTCATTTGCTCGTCCGGTACCAGTCCGACAATACTATAAAGCAGTGCGTCGCGAGCAGGGCCCATGATGAGCCGGCAAGAATGCGCCATAATCATAGACGTGTAAGGTTCTTCTGGTTTAATGTTTTCCGCGAATCGAGGCGCACACTCGTTTAAGACCGTAGTAGGAAGCATGAGTCGATATGCTGAGAAGCCTGTAGATTTTGGCTTAACCTCTTCACCGAGGACGGAAGTGCGCAGGACACTGTGTATGCCATCTGCACCGATGATGAGATCTCCTTCTAAAATCTCACCGTCTTCAAGTGTGACCTTGCCTCCGTTGCAGTCGCAGCACGATACTCGCGTTGAGGTACGTAGTATCGCGGGCTGTCCGTCCCGTTCCGTGCTTACAGCCATACTTCTCAAATACGTGTGAAGGTCTTGTCTATGCCACATGATGCGATCTGCTCCATACTGTGTCATACTTCGAAGAGGTATCTCGTTCACCATCTTTCCATCGGTATTGTAGATCCTGAAGCCATGATCGACGGTTCCGTGTGAATCGCTGAGAACGTTCCGCAACCCCCATGACTGCTGTATAATTCTCGTGGCATTGGGCTGTAGCGATATTGTAGCACCAATCTCAGTACTGAGGCGAGACTGTTCGAGAATGGTGATCTGACGATTGTCTTTCCGCAGAGCGATGGCAGCTGCCAACCCTGCGATACCGCCGCCCACGATGATGATCCGGAATGGCGTTGGTGATGACATCTCGAGAAGTCTTGTGATCTGTGAGTGCGATCAGGGCGATTAGGGAAGGACCGATGAAATGAGCCAGAAGGAAGTAAGACATGCTGATAGCTTGTACCGGGCCAGCAGCGTATTGGCAGCCGCATCGCCCGCAAAATCAACTAGCCATTAAATCTCGTCCTCCACTTTACGATCGGTTGCATTAACATCCCCACAATCTGTAATGAAGTCTGTGCATACTGCGTGGTTCAAGGATCGTCCCCGCGGTTCGGAGAGGTGGGCGTAGGCATGCTCGGTACATGTGGGCGATGCCCACGGGGACTACGCACTAAGGCATTGTCCGAAGAGAACGGCGGATATAATCCCTCGTCTCGATTCTGAACGCACAAAGTCAAGCTCAAACCAGCCTGTCACACGCCTATCCAAAACCACATACTAACCGACATGATCACCACCGCAACGAAGACAGCGCCCGTTACGCTGAAGGCCGTCGATGATCGACGTATGAGAGTCGACGGGACCGATGAGAAATTTGGCGACTGGAGGGATGATCTGGCCAGAGATGGTTTCGCAGTCATCAAAGGTGCCATTCCGAGGGAGAGGGCCGACAAGTATGCAGACCAGATGTATAGCTGGTTGGAGGGATTGTAAGAATAGCCTTGTGACACCACAGCGTGATTCTTGTTGCTTACAAAGATCAGTAACCTTGGTTTCGACCGTAACGACCTATCGACGGTCCACAAAGACAATCTCCCACAAATCACCGAGAAAGGCATGTGCCTGCAGTATGCTGTGACCCATGAGGACTTTGCTTGGGCTATTCGAGGGGAGCCGGGTGTGATCGGAGCCTTTGAAAAGGTGTACAACACCGAAGACTTGATCGTGTCGTTCGATGCGATAAACTTCACATTGCCGTATGATGAGCGCACTCCATTGTGCCAATGGAGATAGCTGACAACTGAAATAGTCGCACGGATATTGCGCCAAACAAGCCATGGCCGCATCAGGATCAGGATCCTTCCAAGCCCGGATTCAGATGCTTGCAGGGTTTGGTCAACTTGCTGCCCAACGGAGCAGATGATGGTGGCCTCATCGTGTGCCCTGGTGGTCATCTACTGTCGAACGAATTCCACAAGGCTATGGCCGATGAAGAGCGCATCCCAGCTTGGACACCAGAATGGTACGGTTATACCGAGAACGGCATGAAATGGCTCGAGGAGAAGGGCCTCACGTGGGTAAAGGTGTGCGCCGACCCCGGTGATCTGCTTGTGTGGGACTCCCGCACCCCTCACTACAACCTGAGCTCAAAGACGAATCAGCCTCGTTTCGCAATCTACACATGCTATATGCCTGTAGCAGATGCCACCCAGGAGGATTTGCTGAGAAAGAAAGACGCGTACGAACGGTGGGTTGGCACAACGCACTGGCCGAATGCGAGGCACACAGGTTCGAATGTTGCGAAAAGAGATGGAGTGGACGATCCACACAACCGCTTCGAGCCGGTGAACAAACCGGTCATGGATGAGAGGACATTCAAGCTTACTGGTATCCCGTATATCAAGGCTTAGGCTGGAACATGAGCGTGGAAGCTCAAGGGTCACTTTCGTTCGCTTAGCACTCAATGGAAACAATGACGTCACTATTTTTACGCGTTCTCATTGCACGCGTTCCCATGTCACACTTGCATCGTGAATAACACGACAACGATGAAATCGACAGCCGGCCCACTATCAGATGGGCGTGCCGAATTTCCCGTTCCAGTCTATCAACAACACGCTGAGGCCTACACATGTCCCGACACCCTGGCTGTACTGACGCGTGTAGGTGACGTGACGCGTCTTAGACACGAGCGATGTGCCCAGCTCCAAGGAAACATCCAACAGTCGTAGCCCCGCTTGTCGTCTACATCGAACTGACGAAAGTTGAACGTTGGAACTCATCACCGTCATCTTAGCCATGTTTAAGGACACTGTATGTTATTCATCACTCTAGATCCTTGCCTGTCTATTGATCACAGCGACATACAGTTTAGTCATACATCAGGTAACAGGTAAAAGCTACTATGGCACAATGTTTTTTCGGCTGACGATGGACAGAAAATGCATCTATCTGCAGATGGGAAGACACTCCACAATAACAAAACAACGGCAATTAAGGAGCGCCACACTTCGTAAACGGACCAAGAGTACTCTCATCGACGATCGCTAGATGGCTGGGTCGCCAGACGGCTCAATGCGACATCGAGGGGTGGCCAGATGCCTTCTTCATAGCCCATCGACCGGTGAAGGCCCTGATCTTCTTGCCATACAAGAAGATAGGAATGCCCATCAAGCCAAACAAGGCCGTCAGACCTGCGTATGTCCCGAATGTGCCATTAAACCCATCAGTCTCAATAAACTTGGCAACACCATAGCTTGTACCGAAGGAGACGAAACCTCGGAAAGCTGTAATGACTACAAGGATAGGTCCTGCTCTTGCTGGATAGGAATCAAGCAAGTACGTAATTGCAGCGATGTTGGCGCCGACGAACGCGAAGTAGTACGCTGCGTTGGCGAAGACAAAGACGAACCAGTGGTACTTTCCCGGACTTTGCGCAGCCAGACCATATAGTGTGGCGGCAATACATCCACAGAGCAGAGGGATCCAGAGCAGTAGCAGGCGATTTTCAGGCTCGTGCACGCCACCGTTGCGCCTAGCCCGCCATCGGATAATGGCATCGCTACCGTTTCCTAGGAGGGGAAGTGCCACGAAAGCAACCACAATCTGCCCAGCATTGACGTATGAGATGGAGCTGTCAGACCAGTTGTATGGAGGTGCGTGCACTATGTTGCCATATGTCGTTCCAATAGCGATGTTGACACCAATGGTCAGGCCATTGAGGCAAAATGCCCAGAGCACGTTGGGGAACAACATGACTTGGAATGTGTTGATGAAGCCGTAGACACCTTCCATCCAGTCCGCCTTGCCGTCGAATAGTCGCATATCTGACCAGATGGTACGGGGAAGGAATCTTGTCGTGTCCAAAGCAGGCCTCTCGGACAGCTTGACTGGGTGCGGGGCAGTTGCCCGGGATTCATTAAGCTCGCCTCCTTCTTCGGCAGAGAACTGTCCATAGGCAGTCAAAGAGCGGTCATACCTACTCTCCGGAACCCAGAAAATAGATGCGACCAGTGTGGCTGCACAAAGTCCGGCTCCAAGGATGTACCAGTTGGCTGGTCCGATCGCCCCAGCAATCGGAGATGCACATATCACGTACACAGCTGCTAATACTGTCTGGGTTGCAGATTGCCACATCAGGAAGGTACTTCGCTCGTGCACAAAATGAATTTCCTTGACAATGGTCAGTCATCACTTTACAAATGTGGGGCGTTGCGTAACTCACCTGGATCATCATGGGCACCAGTGCCTCGCTCTGTCCAGCAGCAAACCCGAGGAGCATTCTTGCTCCAAGATGTTCGTTGTAGTTCCTGGCATAAGCAGCCCAGACCGCGGAGCCAATCAAGATCAGCAGCGACAAAAGATAGACAGGACGTCTTCCGATAGCGAGAGCCAGCGGCATACAGATCAGATTTCCAACACCCATGAACATCGAAGGGTAGGTCATCAGTGCGGTAATATCGGCTGCTGATATCAGTACATGCAACTTGGACGAGGATGAGGCTATGATCACTGACCATACGTAGCTCCAGCTGCTGCATAGATAGGAATGTACCAAGTCAGGAGACCACCAAATCCTGATACGAGCGCGAGACCCAGGCTGGAGAAGATTGAGACCAGCACGATGAAGAGAATCTTGCGAAACTTCGACAGATTCAATGGGTCTGTCAAATTAATTAGGATGCTTCTTGGCCGATAAAATTTTGCAGATTGCATACCTCGAGGGTCAGCACTAGGAGCTGGGATCAAGAAAATCTCGTTCAAGTCGGTGATGGTCACTGTGCCCATCGCCGCAGACTCCTGAATCGGCTTCACGATACCTGTCTCGCCATCTGAAGCGACCTCGTACCGTTCGACTTTGGTCTCCATGGCCTTCGTGTCCTTGATGTCGTTAGGCATATTTGGGAAGCTGAGAGTTCTTTGTTCCGAGCCTGGATGAAAGGGGCGTCGAGAGAAGTGCGAATGAGGAAGTAAACCCGCTCGTCCTGGACCAGAAGAGCACCGCGAAGACGAATGTTGAGATGTAGGTGTATGATCTGCGCAACGAGGTAGTTATATGTTGAGATGGTCTTCACCTCCTCTTCTTCGGCGCTTCTTGTATGATACACGGCACTTCTCTGGTTTGTCTACTTTGCCCCCGGATTCCCACCACAGCCGACGAATTCGTTGGCGTTGTCTAGGCTTTGCTCTGGGTATCAATGCGAACTCCACATCCCGCCTGCGCTGAACTCCACTTCGAGTGCGTGGTCCACACTCGATACGTCTGTGAGCGCATCTGGGGTTCCTAGACTCCCTGTGGGGAAATCTGGGGTAGCGCGTTCGTCGGAGAGTGGGTTAGCCTTCGGAAGGAGGGCCATGAAGAACCAATCATCACAGCGCAATTCACAACCATCCTCGGCTTCAGGTTCCTGCCTTCGCAAGTGCCGAAGTCGTCGACAGAATCCTGAGCATAGACGTGGCCCTTAGCGACATCGCAATGTCGACAACTCGGTCTGATCAGCGTGTCATACACTTGCAGACGTCAACAAAAAGGCTGATCCGCGAATTTGGTTCAGTCCAAACCTTCAATACATACAGCCCGTCAGGCTCAACAAAAGTCACGGCAGCTATGTACAGAACAGATTGTGAAGTTTATGCTTTTTACATTTCCGCAAAGCGTCTATTTGATTGAAAACTATATGCAGCTACAAAGGAATGAAGGGCAGTATGATCCTGCTCGGCGTCTCTGACCCAACATGTATCCGATGCTCACCCTTGTTCTTCTCACTTTCTGGTCGCGGTGTCGAGAACGAAGTATACTCTGCTATGGAAGGAAACTCCCCAGAGACCTGAACGCTTATTGACTCGCCCTCGTCAAAATCCACGCCCATTGACCAGATACCAATTTCCAGCTTCACGATCTCACCGGGTTTAATCTTTTCCTCCTTGTCATGCGGGTGAAACGGGAACTGCTCGTGGATGCTTCGTGCTGGGTCAAACGCACGATGACTGGCACGGAGCACACCAACACTGCCTAGATGCAAGTTCAAACTTGCGCGTTCTTTCTCCGGGATATCATCAATGCTCTTGTAAGCCGAGGGAATAGCCGAGAACGGAAAGCAGAGGTGCATGAGCAGCTTGCCGTTCTTGTCTCGCTTGCGCAGAATGACATAAACGTTCATGTCGTCGTGCGACGGTGCTGACATGTACAGAACTGCCTTTGGGAGACCAATGAGTCGCGACTTTTGCGCAAACTTGTATGAGAATTCGGCGATCGACTTAGAGTCTTCTGAGTTGTAGCTGATAATCTCAGTGTTGGAAGGTGGTTGCTCTGTCAAGCCAGCGCTAGTAAGATGGAAATCCTTGTACTGCGTCTCCGGCACCGGGAAGTCCGAGAATTCGATGCCATCGATGGCCTCTCGATCACCAAACTGGAGTGCTGACCATCGCACTCTTGACATCTTCTCCCAATTGTTCTCAACACCTCGAAGATATTTGTCGAAGTAGCTGTGAAGTTCCTTGTCGGCGTGAGGATCGCAGTAAAGCTCGAACCATTCCTGGTGCGAACTCCATCGAATCCATTTCTTATCGTGAGGCACTTCAAGCCATCCTCGTACGGCTCCCATGGTGTGTATACTAGAGAAGTCACTTCCACTAATGAACACAGGAACTTCAATCTTGGTCATATCAGGTCGCTTGTCACTCCAGTATGCGTTCGAGACCGGCGATCGACGATACATCTCAGCGAAGTCTTCGATGCCACCACCGGGGTTGTTTGTCTTGATGATAAAGTGGGTGATGAGATCGAAGTTCGACATGCTGAACACACCTCCTCGGCAGAACTGCTCGCGGTATATATCGCCGGACCCTTCCCAAGGGGCAATCGCAGCGAGATGTGGTGGGCGTAAAGAGGCAACGTGCCATTGGATGATAGCCAAGGCGCTATTGCCGGCCATGCCTACTTTGCCATTACTCCATGGCATTGTTGCGATGGCTTCAATGACATCGTAACAGTCTTCCGCGTCTTGAGATCCCATAATCTAGCAATATTAGTTAAGTCTGGGGGTGCTCAAACTGTAAGGTAGAACGTACTGGTATGGAGCCGTCGCTGTTACCAGTGCCACGAGAATCTACCGAGACGATTGCATACCCACGCGGACACCATACAACCGGATCAAGACCTTCGAACTTCTCCAACCCACTGAGGGCCTCGTTCGGTACACAACAATTCCAAACGCAAATAGGAAGCATGTGTAGGGCGGAGTACTTCTTGCCGTAGCACGACCAGCTGATCACAGCCGGTAGCTTCTCTTCTGCTGGAACGTCCGCGGGTCTGTAGATGTCGACGTAGAGCCGGCATCCATCTCTGACCACAATCTCAACATCATGGTCGATCTGAATGTCAGACTCGAGAGGGCGGGCGTTGTGCGGTTTCGCGCCTTTGCGGAGCACTTCCGTCTTGCCAGGTGTGAAGCCTTGGTAGTTATTCACTCCCACTTCGGGCTTCTGAATAGGCTTGTAGGCCACCTGCATGGGGACCAGCATCTCGATGGTAACAACGGGTTGAAATAATAGAGTAAGGCACGGAAAGGGAGAGATCAATGAGCACCTTGATAAAAAAAAACTTTGAGGACTACTTGAGCAACGAGAGAGTTTACTAACAACGCGACGCGTCGAGCTCGTACCGGCCTCCACCTCGGTAAGTGTCCGAGATGTGAAGCACCTCCGCCCCCACCTGTTCCGAGCCCGACAGATCCTCCAACGTTGACAATGCGGGGTAGCCGCCCACATGTGCCGATACTGCGAGCATTGCAGCGCCGGAATTTTGAAACGAGTAGTATCTTTCCGAGAACAACATCACACTGCTCCAGCTTCCACGTTAAGATATAATACTATTCGATCTCTTCTCACAGATTGCTCAACACAGCTTCATTGCGACTAGATCTAGCATTTGCAAGATTTCCTGGACATACATTTTACTTGAACGAACAAGGACAAAGTCACAAGATGGCACCTCACGCTGAAGAACCAAAGCCAGATACAGGTGTCGATCTCATTGCGCATGACGGCACAGTATACGGCGACTGGCGTGACGATTTCCACAAGAATGGGACAGCGATCATTAAAGGTGCCATCTCTCCCGAACGCGCAGAATACTACAAAGCAAAACAAATCGAATGGCTCCAATCTTTTGGCCGTGGCTTCGATCCCAATGACGAATCGACCTGGACACAAGACCATCTCCCTGTGAGCTTCAAGGGTGGCATGTACTTTGCTTACTCTAGTACACACGAGAAATTTGTCTGGTAAGTTGTAATTTTCAAAGTGGATTTGCCATGCTAATATACATCAAGGGAAGCACGCACCGAACCCAAGGTTCTTGAGACCTTCTCCAAACTCTGGGGCACCGATGAGCTCCTGTGCTCGTTCGACGGCATGAACATTACCTTGCCTCGCCAAAAGGACCTCAAGTGGAGTCCCTGGCCACATTGCGATCAGTCGCCACACCGCAAGGGAATGCAGTGTGTACAGGGCCTGCTGAACTACCAGCCTAACGGATCGAACGATGGCGGTCTGATCTTAATGAAGGGTAGCAGCAAGCTCTACGACGAGTTCTTCCGCGAGAAGAGGGAGCAAGATAACCACGAGGATAAGCCCCCAGAGGAGGAGGACTTCAAAGACCTGTTCATCTTCAAGGATGAGGATGTCAAATGGTTCCAAGACCGTGGATGCACACTTGAGAAAGTCAATCTTGAGCCTGGTGACTTGGTACTCTGGTACGCCTTGCCCTTTTCTTCCTCCTCAAACAGCATCAATACTAATACCACACAGGGACTCTCGTACTATGCACTATGCCAGCTTCCCTCAGGGTGACCGCATTCGCCACGTCCAGTATGTCTGCATGACGCCTGCGAAGTTTGCAAAGAAGGAGGATCTGGAGCTCAAGGCTGAGCTGTTCAAGACATGGCAAGGTACCACGCACTGGCCGCACTGCAACATCCGCAAGCAGGGCGTTCCAGAGAGAGATGGTGTACCCGATCCGCAGAATAGATCGGAGCCATTGGAGAAGCCTGTCGTAACAGACAGAATCTTGCAATTGGCTGCTGTCAAGGCTTACTAGATTTGAAATCTTACTTCCATAATAACTTTCAACAAATATCATGTCGTACGTGAAGATTGACTGGACACGCGAGAGGAGTCTGTTATCCTTGCCGTCTCCCGCCACTGGAGTGCTTTGATCAACAATGAACTAGTTGTCTTGCGTGCTCGCTCTTTTTCGGTCACCTTAAGTGGCACTATCAGACGAGATAATCTGAACCTGTGGCGATATGCAATTGAAAAGCACAGCAATCACACTCATACTAGCCATATTCTCGAGATTACGCAGAGTACATATCCCCAGGCGAACAGAACGGATAGTTTCACTTGCAGGATAGACGTTAACGGAACCGGGAAGTACCAACAGTAGCACCCTGAACACTGATGTGTTTGCACCCTTAGTTCGAATTTTAACCTTCATTGACTACACCTAGTTTGATCGTTTCCTCACAATGCTTTCGTATCATGCATCTACTATTCACACCGCCGCAGAACGTGGTCAGATGGCTGCACTCTAGTCGAACAAGGATTCTGCATAAATAATGGCGATCCCAGGTGACATACATTGCGTGTAAGCCATATCAAGACAACTTTCTCTTAGCTGTTGAAGAGTCTCGTATTATGTCAGGCTATGTCAGGTTGGTGTGGTTTTGCTCTCAATCATGTCCCCGCGCCGATACGGCGGCCCTGTCAACGCTGCAATTCAGTCCCAACGCACCCTTCTAGGTCGCCTGCAATTGCCGTTATTCCACCTGGAGCCGGATGATAGAATCCGTCCATCGCACATCTTGCCTCTTCTTCTACATGGTTTGTGCACACCCAGCTGCAAAGTTTGCTGCCGGCTCATCGCACGCACATCGCAATTTTGTGCCCGCCAATTGCATCTCGGACGCCTCTTGCACATTTCGTGGATCCTTCGCGCAGACCAGACTGGCCACAGCTGGGAGAAGCCGCGCCATCGCTGCACTTTGCATGGTTGTCAAAAGCGGATGCTTTGCGTTGACTCCCCTGCGGAATATGTCCGCTGCCCTATCATTTCTCTTTCTGGCTTAATCCACTTCTCGATGGTGATACCCGTTGCAGGTTGACTGCTCTGGTGCCGGAAGACGGTACGTGTCTCCAAGGTTGCCTGGTCCAGCCAAGGTTCACCAGCATCCTTCATTCGGCGATTAGATGCATCTGCCCGTCCTCCGCATCGCGGACATTTGTAGTGCTCGTTCCAGCTCCTGCAAATCCTACATCCTGTATGAGGATTCAGCTTGGCTGGGCGCGTTGTGGTGGGGCATCTGCAGATCATAGCGAGCAACCTATCGACGGGGAATCCTCCTGCACCTGCGCCAACTCACGATGCCCGTTACAGCACGTCCATCCACAAGGCCACGGACATTGTCCTGAATCCATCCATTTCCAACTCCTGCACTGCATCCATCCACTCTCAACCGCCCGAATGGGGTTCGCCTATTCAATCCGTCATCGAATTACCAAAACAGGCGTCCAGCTTCTGCAGCACAGACAGAAAAGGCGTCATGCCACGCGCACATCTTACGATTCCCACGCGGCGACACCGAATGCATGTTGTTCCAGCTCTCCACTAACGGTCGCTTCGCCTGGTAGGTCTCTCGTACGAGACACGAATGCGGCAACGAGAGCGCTACGCCAGCCACACACTCGCCCAGAACACATTGTCTACTCAAACTGGACGTCACGACCGCCGAAATGGTTGCGTGAGTGGGCTGATCGACAGCGTTGCGAAATGTGAGTGGTGGCGAGGGTCGGGTCGCGCATGCAGTATTTCGCACGCTCCTGCATGTCTTTTACGGTGTGATGTACGCCCGTCAACGCAACACACGCGGCGCTGTCCATTTCCAATCACGACCGGAGGGCTGCTAGCTTACCTGTCCGCCGGCGCCCTGCCACGCGCTCATGGCGCGTCAGAAACGTCAACGGGCTTCGCGAACAGCGTACGGTCACTGGAACCTTGCATGACTGCGGCAGGACATCGGCGACACAAAGCCGATGCCTATCAAGGCCTGCCTCATCTCTGGGCCCAGAATAACTGCTGAGTGAAGACGGGCCGGCAATCTAGAAAGGTCAACAAAGGTGCGCTCTACAGTCGTGCCAGGCTTCAGAATGACGGCAAGTGCTGGGGATGGATCCTTTAGCAGGGTGCAGAGCGTAGGATGTAAGATGCCGAGCCGTGTGCCTCCACAATCAACATGTTGCTCCGACCGCCCCGTACATCGGCGTAACAGCTTTACAACACGACCTGGCCCACCCCATGGTCGGAGCCCTTCGTACACAAAGCGCGTCGCCACGCATCGATTCTGATCCGTGCAGAGCTTGTCTTGTACGCTGCTTCGCCACACCTGCGACATGCAGATTTCTCATTTGGATTGTCAATACCCAGCATTTCCGAACCCACCTAAATATAACTAGCGTCCGCCAACGGTCATCGCTATGTACCGTGCAGGTTGTGGCATGTGTTTCGCTTCGTACCCCGCTACCGTGTCATGTTCAGCCTCCCTGCACACCCAGCTCCCGCTGTGGAGCTGTAGGAATTAGGAAAGGAATGCGAGACTGTCAGATTGCTGTTTGTAGCAAAAACAAGCGAGTCTGGGTAAACATATGGGCTGCAAGGCTACGCGACGTAACTAATCGGTAGATGAAAGGTGACGGGGATTGTGCTCAGCTCACCTCCTCCTGCGGAACGTCAACTCCGTCTTGTTGGTCACCATCAGCGTGTCAGACGTCGCGTGTCCTTGTGTGGTGCTGGACCTCGTTACGTGCAACGGAAGAGACGTAGAATCCGAAACGCGAACAGGGGCTCGCGAACCCAAGGGCAAGGACTCGGATTCGCGTTGCGTCCTGCTAACTTGAACAAGTCATTTCGCTGACAGAACACCTTGTACGAAGCGTGCGCATGGGCGGCAAGGGCTGGCAATTCGTTCGCCAAATGCACTCTTGTGTAAGTGCAGACACGAGCAGCTTGAAAAGGCAGGTCGCATACTAGGCGAGTCGTGAGGGAGGGGTCCAGCGGCCCGCATCGCGGCGTATCAACGAAGTGGATATGTTGAGAGATGAGTATCGCTTCGACGCTGTTGTTCGACAAATTTCGCTTTGTCTCCTGGGTGACAACAGCTGCGCAGTACACTAGATATTACGCATCCCTTGCGGCCTGGCACGCGGATGTGGGAAATTGTAAGGCCACCTGCATCGAAGACTATTGTGCCCCTCATTTTCAAACGTCGAAGCTATCTGTGTAACCTCTCGCATGCACTAGAAACCCGTTTCTCCACTGTTTGACGTTCTCGAAGCTGTAAATGCTGTACCTCATCCGTTGTGTTGACTGTCGTTCCATGGCTCTGGTAAAGCGTTCGGCAACGTTCGGCCTTCAGAATTCAATCTGGGACCGTAAGCAAGGCTCGTTCATGCGATAACGGAGTCTGGAAAGTGAGCAAACTGCGTGGCACTATTGCCTTAAAGTGTTCTCTTCCGCCATAGCGGTCACACACGATGGACGACAAATGGGAAGAACAACAGGACTGTGTCAGCAAGCGTAAAGGTGCATTCTGCTAGACTGTCGTGAAGCAGGCTGTCGCGAACGTACCATCCTAGAGCCACAGGACGTATGTGGTGTCGTAGCAGACCAGCACCATGCAATCCTCATGGCACTTCGCATCGTTGAGTGATGATTGTTAATATGCAACCTGGTTCAGTCTGCAACTGTGTAAGAGCATGACGGATGTACGCAATGAGCATTGATGATAGTTATGACAGGCCACTGATGCATCAGGTTTCGCATACCTAGGTGGCTTTCTGTGTGTAAGATGACTTCGGCGTAGCGAAGTCCAGTCCAGTATTGCTGGCCAGCGAGACCTGAAATTCCTGACCACTGGAACCTCGAATTGGGTCGTAATTAGCTATGCAAGGGGTTGCGCAGTGTCAAGAACTAATTGGAGAGTGCTGGTCATACATCGGGTAGCCCTCTGCACCGGGCGGTCTGACTGCGACCAGTGAAACAGTTCCATGGAAATCCGTGGTTACGGATGTTGAATGGGGAGTGTCCTTCTGGCGCGTGCTCAGCTTGTGTAATACAAACTGCGTGTGTGGTGTGCTTCAACGAGATTTTCTCCTCAACCTGTATCACACCATTGACAGAAGAACACACCCTGTCACCTGACTGACTGAACCACTCAGGGCTGTGGGGATAACTCAGCAAAGAACAGAATGCCAAAGCTCTCCTAGAAGAGGGACCTTAGGAAAGGGGTCACAGTCCCCATAGCGTGACCATAATATTCCTGATAGGCTGTAACTGGACGCTGCACCTACAGGCGCAGAATGTCCTTTGGCGTGTAAAAGTGCGTTGGCGCACATGGTCTCGGCTGGGCTCTAGGTATGCGTGCATGGCATCCACACAGAGAACGGTGAACGGTGGAGCGAGTCCAGTCACGACGTTCAGACATGGTTCGCGTGAGACTCCAGTGTTTGGCGTGGCCATGTGACGAGGTGTGCTTGCCAACAGTCTGGCCGCACGAATCAGTCCTGAGAGCGCGCAAGATTTCAGGGTTGACACGACTCGCATTGTCGCTGACACAGATGCCTCCTCGGAACTGCGCAAGTCAGGTGTTCACAGCTTGGATGGCTGACAGGCAGCACTTGCAACGCCTTGAAGACAGTCCGCATAAGCCATCGTCAAGTACTTTTAATGTACGAAGTAAGTAGGAAGACGTCGTTGAAATTGGGTTCAGAGATTCGCACGGCCACTCAGCCAGATGAAGAAGGTTTGAAATCCGGCATCGCACCCAGCGCAATCGACAGGTCTGTGTCGTCAGAAGGAGGGGACATCCTGTTCAAGCAATCTCTTGAAGCCTGTCGCAACACTGCTCAACGAGAGGTTCTAGCCCCGCTGTTCAGCGGGCGCTTCCGCCGATCGCAGCGACTCTCACACGCTGTCGATATCCGAGTCTCGTACATGCCGTGACAGGCAACCCCTGGTGTAATGTTCTGTGCAGCGCTTGATCTCAATGGCGAGTCTGTCTTCAGCGAGGTCCATGC